GATCTATCATCTCACTAATTCGCACTAAAACCACAATTCCGGGAGTTAAAGGAAAAATCTGGTAAGCCGATCATCCTTGCTTGACTGGAGAATCTTCTTAGCGCCCCTTTAGACGACACTAAGGAATCGCCTGCTGTTCCCCGACTCAAGGAATACGGTATGGTAATTATCGATATTGTTACCGCCCTTTTTGATTTCCTTGTTTTCTCCAGTATACCAGCTGTTAGACCTATGGGAATCTATGACAATCTTCCCAATGCTCTTTCCCGGAAGCGCTACCATTGGCCCGAAGAAGGTTGAAAGGCAAATTTTATGACGATGACATTGACTCCACCCATTCTTTTTTGGGATTATTTTTTTTCTTCCCCTTCCCTTGCCTCCGTTAAGGTCTCTCTTCCGCCTTTCCGCTCCCTTCCCCTTTTTAGCCTTTCAGGCTCTAATGTCTCTTTTAAAATTTGAATTTGAAATAAATAATCTTAGGTCCATACGGAACAGATCACATATGACTGGCTAGATCCCCCAGTCGGATGATCACGATCCGCCCCTCTGAATTACACAGGTAAAATGGGATAGAATAATAAACGCCCCACACCGATGGATTTAATCTTTGAAAAAAAAATCGAAAATGGAATTTCAATTTTGGATTTTAACATTTAGATTTTAGATTTTTTGTATTTTCCCTTTATTGGAACATGTTTGCATCTGCACAGCTGTAACCGAAATTCCCGATGTTGAACGGTTGACGTTTTTTTAGTTTTGGCGCCTGATCATATCTTCTATAGATGGAGCTATCCACTCCAGGGCTGTCGACACCCGTGGATATAATATAATGTCCCCTTTCCCCTCCATGGAATGTCCCTTTCTTCTGTTCATCGCAATTACTGCTTTTCCCCATCTGAAACTTAACCGGTTTCGAGATTCTTCATAGATCCCTTCTCCATTCTTGATACTCTCCTCTCTCCACCCTCTAACTTACTCGTCGATCTTTCCAAGGTCCCAAAGTTTCAAAGTTCGCCAAAGTTACTTTGTGAATCAGTTCTTACTATTAATTTTTTTTTATTTGTTTCTCTCTGGTCCAGCCAAGGAACAAATAAAAGAAAGCAAAAAAAAGGGACGGCTTGATCAGATTATCCCTGGGCTCTCCCATTATTTGATTTAAAACCCTCCGACGCCGCTCGTCTTTTGCCCGACTCGATATTGTGTCAAATCTTCCTTGCAGGTGTCTCAAGGATCTTGAAGATCTTCCATCACGCCTTATCGGATTTTACGATTAAATTTCCCAAGGGGGTAGCAATGCTGAAGCCCTAAAACAACGACACCGCTCCTTGCTCCAACAAATCAGCTGCTCACGCCAATTGCATTCTCTCCCTTTCGAACTCTGACGCATTAACCTGGGGTAACTAAAAGGGGGAATCAAAAGCACCGTCTGGTACTTTATTCCCCTCCACTTTCGGATTGCTTCCTACTCGATTATCTGGAAGCGGGGTCTTTTTGTTGGTCCCTACGGTTTTATACTTGATCCCTACTTTAAGGGGATTTGTGGTTTTTTTTTTCTCGTCACCCATTTTCACCACCGACACAATGTTCCGACGACCAGCCTGTTTACAAGGCCGGTGCCAACGCAATGGCACCGGTGAGGATTGGTCTGCATTTCCAACCCGGCAATTGTTTGTCTTAGGTAAGTGGTACTTTTGTTACTCGCGAACTATGTGGCTTGTCGGCATCCATATATATTCAAATCTATATACGGAGAGCAACGACAGAAACAGAAACAAAAGACCCAGAATAGGAACTAACCGTCATGTCTGTTCAGCACTTGTCCGAATCTGCGAACCAATTGCGTTCATGTCAATTTTCCCGTATGTGTACCACATGGTGGAATCATTCCATGTGACCGAGAACGACCAAAAGATTGCGCTGTACGCTGGCATGATCACCTCGGCCTTTACTTTTGCGGAGTTCTCAGCGGGCATGTTCTGGGGCCGTATGAGCGACCGCATCGGCCGCAAGCCCGTACTCATCATGGGATTGATTGGTACAGCATTGAGCATGGTGGCATTTGGATTTGCGCCCAATTTAGCGACAGCGATGATCGCGCGCGCCTTGGGCGGCTTGTTGAATGGTAATATCGGCGTCCTCCAAACTACCGTCGCAGAGATTGTGACGGTCAAAGAGCACCAGCCGCGGGCATATTCTATCATGCCCTTCATGTGGTGTCTGGGATCAATCATTGGCCCGGCTATGGGCGGTGCATTGGCCCAACCTTGCGACAACTACCCGGGCTTGTTTCAGCGTAACACGCTTTTCGACCGCTTCCCGTTCCTGCTGCCCAACCTAGTCTGTATCATCGTGCTGATTTGCGGCATCATTATCGGGTTCCTGTTTTTGGAGGAGACACACCCGGAGATAAAGCACCGCCGGGACTACGGCCGTGAATTGGGCCACTGGCTCACCAGCCAATGCTGGCGTTCGCGGGTGCAGCTTCCTGACGATTCCGAGATTGAAGAAACAAAATACTTCGTTTATGGCGATGTACCGCCAGAGTATGAAAGTGCCGAATCATCGCCTTGCCTTCGCCCCATGAGTGACGTCCGATCAACGGAGCGCGACCTGGAGGGACAGAAGACCCCCGCACTCAAGGTGTTCACCCGACAAGTCATCTTCACCATCATCGCTTACGGCATTCTGGCATAGTGAGTTGGCACCCTGCACCACAAATCGGATTTTCCGAGGTTTTGCCTTGTTTTAATTGAATGCAATGCTGACCTTCTCTTTCTCCCCCGTGCAGCCACAGTGTGTCATTTGATCAGTTGATGCCTGTCTTCCTCAGTACACCCAAATCGGACGACCGGGTCGTTTTGCCGCTTCAATTTACAGGTGGCTTGGGCCTTCCAACAAAGACGATTGGTTTCATGTTGGCTGTCCAGGGTGTCTATTCAATGATCGCCCAGCTCTGGCTCTTCCCATTTGTCGTCAAGCAATTTGGCACTCTGCGTACTTTCCGCTTTGTCTTGCTGGCATGGCCAGTGATCTATCTGACCGTGCCCTACCTTATCCTTCTCCCGGCTAAACTCCAGATGCCAGCCGTCTACGTCGCCCTCATCAGCAAAATTACTCTGCATGTCATCGCCTTCCCCGCAACTGCTATCTTGCTGGCCAATGCCGCTCCCTCCTCGAAAGTTTTGGGTACCATCAACGGCGCGGCCGCTTCTACTGCAAGCTTGAGTCGGGCCTTTGGTCCAACTCTCACTGGCCTGCTTCACTCCAAGGGTCTTGAGAGTGGATACTCAGTGTTGGCCTGGTGGGCCTGTGGACTAGTCTGTGTGATCGGGGCCGTTCAGAGCTTCTGGATGGAGGAGTCAGCTGAGCCCGAGCGCTTCAAAACTCGGGATCCTGAAGTCAGTGAGGCGGAGTTGAAGCATGAGGCCATGTCTGAATGCTCCATTGAGGAAGAGGAACAGCGATTGCTGTCCCTGCGTTCCAGCATTGATCAGGAATACGACATCTCCAACCTCGATTTGAATGCCATTGACCTTTCCCGACCCGAATCAGATATGACTCCGACTCCCACTCCTCACTCATAAGTGGGTTGAGCTTTTCGCCAGCCTTCCATCCATTCAATTCTCACATCCTTCTGGAAAGGACAGCACTTTTTTACGATAGTTCTCCACTCGGAGTTCCTTTTGTTTTATTTTATTATTCTTCTTTTTTGATCTTAGCCACGATACCTGACCCACCCGTCATGACGTTTTGCTTTTTCTACTTTCGCTTGAGACCTTGGGATACCGGCGCAACATAGAGTGGATGCATTGCACAAGATGAAAAAAAGCATTACTTGGGTCACATTTTGTCATTTCCTCATTTTTTTTTCTCATTCCCCTTTTCTGCCTTGTCTTTTTCTTATTCTTTTGGAGCATTCAACCGGTTGGCTATATTACGATGATACTCATGCATCTGGGGGGAGCTTTCTGTGATTTGCGATTTGTCTTTACATTTATCATTCTTCTTGTTGAAGACCAAATATTCTTCAATAGAACTCAGTTACGGACATCAGTCAATGAACGTCATGGACCTGCTACTACCTTGCGTGCTTTCGGACTCCACTAACATTGCCGAGGACTAAAGTAGTCTCTCTTTCGTGTAAGCCAAGAAGATCCACCATTTACGTAGTATGAACCCTGCAGATGTTTAATGCAGGTGGATCATCTGATACCGAATGGCTGTTTCTCTATAAAACACCTCCGTCCCCCCCCCATTTTTGAACTTCCCTCAACATCTCCCCCAGACTCCATCTTTTGCTGTCAAATCTCGTGTCCACCAATGATAGCTCACGTATCCCGGACTCCACTTGGCAGATGTCTCCGCCGACCTGCACAGATGTTCTGGCGGTATTCGCGCGTGGCCAATTGCCGTGTGGAGATCGGATCTTGATGAGATGACGATAGGGTCGCTGTGACCTTCCCATTTCTATTAAGATACTTCGCCCATAACACGAATCTCAAGGAAGCGAGGTTGTTTGTCTCCATTTCCGAGGGCAACTTAATGGAAGGTAACCTAATTTCTTCTACCCGAACTCCACCACAACCCTATCAACGTGTAAGCCTACGCTCTCCTCTTCCATAATTCCTTGAAGTTCATGTTTTGTGGCTTCCGTGACGATCTCGATCTGGGGCAACTGTAGCGATCGTGATTTCCAATCTTTCCCACCAATTCTGCCACATCCAATCATTCCGGAGAATATTCTGTCTCCGTCGTATGGATTTGCGCCGCGGAGAGTTCCTCTTGGTTCCCATCTTCTTATCCCAATAGTGCGGGGCCTCATTTTTTCTGTTCTGGATCACAAACCTGTCTGTGAAAAGCGCCCCCAAATCGCCCCCGATCTATCATGAATGTTGGTCCGGTCCGGGGACTCAAACCACTGTTCCCGACCGCTATCTCCGCAGAACTCCACCATCAAGAGATGATCGCAGGTCTGCGGCTCTCGCCATTCGTTTCTCACAATGCCTAACGCCCCTTCCCCGCCGTCACCGGTCTCTTCGGGGAAGAAGAGACCTCATCCCTCCGAACCACCTACCCAACGCGACCCCGCCTCGAATTCCTCGCGTGACGCTCAAAACCCCTCCGCCTCAACCACAATCGTCCCGTCCACATCGCCCGCGCGTTCCACAGCTACCGTCGCTTCGTCCTCATCCTCGTCCTTTCGCAATGTCTCCGCGTGTAATCGATGTCGTCTACGAAAGAACCGCTGTGATCAACGCCTGCCGAGGTGTCAGTCCTGCGAAAAAGCCGGCGTCCGCTGCGTCGGATACGACCCCATCACCAAGCGCGAGATCCCGCGCAGCTACGTATATTTTCTCGAGACCCGGGTCGCCTATCTAGAAAAGCAGCTGCTAGATCATAATATCAACTTCAAGAATGCCGTCGCCTTCGACGAAGACGAAGCCGTCAAGACTGAGAACGAAGGCGATGCGCCGCAATCCACTTCCGCCCATAATGGGCAACCGGGCGACAGCGCGGATAAGGCACTCTGGAAGAATACCGGGGCCAAAGAAGATGGCGATCGTCCCGAACAGAGAGTAGAGGGAGATCAAGCAGATAGAGATCAAGAAACTGCAAATCAAGAGAACTGGAGGATACATAATTTGGTATCGAATATCGGCATGGTATCCGTGCAAGGAACGTCCGATCCACGATATCTTGGTTCAACCTCTGGAATTTCCTTCGCTAGAGTCGTCTTTGCTGCGGTTCGAAGCTCGCTTCCAGGGAATATACCTGAGCGGGCTCCAATTCGCACGAGCGAGCGACTACCTCAGACGGCCGCAGCTGGTCCAGGCGCCGGCACGATGCGGGATTCGTTCTTTGGTTTGCAAACACGTCCGATGATGAAGCGTGCGGCTTTCCCGGATCGCGAGCTTGCAGAACGATTGGTTGATTTGTATTTCGAGCACGCTAACCCGCAAATGCCAATCCTGCATCGTGGTGACTTCATGGAGCTCTTGGATCGCACTTACCAGCTTGAAGAGAAGAATCGGTCCCCGCGGGCTCTTTACATCCTCAATATTGTGTTTGCCATTGGTGCGGGAATCATCTTCGAAGACAAGCCGCAAAGTTCAGACGAAGAAAGCAGTGCGGGTCGGGATCGAGCATCTTCGACGACCAAAAGACCGAGACTTTCGAGTCATCAATATCAACCGGAGGAGTACCATGCGTCTGCCATTGTACATTTGGAGTCTTTCCTCGGTTCATCGTCAAGCGAGGGCTTTGGAGGGCTAGAGGAACTGCAAGCCGTGCTTCTGCTGGCTAGCTTTGCACTATTGCGCCCGGTTGCACCAGGTCTCTGGTATATCGTCGGTGTCGCGATGCGCTTAGCAGTTGACCTTGGTCTCCACTATGAGGATGGTGTAGGTCTCGAGACCACAAAGGATGGGAACCAAATTCAACCGCGAATTGACGCCCGCGAAAGGGGACGACGAGAATGGATACGCGATTTACGACGCCGTCTATGGTGGTGTGTATACAGCTTCGACCGTCTTGTCGCCACATGCGTCGGACGACCATTCGGTATCAGCGACCAGGCCATTAGCACGGAACTGCCGTCCATGATAGACGACAAATACATCACCAAGTCTGGTCTATTGACTCCCCCTGACGGTGCTCCAACATACAAGCACGTCGCCTTCCACTACTTTAAACTCCGCCTCCTTCAATCCGAGATTCACGATGTTCTACAATACCAGCAAGCGCGCGCTGTTCGAAGGCGTGCGACAGATAGCGCGATCATTCTTCCTCATGCCGAACTGACCTCTCCTTTCCTTCAAGGGTTTGATTCTTTCCGCTCATGGCGCCATGACGTGCACCGTCGTCTTGTGGAGTGGCATGAGAGTGCTCCGACGCGTCCTGATACGGGTGTGCGATTCTCTATCGAGCTTCTGGAGCTGAATTACTGGCAAGCTATCATCTTGTTATATCAGCAGAGCTTGACTGTGCCTGCTGAGTTAGCTGGGGAACTTACCCCAGCTGATGATGTGTCCAGTCCATCTTTCTCGAATCCAGATGACGGGGAAGAAGAGGATCACGTTTATCTGAATGTGGCCGAGGCAGGTCAGAAGGTCATCCGCATTTATCGACAACTGCACCGAGTGAGGCTTGTGAATTACACCTATCTGGCTACTCATCACATTTTCATGGCTGGTACGTTTTACTACTATGATTTCGGTTGGGTACATAACTGATGTTCTCCAGGAATCTCGTTCTTATATGCTATCTGGTACTCGCCGCTGGTTCGCAGCCGTCTGGTATGTAGTTCTTCGACTCACAGGTACCCTTTGATTCTAATAGGCCTCGTTTCTAGTCTCTCGACGAGGTAGACTTCACTGTTCTCGCGGCGACATCTGTCCTTGGTGATCTGATGCACAAATGTCCCCCTGCCGAAGCTTGTCGCGATGCATTCGAGCGGATGAGCAAAGCCACCGTTCAGATGTGCTTATCTACCACCGGCTTCGGTTCACAGGTTGATATGAGCCGCATTAACACAGGCTCACATGCACCTGGGTCTCTTCACCAGGGTCGGCGTCAAGCATTCGATCCCAGAAGACTACACCAAGGCCAGGCACGCCGACCACCCCAAAATCGCTCAGCACGACCCGTGCCAAAGTTCGACATGAACCTAGCCGATCTTTTCAATGACAACACACCACTCACCGATCGTTCCCGCGCAGACAATCTAGCGGGTCACCCCTATCCCGTCCGACCCGAGCATGGAGAATCAATGGCGCCCGGGTTAGCCGCCGAGGGTTCCTCCCGACCGTTTGTGCAGCGCACCCCATCTATGGAGTACTATCTCAAGTACGAGGCCCCCGGATCTCCACAGCCCGCTCAGCAATTCTACTACTCCACATCTCCACAACAAACTGGCTCCCCTGGCAGTGTGGCGCCAAATGCTGCAAATGGACCTCATGCCGTCCCGTCGACAGATCAGGAAGCTCAAACTGGGATCAGTCTTGATTTCTTGGACTTTAGATCTGGTGATCCAGATAGCCAAGCTCTTGAGACCGATCCCAATGGCGATTATACTATGGCTAACGTGCCTCCACTTGGGCCTAATCTGGGCCAGAACGTGGGCATTGATCTCGGGTTTGGCATGGCGATGGATTATCAGCATGATTGGAGCGAGAATCCGAACTATGATCTTTTGGAAGGGTATTTCTTTGGTGGCTCTGGGCCCGGCGCTTCTGGTGGCGATATTTGAGGTTGACTTTCAGCTCTTTTCCTTTTCTTCTATACCTGGGTTGAGTTGTTTTATGGTGTTCTTCACTTCTTGGTCATTCTTTTCCTCTCCTTCACTCTTTTGGCGAACATTCACTGTGACTAATCTACTTTGTTACCCTCCACCATCTCTTCCTACCTCATCTGCCACTGGCTGCTTTTGTTTGGGAATCGAATAGTCACAAGGGATTGTGAACGAGGACTGATTTCATGGGAACAAGGGTGCGTTGATTAACTTGGCTGCTTTGCTGCGAATCTGAGTTTGGGATACCATATATTATACACTATATATTCTTTTTCCATATACCATATACTTGAATCTACATAAAATACTTGAATATACATACTGCTAATTTTAGTCTTCATAGTCTTCAACCTGATAAATATTGGTGGTTCGTGCGCTATACTGGAAGTATATACTAGGTGGCCTAGATCGAATGCCTTGGGCAGCAACCAAACATCCGCGGCAAAAACAAACACAAGCCCGCTTTTTTTCTTCCCCAGCGCCAACTCACCCCAACGCAGCCCCATTTGCTGACGGCAGTGCACTGCAGGGCTTGGTTCGCATTGGCTGCTTCACCCACTCGGCGCGATCTGGCGCTTGGACCTTAACTGCCTGACCTTAACTGCCTCATCAGGTGCCCACTGGATTTCAAGGGTCCCTCAGCCCCCTCGGGTTCAACTGTCCCTTTCTTCGGTCTCACCTCACAACCTCCATACATACGATCGAGAAACACTGTTCTACCGTGAGCCGCCGCGACCGCGAATCCACCACCGTGAATTGTCTCAGCCAGATCGAGATTTGATCAGCCCTATCGTAGCGGATCCTGCAGGCAACCGACTCCGCCGACAACCACCTTCGTTCTTTCAGATCACTGCCTAGCCTCCGATAAACGTCGTGCTATACGAGCCATTCAATCTCCCTTTCGACCTTCGTTCTGTCTCAACCGCAACTCTCACTATCACGGCTATATTCGATTCGCTGTACCAGAACTCTCCAAACAACGCCCTAGACTGGTCATGCATGGGATCCTCCGAGTATTGAACGAAATAACGATTATGTACCTTGTGTTCAACTCACCTCATTTCCTCACAACAACGATATCAATATGGTGAAAGCGGACGTGCGGAGGGATTACTATGCAGACTTGGGTCTAGCTCCCAGCGCGGAGTCTGAAGAAATCAAGAAGCAGTTCCGGAAGTTAGGTAAGTTTGGCCCTGAAGAAAGGTCATAAACAAAGAGCACGCCACTGAACCAAAGTTCACAGCACTCAAATTCCACCCCGACAGGAATCCAGGAAGGGAACAAGAGTTTATTGCGAAGTTCCAGTCTATTCAAGCCGCCCATGAGATTCTTAGTGATCCACAACAACGACTCAAATATGATACAGACCGGTTGCGCGCTGGATATGGTAAGGTCTACGGGCCCCCGAGAACGAATACCCAGCGGCGTTCCCAGACCACGTCAACTCCCACGGCCCCTCCTCCCCCCAAGAGCTTCAAGGGCCCAGACTCAACGGCCGGCTTACGACCAGTGGCCAAATGCCAGTACAACACCGAATGCGTCTGCTGGTGCCCAGAGATATTCCGCACATGCTCGTGCGAACCCGCAACAATGGACTCGGGGCCAGGATGACGCGCAAACGAGGGCTGACGCCTACAAGGGCTTTTCGGGGATGAGAGGAGGTTCGACTGCAGGAGCATCATGGCGCGGCTTTGATCCTCAGACTGGACGTACAACTGCGGGAAGCACGACCGCTGGTGCGTCGAGGCAGCAGAACACGCCCTTCGGTACAGGGACACCACGACCAAAATCTGCCTACGAATATTTCAAAGAAACTCATAAGGCGCAAAGTAACACAAGTCCTAACTCAGGTAGGAAAAAGCAAGGATTTGCGCCAGGAACCGCTGGTGGAGGAGATGAGCCTCCGGCAAGAAACACCTCGGCTTATACACACAACCGGAGCGAACGGCCGAGCAGCATGTATTTTGATTCTGTACCGCCACCGACTGCAAAGAAACCCCCACCAGCACCCGAGCCTCCGCAGTTTACTGAAGAATTTGAACGGAATAGGAGGGGTTATGCGTCAACAGGAGGAGAGAAGACATTTTTCTCCAGTACACCACTTGGGAGACCTGCGAGTACGCGCCCACCTTCTGGAAGTTTCCGATCACCCAACCCTCGCACCAACGCTTCCAGCCCGGTTTACCCTCCAGCAGACGGAAGACACCACAGTGCTAGCCCTAAGCCTAGACGGAGAGCCAGCTACTCACCATCCCCCTCGACCAGCTCAAGTGGTGACTCGTTAGAGTCGCAGGATGAATGGGAGGAGGTAGTGTCCAAACGTAACGGAAAACCCAAGGCCGTCCCCAAGAGTCGCCTTCCACCCCATCAAAAATTCTCGGATTTCTATCGGCAGGCAGATTCCAACCCCGGAACTGGTGAGGAACCTTCTACCCGGCCAGGCGGCCATCGCTATGAGGACCCGCGCGCGCCAAATAAAGAACCCCGGAGACCTCGTAGGGTCGCTGGATTTGGAGATCTTACGGCTGACAGCGACGACAATAAAGGACATAATTCAGATAGCGCCGCGTTCACTCGAGGTTCAAGTCGCCCGCAACAGCCTTCTCAGTCCACAGGCTCTACTACTCGGTACGTGCGCAGCTGGTTTCATTTATGATTTAGTGTATTCCCGACTCATTCATACATAGAACCGAATCGGCACAAAGTGCTTCTAACCCTGCGACTGCAGCCTTTGGGCGCCGAAGCACCAGTGATGTGAACAGTCTTCACAAGAAGTTCTCTGCCGAAGACTGGAGAGATCACATTGAAGGCTTCGATTTCCTTGGTGCTTCAGCTTCGAAGCTGAATGCTGCGCGCAAATCTCCCAACTCGAAGCCCCGGGGTCGTGCCAAGCCCCAGTATGACTCTACAGATTCAGTTCCTTCGACAGGGTCCGCTGGCTTGAATACATTCGGTAGTGTACCTGAAGAAGAGTCCCAGCAGAACGCTCAGAAGGCCCCTACCCCGTTTGCACAAGCCAAGTTTTCTGCCGACCAATGGGCTGAGCAGCTACGTAATCTTTCTTGGGATGTTCCGGAGTCGGATAAGCAACGACAGTCGGCACACACTCCTCCCCGGAGCCCTAGGAAACAGTCCAGGACCGGAACTAAGGTTCGGAGTGCTCCACAGGCTGCAAGTGTAGCCTCCGAAGCCGATGAGGCAAAGGACACGATCAACGGTACTTCTGTTCCTGGTGAGGTACCCAATACTGAAGAGGCTGGTGGAAGGACTTGGGCTGCCCCAGATGTAGAGGCTATGGACATTGATATGGAATCGCCACCCATGCCAAAGAAAACACCTGCCGGTGGTGCGAAAAACGCAGGTTATCCGGATCTCAACAATGTCGCTCAAGAGGCGACTGCTACAAATGCGAAGGCCCAGCAACCGAAAGCTGATGGCAGCGCGTCAAATACAGAGACGCGCACTCCACTTTTTGACCTCGAAAATCTTCGCAACACTGCACCATTCACAAGCACCAACAGCGGTGGCATTGAAAACCTAGATGATGTCCACGCTACATTACCATTTGAGTCTCGCGCAAAGCAACAGACTACAACCAAGCGTGATATTCGGCCCCGCGAACTCAAGCTACCTAATCCCCCCAAACGACCATGGGCACCTCAGACTGTCGCCCTTTCACCAGGCATAATGGTCCTCCCGCTTGAGAAATGGCAATACTACGTCTCACAAATGGGCACCTACATGCACGATTGGAACGTCTTCAACCGCAAAATTCTGTCCCATTTCAACGCCCGCCAAGAAGCCGTTGAGACAGGCCTCTCATCCAATTGGATCAGCGCAGTCGGAGACTCTACTCGCCTGAAGCTTAACGAAGACGACGAGGCTGATGAGAGTGCTGAGACTCGCGCGGCCGACACATTCGATTTAGACGAGACTCTTGTTCCTGGAAGTGGCAAGGGCGGATTCAGCGCTTACTTGCGCGGTATCGAAGAAGATGTTCAGGTGCGGAAGCATTGGGAAGTTGCATGTGAGATGCATCGGGAGTGTATTCTAGATCTTGGACGACTCCGAGAGTGGATTCGGAATGGTGGGAAAGTGGTATCTTTCTCTGCTATATGACGAAGATGATTGATGAGACTTGGAATATCTACCTACAGTGGCTTTTGGCGTTAGGTTAGAGGGTCCTGCATGTTGGCATGGTGTTTTTTTGTTCGGTGAATAATACCCTGGATATTTTGCATGAAGTATAGTTCGGGATCTTCCATCCCTCCTTTTGTCGAGCGCAGGTCACGATGGATGTCGGACTTTGATGCCTAATAATGGTCATACTATGTCAATGCGCAACGAATAATTCATGTGATTGGGTCATGGGCCCATTCTATTACATTTGAGCTCTGTATCATAGTACTCTTCAATCCCCATACTTTGGGGTCAATATGCTTGCGTGCTCCGTACCTGGTACATAAATGCGCCTGGATAATAGTTATTCCGGTCATTTGCACCTCAGGCAGCAAGACAGCAAACGCTTCCAGGTATCATACATACAAATATTACACGGGAAAAAATAAGTAAAAATACCGATCCCATACTGTGAGTCACTGTACAGTACAATAAAAAGTCAATTCCAGCAAGACTAGAGCTTCGCAATTTGAAAACAATTGAATCAGAAGTACATGGTGAGTCAATAACTTGTTCTCCACAATGTTTTTACAGGATTGCCCCAGCATTGATGCAAAAAAGCACACCGGGACTGACCGAACACCCAGATTGCCTGCCCCGCCAGCCGAAGCCGGACTTACTTCTCTTCCTCTCTAATCCTCCGCCACTAGCACCACCTTCCGTTCGCCAATTGCCAATCGAAGCGCAGCAATTGATTTTTATTGATAACACACCCCGCGTTTAGCAAACATGGTGTCCATCGTTCTTGGAAGTCAATGGGGAGATGAAGGTGTGTCAACCCCGCCAGTGCCCCGCGCTGTCAAGTGCCGAAGAACAAGACATCTTGAACGAGCGGGCGTGGTCATGAACGTCGAAACGGCTACTAACCCAGGTTTCTTGTGATGGATAGGAAAGGGAAAGATCACAGACATGCTGTCGCAGCAGGCGACACTGTGCTGCCGTGCTGCCGGTGGCCATAGTACGTGTGACCTATGCAGGTTTAATTTTCAACACCCTTTGGACGAGAAAAAGTCCGGGGGTATTGAAGGTCCAACCCAAACCAACTGACTTGTTTTCCTTTTGAATTATAGACGCCGGTCACACTATCGTTCACGAGAACGTAACCTACGACTTCCACATTCTGCCCTCCGGCCTCGTCTCGCCTAAATGCATTAACCTCATCGGCGCCGGAACTGTTTTCCACGTTCCCAGCTTCTTCAAGGAGCTCGGTCACCTTGAGTCTAAGGGTCTTACCTCCGCTGGTAAGCGCATCTTTGTCTCCGACCGTGCGCACGTCTGCTTCGACCTGCACTCCGTCGTTGACGGTCTCGAGGAGAAGGGTCTCGGTGGTCGCAAGGTCGGTACTACTGGTAAGGGTATCGGTCCCTGCTACAGTGACAAGGCTGCGCGTCGCGGTGTGCGCGTTGGTGAGATTCTCGACGAGGTGACCTTCGAGCGCAAGCTTCGCACTCTTGACACCTCCTACCGGGCACGTTTCGGTGACCTGGACTACGATGTCGAGGAGGAGATTGCGCGGTTCAAGGTATGGAGAAATAAAATATGGAGCCTGATCATATCTTGCTATGATACATACATAAATAGAGCTTGATATGTTGTGTGGATGTATACTCACCTTTACCAGGAATACCGCACCAAGCTTGCGCCCTACATCGTCGACCAGCTCGAATTCCTGCAGGAGCACAAGAACTCCCCCAACACCCTGGTCGAGGGCGCCAACGCCCTGATGCTGGATCTTGATCACGGTACCTACCCCTTCGTTACCTCGTCCTCCACCGGTCTCGGTGGTGCCGTTCAGGCTTTGGCCCTGAACCCCCAGAGCATCAAGAGCGTCATTGGTGTCCTGAAGGCCTACACCACCCGTGTCGGCTCGGGACCTTTCCCCTCCGAGCAGCTCAACGCCGAGGGCGAGAAGCTGCAGGCCGTCGGCCGCGAGTTCGGTGTGACCACTGGCCGCAAGCGCCGCTGTGGTTGGTTGGATCTTGTGCTCGCCCGTTACTCGCACGCCATCAACCACTACACCGCTCTTAACCTTACCAAGCTTGATGTTCTCGACGACTTTGATGAGATCAAGGTTGGTGTTGCGTACAAGTTGCCCTGCGGTAAGCGGACGACTGGGTCGTTCCCCGCCGATCCTAATGTTGTGGAGAAGATCGAGGTTGAGTATGTTACCCTGCCTGGTTGGAAGTCTAACACTATGGGTGTTACGAAGTATGAGGATTTGCCGGCCAATGCTCGTGCTTACATTGAGTTCATTGAGCGGGAGATTGGTGGTGTTCCTATCAAGTGGATTGGAACTGGTCCTGCGCGGGAACACATGATTGCTCGCGAGTAAGAACAAAATGGGGGACTTGACTTGTGATGATTTTTTATGTTTCCCTTCATTGTAAGTATCTGCCTGCCGTAGATTTTCTCTTTTTATGTTATTTCCCTTGGGTTGGGTAGTATATTGGGCTACGTGATCGAATTATATATACCTTTCATCCCATAGTTCTACCACATTGCACACACTACTTAGTCTTACCATAGAACCAAATTCCAAGTTTGACTCGAAGCAAGAAGCCCCCAGCACTACAGTACATTAATAATGAATCAAGTTGATCAAAGCTGGAGCAGATAATTTTACCTAAAGTCGCAATATTGAGAGAGCTAGATTTGGCATAGACCCATAATAATACATTGTAAATTGATTATAATCTTTAATACAGAGGCCCGTGATCAAAAGTTCCAGTATAAGACAAGAGGTGAGAAGTCGGAAAATGGGGAATCGACATATGATACATAGATGCCAAACGAAAAGAGACAGAACGCCGCCCAGATGCGAGGATGGGAAATCTCTATCAGGTTTCTTTTGTCACCAGGAACAGAAAAGCGACAAAGAGAGAAAAAATGAATGCTTCAATCACACATATCATCACTTTTAAAGACCGTCCCCGATTCCTAATCGAATCGAGGAAATCTATTCAAAGAAACGGGAGGGGAAGCCACGCTCTTCACGGTCACCGCGAGATTCACGGTCGCGTCCGAAAGAGCGAGATTCACGATCACGCCCGAAAGAGCGCGAGTCACGATCACGTCCAAATGACCGAGAACCACGGTCACCGCCGTAAGAGCGCTCACGATCACGTCCAAATGAGCGCGAGCCACGATCACCGCCAGATGAGCGAGAGCCACGGTCACCGCCGAAGGAGCGGGAGCCACGATCACCGAAGCCACCAGATTTGCTCTCATACGAATCTCCACGCGAGGCGCCGAAAGAACGAGAGTCATCGACATTGACCTCGGGGATTCTCCGGAGTCCAAGGTTCTTCACAAGGGCGGAGCTAAGAGCCGGGGGCTCGGCCAGGCGGTAGCCGTGGACGGCGAGTCGGTTGAGAATAATAATAGCGTTCCGTTTGTTGTCAAAAGTCTGGAGAGTGGAGCCCAACTGAGCGCGGAAAGTGACGAACTTGAGGTCTGCGTCCACCTTGGTCATGGCTGTGTTGATGAGCTCAATGGCGTTGCGCGCGGCCGGAGGGGCAGACTCAAGGTCCTTGGTCATGTCCACAAGGGAAGTTTGCAGAGTCTGCTTATCCTGGTTGACAGGCATACCATGACACTTGTCACTCAAGCTCTTAATCTGACTGGGGTGAATGAAGACCCAGCCCTCACCGGTCTTACCAGCACGAGCGGTACGGCCAGTTCGGTGAATGTAAGTCTCCCGATCGTTGGGAACACCGATCTGAATGACATGGGTGACATCTGGGAAGTCCATACCACGTGCAGTCACGTCGGAAGAGAAGAGGATAGCCTCACTGGCACGTCGGAAAGCCTCGGCGGCGTAGGTTCGCTGGTTCTGGCTTAGTCGCGAGTGGATCTCCAGGAAACGCATGCGACCCAGAGGGGCGGCAGAGGTATCCTCACGGCTGCCGCGAGGCAGGTTCTGGAAAGCCCGAGCAGAGAGTTGGACCTCACTGGTGGAGTTGAAGTAGACAATCGCCTTGAACGGCCGCAACTCCGGGTCTTGCTGCTGACGGGCCTGGTATTCTTGGGCAAGCTCGAGGACACCAGGAAGAGCGTTCTCATAGCCCGGCTGGAGAACAAACTTCTGTGGCACCTTCAAGTGGACAGGGGTTTCGTCATCACGAACTGTCTTGACATACTTGTAATCCGGTCTCATGGTACGGTTAACCATCTTCAGAACTTCCTTAGGAACAGTGGCGGAGAACATCAGGGTCTGGCGCTGGACCTGGAGAGGATCCGGAAGCAGAGCCTGGATCTCATTAATTTCATCAGAAAAGCCTTGGTCAAGGAGACGATCGGCTTCATCCAGGATGAGGGTGTTCAGCATGGGAGTCGATACGCCGCTGCGAGGATCGGAAAGGATGTCCTTGATACGACCGGGGGTACCGACGAGCAGGTGGCAACCCTCGCGCTGGATCTTTTGAAGACCGGCTCTCTTCTGTGTGCCGCCTACAGCGGTCTGGACCAACAGCCCAGTGCCGGGGATCATCTTCCGGGCTTCCGCAGCGATCTGCTCGGCAAGCTCACGAGTGGGTGAGATGACAAGGGCCCTGATATCATCCGAGTTGGCTCTTGGACCACGTCTGTGTGCCTGGCTTTGGCCGTTCAGTTTGAGAGAAGGGTCGTTGAGGATGTTCTGCATGGTTGGGAGAAGGAAGGCAAGGGTCTTTCCGGTACCGGTCTTGGCCTGCGCCAGGCTGAAGAAGTTGTCAGTAAATGAATCCATGTCAAGTCATATGGCTCACATGAACCTACATATCATCGCCTTTCAGCATTTGGTGGATTGTCTCGCTTTGGACAGGAGTCATGGTCTCCAAACCCATGCGAGCAGGGTGTGTGAGGTTTCGGACGATCATTGGGTCAATAATATTGTTTTCCTTAAGATCGGCAAACTTGGTGATGAGCTCTTCCTCCTCAATCTCGGTGGGCACCGGTCCTGCGGCAGCCTTGAGGGCAGGGAATGAGGTCTGGAACGACCGGCTCAGACCAGGAGTCCGGATAGCCAGAGGCTGCAGCTTGGACAGTTGGGGAGCCCATCGTGCAGAAAGGGTGCGAGGCACAGATGTGCGGAGCGCCTGGGAGACGCCAAATTGGCGGAAAACACCAAGCATAATGGATAATATTAATGTGATGGAAGGATGGCTGTCGCAAGTCCCGTCGCGCAGAAAAAAAGGGAAAATTAAAACATGGATCACATGATGCTTATCGATAAGGGAGAGGCGACGAGTACCTTTCTGCCTGAGGCCGCAAAAAAACTGCTTATCTATTTATTAGTAGTGGATTCGTTTAATTGGACGCATTGTTCTCCCATTCTTTTTATTATTATTCTGATCAATTGCACCAGCATAAACCAACAATCGAGACTTTACTTTGACATACTGAATAGCTTGATTTGAGGTTTGGACTCGGTGATCACGCTGAGTCAGCGGTTCCCCCTTGAACTGACGCGGCGCACTGCTTATTTTGTGACAAACTTCCCCGTGGGCAGAACCAGTGATAAGACTTGAAATATATGAATTCAAGACAAACTTACTTTATCAGCTATATTACGGGATGGAGTGGGGGCTTGATGGCTGCGGAATCCCGCTATAAGAAGACTAGTCGCCCAACCACATAAGAGTATAATTTTTTTTCCAACCCCTAGCTTCTTCACAACCTTTTCCCGCTGTTCATGATGGCTCCCATCAACATTGTGATCATTGGAGCTTCCACCGTGGGCCTTACCGCAGCCCACGATTTGCTGCGCGATGCCCGTAACTTGAATGCTAAGGTCACCCTGATCAATCCTTCAGCAACCTTTTATTGGAATATTGCTGCTGCCCGTATTGTGGCCAAGCCAAACGCTTTTCGAGCGGGAGAGTTCCTCCTTCCCATCAAGGAGGCTTTCACTCATTATCCGGCGGATTCATTTGAATTTATCCCTGGAACTGCGACTGACATTGATGCATCCTCCAACACCGTATCCGTAACCCCTAATGAGGGTGAAGTCATGTCGTTGCCATACGACCACCTCCTTATCGGCTCGGGTGCCACCACTCCTGCCACCACTGGTCAAGTCACAGGTGACTCCATTCCGTTCAAGCCCTCTGGGCGTGACGATTTGAAGGAGGTCATCGAGGCAGCTCAGAAGCTAACCACAACTGCCAAGAACATTGTCATCGGTGGAGCAGGCCCAGTCGGAGTTGAGTTGGCTGGTGAACTTGCCGAGGCCGCAGCAGATAACTCCAGTGACGTTTCCATCACGCTGGTTTCTGCGACAGACCGAGTCTTGCATACACTCAAGTCATCTGCCAGCTCTGCTGCAGAATGTCAACTCAAGAAAAGACACGTCAAGGTGCTTACTTCCACGCGTGTAATTGGAGTCGAGGCTTCAGGGGACTCCTCCTGGATTGTCTCCCTAGACAGCGGGGAGAAGCTTACCACCGATCTTTACATCCCTACCACCGGCTTCATCCCGAACAACAGCTTCATTCCGGAGCCTTTCCTCGCCACCGAGGGATGGGTTAGAGTCGACAAGGAATTGCGCGTGCAGTCCTCAGAAAGCTCAGGCCCTTTGCCGATTTATGCGGCAGGTGATATCACCACCAACTGGATTCGTCTTGGATTCAAGGCGGCTGAACAGGCTCATATTGCGGCCCATAACATCAAGGTGGACATTCTGAAAAGGGGCGAACGCAAGTCTTATGACCAAGGCGATGGTGTCAATATGGTCGTTCCAATTGGTTCGAATGGTGGCACTGGACAGGTCTTTGGCTTCGTGCCATGGGCCTTCATGGTCAGGATGATCAAGGGTAAGGACATGTTCTTGTCCAAGGCCCCAGATTACCTGGCTGGCAAGGTCTAAATCGAATTTTGCACGTTGGACTGGTTTATGAGTTGTTAATGGTTGATACCTTTTGAGCATTGCGTTTGTCTATAGTTAATAGTTGAATGATCACACGAGACATTATTTTAAAGATTTGCGCCATACAGGGATCTTAAATACGCGAAATAAGTACTTATGCACCCCAGAGAAGACTATAGTAAGCATGCAATCTAAGATGGTCTCCAAGCTAAATTGTGAGAGCCAATGACAGAAAACTCTGTCGGAGATTGATCCACTTCGCCTCCCCGCTATCATGCCAGAACCGGTAGTCAGCTCCGTGATGAGAAATCAAAATAGCGACTTTTGATTTTCTCTTGCTAACGGACAGATTTCTCAGGTTGTTCTGAAGAACGGTACTCCTGCCTGGAATGGCGGTGTCCGTCGGCCAGATTGCTTTTAGTCCCTCCGAGCTCCACTATGGCCGGCCAAAGGGTCTCTCCGCTGAAAAGGTTGCCCAGGGTACTGGAGAGCTTTTCTAGAGCTTGCATGGTGGCGAGCATGGTTCTCTTGGCTGTCTTACAATTATGAAGAGCATCTATCTCTGTTTCGGGAATTTTATACCTATGATGCCATTCTTACTGGATCTAGAAGTGGATCTGGGACGTTACCATCCAAAAAATCTATAACCTTCTCGAGAAGCTTCTCCGGGACCCATCGGCAAAGCACTACATTGCTTTATAATAATTATGACGAATCTTGATTTTTGCCTCGGTCCCCTTCGTGCCCCGCTAGAAGGTCGTACATGGTCCCATCTTTTATAAATCCAAGTGTTGCTCGATTTTCCTCCATAAATTAATCATCACTACTGCATACCACCCTACCACCTCACCTCACTTCCTTTATCTCAGCCACCGACCCAATTACATCATGTCGAACAAGGCACTCTTCTTCAGCAAGATCCCCCAGCCCCAGCAATACCCCAAGGCTGGCGAGGATCTCACCATCAAGGAGGTCGGTTACGGCCCCGACGTTGCTGCTCCCGAGAACGGTGTCGTCCTCCAGTCCCTCTACAGCAGCTTTGACCCCTACATGCGGGGTCGCATGCGCTCTCCCGAAGTCAAGTCCTACTCTCCTCCCTTCGCTCTTGGCCAGCCCGTGGACACTGCCACTATTGGCAAGATCCTGCGCTCCAACAATGACAACTACAAGGAGGGCGATCTGGTGATCGGTCACCTGCCTTTGCAGGAGTACGTCGCGGTAGACAGCCCTAACATGGTGCGCATCCGCAAGATCGAGAACCCTCTGGGTCTGGAGGATATCCGCGTTTTCCTGGGTCCCCTGGGCATGCCGGGATTGACTGCGTACTCCTCCCTGTACGACATCGGCAAGCCCAAGAAGGGCGAGACCATCTTCGTCTCTGCTGCCAGTGGTGCCGTCGGCCAGCTGGTCGGCCAGCTCGCCAAGCACGAGGGTCTGCGTGTGATCGGATCCGTTGGCTCGGATGATAAGCTCGACTACATTTTGAACGAGCTTGGTTTCGATGGCGGTTTCAACTACAAGAAGGAGAAGCCTGCTGATGCGCTCAAGCGTCTGGCCCCCGAGGGCATCGATATCTACTACGAGAACGTTGGTGGAGAGCACCTGGAGGCTGCGCTGGATGCCTTGAACAACTTCGGTCGTGCCGTGGTCTGTGGCATGATCTCGCAGTACAACTCTGCGCCCTACCCGATCTCCAACCTCATCAACATTGTTGCCAAGCGCCTTACACTGCGTGGTTTCATTGTTGGTGATGCGAACATGGGCCCTATTTACACCAAGGAGCACCAGGAGAACGTGCAGAAGTGGATCAAGGATGGATCTTTCAAGGTTCTGATCCACGAGACTGAGGGTATTGATAATGCCGCTCAGGGTCTGATTGACATCTACCACGGCAAGAACATGGGCAAGGCTGTGTTGAAGTTCTAAACGGGGAGTATCGGACAAAAAATAATGGAATAATGAAACACCTGCAATGATATCGAATTTTTTTTGTTATCTATAGTCAAAAACAGAACAATAACAGGGATGAGCCGGTTATGTGATCGAATCTTGTATTTCTAGATTGGACATAGATGAACCGACGATAACATCAAATTGACACCCTAAAAACGTTCAAGACCACTGCGTTATAAGACTCAAGCCCCCGATACTCGTAGCTTCACTCCAAAGTACCTCTAAACAGTACATAGTTCAATCCCCAGATCCGGCAAAGAGTTTAGTCCCGCCCGCATCGGCCAATCTCGGCTGCGCGGGAACCTCTCGACCAATCACCTGACCCGTAAATGGATGACATACCGAGTCGGATTCCCGAGGTCCCAACTTCATCCTTGTGCACGAAGTTGACCAAAGAACACTCCATCTCCCCTCCAACTCGTCACAATGGCTTCATTCGCGCGTCCGTCGCTGCTCCGGCAGTCCCTTGCGACCCGGTCGCCCTTCATGCGCCAGAATGTTGGCGTGTCGCAGGCTGTGGCTTTCCACGCTTCCGCCCGCAAGCAGATCCTGCCTCCTCAGCCCCGTAAGTTCAGAGCATGACTGTGGTGTTGGATGACCGGAAGACCCTCCGCAGACTATCTGGTGGTTTGGATGTGCTTGCTAACCGCTTTTTTGGCCTTTCACAGAGAGCATTCAGGGAACCAGTATGTTCTTATCCCGTACCGATTTTACACTTCCGACGATTGTCCCGCTTCGATTTTGAATGATGTCTACTCTTCACGGCTATTGGAAACCGATTGTCGTCAAAAGCGGCGGAGCATGAACCGAAGTTCAATTGAGGCTATGATGGGTACTAATCGACCATAACAGTGAACGACCCCGTCCCGGTCCCCTCGCCCAGCCCGATGCACGGCAGCTACCACTGGACCTTCGAGCGGTTCGTTACACCATGAAAACACTCTGGAACGGGGTGGTATCTTTTATTGGAAGTCCGGACTGCTGACATTCAAACTTTAGCGCTGTCGCTGTCGGTCTCATCCCCCTCAGCATCGCTCCCTTCGCCGCCGGCTCCCTCAACCCCGTCATGGACGCCGTTCTCTGCACTCTCCTGGTCGCTCACTCCCACATCGGATTCGAGTAAGCACCCGCCCACACCCGCAGCCCGAAACCTTGGTTTGTATCTATGAACGGATTCTGACATCATAATAGGGCCGCCATTGTCGACTACTTCCGTCCCCAGCGTGTGCCCAAGACCTACTCTCTCTGCCAGTGGCTTCTGCGCGCCTTCACCCTGACCACCGCGGTCGGTTTGTACGAGTTTGAGACCAACGACGTTGGTGTTACTGAGGCTCTGCGTCGCATCTGGAACGCATAGAGTGGAGTCGTGGATTTGAAAAGGGTTGTTTTGGGTTCGTTTTTAATCTGGTTCCAGGCGTTTCGCCTATGTATATGTCCTTGAAACACAATTTCATTTGTCTCGCCCGAATAAATCGGTGCTGAATACTTCAAAATTTGTTTTCAAGTTGGATGGTTTGGGAAGTGCTGTGGTGGTCGTAGAGTTGACTACGGGCCTTTTTAGTTCTACATACTGGAAACTAGTTTGACAAGCACATCAGTATGTCATCCGACAAGCTACCGGTGTTTACTTTCACCTATGGAAGCATACCTCGTGCTTCAAAATGACGCGAACCTAGGCAGATTCCTAGGCAATGCCATCTCGCCAGCACCGTGACCTGTCGTTTCAAGCTAGACTACCTCGGATAACAATCTTCTATGGCAAAAACTTGCAACTTGACCATAGATATTGTGGCAAGACCGAGGTAGTATGTTCCATTTTATCTATCCCAAATACAAATTGCAGAAAACCGCTCCGCAGACAAGTCACATCTAAATGCTCGAATATTCAACAAGAAAGCCATAATATAAGCAAACCTACCTAGTAGGCACCAATCACTCATCCTCGTCCTCATCAGCCATCTCCAAAAGTGGATCTCCCTCCAAACGATCCTCATCATCAGCCTTCTGCATAACAGTCTCAATAACCTTCAAGGTAGCCTTGAGCGGCAACCCAATGACATTATCATAACTTCCCTCAATCTTCTCGATAAGAATCGACCCAAGTCCCTGCAATCCATACCCACCCGCCTTATCCGCACCCTCGCGCGTCCGCACATAAGACATAATCAAATCATCAGTCACATCCCCATCAAACCGCACATTCGTCTCCTCAACCACGGTCTCCACCGCATAACCGGGTTGCCGCGCACTAGCAAGCGGAGCCATAGCAACGATGGCAGTGTACACCTTGTGATCGCGTGCGTCGCGCAAAGCACGGAGCATAGAGAAATGGTGTGCCTCTGAGCGGGGCTTTTCCAAAATGGACTCCGTAGTAACATCAACGACGATAGTATCAGCAGCAATGATGAGAGCAGGCTCGCCTTTCACTTCGTTGTCGATTTCCTGGGTGTACACTGCCTGTGCTTTCTTAGTCGCTGTTGCTAGGACGTACTCGACCGGTCCGAGGGACTTGGGGAGGTCTTCCTCCGCGTTTGAGGGGAGAATTTCTATGTTGGGGAGACCGAGGAAGGCGATTATTTGGCGTCTGCGTGGGGATTGGGAGGCGAGAATTACTCGTTTACTGCGCAGATCGTTGAGCGCGGGCAGGGAGAGTGGTGGTGGGCGTGGGAGTGCCCCGCGGCCTGGGGCTGGTGTGGGTTTTGTGGATGGGTCATAGGCGGGCGGGGAGTCGATTGGGACCTCATCGTCGAGGAGGTTTGTCTTGGAGGTTGACATGGTTGTTCCTTGTGGGTTTTGAGGGCTTGGAGGTTGTTGAAGCTGGGTTTCGAGCTTTGCGGATGATGCTTGTCGTGCCCGAGCGTTTTCCCCACAGTGATCATTGCCTGATTGGCGGCAGACCGTCTTGGTCTATAAAAACAGCAAATTTCCACTTAGTGATCTGCATTGATTATTTGAATTTCGGTTAGAGTCGCAGACTTGATTAATGAGAGTGACCGATTCATGAGGCCAAGGATCAAGAGCCTTGGAACCCTGGGAGGCATGCGTTAGACCTATACGCCAATGCCATGTAGTCAAAATCAAAAATATTGGCCTATAATGAGGGCATTAGGAAACCTATGGTGCTTATGTACTTGCTATCACATTATTTAGTTACGCTACCATCACCAAAACTTCCGCTGACCTCTCGCTACATATCTGGTTACTCTTGCGAGCCCAATTGGAAATTCAATGCCAATGGAGTCAAGTTCTGTGGCTGGCTAGCGAATGGGAAGGACTTCAGCCTACACATTGATATTCCCAGGGCTGCAATGTAATACAGAGTCTGGGCACGGATGATGAATGTTGAGGTATTAGATTCAAAGCAAACCGCTACAAAACGCCCTCATGCCCAGGTGGCTCCAAAGCCACACCCATGGATAAAGTGACATACATTCTGCCTATCCCAGAATATACAAAGAACGCATATGGAGACAAGAAGTATTAAAAAGCATTGACACCAAAAGGAACCCACCACATGTTGGCGAAGGAGGACCACAATTGACCGGAGCCATCGAACGGAAGCGACAGTTAGGGTAATTGTCAAAGAAGACCATAAGTTGAGATCATTATCGTACCGGCCTGAAGGTTCGATTTGACAGCAAAAAAGATTCGTTGGAATGCATGATTCATTTTCATTTTCGTGTGGGTGAAGAGGCCCGCCTCCCGAACCTCGGCACATCCATGAAGCGCCAAGGTCATACACCACAATGGCAAAAGGGATGCAAAATACCACAAATAATATTCCAAAATGAGTGAACCCGCCAGATGAAGGGTAGACAGAGATTGAAGTGCCTATGAAGGGCGCAGCGAGTCGTCCACATGGCCGCCTTTTCTTTCAACCTCGGCAATGAGGTTATGTCGCTCTTGCAGCTTCAGATGCATGAAATCCACTGTCTTTTGCAAGACAACGCTCTCGCTGCGACCTTGTCCCTCCAGACCAGGGACCAATTCTGTTAGGCGATCGAAGCCCTCTCTGATTGCGGCACGGCGCTTCTGTTCAGATGCGATGTGATTGTTCTTCTTCTCTTGGTCGGTCAAACGAGGCTTCTCCTTATCCTGGCCCGACACAGACTTAGACGCCGCTGTGGGGGTCGAGGAGGACCGGTCATTTTCGTCGTCAGGGTTCATTGTGGAGCGAAGTGGATCGGCTAAACGGAAGAGGCTGGCGATAGGTATGAGGGGTGGAAGGTAGATGAAGATACGCAAGATTGACGTTAGGGTAAAGTTATCACGTGCCCTGTGCTTCCTTTCTCCAAAGACCTTAAACGTGCCAGAGTCGCGGAGAGAGTGAACAGGGGACCGAGCCGAGTGGGAGAGGACAAAACGCGATAGCGATAAGCGTTGAATGCGGAGAAACCCAAGTCGGAATCTCGAGTCTTGGCACTCTTAAACGTCATAGTGAGGGTCCACATCACACCCATTTTGCTTTTTTTCTTCTTCTGCTTCTATTTCACTTCTTTTTCTTGGTACTTCACTCAAGTACATTCATATTGAAGCTGCAGACCTGCGGGTCAATCGCCCCAGACTGTCATTTTCCTCCCATCAGAATCCGCCTTGTTCTTACCCACCACGCCAATCTTTGTACTACCCTACAACAATGGGCCACGAGCCACTACATGGATCATGCTCCTGTGGTCGCAATGAGTACCAAATTATCATCCCCGATGATGTGACTGAGCATGCATCAGTCTATTTCGACAGCAGCAGAGACAATCGTACGAGTTACAAGCTCCCAACTCTACTTCGCCTCCCGCTTATACATCATTAGGTCGATTGCACGGCACGCCATTAACAGCTTGGCTGCGAGTCCCACTGGACTGGTATCAGTCTCACACTACATCCTTCTACCCCGACGAGACTCACGAAGCGATTCGTCGCATCTTCACACCACATCATGCTCCACAAACTCAGCGCATCTTCTGCGGCTTTTGCGGTACGCCCTTGACCTTCTGGACTGAAGAGCCTGCTGAAGAGGCAGACTTCATGTCGATTGCAATTGGAAGTTTGTTCGGCGATGATCAACATGCTTTGGAGGACCTTAATCTATTGCCAGAGGACTTTGACGAGGATGCACAGCATGCCGATATCTTGACGTCATCTGCCTCCTCTGCTCTCACACCGTCACGGGAAGACACATCAGTTATCGTACCATCTTTCTCCGACTCGCCTGCCATATCTCGAAGCTTCCGACATGGCAAGATTGATGGCATACCCTGGTTTGAAGAGATGGTGGAAGGAAGTCGTCTTGGTCGATTGATGCGCGCGAAACGTGGAAAGGGAATCAGCGATGATAAATCTACAACTTTTGAATGGGAGATTAGTGAATGGCATGACGATGGTACTCGTGGAATCGCACAAGAGGAATCCGATTCCAGCGATAAAGCCACTGGGAAAAGAAAAAGAGGAAACCAAGGGGATGCCCAGCCTCGATCAAAAAGAGCATGAGACAAAAAAATTGATGTACTTTTGAATTAGCTCGGCGCAATGTGATCCTTGTCCAAGCACAGTATCTTGATGTTTTGGGCGTTGCTTTCATAGTGCGCTGTACATGAGTGTTAATTCCGCGACCCAGATATTTATGTCAAGCTCTATTCGCGGGTTAACTTAGTGACATTGTTCTCCTTCGGGTGAACAAAGACTCAGTCATATACTGGACTTGCAGAAAGAATCACATATTGGTGCCATATAGTAACGCGTGGAAACATTCCATGGGTGCCTAATCTTATCGAAACCGATTGAGCCAGTCAAATTGAAATAGGTATAGCGTCATCCGGGGGCTCACTGCCCTGAGTCTGTAAAAAGGAAGCGCGTCCTCGAGGACGATCGCTCACTGTCCCTTATTTCTATTCCAAGCCAAGGCTTCAATGCCCGTCGATTATCCGCTCTTTAGCACCCGCCGTCTTATCAGTAGTAAGTGATCATTTCTGCCAATCAAAAAAGCTAGGAGATAACGTTTGTGACGGAATTTGATCATTTGATTGCCAATGATCCAACGTCTCTCCTGGTAGCAAGGATTGCGCGTCGTCACGGGCAAACGTGGTGTGATGCTGATACTTCCTCATGCTGAGCATTTTGGCTAATCGTTTGCTCCGTACAGGACATGGAGAGACAACATCTTTCTGACCAGTGCATTGCGAAGGAGGACAATGGGCCGTTCCTGTGGCAGACTCCTCTGCCAATACCCGCCAGCAAGAAGCCGAGCAAACTAGGCCAGCTTCTTATGACAATCAAACAACGGGTTCGTTGCATCTTATTTTGCCAGATAGCAACTATAAAACGTGCTGCGGAGGTTTCTGGGTGGAAATACCGGTCAAGCAATGCAAATCGCTGACATGCTTTGGCAAATAGGTTGCAGCAGGATTCGGAAGCTTGCGCTGGGGCAGACGGGCACAGCCTGTAAGCTAGCGTGAAAAGTCTTTCTGGGGATCTTCGGGAAGACATACGCTGATAATATAGAAGGAAATCGCTGAGGTCTTTCAAGGGGACGCTGACAGTTCTATCACCACCGGAGTATGGAGCCCAGTTAGTGGCGACGCGACTGGATCATCTCTGGTGCGCGCAATGTGGAAGCGTTGGAAAAATCAGCTGGGCTTGAAGAGGGATGGAAGACAGGGTGAAGCGCATAATACGGGATGGCCTCGTGTTTTGTCCCTTTATCGGGAACTGCAAGAGCGACGCTTGGTTGTCGATATGATGGCCCGTGTTGATGACTATGAGATCCGTGAAACCCCCATGTCGCCTACACTTTCGTTCCGGAGCCTCTCCTCAGAAGCCTTCCCCTTCCATCAGTTCCCGCAGCGGGATGCGTTCGATGAGACCCTGGGATGTGTAGATATTGAGGCTGGCCGGTCCCCGATGGTCTTTCAACTTGGCACTCTCTCTGCCATCGAGGGACAATACCATGCGGTCATCGACCAGAACTTGTGGTTTGAAGTCGGCATTTACTCGCCCGCTATCTGTTACACAGACTCAATCTCGAGTCTTGACCTTAACGATGCAGGCCCAAGCTGGGTAAACGAGCCTGAAGGCTCAAGCATGAGTGACTTTATTCAGAGCATAAACTAAGGCAAGTAATGAAGGATGATGCCTCCTATACGCAGTCGCATACACAGTGGGCGTATGCTTTCTAGAAGGCACTGGATATTCTGGGTGTAATCACTGCTAAAGTGTTCTTTGGATTAGTCTAAGGACTATGTACATTTGGCTTAGCTCAGCCTAAATGGAAGGTAAGTTGGAGCGAACGGTGAAGAAAGGTACGTGCTTCATTCACTTCCTATTTCTAAACCTATTTGTTGACATCGCTTAGCATCTGTCTCGTCCCACAACCCTCGACTACCACCCTCGTTACCCCACGAACAAACACGCTGTACGATTCTGAGAAAGATTGGTTCATAATGGTGAAGAAAATGCTTCAGTCTGCAAGCGGTCGTGGTACGTTGTTTTGTAATTCATGACACCATTGGTAGTCATACTAACTTGAGACTTGAAGGCACTCCCTCCTGTTATTCACCCAACTCTCCTTTCTCTCTCCGCCGCCGTGATTCTGGCTCTCGAATTCCCCGCCCTACTACGTCTGCGGCTGCTCATCTGGATGACTTTGCTCTGAGTGATCTAGAGGATTGTGATCTCTCTGATATCAGTGATACCTCACCTCCGGGATCCCCTAATGTTGATGAGCGTCCTCTGCTTAAAACTGCAATCCCTCTGCCTCTTCGACAAGAGGAAAACAGGAGACGACTACCTCTGGAGAATCAAGCCACCGGGCAAGCAGCAAGCGTAAGGCTTGTAAATGTCAGCCGAGGCAACTCGCGGGCCAGCAATGCAGAGTCCACCTGGGACATTTCTCACGGCAATCATCAAGCACCCACCGAGCTATCAACCATCAGTGAAAACTCGAGATTCAGCACAACAACAGTTTCAGACTACCATAGTGTTGTACAGAGTGATAGGCCTATTCTACGCGTGTCCTTGAGTGCCGAAAAGATTATTATGGGCGATAAAGCTCGTTCCAAATCTCTTCCAAACATTACTGAAGAACGCCGATCACGGGGCATCTTCCGTCCACGCATAATTCGAAATATCTCTCCGAGGGACACCTCGAGCAAGATCTTCAGCAAGCCTGATGAGGGGAAATTGGAATTACAACATGACAATTACTACGACACGTTCTTCCCAACAGAGAGAGTTGACACATCCCATTCACCCATGGAGAGCCTAAATGGTGATTTCATCAAGCATGGCTCAGCCTCAGGAACGATCAGTTATGGGACCCAGAACGGGACTGCATACTCAACCCCGGCTTTCCCCCCACGCACTTCATCCTTGAATGCTTTGTCAAGTTTGAACAGCAGCCCTGAGAAAAGTACAGCATGGAGTAAGATCACTACAGTCAAATCGAGTGGTACACTAAGGGCTGCCGAGAATGTCACTTTCCTGGATATCTGCCAGAGCCATCCCGAAGTTGCAGGTAATATCATCCAGACAGGCATCGTCATAAACCCTGACGGCAGCAAGATCATCCAGCCAGAGAAAAGGACACTCAAAACCCCTGCGCCACGAATGTCTCGAGTCATGGGCGGTATTCGCAACGCCTTTTCACGATCACGCTCGGAAAAGCGCTCTAAGCCCGGATTGACATTCGAGATGGTTAATAATACAATCCCAACCTCACGCCCCGTACCTCAGACTCCTACCACCAGTGAGAATGGCAGCCCTAAAAAAAGCTCTAAAATCAGAGTCTTCGGTCCCCAGGTCCTTCCATCCCACCGTTCTGGACAATTTGGGGAGCTTGAAACCAAAGGCCTGGACAGTGTTCGCCAAACGTTGAACGGCCTCGGACGCTTACTGGTTGAAGACGATAATATCGAGCGGCGGAGAGTATGGTACCGAGTAAGTTGGCATCCGTCTTTCTTCTTATCTGAATGCATGTAATGAGCGACAGCTAACATCCATTGCCCCTAACAGCAGTTCATTCGTCTGTACAGTCTCCTTGCCGACTTTAACAGCAGAGACCTTCGGATCGGAGAAGCAGCCTCCCTGGTTGCACAGATGCGCGCCGAAGCATCCCTCCGTAGGTACGCGATGATCCTACAAGTCCACCAAATTTCCCAGGATCACGATGCCTTTTATGCTGCCGATCTGCCAAGTGATCAGATCGTCGAGGATTGGGAGCATACAAGCCGATAGATGTTGCCCCTTCTTTGCGCTATGTTGAAGACCAAAATTCGGATGTGAGTGGCTTATCATGTTTTGTCTACCATCTATCCGTGTGGTCATATGTTTCGAGCTTCTAAAAAATCTTTAATCTGTTATGGTTCCATGTGTATGAATGATGTGTGAACAATTTGCGTGAAACTTTTCGGATCCGAATCTCGATAGATGATCCAACACTATCATCCCACGTTACCCCTTCCAGCATTTTGATCCACATACAGTTCCTGGCCGCCGAATGCACGGTCAGTTATCATGGTTTAGGTCCGTGGTGCATTTGCCGGGGTTATCAGGTATCCATCTGGTATTAGTTCCCTGCATTTAGTAAACCAATCAACGATCAGAAAATCAAAAGGAAAGTTGAAGTACTATGGAAACGTATAGTTATACCACACGAGTAAGTAATTTGTACACTATTATGCCAGAGGTTACATGGAAGCTAGAGTAGAAATAAGTAGCAACGAAAATGTGCAATTATTGATTTTCATATTGTCGCTAATTTAGAAAATCGAGCCACCAACAAAGGAAATAAAAGCCTCCATAAGCCTTTCAAGAAATACTCCAGACCCCGGTAAATAATGCAAAAGGCCGCCAAGCCCAGAAACCTATCTATGAAAATCGATCATCTTTTCTCAACATGTGACCATTTATCTCAAATCTCTTAAGACCGAGAAGACTGAAGGCCACGCTCCTTATCAAGAACCTGGTGCTCACTTCCACGCACACGAAGGGTGACACCAATACCAAGGATGGTAATGACAACAGCGAACTCCATCAGGACACTCATGACCAGAGTAACGGTCTCGTTTCCACCAACCATGCCGAAGGTCTTGTTGTCCAGGAACCAAACGAGGACACCGTAGACCACACGGACAAGGATGAACGGCGAGGAAATGGCGACAGCGAGCAGAGTACGGCTCTCACCGGGCTCGAGACCGCCACGGCGAGCGTTGAGAATTCCGAGCAGGAGGATCATGAAAACCCAGGCGACGATGTAGAGGATCATGCCGATCTTTGCTTCGATGGACGGCTTGATCTCGCCACTGTCTCCCATGTTCAGGGTGATACCTGTGATACAGAGGATCAAGGCGACGATGTTGAGAAGACGGAAAGCGCGGAAAGTTGGGAGCTCTGGGAGACCATGGCCTGTGACCTTCTTGATGGAACCGTCGCTGTTTTGGAATTAGTGTTTGTTGTAAGGTACAAGTGGGGGTTTTGACTTACGCTCGAGAGAGAAGTCCGGAACAGGCCATCAGCATTGGAGTCAGACCGATTGAGCTTGTGACAGCATAGGTGGTGTATAGTGATGTTGAGCTGTTGTCGATTGTTGCGAGGTCACAGCAGGCGCCGATGATGCGGAGGAGAGTGAAGACAGTAAGGAAGATGAAACCGCTGTTTGTGCGGATGCCATGGCGGAAGACAAGGAAGATAGAGACAAAGATGGCGGGGAAGTAGATAATTAGTTGGAGGATTGAGATCCCATTGCTGTAGTCGATCTTGCCCATTGTGTGTGGATTGTGTCAGAGAATGTAGTATAAAGGTTGGATAATGCTTGGTAAAGGTATTCTTCTAGATCCAATGATGGATCTTGAACGAAGATGTAGAGGAAAGCTTGAGAGGTTTGATCTAATAATGGTTACGAACATGGGAAACATAGAATTCTTATATAGAAGCTGACTGGCAACCTGCATTCCCTTTTTCGACTAGCGCTTGTGGCTGTGGCCAACGCTCTCAAAATGAGCCCGATTGGGAAAGCGACCCATTCAAGCAAGAATGACTAGCGCTGACGAGGCATCAACATTTTCTTCCTTAGCGTTCCTTGTCATAAGGCGCAGTTAAGCTTTAACCGCAAACTCTTTCCCTAATCCGGTTGAATTCGCGACGCTATTCCCGATTAGGGATGCATGGCGAGAACTCTAAACCAATCAAACCACGTTGTCATCCTGTACGCAAACAACAGGTTGCGATTGGCTAACATTGCAGTAAGTGGATCATTCTCACCGCGCCCAATCCACAGGGTTTCTGGTTGGTGCTTGTTTGCTGTATGCAACACCAAATCCACACGCTTGACAAAATTCAGCCTTGATGCTACGCTTGAGCAAGAATTAAGCTATCGTCACTGGCGCTATAATTGGAAAACGGAGATCCCGATTGGGGCTTGTTGATCTCTTCCAAAATGTCAAATCCACGTAAATGCCCCTTTCCTAAACGGGTAAGGCTTCTTATCGCCCCCAAAGAAGGATTCGTGAGATATTCCCCGCCTTCCACATGGGCAGTATGATGGGCGGGTGACTGCAGTTTCAAACATATTCTAAAACATTGGTCGACATCACAGGGGACAAATTATGTTGGGAATCTCGATGATCGGTATCGATTGACCAATAGGAGCGACCGCGTACTATGTTATACGGTCCGCATGGCAAGGATGACAGGATTTTAGACTATGAGTAAATGGTGAAACGTGTGTAATTTTTACTGTCCAGTGTCTATAACCCTACGAAGTTCTCCCAGTATAATGTTGCAGATTGTTTATGCAAAGCAAGTGATCATCTTCGCAATACTACATACAAGTTGAATGTCTAGTGTCGGGCAACATCAATTTTTGAAATTGCTGCGACTGGCCATGTGCATTATGGCTTGAAGAGAAAAAAAAGTAAAGCATAATACTTCTTCATATTGATTGCGAACTACTAGGCCCGTTCTTTAGTCGGTAGACAAGGATGCCACAATACTACGGTTCCATGATAATATTATATGGCCCATTTATTGCTCCAAGGTGATTAACGCTGATATCCAACTACCTATAATTCACTCTACCATTGGTTCCTAGACTAAATATTCTTTTTCAAAAACTTTGTATTCCATGTTGTAGAAGCCTCGATTGTGCATATGTTGAACAAAAAGAAAAATGTCATTAGCTATGCATGTCTATAAAACCAAATCGCTCAAAAACGCTTCAAAAACTCAAATAAATCGCTGCAGCTCTTCTTCGGCAATTCCACTTGTCTCACACATTCCCCTAAACACACCTCCCAAGTCCCAGAGCTCACTCGGCGTCCCCAGCTCCAAAATAGCTCCCTTGTCCATAACACACACTCGGTCATAATTGATAATTGTTCGAATACGGTGCGCCACCGTGATCACAGTCTTTCCCTTGAATGCTTCGACCATAGTTCGCTGGATCTTTTCGTCTGTCTCCAGGTCCACACTTGAGGTTGCCTCATCACACACGACAACCTTGCTGTTTCGGACAAGAAGACGTGCTAGACCCAGTTGTTGACGTTGGCCGTGGGAGAAGTTGCTTCCTTCTTCTTCAACGACATCGTCCAGTTGAACGGTTTCAGCTAGCCATGCACCGCGCAGGGCGAGCCAGAGTTCTTCGTCGGTGTGCTTATTCAATGGGTCGAGATTGGTGCGGACGGTACCACGGAACAGGATCGAGTCTTGAGGCTGGATAGATAAGCGAGAGCGGAGATCTTTCAGTGGCAGTGTTGAGATGTCAACGCCGTCGATGGTGATGCAGCCCCCGGAGAGCTCACATGTCCGGAATAGTGCACCAATGAGGGAAGACTTTCCGGCACCTGTACGTCCCACGATAGCGACGTGCTCACCGGGCTTGATAGAAAGGGTTAAGCCGCGAAGAACATTGGGAAGACCTTCGCGGTAACGCATGTGCACGTCTCCGAAAGTGATGCCTCCTTGCTCAGGCCAGGATTCTGGAGCGGGTACAGGTGTAGTACCGTTGTTGCCTTCGACGGGAAGACTGTTACCGGGTCCGTAAGCGTGAATCCGCTCAGTGGCATTCATAGCATTCTCCACGTTGGCCCATTGACGAATGATGAATTGTAGGACCTGCGCAGCACCGAGGGAGTAGCTCAGCACGACACCGGAAATTGCAGGGTTCTGAGTAGATCGCTGGATTACAACCAACACTCCAGCTGCAACGATCAATAGAACGCCAACAAAATCCAACCGGATTCCCAACCATCGCTGGTTAGCAGATGTCAAGAAATTGGCACTGTTCATGTCGTCGATTGCATGCTGCATTGATTTGGAGAATTGCTTTTGCATAGAGTATGTGCGGATTGTGGTCACACCGGACAGGGTCTCGGAGAAGCGGGCTAGAACAACGCCACGCAAGACAGACTCGTGACGCTTAAGCTCACGCGCAGAGGCACGGTAATAGAACGCAGAGAAAAAGAATATGGCAGTGCAGGGGACAAGGGCAATACCAAACCAGTGGAACTCAGACACAATAAGTGAAAGAATTCCCAAGACCATAGCAGTTCCGACCATGAATAATCTCAGCGATTCTGGTAGGGCATCATCCATCACATACACATCCTTGGAAAATCTGTTGACAATACGTCCAAGCGGCGTGGTATCGAAGAACCACACTGGTGCACGCATAATCTTTTCGGTCGCTTTATCAAGCATGACGTTGCTCGCACTGGTGCAGAGGATTGAAATGCAAAGACCAAAGAGGTAGAGACAAAGAGCTTGGCAAATACCCAAGGCGACATAGATACCGATGTAGGTGTTGTTTTCGAAGCCGAATCTGTCAGATGCCCACCAGGCGAGCCACATACCACAGAGGAGTGCGCTTCCTTGGGCGAGACAAAGGAGCGGAATGGCTAGTATAATAGCGATGGGGCTTCGAGAGCAGGCGAGATAAGATGTGTAGACAGCCCAAGAGATGCCACCGTCGACATCGTCCTCGCTTTGCATGAGCTCGGGCACGCTGTCGTCTCCAGCCAGCTTGCTCACCGTAGTAGTAGTCTCTTCCTCGGGCTTGCTGGCATCTTTCTCGGCATCTTCCTTTGTTGCCTTCTCCCGGTTTCCTTCCGCCTCTTTAACTAAAGCAGCAAAGTCGGGGTACTTCTTCTTCAGCTTTGTAAAGCTACCCAGAGCCTTGACCTTTCCATCATCCAGCCATAGAATGCGGTCACAGCGACTAAGAACGTGGGCTTGGTGGGTTGCGAGAATTCTTGTTTTGCTTCCAAGGGCCCCGAGGATTGCCTTTTCGAAGATAGCTTGTCCGACGTATGGATCCACAGCACTTAGGGGATCATCCAAGAGCAAGATATCGGCATTGGAGTACATGGCTCGCGCCAAACTAATTCTCTGTTTCTGTCCACCACTGACATTGATACCACGCTCTCCAATCTCCGTGGCATCGCCATTGGATAGAATCTGCAGATCGCGACGAAGCTGGCATGCAGTGATTACTTCATCGTACCACGCAGCATCGTAGGGCGCACCAAACAGGATGTTATCCCGGACTGTAGCATTTTGAATCCATGCTGTCTGCGGGCAGTAGGCCCGATCCGAGTAAAACTTGAGGTTTCCTTGTACCTTGCGCATGTCACCAGCTAGAGCAGACAGGAGAGAGGACTTTCCACTTCCAATACCGCCGATAACTGCAAGGAGCTCACCACGTCGGATATTGAGGGATATAGAAGGGATTGAGAATGGAGCAAGAGTAGGAAGCTCTTCTGCCAAGGTGACCGCCGAGGAAGACTCTTCATAGGAAGGTGGGTTCGATATCGTGGCACCAGATGCGCGTCGGTCCATCGACCCCTTTTCAGAGGGTCGCGCACCATCTTCCCATCGGAGGGACGGCAATTGGTCAGATCCCTCACGCTCGAGTGGATGCTTCAATGTTGAAGAGGGCCGCGTGAACCAAGTTGACATAGGCCTGATACTCGATTTAGGTCGGACCGTCGACTCCGGCCGGAACCAATTTGACATTGGTCTCACAGTCGATCTTGGTCTAAAAGTCGAAACACGCCTTTCCTGTGAAGTGTTTGTATTGCTTCTGTCTCGCGAGAAAGAAGGCATCAAAAACGAAGTCGGTCTTTCAAATCCGTATGAAGGCGGCATAAATGATGTTGGTCTGTCCCATCTGGATGAAGGCCCTGCCATCGGACCTCCTTCCCAATCGAAGGTAGGCAACGCAAATCCTTCAGTGTCGTAGTCAACATCGTGGAACATTCTGCTCGCTCTCAATGCGGACAACGAGTCGCGGTTGTTGTAAGAGTTAACTTCTCCATCGTGGAACATCCTGCTTGCTCTTAACGCGGCAAGCGAGTTCCGGCCGCCTTGCGGGTCTTCTTCCTCTTCGGCCTCATCTTCTAGGTCCGTGGCTCGGGCTGCCTGTCCCTTTTCCCATGTGAACCCGGCCTTTTCAATTCTCACGGCATCTCTCATGTTCTCATCGACATCCAACTCTTCAACTTCCTCTGCGAGTAGGTATTCCTCGATTCTTGTCATACTGGCCCATGCGTCAGATGCATGGCCAAGACATGCTGGAAGGAAAGCGGTAGGTGTAAGGAGAGAGCTGAATAGGGCAACACTTGAGAATACAATAGCGACATCGAGGCCCCCGGTGGAGATACAGGCATACGTCACGAAGCTGACCATGCAGGCCAACACAGGCAGACTCTGCCCAAGAGAGGTGACGAAGTTGAGAATTAGGTTGAATCCTTGTAATTGGCGTGTCTCGTCGGCTCTCATCTCGATCAAACGTTCGACGAAGCTATCCTCCCAGCTAAAGTACTTTACCAGACGAATAGCCTGGAGAACTTCTTGGGTTAGGCCAACTCGGACGTCAGTCGCTATGTTCATGACCTGGCGGCGTGCGAAAAGCGCCTTCACGGCAACGACAAGGAAGAACATTGAGACGATCAGGACTCCAAATCCGGCCAGAGCGGATTGACGAAGATTGACAATGAGCAGAGCCATGCAGATAAAGATGATCAGCGGCGAGGTCCACACGACATGGATCATGCTGATACCTGAATCAATGCGATGAGCATCCATGGACACGAGGTTGACCACACGGCCATTCGACCAGCCAGCATCGGGATCAGCTTCTTTTCCCTTTTCAGAAGACTTGGGAGGCTTTGCGTCGCCAGGCTTCTCGTTCAAGTCGACTTCCTGTAGAGTGGTTTCAGAGCTTCCAATCGCAAGATCAGCCGACCCGCCGGCTCTGGCTCGCTCGGATATCCTCAAACTCTTCTCTTGGATTTTATTCGTCAAGACTGCTCGGACCTGGCCACCGACCATGGTTCCGCGGTATAGGAAGTGGTTTTGGCATGAGCTAAGCAAGATCTGCATGCAGATAATGCCGACCAACAATCCGACACCTCTTGTGAGACCCGGATTTTTCACAGTACTTCCTGGGAGATGGGCATAATAGCTGTTCTGAACCCATTCGATCAAATAACGAAGCGTGTAGGGGTTTCCAACTGTAAAGAGGTCGGCCAATAGACGGCATAAACCACCGATCCAGAATTCGCGGGCGAAAGTCTTGTGCAGAGCGGTAAAAAGAGGGTGCTTGACATCGCTCGAGGCCTTGGCCTCCTTGAAGTGGGCGTCAAAGGTAACGCTGTGTCTTTGTACGCTTCTTGTGGGGTTGAGGAGTGGAATGTCATTGATCTTTAGGGGACGACGGAAACCAGTCTAAGTGAATTTAGAATTGATTAGTATACGGAAGCACACCAGAAAATAATCTACCTAGGAAGATCTTCCACTCACCGACATCAAACCCCCCATCCAACTGAATGTCCATCTGCTGATGAATCCTGCTCCATATTCAGGGGATATTTGTCGCTCCGCAGGTACAGGCGCAACCTTGCGGTGATGTGAGGGCTTAATCTCTGGGTTGGCCAGCTCGGCATCGGCATTAGACAATGACATGTCGAGAATTACCCAGAAATCAGGTCAGGAATTCTGTGATCCTTGTCAGTATTCTGTTGTGGATAGGAATTAGGAGGAGATCGTCCACTTTTCAATGACCTCACATACAGGTAGGTTCGTATAGCTCTTTATATGAAGTGGCAATAGTCAGCAAGAAAGCAGTCCAAAGGGACCACTGTTTCAGGATGAAAAAATAGTATTCGCTGAAAAAGACTGAGGCTGATTTGATTGCCTTCCATCAATGTGCAGCTCTCCTGCCTTTTGTTGACTGCACATCCTAGCTTCCGGAATAGGTATTCCCGAACTCATGGTGCATTGATCATCAATTAGGATGAGCTTAGATCCATGTTTGGGTAGTATACAGTGGCAACTTCGGGGTGAGGATAAGGTGGCTCCATCACTAAAGCCGATAATCATCGAAGTCCCAACTTCATGCTATGGCACCCAGGAAGGTAATATCAAGAACACATGTTACCTAAAGTGGTAAGGCCTCGGAATTATAGATAAAGAAGATACGAGTATTTACGCAATGATGTAAAAGCCAACTATTACTGTTTACACGTTGGGGCCATATTGTGGAGTACGGAGAAGTCATCCCTTATATTACAAATTTCGTAAAGCTCGCGTATCATGACGGTATTTTTAACCCTTTCGGGTAATTGAGCAGCTTCATTACTTACCTGCAGAAGGATCAACATCCGCCGTAATTCGGGTTTGCAATCTGACATTTAAATTCCACTGGATCCATTATTATGAAACAGTCGGAACATAGCACTTGCAGGATTAGCCCCGCAGTGGCGACATAGAGAGCAATTATTCATATTTTTCACAAACTACAGTTCGACTTGTCTGTCCTCTTTGGGAAGCGATCGCGTAGATCATACTGGAGCGTTTGAGCTGACACGTGCAGACCACATGGACATATGGTGGATTACCATTTTAGGAAAGGAAATGGAAGCTTACTTGGCCTACTGGGAAATGGCAGGTTCACCTTTTAGGACATACGATAATTATAGTTGGTGAATCTATTATTAGCTGGCTTTCTATCTCAATGGATAATATATAAGGAACAAGGAACTGCGAATCAATCAATCATTTAAGCATCAAGCAAGAAACCAAAATCAAAATGTCCGCCCCCGCACACATCACACTCAAGAACCTCGATGGCCAGTGGGTCATGGTAAGTGTCCCAACAAACTTCTTTCAGCCTGCGCCCGTTCCAGCCTACCAGATACTAACATATACGTTAGAACCGGACCCGCTCCTCCGAATACGATCCCCTCCTCAAGCTCCAAGGCATTAACTGGCTGATGCGCAAAGTGCTGAATATGACCAATGTTGTCCTGGAGGTCAAGGAGTGGGAAGACCCATCCGACGGCTTCACCCACATGGACATTGATCTTAAGCCTACTTCGGGTCTACCAGCCAGTCAGGAGAAGAAAGTGTTCGACTTCAAGGGCACCGACTCCACCCATGCGCTTTTCGGAAAGATTCGCGTAAGCCAGGGCTGGGCAAATGCCAAAGAGTTGAACCAGGAGGATCACTTCTTGGTCGAGGGAATGGAGGAAAACATGGATAGCTTTATTCACTTGAAGACTGAGCACTTGGACCACAATGCTGTGACGCACCAGGCTTGGGGATTTGAGGAGATCGAGGGCACAAGATACCACAGCAGACATATTGTTGGAAAGAAGGGAGACGAGGTTGTTCGGGTCAAGCTAATCTATGACTACCTCGGACCTCGTGCTGACATGAACTGAGCTGGTCTTGCTTCATATTCATGATTTTCTTTGCGCCTTTTTATAATCTCTGTTCTTTGCGAGCTTGATGCTATACTTGAATAGATACCAATTATATCCCACCTATTTGACACTACACCCTGCTGGCTTTTTCACTTTGGTTTCCATTAATTTTTATAAAAATTAATTCATCAAAAGCTGGAATTATTATCTGACCCCTTAACTTACAGTTCACTCCGGCGCGGACTTTACAAGATAAGTGGGGCCCGAATCCCGCTACCGGACTTTGCTTCACACAAGCAATATAATTTGATTTAAACACACTTACTTTCATCTACTGGCAAGATGGCCGAGTTGGTCTAAGGCGTCAGGTTAAGGTCCACCTTGACATCATTTCCTGATCTACGTTTGTAGGCGTGGGTTCAAATCCCACTCTTGTCATATCTTTTTGTCTTTTTGCTGGCATCAATAGAGTTCTATCCACATCCATTCAGTGACCTTTCTAGCTGGTTGTTTTTTATTCTAATTTTTTCGATTCATTGCCTGCTCAGGTGGGAAATCTCAAGATGAAGTTTGTGCAAATTGTGTCCAGTACATACCGATGAGATGAATATGGATAGTGCCGCTGGAACACGGTAACAATATATACATCTGAGCACCGCACCTCTGTACATATATTATGGATGAACCCTGGATCTTAGACATTCCAAGCTTAGAACATTCGACCACTGGGAAAAATCAAACAGTAGGCAACCGTAAATTTACAAAATTGCATTATTATTTGACTGGATACGAATGGACCGCGGCCCCTAAGCGCTTGCTCTATGTCCGTAGGATTTTCGCCTTTCAACCCCCATTTCGGGTCATTGCCTGAAAATGGGGGCAGGAAGGTGGATCGACGTGAGGCCGAGAATCGCGTAAACATGCGGCCCGACACGAACGCGAGCCTATCCAGATTGGGTAAAGCCTCCACGGCCAGTCAATGACTCGCATTTTACCACATTTCAACATCTACAAGTAAGACGAATTTGGATATTGAAGGTTTTAGGGAATTGTTCCAGGGGTACTAGGTAATCTCAGAAAGAATTTTTGGAGAAAGAAGAATATTCGCTTAAGAACTAGACGAAAATAATGAAAAAAGTAATCGCTAAATAGAATTCACAAATCATCAACCGACATAATACTCGGCTTCCGGCTCCCTCAGAAGCCTCACCAGCGAGTCTTCAAAGGCACCCACAATGCCAGCAATCCACTTTTCATTCAAGAACTCATAACCAGGCTTCCGCACATTATACACACATTTCAGTGTCATCTTTTCACTCCAGTCTGGACCCTCGGGTCCAAATGCCGGCCACACCTCCATCATGATTGGGAATCCGATGTCAACTTCCTTGTAAGGAGATAGGAGGTTCTGCTCGGTGCTCCAGCCAGGCAGGTCTCGTGGAGCCTTGGGACCGGCCACGTCTGAGGAAGGCGCAGTCTCGCTCCGGTATGCCTGAAGGTTCAGGGCAGTATCGAATCGGTCGGCCCCCATCTCGAAAGTATCTTCCGTTGGGCAAGGAACGTCAATGAAGGGTGCGACTTCGGCATGTTGAGCAGCGAGCAAACGGCAGATTTCACGGTTGGTTGGGTTCTTCTGTCCGTCCTTCTGGAGGGCCACATGCATCGGCACCGTCGTCAGTAAGGGGGCCATGCAGCGCCACATGTCGGGTGTGTTTCGGCCGTGCAAGATGCTACCGAACTGCACGTCCAGCTTGCCCTCATTGGCACCGCGGGTCTGAGCCAGCACGCTAGCCCATGCGGCCTGTACGACGGAAGCCATGCTTGTGCCGAGCTGTGATAGCGCATTGTTGGAGAGATCGTCCATGGAGAGACTACTGCGAAGGGCGGCAGTGCGCATGTGTGTCTCGACTAATCCGACCTCAGTGGGTAGCATTACGGCTTGTGAAGCGGGCTGACTAGGTCCGAAACGGAAGGATGACACGCCGGCAAAACGCTTCATCCAGTAGAACATGCTCTCCACCCAGTCAGTGCTCTCGAAGAGAAGCTCCACGGTATTGCGCATGGGCAAGAGTGGGAGCTTTCTGCCCCTGTCTGTCAGGTTTCTGATACCAGCTGGTCTGCTGAGATGAGCGTATTCAGCGGCAATCTCTTCGCGGAGGTGGCCTAGGCTGACGCCGTCAAAGATGGGGTGATAGAGCGAGAGAATCATGACGTGGCGAGAGCCGTCAGGGGCGCTGACCCAAGTCACGGTGACACCTGGCCGGTCCGGCGTCATGGCGCCTTCAGCAGCTCGCTGCGCTGAAACAAGCGTGTGTTGCCAGAGACTGGTATGATTAGGGTCAGATTTGCAGACAATCTCGACTGTGGGAATGATTGCACGCTCCGAATCTTTGTTCAAGATGCAGATGGCAAAGGGAGATAATGGATGCTTGATGTTACAGAAGACTGAACGGAAGCAATCATGTCTTCTGAGAACAACATCGACAGCATGCTTCATGCGGGTCGGTTCAAGCTTGTCGAGAGGCATTTCGTAAAGAAAGTGCTCGAGCTGCGGTCGACCAGAGTAGCGAGTAGGGTCCACAAATTCGTGGCGCGTGGAGTAATAGAGAATGCGAGTCTGCGTATTTGTAGCGGGAAGTACTTGCTCAACATCGATTGGAGCGAGATTGAGAGCAGAGGTACACTGAGGCAGGCAGTGGTGAGAGAAGTGACGGAGTTTTTCGGGGACAGATAGTTCAAAAATTCCTTCCTCGTCATCGGCAGCGATAACAGAAACATCCACTTCATCTTCTTCCACACCTGTTTTTGACAGGATAGATTGATCAATAGATACCACATGGCCATTTCTTTCCTGTGTGTCCACATCCATCTGTTGACCAGCCGTCAACTTGGACGCTGGGTTTTTAGATTCGACTAGATTGACCAGGTCGTCAATGGTTACGGATGAAAGGATCTGGTGTAAAGCCAAACCCTCAATCTCGTCATCCCGCATGCTTTGGAGGAACAACATAGTCCGTAGGCTGTCTAGGCCAAGACCCACAAGAGGCGTGGTGGATTCTGCGCCCGCAACCTTATCACCGATAGCAGCGAATAGACCTCGGTAGACAATTGAAGCTGAATCCATTTCGCGTGACTCAATGTCTTGCTTCTTCTCTACCGCTTTCTCGGCGCTAGCAGAGGCTCCATTCGTCACGACCGAGTCGCTCAAAGTCTCACCGGCAGCGAGCTTTAGCAGCACTTTTCTGTCCACTTTGCCGCTCGGGGTGTACGGCAGCTGATCCAGAACAGTATAGCTTCCAGGGCACATCCATTCAGGTAGGAGTCTCTCTGCTTCAGCGCGACATTTGTTGGCGACACCTTGACGATCTTCGTCGGCCCAGACTGTCAAAAATGCTACCAGCTGAGCACGCACACCTTCCTTGGGATTGGCCACCACAACAGCGACAGAGGCCACACCTTGCGCGCTTGTAAGAACATTCTCGATCTCAGTCAGCTCCACACGACGTCCGTTTAGTTTGACCTGGTCTGTACCAAAGCGACCGAGGAAGTCAATCTTGCGCTTTCCATCAGAAGACCAGACAACACGAGTCTTGTCGCCGGTGCGATAGAGCGTTGTGCCAGAGGGAAGACCCATCGCATTGACAGGAATAAATGCCTTTGCTGTCGCGTCTGGACGGTTGAGATACCCGAGAGCAACTTGCGGCCCGCCGACGATAAGCTCGCCCGCGAGCCCAAGGGGGGTTTCTCTTAGTTCTCCTGCATCAAGGGCATCCGGGTCCGCCAGGAGAAAGAATGCAGAAGTCAACGCATCGCCAATGACAGAGCTGCGCGTGCCCTGGACACAGGCTTCCGCTGTACAGAAGATGGTGGTCTCTGTGGGACCGTAGGCATTGATGAGGTGCCTATCATCATCCGGATCCCCTTCCACACGTGCAAACTTTTCTATCACTCGACCATTCACAGACTCTCCGCCCACGATCAGTGTCTTCAACGCGGGCATGCGCTCCGGCCGCATGAGAAGTGCGAGACTGGCGACGGCGTATGAGGCAGTGGCGCGGAGTTCGCGTGCACACAATTCGACGTCTGTGAGAAGTAGGTCACGCTCAGCGGTACAGAGAACTCCACCAAGAGATAGTGGGACAAAAGTGTCGATGATGACGGGGTCAAAGGAGGGTGCACTTAGGTTAAGCCAGCGCACCCGTGGCCCAGCAGGAAGATGCGAGAGTGGTCCTTCGAGTGTTGCTTCCACACAGGCCAAGGCTGAGCGATGACTTCCGAGCACACCTTTAGGCTTCCCGGTCGAACCACTCGTGTAGAAGAGGTAGCAAAGATCATCTTCGGATGGAATACGAAGGCCACTGGGTGAGGCGCCCACAGTGTCCGGGATAATGCAATCCATTCGCCAGCTGGAGGGGTTGGTGATATCGACCCACATAACCCCCTCAGTAAGCTGCTCACGCTCGGATTGAGATCCAGCAGCACCGTTCCAGGGCACAGGGCCGACTCCTAAGACAATCGGGGAGCCAAGATCCTCGACGATAGTCCGTAGTCGCTCTGGTGGCGCATCGGCTGGTAAGGAACAGAATGCATGGCCAGACTTGAGAACTGCCAACATGGAAAGGAAAAGCTCCGGGCTTGGTGAAATGAAGAGGGGAAAAGCGTACTGGTCGCCCAAGGCTGGACGCCACTGACTCCCTAGAACCTGTAGCAGAAGTCCAAGCTCAGAAGCGAGATTTTTGGCTCGACTATCGACCTCAGCATAGGTGAGATCGCGTCGGTCATATGCATGCTGTCGTGATCGCTCGGATGTAGCAGGTGCTCGACACAAATACTCGATGGCGACATTGTGGGGGTGTCGTCGAACATTGTCTTCAAACGCAGAATGAAGCAGGCGAGAGTTGATGTGTCCATTGGTCTTGAAGCCATTGACGTCTAGCTTCTTGTGTTGAATCTGTGGTGTGACTTGCAGGAAGGACTCGAAATTCACGCGGGACGGGTCCAGCCCTGCCCCAGTAGCGATAATGTCGGACAATCCAGAGGTCAAATATGCGACAGCCAATTTGACGAGGTGTTTCGCAGCAATCCATCCGCCGTAGTCCCCGCGTAGCTGGAGAGTAATATCGGCCCTGTCCTCTTGGGTGTATACCACCGAAAGAACAAAAGGTCCCTTTTGTGCCGAGGCTGCGACCCCATTTGTTGTACGCGATCCGCTGTATGCCGTAATAAGAAGTTTGAAGTCAATTTCATCGACATGGGTCACGCCAGTGAAAAAGTCCAACTTTGGTTCGGGTGTCACACCCGTCGCCGCTTGAACTGGAATAACAGCCTGGACCAATGTATGCCCAGTCTCTGGTGCATCTGCAATGAACGCGATATGGTCTGAGCCGACAACATCGCCGACGAATCGTGCAAAGCGGCATAGGACAGCTCGAGAATCAGGACTGGATTGCAAGGGAATACCATGGACGGTGAAAGAATGGGCCCGAACCAAGGTCGCGTCGAGGCTTGGTCCGGTGATATGATAAGGCGGGAGTTTAGAGGACGGCAGGTCCCGAATTGAAGTGGCCTGCACTTTGTCGGATAGATGAATTAATCCCATGATGCGGTCGATAGTAGTGTAAAGCGAAAAATGTTTAGATGCAGATGATTATAATGAAGAGGCTCAAATTCCGCCCCCAAGTAACGTAAAAATGGGCAGTGTAGTGGTATCGTGATGCCCAGTAGAGAAGGTTAATTGAAGACTTTTTTTAAAAAAGGTGTACCATGGATATGTGGGATACAACATGTATAATAAGATATTCTCGATCATCAATGCTTCTATTCATAGTCGAACCTAACGGTCAATACACAAGAAGCCTTAAACCGGCAATTTAGCAGTGGGTCAGCATCATCAGCTGCCCAAGACTGGCAAGAACCAAATAGGGGCGGTTGCCAGCATTTTCTAGAGGTTGAGTCGAACTCCGGTGATCTTCATACACTTTTACTGATAATGCCTTAGTAGGCAAACTACCCATTTAGGGAATGGAGCGCGACATGAAGTACCCAATGAGGAGGAGTTATATATCGGTGGGATTGCCCTACGAGATGATATGTCAATCAAGCTAACGGTCGTTCCAGATTTTCAGCCCCCAAAATATGCTTGTGACCAGAACAGGAAAATGATCGGAGGACATCGTATTTTGAGCTCACAACCACCCACATCGTGAACTTAAATACCTACGATGCCCATATCTAGCCTCCGGTGCCTAGGACTAGTGACTATTGACTAGTGCGGCTCATTTGAGAGTACATGGTCATTTGCTCGAATCAGAATATAACGCATCACCGATTGAGTCCCCATTCCGAAAGCTCTGCCAGGCCAAAGGCTTCCCACTTATCTTCTATAGAATAGTAATCTACAATTATCATGTGTTGGCAATTGAACAGAAGGCGCGTTATTAGGCCAAGAGCAACTGTAGGACATGGGTGAACAAACGTCCGTGGCTGAGATTATTCGAAGCCGCCCCCAATCTAAATGTTTTATTTGACGTAGTTTACAGGGAACATTACAGGGGCTAGCAAATGATTTTGCCGATCGTGCAGAGCTGGAGTAACTCCGCCCATAGGATGAATTGTAGAATGGTAATTATACCCATCACCTTTGCACAATTACATAGATTTGAAATCTTTGCTCGCACCCCTGAATAATTACATGCTACGCCAAAATCTACTACTATCAGATTACAATCTCTTGAAATTTTTGTCAAGAAATGGCGATTAAAATTTTGGGTGATCGAGGCCCACCTGGAGTAGCCAAATTTATGATAGGCGATCCCTATTGGCGCCCAACTGCTTTTGGTTAATAACGCGAGGTGTGCTCGCCCCATGCATGAGCACGCTGCACGCACAGACCATCATGTAACAAAATATGGGAATGGCCAATAAGGTCAGTTTCACCCACGAGAGAAACTCATGGTGATCGACAATCTCTACCGCGTGCTTTCACCCACGCCTGTACCCACCTCGCAGTCTATTCTCAATTTGCTAAGCGCTAACAAAGAACTGTTGTATTATTAGCCACCACGGGAGGCTGCGTGTACTTAAATCAATCTCCAGCGCCCAGCTCTTGGCTCTTCTTTATTTCTGAGTCTAATTTACCTACCTCTTGTTGAGAGACTCCCGTCATCATTGTGTCGGAAAATTCCAATCTCCTCTCTGTTCGATAACCATAGCTCCTTTCCTTCACCTCAAAGCTATCGAGAGGCTTCGACACACAATTAAAAATGGGTTTAGATCAGCCTGGTGTCTTCACATACCGTGATGGTGTCGCTGTTATCCAACTTTTCTTCTTCATAATCTACCTCGCCCTGGGAATCGTACTATGCTGGCGTCACGGATTCCGTCGATCAGATGGCTGGATCCTTGTGGTAACCTTGTCAATTCTACGTATACTCGCCGCAAGTTTCCAGCTCGCCACCATCAATACCCCTAACACCACAACGTATGGAGGTGCACTCATCTGCCAAGGGATTGGGCTGGCCCCGCTGATTCTATTGAACCTTGGGTTGTTCATTAGACTGTAAGTTTTTATCCTCAACTACACAGGGGTTTAGACGAGAACTAACATGCGAACTTAAAGGAACATGTACTTCAAGAAAGTTCACCGACTGGTCTTCACCGCAATTTCCGTTGTCTCCATCGTCGCCATTGCAATTGCCGTCTATGGCGGTACCGAGTCCGCGGAATCAGCCAGCCTAGGAACAAATGTTATGCTGAAGGTCTCTGTTATTCTCTTTACGGCATGCTACGTTGCACTCTGGGGTCTTTTCTTCTATTTCATTGGCGACCGGAAAGCACTTCCCGAGGCCGAGCAGAAGATGTTCCTCTGTCTCCCTGTCTGTGCTCCCTTCATGATCGTTCGACTGCTGTATAGCATTCTGGGAGACTACGTGCCGAGTCTTCGGGCAAATTTCAGCGTGCTCACTGGAGATGTGACTACTTTTCTGTGCATGGATGTCCTCGAGGAGATCATTGTTGTTGCAGTGTACGTTTTATTCGGCATGGGACTGAAGCAACTCTCGCCGGAAATGAAGGGCACTAAGCGCAGAAATAATTACGAAGACACTATGGCATAGAAGGGGATAGAGTATAGATCTTTTCATTTCTGATTCTCCTTGGATGAGAATAAAATATATTTGGATGTGTTAGGAGAGATGACAATAAGCCCCGAGTGAATGAGCGTTCGAGGCTATGATGATTACTGATATGAAACCTCTTTTGATCCATAACAGCTCTTTTTTTTCTCATAAAATATCGTTAAAATAATCTATCACGACGTGTAATTTTTTTAAATAATGAAAGTAATAGTCCGTTTTTCATTCTGTGGACTTTGGATAATGACCCTTGACAAGTCCACCTGGACCGCTATTGAGCCCAAAATCACTCACTTTCTTAGCCAAAAGGTGGCAAAGAAGTCTCTGCATCGATGTCCATACGCTTGATTTACTGCAAGACCACGTGTTTATCCGATAAACTTGAAAATCATGCTAGGTGATGACCATGTGCTCAGTGGGTCTACATGCAGTAGTCCAGAACCCCGCGTCCTGTGGTGGCGGATGCTACGCAATGGGAATATTGTTTTAATTTGACGAGGTACTTACATAATGAGCTGAAGAAGCAAATTTGGACAGAGTGGAGTAAAGGGGCTGATTCTTGTAAAAAGCAAATTTTAAATTTGTTTATTATACAACGTGAGCCTATGCCCGAAGATATTGCCGATGTCGTATGTCGGCTTCTGGATGACATTAGCTCACGTTAGCATGAAACGTGTGATCCACAAAATCCCTGACCCACCTTGAGTGCATCATCTTCAGCCTTGACATGAGCATAGATGCTCTCTTTGCCCCTTACCTGAATTTCTCCATGTCGGCAATAAGCGGTGTCGGCCTGGCCGGAGGGTGATTTTGTCGATCAATGCACTGCAGAGTATTAGGATGGCTCGTTCCAGATCCGAATATCCACTAACAAAGAATCCTAACCAATGGTCTTGACCTGCGCTTATTCGGGCGGACGCGTATTCGAAGATGACGCCACGTTATACGGTGATCGACACAGCCACGACCGCCCGGAAAAGTGTAATTGTAAACGGAATGAAGAAATATTGTATAATCACCATCGGTGTCATGGCCAAAGAGCAATGCACGATCTGAAACTATCATCTGAAACGTACCAAGGAACAGCTGGGCACCGCCTGACGTCGACAGTGTCAAGTGCCCACCTAACAAGCTCTCCGGAGAGAAATAAGTCCGTGTTTTGTGAAGTGACAAAATATGAACACGTTGTGAACCGTGCGGTCACGGGATTTGTGCGGTCGGCCCCTATTGCCGTGTCACTGGGGCCACTTGTGCCTCCTGGGGGCTGTTCCTTCTATCGAGCTTCTACGGTTATTCATCCCCCTTACTTATCAGAGCGGAGCCCAATTTCCCGAAGAAGCTTCCTTCTGGAAGATTGTCATGGAACGGGACGTGATACATCTCCCAAAGTAGTAATTCTCCAATATCGATGATACGCAGTCCATTGCAGGATTCGGCAATAGGGACGAACGCTTTGTCAGAGAGTTGCAAATCGGGCTTCCCGACTGGACGAAGGCGAAGCATTGTTTAGGCTCATGGAGAATATCGGCCCTCTGACAATAATAGCACGCGACACGACGTGAATAGTGATCCATCTACGGCGAATGCCAAATGGGACCATGTTTTTTATTGAAAATTTGTTAAAGAGATTTCGATCTAGTCGGCGATAGGCTACATAGCAGAAAGAAGGCTGGCTACTAAATAGAAATCTCTTACGATGCCATTTATGCTGTGATGCTATGATGCTGAGATAATGGTGGTTATAGTGATTACGGTAGTAAAGGAGGTTATGACGACCATCCTCACCATGACCTTGGAATCTGACATACAGGAGATACTCCGCACACTATTTGAAACCGACTTCTGAGCTAAACTGGTGGATGTCATGTATATATTTAGTAGTTCGGCCCACTAGTAGCCAATGGGAAGCTCCCCTCACAACTGTATTGGGGGCCATGTGGGTCCAACTCCGGGGCCGAAAAACGAAGAGAATCTGAAACGCCAAAACACGTTCTTTGGTTTTCCCCCCATGCGCATATCAGTGGGGCATTACCAAGCTACAGGTAGGGCTAAAAAACATATTGCCATAAATGAACTAGTCTGGGGACCACGGCTGCCAATAGGATGGCTTTACCTTGGACCCTCAGAACGCTTAGAGGTATGCCCATGCTCCATAGTGAAGATCGATCTATTTTTACAGGGGTATGACTTCCCAATCGGCCTTATGAGAATTCTAATAAAGTTCGTCCTTTTGTACGCTTCATGCTTCCTAATTCTTTATTGTAATCAAGATTCGCCACAGTCATTGCTTTGATTGTATAACCATTATATACCAGCTACATTCCTCCACTTTGGGTGCTCATTCCCATTTCCATCAACCAAGAAAGCAACATCACAACATGGCAAGCAGATCACAGAGCAGGGTTCGAACCCCGGAGAACAATGGTAAGTCATCAATCAGTCCAATCCAGATGTCTTTCAACACAGGAAGAAAGGAAATGAACTAACAAGCTCGCAGCCTCACACTCATCTGCCCCATACCCGGAGACTCAGAAGCGCCGGCGCCGTTCTCCCAATGAGTTAGTTTGGACACAACCACGAACAATCCCAGCAAATCTCCACAAGAACGCGAGAAAGGTGTCAAAATCGCCTGAAATGCCCAAGGAGAGCACTGGACGAAGGGATTCCGGACATCAGGAACAGCAAAAGGCAATGTCAAGCCTGCTGACGCCACCCACTCAACCAAAAGACCTCCCAGGATTCAAAATGGACATCGACTTGTTCGACCTTGGAAGTGCGCCCGAAATGACCGACGACATGGTGGTCCAAAACCTGTTCAATTTCTCCGACAATCCCGCCTTAATCACACCACCTTCTATGGATCAACACTCTATGACCTTTCACATGGATCCAACTTTCATGGACCACCAGATGCCTCTTCTAGGCAGCGATGGTACCGACTCCAGTGATGGTTCTTTGCACGGACTAGGAGACCCCCGTATGAACTTAGCGGGTCTCAATGGATTTAGCGCTATTCACCTCGCCGCACATTTCGGCAAATTCTCCATTATTCGCCTTCTACTATCTACTTGCCCCGAAGATGTGGATCTACTCAACCACGAGGCGCAAACTCCTTTACACATCGCCGCAGCCGAAGGCCATTTCGAAGTTATTCCCGAACTGCTCCGCGCAGGAGCAAACACTCTCATTCAAGACGTCAATGGACGCACTGCTTTACATTTGGCTGTCTCAAAGGGCCATTTCGACGTTGTACGTCTACTGCTAGACAGTACCCAAGGTCAAAACATCATTCACATTGCAGACAATGCGGGGCGAAGCTCTTTGCACCACGCGGTTTTGCAAGAAAATGGCGAAATTGTCCGATTATTGTTAGAGCGGGGTGCTGATCCCCGTGTCCCCGTTGGTTAAAAAGACATGCCCCGTATTACTATATACGAGGTGGTGACTTGGCAAACAGGGCTGGCCCTGGCTGGGTACGAGTAGCCCCTCGGCGGAGTTAAAGTTGTCATATTGCATGGCCCCCTTGGCGCTCAAATTGGAGGGATCATAAGTTGAAATTGCTAGGAAGATTTAGACCACTGTGCATGTGGGCTTTTTGGTTTTGTCGGATTCTCATTTATAGAAGTGAGAGAATCACGATTCAATCCCCACGCCTATACCCCTATTATCTTTTTTTGTCATAATTAGCGAGCTTTGGAATATAAACACGGTTTAAAATAAAAGCACGAGATCCTTCTTTAATCTGTAATCAGAAAATCGTCTTTCTCGGGATCTTGGAGCTAGTACAGACTGTGGTTGATCAGTCGTGGCAGATTAGTTCTTGATTAAGCTTGTCAACCATTTGACCAGTGTAGCCCATTCATGATTATGGTGCACCCAATCATGTCATAGAAGCAAGCTTTGGGTACCTTGTCATACATATGACTTCCACGACTTTGTACAAACCAGTATTATGATTCAAAATCATGTTTTGGTGCAGGGATGATTTGAAATCAGCTGTGGATAGTCCAAGTATCTTCATTTTATTTCCATGCGTTCCGATCTTAGGGATCTTTGGTCGATCGGCTTTCGCTGCTCGAGACCAAGCAGTATATTCTTCCCACCTTTCATGGTATCACCTAGTGCTGACAGCGAGAAAGAGCTTGTTGTTGAAGATGGCGCTGGGCAAAAACGGTTCGTCGGGAATAATACAGTAGTGTTGCATCGGTTGCCGGATCGAAGGATTTGGGGAGATAAGTATCTCTGGAATGTGGAGGATGTGAGCAAGGATGCAAGCAAGTATGCAGGGTACCTTGTTATATAGCCAAATGGCAATAACCGCAAAGTGTTCAGTTCTGGTATCTCAACCGCGTAGTACAAGATGAGGCGATTATTGACCTACAATTTCGGTGTTTACTTCCACAAGTAGATATAGAATGACTATTCAGTGAATCAAAACAGCATAGAAGAGGATCCACCTTTCCGCATAAGGAACGCACTTTGCCTCATTCATCATAGACCTTTCCTCATTCAGCATAACTTCATCGACATGATTGGTTTCGTGTACTCGCTCTGGATGCTTAATACGGTATAGCGTTGTCAAAGTCTACCAAATCAGGGGCTCACTACTCACTGCTGACAGCTTGAGTGGATCCCGGTGGCCAAACAAGCGTGTTAATTTTTTTTTCGCTATACGGTAAACGCAAGCCGCTCCTTGATCAACACCATTGGATACTTCAGTCATCTAGAACCCATCCTTTGAGGATCGCCTGGAAGACCACCCAATACAGTGCTCCCCACCAATCCTGCATTGGTTCACGGTGGCTAAAACAAAGGTTCGGGACCCACTTTCGCCTCCCAAGCGTGGCTCCTTCCATATGATTGGACCACATCATTTAGTCGTTTCAAATGTCACTGAATCAGGTAAAGCTCGTAAGCATTTTGCCATCGCGTGCCCTGAAACCTTTCCGGGTTTGGGTATCCGAACTACTTCACCCCAAAAGAGTAATGTATACAGAAATACCTTGTAGCAAGAATAGACACCATGCGGTGTAAGCACACTAAGAACGGCCGATCGGTCGTAGAAGAACATATAAAGGTTCCACGAAGGCGACTCTCTGAGAACTTTCCATCACAGCAAACAGCTTCTCTTCTACAACTCTCCCGCCACTCGTGTTTCGTTTACAAAAGTCATACTTCACATACTCCAAAATGCGTACTCTCATGCTCCACGGTCACGCTACTAGCGCTTTCATCTTCAAGGCGCAGACAAGTGAGTTGTCTGTCCCTTTGAAGTTCATCTTGCCTCAAACTGACGGTATCTCCAGTCCCATTCCGATCAAAGCTCGACAAGTCTTTCACTTTCGACTTCATTGATGGCCCCTACACATGCCCACCATTCCGCGGTTTGTCGACCGTGGTGCCGACTGCCTACGGCTGGATCAAGAATAATGACATCGACAGTCTCCGTGAAGCCGTTCAGTGGCTGACTCGGTACATCGAGGTGAACGGACCCTACGATTGCATCTGCTGTTTTTCCAAAGCATCAGCAGTCGTCATGGCCATGCTGATGGACGAAACTCTTGTGGATATCGAGTTGCGCGAGCGCATCATGCCCCGATCAATCATTTTCATCAACGGGAGCATTGAATACCCCTTCCTCGAGGAGCTGGGCATGCCCATTTCCGCCAAGGCCCGCCAAATCAAGTACAAGACCGAGCAGCTGGTCAAGCAGAGGACCGATGGTGTGGCAAAACTTGCCCGAACCCTTGTGAAGCCTGGTGTTGGCGGCGGTCTCTGGGATGACACTAGCAAGCTGATGCACAATCCCAATCGTCTGCCCCCGGTGTTTGATTGTTTCGGCCTGGACTTCACTTTCTTGCCCCAGGATGCTTTGCTCAGTATTCCCAGTGTCCATATTGTTGGTGCTAAGGACCCCATTTGGCCCTCTGGTGTTCAGCTGGCGTACTTGTGTGACCCAGCTAAGCGTCAGTTCTACGATCACCAGGGTGGTCATGATTTGCCCAGAACGCCCCAGGTGGGCGCTGATATTGCAGCAATCTTTAAGGAGCTGTCTTTGAAGATGAAATGCTAGATATTTCCTAGGCGCTGCATGGGGTGCACAAAGAATCATATGAAATACATTGTCGCACTTCCGAGGTGCTGGTCAAATACTATGCAGGACATATCGACGACAATGATTCATGATACATATGCAAGTGCACTTGAGGCACCATCGCCATTTCTAAACAGACTGCTTGATGGGTTCGGGGTGTTTGGTTCTTTCTTCTCTTTCTTTCTCATCTTCACTTTCCTATTATCTCTCTATATTGTATGAAATCTTCACATCTATATATAAAGCATGAAATACACAATGGCGTTATTTGTTTCAATTCTCTTGTCTTCGAGCATCTAGACTTTGTGCATGCATAGAATCCACGTTGAATGTACCTCTGATAAAGTGACGTCTAAAACCCATATTGCAAGTGGTCCCGCCCCCACAAAATAAAGACTTTGGCTGGGGTGGATACATTTCCTGATTCGACCCACATGCCAGGTGCATATTTCCTCAAACAGTAAATTTAAAGAATACTAAGATTAAGACTAAATTTGGGAAAAGCAACGTCCAGGATTATGGATTATATGCACTAGCTATACTGGGTCGTAGACTGGGAATACCCATTCAGAAAGGTCCAGAAATAACCTTAATCGCCTCATCCGCCCCCTTGACGTTCTTCAACTCTGGCATATATTCAATCACAAGAGGTTTTCTCCAGTGGATCATTTAGAATTTTGAAACTATATGCAGAATCTTATCGCTGCATTTACAGGCAGGTCTGTCCTGAGCTTTTACCAACCCAAATAGGAAATCAACTATCCTTGCCGATCATGCCATGTTATGTAGCTAGGTGTTCTAGCCCACGCCAAACCTTCAGAGAGCCCGTGTAGATCAAAAATCAGCCTCACCGCTACATCATATCATACCTAAGTCGCTCTTACTTGTCTATCCAATGGTGTGAGTGGGGGCGAATCAGGGGGCTGACAATATAAAAGTGGGTCTTCGCATTTGCTAAATTTGGCTCTTGGGGGCCAGAACCATGCGGCTCTCTCTACCTATGATGAATAAGTAAATGAATATTTGGAAAGGATAGTAATATGACGTAAACCCGGAGAAACAAGCTTTGCATTGACGAAGAAAAAATTGTTGGGCTGTGAGTTTTAGAATTTCGGTCCTTTGGTGACTTATCTGACTGCCCAAATGGGTATAGAGTGAATTCACGTCTATTTCAGGAGACGAGATGGGTCCTACGGGTATTTCGTTTGTCTTGGCTGTGGATTTGCGGTCACAGCATTTGAGAAAGAGAAGTGGATATTTAGAACTCCCTGGCAGCTGGTAGATACTACCTGGGGCAGCTAAATACTAGTAGAAGATGGGGGGTTATGGATGCTTCAACTCTGCCGCTTGCGGACTTATTGTTGGAAGCTATAGTCATGGAAAGAATACTTACTGCGGAATCTTTTAAGAATCAAAACTTAGCACAAAATGATAGACTGTTAATGAAAAAACTGAATCAGAAACGGAAAAGGACAACCGATCCATTGCGGGAAGTAACTAAATGAGCAGACAAACGACGACTGTTACTGCGAATGGATATATTCTGTTACCGTTAAAAATGATTCTACGTGATCTAAAGAGTGCAATGATATAGAAAGACCAAAATAATTTCAAAAGGTACTAGACACTTTCTATAGACATCAACGAAAAAAGATGTAAGGTGAGACAAAAGGGAAACGCTGAGATGACAAAAGGACCGTCAAGTAACGGAATGCAAAACAAACAATGACATCATCCCCAATATCCTCGCTAATCAGCGCAGTTTAGTCTCTCCATCCTTCCACAATGGAACACTTAACATCAAGGCCGTTAAGTGGCTTTGATGACAAGCTACCAATCGTAGTGAGCATTTTGTCCTCATCAAGAAGCGTGGAATCAACCAGCTCAAATTTAAAACGACCGATCCAAGCACCAAGAAGACACGCCATCTCCGCCTTAGAGAAACCTTGCGCAATACAGCTTCGCTGGCCTTGCATGAAAGAGAGGTTGACAAACTTGCTGACACAACCCCCGTTGGGGCTGAGCGTACCATCGGCATTGATCCATCGTCGGGGGTTGAACTTATTGGCATCAGGGCCCCAGAAGTTGGTATCCCTGTGAAGGCCCTTGAATGGAACGACAATCAAAGTGCCCTTAGGAACAACTTGGCCGTCGATAACAGTGTCTTCTAGAGCCTCACGCATGGTCTGCGGGATAGGCGGGTACCAGCGCAGAACCTCGTTAACGAAAGCTTGCATCATAGGCATCTGCTCGACATCGGCGCTAGTAGCACTGGGGTTCTGCTTCTCCTCATCGGGAGCATAGTTGGCGTTGGGATCAGGCAAGTGAGCACGAGCTTCATCACGGAGAATCGTCTGCCATTCGGGGTGCAGGCAAAGCATGTAAAGGGTCCAGGTAACGCCAACAGAAATGGTTTCGTGACCAGCAGCTAGGAAAGTAGTCATTTGATCGATGACACCATCCTCGTCTGCGGCCGCGACATCTTCGTACTTGAAGCACAAGCTGAGTAGATCCTTGCCTCCATTTGTCTTCTCAGCTGCCATTTGGCGTCTTTCACGGAGAAGGTCTCGGCACAAATTGCGGAACACGGGCACGGACTCGTCGAGAGTGCGGTTAATTTGACTAGGAAGCATGTTCACGAGCCATTCGGGGAACCAGATCTTGAGCATTGCGAGAGCGACGTGGCCACGAGTTGGCTCGATGGTTTTTCTGTATGCTGTTGCCAGGGGTGCATCTTCCTTTTCGACGGAGCCAAAATCCTCGCCAATGGTGGCCATACCGATAATGTCGAGAGCAGCGCGAGATGACCAGTGTCCAACTTCGAAGACCGCGTGATTGATCTGAGATTTCTGGGACTGCTCGGTCACAAGCTGTGTAAGCTTTCTTGTCACTTCGCAAGTCTTGCCCCAGAATATGGGGTACATCTCGCGAATGTGCTTTGGCGCAAAGATGGGCATGAAAACTCGTCGCTGTTGTCGGTGCTTATCGAGCTCGGACAAAACAAGACCTTCTCCTAGAATCTTGCCAGCGACGGCTCTGGCCAGAACTGGCTTCTTGAAGTCATCTACGCGTGTGACAATTTCCTGAATTGTCTTTGGTGCCGTGACGATGACTCGCGTTGTGTTCAGAATACTGCGGTAGTAGATGAGGCCATCATTGGGGATCTCATGAATCCTAAAGAACGGATTCGTTAGCTTCGTAAACATTCAGTGGCAGCCCTTAGTGAGCACTATTCGTACCATTTCCTCTCAACCTCCCCAGTTCCCGAGCGGTAAATATTCATAAAGTGGCCATTCCACCAGCTTCCGCCCTGCATGATATTAGCTTTTGCGCATACCAATTGTAATTTTCGTAGGTCTTACCTTTGGCTGGGGTAGCTTGGTGAGAGGACTAAGCCAAAGAGGCGTCAAGATCCTTGAATAGACCACCAGAGCAAACAGAAAAGCAGAGTATAAGATGGAAAAGCATCCCACGTAGCCAGCACGGGCAAAAAAGCCCTCTTGTGGTCCATGATTAACAAGAGCATATGTACCCCCAACCACGGCAATCTGAGCAAATTGCCAGATACTTATGCCCATTGTGACGTCGACAAGGGAAGTTCCAAAATTGCAAGAAGTTCGAAAGGGAAGAAAAAAAAAATCAATCTAAGGTTTTGAGATCTGCACTCAACAGTGGGCCAGCCACGGGAATGAAATGAAAGATAGACAATGAGCAGGGGAAGATGATGAATGAGTGAGATATCAGTGGTGGTGCCGCAAACACGCATGTAAGTACTTTCAGAGGCCAGTTAGCTGATCGAATTTCGAGTAAGCATTGGTTTCCTCTTTGGGAAATCTGGGGCTAGTTTCCTAAAACGGGACTCCCCAACAGGCAAAGTCCGTGTCGCAAATCTCCGCTAATGAGGCCAGAAACTAACAATAGAAATATGTAAAGTATATTTGGTAAGCCCGCCCGGTGCTAATCATGCCATAAAATAATCCTTCGTTGCCACTACATGCTTCATGTTTTCGGTGGGCCATCTTCGAACCTAGGTTTGCCAATGGTCAATTTGCAAGATTTCATGTGCTGACAACACTGATAATTTTGGCATTCATGGTGCCGATACACATCTTTTCTGCTGTATGGCATGATTCTTTTGTTGATAAATTGTTCGTAGATTTGTCTTAGCCCTGGAATTTGTACTAGCTTAACAGCCCGAAATGATTCAAGTCCGTGATAGTGGTATCTAGAAGTACTGAGATCTCTGAATTCATGGATTGACGAGACGAAACTATTCTCAATTTGCGAAAATAGCCTTTCCTCGAAACCAATGACGTTTCAAAGCTTCATGTAGGGAAGGCTGGGAGGAAACGCCTGGGCAAGACTAAGAGCGAGCAACTTTAGTTAAGTGGACGGTATTTATGCAAGTAGGTATAGCAAGTCATATAACAGTAAAATGAAAATTCTAACTAGATACTAGGCAGGGTGACCATCACGAGTAGGCGCGCGGCAAAAGGTCTTCTAATGGGATAACATCGCTTCCAAAGTGTGGGGTAATGGTTCGTGTATCATGCGGTTGTCAACTCCGAAAGCTTAAGCTAGGGTGTAGACCAGCTTCACACCACTAACTTCTCCACTGCGGATCTTCTGCACTCCACCAGGAATTCCAGACAGGCCACCATCCTCCAACTGCACGGTGTGAGGGCGGATCTTGCGTTCATCCAGCAGTGCTTGGAAGGTAGCGTACAGGGGAAGAGAGACCTCCAGGATCTTGGGCTCAGGAGGGCAGCGGAATGGGGCAGGCCAGTTGGAGCCATCACCAGCAATGCGAGTAGCCAGAATCCAGTCCGGCTCAATGACCTTGCGGTTGTGAAGGTGCTCACTGAAAGGGTTCAACGCCACATACTTTCCACCCGCACGTCCCATGGCAGCGTAGCAGAATCGCATAGATGAGTCCTCGGCAAAACAGTCGATAATGTATTCAAGCTCATTGTTGGTGTCGGCACGGATCTTAGCCGCACAATCAGCGGTCTTGTAGTCGTACACCACATCGGCACCGTATGACTTGACAAAGTCGAAGTTGTGAGGAGAGCAGGTGGTGATTGTCGGGAATCCGCACCTGAGAGGGAATGTTAACATCCAGTCATCAATTTAGATAGAGTTGGAAAACATCTTACAATTTCAACAACTGCAGAACCATAGTTCCGGTCGAGGTACTTCCACCGTAGACGAAAACAGGAGGCTTGGGCTCATCGCCCTCCTTGGGGCCGTCCAACAGACTACCGGGCCACTTAAGCGACCAGAACAAGCACATAGCAGCCGAGGCGACTGAAGTTCCCATTGCAGCTGCGTCGGTCATGGACATGTAATCAGGTACTTTCAAGCACAAGTTACCCAAGAGCTTAGAATACTGGGCAAAAGAGCCGCCCAGCGGCTTCATGTCATTCACTAAAGGAGAATCGATGTCAGCAATGAATCTAAGCAATCAAACGAAGTCCGATCTTACTTCCACTGGCGGATCCGCAAACTCGGTCTCCGACCTTGATGTTTTTGTTGGTCACGCCAGGTCCAATGGCGACGACTGTGCCTGCAGAGTCGAAGCCAAACATGACCCCCGGGGTCACGAAATCACCAATAAGCTTAGTATCCACAGGATTCAAAGCAACAGCACCAGTCTTGATCAAAATCTCGCCATGCTCCAAGGTGGGAATTTGGACATCTGATTTGAGCAGGAATTCGCCCTCTGGGCCAGCAATAATGGCCTCCTGGCGTTCGGGGATGGTAGAAGCAGACATTGTTAACGCTATGCTTGAATGAAAGTTGATGACGAAGTATATCGAGGAGAGAGAGAAGAGTAGAGTGTCGTATGATGTGTGAATTATCGGGATTTATTATGCTTTACTTGCACTTAAGTGAGATCGTGTGTTGTAGTTAACTTATATGCAACTCCGTAATTGGTACCTTGATTGCCAAAATAAACGTGGGGATGTGGTAAGCGCGCACGGATTGGTTAAACGGGCAGCCCCCACTTGGGGGCGAGAGCTTGTTTGGCCCCCGGAGTTGGCAACGATTAACATTTTACTTACTCGATTGGGAGCTCATTCAATCGCAGCCTCAGTGGGGCTTTCTAGAATCATTTTTGTGATTAGTTTGGGGGCCTTTGGGGCCCTTGCCAGATCTGGTAATGAAGAATGGTTTATTTTTGAACCCACGTGGAGTTCCATGGAGCAACATAAGGTTTCAGTCAGCTTCGATGTGTTCCGTAGATTGGGATGAAACATGGATGTTTTCGACCCCAATCAGACAATCGTCTAATCCGGCCTCATTTGGTTATCGTGTATATGGCATGATTCTCTTTGGCTCTGTTTAAGGAAACTGTTTGTTCGAGAAAATCGGGAGACTAGCTCTAGGAGGTTTCACCCGAATTCATTGTACTCTTACATCTTTTCCACTTAGCAACAATTTCGCCGCAATACCAACACAACCCCAAGCCTGCTACAAGGTGAACAACTTCTCATTCTGACAGACCAAGATTAATTCCTGTACTGCGATCCCTTCGATCATGCTGTCCACTATTATGGCCCAGAGCCCTTGGCGCATATTCGCCGTTGGCGTCGTGATTGTGCTAGTATTTGCACGCGTCCGTCGACACTTGGAGATTCGCGCCTTCAAGAAAGCCCACGGATGCGAGCCTCCTATCCGGGCTCCGCAAAAAGAGCGCATCATCGGCTGGTCTGCGTATCAACATCTGCAGAAAACCAGACGGGAGCATGTCAGCTTGCATCAGACATTCCGTAGAGCCATGGAGATTGGTCGCACCAACACGGCTGTAGTAATGGGCCAAGAGATCATTTCTACCTGCGATCCTGAGAATATCAAGACGGTCCTGGCAACAAATTTCAAAGACTATGGCATCGGTCCCCGAATGCATGCCATGGGGCCTCTGCTGGGAAAGGGCATCTTCACTACGGACGACGAGCAGTGGCAACATTCAAGAGTAAGTTCAAATCTGCACACATGTTGTTTCCTAGTAGTCAGTTGTGACTATAGCTGATCTAAAATAGGCATTGATTCGTCCTAGTTTCACACGTACCCAGGTTGCTGATCTCAGCAGTCTTGAAAATCACGTTCAGGCTCTCATCTCATGTGTCCCTGCCCAGGATGGAGCGGTGGTTGACTTGCAGCCTTTGTTCTTCAACTTGACCATCGACAGTGCCACAGACTTTCTACTTGGGCAATCAGTGAGTTGCCAAGGAAGCGCTGTGGGCTCCCCCGCATGGGAATTCTCCGAAGCTTTCGATCACGCCGAGCAGGTACTCCACAAGCGTGGTGAACTGGGTGCTTTGGCCTGGATTATCCGCGACGCCAAATTTGAGCCGGCATGTAAGGTTGTCCACGATTTTACCGACAAATACATTCGTGAGGCACTGAAAGGCGACACTAAGGCAGGCCGTTACAATCTGCTGGCAGAGCTGGCAGGTGCCTGTGATGATCCGATCCAAATCCGAAACGAACTTTTGAACGTTCTTCTTGCTGCCAGAGATACCACCGCTGGCTTACTGAGCAGTGTATTCTATCTTCTGGCGCGCAATCCTGACGCATGGAACAAGCTGAGCCAAGAGGTGGGACAACTGGACGGCAAAGCCCCCGATTACAAGTTCCTCAAGGAGATGCCCTATCTCAAAAGCGTCTTGAACGAGAGTAAGAGAGCCCAACCTTAACATACACACCTAGTCAAGGGATAACTTGGATATTAACCCTTTTAATAGCCCTCCGTGTCCTCCCCCCGGTCCCAATTAACATGCGCTTCGCCCGCAAGGATACCGTTCTTCCCCACGGTGGAGGTGCCGATGGACTGTCTCCAATGTTCGTCAGCAAGGGAAGCCGAGTATTCTATTCAATCTGGGCTATGCACCGACTCCCCGAGATCTGGGGTGATGATGCCGAATCGTTCCGCCCGGAGCGCTGGATGGATGAGAACGTCCCTCTGCGTCCTGGATGGGGTTTCCTGGTAAGTCCGCCCGGCAAATTCTTCCACTCTGTTTTCTGTAAAGGGGAGAAAGGGGGAAAAAACATCATCGCTGACGTTCCCTATCAAGCCCTTTAATGGAGGACCTAGATTGTGCCTTGGGCAGCAAAATGCTCTGATAGAGGCTAGTTACACGGTTGTTCGACTGCTGCAGGCCTTTGGTCGCATGGAACCCAGGGATCCTATGCCTTGGCAGGAGAAGCTGGCTGTGACTATGAGTAGCTTGAATGGCACCAAGGTTGCTCTCTGGAAGAGGCAATGACCCTACAGCTTGAGAGCTAATTGCGAGGTCGCTGGTAGACTTCCAGGTTCTTTGTGTTATTTCATGACAATTTGGCGCACTTCATAGTAGCTTCTTTTTCTGCCCAACAGCAACACTGTATTCACCTTCAAATTTCATTCTTATGAGCTCTTGGATAAGCTTCAAATATTGCATAATAAACCAGCAAGTCGGGCTGTGTGTAGTTAGACGGGTTGATTTATCTCGACTTGACATAGTCCAATTCACTAACCTTCTATCATATTCACCATTTCTATCCCTGAAAACACTTATGTGTCTATATCTATCATCCACTAATTATCTTTCAAGAGAAAGTATCGCGAAAGAAAACATCCAGTTGATGAGAGACAGGAACTGCATACGCACCTCAGTGGCTAGATAAAAGCTCGGTTGATGCAGCTACTGTGTTTGCATTAGATTCCGGTGTGTCATATATAGTCATATCAGCAATTCAGCTTCACATTAGTCTGTTAAATAGCAGCATATATCAGTGGTCCGGCTCGTCAAACTCAGTATGAGCGGATTAGACTTGCAATCTTTCCCGAGTCAGAGGTTCGATTATCTGTCAAATACTCCGTAACCTATGTATTCTTGAATGAGAAGGAAGGGAACAGGTGCGCATGCTATTTCAAGGGCAGATCCGTACTTCAAAGATTGGCCCTTGCAGTTGGGTGCATTTGACCGCTTTCAGGGGTTCAGCTCTAGCCGGTTTTGGGGGCTCAATTCCTCAGTCCATTCGTCCACAGCAAACTCATTTCCAAAATGAACATGTCATTTCAGCCCAGAATTCGCTCTGTAGGATATGTATCTAGTAAATTAATCATTGAAACTTATTGATTTAAAGTTTTTCGGTGTCAGCCTTGGACTTAATGCCGTGTTGCTCTAAATCTAAAGACGGGAGGTCCGCAATATATATACTTCAAGCCCACTGTCTGAAGTGCACATGCCCACAGGCCTCCATCCATCTGAGAGTAGGTACTGTACTCTTCTTCTCAATCCCAAGGCTACTCCAGGGCTGTAGGTACCCAGAACGCGATACCAGAATATTGTATTTCATGCAGGTGGCCACCCATGGTGAGACTCCAGGCCGCTACTTAGACGTGAACTTCACCTACCTATGGCCAGGGAGGCTCTGTTTAGTAATTTAGACTTTCAAAGATTGTCCCTATTATCCTTGCAGAATATTCTTGAACCACCAGGTCGGTAGCCAATGGCTTAATCTTGATCAAATTAAAAAGTTTAACTTTATATACCAATAAGCTTCTTGTGTCGTTCAACCCAGGCCAATGGCTTTGATCATTATGGGAAACTCCTTGAAATGATGGAATGAAACGTAGATGATAAGAATGAAATTCCAAAGCATTTATAGAATCTCCAAAATAGTAGGTCTAGTATGAGCCAAGTACAGCAGTCCCAGTGCAATTTAGGACTCATTGGGACCAGCCCAATCATAGACCAATTGCACAACCCTCTCCTCCTCGTCTTTCCTCGCCACTGATCGTCGAACATATCTCCTGGTTCCATCAATAGTCATGAAGCCCCAGATCGTAATGCTCTTCCAGCCTACTGTCTTGACTTCAATCTCAATAACCTCCCCCTCCCAGTCGCATCCACCAGACCCAGCACGGTCTCGCAATACAACCTCCAGATCCTTTGGCTCGCTGAATCGCGACCGAACGGTCATGTTTCCAAAGATCAGATGGGGTTGGTCCCGGGGCTCCCAATCAAGAACCCTCGTCTCCTCAACAACCTGACCCATTGAGGTTTGGATCGAATCAACTTTGATCACGCCGGCCTCGTCTGTGGACTGTCTGAGAGTGACGGAGATCGACGTGTTGGCAAGCATGCTTCGAACGATCCAAGGCACACCTTGGAGCTCCATGATGGGTTTGGCATCGTCGGAAAGCTCCGAGTTCTAGATTGATGTAAGTGGGTCGCGTCGCGCGCGGGTTTTAATATCAGAGGCCAATAGACGTACCGAATCCCATCTCCCACTGAGGTCGCGGACGGTGATTTCTGATGGCGCAGCCATGATGTAAGTTTGCTCTGGAAGGATTGTCGGGAATAGCTGAGAGGAAGAGGTTGAGAGGGTGGATAAAAGCGAAAGAATGAAATTTTAAACAACCATGTGCTTACGTTCAGTATCTACAAGGCATGCGAAGATGGATTATTGATGCCAAGAGTAGCATAAGCTGTGACGAATACGGTAGTGAGCTACGGTAGCCCCCAAAGTAAGTTTTAAAAAGTTGAAACATTGAGTTAGTCTGCGTGGGATGCCAAAAATAGGGATTCTGCCCCCGGAGTTTCAAGTTTAAGCCTTGAATGACTAAGATTAAGATTAAGAAGAATTGCAGGGGATGACGATCCTTCCGAGTCTGCAGAGGCGCGCTAAAGAACACTAGCTCGGCGCTAGTCCGAGGGCGGTAAGGTGTGTGGTTTATAATTAAGTCCGGAGTAAAATTGCTGAGAGTTGTCAGCCGGCCCCCACAATCTTCCATGAACATCCCCCTAATGGAGTAATGGTGAGCATGAACTTCCAAGCTTCGGGGTCCCACTGGGGAAATTGGGGGCTATCTCTACGGCCTATCCTTCTGGATTACTGCGGATACGCGATCCAAAGGCCCCCACGCTGCAACCATGTGCGACCTCGCCACGTGCAGGCGCGCTTGTTCGAGGCTGATGAAGGATGAGTTGCTTTAAGTACCTCCAATGCACCACTTCATCAATCTTCATACCAGCTCATTCTCTACTCTTCGCATTCAATACAATATTCCCCCGGCTCTCTTAATAGAAAGTTCACCAGCCACGCATCTCAAAGCGACTTTGATATTTATATCCATTACTCTTTCGTCTATACAACTTAACCTTCTTACTCAACCTCAACATCCAAAATGGCTTACCCCAACGAACCTATTGCTGTCATCGGTAGTGGCTGCCGCTTCCCCGGTGGTTCCTCCTCGCCATCGAAACTCTGGGACTTGATGAAATCGCCGCGGGACGTCGCTAGCAAGATCGACCGTTTCAGTGCCGAGGGTTTCTACCACAAGGATGGCAGCCACCATGGCACTAGCAACGTGCTGCACTCTTACCAAATTGAGGAGGACACCCGCGAATTCGATGCCCAGTTCTTCTCCATCCCTGGTTCCGAGGCCGAGGGCATCGACCCGCAACAACGAATTCTGATGGAGGTGGTCTATGAGGCTCTGGAAGCCTCGGGCCACAAGATCGAAGAGCTGTCTGGCTCCGCAACCGGCATGTACGTCGGTGTGATGTGTAACGACTATGCGCATATTACCTACCACGATCTCGAATCTATCCCCAAGTACGCCGCGACGGGAACTGCTTCGTCCATTCTTTCTAACCGAATCTCTTACTTCTTCAACTGGTAAGCCTTTTTCCAGAATCACAAGCGCATTGACAGATAAGCTGATACTCTTGACAGGAATGGTCCCTCCATGACCATTGACACCGCTTGCTCCTCCAGCCTTATCGCGACACACCAAGCAGTGGAGCTGCTTAGAAAGGGTGAATCTAACCTGGCTGTCGCTGCTGGAGCTAATTTAATTTTTGGACCCACCAACTTTGTGGCCGAGAGCAATGTTAACATGCTTTCCCCCACTGGCCGCAGCCGCATGTGGGACAACAAGGCTGATGGATACGCGCGTGGTGAAGGTGTCGCCGCCGTCATTCTGAAGCGTCTGAGTGACGCCATTCGGGACGGCGACACCATTGACTGTGTTATTCGCGAGACCGGTGTGAACCAGGATGGCCGGACCACTGGTATCACTATGCCCAGCAGCGTCGCCCAGGCCGAGCTGATCCGTCAGACATACGCCCGGGCTGGTCTCAACCCTCACACTGACCGCTGCCAGTACTTCGAGGCCCATGGTACAGGTACCAAGGCTGGTGATCCTCAGGAGGCTGGTGCGATCTACCGCGCTTTCTTTGAAGGCAACGAAAACACCGACTCTGACGACAAGCTGTACGTTGGATCCATTAAGACCATCATTGGACACACTGAGGGAACTGCTGGTATTGCGGGCTTGCTTCGAGCCTCGCTCGCTATGAAGCATGGCTTCATTCCTCCCAACATGCTTTTCGAGGAACTCAACCCTGATATTGAGCCTTACTACGGCCGTCTTGAAATTCTCAAGGCTGCTAAGCCCTGGCCCAAGCTCCCTGCTGGTGTTCCTCGTCGTGCCAGTGTCAACAGCTTTGGATTCGGTGGTGCTAATGCCCACGCCATTATCGAGTCTTACGAACCCGAGATTCACATCCAAGCTGTCACTCGCAGCTCTATCGCGGCAGTACCTTTCATGTTCTCGGCCAACTCGGAGAAGTCCTTGGTCAGCCAGATTGAGACCTTCCTGTCTTACTCCGAGGACATTGATGAGGAGAGCATCAACATTCGCGATCTTGCCTGGACTCTTTCGCGCCGATCTGCCTTCCCCATGCGCGCGCCCTTCTCGGCTCTCACCCTGGAGACCTTGCGCAGCAAGCTGACTGCCGCCCTCGAAGCCAAGAAGAGCGACGGAACCGCTCTTGGTGTGCGTCCTGCTCATAAGACCAACACCATCCTGGGTGTCTTCACCGGTCAGGGTGCCCAGTGGCCCCGTATGGGTTACCACCTTGTCGAGGCTTCTCCATTCGCCGCCTCCCTGATGAACTCTCTGGATGCCTCTCTTCAGTCCCTCCCTGAGCAGGATCGTCCCAGCTGGTCTCTGCGGGATGAGCTTGCCAAGTCTGCCGATGGCTCCCATGTCATGGAGGGAACTTATTCCCAGCCCCTGTGTGCCGCCGTGCAGATCATCCTCGTTGAGCTGCTCAAGCAGGCCGGCATCACATTCGATGTTGTTGTCGGTCACTCCAGTGGAGAGATTGGTGCTGCCTTTGCCGCCGGCTTCTTGAGTGCCCAGGATGCCATCCGCATTGCCTACTACCGTGGTCTCTTCGGTAAGCTCGCTGCTGCCCCCAACGGATCGGCCGGTACGATGTTGGCTGTTGGTACGTCCATGGAGGATGCCAATGAGCTTTGCAAGCTCTCGACAATGAAACGATTCGGACAGTTCAACGTGGCCGCTAGCAACTCTTCATCCAGTGTTACCATGTCCGGTGATCTTGCCGCCATCGAACGGGCCAAGTTCATCTTTGAGGACGAGAGCAAGTTTGTTCGCTCGCTCAAGGTCGACACCGCCTACCACTCTCACCACATGCAGCCCTGCTCTGACCCATACATGGACGCCATGGCCCGCGTCAAGGTCGCCATCCAGGAGCCCAACCCCAACTGCAAGTGGTACTCCTCGGTACTTGGCGGTGACCTGGTCACCAGTGACATGAACGAGCAGCTCGCCGGCTCCTACTGGAAGGACAACCTGTTGCAGCCTGTTCTGTTCTCTCAGGCTCTTGAGAGCGCCCTGGAGAAGAACGGTGCGCCCGCTCTGGCCCTTGAGGTTGGCCCTCACCCTGCCTTGAAGGGTCCGGCCAGTATGGTGATTGAAGAGGCCTTGGGTACTACCATTCCCTACTCTGGCGTGCTCGGCCGCAAGTCAAACGATGTCGAGGCCTTCACTGACGCCATCGGAGCTGTCTGGGCTAATGTAGGTGGCGCTAACGTGTCCTTCGGATCCCTCGACGCCGCTTTTGCAACCAAGGAATCTGCCGATAAGCCTGAATTCTTGCGCACCATGCCAGGCTACACCTGGGATCACAGCCAGACCTTCTGGGCCGAGTCCCGTGTCTCGAAGGCGATGCGTATGCGCCAGCACGGTCACCACGAGCTGTTGGGTGTTCGCATGGACAGCGGCGAAAACGAGTTGCGCTGGCGCAACTTCCTTAAGCCAACTGAAATCACTTGGGCCCGTGGTCACTCTATCCAGGGACAGACCATCTTCCCCGGTGCTGGCTTTGCCTCCATGGCCATTGAGGCAGCTAAGGCGTACGTGGATGATCTCGGTGAGACCATGGACCTTGTGGAGCTTGAGAATCTGCGAATTCACTGGGCTTTGAGTTTCTTGGATGAGACCATCGGTTCCGAGGTTACTGTGACCATTTGCAACATCCAGCGGGATGAGTCTGCTGATATGATTGAGTGTGACTTCGTGTGCAGTGCTTGCCCTACCAAGGACGCAGCTTTAACCACCATCTCTACTGCCCATCTCAAGCTCACTCTTGGATACGGCTCTGCTGAGACTCTCCCTTCGCGTCCTGCAGCAAATGAGGCCGACAAGATGACTGAGCTTGATGCTGATGTTTTCTATGACTCTCTGGCCAAGCTGGGCTACAACTATGCCGACATGTTCAAGACTATCACTAGCTTGAACCGCAGGAAGCTGGCTTCCACCGGTGTCATCCACACCGCCACTGAGGAGGACTACGACACCAGCCTAATTGTCCACCCGGCTCCTCTCGATGTCGCTTTCCAGGGCCTGTTTGCCGCCATTGGCTCTCCCGGTGACGGTCAGCTCTGGACTTTGATGGTTCCCACCATCATTCACTCCATCAAGGTCAATCCCTTCACCTGCAACCAGACTGGCTGCCTCAACAGGAATTTGTCTTTCGAAGCCAATGTGCAGGTTGAACGTTCAAACCAGCAGGTTGGTGGTGACATCGATGTGTATGATGATGCCGGCAACGCAATGATCCAGATTGAAGGCTTGCAGGTCACTCCTGTCACTCAGATCACTGCTCGTGATGATGCCCAGAAGTTCTCTGACACTACCTGGGGCGATGACAAGGCCGATGCAGCCCGCGCTTACACCGAGTTCTGGAACTCGGAGTCCGAGAAGACCCGCTGGGAGGAGTCCTACTTCGTTGAGCGCACCTGCTTCTACTACATGAAGCAGCTGCACGATGCCATCAAGCCTGAAGAGATCGAGGGTCTGGAGGTGCAGGCCAAGAAGTATCTCACCTGGGTCGCTTCTGTGATCGAGAAAGTGGAGGCTGGATCGCACCCTACCATCAAAAAGGAGTGGCTGAATGACACTTTCGAGAAGCTCGAGGGTCCCATGTCTGAGTAAGTCGTCTCTTTCCCTAACAGTATCCCTGAATGGACTCACTAACAATCTATACAGGTTAGCCCAGGAGCACGAGGAATTGCACCACCTGATGACCCTTGGAGACCAGCTCATTCCCTTCATTCGTGGGGAGGTCTCTCTTGTGGAACTTTTCGATGATTTCGAAGTCATTGACCGCATCTACCAGACCGGATACGGAATGCCCCAGTTCCACAGCTTCTTTGGTGACTTGGTTGAGCAGCTCACCTTCAAGGCCCGTCAAATGGATATCCTTGAGGTCGGTGCTGGCTCCGGATCCGCCACTGAAGCCATCATGAGCCGCATCGATTACCACTATGGCTCGTACACATACACTGATGTCTCTGCCTCCTTCTTCCCTGAGGCCCAGGAGCTCTTCAAGGACCAGGATGGAAAGATGGTCTTCCGCACCTTTGACATGGAAGAGGACGCTGTTGAGCAGGGCTTCCATGAGCGCAGCTATGATCTTATTGTCGCCTCAAATGTTCTCCACGTCTCCAAGAACGTCGAGGAGACATTGAAGAATCTGCGCAAGCTTCTTAAGCCAGCTGGTCACCTCGCCCTCCTTGAGGTCACTGACCTCGACCACGTCCGCTCATCATTCTACGCTGGCTCTAAGCCTGGCTGGTGGGCCGCTGAGGATGGCCGTGAGCCCCAGCCCTTGCTCCCCCAGAGCGGTTGGGATGCTGCTCTGAAGAAGACTGGCTTTTCTGGTATTGACACCGCGACTCCCGAGACCCACATGTTCACTGTCCCATACAGTGTCATGTTGAGTCAGGCCGTTGACTCTCAGATTCAACTCCTGCGCGAGCCCCTCAGCCCCGAGAATACTGATTCCATCAAGCTGCCTAAGCTTCTCGTTATTGCTGGTCAAACCGAGGCCACGGCTAAGCTGCAGGGTGAGATCCTCGCACTTCTCGAGCCCTTCAGCTCGGAAGTTCAGATTGTTTCTCGCATTGAGGACCTGACGGAAAGTCACTTCGAGCCTAAGCAGCTTGTCCTTAACTTGATGGAGCTTGACACCAACCTGTTCGGACCCCTCACTGCTGAGCGCTGGAGCGCCCTTCAGACTCTGACTGAGAACTCGCAAAATATCCTCTGGTTGACTCACGGTGTTGGTGCTGAGAACCCTTACGCTAACATGATTGTTGGTGTATCCCGTGCTTTGGTTCACGAGAAGCCCGACCTGAAGATCCAGGTCATTGACTTTGCTGATGGTGAGCCCATTGACACAAAACTTGTTGCCAGTGAACTCGTGAAGCTGCACATTGCTGCTGTCTGGAGAACCTGGTCTCAGCCCTATGTCACCACCTGGGTCTTGGAACGCGAGACTCGCTTCGTCGGTGGAAAAGCCAGGATCCCCCGTGTTGGACCCTGCAAGCCTCTGGATGCTCGCTACAACGCATCCCGCCGCAAGATTTACGAGGAGGTTGACCTTAAGAACTCTGTTGTCGCCATTACCTCCAAGCAGGGTGTCTGCGATGTGAAGGAGGTGCGCAAGCCATTCTGGGCCGTTGCCGAGCCTGAACTTATTGAGGTTGAGGCTGTTCGTTCGACCTTGGCACCTCTGGCAATTCCCTCGCTCGGATCTCTCCACCTGATGGTTGGTAAGATTGCTGGCACTGAGCAGACCGTTCTTGCCCTGTCCGAGACTCTGCAATCTAAGGTCTCGCTCCCCAAAGACCTGACCCTCTCCGTGGATGTCTCACTTGACCAGGCTCAGGAATTGCTCGTCTCTGTTGCCAGCTACCTGCTTGGTGACTACCTCCTCTCCCACTCGGCTAAGGGCAAGTCTCTCATGGTCCACGAGCCTACCCCCGCTCTGGCCGCCGCTCTGAAAGATCTGGCTACTGAGCGCAACATTCCCCTCAGTCTGACCACATCTTCCCCGTCCGATGAGCTGCAGTACATTCACCCCCGTGCCCACCGACGCACTATCGTGGGTGCATTCCCCGCCAAGCTGTCTGCTTATGCCAACTTCCCCAGTGCTCACGACTCTTCCAAGTCGGGCGAGCACATCGAGAAGTACCTCCCCTCTCATATCAAGCGGGTGTCTGCCAACTCCTTCCTGGGTGAGCTGGCTTACCTGCAGCCGCAATCCCAGCCTGAGGCTGCCCTCGAGCTGCTCCAGAAGGGACAGGCTTTCTTCGAGGCTCACTCTGATCTCGACACCACCGAGCGAGTGCAGCAGGTCAGCTTGGATGAGGCTCCCGGCTTCGAGCGCGATCTGGCCAACGCCACTCTTGAGGTGGTCAACTTCGATCAATCGGTCGCCTTCGGTGCCCTTTGCCCTCCTGAGGATGATGTTCAGTTCCGCTCTGACAAGACCTACTGGCTTGCTGGTCTCACCGGAGAGCTTGGTCTTTCCCTTACTCGCTGGATGGTTGAGCGTGGTGCTCGCTACATTGTTCTGACTTCTCGCAACCCCAAGGTCAGCGAGAAGTGGATCGATTCGGTGCAGTCCACTGGCGCCATTGTTAAGTGTCTCCCTATGTAAGTCGAACTCCCTCAATCACCCTACACCCTCTTACTAACAATATTTCCTAGGGACATCACCAACGCTGAGTCGGTCATGAAGACTTACGCTCACATCACCTCGGAGTTCCCTCCTATTGCTGGTGTCTGCAACGGTGCTATGGTGCTGAACGATGGTGTTCTTGCCAACCAGTCCTTCGAGGACTTCAACGCTACCTTGACTCCCAAGGTCAAGGGTACCCAGTTCCTCGACTCCCTCTTCCAGAAGCCCGACCTTGACTTCTTCATCATCTTCTCTTCGCTCTCCTTCGTGACTGGAAACATTGGTCAGTCCAGCTACGCCGCTGCCAATTCCTTCATGGTCAGCGTCGCCGAGGGTCGTCGCAAGAAGGGTCTTGCCGGCTCCGTCATGAACTTGGCCGGTATCTTCGGTATTGGATACATCACCCGCCGCGATGTCAAGCTCCTGGACCATCTTGCCAAGATGGGTTACGAGAACATCTCCGAGTGGGACTACCTCCAGTTCTTCGCCGAGGCCGTGAAGTCTGGTAAGCCCGAGACCAGTGCCCAGTACCCGACCTGGGAGATCCACTCCGCCATCAAGCCTGTCGACTCCGACGCTAAGAACCCCCCTCCCTGGTTGGAGGTTCCCCGATTCTCCTGGTACCGCCGTGTTCGCGCCAGCGCCTCCCAGGAAGGTGAGGGTGGTGCAGCCTCCGTCCGCGACCAGCTCAAGGAGCAGACTACCATGGAAGGTGTCAACAAGGCTCTTATGGAGGGTTTCGTGGCTGTCCTCTACAAGCTTCTGGGTATGCGCCCTGAGGATGGTGCCATCTCTCCCAGCACCCCTCTGATCGAGCTGGGTATCGATTCCCTGGTTGCTGTTGACATGCGAGTCTGGTTCTCGCGCGAGCTGGATCTCGACCTGCCAGTCTTGAAGTTGCTTGGTGGTGCTACTGTTGAGGATATGGTTGAGGATGCTATCTCAAGACTTTCTCCTGAGTTGATCCCCAATGTCCAGGAAGCTCAGACTTCTACCGAAGGTGCTGAGGGTGAGGCCAAGGAGGAGAATGCCGCGGATTCGGAATCCCAGAGCAGTGGTGAAGTTGCTACTTCCACGGAGACCACACCTCCAGCAAGTGAGGCTGACTTTAACGATTCTAAGAACCAATAGATATATAGATCGCGTTGATTTTATGCATATGTGTTTGAAGTTATGTTGTTTATATAATTAAATACAAATTGCTTTTGCTGTCTGAATGCTTTTCTCTTGATCAAAATGCTTCCTTCGTGTTCCTAAATGAACAAAGGTTTTTGTAGGCTTTCCACTTAATTTTGTCTTTATCAATTTCAATGTTCCCTTTCCGATTATTCCTCTCGGTCGCTTTAGAAAATTCACACTACAACACGAAATGGTGATAAGTTAGCAGCGAGAATACTTGATGGACGCGCTCTCAGTCGTCCTTGTTTAGTAGTACTCCCCCGATCGCTTGAGTGATGTGTCCGATCTAGTTCCACAGACTGAAGGGGATTCTCTATCTGTTGAATTATACTTCCAAGCTCATCATATCACACCGAATGTCGACAGCGTCCCATTTTATTTTTAGGACAGCTGAAAGTTGAAATTGGGTAGGCGACCTTGTACTTCACAATAGACTGGTCATTTGAAAATAAATAGATCACAGGATCACAATGTTACCTTAACAGCTTACGGCCACTGGCTCTATTATCTGTTTTGATCATGACCCCGTTTTGAGTTGCTAGTAGGTTGACCAAAGCATAGCAAGTCTCAGATTAAATTGCCTGGGCCCCGGGGTGTCTTCACGTCGCCAATATTCAGAGGAAATTAAAATCGTGACTTTCCACAAAGTCTTAAACTCGATTTTAAATCTCAACAAGTCCAATGTATAAGGTCTAAACATACTCTGAACGGTCTAATGATCGAGAACTCAATTTGAAAGGGAATCTTAACATGGCTGAAATCCCTTGTATCAATTTGAAAGGATATAGGCTACAAATGACAAGTAATAAGCTAAAAATCCATCATCTGCGGATAAACGTTACAAATATGCTATTTCTGCATCTAAGCAGCAATAGCCTCCTTCTTCTCGGGGACTACGTTCTGAGTAGCCGCGGCCGTCGCGGCGGCAATCGCCGCAGCCTTCTTTGCACTTATGTATCCCTTAACAAAGTCCGACATGAGGTCTTCTTTCGATTCTTCCTTCTGTGGGTTCAAGCCCCAGGCAGTGGATGAGGAGTCAAGAAGGGTTGCACGTCTCATATCACGGACATACTTGCCAGCGAAAGAGCCTCCAGCCGCTTTGTGCATAACGCAGGTGTTGTCCTGTATTTCATATTAGCATTATCTCTCAACTCCAGGACCTACAGATGCCGACTCACCCAAATGACAATATCGCCATCATTCTCCCACTCAATTGTGAAAGTGTACTTATCCTGGGTAGCATGGTCAAGCAAAGCCTGGATAACTGGCTGGCTATCTTCCTTCGTCCATCCGTCGAAGTGGTGTCCATGAGCAGCAATGTACAAATTCATTCTCCCACTAGCCTCGTGCAGCTGCACAAGCTTGTGGCGAGCCATCGAGTTCTTCTCCGCAGGCATATACTTTAGGAAATCACAGTCTGGTGCCGCGAGGCGACGACTATGCCAGATAGAATGCCAAAGGACATAATCCTTGATCTTATCCTTCGTCTCCGCATCGAGATCATCATATGCAGTCCTGGTATCGGCAAATGCGGTACCACCACCAGTTCCCTTAGGAGGCAATTGGTGAGCGCGGAGAATGGAAAGTCCCACTCGGCGGTTATTGTAAGAGCAATCAACGTGGAAAAGATTGTTTCCCTGACCAAGCTGATACTTCAAGCTGTCTTTCTGAAGAATCGAGCCGTCGTCTTCGATGTTGGATACATCTGTGAGCTCGACGAAGGGATCGAGTCGGTATTTCTTGCCAGGCGCAACAAAGACGGTGGACGAGTCGAGCTCGCCAAGTTGGCGGGCGAATGCGACATGACGTGCATCGTCTAGCTGGGCTCCACGGAACACGAGAACACCATACTTGGCCATGCCATCGCGGATGATCTGGATCTCATCTTCAGGTAGAGGCCTGGAGAAATCGATTCCATGGCACTCTGCGCCAATAGTGGGGTGGAGGGTCTTGAAGGAAACTTGGCAAGTGTCGTTGGATGCCATTGGGGCGATAATGGATTTATGACGTAGAAAGGATTTTGCGTGGATACTTTTCGAAGACAAGAATTCTTGGACTCACTTGGCGTACTTGGCGGACGCTTGATTTATAGTCTGATGGATCTCACGTTCCCGAAGGTTGTTCCCGATATCTCACGTTGGATCTTATAGAAATGAATGCCCTAAAAAAGTAAAAAAAGCCACCGAGCTCACCGGACTCTTCTACTGAAACAGCAGGGATAGACATCCTGTCGACAGTCCTGGAGCGCTAGAAAACCAATAGCCGGTATAGTAGTAACAGGGGATATATTATTATACAAGACAGCCCCTCTTCTACACTTGGTTTCAGCCAATCACGGACTATGGCTCGGATCTGGCTTTTACTAGATATCAGGGGAGTCAAGAAGACCCCAATCTTACTGTGCTGAGCTGGTTTTACGATACGCTTCTGCTAGACCCGATTACCCTATATGGTTTAGCTCTGTTTTAGTATTTCAAGGTAACATTGCCAAGGATCCAAATTTTATGCAGGTCCCAACATTCGTATTGTAACCTCTCCAGGGCTGAAACGTACAGCCCTATAGACTAATTACGTGCAGAATTTGGGGGCAACGACTTACCGCCCCTATGCATGATGATCGGACATTCGTTTTTGGAAAGGAAACTCCAGGACAAGAATGGCCCCCCAATCGATCGTTGGGGGCTGTTATTAGGGGCGATTGAGCGCGCTTAGGTCCGAGCTTTTACCTAGAGGGGTATTAATATGATACTGCTTACACGTTCCGAAACCATTCAGTCTTGACTATTTTCATTGTGACATGTTATGATTCTTGCCTATAGCCAGGCCTGGACAATTACGGTTGGCGCACGTGTCTCTGCCAGAGAAGAACGGTCATTCGGATCGATGAATATGTACCTCTAAACATTTATCAAGTTCACTAGTCAATAAAATATCCCATGGCAGGGTGCTTTCAAGGTTATATAAAGTCCGCAACCTAAAACGAGCCTTATTTATAGATTACCTGTTCAGGAAGCAGATTGACAAAGTTGAAGTTTCCGAATTTGACGGCCCCCATATGTTCTTGCCACACAGTAAAAAGGAACTGGACTCTAACAGTCCTTTAATTAATTTATCTGCACGAAGACGTCTACTACGGGCAAGCGAGAATAGAGCTCACATGTCAACTTGAAAACACTTGATCCATTCTTTCTTCGCTTCACAATTACATCCTGACTTAGCAAAGCTTCATATATGAAACATGCCGGAACGTCTAGGGCAAAAGTCTGTTCTTATAACAGGGTAAGTTAGCATGGGAGGATCATCTCAGTTGATGTTTACTAACATCAAATTTAGCTGCACACCTGGAGGCATCGGTCATGGCCTTTGCCACGAGTTTCACAAGCAAGGTATCAAGAAATGTCACTATGGAACACTTCCACGGCTAACAATGGTTCAGGTTTACATGTAATTGCCACCGCTCGCGATCTATCAGTTCTGAAAGAATTAGCCGCCCTGGGCATGAGCACCGTCCAACTAGACGTGACAAATCCCAGCAGCATTGAGAAATGCCACAAAATTGTCACCGGGCTGACTGGAGGCCGTCTGGATATTCTGGTCAATAATGCGTAAGCTCATATCCCGACTATGTCTTGAATTCTGTCAATGGTGCTAATAGCTCCATTATGTAGCGGTCGCACACACACGCACCCCGCGCTAGATCTCGATATCCAGGACGTACGAACAACATTTGAGACCAATGTCTTCGGTGTTATGGCAATGGTGGCGGGGTTCTCGGATCTTCTGATTGAAGCCCAGGGCTTGGTCATCAACGTTGCATCTTTGGCGGCTTTAGTACCGTACGCCTTTGGAAGCGCGTACTGTGCTAGCAAGGGGGCGATCGTTAGTTACAGTCGGACTCTGCGTCAGGAGCTACGACCTCTTGGTGTGAGGGTCATGGTTTGCATGGTCGGCACTGTGAAGTCGAACATTCACAATCGGGCACATAGGTCTTTGCCTGAGAACTCGGTTTATCAACCTATCAAAGAGGTTTTCCAAAAGCGTCTGACGTTTGTGAACAACAACAGCCCTTATGATACTGAGTCATTTTCCAAAGAACTTGTTGCAAATTCGCTGAAGAGTGAAGTGCCGTGGTTATTCAGAAGTTGGGTTGGGCGACCGGACTGGTTCTATTATGGTGGGCTGGCATGGCTGTTGTGGTGGGGCTCGACCCTGTTTGGCGAATGGGTGGTGGATTATGTTTGTTGGAGGATGTTTGAATTATGGAAATTGGAGAACTTGCGATCGCGGGTTGAGGAGGTCCATGACGTAAAGCCTTCCAAGGATGAATAGACTACTTTATAGCACTAATGGGCGTATTTGTTCATAATTAACTACTCGATTTCTGGATTATAGAGATTCCCAGTAATATCAGATGCATGTCACGTGCTTTATATTGATTTACTGGAAATGATAAGATTGAGTTGGAATGAACCCTACGTCAGAGGCTGGAACTAGGCACCATTGATAAGATGGCTCCGAGGTATCATCTATGTCGTAATCCATGCCTACTCGTTGCTATGTTGAATTTCAGTCGTGCCTCACCGTGGCTGAGTGTTAAGGCAGCAAAGAAAACAAGCCAGCCGCAAATCGTTTCGACGAATCAAGACTATAGCTTGGCCCACAACTCCACAGGCATCAAGATTCATGACTCTTTCTCATTTAAAGTATTTCCCACAGGGCAAACAAGCTTCCCACTCTAGTCGATCTCGACTCGCAGTGTATACCCAATTCGGTGATGTTGATGCTTTCGCGCAAGGTGATTGGGGGACAAGTGTGGAGGTGGGGTCAGCCCAACGACCATCCAAATCACGCTAAGTGGCGGTGCAGCCTTCATGGCCCCCAAACATATCGTTAATAATACCTTCTTCCCAGCCCGGAGAGGTAGTCGATCTTCCCGCGTATCTACATTATTAAAGCAAGATATCCCCCCCGGTCATGGTTTATTGTGGAAAACCCAGCAGAGGCTGTGGTCAGTGTCGGGCCCGCAAGGTCCGATGTGATCAGGCCCAACCGGCTTGTTCGCAGTGCTTGAGGGCCAAGCGGGAATGCCCCGGCTATCGCGACCAGTTATCGTTAATGTTCCGCGATGAAAGCAAATCAGTGGTGAGGAAGGCAAAAGCGGAGGCAAAGTCGACTTCACCTCCGGCCAAGGCCACCAAATCGAAACAGACAACCCAATCGACTCGCACTGATACCCCGGAGGGGCAACGTACAGCATCCCTAAATTGGAATCCTTCGCCCCCGGCTAACCTTCCGGGGCCGGATTTCCCGTTCAACTTCAACTTGGCTCCACAGTATATTATGCCCGATGCATGGGTTATTCCCATGGAGGTTCAACCTGCAGCCCCGACTAAGGAGGATGCTATCTGTTATTTCATGCGCTCCCATGCTTTCCCGGGCGCATTTTGGAATACCGAGATGATGTCCAAATTCCTGATGCAGTCTGGTGGACCCACAAGTCAGAGTGCCATGCAAGCCAGTATGGGCGCCGTGGCTTCTGCCATGTTGTGCCGTGTTAAAAAGGTCACGTCGCTTATGGAGGTGGCACGAAAGGAGTATGTCTCGGCACTAACACTGCTAAATGACGCACTGGCCAACCCAGAAGAGGCCAAGTCCAATCAAGCGCTCGGAGCGGTCGTATTGCTCGCCATATACGAAGTAAGCGCATTGAAGGATTCAATGAATGTATGCTGATCCACCTCGCACAGGTTGTCACTTCGAGAGCCCCGCAGGATATTGATCTTTGGACTAACCATATAAACGGAGCGATGGCCCTCCTGGAGATGCGCGGTCCCGATCAACTCAATACTGAAACTGGCCTTCGTCTTTTTATGCACTTGCGGTATCAAATTGTCCGTCTCTCCCTTCAATCCGCCTTCTTGGTTCGCCCGTTAACCTCCACCCTACTCAGATCATCAGCTGTATGCAACGAGACGTCCGAGTCCCCGAGTCTCTCTTGGAGAGCTCGCGGTATATCCTAGACCTCCGCCCGAGCGAGGCCTATAGTAACCGATTAATCATTATCATCGGTCGGCTCTCCAACTTACGGGCCGACGTTATCGCACGCAAAATAACAGATGACCAACAAATTATTGCGGGCGCCTCGGCCATCGAAGCCGATCTAATCGCTTGGCTCGCCGGCTTGCCCCCAGTGTTCTCCTACGAAATCCGCGTGAAAGATCGTTTCGACTTTCAGTTCCAACAAAAGTGTCGGGGTTTGGCTCTATACGACGACCAGTATCATATATACCCCACTCTCTGGTCTTGCAACTCATGGAATCAATACCGCTGTGCCCGCATCATCGTTAGTGAAATGATCTTGACCCACATTCGACAAATGTCCGATTCCGCCTCGATGAGGTCCCTCTCGGAGGAGTTCCGACAGCAATGCCACTCCCTCCGGGCCACCATTCGTCGCCTTGCGATTGACATTTGCCGGAGCGTGCCCTACTGCCTAGGTGTACACCATCATGAATCGGATCCAAACCTTCCACCACCAGATAGTTATCTTGGTGGACTAGTTCTTCTGTGGCCAATGTACTTGGCCGGTACCGCTGAGAATCCAACCCACCCGCTTCGCCGGTGGGTAGTGCAGTGCCTACGTATGATCGGCCACACCTTTGGCTTGGATCAAGCCCTAGCGCTGATGGACATTGTTGCCGCGGATCCGGGAATTCTGAGTACTGTGACTGAAGAAGGCCAAGGTCGCATCACCGAGGAGTCTTCCTCGGGCATGTCAACCTCGCAAACTCCCTTGGAATTGGATAATTTTTCCCTCCATCAGTCACCCGGGTTAATGGAAAGCTTCTGATGGTCTAGTATTACTGAGCCTTTTTTTTTTTCTCTTTTTGTTTTTGTTTTTTATTTTATATCCCCAAGGGTTGTGCATTTTGTGTGTTATTGGAGGGCGGAGTTGGAAAGCGGATGACTGGCGCTCGGATATCATGATTACGACCCATTTCTCTGTAGAATGCGACTATTGCTTCTAAGAAAGTATATCAGTTTTAATTCTGACCACTAATAAATTCCCCACGTACATATTCTCCGATTGGCTTCCTACAAAGCCCTTTCCCGCAGCAAATCCGCCTTGTGGGGTCATTTATTGGCGGGGCTGTGCCAATTTACCAACTCCGCCTCGTTAAACAAACAACAGCCCGAGTGACTTAGGCATGGATAATTGAAACCCTTGCCCACTTCGCCCCGAGCTACTTTCCCGCCATTTAAGCCACGCGCTAAGGTGGTATCCGTGCATAGTCTTATAACTTTCGCTATATGAAATTAGCGCAGTGCATGCCTTATACTAAGCTCTTGTGGGCATTTCTGCCTTGTCATGCCCCAAGCGCATGGTTGCACATTCTAAATTTCATGAACACGAGACAATATGTATGTCATACCTCACCACGTAAACTTTGTTCGATTTGAGGCTCTATTGCAGGATCCGCGACACAGCCGACCAAGGCGTTTATGACAGTCGCCAAAGAAACAGCCTTGTTCCACTTCGCCTTCATACTCGCGTATAAAGAATGAGATATCTTCTTTGATGAATAGTTCTTTCACTATAGCATCAAAGAGATACCTGTTTGATTCAACAAAGTCTCCGTCTCAACTAACCCAATCGAAATTATGCCTCTATTTGAAAGAGCTATCCCCCCTCCTCTCTGGTCCTCTTTCCCATCCAGCAACAGGGTCAGAGACCAAGTACAAACAGCCACTAAGACACCCACGTCTGCGCCAACAAAAATGCGTCGCTTCTTGAAGGGCCTTAGCATTTCCACCGAAAAATGCGCCAATACTCCCAGTCTATTCCGCGATATCTTCAACTCGGACCTCAGCACCAGCGAAGCAGCATCGTGGGATGATCCCCCGCCCTACGAGGAATACCGTATAAATCCCCAAGCCTCAACCAGAGACTCAGCCTTCGACGACCTCAAAAATTATGACACCATCTTACTAGTAGACGACAGTACCAGCATGGATGGATCCCGCTGGCGCGAAGCCGAAGCCGCAATAGCAGCCATAGCCGGAATCTGCACCCAACACGATGAGGACGGAATAGACCTCTACTTCCTCAACCACCGAGGGGACCGAAATGCCTCTAACGGCGCCTACAAAAACATCCAAATAGAAGAACAAGTCCGCAATATCTTCGCCAGCGTTGCTCCACGTGGAGCCACGCCTGTGGGGAGACGGTTACGCGATATCCTCAAGCCATACATGTGCCGGGTAAAACAGATGCAGCTGGCGCCGCGGGATATGTATGGTGAGCTGAGGGATCCGGCGCTGTTTGTGAGGCCCATTAATATTATTACGATTACCGATGGCGAGTTTACGGATGATGCGGAGAGTATTATTGGGCAAATTGCGGAGATGTTGGATGAGTGTGGCGCGCCACCAGAGCAGGTTGGGATTCAATTTTTTCAGATTGGGGACGATGCGAATGCTAGGGAGTATTTGGAAGAGTTGGATGATAATCTTTGGAAGATCTCTCAAAAGAAGCACGTCAGGGATATTGTGGATACAGTTCCTTGGAGAGGGTCTAACGGGTCGACATTGGATGGGGAGGGCATTTTAAAGTGTGTTTTGGGGGCTGTGAATAAGAGATTGGATCGGAAGAAGGTGTAGTTTTAGGTTGATGTTTGATGTTTATTTCTAGACTTTGTTTCAGATCTTTATATCTTTTAATTCTTGTTTTCTGCTCAGTAATTGTTTACGTGGTACTCGTCAAATATGATGTATACTGCAGATCTATGTGGCTAGGCAGCCATTGTTTTGTTTTGGTTTCGTGATCATCAAAAGCAATTCCAATGGCAAAAAAAGACCAGTCACGTACACGCGCCGCACAATTTCAGGAACCGCCCAAGTGGATCCTTCAGGGTCGATCGAATCACGGCATTTGGCGTCGGGGAAACAGTTCTTGCCCTGTAACGCGTTCTCTCTTTATGAGCTCCGAATGGCGGGTATGATTTGGACTTGGTAGAGCTGACGTGTTATGGAGTAAAATAGATTAAAAATCATTACGGTAGATGTACCTTGCAGTAGTGGAGGAGAGAACCATGGTTGAGGCGGAGTTCGCCAGCCACATTGTAGATGATAATCTCCCCCTCAACCACTCGATTCCCGATTCAGCGCATCATTGGATCTTGTTCTTGTTTTCGCGAAATTATACGAACTAACAAGCCCGCCCTAAAGAAACACTATCACCAAAAAGATACACTATCCTATTGAATTCCTCTTAATCCACGTCTTTCGGTTTTGGATCGGCATCGATCGCCATCACGGTTCAATATTCCCCGCAGCGCCGATCGCGCGTCACCGCAAGAAAAAAAAACCTCGCTTTCTCCTCCTTCTCCTATCTCCTACCAGAACGCTGTCAACTATTCACAACATCGTCTATAAATACCGAAATCACAACAAAGTCCTTTGGTGAAATTCTCGAACCCGATAGTCCAGCCAATCCCACTCGTTCGAAGCGCCGGGAACCCTGGCCGTCCTGCAGGTACATCCGGGCGCTTCGCGTTCCTCCCCGCCCATTGGTCTACATTGTCGCCCTGCAGGTTACTTGGGAGATTACGCTTCCAACATTAGCTGCATACACTCTCGCGGTTCCTGAAGCATCTGCGTTCTGTGCCCCTGTGTCAGGTCTGGCTGCGTTGTTCTACTGCATTGAAACGCTTCTCCAACGCCACCCAGTAATAGACCTGTCATTGTCTGAAACAGGTACCGTTGACCTCAAGGGGAGGTAATTATAGAAACCATTGTTTATTTTTCGGGCTGGACCGGCCTCCTTGTCACCTTTATATTCCTTGCATTGGGCTCGGGGTTTTTTCTTTTCTACAATCATCTTTCTTTCGTTGTTTTGATTGCATTTGCATTGCATTTCCTTGCTGTATACTACTGTTGTCTTGCTCTTTCTTTTCGACTCCCTCGTTTCTTAGCACATTCGCTTGCATTTTCATTGTGTATCCTGCATTTTATTATTGGGTGCATTTGCTGGCCCTTTGATTCTTTCCTTTGAGCAAGTGTTGCATTGCGATGAGATCGACTACCCTGATGACTTTTCTATTGTGAGTTTTTTCTCCATTCCAGACATGTGGGACACAATACTGACCTGGTTTAGAACAACCAATTCCGAAGTTCGATCGGTGAAACTGCTCGGATCATGGGACAATTTTACGAAACCGTATGCGATGGAAAGGGACAGGCGTGCGGGACCAGGTCATTGGAAAGGATGTCACACTTTCACTGATATCATGGGTGACGGACCTGATAAGAACCAATGGCGCACGGGCGGTCTGAAGATGGGAGCCACTTACTGGTATTATGTGAGTTTCTCAGACCAGAACGTTTGTGTAAGATAATAACTAACACATGATAGTATTTGTTGAACGAAGACGTGGAGTCATATAGCGAGGCTGAGCCCGTCACCACTAAATGTCCTCTTCTGCCGGGCCAACCTCTCAACGTACTGAACGTGCCCATCATCCTGCCGGATAGTCACTGCCATGGCCGCTCTGCCAGTAGCAGCTCACAGAAGGAAGACTACCGAACGATGAACCCCGAAGACAAGTACATGAATCCACGCAAGCCACCAAAGCCTAATCTGGCCCGCCTTCAAACCTCTATCCCCAATCCCAACCAATCTTCAAATCCCCCCAGTGTCTCACCCGGCGGGAGCTTCCTCCATCGGAGTGTTTCTCAACCGAACAGTGCTACCAGGAGGAACGAGAAGTCGAAAGAGGAACGCTCAGCGTCTCCCCCGCGAGGTCTTGGCCTTCGCCATGCCTTGACTCAGAAGCGACCTGGGCCATCCCCGAGAGCGCAGGCGTTCAACGAAAGTTTGCGACAAAAGGCTCCTGTGAACGAGCACCGGAATGTTCCTGGTATCTGCGTCAACTCTGGCGCAGTGGCTCCATCGACGAGCCATTCCGATAATACTGCTCAGTCGAGCTTACAAACCCGCCGGGCTCTCAAGGCAAAGGCAGGAAATGCGCCCCAACTTCGGAGTCTCCTCACCGTGGAGACTCGTCCCCAGCATCGCAAGCCCGGCGCTTCCAGTGCTGCAGCATCTGGCTCTGGCTCAGGGTCGGCCGATGGTGGGCGAGCGATGCATACCAGGAGCGGCTCTGAGGACATGACGCCTACCGGACCTGATGTCAGTGAGAAGAGACTGCCATCGCTCCCCAATACACCTTCGTCCGTTATGGATGAAGCCGTGCGCGCAATCGACGAACGCGACAAGGCACTAGACGCAGCAGTGCTACATAGTCACTTCTCCAGCATGACCGCAGACGACTTTACCAACTCCCGCTTCGTGGCTGAGCACAGCCGATTCTCAGAATGGAGCACTGACACAGAGGACGCCGAAGACACCTCACCCGAGTCGATGGTCTCCACTTCTTCAACTTTCCCCATCGAGACCCACGAGGCCCAAGCCCCAGAAGAATGGAAAACTCCCGATCTTCATGACGCTGCGACCAATACCGACCCAAACACTCCCCACCTCACTGTACATTCCAAGCCCTCATCCCCCAACTCGGCATCGGGAGACATCCCTCCATTCCTGCCGCAGCTCACGATTTCATCGCCCCATTTCTCCGGCTCTGGTCTCGGAATCGACCAAATGGACGAAGTGGAGAGCAATCCGAAGCGCCATGCTGCGCTATTCAGTGCGCTTGAATCTATGCAAGCTCTTTCTCTTGGGCAGAGTCGCGAAGGATCCCCGATTCTTCTGTCGCAGAGCGACCGGCGCGACTCTGGGACTTATTCCCGGCGTAGCGATGCCTCTTCGTTTCGTGGCAAGGCGACTATGCAGGAGATGATGGACGAACTCAGTTATCTGAAGAACATGATCCAGGCTGAGATGGACGGCGAACCTTTCTAAGTTATATTAATCAACCTGCAATTACCGGTGCTGGTCACCTAGGACATAGTCATGACAGAGTCAATATATAGAGATAGCACAGAAAGTGCGATAAATGAACTTACTTTACAAGAATATTGAGCCAACTTTAATGCCATAACACTGTGAGATTAAATGTACAACGGTGTTCTTGATCTACTTGTGAGTCGTAACTCAGGTAGTTCTGCGTTCCAGCAACAACACCCGCCCACAAACATTAATCAACGCGCCAAGAAACGCTCCACCGCGATCAACAACTTCATCAAATCCCCAGCCCAAACTCCCAGGGACTCCACGAAACCCCTCAACGCCAAAAGCAGAATGGGCTGAGCGAGCTACATTGCATTTTATTTCTATTTCACAATTATGGCAGAAGAAGGACCCCAACTCACGCCGGTTGGAGAGAAAACCCTCCCGGCAAAATGTAAACCCAGCACCCTGGCCTACTGTCCAACAATGGACCTGATCGCGCTAGCGACCGAGGACGAAGAACTGCGCGTTTTCCGACTAAACGGACAACGGGTGTTCGGGGGCTCATTCGGTGGTGATCCGTATCTGGGGGAGGATGAGGAGGACGGAGAAGTGAGAGCGGTAGCGTGGAAGGGGAATGGTGAGTATTGTAATCTACTCGACGGAACAAAAATTTAGATTCTAACTATATTTGCTAGGTCGCTTGCTCGCTGTCGCGTGTGGGGATGGATCCCTGCGTATTATCAGCGCGTATAGCGGGAAGACAGTGCACCATTACAGCGTGTACAAGAACGCAGACGAGGAAGGCTCGGATCCAGATGCGAAGCCCGTCTCGAAGGTCACATGTCTAGGCTGGGGAGTTAATTTTACGGATAGCAAAGCTGCGCAGAAACATTTGCTTGACTCGGCGGGTCAGGTTGGTGTGGAAGATTTGCTGGCGCCGGGTGTTCATCCCTCCAAGGCGGCTGCTATGCTTAAAGCTGATTTACCACGAGAACTCGCACTACTGGATATTGAAAGCTCTCTACCGAAGTTGAGTACGTTGCCTGCGACTGGAGCTGAGGATGATTTGTTTAGCTCGAGGGCATCGATTGATGCCATGTTTCACTCGGCGGCGAAGGATGCTAGTGACTCGGTTGACGTGTTGTTTATCGGATTCGACGATGGAAATGTCCATCTGAGAATTTTCGACTGTTTTGAGATTGGCTCGTTTCCTGTTGGTGACACGGTGGGTGTGGCTGAGTCGCGGAGGATTCTTCGCCATGCGTCGCATCCCTTGAGCTCGACTCATGCCTTGTTGGCGTCCGGATCGGAGGGTGCACCTCTTGATCTTGTTACTTTAGATCTCCGATTCATTACCAAATCCGGTCGGTATTTGTCTCTGCTCGCATCGAAGACGACTCAGCTTCACAATCTTCTTCGCTATATTGGTTCTGTGCAGCGGCAGATTGAGCTGGAGTGGAAGAATGCACAAGAGCTTCCGGCGCGATTCTTACGCAGTGTCAATGAAGACCTGCAAGAGAAGTGCCAATGCGATTTCGTCACTGCGATCTATCATCTTGTGGTTACTGGGCATTGCTTTGAGCCGATGAAGGAATTTTTGGTGGAAATTGTTGGAGAGCGAGTATGCACCCCTATAACTTCATGATAAGGGACTTTCTGACAATCTGCTACAGGGGCACAAGAGATGGGAAAAGGCTGTTTCGGGTGGATACGAGAGTATCCGTCGACTAACCCACGAATGCCTTCTTCCCGCATTAGATCGGAGTCAAGTTCTCCTAAGTCGCCTTATGGGACTATCGAAGTTCCCCAAGCTCAGCGATGTACTCGGTCTGGATACTCCCAAGCTCCACGCAATCGTTGAGACCTTGGATTGTCTGCATCTCCTAGCGCATTGTATTCTCAACAACGCCAACGCAGAGCTGGATCAATTCAACGCATTCTCGCGATGGCTCCGACACGAGATTCTCATTTTGAACGCCGAGCCCTTATCCCAGACATCAGAAGAGCTCCTTGAGAAAAGAGACTTATTTGATGTTCCACCCACAGTGAAATACATCACAGGCGCGCTCCGCAAGAGCGTCCTTAGAAACTTCATTCGTCAACTCCCAATGATTGGCGTTCCTCAATTACCTACTCCTTCCACCGACAAGTGGCTTCCTGGCGACCACGATCGGTCGTTTTATGATACCTTCAAATCCGTCCTTGCACAACAGCGCCAAGTTCAGGCCGAGGGTGGCGATAGCTCGACCGTTGATGCTCCGAAACTGAACGATCTGACAAAACGACTGGGTATTCAATTCGAGAAGGTCTTTGCAGAGATCGCATTAACCCAGCGGAGAGGCATTCTACACCGTTCACCCCTCACCCTCCACGCAGATTGTGATCAAAGCATTTTAGATGTGAAGATCTGCCACGAGGAGGGTGAGGAGGGACGGCCCTGTTCAATCTACCTTACGGCCCGGTCTATGACATCCAAGTCTCTAGGTATGCGATCTACCCTTATCCCTATGATCATATGATTTATACTCATATACCACAGTGTACCTCTACCGCGTTATCCTAGATTCAAGCAACGGCGTCAGTTACACCCGAAGCACCTCCATCGCCGCCCTCGACCTCCAAGAAGGCGAAATAAAACAACTCCAATTTGTCGCCGACGACACCCTAATGATTCTTTGGGCTACCAATCAAGGCCCCTCCTACCTCATCAACCTCCCCTTTCAACCTCTTTCTGCACAGTCCTCATCTACAAAGCCTGACCAACCTTCAAGTGTGCTTGAATATGTCGATTGTGATCCACATCCCTCTGACACGAAGCCTAGTGTATCGGCTACATTGCTCGATGTATCTGCATTATCTGAGGCTGAGATGGTGAGACATATGTTTGCGACATCGGGGTTGAAGGCGAAGCCAGTTAGGGTCGATGTTAATGGACGGAAGGGGAGAGAAGGGCAGTGTGTGTCTTGTATGGGGATGCTATGCGGTATGATGTTTTGGATTTGGATGCTGCTATGGAGGATGAGGAAGAAGAAGATTTGGAGGAGAGCGAGAGCGAGGAAGAGGAATGATCCTATATTTATATTGTTCAGGTTGCATAGGCTATCATCATACCTACCAAGGTTGGTAGGCGTTTAAAATTAGGTAATACTATTGCATCAATTGCCCAGGTGGTTTGTTCGTTTCATTATGTTCATGTTTCGCCTAGGCTATGTCAGGTGTTGGGACCTAAATCAGCGGCCCCGGGACTCCAGGGACTAAGGTCTGGAAATGCTACAAGTAGGCACTAGGTACCCGAGTCTATAGATAGGTTCGGGCTAAGTCGTCTCGATCCTACAAGGCTAACGTGTAAAATAGCCCAGATGCATCTCCAATTCTCACCTAGGCAGAGATTGTGATACCTAGTTGGTATCCATCTTACATATGCATGGATGCCGATATCCGTGCTCAGATATATATTTGGATTAGCGGACCTCTTATTGGTACAAGGCACATCCAAGGAGTCTCAATGCAGAAGAATATATATCACGGAGATAGTTTGATTCTCAATGCATGCACATATGACGACATACCCCCTTTATAGTCTCGTAGCTTTGAAGTGAGTACATACTGTTGACCACTCCCTGCATTAGTAGGTATGGCGATCTGCTTCGATCCTTGCCCCTTACCTTTTCTGTGGACTATTCTAGAAATGTTGTCCACAATTTTTCCTGACACATCCACTAGTCAGGCACCAAGTTAGGATTTTCCCCACTAGAAAAATAGTTTGCGCCTTGTGTGTGCCAGGGCTAAATGAACCGGTCGCTGGGGCCACACGATGGACTGTGGGTGCTTCTTCAAGAAGGAAAACCAAAACAAGCAGAATTTCCATGGAGGGGCAAAGGCTCCATAACAAAAAAACACAACGGTAACAACCCACCAGTCATATTCTAGGATCTGGATGAAAGACAAGGGAATTATATGTGATTTCATTATGGACAGGACTAGAATAGCTTAGATTCAAGGAGATTACTATGATAAACGCTAATTTGTCCTCCTTACAATGAAAGAAAAAAAGTACGAAAAAAGGCAAAATCACTGCCTCAGGTATACATCACGTGACACGCACCGTCGCCGCTGACTGGCCAATCAGCATCGACTCCCAGATGGACTTCATCCCTCATTCTGACTTTCTTGTCGTCCAGATTATTCTATCTTTCGAGAAGAAACTGCTTCAGACTCCGTCATTTTATTCCCCGGAGTTTCTGCCTAATTCCCCCACAGTTAACTGCATTCTCGGTGTGTGTTGAAGGCGCCTTCTCTCTGTGTCTCATCGCGGAAAGACCTGGTGCATGCCTCGTCATATCCACAAAAACACCCCGTCCCTTTCCAACACCTACCAATCTTCTTCCTCTCCTTCCATCACGCACCCACGCTTTTTTGGTGGACTGTGACTTGTGTGCTGGTGATCTTCTTTGACTGTTGCGCACCAAGAGTCTTGTAATTCTTTCCTTTCAGCTTTTTCCTTTTTTTTCTTCCTCTCTCCCCCCCCCACATCTCCCTCTTCTAAACTACCATCCACCATGGATGCTCGCCAGGTGTTAGAAAGCACCTTGTCGCCTGGTATGTGATTCATCTCAGTCTTATTTCTTCTACTCACCTGGAAATTCCCTGGGAATTTGTGCCTATGAGAGCCTCTTGCTGACCTGACCGTCTTTCACCAGATGCGGCGGCACGTTCCAACGCTGAGCAGCAGCTCGCTCACGCCGCGGAGGTCGACTTCGTATGTGATCCCCCTTTCCCCTTGTCGCTCCAACAACGGGGATGATATTGACGAGATCCTTCCAACTCCGAGAAACGCCTGCCCGCTAACATTCGCTTTTCTCCTTGTTTCTAGGCTGCCTACCTTGTCACCCTGGGTCAGGAACTCGCCAACGATAGCACCCCTTCCCACATCCGTGTTTCTGCCGGTATCGCCCTGAAGAACGCTTTCACCTACAGAGATGCAGCCAAGCTGCGAGAGGTGCAGCAGCGATGGATCCAACAAATCCCCACCGAGACCAAGGCACAGGTTAAGGAGCTCGCAATTAAGACATTGGCATCTGACACTCGAGTCGGAAACGCCGCCGCCCAGTTGATCGTTTCTATTGCTGCTATCGAGTTGCCCCGCAATGAGTGGCCCGACCTTATGAATATCCTCGTCCAGAACGTCGCAAGCGGATCGGACAACCTGAAGCAGTCCTCCCTGGCCACTATTGGTTTCATTTGCGAGTCTCAAGATCCTGATCTTCGCCAGAGCCTGACCGCGCACTCTAATGCTATTCTGACCGCCGTTGTCCAGGGTGCTCGGCGCGAGGAGCCGAACATGGACGTTCGTTATGCTGCTATTGCCGCTCTTAGTGACGCGGTTGATTTCGTGCGCTCTAACATGGACAACGAGGGTGAGCGGAACTACATCATGCAGGTTGTCTGCGAGGCCACTCAGGCCGAGGAGGTCCGTGTGCAGGCTGCTGCATTCGGCTGCTTGAACCGCATTATGGGCGCATACTACGAGAAGATGCGCTTCTACATGGAGAAGGCTCTGTTTGGCCTTAGCATCATGGGTATGAAGAGTGAGGAGGAAGAGGTCTCTAAGCTCGCCATTGAGTTCTGGTGCACTGTGTGTGAGGAGGAGCTGTCCATTGAGGACGATAATGCTGAGGTATGTATTGAGCGATCCGTTGCCAGTGAATTCTCAAAGATCCCGACTAACGTGTATTTTCAGGCTCAGCAGGAAGGTACCGAGACCCGTCCGTTCTTTGGCTTCGCTCGTGTGGCTACCCGCGAGGTTGTCCCTGTTTTGTTGCAGACTATGTGCCGCCAGGATGAGGACGCCACTGATGATGAATACAATGTTTCGCGTGCTGCTTACCAGGCTCTGCAGCTGTACGCCCAGTGCATTCAGGGCGAGATTATCCAGCCCGTTGTCGCTTTCGTTGAGGAGAACATCCGCAACGAAGACTGGCACCGCCGCGATGCTGCTGTGGCTGCATTTGGTGGTATTATGGACGGCCCTGAGCCCGCTGTGCTGGAGCCTTTGATCAAGCAGGCTCTTCCTGTTCTTCTGGGCATGATGGAGGACAGCTCCGTCGTAGTCCGCGATTCTACTGCCTATGCTCTGGGCCGCGTCTGCGAGTGCTGCCCTGAGGTTCTGGATCCTGATGTTCACCTGCAGCCATTGATTTCTTGCCTCTTCAATGGCCTTGCCAGTAGCCCTAAGATTGCCAGCTCCTGCTGCTGGGCTCTCATGAACGTCGCCGATCGCTTTGCTGGTGATGGCGGTTCCCAGACCAACCCTCTTTCCAAGCACTTTGAGGACAGCATCAAGTCTCTATTGACTGTGACTGAGCGCCAGGATGCCGATAACCAGCTCCGTACTGCTGGTTACGAAGTTTTGAACTCGTTCGTCATGAACTCTGCCCACGACAGCCTTCCTATGGTTGCTACCCTTTCGGATGTTATCCTCCAGCGTCTCGAGCAGACCATTCCCATGCAGCAGCAGGTTGTCAGCCCCGAGGACCGTATGCTCTTGGAGGAGATGCAGACTAGCTTGATCAGTGTTATCTTGGCCATTGTTCAACGCTTCGAGGTTGACATCAAGCCCCAGGCTGACCGTATCATGGGGGTGTTGCTTCAGGTTCTGTCGACTGTTGGTCCCAAGTCCAGTGTGCCCGATGTTGTCTTCGCCACTGTGGGTTCCATGGCCAGCGCTCTGGAGGACGACTTCATCAAGTACATGGAGTCCTTCTCTCCCTTCTTGTACAATGCTCTGAGCAACCAGGAAGAGCCTGGTCTGTGCGCTATGGCCATTGGCCTTGTCAGTGACATTGCGCGTGCCTTGAACGAGAAGGTCCAGCCTTACTGCGACACCTTCATGAACCTCCTGCTTAACATCCTCCGCACCTCCACCAACCAGCTTAAGCCGGCTATCTTGGAGACTTTCGGTGACATTGCTCAGGCCATCGGCACTGCCTTTGACACCTACCTGAGCGTTGTTGCTGGTGTTCTTCAGCAGGCCTCTTCGGTCACCACTAGCTCTGACCTCCCATACGATATGGTGGAGTACATTGTCTCCCTGCGCGAGGGTATCATGGATGCCTGGGGCGGTATCCTTCTCTCCTACAAGGGCAGCCCTCAGATCGTCCAGCTCCAGCAATACGTCGATTCTATCTTTGAGTTGCTCCACAATATCTCCAAGGAGGGTGACCGCAGCGAGGGCTTGATGCGCTCCTCTATGGGTGTCCTTGGTGACCTTGCTGATGCATTCCCCAACGGCGAGCTCGCTGCCTACTACCGGAACGACTGGGTTACCACCCTTGTTCGCGAGACCCGTGCTACCCGTCAATACAGCCCGCGTACCATTGAAACCGCTCGCTGGACCCGTGAGCAGGTCAAGCGCCAAATTAACCTGGGCACCGGTATGGCTTAAATTCGCTCCACGCTTTGATCCCATTGGTGAACGAGCGAACCACGTCGCTGCTTCGTTCCAAGAAGACTCAAGTCACTGGAACGAATGCTCGGCGGATTGGTGATGGGCTATGCCGTAGCTTCGGTCTTAGTCCAGACCACCCAAGTCCAGCGCAACCTGGACTGCCAATGGGACGGTGAGGTTTTGTCTATTTGCTTCCAGGCGACACAAATGGTTTCTGCTATTGTGTTCAATTCCCCATCTTCCCTTTTGCCAGATTTCAAGCCCCGAGATTCCCTTCTCATTACACGTCCCACCACACCCGGCAATTCTTTTGTCGACGCCCAGTGCCCTTGATGACGCCCTCGAACGACCCATCTTACCCTCCCCCTCATGCACGTGTTTGCTTCTTCGTGATACAAACCCCCTTTTATCCTTTCTTGTCCTGCCCCTCCTATGTTGCTTTTTAATTAGACAAGACCCCTTCGCATTTTATAGCATTGCCCCTCATGTAGCCCAAGACCTCATGTATCCTCCCATCATCCCCATTCATGTATCCCCAATTCATGTACCCCATTGAACCATGTCCACCCTTCTGAGAAAAAGAGTTGTTCCATGAAAAAGCTGTTCGATTTGACAACTGTCTCCGTATATTCCGGCCTTTCTCCCAAACGCCCATGCCCAACTGATGCACGAACCTTGCACACCTTGTATGAACATTTTTAACTTCGGTGCCATTGATACATCTCACGGTTTCTATTCGTGCTGTCATCACAGCATGGAGCTTTAGTAGATTTGAAAAGTTCTCTATAAAAAACCAGCAACCCAAAGTCTTAAGACATAGAAAATGCCTTTCTGCCTGAGGCACTAGGTTCGGTGCTTATCGCCACGTGATGGCCAGAGCAAATTTTCCGTAGATAAGGGCATAAGTGGGCCGTAACCCTATGGACCCGCACAGTCAGCAACCTAACCTTCAATCTTCGAACTTTTCATTCCCTGACACGCCAACACCCGACGGACCAGTCACTCGAGGTATGTACGCTCTTCACGCCCTCGTTTCTCACCAGCCTTACAGCTAGTCTGGGAGAGCAATCATCCTGCCTTCTTCTTCTTTCTTATGACTGGAATTTCATGAGTCTGAAATATAGGGGGTGCAGGATGATACGCATCTCCCATCCGGCACAGGCTGAAGAACTCCTTTTCGCAAGGAAGGGGCACTCTTTACGCTTGACGACTAGTTGATGGCTGACTTGACCGGCTTCGGTTGAAGTAGATACCTCTTATCTATTCCCCTCGATCGATTTGAGAATCTCGATTCCAACACCGCCAAAATGGTCAAGACCTCCGTCCTCAACGATGCGCTTAACGCCATGAACAACGCCGAGAAGGCTGGCAAGCGCCAGGTCCTCATCCGTCCTTCCTCCAAGGTCATCGTCAAGTTCCTCACTGTCATGCAGAAGCACGGTACGTTGGCATAATGTCGCCATTACTGAAAAACACTCACTGGAAACTTCTCCCCCTTGATTTTTTCCCATTTCGTCTTCATGTATTACGGTGTTGGCGGTGGATAGTCGGACTGATAACTAGGCGGATTGTTTCAATCATCCCACGACGTTTGCCTTTTAAGTGTCCGATAGATTGACGCGTTGATCTTACACGTTTCCAAAGTGTTTTTCAGTATTTGGTTACTTTTAAATCATCGCAACATGCTGACATCTTCTTTTCAGGCTACATTGGCGAGTTCGAGGAGGTCGATGACCACCGCTCCGGCAAGATCGTCATCCAGCTGAACGGCCGGTAAGTTTTCACAACAAAATATCCTCGTCTGCTTCATGATTCTAATACCATGTCCAGTCTCAACAAGTGTGGTGTCATCAACCCCCGCTACCCCGTCCAGCTCCGTGACGTGGAGAAGTGGGCTACCCAGCTCCTTCCCTCCCGTCAGTTCGGTTACGTTGTCCTGACCACCTCCGCCGGTATCATGGACCACGAGGAGGCTCGCCGCAAGCACGTTGCTGGCAAGCTCCTCGGTTTCTTCTACTAGATGGAGTCGTTTTAGAAACGAATTTCAAAAAACAAAAGTTATTTTGACTGGAATCACTGTCACTTGGGCTGGACCCTGGAAATGTAATATTAAGTAGCGGAGAATACCCGTGTTTGTTTCAGAGTACATGGCTCCCTTTCCAATACTAGGCGCTTCCGGTCAACCTTGTTATAATTTGTGCTCTGTAAAGATTTCGAAATAATCTGAAGTAGACTTTGCCGGACCGAGGCTCATTTCCACCGCCCACATTCTGCCCCAGATATGCTTCCCCGCAATGCAACAGTCACTATCCCACTTACTTCTTGACCTGATTTTGTGCCCATCATGCCGCTTGAAACGATATATCTTGTTCGCCATGGGGTGCGTATGCTCACAAAACTCCTCTCATTTTTTGAGTCGACAATGGCCAAGCTAATGCAATACTAGCATCGTCTCAATTGGACAATCGATTTCCGCACCGGAACATACAAGGCACAATTCCCCACGCCAACAGGGAATCCCGCGGATCCAGCTTTGACATCATATGGTATACAGCAGTCACATGAACTGGCTGCGCATATCGGCAACCCAGAGTTCCACCCGAAGCCCTTCAGGGTGTACTCTAGCCCGTTCTATCGGTGTTTGCAGACAATTCGGCCTGCCGTTGAAGAATTGAAAAAGCAGCAAGATGCAGCTTGTGAGACAGGCCTAGGACATATTGACCCGGCATCAAATTTTGATGTTCGAATTGAGAATGGTCTTGGGTATGTTGCACACCTCGCACTGGAGTATTGGGAATATCTACGAGCTCCTGATAAGACAACTCAAAACGGTAACTTACAATCCATGACAGTGAATGGTTTGGTCCAACAACCTTCTTCGAGCATCCACCCCATCCAACGCCCGAAACAATGCAACAGCACTTTCCCTCCATCATCCCCTCAAACCCCTCAAAAAACTACACTCCTAACCTTCACCCTTCCCGACGCGGTGAGACGATTCTCCAGCTCCACAATCGTGTCGCAACGGCCCTAGAGGGAATAATCGCGGACCTTGATGCCGAGATCACCGCTTTAGAAGCAGATACCCCACCCGAGCAACGGACCAGCAAGTCCGTGCTGATTTGCGCGCATGCTGCACCGCTTATTGCGATGGGCCGTGTATTGACAGGCCGGATGCCAGAGGATACGTCAGAGGAGGACTTCTTTGTATTCACGTCGGGATTGAGTACATTCCGGCGGCGTGGTACCTTGACCGGAAATAGCCCAGGATACAGGAGTTCTTCGGACGATCTAGCCGAAGGGACAGAGCTTTTGCGTGCTAAAGATGTTCCCGAATGGATTGGTCGTGGTGTTGGAGGTGGATGGGATTGCTTGAAGAATGGGGATTGTAGCTTCTTGAGTGGTGGTGCTGAGCGTGGATGGTGAGTTTCCCTACGTGATTTGCATGGACTGATACTAATATTATTTATAGGCACTTCAGTGGTGAGGAAGGTTTTGATACTGGCGTTATGGCGCCGATCTCGGAGTCACCTGCGACGAAGCTTTGAAGATAAATTCCTGCGTAGATAGATTTGCTTCTCGTTGTTTCGAACTGAGTTCATGAACAGACCTGAGAAGGAGTTTTTTAATTGAACACAGAATTTATTGAACACCCTCACTGACCGCATTCGAAGTAGCACAGTATTAAGATTCAAAGAGTAATATTATTGAGTACATACTCAGGTACCTACTAATTTACGCTACTCTATAGGATACGCTGGAATGTTAAGGTGATTAAAGAGTGATACCCACTAAGCCACCTTTTCCTACCTATATTATGACTCTCACGAAGCGTTATCTCGTATATTGACGGGAACTAAGCGCGATGATGTGATTGCCTTTGATGAATACCATTTTTTCTATATTACAATCAATGCGCCATACCAGATATAGAAATGATGTGGTGTTCAACTAATTTCGTGGTGTTCAACTAGTGAGCTCTGAGAATTTACTCCATCATGATGTCGCCTGGGTAACTTACTAAGCACTTTATATCTGGTCAGTTAATATCAATGCTGAAACCTACACTTCGTGATCCATCAGGCACAGGCGTATAGAGTGACCCACTATGCCAATCCCTGAAGCTCCATCGAATGTAGTTAGTGTGCGCCCTTCCATGACATGCCCGAGGGTAACCGCCAAGTGGGGCTGAAATAGACTTTCGAGGTTACTCATACTCCAGATACGGAAAAAAAGAGGCGAGTCGGGATTCGAGTCTGAATTCTAATACTTCAAGCTTTTTTTCTGCAGCTACTCTGCACAGAACGCTAAAATTGGTCTCTTACACGAATTGAAGGCCCAAGCGCACGTCAAAACCAATTGACCACATCCTTCAGCATATCGCCTTAGGCTTCTTGCAACCTCATTGCCAGTGAATCGCAAAACAAAAGAAGCTTCATTATGGCAACAACCACACAGACCCTCCCAAGCACAGCAATCGAGCTCCCAACCCTCGGTCCTAGCAGCGAAGAACGTCAACGAAATGTTCACGCCCAGACAGACCCCGTCGTCGAACCTGACGAGGTAATGCAACAATCCCTCTTAGCAGACTCCCAAGTACCCGACGGCGGCTATGGCTGGGTCCTTATCTTCGCTTGCGCAGTCGTGACATGGTGGTTCGTTGGTGTATCCTACACATGGGGTGTGATGCAAGCAGCGCTAGTAGATAGAATGGGATATTCGTCTTCGACACTTGCGTTCGTGGGCTCGTTATGTCCTGCTTGTATCTCTTTACTGGCTGTGCCTAATGCGACGCTCATAAGCAAGATTGGGGCACGGATTACGGCGCTTACGGGTATCTTCTTGCTGGGTCTTGGGAGTATTTTGTCCGGCTTTGCTACGCATAGTGTTGTTGGGTTATTCATGACTTGGGGATTTGTTGGTGGGCTTGGAACTAGTCTATGCTTTATGGTGAGTTTTGTATTTCTTTTTCAAAATTTGGAGGTTTGCTAATGGTGTAGGTTGTGTCTGTCACCCCGGCGCAATACTTCAAAACTAAGCGTGGTATCGCCAATGGAATCGTCTACGCTGGTGGCGGTCTTGGTGGTACGGTCATCAGCTTTATCCTGAACGCTCTGCTAGAGAATGTCGGAATCGCATGGAGTTTCAGGATTCTAGGAATCATGATTCTTGCTACGGGATTACCAGCTGCATACCTGATCCAGGAGCGGGCCCCTATCCGACCAGCAAAGATGGTTGAATGGTAAGTCCTGCTGTTATAGCTTCTTGCCGAGGCCGATGCGAAGCGGGATCATATACTGATACGTATTTAGGAGTCTCTTCCGCGATATTCGTTTCACAACCCTCTGGCTTACGGGCGCAATCGGCACATTCCCGCTCTTCGTCCCGGCCTTCTTCCTCCCCCTCTACACAAACTCTCTAGGTCTCCCCTCCAGCGCCGGCGCAGGTCTGGTGGCAGCCTTCAATTTCTCCTCCGCAATTGGGCGTCTATCCTGCGGCTTCGCATGCGATAAGTTTGGTGCTATGAACACCCTGTTCATCTCGTTGCTGCTCAGTGCCTTGAGCCTCTTCGTGTTGTGGCCCGTCTCCAACTCCATTGGGCCATTGGTCGCCTTCGTGGTTATTAATGGATCTGCGAATGGTGGGTTCTTCTCTACCATGCCGACTGTTGTTGGCAATGTGTTTGGGTCCGCTAGAGTGTCCGTTGCGGTTGGAATGATTGTTAGTGGGTGGCTTGGAGGGTATCTTATGGTAAGTCTTTTCATATGTCAGTTTACTAAAGGATCATTGTCTGATATAACTTTTTTTAGGGCGCTCCTATTGCTGGTTATATCCTGAATGCTTCGGGTGGTGAATCGGGTGGTGTGGGTGCTTATCGACCGGCAATCTTCTATGCTGGTTCGATGGCGACGGCTGCAACCGTTTTGGCGGGTATCGCACGCATCAAGGTTGACCGGAGGTTGAAAAAGACAGTTTAAAATGGGGAATTGGTAGCCCTGCTGTTACCTAATCCTTTGGGTCTTACCATCGGAAATGTTGTGTAAAAATGATATGCAAGTCCAACCTTTAGCATATATTCAAAATGATGAACGACCTGATTGAAGTGGCTTCTCGTCCATATAAAGGTACTATTGAGTTAGCTCCTGAGAGCAGATCAAGTGTTGAGGTGTGGAGATGGTAAAGACGATAGGGATTCGATAAGCAAGTCAAATAGCAACGTAGCAAAGGCAGTACAAGAAAAAGAAAAGAATATCAACAAAAAATCACGAATTGAAATCGGGGAAGACGTAGAGGTCAAGCCAGAAGAACTTTAAGGAGAGATATAGGGATGAGGCCGGAGAAGAGGAGTATTGGAATTAGGGGAAGGGCCTCATTATTTCATATATTCACACTGCTGCAGATAGTCGAGCTCTAAGAGCTTGATAGAACTTTCATGAATTCACTTCTCAACTAACTACTGAGGCAAGTCTAATTATATTTCAGCTTGAGGAAGCTCACGTTCATTGTCACGCCTATCCTCACTCCTATCCTCACCCAAGTGCTCACTCATTTGCTCACCACGGTCTCTTGCTCGTTCTTCCTCTTCATTCGCCCGCGCTGTTTCAGCCTCAGCAGCAGCATTCTGCCGCAATCTTTCAGCCTCAGCTTCAGCAGCGTTCCGGGCCCGGACCTGCCTTTCCCCAATCCCCGGAACAAGGCTGGCTAGTAGCAGTACAACCGCCCGTTCAGCGCGCCAAAAGTATTCCCAGAAACCATCTACCGCAGCCCGTGCAGGTTGCTCAGCAGGTCCCCCCATATGGGCAAGTGCCTCCAGGTGACGTAGGACGGGGGCGACAATTGCACCGTAGAGGAGCTGAGGAAGCTGCGAGTCCGAGAACAGAGCTACAAATGCAGCCAAGGTCACAAAGAGAATGCGTGTCCAGGTGCCAGACTCACTAATCATGTAAATGAAAAAGTAGAGTCGAACAAATAGCCAGATTCGGCGAAAGTGACGTGCGAAAGCCCCGGCGTTGGCTGGTTCATTTCGCTGTCGCTGTTGGTTTAAGACCGCTTGACGCCCATCATTGGGCTGCTGAGGCTGAGCCCCTGCATGCTGAGCTCCTATATGCTGAACCCCTATAGGCCGAACCCCTAAAGGATGACGTGGCTCAGGAGGAGGCAATCTTCCTTCTCTGGGCTGCATGATCAAAGCTTGGTAACCATTGGGAGAGGTGGCGAGGTAGACATGAGGCTCAGTTGATGGGGTCACTGTGGTACCCCGGGTATCACGCCTCACACTAGGGTCTTGAAGTAATTGATCCATGCGACGGTAGACCTCCATTACTCGGGCCAGCAGCTGTTGCACATCCCTTTCTTCGGGATACACATAGCGAGATAATCCTGCAGATGAGCTGGACTCGAGAGGGCGGCCTTCCGTGATTTGCATAATGCGAGTGCGTACATGGAATAAGAATTCCATTGAAGGTGTGATGCCTTCGGCCATTTCTCTTTCAATGAGCTCCACTTGCCCTTGAAGTCCTCTGAAGAAAACATCGGCTTGCATCGGATCTAATTCCCGTGAGTTTGCAGTTGCCCGAGCAGGTCTGGTTTGACTAGGCGAGGGAGTCGCGGATAGGACCCTGTGACGGACGCCTTCCACCTGTGGTTGAGCTGCACCGCCAGGCGCTTGAAAAGACGAAGTCGTATTTTGACTTGTCGAGCTAATTGGCATGGGCGTGGGTGGAAGAATAAGGTGGATTGTGTAAACGTCTCTCTATAATCGAACCTAGTCAGGTACTATACACGACAGACGGATCAAAGACCAAACTTACCCCGCTTGGCACCAGAATATCCCTTAGGGTTAGAAGATCAGGTGTTTGAGGAATGATTCGTCCACTATATATCAACCTCTGCTCTGTAGGAGATAAATGTGGAGGGATGATCTGCATGATTTTCAAGCGCAGACGCGCAACCGTAGTGCTGAGCTTCAGGTTGAACGTGAATCTCTCTGGGAACGAAGGGCTCAAGATAAATACTTTGACTTCTTCTTCACTAGAGCTGGAGGCGTCGTTAACTTCCGATTTCTCTGCAGACTTCTCTGCAGATGGCTCTGCTGACTGCCCAGAGACATCCATCCTGAAGAATGTGACGCGGGTTGACGTGCGGTCAAACGCTCATAGTCTGAAATGGAGTGGATAGTGACGCAAGGAAGTAGTATCGCAAAGGATTGAAGCGTGGACAATCGGGCACGTGTCGAATGTGACGAGCCCCCGCAATTGGAGTATTGATATTGTTGAGCTTCCGGAGATCTGGCGATAACGGGAGAGCACAAGCCTCGTATCGAGGAGGTATTATTCGAGGGTCCTGAGGATATATATTGACTTGACTAAGCGAAGAATGTGCAATGAAGATGAGAAGAAAGAGAAGCGATACTCCAAGATCGAGAAGGTGTGGAATTACTTAGATACAGAAACAATCAACGTCAACATCAACATGAACACCACACCATCTATGTGCCGGACTTTTACTTGGCGGTGAGAATCAAAGCGGTGGGAGGGGCGGTGGGCGCAATTAGCGTGGAAAGAAAACATTCAGCTGCTTCCTTCCGATCAGCCTCGGGACAATCAACAGCCATACAAAGGCGTGATCTTCATGGATTAACTTTCAGCATGGCCAAGCGCCTTCTGCATCACCCTATTTTCCTCCACTTCCCTTCTACCCCGGTGTTTGGGGGTGCTGCGTCGATGGAGGTCCTCTCGTTCAGGGCCGTTGCCCGCAAACAAGCCGCTGTTAGGCAGTTCTCATCATCCAAATCATGGCGACAATACAAAGATAATAATAATTCAGAAAACCCTAAATCTGGGTCTTGGTCCCGTCTGCGATTCGCACTGCGAAACACCAAGGTGGAATGGTACCCGATCCCTGTTGGATTGGGAATTGGATTGCTCGGATTGCTACATTTCTACAAGTCTCAGCGGGGTGAACGTGATCGTGCTGTTACAGACGACGACTGGGAGAATGGGAGCAAACCTCCCCCGCCGCCCCCGAGTCGTTCCATCTGGTTCTTGGCAGGTGCAGATCATGTCGACTCTACCCCTGAAGGCCATGTCGCGACTATGGGGTCGGTTCAATGAGATCGAATTGCCTTATTACCTCCGAGTACCAGGCTTCAAGCTGTACTCTTGGGTTTTTGGTGTGAATCTCAGCGAAGTCGCAGAGCCGGATCTGCACGTTTACCCGAACCTGGCGGCTTTCTTTTATCGCAAGTTGAAGCCCGGCGTGCGCCCGCTCGACCCCGACCCACACGCTCTCCTTTCCCCTTCAGATGGCCGGATCTTGCAGTTTGGTATAATTGAGCGGGGCGAGGTGGAGCAGGTGAAGGGAATGACATATAGCTTGGATGCTTTGTTGGGTTCAGCTACACCTTCTCACGCCGACAACAGCAAACGACTTAGCGACGACCACCAGGAGCAAGCCCAAAAAGATGCTGCGAACATGAAAACTGATGAGGAGTTTGCCTTGGTAAACGGGATCTCTTACACCGTGCCAACCTTGCTTTCTGGCGATCGCGATGCACCAGCCAAACGACGGGCATCAATCGACGCCTCTACTACATCCAAGACCACATCGGAGGTACAAGTACAGGAGGAATTGGCTCTCGGCGATGGTCAGCCATGGTACTCGCCTAAGACGGCTACAAACCATGCGCTGTTCTATTGCGTGATCTACTTGGCACCGGGAGACTACCACCGCTTCCACTCCCCCACCGCGTGGGTTGTGGAAAGTCGTCGCCATTTTGCAGGCGAGCTGTACTCGGTCTCTCCCTACCTACAACGCCATCTCCCCGGTCTGTTTACCCTCAACGAACGTGTGGCACTGCTTGGCCGCTGGCGATGGGGTTTCTTCAGTTACACGCCGGTGGGTGCGACCAATGTGGGCTCAATTAAAATCAACTTCGACTCGGAACTACGCACCAATAGTCTTCTGACTGATACCGCCGCGGACTTGGCAGCGGCCTTGGCAGCCAAGCGGGGTGAGCAAGATCCTGGCTTCGTTGAGGCTACCTACCGTCATGCCAGTCGCACCCTGGGAGGACATCCCTTACAGCGTGGAGAGGAGATGGGAGGCTTCCAATTGGGAAGTACTGTTGTCCTCGTTTTTGAAGCACCACTGGGTTCCAATCCCTCCGTAGAGTCAGGATCTCCCGACCAGAAGCCAGATGGATGGACCTGGAGTGTTGAAAAGGGCCAGCGGATTAAAATGGGTGAAAAGCTGGGGTTTGTAGGTGAGGCCTGAATACTGGCCCTGGGTTCTAATGCTGCACGACCGCAAAATGTGTGTTTCCAAGAGTTCTTCCGATGTACTATATCCAATATTTTTAGCCTTTTCAAATAGATTTGAATAATTCCCCTACTGTATGATCTGCGGTGCACGGACCAAATAAACGTGCGGATATGATCCACCTTGATTTGTTACTGATAACGGAAACTGCTGCTTCATCGGCCCCACAGTTATTGGCGCCACCACAGGCTCCTGCGAAAATCGTAGGTGCTGAGAAGAAACAAATAAACAATAAGAAATAGAATAGAATGATTCGGGTCACCATATGTACATAATTTGTACCTTGTACCACCGGGATTAAGGCCAAGCCAGTATCACGCCACCGAGGCGGGGCTCCTGACGCATGGCCAAGTCAAGGAATCTTGGTTGACGCAGCTCCGGCCCAGGTTTTTCCCTTATCCCTTCTTCACCTCTACCCAACCCCCCCCAATCCTTGGGTGATAAGGACTTTCCTTCCTTCAACATCTCGATGGCCATTTTTACAGCTCCTCGTTCATTCCAGAATGCCTTCATGCAGAACTCTTTAGGCGCAAGCCTCATTGACGTCACCGTACAGTCCAAGCATCCCTCCTTCTTTCACTTGGTCCTGCTCGTCTTTGAGGCGGTGCTAGAGGTAGTATGTGTCTCTCTACCAGGCTATATCGTCGCCAGACAGGGCATGTTCGATGCCGAAGCCCAGAAATTCGTAGCCAACCTCAATGTGATGCTCTTCACTCCTTGTTTGAGTATGTGAAACTGCCCTCCCTTATCAACCCTTATCTGCACATCTCCACCCATCCTGAAGCTCAATTGCTGACCCCAGTGAAGTCTTCATTAAGCTAGGCTCCCAATTGACTGCCGAGAAAATCACTGATCTCGCCATCATCCCCGTTATCTTTGTTGTCCAGACCTTGGTCTCATACTTCTGCGCGTTCGTGGTCACGCGATGCTGTCGGTTTAAGAAACGCCAGTCCAATTTTGTGACGGCGATGGCGGTATATGAGGATTTTCCTATCCGATAAGCTCCCCTGCTGATTCCATGCGACCAATAGGTGTTCGGCAACTCTAATTCCCTCCCAATCTCCCTCGTGATATCCCTCTCCGCAACTCTCCAAGGTCTCCATTGGGACCGCGTACCCGGCGATAACGACGATGAGGTTGCGGCCCGGGGCATCCTGTATCTTCTTATCTTTCAACAGCTAGGTCAATTAGTCCGTTGGAGCTGGGGTTACCATGTGCTATTGGCGCCCAAGGACCGATACCTTGAAGAGGAGGATCGAGAGGAAATTGGCGAGACGGCGATTGAACAGGGTCAGGCACGCTATACCGATAACCCCGATCAAATAGACCCAGACGAGCCATTGGTCCGGACGCGCAGTTCGCAGGACCTGCAACACGCCCATGGTCATATGAACGGCAGTCGGTTCGAGTCTGGTGGTCAGACTCCGGTTTCAAATAGCGCATATTCCTACAGCAAGGTCTCCTCGATACACTCGCACGCCTCGAATGCCGATGAGGACCTCGACTCCGACGAAACACCCTCGGTGATCGGCCCCCCACCTACTGGACCTTTCCTACCACGCCGCAGCACCGATGGCGATATTCTTCAGTTCCCAGATGTGGAAGCCACTGCCCGGGAAAACCATACCACAAAGCAAACCTACCTGCAACGATGCAATGCGTCTCTCCGTCGACGTGGGTATTACATCCGTCGCTTTATTGCCCAGAAGAAAGATGCAGTATGGGCCTGGCTACCTACCAAGGTCCAAAAAGCCCTTTCATCCACAACCAACGGAGTCTGGCGCTTCGCCCGCGGACTATGGTCCTTCATGAACCCTCCTCTCTGGGCCATGTTAGTTTCAATAATCATCGCCTCCGTCCCTGCACTTCAGCACCTTTTCTTTGATGAGGGCACCTTCGTCCGTAACTCGGTCACCCGCGCCATTGAGCAGAACGCCCAGGTAGCGGTTCCGCTTATCTTGGTCGTACTAGGAGCCAATTTGGCCCGGAATACACTCCCGGAAGAGGCGCTTGAAGATATCGATCATCCTAAAGTAGAGCGGAAATTGATTATCGCCTCTTTAGTGGCGCGTATGCTCCTTCCAACTCTCATCATGGCGCCATTCCTGGCCCTGCTCGCCAAATTCGTGCCAATCAGTATTCTTGATGACCCTATTTTCATCATCGTGTGTTTCCTTCTCACGGGTGCACCTTCGGCACTGCAGCTGGCGCAAATTTGCCAGATCAATAATGTTTACGTGGGTGCTATGTCGAAGATTTTGTTCCAAAGCTATGTTGTCTGGTATGTGTTATCCATTCGCCCTCACCGCATGGAGAAAACGAAACTAACAGATATAGGATCCTTCCCTCCACACTCTTTCTGGTTATCTGTGGATTGGAAGTCCTCGAATGGTCGACCTCCGCATAGATACCTCTACTTGTTACATTGTATATGTACGAAGTGACGCGTTAGGGATGCTTGCATGATACATACTCTCTTTTCGTCGTTGCATTCGGCTTGGCGTTGCATAAATTCCTAAGTACATTCCCAGGAATGAGTTTTTATCGTTGTGTTTAAAAAACCTCTTGTATCACGCCGTCCCATAGCAGTACATTTCTTGACCCTCATCTTTAATTATTCGTTCATCACTAAATTCATACTTTGGCTTATCCCTTCCTCGCTTTGAACTGTCCCCTACATGCATAGTATTGATAGAACCGTCACAGCGATAAAGCTTAGCATTTTTCTCAAGATTCGCTTGAGGATTTAGAGAAATATAGTCCTCAAGGAAGGGATACGAGGAGTAGATATTGACGAAGTAGCGAAGGTACTTACCCATCCTCAAAAAATATGAAGGAGCAGGTGACCTTGCTAGCTTAAAGCAAAGAATTGTCCCACGTCATATACAGAAAGATAGGTAATAAAATAGGCGCATATTTCGAACGACACCCGGTCATAATCCTAAATGATCTAGCCCATGTCACGCCCTCATCCCCTCAAGCAAAGAAGGATCATGCGCAACCTCACCCTTCAAATCTCCCTGAACGTCAATCAACATCGCCGTTCCCGTCGCAAGATGCCAAAGCATATGGCAATGAAAAAGCCACACGCCTGGGTTATCCGCCCGGAAGCGCAAGACTGCATATCCGCGCCTGGGTATATAGACCGTATCACGCAAAGCAACGCGAGAGAGGTTGTAGGGATAGAACTCACTTTCATTCGGTATGACCCATTCTGTTCCTTCCATGGGTTCAGGATCTGGCCCAGGCTCCAGGCCGGGAGGGTACGCGTCCTCGAACGGATTGTATGAGCCCCATCCGTAAGCACCTTTTTGCACAGTCATGATATAAAAACTATGGCCATGCATATGGAAAGGATGACCACCATCGTCGAGATTATTCACAACAATATCAATCCAAACAGAATCTGGTCCGGTCGTGATGGCAAATTGGTTTTTGTCCCACTTCGTGCGCGGAAGACCGATTAGTGGGATGAGAGGGTTTTGTTGGGGACTCCAGGTAGTCTTGTTGAAGATGCCGAAAGGCATGTTGTGATTGAAGGATAGTTTTTGGATTTTCGTGTATACGACGAATGTCCGGTCGGGCCTTAGTGGGAGGGACTGAAGAAATGATGAGGCCGATGGTGTAATGTTGATATCGATCTTGTGTCGGATCTTGGGTGGGCGGATTGGAGGGTCTGCTGGTGATATGAAGCTGGTTGGGAATGTCTGGCTTGGATTGAGAGATGGGTTCATGAATCTGAAGTATCTGGAAGGTATCAGTACTCGTATAGGTACTGTGTAAGGTACTGTGTAAGGTACTGTGTAAGGTACTGTGTAAGGTACTGTGCAGGGTGCTGTGTAAGAGATTGTGTAGAGGGGAAGTGTATCTTACTCCTGGTCTAGCTGAACCGTCATAGAGGACTTCAAATGTGTTTGAGAAGGGTTGAGAATGAAATCCATTCGTTGTCCTGGATAAAGAACACCGATTGAGTTGCTATCGTGGTGTTGTAGAGGGTCAACGTCAACGCTGTCCACTTGAATGAGGTTCAGCTGCTCTTTATCGAACACAAGACTCAACCCTGCTAGAGATCTACCTGCCGTCAATTCCTGTTCCTAGTAGTTCATCCAATGTGCTGCTTTAGCCCGGCTTACCCTGTATTTACCACGCGGATTCGATAGGCAACATTGAAATCCATTTCCAAGAAGGAAGTGTTGACTGGCTGCTCTACACAATTCACCGGGCGTGCAATTGTTGCAGCTGAACAATTGAAATATCCGACTCCGTTGATGAGAAAAGTATCTGGTACTGGCTGCTGAAGGTTAGAGTTCAGACAATTTGGAAATCTGGAACTTCGAACATACATCCAAGCCGATATTGGCAGGAGTCATGTACCAGGCTAGGACTTCCTTGGCGGGCCAATGGTACCAGTCACCAATGAGAAGAAGGAGTTCTTTCTCATAGCCGTAGTGATGAGCATCACTCTTTGATTGAGGTAAGAGACCCCTAACGGCCGAGCGAGAGGCAGGAGCATGGACCACAAGGCCACCATAGAGACCATCTGCACGCGAAACGCCGGTATGTGAATGGTACCAGAATGTACCACTTTGGTCTGCAGGGACGGTAAGATTATAGACGAAGTGACCACCTGATGCAATAGGAAACTGTGAGATTCCCGGTGCTCCATCCATGGCATCTAGAGTGGTTTAGATGGGACTTTGTCAATTTCCGAGTCAGCGGGCGTTCCAGCTTACTTGCAACATGAAGGCCGTGCCAATGGAAGGAAACAGCTTCCTCATACAACGCATTGGTGACTGTGATAATTAAAGTATCACCAGAACGGGCCTCAATAGTAGGGCCAGGAAATAAATCTATAATGGGCAGGTACCAAAATTAGTGAGTCAAATTTGATTTCTTCGAAAGTTTATACAACTGTATGCAAGCAAAATATGACATACTATTGATCACATAGATCTGCTTGAGAACTCCATCAGGTCTACGCACATCTTTCGTGACATGCCAATCCAGATATTGCGTAGTCTTTTGGCGATATACATGGTCCTCGGGGTGTAGTGTGATCATGGGGCGGATAGCGGCCTCACCCAAGGGACTGCGATGAGCTTGAAGAGGCGCAAACCGAGATCCCCACATGTAGGTATCTGGCCGTGAGAAAGCTGCGAGCACAATGAATGATGCTCCCAACAATAGCCAGATGATCCATAATCGAGGTTGACTTTGTGATAACACCGGTGCTAAAGTCGATTTTTGTGTACACTGAGACTCTTGACAATGACCCCGCAAATTGTTCATCATGGGTGAATCAAAGGGTTGATCCGAAATGGCGGTGCAATATTGATCTTTGATTGAAAATATGAGTTGTGTATACCAAAAGGTCCTTAGTCGGAAAGTTTCTATCAGACCTTAGATTGGTGGTGAAGAGATGGAACCGAATTGATAAGATTCAGTTACAATGAGGATCGACGAACTTATGATATGAGGAACACGTGCCTAAGTGATTGGAATGAAAGATGCAACCCTGTCAACTGTATCTGTCATATTAAGCGACCAAGTCTAGATCTCATCTTCTCTCGACTTCTTCCATCCCATCGACGCCTTTCTTCTTTCCTCTCGTCCCTTCTCTTCCTTCATCAACACCTTTCACTTCTCAACTTTGAACTCCATCACTTTGTATCATAGCCATCATGATGCTCTTATTCTGGGCCACCCTGGCCCTCATACTGGGTAGTTCAATTGTCATTGCTGACTCCCTGAAAGACATTGAGCATGTGGTGATCTTCATGCAAGAGAACCGTTCCTGGGACTGCGTATGTTTCAGCTATAAACCCCTCGAAGAGATTGACTAACAGTGCCCTGACAGTATTTTGGCACCATGCCTGGTGTTCGTGGATTCAATGACCCCAATGTCCAGGTCAACAGTGATGGCCAGCCTGTCTGGCACCAGTATGTTGGAACATGATAATCCGCATGAGGCTTCTTCACTTACCCATCAAACTAGGCAGGTTGACCCTGAAATTTCTCAAGACGCCAAGACCCTGCTGCCATGGTACCTGGGCTATCTGGGCGGAGATACTCTCGATGCCATCCAGTGTATTTCAGCTGGTGACAATAGCTACTATGCTAATCAAGCGGCTTATAACCACGGGCTGAACAACAACTGGGCTCGTAACAATACTCCTTGGAGCTGGGGCTACTACAAACGCCAGGACCTCCCCGTCCAATTTGCCATTGCTGAGGGCTGGACCGCGGGTGACATGTATCAGGTATGCAGCACAACGTGATATTTATAGGCAGTGATGACCTGACTCCAGTTTAGGAAGCTCAAATCACTGCTACAAATCCTAACCGTGTGACCCTGGTCAGTGGCTCCATCAATGTTCCTGGTGGCCCCCAAGGTAAAGACCAGGGCGGTGTCTATATTGACAACAGGGAAGCTCCTGGTAAGTCTTTTCTGGGCTTTGAAAGATAATAAAAACTTAACATTAGCTAGGGTGTGATGAGCATGGTACCAGCTGCTATCCTCTTCGTTGGAAGACCATCTATGAGTACTACGAGGAGGCGGGAGTCTCTTGGCAGCTGTACCAGGATGCAGATAACTTTGATGACAATCCGCTAGCATGGTTTCACCAGTTCCAAAATGCTCACCCGGATTCTCCCCTAGCTCAGAAGGGTATGGGATTTGTGGGACTGGAGGCCTTTTACTTGGCCGCCGCTACCGGTACTCTTCCAGCGATCAGCTTTATTGTTGGTCCCCAGGAGCTATCGGAGCACCCTCCATGGATGCCCAAGGATGGTGCTTGGCTGCAAAAGCAAGTTGTGGACGCTGTCACCAGCAGCCCCAAGTACTCCAAGACTCTACTCATGATCAGCTTTGATGGTAATATGGGTTATGGACTTCGGATGCCCAAGGGGGTAAAAATAGAATGCTGATACTTTAAACAGAGACCGGTGGCTTCGGCGATCATGTCACTCCATTCCACTCTCCCCATGGGACTCCCGGTGAATGGATGACAGACCCTCTCGGGGTTTTCGGTGAAGTATTTTCTGGGCCTGGTATGTAGACACCTATGTTTATTCCATAGTGCAATACTAATGAGACTTGCTAGGTTTCCGCGTGCCATTCGTCATGGTCTCACCTTGGACTCGAGGCAACCGGGTCTTCACAGAACGCGCAGATCACAACTCTCAAATTCTTTTCCTTGAAAAGTGGCTCGCAGCCAGAGGTCACAAGAACATCGAGACCGATCAAATGGTGCACTGGCGTCGGGAGCACATGTCCGACCTGGTTAATGCGTTAGACTTTGAAAATGTAAGCCTCATCTTATGGCTCCCATTGAATAATTAACTAATCTAGAGTAGCCTGATTACTCTCTTCCTTATATTCCAGAGGCCGCAACTCCCCATATCAACAGCCAAGGCAGTTATGTTGGAACAGGGGATTGCCTAAACCGTCACAGGGACCCTCGCCCTCCTGTACCGTATGGCAAACAGACAAATGTGAACAACACCTTGTTCTTCGAAGATGGCTTCAAGGAAGTAGTGGGATACTTGACTGAGGGTCGTTACTTGACTTTCGAGAAGGGTGGCCAAGCCTTGACCATCCCCAAGCCGAGGGATTACGTTAAGAGTCTTAAGACCAGCCGTGCCAAGCGCGATCACAGTGAGATAACCCAGCGCTGGGTCATCCACTACATCGACGGCGAAGAAAGTGGAATCTTCACGATGTCTAGCGCCTTTGATGGTCGATGGATTGGTCATCGTTGTGAGCTGCTCGGCACTGACTACCGTGATGCGGCAGCGCCATTGCGAATTTCCTTTCTAGGTAACGGCAACGGGTATACCATCCAATTTGTTCGTGGTGGAGAATACCTCACTATTGATAGGGATGGTAACCTTAAGATGATGAACCCCAGCCCGGCTCCGAAGGAGGGCTTCAAGGTTTTCAGTGTCACTTATCATGACTAAGTGCCTTATCCCTGACCTGCGAGATATACTTCTTTTCATTTCGATTTTTAAGGATGCAACGATCATGCATGCCCAGATAGCGGAGATCTAGATGGGCATGTATGGCATATTTCCAAGATTATCATGGGCTTTTGCATTTTTATACCTCGCCCACAACAGATGATCAGCATTCCGAAGCTTATACTAACAGGTTCTTATTATCCATAAGAAATATTGAATGAATGCTGAATAATACATCCTGTCATATGACGATAGATATCCCTGATACATAGCCCTCACCAGAATGTTTGACCTGGTTCGGACTACAATCCATGCATCTAAGCGGTGATACTAAACGGCCCAGCAGCGTTGTACACAGTCGGCATCTAATAAGAAAGTCAACACCAGCATCCTCGGGGAAAAAGGAAATTGAAAACATACCTGCGGTGCAGTGTCCAAAGAAGTGTCCAACCGCAGATACCAAAGATCGCCATGCTGAACAGCTGGCAATTTTGCAGGAATTTTCACATAAATATGCCCGCATGTAGCATTGATTCCCTGCTCGATCTTAATAGATTGCGCAAAGGAAATTGTATCCCGGTCTCGCATAGGGTTGTTGTACAGCCACACCCCATATGTGCCAGTCGGGTACTCTGCCAGTGGGTCTGGGCAGTGCGTCGTGGGAGCACGGTTGAAGTGCAGGGACACTGTTTGGCCAGGGGAGAGAGTAGAATTATCGGGAATTCCTTGATAGACGTTCAAGCAAGAGTAATCGCGTTTTCCCCATGCTATTTTGGTTTGTCAGTGGCTTGAAATGGATTGCTTTGTAGAGGTGTGAGGGACGTACGCTGCCATTTGTCGAAGGCAGTGGCACTAGCCACCAGGGCGGAAGTGATGATTGCGGCGGAGATCTTCATGAGGTAGGTAGCGTTACAACTGTCGGGTTGCAAGGGGACTAGAAATATGAGCAGGAATAACTTTTTATAACTATTCGGGTTGGGTTTCATCCGTGCCGATCACCTCAGACCCCGAATCCCACGCTCGGGTTATAATCCCTATTCTGCAGGCACTTAGTTTGAGATGTCTCAGTCCGCAACTCCACATGGGCTGGGCAGTTGCTTGGCGTGAAGGTGTGGCGGTGGGGGATCGGCAGGGTCGTTGTGGATCGAGGGTTTTGTGTTGAGTGTGCAGGTAATATGGAGGGAATCATACTAGTTGATGGCAGTTGTCCTCGGCAAGTTTGTTCAAAGGCTTGATAAAAACGAGATCATTCAGCTGCGCCATCATGACTTGGTAAGATAATTGGTCGGAATTTCGGGTGTATTCTTGGCTGCATGATATACGATGATTTCAGGGCTGATTTTGCCATTTGGGCTAAAACAACTAAGCACGTGTGTTCGGGGTAGCCGTCTAGAGTTGCTCAATTGCCTAGCAAGATGTGTATTCAAGAAGATTGTATTTAAGTGACGGGGTATTATTACTATCCCATGCAAGGTCAAGTAATGCGGACGTCCGCGTAGTCATATGTGCGTATTCACATCAAGCGGTCGATACATTCCTGAGCTTTTCAACCGCCGCAGAATATCTACTCTCGCCTAACTCTATTCATCTTAGAGCTATACCACTCACTCAAATATTCTAAGATTTACAGACCTAGGTCCCAGTTGTCTCCAAAATCCGATAGGAACGGAGGCAGCGTCGTCAATTCCGGGTCAAATGTCCCAATATCAGCGGTTTCCATTTCCACGCGAATCCCTGGCCAAGGCCAAGGCGCTCCATCCGCGAGTGGATCCTGTGTAGTGTTTGAATCAGGAAGGATCCCTGCCTGCAGGGAGTTTTCGCCCAGGGCCATATGAAATGTTGGCCGAGGCGGTTGTGCTGGAACGAAATCAGGACATTGCTTGTCTGAGGAATCACCGTGAATACCACAATCGAGGAAAATAGTACCGAAATACGGAATGTCGACTTTGATGCGGTTGGCCTGGTCATCCTCAGTCGAGAGCCCTGCGGAGTTGGCAGATTGTGATGGTCTCTCGCCATTAGCAACATTCTTCAGTGTGCGTAGCACACTGAGTCCTCGAGTTGCCACCTTGTCAGGTGGTTGTCCCTCTGCCAATTTCTCCAGAGTTTCCATGACACTTTCAACAGCGCGCCAATCATTCGGACTGGACTGGGGCCGACCACCTGGTCCTATTATATTGATCATAAGAGTGACAGCGGCAGTAAAAGCCTGAAAATCAAGCGATTTGCAGCAGAAACTTTCGGCAGTCAGCTGGCGCATGGAAATATAACATGTAATCATGTGCCGGGATGCCTCGAGGCAACTTTGCCTGCTGTAGTCGTACCGTCTATGGGTTCCAGACTCGAGAAGAAGTGGCAGATGTAGCCATGCCTGAAGTTGATAATACCATAGCCTCGCCATGAGTTTATTATATGCCCAAGCTCGTTGTATAGACTTTCCTGTGGTAGGAATACTGGTTTCTTCGGCTACTTCTGGAGGATCGACCGACATAAGCTCTGAATCGATGGTCTGTGTCATTCTCGCCATTAAGGGAGTGACTGTGGTAAATTTTTGATTTCGTTCGATAATCGATCCAGCAATGCGACAAAGGAGATCCATAGAGTAAGAAGGTGTCTCGCTAGGCACGCGCTGCGAATCTAACGCCACATCGGTAATGCCATGATACATTCCTAGCATCAAGGAAAGATATCGATCTGCATATATTATGTGATTCCATATATGCCTTGCCCGCGATATAGATTCAGAATCATGCTCCCCCTTTAAGGCAAGACGATGAAGTCCGATGATTTGACCCACGTTTAGAGCACGTCGATAAGATAGCCAGGCACTTCGTAGTTTCCCATCGTTGTTGTAGAATATCCCTTGGAGGACTAAGCATTCTAGTCCGTCAATACAACTTACCAACGTCTCATCAGGACTAATCGAATGTGCGACAATGTTGACGCATTTTGCGATGAGTTCTGCTGGAGGGCAGGGAAGTTCTAATGAATCAACGGCGAACCCCCGCGGGAGTTGCTGTAGACAGATAACCACCCACAATAGAGCCTTGGCGATGACAACAGGGTGGTGGTTTGAGAAAGAAGCCAGTGAACATGGAAGAAGTGATTCTTCATAGTCTTGAAAGCACTGGGCTCGAACCAGCCACCAGCAGCTATTGGCCGCTAGTCTTTTCAAAGTACTATATGGCGGTAGAAGGGCTAAGAGCTCGTGACGGAGTTTCTCCCACTCGCGATTCATTGTGTCATAAAGCGTGATACTCGGCGGAGAGGCGTCTGATCGTTTGAAACCTAACTGTTTTAATGTCAGCGTGAAGTTTCTATGCGAAATAGCATAGGTAGCTCATACCACCCCATTGTCGAAAAGCGATAAAACAGGGGCATTTTCATTGGCAGGTGTAATAGCTGTGCTGGAGCTTGGATTGCTGCTATCAACGGTCCCTGTTGGTGGTGACACTGGCGGCTCTCGTTTATCACCAAGAGTGTCTAATTGCTGCAAGACTCTCTCTAGGAGGGATTCTACGCGACCTAGCCGATCATTGAGTGATGCGCGGTCTGATTCGCGTAGATTCTCAGGTTCTGGTAAATCTTGGCTGCGACAAACCGTTCCCCTGGCCAGACATTCGCGACAGCTGGAATCGCCATTTGAGACATAGTGGCAGCGAACCTTACGATGTTTACCTACATTGATTTTAGTTCAAGACCACTATATCATATGATAGAAAGTACCAATAGGTGAGCACATACATTCCCAACAGCTGCGGGTCCCCTTTCGGATTCTCTTGCGAGGCGGCTGTTGGTCCTCGGGTGGGGGCGGTGGTGAATGCGTATTGGCAAGCATAATCACACTCGTTATGAAGTGTGGCTCACTGACCTAACCTGTAGAAAGTGGAGGAGGACATGGGAGGACAGGATAAATGTACAGGGCAAACGGAGTACGTGTGTTGAACGAACAGCGTCCGTCACCGCCCGCATATAAAGTAGCCAATCACCTTGAGGGGGCTGGTTATTGAAGAGGGGAATCGATGGCAGCACGCCTGACAACATGCGGGTCGAACTGGCAATGCATAAACCACCCACATCCATACAATTAGTAGCTTTGAGAAGGTGGTGGGTGCATGCATCAACAGGGGCATGAGGATGTCTTCTTAAACCGTCTCATAGTACTAAGGGTACCCGTGCGGGACAGAACGTGACCGGTATGGTCGATTAATAATCATACGGTAGAAGTCCTAGTACGCCTGTAGTCACTGCCAGCGTAATAAATAAGAGGTGGTCTGTCTCTACTACTACTAATTACTGAATTGTACAGTACTCGTAGCTGAAGAAAGTATTTGCAACCCCCTTAGCTAACTAGTCATTATGGGTGGGACCTTGGGAACGTTTGTTTAGTCATTGTATCTTTTCCCATCTTCAGGCATCAATGTTTACAAGTCTATCACCTAGTACTAGCAGGGGTAGTTTGTTTTTAAATTTTTGCTAGAGTACTCGACAAGAGTACTCGACAAATCCGAGTCTATACCGTGACGTGAACATGAGGCCATTTTTACCCCCCATCGAATTTTGTCTCTCCATAACGCTTCGTTCACAGTCCCTACTCCTTTCGTTCATACCTTTAATCCTAGAGAAAGCAATCATCTCTCAATGCTACGTTTTGCCTTGAAAAGAAGTGGCAATGTGGCTTGACACTCGCATTGAAACACTCAAAATAACATGCATATGTAGTTTTTGGGAAGGTTTCAAGGAGGTTTGTGCGTCTACTAGTAGATATTAATGTATTGGATCCATATTCTAATCTAGAATGTTGGAATTGAAGCTTAAATAATACACCAAGGGGAATGAAATCCCGAAGGAACAAAGAAGAGAGAAAAAGAAGATTGACGAATCTGTACCTGGAAGGTTGAAAGAAGCTTTTCAACCGAGTCAAAGCCCTCGGCAGTGTTGGAAGGGTCAAGCTCCGCATAGAAGGAGGACAGAAAGCAAAAGGAGTTACATATGGAGTGATACGACAGAAGAAAAGATCAGAGAGAGGGGGAAATGGAGATAAGCCGCACTTCCCAGCGTTAGAGATCCCCAGAGGGAGCACATGCTCCAAGATTGACAGGTAGTATGTAGCTTCACCACTCCAAGGGTATCGCAAGCAAGGGCACCTAAGAATCTGAGGTCAATCAGGCTGCTGATGCAACAGTAACCGCCCCCGAAAGCTTCGTCCATCGGATCCCCATGCAGACCACAGTGGCCAGACAAGATGCGACAACGGCCACCAGGAATGCTGCCTGAAGACCTTGCATATATGCGCCGAGGATAAAGCTCATTTGCTCAGCCGAGAAAACTTTATGCAGCTCAGTTGCGCCTGTCATTGCAACTTTGGAGGCATCGACGGTTGAAGTCTCTCCACGGAGAACATTGAGTAAAACATTGACCATAGCTGATTGGCCAGCGCTGACAAAGACCGACCCTCCGATTGTCTGCACAGCTATAGGCTGTTAGTAATACGAGCAAATAGATAAAGATATTGGGAAACGGGAGAACCTACTTAACACCATGGCCGTCACAGATGGCAAGTCTTCCGGCTTAACGGATGCTTGTGCAGTGACCACGGGAACTTGGAAGCACCATCCAATGCCAATACCAGCCAGTAGCTGATATCCAATCCATTTGCCAGATCCAGTATTGACCTCAAGGGTGTAAAGCAAACCTGAGCCGATCGCTGTGAGTGCCGCTCCGGCTAGGAGGAAGGGCTGTGGGTATGCATATTTGCTAAGGGTCAAACCTGACACCACAGTTGCAACACTCTGCGCAAGAATCAAAGGCAAATTTCTGATTCCACTCTGAGCAGCAGATGCACCAGACACAACTTGGAAATAGATAGGTAGATAGTAAACAAGCAAGAAGAATGATCCTGCCAGTAAGTCGATATAGATCATGGTGATAATCACGTTTCGCTGGAAAAGACGTCCGATCATCGCTGCACGTTCCTTCTGTAGCCATTGTACAATGCCGTAGACAATCAATAGTATTGCGAACCCAACCAAAGTGCCGACAACTTTGGAGTCACTCCAAGGTAGTGAGATTCCACCCCACTGCAGAGCAAGAACATAGCATACCAGAGCGGACAGTAGCAATAAAGTACCACCCAGATCCATTTGAAGAATCTTTTCCTTTAATGGAGCACCTAGGAACGGCAGGGGCGGAGGGGCGCGGTAGAACAGTAAAATAATACCAGCTGCAAGTCCACCAATGGGCAGATTGATATAGAAACACCATCGCCAAGTAACATTGCTGGTAAAGGCACCTCCAACTAGAGGACCAATAGCCGCGGCAATTCCGTAAGAGGCACCTAGGATTCCAATATAGGCAGGGCGCTGTTTCGGTGGAGCGGACAGAGCGATGATGGTAAATGCGCCCGAGGAAATGCCAGCGCCTCCAACGCCAGTAATAGCCCGCCCGACAATCAGTGCAATACTACTGGGTGCGACACCTAAAAGCAAAATCGTCAGTCATTGTACCACCAGATTACACTGGGAGAGGGAAACTTGCCGCAGATCAAGCTTCCAACTTCAAAAATGAAAATGGATACCAAGAATGATATCTTCAAAGGAAAGTACTTGTACGCCTTGCCCCATGCTGCCTGAAAGCTCCCCAGGGTGATGAAGAATGCGGACCCATACCATCCCTCGTCCTCAATTCCACCAAATTCATCCGTAATCTTTGGAATCGCGGTTGCCACAATCGTCTGCGATATTATACCTGTTAGCTTCCCTTAGATAGAATATTTGTAATTCCAGAAATCGAGAGTTGAATGAACGTGCTCACCATATCCAATGAAACCTAGTCATCATCATGAAAAATTAGTTTGGCTCATACTAGATTCAGGGAACTCAATGGCAAGATCGTACCAGGAACATGCTCATGGCTAGAGCTGCGACGGTCATCAACAAAGTGAAGCCGCCAGGGCTAGTGTCACCGGGGAGGTCATCACCAACGTCGGACTCAGGGCTTTCTGTTTTTTCCTTCATGATCTGGTTATTTTGCAGAGGTTGGGCATTGGATTCGGGGTTTCCAAGGATTGAAGTAGTTGACGTTGTCGAAGTTGTCGAAGGCGCCGTGTCGCCGGTTTGCGATGGCGGTGCTTTGGTAGACATTAGACATAAAAATCCGAAAGAAAATCACAATCCGAGATAAATCAGACAACAAGCGAAAGAGTGAATAGTGAGAGCAATGCTCTTGCACGATATCATGGCGCACTTAAAAATTAAAAAGAGGTTGTCAAATCGATATCAACATAGGAGTAAAAAATGTATTCTTCCGCCGACTCGGCGGAACTTTTACAGGGATCTGGTGATCCACAGTCGGAAGGCAAAACACAAACGCAAAAAAAACATGCAGGGGGCAAAGTTGGAGCTGTCTTCAAGATTTGTGCCATTTTTTTGGAGTACCCCTGTCTGCAAATTCCCGTGAGTCATGCTATGTCATAAATCGGTGAAGTCCCAATAGGGTAGGCGCCGAACTTCCTGCCTTCGCGTCTTCCAACCCCAGAATAACTTCATTAAGTATATAGACCAGCCTATCATTCATAGATTGGGGACTATAGGAGTTAATTCCATGGTGTAGTTAAACCCTATACACTGATCAAGATGGAAGACCCATCTTTGAACTCCATTTACCAACGCCTGCTATCTTTGCCTGTCAACCTGATAGTTTGTCTTGGCATTGCAGCCACGGTAATAAAATATCTTCGGTTCTGCTTGGAAAGACTGACGGACTGATAATGGGCTAACTCTTTATTGAACACTCTTCCAGGCTGTGTTATACTGGATTGTTGTGATCATCTATAACATCTTTTTTCATCCACTCCATGCGTACCCCGGCCCTTTTTGGGCAAGAGCCTCATTTGTAAGAGTGGAAAGCCCCTATTTATGCTACCTTAGATGGGAACCAAAGTTGAAACCCAAGTTTAGGCATGGCGGATTTGGCATACTACCGCTGGTCGATTCCATCGTGCTATTGATGACCAACACAAGCTTCATGGTACGAGCGCCTATGTGGTCTTACCTAAAAGGCTAACACAAAAGGCTAACGTGATTAGGCGATATCGTGCGAATATCTCCCAATGAGCTCTCTTTTGCATCAGTGGAATCTTGGAAGGCTATATATCAACCAAAGAAATCACCTCTAGTCAAGAGCGAGTTTTATGAAATCTATGGCTCGGGTTTCAATTCGTTGTGTGTCGGAAGTGAACGTGACCCGAAAAAACACAATCGGATGAGAAAATCACTTGCCGCTGCCTTCTCTACAAAGGCTCTGCTAGAGCAAGAAGAGATCATTCAGGGATCAGTAGATGCTTTTATTGAAAGTATTCGAACTCGGGTCAAGGACACCAGGGGAATTAACATGACCAAGTGGTTTGAGATGCTTGCTTTTGATATTCTGGGGGAAATGGCTTTTGGGGAGTCATTTCATTGTATCGAAGACGGTGAGAGTGACGCTGATCTATACTATGTTCATTATAAATGAGTTACCGATATTGACTGATCGCATGATAGGAAAGCCCCATTTTTGGTCTGACATGATTGAGGAGCATCTTTACTTCATCACTATACTTGATAACCTGCGACGATACCCATTGATTGCTGCAGTTGGAAAGCTTGTCCTGCCACATCTGACAACTGGTGTTCGCAACAAACATACCAACTACAGTAGACAAAAGGTTGCACGACGGCTCAATAGTTCATTTCCCCGTGCAGACTTCATGTCACGGCTGATTTCAAAAGTTCAAAGTCAGGAAATGGATATGGAAGAGCTGACAGCGCACGCTTCAACACTTGTGTATGTATTAAATATTCAAAGCCGACAGCAGGTTTCCTACTGTCACGGCTGACAATATATCGAATAGCATCGCTGGAGGCGAGACGGTAGCCACCTTTCTAGCTGCCGTTACCTTCTATTTGCTTTCAACCCCAGAGGCCTATAAAAGACTTCGTGATGAGATTCGAGGCAGATACCTTGACGTTTCGGAGATAGATTCGACGTCTGCATTACAACTGCCTTATCTTCAGGCTGTTATAACAGAGGGGCTGCGCATCTACCCCCCGGGTTCTCAGGGGTTTCCCCGCATTACTCCTCCTGAGGAAGGAATTATGGTGAATGGCAGCTATGTGCCCGGGAATGTATTAAAATTTCTCTTTGCGCTTGCTGAAGGAGACACGACTAATTCATATTTCCCTAGACCGAAGTTTATACGTCCGCGTGGACACTCACCCATGACCCCCGTTACTTCCACCAGCCTTTTGAATTTAAACCTCAGCGCTGGTTGGATCCAGAGTGCACTGATAATAAAGAGGCTAGTCAGCCCTTTTCACTGGGGCCAAGAGGCTGTCTGGGGCGGAAGTATGTATTGGACTCCCCCTTATGAACAATACCCCATTCGAGCATATCGCTATTATGTGTAGGGCTAATTTGAAAATAGCTTTGCAATGGTAGAGATGTCTATCATACTCTGCAAATTGCATTTTCAATTTGATGCCGAGCTTGTAGACCCAGATCAGGGGTGGGAATCTGAGAGTCGACTGCACGTCATGTGGTGGAAACCGAATTTGCCAGTGAGGTTTTTCCCTGTAAAACATCAGACAGGCAATTGATCGTTATGTTGTTTAATCTGGAAAGAGAATATCTTAAAAGGATCTATGATTATCGCTTCTACACATTTATGATAATGACGTAAATACATAGAAGCATGTGAACCGTGAAACAAACTTTGAAAGATTATTAGAAGTAAACAGAATTGCTGTGGTCAGGTCTATCAAACGGCCTCGGAATCTATCAGGCATACTTATTTGTCAAAATTTCTTTCAATACTGCATTCATACTATGCAGTCTCTGTCCACATTGTGACAGGTTTTCTGAAAGGTCTTTTCTTTGCTCGTCTTGGGCGCGGCCCCAAAGCGTTGCGATGACCTTCCGCAATTGTTGCATAGCGAGAAGAGCCAAGTGCAGAAGAAGTGCTTCCGTCTCTTTGGACATATCCAAAGTAAAACCATTGCACGACAATATCATTTTGGTATTTCTTTCTTCTGTCTTCGTTCGGAAATGGGAGCCAGTCTCATATTCTCGCGGCTGTATTTCCTTTTCGCCAATATTCGATAGGTCTTCATTTGATGGCATTGGACTGGAAGTGTTTTCAAAATCAATTCCAGCTTGGAAAGTGCTCAAAGGCATGATCTCAAAAATTTGTCGAAATAGCGTTGACAAGCGTTCAGAGAGGAGGACCAACAAGCCCATCAAACATCGGGTCTTCTTGCATTGTGCGCAGCTTGCAATGCCTTCAAAGGCATTTAGTTCCATGCGCAGAAATGATAGTTTTTGCATTGCATCTGAAGTTTGATGGTATTTTGATTTGAAAGTCGAGAGTGGGTTGGCAGAGTTGCCGTGCTGTACAAAGAGTCCATCCAGCAGCTCAAGAGCTCGATCCAAACATTGACAGTCCCTCGGCGCTGAGCCTGAGCTTTGTATCATCCTATCAAACATCTCCTGCCATCGTAGATCACTTGATGAGTTTTGCTCATTCGCATGACATGGCAACTTGGATTCCACATATGATGTGCCATATTCAAAATTTGCTGGATTCTGGATAGAGTCCCCGCTTGATGCAATATCTATCCCTGTTGTAGGAAGCAGCAAGGCCTCACTAATTGGAATATCATCCTTGGCTGCCAGCGTGTCCCCCGTATATAGATGATGAGATAGATTATCGTGGGTAAATGATGAAGATCCAGATAATCCGTCCCATGATGTATTGGGCGAGAAGACGCTGGAGACCTCTGGAGACCCCGACATGGACACACTCCGGGGAAGATCGAGATCTGGGATATCCATGTTCGCGAAAGAAGACATGGTATTGTCCCCTGTGGTACTGGTGCTTTGGCTGTTTGTGTTTTGTTTCGATGCTTCAGATCTGGCTTTCGTAACTTTGTGACTTGACCGGCTCTCTCGCCGTGACCGTTCCACTGGAAGACATTCCACATACGAATCTCGGCAGCGAACACAACCATTTGCGTTATACCCGGAGCATCTCAACTAATTCAGTTCTCATCAGTCCCAGGCATTTAACAGTCCAAATCAAAACTGATACCTTTTTGCTGCGACAGAGCTGACACACGACATGCGGTGGTCGATTGAAAATCGGCGGCTTACTTGAAGCCTCGACGGCTAGCAATTCCTGGCCCTGAGGGTCGGGATGCAATGTTGCGAACATAGCGGCAACTGCTGTCAGGTAGGTTTATCCGGAAAGTGTAGTGGGAAGTGCAAATGTTCATTATATTCGCAAATCGGTACTCGCCATACCCCGCAATGCGTCATTTCCCATGCTCCAGTCTTGCGGATCAATTGGTAAATATTAATTTAAAAAAGTGATCTGCCATTCCCCCTGTTCTGTCGCCAAGAGGAAACGCATTTTTCCAGAGCTTGAGGATCCGGCTGTGACAGTAAGTTACATCGCTATCTCAGACCTTGGTACTTGTTATTCAGGGTTTAATTCCTTCGGTCCCAACGGGCCAATAGAGATTCTGGGAATTCCACATTGTTGACGACGACATGCTCTTTAACACGGGAGGGCGGCCGGTACCGTTGATGGCGTTGTTAGCGCGGCGCACACTCGTGCCAACGCAGTTAGCTCTTTGTTTCCTGACCATCTTTTCGGCGCATGTCACGTAGACCTTATCTTGCCTCCCTAACCCCCTCTTCGACATGTTGAAATGTGGGTTTGGATTGCCCTGGTTGGTGACGATACCTGGATAAGATGTTTATTATTATTTTTTCGATCTGAGAAAAGGAGGGGGCAGAGAGCGACAAGGCTGACTCGAATTAACTCGTTAGTGTCTCCATCTTCATGCACCGATTCTCGTGGGGGCAGGGAGGAAAAAAGGAAAAGAAAAATCCTTCTGCGTGGCCAGGCTTTCGCTACCGTGGGGCCAAAAAGCAACCAGTGGAACATAAACGAGAGCAGGAAGATAGGAAGAATCGAAGAAAGACCCAAGTATTTCATTGTGCATTCATCTTAATATCTACTCCGTTGTCAAACATAACATCAATGCACTTGTGCAGGGGCGAATATTTTGCTGAAGCCAGTTTCCTACTACCGATTCCGCCGTCTCGGCGGAACAATCACCTTTCAGCTGTCCCCAGTGTAAAATATATACGACCATACGTCTGGAACTGGCGGCTCAGCTAAGACAGTACTCCCCCGAGAAAACTCCATGACGAGGTTCCATTACAAGAAGCAGATCGAAGAATACTGTCAGACTTATTTTCATACCTAAGAAAGGAACGAATGAATTGCGTGTTTGTGAAAATCACATACCGCTCAACCGTGTTTTGAAACAACGGGCACACGCGCCACCGCCTACGGCAGCATACTGGAATAATATATTACGCGCAACACGGTACTCGAAATACGACATCGAGGAGGCATACAACATTTGATCACGTTTCGTACACTTTAGAATGTACCGGTGCACGAGTTTATCGTTCGCTATCAGAACTGCATCAACAGAATGGCAATGTCGCCTAGAATGCGTCTTTCAGTCTAGTGTAGTTCTGCAATAGGTGAGGTCCGGTTTGTTGTCTTGCTTGCTGAGCCATCGTGGGTCCTCGGAACATCTTGCTTGGCAAAGAATGCCGCTTGTTTCTTTTTGTCTGATCACATGTCCCCGGCTGGTCCTTCCGGGTTGCCAAGCACCACTCCAGGATCAAGGTGCATATACTATGGCTTTCAGCGGCCTAGGTGTCTCAGATGTCGTTCAGGTTATGTAACTCGCATTGCAACCAGTGTGCGGTACCTTTGTATCTGTACCCTTTCGTCTCGGACCGACTTCACATGTGATTTAGTTGCTGAGAGTCCCCGAGAGACAAAAACCCCCGGGGCGCCGAATCCCCAGAAGTACTTGGCCGAAGTACGCCCATTTAGATCGCACAAAAAATGAATGCCGAACTTGACACATTCGTTGCGAGATCTCGAGCAAGGAAAATCTCAGAGCTACCAAGTTAATCAAACAATGTCATTCCTACCTAATCAATACATACTCGGTCCTTTTGTCGCACTTGTCCTCTGGTGGATCATTCGGCAATATAGGCGCCAACAACGGTATATTCCGGGGGTTCCTATCGTTGGTGGGAAGAGCAACATAAAAGTCAATCGACAATTTTTTGCGACTCGGAGCTTGTCAATTCTCAGAAAAGGCTACGAAGAGGTGAGCAAGCAGACAATACCTACTCCTGGAACCTTTTCCGGGAAACACCTTCAATACCTTACTATGCAGGTGCTAAGTGGAGTGGATAGAACAATGGGGAGCTTTTCTATGTTCCCACCGCTATTGGGGAACGATTGATTCTGCCTGGACGGTATCTTGAAGAGCTGAAATCGGCAAACATGCGCATTGTTGACTTTCAAGGAACCTTTCTTGAGGTATTGCTCCCTTTTAACAAATACTAGCAGCCTATCATATTGTTGCTTATATACGGATTCCATAGATGTTTGAAGGTGCTTATACCACCTTAGGAACCCATTCTCGATTATTGCCTCAAGTAGTCCGTGCTCAATTGAACCAGTACCTTCGTATGAGATTCTCTCTTTTCCACCTTTTTTGTCTGTCTCGATTTCTAGGAGCATTTTTGTACTGACTAGTCATAGCCGATGTCCTACCAGAAATCCAAGCTGAAATTAGGGACTCACTGACAGAGCTATTTCCTCCGTGTAAAGGTTAGGGCCGAATCCGTCTCGAACCCCCCACCCCGATTCAAGAGCTAATTAACTGGCAGATTGGACAGAAATTAATGTCACGGAAGTTATGGCCGTGGTTATTGCACGAGTGTCAAGTCGGATGTTTGGCGGTCCCAAGCTTAGTCAAAACCGTGAATGGATTCAAGCATCTCTTCTTTTTGCCCATGACGGCTTCAACGCGGCCCAAAAGTTGAAAGCGTGGCCCAACCTCCTGAAGCCAATTGGGCAACATCTGATACCCGAAATTCGCTCCATAAAGAAAACATACCAGATTGCAGAAAGGGCGTTGATTCCCCTTCTCGATGAACGCGAACTGACAAACACAAGCACGCATGACCTTCTCACCTGGATGTATGACCAAGCACAGGGAACCGAGAAAAACAAAAAGTTTATTGCTGGAACCTTGCTCAAAGTCAGTTTCGCAGCGTATCACACGAGCGCTGCAGCACCAACGCAGCTTCTTTTCGATATTGCAGCAAAGCCCGAGTATATTGCCCCGCTTCTTGAAGAATACCACTCGGTGTTCAGGGATCACAACCAAAACATCACCGTCAAGGGCTTTGCACAGATGTCGAAAATGGATAGCATCATGAAGGAGAGCCAGAGATTCAATCCTTTGCTTCTACGTACGTATTCCCTGCCATGGCATTGATGTATGGCTGCTCATCCTCGGCTCAGTCACATTTGAACGCATTATCAAACAAGACTTTCAGCTTTCCGACGGCATAATTATTCCTGCAAATACTTGGATTGGTTGTGCAGCACAAGCCATTGGAATGGATCGAAATCTATATTCTAATCCAGATACATATGACGCCTTCAGGTTTGTGCCCAGTGAAAACGAGAAAGGCACTGTGGCAGCAGGTGCAAAGACCAACTACACATCTGCTCACCCAGGTTCAATGGCATTTGGCTATGGCCAACATGCGTGCCCGGGCAGATTCTTTGCTATGATGGAAATCAAAGCTATCATTGGCGAGATTCTGAGCCGGTTTGAGATGAAACTTCCGAACGGACAACCGAGACCGCCGAGCATGACATTCGAAACGCAACATCTGCCACATCCCACTGGTCCAGTTCTATTCAAAGCTAGGACCCAAATGTAGGCAAAACCATTGCTTTTTCGATGCCGACATAAAGCTGTTTGGTGCTCGACTTTTTTTTGACTTTTTTAACCGTTTCATCTTTTATGAATCATATCCCTCATAGTTTTTGCACTTTCCTGTTTTGATGTAGACTAAAATACCCAACTCTGCTTGAGTATAAGATCGGATACTCGAAGTGAATGACAGGGACCACGATTTTGAGGGCTAAAATTACCCCAGTAACGGCTTGTATGACTTAATACACATATTCCCCAGGGCGGGTCAGACTTGCGCTGGTTAGGTCCAAGAGTTCGAATACAAAAAAGAGAACATTGGTGGAATTGAATCATCGGGTGGGGAAAGATGGAACCAAATACCCGTGGACCTGGATGATCAATGTATAATTGCATTAAGCACATACACAAATCCAGGGACATACAAATATTGTCTATCCAGGTAATTATCGCATAGGCTTACTTACTTAGTCTTACGCGAACACCTTTTGAGTCTCTTTTGGGTACTGGTACGAAGCAATCTTCAACCATATCGACATCTGTTCGATCTGTTTCGAAAAGCCGCAGTCTGCCTCCTAGTCTTCGTACCAAAATCCCAACTCCCATATACAACTCAGAGAATGCTAGACTATCCGGTTTGTGAATAGAACGTTAGTGGTGTGGCCTTCAAACATTCAATTTACCTGTCGCAAACCCTTCCAGGTGTTCAAGATGGAACTCACTTAATGCCAATACACTGTCGACTACCTTTCGAGAACGACATTATGTATTTTTCAAGACGCGGATCGCGTTTACCATCCTCGTCAAGCCAACGTTTGGGTCGAAATTCCAGTGGTTCGGGGAACAACTCCTCGTTAAGATGAACTACAACCGCAGTCATACCGACTGGAGTTCCAGTGGGGATTGTCCAGATCTTCTCTTCCTTTGGAGAATCCGCGAAACTTTGTCGAAATGTTAAGGGGCCCTGTGGATTGATTCGTTGAAGGCGAGTAGCAACTCCGTGCGACAGCCGCAATCCTTCTTGAATTACCGCATTGTATACGCTTTGATTCTGTCAGTTGAAAATTTCGGTGCTGGTCATAGACAATGGAGACTTATCAGATACGGTAGTCCCTCCAATACACGACATGAAGGTTGGTCATAGCAGGCCGGAATGGCTTTTTCCAGTTCCTCGGTCAGCTTTGCCAATACCTCTGGATTATTCAATATGAAGAACATCGTTGCCGTAAGAGCTAATATCAATGACCTGTTAGACTCAATTCATTCAATCGTGGCCGTAGGGGTCAACCTCTCACATACTCCAAGCTGTTGTTTCAGTGCCTGCTCCAATCACTATCTGACCCTCTTGCCACATTCGATTGGGGCTTTTCTCAGAATCCGGGATGTCAGCATGGAAGAGTTCATGAAATATGGTAGACCGATGTTTGATAGTGTCATTCTCTTTTGCGGTAGAGGCGCTTTGTTCGTGCCAAATATCAGAAACCTTCTTCTTCATGCTCTTTTTGAATGTAATATGCCGTGTCAGCTCGAGTACCTCTTTCAACGTGAGGACTTCATGCTACCTACCTCTTGCCACTGAAGAAATACCCCTATCTCTGGCGAGAAATATGACAAAAGTCCTCTAAGACCCACGAAGATCGATTAGTATGTACGCATAAATCAATTCTCGAGGATTTGCGTACATGGGAAGATTTCTGAGGATTGGAAACAGGATTGGGAAATGCCTTGCCCATACACCCATACGCGTTCCTGCTAGAATTGCTTCATGGAAGTTCGGAGCGAATGTGGTGGAATCCAAGAAGTTGGATGATTCTGCAAATGCGTACTGAGTCACTATATCGGTAGTCATACAGCTGAAGGCCATGGCCAAGTCGACCGGGTAGGTAGAATTGGCGAAGTCTTCCAGGCGACGACAGAGTTTATCGACAGCTGCATAGATAACAGGTTCAAGTCTCACCACGGCTGCCTTAGAGAAGTATGGATTCAATGCTCCTCGTCGCATTCGATGGAGATTATGCGACACTGCACCAAACACACTCTATAGAGAGAAGATAATGAGGACCATGGCATGCAGGGAGGAACTTGAATCAGAGACCCACATCTGGAATACTGTCAAGTCGGGATCAAGTCCGGTGTCAGCAACTTTTCTCACATAGTATCACGTCTTGAGAGTGCCTTACCCAAATTGCCCGGTCGCATAACTATATTTATCGCGGACTTTTCCAGGCCCTGGATATAGCTCGTCGATAAATCCAGGCTCGCTTATGTGAAGCTCACTTGGACTGATCCGCACAACCGGGCCTTGACATGAATAATTAGCAAGAAAGGCACTCCTTAGTATGTAAAGAATTGAGTTTCTACCATATTTTTTATGCATGCGAATGATTTCAAACGTGTATTGCCCTCCTTTGACCGCGTCGTAGTAGAGTTCGTACGCACTAGTGACAGCCGCCCATTTTGGCCCAGGGAACTTGGCAAGGGGATGCCATGTCAAACGATACAGTATCACCAAGATTTGCCCAAGTACCCAAATGCCCAACAGAAAAGCGACTGTCAATACTATATTCATGGTGAGATGGAAATTCGAGAAGCTCAATAGTTCTTTTCGGTAGTACCATTGACAAACTTGACCATATTTATAGATCTACCAGATTTACCTAGGCATTGGGCTTGTCGGTGTCAGGAGCCAGGACAAGGACAAAGCACGTCTGTCCAATCGGTGATGGGGATACGGTGCATCTTTGCATATTCCGTGGAATCCTTGGGCGAATGGCGAATGTGCCTATCGGCGATGTTCTCAGTTAGGAAAGCCCGACCGCAGCCCACAGCCTATATGTACCAACCGTATTATACTGCAACATAATCAATTGATCTGTTGAACTTTGGAAATCATCACACCGTCTAAAATTGCTCTTGTGTGGGTTATTGTATCGAGTTTAATATCACTGCACCCATGGCGTCGATGCAATTGACAGACGCCGATATTCCCAACTGCTGTGGCAAAACAGTGGTGATCACTGGTATGTAACAAAAGATCTCCACTCTGACGACCGTGAAATATGATGAAGGGTCATGGGTTAAAAAAGAAGAGAGAACTAAGGTAAATACGCAGGGGGTAGCTCGGGCATTGGCTTGGCGACTGGGAAGATTTTCGCTTCTCATGGTGCTAGCGTCTATCTACTAGATCGACAACCGGCTCAGGATGAGCTTTCGGCAAAAATTCAATATATATATTGTGACATCACCAACTGGTCAGATATTTTGGCGGCATTTGAGCGAGTGGGAAATGCGGTTGACATCCTCGTTGCCAACGCTGGCGTTTCGGAAGAAGTCGACTATTTCCAGGATGTTTTGGATCACGAAGGCAAGCTTGTGGAGCCCCAATACAGTGTCATCGAAGTCAATCTCCGCGGCACTTTGAATGTCATCAAGGTTGGACTCAGTTTAATGCGGCGCAACAAGGTCGCCGGCAGTATTGTGATCACGAGCAGCGCGACGGCATATTCGCCGGAGCATTCTTTACCCGTGTACAGCGCAACTAAGCTAGGTGTGAGTCTAGGTCTTTCTATATACCGGCTTCAACTCTTTCGAACCCCCGTTAAACATGGAACTAAGAACCATCTAGCTTATTGGAGTCATGCGTGCCCTGCGTGCAACACTTCTCCACGACAACATCACAATCAATGCCGTTGCCCCAGCTGCAACACTGACGGGACTTATTCCGCCTGAACTTGTTGGGCCCATTCTCGCCATGGGGCTGCCAACTAGCTCTGCTGAATTTGTTGGTCTTGCAGTCGTGTATTCGGCAGTTGCTCAGGAGACACGTCAGGTCGAGCTGTACGGCAAAGACTCTGATACCGCCGTCGTGGACAAGAAAGATCGTTGGAACGGTCGAACAATTCTTACATTGGGTGACAAGTATACTGAACTTGAACAGGCAATCTCAGACCTCAGGCCCCAATGGTTCGGGGAGGGGAACACTGCATTGACCAGAATGCAACAGAAGGCGACAGACTTCAGAGGTCCAGTGGCGTGAAGCAGAGGACATTCCTGTATCCAAGAGAGCTTTCGGCCTGCGGGGCCTCTCTACTAGATATTCATCATTACTTCAGATCTCTCGGTTGATATCCCATTCGGGAAACGGCGGCCTTGACTACCTATTGTATGTTAAAATGTGGGGGGCTTATCCATATGGGTATCTCGCCGATAGGGGGACAAGAATCACTATTTCTCTATATGATTCCTCGGCGCGAGACCTAAAAAAAATAGTGTCTAAAGTGTGCTTTTTACATCCATTTTGTAACCTTACCAACCTTGTCTAGAGTCCAGAAATAAATAGCTTGCTGTTTTGCATGGTCCATGGAAGTCAAATATCCTTAAAACTGAACAGGCACCCACCATTTCAACCTAACGGCAAATTCCACCAGCATGTTCCAGTCTCTTTTTTCTTTCACAGCTTCGGCCGTGAAGTTGCCGTTCCTCCCTCTTTCTCTCGGTGCTGCAAGGGTACTCCCCATTGAGCAGGACAAGAAGCGCATGCCTGCTCTCGTAAAGGAACTTCCTCCGCCTTCCAAATTCTATCCTAGTATTCACCCCCAGGTCGACTATGTTTCGGCTGAGGTTGACAATTATTTCCTTCAACATTGGCCGTTCCGCTCCGAGAAAGAGCGAGTGAAGTTCCGTGCCGCGGGATTCTCTCGCGTGACATGCTTGTACTTCCCTCTCGCGACGGATGATCGTATTGGGTTTGCCTGTCGGATGTTGACCGTTCTATTTCTCATTGATGGTAGGTAAAATCTTATTCAATAGTGAACCTCGATTAATGTCATTATCTCTAATGCTGACTCCAAAGATTTGCTTGAGGAAATGGGGCTTGATGAGGGATCCGAATACAACGAGAAGCTTATCTCAATATCCCGGGGAGAAATTCCTCCTGACCGAAACATCCCTGTTGAGTGGATCATGCACGACCTATGGGAGGATATGAAAGCATATGACGCCAGTCTTGGGGAGCAAACAATGGAGCCCGTGTTTACATTCATGAGGGCCCAGACAGACAAGAGTCGGCTCACTATCCATCAGCTGGGAGAATATCTTGAGTACCGGGAGAAAGATGTCGGGCAAGCGTATGTTCTATACATCTCCTACACGCATGACCTTTGGTTTGCAATTACTGTAAAGACTGACTAACCGGCTTCCACAGTCTTCTTTCTGCGCTCCAGCGCTATACCATGAAGATTCACCTTACAGAGGAGGATCTTCGCATTGCGGCTCCTGTAGAGCTCAACTGCGCAAAGCATATTGCAGTACTTAACGATATTTACAGCTGGAACAAGGAGCTACTGGCCTCTGAGACCCTTCACCATGAGGGCGCCGCTATCTGTTCATCTGTACAGGTAATATCGGAGATAGCTGCCCTAAACCATGCAGCCGCGCAACGGGTACTGTGGACCATGTGTCGTGAGTGGGAGTCAGTTCACCAAGAACTCGTGAGGGAGAGGGAGAAGATGCAATGCAAAAGGGATCTATTAGATTACATCCATGGACTAGAGTATCAAATGAGTGGAAACGAGCGATGGAGTGAATCTACGCCACGCTACCACTTTTGACTTGTCATCTCACCATTCATCGTTATATATCGTCCCCCACTCGGCATTTGGTCATTTGTTTCATGAGAATTTGCGAACATATTTTTATCTCAAAAAAAGTTTTAAAAAACGGAAAATACCAATCTTGGGAGTAACTAGTCAGAATTCAAACGTAGCTCTAGAGGTCCAAAACAATAGACTCCAGTCCATTGAATCCCGGGGCTCGGAGTGGGGCGTATGTAATTCAGAATGGCGCTAGTCTCATCTCAAAAGCGCCGAAAACTCATTAGGAAACTCCAGGTCGTGTTTCATCATTTCGCAGCTGAGTGGTTACTTGATTGCATTACGTATAATGAAAACACCCGAAGGTCCAAGGATGAACGAACACCCGCGCCGGGAATTCCGCCGACTCGGCGGAATAAGGTCAAACATTCACCTGGGCAGACTGGCGTGAAAAATGTCGAGAGCAAACTTCCTTAGAACCTTGAAGGCTTTATATAGTAACCTTGCAATGCAACCCAACATTGGAAATATAATCGACATCTAGCACTCTGGTTGAACACAGAAAAGATCACCTTAATTCTTGACTTAATTTCAAGGCTCATTTGAACGACACATTTTCGAGAATCGCCAAGCTGATTTGGCTCTTCAATCTAGATTGTTCGACCCGATTTACCACTTCGTGTCTGAAGTTCGTGAACCCCATCTTATCAATATTTGGAAGACACGCTATACATGGAGCTATACAACAGTTGCCCAGTAAACCCCAGCTGGCGAAGCTTCACTATAATTAAAGAAATGGCGATGGATTTACGTCAATTAGATTATGACACTTTCTTTTCGAGTTGGCGACAGTGGTGTTGTATCATGATGTTCAGACCTTGGTGTGGAGGAGATCATGTCGTCCATGGGAATGTATGAGCCGTGCATCCCGTGGATGTCACTACCTGCAGGACCTTTGTGTGAGTATATGTTGGGTCTATTTGAGTACTCGAACGAAGGACCAGGTTCCTCGTCACTTCTCTCTTTTCGACTCCCAACGCTCTGGTTCCACCGCCGCACAAGAGGCGCAAGACCAGGCAATGAGGCGCTAATGATACCAATTGCTGCTTCTAAAAAGATCATCAGCCCCTTGAAGTAGATGTCAGAAATATGTAGCCCAACCTAGTACTCCTATCAGTAGAGAGTTTGCATTTGACCCTAAAAACACCTAGATATTAGCGCGAGAAGGACAAGTGATTGTGAACGTATATTTACATGTAGGATCGTTACCAAATGTCGCTTGCAAGAGTATAGGCAGTCGGGCAATGCCTACAATGCAGCAACTGGTTATCAAATTTCATGTCAGCTGTTTGAATCCGCACTAATGCAGGAGCACGAGTATTTTTCTTACGTTGAGCCCAGAGCAAGAATGCACCCGACCATGAACTTCCGCCGTCTATTCATCTGTAATGTCCACAGCCCGGATATTCCCAGGGATAGAATCAGAAAGTCTGATAGAACATTCAGCGCGGCACAGGCAATGCCTCTTGCAACCAGGTTTGGGCAATCTCCTTGTGGGACAGGTGCGCCCACAACTTCATTGGTTTGCGCCCACCAATGCGAGATAGGGGTGCAGATAAATATGTATGAAAAAACAATTGCAATCGAGGTGCATATCACGTAGAGCATGACCGCGTAGATCAGGATACGAAACCAACGTCGCATCATATTGCTCACAAGAAATATCCGCTTGTATAACCAGAGAAGTGACAACTTGATAGCAAACATGGCAACTGTCCAGTTAACAACCGAGACATAACCAGCCTAAATAGAAACAATGTGAGTTTGAGGATCAATATTTCAGTGCGAATTATTTGATTGGGCTCACAATCCAAAACTTTCGAAGGCTCATCAAAGGATGGGGGTCCGTGGCCAATATGTTCTCGACATGGCGACCGGCACCCCAGTGGAAGCCTAAATTGATTATAAGATAACCTCCTGGGCCTTGTTTGGGCATATAGTACTCACAAAGACATGTCTCAATACATAGACCAACTGTAAGTATCTAAATTATGTTAGACATATTGCTGCACAGATGGCATCGACTTGTCTCTTACCAGCCCAATGAACAGAAATACTTCATCGAGATGAAACAATTTCGTGACGAGGCGCTGCGAGTAGGCCCGTAATGCAAAGATAACGACGGCAATGACAGTCAAGGCTATTGAAGCTGCTGTCATTCCGGGACCTTTGTTTGCCCCAGATTCCATGACAACGGTGAAGTGGCCAAATCCATCAATTTCTTCAGCGTTTGAGGAATTTCGCTTTTACAGATAGGGGCGGGGTCGCGAATCATTATTAGGCAAGCTACAAAGGGGCCAAATGCATGCCAAGGGGAACCTCGCTTGGTGCAATGCAGGCTTAGGATTTCGGGGGCCATCGATCTAATGAGGTATCGCCGAAATTAATAATTTATGCGCCGTAGGAAACGATTAATAAAAATAATTTATTTTCACTAAGTTGCAGGAAATCTGGAGCTGTCTAATGTGATATGAAATCATGGGCGGGGGCCAGACCATGTAACTTGGGGGTAATCAATCTTTTCCGCCGAGAGTCCGGGCAAAGAATAGCTGAGTTCTACCTCCATTTAATCTAATTATAAAGCTCTGTTGCCTGCCAGGTCTTGTTCCTGGCATGTTGTTCCCTGTTTAATAACACGCTTCAGCTTCCCTAAGAACCTCAAATAGTACGCACTGCCGATGCTGAGTACGTGGCTAGGGCTGGGGTTTGTAGCTGGCAAGTCCCGTAAGTGACTAGACGTTCTTTCTGATTGGCCGACAGTCTTGGTCTGCATCTGACGCGTCCCTGCATGTTTTTGAAGTTGCCGTTGCAGTTTGGGCTGCTATCACCGCACCCTACCGAGGTCAAGCGGGAGGTGCTACAGCATACAAGCATGTCGCTCTGTCGTTTGCACGTTCTTTCTTTGGAACTGCCTCTATAGAGCAGATCCAGTAAGCCATGACACCTTAGTGATCTCCGCTTTTATAAAATAGCCTTGAAATGTTATACTTGTCATGCATATATCATAGGCGCTAACCAATTTGCCGATAGATATATCCTTCCACCCGAGTCCGCTCAAAGTGCCTACGAAACCCTCATGCAACGTCATAAAAGCACGCCCAGTACTATCACGCTTCCCAATGGCACCATAGCTTTTTGGCTCGGAAATCCCAAGGCCGACAAAGTGGTGATTTATTTTCCCGGTGGAGGATACTGTATCCCCGCATTACCAGGGCATTTTGATCTCGTCAACGCACTTGCCAAAGATCTTGAGAAACATGGCCAAGATACAGGGATATTATTTCTGACCTATGATCTAGCTCCGCTTAGTCGATGGCCCCGGCAACTAGAGCAGGCGGTAACTCTTCTTCAGTACGCGATCGAAGTCTTGGGTAAACGCCCCTCGAATATTATACTCCAAGGCGACTCGTCCGGCGCCCATCTCGTACTTGCAGTGCTATCACTTCTCGCTCACCCCAATCCGCACAACAGTATAGCAACTCTGACACTCAATGAGAATCTCCGCGGAGCACTTCTGTTGTCACCGTGGATTGATTTCCAACTCAATAGTGAAAGTATTCATACCAATGCAGATAGAGACGCTATTTCGGCTAAATCTCTCAATTTATGGGCCGAAGCGCTTTTTGGTGACTGTCAAAGTGATGAATACAGTCATCCGGCCGAGGCACCTGCGGGGTGGTGGAGAGTCCTTCCTGTGGGAAAAATCTTTATCGGAGTTGGAGGGGATGAGGTTCTTTTGGATTCAATTATGAACTTGGCACACAAGATCAAGGTATGCCTTCCTTGACTCGAGATTGGTTCTCATCTCACCCTTTTCTTTGAATGAACAGTCCGAACATCCCGGTGTTTTCATTAGTCGCATTTCTCGAGAGTTTCATGTCGAGCCTATCACGAACTTTGGTTTGAAGCTTCCCCCTGGCTCCCAGTTTCAGGCCATGGCGGCTTGGTTGAATCTAGTATTAGGAGATCCTAATGGACCAGAGAATATCCCCCAAGAACTTTTGAGATAAGGAAATTGTTCGATGCCAGATAGTCTCCAAGCTCACATCACCTCTTGCTGAATTCTTCCTGATCCTTCCGCCCAATCAGCAAAGATACGACAATGGTGATGCCACCGAGTTGTGAGAAGCTTCCAAAAGCAAACCTTGCTTCTCACCCTCACCCCAAGCTACCGAACAATTGGCACTATGTGAATCCCTTCTTTAGCACACCTTTCACATACGACCATAGGGTGTGGAGAGCAGGGCTTCTCGTCCTCTCAGTCGTACTGACGCCACTATATGCCATTGAAAAGAACGGCACATATTTATGAGGCCCTTGGAAGAACTCCTGGGAACGTGCTGATGCTCCCAGGACTAAGACCTGGGGCAAAAGCGGATAGCAAAAAAGTTATTCTTTTGTTTCCTTTCCACTTAATATTGCAAAGACATGAAGTCGAAGTTAACGAAACGATTTCAGACTATTAGCATACATCACAATACAACACTTACCACGAAGCTTGACTGCTCTTCGACTATGGACTCTCGTTGTGATCATTCGCACCCTACGTCTTTTCCTTAGCCGAAAGTAGAATACTTTCTTCGCGCTAGATCTATACCAAGCCTTTCATGTTATTATTACCCTTCTAGGACCTGTTATCTAGACAACACGCTTCTCGATGCCAGACGATTGTGCTTTATCGATTATAGAGGGTTGATTGATGGATGGTACATACGTCGTCCTTGCCAGTCTGAAGTGAGAGCTTGCGTGGACATGAAGAGATGCTTCATTGTTATTTTTTCGTTTGTCTGGCTTAAAAGTCTAACGCAGCTTGTCTGATATTTCGTTTCTCACATGCTACTGAACTCTTTCAAAAACAATTTCAATCTTCTCATATCCTGCACTCAGATGACCTGGAGCGTTTCCAATCCACCATTTCTCAGATTCCTCGTCGACCTCGAACCATTACCTACCAGCATGTCTTATTAGCACCAGATTTGACCTTCTGACTTCACGACTCACAGCCTTGGAGGACCCATTCCAGACGAAAGACCGATTTCTCAAACTTCCATCTCTCAAAATGACAGACGTCCATATCGCCATCTACCGCCGCGCTGAAAAGGGAAAACTGCGCCACTGGGCCATTTGGTTGCAGACATCCCCGTCCGAGGAATCCGTCATCCTTCAAGTTACCGACGACATGAACGGCTATGGCTATCGTATCGCTGATCCAATTTACGCCAGCCCTTTCCACACAGAAAAGGTCGAAAGCGTCATCTATTGCGGCTCCATTCGCCAAGAGAATCATGGTCGTGCAGTGGACGCGATTCTACATTACCCGGTGCATAATCGAGGAACTGCGTGGAATTGCCAGTCATGGGTTCTAGAGTGCTGGGATTTGCTGGTCCAAATGGGACTCATGGAGTCTTGTTCTCAGGGAATAAATTGTGTGGAGTTCCTGCGGGAGTAAGTCTTTCATCTGAGAAGGGAGTTGGAGCTTTCGAAGATAATGCTTTAAAAGGGCCTAGTCTGTGATTGAGGTATGCTGCCCGCACACCAGAGTTTCGAGAAAGGAGTCTATTCTTGTTATTCGCTTTTGTCATATTTTGTATCAATACAAGCTCTCTTTCCTGCACTGCCTCAGTGAAACACCACAGGAAATCCGGGATGGCAATCTCAAACTTCCCAATCCGTTCTCAAAATTTGGCTTGTGTAAAGGCTATCGCGAACTTCAAGTTGCTTCTGTGTGTTTACAACTTCTCTGCCTCTTGAAAACTCTTGTAGTATTGATATGTTCTTTCTAGGCACTCTCACTCTGTGCAAGTTAGCCGTCTGGAAAACTCCGTTTAGGTAGCTGCCTTGAACGTTCCATCTCGAAGCTTCCATCTCTAAAAGGACTGTGGGTTGTGATCAACGGTAAGATCCGCATTGATCTTCGACGGGGCTATGAAGCTGATCAATTTGAAGCAGACAATATGCATCCCTGAATGCGTGTAGCCTTTCTGTCTTTGAATCCTGAAAATTTTCTCTTTCTCTATCTCTATCGCTCCTTGGTATGCAATTCATCATCTGTGCTTCCGTCGCTTTGCTCCGAATGGTTCATGTCTCTTTGTTGAGGAAGATTTTCCACTTGAATTGCAGCCCTTCGATTGAAAATGAGACCAATCGCCATGAGTGAGACGCAATGAGGATTTTGCTTTGTAAGATTGTAAAGTTGAGAGGACTTTAAATGAGAGGCATATTCCTTAAATGGGAATATCAACGGGTAGGAATGATTCGATGGGCCTGTCGAAAGTAGACCATAGTTCCACATATAGCACATGCCAAAGGGCTCCGTTGTGGTCATAGATTTCCAGATGCAACTCACTATCCTCAGTCAGATGCCACGAGACCAGTCTGTTCTCATGAGGATCACCAGGAGCTTTCTTGTAAAAGTCTCTCTGCGTGAAAAGAGGCCAGTCACGGACGAAAATATCCATCGCTCGGACGTTAGCCACGTTGACTGGGCTGTAACCCACGTCGATCGAGTTGGATATGGTCCTTGGTGGGTTGCCATCTATCTCATGATGGAAAATGGCATATGAATGCATTTTCCCAGTCGGTGGGAGGGGACCGCATGCGTAGTAGGCTTCTTGGATCAATTCCACGGGGAATATATCCGTGTGACGAGTCATTCCGTACTTGGAGTCACAATGAAAAAGTCTCTGGGCTGAAGTTGAATATTTGCGTCGCAGATCACTATCTTGGAAGTCATGTCCAGGGTATAGGATAGAGTATGTTAAAAGTAAATGAAGGGGTCACGTTGTAGAATTCTCACCACACTTCACTTGTCTGACTGAATACAAGTCTACTTCGCTGCCTTACTGCCTTGCTCCTTCATAATACACCATGCCACCTTCACTTTCTGAAGTGTACATCGTTGAGTGCCTAGAGGTGGTTGGGTTTCCCGCCGCCTATTGCTAGGCGGTGGAGTTAGTCGGACTTAGCCCTCGGAGTCTCCGTCTGACAGGCCCCACACAATGCCCCTTGCAGCCTCTGCAACTCCTAGAGACAATCCACGTGAGAATGATCACAGATGATGGAGCCTATGCTTATCAGATCCCTTCATGAAGGTATCACCCACCATTCAGTCTGGCCGAGTCGGTCGACCCAAGTCTAAAACCGGGTGCAATACTTGCAAGTCAGGACCCACCTTCAAATTCCTTTGTCTTATGGAAAGTATTGACCATTCAATTCAGGGCCCGCCGTGTCCGATGTGGAGAAGAAAAGCCTCATTGCTTGAGGTGTACTAGTACCGGTCGCAAATGTGCTTACGTATCGACCCTTGCACCACAAAGGATTGACTCGCCGCCGCGTCAACTTGCTCTATTTTCTCATCAAGGATGGCGAGAGCGGCGCGCATTTGAGTACTACTTCCATCAAGCTGGTCCAGCTCTTTCTGGTGTTCTTGATGTTGCATTTTGGCGAGGCTCTGTCCTCCAGATCTGTCGCATGGAGCCGGCAATCTGGGATGCTATTATTTCGCTCAGCTCGCTCTATGAACGACCCCCCATTCATGACGCTTCGCCGTTTCGTCTTATCAACAACCCTGCCGAGGTAGAACATTCCTATCATCGTGAAGCTCTGGTTTGGTATTCGCGTTCATTGGCTGCTGTACAGCAGCGTATCGACCAGGGCGTGGCGGATCTGACCGTGTCACTTATCAGTTGCATCCTGTTCATTGCCATTGAGCTCTTACAAGGCAATCGAAAAGCAGCGATGAGCTTAACCAGTCAAGGCACGCGAATGGTAACCAGGGCGATGACACCCATAGGGCATGGTTCCAAGAACAGAGCCTCGATAGATCGCGCAATTCTTATTTCGGTGATCAAGCCAATATTTCAGCGTTTAGACACGTGGAATCTAATAACAAGCGGCGCGCCCAGCAACTTTAATTGGCCTTTGGATATTTCTCCCTCAATTGTCCGACTAACGACGCTCGATGAAGCTCGAAACGTTCTCAATGGGATCGTCGCAGAGATGAAGAAATTCAATATTGACACCAAGCAACATTGGAAGTACCCAGCGGACAGGCGTCTACGCGATGCCCAGGGCCTTGCAACAAAACAGAGACAACTTAAAGATAGCCTGAATCTGTGGCATGAATCTTTCCTTTCTCTGGCCACCTCCGACCAGGACGCAAGCGAAGGCGGCGGTACTGCACTACTGCTCATGACCTATTTCAGTGTTCTGATTGAGATTCAAACCTGTCTTGATCCCAGTCAAGCTGCATATGATAAGTTCGAAGCCGAATTCAGGCAGATTATCAATTACGCGTCTGTAGCGATAGCTGCCACAAGAAATACTGACGGCCACCAACCCCCTTTCATCTTCGAGATGGGAGTCTTCCTCCCACTCTTTATCACCGCTCTCAAGTGTCGATTCCCTCAATTGCGTCGTCAAGCCTTGTCCCTACTGAACGAGGCACCGCCGGCGCAGGGATTATTCATGTGCAGGCCTGCAGCCCACGCCGTGGCGGTTCTCGTAGCATTGGAGGAAGATCCCAGCACCGCTCTGGAAGTTTCGGGGGTAAGCGCAGTACTCGCCAAGCCAGGGTGTATCCCACCCTTGCAGAACCGAATCTGGGAATTCAATGTCTCGTCTGACATGGATTCACAAGGAAGAACGCGAAACTGGCTTCATTTCAGTCTACGGGATTTTGGCCAGGATCAGATCCGATTCACTCAAAATGTCATGCTCTTTCCTGGAGCTCAACCTTGAAACATTGTGAGGATAAATCTACTTTTTGTTTTCATGTTGTACTGCATAGCAAGGGATGTTATTTAATGTTGTATTTTCTTCTGCACATTCTCGTATAGAAACGCCATCTACCCCAGCGCTTTGTCGCGTGTCATTCCGTTTCCCCGTGTACGGTAATTTACTCCCCCTCAATTCTTCAGCTTCTTCCCCTCCACCGATCATTCTTTCTTCTTCCATCTCTCTTCAAGCAGACTCACATCAAATATCCACCGTGAGGATCATTCAGATGGTCCGACAATGATAGTCCAGTTGACTCTATCTTTTCCCACTGTTTTAGACCCCGGCTCCACATTTCAATCCCGCGCAGCATGCCCGTCCTGGGCCGATCCGCTATCTCCCCAATAGACTGCCGAACTCAAAGCCTCCTTCCCATCGCGCCACTCAGAACGATATGCCCGCATGCAACTGGAATTGAAGTACGAAACACAGAGCCATTTGCGCCACGTATCGGCATATCTGGTCCTATAACAATGTCGCACACGCGACCTGAAATATCGGTGTGAGGGATCTCCTGGATCTGGCACTTATCTCCTCCGCGACTGGCTTAAGATTGCGCCGATTGCGAGACCGGCAGCTGTTCACATCACAATTGGCTTATCTTAGGTCCGATTGCCCGCGTGACAACCTTCCAGTTACTGATTGTAGACCGCAATTACGAGGCACATTGACAATTCGCTGCCAGATTCGCCAGGCAGCCGAGGGTCACCTGAGCCCGATAAGAGCAATTTTCGCCACTTTTTTTTCTGTACTATCTGTGCTGCTTTTTGCGATCGCACGTTCTTTGCTGGTTTTGAATTTGTGTTCTCTAGAGCAAAATATTCACTTTGGAATATAGTCCCGCCTGCCTGGCAAAGTTTTCCTGCATACCAAGGAATCTGTTCCTGACCATTGGGACGTTTCCGTTTCGCTTGGCCGCCCGCGGGTCTTCTTGAGAGGGTCCAAAATTACCTTCCCCCACCTCCACGTTTGCCATTTGGTATTCGGCTTCCAGTCTGACACCGTCTGAGCTCCTGTTTCTCAAAGCCGACGCGTTGATATCTCTGACAGCTGGTCTCGTGACTATCAGCCGCATTCAGCTATACTCTTTTCGAGTCGTTCGAATCGCCCCTCCTGAGAGCACATGCCTTCCTTCACAGAGCAGCATGCCAACTCGGATCCTGAAGTAGCAGGTAGGCCCTCTTTCTCCTACCCCTGTACAAATTAGAACGCCCATTGCACTGCACTGCCCACGCAACATTCAATTCTGTCGCCAAGTATCATCCAATACTTCTTCGCCTTGTATTACCGCCTCCCGATTTGGTGACGGCCCCTGCGCGGGGGCAATGTGTGACGTCGCGGATCTGCCCCATGCACTTTATTTCCATCGCGACCAAGAAAATATTCATTTTTTAACTAATATCCAGTAGACTCTGCAGTTACTTCAGGAACCGGTCTGGATGTTACTTCTTTGCACAGAACATTGCCGAACGGAACTGGCTCTACTTCCTCGTTGGATGGACCGACCTTGAAACAATACCGAGCCCCTGTCGCGAAAGCGACTGCGCGCCCGCCCATCAATCCTACATCGATGCCTTCTACCATGACCCCTCAGTCCTCCTCGTCGAATTTTAAGGGGGAGGCGAGGCCACTCGAGGATAGTGAGCAATCTATTAAACCAGATGAGGACCCTCAATCGGGTCTTTTTCACCAGGTGTATGACTGGTTACAACATGAGAAGAACCGAAGAATGGCTCGGAAGGCGCGACGCGCCGAGGCGGTCTCTGGCAACACGAATGCTATCTCTGAGAGTGATGAACATCCGGCTGAAGAGTCACGGTGCACGGAGAGCTCGTTCTCACTTGGCGAGTTGGAGAAGATCTTGGCCCAATTTGCAGGTCCCCAAAATGTACATGGCCTAGCATCTCACCTCCCTTTCAAGCGCCTCACTCGCCGTCGGCCCAAGGGTCTACGTCGAGGCTCGGCGTCCGATTCTGATGTAACAGATGTTGAGGCGCCAGTGCCAAATGTCGAAGCTTATCTGGATAATTCCAAGACTCTCGCCTACACAATGGGTGTGGCAGATGAAACCACCGATTCTATCAAGCGATCCAAAGACAAAGAGGCGTGGATCACTTTCAAGACTGAAATTGTGCGCCTAGCGCATACTCTCCAGCTCCGTGGTTGGCGCAAGATGTCAATGGATAAGGCTGAGGAGGTTGAGGTCCACCGTCTTAGTGGTGCTCTGACCAACGCCGTTTATGTGGTCGTTCCCCCCAAGCCTGTCTACAAGACAGAAAACGGTTCTGCCCCTGTGCACACAAGGAGACCCCCACCGTAAGTTCTACCATTGTTCTGACGAGGTCCAGTAAATAATGTTTTATTCTAGGAAGCTTTTGCTGCGAATTTATGGTCCCCAGGTCGACCATCTAATTGATCGAGAGAAGGAACTCCAAATTCTTCGTCGTTTGGGCCGCAAGAACATCGGCCCTCGTGTACTTGGAACTTTCTTGAACGGACGATTCGAGGAATTCTTTGAAGCCCGCCCTCTCACTCCGAAGGAGTTGCGAATTCCCGCGACTGCTCGGCAGATTGCTAAGCGTATGCGAGAATTGCACGATGGTATCGAACTTCTTGACGAGGAACGAGATGGTGGACCGATGATTTTCAAGAATTGGGATAAGTGGGTTGACCGCTGTGAACAAGTGACCACTTGGTTGGACAAAGAGGTTCAATCCCCGCACAATGAACTCAAGGCCGAGGCAGAACCTTGGCGCCAGCGCGGCTTTGTTTGCGGTGTGCCATGGCCAGCGTTCCGCAAGGCCGTGGATCACTATCGATCCTGGCTTATTGCGAGCTGTGGTGGGCTTGATGAGATCAAGCGACAGCTTGTGTTTGCCCATAACGATGTAAGCTCATCTCGTCTTTCTTTCCCGGGAGAATCGGAATACTAATTTGTCTTTCTAGACTCAATATGGAAACCTTCTTCGCATGGAACCAGCCTCCCAGTCCCCGCTTCTCCTGCCTGCGAACTCCCACAAGCAGCTCGTGGTTATTGATTTCGAATACTCGTCTGCGAACGTCGCTGGTCTTGAATTCGCAAACCACTTTGTAAGTCCATTTCTGAAACTTCCACGGAGTCTGTTTGTCTAACTATAGTAGACTGAATGGTGTTACAACTACCACGACGAGGAGCTGTCTTGGGCTTGCAACAACCGTCTTTACCCCACACCCGAAGAACAGCGTCGCTTTGTGATGACATATCTCACCCATCGCCCTGCTGTGACTGGCGGTGTTGTCTCACCTTTGGCCACTCCGGCTATGCGAGGTGGCACCGGTAGCGCCGTGACACCTTTCAACCTGGATGATGGCCCCGATTCATCCAATTGGTCGCAGGATCAGAAGTCTCTCGAAGAGGACTTGGAAGCTGAGGTGCGGCGGCTCATGCAGCAGACCCGGCTATGGCGTGCCATGAACTCAGCTCAATGGGTGGCCTGGGGTATTGTGCAAGCCAAGGCACCAGGTATGGAAGAAGGAATTGCTGAGATGTTGGGTACTTCCAACAATGGGAATGGTCACAAAGACCAGGCTGAGGCTAAGATCCCCCCCGTCGATGCTGATGTTGACGAGGAAGATGGCTTTGATTACCTGGCATACGCGCAGGACAGAGCCATGTTCTTCTGGTCTGATCTGTTGACTCTTGGTCTGATTAACCCAGACGATCTCCCGGCGCCTATGGTTGACCATATTCGGGCCCGGGCCGTTGATTACTGAACAGAACGCTTGGATTCATGACATGCATCATGAAGTAACGATTTGGATGCCAGTACATATCTAGTTCGATGATAGCGTTGTATCTAGTGAATGCAGATAATATTTCGGATTGCTCCCGCATCTATTCCTAGGGTATCTGAAAGATTCACGTAATTCGATGCGAACTCATCGAATACTAATTGCAAAGCATCCATAGCATAGCAGATAAATTACCGTCTCATCTCCAATCTCTTTCTCGTCTCTTTCTTCGCCCCCTCGACCCACTCATTGTACGCCTTTCCCTCCCCATCCTGTCCATCCTTAGCCGCAACAACCCCCTTCATCATCTCCCCAATAAATCCCACAAAATTCCACCTTCGCAACGTATTTTCCCACTGCCAAGCCGCCCTCTTCCTTTCCTCCCTCTCAAGCGTCTCCGCGTCCCCAATTTCCCTCGCAGCAATTCTCGGATCCCGTGTAACAGCCATAAGATTAAAATGCGTCTCCCCAGGTGGGTATCTCGCGATCCTCTTCTGCAAAACCTCACTCACAGCCTCGGGGAACGATCCATTATCACACGGCCCATGGCTAATAGGGTACGGCTGCAAGCCATCAAGCTCATAAAGCGTGCCATTAATAGACGTATAGGCAATAAAATGGTAAACATCCGCTGCATTCTCCTCATCCTGCGGCCGGGTCGTCTCATCGGCGAAAGGACTAGCCCGCGCAAAGGTATTGTGTGCTGTGCGGATAGCTTCAGAGTTCGAGAGCGCTTCACCGCGCAGCTCGGCCGGGAAGCCAGTTGTGAACTCTTTGAAGGAGCTCAGTTCGTTACCGAGGGTTATCGGTTGTAGGGGTGCGGGAGGGTTATCGTTGTTGAGGATCACGGAGAGGATAGCTTGGGTTCCGCAAGCGTTTTGGATAGTCTGGGCTGCGAAGAAGACGTTGTTTTCTGTTGCTGTTGTGTCGTATTTTCCATCTAGTGGAGCTTCAGCGCCGGCGCCGGCTGCTTCACGGGTCCATTTGAAGAGGAAAATAACGCCATACACGGGCCTGGATGGATTAATTAGCTTTGGGTTTTTTTTTCGTCGTGGAAGTTGCTTGGGAGGGTTGGCTGCTTTACCCTAATGAGCGAATTGTGTCGGCATCAAGGGAGATGAGTTCTTCGAATTGAACATCTTGCACGCCGAGGTTCTCGATGAGGGATGTAAATACGCCCTGGATTGTGCTATTAGATTATTCGTTCTTTAAAGCTTGAGCAAGAGCTATCTGTACTTACCTCGTCGGACTCGATCGTGCTCCAGCCGCCTGCGTCGGCCATTATGTGGGATATAAGATCAAGTAATTGGTTCTGGATAAGTTCAGGTGAAGATGGACAGGTAGCGAGGACCTGTGTTGGATGAAGGTCAAGTGTTGACACCGACATGCGACATGCGGGACGTATGTCATAGGTCACGTGAAGCTGTACATCACGTGTGATAAGGTCTTATCTCAAACTGTAGCCTCATATGCAAGGTGTCCATTTGGCCTCGAAACCATAAGTAGATTCATAAACTGTTTTATCACGTCTCATACCCTATATATTGACTGAATGCCTAGTACATTGAATTTATTGACTTCAACTCAATTACTGGACTGAGCCAAGCTTTCGTTCAAAGACCGCAGAAGCCACCAGAAATTCAGGACATTGCAATATCACCCAAGATCCATCATTGCATATCAACAGATTCAACTTTCAAACAAAGCCATTATAGACACTAGAGACCCTGAATACCCACCCCGCACAGACACCTACTAATACCCCAAACCAACGCCACCACCGGGGTGAAAAAAAAACAATACCAATACGAGGAAGTGGGCCCGAGGCTGATATCACCTACACACCGTTTCCAAAAACTTGAAACAGAACCCTGCAGGGTAATCACGCCCTACTGCACGAGCGAGTGATACAAAAAACGTGGCAAATCTAGCCTTGCCAGCAAAAAGAAAGTATACATCAACTTAGGCGGGGATTATCAAGGTTAAGCAGGGCAAAAGCCAACCGAATACGAGGGGCCCACGGGATCCAACGCTTGACATAATGACCCAATAAGAAGTGCAGATCTGGGATTCCTATACTTTATCTTATTCCTATTCTTAGATCCACATGTTCTTCTTGCGGGATTAAGGTGGAGTTCCTGGCGATCTATGTATCCCGTGTATGTGCCCGGGTACATACTGTCAGGGTGTGAGGGAAAGTTTCTTGGCTTTGATTACTCCGTACATAAAGTATGCCTAGTGGTGTTTTGAAAACTTGGAAGGGTGGCTTATGGGGGCCAAATGAGTTTCTGAGTTTGGGATCTGAGCTGAAGTGGACTGGAGTTAATGATTGGAAGGAGGCTTGCATCATTCGCGCCAATCAGGAAGATTCTGGTAAAGATGGTCATATATTCGAGGTTATCTCGGTAAAATCATTGTCTCACATTTAGGTATTATCATATGTAAAGGGAAACGTTCAGCAGTAGCATGCAAGCACTCCCAGTGCGGTAGCCATGTCTCGCGAACTCGAACTGGGTATATCACTTAGAAACATTTTCTCGGTTTTCGAGACACGCCAACGCTCATGCGGGATCAAATAGCATAAACATAGACATAGAAAGAACCAAGGTCAAGAAAGTGACAGAGAAGAAAAGAGTAGAAATGACCCAAGCTCTTTTGGCTCGAGATAAATGTCAAGATATGTCAACGGTTTGAAAATCACAATCACAAAATCCCAGACCAGACTCCGTATCACAAATTGAAGGGGTATTAATATTCTCTTGCGCCTGTTCCACATGTCCAATCAATGAATAACAAAACCACCAGCCTTATGTCCAGCAAGTCTCAGAAGTGACCATATTCGGCATCTCGAAGTGGTGTGCTTGTTGGTACAGATCCACGTTGAGACCGAGCGAGCCATTCTGATGAGGCATATCAGCGCAAAGAGCATCCGCGCCGTATAGAGGCGTAAATGCCGGATTCTGTAGAGCGTTTGTGTGGCGTATGTCAGACAGCCCCAGCTGCGGGTCGTGCGCATCGAGAAGTTGTGGAGAAGGTGGGTAAAGAGTATGCGAAGGTGCGGCTGTGACATAGCCATCCGCAAGATGGAACGGAGAGCCCGCAACAGTGACAGCGGGAGGAGATTGGAGAGGTGGTGTATATGCGACGTAGGAGGGAGAGGCGGAGGCAGGTGAAGAGGATGAGGCGACGGGGTACTCCTGCATACCGTGGTATGGACTCGAAGGGCCGGGAGAGTAGTGCTCAACAGAGGGACGAGGAGACCAGGCCAAACGGGTACGGTATCTTGCGACGATTCTTCGTGGAAGGTCCATTAGCGCCATTGCAAGGCGTAAATCTGCGCTGTATGGATCCGTTGCACTGTTCGCGGCTAAAATACGATATGTTTCTTCGATAGGACCGATGGACAATCCGCCTAGGTATGCGCCGCCCATTTCGGGATAGAATCGGTCCAAGGCGACGCCGACAGCGAAGAATTGGGAGAGGATGGCTAGAGCGCTGAAATCGGAGTCGCCGCCTCGGAGCATCGAGGCAGGGAGCCAAAATAGCCAGCGTCGGAGAACCTGGATGCGCTCGAATGCCTGCTCGGATGTTTGGGTAGGGTAGTCATTTCGGAATTGTTGCACGAATTCGATGAGCTCGGCTAGGCGCTGGGCGTGCTCGGGGTTGTGGGATACTCGCTTCTGGGAGACCTGGAGGGCGTGAACGGTTTGATCTAGTTGGTTAAGATCTTCGTCGAAAGAGATTGGGAAATCGGATGCGCTCAAGGCGCGCTGGTTTTCGACGAATTGAGCTAGTTCGGATTCCTGTTTCCAGAATGGATGCATCGATTCGAGGACTGTTGAGATGCCTTGTTGTAATGACATCCACATTTGGCTAAAGATGGTATTAGATGGTTGGTCACTTGTATGAAGAGGGAAACAAACCGTTCACTTGCTTGCCACGAAAGCAGAATCGAAGCTGCAAGAACAGCCTCACAGTTATCCTTGGAGAATGAGCCGATGGCTGTCTGCAAGCCCCGGAGAGCGGTGACCTTGTGGTGATAAGCCAACTGCTTAGTTTCCTGATCTCGAGTCAAGAAGGCAAGGTGAAATGCCGACAAGCCCAGAATCGAGCTCATCACAAATTCATTGGATAATGCAATGGCAAGAAAGCTAGATAAAACGTTAGCCATCGTTTTCTCAGTCTATACATTAGACAACATACTTGGGCATCTTTTGCGCCCACACAGTGCAGTTACTCAAACCGCGGCGATGCAAATCGATCGAAAGCCCGATAATATGGTGCACTAAACGCAAATCCGCGCGCGAAAGATGAGACCATCCAGCGCGAGGACATTGAACTAGTTCTGGATATGGAGGGACGCCCGTTCGGTGCCAGTTCTCAATCTCCATTTCGATTTCGGGTGACATGAGCAGATCGGGACCCCGCCGTGAAGGGGGACTGCTTTGTGTTGTAGCCATGTCTTGGTAGTCACAGCGACAGTTGTGTTTTGTGCAATTGCGACTAGAATCTAGATTAGAACTGCTGCTAGGAGATTAAGCTCGACTAAGTGGAAGATACCATTGTGGGAAGGTCTCGTCGCAGCGGATGTGTCTCCGCTTGCAAGTCTTACATCCGTTGCGGGACTTGGTGTGGCTCTTGCGCGGGGGACCACCACCTGGGCCGGCCATGTTGAAGATTCAAAGTAGAGTTGAAGTATTATGAGTTGAGAGGCATGTAATGGAAGCCCGTGGTTGATGAAATTGAAAGGATGGAAGATCAGAGGTTCCCCGGTGTTTATAGAAAAGACGATCTTCCTAAAATAAGCTGAAGCGTTGAGGGAAGTCTGTGTAAAATACGAGCTGCAGCAGGTTTGAAGTAAACGCCCTAAGGCGAGATCATCGGGATAAGAAAAAGAAATATGGCGAGGTAAAAGGGGGGGGGAAAGAAAAAGGTAAGTGATGATGAGATGATTGGGATTGTAGAAGATCCAGGTCAGGTGTAATACGGTAAATATAGGAATCGGTAACAGAGTAATAATAGTCACGAAATCCCCCAGTGACGATCTCGCATTTGAGCCTCTCTGCAGGGGAACCCAGGATAACCCTTTCAGCTCGAGGGTCAACCAAGGTCACCACATGGCGGGCCATGAACAGACTCTAATTTGACCAATGCCTTACCCAGCTTCCTGGATGGGTTTAGCCCCATTGGCCGGAGGTCCCACTCCACGGCATGTGAGCTCTCGCGCCCACGGGGAATATCGTTCAACCATGTCCCTTTTTTTCTTGGTACATCCGGGGACAGCGAACCACCCCGGAGCTTTCTTCCTCCAACAACTTGCCTTACAGAGCTCTCCAAATTCAGGCGGGAAGTGGATTAATTCACTCTAAATTGTTGGGTCGGCCAGGCCGAGCTAAAGATGACTTTTGCCAAGCCCCACTACGGGCACCGCATCTGGGTAGTTCAAGCGGGAAACACTGGGCCTGGTCTAATTTTGCTGAGCAGGAGCGAATGAACAGGCAATGATAGTCTCAATAGATCATTTAGATGCCTGTTGATTGGGGAGTTACACTAGTACTCCGTGCTTTCGGTTGAGATCGTTGCGGAAAAGGCAAAGGGGGGTGGCTGACGTCTTCTTTGCTTTTTCAGTTTCATCAAGAAGTATGCAGGGGGGAGGCCACGAGTAGGGGGGGCCAGAACGGAGTTTTTTTAGGAAAGAAAACAAGTAGCTTGTATTTAGTCTGATTGGGGGAAGTTATCGATCGACCAAGCTCCGCGATCTGAGGACCCTTGAATGTGGATCGAAACGTCAGGCTTGCCAAGCCGAACCATATGCCCAGTCGAGTAAAGGGGAAGTCAATCACTTGCTGCGCCATCCTAGACTGGCCCCGGCAGTGGTGATTATTTTCTTTTTTATTTGTACTCTAATAATAATCATCACAATTTTAATTTTAATTTTAAAAACAGTTAATAATTGAGCAATAATAAAATGAGATGAAGCTAGTCTAGAAAGCGCCGTTTCTATCCGTGCACTGAGTCAGACGCGGGACGAGACTGGACTCAACTCGGTAAAGACAACCGAACGTGCAGATGCTCCGCAATGCTTTCATGCCTTCTCATTGGTCAGCCCGTTTTGGGGTTTTATTTTCTTTTTTTTCCCAGGCGTAAGACCTGTCTATCGGGATTAACCGCGGGTCTTCACCTAGGCAATCCGGGGAGTCGGGAAGGTATGGGGGTTACCACTGGGCTGGAACGTTGAGAACCCTGTTCAGAGCAAAATCAAATCCAGCTAAAAACCAGGGATTAGGGGTTTACCTATAGGAGGCTTAGCTTCAGGGCTTAGAACTCATCATTCCCGCTACACTGGCTCGCGGTGTTCTTGAGTTATTGACTTGTGTCACGTTACACCGCCAGTTTCCATCACCACGTTTTTTTTTCCTGATCGGTGAAGCTCTTAGACATGCAGACATGCCGATATGCAGGTATGCAGGATCTAGAGTGAATTCAAGCCAGTTAGAATCCTCGGGGGAAATGTACTTATTACACGTGGCTCCACCCTCATGCCTCCCACTCACACGATTTGCTGTGAGTCTAGGGAATTAGAGGTGGTCTCATGCGTTTCACCTTGGACGCATTTAGGACTTCAAAGCGAATGAACCGGGGACCATGGACTGAGAGAATCGGGAATGTGGATCACTGATTTTAGGTCCCACATTAGCTTACCAATGCGGTTAGTCCAGCTTACTCGCGACATCGCGCCAGAACAGGGTTAGTCTAGGCCAAGCTGTGGGCACTGAGATTTGGGGGCCATAACATTCTCCTTTTTTTCCGTAGAGCCACAAAGCTGATGAAGATGAATTCATTTAATTACTTAGGAATACAATGTGAGTGATCTTACTTTCTCGGAATCCATTAGTCGGGTAGCTAAAGAACAAATTTAGGCCTCCCGATCTGGACCCTGCGGGCTTGGCCAGGCTTGCTCTTCACTGGGATAAGACCAGTGCCCGGACCCGACAGCTCGGTTCTCCCGCCCTGCCAGATGACATCGTCTAGTCAGAGAAAATGCACGGTCCATGGAAGGCAACACCCGCTAACCAACTTAAACGCCCCAGAAGAGGTCATCCTGGACGCGTGGGGCGGGATAGACTACCCCGTCGATCATGGCGAGATCAACAAAGGCTGTGCGTTTTCCCAGCGTGTTGGTTTAGCTCGAACGTTCATGGAGGGGCAAATCATCCTGTCGATCTATATCTCCATGGTTTCAGATGTCCGCTAAGCTAGAAGCAGCCTAATTTTCGCAGGCAAAAAAGCAATATACCCTTCTAGAGTACATAATGGCTGGTAGTCTTGGGAATCATTGGTAATCCTAGGCCGAATCGGGTCCGAGAATAAGAGCGAAGAAGGGAAAAGCAAAAGAAAAGAAAGTATAGGATGATCTCGACTCGAATTTGTCGATTTACCCGCGTCTTCCCGCATAGCCAGACCATTCCAAGAAGCTCCCACCGTCTCCCACTTTCCTCCCGTCCGCGCCGCAATTTAATTAGAGTCGTTAGCGTTAACTTTACTTTTTTCTAGCTAAGCCACTGCGTCCCAGTTCGCGTTCAATGCCAAAGAGGCAATCCTGAGGCTGAAGTAAACATCATCACTTCATAAAACCCATGAGGTCATAATGACAATGGGGTGGAAAACAATATTGAGAATATCTCAAGTCGAAGTCAAGCAGAAAATCCAGGCATGCAGGTAGGTCATCATGAGAGTAAGATGATGCAGGGAAACGCCCCCACCAGCTGTATGGCTGGCGATAATCTGCTCATCGGAATTATATACCGAATGCCTGGGAGGCAACAACATCACTTCATGTATATCATCGAAATCAATTTCTCTTCCATTTCTCCTAATTATACAGTGCTATACAATTGAGTAATACCTAGTCACAAACAAACCCTCCTTGTCACTTACAAACTTCTTTCATTTGATTCGATAGCCTAGAGACGGCACAGCGAATCCACTCACTCCACACCCACATTCCAAGATCTACAGGAAAAGATGGGTTTCCACAAATCCTCCATGGACATCGAGCTCAAGAATGGGCATGTCCTAACCGCGTACTGCCGTCGTCCTTCGGGGGAAGCCACATATTCCGAGCTGAATCTAGATGATTTCTTGGGTACCAAGCGAGGTAAGCATAGAGCAGAGCCAGGCAGCGACAGCCTTGCAAGGACAAACGTCGCCCCTCACCCCCACTGAAGAAGGTTTGAGTCAATAACGGACTTTCCCTTGCAGGCAGATTTGCCTGGAGCGCTGAAGACTTCTCTGCCCATGCATCCAACGTGTTCCTCGAACTTGAGGGTCCAACCCATGAGCCCATGCTTCATGCCGCGTTGGATGATGATGAAGGTGGTCAACATATGGACGTTGTGAATCTGGCGGACTGTATCAAGAATGAGAATGGACGACTCCGTTACATGGATTGTTTCTAGGTTCAATATGATTGGCGTCAAGAATTCATCTCCACCCATTACTCATTTTCCTTCGGTGAATAGGTACAAGGTACTTTGTACGTGGCGAGCCTTGGTAATTCCAACGGAGTGGGCTACTGTAGGACAGAGTCAGATTGTAAGATTGTCACACCGCTGCACAGCCGAGAATCGCCCCCATACATGTCTATTGGTGAGTAGCGCCCCTGATATATGAGATTAATTTTAATATCTTGGGCAACCTGTCACGCCGATGACATCTCAGCTCATACAGTATCATCTGAATCTGGTATGAGTGAAACGTGTACCGTGTAAAGTATATCATCTGCACTTCCCTGCAGGTAGATAACCCAATCTTACCTGTCAAGCTTACACCGATAGCCCTTGGTAGCCTCCAAACCTAGGAGAAATGGAACTCCTAATTGCCACTCTCACTGCCGACAGGGATCAGGGAGCAATCAGTGAGACAGTAATCTGAGATCGGGCCACGACGCAAAGACCCTGTCATTCATTCCCCAGCCCACTGTCCTTGTACATGAGGCGAAAAAAAAAAAGGCTAGTGGCTTGGTAATTCCCGTGCCTTCTTGACCCAGTACCCCTCGACCGGAAGTTAAGCTCAGACTCCCGAGGGCGTCAAATAAGCGAGGTGTCGCGAAGATCCATCCCGTCCGTGCCTTATGGCAGGTAAAGTGGAGGTCGATAGGGAAATTCTAGCCTACCTAGGAGTTAGGGGAAAGTTAATTCCAAGACCTTGTGGAAATCAAAGCTCGGTGAAAAGGAAAGGGAAATGGAAAGTGAATAAAACGATTAGTAAATGAAGACCCCTCGTGGTCTTGGCAAAGGACCCTGCATTCTGCGCAAAGAGGCAAGTGAGAGAGAGCGCGCACGGGACTCGAGCCTATCGTGGGGGCTATAGAAGCGAGGTCCAGAAAGTACTCTGCGTTGGCGACGGATCAGCTCGCTTGGCATTTTTTGCCGATATTGGACCCTGAAAGCGAGTGGGAACGCCACGTCGCCTATTTCGGGCAAGCTTGCGACTATAATCTAGCATGAGTGATGATGAGTGCATCTTTTTCGAACCGTGGACCCAGCAAGCCCTGCACATATGGACCAAGAGACTACCTAAATTTTTGTTTTTCATAGAATCTATCTAATCTATCTATCTAAGAAAGGGAAATGGTGAAAGCCAGCGCTGAACGACGCACACTACCAAGGAACCGGCCCTCATATCAACATGCAGAAGTCAAGAGAAGGGGAGAAAAGAAAACAAATGCCAGACTAATCAGATAGCCACACCCAATGCAATCAGATACATCGTAGATAGTCAAATGACATATCTGGAGAATTCCCAATTTTCTTTCCCCGACTCTCAAAAAGAATATGCAGGAAATGGGACTGAAATGAAACGCCCAGTCAAGAGCTCAGCTCGCCTTGATTATTGACCTAATGATTTTTCGTAACTGATTCCTTCCGTTCGTTCCTCCTATTTCTAGGTCATAATGACAATGGGCTATAATAAACCCGTAGCGCTCAAAGAAAAGTGAAAACAGTGCATTGATTGGTAAGAAGAGGCAGAGAGTATGACAGGTGACATTGTCATTGGACTTCAATCGGCCATGTAAATGTGTAGCCTAGAGGTGACACATGAGGGAGCATTTCGGCATTTCATAAAGCCATCATCGTGCATGTAGATCTCAATCGGAAAGGATGAAGTCGATTTGATGGGGGAATCATGGAACCTCTGGCCTTAAACCTGGTAATGCGTGCGCAGCTTCTGGGCCACGGGACCGGGAAGCTGGGAGAGGAATGAATCGAAGTTGGGTATCATATTTTTATATCCTTGCAAAACCTGCTTGATAGTTAGAACGGTATTTTGTGAAGTCAGGGGGAGTGGGCGCATACCTGCTGGAATGAGCTGTGGATGTCCCGGTAGTCCTCCTGTGATGAGAGCGACTTGCTCGCGCAGCCGGCAATAGCCCCGAAGTAGACTCCAAGACACGATTCCATCGCTTGAGGGTTCTTCATCACCACTTGGTTGAATCCAAGGAAGGCGGAAGCCTTTTCGCGGCTGAAATCGATCTTGCTCATTGACGTTAAGAAAGGGGCGGCGTATTCGCTCAATCGGGGTGCCAGCGGCTCAGGACAGCAGAGACCAAGACGGCCCAGTGCCATGGCGGCATTTTCGTTGACCGAGTCAATAATCTCTTCATTGTTGATGATATGCAAGAGACCGTAGTAGAGCTTCTCGGCGTGCGGGGCAAGGTCGCTCTTCTTCTGGTTCACGGCAATCTCTCCACAGGACCAGCAAGCATTGTTGAGAACGCTAAAGCCAGTGACGCGATCGTCGTCGGGCAGGGTATCCAGGTCAAGCTGTTTGATAAGGATCGGCATCATGGTAGGGATGAAAGGCTCCAGGTGGGGGAAGATGCTGATGGCGCAGTCACCGAGCAGGGCGTAGGAAGATTGGCGGACCTCATAGTTAGAGTCCTGCATGCAGTAGCAAAGTAGGTCGAAGAAACGCGGCTGGGAGGCGGCCACCAACTCTCCACTCTTTTGCGGGTCAATAGCTTGGATGATGCAGCTGAGAAGGTCGAGGCTGGTGACCAGGAAATCTTTGTCAGTCTCATCAATGGTTTGGTTGTTTACTGAGGCCATGGATTCCTGGAGGTTCTGGTAGATAATCTTCACACAGCGTTGGAAGATAACGGGGGCAAATGGCGAAAAGGCATCTTCGTATGAAGCAGCGATGTATCCGAGACATTCAAGCAGCGGAAACACTTCTCGAGACTGGTCGTGGATCATGTTGTACCGCTCGATCAGAGCAGGCATCAGGATTTCCACGAGATGGGGCTTGGCCAACTCGTTTCCGACACACTCGGCCAGAGTTTGCACACAGTCGTAAAGAATGTACATGTTTCGGTCCTTGTACTTTCCAAAGCATTTGACAAATTGACGGAGAATAGGCTCACAGTATGGAACCAGGTTCTCGTCCGACTTCTCTTCCAAGCTGGCAAACGCAGATGCAGCGGCTTCTTGCACCTTCTTGTTGTTGTCGAGCATGCGGTGGAGAATGCCCTCCATCATAGGCTCAAAGAATTGGTGCTTCTCTGCTGGCTCATGGAGGTGGGAAGCCCACTCGGAGTATCGCCCCAAGCACCAACAGGTGATCTGCCGCACAACAGGTTGTGAATCGTTCAGCAGAGAAATCAGGTATGGGACGAGTTCTGGGAGGTGGGGCATGACAGCGTCCATGCAACCATCAGCGACAGCTCCCAGGGTGAGCACAGCTGCCTCACGGTTAGGCCACTGCTCATGTCGCAGAGTCTCTTTCAGGTATGGCAGAATGATTTCAAAGATAGGGTCGTGGTACACATTCGAAAAGACGTCCAGTGCAGCAGCAGAGCACTTTCGCAAGGACCACTCGTCCTCGGGGTCATCTCCATACTCCGAGTCTTCGATCTCGCCCTCGCTGAGCTCACCCTCCTCTTCCTCCTGAGGTGGCTGTTGCTGCGAACCATTTGCGTCGCCCTGTTTTGACATATCGAGACGGCCCGCCTTCGACTTGGCAAACTGCGGCTTCAGGTCCTCCGCACGATCCTCGGTGTCAGCATCGTCCTCGTCGCCCATCAGGCGGATCACATCGTCTTCCTCATACACCATATTTTGGAGCAACACCGGGATGACCTTGGGCATGAAAGGTGCCAGAGGTGCCTGCAGACGCTCTTGCTCACCAGAGACGATCCAGAACTCCGCCGCATCCAGGGCAAGCTCGGGGTCCTCTCCGTTCTGCTGCTGGATGAGAATGTAGCTGACCAGTCCATCCATATGCGGGATAAGCTTCTCTGGGGCAAACTCGACGAGCTGCGAGAACGACTGGCACACCATCTTCCGCACCTCGGTATCTTGGTCACCCGCCAGGTTGAAAAGCTGTGACAGGAAAAGATCCAAAGAGCCCATCAATGCCTGGGGCTGGTGGGGGAGGAAAATGTGAATGCTGCTTAGGGCGAGCGCGCGAACCCGTGCGCTCTCCCGTCCTGTAAACTCCAGCAACTTGGGGATGATCACGTTCAACGGGCGTTGTCCTTGGTAGTCGCGGTCCAGGATCTTGCGGTTATCCTCGCACACCTTGAATAGCGCAGCCATCGCAGCCTCCTGAGCGGGGATCGACACATCACCCGCGGTGTTACCAACCAAGGCGAGGAGCTCCTGCAGAACCTCCGGCCAGGCGAGTAGTCCACCCCGCTGCACCAGCTCCGTGATAATAGTACCGGCACCTCGTTGCACTTGTATGTTGTTGTCCCGCAGGGCAATCAACGCGGCGGATCGAATAAAGTTCAAACTCTGCTGGGGAATCGTCTGATAGGCCATGTAAAGCTTCGTCTTGATGTTCATGGCGGCAGCAAAGCGCACAACGCTATAGGTGTTGTCGTCCATACCGACAGCAGGAGGAACCTGAGACGTCGAGAAAAGATAGGTGATGTAATTGACATAGTCTGGGGATGAGGTCGCCGAAGCAAGCATCTATAGCAGCGCGCGATTATGTCAGTCTCCATCCTAAATCCCAGTGTGCGCTTTCTCTTGCGTTGGTTCCTGACAAAGAGGGGGGGAGGGGAAGTGCAGAGCAAAAAAATTTATTATAGGCGTACCTCTTCGGCTTGTTTTCGGAGCGTGGGGTCCTGGCCATTGAGAGAGTCTCTAAGGCAGCAGGCCAGCTGCCTCAATGGCTCATCCTGAGGTTGCCAATCCATGTTGAAGCGGTGCTAAAGTCGACTGGCTTGCGACCGTAGGTGCAAAAGTGCGTGTGGCACAAATCGCCCCGCCAAGAAAGTGGGAACCGGTCCCCCTACTTCGTTCCCCAGATCAAGGTACACCCAACGCGTCCGATCTGCACCAAGTAAATTCAGCAACGAACAGAAAACTTGAGGGTGATATAAAAATAATCGCCCAGAAGAAAACAGTGTTCAAGTTTAAGAACTAAAAGAAAAAAAGGAGGAAAAGACTCGGACTTGACACTGTAAGTAAGGTCGAAAAATCTGGGGCGATCGGACAAAAGAGAAAGGCGGTAGCCACCTTAGTCGACTGCACTGTTTTTACTAGCAAATCAACCTACGCTAACTGGGTTGCGTTACTTTGACTCAGACTCTGGCCCCAGTTGACGCGATATTCTATAGCATCTAAAGATAATAGAATGTCTGTAGTAGTTCTTCTCTGCGTCCACGGGTTCGGTCGGTTCTTTTTATATTTGTCTGATCTGCATGTCCGAGCGGTGAGGTCACTCGGAATATATTTACTTTGACACATACCTACCACAAAGCACGGGGTATGACCTCACCTGTAGAGATGGAAAATCAACATTGATAACATCATGCCAATAATATTTGCCCTAGAATGATGCAACATGCAGCATACGTATTTGTAGACCCCTAAACCAAACAAAATTACCCGAAAGGACCGCCAAATGATCATGCCCAAACCATCTTCTTGATATCATAAACAAGATACTCCAAAATTCCAGTCCGTTTCTTCGCATCAGCCAAAGAAATGATATCAGACTCTTCAACAACAGATGTTGCATCCTTGTTCTGCCCATCACCCGCCAGCATCGCACGCTCGATTTCCAAACAGATGGAGCGAACGCGATCAAGTTCGCGAACATTACCCGTCGTGGGCCCGAGGCGAGGGCTAGTCCCCGCATTTGTTAGTGGAAGAGACTTGAATGCGATAAATCGTGTAGTGGCGCGCTTAGTACCACGAAGCCAGGAAACCAAATCCCATTCGCCCGTGGAGCTGCTGGAGGCTTCGAGGGCGGCGGGACGGACACTGCTTTGCAAGGACCGGGTGTTGACTCGTACGAGATTCTCATCACCATCGCGATAGACGATGACAAGGCCCACGTTGGTGCGCTCGTTCGACTGGCTCTCTGTTAGGATGGAGGTGACGTATGTTCCGTAATGTATACGGGATACAGAGCGCAGGTCAATCCGTTCGAAAGAGAGCACTTTATCGGTCTCCCAGTCGAAACGGCAGCTATACACCGCCGCATCTGTCAGAAGAAGGACAGATTCTTCGAAGGGAAGAGTGCGTAGCGTATTGGGTTGTCGGGGGGTGGACATAGTCCAACCGCCAAGGAACTCCTCGGAGGGACTGCTGATAACGATCTTGCAGCTGGTATCGATTGCATTCTGCCGGATCTTTTGAACCGAGATGCCTGGATCGGTGGTCTGCAAGCCAATGGAAAATTCGTCGAAAACGTGCGGGGTGACATTACCCAGCAGATAGTCGATGCAAGCCTGCGAGAAGTAATCGTTCACAATGTTGTTGTAGTACCGTGAGAGAGTGAGTCCAAAATCATTGATTGCGCCTCGATAGTCTCGCTTTCGCGTGCGAGTATAGTCACCTTTCAAAGCAGCAGTGGACGAGTATTGCTTGGAAATAGCATCGCCGTTATCTGCCCAAAGAGTGTTGAACCACTGAGTAGACGAGTCACCACCCAGGTCAATCGCGATGCCCTCATTTTGAAGCTGGCGCTCCAAAGCCCACTGGCCAAATGCGCACTGAGCCACACCGGTACGGTCAAGACAATCCATGCAGTTGGTGCGAATGATACCACTCTGTTTGAGCGACGATACACCGTCCTTGACGCTAGTATAACCAAATTCATCCAGTGTCTCCTTCACCCGGTCGACTAGACGGGACACATTCTCAAACTTCATTCCACGGCATTCGTTATGGAAATCAAACCACTCCAACCGCAGTGGTGTGCCATCAACACCACCGGCCTGATTAAAGACATCGGCGTATCTCTCATATTGTTCGCCCAGTTTCAGTTCTCCCGCATGCTTGTCAATCAAAGAAACGGCCTGAATTTTGCCGTATCTCCGGCTCATTTCCCTAATGTGCCTTCCAAATGCAAGCTGATTGACTTCAGCGGAGTGGTGCAGCGCCGGAATGGGCTTGAAGGCATATGGGGACTGAGAGAAATACAAGGGGATCGATCCTCGCACTTGCAAATACGAGTAGACATTGCTGGAAGGGTCCCAGTCAGGGCCGGACAGAATCTGCTCCGTCTCGACAGTATTGGCTGTATTTCCTTCATCGTCCACGCCACGACGGAGATACCGGAGGCCAGGTCGATTGACAGACCGCCTCGAGATGAGGGTCAACAGAAAGTTGCGCTTAGAGACTTCCGTCTCCACCGAGCCTGCCTCTTGGCTGTCGCCAAGAATTTTCGCTTCAACCGGCTTTTCGTCTGCAGACTCAGAATTTGGCTTTTGCTCAGGACAGGCGACTGTAAATTCTCGTTGACCAACAAATCCTTGCAAGAGTGGCATCACAAAGCCATGAGCACCATTTTCAATGAATGTAAACATGAGATGTTTATTCCAGAAGTACTAGAACCGTGTTAGCAAGATACCAAGCATTTAGCACAAACAGTACCCACCAAGGGATCTACAGCCTTGTGAAGAGGAAGTTGTTCAGTGCGTGCTTCCTGGGCATTATAAGGTCTCGTCAGATCATAATTATAGGCAAAAAAGAAATTATGCGACGCAAAAAGTAGCTTCGTATATTTCAGCAACTTGGGCAACAGGTCAGACGCTTGACCAGACCGAGGAAGCTCGTCCTTTTCACCAGGCTTCATGTCCTCTCTCTGATCTTCAGGTAAAGCGGCCTCCACAGCTTCATCCTCCTTCGACTCAGCATCTGGAGTGGCCGTCCCGGGTGAAGAGGTTTCATCAAAGGGCGACTCAGGCACATCCTGCGTTATCGCTCCAGGCCGCGGCAATCCCAGATTCCTCCGTGAGAGCCAATTAGCCGCAAATCGACCAAATGGCACCCGTTTCCCAATGACATCCTCCGCTATGCTACCAACGCTAGCACCGCGGGTATGGAATGTTGCCTGCCGATTAGGCGAACTCGGCGCACTACCAATTTCCGTCTCCCCGTGATCTGTGACATGGTCTGGAATATCGTCTTCGGAGTCAGAGTCTAGATCAGGATCGCCCTGTGAGACCTCCTTCCGTGCCTGTGTGATTGCGCGGTTGGCATCCGCTTGCGAGGAGACGGGAATGATTGCAACATTGGTCACAGCGTAGACAGGACGGCCCTGAATCTGTGCGACTTGTTGGCGCTGCGTAATGGAGACCAAAAACGAGTGTGACGCGACAGACAGCAGACCTGAATGCGTGTTAAAATCAAGGGATGATAGAATTAGAGCTATAGCCCGCGGCTTCCCGGGGAGCGCCATGGTCAAACTTACCGACAAGTCCGTAGGCCTCCAAATAATCGCGATCTTCTAGTGACTCCTCCGTGGAAGCGGGCAGGGCAGTGATTTTATTCGTTTTGTAGTCGATACGGATGGAAGAGGCCTCATTATTGCTGCCATTGTTATGGCGGGGTCCGTTTATGCCGTGCCCGTGCAGAATCAGCCCGTCGACTGCGGCGACGATGACGAGCTTCCGCAACAAACCCGGCATCGCGCAGAGGAATCGCTTCGCGAAACGATATAGATCGGCCTGAGGAAAGAGAGTAGAAAGGAGGCGAGCCAAAGAGAGACTATATCGCGCCGGTCAAGCTTTGGAATTCGGAAGTGAAACTTCCATTAACAGCTGACTTGCAAGCTACATCATCGGATGTGGAGCCCCACTTCCTGACGAATTGTATGCCAATCTATTGGGAAATGGAATTCCTTGTCAAAACACTCCGTATATACATGATAACCCTGCCCATTACCAAATCACACAAAAAAAAAAAAAAAAAATAACGAAATCAGCGATTCAGAGAAACCAGAGTCATATCCAATCATTCATAGCATGTCCAGTGCCTGAGATTTTCCGAGTAATCATCTCTGCACTCGGGCATTTTGGAGGAAACAATAATAATACAAGGGCTTCGGCGAGGAAACAAATGCAGGGAAGCCAGATGGCTCGAAGATGGTGGGAAATTGGGAAGAGATTGGAGAAGAGCGTGGCGGCAGTAACTTCGTGAAGGAAGTGGAAGCGCTGGCTTAAAACCACTCCAGAGGCGATCAAATCTGGCTGTTTCGCTTGGTGTGTTTCACTGTGCGCTCATCGGCCGCGAATGTCGGGCCTGGTTCTCCATCGTCTTCTGCCAAATCGTTCAAGCCAATGCCAGAGCCGTTCTCAAGATCGTACGAGTGGATCAGCCCTTCGCGATCCCCGTGGCCATTGAGGAACGCAAGGCTGGAGGAACTCCGACGATGGGGATCGGTGCTTCGGCGGGCCTGCATGGACCGTCGAGTTTGAAAGCTTGCGATGCCATCGGTCGGAACTCCCTCTTCATCAAGCTTAGAGTTGACCAGGGCATGTCCGTCAGGATCGTGTCGCGACAAGTTGAGGAGGTATACGCCGGTAAAGATGACCAGGAAACCACAGAGCAAGGAAATGGTGTTGACGGCATCGGTCGTGTTGAATCCTTGGAAAAGGATAAATGAGGCACAGAGCGTGAAGGTCGTAAAGGTAACATAGTAGAGAGGGTTCACACTAAAGAACAAACAATGTTAGCGCTTGAGGAGTGACTCTTTTGGGGAAGGTGTTTCCCTTACATTGAGGTCGAGAATGAGTTCAATGCCTTGTTAAAGTAGTTCAACTGGGTGAGAATGCAGAAGGTGGTGACAATGGCGAATACATAGGTGGATGCATTTCCAAATTGGTTATTACCACCAAATGTCAATTTCACCGCAATGCCAAAGGCTTTCATTGACATCACGGAGACCGAGCCCACTGTGGAACAGATCGAGATGTAGATGAGAGGGTTTTGCTTTCCGTAAAGCGGGGCGATTCGATAAATCATGACCGTCGCGAAGACCGCCACAAACAAGCAGTATAACAGGAAGGCTAGACTTCCGATTTAGCAAGCAATATGGAAGCATGGAGAGAAAGGCGTGAACGTACGTGCTTTGACCGCATATGCGAGCATCTCATCAATCCGTTCAACCGGCTTATCAGGCGGCGCATGAAGGACAATGACAACAGAGCCGAGGAGACACATGGCACAGCCTAGTTTACCCAGCTTCCCTAACCGTTCATCGAGGAAATATGATCCCAAAACCGCACTGGGATGATTGTCAGCAGGGCCCCAGCCACCCGAGGGAGCGAAGTGCCTACCCGATCAGAACACTCAGCGCTCCAAGCGGAGTCACCAGAATCGCGGGCGCAAATGCATAGGCGGCAAAATTGGCAATTTCTCCAAGGGCAACTATTGTGTTAATGTATGTTAGCGATTCCAGCTCCGCGGTCCAGTTCGAATGTTGAGGATATCCATACGTGTGACGACACCTCCCCACCAGATAGGACTTTTCAAGTATGAAAATCCTTCGCCTTCGAAACCATGTTGTTCGGAAGCATGCATCAAGCCCTGCATCGAGCGCGTTAGCAGTTATTTCTCGACGGCCGTGCCCGTCCCTTGTCGCCCCATCCCATGCAGGTTTGGGTTCATCGGTCGGCGATTTCGGAGGAAGGACGAACCTTTTTGGTAATAACAAAACTAGTACCTGATTGCGAATTGCATTAGTTGGTTCCTCTCGGACTCTTCAAAGTAGGGAAATCACGTACCAATGGCCATTGTTGATACGATGGCTAATATTAGCCCGACATATCTGTTCCGCGCGCATTGTTAGCATTTGGCCACCTTGGCCACCTTGGCCCCAACGCATTGAAGGCAAGAGTCCGGGGAAGCGCATTGCGCACGTACTTGTCTGGAAGCATGTTGACGGTGATATTCTCTGAGGAGCCGATGCTCCTACTGTCGAATGGCCTCCAGAGCCAGCTGTTGGTATCGGGGAGGGGGCAACGGAAAGGAAGGACTAAACGAAGGGAAGTGTATGACGACGTAGGAAGCGACTGAGAAACAGAAACAACGAGCCCGCCCGGGATTTCTGCAGGAGTAATGGATGAGTAAGGGGATGGAGATTGCGGTGCCAGGTGGTGTAAAGGCAGGATTGGTGCCTGCGTGCGGTGGGGTTCCGTTTCGAGACTGGGCCGATCGGGACGCGTAAGAGCAACGGCTGAGTAGGTGCTCTAGCCTAGTTTTAATGCTAGCAATGGGTCTACCTTGGCTTTCTTATTAGCGCCTACGGAGTAGATGACGAGTTTATCATTTTATTTATCGGTAGCTTGTTACTGAAACGCGGACAAAAGAGCCAATGCCCCTAGGGTAGGGGCTTTTGTGCATTGCATAAATGCTTGGACCCTGAAGTTTGGTCTTGGTCAGAAGTGGCGGCGATCGTCGTTTCAAGATCTCACCACCACCGCTTTCAGCTCTGGCTATACTTAGAGCCACGGATCCACTTGATTCGCCAAAATGCGGATTAAGCGGACTTCCACAAGTGCCGGATACTGCTGTGGGCATTGTGGGAAATGAGATGTACCGTTCTTGCCCCATTATGTGGGATTTGTCCCAAATTGGCTTTATATACATATGCCTGAGATCGGACTCCAGGGCTAGCCATGGTGTATACATGAACCTATTGTTACCAATTAAATATGAACACCATCAAGATATTCACGTAAAGGAGTCTCATCTGATAAGATTGGATAAAAATAAATTCAATTTCAGCGCCAGAGCTAAAGATAGGTGGAGCCTATTGCACGCGTACGCCGAATACTATGTGATATGCAAACCGCAAACACGCCCCAACCGAAATTCCCATCAACGCCGAGCTCAACTTTTGGATCGAAGTGGTATCACGCAGGGAGAAAAAAATAAAAAGCCGATCGCCGTACAGGAATAAGACATAACATGGGAAGGCGAGGCGTTGCGAACTACCTCAAACGCCTCTGGTGCAAAGGGCCGGGAGAAAAGGAGACCTGAAAGGCCAAGAGCGGGGGAGGATAAAAGTGTTGAACGTACCTGGTTGTTATCTGTGATAGTGAAAGTCAAATCCACGGGTCGTCACCGTTGCTGAAAGATCATCAGAATTAGTAAATCATGGCGAAACTGTTGGAAACCATAAGGCAACGGCATCCAGAGAAATCGGGACTAAGCTTGCCAGCCAAGATAGTCTTGGATGGCAACGATGCCGCGCAGAAAAAGGGAAGCATGGGTTTACGAAGGTCGCCGACGCTTGAGGTCGGGTGTCGTGGCTTCCGTGATGTCCCACTCATCATCCTCATCACGGGACCGTTTGACGGAAAGATTGTCAGGAGCATGAGAGTCAGTAGAAGAGGGATCTATTTCACCCAACTCAGGTTCCTCCGGGGCGTCCAATTCGGCCTCATAGTTGTAGTCATTTTCGTAGTTTTGCTGACCATCGCCGCCATCTTCAAAAGAGGGAGCGGTCAAGTCGTCTTCGAAATATTCCTCATCCGCAACATCGGCGTTGTTGAGTTGCTCAATTTCGTTATTCTTTGCAGGTGTTTGCATCACGTCCTCATCAATCCCAAGTAGGTAATCCTCAGGCTCTGGGGTTTGTTCGGAGAAGGAAGTTTCCTGGGGCAGGTTCTCCAATGTGGACTCCGACTCCTCATAGGCATTGGGATCGGTATTATCTTCCACACCGTCCTCGTAATCGTGGTCAAGTTGTTTCGTAGCTTCGAAGTCATCCGTGGGCTGCTCACCATGCTGGGATGCAGAAACTACGCCTTCAGCACCGTCCTCGTGTTGATCCTCGGCTTCAACTTTCTGTACGGGAACAGCAAGATCGGCCACTTCAAGATCATCAGCACCAGAGAACTCGTCATCATCAAATCCTCCATTATCAGGGGCTTGATCGTCCTTATTGGTATCATGGTGCTCCAAGGTTTCATGATTGTCCCAATCATCGTGGGTAGCTTCCACAGATGCATCTTCAAGGGCCACGGTGCCGGTAGACTCGGTTCTTGGATCCTCGGCATGGTCGCGTTCTTCACTGTGGCTTTCAGCGCCATCAGATTTGTTATGGTGATCCTCCCCTCCTTGGTAAGTCTCTTGTTCATCTTGAGCCACAGTGGGGTTTGGTTCAGGGTTTGTTTTGACATCAGCATCACCGCGACCAGATTCCTGATGAGCTTCGTCTGCTATATTTTCCACGTTGCTAGGTCCATCAAGTTCATCTGTTGCCTCATTACCAGATATGCCGGCGTCATGAGACGCAGCAATTCCACCACGTGTACTGGACTGATCATCCTGAGATTCCCGTGGCAACTCATCGCCAGATTGTTCATGACTGCCGGCAGCCTCTTCCACAACCGGGTCTTCTTCATCATAATCAGCCCACAGGTGGATCTGGGATAAACCCTTGCCTTCTTTGGCAGCGAAGTCCAGGTTGGCCAGTTCATGATGGATAGCTGCTTTGCTGGAAAGGCTAAGATACAGAGCGTCCGGGTCATGGATGCCGTCGTTATGACAAAGGCGAAGGTAAATATCCAAGATCTGGTGCAAAGTGATTCTGGATGTATAAGACGAGTCCTAAAAAGTGAATTAGCACGTTGTGAGCAATGTTGCGAGTAAGAGTGGAACGTACCTCAGTTATTTGAATACCAAGGGAATCGATATCAATAACAAGAGTTTCATGCTCGGCAATATTATCCAGAAGCACCTCACGAAGAGAGCTGAATAATCTGCCAACGTTGTCATAGGCTACATCTTCGTCATGAAGGAAGAAAGTTTCGGCTGAATCACCTTCCAAAGGCGGAAAGAGGGAGATCTCATTATCCTGGTAGATGACCTTGACTGTGTGAAGAGATTCTTCATCATGAGTATTCTCATGTTCTAATTCATTCGAAACACAAGTCTCAGCTTGCTCAACAGTGGGAGGCTCTGCCTTCGGGGAAGAGGCCTTGTGATCTTCTAAATTCTCAACCGAGTGATCGGGAGTGTGATGCTCTTGGGCGTCCGGAATCATACTCTCCGCGGGTTTATTAGTCTGCTCACCGACCTTGTTGTTGTCGTTGTCGGCAACGGGTTCAGCGCTCTCAAGGGGCTGGGCTTGTTCATGCTCAATATTTTCGGCCGGAATCGTTTCTTGCACGATTTCTTGTACCTCAATGATAGGCTCTTGCTTTTGCTGTTCACTCTCTACAGGAATGGCCACGGAGGGTGAAGACTGAGCCTCTTGACCGTCTGCGGCCGCTTCCGGACCAACTTGGCTCGGCTCGTTGTTCTCAATCGCTGGGGTCGCAATACTCGGGGTACCTTCAATATTAATGGCGGGTACAGCAACATCGGTGGTTTCAACATCATCACCCTCCAGCATATCTGCCTCGTAGGTATCATCGTCGTACTGGACCTCAATATCGTGATCTTCATCGGCTAGGTTGTCCGCATCGACCATAGATCCTTCCGAGGGTTCATCGACCATGTCGGCATCGTCTGTCGCATCATTCTGGAATAGAGAGGGCTGGGAGGTGTTGGGGAAGTCGTCCGCGCCCATCATATCACTGTCCATGTTGGATACATGGTCCTCCATAAGGTCGATATCGATATCAAAATCATCGGCCTGACCTTGGTAGGGTGAAGCCATCTCAAGATCCTCCCCAGCAGGAACCTCCATGCCGGAAGGAAGGAGAGAAGATGTCGTTGTCATTACAAAACGCGTCAAAAAGTGAAGTAACGGAACGTGTCGCGAGAATCGGGGGGTGCGGCGTTTAAAGTGTGAAGATCATAGGGAGACTGGGAAATGGAAAAAAGTCGAAGGGGTTGTATAAGTACTCCTTGAGTTTCAGATCACGAAGTGAAACATGAAAATCAGAAGCAAAAGGATGGGTAGGCGAAGAATGCTGGATACAAACTGAAAGAAAAAAGGTTGCTCACTGCCTGACGACTAAGCGAAGGGGGGAAGCGGTGAGCACGGACCAGGCAGTGAAAGAGAACAGAGTAGCTTGCTGATGATCTAACTAAACACTAAACAGGGGCGTCGTGAATTTGGATTCACTCCGAACACCACTACTTCAAAGTCACGTATCGCATTTCCTGTTCCTTAAGATACTCTCTCTACAATTACACAATGGTAAATTATATACTCACCCCTTTCTGCCCAATCAACTCCCTCCCCGCAATGACCTGAACTGACCAGTTCTACTCTCCCAACAGGTCGTTCTCGCAGCGTCGATATGCACCCGCGGAGGCAAAGCTGTACTCTCGCGACAATTTCGTGAGATTCCCCGGTCGCGAATTGAGGCTCTTCTCGCCTCATTCCCCAAGCTGGCGGACTCGGGCACCCAACACACCACCGTCGAGCAAGACAACGTGCGCTTCGTCTACCAGCCATTGGATGAGCTGTACATTATCTTGATCACCAACCGCCAATCCAACATTCTCCAAGACATTGATAGCCTGCACCTCTTTGCTCAGGTTACCACCAGCATTTGCAAGAGCCTAGACGAGCGCGAGATCTTGCGCAATTCCTTCGAGTTGTTGAGCGCATTCGATGAGTTGGTGACACTGGGCTACCGGGAGAATCTGTCCTTGTCCCAGATCAAGACCTTCCTGGAGATGGAGAGTCATGAAGAGAGAATCCAGGAGATTATTGAGCGGGTATGTTTCGATTCTGACAACGCGGCCGACTACGGACTGACACCAGTGAATAGAACAAGGAATTGGAGGCCAGCGAGGAGCGGAAGCGGAAGGCGAAGCAACTGGAAATGCAGCGCAAGGAAGCTGCTCGTTCAGGCCGTAGCGCAGCCCCGCGGGCCCCTTCTTATCCCGTCTACACACCTCCCTCCCGCCCATCAGTGCCGGATACATATGATTCTTATGAGGCGGAGAAGAAGAAGACTTTCGCCAAGTATGTTTTGCCTTTGTGCGAGAGATTTAATTTGGACATAAATACTAACCATTTGAATCTTAGGCCTCTCCCAACCCGTGGCAAGGGTATGCAACTCGGCAAGAAGTCGAAGGCCACCGATATCTACGAGAAGGTCAGGGGTGATATGGGTCCCGAGCCCGAGGAGGATAGCCCCCTGGTTACACCGCAAGTGTCTACCCCAGTGCAAGAATCCGCTTCTGCCCGCGAATCCCTTACAGCGGACCGCGAGCCTATTCATATGACCATTGCCGAGACTATTTCCGCAACTCTTACCCGCGATGGTGCCCTCAAGGAATTTGAAGTCAAGGGCGACCTTCAGCTCCGCATTTCGGACCCGGCTTTCACAAAATTGCGCCTCGATTTACAGGCCAACCCCACCCATGGTGCCCAATTCAGAACCCACCCCAATGTGGATAAGGCCCTCTTCACTAGCTCCTCCATAATCCAACTCAAGGACACCTCGAAGCGGTTCCCCACCAACAACGCGATTGGCGTTCTGCGGTGGCGCGTGGCTAGCTCGGCTGACAATACCGATGTTCTCCCCATCACATTCACTGTGTGGGTTAACAAGGGCTCCGACTCGACTACTGTGACTGTGGAGTACGAGCTCACCGGCAGCGACAGCCTGCGTGATGTTGTTGTCACCATTCCCTACGGTGACTCGGAGCCTGCAGTCGCCAGCTTTGATGCTGTATACGAGGTCTCGGGTGACAGCCTTGACTGGAACCTCGGTGCTGTTGACGAGTCGAACCCCACTGGTAGCTTCGAGTTCGAGACTACTGACGGTGATGAAGATCAGTTCTTCCCCATGAGCGTTCGATTCACAAAGTCTAAGCCATTCGTGGACGTCGATGTCACCGACGTGTCTTTGCTGGAGATGGAGGGTGAGAGTGCCGGCTTCTCCAAGGATGTCCGCAGCGTTGCGGAGAAATTCGTGATTGTGTGATGCGAGGAGTGCATTGTATAGAGTCGGATACTAATGACGTTCGGATTGTGGTTACCTGCCATTTTGCTTCTAAGATCGTGTTCAAAGCCCATTTTATTGTTCTCAAAACCCTTGGCTAAGGCCGTGTCCCAATTCTACACAAAATTGACACATTAAACTAGACTTTCACGTTGACTTCCATGATGTTTTGGTCCATAACATCCCCGTAACTCAATCGCTATCCGCAGTGATGCCCTATTCGATCATTACCGCGTAATTCACGACGTCAATATTATGAACGTTCGGACCCTCTGGGTTTCCAAATACACAAATAATCTCTCGATCGGGATACCCCTTCCCAACATTGAGTTAACATATTTCCAGTACCTCGTCCTCCACCCACGGTCTACTAAAGTCAGCACCGAATCAGGCATGCTGAAGCCAATCACCAACCAGGGACATTAACAAGCTTCGACGCCACCTAGTAACGTCAGATTGACTTTCCTCCATGGTCTAGGCCATGACAGCTACTTCGAGAGTAGCGCGAGCACTTTCCCTAACTAGAAAGACTATCACTCAAATCGATACAACCACGTCCGAAACAAAGGTAAGTCGCAATATTCCGTTCTTCGGTCTTTGCACAATATCTCTAAGAGCTGCTGGTCGATCTGTTTCCCCCAATAGCGCTCGGACTTCAGAGCCTGTCGGTTTCAAAAACCGAGAGACAGGTACCGCAACCAGTGGATAGATGCTGGGGGATGGATTCCATGGTCTGACCAATATGTGGGCACAATCAGATCAAAAGCCCTGGAATGCAACATGCGCCGTTATTTTGATGTCGATGGCAAATAGCGTGATCGAACTTTCGTGAAAAGACCTCAAATTCGCCTCACTGTTTATTGGTTCCCGAGGCGAATTGATGCTATAGACACTTGTTTACATTGCTCGGTGGCCAAATTGGCTGACTTTCGACCTGCTCCCGAGCTGTCCGTGTCTTCACTAGAAGATCAATCGCACACAGAGTTTGGATCATGTGTAGGAGACCCAAACTAGTTCATTCCCAGTAGATAGTGTACCATTACTACCATAGGACGGATCTTCCAACGTCTTTATAATCCCAGATGCTCCCGCCATCTTGCCTCATTGCCATTCTGATGCTGGCGATGTTGGACTTCGCCATTGAAGACTCAAGGTGAGCAAATTGGCCCAATGAAGCTATTGACACCATGATGTGACATACTGATATGCCACCCACGTTACTTTAGAAAAGACACCAGCATAGAATAATCTCTAATTTCTTCATGATGAGTAGCATTTATCTTCCATCATGGACGGAACAGCAGAGCCTATTCAAGCTATCATGTGCCGATGCGGAAACGTGCAACCAATTTTCTAGCATGGTATGCAAACTATGACACAGGAGCGCGGCTAAAACTTAATCTGATTCAACTGATCCAGGACACCCCCATCCCTTCCCTGCAAAGGGCAGACTCCGAGCTGGCAACTAAGAAAATGGCCATCCCGCGGCTTGCTGAAGGAGCAGAGTCAGCATTTACCTCTCCGGGTAGATTTCACCGTCGACATGTCCGTCGAGCTTGCGAGTCATGCCGACAGCGAAAGACTAAATGCACTGGAGACAAATCTGGGTGCCGCAACTGTCGCGAGGCTGGCATCATCTGCTGCTATACAGATGGCAAGCGAGAGAAGTCTAAACGGTCCGTAGCTATCTACACTTATCTGTTACAGACGAAGCTGACCTACTATTCTTCATTGAACAGGCAGCTAGCTAGCTTATCAGCCAAGGTACACGCTTACGAGGACGTTATCAAAAGACTAAGTAGTCGATTCGGTGTCTCCGATGAACAGCTTGTTAACATTGCCTTGACAGCCGTAAGTGTCTTGATATCTCTAAAAGAGCCCAACATCTGTCTAACAAAAGAAAGGGCGCTGCTCCTGATCTTACATTGAATGGTGATGGAAATGGAGCTGGAGAGCATAATGTCTCATGGGACTCAGAGCCCCCGCCATCTCGACCCTCATCCACTGCTCCTCTAGATCTTGTCGATCATACAGAAGAAGACTTCAATAGAGATGAAACCGCTCGGGCAACCGGATTTATTGGAAAGAGCTCTGAGATCAATTGGCTTCAGAAGCTCAGCAAAGAGGTCAACAGTGAATGCGAAGCATGGTCTGCGAGTATGTCGAATTCAGGCGATGACAATGGCTTACCGTCGCCCACCTTGACGCCTCGACCTGACAATCCTGTTGATGCCTTGATGGCATCAGCAAACTTCTATCTCGATGACATGGATATTCCAGGAAAAGATCAAGTTGATGCCCATGCTGTTCCGTCACGGGAGACTGCTACAAAGTTTCTTAATGCTTATCTTAGCTCGGTGCATCCGTCTTTCCCAATCATTGGTGTCTCTACCTTTGTTTCTCAGTTTCAAGTCTTTTTCAGTCAACCGACGTTGAAACCTGGGGATAAGTGGCTGGCTATACTCAATCTAATCTTCGCCGCGGCAGCGAAATATGGACAGTTGACAAATGCAGACTGGCAAGGAGGGGAAGATGATCATGAGCTTTACTTTGCGCGAGCAAGAGCTTTGAGCTTGGAAGACCAACTTCTGCACCATCCTGATCTGCAACAGCTGCAAGTCGAAGGACTTGCTTGCTTTTACATGATCTCGTCGGGGCATATTAACCGGTATCTCATCCCTCATGGCTCCGATTTGAAGCTCCATACTGATAGCCATCCAGGGCATGGAAATTGTCTGGAAGTGCTGTTCGAGGAGCATTGGCTCTTGGTCTACATTTACGCAACGTGGGTTCCTGCACCTCTGATACATCCAAAGAGATCCGCTATCGTGTTTGGTGGTCTCTGTACAATGTCGACCATCTCCTTTCTGTCATGACTGGACGTCCGTCCTGCATCACTGATAACTGCTGCACCACGCCTCTTCCCGTGCCCTTCGATGAAAGTGACTTCCAGAGAGAGGAGGTTGCGCAACTGATCAGCACCACGGGACGGGCTGCACTCAGCCCCATGGACCGGATTTCTCTTAGTAATAGCGCAGCCAGCCTGGAGTCTACCGCCGATTCGGACACCAACGACAAGCCCATGGAGGCCGACACAAAGATGAGTCGAGCAGAGTATCTTAAGAGCTTACCGCCGTGTGTCTCGTTGCATTTCCTCCAGTTGACATCCCTCAACACTATAGCCAAGCGGATGACGGTGAAACTGTACAGCCCCGAGGCCCTACAGTCACCATGGGCCAGCACCCAATTTGCAATCCAGAGTCTAATGCTCGAGATTGATTCCTGGTTCATGAACCTTCCGTCCGCGTATGATTTCACCTCAACGCAGACATCACAGTGCCCGCTCGGTCAACGAATGGGTCTCGCCTTTTTATTCTACAGTACCAAAATCGGTATTACACGTCCTTGTCTGTGCCGACTCGACCCATCTCCAGCCGAGGGCGATAAAACCCATGAATTCTGCAGCAAAACAGCCGCAGAGTGTGTTGAGTCCGCATGCCACATGCTAACCCTATTCCCGGATACGCCTGACGCGGCACTACTGCATCGCATCTCCCCATGGTGGTGCACGCTCCACTACTTGATGCAAGCAGCCACAATCCTGCTACTGGAACTCGCCTATCGGGCCCAACATGTCCCCGAGAAAGCAATCATGGTATCCAAGGCAGCTAAAAAGGCACTGGACTGGCTGTCAACGCTATCCAAATCAAACATGGCCTCCGAACGAGCCTGGAAGCTCTGTAACGGCTTCCTTCGCAGATTAGTACCCCATGTCGGAATTGACGTCGACGACTTCTCAGGCAGCGACAATGAAGAATCATCCGCTACCTCTCTCCTTGATGCAACAGACCTTGCAGATGCCGCCGCTTTCGAAGGAGATCAAACTGTGCAAGACATTGCCTTCGACCCATCCGTTACTCTACCAATCGCTGATGCTTCAGCCGCTGCGGAAATAGCTGCGGAGATGGACTCCCTTGCGTGTTCGCCAATGGACCAGGCTGATACTCCACTTGCCATGCCCGTATCTTGCAATCTCGAGCCAGATCTACTGGAGTTCATCAAGCCAGAGAAATCTATTTCTGGTAGAAGTCCCTACGACAGTTACTTCCCCTATGATCCTGCGACAGGCCAGATTACGGGCTCTTTCTTCCCGACTGGACCGAATTTGGACTTCGATCTAGGATATACCTGGCCAGATCCTGTCTGCTGAATCATTTGTTTCCTCACTTGATATATCATTTCTACGCTGATGGTGATTGACAAGAAAGGAGTCGAATAGACGGTTATCGCTGTCGCTCAAATTTTATACGCTGGAATTATGCTGGTTTGTGTTTTCCTGTGATTCATTTTGATATTGTATCAAATCATGAAACCAAGCATTCCAATAATTGAGACTGGAGGGAAAAGTTCGTCTTTCATGCGAAGATTACTTAGAATGACAAGAATGTACTGCTGTCCCTACACACTTTGTTCAATAAAGCTCTATGAATTTCGTTTTCGTAATGCTGGAATATGTACAAGAAGCAGCCAGTAAGTTTTCAACCCGCGTATGTTTTTTCCAGGGTAAGCAAACTCCAGGAACCGCCCCGCGAGCCATGAAAGCCATGTAAGCCACCCGTGACAAAACCCTGGGCGGAAATGTGAGAAATCTAGACCGGTCTTTTCTTCATATTTCTTCATATGTCAAGGGACATCATCATAACATCATTTCAAGTCGACCTGGCGTAAGAGTGAAGGAAAGAGCCGCAAATGACGTTACACCACGTAATAAGTGAGAAACGGAGATTGAATCCCACAACTTCAACACAAACTGGGCTTACGCCTCCCAGTTACGTTTATGTGCGGTGAACAAAAGCCTGGCATCTCGGTTCGCAGCGGGGAGAATACGATGAGGCCCCTTTTCCGAATCATGGACGGCATAAATCAAAGATTGTCGAATATCGACGCAGTAGGCTCTTTGTGCGGTTCTCCATTCGGTTGCTCGGCGAGTAAATGCATCAAACCATCTCCCATAGTCGAGCCCAATAAGGCTTTTGGGGTTCAAAAGCAAATTCTCAATAGAAGGAATAATTGGGACGATTCGGCGTTTGATGCCACAGCTTCCATGATTGGCATCCACCTGATAGTCAGGGAACTCTTTCAGAGTTGTAAGTATGGCAATGATATCAGACAAATCAAAGAGATCTGATTGGTTCCTTTGCCCGTCTTCACCTTGACTTCCGGGATCAGTATTGAACTCAGGATCTATTAGATTTGACCCAAGGAAGACCGTTTTGCTGCGCATGGCAAAGAAACGTATGAGCTGACCGGCTTGGAATATATCGCATTCGCTTCCGTTCGCAAGCCCTGCTCTACATTGGAAATGACGTTTGTGAGATGTAGCAAACGCCATGGCTATTGATCTTTGAGCCGGTACAGTGGGTAGGGGGTTTGGTATCCTCCAATACGCCATAAGCACGAAGGAAATGTGCTTGTAAATCTGTGATTGTTGACATGATACAACGCCGCCTGTAATACAGCTCCTCTGTAAAGAATCACATGAGTCAGTGATTTTGTTAAATATGGGAGCAATACAATTATCATGGTACCTTCGATTTCATCGGGTAAATACTGCCATAGCAGGAACTCGCGATCTGGACGGTGTGGCCCATTATGCCAGTACTTCGAGCCAAGTAGGATGAGTGTATGGGTCATGACTCTAGTGACATCGTAGTCTTTAAGAACCTTGGATATCAAGGCGATCTGTCGCAGGCGATCTTCATTTATCTTTAGGAGTGCAGTGCTAAAGGAACATAAAGAGGATCTCCCTTTTTTGCCGTATTGATAACCAACCGAACGAAGGGCTGATTCAAGGACGTCTGGAGCATTGAAGGAATCAGCGACCTGGATAAGTCTTGCAATGACTGACGGCGGCTCAAGTTTCAAGGCATTGTTGAACAGGTTTCTGACAGAGTCATCCATCGATTCTAGACAGAGAATCTTCAAAAAAAGGCCAAGGACGTCTGCACCATAAAGACTAGTGGTAGAGTTTGCAGTGATTCCAACCACGGGCAGAGTCACTTGAGCTGGGCTATCCTTGAGGATGAGCGCTGGTTTCGACTCAGTGCTAGTTTCGATGTATTTTAATTGCTGTGCAAGGTTCACCCCCTCGGAGAACTTGTTCAGATCCAGCAAAGCTCTGAAGTAACTGCAGTTCCGAACGAGCATATCACGCGAGACTTGCCAGAACACACTGCCCTTCGTCGCAATTGTATCGGCATATTCAATGATCAAGTCACCATTGGGTGAAATGATTATTGGGCAGATTGCACTGCTCTCTGCATCCTCTGAGCCTGCGGGGATCACCCCCAATGCGTTCAACCCATGGTCTATCGCCAGCGAAGACTTCCAGGGGCCAGTAGCCTTTGGCGGAATCTGTGAGAATGAGCCTGGGGATTTTGATGTCATTGCTATTCGGATCTTGACCAAGATCTTCAGTCAAGGATAACGTAGAATAACGATGAGTGCAATAGAGAATCAGAAAAACTGAACATCAGCCATGGGACATGCTATAGGAAATAATAAAAGAAAAGAACCAGTGGACGCGCTGAAGTAATAACACATGCTTCTGAATAGCCATTTAGCACAGTGGCGCACGGACCATGACATGGTGTTCCACGTGATGTCCATTGACCCGGTATAATGTTCTTCCGATCCGATATTGCTAGAAGGTTGATAGACACCTTGACTCTCAGGTGTCAAATCTTTCAACTTCTTATACGCTTCACCCCGTGACAAGAGCCTATACACGGACAGCCAATTATCTTCAGACTTAGCTGAGCCAAATGTTCTTTTTGGCCGGGTCAAGGACCTGGCTGATCCCATTGAGGGTCTGGGAGCGCTTCTAGTGCTGCAACTGTAAGAACGAGCTATCGAAACTAATTGTTTTGGGACATTGATCAACCTCCGAAACATACAGATAATTTATATCATACTGCCTCGTTGTCTTGAGTGCTAGCATGTCCTAATGCCAATAATGAAGACTTGGGTTTGTTGGTTTTTCACATGTATGCGGCCGCACGCCCCACTACGGCAAGGGAAGGTAAGTGGCTGCGGTCACGGCGGCCGCTTTACTATCCCCGAAATCGAATGGTTGACTCCACCCCTTGATAACTAGATGCCGCCTTTTGATTACCAAAGATTTCGCTGTACAACAAATCTATATAAGCTTGGGGGTCCCTGCTGCAATTCATCTTCCTATACCATCGATTTCATCCCATATTATTTCGCAAGTCTCGAATCTTCAGCATGCACATTATACTTACAGGGGCAACGGGTCTCGTCGGATCCGCTGTTCTCCATGCTATGATCAAGAACCCGGGAATCAGCAAGATCTCAATCCTTAGTCGTCGGCCTGTGCCTATGGTTCAAGGAAATAGCGATGATCGAATCAACGTGGTCATTGCCGAAGACTTTTCAAAATTTGATAGCAAAGTGCTAGGCCAATTGAATGGAGCAACTGGATGCGTGTGGGCTATGGGAGTTAGCCAAAATGATGTGAACAAAGAGTAAGTTTTACGCAGAATGCGAGTTAGTCATAGCCTAATGTTTGAACAGAGACTACGTTCGCATCACAAAGACCATGACCCTTTCCGCAGCTCGAGATTTTGAAAGTCTGGCTCCTGCATCTGAGAACTTCAACTTTGTCTATGTCTCAGGAGAAGGCGCAACTCACAATCCGGGATTTGCCACACCAATATTTGGCCGAGTGAAAGGCGAAACCGAACTTGCCCTTGCCAAGATGCAAGAGGAATCACCTCGTTTCCATGCTATCTCTATGCGTCCTGCATTCATTGACTTCGCCGCACATGATGAGATCAAACCCTGGATTCCGGCGCAAACTGGTCTAAGACAAGTCGTGTACGCCGGACTAGGGCCATTCATACGGTGTGTTTGGTCAGGAATGCAGAGTCCGACAAGACCATTGGGAACTTTTTTGACGGGACTAGCTACTGGCGAGTTTGATGGGAAATTGTCCGGGTCGGGTGTCGAGCTTATTGGGAATTCACCCATTATAAGTAATGTCGGTTTTAGACGACTTATGGGCTTGGGTAGTGCGCAAAAATAGGATAGAACTTAATGAATCTGCTTTCGATGTTTCAGAAACCGCTCTCTGTATGTAGTATATTCACGGAAAGCTGGACTCTAAGCAAGTCGGTTATCCGGGCTTGTTTTATTGCCTTGTTATCGCAAGGGCACCTGGAAGTGAAAAAATTGGCATAGCGGATGCACAAAGGGGCAAGTTCCAGAGTCAGTTCCGGAGTTAGGGGATTAACTGTCAGCGCCGTATAAAACCTTAAATGCGCTGACGCAGAAAAGTGGAGAAGCGGCCGCTCCGGCCGCTCCATGTTGGACCGCCCATCATTCGCCAATCCTATCCATTTCATCTTCTATCTCGATTCGAAAATCATGGATGAGAATTGGCACGCAGAAATGGCCGCTCGAGCGTGCGCTTGGTGCAAGAAGAATAAGCGTCGCTGCGATAAAATTCTCCCCAGCTGCTCGCTATGTAAAAGGTACGCACCGACCAGCCGCTGGCTGTGAAAATATATATCAAAAGACAGATCCCGAGATGGCTAAATTTAGACTGTACTAATCAATAGGATGGGACGAGAATGTGACTATTCTGATCACTCGCCCAAAGATTCCCAGGCCAGAATTCAAGAGTTGGAAGAACTCGTTGCTCGGCTCATGGCGCAGAGCCGGACACCGTCATCCACTACAAGCTACGAGTCAGCGCTGACCACCCGCACGAGTGATGATGCCCCTTCTCCCAAGTTCTTCCTCCGATCAATATTTTTGGATGCAGATATATCAGAGTTCCTCAGTGCACCAGTCCTCGCTTCTGACGCTCCCATTCCTAGGGAAGTATCTGATGTTCTCGGGTCCCGATCTGACATTGATATGATGATAACCCAGTATTATGGCAATTTTGATGCCTGGATGCCCATTATAAATCAATCGAGGCTGGAAAGGCTTCTTGATATGGCTTCAACGGAAATGAGATCCGATCTGGCGCTACTGTTACTTTCTATGCGGCTCGTCCAGCAAGTGCCGAGCTACGATGATGCAGAGCGATTGCCAATATACATAGCCACTAAGCGATTTTGCTTCGCGTTGGAGATGGCCGGCACATATTCGTTGCTGAAAGTGCAAGCCGGCTTGCTGATTGCAGTCTATGAACTGGGTCATGCTATCCTTCCTGCTGCCTATACGTCGGTTGGCGCCTGTGCCAGACAAGGAATCTCCCTGGGCCTTCATAATAAGAATGCTCCTCAGATTCTAAAGAAGCCGCGCAATTGGCTGGATTGGGAAGAGCGGCAGCGGGTATGGTGGTTTATCATCATACTTGACAGGTCTGCAAGCAATTTCGAATTCTGGAACCTCCTACTGACTGAGTTCTTAAGATATGTTACAGCCGGAGGAGACAATCGACCATTGTGTACGGAAGATCAACCAAACGATGCCTTCATTCCGGCGGATGAGATGGCTTGGGCCGGAGGTGTATGTTCATTCATTCTTCCTACTCTTTCTTCACGGTTCATATATATCCGGATAATTTATCTAATGCATCGATAGGAAATGGTTCCTCCTGAGAGACTATTTCTTTCTACCCCGACCAGTGTACCGGTCAGTCCTTTCGCACGCATGGCACAAGCGTCTAATTTACTCGGGCGCACGATTAGACACTGCAATGACGAGAAACTTGAAGCAAAGTTTGTCCTAGAAGACGTAGAGCTACTAAGCCAAACCACGACGTCACTTCTCCTTCTGTTGACCGATAACTCAGAAATGACAGGAGAATTCAATGTCGCAGCAGCACTCTGCTTGAGGTGAGAACCCACATCAGCTCTTCTCTATTGACCATGACTGAAAATTTATCTACTAGTTCCCTCATGAAAATCAGTGACTTTCACAGCTGCGACTCATTCCCAGAGGGTAAGCAGCCTGAGGGAGACGCCATACCAATATACCGCGAATGCACTGCACGGGCACTTACCATGCTACGGAATACCGCTTGCCAAATTGTACACTTTGTCGAGATATTGGAACAGCGCTTCTCAAATTCGCTCGACACCATTTCACCACTAGTACTTCACTGTATTTATAGAGCGTGTGCGGCGTTAGCGTGGATGGCTTTGGAAAAGAATGATGGTCAATATTCTACAGGGAAAGATATATGTGTACGCATGCTTCGTCGAGCGAATGTTCGATGGAAAGCTGCAGGTATGTGCCATCTCCAAGAACCCATACATCTATCTGTGGGGTATTCACTGACTTACTGATGGCTATAGGTGCTTATTTGGAAATCCTTGAGGCTTTGGAGAGGGAACTAGAACAACATATTTTCTGAAACCTGCTCTCGTAGGTTTCCCTCTGAAAGCGTATGACTTTACTGAATGTAATAAAATGCAATGAGAATGGTTTTCTACAAACCTTAATACTAAGACTAGTTATTGGAGGACGCATAGGGAGAAGAGGGGGTGTGGAGTCAGAAATTTCATTTCATGGTCATTTTTGTGGCTTTCTGATATCTAATCCCCAATAGTGTTTTTGAACGCAGCCCAGGGCGCTACTGTCTCACCTATGGAGCGCAGCTATGTTTACCACTCGGAGCACGGTGTTTAAATTGCCAAGAAGCGAAAAATGACGTTGTTTTCTGTTTCCCACATTTAGGCACCGTCGATCACAATATTAGGGCGAGACCAATATTAGCATAATCTTGGATTCATGGCCCACATTAGCAGTCTCTTATGCGACTAGCGTGATGCGTGATGGAATTTGACTATACGGGAATAGCGCCGATCACTTGAGATATGCAATCTAGACCGTCGTGTGCAGGGATCCCTGCATGCAGCTCGTTTATACCTACCTCATTTAGATCCATTCCAAGGTTGACCGACTGCAACAATGTGAAGGTTGGAAATATATGCCGATTATATGCCTTAATCAAATCTGCTTGTGTCACTTAAAGTTCTTGAATATATTTTCAGACGCATCTGTTACGTTCTAATGAGTACAAGTAATCTATCACTTCGATGTTCCATTCATTGCCAAGCTATGGGGGAATAGGTACATTGATGAATGTTTGCCACAAGCACGCCTTCCTAGGTATCATGCGCACTCTCCAATAACGAATTGTTGAAGTGCTTCCAAGGGCTGACATTAGCATATGAAGGCTTTTGTACCAAACGCCCAATCTATATTTGAAGATAAGAATAAAAATACAATGCACATGTGATGAGGTTTCACGTGATTCATTATTGACAGGACGTTAAGGGCATTGAAGTTTCGGCAGAGTAGCCGGGCGCGCTCAAGGAAGAATGACAACGGGCACCTGGAAGATCTCAGGACTGGGTTGATCATTGTTTTCCTGGGATGCACTTTCTTTTTGTTTGCGACTGGCTTCTCGCATCTTCATGGCGCGCTCCATTATGAAGAACAACCTCGCGACGCTCTCAGACTGCGAGTCTGTGTCTAGACTCTCTTTATATTCGTCCTGATAGTCACAGATGAGCTCCGGGGGTAAAAGAGAGAATAATGCGAGAGTGATATCCTGGTCCATATAAGGGGAGTTATTGAGGAGATTGTCACCACCCTCCTCGTTTCGAATGCCATGACCATCTTCATAGGCAAGTTCTAGCAGATTATTGCCACGGTAATTGGGGAAGAATGGCTCGCTGGTGACAAATCCAGCCACGAAATCTGAGTTGGCGCATGCAGCGGCTATTGTGCTTTGGCGGAACTCGTGTGTGAAAGCGGTATCGACGGAACATGGGAGGAAGAGGGTCATGCCACGGGCGAGGAGAGGTGGAGGAGGGATGCCTTCATCTGTCTCAACGTGAGGCTGCATTGTGACAGATTCGGTAACGGAGATGGTTGATAGCTTGCGCAATGCGTAGCCCACATTGTTCTCCATGAACTCGGGCCAGCCGTTTTTCGAAGGTGGAGACAAGGGAGCTTCTTCGTCCTCGGGGATCGATTCGCTGTCTGCGGAGATCTCGGTTTGAATGGTTTTGCTTGTCGCTGCGACGGCCGCGCGAGCGGCCTTGCGAAGGGATGGAATAAGAAGGTCCTTCTCTTGTTGGTCATAAGGCACTCCAGGCGCCCATGAAATAGCCAAGCCCGACCACTGAGCAGTCCTCAATAATCCACTGGTGTATTTGTGATGGATCAAGTCGGCTAGAACCTTGCGGGTCTCCATATTGGCTAATCCTCGTCCCATGTAATTGACCGTCGAATTGAGAACCTGGCTTCCCTCCCACAGAATAAATCCATGTTTCTTGGCATAAAATGTGACCTGATCGATGGTGTGTTGACCCCAATCTTCGATGTTTTCAGCCTGAACTTGAAGAACCGCGATGTGGGGACCGAGCTCCGAGGCCAACTGGGCGAGCTGAGCCGTGGTTGAGATGGCATGGGAAGGGATGACGCAAACCGGTAGACCGAACGGCAGGCCCTTCTTTACCGTGGTCAACAGCTGAACATAATCCAGGATTGGATTTCCCGTGGAATCACTCATATTGGGATAAATCACGGGATGCGGGGGTGAAAGGAGAGAAAAAGGGAGAGAATAAGAGAAGGGAAGGGGGAGAAAGGAACGAGATTATGGGCAGGTCCAGGTTTAATTATAAGGCAAGCTTAGGAAAATCCACAGCGGGGCTAAACAGGGCTCCACAAGAACAAGTCAGGGCCATGTCAAATTGGAAATTGCGCCCCAAAGAGACAATGGCCCTTGTGGTCTTTTGGATTGGCTCTTTCTAGAAAAGAAAAGCGCAAGTTGGGGCCCTTGTTATTGCCACGGCATGGTTCACTGTTGTAGGTGGAGTCGCGGGTAAGCGACCGGACAGGCCGACGGGACTGTGTTTCTAAAGCGCTTGTTTGTGTCCCCCCTCTTCCCTGCGCCGATGCACGAATAAGCGTTAGGAACCGGGCTCGCCCACTGGAAGGATTCACGCTATGCCATAGGCGTCGATCCGGCGGTGGAAACAGTACTGTTGGCTCTCACGATTGGATGGCGGCTGATACATCCATGTAGATTCGGCTGCGCGGATCGTCCCGTAGCAAAAGAGAGCAACAATCCCGTGTGATGGGGTTTGCAGTAAGGTGCAGAAACGACGGAGTACTCCGTAACTGGACCTGGGAAATCTTGGGTCCTTCCAATCATGAAGACTTTCAGAAAATCATTCAATTCTTTTTCCTTTCTGACATGTGCGTCACTCGTACAGGCCATCAGTACCCGTATATCGGGGCCAGTTCGTCCTCGAATACGCTAGTACGCGTGTCCCCCACCTTCTTTACTATATGTATGCCCTTGTTGGCCCCAGGTTCGTGTCATCCTGGTCATGAGACTACGTGGAGTTCACATATTCGCCTCTTAGTCCACTCGACTTCCAAATCCTAAGCGCTAGCAATACACCCAGCACAACGTAAATACTGCACATAGGAGGGGTAGTGTGACCGTATACATCAGAATTCTGAGGGGCTTGTGGCTTCATGGCTGACATAGCCTGCATGAGTGCGTGAACCTATACCTCTTACGGACGGCCCCCTTAGTTTTCCATTGTATGCCAAGCTATTTTTTTTCATTTTTGCGCCCTGACTTTGATGATCTACACCCTTAATATCACCTTTCCATCCTCCGAATCGCTCTCATTAAGGTTCTGATATGCAAAGTGATCACCCTTTCCCGTTTATGCAAATGCAACGCTCAAAGGCTATGCGAGGTGATAGGTAAGGTCTTGGCCCTCTGATCTCCGTGTTTTACTTCTGACGGGTCTTACGCGGACGGAAAATTTGGTGATCTATATTCCGCAATAGTGCCCAGGTGCTCAATTGCTGAATGTCGAAAGAACTCTTGAGTCTATGGCACCGGCAAAGAGCCATACCCGCGTTGAAGCTATCGACTTCGATGAAACCCAGGGGAAACCGAGTAACTTGCACAGTTTCAAGGCCGATTCGGTCTTGGATTGGGAGTCAATATGGTATATAAGTATCTAGGTATGGGTATTGGAAAGAACTAAACAGTTCCAAGGTGAAAGAGAAGTGATCGCCACTGACAGGTTTATTCCCCATACATTTTGAGGCTGATACCAAGATATTGATGTAGTTCATGCTCAGAAGTAGATCAATGTTAGCCTAGTCAGGTAGTTCTATGCCCAGAACCTTCAAGGCAGATCTTTTCAGATCTCAATATGGAGATCTACCACCATGATCCATACCTAAACTTCTAGAAAACCTTGGACTAACATACTTTCTAATTTTGACTCTTGCTCTCCTGCTGAATAATGGTAATTGTGGCGTACACAGACAGTTTGATTACACCAAAGATCGATACGAAATTGGTTTATTAACCTAGGTGTGAATTCTGGAGATTCCAGCGTAGGCAATGCAGCCGGCTAAAGATCCTGGCTTGAGTCGCATTCAGGGCACTCTAGTAACATACCAAATGTCCGGAACTACTTCCTGTTCTCTTACATTGACAATATATGTTAAATGCATTGCCTGATCCTCAGAAATGCCAGGGACCACGGAATTTGCCGGAGATTGTCTGATCGATTAATAGCCTGGGGTTGGGGCTTTTGTTTGGGCTAAATTCTGCCGAGGCGGTCCGATTGTCACGCCACGCCTCCCCTGAATAAAAGATCCCGCGGCCTCCGAAAAAAGATCACTCTTACAACGACCGCCACCGTCGTTCCTTAAACCCACTCAAACCACCTAAATCACCCTGTCAATTTGCTCGCATCCTACCTTCCTACTCTCAACTTCGAACTGCCTACCCTCAAAATGCCGGGACGGGTTCTACCGACATTCACGGCCGCCGAGGTCGAGGCGCATAACAACGCCAAATCTTGTTTCATCACCATCGGACGCAAGGTTTACGATGTCACGGATTTCGTGCAGGATCATCCCGGAGGCGGTGATCTGATCCTCGATTACGCAGGGAAGGATGTCTTGGAGATCATGAAGGACGAAATCTCCCACGAGCACAGTGAGGCGGCCTATGAAATTCTGGATGACTATCAAGTTGGCTTCCTTGTTCCGAGCGGCTCGACTTCCAGCAAGGCCAAAGCGTCAGGGGTGGACGCTGGCGAGGTCGACCTTTCTTCGCCTGTTTACCAAACAACCGGAATGTCGCGCGAGGAGGATCTGTCGGTCGAAACGGACTATTCGCAAGATTTCAAAACACACAAGTTCTTGGATCTCAACAAGCCCCTCTTTCCCCAGTTGTGGTACAGTACTTTTTCGAAAGAATTTTATCTGGAGCAGATCCACCGGCCTCGCCACTACAAGGGCGGCGAATCGGCCCCGCTCTTTGGTAACTTCCTGGAGCCTCTCAGCAAGACTTCATGGTATGTGGTGCCTATAATCTGGCTGCCGCCTGTCGCCTATGGCACTATGGTTGGAACGGCCGGTCTTGGTGACCCTCTTGCTGCTGCAGCATACTGGATTGGTGGTGTTTGCCTTTGGTCATTGATCGAATATCTCATGCATCGTTTCCTCTTCCATGTCGACAATTGGCTTCCGGATAACCGAGTCGGTCTGACCGCGCATTTCTTGCTTCACGGAATTCACCACTACCTTCCTATGGACAAGTACCGGCTAGTCATGCCTCCAACCCTGTTCGTGGCCTTGGCTGCTCCCTTCTGGAAATTGGCCCATACTGTTTTCTTCTACAACTGGTTTGCGGCCTTACAAGTGTTCTGCGGCGGCGTTTTCGGATACATCTGCTATGACTTGACCCACTATTTCCTTCACCACCGCAAGTAAGTTTTTCAAACCCCACACACCCTTGCCAATGACATTGTGCTGACCTTATTTAGTCTCCCTGCGCACTACAAGGAACTCAAGAGGTATCACCTCCAGCACCACTACGCAGATTTCGAGAATGGCTTTGGCGTTACCAGCCGTTTCTGGGATCGAGTATTTGGCACTGAGTTGGAGACCCCGCCTCCAAAGGGATCCAAGGCTCAGTAGAAAGCCGGTCTTACACCCCAAGCCTTGCAACAAGTGGCCAGGCTTTCGCCTTCACGAATTCACGTCGAGTCAATTGCTCTGCGCGACCACACGGTCGGGAGCGTGTATATGTTTTGTCATGAACCCTGTTCTTGTACAGGTGACTTCCCTGGGCACAGAAAACACCCCAGAGGATGTCTATTGAGTTATTCTTTTGGTATCACTTATTAGTGCACCTTGTCAATTAATCATAATGAAAATTCCACTACATACCCTCACACTTTCCGTCTCGAAAATGCTCGAAAACCCTTTCTTTTCCCTCGCCAACAACCTTTGTAGGTCATCACATGTAATAATCAGTCCAAACCTCATCGCATCCGGAGGGTGGCGAACGTTCTGCCTGAGGCAAGTATAAAACTTTAATCTCCCACGTGACCCTGCCAAGTCCGCCTCCCCGTTCCTTAACATCCCATCAAGTGACTGTCTACCTTCCGTGCATTCAGTTCTCGGAGATCAATCTCAAACAAAAGCTTCATAACCAGAGATAAGGCTAGAAGCTAATATTTTTTTTTCTCAAATTACACACTCTACGACCCAGTCCCAGAGTGACTGAACGCTCTAAACCCCGGTCCACTACACCGCAATCAACGACAGGCAATTCCTACGATGTCGGGACTCGACGTGGAGGCTCTTCTCGAGTCAACCGCTGCCCCCGCTGAGGCACCAATTAAGCAGGATGATAATGACGACCGCTCCCATGCTGACACTTCTGACCGCCGTGATCGCGATCGTTCTCGTGATAGACGCCGACGCCGAGAGCGCAGCCGCGACCGTCGCCGCGACCGAGATGTGGACGGCGATGAGGAGATGAAAAGCCCACACAGCGAACATGGCAGTGCTAACGGAAGCCATAGAAGCCGGAAGAGAAGCCGGAGCCGTGAGAGTGAGCGACGTCGCCCTCGTCGTGATCGTTACGATGAGCGTCGCTCCAGTGGCGACTTCTACCGTGGAGGACGCGCTCGTTCACGTTCACCCCACGATGACCGGCACTACCGTCCTTCTCGACGAGAGCGTGAGGATGAACGTCGTCCCCGCCGTGATCGCGAGGGTGGTCGCCGCAACACTCCTCGCCGGAGTCCCAGCAAGTCTCCCGAACCCAATGAGGACGAGCGGGACAAACGGACTATCTTTGTGCAGCAGCTTGCCGCGCGCTTACGGACGAAGGAGCTGATGGCCTTCTTTGAAAAAGTCGGCCCTGTTAAGGAGGCTCAAATTGTCAAGGACCGCGTCAGCGGACGATCCAAAGGGTATGTGCTTCCGTTTCCCCCCTCTTCTGATCAGAACATCGGCTTACATGTGTTTAGTGTCGGCTATGTCGAATTTAAGAGCGAAGATTCCGTCCCCGGCGCCATTCAACTCACTGGCCAGAAACTCCTAGGCATTCCTATTATCGCGCAGTTGACCGAGGCCGAGAAGAATCGCCAAGCCCGTAACCCGGAGGCCAGTTCAGGCCCTCAACACTCCGCGCCATTTCACAGACTTTATGTGGGTAATGTTCATTTCAGCATTACTGAGAATGACCTCCAGAATGTCTTCGAACCGTTTGGCGAACTTGAATTCGTGCAATTGCAGAAGGATGAGACTAGTCGAAGCAAAGGTTATGCATTTGTCCAGTAAGATTCCCGACTCTCTTCCTTTCCCGTCGTTCAAGGCTTACAATGATACAGGTTCCGTGACCCCAACCAAGCCCGTGACGCTTTAGAGAAAATGAACGGATTTGATCTTGCTGGTCGAGCCATTCGTGTTGGCCTTGGCAATGATAAGTTCACCCCGGATTCGAATACAACTCGCCCACAGGGCCCTTCTGCCAGTCAAACAAATTTCCAGGGCTCTTCCTTCTCCGGCCACGGAGGCCGCGGTGTCCAGGCCGGCGGCTCGAACAACTTCGATCGTGCGGGCGGCCGCGAATCCGAGAAAGGCACCGGTGCCAGTGCCCTTGACGACACAGACGTTGCGGGAGTAAACTTCAACAACTACAGTAGGGACGCGTTGATGAGGAAACTTGCACGAACAGATGAACCCGAGCCTTCCGCCGACGAACAGCAGAAGGTGCTTCGACCCAAAACCGAGACTAGGCCGCTGCCGGTCAATGTGAACATGGCGAGTCGGTGTGTTATGCTTCGCAACATGTTTGACGCCGCCGAGTAAGTTATCCTTTTTCCCTATGATCGTGTCTCTATATGAATTACTAACAATATCGACAGAGAAGAAGGAGAGGCCTGGATCAAAGAATTGGAGGATGACGTCCGCTCTGAGTGCGAAGAAAAATATGGTCACGTTGTTCACATCTCGCTAGATCCGAGCTCTCAAGGCGACATCTATCTGAAGTTCGACCGCGTTCAAGGCGGCGAAAACGCTATCAAAGGCTTGAATGGCCGTTTCTTTGGTGGCAGAACGATCACTGCCCAACCGGTCGTGGACGCCGTCTACAGCAGTTTGTTTTCGCGCACCAAGGCGATCTAATAGCCCTTCCACTCACCCCCAAGGGTTCTACTCTGTATTCTCTAACATGGCACGTTTTTTCAGGCAGATCCCCTTTGGCGTCTTCATCTTAGGCTCTCCGAATGATTCTGCTCCTGGTAGGTGCCAATCTTCACACTGTGTACTCTTGTCTTTTGGCCCGTCGCGATGGGCCATGCTACTTGAAATGATTTGTCTTTAGGAAGCGCATTTACCTGAAAATCGTGAGGTCCTGCTGGACGCTGCAATATGCATTGCTCATCTTTCACTGTTTGTTCTAATTGTTTTCTCTGTCTTTTTTTACTGGTGATCGTATCCCAGGCGTTGCATTTATTTTTATTGTGTATGCCACGTAAGTCAAAATCAACTTAGATTTCTCGGCATGCCGAGCACATTGAAACACAGCACGTTACAAAATGTTAGAGCCCGAATTTTAGGACCGAAATAACAGCCTTACCTTTGGTGGGTCCCCACCAATGGTGATTAAGGAGGTGGCCTTATCACATCTCCTAATGTGATCAAAACGATAAGCCCTGCAAATTTGCTAGAGAAGCTAGCTCAGACACTTGATCTGCCAAGTGTCGAAGAGGGGTTTATGGCCACATAAGAAATTGTCTACCATGCAACATAAAACGTAGCTCCAGGCTTGGCAAGTTAACCTTGCGCGCGTGTGCCGGAGCCCCGGAGATAGCAAAGCTTAGATAAGCACAACTTTTATTTGGATTATCGCCCCTTATCCTTGTCGTTATCCTTGTTGTGTCTTCCTCCTCGATTCCCTAAATTTCTTGAATCTTACTACCTACAAATCACAATGAGCGCCAGAACCCGACGGCAAAAAGCTGCCCTGGCTGTGAACGGGGAGGAGAGTGAGGAAGGCAATGGTGTTGCGCTTACGCCATCCAAGCGCGCACCTTCGAAGAAAAGGACTCGGTCTGCGGCGCGTGAAGGCCCGCGGGAGAACGTGTTTTTGTTCTGGCCTAACATTATCGGTATGTCTTAGCTGCGCAGATGGCCTTCTGGAAAAAGAGTCTTGTTTGCTGACGTGGCTGTTCTCTCCCAGGGTACACCCGAATCATCCTTGCCTTCGCATCGCTCTACTACATGCCCCTCCATCCCCGGACATGTTCCATCTTGTATAGCGTGTCTTGTCTACTTGATGCACTGGACGGATATGCGGCGCGGTACTTTGACCAGTCTACCACCTTTGGTGCGGTGTTGGACATGGTGACAGATCGCTGTACTACATCCTGCTTGCTGGTCTTCTTGGGCTCCGCCTGGCCCCGATGGGCTATTGTTTTCCAGGGGTTGATTTGCTTGGATCTGGCCAGTCACTACATGCACATGTACGCCACTCTGAGCATGGGTGGATCAAACCAGAGTCACAAGAAGATTGACTCCAGCCGAAGCTGGGTGCTGTACCAATACTACAACAGCAAGGTACGATGATCTGATGTTCCCTTGTCCGCAATTACCTGTTTCCTTCTGATGCTGACATCCACTCTACTTTAGGTCGTTCTCTTCTTCTGCTGCGGCTTGAACGAGCTCTTCTTCATCGGCCTTTACTTGTTGTCTTTCTCTTCGCCCACCCTCTCGCCCTCCCTTCTGCAGCCGGTCCCCGACTCTCAACCATTCTCCGCCCAGCCCGGAAACCCTGCGCACCCCCAACCCGGCAGCCTGTTCGCCAGCCCGTGGAGTGCCGGCGCTCTTGAACTGGCCCGTGCAAACAAGATTGATAGCTTCTGGCCTTGGGTCATTACCGGCGTCGCGGCCCCTGTCATGGCGTTCAAGCAGTTTGTCAACATCGTCCAGATGGTTAATGCCAGCAAGTGGATGGCCGAGGGTGACCTTGAGGCTCGTCGTAACCGCAAGAGAAACTAAGCTTTTCTGAGCGGTGTCCTTGGGGTACAGCTTGTTCATTTCCTATTGGCGTATAGCTAATGGAATAGCTCCCTCTCTGGCTTATCTATCTTTACGCCCACTCTCGGGTCATGCATATCTTGGGAGCTTTGGTCTGTGATTTACGGGGCCTTGGCAACGGCAGCACTGGCAGCTGTCGCCTTGGCTTCCACATGAGGTTTGGTTTGGTGGTTCAAATCCTTTTTGTAGGCGTCTTGGGCAGGATCAACGCGGTCCTCAGGAATGGTCTGGATTCTGGATTCTGGAACCTTGTACAGTACATCCAGGGTTGTGTTCTTTCTTTTATTATTTTTTTTGCTTGCCTACGCATCCCTGTCTTCAAACGTGTCTTTTCCCATTTTCACATTTTCTGCTTTTTTTTTACCTTGATATTCTTAATGCAACTTCTATACATCATTTAATGCATGTGCGTGATACCTGAGAGATAGAGTGATCTAGCCCGTGGATAGCCGGATAAAGACATCAAGCAACTTCCCGCAAACCGAGATGTGGATAGTGATGTAGCGTTGCAAAGTGTGGGCTGCAGGTCGCCGATCTCGGAGTTGGCGGGGTCGACTTCACCCGCATCCCACCTATTTTAAAGCTCCCCTTCGAACCAATTGAGTGCTCTCCTATTAACAATTTTTAACTCTATCTCAAAATGCCTGCCTTCAACGTTGTTGTTTTCGGTGGTGACCACTGTGGTCCCGATGTAAGTACCTCATTGTCCTGTCTCCGACATGGATACTCTATCGGACTAAGTATTGAGATCAAATGACTAACGGAGCTGAAAACAAAAGGTTACCGCTGAGGCTGTTAAGGTAAGAAAAAGCCTGCTCAATCTTCATGTTACATGCCAATTCGTTCTAAACCCCTGTCTAGATCCTCCGCGTGATTGAGAAGAACCGCGATGTCACCTTTAACCTGCAGGACCACCTGCTCGGCGGCGTGAGTATACCCGGAAAGGAAGAACGAGAACCTCCATAACTAACCGAGATAGGCTTCCATTGACGCTGCCGGTACTCCCCTGACCGACGAGGCTCTCAACGCCGCTAAGAACGCCGATGCCGTCCTCCTCGGTGCCATTGGTGGACCCGTACGTTCTCAACCATCCTCCAATCATCACTAAACGAAAACTGACAAGCTCTCCAAATCACAGAAATGGGGCACTGGCGCCGTCCGCCCTGAACAGGGTATCCTCCGTCTCCGCAAAGAGATGGGCACATTCGGTAACCTCCGTCCCTGCAACTTCGCCGCTCCCTCCCTCGTCGACAGCTCCCCCCTCAAGGCCGACGTCTGCCGCGGCGTCGACTTCAACATCATCCGCGAGTTGACCGGTGGTATCTACTTCGGTGATCGCAAGGAGGACGATGGCTCCGGATACGCCATGGACACTGAGCCCTACTCCCGCGCCGAGATCGAGCGCATCACCCGTCTCGCTGCCAACCTTGCCCTGCAGCACAACCCTCCTCTCCCCGTCACCAGTCTGGATAAGGCCAATGTGCTCGCTACCAGCCGTTTGTGGCGTAAGGTCGTCACTGAGGTTATGGCCAACGAGTTCCCCCAGGTGCCAATTAGCCACCAGCTTATTGACTCTGCCGCTATGATTATGATCAAGAACCCCCGTCAGTTGAACGGTATTGTTGTTACTAGCAACCTGTTCGGTGATATTATTAGTGATGAGGCGAGTGTTATTCCTGGTTCGCTGGGTTTGCTGCCTAGTGCTTCTTTGACTGCTGTGCCCGATGGAAAGACCAAGGTTAACGGTATCTACGAGCCTATCCACGGTAAGTATTCCTTCTCTTGTGACTTGGTTTATATGGTTTGAGTACTGATTGGTATTGCAGGTTCCGCTCCCGATATCGCTGGCAAGGGCATTGTTAACCCCGTTGCTGCTATCCTTTCCGTTGCCATGATGCTGCAGTACTCCTTCGGCATGTTCGATGATGCTAAGATCATCGAGAAGGCTGTTAGCAACGTCATTGAGGCTGGTGTGCGCACTGGTGATATTGGCGGCAAGGCTACCACCACTGAAGTTGGTGATGCCGTCGCCGCTGAGCTTGCTAAGCTGCTTCAGTAAATATAAGCGAAGTTGGCTTTGCTTTGAAAATATTCGGTATATGATATAATAAGTCTAGAAAAAATTGAATACCCTTTGGAGCTTCTAGATCAAAATTCTCCCTCCTTGTACTTGTGCTCGAATGCTTCTATTAGTTTGGTAATGAAACCTTGTTTTTATGGCCCGAGTTCCGCTATAGAAGCAAAGGCCACAGTACTGAAGAAAGTAATATGATGTTACGCTAAACGAAAAGCCAGATCATGCGGCTTTCACTATCACTCATCAAAAGCAAACTTTCGCCTGGAATTGATTCATATGCTTCACGTCCTGGAATAGTTATTCACATTCACCGTAAAAAAAAACCTGGACTTGGGTATCTCGAAGCCAGAAAAACTCCTCATGTCAAAACCTAACGCCTCCGGATGCCTTAACTTCACTGATTATCGAATAATAGGCTCACCCATCCAATCCGGCTCGTCCAACCCAGACGCAGCCCCAAGTCGAGAAGTATCAAGATCCTCACTAGCCATACTCGCAATACGCGCATGGTGCGCCTCACCAGTGAAACCACCACGCAAAGATTGCCTTGCACTGAAGCGGCGATGATTACGATGACCAGCATCAGCAGATGCAGACGGAGCAGCAGCCACACGCCTCCGACTTTCGTCGCAAGCGAAGACCTGGAATCCACGAACATGCGTATCTTTTCCGTTTTGATGGTTCTCCATAACGCGTACCTGAAGCACCATAGCCTTCAGCACGTTCCCACAGTACGGATCTAGTTCATCGCCGATAGGATCCACGCCGTCAAGAGCTTCCGTGTCGGATTGTTCACTGTCATCGTTTTTCTGCGACTTGCGACGGGCGTTCTTGGCTGCACGATCTTTTTGGAATAGGTTCTCGCGAACCCAGCCTCCGTTTCGTCCGCCTACGCCTTCCAGATGCACATCAACCCAGCCGCAGGGTCCATCGCCTTCCCAGGTTGCGAATTCGACGAGATCGTTTCCGCCCATGCCAGCTAGGAATATCATCTTTGTAGGCGTGTAGCTCTCATCGAGCTCGAAGTCGAGGTAAACACGAATGCGAACAATAGCGACGAGTTTGAAGAAGTGCAGTGTCAATGTGTGCGGCTGGGGACCGTCTGATTGCCAGTACTGCTGGGGAGAGGGGTTTCGGAGGGCCGCGACGCCGCAGCCAGGTTTGGACGTGGAGACAGTCCAGGAAGCGAGGGATGAGATCTCCCGGAGGTTTGGTGGAACGGGCGACGGGGATCGTTCTATTACGTTCAGTCCATTTGAAGGTCTTGTAGAGTCAAGCGACTCGTATCGTGGGGAGAATTGGGGTCATCCGTACCGTGATCCTGCATTTCTTCATCACCTTCAAGTTGAGATTCCATGACCTCCTCGTCAATCTCCTCGCCATCCATATCCCCGGTATCATCGATATCGTCCTCAAGATCTAAATCCTCGCCCACCATTCCATCGTCGTATTCGCTCAATTCCACACCCTCCGCATTGTCGTCGTAGTCCTCGTCGGCGTCCTCAAACTCGTCCTCAACGTCGATCGACTCAGGAGGAGGCGGAGGTTGCTGAGCTCTTCCCCGCCCAAAAATATTGAAAGGATTTGGGTATCCCGATGGAGGCGCCATCACAGGCAACGGGTCTGGAGTTATCTCATGGGGACCAGAGGACGGATAGAGTCGGTGGGTTGGGTTTGTTGGGGTATGTCGCGCAGGAGGGGTTTGGAATTGCGTGCGGAGACTAGGGGCCGGCCCTTGCGGCAAATCATAGTTAGGCTGTCGCCTTAAGTGTGGCATGGTGAGAGGTCACATACGTCGGGAAACTTTGCGGCGAAAGCATGTTTACCTTGCACTCCCCGTTATGGCTTAGCGTCTACTCCACCCGATACACCAGATGGCTTTTCGTTTGGATGCGACTATAAAGATTGATTGAGAAGATAATGCAATATTCTTTTGGAGATTGACCTCAACAAAACTAGAAATAAACGTTGCCGAAAGTGTTCAGATATCGCTTATAAGCGCTTTATAGGTTCATCACGTCATAAACTGCAGGCGGGTTAGCTAGGAATTTCACTATCCACTACACAGAAAAGGTACCTACAGATGCTGCAGCTTGGAAAAAAGCCTTCATAAATGCATCCACTTCATTCTCACCTATTCCGATACCCCAAGCAGTACAGGATGTGACATCTGAACATTTCACATACGTGACAACTGCTTTATCCGATGTATACTTGTCTCTGCCGAGCTTGGTGACAGCGTCGCATTCTATGACAGCAGTTTCATGCTCAAGTACCTGGATGACTAGACCAATAGAGTGTAAAATCTCAATTAAACAGTCTGTCAGTCCGTCGCCAACCCCCTGGGTCCAAAAGATCTGTCCACAGACCTCAAGCTGGCCGGTCAACGCAGTGATGACCTCATGTCCACCTTTAGGTGAGGGATTCTCATGAACCATAATCTCATATTCAGAAAGAGATATTTTTCGCCTCCTCGGTGTGGAGACAGTGGCAGTCTCCAGGCCACAATCTTCCTTATCTGGGTCTATATAAGCTGCACGAAACATGCTTGCGGCCCTTTTAGGAGAGATAAGTCGCTCCACATGGTTGGAGCCACCGTATGTTCTATCGATGAAATCCGCTATGAGGCCCCGCGGTGGATCGAGACTAAGCTCTTGTTGGACGATTTGTTGCATGTATTGATAAATATTAGCTGAACAGATCTCGAGGACCGACATTGTGAGTTTTTGAAGAAGGGCAACGTAATAGTACACCTCCATGGGTAGATAAGGAGGTTAGTATCCTTTCAACATTTGATCGTATGCGATCTCGATCCATTTATGTAACACGTCGCATCTTTTCGTGAGAAGTTGCAAAGACAGATAATTTGCCATCAACGAACCTGTGTCGTTGATCAGCCTTGCATATACTATTTACACAAGGGTTGTCCTACCCTCCCAAAGTCAGAGTATGCGGCCTGTGATGAATGCGAACAATATTATCATTGAGGCAAGAAAGTAACCGATTTTGGATGGTTATCTACCAATCAATCAGGCATGAAAAAAAACAAGATTGACCTGAAATGCTCGATTTTGGACTTATTAATGCAGATCTATGTGCACCACGCCGAAACGGGTAACACACTCGCTTGCGCTATCATGCTGAGACGATGGATTCCGTACCGTCATGCTAGTTGAATGCATGGCAGTCTGTGTGTGTAGCGCCGATCAAAGTGGTAAATATGCAGAATTCGAATTCCACGACACAAAGTCGGGTTGATATGCTGGACAAGGTATATAAAAACAGAGACCAACTATTGTTTCCTGCTCATGATTTTCAACAGCGACTTCCGCTCAGAAGCATCAACACCCGTTCGTGATATTGCGTTTCCTTAGATATCTTCTATACCACTCCACTCTTCAATATGCACCTTGCAGAGGTATCGTCTATTTTTAGACCAGTTGTCTTCGAGAGGGATGAGCACCAACTGATATCTCTTCCGTAGTATCTCTTCCGTCGCATACATGAGGTCAACATCGGATCTGTATTCGGGGTACCTGGCGACTTTAATCTCACTGCTCTTGACTACGTCGAAAAGTGCGGCCTGCAGTGGGTTGGCAACGTCAACGAACTCAATGCTGGTAAGTTAACAAAGACAACTTCATTTGACTCCTACATAGACCTGACGTAACCCAAGGATACGCCGCCGATGGATATGCGCGTATCAAAGGAATATCGGCCATCGTCACCACATTGGGAGTTGGCGAGCTCTCTGCTTTGAATGCGATTGCAGGGGCCTCTGCCGAGCTCGTTCCGATCATCCATATTGTGGGATTTCCGTCAACCGCTATCCAGGAAAAGAAGCTGCCTGTCCATCATACCCTGGCAGATGGAGATTTCGAAATGTTCATGAAAATGAGCGAACGGATCTCCGCTGCTGCTATTCTCTTAAAGGACCCTCTGGAAGCGACCAGAATGATCGATGAAACAATCACCGAATGCTACCGCTCCAGCAAGCCTGTATACATTGGATTCCCAATGGATCTGGTGGAGGCCGAAATTGACCCATCTCCGCTAGAAAAATCGTTGCTGCTGCGTCCTCTGCCAACCAAACCAACGGCGGCGGAAGAGACTGCCATGAACACAATTCGTGGGAAGTTGTTTAAGGCTGAGAGTCCAGTCATCATTGTCGACAGCCTTGCTGGCAGATATGAGGGTCTACATGTGACCAGGAACTTTGTTGAGAAGTCCAATATAGCGTGCTTTGCTTTCCCAATGGCAAAAGGAATAATCAACGAAAGTCTGCCGAATTTCCGAGGAATCTACGCTGGCGGCGTCTCCAATCCGGGTGTGCAAAAAGCAATTCAGTCAAGTGATCTGATCCTTCTGATTGGATCTCGCCCATCAGACCTGAACACCGGGGCCTTCAAGAGTAATGTACCTGATGTTGACACTATTGTCTTTCATCGAGACACCGTGAAACTGGGAGAAGAGACTTACTCCAAGATTCTGATGGAAAATGTCCTCGGAAAGCTCTTAGATGCAATGTCCGCCTCCGCGCCGAACACCGCATCTAACTCTTCATTCAGCAGTTCACCGCCATCTTCAGCAAGCTCAGCAAGTGCAAACGCCCCCGAAGTCTCCCTGGATGAGTCTGGTCAATTGTTCAAAAGCAAAAACGCCGACACAAGCAATGGCAGCATTCCATTATCCCAAGAATGGCTATGGCCACGCATCAGCTCCTGGCTCGAAGAAGACGACATCGTCGCAATGGACGCCGGAACATCCGCCTTTGGTGGGATATGGTCCCAACACCCGCGAGGAGCCCAATCACTCTTCCAACTACTATGGTGCTCAATCGGATTTGCGCTTGGAGCAACAGTCGGAGCAGCCATTGCAGCGCGCGAACAGCTCAAGGAGTCTGAGACGAAGCAGAAGCGCCGAACAATTCTCTTCACCGGCGATGGGAGCCTGCAGATGACCGCTCAGGAAATTAGCACTTTAGTTCGCCAAGAACTCGGTGTGATTATCTTTGTCATTTGTAACGATGGTTACACTATTGAGCGCTTTATTCATGGCTGGGAGAAGAGTTACAATGATATCCAGCCTTGGGACTACAAACTTCTTCCTCAAGTGTTCAGTCCGAAGCCTGACTTTGTCAGGACGTATAGTGTTCGGACCAGAGGTGAGCTGGAGGCGATTCTTATGGATGACCAGTTTGGACCAGCCGGCAACTTTAATAAAGAGCAACCTGAGCCCTTGCGTCTTGTGGAGGTTCATATGGATAAACATGATGCCCCGCAAACGATTCCCGATATGATTTCTGCGCTTCATGGAAAGATTGCCACTTAGAGGGGTTTAGCCCATCCATCCGAGTAGTTCAGCTTTTGAGAGGCGAATAGCGTTTTATTGGTTGAATAAACATATGTTCGGATGAATACTCATCGATAGTAACCAATTAGAGATCACATACTGCGTTGTTTTCTGTGTAACCCTCCTTCATGTTCAAACTGCTTTAGTCTACCAATGAAACCTTGCAATTTCTTTTTCATTCCCAAAGAAGTACAACCTGCATAGCTATGGCATGTCATTCAAAAGCTGGACCCTATTCAGGGACATTTCGATGTCGAGACTCGTACATGATCGGTGAACCTCCAGTTTCATATTTGGATAAGCGTGAAATACTGTACACAGTATAATTAATACTGAAGACCCGGTTCAACCCTCCTTTCTACATGTTTCTTCAAAGCGCCAATCCAGCGCTGATGAGCCTAAACCTCGTCACTCAAAAAGTAAGTCGCCGCAACAGGCTCCCCAACCGCCTCCAAAATCGGAGTCAAACTAAAGTTGAACCGCGCATTGGTGCTTTGGGAGTAATAAGTACCATCCAGCGCAGCCTTAGACGGAACATATCCAGCAGGCTGATCAAACAAATACAAGGCGTAAGTGTGGTTGGTACTATCCCTCGGACGGGGCGCAGTGTACGGCGCAAGACTATCGCTCGAGTTGACGAATTTGCCATCCTCAATAGTATAGTTGCCACCCCACCAATGAACACGTGTCGTAGTGTTTGCAGCCAAACCGGGAACTAATGTGTCATAGTATGCAGCAGTGGTGACGTCGGAGTCTGGGATATTGAGATCCAGCATGATGAGCATGTACTTGGTATCCTGGCGCATTTTCATGCTGGAAGGCCAGATGGCGGGTTGATCGCTGACGTCTGTTTTTGGTTCTATTAATATAGGTATATTATTGTGTAACAGGGAATGTCGTTACCATCAGGGCTAATCCAGGTTCCAGGGGTGATTGTCGCGTTCTGATAGGCTGCGCCGAGGTTATGCTTAGTGTGGGCGTAGCTCCCTGCTGGTGTTTGTGCCAACGCGGTCGCGGCGAAGAGGAGAGAGATTATAGGGCGAAGCATTTTTGTCGATGAAGTTAATCAATTATCGCAAGTAAAACCCAAAACCAGGAAGCCCCTAAAAATTTAAGCAATTCAAGTGCTCGGCAATATTAAGGCATGACGAATCCTTCGGGAGCTAAGATGTGGCTCCCGAGATCCACTGTGTCGTACCATGTCAAGCAAGGTAATCTTGTCCGATCGTCACCGAAATTAGGACTGTGGCAGCAAGGGTTTCAGACTAGAAGTGTTGAAACGTACGTGAAGCTTGGGTGAAATTTTCAAAAAGCTCCTCTTCCTTTCTCCACAAAAACCTTTTTTTTCCTTTGAACGTAATATATCCATAATGGCGAAAGTCTTGACGAAATGAATTATAATATAAACTGCCAGGAACTATTGATTGCCACATGGTCTACCCCCTCAGCAAGGTTACAGTGCTGCGCTACGTGTTGTTGAAAACCTGCCACATCAAGCTATCGAAATCTGGAACACCCGCAAAATCCATGAACCCACCAGATGTGGAATCGTCCAACCAGCTCGTTGAATCGAAATTGTAATCATAACCATCCAGTGAGCTCATAGCTGGAGCAAGATCGACAGCCGAATCCACAGTGTCCACGGCCTCTAACGTGTCGTTCATATTTTGATCACGAGTATTCCGAGCACTCGTAGGTACGGCAGCAGTGTCTTGTTCTCTTGCGCTGGCCGATGTCTCCAATCCACGGTTCCTGATCAAGCGCTGAATGACAGCATTTGATAGCTCCTGAATACAATCTCTTGCCCGCTTGGCTTCTGTCCAGTATTCCCCGATACTGCTGAGTATGTTCAAGCTGATGCATGTATCCGCGACCACATCGTCAATCTGCACCCGGGAAGATATTTGTGGGACCCTACAAAGACAATGCAGCATTATAATAGTACTCAGAAAGATGGAGTGAACAATAAGCCGACTGTATAAGAGCGCTTCTTGCCTGTAGAGCTCACCGAACCCGCGAATGAGATCCACGGCGTGTTGGAAACAAAGAGAAAGCAGGTCTTCTGAGGGCTCTGGAATGCCCGGATTGGGCCGCAAGAGAAGGATCATCATTTCGTGATACTTTGTCTCGCAGATTTTGGCAATTGATTCCATGCCAGGGACCTGAGGGATGTCGGATAGCCATGCTTGAAGCCGACCAATCATTTCTCCTTGCCATTCATGAATGTTGGTAACAGGAGGGTAGGCGTATGTAGGAGCATCCCTGCAGATACTATGCATGACGTATTTTATCTCGGAGTTGATCCGTGATAATCGGAATAAATGAATGGAGAACGTCATATGAGATGGTGTCTTCAGCGCGCTTTCCGGGGACGCGAGCTGGCCGAGATCTTGGTCAGAAACATCTGATGGGAGCTGTACTGACATTAGAAAATGATCCATGTTTAGAGAACGAAAGTATCACTCACTCGTAGCTCGCATGCTTCATCACGAACCCCAATCGGTCGACCCATCATGGTACCCAGCGTGCGATCGAAATTGTAAACTACCCAGAAAATGCGAGTCCTCATCTCTTGCTGTAAGAATGAGATTTGAAATGCCGAAGATGTACGTACATCGCGTTGAAGGCCTAAATCAATGAGCGCACCCAGGCATTGATAGTTGAGACTCCAGATGTTCACTCCGCACGAAGGATTATGCAGCGCATAGACCATGAGGAGGAGCAAACTTTGAATACCATCGAGAGAGCCTTCCACACAGGCTTCTTCAAAGTACTGTGTAGCTGCAGTATAGTAGCCCTCGGCAGGAAGTCGAATACGAAAACGTCGGGAAAGATCCGAGGCCGCGATAGCCAGTACCATGTTGACGTGAAAGGCGGCTATCGGGTCAAAGGTTCCCGTGGAATACATATTTTCTACCCGTTGCATATGGGAAGGTTCATGCAGGAATGGGTACATGATGTGTATGAATGAGAAGTACTTGGCGGACAATTCGATCGTATCTTCTTTGCGAGTCGGTAGTGGTGTGGGGCTGTCAAAGAGCTCACTTGATAGCGACAATGGCTCTTTCCTGGTATTGTAACCTCTTGGCGGCTTCTTTCGTCGACCAGTGCTAGAAAATACGAGATTCGCCAGAAAGTAACCACTAGAAGGACCGATGTATCTCGGCTCACCACCAGCGGATAGCGATACCAACCCGATTTCATGCGCCTGTCTTGGCTGCTCAGGTGGGTCAGAATCGACAGGTATCCTGGCTAAATGATCTTGTTGCGTTGGTGATAATGTGAGAGATGGCTCGATGTATTCTCTATGGGGGTGTTGTGTTTGGTAAAGTTCATCTAGGATCAGAGGAGGTCCATCTTCTAAGGATACATTGGTCTGTTCCTTAACCAATGATTCAAGCCATTCGACTCGCCTTTGCAAGTTTGCAATGTAACTAGAGAACTTGTCAGCATAATTTTATTAGTATATTAGAACAGACTTACGTGCGGTTTACTTGTTGTTTCTCATCGTTGACACAGGCCACATTCGCCTTCTTACATGCTGAGCACTGGGGCCGGTCACCATTGCATCGAATCTTACGTCTCTGGCAACGCCGACATGCCGCACGGTTCCGACTTCGACGTGGGGAATCCATGACAGATAGCACTAATTGGTATGATCAAAGTAGATACAGCCATAAATTAAAGAAATCTCAAGAAGTTAGTGTTCGGGTCGCTTCCGCCGCCGCGGCAGCCATCCGTTAGATGACTAAACTACATTGCCAAGCCCTGGCTCTCATAGACCCAATGTCCTACCTGATTATACCATGGACGAAATGGTTGATAGTTAAGAAATTCTTAGTGACAAGAGGTAGTTGATGGTATTCACATATATACCTAGTTGCATACCTACTAGGTACATTCAAATGGTCCACAGGCACTCCGCATTCCCAAAGATCGGCCATAAGCGCAACCCAACGCTCAGCGCGAGTTTCAGACTGAGAATCCTTTACAACCATAGTCAGTATGAGAGTCAATCTCATTGACCTTGGGATATCTGCCTTCGGGCATATTAGTTGATGGAGTGTCAACATACCGCAAGAGAAGCGAGGTCTTCCGCAGTAGTGGCACGGAATAGAGATGAAGAACACAGGTAGAAGAGAAAAGTAAAAAGGAGGTAGTTTGCCTCTCGATTCGGAAGCGATGCACTCTACGCCCAAAGTTCGGGCTTTCTCTACGTCCTTTTTTCTGAAATTTTCCCGTGTTTAGTGAATAAATCCCAAAACTCTTCTGTTTCGGCTGGGCAATTCCTTGTCGGGATGACCCCGCTGAGGAACGGATGGCGTCCGTTACCGATCAAATAGTATTTAAGAACACTGATTCTCTACTTATTCCCAAGTCTATAGTCTAAAATTATTTTGAAAAAATGACCATTACTCATATTGGTAAGTGCTTGGCCTATCGAGTGCAATGAGTTATACTGATCAAGCACAGTGCTGTTCAAGTTCCGGGCGGACGTAGCCAAGGAGATTAGAGATAGATTTCTCTCAGAAATCAAAACTCTCAAGTCTCTACCTTGCGTCAAGAGTCAGCGACTCATTGTTGGAGGGCCCTCAATCACCGAACCGGCCGAAAAGAGCAAAGGTTTCCAGTATGCTCTCGTGAGCTATCATGAAGACCGCGCAGCGCTGGATGCATACCAAGCAAGCAGTGAACATGAAAGGTAGATAATCGAGTCTTCGATCGCACTTTTTGAAACCAGCGTTACTAACACTGAATCGCAGAGTGACAGCAAAGTATTTCATTCCGTACAAAGAAGATCTGGTTCGATTTGACTTTGAAGTTGATCAAGCGGACGAGCCACTGCTCGGGTTTGGAGGGATTATTTGATTTAGAACATCATGTCAATGATTACGAGTTTGGCAATGAAAAAAATAACCCCAATTCAAATAAATCAGAGGGTGAAGCAATCAGGAAACAAATGTTGAGCGTCACTAGTCCACTGCCTCGAATTTGACAGATACTTGAGAGCTTATAAGACGAATGTCGCGTGGTGTCGGATCAATGCCACCGCCGCCTGCCTTAGGAGTCCATCCGGGGTATAGTTCTCGTTCTCGCTCACGATATTCCATGGCCACCGGTCGCAAATATCTGTTTTGGCCCTGGTGGGCCTGAATAGTATCGTCAACTTCCACAGGAACCACTTTCCGCCCGATAACTTCGGCGTAGTCCTCGGCGCGAAGGATAGCGTTTCTCATAGCCTGCTTGCGAGCATCATACTCTAACGCCTTCTCAGTACTCTCCGTCAAGTGCCACTCGATAGACTCGACCTCGACGCTCGGATATGCGTCCAGCTTTTTGGCTATTTCATCCAATTTACCAAAATCGCGGAATGTCACCTGGAATGTGGAGGTTGCACAATTGACGCAAGTTGCAGGTTTTCGCTCATCAATTGCGGGCTCTTGGGTCCAGACATGGAGTATGGTCGATGAGAACTCCGTTACCGGTGCATCGGTAGTGGCCGTGCCATACTTGGTTTTGGGTGACAGCTCCTTGAAAAGCGCGTTCAATTCATCATGCAGGCGGCTTCCCTCGGTGGAGACGCTATCTTTTTCACCACCACTTGCGTTAATCGAGACTCTCAAGACGGCCCGTTCTGGGTGGCGAGTGATGGTCGCCTGACCTGAAACTCGAATTGAGAGAGGAGGCATTTTAATCTTTATTATCGTTTATGTGAGTATTGAATTAAGGATGAGAAGTATCAACGTAATTTGGTGGATGATCGCAATCTTGAATGACTGATGCGAGAACTGTAGACATCATGAGGTTGAAGTCACGTTAAGCTCAATCTATTTCCGGAAAATCCCCGCACAACATCCCGTATTCTCAGAATTCACGTATACCAGAGTTCTAATCCAACTTCTATGTTTTTCAATCTCCATTATCAGTAAGCTGAATAATGGTGATTTTTCAGGAAACGTATCTCTGTCTTCAGGTCCCCTTTCTACACCTCCTTTGTCTCTACAAGCTTTCTTGGAAGTGTCGAGAAATCACAATTAAGGGTCAAAGATACTTTAATCAGCCAGATCCTCTTTTTGGGCCAAATTTAAAGTACCTAGCAGATGACTTAATATGATCGCCAGGCGCTGGGGAATGTAATTTTAGCAGTTACGGCGTATAAATAGAAGTTTATCGTCTATCTCCATTTGAAAGACTCTCAAAATTCATTCGCTAATACATACGTGCATACGAGTTACTATCATAAGGATAGACCGAAAGAGAAGCAAACTCAGGAAACAGAAATAGACTCGCTGTTAGAAACGCCATGGAGCCCGCATCATCGACCTTGGAATGCTGACTTGATATATAAAAAGACAACTGAAAATAACTGGAGCAGCAGCTAATAGAACTCAATGGCCGTTCCTTATCAAGTAGCCCGCAACAGAAAGGAAAGTTGGACCAAACCTTGCTTGAAAGGCCCGCGAATCTCCATGATATGCTTATCAAGGTCGTTCAGATCAAGGAAATAAAAAACAACATCCTGGGCAAAAGTTCTCATCTCAGGGGTCCATTTGAAAAACTCATCTTCATGTTGCTTGACGGTGTGAAGGAAGCGAAACAGTTCGCGTTCCTTGTACCTCATCCTTGATATATGCACGAAGACGTCGTGGTACTGCACTCGGAGATCGCGCCAAGGCTGGTTGGTAATGGATTCCATCTTATCCAGAACAAAAGTGGCCGTATCGGAGAGTTTTCTTTCCCTGAAGGCCTTGGCATGCTTTGAAAAGTTTTCCCGTGGGCCCGACATAGTTGGAACGGATGATGAGAGCAAATCTGGATATCTCAGTGGCCGGTTTGGTAAGTTTGTCTCAGGACGGGCGAAGATGATAGTTGGTAGAAGGAGAAACCTTATAAGAAGCTTCTGGCCTCTATTTGTCCCAGAGAAATTAGTGAGGTCTTGATTGAGAGCTTCAAACTGAATAGTGAATTAGCAACCTAGACTTCTTGTGGATCGTCTGCCAGTCTCTTGGTCTCTAGAAATATGATATCAGGATTTAATGAATTCAAGACCACTACCATGATAATCTCACTTAATAGTGAAACATAAAAGCTGATTATGTGAAGCAAGCCAGGGGTGAATATGATCCATCCGTACAATCTGATATATACATGAATGGATAGGATAGTATCAAAGATTGCAGGAAAATGAGCACAGGCCGCCCAGATTGCCTCCTTTGCCTACTACAAGAGCAGAAGGTATGAAAGGCGAGCTAGTGGGCGTGGCGTAGACACTGCCACCTGGGCAGGGCACAATCCGTGGTTGTAAAGAAAAATGCTTATGCCCAGGAATTAGCCTTTTCCCTGGCTACTAGAAAACAGACGATGCCCGTGGTTTTAAATGGTCCGACGTTGTCTTTCTTAATTGGGCCACTTTGGCGAAGCCGATTGGGAAATCATAGAAAATCCGAAGTACCTGCTCCGATAACATATCGTCAATGAGAACATCTCGAATATTTTGAAGACTGTCTGTGGTGGACCTTGCCCCGCTTAGCCCGGGCCCTCCTTCGACAAAATCAATGCGAAAAGTGCCGAAGTGTGCCATAGCTGAGACGAAAATGGGCTCTGGTATTCATTTGATACTAATTTCTCAACACCTGAAAGTATCCATTGAGAAACAATTCAGCAACTGAAACAGATATCGTGGACAACCACCTCGCCTGGACTATCTTCGATGACCGAATATATCGGTTTATAAAAGCGACTGAAGGTGCCAAGGACCGGTTGTCAGGATTTTTTCCTGCGAGTGGACTTGTTAGCGGTGCGTGCTTTGTGGCGGCTAGCTTTAATTGTGTCTCATCTGCCACGATACGTGTACAATTTTGGACTTCAATTGTTGCGCAGAGCAGCGAGGGCGACCATTACGTTTTCGAGATCAGAATAGTACGAAGTGGATATTCCCGGCGTAACTTGAATTATGTGGCTACGGATGAAAAACAGTATGTTGATTGTAATGGTAAGTATGATGCCACTGTTGGCGAATTTGCATATCTTCATGACATCATTTGTGTCGGCTGGAGACAACCGAGGCCTATTCGGGTAGCCCTGAAGTGCTTAAGAATCTCCCTGAACAATCTTAGCCCATTCCACTTTCTTTCCCATCTTTTATCGCCTATTCATAGAACAAGACTGTTTTTACGTTCAATATGAAACCTTTCAACGTTCTACTCAATGATCGTTACAGTCACCTGAAGAGAATCCGTGAATCGCTTTGGGACTTAGAAATCGAGGCCTTACCTTCTGAGATGATTGAGCGGCTTGGTATCGATTTTTGCCGCTTGGATATTAATACTGGAGCCACTTCCCACTTGGTCACTCCTTACTTTCTTCCTCGAACATCATTTCCAAGTTGTCGAGATATGAAATCAGATGGGTTGAAGGACCCAATGATCGACGAAGGACGAGACCGTGATCCTGACATCAAATATGAAAAATCTGCTCTCCACAGATTCTTCACGACGTGCTTATGTTTAGCAGAAATGAACTATGGTGCTGAGCTTAAGAGTGATCTACTTAGCCGTATCTTAACAAAAGAGTAAGTTAACTCTGACATTTAGCCTAAAAACGCTGTTTTATTATAGCTAACCCATAAACGATTCTAGAGAGAGACGCTATGAGTGGCTAGTAGATAAGTAAGTTTATCTATCATATACTCTAAATTGTTAAAATCAAATACTAATGACTATTTAAGAGCATTTGGAGGAAGTAATAGACAAAAGCATCCTCATTTCTTTGCACGTGGAATAAGATTCAGGGCAGATAATCTGGTCCTTGATGACGATTTTGAAAGCGATAATAACAAAGCCACTTCTTCCTCCTTGCTTTACGGTACAACAAGCGACAAGATATTATCACTAGAGCCTCCAAGTCATGCCATGACCGAGATCACTGTCCACCATTGCCACAACCCAATCCCTTCAATCAGTGAAGTGGTCGCAGTAATAGATGAAATTCTACATTCAATGAGAACACAAAGAAAAAGACTACACGTCTTGCCTAACGGGGAAAGCCCAACAACATTTCACCAAATATTACCGGTTTGTACTTCTTATATTAACCCAAGAAACATAATCACTAACTTCATAATATAGAGACTAATCAGGATAGTCGATTATTATGGCCATTGGCGCATGATATATGCCTACTTCGATGAAAGTAGGTTAAAGGTACAGTACACCGAACCGGTGGACTTCGCACCTTTTGCAGTCAGGCCGCCGCCCGGTATGGACTACCTTGACCTTATCGACTCATCTCAATACTATGACAAGCTTGATCAAATTTTGAAATGGGTTTGGCCGGTTACACATGGCGACACTAGGAAAGACGGCCTGGAGGAAGAAGAGAGACAAGAAAAGCTAGAAAAATAAAGGTAAACACATGAAGTTGTTACCTTGCTGTCCTAAATAGCTGATCAGCAAGTGGCCCCTTCGATTATGGCAAAGACACTAGAAGAATTCGCTCAATTGGAGCCTCTCTGGGAAAAAGCAATAAAATACCCAGCTGATATCGCCCCGGAGGAAAAACACCAGCTGATGGAATGGCCGCCCCTAGAGGAGATGCGGGCTAAGGCCAGCAATCACCAGGGAATGTCTCTTGAAGACTTACTTCAAAAAGCTGCTACGGATCCTCACTCCCTCACATATCCGGAATGTCGTCTTATCCGTGACAAATTCCGCATTATGCGACTGTTTGATAGTGGAAATCGGTTTGCCTGGCGGTGGAAGCGTCCTGATCTTTATAGTAAGAGGAATCAAGCCCGAGATGCAATTTTGACACAAACCGAGCTAGAAGCCATTCGAGCTGTGGATGAGATATTCTACCAAAAACAAAGTGCGGAATTCAAGGCAAGAAAAGCTAAGCGACAGCAAGAACCGCCACCACATATGCCGCGGGAGTGGGTACAAAAGATCATTGATCGAAAAGATGATAAGAGCTGGGGTTATATTTTCTATCATCATAAAGCTATGGCTGGATGGGATGAGTTTTTTCAAATTCGCTCAATTCATCCCATTTGAGACGGAAGAGAGTGAACTAGGCGTTCTAAGGCAGTAAGTAATCTCTACTTGCTGTTAAAAGGCCATTTTCTAAAACAAGGATTAGGGACTTCCGAGGTCGCCGCGAGAGAGGCGATCTAAAACCCGGTGTTCTTAAGAACGTGTTCTTCTTGTTACCAGATAAGGCTCGTTCATCTTACGGTACAAATGGCCTAGATCAGTTTTGTGGATATATCTGGGCGATAGATCCGGACTGGCTGGGGTCGGGGCCTGATGAAGATGGTTACGATGGCCGACTCAAAATCCATGTGGCCCAAACCTTCTTCCGATTCTACGAATTCATGTCTACGAAATGTTCACTCAAAGATATGTGGCGGGATTTCAATTTCGTCAATACTAACAAGCTGTACCCAAGCTGGACTGAGGAGCCAACTGCTTGGTTCTTTACACACCTTGATAAGCCTGTGTGGCCCTATAATTAATATTCTTGCAATATATGGTGAGACTTTGATTCCGGTGACATTCCGGTAACTTCTCGCCGAGGTCTTCATGTTTCTGTAGCCATTGTGAATATCTGACGACATGCATCATGATAAAGTTCGCACTCTGCTCAATTTGATACTTATACACTCTTACCTACTGTTCCCCCCTTCAAATCGTTGGCACACTTCGGTAATTCTACTTATACAAGTGCGACGGGAACACATGCCTGGATACAGGAATCTAGTGCAGTGGATTAATGGTCAATCCAAAACAGACAGTATTGGAACAGAGACTCCCCCATGGGAAGTGACGATTGTGATCTTGGCGCCTTGCAGGTGATATCACATGAGCCAGGTCTATGCATGTATTCTCAAGTTGGCTGAAGTTGTGTTTGAGCCCTTCCTTCATGGACCAAAATTGACTGTCCGTAGTACAAGCTGAGGTTTAGAACTCCATAAGTCTGATTCTGCATACGGATCTGTCTCGCGATATGTATAAGCGGATGCTGTGAGGACAGGCTCCATTTTTGAGCACTGGGATTATATAGTCTTTTATTATTCGTGGCCATCACCAGCATGTACATGAGTAGGTCCACATAGCTTTCAGTGGTAGGGAAAAGCACAGGGTTGTCCAGCCATTGGTGTCTTTCCCGAATCTTGATTGTGATCATGTGATGGCATTTCCCGACGTCTTCCAATATTGAGCTCGTCATCTGGCTGATACAATCATGACTTAGAAGCCCATGAATGGTAAGTGTATGTTTGGTTCCCAGTTGAAGTCTGATTCAAGGAATCATGAAAATGTGGTGAAGAATGATAAGGTTGAATAGGTTGAATAGGTTGAACAGAAGCAACCTGGGCTGAGCTTGGTATTGACATGGACATAGATCGCGGATACGAGGCGTGAGGATAGGAAGGCTCAGATATTTGTGGATTCGGCGCACTGTTTGGACCGCCAAAGCTGATCTGGGGAACGACGACAGAGAGGGACGGCTGTGCTAGGCGTGGACCTTCATGTAGCTGCCCGTCAATCATGTATGACTCCATTCGAGCCGAGGGTTCCTGGTCGGAACAGCCCAGAGAACGTGATCGTGTGCTGATATATGGTGTCCAGTCACTTTCATGAAGTGGATAGACTTGATTGGTACCGGGTACCAGAGACAGACCTGATGCGTTAGGCAAGTCGTGGAATTGAGCTTGCATTGTGTCTGTTGATGGAACGCTGGGTGCTGTATTTTCCCGTGTTCCTGGTCCTTCCTGTATTGAACAATTATTTGGAAAGGCGCTGAAGCGTCGACCAAGGACTGGGACGCTACGTCTCTCCATGAAGGCTGCTAATTGTCGTTTCAATCCACGGACTTCCTCTTCCAAGGCCATGTTGTGTTGCAGTAATTCCTCATATCCATCGTACCGCGGCTGCATCTCAGCCACTTGGCTCTGCAGACTTGCGACTTCATTCTTGAGTTGTTCGATATTCTCTTTTGTTCGTTGGCGAATAGATCGTTGTGCTTCTCGGTCGTGGGCGCGTTTCCGCTCAAGTTTTTCTGCGGACATGGAAGAGACATTTCTAGACCCTGGAAGAGCCTCAGGCTTTTTGCCTGACCCGCCCTTTTTGATACTGTTGCTCATGGTCTTTCGTGGGCTTGAAGTTGCCCGATTTAGACAGAGACTATGCAGAAGAAGTCCGCTTTTTGCCCAGGTATCCCGCTTGAAGGAGGAATTGCTGGTGACCATGAAAACTGCGCTGGTCACGGGCGCAGCGAGCCCAGCATAAAGTCCACCGGGTAGGTCAGGCTCTTGGAGTTTTGGGTTCTTTTCGTTGACTTCGCTCTCCGGTGGGGCAGAGCTTATCGCCGAGCGTAGAGTAGGGGGTAGGGCAGCAGAACCAAGGAGGTTTGGATAAAAAGGGAAATTTAGTTCGACGCTAAAGAGTCACGACGTCGATAAGAAAGATGTATCTGGAAGGAAATTCGGATGCTTAAATAAAGTGTCATGTCACCTAGTGGACAATAATTACGTGCCTTTCTCCGGATCGTCGCTAGCATAAATGACCAAGCCCGAAAGAGGGACACTCCCGGTGATATGGTGCACTAATGGCTCAGGCCAGGCTGCGGGTGGGCCAATGAGGGAATCGCTTACTGGGCGAATTGTGTGGATACTCAGAACGTTCGAAGCTATCAAAATAGCGTCTCAATCTTTCGTCCTTTCTCTTTTCTCTTTCGCTCATTTGTCCGCCGAAGCGCTGTTGGTTCCCAGGCCCGCATATCACTTTTATAAAAAATAACTCTATCATGTTTTACGCTAGATATCACTAAACACTATACTACTCAGGGGAATGTTGGTGATAGAGCAATTAAGATGCAGATTTCCAAAAAATTGGCGCTTGCATGGGCGCTTCGATCTTTGACGCCAAGTTGATAGATATCTTTGGGGGCAGAAAAAGGAGAGGTAAAATGGATGTTCTATGAGACAACGGAAGAATACCGGCATTGGACCAGTGTCAATTCACAATCGGTTTTTTCACTCGTTATAATTCCGCTAGTAATTACTAATATTAAACCTCCCCCCGAACTTAAGTTCGGTCGGGCTTCGGTTCTAGAAGGATTCCTGGCTGTTTCTGTCCCCTCCGTTATCTATCCTGATCAACTACGCGATATCATAAGTTACTCAGGGGGCCAAAAATCCAGTGTTATACACTGGGCCGAATAGTATTGCTCTCACACTAAGGGAGAACTGTATCGTAATAAATGGACAGCGGGAGTATAGGGATATCATTCCAAGCAGGTTGTTTTGGAGAGACTATGAACGTCAGAAGAGACAAGGATCTACATCAAACTTTGACATGAAATGGTTTGGAGAACCGTTCGTCTATCATAATTCAATTGTATTCAAGGACTCTCGCCGATCGATCGATCGATCATGGAGCTACATATGACGAGTTCTAACTTCCAATGCTCGAAAGCAGCCTGACAGAGGACAGTGGGTTTGGTAAAATGGGCGGCAGGGATTCTAATCCTTGAGAGGAGACTTGCAAATCTAACATTAGGGGGCCCTAGGGTAAGCGTGCGATTCCAAAGCAAGAGCGTACATGGCCTCCGTGCTGGAATAAGACAGCTGCTGAAAACGAAGTGCCGGTCTAGAACCCCACTGAGCTGCGTGAGATCGAGCCACCAGTTCCTAGGCGATCACACCGGCCCACCACTGGAGTGGAATGTGTGGTTAATTGAACTTTGAATCCAGTAGGAGGTGTGCTCCTACCAGTTCCTGAGGGTGGGGACCAACGTCTGTGGCGGCATTGTTTGGGCCAATTGCACGATCAAATTTGTTTGATTACGAATCAATAAATCACCACATCGCGCTAAGCTGCCAGTCCCCCTGTCAAACCTACCACCTCAATCTTGGGGGCTGAGAATGGAGGGCCTCGTTGGAAATGTAGTTCGAGTCTAACGGGGCAGATCGATCTGAAACCTGACTTGCGTTGCCGGGCCTTGCGGAGTCTTCCGGAAAGAAATCTCAAGGGTTTCAATCATTCCAAATAAAAAAACGGGGGGTAGTCACAGCCTTGTGCTCTACGAACTAAAGATAAATGCCCCCCAGATCAACGGATCGAATCCACAGGCTTTCCGAACCAATCACATCGTGCTCAAAGATCGTCCGTGCGTCCTCAAATCGAAATCTCTCAAGCTTGAGCAAGCTGGCTTGGCCTACAATGCATGAGCCGAACGAGTATAATCTCGGCTGTTGAAGCATTATTACTTACAGTCTGGTGAAGCCTTTGTCGGGTAATGTGCTCAGCAATGAACCGCCAGATATTGGCATTGGATGTCCAACTTGAGACTAGATTCATCCTTCGCTGGGGTATGGCTGTTAGCGCGACTAAGTTTAATGGATTATGCACCTCGTTTGGGGTCCATTAGAAGCAACGACCTGAATTAAATGTCATTCTTGAGGAGGGGTTTTATCGAAGTTAAGCACCAAGGATCTGGAGCATAGATGTCTTTGTACAGGTGGTCTTGCATCAGGTGATAGAATGCCACGTTGTTTGTTCCGAGTCAACAGGGGCCGTCATTTTGACTCCCGCGGCCAACTTCTCCACCAACGCGACCCATGTTCAAAACTCGGCATTAGCGGATTGAATTTCCATTGTAACAGGGTACCTTAAGCGAGTCTAACAAGTCGGATTCCCCAACACACTGAAGGTATTTCCCAATGGACAGCGATTACAAAGCTCGAAAAGAGGCCTTCGTCTCAAATCTTGCGGGAAGCGATATCCTGGATATCAACCTGGTCACACTTGTCGCACCGGTACCGTCTCCCTTGCAATCTTCAATGCTGTCCGTTCTAACCAAACTCTCCTTTGTAGGCCTCCGTTCTTCTCTGGTCCGCTCTCCAATCGCGCTTGTCCTACTTCTCCCCATACGGTCCTGCCGCATTGTTAACCGATTTCCTGCTCAACGTACTGGCCATTTTGTTCGCGACTACTGCCTATTCCTCTGCACCACTTCTATTGAACATCTTCCTCATTACACCGGCCGTTCTATTATTCCTCACCCAGCCACCAGTGCGCTCCCCGCAGAAGGCCAAACCGCCCCGCAAACAAAATGACAACAAGGTCAGCGCACAGGATGAGACGGAGTCGTTGCCGGTACACCCTTTCTTGACAACATACCGAGCGTCCATGATGATCGTGACATGTGTCGCAATCCTTGCGGTCGATTTTCGAGCTTTCCCCCGCCGCTTCGCGAAAGTCGAGAACTGGGGTACCTCGTTGATGGATTTAGGCGTGGGCTCATTTGTCTTTTCCGCTGGCGTGGTGTCTGCGCGCGCAGTCCTGAAGAACCGAGCTTCCAAATCACCCAAGGCGACTTTTCTCACAAGACTTGCAGGCTCTGTGCGGCACGCTGTCCCGCTGCTCGTGTTGGGTTTGATCCGGCTGTGGAGTGTCAAAGGGCTGGACTATGCCGAGCACGTCACTGAATACGGCGTGCATTGGAACTTTTTCTTCACTCTAGGCCTATTGCCGCCATTCGTGGAAATCTTTGATACCTTGACTGTCTTGATCCCTTCTTATGAAGCACTGGCTCTCGGCATCATGGTACTGTACCAAGTGGCTCTTGAGTCAACGGAGCTCAAGAGCTATATTTTGATCTCTCCCCGCGGCTCTGATCTACTATCCAAGAATCGCGAAGGTATTTTCTCATTCCTGGGATATTTGGCCATTTTCCTTGCCGGTCGGGGCTCAGGAACCCGTATCATTCCTCGTGGGACTTCTGCATCCAAATCCTCCCAGCAGGCGAGAAAGTCAGTTCTGGTCAGTCTTGGCCTCCAGTTGATGTTCTGGTCAACCCTCTTCTTCTTCAACTCTTACTACGCATTCGGCTATGGTGCCAATATTTTGGTATCGCGCCGTCTCGCAAATATGCCATATGTGCTGTGGGTTGCAGCTTTCAATTGTGGACAACTTCTTTTGTTTTGTTTGATTGAAACTGTCTTCTTCCCGACCGTTCACCGGTCATCCGGCAAGGGAGGCGAGGAAGAACGAACATCATTTGCCACTAGTCGCATCTTGCATGCGTTTAATCGTGGAGGTCTGGCTGTCTTCTTGATCGCCAATCTCTTGACCGGTGTGGTCAACCTGACTATCCCCACTTTGGACATCAACACGCCGCAAGCGATGGTCATCTTGGTCATTTACACGGCAATCCTGACTGCTGTTGCGCTGGGAATGGATAAGGCGAATATTAAGCTGCGCCTGTAAAATATGCTCAATGTACATAATTAGAGTATCCAAGCCTATAATCTTGTAGATCATCAAGTACATCAGCTGACGCCCCACGTGAAAGAGCCTCGGCATGTGAGATCATCGCGCCAAAACAGCTCCAACTCCGCATCCAACTTTACATGGACCAACATTTTCTAGCTACGCAAAAATGGGTTCTGAAAGTCGCTCGTACCTCAAATATCCCCCAGCTATCGAGGGGCCACCGGTTCCGTATAAATACGAGGATCAGTCCATTCCGGTATTCCGTGGCACCCCTCTGGTGATCGGCGCGACATTGTGAGTTCGCAATGAAGCTTCCTCCACTTCCCTTATAGCTTGTCGCATACTCATATGTTCTCCTTCTACTTAGGATCCATAATATCGGTTTTATCCAGAGCCACTTCTGGCGAACTGCAGGCTTTGGCGTCATTCGCGAGATCCCTCATCTTCACCAGTACGCTGGACGCTCCGACCCAAGCGTGATTCCCGTTGAAAAGAATACCCCGACCGATGTACCGACCCCCACGATCGCGAAGAGAAAAGAAAATAAGGGATACTACACCTCTGCCGATTACCATGAACTGTACGTGTCAGGCGCGCTGACTCCGACCACGGTTGTTGAGACGCTGCTGCCTTTGATCCGTCGCGATGTTACTCCCGCGGGCAAGCATTCGACTGCGTTCCTCGAGTCTCAGGTAGAGATAATCCGCGCCGCTGCAGAGGAGTCCACAAAGCGATATAAGGAGGGCAAGTCACTTGGGCCTCTTGACGGTGTGCCTGTTGCAATCAAAGATGAGGTGCACATCACTGGCTATAAGCGTACTCTGGGCACGAAGTTGGATTTCAAGGCTGGCAACGATGGCACCTCTTGGTGTGTCAGGAAATGGCAGGAGGCTGGTGCAATCGTGATTGGAAAGAGCACGATGCACGAGCTAGGCCTAGGTGAGTACACCATGAGCCTACACGCCGTCTCGGTTACATAAAGCTAACCAAAATAGATACAACCAATAACAACCCCAATTATGGAACTCCCAAGAACCCTCACAACCAGAACTACTACTGTGGTGGTTCCTCTGGAGGTTCCGGGTATGCTGTCGGAGCCGGCCTCGTGCCTATTGCGCTTGGCGCAGACGGCGGGGGCTCAATTCGCATCCCATCATCGTTCTGCGGCATTTGGGGTCTGAAGACTACACACGGCCGTGTGTCTGGAGCTCCATCCCTGAGTCTCGCACCCACTGTTGGTGTTCTTGGACCCATGGCATCTAGCATTGATGATCTAGCCGTTTCCTACCGGATCATGGCAGCACCTGCTCCGGAAACAGAGGATTCGACCTCAGCACTATTCTCTCAACCTGTCCCATTGCCCGCGGACCGGAAGCGAAACAAGACTATTGGTATTTACCGTGATTGGATTGACCGCGCAGAACCGGCAGTTCGTGAAGTATTTGACAGGGCGCTCAACTACTACCGTGAGAACGGCTATAGTGTCGTTGACATCACGATCCCTTACCTCCCAGAGGGCCAAAAAGCCCATGTCTTGACCATCATGGCAGATATTGCATCCGGTGTCAGTACTAGTCAGATCCGACACCTCACCGCCCCTAACAAGGTCCTCGTATCAATGGGCATGTACCAAATCACCGCACAGGATCTCCTCGCCTCTCAGCGCCTCCGTAACCTTCTCATGACCCACCTTTCATATCTCTTCCAGAAACACCCTGGTCTGCTAATTCTTTCCCCAACAACTCCCCTCCCGGGATGGAACATCCAAGGAGGAGAGGCGGACCTCGTCCGCGGTGTATCAGACGGCGGAATGTCCGTACGGAACATGGAGTACGTATGGCTTGCAAACTTCACCGGGTGTCCCTCAATCAACTGCCCTGCTGGTTACGACCGTGAGACAGGAGTGCCTATCGGCATTATGGCGATGAGCGACTGGGGTACCGAAGAGGATTTGATTGACTTTGCGCGCGATGGAGAGGCCATCCTAGATATTCCCGCCAACAGACCACCCGCTGCTAGCGGGACAGATGCGGGGCTGGATGGGCTGCACATCCCAGCGGCGGCCGACTCAATCTGGGAGGATGTTATTGGTAAAGCTATGGAGGCCCAGTCTGCGTAATCTGCTATCAGTTTCCGCCTTATTCTTGTTGTCAATACCTTCCCACTGTAATAACTTAAGAGTGCTTCGAATCAAATATGCCGCGGCCCGCAATTCAAATTGTGATTGAAACGATTGCACCCGGCGTCGACATGTTCCAAACAAGCTCCTGTGATTGGGGATCCCATAGTTTCGCATGTAAACACGCTATATGGAAGACACGACTTATGGAAAATTCCGCGGGGCCGCGTGGGGCCGCGTGGGGAGCCAATATGGGGAGATCATATATGTTGAGTTATGAAGACCAAGTTTTTGAAATGTCATATCTTCCTAAACCTCCCCAGAAAACATGAACTGAATGATAATCATTTTGTCCCAGCAGTCATTGACTCGGCATCTCCACAGTCGGCACCCCACGCACGTCGGCGTTTCACCCTTCTAGCCCACTCTGTTTATGAGTTTATGAATGAAAACGCGGGGCAAATTGTGCATTTCTATCTTTAAGAATCAACACTTAGATCTTACGTGCCCATTTGTTTCACCTGACATCGATCCACTACAACACCTCAAACAGAACCATCGTGATTCAATATGCCATGTTCATTTAGAGATTTCGTTCCTCCGCCCAAGCAGCACCCGAGGCTTGGTGACATTGATTTCAGCAAGTTCGATGCACATTCCTGGGCACAGTGGGGTCTGAATCAGTCTATGGTCCAGGAACTGTGGGAGGGCTGGCAGAAGCTATACAACGAGCCATTCCGTGGAGTAACCACCGACGGAAAGGTGAAGCCGAATCTCTTCCATCTGCGACGTGAAGATGCACCCATTGAAGCGATGGCAGAAGCGGCACAAGCACTTGTATCCGTAGCCGAGGAACATTTAATTGCCGACAAGATGCGGTATGCCGTTGAAGCTGACGAGTGGAGGTGCTGGATGAATCCTGAATTCTATCTCGCGAAGTGCGGAATAAGAATGGAGGAACATCCAAAAGAAGTCTCGTCGGCTATCTTGCGGCTTATTCAATCTTCACTATCTTCTCGTGGGTATCAGAAGACTATTGATTGTATGAGAATCAATGGCTTTCTCGGCGATATCATTGGTGCTTCCAAGATCATGAACGAGGGGAGTTACAATTTTATCCTTTTTGGAGAGCCATCTATGACTGAGCCCTGGGGGTGGTGTATATGGGGACACCATCTATCATTGTGTTGCTTTGCATTGGAGGATCAAATGGTCGTTTCACCCGTGTTTTTCGGATGTGAGCCAAATCAAATCGACGAAGGAGAACATGCAGGAACTGAGGTGTTTGCACTGGAGATGCAGCTCGCCGTGCGCTTGATGCGGAGTCTTTCTGATGTAAACAGAAAGAAGGCGATTGTATACGACCAACTTGATCATCCGGATATGCCTGATGGTTTCCCACACCCTGCAGATGGACGCAACTTGGCTGGCGCCTATGAGGACAATCGGGTGATTCCTGAAAGTGGTATCCGGGTTTCTGAATTGTCCGAATCCTCTAAAGATATATTGATGCAACTCATTAAAACCTTCATCGATTTCATTCCGAATGGGTCTTTGAATGCTAAATTGGGCGATATCAAAGCTCATTTGGATGATACTTGGCTTATGTGGATGGGCAATTATACAGACGAGGACCCATTCCACTTCCGAATCAATAGTCCAGTTCTCATTTGCGAATTCGACCATGAGTGCGGAATGTATTTATCAAACTCGGCGCCAGGAAGGTTCCATGTGCATAGTGTTGTGAGAACTCCGAACGGGAATGATTATGGGAAAGAGCTATTGCGCCTCTGGAAGGAAAAGAACAAGTCTCACTAAGCTTTCTGTTATCTTGGAGTGTCATCTTCGAATCAATGAACTGTATGGTGATTTATTCTGTGATCAGGGTTTAACCCTGGGGGTTTGTTTATATCTCCTTCTACTTCCTAAGCTACAGAGAGAGAACGAGAAAACATCAGGGAAGAAGCCCGGAAAACACAGGGAAAGGAGATCGAAAGTGTGATTAAGCTGCGCGTGGTGTGGACATAGAATGGACTTCTTATTCCCAAGGACAGAAGATTGCAACAATCTAGCCTGAAGAGGAAGAGTTCTGCCTTGTTATTCGCAGTAGGGGCTTATTCATGGTAGCCAGTCACGGAAAACTAGGTACTCATACTAGGCGTCAGGTTAACATGAATTAGTGGTTTGTGGAACAGCAATTTGATGACTTACCCAAATAGGAGTCCTAGTCTCTAATTACGAATATATCAATCCCCTCGTGGGAAGGATTCACCTCCAGTCGACTTTCGTCTGTCGCGGACAAATGTTCACCAGCTTCAGTGAGAATTTCATAATTATCGGTTTCGTCACCCAGTTCATTGATTAAGAAGTACTGAATGCTGGCCGATTCCTGGCAAATGGAATTTTCATCATTTGCGCAGTTTATGAAGAGTTTTCCGTCAAAAGTCGCAATGGAATAGAATCCACTACCATCATCACTCGCTCTGATTTGCCACGTCTGATTGTCCATGTTATCTGATTCTGGCTTCGAAAATATAGGGGGACCAGGTGGATTTGGCGCCGTTAGATATAGATCAGAGCCAGCTTCCCCCCCCCCCGCCGATCAGATGAGGTCCATCTGCAAAACGGCCGTATGCAGACTTGTAGAAGGCTGCTAAAGCACCGAGTGCAAAAATAGCCTTCATTTTGGCCTTTGTACCTGTGTAGATGGTAGAGAGGCTAAGCAACTGAGGTTATGGGAGGTGGAAGGAACTGTGCTTATTTGAACTTGAGATTGAGATGGTTCAAGTGACGAAGGATAGGGGTAAGAACCGTGGTGATGAAGTTCATATACCTCCCTCTGGAGATCGACAGGACGAGCATGACGATATCCCGTGACTATGCTGGGGAGCACGCATATACACTGACATGTAAGGGGCTAGTCCCTCGAGGGACTTTTATTGCTTAGCGGTGGTATGCTATGAAGGCTAGATGAGCCGATGATGTAACCTTATGAGAGCTGATCTATGAAGATCTCAGAGTTCTCATTCTAGTGCGCCAATTGCTTTTGTTCATTTGTTTTTTTCTTTTTTTTCTTATCAATATTTGGCTTCTTTTCTTACTTCTCGGTATCCATACCAACGGTACCCAGATTGAACTCGAGGATTATGACTCAGATTCTTCAGTGACGATTGGTTACTACGAAAGAGAGCCTGAGCCTGAAGATAGTACTTCGTGGGAAAATGCGTCATTCCACGATCCTTGGCAGATATTTTAGAAGTTACGAGGTGTGCAATTTATTCTATCTTCGACCTGCCAATAATAGGATCACGATCCAAAAAATGATTGCTCAGTGACTTTTCCGCAGCGACGCTGTTTCCCGATTGACAGAGCACAAAGTCGCGAAATATCGAAGCTAAATAGTACACAGTCTTCCGAGGGGCTATAGATGTCGTTGGGCGATTTTAATCAACTCTAGCTAGAGGCTACGTAAGTCATTCAATGGATTTTATGCTGGTTTGCTGGCCGTCATGGCCTAAGGGCTCCTGGTAAATCTACGGAGTACTGATCGCCCACTGACATCATATACGTACCACCTCATGCATAAAATTGAGTTGAGCCCTCTTAGGTTACTGGAATTAAAGCCTGGAGCGAAGCACGAGTTTGAGTGGCCCATAATACTGATCACAAACCATACAGGCTCTCGGCATAAGGAGCCATACGACTCTGTTTGGTTGAGATAATTCATGCAAGCCAGTCACCAGGAGAAAGCGCGAAAGGGTCGAGCTATAGACTCGAATTCACGAGGTTGAGGTGTTATGCGGGACTGCACTCTAGATAGATCGACCCTGCATGTGACGAGAACCCTGTCGAGATGCAATATTTCTCCACTTTTTGTTAATATCCGCCTCGTGATACAGGTAAATCCTTTCAGCACTGAGTTGAGGTGATAAATCACAATGAGCTAATGGGAATATTGTATCAAATGTCTAAGTCAGGGCTTTACATTGGCTCATCCCAAAACCCACTGCCGGTCATGCGCAAGATAGAACCTAGACATGGTGCTTTGCGGGGCTAATTTTGATACTGATCTATGGCTACCTCCAGGTGATATATGTTTAGGCCCCCCTGTGGATACTCTAAAAGTAAAAAGGGCTTGGGTGGATAGAACCTTGTGTATTACCTAGGCTCGCCCCTGTGCATAATTTCCTCGAATACCTTGATGATTTGCGGTTCACTGAAGCCCTGGAGACCCATTATCAAAGCTATAGCTATATGAAGCGGATTAATTAGCTTATGGCTGATGAATTGGCTGCTCAGTCAGAGTGTGTTGCTTATCTTACACAGATTAGCGTGACCAATAAGCGGCAGCAGATAAGCATCAAACCGGAAAGGGGAAAGCCATCTCGCGTGGCCTAAAACCCGTGTATACGTGGGCAATTCTTACTTCCCCAAAATATCCAAACTCTTCAGGCCATAAAGTTAAAACAATGGCAAGCAGCAACCTTGTTCTCCCCCGTCCGGGGGCAGAAAAATCCACCACACCACAAGTAATCAAGGCCCCGTCCGAAGCGGCTTTCACCACGACATTCGGCAACCTACTACCAAAGGCCTCATACCTAGAGACTGTAAACGGGACTATCGCCTACTACTCTCTAGAGCCAAACTCCATTTCAAGCTCAAGCAAAGTTTCCCGTGTGTTGTTCATCCACGGAGTCCAAACACCCGCACTCGGTCTCCAACCACTAGCAACAACGCTATCAGCGCGCTTCCCATCCGCGCACTGCGTGTTGGTAGACCTATGGGGCCATGGACTAACAGATACACCTGTTCTCCCACATACACCAGAACTATTCCACGATCTGCTACTGGCCCTAATGCAGAAATTGGAATGGGACGATGCGCATTTTGTGGGATATTCCTTTGGTGGATCGACGACTGCGTCGTTTGTTGCAAAGCATGCTGAGCGCGTGAGTTCAATGGTGCTAGTCGCGCCTGCTGGGTTGGTGCGTTCGGCGCAGTTCGATGAGGTGCAGCAGGGGTATTTGCGGGGTGGGGAGGGAGTGGAGGGGCAGGCGCGGGAATGGATTACTGAATGGTTGGAAGGGGGTGAGTTGGTTGTTCCTAGTGATTGGAAAGAGAGGGTTGCGAGGGGAGAGATTGTTGCTGAAGCTGTCCGGGATTGGGAGGTTAGAGTGCATGAGGGGCATATGCCTAGTGTTGTGGGAATTGTACGGGATGGGGGTGTTATGGATAAACATGCCGCTTTCGTTGAGGCGGTGGGAACTGATACACCGGGTTTGTGTATCTTGGGAGAGTTGGATGGTCTGTGTAGTGTGCAGGATCTGGCTGATGTTGGGATGGACAATGTTGCTGTTGTTCCGCAGGTTGGACACGGTGTTGTTAGGCAAAGGGTGCCGGAGGTCGCTGGCCTCATTGAAGAGTTCTGGTGTCATTTTTAGGAGCTGTCTCGAGCTGTTATGCATATAGATTCTTTAGAATAGTAGATATAGATGGGTTATCCCTGGAATATGATTATACTAATTTCTATGAACATTAATGCTTTTGATAGAGGGGGGATCTATCATTTATTCCCCATGACCAGATAATCCGCAACACCTTGAAGCATATAAGCCGGTGCCAGATATAAGATAAAAGCACTGAGTAGATCTAAGCACAGCTTCCGGCTCACTGAGCCTTATGTAAGGTCCGGCGCACGCTCAGTGAGCTCATTGATCGGCTTACTTACTCCTGTGCTTCACCCACCAATCGCACCAAAGAGAGCCAAGAGTATGAGTTAAGCACCGAATAAAACGCACGGCGCTAGTGCAAATGAATGAGCCTACTTTGTAATCATTCTCCCATCTAGAAAGAGATTGCCCGTCTCATCATGAGAATCGGCAGTGTAAAATCAGGACGCCTGGCCTATCAGACTCTGCGTAAATTTTTTCTCCCAGAGGCCACTCGCTACAACTAAACTATTTGCTGACTCAAAGAAATTGATTGGCCTGTCGTAGTTGCTCCTAGGACGTGTATGAGTATTTTTACCAATTGATACGGCCGAAGTGTACAGTGGTGTTGCATGGGTTTGAAACCAGCCTTTCAGACCGCCTACTATGTATAGCTTACCGCCTATCAACCAGCGCGCTGACCCAGAATAGAACACCGGTCACCACACGGTTCTTAAGTCATATGTGGTACATTATTAGGAATGTTCTCAGTGATGCTCAGCTTGCAAGTTCTATAGTTATTCTGAGTTGATTTAGCTAAGCATGTGAGGTTTTGGCTGGCAGGAAACTGGCAGAATATTATGTAAGGAGTGGAGGGGGTTTCAAACTCATGCAACGCCACTATATACTGGTAGAAATCCTGGCCTCAGCCCTGGAGGTACCTAAGTGGGGTATCGTCATCATGATCCGCTGAAATAAAAGACTCGGACCTTTCAAGTTGAAGTCAAGATTTAGAATTGCTACATACTAGCCCTTAGCCTATTCTCCAACCGGCAGCCTCCAAAGAACTTCACCGTGTTTCTATAATCTACCTGTCAATAATCTTGTGATATTCAAGTTCAGCCCTCTCATGATGTGTTGCATAATTTTGAAGCGGAGGGCTAGGACAAGACAACTCCGAGAAGAATTTCTTCAAAACAGCGGAGACATACGGGAGCTCCAAAGATTTCGGCACAGGAATTATCGAGGATTTTGGCTACGTGGTACCCTTATGTGTCCATATACGGAAGAAGTTCTTGCGATCCTGAACCTCGAAGCGAGCTTGCGGATGAGCTCCCAAAGGGAGATGCGGCTGAAAAAAGAAGCACAGACCGAGTCTCAGAAAAAGGAACTGGAAGAAACAGTGGCTAGTTCATGGGAACAGCAACGGCGATATTGGTGGTGGAAAGATCGTATGCTATCAAGGTCTGCCTTTCTTCAACGGGGATTTGAAACGTGGCGATCAAATGAGCGATGGTATATGCATCGAGTACTAGTCGAAGATTGTGTATTCCGAGGTGGATGCTGTGCACGTGGATGTGGATGCTGCGAAAGTCCTGAACGTCTGACCAGCTCTGTTGGTAAACTTGCTATTGGCCATTGCTCTATTGAATGTGCATGTTGCGTTGAAACCCGCAGCGGAGCGATTCCTTCACAAGAGGCTTGCAAGGATGTTGATGACCTCTACGGGTTTTCGAACTTAACAAAAGATTTTGACCATGAGAAAAACGTATACCGGTTTTAAATTTACCTCGCCACTATATGGGGACTTGGAAAAGGCAATTCATCGAGACTTCCAAAAGATATCAAATTCAATTTTTGCGATCTGAGTGTCCCGACTTCGGAACCAGCGTGCATGCAAGATGATAGTTCCGAGTTCCAAATTACAAGTACGAGTACGAGTACTTTTCTTGAAATAAGGTCAGGACTGAACATATTTATTAGGAGAACATTACTAAAGATCTCTTGTCAGTGATGACGAGGGAAGTCGAGTTTCTTTTGTCTGATTTCGAAAAGCCTGATAGCCATCCACGACATTTGAACTTTGCCTCATAGCTAAGTTGACGGATAGCTTCAAGTTTGCTAGTGTTGCTGTCTATATATGTGACTAGCCGTCAAACTGACTAAAACGCCTTCGATGTCATACCTAATAGTAGTTCATAGGATAGTAAGAGGTAGCCCCTAATCCCTGTATCCTGCTAAAGCTTGAAACTAGCTTATATGGCACTAAGAGCCTGTGTTATGCGACTAGGTTAAATTAAGTATCTCACGTAATTCAGCCACTGGAATCCACATCGTATTAGGTGTTTAATTAGACTCGGGATCCTTCTAGGGGCGAAAGAATTGAATTTGGGCCAAGTAGATATGTGAATTCAATGAGACCATCATGGGGAATGAGCACGCAAGAGTGGACCGCAGCTCGGAAGGAGTTGCGATACCTGGCCTTAAATAGAATTCTGTAAGGTAATGACTGTCGATAAATCTGTTGATAAATTAATTTTTAGTTTTGGTGCGAAATATTGTAGTAATTTATATGAAAATATACAGAATTGAAAAAACCAACATCGCACCAACCAAGCCAAACCCGAGCCCAAATCCCAGCTTATTCAACAGGAGATAGCCACTGATGTATCGGGGAGAAAGAAGCTACACCCCAACCTGACTGCAACGCTGTGGTCGTTCAGCTCCTGTATAATGCGCGGGCCAGGACTACCGTCATCTTTGAGTGTCTCCTTGATATGGATGATATAAACAGACAATCCAGCTAAGGGAGGGTTTTCGACAGTAGCCCAGCGGGTTGGGTCCGGGGGATCAAACTCTTCAAAAGTGTAAAGATCGCCAAGTCCATCAAGAGGTTCGTTATATGGGCCCCTCGACGAGGACGAACGTGCTTTGCCGCTCGAGGAACTTAGAGTACGCTTGTTGCGAGGACTATTTTCATCCAAGAGACTTTCACCCAATATTGGCCGCTTTCGCTTTCGGTCAGTTCCACCGTAGTGATTGTCTCGCGAATACATGACCAAGTCAGCTAGAACGGTGAGCTCTGCAACGAGGTGGCGCGGACATAAATGACCATAAAGATATACGTCATCGATGCTGTCGGTGTAAGAGCACTCGATGAAGATAGTGCGGAGTTTTCCATTAGCGATCTTTGGGGCAGCTGTTTCCCAGACACGTCGGTTCCGTGGCTCAAGGGAAATCGAATCCGGTTCAACGTCCCCGAAGACGATGATTTCATTTCCGTTTTCATGGTCGCGGAGGAAGAAAGCAGAGCTTTCAACAGTTGCTAGCATGGGCTCACCAGGGATGAGACGAGGCGATCGAGCTGGAGAATAGTATCTAAGCAGATGTTAGCGTGATTGACAGAGGTATGGTTTTGTGAAAGCTTACCCCTCTGTAGACTGGTCCACAGATATCGCTCTTGGACGCAGAAGTCTTGGCTCTCCGTGATTGAATACAGCACTTCCAACACGATGATGAACTCCGCTTTCTGGATGATATCTCTGCTTGCACCGGCCATGACTGACACTCAAACATTTAGTCACGATTCCTTGGCATGCACGAACGTATCCTCTGCTTTCTCCATTGCCGAATCGCGGGTTTCCACCCTCAACCAACCGCTGGTATGTCAAGAGACCAGCACCACCATCTTCATCCGACAAATTGGGCCAGATCACATCATTGAACACGTGGTTTTTAATAGCAGCTAGCACAGACGGCAGAGCCGCAACGGGTTTTGGCCCACTTCCCGCCTCAATGATCGGCGTGTTGATTGCCAGGCCGGAAACATGGTCCAGGTGGGGATGAGTGATAAGAAACGCGCCAATGATTTCCTGGAAGACATAGGCCGCATTAGCCTCGGCGGTCACAAAAGGTAATTTTAGACCCTTTAAAGGTCCTTCTTTCAAGACAGGTTTGGCGCGGCTAGTCTTCAAATTCGAACTTGGGACATGTGGTTTAAGTATGCGAATGATTCCCGCTAGCATAGTCCCCGCATCGACAGCTACAATTGATCCGGGAGACCAATTTGTGGACTTTGTTCGCACGAGAAGGCCGGTAGTTCGGTCTTCGCATGGTCCACCAGTGGGGCCCTAATGTGTGATGTGGTCTGGTTAGCCTTCTGTTCAGCAAATGGCAGTGTTTCATATGCCAGAACCCGAGAGGATCTGCAAAGACATCCCGAGAAGAAATTAATAAGAAACATGCCGGATGTCTTCGAAACACCCGTGTTTACAACACGTGATTCTTGTTGGAAGGTCCAGAAGTGGAATCGACCTACCAAAACAATGACCTCAAACGACGGACTGTCTGCCATTGTGGTCCTGATGTGGGGACTCCCAGTGCAGCGAAACACACCAGCTCAAGGCCAATCTTCCAAGGAGATGGATAATGATGACGTAGACAATTGATCTTTGTTTCAAAAAGCGACTGTTTCACCGGAAAGCTCAGGCAATTTGGACGACCACAGTCAAGCCAAATCCGTAGCGCGGCTAACAGACAGCTTGTGTGACCTAACTGAGTCGAGCCGAGCGACAAACGTTGAAATCCAGACCACCGCAAGGTGCGCAGGCGCAATGCGCAAGTTGTATAGGCGCAGGGATAAGGAATTTGCGGTCAAGCGCCGAGCAAAGCCACAGCGCACGGAGAGCAGGCCAAGCCAGAAATGTCCGTGCGATACAGTCTCCGCAGCAAAGTAAAGTTGTAAAATGCACCTGCGGGTAAGAGCCAGAGCCAGTTGTCGCCAGGGAAACTCTCTTCGGGAGTGGACTTCCTAGTTTGCGCAACCGCGACAGGGAGCCTGGTGCAGGGTCGGGCAGGCGCTAATGCACGCGAAACCTGCAAATACGGAGACACCGACTAGCAATGGAAGACTATTGGCTCTGGCTACCTGCACCTGCGGGGCCGGTCGTGTAATGTATCGCGTCGCAAAGCTGGCGGAGAGTAATTGGAAGCGATGCACGGGCTTGTGGGGCAAACTGATCGATAGTAACGAGACTGCGGGACTGCGCAGATCTCGACCTGGTGAGTCGTGGTTTAGAACCAGGAAACTGAGATCACTGGCCTTCAGCGTAGGCTTACCTGGGGCAATTGATAAGGGGCGGAGAAGAGGATTTACACGCGGAGAAGATTGTGGGGGGCGGCAACCCATTGAATCCACTTTTTGCGATCTGAACTTAGTATGGACTGCGGAGACTGCGTCTGGCGTAGTAGCTTGTCGCTTCTCCCTACATTTCACGATATTCTGGTCTCCTTTAACCTGTTCTATGCGCCAATGCAGTTTGTTGCCTTGGTGTTCGTTGTGGCGGCAATACATTTGATGGAACTCATAAAAGTGGAGCTGATAAAGCTATGGATGATATCCATTTCCCGATAACTGCCCGCAGAATGACGTTGACACTTCCGTATAGCTACTGTACGTGATAGAATTGGAATTTTATAGAGCACGAAATAGCCAGATTGAGATGCGCTATCGGACAATGCATCGACAGCAGGATTCCTGGGCTGATGCTAGATGACAAAATGTACAGACCTGCTGCCAAAGGATATCAAAACAAAACGCAGTGGAAAGAGCGAAAGAGAGGCGAGATGACTGAGCTCCCCTATACATGACTTCGTTGGGGGATCATGGTCCCAGTAACAGATAAACACATTGACGAAATCCCCAAACATAGACCGAGCAGAAAAAGTTGGTGCACTAGTCCTCCCAAGACTTGAAACGCCGCCTGAGTAATCGCTAAATGAAACAGAGAGAATGAAGGGTCGATACTGCTCGAAATTGTGGACCGTGAAAAGGAAAGGAGAACACCGGGGGTATGCTTGCAGACGAGAGACGTATGATGAAAAAGTGGTATAGCGGCTTGTCGGTCAAGTCACCTTTACTCATGGTGATTGTTGGAGTCCCGATCTGTTGCCGCTTGGTAGCTCGGTAAGTTTTGATATTCATGCGCATCAGTATCCACCGGAGGACTCAAGACACCGGGGCCTTGAGGTGGAAATTCCAAGGAGGCATCGCTGCCTCTGCGACTGCTCCCAGGACTCGAGTACTCAGGAGGAAGAATTCCGTCTTCGTCAGGAACTCCGGGCAAAGGATGATCAACAGTGACACTTTCTTCGCCATCGGCAATTCGACTGGACCCCTCACCAGCATCCTCATTGGAAGGGATGTGGGTCAACTGAGCAAGGGAAATATCAGTGGGAGAGCGGATTGGGCCAGGACTGACTGCCTGTGGGAAGCCCATGCTGGACCGTCTCGCCGAGTGGGCTTGGTAAACGCGCTGGGAAATTGTGGCAGCGCTCTCTCGCCCGGACTCAAGCAAGATGCTGCCGTGTTCGCTACCGTATGGTGGGGGCGGCGCGAGGCTGCCGGTCATGGGGGCCAAACCCCATTTTTTGACATTAGCTTCGATAAATACGAACCCCATCTGGCCAAAATTAACATGCACGCTGCAGGGGCCGTTCGCCCCAACGGTCGGAAATAGGTTCTGGTTGCGATAGTTGTGGGCCACGTCCTCCAATTTCTTGCCATTTCGGGTAAAGAAGATCGTACCAGACCTGGGACGGTAACCAACACCGATAACGTCGCCTTGAAGGAGCGGGGGTCCGTATGGAGATGGTTCGAAAGGCTGATTATGCCTACGGTGGCCGGTAGATTGGTAGGCAACCGAGGTTTTGTGGAAGCCTGGAGAACCAATTAGTGGCAAACTTCAGAAAATGGGCACAACAAAATCCATACCGGGCATTCGGAAAAGAGGGTAAGGCTTGGTGGTGAAGCCGACACCAATCATGGTCGACTCTGGTTTGTCGTAAATTTTGGCTTCCCAATAATAAACCTCATTCTGCTTGGGAACAGGCAGATTGGTCTGGACACTGCACTCTGAGTCAAAGAACTCAATCTCTGTGCGACCTTCCACAAAACAGTTGGCAATCTCCAGCTCAGCCTGAAATTCCCATGCTGAGACACCCTTTTCTTGAATGGCCAAGAATTGTGACAGGGAAATGTCGGTTTGCATCGATTCGGGTGGATTGGCTTGAACGAAAGCTACACGATTCAGTCAGCACGACGATTCAATAAATAAATTAAGTAAAAGATCCTCATCCGTACCTTTTGCTCGTAGATATTCCGATCGTGATAGATCATCCATACCCTCCAGAGCGGTTTCCTCCTCCCGCGCAAATGCTTGTTCATCGTCATACTCGCCCGGGCGGCCCATCCGATCGAGCATAATCCGGCCCCGGTTGGTATATTTGAAGAAAAAGAAGATCGCTAGAATCGTTAATGCGATCGCAGCGGAACCAAAGGCTGAGAAAAGCCCAATGAGAACGCCTTTGGTGGTTGAGCCGGTTGAGCCGGACGAGTTGCCACCCGATGCAACCACGCGCCCACTGGCAATTTCCGATGAGAGCGACTTGAGAACATATTGCAGGTTCGCTTCGATTTGTTGTCGCGACAAGGACGACGGGGTCTGTATAGATGGAACGGTCGACGAAATGAACCCGAGCGGTGACGTCGTCGGGCTGCCTATCACCGTTCTCAGCGTAGATGGCAGGCCTGCGAGCGCACCGGGGCCCGATGCCTCATGGCCCTGCATGGTGCATTGACTAGCGGAGAAAACTGAGGGAAATCAAAGAAACGCTAAAATAGAAAGCGCAAGATGGTCGTATGTGTGGGGGGATTGGTGAGAACGAAGAGGGAGGAATTAGGCGGAGTTGGAGGAAAGTGGAATGATAAGTGGGCGAAAGCGGATCTAATTGCTTGGTTTATCTAACACGCTTTCGGGCGCAAGTTACAGTCACAGTAGCGAAGGCTGTTTTCAATATGTAATCTATCATAAAGACTAAAACCTGTTATTTTATACTTTTAAACCTCCCTTCCTCAATCCCTATAAACTCCTATACTTTCGCTGTGTCAGGAATGGCAGTACCGTTGATAGGGTGGCACTGCGTACAGTACGCCAAAAGGCGGAGCCATCCCTACTCAGGATAAGCCTCCCTCTTCTCCTCTTCCCCTCTCGCGTGGCTCCTTACTTGCAGAGGAACGTAAAGGAGAAGTGATCCCTCTCATTCATTCTCCGCACAGACTTCAGAATCACAGGATGGGCGCCATCACTCGAGGTACTCCCTTGGCGGGCCCAGATGTCATCATAAACTCAGTCGACGCCTACCAAATCCGCCTTGCCGTGACAGGCACCTCCTGCGATAAATACCCAGGTGAGCATCACTTCTCTCGTAGGGAACCAGGAGTCACGCAAAGGACTACAACATGCTCTAACATGCCTCCTGATGACCTTGCGACCTCCCTTCCACCTCCCACCGGATCCCGACCGGTGATCATGCCGACGCCGAGCTAACACGAGTCCCAGCCAAACAGCATGCGCGCAACGTCGCCCGCAGACTCGGCACCTCCCACGGCCTCATTTTTATCGCCGGAGAACCCACAGCCTTATTGCGCGACTCCGATCAAGAGCGCCCGTTCCGACAGCGGCGATACTTCTACTATCTGAGTGGTGTAGTGGAGCCGGAATGCGCCCTGACATACGATATCGGTTCAGACCTCCTGACGCTCTATGTGCCGGACTTTGACCTTCATCGGGCCATATGGATGGGTCCGACTCTGGACCGAGAGGAGGCAATGGATAACTACGATGTCGACCGCGTGCTTTATCAATCATCGCTCCAACAAGAGATAGGATCATGGCTAAACAAGCGAGCTCAGAGCAGCTTGTTGTATACGGTACATGCTTCGGAGCTTCCGAAGGGCTTACCGGCTGAGCTGCCGCTGGACTCATCACAGCTCCAGCAAGCCATGAATGCAGCTCGAGGAATCAAGGACGAGTACGAGATCCGAATGATTCGCAAGGCGAACGAAGTATCTGCGCTGGCGCACCGGAAAGTCCTTGAAGGCATCCAGAAGATGACGAATGAGTCACAGATTGAGGGACTTTTCCTTGATACGTGCATTTCTCATGGTGCTCGGAATCAGTCATACCAGATCATTGCAGGATCGGGACCGAACGCAGCCGTTCTCCACTATTCTCGGAACAACGAGTCTCTGTCTGGGAAACCTCTTGTGTGCCTTGATGCCGGTGCTGAGTGGGAGTGCTATGCTAGTGACGTAACTCGGACATTTCCCCTCAAAGGCGAATGGCCCAGCAAATACGTAGCAGATATCTATAAGCTGGTCGAGCGCATGCAAGAAGAGTGCATCAAGGGGATCCGACGAGGCACACGCTTTCTCAATCTACATGACTTAGCCCATGATATCGCGATTGATGGCCTGTTGGCTCTCGGCGTCTTGAAGGGTGGCTCACACGCCGAGATTCGTGAATCAGGTGCATCGAAGGTTTTCCTCCCTCATGGACTGGGCCACCACGTTGGACTCGAGGTCCATGATGTTTCTGAGTCAGAGATCATGGCCATGCACCCTGGCCTTGACCAATCTCATTATGGCCCGGTCATGAATTATGGAGTTTGTCGGTCCCCTTGCACAGTTTCTGCCCCATTGTTGGAAGAGGGCATGGTGGTAACCATTGAGCCGGGACTTTACTTCTCGCCCTTGGCTCTTGCCAATGCCCGTAAGCAACCCTTGGCTAAGTATATCGATTTTGAGGTTGCGAACAAATACGTTCATATCGGTGGTGTGCGTATTGAAGATGATATCCTCGTCACGGCGAATGGTTATGAGAACCTTACTACTGCACCGAAAGGAGAGGAAATGCTAGCCATTATTCGGGGATCTTCATAGGCTTGTTTGAAGACTTCTAATATACACAAATGCAACTCTGCGGGGGCATTATTGACATACTTCCCTGAATTGGAGATTTAAAATCAAATTCGACTATGCTTTATACAAAGTGGACAGGACCATGGTAAACTTTGTGTTCTTCCTTGATTACTCCGCTCTGCCTCCCTGGACCGCGCTTGTTTACAAAATGCTTGAAACTTGGGCAATATGATTTTCCATTACAGCATATGTAGAGCAGAATTGGTGATTCCTTTGTCCCTGAGCTTTGCAATGACCTTTCGCAAAAAGTTCACCAGCGCTTGCCTAATCAAAGGACGCACCTGTGATCCACCGAGTCATCAAATCCACCGCAATATCAGGACGATCTTGAGGAAGCTGCCAGAATGAATCCCATTAGTAACATTAATCATCAAACAATAGGGAGCCTTACGAAGTGACCAGCATTATCAACAGTGACAATAGCAAATCGCGATTCAATTTCAACGTCATCGCTCGTGCGAACCCTGACCTCCTTCATCGTTCCGACTACCTCTTCCGTGCCAGTCGCAGCAACAACCGATTTCCACGGCTTGAGCGACTTGGATGCAAATTCAGCTTGTCCTTTCCAGACCAGCGAATTCGCCCAGCGGAGGTTTCCAGCAGTGTTGCATGCAAGGTCAAGATTGCCTTGGTAAGCTAGATAATGAACCTGGTTCTGCAGCAAATAAGTGACTTGGTCATCAGTAGATGTCTCTAGATCCGCGGTCTTTTGGAATGAATTTGAAATTCTGTCAGAGGTAATGTTGTAATGTTTTATCTGTTTCGGCGGCAAGAGCGCATCCCAGATTTTCGGGGTGTTCAGATATTCCTGAATCCATGAAGCTTCGACATAGCAAATGTTGTCATATTCGCAGGGATGGGTGACTATGGTATGTAAGCAAAGTTTTGAGCCTGCCTCCGAACCCAAACGAGTTTCTGCCTGTTCTGTGGCGAATGGACTTACTATCGAACCTATTGCGGCCGCCCTTGAATTCGGCCTCGTTGTCATACAGACTAACAACACCGTCCCAGCAGACTTTGCTTGCGACATTGCAGATGGCAGGATCAGGGTTACGAATGCAAATATCCATGACTTCCATGCAGCGGGGCATATTGGCAGCCATAAAATCGCATCTTGTCTTGTTGAATACAGGCTCTGCAACTCCCGGGTTGGTAGTGCACAGGGTTTCCCAGTATCCAAACGCCGAGTCTTTTGGAGACATGTACCCATCTCCCACCAGACACGATCGAAGCTGAACTTGGGGTTCATTTGGATAGAGCTTGTTTTGCTTGACAATTTGAGTGCCAAGAGCCGGAATATATTTTCCCTATGTTCCACGATTTAGCACAAACAGATGATGACGAAGGAGCCTGAATATTCATCGAAAGAGGAGATCATTTCTTACTGCATAAGATTCACCAGACAAATGGAAAGAACTGTTCAGATGCTGGGGGAAGACTTCTGAAATGAAGAGCTGCAAGAATCGATGCATATCCACAGCAGCAGTCGCAGAATCGCCGGGTAATTCAAAACCCTCATCAAGATAGGAAAAGCCAACATCCACGGGCTGATCAACAAATAGCATTGATGAATTTCGAGACCATCCAAAGGGGTTGTACCTGGTACTGTTGCCGTCTTTGTTGATGAGACAGGGTCCAACCTCTTCGAAGAGGCCGATCATGCTGGACCCGCCAGGCCCACCTGTCATCCATAGGGTTAATGGGTCATTGACAGGGTCGTTCTGACTTTCAAAATACCAGAAGAAAAGATGTACGGGCCCGATATCCAGCCAACCGGTGTATTGTGCTGAGCCAGCTGCACAGATTGTTTCATCTTGCTGGCGAATACGGATTGCATGGTCGCTATGTTGACTCTGGAACACGCGAAACCCATCGATGTTCTCAGGGCGGAGGACCTGTTGAGAGGCTGCATAGCCTAAGCTGAAATAACTAGCAAGTGAGAGGAGCCGCATTAGAAGGGATTGGCTATGAAGATGCTATCACAGAAGATGAAAGTGAAATCATTAAGAGAACTGCTGCTGCCTTTTTCCCCATGCTTACAAGGCTAGACCGTCGGGGCTCCGACGTAAGCGGGGTCAGTACAGATCTAGATAAGAGGCAGCCTTCTGTAAGCTTAGTTATATGTTATCTGGATCTAGAATAGCAATATTGAAGCAAATTAAGCCAGAATTGTGCTATTGATGCATAAGGAAAGGTGCACGATGGATATGACATAACTTTAGATCAATTACCCGCTTTTATCTCCAGATCGTCGCATTATTTGCCGACTTTTGTCGGCTTCGGCTTCGTACTCGTATTGTGGGCCTGGTTTAGGAAATTGAAGTACATTATTGCGCGTATCAGAATTGAATGAATTCTAACACGACCCCTTAACCAAGAAATGTCCCCAGAATCCCGAATTTATGCACTAAAATCGGCTGCTCAAGATGCCGACTCACTATTTCGATGTCGATCCTCCCTAGAATAGACATTCAGCCCCGCAACGTGGTCTTTCATAAAGTTGGGACCTCGCCCCGTGGTGAGAGTCCAGCGAGTGGTATTCATCATTAAGGCAATCATGCGTAGAGACGTTGTATCAGAATTGGTTTTCTGGGCCCGCCCCGAAAACCAGCCCTTCGTCTCGGACTTTACCAAGGAGAAGCCGGAGGTGTGCATGGCTGCCATGAAGCAGGAGGAAGAGAAGCATATGGTCACAGTGCATGATGTTCGTGGACAGGAGTCACAATTCACCCTTGACGGAAATGGGTTTCAGTATGCGCAGCACGACATTCCAGGGATGGATAGAGCCGAGGATCCTACACACGTGGAAACTGTCATCATCCCTCAAACAGAGGAGTTAGTTCGGAATATGTCAGTGAGCATCTGGAGTGATATACGAGAGCCAGGGCAGCTAACCCCACTAGAACTGGCGCGACCAAAACCATCACCTTTGCTCACCGTGTGCGATGTCTTGCGGCGGATGAAAACCTCCTTGCCAATAACCGCGCTCCAGCCCATAGTGTGCATTCGGACTTCAGTGTCCCAGGAGCCTTCCGCATGCTCGAGACAATCATTCCCGACCCAGAGGAGAGACAACAATTACTGAAAGGACGTGTGGAGATCATCAATGTCTGGCGACCATTGAAGAAAGTGGAAAGGGATCCCTTAGCGGTGTGCGACTGGACCACGCTCGACCAGAACGATATTATCCGTCATCGGCTTGTCTTGCCAACTGGCTGGAATGAGCTCGGGAAATATGTCTTCAATCCATCGCAAAAATGGTGCTATCTCAGCTCGCAGCAGCCACAAGAAGCGTTGATTTTCAGGCAATTCGACAGCCGTAAGGCAGATAAAGGGGGCATGAGTCTACCTCACACGGCATTTGTGGATCCGGATTCGGCCGACGGGCCTGCAAGGGAGAGCATCGAGATCAAGATGTTTGCCTTTTCTGACGTTACCCACGTGTGCCAATGAGACAATTTTCCAAGAATGCGTGGTCGGCGTGGTTGTGGGAATGCGGCATTTTTGGCATTGCGCAGATTGTTCTAGGGTCTGTAGCGAAGAGACCTTACATGTACTACAGGAATGCTTGGTCATGACTTTTCCCGCATCGACACACATGGGGGCGTAAATGGATTTTATTGAGTAATTTGGTCCATGAAATACGGAGTCTGCACAAACTCCGAAACAAGTTTCGAGTGACTAAAATGCTACTATTAGTAGACTGAAAAAATTTTCATGTTGGTCTGAGCTGTTCATAGCGTAGCTTTAGTCTCGGAGAGCTGACATTTTCTCTCCGAAAGAAATGGTCTATGCTTTTTTTCAAAGTTTTTTTTCTCGCTGCAGTAACAAAGGGGGTGAAAAGGGTGAAAAAGTCGGGTGTAACAGGCTTGATTTCCGTTGCCTGATGTGATCTCCGTTCGGACCGTACGGCACTTACGCCTTAAAGGTACTCTGCAGCCTATGACTGGAATGGTCTGGATCCGCCCGGCATCGGAGTCCAGGATTTTAGCTGTCAGGGACCCGAGTGGCCGATCTATTTTGCTCTTTCGTCATTTTGTGGCCCGACGGTGTTTCACACATTCCAGACCAGGTGTAAAACTCTGCCGAAACATCCTGTTTGTCAAAGGGAAATGCCGCAAAGCTGCTCAGAATTGATGAGATTGATGAATTGCTCATCAATCCCAAGTCAAAATCACGCGATGAGAATGTCGTCAACTGACTGACGCATCGGAGCACGCCTTTTGCGTAAGCTAGTGTCAGGGTTTGGCGCCATTTTTTAGAGCAATTTGGTGATCTGCCGGGTTGTGGTGGTTCCACCATCGAAGAAGTGGGGCCATTTTGCCTTTTTCTCCCCTGCGTGACTCACCTAACGACTCATACTATGGGGACTGCAGCTGCAGCTATTTTAAAAGCTCCTCAACCCCTGTAGTCGATCGTTTTCTTTTCTCCTGCACCTCATCTCATCCTTTCCCAAAGGGGGTGATGGTCACTCCTCTCTGTCTATAAAAGTTCTTTGCATCCCCCATTCCATTCTCCCGGCTGGGGAAGTCCTCCCCCGATTTTCTTCTACATCCTGTCGAGGATGGGCCAGAGGCACAATCGACGCCGCACTCGTCGTTCATCACACCGAACAATCAACCAAGACACAACTGCCGCCAAGTACGCCTCGGGTTCTCCTATATTGGCTCCATCTTCCATTTGGTGCCCGCAACCCAGTCCATCCGGATCACCAGCGGCCAGCTATTCGACTGCATGCATTCGTCGTGGATCTCCGGTCCTAGTACCCGCCCCTACCTGGCACTATGGGTATTCAGCATGGCAGATCCGTGAAACCAAACCGCAGGAAACTGGTGGACTCCAGGCCGAGCAGTATCGTCTATTCGGTGGTGAACCAGGTGACGATGTGAACCTTTGTTACCGTATGCTGGAGTATTTTGGTGGTCTCGACTACATCGACTCGTGAGTCAAGTTCGATATCGATTATTTTTACGAAACTATATCTGACTCATCTCGATATAGAGCACGACACAGGACCATCGGAGATTGAAGATCCAGGACTTTCCAATTTCTTTTTTTTTTTCAGCTGGTATTTCCCAGAAAAAGCAAAATGAAAATAACGACCACGACTTTTTATTGCGGTGATTTTATGGTTTTTCATCCGACAACACCAAAAAAAAACCCGCCGAGCTTGGCCAGAGGACAACCATCCTCCGCCTACAGCGCGCCCACTTCTACCAAAGAACACCAGACCACATGGGCACACCCGGGTCCCCGACTCGTAGCAATGATGGTACCTCAGGTACCGGATTGGTCCCTTTTGACCCGGCCATGTGGATCCTGGATCACGATTTTGCACCGACTTGGATGAGTCACGAGCAAGACTCCGCTTGATTCATTGGTTGAGTTCGCGACCGACCCTCACGGGTCGTTGACGCTTGAGTTCCCACTGAGTCATGCAGGAACTAGCTTTGACTTTTTGCATCTCAGAGTGTATTTCTGTTCTATCCCACTTCATATCATGAATTTTGGAGGCAGTTGTTTGGGCAGCCGCATACAGTCGGTGAAAAATATTCGATTCTCATGACGATACTTGTACATGTCAGCAGCTTGGCCTTTTACCTGAGCATATGCACAAAATCGAATTTATTCAAAATTATTCAAAATTATTCAAAATAAAACAAAATTCAACTACGGAGTATCTTTCAATAGTTCCTATGTGAGACGTAGAATTACTAGATGTAGTTAGTCGAGTCGATCCTTTGGTGCAATGTTGTCCTTTGCTCACCGCCCACGCCACACAAAGGCACAAAGACAAGCGCACTTGTTATTGGGTAGGCGGTGAGATGCTTAAGGACACGGTCATCACCAGATCAGGAAGGGCCAATAACTCTCCCTTCATCGCTCCTTTGTTTCGCTACGGGCCATGATAGAGGTTCCGCTGATTACTACTTCTTTTTAATATTCTCGAGCTTCTTCTACATTTCCTGTCCTGAGTGACCCGCCAGATTTGCATAAACACGATCTTTAAATTCCGCGGCGGCGCTATCGCCCTGAAATCGCCGCAGGATGTCATCAGACTACACTTACGATGAGCAGGTAGGCAAAAGGCAGACACAATAAGACCGAGTGCTTTCAAGTTTACTAACGAGGGCTTGGTGCTCTTGCAGGGCCAATTCTTCCCCTTCTTCATCTTGACCTTGAGCGGCCTGGTCACGCTCCCTCTTACCTACAACCTTCTTCGACCAAGCAAAGGTGCGTCTGATGGTCAATTTCAGAGGCGTTGTTGTATGATATTGATTATGATCGTTTGAAAGATCTTGAAAACACCGCACCCCGCATCAAATCCGATTTCAAGCCCGAACATGCGGACCTCGTCGAGGCGCAGAAGCGCAAGCGTCTGCGCAAAGAGCGCCGTATCAAGCGCATTATCACAGTTATCCTAGGATATATCGTTATGGCGTGGATGGTTTACCTTATTCTCGTCACGGCCCGCACAACCACAAAGTCATACGACCCATATGATATTTTGGGCGTCTCAAGGGTGAGTGCTATACTGGAGAGCAGCTGTAGGCTTCTAAGAATTTCATGCTGACAGAATACTCCAATATAGAGTGCCGACGAAAAAGCCATCTCCCGCCACTACAAGCGTCTCTCCCTCGTCTACCACCCAGACAAAATCCGCCCCGACCCCGCCAAGAATGAAACTGTTGAGATGCTGAACGACCGCTTCGTCGAACTGACCAAGGCTTACAAGGCGCTCACCGATGAAGAGATCCGGAACAACTACCTCCAGTATGGCCACCCCGACGGCAAGCAAAGCTTCAGCATTGGTATTGCGCTTCCTAAGCTTATTGTTATGGACGGCAATGGAAAATACGTATTGCTAGTATATGGTGCCCTTTTGGGTGTTCTCTTGCCGTACATCGTTGGCAAATGGTGGTATGGTTCTCAACGCTACACCAAGGAGCGTGTTCTTGTGGCTAGTGCTGGAAACATCTTCCGCGAGTACAAGGACGACATCACTGATAACGGCATCATTGGTGCCTTGGCTTCGGGCGAAGAGTTCAAAGACATGCTCAAAGGCGACAAGGCCGAGTCAGGGCTTGCTAAGCTGGAGAACAAGGTTTTAGCTGGGGAATCCTCCTTCTTGTCTGCAAAGGATCGCGAATCTCTGAAGACACTGGATAGCGTTACCCGTCGGAAGGCTCTGGCTTTGCTTTGGGCTTACATTGGCCGGGTTGATCTGGGCGATGCGGCTTTGAATGCGGAAAAATACGAGGCTGCACCCGTTGCGCTAGCTCTCACGGAGGCATTCACGGCCATTGCTCTTGCGTTTGGTAACCTCCGACCGATTATTGGTGCTTTCAAGGCTTCTCAGAGCTTGATCCAGGCTGTGCCTGCGACCTCCTCTCCTCTCCTGCAATTGCCAAACTTTACCGATGAAGTTGTCAAGGCCGTTGAGGGAGCAGACTCCAAGACCCACCTCACAGTTCAAAAGTTCATGCACCTCTCAGACAGCGAGCGACGCAGCCGTGCTGTAGGAGCTGGCCTTCTCACTGAGAAGCAGTACACTGAAGCTATCTCCGTTGCAGAGCAATTACCTGCCCTGGAAGTCTCCAAGGCATTTTTCAAGGTCATGGGAGAGAAGTCCGTTACGCCTAGCAGTCTGGTACAGCTGGTTGTGAAGGCTCGATTCATTCCCCCGGGCTGCAAGGATATTCCCGCCGTCAACCAGTTAGATCTCGAGGACATTGACCCCGATGAGGATGATCTGGATGCTCTGATGGGCCGCAAGCCGGCTAAGAACCGCGCTACCAAGATGGTTGATGGCAAGAAGGTTGAGGTCAAAGTTGAAAAGGTCCAACCGCCACTCGCCCACGCACCCTTCCTCGCCCGCGACCACTCCCCTCGCTGGAACATTTTCCTCGCCGATGCTAAGCAGGGCAAGATGGCCGTTCCACCATTCACATTCACAACATTCGACAAGCCGATCCTCAACGAGGCCGGCCAGCCCACCTTCAACGTTCAGACCCTCAAGATGCAGTTCCAAGCTCCTCCGCAAGTTGGCGCCTTCACATTCATTCTGAACATGATTTGCGACAGTTATCTGGGTCTAGACACCCAGCTGCCAATTACCCTACACGTCGAAGATCCCGCCAAGGCAGCAGCCTTGGAAGAAGAGGACGACATTAGTGAACCGGACGAGGGTAAGTTTTATTTGCAGTCTGTGTCCTTTACCACTGATACTAACCATTTGACAGACTCTATCGCGGGCCAGATGCAGGCGCTCAAGACCGGCCAAGCCCCGAAAAAGAAGACACGGAAGCCTTCCGATTCCTCCAGCGAGGAGGAGAGTGACACCGACGGCGACGCAGGCGATACCAGCGACACCAACACAGAAACGGAAGATGAGGACTGATCGCATTTGATTTGCATTCATTGAACGATTGTACCCAGGACTGGTGTTACATTACGCTTCCCATTCCGATTGATTAGGTTCGATCTGGGTCTTTACACTTTTTTCCAACAACCATTTGTACCGTTTTTTTTTCTCATGTTTTCCCACCGGGTATAGTCGGGGTATTTCTTTTTCTCTTTGCAACTTGGCTCCAAGGCTGGTATTTTGCCTATGCCTCCCCCCCTCATGTTCATCTACTTCATCATCCGTCAGAAATAGACGGGGGAAATACAAAATACAAAATTACCTACAACCAAGTCCGTGAATCAATCAAACATATCCACTTGTTGAAGCTGTATTGCCTAGGATCGAGCTCGCCGCTTGCATATCCACAGCGTCCTTGCGTGTCTGTACTACGTGCTTTCTCGCACGGATACCTGGGGCTGCTGGTAATAGTTAAGCAGAGGAGCGGGGGCGAGCTATGAGGCGTCGCACGTAGACGAACAGCACCGATCTTCCGGGGTTGTCTGTGCGCTTGTACCTGTACGCCTCGATCGAGATTATCAGGATCCTGGGTTTATGCTGGCAGCTTTCGAGACATCTTGTGTGGTGGATCTGTTTTCTTCACCGTAGTTCTAGGATGGGTCTAGATTTTGGTTGCGTTCAGACCTCTGAAATGATTGCCATTGACTTGAACTTGGTTTGAGGATGGGTATTGGGGGAATTGTAGCTAAAAAAATTTGCAGGTCTTCATATACAGATGTTATTCCCTCTACATGTATTGATACAGTATGTCAATGCCACACCCTTCCCGTTCCTTTGCTCTCAGTCTGAAATTAAGCGAGCATATTTAGGCTTTAGTTATTATGATTACCTTGATAATCTGGACCTCGCTGACCCTGGTATCGACTTGTACTTCGGTACCTACCTAGTGAGCCATTCTAAGTTCTAGGTGGCAACAGGTTTTATAGATCCTCGCTTCGTGAATCCGATGACAAAAGTTTAACAACGCGAGCTAGGAAGCCGCCATTAAACCAGGAACATGGAGCTGATGTGATAACTTACTAGTTTCATAAATGGTTACAATCATTGAATTAGTCAGTTTTTAGTCAACTATTTGAGTGGGTTTGATCACTTCGCCAAACTAGGGTATCCATGGATGGTGATGTGCTGGACGATGTGCAGAAGAAATGACCACCGTCTGTGTCAGCATACCCAAGCAGTAAATGGAGTCTCCATGACGAGATCTACATGTTATACTCAGCAAGTAAGCTAATATCCTTTTCCTTAGATAAATAATATCTGCAACCAGTGGTATAAGTGCACGGTCACCCTCACAGGCGGCAGCTAAAAGAGAAAGCCCCGATCAACAAGATCTATCAACAGACCAAAACAAAATATCAAGTTTCTATTGTTAAGCAATACCCTAAATGTGTAGCCTAAATGTCTTAACCGTAAGCATATGTCCAAGTCAGTCAAGTATCACAATGTACATGCCACATGTACCCCAGTCCATCGGAGCCTTGTATTCATCGTACACACAATCTACCGGTCATTGTACAGGGGAGCTTGAAACACCTGAATTGATGGTCGAGTCTCGTATCCCAATCTAGATACCAGAAATAGAAGAGGAAAGAGAAGTCAAAATGAAAAAGGTCGTAAACTCCGAAAGTGAAGAAATGTTCCAGACATATTCAATGCACGAGATCCTCCAAAAACACCGATCAATTTGCAAGCTTGCCTGAGTTCTGATGCATGCGATAAAGAATGGCAAAAGGGGTATGAAAATTGATCTCTTCAATCTCGTCTCGGGACTTCATAGGCAAAGCGTAAGCGAATGGAGTATAAGCCAGAGAAACGAGAGAAAAAGGCCAAGTATGGAAGATATAGATAAGAAAAGAAAGTAAAAGGAACATAAAAGTGATCCCGCTGCTCAGCAGCCCACCCCAATCAAAAAGAGAAAAGAAAGGACGAGAAAAGCCTCATCGCACTCTATGTTGACGGAAAAGACCAACCCGGCGTAAAACCCGGAAAATAAGGCGAATCCTGCGCCTGAAACGGAAAATCACCCAACAAATCCCCAGAAACCCCCATTTGGTGCTGCATCGGCCGCATAATCCCCGTATGCATCCTAGCCGCCGGTTTCACATCCTGCGTCTCAGCACACCCATCAAGATAATAATACCCCTGCTCATGACGATTGCCATGCGGAAGCGAAGACCCCGCAATATCAACATGATGAGGTGAGATTTCTGCTGGTCCCAGATCCAAAGAAGTCATACCCGCTGACCGTGGGAGGTTCATGAGATTCTGGTATCCCGGGTCTGTGTAGTTGTTATACCCCGTGCTACCTTGCGGCATGGATTGTATATCCCAGCCCCAATTAGGTGGATTGCGGTTCATCGGGGGTGTAGGGGTCGGATTTGTGCAGAGGGATGGACGGGACATTCTTGTCGGGGATGGCTCTGGGGGTGTCGTTGGTTCCGGAGACGGTTCTGCTGTCGCGCTACATTCTGTTGAGGTTGAGAGGAGACGGAGGTAGCGGAGATCTTCTGAGTCTTCGTCTGGCTCGTCGGCGTTTTCTTCGGCTTGTTTGATAAGTCCTAATCTGTCGAGGATGGCGTGGGTTAAGGGATGGCCATCTGGTGCTTCTTCGAGCGGGTCGCCTGGGAAGCCTTCGTTTGTGATGCAGAATTTGTATAATTTCTGGAGAGCTTTGACGACTAATGAGTGGTGGGATTCGAGCATCTCGACGAATCTGGATGTGATTGATTAGTTTGGTTTGTTACATACTGGGTTCGGTACAGCTTACCCTCGAGAATAGACTTTGGTCTGAGTAGCTTTTCGCTCGCGGAATAGACATGGGTGGTTGTAGACGGAGCAGCGATTGCAAGGTTGCTTCCCATCGCACTTCAATATCTTTTAGTGCCCTATGTCCCATTGCACACATAGTGGTTATACACACCTTAGTCTTCTTAACTCGACATCGATCACACGCTTTCAGAACATGCTTCCGTTTAACCCGAAAAACACGTTGATCCCGCTTCTCATCACCTCGTGAGCGATGTTCTAATTCCGATAATGAAGCGACAGCAAAGTCGTCAATGCTATGTGGGAAGCCCTTGGGGCGTAACTTCGGTTGCCACGACATATCACGGATGCGCGGGTAGGATGGGAGAGGAATGAAGCAGGATACAGATCAAAATATAGAAATTGGAACCTAGTCTTAGTGGAAGTGGACCAGGAAACTATAGCCTGAAAGATATGCAAAAAGCAAAAAAAAAAGAAAAATCAATCGAGCAGGTGGGGTGGATGATATGGACTTCAGCCGCCTGCATAGACCTTAATATCATGCAAAACCGGGGCCAAACACTCCCCGCATGCCCCGCGGTGAAGGTGACGTGGAGCGGTCAGAAAGTCAACTCGAGTGCGTACAGGGATGATTCCATACTGTACCCAGTCTACTCATACAGTATTTACCCACACGGTCCGAGCCGCGAGTGGAGATTTCACTTTCTCTGCAGTATGGAAACCCGGTCTTTTGGGCAGCAGAGAGTAACGGCTTGTCGCACTGATACACGATCAAGATCGACACGTGTGGCAGATTACCATACAGAGGCGAAGGTCAATGCGTGTACATATCAGGTGACATCCTGGTTGTCCATGCACCGAAACGTGGTACGGCGTGATATGCCCTTGACCATGGGTAATCCCGGAGGTTGTTATCTGGTCTGCAGTGCCATACCTGTGGCTTACAGCTAGAGAACAATGAACACTTGGACCGACTGCCTCGAGAGAATAAATGCCAGTCTATATGTTGCCCGTTACGTTCATGGTTCTTCCTTCTATTCCCCCTCGTTGGACTCGTTCCCCTAACTCCTACCTATTCGGTAAGTGGGCAACACAAGCGCAACGAGGTGTACGATCAGATCCCGCGCTGACATTGGCAAGGCTGTGGCCCTAATCAGAACGGACTCTGAGATCGATGGTGGAGATTGCAATCTCTTTTGAATTTATTTCTTCCCTTGGTATAGGGCAAACGGTGTGACGGTGAACTGGACATTCTATTTAATGCACATGCAATACGTTCTGAACCCCAACAGGGATGTGGTGTTTTGGTCATATTGATCTAGGATCTGAGCCCTGAGCCCCTCTGCGAATTCAGGATTCACCGGTTAAAAAAAAAAAAAAAAGAAAGCAGAAAGGGCAAGTTGAACCCGGTGACCTTGCGAGACTACCCGATTATTGAATCGGTAAATGCAGTATCCGTCATCCGTCCTCCGGTCCTTATGTCCGTCACGCCCTGTCCGAAAGCAACGGTGATCAACTGTGCTGCGTAGCTGTGGATCCAGCTGCACGTCTACAATTAGTGCGGGAGCTTCGATGGATTTCAATCCTACGGGCCACGAGGCGCCCAACCACACAGAAAGAAATGGAAACTCAAATTCATATCTGCATCTATCTAACTAGATCTATACAATTTAGTACCGTTGGGGAGGGGCACAGCCCGAGTGGCCCCCTGGTCAAATGGTGTCTTTTCCGTTTCTACCCCTTTCGTCGCCGAAACCTGTCAGACTGGAGCTAGTGGGACCCCTACTGTTGGGAAAAGGTGATTCAACATGCATACTCCATCATTACCCGATTACCTCGGGGGAAATGCGAGTCAGATCAGCAGGACAACGTAGTTTCTTGCGCTTTTTTTCTGCGAGGTACGGCGGTCCGTCCATCCACCGAAACAGGAGACCGTCAGCTTTCTCACAGAGGGACGTTTGCCCATTGGAGCCTAACGCTTTTCCTTTCTCATTCTCCGAGTTTCACATTGGGGAGTAGAATACTAGCTTCTCCCTTCGCAAGCAAATCAAAACTCTCCTCGCTCGTCGGCGAACTAGACGCCGGGTGGTCAGGCGGCAAGTCGTATACATTGCCCTCCGACTCTGACTTGTTCTGAGTCTGACCTTGCCACCGGCGATCCCCTATCCATTCAATTCCATCCCCCGCATCACGGGTGCCAACCGGGCGACTCTCAACCTCACGCTCGAGGAGAGACAACTCGTTTTGTGTAGTCTCCCCCCAGGTAAGGAGCGGCAGATGACGATGGTGCCACTCGCCTAAGAACATCCCTTCCGGGTCGACTTCTTGCCGCACCTTCATCCATTCTTCCATGTCCTCCCCGTACAACCCGTGAAGCTCCGTGGGCCCGAGGACATTGAAGTTCTTAGCCCAGTGAGGTTTGGCATCCATGTCCCGCATGAGCCATTCAAAGGCCTCGTAGTAGCGTTTTCGGCACGGCGGATCCCGAAGATAAGGCCGATAGAGCGTCGCGTTCAAGTAGAGCGTCGGACCATCGCGACATGTCGGGTCCAAGTAGGGACGAGGGCGAGGATTCTTAGTTGAATCTGATACGCGCACTTCGATCGGACAATGCACATAGAGACCTTTGCTAGAGAATGGGATGCCGGCAGTCTTGCTGTCGCCGTGCAACCAGGCGGAGAGACGGATGATAGCTTCGGGCCCCTTTTCTAATGGGAGTGCCCATTCGTTGACAAATTGCGAGTACAGACAATTCATCAGAAGACCAGCTCGTGCTGGATCAACCGCTTCCGTGACCGTGCTGCCTGGTCGGAAGCCGTACTGCATACCGAAGACGAACCATTCCACCCACGGCAGAACCCGGGGGAAATACGAGGATAGCGCTAGCAAGTTGTGGTAGATGTGGTACCCGAGCGACTCGCCGTAGAAGTTCTTAGGGGCTGCGCGCAGTGGGAGATCAGTCTCGTCGGCGTGCCAGACGATCGCGCCCTTCTCATATGGCATCCACCAGACACGGACGAATTCATGAGACGTCCACAGTCCAGTCGTCCACTCACTGATGACTTGCGACAGCGAATATCGCTCTTGGCGCCAGGCGATCTTGAACGCCGGCCGCGCCTTGAAGGTCACCTCGACGACGATTCCGAGCGCGCCAAGGGAAACAAGGGCGGCGCGGAAGAGTGACTCATTGTTTGTGGCACTGCAACGCACTAACTGGCCATTGGGTAGAACGAGACTCAGTGCTTCAATGCATTCTGAGAGTAGTCCGTGGCGCAGAGAACTTCCATGGGTACCTGTCGCAATAACTCCCGCGATTGACTGACTATCGATACTTCCCAGATTCTCCAATGTTAACCCTTGTTCTTCCAGCTGAGGGCCCAGGTCGTGCAATCGGATACCGGCCTCAACGGTGACCATCCGGGTTTCAGGGTCGATGTGTAGAATGCGATTGAAATCATCGAGGTTAACGAGCCAGGACGAGGTGCAGGTCAGATCGGAGGGGGAGTGACCGCTGCCGACGGTCACGATGCGGCGGCGACATCGACGGGCGAGGGTGACTAGCTGCTGAATCTCCGGGATGGTCTGTGGGCGGATATAGAGCTCGGGGCGAGAGTAGAATGTTTTGGCCCAGGTGTGGTGAAGGTGATCGGTTGAGGCGCGGAAGGGAACCGCGGAGTCGAGCTTCGACAGCTCACGAGTGATAGTAGGGTCCATGATGTGAGTAGATGAAATGATCACGGCATGCTGTAGGGCACGATCACATTGTCTGTCCAGTCGGGATTTGGTGGGGGGAGAAAGGGGAAGGAACGGCGCTAGGAAAAATATATATTTGATGGCGACATGGATATGGATCGGCCCACTTTACTTTGTTATCTCCGTTCCCCCACTTTTCTTTTTCGATCTCGCTGTCCACGGGTCATGCTTCTAAGGTTCACTTCAACGTTTCACAGTACTCGAGAATTTTTACAACTGCTATGTATCATGCATGTCAAGATCAATTACTTTAATCATCTCATCATCTATCATTTACTTGCAGCCTTGCAATCTCTCGATAAGCCACGGCTCGGAATAGGTGTGTACCGCCACTACGGATAGGCAGCCATCCAATAATGCACCAGCACTTTAGACACCAATACCAACTTACTGAGGCTGAAAAAATAAGTAGAAGCTCATAATTTAAAAGTAAGATCCAGTCTTTTTTACATGGTTTTGCATATACCGATGAAATGCTCGCAAATGTGACACATATACAACCTAGATGCTCCCGATGCTCCTCTAGGGACACAGTAATGGTAAAGACTCCAGCCACCCATAAATGCTCTCTTTACAGGGTCGAAATATGCACAGAGAACAAAACGAAATAAAAAATATGAAGAAGACACAGATAGTGAAAAGGAAAAAGAAATGCAAGTAGATAGGCAGTACAGACACAGGACGTTCTTACTCAGCCGGAGAACGAATCGCTTCGATCGCCACGTCAAGAGGGAACACGCAAGGAGCGTGGAGAGAATCAACGTGCCATTTTCTGAAGGCGCTTTGGCATCGATCCGGGATACCACCGAGCGCGACGAAACTCTTCGGGATAAAGGGTCGATCTTGGAGCGAGGCAGCGAGGATGCCGTACTCGTGTGCGAAGACCACGGCCGACGTGAAGTCGGCGGATTTTTGTGAAGCTTGTTCGCCGACAATCACGTAGATCTCGAAGAAAGTATCGAGGACGTAGACATCCTTATCTGTCAAGTCTCTGTAGCAGAAGGGTTCGATCTCCTGGACAGTGTCATTGGGTCGGACAGTCGGGGATCCAGAGCCAGGACGGCGCATCCAGAAACGGGGTGGTTGGCCCAGCTCGTGGTCAATCCGGAGAAGACGGGTTCGGTAATGGTCGAATTTGGGCTTCAGTTGCCAGTAATCGGAAGTCAGAAGCGCGTTGGCTTCATTGGAACCTGCAAAGTCATCAAAGAAGCTCTCAGGCTCTTCACCCTCGGTCACTTCTTCAAATTCACCGGTCAACCCGAGATCCATGCTGATCAACCGGGCGGCGCCGGTTTCCTCGGGGCCACTGCCCTTACCCTTCCATAGGTAAAGCTTGCCAAAGGGTGCCGAAATCACGAATGGGAAACCAGAGCACAGGTTGCGAAGTGAGTAGTCGACTTCATCGAAGGCCATTTGTCCCAGATGCTTGCGGCCACAGAGCATGTACAGGGAAGATGAAGTAGAGCGAGAACTAGATCCGCGACGGGTGATGATGATTCCACCAAGGGCTTGGATGAACCGCAGGCGCTCTTTGCCCTGGCGAATCACTTGTAACTTGCAGCTGTTTTCGCGCGCAACTTTACGGGCAAACAGTTGTGCGTCGTCCAAAGCTGCTTCTGACACGTCGTCACCACACCACAGGTAAACTTCAGCATGGTTGCTACCACCTGCCTCGAACAAATGAACGCAAACATACATGCTGCCCTCGTACAAAACGTACTCTTGGTTGATGGGCAGTTCCTGCTTCTTTCCATCGCCTGTCATTTCCCAGATCTGGCGCTTCACAGTACGAATCTTGGTGTCATCCAGTTTGCCTGCTAGCACCAATTGAGGGTCGATGTCCATCCTGTCGCGTGGATTGGGAAATGACTTGAAGAATTCACCGATCACCTCCCGGGCTTCCGCGGCCTGCGCCACTAGAGACGGCGCGGACATCTTGCGTGAGAGTCTGTTGCGAGGATCAATAGGCCGTGCGAGAGACACGTCGGGTCTTTTACGCGGCACTGGTGGTGACGCACTGCTCTTACTCTGCGGTGAGGAATCGGCAACCGTCACTCCTGGGACACTTTTTGGGGAAGGGGTTGAGGGCAAGTCTTTCTGAAGTTCTCGGGAGCTCATTCTGAGAGGTGAAGGCGATGGTGAAATGAATCGTGCTTGGCCCCACTGGAATCGCGACGAGGGAGTGGATGGTGACGGGGAGGGCGAAGGCGATGAGGGCTTTGGCGGGACAGGGGGTCTGCTTGATGGGCTGGCGTCTCTTGATGATTCAGACTCTCGAGGGGCGTGCTCGATTGGGCTAAGGGCGGTAGACTCTCGGGGAGAAGTGGGCGAAAAACTTCTCAGTCGTTGCAGTCCGCCGTTGAGAACATCCTGGAAGGTTGTCTTTACTCCCGGAAATTGCTTGAGGTAGGGGCTCCCTATTTGTGCGGTTTCAGTATCGACAACCACTTTGTCTGTTGACGTATTGTCCGAGATGGCTTCCGGAGAAGCAGCAGGCTCGGGAATAGTCTGAGATGTTTCGACTTCAGGAGATAAGATGGCACCAACCTCCTTAATATCCTCCGCAGGTGAAACAGCGGGAGCAGAATCCCCTTGGGGCGCCCGTCGCTTGGGACCCCGAGCACGACCCTTCGTCGCGTGGGTAAGAGGCGCAGAGGGCAAGGCAGGAGAGGCATCTCCGGAGGCTGGCACAGACAGCTCCTTCTTAAGTCCCTCGGCTGGACCCGGCGGACCCCGAGAGAGAAGACCTGCTAATGCGGGATTGATTCGGCCTGCAAGTTTCCCTTTAGCGGCTGAAACTTGAGTAGTAGGCATGCTTGAGGTTTCCGAGCTCACTGACGACCGCAAGCTACGAATTGAGCGGATCTCCTCGTTTGGGAGCTCTTTTTCGGTCGACACTACATCATTGCGGTCCAAGTCCAGACTTGGGCTGAACTTGGGTTCCATGTCTGCAGATTCCTGCTTGCTCGCGACCGGGGATGCCGCCTCCTCCGAAGCAAGGGGGGATACAGGTGCTTCTGGCGCCCGGAAAGATCGTGTAGGGCTTAGCTCTGGAACGGCCGTGGGGCTCTGAATATCGGGGTTCGTTTTCCGGTCATTATTCGTCTTCGTCATGAGGTTACGCTTCGCAAGAGCCTCCGGGATAGGTTCGGCTGGCTTCGCCGGTGCATCCTGTTCCCCTGCAGTGTTTCGTCGAATAGAGCCTCCCCCAGCCTTCATTGCCTCTTTTGTAATCACCAAACTTTGCCTGAATTCATCGACTCGTGGGGTCTTCTTAGGGCCACCGGTATTGTTCAAGGCAGATTTACCGCGAAGAATGTTATCCTTTAGTTCATCTGGAGCCACATAGTTGCGGGTCTCGGTCTTCTTGAGTTTTCCAAAAACATTCTTGAATTCCGGTTCTGCTTGCTTCCCCTTGTCTTGGGCAACATCCCGCTTGCGCAGATTGGCGCGGAAATCAACCACTGGAGACTGGGGCTTGGGTTTTGGCGAAAGCGGCTCTCGATTAGGAAGTGAGAAATTCGGTCTGGTGCTCAGCGCAGGCGGTTTGCGAATTGACTCAGGCTTTGGACTGTTCTGTGGCTCCTCCACTGGCGGCTTCTCTGGAGAGTCTTCCGGAGAGTCTTCCGGTACGATCGAAGGTTTGAGTTCTTCTTCTTCTTCTTCTTCGTCTTCTATTTCTTCCTCCCCAACCTCGGGCTCGAGAGTTTTTGGTTCTTCTTCTTTCACAGCCTTGGGCATGGGAGGTTCTGGTTCTGAAATGGGCTGCGCAGGCAGTGGTTCGGATTTCAAGAAAGACGATGGGGAGTCTGGCACTGTCGCCCTTCTGGTGAAAGTGGGACTGCTAAGTACTGATGGAGTTCCAGAAAGGCTGGGTTTCTTGAAATGGCCGCCTGGCGGGGGTGTTCGCATCAAGCCCACAGGTGTTACTTCTTTGAAGGGACTCGCTCGACCCATGTCCACACTGCCTCTGGATTGTCGTGCTTGCTGCCAGGAGGGCTGTGGTGGAGGCGGCTTTGACTGACGAGATTCGGGCCGGTTGAGTGCACTTTCCAGCCAAGTCGATTTGGTCGGGCTCCATCGCCTGGGGTCCATAGTTCTTGATGTAAATGGGCTCGATGAACCATCACCACCGAAACTATCTGCAGTCACAGAGCTGGCCGATCTAGTGTGGCCATACAGGGCGGGTCGGCTGGGACTGCCTTCAGAGCGCATGGTCTCGCGGTTGCCCGAGAAAGAAGGAGTGGTCGGTCTGTCAGTTGTTTCCGATGGTTGGAAGGAGGCTTCGGTATGGCTCGAGCTAGGTCGCTCTGTAGGCGCTGTCTCCCGATTGATTCGAGAAGTAGTTGTAGAGGTCATGTCGCTAAAGCTGCCTGTGAGACTAGGAGCAGCAACACTGTTTCGATTGCTAACAATAGAGTTGCTTCTGCTCAAGCCCTGGGGCAGTTGGGCACTCCATCGTTTTGAGACACTGTCTGATCGCCTCATCATAGCACTCTGGACAAATCCACCGAGGCCTTTGGTGGGCGATGTTGAACGAGCTCGCTCTGGTGACATTCGCCGCTGAGTAGGAGACGGTGGTAGGGCTGGTTCGTCTGCCAAAGTCTCAGTTTGCGCAGAAGGATCCAGCTTTGGGGCCTCCGTAATCGTCACTGGCGAGCCTAGGCCAGTGACTTGTGAGATCGACGAGACGCTCGAATACCGATTGCTCATGTTGCTCTCGCCAACGGTTGACGCCGTCTGTGGCCGTGATGGTGGCTTTTCCTCTGTTCGCTCCATCTTCTCTGGTTCGACTGTTGACTCATGGCTCATGCCTGGCAGCTGACGACTTGGGCCCAACTCCACCTGGCTCTCCGACCGGTCTTCCGACTTGAGATATGCTGGTGATCCCAGCCCTCGATCTGCTGTTTGTCGAAACCACGACGGATCTTTCGAGGAAAGTGATAGGGCGATAGAAGCACGTGACATTTGGTTGTCATCCGACGCCGTGGAGGCATTTCGCAAATGGCTGGATCGTGTCGGCGATGTCGAGCCTGGCGAACGGTTTGCAAAGTCCCGCGAGGACGGGCGTTGCTGCCAAGATAACGTCCCCGCCCGACTCCGCGACAGAGCGGGCACTGTTCGTGGAGATTCAGGTTCCGTCTCTTGAACCGAACCTCGTCTGGAATGTGTGGTGTAGAGAGGCTCCGATTCTTGACTCGATTTTCCTCCGCTGAATGGCTCGGGGTCTGGTGTCTGTACCGTCGGTTCGAGGTGCTCCGGGGGATCGATGGAAGACTGGCCAATGGAGGAAACGCTCAGTCTTGAGGGATTCAGGATAGGGGAACCGGCAATCGATCGTGCTCGTTCTAGCATCATCGCGTCAGCATCTCATGGGAAAGGTGGGTCATCACGCCAAAATAGCGCGGGGTTCTAGCTACGCCCGCAAGCATGACGAGGCCAACGGCCCAAGGGAGGGGCGGACAATGTACCAGCTCGACGGGCCTGTCTTTCTTTCCGGCCTTGCAATATCTCATCTTCCAGGCGTTTGGTGCGCTCATCATCTTCTTTATCACGACGTTCACCGAGTTCCCGAATGCGCAACAGGAAATCGTTCACGTCTTCTGGACCATCAGGAGTCTTGGTGGTCGTCATGGTCCCGTTGCGCGTCTCCGCAGAACGGGAATCTCTCCTAGTAAAATTTGAGAGAGGGGAGAGTTGAATGGGGAGGGGAAGAGAGTGGGAGGAAGAGGAAGACCCAAGGGCTGAGGTGTGACTCCGCCCTGCTTAAATTAAATGGGGATGCGCGCGATTCATCGCAAGTCATTGGCTCGTCCGATCTTCATTGCCATCCCTTGGCTCGAGAACCAAATTCTTATAAAGTCTAGTTTGAGAATTAACTAGCAGTACATATAGGAACTACTCTTACAATCATGTCCAGGTACTACATGGCTTTGTTCTTGAATCTCGAGAATCAAGTTTGTTTGTTTACAAGGTTTTGTGGAGCGGATCCCAGGTTCGCGCCCCGCTGGTTGTTCGGCTTCGATTTTAGTCCCATGGAATTGCCGCAATGACGAAATCACCAAATTTTCTTTCCAAAAAGGGGGCCACTAGTTTAGTATCTATCAGTTTAGTACCTTGCATCCATTTTGGCGCTTTAATGCATATTCTGCATGCAACGGCCTTAACCTTGTCATGTTCAGATCGGAGAATTGTATTTGCTATGATGGTTGAACATCCATGGATATATTTCGGGCATATGCGGCTGGCCGTTGGGCAGGACCGCTAGTAAAGGTTGACAATTAGGTTTGACCACATGCATTGGGATTAGAATCCTGCTTGCAAATAATGCTTATGGCTACACCTGGGCACCGCATGGAACTTTCCGACTCCCGGCTCAAATAGACTAGTCATGTGGCCAATAACACAGGATCATATTCCCGATACATTTTATCTCCAATGTCAAGACTAATAAAGGAATAATCGGTCTTTTGCATCCTGTACTACCCAATCCAACCCCTCATTCAAGTTCTTTCCCGTCATAGCACTGCACGGGAGAATAGTCCACTTATGTGTTTTGATTAAATCCAGCCCAAGCCGCTGTTTACGGGCATTCATCAGTCCAATTCTACCCAGTTGGTAGTCTTAGGAAGAGAAGATTTTCAGACCACGTACCTGTCGAACCTCCTCTTCACTCATACAGTGTTCCACGTCAGTTTTGTTTAAAAATACCAAGAGGCTGGCACCCATCAATCGCTGTCATCTGACATTAGCGCAAGCTCCCGAATTCCAAGGTCTGAGTGGGGTCCGAACCTCTTCTAACAACAGCCCAGCTAGCTCTTCACGGCAATCATCCACCCGGAGTCGATCAGTCGCATCCACGACCCAAATCAAAGTGTCTGTCTTTTCAAAGTAGTTCTTCCAATAGGACCGCAGTGTCTTTTGTCCTCCAACATCCCCTGCTTCACGTTAACACTGCAGATATCACCCGGAGTGCGACTCACAGATGTTCAATTTGTATCTGGCATTTATCAGTAAAAATCCTTATTGAAAGTGTAGATGGATAACCTACCCCATAAATTCAATTGTCTTAATAATGAACCCCAGTGTTGGGCTGACTGTTGTGACATCCTCGCCCATGATTCTCTTCACAATGGTGGTCTTGCCGGCATTATCCAGTCCCCTGTACTCAGTGTTAATCACGCCGAAGTATAAGGATGAAGATCAAAATTTACAGCATGAGGACCCGCATTTCCTTGTCCTTCAGACGAGCTTTGCGTAAAATTGACAACATGTTGTTGTGGTGTTCACTAGGCGATAAGAGCAAAATTGAGCTGCGGAGGTGTGGATTATGGCTTTCGCTTGGCTTCCGCTCCCGCTCTACACGTCGTAGTCTACAGTATATTGGAACATCATCCCGACCACGTCAGAAAAAAATTCACAGATGCTCGTAGCTTGTATTTCGCTAATATAGACAGTACCTATAGTAAAAGTTCAGGAAATAAAAAAGCTATATCCGTTGAATATGGGGTGTTGGTGAATTTGCTGAGGGAAGGAGAGGGTGCACTTCACCTCTTGATAATCTGCTCGCCCAACTTTCAACCTTTCTCTTTCTTCCTCTCCCCACCTCTCATCTTTCCATCAATTCCCCCCATCTCTCAAACCTCGAACCCCCTTACTCTACGCTATCGATTGCCGTTTCCCCGAGCTGATTTGACCGCGAATTGCGTGAACCCGGCTCGATCGAAAATCAACAACGAGGTCGAACCAAATCGACGAGAAGTCAGCCAAGGACACGTGGATTATCGTTTTCAAGGTAAGGTATCCAAGCCCTAATGTGAGTAGAGATCAGTAACAGCGATAATATCTGTCTCGTTAATGATGATACTAATATCTGATCTTTATAGACAGGTCCGTTCTCGACAGGGCTTCCATCATCGTGAAAATCCACATCCTACGATCCTATTTTGCCTTCCTGGGGCATTCGGTGTGTTTTTACCTCAAGAAATTTGTAGTTTACAAGCACTAATAATCGTTGGCCTAGCAGCATAATCAACATGCCTGACTCATTCCATCCAAGTGATGGCGTTCACGGCACACTCACCTACCAAGAGCTTCTGGAGATGATCATTTTCAATCTTCAGACTGCTGATCCACCGCTCGTATTCGAAGACGAGCGCGACTACCTTTTTTATCTGAAGGACCCAAATTTCTACCACAAGTTTACTTGGCTCGAATGGCCTGATAACTATGTTGATATGCGGGGACACACAGGCGGTTCACTGGGCAACCTCTTTGCTCTTTGCTCCGATCCCGAGCCCCCTGAGGACTTGTTCAGATACCATCTGATACCGAGCATCTACACACCTTCAATCCACTGGTTTGAAGAGAATTCCATGGTTGCAAATCTCTACAAGATCGCGAAGCAATTCAATGAAACACAACGCTGCCCAGATGATATGGTTCCATGCCCCGAAGGGCCCGAACCCATCGAAACCGGCCTTGTGCCGGAATCTGACGCCACCCTTGAGAACTATCTATCGGATCTCAGGCTGGATGATCACTTGGAAGTAAAGCATTTGAAAGCCAAGAGTTTGAATGAACTTGAAAACTTGGCAACCCTGGTGTATTCCGATGAAGGACCAATTACGGCAGGCCTTGAATATCTGGATTTCATCAGAAACGGCCCAGCTAACAATATTGGTACCTACGAGTACATTGATATTACTGTGGACCGCACTGCTGAGGGTGTCGAGCAGCCAGAGAAGTGCTCTGTCAATCCGCCTTCTTTTATTCCCGACAATGGGTATGAAGAGCTTGACCCGGAAGTGAACATCAGAACACAGAGACAAGGTACTCCCGAATACTTGAACCAGTGGAAAAAATACAACGAATCTCCTGTGGCCTGGCATGTCACCATGCAAGACCGAATCATTTATCCCAAGATTCCCAATCTTGTGAATTCTCCCCGTCCTGTGTTTGACCCAGAGGAAACAATGCCATTTCCCGCAATCATTCGCAATCCCATGCGATGCTACCAAAAAGTCTTCTCTCCGAACTGGAATTATCGAATTCCCGAAAAGTTCGAAGGACATGAAAGAGAATGGCTATTTCATCGCTATCTATCTCGTCTTCCGGAAACAGCGAAACCGCAGGACATTCACCATCTTGCGTTCTACGACGGAACTGCCAGTGCCGATGGTGGCCATGGATTCATGATCCAGGGGATCCAGCACCTCGAAGCACCACGGGATATGTCTGATGACGAGACTCGCCTTCGCTGGCACGAGACAGCAGCTGGTCATGCTACCAACATGAGCATGATGAAGAAGCTCTGGTCTATCCAGCGAGATGTGGACAGGTACGACCGAATTATCGATGAGTTCGCGGAAACCTGGAAGAGTCTCTAGTGAGAGAGAAGCTGGGCTGCATTAAAAGCCCAAAGTGACACCATGGGCTCCCACCGCCTAACCCCATGGTGTCAAGTCAAGGCCTGAAGTTAGCGGAGCACGAAAAGGTTTCTAGACCCGGCTTGTAGGGAGGAGTCGGCCTGAAACCACCGCTAAGCCCATGGCAACATGAAGAAATGCACAACAAGGTCTTTTGTCAAAGTCGAGGGTATTGGAGCTGGGGAGGACAAAGAGCTCCGACTCGACCTCATAGGCGTGTGGACGTCCCTCCCATTGGGGTCGAGTCAAAGGAATAACATCAAGGCAATGCCCGAATGTGGCGGAAGCATGGAAGGGTCTCCAGCCTGGCTTTTGGGAGGAGCTGGGCTGGAACCCACCGCGGCACCGCCCATTCCCCATGGGCGCAACCAGGAGGTGAAAAAATAATTAGAAAAACAAAAAAAAAAAAGTTATTGTTAAATTTTTCCATCTCTTCGTAGATCCTTGCTTCAAGTAATCAATTTTGGGTAGGCTCACCATGAAAGTGAATACTGACCTGATTTGCTTATACTCGGTCCCTCGACGAGGATCACAAAATAATACAAATCTCAAAAAGAGGCCGTGAAATATGTACCCGTACTTCATTGGCCTGGGCAGCAACGAAGATATAATAGGGCATTTCTTCTCTCATCTTTGCTTCTCTCCTTCTATTACCAAGCTCTAGTATTTGAATACTTAGCTGGGCATTCCTTCTCTTATCTTTCCTTCTCTCGTCTTTTCTTATCTCCTTCCATTCTTCTTTCACCAAATTCCAGTATTTGAATGCTGAGTTGGGAGATCCACAAAGTCTGCCTTCAGAGATTCCCTACATCTAAGATAGTGGTGCTACAAAGCCCATCAGAGAAAAATAGGAGACACCGTCCCGAGTTCATCTCCGAAGCACTTCCAAGGTTGGTCCATATAAAAGTTCTTTTCAATCCCTACCAACCCTCGCATATTGACCGTTGTACCATACAAAAGATAGAAAGGAAATTCTCAGATACGACGGGATTATTGACGAGTTTGCCGAAGCTTGGAAGGGTTTCCAGAGTCAGCTTGGGAGTCGGCCTGAAACCCACCGCTAACTCCGTGGCACTATGAAGTAATGAACAACAAGGTCTACTGTGAAAGCCGAGGGTATTGGAGCTGGGGAGGACAAAGAACTCCTACTCGACCTCATGGGCTCCCACCGACCAACCCCATGGAGTCATTCCGAAAGGAAAAACAACATCAAAGTCAAGGCCTGAAATTGGCGCAAGCATTGAAGGGTTTCTAGATCAGACTTGAAGGGAGGAGTCGGGCTGGAACCCACCGTGGCACCGCCTATCCCCATGGCATCAGCTCGAAAGGAAAACACATCAAAGAAGGTTCAAGGGTCAACGCACGCATGCGAGGTCTCCCGACCCCGCTAGTTGGTGGGGAATGAAGCGAGTGAGGATATACATAGTTCCAAACTATGTTTACCAGTAGCAATTTTACATTATTGATTGCTCAGGGGCTCCAAGTTATATGGCAGACGATAGTAGATTCTCTCGAATAGTATAGTCATGTTTTCCCCTCGCAGATTTTGGGGACAGATCAGACTTTTGTGGGATACATGATGAAGATCAAGAAGCTTAAATCTTACAGTAAACAGAACGACAGTCCATGTTACGTGATCCTCTCACCGCCCAATATTTTTTCTGCAGTGAACCAATTTTTTTCTCCGCTCACCGCCTGTTGATTTCTTCTCGAGAGATTGCGGGTTGAGTATCTGGGGATTCAATCGTTCATTCATTTTATTTATTGGAAAATACCCCATTGAGGCAAGTGATACTCCCGAGTATCTACCCGAGTGACTACGTTCCTCGCCAATTGCCTCCACCATGGCTCCCGCCAAGGACGACGACTTCGTCTTTACGCTGTCCGATGAGGAGGATGTCCCCCGTTTCGACGATGATGAAGAGGAGGGAGACGAAATGAACGGCGCGGCCGATTCGAGCGACAACAAGAAGCGCAAGCGCGAGGCTGAAGCATCGAAGGGAAAGAACAAGAAGCTGAAGCAGCAGAACAAGGACAAGAAGAAGGGCAAGGGCAAGGCTGCGCCTGTTGAGGAGGACGAGGAAGAGGAGGAAGAAGAGGAGGAAGGTCCCGTTGGTAACGATGACGGTGCCTTGAACCCCGATTTCGAGTTCGATGTTGCCGGCTTGGCGAATCAAGGCGTCACCGAAGGCTTTGACGGATGGGGTCTCGATGATTCCAAGAAGACTGCTCCGGGTGGAGATAAGAAGGCCGTTGACATTGACGATATTATTTCGCGGAGACAGCTCAAGAAGGATGCTGCTGCTGCGAAGAAGCTGAAGAAGAATGGCCCTGTCGAGCCTGAATTTGAGGGCGTGGAAAGCGACAACGAAGATGCTGGTGTGGAGGTCGATTTCGAAGACGATGAATTGATGGCCGAAGATGGCTTTGGTATGGGTGCCGATGGTGAGGAGGAGAGCGAAGCCGAGGGCCCTGAACCTGGATCTGGTGCCGAAGACGACGACGAGGAGGGAAGCGACACTGACGATGATGACGACGATGCTGCATCCGACAATGACTCTGTCGCTACACCGGTCAACCACCCCGACGATGTCTCTGATCGGGAGGAGGATTCTGATGCCGAGAGCGAGGTTGACGACGAGGAGGCAGCGAAGCGCAAAGCGTTCTTCGCTCCCGAAGAGAAGACCGACAATAAAGCCGGAGACAAAAGCACATTCCAGGACTTCAACCTTTCTCGACCTATTCTCCGCGGTCTCGCCTCCGTTGGTTTCACAGACCCGACTCCCATTCAGCGCAAGGCTATTCCCGTCGCACTTCTGGGTAAGGATATTGTCGGTAGTGCCGTGACTGGTTCCGGAAAGACTGGTGCTTTCATTGTTCCCATCCTCGAACGTCTACTCTTCCGTCCTCGCAAAACTCCTACTTCTCGTGTCGTTATTCTCATGCCCACTCGTGAGCTGGCGGTGCAATGTTACAATGTTGCCGTCAAGCTGGCTACCTTTACCGACGTCACCTTCTGTCAACTTATCGGTGGTTTCAGTCTCCGCGAACAGGAGAACATCCTTAAGAAGCGACCCGATGTCATTATCGCTACCCCCGGTCGTTTCATTGATCACATGCGCAACTCCCCCAGCTTTACTGTCGATACTCTTGAGATTCTTGTTCTTGATGAAGCCGATCGCATGCTTGAAGATGGATTCGCTGACGAATTGAACGAAATTTTGACCACCATTCCCAAGTCTCGTCAGACCATGCTGTTCTCCGCTACGATGACCGAAACCATTGACAAGCTCATCCGTGTTGGCATGAACCGTCCCATGCGATTAATGGTGGATGCTAAGAAGCAGACTGTCGTAACTTTGACCCAGGAATTCGTCCGGTTACGTCCTGGTCGCGAGGATAAGCGTCTTGGATACCTGTTGCATTTGTGCAAGGAGATCTACACTGGGCGTGTGATTGTGTTTTTCCGACAAAAGAAAGAGGCGCATCGGGTGCGCATTATCTTTGCTCTTTTGGGTTTGAAGGCCGCCGAATTGCACGGTAGTCTGAGCCAAGAACAGGTATGTCTCCGACGGCAATTTTTTACATTCCGTGTTTCATCGGATCCTATGCTAATTATTCTCTTATCTAGCGTATCAAAAGTGTTGAGAACTTCCGAGACGGCAAAGTCGCTTATTTGCTCGCGACCGATGTCGCTTCCCGTGGTCTAGATATCAAGGGTGTGGAGACCGTTATCAACTACGAAGCCCCACAGAGCCACGAAATCTATCTGCATCGTGTCGGTCGTACCGCTCGTGCCGGTCGCACCGGTCGCTCCTGCACAATCGCCGCTGAACCCGACCGTAAGGTTGTCAAGGCAGCCGTGAAGGCCGGTAAGGCCCAGGGTGCCAAGATTGTCAGCCGAGTGGTTGAGATCGCAGTCGCCGACGCGTGGGCCAAAAAGGCGGAGGATCTTGAGAGCGAGATCGAGGAAGTCCTTCAAGAGGAGAAGCTCGAGAAGCAATTGTCGCAAGCCGAGATGCAAGTGAACAAGGGTGATAACCTGATGAAGCACGGAGCGGAAATCATGTCCCGACCCAAGCGTACTTGGTTCGAGTCTGAGCAACAAAAACGGACGGCCAAACAGGCTGGCGCCGAGGCCTTGAATGGTCCCAATGCTCAATCTAAGAAGGTCAAGCTCAGTAACAAGGATAAGAAGCGATTGGACGACGCGGAGATGCGCCACGATGGCAACATTGGATGGAAAAAGGGCAAAGCGGAGCGAGAGGCGCCTCCGACCAAGGGCAAGGGTAAGGGCAAGCCTCAGGGTAAGCCCAAGGGCAAGGGAAGGAGATAATTCATTGGATACCAGGCGCATAAGTACTGTAAAATCAATTGTATAGATTTTTCAAATCGCACAGATATGATCACCCCACGTTGTTTAAAACTTACGATTACGAGGGGGATGCGCCTTTTTTCGTAAGGCAGTGGATTCCAGTGGGGAAACAATCTATACTTCAATGGTATTGACGATCGACCTCTACTTCCTTAGTTTAACTCTAGTTTTTGGAGACAGGTACAGGGCATATTCCATATCTGATCGTCATAAGTTCCAGTAAATTCCATGAGAATTTCTCCGAGTTGAACAAAGTTACTAGAAAAGTTAGTTCTAAAACGCCCTGCATGCAAACCAACGATAATCGGGAAGGTGAACGCCCCCAACGCATGCGGAACCGGTACATCATCACCGTCCATTGGCTCATTGAAATTGGACTAAAAGCTTTATTCCAAGCTAAACCAGGTCTTGGTCTCTCTATAATATACCGCATATGCGCAATCTCTCCAACCAGAAACAATTCCAAAAAAGAGTTTTCTATACCAAACCCAACCCAAACCCAACCCCCGCGATATCGTTCCTAAAGGGTAAAAGCCCCACGCTATTACAGTCTTGGGCCCAAAATTTCGCCGATTCCCCTCCGTACCTTCATTCGACCTTCCTCTCTCTGTTTTCCATACTCGTCAGCCATTATCCCGCAAGTGCCATATTTGCATACGCGTCATTTTCTTTCCCTTTGTTGAATGCCAATGGGGGTCGCGTGCCGCGAAACCTCGTGAAGGTTGCGTCATGGGGGTCGAGGGCTCATCAAGTCAGAGCGATGTGCCTCTGAAGACTAGTCTGCCACGAAAGAGCGCTTTCTCATGTGAAGCGTGTCGCAAGCGCAAGGTGGGCGCATAATCTCATGATCGGACAAGTTCCGAAGGATTCTCATAGGCTGATCAATCGAGCTATAGGTCAAGTGTAACGGATCTTCTCCGTCGTGTTCACGATGCGCCGCCCGTGGGGAGGTCTGCGTCTACAGCTTGTGAGTAAACGCGACCGGCCAAGTTCCGCTTGGCTGATCCCCCGCTTTTTGACCTTATTTCTACTTCTTGTTTTCTTTTTCTTTTTCTAATATCGTACAGGGCGCCGACCTTATCTTACACCAAACAGCTTGAAACGAGGGTTACACAGTTGGAGGAGGCGTTGGCGAAGCTTCGGAATCAGAGTGTCGATGCGGACGCGAAGAAGGTGAGCTCGCCGGCTTCGGTGGCGGAATCGAGCTCCAGCGCTGGCCGCAGGGTTAAGATCGAGCATGATGAGACGGGCGATCTTGCTAGAGAGTTCGATGGGTTAAATGTGGAAAATGACGGTCGCATCTCTTTTCATGGACCGACCAGTCTGTTTCAGCTGCCCAGCGGGGCTGTAAGTGAGACGGCATCGACTTTGCATTTTGCGCAAGAGATGGAAGCTCGCAAGGAACGCTTGGTCAATAATGCGTGGCGTGAGCGGGCGTTTGAGCAGATGGCAACGATGCCGGTAGGTCTCTCCTGCTTAGAGGAAGCTGTGATTTGGGCTGACACGGCTTTTATAGGAACCATTTCAATACCTCATCGACTCGCATTGGTGCTGGATCCAACCGTTGTTCAATTTTGTCTATCGCCCAGCATTTACTCGTTCGTCTACCCCGCCATGCGACTCGAAAGTGACTGACCAGCTAGCAGGTGATATGAAACTGAATGGCCCTTATTATTCGGACGCCCTACTGAACGCGATCCTATCCCATTCCGTACGATGGTGCAAAGAAGAACCTCAGATCGGTCCTCTTCTCGATGCCTTCGAAGGTGGAGCACAATTTTATCAACGTGCACGACTCGGACTCTTCGAGACACTTCAGATTGGCTACGCAGAGATTCCCACCATCCAAACACTCCTCCTTCTCAGTGCACAGGAATGTGGCCGTGGAAATCGAACACAAGCATGGTTATACAGTGGAATGGCATTCCGATTGCTAGACGATTTAGGAATTTCCATCGATAGTCGCAAATATCCCGGAACAGCTCAGTTGTCGGATGAGGATATTGAAATCCGGAATCGACTCTTTTGGAGCTGTTACTTCTGGGACAAGATTGTATCGCTGTATTTCGGTCGGGCTCCAGTAATGCAACATTCGCGTGTTAGCCCCCCACGAATGATATGTGAGTCTCCAGCTCTACTGAAATTTCTTGCTGGACATGCTGACCTGTTTAAGTGGACGACACTTCGGAGATTGAAATTTGGACACCTCATGGCGTGACCTTCCCCGATGGAGCACACTATCCGCCGACGCAAGCGCATTCCACCTCATGCTTCATGAGAATGTGTGGACTCGCAGAAATTTTGAACCAGATCCTCGTCCATATCTATGATCCAATGCGGCAAAGTACCGAGGCAGAATTCTTTGAGTGTGTCCAAGAGCAAGCTAGAAATCTCGGCGAGTGGTGGGACGAATTACCAGACTACTTGAAGCTGGTGGCTACTGATCTGCCCCCGTACTGCCCACCGAGTCACATCATGACATTGAAGTACGTTACTCTGCTTTGGTCCCGGATTTTATGCTAACCCCGTTCAGCTGCTTATACCACACAATCAATATTCTGCTCCACCGCCCAATACTATGTTCTCGCGCTCTGCTACAGACGCGCCAAGAACCATACGACACAAGCCATTTAGTTCAATGCATGGCTTCCGCAACGTCGATTTTGTCTCTCTTCGATCTATACCGCAGAACATTCGGAGACAGCCACGTCGTCCTCTCACTCTCCTACAGCATTTACACTGCCGCTTCGATTTTCCTTCTCGAGATCCAGGCCTTGAAGTACGCCGCGCCAGGAACCCTCGACAAGCTCAAGTTCTGCATCCTCGCTCTGGAGCGTGTCAAAGTCACCAACCCAGTCATGGCAACCGCATTAAGCCTTGTGTACCAAGAACTTCAAAAATTGCAGATCGATATCCACGCCCCACCGAATCCCGAAAAGCCACACCATCCACCACCCCAACCGCGACCCCACTCAACAACCCACAGCCAATCTCCATCCGTCAGCAGTAACCCCTCCCGTCACGTCTCCCCAAGCCACCCGCAGCACCATCAACGCCAACAAAGTAGAGCAATAGGTACACCCGGTACCCCAGCTCCGAACACAACCGCGCCAATGATGTCAAGCTACGCTTTCCAACAACCCGTCTCGGGCTTTGATCTCTCACAGATGGGTGAAATGCCACAAATGCCCTCCACACATTTACTAGGAGGCATGCCGAACGCAGTCATGACTGTCGATGACCCGCGATCATACGAAATCACACCCGAAGTGTTCGAGGCATTCTCGTATGCGCAGCCCATCACAACTAATATGACTTCTCCCTTTGAAACAAACTGGCATAACCAAAGTCAGTGATTGGGTGATGCGACGTGTGATGAATTGAAAATGATTCCCAATTGGTTTAAGTAGCGATGCAAATTTTGTCAAAAGTTAGCGGATTCTTTTCTTATGGATCAGACTGGTGCATATACCTACTCTACTCTATTACAGTTAAGATTTCCTTATGAATATACTTCTATCTAGAATGTTATCGACGTGAGCTTCCAGCTTAGAACTGTAGACCTAAATCTCAGGATTGCCGTTGTCATGCTTCGTAATGAATACCTCATGCGTGCTGTCATGTCTCCAAATGGTTGGAAAGGATCTAAAATGATCTAAGAATGGTTCGTGTCCGTTTTTTACGTATGTCAATATCACCACTGGCAACTGCTCGGAAGAATGAGTATAGATATCACGGTCTTTTTTTACCGTGAAAGTGTATTTGGGACGCCAAATCTATAAAAGCGAACAAGCTTGACAGACATTAAGTCCACCATATATGTGAACAAATAATGCCAACCAATGGGTATGTAAGTAAGGGGATCACCCGCAAAGAGAAGAATTAAGTACAAGAGTAAAGTAAAAGACATTATACACCTCACGGACACGCAAGAAGAAAACTGAAAAGGGTATGCGAGCCACTGGGAAACAGCGGATGAAGGCTGGGGGTATATGAAGAAGGCACCGAGCATAGAAAGCGGACATAAGCAATGACATCCATCCTTTGCAGGCACCATTTGAAACTCCGCAATTACAGAGTAGATTTAGGCTGCTGGTCACGCGACTCAACGTCCTCAAAAGAGGTAATAGAATGATCCACATCCTTGACACGCGCATTCCAGCGCATATACCACGGACCACCGAAGAGCTCATCCATCTGCTCCATAGGCACGCCCTTAGTCTCCGGCATCCAGATACCGAGAATGAGAAGACCACAGAAACAGATCAGCGCCCAGAACAGGTACGCGCCCCAGACGTCCAGCGCGAACATGTTAGGCGTAACACGGACGACGGCGAACTGGAAGAACCAGTGCAAGCCCATAGAGGTACCGTAGCAGACATTCCGGATGCGAGTGGGGAAGATCTCCGAGCCGTATAGGTAGGGAATAGTGCAAAGACCGATGGACCAGCCAACAGCGTAAATGAAGACAGAAGCAATAGCCGCGTTCGAGGCATTCGTGTTATCTGCAGAACCAGGCTGAAGACCCATATAAGCGCCCATGTAGATATGAGCCAACAGTTGTAGGGAGAGACCAGTAAGAGCGCAGCGACGACGACCGAAGTAATCAATGAGACCCCAGGTGAACGCCATAGTGAAGACCAGCTTGACGATTCCATAAGCACCGGATGAGATGAGCGACGCATTGCTCCCGGTGACACCTGCGTACTGGAAGATAGTCGAGATATAGTATGTGATACCGTTACCGCCGGACCATTGGGCGATCGTCTGGATGGCCATCAGGAGCCAGAAGCGCTGGCGGTAATTCGGGTTTATCTGGGATTCCTTCAGAGCCTGCCAATTTGAGATAGAAGCCAGCTCCGTATGCTGCTTGTTGTAAGCGTCGATTTCCTCGAACTCGGCCAGGATGCTCTCGTCGTCTGGCGTTGTGCCACGGAGGCGGGCGAGGACTTGCTTGGCTTCATCGTGGCGCTGCTTGGAGGCGAGGTAGCGGGGTGTCTCAGGACACCAGAACGAAAGGATGAAGACGATGCCGACAGGAATTAGAGGTATGGCTTGGACTAGTCGGTATTGGGTACGGGTGGCGGCCATGTGGAGATTCGCGCCATAATTAATGAAGAAGCCTATCGGGGGAAAACGGGGTTAGTAAGGACCCTGGAACCGATAAGGGGAGGACCTGAGATAAGCGTTCTGGAACATAGAAGAAAAACTCACCCATTGTTAGAATGGTGAGTAGAGTCACCATTGCCAAGCCAACTGCCAGACCGCGTGTTGCCTTGGGCGCCACCTCTGACAGGTACATGGGCGATGTAACTGTAAGCAGACCGGCACCCAAACCAGCGAAGATGCGAGAAAATAGCAGCAGGCCATAGATGCCAGAGGAAAAAACTTGAATGAATGTACCAATTCCCCAGACAATAATCGCAAGACGGAATGACAGGATACGACCTAGCCTATCGTTCAAGTATAGAGAACTCAGAGCACCGAATGCCGCGCCCAGTGTCAAGAACGAGGAGATATTCGCCTTCCTGTTTGTTAATCCCGCAGAATTGCCCACCCAGTTACTCTTCAGAAGGTTGTAGTCCTCTTCAAAGGATGGCAAGGACATGCTAGAACTGAAACCTCCCTCATCGTAACCTAGAATAGATCAGAATTAGCCAAAACCGCCCCTGCGAGCCCAACCCCAGAGAGGATAAGCTGGACCCGCGATCAAAACCGCGCCACGTACCTTTTGGCATGGTTCCGCATGCGATAACGACAATAACAAAGGCATAGTATGGAGCGGTAGTCCATCGGGACCGGTCCAGCCATTGCATGATGGCGTGGTATGTACTGTGTTCCCAGCAAAAGGGATCGAACGACTGTGGAGTGTACAAAATCTGGGGAAGATAAAGCTGTAAGACGGAAGGGGCGGCAAGGAGTGGGACGTTAAAAGATATTAGGGAGAGTGGATAGAAAAGGGAAAGGCCTCAGTTGTACATGGAGATCCCGCATTTAGGTTTCGGTCAACGTCCGTTCAGTTAAGTTTTTCGATGCTCGAACCCCGAGACGCCCCTCGATGAAATCTCGGACAGGCCCACGGATCCACATGCGTACCATGGACCCACTATCCACTACGGAGAAACCACGGGGGTACTGATATCATTGAGGAAGTCTATATAAGATACTCTGTATGTTGGTCGTATTTATAGTAGCTAATTAAGTGAATCTTGTACGTATAGAAAGAGTTAATATAAATCTTACAAGTACGCTTAAAAGGATGAAAGTGCGGGAAGGCTAGTGGGCCTTGCAGGGATCTAGGCCGGCTTTGTGCCTTCCCCGCCGCCCCTCAATCTGCATGTGCTGCGCACTCATGGAATTAGCTGCATATAGGCACGTCTTCGCTTGCCTTTTTCGAGTTAGTGCTCCCTTCTCCCGCCTTTTGCCGAGTATATCGCGATTCTTGTTGATATTCAAGGTGGCGGGTATATTTTCCTGGTTCGTGGATTGGCCAAACAGGGCAAACTCAACGCGACAACAAATACCCGCAGCAGAACTACGGGAGGACCGCTAGTGGAGACTTTTATAGCTAGTACTAACAGAAATATTACCAGGGCAATATCAAGGAACTCTGGCTTGGTGATGCACCACGGTGGAGCTGTTGGTGCGGCCAAGACGTCGGTGCTCGACTACCACCCATACTTGCGCTACCCGAGGTAAAGATAGTGTGGATTATGGACCTTGGATTTACTATATTCCATTTTGTTGGGACGGCATCTCAAATCATAGTATTGAACATCAAGCGAGACATTTACCACTTTCCATGGGAATCCACAGGAGAATAAACTAGCGCGACCAGGACAACCTTGGAAGGCAGTAATCCCCGCAGTCCTTCTCAAAAATGAGTTCACCTTGGTAACGATGGCTGGAAATCCTCTTCTCACAAAAGCTCACTTAATACTCTCATCACCCTGAATAAGTTTTTGCTGATGAGAAAATGCAGGAGAAGCTAGTGTTTCGGGTGCCAAATTCGCGACCGTCGTTTATAATTTTTTAGGTCTAGTGCCTTCTGACATATAAAGGCCTCTTTTTGAGGCATATTCTTTCTATGCTCCACTCTTTGGTTGCCACGATGTTACTTCGTATCTTGGCCCTCCATTGCTCATTTTCTATGGGTCTTCCCATATCATATTTCTCCCAACGCTCAGATTTTCGAAAAGTACATGATTGCTGCATGAGCGTAGATTGGAACAAGTTTTTTTGTAGACAAAAAAAAAGAAAAAGAAAAAGACTTGGATTGTCGGGTCCTATAGTGGAAGACAATCTGTCAAACTCCATCAATGCAAATAAAAAAGCAAAATCAACTCTAGGCAAGCCCTTCGCAAACAAAGAGGCTGTTTTCAAGGCAGCGATCGTACGTGGGGCTGAAATTGTGAGGACCTGGTAGATAAGCGTGGTAATAAGGTTGGGTTCGGGACCCTGGAACCCACAAAAACGTGAATTTCTTACTATAGTCGCCGATCCATTATTTTGTGGCTAATCATTTTTAACAAGGCATGAATATAATTTCAATGTCATATCGAAATTGCCTGTTGCCTTTAATGATTTGGTCAAAATTACTGCATTGAGAAAGGCGTTCATGTTTTGGGCCTAGCACCATGTGACTGCCGCGTCGTTCTACCAGCCACTCTTGCCCCTATCTTGCGACACCTCACAACCACATAATACCACCTCCATTGCTTCATCTTATATTCGGTACTAAAATAGAGAATGTCTGCCGCATATAAGAGCATGCGAGATGCACACGCCAGGGTGAAAGAGGCATACAACGACCTGGGAGAGGCGGACCAACTATCGATAAGATTGAGATACGCGGCATTATTCGGATGTCTCATAGCTTCTCTGATGTGCATGCCAATTCCAGCATATGGATTCTCAGTAAGTCGGATAATGCCATATCGCTTACTCTGTGTCAGTGACTCACTGCCTCTAGCTCCTCCTCCCATGTATCTGGTGTGCTATAGCTATAGTGCTTGGTCTTGGGAAATCCACAGTCAATCCGATTACCAGTATCATATTTGATATCCTCTCCGTTGGTTATATCGGCTACCATGGTTTCTGGATTTTAATTCATGCGGGAGTGACCGAGAGCTGGTGGTTCTTGTTTGCGGATATCCTGCTCTTCGTTTCTATGTAAGTTTGTCGCTTTTGAGTACTGTCTCCGCACTAATTGGGATAATTCAGGGTTGCATATGTGGGTTTGGCTGCATACACGGGTCTCCGGTTGTGGAGAGAGAAGCGGAGTTCGCGTGGTGGGTCGGGTACAGTTAGACTCCCGCTCTAGATGTCTAGATTCTGAGTGTTCCAAGGTTGTTATGCATGCATACTTAAATTTGAGGATCGTGACTTCAATTGCTTTAAACATTATTATGTACATTGGCCATCCCACTGGCGTTGATAATGTACTCTATTGGTTATTTTATGTATTCCCCTGACCTCGAGCCCATGCTGTCCCCTTATACCTCTAGGTCTTATCACCAAGCTCTGTTTTATCTTCTATCTTCCGATATAAGAGACCATGTGATTAAGAATCAGGCCCTTCTCAAGCCGCTTGGCCATTCTTCTCATGTATAGTTGAGAGATCTTCAAGCGATTCAGCGTCAACACCAGCCGGGGTAGACTTTCCAAGGTCCGTATAATCTCCCGGCTTCGTTGACCCATTGGGAATCCAGAATCGCTTGTCAATGCGACTGAAAGTCAAGACACTGAGGGCAATGATCTCGAAGGTGAAGTTGAAGACGTAGAAACAAGCCTTGGAATCATACCAGGCTGCGTTTGTGGCAAGACGCACAGGACTCCAGTTGACGCCAGTCTTGAACCCAGCAATCATCATGCAGAAACAAGCAGACGTTGTTACAATGAGAACCTGGCTCCGTGAGCTTCCTTGTCCAAATCTCTCCTCGTGTTGTGACTTGGGAAGGAACACTGCCGCGGCAATATGCAGAGCTGGGAGGCAGTTGAAGACAAGAAGATAGGTGAGAGCCGCAAGCTCGACATCCCGACATCTCTCCTGGACGGTGGGATTTAATGTATACACCATCAAAACGACAGCTGTGATAACCATAATCAAGGCGCCTCCAATCAGCGCATAGACGACCTTGAATCCTTTGCGCAAGATCGGATTCCACCCAATTTGTGGCTGCTTTGCGCGGAGGATGCGTTGGGCGAGAATGAGATTGATGATGTAAATGATCAACACGCCGGCATTAACAAAAATCTGGGCGGCTAGCGCAAGTCGGACATTCGTTGGATTTTGCGACCAGGCGATGCGCAGGGCCATGGTGATAAGTCTTGACATGCAGAAACCAAACATCATAGCAGAGGGAATAAATTTGTGGCCTTTCCGACGGTTGAGCTGGAAGATGGTCATGTTTGTTGCGGCGAAGCACATGTAGAGAACGATAAAAACAGCGCAGACTGGAACATCAGGGATTGTTGTTGGAAGGCCGCCCATTGAAGCCGTATCTGAGGCATAAGGGCCGCCTCGGGCCTGTAAGTGATTTGTCATGGTTAAAGGATTGTGGATGTCTATTTATGAGAAGCTGCAGACGAGTGATGTTGATCTTGTATAGTTTCCGAGACGCGAAATGAAGGTAGGAAGATATGTGTGCGGAGGACTGCAACACAGAGCAGGTGGTCGGAAGCGCAGGTATTTGAGTTCGAAAAGCGGCCGTAGCCCCCTTATAGGTAAAAACTTTTTCAGCCTATCAGTGAGATTAGCAAAATTCTCATCAAGGGGGCCTCGTCACTCTCGGTATATCATCACGTTCGGCCTCGGTCACTAAGATTGTCCGCGGACCCGATCTTGTGCGCATGCCGAGCCCCACATTCATTCTTTTGCCACGGATCTACCAGATCTACGGAACCTAAACTAAGATGATTTTCACCATCTTCGTTATCTCATTCCTCATTGGCTAATTTCAGGTGAGTCAACTCTACATCAACGTGATGATATCAATACATCATTCGTGTCCCGCAGCCTTGGAACTGTGGGTCGAACCGATACCGATGCTAGATCTAATCATTTTCTGATATCATTTTACAGGTTTTAGCATAAAATCGAGAGGAAGCATTCAACGATCATTCACAGTGCCAGAGATAGTGCACTATATTGTTTTGTGCGAAATATTATAAAAAAGAGGACCTCAACCTGTAAATACTCATTATTATTACACCGGCAACGCTGGACTCCAGTATTCAATTAGGTAACCTTAGTGATTCAAGGCGAGATAGTATTTCTGACAAGCTCTGCTTTCTTCATCTCAATATTAATATTAGTATCTAACGATATGATGAAAATTCGCCAATCCCATTGTACATGACGGAATTATGATCAAAGGCATCTGACATTAGAAAGTAGGCAGGGTCCTCTTCAATAAACCACGAGAGGTCATCCCATTGCTGAACGTCCTGCACGCTCGAGGGGGTTGGATTCACACCAAGAGAAGGAAGTAGTTGTTGACTCGACATCCTCGAGGTCGATCTCAATGTGATCTGCGGTGGCTGCATGTCTTCCATTTGAGCTAGCTGAGGTGTACGGGTGTTCCGCTGAATGTGCACTTTCCCCAAGAGAGGGACGTCCAGCATCAATTTGCGCCCTTGAGTGGCGTGTTCCTCTTCCTTGAGGAGACTGGTCAAAGAAGTCAAGGTATCAACCGCACTTTCGGCAATACGTGAAGTGGGAGTATTAGTAATTCTTCTGCGCATAATATCAATGACCTTTTCCACTTCCTTTTCAGTCCTTGCCTTGTCGACATACAGACTGAACTGTTGATTGGTTCTTGGTGTATGAGAAAGCAGAATAAGAACCACCGTGGCGGTGAAACTGTGCAGCTCCATCATAGTGTACAGGAAGAAGCCTGGAGGCATCGCCTCGAGAAGAACCGTGTACCGCTGTATTGCTGATTCGCATGCCTTAAAACAAGCGACCTGGGTGTTGAAAGGCTCTTCACTTGAGTCTTGACGCAGGGTCAATGGCATATAAGCCCTCAAGAGCAAGTAATAGTGAATAGCTTGAACTATATCATCGGGTTCGACGCGGTCCACTTCAATTTGCTTTGTCCACCAGGATTCTGGAGTTTGAGAGGCAAGCGACCTGAGCTCTTCGACCAGCTCAAAGGTGGCCCGTGAAAGTTCAGCAGTACTTCCGCGTGTCGTGTTCAATTCATCCAAAGATTGAACCTTGCCAGCAAGACTCACGATCTTCGCGAAATATAAACGAGGTTGAACCACGCCGTTGACTGTCAATGCTTCGTTCTTTATATGTTTGTGCCAACGCATGTCTGGAGGAAGATTAAGAATCATTCCTAAAAGTCTCTCTGCAGCACATATCATCTCCCATAATTGAGCTTTTCCAAATTGGGCATTATCATCATTTGTTGCGGGTAATCCATTGCGATGGGCAGCTAGGGATGCGCTCGGTAGTCCCATCAACTCGGCAATTGCGCCAAGGTGCCGTAGCCGAACCCATGCTTTTTGGAAATTCCCTTGTGGCAGTTGACTAATTTGACTCGGAAATTAGCAGCCGTGGCAACAGAAAAGGAAAGGCGATCACTTACAGCCGAGTCCAGTGCATGCATAGCATAATCCCAGATGTCGTGCCTATCAGCCGATCATGAGAGATAATGGTCCTCTCCACGGTGTCTGATATGACGCGAGAAAGCTCAAACCGCCTCGTAGACTCTCCAGGCCGGCCCGGTGTAAGTATACGTTCTTGAGGCGTTTGCTGAGCAGTGAGTGCTAGTGTGAGCATCCACGAGGCGAGTGCCATAGCATCCACATTTGGCTCTTTCATCTTCTCATAATTGTCCAGTGCTTCTTTCTCAGACCGAACAGTGAGTGGTTGAGGAAGCAAAGCTTGAAGAATCCTCAGCCACTCGAATGCGGTTTCATAGATTTGAACTACTTCATCTTTCGGCGGAATCAACACTTGAAGAGCCTCTCTCGCAGTATCCAGCAAATTTGCAGATGCTCTCTCCCGGCGTTCCTGTAGTTGGCCATTTTTGTGGCGGCTATCTAAGCTGAGCCAATCATTTTGGAAGAGCGACTGCAAATGCGACGGTCTTTCGGATGTAAGAATGTCCGACATGTTGGAGTCGTCATCCGATGTGTCCATCTCAGCGCTCGGGTGGCTGACAGCCAGCTCCGAAGCCGAGTCGGGCTGAACGCCGAGCTTAGACTCAATTCGTTGCACCACTCTGATCAAGCTAGATACCTGGGATTCTAGTTGGGATATTCGTTTGCGGGATGACACCCCCCGCGACGCGGTGGGTCTAGATTCTTGGGGCGTACATTCTGAGCCCCGCTCTTCGCATCTCCGGCAAGCCAAGGCATCTTCAGAAGCTCGAATACAGCGAACTTTGCGACGTCTGCCTGTTTCAAGAGGTGCAGAAGATAAGGAGGTTGTTCATTTGCTTTTTCTTCGGGTGGGGTCACCACTCACATTCTGTGCAACTTTTTGTACAACTTCGGATCCTTTGAGATTCATTTCCCTGCATGGCCGTGGTAATATTTTTTTAACTGTAGCGCTAAATGGGAGAAGAAAGAAGTGAACCCTGTAGCTTGAAGGGGCTCGGTCCGCGGACCAGTTAGGGATCCGAGACCGAAGCGCGGGTTGTGCCAAGGCTTACCCACCATCTTGTAATCGGTAGCAGCTGGGTTATACCATGGAAACGAGTGGCAATTTGTTTCTTTACCAACATTTCTTTGCGATATTCCACAATTACGTAAGCCAAGCTTATAAAATAGTGCAGGAGAAAGTCAAGCAAGATTTATTTAGACGCTAGATCTAGCACACCTGCTAGATCTGCATGTGAACCACAATTCAGGAGTTTCAGTTGAACATTCCTTTATAGAGCACTAATCTCAAACCACTTCAACAAGCCCAGCCGGGCTAGCTCAATCGGTAGAGCGTGAGACTCTTAATCTCAAGGTTGCGGGTTCGACCCCCGCGTTCGGTTCTTTTTTCTTTTTTCTTTACGAAGTAATTTGTGCCATCTCTTTTTTGGTTCGTAAAAGTCTGCAGCGGGTCAGTCATGTACTGCTTGTTGGCTGTCGTGGATTATGTATTGTAGGTCCACTGTCATCCCTGTACGTGTACCTGGGTTTATCCGTGCTTGCAGTAAAGATGTTCCAGGGTTCTTTCTCTTTTTGCAATATCCAGAGGTCGAAGTCTGTTAATAAGGATCATTGGGCCCCCAGCCTGGAGTACGTAGTTATGGCCTTGGGATCCCGCTGTCTCAGAACCAGATATAAGTAGAAATATATAGTATAAGGCGAATGTCCGCTTGGCCACTTGACCATAATTTGAATTAAAGCCTAGCCTGTTTCGATTGTTCCGGGAGCTCATGCATGCCTTGTGAACTGCCGATGTTTTACCAAGTTTTCACAAATTTAGTGATAGTTGTGCCCCCGCCTCGCAGGCTTTATCTATCTGAGAAGCTCATCCTTTATTGTGTCAAGGAAATGAAAGTTACGTGGATCGGAGAGGGTGGGTAGAACGGCCAGTGGGTGAACTGCATCATGATCTGTGGCCCTTCCTCTTGTATGTCAGCAGAAATCTTTCGAATGCGACAAATTTCCAGCACGTCGATTGGATCCACAATGATTCCGGCATTTTCTTCTTCAATTTCGACTATTCGCTGGGCGCAAAGGCCAGAGTACTAATCCTGCCAGGCACCGTGGTAAAATGGTGATCGGAGAATGAGGTCGACAGCCTTTCGGCGTATCAAGGGATGGCGATAGCGAGATGCAACGAGAAACAATGGGGGAGTGATTCCGAGGTCGAAGCTGAAAAGGGAATTGAACTCTTGCGGCTCATTTCTCCAAGTCTCGGTCACACTATCGGCAAGATCAACAACAGCTTGAAATTGGTCGGCATGGTTGTCAAAGACGGCTTCAGACTGGGCCGCATATGTTTAAATGATGATAGTGGAAGCATAATAGTAGAGCTCTATAAGCTTTCGTGTACAGTCCTTCAATACTGGAGGTTCCTCTGAAAAGTCAGAAGACTTCAAGGCCGCCTTCCATTGCCGCAGGACGGTATCAGCACTCTGCGTGGAGATAGACAATCTGTGCAATGACCACGTTTCACAATAGGATAGTGGCACAAGCATCCACTGTATTCGAGACTCTCATGCAGTGAGACCAGTGCTGTGATAGCATGCTTAATTGGCGCTTCACTGTGCCCGAGTTGACGGAGACTGGAAAGACAGCTGCTTGAATCACGGTGACCACAGATCCGGCGAGCTGTTCGGTTTCAGAAAAACTCAAATGCTATTTGTTCTTTGTTTTTGAAAGAATTAAGAGAGAACGACTGATGGAGAGGGGCTGAGTAGCCTTCACAAATCCTACTTGTCTGGACGCAGCGCAGAGTCGCAGACAGGACGGTTTACTCTCATCGCATTTGTTGCCTCTAAGATATATTCTCACTTGCGGAGAATGCCACTCGCTGAAATTACGCACATACCGAGATCTGGAAAGTATATGATTAGTGGCGATCTTGACAACTTGATATAGGTCTCTCATGCAGATGAAGCAACAACCACTTCGTGCCCTGCACATTTTTGATACCTTTGAGCCAGTATTCTTCATCGGGATCGCCTGCTGCTCCAGATGTCGTGTCTACCCTAGCGAGGCAAAGGGCCTAAAAGAGAGGGTTGAAAAAGATACAAACTTGCTAGAACAGTTATACGACTGCTCAGCCGTAGCACAACGGGTACGAAAGTACGGGATGTAAATTTGATCACTCAATACACAAATTAGCATAATCTCTCTTTGAGCAACGATCCTCCAACTGACTTGTTCTCCCCAGAACATAAAATCACCCCCTGAATCACCGCATCCTCTGGCGTCGATATCGACGACAGCATAACCCCTAGAGCACCATTCCGCCGGGTTCGGGCTCTACAATGAGTGTGAGAAAATGTGGCCAAAGTAATCGAGGTACTCCAGTGTGCACGTACTTCAAATGTCTCGTATCCACAGAGATTTTCGTATGGCATTCCAATACGCCATGGCCACAAACTGTCATAGAACACCGTGCTGGTTCCCACTTTTCAATACGGACCCTATGGAACGATTGCGGGCACCTGCTCTTCCTCGTTTGCTCGTTGGGAAATGTCCGCATAGAGTTTGATTTCGTCCCGCATACAAATTTCCAGGTCTTGTTCCCAGATCACGTCCACCGGAAAGGGCTGAAAACCAGGGTATTTAACATGGCCCCAGGGAAGTTTCTCTTGAGTTCTCCGGGGTGGAAACCTGTATACTTGTATTCCAGGTGTTGCTCCGGACGAATTAAGGCTGTATAAACGGTGTCTGGGAACTGGTGAGAGATTCTCTCTTGAATGGACAGTTTGAAGGCAGGGGAAACAGAAAAAAATATGAAGTGTCCTGATTTTAGGGTCAAATATCCGTGCTCAGCTTAGGATACTGCAAATGGCATCACTTGGGCGATAAAGGGGTTAGAAAACTATGATCGGAATCGCCCATAGATACCCGTACGGCGTATGACAGTGTTCTATAGGAATGTACAGAGTCGTGTTCAATTGGTTGACAGAGGTTCGGCGCACCCACACGTTTACCGCCGGGAAGTATCCACGTCTTTGACGTCGAGACCCTTTCCACGAAGCGACGGGGCGGTGCCAAATCACTTTGGATGACGAGTATGTTCCATCTCCCCATTTCCCCGTCGGCCCCGTCGGCCCCATCGGCCCCATCGGCCCCATCGGCCCCATCGACTTTCTTGGATCTGCCACCGGATTAAGGGCCCAGGCATTCCAGTCAGCGGCGTAGGGAGCTGACCGCAAGCCGACGGCTGAGTACAGACCTACCGTATCTGATATTGATCAACTTCATTGTGTGATACAATCCCGTTATTGTCGCACCCATAAGCTCCAAAGGATCCATTCAACTCCCAACACCTTTCCAATATTTACGATGAGCTCCATGAACAACACAGCGCTGTATTGCGATGAAAACCTTTCCTTTGTCGTTCGTCAATTAAAGGAAAGCCATGTTCCCGGCGATGGAGAGGTCCTTATCGAGACAATCTACTCGGGAGTCAATCCAGCAGATGCGAAGCATGCTACGCTACTCGGAATCTATCCGGCTATTCTTGGTTATGATTTTTGTGGCAGAGTACTCAAAGCCCCGACAGGCTCCAAGTTCCAGCTCGGAGACCTTGTTGCAGGATACACGCCCACCGGTGTCGGCAGACCGGCAAAATATGGAACACATCAAAAAAGTTTGGTGTGTCCGGAGGACATGTTGTTTTCCGTGCCCTCGAATCTCCCACCACATCATGCGGCATGCTTAGGCGTTGTGACAATGACGGCTTGTGACGCACTCTACAATATCTTCAAGTTCCCCCTGCCAGCGAAGAATGCGGGAGCCAACAAAGTTAGCCCACTTGTTATCTGGGGTGCATCCAGCAGCGTCGGACTCTCGGCTGTTCAACTAGCCCGGGCTAGTGGGATATACCCCATCCTTGTGACTGCATCGCCGAAACATCATCCACTCTTGTTACGTCTGGGTGCCACACGTTGCTTTGATTACAGATGTCCCCACGTCGCCTCGAATATTCTATCAGCATTGGAGCAGGAGCGGTGGGGTCCGGTCTTGCAGGGATTTGATACAGTTGGAAGTGTCGAAACAGGCTCAGGCCCAGGCTCGGCGCAGTTAATGGCGGAATGTGTTTCCAAAGATGCGACACTTGTATCTGTGGTTGTGCAAAAGGATCCCCGGTACAAAATGCCATTCGCTACTCCCAACAGAGACGCGACGATTAAAGTGAAGGAGGTCCCTCATCCGATCACTATTCCTGCACGGAAAGCGGATTATGAGCGAGCATGGAAGGCACTCCAGTGGGCTGTCGCACAATATGGCTCACACTTCCAGCTCCCTTCCGTGGAGATATTCAATGGGAGTGCAGAAGAGGCTATGAACAAATTGCTAGAGCTAGCTAGTCATGGCCGTGGCTTGGGAAAGTTAGTGCTCGAGCATCCCCTGCAATAATTTGATGTGCGTGATATGAGGGAGGATACTAGTATAATTGGATACATGGTAGTATACTTACGTGTCATCATTCTAGCACTAAGCAACAAGTTTTTTTTGTCGAATGTCAGAGCCGCCTTTTACATTACAGTCTACTAAGAATATGACGCTAACCGATGCTTTAAAAAGTGTCCCCCCCAGGCTTCCAAAAGCTTCCAAGGCCCTAGAGTGACATATCGAAGCTATGAGCTCAAGTAATACCGCCGCTATTCTTTTGAAGAAGACCATAATCTGCGCGCCATGAAAGATTAGGCTTAAGATTAGATACAATTTGAAAGCTATATATCGAGGAGGCTCAACAGCGGCGCTGTGGAAGAGATGAAGGCATGAGCCTATGGCATAATCAAATCTTTTCAAGTACGGCAGAAGTGGAATCACAGCGTATAGAATAAACGGATACCCGAATCACATAAACACAGAGAGTTGAGATACTATTTGGGCTCCTCAGTCGCTCATTAGTATTGGATGTAGGGAAACTTGTCACAGTGCAGCCACCGCTCGGTAGTGGGGTCATGGTTGATACCGCCACCGGGTAGTCACTGCGGCCCCGTCGGGAACAGTGGGGTTGAAGGTAAAGAAAGTAATGATGTAATCGTCATCGTTAACTATTCTGTCTGGGGGGTTTCAAACAAATAATGGGCAATCTGACGGGATGTACTGTATCACAACCTTATCTATAAATTAAGCCCACAGTTCAAGCTTCGTCCGGAATGCAGACTGGCTGAATTCACGCAATACGAAGAATGACTCCCATAAAACAGCTAGTCGCTGTGCGGCGCAAGGCAGGGTTGACCAGGGAGGAATTTTTCGATTACCACTACCAGAAGCATGGCGCACTCAGCACTGGACCTGAGCCAGCAGATACACCTATGTGAGTACCTTCTCCGTCTTGATGTGTATAACCGGACTCACATCATGTAGGAAATATTTTCAGACGCACTTCATCGATGCAGCATACCATGCGGATACCTCCCAGGATGCGGCCAATGCTCATCCAGTATGGGCCTTCAGCGACGACATCACAGAGCTCTACTTTGACTCCCCGGAGCATCTAGAACGAGTTTTCAAATCCAGATGGGTTGCCGAAAAGGTTGGCCCCGATGGGGCTAATTTTTCAGACTTCAGCGCGGTTTCTCCAATGTTTGTCAAAGAGGAAGTGATTTCCTTGGTGAACAATAACGAGCCTCAGACCGAGAAGCCTGAAGAAAATGTCTTTGTGGCTATCTATTTTGTTGCCTTGCAAGATCAGACGGCTCATTTCGAGCCGCTGATCCCTGATTTCGTATCGAGCCTTCAGGAGCATGCTTCAAACGAAGTCAAGAGGCTGACTGTCAATACCCCCATCAAAGCTGGATTTGACCTCGGTGCATACTTCAGAGGGGAAAGTTCGCATCACTGCCAATCCGTGTTGACAATCACAATCAACGGAAGACAGTCAGTTCATGCTATCCGCGCAGCTCAAGAGGATTTTGAGGCGAAGCACACTTCCCTGTTAGCTCTACCAGCTACATGGATAGGATTTGGTGAGCGCGCTGTCGTGTTTGACCAAACGAATGATATTAAAGTAAGTGTCCCAAAGCACAAAATGAAGGGATAATAAATTTCTAACAATCAATTCTAAGTTTGACTCTAGTCGCCAGCCTTTCAAGGCTCGGTGACTTCTAAGAGACTCAATTATTTTATAAGACTGTTGTGGCTTCTCACTGCTGCTAAATCAAGGAACTATTTCCAGTCATTAAATAGTCTTCGCCTTCTCATCGAGATCACAATGGATTTGTGGTAAGGAGTCACTTGTAACGCGCTTCCTTCAGTCGTACCTTACAATCTATGGGGTAGAATAAATTCAATTTCTTTTCAAACCAGCTTTGATAAAAGAGCCTGTAGCTGAAATAGTAGAGGGTGGAACCCGCAAGGTCTTTTTGTGGAAAAATGGCAGATACCTAAAATACAGCGAGGTAAATATGTATGTACGTCAGCCGAAGGAAAAGCATTAGGATCTATGGTTGTTGGAATATTAATATGTAATTAATCGCTTTTACTATGTGTTTTGGGGCGGCCGGGCAGACCGGGAATTACGTTAGTTATGAATTGGATCCCCCAGCTTAGTTCATGCAGTTTGCACCGCCCGTGTCAATACCGTGTCGCAGTGTGAGTCAAAATCTACTCCCCACACAGCGGCTCCGTCGGCTCCATCGGCTCCATCGGCTCCATCGGCCCAGAGCGTTGTCTGTCAAAGACTTGCCACTTTCCGTTTGGTGTTTTACTAGCATGATCTACTAACTTGAAGCCAAGACTTCTTATGTAATGCTGTGAAATCAGGGCCCGTCCGCACATGTAGAACCTCCTTGGCGAAGTCTTCCAACCCTGATACTTAAATAGCGCAGAGGATCACTTTTCGACTGATATTTTCCTATTGATCTGAGCGACACAAGGAGCACAGAAATTATCCGAATCCAAGTTTACGCACGTCTTCTTTGTTCTCGTCATAATGATAACTCCGAACAATCGTCCTAAGTACCAGACTACTCAGTCTGATGTCGAAGGATATACGCGAATCAAGCATATTTATATTCCGATGCGGGATGGTATTGAGCTATGTGCTGATCTTTTTCTCCCCTTTTCGGCATCTAATGATGGAGGTGATGTTCCTGTGCTTTGCAGCATGGGCCCTTACGGCAAGGACATACATGCTTCCACTTTTGGACTTCCTAAGACGCCTATCTATGCTGAAATGTACAAGCATATCAAGCCACTGGGCCCCGATGCATGCTTTGAGCTATGCGAGCCAACCATTTGGGTATGTAAATTTGGAATAGAAAAAAGATGCCACTCCATTCCTCACATATGTTGGCTCACATCATGAACAGTGCAGAGATTACGGATATGCCCTTCTCCGCGTTGACGCCCGTGGAATTGGAGGTAGTCAAGGAAAGCTGGATCCCTTTGGCCTGGAAAGGTCTGTGGAGATTCAAACAGATGCTGAAGGACAAGGTAACTTTTGTTCCTCCCTGAGCTCAATACAAAGCGGCAATGAAACTAATTTCATATTTGTCAGACCTATACGACGTGGTTGAATGGGCTGCTACACAAGACTGGTCAACGGGCAAAGTTGCATTTTCTGGTATCAGCTACTTTGGAATGGTGGGGTACTGGGCCGCGATGCAGAAACCACCTCACCTGACCTGCGTCATGTCTTACGAGTCTGCTTGCAGCATGTATCAAGCAGCGAGAAGAGGAGGTATATACAGTAACAACTTTCAGTCCCATTGGTACCACAACATCGTTGTCCCCTACCAGGGCGGAAATGCAGATGATTCGCTTGGAGACAAAGCGCTAGTCGCCAACCGAGTGGACTATCCCAAGCTTTTGACGACAACCGAATATCCCACTGACGGCGCCTGGGCTGTCTTGGAAAAAGTCCGCAAATTGTCGGATATTGAGGTCCCAATCTATCTCGCAGGTAACTGGACGGATCCGGAGCTTCACTTGCCGGGAAATATCCGGGCCTTCAACGCTGTATCATCTGAGCATAAATGGTTAGAGATGCACACTGGTAATCATCTGGGGGCTTTCTACGACCCCGAGCATATTAAGCTCCAGAAAAAGTTCTTGGACTATTTCCTATTAGGCAAGACGGAGAACGGAATGCTCGACGTTCCCCAGATAAGATTACTGCAGCACCATGGCGTGGAGACTTTTTACCGCGAAAATGAGCTGTCTTTTCCTCCCCATGACGCGGAAGATGTCAGCTTCTACTTGACGCCCAACAAGGAGCTCTCGTTGAACAAGCCGGCTACCGCAAAAACCACCTTTACCTTTCAGGGACACCGAGAAAATCTCCACTTCTCACTTGACTCTCCTTTTTCTGAATCTTTCGAGCTTCTGGGATCTCCATACCTCGAGATTGAGGTCAGTACCAAGACCCAGGATCTTGATCTTTTCATCTATCTTCGGGCTATCGATACCAACGGCAGTAGCATCACGCTGCTTGGCAATCACGGTGAACCAATGGACAGTTTTGCAAGAGGCTACTTCCGTCTTTCACACCGTGATGAAGCTGCAAAGAATTTTAAAAAAGAAAAAGTGATCAGTCAGCCTGTTGTTCCCAAGTCGGAAGTCGTTCCAGGACAGCTTTATACCGTGCTTGTTCCTTTGTATCCGGCAGCCTACCTATTTGACAAAGGCCAGGCTTTCACGCTGGAGATAGGCTCGGTGAACACTGCAACCACCATCCCTCCTATGCGTCATGAGGGTGGAGACAGACTTGCTGCTAGATTTGAGGGCCAGAACATGATTGTTTCCCATGGAAGATTAGTCTTCCCTCGGGTGAGGCGTGGATTTATGCCAGCAAGTGGCCTGTAATTAGTCTACCGTGAATAACAGCATGAGTCTCTGATCATGCCACAAAATACTACGGTCCTTACCCACAAATATACTAGCGTTTGCATACATTTAGGGGAACCCCCGCTGTTATTCAAAACATGAGCGATCTCACCATGTTAGGTAATGCGTTTTGTTATGCCCTCAAATTGCGCATTCCGAGCACGTTAGCGACGCTCGAGGTCGTGATACTGGAGCATGTGATTGACCGGTTGACTCGGTATCTTGAGAGCGATCTAGGACTTATGGCAATTTGAGCCAATTTTTCAAGCTTAGCTACAATCAAGCCTTTAGATCAAACATACCTAGGTCGACCTTGTTTCCACTTATATCTCGTTCGTGATAATCGTGATTTGTTAGGCTAGTACAATGTTACGAACCCACTTTGCCTACACCTTGTAAAGAAAGATGAGGGCGAGCCGAATCCCAGCAAGGAGTAACAGGACAGGATCACGAGATCAGCCACCTATGCTCACTGAGCGGTGTTAGAGCGCTCAGACGGCAGAAAGTTTCAGAACGGCTCGTCAAAGGAATTACTGTACATTGGAAATATACCAACAAGGCTTTTGACTAGGGATTCACCCACCTACTCAAGTAGGCCTGTTCTTAGAGCCTAGGCCCTTCAGTTGCCTTCCCAAACTTTGCACGCCACGTGTGCACCTTCCAGCAATATAGTGCCATATTTCAAGAGTTCGAGTAAGCATTATTAATGCCAGCAAGTCCAAATACATGATATTAATAGCATTCAATCCGGATCCTTCTACATCGCAATTATGAAAAAAAGGCAATTAGCTATTCCTCTCCGTGCACGCCTGGTGTGGGATAGCTGGGTCCGTAGGCCATGTTCTCAAGCCGAATAGACTCAGTCGTATCCCGCCTTTGCCGCGCCAGTATATCATCAGTGCTGGATGATGGTCTCAGAGAAGGCTTCTTCGTGCTCTCAGGTGCCTCCAGCGCATTATGTGCTTTCACAGCCGCTTGACACCGACTATAAGTAGCGTAAACAGTGTTCAGAAGTGCAGCAATCCACCACGAAAAAAGAATTGGCAGCGCCCGGTACGACTGATCTTGGCATCCATCACTCCAGATCTGAACAAGCATTTGATAGGCCTCATGAGCTGGAAGTGCATAGCCCCAGCGGAAAAACCCAGGGTTCAACTCAAATGGACTGATAGTGCTGGCAACATTCAGAATGACCCAGGTGAGAATGCAGAAAGGCAAGAATTGCATTGGTATGAAAGCAGTGAGAGTGTCGACAATCAGGAAGTTGATGTGCATGTAAAGCCAGGTGACCATCCAGGTCAGAACAAACTGATTGCCGTTTACATCCCACGACTCCTTGTAAGCCCAAATATAGCCAGCCATACATAGGGATCCAATGAAGGTATAAATGATGGAAGTGACCATGCGAATGAGACCGTTGGTCAGAGTGCCCAACTTCGTGAACAGTTGGAATTGGGCAGAGATTCCATTTAGTGCCATCATGAAGAAGAATTGCTGGATTATCGGCATGACGAGGGACACGGTATTATAAAGAACTCTCGTGCCTTGAGTAGTTGCTTTGATGTTGATCCCTGTGGCTTGGATGGGATCGAGGAAGGTTTCAAGTGCGATAGAATTTGATAGATTGGTGGAAGCGACCACCTTTGAAGCGCTGCTAGCGTAGTAGGTTGAGCGGGCAGCCTCAATAATGACCAAGATGTTTGAATATATCTCACTTTGAGCAAAGGCCGGATAACGCGCACCATTCCAAATGTAGGTGATAGCAGAGGCATTGAATGCAGTGCCATTAGCGAGTGTAGCAGCAAGGTGGGTTGACGCGTCAGGAGCAGTATATATAGCGGCCCAGTAATCACCACTGCATACAGCACCCCGGACATCCTCGATTGTAGAATATTGGCTGATGGACTTGGTATATAAAGTTGGGAAGTTGTCGCCTTTCAATGATAGGTAAGCCTCCGTGACAGCTTGACCAACCACACCGCCATCATAGTCGACGTAAAGCATTTTCATGTTGTGAACCCTACTCGAATCGTGGAACTGGGTTGCGTACAAATAGCACATGTTTCCCAGGAAAAGAAGCTGTAGGAGGGCGAGACTCGTCCCAACAGCAGTGATGAAGCGCGTCTGCATCTCCTTCCATGCCCCTGTATGGGAAGACTTCGGTGCCGGTGACTTTTTTGGCATATTGTGTGCGCCAAATTGCTGTAAAACGCTGCGGACTCGGAATCAATGGGATTCAAATAGGCTGCTGTGATCTTTGTCCTAAATTCAGGAACACGCTGGGAGAAATTTTTCAAAGTGCTGAAATAAGAATTCTAATATTATAGTTTGATCGACACCCTGATGTATATAGCCGCTTACTCAGCGGGTCGATTCATCTTTGGAAATCACCGAGAGATCCCACGGCCGATGTGGTTCACTTTGAGGCCGGTGGAGCCGACGGGGCCGACGGGGCCGATCGCCATGCCATTTCTTGAAATTGCATAATGGTCTCTTCAGGTCAAAGCTGCCTATTGCTTGCTTCTGACTTGATCTAGGACGGGAAACAGGACTAATCTATTTTACATGTTGATATGAACCTTGTCGAGACGCAATGTACAAAAGCGGCAAAGTGTTAGGGCGGAAGCAACAGACCTAGTAAGATTTAGGCCAATGTGTACATTCTTTACTTTATATGAATTGTTGATTGTTGATCTTGAGAGGCTTGATCTGGAGTCTGAAAAGAACCACAACTACTTTGCTCGCCTCGAACTTTAGCCAGCAATTCATGATTATCGGCCATCGTTTGATTCCATTGGTCCTCTGAATCGAATAAGAGTCGTCTCGCCTCCAATTGAAACATCTCATCGGTAGGAATGATACCATTCCCCATCATTTGTTGCGCATAATGGCTCAAGTGTCGGGTTAGCACTTCGGTATAAGTCTCTAAAGGAGGCTCTGGGACTGATTGCAGCTCTGCCTCGGGAGGTTCAGGGAGCGCTTGAGATTCGCCTCGTGCCTCCAGGAAACTGGCTCGGGACAGCATCTGAGAAAGATGGTCATTAACAGCCCCGTCAGTGGCGGAGAAAGGTACAAATGTTCTCGATTCAAAGTCAAGTAGATATGGCGGGACACTGTATCTGACTTGCGCGGCGATTTCGGGCGGAAACTCATGGTCACCTTCCCACTGGGCCATGGTACAGCCTTTGCGGAAGTGAGCCGACAAATGATCGGCTCGTTTGGTCCACGTTTCCATCCGGTTGTCGCAGAATCCACATCGGGAAGGAAATTCCGTGACAGCAGTTTTCCAATTATCGATGAGTGGCATGGTATCAAGACGGTGAAAAAGGCGTAAGTGCTGAAGCAGATGATCCTTTCGCCGAAACGAGCGTATTTCCTGTTGACAGTTTCCATGATTGTGTTGCTCAAGGTGGTCGGGTGTTGGATCTAGTTGATTGCAATAGGCACAGTGGGTGCGACCAGTAGATGGTAAGATGACGGATCCTCCATATGGCGCGCAAGTCCAACTTTCCAGATTGAGATGAAGCGACTTCTCATGACGCGCCCAGTCATACTTGCTTTTGAATTTATCACAGCAAAAGGTGCAGCAAAACATGCGAGGTTTGCTGGCATAACTTCGCTTCTGTCTGGTTGTGCTGGGATGATTCTTTCGGACCCCTGCAGCTGTCTTGTCCAAAGGGGCCTGGCTACCATTAGACCACCCAGACAAACCAGATCGATTAGAACGCCGAGAAGACGCACTAGTACCGCTTTCTCCACTCGCAGTGGAAGCTGCTCGAGATAATGGACGACGATGTTTTTTGAACAAGTCATCTACGGAAATGTCGAGTGGGCTGTGCGTTTGATTTCTTCCAGAATATGTCGATGGATTGTGAAGCGCATTCTGGATGGCCGATAAACTGGCTGCCTCAGCTTGGGGGGAGATTCCTTCCAGCGCTCCAAAGGGTCTGCTGGACTGGAACCAGTGGTAGTTGGTATGAAGATAGCATTCGGTTGCTGGTCAGTATTTTGTATCATATACCTGCTTTTTCGCCGAGGGAGCCCCTTGTTAGCTTGTGCTGGAAGAACTGGTAACGCTGGCTTTGATATTGGTTTTCCATTACGCCGATCCTGATAGTTCAATGAGGCTACCGATGGCGCGTTACTTGGGTCAAGTTGATTGTATTGGCTTAGTTGCTCTGAAGGCAACGGCTGTAAGAAGTCGTGACCCGTCCAGACGGAGGAAATTTGCTCTTCAGCAAGAAAACCTTCAAACCCGTATTCTGTGAGGTAGTCGTGAGTCGTATCAATTGGAAAGTTGGCCGTATTAGAGATGGATCCATTAGCGGAATTATAATTCAGATCATTTCCGAATTGCAGCGGATTCAACGAGGATTGAAGCATTGGTGTATATGAGTCATGCACGTATTCAGGGTAGTTGAAAACCGCGTCATTTTGACTCAATTCATAATTGTCGGAAAGATCTAAACATGAATTAGCGCCTTGATCTTAGCAGTAGCAATTAGATACGACCTGCATACATTGCGAGTCTCGGCGCGGGTCCGCCATGTTCAACCCCTCTTGCTTTCATTTGTTTAGCGTATTTGCAGTCATAAGGAAGCAATCATTCAGTAAGCGAGAGCTCGAATGAATGGAATATGCTCCCAACTGAGAATACACGGGAAAAATTCCCCACGGACATTAGTGACAAAGATGACTTGGTATTGGCAAGAAAATTCGGGAGCGATGATTCATCGTGGGCGGTGTCTGGTGGGGACCGAAACCGCCACTGAAGTTTTTGGATACATTGATCTAAACAGAAGTATGAAATTCATAAAAACATGCGTAAACAAAAATACATAATGATTTATCTTCTTTCCGTTGATTTTATATAATTGTGAAAGAATTCTTATAATAAGTTAACTTTTTATTTACAAATAAAAAATTTAAATAATCTTATGATCAGGCAAAGTGAATTGAAAAATGAATATTTTAGCTCCTCGGGCACCTCCCTTGCTCTTTCATTCGTGCTCCACGCGCCCGGGTAATTTAAATGTATGTCCACAAATTAATTCCTAGAATTAAGGTCGAGAATACTCGGGAAAAATATGGATTTCAAATCAATCAACAACAGTAAACTCGAGAGCATTGGATGAGAGGATGATTATCTCTGGTCTCCCATCATTATCAGCAGGGTCAACGACATGCGCATACATCCAGCATGGTAATTTCACAACTGTGTTTGCATGTTCTTCGCGATCGCCCCAAGTCCACCAGTCAATGCAGCCACCCCAGTACTGCCATCGATATGTGTCACCGACCACCGTATCGGGGTGTAAATCCAGATAGTCAATAGAAAATTCGCTAGTAAAGGTTTCCCCTGGTTGGAGGCTGCGGAACCACTCAGAATCCGTGACGTTGACCTCAATGTCAGGTTCATCTACTATAATCCAACCCCTATTTGCATCTCTTTCTTCGTCAAAATAAGTCTTCCACTGTGGGGGACCTTCCTTTGAATTCCTCAACGGATCGTACTCGGGGCAGCGACGTTGTAGTCGAAAGTTGTCGTGACCAAAAGTGAGATCGTGTATGATGATCGGTGTTGCACCAGCAAGGACAGCCTCATAATCATCGTTTGTCAGACCATCATAGGTAATCTTTGCCGTGATACAAATCCCTTCTGCTTTGGAGATTGCCGATGGACCTTCCAGAAACACACTTATAAAAGGGGTTCCAGGGCTGTAAAGAGAGAACATCAGTCACGAAGAAGACGAAGTTCACTTTGAAGCTTCCTCACATTCGTCTAGACTTCTCCACACGAAAGTCTTCAGGCTCAGAGACCGGGATGTCTTCTTTTTCTACGCAGGTGAGGGAACAACAGGCTCCTCCAGGGATGATGACACGGGGTAGCCCCAGGTTAACCCCAATTTCTTGATCCCAGTGCTCACTCAAAGTGCCCCAAGCCCACAAGGCATATTCAGCCCCAGGCCAGAAAACTTCATATCTCTCACCAGCGACCAAATGGTCCTCGAATTTATTCGGGAAGCCAATATTTCTTTGGAGAGTTTGACCAGGAAGAAGCTGTTCGGTCTCGCCTCCATATCCTGTAAGCTTCAAGGTTTGGGGAGGTGTCGACTTGTTGTTTCCTTCAACTTCTTTTAGACCGTCTGGCGTGTGTTTAAAGAGCATAAAGCCAGAAGGAGTCCATCCATCAAGTTGACAGCTCCAGCGAAGGATACAAGGTGTGCTGCAGTCATCTTCTGCGCGACGGATAGTGATAACTATCCCCCCTATTGGATTTTCCACAGATATAGCTCTGCTGGGTCCTATCTCCATGGAGAGCCTAGGCGTATTTGGACTTTGGGATTTGTTAGTTATGAGCGACGTACAGGTAGGGAGGATCTTACGGTCTGTCATGCTCAAAAAATCTGATATTTGATGCAAGTTCAGGATCCATGGCGGATTTTCCCTCTTCCTTAAGAGATGGGGAAGTCAGAGAAAAGAGAAATATTGGGGGAAGAGAAAAAGTAATAGGTGGGGTGGACTACGGTAGAAAGCCTTCTTAGGCCCCTAATCTATCTACATGGTCTGTGGTTTTTCCTGGAAGCCTGGCTACTAATTGCTCTGAATTTCACTAGCGAATTTCTGGACCCACAGTCCCCCAAGATCGTGTTTATTCTACCTCGTAACATCTTTCTCTTCCACATACCAAGTGCACCGCGCGTGGCGCCTACTCTTGTAATCCCAGACTTGGCACGTGTAAAATAATGGTTTAAATGTACTAGGAAAAGAATAGTAAAAAGAAGCTGATGCCATTATGGTAAAATACATATCACTGAGATTGTTCATTTGCTTTGGTTCAAGGTAGTGAATATGGTGTATCACGCCAAAAGCGGCTGTCTTTCTCCCTCCTCGGCACGTCTGTTCTGTCGCAAAGTCAACCACAGCAATATCCCCTGCCCCAAAGCAAATACCGCATCATTGAAAGTCTCGAACCCCACCGTTCGGTACCATCCCAAAATAAAGATACCAATAGGGTGTCCCTCTTTCAGGTATTCCAGGATTAAATCCCATGGAGCAGAGAGTCTGGGGATCCAGAAGACTGCCGAGAGCATGAAGGCCGCTATTTGAAGCTTCAGCCCCATCAGACTTTGAGTTTGTAGGGGGCTGCGGACTTGTTTGTACATTCCTATGACCAGAGGTATAGTCGATAAGAATGGTAGGAGAATAAAGGAATGAAGGCCCTCAAAGAGAGCGATAGCGTCGCGCTCATGCCAAGGGCAGTTCGGATGGTCTAAAGGACAGAAGGTGTCTGATACTGCATCTGTTATCAGAGGCCCTAGGGTAAAAATGAGAAAGCCGATGTAAATGACCATTAGTAAGGTCTTGCGAAGGCGACTGGTCAGTCTGTGGTAGAGGTTCAGCCCCAGCCTATAAATGGTGGTAAGTCTCTGATTGCTTTTAATTGCCAGGAAGTGAAACTTTCTGAACTCACAGGATATTAAACAATGCCCATACACCCATCACTTGGGAGAAGTTAATCCAGTCAAGTGCATTGCGCGGAAAGTGAGTCCAGTAGGGCTCGATACGGATGTCGGGAGGGAGATCTTCCGGGAGTTCGTCGAGTCGAACGTTGATTGTGAAAAAGAAAGCGAAGAATAAATGCTCTGTAGAACAAATCACATTGAACAGTAGGTAAAGCAATGAGATGTCTCCAGCGCCCTTGCCTAGCCAAGCCTGACGTATATGAGGGACAAAGGAGGCGAAGACCACAACAAGGACAAGGCTACTCTTCTGTTAGTTTTTCTGGCAGTTTCGCTGTTCTGGATTCACAGTAAAATACGAACAAGCTGATAATATTCAACAGCATACTGTGCGATCACTGCTGGGACCGACAAGGATCAAGCATCAAAATACGAAAGAGGAAGAGAAAAGTACGTAGAGAATGCAGGGAGATGATTCAGAACGAGATGGGAAAAAGCACTAGATTAACAAGTCGCTCCGACAAAGATCCGACTAAAAATGGACCATCAGCTAGTGATGTCAGGAATCTCATAACTTCAGTGCTCCTACGCCAAAAGACAGCGTAAGATAGTGCAAGATTTTATGTGTCTGAGCTCACCCCCATGTTGCATTCGCCTTACTCGAATCGAGACAAAAGTCCGGAGATTCCACACGAGCTTGATGGTAGGGTTCCACTTCAATCAAATATACCCAGTCAGGAGCAATCCAAGGCAAAAACAACCCTCAGGTACGGCCGCAATTAATTGCCAAGATCTGCTAATTAACCAGGCGTTTTGTTGTTGCGTTATAACAGGCTAACTAAATTGAACTAAGAAAGCAGAAATTTTATCTGGCTTAATGAGGGTTAGGGGGGCCACCAGGGTCGCGCCGGCATGAACCGAGGTGGACCGCTAAACTATTCCTGGCTAGACCAACCCGGACACCATGGTCCCTGAATCTAGGGTCTATTAACTAGTGCTATTTAGTCTTAAGATGTCTCACAATGTCGCTTACACGTAGTTCACCTCTTTCATGTACAAATTTCTGTTGAGCTAAGACGCTTTTGCAAAAGCATTTGGGAAATGGGGAATCCAATTTTATATGAATTCACCTGTTGTCATGCGTTGGCAGAATAGAATGAAGCTAGATTCTTCTCTGTATTGGAACCGGCTTCAAGACCGAGATAATTGCACTCAGATTTATCGCATAACAATATAGAGATAGGGTCTTGCGTAGTTTCTCAATGCTAGACTGTAAATTGGCAACCCGGAAGCAATCGAGATATTTACACTGCTCAATGGAAACACCTGCAAGACCGGGCCTTGTCGAAATCTACTGCAGCCGCCTCATAGACAAGCCCATTCGACCTGAATTGTCATTTTAAGCAAGCAATACAGCTTTAGCCAACGGCGACTTTACTGCTCAAGACGTATCGTGGATTGGCCGCGTCGGTAAATCAAGACAATCCATACACGAAGTCCTGGCATGACTTTGTACCAAGATGCTATTTTCGCTCTCCAGGAGGTTCAAAACAGTTGTTGATATGCTATACTCTGTTTATTCCATGGGGCCTGATGGCCTGAACCAAGGTGGCTCATTTACGCTAAGTCACGCCTTGTGTAGTGGGTTGTACCATTTGACGTAGTGGGTCGGGTAAATATCAAAAAATCAAAAAATATAATACATACACAGATGGTACGGAAAGATTCACTCGTGAGTCTTATGCACACGTCATTTTCCGTATTTATTTGAGGGTAACACTCACATATTCTTAGTATTCGGGCTACACTTTGATAAAACTTATGAAGATGGCGTTTCAATGACTTTTATTTCAATTTACCATGCTCTGGCTCTAAGACAAACTGGGCTAAAATGCTGCTTAAAAGGGCAATAATGACCGTGCAAGTTCAATTCAAACAACCCCGGGGTTCTGCTTGTAGACCTCCTCAATAAACTCATGCCTCTTCACGGCGCCCTCAAAGTCACAGAGAACACTGTTATCATGTGCAGCAATTGCCTCATAAACACGGGCCACATTCCTCGGAGCTGGGTGCGCATCAGCAAAAGTAGCCTTCCTAGGCTCAATTTTCTCAACCTTGTCGCTCTCGAAGTCGTGAAGTTCAATCCTGGTTGTACCAGACATCTGGATATGGGCACTGGGGCCTTTGATCCTGATCTCTCCTTTCTCGCCGTAGATGCTCCATTCTAATCCAGGTGCATTCTTGAATGGCATTCCGCACCGAATTGTAGCAGATAGTACTGCGCCGGAGTTCAGTGTACCTTGAATCAAGATGTGGTCAGGGGTGGTCTTCTTGACGTTCTCCCTAACTGTAGAGCCATCCGTGTCCACAAGCTTGACAACTGGAAGCTGGTTTGAGAGGAGAGATTGGAAACTCGAAAGCTCGCCAAGGACTGCAATCAATCAGCTCATTTCTATGACACGGACATTTGGATCTCAAAACAAACCTTCCCGGACAGTATCAAGTAAATGGGAGGCTGGAATTGAGAACAAGTTACCACCGATTTGTTGGTCGATAAGATACTCGTATTTCGCCATCTCTGTTGGTCCGCCAATCATTCCTTGGGCACTGATTGAAGTACTGAGAACCTTTCCAATTTTTCCTTCAGCTAGGATCTCCTTCAGAGTCTCAACGACAGGGTCAAATCGGCCTTGGAGGCCAACTGCATTGAGCTTAACATTGTTCTGCCTGGCGATGTTGAGAAGGTCCTGTGCTTCCTGTAGGTTCTTCCCCAACGGCCATTCAACGTAAACATCCTTGCCAGCTTTGAGAGAAGGACTGATAGTTTTATAGTGACGGTCAACCCGGGTGGTGCAGACAACGAGGTCAATGTCTTTATCATTGGCGATGTCTGAGTTATAGATTTTAGAAACATTTCTTACCCGCGTTGGTCGATGATGTCATTTGATACTGACCTTGAGGATCTCCATAGGTCCTGGTACTCTCTGCAAGCTTGAGTTCCTTGACACTCTTTGCGGCACTCTCAACCGATGAGTTGCAAACAGCAACAATTTCGAAATTCGACTCGGGGCTTTGCAGGTATGGTAGGTGAGCCGAGGCTGCCCACTGACCTGGTGTAAGGCCGATGATACCGACACGAATTGGGGCCATGATTGTGACTGCTTGATTGACAAAGCTTAAATGTATCTCGTATTTGAGTTGTAGATAATGTACACGGAATTGAATACCGGATTACCAATCTACAGGAAGAGGTTCGTCAGCCGGAAAGGACTTGTTCCAGCCTCCGGCCCGGAGTGCATCAGTTCCGACATCCGGGTGCAGTGGATCACCCTCGTATATCGTATCTTAACCTCATGCTTTAGCATTAATCATCTCAGCACCATGGGTCCCTTTTATTCATAAATTTGCATGGCACTGACATCTTGAAATTAATTTTTTTTATCATCTAAGAATTGGGTCTCTGCATAGTTTTCTATTTGTCACAATCACCTGTTGTGTTCGGGGGACCCTCATATTTACAGAAGTAAAATCAATCAGAACAATCATTATGCGGTCATATCTTCGGGCTGCCACGAATGTCACAGTGAAGCCTCGAGCTAATTATCCCACCGGTGACCATATCTTCGTACGGTCAACTGTTCTAGGCAGTAGTGACCTGAACCTTATCCTCACTCAACATTGACAATTCTTATCATCATTTAAATCTAGGAAAACCGTGGAGCAAAACCCAGAAAGGCAGCTTTCATTAGTTACAATGAAACAGGCTGCAGCATTGACAGCCTGCGGGGTTTGAGGGCAACCACTGCCGAATTCTACTGTTCAGATACAACATAGAGCCGGATTTCAAATTTATAGGCCCACCACTGTTTTATGTAGAAGCATTGAAGTTTGCATCAAACGAATATCTCAAATCTCCAAGCCATAGGGGCAAACCTCAAACGCGAGCGTAGCGAGAGTCCAGGCCATTGTTAAGAGGTGATATCGACGTTAAGATCTCTTAGGATCGATTAGGATCGACCGTCCGTCTGAGCTAGGTCGAGATTTTAGGGCAAACATGGCAAGCGAAATCCGAATGCACAGCCTAACTAACCTAAACCTTATATTCTGCAGAAACCTCGATCTGCGGGGGTGAACCTTAACCTTATTAGTAATATAAAGGTATGCCAAGGCACTTGCAAGAGCCTTTTGTGTCCTAACGTCTAAGATCTACACTATATTCTTGGCTAATGACAGAAGCGTAGCGGCAAAGACAGCCCCATGCTTGGTTTCCATAGTACACTTATAGCCTTTCTACGCAGTGGATCTCTATAGTCGGATACAGAAGTCTGCATATTCTAGATTCATACGCTCAATTTACGATTGAAGCTCAGCCCCTTTAGATTGATTATCCAGGAGGCCACCATCAAGTAATAATCAGACTAACAAGCTACCGCCCTTCGTTTTGGCATTGCAAGCTATCGTCTTCTATGGTGTATCTATACACTTCTGACAAAATGATACTCGGCATGGTCATGTTAACATGTACATAGGGAAGGGATTGTCCCACGATAGTATCTAGTTCGTCAATCTTTCGTAAAGGATGAAGGCCCCATCAACAGGATGTATGTCGTCGATATGCTGAATTAGTTCAGGGATCTCTCTATCACAGACGATATCTTCGCGTTGTTCGTCACAATCCCCATTATTATGCAATTCCGCGTCATTATCAAGAAAAAAAATGCGTATTTCCATTCTTTTTGTACGAATCTCTTCCTCTTCGTGGCTGCGATCTTGAAAAAGGTTTTCAGTCTCATTTTGTCTTTCAAGTCCAGTGCCTACATGATATGACACTTTCGCGAAGCCACTGTGGCGAAACTGGCTACAAATATACTATTAACGTGGACATTTATACGGGACTTCTTCCCCACTCAAGTTATGGACCAGAAGATATAAACAAGTCAGTGATATCTCTAGGGCCTAGCTATTGGGCAACAGCGAGAATCTCCAATCACATATAAGAGTCTGTCATTGCTGCTTTTTTGAAATCCTTGAGCCTCATCATTCATTACCAAACCTCGCACTTTGCTTACTTCTCATAAGTCTCCTGTGATTTTATCGTCTGTAGTCGCCTATGAGACCCACTTCGGTGCCTGGGCAGTGTTCTCAGTAATCCGAAGACCAAATATCTCATCAGTGGAGCGTTTCTCAAGTTTCGGAGCAAATGTGTATCCATGGATACAGTGTTATGACTGATCATATGACGATATGGGCGTTAATCCCGGTCGCTTGTGCAATTTGATACCTCAGTCCGTCAATTTTTTTTCAATTCCTTTTTCATGGCACCTGGGAACATTCCATGTCTTATAGCATACCTAATATTTCTAGTGATTGATTATGTTCTACCTACCCTTCCGAATTATGATTGTAGAGTAGTCAATTAAAGTCGCAACGATATTATTTAATCATCGAGGAATGGGTCATGTCAAAATGTCTAAGCTGTCTTTGATAATAACCATACTGAGAGATGATCAACAAAAGGGAATAAAACCGATATTTGTTATCGTTTCCATTCAGTAAACCCGTGACCCTTATTGGAATTCGGTATCAAGCAAACTATGTATTTCCAATCAAACGCACAATTCGATATTTGTCTGAGTAGCGGTCTGGGTGACTTGGATTGTCGCTTAGCGGACCGCACGTGCTTGATCCCTGCCTCTTTTGAGCCTCATCTATTCAATCTTCTTTTAATCATCCCATCGAATTACATCGCGAGTCACTTTCCACGCCAATGTTATACCTCATAATACAGCCATGCAAAAGGAAATTCCCCTCCAAGAATCTATCATACAGCAGTCTTCATGCCACTGGCGACTAGGTTCCATGATGGAATGCCATCGGGTCACAACACCCGACAAGTCATACACCGCGAAATGGAAAGATGGGGACTCGTGGTACCACATTGGCCCCGCGACCGCAGAATCTATTCTTGCTCGCGCAGAAGCCAACGACTTTCCCCTGATTCACAAGACGGGGAACCAGTCCGCTGTGTGGGCTATCGGAAATAACGCCATCTGCAAAGTCCACCCTTGGGTTGCGAACATGACCCAGGAGAGTGAGATCATCCAGTTTATTCGAGAAAATGCGCCTGACATACCGATTCCCGAAGTGATTCATTCCTGGGTCGATGGGGATCGAAGCTTCCTGGTTTTGAGACGAGTCGAGGGTACGACGCTGAGGGATGCCTGGGAAACCATGACATTCAATCAGCAAAAGTCCATGGTGGACGAAGTAGCTGGCTATTGCGATATCATGGCCTCCCTACAATCAGAGCGCATCGAGAGTGTACAGGGTGGTGCGATTCGAGAACCTTACCTAGCAGAACACCCGTGCGACTTGTTAGGACCTCTGACTGCAAGCGAGAGCAAGAAATACTTCTTTCGGGATGACTTTCAGCAAAACCCGAAGATTGGTAATTCGTTTCACTTTTATCACTCTGATCTTGGGCCTGGCAACATCATGGTGCACAATAACAGAGTATCGGCAATCATTGACTGGGAGTCGGCTGGCTTCTACCCTCACTTTTGGATTTCCACCAAACCATCCGTCTCTCCGGGCTTTGATTTTGACCCACCAACTCCAGGCGTCGAGGATTTTGAGTGGCGGAGGTTGCTGAGAACCAAACTTCAAGAACTTGGCTACCCACGATATGCAGATTGGTATATGAAATGGAGAGGCATTGAATCTTGAAAAACAAGATCTTTATGGAAGCTCTTGCTCTCTGTTACACTCTCAAACCTAGTCAGGCCCCCTACCGACGACAACAAAGACCAAATGTTCGATAGCATATCGTTACCTAGTGACAGGTTATTTCGTGGCTACCACCTATAATGAAAAATGTTAGCAAGTGATGGAAAGGTTCTTCAATTTTCTGGCCAGATAATCTACGCCTCGAGACTTCAAAATGTATCGCTCCAGCGGTGATCAGCACAGCAAGAAGTCTATGGTTCTCTAAACAGACCATATCCATATGATGGCATAACCATAGATCGGAAGAATTCTTCTTGGAATCATCATTAACCGCATATACTATAAAAGACTGGTATCTCGGTGAGCCCGAGCCTTGAAATCCCCAGTAGGGATATGTTTTGTTGTTATTCAAATATTGTTGAAACATAGTGCGTAGTTCGGGTTACACTATGTAATATCGACCAATCGGCATGCCGAGGTTACCGGAATTGTGCACATGTGCACGTTTACCCCGCAAGATCGAAGAATTCTTGAAATAGAAAACATGATGTGAGCAGGGAATAAACCGCTCGATGGGGCATTCGAGTCAGACACAACAATCGCGGTGGTTGTGGGATTGTTTCGACGTTGATCAAAATCTAGTGAGGCCTTTGCAGCTATAGGCCCTTAGTAGGTCAAATCGACACTAAACCTCTACATCATTGCCAAATGACGTGATTTTTAATGGGTTTATTAAAATAGTGCAGGATAGTGCAGTGGGTCGTTCATAAGTATAGCGCAGACCAGGCAGTGTCCAGTGCTCTGCAGCACGTTCGCCTAGGGACCCGTGTTATCGGCAAGCGGCTCGGCTCCATATTATTTCTTCAGGTCGGATCGCACCGCATTGCAATCCACAGACCCCGCTAGAACTTCACCCCTGAATACCTTTATCGGAAAGATTTTTTTTTCAATATCCACAACCGTGGGTGGCTTAGATGACAGGCCGTCAACCGAGGAAGGGGGTGGGAATGTTTCCTACAAATCTTTTTTCCGCTCGCCAAACCTCCGCTCGCCATCAAAGTGGGTAGCATCAACTCGGTCGACTTCCGCGAACTCCCTCAATGGCCCTTTGACATCTCACCTCACCATTATTGCTAAATTGTTATAAACCGAAAGTGAGCTCCGATCTGAAAAGATCCATATAGTGGATTCTTACATGGGGTTCGGCAAAATTTTATTGTGAACGATTTCCCTGCTTTTCCACCAGTTAGTTTGACAGTCACGGAGGTTGACCGACAGACGGCATGTTGCCGGCCAGGGCCGCCGTAAGGGTGACGAGCATCAAATCCTGCTCATCGGTGAGTTGGCACCCTTGTTTCAGCTCTTTTCTTATGCTCTTCCTCTTTTTCCTGGATCTTCATGCTACAAACCCCAGTTCCTCGTCGCCAGCATGCTGATCTCCACGCAGCCCCCCTCTAATATCTTGACCTCACCACGTCTATCACTAACGGCGTTTTCTTCGCCGTGTGCTGAGCGACGCCTGAGCCATGCCACAACAGGCAAACAAAGACTCCCCGCGAAATCATGGGATAGCCACATGCATGTCGTGGAACCCCAGCGGTTCCCTGTCTCTAAGGCAGCAGTATATCAACCATCTGTACACACACTTGCCGATGCTCTCGCCTTCGAGTCGTCTGTCGGTGTTGAGAACCTCGTGCTCGTCCAGCCCTCTATTTATGGCACAGACAACTCGTGCCTGCTGGCTGCTCTAACTAAACTCGGTCCATCTCGAGGTCGTGGCGTGGTTGTTGTCGACCCGCTTACTACCAGGCCCGAATCCGAGATCTTGGACGAGTGGCACACAATCGGCGTTCGTGGTCTGCGGGTCAACCTCCAGTCTGTCGGGAAGGTGATGGAGCAAGCTGAATTGGAGGAGACTCTACTTCGACATGCCGATATTGCACGCCCTCGGAACTGGATCATTGAACTATACCTTCCTCTCAAGATGATGCCTGTCCTCGAGTCCATTGTGCCTCGCCTCGACATTACTGTTTGCATCGACCACTTTGGCAGTCCCGAGCTATCCCTTCCAAAGGGAGAAGACGGGCTTCCCTTCGACCCATACACACTCCCCGGTTTCCGATCTCTGATTTCTCTTCTCCATTTGGGAAACACTTATATCAAAGTTTCCGCACCATACCGACTTACCAGTGACCAAACTCAACACCAACTTAAAGCTATGGCCCGCGAGTTCCTAGCGACTGCCCCGGATCGCACCGTCTATGCTACCGACTGGCCTCATACTCGCTTCACCGGCATTGACATCAATCCTTTCACTGAGTGGTGTTTGGATCTTTGCTCGGGTGTGCCGGGGCTGGCAGAGAAACTGTTTCGGAGGAATACCGAGCGGATGCTGAGTGTGGAGTCCAGCTGATGGACCCTTTGATACTTTCAAATTTTTCTCACAGCCTTTGCATTGCATTTTGGCGTTTTGATATCGAGCGTTAATATATCCCTGGGTTGATCATGAAGATCCCCGTTCCATTGAATCAAATACACCAGCTTCTACTTGCCATAATAATTCCAGCTACCCAAACATACCAATCATCATTGCACTTCTACAAGTCCACAGTGTATTTTACCGAAGGCATGTAGAAGTAAAGTATATGTAAACCAATCTTTATTCAAAGGACATTTCAAAGGTTATCGACACTGAAAAAAGTTCGCAAGAAGTATCCCTCCGGTCGTGATCACCCATACCCAGGTATCAACATGACCCGCCCCATCACTTCTGCGACACTAAACATTTGCCGCATCCTGGAAAATAGCGTGCGAAGTACAGATCTTCTCCTTGCCCTATAGGATAATACGAATTAGCACCCGCCCAACTCAAATGTTATACTCAATTGAAGAGCCACTCACAATCTCATAGCAGCATGCAGGTCGAGACTTGTCCTCGCACAGCTGAGGGGTCTTTAGAAGCACACCTGCAGCGATATTGGTCAGCTGACTGGACATTCATTTACTATACACAGCCCAATGTGCCAAATACATACAGTCGGTAGCCGTATTGGCCTTGGGGTTTCCTCTAGCAGAAACCAAGTCGCGGCAGCAGTAGGGGCTCTGGACCATGCCGGTCTTGTCTTGTGCGAATTCGCAGCTCATGTTGATCTTTTTAGCTGAGCCGAGAGCCAGAGTCATGGCGACGAAGACGACGGATGAGAAACGCATATTGGCGGTGGATTAAGGTATAATTGGGAAAAGGCAGTCGTAAACCAGGTAGCCGGGGGGATCTGTTGAAGTATAGGTAGTAGTCGCGTTATCAAAGAGGCGGCCAGGCTACGAAGGAGTTCGCCAGTGTCAAAAATGCCTTGCTCCATTGGCTAGCAAGGTAATTTCCTGGTTTCTACGGAGGTATGAAGGTAAATCCTGGGATGTTGATTGGAAGGGAGGGTGGTTGGTTCATCCCCTTGCATTCTTGTTTCCCCATGAATGTGAGTGCGCGTGTAAACAGGGGGAGCTCGTGCCTGTTTTGCTTAGCCAAGGGTAAGAAGTTAGATTCTTGGTCGAGGATTCTGTTTCAAGTGAGCTCATCTCCGAGACCTGAAGGCCATTCCAAGGGATAAGGAGGAGAGTATTTGGTTTGGGATCGGGAAAGGCCGACTTCCGCCTTCAATGGACTACCAACGGTACTCCGACCATCACATTCACGACCCCTCGTTTTCGAACCTATGAGACTTCCTAAGGGAGCATGTACACGGTTAAATTAAAGAAAGGATAAATTCGCATTGCATTGACAAAACTATACGCGGCACCACTTAAACCCCAATTTTTTGCCAGCTTAGGTGAGAAGCGATTGCGTTTCCATTTTTTCTCTAACATTTACCCGCGGATCCGGATCTTGTAAAAAAAAAAAAAACTCAACGAATTAAAAGCGAATAAACTTGTGGCGAGGGGAAGTTCCTTGGTTTAGAACCTAGGTACAACGGAAGCAATATACCTGACAAATTCTCATGATTTGAAAAGAGCGCTAGTTATACTTACGCAGTTTCTACTCGATTATTCATCGCATGGCGTCAAGGCGGTGTGGGGCTGACTGCAGGAGAATCCGTTGGTTCTGGGCTCAAAGCCATTATCAATCACCGCCGGAGCATCGTCACTTTTTATTAGCTGCATTTCCTGTACATACCCCTCCATCCTCTCCATGCTCTCCCGCTCTCTCCCCACCCACACTTCTCGGATCAGCTTTCGCTCCTCCTTGACTCGGTTTTCCGCTAAGAATATCCATACTGGTCTCCGCCCGACCGTCAACCGAACCCTGGCGTCCATTAACCACCCGATTACCGCAATTGCTCCTGCCTCGCGCCTTTCTTCTATCACCCGACACCTTTCCTCTTCCGCTCCACTCGAGAGCAAATCTTCCACAATGGCCCCTACCGAGCAACAGTATGACTACATTGTCCTTGGAGGTGGTAGCGGCGGCAGCGGTAGCGCCCGTCGCGCAGCTGGCTGGTACAACGCAAAGACTCTGATCGTAGAGAGCGGTCGGTCCGGCGGTACCTGTGTGAACGTTGGGTATGTTCAAACCATATAAAATCATTGCCATTTGGGCATAATGGCATGGCGCGCAAGTTCAGTGCTGACCGAAAAACTAGTTGTGTCCCCAAGAAGATGACCTGGAACGCCGGAACTGTCAACGAGACAATTCACCTCAGCAAGTACTACGGATACGATGTCCCTGAGGGTACCAAGTTCAACTACAAGTATTTCAAGGAGACTCGTGATGCCGAGATTAAGCGCCTGAACGGCATCTACGAGCGCAACTGGGGCAAGGAAGGCATCGATCTTATCCACGGCCGCGCCCGCTTCGTCGAGCCCAAGGTTATCGAGGTTAACCTCGAGGATGGCACCACTGCCCGTTACGCTGGAAAGCATATTCTGATCGCCACCGGTGGCCGACCCAATATTCCCACTGTCCCTGGTGCCGAGCACGGTATCACCAGCGACGGTTTCTTCGAGATCGAAGAGCTCCCGCCTAAGATTGCCGTCGTCGGTGCTGGCTACATTGCTGTCGAGCTTGCTGGTGTTTTGAATGCCATGGATGTTGAGACTCACATGTTCATCCGTGGCGAGCAATTCCTGCGCAAGTTCGACCCTATGGTCCAGAAGACCATGACAGATCGGTATGAGGCGGCTGGTGTCAAGATGCACAAACACCACTCCGGCTTCAAGGAGATTAAGCTTATCCGCGACGGAAAGGGTGCCGACCGCTTGATCAAGCTTATTAGCAATGACGGTACCGAGATGGAGGTCAACGAGCTTCTGTGGGCCGTTGGTCGTGTCCCAGAGGTTGAGGATCTGCAACTCAACATCCCCGGCGTGACACTTAGCTCCAGTGGCCATGTTGTTGTCGACGAGTTCCAGAACACTTCGGTCGAGGGTGTTTACGCCCTTGGTGATGTGACTGGCCAGGCCGAGTTGACTCCTGGTAAGTAACACTGCATCGAAGTTACAAGATAAACCACTAACAAGTTTTATAGTTGCAATTGCTGCTGGTCGCCAGCTGGGTAGCCGTCTCTTCGGCCCCTCCGAGTTCAAGACCGCCAAGCTTTCCTACGAGAACATCCCCACTGTCGTTTTCTCGCACCCCGAGGTCGGCTCCATCGGTCTCACTGAGCCCGAAGCCCGCCAGCAGTACGGCGATGACAAGATCAAGACCTACCACACCAAGTTCACCGACATGTACTACAGCCTCATGCCCGCTGAGGAGAAGGCCAAGAACCCCACCGAGATGAAGATCATCTGCGCCGGTCCCCAGGAGAAGGTCGTTGGTCTGCACATCCTTGGTCTTGGCGTCGGCGAGATGCTGCAAGGCTTTGGTGTTGCTGTCAAGATGGGCGCTACCAAGGCCGACTTCGACAGCTGTGTTGCTATCCACCCTACCAGCTCCGAGGAGTTGGTTACCATGCGGTAAATATGAAGTATATAATATAAACCCCCAATTTAGAGCAAAATTTCGTACATTTCAACTACATGAAACATTGTCAACCGCATGTCTTTCCAATCTCAAGACTTGGCAGTAAATCAGGGCAATCCCTGTCTAACGTCCGTATGCTCATTCAACCCCCAAGCCATCGAACTTGAATCATGAACCGTACACCGTCTCATATCCCGCCTAAACTTATTCACAAATTGCCCTCCAACAGCCCGATGCATAACACAGGTATTATCCCAAACAATCAAATCCCCAGGTTCGGTCCTTTTAACACGCACGATATTCTCTTCCCTCGTAGCATGCCGAAATAGTTTCTGGAAAAGCTCGTCCGATCTCCCGGGATCCAGACCCTCGATATGGTGCACATGCGCAGCAATATACAAATTCATCCGGCCCGACGCTTCATGCCGTTGAACAATCTTATGCCGACCCATCGGATAATCAAGCGGCTCGATATCAGCATACGCCTCAGGCGCAGCTACTTTCTTCGAATGATGCATCGAGTGACAAGCCACGTAATCATTAGCCAAAAGCCCGTTTCTGAGTTCCCTCGGGAGGTTATCGAATGCAGCTCGTGTGTCTGCGAACTCGGTGGAACCGCCCATCCCGGGTGGAGGGAGTTCATGCGCTAGGAGTAGCGAGTAGCCCGCTCGACGGGGGTTGAAACTAGAGTCTACGTGGAAGAGACTATTTCCCTAGTCCTGGCTCAGTATGATGCAACCAATTCGTTTTGGTATTCAAGTCGGTGACATACCTTGTTCGCCTGGGCTCGCGGGCTAGAAGGATCTAGTATCGACCCGTCCAGCTCGATATTGCTCACGTCGAAGAGTTCCACGTGCTTGAGTCTATTTGGTCGACCTGCTTTTATGTATGGCGTAACATCGTCTAGTTCTCCGAGTTGTTTGGAAAATGCGATGTGGGATTCGTCCGTGAGGCCTGTCTTACGGAAGACTAAAACGCCATACTGATACGTTTGTTAGGCCGTAGATAGGTCTTGTATGAAGGGGCACGTTTACCTTCGTCAAAGCAGCTAGAACCTCGCTGAACACATCATCTGGGATCGGAGATGAGAAATCCACGCCGCTGACCTCTGCAGTGAATGTTGGATGGAGAGGTTTGACCGATATATGCGAGAAGTTGGTGCTGTTGGTGATAGTCATAGTTACGACGCTCTGGGAGATTATTGACTGAGTCTCCACTTCAAATCCAGCAAACTGAGGGGTTTATAGAGAAATTCGGGTAATGCAAAAGGCTTGCTCCATCATTAGCCGACATTGTATATGTAGAACCCCCACGCCGATCAATGCGCTGCTACCCCACACAAACGAGTCCTAAGACATATAGTCCACATTAGGATACTGCGGGGAAAGCCTTGTATGTCATTCAGTTGGATACGGGGTTATTCGATCCGTGTGGCATCGTCTCTTTAAATGCAGTTTGTATCAACATGAGAGTGCATATCTTCATCTAGAATGTAATCTCGCATGTGCCCTCTATGTGCTCAACGCACAATCTACCGATACAAAACCCAAGCCAACCCAGTCGCACCAACCGCAAAAATAAAAGCCCACCGCGTCAAACCCCTCCGAATATGCAACTTGGCAATCTTCTCGATCGCCTCCCCATCATTAATATGCGGAAACGGTATATCCTTCGGAACCTCCTTCCCAAGCGCCTTACACAAAGGCTCCCATCCATCCCTAACATCATAAAACACAAGCCGGTGCTCAGGAACAACTTCCTTCAACCACTCGATATGCCGGTAATACGTTTTCCGCGTGGGAACATCCTCATCATAGAGCCTTTTCCACTGTACACTGAGTAGAGTAAGGTAATCTATAAAATGCCTCATGCCTGGCAGTGGGAATAGAACGCCACGCAAGAACCAAAGGAACGTATAATGCATCACTTGGTTCATGGATTTCTCCCAGGACACCGGGTCCCGGACTGTACAGATAACCTTGGCATCCGGGTACAGCGCCATGAGCTCAGGGACGAGTTGGCCGCCTGGGGAATCAGTCGTCGCAGCATAGCCATCGTACTGGCGTGCCAGAAGCTCAAGGAGGGCTTTTTTGTCGGTGTCACCTCCTGCAGCCCAGTGCTTGAGTGCTTGTATCCATGTTTTGATTTGGATAGGGGGGCCTAGCGTTGCCTGTGTTCCACAATGGAAGGTTGGACCTTCTAAAAGGATTTCCAGGGCTTTACTGAACGATGCGGTTCCAGTGCGGGGGAGTCCAGCTCCGATGACTTGGATTGTTGTTCCTGGCTGTGGGACAGATGGTTTCTGCCCCATGTTGATGTTTGCTTACTGTGGAGCTAGCAATTTGTCCACCTAGACTGGCTTTTGAGCGGAATTCTGGTATTTTGGTTTTGATTTGGAATTTGTAGAGGAAATGATTGGTATACGTGGGATTTCCAGTGAATTGTTTGGGTTATTTGTCCTGGAACTTTGGAAGTTTGGAACAAAGGACGGCCCAATAACAAGGTTTCGAAATGTTACATAATTTGGCCCCTTTTTCCACTTATGCTTATACAGTGTGGGGACGGTTTTATGCTTCAAGGCATCATCACATGTATGCCTGAAAACACAGTACAAATAATGACACAACCTTGCATATGATTTGGGATTTTGGAATGAATTGCTGGAGCCTAAAGTACTTCGTCATCAACCTTCTCCACAGGAAGTTAGATCGGATGCAACAACCCAAAATTGAGTGATGCGCTTTTTTCAGAATATTGAAAACCTGAGTTTAGATTGTTTCCTGCTCTAATCACGAATCTTTCCTTTGAACTGTGGGTGAATACGAACAGACTTCTCAATTTTTTCCCTTGTATAAGACGCTATCTTGGAGTGTGATCAGCCACCTGGCTTTGTGATTAAGGAGGCTCACCATAGATGGTAGAAAATTTAATGAGTTAAGTCCCGCATGGAGTGGCAATTGACATGATGCCTCACAGTAACGGCATTGGCTGTTAGTCTATAATAATGAACATTAGGGATTTTCGTTTTTCCTCTACATATACAATAAGCTACAAGTCAGGAAGTCAGGCTTTTACTTATACAAGAGGAATGTAAAGTGGAAAGTGGGGATAGAATTTCAATGGCATACTTAAAAATGTCAAATTGTACCAGCATGAATGTAAAGCAGTATGATCAAGGTCTTTTTTGGGGACCAGTGCTTCTTCACTGCTGCCACTTGCCCCCAGCCACTAGTAAATAGCAAAGTAGTTTGGGCAAGATGCTTCGGATGGGTGCTTCTTCAACTCCATGCCGTTGTTGAAAGCCTGTGGCTTACTCCCCCATGCCACTTGACGTTTTGGTGTTTAGTTTTGGTGTGATTTGTGTGATTTGATTTGAGCTTGAATTTGTTTGATTTGATTTTTGTGTTGGGTTTTGGTGTGTTGTGTAAAATAATGATGACGAAGACAAAGACAAAAAACGGTTGGAGATCATACTTGTTGTAGATGATGTCATAAAGGTCAGTTGGAACAACATGATCAGTGTGAGTAAGAATGTTGTGTTGATGGGTGATGCTGCTGGTCACGTTCCAAGTCTTTACTGAATTTGTCCTGACACTCAATTTGATGATTTGCAGCTGAGTGACGTCTGTTCAGAAAAGACCCGGAAGGGCTCAAGGACCAAGTCGTGGAAAGATCGGTTAGTTGGTTGCTTGCCATTTTATGTCGATTGATCATGTTCGAAGGCTTGACTGAATTTTTCCGGACATTCAGCTTCATTGTTTGTGGCTGAGTGTCGCTTATTCAGAGAAGACTTGGATCAAGCAAGGAATGAAGTCATGGAATTGATGTAAAACACGCGATGATACAACATGTTGTTGGTAGATGAACATGTTGATGAAAGAAGGAAGAAATTTATGAAGGAAGAAAGAAGAAATGTCGAAAGTTGTTGTTTGTGTTTGTGGATCAAAGAGTCACGGAGGAATTGGGTCATGAAGCTTAGTATTCATGAGGAAGTCTTGAAGGTCGAGGTCATGGAGGGTGAGCCTCGTCAAGCAATGATGTGGAAGATCATGTTCATGAAGACATGAAGGAAGAAGAAACGTGAACAGATGCTGTTTTGTTGGGGTCATAAAATCATGAAGGAAGAATGAGACGCCGCGTAGATGAAAGACGAAAGACAACGGTATGTTGGAGGAGGCATGATCAACAAAAGATGGTGGATTATCAAGGCCCAAAGCCAAATGAAGAAGAGGCAAGTGGGGAGTTGAAGAAGAGAGTTGGAACAAAGAGAAAGATTGAGGGTATTTATACCTCAGAGAATACCGCTAATACCTCAGTCAGGGAGGTTTCAGCCAATGGAAGAGGAGGCAATCACTTGATATCTTCCATGAAGTTGTTGCTGTCTCCCTAAATCGCGTACCTAGTGAGTTTCTGAGTTTGGGCTTCTTCCCCTTGCCTATTCTTCCCTTCCCCTTCCTGTATATCCACTGACTCTGCAGAATGTGGATGACACCAGCATTCAATAAATCAACTGCTAAAGCTGAAATCCGCTAGCAACTTTCATGGGCATTTATTTCGACATATTGCAGCATGGGCCTATTGAAACCAGCAGGAGCAAAGCGGGTGAACCTATGCTTCGGTGGCATCCTAAAGACCGTCTGAAAAAAGTCTAGAAAGCACATTACACGGAGGATGCATCATGACACGAGAAGTACAGTTAAATTTATATTGGAGTATCATTTAAATGTATTCGGAACCATCGTAATAACATCATTTATGGATAATAAAAGACGACTGGTACGCCGGACGCTGGTGCACCTCACTTAGGCAAATAGCTGCTCGCTAACAATGACCCGAAACTCATAGATTCAAGATCAAGTTGGTTGCGAGAGATAAGATATCAAGTCGGATTTTTGATTATCAGCGCGTTTGCATGGTGCGGCGAGAGGCAATTGGGCGCTAGACAGGGTCAAACCAGTATGTCGACAAAGATCATGTCGTCAATGAAGACGGCGCCGGCGCCGTTGTAAATGCCCTGTGATAAATATCTGAGGGATGACGGTAATATTGTAGAGAGAGATGCAAAAGTTCAAATATTGGAAATATCCATCAGCTTCACGCCTCAATTGAAGGAGCAGCAGCGTCATCAGGAATGGGACTGGTGGCTACTTTGTCCAGAGCCACGGTGTGTAGCGCAGGCTTCTCACTGGTGGGAAGAAGTCCTTTGCTCTTCATCTCCAGTTGCTTTTTGACCCAGTCAGCGACTTCCTTGTCCTCGGTGACAGAGGATGGAAGGCCCTTGCCAGGTGCCGATGCTTCGGCTTGGGCAACAGCCTCGCTCTCAGCCTCGGTGGGGGGTTGCATGAGGGGCTTGAGCCAAACGTGACGAAGCAGCATATTGTATGTTGGTCGGTTCTTGGGGCTCTTATCTAGACAGGCCTCAACGAATGCGTGTGCCTCCTCGGAATAACCATCCGCAGGAAGAGTAGGGGGATCGCCATGGACGATAGCCTGAGAATCGAATGTTAACTAAGGACCTCGCGGGTGGTTTCTGGAAGAAATACTCACGTGTAACTGGCTGAAGATGTTGGTGAATGTCTCTGGTGGATACGGGTATCGTCCCATGGCGCACTCGATGATCGACAATCCCAAACTCCAAACGTCGCTCTGCACACTATATGTTCCACCGCTGGTCGCTCCCGACTGCTGCATACCTCCACCTGCAATGCGCTCTGGCGCCATGTAACTCTGGCATCCAATGTTGGTCTTGGCGATACTGGCCACCAAGTTCCCGCTCACACCAAAGTCACAAATCTTGATCTGACCCTTGCTATTGACCAGAATATTGGTCGGCTTTACATCGCGGTGGATGATGTTGTGCTCATCCTTGAGTGATTTCAATCCCATGATAGTGGATAATGTCATCTTTCGCAGAATATTCTCAGGCAAGCCTCCTTCGTAGATCTTGTCGATCGAACCACCATCCATATACTCAACACACATGTATACAGCGCCTTCTTGGAAAAATGCGCCGTAGAAATCGATGATAAAGGGGGAAACACATCGGTGCAGGATATCCAATTCCATGATGATCTGGGCGAACTTGGCCTCATCCAGCTCCAGTCGAATTTCCTTCATCGCCATGATCACGCCGGACAGATTATCTTGGCCCGCGTGGTCGGCATCCTCGGAGCCAGTTGACCGGCTTACAATGCCACTCAATCCCAGGCCGGGTTTTCGAAGGTGAGGCCGGCTGTGTCGGACTTTGTAGACGGTACCGTAGTTTCCTTTGCCCAGCTCATCTAGGCGATCAACTTCATCCAAGGAGATCTTGAAACTGTGACCAGAGGAGAACTCCACACCCCCACCATGCAGGATGGCCTTGTTCTTGAAGTTCAAGGTTCCGGACTTGGTATCGATAAACTCGGAGTATTTGCTAAAAGCCGACTCACTACCGTTCTCCTTTTCCGGTTTGGTCTCGGTTCCATTCGATGGTGGCGTTCCGCCCGTCACGTCCGACAACTTGAGACCCGGCTTCATTCGCTTAGCAGCCAGGCCGCTAGGCCGGGGGGATGAGGTTGGGCTCGTAAGTGACGGAACCGCAGGCGATGAGGACCAGTGGCTCTGATTAGGTCGCGCAGGAGGTAACCGCCCAGCCAAAGCCCCGCCTGCACCAGCTTCGTTGGATGTGGGGATTTGCCCCGTGGATGCGACATGCGGCATGCCTTGTCGTGAAAGAGAGAACGCCTTCATTTTGGCCATAATGTCCGGATTTAATCCTCCACTTCCTGGTGTACTCATCGAGGCCGGGTGTGGTGATGCCCCGGGACCCCGCCGTGCGGCGTTGACCTGGGCTATGGACCCTGACGGCGCGGACATGCCTACATTACCAGCCGGGATCGGAAGTGATGGCGTTGATGCGTGATGGACAGGCGCGATACCTGGCGATACGGGGGATAAGCCTCCGGAGCCTGTGCTTTGGTCGTCATCGGTCGGAGGGGTCTCCACGGTGGGTTCGCGGTCGCTCATGATTATCGCGGGGTTTACGGAGGGCGAAAGAGCCCGACGATAGGGGCCGATGTAGTTGCAGCGAGGCCGTCTTGGGAGTTGGGCACCGGGAATCGGTGCTGTATCCAAGAAAGGCAGAGGGAAGGTGGGGTGAAGGTTTTAAAAGGTGAATGGCAGAAGGAACTTTTTTTCCGTGAGGTGAAGTCACCCGTTGAACAGGGAAAGATAATATAAAGTGGGGGGAGACAAGACGACATCGTACTTCCTCAATTCCTTGAAATTCAAAAGTACCGATTTTTTGTTTTCTGTCCTCCCATCTTTTATTCCATTTATTCCTTTTTATCACATCTTCAAGTACAATTTAAATCAAAAGTACATCCAAATGCATTGATACAAGAGCATCATTGCTCAGATCAGATTCATATCACCAACCGGGCTAACAAACCAGCCAATCAGCATCTGCCATCGGCCGAAAAGCAGGTTTTGACACCGCGGAGTCGCACATTGTTCGCCTCTTCCTGCCGTGTTTCATGTGGCTGTATTGGGTTTCAAGAGAACTACTGCCGAATCTTGGAATACCAGCTGTTTGTTGGATTGCGTTCTGATCATAAAAGCCACTCGGTCACTCGGGGGGAAGCTCTCACCATCCCTGTCATCCCTGTCAATCAACCGGTTTGCAATCTGCACAGTATGAACTCATACTGTGTACTCATTTGCCTCAGTCACCTACTGAATACAGGATACCCCGGAAACCTTTTCCTAAGATCCGGATTTCCACTGTGGTGAATTTGCTATCGGGGACTTCCGAGTCGTTGACGCAACTCTCCCCTCTCCACTATTACCCGTTCTATGGCACCATAAAGTCCATGCGTTTTCACACGTCAGAATTATATTTGATAGCTTGCCAAATATAGGGCTGACACTGTGTACTGCGTAGAGCAATGTAAGCACTTGACAGACGTTGGGGAAGATGAACTCAACAGGTTTTTCCCCAGAGCGGGGATCGTGGTCCTCATCCCCTCATGCCAGGTACCCTGCAATGACCCCGGAAACTATTTTTGAGCCCCTTCAACCCATTGGTGACTATATATACTTTTATGAGTCCCAAGGAAACAGCGTCTATGATTCCGCTTGTCTGTCCCTGGTCGGCTTATGTATACGGGTAGGGGGGTCAAAGCCCCCGCGAATCAATTAATACGTGTCCCAATATCGACAAGTCTACCTCACATCTTATCACAGCCGGTTTTCTCCACTGACCTGCTCTGACCATTAGGATACATCCGTGCAAGCCTCAAGCCAGCTCGCATTGCAATTTGCCAGATCGCTCAAGCGATCGGCTTTGAACCGCGGAACGTGAATGGCCATGGCGGCATATTGCCTCATTTGTTGTCCAATCGTGGTGGCAACATCGCTGTCTAGCTCGCAATTTCCCTGAAAGAAGAAATGAACTACAGTACAAGTAAGGGTCCCCATTTTTCTCCAATCCCAAGGCAATCATCATGCAATGCTGCAGGTGTCCGGGCGATGATGGTCTTGAAAGAACAAACGCGGCGGACGACCCTAAACCTCAATGGCCCGGCTACTGGGAAATACCTTTATCTACCCCACCATGGCAGTGATCTAAGATTTACATCATGATCGACTGGTACGCTCGATTCAAGACTTGAGAGGATTGATTAATTATCCAATCACCTTTGGAGCTGACCCGAAAAGACTCTATAGTACAGTACTGTATGTCTACTCCAAGAAAGATGCCATGGTGCAATGGGAAGATGTGGAATCAAGACGCACGGTCTCAAGGATTTCTAGACGGTCAGGTACGCCTTAAAAATGGCTCACAAGGTGGATTGATCATGGAAGACCACTGTGATAATGGACGCTGTCTAGACATTCGGGCAGGGAAAACATCTTACATTTGGGCTACGTCACAGGCAATCCTTGCAGTCGATAACAATAGCCCTTGGGCCTGATAAACGTTGTTAAAAAAGATAAAAGGGAAGAAAAAAGGGAAATATACGATTGGGTCAGAGCGGGGCACTCTAGCTTACTGTATGCGCGTCTTCTGAAAGCCCGGTCACGTGGCATCGAGACGAAAAAGGGACCCCTTGTTTTACCACTAATGTCAGAGAAAGAGGTCTGGAGCATGCGGCTGCCAATATTATTATGATTGCTCTATTCGGATTGTCAGCCCGTTTTGCCAAGGTTTCTTTGCACTACCAGGCCATATTTCCTTGAATTTCACTTTATGGTATGTATATTCGAAGAAGACTGTATCAACATTAAACTACTGACTTACAATACGTAAATCTCCAAGATTACGAATTGCACTATAGGGTTAGTTTTGTCGGTGCCCGAATACGTCCTTATACATGTACCCTACGCCACTTTTACAGAGCAGTACTTAGTATTTGGCGCGTTTCGCATTATGTGGCTGGCTGGCTACGTGGCCTACGTGGTCAGCTCGCTTATGGCCTATCTAACACGTTGCTCTTCACAGAGAATAGTAAGCAAATGCCCACTCTATCACCGCGGGCCACATCTTGTTCGTTCAACCGCGCCGTATTTCAGAGATTAGATCAACGTGAATTAAAATTCGGCTGATTCGCGTCAAAAACGTTAAGCAATATGGGCTCCGAAGTATGCAAGACTTGCAAGAGTGTCTTTCAAGCCTCTATAGGAAAAAACCACAATGCTCAATTACACCACCAGCGGTTTGATGACTTGATAGCAAGCAAAAAACAAGGTTGTATTTTGTGCACTTGGTTATGGAACGAGTATATAATGCAAAATGGAGGCACCCAACAGAATGAGACGAAGGGATTTTGCGTCACTTCTACCAAATATGAGCACGAAGAATCTATTTCGTTTCAAGTTGTCGTTCCATGGGCTGCCGACTTCACTTTGCAAGGTTAGTGAGCTATGTTAAAAAGCTGAATTAATTGCATTAAGATTAATAATTCTGTACGGGCTGCTAGTATCGATCAAGTCTCAACCGGAGGTCTCACAGGCCTTAGAGTCAAAGCCTTGGGAAAGGATCGACGTATCAACGGGCTCTGATCAGTCTATGAATCGGATAGAAGCTTGGCTATCTCACTGCGATAGAACTCATGAATTCTGTCGCGACCGTGACTCAACACTATTCTTTCCAACTCGCGTGATAGACGTGAAGGAAATCGAAAGCGGCAAAGTCCACCTCCGAGACCGACAAGAAGTTATAGCACAAGAAGGACTGCGGACTGATGCGGGAACAGAGACCTCAGAGGAGTTCCAGGGTCACTATCCTGTGTACTGGACTCTGTCTCACCGATGGGGTGACCCGGACAAAATTCTAAAATTGCTGCATGGCAACGAAGATCAATTCAAACAGGGGCTGTCTTTGACTACTGGAAGTGTACCAAAAACCTTTCAGGATGCAATGTGGGCAATACACCGTCTGAAATACAGATATATCTGGATCGATTCCTTTTGCATTTTTCAAGACTCGATTGAAGACTGGCAAAAGGAAGCAGACAAAGTATCTCACATTTACCGAAACTCATTCTGTAATATCTCAGCAATATTATCCTCATACGAGCCAACTAGTACGCTCTTCGCTAGCGAGCGAAGCCCTCGACTCTTATTCCCCTTTTCCGTGAACCTCTTTTCTGATGGCCCACAAACATATGTTATCAAAAAGAAGAATCTGTGGAAAGATGAAATCGAAAGGTCACCTCTAAGTACGCGTGGTTGGGTTGTACAAGAGAGATTCCTCGCTCCCAGAATCATTCACTTCGCTCAGAACCAAGTATTCTGGGAGTGCCTAGAGAATGCAAGATGCGAGGCCGACCCGGATGATCACATTGGAATAATCAATGACCCAGATATCAGCCATGCGAGACTCAAAGTGACAGCTTATAAGGATGCCCTCAAAGAGCTGGCGGGATTATCTTCGTTTTTCCTCAAATCGAGCCGGGATCGTACCAAAGTCGACTGGAATCGCGGTAGCGACGACCAACACAATTTTTATACTGAGCGAGTTCTCTGGAGACAGATGATCAGTATCTATACTGCTTGTAACCTCTCAAATCAATCAGACCGACTCATTGCCATGGCTGGTATTGCCAAAGCCTTCCAAAAGGTCACTTTATCGACATACTTTGCTGGGCTGTGGGCGCATAGTCTACACACAGATCTCCTTTGGGAATCGAATGCCTCTGAGGGTGGTGTGGTGCATCGTTACACCCTTCACGTTCCGTCCTGGAGTTGGGCGTCAGTTTTTGGAGGGAATGTCAGGCTATATGGATATACCCGCTTTGGTGGCGATCCCGCTTCTCAAATCAAATACATCACCTCGAGATTGGAGGCGGAGAGACCCGGCGGTGACATTATGGGGTTACTTGGACGGGCAGAGCTCGAAATTGAATGTGTCCTTCTCTATTACCGGTGGAATGGGAATTCACAAAGCTTGGAACTCTTTGCCGATGAGCCAAGGACCGAACCCGCGTTCAATGGAGGTCGCATTTGGGGAACGAACCTGAAATTGGATACACATGAATTGGTTCAGGATTTCAAGGACAAGGTACTTATCGAGGGAGAATGTATTCCAATCACTTTAGGAAGAGAAGCCTATGGTGCTTCAGTTAACAGATTTTTGGTCGTGGAGAAGGTACCTGAGGGGAAATATCGAAGGCTAGGTGTATATCAATTAGGGGAACAAGGTGCATTTTCTGTTATTGGCAACAAGGAGCGCACCGCCATTACTCTTGTTTGAGCTTATACTACGTCAAAATGCATGTTTTCAAACACAAAATAAATGATGTTATAATTAAAGATTAATCTTGTTAAAGAATCTCAAGATTTCCTGTGCAATATACAGCGTGTCACTCTCAACCGCAAAATGACCCGCATTAATCAATTGCACCTCAGCTGCAGGCAGATCTCTCGTGAACGCCTCCGCCCCGGGCGGAATAAAGAATTTGTCATTCTTCCCCCAGATCGCCAGTAGCGGGACCTTTGATTTCCGAAAGTAGGCATGGAAATCATCATAAAGAGGGACATTATTCTGGTAATCATAGAACAAGTCCAATTGAATATCTTTGTTTCCAGGACGCTCCAACAAAGCTTGATCAAGGAAGTATGACTCGGGCGCAATGCGACTGAGATCAGGGGCACCGTCTTCATACTGAAACTTAGTTGCGTCAAGTGTCAGCATAACTTTCGCGACCTCGGTCCGATTCGTCGGTGCGTTATTGCTTGCCCAGAGCTCTTTGATGGGACCCCAGATGTCACCAAAGCCCTCCACATAGGCGTTTCCGTTTTGGCTGACTATTGCTGTGATTGCTTCAGGACGCTGCAGAGCTAGTCTTAAGCCAACGGGTGCGCCATAGTCGAAGATATATATGGCGAAGCGGGTGAGTGAGAGTTGGTCGACAAATTCTCCGATGGTGGTTGCTAAGTTTGCAAATGTGAACTTGAAGTCGGAGGGTGTCTCTGTGAAGCCGAATCCAGGGAGATCTGGGGCAATGACTCGGTACTTTGCTGCGAGCAGTGGGATCAGGTTGCGGTATTGATGAGAGGATGAGGGAAAGCCGTGGAGTAGAAGTATGACCGGTGCATCGGGTGCGGCTTTCTGCTCACGGTAGAAGACCTTAACCCCGGACTTTGGCAGCGAAATATATTTGTTTTGTGTTTCAGCCATGATGACTTAGAGTCCTTGATGTTTGAAAAGTATAGAAGCTGCGGATGGAGCTGTGGAAGTATCTGCAGATAGAAACATAACTTCGAGGGTTCCCTTGGCCTTTTATGTTATACGAGGTCTGCAGCTGATGATGTAGGGATGACCAATTTCAATATCCATGGCCATATTGATTTCTAACCACGTTCATTCCCCGTGTTTGCGCGTATGATGATTCATTATTATTTGCCAGTAATTGTGAGTGCAAATTGATCAAACTAACCAAACCAGAGTCTAGATTCAAATTGGCGATCAGTTCGGTGTTTGAATGCTCGGGCTTACTCGTTTGCATTGCGGGGGATCCACCGGGGATTGATTTTTCGGTGATTGATGGAACCCTTAATTGGTTCAGTATTGGTCGGTATGCCGTCCCCAGTGGTTCGGATTGGTTCGTGTCAGCCGCTAGGATCGCCCATGGTTGCGTCGCGGGCGGCGCAGTCACCTTCGATCTGCGTCTACAGTGGCTGCACCTACTTGTATAGCTTCTCATTTTGGCTCTGGAGCTCAAAACTGAATGTGTTTCACCTGTTTTAATTCGGTCCGACATTCGAGCAAAATTTTGATTTCTAAGCAAATTGCCCTCATCTTCAGGATATGGCAACTACTCTGGAAATATTCGCTCAATTGGAGACCCCTCTGGAACAGGGCCCTTCAATTTCCAGCAAAAATTTCACCTGAGGAGAAACATCGACTGATGTCATGGCCGCCTGTCGCGGAGATGTAGGCTAACACCCTTGAACACGGGTTTGCATTGTATGAGGTAAATACATTATCATATGTTACCTGCATCGCTCGAAGCAGAGAAGAATAAGCATAGCGAGCGATGCACTTCGTCCTCTCCACCTCTTGATACGGCCATGGTTTTATGAATAATTATCTTTCATCTTCATCATTTGCTAGTACGATGAGAACAGCTTTAACCTCCCGAAAGCTTTCACGAGCCACTTCTCGGTTTTCCAATTTCAAGGTTCACCTAAGCAGCAACTCGTTATACAACTAAGCTTTTCTCACTGGCTAATAAGATCAGCTAGTACTTCAGAGATGTGATTAGCTGACGAGCTTAGATGACCTTCGTTCTCAAAGAAATGAGTCTTTGCTTCAGGCATCAGTTCCGCAGCCTGCTCGGCCATACGAACTGGCACATTCCTGTCAAGCTTGCCATGCCATATTCGCACCCTCTCCCCAGCTATGTCATTGAGGTGAAATCCCCAGTCGCAAAGAATCATCAACTCTGTGGCTGAGGGCCTTCCGCCTTGCCGAAATGCGCCACGTACAGATTCAATAGCTGCTACTCTGACTCTCTCGTTTTTCCAAGCCGTACGTTCTGCCTCTGGCCTCCCTTCCATCGCTTTGTCAACTGCCGCTTCCAAGACTTTCGGGTCCTTGTTTCTTCCCGCACGACCCATGCACAAATCTAACACTGCACTGGTCACAATTCTCGGCAGCCAAGCCCCAGCTGCAAGTAGCACCTTCAACTCGGGAAGCATTCCTTCAGTACTGAAAGTAGTCGGGTACATACTGCTGACTACTGCCACACCTTGAAGACGATCCCGGGGTACGGAATAGGCGCAAGCAAGGGCGTAGGGACCTCCTCCCGAGACACCGAGCACAAAGAAGCGAGATACGCCCAAATGATCTGCGATTGCGAGAACATCTGTGGGCCAATCTAAGATTCGGCGTTCGTCGTAGTGTGTTGACATATTCATGCCCGGTCGGTCAGGGGCGATGCAGCGTATATTGCTTTTTTGGAGAAGTTCCACTGGGATGAGAGTGGCTTCAACGGAACAGCCTGGATATCCGTGGAAGTAGAAGACAATAGCTGGCTTTTCAGCGCCTTTTTCTTGAAGAGTACCTCCATATAATTTCCATGCTAGGATGCGCCCAGAGGGCAGAGTAAGAGTATCGCTGTATTCTGAGAGGCAATCCATTTCAGGTCGCAGAAGATGAGGAAGATGAAGAGGCAAACGAATGCTGCGAGTAGAGACAGGCCGAGGTGGAATTCTAGATGCCGATCCTAGTTTGTTATGTTTGGCCCCTGCGCATACTTGAAATGGACAGTGGTACTTAGATCTAGCCTCTCACAATATCGTTTTCTTGAGATTTTAATATAGTACAGGATGTCTCTAGAGATCATATGCAAGTGCTCCATTTTCACCGAACATTTCCTATTAATTTCAATGTTTTTCCGAATTACATGGCCAGATTTACACAGAGGTTGAAGCCTACAAGCCCCAGGGCCCACTGATCACGTGGACGAGAACCGATGACGTCTGTGCCGGAGAAATCTCCCCCCATAAAAGACGTCTGCCAACCTGGAAACTTCCCCTCAAGCACCGGCGGCTCCTCAATTTCTTCTGCTGCCCAATTTGAACACGTCTGCTTTTCAGAATTTGCGTCTATATCTCCTCAAAATCCCCACACTCTATCTTTTCTGTTTCCCTGGTCTTTGTTTATCCAACCAGATTGCACGGAGCTCTCAATCCCCCCACTCCCCTTTTGACCAGCTCCGATAATCGACACCGAAAGCTGTTTGATTGAATAAATCCGCCAAAATGACTCTCTACTACAGTCTCGTACGTCCTCACTGTTCAATCTTTTAGTTGCCCTTCTGCGACCGACCCTGCCGAGGCATGGCTGGAGCCTAGCGGGCTGAGCGAACAGCTCACCCGAAATGCCCACGTCCGAAACAGCAACCGACATGCCACCTAGAACCATTGAAGCTAACATGGGAACTCTCATTAGGTTTTTATGCTCCTGGTGTTTGAGATGGGCGTCTTCCTGGCCCTCATCGTCCCTCTGCCATTTGTCATCAAGCGCAAGCTCTTTACCTTCATCTCGGAAAGCCCGATCATCGCCAAGTTACAGTATGGCTTGAAGGTAATCATTGTCGGGAACTCCCAGATCCAACACCAATTAACACACTTCCCAGATTACCTTCATTTTCATCCTGATTTTGTTCCTTGACAGCGTCAACCGGGTGTTCCGGGTGCAGCAGGAACTGGCTGCTTTCTCCCGCGACGGAGCTGGCATCGGGTAAGATCTTTGAATCCCGCAATTATAGTGATGCAATGTCTAACCAAATCCCATAACAGAGCTGCACACCTGGGCACTGATCGCATGGAGGTGCAGGCCCGCAAGTTCTACTCGCAGCGCAACATGTACCTTTGCGGCTTCACTCTCTTCCTCTCCCTGATCCTCAACCGCACCTACACCATGATCCTGGACGTTCTTCGCCTTGAGGACCGCGTCAAGCTGCTCGAAGGCGACAAGAAGGCTGGAGGTAAGGACTCTGCTCGCCTGGCCGAGGCTGGCTCCGTTGGTGAGATTGGTCGCCTGAAGGAGGAGATTGCCGCCAAGGATCGCGATATCGAGACCCTCAAGAAGCAGTGTGAGGGCCTGACTGCTGAGTACCACAAGCTCGGCGATGAGGTCTCCTCTGGCAAAGGCGATATCAACGTGAAGAAGGACCTGTAAATGGGTCTTTTGCCTGGGTACCAACCTCAGCCAAGGAAGTCGGTGTCAAATTATAGCGTGAGGTAGCTTTTTGCACGCCCGCTCGCTACTGGTACCCTGTGTTCGTGGTTGGCTTTTGCCCGAATGATCATGCGCCACGGAAGACTTTCTTCTCAGCACCGTTACTCAAATCCTCTAATGTTCATAAATTTGTCCCCCGGGCTACCTCTGCAGTTCGGGAAGGGGAAGCTCCGATTCGTCACCTCCCTTGTTGTTGCTAGCAGATACTTCTACGTTTATGTGGAACGGTCAACAGTTCATAGTGCTTACGTCTGGAAACCTGTCAAGTTTGGTCATTTACAATATTTTTTAACTGGTACGCGTTATTGCAGATAGGGATATACCTCTCAGTCATAAAATCATCTTAAAATTTCGTGAATTCGTAATGGTACATATTCTAGCACGAAAGCAGCGTCGGTTGTAGATCAGATCAAGAAAGTCCAGAAGCTGGGGTAAACCAACTCCTCCTCGAAAATGCGGCGAACTTGCGCAAGTACAAATCTCTCTACTTTACCCACATTCTTCAGTACCTGCTTTCCATCCTCCTTGCGTCCGATCTCACTTTCTACTCGAATCTCCTGCAACAATCCACCTTGACGCTTCTGTTCACGCTCCGCACCCGACTTCGACCGTCCTTCCTCACCGGGATTTTGAGTACCTTGGCCATTTTCAGAACCAAGGAGCGCATCCGCATCCTCGGCAGACAGGAAACAGAAGTGCACGCGCTTGCGAATATACGCGACTACCGCCACCCCGTCGAACGTGATACCAGTCACATTGAGTTTTAGCGGAAGCCCAACGAAGCTAGGCATGGGGTAATCAAGCAGAATCTCCGCTGTCAGCGACATACGCACATCTCCAGCGTATTTCGCATGGCATAGGATTTGGAAGTCATCTGGTCGTCGCTCGCGCATGCGAGGTGGGATCGGGATCGAGGGGTCGTCTGCAATCGCTTCAGGGATATCGGCGGGGTTATCGGCGCTGTTGCGATTCGATCCACTACTGCCTGTGTGCCCAATAGATGGGTGTGAAGCTGTGGAGGGCCGGGAGGCAGAATGTGTAGTGTCGAGATCTGGTTCTGGGCGCTGGTGTACGGATGGACGTGACGGGCGTGCTTGTCTTCCTCCATGAACTCCTAAGCCGGAGTCGGACCAGCCGCTTGCGAATTGTGTGCCGCCCGCGACAGCTGCGAGAGGGGTTTGTGTTCCGGATAGGCCACCTAGCGACATAAGGTGGTAGCCCAATGTTGAAGTGCCGCCGGGAATGCCGGGGGTTCCTGAGCGGGGCAGGAAGTGCGGGTTAAGGTGATCACCCAGGGGCAGCGGGGAACGAAGCGCGGATGGTTGGAATTGTTCGCCGGGGTATGGGTGGTGACTGAAGCTGTGAGGGCTGTGGGCAGCTGCATGGTTCATTGGCATTTCGTCATCGTAGTCCGACCATTGTTCGACAAGCTCCTCAGATGTCGCTGAGGTGTCATCATCGTCCTCCTCGTAAAAGTCTGAGAAAGGTTCGCAGAAATCCTTGATCTCGAGATCGGGTCCAATGTTGCCGAAGTCAAAAGAATGCACCTGAACCGAGCGAATGAAGCGTGGTAGGGCCACCTCCTGGAACTTATCGTGGACAAATGCGCGGATGCGCTCCGCGAGAGCTTCCCCATCCGGGCCGGAAGTGGCTGTCGCCCAGTCGACTTCGATAGACATTACATATGCAATATGAGGCTTTTGCTGACAAGCTCATGGAAGCGCGGAACGGGGCAAAGCTAAGGAAACCCGCCTCTTGACGCGGTGCCACGTGACCCGCAAACGACATTGTGGATCGACAAGCTGAAAGTTCTCGTTCCTGGATGATGATATGAGCTAAAAAAGATCTATAGATGAACGAATGTCTTTCAGTTAAACTATATCCCTTTCCAGGTGTCTGAGCTCGTCGATGATGCCTTTTAGAAGCCTGACTGATCGTTCCCAGAGCAGCGGTTCACGTACCGAAGTCTGGTTCCGTCTAAAGCGATCGTTCAGCTATCGATTTTAGCGGGGCTTCGTATTCACCCAATACGTTGAGCCACAGTAATTGGTTCATGATACGCAAGGGAGGAAAATTTCTCAGACCAAGCCTTTGAGATTGCCGAAAACCGTTTATGACAAGAATTCGATCAGGATCATCTTGTCCGGCATAACCCCAACAATGACGCATTCGAACCTGAATGGCTCAGAGCTAGCTGGTGAGGTGGGACTGGAGATCGGCGCCTACCTTGGCGAAGTGGCCGAGATCCCCGAAATGTCTATGGCCCCCAGCTTGCTCTGATCCGCCTATACTCGTTCAGGCAAGGTCCCAAATCAACCGGATATGAGCTCCCACTGTACTCCGTACGGTAGTGCCTCCGGGCTTTGGCACAGCCCAATCCTGAGGCCCGCCACTCTTCTAGCCTTTAGGCTGGGGGTTGTCCCTGGTAGCGTGATTGCGGCAACAGATCCACGGCCAGCCCCCTGTTTACTACGTACCCAATTCCCTGTTAAGTCACCCACCCATGACAATCATTATCCCTTCTGAGGGAGGACGAACACCATAGATCCTCTATGTCATAAGATATATTCTCTTGCCGTGAACGAGATATCAACGGGCAATTTGCGCCCAAATCAGCTGATAAAAAGACTATGCGGGTCTAATGCAATCCACAACTGGTCTCCCGCGGCTGCCAACCTATCGATACCCACGGGGTCCACTGCCGCGTTTAATATCACTGGTTTATTCGCTGGATGGCAAACTCCGGTGGCTTTGCGATTCTCTGGGCCAGTAACCGATACGCCAATGACTGGGCAGCCATCTCTCGCACGTCCTTTCCTCTTTTCCCCCGCTGCCTCAATGGGCTCTATGTAATAAATCTGCTTCATTGTTGGGCCGTGGCAAGGCTGTCGGCTTCTCCAGCGGAATATCGAATTTCGGGCAGCTCTCGTGGAACGTTCGAGCCGTTCGCCATGGATTAGCAATGGAAAACCCTCCTTCGTTGGACCTAAGCTTAGGCAGGTGTGGATTCCAAGGGCCACGCGCTTTTTGAACGCTTTCCGCGGATGTGATGGGCCCTGTGAGTGGGTGTCCTCGTCCTCCATCGTCCTCCCCGTGCCGTATCGGAAATGAAAACATGCATGAAATGGCCCTTCCCTTCCCCATGCATACTAACGTGGCCTACCCTGATATGGTCAATGCGTGCGTGGCTGTATCTGATCTGCAGTCCCATAACCGTTTCTCGCCTCGAAGGGGGGGCGTCAGGATAGCACCCGAGCCACCCGAAAGTCTTGGGTATCCCGGACAGGCTGATCTCTTGACGCCAGAAATGATCAAGGTAAATCTCGAGATGACCCTCCAGTATCTCTCATCCATCCATCATCTTTTCGAACGATAAGTCACCTCTACAACCTGCTTTGCAACGGCCTTTGCTTCTTCCCATCCCTGTAAGCGCCAACGTGGCCATGCCCTCGTCTAGCACTCTCGGCCCATGCCCCCTGCTAGCTCCCGCCACAAGTCTTGATCAGCCTTTTCGCCATGAGTTAATGTCCAGTCATGCCTCTCGGGGGTTTTATTAACCATACACGTGAGGGATCTTGTATGTGGCTCGCTGCAGCCTGATAAGCGCGAAAGGATCCAAGCCCACTCTAAGGCCTTGGCCGGAACATAATTCCAAATCACGAAACTTCGAGAACAAAGACTTTTTACACAGGGCTACAACGTATGACTCGTCATCATCGGTCTCTCCGGTCAGCTTTCTTGTTTTAGTGAACAAACAGGGTGTGATTTATAGAAATCTACACCATGAGATACATTCAGCTTATAACATGAACTAACAAGAAATAAATATAAAAAAATCTTGGGAATGAAGAACTAAAGGAAGAAAGCTGAGAAGAAATAAAATTTGGTGGCGTTTCCGATTCGTCTCCTGGGCGAATGTTTGAACCATGGAAAGTTAGGACGAAGACGAACGTTGTCCAGAAAACCGCAGAATAAGAGAAAAACAATCAAAATACTTCACCCGACAGGTATAGCATACAAAATAAAACTTATTCTGGACAACAGAAATACCAAACACATATGGCAAAAGAAAACAAAAACAAAAACAATCCTCCAAGCCACAATGTGATAGAGGATGATAAAATCCAAATTATCCCTCCTTTTGGTGGTGTTGGTTGATCTGGTGATTACCCGCGAAGGTGCTGATCAACTTGTCGAAATGATCCTCCAGTCTAGGTCGGCGTGGTCAGATCATCTGTAGAGATTGCGTTAGCGGAACAAACCCTATCAAGCGAGTACCCAAGTGGGTAGAACAAGTCCCACTAACTATTGGTAGGTGCCTTAGCTACCACCGTGCTTTGGGCAGTTATAGCCCTGACGCTTCCGGAAGTGCTCCTTCACACCATGGCAGGAGGGAGTTCCCTTCTTTGCACAGGCGACAACGCCGCCTTCTTGGACAGAGCAGCCGCAATCGTAGAGGAAGATGTAGACGGAACACATGGTTGCGGAGGAAGATGAAGAGGACGAAGGTCTTTGTAGAAAGAAGTCAAGAAGGATCAGAAAGATAGCTATGAAGGCTTGTGAGGATTGATAGCTTGGATGAGATATCGAGGAGGATTAACGGCCGCCTTTATAAGATTCCATATAGCTTCCCAGAAGAACAACTGCGCCGCCTTGTCGGACTAACAGATACACTCTGAGTCAACAGAAGACCAAAATCGAACGTGCTATCTGCCTCACAGGCGCTGCGCAGGGAATATACAGATGCGCCGTATGCATCTAATGATTTAGTGGTCACTCGCTCGGCGACGAAAGCCGGACCAACTGGAAGGCACAAATAAGGATGGGACATAACACTATGCGGGCATCACCAACAGCGGATTCCAAGGTTGGCGGTTATGTGGATCATCAGAGAGGGGCATACTAGTGAATTGCGCCTGATGAGGGTGTTCGGTTCAGTGTACACCAATGGCGAATAGCGAAAAACAAGGAGATAGTATCAGGACGGGCGAACTGTCGATCCACTCCCACACCCCCAATCTCTATTAGAGTTCCGCAGCTGCAAAGTGCACTTGACATCATCCCGTAATTCCCCACGTCCAGCACCAGTGCGTTGCCCCATCCGCAAATGAGGCTGCGCATCACACCAACACTATGCTGGGGACTTGCGCCAGGCACAGTGTTGAGCTCATTCGCAAAAAATTCTGCACCTCATTGGAAGGAGTTAATTTTTCTTTGCGTCAGTGCACATACCACCTGCCACTGTCATGGAAGGTTGTGGAGACCGAGGCGGACACAGCGGTGTCAAAGACAGGGAAATGGACATGCAAGGCATAGCACATCGGGGCGGATGAGGCTTTTGTTCGCGATAATTGTTGTCTGTCAATAATTCTGATTCGTTGGGAAAGGGAAATTCTCATGACATTTTGAAAAGTATGTCATTCGTGATGTCCAGTGGAGTGCGGGAGGGTATACCCGTCAGGGCCGTCACCAAAGGCAAGCAAGTATAGAGCCACGAGAGCTAATAATTTCCCGCTGAGATGGAAAATACCAAGCTTAGCCATTGCTAGAAATGCATTTCATGCACGGCAATTCCGATAATTGCTGGTCTAGATTATGGGCAATGTTCAGTGTCTCCATATCATGGCCCCCATTTCCAATTTCGTAGGTAAATAGAGCTTGCTACAATGGCGCAGTTGGTGATAGTGACCATGAAATCAAAAATCTGCAAGGTGACGAGATTTTCCCGGTGACAAGGTTCGCCGATGGAAAAATCGACTCATGTTGAGGGCCAAAATCATGAATTATTGCAAGATAGATGTTGGATGTAGTGTGATGGCGGTGGGCTCTTCGGGGCTAGTGGTAGTATTTGACGGGATGTAATAAGATTAAGATTCACTCTGGGCCTATAGATTATTTCTAGTGTGTTTCTAGGGCCAAAATGACTGGCGAAGAATGATTGTCCTCAGCGGTGGCGCAGTAGCGCTGATAATGGAACTGTCACTGAGGCTCTCACCCAAGCGCCCATGCCCGGGAGATCGACTCCGAGCGACAATGATACGTCCGAGTGGGCGGCAAGGCAGAGAAAGCTCACATGGACTCCAAATTTTGGCGCTGTTGGTTTGTGGATATGCTACTTGGACATAAACTCAAAAGAAACCAAGAAAATAAAATTAAATGAAATTATTAGGGTTCTGTTTCTCGCAGGAGATTTCCACCACGTGATTCTTGAGCTGTGATGATTCTGATTACTACTCAAAAGAGCGGTCTCGATTCTGCCTTCTCACATGTCGGAAACACCTTCCCCACAACTGATAAATAAACAACCGAGTCCTCCGGACTTCGGTTAAAGCAGATCTTATGAACGATAAGCGGATGATGTCATATGCGCTCATTATTTCTACAAAGAGGAAAGACTCGCGCATTACGATAATGAAAATCGATCGGAGCTATCAGCGCATGCAAACGCGAAAACTACGCGGATATAATCGGAGATGAGCAACGGAGTCGACGAAACATATTGGAGCCTATGCCTGATACCTCCGCACTCGACGCGAATAGTGGAAGGCGGTGGATGAGCTAGCCTGTGAAATCCAATAGCCTTCCCACGCTGGATGTTCTTGGCCCCTCATATCATCCTGACGGCAGATCTTCCGAGGTTCCTTTGACTCTCGGCTCGCCACGGGGCCCGCCCCATACCTGAAGAGACAAAAAGAAATCCAGCCGAATTGCGCAATTAGCGATTAGCAATCGGGGGGCCTCGCCAAGGTTATGCATATTTGCCATGGCTGCTGGGAATGACTAGCGAGCCCTGTCCAGGGACGGTGTGACGCAAATACCAAAGCCAAGAGGGCGATGTTCGAAGAATTGAAAAGCAGAAGGGGTGATAGTCACCCAATAGTGACGTCTTGGCTCTCTGAGTGAGATTAATCGCCCCCTTTTTGGTTATCTTTTCTTTTTTTTTTCTGCGAGCCAAGACTTGTGAGAATGCCTAGTATGTTTGGGATTGTCCATTATGGGCGACAATCGCGGGGAGGCTTGGTCTGCATGACCATCGGGTATCCACTTGCCCCCGGCTGAGATGTCCTGGATCGACGCTGTGTCTAGCACATCAGATACGCATAATTGCCCCTCCTTCCACAAGGTCCACGGGTGCCCGGGGTATAAAGTCTGACCGATTTCACCCGTCTCTCACTCTGTTTTCTACTATCCCAAACTGCTCTCTGAAAAGGTTCCAAATCACTACTACCCAAAGTACCCCCACTACTTCACAACAAAGTCACTTCCACACAAAAACATTTCTCGAAAAAAAACGTTCAAAATGTACACCTACACTCCCACTCACCGTTTCCTCGTCCTCTCTGCTGCCGACTCGGTCCCCTTCAACCCGGCCAACAAGTTTCTTGTCTTGTCGCCGACCGAGTCTGGCCCAGACCCTCGCGCCTTTGAGCAGGTCGTGACTGACTCGCCTTCCACTGAAGAGAGCCTTACCGCGGTTCCCAAGTCGCACCGCTCTGACAGCACATCATCTACCTCGTCCCAGGATTCCATGAGCGGCTTCTTGTACCTCGGCCACACGGCTCGACGATTCTCTGAGTGATCTATTCACATTTGACTTTTTTCCCTTTTACATGAGCGACAGATGCATTTCATTTTAACAATGGATCCGGTTATTCATTGACTCCTCCTGGCTCACCCCGAGCACCCCAATCAAGGAACTCGAGGTCATCGACCATCTGGATACAAACGGCAGGAAAGCAACTGGGGTGTTTCAGGCGCTATCAGATCTGGGCCATAGGGCAACATGTTCATTTTCTTTTTTTCTTCATCCATATCATATCCTCAGATTGAATACATAGCCTTTCGGGCCAATTAGCAATTCAACGTGCTTCTTTCCAACCCAACTCTCCGTTCCCGTACCCCAAATAAGCCCACATGCCTGACACGGCCTTCCTCCCAATGCCCAGACAATATTAGCCACCGTATGCTAGGGGTAATCCCAAAATACCTGCCAAGTGGCGCCAAGGTGATGCGATGGTGATCCGCCAAGACTACTGTTTGATATTCCAGTCTTGGCCCTGAGCCTAGGAATCCCGCCTATCGCACATCACGTTCCACAGCCAAGAGCACACCTACATGCTGACGATCTCAAGATGTTTTTTTTTTGGTCTTGCCAATCCTCCGCCAAGTCATTCATCAGCAACCTTACATGCACCGCCCAGCCCAAAACATATCCTCCCTTTCTGGCGAATCTCTTTCATTCCGGCTGACGGTCGTCCACGTTGGTTTTTCCGCTAATCAGATTGGCCCGTGGCCGAGAGGTTATTCAATATTCTCTATACCTCCCTACTGTGTTGGTGCCCCGGTGAGATCCCGGTGGGGTACAAAACACCCCCCCGTCCCCGTGGATCTTGTCCCCCTTTCCGCCCCCGCACCCCGGTGAAGGTCTGCAGATGATGTGCGAAAGATGTTTACTGCTTTCAGTCCCCTCGGTCAATTCTTACTGCATTCTTTGGTATCTGTGCCCAATTATATTTTGTGATCCCTGTTTAGGATAAGAGGGGCCTACGACCCCTTCGGTAGGTCGCACGCTTATCTCCGGCCCGGTGTTCGGGGCAGCGGATATGATCCTGCAATATGGGCGTACATCGGAATTGCCATCCCGGTTTTAGGACTGATGCAGGGTGGCTTCTATCAGGCCTAGAGTAAGTGCATGCATGTCTGTAGAATCTGGGATATGATAGTATCTCGTATCTTAGGTGGTATTCGAGGCCTCCCATCTTGATTTTTGCGCGTTCGATATCAATTTATGTCGCTTATTTCGTCAACTGGGAAATTCCAAGATTCTGGGCTGCAGTGTCTTATCATGTAGGGTTGCAGTCCTCTGGTTTTTATAAGCATTGGTTGATAAGCCGATCAGGGGCCTGTGTTGCCTGTATTATCATTTTAAAAATTGAATATACCCGTGGCGCGTCTCGGCTCAACTTCGCGGTGATTGTAAAAAAAAAAAAAAAAAAAAAAAGAGTTCAAACAGGTGCACTATCTGGACAATTGATGGTTCACCTTATCAAAGTTTGGTGATCTCAAATTTAAACTTATCGCGTCCTGTAAGATTCCGATGTTCCCCCCTACATTCCAGGATAAGCTCTTATTTACGTCAGCGGGGCAACTCATGCCTTGTGATGTGAGGAAGCTCGAACGAATCCCTTAGGTAGTTCGTGTATACTACTGAAGCCTTTCAAATTCTAGAAGTCTCGATCTCTCTGGATTGGGGTATTATTAGGCAGTCGAACAATCCGCAACTTACTTGGCAACTCACCTGGATACTTTGTATCTCTCGCGTTCTACCCACCATAGATGGGTATTGCCGTAGCTCACCCTCCCTATTGATTACTTGACCTTTTTGTTTGTTGAACATAGAGGATTGTATCATAGATGCACACATGTTGGTTTCAGGCGTAATCGACCGGGAACCGGGACGAATTATTTTGTGAAGCTCCCGCCCGGGGGATGCACATGAACCCCTAGGTTGCTGGACATAATCCAAGAATTGAACTTAGATTCACTCTTGAAATTTATTTCCAACGTGCCTGTCCTCTAGTTTAAATCCCATAAAAGACTTGAGATGGATAATTGAAGGCTAAATAGCTTTCAGTGGCTTGAAATAAATAATTTCTAGTCGGTGAGACAACTTATATGCTTCCATGATAACGAATATATATGCGCACGTCGCAACACAGGATTCCTTACCAAATTCTGAACTTTTTAAATGACGATAATTAGAGAAGCCCATTTAGAGCATTGACACATTAAATGAAAGTCAATCGCTTCTAGAGGGGAGCATTCACCATAAAAGACCGTTATCAAAATAGACCAGTTGACGACAGGAAGCGGATCCTGAAAACCCGCCTGTCAAAACAAACTCACATCAATCATGCACCTAGACAATAAGAAACCCCCATACGTTCATAGACGCCGTTCTAGATCCTTGAGGCTTGCCTGGGCACATGGTTTCCCCACAACTGACCTCATTACAAGTGGGGAAGTTTGATCATCGGGAGAAATCGGCAAGGGATGAAGCCGTGGCTTGAGACTTCGGCATCGCGTTGGAGAAAAAGGTTAGATGCGGGGAAAGACATGTAATGACTTCGCGTTTTTGCGATCATGAGACACCGCACAGGCTAAATGATTTTGAGCTGATGAATGTTAGCTTCACTGCGGAGTTGGAGCTTACGGCTTTCAGGGGGTGATATCTATTTTTGAGGCGATCAGACTTTCAGGTCTGCTAGACTCAATCTATGATGGGATGAACCTTGGAACCCTGGAATGGAAAGGTGGTGGCTTGATTCTATATTTGGGTGCTATGTGAGAGGCTATTCCGAAGTATAGTGCCCCGTCCATAAGGTTTCAAGGTTATCCTAGGTCGGCCGAGGTGCTCCATGTACATATTGACTTATCTGAACCTCTGTGGAATTTGCTTCTTTTAGATGCCATATGGATATTTGCTCAGCATATATGATATAGGAGTACCCAGTATTATGACTTGGGAATCTAACATATCACACAGCGGTTTTTGCTAGCGATAAAAATACTCAAGAGCGGCGTGTAACTTTCGTATGTCTGGCCAAAGCCACACCCAAGAGACACAGAGGAGAGAAGAGAAGACACAAACAAGTCATTTTCCAGCTTGCACCTATAAGCCTCTCCACGTGGTAGTTCCCCTAGCTTAGTAGGGTTCTGCCTATTCTATAGTAGCGGCTTGGCTCCTATTATGTTTTACTCCATTTGAGTTTTGGGTCGCATGGTTCCTCCAAAATTGTCTTTGGACCCTCTGTCTTGGTCCGTGATAAGTCTGCTCGCTACTGTAGCTTCCCTTCATCTCAACACCGCCATGTTGATAGTTTGCTGCCCGATCATACAGTTCATGTGACTATGCAAATGGTACACCTACATAGCCTTCTCCAACGCTCAATCGTTCAATAGCTTGACGCCACCGGGGAAGTCGCCCCACCAGGAAAGCCATCTGACAGGGGTATTCTACTATAATCGGTGAAGAACACAGGTCGCGACAAAACGATTGTTTCAAGTTGCAGGAACAAAGAAAGTCTGCCGGAGACTTTTGGAACACGTAAATCTTGTTTCGACTCGTATTCGCACCAGAAATAACTATGAAATAACTATGAATCATGTTCCGTTGGCGTGATTTTGATCGACAGGCTAATGCGTAGCGACGATGGTTGATTTCGCCAAGAAGGGACAGATTGGTCGGAAAACAGTACCGATCGCATTAACAGGGCATTCACAAGCGAGTCGGCCCATTGGGAATAGCCCACATGCCTAATTGAGTCAAGACCGACTCGTCCCCGTGGAGAATCCGCGCGGCACAGTTACTTTCTAGAGCGCGAGAGGGGGCAAGTGCAATGCTAATTTGTGGCGGGTAAGGGGAAGGTGCACGCAATCCAACGATCAACAGATCAACGGAGTACGCGGGCGCATTTGCGAGATGATCTGAGACGACAGCCGGACCGCCCGAGGGTCCAAATTACAGTAGAAAGCGGGGCAGAGTGTGCATGTATTCGTTGGTAACTTCACTAAGACACACTAAAAGTAGGGCGTAATGAATCCAGACGACGCTAATTGATCGAAGATTGACCGAATGCTTCTGCCGCGTTTCTAGCGCCAAAGCCAAGACCCGTTGTCTCCCGACTGAAACTTTGGGCTCCGTTACCGATAGTTTTATCCAAGGACTATTTGCACTAAGTAAACCATAATATAGCATTATGCCGATCAATAACGAGGGGAAGATAAGGAATCATTCAGAGGAAGCAAGCATACTCCTGGAATAATGTCGATATAGTGTTCCGGAGAAATCCCGGTGCACAATACTGCCCGAAGTCCTTCCAGCGGATCCCGAGAGTTTGCCACCCCGTTTTATCTCCTTTGCCCCTTGCATGACCCCAGATCTACTCGATCTGAGTCTGCATTCCCAGCTGATCTACAAGACTTACGGAAAAATCCTCGGTATAGAATAAAGGTGGAAGTCCGCATCTTCAGGTCTGAACCATGGGAGGTAGGGCTGTAGGTGCGTATAGGCGGCTGTCTCAGTATAGCAAAATTACTGGTAGCAGGCTCCACCTTTCGGCAACGAGTTTACAGTACATGAATATCCTCAGACCCATAGCTTTGCTCTCAGCTCCCTCAGGGTTAAGGGGTTGTAACAATAGCTCTGACTTGTATGGACCTAAAAATCAGACTGACTTAATAATGATTAATGCTGCTAAACCTGTATAGATCAATCGGGCAAGATTCGTTAGTCATAACACGCTAGTCACAGTCCGTGTTTCAGCTTCGATGGTAAAGATCATGACGTCCCTGCAAGCGGTGTGTCGTGTCATCATGGTAGCGATCGGCGATCCGACCCCGTCATTGATGCCCGTTCTTTCCCCAGAGCGGACATTCATACCCGTGAACTCTACTGATCAAACCGGACAATTAAGGGAGTACAGATCCGATCTTTTCAGCCTGTTAGACTCTGAGTCTTGGGAAGATCGGAACTTTGGGGAATTCGTATGGTAACAATGGCAAATGCCGGTTGCATGGGACCATCACGTGCCGTGTAATACAATAACCGCGCTAGACCCAAAGCGGGGCCACCAGTCATAGTAGAAGGGCACTTCCGATCATACTACTCAGTCCCCATTAATCTTCTCTCCTCTTGGTCCTGGGTTATCTAGAAGTGCGTTTAAAGGAGTCTGCTATCCCCCTATAGTCGTTCTTCACTATTCAAATTTCTCCGGCGAATTCATCGCCACTACAAGGCTCAGCGTTCCGGGCCCAATACAAGAGCGGGACTTCATCCGAGGGTGGACTCCCCTCGAACCCGCCCAAAACCGCCATCCACCCAAAAGTCCACACCCATCGAGGGGCATTCATACGACTGTTTCTCACCATCGTCTTGCAACTTCTTCAAAACTGTTGGGTACCTTCGATTCACGCTTCAACGCGGGAACCCTTGATACCCTGTTACATCTCCCAACCCCTCGGGTTTGGCGTGCCCTTCGCGCAGACCAGACAGGGACCAGGATTTCCGGAAAAAAAGTTTCGAAACCAATTTGAAAACACTCCCGATTAGCTGTGGTTGTTTTCTTTTCTTTTTTCCCTCGCCCGCCCATCTTAAAACCTAAACGCCTACATATCGACCCCTCACCATGACTGGCGCCGCTCCGATAGACATCGCCACGCGACAGTCGACCTCGGTCTCACCGCCGGGGCAGCAGGCCTCCAATCTTACATCGGCCCTGCAAAGAGCCGGTACTGGCGAACGCACCGGGAGTATATCGCATCACCAGAGCGGAGGCCTCGGGGTGTTCAAGGCTCCGCCGCCTCGTAAGGATTCGATCGGCGCCGCAAATGCACAATGGGGAAATGGGACAAAGCCCATTTCCATGTCAGGATCCGCCCGCGACAAAGGGCGCCGGGAGTCGTTGGCTGGTAGTTTGGTAGGCGGCATGAGCTGGGGTGGTATTTCAGTCGGAAGTTGGATTCGTGATGAGTGAGTGGCGGGAAATTCTACAATCGAGGCGCGCAGCGCGCGGAGAGAAATCCTGTGCGCTGCGGCATTGTCGCACAGCGTCAAAACTGACCATCTTTTTTCTACACAGCATCATTATGACTGGCACGTCCCCCTTCACTTTCCAGTCGCCTTCTTTCCATTCTTCATCATATCTCCCGAAGCTGGAGGCCAACTTCATGCGGGACTTCTCGTGCTGCGGTGTGACGTTACCGACCCTCCATGACCTATTACAGCACTACGAAGAAGCTCACGCCACCAAGTCGCCCAACCAAGGACATCGCCCGAGTCAGGGTGACAATCGAGCGGCCATGGCCGCGGCCGCGATCGCACAGCAACAGAGCCAGCAGCATGGCAACCAAGGGCGCGGCCTGCAGCCCGATCGCACTTTAGATATGCAGCGGAAATTGGGCCAGACCACCACCACATCCCACCACGTGGATCTAGACACAATCGATGATATGGAGTTGGACGAGCCTATGGTAGATGACGACGATACCACTTCCCAGCTGTTCTCCCCGCAGTTACGCGAAGGGGGTCAAGGCTTTGGAAGCTCCAACCAGAGCTCGCAATTAAACCTGGGCATGCTTCCAAGCCACCAGGGCTTCAACACACCCTCTCAACCCGGTACTCCGATCGGATCTGGACGTCCTCTCTCCCTGCAGAACAATCCCACCGTTTCATCTGTTAATACTCCCACTTTAATGGCCAACCCACTCCAAACCTCCCAGTTCCGAAATACCCCGGATTCGTCAGCACCTGGAACACCAGCCGAAATCGATGAGAGTGTGGTAGGCGGGTTCGGCGATCTTACTATGCAGCATAACGCCATGGGCCAGAACCAGGGTCAGTTTGGACACTTCTCGGGTGGCAATAACGATATGGTCGATCTATGCATCGATGAGCCAGCCAAGCGTCTGTTTAGTCCTACAGGGGGCATGGGAGGCCCAACAAACGCCCATTTCAAACTCAGTGGAGCTCAGTACGGTCCTAATAGCGATATTGCTCGACGGATTCGTGAGCAGCAGCTTCTCGCTGGGGTCCCGGATACCACTTCGATTCTTCCCAACGAAGAGCCGAAGCCATTCCGATGCCCTGTCATCGGTTGTGAGAAGGCATATAAGAACCAGAATGGGTTGAAATACCATAAAGCTGTAAGTTCTGAACATCTCAGTGCATTCATTATTCGAGTCTAACAATAGTGTTTCTCCAAACAGCACGGCCACAACAATCAACAACTCCATGACAACGCAGACGGAACATTCTCGATAGTGAACCCCGAAACATCAGCACCTTATCCTGGCACCCTTGGAATGGAGAAGGAGAAGCCATATCGCTGTGAAGTGTGCGGCAAGCGATACAAGAACCTTAACGGCCTGAAATACCACAAATCGCACTCCCCGCCCTGTAATCCAGATTTCCAGCTTGCAGGTCGCAATTTGGCTTTGGGCGGCGGTGTCATGCAGGGACAGAACATCAACGTTGCTGGAGCTGGCCTCCCCGGTATCGGCGAAGAAGGCCTCCTGTGATTTTTTTGCTTAAATAATATCCTCCGTGCTATTTGCCATTTGACAATGATCTCGACGGCTATCTAACCTCCCACACATGATGTCATGACTGGTCCGGTGACTTAGGAGTTTGATTGTTTGTGTTTGGGTTTTGCACCTGTTTCTTTGGGAAGTCTATGTTTTTCTGCTTTCCTCTGCCATTTGATACAATGTCTTAATGACATTTTCTGTCTTTCTGCTCGATATCCCTCGCCATTCCCGTACTATTCCGGGCCTGGTGATAGAGCCCCCATCCTCTGAGCGATCAACTCAGCAAGATCTGCCTAGAAGAGCATTCTGTTTATTTTCGTTACGGCATCGACATACTGGGATTTTATGTGAAAGGAAAGGAAAGTTAACAAGGGTTGCGATTCGTGCGTTTATGCATGTTTGCTGCGTTCTGCACGGTGGTTTTATGGCTTTCTTATCGGCCGACAATTTCCCCTCCTTTGTGACCATACGAGCTCCGTCTTGACTATACCCGGGTATAGAAATATACCCACAGGATATGATTCCATCGGAGCTCGGGCTGGGGTGCGTGGGGAATTTTCTTTTTTCTTTTACTGTTTTGCAAGGGTGCGTGAGCATGGCTCCCACCCTGTACTTGATGTTCTCTTTCTTCCTGCGGGACTGGAACTGGACTTGGAAATTACAAACAAAAGTGCGGTTCTCCGGCGTCAGAACGTGTAGATATGGTTTTGGTTTGATTTGATTTCCGTTTTGATACACTTGAGCTTCTTGTCTCTATCGTCTTCGCTCTATTTCTTATCATCTTCTCTACTTCATCCATCCTTATCTCGTATCTGGTAAGATAAGCTTAATCAAGGACATTGGTCCGTGGGCCCCTCGGTATAGATATAAACTTGAATCATCAAATTGGTTTCGTATTTGGTTATCTGGATGGGCTTTGCCATTTCATTCTAGTACATAAGCAGGAGGCATGATTGGTGGAACCCATGTAAAGCAAGAACCCATCCTTGGTGTAGGCGCCATGAGCATAAAAGACTCATATGTGAAGATAATAGTGATAAAATGACGCGTCAAGTACAGCTCTTTGATTGGCCTTGAGCATGAACCGGAAAGGAGGAAAAGGGGGGAAATAAATCGTAAAGGGGAAAAGAATTTCGCTTGCACCAACCGTTTCAAGAGCATGAGGAACGAAAGCACTGATCACTGATTTTCATGGGTGCAGATGAAGCACAAAACAAGAAGATGTATTACAGACGGAGCAGGAAAGGCAGTTAAGAGGAAAATTGGTAAGACAAGTTTACCACTCAAACTCGCCTTGGCCTTTGTGGAAAACGTATCTGGTAAACGTTAGTAATAGCCACAAATAACATTGGAAGAAAGGATAGACTTACTCCCTGCCTCCACTGGTCAGAATGCCGTCCTTCAATGTGCACTTCCACTTATTCTTGACGCGCTGAACCTTATCGTAGGTGCAAAGCATGACCTGACCTTCAGATTCATCATCATCTCCATCCTCTGCGAACTGGTCTTCAGGGTCGTCAAGGTCTGAGTTGATCGCGTCTTCATCTGCCTCCTCTCCATCGACCTGCCCGGGAATTCGTGGAGTAGCAGGTGTCGACTGAGTGGGGTTGAGGCGTGTCTCGATAGCAGCGCGTCGTGCCAGCACAGCCGGGGACTCGTGCTCACTAAGAGGGCGGAGGAGACCGCCGGCCTCTAATCCAAGCATCTGTGACTTAAGGTGCTCACGGAGCATGCGGTCGCCTTGGCCGTTCGCAGCAGCCTCTCGACGACGTGCGACCTCAGCTTTCCAGTCCGCCATGGGGTCATCACCACCACCATCGGTTTGACTAGGGCCCATTGACGGGTAGCCAGGCTCCTGCTTGATCTGAGGCATCTGTCCATTTGCGGCATACTGTTGGTATGTGTGCTGGCCTGGGCCCTGAGCTTGCATTTGATGCATTTGATGAACGGAGCTGGCCGCATTGGCACCGTATTTCTGCTGCATCGCACTAATGGCGCGATCGCGAGCTGCCTGAGGATTAGTAGGGACTTGCATGGGATTGTTCATGTTAGGCAGACCGGGCTGGCCATTGAATCCGGGTTCTGTCTTGATCCGAGGAGGCCCTCCCATGGGAGCGACCGGGGCTTGTGCATGAACCGGATGAGGAGCAGAAACTGGAGGAGGAACAGATTGCTGCATAGAGACAGGAGGGGCAACATGTTGTGGCTGGGGAGGACGCGGTGCGTTTGATGGAACAGTAGCTTGAGGCGGCAGGACAGGAGCTTGCGGGGTAGGCTGTGGTGTAGGATCCCAGGGGAAATGGGCGACGCTGAGAGAAGTGAGCTTGGCTTGCCAGGTCTATTATTATAGAAAAGTGTTAGTATGCATGGTACATTGGCAGGGTAGGTATATATATAGATCGGGTGGTCAACGACGGGGATTGGCTTGGCGGTCTAAGCGGGTACAGGCGGCCACATATAAAGAGAGCCTCAAAAGCCCGGGTTCCCCCATAAGCAGCGCTTCCCGCACCATTTCGGGACCCCCGCTTTTGGCCGCCACCCCAGAACCACGACACCATATGCCATCAAATACAACCAAAGGTCATCCAAACAAACAGGGGAAGATTCTGCATTTTATCACTCACCTCACGCAAGTCTAGCAGCGTCTTTTGATCCACACCGCTCTCCTCAAAGTCGACTTGAGAAGCGTCGCAGACTTCCTGGATGACGCGCTCGAACACCGGGCCCTATGACACAGCTAATGTTAGCCAGAATCGCCGTTGAACAGCATATTCCGAGCAAGAAGATCTATGATGTCCAACATGCAAGGGGGGCCATGGATTCGCCTTCGCGACCGTATGGGGTGAGATGCCCTCGTGACAGGACTTACCACTTGCTGGTTCGACATGTTTGAGCGACGTTTGCGGTGAATGTGGAAGAAAGGCGGAGGTGTTTAAACCGAAGGCGAAGGAATACTGAGGTACAGTAAAGCTTGGTTGATTCGAACAGAGCAAGTAGGCTTCCGTCGTCGCAACGGATGGGACCGTTGGAGCGGTGATCGGTCACAGCTCCGAGGAATCACACAACGAGGTGAGAATGAGGCAGACCGTAATCCTCCTGGCAGATCAATGAAGGAAATCGAATCTGAGAGCAAACCCAGACTAAACAAAACAAGGGGTTTGAGGTAGACGGGGAGATTTGGCGATGAGTTACTGAAGGTGAAAGTCGGGCTTCTGCGGTCGAAATCCCTCCAGTTCCCGGTGCTTAGTCATCCCGAGGCGCTCGAAAGTTGACCACAAAGAATGAGCCTCACCGAGACGTTCTATCATTAAATGAGATATTTCGGGAAGTTTATAAATCGTAGCAGGAAGAGTGATATTTGTCCAGAATGCGCCTTTGGCAATTTAGATACAACGCCCAAGAAACTCCCCAATAAAGCTCTGTAGGAACCACCATTACACCGAAAGAAATGAATATCCCAGCCCATCAATGCTCAACAGATCACCATGAAACCGGGGGTATAAAACATGAAATGCAACCAAAACCAGATCCAAACTGGTACATTAGCGGATGGTCATAGCCTTGGTAAGTTGGGCCTTGCTGCCAACGCTACCTTCCCGAGATGCGGAAGCACTGCTACCAGCCTTGCGTTCAAAGACCTTCCAGAACTTCAAGCTCTCGTCTGCAGCTGTAGTAGCCAGCATCTGACCATCAGGGCTCAGAGCGCTGTGCAGAACCCGGGTTTCGTGCGCAGGAATTTCCACATTGCGCACCAGAGTTGGGTAGCTCCAGATGCTGAGAGAGTTATCAGGGAAACCACTGGAGCTAACAATCTCGCGGTAGTGGTTGCTCCACCGAAGGCTGGTGACCTGGGAGCCGGTATCGATGCTGTTGGTGCGGGCACCGGTTGTGGTGTTCCAGAAGTGAATGTGACGATCGTAGGAACCACCACCAGTGGCCAGCAGGTTGAGTTGCCAGGGACACCAGCTCAGTGCCTTAACGGCAGCACGGTGGTTGGTCTTGGTGAACTTGGGAGCACTGAGAGAACGAGCGTCCCAGATGTTGACAAGGTTATCGTTACCACCAGTCGCAAGTTGAGCACCATCCGAACGCCACTCCAATCCGCAGACCTCTGAAGTGTGGGAGACAAGCTCGGCAACTTTGTGGTCCGCGATGCGAACATCGTGGTTGAAAACAAGGCCACTTCGGGCACCGGTGGACAATGTGTGCTTGGACCAGCCCATGACTCCGACGCGAGTGTCGTGCCCGTGCATGCTGCGCAGCTTGCTACCCTCCTCAACATCCCAGATCTGAACCTCACCAGTGCCCAAGCCAACACCGACATAAGCACCATCGCCACTCCACTTGACGCTGCTCACATAAGTGTCAGGAGAAGTCTCCAGAAGACAGTTGACAGTTCCTGACTCGGCAGACCAGACGTAGACATTGCGCTCCAGACCAATAGCAACTTGATTGCCCGAGCTCCAGTCCAGAAGGTTCAGGTAGTAATCATCCAAAAGGCCTGGGGCATCCAGCACTCGCTCTGGGGCAGTTTGCACACGGCGACGGAACTGAGCAGCGTTTGACTTGGCAGGACGCAAAGGGCGGTTGTACTGAGCACGGAGATCGATGGGCTTCGATGACTCTGGTGGAGGCGGCTTGAAGGCGAGAATACGAGTGTTCAAATTGATATCGCAGGCGTTAGCCAGGGAGGACTCGTAAGCAACCTTGTCGGGTGCTGGCCGAGTGTAGCTGGTTGATTCATTGTCTTCAAGACCCATGTTTTCCAAAGCAGAGGTCAAGTCGTCTTCCGCCGCGCGGCCGCTGATGTCAAAAGCACTAGCAGCCGAGGCAAGAACGTTCGATCCAGATGCCTCTCCACTGCTTGTCTTGGGACGCTGGCTTTCGTCAGGCTTCGCAGCACCAGAAGTAACAAGGCCTTCGCTGGCGGTTCGGTTGGGAATGAACCGATCACCGGTGTTGTGAGGAATCCGCACAGTAGTCTTGCCAGTGCGGGACCGAGTAGGAATTTCTCGTCGAGAACGCTCCTTGGCCGGTGATTGGGCAGACGAAGGGCCAGTACCAGTCAGGGACCAGTCGGAAACACCAAGCTCTAGGTGCTTTGGTGACTTTCGTCGTGCAATATTGGACTTCGGAGAGTCGCGATAGGTCGACCGAGATGACTTGACGGTAGTAGAAGACTTGGCAGAAGAGCTTGACTTGGCTGTCGAAGACTTGACTGTCGAAGACTTGGCAGTAGAAGTCTTGGTGGTTGCGGACTTGGCAGTAGAGGATTTGGCGAAGAGCGAGGACAGGTTTCCACCATAGACTGATTTAGACTGGCTGCGGTTTGCTTCGGAACCACGAACAGGAGTGAATGGCGATTCGTTGCCCTGTCCCTGCGGAGTGACGGCAGTAGGACGAGTGTGAGGAGAAGGGGTCAAGGGCATTCGACCTCCTGCGGTCTTGGAGGAAAAGAGACCATGGTGGCTCTTCTTCGGAGTAGTCACCGAAGCAGTCGCCATACTGACAATGTAAATGAGCTATTTAGGAAGGGTTAGAAGAGGATGGATCCAGCCACCAAACAGATAGTTCAATGCAGATGAGCAATGCAGTAATGTAGGATGTGTGGAATAGGAGATAGGTGTGGAAGAAATGGAGGAGGATTAGAGTAGAACCGAATAAATAGAATTCTACATTGAGTATGGACCATGTTCGCCGGGGCAACCGTTACCTCAGGTACGGCTGAGCTAGCCCGTTCTGGGACTAGCGGCAGCCGCACATGACATGCCGGTGGTTTCCCGTTTGGCGTCGATCGCTTTTCATCGTGTTCCTTGGCGGGGAAACTTCGATGGACTAAAGAGGTTCATTGTGGTACTCGAATGGCGTCACTGGTTGGGTTTTCCCACGATGCGCATATCGATCGCCGATTTTAGTTGTCTTTGTTGACCCTTAACACTCAACTTTCTCGTTTTCCTGCCTGATGGCCGGAGTTACGACTCCCCACCTCCCTCCGTTCCACCTGGACCCACCCACACGACTTCCATCAGCCTGGACTGGATCTTCGAGATTCCCCAATCCGCCTACCCCAAGAAGTGCGCGCTCGGTACTTTCGATGCAGCAACAGGACGCATACCTGTTGCCGGCCAGTCCCGCGGGTGGACGTCCGGCAACTGACTACCGCCCCAGTGTCAAAAAGGCCCAAGGTCATGTCCCCGCATGTCTAGTCAACGCCTCAGTGACGTACTGCAGCAACGATCAAATCTACGCCTTCGGAGGATTCGATCAATACACCGATGAAGGTCCGCCATCCAACTGTTGCAGATCTCCCCGATTTTACCACAATGCTAACCTACTTGCTCCAGTGTACAATCACGTGCTCCGATTGGACCTGAACACTCTCCGCTGGGAACTGGTCGACAACTATGGCGATATACCGGGCGTTCGCATGGGTACTTGACCACCCAAACCCCTTCTCATTGGATTTGTCTCTCTAACATATTTTCCCCAGGACACACCGCCACTCTTTACCAGGGCAACAAATTGATTGTCTTTGGCGGTGAGAACGAGCATCGCGAATATCTTTCCGACGTTGTCATCCTCGATCTTCAAACCTTCACCTGGGCCCTACCTGAAATTCGTGGCTTAATTCCGCGTGGCAGAGCACGCCATGCTGCCGTTATCCATGACGATAAATTGTTCATCGTTGGTGGCGTGACCGGAGAAAATAACGTTATCTTGGATGATCTCACCTACTTGGACCTTCAAACCTGGACTTGGTCTCGAACATGGAGCTTCACCGCTAGATTTGACCACACGGCATGGGTCTGGAGCAACCGCCTTTGGATATTTGGAGGATTGGGCCCCAACATGGAACGGACGACTGATATCTGGTGGCTCGACCTCAAAGGCTCTCCCTCCCTGGCTGGAATCACCACACCCCAAGGTACCGTGGACTCCCTGGACGAACGATTGCCGATAGCTCATTATCCAGACTCTATTTCTAGTCCCTCTACGCAGATGTCTCCCCGCTCTGGCAGCTATGCTGCAAACTCAGCTAGTGTCCAGGTGCGCAACTTTGGTCGACGCAAGCCCCTTGCTCCAGGCGCTATCTCGTGTCTCCGATTTCACTCTGGACCCAATGTCCCCGCGTTGTTCTCCGGCACCCACTTCCAATCCTTTGCCTCGGGGGTTCTTCTTGACTTGATCACCCCGTCTGAGACTGTCCGGTCGCATGACTGTAATCTGGCAGCTCTGGAGCTCAATTCATTACGTTGGCAACGACTGGCCGACGGCCATGAGCTTTTCCGACCGGGCTATCGGTGGCACTATTGCACTGTCAACGAAGCGGGCACAAAGGCCTGGCTCTTAGGATGCAGCCTCGACTTGGCGAATACCCCCGGGGCTAGCGACGAGAACCACATGAGTGAAATACTCTCCATTGACCTGGAAAAGTATGGCTTGCTGGGGAATGATCTGTCTGCAGAGGCACCTGAGCAAGACTCCTCTTGGCCTGACCGATCTGGCCACTCTCCAGTCTCGGGCCTGGGAGCAGACATTGCCTCTGTCTTCGACCAGTCTCCCGAATCAGGCAGTGGTGCTGATTTCACCATCACTGCTATCCGCGATGATGATGACTTCATGAGCTCAGATGATTATCACGACACGCCCGCTGGATCTCCAGCTCAGTCCCAGCCAACCTTCGTAGAACCCAACCCATCCACATCAGCACCGATACACGTACACAAGATTATTTTGCAACTGCGGTGGCCACACTTTAAGCGCCTATATGCCGCACAAATGGCGGAGTACCACACAAAGCGCATGCACATACCCGAGCCATACTCGGTCGTTCGTGCGTTTCTATATTACCTTTACACGGATAGCATTTCCGGGCATCCCGATTTCAGCTCCAGTGTGGTTGACGTGGCTGGTATGCTGGTCATGGCTAACCTTTATGATATGCCTAAGCTTCGTCTCCTTTGCGTGAACCGGCTTAGTCGTGAGCTCGATGTGGACAATGCTGCCATCGTTTGGGAGCGAGCTGGAAGAACAAATGAGCACTGGCTGATGCGGCGGGCGGCCCAGTTTTGTCTCACCCACTGGGGTCGCATAGTGCGCACAGATGGCTTCAAGTCCTTAAGCCACCAGAGCTTGATCGAACTCTGCGAGGTAGTGGACACCGAAGGCCGCATTATCGCAGGCCCAGAACTGGAAATGGTCACTTCCCTTGGGGATGACACCTCTGGTGACGGGAAAGGGTCTCGCCTGAGGTTAGGGTCTGTGGCAGACGAGATGTCCGAGGCTGATGGAGATGACGAAGGAATGGAAATTTCATGAATGAACTGAACGTGCATCTATTTTGGAGTTTGCGGTTGGATTGGGAGAAGGAATGTGCTTACGATTGCGTTTCATATTTCCGTGTGATCTTCTTGTAAGATTTCTACGCATTTTGAACATTTGTACCTAGAGTGGGCACCGGTTATCCGTATCAGTGCTGTCCCTCTGGTGATATACCATAATCAGGTGGTACTTACTCCACAGGGTCCACCTCAAAGCCTGTATCGATTCAATAAAAAAAATTCAAAGTAATTTCAAATCAGGTATTTCAAAGTGTCTCTTCGGAAGTGGAGATGGAATGGGGACATCCTTTGAAATGTGCTTACGTTTGAATATTTGAAGCCCCGGAGCAAGATACCCTGCCCGAGCGCCCGACCCCTAACCTTTAAAAGCCTTATCGTGACTTGAACTACCTGTGAATGTTCGCTCCATACAACTTTCATGGCGAGTCCGTTCATTGGGCCGACTTTACGATCCTGTGGGAGGCCATATGGATGTTGACATCTTCGCCATTCTATATATTATATTGATATCTTCTGATCCACAATTCAAACCAGCTCTCCAAAATTGGTTTCCCTATACAAATTTCTCTTTTTGAATCTCCTCGCAGAGTGTCTTCAGCGTCCAACCAGCCCATTCAAAATCATTTTCTTCAAGATATATCTGCCCGCTAAGCCGGACCCACCAGTTTCCCTTGAAAGGAAAGACAGGCATAAATGTCTTCCAATTCTTGATCATAGCCTGTTGCATCCACTCTGTGATAGTCTCAACACCAGCCTTGCCTTTAACCAGGGACCCACTACCAGTTGTGGGTTGCTGCAGAGGAAGCAGAATATTGACCATACAGCAGTCAGTGAAGCTGTGACTAGTGTTATCCAGGATTTTGGTCCCTAGGATATCCGCCACCCTCTGTCCACCTCTTCGAGCCAGGCCGATGCAATAGTCTCGTATTTGGCTTTCTCCGCCACATACTTTCTGACGCCATTTAATGGCTTCACCAACCACCAAGAACGCAGCATTTTCAGCAGTACCCGTGAATTCAAAGTTGGAGACAAAGTATGATTTTTCTGGAAAACCGGGCTCATTGCTTGACCCATTAGCAATGGGCCGTGGAACAAAGCCGTGGCTCGTAGGCAATGTGCTCCGCATGATGCCCTGGTTTCGCTCGGGGACATAGAAAACAGCACATGTGCGTGGAGTAAACAGCCACTTATGACAATTGGTGACCAGAAAGTCAGGATCCCAAGATGAAATGTGGAGGTCGATCTGACCAATTCCATGTGCAGCATCAACCAAACTCAGTATGCCCTCCGAGCGACAAGTAGCTGCCAACGCCTCGAATGGAAGTCGAAGTCCGGGATTGGATGAAATGGTATCAAAAATTGCAACCCGGGGGCGATACCCCTCAGCTCTGGAGGCTGAAATCGCCTTTTGAAAAATTGCAACCATTTCGGAGGGCTCAAGAGGGTATGTGAAGCCAACTTCGCGGGTGTGAACCTTATCCTGATGGGATTCACAGATATAACTGGCCATTTTTGCACATGCGCCGTATATCACATCCAATTGAAGAATTTCGTCTTTGCCATCTTCGTTCCATGTGATATTGTTCAGTACTGTGTTAACGCCCGTTGTGGCATTGGGAACGAGGACGATTGTGGACTCAGGAACAGACAGAAATTTGCCTATAGCAGCCCGGGACTCGTCGAGGAGTTGTGGAAATCGGTATTTGATGAAAGGACATGGATTTGCCTCGCATTCGTCTCTCAATTCATCTGCTTTATCGCGGATGGCACGAGGCGATGCTCCGAAAGAGCCTAGGAATCGTCAATAAGGGCACGCAGAGACTATAATAAGACTCAACACACCATGGTTCATGTTCCTATATCCTGGCGCGAAGGAAAAATACTGTCGCATCTCATGGCCAAAAGGTGTTGGCGACCATGATTGGGACCGCATGATGGGCAATTGGAACGTGAGGCGGAAGTAGAAGAATTAATATGACGAGCACAGATTGTTATTTTATCCCCAGCTTTTTCGTTCCTTATTCACCTTCCTTGTTTGCTCACCCCGCATCTCGCTGCTGAACATCTTAATACGACCATGTGGTACAACTTTGTTGAACTTAATGGGGGCTTGGACCCTGCAGTGGGCCTCGGACATTTTGCGACTTTGCCGATCAATAGGTGAGATAAGTATTTTGAAGCGTTGAGTGGCCGAACCAGAGATTTGCCGACCAGAGCAATCTAAGAGCCCGGACTAGAGACAACAACTCCGGCTATCGGCAACGGATCGTGTGCAAGCTTCCCCACGCTTTCCCCGTATTAGTTAAAGGGTCCTGGTCCGGTGAGTCCGTGCGCCCATACAAGAAGGTACGTAGTACTTTTCAACCCCATGTTACCGTGCAATACTTAATGGGCATATTCCAAGTTTCGACCAGTCAAAGCAGGTTCTCACTTTTCAGAGTGTGAGTTATTGTCCCTCGAAAACATGCAGCCTCCCGTCGGAACCGACCACAAAGATGATATAGAGGAGGGTGATGCCAGAAGGCTCGATTCGCAGCCCGACACACACTTCGATTTGAAAAAAGAGGAGATAGCAAAGAACGTTGGAACCTTGCAACGAAGACTCAAATCACGACATATTCAATTCCTTGCTCTATCAGGCGCTATTGGGACGGGCCTCTTCGTGGGTACTGGTCAGGTCATCTCGTTGGCAGGGCCATTATCCGCCGTGCTTGCCTACTTCATTACTGGATTCAACCTATACGCAGTGATAAACAGCATGGGTGAAATGGCGACTTGGCTTCCACTACCCGGTGCCGTTCCTGTATATGCTGCCCGATTTGTCGACGAAGCCCTAGGCTTCACACTTGGCTGGAACTACTGGTATCAATTTGCAATTGGTGTTCCGATCGAAATTAGCGCTGCAGCTCTGGTGATTGACTACTGGCCCAACGCTGTATCTTCTGCCGTCTGGATTACGGTTCTATTCGTCGCCATTTTCGTGGTCAATTATCTGCCGGTTCGCGTCTACGGTGAGCTAGAATTCGTCCTCGGATCTATCAAGCTCACGACCATCATAGGCTTGATGCTACTCATGTTTATCATCACGCTGGGTGGCACACCGACACATGATCGCATTGGATTCCGATATTGGCAGCAACCTGGACCTATGAACGAGTACTTGGAGACGGGATCACTTGGACGGTTTTTGGCGTTTTGGAAAGTATTCATCCAGGCGACCTTCAGCTATGGAGGTAGCGAGATGGTAGTTGTTGCGGCCGGAGAGACCGAAAACCCAAGAAGGAACATTCCCAAGGCTGTACGTCGTGTATTTTGGCGAATCGCCATATTCTACGTTGGCAGTATTTTCCTGGTTACTCTATGCGTCTCATCTCGGGACCATCGGCTACTAAATGCTATTGACTCTGGAGCATCAGGTGTCGGAGCCAGTCCTTTCGTTATTGCAATTGAAAACGGGGGGATCAAAGTACTGCCATCTATCATCAATGCAGTCGTCCTCACTTCAGCGTTGTCTGCAGGGAATTCTTTCTTCTACGCATCGACTCGAATTCTATACTCCACAGCCCTCGACGGGAAAGCACCACGATTCCTTCGCTACGAAAAGTTTGGCGTTCCATATGCCTGCGTAGGCGTCACGGCTGCCTTGAGTCTCCTTGTTTATCTTAACGTCTCAGCCAGCTCTGCAGATGTCTTTTTCTGGATTAGCAACCTGAGCTCTGTCAGCACGCTCATTGTGTGGACGTCCATCTCAATCACTTACATCCGTTTCAACCAAGGGCTAAAGCATCATGGTATCCCGAGATCATCACTTCCTTTCAAAGCACCATTCCAACCATACCTCGCATACTTTGCAGCAATCTTTTCGTCAACTGTGGCATTTTTTAATGGATTCGATGCTTTTTTCCCCGGTCATTTCAGTGCGAAGAGCTTCATTCCTCCTTACATCGATATTCCAATTTTCGCCGGCCTGTTCCTCGGGTACAAGATTTTGTACAAGACAAAATTTGTGAAGGTGGAAGACATGGATCTGTGGTCTGGTAAAGAGGAGGCTGACGAGCTGGAATCAACGTGGGAAGAGCCCAAGCCACGCAATTTTCTCGGTATGTCGCCGACGATCGATTTTTTGAGCTGCACTAACTTCAATAGAACGGATCTGGTTCTGGATTGCTTAAATTGGGTGGAACATCCCTTTTTCCCCCCAAGATGGGCCACTGTGGAGCGTTTTGCGCGCACGCTCCATCACAAAATATCTCACAACAACAGAACGATGGGTTTTCGACAGCAAGAAGTCCCTTTAGGCAGACTAATTCAACGTTCAATATGAATAATAGATATAAAGCATATACGAAACATATTCCATTTGATCAATAGCAATTGAAAAGTTAGCAAGTAAGTGATATAGTAGGAGTCTACTACCGAGACGGGTACACCACCCAACTACGACCTTCCATGCTTTGAATGCTCCAACCTGGAGTGGAAGCTCATTCAACAATGACCATCATACCTGATCATCTCTTGAAGAAACTCTTCTCAGCGGTCCTTAGGACAGCATAAGAAACAGCAGCAAATGCAAAGCCCAATTCAAACCCAACATCGCCTCCAATAGATGGGATTCCCGCGCTCCGTGAAATAGGCCCAACATACCATGATTGACTCATCCCAGTCACCATTCCAACAACACCACAACAGAATGCCAAGAGCGCCGCAATACCCGGCGGAAGATTCTCACGAGTATCATAGTCCTCTGGACGATACCCAGAGAAACCACGCCGGAACACGAAGTGCTCTGTTAGCGCAATTCCCTCATAGATCGCCAACCAGTAACCAATGAAGTGCATAAAGTTCTCCAGAACAGCTTCGAAGTGACTGTATCCCGGAATTGCGATAGCAATATAAACCGCTGTCGCAACAATGGTCCACACGAAGCGCGGCACATGGCGAGTCCATCTTCCCATAACCATGAGCGTCAGAGAGACAGAGTAGATATTCGGACAGTTATTGGCAACAATAGACAAAGCCAGAATGATGACACAGAACTTTCCAAAGCCCCCGATACGAGGGAAAAGAAGAGCTCCCAACAAACCACCAATCCCTGATTCGTTGTATCCGTGCTGATAGGCATTGTCGCCTCCGTCAATTGCCATCGCGGTCGCGAGGGCGGCTCCTAGTAGCTCTGTGAAAAGCAGGGTTGGGAAGATACCCAGCCATGTTGCGAGGAAGACCTTGCGACGTGAACGGTCGCTTGGTTGGTAGACAGTGTAATCAGCTGCGAAACTGGTATAGCCGGTGCCGAAGCCGAAGACCGTGGATCCATAGGAAAGGATAGCCCCCATTTCTGCTTTTCCGACTCCCATCGGAATATTGACAAAATCTCCTGAGTGGGCGAAGACACCGATAACGACCAGGAAGACGATGAACGTCGGGATCCAACTCCAGTATTCGTATGCGTGCACGACTTGGTAGCCGAAGAATACCACGAGCAGGGTGCAGAATGCGATAATCAGGATTCCTGCGTAGCCTGGGACATCTGGGTTTACTGCGTTGATTAATTGGGCTCCGACAATGATGTTGGCTGCAGCCCATCCGATACATGCCAAGACGTTGAAAAGAGCAACTAGAGAAGTAGGTACGGTGTCAGCCTCCATTCTTGTTGATAAAAAGATTATCAATCATACTTAGCTTAACTCCCCACCAGCCAAACCAAAAGCGCGAAAGCACCATCTGCCTCAATCCAAAAGCTGCACCAAACGTGGAGAAAAAGCAAACTGTCAACACGCCAATGAAGTTGAAGAAGATGATAACCAGGACTGAATCCACGAATCCCAAAGCAAACAGTGGTCTACCAAGGACCCCGATAGTGAAAGAGGGAACAACCATGTTCGCAGCGAGCCACTGGGAATTTTTTATACCAAGAAATTAGAGACATCTTGTACGAGATTAGGATGGAAATACCATTGAGCCAATATTCCAGTAAGAGTTATCAGTTCTCTCATCGTCCGGGACGCGCTCAATTCCTCGTTGTTCCACCTTGATCTTCCCACCGAGTCTTTGCAGCTTCGCGTAGACTGAGTTCCCATATTCGAAGCTTGTTGCGGGCACGGCACCGTTCTCATCGACGAGGGGCGGATCTACCGCTCCAGCTCGCTTTTCAACATCATGGTTATGCATTGGGTCCATCATTCTCTCAAACAAGTTCACAGACAGTGTTTGAACTGCGTGGAAGTGCCCTTTTAATACTTGGTTCTTGACTTGGCGCAGGGGCCCACGGGGGATTCCGATCGTGATCCACCTGCACGAAAGGTAGTTGTGTCCGTGCTGTACTATAGCAGCTACTTGAATAGTATGAAGGGGTTAGGATTCACCAATCATGTTCCGCTAATAGTAAGTATCGTATTCAAGCCTTGGTCGGTCCAGTAAGAGACCGTGCATAACAAACACAAGCGGAGATATTCATAATCGCTAGACCCTTGCAGTGTTTTTCGGTGTCATATCGGTTATATAAACTTTATCACCTTACCCGATCGGTCTGGTCCAGCCGGCGCAGTCTCCACAGCTGCGGTCCCACTACCAAAGTCAAGGTACACATGCGGGGTTGGGCCAAGTTGGGTAACTCGAGGCACGATTGGGACGGAGAGCGCCGAGACCCATCTCTGAGTCGATCATGGGGCTATCATATGGAGATTTGATGAATGCATGTCCCGAGGATGTGGTTTGTGGGGTAAAATCGATTGCTCATAGATGGGATGTGGGACAAGTGGATGGGCCTGGGAATCTTGGCCCTCTAGCCAGTGACTTTGGTCTTCCCTTTATAGCCTCCACTTTCTTAAAGGCGTGGAGTGGTGGTATTGAACTCAGGGATTGAGTAACAAAAATGGAACAACTTTTGTCACTTTGATCAAAACTACTACGGAGCCCACTTGCCGAGCTAAGATTGAAGTTTGATTCAACCAATTGAACCCACGTCAAGGCTTTGTTACCCCGACCTCAGCCCTAGCTCGGAGGAAAAATGCCCAGAGAATTTAGCTCTAGCGCTTCGTCGCTATGATCGATGGGCGATGTCCTGAGATTGGGTATGACTAGCCAATACCTAAAGACGCGCTATACACCTGCTTCATGCGCGTGAAGATTTATGTCTATGGACTCACTACGGGGAGTTGAAGAACAATATCATGCTTTCATTGTGTCCCTCCGCCCCCAAGGGCTGGATTTCTGTGTGTTATGGCGCAAAGGGAACAGCTCATGATGAAGAGGGAACTGTCCATCGCACGGCGGCACGTAGATTTCGAAGGTTTGGATAGTTACCAGTATTGTCTGCGATGAAGCGAGAAAGGAGAAAATAAGTCGCAAAATTCTCTAGAGCAGACCAATGCCACTAAAAGCACAATGGACCAGGAAGGTATAATCGATCATATGAACTGATCCAGTGATACAGTGATTACCAAGACTTGACAGTTGCAGGGGTCTAGATAGCAGATAAGCGGGGTTCTCACCCGTCTTCCTATCATTCAATCCGTTTCTTGTTCATTGTCATCCAAAACTTTATCGGGGAGCTCCGTGAACTGATTCCAAGTATAGAAATATCGTATTTTCCAGCGTCAAGTACCATTTGATCGTTTGCGGCTGCTCGTTCCCTGCTCCGAATCACCTCACCACTGATTGTGCCCCAACCACCGCAGACTCGAAAACATGCACAACCAGGATTCCAAAATGACAAGCCCGATAGATCTACCGTTGGTGGATATCTCAAAACCTGACTACAAGGCCGCCGGCAAGGCCATGTTAAACGCCGCCGTAGAATATGGCTTCCTATACATCGACAGCAGGACAACCGCTTTTACGGAAGCAGATGTAGAAAGCGCATTCGATCTGGTCAGTCATTCCTGAATAAGCTCAAAAGTTGAAGTTTCGGAATATCTCCTAATAATCTACAGTCAAAAGAGTTCTTCGATCTACCAGTCTCAGAAAAAGCCCCTTACAAACGAGGACCAGATGTGGGTTATTTGAACATTCGTCAACAATCGCGAGTATTCGCTAATACGATCAATCCTAGAATGTCGGCTGGGTTGGTATGCATGTCGAAACCCTGGATCCAGAGCACCACAAGGTATATTCCTGTTGCTCCAATTACTTTAAATCGGCAAACTAACAGTGTACACAATGTAACCTAGAGAGGCGATTTCAAAGAGTAGGCAATCTCATACAAACTTCTTAGTCGCATGTACTGATATCTGCAGAGCCCTGAACATCCTCGAAACGAAAAATGGAAAGATCATGCAACCATTACCACCAAGCACCATGAACCGCGAGGCAGAGATTGCTCGCTTCTCCGATCTCTGCAATCAAACCTGTATCCAGATATTAAACCTTCTTGCACACGGACTCGAGGTATGAGCTTTCATCGATGCACGTTTCACAGTTATTGACATAACCGCCTCCAGATGTCAGACGATTTCTTTACTTCCCGACACGACTCATCCAAGGGATATACAGGGAACTCAGTCCGACTTCTCTACTATCCATCTGACGTCCCAGGATACTGTGCTGGAAAGGATATCCGTGCAGGCGCGCATTCCGATTACGGCAGCATCACCCTTTTATTTCAACGGCCTGGTCAACCGGGACTGGAGATGCAAACACCAGAGCAAGAGTGGGCACCTGTGCCTGTATACCCCAACCAGGATGAATACCCGTTTCCTCCCATTTTGGTTAATATCGGGGATGCGTTGAGTTATTGGACTGATGGGCTTCTAAAATCGACTGTGCATCGCGTTGTTTTTCCTGAGGGGGGCGAGGGTGCAGATCGATATAGTATTGCGTTCTTTTGTTCACCTCTCGGGACTACGGAGCTTATTCCGGTTCCTAGTGGTGTGGTTGCTGCGCATCGCGAAAAGCAGAAAGAGGATGGAAATCCGACTGTTGGGTATGGAGGTGGGGCTAGTGAGCTCAATGTTGGTGGGCGCAGACTTACTGCAGGTGAGCATTTGCAGGCCAGACTAGCTGCGACTTACCTGTAGATAGCGGGTATTCAGACTACTTAAGCACTAAGTATGCGCAAGGATGACATCGAAATATTTAGAATTTGTTCATTGACTTCGCTTTGCGAGTCACGTATGTCTAACATGTGTGTACATTATAATCAGAGCGCTCAGATGCAGGATTTAGTCATCAACATAGCAAGATCAGTGCGGGTTATCCTCAGTCTGATCGAAGTGTTCACGTGCCCACGGGCTGCGAAGGCGAATAGCCTCACCCTTGTAGAAAAAGATGAACGGAATAGGAACCAACAAAATGGAAATGAATCCCAGCAAACTCGAGGCCCACTCATAATCCAGTTTCTCGTACATCTGGGTAGCGAACAAGGGAAATCCAGCACCGACCACGTTGCGACACAGGATCACACCGGCAAGCGCAGAAGCAGAGTATGTCTGGTAGCTGTCGACGACGTAGTTCAGGATACTGAGAATAACGATGTAGATACCAGCACCGAAGAAACCGGAGGCGATGATAGGAACGATCCAGTGCACGGATGCATAGCTAGTCCATCCGAACCAGAACAGACTGATAGGGATCAGAATGGCACCGCCGCGGGCCATCCACATACGTGCTTCGGGAACACCTTTTCCACCGTTCTCTGCAACGCGACGAAGGTAGTAACGCTCCTGAAGCGGGTACAGGCAGAATGCGACGACGGGACCAATGGCCATACCGAGGAAGCAAAGACCCTGTTGACCAACATTGAAGGGGTGACCCTTTGGCGCACCGAAGACCAATGGGAAGGCCTCGTTGAACAAGTAGACCAATCCGTACAAAAAGCCGTTGTAGATGGCAGAGAAGGTAGTGATAGGTTCGGAAAACAGAAAGCGGATCGGGCGCGTAAGAGTGATAGCAAATAGCTGATGCAGACCCTTGCGCTCATGGGCATGAATATCATCAATAGAGTCCGCAGTAGCCAAGTTCTCCTTCTTCATCTGCTTGCGGAGGCGAGCGACCTTCTTCTGCAAAATTGCCGTGTGTCGAGTTTCAGGAATGGTGAATACAAGGACCAGCCAGACTCCACCAGAGATAGCCATGAGGATCCAGAAGATCCATCGCCATCCCAAATTGAGGCCGATGTAGCCAGACATAACCAGCGCTGTTGGGGGTCCGAAGGTACTGCTGAGACCGTAGACAGCCATAGCGGCACCGCTCTCATTTCGTTCCCACAAATCACTGATACTGCCTCCAGTGTTCGTCAAGGGGGCTCCGCCTGCGCAGCCAGCGATGAAACGACAGACTAGAATTGTGCCAATGTTGGGTGCTAGGGCAAGTGGAAGCTGGAAGATAAAGAGGAGGAACCATGATACGACGTATACTGGCTGGCGACCGAAGTACTCAGATAGCGGGGCGAGCATAACGGGACCAATGGCGTAGCCTAGAACGTACAGCGACAGAGCCAATGTCGTAATTTCAGATGAGACTCCAAACTCTTCCTGGATGCCTGTCGCACCCGATGAGATAGAACCGGCACACCAGCAACTATAAAGGATCAGTTAGGATGGGATGCGATAGAGCCACGGCTTAAGGTAAATCAACGTACGTGAAGACATTCAGCATGCTAACAAAGATACTGATATACCATTTGCGCAATTTAGACCAGTTGCGAGGGTTATCATGGTCATGAGATGAGTAGGTAATAAGAATGGGCAATGCCTCGTTGGGATTGGCCCTCGCTTTGGCGAAAGCTTGTTCTTCGTTCATAACAAGGGATGACGCAGACTCCTGGAAAGCATCGCTAACCTTCTCGATGTCGTGAGTCTCACCGAGGTGAGGTTCTACCTCCGGTGACGCCATGACTGTGACTATCACTATTATAAATGGAGGGGAGAGGTAGAGGTATGCAGAAGCACGCGAGAGGAGCGAGGGGGCGATGGTTTATAAAGATTAGTGGCAAAAAAAAACAAAACCTGGGACCGCGAGAGCCACTGACGAACACTCCCCCGATCGGAGGCCTTCTTCCCCCGGGGAACCCGCTTCTCCAAAATAATTTCCCCGAACCTTTGCTTTTTTTCACCGAGGCGGGGACTGGGAAGGATTTCGGCGGGTCGGCGGGTCGGCGTGCCGAAAAGCAGCAATAGGCCGTAAATGCTTGGTTAGAAGGTGGGATACGCTCCCCACTTTGTCAATCCCATCCGCTCTCGGTGAACAGATTACTCATAAGGTATGGGGGTGATTCGCATTTTTTGTGTGTCATTTGAGAAATTAACGGCTGGTAATATCAGAGTTTGCTATTTCGGTGAGCTTGAAGGGCCGTGATCACTCTACAGAAGACGTTTCAAGGTACCCTGGGAGCAAAACTCCCAAGCTTTGAGGCTGGGCCAAGCCACACCCTGGAAAAAGCTTGGAGGTGCGCCCAGAAAACCCTAATCCGATCCAACAATGAATTTTGATACTCCTTAATATTTTGGTTATTCCTTAGCCAATGTTACATAATGATAATCACTCAGCCTTGGAAAGTGAAACAATCAGGACACGAAAATGAGAAGTGTCGATCGCCCCCAACATTTCCAGCGTGACTCCATGGGGGAATGCATGAGAACTCTCCCCAGTGGGGGACTTCGGGGCTTCTCCGTTTGGGGAACTGACGGCCTAAGGCGCTGTATTACATAATGGTCGCATCGAACATACTTTCACTGGACCCTAAAAAAGGAAGGCAGACATGATTTGCAGGATTGGATCCCATCCATGGCTCAGGCATATGAGTCGCATGATCAAGGCCTCGTATAGGTGTCGTAGCCAGGGGTGTTTTTACGTGATATCTGGGTCCTCTGGGTCCGGGTAAATAGACCTCCCCATATACCAGGCCCCGCACATGGAGTCCCCAGCCAGTCTGATTCCAGAACAAAAATCAGTTTAGCCAGAGCTTATTCAAAGGTGCTGGTATGATTTATACTTGTGCACAGAGTCCATGGATGGGGGCCGTTATGACCCGAACTCTCACCTTGCATTCAGACCATCCCGAGTTGCCGATACAAAGAGATTGGCTTCTTTAGAAGTTCCTGGGCAGGTGTGACATCACCGACCTCGGCATGCCTTTGCGCGGCCGGGAAGCTGCGTAGTAACCCCCGACTTATCCGACCGGCAAATTGAGAAACAGGCCGTTTAGCCGATTTTTTAAAATACTAGGGTCATGAAGTTTAATCCACCGAAGATTAGTGGCTTTTGTTTTGAAAACTCTCTCGAAGAACAGTACAGTAGCATTATATATTCCGAGTGATAAAACGTAGATAAGGACCCATTCGCTACCTATCGGCCGAGACTGCAAGTGAACTAGATACCTAGGTTTATATCCGACTGGACACAGGAATTTTCATATCAAGCACGGCCCCGGTCGAAGACTTTCGACAGCGCTCTATTCCATATTCGCGTCCCATGCGATCCAGTCTTTCTAACAGTGCCAATACACAGATCATCTCCGTAGCGAGCCAAAGTTTGAGGCTTGTGGTATTTCTGGAATTTCTTGGTTGCATCCAAGCCTCCATGGTTGAGAAGCACTGAATAAGGCAAAACTTAGTACATGAGGCTCAAAGTAGAAAGACAGAATGATGAATAAAGTCTAGAGTGTGGGAAGCCAGAGTGGGTATACCTTGTTTACCACCGGGGTGTGTGTCCATATACGTTGTCAGGTCAAAGACCTTGCCATTAATAACAACCCATATATCTCCATCTCTATTGTGGCTCGCAACATCTTGTAATGTGTATAGCCGCTGAAAATTGGCATTCAGGTCCATCGCAGGTACTTGCACTTGGTATGTGGAGATAGGAAACAATTTGGCGTTTGTATTGGGCGCTTGGTAACTTTGGGCATTTATATTCAACTTTCAATTTGCGTTCTGTAATATTGCTTATGGTCAGCGACAAAAGGCTTGAAATAGACGCTTATCGCCGCCATCCGACGGTTCGAGAGTTGACCATGTGGCTTTGTGGGGTGCGGACCTCAGTGCAACAGATGAAGGGCTGCGGTTGCTGCGGGCGAACAAATAGTTGTAAAGGGAAGGGGCACAGAGTGAAAAATGTGAAGTACAGCGCGAAGGAGCGATCAAAGGTTGCAACAAATTTTTCTATTGAAATCCTACTTCATACTGGAAAAATAGCAACTGATACATCACAGTGATGGTTATGTTATCATGTTGCACAGAGGTTGTCACACGTGAGTTGTGATGCATTTGAAAAAAGAATATATATTCTGGTGAATCATTTTGCAGGGTTCTCCTTCGTATGTCACTCCACACAAGTCAATGTGACGTTTGTCGAAGTGTCAGCGTCGCTCCCTCCATGTTCCAGCAGGGCAAAAGTGTAATCACCCAGTTCCACTGTCCACTCATATTTCCGATCCAAAATTGGAAGATATCGGCTTACTTCGAGGTCTAAAGTAACTTCTCTCGACTCCCCGGCCGACAGGTACACCCGGGTGAAAGCGACAAGCTGCTTGACCGGACGTACAATCGACGAGATGCGACCAAGAAGGTAAACCTGTGGGACATAGCTTCCTGCAACATTGCCAGAATTGGTTACCTCGACTGAGAATGTAATGTTTGACTTGCTTCCAAATCTAGTATTATTCTCAGTACCGTTACTGCTGTCCACCGTGGAGCGGAACTTCGCCACGGTGAAGCTCGTGTATGATAGCCCATAGCCAAAGGGATACTAGTGGGTATTAGTGGCGATTTCGATGTGAAACGGGGATAAAGCTCACTAAAGGCTTGTACGAAATATCTGTATAGTCCCGGGGAAATGAGGGTTTATAGCTGGAGGAGTCAGCAATCCATCAAAAATCGAGTAGAACCCTTTTCTTACTTGTAAAAGGCAGGCAATGTGCCAGCATTGTACGGAACGCTGATTGGAACTCTGCCGCCCGGATTCATAGTGCCAAATAGAACATCAGAAATGGCCTGTCCACCTGATTGTCCAGGGAAAAACTGCAATTCGTTAGTCGAAATTTGTACACCCAAAAGCATGGGCACGGATTTAGCTGACAGTGTTCAGCACTGCTGCAGATTTATTGTAATACTCTGGAGCGGCGAAAGGACGACCTCCTTGCAAGATAAGGATGACAGGTTTCCCAACAACATAGATTGCGTCCGCAAGCAAAGCTAATCCTCAACTTAGCAACGCTTTTCAGTTCTTGTTGTGAGCTTTGAAAAACTTACTCTGATTTGGAGAGAATCCCAGAGTGGCTCGATCTCCGGACTCGCCATCACTGTTCCAATTAGCGCCAAGGGTTAGAACGACCACATCGGACTTTCGAGCAATTTCGACTGCCTGTTTTAAACCAACGTCAATAAATCATTATCTATCGGTCGAGTTAACTGGGGAATATTTACTTGATCGACAGCATGAACCGGATCAACCAAATTCCAAAACAGGATAACCTGAGCATTAAGCGAATTGACGTTTTCAAATTTCTGTACGTAGTTCCAGGCTTGATATTCCAGTCTGATTTGATGCTTGGCCTGTTTCCCAAAAGAAAAAGCTGCCGAGCCTGGTGGTGCGATTGTCGAGTTGACTGAGGTATAGGAGATGCCAGGGATATCTGAGAGTATATTGCCAGCCGTGGTGGGCTCAACGCTCACATGCAGCTTGCCATCGATATAGAGCTTAGCAGACGTATTAGCATAAACTGCAACACCAAACCACCCATCAGTCGTGATGTCCACAGGTATCTCAACGTCGCCTTCCCAAATGACGCTGAAATTGTTCGAGGGCAGGCCATCAGGTGGATAAAGCCCCCAGTCAAGACTTGGTGTCTCCAGCTTCTGTACTCTCGCATCAGTGAAATTTGTATCTGCAAAATATGTTGCCATCAATCCACCAGAGGTCCCGTTCACAGAAAGCAAGTATGGAGGTACGTTGTACTGTCCGTTGTAACTCCAAGAATTGGCACCCCAACTTGTGAGCAATTTCGTGTCCGGGAAGTTGCTTGCCAGGTGTTCGGTGATACCTTGACGGATTGTGCTTGCATTTTTCACCGGATAGCCTCCAAATTGACCTGAGTAATCTCCAAAATTGAATGTATCGCTGAAAGGCCCTACCAGAGCAATCGTGTTGATGTTCTGCTTATCGGGTTGCAAAGGAAGCGTGGAGTTGTTGTTTTCGAGAAGAACAATACTTTTCTGGGCGGCCTCTAACGTAAGGGGAACATGAGATGCAGTGATTACTTGCGAGTCGATATCTTCGGCAATATATGGGTCGTTAAAAAGATTCAAATCGTATTTGACACCCAGGACACGTTTTGCAAGTGATTGTAGCTCCGATAATGCGATTTTGCCATTGGCGACTAGATCAACCGTTGCCTAGATAATCTTTAGTAATCTGAATCTCTATGTCAGTTCAAATATCGGGACACAAACATTAACATATTCGCTTAGTGGAAAATCATAATACTGGATGATTCCACCTGCGTTGTGCCATTGAGCGATCGTATCCGCCACCGAGCTAGTGACAAGATGTGTGTACAATAGCTCGGAGATCCCTGAGGAAGGATTTTCATCAACGATCGTGATGTTTGGAAAAGCGAGCGAAAGCTATATGCGCGGACTTACCCGTGTCGTCTGCAGTTACAAAACCTGTAGCCCTATTAGCAATGTGATGTTTCAATCCCGTAATGGCCAACGTACCATCATATCCCCAGTCTTCCAATGCCTGGTATAGGAGGGGGTTTACCGAGCAAGGAACGTCGTCAAACTCGCTGTATGCCCTTTTCGAATTGTGAGAGCCGGATAGGAAATATGAAGAGACTTGACCTACATCATCACACCTTTGACTCCACCCAAATCCACAGCTGCCTTGAAGGGAACAAGCATCTCCTGGAGGACCTCACGGGTTCCGTAACCCATGAAAGGCGCTGCATTATGACCGCCTTGAGGACTTCCGTGAGCTGCAAAATGCTAAAATTAAAAGACGACGTAAGCACAGAACAGAAAAAGAAATTTAGAATGAGTCACAAAAGAAAATATAACGCATACCTTCATCACGGGAATGACAGCATCCGAATCTGACCAAGTACTATTTTTCGATAGACCGGAAGCAAATGCGACACCCATGTGGGAGGTAAGAACCATATCCTCACCCCAATCCTCTTTTTCATAGTAAATCAGTTAATGTTCATTAAAATTAAAGCGAACCACTACTGACCTTGCACCCGACCCCACCGTGGCTCCTTTGCAAGATCAAGCACTGGTGCAAAGCAAGCGTGTATTCCGATCGAGCGTGCCTCGGTCGCAATAGCTCGCCCAACTCGATGCACTAAGTTGGTATCGAAAGATGCTGCCATGCCGATCACTTGAGGAAACATCGATTGCTTGAACGATCCTACACCGTGAAGGCACTCCCCTGTCTGCATGAATGGTATGTTAATACGCGATTTCTTGGCGTTTAATTCCTGGAGGTCGTTGTATTGGGATTTGTTGGTGGGGTACCAGTCATGCATTATGCCGATAGGTGCGCCTGGAGCTGGCTCCATTGCCTGATCTGTAAATCAGGGTGAGTTATGCTAGTCACGGTACCCAATTCCGTGGCTGGCTAATTACCATAAAGAGCATTATCCGAGTTTGGTCCAATTATGTTATCGGCAAACATAAGGTGCATTTGTAGAACTATTGTATGTGTTTAGTCTTGAAAAGAAAGACAGAATGGGAAGAAAAAGGCTCATGTCACGTACCAAGTTCTGGAATAGTCATATTCATTACAAGTTTATCCAGAAATGCCAACTTTACTGGATCCCAGGACGGAACATTTGTCGACCGGTGCTGATAATTGTTGAATTCGACATTCGCAAAGGCTTCAACATTGTGTATATGAAAGGATAAGAAGGGCAATAGCAGGACGATAATTCGATAAGCGAGGTTGAGCAAAATCATGGCAGCTTCTTCATTGACCTCTACCGGTATGTGGCAAATAACCAGGGTCACATAGTGAAGAGTAAATATAACATCAAGATTAAAACTTGTTTAAATATTTGAAGACCTCTATATTAGCCTAAATGGGGACGTTATCGTTAGTGTGTGGGGTGGATGTCACCGAAGAGCGAGCCATGCTGCCTCGGAGTAACCGTGGTATTGAAAGATCAACAATCTTCCAAAGTCAGTTGGCTATCATACCATTGACTCAATATGCTGAATATGGCATTGATTTGCAAGGTGAACAACAAAAGCGACGTTGAGTGCGGGGAAGTAAAGCGGGGAATTGGGTACATACGCTTCATAGCACAGAAATGTCAGGTGAGATGAAAAATAGAGACAACTTTCATTCGTCAGTAGAGTAAAGATCAGGAATGCAGTTTCTTTCTACTAAGAAGATATTCCACGATCTTTGGACAGGCAGAATAACTCCCTTTCTTAGCAGTAGCCGGCGCATTGGGATGCCCATATTGGAGTAGAATATTCACATCTACTTTAGCCTTTTCACGAGGTATCTCACAACAGACTCTCTACATTGAACAGCGCCAGCAAGCACATTACCATAATCGCCTCTTCGGCAAAGTGATTAATGACACCGAGTTTAATTTCAGTAGCTTCAATGATTGCATCTTTGACAATTGCTTCGTCAAAGTGAGCGCTCTCAACACAAAGCCCGGGGCAATATTTTCGCCAGTTGCTTCTGAGGTGTCGGAATTTTGACAACCCATGCCCTGCAGCGGCGCGAGCTGTGTTGGGTCTAAGAAGAGCACCGTTTGACTGAGCGAGAGTAGGATATTACCAAGCCAAGGAATTGGTTTTTATATACCTATAGGTTGTAACACTTCACCTGAGGGCAAGGGCCCACACCATCCATATATGTCGCAGCGGCATTGCTCGAAACGAGGACAGCTAATAAAAGAGTCGTCAGTAAATCTGAAATTTTTTTAACGAAGCGAAAGGCCTCTGAGATCAAAATCAGACTCACTAAATGGCGTCCATCCCAAAAATGATATGCCATAACTTTTCCAGCACCCAGCCAACTCCAAAATCATCTGTCAAAGTGGTGGTCGCCGCCCACTCCAGTACCCGTTCATAATCTTTCCTCGTCCGTGCTCTAACATGTTCTCGACTTACAGCAAACTGTCCGCAACACACATTTCCGATTTCGGTAGGTACTTCGTCAGCAGGCACATCAAAGATTTGTTGGTACGCCTCTGAAAAGTATGCGCGGATGTCGTGGTTCTTTATATCACTCTGACTAGGACTAAGGGGAAGTACACCCACCGGGCAGCCTGGGTCGTGCTGACACCGAAGATTGACGTACCCATGAGCATCGACTGATTGAAAACGGATATTTCGTAATGTTTTGTACGTGTATGGTCCAAACAAATCATTGTGCCACTGCTCCGGGTACGCGTGTATGAAGATCGAGTAAGCAGGGAGGCGGTCGTAGAAGTCAACAATATACGAAAGGTAGGCCGCTGCTTCTCGGCCGCGGCGGGTGAAAGGGATCATCAATCCGGGCTCAGGTGTTTTCTCGGTAGTATAAACGAAAGGTGTGCTACCACTGATGTATGCTTAGTTGTTGAACTGAACATTCAAAGACAAACTCACCTTTCGCGGCAATAATCCAGCAGCCAAGTCAAATCATCAGTACGAATAGATGCGAGAACAAGGCCGACACTCGAATTAACAGCATCAGGCGTGTATGCATCCGTAAAATGGGCAAGCTGCTGAGCAGCCTGGCGAGAAGACGTATTGAAACCTATTTCACTTGTCAAAAAGGTCAAAGGGACTTGGATCTTGTGGGAGTAGCTAGCGCCCTGGATTATGATTAACGGACCTTGGAGGAGCAGAAAAGTGACTTGGCACAAAGTCAATGCGGAACAGCCTGTGACAGCCCTCCTTAGGGTGAGCCAATATAGTAATCGTGGCTTGTGTATTTTCGGAAGCCTCATTTCCTGGTTCCTTCGGACAGGTAGATGATTGAAAGCCTTAGCACTGGAAAAAGCCGCGTATAATGTGAAAACTGACGACTGTAAGCTTTTCCTTGAGTGATTTATGTAGCTAAGCGATCCAAGAGGATCATTCTAACGCAGTGACAGCGAAAGAGGATCAACGATGAATTTATTTTGGTGAGTCAGCTTTTGAACAATGAGTATTGAAACGCCCCAAGATGCACGACGAAATTGGCCCAGACTGTAAAATACCCTAACAGAACCACTTCGCCCAGCCATGGAGGCTGAAAAAAGGACGGTATCGTCCAGTGACAACTTCACCTTTGCCGTCTATTGGCTGGTCGGATCAGGACCGAACCCTGCAGGGGTCCAGATGCTCTAGGCTACCAGGTTAACCGGAAGGGTTCCAATCTAGCCGTCAGACCCTGTGGATCACTTTGCTTATTTACAGCACTCGACAAAGCTTGTGGATCAAGTTGACCCACCCACCTCACTTTCGGGTTCTTATCAATAACTACCATTTTTATTTCCTTCATCCTTCAACTACAGTTCCCAAGGGCGCCAAAATTGTTGAAAACCCTCGTAAAGGTGAATAATCTAAATTAGCTCCAACAGCAATCCTTTACGTTAAGCTAGTCTTCAATACGAAGCTCCTAAAAATGGCGTCTGATTTCGGGCATGTCCAAATAATAAGCACTAGTAATTACGGCAAAACGCTAGTACGCTAGGCATCACTGAATCATGAAAGCGACGCGGTCGTCCCCGAAAGTAGAACAATCAAGCTCGCTAGTATTATAGGTAGCCCGTCGGAATCCCGACGATAGCTACAGATGTCTTACTATCTATACATCTAAAGATCCGTACTATGAGACACTTCAACGTATTTTATAAAATCGAGATTCTAGAACTGCAAGAAGAAACAGAAAATTCTCATTAAGCCTCCTATGGCCTTGGAACGCAAAGTATTTGCCTGAGAATGGTACTTGGATAGTACAGTATTAGATTTAGTAAAGATGGATCTTTTTAGACGAGTATCCAGTGCTACGGACTTAAATTGTCACTGGAAGACCGGACAGGCACAATTACTCCAAGCCTTAACAGAATTTCACCAAGATCACTTCTGACCGGTGACGACGTCACAGCCAGATACGAGCAGGGCGTTCAGAAAGCAGTCGCCTCTTTTCTAAGAACTCTTTAACTGTGGATTTGTTGAATCTCACCTATCAGCTCATAAACAAGCTTCAGAAGAATTAGATTAACAGTGACTATTCTTCAGTCCTATTCCAGTTACTGACTTTAGTCTGAGATCATGGTTGTGGTGTGATTTCATATTGAAGATAAATCATAGACTATATCATAGTTTTCGTACATAAACGGAGAATCTCTGGGGGCTTGATCGTGTTATTTTATGAATGGCAGTGCATTGCTGTCAGAATGAGCCATACCCAACTGGGAAATCACTTTTTGAGAGTCACAATGTCGATATCATCGAAACCTTTTGAATAGTCAATTTGCCTGATAGAATATATTTCACGTTTACAACTACCTAAGCGTATTCCCAATTTCACAATCTTGGAGCTGCCCATAGTGCATATATACTTGACTTGGAAGGGTGGCCTTGAAGTGAGATAGAAGAACTGTTTGACCTGTCGTCGCATGATTTCTTAGGCACCTAACATTTCATACTTTTAAAATCTAGATCTTTGTCTTTTCATTGAGTCACATCCAATCCTTACTCTCGTCTTCTTCATATCTTCGGACCCACGCACAACATCAGACTAGCGTCTCATGAGCGTACACGAATAGTAATTTATTTCTTCCTCCTTCTATCATATCTGTATTCCACGTCCTCTCACGTCTCATTTCACCTGCTCCTGATCTCACCTACACCCTAGAGGATTCAGAGCTCCACTCCCAGCATGTTCCCCAGACTGAAGGACGACGCCAAGTATGGCCGTTTTGCTTTCGACATCTATGCTCTGGTTTGGCCGCCTCCCCATTCCTACTCACCTTAAGCCCCCTTTCTAACTTTTGTCTAGGACCACTGGACTCACGACTCTTCGGAGACAAGCCAAGAACAGTGGGATCGCCTAGTCTGGAAGTACCAGGAACTGACCCTGATTGAGCGTTGGGTATGTAATTCATGAATGATTCTGATTGGTCCCTATAGGACTTACTAACGCGCTCTAAAGCCATATCAATGTCGCGCGGACTGCAAAGCTTCAACCCGGAAAGTAACCCGGAAAGTCAGCGACGCAGACATCCAGCGCATATTCGTCGACAATCAAACAATGCACGAGCGCAACATGACCATAGCTAACACAGAGGGCTTACAGACTGTCTGGCTACGCACATGCTACGATCCACGTTTCGAGGCGAAATACCAGTCACTTTTTGAAGCGTCTGGAGCTAATGTCACAAGCTATATCCGGGTTCTGGATGACTCCACACGCTATGATTTCGATACTAGGGACAAGGACTTCTGGCGCCAAGTTTTGATCCGTATGCCTGGTATCACGGACTTTTCCGGGCTTACTGATGAGAATGGAGATGGGAGTGACCTGTATTACAAATCAGGACAGAACGACGAGGATTTGATCGAAAGAGCAGAAGAACTGAGCGACCTTGCTTTGGCGGAATTGCAAATGCAAGCTGGTATTTACCTGCTGGATGAGGATTCCATCAAGTCCGGGGTGATTAGAATTCTCTGGCTCGACGAACATGGGAATGTGGCCTGGGAGAGCAAATTTGACCCGCTGACCTTCGACTTGGAAGAATTAGCGAACGCCATATCTCAGCGCCCGATAAGCTTGGTTGAGAGCACCGACGCCGATGGATTCCTCTTCCCGTTGAGGGATTAGAGCTAGAATAACCAGGAAATTTCAATCTCCACTCAATATCTTGCGTTTTGAGCTCCACGCGGGTTGCTAGACCCGCTTTTAGTAGCAATGAGAAGTACCCTCGGAAGAGCTTCGACAATCAGACAGAAGTGTGTCTATAGCCGAAGGGCTAAATCACGTAATTTTGCATTTTTCACCTACTGTCTAGAGAATTACACATTATAATGCCATAATGGGAAGGAGGCCATATTGGCGAATCAACTCAAGACTCATTAACATTAACATCACTTTTGCAACTGAACTTCTACTATCAGAGATATCCGCAAATTGAAAATTAGGTGGTGGAATTCGTCCGCTCTGTGCTAATGATAGCAAACAGTCATCATGGTCGTCAGGGCTGGACTCTCAACCACGCTGATTGATAACGAGAGCTTCACCATACTCGCTGACATCGTAACCATTCTCCTCCAGATAGGCCTTGAAGCGGGCATCCTCGGTCTCAAGCTCCCGAGACATATCGGGAATCAAGAACCACGAGATAAGTCCTCCGACAATTGTGAAGGCAGCTCCAATGAGGAAGACTGCCTGTTGGCCCTTTTCGGTGGTGGAGAAGCAGTTCTGGATCGGGGTGAAAACCTGGGTTCCGATAGAGGCTCCTGCCTTTCCGAATGCAGCAGCAAAACCGAGGAAGTGGCCGCGCAATGGGGTGGGGAAGGACTCTGAGGCGCACAGGAATGTAGCAACGCCAGGGCCCATCTCACCGAGAGCTTGGAAAATGCCGTACATGACAACGAATAGGGGAAAGATGGTTTGAATAGGGCCAAGAGCGCCTCCCAAAATGAAGCCCCAGATACCCCAGAGGAAGAACCCTAGGGTCATGGTCTGCTTACGGCCGATGCGGTCCATCAGCAATCCACCGACGATGCACCCAGGCAGGTAGAAGCAGTTGATCACCGTCTAGAGATAGCACGTTAGCCTGAATGGAATATTTTCTCGGATTCTAAAATGACTTACGCCATATCCGATATTCTGAGTGGTTGTGTTATTGGTCATCAATTGTTCAACGATTGTCGAGGAGAACAGACCGAATGGATAGGTGACAAAGTCATAGCAGAACCAGGCCAGAGCTAGGAATTTAAAGTTAGCTAGAAGACAATAAACACGATGAGGATTGGGACGTACAAGTTCCAAGCATGGGCTTCCAGTAGCGCTTGATGACCAGAAGATATGGGTAGCTAGACTTGATTGCATGCTTCTTGTACTGGGTAGAGTTGACCATGCGAACCCGAAAGAAGCAGATCACAACAGGCAGCTGTCTCGGTCAATACACTTTCATGAAAGATAGGTAGGTTGCGCAACTTACAACAAAGCCCAGACCAAAGCAAACTCGCCAGACTCCTTCGGAAGAGCGCTGGCCATAGCAAGCAAGGACGATGATAGCGACCACACCAGCAACAACGAAACCCTAAGCGGCAATCAGTAGTGCTTTCATTTTAAATTACACAAAAACTTACTAGATCAACGGCGAAATCAGTGGTAGCCGCAACCAAGATTCCTCGTCGTTTGCGAAGCTTATCAGTCTCGTCAGCAGCCTCGGTGGCACTGGTAGCACAGACTGGGTATTCTCCTCCAGCACCGAATCCGGCAACGCCGCGTGCCACAATCATCATCCAGAACATCCTGTGTTAATTAATGTCAGCTTGCTCTGTTTTCAGACGTTGGAAAATGGGAGACGGGTCGTACCCCAGCTGCGTGGTGCCATGAGCGGCCGTCGCCAGAACCACACCAAGGACAAGGAACAATGTGGCCGCAATGATACCGGTGCGACGACCCATGCGGTCGATGAGGACACCAAAGAAGAGCATGCCAAAAATCTCTCCGATCAGGTAGGAGTTAGACAAGCGCGCCTTGATGGTTGAAGACATGCCAGACTTGTAACTGTAATAAGGCGTGTTAGCTCCCGAATCGCCGTTGAGGGGGCCTTTTGTGAACCTTACAGAGTGGAGAAAAGAGGCTCCATGTAGCCGACTGCAAGGGGGATTAGTATTTGTGAGCCGTAGACACCACAGATTACATACTGATCTGAGCATTGTAGCCGTCGCTGAAAAGAGCCAATCCGGCGACCATGACATTCAGAATGCCGGAGGACTTCTTCTTGGTCTCGCGCTCCTCCAAATCCCAGGTGTCATTGCGGATCTCATTGTGCTTGTCTTTGATCTTCATGATCGAGTCGGCGGGAGAGTTCTCCATTGTTGAAAAAATTCGATGGACTTCTTGATTCAGCAGTTGGGGAGTCCTTGCTGATTGAATCAAGTACGAGAAGTGGAAGTGAATGAAAAGAAGACTCTGAGAAAGAGAGGCAGGAGAAAGACAGCAACGAAGGATGGAAGATGTCTTAATAGCTGAACTCTCTACTCTCATCTAATGTTCACTACTGGTTCTTGTACATGTTCCACATGCCATTTACCTATTATAGTCATTGATGCAACTTTGGCGTGCGTCTTTACGATTGGAGACCCAATGGTAGGCTTTCTTGCAGGCACATGTAGATCTGAAGATTAGAGTCGGTACGAAGTGCGGTGTTTAGAAGTGACAGGGACAGAACGTGGAAGGTCCGAGCTTCTTACGGATACTACGTGCCTTGTTGCAGGCCACCAATTACGCACGTGAAGATGGGGCCGCGGGCAACTCACATTGTCCAATCATTGTTATCTATTCACACATGTGGCTTACCAGATCACATGTGATTGGCCATTTCCGCCCACGTTATCAGTCACCAACCGTAAAACCACGATTACTTACCTTCCTTGTTCCTTCCCCATCGAATCTAGGTCCATGTGGATTAAGCGCCCCATACGAAAAGGTGGACCTTGGTCTCGGTGCGAAGCGCGGTGTCGCAGTATGAGTCTATGGATCCTCTAACACATGTGCAAGAAACAGCCGCCACCGAAGGCCCATGATGTATATAATCGCGTGTAGCCCGTTCGTCGCCAATCCTGATCGCACGTTTTACGCTCTCTAGTCTCTCGTGATCCATTGCAAAATCAGCCAATCATCATGGATAACTTCAAGTACCCCCTGACACCAGAGCAGCTTCAAAGCTTCCAGAGAAATGGATACCTGCTGGTTCGCGGTTTCTTCTCCGAGCCCGAGGCCAAGACACTCCAGCAATGGGCACAGGAAGTGCATGACTTGCCCCGCACTGCCGATGTTCCTTGGATGCCTTACGAGGAAGTGAACGGCAAGGGTGACCGTGTGTTGTGTCGCACGGAGAACTTCGCGAACTCCCACGCAGGTTTCGACAGCTTCCTGCGCGGAGAGCGGGCGGCGAGCATGTTACAGCAGTTGGCGGGTGAGGAGATGCTTCTTTTCAAGGAGAAGATCAACTACAAGCTTGCTGGAAGTGGTAAGTTTACCATTAAGCCTAAGTCTGATCAGGAGACTGATCACCTAGCAACGCTTCAGGCGGCTTTGACCCCCACATTGATGCCAACGCGTACACCCACGTGAAGAACATTAAGCATCTCACGATTCTCGCCGCAGTTGATGAGATGACATCTGAGAATGGAGGTCTGGAAGTTGTCAACGGCAGCCACCGTATGCAAATTCCTCTGGGTAGTGACCGTTGCATTGAACCCGAATGGGTGCAAAGCAACACCTGGACTTCATGCGACTTGTTGCCTGGTAAGTGACAGCAAAGATGAGAGAACCTGGTACTCACATGTGATGAGTCTAAACTTCCAAATAGGTGACATTCTGGTCTTCGGCTCCTACTTGGCTCACCGCAGTGGCGCCAACACTAGTACCAAGGACCGACGGGCTATCTACGCCACTTACAACTGCGCGACTGAGGGAAACCTCCATGATCAGTACTATTCCGATCGCCGGAACCTCTGGCCTGCGACGCACATGCGTAAAGAGGGTGTTGATTACGAGGAGGGTCGCGTGCGCTATGCTTTCGGCTCACCGATGTTGACAGTGGAACCGAATGGTGTTTCGGCTTGAAGACAGGTGTATTGTAAAAAAGAAGGCTAGAGTAGGCATGGTTTGTTAAAGGCAGTGATAGGCTCTGAATACCACACTGAACCTTGGTTATCAATGTAGAAATAATATTAATTTCGGTATAAAACAGGGTGAAAGTAGAAAAAGAGAAATAAGCAAATTCCTGTAGATGCTACACACCACTTGCAAGCCTTTAATACTGTTGAATGCGTTAATAAGCTATAGACTGGTGATTTAGGTGGCGTATATGACTAAATTAGACTTTTCAAGTCTATAAGAGGGCCATGTTACGCATGCCCTTACGAATTCCGTGAAAATTATTTAAAGGCCTCCCTCCCCACCCACTGCCCCCAACTTTCATATTTCTCTTCTCACGCAATTTCATCCACCACAATGAACACAAATTCATCATCCACAAAGGCCGAAGCGCTGATCGCTTCACTCGAGCAGTACGGACAAGGAGATTACATTGGCGAATCTATCAGTCAGCTAGAACACTGTCTGCAAGCCGCAAATCAGGCCCGCGAAGCAGGTGAGTGCTTAACCATGTCCTCAAGAAAGCCAGCTAATTCAGCGCGAGAAGGAGCACGAGATGAACTGGTAATTGCGACCCTGCTCCATGATATCGGCCAGATCATTCCCTTAGAATCGACCAAGGAAGTGCGCATGAATCTCAAAGAAAGCAGCGAAAACGTCGGCCGCGTTGGTCACGAGGCCATCGGCGCTGCCTACTTGAAGTCTCTGGGCTTCAGCGAGACAGTTTGTCGGTTGGTCAACAGTCATGTCGCTGCAAAGCGGTAAGCCACATGCAAGTCCTTAGCATATACAAATACTTATACGAGGATAGGTATCTGACGGCTGTGAACCGTGAGTACTATGATTCTTTGTCCTCTGCGTCGCAGAAGTCTCTGGCTTTCCAGGGTGGTCCATTCCAAGGGGATGAGCTACGAGAGTTTGAGGAAGATCCTTTGAAGGATGAGATGGTTTCGATGCGTCTGTGGGATGATCGGGCTAAGTTGGTTGGCATTGAGGCTACTACACCTCGTGCCGGCGCTTATTTGGATATGATTGTTAGCCACTTGTCTTAGTGGTGATCACAAGAGAGCTTTTGCTTGGAGTATATTGAGTGTTCAATGAAAATATATTGTGCTTATTTCTATCAAACTTTGTTACCAGTCTGACTTGATATAAATTCTGCAAGACAACTCCTATTGCTTTGCATCTCATGCCAAGCCGCCTGATGACAAAATTTGGCACCGCGCTGATGTTCCTGTGCTCTTAAACCGATGCAGCAATATCAAGTCTCAAGATTTGACGCAAATTCAATGGCAGCCCCAGTTTCTTGACATACCTTTTGCGTCTAGCTATACTAAAGGGGCATAGCTTGGGCAGGAAACGTGATCACGGCTCCAGACATATCTTCAAAGCTCAATGTCAAATTAAACTTTCAAATCACCTTCAGCAATAATGCCCCCTTGGTTGAATTTCTCGTCGGCGGCAGCTTCCTGGATCTTTCTACTCGCGAAAGCACGTTCAGCATGCCAGAAAAATGGACTGTCATGGGCAAACAGAAAGTCGAGGTCTTCCAAGTGCCGGTTGGCCGTTTCTTCGCGCCGACGTATGGATTAGCTTTTGGAATACCAATGGAGAGAAGTAGGGACTCACCAATATAGAACAAATATATGGGGACAAGCATCACCAAGTTCAAAAGAGCAAAGATGATAAAGACCCAATATGAAACAGCATTAATGAGGTACGGAACAATCTCATTGATTATTCCACCCGCCAAAGAAAATGCCACTGTAGCTGCCGCAGTCCCTTTCGCTCGACTGACTAGCGGGAAAATTTCTGTTGGATAAACCCAGCTATGAAATGCTTGATTAGTGATACCTCTTTCTAGAATTGCGTTGAACTTACCAAGTCGTAAGCCAGGTGCTTCCATATATGAAAGAGTACAGATAAAGCACAGCTGCAACGCCGGCGCCACATCGTGAGGATAAGTCGGGGTCCGTGTCAGCCTTGGAAATTACTTCATGGGCCAAGATCCCGCCTGCAATCAACACCACAAACATGGAAGAGGACCCTATCAACATCAGCCGACGACGACCCAGTCGGTCGCAAAGATAGATCGCTAGCGCCAAGCTAGCCGTGTAACCAAAGAAGTTGCCTCCAGCCAGTAAAGCAGGCTTATCACCCGTGTAGCCGGCCAAGGAAAACATTTCCGGCGCATAGGTAGAGATAAAGTCAATGCCAGTAAACTTCTGCATAATTTGAACACCTGCACCTAGCATGATCCGGCGTCGCGTATGCAGTTTATCGCGAGTGGTGAATGTTTTCCACATCGAAGGTGGGGGCTCATTGGCTTCGAGGCGAATCGCTGCAACGATCTCTGCCAACTCGCGCTCGATCTCTGTTTCCACTGTGTGTCTGCGTGTCCTTGTCATTATATCCCGTGCTTCTGAGACTCGACCTATTCTGACTAAATGACGAGGCGACTCGGGGTAGAACGGGGTTGCGAAGAGGATGAAGAACAGGAAAATGAGTTGTAAGGCGAGGGGAAAGCGCCATGCGAATGCAAGACTTTGCGTCTTGAGACATGCATATTCTGTCCAATACACACTTTATGCCAGTTAGAATAGCTCCGAGTTGTCAACTGCTGTACGCCGGTTAAGCGTCGGCAAACTCACATAGTACCTCCTGTAAGAGCCAAAGTAAACTGCACAGCGACAAATGCACCGCGATCACGAGAGTCGGCTAACTCCGATGTCCAAATTGGCACAATGGTATTCAAATGTCCACACCCAACACCTCCAATGATACGTGCGAAGGCCATCCAAGTAAAGTTCTGCGCAGATGCCTGAAGCGCACAACCAACAATAGCCCAAATACAACCGAGTTGTATGCACTTCAGCCGACCGATTTCATCTGCAAGGCAACCGACAAGAATTGCACCTAGAATCAAAACACAACAGATTCAGAAAACTGGCCATATCATTATGTCCTCTATTGCAGTTCATACCTATGCCAAACCCCCCGAACCAAAGACTGACCAATCTTCCTACCGCAGCAGAATCGCGTGCCGAGCCCGAGTCGGTCCCCATATATCGCAAGTAGTTGGCATTTGTATCGACTTGGCTCATGCATGAGGAGTCGTAACCAAAGAACATGATCGAGGTGCCGGCGAGAAGCAAAATGGCATTTATCATGGGTCGGCCACGAAGCTTCATGCATCGAGAAGGGGAGTATCCACCTGGGATTAGTTTTGCCCATGACGCTTCCTCTGTGAAGTAAATTATTAGCAGAGGAAACTCTTAGCGTTATTACAGTCCATACCACGGCAAACCTGGGGCTCAAGGCCTTCAACGTGGTCGACTTGAGACTTCTCCATGCTGTATGTACTTCTGCAGTGCTATGCGCTTCTGAGCACCTTGTAGTCTTCTGAAAATTTCTCACAAAGCTTTCAGATTTGGTGAGCTGAGTCCAAGCGGAGCGTGTAAAGAGCAACATGCGGGGGATTGAAGTGAGAAACCCTGGTTACATCCATGCTGATCAGTCCAATCCGGGGTAAATTCGTGACGATTCATTAGTAGCATTGATTGATTACAAGCACCAAGGTGTGGATCCGGTGAGAAAGCCGTAAGCTTATTTTTGCGCTGGTCACTTCAGAAATCCGGGGTTTTACCGAGCCTTCGGGGTGAATCCACCCGAGGACGTCATCCTGCAGGCAGAAAATGTTAATGAACCGTCGCACATAGTAATGTCTAAGCTTACAGAGAGATGATTTGCCCGCCTGGATAGCTAAGCATATATGGCGACAATGTTCTGTTGATTTGGAGTAACCCCAGTGACAGCAGCAGTGGCAGCTATAATGGAAACCCTCGGCGACTGCTATATCTCCAGCACCCTGTCGAACAAAGGTGGCCAAAGCCGGCAAGGCCCTAATACAGAGACACTAAAGATTAACCGCATTTTATCTGGCGTGCGACACTGGGAATAGGTGTCATGGCTCCCGCTCTCGCCCTTGTGCACGGTCAAGTTTGACTCCTATCGCCGGTTAGGGATGGCTCTTTGGTGTCAGGAGAGGATCCAAGCGATCGGTCTGGTCCCTCTCAATCAAAGGGCCCCAGCGGACATCTACCATGTCAATGTAATGCTCTGAAATCTCTCTGGCGAAGTTTTTAGATCCGGGTGAGGTGGAGGAAGTAGATGAGAGATTACAAAAGGGGTGGGAGGAGCGTGAGCTCAAAGATTAGGATCGTTCCCACTCAGCTTCATCAATTTACCTATCTCTAGCATTGCTCATCTGCTCTCAGCCAAATTCAGCCTTTTCATATCCTGGCCTTGTACATGAAATGCCGACTGCCTAGTCAGGTGATGATATTGAAAGCTGATCACTGTAACCCACGGTTAGTGTCTGAAGCTTTCTGCCCTATCTGTGTAGCTTCTGATGCACTCATTTGGAAGTGTAAGTGTCAAGGAAATTTCTATCTCACTCAAGTAACCCGCCTCGGACCTGAGTGTTTGATAACACGATTGCCGAGTCTGATGGCATTCCCCATCCCGAGATCGGATCGAAACCGCCATAACACCCCGCACTCTAGCTTCTGCAATGAACAACCACCATGACGCCGATCTCTTCAGCCAAGCTTCGAACTCGGACTGGCTGCCTACAATGTGAGCTTTCAAGAAATGCAATCAGCTCTATCGATGCTAAAAATCTCATGCAGGTCGGAAGCGCCGCAAGAAGTGCAACGAAGCACGGCCCCAATGTGCGGGGTGCAACCGCAATCGGCTCCAATGTGTTTGGCCATTTGATAAGCAACGAAAAGATGGACGGACACGACGACTATCATCGGGGGTGGAATCGACCTCAAATAAAAGTGAAGACGGACTGTCGCCGGTCGACTCGCCGACTCTACGTAATGGACTCCACCCGCCAGTCCAGATGCCATCACCGTTCCAGCTCGAGGAGCATTGTTATCTGTACCGGTATTTTGGCTCTGTTGTTTTGCCACAGATGGTGCGACGGAACTCACTTGCCAGATATGCGGATCAGTCATATATGTTGCGACTTGCTCTCGAATTTCCTCCACTTATGGGCGTGTTGATCTCGATCGCTGGAATGAAGCTAGCTTCTTTCAATGGCGGATCAATATACTGCGCAGTTCAAAGCTATACACAGTCATTGAATGGATTACGGAGGGCTCTTAGTCGAACGACTGACAGCGGATCAAACGATGCCCTCCTTGCTACTGTTATCACTCTTTCTGTGTTTGAGGTACGGAGGGAAAAGAATATCTGCTTTTCTGACCATCGATCATGATAGGAGATACAGTGCTGATCGTTAGCCAGAGCTCTCGCTTAGATACAACGCTCAAAGTAGCGCCCCATGTTATGGCATCAGGGGTCATGCTCAAACAACGGCGCGCTCGATGGGTAAATTGCCCGCAAGCGAGCGCAGTATTTGACAGAATTTGCGTTGAGTCATTTGTCTACCACGCATCATTGATGATGCTTTTCGATCCATCCCTTGACTCGCTTTCGCAGCCCGATCTACGCATCGAATTATCAAATTATTTTTCGGATCCGGTGCATGGTGCCCAACAAGAGCAGGGGCATGCGGTCGGGAGTCAGCCAATTCTTCATACCTCATATGAATTCTTTTTATTGATTGCCGATGCTACGAAGCTTTCTCGCCTCTTGCGGCCGTTAACAGAAGCGGAAATTCATACATGGAAGCACCTAAAACAACAACTTTTGCAATGGACTCAGGTAATGCAGAAGAGTGACGATATTTCAGCTGATTTATATGTCCTTGTTCTTTGGATTCTGCTCTTCAAGGCACATCCATATTTACCACCAGATGAGATCGATTGGAAAATCGGTAAATGTGTCACCAGAAGTATTGCATTGCTACCTCTGGTCGATCGAAATCATTACTTTACGAGCTCTCTTGTTTGGCCATTGGCTATCTTAGGCTCGGCTGCTATCCTGCCGTGTGAGAGGGTAGCTGTGCAAAACTTTATGTCTCTTCTAGTCACATCGTCATTGGGAGGACAAGCAGCATGGATTCTTAGGAGGTTAGAATGTATTTGGTCTTCTCTTCCTGAATCGGGGCTTATTCCTTCTCTTCAAAAGAAGTCTCTGGGGCTCCAAGCACTTCTTGATGGTCGCAATGAAATCGCCGGACTAGAATAGAGCGGAAAGAATCTAGAAGCCTCATATTCTCAAATATACTATAATGAGCCTCGGCGGGGCTGATATGGACCAGCTGGACACTCCCAAGAAATGATAGCAGAATGTGCAAAACATTCAAATTAGCCTAGCAAGTATCTAGCATGCTAGCAAGAGCTGATTTCTCATCATCGGTAATGGTCAGCTTATAGACCGATTTAACCTTAACCCACATCTCCGCATAAGTGCAATAGTAAGAGGCTAGCAAATCGTTAGCTCATATCCAATCCCAAGAAAGTGCAGTAACTTACTAAGAGGGGGCTTCCACTCCTCCGGCCCTCTATCGCCCTTAGCAGAATTAACATTATCTGTCACAGCCAGTAATTGCGGATGGGTAAGATCATTAGCAAACGCTTGCCGGTCAGCGGTCGACCACTCAGATGCACCAGACTACAGACCAACAGTTAGCGAAGGTATCTAGCATATGCAGAAGAAAGGGTACACTTACCTTCCACGCATTAGCCAGCGGTACAAGGTGATCGATATCAACATCGCTCGCCTGAGTCCATGTCGCTCCGTCATATGGGGAGTACCATGTTCCACTAGTGGCAGCGCAGCTGGAACTCTGTACTACGCTCGATCCATCTCGCTTTAAGACTACCTCACGGGTATCACAGGTTCTGCAGCATGTTAGATGAAATCACTAGATAGTAAACCAAGCAGATCATACCCGCTTTGAGTAATCCAGTGGGGGAACTTGTCCCTAGAATAGCCATCTTCGGAGCCCTGTGCCGCAACTGTCAACCCGGATAGTTCATTCTGAGCTGTGGAAGCTGTTGGAATGCCTGGGGGCGTTGGAGCAGGAAGCGCCGCGATAAGTGCAGGGCTTAGCAGTATAATGCCCACATAACCAGCCAGAAGCCAACTGCGCATCATGTTTGCGTCTCTTTGTGATCGGGTCGATCCTGACTGACTAGTGGCCGAGGGGGTGGAGATGCGATAGCCACGGAAAGGAATGCGGGAAGACCGTCCACAGAGCTCGGTGGAGGGGATTTGGCTGCCTTATCAAGGGAAATACTCTTTTATTGTTTATTCACTGAGGTCCTAGTTCGTACTGGTAGATGATATTTGGGTTTACATGCACTGTAACATCAACTCCGCCCATGTCTTGGCTATGTCCTTGGCGTTGCACGTTGAGCACATCTCGTCTCACCATTGGGCAAATACACAGTCTTTGATAACCGCAATCGAGCCGCTGAAATTGCAAGGGCTACGTGAGCTGAATGAGCATTCCCAGTGGGCCAAGGGGTTGCGCCAAGCGCGCTGAAGAAAGAAAATGCAGGGATGGGAGCGCAATACAGCTCGTAACTGCTATTTCAGGGTCTTGCACGTGGGAAAGGGATCTGTGGTCTTAAAAACAAATTGTTGGAGACATTCACATCTAATGAATTCATATGTGTATCGCTCTAAGCATAATGTATGTATTTACAGCAGTCCCCGGGCGAATTGGAGTGGGACCGAGACCGGAACACCCAATTTCTTTGCTGCCGTCAACACCCATTCGGGCTCCCGAAGGAACTGGCGAGCCATGAGAACTGCATCAGCCTTAGGCTCTGGGCCAGACAGCATTTCCTCAGTAGCCACCGCTTCGTCCGCGCCTTGCACGATCTGACGAGCTGCCTCGGCCTCCGTGATAAGACCGACTGCACCGACCAGGGTCTTTTGGCCCGCCTTGTGGATCACTTTGCGTAACTGACCCGCAAGATCAATCTGATAGTTGGTGTGGGGCTGGAGCTTTTGATCCATGTGGTTACCACCCGAACTGACATCCAAAAGGTCAACGCCGAATTCCGGCAACAGTGTCACCAATTGGCTGGATGCAGACATGTCCCAGCTGCCGGTCTCTGCTGCGACCGGTTGCTCTTCCAACCATTCGGTAGCACTGATGCGAAGGAAGAGGGGAGTTCCAGCAGGGATGGCAGCACGGACTGCAGTGCAGACCTCCCGTACAATTCGGATGCGGTTCTCAAAGCTTCCGCCGTACTTATCAGTGCGACGGTTCGTGACCGGACTCATAAATTGGTTCAGTAGGTATCCATGAGCACCGTGGATCTCAATCATATCTACACCGGCTTCAATGGCCAGTTTGGCACTGCGAACGAAGGCCTGCACAACCTCTTCAACCTCAGTTGTGCTAAGTTCTCGGGGAGCCCAATACTTGACATCTCCTGGGGCCCAAATGTGCTCATCACCTCCAGAGGGGCCGACTACATTCGTCGGCCAGCCTCCGACGGATTCATCAGCTTTGATGCTGCTTCTCTTGCCCTCGGATGACAACCAGGGTGCGACAGTGCTTGCCTTTCGACCGGCATGAGCCAACTGAATTCCAATCTTGGCTCCTTGACTATGAGCAAAATTCACAACGCGTTGCAATCCTTTGAATTGCTCGGACTCTGTTCCTTCTTGCCAGAGACCGAGATCATTGGGAGAAATTCTGCCATTCGGCTGAACAGCAGTTGCTTCGATGATCACAAGGCCGGCTCCTTTAGTGGCTAGATGACCGAGATGTGCGATGTGATAATCAGTAGGGGCTCCAACTGCCGGGGAAGAAGGGTTTGGGTTGGCCGAGTACATGCACATAGGTGCGACCATCACTCTGTTCTTGAAAGTGACATCCCGAATCCGCAGCGGCCGGAACAAAGTTGGGGTGCTGGGGTCATGAGGGTTCAAAGCGGCGCCGCCATTGTTGGCTGGAGTGAAATAAGGAAGACCCGGGGCCTGCAGTACCCGAGGCGATTTGAACGCGATAGATCCCATGGTCGGCGAATGTCAATTGAAAGCAAGAAAGGCAATTGAGGGGTATTCCGATGTTGACAGGATTTCACGCTAACAACTTATACTCCAGAAACCTTGGGAATTGGGGAATTGGGGAATGGAATTGGGGTATTTCCAGGGGGGTTTTCCTTGGGCTGACAAATCCAAATATACACTTCGGTTCGGCACTTCGCAACATCAGATGTGGCAAATGGAGTGTTAGTGGGGCATCGTATCCGCAGAAACCGGTTAATAATCAATCAGCGCCGTATTCCTACACACGATCACGTCAAACACCATCAACGAAAGGAATCAGTCTCAATCTCAACATTCCACAGGCCAAGGAGCTTATCAGCAAGTCGCCGCATTGTGCCATTGTTTGTGGCCACCCAGAAAGCATGGACTTGGCTCATAAGCAAGTCCCGGTCGGGTTGGTGTTCTAAATGCATGCCAATTATAAGCAGTGGCCAGCAGTAATATTCTGCGAAGTAATCCTGCTTGGGCTGCAATTGTCGTACCGCTGCAATTCCCTCTTGCAACAGTTGTTCCAGGTCGGGCTCTGAGCCAGCACATACGGAAGACATGCGATGGAGTAAAATTCGACAACCAAGTATATATAGTGCTGGGCCTAGAGGCGCAAGGTGGAATGGGCTCTCAAACTTTGAGATGGTGAGGTCAATGGAACCGTTTGGGCTCATTGCATCGTTTTGATGGTCTAGTAGATTGTCAACTGTAGATGCGGTGATTTGATGATCCCATTGAATGAGGTCTTGACCAAGATCCTGGCACGTCTGTAAATCCACAGAGCTCCATTGCGATGTTTGGTACAGGCGCCATACCATATAAATACAGCGGAACAGCTTCGGCGGGAACCCGAGCACTGGAGAATCTGAGTGAGAGGAGTCGTTGGACAGGAAGTGTGGATAGATGGCTTCCTCGGCCTGCCTAAAAGCTGCCTCGATTTCCATTTGGTGCATATGATCATCCTGAAAAGGAAGGCTAGTAGCAACATGGAATATGAAGGACTCCCGAACGAGGCGATGCATCGACTGCTGTATGCCAGAGGGTTCTAAGTCCCTGGAATAATTTTGGGAGCAAAGTCGAATCAATCTTGCAGCCCCTGCAAGGTGGACCTCTACACCAGAGGATCTATGCACCTGAGATCGCTAAACATCACATGTTAGAGAGCTCTCTTCAAAATTGAAGCCATAAGAACTCACCTCATATATGCATAGCATCATTACAGTAAGCATCGTAACCACCCACTGTGTTTGAACATTCCCGTCATTGAGGTTTCTTCGGAGTGCGGCAACCGCGTGAGTGTAGTGGAAACGTGCTAATTCCCGAACCGTTGGGTCATGGGTGGGAATCTCAGCTCCACAGCAAGCTAGCAATGCATGCATGCAAAATGGTTGTTGCAGTGCTAGAGCCAAAGTGTGTCTGCTCAATACATCTATCACTCGACTGTCCGCGGCTGGTCGAATCAGTTCAGGGAGAAACTTCCATTTCAAAAAATGGAAGAGATGGCGACTTTCTGGGGTGATAGCGGATGAGTATGTGCATGGAGGGACTGATTTCAGAGTCAAATATTCAATGTCTGAAGGTCCACTAAGAGATATCAGGTCCTTTTTGTGGCGAAATTTCTGTTGCCAAAGCTGGGATGCTCCAACGGCTTTCGCAGCCTGCTTCGGTGAGCTCGCTGTTGTCGAAGAGAATGGCACTTGGTCCAGCGCCCCCTTGATTATTTCACTGACCGAAGCAAATTTTTGATCTTTAGGAACTGAGACTTCTAGCTGAGACTCAGATATTTTCCAAACACAGTTCATATTTTGCTTTTTGCAATTCAAGCATTGCAAGCGGGTTTCGTCGCATTTCTTCTTCCGCCTTCGACCTGTAAAACCGTAAGCTTTCATGAATGATTGAAGATTGAAAGTGACCATTGGGATTTGTATTGCTACAATGGGTGATTCGTTGAAGGCTGACTTACATGTTAAGCATCCGGTCTTGGTGCGCAAGTGAGCCGGTCGACGCCGAGGTCGGCGGTAAGTCTTGGACGGTCTTGGATCCAGCGATAGGCCCTCGGAAGCCCCCATGATAATTTAAATCTAAGTGTCTCGGGACTAACATTACACCCTGCCTGAGTCCATAGTGGGGGTCGCCTGGTGCCCTCAAGTGCCAAATAATGGGGGGGGTTTGAAAGGGGGAGAATGGTGGAGCAACGGGATTTCCCGGGACCCACACTATGCATGTTGACATGTAGTATAGAAAGGTCTATACTCAACTAGCGAGAGTAATTCTCTTACTTTGGGTAGTGAAAAGTCGACTGTCTTTCACGTGCAGAGCTTACACAAGATGCGGAGATGTATTCGCAATTGACCATCTGTATACCTAGTTTAATATTGATTTTGCACATATGCGACCGGTCGCACCCGCTCATGGTGTCTGTCCCGAGCCAAAACCTAGTCTGATCACTTCTGCCACTTAATTAGAATAGAATATAATCTGTGCGTTCTGATTCGCTGACTGTTCATGATCCGCACAAGATAGTGTAGATGCTTTCTCGAAGTTGGACTTGGCTTTATGTTGGATTTTGTTATCTTAAAGTCCCGTGTTTTCGATTTACAGAAAGTTTTGACGTGGGAACCGAATGCCGTGTTTGGAGGCACGTTGTTCTAGATTCTACGGTTACTGCGTAGAATGAATCATGATAGTCGCTCGGTTAGGATGGGATTCAGCTCGGCGGGGTCACTGTTTTAGTGCCCAACTTTTGCAGCATCGTACATAACATTGAAATTATGTAGCTCCCATTCCTCACTTGCATGAAAACTCATTTGTTGAGACTCTGTGTTTTTATCGGAAAAGTATCAGCGCGCGGGGCATTTTGTCTGATTATTGCAGAAAGAGCAAGGCAATGCCGCTCAAGGACCGCGTTTCAAGATGGAAAGGCCGTATACGCGGTACGGAGAAGCCTACCGGTCAGCTAGAACAGAATCTCGCAAGCGACAGCGAAATAATCTCATCACAAACGTCTTCCAATGGCCCCCAAATCACCTCAAATGACTCTCATACAAGCTTTCAGTCGCCGATATTAGGAAAAGGCCAGCGCAACCTGTGGCATGAGGCCTTTGATAAATTACCTCAGAACTCCAAACAAGAACTTGAAAGCCGAGGGATGAACCAGAAAACTGCAGCTACAATTGAAGAATTCCGAAAGGAAGCAGAAAAGGTGCGAGACAAAAGTCAAGAAAGGGAATGGAAGGTTCAGATAGGAAGCCATGAGCTCCCAATTAGACAAACGGCTGTTCAGATCCTGGATTGGGCCAACAAGATCGGAGATATTGCCATCCAGTTTGCGCCGTCACCCGGCGCCGGTGTCTGGGCTATCGCGAAGTTTCTCCTCGGCGTTAGTAAGGTCTCATCGGGGCAAAGAATTACGCTGAAATGGTGGGATTATAGGGACTCGATACCTTCGATACCGAAAAGTCCGCTCTCCTTTCTGTTGTTGAGAAGGTGGCGGAGGCCATCTTCTGCGGCGAGCTTTACTACAAAATATACACACTCGAGCGTACTGGAAGAGCGGACGTCGTAACCAAGCTTCACGACACGCTGGTGGACCTATACAGCTGCGTATTGGGACTTTTGGTCAAATCATTGGATCTTTCGTCAAACACTGCGGTGCAATTTTGCCGAGCTATTTTTGATCCCAGTAAGCCGTCTGAAATGCTGACGAGTTTGGAAGCGAAAGAAAAAGCTCTCCGGGTGGCCGCGGAAAGGTGCGAGATCACAGCCGACGCTCTCTCAGATGAAACTTTGAAGGTATATCTTCAGGCAGCTCAGAGCTCACTGGATCAGGTCATTCAGTGGGTCAATGAAGAGGAACGCCGAGAACTGCTCGAATGGGTCTCTAATGTCCCGTATGGTCTACATCATGAGGAGATCGAAGACCGCCGAAGCCTCGATACAGGTGACTGGCTTCTTCAGCATGAAAAGTTTCGGACATGGATGGATTCATCTTCATCTAGTATCTTATGGCTTCAAGGATCCCGTGTGTTCTCTCCACTTCAATACATAATAGGGTCCAACAATTGCTGATCAATTTATAGCCGGCACAGGAAAGACTTTTTTGACGTCAGGCGTGGTGAGAAATGCCATACACAATGTAGGGTCCCAGATGCACGGGCTGGCTTTTTTCTTCTGCAACCACGCCGAAAAAGATCGGCGTGAAGCCCTCCCGGTGCTTCGAAGCTTGGTTCGTCAGCTTGCTGCACCGAAGAGCAACACCCATGCCGCCAGAAGAGGCCTTCGAGAAGCACGAAAACGAGCTACCGACAAAGGATCAGGTCTCGGTCTCTCAGAGTGCCGTCATCAGCTCTTGGACTCATTCAACTCGTATCTAGAAACTATCGTTATTCTTGATGCACTGGACGAGATGGTGAACGAAGAACTTGTTTTATTGATCAAGGAGATCAATAATATTATATCAGACACTCGAGATAGAACCAATGTTAAGATATTTGTCTCCAGTCGGCCTGATGAAGAGGTCGAAGTGGCCTTTAACTCGGGCCCAACTGTCACCATCCAAGCCACCGATAACAGAAACGACATTGAGAAGTTTGTGACCAATGAGTTGGACAAATTTGGAAGAACACATCCAAAATCTGTCGTCAATTTGAGAAAGGAGAAGATCACTGAAGACATCCTTGATAAATGTGACAATATGTGAGCGAATACAAGCCCAGCAAGAAGAGTCGAATACTAATGTGGAATGAGGTTCTTGTGGGCTGCTCTCCAAGTCAAGGAAATATTGAAATGTAAAATGCTTGAATCGCTTGATCGTGCACTCGAACAGCTTCCGAAAGATTTGAGCGAATCGTACGATCGCATCAATCGAAAGATTCAGAGTCGTCCTGTCCCCGAGATGGAGATAGCTCACCGCACGATTCAGTGGGTCATGACTGCACCTCACCCGCTCACCAGCGAAGAGCTCCTCTCTGCCGTTCGCATACAGATTGAAAATGATGCCATCACGCTGAAAGATTTTATTGAGCAAGACGTTTTGCTATCCATCTGTGAAAATCTTCTAATCGTTGATTCCAATGGTCAATGGAGATTTTTTCACCTTTCTGTCCGCGAGTATCTTCAGAAGATCCCTGATTTCAACCAACAAGAACGTCACCGTTGTGCTCAAGTCTGCTTTCTATCTCTGATGAGGACCTTTGGCAATACGACAACTGATTTCTTGCCAGACAAAATCGATTCAAACCCGTCTTCCGAGCACTTCATGGATCCGTTCAATGTCACCAATGCATTTTCTCGGCATATTCAGATATGCTGGCCATTCTACGCTTCTGAATTGACTGAGAATGATGTGCCGTTCGTTTCTCTGGAAAGGTTTCTTGGATCAGCCGACAGGAGCAGCCCCTTCTTTTTACGATGGTTTGATTACATCTTTGAGGATCAAGAATTCGTTATCTTCCGATCCTTGAAAGTTCTGTATATGACCAGATCTGAAATTGCACCCTGTGGGACACCGATTTTCGCTATAACATACTTCTCGTTGTGCGAAATCTTCTCTAAATTTTACGAAAACTGTGTTCTCGACCCTCTCCAATTTAACAACAAGGGAGAGAATTTGTTTTACATAGCTGCCAGGAGTGCCTGCATGCCAATTTTGAGAACCCTCGTATCGAATAATGTTGCCATCGAAAAGGTTCTCCTCGACAAAGCTTATTCTATGGCAGCTAGCGCTGCTTCCAGATCTGAAAGCTTAAATGCACTCGAATATCTCGTTGAGCAAGGAGCAGATGTGAACCTTCCGCTTCAAGCAGGAGATCATGGCAGTGCACTTGCTGCTGCTGCTTACTGGGCAACCGATAACCTGGATACAGTGAGATATCTTATTGAGCAGGGAGCAGATGTGAACCTTCCGCTTCAAGCTGGATATTATGGCAGTGCACTTGCTGCTGCTTCCAGGGCATCCGACAACCTGGATACAGTGAGATATCTCGTGGACCAGGGTGCAGATGTGAACCTTCCGCTTCAAGCTGGATATTCTGGTAGTGCACTTGCTGCTGCTTCCAGGGCATCCGACAACCTGGATACAGCGAGATATCTCGTGGAGCACGGAGCAGATGTGAACCTTCCGCTTCAAGTTGGAGACTACGGTAGTGCACTTGCTGCTGCTTCCTGGACATCCGATAACCTAGATGTAGTGAGATATCTTGTGGAGCAAGGCGCTGATGTAAATCTTCCGCTTCAAGTTGGAGGTTTTGGCAGTGCGCTTGCTGCTGCTTCCTGGGTATCGAAAAACCTAGATACAGTGAGATATCTTATTGATCAGGGAGCAGATGTGAATCTTCCGCTTCAAGCTGGAGATCATGGCAGTGCACTTGCTGCTGCTTCCTGGGTATCGAACAACCTGGATACAGTGAGATATCTTGTTGAGCACGGGGCAGATGTGAACCTTCCGCTTCAGTTTGGAGACTGTGGCAGTGCACTTGCTGCTGCTTCCAGGGCATCCGACAACCTGGATACAGTGAGATATCTCGTGGACCAGGGTGCAGATGTGAACCTTCCGCTTCAAGCTGGGCACTATGGTAGTGCACTTGCTGCTGCTTCCAGGGCATCCGACAACCTGGATACAGCGAGATATCTCGTGGAGCACGGAGCAGATGTGAACCTTCCGCTTCAAGTTGGAGACTACGGCAGTGCACTTGCTGCTGCTTCCTGGACATTCGATAACCTAGATATAGTGAGATATCTTGTGGAGCAAGGCGCTGATGTGAACCTTCCGCTTCAAGTTGGAGGTTTTGGCAGTGCGCTTGCTGCTGCTTCCTGGGTATCGAAAAACCTAGATACAGTGAGATATCTTATTGAGCAGGGAGCAGATGTGAACCTTCCGCTTCAAGCTGGAGACTATGGTAGTACACTTGCTGCTGCTTCCTGGGCATCCGACAACCTGGATACAGTGAGATATCTTGTTGAGCAGGGTGCAGATGTCAACCTTCCGCTTCAAGTTGGAGACTACGGCAGTGCACTTGCTGCTGCTTCCTGGGTATCGAAAAACCTGGATACAGTGAGATATCTTGTTGAGCATGGAGCAGATGTGAACCTTCCGCTTCAAGCTGGAGATTATGGTAGTGCACTTGCTGCTGCTTCCAGGGTATCGAACAACCTGGATACAGTGAGATATCTCGTGGACCAGGGTGCAGATGTGAACCTTCCGCTTCAAGCTGGGGATTATGGTAGTGCACTTGCTGCTGCTTCCAGGGCATCCGACAACCTGGATACAGTGAGATACCTCGTGGACCAGGGTGCAGATGTGAACCTTGCGCTTCAAGCTGGGCACTATGGCAGCGCACTTGCTGCTGCTTCCTGGGCATTTGACAACCTGGATACAGTGAGATATCTAGTGGAACAAGGAGCAGATGTGACGCTTCAAGTTGGAGGTTTTGGCAGTGCACTTGCTGCTGCTGCCTGCAGTTCCAAAAACCTGGATACAGTGAGATATCTCGTGGAACAAGGAGCAGATGTTAATTCTCTGCTTCAAGCTGGGCACTATGGCAGCGCACTTGCTGCTGCTTCCTGGGCATTTGACAACCTGGATACAGTGAGATATCTCGTGCAACAAGGAGCAGATGTGAATCTTCCGCTTCAAGTTGGTCAGTTTGGCAGTGCAATCAATGCCGCTCTATCCAAGAGCAATAGCGAGGTGGCAGAATACCTGCGCAGGGAACAAACAATAGCCCTGACAGAGGATTGAAAATGCAATGAAGATCCATTAAAATCTAAAGTAGAGCGTAGGTTTGAAGTGCTTGCAAGGCAGATAGTCAGAAATTAGGTACTCCAGTGAGTGGCAACTGTACCTAGTCATCGTCTCTCAATCCGACAGATTTTGTTGAACCTGTGAAGTATCCGTGCAAAGATATTCAGGTGGGATATCGATAGCTTTCTCTGTCAGATTCACTTGAGTGTATATGAGCGACCAGACGTTGGTCAAAATATGGTCAAGTATTGTGAGAAGTTATAAGATTTATTCATATGGATGTGTGAGTACATGTACCTGAGGTACTGTAGTATTTTGAGATCGACAAACACTTATTTGACCAGCAGTATCAGCATCTTCGGCAAGAAGCATACTTGAGGTTAATTCAAATCAGGGGCATTACAAAGGCTTAGTGATCTTGTAAGTAATAGGTTTCTACCTAGTGAAGAGGGGAACGCTCGAAGGCAGCACACTCGAGGTGTGCGGGTCGATTCAGCTTGACAACACAATAACACCAGCAAACGCAGGTTATACGAGAGATTCGTGGTCAGCACCAGTATGTGCACATAGACAGAGGTGTAGAAGCGTGTTGTTCAGTACTATCTCCAAGCTGCTAGATATACTACCCGTGCCCAGCATACCATTGTACTGAGAACCGGGCGTCATAATACAGGTCGGAAAAAACCTCTTCCGGTCTATCCTGTAATATCCTATAATATCCTGTAATATCAAGTAACAGGGGGTCCCCTACTACACTAGGTATCTATATTTTGTACTTCAGGTCATGCCAGGTGGCAGTCCACGACAAAACAACTAGTGGGCAACATCTTTAAGGGCATATGTATCAAAACCATTACTTCAATCTCGAATAAATTCACAGATAGGCGCGCGATCCCATGCTCCGCGTCCTTAGTGCCTTACCATGTTCAAGGGGAATATTCAGAGATAAAGCAGACAGACTGATCAACCAATCAGGAGGCCAAATCCTGTTCAATTTTCGAGTAGCCGTATGGATTGAAAGAGAATATCTTCGCGGTCTCGTACCTAGGTTGTATAAGATACTAGAACAAATACAACTGAGCGGTTGATAGCGAGCCCGCTCTGTCAAGGTTTGCCCTTCCAACGGGTAGGATTTGAAGGTTTATGCCGCTCCGTTCGCCTGAGCTCCACCACCAGAGACCATAATAACGATATGGTAGCCAAGGCTTAGGGCTATCTGTCTGTGTATATAAGCCACATTGCTCGTGAGGACCATGCAGAATGACTTTACAGCTGGCCAGCTAGACTTTGAAGTCATACAGTAACCCAGGGTGTATGGACTAGCTAATAGCGCTGGCAGCGGTCAAGCACGAGTTATCACATGAAATTATATTGTGAAGAGCGGCGGGGAATGAAGAAGAAGATCCATGACATGCGAAGTTTAAGTGCCAGATGGAAGGCACTAGTCCTAATCAGGACATCAACAAAGTGCAGACTGTCAAGCGTGGTTGGCCAGACCCATATTTTCATCCGTCATTTTCCAGGCTACCGCTGGAGGCCTACCTGAGAGCTGCCCTCCATTCTCTTTTGAGATAAAACGGTACAGGAAGTGAATGTTTGTCTATCTCGCATACCGAGCCTGCCAGCATCTCGACATTGCATTGGGGATTTTAAGCTGACGACTTAGGAGGATGCTGAGTAACTTGAACAGGAAATCACAGCCTTCAGTGCAGTAAGCTCACTCAATTGCACAACTTGCAATTGATGGTTTCAGCTTCCTGAAAAATATCACTACGTATGAGCCTTCGCCTATACTGAGTTTTTTGATGGTGGTGCTATGCTACCCTTTGGAACAGATGCGCCGACTATAAAACACTTGCCGCTTTCAAATACACCTTGACCTTGATTTGGAAACATCATTAATATTGCATTTGCTCTCCCATTGGCAACAGCCAACTTCACGGCTACATCCCGGGTCGTCTGCATTTCCTGCGCAATACCTTACCCTGTTAGCTGGAATATTTGTTCTACTGAATATTATACGACGTTTGAAAAAGCTATTGGAAGTGGGAGTATGGAGAATACGGTATAATCGTATAATGCCTTTTGTAGTAACTAGGTGAAAAGATATACGGCACAACTTCAGTCCGTGAGCTATGCGTTGAATTGTCATGACTTGACATGCAACCTGTAAGGTTCGATTTTCATCCAAGCTTTCTTAATACATACACGGTGCGCAATTTCACCATTACCAGTTGCTGTCACAGAATGTGCTTGTAATGCTTGGGTAAACAAGTCTCAGAATCTTCCATCTTTGCCCAATCCCAGCATTCTGACCACAGCACCTCGGATATTTCCGTCTCCGTTACAACCGCCGCAGGCGCCATCGCCTTTTGTCCATCAAAGTACCCTCGAGCGGAATGATACTTTGGATCCGTAGCCAGAGCAGTAAGGTCTCTTGCCGACTCTGTAGTCGATCGGAACCGATGAGTGAACAGCGCTAGTACAGGATGTAAGAATTTCATCATGGCGAACACCAGTCTGTTGATGAAGCGGCGGTGAATTTGATGTGCTCGGGAATCGACAACTGCACCCGGATCCATTGCGACGGCGGTTATTGGATTGGATAATTTGCCCTATTTCTTGTAAGCAAGGTTGCTTTGACGATCCCAAGCGACGGTCTTTTCATACATTTTGCAATCGTTGATTCAGACTATGCATGAACATCACATTGGCTAACTTGCTGTTCGCGTATCGCCGCCAGCCCATATCATGCTCTGTCCCCGGTGAGTCTGGGCCAGGTTTGATCAACTCTTCAAGGCTTCCGTCGGGGGGAGACTTGCTCCCATCCCTGATAGAGGATTATGATGTTGTGGATCATGAATCTCCGAGCTAAGCATGATGATCCGACCAGACTTTCGATTCATGCTGGGCAGAAGCTTCAGCACCAGTAGGTAATGCGCAAGGTGATTGACTTGGAATGTTGATTCATAATCATCTGTGGAAAACTGCTGACCACGTTCCAATGACCAGGTGAATGCGTTGCAAATGATGGCGGAGATTGCAGGGAGCTCTCCCGCTTTCACTTGGCCGGACATCCTATCCGCGAAGGATCGTACATCTTTGAGCGAGTTGAGGTCGACATTCTCGAGGATGAGTCTGCTCTCCGGGTACTGCCGCCTGATCGATTCCAAGCGGAGTAACTGGGGACTTTTCGGGCACTTGTTTGCATTTCGAACGGTGCCGACGACGGTCAAGTGCGGATGGGAGGAGAGAAGCTGCTGCACTGCTTCAATAGCCACCGAACCAGATGCACCGGTGATAATGACGGTACCCTCCATTTTACTTCTTAGGCGTAAGTGAGAAGGAAAATGAAGATTTTCAAAGGGTTTTAAAATGAGAAAAGGGGTTTATCGGTTTGCCGAAAGAAGTGTTGTAGAGGAACAAGCCGAGATACAAGGTCATTTGCCGAGACTGCCTTCAACGCGAGAACATCATTGAGACGCTGGAAATTTCTCCAGGAAGCCCTCTACAATAGATTCATTCTTGATATTAGCCAAAAAAAGTTGCTGGCTACTTATATAGACATGATTCCCTTAGAGAATGCAAGGATTGGCTTTGTGGGGGGGTTCGAGACCAGCTATCATCACGGTTTAGGATCTACATCATTTAGCCGATCCTTATGGTCGACTGCCGAGACGCAGTCTCGGCAGTCGGGAGTGGTGAATTGCGAATATCGATCCCTATCCTTTGGCGTAAGCGAAGATACGTTTATTCTGTTTTGGATTAGATGACTAGAAATACTGATAAGAGACTGGCTTCAAGTAATTGCGGATGACAGAAAATAAAGTCTCCAACAACCATACACATCCCAGCATAATACTATAACTGATTCCCAATCAACTATTCCATGGGTGTTTTTTGAATGCGAACAAACTGCCCAAGTGGATCATTCATCAAAGTTGTGGGCCGTGGGGAGCTGAATTTAGGAATTGCTAATGACCGTCACTTTCACCTTCTAGAGCATCCGGGATTCTCCAGTTCGGTCGGGATTTACGGGTCATTGCAAATATCTTCTCAATCCGTAGCCTGGAGACCTAGTGGCATTGCAAAGTTGATCATGATGGTCATAATCCCATCAGGTCTTAATAATATTCATTATAAACAATTGAATTCGAAAAATACCCACCGTATCCCGTCTTGCCGCATTCGACACATATATCCCATCAACTATCATGCAAGCAGTCGCACACTACTCAAGGTAATTCCTTCAACAGCGTCGACCTCTTCGTCCACCTCGGGGCCCCCCAAATCCACCTCCGGGGCCAAAGCCAGATCGGCGACCCCCAAATCCTGGACCAGGGCCCCAACCACCACCGGGAGGTCCACCCCATCCACCACCGTATCCGTAACCGCCTCCCATTCCTCCCATTCCCATTCCTCCACTGTGATAATGTCGTCGGGGTGGTGGACCGAATCCTCCACCCATTCCCATTCCCATAGGCATAGGTGCGAAGCGACGATGACGTGGGAAAGACATGCAAAGGCCCATGATGTAGGCCTCAGGTAGTATGGGTGGGTCTTAAAACGGGTGATGACTTGCAGTCGTAGAGTATGTGATTTTGGAAAATGCTCTGAAGTTGTAGCAAAGCAGTGGTAATTTGTTTTCTATCGAGATAGACTTGTGAGACTGTTTAAATGAAACTAGGTCTTGGACAGGAACATATATACTTGATCGGGTCGTCTGCGTCATTGATCGGGCTGGTCCCGCCGGATCCAGAGATGTGGAAGGAGAGGCATGGGTTCTCCTATTCCCTCGCCACATTCATTATTCAGGTTCAGGCAACCGACAAGTTGAGGAACCTGGAAATCTTAATTTTGTTAATCCAAAGGTCTGAAAATTCGATTCTTTTTTGCGGTGATTGTGCGGGATTCGTGGTCAGGTTGACCCTGCTTCTCCCTCGCAACATCCCGACCAGGCAGTTTAACTTTAAGATACGTCCAAAAGGGAAATATCAAAAGGATGACTAACCAACTAATGATATCCTCACTACTTTTGATGTCTGGCTTCGCTCATGCTGCGACTTTTAAGGGAGTGGGGTGGGACGAATACCAATTGTCTGGATTTAGCACTTATGCTAGCATCCGCGAGAAAGCTGACGATACTGAGTAGGAACCTGACAGAACTTTTCTACAATCTCGTGCTACACGAGTGCTAATGGCCATGAAACAACTCTTTGTCTTTGAGATGCATTCCCGAAGACCTCTGAAACTTGTCGCATTCAAAGGGAATGTCAAAGCTCACTTTGGCGAACATGTCGAACAATGAAAATCGAAGAAATTCCAGTGATATTGGCATACAGTCCTATAAGCTCAATAATGGTATTTAAAGTCCACGGCACCGTCACCCGTATGGATACGTCGATTATCTTCCTTCTCTCCACTCTCGATCTGTGCCTTCAATTTGTTCTGGCGTCGAAGATATAGTCCATGACAAGCGACAACAATCTGTGAAACAACTATCGACCCCAAGGAGAATGAATTTCCGAGGACGTACGGAGAAGTCCGATATACTTGACCAGCAACAATACCTGCGCAGTTACCTATAGTCTGTTGTAATCCAATTGCCAGAGCACGTCTGTACTGAGGCGCCACATTGACGTTGAGCCACGCAAGGTTGAGGCCGACAGCAGTATATGTCGGGATTCCGATCAGGAAACATGCGAAGTATTTGACAGCGGTGTTACTGACTGTCAGGAGTAATATATACCCGACTATCCCGAAAATATTCACTGTAAATATAAACTATATTCAAGTCAGTATGAGCGATCCGCAGATTTGCCACGTGTAGAAGATGCACTTACAGATGCAAACTTGGAGTACCGATCGGCACACACAGCTATCGCAATGAAGATAGCGGCAGCCCAAATATAGACTGGTACAGTCAAAATATTGCTCATGAGAGAATCATAGCCCATGCTCTCCAGGATTGTTGGCAGGAAAGTACTGAACCCGTAGAGAAGAATATCCTGGCAGAACTGGACGATCGCAGAGAATAGCAGCTTTGGATCGGTCACGGCAATGCGCATTTCCTCCCAGCTGAACTCTTCACTGCCCATGTACTTTCTGCGTTGCTCATTGCGCACGCGCATCATCCAACGCTCTTCTTCGGTGAGGAAATATGCCTCTTCAGGGTTGTTTGGTAGCCCAAACCAAATTAGAATGGCGATGATGAAACTGAAGAGGCCTTCAATGATGTATACCCATCTGAAAATGAACAGAACTGTTAGTGAACTTATTCTCGTCAGTAGGGCAGCTCAAAAATTCATACCTCCATCCAGCCTTCCCACCAATTCCATCCATCTGGAGCAGCCCATATGCCAAAAGACCACCCACGGCACCAGAAATGGCGGCGCAGCTCATCAGATAAGAGACGCGCTTGGCCTGCTCCTCGCGTCGATAAACCATCGTCAAGTAAAGGTTCAAACAAGGGAACAAACCAGCCTCGCAGGCACCCAAAATGAGTCTGGTAGCGTACAACGAGCCGACACTTTCAATGAAGCCGGTGAAAGTTGTGGTAAGGGACCACACAATACACAATCCAGTCAGAATATTTCGCGGTGTAAGCTTCTTCATGAGCACTGCCCATGGAGACTCAAACACTACATAAGTCGCATAAAAGATTGACACGGCCGTTGAAAACTCGCTATCAGACGCATGAATGTCTGCAGGCATACCAGCAACCTTGACATTTCCTAAATGATAGTCAGTATCAAACCAAATAAAAAGCCGGGGTTTTAAATTTACCAATATTAGATCGATCCAGAAAGCAGGAAAGATACGTGAGCATGATGATTGGCACAAAGAAAAGATCCAACTTGAAAAGTAACTTTTTTTCCATTTTGGGGTCCAGCTCCACGTCGAGTGACTCTCCATTCGAAGCTTCATCAGTCACCATCATCTTCTCGTCGGCCTTTTTCACCACAGACTGGCTCTGTTCCAAGGCAGGGCCCTGGTCATTATGGTCGTGGACGGACATGAGAGCTCAATGCTCGGAGTCAAGCTCCAGGTATGAAATGACAAAGTTAATTAGAAGGTTATCAAAGTAGGTGGAATCGGAGATAATTGAAGAGATCAAGTCGGAGATATATCCTACAGATCCATAAGACCAAGTGTGAAAGGAAGGTATGCGAAGTCCAGCCATGCGAGATAGCAGTGGATATGAAGGCTTATCTCCCCTCTCTCCATTCGTTACATCGGTCTGCTCCACCGAGGAGGTACATCTCGGGCCGGCGAAAGCCTGATAAGAGGGGCAGGGGGAAACCTGAGCGCGAGCTTCGCCACTTACCCTGTGTGTTTTCTACTCTGCATATCCCTGCCCAAAAAGGCAGGCAGCAGCGTCTGTGCTGTTGATTGGTGCCACTGAACCTTGCTGGTGCGGAGCAAGGCCGAGCTTTCCCCAGATCGGGTTGTGGATCCCGATGATAAGGGAACCCACCTGCGGCCATTGACCGAAGGAAATAGATAAAGTATATCGCAACACTCACATCGTTGTTTTTGTTTGTGCTTAAGTTTCTATCGGTTCGAGTTCCCGTTATCAATATGGGCAGCATTGCGACGACATCTCTGGAGGCACGGTTACTATGTCGACAGAACCGTTTGACAAACACCTCTGGTGTAGCCCCAGGCTATCTGCAAGCAAACTTACTAGTCTTACCCGCGAAGCATGCATCTGACTTCCACAATCTATGTTTACGCAATCCAGTCGCATGTCCACTTCTAGGGATAAGCTCCAAGCCAGGCGATCCGCATACAATCAAACCACCGGCCTGCATCCAGTCCACCGATTTTGACGTTCGAACGGATTTTCCAAAATATAGGGTCTACAAGGATGGGAGATACCTAAGCGGTCACTGCGATATTCTCGATCTATGGAAGGAGGACCATGTCGCCTTTCTGATCGGGTGTTCATTCTCATTTGAAGATGCTTTGACCGCTGCAGGCCTTCAGCCTCGACATCAACAAACAGGTTCCATTGTGGCTATGTATAAGTCTAACATCCCGTTGCTACCAGCGGGCATCTTCACTGGTGGCCGCTGTATTGTTTCTATGCGTCCATATCGGCCCGAGCAGATTGACCGCGTTCGAGAAGTCACGCGTCCGTATCTTTCGACTCATGGCGAGCCTGTCGCTTGGGGCTGGGATGGTGCTAAAGGACTTGGTATTCTTGATGTTGACAGTCCGGACTTTGGTGATGCGCAGGTATTTGAGGATGGCGACGTGCCTGTCTTTTGGGTAAGAATCAATTTAAATCTCCACAAGTTCCCAATGTGCCTGGCTCATATCATCTTAGGCCTGCGGTGTGACTCCTCAGATGGCAGTGGAAGCTGCTGGAGATCGTATTGATGGACTTGTCTTTGCCCATGAGCCTGGTCACATGCTAGTGACTGATTGGACGGCTGCTGATCTATAAAAGCTTTAGTCTAGCCCTCCGTGACATAGCTTAATGTCCAAAGCTGATGCATGGTGACAAATGATAAAAATTTGAGGTAATGGTCGTCGGACAACTGTCCCCAGCTAGATATTATGACACTGAGAATCTCTACGAATTTATATAGATATTTTCATATGTAGCAGCCCCCATCAAAGCCCCGAAGAACGATCTCTTCAATTCGTATTCGACTTCATCTTGACTCTAAGAGATACAGCGTGCCAAAATAGGAGTTTGAAAATAACTTCATGACAGTGAAGTGAGGGAAATGTTTTCGAATCATGCTGTACTTCGCTGTATTGAACCTATGGTTGCTCTTATGACATGGCTCGAAGGTACATGGTCGTTACGAGGTACTTTTGTTCTCCAGGGAAGTAGGCCAAGACTGATAAATTGTCAAAAGGGGGTACTAGGTGATAAACATCGAGTATGATTTAAAACTCACATTTAGCGAATTTATCCTCTTTGCCGACTGAATCAAGATCGGTAATCTGGTTATTTAAAGCATCAATATTGAATTTTGACAAGTTTCGTGAGATCTTGAGATATAGCCAAGACCTCTCAACGGGGAACTTCATGAAGAAAGCTTGCAGCGAGAGTCGAGTAGAGCACTTTTCCTTATCATTCAAGTTTGAATTCTCGAGAGCTTTCTCAATTGTTGTTCTCAACACTACCATGAGACTGGCTTGGTACATATCGTTCCAAAGGCTTGTTCGACTCGCATCTGCGCATCAGAAAATCAATATAGCGAATATTGTTGAATGAAGTGACTGTCATACCCAACTTTAACAGTAAATAAATCTGAAAAGGGGCGCCTTCTGTTTCATCACTTTCTAAGATCTCTATTGCAAGCTTTATTGCAACTACTCGTGACAATTCCATCCGAGGAAATGCAATGCCAGGGGGCAGGTCGTAAGACGTGGAAGTAGTGGACCCGCCGAGAGCACGCACGATTCTTTCCAGATTTTTTAGATAGAGACGGCGCTCATTGAATGGATTGACCCAAAGGTTCTTCATGCCAGGTGTGTCGTCTTTGAGATAGTTTTCGATGCTAGTCTTGAGTGAGGTTTGTGAATGATACACGATTGAGGTGGTTGACTTCGCTTCTTCCAAAAGGATATTGTTGATAATTGTCACATGCTTCGGGGAGATCTTGAAGCATTCAAAGCAGAATTTGTCGTTCTTGTCAAAGGACTGGAAGGAGACAAAATGCGGTTGGACATATAGATTCTTGCATCTCTGAACTGGAAGGTCTTGTAGGACTGACCCTGCGTTTTCGGGGTAGAGATGTTGAGATCGAATAGCCGCTGCAAGAGAATTCCAAAGCATCCTTGGATTATTACTTTCCTGGTTTTGCTGATCTTGCTGGCATTGCGATTCGAGTAAATGGCTCCGTAGAACAATCATAAGCTTAGGGGATAGAGGGGCAAAATTGTGGTACTCGACGTATGTCACGCTCTCTGTCTGTCGAGTAAGATAGTTGATCCTTTCGGTTGACGGACCTTCAAATATAGAGTACGCATTTTGAGTAAGAAGAAACTCATCCGACGGAGACACAGGCTCGCAAAAAGCGATAAAGCTGAAGTCAATATGCAATCGCATCATCGAAGCATCGTCAGGATACACTGTAGTTTCAAGAACTTTTACCCAGCATCTCGCGGGATCCATCTCGAGATCCAGGAATTGTCCCAGGTTGTCGAACCACACATCACGGGGCTTTTTAAAGCTTCGCGATCTCATATACTCGGACATTTTTATCCGATCGTCTGCCTGATAGTCCTCAATGTGATCATAGTTGTAACGATCGTACATTCCTTTGTTTCTATATTTCATGAGAAACAGAAATTTGCGGAGGTTGTTGAGCTCAGTTCTTGAAAGTTGTAGAGTCAATCCTTGAGAAAATACGCTGTGCGCACGCATGATAATGTCACTCGCCTGGTTTTCAAGTTTTGAAAGCTTTTCCTCAAGATGGTAATGATTTTGGTCAAAACCGGGATCCCGATACATATCCACAAGTGCAAATTCCGTTGAGACAGGCCGTTGAGTTAAAATAGCCTTTTCAAGGTCGACCTTGTTCACGAGGAAATCCCGCCTTTTTGAAGGCTTCGCATTGCTATTCTTGGGATACTGCAGAAGTGGCCCTGCCGGTGGTTGGCCTTTCGGTTTGAAACTTCGAAGTATAAATCGAGGAATGAAGTGATGCCTTTGTTGTCGCGATTCCATTTTTAGTGTTGCGTTCTGTTGGCTTTGACTAAGTTGGTAAACATCAGGTTGGGCCATCAGGTTGTCATATACCCCGCTATCAGGTGATGAATTCAACAGGGGTACAAGCAGACCCTATACTATGCGTATTGATATGGAAGGTTCCAGCGAATGACACATCTACGAGACAATGTATTGCAATGTCAGTATAGTAAAACACCGTATAACCAGAACACGGCAAGCTTGATATCCCGAGAATTTAGATGAGTTTAGTTTGGTATCAGGGTCTTGAACAACCGAATAGTTTGAATACGCGCCCCAATTCCGGCACATACAGCGAATGGGCATCTGCACCTTTGCGCAACTTTGACAAAGGTAGCGGAGGGAGAAGATTGCTAACGTAACCAGACCAAGTCTCAAAAATTATGGCATCGACAAGATAGAGTATCCCAATTCATAGGAATAGCAATTGCAATGTATTTGTCTAGCCTTGACGAGTATTAATATAATGTACAAGTTTAGAAACAATCCTTCATCACACTAGACAGCTCTCCCCCATAGTCAAACATAAAAGCCCCATTCGGCATTTGCTGCCAAGGTCCTTCCTCTGGTATCGGCCCAGTTCCTACTCCCATAATTTGATCCTCAAGGTTTCCGACCGCTTCGAACCACTCCATAAGTTCTTGCGTCATCTGTGCTCCGTCCAAGGGTGTCTGGCTGTTAATGCTCGAGCCTGGTGGTGGAACTGGCGATTTGTCGGCATCCAGCATTCCAGGGGCATATTCTTTGTCATCGGTGGTATGATCTGGGCGGGATCTATGCCCTCCCAATCCTACTTGAGGGCCGAGCTTGCGCAGGCTGCGGATGGACTTCCATAATCTTCGTGAGATGTAGGATCGAGTAGAGAATCCCTTGACCAGCTCCAGTGCAAAATAGAACTCCTCCTTGCACGATCCGCTAAATTGTGTTGGTGCTTGGGAAACGGCAAGAAACAGTACAGCCAGGGCAGAGACCAAGAACCAGTTGAACGTCACCTGCTGTAGCTGATAGATATCCGACGTTTCATTGAGACGGGTGATGAAGCGGATGGTGTCCTTGGCGATTCTGACTACTGTCTCCGACTCGCTGGGGTATCGTACAATATGGCCCGCCGTATGTAGTACAGGGCGATGAATGAGCATTCGGAGTTGATTAGCGCGGAGGTATAACAATGCGCGGAGTCGTCGCAGACTTCGTGGGCCTTCAAAAGCGGGTCCTGAATCTGGAGTGCTGGGATGATCCAGTCGTAACGCATCCGGAATATTCTGAGCCCAACTTAGGACTTGCCAATCCAGATAGTTCATTTCCTCCTTCTTGATCTCATTGGTATTATTGAAAGCAGATATGAATTTCCATACCTTAGCGGCGATGCGGCTGTAGCGAATCATGACGCGCAAGTATGGTGTTTTCTCTTCAGGCTCTGGAAGCCAGGGGTCAATATCGGTATCTTCAAGGGCGAAGGGCATGCCTGTTCCAAAGCTCCATCGCATATCAAGGATATAGATAGACCAAAACAGCCGAAGCACCCGGTCCCTCCCCTCCGCCTCAATAGCTGGTTGATTCAATGTCTCGCGGCGATGGAGTCCTTTCTCTAGACACATGCGCTCGACGATTCCAATGGTACGCCAAGCAAGAGTCTCTTCGTCCCCTTGGAAGTAAAAAATGGACTATGAACATATTGGTCAGAGGAAAGTCTTTCTGGGGGGCTGAATGTACGTACCACCAGTGTCAAAAATATGATGCTCTTAATCTCGGGGGGCCCCAGACACAGTTGTCCTGCACCTCACGCACACTATCGAAAAGCGCAGTAGCCTGTTCACTACGACCACTAGCTTCAGCAGTTAAAGCACAGGCAAATACCAGTCGGAGGATGGAGATATCTTCCCGGTCTAGCGTGCCAGTAAAGTTTGTCGAATTCGTGGAGCGACTCATCAAACCATACAGTCGATGCACTTGATCCAATAGCTCCGATAGTTCCAAGACTGGGTACATCATGCCCATTTCCTCTTCATAAACCCGACAAAGTCGCAATGCTTCTTCCTTGGAAATATTCCAGAGGGGGTCCACCGCTTGTCGGACCTCCAATTCACGATTTGGGGCAGACGGTGACGCCAACGGTGATGGTTCCTGGGTAACATCGCCCTCGTCGCCCGCCTCGTTGCGCTCGACAATTCCACGCTGCTGCAGGCTGGACTTGGCAAGGTCGAAACTAAATGCTGAGGTAGTTGGGCCCTGGAATGGCGTCTCGCGAGCGGTCGAGACACGTCGTATGGATCTCTGAGCAGGTATGGGCCCGTACGACCCGGATGAATGTCCAACCACGCTGGGTCGAGCCCCACTAAGAGGAGACGCCTCGCTATGCGTCACTGAGCGAACGGCTGCAGATAGCGAGATAATTTGGTCCTGCATGGATCGCATTTGTTCAAACAGTCGGTCAAAATTTCTATATTTCAAACATCAGCTCCGAGTCGAATTTTATGCAATTGAGAGGTTTCGCAATTTGATTTGGGCGATTTGCGTACTCTTGGTCGCCAACACTTTCTTGGGGCGCGTTCTCCACGTAAACACATTCAATGCGCTGTCGCCCACATCGATGGCATGGCGTCTCACCATTGCATTTGATCTTGCGGCGCTTGCATTCATTACTGTTAGGCGGATATTAGAGATCATTTCACGAGCAAAGTAACAAAAGGAAGACATACCAAGCACGTGCAATGTACTTGCGGCGTTTCTTCCGTGGTCGATCATCTTGTCCCTCGTCTATTGACGCAGGTTTCTCCCAGTCATGCATAGAGTCCTGTAGGTGGTCCATCTCGGCAGTTTCAGTAGACCGAAGTACTTTTAACTATAGGGTCCGGGGTCGGAGGAGTGTAATGAGAAAGAGAAAGTGCGGGGGTTGGTTCCGCGACGAAAGGAGGCGCCCCCAGATTGGTGGGGAAGGATCCACACATCCACCCAATGGCAGCCACGAGTTTGGTCATAGGATCGACTTATGTAACTGGATATTCCAAATCTCGTTATTTGATCTATGGGTCCATGAAGGCAACACTATCAACAATGGACTGTGAAGGCTGATTACATCCTACAGTGGATTACAAGCATTGGGTTGTTCCTCATCACGTGATGACCAACGCGCGCTTTGTCAAACCACGCATCCCACCCAATTCTCTCTCCGTTATCACACTCCCACTACGAATAACATTGCCGACCAGCTATGATGACCAAGGGATAGCTTTGGCTAACTATAAGGCAGGTTTGGCTAAGTATGAGATAATCATGCGAGATTTAAAACGTGGCATCCGGCAAATCGTACAAGAAACACGGCGTGAAACGCGTTACATGATCATGAGGACGCCCGAATAAATGCAATAGAAGTGTCTACGAATGACGATGAGCTTCGGCGAGATCGGTTGCTTCGCTTGAGGAAAGTGGCACGACAAGTACAGCTAAAAATCATTAGATCCCACCAGAACTTACTGAAAGATCATTCAATGGCAAGGAGTCTCTAGAAAGTTCTAGGGCCAGGGGTCGAGACACATCACATGATGCGATGTTCCTTGAGCAACAGTATCTAATTTTTATGGAGAAGTTGGAGAAGAAGTAAAAAAAGTCAAGATCTAAAAAGTAATTGAACACATGAATATTCGATTGTACGGGTATTTGAGGCCTCGGGATATTCCAGCGCCGAGCATAGTCATAAAAACCAACACTCCAATTGTCCAAGTGCCTCTACAAGCCAACTTCTGTGCAAAACTATATACATATAATCATATCCAATCACACATCTAAAATGCAACCTGGAATGCTCGTGCAAACATATAAGAAAAGATATAAGTAACCTATTACAGGTCCTTTGTCCGCTCATCGCTCTCCGCAATCCACTTCTCCAACAGCTTGGGATCACGAGCAACGAATCCGACCTTAAATGGCTTAGGCTCTGTGGTCAAAGCAGTGGGAATAGAGTTGCAATCAATGCAATCTAGAACAGGCCGGTCACTGATCTCCTTTGAAGGCTTCATCTCAAAAGCAGTGATCAGGCGGATAAAAGCAGTGAAGAGTTCGCGGTTCGCCAGGTGCGAACCAGCACACATCCGGGAACCGGCTCCGTAGCCATAGTGGGGTGTACCAGATCCCTCGCCGATCTCGAGGTAGCGCTCGGGGATGAATTTGGAGGCATCCTTGAAGTGGTCTTCGTCGTAATCGGCAGCATAAGCGTTCTAGATTACAGTTAGTAAAAGAGCCAAAGTAGGATATGGTGGAAGTATTCACCATGAAGAATGTTGTGCCAGCGGGGATTGTGGCGCCTTGCCAAACGATATCCTTGGTTGATTCACGGGGCAGGCAGATGGGGATGACGGTCCAGAATCGCAAGATCTCCTTGACTAAGGCTGTGACGTAAGGAACCTTCTCTTCGATCAGGCACTTCTCCCAGGCATCGCCATCGGGATACACGGCCATAATTTCATCGTATGCCTTCTTCTGGATGCGCTGTCCGTCTTCCGATGCCAAGTAGGCGATACCCATGATCAGATTGCCAGGAACGGTGTCAAGTCCCGCAGAAACCATAGTCAGACAGATCGACTTCACCTCAGCTGGAATGCATGTTAGTTCACTGTTCGGGCTCGGAGTAATCTTCTCTGGTAAATCTTACCCTCGTTAAGCTTGGCCTCAGGGTCCTTGAGGATATTTCCAGTGATGCAAGGCTTATCAGTGCCCTTGGCAATGCGGTCCTTCAGCATATTCAAGAGGTGGGTCAGGTACTTGTCGCGGCGAGCACGGAATTCTACGGCCTCGTGGTTCATCTTAGGGAAGATGCGCAGCAAAGGAATGTAGTCTTGCCAGTTGTTTGATGTACTGCGGAAATTGGAAACACCACGCTCGACATCCACGATCTCGTGAAGAAGTTCATCGTCGACATTGCCCTCGATGCGGAGTCCGTAGTTGAGTGTCAAACTAGTGTTGAGCGCAAATCGCTGGAAGTATGCCGTAGGGTTGATATCGCAAGTACCATTCTTGCTATCCCGGTAGAGCTCCTTGATACTGGTGTTGGACTCGAGATCGATGATAGGCATATAGGACTGTGTGGCGGGTCGGTTCAGGGCAGTGGCTGCGGCCTTGCGACGGCGCTTGCAGGACTCATCCCACGGCGACGTACCGATTGTGAATCCTTGCGAGCTTGAAACGACGCTGTGGAAAGTGTGGAAAGTAGGTCGGGAGATGAGAGCGGACTGGTCCTTGATCCAGAGCTGGCGCACGGAGTCGAAGCTATTCGCGAAGACAATACGCTGGAACAAAGATTAAAGTTAGCTGGAGGAGTCTCCTGATTAGGACAAGAACCCAAAGAACCCAAATTGTACCTTGTTTCCCATGCGAACCTGGAAGACGGGGCCAAATTTCTTTGCCCACTTGGCGGCTACTGTTGCATGCTGGTCGCCTAACTGTAGTAGGTTACCGAAGAGGGGTACACCTGGAATCTCGGGGAGACCCTTGATCTTAGGCGTATCGGTGCGGTTCAAATAGCGGATGATAAAGTATACGACCGCTACAACGGCGAGAGCGACTGTTTGAAGCGTCATGGTGACTTGTGATCCTCATAAACCTGAAGTTAATTCGAATGGAGAGTCAGACGGGTCGTGCATCTCTTATAGCACCCTGTGCTCTTGGGCGCGGTACATTTCCGACTACTGACGCACGAATGGCTATTATCGGTGAACATTGACGTTCGGTTGTACGGTAGTAGAGCCAGTCAGAGCGACTGGAATTCTCATTAGTACCCACCAGCGGGTTTGGGACTGACTCGGGATTGGGGAATGTTCATTCCGCGATGCCTGACTACCTGGTAGCTCTTCCCCGCAATCCCGCATTTCGGCATAAAATTACATCAACGCCAAACGCTTTATGTAGACAAGCATGTGAATTGTAGCCGTTCTGTAAATATACCACTATGCACATTATCTTTGATTTGATCCTATCAAGTTCACGTCATCGACAAGCTATAGCGCCATAAGAGTGCGGGTTATAGAAGTGATGACGCGCTTTCCATACTCCGCGGATTCCCTCGGTCTTGACCTAAATTGTCCCCACTTTAGTACGGGATCGACTCTGTGAGTGGACGACGCGCTGATCATTCCGCAACTCCCGCGGTGGAGACACGTTAAGCCGCACAATATCTGTCATTCCGGTCCGGAGTTTCAAACAAATATGTTAATTCACTATCTTCCGCAATATGTCCCAGAATATGTCTAAACAATTGAGTCGATATTGGGGTATATACAGGGCGACCTCGGCTCATAAATGCCGACCATATATGGATCACACCGGAGAGGGTAGTAAATATGCCTAAATACATGATCCCACGATTATATATTCACCGAAACGAACTCCTGTTACCCCTGGTTAACGCCAAAACCTTGACAACAAACTTAAGCATCCCGAGCTAGGATGTTCTTCCAAAGGTTCCTCATCCACACATTTCATCCCCACAGATTGATTGATCTCCTTCGCATCTACTACAACATTCTCCTCAATACCCCTTCGACGCTTCCAGTTGCGCTCTGTATTCGTTACATGCCCATCCCGCCAAAAACAACCATAGAACGCCCGTGCCTCTGCCTCAGTGCGCACGCGTAGAATATCGTAGGTACTGATACTAGTCATTGTCGCGTCCCGCTCGCGACTTATATGACCATCCACAACCCGAACATTGACTCCAGATTCGCGGAAGCGAGCACCCCACATCCCGTCTTCGGCGGGGGTCACACATATGGTAATGCGAGTGGGTGACACGGGGTATGCAAGTAGATAGGATAGGGCATCTGCGTCGACTCCTGTTGGGATGGGGCCGAGCACAAAGTCGTCGCCGCGAGAGATTGCCTGATTGATGAGTGGGACGTAGTGAGTGAAGTACGATTCGTGTGGTCCAGTATCGATAGGACCGGAAATAAATGCGATTTCTGGATTTTGCATCGTGGAGCTTGGGGGGATGTCGTTTTAACCATATCGAGGGAGGCGATAAACATCAGCCTCGTGCTCGTGGTTGTGCGCGCTATGCCTCTTTAGGGAGAAGGCTTGAGCTTACGGTACGCTATTGGTGTAGTTCATGAGATCTATAATCTGCACAGCTCTAGGTCTGTTCCTTAAGAGCTCCTACAATGCATTATAAAACATAGACACAATGCTATCATAAAGGCCATTCGGGGCCAAGGAAACAGGGGTCATGCCTGATTGACGAGGCATCCAGGGGCCGAACGGTGCCGTCACCAAGGTTAGCTTTCCCCACCAAACCTCCACTCAGTTTCAAAGATGCAAGCTTGTTCCTAACCTAAAGGATTCCTATAAGGCATTATCGAACTTTAATATATTGCTATCATGCCATTCGGTGCCAAGAAGGTATAATTCACGCTTGATAATCAAGGCATCCAAGGCGGAACGGTGCCGTCAGCAAGGTTTGCGTTCCCTATTAATCCTCCACCGACCTTGAAAAGCTTCAAAGAAAGACGCGACAGGGACAAGAGTACCTCATTTGATTCAAAATGAGTTCACACTCTTCCTTCCTTCCATTGTCTTCTCCACCCGATTCACCCAGTCTCCTACTACCCCGGCGCCCCAGTCTAGAACCCGACCGCGAGATCCTTACGACCCGCGGTCAACGCATATGGACATTCCTACCCAGTCGCACATCCAGCCCAGCTCTACAAGACCTCAGCGAAGGGTCCGAACCACCAAACTCGGTACACCGAGGCCCCTTGCTTATTGGACAGAAAAATGCCCGCTATGAATGGTACGTCGCACAAGCCAAGCTCATGCAACTTTGGCCCTTACCTAACCGCTTCCATGCGCATAGGCAACGCTACTACCGATCGCCCGAGTCATTAAAGGGTCTGCGAAAACCACTGTAAGTTGACATATCTTGTAAATATTTGATGTAATGCTCATTCCTTTACAGGCGAGAATACTACGAGAAGAACAATACCCTAATCTCCCAATATCTCTACATCGATCGCCTACTGGATTCTTCTCTACCCCACAACCTGATCGAAGACTACAATGGATGTCATCACCATGCGCCAGCAGAACAGGACTTTCTCGAGCCAGATGCCAATCCGATAGATCAACGACCTGGTAAATCCACCAAAGAATCCAGAATCAAGCGCACGCCTCACAATCTATACCGGATCCCCGATGAAACTGCGCCGTTACTCTCACCACCAGAGGAGGAGCCAAGTATCTACAATTCCATACCAGATATCGAGTCACACGGCAGCATGTCGCCAGAAAAAGAAGAAAAGCTGATTAACCTAGCTGTCCGCGTCAACTTCGTGGCGAATGTCGTCCTCCTCGGTTCCAAGATCGGTGTCATGGCCTTGACAAGCTCCATGTCCGTTCTGGCAGGTCTTGTCGATGGAGCACTTGATTTTCTCAGTACGGTGATCGTCTGGGTTACTATCACCCTGATTCAGACGCAGGATCGCAACCGGTACCCGATTAGTCGACGCAGATTGGAACCGTTGAGTGTGTTGGTGTTCTCGGTTATTATGGTCACGTCCTTCTTTCAGGTTGCACTCTCGTCCATCAATAGGCTGATTGGGGAGGATCATGCTATTGTTGAGCTAACGATGCCGTCCATCGTGCTTATGGCTGCGACGGTCATTATAAAGTTGCTTTGTTGGATATGGTGTCGTTCGATCCCTAGTCCGAGTGTGCAGGTGCTTGCGCAAGATGCCATGACAGATGTCATATTCAATACTTTTAGTATTATCTTCCCATTGAGTACGTCCTTCCCAATCCTGTGTTTTATTTCATCGTGGAAATATACTAATGCATGCATGATTACAGTTGGCGCATTCGCACGTCTTTGGTACCTGGATTCACTAGGAGGTGTTTTCCTCTCCATCTATATCATGTGGAACTGGGGCGAGACGGCCGGCGAGTATATTCGCCGTTTGACGGGTGCAGCCGCCTCAGCCACCGATCACAGTATCCTGCTGTACATGACTATGCGTTTCTCGCGAGTAATTCAAAAAGTGCAAGATCTCAAGGCTTACTACGCTGGCGATAAGCTCAATGTCGAGGTAGACTTGGTCGTCGATGAGCGGACTAGCCTTCGGGATAGCCATGATGTAGGAGAGAGCCTGCAATACATTCTGGAGAGTGTGCCGACCGTGGATCGAGCCTTTGTTCATTTGGATTATGACGAGTGGAACCTTCCAAGCCATATGAACCAGCTTGATCGTTGACCTCAGGATTTCTTACAAAGGAGTCATACGTATTGATACTACTACTTCATGACTGGGAGAACATAATAATAAAAAGTGTGATATTTCATACATCAAGTCATTTCTTTAACTGTACATTTGAAGGAAAAACAAATGAGAATTTCACCTCCGCCATGACCGTGGTCATGGCCAAACCGTGATAACACATAGAAATGACGCCCCTAATGTACAAACCAGATTCCTATGCGTTTCACGCATTCAAATACATAGCAGGAAATTCCTCGTGTCGACTTGAAAATCAAGAAATGTAGAAGATTGTGAGTGGCTCGGCATAGAATGCGGGAAATTAATGAAGTAAGCGGTAAGAGGGGTGGTTGCAATGGTAGCAATCCACCTTAGATCGAACCCTGACTGTAAAGATAATGGTTTGGTATGAATAAAGGTAGCAAATCACGAGTGGCTCGGTAAAGCAAGGGAGCAATTAGCGAGGTGGCTGCGATGGCGGATGCAATGGTGGTATACCGCCTTGCATTGAACCTTGACTGTAAACGCGATGATGGTTTGGTGTAGATGTCGGTTCACCCAACGAACCTGGTCCTGCAGGCCGTTGGTGAAGAGACTGCATCGTTCCCGCAGCCGACGCTTGAGGTGGCGCATAGCCCATACTACTGCCGCTCATCGAAGGATGCATTCCTGATGGCGGAGTGTACGATCGTGCAAGACCCGAGAGTGATGGCATGGATCGACCGTTTTGACTTTGCGGAGGAGGGGTGCTATGTCCATACGCTGAAGAACCGCCAGTTAAGCTAACAGGGGTAGAGCGGTGTGTTCCGTTCACAAAGGTCTGTACGTGTTGCTGGTAGCTTTGACTGAGTGGTTGTGCGGAGGCCGGTGTAGACGGGGTGGCAGGGGAATATGCGCCGGACGGACGGGGCGGAATACCATACAAGTTTGCCGAAGGCTGACCCGGGGTAGGAGGGTCCTGTCGAGAGCCAAAAGCGACGCTGCTTGCCCTTGAAGATGGAGATACAGGTCGATAGGCTTGAGGTTGGGAAGTCAAGTCCCGGGAACTCGATGACGCATGTCCCTGGCCAGCGGATGGTTGAGAAAACACACTTGGGTAAGCAGGCCGTTGAGAACCTGGTGGCGGCGTTGGCGCAGGGGATGGGACGGCAAGGCCGCTCAATTGACCGGCCGACTGGGACGGAGCAGTAGCATAGTGTGAGTATGCATTCTGGGAGGCCAGCGATCCGGCTGAGCGACTATTCTGCTGCGAAGGGGGTGGCGGTTGTGATTGTGAGCCTGCTTGCTGTGCCCGAGGATCGAAACGCGCCATCCAGTCGCTGGTTGCCGATGTTCCAGAGCTACCAGGAGGAGGTCCATAGCTAGAGTATTCCTGATATCCACGGGATGAGGTTTGATACTGGCCCGGCTGCCCGTAGCCAGAGTTCGTCGTCGCACCGGACATGGCAGTCTCATCTACCCGAGTCGCGCCCATGCCTTGGTAAACAGAGCGCGGAACCGATGCCACAGAAGCTGGGGCAGATGGAGCTTCACTCGCGAACCGCTTCCGAGGCTGAGGTTCCTCTGGCTCGTTATTGAGAATGCTCATGATATTGGAACGTTTAGCGGGCACCTTGGAGTCAGGGGCCGGAGTACCGCTCAGCCGTGGGACATCTTTAGTAGGAGACAGAACAGGGCGCGGCGACTGAAGACCCCCGGGCTGACCTGAAAGCGAGTAGTACTGTCGCTGTCCGAAGGGATCACGATGAACAGAAGAAATGTCAAGCTCGGGTCGAGGCAATTGCGTTGGCGAGCCAGGGGCTTGGGTGAGGCTGGTATGGCGTGAATGGGTAGGGGGGAGAAGAGAAGGCGGGGCCTGGGCAGCCATGTAGGCCTGCCCGGACAGAGGATCCATCCGTGCCATTTCCGAGGGAGTAGATGATGAAGGAGTATGCCGTGACGGTATTTGCATGTCTTGGCCGCGCGAGCTCGAGTGAGGTAGCATTGAAGAATCCCGACGATCCTCAGTAAAATATCCTAACCGTGGGCCCGACATCCGATTTGGATGTCCCCGCATGGCACGGGTCTCGTCACCAAGATTCGTGGAACCCGTGGGCACCGAAGCCGCAGTAGATGCTTGTGCCAATGTCGGGTAACGATTAGGACCTCGCTCACTCTCGGACAGGGGGCGACCGTGGAGTGGCATCGGCTGAGGAGACATGGCAAGGGGTTTGCCCTTGGAGGAAAACCTCATCTCATCTGCCTCGGTCATCAAATCCCCATGAGGAGCAAGAGGGCGAGGAACAATGGTGGACGGGGTTGCCTCATAACGTCGCTTAGGAGCAACGCTAGGCACGGGAAGAGGTCCAGTCGGCTCGCCGCGAGATTTCTTATCCTCCGCCATCAACAAAAGCTCTTCGAAGTCTTTCTGTCCTGAATCGAGTCGGCGCTGATAGTAGTTTTTTACCTGTATCGATCACATTAGCTGGAAGTCATGTTTAGAATTATGAACCAAGCCCTACCATCACCGTCGTCTTAGTCTTCATGAAGTTCGAAATGCCTTCAAAATCACGACCAAAGTGCGCAAGCAATCGAGGGAAATCGCGTTGCTCAGGAACAGACCAGTAACTTGTCGGTTGTAACGATCCATATCCAGTCTCCAGCTGTTTAGGTGTCATAGCTGGATCAGTTTCTGTAGATTCAAAGACATACACGCCCTCCTTTGCTCTCCCACGTCCAGCCCTGGGTCGTGAAGCGGGCATCTGGGCCTCTCTGTCGCTCATTTCTCGATCTGGAGGCATAACAGCGTCCATCGTTCCATCCATACCGAATTCCATTTTCGGAATTGCAGCGAGGGGAGGATTGCTTTGCGGCGGCGGTGGCGGAGGCGGCGGTGGTGGAAGTGCTGGTCCCTGAGATCGCTGTTCCTTCTCGGTCGTCTTGTTGCGCTTTGGGGCACGAGCGCCGCCAAGTCGGCCACCACGTCGAGAGGCAGGCTTTTCAATCGGCTCAGTTTCCTTCGCACTTTGACCATCATTTGAATCTCCGAAAGTTGGAGCAGCAGCGCGCCGAGGACGTCCGGTGTCAGTGACAGCTGGAACCTCCTCCTCCCCGTCGAAGTCAGGCTTGACCACACCCAAATCAGCAATGAGAGCATTGGATTTAGGCCGAGCGGACCTGGTCTTGTTCTTGCCTCGCTTGCTCCACCGCTTGTTGAGCTTCGCCTTGTACTTGATTTCCTCTTTTGTGAGATAGTAGTGGACAATGCACTGCTGGAAATCTCGGCCAGGCAAGGCCTCGGCGATCTTGCCCCATTTTTTGGGATAGGCCATGAAAGCATCGGTGAACATCGTGTGCTCTTCCTTAGTAAAATCGTTGGGTGGTGGCAGGAAGCCGAATACATCCATGGCATTATCAGTTTCCACGGCATTATTGACATCCTTGTAAATTCGGGCCTTTGCCTCTTGTGGCTCCAGCATTTCCGGGATGATGGCCTCACGGGACAAGTCAGGACGAGCGGTGACCATTTTTGTTTTCCGTCGCTCCAACTCTTCCTGTGCAGAGATCTCGGATGCCTTCAAAGCATTGAGGAAATCCAACTCGCTATTGCCCTTGTATCGTCGACCTTCACGACCTTCTGGCATCACAGTTGGAGTAACAGGGACTGTGGATGGTGGTGGAGAGGCCGGACCAGGAGTCATAGGCTTCTTGTTTTTGAGACGATCTAGCTCCCAGACGTGCAACCGCCAAGGCTTGTAATGAGCCATGTACTCTGCTCTGAGCGCAGCATTCTTCTTCGCAATCTCCTTTTGTTGCTTGGAGAGCTCGTTGAGAAACGCCTCCTTGAGCTGTATTTTCGTGGAGTCATTGTCCTGGCATATTTCCATATCAGAGAGTGGAGTTGGGGGCCCATCACTTAAGAAGGGCAGCCCATCGACAGTGATTTCGGAATGCACCACAGCGGGTGGGATGGCAGCTTGAGATACCGGCTCAATTATGCCTTCAGCTGTGGTTGGAGCAAACGTGACAACTCGCTCCACAGTGGACACGGCAGGCACAGCATTTTCTTCAAGAGAGGGCAAAGGCTCTGCTGGGGCTGGATCCGCTGTCTCTTCTTGGGCAATCTTACCCAGTAGTTGTATTCTCAAAAGGAGAGAGACAATATGGGGATCTTCCAAAGGAGAAGGGGGTATCTCGGCTCGAAGGAGCTCCATATCCCTTTCGAAACTGCGCTTCCGTTCTTCTAAGTATTCGTGACTGAAGACCTCGTTTTCCTCGTCATCTTCATCACTGGACTGTCCAAACCCAGGGATAAGGGCAGATTCGCCTTTCTCTGCTGGTTCCGACTCATCATGCTGTTGTTCCGATTGTTTCAGCTTTGGCTGCTCTTGTAGCACGGGCTGATTTTCTTCTTGCGCAGGAACTGGTTGCGGTTGTTTGCTCGGTTCCTGATATGGGATCTGCTCTAGCTGATTCTGTTGCTTCGGCTCGACATCTGGACCCGGTGCCGGGTCGGGCTTCTTCTCTGGCTTCTGCTCCAGCTTCTGCTCCAGCTTCTGCTCCAGCTTCTGCTCCGGCTTCTGGTCTGGCCTCTCTAGCCTGTGCTCTAGCTTCCGCGCCTGCTCATCGTCCTTAGGTGGGGACTGAATCATTGGTGCCGGTGGCGGGCTGCTGCGGATGGTAAGTTTCATAGACGGTGAGCTTGGAGATGTGGCATGATTAGGTTCAGCAGTAATGGTGGCTTCTTTTTGAGAATCATCCCTCGAGCCTGACGATGTCTGCCGATTCTCCTCTGTGGGTTTTTCGATGGGCGGACGCATGGACTCTTGCTCGTCGGGTTCTTTCTTCGGTGGCCCGGTAGATACAGATGGTGCACGATTGTATCCGGAACGACCCCAAGGCTTGTTTCCTTTGCTCCCTCCTCGCGGTGATGAGCCTGATCGTGGATATCCTCGTGGGCCAGTAGGAATGTTGGATGCCTGCATTCGAGGGGAAATTGAGCGATCGCGTGAAAGTGACCTTGGTGGAGGAGGCAAGCGAGAGATAGTGGGAGATGTGGATACGGTGTGCGGCTTTTGTGGTCCCTGTGACTCTATTTGGCCATTCAATGAATCCCGCTTCGCCATTGCAGCTGGTGCAGTCGGTGGGGATCGGTCCGATGTCTGCGCGAATGTCCTCTGGGCTTCCTGAGGTGGGCGGCTGTCGGAGAGCTGGCTTGAGATATCTGAAGGTTGTGCTGTTGAGTCATTGCGTCCTGCTTTGGGGCCTGTGGGAGCTTGGGGTAACGCCTTAGGCTTTTCGTTCTGAGACTTCTCCGCTTGGGTCGATGCGTCGCTTAAAGTGCGCCCTTCGGAGGGCCCTTTCATTGGTGGTACTGAAGGTATTGGAGCAGTCATTGAGCCAAATGCGGGGACCTGTGGTGCTGACGGGGGAGGTGAGTGCTGGTTGGATGGTCCTAAATCCTTAGGGGGTTCAGAGCGTAGGGGAGGGATTTCAGATCGATCACTCTCGCGTCTAGCTTCATGTCCGCCGGCACTAGAAATGATGGAAGCCTTGCGAGCCTGATCTTGGGGACCTTGATCAGGCATACGCTCCGGAACAGGCGCGCCTACGGATGAAGGCGCCCCATGGGCAATTGAGCCGGCACGGTTGTCTGCACGGTTTGGGGGATGTTCTCTTTTCCATGGCTCGACAGAACGGTCCCGATACTCTCGGTCCGGTCCACGCATCTGCCAATCTTCACGCCGATCAAAGCGTTCGCGTCGATCAATATTACGATCACGTTCACGGTCTCGCATAATATCACGGTCTCGGTCTAATCCACGATCGCGGTCCAGAGGAATGCGGTCTGAGAGGGCGCGGTCCAACATAGGGTGGTCCAAAATGGGGCGATCCATGGGGGGACGATCCATAGGGGGACGATCCATAGGCTGACGATCGATAGACTGACGGTCCATAGGCGGACGATCAAGTGGGGGACGGTCGAGAGGGGGTCGATCGAGAGGTCTATCAAGGAGAGGTCGGTCCATAGGTGGGCGGTCTAGAGGAGGGCGATCTCGGTCCATGTTCATGTCTCTATCACGATCACGGTCCCGATCCATCATACGGTCTCTGCCGCGGTCTCGCCATGTATCACGAGATCGACTTCGTCGGCGGAATTGCTCACGGTCATCGAAGAAAGATGGGCGACCCCGTCCGCGACCACCTTCCCAGTCTCCTCTTCCTCGGCCACGCATAGAGCCACCTCGGGGATGACCCCCATTAGATGGTGGGCCATCAGGGCCACCAGAAGATGCGGACAAGATGCTGTCTCTGGAGTTGCGGCGCATGCGAACCACGTCGAAATCGCGGCTGGGGGGTTCTCTCACGTCACGAAAGTCGCGTGTTGGGGATCTGGAACGGCCACGTCCGAAGCCCATGCGGTTGTCTCGGGGATCAAAGTCGCGATCGCGGCGACCCCAATCACGGTCCATGTCACGACGGAATGGCGGCGCATCGCGAGAATCTCGAAATTCGCGATCGCGGTCCCTGTGGTCTCGATCTCGATCTCGGAATTCGCCTCGGCCATATCCACGACCTCGTCCACCAAAATGGCCTCGAGGGGAATCAACCAGGCCACGTAGAGCGCGCGGGGCACTTGGGGGCTCCCTGCCGAATGGAACGTTGCCGTCGTCAGGGCCACGGGGACCGGCAGCCGTACGACGGTCCCCGAAGCGGGGGGAACGGTCGCGGGAATTAAACCCGGACGATGGGGGGAATCTGGACGACATTACCAGGTCATGCTACCATGAGATGACCTGGAAAGCAGTCGAGCAAAGGGTTGTATTGAAGACGAAACAGGGTCCGGGAATGCAGAATCCAGAACCCGCACTGGACCCGACTTTGGGGGGCTTGAGTCACGTGCCACTGCACGGACCACCACGAGGGAACCATTCGATCTGATCGTGGAGACATTTTATGATCTTCACAACGACGCTGAGAAGCACCAGCTTGATAAGTGCTAGGAGCAGATATGAGCTCTGCGGGCTATCATCTCACATACAAATTGTCCCCTGCAATATACTCATCGCTGTCAATACAGGATTTGAGGGTCGCGAAGGAATCAAGAGTGCCCGTGCACATTGTGGAGCCGCCATCAATGAACTAGCCAGACAGCTCAAGCGAACTCAATTTCGATTCATGATGAATCCCCATGTAATGACTAGAACTAGCTACCTAGATATATCTAAAGCATTATCTCAGATCCTTGGTATCGGGTTTCAAGGTTATACTTGTCACTACATAAACCCGTACTTTGTTTGGCAGATATACTACATACCACTGGTCCTCTGCATATGCCACAGGAGCATGGTGCCTAGCTAGTGCTGGGCCCGAAACGCCGCAGATCGACATGAAACGACAGGGGTTCATCCTGAAGCAGGCGATCACCTTTACAGCGTATCTAGATTTCCAGTTTGGCTTGGAACTTTCTGTACTTTACATGGTCAAGAAGATTGTCCTTCATGCTTGTGGAATTTTTTGAGTGATGCCCAGATGCGTGGATGTCCTTTTGTCACATGGTGCCTGAGATATGTGGCTATTGGTGCCTCAGGTGTTCACTCGGGGCGATAATGATTCCCCCGCCAAAAAAAAAAAAATATTGTGCCGCAGATACCAGAGCACCCCACTACGAACACACTTACGCATTACTTTCCTCAGGGTGCTGATTATATCTACCACTGAAGGCCCGAATTCAGTTATTTCCGTCTCTTTCCCTCCTCCAAAATACTTTGGACAATTGTTTAGCAACCATCATGAGCCAGCCAACTGCCGCACCCCCTACCTCCGCAAGCAATGCGGTCCTGGTGGAATCTCAACCGGTTCCCGAAGGAACCCAGCAAGTGAGCGGAATCGACTTCGACAAGTTCCAGGGTCGGGATATTACGGTGGCCGAAATGGTCGACAATATGACCAACATGGGCTTCCAGGGCAGTGCGGTTGCCGAGGCTGCCCGCATCATCAATGAGATGGTAGGTCATTCAACTCCACGATCATGACCTCCGCTAACATAATTACCTCCGTCTAAGCGTGCCTTCCGAGACCCCGAAACCGGTGCAAAGACTACCATTTTCCTTGGATATACCTCGAATTTAATTTCCTCCGGTCTGCGTGACACCCTCCGCTACCTCGTGAAGCATAACCATGTATCGGCCATCGTCACTACCGCCGGTGGTGTGGAGGAGGATTTGATTAAATGCTTGGCTCCCACTTACATGGGCGCTTTTGCTACCCCCGGTGCCGGACTACGTGCCAAGGGCCTGAATCGCATTGGCAACTTGGTGGTGCCTAATAACAACTACTGTGCTTTTGAGGATTGGCTGGTCCCCATTTTGGATCGTATGCTGGAGGAGCAAGAGGCATCCAAGCGGAAGGCCCAGGAGACCGGGGATGTAGAAGACGAGCTCCACTGGACTCCGAGCCGCATTACCGAGCGACTGGGCCTGGAGATCAACAATGAGGACTCGGTGCTGTACTGGGCCGCGCGCAATAAGATTCCCATCTTCTGCCCTGCCCTGACTGACGGATCGCTCGGAGATATGCTCTACTTTCACACCTTCAAATCCTCACCCCAGCAAATCCGGGTTGACATTGTGGAGGATGTGCGCCGCATCAACACTATGGCAGTTCGGGCCGCGCGGGCGGGTATGATTATTTTGGGTGGCGGTGTGGTCAAACACCACATTGCTAACGCGTGTCTGATGCGGAACGGTGCCGAGCATGCTGTGTATGTCAATACTGCCCAGGAATTCGATGGCAGTGATGCGGGTGCCCGGCCTGACGAAGCCGTAAGCTGGGGAAAGATTAAAAGCGATGCTCACGCTGTTAAAGTCTACGCCGAGGCCACTGTGGCATTCCCTCTGATCGTTGCAGCCTCGTTTGCACGGGCGGCCCCAGCACAAAACTGAGGGCGCCTGCTGCGTACCGATAGTTTGCCGCACACTGCAGGGTCCCGTGTCCGCGGACGAGGGTCACCAATCAGAGAGGACCCTGGTCCACTCGCCTCCCAGCAGGGATATCCTGCTGATGAATTTCCCTGGTTTGAACCCTTTTTATTTTAGTAATTCGGGTGTCTCTGAGTGCACCAGACATGGTCAACCCCCCGCTGAGTTGATTCTGACCATGTCTGGCGACCCACGACCATCGGGATGCAGCCTGTCAGCCTGTCTCCGGTTCTTTCTCCATTTCCAGTCCCACAAATCTCCACAAGAGTCGGGGGAGACATGTTTCATAACCACAAAGATTCACAGTGGCAACATGCATAAAAATGGGAGCCGACCGGAGTGGCAAAGAAAAGAAAATTCGCTACAGAAAGAATACCCGCAGTATTTAAGGTTGGGATCCGTTGGCTGCCCTGAAGTGGATCCTTTGGGTCGGATCCACTGCCGATCAAGAGGGGGGGCCTCACCGCGATTTGTGTCAGATAACTCAACACAATCTAAGATAAAATTCATGAAATGAATCCATTGAAAAGTGCCGAATGATCTCCTAGATCAATATTGAGTGGGGGCGAATGATCATAAAAAAGAAACTATCAGTAATAGATTTCTTGGGACCAAAGATAGAAATCACCGCGTGGCTTATCCACCCGAGTTTGACTCTCCCCACTTGATTTTGGCCGAATCCCGCGAGTCCCCCGGACTTCTTATCGCTTTCTTACTTCTCTTTTTTTTTCTTTCCTCTCCTTTTTTCTTTAATCTCTTCGCTCTTTCTGCATCATTCCTCTTTTCACATTCTCTACTCGCACATACACGGTCTTTTTACATCGTTCCAATTCCCATTGCCACCGATAAGGCTTATCTCTCTCTCCATTCGCTACACCCAGAGAGAAATTGAGAAACAAAAAGAGTGCCACAAAGCAGTGTTCTTCAACTCCAATTGGGAATCTGGATGAATCGCTTGCTTTGATCGATCCTATTCCCTCTTGTTGGTTTTTTTCTTGAAATTTTTCCTGCAGAATGGATTCCTCTCAGAACTCCCCAAATTTACGGCCCAATGAGTCAGGGACTGGCAGCGATGTCGGATCTCTCTCCCCGCCAAACGTCTCGGAACCCAATCTCGTGCCGAGTCCTACATCCGAGCACTCTGTGCCACCCCAAACCGAATCAGAGCCGAGTCCCCGGGCTCCGACGCCACCGCCTACAAGAGAGACCGAGGAGACCGAACATGCCTACTGGGCCGAACTCCAAGAGGATACATCCACACCGGATGAGGAGGAATTGAAGGAGATCGATGGTGCCGAAGCGGACTACAGTGCTTGTGACCGTAGGTGTCAATTCCAAACCCTAGGGAGAAGAGAAACCCCGAGGAAGGTTCAGGTTTACTAACACTCAGTAGACACATACTGGGAGAGCAATTTCTTTCGGGAGTTGGATGACCCAGAATACAAGCCTAGAGAGAAGGCCCGCCTGACATGGAAGTTCAAGGGCGTTCGAGGCACACCCGAGGCCCCCAACCGTGCAAAGGTTATGCGCTCTCCGCCAGCTTTCATTGGTGGATATTGGTGGCGAATCAAGTTCTTTCCCCGCGGCAACAATGTGGGTTCGCTGAGTATCTACCTCGAGTGCTCGCCTACAATGCCCGGCCCAGACGACGAGCTTCCGGCAACTGAATTTACGATTCGTCGAGGCGAACCTGGCACTAACCTCAATGAGACCCTACCCGATGCATATGTGCAAACACCCGCCACAGCCGACTCTGCTGCATGGCTAGATAATTTCAGGTCGTGTTATCCTGCTGCAGCATCTGCTCCTCAGGGAAGTACCGAACCAGCGTCCGATCCATGGCGGGTATCGGCACAGATCGGTGTCATCGTCTACAACCCCGATGAGCCAAGAACTGGATGGATGCAGTCCTCGTGCCACCAATTCAACCCAAACAACCTGGATTGGGGCTGGACTTACTTCCATGGCCCTTGGGATCAAATTCACAGCCGTCGACGCGGCCAGCATCGCGCTCTGCTCAACAACGATACGCTGGCGTTTGATGCTTATATTCGAGTAGTTGATGATCCCACGAAGTCCTTATGGTGGCATCCCAGTGACTCCGAGCCAACATGGGACAGTCTTGCACTGACTGGCTACCGGCCACTTGGAGACTCGGTCATTAACCACAGCGCCGAGGTTGCGGGACTTGCCTCCTGGTTGCACATTGCGCCTTTCTGTAAGATCATTCAGAGTGTCGATGTCCTGGAACATCTCACGAACTGCGATGCGAAGCCGAAGCCCTTGTGCGATGCTATGCAGAAGTTGTTGTGGCAGCTGAGGTGTCGCACCAAGTCGCTTCAATACGTGGACACTGATGGCATTACCTCCACCTTGCGCAACCTGCGTGAGTTCTCGGGTGATGTGTCAGAGTTCTGGGAGCGGTTACGCCGTACTTTGGAGCTGGAACTCGCAGGCACAGATGCTGGCAAAGAACTTGCCAAGTTGTTTGATAGCCCGTCGCCCAAGTCTCTGCCAGCCATGAACGATGCAGAGATCATTAACACTTTGCCGACTGATTTCAATTCTCGCATCTGTGTGCAGTCCGACCAAGTCAAGTCGACAGGAGAAGCTATGAAAGGCTACCTGGGTGCCAAGCCTGGTCGCTGGTCACTCCCTCCGATCTTGCACGTGGAACTTGGTCGCCAAACCCTCGATAAGACCATGCGCTGGCAATTGAACTTCAGCAGGGTGGATCTAGATGAGGAGCTGGATCTCAGACCGTGGGTGGTTGATGGTCAAGGCAGCAAATATGTTCTCTATGGATATGTGGTTCACCGCGGTCGTCGCACTTCCAGCAAGTTTTTCAGTATCCTTCGCCCTGCTGGTCCAGGGACTAAGTGGCTGGCATTCGATGATGGCAGTGATAACCGCGTCGAATGCTTGACCCAGAAGACTGCCATGGGCGCTCATCTTGGTCTTGATCCGTCCCAGACCGTGGACCACAAGAAGGGCCACGATATCCCGGTTGTTGCGATGTACGTGCGCAGCGACATGGTTTCAGAGCTTCTGCCCGGTCCTCAGGGACCGTGGGAAGTGCCAGACAGTCTGAAGGAGTACTACGAGACGGGCGTTTACAGCCCCAGCTCTGATGCCAATGACAAGTCATTGAACGGGGAAGTCCAGGTTGAAGTATATTCTCTGCCCGAGTATGATCACCTAGACAGCCTTTTCGATACATACGACCTCATGTCGAATGCTAAGTCGAACAATGGGGTCATGTATATGACTCTGCCTCGTTCATCTCGCTTAGCCGAGCTACGCAAGAAAATTGCCCAATGGAAATCAGCCGGCGAGGAGGTTATTGGAGCCGAACGGGTTCGCTTGTGGCACATTGGCCACACTCGTGCTCAGTGTGGACCTACTCTAGCCTTTGAACACATCACCGACTTGAACACTACCCTGGATGCTTCAGCGGCTGCGGGCACTATGCGATTCTGGATGGAGGCAATTTCAGAGGGTGAGTAACCAAAAATCGCGCTTGTTGCAAAAAATCTCTTACTAACATCAATCTAGACGATGCGAAATTATTCGCTATCCCCGATCCTCCTTCGGCTACTACTACCGAGGACAAGCTTGAAGAGTCCATCGTTGAGCAACTCAGTTCTGAAAGCAGTAGTTCACTGCCTTTAGTTAACACTGGAGACGCGGTTGCCAGCTCTTCTCGAGGTGACACGAGCCCTATTGAGAGCTCCTTACCACCACTGGCAACCTCATCCCCAGAAGCCGATGCGATGGCTGAAGAGCGAGCTGAGCACGATGCCATTCTGGCTATTGCGGCAGCCAACGATGTAAACTTGTCCACCCCTCAGCCAGCTGCTCCTATTTCTGCTCCTGCAGAGTCCTCGCCGGTGACACCGACAGAGCCTGAAGTTACTCTACCCGTTGGCCACGCCTATTACTTCATCCAGATTTTTGACGAGGACAATCAGGTCCTCCGCACAGTGGGCTCATTCTTCTCCAAGCTCGAGGCAAACGTCAAGGCATCGATCCGGAAGCACCTCAAGCGGACCATCCGACAAGACTTCCTCATGTGGAAGCGCGTGGACGGAACAACCGTTACCACCGTATCCCCAGCCGAGAACTTCATGGACGTCGTCGTCCCCCACGGATCCTGCATCATCGTCGGGGACAAGCTGACAAAGGACAAACGTTCCAAACTCGGACTATCAGGTCTATTCTCCAGCCCAGATCGCCTAGTCCAGTACCTCTGGGCCGCATCCCGAAACCACCCTGTTCAAGGATTCACTGGTACCAAGACAATCGAAGCCACATTTACTAGTGACTTCTACAGTGGCGAGTTCCTCAAGGGCTACTACCACGGACGAGGCAAACACCTCTCCGCTAGCGGAACAGTCTATGAAGGTGACTTCATCTTCGGTCGACGCCACGGCCAAGGAAAGATGGAGTACCCCACCGGCGACACCTACGACGGCGACTGGGTTGAAGATGTTCGTCATGGACAGGGAACATATGTTGAGAAGAAGACTGGCAACTCGTATGTTGGCGGGTACAAGGATGGCAAGAAGTACGGCAAGGGTATCAGCTACTGGGAAGTTGCTGATGAGGAAGCGGATTTGTGTCAGATCTGTTACTCAGAAGAACAGGATGCTGTCTTCATTGATTGTGGCCATGTCTGCTCTTGCGTGACTTGCGCTAAGCAGGTGGATCTTTGCCCTATCTGTCGGAAGAGTATCAAGAGTGTTATCAAGATTTATAGGACATGAAATGTCCAGCACGGCGGAGTTTAGATTTTTGCATTTTTGATTTGGTGTGGTTTATGGATGTTCATACATTGGGTCCTTATGGGATTGTCATTCTTTCGTTTCTAGCGGGGGTTTGGATGGAGGAGATTACTTATACAAGGCTTTGCGTTATTTACATTCTTGCTCTTTTATACATTTTAGGCTTTGCATGTCATGCACTCAGGGAGATAGAAACTACAATTTGGATTTCATTTAACGCTGAATCATTTTTTGACATTGAGATTGAGATAACATTAAAACAAGGTATATGTCCAGTGCGCCGTCCACCCACAAATGAAGATGCTTTTCAAACTTGGCAATGCCAGAGCTATAGATACACAATAGATGCTCGGGTGTCAAACAGATCATTTAAATGCCTTCTTGGGCTTCTTCTCCTTCAGCTTTCCCTGCACAACCGATTGCTTGTTCTCGCCCTGAGGAGACTTGGGAGACTTGGGCGACTTATCGGCCTTCTTAGACTCGGCCTTCTTGGCCGCGGTCTTCTTGGATTCAGCCTTCTTAGCGGCCTCGGGCTTCTTTTCAGACTCGGTCTCAGCCTTCTTGGGAGACTTGGCCTTCTTGGCCTCGGGCTTCTGCTCCTCCTTGGGCTCCTCAGTCGACTCAGTCGACTCAGCGGCCTTGGGCTTGTTCTCTCCCTTGACACGCTTGGGCTTGTTCAGAACACCCTTGGGGTTGAGACCCTTGCGACGAAGACGGTTACGCTCGGCACGCTCAATGCGCTCCGAATCATCATCAGCCTCGAAGGGACCGAAAGCACCACCGTCAAGGTCTGCATATTCGCCATCCTCGTCCCTAATGGGTGTCCTGTCGATGACCTCATCATCGTCAGTGGAAGCACCCTGGGAGGTGGCACGCTTGTGCGAGTGACGGTCCTTGGAGGTGGTGCCGTCAGTCTGGGCAGCGGGAGTGGGTCCGGTCTTCTTCAGCTTGCAGACGTAGAAACCATCGACGTTCTCACGGTGAGGGAAATAACGGCGGGTAAGGGCCATCTTGGCATCGAACTTCTTTCCCATGTAGCTGGTGAAACCGGGGCTACCGAAGCCGCCCAGGCCAGTGTCGACAATCTTGACATTAGGGCACTTACGCAGAACGTACTGCACGACGGCCTCGTTCTCTTCCACAGTAACACTGCAAGTGGAGTAGACGATGTATCCACCGGTCTTGGAGGCGTGGTCGACAGACTCGATGGCGGCGAGGAGCAGCTGGCGTTGCATGTGGGGAATGGCCAGGAAATCACGCTCGTTCTTGGAGGTCTTAACACCAGCATCCTTGGAGATAACACCGGTACCGGTGCAAGGGGCATCGAGCAGGACACGGTCAAAGCCACCCATGGCCTTGGGGAAACCGGTACGACCATCCAGGTTGGTGACAATGGTGTTCTTGCAGCCGAGACGGTGGATGTTACCAATCAAACCCTTGGCACGGGGCTTGCTGGCATCGTTTGCGATGACACAGCCAGTGTTGCGCATCAAAGCAGACATGTAGGTAGTCTTACCACCGGGGGCGGCGGCCATATCGAGAACACGCTCGTTGGGCTGGGGTGCGAGCGCCATGACGGGGAGGAAGGAAGATGCAGCCTGGAGAATGTAGTGACCGGCGAGGTACTCGGGGGTTGCACCAAGGGGAACGGGAGACTCGAAGACCTGCAAGCCAACCTTGGACCACTTGCCGACGGGCTCAAGAACAACACCACGGTTGATCAGGGCCTGGGCGAGAGAACGACGGTTAGTGCGGAGGGTGTTGGTACGGATGACGACAGGGCGAGGAGTTTCGTTAGCCTCGAAGAAAGCAAAGGCCTCCATGGGGGTGAACAGGTTCCAAAGCTTCTCGGCGAGGTACCGGGTGTAGCCGTAGTATGTGCAAATGTCGTTGAGCACGAGGTCGACGTAGTCAGCGCGGGACTTGTCAGCCTGACCGAGAGTCTTGAGGTCACCCAGAATGCGGATAGTATCAGTAATACGCTGGCGGAGGAGCTGCAGATCCGGTGCGAGTCCGGCCTGAGCCTGGTCGTTGAAGACATCGGGGCGGTCGCCAGCGATGTTGGTCTGCATGGCAGCATCCTGCAACTCCTGCTCGGCCTCCTCATCCTCCAACTGTTTCTGGGCATCGAGTTTCCGAGAAAGGCCTTCGATGTTGGCAGCGGTCAGTCTCTCCTCGGCGTCGGACATGTCCTCGTCGTCGGAGAACATGGCTTTGCGGGTGTAATTCTCTTCGTCAGAGTCCATAACAGAGTCATCTTCGGCACCGTCGTCGTCCTCGAGGTCAGAAAGTCCCACAACATCGTCCTGGCTATCCAATGATCCATCGCTGACTCCATCGAGATCGTCGAATTCGTCGTCCTCCATACCCTCCATATCTTCATCTTCCGAGTCCGACATAGGAACAGGGACAGCCTTCTTCTTGCTGGAAGTCTCCTTCTTGGGCTCAGCCTTTGCGGCAGCCTTAGCGGCAGCGCCATTGACCTTGGCCTTCTTGGGAGCAACTTTCTTGGCGACAACCTCTTCTTCGTCGGCACCTCTGCGGCGCTTCTTAGGATCAGCGGTTTTAGCTGGCGGTTCTGCCGCAGCGGCCTTGCGCTTCTTCAGCATTGTGATTCTCGATTCATCGAGCGGGGGCGGGGGCCCCTGCTTCTTCATGCGACGTCCTACACCCATTGTGATTGATGTGTTTGATTGAGTGGATAGTTGTGTCTGAAACTTTTTTTTCGGGCTTTTTTCCTGGGCAGCGGTCAGGTATGGCAGTAAATAAAAATCAGAAGGCGGTCGAAGATAACTTTTCCCTCACTGCAATTTGGCTATCTAATCACCCACATAACATTACTATTGTTGGTTATCTCGACCATCATAATTCATTTCCCAAAATGATTCGTGACTTTTTTTTCTTTTTCGTTTTTTAAGTGTCATGCATAAATTTTTCGCTTGACCATTTCGATCCAGCCTTCTCTAAGTTAGATGTTGAATATTCACAGTAGCTATACTCTTTACATACGAGTTTCTCCATTTACTATAGTATAAGTATTGACTTGGAACTTTCCATGTTATGGAAATGAAACTATATATCATAGTACAGTTTCGAAGCTCTTGAAGACCTTGAAGATCTGGTCACTGGAGCGACCTTGGGAAGTGGTATGATCTCCGATGCTCTATAGGATGGAGCGTCAAAGGTGGGATCAGCCACCTAGGGCGCCTCACGGCCATTGATGTTACAATTTTTCATCTTACGAAATTTCGTTTGTCAAAGAATCTACATGGTGATGCCCCATGACCTCTAGGTGGGTAATATACGATGTCTCATCTAGACTCCGTTCAAGACTATGGATATGGATTTCAATGTTATACACACAAGAGTTGTCCATGGGGAAGACCAATAGAGAGCTCAGAAAACAGGGCTCGGTCCCAAGGTTCCTAGGATATCAAACCAGAAGATACGTAACGCCGGAGTGCAATGTCCAGGGAAAGCCAATCAAACAGAAAGCAAGGGCAATGTAGTCTGAAGGAAGAGGGCCATTCACATGGACACCAAAGTATGCACCAAAGCAAAGGGCAGCTAAGATATGGGAAGAGAGATGGAAAGAAAAACATGATCAGAAATGTACGCCAGGGAATCATCGCGAACAAGGCTTATTATCAGCTTCGGGGTCAAAAGTACACATGTAGAAGAAGAAAAAAAACCACATAGAAGAGTACCATATGCCAGGCAGCTGCACGGGACACCTTTGAAAATGCTCAAAAAGAACTGGTCCGGCCAATCGCTCATCCGATTCATGGGATCATAACACGGTGAGAACCGAAGAAAGTTACCCGACAGTAGAAAACAGGAGAAGAAGAAAAGAGTTCATACAAGGCTGTCATCTCGTCGTCCAGGTCATCTTGAGAAGACTTTAACCACGCCATCTCCACCGCCGCTGACGACCCAGCGTCCGTCGCGGCTCCAGACAACGGCGCAGACACCTTCACCGCGCATTAAGCGGTGGCTGGTCAGTTCTTGAGTGCAACTGCGTTTCTCAAGGTTCCAAAACCGCAGGCTCGCGTCGTGTCCAGCTGAAACCAGTTCACGCCCATCGGGAGACAAGGAAAGAGAAGCGATTGCAGCTGGGTGAGCTAGCATAGTGTACGTGCATTGACCTAGAGATGATATTGTTAGAACAGGATTCGAATTATGAGGGGCAAGACAGTTATTTACCGCTGTTCGCGTCAAAGAAGCGAATGTATCGATCCTCGTAACCGCTAATAATAACACCTTCAACGCTGCTTGAGCCAGTGGCTCCGTGGACAACTTCCTCATCCTCCATGGTACGGTTGGGCTCCAGACTGGCAGACCCGTCAAAACCTATGGTGGTAGCGACAACAGAGTTCACGCCAGTCGAAGGCGTCCCATCATATGTTTCAAGGCTGGCCATGCCCACGATTTCCTCGCCAGTGCGTGTATCGTAGACGAGAATGGAGGCATCGGTGTAGGAAACCACGAAGTTGACGCCCGCTAGAGATAAGGGGCTGATACATGTTGGAGATGGGGAATCAGTGCGCACGATGTGATGAACAAGGGTGTGATAGAATGGCGTTGATGAAGCAACACTAGGCTGTGGAGAGGATGGGAAATTGGATCCAGACGAGATCGAGTTGGCGCGTCGGCTTCCACCTTGGCGTCGTGATGCTGCCTGAGGTGCGATGGGAGGGGCGCTGACAGCCCAGATCAGAATGCGGCCATCTGCCGCACCGGATGCCAGTAGGATACGATCCGCCCCGCCATAGTGGGTGCATGAGTCTCCGAAGACAGAACCTGCCGTCCCGGGAAGCACACACAGTCCCCACACGGCGTCTGTGTGACCGTCCAAGGTCGCTTTAGGATCAACCCGACCACGCTCCCACACCCGAACGCTAGCATCTTGTCCACCTGAGAAGACCCATCCATCACCCAGAGCACGGCCCCCATTAGAGATGTTTTGGCCGGGTGAACAGGCAGCCAACGAGGTGACTGCACCCACATGACCACGGTGTGTAAAGTAGCTGGTGATGTCTAAGTCATTGCTGGAGCTAGGTCCATGAGCTCCAAATGTACCGTAGGTTGCTGGGATAATCCATCGCTTGATCGTTCCATCATCACTGCATGTACAGATTTCCGGCTCTGATGGACTGCCACCGCCGGTGAATATCACAGAGCGGATCACATCCAGGTGTCCGCGAAGAGCAAATCGAACCTTGAAGTTCGTATCCTGTTGGCCGTATCCAGCGGCAAAATCCCGAGCATCCGATGCACCCTCACTCTTTCGTCGAGAGCCAGAGCTCTTTCGTCGATGTGAGAGCGACCCACCCCGGGAGGGTGATTTGGCGCCAACGACGAAGTTGGCATTCGGGAAAGCATCGGTATCCGGACGGTGGGGAGGCATGGGCTCGCTAACTTGTTCGTTCTCTGTTGGTTCATCAAAGTTCCATCCATCCATATCCTCTCCTCTCTCGTCATTCGCCCGTTGCGACGGTAACTCCTCCTTAACCGCCACCTGAGGCCCTTGAGCCTCGTATGAAGATTGAGAATCCACAGCACGTTCATCAACCAATGCCTGTTCATATGCCGGCTTTCGATTATCAGACGCTGTCACAGAATGTTGTTGAGCATCGACCGGTCGTCGGTCCATGGCATCTCGAGGCACTGAACCCTGACCGTACTGGTGATGTGCGCGGGCTTGAGGGGCATTCTCTGCATACTGATTACCCGCTGATTGATGGTTTTGGAGCATCTCCTCCCGTCCCATCATATGATTGGCCTTCTGTCGTTGCTGTTGAATGTATGCCTCCTCCAGGTTCTGCTGGGATAGCTGTTGGTTCGCGTAGAGGTGGCTTGAGAGATCCGGGTCGCTGAGATCCGGAGGTGGATGAGATGTTGGGATGACATGATATGCGATCTCCTGTGCACATTTGGCTAGATAAACTCGCGATTTCTCTCGTTCGTCTTCTTGGCGGAATTCACTTGAGTTGGGGTCCTCTGGGTTCTCATTGGGGTCGGGGTTGGATCGTTGCTCTGTACACAATCATGATCAGCAAAAAGAAACATACACGACCGAATACGATGATGGAGATTCACATACCTTTCAAGAACTCCACATTCTCACGCGCGATCTCCTTGGGGTCTTTCATATCCTCGATGCTCTCGTTGTTGGCGAGTTTCTTTGACTTCTCTCGTTCTTTCTTCAGCGCTGTCTCCATCAACCGAACATGCTTGCCCAGTGACTCTTGAAGACGCCTGCTAGTCCGCAGCTCTCCCTCTAGCTGACCAATGCGAGACTTCATCTCTGCGCGCTCAATCTCCCAGGCGTTTCGGTCGCGCTCGTGTCGGTGCCATTCCGTCTGCAAGAATCGCATCACACCTGATAAATCATATTAGCTCATGGCCACTTCACAATACTTTCAATGCATTCTTACCCTGTAACGTGTATTCAGTCCCTTGTGGGTGACCGCCATTGGAAGGGCCGTCGCCCATTGATGCGGGCATTCCAATTCCAGCCACGGGCGATTGGGATTGCCAGGCCATGGACATGTAATGATATCAGCGCGCGACGAGGCCGGGCTGAATAGCTGATTTACTGGGGAGTGAAGCCGGCGGGTGACCGAGGGCGTCAAAGCGTCAGGCGTGGAGCTTCTGGTGTTCTCCTGACCCCCGTAGTCTCCACCAGTAAGCGAAATTCAATCCTCCAGGGGGCGACGACGGCAGGGAGACCGCGTTCCACACCGTGTCAGACGGAAATAGACAGGGAATAAACCCAAACAAGACTTAGAGGGAAGTAGCCCAATTATCGTGCGTAGAAGATTCGAGGATTCATTTGTTATGGACGGGTTGAGAGTGGCTTTTCGGGGGGACCCTCACGAGATGTTCACCGCTTTCTTTCACGGGAAATCCGACACGGAGTCCAGACCGGTGTTTAGTTATACACTACTCAATTGCAGTGTTGTAACAGCTCAGAATAGAAGGGATTTTCAATTAAAATAAGAGGCGAACGGTGAAGGGAGTCATGGAAGGACTGTAGCAAAGGGCATGGCTTCCAGAACATACATATCATAGAAGGTCAGCTAATAAATCAAGTTTATTCGTCAATATTAACTACGTCTACGAAACTATAATTGGGAAGGCGGTCAGAAGATCTGATAATCTATTTCTGCCGCAAACACAAGGCCACTAGTTGCTCCCGCTGGCAGAACGAATAGAGACAACGGCACTTTCAACATTGCAAGCCCATCCTTTTTACCTGGAACATTCTTGTTCTTCTTCCTCTTCTGATCCATCATTTTGGGACTTGTTCTCCCTGGACTTCATAATGTCGGAACTCACTTTTGCCAAAGCCTTCCTTTCCACTCTGGACTCCCGTCCCATCAAGCTGCGTGCTGATCATGTCGTGGATCCGCAGCAAGTTGGGCTGCAAGGACCAGTAAGCTCATCTCCTCATACTTCTACGCATCATGCATTCTATTATGCATGTTATAACGAGATGGGTCTAATTTTATTGCCAATAGTACACTCTTCCCCGCCTCCGCGCCCCGCACCCGGAGATGCCCAAGAAAGTCAAGCAGACCCAAGCACCAGGCTCGTCGAAATCAATTACCATCCACGTGAAATCTGCTCGCAATCCCGTTCTCGAATTCTCTTTGCCCAACTCTCCTCTCTCCACCACCACTGTGCAGGATCTGAGGGATGCTGTCCAACAGCGTGTTACCGATACGCAAGGCAACCCCGTGGCGCTTGACAAGATTAAGATTCTCTGCAACAAGAAGCCTGTCGCTGGAACTAATAAGACCATCGCTGAGATTCTGGCAGACGAGCCTGGGATGCTGGTCGGGGGCAAAGAGGTCGAATTTAAGGTGATGATCATGGGAGGCGCCAAGACCATTGATGTATCGGAGGCACAACCAGCAACAGAGGCACGGGATGTCTCTCCGCCCAAGGCAGCAGTTGGACCGAGCGGTGAGGAGGTGGTGCGGACGGAGGCTTTCTGGAATGACCTACAGGGCTTCCTGGAACAACGATTGAAGGACGAGGAGGAAGCAAAGCGGTTAAGAGCACTATTCAAAGATGCATGGGCCTCAAGCCAGTGAAGCCAGGAAACCTCTTGTCTATTGAAAATAACATAATGAGTTATCGGTCATCTCATCCCATTACCCATATGCCGCAATCTTTGAATCTTCCCTTATGTTGGCTTGGAGCTCGTAGGTGCCGTCTGACCGGCCTCTTTAGGACTTGACCCTGGATTGGAACACTGTAATACTAGTAAATATTAACTTCAAGGGCAGATGCTCGTCCATGATACTAACCTATAAATACAGGAAAAGTGGACCAAAAGATGCATGTTTTCAATTCGCGGGCTAGTTGGAAGACAAAGATCCTTTGATTCATTTGATTATCTGCCTAAGTAATTTGTATCCCAATTCGTACTTAGCATCATACACTTCCAGTGCTACAAACTTTGCCCTAGGTTTCCATTTCGAAACGCATTGAATGGTTGCACTTCAATCTTACCTTAGACGCCGGGGTCCGACCTCGAGAGCTTAGGGATATATAAAACCACCCGTGGACCCGCACCCCGGTGTATACCCACCACAACCTTGGAACGTACCACATCACCTTGGCAAGCCACAACCTAGGTGTCCTGTGTGCTCGACTCTTGCAACATGACTAGATAGAAGTAGGTCTTTCTAAGGGTGCGCATACATTGACTGGTCGTTAATTTATCCAATCTTCCTCAAGAGCTTGACCAAGGTTTGGACACCCAAATCCATGGATGCCACCCGAGGTCCAGGACACCTGGGTGTACAATAAAGTTCTATGAGGGCGGCTTCCTTTTATAGTTTATCTCATAGTCTCATCTCTTTCTTAAGCTTAATGAGCCCTCGTATAAGTTCTAAGGCGTTCGGGTCCTCGCTCTCTATCGAGGAATCCAACGTTAGCACTTCACGTTAAGCTACTAGCTTACCCTAGTTCTTCTTCCTCCGCTAGGAGCGCGTGTTTATCTACCCAGTGCCGATCTCTCGCCCTCGGGCATGTTATTCGGTGGTCTCGTAGTGCGTTCCGGTCTCGCTAATCGTGGCGGTAAATCTTCGTGTTCGTCGCGGTCGGGCGGTGTTCAGGTTCGCGTCTTGGCCCGTCCCGACATTTTTGTTTTCTCGCGTCGCTCACGATACTACGACATATAGGATGGATTCCTATCCAGTCGAAAGCGTATACAGTCCCTTTTCGCTACCGCGGCTTGGTACCAGACTAGGTCACATTCAGACCAATTTTCATCCCAAGGCTAGCTAAATACGTTAGTAATAGGTAGCCATCTGCTTGTCTAATGCCCAACGATTCACAAATTTAAGTACACAGCCTATGAGAAGAACTTCATTGGAGTGAAAATGTGATGAATTCAAAATTTCGCCATGAACATTGTACACCTAGGTACTAATGCAGAGACTGGTCAAAAGTGTTGACTACTTGTCCTTGGAATTCTTGGGGGCAATTTTCTGAGTCTCAACTACCTCTTGGCCGATAATAACCTCACCAGCATTCTTTTCAAGGAAGGCCAGATCACGAACAGCATTACGCTTTGCATCATCCAACAACTCATCAATCTCCTCCAACGTTTTCCCTTTCGTCTCAACCCAGAAGAAAATCACGAAAAGCAGTTCCAATACATCCCAAGCACCATTGATCATATAGATCTTCCAGCCAATCTTCTCAAGCCCAATGGGGAAAGCGAAGGTAGCCAAGAGCCTTTGATTGTGTCAATAATGTTATCTCAACTTTGGGAGACAGAGAAGATAACATACCCGAACCCAGAAGCAAAGAACGTGTATACACCCATCCCGTTAGCTCGAATTGAATAATGCAATACTTCCGGTGGGTATATCACACTCAGAGGCGTCCAGCCAAAGCTATAGCTCCCCTGAAAGAGGAAGATAGATGCCACTGTCGCGTATATGCCTGACATGTTTGACGTGGTACCGTAGAGCTTGGTCAATCCGCCCATGATGAAAATGAAGAGCGTGAGCAGCGCAGTGCTACTAATCGCCAGAGTACGACGACCCAGACGATCGGCATACGCGGTGCCCATGATGCTGATGAGAAGACAGAAGCAATTGAGAATGATATTGATTTCCAGTTGGGTGGTGGTGTTTGTTATTCCCGAATTATCCAGCATGTCACCTAAATAATACGAAATGATATTGTTCCCTGGTTGTCGCGCCTGTGAGCATTTGCTATCATCAAGTAATTTTGTTCAATGTGGCTTCTTACCTGAAATCATTGAAAATATCGCAACTGAGATAGACAGCATCATCCGTTTGCGATTAGAAGGGGTCTTGACCGTCTCTACAAGTGTCAATTTCTCTCCTTGGCTTTTCTCCCACTGGATAGCAGCTGTGATCTCGCTGAATTGAATCAGAACTTCTTCATGAGAAGTGTCCCCATCAGAGTTTGCGGCTGCAAGGGCCTCAAGAGCTTCCTGGCTACGGCCCTGGTAGACCAACCAACGTGGAGACTCAGGAACAAAAGGTAAAAGAATAATACAAACTACACTGAACAAGCCCTGCAGGATGGATGGAGCTCTCCATGCCCATGTTGAATCCAATTTTGCGGTGCCATATGTAACCCCCGCTGCAATGAGAGCGCCTAGAGAAATTCGAATAAGCCCAGGTTCATCGCGGAATCTATACAATATCAATCAACCACTTACCAACGTACCAGCAGTCATAGTAGAGGCCGAGGGTGAATGCACGCCATTTGCTGGGTACCACTTCAGATAGGTAAGTGGGTGATGCTGCGGAAGATACCCCAACGCCGAAGCCGATAATTATACGGCCAGCAATGAACATCCCAGTATTCTGAGCTGCAGATTGTATGATAATACCCACTAAGGCTATGCAAGAGGCGTAGAACAGTGTGAGACGCCGGCCAAAATAGTCACACATCATGCCATTGAAAAAGCCAGCGACGCAGTTTCCAATGCCGACGGCGGAAGTGTTCAATGCGGTGTTCACGGTGTTGAGACTAAAATAACCTGTATAGGAAGGCAGGATGTTGAGCCCGTTCCTGAGGAAGTTAATTAGGATTTAGTTAGAAAGGATAAAGAACGTCCTGGCCCTACATCATGGAACCGTCATAACCGTATGTCTGTTAGTTTATCAGCCTCTATTGCTCACTCAGGTAGATACTCGAACTTGGAGTATAGAAGACGTACGGCTGATTGTACCATGCACACTAGTATGAGAAGAGCCGTGAGAAATCTTGATGAGTGAAAGAAGTTCACCGAGACATGCGGGTCATTCTCAGATGTCGGCATATTGCTTATTAGATACAATACCAAAAGAGAATGAGATTATAGAAACAACGAATTCGCTTCACACTATAAGTAATGTCCCTGCGAGAGACGTACAAATTGAAAAAAGAAAACATATCTGGCCCGCTGAGCAGTCTAGACTTGTCATATCTAGACTATCTCGAGTGTCTATATGGATAGATACAGTTAATCCCCTGATTGTAGATCGGTGAGTCCGATAGAAATCCATATATTGAGGATCATAAATCTTAAAGGTGGTTATCTACTAGAGTATAATTAAACGTCTCAAAGTCAGAATCCGCGCTATTGCGCGGCGAAGATTTCTCGCACGTCATGAGAGCCAATAGATAAGTAGCTCATCAAAGATAGATACTCACATTCTGTAGACTAGTCCGATAGTCTTCGGGCGACCCGACCTATCTTGAGTGGCTAGATTCTTGAGCTATCACTTTTCAGTCGTGCGGGGAACGGTTCAAATCCCTTTCGAACGAAATCGCGGCGAGTGAATGGTTTAAAGCAAACTCAACACCGACAGAAAACGAGCTTGCTACTGATAAGCCTACAAAGACACCCGTGCTGAACCAAACTGAGCAAGCACTTTCACCTGCTCAACCTTATCTATCCGATATTGTTCAGTAATATGCCCGTCCTGAATAAGTGGCCTCAATGGCCTGAGTTTACATTGTCAGATGTACCAGTCCAGTCCGAGGAACGAATGCAAGGTTACAAAAAAGCGATAGTTGCAGAGCATGGCGAGCAAAACCTCCGTGACGCATGGATTAAAACATGTGAGCGTCTTGAGCAAATTACTCAACAGCTAATCATCGAAGGCTCGTCAATCATTCCAGTCCTTGAGTATGAGAACTTGGAAAATCTCGACGACAACGAGAAACAGCGCATGAAAGAGCTCGGTTGTTTTGTTATCAGAGGAGTGATCCCCCAAGAAGAAGTCTCTCCGCAATACAAGAGCCTCAAAGGGTATATTGCTTCAAATAAGGAGTCGATCTCGGGTGCGTGCAGCCACCTATCCGTCATCATTTATCAGGCCTCTAATTTAAGACACTACAGCATGGCCGGAGGCCAATCCAGCAGTCTACAGAATCTTTTGGACACCTACTCAGCAGGCATTCCGCGGCCACTTGCGTCATCTCCGTGTTCAAAAGTTCTTGAATGAATTCTGGCATGATAGCTCACAAGTCACCTCATCTGATCCGTTAACATACGCAGATGCTTTGCGCATTCGCCCACCAGGCAAGGAGTTTTACGGCCTCGGACCTCATATTGATGCTGGCAGCCTCTGTCGATGGACAGATCCTTTCTACCGCAAGGTCTATGAGAACATATTCTCTGGCTCACCCGAAAATCACGATCCTTATGATCTTAATTTGAGAAAAGATGCCAACCAAGCAGCATTCGAAGGCAGCGCGCACTCCACTGTCTTTCGAGCTTTTCAAGGATGGACAGCCATGACAGCCGCAAAACCACGCGAAGGCAGCCTCCTGCTTTACCCATACGTTAGCGTAGCAATGGCCTACCTATTACTCCGACCATTCTTTACTCCTCCGGCTCAAGGGGATATCATGGACGCGTCTCGATGGGTCTTCAATGCGGAAAACGGGTGGTTTCCCGGCACACATGAGGAGGATAGTCAATATGTCAGCCGAGAGTCGCATCCCCATCTACGATTAGAACAATGTTTGCTTTACATTCCGGATATGCGACCCGGGGATACAATATGGTGGCACTGCGATGTAAGGAGTATGCTGCTTTCCCATTAAGTACTATACTGATTTGTCATTCTGTCGAAGATGATCCATGCAGTTGAAACTGAACATTCTGGCAAGGATGATGCTAGTGTGGTTTATATCGCAGCAACGCCAACCACGCCAACCAATGTCCATTATATCAAGTCGCAGCTCCAGAATTTCTTGGCAGGACGCCCTCCTGGGGATTTCACGGGAGGAACAGATGAATCAAAGCTAACTGGATATCTCGGCGAGAAAGGTATACCTAGTGCAGATGCACTGCAAGCAATGGGTTATGGTCTTTATTAGCCATATTGGGAAGTTGGGCCGGCATGCTTTCAGTGGAGATTCCAGGGCCCGGGCCCGAACGGAGTGCTTGTGATAGACCATTAAGATTCGTCGAGATAAGTTGTACTGTTTCGAGGACCCTTTTTTCCCCCTGTATCTTTTCAAGACCACTGCACTTAATATTCCGAGACATACACATACTACCTCTCTTGTTTCCTAGTAGTGCACAGTCGCGTTAAGAGTTCGTCTTAACGGGGCGTGATCCCCCGTTCGGACAAGGCACTCCGCATCTCGTCGCGCTCCTCTTAGTATAACGGGCACTCAAGTAGGATATGTATATGCCACTATCTAGCTGCCTAAGGTATAGTCGCACCGTGCTGACTCTCGTCTGTCAATATAAGATAGGTAGGCACCTAGGCCGATTCGCCCTGTTCGCATCTACATTAGGATCGATGTACTTGCTATACGAAACTAAGTATACCGACTGTACAATATACTTAATTATACACAGTGTTCCTTTGATGGTAGGGTGTACTATAAGCGGGCTTTGACTGTATAAAGATTTTTGGGTTTCGCTAAGGTTCAAGGTTCTGCTTGGAATGCTCATGGTCTCATAAATTATGCTAATAAGATAAGCTTGGAAGGCAAGCTAAAATGCTATGGTACACCATTGCCCAGGTGGAATTCAAAACTCCAATTCTTCGACCTCCATGCCACAGCCAACACACGTCTTAACCGGCATGCCCGTCTCAGGATTATCGATGGGTCGACCCCATTCGTGCACATGTTTCCGGTTACTACTGAGGTCATCCCCAAACTCACCACCAGAAGCCCCTTGTCGATTGCGACGGTAGGCTTCAACTCGGGTGCGTTTCTTTAGGTCTTGCAGCTTGGTCTTGAACTTGGCTTCACGTCGTTTCTTTTTATCAGTTTCGCGCCGTTCGAATTCGGCATCCAGCGCCTCAGCGGAGCCCCATTTCTTATCCGATAGCGCATATTCCTCGACTTGGTACCGAAGATACAGCATCATGTTATTCCAAGTTGACTTGTGCGGATTGGGTTTTTCGAGACGGGGGAGAAGCTCTTCATCTCGCAACTCAGCTGTTGGGATTGATCAGCAATGCGATGGAGATAGGATGAGATGAGTGGTAGAGATGACTCACGATCAGTAAGAAGATAGTCTTCTTTCGCCTCGGTCTTGGTGAGGAGGCTGTACTTCTCCGGGTATTTGTCTTTGCATGCATGACAGATACGGCATCGGAGCTCCTCTTCCCATTTCCAGTCAATTTCTAGACTACCACATTCGCGACAGACCTTTTGCTTGGTCTTGTCATCCAGTACACTCAAGCCGGGCTCAAAAGGCCCTTCATGGTTCCGCTTTAAGGCCAATAGTAGTTGATGACGCTCCCATTCCTTCTGTGTCATATGCGCTGGCTTTTGTTCCTTCCCATCGGGGACATGTAGCGCCTTATTGAATGGATCATCTTCATGGCTCAGGAATCCACCCTTCGTATCAGTCATCTTACTGAAATCAAAGTCAACATATGAGGAAGTGAAGTTGCGGGCAGGTTTAATCGTATCCAGCGGACGATTAGCCGAGGGCGCATCTGAGCGCGCATCACGCATCGATGCAGGGTTGGATGCAGTCATCGAGTTGAACGAGCGTTTAACTCCTTGGGTGGCTTGTAAGGTTCGGGGTCCTGTAGTGGCGGGTGACGAGCGCCCAGCTTCTCGCAGCTCCCGCAGTGCTTTGGCTTTCATGCGATTCTCTTCCTAGAGGTGAAATTCGTAAGATTCAAAGACTCTTAGAGTCGAGGCGCTTTCCAGAATAAAAGCACTTACAATCTTCCGCTGCTGCTCGGGAGTAATGGGGCCTCGAGGGAGTTGCCCAGGCCCCGCAGGGCTCTGCCGCGGAGGTGTTGAAGGCCGCTCTGCTGACATCTTTGCCAAAACCAGGTCGTCACAGAATATGGTGAGATACAGGAATAATATGAGGAAATCCGCGGAGTTAGAACCTTGGTAAGACTGCCAGGCGGCGAGACACGTCTACACGTGACCGCGCGTAAAGTGGGTCACACGTCATTGGTTAATGCATTGATCGATCGATCGCTACGAGTCGAAACCATCCTCGTCACGATCCTGTCCATATAAAACCTCACATACACCACCAACCGGAATATCCATAACCGCATCTGTTCCCTCACTCCAGATCTCCCACCAATTGACCTTGCGATTTTGCGGACCCATAATCTGGAAAGATGTGGCACCTGGCTTCATCTTGGTCGCTCCACCTGGTCGTCGTCGCGCCTTTCCATCAATGACTGCGACATTGGCAACTTCATCGACGATATTTTCAATGCTGTTCATGGGCAAGGTGAGATACCCGGTGTTGTATGAGGCGAGCGCGACGTAGATATAAACGATCGAAATTACCAACCAAGACGGGATGGCCAGAGCCCACCAGCGATTAGGGTAGTAATAGATTCCAAGCTGGTGAAGGAAAGGTGACGGGAGATATGACCATAGCAAGTAGAACACTGCGAGCACCAAATATTAGCAAATGAACAGCAAAGGCCAATAGGCGTTGGAAACAGCGCCACCATAGTGGCGTTACTCCAGGAATACTCACAGAAGGCAAGTGACGAGGCCAAATAGAGCACGAACCCATAGTACTCATATGTAGGGACCTTAGGACTCGCGCGGGGGACAGTAGTTGCACGACGGGCAGACTTCGCCACGGCAGCCTCCGTATCGTTCGGAGTCTCCACATCAGAGCTGTCTGGTGTCGTAGGACGTGAAGTGGTAGTTGAGAAAGGCGGCCGTAGCAAGGATGTCAGGGAAGGAGACGGTGGCAGAGGCGTTGGCGGTCGATTGTAAAAGGGGGGTGCAAAGGCATTGGGTCCGTGGAGGGAGCTGGAGGATTGTCGGAATGGGTGATCGCGCCCAATTTCTTCTTCTGATTCTTCTGATTCTGAATCGGATAATGATTGAGGATCGAGGGAATAGTGAGACTGGAAATCGGCATCGTCCTCTACCTCGATCTCGTCGTAGCCGGGCGAGGTGATGCTTTCATCTTCAGGAAAAGCTCCTTGTGCATCCGTGGGCGAGACAAGCTCGTCCATTAAGGGCGGGAAAGGTTGTTTTGACTCGAAGGAGGGCTTGAAGCCTGTACCTTCCGAAGTCCGGTTTTCCTCCATTTGGATGCCAAAAAAGAGGGTGTTGACCCGATTAGCTGTTTAGTTGACTGCGTCGCGGGACCTTTTTCTGCCCGCATATGAACTCCACCGCTCTCTCCATCTAGAAGGAAGTTCCACCATTTTCAATGGAAGGAATTTCTTCATGAATCTTGTCGTGCATAGTACTAGCTCTCTGTCTTCTTCTATCATCTTAGTAGCTCTTAACGTGAAAGAAGTCACGCCTTGAGATAGGAAATCACTTCCATCATAGAAGCTCTACGTGCTGCCAAGACGTTGAAGGTGGGCCTCGGTGGATCAAGTTTATATGATTGAGGGCCCTGATTTGACTACAACCAACTACCTTGCCATTCTCTGATCAAAGACCTTTTCTCCCAAGGCCCATGTCTGCTGGACAATAGTGTTAAGCAATGTTTCAGACGTCCACTCAGTCTCTAGCACCACAAAATCCGCCCGATGGCCTTTAGCTATGCTCCCAGTCCACCCTTCAGCAAACCGGGAATATGCCGCTCCTGAGGTTGCTGCAATTGCAGCCTGAATCAGCGAAATAGCACCGACAGGGTTGGTCGTCTGAGATGAGCTCGGATCCAAAGCTGACTTCCGTGTTGTAGCATTGTAAAGGTTTGGCAATGGAAGGTGTTTCGCAGTCGGCGCGTCCGTCCCGATCGCAACACAGGCATGTCCGTCAAGATATTCGCGATATGGGAACACTCGATCCCACAAGCGAGGCTGAAGAATCTTGGGATAAGCCTTAGTCAATACCGGATCGGAATGGACTGGCTGAATGGATGCGGTAATGCCGAGTTCTCCAAGTCGTTTCGCATCAACCACCGAAGCGAGCTCCAGGTGCTCAATGCGATGTCGTCCCCGAGGGCTGGAAGCAGCTTCGATGCTGTCGATTGCGTTTTTTATTGTGACGTCACCAATGGCATGGATTGCAACCTGCAGACCAGCATCTGCGGCTCGCTTTACCACCCATTTCATACTTTCCAAGGGCCAAATTGGATCAACCGTTCCAGGGCTAACGCCGGAATATGGGTGACTTAGAGCAGCTGTACAGCCGTCCACTACCCCATCAGCGATTATTTTGATGCCAACTACACAGAACTCCGGAGAGGTAGTTGGGTGGAATTCGGAATGCTTGGCGATCGCTTCGTCAATGTACTCTGATAGCTCATCTTTGTCGTCGGTGAAGGGAATGTACCAATGAGCAGCAACATGTATAGGAACATGCTGGCTTTCTCGCAAGAGCCTTAATGCCTCCCACGCAGTGCTATCCATGGCCATATCGACCAGGCCAGTGTAACCGGACTCTAGATACGCCGCTAAAGCATCCTTTAAAGCCGTCAATCTTTCTTCCACAGTGCTGATATTCATCAGATGTGGCCAGACAATTCCAGTTTGAGCGCTCTCTTCCATTAGTCCTGAGGGTGATCCATCCTCAGTTCGATGGATCTTTCCTCCAGGTGGATCTGGAATGGTTTCAACGCCCATCTCTTTTAACGCACGGGTGTTACACCACGTTGAATGAAGGTCCAACGCTTCGATAAAAATAGGTCGAGCATCAATATGATCTATCATACTGGCAAATGCTTCGCTGTTTGTTGAGGGCTGATGCCAACCACGACAAAGGATCCGAGGAAGCTCTGGGTGTTCCTTAGCATAGCCAATGATGGCTCTTTCGATATCCTGGAAGCATTTGCAGCCGCTCAGGTCTAACTTTTGTAGGGCCAGTCCAAAGAGCAGAAAGTGCGTGTGACTGTCAATAAACCCGGGAACGACCACTTGGTTCTTAAGATCAATGATTTGAGCACCTTGAAGCTTTGCAGCTTGAACTTCCTCATCTGTGTCGTATCCGACATGGGTGAATTTGTTGCCTTTAACCACAAAGCAGCCTAAGAACTCATCATCAGAAAGGCCATTTTCTGGGCAAAAAGCTCGACAGTTCTTGAAAATAGTGACGCGCGACATTATTGAATGCATGGACTGATGATGCTCATGTAGAGGCATCTTGAGCTTGACGCTGGATCTGGCGTACGATTGATGAACATTATGCTTCGGTAGACCCGCAGCATTTATCCAAGCGGGTCGGCCGATCCGATTGTTACCTTGAAATAAACCTACACATCCGTATTCAGCAGAAGTTTATTGGACCAACTAGGGAATTTTGCATGCCAAACGGAAGGTTCAGTACAATATTTCCGACGTAGGGGTCATCTTCCGCAGCTAGCACCCAATAACGAGCAATTTGCATCACGATCATGACAACACAATCTGTTTCCCGACTAGCCACGACAGGCGACCGAACCGATACTTAAAATGACCTGCTGTAGACGCTTTGATAATAAAGTCCTCGCCAGATCTCATGTTACAGTAGATTTTATTCTGCTTTGCATGTCTGAAACCATTGATCTCGGCTCACATCCCGATGCCTCCTGATATGAACACCCGAGAACCATCGCAACCTCCTGGAACTGTTCCACTAGAAGGTAAATAAGCGATGCGCTGCGAAAAATGAACTTTGCTGACGATATTTGCATCAGACCTCCAGCGAAGTGTTTCAGGGGATGCCATTATTCTGCAACCTACACCATCACGGAACCCAAATGATCCTTTGGTAATAATGATGAACTATAGTAATCTACTGATACTGACATTTGACTAGAACTGGAAACCATGGGAGAAATATCTAAACTATGGCCTGGTCCTACTTTACTCCTTACTGATGTTTGCTGTGTAAGTGCCATTCCAGATACCTTGCTGAAAAACAGTGAATACTAACGTCCTGTTATGAAAGTATTGGGGCTGCAACGCCGACATGGGCACCAATGAATGAACAGCTGGGGTTTAGCTATGAAATACTAAACGATAGCTACGCAACCGGCTCAGCCACTCTATGTATTGGAGCCCTGATTTTCATCCCAGTTGCTCTCAAGTTTGGCCGACGCCCTATTTATCTTCTCAGCGCGCTTTTGCAGGTTGCCATATGTATTTGGTTTGCAAAAGCACAAACAATTGCGGACCTCATGCTCGTGAATGGCCTTTCATGCCTTCTTGGGGCACTGGCCGAAGTGATCGTTCAAATGACAGTAGCTGATATGTTTTTCGTTCACCAAAGAGGCCAGATGAATTCCCTCTATATATGGGTTATGATCATCGGTTCTGCCCTCGCGCCTCTGGTAGCAGGATACATCACTGACTCACAGGGGTGGCGATGGGTATGGTGGTGGATGGCGATTCTGTTCGGAGTTTGCTTTGTGTTGTTCCTCTTTTTGTACGAAGAGACCAAATTTTTTGACTGCATTGATGGGTTATCTCCGAGCAACACAACCGAGGAAATAGATTCTACTGCCCAACAGAAACAAGAAACGGGAAAGGATGACTACGAGAATGATCATGATATTGAGTTGGCCAAAGTACAACCCACAACAAATCATACATGCAGGCCTGACATTGACCTTTCTATCCTTCGCACACCTTACGTGCGGCGTCTCGCTCTGTGGTCTATTACTCCAGGTTCGCTGGGCTTCTTCACTCGGCATATATATCAACCCTTGGTTGTTACCGTTGCGTTTCCTGCGGTTTTTTACGTTGCAGTTCTTTACGGCGTCATAACTGCTACATGGCAGGTTATGATTACCGTGATCGCTTCTGTCATGCCGGAAGCGCCATATAACTTTACTGCATCACAGATCGGTCTTATGTCCTTGGCTCCACTCATCGGAACAACACTGGGAAGCTTGATCACAGGGCCGCTGAGCGATCGACTGATTCTCTTATTAGCAAAGAGGAACGGTGGCCTGTTTGAGCCCGAAATGCGTCTCTGGATTGTGTTGGCATTTGCGCCACTCGTCCCAGCTGGCATCCTTCTCTTCGGATATAGCCTTGGCAATGGCGATAGATGGATTATTGTTGCAGCTGGATACGCTATCTTTGGGCTCGCCATGGCGCCTGTGAGCAGCGCTTCCTTGACGTATCTGACAGATGCATACACGAACGTAAGTTCCGACACAGACAAGTCTCTGGCAAATGGTTGAAAAGTTAGAGGAGAGTGAATTTCATGAGCTGACTCTGTTGCTTGTTGCTTTTCCCAGATTGTGGCAGATTCCCTTGTTGGCGTGACGTTTGTTAGAAACCTCCTCGCGACAATATTTGTTTTTGCGATCACACCTTGGGAAACAGCTGTCGGCTTACAGAGTGTGTTCTTGACACTTGCAGTGTACATGATCACGATATTAGGCCCTGGTACACTGGTCTTCATGTATTTCGGTAAGCAGCTGAGAGCGAAGACCGCAGAAAGATATCACAGCTATTCATGATTGCAGGGATAAGGCGTGGGGCACAGCTTGGGCATTAAAGTAGACTCAATCTTCAGTCATAAGCAAGCAAATAGCAATCCGTCATCACCTATAAAAGATCCGGAGAAGCCTTTTCCTCTAGTTCTATAATGACAAAACCAGTGCCACATACTGCTGGCTATATATGGGCACTAGCCACTATCTTACTCTTTTTCAATTTAACAGTCATTAAATCGGATGAGAACAACGTCATCATCGCGCGTGACTGATTTATGGACAGGTCCATGCTGGACAAAATAGAAAAGTGAGTTTTATATGCTTTGACAGGGAGTATATAGGTTCAATTAGATACTTATATCAACTGATGGAAGCTAGCGGGTTCTTTGCCTGTTCATTCTGGTGCAGGGTTTACAAGTATCAACTGGAGGACTGCAAGAGATAATGCTATCGTTATTGATTTTCTTCAACTATCATTAGCGTGACCAAGACGACCTGAGAGTGAATCTTGTACAGGCCTCTATTGTTGCGATTCAAAATGCTCAAGCCAATGCCCTGAAAGTGTGAGAACTCTGCGATTTTCTTACTGTTACCATTACCCGTAGTACTGCTATTACCCTTGATAGGCTCTGTCAATATAACATCCACAAAACGAAGCCTAATGCGTCTGAAAGGCCAAAAGGGAAACCTTATTGCCAATGCGATTTCATCATGGATTTACTCATTTACCCAAGATTACGTACGACGAATGTTCATCGTGAGAGGAGACCCTGACCAAAAATGGTTTCAAACTGAGATAAGAGAAAGAAGCCGACCGCAACTGAACTCCAACTACGGCTGCTAATCAACATACATAGCGATACAAAAATAGGTGCCCAGACTGCCCCGCTCAATATGCAAGTTCTACCCTTGACATCATTCTTATTGAAGAGAAGAGTTGGAATCCAGTACGTTTGGCGACCATAATAACAGGCTGTTTTCGTGGTAAGGGAAGGGAAAAATGCGCCTTGCCGCAGCTTTTGTTTTCTGTCGGCGCTTCGCCATAAACCCTGCAACAACCACTCGTCAAATTGGGGCGGAGGCGGCGCTGCCAAGGCCGCACCAATGGTATGCAGCCAACAACCGTCTCTTACCTAGAATAGCCAGTTAGACACAAGACTTCATGCAACTGGAATATCCAACATGACGCGTCGAATGAAATCGTGGCCACAAGTTAGTAGGAAGCTGGAATCTTCCACGAGAAATGAAATAGAAATACCGAAGCTCTTCCGGTTTCTTCTTATCCCTTTCTCTCCTATGTCAAGTTTGAGTCTTCACTCTGTTGGGAATTGATCAATATGGCGGATTTGATACAGTTGAAGACAAGATTCGAAACGGTGAGGGTTACTGAAGACAGCAAGGACAAGATTATCGAGGTGTGCTCAGTACATATGGCCCCCGGCTGAACTCCACTAACTGATCTTTTGTATGCAGGACCTCCTGTGCTGTGTTGAACGCCTCCAAAATGATCTTCAACGAGAGAAAAATGATTACCAAGACCAGAAAAAGTTGGTCGAAATGTATAGGAAAGATGTCAAGAACATAGAGAGTGAGCTGAGAGAAAAGACTGATAAGGAAGTATGCTCGGCGATTGATCTTATCTACCAGTACAAATATGTTGTTGACCACATGATAACAGGCAAAAATGAGATTTGCATCAGTACTTGTGGATGGTGACCATATGAACGTGAGTACATCGTCTATTCTTGGTACCTAGCTAACAATGTATAATCGTAGTTCTTGAACGAGTTCGTTCGAGACGGACGAACAGGCGGTGGTTCCGCAGCAAAGGCTCTCATGGAAGCTGTACGGAATCATGTCCGAAAGGTTGCACCCGATGTCGACGCCAACATTCAGTACAAGATTCGGGTGTTTGCGAATGTGGCTGGCTTAGCAAAGACGTATCGTAATACGGAAGTCTTGAGCTCAGAATATGCCTTGGGATCCTTCATCCAAGGATTCAACATGGAAAATCCTCTGTGCGACTTTGTGGATGCTGGCAACGGGAAGGAATGCTCCGATGTGAAGATCCGAGGTGATTTTACGATGTTTCTTATCTCCAGCGTTGCGGGCATTTGCTAATTAGACTTGTAGCTCTCTTTGAACACTACTTTGACGACGTACATTGCCAGCACATCGTCTTCTGTGGATCTGCAGACAATGGTTATGCGCGTGTATTGGGGCCCTACCGTGGATCCAAGCGTATTTCCATGGTGGAGGGTCCACCATTCGGTCGCGAACTAAGAGAGCTGGTACCTGACTTCGAGACGACATCGTTCCCCGGTGTTTTTCGATCAAGCCAGCTGTCTAGAAGGGTTTCGTTCGGTGGTACAATTACCCCGCCGGCAATCACACCACCGCGAACACCCACTGAAAACTACGCCTCTGTGGCAAGAGCAGCACCTGCAGTACCAGGGTTACCTGTGGACAACTCCACACCTGCAAATTTACCTATGAGAGCGACCAGAGCTAGCATTTCTAGGCTGGTTGTCTGTAGGAATGCTAACGGAGAACGGGTTGATAGCCCTTTGCACTATTCCACGAAGGGAAAACTTGAGGTTCTCAAGCAGCAAAAGTTCTGCAATCAGTTTCATATATTGGGAACCTGTTCATATGAAGAAAGAGGCTGTACTCATAAGCATGAGCCAAGGCTTGATGAGCGAGATGTGATTAATTTGATGTGTGTCGCTCGCCTGTCTGCCTGTCCGAGGGGCTTGCGATGTGATGATCAAAGTTGTGTGCAGGGTCATCGGTGTCCAAAAGATTGTACAATTCCGACTTGCAAGTTCCCCCACGGTGTTGACACCAGAATTGTGAGCCCAGCTTGATATACTGAGCTATCGGTGTTTCAGTTCGTCGTTTCAGTTTGTCACTTTTAGTTCATTTTGGCCAAATATTCTAATATCAATCCTCGTATGCTAGTTGACAATGGAAGGTAGATTGCTTACAAGATCGTGCTACATGGTAGCTAGCATGATAGCAGACCAGTTTTCAGATAGATAGCAATTGAAAATCTCAACAAGCAGCATCGTCATACCACAGGCCACCACTTATTGTACGTTAAACTACAATGGCTCCACAATTTTCAACCCTTTCAACAACATTTATTATAGCATTGTTTTTGCTAGTTATTATTATTATTATAATTCAAATCAAAATTCCAACATACCAATAAGCGAGCCGTCCTTGGTAAAGAATGTGGTCGACCATCCACCAGTCGGAGTCCAGCAGTCAGAATATGGAGAGACTATTGAAAGTACTCTTCCAAGGTTGCCATGTGTCGTGGGCGAAGGTTGAAGTACTTGTACTTCTCTTACTGGACACAGATTGTGTTTCCGAACACCTTATTGGCTTTAGCACTTTTTCCTTGCACGTCTGAATGAAAATAAAGAAGAGCTTACATCGACCTTGATTCCCTTCGTGCAGCAAAGGGAACTACCGTGCGTGCATTTGCCATCCCCCGGAGCTAATATTGATGTCAGCAGAAGTGCTATCAGATATGGATATCAGACAGAACAAAAATCTCACCCTTCTGGCAGAAGACTCCGATGTTATTGCCCAGGACGATAGAGCAGCACAATTGATTACCGGGAGGGCACTTAGGCGGGGGAGGAGGGGGAGGAGGGGGCGGGGGAGGGGGCTTGGCTCGCGCATCAACTTCAAACTCCCTAGCTTCAAACTCCTCAGCTGGAAGAGCGGCGGCCATTCCAGCGATGGCGAAGAGAGCAAGGAAGTTCTTCAAGAGCATGTTGAAGGTTGGTTGGAGAGTGAAGTCTTTCTTTGTATTGTTGTAGTCAGTGAAGTGTGAGTTGGAATGGGACAAACACTGGCGGAAATCTTGAGTCTTTAAGTAGTTTTCCTCCCACCTCACAAGCTGTGTGATAGGAATTCTTGCCAGATGTTGGTGGCCATCAATGAATCATTGATCTGCTGCTGCTGGTCGGTCTAGATCAAACTCAGACAGATGATCCTATCACCTCTAGGTGTCCAACTGTAGAGGTAATCTTAGAGAATACCCGTAGGAACGCTTGCATTGACGTCCCGTTCGTGGGGGGAATACGAAGATTAACCTACGGTCCATGCGAACATTGGATCTAGATCAGTGGTCAGAAGGTTGAAGTTGAAGAAAGCTTTCATTTGGTCGAGCGTCCCGCCGTGATGATGATTGTGGTACCAGTGTGTACACCCCGTACTCAGGTCTGGATTCAAGATGTCGGCAGATAACACTCCAGTCAATAGTCTGTCTAGAACTCAGAGCCATCAAAAGATCCAAATGCGGAGATAACGAGGGGAAAGCCAATGTAGATCCATGGGTGAAGAGTTCAATTGAACAGCAAAACCCCAACCTAGTATAGATTATATTCAGCCAGAGAAAGTATCCGACGGTAAATTAACTTTAAAGTGGATAACTGAATGCTAACCAAATGAGGCCGCTTCGACTGGTTGTTTCGGTGAGGCTCTAGGGATCGAGGCTTTTTAGATCCATAAAGAGCTTGTTGAGCTTTATTGAACAAAAGTTATACTTAGAGGAAGCCTGAGCTCTCTCCCACTCTCTCTCTGCTCCACTCCATTCATCCCATTACAAGTGACTATTAAGAGCTGAACTCTACAAAAATCTAGGAACCTTGGCATCATCAAATAACCTAATTCGGCCGCCACTTACGATCCCGCATCTCGTATCCGCGCCTAGGTACGGGCGTGCCGGACAAGAAATAGAGCCGACCAATAAGTCCTGTAAGTCAAAAGTTCTCGAGATAGATGAGTTCGTGCCGATTACTTCAGCAGCCATGGGTCCCAGCTTCAGGTTCACGTTTCGAAAATGCCCAAGATATGTTTTCCAGCACGAATAAGGTTATCTAATCAACCACGGTACCAAGTAACTTGACCACTCCCACGGGAACCGGTTCGTACCCCGGGTTTGGAACCTGTCATTGCACCAGAATACGACAGCCTAGACCAATCGACCGAGCACCGGAGTTTTCTACCGGCATCTGCCAAGCAAACATGTTAGACTGCTAGTCAATGACAAGATCTGATGGTTCCCAGTGGGGGTCTTGGCGATCGATTGTCCAGGCCAGACCAGTTCTGCGGCTCCACCAGGGCGGAAAGTGGTTCGTGCACCACGTAAAGCCCCACCACGCCGTTCTTGTCCTGAGGCAGGCTGTTCAGCCCGACTCCCAGAAAAGGCCTGTTAGGGAACCACCGATCGAACGCCGCATTTGTCTATTTTACACGAATCTAGATGAGCCATGTGGTTATTTCCCTGAAGTTCCAGGTTTCAAAGTCATGCTCTTTACTGCGTGGGCAAAAGTGGGTCATTCCCCACAGCGGCCATAGTACTCTTGAGTGCCAAGTCATTCCATGTCGCCAAGAGTAAGTAAAGATGTCCACGGAGTATGCAGAGATTATTGAGAAAGAAAAAAAAATCCAATCAATCATTTCATTGACAAGGCAAAATGTCTGGGATCTCCGGCTTGGGAACCGACAGTCCTTCTTTCCCTCATCAAGAATCAATTGGTTCCTTATGGTGTTCTCACCGAGTGCGAACAATCTAGATGCTAAGGTTTCATTACTCTACATATCTTCCAAAATACCAAATTTGCTCGCGCAGCATGGCTAAAAGATTGCCCATGGCTGAGACCAGCCACAGCAGACAAACTTTGTGACAACCAGACATACAAAACTTGCTGCATAACTGGCGGCCGCAAAGGAGATCAAACCTTTATATTCGCCACCACACGCAGTTAGGATCTGGCCGGCTATTGGAATCCCAGTGAGAGTACTTTTTGCGTCAGTGATTTCGTATGCGCAAGGCGAAGCTTTCAAGGACAGAGAAATAGAGACATTGTTTCTCTTCTTTACATACCTTATACTGACAATAACGTAGGCTGTAGCATAGTAGCGGCCATACTGTTCAAGTTTGCATAGTTGCCCAATGCACACTGGGGCCAAACTTACATTACTGCCACTGGTGAATCCAAATAGCAATGCAAAGACCGTGATCACAGCTTTACTAGACCCGGCCGGGATCCACAGACAGGTAACACAGAGCAGACAGCCAAATATAGTGATGATCAAAGTATTGAATCGACCAATGCGATCAGCACAGTAACCCGGGATCCACCGACCAAAGACCGAGCCCGCATTGACCAAGGACAGCAACAAAAAGGAAAACTGCGAAGATTGCCCATGGAGCAGGGCGTAAGATGTCAAATAAGTAAGAGGGACAAACAAGCCCCACTCCATAAAGAATATTCCCATACTCGCGAGCATGAGCGTACCATTACAGAACAAAGAGAGGTCAGGAAGCATTGCTCTTACACCCGTTGTTCTAGGCGGAAGCCTAGATCGAATAAGCATTATAGCAATACTGAAAGCGACCAAGTCCACAAGCGCAATAACGCGTGTGGCCCATGCAAATCCGATCCGACTCGCCACGCTTTGGAAAAGCAGTGGAAATACCACGCCACCGCACGACGCACCAGAAGATGCAACGCCCGTTGCAAGGCCTCGTCTTCGACGGAAGTAATGCGCGACAATAGAAATTGCGGGGTTGAAAGCAAGTGACACACTGACACCTCCCAGAACTCCGAAGACTAGCATGAAATGCCAGTAACGGGTGCAGAATCCTATTAGGATCATTGATAGGACGGTCCCGATCCCACCGCAGGTGACGAGAATACGAGGGCCCTTCGCGTCGAATATTGGGCCGACCTGAATCCCGCAGAAGAAAGCGAGAAACGAGAAAACGCCGAGGATCCACCCAATTTTGCCGAATGAATATTCCCGTAATTGATGCTCTTCCAGGTAGGTTTGGAAGATTCCTAGACTGTTCATCATTCCGATGGTGCTGAAGCTGGCCATCCAGCTTCCAAGGACAACACTCCAGGCGTTCCATCCTCCCTCGGGATAGAAGTCGGGATCGCTTTCATGCGACTGCGGTGTGGAATCTCCCTCGTCTGAAGAATCGGAAGACTGATCCCTAGGCGCATCGTATTCGGAAACCTCTTGATTCTCAACTTTCTCCGAGAGTGAGAGATTCCGAGTCAAATGATGGCTGGCGTTTGATTTGTATTCGTTGTTGATTGAAGGGTCCGGAGACATGTCGGGGTAAGGCATATGATGAACTCAATTGGCCTTTCTTCCTCTTCTAAATACAAATAACCAAATAGAATCAAATTTCCGTAGCCACTTGCTTTAATTTCAATTTACTTTGAAGAACGTGGGGCATGACAATCTCGAATAAGTTATTGTCGGCCATTCCGACGAGGGCGGGGCACGCCAAAATGCTGGTTCAATCATAGACTCCACCCACATCTGGTGATGGGCGCCTGTACGTTGGTCGGGGGTGTCGGGTCAGTATGCAGTGACTGTACTTATTTTAGTGCTCATAATCTCAAAAGATCACCACTTGCGCCTACCAGATTTGAGCCGGCAAGAGGTGCTCTAAGTCGCTTACTTAAATGAAACGAAATTGAAGCCTAAGATGGAGGCATATTTTGATTTTGACAATGATGAGTTGAGAATTCAAGAGCTAAGTATTGCACCCGTGCCTCATGGGTCATTGAATTGTCTGTAGTCTTCAACAAGAGGCTTTATGATATATTGAAACACTGCGGCCTGGAATTCCTCATTCTCAATGTTCACTTCACGAGTCTTGGTCCAAATTAGGCACTGCTGAACAACGTCCCCGTAATTTGGGCCACACTCGCAGCAAACATCATATATCCAACTTCTGACCTGTTCAAACTGTGCGGTAGACCCATCTTGGCCTCCATCGCCGGGGGTATGAAGGGAGGTGATTGTGCGGCCAAGTGAAAGCTCAATCAAAACTAGCCCCAAAGGGAAAAGAATATCATTGTATCCTGCCCCGGAGAGGGAATAACCTTCAAACTCTGTGTAATCAGATAATTTTCGAGCTATAACAGGGGTCTGAATCGACTTTTCGAGATTCGTGGAGGTAATATTTCCGGTAAAAATGATATTGCGAGACGACCACCGGGATGGAAGCCAGCTGCCGTGACATTCAAGAACGGTACTCGCCAGTTTCGCTGCTAGAAACCGACGATCCCGTTTGGGAAATATGAAAGGTGTGCGGAAGTTTCCAGAGATCGTCAGTGATGCTAGAAGCAAGTCTTCAAGTGAGTGCACTTCGAACTTTCCAGCTCCCGCTTTCAAAACTTGGAAATTATGGGTATAGTTCCCGTCAGATAAATAACCAATGGGTAGTCCTTGGTCGGTGGGAGTCAAACAGCCATAAATTGCTTCACATATGTTTGAGATTTGGGAGGAAGGGGCATTGCTGGATGTGCCAGGGGTCGCATAGATGGTTGAATTGGCTGGCGGTGGAGCAGAGCGTAAAGTACGCGATCGCGTCATAATTGGCGGGGGTAAATTGACACTTGTAGAACAATTTTCCGCTGTCTTTGCTTGTATCTCGTGCCATTTAGTAGAAGCTGTGGTGGTTGGAGACGTCATGAAAACCAAACGAACCCCGTCCGGTTCCAACCGCTCGCAAACGTTGATATCCTTGTTGAGAAAAAAATGAAGAGTGTGGGTGTCAAAACAAGCACATTGCCAATATGCTTTGTTCATTATTGCCTCGTAAAGGCTAGCTGTTGTTTGCCGAATTGCTTTGTACCTTCTCGTCGATTCTTTCGATCTGGTCTTAAGTCTTCGCTGCGTACTTCGGGTCACAGACTGCTCGACAAGCGTTCTGATGATGTTGTTCATATACTCCAAATCTTGAAAAAGCTCTTTACATATATTTTTCGAAAATATATCCTTGATTCTTTGAAATCCTTGGGATGCACCGAAAGGCTGAGTTTTTGTGGTCTGGAAAGGTCTTGTCAGCTCTATGTGTTTAGGAAACCCCACCAAACGACTGTGATAAGTAGGCCAACTCACTGCCGTACCCAAAGAGAGCCCCATTTTGATTGCAAGTTCCTCTAAGACGTGGGACACCTGGCTCATGATGTCACAGAATGGTGTATAGCTCCGGCCTAGCCTTTGTTTAAGATCTCTCTGAAGGATTGGATCCGCCCACAGTGGATCCTGCGTATCTGCCAGGAGTATCGAAATCTGATACTCTGGAACAACATCTTCCAAAATTGTTTCCAGACAATTAAGCAGGATTGCATGCTGTCCGCCGAGCATCGCTGCGTGTTCATCTAGATACCGGCGATATCTCTTGGTTCGGAAGGACTTGATCGTTTCCACACCCTGGACATAGCTATCAAGCTGATTTATAATGAGTGGAAGGATGGCTAGGACCAATCCAGTAGTCTCAATACCTGTAACCATGTTGTCTTTTCCTTTTCAACGCAACTATTGGGGTATCGAAGTAGTTATATGAATTTGTGTTGATACTTGGCCAATTCACTGACCCCGCCTTGAAATTCGGCCCAACCAGAGCCTCAAACATACCAGCTGACAAGAGCGGGGTAACAATGTCTTTTCAGAGGGTTTTACCATTTTTCTTCAGAAATTGTAAGGTCAGTATAGAACATGGATACCCAAAATACATTATCATCTGAGGTCGGGATATGCCAAGGCCAATTTGAATGCATTTTAGAGTCCGGAATTCTACAAAGATTCCAGTCGGAAGTCAGACTTTCGCAATGGAAAGATGAACTTGGACGGTTCCGGGTTTGGGTATCGAACATAGGTGCTCACCAGACATGTCAATCCTCTTTGGAGTACCGATTGCGGGATGCATCCCACATTACAAGTCAAGTAATGAGGCAGCTCGGCCGGCTCCGTCGTTTATTTATGGACTTGCAAGATCTTGCAGAGGTGGCATCCGACATAGCGATGGCAGAAAGTGAACTCGAAGTTGATCCGGCAGAAGAAGTCCATCTTATCTACTCTGATATGCTTCAGGTAATTACCCAACTTTACGAAATGTCTATACTTATTCGGTGCCCATCTTCGCATGACCGCTTACAGCAAATCAAAATCTCCGATTACTCCAACTTTGAACCTAATGATCGACAGCACGTCTATGCCAAATTTCCTTATGCAGATCATGGTATTTTGAATCGACTCGGAGTTGCCATCTCCAAGCGGCGAGCACTGTTGAAGTACCGCGAAAGGCATCGCCAGAAGTTCGGATATGGGGCTGCCGGGGAAGGCAAAAGGGCATCAGCTCCTTCGGAGACCATGGAAACTGAGTACAAAGACCCAAATTTGTACTCTTGGGGTGCACAATCAGAATCGCAGCAATCTATGACATCGTACGGAATATCGACAATGGAGGGTGATCGAGAGATTGCCCAACTCAACCCGCCAGAAGATGCCATGGCCGGCCAGCCCTTTGAATGCGAGTTATGCTATCATATTGTACAAATCAGTGACAGAAAATCCTGGTTGCGCCATATATACAGTGACTTACTGCCCTATGTGTGCACATTCCCACGCTGCAAGACCCCTGATCGGCTCTATGAAAGAAGGCACCAATGGGTGGAACATGTTAAATTTCACCACCAGCCTTCATTTGATCTCCCACTCGATACAGATGCCCGCTGTCATCTATGTCAGAGATTACTTACTCGAGGTACTGCCTTTGATCGACACCTTTCAAGGCATTTGGAGAATCTGTCTCTCTTCGCCGTTCCACGAAGCTTATTTGAACCCCACAGGTGGGGTGTGCCGGAATTAGAGATCGAAGAAGAACCATCGCTTTCTTCCCTAGAGGAGGTTCATGCTGAAGTCGATATAGTAGGTGGTCATTACTCATGAGTTTTGCTTAATACTCACGTGCTGTCTTGAAGGAAGAAAGCAACATAGAGCTCGATGCGAACCGAGATATTGGACAAAACAATCAGGAAGGAGGTCAAGCACACCAACAACCAGACATAGTAGATAATTGGATCGGCTCAACTCATATATTTCAGGGGATGACAGGTATGAGGGGGGTTTGGCTATGTGTAAGTCCTTTCAAAGATAGGATGATATATTTTTCACTAACTTAAGATTAGTGTTGTTGCGGCGAAGCGTGTCATGAGGCTTTAAGCCCAGAAAGATGTGCTACGTGTAATCATACCCGTTGCCACACTTGCGGAGGAGTATAATATATGCATAAAATTAGGTATTTTTGAAGCGATGCAGACATCAAAGAAAGGATTTGGGGCTTTCACCCCTGAGGAGATAGCTTACGGCCATAGAAACAAGTTTGCTCGCCTGTCCAAAGCCCTAGTAGACCTCGGGACCGTAGCTTGACATATGTCAGCACGCGGTGCTGGCTAAGGATCAGAGGAGAAATGGAAGCACAGGCTGACAGCTTGCTACTACATGGAGAAATCCGATGGTATTGTGGCTGAATAGAGGAATGAAGGGGATAACAAGGGGAAGAAGCGCCGATCTACCTACAGGACTCGCTCAATTGATCTCCAGGCTCTGACAACATACTCAGAAACTGTGTGAGGCCAATACCATTCAGCCTTGTATGCCGAGTGCCACACTCTTGGATTGAAACGTTGGACGGATTTCTGGGCGTAGGTAACTCGCGGATCATGTGCCGAGAGAGAACCGCCAAGTAGCAGTACGACTATATTGATGCGGTCCAAAATATGCCTTTATCTTCACAAAAGACCTTGGAAGCTATCTTTACGTCTTTTGGTGCTTTCAACTTTCTTGACGGATGCCGTCTTGAAGCATTCGGTTTCTTTCCTTCGGCGTTTTCTCTTCCTTCAACCCCGCACACCCAACCCGATAAATCTATCAGCGCCATTTCGTCGACTTTCTTCACCTAGCCCTTTCACATCATAGTGTGAATAGACAACGAGCCACGCAATTTTCTTCTCATTCTCTATTACACGCTTTATCTACTCATCTCGTACATTGGGCACTATTCCGGTGAGCTAACGAAGTGAGAGAATAATGACTATATTGGTCGCTTTTACGGCGCAGAATAAACAAATCAGATTGTCTCAAGTTCACTACTTCGCGCCTTTTTACCACGAAGCCCTTGAGATGTTGAGCTACTCAATGCGGGTTCTCTGGTTATCATGATCGAAACAAACAGTATACAGATGGCATGATGCATGCATCGAGATTCGGCCCCGGAAGCTAGACGGGTTGCATGTGTTACTTGATGTTGGAAGCTATGAGTCTACAACATTACAACTGATTGAGGTCTAGGATTGACTTCTGGATCTCGCGAGGGAGCGATGGCAGGCTAGACAGCTTCTTCGCCTTGCTTCTTTTACATTTGTGTGATAGTGTTCTATCCGTCTCACTGAATAATTTGATGATCATATAAAGTGGGAGGAATGAGACAAATGAGAGCGGCTAGAGGGTTTTCCTTGCGGTGACAGCTCGCTTGGGAGGTATATCAATAGTGCTATGCTAAATTGAAGATAAATTCCACTGGGTATTCTTAATCTTCACCGCATATCCAAACATATCCAAATATGTCCTATCAATAACCTACAGCAGGTACCATATATACTTTAAGCTTGGCCGAGACAGTCTGAACCATCCCCTGTATCTTCTTCGCAGAAGAGAACTTCGTCGAAAAAGCCTCCAGAAGTTCAACAACCAGCTCCAGATCATCAATCGCCCTCGCATGATCCAAAACCAACGAAATGTCGTCCGTCTGGGCAGTAGAAGTATACATAAGAGACAAAGCCGAGTTAAAGATAGCCACAAGATTTAGCCAATTATACGCAAAACGACGTTGTCTATGCATATTAATAGCCTGCCGTATTGCCATCCCTGACGCCTCAGCCAAGATCTTCATTTTCGCAAGATCCAAGCTGGGGCTCAAAGGGGAGGGACGGTAGAGCATGATGACGTGAGTATAATAGTTCAGGTCAAACCAGCTTGTACACAAATGCGGGACCTTTGATTGAAGATCTGGCAGAGGGAATGGCATGCTGCGACGCCAGTCGAGCAAGCGTTTGTGGAGGGATTGGAGCGTTTCTTCTCGGGCTTCGGGACTTTGTTGTCGGCTAAATTTTGGAGAATGGACCTGAGTGCCGATGTCGCTGGCGATTCTTCTGAGTGCTAGGATGTGGAGTGGGACGGCCATTGTGGATGGCTCGAGATTTATCGTAGAGGTTATCCCGTCCGGTTTGATGTTTTCGTCGTCGACGTCGGAAAAGGGCTAAATTGAATTAGTAAGGGTTCCTCAATTTTGGAATATGGCTCGGACCTCCACAGTAATATCATCATCCTGGATTGCGAAAGGGCGACCAAGCGCTAATGACACAACGCTGGGAATAGTGTCAGTTGCGGGTAAATCCGAATGAAGGATAGCTAGACATACCGGTCCATCATGTAGAGACAAAAGAATATTCGCTTTTGTTGCTCTGCTGCATCTACAGCCAGGGATTGATATACTTCTGCTGTATGGAGACCCATTCCGGTTGCCATTCGAGCAGCAACCCCTACTAAAAACCAAGTGTCTATCGATTATTAGAGATGAGATAACAAGAGTACCCGTGAGCCTTCACACATACTGGGTCCAATCTTATTGAAAAATGAATATGACACTTGAAGCATCAAAACTTCTAGGCCAGCCTGTTTCATGATGCATCAGTAACAGTATCTTGTCCAGATTCATAGGCTTCAATTCTCACCAAATCCCCACATCCCATAGCTGACTCAAAATAAGTCATCGCCTTGTTAAAAAACTGAACTGATTCAGTCTCATCCATCAAGGAGACAGAGCAGTAAGTTGTAGACCCTATTGCTAAAACCATCCAGATTCTAAATTGCCAGAGTGGAGACTGAGCAAGTGGATCCAGTGGATCGGCATATGTTCCCCACAATACAGCCTCGAATTCGCCTTTCCTAATCATCGGGTATAGAGTGTGAGAATGAGCAAAATAAAATTCCAAAATATAGCTGATATGCGAAGCATCCAGTAATGAGAGAGCCATTGAGTCTTCAAAGTCCTCGGCGGTGTTGCCCAATAAGGAATTCAAAGGTAGCGGACTGGCTAATGAAGGATGCATTTCGAAAAATATTGGATTCAAATTTGAGGATGTATCTGGTTCGGACTCGTGGCTCTGTTGGTTGTCGTCGCTTTCTCCATCAAACACGAATCCATCTTGATCTGGTGATAAACGCTGGAGAACTGTCTGAGTGAGTTTGGCCAATGACAACCCAGAGGAAGATCCTAGATATCGTTCGGCTGCGGCTTCTAGCGAGAGTAGCCTGAGCTCTTCGGCGAGGCTGTCTGTTCGTGGGGCGGAGACACGCGTCTTGTTGGGTGAAACAGGTAAAGGGTCGAAATTTAGAACCGGATTCGCATCGCATGGTAGTGTGGGGGAATGATTTGTGACGCTGTCGGAATGCAAGAAGGCGGTGCCCAGATCACTCAAATGAGCTTCTGTATCGTGATCCCAAGCATATGCCGATGGCTCATTGTGGGATGCTTGGGTTGTTAGAGCGGATGCGAGTCTCTGCTCAAGGTCCTTGACTCGTCGTTCTAACTGCCGTACGTAACTATTTGAATCAGTCTTCTTTTACTCTAAGACCATTTGAGATTGAGTCATACGCGATAGGGTATGAAGCTACTTGAGCTTCGTCGTCGAGGAAGCTACACGCGACTTTGGCATGTTGACACGCGTGGCACTGTGGCAGGGTCTTGTCACAACGTTTCTTTCTTCGGTGGCACCGCTTGCATGAGTTTTCAGATCGTGCGGCTGGCTCCAGCATCATTTTTGGCATGAGGCGAGACAGTGAGAGGCAGGAAGATAGTGGGGAAGTTGAAGATAAGGCTCAGATTCATTAGATTAGCAATTGCCGTTTTCGCCTTGGCGGTTTGGCGTCAGATCTGCACTACCTGCACTAATATGATTGGAAATAACCAGAGGCAACTCTTTCAGATTCTCTCTATTCTCTCAATACTCCTCATTCCCACATAAAGCTTGATGTGATGCGTGACACCTCTCCAGTGCATATCTGGAAGACCTGCCCTTCCTGGTCTCGTGCGGGGGAAGGGGATGGGTGTCTAGTAGCCAATGGGATCATGGATATTTATCATGGTGGAGCGTGCCTTATCTGATGTGGAGAAAGATGGATGCAATGCATTTCCATTACATACTGCAAAACCTCTCATCTTGACCTTAGCAACCTAGGTCCCCATATTGCAACAAGCAAGGTTTGAGGGGGATGTTAAATGCCGTTGGAGTAGAGTTGCCTGAATTCACAGGCTAAACAGCTCACAAGTGGTGCTTCGGTCATGCCGCTATCACTAGCCCTTAATCGGGCCATGCGCAACAACTCCAAATGTCGCATCAATTGTATAAAGACCGGTCAGATACAATGACCGCCATATTCTACAGCCAGTGATTTCCCAAAATCAACTTCCTTTTCGACTCCAAAATGTCCTCAAACGGCCAATCCTTCCTTCTAGACCCCGAGAAACAAGCCGGGCCCACCCGATACTCCCACGCACGGGTAGTCCAACCCTCCACCCACCACACCATCTATGTCTCGGGAATTGCCGCCGTCAAGCCAGATGGAACATACGAAGGAGTTGTCGAGAACCCTGACGGGACCTTCACAGCCGATGTGAGAGAACAAACTGCTGCGGTCTTGCGTCGGATCGAAAGCATTATTCAAGGTGCATCCAACGGCAAAGCGAATCTCTATAACATCGTCGACGCGACTGTTTACATTTTGGATATGAAGACCCAGTATACTGGGATGAATGAGGAGTGGAACAAGATTTGGGCGGATCGGGCGAGCGCGCCTAGCCGGGCAACGATCGGAGTTAAGGAGTTGCCGGATCCTCGTTTTATGGTTGAGATTAAGGCTACAGCTATCTTTGAAGCATAAATCTTATCTTCTATCTATCCAAAGATGACAATTTCAGATGGGATGTACCACTGAGAGGGATTAAAATGACTTGTAAATGTAGAACATAAGCGGGGTGAGTCATAACAAGGCTCGCAGTGTAATTAAAGGTCAACTAGCGGGCATGGGGCCACTTGTGCAATTTTCTCCTTATCGGGCTTTCCGATTCTTCTCGTACATGTCAATGGAATACTGTTTTCATTTCGACTGAGCGTCAACAATTCATATACCCATAATGTCCTCTCCAATCGATTCAGAGGGAATCCAATACTACGAATTGGAGAACTTCACCTTCCAGAACGGCACCACTCTGCCAAAAGTCCGAGTCGCTTATCGCGAGTTCAATCCAACAGGACAAAAAGCTGCCCTGATTCCTACGTGCTTTCGGGGAAGAGTTAATCAAACTCTGAACTTTACCAATGGCGTGTTAAAAAGTCATCGAGTCATTGTGGTCGCGCTATTGGGCAACGGAGAATCCTCAAGTCCATCCAACACCGAAAATTTCCCTGATACCCTCGAATATGGAGACTGCGTCAGAGCTCAGCATGCCTTGGTCACAGAGCACCTGCGAATTCCTTCGTTAGATGTGATGCTCGGCTTTTCCATGGGAGGTCAATGTACCTATCACTGGACTGCAATGTATCCCGAAATGATCCGCAATGCGGTGATTATATGTTCATCGGCGAGAACCAGTCTGCACAATTACCAGTTTCTAGAAGGCCCCAAGGCTGCATTGCTACATTCAGTTGACTACAATGACAAGAATATCCGTGCGAAAAATATCGCGCCGCTCCGAGGCCTGCATGCCTTTGGCAGAGCTTACTCTGCGTGGTTGACGAGTGCTGAATGGTTTGAGGAACGACTTTTTCGAAAGTTTGGCTTCGAGATACTTGATGACTGGGCTGAGGCTGGTGCGAAGGGCTACGATGATTGGCATCCTGATGACCTTTTGGTCATGCTGGGGATGTGGCAGCGATCAGATATAAGTCTCATCGGGGATGGAAAGAGGACTCTTGAGGATGTTCTTGGTAGTTTGACAGCTAGGATCCTTCTGATGCCCTGCCGGACTGACCAGTACTTCAAGTGGGAGGCTAATGAGAGAGAGCTTCAGTCTATTAAATGTGGAGAATTGGCGGTGATTCCGTCGATTTGGGGTCATATTGGGGGAGGGGGTGCCAATCCGATCGATACTGAGTGGATGGATCTAAAGATTGCTGCATTCTTGGCTTCTCAATATTGATGAGCAAGACTTTGCTGGATACTTCCATATGTTTATTTCTTTATTAGCCACACTCACTAGCTGACATAAGTGAATATCCATGGTTGTTTCCTTATCTCATCAAAATATGTACCAGATCATATGCCTGGAACCATTCCGAAAGTGAACTATTCCATGGATATCAAAGCGCACAGAGATAAACTGAGTTGAGAAGATGATTCCAGATATTTCAAGACAAGTAATGAAGGTCAGTCGAATGAATCAAACAATTTGGATTTCGTTGACGTAAGTAGAGCTGCCCGAATGCGATAGTGGGGTAAGCGGACATAGTAGATAGCATTGACTGTCGGACCGTCCGACACTCGACTGTCAGTACATTTGGTTCAACATTTGAATCCTATTATCGAGGGCTTATTTAAGGACTACGGTCCTGCATACTGACCCTCAATATCGACTACAATCATCCTTTTGTGCTGGTACATAATGATCGAATTAAAATTGGAGGATCATTTAAGCCTCCCGGCGGTCCTGCCCTGGAGCTACTCAATCGCATTAATCCCACTAGTCATCTACTTGGTCTATAAAGTAAGTCCGATAGGTCCTCCTTCACATAGACTGCACTAACAGCCGAAAGTGCACCCTGGCGACCGACATTCCTCACATCAAAGGCCTGCCAGAGATCCCCGGCTCAGTACCCGTCTTCGGCCACCTCCTCAAACTAGGAGATGACCACGCAAGTATCTGTGAGAAATGGTGGCGCCAATACGGCCACTCTGTCTTCCAGATCAAGCTAGGCAACACGCGTGCAGTGGTAGTCAACTCCTTCGAAGACTGCCGCAAGATGCTTCTCGGACACCAAAATGCCATCATCGACCGCCCAAAGCTATACACATTCCATGGCGTGGTAAGCAGTACGCAAGGATTTACCATCGGCTCCTCTCCTTGGGATGACTCTTGCAAAAAGAAGAGAAAGGCAGCCGGAACGGCCTTGGGGAGACCCGCTCTACGCAACTATTACCCCATGTTTGATTTGGAAAGCTACTGTATTCTCCGTGATCTCCACCTGGACAGCAAAAACGGTGCAATCGAGCTTAGTGTGCGGCCCTACATCCAGCGATACGCTCTGAACACAACTCTCACGCTGTGCTATGGTATTCGTATGGATGCTGTCTACGACGATCTCTTGCGTGAGATTCTTCACGTGGGGTCCGCCATCTCCCTTCTCCGGAGCGCATCGGAGAATCTGCAAGATTACATCCCTGTTCTCCGTTACATGCCGAACAACGAGAAAACGGCTCGGTCGAAGGAGCTGCGTGATCGCCGTGATGCTTACTTGAATCTCCTCCTTGATAAAGTGCGCGAGATGATCAAAAAAGGAACAGACAAGCCGTGTATCTCTGCAGCTATCCTTAAGGATGAGGAAACAAAGCTCACCGGTGTGGAAGTATCTTCCATCTGTTTGTCACTGGTTTCTGGTGGGTTTGAGACAATTCCTGGTACCCTTACTTCGGCTATCGGCTCGCTATCTACTCCCGAAGGACAGATCTGGCAAGATCGCGCCTACGAGGATATTAAGCGATACTATCCTGATGTGAAGGAGGCTTGGACTAGCTGTATCTCAGAGGAGAAGGTGCCCTACGTCAATGCTATCATCAAGGAGGCCGGTCGTTACTACACTGTCAGCTCGATGAGTTTGCCCCGGAAGACTGTGACGGAGGTAAATTGGAACGGTGCGATCATCCCGCCCAAGACGATGATTTTGATTAATGCTCAAGCTGGAAACCACGGTATGTCTCTCAAATATCAACTTACTAGTGCAAATACTAACCTTCTATTTAGATGTGGATCATTTCGGTGCCGACGGGGGCAAGTTCGATCCGGAGAGATGGCTCAAGTCCGTGAACCCACCAGAAGAAAAAGAGGTCAGCGGTCTACCGCATTTGAGTTTTGGCTCTGGATCTCGTGCTTGCTCCGGTCAATTCATTGCATCCAGATTACTTTATTGTGCTCTGGTCCGTCTACTTGCTTCATACAAGATCGTGGCAAGTGAGGATAACCCACCTAACACGGATTACGTGGAGTACAACCAGTTCAAGACGGCTTTAGTTGCTATTCCAAAAGACTTCAAGGTTCGGTTGATTCCTAGGGATGACACAGTTACCTCGGAGTGTTTGAATTTGGCGGAACAGAGGACCAAGGAGCACTATAAGGAGTAAGCTTTCAGCATGGCACGGTTTATGTTCCCTTTGCATTACTAGGAAGTCATTCGTAGCAAGAAGTTTGTTCATTTCCAACATTGGCATAACTGTAAATCACATAGATAACGCTTATGTACTAGACTTCGTCGATGCATTTACAACATTTTGACTCGTAAGGTATCTACAGGGTCGACCCTGTACAACTAAAAAACTAGAACTCCATAGAGTTTTGAGCATTGACCAGTACCTAAGAGGCCCAGGCAGTAGTAACCACCCAGCTCACATCATCGTTGAATGAGGTGGTCGAATCAAAGGTGTCAACGCCGCCGTTGCTTGCAACGTAGAGCACATCCTCGTAGTGACGGAAATAGCGGGTAGGATAACTCCATGATCGAATAGAGTTAGTACCAGCCGAGTTAAGAGAAGCAAGAGGGCAGAAAGTCGCATCCTCATAGAACTGCTTCGTGCTGTCATCGGCGGCGAGCAGCAGCGCGAAGTTGTAGTGACGAATGTAGCTACCGGGTGTATCGACAGACTCGAACGAGTAGCAACCGCTGTTACCAAGGCCAGTGACAACCTTCCAGCTAGCCTGCTCCTTGAGGGTGGTGCTGCTGGAGGAAGTGACAACCTGGGTATTGACAGTAGTGTCGGTGTGCGCGATGTAGCGGGTGGTATATCCAGATGTGGTAGCCCGCAGCGAGATGGTAGAGCCAACGGTAAGAGCTTTGCCGCCGACAAGTGAAGTCACAGCGTATTTCGCAGCCACAATGTTAGCCTGAACCGAGTTCTCGACTGCATCAGTGGGGTACCCGGAGGTCATCACACCCTCGTAGAAAGTACCCTGGGCGCCGTTGCTGTTGTCACCGCCAATTCCAAGAATGATGGCACCCTCTTTGCTCATCGGGTTGTAGCCCGATGCAGATGGGCGCACGCCGCTGTAGTACGTTGATAGAGAGCCGGATGCAGCGTTTCCACCACGGATGGCCCACTGGTCTGGCTCGCCCTTGACGATCGTGCTAACGAATCGATAGGAGATCGACGGGTCAGCACTGTTCTCTGTAGCGCTGTAGCCAGAGAAAAGGCCATTCTCCAGATCGGCCATGATCCAAGGACCGTCGCCAGAGCCATAGCCCCAAGAGGTACTGTCGCCATAGTAGATAGCCTCCATATGACCGTTACCAGTATCAGTGCTGCTAGTCTCGGCATTACCATAGTCGAAGCAGCAAGCACCGTTGTAGTGAGTACCGTCAAGAACAGCATACATGCCCTCTGGCTCATCTCCCGTAGCCGTGTTGGAGGCCTCGTTGTTTCTGTAGCCCGTGCCGGGCGAAACAAAGACGCCATAAGCCTTGTTGCCATTCAGCGTAACCGGTGCACCAATTGCGCTGGCCAGGTTATCATAGCCATTGGATTCAGGACCATCAAAGCCGCCAGGTGGAGCTTGGGTGAGGTGGTTTCCATTACCGGACTGATCATAGATGATCGTGATAAGGCAGGTTGTGTTGGCACAGAATGTGTCTTGGGCAGCGGCATTTGCGACACCTCCAGCGGTGAGCGGCACGATGGCAGTTGTGGCACTGTCTGAGCCGCGTTTAACCTGGTAAAGGCTGCCGGAGTATGCGCTGTATAGAGCGCGAGTGGTACTATGTGCGGCAATGCAAGGCGTGTCGCCAGACGCGTAGAGATCACAAGGTCCGGCTAGCACAAGGGTGCTCCCAGCGATAACTCCTAGGGCAAGTGCCCAGGCGCGCTGGACGATGCTCGGTCGTGAGAGCATGTTTGATTATGCTGGCTTGGGTGCTATGGAATGGGCACACCTATGGACCTTTTGAATTCAGCGACTGGATACTCGGTCACTGGAGAATAGGTACATCTAACAGAATCTACTGTGAAGTAACTAGCTTATTTATATATTTTATTTTATATGCCAAGATACTTATTTTCTTGAAGAATGTCACGCGTTGCTATAGTGGTTCCAAGGCTGCATTTCTCCGCCAATGATCACAGATCGGGTATACATTACTTGCTCACTAGTATAAGCGAGCTCTAGCTTTTAAGAGCTCGGTTAATACCTGCTATAAATTAAATTCCAGCCACACTACTTCGAGAACTATATTATATAATGAGTCCTCTATTCAACGAATTGAAACTGAACAATCGCGGAAAAATTGCAAATCAGGGGTTTTGACCGACGTTTCCTGGCTTGAACGGGTCATGTTGTTCCACCCCTGCTGCTCACGAGTTCAAAGTTAACTAACCTTTTGGAACAAAGTGATTTGTCCCACCGGGCTTTTTCCCATTTCTCCTCAGCGGGGGAGCATTTAACCGAAGCATCAAACGTATCTAAACTGGAAGTAGACAAGCTTAACCGGAGTAAAATGTGGCGCCCGAACTTAATGTTCCTGAAGATGCGGGGCCCCAGGCCCTACCATCCATCGGCACATTCGCCTTGCCCTGAGGAGAATATTGCCATCCCATTTGTGGACTAGTTTGAGCCCCTGGAATCACGGCTCTTCCTTTTTGCTTGTGGCGAACGCCATTTATTTCTTCAGGAGTGCCGGGCTTGGCAGGGCACAGCGATCTCATGAATCGGAATTGGACGTGGTCACATTGCTAGTGGGGCCTAAGGCGGGGAAAGGGTGACACCGATGGACATCCGGCTCGACTTCCAAGGTTTTGCTAATTAATTTAGTGAATCATGTTCCTAACACTACTGTGATGGAGTTCTCCCGAGGCCCAGTAGGTATCCGGTCATGTGCTGTTCCTAATACTTCGATAGCCCCTCAATATTTTACGAATCTCTCTCTACTATGCGAAGGGTCATACAACTCTTGTTTCCCCGCGGGTCGGTCCGAAGCGGGTCCAGTCATCCTCACGGGTATATCACGTGGACAGTGAGAGCCCATGAAAGTAACTGACTGTATCTATCTCAGATGATGTTGATCATTCCATGGGTGCTCTAACTGTGAGACTTAGTGATTGAAGTATGACCATGATTTTCCTTTCTTATCGGACTATCTACACCATCACTCCTGCCCATTCGCTAGCAAGATTCGACCACCGTCCACACAGAGTGAGACCCCATCAACATATGCCTAGTCCGACCTGTTAGTGGTAGCCGAGGCCAAAATGGGTATTGACTTACCCCCGCCTTGCTCACTAAATATAATACCGTCCCCGCAATATCTTCAGAACAACCCGCCCTCTTCGCCGGAACCTTATCAAACAAGGAGCTGAAGACATTCCCTTCCGCGCCAACGGGATTCATATTACTCGGAACAACTAGTAGCACATCTAGTCAATGTGGAAAACAGAAAAGAGAGAGGAAATAAACTTACATCCAGGGTTAATGCCGACAACACGCACGTAAAATCGATTATATTTCGCTGCCAGCAACTTGACCAGGTGGTCGGTGGCTGCCTTGCTTGTCGCATAGCTTGTCAAATCCACATTTGTCACATTGTGCATACTCGCACAAGAACTTGTAACAACAATCACTCCTCGGCCTTCATCTCGACCCTTGCGTCCATCGCCTATCGGCTGGTCGGCAGCTGCGGCAAGTAGTGGCAGAAGAGCAATACTGAGGAAATAATGGGCGGTGGTGTTGACACGGAAAGTATTTTCCCAGTCTTCTTGTGGGAGAGACCACATTGAGGCTTGGAGTTCTTCCAGTGGCGCGGTAAGAACATTGCAGGATTGTGGGGGATCGCGGCGGATTCCAGCGTTGGAGATGAGCATATCTAGTGTTTTTTCTTTTTGAGAGATTTTCTCGCCAAGCTCTTTAATGGAGTTCTTTGATGAGATATCGCAGGGTATCCTAAAAAGATATCAGTCTGAGCAACATGAAAAAAACATTTGAAAGTCACTAACCCTTCGGCTTGTCCACCCGTTTCCTGTCCCAATATGTTGAGTTCCTCGACTACCTCCGCGATGGGGTCACTTGGTAGTGCGACCAGATAAACCTTAGCTCCATTTTGAACCAGTCCCTAACGAAATACTGATCGTTAGTTTTGTTCGTTGGTCTTGCATTGGTTTCGCACCTTGGAAATCATCAATCCTATTCCACTGCTCCCACCGGTCACAACCGCAACGCGCCCCTTCACATTGAACAAATCCAAAACACTAAGGGAAGCCATTATCCATATACGTAGTTGAGACTTAGAAATTGTATAAGTAAGTGAGGCTCGGGTTTATATGCGATGCTCTGTTATGTAAAGTGGGGAAGCTGATATGAGCGGCGGGCGCTGCGAACTAGCGGCGGCATGTCCGACTGGGGCTGTTGGAGTAATTGCTCTCCAAGCAGATGTCTTTATACATTAGAAAACAACATAACCTTGACCAATCCGGCAATAATTTCAAAGTTCCATTATATTACACACTAAAAGCGTCAAGGTTTTACATTTGCACAATGTCCGTGGCCTTCTTAGCCGATAAGACGCAGTACGTACGAACCTCGAAGCCCTTCGAGCCAAATTCCTAACACCGATCAGATCCAAAATCTCTATACGAGACTTACAAAATGCGGCATCAAGTCTTGGTATCCAGATACGAGATGCCCAAGAAGCAGAAGATTATCTACATCTGCTACAATCCGCAGAAGCAGTCATGAGACAAATCCAAGTAGAAGATGATTACGTCCACCCCAGTCTATCTCCTGTGGCAACAACTACGCCTCGAGTATTCTCAGAGCCAGAAAAGGAGGAGAATCCTCTGAATGCATGGCGACATCGCTTTGAGCTCGTTGCTCAAAACCCGACCAGCACGACCCTCCACGGAAAGACCATCGCCATTAAAGACAACATCTCCATCGGCGGTATCCCGACAACAGTCGGGACATTTACAGAGCTATTATGTGCAGATGGTCATCTGCCTGTTTCTCCAATCGATGCATTAGTGGTATCCCGAGTTCTGTTAGCCGGCGCTACCATCAAAGGGTCCTCGACTTGCGAGAATTATTGCGCGTCGCCGCTGTCTTATAGTGCTGCGACGGGTCCGGTGCATAATCCCCGGCTTCGAGGATATACCGCGGGCGGAAGTAGTAGTGGCTCAGCAGCGCTTGTTGCGGCAAGGCTCTTGCACGGGGAAGATCAAGGTCCTTGTGGAGAAACGGTCGATATTGCGATTGGCGGTGATCAGGCTGGTTCTGTCCGGATACCTGCTTCCTATAGCGGGATTTATGGATTGAAACCCACGTATGGCTTGGTCCCATATACAGGAGCTGTGCCTTTAGCGCCGATGATTGATCATTTGGGGCCGATGGCGGGGAATCTTGAAGACATTGCTATGTTACTACAGGTGATGGCAGGGTATGACGGAATAGACCCACGCATGACTCCTGAATCACCGCTGCGAGACCAGGTGCCAAATTACCCTAAAATCTTAGGGAACATCAAAACAAGAATCCTTGAAGATGGGCAGGGATTTGTTTCTGGTTTGAAGATTGGTTTGCTCGTCGAATCCTTTGAGGTCATGGGATTGTCAGATCAGGTTCGCGACACGGTACTTGAGGCAGCCCGGCGGTGCTTCACCGCAGCCGGAGCCGAAGTAATAGACGTTTCGGTCCCCATGCATCGACAGGGAGCACTCATTTGGACAGCTTCGACCAGGATGTCAATGTCCGAATGGGCATGTCAAGGCAAGACATCGGGCTTCCTATCATTCCTCCCGCCACATATTCAAGCTCGCTGGCCTCCGGACCAGAAAATGTACGAATTGATGACAGCGACGAACCCGGCAGCAATGAATATGATGCTTAGCGGTCAGTTTCTAAAGGAACAATTTGGTCCGAGCGTTGAAGCCAAGGCCCACCGTAAAGTGTTTGAGCTGCGGGCGGCTTATGATCGAGCTTTGACCGAGGTGGATATTCTCATCACGCCTTGTGCCCCGACTGTTGCTATGCCGCATCCGAAAATGCAGGCTGATGCCGAAGGGTCTAGTTCCAGCGTGATGGATAAGGTGTCGGTCGCTGTTGGGGTGACTACCAATACAGCACCATTCAATGTCACTGGACATCCGGCTCTGAATGTGCCCTGTGGATTCGGTTGGGATTCAAATCATGTTGAGGTGAAACTGCCGATTGGTATGCAGCTCGTCGGAAGGAGATGGGAAGATGCGATGGTTCTCAAGGCAGCAGCGGTATTTGAGCAAGGAAGGAAATTAGCGCCATAGTTTGAATAAGCTTGGCTACTTTGTTTTTCTATCCCCCCATTTGTGCTTAAATACATGTATTCCGAATATTTTGATCGCATTGTTTTACAGATTATACAACATCGCTAACCGTGGAATTGGCAGCTGTTCAAAAATGAATGTCTGCATGAAATCAAGTTCCAAGTTTGTTCATATTACCACGCCTCGTCATTCTGTGGGGTTCTCTCGAGGTCTATAGAGTTTAAGACCTGCAGACATGACACTTAGCTGCATGAACCAGCCCGCACATCCACCCCTTCGAACCGGATCCCCACCGGGATCGACCCGTGCGTATCTTGTCACACCGTAGCAAAATCAGGGGTGATCCCTCACAGTTACACGCGAGTGGAGAACCAAACCTAGGAAATCAAGAACCGAGGATTGGAACACGACTTCTCGCTGCAGCCCTAGGAGGCGTTTCTTGACGCGCACGTTCATAAACATGCAGCGCTCACCAAACATTCGTATGCACTGTAACCCAAGTCCCCTTCCAGACCATCACCGCCAAAACCTACATATAATGTACAGGTCCAGAGGCATCCCTTGCGTGCTCCGCTGAAAAATATGACAGCCTGCCCAGAACGAGGGCCATGACGCTGTCAAGAAAGCTTCTCCCACACCACATCAGCCTTATTGGAGGATAAGACAGGCTATTGTTGCACAAAAGAGGATTATCTGCTAAGGAATGACGCCCCGGCCCAAAGGCCCCGCCCATTAGCGCGTATCGCTATCTCATGCAGCTGACATATTTTGTCCAGCCCGGCGTGCCAATGTGCGTCACGTCAGAACCATTGGTCTGCGAATGGCGTGGAAGCAAAAACTTGGTCTATGCACTCAGGGGGAGCGATCCACGACCCACGATCAGCGATCGGCATAGCTCCACCCCTATCGATAGTTTGATTCCTCCAGGACCCACTTCGGCTTTTGCCCTGGTTCTCTTTTTTCTTTTTCGCATTGTTAGTTACTCAAAGATCAATGCACGGGTGTGTGGGACATAAAAGAACAGAATTCACTGGTCAGAAAGTTCTGGCCTTTGCTCCTGGAGATGCAGCATTGCGTACGCGAACCGGCGAACTGTGGGATCGACAGACTATCATGCCCCGAGGGCTTGGTGCAATACGACCGACCTATCAGCGATCGTCCCAGTACATGCCAATCTGATCTCGGTTGACAGGTCAAAAGCGAGACCCGCAGGCCCGGCCGACATGTTTTTTTTCTTTAACGGAGAAATTATGGGTCCAGCTAATTTGCACTATTTTTCAAGTGCACTTCAAATAATCCCCGGCCCCTCTCAGCCGGGTGTTGACAGGCATCAACGCTACAATGTCGAGTCTCACCGTAAATACCTGGTCAGCCCTATAGGCCAATTGCATAGCTAACGATGAACCCAGGACCCAAACAATGACCCAAATGTCGGTTCCTCGCGAGGGGATTCGTCGTCAACCTCGGGCGATATCGCCAGCGGTCTCACTGGCAGTGGAAGTTCGTCGTCCTCGGCGCTATTAATGACTTTCCTTCCTGCTTTCATATACGCACTCTTCTGGGTTGGTCTATTTTTGATTTTTCGACGAACGCAACGACGGTGGTACGCACCAAGATCTCATATACCCGATTTACATGACCACCAAAGGAGTCCCGAATTACCCTCAGGTTGGGTCAACTGGGTGGGTGACTTTTTGAAAATCGAAGACAATCATGTTTTGCACCACTCATCTCTTGATGGCTATCTGTTTTTACGATTTCTGCGGGTTTTATGTGCTATATGTTTCATGGGTTGTGTGCTTACATGGCCCATTCTGTTTCCAATCCACGCTACCGGCGGGAATGGTAACACGCAGCTGGACGTTCTCAGTTTCAGCAATGTTAAAAATCCGACTAAATACTACGCCAATGTTATCGTCGCATGTGTCTACTTCAGTTAGTGCTCGCGTGTTCCTTGTCCTAGCAATTTACTAACCGCAACAGCCTTTGTTTTTTACGTCGTTGTGCGGGAGAGTTTATACTACGCAAATCTGCGCCAGGTCTATCTGAACTCCCCGGCATACGCCTCCCGGATGTCATCACGGACTGTGCTCTTCATGAACGTGCCACCAGATTACAGGAACGAAAAGAAGCTTCGAAGCGTCTTTGGTAACGCGATCCAACAAATTTGGATCACGTCCAATTGCAAGGAATTGGCCGACTTGGTCGATAAGCGTGACAAATACGCCTACAAATTGGAGGCTGCTGAAACAAAACTAATTCGACGCGCAAACAAGGCGCGCATGCAAGCTATCAAAAAGGGCGAGTTTTCTGCCGAGACTTGCTTGGACTGCGAGTCCAGTAACCCTGCATGGTCCCAGAAGGTCAAGCGGCCTACGCACAAGCTGAAGATACTTTTCGGCAAGAAGGTTGATTCCATCCACTATTACCGTGAGGAACTGGCTAGAGTCTCAGAGGAGGTTCTCTCTCTTCAGCTAAAACATCAGGAAGGCGATGCTAAACAGCTCTCTGCGGTTTTCATTGAATTCAACACGCAAAATGATGCCCAGGTTGCCTTGCAGACTCTATCTCATCACCAGCCGTACCACATGACTCCACGCTATATTGGAGTCTCTCCCTCAGAAGTCGTCTGGTCGGCGTTAAATATCAGCTGGAAACAACGTGTAGTTCGCAGATTCGCCGTTCAGGGCTTCCTAGCAGTGATGGTCATCTTCTGGTCGTTCCCTGCTGCTATCGTGGGAACAATCTCAAACATCACTTATCTTTGCCAAATCATCCCGTTCTTGGGATTCATCTTGAAACTGCCTAGTTTCGTCAAGGGTGCCATTGAAGGTCTGCTACCATCAGCAGCTCTTGCACTGTTGATGTCCTTGGTTCCAATTATCTGCAGAAGTATGTATCTTTTCTTCAACTCTTTACGAGCTAATTCAGCTAACCTATTTCAAGTCTGCGCCAGACGATCCGGTGTCCCGTCTCTGTCACGGGTTGAATTATTCACTCAAAGTGCTGTCTTCGTGTTCCAAGTGGTACAGGTATTCCTAGTGACGACCTTGACATCGGCAGCATCAGCAGCAACGGCACAGATCATCAAAAATCCCTTGTCAATCAAGGACCTCCTGGCAAAGAATTTGCCCAAGGCAACAAACTTCTACATCTCCTACTTCCTCCTTCAAGGACTGAGCATGAGCTCAATGGCATTAGTGCAGATCGCCAGTGCCCTAATCTTCCGAATTGTAAACAAGTTCTTCGCCCATTCTCCTCGTCGATTGTACAATAAATGGGCGCAACTTGCCACTCTCAGCTGGGGAAGTGTCTTCCCTGTTTTTACCAATATGGGTGTAATCGGTACGCATGTCCCTTTCCACTATGCTGTACCAAGCTAACAATCCCTCAGCATTAACATACTCATGCATCGCACCCTTAATCCTCGGTTTCTCTTTCATTGGCCTATACCTGGTCTACCAAGCCTACCGATACAACTTCTTCTTCGTCTACGACATCGAAATCGACACAAAAGGCCTAGTCTACCCACGGGCACTCCAACACCTCCTAACAGGCCTTTACATAGCCGAGGTATGCATGATTGGTCTCTGCGCAATCAAAGGCGCAATTGGCCCAGTTATCATAATGGCCATATTCCTCGTCGTCAACATCCTAGCGCACATCTCGCTAAACGAAGCCTTAACACCATTGAACAGCTTCCTTCCCCGATCTCTAGACGCAGAGGAAGAACATCTTCAGGAAAAAGAGATTATCCGGAACGAGATCAACGAACAGCGTCGCTCACGCAGTCTTGCGTTTTGGAGATGGTTCCATCCAAATATCTACAAGGATTACGCTGCGCTGAGACGCAAAGTGCGGAAGAATCTTGACGAGGTTTCTTATTCGCCTGAGGAGTTGAGGACGGCGTATTGGGAGCCTTGTATTGCATCTCCTGCGCCTACGCTGTGGATCCCAAGGGATAAGTTTGGGTTTAGTCGGCATGAGGTAATGGAGACGGATTCGATTATTAGTATCACGGATGAGGGGGCGCATCTTGATGGGAAGAATAGGATTATTTGGGATAAGTATGATCCGACTCTTCCGTTAAGAGAACGGAAGATTTTGTATTAGTACTGGAGGGATATTTTCGTTTTATAGATACCACAAGAATAATGATATGATTTTAATGAATAAGATTATAATGGTTTACGAAAGGTTTCGTGGTCTAATGAAGTTGCTTGACAACCCGGGTAGCAAAAATCCCAAGTCTCAAGTTAAGTGATATTAGGCAAGACTGAGTCTGGTCCACCAAGCAATACCTAGCATTGAGATGGCTTGGAGTTTGTTCATAGGGTATATACCTGACATTGTCATCATTAAATCATTCCATCGTGAGCCTCAAATATAGGAAACAGAAACGGCTCAGTTATCGCTCCAAAATTCACATTTCACATCAGAATGCAATCTTTTCTCTCGTCAGGGTTATATCGTTCAGGTCGGTTCCCATAGCTGGGATAACGATTATTCCGTGGGTTTCGATTTCCTGGGTATTGATTTGAAGAATACTCGCTAGGGAATTCCGTGAAAGGGGACTGCCTCGCTGGCGGCGAGTACTGTGGCTGTGGCCGCCGGTTCACGGCTTCGTAAGGAGGCGGCGGCGCATTTGGATCATCCGGATCGGGCTCAGTATGGGGCGCTGTCTGTGGCCGTGCGGGTCGAATACCCACGGTATTTGCCGTGCTTGAAGACCGGTTTGGTGGATTATTCATGCGAATACTCGACGCGTTAGGTGAGCGGATAGGTGTTGAGTTGCGGTTGTTGGTCCTTGGTGGTTGCGGCGGAGGATTGTTCCCTTGCGGAGGGTTGTTCCCTTGTTGGCTGTTGCTCCTTTGCTGACTATTTCGTCTCTCGCGCTGCTCCTCTTCTTGGAACTGGAGTGAAAGGGCGTAGGCATAGTCTGCATCAGCTTGTTCCTGTGGTGACAACCTGCCGGACGACTCAGTAGCTGGAGCAAGCTCACTAGCTGGCGGAGCACTTGAGGTGCGCGGACCAGCTGGGCCTGCAGACCCTGATGGGCCGTGGCCGACAGCACGGAAGTCACCGGCAAGGAACTCGGAGTTGAACCCGGTCACGTCAACAAGAGATTCCCAGACCACTTCGGCATGGTTTGCGTAGCCAGCGTCCGTTACTAGCATGAAAAGCTGGTGGGATTCCGGATGTTTGTAGAGTGTGGAGAAATGATCATTGCGGAAGAAAATTGAGACCGAGCCTGGGGCCAGCTGTGTACTCAACTGTGTCAACCCAAAAGGGCTAAGCTGTGTCGCATTCTCAATGTCCACAAAGTATTGAATGGTTTGTATGTCTGCCATTTTTTGCTCTTCTTCCGGGGTCAATGACTTTCCTTGCATCACCGAGTCCTCCAGTTCTTGCTTGCGGAAATGCAACAATTGAATATCCTCATGGTATTGAGCGACCCGAGTCATGGCCGCGTGAGCTTCGCTTGACCACGAAGCAAGCCATCCGTGAATCAAAGGCACGCCGAATGTACTGTACAACTGAAGATCGGGGGTTTGTAAGAATGTGCCAAGTGAATCCGCCGTGTCCTGATCAAATGTTAGTTAGATGGATCAAATTTCCAGGTGTAAAGAGCTTGGATCTTACCACTGTCAGGCGTGGGTTCACATTCAGGCCAGTATGCAACATTGTAAGAAACCGAGAAAGTGACTCAATGTCTGGGAATCGATCATCGGGGCTCAGGCGAGTAATCAATTCCTCAAATAAGGCCTCGATCAACAGCCCAAGAGAAATTTGTTCACGGGTCCGCAAAGCTTTGACAATCGGCGGTTGTGTCGTTGGGTCTGCTCGCAGCACTAACGCATTGATAAGCGCAAGCAGCGGACACGGCCCATTATTGTTTTGAACCAGGATAGGGGACTGCTGCATATTGCCCGTCCGATCCTTCCAATTGATTTGTCGAATAGAGTATGTTTCCGAGCGCTGCTCCTGCTGCCTTGCTTCTTCGGCGGGAGAAAGCTTGACGATCGGGGTCGGTAATGACTGGGTTGGCGTATCCTCCTGTTGTGAGGATGATGGAATTGCTGGTAATGGTCTATCCAACAGTCCGGTCTCGGTCTTTGGGTGGGCTCCATCAGCAGAGTAAACCGAAGATGCTGCTTTGTGTGAATCGGCCTCCACCCCGAGAGTTTCATGAGGATCGATGTCGATCAATTCATGCGACGTTGCTGATGTGGCGCTAGAGAAAGCAGAGGGAGTGTGAGCGCCAGCATCTGAGCCCAATCTACCATGTGAGTAAGGTTGTTGTGAATGATAGATATCTTCAGTTGAATCAGACGGTTGCACAACTACTGCTGGAGCGTATGGATTGGCCTGTCCCCCTTGTAAATAAATCTCCTGAGCGGCTGAGATCTTAATTGAATGCTGTGATCCCCATGGCGATTGATCAGGAGGTAAGTCGCTCGGCACCGCACAATGAGCTTCTGGGTGAGATCCTTGGTGATCAGCCCATGGGGACTCATCCTCCTGGTCCAGAAGTGATAGTCTGGCTGTCATTGGGATATATCCCTCCGCTGCAACGCGTCAGTATCAGTGCTAATGGAAAAAGAAGACGCCTGTTCATACTTTGACTCAAAGGGTCACTATTGGTGGTTGCATTTGAATGTCGATTCCAATCTTCCGACGTGTTTTGTGAGGGTATCGGCGGTCTTGGTTTTAAGAATGGATTGTTAGACCGTAGTTGTACCGGTACCTCCCCAGTCGCTACTTCACTGGCGTGCGCCGTCTGCGATGCGCCCGACATGAGAGCCACTGGTACTTCCTCTACTTTCTGCATTGTGCCCCCCGGATATGTTTCTGAATTGGGTATATTATGGACAATTCGATCCTCCCTATCTTCTGGCCAAGAATTTGGTGGGTAGGTAGTTGGCGAGCCCACCGGGGACCTTTGAGCTTCTTCCAGTGGCATTAGGTCGAATGCAGGTGAGGTGTTGAGATCGGGAGAGTATATGGACTCTTTGGAGGGAATCCGATTTAAGCGCCGACGGTGGGAGGAGGCTGAGGACGGAGAGGTTGGGGAACGAGTGGCCGGGCGAGTATTCCCTTTATTAAGATTATCAAGGCGAGGTGGAGGCTGTTTGCGGAGCACCATGAAGATGATCTAAATAGAGGGTGTATATTTAGCACCGCGATGGGGAATAATAACGGTTTAATGGGGCGCCCGGGTGGTACGTACGTACTTCCCTAGGGTCGCAAGGCTTCCCCAGATACGAGCTGGTTGGGTATCACATACACAAAGAGAGGCTCCAATTTATGCAACAATGGAGATTTGAATAAAAACAATGTAATAATAAATCAGAACGAGACTGCCTTGTGCCCAGGAACTGCGCCCGGTGGATGTGGAGTAGTCTGAGCTCCGGCGATGATATCAGGGAAGTGGTTCAATGCGTTAACTATGGGACCAGCTAAACAGTGGTAGGCACCCAGATTCCCCGCCGATCAATAGGGTGATAATGGTATTACAGGTATTATATTGAGCTTGGTGTAGATCCTACTGCACTGGCATGCCTATGTAACGTCCACGGTACGGTACCGTATGCATTTGCCGGTGATACTATTAATCCGAGAGCTCCCCCGCTGTGCTCTCTGATTGGCCTGTGCACCTTAGGCTAGAAAAGTTGCCCGGAATCTTTTTTCTGATTAGAGATTCATAAAGTCCAAGTTCACTTGGCAGTCTTGCGCCTTCACCATGCATTCTTATATTCGGCCGAACCAGCATGCCATTGTGCAGCTGCCTTCGGATCAGATTCGTATCATCAAGCCGGTACCAAACAGGTTCGCCAGCACGTATCAGACTATTCGGAGCAAGCACACTAACACTTAACAGCATAGTTTCATTGGGCAAATATGGCAACTTCGCCGCGAACCAAATCATTGGCCGCCCCTTCTACCTGACATTCGAGATCCAAGATACCCCTGAACCGGATGGATACCAATTGCGCGTTGTCTCAGCCACCGAGCTGCATGCCGAAACCCTCATCGAAGAGGCCGAGGCCGATGGCGAGGGTGATGAAGGAGAATCTGGCGCAGGAACACCGATGCGCACAAACCAGAAGATCGTCGACGATGCCTCCACACAGAAGTTAACTCTGGAGGAGATTGAAGAGCTGAAGAAGGAGGCTGGTGGGGCAGGCAAAGAGATTGTCGCAAAACTTCTTGAGTCGCATTCGGCCATCGACCAGAAGACGGCTTTCTCTTTGGCCAAATACACATTGCGCAAGCGCAAGAAGTATATCAAAAGATTCACAGTGCTCCCGCTAGACGTCAGCGCTCTCGCCAATTATTTGCTCTCCGAGAAGGATACAGGGAAGGGCATGGAGTTGCGCGACGAGCACATTGGCCTGCTTGGATGCTTGGGCAATGTGCACCACGGTGGACAGTCCACAACGGAGATAATTCCCGATGTGAAACCAAATGGACGATACTTCGTGGTGGACGAGACAGGCGGCTTGATTGTGGCCGCAATGGCTGAGCGAATGGGAATTCTATACCCTCATGACAATGACGAGGATGAGGATTCAGCTGCCGAGGAATCGTCAGCTACAGGCAATCCAGCGCCCCGGGGCTTCACACCGATTCGTCGTCGTCGCACTCGACCAATGTCCGCATCAGGGAACACTCTGACCGTCATCCACGCCCAGGCGCAACCTAACCTGTCACTCTTAAAATACTTTGGCTACGATATCAACCTTCCCGACGAATCTCACCCACTTCACACCCACCTGAAGTCCGTTTCATGGCTTCAGCTGAAGAACCCCTCTCACGACCCAATCCTTTCCAACGAACCGACCGCTTTGCCCGCTGCAGAGCTAGCTGAGATGAAACCCAGCAAACGCACAGGATACTACTTCAAGCGAAACCGATGGGAGAAAGTCAAGAGTGTGACGGATGAGGCTCGTGCAGGCGGCTTCGATGGCCTTATCGTTGGAACTCTGCTTCAACCGGAGAGTGTCTTGCAACATGCCATCCCTCTCCTCTCCGGCTCAGCCGCAGTCTCCATATACTCGCCCTATGTCGAGCCACTTGTCAAACTGATGGATTTCTACTCTACTGCGCGGAGGACAGCATTCATCACCCGGAAACGGGAACTTGAATCACAAAAAAATGCCGACGGCGAGGCTGACCTGTCTCCGCTGAAAGAGGAATTCGAAGTTGACCCTACCCAGCTTCTACCACCGACACTACACCGCTCCCGCGTGCGAGCCTGGCAAGTTCTGCCTGGTCGGACTCATCCCCTGATGACAAGTCGTGGTGGTGCAGAGGGATACCTCTTCCACGCTGTGCGTGTCATTCCCACTGCGGAACATATCCAGGCTGCTGGCACATTCCGAAAGAAGCGCAAGTTGGAAACAACATCAACATCCACACCGACCAGTGATAAGGATATTGACAAGGATGTGGTGATGTTATCATAAGATACTCTTTAGACTTTTACATTGGCTCCTAGAGCCAAGTTGGTTTCCGATCAAAATAAAATGTACGAGTACCATGATGATCCGTTTTGGATCAAGACAAATCATCTATAATCAATTGAGTAAAGGATATACTTAGACACGTCGCTCTACTGGAGTAAAAAGTTATTGAAAACGTATTTGATCTGAGGCTATTGAGCAAAGCTGCCCAAGATCCGGCTCTGGCAGCTACGATAGCACCATGCTCGGTGACGTATCAAGAAAAGGAAATAGTCGATTCATGCGCTGAATTTCATGAGAACAATATACAACCAGCATAACATCTACAGGCTCTTGCCCATGAACTTTCTCTTGGTGAAGCTCAACCAGAACTGTATAGATACGGTCAGTGACATATCTCGACATAAATATAAATAGAGATCCGACGTACCTTAGACGGGCCCTCTCCACCGGGGTATAATCTCGCATGTAGCCGTACAGCAATTTCCTGTCGCACCTGAGAAATGTATCTAACACGAAAGCATCAGTCTCGGACCAAAATGTATTATGTGGGTTGACGTACGCCCGCAGACTCTCCGCATCCTGGCGGTCGCGTGGGGGCTCAAAGGCCTGGTTAAGCGGGAAGGACACATCACCAGGGATAGCGAAGTTTTCAAGCGAAACATTAATCAGGGCCTAACAGTAAACAAAGCAGTCAGTACTTGTACTCCATAGTCCCTATTCGTTGGTGTCTACCTTCTCGGCTTCGCGGGCGCTCATTGTCGGCTTGACCTTCCCGAGGCACTCGCTGACGAAGAGGGTTCCATAGATGAGCATGCGATCGGCAGGACCATTGATCTCGAAGTTCCGGAACAGGACGTTGGCACGGAAGAGCGACAGAATCTCATCAACGCAGTCGTAGGATTCGTTGTCGGGGGCAACATCGATATCGGCAGTATTGGGGGGAAGCGCGGGCAAGGTGTATGCAGGACCACGGGTGCGAGTGCGCAGGGGCAAAATTGGGAAGTTTCCTGGCGCCGTATATGTCAATTATGGAATCTTGGGTCTACCGCGCATGGAGATGTGGGATGTTTTGGGGATGCAGCTATTGGCGGGGCATTCGTACCTATCACGGGGACATCGCGGTCCTCCAGGAAGATGGAGTGGTATGCCTGTGATTACGGTATTAGCTTGTGAGTTTATCAAATGTTCGCATAGCTACATACAGGCATTGTGAGGGTGGGTAGCGTTGGGATTGGAGTTGATGCGGAGTTTGGGTTAGGCAGTGAGGATGTCATTGGAGTGGAGCACGGAACACACCCCAGCTCTCCTTGATTTTCCGCCCCGAAGCTGCTGGGTCTCTTTACGCGCTACGCGTCCAGCTCGGCTTTTCGCGATCTCTCTTTTTTTCTTTGCAACCACAACGCAAGTTATTTGGGGTGAAAACCGATCTTTACACATAATGTCTGACTACGAGGATGAGATGGACGTGGATACGTCCAAGGATGTGCAGTTCAGCTCCGACAATGCTGCTGGAAAGAAGAGGACAGTGGCCGATCTGCCCGTTGAAGCACTGGACAATCTTCCATGGTAGGCAATGAAATCTTGACTTTGAAAAACCTGTCTAACTGCTGTGTCAGGGTTGAAAAATACCGCCCCGAGAGCCTGGACGAAGTCTCCGGTCACCAAGACATCCTCGCAACCATCAATCGTTTTGTCGAAGCCAATGTATGACCTTGCGCACATGGCTTATGATATTTTTTTCAATGGTGGATGCTAATAGCAACAATAGCGTCTCCCTCATCTCCTCCTCTATGGCCCTCCCGGAACTGGAAAGACCTCGACTGTTCTCGCCCTCGCTCGAAAGATATACGGAACCAAGAACATGCGACAGATGGTATTGGAGTTGAATGCCAGTGACGACCGTGGTATCGACGTTGTCCGAGAACAGATTAAAACCTTTGCCAGTATGTTGACTAGCATGTCAATCACAGATCCATATGCTGACAGGTACAGGCACAAAACAAATCTTCTCCATGGCACCCCAATCCGCAAATGCATCTCTCGCCGGTTTCAAATTGATTATTCTTGACGAAGCAGATGCCATGACATCCACCGCACAGATGGCTCTCCGTCGCATTATGGAGCGCTACACAGCCAACACCCGATTCTGTATCATTGCCAACTACACACACAAGCTCTCGCCCGCGTTGTTGTCACGTTGTACACGATTCCGATTTAGTCCTCTCAAGGAGGCCGATATTCGATCCCTTGTGGACACAGTTATTGAGAAGGAGGATATCAAGATCCAACCTGACGCAGTGGATAGTCTGGTCACCCTCAGCAAGGGAGATATGCGTCGGGCGCTGAACGTTCTTCAGGCCTGTCATGCAAGCAGTGCGTGGCTTACTATCCTAGCTTTTCTACTGGTTGTATACTGATTCTGCGATAGGCAAACCTCTTCCGATGCGCGATGCACCAAATGCCCCCGTGCCCGAACCCGAAATCATCACAAATACGACAATTTACGATTGCATTGCGGCCCCCCACCCGAGCGATATCCAAGAAATCATGTCCACCATTCTGAATACTAGCGATGTCACATCTTGCCTCAACACTGTCAATACCCTCAAAGCTACCAAGGGTCTCGCCCTGGCCGATATCCTGTCGGCTCTAGCCGATCAACTGCAGCAGCTTGAGGTGCCAGCGCAGACCCGCATCACCTGGTTGGAGGGTCTCGCCGAGATCGAATATCGACTATCTGGCGGTGGATCAGAGTCTATTCAGACCGGTGGGTTAGTAGGTGTGGTGCGCAATGGATGTGAATTGATGGGCGACAAGGGCGTTGCAATGACCTGAATGAATTTAGCAAGTAAAGAATGAAAGTAATACAATACCACGAGAACGAATTCAAGCATGAGTCTTTTTATCTGTTGGTTATAAGACCATGTCCATGTGCATTGGAGCGATGCAGATGCAGCCTTGCTGTCGCGCGTTAACCGAAGGGTCATTGTGATAAGTAGAGGCACCAAGACGGCAAAACTTGCCGATTCCAGTGTCTAATTCCCAACTTTCAACAAAAGGCGAAAGCGGGGGAGATTGGCCTGAGCATCAGGGTTTGAGATTCGAGAGGGCTAATCAGGGTCCAAGGGTCTTTCCCCACCGCGGGATCTAGACGTCTTATCGACTGAAATTAATTACCTAAAAGGTTACTGCATTTCCTCGGACTTGGCCTAGCTTGTAGCCTGCATTAGCTGCTTACTGGAACCAGATCAGGATAGTCCATGAGTGGTTGAAGCCGGGAGTCGCCGTTCACAATGACAATTAGACTTTACGCAACACTGCGATGCGGCACAGTCTTCAACCTGACCCGCATTCGCTTCCCCTCCAATCCTGCATGGTAATGCCAAAAATCGTACTAAGGAAAAGTATATAGCATTGCTGGGTCCTCCACTGATCTTGGTGGTCCCGGCTTTCTTTTCCGTACCAAAATTTTCGGCTTCACCATGCGTTCATCTATTCATCACGGCCTGCTCTTGGCCTCCCTCACTGCACCTGTTGTGTCTGCTGAGCGAGTGCTGGGTGCTTATATTTATGCGCGTCATGGTGATCGGACTGCTAAAATTCTCGGCAATACCCAACTAACTGATTTGGGTTATTACGAGGTCTTCGCGGCTGGATCTGTGTATCATGACCTCTATGTTGACTCGAGCTCGGATAAGCAGATCGAGGGAATCAGTGACCCCATCGTGAACGCCAAGCAGATCAATGCTAGTGCTCCCTCAGATGCGGTGCTGCAGAACTCGGCCACTGGTTTCCTGCAGGGTGTCTATCCTCCCGCTTCAACAGCGGCTAACACTACCCTTGGAAATGGTACCGTGGTCGACTCGCCATTGAATGGTTATCAGCTCATCCAGCTACAGACCACTGGTACGAGCAACAGCAACGAAGACTCCAGCTGGCTGCAGGGCTCCAGTGATTGCTCCAAGGCCACTGTGAGCAGCAACAACTACTATAGCTCCGATGCTTACAATGATGTCCTCAAGTCCAGCGCAAGCTTCTATGATTCTCTCACTCCTGTCTTGAACCGGACTTTCTCGGCTTCTGATATTAGCTTCGAGAATGCCTACACTATCTTCGACTATCTGAATGTGGGCTACATCCATAACACATCTGCGACCTTCCCTGGCAAGTCAGAGTACATGACCGACGCCAACCGCGTGCAGCTCATTTCGCTGGCTGGTACCCACGAGTGGAACCTGGCATACAATGCCTCCGACCCCGTCCGCGCGATCAGCGGTGCCGTTATTCTCGGCGAGATCATGTCCAGCTTTGACGAGATCATCGACTCGAAGGGCGCGAAGTCTATTCTGAACGTCCAGTTTGGATCATACGGAACTATAATGTCCTTCTTCGGTCTGATGCAGATGCCTGCTGCTTCGCCGGAATTCTACGGCATCCCAGACTATGCCTCGTCTATGGTCTTTGAGCTCGTGACCAATGCTACTGGCACCGACTTCCCCTCGAGCGATGAAATCAGCGTGCGCTTCGCATTCCACAATGGAACCATGACTGGCTCGGAGACGCCCACCGTCTACCCTATGTTTGGTCAATCCAGCGATGTTCTCTCCTACTCTGACTTCAGCACGCAGATGAAGAAGGTTGCTATTACTTCCACTACCCAGTGGTGTGATATGTGCGGCAACACTGATGGTAGCTGTGCAACTTCGAGCGCATCCAGCTCTACTACCAGCTCCTCGAGCACTGAGAGTTCTGGTGGAATTTCCCGGGCAGTGGCTGGTGTCATCGGCGCCATGGTCACTCTTGCTGTTATTCTTGGCTTGCAGGCTCTCTTCTTCCTGGTCGGTGGATTCCGCATCGCTAAGCGAAACAAGGGCGTTCCGGAAATGGTCACTACCTCTAGTGTGGAGGCAGACAAGAAGGCCTAAACTATGGCCATGGAATGTGTTATGAATATCGTTGCTTATCAACACTGTACAGAGATTCGCTAAGAACTCAATGCTAAACATGATTTATATTAATATAACATTTGTGCTGGTAAGCTATTAGTCGCTCGCTATTACTTGAATTAATGTCAGCATTCTCATGCCAGTCAAAAAAGGCATCCACTCCATAGTATATTCTTCAGACTCTTGCCAAAGATTTCACGGGATCTGCCCAAATTTAGTACTAGTATGCCCGTGTGAGTAAAAGGTCAAATTATATTCGAATGAAGTGCACATCACTATGGTGACTCGCAGTACCTCTTCATTTAGCTTCAGATCAGCACCACACACCGGATCTCAGGAGGCGGGTTTCTGATATTCTCGTCCCGCATGTTTGCCTTTTTACTTGATTTTTCGCTGCATGGCTATAAATACTACATGACTGAAGTCCCTTTGTCTTTCTCGGGCTCGAATGGCGTTTCAGTTCCCAGCAAGGATCCAGGCTGGAAAGAAGAGCCTTCGAACTGGAGAGTCAACCCTTATGGCCTAGCATTAGGTCCAGGTTATATTCGGATTGAAAAGTTTGGCCTACACCTAGCCTAGGTTATATTTTAGGTTAAGGCTCTAAGGCTTAAGTAAGGCTTTGCGGAAGTCTATACGTTATATAACTTTCTTGCTTCTGTCTTACTATACTAGATTCTCGGGCAACGCTTGGTGAGCGCCGATGGAATCTTATTATTTTAGTAAATATCTTCAACCATTAGATAACTAATATCTTAGTGCGGGATTGCCGTAACAAGTCCAGAGCTCTGACTACATGGCGTCTTCAATGCGGGGAAAATATGGGGCCCACATCTCGCATCGGAAATCCTGTGGAGGTTCAACTGCCGGGAAACCAAGAATGTAGATCTATACTCGGAAGTTCCGAGTCCTTGATTAAAACTAGTTTTTAAAGGGATCCCTTGCCATTGAGATATTCCTGCGTAACTATTTTCGTTCAATTCGTCGGATAACTTTTAAAATCTCCAACTTGTCTTGCTCTATCAACTACTATGAAGATCCCTAGATGCCTACATCATGGTTTGATGGCAACAGGGTGGCTTTTTAGCATCCCAAGAGTTGAGTCAATGCCATTGACGCAGGAACTCCGGGAACTCTGTTCTCGGAACTCAGTCACCATTGCTCAAAATTCGTCCTCGGCTTGGCCATGGCAGGAATTTGTTTCGTCCAGCGCACAACCGCCATATTTGGAAATCAATGCCACTGGCGAGGAGCTTGCACCAGGTCTGATACTTTTCGATCCCCAGACTGGAATCAATTCTCAATCCTACATCCCTGATAAAGCTCCCTTTATTATGACCGACGCCGGTGATCTCGTTTGGTCGGGGCCAATTACCCCAGATGCTTCAAACTTCCGTGTGCAAAGCTTGCACGGGGAGCCAGTTATCACTTACTGGGCCGGTAGTGGCGGTGCTGCAGACTCCAGCTCAGCATCACATGGTTATGGTCATATTGTTATCCACAACTCGTCGTACGACCAGATTGGGATTATTTGTCCAAAGTTAAACTTGACTCTTCCCCCCGGAACATCTGCCCCCTGCCAGGCAGATGTCCATGAATCTTTCATCACCGAAAACAATACAATGCTCATCACAGCTTACAATACAACCAAAGCTGATCTACGAGATATCGGTGGCCCTGAAGACGGGTGGGTTCTTGATCCTCTTGTGCTGGAGATCGATCTCCGCACATCCGAAATTCTTTTCTCTTGGAGCCCTCTTGCTCATGTGCCAATAAATGATACAAACCTCCCACTCAATGGCGCTGGAGTGAACTCCAGCAATCCATTCGACTTTTTCCACACCAATTCGATTCAGCCCTTCGAGGGCAATTATCTCATTAACAGTCGCAGCACCTGGAGCACATACTTGGTTGATATAAATGGGAATATCATATGGCAAATTGATGGTGAGACGGGAGGTGACTTCGGAAGTCTTCCTGAAGGGGGTCGCTTCGTAATTTTCCTCTCGTCTTCTTGATCGTTGAAGCTAGACTGACCATGAAGCTCGTTAGTCTTGGGAACATTTTGCTCGGATCGAACGCGCCTCTGATACCCAACTTCAGCTTAGGTACTTTGCAAACAACAACGGTGACATAACCACCGCAAATGCATCAGTCGGTCTCGAACTCCTCTTGACCGTTCCCCCAACCCTTGACCACCCACCCCAGCTACTCAAGAATCTCTCAGACCCACTGTACCCAGTGGTATCGCTAGCAATGGGATCCCACGATATCCTTTCCAATGGCAATCATTTCCTTGGCTATGGAATTCAGCCTGTGATGAAAGAGTTTGGGCCACAAAACCCTCAAGGTCACGACGTTCGTTGGTCAGCGCGATATGACTTTGATAATGGCGCTGCTAGTTATCGCACCTACAAAACCCCTTGGAGAGCTACACCGGCGAGCAAGCCCTCTCTCCGTATTAGGAAACCCGGCCAAAGTGGTTCTCCCGCTCATGGGTTGAATGGCATCGAGTGTGGCTCATCGGCGACCCGAGGCTATGTTACTTGGAATGGCGCAACTGATGTCAAATATTATGTTTTGTACACCGGAAATCACGCGCGCTCAATGACAGCTGTTGGCATAGTCAAGAAGCAAGGATTTGAGACGGAGTTCATCATTCCTGATAATGGAGGACATAATCTATTTATGGTGGGGGCAGTTGAGGATGATCATTTCGGAGTAATCAGGAGATCTGCGATTATGAAATTGTAAGGTCAAGAAGCCAGGGTTTGGGGATCCATCAGTTAATGGACACCTCATTGTCTTCGTTGGTTATAAGTCACCACAACATGGCTTGCGAAACTCATTTATATTCATCTATTATCATTCTATTCTCCCCACTCTCTAGTTGAAGCTCACCGGAAACATAAAGTAGCGCGACACAACCGTTGTTTAGCGTGCCCATATTGTTACGAAAACAATAACGGATGGCAGGAGCCAAAGAGCTTCGAATCCGGTCGAGCTGAGTGATAACACAGGCCCGGCCTTCCATCACCGGGAACAATGCGTTGCTACTCTTGAGTGAGATATCTTCTAGGGCGCCTGATGACTGTGTACACAGATTGATCGGTAGAGATCCGATTTGATCCCACTATCCGTACGAATGAGGGACTGCTGTCTCACTCACTGCCTATAACCCAATAGCATCGCGTTACCCTATGCTGATGAGTCTTGCACAGACCCATTGAAGACTAATATTATTATTGAAATACATTTCTCCTCCGTGGTTTGAAGTCGTTGCCGTATGGCTGCTCTCGTCGGAGTTGGCGAGGATATAATTTCAGGAGTATAAGAGAACACACGTGTGTTTATGAAGTCAGGGATTGCGGGGAGCTGTCCGCAGTAGTTGATTGACAGGTCCGGGTATTACATAATCTACGTGCTTCTTGATGAAAACATGCTCCAGTATACAATAATCATTGCGAGGCAGCGGTCATTTTGATATCTCCACCTGTAAGAGAAGGAACAGAACAGAATAGAACAATTGTGGAATGAATGCCGTCACTTCTAACAAGGGTGAGCAAAGTAAAAGATTCATCAGCCCCATACCCGCACACTTGCAAGTCCCTCCCCACTTCTTGACCACAAGAACCCAGTATTTCATCCGCCAGTCCCCAACAAACACTGGAATAAAAGCACACTTTGGAGGAAAACGCCAGCCTGAGAAATCAAAACCTTCTAAATGGATACTGGTGATACCTCTTTCACAAGCTTCGGCTTAGTTGTCCTCGACGAGATCCGCATCCCAAATCAAAAACCATTAACAAATATACTCGGAGGCTCAGGAGCACACGGTCAGCACTACATTGCTCACCATTGTATCTAACTAACAAGTGTTACAGCAACTCTAGGAGCGCGTCTATTTCTAGCTCCTCCTTTGAACCGTACCCTAGCATGGCCAATTCACATCGGGCATGACTTCCCAGGTTCCATTGCTGACTTGCTACAAAGCTGGGGAATTACATTGGTCATCAAGGAAGAACTGGATCAGCCTTCGACCCGAGGCTTATTGGAGTATAAAGATACTACTTTTGGACGTATGCGCCTCATTCTAACTGCATACCATGATAATCGCTGACGGGGATTTAACATTCAGCCAAAGATTTCAAATACACAACTCCTGTCCTAGCTGTCGATGAAAGTCATGCAGAGGGTTCCCGTATCCTGGCATCGAGGGTTTATCACTACCTTGCAACACCACGGGATATCATATCCCGTGTCTCGACTCTTCTTGCGATGCGGCATGAAGCCGGTATATCAAACCGACCACTAATAATATGGGAACCCTCTCCCCTGGCGTGCAGTCCGGATAATCTCCAAGATTGTCTAGAGGCAGCACGATACGTGGATATTCTCAGTCCCAATCATCTTGAGCTAGCGAAGCTGTTTTCACAGGCACCAGGTGCCGCTTTTTCCAAAAGTGGGATCGAGGAGTTGGTATTGAAATTCTTGGATAGCGGGGTTGGTCCAGATGGAACGGGCGTGGTCGTTGTCCGAGCTGGTGAGCATGGCTGTCTTGTCCAATCGGGGAACATTTCTCCTAAATGGCTGCCACCTTTCTATGATTCTGGCTTTGTGAGGAATAAAAAATTCTCCGGTAGTTGATCCGACTGGAGCTGGCAATGCGTTTTTGGGTGGGTATGGTGTGGGGTATATTCAGACGGGAGACGCTGTACATGCAGCTTGTTATGGGACTGTCGCTGCGTCGTTTGCTTTAGAGCAGATAGGTATGCCGGAGAAGGTAGATCAAGGTGACACCGAGTTGTGGAATGGGGTTAGTGTGAGAGCAAGACTACAAGAGTATATGTCTAGAGAAGAAGTCAAGAGCATCTACGCATAGAGAATATAATCGGATACAAGGATCATCGAGTAGATTACCGGAGCAAGTAAGGGCCCACTCTAGGGTGCGGGTGCGATATGGATCATATGAATATCGGATTTTCAAATCCAGCCTGATCCCCCAAACCACACATTGCCAGCCCGTATGAACAAAATAAACGCCATCCGTGATAACCTGGGATATCGCCTTCAAATCTCGCTATCTCCCATTCTTTTTTCCTTCCTTAGCCTTGGCTCTAAATCTACTTCATCACGCCTTTCTGCGCCGCTTCGTACTGCTTCCATGTTCGGTAGATTCACCAGGAGTCTCCGCTGCTGTTGCAGGACTGGTAGCTTCGCTATCAGTCAACTGCTCAATAACTCGGCCTGAATCCATGTTGCCAGATCCAGTATCACCACCATAACCAGTACCATCGAAGCCGTAGCTGTACTGGTCTGGCCCGTGGCCGCCGTCAAAGAGGTCACCATCACCAGGAATGTGTCCGAAGTCGAACAGATCATTGGTGTCTCCCTCGTCTTGGCCATGGCCCAAATGTTCGTGTGGGTTTCCTCCCAAATCGGTAGTTTGCGCAGTGGGGTCCAGATTTGAGAGTTTCCTGTCATGCTCTGTGTCTCCAATATCGGTAAAGTAGTCATTGTTGAATATCGTATCAAGGTCGAGTGGTGGAGGTGGAACGTTTCCATTACCATCTGGTCCCAGTCCTGGTATGGCACCAGTTGGGCTCAATGGCTGAAGAAGGTTGGTGAGGTTTTGGACAGATCTATCCTGCTCGGCTTGCATCTTGACTAAATTGTCGATTTCTTGGCGAGTGTTCGCGAGGCGGCCCGAATAGTTCGGAGGCATGGGTGGTGGGGTCGGAGTCATAAGAGCGTTGTTTGAAGAACCCGAGGCAGTGGGATCCGCCGTGTTGGCCTCATTGGCCATGAGACGAAGCATATCGGCGCGCTGATGAGCAGTAAGAGGCACATTTCCGCCAGATGTTTCGAGAGAGGATAGAACATTGGGAAAGTCCGAAAAGTTCGTCGCAAGGCCGTTCCTTGCATTGGAATTTTGGATAACGGACATGATGTCCTGCTGAGGGGAATTTGCGTCACTTGGTTGCCCTGGATGATCAGATTTGCTCTGCCGTGGGCTGTTATCGAAAACCTCCTCAACATGACCAGGTTTGCCAGCACTTGGCTGGCGAGCATGACCCCGAGATCTTGTCTCATAGGCTCCAGTTACCGCCGGGGAAATAGTAGAGGCACGGTCGTTGTCATCGACGATAGGGGGGCTTTCAAAAGCAGGGGTTGTTTCTTCATTGTCCTTTGCCCAGTAGGGCTAGCCAGTCCAGCCAAAGAACTCAAAGAAAAGTCATCGCCCACATCGACAATGTTTCCTTGGTCCCCGGAAATGGCTCCAGCAAAAGAATTTGCGATATTTTGGTTTGTGTCCTGTCCTTGCAAACTGCGGTTATAAACAGTAGCGAGGAATGTGAGTATGGCGTTGATTGAGTTCTCGTGCCGAGTATGTTGCTCCTGGAAATTGGCAGCTTGTGCATAGAGCTGCTCATGCTCCTTCCGTAGCCTGGTTATGGTACTTGAAATGATCTGTTGCTGTTGACGAATCGCTTGCAATTCTCGGTAGACTCCAGACAACTGATCTGATGGCATAGGAGTTTCTGTGAGGAGGGAAAGCTGTTGAGGTCTTGGCCGGCTCTCACGAGACGCAGGCACGCCATCTTCCCCATAATCTTCTATCTCGTTCTCATCCACGTCCTCTGTCTTCACCCGCGTTCCACCTTTACTCCCCTTGCTAGTGTGACCTGGTGTGTTTTTCGGCTTCTGGATCAACCAGAGCAAATCCGGGTGGCCACGTTTGAAGTAGGGGTTCGCATATTCACTCGGACTCTTGTTTTTTCGCTCGCTGGCGCGCATCGAGTTGTCGGAAAGGCCAACCTTCTTGTGGAATCCATACATGTTCAACTGTCGGACAAATGATGCGTAATTGTTGTGTTTGAAAAGCTCGGGAATCAGTGTCCTCGCAAACTCATCCTCGTCTAGCACAATAAAAGAATTGCCATCGTCGGACCATCGAATCAACTCCGTGTTTTTGGACTCATCAAGAAAACTTTGGAACGAATTAGCTCTTTCTTCAAATTATATGTAAGATCAATTCCTGCGACTGACCTGCTGAGTTTTTGCACGAAAGGGGGAATCTGTTTTCGCTTCGCTTGCGACTCTCTCTTCGCGGCTTGGGCCCGCGCATACAACTCCTCGAGGCTTTCACCCCATGCACCCGACTCTCCCGGATTTCCACTCGGATTGTGTTCCGAATAGGCTACGGGCGTTTGCTCGTACCCACGGTTGCGACTCACAAGCTGATTCGCCTGCTGGCGACGAGCAAGTTGGCTATTGTTGGCTGTTGCTGCAGCGGGCACATCCTGGGCATTTATATTTCCTTGGTGATATGCAGGGTTTTCGGCGTAAGAGGAGGCATTTACTGCATTAACGGCGGGGTTTTGCCCCCACTGTAAGAATTGGTCGTTGGATAGCTGAGAATTCGGATTCGCGGAAGAATAGTTGGGGACCGTGCCCATCTGTGGGTGCACTGCAGGAGTCGTTCCTGGGGCCGGCCGTTTTCGCGTCATGCCTTGAGAACTCATGATGGACCGATAGGTCCAAGCTGTTGATGGGTAGGGTATCGCAGGAGTGGGGTCGCTGGTAAATCTTTCGACTGGCGAGCAACGCGTCGAGAAAAGCGGATCAGATTTCAAGGATCTCGGTTTTTTTGTTTCGAGGGCAATTCAAGCTCCAAATTCAATTGATTGGGCGTGAATATCGTCCTAGGCGATTGAGTCACGCCAAAGGTCTGAGGGTGGAGTGAATCGGGCAAAAATCCGGCCGACGGTCGACAACGTAACCCAAAATTCGTCCGAGCGAATTGGATGAATGGTAGTGAATGTAGCGTATGCGGTACTTGCGTGTAGACAGACCGAGGCAGACCTAGGCACGGCGAAAGAAGATTTGAGTTAAATCCTACCTTGCGACCACAATCAGCGGGTGAAAGATAGGCATTCAAGACGATTCGAGGCACCAACCAAAGGGGGCAAGAAGGGCGCTCTGCTCCAGTCAGAGCAGTGACGGATGAGCGGTGATCCGAATGCGATCGGGGCGAAGGATGGAAAGGAGCGCAGGACAAGAAATCTTGCGCTGCGATCTTTCGCTAGACAATGAGGTCAATCCAGAGCGGAGTCAGCGCTGATTGGTGGGTCATGCTAAGTCATCACGGGCTATCAAAAGAAGAAACTTCCATGTCCAACAAAAGGAGTAAATTATTTTATAGCTGTTTCTGTCTTATCAGAGTACAGTACCAAGCATATCTGTTTTCTCGTTCTCTTCCAATTTCAGATCTGCTTAGCTTACATCCTAGCTTGTGGCATCATCGCCAACGAGTTCCTGGAAATTTTTCAGCAATGCCTGCCACTCAGCTGGCTGGTTCTGTGTAAACTCTTCCACCTTTTTCGGGCTAACCAAGTCCTCTGCCATGCGGGACTCATTCTTGGTGCCATTCAGTATAGTAATGTTACCAAGTCCCATCACGAGCGCATATAGCGCAGCTGCGGGGCTGATCTCCACGTAAGCAGCAAGTTTCTGCACAGGTCCTGATCGTAAAAGCTCTGGATTTGCAGTCAAAGTCCAGAAGCTTTGATAGATGATGTCTTTCTCGCGACAAAATGACCGGAGCGGAACATCATAAAGGGTATCCTCGTAAAATCGATTCTGCACAACTGCAGGTTTCACCTTGACCACAGGCAAGGTACAAAGAGCATGGAGCACCGGTAGAGGGCAGTTGGATATTCCCAAGTTGCGAATCCGATGGGGCACATAGGTCTCCAAAGCCTCCCATACCTCGACGGTTTGCTCAATAGTCCGCAACGGGCTATGAACGACCACTGTGTCAATGTAGGCTTCGTCCACGCTACTCGCATCAGCTGATGGTCGAAGATTGTATAAAGATGATTTGATTGATGCATGAACCTGCTCCGTCAGAGATGCATTGGCATCATACGGCATGTTATCCGGATCTTGAGCGGAGACCGGACTAAATTTGGTTTGCACCTGCATCGAATCAGCATCAATGTAGACAATAATACATTGAAAAAGGGGTCACCACTTACATAGAGGTCCTCTCGTCGCACCACCCCTTCCGCGATTGCCCTGCGAATTCCATCGCCGACTAATGGCTCCTGGTAGTGTCGCGGTTGAGCTGCTGTGTCGATGCCGCGGAAGCCGGCGTTGACCGCGGTGTAGACGAGATCGGCTGTCCGATCTTTCTTCCAGGCAGTCCCATAGAGGAAAACCGGGATGAAAGTCGGAGTGGAGTACTGGACGGGACGTAGGCAATATTTTTCCCACATTTTGGTCATCGCTCGAGCCATAGTGGGTGGAAATAGATCACATCTATAATTAACTTGCAAGGTGTTGCGGGGTCGCAGCTATTACTAAGATATGTTGCTATTGACAACGTGACGCCCTCGTCATTTTGAAAGCGTGTAGAGACCAAGTGAGTAGAACCCAATTTAGATTCTATGAAGCTCTGTTCTGTTATGATCCACAAAAAGAAATCTCATTAGACAAACCGCTAGCCCTGCAAGATTCATTTAGCCGGGGGACTCAGCCCCAATACGAGCACATGTTGGGCCCACATTGGATACGTCGGTCGCTCTATGCAGTAGAATTTACACTAGCTTAGTATACCCTTAAGAAACGCGGAAGCCTAGAAAGTGCTTTCACCTTTGCTATTTATATAGCCATTCATCGTGGGGCAAATTGATTCGGTTCCCGGCATTATGCAGGGATACCCACACCCTTCTTCAAGGCTATTTTGGCTGTATGATCTCCCGACTCAAGCTAACCCCAAAGACCATTTCAATTTCACGGAATTCCAAGAATCTACAATCTAGGTCGCGGCGCTCAGTAGGATTCAAAAATAAAACTTCACAATTGGCGAGCCAAAGCCAAGTAATAGTTAGCAGCCCCGCAGCGTGGCTTAGACAGCATGTTTTCTGGGCATGTTGCTTGGCAGAAGGGTCCTTTGTAGGTCATTAACTATGCTCTGATGGATAGATTGGGTGCCTGTCAGTAGATCAAGATTGGGTAGCATTATAATCCTAGAATTGTGACTCGACACAGCCACTGCAGGCTAGTCACTAGTGCAGAATGCAACAGCGGAATACTTGAGGGCCCGCATATATCAATGAACCATCTCCAGAGATGTCTTGGCTGATGCCATTCTGGAACAGGCAGCTCCTTTCCCTCTGTCAACATTGGTTCTCTACTTCTGGGCAGTGGAGAGTTATCTCCTTCTATAGATATCGCTTTCATAGTTGACGGTGAAGATCTGTAGGACCTGCAGGGCTCGGGAATACAATTCCCACTTACAGAATGGATGAGAAGAGTCCGCTGCTGTGAGTGGGCAGCAGACTCGTTGGCGAGCTCTTCTGATCGACAGGGTCCAACTAGGATGTCATTTATAGAAACAAAAGCATCTATACTGGACAACACCAGCAGCAACATATAAAGATGTAGTTTTTCCTGTCGATATCGATCAATCCAGCATCAAGACAAAATACATCTCATTCAAAGAAGAATCAAAATATCGAACCCAGTATCCCTTCAATCAGGCACCATGCGTTCTCAGCAACTTCTTGCGCTCTGCGGCCTTGTGCTTGCCAGCCCTCTCGCTATTGCGGCCAAATTGGAGCATGATGATGTCCCCAACCGCTGCTGGGATGCCTGTGGTCCTGTTGTGGGCATCTCAGAGAGTTGTGATGCACAGCATGACAATGACTCTGCCGAGTTGCAGTGCATTTGCAATTGGGCACCGGCGAAGACGCAAATTCCACTCTGTGCGGCTTGTATCACCCAGTACAGGGACGAAAACGATGATGATCACGACCACGACCATGATGACGATGACGACGACGACGACGACGACGACGATGATGATGATGACGATGACAATGGTATGTAGAAACGTTGATTGTAACAGTTGAGTCCCATACTCATATCTATCAGATGCTCTCGATATCGTCCGCTCTTGCTCCTTCAGCACGACGACTTACAATGCTGCTGCTGCCACTACCTTGAATGCTTCGGCCACCAGCACTGAAACTGCTGCATCAGCTGCCACCACTACAGATAGTGCAGCCTCTGGAAGTGGCTCTCAGGGCTCCTCTACTACCTCTTCTGGAGGCTCTGCTTCTTCTCCAACTGCCACAACTGACGCAGCTGCTGGCATCAACGCACCTGGAGCTTTGTACTTGGCCGGTCTTATGGGAATGCTGCCTTTAGCTTGGCTTTAAGCAGCATTCACTGCTTGCTCGGCTCTGTTGAAAGTGAGGTTTCAAGATCAAGACAAGAAGGTACAATTTGGGTTACATGACATTTGGTTTTCATGCTTTTACGTGTTTTGAATGACTCTCCTTAAATTTGCAACAATTCATCTACATTTCGTGATATCAGATTAAGAAGGGAGTATGTCTCCCATTTCCTTTCCATTTCCACTTTGTTTCCAATTTGTAGATTTCAATAAATGAAATGAGAATGTACACCCTTCTCAGCTCATCCCCGCCTGGTAGAGACGTGTTCGGATGTTATGTGCGTCTACAGGGTCAATCGGTCGCGCATGGTCGTAGCCAGGTCAGCCTCATTAACCGCAGCCTACAGTTCCAGATATCCTGGTGCGTAAAATCAATGTCCTCCACTCACCCATCCGTCGCCCCATCGGATCGATCTCAAAAAGAGACTCTCGACGTGCCTTAGCCCCTTTAGAGTGATACAAGTTAACCCGAAAGATGAAGTGAGTTTAACGACAAACTGTAGTGGACAAAGGAGACCAAAATCGCCAAGTAGACCCGGAGAAATAGGCCCCAATAGGGTCTCTAGGCAGAAAGAGTCCGTTGGGTTCATTATGCTAGCCTATAGGTAAGTTGCAAAACAATCTGCATTAAACTGCACCAAACTTCCAAAAACCGAGTAAACCGAGTAAGGCTAGAAAATGTTCCTTTCAGCAGCAGTTTTTGTATTCTGGGCAAGATTGGTATACATTCGCCATGTTGCCAAGGTCAATCATTCCAGACTGCGGTTCCGCTTTGGCGGCCAACTGGCTAACATGCTTACCGAGTACACCCGAGCTCGGGAGGTGAGGGGCAAGCTTGGAAGAATCCTCCATCAGGAGTATACTTCACTTCTCCTTCTTTGTTCAATATCAACTCTACGGTTAATCGCAAAAATGAGTCTCGCTAGTAAATAAAACCCATCTCATCTTATTGACGTCACCCGTCTTACCATTGCATGCAGCTTTCATCCAAGGTGGCGAATACGAAACCGCCTCATCAGAAGTGATGAACTCAGATATACAGACTGAGCTTGATGCGAAATTGGTTGCCAAGCACCTTGTATACCAAGCAGTCCTGGGATATGGAAAGGTCTGCGATAAGCGAGGTATAGATTTATTTCCAAGATCAAGACAAGAGATGATGCTGATATATAACAGGCAAACCTTCCTCGCCTGAGCAGGCAAAACAGCTGATGTTGGTGTTCACAAATGCCATTCTCGAGGACATGGTCAAACGGGGTGTGAAGGTCAATGATCAAGAAGAAACGAAACGCGAGGTCGAGAAAATGTCAGAACAGGTATTAAAAGATTCTGGCGAGTATCAATGAACTCGTATGAGGTCTTGATTCTGGAAGGGATTATCTATGACATTGAATAGTGGTTGAGACTTATAAAGATCATGTATTGAATTTTTCGTCCCGCGAGATATATTTTATTCTTCTTGCCCCTCGAGCCTCAACATTTGCGCGCTCGAAATATTACCACTCGCAAAGACCACAAGGACAGCAGCATATCTTTTCCTTGAAGTCAGCCATGTTCGTATGTTTATATAATTTGCTAATCAGGGCCCTGGAAGTAAAACAACCTTGGGAATGGTGGAACATGACTTACGCAGCAGTAGCGTTAAATATCTCCTCTCGGTCTGCATTCGTCATCAAGCCAATACTCAGGGCAAACGTAGCAGTAAACATCGCGATCAAGCCGAGCTTTACAGCATCATTGGTGGCAAAGTAGAGACCTACACTTGAGCCAATTAAAAGAGAAGCTGCGAGTCGAATGTTTAGTATAGCGACTGCACTGGAGATCGATTCCTCTTTATACCGTCCGATACGGTGAAAGCCGTCTCGAGGAAACTCTTCCTGTGAGACTGTCACTGATGGTCCACAATGTCGTTTTAGAAGGATAGACTAATAAACAGCTTTCGGTAATTCATTTAAGAACCACCAGATCATCCCGATATCATGCTGATCTCAATAAAATGTGCTCGGCATCTTGCCTTGGAGATCAATCATTATTAGGAAATCCGACTTCACGTTGAATGGGAGACGGAAGCACAGCGTGGACTCCGGGGGTTGTGCAAGACGTACCATGGAGCGTGAGAGGGAAAGACATTTGATGCGACTTTCATTTGCTCGACTCACTCTGCGCTTGTGTTATATTGAGCAACGATCATCTCTTCGACGTCAATGCCTTTTCCGACACCGATGCAAGTGTATAAAAGTATTACAACTTTGCAATATTCGTCTCATTGGTCCAATATGCAGAGAATTTAGGTTAACTAGAGGAGGAGTACCTGAGTGATAGTCAGTCCTTGTTGACTTATGCCCCCAGGGAAATGTGCTCTAAAAACATGAATCGATTAATTCTACGGACGCGTTCAGACCAGAGAAGGTTCAACGCGAGCTCGCAAGACGAGATCATATACGTGATGTGACTTTATCAGACGAGCAGCGGAGCGAAGCTATATTAAAGGAGAATGAGAGGCGACGTCGATGGGAAGACTTGAGAGCATCTCACTCGCGGAGATTACAGTCTTGAATGACGAACGTCCAGCCATTAAAAGGACATCCTGGGGCTAGTGTCCCAGTCGCTTTTTAAGGGACTCCTATAGCTAAGGCCCCTAGGAAAGATAAGTTGGGGAGAAGACTCAGAGCATCTCTGTGTCGTGATTTAACATAGAAAGCCATGTCAGCATCCGTGTAAAATAACCATGCCCATTTGTACATAGGGATATATATTTGTTCATCACGATGGTCTAAATACAGAAAGTGTCACATTATATTTACAGATCGCATATTATCCGTGGCGGATTAGATGTCGTCTTTAGGTGAGTCCGTGGACGGGTGGCCTCTCGACCTTTGTATTCTTCTGGGGATCGGCCACTGGTAAGTCGTCGGGTTCTGAGTCGTCCCAAGGACCGTCGAAGTCAAAGTCCTCAAAAGTTGAGTCTTCGTTCTCATCCTCATTGGCGTCCTGTTTGACGTTCTCTTTGGAATTTTCCGTTTTGACGTCTTGCTGTTGGTCTTCTTCTTTCTCCTCATCCCCTTCCTCATTCTCGTCAAGTGACTCTCCAGGCAAGTCGAAGCCTTCGTCCCAGTCATCATCAACTGGCTCTCCGGGCAAGTCAAAGCCTTCAAAGAAGTCGTCATCATTCTTCATGTTCCTGAACGGGTTGTCCGAGATGTAATCAGGAATGAGCGGCTCTATATATTCCATATCATATACATCCGAGTAGCACTGTGCTTTGCTAGGGCATCTACAGAAACCGTCAGCAACTCCATCAGTAATTTCAATCAAGAAATAACTCACGATACGGGATCCTGCCCGAAAATAATATGCCACAGATACTCAAACACGCGGCCACTGGTCTCATCATCGAGTTGCGTGTCCATCAACCAGCGATAGTAGTGCTCATAGTCGCTCAGCGGCCGAGCAAGCACTTGTTCTCTTGTGACAGCGAATTGCGCACAACAAGGTGTTCCAATCACCTCTGGGATATCAGTGTTATTGAAAATCTTGATCCAAGCTCCTGCAAAGGCGATTTCCGTTGTCCGTCCTGCTAATTGTCGGAATGGGTAGACTTCATCTGGACATCCTGGACTCCAGTCACAACGCAGGTTGGTATATCCGACTCGGCGGACGTAGTCAAGTTGTAATCGCTGCACCGTCAAGGAATTATCTTGTTCATCGAATTCGACGTGCTCGGCCCAGCGATGGGCGTGTAGGAAGACCATGTATTGAGGTAGGTTGTCGTAATGGTCTATGATATATGTGAGATAGACGTTACTCTCTTTGCCTTTATTTTCGGCGACATGGTATTCGGATTCGGGTTCGTCGATGACATAGACTGCGTTCGGCCACCTGTCATTGCAAATATTAGTTTTGCTCCGAAGGTTGCAGGATCTCGAAAGGCTTTGTCGCACAAAGCCAAAATAGAGATCAATTCGAATTTTAGTGCTTACTCTGGTAGTTCCTCTTCCAACCAATCGGAATCTTCCCAAGACATTCTCCCCAACACAACAATGCGATCCGTCAACTTCGGTACCGGCGGTTTAGGTGTAGCTTTCGGCTTCGGCGGTGGTTGATTATGTCCATATCTCGAACCGAGTTCATAATCCAATGTATCTAGGTAATCATCCGAAAACAAATCATCATAGAAATATGAGCCAGGAACCTCAACGGGAATCGTCTCCGGTTCAAATTGTTTCGGTGTGACTGGCGGCCCAGTTGGTTCCAAAAATCTCTGGGTCTTTGAAGTACTAATTGACGTTGAAGAAACCCGCGACACAGCCACGGAACTAGAAGTAGCTTCTTCCGCAGCCGCAACGTCGTCGCCCGAGACCAGCTCGATATGGGTGCCCGCACGGTCGAGAATAAATTCAGGCACCGGCACGCGGCTTGCGCTGCGGTCAGTCTGCCATTGCTCGTCGATTGAAGAGAGGTGATTCTTCACAAGGAAGATAGTGAAGACCAGTGCGACGGCGATGGCCACGCGAAATGTTAGCCTCATGTCGACACTGGGGTTCTTTTAGAAAAGCCAAGAGGGAAACGGAGTACTTTAAAGGGTGCGCCGCTTTTCTAGGCACTTTGGATCGGCCCCACTATACTACGTCTGCATCCCGACGCCTCAGCCGCACATAATCGTTTGCGATGATTTCGGCTTGCACGGGATAGCGAAAAAAGATGCAGAGGTAGATCGTGACGATACTCGCGACACTCGGTATGTCAGCTAGATGATAAAGTCATGGAAATAATGGAGTTTAAGGATATGTACAGGGTCTTTAGACCCCGTTCTCATTGCGACGTGGGGTGGGGCCAAGCTTCGTCAGCCATTCGTGCGCGTCACTCTTCTGGCCCGTTTCAGGCCTCTTCTCTGTCACAACTGACATGCTATTGGTAGGCCATCTGCCGTATTGGGCCCTTCTTCGGCTATTTTGGGGTCCAGACGTCAATATCAATCGATATGAAGCATTGATGAGATGCGACCCCGCGAATTAGACATTTGTCTTGACAGCTGCCTGGAATTTGATGTTCGCGTGCTCTGGTCCGATCGGCGAAACTTTGTTTCGCTCAGGAACAAAAGGCAATTCTACTACGGAATACTTGCAATCATCAGGTTGACATCATGCATTATGCATCATGACAAGATTTTAGACCGGAGTCCGTGGCTTCCCCAAGCCTTTACTAGTCACCACTATAGCATTGGCGCTTTAAGTTATGCCGGTATACGTAGACCATGCATAAGCGATCCATTTATTGAGCCTATAATGGCGCTGATCTACACCACGAGGCTGGCCTATTGGACGACTCACGCTAATGAAGGTTAAAGTACAGTTTCCAATAGAAATAAATACTTGGCAGATATGAACACTTGACTCGCTTCCTATCTCTCATGACCAAGTTCTCCTCAAGGCCACATCCCGCCGTCTGCGAAGGAATTATTGCCAGAAGCCAGTTGGGTGATGCTCCCTCTACTAATCCATTTTCTTACTTGTCATTAGTCAGGACCCGACTACTTCCTGCAGGAAAACGTGACTTGAACTCGATTGGCCTATACCCGTGCAAGCACCTTGGACTACAAACCTCTTAACTACAAGCCTATTTGTCCACTCTATAGCCTCGACCTCGATCTCGACAAGGCGACCAAGCCACCGATACAGCTGCTCAGGATCGATCTGATAATCCAGTCCACTACTGGGCCACCAAACCTACCAGACAAGGCTGGCACTCAAATTTGGAAGTGACCAAAGCTTTTGGACTCAAAGCTTAGGATGATCATCCAGCAAACGGGCGAATTTTCTGGAAAATTAACTGAAGACAGCTTAGTCGCCTACTGAGTATCGCCGTCTACTCCACTTTGGCGAGCACGGGGCTTTTTACCCCTGGCCGTCCTTTTTCTCCTGACGTGAACCTTCAGTCCACCACAATTGTCCGGCCTTACCCACTAAGCCTTGAAGCTATTTACTTGGTCAAGGTCCTATAATAGTAACACGAAACTGGAATTGTTCTGAGCGGAGCCTTGGATCATTTCAGGAATGGTCGGCCGACGCTCGTATATCGGTGGCAGCTAGAAGGGATCGTCGTTCCAGAACAAAAAAGGGGGTGGAGGCTCATCAATGGATTCATGGAGAGGACTTCATGCCACAAGAGGGGAGTGGCGAGGAAAAAGCAATCAATGATCAATGGCCTCAGAGACATGAAGCTCTCCGAGCTCAACCCTGGCTATATCGCCTTCGTGACGAAAGTACATAGCCACCGTACTTTGAATGTAAACCAACCATCTAGCCAAGAACACCCTCAACCAAAAGAAAGGGGCGTCTCGGAAGAGCTCACGAGATCCCCGAGAGCTTTCCCCCCTTTACTCCGTACACTTTCCCCATCCTCACAACGCCAGATCCCGAGACCCAATTGTCAGGCTAGACACTAGTCCGGAGCGCCGGAGCAGGTCAAGTCGACTCCACCAACTGCACACCATCGGAAACTGACGTGCCCACCAAAAAGGTTCTAAGTCGCCTCTAGCGGGTTTCTAGCTGTGGGCTGAGCTTCTCAGGAGCTTCCGCGAGGCCGCTAGAACGGGGGATGCGCGGATCGTGGAGCCCGGCGCATGTTTCAATTTCTCCAAGTGGGCCTGGCGTGAGATAGCTCCATGCGCCGTCAATCAGGGAGAGCTTTGAATAAGTGCCGGGGAATCGCTGGGCCGTCCCGCTGGAGCCGGATTACATGGCAAGGTGACGTTTAGAAATATTTGTAAGGATTAGAAAAAGAAAAGAAAGGGGGCTATGTAGTGTAGGTCCAAGACTCCAAGAAACTAGGTGGCGAACGAGTACGCGCTATTATAGGTTAGATCGTGGCAGATGATCCGCTATACCTGACTCGATAACACGAGAAAAAAAAAAAAAAAAAATAGAAAAAAAAATCAAATAAAAAAAAGAGAGAGAAGAAAAAGGAGGCACTTTAGTTAATGAGCTAGGGAAATAGGAATGGAGTCATGCCAATTATAGAACATCAAGCGTACTGTACTCCATATACTCGACACCCATCTTGACATGGTCTGAAGTTGCAGGGGTGGTCGAGATATTGTATCAGGTATAGTGTCGGGCAGGTATCGCGGGAGCACGAGGCAGTGGGCGAACCCATCAGCTGTCAGCTGCAAGAGACTCGTGCAAGATCCCCACGAGTTTTTAACAGTGAAACGTGGACTGGGAAGGGCTCCATCCTGTAACAGGCAATCTGTTCTTGCGACTCGTTGGCAGTCTACGCATTTGAATTTCCCGATGTCCACTGAGGCGGAGACATAATCCACTTGGCCATATGGGTCCCAGTAAAGGAATCGGAAAGGAATGACGGGCAGAGAGAGCCGACCGCTGGAGCTTCGAGAAGCATGGACTCTGATTCGGTGAAGTGGAAGACGGAGAAGGAGCCGGCTCTAACTCATTAGGGGTCGATCTGGGAGAATTCAAGGATCGAGAAAGAGACCTAGAATAAAAAAAATTGTGTGGTATGTGTCTACATATGTTGATAGTATCAGGCAGATCAGTTCGTATTTTCAAACAGAGAACTAGACCCTTCTATAGAGAATGTTGGAAACCTTCCTCTGAAGGTTGAACCCATGTCAAGGTATATTGAAAACCACTCCTATTGGTTTAAGCCCCATAATCCATCGGGTACATCCAGGGGCAAAAAATTGCAGGGACTGGAGATCTCTCTAGTTCATATGATTTGATTAGTTTTAGTGTTAGTCTTAGCTTTAGTGTAGTTTTTTTTTCCCTATATAACTTCCGCACGCCACAAAACCCGTCTTCTCTCTCTCTTGTGGAATTTCGAGACTTCTTCTACATTGATCCCAACTGACTACTTTTTCCCCCCCCTAATTCTGGAATTCTCTTGCAGTTTGCTGCAAGTTCGAAAGGCAAAACTCCTTACTCCCCGTTCTTGGCGGCAAGAGTGGACCAACTCCCACATCCGGCCTTGCGTGTCCCAATTTCCAACCTTTTTTCCTTTCTCCCCCCGCTCTTCCCTTCCAATTTCACCCACAACAAGGGGAAAAGTCGATCTTTCTTGAAAATCATTGATTAAATTCCTATACGCATTGACGGCTTCCCCTAAAACCCTTGGAAAGTATCAGCCCCCTTTTCATGATAACGTGCACGACTTTGCATCCGTGAGCGATTTTGCATTTTTCTTCTCCGAACACCGCCCGTTGCCGTGGTGTCTTCTCTTCCGACTCGCACACTCCATGTCCGAATAGCTCCGTGCGTATCTGTTCGATCTTAGGGATTTTACGTGCCCACATTCCTCCGGTCTCGCCAAGGATTCTTCCAAATGAGTTATCAACAACCGGACATGTATCACGATCCTTCCGCGCGTTCCCCTGGCTCCCAGCGGCATCAACAACCCCTCCACCGCCAGCCTTCGCGCCAGTTTGATGCTTATGGTGCTATGCCTGTAAACCTGTATGAAGATCAGATGGCTCGGTACGAGTCTGCTAGGTTGGAGCGGTTAAACCCACCCATGCAAAACAACAACTCCTACTCTTACGATCTGTCCGGATCGCAGACCTGGAACCCAAATGGCTTTGCCAACGCTCAAACCCTTGGTGGCATTCGGTCGGCTTCCGCCAGCCTGAAGCCTGCCGCTCGAGGACGCACTGCGTTGCCTACGGTACGTGGATACGGAAATTGCCATCGATTTTTTCCTCTTTCGTCTGATCTCCTCTCTCCCTTTGTGCGGTGAACTAATCAGATGGCAAATAATAGACTTGGCTTGATCAGCAACCGGGAATGCCTAATGCCTTCTCCAACCTGGGCCCCGGTCCCATCCAGAGCAGCGCGATGCGCCCGGAAGCATCGGCTTCATCCGAGGGCGATGACGAACTCATCCCGACTGCGATCGTCATCAAGAACATCCCATTTGCCGTGAAGAAGGAACAGTTGGTGCAGCTGATGACCGAGTTGAATCTGCCCTTGCCCTATGCCTTCAACTACCACTTTGATAACGGGGTGTTCCGTGGACTGGCTTTCGCCAACTTCACTTCTGCCGAGGAGACCGCCACCGTGATCGACGTGCTGAACCACTTTGAACTCCAGGGCCGGAAACTGCGTGTCGAGTACAAGAAGATGCTGCCACTGCAGGAACGCGAGCGGATTGAACGGGAAAAGCGAGAGCGTCGCGGCCAGCTGGAGGAGCAGCACCGTCCTATGCCTTCCCAACTGCACACTCAGAGTTCTATGACTTCGTTGAACTCGCACATTCCAGCTACCTCGCCTTCACCTGTGTCACAGCGTGGTGGTGTTAGCCACGGCCAGAAATTGGGTACGTAGATCATCTTGGATGGAGGAAGAAAATTTTTTTCTTGATTTGGTTGCTAATTAACATCTGGTATCATGCAGACGTCGACTTGAATGATGGCCAAACTCTTCAATACTACTCTCAGCTCCTTTTATTCAAGGAAGACACCACCCGCGATTCCGTGTTGTTCCCCTCGAACTTGACTCCTTCCCAGCGACGCACGGTTCACACCCTGGCTCATAACATGGGGTTGGCCCATGCCTCCCGCGGAAGTGGAGATCAACGCCAGGTCCAGGTACTGAAAGTCGCTGCTGGCACCAATGTGAGCCCACCGTTGCAGCCTATTCCTCCCGCCGGACAGTCCGACAGCTCTCGCCGCGGACTGAACCGTGCCGCCACCATTGATTTTAGTGAGGCTCGTAACGAAGCCGGTCAAGGGGCTTTTAACACCCTTCGTGGGCAGACATCGGGTTTCCTCGGTGTGCTGGACTCCCCCGGCAACTTTGCCAACACCCAGAACCTCCGTGCCGCCAAGTCTTTCGCCGACTTGCGCTCCTACACCCCTTCCCCCGTTCCTTCCTCCGCTAGCTTCCCCGCCGCGTTGCAGTCCAACGGCACTCGCCTCCAGTACGACGGCACCCCCACCGGCGCCTCCAACACCCCTACTCTCACCTCCGCGCCTTCCGGCTCTTCTCTCGGCATGCAGCGTGACGATAATCTGTTGGTCAACAGTCTGGGCGGCCTTTCACTGGGTACGGGCATCGGAGGCCCGAACTCGAGCCCCCGACGATTGCGTGGTATGTTCTCCTGGGACCAGGACAGCCAGCCCTCTACAACAGGCGCCATTGGTAGCAACCGTGGAATGGGAGTCGGATTTGACACCGCTCAGCAGGAGCGCATGCCGATTCGCCAGCCTCGTGGACCGACCCCCGAGAAGCCCGGTTTCCGTCGCCAAGGACACCAGGCTCGCGGCAGTGATGAGCTACGCGCCAGCTCCGGCGTCGAGATCATCGTGGAGTAATTCTTTTACGAAATGGCGATCCCCCACCCTGTTTTTTGCCATCCGACTGCTTTGCCGAGACGAATACGAACTTGTATCACGAGGCCTTCTGCGAAATTACCGGCTTACGATTCGATGAGGGATGACGAGATGACAACCAAAAAAAAAGACCAGAAAAAATCCTTTGTTTCGCTGATCCAGCCAAGTTTAGACTTATTATTTGGGGCAGCCCAGCAATCACCCACACCGTTGGAACGATATGTGAACTTTTCCCCCAGAAACTCGCCATGGGTCCTCCTGTTTTTTTTCATTTTTCGAGTAAACTCTGGCTCTTTCTATTCTATTTATTCTGTTTTGCGGGCGCCGTTGCATGCAAATCCCATGGCTTGTTTTGTGTTCCCACGCTGGAGCGGATCATGACCCCGCCGCTTGGTACGGGACGCATACGAAGAATGACCAAAAGACCCTGCCGCTGGTAGGAAACGACAATATCAGCATCTGCATATTCTTGCCTGTTTAGTGTTGTACATGGGCGACTCGCATCTAATGTTGTTCTAGCCCTTCCTTCTTCTTTCTTTCTTTTATGGCCTGATCTCCTAATACAACCTCATGTCAGCACTTTTGACTGGCTTGGCCTCGGAGATGGCCTTTATACGCCTCTTTTTTTCTTCTTTCCGCGTGATTTGACTCTTGATCTGGATGGTTGCCTGACATATGACATTCGGGGCAGTCGAATTAGATTCTCCCATCTTTGCACATCGTTGATTTTGTTACCTGGTACATCTGACTACTTTTGTAGCTGAATGTACGACGGTTTTATGGTGTCAACTGTCTGGAGATTTCGGTTTCCGGCTGGTGTTGATCTTTTTCACATCTCTTCCATCTTGATTGGGGGTTTTTTCTCTTCATGTTTAGTATCTCTTGCAGTCTAGGGGCTTTTCTCTATGTTGTACTCGGATTTTCACGATCAATGTACCTTTTATTTTTGTTTCAATGGGTTCTCTGGTTTTATCTTGTCCATTATGTAGTCAGCTGTAGATCAACATCTTCTCTCTCATGTCGTTGCAAGGTTTCAATTAATTAGTAACTCCCCTAGTCCTGATACAGAGAGCTTGGTACATCGATTGTAACAACGAAAATTGATATCAAAGTATCAGAATGTGAGTTCATGGAGATCCATATTTTACGACAACCACCGGGGAAAATGATGTGACGATGGCATGATGTAGATACTAGAAGTTGGAGTGCCAAGGCGCGGACCTTTGTTTATTATGATCATTTTCCACGGTTAATGTCGCTCCCGGCATGTCCCTGTCGATCGCCCCATGCAGGTCGCGATTAGACTAGAGACAACATCTACGTGGGGGTACCCCTCGATCGTGAGCACATGCTATACTCAAGTTTCAGAATAAACCATGATGTCTTACTTAACTCACACTGATAAATTTGATGTAAATTCCAATTCCAACTGTTGTAGGTGATACAAGAACCGACCCAAATACCAGTGGTCGGCGCATTGTGGGACTCAAGAATGTCCGGTTTTTGTTTTTTTGTAGAGGATTGGTAATCAGGATCAAAGAGTATCGTCAACACTACTGTACAGACTTGAAGAATAGAATCAAATAATAATTTCCCACACTACCAGGATATCCCCCATTTTCCCATTACAGCGCCCAGTGAACTCGAGATCATGGATCAAAACAAAAAGATAGAAATAAAAAAAAATAGACCGGGGAATAGACAACACAAAGTCACACGCCGTGAACGAAGAAACATTAAAAAGACCTCAGGAGGGGAGCGAGTTTTGCCCGGTCAGGGGAGGCGTGGCCTTCCATACAGGACTTTTATTCTTTACAGCTCTGGCTTGCCCTTCTTCTTCTGCTCCACCTTCAGGAGCAGAGCGCGGTTGATGCGGGGCAAGACACCACCGAAGGCGATGGTGGCGCGGATGAGGGTGTCCAGCTCTTCGTCACCACGGATGGCGAGTTGCAGGTGACGAGGGGTGATACGCTTGACCTTGAGATCCTTGGCGGCGTTGCCAGCAAGTTCCAGAACTTCAGCAGTCAGGTACTCCAGGACAGCGGTAACGTAGACGGCGGCTGGAGGAGAGGCAAGTCAGTACTGCAATGGATGATTGTTGACAACAATAGGAGAATGAACATACCCTTGGCACCGACACGCATCTTGTTTTGGGTGTTGTTCTTCAAGAAACGCTTAACACGACCGCAGGGGAACTAAGAAGAACAATGTTAGCTTGTCTGACAGTCTAACACGACTGCCTCGCAATAACCAATAAGAAAAACATGCGACCGCGAGGGAAAAGGCCAAGCAGCCCCTCTCCTAACGACTGAAGCCCAAAGCCAGTGAGGGGGAACCCAATCGACGCGTCTGAGCATCGAGCTCCATCGGCTAAAAGCCCCCTTGGTCGCATGTTCTCCATACGGTGACCTGCATAGGCATCCAAGCAGATAGACCACTAACTAACCTGCAGACCAGCCTTTGCGCTGTGAGACTTCTGGGCCTTCCCCGCAGAGTCCTTGGAACCACCCTTTCCACCAATCGACTTTCCCTTTCCACCAGGCATTTTGGATAATATGGGTCGCAAAGATGTGTAGAGCGCGTAGATAGCAAGTCGCAGGCGATCTGGGACGAAGTTGGATGGGAAGGCGATTCAAAAAATGGAAGGCACGCGCGTTGTTGATGGATGGAGAAGTCAGAAATGTCGCAGCCGGGACCGGTCGCTAAAGACTGCGACCGCGGGCCGGCGCTAGTCCGGATTAGGATGCCAGTCCAAATCGTTCCATCACTGTTGTTTGGCGTACATCAGGAGCAACCAACACATCATGAGCCCCGCAGATAATGTGTAGTTCTCTGTGAATCATAATGAGAGGTCGAAGATAAGTCGTATCTTGAATATGGGCTCAGTTTGAAAGCCACATACTATCATGGTTGGATAGGCATTTAGTAGACAGCCCGCTTGCGGGCCTCCACACTGTATCAGCTCATCTTGGTTCTTTCTTGGCCTTTTTCCCCAGATGGAAAAGTCGGGGTCTGTATGTTCACAAAGCAGATGCCTATAGTGATGATGGTCAGCTCAGGCGCATTGAGGTGCGTATTGACATCGCCCTGATGCAGGTCCAGCTGGGAGTGTGCATTTCGAGATGGACGCGGAGTGGGCGGGGTCCCGTGATCCGGACGAACAGATGATCCGTTCCATTTAATATACGTGGTTTCCACTTTCGCCGAACGTTGCGGAAGAGGTTCGAGTTTTGTTGTTATCTCTCCCCCATCTCCTCTTCGGCTTCCCCCTGGTTTCACGTCTTCCTACCCGCCAAAATGGTTTCCGCTCAAATGTGCGTATGATGAAATGATGATGATAAAATATGCATGCTGATGATTGCCGCAGTACCAACCTGGCCATCATCTTGGTGATGATGCAGCTGGCCAAGAAGGTTCCCTTTGAGAACCCAGATGTGCTCATGGCTGTGCGCGGTCTGTACATTCTGTCCAACGTGATCATCCTGGCCATCAACCTGTACACTCAGGCCAAGATCAGTTCGAAGAAGGGTACGTCAATGTTCGGGTGTCGCGTGGCCCCTAAATCCTTATCTGTGCAACTGTGGAGATCAGTGACTAACAAAGATTGCTTCATCTTCATTAGATATGACCACGCTCAAGTACGTTGAGCCCGCTGCCATGGGCACCGGCGAGGAGGGCAAGCCCGTCACCACCACCAACATGGACTACGACAAGGGTCAGGTGCGCCAGCTGTTCCGCACTCAGTTGATGGGTGTCGGCATGATGGCCGTCATGCACTTCTACATGAAGTACACCAACCCTCTCCTCATCCAGTCCATCATTCCCCTCAAGGGCGCCTTTGAGAGCAACCTGGTCAAGATCCACGTTTTCGGCAAGCCCGCCACCGGTGACTTGGCCCGCCCCTTCAAGAGCGGTGGTGGCTTCATGTCCCAGGGTCAGCCCAAGAGCGACAAGGCCTCCATTGAGAATGCGGAGAAGAACTACCGCGGTGGTGTCAAGGAGGAGTAATTGGAGATACGATTTAATGTGGAGGATTGAGTCGCGCTCATGGAATGCATTTGCTTTAGACTTGAGGACCATGTTGCTTCACTTTATTCTTATTGTATTATATTCTCCGATTCCCATGGCATTTAAGAGGGATTGAACTTGATGACATGAGAAATTACTATACTCTAATACAGTAATTTGAATGGACTTCATCCGTATATTTCGTGAAACTGGTCCTAGAGAATTGACTCTGAAGTATGCGCTGAGCCGCTAGTTTTATCCCGAAGTAGATTCGGCGCTGTAAAGGGAATAGTAGTAGGGAAGAGCGTATCGTGAATTTCGAAATCCCTAGCATATCTCGTTTGTATATTCAATATTGTCTTATTGCAATTCCTTCTCGGTTTTGGGTTGTATTAGCTTCTGGTATCTGCGTGGCAACGTGGTCAATTGTGATGTGATTTAGAGGTGGCCAGTCCATCGGATTCCATAGTGTTCCACGCGGTTGCGCCCCAACCGCAGGTCATAGCCATTGATTATCAGAGAAGTCGCAGGATCATGTCATAGCCCTTGCCACCATTGAGTATGAGTCTTAGGTTCCTTAGTAATGAGGGACATAGTAATGTAGTAATAAAGACGTGCATATGTCGCACCACCAGTGGCGTGGGGAGGGTTCACATTTATAATCCATCACCGCCACCACATGGTTTTTGTTGAGACAGCTCCAGCACACCGAAACTGCATAAACTTACATATCATATAGTTTTGGATAAAAATTCTGCATGATCCCGTGGTCGTTGCTATTGGACATGGTAGATTCGCCGGTGAATCTTTTCAGGGCGCGGGCCACTTCTTTATATATGTGACTACTGAATCGGTCCACCGAGACGCTGGAAACAGCCGGCAGGTAACCGCATGCGGCATGGTTCACGAATAAGATACTATGATAAATAAATATTTTCAAGCTAATTGATTTGACTGGTTTCCAGAGCTATTCATATCCATTTTATGATAGATCCTACTGAGTATAAACAGAACCAGGTGGTGTGGTCTTGGCCATAGTTGCCCCTCAGTCGTGGCATCATCCACTTTTCCCTAACTGCCCCTCATCCCACATGTACCCCTTCGTCATAGCCTTTCGGGCCCCGGGTTTGCGCCCACGGCAAAACGTAGAATTATCGTGATAGACTCCTAATACCCGACATAGTCTGGGAAAACATTCTCGAGATCGCTCCGAGGCAGGTAATGGGGACCCGGCCGACGAGGATAGAACGAAGCTTATTGGATGCACGGGAGCTACCGAGGGGCAAGCAGCCTGGAAATACCGTAGCTCTTCCTGCTTTGCCCGGTGTATGAAACCGGAAAGGGTTGCTGGGGAACTGGACCAACGGTAACAGTCGGGAAATCAGTCATCTTGCCTCCGATGGATCTGGGGTGACTTGGTTAGCCCCGTCTTGTTGCTCGGTGTAGAAGGAGGGGTGAGCCGCTTGTTGCGTCAGTGCCTTACTACTTCTTGATCCCATCTCCCATCTTTTTTTCTTTCTTTCTTCTTTCTCTTCCCCATCCAATTCCCCAATCTTCCATCTTTTTAAAAAGGTTCGTTTTCAATTAGCCTCCCTTAGAGCTCTATCCTTCGAGCTTTATCTTTACCCCTCCATCTCCCATCCCTTGAATCACCCCACCCCACCATCCCACTCCAAGCTAACAGAGCTCCAGTATCACATCTACCGCAAACATGGTCCCCAAGGTACGCGATCCGTTATCGCCAATGACCTCCACTACATCCTTTTCGTTCATCAACTCATAATTCCTTCTAGGTCGGTATCAACGGTTTCGGTCGTATTGGCCGCATTGTCCTGCGCAATGCGTAAGTAACCCCTGTGAACCCCGCTCTGTACAGAACTTCTAGCTAACTGGTTCCACAGCATCAACGCTGGCACTGTCGACGTTGTCGCCGTCAACGACCCCTTCATTGAGGTCCACTACGCTGTATGTACATCTCCACGGAGCTGTCTCAAGATAGCTCCCTCTATCTCTGCCCCACATTTCTTTGCTAATAATGGACTACCTAGGCCTACATGCTGCGTTACGACAGCACCCACGGTCAGTTCAAGGGTACCATCGAGATCGATGGCACCGAGGGCCTGATCGTCAACGGCAAGAAGATCCGCTTCTACGCTGAGCGTGACCCCGCCTCCATCCCCTGGGGCAAGTCCGGTGCCGACTACGTTGTTGAGTCCACCGGTGTCTTCACCACCACCGAGAAGGCCTCTCTTCACTTGAAGGGTGGTGCCAAGAAGGTCGTCATCTCCGCTCCCTCCGGTGACGCCCCTATGTTCGTCATGGGTGTCAACAACTCTGAGTACAGCAAGGATATCAACGTCCTCTCCAACGCCTCTTGCACCACCAACTGCCTGGCTCCCCTCGCCAAGGTTATCAACGACAAGTTCGGTCTCGTTGAGGGTCTCATGACCACCATCCACTCCTACACCGCCACCCAGAAGACCGTTGACGGTCCCTCCGCTAAGGACTGGCGTGGTGGCCGTACTGCGGCCCAGAACATCATCCCCTCCTCCACCGGTGCCGCCAAGGCTGTCGGCAAGGTCATCCCTGCCCTTAACGGCAAGCTGACCGGTATGTCCATGCGTGTCCCCACCGCCAACGTCTCCGTTGTCGACCTTACCTGCCGCATTGAGAAGGCTGCCACCTACGAGGAGATCAAGGCCGTTATCAAGGCCGCTTCCGAGAACGAGCTCAAGGGCATCCTCGGATACACCGAGGATGACATTGTCTCCACTGACCTCAACGGTGATGACCACTCCTCCATCTTCGATGCCAAGGCCGGTATTGCTCTGAACTCCAACTTCATCAAGCTCGTCTCCTGGTACGACAACGAGTGGGGTTACTCTCACCGTGTTGTTGACCTCATCTCCTACATCGCCAAGGTTGACTCCCAGTAAATTTTTACTGAACGACCTAGGATCAGGAGTCTTCTCTGAGGTGGCATGTCTGTCATAACCATGGCCTGCATCTGCGATGTGGCTTGAGTTGAATGGGCTGCTATTCTGAGTAAGGAAAAAACCATCAGATAACGTCATTTTAATGAAACAAATACAATTCTTTTTATGTTCATGAATATCTTTGAGCAGTTCCAAGAGTACTTGACTTGATGTCCCTATAACTTCTCATCCGTAGAAATGCACACACCCGGGCAGGTACATAATCTCATGGTTCCTCCTGTGTGTCGTGTACCTAATCTCATTCTCCAAGGTTGCGGATATGTAGGCATGCCCAAGTGTGGAGACAGAAAAGACTAGTTGGTACATAAACCATTGCATGGGTCCATTTGGACCTTGGGACATGGCATGATCCACCTGGGTACCTTAGTGCTGCTCGAATGCATGATGTCCTTGCAACCTTGGAATTACTGTCCAAGTTTATAAAACCTTGGTGGCGCAATTATGCTTCTTGTTTACCTAGGTCAATTGGTAGTCCTGAAGCCTAGATATCTGGATAACTGATTATAGTATGCCAATCCTGGCTGATAAGACCCGGCGGGGTCCGTGGACTGCGGAACAGCGGGCACGTTTCCTCGATGAATTGCGCTCTACAGCTCTGGCTGCTACCTAGGCTTTACACCTGTTGTTGGGGCAGTTCCAAGGTTGAGGCACATGATTTCCTACTTACTGCCAGATGCCACTTACCTGTTGAAACATTAAATGTTTACGATCTCGGACAAGATACTGTATATTTATGTAGCAACTAACTCTTTTCAGCAGTTAAACTAAGGTAATGAATGATCATCCAAGGTTCAATCACCTGGGTAATCAATACCTAGGAGTGGAAACATGGGAAATGATCTTACTATGCATATGCAAAGCAATAAAGGTTGCCATAGAGTAGGGAATTGGCTGCAAGTGGAGTCGATCAGTCAGCGACTAAACCCGGCGGCCCGGCCGTTCAGAGACGCACTAACCTTATTCTAGTAAGCGGTGTGTAGAAGCGGTAGAACATATAAGGTCCGGCAGTATGTGCGAATGGCCTAAAAGGGATCCAACATGCGCATCCACTGATCTTCCATCCACCCTGCGTTACAGTCGCGTCTCGAGAGAAACAACGTTTAAATAGTAAATTTACAAAGTTCCTAAGTTAAAATCTGTCAATGAATCGGCGATCATGCTAACTTCGGCTTAGAACATCAACTGCACCCTGGCCATCTCTGTCTTGCACGGGAATACAAAGGCCGACGCTCTATACGTCTTGCTACTAACCGCATCAAAGCATTTAGAGATTGAAATTCTGCCAGGGATTCAGATCATCTTTGGGGCATATATTTGCATTATTTATGCCATTTTACTGTTTTGTGAAACGGTCAATCATCTTCGCGCAAGTGGTTGCATTGAATAAGAGGCATTGATCGTCTTCATTGTCATGAAAGACTAGACGCACCAAATAGCTGTTGGATAGAGCCGTTTGTTCTATTGTATTCTTGAGTCGTTTGACCATTTTGTACCGCCATCTCGTGCACGATGGACGGCGATGAAGATACCGTCATGTCGGACCCGCGAAATGTCTCCGCATTACCGCCACATGCTTCCCTTACACAAACAACCGTTTCCCTTAACCCCCACAGAAGAGAGGACCCAGTTATTGCCCCTTCAGTGATTCCCCAAGCACCCTCCAAGTCTCCATCTTCTGTGCCTGATCCCGCTTCTTTGCGAGACCACCCGGCTTCTACGGGCATCACTCCCCCAGATCAGTTCATTAAGCCCAGCCCCTCCGAGAGCAACTCGGCAGAGAACTCAGTTTTCCGGACCGACAGCTTGGTTGAGTCCAAGTCTGATTGGTCCGACGACGAGATGGCGGCCAGTGTCAGTTCTGCTGCTGCTGGTCTTCCAGTGGCGTCCATGCCAAGCGGCCTTTGTTACGATTCTGAGATGCGTTATCATTGTGAGATTCGCCCAACGTCTGATATTCACCCAGAGGATCCACGGCGCATTTACTACATCTACAAAGCGCTTTGCCAAGCTGGCTTGGTTGATGATGAAATCTCGGCTCGACCACTCGTCCATCAGACCTTGAAGCGAATCATGCCTCGTCGTGCGACCCAGGAACAGATATCCACAGTTCACACAGGGGATCACTATGAGTTTGTACAGGGCACCAAGGGTATGTCTTGAGATAAATTTGAGATCTCGAGTTCGGGTGACTAAACCTGATCTAGATATGTCCGATGAGGATCTCGTGCTCTTGGAGCAACAACGAGACTCGATTTATTTCAATCAGTTAACCTTTGAGGCCGCGCGCCTATCGGCGGGTGGTGCAATTGAGACATGTTTGGCGGTCGCTAGGCATGATGTTAAAAACGCGATCGCAGTTATTCGTCCGCCTGGTCACCATGCAGAGCACGACAAAGCTATGGGTTTCTGCTTATTCAATAACGTCTCAGTCGCGGCGCGCGTCTGTCAAAACACGTTAGGAGAAAGTTGCCGGAAGATCATGATCCTTGACTGGTAAGCATATTGTAATCTCTGCTTTTAAGTAATATTACTGACCCAACTGTGTTTCAGGGATGTGCATCATGGTCTGTTGAAGTAGCTGAATCACTGGGAAAAAAACAATCGCTAACAAATCTCAAGGCAACGGGATTCAAAAAGCGTTTTATGATGATCCCAACATCCTCTACATTTCCATCCATGTTCATCAGGGTGGTGCATTCTATCCTGGCGGCCACTACGGTGATATGGAAATGTGTGGTGAAGGACCTGGGGTTGGGAAGTAAGCTCGCCAGTGTTTTGCCACGCTTTTATCCTTTGGAATCCAATTCACTTACTATACTTATAGGAACATTAATATTCCCTGGGAGTCGCAGGGTATGGGTGACGGCGATTACATGCATGCTTTCCAACAAGTTGTGATGCCCATCGCACGAGAATTCAACCCGGATTTAGTCATCGGTAGGATGCCTTTTGTCCGATGTTTGGAAAATGCTTCTAACCAGTTATAGTTGCCGCCGGATTCGACGCTGCCGCGGGAGATATACTGGGTGGTTGTTTTGTGACCCCCGCTTGCTATGCTCAAATGACGCACATGCTCATGAGCCTTGCTAGAGGCAAAATCGCAGTGTGCCTGGAGGTCTGTCATCATCTCCTGATTAAAGATAGGCCTGCTGACCTTTGGGGACGAACTAGGGCGGATACAACCTTGAGTCCATTGCCAAGTCGGCACTCTCAGTCACCAAGACCCTCATGGGTGATCCTCCGGAACGCCTGATAAAGAGCACACCTAGCGAAGGAGCGATCAAAACCGTTACCGAGGTCATGCGAATTCAATCCCATTACTGGCGTTCTATGACCCCCAGACCAATCGCCAAGCACGATGGGCTTGTTTTGACCGATCGACTACATGGTAAGACCGAATTTTTCAATGTTCGCAATTCCATAAGGCTTACAACTCTACAAGACTCCATTCGAGAGCTCCAGGCGAAGCAGCTTTATGAGAGTTGCAAACTGACAGAACTCTGGATCTACCGGACGGCCATTTCGAAGTCATTTAACCATCAGGTTTTGGCAAGGTAAGCGGATTGTCGCCAAGTCATATCGATGATTCTTCTAACAAACATTCGAACTAGCCCGAACTACAACCAAGGGGTTCCCCTTCTAGTTATTTTCCACGACCCGTAAGTACGTCATGGGTACCTGAGATATTGCACGCCTAATTCATACAGGCCCGAAATTATGGGAGCTACCCACCCTCTGACCAACAAGCTTGAGGCTCATAATTGTTGGATTGTAAGTTTCCTGTGCTTGCAGGGTCAGTGTAAAAAAAAGTCCGCTAACACTGAAAAGCATACCGATGTCCAAAAGGAATATGTCGCATTGGCCGTGGAGAAAGGCTGGGCGGTGATCGATGTTAACGTTCCCATGCATATCAGCCGAGATAAGGTAGGTCACATGTTTTTTTCTTTCGTGCTGCCGTTGCGATGTCTAACGCAATATTCTAACCGAACGTAGACTACAGGCAAATTCGAGGATGAGGATGTGAACAGACCCCACGCAACCGAGGAGCTGGCGGCTTACCTGTGGGACAACTATATCGAGTATGAGTATTTCTCTGAGACATGTAGTATTGAATGCTAATGCACATAACAGCCCAAGTAATGCTACGGACGTTTTCTTTATGGGTGTCGGTACCGCTTTCTATGGCGTTACCTCCCTTCTCATCAACCGAGGTATGTTGAATCTAGCTAATGTATGGACTATGTTACTCATGACAGCAGACAACCTCTACCAAAACGTTAATGGTGTAATCTCATTCGTCTCGGATCATCCCGTCCGTGCGGTTGCGTCGGCTACACAGACCTGGATGTCGAAGTGGTACCGTGAGGTAAGCAAATTAAACTCGCCCGGGAGAATTCAGTTTCCAAAGCTTACACATTATCCAGAACTCGCTGGTCTTCGTTTCTCACCAACACGGAGTCTGGGAGCACAAACCATCCAAGCGTTATGGAAATCTCCGCAAGTCTCCCCAGGTCACCATCTCTGACATGCTCGCCGAGCACAAAGAGGAGACCTTTGACTGGATCCGTGATCATATCAAGGTTCAGTCTGAATCGGAGAACGAAGACTCTGAAATGAAGGGTTAGGTCATGTCCGTTCAGACTTCAGCGGGTGTGGCGTTCTTCATACACAGTTACCCGGTTTTCATCTATTACAAGCAACATTCGACATCTTTATTCCGCTTCGACAGAAGCACCACTCCCCCTAATGACGGCAGAGGACTGGGGCAGATTATTTTTTAGCCTTGTTAGTCACAGTCAGTTGAGGTGGTAGGATTGTTCTGATCGCGGGGCGTCCTGCTCAAGGGCGGCCTGGATAATTAGATCAGAAGGGCCTGACTGACATCCTGAGTTCTTGCTCATCTTTTAGCATCTTATTCATCTGATTCTAATGAATCGATCTTCTCATCCAATCTACTCCTGATCAGACCGTAGTTCGTGTGGAAACTTCCCCGCAGCGTAAAAATAGCGTGGCGTTGCGTCGCATGACATGAGCCATGGTGGATAAGATGCACTAGTATAGACTTATTAGGCTCAAGCTAGCTTTAAACTTCCTGATCATTTTTGTGCCCAATACCTAAGATGTTCTATCAAAAGTATCTTGTGGTTCAATCTTCCCTTATGGGTACACACTGCTTCGCTCCTGGAAAAGAACTCAATTACAAACACAGTGCGCCCTCATATCACAAGATACCAACAAGCCCTTCGATCAAGTGACCGTGTGTAGGGTCTATGCCCCATTAGCTTGCTTAGTATACGGCAAGTGAGACACAACCAACCATAACCTGACCTAAAGTTCTAGCGGTGAATAGTGTTCGATTATATCAGCCCTAGGCTCCGATCTGCACGTCGTCCCTGGGATGTAACTGTCTTAGACCTTACCCCAGAGTTGGGCGTGCCAAGGTATTCAGGGTCCAAACGAGCTCGGCTCGGATCCACCCTTGGCATCAAGAATCATTGCCATTGACGAGCGCTGCAATTCCGAAGGTTTCTGGTCTAAGCGAGGATTCTATACGAGATTCGGGTCGGGGCACTCTGAGACACAATGTATCTATGACCTCGCGCTACTGGTCGCTTATGTTCACCATGGACACAATTTTTCCCCGCGTCATCTTGACAACTTCCGATGCGGGGAACTGCGCTATACCTAACCACCACTGTGCTGGCCCTGTATGGCTGGATTTGGTAGAAAATGATCATCCTGTATTCTCCTTGGTCCAGCACAGTGTCTCAGAACTAAGGACCGGATTGCTCGATCTGAACTTGATGTGAGTCTCATTTTGTAGAACGACGCTAATCCCCAACGAATGACTAGAAACTCATTGGAAAGAGGGCGATCAGGTTTTTTGTACCATGCTGGTGTGCTGGAAGAAAACTATAAAAGCGGCCTCGATTCCCAGACTAAAGGATGAATAGTTACAGCATTATCATCAAGGTTTCAATACCACTTTCTATCCTTCATTCTCCAATCGATTCTTGAAGAACTGAAATATGCATTTCTCTACTGCAATTGTCGCCTCCGTGGCCCTCCTGGCTCCTCTCGCCAGCGCTGTCGGCAACGCCGTCGTCAAGAACAACTGCCCCTACCCCGTCTACCTGTGGTCCGTCGGAAGCGCTGTTGGTCCTAAGCAGACCATCGCCGCGGGCAAGAAATACACCGAGGTCTTGCGCCACGACCCTGTTTCTGGCGGTATCGCGATCAAGATCACCAAAACCGCGAACGGCCTGTATGACGGCAGTCCCCAGACCAACTTTGCCTACACCTTGGATGGTAGCCAGATCTGGTATGATCTGTCGGATGTCTTCGGAGACCCATTCTCTGGCAAGGGTATGGCGGTTGACCCTTCAGTTGCTACTTGCCCTGATATCTGCTGGCCGAATGGTGTTTCGCCCAGTGGTAGCCAGACTCATGACTGCACGTCCACGTCGAGCATTACCTTAACTCTGTGCTCAACCAAGTGCTAGATCAAATTGTCAATAGGCAATCCTGGACTGCTGGCTGTTATTGGAAGTGTTGGTGTTGGTGGCTGGGGCAGTGCCAGGACTAGCAGTATATTTTGCGGGGGAAGGTAGAGCCTCAAGCCACGGAACGTGGGGATTGGTTATCTAGGCAATACTTTAGTGTAATTAATGTTTTATGACCACGTATGCATGCAATTCGCTCCTTTCGCTTTTATTTACTTTGTTTTGAGCCCCACATGATCTCTGGTCGGGCATATTGCCATCTTCTATAGGGCACAGCCATTGGACTTGTGAGCAGGATTTGGCGAGATGACGCCACTCATTGGCTGGTTTATCGTATTCACCGCCTTGATAGCCGCCGAGGCAGTATCTCTGTGCGCATCAACAACCACACCGCCCAAGGACCCATAATTATGGAATTGCGGGACCAAGTTCCCCTCCGGTTGTCTTTGCAATCAGAGACTCTGCTCTCGTCACCCTATTTCTTTGAATACTTTTAATCATATTTGTGCTGTCATCAATACAATCAAGTGCATTGAATGCTGTGAAATTGATTCAAGAAATTGATCACTTCCTGGGCGTTTAACCCTTGATGCCCCCAAGGTCCTTCCCTACTGCAGTATCGTGGTTAAGATACAGAGGTCTGAGTTGCAATCCAACTGCCCAACCATATTTTCGAACCCCGGCGTCCATCAATCCCGTGGCGCACCCTAGTCCGCTTTCATTTTCCCTCTATCGCTGGACCCGCTCCTTTTCCTTTTCCTCTTACCTTACCGTCCCCCATCCTCCAACCATGTCTCAGATTGAGCGCATTACAGAATGTCTGGAGAAGCCAGAGTTAGATGATCGCACCTATCGCGTCATTCGCCTGCCAAATCAGCTGGAGGCGTTCCTCGTGCACGACCCTGATACAGACAAGGCGAGCGCCGCTGTCAACGTCAATGTTGGCAACTTCTCCGATGAAGATGACATGCCAGGAATGGCCCATGCTGTAGAGCATCTCTTATTTATGGGTACAAAGAAGGTATGTGGATTGACTTACCTCACTTTCTACCGCGGCACTTATCAAGCCTGCTCGTGCGGGGGTAGTGCTGACCGATGTGCTTTGTCTGTGGATCTAGTACCCCAAGGAGAATGAATACAACCAATACCTTGCCGCCCACTCCGGTTCATCCAACGCATACACCGCCGCGACTGAAACAAACTACTTTTTCGAGATCGCAGCCACCGGCGAGTCAAGTGAGGCGAAATCGACCGGACAGAACACCCCTACTGACTCGACCAATGGGACAAACGGCACAGCAAGTGAGAGTGCATCCACTTCCAACGGGGATGTGAATGGCAAGTCTCCCTTCTATGGGGCCTTGGATCGATTCGCCCAGTTCTTTGTTGCTCCTCTCTTCCTCGAGTCAACATTAGATCGCGAGCTGCGGGCGGTGGACTCCGAGAACAAGAAGAATCTGCAGAGTGATTTGTGGCGGTTGATGCAGCTGAACAAATCTCTATCAAACCCGAAGCACCCCTACCACCATTTCTCTACCGGAAACTTGCAGACTCTTAAGGAGGACCCGCAGAAGCGCGGTTTGGAAGTCCGGAGCGAGTTCATTCGGTTCTACGAGAAGCACTATTCGGCAAATCGGGCTAAGCTGGTAGTTTTGGGTCGAGAAAGCCTGGACACTTTGGAACAATGGGTTTCCGAGCTCTTTTCTGATGTTGAAAACAAAAGCTTGACCCAGAACCGTTGGGACGATGTGCAGCCCTTTTCCGAGGCTGACATGTGTACTCAGGTCTTTGCTAAGCCTGTCATGGATTCGCGTTCCATGGACATGTACTTCCCGTTCTTGGATGAGGAGAACATGAACGACACTCAGCCCAGTCGGTACATTAGCCACCTGATTGGTCATGAAGGACCAGGCAGTGTCCTTTCCTACCTCAAAGCTAAGGGCTGGGCCAATGGCCTTTCTGCAGGTGCCATGCCCATTTGCCCGGGATCTGCTTTCTTCACAATTTCCGTTCGTTTGACTCCAGAGGGTCTGAAGCTGCACCAGGAGGTTGCCAAGGTTATTTTTGAGTACATCGCCATGATCAAGGAGCGTGAGCCAGAGCAGTGGATTTTCGATGAAATGAAGAACCTGGCAGAGGTGGACTTCCGATTCAAGCAGAAGACTCCCGCTAGTCGCTTCACGAGTCGTTTGAGCAGCGTCATGCAGAAGCAACTGCCACGTGAGTGGCTTCTCAGCGGATCGCTTCTGCGTCGATTCGACTCGGCATTGATCAAGAAGGCCATGTCATACCTACGTGCCGATAACTTCCGACTAATCATTGTCTCTCAAGAGTACCCCGGTGATTGGGACCAGAAGGAGAAGTGGTACGGTACTGAGTACAAGGTGGAGAAGATCCCTGCGGACTTCTTGGCTGGCATTCAGAAGGCTCTGGATTCCACTGAGGCGACTCGCACATCCACCGTGCACATGCCTCACAAGAACGAGTTTGTGCCGACTCGTTTGTCAGTGGAGAAGAAGGAAGTTGCAGAGCCAACCAAGACACCTAAGCTGATCCGCCACGATGATCGTGTGCGTCTTTGGTTCAAAAAGGATGACCGTTTCTGGGTTCCTAAGGCGACAGTATATGTCACTCTGCGCAATCCGCTTGTGTGGGCGACCCCCGCTAACCTGATCAAAACAAAGCTCTATTGCGAGTTGGTGCAGGACTCTTTAGATGAGTACTCGTACGATGCTGAGCTTGCCGGATTGGACTATCACCTTGCAGCAAACATCCTTGGTTTGGATATCTCTGTGGGTGGCTACAATGACAAGATGTCAGTTTTATTGGATAAGGTTCTCACGACTATGCGCGATCTCGTTGTCAACGAAGAACGCTTTAAAATTATCAAGGAGCGCCTGACTCGGGCGTTCCGCAACGCTGAGTACCAACAGCCTTACTACCAGGTTGGTGATTACACTCGGTACCTGCTGTCCGAGCGCAGTTGGCTCAATGAGCAATACATTGAAGAATTGGAGCACGTCCAAGCAGAGGACGTTATCAACTTCTTCCCCCAGCTCTTGGCGCAAACACATATTGAAGCCCTCGCACATGGCAACCTGTACAAAGAGGATGCGCTGCGCATGACCGATTCAGTTGAAAAGATTCTCAAGGGCCGCGCCCTGCCTCGATCGCAGTGGTACTTGCGCCGCAACATGGTTATGGCACCGGGCAGCAACCTTGTCTACCCTCGCGAGCTGAAGGATCCGGCGAATGTGAACCACTGCATCGAGTACTACCTGTACATTGGTCTTTTCTCTGATGACGTTTTGCGATCGAAGCTGCAGCTTTTCTCCCAGCTTACAGATGAGCCTGCTTTCGACCAACTGCGTAGTAAGGAGCAGCTCGGCTACGTGGTATGGAGTGGTTCCCGCTACAACGCTACCACCATGGGTTACCGTGTGATCATCCAGAGTGAGCGCACTGCCCAGTACCTGGAGACTCGCATCGAGTCGTTCCTGCGCGACTTTGGCCCGACGCTTGAGAACATGCCGGATGAGGAGTTCGAAGGCCACAAGCGCAGTGTCATCAACAAGCGTCTGGAGAAGCTCAAGAACTTGGGCTCCGAGACTGGCCGCTACTGGTCTCACGTTGGCTCCGAGTACTTTGATTTCCTCCAGCATGAGACCGATGCCGCCAATGTGCGGAATCTGACCAAGTCTGATCTGCTTGCCTTCTACCGCCAGTACATCGACCCTGAATCGACAACTCGGTCCAAGTTGGCCATCCACTTGAATGCGCAGAGTGTAACTGCTGATCCAAATGCCAGCAGCATTAGCGACAAGCGTGTTCGTGTCATTGAGATGGTCAACAAGCAGCTGACCGAAGCTGGCTTCTCTGTCGACAGCGTCCGCTTGGCCACCGCGTTCGACGAGCTCGACATGACCCTGGTTGACTACACACAGATCGTCTACATCGTTAAGACTTTCTTGGTCACCGAGCTTAGCCTGTCTAAAGAGCAAATGAGCCCTGTGATTACAAAGCTGGAGCGCGACATTGGTATTGAATTGAAGCAGTTGGGCTTAGAGCCCGAGGTCAACGGCAAGACCAACGGCACCTCGTCTCCTAAGCAGGAAGCCACTGTGATCAGCGATGTCCCCGTCTTCAAGGCCAGTTTGCCTGTCAGCACTGGACCTGTGCCTGTCACAGACCTTACCGTATTTGAGGATTTTGATGCCAAGCTGTGAGTAGGAGTTGGTGTTTGGGGCGCATAAAGTCATATGGGAAGAGGATTGTGGAGTCGTGGAAGGGCATGAACTTTGAAGAGCATTTTTTGATAGCGCCACTAAATGAACTTAGGATTCACTCATGTCATAGAATTCATCAATATCCCATCAATCCATATGCTGTTGCCAATACGTATAGACGGAGTAGTTCACAAGTAGGCGGTCAGGTACCCCAGGCAATAAGGCAAACCCCGATAGCGATAACAGATCGGCGCAACAACGTAGAGCTTCGCGCGCCCTTTCACATCTCCGATACACCACTCCTCCATCATGGCGAGCACTACAGCTACGGCTATTCAAAGCAGCCGCCCGTAAGTCAATAAATCCAACTTAAAAGCTTCAGGAAGCCCTTGACCGCTAACATTGATCTCCATCTTACAGTCCGATCCTCCCCAAAGATTTCTCCGCTCAGCAGCCCGAAACCATTCGCCTCTACCCCCTGTCAAACTATACGTTCGGAACCAAGGAGACACAGCCTGAGGAGGACCCATCGGTGCTGGCTCGCCTGAAGCGTCTGGAAGAACATTATGACCTACATGGAATGCGACGGACCTGCGAGGGCATTCTCGTCTGCCATGAACACAATCACCCTCATGTGTTGATGCTGCAGATCGCCAATGCTTTCTTTAAGCTGTAAGATTACTCCAGAATAAGAACCAAAGCCGCCGTCCGCTAACTTCTCCCAGGCCAGGTGATTATCTGCCCCATGAGGACGAGGAGATCAATGGGTTCAAGAAGCGGTTGAACGAGCGCCTAGCTCCAGTGGGATCGCAGTTCTCCGGCGAAGGAGTAAACGAAGACTGGGAAATTGGCGACACCCTTGCCCAATGGTGGCGACCAAACTTTGAGACATTCATGTACCCGTTCCTACCGGGCCATGTTACACGGCCGAAAGAGTGCAAGAAGTTGTATTTTATTCAGCTCCCCAAGAAGAGTCAGTCATACCCAAGTCGTTCATTTCCATTCTTCCACTGACCATTGTTTTCTCAAAATTTCCAGAGGTCCTGTCTGTCCCCAAGAACATGAAGCTGCTGGCGGTGCCTCTGTTCGAGTTGTACGACAACACCGCACGATATGGCCCCCAGCTCTCGGCTATCCCGCATTTGCTCTCGCGCTACAACTTTGAGTTCGTGGATGAAAATGATAATGTCGTCGCTGTGACTCCGGGTACGCCCCTCCCGGAGCACCAAATTCCTCGTACCAAGGTACTCGCTGGGGGTGATGACGGCCAGGATACGGGTATGACGGATATTGGGGAGGAGAAGCCGAACATGGCCGCATTTGATCCCGCGCAATAACTTTGTGGATGAAATGATAATGTGGCCTAGTTACGCCCTTCCCAATCAAATCCCTCATACTTTTGTGATCGTCGCGACGATGGACGGGTATACGGAAATTGGGGCGGGGGGCCGCGTAGGGCCAAGGCTTAGAAAGTTCAATCTAATGTTCCAACCATGACCAGCCCTTGAATACTATGTACTGACAGATTTGTGATCACGCTTGTTTCTTCACGTTCATATCTCACTGGATGTATAGCTCACGTGCCTCCGGAGATGAATACTGTTTCTGGTATAAAGTTCGCGCGGGCAGAGTTTGGGCGCCGTTGTATACAAATACCCCTCCACGCTAAGAGCTTCCTTGATCTTCCCATTCGTCTATAACTCCACTAGGCCAACCAACTAAACATGCAGATGATCCCGTGTAAATCTCGGATATTACCCCAAAGCGGGGTGGGAAACGTGATGATCCTCTCAGGAACAGTGGACTGACCATGGAACGACGGGCAACCGGAGAATTTTGTATATGAACGGATCCACTTGAAAGATTCTAGTATGCAACGTCCAAAGGAACGAGAGTCCTTCAGCCCCTCTACGAAGTACATAAAAAGAAACAGATCAGCCAATAGATGACAAACGTGGCCATGATTCCCCGCATGTTTTGGGGGCGGGAGGATGCTGACTGCTTACCGCATGAAGAACTGCATGAATGTCGATCAACCAAAAAGCGCCTCCCACATGCCAATACTATGGCGAATATCTTCAGGAACGGGCGACGAGCCTGATTCGAACTGTGGATTCAAAGGAGTCCGTAGGTTCTCCGTGACCCCGCTCAAGCATCCGTATGTCCGCATGATCCCGTGGTTTGAGTTGCATCTTTCTCGGAAATGTGTGTGTGCGGATGGGGGCGATTGGTTCCTGCATTCGGTATATAAGGATCCATGGGGGCAGGTTGAGAAGAGGATCAGGCGCCTTGTGGTTTTTTCTTCTTCGCCCTCTGGTTCCGGCTCTGGTCCTCTGGTTTTGACCTTTGGGTTCCGTTAAATATTCGGTTCACGATGTTGTCTCTTGCACGTCTATGGGCGGTTAGTGCGGCTGCAACACTGGCTGTTGCTATGCCGGCTAATTTGTTCACCAATCGAGGTAAGTATAGGAACCACATGGTTTCTTTGCGGTACGACATAGTACTAAGATCATAGATAGATGTTGATTCTACTACGTACGATAATCTCTATCTGTTTGCTCAGTACTCTGCCGCCGCATACTGTTCGAACAACGTCGATTCTGCCAGCACAGGCGATTCGATTACTTGCTCGGCCGATAACTGTCCTACCGTGCAGTCGGCGACGACTACGACTTTATACGAATTTGACGAGTAAGTGTAACGGAACCCCCAATCTCAGGCCGTAGTACTGACTATCTGCAGCACCAACGACTATGGAGACTCTGCCGGATTCATCGCAGTAGACGAGACCAATGAGCTTATTGTGCTGTCTTTCCGAGGCAGCACAGATATCAGCAACTGGATTGCTAATCTGGACTTCGTCTTCGACGATGACACTGGGCTTTGCACTGGATGCGATGTACACAGCGGCTTCTGGAAGGCCTGGGAGTCCGTCGCAGATGATGTAACGGCCGAGCTCGACTCTGCGCTGAGCACATACTCGGATTATCAGCTTGTGGTGACGGGCCACAGTCTGGGTGCTGCGCTTGCTGCCTTGGCAGGAACGGCACTTCGCAATGCTGGATACTCACTGGACTTGGTATGTGAATTGGTTTCACCACTGGAGTTGTAGCCACTAATAATTTCTAGTACACTTATGGCCAACCTCGTGTAGGCAACGATGCTTTGGCTGAGTATATGACCGCACAAGGTAGTCTCTGGCGGACTACCCACACAGATGACATTGTTCCCCGTCTTCCTCCAGAGATTCTTGGCTATGCTCACGCCAGTCCAGAATATTGGATTACCAGCGCCGATGAAGTTACCGTGACTGACGATGATATCGAGGAAGTTGTGGGTGTGAACTCCAATGATGGTAATGCGGGAGAAGCAGAAGAGAGCATCTCTGCTCACAAGTGGTACTTTATGGCGATTACCGCATGTGATTAAAAAGGATGATCAAAATAGGTCCTTAGTGTCCCAATTCTTTACATATTGGGTTAATTAGTGTTATGTACATGGATTGTATGTCACCGTTGACCCACCGATCGGCCGAGTTGTGGCTGGAGTTTGTGGCGTAACTAGCGTCAACACGTTTCAATTGAGTGGATATCGATATTCGTATTCAATGTTATTCTTTTTTTCTGCTTCGTATTCCCAATATTCCTCTGTTTCTCAAATACATGAGATATTGGGGAGGTCCCACTAGGCAGATACGGGTTAGGCTACACAACTCCGGATTCCGTTTTCAGCTTTCACCCTTAATACTCACACGATGCACATCTGAGATGCTTGGACCTCAACACAACCATGTTGTTCGCCCCTAGCGGACCCCAGAGTCCGCGCCGTCGCAATCGCATCAAAGCTATCCTAATCACAATCGGCATCGTCCTTGCACTATACTTCCTCTTCTTCGCAGGCCCCGAGTCGCCTACCAAAGCTGTCAACAATGACCGACCGAGCTATGCGCAACGTCCTACTCCCAAACCCAAGGCCGACTCCATAGACGAGCAGGCTCGTCCGGCAATTCGAAAACGCAAGGATATGATCGTGGCCAGTATGAAAACTGACGACACGGCTTGGCTGGCTGAGTACTTCCCGGACTGGTCGCGGAGCATCTACGTGGTAGACGACAAGAAGGCCCCGTTGACAGTGGCTAAGAATAAGGGACGGGAGTCGATGGTATACTTGACGTGCGTATACTGCGATCTAGGTCCGTGCGAATGCAGGTGCTAAATCATATCCAATAACCAGGTACATCATCGACAACTACGAGAACCTCCCTGACATCATGCTATTCATCCACTCGTTGCGCTACCAATGGCACAACGACGACCCATACTACGACGGAGTCCCCATGCTCCGCAATTTCCAGGTTCCCTATCTACAGAAAATGGGATACGTCAATCTGCGCTGCGTCTGGACACTCGGTTGTCCCGTGGAAATCCACCCTCTGACAGATACACACCGTGACGATGTCCATGCGGGCGAGTACTTTAGGACTGGATTCTCGGAGCTATTCCCGGGTGAGCCTATACCCAACGAGGTGGGTGTATCGTGCTGCGCGCAGTTCGGTGTTACCCGTGATACAGTCCTCGCAAAACCGAAGAGCGATTATGAGCGATTCCGAGTCTGGCTTTCGAACACAAGTCTAGGGGATGATTTGAGTGGTCGGATCATGGAGTATTCATGGCACAGTAAGTTCTTTCGCTCATCCATGCATTGTATTCATACGCTTACAATTATTTTCATCAGTGATCTTCGGCAAACCACCTGTTCATTGCCCCGCAGCTGGTGATTGCTATTGTAATGTTTTCGGACTGTGCAATTTGAATTGTCCTAATGATGCCGTATGCGATAATCGCTATGTGCTGCCGCCCTTCTCTTCACTACCGAAGGGCTGGCCTTTCCTTGGATGGAAGGGTCAAGAACAGGATCCGACTTATGGCCTTCCTGAGACATGAGTAGTACTTTGCCTTTGGCTACATATATTGTACAACGTGCGGCGTTGAAAATCAGTTTGAGACCGGAATGTTGTAGCTGCAGATTTGCGGTATTCTGGCAGAGTCGGCAGAATTGGCTCTATATACCTGTTGCCTTGACAGAAATCAAGCATCCGCAAGCACTGGAACCTAGAATGGTGCGCTTGCCTGAGGAAGTTGTTGGAGGATTATCTGTAACATGACAGACGTGGAGGGTTTTCGCTTCTCGGAACATAAGCTATTTGAAAAGGACATGAAGTATATAGCGGGTGGAAAAAGCACCACGTCATCAACTGAATATTAGCGTGTTTACAAGTTGTTTCAAATCCCTTCAGATCCCAAGTTCAATATCATAGGCCGAATCCGTAAACTTGCGGACCGAGGTAGTGGATCTCCCCGCAATCAGCTTCCAACCTTTCTCCTCTCAACAACCGCCTCCTCAGCTCATTTTGTCCTCACACACGACAAAATGCTCATAATCGGCCTCACCGGCTCAATAGCCACAGGCAAATCAACAGTCTCAACACTCCTCTCAACAGCTCCCTACAACCTCCCCATAATCGATGCCGACATCCTCGCCCGCAGGGTAGTCGAACCAGGCACAGCAGGCTACAAAGCAATAGTAAACTACTTCGGCCCAAACACACCGGACCTCCTCCTCCAAGATCCCGCAACAGACACACCCCATGGTCAACCCTTAAACCGGCCAGCGCTGGGCCGCCGCGTCTTCGGTTCAACAGAAGAACGCAAACGCGACCGCAATGTCCTAAATGGAATTATCCATCCAGCCGTACGATGGGAAATATACAAAGCCCTAGTTTACCACTACATCCGCGGCCAATGGGCCGTCGTCCTAGACGTCCCCCTCTTATTCGAAAGCGGGATGGATCTTATTTGCGGAACGGTCATTGTTGTTGGTGTTCATGACCCCGCTGTACAGATGGCGCGTCTACGTGCGCGGGATGCGCACCTTACGGCTGAGGACGCAGAGAACCGGGTGCGCAGTCAGGGTGATGTGAGGTTGAAGGCGGCCCAAGCGGAGTTCCGGGGGACGGAGGGTGCGAGGGGAGTTGTTGTCTGGAATGATGCTGATAAGACGGAGTTGGAGCGCGAAGTCAAGAATGCTATGGCTAATGTTGCGGCTTCGAGTCCGAAGTGGTGGGCTTGGGCTTTGCTTGTTGCGCCGCCTGTGGGTGTTGGTGTTGCGGTTTGGAATTTGGCTGTGAATTTTGCGACGCAGAAGGGGTGGGAGAGGAAGAAGAATGAGGAGAAGGCTAAGTTATAGATGGTTTCCATGGACGTTGAAATGAGTAGGAGAAAGCTTTTACATGGGGTTCTGTGTCACTACATATTATACTAGACTGCCAGATGGTGCGGAATGGTTGCTCTTTAGCCTGATAGATATGTATAGTTCTTTCTATTGCTAATGAATAGCTATTCAAGATCTATATGTTCGTTTCGACTCGTACTGAGAGTCTGGGGAAATTAATGCCCATGATTTTCATGCCCAAACGCCGAGAGTATGCAAAACGCCAATGCCAACCAACACCGAGGATATCTGATTTTTGAAAGCTCCAAGAGAAGAAACATCTGATGAGATGTGCTTAGTGGTCGCTCTTGCGCTTCTTCTTCTTCTTTGATGATGAGGGTGCCCCCATTAGTTGGGGCCTACCACCAGCGCCTGAAATACTAGTGATTTCAGACAGTTTAGGGGCTCTAGCCTCTTGGGCCTTAGCCCTCTTTAAATCAGCCATGGCTTTCTCAGCTTGAGCACGGCGAGGATCATCGGGCGACAATTGCTCGAGTTGTTCAGCAATTTTCTCCTCTTCAGTTTGTGCAGGCTGGAAAATATTAGCAATGGCAGAAAAAAGAATGCAGAACGATTTACTGACCACTTTGCGTTTGAAGTTGCCGAATCCCCGACGACCTCCAAAGGATAGGTCATCCTCTATATCTAGAGACTCAGTCGCCATAACGTAGGACTGGGGTTGAGGAGGAGGGGAATTCGCAGCGGGTACATCCAGCACCCAGTGAGTTTCACCGGCCTCTGCAGCCTGTCGCGCAATAACCTCTTGTCGTTTTTGCTCCTCGGCAGCGATGGCGGCGGCAATAGCATCCAGATCGGCCTGCGGGGTCGAAGGGCTTTGGTGCTCCATTGACTTGCGTTGGCGCTTGGGGGTGTGTGGGCTCTCATCTGATGACGTGGACTGCGCTTCCTTCGAAGCAGCAGTTGCTGCAGCGCGTTGCATGAACTGTATGTACGTTAGCTATGTCCATAACTCGTAAAGTGACGATGCATACCTTCATAGTAAGTAAGCGAGACGACATGTTGCTCTTTTCTGGCTTTCCAGCCAATCCAATAGAGGCTGGCATAATTTGGAGCAAGAGACCAGCACAAGCTGCTGGTGACAAGCTTGTAAAATTGTAAAGTGAGATGCGGTTGTTGTAAAGCGCAGAATAAAATGTGGCGGCAGAAAAACCGCGAGCTCCAGTCTCAGTTCGAGATTACTTTGTAAGGCAGGCGGTGAAACTCCACCAACCACACCTCACGGATTACACTATTCAGTTTGCAACCTCCGACTTCGAGCAATCCCATCCTAGTCTACTCCCACTCCACTCCGTCCTCAGGACCCAATCTGCCCAGCATGATGTCCTGCAGTCGCCGCCTCACATCTATGGCCTCCTCGGTCCCGCGCTTCGCCGCTCGTACCTACTCCTCGACCGTCCCCCGTCTGCACGAGAACCGCATGCAACCCAATGACCCCTCCCCGCCAGCTCCCAAGCCCAATGTCTCCGCTACCAATGACCCCGATGGCAATGCCGCTCCCATTGCTGAATTGACCGAGATGCGGGCCCACGACTTCCGCGAGCACCCCGCCGTCGGCGAGCAGATCCGCAGCGTCCAGGCCCCGAACCGCTCTTCCACTTGGGCGTCTAGCCAGCAGCCTCGCGAGAAGGCCATGACCGGACCTCGCTTCGAGCAGACTATCATGCAGACTCAGGTATGCAGACCTGCGGCCAAGTGGAACTGAATCCATTGGGCCGGTTCCTTCGAAGTCCGAGAACCAGAAACTAACCATTAACCTAGCCCCGGCCCCTTGCTGCTATTGAGCTCATTCACAAGCAACCCGTCCGGTGGACCAAGTCCAAGGTTGTCAGCTGTGACGGTGGTGGTGGTCCCCTTGGCCACCCCAAGGTCTTCATCAACACTGACAAGCCCGAGATTGCGACTTGCGGATACTGCGGCCTTCCCTTCGTACGTGACAAATGAAAAAAGAAGACTCACACCGAGCCACCGCTAACTTATTAATCGCAGGCCCAAGAAAAGCACAAAGCCTACCTCAAGTCTCTGCCCGCCACCAGCTACCCTCTCGAGTCCACCGGTGATATTGCCGAGGTGAACGAAACCCAGCGCGTTGCCCCCGCTACCGGCGGTCTGGAGCAGCGGTAGACGACTAGCATCCGATTCCTTTTGTCGGCGTTGATTACTTTGTTGCGCGTGTGTTACACTATTTTCATTTTTCTTTTGGGCCTGAGGCCGTGTACAGAAATATAGATCAATGGATCTGCCGTTCGCCCAAATGCGAGCTTGGAAAGTGTCGAGTTGTATCAGCAATCCCCATGGGCTCAAGATGGATTGTTTTCTATTTCCGTGGACTCGCAATGGGTCATGAGTACTTGTGATGACAGCACAAGTCGTATCTTCAGTTACAGCCTTGGAAACCCCTCCACTATAGACGCTCCCGACCATCGATTCACGACTTCTGACCCTGAATAGTCGCAACAACCTTACGCGAATGGCGACTTGTCCGGAATTCCAGGTACCAGATACCCTGCCAGGTTCCGGTCGCCAAAACTCCGTTTGAAATAGGAATATTCACCGAAGCACCAATAAGAGCTGATTTAATATGAGCCTAGAATGCATCGCACATTAGCACATGGATCACATCAACACCACCAAGCCCTCCATCTTTACTGCTCAGGTGCGTATGCATATAAATCATAGCCGCGGGGTATACACACCGGCATATCATCCTCCCCCTCAGCAGAATGGCGATAAAGTTCACCCTTCCGGTCCATGGGCGCAATGCGATCAAGCGCATCACTCATATCAGCGCGAACATCATCATCCCAGTTTTCGTTCAGCGAAAGCGCACAGCTCGTATGCTGCACGAACAGGTTTAGCATGCCGACTTTGTAGTCGTGGATCTCGGGGAGTTGAGATAAGACATGATCGGTAATGAGGTAGGAGCCGCGACTGCGACTGGGTAGTGTGAAGGTTTTCTGTGTCCAGGACATTTTGGTGGTGATTGTGGAAGGTTGAAGGTTGGAGCTTGGGCGGGGAGCGGAATAAGATGGTTTTGGTTGGTGGGGTCTGATGTCACTGCTGTAAGGTAGTAGTTTCACCGACCTCATGGATTTAGGACACTTTATTCAAGGCGCGAAGCTAAATTGTCTCGAGTAGAAAGCTCACGGATTGTATTTGTCCAAAGCTTGGTCTAATTATTGATAGCGGTATTCAATTATATATTCCAAGCTTGGCTCCTCCATTCAATATTATATATCCCAATGCTAAGGAGGCTAATCAAATTTTGGACACTCATTGACGACGTGCAATGCTACCGATAAATATGCTCCTCTATGTCGGCAATCACTCACCTATGCAAGCCGGAATTGATTCTGGGATCAGTTATGAAGCGTCTCACCAGTGTACTGCAACGACAATGGAGGAAGAGCCCGAGGAGGATTACCTGAAGACCCCCGAGTCAAGTCTTTGTATATACTTGCGCAAGATCGAATCCGAATGGAGTATACTCTAGCTTACATGATTACTGAAGCTGTGTTGATGCAGTTGGTCAAGAAGGTTAGGTATCCTACTGTAGAAAGTGATACATATGAATTAGCACAAAAAGTCTAAAACAATAGCGCCTTCATTGAAATATCCGACGCCCAAGCCCACTTTCAGATATATCTCTTGCATGCGACGATCAAACTCTTCCACTTCAACGCCCTTCACACACCTGGGCATGGAGGATCCATATTTACTTCTTCCCACTATATAAAACCTCCAGGTTCTACCAACAGAAGTTAGATTTAACAAGAATAGAGCATAATTGGGTTGAAATGATGATACTCAATAGACTCCTGATATGTTTAACCAGGGGATTTTGTTATGACGAATCGAGGAAACCAATGGTATTGCAGCACATCAGGAACTCCTGCGCTGGGGGTAAGTTAAAGGAAACGCGAACTTGACCCACTCCACCAACTCTCGGCTTAGTAAATACTCGCCTTGAGCCTCTTATGACAACCTGGGGAGTCCTTGGGTTCTTATTTGAGGAGACAGAAAAACGCACCCAAAATAAGCCCAGGAGTATCCTTAGATCTTGCGCCTGGCTGCACTTCGACCATTTGGACCATGATGCAACCTGGATTGTCATGCACAGTGTACTTAAGTGTATTCCAAGTCTCCGGTTAGTTGTTATAATCTTCAATAAATATAGGCTATTCGCCGTGCCACCCATGAAAATATCTTATTGCTATGCACGTATATCTCGAATGAGCCGTGATTTCCTTGCTTTTGGCGTTCATATCTTACTTTTCGATCTGATTCACCGCTGCTCCTTTATCCCCATACCTGGTGAGATCACCCCGGCAGTTTCTTCGATCATATGACCCCGGCTATTCATGCCAAACTGGGTGCACATAGATAAGCTGTTGGCCAAGAGTTTAGAAGCACACTTTCTTGTATGGTAACTTATTCAAGCCACAAGTATAAGCTCAGGACCACGTCGCATTCTTCTGTTAAAGAGAATTTGCCGGGAGAATTTGAGTGGTAGAATGCTAGAATAAAGTTCGGCTAATAATGTGAGATCTTTTTCCAGGCTGAATCACAATAATATGTTCTAGGACCCCTCAAGGAGCCGTAGGGCTGCCAGCTAAACTTTAATCTAGCCAGACCACATAACGCCCTCAACTCAAGTAGTCTTATCTTCAACCACACGATTTGAATGGCGAATTATTTGGAAGACATCGAAAGCACAAGAGCGGGGTCATATAGAAGACTCTAATTTCGGGTGCAACTCTCGGGTTTTCCAAATATGCAGAGACCTCAGGAGCAATTTCTAGACAAACAAGCCATTACACTAAGAAGCCACCACAGGAACGGATCGTAAGGGCTTTTTCATGAGAAGGTAGAGTTGTAGCTCAGACGCTCACAAAGATTTATCAAAAAAGACTCAAGAGGCATTCGATCAGACAGGTCTTTTTTACGGATAACTGAAATGGTTACGAAAGGCATCTATCATTGTGGGCCGGAACAAAACGGCTATCACCGGATATCTTGAAATCAACGGTTATTTGGACAAGCCCCAGCCAGATCCAACTATCACTATAAATTACTTTCGGCATTTACTATTTCTCAAAATCTTTAACTCACAGGATTTACAAACAAAACTTCATACTGTGTGACCATGGGCTCCATATCCGACCCGTCAGCCATCAAAGATAACGGTGTAAGAGACTCGCTATTCTCTAGCCTTTGTCCAACTCCTGCCGATGAACCATTCGCAGTGAACGGAGCATACATCCAAGATACATATCCCGATAAAGTCAACTTGGGTATCGGCGTTTACCGTACATCCGACGGATCACCATGGCCATTGCGAGTGGTCGAGGAAGCCGAAAAACAACTTCATCAAGCAAGTGATGTGAGCCGACACGAATACCTCACTATTCAAGGAGACAGAGAATTTCTTCGATTAGCTTCCAATCTTGTATTTGGCTTCGACCTGGAAAAACAAGCACAGGCGGAAGAAAACAAAAGCCGTGTCGTTTCCATCCAGACAGTCTCAGGCACAGGCGCAAACAGACTCGGCGCGGAGCTTCTAGCTCGAAACTTACGACCAGGATGCGTGTGGGTTCCTGATCCCACTTGGGCAAATCATCATACAATTTGGGAGTTGGCTGGAGTTCAAAGGAAGAGCTATCCTTACTACGACAGCGCTACCAAGTCGTTTGATTTCGAAGGAACGTTCCGGACATTGTCATCTGCCAACAAAGATGATGTTGTCATTCTTCATGCCTGCGCTCATAACCCTACCGGTGCAGATCCAACGAAGGAACAGTGGAAGATATTAGCTGAACTGTGCAAGGCGAAGGGCCTGATACCTTTCTTCGATCTCGCCTATCAAGGCTTTGCATCCGGAAATCTAGAGCAAGATGCGTGGGCTATCCGTCATTTCTTCAGCTATAATCCCCGACTGGAGTTCTGTGTGGCTCAGTCATTCTCGAAGAACTTTGGGCTTTATGGACAACGTGTCGGGGCTTTGCATGTTGTGACTTCCACTGCCAGTGAGGATGTTCCTCAGAACCTTCTGTCGAACCTTTGTCACCTTGTCCGGGGAGAATATTCTATGGCGCCGAGGGGTGGCTCAGAGATTGTGCGGACTGTTCTGGGGAATGAATCTCTCAGGGAAAAGTGGTATGAGGATCTCGTGACGATGAGCGAAAGAATTCGACAGATGCGACAGGCTCTTTTTGATGAGCTGATTAGGCTGCAAACTCCTGGCGATTGGACCCATATTCTGAAACAGGTTAGTCGCTATACTGACTATAATCTCTGCTGGCTTTACGACAACTGACATATATCAGATTGGAATGTTCACCTACGTTGGACTGTCGGAAGAGCAGGTCTCCAAAATCAGATCAAAGCATCATATCTACATGCTGAGATCCGGCCGCATCTCAATCTCAGGCTGTAAGTCTTGTTCACATATGAAATCATTGCTCGAAAATAGTTGCTGACCAGATCCAAAGTAAACGAAAGCAACGTGAAGTACGTTGCGAAGGGCATAGACGATGTCGTACGGTGACTTGTGACTCGACGGGCCTGGGAATAGATAAAAATAACAATATAGAAGCGAAATATCAATAAATGACATGTATTCTATCACAGAAAACCAGCCGAATAGTCACAGGCATTTGGAAACATTTTTTGTTTTCAATTTGGTACGGGCCTAGCCTTGAAAAGCATCTCTATCCTAGAAGCCAGGGTTCTTGACCGTCAACCGTTCAGCCGTCGTCTTGAATAAGCGTGGTAGATCCGTGTCTTCATATACAACCTCATGCAAAATCATCTTAGAAACGGCTTTTGCAGTAGTGAATATCATGGTCATCCCAGCGCCATTGAAACCAGCCAAGATCCACTGGTTTCTCGAGCCTGGGACCATTCCCACATGAGGCATAGCATCTGGGGTCTCGCCCATGACTATTGGCATATTAGCACATACCAGCCAGGTACAGTGAAGGTCTCTTACTTCCAGTCCAGACGAAGTCATGGTGTGCCTCAGCATTCTCCCATCCAAGGAAATGATCCGCCATGACAGAGTCAAAGTGCTCTGTGGCAGCATCGTTGATTAATGTTGTATCATCAGTGCAGTTCCACCATTTCGCCCGATCAAGTTTATCTTCGTAAGTCCACTTCGCACCCCCAAGGATAATCGTATGATCCGGCCTTGGATTGAGATAATCCGCATACTTATTGTCAAAGTGTAGGTTATAGGTATGGTCAAGGAACTTGGGCACTTTGAAAGATGGCGAAGGAGACAGATGCGAGTTCTGGCCTTTGAAGGGGGTAATGACGCCCTTGTACTGCGGTAATATAGCTGTAGTGTAGGCATTGGTCGCGAATATGGTCTTTTTGGCGTTTAGTACTCCCCTTGAGGTGGTCAACCTTGTTTGGCCGGGCAGTTCTTCTACTTCTGTAACACAAGTTTCGGTGAAGAGTGTGCTGCCAAGTTCTACCACTTTTGATAGCAAAGCCGTGACTAGTTTGTATGGCCAAAGAGAGACAGCAGGCACGCTTATCGCGCCTTTACTGTTTTTGATACCAGTGACCTGGAAAATAGAATATTAGAACCAATGCATTAGCTCACCAGGTAGCTGAACATGTACCTTTTCCGACTCGGAAGCGTCAATCCATGTCATATGCTGAGCCCATGGAGCCCCCTCCGCTTGCTGAGTAGACACAAACTCCTGCATCTCCCGGGAATGATCTTCATCAAAAAAGACATCGAAAGAGCGCGTCAGATTAAATTCACAGTCGATCATTTCCTTCTCAATCACCCCTTTGAGAGCAGCAAGCTGATCAAGTTGGTAGGCAACAACCTCTGCCGCCGCACTAGGTCCGTATTGGGCCCCAACCCGCCGCGCGACCCAAGGGGCCAATTTGAGATGACCTCCTTATAGCCGATTAGCAAGTAAACCGAAAGAGATTGGTGCTCTTACCATTGCGCCCAGTCGCTCCTGTACAAGCTTGACGAGCCTCGAGTAAGACAATGCTCGGCTTGGTTTTGAGGTCTGGGTCTGAAAGAATGTGGTATGCTGTGGCTACGCCAGCTAGGCCAGTGCCAATGATGGCTATGTCGCATTGATCTGGCACTTTGTCCGATGAACGAAAAGCTGCCAGCTGATGGGGATTTTGGAGCCAGTATGATGATAAAGGGTTCTCAGCTGGGAAGCCTCTGTCTTTGGTTGTCGAAGACATGCTTGTCTCGCAACTTGAATTGTAGGAGCAGCGAGATATGAGCCAGAAAGCAGATTCCTTTATGCCAAGGTTCTGAAGTCCTGGAATAGTCTAGAGGGGTGAAAGGACATGCAGATGTGATGTGTGATAGAGAGGCTGACTATTAAATAGCCCCTCTTCTCACTAATATTACCCATACCCAAAGCAGTTTAGCATGATCTCGGACCGTAAGAGTTTCGACAGACAAACCCTCCACTGATAGACATTGATGAAACCCCGGAGGTAAGCTTTGGATAGTATGAAGAATATCTGTCTATAAATTGAATCTTAAAGAAGCTATGAATGCTGAGAAATAAAGCCGTAACTGATCAGATTTACTATATGTTTTGGGGTGGCCGGCTCGGTAGGGAATCACGTTGGCAGCAGTAAATTTCTCAGCTGTGGTGAGGCTTTTAAGTATAGTATTTTTTTCGAATGAGTTATCCTTCTGGACTTCAAAGGCTTGTTCCCAATAATTGATACAGGATACATGAGTCTCGATCTCGTGCTTATTAGTTGGTTGTTCCCTTATACCAACCTTGGAAGACGATCCTCTTCAAGCTCCGAATAACAACTAGCTAGGACCTCGCCTCGCAAACGTTACATGCCGTCATTAACTATACGTTACTTAATTATAATCAGCCACACTGATATTAGCGTACCTCGTTGCCACTACCCTAACATTCCTTCACTACACAATTCTACATCTAATGCCGTATCTATCGGAGAATAATCTATACTTATAGCCCCTATCAATTTATCGCATCGCTTTGAATCGTTGAATTCCCTCAAATACTACTCGCAATCCGAAAAAAGTAAGTCATCATTCTGTTCAACTACGTTCTTCTTTCATCAGCCTTCGTCTACAAGCACGCGTCTGGTTATACTTACAATGGGTCATATCGTATTTCCCATGACAATGTGTAGTCTCACTTATTTGTTTCCCTTCAAGCAGCTTGACAAGACACATTCTCCGCGACCCGTGATAGCGGTGTCTGGCCGTACTTGTCTTGTGTCTCGACTGTGAAATCTCTATCAAGAAGCAGCTTGACAATATCGTCAAGCCCTTTCTCTGCCGCGTACGACAGCGGTGTCTGGCCGTACTTGTCCTGTGTGTCGATCGTGGCGCCTCTATCAAGTAGTAGCTTGATGATATTCTCACGCCCATTCTCTGCGGCCCGTGATAGCGGTGTCTGGCCGGAGTTGTCCTTTGTCTCGATTATAGCGCCTCTATTTAGAAGCAGCTTAACAATATCCTCATGTCCGTTCGCCGTGGCCTGTAATAGCGGTGTCTGACCGGACTGATCCCTTGTCTCGATTATAGCGCTTCTATCTAGAAGTAGCTTGACAACATCCTTATGCCCGTTCGCCGCGGCCTGTGATAGCGATGTCTGGCCGTACTTGTTCTGCATCTCGACTGTGGAACCTCTATCAAGAAGTAGCTTGACAATATCCTTATGCCCGCTCGCTGCGGCCTGTGATAGCGATGTCTGGCCGTAGTTGTTCTGTGTCTCGATTGTAGCGCCTCTATTTAGAAGCATATTGACAACATCCTTAAGTCCTCTCTCTATGGCCCGTGATAGCGGTGTCTGCCCGAAGTTATCCTGTATCTCGACTATGCTGCCTCTATCAAGAAGCAGCATGACAATATGGATATGACCGTTCGTCGCGGCCTGTAATAGCGGTGTCTGACCGGTTTTATCCTGTGTCTCGACTGTGGCGCCTCTATCAAGAAGCAGATTGACAGTATCGGTATGTCCGTTCGCCGCGGCCTGTAATAGCGGTGTCTGACCGGACTTATCCCGTGTCTCGACCATAGCGCTTCTATCAAGAAGCAGCTTGACAATATGGATGTGACCGTTCGCCGCGGCCTGTAATAGCGCTGTCTGACCAGATTTATCCTGTGTCTCGACTGTGGCGCCTCTATCAAGAAGCAGCTTGACAACATTCGTATGCCCATTCGCCGCGGCCTGTGATAGCGGTGTCTGGCTAGAATTATTCTGTGTCTCAAATGTGGCGCCTATACCAAGAAGCAGCTTAACAATATCCTGATACCCATTTTCCGCGGCTCTTGATAGTGGTGTCTGCCCGAAGTTGTCATGTGTCTCAACTATAGCGCCTCGATCAAGAAGTAGCTTGACAGTATCATTATGCCCGTTTTCCGCGGCCCGTAATAGCGGTGTCTGGCCGTGATTATTTTGTGTCTCGATTGTGGCACCTCTGTCAAGAAGCAGCTTGACAATATGGATATGCCCATTCGCCGCGGCCTGTGATAGTGGTGTCTGGCCGAAGTTTTCCTTTGTCTCGATTATGGCACCTCTATCAAGAAGCAGCTTGACACTAACCTCCTGCCCGTCCTCTGCGGCCCCCGATAAAGGTGTTCGGCCATGCTGATCGATCATTTCTATGCCAGCGTCACTTCGTGTCAATAGCAACCATACAAGGTCCTCTTGCCCTGTCTTCGCGGCTTTTGATAGTGCTGCGGCTGGATTTTTGACCAATCGTGATATTCTGTCATCAAGGCAGATCTGTTCTGGAAAGACGCTATCTAGTCTCACGCCATTTGGCTTTCTTGCACGCGTTGGGCGACCAGCTTGGACACAAATACTTCTCATGGGGTATTGAGATGGTATAAACATTTTGAGATCAAGTTGTTCAATGCTTTCACTTTGAACCCTCTTGAACTGTCTCATGGTTAAGAAATAGTCTCTTAAATAGATGGCGATCAACCTATCTCCCCCGCTTTTCTCTTTGCAGTCGAGAATTGCGAGCCCTAGGCCTTTGCCTCCCATTCCTATGAAGGGTAGGTCCAAATGAACCCCTCTATTACTCATAGTAAAAGAGCTGCCAAGAGCACTGAATGCATTGGATCGGATGATACTATGGCAGTGGGCGAACGCGGTTGGGGAGGTGGCAAGAAGTCCGCCGCGGTTATCGGGAGACGACCATGCGAAGATACTATTATCATGCGAGATCCGCATGATCTCCTCCTGAAGTCTAATAAAGGCGGTTTCTCCTTCCCCGTATATCAGTGGCATGTTGACGTTGAATATACCCATTAGAGAATAGGCGCGGTCCTCAATCCTAGAAGTCTGTCTTTTTGCAGCCCATGACATTCTCTGAGCGACGCTAGATGTTTCAAGGTCTTCTTCTCCCGATAGGATACCAATAGGGATACCTGTGCATTTAGATATCTCATCTAGAAGATCTGCTTTTTCTCCTAGTATTTCCCAATTCTTGTTAAGAAAAATAACTCTTGATGGAGCAATCAACTCTTGAAGGGTCCAGCCCCTAGTAAGCCACTTGCTCTTTGGGATATCGTCTTTGGATTGTACGTCCGCAAGATATGTGTAGCACACCTCGGCGTTTTGGTACCAAAGGTACATGGAATTGATTGCCTCCGACAGTTCGGCACTGCTTGTCTTATCAATGCAACAAGTATCAATCCAAGCGTACTCATAGCCATGTGATTTGGCTAAGAGGCAGCATTGCGTGATTTTCTCGTATCCGCTCTTTTGCTTTGCGCTGGCCTTGTTAATTTCCTGAAAACTAACTTCCCCCTCTGACCAAGTATGTGATAAAATAGCGTATAGCGGTATTTCATAGTCCGTGAATTCTTGGATTGTAAAGTCGCCCGTTTCCGAATTTTGCGTGTTTAGTAGACGCATGTTTTAGTTTAACGCGAATACTTCGTTGTCTTCCGTAAGTGTTTTAATAAGGCTTCCTAGTGCGGCGTTCCAGAGGGAAATGGATATTAGGGAGGGTAAATCAGGGAGAGCGAATCTTGAGGGCGCTTAGATTGGGACGTGAGGGGGTCGGCAAGTCTGACTGGCTCTGGCTCAGCTCGGTGACGGCGAATTTGATGATATTGAGTGTTTATAAAGGCCCTGGTAGGTATTTGGTCATGGAAGAGGCAGTCAAATTGATCTGGGTTAGCCGCAGGAGAAATATTATCTTTACAGACGCCCGTGGCCACGATTTGTGTGCGTTGTACATATGTGACGTTGCCCTGCAGCCATGATATTTATAAAAATCAACCAATTATAAGTTGCCATGATAGCCAATACTTATGTCTCCACAGCAAAAAGTAGTCAGTAAAACTGATCATTAGAACTGATCTTCTTGGAGGATTTTCACTAAGACAGGCGGCCCAAGGGCCATTCCTGTAGCTAAGTGCCGATATTAGCACCTGACACACCTTGTTTCAAGTCATCATCTTCTTATTATAATAGTACCGCTTCACAGCCTAGCTATCTCTGGGATGCTTCTCATGTGCAGAGACCTATCTTTCCGTCCCCTCTTCCACGGATTATTGTTGTTCCCCGTTTCAAGGCTAACGATAACAATCCCTTTGTCTAAATTTAGCAATCAAGGATTCTACGCCCATGATAGAGCCGCCGAGCTTTAATTAGTTACGCACGAAAGATCGGGACAACCACGCCCTATACGTAACTAGACTTATGGCACTAGTCCTGACATCTCGTCTTGCGTGATGATATATATTACCCTGCATTGCATTTGTTCCGGACCACCGAGCTCCACCACTACGTACTTTGTCCTGCCCGACTCATCACCACCTCTACGCAACCTTAGAACTTTTAACGTATTTCACAAGCGAAAGAGTCACCCCAAAACACTTAGCAAATGCGATTTCATATCTGAGCAACAACGCATCCAAATCCAATCAAATTTTAGGTACTATTGCTTTGGGATATTATAATTTGGCTTTGGAGTTTGGTGTATTTAAATGGAGAATCCATGGATTTACAAGGTCACCCATTCAAACACACCGTGACTTGACCACTTAATCAGTATATATACGAATTCTTTGAATCAACCCCGTGACATCTTACTCATATCATGTTTGACACTTTCCAATGTTGAGATAATGAAATATCTAGAAACTGACTCCCGAGGTCGCTAGATGATTCGCGCCCTTTTCGCGAATGCTATAAACAGCACAGAAAACCCCAAGATGAATGCTAGAATGCTAAGCCACCATTTAACATTCCCCTCCACATACTGTCCAGGTACATTTATGTTCATACCAAAAGAACCAGATATAACCTGCATTGTGACGATAATCGTACCGATAATCGTCACCCGACTCAGCGTACTCGCGAGGCTGTTACGCATGCACGTCGAGTCAAATTCAAGTCGGCCCAGATATTTAGATTGCGACCGCGAGAGCATCTGCTCAGCACTGGTCAGGTTAGACATCATTGTCAAGACGTGATCTTGAATATCGCGAAGATAAATTGTGATCTCCGCAGCCGTGGCCCCTGAGTAACCGCAGTGGCGGGCAAAACAACGAATAAGATCGGTTTTATCGTGCAGAAGTCGGCGGATCTGGGTAACCTCCTTGCGACACTTGGAGATATTCTGAAGAGCCAGACCGATTTCATCGGGGCGCGTGATAGATAGACCATCTTCCATCATCTCGACTCCGGTTTGAACACGGTCGATGAGTGGGGCGAAGCCATCCACGATATCGTCACTAATACTGTTAGTTAGATCCTATATTTTGCGCGAGATAAGAGAAAATACATGAGCGCATAGCAGATCCAATCACTCGTCGGCGAAAAATCGCTCTGATGGTCCTTTATGCGTTTCCAGACGTGGGCGGGGTCTTGGCCGTCGCCGAACGTGATGCTGAGAATTCCCTCGGGAAACACAATGCCGTAGAAATTGGCCGCCGAGGAGTTAGGAGTATTTGTGAGTCCAAGTTGCCGCGGTGGAAGAACAGATACAAAGTAATAAGATCCGAAGAGCTCAACTTTCTCTCGAAGTTCGCGGACCTTAATATCTTCGGTGGTCAGAGGGTGGAGCCCGAACATCCGCGATAAAAATTCGATATCGTCGTCGGATGGCGACGCAACATGAAGCCACCATAATCCTTTATGGACACCTGTCTCCCTAAAGTCCTTGAAGGGTTCACAAGTTGATTGCAGCTGCGAGAAATCGTTGGCGTGGGTCACGGTGTCGAGATTGGAGTTGAAAAAACTGTAACGCGTGTCGCCGGCAGATTCTGCTGTTCCCAGTTTTTCTTCAAGGGCACTGTAGGCACGCCCCGGGGAGACCGTAGGCCCCATGCTCAGGAGCTTTGACGAGCAGACTCAAATTCGCGCACATAGGTTTCGTTGTGTTGCGAGTGTTGCGTGGGATGAGTTGCAAATCTTTTTTCGCCGCAAGGGGGAACAAGTCTTGGCTTTGTGGCGGAGTTGCAATATCCGTCCCTCGTTGAACATGAGTAACCACGAAATATTCGCTGTGCAAATTAATTACGGTCAGGGAAAGATGTTGTAAATAGAGGAATAATCGCCTTCTGACGTCAATTCTTTTATGCTTTTCACCGATACTCTTTGACCCTACTGCACATCTAATCCTTGGTATCGGAGCCAATCAAAGTTTTCCCTTGCTTGCATGATGCATATGCTTTTTATGTTCGAACTTAATGCTACTGAATGAGCCAATAATTTTCAACTAATATCGTCAGAAAATATCGATTGACCGCCAACTTCTGCGTGAGCAGGAAGTGTTAGGGGCTTAATAACCGGTAGTCTTCGTTATATTAAGCGTTTCGGTACTTATCGCGCTTCCCCAATTAGGATTCAGAGTAACGAATTTCAATATATCAAATTGATTACCGCCTACCATATGTTTTTCTTCAGTATTTATGACCAGCAAATGATGTGGGACAACGCAGAATCTTTATCAGACGGGAGATCACAGATTTAACAGGTTTCAATGTTCTCATGATATTTGAAGGAGATCCGGCGCTGAACTTAGGACTTGCTGGCTCAATAAACGACACACTTGATGCATGACTGCCATTGATCCAGTCAACCTTGGGTATGGAGGTCATCGGGACCCAACACCGCAGTTTGGAAGTAGACGAGGAAAAAAGGTACCAAAGGGTAGAGGAACTGATTTAAATATGAGACGTTCCGGGCATATCAATAGCAACTGTCTGTTCCTTTTGACTGAATTCATGGCAAGTCAGGCCGGTACCAGTTTTTCGCTTGTAGATACGCAACTGACTTTAATCCATGATAGAACAACTCCGTCTTGCCCTCTTCGTTCCTCTTCTCACTCGCGATAGTCAATACACGCCATCTTCCAAGGCCCCGTGCTTTCATTCTTCCTCCAACATATCTCAATCATCATCAAGGTTTGAAAGTCAAGACACAGGAAACACACAAGCAGACTGATGCGTGACTAGTCTCAAGGTCTCACTTTTCACCATGCCACCGCGTCGAAATCTCAATCGAACCTGGAGAGAGATTGTTTTGACTCAGTATGCCGCTGATTTGGAAAGGGAGCTGGAAATGGCACAACGACCCTCTCCATCTATTCAATCGGAGATAGACCAACCATTTCCAATTGAGTATATCATCAAAGCCACCGAATGGAATCGAAACGTCATCATCACCATCCCAAGAAGACTTACTCTCGACGACTTGTGTCGCTCTCTCAACGCTTGTCGGCATACAAATTATCCCACGCCAGATTATCATGACGCAAATTTGTCGGTCCGACGATACAATCCCCCACCTCGGCCCTACTCCTCTTGCGCAAACTTTCTTGCGCGTACGAATAGCCCTCCTTCTCAAGGAACCTCGAGAAGAGACCCACCACGCTGATGTGAGGACTTTATTGACACGAATCGGCATGAACCCAAGCGAGCGAGACGAGAAACCAAGAGCAGATCTTGATGTCATCATGTACAATTAATTCTCAACTAGTTAAGATGCATCACAAACACTGGCTTGCACCAGGGGCGGGTTACTAGTAGCACTTCCCCAGTCAGCAGATCCAAGAGCTTGACCGGCCACAGTACTGTTGTCGGAATGGATCTACTACTTATTAGCAAGTGACTTCATACAAAACATGTCATACACACATAGTACTGAGGGCCAACATAGTGCCACCAATCATCACTACGATAAGCATCATCCAAGGACTGGCTGATAGGATCGGTGAACCCCGTGTTACGGGTATCAAAGTTAGGATGTTTTGACCAAGCCACATAAACCTTAGGATGATCTTCATCCTGCACACCATTCGGATCTTTAGCATCGCCAGCATTGATCTGATCCGTCGTCAAAGTATTTTGAATATCACCCCAAGCTAAATTATGGTATCCGCTATGAGCGGACAGCAATGCACGCGAAGGCGCCCACATGTCATTGTCATCGCGCGAGTGAATGATAACCACCCGTTCCCAATCACTGCAAAGATTAGATGGCTTCATGTATAGGGAGATTATATTCTTACTAGTTATGACCAGTCTGGATCACACCAAATGTCGCGCCATCCTTTTCATAGAAGAGGTTGTAGACAACGCGCACTTCAGTCTCATTGCACTGCTTAAACGTGTAGTAGACTGGGAAGGCGGGCCCTGGATTCCCAGTGGCAACACCAGGGTTGCGGCAGTTGCATCCTACATTTGGGTACTGGCATTGGGCTGCGGCTGGGGTCTTGTGAGCGGCGTCGTAAGTGTCCGGCGTGTTTGGGGACCCGCCAAAGGCCCAGGTTGGATAGCAAGGGGGGTTGATTCTCGGCTTGGGCGAAGAACCACAGGGGCGCGTAAAGGTTGGCTAGGTCTGCGCCGCCGGCGCTGAGAAGCGAAGTCATCTCATCGTCGGTGATCTGCGTGACGGCTGCGACAGAGCCGGCCAATATGGCCATGCAGGCCCAAAACTTAAGCCACATATCTTAAATCACCCACCAGGCCGAAAGGCGATCTAGTGTGTTAGAGACCCATTTTTTCGCGGCGGAGGGGTTGCCTTTAAAGCTGACCTCCTTGAAGAACCCCGAGGCAGATGGAGAATGCCCAGCGGAGCTAAAGTGGACGTGTTTCCTGTTTAGGAGATGATGAGCTAAGGGTCACATCGCGTCGTGAAGGAGTGGCGCATGAGCACGGAGCGGCCGACGGGGCGGACTCATCCCTGTCGGAGGAGAATTGGCAAATGGAAGTTCGGGAACGCTGTTGCCAAGACTTGAAGCTCATCTGATCTAATCTCAGCTTTAATTATTTGCATTAGCCCAGTCAGCGTGTGGTGGATACGAAACACGATCCTCCAATCCCAGTATAATGTAGTCAACGTGCGTGTTCGATTGATCTATGATATATGCAACAAAATGTGAAGATCGCCATGTGTTATATTTTCGGGGTAGAAGTATGCAAGTCCGTCGCGTGATTTCGTTTTCCTGTCACGTCGAATGCATTCACTGGGTTGGGTTACCAGAGTCATCGAGCAGCTGACTTTTTCCATCCATCTCAGTCCATTTGGGTAATCCGTCGGGCATGTCAAACATTCGCTGTTTGTAAAAGATATGACACCTAAGATCATCAGCAAGCGAGTTCAAGTACAAAGTGCACTGCAAATACATACGTTGGCTTAAAAAGCTCCAACATTTTCCGCCGCTCATCTGCCGTACCCTCAAACTGGATCAACTGCGGATACAACAAACAGGTGTTACGTCCCTCATCCATAATGAGGGTATGACAGAAGCTGCACGAAACCTTGGTGGGCATGTCGTATTTCTGAGAATTCAGAGAAGAGGAGAAGAATGACAGGCCACTGGAGCCCTTTGCGAACGAGAGATCTTGTTTATGAAAGATCGCTGCCCATTGCATAGGCGCACCGTGCATGACCTGGCATCCTCGACAATGGCAAAACTTGGCGTTTAATGGTCGCTCGCGGTTCAAAGAATAGGTAATTTTTCCGCATTTGCACGAGGCTGTCCACTTGATGGGTCCGAATTCATCGTGACTTTGGATGTGATATGGTGGACGATGCTTCCAATGTTCGGCATCTAGTGTATTTTCGGGGTAGACATTGGTGAAAGCTGGCGAAGGCAGCGGGAGCTCGGTGGAATGAATGCCCATTTCAGTCATGATGAAGGTTGTTCTGGTGTTACTAGGCTAGTCAGGATTGAGGAGATGGGTTTTATTTTGTACTCCTTTATGTGGCGAATGCTCCATGATGTCAGTTGCCAAGGATAGGAATTTTTAAGGTCAACTATGATGTTGTTTATGCCAGAGGTGGAAAAAAGGTACGTGACTCGACTGCAAACTCGCCAATCCTCCTTCTTTTGGACTATCTCTTCTTTTTTTTCATTCTCATACTATGATTCGTTAATTTGCCCCTTTATATTAACGATTGACCCTTATTCGTCTCACTTTTTTTTTCACGTTCGTTAGTGATGTCATTGATGTGAATCCAAGCTTCAGGCAGGTTTGGCGGAGAGATCCAGATCGACCTGGTATCTGGTTCCACCAGTGGGAACAGTTTTGGGGTAACCTATCATATTGCATTAAATATGTACCTGAAAGGGCCCACTCATCCGTTGAAATTTAATATTATATACAAATTAAGTGACATGTTGACCGTTACCGAAACATTGGCGAGACAAAGCGCGGGGCGTTCATTGGGCGTTTCATCCCTGCTCAACAGCGGGCCCTGCATTAATTGGCGTCTTTCATGTTCAAAGCCCGATCTTTCTCCCCATCTCTCCTATCTCTCCTCTCTTCTGCATCGCTCATCTACACAAGATGGGCCTTTTCGACAAACTCAAGGCCAGTCCTCGGCGTAGTCGACGCAGTGTGACCCCTGCGACCGAGCCGCCAACGCCGCCCCACTCTACCGGTCGCGATGCGACCAGGAAGCTTCCCCGCGCTGTGCTGGTCCGCATCTTCAGCTTTGTTTGCCCCCACGCATTGGACGACTCCTATGATACCTCGGAGGATTCTATGACAGATGGCTGCATGCTCTGTGACATGCGAGACCTCGCAAACTGCACTACGGTCTGCAGGCGCTGGTTCTCCGAAGCACACGCGCTCTTGTATGCCGCCCCACCATATTTTTCGTTCAAACCGCTAATCTGGTATTCAATAGATATACGAATGTTCGGATTGATCCTGTGCATTACTGCGAGCTCGAAGTTCAACTAGCTGCCAAACGAAAGCGCCGCTCCTTTTTCGACCGAAATGGCGATCCCATCGATGCCCCGCAGGTCCGCCTCGAATTGTTTATGCGCTCTGTCCGTGAATCGCGACACCTGGGGAAGTTGACCTTGTCTCTCCGAATGCCGTATATGACTCGCGAGGCCAACAAGGCCACCATTGCCCGGACGATTTCCGTACTTCCTCACCTTCGTTATGTCGATCTCCCGACTGGTCTGTTCAGTGACGAGGGCTCGTGTGTGACATTGAAGCAAGAGTTGATGGCCTCCTGCCCCGATCTTCGGCGCATGAGCTACAAACATGGCGCAGAGGGGAGTTTTGCACGACTACCTGAAGCACCACGCTGGATCAATCTTGAAAAACTGGAGCTATCGGGCTTGCATATAGAAGCTGGAATCCTTCGAACCGGCTTGGCAGCATTCTCAAAGCTCAAGGACTTAACATTGGATGATCTTCCGTGGCTCGATGACTCGGCATTTGCAGTGAATTCTACTTTGCCTCCCTTCCCCGCCCTCGAACAGCTCACCATCCGGGATACGCCACAACTAACAGCGGATGGACTGGTCGCATTCTTCTCATCCGCAACTAATCGCATTGCACTACAAGGATTGACACTCGCATGCACTGGTGTACTTCCATCAACCCTGTACCAAGTTCTACAGGCAGCTCCACATCTCCGCAGCCTTTCTATCATCCAGGAAGTATCCCGATCTTTCCCCGCCGAGAAGATCCCTCCGTTAGCATCACGATCACTCCAGCTCCTGCACTACGAGATCACCTCACAGACAGAGACTCACGGGCTCCCTCCCGCTGCCAACTCCTATTACACATACTTGATTTCCTGTCTCATGTCGCGCTGTCTCCCAGCCCTCCGCGATTTATACGTCCGCGACGCCCAATTCCCCGATACCCTGCTATTGGCTCCCCCGCCTCGACTATTCGGCGGTGGCGAAAATGGCCCTCAGATGATGGGCGGACTCTCGCAACCTTTGAATGTATACAGTAAAGGCCTTGATGAGCTCGAATGGAACTTCACGCCCTACGAACCGGATTCCGCGCTCGGCAATAGAGGTACCACAACGCGTCCGGTGAGTTTCCAGGAGGCTCAACTGAGTCGGTCCTGGGGTGGAGATTCTCGGAAGAGTGTACTGGTTGGAAATGGATTTGGCGGATTCCTAGCTGTGCCGGAAGATGGCGAGCGACCAATGAGTAGTAGTGGGTACAAGCGATCAAGTCGGCAGGACTTGTGGCGGTGATTATGGAAATTAAAATCATATGGGAAATGGTATCTATGAATTAATGACGCATATGCAATGCATATTTCAATTTGTACATCATCGGGATCCCGATCAGGATAGATCTTGATCAATATTTTACACATTAGTACTTTTCCATCAACCACAAGGCTTATCACGCCTGATCCTCCGGCCATCCTTGTTCGGGCCATCCAGGCGGAAGAGTCATTCCCTTCCAAACCCACTGATTTCGCAAGTCAGTTTCAGTCATGTTACAATACCCATAAGTATTACAATAACACTCCGCAGCATCAAGACAGAACTGCGCGGTCTTTCCAAACATAACTGCAGCACATATTAGCATTCACCATACGATTGACAAAGCAGAGCAGGATCCACATACTATGCCATAAATACTCAAATATCCTCCCACTAGTACCAGCATCAAGCGGTGACGTAAGTAACCACTCTCGCATACGCACATACTCCTCTTTCCCCCGCGCACGAATTGCTTCCCGCGAGACGGCAAACTGACTGCAACACGGTACACCGATTATCTCGGGCACTGGCTCTCCCGGGAATAGTGCCATGAAACTATCGGGAAATTCCACGGCCGTGGGGTGTCCCGGATCATCAGGTCGGTCGCGGAGATAGCGGGCGGGTTCCAATTCGGCCGGGCAGCCGATTGCCCACGTGCAGCGGAGGTTTACATAGCCGGTGTTCCGGACGTGATTTAGTTGGAGATCTTTTATTGAGATGACGGAATCTGTATTTGATTAGAATGAGGAATATGGAAGTGTATTGTTGAGTGGGGTTGGTACCATATAGTGGGTTATCGTTGTGCCATTGATATCGGCCTCCGTGTAGGAAGACGTTTACATCGGGGAGGGTGTCGTATCGGTCGATTATGTGTCTAGATAAGTATTGTTAGCGCAAGGTTCGAAGGTAGATACTTGGCAGTGACGACATGTGATACGCACGTCAGATAGACCATTGCCTCATTCCCTTTATTATCCGGAACCGTCAACTCGGCTTGCCCTTCTGGCACATCAGCCCGATAGATATTAAAGACCCAGTCCGAAGGAACATTCGCCTCCACCCAGGACATATCACTTTTACTCATTGCAGCAATAACAAGCTCCTTCTCAACCGGAGCCGTAGTCGGCGTGGAAAGAGGCGCGGGTTCGTGCGCGGGTGTAGATACCGGTCTCGAAGTATATGGAGTCGGCACCGATTGTTGCACAGCAGTAGACTTAGAATGCGATCCATTCATAGCCGCAGCAGCCCAGCCGTCCCCATCATAATCGGCATCCGGATCATAAGGGCCCGTAGTGTCTGATCCGACTTTCCACGAGGCGATGGAACCCAACGAATCGTGATTCAGAACCAGCTGATAAGAGAGTAGTAGGGAGATAACTGCCAGAGCGAGGTAAAGGAATACCCTAGAGCTACCGGTTGATCCGGGCTCACGGGGTTGGCGAGGGAATACACTCAGCCAGCTCATGGTCCGGGCATGATTAAGAGGTTGAAGGAAGAGAAATGGAATCGGGGTTGCGATTGACGTTGAGGGGAACTGAGTTGGGACCGGAAGCAGTGAGATTGCGGGTCCATGAGCTAATGCGGACCCTTTACGAGACCCTTTGATGGCGAGGCTACGAAAGCGGGACCTTTAGTGGATGACAGGATTGGATATGATTGACCAGGATCTACGTATGTTTTACTTGTATACCATGTGAGATTTAGGAAATTTAGGCGATAAAGGTTGCCTAAATGTGATTGAGAAAGTGGATACAAAGAACGAACGATTTAGATAATTAAATACATTTGATTGGGTTGCGGATTGAGGAGCCGCTTCCGGTTGACAGGTATAGCCACGAGGCGGTCATGCCGGGTTTGATTGGAAGCGATCATAGTGAAACCACCGCCTCAAGCCCATCAATAGCCGGTGTCGCGCTAAGTAGACAGGTCGGTTCTTCGTATTTAATGTGGAATTGATGATATGGCTAAGCTCGCCCGGTAACCGCCACCCGAGGCTAGATGCAACAATGACACTCTCATCACGATTTGTTCCTGCTTTTAGGGGTCCAGATGCGTTCCACATTCAGGTTTGAGACCATCGTGCCTGAAACATAGCCAATAAAGTTCAGTAACAAGTGTGGGGCGCACTAATGACGGGTTAAGCGCTGGGGCTGGACCCACTTGTTACTTTGACCGACAAAAAACATTTCTCGATCTGTCCGATCGCAAGTGATAGGCAGTTTCATTTCACAATCAAGCATACAGTGGCGCCGACCGAGGAAGATAATGCTTTGTCGTATGTTTTTTTTTTTTTTTTTCTGCGCTTAAGCTCATCGGGTATGCTCGAACATCCGAACGCTTATCGCTTGCAATAAGAACAAACACAACGTGCGTCACTGAAATTTAAGGCCCGCGAATTCTTCCGCAGCCACTTAGCTTCATACACAGTCAGCTCTTGTAACTGCTTATTCATCGCCTCAGCATATGGATCAGATACCCCCACCAGCTTGATTCGTCCCACGTGCCTAGCAATCATGAATAATACTTCCGATACTTCCCCGGGTTCTTGATCAGGGTGGAGGATCATGGTTTTTCGAAGACTGTTTAAACAAACACTGATACGTGATATTCGTTCACGGACACAGCGAGACATCTTCAAACTGATACTGTCGCATTCAAGAATCAGGGCAATATTGATTGTGGCGGGTTCTAGACTAGTTGCTATCTCCCGGTAGAATCTTCTTTCATGATACCATATGTTTGCTCTGAATCCATCTAATGCGCTCACGATGTTCGCGCGGTGGTGGAGGAACCATAAGTTGTTTGGATCCATGGTTTGATATATCTAGCTTGACAAGTGCGGACAGTACTTAGAAACATGCCTAGTATCTGCAGGTACTGCAGGTCTTTATAGCCGCAGAAGAAAGCCAAGATACTTTAGACATAGACTATTTCTAGTCTCTTGGCATTCGAGCTTGTTTTGTATTGCGAAACGGATATAATTAACCGAACAAAGATCGAGCTTATTCTAACAAAGTCGGTACTTGAAACGGCAGTACATGGATAGACATCTATAATAAGCAAAATAACAAAAAAATCAAATGAATGAATCAAAGAATGTGGATATCCAATTAAGCAAGTCTGAGATAGAACATTGTAAACAGTGGCTTAGTCATGATCACCCGACTTGACAGCGGGGGATGATTACATAATAAGAGTTTTCGGCAACTCACGGAGCTCGATCGCAGCAAGTTCGGCCGTAAGGGACTATATATTTGAACTTCATCGTCAATGAAATGGATTCCAATAACCACTCTAGTCCATACCCATACGACACAGCACGTGTGAGTGAACTGCTTAAACGCAAACGTCGTGTTCGTGGGATCAAATCCTGTTTTCCTTGCCGACATAGGAAAGTAAAATGCAGCGGTGACCTACCCTGCGAGAGTTGTGTCTCAAGGGGGCATCCTGAACTTTGTTGCGTGCCTAGTGAATCAGGTGACAATGCACGCGCGGCACCTGTTCGTTCTAGTCATGTTGGATCGAGGGAGAGTCGTTCTGTGACAGGGGGCTCAGGCAGGGATGAGGATGGAGACAGGCTACTGAGAGAGCATAGCAGGAAGTAAGTGGCATGCGTGATTACCACCAAGGTTAAGCTTTACTCATACACTTCCTAGTGCTGTACCAGGACTCAATCCTTTTGAACATGAAAATGAGTCTACTCTAGACCATACAGTTGGCATTGATCTGATGATCAAACGTTTAGAAAGTATAGAAGACCAAATTTCTTCTCTGAAAGCCGATCTTCAAAAAACTCGCGCAAGCTCCATGACAAAGGCCAATCATAATTCAAACGACAGTCAATCGTCAGATCTACGGCTGAACCCGCACTTGAACAGAAATCTAGTTCCTAGGTCGCCAGGAAAGAATTTCGTCGAAGATGCCACAGGGGCGACCATCTTCCTAGGCAGCCACTCTGATCCACCAGCAGCATTGGGATGCCGAAACGCACCTGGTGATGGAATCCTCTCTGCTGACTTATTCTTGGATCATATTGCGCCCCGGGCGTATCCATTTACGAGTATGTGGGGACCGGATGCCGGCGCTGCGGATATTTGTTGGACTTTGCCTGACGACTCTGATATTGTTCGGTATGTGCCGATTAAAATCATCCAAATCATCTCATATTAGAGAGACATTTGATGAATACTAATGCAAGGTCAATGGTGGCAGGTATTGTCAAATCTATCAAACGACAGTCTACCCCTTCTACTCGGCCCTAGTAACACTCGAGCAATTCAATTCCTCGCTCTGGAAATTTCTTGACTACCGAGCAGACCTTCAACAGAGCAATCAGTTATCAAAGCTAGACAATACAGATACCTCATGGCTTGCACTACTGTTCGCCGTCCTAGCGTGTGGAGTTCAATTCTCAGATGACCCGATTAAAAAAAGAGACCTGCAGTCCAAGGTCTTCAGTAAGTTCCTTCAAACTTCAAACTCGTCCACTGGGAAGCAGAGACTATGCGCTAATATTACCGACAATACAGTTTGTTCAGCTTTCCAGTGTCTTCGAATTTCAAACTTTTTCAATAATACCAACATAGATCAGATCCAGGCTATGGCATTGATAGGTCACTGTATCCGCAACAACTTGGACACAAATAGCGCTTGGATTCTATTAGGTATTTACCAGACACTAGTGACAACATTTCAGTATGCTTATAAATTGCAGGTGCAACATTGCGTCTCGCGCAGAGTATTGGACTCCACGAAGAAACCATCCAAGCAGACTCATCGACTGCAACCCAACAATTCCAAAGAAAACGACTCTGGTATATCCACTCCATCTGTCATAACCCGCTTACCCATCTCTCGTTAACTAACAAAATTAGGTGGGTACTCCTGTGGCAAGACACGTTCCTCTCCTTCACCTATGACAGACCCCCAAATACAATAAGGTCAAGCGAAACTATCCCCTACGACGCTTCAAGCAATGAACGGGGCAATCACTCATTCGCCGACTGCGTCATGACACTATGTCAAATCATGCTCGGGCGGTCACGGAAAGACGAAGACAGCGAATCAATATCGGCGATAATGGGCTACAAGCACCGCGTAGAGACAATCCTAGACGATGACTTCGCTGCACCTTTCCTGCGCAACAAGGCCCGCTGTCGTACCCCCCAGCAGCATCTTGAGCGACTGGCATTCCGGATTCACTCTTCATATGTTCTTATGAGACTCCTTCGATTAGCACTGGATGCTTCAAGTCCTGAACCGAACATGGATAATGCAGTTTTAAAGAGGGAGTGTGCAATGCGTGCCTCAGATGCGGTTCAAGCTTTCCTGGAGGTTCATCAGCTCGCACCAACGGTTTGTCGGTCGTGGGCATTTGTCCACAACGCCGTGAGTTGTGCTTTTACGTTGCAGAGTCTTAGGATGTTTGCTTTGGACTCGGAACTGCTTATTACGAAGTTTGTTGGTATCTTGGAGAGTGAGGAGAGTCTGTCTTCGTGGGTGGATAGCGATACTAATGTCAGGTATTACGGGCCTTATTCGAGGGCTTTGAGGGCTTTGAAGGAATTTGTTAGCTAAAATTCTCCATGGTAACATGTTATGTTTTATATATACTCTGTGACCGCGGCATCTGTAAAAGAGCATCCTGTCCAACCTGGTTTCAAGTTGCTTCTCCTTCCTTCCATATCAATATTTTATTTATTATACACTACTTCATCATGGTATTAACTGATTGCCCTCCGGCAAGCAAACTTATTTCTTGGCGAGAAGACATTAATATTAATGCCTCGATAACCAAGTTCAAGTCCTTCGAAGTCTTTTGCGGCTACTGGTGCCCATCGTGGGTTGCATCTACACCCCGCGGATATCGCCATAGCATTTTCACCCGCACAAAAGAAAGGGGCACTTCATAGAGCTTCCTGTAGAACTTGACATACCTTTTGAAATCTGTGATCTTTATAATATCATGGAGTAGTGAACATATATGGTAGATTGGATACTGAAGAAAAACAACTGAATATAGGAGGGCTTTTATGGGTGCCGGAGAATACCTAAGTACATGTCAAACAATTCAATTGAAATACTCCGTGGGATCTTGAGCATAACGAGTGATACAAGACAGTTGATCAGCTTTTCCTTCTATTTCTATCAAAATTACTATACAATCCAGTTGATATTCGAAAAATAGAACATCTCCCTCTATACAGCAGCTGGAGTTCTTCTCTTGGCCCGAACATAGAAATTCAAAGGCCGAATCAACTGAAACTCCGGATCATAATCAACAGCCTCCAATCCTTCCCTGAAGAACTCATACCTAGAGACAAGCTCCGACAAAAGAATCTTAACCTCCAGCAACGCAAAATTGAATCCGATACAGCCACGCGGCCCAGGTGCAAAAGGAATATAAGCGCAACGATGCATGTTCTTGGTCTCCTCTCCAGCCCAGCGGTCGGCATCAAAGCGGAATGGATCACGCCAGACCTCCGGGTTCGTATGGATGGCATATAAAGCCGGAATGATAACGCTATCAGGAGGTAGGCGGTAACCACCCGGTAGGACGACGTCGGTCTTGGTCGTGCGACCGGGCTGGAAAGAGGCGTTGTGTAGACGCTGTGTCTCCTTCACAAAACAATCGAGGTACGGAAGACTGTGCGCGAGCTCGGGAGTCCAGTCAACAGATTTGTCTGAATTGGCAATACCCTTCTCACACAGCTCCTCGTATAGGCGATCTTGGGTGCCCTCGTAGTTGACGAGACAGTAAAGGAGCCAGGACATTAGAGCGGAAGTAGTTGTAAATCCGGCTCCAGTGACGATGAGCATGTTGGCCAGGACGAGCCCCTCAGGGAATTTATCTCCACTTTCATCGACGCTGTTCAGAAGGTAGTCGATGACACAGGAAGCTTTGACTGCTGCGTCAGCCATAGGCATTCCATCGATACCAGAGCCCTTAACTCGGTCAATTTGCTCTTGCATCAGAGTATAGATAGTGCGCTGGACTGTCTTCAGGCGTGCTGGATCACCAAAAGGAAGATGGCGATACCATTCACCTCTAGCAGTGATCTTCTTATTGAGTGAGAGAAGATTTGCGATATTTGTGACGATCGGATGCAACGGTGTGTCGATATCTTTGAAATGTTCAAAGTCAGTACCTAGAGAGAACTTGCCAATGGTCTGCGATGCTAGCTTCACCATATACTGATAGGCATTCCAGGACTCGTCGCGAGAATCAATCTCATCGAAGACAGCGAACGACTTGCGAACGCAATCCTGCATCAACGGAGTGTAATGACGCAGAGCCTTGGGACCCATCGCCGGTGGCAGGAATTTGTGTGCAAGTCGCCAGTTTTCTGTTTCTGTGTCTCCGATGAAGATGGCTGTGTTGTCTTTTACACCCCAGAGCGGATGGTTCTCATTGATCTTCTTCGTCATGTATACGGATTCCGAAAATGCTACCGCTGCTACCTCAGGGCTGTCGGTGAGATAGATTGTCTTGCCCATGTTGGTCGTCTTGATGACATGGCCGTACTTGCGGAATAAGCGGTAGTGGTTTCCAAGGTGGTCGGGGAAGATTTCGTAATAGCTGCCCACTAGTGGTAGGCCTTCGGGACCCTGGGGGGTTTGGACTGCGTTGCCGTCGACGCGGAGGCCGATAGGTGAATCGAGTGAGGACGTTGTCTTGATCAACTCTTCCACCGTGGTAATCTCCTGGTCAGCATTGCTATTGTGGAAGGTAAGACCTGAAAGAAGTCAGCGATGGAATATTCACAACCGTCTTGGAATTAATCCACACCTAGTGCTTGCACCACATGGAACACTGCTCCCACGGCACGCTTAACATCCTCTAGTTTCCACCTGGCATCAAGGTCAACGGACTGTGCCGTTGAGAGGTTGTCCCCAAGCAGGTAGAAGAATGGGGTGAAGCTTGGTGATGATTCAAACGGAATAGGCATGATGGCTGACTGAATCCTGACTCTACAGATCTTTGCTTGTTGGGCATACTGCACTTAAGTATCCGCAGCACATCCATTGTGACTTCGTCGTTGCTTGTTTTGTGCAGAGGCTTGCCGATTATCCAGAGACTGTGGAGTCTATCGAACCGACTCTGGAGTGTTGCGAGTAATGCAGCTGGTTTCCGAGGCTCGGGCGAACTCCGTACGAAAGACGGCAGGTGGGTCTCACACCAGAGCATGCGTTTGCGACGAAGCTGGTTGGCTCTCCCTCTTGTTTTTTTTTTTCTCATTCCTCTCTTCTACTCAAGGATCTGTGGGTTTCGGGCCGGACATGCAGTGGATTTGGCTCCCGGATGGGCCCGAAATGGCCCAGTTGAAGTTGGTGTATTTGCATTGTTTCTATATATTCCCACGACCTCCCAACAAGTTAGGACAGCCATCGAACGAACCAAGCCACACTTTACCATGTATACCCTCGAGGAAGTGCAGAAGCACAACAAAGCAGATGACCTCTGGATCGTATTGCACAACAAGATCTATGACATCACAAAATACATCGAAGACCACCCCGGTGGTAGCGCAATTCTGATTGAAGTCGCTGGCACCGATGCCACCGAGGCCTTTGAGGAGACTGGTCATTCGGACGAGGCGCGAGACGAGCTGGCCAGGTATCATGTTGGAGATTTGCCATCAGAAGTAAGTCACAATTTGAAGCTGGAACAGCCCAGTGTACCTCAAGCTAACATAAGCCCAGGAGCATGCCGAAACTGTGGAGATCTATCGTCCGAACTTTGAAAAAGTTGCCCAGAAAGCTGTTGTAACAGTCAAAAAGTCCTCATCAGGCCGACTTGGTACTTTAATTCGCGCTGTCGTCAAGCTCGGCCTCACTGGCGCTTTGGGAGCGGTGGCTGTGACTGGTTATCGCCAAGGATGGGGACCATTGCTGCAACCGCTACAACATCTATCCCACCGCGCCGTGGCAATTCTCTGTAGTCGTTCAGACTCGAGTGGCCAGTTCTGGTCTGGGTTTGGAATCGCCAGCATAGGTCAGCTGTCACTGACACTCGGATTGACAATGTGGATTTCTACCAAGCTGGATGTCCAGCAAGAATTCACGCACTACTCCCCTCGCCGCACAACGAGAATGAACCAAATCATCCTCCGTAAACGACTTCCCTTATCGGCCAAGGGCAAGGCCTTCCCAAAAATACAACGCTCTGCACCTCTCGAGCCACGCACCTGGAGGAACTTCCCACTTGTCCGCAAAGATACGGTCTCGCCCAACGTCTACCGCTTCGTCTTCGGCCTCCCCCAAAAAGACGATATATTAGGTCTGCCGACCGGTCAGCACATCGCTCTTCGTGCCACAATCAACGGCGAAAGTGTCTCACGCTCCTACACACCGGTTTCGAACAACACAGACCTAGGCCGCATCGAGCTACTAGTGAAAGTCTATCCGCAAGGCAAAATGACCAAGTATTTGGAGAGCATGAAAATTGGGGACATGATTGAGATTCGGGGCCCTAAGGGTGCAATGCAATACACCACCTCCTATGCAAAGCACATTGGCATGATTGCGGGTGGTACTGGAATTACACCCATGTACCAGCTCATTCGTGCAATCTGTGATGATGAGACAGACTCCACGCAAATCAGTCTGCTTTATGCAAGCAACACCGAAGAGGACATTTTGCTGCGACATGAACTGGATACCTTTGCGAAGAAGTATCCGAAAAAGTTCCAGGTTCAGTATGTCCTTTCACAGGCTGCGGAGGGGTGGAAGGGTCATCAGGGATTCGTTTCTCAAGATTTGATTCAGAAGTATCTGGCACCTGCGGATCAGAGCAGTAAGGTGCTGCTTTGTGGGCCGCCGCCTATGATCAATGCTATGAAGAAGGTCCTTGCCGGACTTGGGTGGAAAGAACCGGGTGTTTTGTCGAAGGCTACAGACCAAGTTTTCTTGTTTTAATATGCTTCGATATACTGTACAAATGCTGCAGTGTTAAAGAAATACAGATTTAGACTTGCAATCTTGTCTTCAAAGCTAGTATATCTATATTGCAAAATTGCGAAGTATCTTCCATCAAATATTTTCCAGCAATATGGTTTGCTAAAATAGAGACCTCGGAATTGAACAGGCCATGGAAAATCCACTAAGTATTTCGCTTTTTGATGCTATTCACACTCTCCTGCTTGTTTCACATGTCGCGTCCCTTTTCCCTTCAGGGCTTCTTCTCTATGATGCTATTCACGCTACTCCCTATGTGTTTGTCCTGCCTTTCGCTTTCGCCATTATGGCACTCCCACTTTCATATCCAACCCTCAAACTTATACTTCGTTATGGTTCGAGGCCATCCCCAACTCTTTGTTTTACTATTTGTGTATTATGCATGTGGAGCGCGAAGGTGATCTTCGCGCTCCACATGCATATATGGGAATGCCAGCACTCAATCCATGATCAAAGACATATTGTAATTTATCCCTGAAACATCTGCATAAACAATTGCCTCGTCATATCAATTTCTGCTATGAAGACTGTGCCGATCTTAGTCCCAGGTCCCCACACCCAAGCTCGGATCCACGGTCTCCGAACTGAATCCGAACCGTCTCCGTACCGAGTCCGAGTATACATGGAGCTGACCCGTACAGATCCCGACGGCTGTGGATCCCCATCAATTATGCTCGCAGGAGATTGGCAGTTCCTCCAAATGAGAGCTGGTTTTCTGAGCCATGATACACTTCACCCGGGAGTTACACATACGTATTTCTCATGTTCGTTATGGGCAATACCCAACCCCTCCTCTGTGGGACTAAATATTCATTTCAAAGAAAGACATGAATTAGCAGCTTTTAGCAATGGCTCGCTTATAGGCTTCCAGAAAATGAGCATACAAGCCTAGTAGTTAGCTTTACAATGCACAAGGGGGAAATTAGTCTTCCATAACCTAGGCATTTTGCTATGACTGCCAGGTGTGCTGCGACCTCTCGGAGGCGGGGCCTATCCGTTATATCCGAGTAATTCGACAGGTAGCCAGATTCGTCATAATTAGGTTACCACATCCGTTTCAGGGTTTGTCGATCTTTCTTTCCAGAACATTATTACACAAAATCGGATTACGGCATATTATGGATGCCGGGATCCCGATGATGAAGCAGGATGTTTCTACCTCATAGGTCAGTTTCCATGGTACGCTGGATAAACGTAAATTCCCTGAGATGGTCTATAAAACTGGATAGTGTCTCTTCGGTTTATCTGTTGTTTGTTTTTATCACCCACAACATCACGATTCCTTCCTTGTACTCTAAATACCCCACGAACCCAAGATGGTCACCCCCAGAACTGACCGACCTGTCACTATCCTAGGTGCTGGTGTCCTCGGCCGCCGCATTGGGTGCATCTTCGTTGCAGCAGGCTACAATGTTCACATTCGTGATCCGTCAGCGGAAGCCCTCAACGCCGCAATTGATTACATCGACACACACAAGGAGGAATACTCACTTCTTCCTCGAATTACCAAAGGGAAAGAAGACGTGACATACGCCAATGGGGTGAAAAGCAAACCTCCTTTCGGCGACTACAAGACATTCGCCGATATCGGGCCTGCCGTCTCCAATGCGTGGCTCGTTATCGAAGCTGTTCCTGAGAAGCTCGATTTGAAGATCGAAACCTTTGCCGAGGTCGATGCTAAATCACCAGCGGACTGTATTATCGGGTCGAATAGCTCGTCATTTAAGTCCAGCTTAATGGTGACCAAGGTCTCTGCTGCTCGTCAGCACCGGGTGCTTAATATTCACTTTACTATGCCTCCTGATATTCTAACCGTGGAGTTGATGACATGTGGTCAGACGGATTGGGATGTACTCACTCATTTGAAGAATGTACTGGGGGAATGTGGCACATTACCTGTGATAGCTCGACGAGAATCGACAGGGTATGTCCTCGATTTCCTTTTTTTTTTTTTTTTTGGCTTATCCCAATACCTGACTGACCATTTATTTGTGACATAGTTTCATCTTTAATCGCCTCTGGGCAGCAATCAAGCGCGAAATCCTCCACATCCTGTCCGAAGGCGTCAGCGATCCTGCAGAAATTGACTTTCTATGGGAGTATATGTTCAAAAATGGGCCGTCGCCTTGTCAGCTGATGGACCAAGTTGGATTGGATACCGTTGCCTTCATTGAGGAGAACTATATCAAAGAACGTGGCCTTGAGCGTGAGCCTACGGTTGATTGGTTAAAGAAAGAATACCTCGATCAAGGACGTCTCGGCAACAAGAGTGATAAGGGTGGATTATATCCGCCAACAAGATCCGCTTCCGAGACCAACCTGGCTACCAAGAAGGCGATCTACCTGCTTGACGTTGGCCTTGGTGGCAATGTGTCCGACGTGTCAAAGTCCAGCACGAATGGCAAAATCTTGCGATTCAATCAGGCCACCCGCAGAGTCACACCCATTATTGATGGACAGAATCTGCCTGATGGGATAGATGTGTCCGAGTCCACCCAACGGATATTCTGGACAAATATGGGACACAGTCCAGCCGCCTGTGACGGATCAGTCTGGTCTTCGAACACGGACGGTAGTGACAAGAAGTGTCTTGTACCAACAGGAAAGGTGCACACACCAAAGCAGCTTGTGACTTGTGAGGCACGGAAGCAAGTGTACTTCTGTGACCGCGAAGGTCTAGGCGTTCACCGCTGCGACTATGATGGCAAGAATCACGATATTCTGGTCCAGCGACATGCGAAACCCGGCAGCGCCATGGCAGATACCATGACATCATGGTGCGTCGGAATTGCCGTCGATGCTGAGCGTGGCTTGATTTATTGGACTCAGAAGGGGCCTAGCAAAGCATCCCGCGGCCGCATCTTCTGCGCGGGTATCGACATACCAGCAGGAGAGACGGCAGAGAGCAGAACCGATATCAGATGTCTGATGGAAGACCTTCCTGAGCCTATTGATCTTGAACTTGACCAGGAGACTCAGACACTGTACTGGACAGACCGTGGCGAGCACCCCACTGGATGTGCAGTTTATCATGCCTATGTTGGTGGGAAAGCTGTGGACATCCAGAAAACTATCTTGGCGCGCCACTTTCACGAGCCGATTGGACTGAAGCTGGATAAAGAGAATAACGCTGTTTTTGTCGCTGATCTTGGAGGAAGTCTGTACTCGGTCTCATTGAAAGATGGGCTTAAGACGGAATTGTTGCGTAATGACGGATGCTACACCGGAATTACCTTGTTTTAGACTCTTTAGACAAGGTCGAATTATCATATAGAGATTAGATTTCATTAATAATTATCTAACGTTTGATCACTAAAACTTTCGGCCAATATACCACAGTTTGACCGCGAGTTGGTGCGTCATCAAAACTTGTAGTTGACCAAGGAATGTTCGTTATGTGAATGATGATGGGGAGGCCATTAGGTGAATCTCAGTGACCTTAGCACTTGCCCTTGACCAACAGAACAGACACATCGTGGCTCTTCAGAGAAACACTATGCTTCTTGTGAACACATCCCAAATCCTTACCCGACCAAGCATCTGTAACCCGGTACGAGTCATGACCCATCAACTCCGGGATCTCATTCCAAACCGCGGTACGAGTAGCAGTTGAGTCTTCTGTATTAAGCATGAGAACTAGCGTTCCCTTCATGGTCGATGAAGGCCCAGACCAATACTCGGCAGGGTGCTCTGGATCAAAAGTCCAGTCAGGGTTGTATCCCCACTTGTAGGGATAAGCAGAACGACCGTAGACAGGATCTTGGTGAAAGGCGAGTAGGTACTTGTTCTTGATGGTGGCCAAATTGTCATCACTGAGCTTGTTGAGCTGGATGCTATGTTAGTATCACCCTGGAGTCTTGAGGAATTCGACTTTTGAGGAGCATACTGTCGTGCCAATGATCAAAGGAGACTTCATGATCGCCCACAGAGCAAAATGAGCTCGGTTCTCTTCCACTGTGAGGTTGCCGTTTCCGACCTCAAGCATATCTGGATCAGGATGACCCCAGAACTCAACGTAATTCATTAAGAAGCTGTTCTCGTTGGCTATTTGGGCAATACGAGACCACTCAGCTAAGAAACAATTAGCTCTCCATATTATTTTACCTTCCCAAGTAGATGCATGACTAGGTTGGTAAAAGGGATACTATCATACCGGTAATGTCCCCTGACATGCGCCATGAGTTTCCAGTCTCCTTTCCCCAGGTGTTAACTGCAGCATTACCCCAGTCACACAGGGAGAACAAGATCGTCCGGCTCTGCTCGAGAAGCGCATCACGCATACGATCATATCTTATGGATGTGTTAGACTTAGCCCAGTCGTACTCAGGAGGAGCAGGATCTGTAAGGTCAGGACAGGTGCCATTAGGATTAGACCCAATATCATCGTCCGGCACACAAGCATTATACTCGTCAGTCCAGTTACTTGGAACGCCGCAGTTGTCATATTTCAAGTCTGTCTTGTCAGAATGAGAACGGTTATAGATGGAGCTTTTGCAGCATACAGTCAATTCCCCAGTCTGAAAAGGCCTCTGCGTCGACTTTCTCGTATCCTAGACTGGCTGGATATCCCGCGCAGGTGGTCTCACCCGCACCTAGGCAGTGGTCAGTTTGTGGTAGAAGTGAGCAACGCAGAAGGAAGACATGCTGCTGTAAATGCCAATCTTCAATCCCAGAGCATGGACTTGCGCGGCAACACCGGAGATTCCATCGGGGAATGTGGTAGGGTTCGGAATGATTCGCTGAGTTGTGGTGTTGCGCACTCCCTCGACGGACCAGCAGTCGTCAACTAGTTTATATAAGTCAATTGCGAACACCTGTGCATTCTCCTTTCATAAACTCACTGTTGACATATTCATATCCAAGATCCTTGAGCCCAAGTGAGACAATGTCATTTGCTGCTGTGAGAATAGCACTAGCATTGACATCACACCCAAAGGCATTCCAGGAGTTCCAGCCCAAAGCAGGTAGCCTCCCCTATAATCAGTGAGGTCAGCCTCAGCGTGATTCCTGAAGGTTATGGAAGCGACTTGAACCTACCACGCCATCCTTTCTCACAAGAGCATTTGCGGGGAGAACAGCTGCTAGCACAGCTAAAGTTAAAGAGGTCAACATGGTCAATGTGAAGCATGGAGCGACTATAGAAACACTTGATCAAACAGTGTGGTTAGTCCCTTACAGCTAATGAATTTATACAATTCCAAAGTGCGGGGAATGTTTCACTGGATCTGCAACTTCGGAACAATCGTGCATCACCGATGAAGAGGTACGAAATGCCGATCCCTGTCGTGGCGTTGCAGGACCCTTGGCATTGGCGGGTAATATGGAATGTCCATATTGAGACCGGAGGGGAACTACGCGGCGAATTCGAAACTATAAGTCCACTGGCTGGAAAGCTTCGCAAATGCATCTGTACGAATCATATCAATTCCGATACTTCCCCGCATTTTATCCGATCATACTTTAGTGCATGGCGAGCTGGGGTGGAGAAAGATCGGCATGGAAATATTAATCTAGTGCTACAGTAGCAATGAAGTAGGGGGTACATGCATTTAATTAAGCACCAGAATTCTAGATCTACCAGTTGCGGCCTCATTAGAAAGGCTTTAATTCCTCTGAAAACGCGTTTACAACATGTCCTTCACGGTCTGTTGCACAAATCAAACTGCTTGATTCTGCAGAGAATGTCAAGGAAGATTGGAGGAAGACCCACATATAGATGAGAGAAGTTGATCTGCAGGGTCTCCAACCAACCTCGGTAGAAGGTTAACTTATGTAGACGGAATTCGGGACATCAATATACCGAGCTGGTTTTCCTTTCGCTCCATAAAAATTATATATACTAAGGAAAATTTTGTGTGAATGACCTGAAAACTTGCGCATTATCTTGAATCAGAAATGTTATCTTATGAGATAGGGGAAGGCTAGAACTTCGTGGAAGAATCAATTGGCTTGACTGCCCTTTGACAATTTTCTAAAGAGACGATGCGTAGTTAACCCGTCCGCAGCACAGACAATGACCCAAAGAAAACATCAATATTCAGCTGAAAGTAGAGCCACTATTCAAGGAAGATGATACAGCTCTTCCACGACCTTACACTTATCAGCCCAAGGCATCTCACCATTGGACGGATCAGGGTAATCAATATTCATAGCAGAGTGCCCATCGTATCCATGCCACGAAAAATTCTCAAAGACAGCCAAAGAGTCCTCATAACCCCGCGCCTTCAAGTAGTCTTTAGGCGGATTGGGGTTTCCCGTGCGAGCAAAGGCACCCCACATGTCTTGCTGTAGGTTGGTGTGGCCGATATCAGCAGGTGTTCGAATTGGCTGATCGAATATATAGTAGGAGCCGAAGATCTCGTAGAGATCACCTGAATGGCAACGGTAGTAGAGCGTGTCTGGTTCTCCGATGGGGAAAGTGCAGGTGCCATATGGATCGTAATATGACAGAGCATAGGCTCGTAGATTATTATAATAGTAGCTACCATGGATGTTAGCCGAGCTTCCAGCGCGCGGGCATGAAAACTTACTAGGACTTGAAGGACTTCGCTTCGTAAGCGGCTTTGATGAATTGTTGACCGGGACACGTTAGGTGGACTGTAGTGAAGGCATTTATTGTGCTATTGTCTGTGATGGTGTTAGAGATGTAAAGTGATGACATGGTACAGACTCACAAGCATTGATTGGATTTGAGCCGTTGTTCCACTGGCCTGACTTCTCAACTAGTGCGGGCCAGTCTTCGGGATATTGGGATCCAGCGAGAGAGTAGAGCGTCGCATTAAAGTCGGTAGCATTCTGTAAAATAGTTGTTCCCAATAGGCTTGGCTATGTTAGACTTCGCTCCCCATCTAACCTGTCAGGTTGCACTCACGATTCTCCCTCCTCGGGCATTGACCCAGACATGAAATGAATTTTGTTCAGCTGACCATTTCGAGCAGCAGCAACAGATTGGTTGGCAATCCAAATACCATCAATTATAGCACCCTCGTCGTAATTGTCGTACCCAGAGCCGACATTGAAGGTGATGTTGTTCATAAATTCGTCAAGACTCAAACCCCGCAGGCAAGAAAGACGCTCGGCGCCGATGGCATCTCCACATACAGCTGCTACAGCGGGAACTAAAGAGTGTCAGATCATGGGTATAGGGAGAGAGGGATGAGAAAAATACCTGTCACATTGACGACCTCCTCTTGAGTGAGGACAGGCCCAAGAGCAGCGCTGTGGAGGATCGCCGCATGAAAGAGACCAGCCGCCTTGGGCGATCTGACCATGTTCATAACACTCTCTCCTCCTGCGCTTTGGCCGAATACAGTCACTTTGTCCGGATCCCCGCCAAACGCTTTAATGTGATCCTTGACCCATTGTAGTCCGGAGACAATATCCGCAATGCCGTAATTGCCGTCAACATAGCCATCATTGAAAGAGATGTCTCCTATAAATAAGAAAGTTAGACGATGTCATAAGATTAAGGATTGGTGTTAGCGTACCAAAGTTGCCACCACGCCAATTGATGCTGACAAGGATCACGTCGGAACGAGAAGTCAAACTGGCACCATCAGAAGTGGGATCAGTAGCAGTGCCTCCTCCACCGTGCAGCCAGAACATGACAGGCTTGAGCAATTCACTCTTGGGATTCTCGGTCCCTGGCAGGAACGGAGTAAAAATATTCATCAAAAGGCTGTTCTCAATCATCAGCTCTTACCAGTCAACTTAAGGTATACTACTCACCATGCCTCGGAGTTACCCCAAGGGTTGAGACCATATGAGTTGCCATCGAAGTAGCCATAGTCGGCCGGGCATGTTGGACCATCTGATTATCGAAGCTATTAGCACAAATATTTTTCAAAAATCGAGGCTTGGGTTCTTACAGGTAGTGGCATTCATAACATAATCGGTCTCGTTCGTATACCACTGGATAGGATATGCAAGGCGAAGATCACCGACTGGCTGGAGCATATATGGAATTCCGAGGAAACGGTATGTCATATGGTCACGAACACCCATATAAGTAGTTCCATTGCTAGAGACATTCGCCTTCGGGAATTGGTAGAAAGGTGTCTCGACTGCGTCAACCAGAGGCGCAGTGTTGGTGCAGATAAATTGACGATCTCCCTTCTCGCTAGAAGAAGAGCGTGTCCAGAAGTTCCTTGAAGATATAGAGCCGAGGTAACTTTGGTATTGTAGAGAAAGCTTAAATCTTGAACGAGATTTGTTTCAGTATAGGTCTCTTAACAAAATGAAATCTAGAAAACGTGTAAACCCACTTGTCAAGATCCGATTCCTTTATCAAGCTCTCGCCATGCTTAGCGCATATTGACTCAGCCTCTGTTTTCGAGACAGGATCGAGAAATACTATAGCGCTAGGAGTTTCGGCATGGGCCTGTACGAGTCAATTTTCTTTTTACTTGGGCATTGGTGGCATTGGTAGGTGGAAGCACTAACGGTCCAGTTCCCATTATTATGGTATAATATAGCCGAGCGTGGCGTAACGGTAGATTGGGATTGGGTATGTTGAACAGAAATGCCTAAAGCACTGGCTTCTGCAATGGCCAGGCTCATGAGGAGCTTTCGTAAAATTGGACCCATTGTTGCTCAGCCCGTGGAACCTTTGGTGGGGTAGAGAAAGAAACGAGGGAAATGGAGGAGATAAGGCATAATAAAGAAAACATGAATCCATTTGCGGTATCTGTTCCCGATTATCCGGCGATATTATGTGGGGGTTAAAGCCGGATTTTTATCTCCGTATATACAAGGTTCCCCCCTGGTAGTGCCACTTTTGTGGGGGTTCCTTGGTGTCCCACAAAATCTTATTCTTCCCCATGGGGAAGAGGGGCCTTCGTCATGGCCGTTGAACTTGGTATTTGCAACTCCTATGCTAACTCAATTAACGAGGTTCATGACTCTAAAGCCCGGACATATTTGATGTATAGCTTTTTTCTCACTTCTTTACTTAATTGCTCATAAATGGCCAAATTCGAAGCTTCCACTGCCATTCTCCCCTCATCCCACAGACCTATTTCGGTTAAGGCTGGACACAGATCAAGCTTCAACCCCGGACAGAAGGATTGAAACCTCCGCACTTGATGAGACGCGGGGAAAAGATTTATCCAAGTGGCTGACGCCACTACACTAAGAGGTACTAAGACCTTTATTAGCTGCAGCCCGTAAGCCTAAACTGGAATTTCCATCTGAGCTCTCGACGCCTGCTGTGAACTTTTCATGAAACTTCTACCGATAGCTGTATAATTTGAATGACCAGGTGATGAGATGGAGCATGTCCTGGCGGAGATTACAAAATGCATTTTTGAGTATACGGATTTTAAACAAGTTCCGTGCGCAAATCCTTGCCTATATAAGAATCTTGTCCGACCCCTTCATGTATAAATCAGATCAACAAATTGCCATTCGCCTGTTCTCGCAATCACCTCTCTCTCTCTCTATTACCCTTCTTTGAATCCAATCCTCCTAGGATGGTTTCCTCAGCTTGGGTGTGGGGTGTTGCAGCTTCGGCAGCCATTGTCCATGCTGCAACCCTTGATGATGTCTGCACAACTGCCTATGTACAGGCCGCCCTTCCCTTGGATGTTCTTACTGGAATCACTATCGATTCCTCATCCGTCGTTGTCAGTGCGACGAAGAACTATTCTTCCTCCAGTGGTGACTTCTTCGGCGCTGCTACTTTCGACTACTGCGGTGTCCAGCTTGCCTATTCGCACGATGGCATTGACGATGACCAGGTTCTGTTGATGTTCTGGCTCCCCGCCCCAGACAAGTTCCAGAATCGCTACCTCTCTACTGGTGGTGGCGGTATGGCCATCAACAGTGGTAATTCATCCTTGCCCGGTGGAGTCATGTACGGTGCCGTCGCGGGAGCCACAGACGGCGGATTTGGCAGCTTTGACCTGGATGAAGATGATGTTTTCCTCGCAGCCAATGGAACAATTGACTACGAGGCTCTGTACATGTTTGGATACAAGGCTCATCACGAGATGTCCGTTATTGGAAAGCAGTTTACTCGCAACTTCTTCGATATGGCCGAGAGCAAGAAGCTGTATGCCTACTACCAGGCTTGCTCGGAGGGTGGTCGTGAGGGATGGAGTCAAATCCAGCGTTACGATGACTGGGATGGTGCCGTTGTCGGTGCTCCCGCTTTCCGATACGCCTTCCAACAAGTTCAGCACCTCTGGTCTGACATGGCTATGAAGAACGAGGATTACTACCCTCCCCCTGTGAGCTGACGAAGATCCTCAACTTGACAATTACTGCTTGTGATCCGTTGGATGGAGTCACCGATGGCGTTGTTTCTCGCACGGATCTTTGCAAGATCCACTATGATCTTGACAAGACTATTGGAGAGGAATATTACTGCGCCGCTACAAGTGGCTCTGGCTATGGAAAGAGAGCTACCACACCTGCTCAGAGTGGCAAGGTTTCCGCCAAGGGTGTGGCAGTGGCCAAGGCCATTATCGGTGGTATGAAGGACAGCAACGGCAAGCAAGTCTATCTTTCTTACCAACCATCCGCAACCTGGTCTGATGCGGGAACTACTTACAACTCCACCACTGATTCCTGGGAGCTGAGTGTCAGCGGCATCGGTGCAGATTGGGTTGACCGTTACCTGGACCTGATTGATAGCGAATCATTGTCTCTTGATGGTGTCACCGAGGATACGCTGAAGACCTGGATCTACGAAGGATGGCAACGATACGATAGTGTTCTGCAGACCACCTGGCCCGATCTCTCAACCTACCACGGTGCCGGAGGTAAGATTCTCCACGTCCACGGAGAGTCCGACTTCAGTGTTCCTGCCGCGTCATCCGTGCGCTACTGGGAGTCTGTCCGCAGTGTCATGTATCCCGATTTGTCCTACACCGCGAGCGCTGCCAAGCTCAATGAGTGGTACCGCTTGTATCTGATTCCTGGTGCTGGTCACTGCTCTCCGAGCACGGATCAGACGAATGGTCCTTTCCCACAGACTACCCTCCAGGTGCTCATCAACTGGGTTGAGAAGGATGTCACCCCGTCTACTCTGCCTGCTACTGTTCTGCAGGGCTCGGAGGAGGGTAAGAGCTGGGAGCTTTGTGCCTGGCCTCTTCGTCCTTTGTGGACAAATAAGGGCACCAAGTTCGAATGTGTCTATGATCAGGCTTCGATTGATACTTGGCACTGGGATTTGAATGCTTGGAGCCTCCCTGTTTACTAGATAAATATCTAGGCTTGCTCATTAATCCGCCTCTGGGTACCTTTATATTTTTATCAATTTGAACCCTACTCGCATCCACAAGACGATGATAAACCGGCTTACTGTAGGCTAATTTGTATCCGCTTCATCGTTTCGCTTGGGGAAAAGGCGTTCAAATCTTGTTCTAAAGATAGAGTTGAACACCGAACACATCTTAGCGCCCAGCTAGTCACCTGATAATAAGATTGAGAGCTCCGCCTGGGGACCTTCCCTCTACCCCAGAAACTAAAGTGTTAGCTATGGCATCTATATCGTTCGGTGACGAAAACCGCGGTATGCAGGTGGGAGTCAATAATGGATCGATCCATCTTCCTCCGGGTACGTTTCACAATACCCTTACCAATCTGAAATTGACTAATGATCGTTGATCTAGAGCGACTGGAAACCCCACCAGCCCCTCTATCGACCGTCCCGTTTCGCCGCGACCCAGACTTTGTCAGTCGCGACACACTGCTCGATGAGATACATAGGAAGATCTCAGCCCCCAGTTCTAGGGTAGCGCTTGTGGGCATCGGCGGTGTAGGGTGAGTGTAAGGAGGTCAGTGAGTGGGTTTAGTGCTGACGATCGACAGGAAGTCACAACTTAGTATCGAATACTCCTACCGAGTTCGATACCATTCACCATCGACGTGGGTTCTTTGGATCCACGCAAGTAACGCGGCTCGGTTCGAGCAAAGTTTCCGGGATATCGCCGAGCAGACCAAACTTTTCGGGCGTAAGGACCCCACAGTGAATATATTCCAGCTAGTCGAAAGCTGGCTCCAGGACGCGAAAAGAAAGTGGCTACTGATTCTTGATAATGTTGATGATTATGGGTTCCTTCGCCAGCCGGCAACAGGTCAGCAGGGTCTAGCGGCCGGCCAATCCAACCTCTCGACAAAGCCACTATTAGAATTTCTCCCCCGAAGCTCCAATGGATCAATACTTATCACAAGTCGGAACCGAGAGGTGGCTTTGAATTTGGTCGATCACCAGGACGTCATTCAAGTCCACCCAATGGCAAGGCCCGAGGCGCTAGAACTTCTCCAACGGAAGGCCGGACTACCAGCAGCAACCCCCGATAGTTTAAATCTAGTGGAAGAACTAGATTTCATGCCATTAGCGATCATACAGGCGGCCGGCTATATCACACATCGAGCGCCCCGCTGTTCGGTATCACAGTACCTCGAAATGCTTCAGAAGAGTGATCGCGAAGCGATAAAGCTTCTTGATTATGAGGCTGGCCATCTCTACCGAGATTGGGAGGCAAAGAATTCGATCCTGGTTACGTGGCAAATCTCCTTCAACTATATTCGGCAAACACGACCGTCCGCAGCTGATTTGCTCTCACTTATGAGCTTTTTTGACCGACATGGAGTCTCACAGGATCTTTTCCGAGTTCAACGCGAGACAAAAGCCGACGATTCGAGCTCAGAGGAGATATCGTTGGAGTACATTGACGATGGTAATACGGACAGTCCGTCTGAACCAAACATGGATCATGATTTTGAGGTTGATATTTCAATGTTAAGAGACTTTTCATTCATTTCGGTCAACAAGGATAGTACAGTATTCACAATGCATCGGCTAGTGCAACTTACTGTGCGTGTGTGGCTGAAAACTGCCCAACAGCTAGAACAATGGAAGGAGCGATTTATCATGATCCTGTGGCAAAGGTTTCCAACGGGTGAATACGAGAATTGGGTACGTTGCCAGTCGCTCTTTCCACATGTGAAATCAGCCATATCACAACGACCAAGATCCCAAGACTCACTAGAGAAATGGGCTACGCTGCTTTATAATGGGGCATGGTATGCGCAAGCAAGTGGAAATATTGCCGAATCAATAGAAATGGCATCTATCTCGCGGACGGAAAGATTATCCATGTTTGGCTTAGAGAGTGAAAAGACCCTGGATAGCTCTGAGATGTTAGCGGCCGCTCACATATCAGGCGGGCGGTGGGACGAGGCGGAGCAGCTCGAAGTACAGGTTATTGAGACTCGCAAAGCGAGGCTTGGTGCCGACCATCCTGACACGTTGACGAGTATGGCCAATCTGGCGTTGGCGCTCTGGAAGCAAGGCCGGTGGGAAGAGGCAGAGAAGATCGAGGTGCAGGCTATGGAGACTCGCAAGACAAGGCTTGGTGCCGACCATCCTGACACGTTGACGAGTATGGCCAATCTGGCGTTGGCGCTCTGGAAGCAAGGCCGGTGGGAGGAGGCAGAGCAGCTCCAGGTACAGGCTTTAGAGACTCTTAAGACGAAGCTTGGGGTCGACCATTTTGACACGCTAGCGGTCATGGGCAATCTAGCGCTAACTTTCTCGAACCAGGGCCGGTGGGAAGAGGCGGAGAAGATCGAACTGCAGGTTATGGAGACGAGCAAGATAAAGCTCGGCGCCGACCATCCTGACACGCTGGTGTGTATGAGCAAATTAGCGTTGGTATATAGCAAACAGGGCCGGTGGGAAGAGGCGGAGCAACTCGAGCTGCAGGTTATAGAGACGAGTAAGATAAAGCTCGGTGCCGACCATCCTGACACGTTGACGAGTATGGGCAATTTGGCGTCGACACTCTGGAACCAGGGCCGGTGGAAAGAGGCGGAGCAGCTCGAGGTGCAGGTTATGGAGACTCGCAGGACAAAATACGGCGCCGACCATCCTGACACACTAACGAGTATGGGCAATTTGGCGTCGACATATAGGAAGCAGGGCCGGTGGGCAGACGCGGAGAAGATCGAGCTGCAGGTTATGGAGACTTTCAAAACGAAGCTCGGGACTAAACATCCTCAAACGCTGGCGAGTATGGGCAATTTGGCAACTACATATATGAACCAGTGCCGGTGGGAAGAGGCAGAGCAGCTCGAGGTACAGGCTTTAGAGGCTCTTAAGACGAAGCTCGGCGCCGACCATCCTGATACGCTAACGGTCATGGGCAATCTGGCGTTGACGATCTCGAATCAAGGCCGGCTGAAAGAGGCGGAGCAGCTCGGAATGCAGGTTATTGAGGCTCGCAAGACGAAATTCGGCGCTGGCCACCCTGACACGCTGACGAGTATGGGCAACCTAGCGACGACATATTTGAATCAGGGTCGGTTTGAAGAGGCAGAACAATTATTTGTGCAGGTTATAGAGACTAGCAAGACGAAGCTCGGCACTGACCACCCTTTCACGCTGACGAGTATGGTCAACCTCGCTTGCACATTTCGCTTATCGGGTCAACGCAAAGCCGCTTTGCTGTTGCTGGCCGAATGCGTTCCACTTTGCGACCGGAAACTAGGCCCTGACCATCCACACACTATGTGTTACAAGTCCCTCCTCAATGAATGGGGTAAGGAGGATGGCTCTCCATCTTTCAAGTTTTTTAAAGCGCCGACTGAAACCAACGATGGCCAACGTGGGTGGCGCAACATCTTTTCGCGCCTCTTCAGCAGAGAATAGAGCTTCACCTTGTGCAATTGCCATGGAAGAAACCTTCTTTTGATATATAGAAAGACAAGGAGATCAGCAAGTCTTATTATCGCAAAGAGGATGCCCTCTTTCGTTTACGATAAGCAATTGGACATGATGCTCAGAATATCCAGTCTTAAAAGCTGTGCATGTACTTGGCTATGAGTCACTCAATGTAGACAACCAATTACAAAGTTATCAGATATACCACCTCCAACTTATAATCACACCTTAGCCAGTTCAAGCGAAAGCTCATAAAGTCTCTTCGCCTTCACCTCATCATAAACCCACGCCGCATAGCCCGGGACAAGCAACCCATCACCCTCCTTCAATGGCCCGATAACTTGACAATTTTCAAGAAACTTACCACCCTTCCCCTCCAAATCCTTCGCAGTCGCCGCCCAAACTGTAGTAGCAGCGCCCTGTTCAGGGGACTTCCCGGCCTCCACAAGACCAGGCATAGACGACCAATTCTTAGCAAGTTCTCCCGGAACATACTTCTGAAGCCCACTAGCAATACTGCCAGGATGCAAACTGTACGCATGCAGCCCACTAGCCCCGTACCGTGCATCAATCTCATTCGCAGCCCAGATCATAGCCGTCTTGCTCTGACCATACGCCTTCCAGGCATCATATCCCTTTTCGAAATTGTAGTCATCAAACTGGACCTCGCTGGCGCGATGGCCGCTAGACGATACCATGATAACGCGGGAACACATCTCGGCCGAGGCAGATGCAATAAGTGTATCCTTCAGCAGCTGGAAGAGAAGGAAATGGGCGAGATGGTTCGTTCCAAATTGAGTCTCGAAGCCATCTGCTGTTCGGCCTTCAGGTGGGATCATGACACCGGCGTTGTTGATGAGGATGTTCAGGGTTGAGGACTTTGACAGGAACTCGGCTGCACATTTGCGGACGCTTGCGAAGGATTCAAGGTCCAGCTCTAGCAAGTGGATGTCGCTTTGTTCGCTGAAACTGCCTAACACAGTGCGTGCCTTGTTCAGGTCGCGTGCTGTGAGGTAGAGGGTTGCGCCTGTTGTGGATAGTGCTTTGGCTGTCTCGATCCCGATTCCTGAGGAGCAGCCGGTGATGAGAATGACCTTTCCAGTGAGCTTTCCTTCTAGGTCCTCATCTTTGATGATTTGTTGGGCTGTTGGGCGGGAATCGCCAGGTCCTTTTGGGGATACATGAGCTGCGGCGTACTTCGAGTTCATTGTGGTTGATGGCAGGAAAAAAAGTTCGAGATGGTTGTGGTGAGTAGATTTTGGCAGATTATGTTCCTTTTATGTGTCAGATTTCGGGGGAAAGAACGGTATGGGGACTGAAATAGATCTCCAAAGTCCGCCGCCACAAGCCGCGCGATGAAGTTCATACTTAGCCATGTGGATCACTGCTTCCATGGTTCAGGGTAAAAATCGGTAATATTCGGCCGCTTTGGTGGCTTTAAAAGATATGAAATGAAATTGCAGCCATTTACTAGATCCAGACTTGTTCTGGTACAAGATAGTAACTTTGCGGGCAGATGCGGCCTGTACGCGGCCGCAGGACGTCCTCGAAACACACTCAAGCGGCCGCATTGCGGACCCATCTAAGTCTCGGTCAATCAGCGTTTCCTTGAAGTATAAGGCGGAGTGGACTGTAACTTTAGTATGGCAAAGGTTCTAAAGTTAGGTGGGATGGTGCTGACAGTCAATTTCGATCTTTTTCTGCGTCGAATTTTTCTTTTTCTTCCTTGCTGGCTTCCATGTCCAGTGCTGCCCGGCAGCAGGGTCGAAGAAAAGATGATCATGATCCGTGGGTTCGGCAAAAGGATCAAACAGATCATTTCCAGGATCCTCACCTTCGTTGACAACACTCTTTGCATTTCCCTCCTGTGCTTCAACAGTGTCATCGATGGACAATACCGAAAACCTATTGCTGAAAACAAGTTGCTGACGATCTTTCTTCGTGATAGATGAAATTGCCCTGGCGCGCCACGCTCTGCCTCCAAACGAATTGAAAGCAATTGTTAGGCCAACCACCCACCGTCGATGCATATCATTGTGGTATTGAACGATTGGATCTGTGCTTTTGGCAGTTGTGTGCTGGTAATCCTGGCATGTCTTTGTTCTGTCATTGATCACCCTTTCGAAGAGCATTAGAATTTTGTCTGGGACCGGTTTTAGGTGCTGCCCGATGAACGCTGCCAGCGTCTGGACTTCAAAGCATGTAGGCTTTGGTGTTCGCTTCTCTAGTATCGCTTTGACAGCAGAGGAAGGATTATCTTCGAGAAGGTTGGTGGCAGTCTTGACGATCCAGTGGAAAACCTCGTTTTGTTCGGTGTGGTAGCGAAGCTGATAACAAGGTTGAGCGGCGTTAGGAGGCATGGTGAGGGTTTGAGGCTCTGCTATCCGTCATGATTCGGCATTTGGAGAAAAAACATTCATCTACATCCCGTGGAGGTATTTCAGTCAGCGAGACTTATAAATTGTAGGGCTATATCTAAATTCTGTGAATGCATTTTCAGGTAGCGAGAACAATAAGTCACAGGTCTTCATCATAACTCCCGCGAAGGTATTACAGGCAGCGAGACTAATTACTTGTAGGCCACCGTCTATCCCGTGAAGAGATTCCAAGTAGCGAGACCAATAAGTCGTCAGGATTAAGTTTAATGCTAAGAGTTCGGGGTACCCTACACCAGATACAGCCGCAATGGTCATGATACATTTGTCTATCGTGAAATCGTTACTCGTACACCATACATTAGTAAAATCATGTAGAATTTACACCACGCAATGCCTGTGCTCAACTCTTCAAATGTATGGTTATTTTTTGCCTGTGCCCAAGATCAAAGCGCGAGCTTGGCGAGCATCTGTGCCGAGGACAGTGATGAGATATTCGATGCTAGCTTCAGACGCAAGCCGACGTTTCTCATCCTGGAATTCCTGCTGACACTTCTCCCAAATCGCAGCTCGTTCTTGGGGTAGGACTGTCTTCACGCGAACCTTGAAACTCGCACAGACAGGCCGGTGATCGGAGGCACGGACCTCGAGGCGGCGGTAGTCGAGCTGTTTGACGCGGCCGGAGCCTCGGTAGAGGACGCGATCGCACCAGGCGGGGGAGCGTTTCTTCTCACTTGAATCGTATTCGTCGGAACCGACGTCATATTTGTAGGTTGGTGCAAATGTGATTGGTGCTTCAACGAAGCTGCGTAGTCGGAACCCTGGGTTCTTCCGTCGGGAGGCTAGGAGTTGATCGCGCTCGAGGAGCTTGGTGAGGTTATTTTGGCGAATGGCGTTAATTATGACGTGGCGGGGGATGGAATCGATCCGGTAGTTCAGGTCTCCATTCAGGATGCACACTTCGTGATCCATGATCATGGATCCATCACCACCGCTTGCATACTGATCACTTCGTGCTGTGGAACTGCTCTCCGCGGGTAAGCATTCAGCTTCAAGGATGGCTGCAATATCATTGTTACGGTGCGCGGTCTGTGTTTGACCGGCAGCCAGGTGGCAGTTGACAAAGCACATCGAGCTATCGTCTAGAACGAAACGACATATGAGAGCACCCTAGATTGGTTGGTTAGCCACTTTGCACAGTCCGGACGCATATACACTGCACTAACCTTATTACCGTGCATTCCACCCATTCCTCGCTTAATCTCCGATGCGCAGACGCTCTTGATGTTCAGGCGCTCCTTGTGCTTGACAAAAATACAGGTGAAGAGTCCAACCATGTTGGAAGTGTGAAGAAGAACATAAGATTCTTCGAGAGGCATGCACTCGTGGACAGTTCGGGTCAAATGATCTACCCAGACTCGATATTGCCGGCTCATATGCTCCTTCTCGCCGTTCTCTTTCTTCTTGCTACCAAGCAACAAGCTCTCTGATGTCAATGTTAGTAAGATAGCATGGCAATGGGATCGTTGATACGTACTAGCTGTAATCTTCTTATTTTCAAGATCCACCAATTCTTGAAATCCAAACACCACAATGTCTGGAGGGTCTTCTGGACGAAGCGCATCTTTAATGAATTCCGAAGTACGCACGCTGCCAGGAGTAGCAGCACCAGCATTCCATGTGAGAACAATGGTTTTGAGTTCCCTGAATGTGCAAAACTCTACATCCTTGTGTTCCATGCGAGCATCTAATATTGTTAGAACATGAGAGTCCGTCGAAACGTTCATCAGGAGCACTAGCTTACCTAACCAATCATCCTCTAACATGCCATCCCAGAGGCGAATGCAATTGTCGGTGCCAAGTGACGTTACTTGCAAACGGTTCATCGTCCAAACACTGCTCGTGTCGAGCACAAAAGCAGAAACGGGACTAGCATGGGCACGCCAGTCCTTCTTCACAGTCCAGGGGTTCGTCCTGACATCGTAGACGTACATCATACCCGTTTTATAAGCTGCCCATAGATAGTCTCCAACAAAGCCAAGACAATTGATCTTGTATACGCTGACATTAACTACTGCCAAGCAAGTGAAGTCGGTCGCGGAGTAGACAGTTACTTTGCCGTCTGCGTGGCCTAAGTAAACTCGGCCGCCATCCTTGGTGCTATAGGCACCAGAGGTTACGTCGCCTGAATGCTGTAGGCCTATCGGCCGTTTGAAAAGCTTGAATGAAGTATCTTCTCGGGCGCTCGGGCGGTAGATGTAAACATCTTTGCCAGTCGCCAGCAAGAGCTTATCATCCACAACTATGGAGAAGGTATGTCCCCGTGCTACTCGTTCTTGGGGGCTATGATAGCTATAATGCAAGTTTGGCGTGCCAGTCTCATCTGGCATCCACACCAGCAGCCGACCCTCATCGTCTAGAGTCCACATTTCCTTCTTGTGGCGTAAAATCTGGATGACTTCTCGACGGGAGGGATAGGCGCGAGTGGCCACAATACATCGTGACAGGATATCAATCTCGTGTAAGTCGCCAGCACTGGTACCGACCCAAAAGCGTTGACCTTCTTCTTCGAGCGAGTTCCCCGGCTTAAAAGCGATTGACAAACACTTCACAGTCTCACCATGGCTCAGGCTCATGACCTGCTCACCAGTAGTGAGATCCCACACACGAGTTATATACCCAGTGGTGCAAACGTACTTGCCGCACACGTCGATCAAGCGAGTGTCGTATTTGGTGGGAATTTCTATTGGGCCAGTTCTGAGAAGTGGAGGACGCCTATTTGCTTGTGAGGCATCAGGATAATCAGTCCGTGAAATTGCGGGCTCATCGGCCACCAACTCCTCTTCTTCTGTATCTGTCCGCACAACTACTCGACGTTCTTGAAGCGAGGATTCACGAGGCAAAGACGGTACTCGTTGAGACTGTTGTCGTTCAGGAATGCGCGGGGTCTGAGGCTCAGGAGTATGATGATAAGATGGTGCAGCACGAGGAATTGGCGTGGCTTGGGCCGGGCTGGCCACAGGTGGAAACTCTCGTGAGGGCGAAGGCCCCCTTCGATATGGATGAGCTGAAGTTGGTCTGGGAGGAAGGCCAGGCCGATCATAGGGGACGTCGCTAGCGCGAATTCGTTGGGCGGACAAAGGTGGAGCCGTTGAGGAGTCTGGATAAGCAGAAGACGTGGGTGGAATTTGTACCATCAATGGCTTTGTGGCTCGACTGGGCTCGGGACCTGGACGGGTCCGGGCGAGATTCGACTCCTTTGGATCATATCTAGCGTTCAGAGTTTGGCTCTGAAGTCGTCCATCAAACGACCGGCGGGTGAAAGGTTCAGCTGACGGCCTTGCAGGAGAGAGTCGTGGGGCAGGTTTCGTAGCAGATGATGGCTTGGGCGAAATTTTTTCCGGGCTACCCGGTGGAGTACTGAATGGCGATACAAGGTCATCAGATGATACCTTTTCCGGCTGTGGAGCCAAAGAGCTTGTATCGGGATGGGAAAGCATAGCGGGCTTTGCTGGAATTTTGGGCTTCTCTGCGCGGTTCGCCGGCGGTGGCAGTGAGGCGCTTTTAAGTTTTCTATCCAGTGGACTTCCATGTCCGTTCACAGTGGATAAATTAGGTGATAGTCCATGCATAGTCTCCGTCATCGGAACAGAAGAGCCAAGCTTTGTCGGGGTTATTGGTCGACCTGCGGGGGCAGGGGAAACGCCCGCAGATAGAGACCCCCTGGAGAGGTGAAAATAGCCCCGAGCATTCCTTTGATCATCTTGACTAGGCGATCGAAGCTCTCTTTGCTGGCCACGTGGTGGCGATTGAGGAGCATGGACAGCCAAGGTAGGCGGGAGTTGAGGCGATGATGAATGCTGGAAATTCATAGAGATGGGCCGGCCATGTTGGCTTTGACTTCCGGGCGATCCACGAGGCCGGAAAGGCTGGCCATTGGATTGGTATTGGTCATTGCGACGGCCCAACCTCTCTTCACTAGGCGTATTCCAGTGAGAGTCCGGACGAGGTAAGTCCAGGGAGGCGCGGGTTGAAGACCGAGGTTCGTCGCCAGGTTCGGGGGTCCTTAGAAAGCGGCTTGAGGATTCATGTGAAAGGGGCCCGACTGTTGATTTTGTTTTGCGATGCGAAAGGCCCTCAAAGTGGGACAACAGGGAGGATACAGGTCTCTGTTATTGCGTTAGCCTGCCGCGTGGCCCATACATAAGGCAAGTTGCGAAAACATACAATGGGAGCACTGTCAGAGTTCTCCGGCCCGTTGGCGTTTCCTTCCATATCCATAAACACAGATCCGTCGCCTAGACCAGCTGGGAGGATCGATCATAAGCGTTGGACGTTGGTGCCTAGAGGTCTTGCCGGAGCGATGATGTGGAATAATGGCGTATGAGGCTTTCGCGGGGGAATGAATTGGAGAGTACCAGGGATGCGGTTGGAGAGCCAGGAGAAAGACGAGGAAACCACAGATTATAAGCGGCGCAAAGGCCGAGAAAACAAAACAATCGACCTTTCTCACTGGGTCATAGGAGTAGTAAAGGAGAGAAACGGCGAAATGGTTGTGGCGGGGAGGAAAGTGGAGGATCACGGGAGTGGCAGATCAACCGGTTCCTGCGCAACCTTCTTCCCTTTTCGAGCCGCATTGTCTTTGACGCCTACGCAAGACCTGATTTCACATTCAGCACCATGTGGTAAGTCCTCCTAGCCATGCCCTCTGGTTTAGAGTCACCTTCAGCTTCATATCAGGGGTAAAAACCCATGGACTAACACCCCACTTTGCAGTAAACACATCCTCAACGCCCAAGTGTCTATTCGCTCTGCTTGCTGTACGCGTAACGAATCCCCACTAGTTCGACTAAAAGCTCACCGTATCCTCCTCCCCAGGTCGCAAGTGGTTTGACTGTGCCGAATGTCACCAAGAACAGGAAACACATGCGCTGACGAAGGCGCAAGAAATGGTATGGTCCCTATGGGTCTCCCCTGACCACTCACCCGCGGCTCTACAGATACTAATGCCTGCAGAATAGGTATTTGCGTGCAAAAAGTGCAAAAAGTGTTTCCGCAAGGATGCCGCCGAATTTGAAGAGAAGTATGTTCCAAGTCACAAATTGCCAAGGTTGAATACTAATTCCTCTGTTCTCTTCAGTGACGAGTACTGCCCCCACTGTGACAACCATTTCGTTCTCGAGGCCTTGACACCACAGGCCAACTTGCACGTGGAAGGTGAAGATGCACGCATGGATAGCCGGTACTTTCAACCACTCTGCAAAACTGCGTCTCCACATACTAATTGTAACCTTTACAGAATGCTCAAGGACGAGCGTGTGCGCGCCGATCAAGAAAAATCGATTTTCACCTTCCGCGATATCTCCGATCGTCTTGGCTAGAGAGGAAAATCTCCGGTGTGGTTTCAATTTCATGATGTTGACGATATGATGCTTTTCTACTATAAATCCCTTCCAGCGGGCCAATCCTTGGTGATAGACCAACTCCCCCTTCCCTAGCATCAATACCCTGCATATTCTCGTTTGCGCTGTACACTACGGAGATGGAAAAGAAGTGGTGTGTAGGTATTTCGTTGTTTTGAGTTCTCGTGAAGAAAAGACCAACGCTACGGTAAATCGACGCATATCAAGAACCAGGCCCTTCAGGTGACCGGTGTCTTATGTCCTTTATTCGGCCGACTCACCGCCACCGGGCCGAGTCAGAATGGCGGCGGTGGTAGTACCTCCGCGCGAGGTCTTCTTCTTAGCAGCCTCCTCCTGCTTCTCAGTCTCAATGCTCTTGACGTAGGCCTCGATTTGGTCATCCGGCAACATCTCGACACGCTCGCCAGGAGCCATGATGGCAACCTCGATGTTCTTAGCACCGGTTTGCACCACCTCCAGCAATGACTTGATGGTGAGCTGGATAGTCTGCTCGCGGTCCATTTCCTCCTGGTGGTTGCGCTCGAGGAATTCCCGAACCGTCTTACTGGATCGACCGATGGCATTGGCTTTCCTATAAATAGAAAAAGAAAGTGTTAGAAACAAATGCTTACATAGCGTCAATCAGAATCTCGTATGAACCACCTACCAAGCTGAGTAGATACCAGAGGGCTCGGTCTGGTACAGTCGCGGTGTACCATCATTCTTGTCGAAGCCGACGACCAGTGTACTAATACCAAATGGACGGACACCACCACTCTGTGTATATTTCTGTTGCACACCGGCGATGTATTTGGTGATATATTCGATGGTGACGGGGTCCTCCACGGTCAGACGGTGAGACTGGGCTTCTAACCGAGCCTTGTCGATCAAGATGCGGGCATCAGCGTTCAGACCAGCGAAGGCCAGGCAAACATGCTCATCGACCATAGCGATCTTGGAGGGTGTAATTCGGGTATCTTGGAGTTTGAGGGCGGAGCGCTTCTCGCAACCGAGGACAACGATGTCCTTGCCTTTGACACCGACGGCGCATGTTCCTATAATACCCCAATCATCAGCACTTGATCATCATTCCTTGATAATGGTTTCTAAGACGAGGGGGTAACGCATATGGTCGTTTTGGTGGGATGATTAGGCTCTTACCTCGCTTCACAGCCTCCATGGCATACTCAACCTGGAAGACGTGCCCATCGGGACTAAAACGGGGTTAGATGATAATTGCGAGAGCTGCAGACGCTGACAAATAGTCCATACCTGAAGACTGGTATGAGTTAGCTCGGTTATTCCTGTGTCGAAGACGGGGCTAAGGGAGCTGCTGATGAGGAGCTATCTGACTTACCTGATAGAGCTCGGTCGTAGCCGGACATTGTGGCGGAAAAAGAAAGATATCAAGCTGGTTCTAGAATCCTGGGGGTATGAGAGATCTCAGTAGATCACGACAAAGGCGTGGGAGAAGCAAAGATAGCAGGGTCTTGAGCAGAGAGAGGGAGCTGGTGATGTTGCGGGAGCAATGACGGGATCTCAGCGGGCGGTGGACGCGAAAGCCTACGGTTGCCTTGGCGCTGCCGCGCGGTTGCTGAGCAGACGGACCACCCAACGTCGACTGCTCCATGGAGAACAAAGGTATGACTCCGTAAATCTAGGTTCTCTTGATCTCTAACATTTCACAAGCATCTCGAGATCGAGATCTAGTCCCCGAGGCTCCTCGATGTTTAGCAATATGCTTAAATCGCACAATGTATACAGCTCTATCAAAATCACACCCCTCAGTCTTTCCAACACACTATATCATGAGAATCAAAGTGGAATAGTCAAAAGTCTGCCAAGGTTGTAGGGATCAATTCACATAATTCGTGCCCAGACCTGAATCGAATGTTCGATTTCTATATGTCGAAGCTCCCCTTGTACACAGGTTTACTCCAGTCAAAATACAACGAAAGAATATGCGAAGGAGATAGAATCATCCAAAAAAAAGTATAGACAGAACAATCTTTTTTGTTGCATCCACAAATGCCTGGCGGATACAGTCCTCAAAGAGATCGAACCAAAGCCGGCGCAAGCGCAAAAGGAAATCCCCCAACACCCCCAACGGAGTCCGAACCATTGTATATCCCACCCGTGAGATCAATACCGTGAATTCTCCGACGCTTGCCATGACCCAACGCAGAAAGGGACCAAAGATCTAAAATGCAAAGCAGGTCGAGTGCGCAACCCAGGCTCACAATGCGTTCGCGTCCGAAACCCACACAAACAACGGTTATGTCGCTGCCATCCGAAAGACTATTAAACAAACCAAAACCAGAGAGCTTCAAAATGGAATCCCAGGGGGAGCGGGAACCGCTCAAGACCAACAAATGACAATGAAAAAAGACACAGAAAAACAAAGTTATCAATAAACCAAAAAAGCATCCCACAAAAAAACAGGACGGCGAGGCGATGAAAAAATCCACAAACCACACGCTTACCCGCCTGCTCCTTCCAACCCGATGCACCAGAACCGCAGAAAGCCCTTATACAAATGCGTATCAACGAATATCAACCAACGCATATACCTGCCACAATGCAGGGTTGCAATATGGACAACGTAAGTGTGATGTGATCGCCCAGTTCGTCGGGCTTCAAAAGAGTACTAAGTACAGTCAAATGCTTTAAGCAGGAGACTTGTTAGCTCCAGCTCCGTTTCGGCGAGAGTGAGGATCATCCGAAACAGTGAGACCGCCAAGCCCGCTCGAGAGGAAGGCGAAGGGGTCGCTGGAACCCTCGGTGCCGTAGAAGGCACCGTTGGAGGCGCTAGTCGAGGGCACACCGTGATCAGCACCAGTGAATGCCGCCTGGGTCGCTGGGTTGGCGAATGAGGCGGCAGAGTGGGAGGTGCTAGAGGAGCCGTATCCGGAGTTCACCTGACCCATCGGTGGGTAGGCAGCAGGGGCATTGCCTAGGCTGCTGTTGGGGAGTGCATAGTTGTTCGGTGGGGCACCGAACTGCTGGCTAAATCCACCAAATCCACCGGCGGTTGAAGCAAATGGAGCCGGAGCAGGTGTGCTGGCCATGGAGTTAGGACCCATCCCGAATTGTGAGGGGGGGGTCCATGGGCGAGGGGAATGCGGAGTCAGCCACAACCGCAGCGCCCGATCGAGGAGCACCGCAGCGAAGACAGTTGATGTTCTTCGCGAAGTTGTGGTAGCCGCAACCCTCTGATCCGCACTTCCAGTCACCAGCACGGAAGGGGACGACACCACCATTTCCACCCATGCCACGCGAGTGGCCCATGCCGTGACCATGGCCACTCATGTGAGGAGGCATCATGGACGGGGGCCCGTAGCCGCCGTGGCCGTACCCGTAGCCCATTGGGTCCGGTGCAGCAGCCATGGCGGGGAATGAGCAACGGAAGCATGCGGTTCGGCGCTGGAAGTTGGAGAAGCCACATGACGGGCAAGTCCAGTCGCCCGGACGGGGGCGGTTCTTGGATGGGGGGAACGGTGTCAGGATCTCTGCGGCCCGGTCCAGAACTCGGCTCGAGGATGGGGAAACCTCAATTGCCTTCTCGTTAAGCGCACGGCCATTCATGCACAAACTCTCGGCAGCCTAAATGATTGTCAGAAAAAAGGAAAACATCATCAGAATATATTAATTGATCAAACGTACCTCCTCATGGGAAGAAAAGACGGCGAATCCAGTGCCGGTGGGCTTGTGCTGGTCCGGAGTTCGCAGTGTCCAGAAGGCGATGGGCCGGCCGCCAAACTGAGTGAACCAGCTCTCCAATTCAGACTGAGTGGTATCGTGGGGCAGACCGCTCAGGTGAAGAACCTTGCTCCGTTCGGCCAGGAAAGCCCGAACATCGGCGTGTGCATCCATGGGCCGAGTGAGAATCTCGGGGTGCTCATGGGGCGGCTGCGACTTGCGGATCAGGCCGCGCAGCACACGGGCCAACGTGATGGACTCCTCCATGGCACGGCGTGGCGAGGCGGGGGCCAATGCTTGCAAATGGAATGGGAGGTTGTGCTTGATGGGGGCGGAGGACTGGACGGGCTCGACCTCGAGGGCAGCGCAGATGTTGGAGAGGGAGCTGGGTCCAAAAGGCAAGGACTCGGGGTGGTGGGTTTGCCAGCGTTGATATTCGGTGCGCAGATCGAAGGTGCGAGAGTGCTGCAGGTATGCGGGCAGTACCACAGCCTTGTCTCGGGCCTCGCGGGGCAGCTGCACACGCAGATCCCACGAATCCAAGGTCACAAAGGCAAACTCGAGGTGCTTGTTGGTGAGGTGTTCCTGGGCGAAGGCATCGAATCGGGAGATGGCATCACGGAAGGTACCTGCGGAGCGGACGTGTTCCCAGGTCAGGGTGGTCAAGCTCGCTGCATTGTTAAGTCAGCCCATCGGCTCCCCAACATATCCTCGGTCATGGCTTGCGGGAAAGGGAAAAGCTTACTGCACAACGGAGTAATGGGTGTGTTAACGGGCTTGACAAGGACACTCTCTCGGTGCAACTATAGATGGAAAAAAAGGGTAAGCCGGGGTTTATTCATCTCGGAGGTAGTTCGGGTGAAGCGGGCGCAGGTGTAGAGAATGTTGGGGCGGGTTGTGTGTACCTCCTCGCAAGTCTTAGTGTCCAACAGAATCCATCCCAATTCGATCACCTCGGCGGAATCCTTGGTGACATAGACGCCATGCTCATCACAAGTGGTTGCAACGTGGATGACGATGTAGCGATCCAGCTTAGGAGTGGGTGCTGTAACGGCCGCCATCGCTGACTTGTCGCTGCCAACGGAGCGGCAGGGGAGCCCGAGTGAGGGGGGGTGGAGAAGAGAAAGGGATTGTCTCTGCAAGGAATGCAGGAGACAATGGAACACGACCGACCGGGGAGTGGTTGTCGTGGTAAAGAAGAAAAGAAGAAACCCGGGGGAAGAAGAGAAGAGGGAAAGGGGGGGAGAGAAGAAAAGAGCCAACTTCTCGAGGTGGAGTTTCGCGAAAAGAAAAGTTTCGGGTTCGCGGGAGATTACAGAAAGCTGCAACCACGAGTAAAGATGAACATGGCGCATTCACTCTTCGATTGAATCTTACTTTATTCGATCTCTAATTCCCCTGAGCATCTCTGAATTTTCCATGGTCTCTCTTCGCATCCTACGACTCCCGCCGTGCAACCCCAACTGGCCCAGACCCCGGTCCCACTAGATTTTATCTTACACAGTATCTCATCTTATGGAGATTGCTCATCTATCCATCTTCGAGTTTCAAATTTCTATATATAATCACCACAGATCTAGGGAGATGCCTACGGATTCTGGGGCAAAAACTTGCGAGCATACCGAGAGTGGATCCCTGTCAGAATCACCGAGAATGGGCCCATGCTTCCAACTTGTCTAGATGTTCATGTGGGCTTCAATGGACATTCCTCTAAAGAGTTCGACTAGTTAATTGTCATCAAGGAGAAATTTTGAAAATTACGAGTCATTTGATCCAGTAGGACAAGCATTCAAGTGAATGATTTGAGATTGAAGTACTTTGGACATCACGTGGCAGGTACCGGATTACTAAATACCATGGTTCACCAGTACATCTTCCAATGGAATATAAGAAATTGTTCTAGCCCTAGAGTATAGATGCAGTTAGACTCTTTTCATTGGTACAACAGCCCGGGAGGCAATTCAACTTAGATATGACCAGCCTCATGTCTGTTGGGTTCAGGAATCTCTTGCCCGTCTGCCCAAATGTATGTATATATTTTGAGCGCTAAGTGAACCAATTTCCGCATCATACCGTGTGCACACTGTGGGAGCAATTTGATACTATGGGCTATGTTCAGATGTCAACTCCAATTGAACTTAATCAGTATACAGTAACATTAACCTGATGGCTCATGACTACATAGCTTCGCTTAAACTAATCACTTCCATTGCTTCCAGAGTGTTGTCTCTTAACCACTTGATAGACTTACGCTCTTGAGGATATCAATTCATTGTGGTTGAAAGTCACCGTCAAATTTGGAGTAACATGGGTACATGAAAGCGGCCGATGACATGACTGGGAAAAATGTCTATTTACTGAGGTCGAATATACTGGCTATCTTATGCACGAGGGTGACATTTCTTGTACCCCTACCCCTTCCTTCTGGTCGTCAACCTCCTCCCACATCCATTAATAGTACACTTAAGGTTTACCCCAGGATTTCATCCCTGCATTCCATATATATATATGGTTTTGTGGTATCAAATGGATATCATTGCACACACAACATATCTGCTATATCTGGGATCACGAGGGTAAAGAGCCAGGTTATGTCACGCTCATATTATTGCCAAGGGGGGCGGCAACTAGGGAATGTCTGTAGCTAGAGAAGCATATGTAATCGGGAGGAGTTAATTTGCCTCAAAGCGCTAAGCATAATGGATCCATATATGGCAGGCATATTGGAAACACGATGCAATGTTCTGCACAGAGTTACAAGCCCCCTCCCTCCCTGGTATCGAACAAAAAGTAAGAATACCAAAGTGCCCCTTCTTATCTATCTCTGCGTGTTGAAGTCCGAGATATAGGACCAAGAAGCTAATACTTGAATATCGGAATCACGAATGGCAGTTGTTGTGTTTCTGATCGTTGAAAGTCTTGAATTCGCTTTGCCGTGGGTAAAAGGGGCTTAACTCTTGGGCCTAGAGATAGCAGCAGAACAGTGTAGTTACTTTCCTATTCACTTTACTACATTCAAGTCTTATTCCAGTAGTCGTGAGTCTCTAGATCTAGGCAGTAACCCGTATATCGTTGATAAAATCTACATTGCAAATGCAGTGACAAAGATAATCTAGGGGGTAAGATGCTGGTGTATGATGCAACAGTCCCCTTGAGACTTGCCTTTAAAACCAGGATGACCGCTTTTTGAGTACACGCATATTCAGATCCATAGACAGAGTGAACTTTTACCTGTAGCTTAGGTGATCTCAAAGCTCATTCGTGACTGGGATTTGACACAATGATCTCATCGGTTGGTCAGACGTGAGTATTTAGATGTACATCGCGATCAATTCCTTGTTCGAAATACGGCAAGAGATCTAGAAACAATGCTATAGACAAGTCCACTGAGACAGAAGTTCCCTATCAAATTTTCTCTTTCTGGGAAGACGCAGTCTAATAACTTGATTTCTTACCAGAAGTCACTAATCCTGTGTAATGAGCTGCGGTGGGGTGCATGATTTGGCCTGATCGTGTCAAAAAACCCAGAAAATCTAGGACTCAAAGGCTTTGATCCAATTACCAGAGCATCATCTCTGGTTGAGATACCTCGAATATCTATAAGATAGTGTGCTGCAGATTAATGGTCAATCTGTGAATAAATATAGATACGGATAGCTACCACGTCATGATCGTCGATGGATTGACCTCATGCATGATCTTCATCATATGAAACACTTTTCCTGGTGGATGTGCATTGCAACTCACTAAAAATTCTGTAAACCTTGGAATCATTATCCTATCCCAGAACAAATTGCACAAGGTATTAGACAGACTGACAGCTCTATGAGGAATATCAGTACTCAGACCGTCATACCCTTTTTTTATCTAATCTAAAATGATTTCGACCGGATATAATCATGACCCAGAATGACTACATTTTGGGCCGAAGTAATGGAAATTCAGTTAGGTTAGTAAGACACGTTTCTCTTACTTGATCTTGGGTCAAATACAAGGGCTTCATAATCATAAAAGGCGCTCATCGTACACAGAAAGGATGCACAGCACCAGCTCCGGAAAGCCTGCAAAGATTATGAGCTGCATCCCGAACTTGCAGTGGTCGAAAATATGAAGATTGCTAAGCCTGAGAAAGGAACAGCGTACGTACCAATGGAATAAAGCATCCCCCATATATAATTCTTTTCAATTCTTCAGTACTTGCAGTGAGTTCTGAAAATTGGTCAGCGTCTAGTTAATGGATCTTGCAAGACAGCTTCCGCCAACTATCGAGCTGTATGGGTTTAACATATCTGATGGCCCATTCTCATCAAAGGAGCCGTGGCCCAAGAACGTCAAGCTTAGCCTGCCGAGCTCCCTGAGTGATCCTCACGTCTTATTAGTGGAGCAATTCGTTTTTTTTTCCTTCTTCAATTTTGGCAAGCAACCTGCGAGACAGTAAAAGTCTCCTGACTATGGCCTAATAAACCAATATCTCCAAGTGCCTTTCCTTGAAGCTAACAAACTGCCTTGTAGAGCCTGGTAGATACATCCAAAAGAATAGAAGAATGTCAACTTGGTACCAGCGTATCAAAGGTATGGAAGTAGAAGGTTTTGGGCAGGATATCAATCACATGTTCAAGAAGGCTGATCTCGACTAGGGGCATGTTGTAGTAGCAAACATGATTTAAGCATGAGCCATTGACATATTCGATGTTACAGCTAAGCGTCGGATCTGCCGCGAGATGAGATTTCAGAATTCTCGAATCGGGAAACGGTTCATTCAAGCGGGAGCCGGTGCAACTCTGTACAACACTTGATGGCACCTCGTGTGGTCTTTCAATTAGCAAAAGACAATTAGCGCAGAATCTTTTGACTTCAACGCCCTGGACTGGAGGTGGCTCCCTTTCGAATTACGTTGCAGGACAAGACCGGCTTTATCTATGACTGGCCGCTTGTAGTTGTATTGGTACAAATTGCTGGCGATTGCTGCTGATTGAAACTATTGTTGTCAAACAGATAGGGATGATCTTTAAAGAAAATATACCAGTGAAGCCTCCCCTTCGTATATTTCATCCAATATGGCTAATTTGAAGTAGACTTGATGATCAACCCCCTCGGCGCCTATGGAGAGAGGGGAACACCCTACATCATAAACGCGGCTAATAGAGGTTATAAAAAGGGTATTTGATATAGAAGAAGAAAGGCATAGGCCGAAAGGGCGAGATCGTGCCCTTTATATCAGGGCCATCGAAGATCAATTGACGGCCTGATCAAGGCAATTCAAAGGTTCGGTCGGAAGATATCCGACTTGTCGGCAACTGAACCAGCGGAACCGATACGTCGCTCCTATCGCCGAGTGCGGGGTTCAATGACTTCACCCCCACGCCTACCTCCAGCGCAGGCATTGGTGCGAAAATACGTCAATCAGTGGGGGTCTTGGTAATCCCTGAAATACCGTTTTCCACGCGATTTGCAAAACTTCCTTCTGTCCCTTATTCTACGATCACATACAACCATGAAGCTCCTTTACCCCACCTCCGTCAAACTCGACATCCAAAGCCTCCAAGGCTTCTCCGTCACCCTTCACCCCTACGATGTGAAAGAGCCAATCCCGGAGGATTTGATTGACGCCGAAATCCTCGTGACCTGGTCCAACGCTGCCTCAAACCTCCAAGATGCCGCAAAGCGCATGAAGAACATCAAATGGATTCAATCTCTCGCAGCAGGCCCCAATGACGTGTTGAACGCCGGATTCGACCGTTCAAAGATCATAGTGACGACCGGTGTAGGTCTGCATGATGGACCAGTCGCCGAGCACGCGCTCGGCCTCCTCCTAACCGGAGCTCGCCGATTCTTCGAGATGCGCGATTACCAACTTCAATCTAAATGGCCCGGCCACCTTGGCGGTTCATTCCCCCGCAGCGACTTTACTACACTGCGGAATTCCCGCGTGTTGATCTGGGGCTTTGGTAGTATTGCTAAGAAGCTTACTCCTTACCTCACTGGTCTTGGTGCTGAGGTTAAGGGTATTGCTCGCAGCCATGGTGTGCGCAATGGCGTTGAGGTTTTCAGCGAAGATAAGCTTGCTGAGCTCTTGCCTCAGACTGATGCGCTTGTCATGATCCTGCCTGGGTCCGACTCAACTAATAATGCTCTGAATGCCGAGAGACTCAAGTTGTTGCCTAAGCATGCTTGGCTCGTGAATGTTGGCCGTGGAACATCTGTTGATGAAGAAGCGTTGGCGGATGCGCTGGAGAACGGTGAGATTGCGGGTGCTGCTCTTGATGTGTTCAAGACTGAGCCTCTTCCTGAGTCGAGTCGGTTGTGGAAGACGCCTAACTTGGTTATTTCTCCTCATGCGGCTGGCGGAAGACCTGAGGGTTGCACTGAGTTCATTGCGGATAACTTGCGCCGCTACTTGGCTTCGCAGCCGCTCAAGAACGTCATCTGACTAGCACGGGACAGCAAACTGTAAATAGACGATAGATGTTACGGAGGAGTTATATACTGGTCATTTCTGTTATTTAATGGACAAGACTATTGTGGATAGTCACTTTATCTACAATTTATTATTGCCCTGGGGGGGCCAATGCCAATAAAGCAGCTGGAAGTTAATAGGCAGTAAGATCTTCCATCTGTCCCATATTGAAAGTGTTCAAAAGAGGTGGTATTCCGTATAAGAGATCAATAGAAAACCATACAAATCATGTACAAACAAATCAAGCCAGTCCCATTCCCCAAATCAGTACCCATAAATCCGGACCTCAAACGAACGCCAACCAAAGAAACCAGGCATTAAGATTATCATCACGCATCAACGACTTCGTCCTTAATAACCGTTCCTCTGCTAGTATCATGGTCATCTTCATCTTCTTCCATGATACTAGGCTCCACCGAGACCAGGCCCCGGCTAGCAGCGCCACCCTCAACAGATGGACGCACGCTACCAGATCGAATCCGGCTATTATCATTCTCATCCTCGTCTTCTTCCATAATGCTGGGTTCGACGGAAACGTGGCGTCGGTTCATTCCAGAAGGCTCAACGGACCGTCGCACACTAGCGGAGCGGACACTGCCGGCATCACTCTCAAGGTCCTCTGTGCCCGCGCGAGGGCGGACACTGGCCGCACGAGCATCCTGGGCAACAGCAAGAATCTTGAGAATGGAATTCTTGGTCTTGACTAAAGCATTGCGGCTGGAGGCTTCCGCTGCAAGGCCCTCCTCAATAGTCTGGTCGAGCAATTCCTTAACTTCTTGAGCCAGTTGAATATTGTCAGGCTCGATCTCGAGAGCCGTGGCGCTGCGAATGCTTGTTCGGAATTGGTCTTCACCTTCCGGAGCACGCGATCCGGCTCGAGAAGGTAGTGTCGGAGCGGAAACGTAAAGCTTGCTCAAAAGAGAGAAAATGAGCTTGCGCTCCTCACGCGAACAACGATTAGGCCCAGCACTAATGCCCAGAACACGCTCCAGGATGTCCTTGACTAGAGCAAGGTGTGTCCAGCCACAGGCAGTTGAACTGGCCGTTCCACCGATCAAGACACGCTCGCCACCTAGGCCAACAACGCGGCGTTCATCGGTCCATTCAGCCATCATTCCCACGACACCTGTCATGAGCGCCTTGATTTCGCGCTCTCCGATACTCTCATCAACTTCTCCATCGCTGTCTTCCTCAGCTTCCAGAGAGTAGTGCTCCTCGGCAGCATTTATGACTGCACGGATCACCGGTACTGCGACGCGTCGCATGTGCTGAATGTTGTCCAACCTAGAGTGACAATACACTGGGAAAAAGTATGCTAGTGACTGTCGGAGAGCGGGATTCCCCTTTGTGCGTGGGTGGAAGAAGGCCACCACTAGCGATTGTAATAATGTCTCAACAGAGGCTTGGTTGTATTCTTGAATGGCAGGTGGAATGTTGGGTCCTGATGGCGTGAAAGTGTTGGTAAGCAAGAGCTTCGAAAGTGCAGTCGCAGCAGCGGACTGCACGCTAGGTGGTGAATTGGCTTTCAGTGCGCGGGAGAACACCTTAAGCAAAGGCTTCTGAATGGGTGGAGTCGTCACGGTCTCGCCGTCAGCCTGAGTGATAGGGGCGAGGAGTGAAGGGTGAGTAGTAACCATATCACAGATGATCTGCAATGCAGTTACTTGCAAACCCTCATGACCCTTACTGTAACAATGGATGAAAAGGGTCATATTTTCTTCGGCGAGGTTCTTGTCAAGCAAACAGCAGAGACCCAAGCACAAAATACCACGCTCTCGAATTGGAGCTTCGTGACTTCTAACGGCAGGTACAACGAGGTTGTTCAGCATGGTGACGAGATTCATGTTCTGCTGCAGGTTGCCCTCAGTATTTTGGAGCATACATTGGGCGATATGAAGACACTTCATGTTGACCACGATCTCTCGGACGATCTTGGCCTTGGCCTCTTCCTTGTTGAATGGGACCTGTTCCTCGTCACCCGGGGTCTCGGAGCGATGGCGGCTGCTGGCATCATCGCTGATCTCAGATTTTGCGGAAACGAAGCTATCTTCTGTCATAATTGTATCGTGTACCTCAGCAATAGCTTCGAGGACGACGCTGCAGAACTCGCCTTCGCCGGCGCGATCCGGGCCGCACACGCATCGTAGTGTCTCAACTGCAAGTTTGGTACAGTCTTCCGGAAGCTCTGGCACAGCCAATGACTCTCGAAGGAGCGCAAACATCTTCCGCCGACCAACTTCGTCACTGTAGTCTAGGGTGATGGCGATGTGAAGGAGTTGCTCAACGATGAACTCTTGCTCGACTGCATCGTCATCGTTTGCTTCCCCAGATTCCTTGGACAACTTCTTCCTTTGCAAGAGCTCGTTCATGTATTTGGCGAGGTAATACCCGAGCGCGGTGACTTCTGGCATCTTCTCTTCAGCAAGGCTCTCGTACTTTCCATCATTCTCGACGCGGCAGAAATCATTGAAGGATCGCAGCAGGAAGGCAGACTCCGCAGTAAGGGATTCCCAGAAGGTACCATCAAAGACCATCGCATCTCTGTAATCCGCGCGGCCTTCCCAGAAGCTGCGCATCGCTTCGTGGGCAATTCCGCTTTCCATGCCAGTGTTGGCGACATCGATTCTCTCAAGTAATTCAAGAAGAGCGTCAATTTTGGGAGGCGAGCGCTGGGCGGTCGCACCCTCTTCCTCCCCGGCGTTGGTACCGGCACAGTCTTCCACCCAGCGATCACAGAACAGCTTGCCGGTCGCTTTACGAACGCTTTCATCACGGTCTCGCAGACCCCAGCGCAGCAATTTTTCTCTCATAGATAGGGACAGATGGCGGAAATCGCCTAGCGTAGGCAAAAGTCGAGAATACAAGGTGCGTCTTGTTGCTGCATCGAGATCGCGGGCACGTTCGAGAAGATATGGGAGGGTGACTGGGGCTAGTGGAAGGTTGGCGAGAAGGTTCTTACGGACATCAGCGCTGGTATCATTCTGCATGATCTCAATAAGTTTTTCCAATAGCGCGGTGGAACTATCGCCGTTGCCATCTTCTTCTTCATCGTTGCCAGCCAATCGAGCAAGGCCTAGAACAGCCTGTACGCGGACTGATGATTCTTTGTCGCGGATTCGCTTTAGCAAGCCCTGTTGAATAGTGTGGTATAGTTCGTCGTCAATTGACTCGAGGGTGTTGACAATGTGCGCGACAATTTGGGTGGCGCGGAATCGAATCATCTTGTCCTTGGCACCCAGGAGGGGCACCATCAGGGCGACCAAACTTGAAGTCAGTCTTGAAGTCGGGGTTTCGGGCGAAGTTTGCATCTCATATTCGTCATCTGCGCTTGAGGCAAACAACTCGTTGTCTTTCTCGGACGCATGGGCGAGGAAAGCGTCCATAAAGCGGATGATACGGTCGCCGACGGGCTCGGACTTTTTGATGGGCAGGATTCGAAGCATACAACGGCCGATTTCGACGTTGAACTCCTTCTCCGGTAATGTCTCCTCTTCAGGGATCACAATCTCCTCTTGTTCCTGCTCCTTGCCCTTCTTGTTCTTTTGGGCAATTCCGCTGCAGATTTCTTGTAGTTTTCGCAAACGCACCACAAGTTTGCGGTGACCTGTAGTTGAGCGCTGCGCATCTGCAAAAATGGCACACACATCACGGCGGAGGTTAGGTGATGCCTCAGGGAGCGAGGGTTCATCTGGAATCGCAAATGACGGGGTCACTGAGGGGGCACGCCCCGCGGAAGGTTGTTGTGATGACCTGCGCGTCGGCGCGGAGGTCGAGCGGGCGGCGACTCGGCCGGGCATGGTGGGTATGTGTTATCGGGGACGCGATTAACAAGAGACAAAACGCATGGCAGGTTGCGCATCCACAGATGAAGCAAGGAAGAAAGCAAATGCGGGCGGTAAACAAACAGCCCAAACGGGGAAGGAACGATAAGCGGTCACCTGACTTCAATGTGGCTGACTCATCCCCGCTATCGGAGACCCCAAATCCCCGGTGACATGCAGCTCATTCATTGCTGCATTTTATTTGCTACTTCACGATGTTCCGTCAAAGCATTCGTCGCTTTGGTACCACGGCCGTTCGGGCTGCTGTCGAGAACAGACCTGCCTACACTTCCCGGGTGTCCACAGCGCAGGGCGTTGTCAATGGTCTGACGGAAGGTAGGTTGATAGCTCCGTTGCGGGTTCCGAAGCGATTAGCTTACAAATGCGTGTCTATGTAGCAATTGGCAACACTCCTTTGATCAGATTGAAGCGCCTCTCTGAAGAGACCGGATGTAACGTGCTGGGCAAGGCTGAATTCCAAAACCCTGGCGGTAGTGTGAAAGATCGGGCCGCACTGTTCGTCGTCGAGGATGCCGAGAAGAAGGGACTACTCCAGCCTGGGGGTACTGTTGTTGAGGGCACTGCCGGTAACACCGGTATTGGTCTCGCGCATGTTTGTCGGTCTAAGGGCTACAAATTGGTGATCTACATGCCCAACACACAGTCTCAGGGAAAGATTGACTTGCTCCGATTGCTGGGTGCCGAGGTCTACCCGGTCCCCGCCGTCGCATTCGACAACCCCGAGAATTACAACCACCAGGCGCGCAGACATGCCGAGTCTCTGAACAATGCAGTCTGGACCAACCAGTTCGACAACACTGCCAACCGTCAAGCCCATATCGAGACCACTGGACCGGAGCTTTGGGCGCAGACTGGCGGCAAAATTGATGCCTTTACCTGCGCTACGGGTACTGGTGGTACGCTTGCTGGTATCACACGTTATCTCAAGGAAGTCAGTGACGGACGCGTTAAGAGCTTCCTAGCTGACCCGCCAGGCAGTGTGTTGCACAGCTACATCCAGAGCGGCGGCAAGCTCGTCGACCGCTCAGGTGGAAGTATCACTGAGGGTATTGGCCAGGGCCGTGTGACCGACAATCTCCAGCCGGATATTGACCTGCTGGATGGTTCCCTGAACATCAGCGACGAGAAGACCATTGAGATGGTCTACCGCTGCTTGGATGAGGAGGGTCTCTACTTGGGAGCTAGCTCTGCTCTGAACGTGGTGGCTGCTAAGGAAGTTGCCGAGAAGATGGGCAAGGGCAGCACTGTCGTGACCATCCTGTGCGATGGTGCTTACCGGTACGCCGACCGGTTGTTCTCCCAGACTTGGCTCGAGAGCAAGAAACTGCGCAGCTCGATTCCCAAGCACTTGGAGAAGTACATTGTGCTACCCTAGACCCACTCAACATATGTGTAGAGATTTGACCTGAATATAAAATGTATTTTTCGACCTCCCAAGGTTTCCAAGCTTCACAAGTCTATGTAAAACCTGCCGAATGTAACTCACTGCACATGGCAAATATTTATTTCTGTTCTAGCTACCTGCAGAACTAATAGATTTGGTTCTTCTTTCCGGGATCCATGGTTAGGTATACACTGGAACCAGCCCTATACAATGCCTGCCCAAGACATATGTGCCTCAAATTTCTGCTGATAGATTCATGAATCATTGCACATGACTTGACACTCTGCAAACCAGCATCCTCATCTTCAAAGTCCCTTTTTAAATATAGGGGTTTGTTATCTTGCGCATGTGACGCTAGGCAAGCCATCGATGCGAAGGCTGTGACTCACAGACACTACCGGACTCATAGCAACCATCAGCAACGCCCGGCCCATTTGGAGTCTGCAGGTAATAATTGTTTTGCTAACTCTTGGTCTCACATCCGAATGCTACAAAGATGCGTCTTCCAGCCGAGATACTTACCCTGATCCTCCAACAGGCCGCTGAAACTTCATCAGTCAAAAGTCTCGTACGGAGGAGACTTGTAAACAGTATGCTACACATCCTACGAAAAAAAGTCTTATCTAATCCTTTACTAGGGTTTTTCGCCAGCGAAATTATGACCATAATAACGAAAGATCCAACACTTCTCGAAAACGACTGCTTCGGCTTCGAAAATCCTGATTCCCCGATACCAGGACTGAGATGGTGGAGTAGATTCCCAGCAGATCTGAAACGTCGCTATCTTCATCTGAAAGTACAGCGTCATACGCAGAATCCGTGTCTCTTCTCGAGTCACGTCCAGGAAATACTGGACCTACCAAGCAACCGAACTGCCAAGGAAACAGAAACGCTACTCGATAAAATGATTGACGTTTTTTGCTGTGTGGGGTTTCTTTCTCCTCAACATATGCTTGACTCTCAATCCCACAAATCATGCTCAGAAGGATTTCGGGCTTTCCAGCGATCTCTTTGGGAATCACCAGCCATGACTCTCCCTGTGATTCTTGCGATCAGTGCAATTATCCGCGGCGATGCTGCTGAACTAGAGTCCATTTATCTGAACACTGGAATGGTGATCAATAACAAGAGCTATCGTTTCAGCGTTATGCCACTGACAGTTGCTGCAAAAATGGGCAGTGAAGATGTCATCAAGACAATAATAAAGTGCTCGGGAAAGGACGGAGGGAGAGCCCTTCGTGGGTTCTATTGGCTTGATGTCGCGATAATATCTGCACGAGCCGGGAATCTGACAGCGTTAAAGCTCTTTACCAAGTACCACCAGGCCAATAATGATAGGACTTACCATCATCATTTCCTGGCGCAAGCGACTAGAGCGTCAGCGAGGACTGGGGAGTTAGATGTAATGCATTACTGCGTGAAAGAAAATCGTGGCTACTTCAATAATCGTGAGAACTTGTTAGACTCGCTCATACAAGCTATCAAATCCGGGCAAGTGGACATAGTGAAATACTTGCTTGACAGCGGTGAATTCGACATCAACGATACCAAAATACAGTCATGGGACTGTGGGAAGGGGGCCTTGTTCACAGTTCTTCATGATTGCCCTTCAGAAAAGAGGCCAGCAATTATCAAGCTCATCTTGGACCACGGGGCTGATCCGAACAGGATATATCCAGTTATACCCAGGACGCCATTCCAAGCAGCTGTCAAGTTAGGAGATGTCCAGTCAGCTGCTGCCTTAGTTGAATATGGAGCAGACATTCATGCTGCATCGTTGCTCCCTCCTCCTGCACTTATGATGCCACTGTTGCTACAGGCCATTGAGCACAGGTCCGCTCCCTTGGTTGAACTCTTGTTGAACAGCGGGGTTGATCAATTTTGCGACTGGAGGAGGAAAAGGTATACTGTCTATTGTGGAACAGAGGAGAGAAATCTTGACAATATTTTCTGTAAGTTAACATGGGACCAGGAAGAGGAGGAAAAGGTGGGTTATTATGTTACGGTACAGAGATTTAGTAGTCTCTAAAATGTACAGTATACGCAAAAGATAAGTTTTCCATAGGTGCTCTCTCGAGTTTCGCTAGTATCGAACATGTAGTGACTGCCACCTATACTGACTTGAGTCGATCGTTATAACATTATATCTGAGTAGGTAAATTTTGCTCCAGCAAGTTGCCTGATTGCCAAGAGCAGATGCGAAGGTGACTTCCTCTTCGGGTGGGGGAACTTGACAGGCGCTCAAACCCTTCCGTTGAGAAGTCTCTTTTTTCTCGATTTATTCTTCCTTTTGTCCCTTTCACTGAAGCATGCCAAGCCTCTATGGAATCGAATCAACCAGCACCTAGGATTTTAAATGAAAGACACTCATGTGATGAAGATAGTCCCCCGCCTTCGTACTGAAGACAGGAAGTAGGGCTATCTGAAATTCGCGCATCGACGCACACCGTCCTTGTCCTTCTGCCACCGCATTATTAAACAAATACCAATCACAATAGATGTTCAAGAAGAACGAATCTTGCACTCGCAGCTGTCGGCCTCGGGGGGTTGTACTACTGTGCAAGAGAAGCTAATGTGACTGATCCTTATTAGCCCTTTCCACAAGTGCATTCTGCTCCATAGACATCTACAAATATGTAACAGTACATGTCCACACAATACTTAGACCGCTATGTACTAGTTGTAGCTCATACTACATCGTAATCGTCATGAATCAAAGAATCAACAGCCATTCTTTTTTGATAGTGGAGATAATCCATCAAGTCAAAACAAAGCAGTCACGAGGAACATCAGATCCCCGGCAACCCACTTGTCGCACATTATGTACAGCAAGAATATATCGTACAAGAGATGTAAAGCAACCCAAACGCCCTCTATGCTTCCGTTCTATCCAAAATATTCGCCAAAGTGCCGTAAAAAAGAAGTACAGACCGAAAACAAGCAACGGAAAAGGTATCGAAACAAGCCAGCCAACGGGAGTGAAGGTGGGTGGTAGTCGAAGTCGAAGTCGAGATCAAAGGCGACATTAGGGCGAGTCTAATCATCGGAATCGGGCATGCGCATATAAGCATCAATAGCAGCACTGAAAGCTGCAAAACCGGCACAACCAAAAGCAGCAGCTTGCGGACCAGCCTTGGCACCCAGAATACCACCAGTCATACAACCAGCCGCAACACTGTTGGTCAAGTCGTTCTTCGCGCGAAGACCCTCAATACAGCACTCAGTTCCGGAGTAGAGCGCACCGACGATACCGAAGTTCTTAGCAGAGGACCAGGAGCGGGCACCCATGTCCTTGAAACCGCGGCGGACCTGCTCGCGCCAGGGGAGATCGGCGATTGCGCGTCCTTGCGGGGTAAAGGTTGAATCGTAGGACATCTAAATATTTCATGAAATGATTAGAATGGTCATGTTGTAAGATGGAGGGGTGCAGCGCGACTTACACTGGCCATGAAGAGACCGAATGCACCACCGAGACCGAAACCCATTGTACCGGAGATGACTGTCTTGACGGGGCAGGACTCCATACCGGCTTGCATCTGTTGCGGATTGTGTTAGTCAATATACTGATAGATTTGCTAGAGGGGCACGTACCATCTTAACCATCGCTTGCTCTTGCTCGTTCATGCCGGCGTTGGGGTTACCTCCCAGGCCGCCCATCGGCTGCGCCGTACCCATACCCATACCCATACCCATACCCGCGGGGTTCATGATGATTAATTCAGTTGGTTGACCGTGTGGGTTCTTTGGTGATTTATTTTCAGGAGGATGCCTGGGTGGATAGGACTTGAGGCGTAGTAAGATCCCCTATGGACACGAACCAACGGAGCGCGGAGAATCTTGCGGAGGCGGCAACTCACGCAAATTTATTTTTGCGGCGCGGCAGATCAACCAAGGTAGCAGTTTAGCACGTGACTCCGTCGGGCCAGAACGGGGTTACAGATCTATATCAAAGGTTCTACAAAATGTTCTGATGATGATGGAATGACTGTGATAAAATCTCATCAAGAAGGTAATTCGATATTTGGGTTTCTCATTTATCACTGTTTGATATAAACAAGCAGAGGTCAAGGTCAAAGAAACCAACAAAAGAACCAGACGCTCCAAATTGTATAGAGAGATAAAAAAGAAGCAACGCTCTCGTGGGTGCAACAGTCGTAGCCCTGCATAGTTTCAAGGATGCTGTGTCGTGCCAAATCGCCCAACGGAGACCCTCGTCAATGGGGCCGAAGAAGCAAATGGGGAATAATATATATATAGAAAAGAAGATTGAAAGAAAAGCAAGGCAGGACTAGTCCTTCTTGCTGCTTTTTCCGGAGGAGTTGTTTCGCTCCGGAGATGGCGAAAGACTGCGTTCCCATTCAGCCATAAGATTGGAAGCAGTACGCTGGAGCTTGGAGGGAGCCAGCTTGGTGATGACAGGCCAGGGGATGCCTTCGGTGACACTGGGATCAGGAGCGGCGGAATTAGGATTCCACTCGCCAAAGCTGCGGATCAGGCGTCAGCGTCAGCTCATGACAAGGTTGTCATAAATAAAATCAGAGAAAGTCGAAATGTACCTAGCACTGGTTCGTGGACTACTACCCTGCGTCGTGGGCGACTGGTCCGGCTTCGACTCGACAGTCGACCGACTGGACGAGGGTGTATGTTTCTTATTTCCTGACAACGGGGTATCCCAGACATCCCAATCATCGGCGGTATCATCCTCCTCGTTGGCTGGACTGCCGGAGCGGCGACCGAGCCGCTCGGATTCCTTCTCCCCCCGCGGGGTCGTGTCGTCGACTTTTTCGGAGAGGCTGCGACGAGCGCCGGGAGTCTTCTGCGCTGGTGAATCAACGCCAAATTCATGCCAGAACGAAGAGGCGATGTCCGCCGGCTTGGAGTCTTTACCAGATGTTGGCTCAGCCGCTGGCCCCCGACCCCGCGACGAAGATGATGAAGATCTTGATTTGTCCCCCGCAACCGATAGACGGTCCCGACTCCGTGATTTGGCGAGCGAATCTCGTTTCCGCGTATTCGGTGGTGCTAGCGAGTTCGGCGATGACACCGTTCGTGATTCTGTTCCGTTGATACCTTCCTCGCCCACAGTAGCTTGTCGAATATCCTCCAGGAATGTCCACAGACCCTCGCGCAGATCCGAAGCCATCTGCTTGCCGGTTCGCATAAGCGCCTCTCGAGACGGTGGAGGCATGGTCTTACGCCACTGTGCAAGCAGATGTTCCGGTACCTGACTCTCGTCGATCGGTGCCACCATGCTCGGACCAGTAGTCGCTCGTTCAACCGAGGGCAGAGTGGCGGACCGTGGTGTCCGACCAATGCGCTCAGGATCAGGAAGACCGGGGCTCAGGCCAGAGGTCAGAGTGATGGGGGAGAGAAGAGACAATGTGCGTGTGTGAGAGCCCTGGAAGACTCGCCGACCATTGGATGAAATGGTTGTGCCTGCGGGAACTGCAGGGGCAGCACGAATACTCGTACGCCGATCCAGTTCCCGACTGATTCGCTCTTGGGATATGGCCGAGCTGCCGACGGAACTCATGCTTTGTTCCCGACGGTGCGAGGTCGAACTCGGAGCCTCTGCCCCACTCAAATCGGGAGATCGAAGTGGTAGCATCGGCTCAGCGTGATGACTGATCTCAGTGCGTTTCCTCGACTTCTCTGACAACGCCCATTGTTTCTTGATCGTTGACAGGTCTGCCTCCGCGCGCTGCAGCTCCTCGCGGAGCTCCATCACCTTCCGTTCCTGAGAAGCGATGGCCCGCAGAAAGTCGTAGCCATCGTCTTGGACATCGAATGGAATGGGCGTTCCGGGGGGAAGAGCAGGGAGCCCAGGGTTTGACGACTGTGTGACGGGGGTCATGGATGCCGGCGACGCAATAGCGCTATCCGGGGTTGCGGCTGGGGAATGATTCAAAGGGAAGTGGATGGGGAGATTCAAGGTCAGGCGTTTCGCATGTCGTGCTGTGTTGTGAGCACGTGGTAGTGATGATCGGTTATTCTGCGAGAGGGATGAGGAGCGAGAAAGAGTGTGTGACTGCTCGGATACAGGCTCCGGCTGTGTTGGGGATTCGAGGGTTGAAGTCTGGGACGCATCCGGCGGTGGACCGTGGGCGAGTAGATCGCCCATTCCCGAGCTCTCCATGATGGACCAGCCAGCAAGGAGAGAAACGAATGAGTTATGTTGGAAGGTATAGGGGCATATGAACACCGAAAAAATATATACAGAGGATGGAATGAAGAGGAAAAAGGTGACAGGCGAGGTCTGGAAGTCTCCGTTCTCCTGAGAGCCCACAGCGGGTCCCTGGACCGCGCATCCTTGCCACGAGTGTTTCAGGGGCCGCCCCGAGGTACTGGCCGCTTTTAGCCAGTGATTTCGTTTCTATTTACTGCAATGCTGTAATTTCTACTTGCCTATCGATATTTCCCATAATATTACTTGTGTTTGGTGTTATGGGAGAGCCTCAGGGGTTAATGACTCGTGGGGGCTAAGAATGATCGACAGTTCAAATTGCCTAGATACGAACGAGCAAAGCCATTGGATGAATTTCTCCGATCTCACATTGCATACCTGGGCATGCTGTACATGTGCGCATTCTTTGTGTTGATCGATGAAATCATAGCGATGTACAACGTGTAGTGTAACTATTAAAAGCTTTAGGATATGAAATCGAGCAATAGATCCTCGCACAAGTACATTTAGCTAGCTGCTCCATTATGTACAGTCTTGCTTGATATAGTGCCAGGGTCTAGACTTAGAATGGGCTCAAATAATAACAAACTGTGTAGATCACATCAACTTTGGAGGATGAGATTGAAGGTGTATCAGGTCCTCATAATCCTAAAATTAGACGCTACAAAAACATCTTTGAAATTGCTAATTTGCTAAATTGCTCCATCTTGTGTCGAGTAAGCATCCACTCCAGTATACGGAGTACTCCACTTCGCGCTAAAAAGACTCCGTACACTCGACTGCGCATTACCTAATATGGTTTAGCGTATCAGTTTGGGTTTAGCGCTTCTCTCACCGCGCATGCTTCTATAAAGTCGTCTCCACAGTCTTTCCTATCATTTCGTCCATTGTTCCTCTTTTCTCCCTATCAGAACCCTTTGGGCCCTACTATGATGTCGCATAGACTCCAATTTGATTACCCTTTTCATTTACCCCAATGCCCGCACTTGGATTGCTCGTTTCTAATGACATTTTGCATTAATCCTGGCATCATTCGCTCCTGTAACCTTATAATCTACTCAACCCACTTCTATCCAAGACACTACCAACCATGAACACCATAGATTGGGAAGAGTAAATACGCTTAACTTCATAGTGAAGTCAGATAAAGAGAACTGCAAATGCGCAGAAACATTAAGTACGCTGAGACAATATATATACTCTTGCAGATTATAGCGCCAAGGTAGATATGATACGGATTCATCAAATCAACTTCATCCCAGAATTACGAGTCTAGACCTCGGAAGAGCACTGTTTTCGGTGAAAGTTCAAATCACCCCTTCGAATTTGAGAAGTCAGCGGCAAATGCCGATCAGCTAGAGATATTGCTTCTTTCCTGTTGCCGTCATCCGGCTCTTTACTTCTTATCTTACTTGAATCTCGACGAGAGCACTTGAAATGAGCCGTGCACCAGTGATCCGATCTTTAAATTGTTTTAAATTGTTGCTCAAGGAAAGGTACATTCCTTGGAACGTTCTTTCGCTTCCACTGCCTACTTGGCAATACCCCGAAACAATTCCAGGTTCGGAAGAAGTGAGGCCCCTAAAGGAGTGTTAGACCCGCTGAGGACACCATGGTCCATCATTGAGACCAACAAATGAGAGGAGTAGTTAATGTTCTTAGAATTTTGATGCACTGGCAACAAAGCTTCGAATGTGTAGCAATATGAGTTTACGAGGAAAATAGGCTGGAGAAAACAGAGTTCTGGGTTGGAATGATATATCATAGTCGCAGCCCCTTAACACCCCCGATGTGTGTGTAGCAACTCCGCGCCAGGGCCACCACATCATATATTGTCCTGCCTTTTAGCCTACAATTTGATATCAGAACTTGTCATATAGAGAAGAATTGGACCTCGGAATTAACCGGGATCCTAGGGCAAATGTGACTGTTCCAACAAAGAGAATTGGATTCGGAAAGCTTACAAAATCGGGAATATTTATGCTTTGGTATGCTGCTTTTGAGCTGATATGCCTGTGATATCCTTCCACAACTATATGTAAGCACCTGGCCACCTTCGCGCTCGAGCTGTCTGTTTAGGTACATGTACTCGTTCTTTCAGAGGTCCGATGCCCGTTTCTTCTGATTTCATTTTGGACATGCCTTTGTATCTCAACAAGGGATATCTATCATGGTCTTGCTTCATCTTCCGAAGCACCAGGCAATGTGATTAAGCCACGGTATGACTCCCCATAATATATTATACACCCGAGGCAGTTACATCCACCGCTGCTTTACGCCCCACACACTGCGTAGACAGCCCCACACATGCCGACCCGAAGCTTTCCAGCGAAAGGAGGCTCTAGGCCTGGCTAAGACATGCACCGGCAGATTACAGACGAACCAAGCTTTTTGGGTCAACTTCCTACATACAGAGGACAACACTTCAATACAGGATCATGTAAACGTAGTCATACATGTTCAATCACAGCATATTTTCATTCAACCCAGAGATTTTCATACATACTGTATCCCACACTTTCCCCCTTACCGAAAGCAATACAGAGGTAGGGGGGAAACAAGGGGCGACAAAAACATACACACATAAATGACAAATAACACCAGGAAAAAGCTATCCATGGAAAAAGAGCCGAGCCCGACGTATTGGATCCAATACTCAGGACAGGGATGAAGAGAATCAAAGCATAACCACAGGTTCCTTCGGAACAAAATAGACAAATGTACCAGAAATTACTACACCATCACAACTCCGGGAATCATCAAACGTAAAGACAGAAAGAATGGACGCCAATATGCAAGCGAGTGGCAGACTCGGACAACTTATACAAGACCCAAACGCCGTGAGGTCTATACAAACGAATGTATCAAGAGGAAGAGAGGGAGAGGTTGAGGATGAGGTTGAAAATGAGGTTGAGGCGAAAGGGATGGGTTGGGTTGGGGTAGGATTTAGATTCCCCAGCGGTTGCGGAGGCCTTCTGCCCAGCGGGTGTACAGAACATCGGTTAACTGTTTTGTGTGTTCCATACCAGATGCGTTCTGGCCGGGCAAGTTGGCAAGAGGGGATGAGGGTTGAGGTTCGACGGCACTTGATTGACGTCGGTGGTGGCTTTTAAGGTGAGGGTTGTTTTGCGCCAGCACAAGGCGTGGTCGCTGTGGGGAATCTGGCTGGGCAGATGTAGGGATGAGAGTAGACAGGCGGGGATCAGCTTGGAGCCTCTCGTTCATGATGCGCACGATGTGGTAAAGACCCTCGGGATCGACCATCTCAAGGTCACTCCAGGCCTCTGCCAATCGAGAGATTGCTTCACGCTTCTCGCCGTCTCCGGTGGTAGCAAGGACTTCCTGGCACGACAGACCCACAGCTCTGCTGTAGGCACGTCGGCCGAGTTGGCCCTCTTTGCTTATCGTGTCAGTAGAGAGAGGCTTGGGGCTGGTGTTCTCATCAAAGCCAGGCGGGGGCTTGATCTGTGCGTTCTCATTGTTGGCGGGGACACGGTCTGAGACACGACGGAATTGGCGGACGGTGGATGGAGTGTTGCCGTAGCTGAGATCTAGGCCTAATGGTTGCTTGACACCGCTGGAGCGGCGCTTGGTGTTGGCTCGGCGAACCGATGGTGAGCGCTCGGCGTCCTTTGCCCGACGAACTGTGGAATTGGCTTGATGCTTTGGTGGTGCGGGTGGTTGAGTGATGTGCATATCTTCCATCAGTTGGCTGGGGTCTTGTTCTTCCCACTCTTCGTCCAGTGTGGACCAGTCGGTACCCTTGGGCACCCACATGCTAGGAGCTTTGACGGTATCAAACACCCAATCTTCATCGTCGTCTTTTTCTTCAGTCGGGAGCTTGGTAATAGTATTCCTGCAAATGTATTGTTAGCAGATATCTGTCAATCATCTGTAAAATAACATACAGTGACTCTGCATAGTATTTCACGTCTTTGGCCATTCCTCGTCCACCATCCCAGTCCTGCTTGCGGTGGATAAGCTCCTGCAGAGCCTCGGTTTTTCCTGCATTTCGAATAAACTTATGACGCAGAAGCTCCTTCGCACTGGGGCGGTGATCGGGGTCCTTGGTCAAACACTGAGCGATGAAGTCTTTAAATGTGGCGCTGTAATCGTTGCCCTCCAAGCGAGGAGCCGGGTTTTTCGGAATCAAGAATAGAACTTTCATAGGGTGTGTGCTGGCATGCGGAGGCTCGCCATTGATCATTTCAATCGCAGTAATACCCAAGGACCAGATATCGGCCTTGAAGTCGTATCCGGACTGCTGAATAACTTCCGGAGCCATCCAGAAGGGTGTGCCGACAAAGGTATTGCGCTGAGACTTGATATTAACCAACTGCGCCGCGACACCGAAGTCGGCCAGTTTCACTTTTCCGGTATTCGAGAGTAGAACGTTGGCGGCTTTGACATCGCGATGGATCTTTCCTTCACTGTGGAGATAATCGAGACCTTGCAATAGCTGTTGGCAGACGATTGCGACATGCGCTTCGTTGAAAACCCCTGGTTTCAACTGCGGCCAGGATTAGCAAACGCAAATGCGATAACGAACCAGCAGGGATAAAGCCGACTTACCAGATCCAGACACGATCCTCCTCCCAGATACTCCATCACAATCCAAAGCTTGTGCCCCTTGAGGAAGCTTGCTTTGTACTGTGTAACAAACGCGCTGGCGCAGGTGGCCAGGACCGAAATTTCCTGCTGAATCTCCTGGATATCATCTTCGCTGGACTCGAGATCGATCTGCGAAACAAACGGATGTCAATTGAGGTATTTCGATACCTTTCGGACGAATGGATGCATACATGTTTCACCGCGACAATTTCTCCGGTAGTTTTATCAATTGCTTTGTAGACAGTGCCAAAACTTCCACCTGGTAAACAAGAAGCGGATCAGTACATCAATTCCTGCAGGGGCATGGTTGGAGATTAAGCACTCACTTCCCAACTCCTCCATCACCTGGTAATGACTCGCCATATCTTCCGCCATTCTTGCGACGATCGGCTCAACTTAGCGACTCCGGACGGACTGGGCTGCAACGGGGATAGTAATCATGCACAGGACAAAATCGTTGTGCTTGATAGCCGTAACAAAAACACCCAGGAGACTTGGAGTAGCAAGTTTGTCAAGAAAAAGAAATGGAAGATGGTAAAGGGGTGGAGCCTGTAATGCGCATTGTCCATGCTAAACAACAGCTCCGTCTCGCATGGCAACCGGGTGGACACCTGACACGTCAGGCCGTAAGGTGGGGATAACCTTACCAAACCAGGACTAGCGTCGATGCAAGGGTCTGGTTCGATGCAATAAACTCTACTAACTATACTCTTTATTGATTCGGGCAACTTGTTGGTACTGATGATGGTCTTCTTTTTTATACACTGTGGATACGCTTCAAATAAATTCTAAAAAATATTCCGTACATTCTACCTTAAATGTACTTGTATGGGTTCATGATGCCGTTCTGCAGAGGAAGATCAGTAAATAAACAACAAGACCTGCAAGGAATTCAGTACTCACGGGATCATAGACAGCCTTAAGCTGCTTCATCAACTTGACCATGGTTTCGTTCTGGCTGTAACCAATGTACTCCCGCTTGGCAACACCCAGACCGTGCTCAGCACTGATACTGCCGTTGCGCTTTTGAATCCACTCATACACCCAGGGCTCAATGGCCTTCTCCACATCCTTGTTGTAGTGACGCACCGACACATTCAAGTGCAGGTTGGAGTCACCCATGTGACCGTAGCCGACGACAGCGCGCACGGGGAAAGAGTCATCGTCGCCGACGAAGCCCATCTCGGTCAGACGAGCCTTGGTGTCCTCAACAAGGAGGTATAGATCAGACAGAGGGATCGACACATCGTACTTGTAGGTTCCGCCGAGGTGACTCAGGGCCTCGGTGATACCCTCACGCCAACGCCACAGAGCCTGGAACTGGGTCTCGTCCTGAGCCAGCACACCATCAGCGACAATGCCCTCTCCCATGACATTCTCCAGGAATGTCTCCAGCTTGGCCATGTCGTGCTCAGCATTGGAGCCGCTGGTCTCAATCAGGCAGTAGAAGGGGTACTCGCCTTCCAGCGGGTGCTTGTTACCAGTAGACTCGATGACCAAGCCCTGACTACGGCCGTCCATCAGCTCGAATGCGGACAGAATCTCCGACAGCTGACCCTTGGCAGCCAGGTAAGCCTGCTGCACCTGCTCGAAGCTCTCCAGACCGAAGTAGGCGACGTTGACGGCCTTGGGACGCGGTGGACAGATGATGGACACAGCAGTCACAATACCAATAGTGCCCTCGGAACCAATGAAGAGCTGCTTAAGATCGTAACCAGTGTTGTTCTTACGCAGAGTGGAGAGGGCGTCAACGATAGTCCCGTCCGGCAGGACCGCCTCGAGACCCAGCACAGTTCCGTGCAAGCTACCGTAACGCAGCAATCGCAGACCACCAGCGTTGGTCGCAACGTTACCTCCAATGTGGCACGAGCCCTTGGCACCCAGGTCAAGGGGGAACAGGTGGTTGTGCTCGGCCAGGTACTGGTCAGCCGTCTCAAGAATGACACCAGCATCAGCGACCAGGACTCCAGAAGCCTCGTCAAACGAGCGAATCTTGTTCATCCGCGAGGTGTTGATGACAATCTCATCGAAGACGGGGACTGAACCACCGACCAGACCAGTGTTTCCACCCTGGGGCACGACGGCCAATTTCCGGTCATTACAGTATTTCAGCACCTTACTGGTCTGCTCTGTGCTGCCCGGTTTCAAAACCAGACGAGTGTGGCCCCGGTACTTGCGCATCCAGTCGCTGTTGAAAGGTTCAATGTCGTCCGTCGCATCGGTGGTGACGCCGTCAATGACTGCGGACTCGGAGCCCAGGAGCTCCTTGAAGAATGCGACATCGTCTGCAGAGATCTCGGCGAACTTCGAGTCACGCTTGAGGTTGGGGTATGCGTCGCTGGTGTACTTGATCTGCTTGTCGGCTCGAGCGGTGGAGCTTGTAGTGAAGCTACGCAGCACGGTCGCACATGATGCTTGAGGGACGATGGGGCGAGCGATGATGCGAGTGCGAGGTACTCGAGCACGGCGGAGAGCCGCTGAGAGGTTCCGAACACCAGACATGGTTGTAGGTGGTATGTTGGAGAGAGGAGGAACTTGGCAGATAAATTTTGGGGAGGATAATTATCCGGTCCAACAAATTCCAGAGTGGAGATCCCGCGATCGACGGCAGAACGATCATGATTGCGCCATACAACTTGCAAGGATTTCGGTGATTTTCGGCTTTCGACTTCCGGTTGCGCTAGAGGTTCGGTGGTACTGAGGAGTGTTTGGCAATACTGCCATTATTCGTGCGAGCCTCCATTTCAACACTTTAAGCTTCTGCTTGATTCGTAACCTTAGTTTGACGGAAGCACCAATTCCCTTCTATGTAACTTCCAATTGCAATGTACAACGAACCGGCTCCCTAGGTTCTGGAAACTCAACAAGTTTTGATGTCTAGTATCAATTGAGGGGAAATCATCTCCATCTCCCAGGTCTAATTGATCATTTTCATCTTGGATGTTGTTTTGTTTAATTTTCAATGTGGGCTCTTTTTCTAAATTGCCGAAGCAAGCATTTTGATGCCGAGAGATCGGCAGGGGAACCTGGTCAGCAGAGCTACCTGAGGAGATAGCCACCATTTATTTCAATATTGAGTCCTCAAGATACCAGTGGATGGATGAATCAGGCCCAATGAAGCTCCAGAATCAAAGCAGTAAATAAAAGATAACATCTAGAAGCGGCAGGAAACCTAACAAGTGAGTCAGTTACGTCATGGTAGCGCCCCGCTAGACCACAGCAAATGGAATTTCTCACCGGCGAACGACACTTCCCACTTAACAATAACGAAAATGACTTCCGTGGTTCTAGTAACAGGAGCCAGTGGCCTGCTTGGCCGTCAGGTATTCAATACCTTCCAGCGCTCAGGCGTTCTAGTGGTTGGACAGGGACTATCGCGAGCTACCCCGCCAACAATTCTGAAAGCGGACCTTGAGAAGGAAGAAGAGGTCAAGTACATCCTGGACGAGGTTAAGTATGTATCCTCGGGACAAATCAACCATTTGGGCAATTGCTAATACTGAACCCTGGTCATTAGGCCCCAGATTGTCATCCATTGTGAGCTTCATTCTCTCCGTCCCCGGCCCACAGAGCTAACGTCGGACACAAGGTGCGGCAAACAAATCCCCGGACCAGTGTGAGAAAGAGCCAGAGAAAGCACGCAAGCTCAATGTCGACGCCACACGTATTCTCGCCGAGCAATGCTCTACCCGCGGAGCTTTACTGATCTACATTTCCACCGACTACGTTTTCCCCGGAGTGGAGGGCCAAGCGCCCTACGAAGTTGACGCAGAGACCAAGCCACCGAACATGTATGGTCAATTCAAGCGCGATGGAGAAGTTGCAGTTCTGGAAGCTACCAAGGCAACCGGTCTAGGTGTGGTCCTCCGTGTTCCGGTACTCTACGGAACCGCCAAGGATCCCTCCGAGAGCGCCATCAACTGTTTGGTGGATGCAGTCATGAAGGCACAAGATGCAGATGCTGGTGTGAAGATGGATGATTGGGCCCAACGCTACCCCACCAACACCGAGGATGTGGCACGTATCTGCCGAGACATTGTCATCAAGTACATTAAGGAAAAACACCGGATGAAGGAGCTGCCACATATCCTGCAATTCAGCTCCGAGGACCGTATGACCAAGTACGAGATCTGTGAGAAGCTTGCTGGAGTTCTTGGTTTCCCGCTGCCTGGTATGATTCGTAACAAGCAGGGCAATGACCCCAATGGCGCTCAGCGGCCATACGACACACATCTGTCTACTAAGGCACTTGTGGAATTGGGAATTGATGTCAGAACTGTTGACTTTGTGACCTGGTGGTAAGTGGAGTCTTGGACTCCACTGGACTCTTTTGATCATTGGCTAACCTTCATGCAGGCGACGCGAATTGGGTGCGTATAGGAAGTAGGGATAATGGTATGAAACGTTCTGAGCTATGAGGCCTCTAAATGAAACTCAACCCAACCTCTTTTGTATAGGTCATACAAGGCCTGGTATGAGCAAGCAAATGAACAGAAATGACAGAAATTTGTCAACCAACTTTGTGACCTATCAGCTTGCCGATCTCGTCCATGTTTCACGTTGATCGTGCCACCACTGAATCAATCGAATTTCCTCGGGGAAACAGTCGCAAAGATCAGCGTAGATTATTTTTTCTCTCGTAAATAGACGCTATCGATCTTGAAACTTTGTTTGAGACATGTGGCCACACAAGTTCAACCCTATGAATAGCCACGAGGTACATAGATCGGCAAAATTATTTGTACTGATCCAAAATGTAGTTTCTGACTTGTTCCAATCTTATATCCAATTTTCCACGCTGGTACATTCTATAAGCTCTAGCATCTTTAGGTGATGTTGAGAAGACTCAAAACGAATATATAGCATACATGCCTGAGTTTGAATGACAAAAAGCGGCCATAAATTCTTTGAACCGAGTTGACTATTGGTATTTCGCGACTTATCTACTCGTCTGCTCAGCTACAGCAGATGTGAAGGGATTCAGGGACGATCCCCCACTTTAGTGGACCAGAAAACGGAGCTACCCGGTGGATCCCTCAGGGTCCTGGCTTGTGCAACATTCGATCTGGATCTTTTTTTCCAATTTCATTCTGCAGTGTTCTACTGCCGATCGTGGTAGCTGAACACAGGAGGAATGTCGCGATCCGGAAGCGTCTTCCCGTGTCCGCACATTTTCTCTTCTTCATCTCCCCAAATCCCGCAACCGCAAAGTGCACCAAATCCCCAATGAATTTCTGAGTGAGTGATCTGCAATGTGACTGGTAGTTTCCATTCTTGAGTCCTGCAGCCCGGTTCCTGATCGGCGCGCTTGCCTTCCAGGCACCATCTCATCCATTGTGCACCCAGCGGTGTGATGGGGGCCCAAATCTTCCTCCAAATTTGTCGCATTTTATTTCAGCCCCATAACTTGGCGGTTTGAAAAAATTCCACCATAGTCGTGCTTTCATTATTGTTGTCTTTTGTCCGCTGCCTTATTCCTTTTCGTCGTATTCCCTCGTGTGCTCGCTTAAACTGGTTGTCGCATTCTGTCGCAATGCACTGACCCTTTTCCGATCACAGCGCTCAACCCTAACAAGGGACCTTGATTGTCACACGATCAAGGAAAAGAGACTTGGGATTGCGATTTTGTCCAAGAATCTCTTGAGTTCCCTCCAGACGATACCAACGTTCGACCGCGATGGAAATGTGTAAGGCGAATGGCGCGGCGCAGCCGACGCGCCAGCCCTCTCGGTATCGATCCGCTCGGGAAGGGACTCATACGGTTACGGCACATGGAAGTGGGGTAATGGTCAAAGATGGGGCAATGGACCATACTGCTAGGAGTGGGAGCACCCAGTCAAATGAGGCCAATCCGTCGATTGCAAGAAGTATGTCTCGGTACCGGCGCAATCGACCCTCTGCTAGCAATACTTCCGGGTCTGTTCCAGCCGTTCCGAATCTCGCACATGCCCAGGCAGCTCTACTCTCAGAAAAAACGAGCGTGGATTGCACGACAGAGGAGGAGCGCATACGAGAAAAGCATCGACTAGATGCGATGGAGCAGTTGACAGGGGGAGCTCAGGTGGAAGAGCCTAAGCATTCATACTGGTCGCGATCTTCCCAACCGCATAAAAGACGGTCAAAATATGCAAATAAAGAAGAGCCAATGTCGATGCAAACACACGAAACATCCGCTCGACCCACATCAAATCCCTCTGCAACAGGGGAGCGGAAGTCCTTCTTCCAGAAGGTCAAGCTATCTAGAGCCAAAGAACCCCAGAAAGACCAGTCAAGACCAAATTACATCGGCGTGGGAGGAGGGGGAATCGTTCCTGGAATCGATGCGCCTATCTCAGCTATTAATGCCGGAGAGCGTCATGTTCGCGTACAATACAGCGATAGCTTTGTCAACTTGACAATCACTCCTTCCACACTCGTCTCAGATCTACTCTCGTCTGCTGGGGAGCACTTCCCCGAGATCGACCCCAAGAAATTCATTCTGATTGAATCATTTCAGCAACTCAGTCTAGAGCGGCCCTTGCGTCGGCATGAGCATGTGCGAGATGTTATGAACTCCTGGGCACGAGATACCGACAACAGTCTCATTATCATTCCTCCTTCCAGCATGGCTACCCTGAATCAAGTGAATCCTCCGCAAGTCCCAAGCGATCAACCTGTTGACACTACTTTCTACATTTACCATTCTCAACGGCGTCGTAAATGGGACAAGCGGTATGTCACTTTGCGTGCAGATGGTCAAGTTTTCATTTCAAAGAAAGAAAACGCGAAAGACCACACGAATATCTGTCACTTGTCCGACTATGATATCTATTCTCCAAGTGCGCGAGCCATTGCCAAGGACCTCAAGCCCCCCAAGAGAATCTGCTTTGCTATCAAAAGCCAGGAGAAGTCTTCCATGTTTCTATTGAGTGACAATTTTGTGCACTTCTTCTGCACCAACGACCGGGCCCTTGCCGACCAGTGGTACCATGCCATTCAACAGTGGCGGAGCTGGTATCTCATGAAAAAGACAACAGAAGTCACGCAGTCTGCCGGCCATGAAGCGTCTCATCCAGCACGTACGCTGACTCGGAGGCGCGACCCGAACCCTTTCAGTGATGCGCCCCTGGTGGATATGATTCCCAGTGATGCAGAGTCGCTTTCCAGGGTACGACCATCAATGGACAGGCACCGGGCCCCTCATGTAAAGCGTGATTTCCCCGAGACACTGGTGTTGAACACTCACGCCCAAGACGATGAACCGCTAGTACAAGGTATCAGTTCTGAAGTAATAGACGCTGAGACCTTTTCGCCCTCGGGACTACTAGGACGCGCCTACACCCAGAGGCACCGATCCATGCGTGAGCGACAGGAAAATGAAAAGAGAGCGATGCAAAATTCCTCATTGTCTCCAGATTTGAATGAGGCTGTGCCTCCACCATACACGCCTAACGCCGCACCGAACGGCACCATGCTTAATCGCAGCAAGTCTCTCAATCAGAAGGGCAAGCCCCTTGTTGACCTGACGCCGGTCTTCCAAGAACAGCCGCAGCACACTCGCAAAGGCCGCGGTGTCACCGTGGAGCCCGGCATGGCACTAATCGACGCAGCCACAGGCCCTGACCTCTTGCCTAGCTCCATGGCCATCCCACCAGCTGTCGCATGGCGACGCCCCTCAGTCCCATCAGTCGAGGTCCCACCGATCCCCCAGGCTCGACTCCGGGCCAAGTCCATTCGCAGCGTGCGTCCTGCTCAGCCCAGAACGGATACCACTTCGGCAAACCATAGCCCCAGCTCGCCGGCTGTTCCGTTCTTGCCCCACAGTCTTCTTGCAACTGCCCCCAACGCAAACCATAATCAGGCAGCACCCATTGGCCATGGTGTCGCAACTGGTGACCGCAATGCTACCCGGCCGATGCTGGATATGTCTCCGGAAAATCCATTTGCAGAGGGCAGCTTGCTTCACCAGCTGTGAGCTTCCCTGAATCTTACATTTTCACGACGGTATGATCTATGTTCTTTGGAATATTTGTTCGGTTCCAATTCTCAATTTATGACCAATCTCTTTTCTTTCTGTTTTCATGCCTTTTTTTCCCTCTTAAGTACAATTCGGCGGTGATATCAGCCATAGTGCGAGGATACGACGGAGGACACATTCAATGAAGTACTGATGTCAAGTCGGGATTTACTTATTGTTATGATATCTTTACAGATGCACTTACGCTGTTTCTGGGTCCAATGTTTCATATTAGATACCCCAATTTCGTTGTTGAACAATGAGTAGCTTAGAAAAAAAAAAAGAACCTCCAAGCCATTTAATTCCACAACTGTAACCCACCAAATAGTCTTACATGTACTAGTATCTTACGATAGGACTCGATGTCACGGGTGTGTCGATCCTCATGTAGCCTTATCAATAGAGCTCGGAGCGTGGCTGATCTGCAACCGGAATGGAATGCAGCCCTGCAGGTCACCCGCATACGGAAAAACACCAATACGAGACCTAAACAAGGAGGTAATAAATAAATAAACTCAGATCAAATGTAAGTGCAGCATCGATATTACCCTGATGCTATGATATTTCAATATGTTCAAACGGCCAACCTTGGAAGTGAAACCACCAAAATGACATATGCCGACAACGCCGGACCTCTAGATAATACATAATCCCAATATAAATTAGATGAAAAGGAATCAAACCAATGCTAACGATTGGACCGAATAGTCGCCGAGCGATGAGTGAGGGCATCCCCGTTAGTGGTCTGCCAATCATGCGATTCCAAACCAGAAGTCAAACCTGCATCAGGACGAGACGAAGAGAAAGTCCTTGACGGACGACCCAACGACCCAGCACCACTAAGATTCGACGCACGCCGACGCATACGACGTTCCGAATCTTCAGCTTCGTGCCGGTTGAGCGCGTCAGAGGGTAACAAGACAGCCCGGTCAAGAGCATAAGGCAAACCACGGTGACGACCACGTATCTGCATAGCAATAATAACGAGTTTAGAGACGACGTTGAATTGGCCCGAGAAAGATGTATCGACGCCGGGGTATCCGAATGACAGCCCGACAGTACCGTAGGCAGAGACGACCTCGAAAAGTACAGTGAAGAGTTGGAAGTTATAGTCCGTTGAGCTTTCGAGACGGCTGCCTTCGGCGATGGCAATGACGAATAGCCCGAGGAAAACATACCACAAATCGAAACTTAGTTGACGACGCAAGTGAGCGCCGATGTAACTGGGTGCTGTTTGGTTTTCGTCGTCGTTGTCTTCGTCGCCGGAGCCGTAGATGCCTAAACTCTTTTCTTCGTAGACGTTTGTACGACGCATGGAGATAGCGATTGGGAAAACGGAAATGTACATCATGATCAGGTAGGATACCTGAATCGCGGGGTGTAGGTCTGAAAGACTGACGATGCCGAAACCGGCGGTTCGAGTTGCTGCGGCTTGGAAGAAGCCGTCAAGAACTCGGATTCCTACTGGGAATTTTGTCACAGCGGAGTCATTTAACTAGGGGTACTGTCAGTCTGTAGAACGGGATAATGCGGGCGAATGATACTCACGTCCAAAATGATGAAGAAGATCACATCAATGCAGTTTAAGGCCATGAGGATGGCGAAAAGCCACCAACTGGCATTTCGGGGAAAGAGAAGGGTAAAACAACGACGGGGGTGGTCGAGAAGGAACTTCAGCTCTTCCCAGAGGGCAGTTCCCTGGCGAGCGAATTTTGACAAAACCCAGATCATCAGTCGTAACATACAAGGGAAACCCGTGTTACCAATGATGATCAAGAACGCCATGAGAAGCAAGGGGAAGATGGCGGTTTGGAAAGAGTACATGGAATCGGGCGTGAGAGTGAAGCCAAGATCGTTGAAAGCAGAGGCAGCAGTGAAAATTCCCCACCAAGGACGGCCAACACCGTCTGCCCTGATGACATTACCCCATTTGTCCTCTGTCATGATCCAACCGATCAGACTAATTAGACCAAGAAGATGGAATCCAACATAATAGGAGATGAGCACAACCGCGAGAGTTTTGAGAGCGCGATACTCAATACCGCCCAGCTCGTCACGTTGCTCCTCGGTCAGGTCGACGAAGTTCGAGTTTCGGGCCACAGTGGCGTTCCAACTAAGATACGGCTGGGTAGTCCGCTCTCTTTCATGTGTCAGAGATCGCCAAATTCCTCGGACGGTATTTCTTGTGTTGGACGGGCCTAGCCCAGCGTCATCGTCGTTGGCGTCATTTACTTCTTTGGTAATTGTATCACGCATAGTCGGCCGAGTATCCAAGCGTGCGAATGTGTTTCCACGCGTACGAGTTCGAGTGAAGTCGGGCTCATTGATGGTGATATGCGGCCCTTCCATGGGAGGAACCTGGTCATCTTCAGAAGATCCAGAGCTCGGCCTTCGGGATCGAGGAGGGACAGGCTCGTTGGTCTGATCATTTTCTCCCTCATCTCCACCACCATCTTCAAGATCCTCCGGCACACCACCGCGATCATATTCGCGAGGACTGGGAATGCGCAAAGCACCTTTGTTCTTTCGCTGGTTTTCCACAAACGCGATGTGATGCTCCGGACTCAGCTGAGTCGGCAATCGCAAGTTACCCAGCCCGAACCGACTCCCAATATCATTTTGGGAGGTTTCCGGGGTAGATTGGTTTGTGGCCTCCTTGGACGTGGGCGATTCGGAATCCGACGATCCATCAACTTGGGGGGCGGTGGGATCTGGCAGACGGCTTTCACGTGCGTCCCCGGAGTCATTTCGAAGCACCACTATCGACCGACCACTCACACCAAGCTCCGCACGATTTATATCCTGGCTGTTCTTACCCTGGCTCACAGTATCCATGCGCGAGCGAGTAGTGCGCAGCGCACGTGCATCCCTGACCACATTCTGGAAACGCTTCTCAAACCAATATAGACGGATGAAAACGAGAGCACCGTGGATGAAAATCGGGGTGCAGAGACATGTTATCAGACATAGGACGATTTGCTGGTATGTGTAGAGCTCGTTCAGGTTGACGGTGTTCAGACCACTCTGGGTGCTGGCGCCGGCCGACAAGAAAAGGGCATCGATGTAGGCGATATTTCCACCGGCGAAGAGTATAACGGAGCAGAGGATAATCCAGGAAATGATATAGGTATAGTGCATAAAGATAAAGTCGAGTTGCAGCGAGTTTAAGATCGGGATGCGCTTTTTGATGGCGTTGACCCGGCGGATAAAGGCTGAGAACATGGCAAATGGACGCAGGCGGCGGCGCCGTCGTTCCCAGGCTGAAGGCTCAGTCGTCGGAGGAGAGGCCGGGAGAAATTGTTCTCGAAAGAGGGGAAACTTTGCGGTCCTGTTGTTCGTCCATTAGTCTTTTTCAACCCGAGTCTTTGGAAGCTTTATTGCGGTGCATACATGTGGCACCGATCGCTGACCAGTCAGGCGTGCAGAGGGGGCACGGGCAACGCCGTTGTTAGCCGCGAGGCATTGAGCACCGCGTGAAGAAGAAGATTGAGAGCATGGTATAAGAAGAAAATTGGGGGAAGATGTCAAGGGACCGAAAGTCAAATCGATTGGTGACGGCGAACGCAGAAAAAAGGCGCAAACGGAGTCGAATTTCGGGTGGAGCTGTATTCTTACCACATTCGTAACGCCTGCCAAAAACGTGCACTGTCGATCGCTCGGCAGCGAGGGGCAAATATGTAAGTTTCCGTTTTACAACTGTAAAATCTGTGTAATGAAAGTTTGTTTCATTTTATTTTGATTTTCTTTGGGTAAACACACTCGATCTCATCATCTATCATCTTCATGATCCCTGTAAAGCGTTGGGTACCGGTTTTCATCATTTAATACGGCCCACCCCTTTAACTAGTTCCCGGCCAAGCTTTTAGATTTGTCGGGGGCGCAGTGGTCAAGAGCCGGATATTCATTTGCTCTTGTTATTGGTGTATCCACTCTTGAGATCCCGACTGCGTCGAAGTGCAGATGGTGCAGCAAGATACTGCATCTGGCTGAATAAGACCTTAACATATCATATTATATGAAATACCACGACATCTATAAGTCGTCATCGAAGTAAGCAATATAGGGCCTAGCATCTCATATCACATAGTATATCCCTTACTGGCTACATGCACGTGCCGAGCTCCAGTATACATAAACCGAACCAATCGCGGAACATAAACATTCTACATAATCGCTCTTAATACATAGAGTGAGTCGCTTTAGAGTATTATTTTTGCATGAATTATGCAGCCAGGGCAATCAAACGACGTCAAGGTGATTGTAAAGTCCCATCAAACCGGAATTTGGGGGAAGAGAGATCTCGCGGCCCACTTTTCATTCCAGCCGATATCGTGGCCCGTCCCTAGGGTTTCCCACTTTTCCTGCATGGGCTTGCATGACCATTTGCCCCCTGTAATTCGAGCATGTGGTCTAGAAGCATTCCTCACGCTGTTGATTGGCCTAGTCATTCAGCTCCGTGGCGGTAAACCACAACGCCCCTCGGTATTATAACCCTATTTTTTCGTGTTTCGGTCACTCTGTTTATCTCGCTCTCCGTATATACACGAGCCGTGTGATCTGTATTCCCACGGACACCGACATTCTTGGCTTCATCATCCATGGGTATAGTAAAATTTATTAAGGATTTGTAGGATATATGGCTCTTATCACGATGATCTGCACGGACATGGCAGGGATGCCGAAGCCATGAGATAACACTCTTCACACCGATACCCACCAAACACTCCGAGTTTCTGTCAGGGGCTCCGAAATTTTTATACCAAGGTGTCCTGTGCGGTCTGGTCCATTCCAAATGTGAATAGATTCCGCGGATCCCTGAAGCACAGATCTTGGAGCCTGAAACCCAACTGACCCCTGCAGTAGCCTCGGTCGGTCTTCCAAAGATAACCTTGAAAGTGAGAAAGTCCCTTGTCTCAAATGGACACTTTGTGATAGACCACATCTTCCCAGTTCTCTGCATGAGATCCGAAAATTGTCATTCACTTCCAATTGAAATGCTGGTCTCACACACCTGGGCAACTCCTAGATCCAACGTGGCCATGTAGCTGAGAGTTCCATTATTGCCAGGACGGCTCATATGATTCAAGCAGGCAAATTGCAACTGTTTGTTGGGTTCATTTGACTTTGGTTACAAACCCAACATATCAACGTAGATTGGGCTTAAAGAGGTACCTTGGATGGCGCTTTCATTTCATTCTCTAATCCGGAACGCAATATCACACCCGAGCGGCTGGTGAAATATATTGAATCAATTCACATTCAAATCTTTAGAGACATGGGCGAGATAGCCCCTGGTTCTAAGCAAAAGCCCCACTGTATTAGCCCTCATTCCCTCTTTCGGGTAATTCGTCACCTTCACGTTGACGCGTCTCGACGCGGGGAAAATATAGTACATATAACAACAACCTTGGCATCTGAACCTGATCAGGGAACATTGATAATCACAATGGTCCACATTCAAGACCTCCCAGTGGAGATCTTGTACATGATCTTTTCTTTCGTTCTCGGTCGTCCGGCAAATCCCCTGATTGATAAAGGAGCCTTCGCAAACATTGGACCAATGAATGAGAGTACTCACGAGGAGGAGGCCGAGGAGGAGGCCGAGAAGAGCATTCTTAAGATGATGGAACGCGATAATCTACGCCAAATGTGCCTGGTTTCAGGGACGTTCCGCGACATCGCGCAGCCTCTGCTCTTCCACTCCTTCCAGTGTGAAAGTTCACCCAACGGTGATTTAAGGAAGACAATGTCTTTTGCTAATGCCATGTATCGCCGTCCAAAGCTCGGGGAGTATGTGAAGGAATTCAAATTCAAGCACCTCTTCTTCAAACCAGTACCCGAAAGGCTCCCCGCAGATGATGCAAAGTTGTGCAAGCTCGCAATCCAGGCCCTTGAATTGGGCGACCAGGAGAAACGCTGGATCTCGGTTATGCGAACCTACGACTTCAGTGTCATTATCGCATTGGTAGTTGTCAAGTTACCCAACCTTCGTGAATTAACCTTGAAAGGGTTCCTAAACCTCGCGACACGGTTCAAGCCTCTCTTCGACCGAGATCCGTCATTCTTGTCTCAACTCAGGTCCCTTCATATTAAAGGTACCCTTTTGAGTTCCGATCTTGCGTTATATGAAGATTTTTTCACTCGCCCCAGACTTCAGCAGTTGAGGTTAGAATATTGTAATCTCAACGACGTATAGTTTCCATCTACCTGGACGCCTGGAAGCCTGGCGGCTGAAACTATGGTTATCCGTGATTCCTGCATTGATAGCGGAGGAATTCGCAAACTCATGCAGGCATGTAAGAAATTGACAATATTCTCCTATCAAAACTTCATCCATCGTTCAGGGGTGATGCCACCTGAGACTTCTGCCACTCACTTCACTCCTAAGGAGGCCCTTGAAGCGGCACACCCGCACAAGGAAACCCTTGAATATTTCCATGTTGAGCTTGCAAGATCTGCAACAGTCCTCAACGATATACAGAAATACCTCTCTAGCTGTGCCAAGTTCGGCTCATTCCGCGAGTTCACTGCACTAAAAGCCATCATAGTACCTCATGCATACCTTCCAGTACACCCCGAGTTGCCCCGTTCACTTGAGCAGATCAATATCACCGACTGCAACTCATCCATCCAAAACATGGCCCAGAACATTGCGAAAGATGCTAGAAAGGGTCTTTATCCAGAGCTTCTCCACGTCAGGGTTCTGACATTGGATGTTAGAGCGCCTATCAATCCCCCTCAAGGACAAATTCCCTTACTCAAAACCCCTACGGATTCTTTTATCAGCCTTCAAGAATTGTTCAAGGGGACTAAATTGAACTTTGAGATCTATCCATATGTCATATCTGCTGAAGACTACGATGACGAAGACTCTGATGATGAAGACTATGATGGTGAAGACTATGGAGATTATGACCTTGAATCTAGTGATGATGATGATGATGATGATGATGATGATGATGATGATGATGATGATGATGATGATGAACTGTCTCCTGGGGGCATAAAGGCAACATCAGGAGTTTCAGGACTGATGGACCAGTTGCTGCCAGAGCCTTGCCAAATTCTTATGTAGCAGGCTATGCGGGACGCTGACTTTGCCCACCTGCGCCCACCTAAAGGATGATTCATGCGATATCATAACGACGAACAGGCAGATCAGACTGGCCAAATGGATTCAAATATTTCCTTTCTTTAAGGTCTCTTAAAAGTATGATGTATTCTCAGACAGAAAATGTATTTCCTCAACGCATACTTTTGCCGAAAAGTCGAAGAAATCGAGATCTTTTCATCTACCAAAACCTAAATACATCGCCTATGAATGATGAAACAGCCAACGGCTTTAAGTATTATGGCTTGAAACCCCTCCTTCAATTCATTTTTAAGAACAACTTCCTGCAATTATAATCTTGGATCTCTCAATTAAAACGGCCATCACCTTGGGCACGTTAATATTCAAGCCTCATCCACCGACTTTACAGCAGGAGGCCGAACAAGATCAGGATAGTCAAACCTAGCCGCCATACTCATCCAATAAGAATAACTAGGATGCGCCTCCTTCTTCTCACTCTTAACAAGGAAATTCATGGGGAACCCATAATCAAACTCATAAGCACCCTCAATCTCATCAATTTCCTCCTTGGAAAGCTGCAGCCTCAAAGCGTCAATATTTCCCTCCAAATGCTCAACCTTCCGCCCACCAACAATCGGCGAGACATAAGGGAATTTGTGGAGGAGATAGGAAAGTGCTACACCCGTAATGATAGTGTTATGGCGTGCTGCAACCTTCTCCAAAACCTCTGAAACCTTGACATCGATATCTCGGACCTCGACCTGTCGACCTGGGTTCCCGTCCTTTTCGAGCTCCTCGCGATGAGCTGCTGTCTTGAAAGCTCCACCACCAATTGCGCCCCAGGGGCAGATGCCCATGCCTTCTGCTGCACACATGGGTATGATTTCACGTTCGAAGTCGCGGCGAGCGGCGTTCCATTGCCCTTGGTAGACTGAGAAGGGGCGGAGAGCATGGTCGCGAGCGTATTGGTTTGCTTTACTCACGATCCAGGCTGGGGTGTCACTGATACCCAGGTAAAGGACCTTTCCGGAGGTTACCAGCTGGTTGAGGGAGTTCATGACTTCCTCGATAGACGTGCTAAAGTCCCACCAGTGGACGTACAGCTGGAATTGTTATTAGTAAAGCGACCTGTTATACGCCAATATATTATCCAATTTAGGGAAACTCACCAAGTCGATATAATCGGTCTTCAGCTTCTTCAGGCTGGCCTCCACGGAGACCTTCAAGCTCTTCGCGTTGTTTCCGACATAGTTGGCCTGCAGCTCATTTTCATTGTGCTTGCGCCACGGCGAGGTATATTTGGTTGCCAGGACGATTTCGTCACGAATTCCGCGCTTTTCCATCCACTCGCCGATCCACATCTCGTTTTCTCCATTCTGGTAGTTGCTAGCACTAGACTCAAAATTAGCACATTTACTTTTTCCTGAAAAATCGATGAGAGAAAGGAGGTTCCTACGTATCGATGAAATTGCCGCCATTCTCATAGTATGTATCCAAGATTTTGAAAGACGTCTCTTTATCACATTTGCCGAGTCTCGCTTCCCTGTCGCCTTTAGCCGTTTGCATGATCGGGCACTGTTCTTGAAACCTACCATTTGTCTCCAAAGTTCATTGCTCCCAAGCATAGTGGACTTACCTTGACTGCCGCCGAGGGTGCGAGGACCCGGTAACGACCAAGGCGGGATTTGGGAGGTGGTGCAAGTACGCTCATTTTGATGAAATGATACTCGGGGGGGTTTAAATTGGAGGAAACCGAAGAGAAGGTTTGGGGGTTTTAAGATCTTATAAAGCAAGGAGCACAAGACCAAGTTGCGGTGTAACTTTCAGGACTTGATCCTTGGATCATGCAGGATAGATGCAGGAAAACGGTAGAATAAATATGTTCCAGAGCAGGGTGGTGCTGCCTTGAAGGCGGCATACGTAACATCCGATATTCCGATGGCATTATTAATTTGGCTTGTCTGTGCGGCCAAAATCCGCAATATACACCGTCATTGGATCTATGGTACTGATTTAGAGTGCTGATATTGGTTCCTACTAGGTACCTCCAGAGGCAATGCGGGGTTATCGGAGTAGTTTATCTCCGGTCATTTTGACACTGTCCTTTTACGACAGAAAATCAACAGCCCTTCAATGCGAAAAAAAAAAAAAAAAATGGATAGAGTAGTCTTTTGAACCGACTTTACGTCATTCTTCGAGATAAGTATATGACATGCAGGGGGCAGAAGTCAAATCGAAATTCGGCCTCAGACTCACAATCAAGTATATCATCAGGTGAGGCCGGAAACTCGCAGATTGGGTCGACGATTCTCTTAAAGTCTAATAGGAAAGAAGTAAGTACCTCGTAGCGAAAGTCACCAAAAGACCACCGGTCGACTAATGAAGTGACATGTTGACTTTGATCCTGCCCATGCAGTTCGTAATACCGGGGCCAAGTAATCATCAATGAACTATTAAACGGGCTCATCCTCAGTGGGTGGATTATGGCCGGGGCACGCGACCAGGAGACTCGAGTATATATGTGACTCTAGGTAAAGTCAATTTCATCCAAATAAGTATAGCCGAAGTTGCCTTCGTGATTGAATTACTCATCAAGTCATGAATGACTATCACATCTGCATTGATCATTGACGAACAGTATTCATAGAAGACGCCCATCTTGCCAAGGGAAATAGCATCAATTCAACGGAATTTGAAAGGAGAGGAGTACGGATGTATTAATGTGTGGTTCTCGTGTCCACTTGGGAGTATTCGAGAGTCAACAGAGGCTTGGGTATTTGCATGATCGTGTCGAGAGCGAGCTTGTAGTTGCCGAGGTCATATTGGGGTTGTTTGAGATGGATGATGCGAAGTGTCTCCATACCCACGGTTGTTGGAGCGGACATCCCAAAGACCATTTTCCTCTGTCTTCATCTTTCAAAGTTTTTAACTAATCATACCTAAGACCAAGCGAGAGGCCTGTATCTGCACCAATCTGCCAGTATTTATTATTATGCATGTGGTTCTTCGCCATTTTATGCACACTGCCACAGACAAGAAAAGTGTTCCGAGGCCCCGAGGCTCCGAGATTCTGGCTTCACCCCAAGATATCTGTGCAGGAGAAATCCGACAATACATCAATCTAATTATGCGCGTTCCTGAAGTGGCACTGAATGCAAGCAATAAGTGCAATTGGTTTTATGAGTAAAGATTGGTCACAAGTAGCTATGGCTTTTCCTTGAACGATGTTTGACATTTCATTACCTAATCTCAAATTGATAGCTCCTTGACATGTCGAGCCCTGACACAACGTAGTGTTTAAACAAACAACTTCCGGAGCACTGGTCATGTTATCTCCCTCCGGATTCGTGTAGGTGGAGTGTGAGAATGGAGCAAACATACAGAAGCAGCTACTTATTTATGCAGACTCGCGGGTAAAGCGATTAGAACTCATTGCTTTAATGATACTTGAAGGAACCGAGGCTAGAGGGATCGCAGAGAAGCATGAGAAAGGATGATGCAGCGTGAAGTTTGCTTGGAATTTGGCAAGAAATGGGGTTTGAAGGTGATTAGCATAGAGGATATAGTCAGACACATTAAGTTCTATAAGGCTTTGCTGCTCTTAGCTGGCAGGGTGGAAGCGAGGAAGACCAAATGAACTTCTAATTCATTCAATGCAAAGTAGCTGCAGTGGTGCATCTGCTATGAAATATGCGGGGTACAATATATGGATAAAAACCTATGAGAGCCTAACAGCGATCCATGCGCTTAGGTGGGCATTGGACATCAACATTGATTATTACACCGACAAGGTTATTTGGAAATATCAGTATGTGCAACCTGAGCTGTCCGTCACTCGATGGAGTGGTTAGTCCCTACGTTGTGTAACTCAGATCAGGTATCGATATAGGTATACGTATCTGGAAGATAATGATGTGACGATTGACGTTGAGCACGCTGGTTCTGGGCACTGATTCGTTAAAAGATATATCTAGTTATCAACCTTGGAAGGAATATCAACTGATATTACTGTGTTGACGCCACGGAAAAGGAATCCAAATGAGGTGGGGTAGTTGAGCGTCATAAGAAAGCTTTGCGACAGAAAGATGAGAAAACTGGGCCTCGCCGATATTGCGTCAGTGCGGGTCGGGCTGTAGCACACCTGATCATTCTACCGAGGGAAATCATCATATGATAGTGTCGTTGGGCACGGTGGACATTAGTAGGAGATACTAGGCAATGCGCTTAAAGCAGGCAGGTAAATAAAGGGAAATGGGTTGGTGGGGGGCGAATGAGGATAGGAGGTGATGCGCTTGGGTTATCGCTTGGGACCCTTGGCTTGAAGATGGGACTCAGCAGACCACCGCCAGGGGAAAGTCTATTGACCAGGATGATATTGGGCCTCAGGGTCAACCACGCCTGTTAAGAATAAATGGTGATTGGTGATGCTGGTCGTCGATCCGTATTGATAGTGGAGTCGATTGGAGTCTGTGTACCAATGATTGGGGCACGCTTTGCCAAGCTTTGGAGCATCTTTATCTACAAATGGATAGTCAAATAAGCAAACTATATACCTACAGAACGTGCAAATAAGGGCCAAGGGTACCATTCGGGTCATTTATAGATTCTGATTCGTCAATAGGTACATAGTACGGGGCTCTTTACCTTTGTTAGGTACCTGAGCTACCACATGGTGTAGGAAGTTAGTAGTAAATCGCGGGACCAAAATTAAAAACAGATGATCTGTGATTAATCCCCTGAAGAACTCTTCTTTAGCTCTTGATTCCCTTGTTCTCATTTGCTTCTGTGTCGCTGTTTATTGTTGAATATATTCCTATCTCTATACCAAATACCTTTCTTGTTCCCAAAGGCAACCCAGTCTATACCATGATGTTGGGATGGGTGACTCGGTGCCTGCCAGGGTTTAGCATCATTGGACTAGTCATTCTGCTAGTGTTTTCTTTTTCCAATATTCTTTCATCGCAGCTCTGGAGAAGTGTGTTCCCACCATGGGTTGGCCAGCCCTTCAAGGAAGGATGGTGGAGCGGACTGAATATCGCCCAGGCAATATTTGTCGTATATGCGGTGGTCATTCATATACAGATGTCCAGTTTCACCCTGCGTCTAGCCTGGTCGATCTTTCGAGTGACAGCAAAGACAAGAGAAGCTCTAGGGAGACGCCCAACGAAGAACTTCTCTGTCTCGCCATCGCCATCTGCCCAGGACGAGGGATACAGCAGCCAGCCGATCTCGCCGGTCTCGCTACCCTCTCCAGGCCCATATACCGAGAAAATCAACCTTATAAACATAGGAAGCGACCCCATCGAGGATGAGTTAATCCACGCTATCATTTTGCCAAATTATTGCGAGGGCCTTCACACCCTGGAAACGACCCTCAAGGTGCTGGCCAGTCACCCTCGGGCCAAGTCACAATATGAAGTGGGTTAGCCAACAAAAGAAAGATGGCTGAGTTGGAACGCTGACCAGAATCTTGATAGGTTTATCTCGCCATGGAGCAAAAGGAGGCTATCTCCCTCGATAAAGCAGCACATCTCGTTTCTACCTTCGAGCGATCCTTCCTTCATATCCGCCCTACGTTCCATCCATCCGGTATACAAGGAGAGATTGCAGGCAAGAGTTCGAATGTTGCTTTCGCAGCCAAGCGAATTGTGCAAATTCACAACGCAGAGCTGCGTGCAGATTGTTGTCAGGTGGTGGTCACAGTCATGGATGGTATGTATACTCCAATGCTATTGGTGCGAGAATAGTGAACTAATCTATGTCATGCAGCTGACACGCATCTTTCATGCGATTACTTCACCGAGATTCGTCGCCTTCACTACTCTAATATTGAGGACGCAGACCGTGCAATTTACTGCTGTCCCATAATATTCGATCGCAACTCAAATGACACTCCCATCTTGGTCCGATGCGCCGATCTTCTATGGGGATTCGCAGGGCTCTCCACCATGTGGCCGGGAACACCCATTTCTATCCCCACATCGGTGTATTCCCTACCACTTTCTCTTGCAGAGAAGGTCGGCGGTTGGGATAGTGACCCGACTGCGATTGGAGAAGACATGCATATGATGCTCAAATGTTACTTCGAAACAGCAGGCAACATCATCTGCCAGGTGGTATACATCCCAGCGAGCCAATGCAATGTCTCAAGTGACGGTAGCCGCGGTTGGACACGAACGATGGATACTCTTATCGCTCGATATCGCCAGGCGCTGCGACACATGTGGGGCGCGCTTGATTCCGGCTTCGCGGCACGACGAACATTCGGCTACCTCCGCTTCCACAAGCGGTGCTCATTCTTGAGTCTGAGGCACTTTGCACTTTCGCATTTGCTTTGGGAGGCGCACTTTTTACCATGTCATCTGGTTATCATCATGATTTTCTCTGTGCTGTATACAGTCTTGACACCTGCGTCGCAGCTGCATCCGACTTTGGCACGGGCTTTTTTTATCAATGATGTCCTGCGAACATCAGCATTCCTTGGGATGAATTTCTGTATTGCTTTGTATGATCGGTGGCATACGATTTGTCTAAAATCGCGGATGAAGGATATGTATGTAGCTAATGTGCCGGACACGGGCTTCTCCCCCCGTGTCTGGTATAAGCCGCAGCACCTTCTGGAGAGAATCTGCTTCCCGATTGCTGGAACACTCTATGGTGCTATTCCAGCTTTGCATGCGGTGTTCTCTCACTTCTTCACCGATCGACTGGTGTATCGCGTTAGCAAGAAACCAACCTTCAGTCTAGAGGCCGTGGGTTTGGCATGAGGCCCATGACCCCAATTTCTTTTGGTTCTCTAACGGCGGAAGATTGTTTTAATGCGGTTAATATGTGTTTCTGATCATGTACAGATCTGGGATCATTAATGGGGTAATGTGTAATGAGAGCGATAAGAAGTTCGGCGCGGGGTTACATCCACAGGGTTTTGATTCGCCGTAGGGTCCGCGAACACGAACCCACTTTCTCCAACAAGTTGGAGTCACTGGGGAATATCACGAAGTCGGGAACACAATATAAATCATCTCCAAACCTCCTCCCTCCAAAGCTACTTAGTTCTGTCCTCTCTAGTAGAAGCTCTGAAAATGGCACCTACTCGTCGAGTCGCAATTATCCAATGGCATATCAAAGTACGACTCCCCGATATCCGAGCCAATGCTCCATCTTATCTATGACGCAAGTGCCGACATGCCGCTAACATATCTCTAGGAGCTCGCCATTGAAGAAAACCACGCCACTGCGTGTGAGTATATTCGGCAAGCAGCTGCACAAGGCGCCGAGCTCGCTGTTCTACCCGAGTAAGTTCTACTCTCTGTGGCAACAATACTAAGACTGACTACAACCATAGATACCATCTAAGCGGCTGGGTCCCTACGGATCCGCGCTGGACAGAGCAAGCCGGCCAATCAGCAACATACCTGTCTAACTACCAAGCACTCGCAAAAGAGCTTAAGATCTGCCTGGTTCCTGGAACTATCATCGAGAAGCATGCAGGCCCTGACGACAGCAACCTGTTTTATAATACGGCGTACTTCATCTCCAACGACGGCAGTATCCTCGGAAACTATCGCAAGAAAAACATCTGGCACCCTGAGCGGCCACATCTGACCTCATCGGGACTGGAAAGCCATGCAGCTATCGACACGCCGATCGGTCGGATCGGAATGTTGATCTGCTGGGATCTGGCATTCCCCGAGGCATTCCGCGAATTAATCGCCGATGGTGCGGAGATCGTTATCATACCTACTTTCTGTAAGATCCACATCTGAACTTGGAGTTTTGTTTGGAGAATTGTTTGACTTATTTGCTCTTCTTAGGGACTCCGCATGATGCTTCTGCTGAGGCTTTGAGGCACAACCCGGCTTCCGAGGCTCTGTTCCTCTCTTCCACACTGACGACTCGTTGTTATGAGAACACTTGTGGCATCATTTTTGTCAATGCCTCGGGACCAGCGGAAGATTTCCTTGGTATGTCACAGGTCACATTGCCTATTGTTGGCCCTGTAGCGAAGATGGGTAATGAGGAGGGTGTGCTTGTCGCAGACATGGATCTGGATTTGTTAGATATTGCTGAGAAGAACTATAAGGTGCGCGAGGATATCAAGAAGGAAGGGTGGCATTATGTATACCGGCATAGCACGAGTCAGTAAATCGAGGGTGGCGTGTGTCAATCAATGTACGCTGAGTCATGGAGCGACATGATACGATATTATCGGACCAATACAGATCGACGCTACAATAAGTATTTCTAACGTTATCCACCGCAAAGCATCATAATAATCTTTCTTTCATAGAGAGAGGCTGAGAATCTCTTCTTGCTTCTATTCTGAGCGGTGTTAGAGCCCCAGCTCAAAATATTAATAGTTTTACCAGCACTTTCAACGTCTTATTATTACCCCACAGGCCAAGAATACTTTCGAAGATCCCTAAAAAGAAAATCCATTGCTTGTCTAGTCCCAAATTGTTGGTCACACCCTGAATTTCCGTCAAACCCTCCCAGACTCTCCATAAACCTCGTCATACTCCTCTACCTTTTGGATCTGCGACATTGATAAACGACCAGTCTTTGACCGTAAAATACCAGTACTAGCATCCACAATCGGCCGCATGAACCCATGAGTAACACTGTTCTTATCCTCTTTGTCGCAGAACTTGAACCATGTATCACCTAGACCCGTTGGCTTACAATTGATATATATAGCCTCCCAGTTCCCACGGGGAACAACATAAGTCTCATGGTAGATAGCCAAGTGAGGGTTACTCTTAGTAATTTTATTCCAATACCGCACGCCGTTCATGTGCAGCTCGCCATACGCAAAGCGATGAAGAGAGTCATAGTCGCGGAGGTAGAAGACTGTTTTCATCTCATTGCCTGCTGCGTCCTCCTGTTTCATCCAACGAGTAGAACCCAAAAGTCCAGATTTTTCTGGATCAGCCTGCATATCTTTCAGCATTTCCAGCGAGCTGTCGCGGAGGCCTTTCATGCCGGGCGCAAAAATTCCGAGTGGATGATTGCTTCGGGCGCCGAGATGGAAGACCACGATCTGCTCGCGGGACGGTTCATTGCCGAAGCTGCCATCTGGGTAAGGGATCTGCGGGCTATATTTGGTAGGTATCGTGCCTTCCATGTAGCGGTTCCGGGTGATGCGGAAAGACATCAAGACGTGGTCCACAAGTCGATATAGTAGGGTCAGAACTGTTGGTAGGATTGCGATAGGGCCGAGGGCCATCAAACACAGCCCCTGGAGTAAGCCACCTATCAGCAGCCAGCTGGAGAGTGTCAAGGTATCCCGAATCACGACTGATAATGATGGGCTTTTACTGGGAATTGTTGTTGCACCTTTGGGATTCTGGTCATCTTGTGGGAGGATGTGAGGTGGAACAAGAGGTTTGAAAGTCGCCATGATGTCGATGATGCGAGGGGGATAGTGATTGTTTAAAGGAAAGAAGGGCAGATCAGCCTCTTTATATCATGGAAATTACCTGGGTAGGTGCAGACGAAATGACACCGGTTCTTGCGGCTGCCTTCGACACTTTGAAAATTACAGGCAAGGGAGCGAATCGGAAGCAAGTATTCATAATCAGCACTTCGTAGTGCATGTTGATCATGTACAGTTTTCAGCCTGAGACAGATATTTAAATCAATATTGACCGGTCTAGGCTGTTTTGAGCGAGTGAGGGGCCGGAAAACCAGCTTTTGGCGAGTTGTGAGCTGGCGTAGAAACCAACATGCGGAGATTGAGTGGGGTTAAGAGATGTCTAACCAATCATGCTTAACCTTGTAGCTTCCTATAACAGTTAGTCACAGTGCCTCATCGTGGGGGCCAGACCGGCAGAGAAACCTATTGTTTCGAGAGTTTTGCGTGGGCGCGCAGAAACTCCATTGTGGACAACACACCTAATGAGGCATAGACGGGAAGAGGAGTAACCTTTCATATTTTCAGAACTTGCACTCGTGCCATCATCCCAAAGCCAAGTGAATACTCTACTTCACAGCCCCTACCCCGCGAAACTCATCTTGTGTAAGACTATGGGCATATATATCTTTACTACCGTAATGAACGGCACTCTTTGCAAGTCTCAAGGGTGCGATCTAAAATGTGCCCTACATCCTCTTCACAGTCGCGTCGTTGTCGATTTACAGCCTCATATTCCGTGGCACCAGGCCGTCGTCTTCTTGGCCATTACAAAAGTTAACATGTGGTGAGAATTTTATATGCCCTCATGATGTGGTCAATGATTCTAAGCGCTTACCTATCGACCTATACTTGTTGAATATAGCTCGTCAGTCCAGAACCATTTGTTCATAAAACTTCACTCTCTGAAATACTCATCGTCAGTTACGAGAAAAGAGGATCGTCTGGGGAAAGATGATCTGAAGATTCTCGGTTGTGCGGGCTTCAGTCTCTATCTTGGATAATCTGGTAAGGTTCCACATTTTCAGTTATAGCACTTTTCATCTTCACGTATTGCACCTCATCCCATACGTCCTTTGCAATGTCGCTCTCTCGCAAGACGAAGAAAAACTTTTCCATGATTGGCAATGCGCTATACCATTCGAAAACAGATAGCTGCTCCGCACAGTCCTTCAGTCCATGCGCAGCCCACGCAAAATCTCCAGTTCCACGACTGGCAAGACAGCTCAAAAAAAACATCCAAAAGAGAAAATCTGGAGCTGTGGCTTTCAAAAGCCCTAAACATCCCTTGAGACTTTCACGGAGCATTCGAACGAGATTTAAAGTACATGGCTTCCTTGGAAACGACCAAATACGTGTCATAGAGTAAAGACAAATCGAGATCCGGATTGTCTCCTGAAAGGGATTTAGACGAGCCTTGAAAGACGGTGCCAAAAGCTGCCGAGACACCAACACCAGATAGTCATTTTCCAAGACTGAGTGACTTTGCATCTTGATGTTTTGCTCGTGGTAGGGAATCAGCTGCTGGAGTGACTGGATAACGTCTGCTAAGTCGAGAGGTATAACATGAGACCAAGGCGAGGTGAAAAATGCCGTCCCTAGAACTATATGTCTGTTCAAGTGTTTGTTTTTGGCAAGCAAGTTCGAATCTGTGAATACTTCTTTTTCCCATTGGGGAGGGATTTGGAACTTGGGAGGAACATCAGAGGTCATTCCCGCCACCAGATCGGCACTAGGAAATACGTCAGCCATTCACCCTCGCCCTGGTGACCAGCAATAACTCACAAAATGAGTAAAGAGACCGTAGTATGGTTTAGCACATCTAGCCCTCCTAGCATCGCGATGATCATTTGAAGGCCACGGGCATGCGCCTCGGCGGCTTTGGTGTTACCTACTGCTGACTCCAAGACTTAGCCTAGTCCGCAATTCCAATATCATTGTCAAAGGGAACAAACCTCTAAGCCGCAGAGAAGAACTATTGCCACAATAAGGTCCTTTTTATCTGACCCAGGGCCTTCCTCAATTGCACTTTGTAATGACTTGATTATTTGGGCCCTCAGTGCTAAGAAGTCCTGTACCGATTGGCTCCTCACGTCTGCTGCGGAAGCGCTGTCACCGAAACTTACAGCTCGCGATGAAGCGGCACTTGCAAGGAGAACCAGTAGTAGTAACGGGAGATCCTTTGAAGTTTGAGTGCATACTATCACCATATGAGCGGAGCAGAGTGGAAAACACATTCTGGAGGTATAAGTTCGATCTATGGTACGTGTTAGCAAGTCACAAGCCTCTTTGCACGAGACTCACGCCATATTGAGCTTCAAACTTTACATTTGATAGATACATACAGTATTGAAAATAGAAGTCCAAACTGGCATTCGTCGATACAGAGAATACAGGAAAGGCCTCTTGGACCCCTACCCCAAGCGCCCGATGAACCACCAATCGGGTGAGTCTCTCCTTGCTCTCGTATGAGTCGTCCGATTCTTGCTTTTGACCTGCGGGGTAAATTTCATGCGCATGTGCGGGTAATACTTGAATGGAGTCTTTTAAATCCTGGAGTTGTTTGGCCTTGCGCAATCGATGGCTTTTGGATGCTAAGAAGGATTGTGTCTGTCCAATATTCGTCTTAGATCGCAGGTTTTGGCCTTCCAAGTTGACCCAGAGATATTCATTCTGGCGTTTTGGGGGCCGAAAGTTGATCCTGCGGGAGGCCTTTGAGCTTTGCTGGTGTACACCTATGTCGGGTGCCGCCATAATGAGCGAGTCGGATCTAGTACTGGCTGGAAGGTAGGATGTATACCGAATCGATATGATTAATACAAGAATCCAACGTGAGACCAATACGTCAGTCGGAGAAGTGTGGACTTGAATAAGTTTTTTTCGATGGTAAAGGTGCCACGCAATCGCACTAACTTTAGTGTACATTTTCTATCAGCTGTAATGCCGACAAATTGCAGGGATATGGTCCGTGATTCCACGGTCATCCAATAATAACTGCCTCCCTCTTGTATTTGACCCCGTCCGAACGTTTGAATGGAAAAGAAACAATGTTTTCCCCCCGAAACGGTCCAAAGATTGGTTCAATGTAGCCGGTCACTCGGGCCTAGAGGACCCGCCAATTTGAGCCCCTCGTCGGCGGCCCGATTAATCCCCTAGCCTAAACTGGTGATTTGGCCCTTCCCGTTTGTACTCTGCATGTGGTAAATGGTTCAGTATTGTAGGGGATAATTCATGCTAGCCCAAATTGATCAGGGGAATTAGATTGTTTCCCACTATAGTTTTTTTTGGCCAAAGCAAGCTTTATGTTCAAGTGACGCGAAAGTGAAAGAAGTGCAGTGGTATAGATCGCCAACTGGTATTCCCACTTCATACGTCTATATCAATTGACGGCCTTTCGAGTTTCTTGAAAGTTGGTCAATTACTTTGACTGTCATTGCCTGGGCAATTTGTTTCTTTTATCTTGACAAGGAACGAGCACGTGGGGATGTAACATACACGAGTAGTGCCAGAATGCCATCTGATTAGGTTCAGTATCAACGTTCTACTTTCAGCTCTTACGCCCTACTATACGTAAGCTAAGTTGGCTCAATGCTCCAAAGATCGAGATTTGGCCAGGTGGTCGCTGATCGCGACTCGTGTACAGTCCACGGCTAGGCAGCACATGAATACACACTCCACCTGCCCGTCTATCCGAGATCCCGCGATGCCCTGTAGGGCAGAAATCCATTCTTTACGGGGCTCCGGCGGAGACCCCATATTAGGCGTTCCAGGAGCATGTGGCGCATCCAAAGTTTCATGATTTTCTTTGAGTATCACCAATGAACGTAGCCGTTTATCTCACAGTAGGAGCTTATCTGCGTTTGGGGGCCGAAACGCTTGCATTTGGGGCTAAAGAGTACTGGGAAAGGCTTGATTTACACAACCAATGAGGAAGAGGCTGTAGTTGGGTGCATGCAATGTGACCAATCATGGCACCTGGACACGAAGAAAGGCGCATCGGACAGAAAAGAGAAATCCACTAGGTAGATATGAGATAACAACTCACTATGTGCACGCTAGCAATCACGAAAGCTAGACACCCTTGTCGAGCTTGCAATCATTTAGCCGGTGTAGAGTATTTAATCGCCCAAGTGGACTCTTTATTTGTATTTAAGTGGCAATGATTCGGCATAATGGCCGCTCAAGTATCTAGTTGCTCGTCTGGACGTTTGGGTTGAACTATTGCGATTCTTCACGTCTTCCATGATGGTCTCAAACAACATGGTTACAACAACCTCAGGCAGGCTTTGGGGAGAGGAGAGGCTCTGTTTGCCCTCACGGCGAGGGTCAAGCTTTGTGGCCGATCTTGTTGGAATGGGCTTCTGCATCGAGCTACTCATCGCCCTAGGACCTATACTGATCCTTCTACTCTGTGCACCATTCAACTTCTTCCGCCTTCGAAAAGAGTCAATCAAAGTGGTTCGAAACTATGGAGGCATTTGGAAACTGGTATCGCATTCTTCGCTCTTTATAAAGAGAAAATCATTCTGACGTTTGTTGATAGATAACAGCAGCTGCCTTGACCCTTCTCCAACTGACGAATTTGATTTTTGAAATCAAATTCGGATCTCATGCATTGTACCTCTACTCGGCTGCAGGTACCTTTGCAGTCTCTGTGTTCATCCCATATTTATCGTTTCTGAACCACAGTCGCTCTCAGTGCCCATTTGATGCTCTTGGAATTGTTTTGTTTCTCTCCGTCGGTCGCGATCTTGTGCAAATTGCACTCTTGCATCTTACAGATTCCCACCAGTGTCAGATTTCCATCCTCAATGTGGCTCTCATCACAGTCCAGGCGGCTCTTTTAATGCTAGAATTGCAAAGCAAACGCTCAATCCTTCGTGAGGCATGGCGAGATCTGTCATTCGAAAAAACAGAAAACCTCTTTAGCCGGGTATTCTTTTGGTGGGTGAACCCTCTACTGCGAAGAGGGCGAAACGAGTTATTCGAAGTGGAAGATCTTCCTCCGCTCCCCAGAGAGCTATCCTCTAAGCTCTTGAGAGAAAAAAATGGAACAGTGCTGGCAAGTCCGTTGTAAGTCATTACATGTACCTCTGGTACCACCTGCAATACAACTGGCTATCTTTACAGGTAACTGATGCACCTGAGCACACAGCAAAGCCTGAGAGAAGATATGCGCTTGCATTGGCACTAATGAAATGCACGCTTTGGGAAAACATATGGGTCGTTCCTTACATGCTCTCGGCTATATGCCTTCGATATGCGCAACCCATTCTGATATCCCAGTTGATACGCTTCGTTAATGATTCTACGACTGACGATGTACGAACCATACAAGGAATTCGGTTGATCTTGTCAGCCGCGGTGATCTACATTGGTCTACCTGTCAGTCTCTTATCCACGATTTTGTTTTTTTCTGGCTTACAATTCTTGCAGGTCCTGAATGGTCAACGAGACACTGCTAAGAGAAGAGTGACCATTGTGTCAAAAGGATCACTAATGAGCCTCATTCACGACCACGCCCTGAAGTCTAATAATGATGATCATTCTGCCATTACACTCATTGGAAATGACGTCGAGGATGTGCAGATGGCCATGGGATGGTTCCATGTTATTTGGTCGTCGCTCCTTTCATTGAGTCTAGGACTCTATTTGCTCACGGCTAAACTTGGCTGGGTCAGCGTGGTCCCAATTGTGCTTGTAGCGAGTAAGTGGCTCCATTGTCATTTATTGACATGACGAGCTTTTCAAACTAATATGATGTAGTCTCCTCACAGGGCGGGAAATATGTCTCCAAGAATTTCGTTTCGAAACAAAGAGCTTGGAGCGACGCAACCCAGACACGAATAGGTCTTACTAAGACAGTCCTAGAGCACATGAAGTCAATCAAGATGATGGGATATTCGCGCGAAATAGAAGAGAAGGTTCAAGCAGCTCGTGACAGTGAGTTAACGGCAGGTCTTGCTACGTATTGGCTTGATGTCCTCCTAGGATGCTGTGGTAAGTATACCCTTCATTCCGACACCCGTCAGTCACTAATAAGTGTTGCTCATCAAGCTAGCTTCATAAATGTCGTCGGCCCTGCGATTACACTTGGTATCTACACGATTGTGGCAAAACTCACTGGAAGCCCGCTTCTTGATACAGACCGAGTCTTCACTTCATTTGCTTTAATTCAGATGGTCACACTTCCAGCAAACTCAATCCTGTTTCTCGTTCCGGAATTTATCGCCGCCATTGCAGGATTTGACAGAATTCAAAAATTCCTTCTGGAACCGACACACGAAGACAGTCGCCTGGGTCTCGCTCATCGCACTCCAGTATGTTCAGTCGATGTAGACTTGTTGAGCGAAGATTCAGCAGGTCGACCAATCCATTCCGAAGGAGATTATTCTATCAATTTAAAAAATGTGTCAGTCCGTTTTCATACCGAAGGTCCTCCTGTCCTGAGGGACATCAACATTGAAATAAAGCCCGGATGGCTTGTGATGGTCACAGGTGTGACTGGATCAGGAAAGACGGCTCTAGCAAGAACAATCATAGGTGATTTGCAGCCCGAAAGCGGATTGACTTCAACATCCTCCCGGCAAATGGCTTTCTGTGCTCAGTCACCGTGGTTACCAAATGGCACAATTCGTGATTTGATCGCTGGACCCCCAGGGTCTAAGGTGACAGACGAGAAGTGGTATCAAAGAGTCCTCCATGCTTGTGATCTACAATATGATCTTTCCAAACTTCCTAATGGTGATTTGACTTTTCTTGAAAGTGGAGGAAACTCTCTATCCGGGGGTCAGAGGCAACGAGTAGTATGTGAGCTTTCCATACTTGATAAATCCATTTTAGCTAACAACGAGGATAGGCTCTCGCTCGTGCTATATATTCTCGCTTGGATACCCTGGTTTTGGATGATGTCTTCAGCGCGCTTGACGTGCGGACGGCACGTTGCGTGGCACAACGATTGATGGGACCATCAGGACTATTTCGTGAACTCAAGAAGACTGTACTTTTGATCACGCATTCAAGTAAGAGACATTCAAGGTCGCAGCTATCTTGAAAGTTGTAATGAACGATCTAACATCTCGTTTAGCTCAATTCCTTTCACTTTCAGATCTCGTCCTCACGCTTGTGGATGGATGTATATCTGAGCAAAGCACTTGGGATCAACTTAAGCCCCAGAACTGGTCGTCCGATAAGCAAGTTGACGAAGATATACCAGTCAAGAATCTGTTCGACAACACCCTGGAGGAACAGCCTATATTAGCCTTAGATATTTCCAATCCGGAGCGATCGATGGATTCTGTCCGGCAAATAGGAGACAGTGCCATTTATCAACACTACATTAGCGCAATTGGAAAATCACGAATCATTACCACGCTATTGATCATGATATCATCTGCTACCTTCGCAATGCTGATCCAGAATTGGCTTCGGTGGTGGACAGCTGATAAAGAAGCAAACCAACGAACATGGTTTTATATAGCCGTCTACCTCGTCCTCGCTCTAGGACACTGGATCTCACTGACCGGGATCGCGGCCGTTTCGTTGCTAATTGTGCCCACATCTGGTCGCAGCCTTCATAGCCAGCTCCTGAGAACGGTCATAAAGGCCCCACTGTCGTTTATCACATCCACTGATATCGCCATAACACTATCAAGATTCAGCCAGGACATGAAGCAGGTCGACCGTCGCCTTCCCGATCAGGTTGCCGGACTGGGAAGTCAAGCTTTCAAACTCCTTGCCCAGGTCCTTTTGCTTTTCATGACGCAGACATATATTTTATTCACCTTCCCTGCTCTCGTGATTGTCGTTTACGCGATTCAAAAGATATACTTATTCACCAGTCGGCAACTGAGATGGCTAAGCATGGAGGCAAACTCTCTTCCAAGCAACAATTTTCTGGAAACGGTTCACGGTATCACGACTATCCGCGCTTTTGGATGGGAAGAAGAGTATGCTATTGATAACAGTAATGCAATCGATACCTCCCAGGTACCTTCTTTTACTCTTCTCGCCATCGAACAGTGGCTCGCCTTAGTCTTGGATCTAATTGTTGCGGCTTTGGCACTTCTGACTGTGACTATGATAGTCACTCGTGATACTGTTTCCGCTGGTGAGGTGGGAATCAGTATGAACGTGATTCTAACCGTCAACATCACACTCCTGGTGACAGTGCAGTCTTGGGCAAACTTTGACGCTTCCCTTGGGGTTATTTCTCGCATCAGGAACTTCTCGATGACTGTTCTCCCTGAGACCCAGTCCAAAGAAACACTCTTGACACCTGATTCATGGCCGGCCAATGGCGCAATTAAGTTTGACAAAGTCATTGCAGACTATGCTCTACAGAGCGACAAAGACTCGACTTCCCCAGCAGCCCATGCTCTGAATAAGATATCTTTGGAACTTGCCCCAGGCCGCAAAATCGGCATTTGTGGTCGCACTGGCAGTGGCAAATCATCTCTACTCCTCAGCATTCTCCGTTTGGTTGATCTATCTGAAGGAAGCATCAAAATTGACAGCTTGGACATCGCATCAATTTCCCGAGATGCCCTGCGGTCCAGAATTATCACAATCCCCCAGGACCCATTCGTTCTCGCCAGTGATAGTATCCGGAATAATCTTGATATCCAGAGAACGAATTCGAAACAGGACGTATTGGCTGCTTTGGAAAAGGTTCATCTGCGGGCTTTACTAGACGCTAGAGCTGAGAATACGGGCTTCAAACCCGAACAGTATCTGGATTTACCGATGAAAGATTGGACTTTATCTCAGGGACAAATGCAGCTCTTTACACTGGCCCGGGCACTTTTGTCACGCTCTTCACGTGGGAAGGTCTTGTTACTTGATGAAGCCACCGGGAATATAGATAAGGAGACCGATGAATGGGTTCAACAGGTTGTTCGTGAAGAGTTTCGGGGGTATACAATGATTGTGGTTGCTCATCGACTTGAAACCATTGCTGATGCCGATTCAATTGTGGTGATGAACCGGGGGCAAATTGTTGAGATGGGGTCATTTGATGATTTATGGCAGAAGGACAACAGTGCCTTCAGATCTATTTTCGGGCGCAATGAGTCTTGATCACTTCGTGAGGTACAACAGTTCGACAACCAAGATAAATATTTGGACGTCTTTTTAACCTACTTCTTGCCCAGCGCAGCAAATTAAATTTCAGACCAGATTCTCTTTTACCGAAATCCTAGGCGCTCACACCCAAAGGTCATAAATAGTCTCACTGACATGGATCCGAGGGTCGAGCGAAATGCGTTATCATATATATTGGTTACAATCAAGCAAGGGTTCAAAGTACATTCATTCTACAGCATGTTCTTGAATAGTACAAACCCGAAAAATCAGGCGGCATTCTATCTGAATTACAATTAATATACAGGTCATTGAGTCTCAGAATATTAATCTCCAGGGCTTGGCGTCGAACTATGAATCCTCAAATTATATTCAAGAAATCTACATGCGACACTCAGGAATATTTTAAAGTATTTACTTTCAGCAAAGCCATCATGGACAAAAATCATTAGTTGATACAGTCGTCATCTAGAATAGGCTCAACGAGGAAGAAAAACATGATGACATAGGAAAACGGTATAGAGCTCTCAAATTCGGGGGCAGCAAGAAAGAAAAGGGGAAAAGGGGGGGCGTAAACAAATCTTAGATGCAGACAGTACCCCCAAAGAGGAAAATAACATCAAGGCATGATGCAACTCCACTCCTGCTGCAAAGCGCAGATCGAACAGACAATATGAATATCCCGAAACCCCCGCTAACCAGGACCAAGACGAACAACAGCTCGAAAAATAAACCAAGCATAGGAGTGTTGGTGGGCCCGTGACTCTGAGCGATGGATGCAACGCAAGAGTGCTTGGTATAGTCAAAGATTTTCCGTGTCGTTGCAAGGTCACGAAAAGGGACACGGTGGGCCAAACTCCTCCAACGCGTATTAAGTTCAATCATACAGTGGGTTATTCTGGTCGTTTCCTCCACGCTTGTCAACATCTGTCCTTTACTGGACTTGGCTGACAATCTCGCTGGCACGAGACAGGCTCTCAACCATCTGCTGACACTCCTTCCGCCGGCGGGTGGTGTAATCGCTCTCCTTGAGAAGGTCGTCCAGCTCGTTATTGCGGTACATATACTCAAGGAGCTCGCCCTGCATTGTGTCCTTGGTAAATCTAGAGATTTGGTTAATACTCAATTAGGGAACTTTTAAAAGCGAGGGGAAACATACTGCACCAGGGTGTACATGACTGCCTTAGGAACCATGTCGATCATGGTGCGCTTCACAATGTTGAAGTAAGAGGTGATCAGGAGCTCTGTCCAAAGAAAATTAATAATGTGCCCACTAAACATGGAATAATTCAGGGTCACGTACTGATAACCTCCACCTCAGTGGCCTCTCGCTCGGAGAGACTGGCAGAAGCCTTGAGGGTGGGCGGCGGCGCTTCCATGGCAGCCATCTTCTTCTTGTTCTTCGAAGCCCAGAAGCTACCGAAGAATCCGCTACCGTTGATAGCTTCTCCAGTAGTATCGAGAGATGGGCTAGCGGCACGGGCTGGTAAGGGCTTGCCAGTCTTGGGGTCCACTTGGGTAGGCTTGGCGGCGTGCTGGCGCTCATTCACAATGGACATAGCCTATAACAAAGTTAGCTTTGCCTGGGGGTTATCAGAATTGTAGGAGCTTACGCGGTGTCCGTTAAGGAAGTCAGGATGACCAGTGTTGATATAGGTTGCCTCCATGGCAATCAAATCCTTGACCAGTTTGGTGGTGGGCTCCATGCACTTCTTGAAGAATGCAATAACTACAGCATGGAACTTCTCCTTCAGCATAGGATAGCGACGGAACAGCTGCTTGGTCAGGAGTTGACCGAGGATGCGAACCAACTCGTCAAAGACAAGTGAGATACACTTCACACTAGGCTCCTCCAGACGCTTAATCTGTTGCTTGACAATCAACTCAAAAGCAGTGGTGCCGACGAAAAGTGCTGGAGATGAACCAGATGAGTTGTAAAGGATGGTGCGGATATCGATGTCCTTCACTTGGTCGAAGGGGTCAACGGCCTTGATACCGTTCGAGTAAAGCTCGTGGAACACGAAGCTGATACGAGCACCACCCGACAATTCAATGCTAGATAGCTCCTGGTTGTTTCCTTCTAGGACAGTACGGTACTCGTTGCTGAACTCCGTAATGATGTTAAGAATAATGTTAGCGCTGTTGCCAAGCATCGAGTCACCAAGCTGCGACAGCTCCGAGGTGTACTTCTGAAGGGAGGAGGAAATGCGACCCTTAATATCGGGCAAGGTTTGCTTAATGTGCATCATGAGGATCTAGAAGATACGAAATCGATGTTAGTCTGCCGACTTCATGTCTCATGTCGCATGATGAGCAAGACTTACCAGGTTCAGCTTCCGGGCCAAGTACGGAGTTCCACAGTACGAGGCCTTGTTACGGTATGCCTTGTGGTTCTCAAAGAAGTTCTTCTCGTTCTCCAGAGCGTAGGCAATGAGCTTCTTGTTCTCAATGTCACGCTGACCACGGTTGACAACCGGCACGTATCCAAGGCGCAAGGGGATAATCCGTCCAGCGAGAATATCCACCACATCGGTGCCGTCGTCCATCAGATCAACCTTACTCAACACACCGATAGTGCGCTGTCCCTCCGGGTCCACCTCACGGGCCAACTTCAGACCGTCAGAGTTGGCCAGATCCTGGTTGGCCGAGGTCACGGCCAAAATGATGGCATTGGGCTTGCTGATATATTTGAGCACCATATCCTTGATTTGGCGTTCGATATCCTTGGGCTGGTCTCCGACGGGGACCTTGGTCAAACCAGGCAGATCGACCAGGGTCAGGGTGAGAACGTTGGGCGAGTAGATGCGCAGGTTGATGGGAACTGGCGAAATTCCGGCATTTTTGCCGACCTTGGTCTCCGTCTCACGGACAATCTCCTCGCGGATCTTGTTGAAATCAAAGAACTTCTCGCCGGGCAAGTGTAGGAACTCTCCATACTCGTCAACATTGGACTCGCTATCCGTTGTCTCCAACTTTCCGTCGCCGTTCGATTGGGTGCTGGCAGCCTTGTTGATCAACTGCAGAATGAGAGGTCTCCGGGTAACAATTCCTGAGCCACGGGGCAAGCTAGATGTGAAGAAGCGGGTGGTTAGCAATGGCTGACGACGACACCGGGAAGGGCCCCGCCACCGCTGCGGCGCAGGAGGTTCGGTGGTGGGAATCCCCTCGGAAGCGGAGAATGAGCGCATACAAATCACGACCGACGATGTTCTCTAGTACTGAACTCTTTCCGCTTGACTGCGATCCGACAACGGCAATTTGGGGCAGATCGATCGGGTTGTGTACCTAAATCCAAAGCGGTGGTGTCAGTCCAAAGGCAAAGAGACCACGGTAACCGTATATAGGAGCTCGCATATACTCACGCCAACTGTGGAGAACACATCCTGAAGCTTGTTGACCAGCGAAATCAGGCTGGGATCATTCACGTTTATGCTGCGCACTATGTTAGCTTGGCCGTATCGGAGTGGAGGGGGACAGGGGGGCTCGGGGATGCGCACGAGTAGCCGGTGGTCGGGCTTGCCATGACAGGCGATATGAAAATTGAACAGGCAAAGAAATTAAAATCCGAAGTAGTTTTTTCTCTTGAAATCTCAAACAAGAGGAAGCAAAGAGCGAACCGAGTATCGACAGATGGGAAAGCGGAAGTGTGTTTGTTGGTGTGAGAGCAAAGGCGGTGGAGGTAGAGTGGCGGACGTAGGCATCCACTTGTTAAGTATTGGTCTAGACTTCTGATTGGAAGTTAGGTACAAATGCTATCTACACTGCCGCCTGATGTGACTATCACTTCTAATGAAACTGCGTTTTCTATAACTTTATACCTAGAAGCGAAATCTTTCTGCCTCAAATAAGAAGAGATTGGTTTGAACATAACTACAGGGTAATGTGCTAGCGAAAGGCCGGAAAATATAACATGTACGCAAAATGCAAAAAGATGCCGCCTACTCGTCGGAGACAGAAGCAAAGCGGTCAGACATGGACTGCAGGATCTTCTCGTACTTGGCCGAAACCTCCTCCTCGTTGTCGGGCACCTCAAACTTCATGTTCCGCAAGGCACTCTGAAGGTCACTAGTGGCATCGCGGACCTTGCTCCATTGCTGGCCCTGGGCGATAGCCTTCTGGGCCTCATCGTGGTAGCCCATGAATGCCTTCATCATGTACTCAGTCTTCCACAGAGGGCAGAACTGGTCGTAGTCACTGTAACCGTTCTGCTGGAGGAAGTCATCCTTCAGCATAGCAGCCACGTCCAGAGTGATCTTGTCCGAGTCACCGAGCGCTGCCTTACCGACAAGCTGCACAACCTGATCCAGGTCCTCAGACTTGGACAGCAATTCACGGATGTGGTCGCGCAGGCGGGGGAAGTCTGGGTTGTGTTGCTCGTAGTATTTATCCAGAACGGAGTTGTACTTGCTGTAGGACATCGAGGTGTTGACCGAGGGGAAGTGCTTCCGCTGGGCAAGCTTCTTGTCGAGACCCCAGAAGACCTGGACGATACCCAGGGTACTACTAGTGACGGGATCGGAGAAATCGCCACCAGGCGGGCTGACGGCACCGACGATGCTGACACTGCCCACACGCTCGGGGCTACCCAGGGCGTTGGACTTGCCGGCACGCTCGTAGAAAGAGGCCAGCTTGGCTCCCAGGTAGGCAGGGAAACCCTGATCAGCAGGCATCTCACCAAGACGACCGGAGATCTCACGCAGAGCCTCAGCCCAGCGAGAACTGGAGTCAGCCATCATAGCAACGTTCTTGCCCTGGTCACGGAAGTATTCGGCAATGGTGATACCGGTGTAGATAGAAGCTTCACGGGCAGCCACAGGCATGTTCGATGTGTTGGCGATCAGACAGGTACGCTTCATGATAGGCTCCTTGCGCCCGTCGACAGTGATGGACAGCTATAGGCAAAATATAAGTCAACACCAAGCCATCAGTGATGTTATCTGAAGATACTTACCTCAGGGAAATCCATCAAAACTTCAGCCATCTCGTTACCACGCTCACCGCAACCCACGTAGACAATAATATCACTGTTCGAGAACTTGGACACGGACTGGGAAATGACAGTCTTTCCACATCCGAACGCACCGGGAATACAGACAGTACCACCCTGAACACTGGGGAAGAGTGCATCCAGCACACGCTGCCCGACAATGAATGGCGCATCGGCAGAAAGTCTGTCGCTAACGGGACGGGGAACACGGACGGGCCAAGTCTGCATCATGGGGTATTCGGTCTTCTTTCCCTCAAACTCGACCTCCAGTAGGTTCTCTGTGACGGTGTAGTTGCCGGCTGGAGCAATTCGAGTAATGGTACCCCGGGCGCGTGGGGGCAGTAGGACCTTATGCTCATTCACCAAGCTGTTCTCGAATACGATACCCCAAATGTCACCACCGGTGATGTGGTCGCCAACCTTGAAGCCAGCGGGCTTGTACTCCCACTTCTTCTCACGGTCCAGCGCATTGACGGAAATACCACGGGGGATGTAAATACTCTTAGACTTTTCGGAGATAGCCTGGAGGGGTCGTTGGATACCATCGTAAATTGTCTCCATCAGACCCGGACCGAGCTCGACGGACAGGGGCTTACCCGTTCGAGTGACGGGATCACCAACAGTCAAGCCAGCTGTTGTTCGGGGGGGTTATCAGTTAGCAATGCCATTGAGGGGGTTTGTGAACCGGGGGTATACGTGGCCCGGATAAGGGAAGTGTTCGTACCTGTTTCCTCGTAGACCTGAATGGTAGCTTTATCTCCTTCAATACGAATGACTTCACCAACCAGCAGGTCATGTCCGACGTTGCACTGTAGAAATTCGGCAATCAGCACGGGCTCGGAGGTGGGAGCTTTGAGGAGAACCTTACCAGCTCGTACATGGCACAACCGATCATATGCTCGGCGACAACAACCGGTCCGGAGACCGAGAAGATCGCACCTTGCTCATGCTTGTCTTCAGAGCCCATCGTGGAGGTGTTTGATGTGGATGTGGAGGAGATGGGGGAGGTGGAGGTGGTCGAGTTGGTTCGAGCGGGCGAGTCTGGAAGCGGTGGCAGCTCGGGCGGTGGAGGCGTTGACGCACGATGCTCCTTAAGCTCACGTCTGCCTATTAAGTCCAGAAGGGACGGCCGACTCTTCAATAATGGCCTTCCCAGACCTAACATTCGCTGGCAAGCAAGAGATCAAGGTCTGTGTGAGATTGATCAGGATGGTCAATTGAGGAGGTTGCCATGGCCGGCCAATCCGCTTGGGAGCTGAATCGTGGAGTCCCCCTTAGCTATCATCCAATCCTCTGTCCGGGATTGGCGCTTCCCGGTCAATTCTCAGTTTGGGGAAACTAGACAGCATTGTGGTGGTTAAAATTGGTTATTCTACCGTGTATTTAGGGGCAGACTACCCTTGGACGTTGTAACTTCATAAGTCCAAAGTACGGAGTACTCTGTACCCCCAGGCAGATAAGCCTCATACATACTGGGCTTAACTATGCCTACTTCAGAGGTGGGTCAATGTGATTGTAAGATCGTTGACATCTTTTAATAAATGTTCCTTGCGGTCCTTTGTCTTGAAGATACCTGCTTGGATGTGATGTATGTTTGATGGTCTCATTGAAGTGTTTACATTGGTACTATTGTACTCCGTACTTTCGATCTATATAAAGTACACATGTATCCAGAATTGATCTGTAATCAATGTATGTCCCCAAAAACAGGACGTAATACGGATTATCATGCATATGGATCTTCTTTCAATGTCAAAAAAAGAAAGCTTATAAAGTCCCATCACCTGATATTCCTTTTCCCTATGTAGGTTGCCGATGCTGTAGTTGACCGCCATAAAATCCATCAGGTATGATGAAAGGGTCTATCAATAAGCCGCATGGGCGGATACGTCTTCAAATAGCGATGTAAATTCATCTTTTAGGTAAACGTTTCCAGATACCGAACACCGTATGAGGTTTTATATGTTTCAAAGACCAAATCCTACTGTCAAGAACTTTAAGGCATGTAATGACGCCGACATCCGCTACGGCGATATTTCAGTAGCTCGTGCAGGTAAACCAAAGTAGCCATTTGCTAGAATCTGGTCAAATTGACCGAGAAAAAGATTCAGGCATACACTATTATTACATGTAAAGACAGAAGGACAATCATTCCCAATGGTACCATTTTACTCCGGGGCACCCCACAACGCTTGAACATGGGCGATAATTGATCGTAAACAACGTGGGATTTACTTCTATAGATCACAGTCAGCCCTCATTTTTAATTACTTTCTTTCAGATCACATACTCCACATCCCTTGCAGGCGCAGTTGCCACTAGTGCAAGTGCAACCCTGGGCACCGGTGCAAGTGCAAGAGTCTCCACAGCCACAACCCATGGTGGTTTAATCGATATATGTGATTGAATAGATTTAAGGGAAACTTTTTTGATCTTTGATCAGTAGTGGTATGGCAAAAAAAAAAAAGGTCGTGGGTGGAAATGGAGCTTCTTAAATTCTTCCCGTAGGTTTAACAGCATCATGATGTCGTCAGTGCGGATAGTGAACCGAAGTTTTTTAGGATGTGTTAAAAGCGGAGCTTGCATCCAAGGGACGATATAGTCATACTTAAGAGACCTACCAGATATTGCCTAGTATTATAAGGAGTTTGATTCTCAAATGCGGTTTATAGGCAATATCATAGAGCTGATTACCGCTTAGTCGGCGATCTATTCTAAACTCCGGAATCTTCTAAGCACGAGTCGTCGCGGCGACGTTTAGCTCAGCTGATAAATACCAATTAGAACATGCCTATGGCTCTCTATTTCTCAAACATTTCCCCAAAATCTTGTTCTTAGGTCATTTTCAATCCTTGTGACTGTGAACTGAGTTTCTTGTGACCCGGGACTGGATCGCATCACTGGCCGATAAGCCCCATCTCCGCCCAACCTTTGAGAAAGAAGGAGGGGAGAGACCCGCACTTCCAAGAACCTCACATCCTGATGCTTTTTTTTTTGGATTTCATTTCAAACAATACTCGCTTGAGACCTCTTCCTAAATCCCGAGTAACTTTCCGCTAAGCTCCAAGGCACCTGGAGCTATCCCCGATCTTTCCCTATCCGCCACTGGTCTGCTCACCTGGTTCTTCCCAAAGAGCCAGGGAACTGGGCAGATCCTGAAAACGGTCGACCTGGCCGACAATTCTCCTCATCGATATATCATCCCCGACGACCCTGAACTCCCTTTGCCCCACGATACCACGGTTCCTAATCCCCGTTCCGCCAACACCCCATCTACCCAGCTCTTCTCCGCAACCTCCCAGCCTCCGCCCGGGACCACTACCTCCCCGTTACCTAATTTCCGCCGCCGTCGTCTGCAATCAAGTAGTCCTGAGGCACCTAGTTCCTCAGCAACAGGGACTGGAATAACCTCGCAGCTGGAAAACTTAAGGACCGGTGACGTCGCGGCCCACGAAATAGCTCATCAACCCGGCCGAACCGACGGGCACCGTCCATCCCGCAAGCGCCGGCGCCTGCTCAACATGCGTGCTGATGGGATATCAGGCACTAATGGCTTTCCACAGGCTTCGAATGGGACAAGCTCAGGGAAAGCCAGCTTGAACGGTCAGGCGACCGCGTCCGCAAATGGCGAGTCCCATGCCAACGGGGCGGGGAAAGCTCCAGCAAGCCAAACATACTATGGTCACAACCGGGAGGAGGTGACCCGGATCTTGATTCAGAGTCTCTATGAGCTGGGCTACAGTGGGTCGGCCTCCGCGTTGACTGCAGAGAGTGGCCATCAACTGGAGACAGCTGGCGTTGCTACTTTCCGCAGTGCGGTGCTAGGTGGACGCTGGTCTGAAGCTGAGAGGATCCTGATTCAGTCATTCCGTAATAGTGGGAAAAACGGCCAGGAATCGGCATCTGAGGAGACGCTTCTACTAGCAGAGGATGCGAATAAGAATGAGATGCTCTTCTATTTGCGTCAACAGAAATTCCTGGAGCTTCTAGAGGCACGCGACTTGGGTGCGGCACTAGGTGTTCTACGGCAAGAACTGACGCCGTTGAACTACGACATCGATCGACTCCACGCTCTTTCAAGGTAAGTTATTTTCCAAGAGCCTTGTCTTGCATATCTTCTGACCTTGATTTAAAGTCTGCTTATGTCGCCAACGGAGATGTTATATGACCAAGCAGGTTGGGATGGTTCTACCAGGGCGTCTCGAGAACGTCTTCTTGCGGACCTATCTAGTAAGACTTCAATATTTTTTCCTCCTCTTCGGCCACTGCTAATCCTCTTATAGAATCAATCTCCCCCTCGGTCATGATCCCTCAACACCGCTTGGCTATTTTACTAGATCACGTGAAGCAGAGCCAAATCAATAACTGTCTATACCATAATACCGCCCAACCACCATCGCTCTATTCAGATCATCTCTGCGACCGGAATGATTTCCCACTAGATGTGGGCATCGACCTGACCCAGCATACAGATGAAGTCTGGTATTGCGGCTTTTCTCACGATGGCACCAAGCTAGTCACTGCGGGCAGTGACAAAATGGTGCTCATCTATGATACGGAAGACTTCACTGTACTCCATAGACTGAGTGACCATGGCAGTGGGGTTGCTTTTGCTAGTTGGAGCCCAGATGACACAAAGCTCATTACCTGTTCCCAGGACAAGAAAGCGCGACTATGGAATGTCGAGGTAAGTTCTCCGACGAAGTCAACCTAATATATGTGTGCCTTTTCTGACTGAATAACAATGTCCTTACAGACTGGCCGCTGTCTTCTTACCATCGACCACCATTCCGAGCCAGTGACATCAGCCGGTTGGGCACCAGACGGAGAGTCTTTTGTGACTTCCTCTTTCGACCCGACCTCACAATTATGTCATTGGAGTGTTCGTGGATCACCTTTGCACATGTGGAAAGGTGGATTCCGAGTGCAAGACTGCGCGATCAGTCCCGATGGGCGGAGATTAGTCGCGGCAGACACGGACTCAAAAATACACGTCTTTGATTTCCGAAACTACGAAGAAGACTATTGCCTCTCCTTGTCCAGCAAGCCGACGTCTCTCGCAATCAGTCGAGACTCAAAACATATGCTTGTGAACTTGAAAGAAGGAGAAATCCAATTGATTGACCTCGAAACCGCTGGCGTGGTGCGACGTTTCAGTGGTCACAAGCAAGGTGAATACGTGATTCGTAGTACCTTTGGAGGAGCTGGTGAGAATTTCATTGTCAGCGGTAGCGATGGTAAGTCTCTAGACTCGGATCTATTGATACTTGCTGACCAGTCTCTAGACTCAAAAGTCTACATTTGGCACAAAGAGAATGGAGCTCTTGTAGAGAGCCTTGATGGGCATTCCAAGGGCTGTGTGAACTCAATATCATGGAATCCAGCGGATCCTACTATGTTTGCCTCGGCAGGCGATGACCGCGCTGTGCGCATGTAAGTCTGAATCTTTTTCCGTTTGGTGATCATATTACACTCCGGCTAACCTACCTACTCACCTATCCAGTTGGTCTCGAGACCGCAATCGCCCCCGCCAAACAGGAGGACTTAGTACTCGAGGCGTCTCAACGAGTGGTGTACCGCGGACCAGCGCTGTGAGGACAACATTCTACATTTAGTGCTGCCGCGATACTCCTAACGCACCTAGCCACCAGCTAGCAAGGCTGTTTGAGATTTTCCGTTCTCCGTTTTGACTTGCCTTGTGGCATGGCACGGCGCTCTTTTATTTCTGCACCAAAGCCCATGGTACACACTGGAGTCTTGATTTAAAAATCGATAAATCACATTTGGCTTCAGCTTTACTTGTTTTCACTTCATGCCCTGCTTTTCTCAGCTCTTCTCTTCCACTGAACCATATCGTATACACTATAACCCCAATCTGCCCTGCTTTCTCATCACATCAACACATCCAGATAGCTGTTTTCTTTCCAAGCATCTCAGTTAATACAGGAACGGCGCCATTCCATATTCTTGGGGAGCTTTGGTCCTGTCATTGCCCAAGAAGGTATACGTTAAAATACTTTCTTTCTATTTTCGGGGTCTTTCATTCTTTTTGACTTGATCGGCGTTTCATCTGAGATTGAAATTGGAGATGCGTTTTCGTTTGACTTCCAAGGATTGCGTTCATGTCGATCTAGGCGCACTTTTCGTTTTAAGCATAGTGATATTAGGTTGGATACCTTGAATATATCAGCCTTCTGGCTAGCCGGAACCTTTCTCTCATTCAACAACCTTCATTTCTATAGGCACTGTAGTGAAAAATCGTCTTTTAAACCATGTTTGACTACTTGAGACAATGGGAGACAAGGAGATCTAGAAGGTGTGTTTGGCAGAGAAGTGTTCTTTCAAAGGTGGTTTTTGTCAACGGTGGTGTTGTTAATATCCAACATAATCAACAGTGTATCTTATCAACCACCCTCTTTCTTTAACGTCAACTTGCTCTCCTTGACTTTGAGTATCAAACCCATTCTCACCAAAATCTTCCAATTACTCCTGCAGAACATGGATCTCACCATGCCAGGCCCAAGATCCGACTTCGAGACCAGGGTCCATGAAAATAGATACATCGGGACGGAGGTCTCCTTCCCCACTCCGCCTCTTTGCCCTCCGGGTTAAACACATCTCGATGGAGAAAATTTCGGGTTGCATTATATGGTCTTCATTAAACCTTGACCAGCAGTATAGTGAGGACGAGCCCCTTCCTGGAAGCTCCGCTGACCATGATCTTTTCTCGCTTTCCTTTTCTCTCTCTTTTGGTTTTGATTCTCCTAATGAGTGGCAACTTTGATGTTGAACTCTTGCCAGTCTGCTTTGCTACTCTCCCTTCGTTTACATGGACAATACGATATAAGTTAGGGCAAACGAGCTGCCGGATTCTTATTCACTCTACGTTGTATATATCAAGTCTTGTAGGTCAGCGAGACTATGCCCGCTACGAACAGAAGTCAGCGGACCACATAAGCAACGAAAACAGGCGGAGGAGAATGGCGAATTCCAGAGCTGGGGCTACTGCAGGGGTGACTTTCGCTTTGGGCTGAGGAGGGACTGTATGGTAAATGCACAACATGCGAATATTCGTAGTCTAAATTGTTTACTGATCAAGAAAGTGTGTTAAATTGGTTCAAATCCATCATTCATAACTCCTAGCAGATAACATCCGGGGTAAAACTAAAATTGACCAGTAAAACATAAAATAAGGATGTTGCTCGAGCCTCCATGGGTCAACTTTGAAAGTTGTAACATGAGAGTGCAACCTGCGACATTGTCTGACAATTTTGGGCTGAGTTGGAAGGTGTTAGTGGTTGAGGCAACTGTCGACTGGTAATGTTGCGTTCTCACAGAATTTTTCTCTTTTCCCTTTCCTCCACGCGAGATCCATCCTTGCATTGATCTGTGCAATCTGTGATAAAGAAAGTCCCCAAGTGCTAAAGTCAAGTAGACCTGATAGGGTTCCCAGAAATCAATTGAATGGGCATAGCCTCGGGGCAAATTGTAACGCAAGTCACTTTTAGTTCGTTCAAAAGCGAGGGCTAAGTACAGGGTCGTATCGATTATGAGAGCAAATCCGCAACTGTAGAAGAACAACATCAGTACATCGAAAATCAAAATTGGCACTTCTGGGCTCCTAAACTTACCATTCATAGGCATCTCATCGATCTGAGTGGAGTAGTAAAGTTCGATATCACGCAGGATGCGGACGTCTTCACTGGTGACGAAGTTGATGGCCACACCCTTGCGCCCAAAACGACCAGAACGACCAATACGGTGAATGTAGTTTTCACGGTTGGTGGGGAGATCGTAGTTGATGACCAGAGACACTTGCTGAACATCGATACCACGGGCCCACACATCAGTGGAAATCAGGACACGAGAATTACCCTGGCGGAAGTCCTGCATAATGCTATCACGCTCCTTCTGAGGCATCTCACCGTGCATGCTAGAAACAGTGAAATTGGCCTCGCGCATCTTGTCGGCCAGCCAGTCGACCTTGCGGCGGGTGTTGCAGAAGATCACAGCTTGGGTGATAGTCAATGTGTCGTAAAGATCGCACAGGGTGTCGAACTTCCACTCCTCCTTCTCAACGGCAATGAAGTATTGCTTAATACCCTCCAAGGTCAACTCGTCACGCTTAACCAAAACGCGCACGGGATCTGTCATAAATTTGGTTGTCATATCCAGCACGTCGTATGGAAGGGTAGCCGAGACCACCACAACCTGTGTTGCCGGTGGGAGGTAACGGTAGACATCGTAAATCTGCTCTCGGAAACCGCGGTTAAGAAGTTCGTCGGCCTCATCCAGGACGAGCATCTTAATGTGGCGTGTACGAAGGTTGCGGCGGCGGATCATGTCAGCGACACGGCCCGGTGTTCCAGAGACGACGTGCTGGCCATAGTCGAGCTTGCGAATATCCTCGCCAATGTTGGTACCACCAATGCATGCATGGCATTGGACGTTCATGTAATCGCCAAGGGCCATAATGACGGACTGGATCTGTGTTGCAAGTTCACGAGTGGGGGAAAGAACCAAAGCTTACAATTTCGTGTTAGCAAACGCATTTTCCAATACTTGGACACAACCTTATGTACCTTGGGTTTCGCGGACAACAGTGTCAATGACCTGCAGAGTACTGATCGAAAAAGTCGCAGTTTTACCGGTACCGGACTGGGCCTGCGCAATGGTATCACGGCCTTTGCAGATCTGAACAATGGCGCGCGACTGCACAGCAGAGGGGGACTCATACCCGTAGGCGTAAATTCCACGGAGCAAGCTCTCCTTCAGGTGCATGTCCTCGAAGGTCGGGGCCACAGTGACCTCCTTAGAGGTGCTGAACTCCATGCGCTCTGAGATGCTATTAGCAAGGCTCACTTCACCAAATTCAGGAGTCGCGCTTACCTTCGGCGCGTCTGTCGATTCCATCGGCCATGATGATAGGTTTCAGTTCACGGCAATAAAAGAGATGGGTATTAGAGAATGATAGGTACCTATGTGAGGCGCTGTAAGTTCGACTTTTTGCGATGGGAGCGGTACGGTCACATGACCATCCGCAAAGCTGCAGCTCTGAGTTCCGCGAACTTTCACTTCTTAACTCGTGTACGCCAGGTCTCCTACTTTTTGTATTAAGGTCAAAAATAACGATTCATTGGTCGCAAACTCAACATGCTTCTTGAAGACCAGCGATTTATTCACGAGGATCTCGAGCGGTTAGAGCAGGCCGTTGCTGATCGCGTGGCCGACAAACCTCGGAATGTAAGTTCGCCGGCAGCATTGATGCAAAAGGGTTTGCGAGCTAACAATAATGTTTCACAGATCCGCGAGAAACTAGCCAATGAACATGAACTCGCCAAATTCCTAGACCGAATTGAGGTGCAGTCCAAGAGACTGCTGGAAATCTACAAGGATGCAGATGGCCTGCGGGAGAAGGAGGTGCAGTCGATTTCCACTGGTGATCAATTCGAGGAGTTCTACACGCAGCTCGATGAGATCAAAGACTTCCATAAACGCTACCCGAACGAGCCAGTTGACAACCTCGAGCAAGCATACAAGCGTCATCAACCCGCCGAAGGCGAATCATCTCACACAGAGATCGATAATATGTTCACTGGCGAAGAGTGTTTCGGACAATACATGGATCTGACCACTAATCATGAGCAATATCTCAATCTCCCGGGTGTCAAGCGCCTGAATTACGTCCAATACCTCGATGTCTTCGATGTATTTACGCCACCGACCATGAGCATCAAGCGCAAAGACAAGATTTCAGATAAATACTTCCGTTATGTTGGCGAAGTTGCGACTTACCTCGAGGGATTTTTCAAGAGAGTGAAGCCTTTGGAGGACTTTGATGCGTTGATTGCCAGCTTCGACGAGGAATTCGACAAGCATTGGGCTGCAAAGGAAGTCCCCGGCTGGGCTGATGAGCAAGCCGCCACAGAAGGATCAGGCGAGGGAATATGGTGCGCAGACTGCGAGAAGGACTTCTCCAATGAGAATGTCTACCGAAACCATTTGACTGGCAAGAAGCACATCCGAGCTGCAGAGGCTCGTAAGGCTGCTGGCACATCCAATGAGAACCCCCAACCTTCTACAAACAAAACTGCGAACTCTTCCCTCGCGAAGGATTTGAAGGAGCGCGCTGTCGCTGTGCGAGAGCATCGGGTGCGTTGCTTCACAAACACACTTAAGGACGAGCGAGAAGCTACAAGACACAATGTCGTACGCCGACAAGGTCTGACCGAGCGTGAGCGCCAAATGGAACGTGAGGCTCTGATGGCTGAGCCTGAATCATATGGTGAAGGTCGTGGTGGTGACCAATCTGATGATGAAGAGGACAAGGAGAAGATCTACAACCCACTGAACCTACCACTGGCCTGGGACGGGAAGCCTATCCCTTACTGGTTGTACAAGCTGCATGGTCTTGGAGTCGAGTACCCGTGTGAAATTTGCGGAAACTACGTTTACATGGGTCGACGAGCATTCGATAAGCATTTCTCAGAGGCCAACCACATCTACGGCCTCAAATGCCTGGGTATCACAGCAAACACCAACCTCTTCCGTGAGATTACTCGCATCGAGGATGCAATGCGACTTTGGGAGAAGCTGGAACAGGATCGTAAGAAGGAGCGAGACTCCCGGGACAATGTCGTGCAGATGGAGGACGCAGAGGGTAATGTCATGCCCGAGAGAATTTATCACGATCTCAAGAAGCAGGGAATTCTTTGATTTACGCATACCCATCATATTGTTCTCTCTTTTTGTTGTCTGGGGGTAAGGTGTCAATACTACAGAAAAGCTTGGAGTTGGGCGAATGGCATGGCTCGTTTTTTCTCTCTCTCAAAGAGACATATCATTTTCAATGGATAACCTTTCCATATGCAAATCAGAAAGGAATTGATGTATGTTTTTGGAAGAAATGCATACAGATCTAGGATATACACTCGACGTGGTTCAATTCCAAGGATAAACTGAGGCCATAGATTATCACACCCCGTGTGGTTGTCAGTCGATGATAGTAGATAAGTCCATAATTCAAGGGGCTTGGAAAAGCTTGGTGATTGATCGAATCCACTGAACCTTTAAAATGTAATAAGTTGTGATCTTGACTTGGCGCTCACTTCTATAACATGCTCATCCTGGAAAATTACCCATCGGCCTCATATAGATCGTCACGTGCTTTCGTGTTCCATGGACACGATCCGCTTCCGGATTTCGCGTTTCCACTACACTTCTCTTAGTTTTTTTGCTTTACGGTTCACTAGGTGAAGAAAATCAACATATCACCAGTCCTATGTGATTCTTTCATTTCGATCCCCAATGGGATTCAAATTCGCCTTTTTAGGCGACCTTCTATCAAGCCTTGAAGCCAACCGAACGGCCAAGGCGGCTTCGACAACTAGGAAGGATGAGCCGGATTTTCAGACCATTGCAAAATGGTTTGGCCGACATGACCGCCATCTTAATCACCCCGACACAGATAGACTGGCCCTGCTATCGTGCATGTTTCCTGAGAGACGACCAGACCGAGTATATTGGCTCCAGGCCACTTCGCTCACCCGCGTTATCGGCCGCTGCTTGGGCCTAGGCTCTTCACGAATATCAGATCTAGATCGGTGGCGAAAGCCCGGAGGGCCAGACTTGGGTCAATGTGTCGAAAATGTGATGCGCCAAGCCGAAAACGTTGTCGAACATGACCGCGAGGTCATAGTTGAGGAGGTCGACGAAGCTCTCAACCTGATCGCCTCGAGGTGCCGCTTCTCCGGTCCCCAAGTTCGACGTCAGCATACTGCAGTGGATATCGATAAAGTTCTGTCATCTCTATACCGTCGATTGAGCAGCCGTGATGCGAAGTGGCTCACTCGCATGATCCTGAAGAGCTACGGCCCCGTTACGCTCCCAGAGAAGTATACACTAGAAAGATTTCACTTTCTTCTGCCTCAGCTCCTCCAGTTCCAAAACACTTTCAAAGGGGCCCTTGAAATGCTTAATTCTGAGCCGATGAATCATTTCCCACCCCGCCCAGATCGAAAATTGGCAGCTAGTCTCTGTGCCATTGCACTAGACCATATTCGCCCACGGACTGGAATCAGGGTTGGGCGACCTGATTACTTCAAGGCACGAAGCATCAAACATTGTATTCAGATGACAAGCCGCCGTCGAATGAGCATTGAAAGGAAATATGATGGTGAATACTGCCAAATCCATATTGATTTCACAAACAAGCAAACACCAATTCAAATCTTCTCTAAGAGCGGCAAAGACTCCACGTCAGATCGGTCAGGGATCATGTCAACTGTTGAGGAATCGCTTCACATAGGCAGGCCCCAATGCAAATTTACGCAACGTTGCATTCTTGAAGGCGAATTACTTGTGTGGAGTGATAAACGCGCTGATATTGCAGATTTCCATAAGCTCCGCAAGTTCCTAACGCGGTCTGGGACTTTCATCGGAGTTGACAGTGATTCACCACCCCAGCCATATGAGCATTTGATGATCGTCTTCTTTGACATACTCCTCTTGGATGACAATGTCTGTTTGAGAAGACCCCATCGGGAAAGACGGTTACTATTGAAAAACACGGTGCATTCAATCCATGGTCGATCTGCGATTGCTGAGCAAGAGATATTGGACTTTGACAAGCCAGAAAGTTACCGTTGGCTAGAGACCAGCTTTTCAAATGCAATAAATCGACGATGGGAAGGTCTTGTTTTGAAGGCCTGTGATGAGCCCTATTTTTCTATGTGTCCTATTGGAGTTGATAATTCCTCCGGTCGATGGATCAAACTGAAGAAAGATTACATCCCAGGCCTTGGAGATACGGTTGACCTTGTTTTGATTGGTGGAAACTACAATGCCGCAGATGCTGCGTTGCTTCCAATCCCCAAAAGGTTGAATTGGACAAATTTCTTGGTTGCTTGTCTGTTAAACAAGGAAGATGTTCTCCAGTCCCGAGATATTCCTCGATTTCGAGTGATAGATGTGGTTGGCCGTCATTGCATGCACCACAGTCTAATGGAATCTCTCAATCAGTTCGGAGACTTCATCGCTCGGGATCCCAAGAATTTCCATGAATTCGAAATTGAATACGGACATGGCAGTCTTCCCAGAGCGACCAAAATCTTCAAGAAACCATTCGTGGTCGAGCTGATGGGCAGTGGTTTTGAAAAGCCTTCTGGTGCCAGGTACTACACACTTCGTTTCCCACGTATTATAAAGATACATACGGATAGAAGCTTCGAAGATGCAGCATCCTTCCGGGAACTGCAGGTTTTAGCTGAAGAAACTAGATCTGTACCGACTGCAGACTCATCTGAGGAGAGAGAACATTGGTGCAAACGTCTCAAGGTTGGCAGTGGGCTCACCGATTACGTTGTGCAAAGATCAAAGAGCCCATCTTCCCGAAGTTCGAGTACGGAGCCGGATTCCCACTCAGAACCTCAAACCCCAGCCCAAACAGGGAGTGATGAGGTGCACTGTCTTGATTCGTTGCCTAGTTCTCCCGTGCATCAATCCTCCCAGAGTACGAGCAAGCAAATGTCCAGCACTGTTGAAAGTCATCCTGCTTTGTATATCGACGAGATGGTGATACCAATTGACCTCGAGCATCCTATCCCCGAAGCCAATGTCTTGACTGAAAATAACAATTTGTCCCAACGACAAAAGTACAGTCAACAGGAAAATGGTCTGCATACGGAGAACCCGACTAAAGTAGTAACGAATGAAGCTGAGGAAACGAAAAAGGCAATGGGCCCATGCCCAGCAGCAACTAGCCTGATCTCCATACATCATGAAGTTGCAGCCCAACACAAAACAATGGAGCGAAAGTCTCTCAAGTCACCGTTAACCACAATCCCAATATACATGTCAAGGGCAACCTCAGAAGCAGACACCTTAGAAAGTCTAGAAGACTCCGCTCTCCGTGAATTCTTGACATTTATAGGGTCTGCTAAGACAATGTCTTTATTATCCGAGTCTAACCCCTCCGCCTCCTCCATGGGCATGGGGTACGGCATTGTTCTTGTCAACACAGCCGAGGTCTCACTGGGTAAAGAGATCCACAGAACAGCCAAGGCCATCCAAAACGCATCATCCTTTCCTCCCAAAGGGACAATCTTCTTTTTGGGCTCTCTGTTTCTACAGCACGACATTTGCTCGGAAGATCTCAAGTTCTGTTTACGGACGACTTGGGCTGAACTTGCAAGGCACTTCTACTATGCATGTATTCGTTGGGATGTCTCTGATCAAAGCCAGCTGATACATTCGAACCAACTTGCATATGATGATCATCCGGATTGTGCCCTGGGACAAGATAAAGAACTTCGGATTTCTTCAGTCAGCTTTGACCAAGATGAGATTTTGGCGCTGGGAGAGTATATATCTATCGACCCGCCAGTGCTTTTCGGTGGTTAGTAGACACTTCAAACTTCCGGGATTAAATATGGCCTGGTACAGCTAAGCACAATACGAAGTCCAAGAGTATCAATATCATTTTCAACTTTGGAAGGTGATGAGAACTCGTAATTATTTATGACCAGGGTAAAACGAGACGCCACGCTATCATGAAAATGAGATGACCTACATACCGAATACAAGATAAGGATACTAGCCACCACCTTCCCGTCTAGCCCGAACATCACTCATTAGCGCTCTCGCCTCTTCTACTTCAAACCCATCTTGGCAAAGTTCTCCTGCTAGCAGATCCGCGCGATCTAGGTCACCATGGCGCAGAGCATATTGTGCCAGCCACAAGCGCGCCCTAGATGTAGTCGCCGTAGGACCAGTACCATGATGCCATGTTTCACTAGAAGTAGATTCATCATTTTGCATAGCAAACGATGAGTTCCGAGGACGGGGCTTCCGGCGACGCCGCCTAGGTACGTCGTCATCATCGCCAGAATTCTCAGCTTCATCGCTGTGGGTAGCATGCTCAGAAGCAGAGGAGTACTCATCCTCATCGTCTGAGTTTCCTTCCTCGTTCACGGGGGCACCGCCCGATTCTTGTTGCAGGGTTAACTCCATGTAGGCGGACGCTTCTTCTTCATCGCCAAGTCGCTCGTAAAGAGTTGCGATCTGGTGTAATGTTTCTGCGTCGAGAATTTTGCGTGCACCTGGACCAGGGCTTGACCCAACTCCTGGACCCCCTTCTGCATAATAGGCTCCAGCAACAAGGGCACGCTTCAGGGCCTGGATACTTTGCTCGACGCGGCCCATCTTTGCATAACACGATCCTACCGCCTGCCACATCTTTGGGTCGTAAGGTTGGAGGGCGGCTGCTCGCTGGTAGTAGAAGAGCGCGTAGAAGGACATGTCGAGGACTTCATATGCCTGGCCGAGACCGTACCAAGCGCGATAATCTTTGCGGTTGACATCAACAGCACGACGGTATGATTCGATGGCGGTATGGGTGTTTTTCATCTCAATGTATTCGTGGCCCATAAGGGTCCAAGCCGACAAAAAGTTTCGATCGAGCGTCAGTGCACGGCGGAAATACATAACAGCTTTCTCGTGTTCGGATTTCAGGGAATAATAGTTGCCCACAACGCAACAAGTCTCAGGGCGGAATTTGTCGGTGGCAATCGCAATCTGAGCGACGAAAGCCAGTTGAGGCCGTGCACCCATGACGTATAGTATATTGGAGTAATGGTCAAGGCTATCCAGCCGGTGTGGAGATGTAGCCAGGATTTCATTAAATATTTCCGCCGCTTTGTCAAAGTCTGAATCTCGTTAGTACCGGAGACTAATGGGCTGGATGTTATTGGCCTTACCTTTATCATGGTAATAAAGAAGCGCCTCTTGAGTCTGGAGAAATGCGTTGGTAGGGAACAATGTTTGAAGCTGGTGAAGGTCTTTGTATGTCTCGGGTGTAGTTTGATAAAGCTCCTGGCTGCTGTAAGTGTGGAAAATTAAAGTCATGAGATTCTTTGGCAGACGGTCCACGATTTGTTTCAACTGTGAGCGATGTCAGTCTTCGGTTTCAAATAGTTTCAGTAAAGACCTTACATCTTCGTTATTGGCCAAAAGATCACCCAGCTCTTGCCAAGCCCCCCAATGGAATGGGTTCTGGTGCACACTCTGGATGAGCCACTTCTTCGCCAGTTCCTCATTTCGGCCCTTCAGTAAAACAATGGCGTAAAGATATTCGAGCCACCCCTGTCCCTGATCGGCAAGTCCCTGAGCACTTCGCTCCATGAGCCAGCCTTCCAAGCCGCGGGCAAGGTCTGGGAGCTCTCGATTGACTGCCATTCCGCCATCCGCAGGGCCCAACACCATCTCGGTTTCCTCATCCTTGCGCTTCTCGCCTGCCATGAATTTCGCGTACAATGCAAGGAATAGCGATTTTTGACTGAGTTTTGGGTATGGATTCCTCCGCGGTTGGCCCTTTGAGGCTTGGAATGGTGATGATTTCTCTTTGCCCTTGAGAGATGTGCGAGGTTGTTTCGATTTCGAGTTGGGAGAAGACACAGAGAGAGGTACTGGAGGTGTAGTTGGAGGTAGAAACACGGCCGCACAGCGGTCATATTCTCGAGTGTCAAAATAGGATTTGGCTAGGAGGTATTTGTGGGATTCTCGGGCTTCCAAGGCCGCTTCGGTACGGTCTTGCGCGCCTAAATATGGGTTTATGGGTGGGAGAGGAGGTTCTGCAAAATCCATTGGGGATTCAGGGTCGGTGTCTTCGTGGTCGACAGGTAAAAGAGAGTCTAGCATCTCCGCTGCCCTAGATGGTAGTAAGCTTGTCAGCGTTCTTCAGTGAGGAATGGTACGGATTGATCATGGCTTACCATTTTGATGATTGGTATAGACATCGCTCTGAGCATTTTATCGCAGACTCTTCGAACCGATGTCTGAGTTCTTGGATGATTTCCTCAGTGATCTCCATTGTCGCCATCTCCAACAGAGCCTCCGGCAGTGCGGGGAGTGATTAAGTGGCTTTCTTTGAGATGGGGTAGTTTGAAGCAGTCAGGTCAAGGCGACCATTTGGCTTGTGTTCTTTTCCCAGCCAGTCCCGCTTTCGGTTTGCGCAAAGGAAAGCGAGGCGTGAAACTGTCGCAATGGAAGGCTCGGGCAGCGGCGCGTGTTGATGCGACGAGCGCAATGTAAGCGGCAATTGACTTTCTAAGGCCGCGCGAAGACCAGTCAAAACAGGCTAACTGATCAAGTTACCTCAGACTTGTCGATAAAGCGGAATGCTATAGCTGACAAGAACCTGAAAAAGTACAAGCATGTAGAAACAATAAGTTCCAGTCACGAGCAGCAACTGCAGCTGTCAACACCAAACAACACAAACACGCCAAGCCCCGTGTTCCCCTCCGCGGGGAATTTAAGTGCAATAGTCAATTCAATTATTGTCTGGCACTTAATTTCCTCACTCACCATCTCTCTTCCCCTATCCAAGTCATTATGGCTCAGACTACCAAGCGCGCTGATTTTGAGGCCGTCTTTCCCAAGTTGGCCGAGGAAATTCTTGGTCATGCTAAGAAGTACAACTTGCCCGATAACGCTCTAACGTGGTTCGAGAAGGTGAGATTAAATGCCTATAAGCATTTCGGCCCCAAAAGCCGCATCAACTGACTGTATCATTTAGTCCCTGTATGCCAACGTCACCGGTGGAAAGCTGAACCGCGGTCTCTCCGTTCCCGATACTGGCCTTGCCCTCTTGCAGAAGCCCCTGACCGATGAACAATTCGAGCAACTGAGCGTTCTGGGCTGGCTCACCGAGCTGCTCCAGGCTTTTTTCCTGGTTAGCGATGATATGATGGACGGCTCCATTACCCGCCGTGGTCAGCCCTGCTGGTACCGCCAGGATGGTGTCGGCTTTGTCGCCATCAACGACGCTTTCATGCTCGAGTCCGCCATTTACCTCATCCTGAAGCAGCGTTTCCGCTCTCACCCCGCCTACATTGACCTTGTTGAGCTCTTCCACGAGACCGCCTGGCAGACTGAGCTGGGTCAGCAGTGTGACCTGATCACCGCCCCTGAGGATAAGATTGATCTTGACAACTTCTCCATGGAGAAGTACATGTTCATCGTTACCTACAAGACTGCCTACTACAGCTTCTACCTACCCGTGGCTCTTGCTTTGATCTACTTGGAGCGGGCTACCGAGGAGAACCTTAAGCAGGTGCACGACATCCTGATCCCTCTGGGTCAGTACTTCCAGATCCAGGATGACTACCTTGACAACTTCGGTGACCCAGCCGTCATTGGCAAGATCGGTACCGACATTCAGGACAACAAGTGCTCTTGGTTGATCAACCAGGCCATCCAGCGGGCCACCCCTGAGCAGCGTGCCGTGCTCGATGCCTCTTACGGCCGCAAGGACGCTGCTGAGGAGGCCAAGGTCAAGGCCGTCTTCAACGAGATGGGACTTGAGAAGGTCTACCAGGACTACGAGGAGAAGGTGGTTAGCGAGCTGCGTGAGAAGATCGCTGCAGTGGACGAGACTAAGGGTCTTAAGAAGGAGGTCCTCGAGTCCTTCCTGGCCAAGATTTACAAGCGTACCAAATAGATATCTAGACGTACGTGCGCTTTGGGATAAAAGTTGATCAAGTTGATACCCAGCGCTTTGATGCGTGACGACGCGATGCGATTTCGGCTCATACGTTAATATAAATTTCGGGCTTTGAATCCATCTGTCTTGTACTTACGAATTATAATCTTTCTGAGCAGTAGAGGGAACTAAGATCCTATGTCTTGACATAATCCTATGCACAACAATAAAGGCTGTATATGCAGATATGATTAAGTGTATCTACAAACATACGTGCACGGGCACAGGAACATTTACATGATTCACTACTATAAAGATCCGATCTGACTCGCGGCCCGCCCCACTTGGCCCACGTTGCCGCTGCACTAAAACCCATTCGGCTCAGGGTTAATCATCTTTCCTCCACCTCGACAATGATCTCAGCAAGATGCCCCTGTCCATACGGATCATCTTTATGGCACCCCTGCTCACACTATCCCCCAAAAATGTGGCACTGTGGCTACTGCTGTTCTTGGGCAATGCAATCGCTGATAGAGTAAACGATTTTCGCTCCGAAAAATATGCCCACGGCTTTGAGGGCGCATTCCCGCTACAGCATTACTCGTCCGCGGGCGTGTCAGGCCCGATCTTAAATTACTGGGAGAAAAGTGTTGCGTGCGATGATGGCTTATATACGATTATCGCGCCGCGCGGGGAAGCGGTGCGCCATTCCGGACCGATGATTCTGGATAACCAGGGCCATTTGGTGTGGTTCAAGGAATACGAGACAAGTTATAATGCCAATGTATATACTTATAAGGGACAACGGTATTTGACGTTCTGGGCGGGTGATGACCAGATTCGGGGGCACGGGGAGGGGATATTGTATATGGTGAGTTTGGGACCATGGGCAAAGACCACATATCAGACTGAAAGGACTAGGCTCACGAGGTAAACAGCTCAATTCCAGCTATGAAGAAGCATATAAACTTCATGGTGTAAATGGTGCCGCGGCAGACTTGCATGAATTCCATATCACGCGCGACGAAACTGCCGTCTTCACAGTCTACGATATCCAATCTGTCGACTTGACTCCATCAGGTGGATCGCAAAATGGCTGGATTTACGATGGCGTCTTTCAGGAGATTGATATAGAAACTAATGAGCTTCTCTTTCAATGGCGTGCTTCAGACCACTTCTCTTTCAGCGAGGTTGAGCGCGGCAGCGAAGGGACGGGTGAATCAGCAGAGGACCCATGGGATTGGTTCCACATCAACAGCATCGACAAAGACGAAAAAGGCAACTTCCTCATATCCTCACGGTACCTGAACTGTCTTGCATATATCGACGGTGTAACCGGGGATGTGATCTGGAAACTCGGCGGGAAGGAAAGCTCATTCACCGATCTATCGGCAGGCGCAGCGACGAACATAAGCTGGCAGCATCACGCACGGTTTCAGCCTCAGTACGATACCACGAAAATGACAAAAGCGATATCAATTTTCGATAACTCGTCTCGCGGGAAAGGCGCACCGGAGAACACCAGTCGTGGGCTAATCGTCGATATCAACGAGACGAATATGACAGTCGCTGTGCGTGCGCAGTACTGGAATCAAGTCCCAATTAGCAGCCAGTCGCAGGGCTCAATGCAGGTTCTAGAAAACGGGCATGTACTTCTCGGCTACGGCTACAGTGCTGCATGGACGGAGTTCGGAGCTGACGGGGAGGTTCTCTGCGAAGTGAATTTTGGTCCGAGAGAGTTATTCGAGCGAGGGGGTGTCATCTCGTATCGAACTTTCAAGCAGAAGTGGGTTGGGATGCCTCTAACTGCGCCTGATGTTGCATTGTCTGGGACCGCGGCAGCTGTTAGCTGGAATGGGGCGACGGAGGTGGCTACCTGGGTGTTGCAAGGATCTTATGTTAATGTGACAGACTCGCCTGAGTCTATAGATGAAGATGGTATACACAGATATTCAACTGGACATGTTGCAGATGACGAATTTCAGTTCATCTCTGCGGTGCCTAAGACTGGATTTGAGACCAAATTCCTTATCCGGGCTGATATACCGTACCGCACATTGCGTGTTATGGCCCTTGATAGTACCGGCGGCTTCCTGGGAAAGACAAGGGCTATGCAGTGGGCACCCGAGGAAATGAACGAGGAGATTGGGGTGTTTGCTGGTGATGAGGAGCTGAAGGAATCCAATTCGAAGGAACATCGCATCTCACCCTTGATCATGTTCGGTATGGGTTTCATGAGTGCAGCAGCAATTGTGCTATGTGCATGGCTTATCTGCAAGTACATCTATTCCAGATCTCTTGGGCAGACCTTCATTGGCCGACGCAACCATGGTAAGGACGAGGGGTGGCAGGCAGTCCAAACAGGCGAGGAGCTGGATGAGTTGGACGACTTCAGCGACTTGGAGTCTGGGCAACGAGATGAAGATCATTTATTGAATGGTAATAGAAACAGGGTGGAATAATCGCTCCCTGTCTGCATTGTATAGTAGTAAAAGAAGCCGGCCCCGACACGGTATTCTACAACATGACCACACCCATACCTCCTGGCCTCTGGCTATGTAAGCAATTTGACTTGTCCTCATTGACTACCGATTCCACTCGGTAATTGAAGAGGTAATAGTTAAGCTGGCCATCGCCACGGCCGAAGCGAAGCTTTTCCAAGAATAGGTCGTTGTCTTGGAGACGAAGTGCATTGAACACATCGAACCGAGCCTGGGGACATACATACTAGTCAGTTCGAGCAAAATAAAGGGAAGGATGGATGAGAGTTAAAAGAAACCGAGGCCTTGCCCTTTTCGCCAAGATAAGGGCATCGTTGATCAGGCCCTGTAAACGCTGCTGAAGGTTCTGAGTCTTGTCCGTCGCATAGTAATATAGGTATGCCGTTCGAATCACGTCAGACTGAGAATGTGAGAGCACCGCAGATTCGATAGAGTAGAAAGACACAAGATCTGTGATCCTTTCTGTTTCTAGATCTTCCACAACATATGCCCAAACCACCCGTTTACCAACTTCTTCCGCCTGACCAGCTTCAAGGAACAACCAATGCCTTAGCTCGTCTATACTGAATGCTGGGCTGATATCAAATCGCTGGAGATACTGCTCTAGTAGCCCACGGACGGCATCCAGGTCGCCAGCTTGCATGAGGCGCAGGCCAGGCGTTTGGGTAATGCCTGGCAGATGATACTTTGCAACCTGTCGGGCCTTGGTCGTGCTCGCTGGTAGGTGCGAAAAGCCGGACTCGTACAGTTTGAGCCAGTTAAGGGCGCGATGATAGTAACGGCACGATGCTACCGGTGTGGGCAAGACTGCTGCTGCGGTATAGAAGGCCTGGTAAATGCCTTGGAGGTAGCAGCGCCGGGTGATCTCCCTGATCAAAAGTGGCGCCAGGCGTTTCGAGCGAAGTCTTTTGTGAATACATAAAAAGTTGATTTCGACCACCTTGATCGTCTGCGTATGAATATTGATGTTGGTTGGTAGACCGCTGATGAAAGCGACTAGCTTTTGCGATGCGGAAGCGCGTACTCCGATGTGATATTGCTTCTGCCAGCCTGGAGCAGTCAAGGCCCTATAGCAAGATTGATTGAGCACTTAAAGAAGACCTTAATTTTGTGTCTAGGAATTGACCTACCATCTTAGGAAAACCGGCGAATAGTTTAGTCGGAAGTTCGAATCACCATCTTCAACATAATGGTTTGACAGTAATTCATATAACTCACCCACCTCCTTCTCGTCCTCTGGGTTGATTGTCCCCCACTCGAAGCCATCTAAAAGTGGGTAGGGCTTTTTTGGCACCTCGTCTAAATTGACCATTTTGATAGGTCCTCCCCTACCTTTACCACCCTCATTGAATTGTGGCACTGGCTGTGTCTTCCAGAACTTGTAAGATCCGGCATCTCTTGGTCCCCTGTCATTCTCCCTTGGTTCTCCAACCCGCAACCTCGCAAATAATTCGGATACCGTTGCATTGTCTAGGTTGAGCCTTGACTTGGTCAGGGATGGATCTGTTCCTGTCATCAATAAGTATTGTTTGGTTTCGCCTTATCTTTCTTGACTGACCGTTGCTCGATGGTAAATCATTCTTTATATTTGATTCCTCCATTATAGTCAGAATCTGCGAGGTTTTCTCCCTTCCAAAGGATAGAGCAATTCTTGGAAAGTTGTATTGACGGCTATTATCCCTGACACGAAAGAATATTCGTGAAAGGGGACAGGCGTGCACTATGTTCAGCGATAATCGTCGAGTACAACACTAGTCATATCATAGCTCATTCATGGTAGCCACTATCGAAAGCCAATAAAGGCTCATTTGTAGATGATTCATAGGCCTATTACGCAATTCAACTATCCCCAGTCGCGCGGGAAGAATATCAGTATGTAAGCTAAGCATACTGAGCTACACGTTACAGGGATAAGTGCAACATTTGATTCGTAGGACCAGTAATGTGGAGACGATGGCAGGGACTAAGAGGCGGATGCGCCGACGGAAGGCCGGAAAGCCGAGGGTCACGAGGACACACCTAGTCCGTGTTGGCGTTGGAGATAAAGAAATATTCATGGACGCATCTTTGTACTGATTTACAAAGACTTTTCACAGTTATTCGAAATCAAGTTTCTTTATTCATTCGAGTTTCCAAGGCTAACCCAGACTAAAGAGTGGAGCCTGGTATAAATGGCAAATTTCTAATAAAAGCGCCATGTCTCCGATGCCGCCTAAGCCGAGGCAGCAACACCAAGACGCTGGAAGCCACCATTGGCAGCAACCTCCTCCTGCAGCTTAGCCATCCGCTTCTGATCACCAGTGGGATCAGTAGAGTCAGCATCAAGCGCCCAGGAGAGGTACTCATTGGTATAGTTGGACTTGAAGTCCTCATCCAAAATACCAAGACGCTTGCCATAGCGAGTAACCTTCTCCCAGTCACGGCTAACGTTCTTGAGGTCCCGACTGAAGTAGGCGTAGGAGCGCTCAAAGATCTTGCGGTTGACAGGAGTAGCCATGATAGGCTTAACATCAACATACTCCTCATAAGTACCCTTAGGATCAGCCAAGACATCATCTGTAGCACGCTTCACAGCACGCATGAACTTGCCAACGCGCTCCTGGTTCTCAGCAAGGAACTTGTCATTGGCAATGTACAGAATGGAACAGAAGCAGCAGCAGCCCAGCTCGGCGAGCTGGTCAATGCGCAACATCTGGACGTCGGAGCGGGGGCGGTTTTGCTCTGCAAGCCACTCGGCCAGCTCAACCATTTGTACGTTCTCGAGACCAATACCGGCGTCAATGTCACCGCGGATGATGGCCTTGGTAACGTTCATGCCGCAGCGGACGGCGGTATAGTCATCAGCGGTCATGCCGTAGTACTTTGTAAGCTCGTCGATTTGGATCTTGCCGAATTCTCCAACGTAGCCGATGCGTTTGCCCTTCAGAGAGCGGAAGTCCTCAGTGATTCCGCTAGACTTGAGGTACACCACACCGGTGAAGGGCTCGTCGAGAAGGGAGCCAATGGAGGTCACGGGGAAGTTGCGAGCTTTGGCCTGTGTATGGATTAGAACGAACATGCTTTGATAGACGACTGAGATTAACGTACAGCTAGGGTGTGGATCATGGCCTTGAAGCCCATGTCGACCTTGCCGCTACCAATGATCTCGGTCACATCGGAGGGGTCATTGGGCTCCAGCAGGGCAACCTTGAGGCCTTCATCCTTGAAGTAGCCACGGGCCTGAGCGAGGTAGAGAGGGGCGTGGTACGGGGTGGCGTGCCTGAAGATAATACTCAGCCTGTGTACTTTATACTTTGTGCTTTTCAAAGCCCTCAAAGGAGAAGACATGATTCAAATAGGTTCTGTTAGCATACCAGTTGGTCAGGAAAGTGATCTTGTCCGTAGCCATTTTGGAGATTGGTACAAGAACTGTTTATACTTCTATCGAGTCAGCATCCCGACACAAGGGTATCCGTGTCCAACAGTCCACTATGTTAGCATTAAACATCCATAGCAACCATTGAACACGAACACAAAAAACAGCAAAGGGGGAACAATTCAAGTCACGCATGTCCTTTCGCTAGAATTATCTAGATCAAGTTTTGACAGTATAATCTCAGAACAGCCAGACTGCCGTAGAATATGATTGCTCATGTCTACGACAGCCCGAACCGAACACCTGTCATGCGTAGCTGACTGTTATACCATATAATACCTTGACCCTATAATCATCGCGGGGACAACTGTCCAGGGACCCCCACGTGGGGGACCCGAAGCTAGGACGTGCGCAGCTCCATTGTAGAGAGTCGTACCGAAGGTAGACTTGGTAATCGTTGGCGAGAAGTAGGTAAGGAATTTGAAATGAATCAATTGAGAATGGGAGAAGAAAAGTGGGAAAGGAGCTCATGGAGGGGTAGAAATACCCCGGAGTGGAGTTGTCCGCCAGGGTAATTGTCTCAATCATGATTTGCACCATAAGGTTCACCGGGATGCGCAAATCATGAGAAATAGAGCTCCAAGGTTTCCCTGATTGGGCTCGTCCGTAACTCTATTGCTGGAGATATCCACACACTTCCGAATCCAACCGGGAGCACACCCGACATCGCAGACCCTTACGTTATAGCTGTGACGAAAAGTCGTTCAATTCACGAATCAAATTCCAAGTTAAAACAAATAAAGGCTTCAAGATGCATGGATATGAAGGTCAAATTACAAGGTGACGTCAGGTGGAGAGGTCCACTCCGAGAAAGAAAAACAACACCAAATGCTACCCGTTAACATGAGCAAGTGCATAAACAAAAGAAACAGAAAACAAAATCCATAGAAGAATCCTATCACTCTTCATCCTTAGCGTCGTCCCCATTTACCGAAATGCTGTCCAGGGGAGACTGTGGTCGGTCACCAGACTTCCGAGTCCGGAGCGTGAGTGGATAAAAGTGCTCATCGGGTTCTTCTTCCTCACTGCGGGGTTGTTAGCGTCTGGAAGATCATTGCCTAATAACTGAAAACATGAGACAAAAGGTGGGGACTCAACGTACGGAAGCTTCCAGGCGACATAGTCTTCGGTGCTCAAGCCCTCGCGGCCTTCCTGGAGTGAAGCAAAATCACCGGGGGTCATCATTCCCGAGCGATCCCGAGGAGAACCCGGAACAGAAAGAGGACGGGAGATCTTCTGATCGGTACCTCCGATGATATCGAAATAATCTTCTTTCTCGTCAAAGGAGGAGGGATAGGCTGTGGCTAAAATTAGCAATTGTTCTGAACACAACAGTTTGGAAAGGGATCAAATCATACCTCTACGGAGAGCCAATTGGCGCGCCTTGACGTATTCCAGACCCATACGCTTCCAGTCAAGCAAATCACTCAGTCTTTCTGTCCGGTTACGCTGGTTGATACGTTGACGCCGGCTCTTGGTGGTGAAGTTGAACATGAAGTCAGTCAGCTGGTTGACCGAATCGTCCACTCCCTTCGACCGACGGTCTACAATGTAGATGCCGTAGTCCGACGAGTTCTCAATCAATTCTTCCATGTAGCATCCGAATCCTGACAGATTTGTAGTGATACTTGGCACACCCATCACGGTGCACTCGGCCGGAGTGTATCCCCAGGGCTCGTAGTAGGAGGGGAACACTCCCAAGTGGGTTCCACGAACAAAGTCATCATAGTCAAGTGGCAGCACCGGGTTCGAAGCGTTGAGGAACTCAGGATGGAACACAATTTTGACGCGGTCGGAGGAGTTGTTAAACATCTCCACGCGACGCAGCTGGTTCAAAATGGGATCCTCGTGGTCATTAACCATGTTGTGCGTGACAATAGGAGGAAGGCCGTGGCGTTTCATCGCGAACAGGCGACGGCGCAAAAGAACCCGATCTTGGCTGGTGATGAGATCCTTCTCATCGGGCATGTTGTCACCCTCCTTCCACGAAAGGCAACGCTCATACATCCGCTTTCCAATGCCCTGCTCAATGTTCTCAATTGTATCGCGGAGGGACTTGACCACGGCCTGTCCCTTGAGCGACTCCACCGTCAAGGAAGAGGTTTGCGCGGGCATGATGATGAAGGCGACCACTGTAGTAGTTGAGCCGCTGGTCTTCAATCGATGGTTGAGACGAGCCAATCCCTCGATAAACATGTCCACTCCCTTATTCCGGTACTCGTACCGACCAGCGGTGAAGAGGTAAAGAGTGTCATCCAGATCGAAATCATTGTGACCGTAGAAGTGACCGCGAACAAAATCATTGATCTTCTCCTTAGCTTGCGAGTGCAAGTTCTGGAACTCGTGCATGGCGGAGAATTTCTTGACATTCAGACCGTTCGGGAGGACACCATCGGGCTTGCGCTTGAGCAAATGCTCGCTCTCAAAAGCCGTAATGTGGGACACTGTAGTGAAGACGTCTGCGCTGTGCGCAGCCGCGCGTTCAATGCAGTACCGGTGGTAGATTCCACGCTTCCCAGCCTCGGCATCCACATCGAAATGTTGGAGGTTATTGTAGAAATCCACTGAGCCAGCACAGAGATAACGACCCAGCAGAGTAGCGTGTGTGGTGAAAATGGTGGTCAGATCCATGTGACGCCTCTTGGTCAATGGCAAGGCCACACCAGCTAGCCATTCGTGGAAATGAGCCACCACGGCCCGACGGCGCTCGTGGGCGATGTACTACAGGCAATCGAGTCAGTACACGCGCAATAAGATAGTTTCTTCCACCGAGATTCAATTCAACATACCTCGCCCAGGAACCATGCGACCAAGTATCCAAAGACAATGGCCTCGTTGGTTTCGTGATCGGCAGCGGGCGCCGGGATGCCGGAGGTGTTCCACAGATCGCCCTTCCACTCGTCCAGCCATCGGTAACCCGTGCCGGTATTGATGAGCAGCACCCGCGGGGCCCCTTCAATCAGCCAGCGACCGTAGACGATCTCAATGCCACGCTCTTTCATAGATGCGATGGTATCACGCATAGCTGGGCTGGACGGTGTAAGTTCTTCCACCTCAACGGCGGCCGAAGCTCGATTCAAAGGTCCGATCATGGTGTAGCGCTCGCCGTACTCAGCCGTAGTGACGGGCGCCTTAGACTTCAGTACCGAGTAGATGCCGCCCACCCTGTTGGCCACCTCCGTCGCCACTTCAAAGAGCATGTGATTGCGAACATCGCGCTTAATCGGCTCAGAGCCGTTCTCGTCAGCCATTGCAAGCAAGAATCCCCCAAGAAAAAAGATGTAAAATTCAACAGAAGGTTGCAGAGGGGAGAAGAGGGGAAAAGGTTGAGAGCTTTGGAACCAGAAGCCGGGAGGATTGAGCTCCGGACTCGGTCTGTGCGGGGATACGCGGGATCCCAGTTTTTTGACTTCCCCAGAGTTGGCTGGGGAACAAAAAGAAAAAAGGAAATCTTGGTAATTATATTAGCTGGAGAAGCTTACGAGCTTTGTTTCTAAATAAAATTCGACCCTCTGATCTCACCTCACCTCGCCCCCATAGCTATAGCAATAACTCCGCTCACGAATACGGTTACAGCACGAACAAAACGTCCCGCATACTACAACCGGGCTAACTGCGGCTGGGCAACACCGTGTGACCAAAGACCTCTTGAATCCTTGGTTCATAGATGAAATTTCCTTCCAAACCAGCCACCGGTCAAGCTAGTCCCTTTTGGACAATTGATTTTTTTTCAATGATATAAAAGACTATGGAAGAGTTTTTTACCCCTGACCAACTTTCAGGCCCAATGTAACACTGCTGACCTTAGTGTTTTAAAGTATTCTTTTCTTATAGCTCGGCGTCAGTTCGGCCCGTGCTAGTCGATCCATTGTAAATCTTCAATGCACTCCAATCATTGTCTTTTTTTTCTGCGGCGCACTGATTTTTCTCCTGCACGGGGGCGCCACTGAAACGGGAATCAGGTTTATCGTGAAGCTGGTCTGGGGAAAGCTGATCGGATGATGTCATAGCGGGTCTGAAGATCTGTCATCTGGTCGGTTATCCACAAATTATCAAGATATTACGATACTAAAGCGGCACTAAAGCTAGCTAGGCTGAAAATTCGAAAGCTAACATAATGTACCTGGGCATCAAACCTATATCGTAAGGTCCTTTCAGCATGACTAATTCATCCTTGATAACCGTGCAACCCACAATGCATTGATATCTCTTTGTCTCGTGCTTAGGCGCCGGATTCTCTATCTTGTGCTTTGTTTGAAGCCCTTTGTGGCGAGTCAAGTGACATAATCCAATTCTTTAATATTGTGAGGCTCAAGTTTAATGCTAAAAGGATCAAAGGCTAAATATCGCGATACATCTGTGACCTTCCAGCTTGTATATAAGTCCGACCTTTTTATCGCCGAAAACTACAACGCCACTTTTACTGAACTTGTAGTCCTTCACCTCTTCCTACTTGGATATCAATATTCGGGACTAGTAGTACCTCCCCGTACCGCCGATTGAGATCAGCAATCCGTGCTATTCAGGCCTCGGCAATGTCTTGTCATGAATAGTCATTCGCACCCAGATTCCCATTCAACCTGCTCCCGACAGCTTCCATTTCCATTCAATATAGCATCTCGAATCTGGCGGCGACTATGGCATGAAGTCCTACTATCCTGCCAGAAGGTTCCGCCCTCGTCTGGTGCTAGAATACCTCTGACGCCCTCCCTAACCCAGTCCAATGAAGAGACACAGGACTCCCCACCGAGCTACCGACCCGTTCCCTACGATGGTGTCTCATCCTTAATGGACGTAGACTACCTTCGGGGTAACATCAACCGGGATGGCATATCACAGGACGGCCGATTGGATTCATTACGAGTAGTCAATCCGGACATACGCACGCCAAGATCCAGTACAATCTCTTATTACGACATGTTTGATGATATTGATGATAGAGTAGGACGACGGAGTTCTCATGTGCCCTGTCTCCCCGATTTCTGGTTTACAAGAGCTCCAACACCACCCTTGTCTATCAGCATTGGACTGGGCCTCCAACAAGTAGGAGAATCCATGATGTCGAACAGACAGTCGGTGCACACTGAATCGTGCCTTTCTCCAGCGACCGAGAGTATGCCGGAGGAAAAAGCAGCCCCGACTAGTCCGAATGATCGTCCCTTTCCTGAGAGACCTCAAGGCCTTCCCCCGGGCGGGTTCTCTCGCGCGATGGGATTTTTCATGCCACAACTATCTCCCAGTTTATCGGAAGCTGACATAATCCAGGATTGTCGTCTGGAAGATAATAGCGATGTTGATACGGCTCCAAGCCCACGACCCTGTGTCTCATCAATTCACTCAGACCTCGGATCTTCATTAAGCTTTGCCAAATATCGCAGCCAATGGCTGCAAAATTGCCAATCGTCACTGACAGCTTCTCGGCCAACTGCTCCAGATCCACCGGAGCCTGAGGTTGTGATCTCAAGCCACCGGCACCAGCCATCTGGTGTTTCCGCATCTGGCAATCCAGGTGGGGCTCGTAGAGTCTTTAACAATTATTCCAACAGCTCCTCATCTAGTCTGTTAGTCACATCGCAATCTTCTCATTGGCGGTATCGCGGCCTTTTTGAGAGCATTCTCAACTTGCCTTATCTCTCACTGACTCTGGCTGCAGGTACGGCTGCTCAGAAGCGTAGATTTGGCTAGGAAGGCCGAATAGATCAGATACAAAAAAAAATATAAAAAAAATAGTGCATTTCCTTATTAGTCTAGCGATCAATAGAATAATTTCAGTCATTGACGCCAAATTGCAATTCGAAGCGTGGGAAAACCTGTTGTTGGTTTTAGACTAAATTTGGAATTAGAATCCGTGATCCGTGCGTCAGGGTCCAGTGAACAGGCACGCCTTTCTTCCCGGACAAAAACGTTTTCAATGCTACTTCCATCTTTTTCTCTTCTAGACCAAGACCTATGTCATTAGACATCCACTGGATCCTTCTATAGATGGGTCAATCATTCGATCAGCCAAAGATCAATGCCTATTCGTTGATGAAGTCATGTCTCCACAATGACTTCATGATGCTGTCACTGTTGTCTATGTATGAACAAGTATACTGGTTGACGAGTCGATGAGCTCCATGGACAGGTATTTAAATGCTGGCTCGTGGCCCTTCAAAGACCTCTTCATTATACTCTTCCAAATCCTTACAACCTATTCACAATCTCTCAAGGTATGTGGCTCTCAAACACCTCAATTGCTTCCTAGAAAGCCAGAAACTTATTATTTAATCGAATAGACACTTCCACTCCCACTCAATTATCCACATATCCTTCACAATGGTCCGCGGCGCCGAATACGACAACGGAGTTCCCCAGTCCGACAACGCCATTGAGGCTGGCGAGACTAAGGCCCACGGTGTCGGCAACAACGTTAGTATTCCAATTATGAATATATTATAATATTTAGCAGACATCTAACATCTTATTCCACAGGATGCCCCTCTGAACCACACCCAGAAGGTCGCTCCCATGCCCGAGGAGACTGGCTCGCAGCGCAATGATGTCTTCCCCGGTTTCAGCGGCGCCCGCCCTAACCACTCTGGCAGTGGCAAGGGTGGTCACGAGCCCAAGACTCTGGGTGAGAACAAGGGTCTTGGTTCCCAGCCCGGCGTTTAAACACGACATTTCCGAACATACATGACATCACTTTATCTTAATCTCCCTTGATGGGAGAAACACCTTAAAAGCATCAAGGTGGCACGAGTTACGCATCATTTTTGTATACGTACGCTGCGCGATCCGAACTGGAGTCTGGATCTATTCCTAAGGCTTTTAGCTAGTCAAAGCTTGAATATGAAATATTGTACAACTATTCATTTGTTCCGGGATATTATTAGAGCTGTGTAATGCCTAGATATGAACGTCCCTCCGAGATAACGAGCTACATATATCGTAATCCTGTAGATCATTTAGATGGCAAGCTCCAATGTCTCTCCTTCGCACCGTGCCAACTTAGACCTAAAACCATGTATGCCGGCAACACACTTCCCCCTACATGGACTATCCCTTTTGAGTCCACTTTGGTGGGGTGAGTTGTCACTGAGTACGATCACAGGTTTCACTGAATGACTATATATATAAATGCATCACGTGCGAACTTGTAGCCGAAGATGTTTCCGAGGTAATTGACGACAGCCTTGGGGATTCCAGCAGCGCGCTATAACTAGAATTTTGATCAGAGATCCGTATGCCAAATTCCAGGTTCAGTCTGGGCAGAGCTAACAAGCTCATCGCCCACTTAGGCTCGTTCAGAAGAATTACGGCCAGGGCGAGAGATAACATGGCTACAGCAGACCTATGAGACATCAGGTTAGGATATTGATTTTGTGTCTAATACAAACGCCATGCAAACGCCATCATGGTCAAACCCACTTGAATCTCATTGACCCATGGATTACTAGAATAGGTTACTCCTACCTTGGCGCCTCCATACCCCGTTCCATAGGTAACCTCCTACATACAAGCCTTGATATCAGCCTCCGACCTCTCTCTCGTTCCTTTGTCTTCTCCCTCCTTGCACTCCTCACCCTCTTTCTATCTTTTACTTTTTCCGCGCCACTGATGCCTTTCAACCTACCGGAGTCACATTACCGAGCCTCTAGATAGAACAGCGCTTTCCCCTCTTGTTTGCTTCTTCTCTCCTCATGCCACCACAATTCACTCTATCCTGTCTGGCTCATCCCTTTCTGTGTACTCGTATTACTCTTTCTGGTTTCGAGAGACATTACTATGAATGGAGTCTTCCAGTATCCAGTATATCTCTCCAATCTCTCCAAGCGAGATTCTCCTTGTCATTCTCTCTCACCTGCCATCTCACAATGATGCAGCAGCGCTGTCTCTATCGTTGGCATCGACTTTGTGATATGTCCAACCGGCACAAATACCGCCGCGTAAAACTCCACGGGACCTTTGGACATGGCAGTGGCTTTCAAAATGCTCTGGTCGATCCTGAAGACCCCTCGTTATGGGGAGTATGTTCGCCACGTGGAGCTGAACCGATCCATATCATTAGGTCGTTGGTATGTCAAGTCATACATAATCAGGTCACCGCAACGGTCCCTCCAACCAGATGACCAAGTACGCCTGACTGCGGCGATCAAGCAGGCCGGCTTTCAATGCCCGGAAAAACAGGAGAAGATGCTCAATATTCTACTACAGAATCCGGATAACATGGAGTACCTCCCCTTTCTCTATACTTCCCCTCCATTCTTTTGTTTAACTCTGACTTTCATTAGCCAACATGACCCCTGAGCCCCGGTATTCGCCCAGGCGTTGGCAGCTTTACTTGTCAGCTTTACTTGTCAGCGTTTCGCCATTTTTAGAATCACTGAGTCTTTGCTCAGTCAGCCACGAACTATCGGAATTCGAAAAAAAACGGCCATTTTCAACGGGACTCCACTCGACAGAAAGGATTATTTCTTTAAGGAGTTCTTGGACCGGGCGAACAGTATCCCGCAGGAGACCCTGTCTTTCCTTCATCATCTTCGAGAGGTCCGATTTCTTGTCGATGCCGATACAATACTCAACCGCAGTTATGAGTTTGCGCCCTGTGATCTGTCTAGCAGCCTCAACTTGGTACGCCAACTCCCCGTAGCAAAATCCATCTGAGTGGTCTCGATCTCGAGCAGGGAGTTACAGGTGCATGAGCTTCCACCCCAATCCGCAAATTATACTAGCATTACCATTCGGATCTCCGCTATGGAGTACTACCATCTAGTGCCTCTCATCAAGTCCGCCAAGAGACTAGAAGAGTTTACGTATGCGGTCGGTGGCCGAAGGCCGATAGCTCGCGCACCCTGCATTTTCCGCCCAGATGGCGTCTTCCAGGCGCTCCACTCACACGCTGATTCTTTGACAAATCTAGATTTGGATGTTGAGGCCGAAACCCCACTGGCGGTGACATTCTATCCTGGCATTTCGGGCTATGTGTTGGTACACCCAGCGCTCCAGCCAGAGCACAGCTCGCCTCTCGCTCTTCGTGGGCTTACGAAGTTGAAAAAATTGAGCCTCGGAATCCATATTCTCTACTACCCGTCGCGAGGAATCGGTGCTGATCGGGTTGATGATGCCTCATTTGCTATTGTGGATCATCTCCCACCAAATTTGGAAGCGCTTTGCATCTATGGGTACCCCAGAGGGATGAAACCGCAGGCTAGAGATCTTCCGGATGATGTGTTTGACAGGCAATTGGAGAGGCTACTTGCTGAGAAGCATACCAAACTACCCCGATTGTCATGTATCGAGGGCATTGATGAATTCATCAAAATTGGGACTACTATCCAGCAGACAGAGACTGACGATGAGTATTGGGAGAGCGAGACAGATGATGAGTGGACTGATCATGAATACGAATAGTTGGTACGAATTTGCCTGCCCTGCTCAACAGCATTTGAGTGACGCGAACTTATGAGGGTACATATCCAGTTTGAGGTTCTAAATCACCCGGGGATACCACGCATTCCTGCTTGCACAATTTTCAGCCCTATGAAGTGTCAGATGAGATTGTTATTAGTTTTGTCTAATTCAGACGCCATGGTTACTATTAACCCCACCTGGATCTAATACATGTAAACGCTGAAACATGTTATATGTAAAACATGTCATAAGCGGAACATGTTATTCATAAAACATGTAACATGTAAATAGAAGGGACCTTATATTATAGTTCCATAAATTATAAAGTACTAGGAATTATTGTTATATTCACTACTATCGAGCTCAGAAAGAACTGCCTTGAATCTGTCCACTATATTGAAGAGTAAAGTAGAAAAATCAGAACTATTCACAGGTCTTTCCCTAAGAAATGGTTCTTAGTCTTGGCTTCTTGGCCAAATATCTACGGCTGCCAGATAAAGCATTTGGCTAGTCCATCATAAGCAGGTAGACTTATTCTTTGTTTGAGGATTTATAAAGATGTAAAGAAAAATAGGACATAGAAGAATGAGAAAACGAAAGAGAAAGGAAAAGACAAAGCTGTACAAGAGTAAACCCGCGTTCGGAAAGCTAGACTGGGGCATTTGGGCGTAATATCGATCGGTCGGTCGTTGTCGCATTGGGTTGCATAACCGGTTGGCGCTTTGGGAATTGACAGTCGCAGTCGCTTTGGGCCTTCAAGCACGAGGGAGCTTCTCGAGGATAACCAGAACCGCCTTGTCGCCGTGACCTTTTACATAGTCTATAAGTTCCTCAGTAACACCAACCACACCTTCAGCCTTCAACTTCGCAACTTCATCCTTGAAACCACCCGAAACCCAAATCTCATCAAGAATAGTAGCAACAACAATACCATTCGTCTTAGTAACCCGGACAAGTTCGCGTAGAGCAGGATCGGGGCCAACGTGGCCAAGGGTAAATGTGCCAACGCACACAACGGTATCGTAGGTTTCGTCGGGCTTCGCGATAGGTCGGTTCATATCCGCTTGATCTAGATTCCGATAAACGCCAGTATCTCTGGCAATGTCAAGCATAGGGACAGATAGGTCAATTCCATCGATTGCTTTGGGGCGGGCAATTGAAAGTGCCTGCCCCACGAGTCCAGTTCCACAACCAGCATCCAGGATGACGCTGTTGGCAGGACCATTGGTTTTCGCGTATTTGAGAGCTGTCTGGGCAACGAGCACGGGAGCAACATACTCCTGAGCCTCGTCGCCAACTTCGTCGTTGTATGTTGCAGCCCACTTATCGTAGATGGACATGCATTCTTTACTGTTAGGGCTGTCTCGAGCCTGTTGGAGGTACAGAGCTGGAGACGGAGCAGGCATTGCAGGAGACATATTGACAGGAGTTGATGCCTGAAAGATGTGTTGAAAGGGAGTTAGGAAGTTTGAAGAGGCTTGTAAGATTGTGTTCGCAATAATTAGACTTCTTTCACGTACATGTCTTGTTCTTATAGCTTTGAAAACTACATGTATTAGTATTTTCTTTTACGAGTACTGACTAGCGTAATACGCAAAAATGCGGGGTTTTCGCGAATCCTACCCAAAGCGATGCCGCTTCGTCGATCGGTGATGTCGGTGGTCAATGATCTCCGGTATACTCCGGCCCCGCGCTAAAAAAGAAAAGGCACCTGCAAGTAATAACACGCAGTATGCATTGAAATAACCATGGTTCTATTTAACAGACCTCTTCAATGTCACTACAATTGCTTTTCTTTCCCGCTCGTAACATCAGACCACCGTTAAGTCAGGGAAAATCCTACACTGTCCCGCTGATTATCAACAATGAGGGATGAAACTGTATGAAATCGTCAGCACCAATCGTGTCATAGTACATCCCCGCGTGCATCGTCAACAGCGGAGACAACTTGCATGTGCATTGGCAATTTTCCTTGAGGTGTCTGTGCAACGTAAAACAGGTTTAGATCAAGTTTTAGATGATACAGGATACTTGACATAATCTATTCTCGTAAAGGGGTATTGGTATCGTGTTCAACCAATCAGCCTCAAAGCTACTTCTTTCAAATATGGTTTTCTCCAGGAATTTACCACACTGTTTGACTATTGCCCCGCCTTGATTGGTATCATTCGGTCACTCTTTGCAGTCTAATCAATGCGTCGTAGCTTTCAATGGCTTCTGGTGATTATAGCCATGGCCAAAGCCATGCGGCGTCCTCTTCACTGATTCTTCAAAGAGATGATCCAGGGCGGTACCTGATGGAGTCGATGAGGGGAGACCAGCCGAGACATCCTTTGATCCAATCCACTCAATCTTCCCAACAGAGTGGATATGATGTGCATTGCGGGCCCGGGGGCCAGTGCTCCTACTGTACGTCAGCCATTGACTGCAGCCTGCAACAGATGTGGAGGACCGAAAGAGGGGCTAGGGAGCATGTGGGGAGCTCGAAGAGGCTCCGGAGGCTGGATCTCACCATCCGGACCTTCGAAGAGAAATGCCTGCAATTGGGCTTTCCACCGTCATTCTGAGAAGTCAATGGCTTGCATGAGAATAATCACAACATAGAAGCTTGTAACTGCTAATTTATTTCTTTTTCCATAAGCGCCATAAGCCTAGAAAAGGCCTTTTTGTGCTCAGACATGCTCGTCGGGCGTAGCCCCACCTTGGCACAGATGGTATGGTACATGCAGCTGCCAATACAAGCTGTGGTTTTAGGTCTCTGCAGTGAAGGTACATCGTCCGAATTCCCCTCAATTCATCCACCTCTAAGAACTCTGGTACTGAATATTTTCCTCAAATGGATTCATCAGTACAGGTGAGCCTAGTGGGTCTTCTTTTTAGGGGATATGATGCCATCTTTGACTTTAGAAAGACGTAACGCCCAAAGCTAGATATTGGAGGAACCGTTGTACAATGGCCTCGGCTGACTTGTCTCTGTGCTGGAGATCGATCCATATACAACAAGAGCTCAGCATTGATTCCTGATTTGTGAAAGGCCATCAGTATACAGGGTTGTGGATCTACGACACAAAGATAGAAGTTGGTACCAATATAGACGCTAAGCAGAATTAATTTCAAGTCACTCACAGGAAACGCCGGGCTAGTTCTATCAATGCATATCGTGGACAGGCTATGTTATGAGAATGCGTAGCAAATGACAAGAACGCTTCTGTACAGCTTCTAACAATGTCATACCGGTAGCTGAGAGGGCAACCTTGAGGAATTATATGTATAAGGGAGGATCATGATGGCGTTCATGTATCAAGAGAATGAATGTACGGTGAAGTCAAAATTGAACGGATCAAGACTGGGCAGAGCCAGATCCGTTTTCTTCTTGCTCGTCGTTGACAGGCTCGGACTGCTCCGAATCGAACATTGGGGCGGCAACACTCTTCGCTTGCACAAGCTGGAGAAGTTTATCTCCTAGGACGCCAGCGCCGTCGATCTTGGCCAGCTTGGTTCGGAAATGTTCGATGTCGATTTGCATCCTAGAATGGGCATTAGTACATAACATAAAACATGGATGCACGATTGTATGAAGACTAACCTCTTTTTACCAGTTTCAGACTGGACACTCGCCTCGTCAAAAGCTTTGACCCACTGGTCTCGGTAGCTGTTAAACACAGGCCCCATGATCATATCGACAGTCATTTCGGGTAAATGTTTACTCAGCACACGGTGTAGAGTACCCGTCTCCTTGGCCAAGGTCTCCATGTAGGCATGAACCGCAGAAGAATCATTTTCAGCATCCCAATCAATCTTCTTCATGGCATTAACATGGACCGTTGAGCGCGAGCTCATGATGTCCACAAGCTTTTCATGGATTCCGTTCTGGTGCTCCTGGCATAACCTTTTAACCTTGTCAAACTCGGCCATGACTTGGTTTCCTTGCCCATGACGACGCACAAATTCCCTGACATAAGGCACAAGAGCCACAACAAAGCTCAGCGCTTGGGATGAAAGTGCAAGATGTTTGGTTGTAATGTTTTTCAATCCCGCGCTACGCGTCGCACCGGCGCCAAGGATCAATTGAGAAGACCTGGAGTTAAAGAGCTTCAGAATCTCCAATAACTGAGGAGCAATGTCTTGGATCATATTCGGAATATTTGCCATGAGGAATTCGAATTCCTCAATACTGCACATGATGGCAACGGCCGAGTCTGGCAGGATGTATTTCTGTTCGTCGATAACCGCACTGCGCACCTTTTCTTTGCCTGATCCATTGACGGCAGAGCTGTTTTCCGAAGAATCGGTCTGCTCTTTCTCGTTGTAAGGTATCCAAATCTTGGAGACCTCTGTCCATGCCTCGATGTCTTTAGTGCTTGCGTCCAGGATGCGGGTCAAAATGGTGACCTGATTTTCTCCGAAATCACGCGCATCCCATCGGTCTGCATCCATGACTTTAACGATGCGATGGCGTTGTGCCTCGCCGAACCGGGAGATGAATTCGCGAATCTGATTACCTACGATTGTCCGAAGTGCAGTGCCGCCTCGGCCCGAAATGGCCTCGCATTCGTCCGCAAAAAGCCGGTTGAGAGTAAAGTATTTAAGAAATTCTTCCTTGGAAAGCTGGGCTGTCTGTTCAGATCGAACCTTCAGAACCTTGGTGACCTGTGATTGGGCAATATCCACCGCTTGACCAAGAAGACTTGACATGTCCAAGACTTGTAAGATCTCATCTTGAGCCATCTGAGCAGAAGGTGAAGGACGCCCATCCGGAGACTTGACAGTCATGTGTTGTGGGTTAGGGCTTCGAGGCGACTTCGCACCGACGGTCGGAGGATTTTCGAGGCCACTAGCAATATCCAGAAGAATCTTGACTTGTGTGCTTAATCGACGTAGGCATTCACTAATACCAGTATAGACCGCTAAGAGCATTTGATAGGCATCTTCAGGGTCAAGAGCGCGCAGGTTACGTGCAAGGACAGAAGACTTTTCTTGCTGGCTTCGCTGACGGTCCCCAACGGTTGAAACCGATACCATGGATTCATTGTCATCATCACTTGAGCTGGGTAGATGTTTTCGGATAAGCCCTTTCATCTCTCGCAACACAGCCCCCTTAAAGGAAGTTGCCGCAGGCGTGGTGAAGCGAGCTCGTGCAAGTCCAGTTAGCTGAACATGCAATCTGGATCGTAAATCATTATCAATGTTCATATATGCGGGAGATACCATCGATACAGGACGGTTTCCACCTCGTTGACGTAGGAAAGAGGAGCCCCAGCGCTGCAAAGTGACATCCGAGGACACGTTTTGGACGTGGCCACGCAAGTCACCCAGAAGATCATTCATAAAACGGGTTTCATATCCCATTCCGATACGCTGTCTTAATTGAGCAAGGTCTTCGGAGGCACCATCAAGAGCCTTGAGTCTTCGAAGATCAATTGCTCGTCGGGGGAGGTCTTTGTCATCCTCATCGGCAGGACGATCAGACACCTTCTCGCCAGCCATCAACTTCTCTACCTCTTCCAGTTCGTCAGAGGCAACCTCAATGTCACCCTGTTCAACTAAATCTTCACATCGAGAAACAGACTCTACCACGTCACGGAGCTGGGCCACGGCAGCAGCTAGCATGCGTACATTCTCTCTTCGTCGGCGTAGATTGACGATCTTCAAGCCACCCAATGCCATCTCCTTGTCGATTTTCTGGAGGTCTCGGCGCAGGACCTGAATTCTTTCAACTGAGTCGGCCGCCTCCGCATGTAATTCGCGTAAAGAACCCAGTGCCGTGAAGAATGATTTAGAGGCTGTCGAAATGGAGGAAATCAGATGGATTTCGACGGTATCCATATACCAAGAAAGCTTTTCTTGCAGAATAGCATTGGTGGCAAGTGCCTTTCTGCCGGTCTGAACAGGCTCCGGTGCACCTCCATTGGATTGCTGGTCGTCTTTGACAGGTGGCCGGGGTGGTCTCACCACTTCCGATTTTTCCGATATCACGTCAAAGGTTCGAGGATTCTCCAGGTGAAAGTCTTCTTCGAGATAAACAGATGGGATTGTCGACAGCGGTGTTACCGCAGGGCCTCGACCACGCAAGGAAGGCCGTCGGCCTCGTGGATCATAAGGCGAAGTTGGTCGTGAGCTGGTCGATATGGTGGAAGACCTCCGCTCCGGGCTCCATGGCATTAAAGATTCCGTGTATTCAGGCTTGGGTGACTTCATGTTCGGGGTTGTTGCGCCGTCTTCTCCGGTGCTTTCTTTCGACTGCTGGAAGACATCATACAGTGAGCCGACTTGCGACAAGTAAGGCTGAAACACCTTCGAGTCTACATGAGTGATGTTTGTCAAGGTCACCGGTGGAATGTCGCGGGATGACGGAGGTTTGTATCCAGTAGTCGAAACAGCGGTATGGGGGGTTAAGCCGGTTCGAGTGATCGGGGGCTGCAAGAGGGTCGAAATGGCTGTAGTGACATTCTCACATTAGTCTCCTTGTATTTATCCAGCTTGCACACTGCTAATTTATAGATCCTACCGTTTTGTCCGGACTCCGCAATAGATCCTTGGTGCTGTGAGACATCTAAGATCCCTCCAATGCTCACGATAGAGCTCGCCGTAGATCCCCTCCTCAGGGGGAACCGCTGAGGGGGAACTCGAGGCGACTCCAGCTGGGTCGTTGAATAGTGTGAGATAGATGGCGTGGATGCGCCAGACGCCAGACTGTCAATTGACTTGCGCGGGCTGTTCGCCATCTTGTCCACGTCCGCACGGCGGATGCGACAGCCACCGGGGTCGATCGTTGGGGAAGCTCGGGGTTATCTGATCATGACAGATCAACCACAAGGCCGCCGAGCTCAGGGCTCTAAAACCGCGTCCACCTTCAGCAAGAAGCTCCAGGTGCTGGGGTCTCGGATCTAGATTTGCTTCAAGCCTAGGTGAGTGCTGCCAAGCAGGTGTCGTGGCATTGTTTCCAAGGTGCCATGCCCAGCTCTACCCAATCGGGAAAGGCGCTAACCCCCGGATTAAACATTACTCCGCTCCAGCCATTGTCGCCTCAGGAAATAGGCCGAAATCCACTTAACGCGTCTACGGGGAGGAACGCGTCGCGCTCGCGATTTCCATGTTCCCCCAAAAGTTCTCCCTTCCCTTGTGTCCACAGATTTGCCAGTCTTTCCATCCCCTCCACACCCCAACCCTCTACCAAACACCATGGATAGACGCACTCCTTACACTTTGAGCGTACTTGCGCCTAGCACAAATGGTGCTGATGAGTCGAAAACCGCCATTCAAAATAAATTAAAGGATTTTGTGCTACAATTTCAGCTGGACAATGCATTCATTTACCGGTATGGAATCTACAAAAATTTGCATATCCCAGGGTGGCTTGTATCAATGACTGACCCAAACAACCTCACAGAGATCAATTACGGCAAAATGTGCTTGTGAAGCAATACTACTGTGATATTGACATTGCCCACCTTATCTCCTTCAATGAGGAGTTGGCCCACAAACTTACCACAGAGCCCGCTGATCTCATTCCTTTGGTAAGGATATCCTTCAATCACATTGTTGACTTCGCCTAACCCCGACTAGTTTGAATTGGCCCTGCAGGATTGCACCCGTCGCATCGTCTACTCTGGTGACCGAGACATCGCCCTTCCATCCCACCAACTGCTTCTCCACTCCTCAGCATCGCATATTTCCATCCGCGACCTGAACGCCACTAATATCTCTCACCTTGTCCGTATTCCTGGTATCGTCATCGGAGCTTCCACCATCTCATCAAAAGCGACCATTGTTCATATCCGCTGCAAGAACTGCGACCACAGCGAAAATATCCATGTTGACGGTGGGTTTTCTGGTCTGACCCTCCCAAGACGTTGTGGACGACACAAGGAGCCGGGCGACCAGCCTGGCGAGGAATGCCCCCTCGACCCCTATGTGGTGCACCATGAAAAATGCCAGTTTGTGGACCAGCAGGTTCTTAAGCTCCAGGAAGCCCCTGATCAGGTTCCGGTTGGTGAGTTGCCACGCCATGTCCTGATTTCTGCCGACCGGTACCTTGCAAATCGAGTCGTCCCCGGTTCGCGCTGTACCGTCATGGGTATCTTCTCGATCTACCAGGCGAAGGGTGGCAAGAAGGAAGCTGCAGTAGCCATTCGCAACCCGTACTTGCGTGCTGTTGGCTTGAACACCGACGTGGATCAGACTGCCAAGGGTAACTCGATTTTCTCGGAAGAGGAGGAGCAAGAGTTTTTGGAGTTGAGCCGCCGGCCTGACTTGTATGAGGCTATGGCTAGCAGCATTGCTCCATCAATCTACGGAAATGCCGATATCAAGAAGGCCATCGTTTGTCTGCTGATGGGCGGCTCAAAGAAGATTCTTCCTGATGGAATGAAGCTTCGTGGTGATATCAACCTCCTCATGCTGGGTGACCCCGGTACCGCTAAATCTCAACTGTTGAAGTTCGTTGAAAAGGCGGCTCCAATTGCCATCTACACCTCCGGAAAGGGTTCTTCAGCAGCTGGTTTGACTGCCTCTGTGCAGCGCGATCACACCACCCGCGAGTTCTACCTGGAGGGTGGTGCTATGGTTCTTGCCGATGGCGGTGTGGTTTGTATTGATGAGTTTGATAAGATGCGTGACGAAGATCGTGTGGCTATTCACGAGGCCATGGAGCAGCAAACTATCTCCATTGCCAAGGCTGGTATCACAACCATCCTCAACTCCCGAACGTCGGTCCTGGCCGCCGCCAACCCGGTTTTTGGTCGATATGATGATTTGAAGACCCCGGGCGAGAACATTGACTTCCAAACCACTATTCTGTCTCGTTTTGATATGATTTTCATTGTTCGGGATGATCATGAGCGTGGCCGTGATGAGAGAATCGCTCGTCACGTCATGGGTGTTCACATGGGCGGTCGTGGTATGCAGGAGCAGGTTGAAGCCGAGATTCCGGTTGAACAGATGAAGCGCTATATCAGCTACTGCCGAAGTCGCTGTGCTCCTCGTCTCTCGCCTGAGGCTGCTGAGAAACTTTCTTCCTACTTCGTTTCCATTCGAAAGCAGGTTCACCGAAGCGAGATTGAGTCCAACACCAAATCATCTATCCCGATTACTGTGCGTCAACTTGAAGCTATTGTCCGTATTACCGAGTCTCTGGCAAAGTTGTCTCTCTCTCCTATTGCCACTGAGGCCCATGTTGATGAGGCTATTCGACTCTTCCTTGCCTCAACCATGGATGCTGTCACCCAGGGCGATGGTCAGGGCAATAAAGACCTGATGCAGGAGGCATCCAAGATCGAAGATGAGCTCAAACGCCGTCTTCCTGTTGGATGGAGCACTAGCCTGGCGACTCTGCGTCGTGATTTTGTCGATGGCAAGGGTTATTCCGAACAGGCTCTCAACCGCGCTATCATCGTATTGCAGCGGAGAGAAACCATTTCGATCCGCTCTGGTGGCTCCCAGATCTACCGAAACACTGCATAGATGCTCTTATGATTCTGAAATGTTGACTTCAATATCCCGTGTATGTGCTATGGGTGATGGAATTTTCTACGGCGTGCATTTGTTTCGGCTGCGGAGTTGGGTAGGAGTTTGCGTGATATCAAACCTAGGGTCATATTTTCAACCCAAATGCATATTCATAATTTCAATCAAAACAACCATTTTGTATGTACAACACCAAAAATACCTCATTTATAAACCCAACTGCCAAGCCCTTGATGTCAGGCTGCATATCCCAACTCGGCAGACCCTCACTTCCGTTAGAGCCGTGTAGGAAGTTAGGCACCAGCATTATCGCCAAATCACTCATAGACCAGACCCTTATTCAAATCCACAGAGCAGCTGGGCGTTTCCTTGGCACTGCATGTCTGGTGCAACATCATAGGCGCCAAGCCAGCGCCAGCCCTACGGCTACCTGTGGCTGGGAATTAGGGCTGCATCGTGCGCCACGATAATGGGGAACTGGCGGCGCACGGAGGACATGACATGATGATACGTTTCTCAGGCTTACTTCTCCTCATATAGCCCCATAATTTGTACACCAAGTCCACATGGATGTGGATAGCAAATAAGTCCAGGACATGTGGCCGACAACAAAAGGCTGCAGCCTGTACGTGGACCTGGGAATCTCCAAGCAATGGTATAAATAGGAGCTCTTTCGTCCTGTAGCAACTTAGACTCGCACAATCCAATTCATTCAATTTCTCTTGATATCCTTTATCTATCTCGCCATGAGTTTCCACGAGTCAGCAAACGACATCAAACTTGAGGATGGCCACATTCTCAAAGCCAAACTCGGCTATGGAGAGGACGAAGAACGAGACGCCGAGATGGACTTGAATGATTTTATCGGCAATGATAATGGTCAGAAGCAAGCTCTCTATCCTAGTTGGGCTTATCGTGTTAATACCTTTGTTTTAGGCTGTTTCTGTTGGGGTGGGGAGAACTTTAAAGAAAGTGCCACCAATATCGAGCTTTCCATTGAGGGGTCTGGAATTCCTGTGTTACGGGCCAACCTGTTCGATGTGGAGGGGGAGGAGATTGAGGCCAATATAAACTTGGCTGAGCGAATTTCTAATGAGAATGGAGAGTTTGTCTTTGTCTAATCCTGGTTCTAATGGAATGGTTGTGTGATTACAAGACTAGTCTTTGAGGCATAGGATGTCTTTCATAGCCTGTTATATGAGTGATGTACATCAAAACAGCTTGGCGGACTTAATCTATAGGATTGTTGGTATGCTTCAACCTACAAAGGGTCGTAATGGATGAATCCACGAAATTGCCATGCTGTGCTAAAATATGAGCAAGAAGTCTGATAATTGAACACCACGACAATCAGTGCGCTTCTTTAGACTCTAGAGTAGCCTATGTATAAGTAAGTACCTGGGTATTTACCCGATAATATGGAGCGCGATAATTTTACACCAAAAGATTAGTCAAACACCCTCACTAACCTCATTTGAAGTAGTGCAGTAATTGTAATTCAAAAGGAATATTATCTTGAATATCTCAAGCAATCGCATCATCTCGCCTAATCCACATCAAAAATACGAGATAACGCTTCATTGGAGCCATGATATAGGTAAGAAAGGGCGGCTCAGTTGCATCACTCTTCAATCACCTTCACACCCTAGCCTAGTCTACAGAGTAATATGAGCAGGTATATGAGCAAGTAGGTACCTAGGTATGTACTCAGTATTATAACATTCTGATCAAGCTTAGTTTAATGTAGTCAAGCTGTTCATTGTTACTCGTCATTAGGTATCCACAGGGAACCTGAAGATGAATGAAACACAAGACTTACATCAATTCACATCGGGGATCATAAGAGAGAAATGTAGTCTTTAGAGCCCTGAGGATGTAGGATAGAGTTGAACCGGTTCACCATATTCCTATGCTTCCTTGCTATGCTCCTTGCCGCGTGGTTTATCGTGGTCATTGTCAGGCCGCTTGCAGTGACAGCGCTTGGTCGTTCCCATGGCCCAGAAGATGCCTGTTGCCCCACAAATTCGCCATGCGCCGCATATCTGGCTTCACGATCAGCGACCTCGTTGCCAATGACACCACTGTGGCTAGGTACCCAGTGAAGCTGGATGTTTGCGCCTAGCCGCTTTAACGACGCACTGGCCTCTAGAATATCCCCGAGCAGGGATTGTCTAGCCCATTGTTTGCACAGCGGGTAAAAGTGAGCTCTGGGTATCAGTTGCAGGCACGCAGAGGAGTCAGTGAAAACGAATACCTCGTGCCGAGCAACGGGAATAAACGGGTGATTCTCCTGGAATCTAGCAATGAAGCTCGAGGCTGTCCGGAGCGCTATCCCGATACCCAATAATTCTGCATCATTACTGGTGGTATCTCCATATGGGGCCTTTTCTCTCCACGAGTACCATTCATCACGCGTGGGGTCAAACCACACTGCTGCTGCACCTCCCTTATTCAAAGCACCAACTCGCTGGAATGAGCCGTCTGTCCAGAAGATGTAGTAGTACACGCCGTCTTTGTAGAGCGGCATCTTCAGCATATCTGAAGCCAATTTCTTTGCTGTAGTGCGGTCCAAATTGTTTACCACCCTGCCACTGAAAGGCTCGGGGTTTGTAGCAAGAACCGGTTGGCTTGGATTGGGTACGAGTATGGCATCAGAGCCAGTACTCTTGAGAGGGCCTACCACCCGGTGTGGAAGTGGGTGGCTGGGTGGTTCAGCCTTTTGGGGGCCTCCAAATACACTATCATAGACTTCCTTGAAAGAAAATGCCACCGGGTGTGGGGGCAGGCCACTTGGTGGATGACTGTGGGGGCGACTGGGTATTTGACTGGCTAGGTCAGGCTTTTGGGAGCCTCCAAATGCATCAGCAAAAGTCGCCCTGATCCTATCAGCACGTTGTGATACAGGTCCCCGAAAAGCAGCCGCTATCCCATGGATTCCTTCGCCGTCCCTATGAGTGGAGGGCTCTCGAGAGATTGGCAACGGGTGAGGTATAAAGATGGGGTCAGGGGTGGAAGTAGAGCTCGGGTCAACTGGCTCTCTGTAAGTTTGAAAAGAATGAGGAATATTTGCTGCATCATGAATTCCTTCGCCATTCCTATGAGTGGAGGGCTGTCGAGAGATGGGCAACGGGTGAGGAGTGAAGATGGGGTCAGGGGTGGAACTAGAGCTCAGGTCAACTGGGTCTCTGTAAGTCTGAAAAGGATGAGGATGAGGATTATTTGTTGCATTGATATCTTCGATGACGGCATTTTCGATAGTGGGAATAATTTCTGGCTCGGGGGTGACCAGGTCAATGACCAGCCTCTCATCAATGTGCACCCTCTCACATCTCCGCCGTAAGCTGTATTGTTTCACGAATGGGGTCTTTAGTCGAGTCTCAGACTTGTTGGATCGTTGGAAATCAGGGCTCCGGCTTCTTCGTCGGGGGCTTCGGCTTCGTTGTCGTCGAGTCTCGGACTCGAGTGGTGCGTGGAAATCAGGGCTACGGCTTCGTCGACGTGGGCCTTGGATTCTCCGTCGCTCTTTTTGATCGCGATCCGGAGATGGAGACATGGTTCTTCTTAGCGGCTGGCAATGCCTCAGATATCCCTGCGTGTCTGGAGAGTAATGGCTACCCATTTTGAGGACAAATCACGATAAAATGTCCTTGGGACAAATGTAGTCACGAGTTGAATCTCACTCTAACAATGAAGTAATCTTGAAGTGGTATCCAGATGGCATGGATTCTGCATAAGAAAAAAAGAACGGGTTATTGAAAGGGTAATCGGTTCTGGTGTCAGTGCAGGGGACGCGTTGGGGTTGTAGAGAGTGAAAGGTTGTCATAACAAAGGAACATGGACTGAAGATGGTGGATAAACAATATACTCAAGGTAAGAAATAGCGGTCATATCGAATTGCGTCTCCAATGCATAGATGTCTTTCAGGCAGTCGCGTTGAACCCGTCACTTCCGTCACTTCCACGTATACAGATCCATTCCATCCACTGCTCAAGAGCTTCTATGATTATGACGCTTTCCATAAGCACATACAGTACTAAATGCTTAGCGCTACTAAGCTTTGATTGCTGTAGGTGCTTCGTGTGAAACATCAAGAAGAGGAAGAAGGACGGTTGCGCTAAGGAACCTATACTGATTGTTCCTGAACACATTTGATCTCGGTTTTATTTCTTGCATTGGTGGTTAAACAAACATTATCATGAGCTAACACGGCCTTTTCAACGACATAATCTAGACCACTACTAGGTAGTCCCTTCATAGGAGTTCACATACAATCAGTCCCGTGTTTTTATAAGCCAGGGCTGAGAACACAATCATTCAACCGTAATTTACCTATACCATGCATAATATCTTTTAAGCGAAGATGGATAGTTTACTGAACAATAAGAGGCACCTGTGGACAATTCTACTATATTTTTGCTTGAGAAAAGTCTATCAAAATTTATAGAAATTTATTGAGGATGACCCACTATGGGGACCCACACGTATTACCACCATGGCCAACGTCCAGAATTATGTGGGGAACCCAACCCAGGTGTTGTAGATGTATGCCGGCCTAGAGTCCATAAGCCACTTGGGTATGGATGATCTTTTTGTCATTCGGGAAAGCCCGAGCTCGAAACCGCCTAAGCGCATATGTTTTTTGGGCCTCCTTTCATCTATTCTTTATGATATTGTAATAACCTAATGTTTGCACTAAAATCATGATCAACTCTTTTCTTGTTCCCTTTTTATCGCTTGATTCTATCTATTAATTTCTGTAATGGAGGAGTGCAACTGAGGCTTACTAAGAAATTCAGTAATCACAGGCTCCTCAGTTTGATTGCAATATGGATTTACATCTGAGTAGATGGCGATGAGAAGGTAGGCGATATGGGACAAAGTCATTTCAATGAATCATTTCAATCATTTAACCTAAATCTACTTAAGGTAGCTAACTGTATACATCGTGAACCCGCATCAGACATGACAAACAGTGCTCGGTATTAAAGTGCAAAGGCCAACAACTCAAACCAAGAAACCCCAATTTCAAGCAACTTAGCGACATTGAAGGGTATTCAGATCAAACAAAAATTACAATAATCAAAGCCAAACGCTAACACCATTTTCCATAAATCATCATCGTAAACGCCCAAGTGAACATCGCAGGTAAAAGGACAAGAGACGCCAAGATCAATGCAATGCAACTTGTTAAATTAAGAGGATTCAGTCTTACCCTCGGAAGCAGACACAGGCACAGCCTCAGCTTCCTTACTCTCAGACTTTGGCGGAAGAGCCGTCTCCAGCAAGGAAGCAATAGAGGTGGTAATCTCAGACGAGAAAGCAGGAGGCGGCAAGACAGGTGTCAACTTAGCAGGAGGACCATTATCGTCGTCATAGACAACAGCATAGGAGAAAGCATTACAGTCCTCGGGATAATAATCCGAGGCAGTAAGCTCACCAAGCGGGGAACGGTCCTCTTCCATCTTCTCGGCCTTCCGAGCCTCGGCAGCAGCAGCCAGGGCAACGGCCTGGCTATTACGAGGCAAATCAATACCAAGCTCGGAGGGTGGAACATTCTCCTTGCCGCGCGCATCAGCAGCGGTCTTACCCTCGTCATCGCTGATATCAAGTACACCGGTCGAGTGCTGCATGAGGTTTGTCATCTCCTCCTGCTCAGAGTCGACATGGATATCGAAGAACCAGCCCGACGGTGCCTTAGGTTTAGGTGCGGGCTTCGACTGGCTGAGAGCCGTAGCAAGGGAAAAAGGACGGGCAACGGCCCGCTTGCCTGAGTCGGGTCTGGACTTGGCGATGGCCGACCGGCGACCGAGTGCCTTGCATGACTTGGATGGTGGAGTCCGACCAGCTGGTTTGAGGGTTGGTGCTGATTTAGGGGTGGATGGGATTGTCTTCAAGGGGGTGGAGAAGTGTGAGACATTGGTGGTGGCGCGGGTGGAGAGGGCGATGCGGGATGTCTTGGGTTTGGGGGACCCCTTGGAGATTTCGTCGTCGTCCAGAGTGCGCTTGCGCTTTGCGGAGAGACTGCGTGTGTAGGGGTCGATGTTCTCCGAGTCTTCAATGAAGATGGAGTTCTTCTTGGAGAGAGATACGCCTGTAGAAGGGGTTTGTTGGTTTTCGGGTCGGATATCAAAATCAAAACACTGGACGAATGCTTACTATTTTGGATGTTTTGACGGTTTAGCTTTGTCCGCATAACTGATCCCATTCGCGGTGTGTCCAGGCTAGCGAAAGGCTGGCGGGTGGGAGGAGTCATGGTGAGAGTCGCCATGATGAAGGAAGGATAAGGCGCGTGGTGATGGGATTTGTTTTGGCGTAGCGGCGCTAAGTGGGGAGAAGCGGTCTACGCTTACACGCCGAAGAATTGAGTATAGATCGAGTCTTCGGTCTGGTTGTAATGGAGTAGATAAACCAGAAGAGGGATAGTAATAAATGTCGAAAGTTAAAAAAGATGAAAAAGGGTCAAAAATCCAAGGATGGAAATGGGTCGGGTACTGTATAGTGAAGGAGGGGATGGATAGTGGATAGAGTCACTACTGAACCAGGATGGGAACGGCTGAGGGACTGGAGACTGAAAAGAGGATCGGAGGATAGTTATACTGGATTCCCTATGGAAACTAGAGTTTGGACTGTAAAGAGGGAAAGAGCAAGGAGGTTCCACTGGGCGAAAGGGGAGTATTTCAAGCCCCGATGCCATGCAGAGCGCGCGTCTTCTCGCGTTCCCACGCAAGGCGCCCTTGATCGAGTTTATTGGATCATACCAGTCTGGGCGTGGCGCTCATGCATACAAACCAATTATACCGGACCATTCTTAATGTAAAGAACAATGTAAGAATGGAATGCACGCGGGGACGCGCTGTACCTATCCATTTACCTTACTTTCACTCCCTCGAGGCTTCATTTTTGATAAGTTTACATACCAAGTAATACCGTGAAGCTATCGTGACTCTTTGAGACTTGATTTCCCATTGATCTTAATTTGGAGAGATGAACGAGTCAAGATGACGGGTAATGTCGATCACGTCCGAGTAATCTTGACGCGTCGGGAGTCGGAATTAGGTAGCGGGTACATATCACCTTCCAATGAAATAGCCCAGCAGCGCGTAAAATCAAGTATCCAGTACCTCTACACGCGACACGCTTCGCGCGACATTTCCCCTCCCTTACAGTCTTCGCGAACTATATCAATGCCAACGCATCATCCATCATTGGCCCCGAGCTCATTTACGCTAATTTGGGAGCACGTTGAAACCATGGGTTGCAGATTCGTGCACACCATGTTTGAGTGGTGCAGCTTGTTTCCCCAGTGATACATAGGGAAATGATGTCGGACCAGGCTGGCGAATGCATCCAACCCCCTCTGGATTGTCTAGGCGCTCTAGAATCTACCCACGAGGTATGAAACTGTCAGAGGGGAATACCAACACGGTCGGTTCCCTGGGAATTGAGGGATCAAATGCACCCCCGTCATTGCACATGCTGCTGCACGCATTCCTCGACAACGCCACTCCGAATCCTACTGTAAATTTGCTACAAGGGGTAACCTACAGGGCTGATCACATATTGTGCATCAAGTTCCACGTTCGTGCTCGTGATCTAATGATATAATGTACACGGTGAATGCACCCGAATTAGAATAAATCGCCTCAAACTTCATCCTCAAACGGAATGCTATCCATTGCACCCAGCCGTTCCACGGCCCGAGCGGACGCACGCGCAGCCAGCTGCATAGCCTCGTCCATAACAGTCTTATAGCGGTACGGCTTCTCCTCATCTGTAATATCCTTCCCAGACTTGCCCTCAGCGCGGCGTTGTTCGCGCCACCTCGCAATCTTCACGGCATACGCCCCCACAAAAGTATCGCCCGCAGCGGTGGTATCCAGCACCTGAGACACAGGGGCTGCGGGGAGCTCGTTCGTGAAGCGCCGCACCCCATCGCTGGGTCCAGAGGTTCCACCATCTGTAGCACTGTACCAGACACCCTTAGCCCCCAACGTAATCAAAACGTAGGTGACGCCCAACTTGTGGAAGTATCGCGCCACCTTCTCCTTGCTGTCTAGCTTATCGGCGTCTGGAACAATGCGGAGCAATTGTTCGGTCGGAGGGGTCATCAACTCTGCTTCTGTCTCGTTCAAGATCAAATGATCAACGGCGTAATAGACATCTTCGGGGAGACCTCCCGGTGGAGCCGGCGCCGGATTCAGCATAACGTCAGGACCACGCTCAATGCCGCGCTTGCCAGCTGTGCGGTTCTTAGTCTTGAATGTTGCGATCTCTCGCAAGAACCAGATTACCGTGTCAACGGGGATTTCGCCCTGCATGACGATAACATCTGGCACAGGTGCTGCGAGGGCCATGCTTAGAACGTCGGGTGTTGGCTGCATACCCTGGTAGTTTGCACCGGGGGAGAACACAATGCGGTTCTCGCCTCCGGCAGATGAGTCGACGATGATCACTGCTACACCAGTGTATGCATCCTCAATTACGCGGACCCGGGATGGGTCTACGCCAGATTTCTCCAGGGTTGGCTTAAGGAGCGCAGAGAAGTGGCCGTCTCGAGCGCCTACGGCACCGACCATCTCGACCTGGACGTCACTCTCAGTGTGGAGACCTTCTGAGTCGGCTTGGGGCTTTGCTCGGGACATCCGCCCGCATGCGACGGCTTGGTTGGCACCCTTGCCGCCTGCGCTCTGGAAGTATGATGAGGCGGTGATCGTCTCGCCGGGGAAAGGAAATCGGGGTGTAACGGACACCATGTCGGCATTGAGGGATCCGATGACTCGGATTAGGGGCGCCATTATGGGAATTGACCACGCTGGAGGTTGCTCAGCTAGTAAATTGTAGGTTTGTTGGAGTCGGTGAGCTGTCGGGAGGCGGGGTTTGTAAGTGTGGGGTTAGGGGCCCAATTGGCTGTAAAAGCCTAGTCTAAAACTAGAGTGTGAGGCTGTGATTATCAATGATGAGCAGCCGCTGTCTGTTTCAGGGTATGTTCATCAAATTTCGTGTTGCAGGTTTGTTGGAAGAGGAAATGTTGAGAGGAGTTCAGGCTGCGGGGGCGTCCTCATCCGGTGGAGCATGGCAGACCCACGGTACTCTACCTAATTAACTATGGGATTCTTCTACAGTATTTTCTTATATTATATACCAGGCTCGTTTCTATTCTTCTCAATCTATGGGTATTTGAGTAAGTTGGCATATATACTAATTTTCAAGAAAAAAAAATTGGTATGGTTTCTTATGAACGTGCTCTATGCTTAGGCCTAATATATACATTGACTTGACATAACCTCCCTCAGACTTCAGTGTAGATCCATGGATGTGAATAGCTTCGAGTTCCGCATCAACACACCTGAAAGCGAACCCCTGTTTAATGAAAGTGAATGAAGAGAGTCTAAAGAGAAATATTATGAAAAAAGACAGCAAAAGAAGTATGATTCCATGTGAACCTGTTTCAAGCTCCAGACCCAACATCTGTATCCATGGATATTGATTTGATAACACCCTCTCTGTTTCACTCCATGCCCCTTTGCATTGAACAGAGTGATTTGGAAAGGGCACGTTACAGAGTGAACCGCTGCACTCCCATCAGAGGTGGCCCACGCACCTTCATTGGGAATCAGATCCAACTGAAAGCTTCATGCGGTGCTCGTGTCACCAGGCCAGGATGGTTAGGGTATTGACCTTTGATCCTGATCTGCCCTCTTAAGTTTGCTTTGTCAATCTTTTGGTAAGGTGACTCACCGGTTCGTGTCCTATATTATGCTATGCACACTCCGGCCTACACGTCCACTTTTTTCCTTTTAGCCATAATATCATTCATACTTCCCCTTTCACCAATAAAACTACCCTCCTTTTATCTTGAATGTTGTTCTAAATTCTTTATTCTAGCTAACACATGATTCTATCTAGCTTCTTCGTAGTTCATTAATCCCTATCTTCCTAATACGACCTATACTTGATAATTAATGAGCATTGATTGGAATATGTTCGTTCATCATAGCTGAAATTGGCGAGTAATAAGACGATTTCAACAGTCTGGTCTCAGTATTCTTCTTCCTCACCCTCTTCATCGTCATCATCTTCCTGCATATCGTTATCCTCTTCCTCTTCCTCGGCAGCCTCCCTAGCCGCCAATGCAGCCGCAACCTGCTCCTCCAGTATCTCCACCCTCTCCATCTCTTCCTCTTCGCCCTCACTCTCCACTCCTTTCAGATCCCCATCTTCATATTCATCCATATTCATTTCTCTTCTCTGCGTCGACGGGGTCGAGCTTACTCCTTTGCCCTTCCCTTTCCTCTCTTCTCCCTCCTTGTCCTTCGCGTTGATCCGCCTCCACTGTGGAGCACTCTTAATAGCAGCACGAATCTCGGTTGCCAGAGATATCTCTTTCGGAGTCGATGTGCGCGGATCAACCTGGAAGTTGGCAGACACTTCAGCCTCCGAGCTAGCAAAGTTAGGAAATTGGGAAACCTTCATGTACTCCGCATCATCAGGCTCAACCCCCTCGAGAAGCGATGCAATTTTGGCACGCATGATGATCTTCACTTTGGCTAAAGTTCCGCTACCATACCAGCCATCCGAGACAATCTCACACGTCTCTCGGAGATGAGGTTCGGTCAAGCTCTCTTCGGGTGGGTAGAGGAGATTTTTCAAAAGGGGGTCTTTGATATCGCAGACCATCCAGATTCTTCCATCTTGGTGAAGTGGTAATTTTCCTGTGAAAATATAAGAATCCCTGGAATCGGGGATGTCAATTCGAGTTTCTGGATCCAGACGGGCATATTTATCACGGCGGCTACCATCTCGACCTAAATCAGATTCACCGGGCATGAGGCGGAACATGAAGGTCTGGTAGTGCCGAAATTCTGGGGAAGTGCGCGGGTCGACACCAAGCTTAATGATTCCGTCACGCCATGGTCCTGCGCGGAAGATATATCCCACATAGGGAATTGCCAGGCGAAGAAGGTAGCGTTGTTCATCTGAGTGGAGGAAGTTACGAATAGCACGACGAGTCCAGATAGGGCGCTTTTCAAAGAGCTCGGTGACGAACTCGATTACTCTGCGCAGGGTGATGTCGAGAGTCTCAATCGGTGGGAGGCTTTCCTGGGGTTTGCTGGGAACTTCAGGGACATCATGCCCCACAAGGTGAGTGCGAATCTTGGTGGCTTGTTGAACGTTCTCCGTGATGATTCGGCCAGATGCATCCAGAGTTTGTTTCACGCCCGGGTTTTGGCGGTACCTGGAAGTCATAAAGTTAGTCGCTCAAATTCGTTCTGGACTTTGCTCAGATAACATTCAAGCGAGACGTACATGTAGAGAAACGGAACTTGTTCGCTACTAAGTGCCGGCGGTGGAATGATATCCGCGTCTTTAATTGTACCTTTTGCCAGGTCGATATCAAATCTCTTCATTTTCTCCACTGTGGCGACCTTAGCTTCAGCGATGGAGTTATTCAATACTGCAGTTACTTACGGTCGTATGGGACAATATAATCCCGGAACTTTTTAGTAAAAACACTGTTGGTGGTCGAGTAGACAAAATCCGGCATTCCTATCAAGTATAAGCATGGGATTAAGGTAAGGCCAGGCTCGAAAATACCTCGGAATACATGAGTACGCTCAACCTTCCCGACCGGCTGGATCTTGTACTGAGAGGGGTTATCATGGAGAGAGCGCATCAAATCCTTTGCTGTATGCCGCTGAGGGCCTTGTGCTTCTTCTGGTACCTCGGTGAACGGCTCGTCGGATCCTCTCTTGCGCTTCCGACCAGTGCGCTTGGGCACTGTCACTTTGAGCAAGATGTTGTTTGTTTGCCCAACTGTAGATACCAGAGGTCTTGCCATGGCATCTTCAGGTCGTAGTAATAGATGTGCAGGAGCATCAGCTCTAGCCGGGTTCATGATCTATGACAAGTCAGTATAGGCATGTGGCTTGCTTCTTGTATTGGTCCTTCATCTCACTTTGTTGACTCCTGTATTGCCTTGCAGTGTATCAATAGCTTTGTCAATGTTGCGAATGACGGCAGGGTGCTCCACGCTGATCAGCTGTCGAGACGGAATATTGTATGACGGGGCCGTTCGAGCCTCTCGGAGTGTGTCCATTTTGATAACTTGGTATTTAGATATTACCAAGAAGCAAAATATTCTTTCTAGCGGTCATAGAGGTTGTGTTGGACCTGTCGCAGCGTTCTTTGCGACTCGGAAGGAGGGAAGTGTGAATTGTCCACAGCTCACTTTAGGAGGCGTTCCCCGAGTCTCTGCACTGTTCCAAAACTCGCCAGCTTTTTTGGGAGCCGTCTGATCCTTGTACTTGATTTCTGACAATAGCCTATCCTGTTATCGCGGCCAAACTTCTTAAACCTGGAGGATTTGGGGGAATCGGATATGATGACTAATCACTATGTCCGGTTTGTTCAAGGAATGGCAGTATCTAGAGGTGAGACTTCACCATCATGAAAGAGACTTGGATTTCTATTTACAATCGGATTCAGGCCATCTACTGTGCTTATATTTGTATCTGTCTCGTTTTTTAGTCCTGAGGTCTCATTCAGTGTTTGCTAATGTATTGCCCAATGATCTATTTTCGCCGAAGTATATATCTTGGCTTATGCCTTAGCGTCCCACTTTCAAGATTGGAGTTCGCCACCCAAGTAAGTACTAGTGCTTTTTTAGGCTTGCTATACGTTTACGCTATTGCAAAAATATCCATGAGATATAGGCTTACCATTTTGAATACTACTAACGCAAGAACATCCAATATTGGAATTGTTGAAATCACAGGAAATTGCCCCTGTTATACACGTGACTACTAATGACATAAGCGTCAGGAAGCGGGAAAACGCATACACAAGAGCCATGACGATTGAGAGCCCTTGCAGAGGACTCGTTAGTAGCACAATATTGATTAAATTCCATCGGTCGCAAAGGCCTCTAACATGTAAAATCAAGAGATCTCATTGTACCTGTAAAATAGCCCTCTCCGTGTAAAGGGATTGTACTTGCTGCAGCCCCTCCCATCACCATCACGGCCAGGAGAACCCGCCTTTCCCTTCACCTACACCCGCTTCCTCTCCACCTTCTAACCCAACCACTTTCCTCCCTACCTCCAGGGCTGCACCCCCGATTCTTGATTTACCGTTCCTCGCTATTGCCCGTATTCAGACCATTTGACCCAGGTTTTGGTCGTGCGTTTGCAATCCGGTGGCTCTGGCGCTTCGAAATTCCCCCCGCTCCAGCCTGCCACTAAGCGACACGGAGATCCTTCTGAGCGGATCAAGCAACGTTCACCCCATATCTACCTTTACGCTGCTCGGAAAATCCCCTCTATTCCCAACACCTCAATTGTTCCATATCGAGCCACAGAGGTATGTCTTGACTGTACTCTGCTACTGCGTTTACCTGGCTGGGTCCATTCTCCCCAACATCCAAGCGTCTTGCCCCGTGCGCGTGCTGCGACATCGCCCATTCAGGACCGTTGAAGTTGGCCGCCATTGAGGCTCGATTGCTCTTCATTGGAATTGTTCGATCCCAATCGCACAGATCTTGTTTACACTATCCACGCCTCTCCTACATCTGCCATGATCAAAAGCGCTCATACGTTGCCCCTACTAGGTCGACCGATACAAAACACTCCCAACCCCCCTCGTGGCTGATCCGAAGTCGCTCTGGCGAGAGTGCAGCGCCTGGCTGCACTAGCACTGAGAAACTAGCGGAGTACATGTGGAATTCTTAATAACAGCGTAAAGATGAAGGGATTCAGACAGAGAGTGGTGAGTTCTCCTGTCCCCGGGTGCTTCACACCGCACGATCATTCCCCTCCCCCACCATGCAGGTGGTGATTATTCATCCCCCTTGCTCGCATCCAGGCTAATATCGTCCCTCTAATGCTAGCATGAGCAGTTGTCGCGGGCAAAGGATGCCAATAAGTCATCGAAGAAGAAAGACACCAACTCCACACCCCAACAACAGGCGTCCCTCGGCATCCATCCTCCACAGCAGTCGGCATCTCCGAACCAAGGTACACCAACATCGTCCACAACCTCCCTGAATGATGCCCGAGGAAAATCACCAGACGACGCCTCCCCGGCAGTAACTCCCTCAGGGGGCGCTGGTACACCGACTCAGCATTATATACCCCAAGGGGCTGGGTTGGCCGGTCAGCCAGTGAGCAATGGCCCAGGCACCCCGACCAGACAGGGCCAGTCAGTAGCACCAAGTGTGATCATCAGCCCTAGCGCTCCGGTTCGTTCATGGTCCTCTGATACAATATTCGACATGTACTAACTCGGTCGATTTCTGTAGCACGCTCCTCCCCCAGGCGCCGCCGAGACCATGCCCGGAGATCTAGCACCCCCGCGGAAATCCCATGTATTCGACCGCCTCCAAACTACCCCGAAAGATATGTCGGAGGGAATCCGGACCCCCAAACGGCAGCACTCTTCGCGGTTTGACATCTCTGATCAGCGCCAGAGAGAGCTAGAAAAATTGCCGGGCTTCCACGAAGTCGCCCCGAACCGGCGCCAGGATCTGTTCATGCAGAAGATCGACCAGTGCAACATTATCTTCGATTTCAATGATCCTACCGCGGACATGAAGTCCAAGGAGATTAAGAGGCTGGCTCTCCATGAGCTCCTAGATTATGTCGCCAACAACCGGTCTGTGATCACGGAGCCCATGTACCCCCGTGTTGTGGAGATGTTCGCCAAGAATCTGTTTCGCCCGATTCCGCCTCCGATGACCCCCCAAGGGGAGGCATTTGATCCGGAGGAGGATGAGCCTGTCTTGGAAGTGGCTTGGCCACACATTCAGGTTGTTTACGAGTTTTTCTTGCGTTTTATTGAGAGCCAAGATTTCAACACGAACATTGCGAAGGCATATATCGATCATCAATTTGTGCTTCAGGTATGTATTTGGCTCTCTTACTTCTCATAAATAGTTGGATTGCTAACATCTTATGTCCACAGCTGCTGGATTTGTTTGACTCGGAAGACCCTCGTGAGCGTGATTTCTTGAAGACGACCTTGCATCGTATCTATGGCAAATTTTTGAACTTGCGGTCATATATTCGACGATCCATCAACAACGTTTTCTTCCAGTTCATGTATGAAACAGAGAGGCACAACGGCATTGCTGAATTGTTGGAGATTTTGGGTTCCATCATCAACGGCTTTGCTCTCCCACTGAAGGAGGAACACAAACTCTTTTTGACCCGTGTTCTTCTTCCTATGCACAAGGTCAAGAGCCTGAGCATGTACCACCCGCAATTGGCCTACTGTATTGTCCAGTTCTTAGAGAAGGACTCCACCCTCACGGAAGATGTACGCATTTCCAAATCATCCCATCTCTTTTCGTCCTTTACATATGCTAACAAAATGAAGGTTGTTCTTGGGTTACTGCGTTATTGGCCGAAGACGAACAGCACCAAGGAGGTCATGTACCTCAACGAAGTGGAGGACATCTTCGAAGTCATGGATCCCGCTGAATTCGCCAAGGTGCAGGAGCCTCTTTTCCACCAACTGGCCAAGTCAGTTGCCAGTCCGCATTTCCAGGTTGCCGAACGTGCTCTTTACTTCTGGAACAACGAGTATTTCTGCAACCTTGTCAGCGACAATGTGGAAACCATTCTCCCGATCATGTTTGCTCCACTTTATGAGAATTCCAAGGGCCACTGGAACCGGTATGTTTGATTTAATGAGACAAATGGACAAGTCAACTAATCTACTTTCTGTCAACAGGACTATCCACAGCATGGTCTATAATGCCATGAAAATGTTCATGGAGATCAACCCTCAGCTTTTCGATGAGTGCTCCCACGAGTACACCGAACATCAGAATAGCGCAGACCAGCGCGAAAAGACTCGACAGGACCGGTGGGATTTGATTGAACAACAAGCCAAGCGGCAAAACGGCGCACCAGCCCTGCCACCCGCTCCCAACCTCAATGTCCCTGAGCCGATCGATGAAGTGGAAGCCATGACAACTGATAGCCAAAAGCGGCTTAATGACTTGAAGCTGGAGGAATCCGAAGTCCCGAAGGAGCGGCCTGCTCGGGAAGGAACCCCAAATTCGGTAAGTCTCGTGCATTTTTGATCTTGCATTCATGCTCTTGAGATCTACGCACCCCCACCCTATGCGGGTCTCCGTTCTTCTGCCTTGCCATCTACCTCTTTATGACCCTTGATATTTGTCGTTTGCTAAGAGGCCACTCCCCGTGTATAGCCAGCGTGATTCTAACGTGGAAACGTCCGTTTTGCTCCAGACACGACGCCGTGGTTCTATTCGCGGTTCTCGGAGACGACGAAGTGGCAGCGGCAGTGAGATACGTCCGCGACGACGTTCGGTCGGCAGTGGTACCAGTGCAACCAATGTACAGATCCTGCATCGAAGCAACTCTACCAAATGATCTGTCGGGGTAATGAGAGGGGGTGATGGATGTGACTTTCGTTGATTTTCTGCAATCAAATGGCATAGCGAGCACGGGCTGCAACGATGTTTCTGTGATTTTCAACTTCGTCCGGATTAATGCCCACTGTGCCTGCTCTTTTTTCTTTCTGTTTCTTGTTCTCAGTTTCTTTCTTATTTGTGTACATGGATTTCTCTGATATTTCCCTTGTGATCGACTCCTACAGCTCGTGATCACTTAGCGGACCTCTGAGATGGATACCGCCTTAGAACCGCGTTCGGGTATGGAAAATGGGTGTGAGTGGCGTTTCAATGTTTCATCCGTCAATCTTTTAGGGTTGGCGGCTTTTCGTGTCAGTTTTTGTTCTAGACCAGTACCGGAGACATGATATTGCCTGGGCCACACATATGCACTTTCTGGTTTGTAGTACACTCTCGCTGGGTGTTTTAGTTGCCCAGTAGTAGCGAGTCGTACCTAGGTATTAGAGGCCTTGGAAATGGTATCTAGGTATGCGAATCTCTAAGCTCAAATGCTCAAGAGATATACATAGCCATGAATTCATTCCACTTGAGGTTTATGGAAATTATTTTGTGGAAAAAAAGATGATCTAGGTACTCGCGGTCGTGTGAGCCCTGGAGTCATACATTCAGACAGGTAATTATTTCCCAGGTTGTCATTGCCCTTGGGTATCTAGTGTATATCCGTGGACGTGTGCCCATATATATAGCAATATTAGAGGAGGCGCGTAGTCGCCTAATATCCGCGCGTCTAACGGACCGGAACAACTATATCCGAGTTACCTAAAACGGACTAGTGTTTCGTTCGGGGTCCCTGCGATAGCCCGCGTCCTCTACTTTGTGCTCTGGGCCCGGAGTGAGGTCTTGCGCGCTCTACAATCTCCAATCCTCCAACCACCCCCCCATTCGCGTCCTTTCTCCTTCCCCGCGGGGCTTGTCGTTATCAAATTTTCTCCACAAGTCCACTCGCTCCTTTAAATGTTCTAGGCATTATTCCATCGTGCAATTAAATGACTTGACGATTTTGTTCATTTCACTTCCGTCACCAATTGATCTTTTCGGGGAATCGCATGAGTTCGCAGAGCTTCCTCCACGCCCTCACCTCGCACATGACACCTCGAATTTGATCTAAGAATCTTGCGCGGGCTGTCAATAAATCAGCCGGCCACCGGGCCTGGCCGTGAACACAGTCCTATTCCCTTGGCTGGCCCTTACGAGGGGGCTTGATCGCAGCCATTATGGAGCGGAATATCGATATCTATGCCACCAAGCTGGGTGACGAGCGGCTTGGTACGTTCACAATAGAGAACAATCATCTGAACTCTATAGTTTCTCTATAGATTTGTTAACAATTACTTTGTCGCAGATGTGAAAGTACGAGCCAACGTCGCGACCGAGCTGCGGGATAGCATTGAGCCACTATGTTCCGGTGCCAACTATCCCATATTCCTTGCCAAACTATGGCCGATCTTCAAAACTATCCTGTCTGGAGAGCCAGTATTCTTCAGCATGTCATATGAACAGGTGAGAATGGTGGAACGAAATATTAGGGCGCATATGACTCCCATGACTGCGTGCCTATGCTCGAAAACTGAAGCTCTAACATATCCGACAGAAACTCCGAAATTGCATTCTCGAAACCCTCCATCGTTTACCGACAGCTTTACCCGATGTTGAACCCTATGCCGCAGACATGGTCGACCTGCTCATGGACCTCGCACGAATTGAGAATGAAGATAATGCGGTATTGTGCATGAAGACAATTATGGATTTGGAACGCAACCAAGCAAAGGCCACCACGGCGCGGGTGCAGCCTTTCTTGGAGCTCATCCAGGAGATGTTCCAGACCATGGAGCAGGTGGTTCGGGATACATTTGATACTCCCAACCAAGCAACTCCCTCTGGAATGCCGTCAACGCCCAATGCAAGCGCTCAGAACTTCCAATCCCCCCGACCAAGTTCCCCTGCCACATCCGTTTCAGACTTAGGTCCCGAGCAGCAGTCAAGTAATGTCATACTGAAAGGCATGCAGTCCTTTAAGGTCTTGGCTGAATGCCCGATCATTGTTGTCTCAATCTTTCAAACCCATCGAGCTTCAGTTGCAGCCAACGTCAAACTTTTTGTTCCGCTGATTAAGACAATTTTGCTGTTGCAAGCAAAGCCGCAAGAAAAAGCCCATACCGATGCTGCTGCCCAAGGCACAGTCTTTACCGGGGTTTGCAAGGAGATTAAGAACCGAGCCGCTTTTGGAGAGTTTATCACTGCTCAAGTGAAGACGATGAGCTTTTTGGCATACCTGCTTCGCCTCTATGCCCACCAGTTGCAAGATTTTCTTCCCACACTCCCATCCGTTGTCGTGCGCTTGCTTCAAGATTGCCCACGTGAGAAGTCTGGCGCTCGAAAAGAGCTATTAGTCGCCATTCGACACATCATAAACTTCAACTACCGCAAAATATTCCTCGAAAAGATTGACGAGCTTCTGGACGAGAGAACACTCATCGGCGATGGTCTTACTGTTTATGAGACTATGAGACCATTGGCGTATAGTATGCTCGCGGACCTCATTCACCACGTACGGGACCACCTCAGCCGAGACCAGATCCGTCGAACCGTCGAAGTCTATACGAAGAATCTTCATGATGACTTCCCGGGTACCAGCTTCCAAACCATGAGTGCCAAGCTGCTTTTGAACATGGCGGAGAAGATATCGAAGCTCGAAGATAAACAAGAGGCTCGTTATTTCCTCATAATGATTTTGGATGCCATCGGTGATAAGTTTGCCTCGATGAATCACCAGTTCAATAATGCCGTCAAGGTCTCCAAGGCTTACAAGGAATGTCGGAAAGATGATGATACAACGCCAGAGAATTACCTTGCTGAGAAGGACCAAGCGCCGGACTGGGATGACATCGACATTTTCTCTGCGTCTCCCATCAAGACCTCTAGCCCTCGTGATCGTGGTGGAGATCCTGTCTCAGATAACCTTTTCCTCTTCAGAAACCTCATCAATGGGCTAAAAAATATCTTCCACCAATTAAAGAATTGCAACCCAGATGATGTCCAGATTGACCCCAACAGTGTTCCCATCAATTGGTCAGAGGTTTCTTATGGATACAACGCCGAAGAGGTTTCAGTCATAAAAAAGCTCTTCCATGAGGGTGCTAGAGTCTTCCGCTACTATGGCGTGGACCAATCTCCCCCCGAAAACAACTACTCTTCCCCGTTCGACTTCCTTGCAAGTCAGTACACAGCACCCATGTCCCGGGAAGAGAAAGAGCTCCTGGAGAGCTTTGGAACTGTTTTCCATTGCATCGACACGGCAACCTTCCATGAAGTTTTCCACTCGGAGATTCCATATCTTCATGAGCTCATGTTTGAGCATGGAGCTCTGCTACACCTTCCCCAATTCTTCCTGGCTAGTGAAGCCACTTCGCCTGCATTCTCTGGTATGGTCCTTCAGTATTTGATGGAACGTATTGACGAGGTTGGGACTTCGGATATGACTAAGGCGAAGATTCTACTGAGAATGTTCAAGCTCTCCTTCATGGCAGTAACGCTGTTTTCCGTTCAAAATGAGCAGGTCCTTCACCCTCACGTTACAAAGATCGTGACGAAGTGCATCGAGCTATCGGTTACAGCCGAGGAACCGATGAATTACTTCCTTCTCCTACGTTCTCTTTTCCGCAGCATTGGTGGTGGTCGGTTCGAGCTTCTGTACAAGGAAATCCTACCTCTACTGGAGATGCTTCTCGAGACGTTCAATAACTTGCTGATGGCCGCTCGCAAGCCCCAAGAGCGAGATCTATATGTGGAGCTTACTCTCACCGTTCCTGCAAGACTGAGCCACCTGCTCCCTCATTTAAGTTACCTGATGCGCCCTATTGTGGTGGCCTTGCGTGCGGACTCTGACCTTGTTGGGCAAGGTCTGCGCACATTGGAACTCTGCGTGGATAACTTGACAGCCGATTATCTTGACCCCATCATGGCCCCCATCATGGATGAATTGATGACAGCCCTTTGGGATCACCTGCGGCCCCACCCATACAATCATTTCCATGCCCATACCACAATGAGAATCCTTGGAAAGCTTGGTGGACGCAACCGCAAGTTCCTGAACCACCCGCCAGAGCTGTCCTTCCAACAGTACTCTGATGACAACCCGAGCTTCGACATTCGTCTCATCGGGCCGGGTGAGAAGCGTCCTTTCCCGGTTGATACCGGCATTGATTTGGCCATCGGCAAGCTGATGGAGGCTCCCAAGACGGATTCCGGCAAGGCATCTGATCTCTATTACAAGCAGCAGGCTTTCCGCATGCTCAGCTCGCACCTCAAGCTGCAGATCGGATTTGAGAATCTACCTGATGACCTCGCTTCTCTGATTCGACTCCATGCGAATGACCTTTTCGAGAGCAAAGCCAGTGCTATGGTTGATATCCTTGAGAAATCCGAGAGAGCGGCGTCTATCCCAAAGAAGGTGGGACAAGAAGCCACTGTCAAGAAGCTTCTCAAAGCTTGCATCTTTGCCACAACCATTCCTGACCTTGAGCCGGCTGCAACTGCCTTCGTGACTGATGTTTGCAAACACTTTGCCATTGTTGAGGTTGGTCGAGCTCTTTCTCAAGCCCGTCACAACCGTAAACCTTTTGACGTGGCAAATGGAGAAGGCCCTGTGTACCTGGACTCCCGAACCCTGGCTGATGCCATCGTTGAGACACTCTCTTCCGACAATGTCCACGTTCGGGAAGCTGCCGAGCAGGCAATGCAAGTTGTAAAGGAAGCCGCCGGCATAATTTTCGGTGCTCCCGAGAAGGCATCAAAGCTTCCATTCTTCCAGCATCTTGGCCGCGTGTTCTGCCACAGTTGCTACAGTGAAGAATGGTTCACGAAGGCAGGTGGAAGCTTGGGCATTCAGCTCCTTGCTACCAAGCTGGACCTTGGAGAGGCGTGGCTTTATGAGCGCCATGTTGATTTCTCGCGGGCTCTCATGTATGTCATCAAGGACACACCTTCTGATCTTCCTGCGGCTACTCGTGTTCAGTCCCAGGAGACAATGACTTTGATTCTTCAGCGCTGTGGAAAGATCATCCCAAAGGATGATTTGAAAAACGAGAAGAGTCGTCTATTCGCTCTCTGCGGTTTCTTTGTCAATGAGCTTGGCCATATGAACAAGCATGTTCGAGAAACATCACGCCGCTGCTTCGCCACATTGAAGGAAGAACTCGGCTGTGAAGTACACGAGCTCATCTTCCCAGTGAAGGATCGCTTATTGCAGCCGATTTTCAACAAGCCACTCCGAGCACTGCCCTTTGCCACTCAAATTGGCTTCATCGATGCCATAACCTACTGCTTGGGTCTGCACAACGACATTGTCACCTTCAATGACCCTTTGAACCGCTTGATGTTGGAGTCTCTCGCCCTTGCTGATGCAGATGATGAATCACTCGCCTCCAAGCCAAATGAATTCAGGAATGCGGATATGATTGTCAATCTACGTGTTGCTTGTCTGCGCCTTCTGTCCATGGCAATGAACTTCCAGGAGTTTGCCAACACTCCACAGAACACTAGTCGGGCTCGGATCATCTCGGTGTTCTTCAAGTCTCTTTACTCTCGTTCTCCCGAAGTGATTGAAGCTGCCAATGCTGGTTTAAAGGACGTTCTCACCCAGACCAACAAGCTGCCAAAGGACTTGCTGCAGAATGGCTTGCGTCCCATCTTGATGAATCTGCAAGATCCCAAGCGTCTAAGTGTCGCTGGTCTTGATGGCTTGGCCCGCCTCTTGACTCTGCTAACCAACTACTTCAAGGTTGAAATTGGCGCTCGTCTCCTGGACCACATGAAGGTTATTGCGGATGACGCCATGTTGCAAAAAGTCTCTTTCAGCCTTGTTGAGCAGAATCCTGCCATGAAGATTGTGGCTGCTATTTTCAACATCTTTCATCTTCTCCCCCCGGCTGCCACCTCATTCATGGAACATCTCGTCAATAAGGTTCTAGACCTTGAGAAGAAGTTGCGAAGAACCTCTCACAGCCCCTTCCGCAAGCCTTTGGTCAAATACCTGAATCGCTACCCAAAGGAAAGCTTGACGTTTTTCTTTGCACGATTCAAGGATGAGCGATTCGGCCGCTTCTTCGGGCAAATCCTGGCCGACCCTGAGAGTGAGGCATTGCGTAATGCTGTGGTCGCTGACAGCGAAACCTTCCTCTCAACTGCATTCGCACAGGACGCAACAGATGGCAAAAACACAGCTGCCATCAATGGAATTTACGTAGCGCATGCACTCTGCTCCTACGATTCAAGCAAGAAGTGGTTGGTTTCTCACCCCGATTCAAGAACGAAACTTTTGGCCTCTGGACGAGAGTTGGAGCGGAAGCTCCGCGGCGACATTCTACCTCCCGATGAGCGCCTTAGGGTAGAACAAGCTGAGGACCAGCTCATGGACATTTTTACTACCTACTTGGCCGAGGCCGCGCATGACCTGGACTTCCTGTTCGAAGTCATCGATGGATTATCTGCAGACGAGCTGAAGCGCACTCTCGCTCTGCCAAAATTCATCTATCGGCACATTATCACGAACGAGTCGATTGATTACCGACGCTCTGTCATTATGCGCTGTCTCGATCTGTACGGCCAGCGGGCTTGCTCCCAGAAGACCAAGACTTATGCATTCCGCAATCTGGTCAACCCTATTCTTGCAATGGATGTACAGACCACGTGGGGCAGCTCACCCAACACTCCTAAGTTAATGGACAAGAGTATGACCGAATCCATCCAGAGCCGTGTGTGGAAGCCCCAATTGGCGGACCTTAGCGAAGAGTCCAACCAGGCCGGAGTCGATCACTCTCGCATGGAGTTGCTGCAACTTTCAGCTTTGTTGATCAAGTATCACCATTCCACTGTCCAAGACTCTCGCAAGGATATTATTAAGTTTGCTTGGAACTACATCCGTCTTGAGGACATCATTAATAAGTACGGTGCCTATGTTCTGATCAGTTACTTCATCGCGCACTATGAGACACCCTTCAAGATTGTGATCCAGGTGTATGTTGCTTTGCTAAGAGCTCACCAAAACGAAGGCCGGGCTCTCGTCACTCAAGCACTGGATGTTTTGGCTCCTGTGCTTCCCACTCGAACGGCAGGCAACCAAGGACCGGAAGCACGTTATCCTCTGTGGGCCAAATGGCCCCGTCGCATCTTGGCGGAGGAGACAGCCAACTTGCAGCAGGTTATGAGCATTTTCCAGTTCCTGGTGCGGCAACCCAATCTGTTCTACGAGTCACGCGAGCATTTTGTGCCTCTTATCGTTCCGTCTCTTATTAAGATTGCTGGCCCGCCAAACGCATCGAATGACAGCAAGAAGCTGGCACTCAAACTTATAGGGTTGGTTTGGCACTGGGAGGAGAAGCGAGCGCAAGCGGCCGATGCGAACAGCAGCGGACTTCTTGACTCTCCGAATACGAAGAAACGCAAGCTGGAAGAAGCGCAGGAAACATCCTCCCCTGCGTTAGCACCTCCACCGAGCCGAGGTGGATCATCTGATTACACCGTCCCTGGTGAACTTCGTGCCGCTCTCATCAAATACCTCATCTCTTTCATTACGACCATCCCCGAACGCTTTTTGGTTCCAGCCGCCCAAATCCGTGAACTGCCTTCTTCTAAGCCGACACCGCCCGTGCCTACTGGTGATATGGTCAACAAGGCAATAAACCTCCTCAGAAACCTTCTTTCGCCTGAATACTGGGGAGACATCGACATTGATCTGTACCAGAAAGTGACAGAACCAGTTCTAGCTGGCGAGAAGGCAGATAAACCAGATGAAAAGCATTTGACAGCCATGGTGAACACGCTCCAAGTCCTCCGGGTTCTCATTGCAGCAAAACCCAATGAGTGGATCGCAGCTCGCCTCTCCACCATCCAGAAGCTTCTTGAGAAGCCATTGAAATCTGACAACCCAGAAATCCAAGATTGTCTTCATGGCTTGGAAGACGAGATGGATATATCTCCAAAGTTACCGCCCCCCGTTCGTCGTGTTTTGGAAGCTATACCAGACGACGCACCAGATGACGAAGATGCAATGGACACTGAAGGTACTGCATCTGAGTTTGGTACATACCTGTCTGCGATCGCTACCGAAACGCTCTCCGCTAGTAATTACGTGTCAAGTCTGAACACGCTCTGGACACTTTCAAAGCACAAGCCTGCTGAGATCGATACGCACATTCCTGCCGTGATGAAGGCATTCTCTCAAAAGCTTGCCAAGGAACATGTTGCGGCATCGACTCAACAAAATGGTGCCCAACTTCAGAACGGCGTAGCCAAGCCTGCCGAAGGTGTCCCAGATCAACAGGAGACTGAAATTGGTGTTGACCTCATTTTCAAGACAATCGAATTGATTTCCGTGCGCATGTCTCACCTTGGTGATCAACGCCGCCCATTCTTGAGCGTGTTGGCATCAATCGTGGAACGCTCGCAAAACATCAAGCTGTGCAGCAAGGTCTTGGGGATGGCAGAGGAATGGATTTTCCACTCGACCGAATCCTGGCCGACACTGAAGGAGAAGACCGCGGTCTTGCATAAGATGCTGCTGTTCGAGTCTCGACCTGATCAAACGATGTTGAAGAAGTTCCTTGACCTTGTCATCCGCATCTACGAAGATGCCAAAATCACTCGTACTGAGTTGACCGTCAGACTTGAACATGCATTCTTGATAGGAACCAGAGCCCAGGATGTCGAAATGCGTAATCGGTTCATGAGCATTTTCGACCGGAGTTTGACTCGCCTGGCATCGTCACGGTTGAGCTACGTGCTTACTTGTCAAAACTGGGATACCCTTGCGGACTCGTTCTGGCTGGCCCAGGCTTCGCATTTAATTCTTGGATGTGTGGATATGAACGCTACTGCCCGCTTGCATCAAGATGACTTCAAGTTGTATCCCCTGACTTTCCTCTTCGCTGGAGGTGAAAAGGACCCAAGGAAGTCGGATATCATGGTCGACAACCAGCTGGAAACTTTCGTTGCGGAACGCAAGCGTTTCATGTCTGAGGTTGGCGACGTGAAGGTTCGTGATTTGATCGAACCTCTGTGTCAACTTCAGCACACCGACCCAAGCGTTTCTTACAAGCTTTGGACCACGCTGTTCCCTATCTACTGGTCGACATTGTCCAAGGATGACCGCCTTGACCTTGAGAAGGGAATGGTTACATTGCTCACTCGAGAGTACCACCAGAGACAGTTGGATAAGCGCCCTAATGTCGTGCAAGCTCTCTTAGAAGGTTGTGTGCGTGCCCGTCCCCGGTTCAAGGTTCCTCCCCATGTCATGAAATACCTTAGCCGTACCTACGACGCCTGGTACACTGCCGCTACCTATTTGGAGGAGAGTGCCATCAATCCTATCATTGACACTGCTACCGTCCGCGAGAGCAATCTCGACGCCCTTGTGGAAGTCTATGCCGGGCTCCAGGAGGACGATTTCTTCTATGGTACATGGCGACGTCGCTGCAAGTTCGTTGAGACCAATGCAGCACTATCCTATGAGCAGCAGGGCATGTGGGACAAATCTCAGCAGCTCTATGAGAACGCGCAAATCAAAGCCCGCTCTGGGGCTATGCCGTTCTCCCAGGGTGAGTACTTCGTCTGGGAAGATCATTGGTTGATCTGCGCCCAGAAGCTTCAGCAGTGGGAGATCCTGAGCGACTTTGCCAAGCACGAGAATTTGAATGACCTGTTGCTTGAGGCTGCTTGGAGGAACATTGAAAACTGGCAGAGCGAGGGCAATCGCGAACAGCTAGAGTCTCTGATTAAGTCTGTTTCCGATGCTCCTACCCCGCGACGCACTTTCTTCCAGGCTTTCATGGCTCTTCTTCAATACCACACTAAGAAAGAGAACATGCAAGACTTCAACAGTGTCTGCGACGAATCTATCCAGCTGTCTATTCGCAAGTGGCTGCAATTGCCCAAGCGCATCACCAATGCCCACATCCCCATCTTGCAACACTTCCAGTTACTTGTTGAACTCCACGATGCTAGTCACATCTGTGGTAGCTTAGCCCAAACCAATGAGCGCAACTTGGACACTAAGAGTGCTGAGTTGAAGCTTCTTCTGGGAACTTGGCGGGACCGGTTGCCCAACTTGTGGGATGACATTAATACATGGCAGGATCTTGTCACATGGCGACAACACATCTTCCAACTTATCAACGGCACGTACCTTAGTCTTCTTCCTCCTCAGACGAACAATGTTGCCAGCAATTCATATGCGTACCGTGGATACCATGAGACCGCCTGGATTATCAATCGCTTTGCTCACGTCGCCCGCAAGCATCAAATGCCGGAAGTCTGCATCAACCAACTTAGCCGGATTTACACGCTGCCAAACATTGAAATTCAAGAGGCGTTCCTCAAGTTGCGTGAACAAGCCAAATGCCATTATCAGAACCCGAAGGAACTCAACAGTGGATTAGATGTTATCAATAACACCAATCTCAACTACTTCGGGCCTCAGCAGAAGGCCGAGTTCTACACTCTGAAGGGCATGTTCCTCGCGAAACTTGATCATGTCAATGAGGCCAACGAGGCATTCGGCGTTGCTCTCTACTACGATCTTCGTCTTGCAAAGGCCTGGTCTGAGTGGGGACAGTACAGCGACCAGCGTTTCAAGGCAGACCCAACAGACTACGAGCTGGCCAGCAATGCAGTCAGCTGTTATCTAGAGGCAGCTGGTCTCTACAAGAGTGCGAAATCCCGAAAGCTACTCAGCCGTATTTTGTGGCTTCTCAGCTTGGATAACGATGAAGGCCAGATCGCCAGTGCTTTTGAGAACTTTAAGGGAGATACGCCAGTCTGGTACTGGATTACATTTATCCCTCAACTTCTTACAAGCTTGTCTCACCGCGAAGCGCGTCTGTGCAAGGCTGTTCTTGTGAAGATTGCCAAACTGTACCCGCAAGCGCTTTTCTTCTTGCTTCGCACTAACAGAGAGGACATGTTGAGTATCAAGAAACAGCACGACCAGAAGCAGGAGAAGCTAAACCGTGCCAAACAACAACAGCAACAGTCCTCCTCTCCAAGCCAGAAGCCTGCTGCTAACGGTGAAGCATCGCCTGCTCAGAAACCGCCAACCAGTGTACCAGCACCCAGTGCATCTCCAGCCAACCAGGCCGCGAATCTCACAACAGCTCAGTCACCAGCTCAAAACCAGTCTGCTCAGCAGTCGCCCGCTCAACCCCCAAGCCAGTTGCAAGCGTCCCCACTTCAAAATGCCACCCCCGGTCAACCTCAAGCTCTTCAGCCCCAGGGGGCTCAAGGACACTTGCAAGTTCCAGGACAAAATGGAGCTCAGCAACAAGGCACCTCTACCACGGAGCCGGAGAAAGAGCCTCTCAAGAAGCCTTGGGAGTACTCGGACGAAATCATGTCTGGCCTCAAGACAGCGTTCCCATTGCTTGCTCTGTCCATGGAAACGATGGTCGACCAGATTCACAAGAATTTCAAGTGTCCCCCCGATGAGGATGCTTACCGACTTATCGTCGCTCTCCTCAACGATGGATTGGCCTATGTTGGACGCATGCCCGTGTCCTACGCCCAGGACTTCAAGCTGCCTACTGCGACAGAAGCCAACATCACCCGATTCGCCGAGACAATTCTTCCAGCGCATATTCGCAAGTCCTTCGAGGCGGACTTTGTCGTCAAGAAGCCAACAATGCACGAGTACATCCACAAGTTGCGTCGCTGGCGTGACAAGTTCGAAGAGAAGCTGGACCGCCGACCTCAGTCAGGAAACCTCGAGAACTACTCCCCGCACCTTAGCGAGTTCCGCTTCCTCAAGTTTGATGAGGTTGAAGTTCCCGGACAGTACCTCCTGCACAAAGACAAAAACCAGGACTTTGTTCGCATCGACCGTTTCCTTCCTGACGTGGACCTGGTACGGGGCATTGGTGTTTGCCACCGTCGTCTCAAGATTCGTGGACACGATGGTAGCATCCATGCCTTCGCTGTTCAGCATCCTGCAGCACGCCACTGCCGACGTGAGGAGCGCATCCTCCAACTGTTCCGCATCTTCAATGGATTGTTGGCCAAGCGCAAGGAAAGCCGTCGTCGTAACCTCTACTTCCACCTTCCTCTCATGGTGCCTCTAGCGCCGCATATTCGCTTGGTTCGCGACGATTCTTCGTACATCTCCATGCAGGGTATCTATGAGGACTACTGCAGACGTGTTGGCATCAACAAGGACGAGCCGGTGCTCTTCACTATGGACCGAATGCGGTCGGTGCACGAGACGATTAAGAATGTAAGTTTCCCATCAGATATCTCCTATTTGAACCAAGCTAATCCCTGGCAGCGCACTCCCGATCAAGTTCAGGTTGTTCGTACTGAGATCTTGACAGCCATTCAAGACAAATGGGTTCCCAGTACCGTAGTTTTGGAGTACTTCCAGCAGACTTATCCCAACTTTGCAGACTTCTGGCTGTTCCGACGCCAGTTCGCCTACCAGTACGCGGCAGTCGCTTTCATGACCTACGTGATGCACATTGGCAACCGTTATCCCAACAAGATCTTAGTCTCACGCTCAACGGGCGACATCTGGGGCGCGGAATTGATTCCTACCATCAACCCCGCCAAGGCAATCTTCTACAATCCTGAGCAGGTGCCATTCCGCTTCACACCTAATATCCAAACCTTGCTCGGTCCCATTGCCACCGAGGGTGTATTTGCTTGTGCGATGATGGCGATTTCGCGCTGCTTGACAGAGCCGCGCCACGAGCTAGAGCAGCAGCTCAGCATTTTCGTGCGCGACGAGATGATGTTTTGGGCCACTGCTCAGCACCGCGGTAGTCTGCCTGTACCCCAGCTCCGCGATCTAGTCAACAACAACAGTGAGATCATTGTGAACCGTGCTGTCAGCCTTGCTAGTCCACCTGAGGGTAACCTGCCTGCCAACCAAACCACGATCGATCTGATCTCAAAGGCAGTCAATCCCCAGCACCTGGCATCGTGCGATGCGTTGTGGATGCCATACCTCTAAGTGGCGTGTCTCTGCGTTTCTGTCTCAGTCTTTTGAGAATTTGCTCTAGTGATGGAGGTGAACTATTCTTTTGCATGGAAGCATGGTTATGCGTGGGTTGGGTTCTGATTTTGAGCGTGGCGCTTCGGCGAGGAGGGCCAAGACTCTCCTCGTCAGGGTTTGAAATATTTTGATACCGATTTCTTTTTCTTCAATTGTATGTTATAATCTTTGTTTTATGATCGCAAGTAGTGAACATTAGTTTTCAATTGATGATTCACCATTAAAGATCCCTCCAAAAGTAGCTCCAATACAAACCGTAGGTGTTGAGAACAGGTCTTACCCGAGCGTGGCTACGCTATACGTACTCCGGTATAATGATCTACACTGTCAAACCACTTGCTTCTACATGATCTTTGTATAATGGTAGTGAAGTTGCTTGGAATTGACAGGGTATTTGTTAAAATTTGCTCATTAAATCCACCGAGACGCCAGCGCCAGTGATGTCAAGCCTATATCATTAAACCAAAGACGGCTTCTTCTTGATCCCCAATTTGGTGACACTCGACTTCTTAGCTTTCTTGACGCGAGCAAACGAAGTTGTTGCTGGTGGCGGCATCTGCTCCGCCGCAGACTTTGACGATTCAGGCCGCCCAGCCGCAACAATCGGCTCCTCGTCCTCCACAATCCGTTTGATCCTTTCCCCATCCGCTGTCATGAACGCCCTTCGCGCGGCCTCTTCATCTTCCTTCTCCTGCTGCAGCCTGACCGCATACTGATCATCCCGAACGACTTCAAGTGCTGTCTCTTCACCCTTTGCTTCGTTGCGCTGGATGCGCGCATTCCGGGTCCGAATCTCGTCGAGGGCATCCGCAATCTGCATCTCCCGCTTGGAATCCTGCATCTTATCTTCCAATTCGGCCATCTTGTCGCGTTCTAATTGCTCCTGCTCTGTATTTTCTTCGCGCTCGAGTCGGTCGAGTGTTTCCTCCTGTGTTTCATTGTATTTACCGTCCTTGGAGTCCCGCCATGCTTCAAAGTTTCGCTTTGCGCCGCTTTCGCACACATAATCCATGTCTGTAAGATAGAGTTTTAGTATATATCGACGTTATGCAGGGTGGTAAGAGCGCTTACTCTTAGGGTCAGTTTTGAATGTAATCTCTCCACTGCATCTTGTGCACCGGATGTAGAAGCGGTACACAGGAATAGACAGGTACTTTTCCTCGAGGGTCTGTTTGCGGGCATTGAACTTGCGGCCACGGTAGATGTATTCACCACAGTTCGTGCATTTCATAGGGAACGGGGCCATCAATCGGACTGTGATGACCTTGGGACCCTTCTGGCGGAGGTGTTTGGGCGTGCGCCCGATCGCCGAGGGATCGAAATCCGGGGGATAGTACTTGGTGAGAACCTTTCGCTCAGACATGCTGACGACTTCTTCGGAGGTTCGTGCGGGAAATGATAAAGAAGAGAAGAAGAAGAAGAAGAAGAAGAAGAAGTGGCGCTGTACAGGAAAGTTGAATTAGAAGGAAAGTCCGATCCAGACGCCCGTATCAGCACGTGATATGACTGTCACTGTAGTCACGTGCCGTGGTGTGTAGATCAATCCCAGTTCACTATATCCAGACAATGGGATGCCATTGGTACGCATATTTTTGCTTTCACGGCTGAGGTCTACTTGGAAAGAAGCGCCAGCTTCGACGATGCCTTAACATGAGCCCAGACGATCAAAATTTCCAGTTAGATTCGATATTGTTCACCCCGCTGAATTGGGTACAGTGCACGGGCCATTGTTTGTCCACAATCCGCGACCCGCCCATGCGACCAGGTCGGAACTTTCGCGTTTGCGAGTGCAAATCCCCTGTGGATCGAGAGTTCCATGGTAGCCAGTCCTCTTAAAAGCCCCATTCTCTGCCGCCTGAAGTGCCCGGTTTGTGGCCATGGAAAAGTACTTGCGAAATTGGCGGCAGGACGCGTTCAACCGTGGCCAGCATGAATCTGCTATCTATATTGGAGACAAGGTTCTCGCACTCACAAGTATGGGTTCCTGTTCCAGCTAGTTTGAGAGAATAAGTTTACTGATAAATGCGCCAAAGACAGTGACGAAGATGCCTTCTGGCTGGCTCAAGTCCATTTCTCCAACAACAACTTCACACGCTCGTTAGCTCTCCTCTCCCGCGGCGACCTTGTTGCACGAAACCCTGCTTGCCGCTACCTTGCAGCCCATTGTTACATAAAACAAAACCAATTTGAACAGGCCCTCAGTATCCTGGGCGAAAATAACCCCACGGACTTGATCCGCAGCAACGATAATAGCCGCCGAAAGATCCAGCATCTCAATGGACAAAGCCACATCACGATGCGCAATGGGAAAACCCCAACAAGTCGTGGCGAAGGAGTGGAAGACCGGGAGAGAGATGACGATGTCGGCAACATTAAATTTGAAGCATCCATGTGCTACTTGCGAGGTCTCTGTTTTGCAAAGCAGAATGCATTCGATCGTGCTCGGAGCTGCTACCAGGATGCGGTGCGGATTGACGTGCAATGTTTCGAGGCATTTGACCAGCTCATGAAGAACTCTCTCATGTCCCCTACTGAAGAACTTGAGTTTCTCGAGTCTCTAGATTTCGATTCAGTCACCTCGCCCGACCCTGCTATCGCTCAAGAAGCAGCCGACTTCACCAAAATGCTTTACACCACACGCCTGTCCAAATACTCGTCACCCACAATCCTGTCGAATGCCACCGAAACCCTTTCGACACACTACAATCTCGCCCAGAACCCAGACATATTGCTATCTCGTGCTGAGACGCTATACACCCAGTGTCGGTTCGCAGAAGCCCTTGAACTGACTTCCTCCATCCTCTCCACTGCCCAGTCAAATGAAATAGCAAATACCAGCAACAATGGTATTCCTGCTCATAACCATCTGGGCCATGCGCCCGCAGTGTATCCTCTTCATTTGGCTTGTCTCTACGAAACAGGAGCCACCAACGCCCTTTTCTTGCTCTCACATTTGCTGGCTGATCATGCACCGGAGGAGCCTTACACATATTTGGCTATTGGAGTCTACTACCTAGCGGTCTCGAAGATTGCGGAGGCCCGAAGGTTCTTCTCCAAAGCCTCTTTACTGGACCCCCATTCGGCACCAGCCTGGATTGGCTTTGCCCATACCTTCGCTGCAGAGGGCGAGCATGATCAAGCAATTGCGGCCTACAGTACAGCCGCACGATTATTCCAGGGTAGCCACCTGCCACAGCTATTCCTAGGGATGCAGCATCTGGCTTTGAACAACATGTCCTTAGCCCACGAGTACCTCTGTGCTGCTTTTGCTATGTCAACTGGGTCTGTCCCAGGCACTGCTCTTACTCCTGGCAAATCGTCATTAACACCCCTTAATGGCGATCCTCTAGTACTTAACGAGCTTGGTGTTGTGTATTACCATCAGAATAACCTTACACCCGCAATCGAACTATTTCGACAGGCTTTGAAGTTGGCCAGTTCACTTCATTGCGAACCAGGCGCTTGGGTCGCGACTCGTGCCAACCTGGGTCATGCATTACGTCGGATGGGTCATCTAAAGGAGGCTCTGCGTGAGTTCGACGAATGTCTACGTGTAGGGGCTGGGGGCAGCAGTATGGGCTACTCGCCATTTTTAGGTGGTGGTGTGGGTGGGTCCGCTGCCGTTGCGACCGCTTCAGGTGTCGGGGGCTACGAAGACCGAGGATTGGTTGGGTCGCTTCACACCTCGAGAGGCCTGCTCCTATTGGAGCTCGGACGCACAGGTGACGCTGTCACAGCCTTGCACGAAGCCGTGCGTGTGTTGGGAGCCAGTGGGGGTGGAGACGCTGCGGGGGGTGCTGGGGTTGCGGGGACACTACTTTCGCGAGCCTTGGAGCTTTGGTCGCTAGAGGGTCGTGAGCAGGATCGCCAAGGCTTGAAGGCCTTGGAGGAAGGGACCCGACCGTCGCACTCGCATTCTCACAGTGGAAGTTCGTCACACCGCTCGCGTGAGACCCGTAGGGAACGTCCGGCACCAGAGCCACGACGTCGTGTACGAGCTGAGGCGTACCAAGAGGAGTGGACGAGTGAGGTCACCCATGCAGCGACACCTGAGGCAGCTGATTCCGGAACTATGGAGCAGCATATTGAGATGGATCTTGATGAGGAGGCTGATGGACTTTTGCGCCGAGCATTGGGTCGCGTGCGCCCGGGGCGGCGGCGCCCAGCCTTACCCGCCACGCCAGACACAGACATGCATGAAACTCCGGCTCGGAGCCGGCACCGATCTACTCGGAGTGAATCCCGACAATAGACCCTGATACTTTTGTGGGCTACTGTGCTGTCATTATTTCTGAATTTTTACGTGCACAAACAGGCGTTATGGCGGTGCAAAAGGGGAAACCGGAGTGTTCCTGGGACTTGGGGGGCGCAGCAAGAGTACCTTCTGATAGCATTCATCCATAGACATGACCTTACTATGACTTGAGTACTGTAGTATACAGTGACTTTATTATACACTCGTCCTATGGTATAAGTATAGATCCCTGGGGCCATCTGTGGGTACTTCCCATTTTAGTATGCGACGGGTTCATCTTTTCGCCCGTTGATCTCGTGTTTGGGGCGGTGCATCTAAGCCATGTTGATCATGGACAACCTTCCAACCAAAGAGATCTATAGATGATTGAACGTGAGATATTCTTGGCTGCTAGCCTTGAAGCTTGTTAAAAATCCATGGATGTATGATTGATACTATTAGTTTTAGTAGTGACTTCGCGGGGCGTACCAATAGAGTTAGCCCATGCGGAACTATTGGACCCTGAATCGACGGTAAATCCAATAACCCTAGCCCAGTACCTCTGCACCCTGTAGAAATATTGGAATATTTGGATTGATCGTTTGGAATCCGTACCTGAAGAATATTCGGTACGTTATCTAGTAATCAATGATACCATGGCCCACTGAATTGACACCAACAATGTTGACGCAGCGTACACGCAGTGTCTACGCATCAGTGGCCACTTACGTTGAAGTGGGGCTTCATTGCCCAGGCACCCAGCAGTAAACTTCGGTCAATGACGCCTCGTGACCCACTTCTCTTCTCCCTGAGCCTCCACTTTAAACCAATCGTATTTTTGTAACGCTGATCACTCTCGAGAGCTTGTAAATCCTCTCCCCGTTTGGGGTTGTGGAGTTACAAGTTTCACCCTGCCCTTTCTTTGCGTCCTTTCTCCTTTTCCTTCTCCATCCCACCATCCCACTTCCCACATTTTCCCCAGACAGATTCTTCAAATTGGTATCTTAGGGTTTCATGTTCAGCATGCCCTGAATGCCCTTGAACATTGACGCGACATGACCGCGAATTACAACTACCCCTTAATACGCCCCAGGCCACGACGCGGCCTGTCGCTCCTATGCGTCATTGCATGCCTTTCATGTAGTTTGATCTTGACCATCTGGTATGGCATGAACTCCGACCGCGACTACATCCACCCCGTCCTCACCCAACTCATCCCTGCCGGCCATTGTGCCTGCCAAACATCCACCACATTTCAATGCTCCACCTGTCTCTCCTGCCCCGAAACAGGGCTTCAACAACCCACCACTCCATCTCCCAGCTGGCAATGGGATTACCCGCGCGATGCTCCAAATGAGGCCTTCGACCAGACGCAATGCCAGGCCGCCTTCCCGGGTCTCTTCGAGGACGTGGCGCGAGGCGAGCGCCACTGGCGTGCGCATGGTCGCCTTGCTACGGAGGACCTAGACGAGATCCATCTCCAGCACGGAATGGCGCGCGCTTTCATTTCGCGAGGCCATTTACATGTGGTTGCGGCGCGCGCGAAGGGCGAAGACCATCGTCGCAAGATCTTGGGGGTGCTGAGTTCGATCCACCGTGCGCTGGCCGCGGATCGAGAACGGGTTTCTAAACGCGACATTGAGTTTGTATTTTCGGTGGAAGATAAGGTAGAGGATGTCACAAGTCCTGATTTGCCCGTCTGGGTCTTTGCTCGCACCCCAACGGAACAGGGAGTTTGGTTGATGCCAGATTTTAGTTTCTGGGCATGGGATAATCCGAACAACTACATTGGGCCATTTGACCAGGTCGTGGATCGGATCCAGCGGTTGGATATCCCCTGGGACGATAAGAAGCCCCAGCTGGTGTGGCGTGGAAAACCGAGTTTTGCTCCGAAGTTGCGTAGGGCGCTGATTGAAGCGGCCCGGGATCAAACATGGGGGGATGTGAAACAAGTGGAGTGGGCCACCGGCACTAACGTGCTCAGGATGGAGGAACACTGCCATTATATGTTCATCGCACATGTTGAAGGTGAGTTTCGTGTTTTGGACTCAAGTTCCATTTATCTTATGATCAATTGCTGACCTGTCCAGGACGTGCGTACTCTGCATCTCTCAAGTATCGACAAGCCTGCAATTCAGTTATTGTCGCCCATAAACTGCAATACATCCAACATCACCATTACCTCCTCGTTGCCGACGGGCCATACCAGAACTACGTCGAAGTGGAACGCGATTTCAGCGACCTCTCCGAAAAGATCGAGCCCCTAGTCGAGAACACAGAAGCCGCACGCCGTATTGCACAGAACAGCGCAAGGACTTTCCGCGAGCGATACCTGACACCAGCTGCCGAGGCCTGCTACTGGCGTGCACTGTTCCAAGGTTACAGCAACGTGTGGAACAGTACCGTGAACCCATGGTCCGAAGACTATGGTAGAGAGCGCGGCTTGCGATATGAATCCTTCGTATTGCTCGAGAGTTCGCGCATGTACGAATTCCGAGCGGACATCCTGCCATATGGCGCTGCATAGCGACCTCGACCCACACATCATCTTTCTCGTATTCGATCACTCGAAACTGGACATTTCTCGATCATTCATAGAGCATACGACCATGACTCCATACTAATGTTTCCTAATTACCCCTATACCCACGTTCCTTGAGATTGTATCTCTTAGGATTTCAGCTGGAGGGGTTTGTACTAGACGATAGACTGGTTGATTTCTTTCCATCATCAGCAAACGGCGTTTGAGCGCAAACTTTTGTGATACCACGGCGGACTTTATTTTTTTTTGTTTATTAGTCCTACTCTGGACAGATAGAATACACGACCCTCTGAGTCCTGGCTACCAACCTCAATTTTATGACCACTTTGAAAGGCTTTACACTTGCAACCCGTTTTTTCCCCCCAAGCATTAAATATTCCAGGGCAAACAAGAGAGATCCCATACTGATGGAACCCTCTCGGATGACTTTTCACTAATCCGCTTACAAAGTGAAGTTGCGGATGATTGAGTTGAATATTGGTAGCACAGTGGAAACACAACCCCTAACATTTAATGTAGAGTTTCTTGCCCTGAAACAGGTACCTAGCGATTTTGAATTATGGCTTAGGATGTTGCTGAAATCTTGCCCAGGTGGATCCATGGATCAGCTGAATCCTCATCCATGTTGTGTACTGTAATCCATATGGCTCCCGTTGTCTACATATATCGATGCCCAGGCGTATGCATTAATAGTCTCTACATGGATATTCCCTTCAACCATCAGCTTCCAAGGTTACCTTTACGGATGTGTGTTTTATTAATAGATGTTGATCCCTATGTTCTCTGTGCGATAATCTAGAAACCTGGTTAGATCAAGCATAAGCCCGAGGGCTAGGTAGAAACCAATTCGTTTCTGAAGAACCAAGAAATCTAAAGAGGCCGGAGGGTAAAGCAGAAAGTCTGATTCTCATAGCCGACCATTCCAGGGCTTTACATTCATTCTTCGAGGGTCTTTGTTATTCTCGAGGGTTTACGGTTCCATGGGTCAGCCGGGGATGATGCTATCCAGAGCTAAATGAGTTCAAAGTCAACTGCGCTGATTAAATCTTCTCAGACAACAATGACTGTCTCTCTTATTAATAGTAGTCGCACAATCCCTACATCAATGTTTCGCCCACGTGCATCTGCGCAAGTTTACGAGCCACCGTTTCCTCCGTTTGCACTCTCCTCTGTCAACACCGATCGTATCACCCCCGTTTTTCAACGTTTTTTGACTTCCAGTCATTATGGCGAGAGCCTCAATTGTGACAGAGACCAAGGGCACCACTACTACTGAGACAATTCAGGATGTCGACTTTGTTCAGGAAGATGTGCAGGCCCGCGTCTCGAAGCCACTAGTATGTTACGACGTAAACATCCAATGCCGAGGGAATACTGACGGTCTGTCTATATGAATAGTGGCTGCTGATAGTAATGACTATTCTATCTTCCACTTTCCTTTTCTCTTTGGACAACACCATCGTCGCCGATGTCCAGTCGCCCATTATCGAAAAGTTCGGCGAGGTCGGAAAGCTGAGCTGGCTGGGCGTTGCCTTTGTCCTTGCATCCTCTGCGACTATTATTACTTGGTACATGTTTGATCTATTGTTGAACTAGTTATATACAATCTACTGACACAACGTCTATTAGGGGCAAACTTTACGGCATTTTCAGCGCAAAATGGATTTACCTCGCTTCTGTCGTGCTCTTTGAGGTTGGCAGTGCTGTTTGTGGTGCGGCTCCCAACATGAATGCTTTCATTATCGGCCGTGCTGTTGCAGGCCTTGGAGTTTGTCAAATATTATCCCTTGAAGCTGGAAAAGCTGCTAACCTAGCCAGGGAGCCGGTATGTACCTTGGCTGTCTGACACTATTGTCCATCACCACTTCCGTTCGCCAGCGACCGACTTACATGGCTCTCACTGGAATCAGTAAGCCGGTATCCTCTGAGGTTAAAAAAATGAGTCACTGACTATTATACAGCATGGGGAAGTGGTACAGTCCTAGGTCCCGTGTAAGACAGCCGATCCATATTGAACTTCCCATGATATGTGGCATTATACTGACTCAAACTTTGACAGCGTCGGAGGTGCATTCGCTCAGAGCATCCATGCAACATGGCGATGGGCATTCTACATCAATCTGTGTATTGGAGCTGTTTTTGCTCCAGTGTACATCTTCTTTTTGCCCCGTGCTGATCCTCAGGAAGGTGTTCCATTGAAACAAAAGCTTCTGCAGATTGATTATCTTGGGGTTGTCCTCAATGTCGGTGCCTTTACAGCCTTGATCATGGCAATCAACTTTGGAGGTAATCTTTTTGCCTGGGCAGCAGCCCGGGAAATTGCCCTGTGGGCTGTGGGTGGTGTTATGCTTGTCTTGTTTGGGCTACAGCAGGCGCTCAAGATTGGCACCACCAGTCAAGAGCGAATTTTCCCCGGGGACTTGTTGCGGATGCCTATTATGTGGATCTTGTTTGCTCTTATGTGTGCTGCATCGACTTGTGTGTTTGTGAGTAGTGCCGACAAACCTATGAATGGTCGAAACTTAGGACTAACAACTGCAGATTCCAACCTATTACATCCCGATCTACTGTCAGTTCGTCAAAGGGGATTCGCCTCTTACTGCAGCTGTGAGACTTCTTCCATTTATTGTTCTCATGGTATTCTCCGGGCTTTTGAATGGTGCCTTGATGTCGAAGCTGGGTTACTACATGCCATGGTATCTAGTGGGTGGCATTCTCACGAGCATCGGAGGTGGCTTGATGAGTAGGTTCCGTCCGAGATTGAACATCTTACACAAGTTGACGAGAGATGGTACGAATAGGCACGATCGACGAAACCAGCCCCATATCCCGCGTTTACGGCTACTCTGCTCTTATCGGCATCGGTGCTGGAATGTTTATCCAGACAGGATTCTCGGTAGCCCAGGCCAAGGTTTCGCCCAGCCGTGCCTCAGACGCTGCCTCCCTTATTGCTTTTGCTCAGAACATCGGCATCGTGCTTGCACTCGCCATCTCGGGATCAGTATTCCAGAACCAAGCCCTGGATAGCCTTCAGGAATTGCTGCCAGGTACTCCGCGTGAAGCCTTGCGAGGTGCGATCTCTGGGTCCAACAGTGACCTGATCAAGACGATACCAGCTGAGACCCAAGCCAAAGTCATTCATGCCATTGTGCATGCAATGTCTCACACATATTATCTGGTAATTACTGCGGCAGTGATGACTGCGGTAGGCTCTCTCTTTTTCAAGGTAAGAAGCATATTTCAACCAGTGAGGATCAGTCGATACTAATGCAACCACAGAGAGAAAGAATCTTTGTCCAGGGTGTGGGCATGGGTTAAGCCACTTGTCCACAGATGAAAGCCGTCATACTTCACCTTGCAATGATGCGCTTTCAATAAGGTGAAGTATCACGAGGTCAAGGAAGGTGATGGCTATGAAGGGGGAGCTCAGGCTGGATATTTTTAGTAATGTGTGGATCTGAGCTGACACCAAATTCAACGTATATCTTATTCACTTCTATTCTTATTACTTATGATTCTCGACTTTTTAGGCCTTAGAACCCAGTAATGATTGCATGCGACAGCGAAAATCCATACCACACGGTCGCAACTAACGCAATAGCATTAAGATGAATAGTCATAGCATGATTGCGTTTGAAATCCTTATTAGCCCGCTGAATCTTTTGATCATCCACGGCTGAATGATTCTCACTTTCTAAAACAAATCATTAGCCCAATTCGAGGACCAGCACCCAGCATAGAAAACCTACCGTGCAAAGCCCGTCGAACAAAAGAAACAGTCGTTGTCTTAGGCCCATATACAAAATAATTCAAGGACCCCATTGCTAGTATGATAACCAGCGGTGCAGCACTCCACAGATCTGTCGCGAAGGAGACGATACTGTATGGCGGGCGCGTCGCGGCTGTGAGTGCAGCTAATCCAATCTGACAGGTAAAGTAGACTGGGAAGATGCGCTTGTTGAGGCCGAGGAATTCGCGCATGGGTAGGTGGCGGTAACAAAGCTTTGTGTTGACGAAGCTCTGCGCCGTTGTTAGCAATATGCCCTGTTAATGTGCCGCTTAGGACAATGTGGAGGAACGATTACCTGGTACAGCTCGGTCCCTAGCAAGGCACCATATGAAAGTAGGTGGTAGGGAAGGAGATTCCCCACCGTTGTGAGAATCGCATCCATGGTGGTTGAGAGTGACAATTGGGTGAGAGTAAAAGAAAAGAGAGAAATGCTGACTGATGTGTTAGGTGTGTTGGGGAATGAGGAGAGGTTGCACGGGGAGGATGACGGAGTTAAGTGGCTTGAGCTAAATAATCTGACAGTAAACCTTGTCACCTTATTGGCTTATATCACGGACCATTATGAAAGTAATATGCTATTTGTCAGGGAAAATATAGAATTATTGATCTGATCAGTTGAAGCCATGGATACTGGAGGTATAGTATAAGTTATAATCATTATGCTGCCACATCCTCCCACGATGTATAGGAAGCAAAAACGAAAAAACTGAGGACCAGGAATATACATCCCTAATTCCCTTATTGGTGGGACTGGAAAAGAATGCAAAAGGGAACTTCGCTCAGCGTCGGGTCACACCAAAAGGATTTCTGGTCGATAGATCAATGAAACCGGCTACTCCGCCAAATCACTCAAGCTTCCAAATCTGACATGCGTACAACTCGGAACAAATGGACTGCACTCCGAATCCAGCCCACATGGCGCAGCTCATCCAGGGTCCCTTGGCGATGACCTAAATGTAATCTGCAAAAGAGGTTATGTACCTCTTTATGATTTCGAATCTATAAAGGGCGTACCGGTACTACTGACCATGTTCCTTTGAATAGGCTTCCGGGGTATATTCACGTATCGGCAGGCTTTTGACGACCGAGAACAGCCTGGTTTGGGATCGAGTCCAACACTGCCTTAACTGCTTCAAGGTCGTTCCTTTTTCGGGTAACTTCCTCGATGAAACTCCGGAATTCCCTTCCTCGACTCCAACACTATACACGGCCGTTGTCCAAGGGATGCATTGGTGCAGATAGAAATCGGCACGATTATCTCTGGATCACCTCTGACAATGTTCCAGAAGATCAAGAAATATCAGTCAGATGATCAGCAAATCCCTGGCCGGCTATGAAATAAATATCAGAACACTTACAATCCCCGACTACCCTCGGCAAAAACATGTACACCTTGCGCTCAGTACCAGACCGGACCAAGAACCCTCAAAAGGTCACACAAATATCACCACGCCAAGTGGCTCCAGAAAATCATCGCCATGAGAACACGGTCAACAAGGCCTCACCGGCTCCATGTGCAACATCTCGCCCAGACCGCTGGTAAGTCCACAAACAGACAGCGAGATCTCTCTCCAGGGCAACAATCCAACACCAAAATACGGTCAGTAATCCCTGACACTCGCCCTACCCCCAGACATGCGGGCTCCGCCTCGTGGAACGAACTCCACCGCCACTCAGGACAACAAATGAGAAATGGGTGTATTCGACCCAGGAACCCTTCTCCACCATACGGAAATCAGGAATTGTCAGCCAGCTGAGAAAGGCTTGGTGGCATGGAACCGGGCTATCACGCGCCTGGAAGCCCTGAGGTTGGGTTTTCTTGTTTCCAGACCGACTTGATGGATTTTTGTTGCACAAGTGCGTGTCACGGTGGGATGAGGGATCGAGAGACAGGAGACATGGAGATCGGGGTATTATTAGCAGCGATATGGACGTTGAGCCGTTGACGTGGAAACTGGGAACATCAGACACCGGTCTCTTTAGAAAAACAACCCACACTCCAGCACCAAGCAATTTCCAACAGAAACGGGCACTATGCGAGCGGACCCAAAGACAGAGTCTCCATCAAGCGAGGGATCACCAGCCCCAAAGCAGGATCCGCTGGAAAGAAGAAGATTACAGAATCGTCTCTCGCAGCGAAACCACCGTAAGATCCAATCCTGCATGTTGATATATGGTGCAAGCCTAGCCTTAACCAGTTTCAGGTCGCAAGATCCGAGACCGCATCGCTAAGCTGCAAGAGCGGGTTATTGCGAATGAACTACGAGCTGCAGCGACACTGAATGGCTGGGATCAGACATATTCCCCTCCATACATACCAGCACACCACCATTCTCCCTACTACGAGGAGCCTGAATTGACACTCGACTCACGAGACCATTCACCGCAAAGCACAGAGCCGTCCACGCCATTCTTCCCATCGTATAATTTCCCTCAATCATATTCGACTGATCTCCTCGCTCAACCATTCGAGTCATTGGAGGATCCGTGTTATGTCGAATCTGCGTTGGGCTCTACAGTACCGAACCAATCTAGCCCGGGCATGCAGGTGGAAAATGATCAGAATGTGGAATTCTTCCATGATCCATGGGGAATGCTCAGAACAGGAAGCTTAGTGGGAGATTTGGGATCACTCAATCAGCCCAGTATCTACGTCGCGACAGGTAAATCTCAATTTGTCTCTTCTATATGGCGAACTAATAACATGCTATAGAAAGCTCGTTGCCACATATACTTCACGCCCTAGAGATACCCTCCCAGTCAAGAATCGTTGTTCTCGTCCCTTCCGAATCTCTTTCCTCGCTTCAAACTGGGATGGAATCAAACAACCGGTCAATGAATCTCTGGATAACGAATCCATTTAGCTCAGTGTATCAGTGCCAACCACAGAGCGCACTTCCCTTGTCCACACCTCGAGCCTGGATAGCCCCTGGGACATGTACGCCCTGCGCTTTACATAAGATCCCAGGTCTACGCGATGATGGCTTCTCAACGTTGCCTATATGATACAGTCAGGGGATGCCGAGTTAGAATGGGAGAGGGCTACTAGCTCAGAAATTTGGCAGAACGAGAATTTGGTGATATAATAGATGACGCAGAGATCAAGCAGCGGTGTGAGTTGGTGATACAAGCACGACAGAAGTGAGATCAGTGCAATATAAGCTCGTATTCAGTACATTTGTGCTCGTTGATTCCTGATTCTGTCCCCTGTTCCTCTGAAAGCGAAAAACCGAGTACAAAGCTTGATGAATAATGTCAAATTCCTTGTATATCATTAGGCTAATTGATGCTCTCAAGTGGATACAGATGTATTGAGGTAGTACCAATCAGCCGATGCTACCCACACCTCCAGAAGGCGATGAACTGTTATTCACAATCCCCTCTAGTTGCGTGAAGAATTATCTGATATCAGTATCTTCGGGTCATTTCCAATTATCACCGATCTTGTCAATTACCAATGGGAACTTTGTGACCTAATAGAGTAGGGCCAAAAAAAGAAAGACTTAAATCAATACTCCGAGCCTTCGAGGATAAACTCCGAAGGATCCAGTCTGTACAGCCAGAGTAAACTCAACGAACAAATAGTCACAATTTGATCTCAGGCAGGCTATCATGAACAAATGAATGACGGTTTAAACAAGGAAAGATACAAGCAAGCCTAACAATAGACAAAACCTCTCACCGCAGTCCACATATATCCAATCAATCAAAATGAATGCGCCAAAGCTCCCGATCACAATCACTGATATACCCAGTACGAGTATGTAGCATAGCAGTATTATCACTGATCAGCAAATCCCCCTTCTCCCACTCAAACCTCAAACAAACTCGATAATCATAAATTATCCGATCAATAACTTCGACGAGACTTGAGTCATCATTCTCAATAGTCACATCACAAGTGGAGAACTTTGTCTTCGTGGAATCCCACGGCTGATGCCAGCGAACACACGGCAAGCCCGAAACAGGGTGTGTCACCGTCAGCGGCAGATTCTTGAGCTTGGCATCCCAGAACCCATCATTGTCCATAGCCCAAGTCACCTTCTGGAGACGTTCGGCGGTCCAGGGGAGGGGCAGATATCGGAATAGGAGTCTAGATGCGGCGAAGAGCGTGTAGCCACTTCCTTTCGGTGCCGTAGCTGGGCAGGTAAAGAACTGGTAGCCGGGTGGACGCTGGACCTTCTTGACCTTGCCCGTGTCGGGATCGGTGACTTCTTCAAATTTGAACATTCCGTCGAAATGCATTGGCATGGCCTCGTTGGAAGTAACATTGTTTCCGAGCTTATCGGAACGGCCTGCGTCGCGGACTTTCTGGACAATTCCGAAGCTCCATGGGAGAATCTTGCCGAGATCGTGGCCTGCCTTGACGTATAGATCTTCGACTAGTGTCTCGGTGAACCCACGCAGGATGACGGGAGACATTCCGTTGGATAGTTTGCGGACTTTCTGCATGGGGATTGCGCTGATGGAGGGCGGTGGGTTCACATCGTCAATGTCCGTGGGACGAATAATAAGTCCGCAAGGGTATTGATGTTCAAACTTGACAGATAGTCCATTGGAAGACCAATCAAAGAGGTCTGAGCGTTCGCGGAAGAAATACGGTTGACCGTTTTTGTAGACAAGGTCGTGTGTTTCGCGGACATCCTCCGCATGGACAGTTCGGTATGATCCATCGAGTGCGACCGCAACGGACGCATGCCACGGGGTAAAGCCCAATGCTCCACGTCTCTGGGGGATCAAAGAGACTGAGAGTTTTTTCTCGCCGGCGGACTCGTGGATGGAGAGACGAACATAATCCTTGCGGTTGGCTCGGATGGCAGCTGCGAACATCTTCCCCCGGATGATCATTTGGCGTGCTGTCTGTGCAATCTGGCTTTGTCTAGCACGCTTAGACATCCCAGGTGGACACTCCTGATGCGCAAGGTCTTTGGTTAGGAACTTGATGTAGCCCCGATATGTCAAGCAAGTGTCGTTGTCTGTCTTAATGGCTTCATCGGCATTGAACGTCGGGTCTCCGAAAGCAAACATCAGCTCGCGACGGAGACAGCATGCATGAGACAGATAATATGATTTAGCAGCTTCGGGGCTGCTCGCTTTAAACCAGGGGTGTTCAAGCAGCTCTGCAAGACGGATGAACTTGACATGAGTCAGGCCCTTTTCCACGGCCATCTGTCGCAAGGCTTCTCCGTAGTCCCACACAACTTCATCAGGAACCCCGAGAATATCTGAGAGGAGGTTAGAATGCAAGCAAACAGCCCAAGTGGTTGACGTAACTCACCATTGTAGACCAGTCCATCGGAGCTGATGTATATCTCGGCACCAGGTTTGTATACTTGCGCGACATTCTCACAAAGCCCATTCAAGTGAGCCAAAGCCAGCTCCTCTCCAAAATCAGGTAAAACCCCCAAGACCTTGTCGCGCGCATTTGGCGATTTGAATGGAAAAGCAGGCAAGATCATCCGAATGGGTTCTTGTCTCTCCACTTGGGCCATAACAGTGGGGACGAAGGACTCGAGTCCCTTCCACGAGGCTCCATTCTTCTCATAATCAACACCGTAGCTTTCAATCACTTTGAGTATCTCAACAGCCATTTTGCGCTCATTTGAGGGGATATCAATATTGCTCGCGGATATTTCAAGATCAATATTGGGTGGGTGTTGTGTAGAGGTATTTCCGTTTGCGGTAAGCATCGGGCGATCGACGCTGTCAAGTTCGGAAGGCGCCAAGTCCGTTTCGATCAAGGGGCGTTTCTCCACATCGATCTCGACAATGCCATTCACGATCGATTTCTCCGGATAAAGGGCCGAGGAAGTATCCGCAATAGGTACTAGAGCAACCATGGCGGCTTTGGGTCACACCAACAGCTCTTTGGTCTCAGAGATTGCAATAACAGCCGACGAACAGCCAAAGAATGGTGGTCGATTTTGTTCGATTGATTGAACGGGGAGTTTGAAAGGCCAGAACAATATTGTGCTATATACCCGACGACGGCCTAGATCGGCGAGATGTCGGCACCCGAGCGTTCATTGCCAGATGACTGTATCATTCGTTGCGGACTCAGATTTCGGAAATGAAGCTGAACCTAGGGACCTGACGTGAGTAGATGTTGGTTCTGTACAACTTGGAGTGGGTCTCTACGCTGAGATGAGCCAGGGTAACAAGAACACAATTGAAACAAAGCTGTACGTGGTGGCTGAGTTCCAGACGCAGGGACGGGGAAGTAGAGGTGATATGATCTGTGTCAGCAGGTCTTCTATAAGATCCAGTCACGGAGAGTAAAAGGGTTCAAGCATGGTGGTCCCAACCCTGTCAACGACCTTGTCAATGTGCCATGCCATGACTAGATCTGCATTTGCGTACTACCGGTGAAGATCTGAACTCTAAGCATATTGTCAGAAATGTCCAGGAAGTTTTTGTCGAGTCAGCTCATAGCTACGTAAGGAACGGTGAACTTTGAGTATACCCCTAAGGTATTGTGTAGAGTGTAACATCAAGTCACCTGGAAGTTTACACTTTACGGTCGGTTTGACCTCTAGAAGCTTCAGCTTTGGAGAATCATGGAGATGCAAAACCAGGTACGAGGCATTAGATGAGATTACTCAACGTAGCGTGCTCAGCATGACACAGATCTAGATTTGATGGTGGACAAAGAATGCGGTGTACTGAACAGCGCATTTCTATCTGAGATGCCTGTTGCCAGCTGTCTGGACTAAACTCTGGCGATGCGTTACTTTACAAAAAAGTTATCCCCAAGATTGTAACAATACTCAATTGGTGGTTTTCGACCTGAAGGCAAAAGTATACGCTATCCAGTTTGCATCAATGACCTCATTTCCTAAGCTCAGCCCAATCATACTCCATCAATCTAGACACAAAAGCAGCCATGTCGGAACCTGCCAGCTCACGCACAACATGGAACGTGGCATCAAGACCCGAGCTCACACCGCCGGCCGTGATAAGAGACACAGCGTCTCCCGGCAAATAACCCCCGTCGATGTAGCGCTTATGCACAACAGTAGTCGGAGGATCACTCTTATCGTTGAACCGAGCACATATTTCCCGAAGCACGTCAACGCCACGATGATGAGTGGTCACAGTCATACCAGGAAGGATCCCCGCACCGCCAAGCAGAAATGCGCCAGTGCAGACGGAGAGCAGAATCCGCGGTCTCTGAGATGATGGCAGGGGCAGAGTGGCAAATCTGCGGATTACATCCACCTCTGCGGAACCTTCAAGAAGAGGTTGAATGACAGAAGGTGGGCCGCCAGGGACTACCAGCATGTCATATTCTGCTAGGTCTTTGACCGCATCTTCTAGGAGGTGGTCGACTTTCACAGTCAGGGTGGATCGAATGGTTGGTTTTCGAGCCATTGTTTCGATTTTGAACATTGGATCGGGATCATCCGGGTTGTGGTTATGCAGGACATGAGACAGGACCTCCATGGGTCCTGCGAAATCGAGGAGATCGGCTCCTTCGAAGAGGAGGACTCCCAGCTTGGCGTAGTATTTCTCGGGCGTGGAAGACATTGAAATGGCTTAAGCTATAGATTGCTTCGGTGGGATAGATGCAAGATCAAGATTGGTGGCGGTGGGCTTGCGATTTGAGTTGAAGGAATTTTGGCAGATATACGCATTGGAAGTGGCCAAGTTTGGGCTTATCTCCGCCAGCGGGGTATAAAATTGCCTAGTGATATTGGCTTCACGGTGGATATTAGACCCCGCTGACTCCAGTGAATAACGAATGTCGTATCACATCGGTGTATCCGTATGCGCTGATTTGAGCATCTTGATGAAGTTGGCAGGGTCAAATCTTGGTCGATGGATCCAGCGGTGTGTAAATTGGGCCTGATGTTGCAGGGGTCCCCATTGTCTCGACCTATGATTGACCAAGACGACATAGTCATCGATAGTCAAATAATGGAAGCAAAAACTTCCAAAATCTCGTTGGTATCGCACTCATAATGCTGTTATTCACACTTAGGGCTTTTGCGCCAAGTTCGGGATGTGGACTCCCCCGCACCTTCATACTCGGGAGAGTGGGGGATGCAACTATAAGCTCGAAAGCCATTTAAATTGCGAATGGACCCTTAGAAACAAATTTCCTCTTGAGGTTGATGTTTACTTGCATTTCCTTCACTATGACGTCCTCCGAATACAGCAGCCACTTCTCCATCGCCAACATCCCTTTCGGAGTAGCATCGTCCAATAACCATCCCGAGCCGCAATGCGTCACTCGACTGGAGAATAAAGTGATTTTCCTAGGCGTGTTACAACGATCTGGCCTATTCGCTGGAGTCCCCAGTCTGCCGGAGGGAGTATTTGACAAGGCAACTCTCAATGACTATGCAGCTCTGCCCAAGACAATCCACCGCGAGGTGCGAAAAGTGCTTCAAGAGGCATTGACAACATCATTGTCGGACAAAAGTACCGAGGACATCAGCGCCGTTACGCTTCATCTGCCTGTTTCTGTCGGTGGCTTCACAGGTACGTCATGTTCTACCTTTGATAAATCTAGGTCTGATCGGCAGTAGATTTTTCATGCAGCCTTCATCATGTCCGCAATGCGGGTCGAGCAATTCTTAATGATGAAAGTCCTCCACCGGGCTTTTTCAATTTCCCAATCGGGTATAATGGTCGTGCTAGTACGATCGTCGTCTCCGGGACCCCGATCGTCAGACCCAATGGCCATTTCTTTGATAAGATGGCAGCGTCTGAAAAGAAACCCATCGTCTACGGTCCATCAAGGGCGATGGATTGGGAGTTGGAGATTGGTGTCATTGTCGGACAAGGGGTCCCACGTTTGCAAGGATTGAACGCGAAAGACGCGGATGAGAATATCTTTGGATTTGTCATTTTGAACGACTGGAGTGGTAAGCGATTCCGCGGTGATACATTGCCACCCAATTGTTGACAAATAGGTGCTTTCTAGCTCGGGATATCCAAGGCTGCGAAATGGTTCCCCTCGGCCCACTGAATGGCAAGGCATTTGGAACAAGCATCTCGCCTTGGGTGGTTACCTTGGATGCCCTGTCACCATTCAAAACAGCAGGACCCAAGCCGGAAGTTGCACTGGCAAGCCACCTGGAAGACATTGCCGAATCCGGGTATGCGATTGATATGAGGGTGGAACTTCTTGTCGGAGATCAAGTGACCACTATTAGCGAATCGAAAGTACAGGACTTGCACTGGAGTGGACGACAAATGTGTGCCCATCTCGCAAGTATTGGGGCCGATCTTCAGACTGGAGATATCCTGGGTACTGGCACAGTCAGCGGCCCAGAGGAAGGGAGCTTAGGCTGCTTGCTGGAGATCACCAAGGCTGGCAAGGAGCCAGTGACATTGAGCGATGGTGCCGAGAGACATTTCTTGCAGGACTGGGATGTTGTTCGTATGACAGCGGTGGCCGGCGGATCAACTTCCGGGGTTGGATTCGGAGAATGTGTTGGCCAGCTGCGACCAGCAAGGGCGCTGTAGAAAATTGATGAAAAGTGTTTCAAATTAATCTAATTAGATACTGAAGGGCTTTGCCGTATAGATAAACTTCTCATATCCTCGTTAGGGATGATTTTATCATTAATGACTTAGAAGAGAGCTGTAGGCAGTCCAAAAGCCATGAAATAGGTTCAACGAAATGTAAAATGGAAGAATTCCCCCTTCAAATGAGTAGGAACTGTTAAAAGAACATATTTCGCTTATGGGATTAAAACACCACCAACGCCAGAAAAATGCTCTGCCAATGCGCCGAAGCAAAAGTCATGAAGGATGATAGATATCCAATTCCATCAATCATCTCTGTCTACCCCCATAGTGGCGGGTGAATATACTCCTGGGCACGGTCAAGAATATTGGGTATGGTCCATTCACCACTCCCTGAACTTTCCGGCGTTGGCGGTGGGAGAGACCCGACACTGGGGGTCATACTAGCCGAACCAGGAGCAACGAAGACACCCAGATTGGCAGCAGCAGTCGGGTTCGCGTTATGCTGGGATATAAATGCAGGACTCCGTCCATTCGTAGGGCGTGTAGTCTGATTGCCAAAGGCCGTGAGGAGCTTTTGCAAAGCGCGGTGAGTTTTGGCCAAGGACTTGGCCCATTGTGTCTGGGTTTCAGGGACACCAGCAGGGGATGTAGGATCCAAGGCAGGTGGAACATAATTCGGCGGATTAGTTGCACCAGTGATTGGATCGTATGTGTTCGGCTGCGGCGGTGAGGTCATGCTGGAATCGGCGCCGTCAAAAGCCCTCTCACTAGTAGCTCGCTGCGCAATGATACCCTCTAGCTGTCGCAGAAGATTCCAGACCTTGGGATCAGATTTGGCCTCTTCAACAACAGCGAGCAAAAATGCAGAACTAATCGCCCGTTGCAACGCAATCCATGATCGGCCAGCGTGTGAGCTAATATTGTGCAGTTCGATATAGGACTCCACGGTGATCATCAGATTAGACACGCAGTCAGCGCGCATGCTGGCAGTACTAGCGTCGGCGGAATTGGCTGTTAGTTTTAACGAGGGTCGGCAAAGCTCCGACGCAAAGTATGAAGAGTGCAGTTTCAGCACAACCCGCTCCAGATGTTCACTTGGAGTGGAACACCATTTGGCGTCGCGTAAATAAAATTTTGCTTCATCCATGATAGTCTGGATTCTTTCCTTGTAACCTTGGATGCTCTCAAAGCTGATTTGTGCATGAGGGCTAAGCATTCGAATGCGAACCACTTCCAACGCCAGGGAAATGACGCGACAAAGAGTTTCAAAGTACGAGAGATCGCCGGCTTTAGAGCCCTCCAGGTATGCGATGTCTGGCTGGCTGACTGCTGTAGTAGAAGGGCGATCGTACGAAAGAGAAAAATGGCTATCCTGCCATGCCATTGACCACCTGCAGACGTTAGTACAAAAAAGCTTCGAACTATACCTGGAGCCTAAGTACTTACCAAACATGTCGCCTGCGATACCGCTCAGCTGGTGAAAACCTGCTCGACTCAACGTGCAGACCTAGCGCCAATCCCATTCGAAGTGTCATGCCCAGCAATACATACGAGATTCCGGGATTCATGTTGTAAGACAAGACATTACCAATTACGAGGAGTGTCTGGATGGCTTCGATTGTTGGTTGGGATAGGAAGTTGGTCATACGGAGGCACTGGTAGGAACAGCAGACTAGGATATAAGTCAGTCTGGGAAATTCCGGCCCTGACAGAGGCAGTATGACATACCGTAGACCTGCGAGGTCAGTTCTCGTTCTTTGCTTCCAAGGTCGGATGATTGGGTGCCAGATGCCAGAACAGAGAACAGGAGGCCCAAGTAAGCAATGCTCACTCCAAAGGGATTTTGCGCCTCGTCGGCATCCTCTCGATACACCCCACCGGAAGCGATTCTGTTTTGCAAAAGAAGCTCCAGATTATTTTCGAAGTCACGTATATCTTCAATGACAGGATAAATCGCCCCTGCAATTTCCTTGTAACAGTAGAAAAACCTGTTCACAGGGTTAGCTTCTATAGTACAGTTATTCAAGGAGCTGAACTCACTCTCTGCACTGTTGGTCTGTGGGGAGCGCACTACAAACGGCGCTAATGTCAAAGGTTGACATGTCGGAAGACCACAGATCAACAAATGGATAAGTTGCAGACTCGTTATCAAGTCCCAACTTCGGCAATATGCCTCCCTCTAACAGGGTCTGGAGTTGATCTGATCCAGTCTTGTTATTGAGAATATAAGCTAGAACTGAACGCGAGCCCAAGTGGACGGTGCCTTGGCCAAGCGTGTTTGCAGCATGAATGCCCTCACGCTCTGGCGATGCGCCCTTAGAACGGGAACCCGCATCTCCACTCTGCATGCTCCCGGATTCTACAGTCACAGCGGGTTCTTCTTCAGCCCGCTCGAGCCCCATGCGCAAAGTGGATATGGTCGACTCCATCTCTCGCAGTCGGTTGCGCACATTCTCCCATTCGTCTCGGGCAATCGACACGCGCCCACTTGCATTGGTCGTCCCATTCCGCTGATTGGGAACATGCTCGTCCTTTATATTCGATGAGTGATCGTCATAGCCATAGAACGCAGGCTGATCCACTGTGGAAGATGCCGAGGCGCCAGCCACGGGACTCTCAAGGAAGGCTTGGGACCGTTTCTTGGAGGGGCGTTCGTAGGAGCAGAGATCTGCATGGTCACGCTTGACGCACCCATCACATGGCAGGTTCCGATCACATTTTACCTTGCGCGCATGGCATGGGTAGCAAGCTTTCGGTTCGCGCGCTTTGCGCTTCGTTCGAATGATGGCGTCCACCTGAGACTGTGGCAAGTCCGAAACGGATCTGTTGGGCGCACTAGCCATATCGGATGGTGAGATTGAATTAAATGGCGGGTATGGAGATGTCATGGCGTTTTCGAAATGTTCCTTTGGGGTCGATCGGTTTTCTGGAGTCTATCGGGCGTCCGCTACGAATGCGCGTCAATGCGGACGATCCACTTGAAAAGTCGGACACAACTCGAGAAACAAAGATATCAACAAGCGGCCTTTTGTTTTTGCTTGTTTTTTCCGATCGGATATCTTGTATAATTAGCCCGTCATTCTGGCTGGAGTCAAACGGTGGATGCAATGTCGAAACCGAAACGGTTGAGAGAGCATCATCGGCGGTGCTTATCTGCCGGTGCACGTGATGTGGGGCATCTCGATGCGGAAGGTCGCTCTACATTATTTGCAAGTCACAGCGTAGACAATTAGAATATTAGATTTGAAGGCTCATGGAAGGAGGTATTCATTCATTAATTTGTAATTCATATTAGCTGTGTATTGGTAGCTGGACTTCTATAAATGATTATGCCCAGGCGTTGTACTATCGTGAAACCATGTCCCATGCTCAAATCTGCATCGCAGAAAATATAGAAACAGTATGTAATGCCGTTTTGTCAAGGGAATCATCAAAATCAAAACATAAAAAAAACAAAAATTTGTACACCTCCTCATGTGAATGAAATTATCTTTCAAGTGGCTCAGTGAAGATTTAAGCCTTGATAGCCTTCTCCTCGTCGTCACTGAAAGCATACTTGGAGAATTTGCGAATGGACTCTCCCTTGAAGTAAAAAATGTATGGGATAGCGCAGCAGGCAAGAGCAATGAATGCCAGGAGAGAGCTTGCCCACTGGTATCCCAAGCGGTTATACATCTGCTCAGTGAACAAAACGGTGGAGGCACCCCACATTGATCGAAGGAAGGTCTTGGCTGCCAGAGCCGATGCGGCTTGGTGCTGATAGGTATCAACTATGCAAAATCAGTATTTGGAGATCTCAGTTAAGTCAGAATAGAACATACCAAGGTAGTTGTTTGCCGAGTTGTACAGGAAAATGAATCCGAAACCGACAGGCCATCCTGCAATACATGGCCCAATCCAATGGACGGTAGGGTATGAAGTCCAGGCGAAGATGAACAGACCAATGGGGATAAGCCAGCAGGACCACATCATTGGGATCAGACGCTTCTCAGCTGGGGGCTTGCCATTCCATTCTTCCGAGATCTTGAGGTAGTGCTTGTTGACAAATGGTGCACATGCGGCACTCATAAGAACACCAAGTGCCATTGGAATAAACATCAAACCCGTCATCGAGGCACTCCAGCCCTTTCCAGCTTGATATACGATGGGATATGCAACGAAGAACATGTAGAGAAGACCATAAAGGACTGACATGTAGATGGCAATGAAGAAGACAATCGGCTCCAAGAAGAGCAGCTGGAAGGGGCGGAAGAGGAAGATACGCAGCTTCTGCCCAAGAGGGCGGGGATCAAGCTCAGCCTCGGTGGTATACTTTTCATCATTCTCAGCCTTGCGCAGCTTCGCAGCTCTTCTCTTCAGTAGGATTGGAGCGTATGTCTCGGGAACGGTGAAGGTAATAAGAACCCAGGCGACAAAGGACAAGATGAGCTGAAGCCAATAAAGCCACCTCCAACCACAGTTGTCAGCAAGGAAACCACCGGCAAGAGGACCGATAGCAGGGCCGATGAAAGGCGCGGCACTAAAGGCCGCCATCGGAACACCTCGCTCCTCGTTTTTCCACATATCGGCCAGAGTACCTCCGACCAAAGTCATGGGTGCACTGAAAGCAATGCCGTCGATCAAACGACAGACGATCAAGGTTCCAATATTTTTGGAAACGGCACATGGGATAACAAATACCACAGCAATAAGTAAGGTGATGGCGTAGACTGGACGCCGTCCTACCATTTCAGACATTGGAGCAAAGACCATGGGACCTGGAACAGCGTCAGTAACTTAGATCGATATTTAAGGCGAATCAGAATATCTCACCAACTCCAAATCCAATAACAAAGACCGTAACAACCAGAAAGCTGACCTCTCGAGAGACTCCAAAGGACTCCATGGGTCCTGTCAAATCGGCGGTGATGACACTGCTGGCGAATGCGACGACAAAACAGGTGAAAGCGACGACCATAGTACAGTACCATTTGTACGCTTTCGACCAGTTCTTGGGGTTCTCAGGATCATCGATAGTGAACGTCACCAACTTCCAGTCTTCCATTTTTCCTGTGGCATTGGACTTGACAGGTTTGATGATTTCGCCGGTGCGTGTCTCGGTCGTGTATTCGCGAAGGTCGGCGTCATCGTTGAGTTCTCGAACTGGAAGGTCGAGGTAGTCCATTTGCTCACCAGTGGACCCCACAGAGGCTGTCCGACTGGTGTGGTCTGTGTGGGTCTGCTCTGACCGAGGAGTATCCATATTGATTGTAGTGTGTCGAGCCAGTCAGGAAAGCTGAAGTCTTGGGGTGTGTGTGAGTATTGGATTACTTGAATCAGGAACAGGACTCCAGGGAGGGGCACATAGCACGGTCTTTATACCCCATTCCACGGGATATGCTTCCAAGACCCAAAAACCTACTGTAGCTTCCGTGGGGCGTTATACTACAGAGTAGATTTGATATCGGGACGGCAGACCCACTTTTGATTGGGTTTCCTGATGTGGAAACATGGCGCTAGCCCTTTTTGGCAAGATGTCGCGAAGAATCCACGATGATCATGTTGATTTCTCACGTATGCATGAGCAAATCAAAGGAATCATGCTAATGGTACACAAGAATGGAAATAGAAAGGGTGCAGCTCAAGATCAACGATCGAATTCGAAGCGTGAACTAGCCCATATGCTGTTGAATAACCGATGCTCCCTCAGCCTTAGAGGGATCCAGTCATTCTTCCCTTATCTCTATGGCTTGTTGGGTCCGCTTTCGATCTATGCATGGCCCGGTCAGCATTCCGAGTTCCAGCTTGGCACCATGCACTGCGGGTCTACCTGCGCCCACTAGGGAAATATGGGAAGGTTTCAAGAGAAGAACACCGAGTTTTGATTTCAATAGAGACCACACAGAGATCCATGCATGGACATCCTCCTGAATTCATAGAATAGATCCATCACCAAGCACTCTAACGAGCTGTATGGAGTCCGCATAACAAGTCAATCAATAGTTTGGAGCCATTCTACATAGCCCTCAAAACGAACAAAGAGTTTCTTGTTCAACGTGAAGGCAAAAGACGAACTTGATTGCAAAAGAGATGAAACATCGTCATCTGAACATGTTAGGAGCTTAGCGGAGTGTCTTACCCTTTACGGAAGAACTCTCCGATCCCGGTTGGGCAACTCTTGGCATTCATCCTACCCGTCAGCTCACGCGCCAGGAGGAATTTGGGTTCTAGATCGATCTTTTCTCGGATGAATCTTGGAACTATTGGATGGAATTATTATTGGTGAATCAGGGATTTGAATCTTGCGGCAATTTGGGCCACAATACGTGATGCCATGATGACTCGCCTGCAGGACAAATATTATGATATCATGTCCAGCATACTGCTAGTAAAGTCCCAAAGCATCGAATAGTTAGTCAATGCAGAAGGTTGATACACAATGTTAAGTGTGCAACTTCCTCTCATCTGGGCAAAATTAGTGTTTTAAGGTTATCAATGTTGATTCTCTAATTATTCGTCTCCACTCGGAAAACAAAGTATAACTAACATTGCGGATATAAACCCACTCACCGCGTATCCATCATTGCGGGAACCCACTCAGATGAAAGAGGTATGAGGGTGGATAATGAGGAGATTTTCCACTTGCATATACTTTCTGGTCCCATCCGCACTCCCCACGTTTGCACTTTTTGTTTTAAGCTCGAGTAAAAGTAATGAAGTAATGGCAAGCCTGGAGGATAGCTTAGCCTTTCTGGATTGCTGTGTAATGTATTCAGGGTGTTTCAAGTGAAAGACGTGGCTCCAAGCAGGTAGTGGGCGCATTGATAGAACGCGGTCCAGCGGTCACTTGTTTTCTTTAATGCATGAAAGGGGAGTCCAGCAGGTGCCTGGGTATCGACGTTTGCAAGGGCAAGAGGGTGACCAAGGTTAAGCCAGGGATGGGTAGCGGTTGTGTGGGCGAGCTATGTGATAGCTGGGGCATGAGATGCCGGAGCCAGAGAAACCGTTTTCAGCGTTATCTGACGCTACTTCTCGCAATCTTCAGACCATCGAAAACTACGATGAACACCAAACTTATGGCAAACTCTGGAAATCAATATCTTCCTAAAATACTTAGCACAAGCTCTGCTAGATTTTCCCATGGTAACAAAAAGAAATATTTAGCAATAATTTAATGTCAAAGTAGACTGGTCCTTGTATGAACATTGATGTATTAGGATTTATCTAACGTAGAAGGGTGTAATAATCTCCGGCCTGTTAACTCAGCTGCTTCACCAAAGCTTTCTCCGCGTAGATCCAAATCATTGTCTGATCGCCATCCCCGATTCCATGCTTCATATTTCTTAAGCACAGAGGGATACATGTCCTTTTTCTCGAGTGAATGCACAGGGAACTGCTCTGCCAATGCTGCTATTTGCTTTGGAGCTAAAAGTTGCGCAGACCTCAGAGTCTTAGAATAGATGCGGGCTCCATGGCGCAATAAATTTTCTATGATGCCAATATGCCGGCGAATAATTGCTTCGCCGACCCCACATTCACAGATGCCTGGTAAATCAGGATCTGTTCCTCGTGTTAGGAGAAGTGTGATGATTGCTTCTTGGTTGAATTCGATTGCTTTTACAAAAGCCCGTTCTGGATATTGAAAGCCTTTATCCAATAGCATCTGGAATTTTTCCGTATCACCGACCTCTGCTGCGAGCTCCAAGATATCGAATGTCGATTTGTCGGCTGCGTGTTTGGCGAGGAGCATTTCTAGCGCGTTCTTGTTGCACTGCAAGATGGCTTCACGTATATGTCCATCGCCAATATCGGCACCGTGAGCCAGAAGCCTCCTGGCAACTTCTTCATGGCCTTTCTCAATTGCTAGGCATAAGAGATTCGTCCAGAGAAAAGGAATTCCTGTTTTTATATTGACGTCGGCGCCATTGGCAAGTAAGAATGACACCAGAGCTAAGTGACCTTATCTAGCTGCTACGGAAAGTGCTGCTGATTCATGTCCTTCTCCACCACGTCGATTCAGGGCAGCCCGAGGGATATGTCGTTCAAAGTACTTTTAGTTAATATCTGCCCTATAATCAAGGAGCATCGATACCAAGGCTATATTGCCAGAAACAGCGGCAAATGGCAGAGATGAAGAAGCACAGTCACGGGGGCATGGAGAGCACAATAACAAGTTTCGACCACCTGCATATGTCCTTTTAATGCAGCCTCTTTGATAGGTGCCAAGGTGAATCTTGTGTCTTTATCCATGGGGACTTGGTGCATCGATTCCCTTCTATCAAGTAGGACTTTGATAACCGAGAGGAACCCGCTTTTTGCTGCCAAGTGCATTGGTGTTTCGCCTACTTTGTTCTCAAAGTCTGGTCTTGCGCCCATACGTAGAAGATAATTGACAAGATCTGGATACCCATATTCAGTAGCAAAAAATATTGTCAATGGGACACGAACACGGGGCGAATGATTCAGGTTCCTGTGAGTGGGCCTCCTCATGAACAGGTCGGTCTGCCACAAGATACCCCTCTTTAATAAATTGGGCTACCGCATGGATTGAGCCTAGCCTGGCTGCTCGAAGGACACCATATCCGTTCTCGTGATAAAGATTGTATCGATATAAGCGGTGTGTTACCACAAGATGGAAGCGACGGTTCACTTGTACCAGCGCGGCGAGATCATTTTGTGTGGGCAATTGCCGCCCAATCAGTAGTAAAACTTCGTTCGACATGGTGAAAATCGATATTTTGATGAAAGTTGCAAGGAGCAGTTTTTGTGATATAGATGATCTCGCCGGTCATTCCTCGCCACCCAGGGTATGAGCGTTGACAAGGACTAGGTGGCCGCTGGCCCGCTGGCGGGACTGTCGGTAGGTACTTAACCTCTCCCCAGAAAGAAAGAAAAAAGAAAAAAAAAAAAAAAAAATGTCAAACGGGCCAACTTCTGCGAATAATGTTCTATACAGAATACTATACTGCTCTATGACTGAATTTTTTAGATTTTCCAACCCCGATCATTGCTAATTCACTTCGAGGCCGTATACTAATCAGCACGTGACACGCCGATAAGCGCCGTAATCGGATTAGGGCGGGGCCACTCACTTTTTGCAAAAAAGTTTAGAGTCATCGCGGGGTTTTTTTCTTTGCTCAAGCTAAAACTTGAGAGGCCAATCCTCCTTTATCCCGAGGGAGGGCATTTTCTGATTCAACTTTGAATCATCGGGGTAATCTTCGCCATGACTTCCACCGATTCCTACATTGCCATCCCGGGCTCGGTGGCGTACTCCCGCTCTCGCGGTCATGCCATTGCTGCGAGCTTGGGTGTCAAGGATGTCCGAGCCCAGTGGGTTCACTACGTGCATACCTCGCAGCCCCTCAATGATGCACAGCGTGCCGTTCTTGAGCAACTGCTGAAATACGGCGACATCACCGATATTCCCCCCACCTTCAACTCCGCCGATGGTCAATTCGAGACCTTCTACATTTTCCCCCGAACCGGAACCATCTCGCCATGGAGCTCTCAGGCTACTGGTATCGCCCACGTTTGTGGTCTGCGCCAGTCTGTCGTGCGTATCGAGCGTGGTCTGAAGATCTCATGCCTTCGTGAGGCAGCTCAAGAATACAAGGACGGTTACAAGGATCTTCTGCATGATCGCATGACTCAGATCATCAGCGACGAGGAGCCTGACCTGCAACTGATGTTCTCTGAGCACGCTACTCAGCCTTTAAAGACTATCTCCTTGCAGGGTGGTGACAAGTCTCCCAAGCAGATTCTCCAGGAGGCCAACAAGGAATTGGGTCTTGCTCTGGATGACTCTGAGATTGAGTACTTGGCTGAGGCTTATGGCCCGAATGGTGCTATTGCCCGTGACCCTACTGATGTCGAGCTGTTCATGTTTGCCCAGGTTAACTCAGAGCACTGTCGCCACAAGCAATTCAACGCCTCGTGGGTCATCGATGGCAAGCAGATGCCCAACAGCCTCTTCGCCATGATCCGCAACACCCACAAGAAACACCCCGAACACACCGTCAGCGCTTACAGTGACAACTCTGCTGTGCTGGAGGGTTCCGAAGCCGCTTTCTGGGCTCCTGACCCGACCACCGGAGAGTGGATGCACACCAAGGAAGTCGTTCACTTCTTGGCCAAGGTCGAAACCCACAACCACCCCACTGCTGTTTCCCCCTACCCGGGTGCCGCTACCGGTGCCGGTGGTGAGATTCGTGACGAAGGTGCTACCGGTCGTGGCTCTCGCCCCAAGGCCGGTCTTTCCGGCTTCTGTGTCTCTGACCTCTTGATTCCCGGCTTCAAGCAGCCCTGGGAGATGGACGTCGGCAGGCCAAACCACATCGCAAGCAGCTTGGATATTATGCTGGAGGCTCCTATTGGTAGCGCTGCTTACAACAATGAGTTTGGTCGTCCTTGCACTGGTGGTTACTTCCGCACACTCCTCACTGAAATTGATGTTGGCAATGGCCAGAAGGAGATTCGTGGATACCACAAGCCCATCATGATTGCTGGTGGTGTCGGTACCGTTCGTCCTCAGCACGCCTTGAAGAACCCTGATATTGTCAAGCCTGGTTCTTTCCTTGTTGTCCTGGGTGGCCCAGCCATGCTGATTGGTCTTGGAGGTGGTGCTGCCTCTAGTATTACTTCTGGTGAGGGGTCTGCAGACCTTGACTTCGCCAGTGTTCAGAGAGGAAACGCTGAGGTCCAGCGCCGAGCTCAGGAGGTCATCAACGCCTGTGTTGCAATGGGCGACCACAACCCCATTAAGTTCATCCACGATGTTGGTGCCGGTGGCTTGTCCAACGCCCTTCCCGAGCTGATCCACGATTCTGGCCTGGGAGCCAAATTCGAGCTGCGTGAGGTCGATAGCACCGACAAGAGCATGAGCCCCATGCAAATCTGGTGCTGTGAAGCTCAGGAGCGCTACGTTCTTGCCGTTGGCGAGGAAAGTATGAACAAGTTCACTGCTATTGCTCAGCGTGAACGCTGCGGTTTCTCTGTGGTTGGCCGTGGCGGTGGTGATTCCGAGGAGGAGAAGAGACTGATCCTGCTGGATCGCGATTCTAAGGAGTACCCCTCTCCCATCGATCTGCCCTTGTCTGTGCTCTTTGGCAAGCCTCCTCGCATGACCAGAACTGTCGACTCGCGCAAGCTGACCTTGCCCGCTGTGGACTCCAGCCTCGTCAAGTACCTGCCTTCGCTCTCTACTAAGGTGGAGCTGGTCAGCGAGGCCGTCAACAGAGTTTTGTCCTTGCCTGCCGTTGGCTCCAAGTCTTTCCTGATCACTATTGGTGACCGTACCGTCGGTGGTCTTACTGCCCGTGACCAGATGGTCGGCCCGTGGCAGACTCCTGTTGCCGACGTTTCGGTTACTGCCACCTCTCTGCTCCAGGGTGTTAAGACTGGTGAGGCTATGTCCATGGGTGAGAAGCCTACTCTGGCTCTGATCTCTCCGGCTGCTTCCGCTCGCATGGCCGTTGCCGAGTCTCTAATGAACCTTGCCGCCGCTGATCTGGTGGACCGCCTCAGCCAAGTCAAGCTTTCCGCCAACTGGATGTCTGCCAGTAGCCACCCCGGTGAGGGCGCTGCTATCTACGAGGCCGTTGAGGCTATCGGCTTGGATCTCTGCCCCAAGCTTGGAATCAGTATCCCTGTTGGAAAGGACTCAATGTCCATGAAGATGAAGTGGAAGGACGAGGCCTCGAATGAGGCCAAGGAGGTTACCGCGCCTATGTCGTGTGTCATCTCTGCCTTCGCTCCTGTCGCCGATTTCCGCAAGACCTGGACTCCCGCCCTCCGCAGCTATGAGGAGGTCGGAGAGACTGTTCTCATGTTTGTTGACCTTGCCTTTGGTCGTAAGGCCCTTGGTGGCTCGGCTCTTGCTCAGGTCTTCGGCGAAGTTGGTGCTGAGTGCCCTGACATCCGCAATGTCGAGATCTTCCGTGACTATTTCGATGCTACCCAGCAGCTCCAGGAGTCTGGCATCGTTCTGGCCTACCACGACCGATCCGATGGTGGTCTTTTGACCACTCTTGCTGAGATGATGTTCGCCGGTCGCTGTGGTGTTGAGATTATGACCGACAACGTCGCCGCCTCCTTCCACACCCCGGATGTTGTCGAGGCACTCTTTAACGAGGAACTCGGTGCCGTCTTCCAAGTTCGCAAGGAGCACGAGATTCAGTTCCGTTCCTGCTTCGCCACTTGCGGCCCCCCTGCCGGTCTGATTCACAAGATTGGTCGCGTCTCTGAAAAGAAGAAGCAGGACCTTGTCATCTACCACAAGGCTTCCCTGATCTACCGCAACACTCGTGCCAACCTGCAGCAGACCTGGGCCAAGACCTCCTACCACATGCAGAAGATCCGTGACAACGCCGAGTGTGCTGAGCAGGAGTTCGAGAACATCCTCGACAACACCAATCCTGGTCTGTCCTGGAACCCCTCCTTCGACCCCAAGGACCGCGGACTGCCCTTCATGACCAGCCTTTCTCAGTATTCGCCCTTCACCAACAAGCCTCGCGTCGCCATTCTGCGTGAGCAGGGTGTTAACAGTCAGGCCGAGATGGCCTTCGCCTTCCAGACTGCCGGCTTCTCTGCTGTGGATGTCCACATGACCGACATCATCTCCGGCCGTGTCTCCCTGGCCAGCTTCGCCGGTCTCGCTGCCTGCGGTGGTTTCTCCTACGGTGACGTCCTGGGTGCCGGTCAAGGTTGGGCCAAGTCCGTTCTCCTGCACGAGAACACCCGCAAGGAGTTCCAGGCCTTCTTCGAGCGCCCCGACACCTTCGCTCTCGGTGTCTGCAACGGTTGTCAGTTCCTGTCTCGCGTGAAGGAGCTGATCCCCGGTACCCGCAACTGGCCCAGCTTTGAGCGTAACACCAGCGAGCAGTACGAGGGCCGTGTCTGCATGGTCCGCATCTCAGACCCTGACCCGTCGCGCCCCAGTGTCTTCTTCCACGGTATGGACGGATCTTCGCTCCCCATTGCCGTTGCCCACGGTGAGGGCCGTGCCTCGTTCGCCGGTACCCCCGGTACCTCTGCAACGGACTTTGTCCGCGAGGGTCTTGCCCCTGTTCGCTTCGTCGACAACGCCACCCTCAAGCCTACTACCCGCTACCCCTTCAACCCCAACGGTAGTCCCGAGGGTATTGCCGGTGTGCGTAGCCCCGACGGCCGTGTCCTGGCCATCATGCCTCACCCTGAGCGTACTGTCATGAACGGTATTGCCAGTTATTTGCCGCAGGCTGCTGAGAACTGGGGAGACGTTGGTCCTTGGGGACGTATCTTCTTCAGTGCCAGACGCTGGGTCGGTTAAGAGGCTTATGATAGCCTTGATGTTGTTTTCAAATTTATGCCATTGTGCTATGTTTCTATGTTGATATTTGTTTTTCGGTTCATGGTTATATTGGAGTGGAAGGGTTAAAAGCATTAACGAAACAGACAAACAGGACGCCCGCGATAAGAGGCATTGAACATGCCGGTCTTCCACCGTAAAGATAGTAAAGATATACCAAAATTTAGCAAAATATACTCCAGTTTACTTCACCATTCTTTTTCCTACTTGTATTTCTTCTTACAAAGTAAATAAAAGGAGAGTCTAGTGTAAGTAGTAGGGGATAGTTCCCTATTTTTATTGAATTCATGAAATGCATATTCGTCATAGATCATAAAGTCATCAACATCGAAACTTTCGTCTCTGTTTAAGCCAAACGCTTCCTCCACTCCAGCCTTTCCGCCAGAATATTCCAGCTTGGCAGACCATCTGCACGAGCAATCCCCTTCAGTCCATCCGTAACAAACCCGACCAAGTGGTCAAAGTGGAGCCTCAGGTTCCGCATCTGGAGATCATACGGCGACTCTCTGAACGAGATTGTCATAGTTTGTTCATGGTCAAGACCATCATCCTCATCCTCGTCTGAATCACTATCAAAGGAATTATCGATCCCTGTACTGCGCCGCGATTTACTCGGGATGAAACGGGAATCAGACACCCCATCTTCCGAAGCAGTTGTCTCATATGCGTGTACAGCCTGTAAATCTGCAAAATGAATGCACATGTCCAGAATGTTGACTATGACCTCATGGATAGGAGATAGGTTCTCTGAAAGAAGACACTCGTTTTCAAGAGAGGACATATAAGCCTGATGAGCGGCGATCATGGTATCCACATCGTCTGTGTGGGAAAGGGTGGAGCGGAATGATTGGTTTGCAGTTGATATCACGAAATAGGTAAGGTGTGAGTAGAGGATATCGAGGAACCAGAGGAGGTGATGGTGGAGACCATGGACGAGGGTCTGCGCGGTATCATCAGTGGAGACACGCGCATCTCGTACACGTTGTCTTACAAGGGCGTATTTTGCACGTCGAATTTGCATAAGGAATCTGGCGATGCGCTGATATGACTGGATTGCGACTTGAGTGATAATGTTGGCTATGGGCCATGGTAAGACGTAGTCAATGGATACAGATTCGAGGATGTGGACGGATCGATTCTGATCGTGGTGTGAGGACCCTTCAGATCGCACAACAAGCCTAGATGGATCAATTTCAGGCATAACGCTGAACGCTGACCGAGTCACTTCGGTGAGCAGGAACTTGTCATCCCATGCGCGACCTCGGTCCATCAATTCGAAGACCTTGGTGTCGATTGTTCCCAATATGCTCAGATCTTTTCCGAGGTACACATGCTCCAATGCATCGAGAGAGCTCCAGAGACCGCATTGCTCATCTAGTTCGGTCCGTAATATACCAGCACTGACGGAGTTGTTGGCATCAACTAATTTGTCAAATGTCAAGTCCACTAACGCAGCGAATGGAAGGGATATAAAGGATATTTCGGAGGATATGGCATGATCAAAGATTGTTTCAGCGGTTTCCGAGAACTCTGGTTGTTCAGGAAGTGCGTTCAAATGCCGCAAGAAGACCATGCTCTTTCCCGTTGTGAATACCCTGTTGACGGCAGGCTCTAGGAACTGAGGGATGTTCTGTCGATTGACTCCTTCGTCAAGCAAATGCCAGTCATGCCATAAGGTTCGCAAATCTCCATTCTCTCGATTAACTCGCACGAAGAAAGCAGTGTCCATGGGATCGACTTGTCCAGTCTCCATCCAAAGCTGAATGGAACGACAGTATGTCTTGAAGCACGAAAAGAAGAGCGCACTGAGCCTTCTAGTTGCATTGTCATCACCAAGGGCTTCTTGCATGCATACCGAATCAAAGAGCAAGTCGAGGCACCGTATTGGTTGTGTATGATCTTGGTTCAATCTGGCAATAAGATCGGCAAGAACGAGTAGATGATGAGAATGCAGGCGGACGTCGTCTAATAGCTGGAGAAGACTGACTGTCGAGCCAGGGGATAGATATTTACATTGTATTTGAGAAAGGAGAGTGTTAAACTCGAGTAGACGTTCTTCAAGGCCCCGGCTGAAGGTCTGCATATAGGGGATCGTCTGTGGAATGTGGGTGAACCGTCGTACGGCATCAAGTTTAGCACCAATCTCGGTAAAAGAGTGTAATAATGAGGCTAAGACTTTGCTGGATGAATGTGCAAGATTATAACTGCGATCCACTTCAATATCGTCATCCAGGCGCCAGAAGATGGAGGTTGGCAGGCCCTGCAGCATGAAGATGGTTTCTCTAGCCAGCTGCAGTTCAGTAATGACTCGAGATGGATTTTCGTCCTGCTGAGTAACTTGATGATAATTCTCTGGTTTCCAAAATTGGACTTTTTCTATAGAGGCGATGAGTTCACGGTCTTCTCCCGGAACAAAGACCTCGTCTGGAATGACGTAGTCCTGTTCTGAGAGACTGGGGGTCCGAGGCGGGGCTCGAGGACGCGACTCTTCGCTGGAGACCGAAGCTAATTCATCATCTGATGAGTCTGCCGTGAAGTCCACCTGCTCCCATATGTCTTCCTCACTGAAAGCACCGCCCAGGCCCTTCAAGTCAGACAATGACAGTGATTCCTCGGCCAGTGGCTGGATTGGTTTGGAAAGATTATCCAGTTTGGCCAATGCAGCCGGGCGATCGGATAGTTGCAAGAGTAAGCTCAGGATCTCTGGGGTCCAGTTGCTTCGATAACTCTCTAATTCCACGAGGCGTCCCCGCAAAGCCTCGGCCAGTTCATCTCGATTGACGACCTGGAATTTCTCCTGTAGACCTTCCAGCTGGCGGGCCACCACAAATTGATCAGTGAGACTATGGCCACTTGGGCGTAGAGATGCCTGAGCACGGCGCCTGATATTCAAGACGCGCGTAGACTCCTAAACACGTAATGAGCGCCAAGTCCCGCAAGAAAACAATCGAATACTTACTTTCTGATCGGCGGGGAATTTGACGACGGCGGTGACCAAGTCATCGGTCAAAGACCCCAGGGCTGCAAGACCCATGATGGACCCTAATATCAGAATAAGATCTAAATCAAGAGGAGTGCGCTAAATGTGGATAAAGGTGGTTAAAAATGGCTCGCAAAGCCAACTGGATGACGCGGCGGCACCTAGACCTGAAGGAGTAAAGTGGCTCCGGAGTTCCCTAGTACACGGTTTCTTCCCCCCTTTCACATCTTATCACTCACCACCCATCATGGCGATCGCACGTCCGATTCGCATGTTAGGCGCTGCGTGCGTCCTACTGACTCTATTTCTCATCTTCAATCTACGCCAATCCGCTGATCAACCCACTTCCAAATTGACAAATGGAATGACTCGGGATCCCCTTCTAGATCGTGCGTTTCTTTGCCACTCCCACGTTCGCATCTATCCAACAGCCACAGCATTACTGACCTTTATGAAATAGCCACGGGTGAACCGGACGGACACTTATGGCGAGCCGACGAACACGATTATTCTCCCGATAGCGCAGAATCGGCGCGCACCAATGCCGCCCTGATCACGCTGGTGCGCAATGAGGAACTCAACGACTTGCTCAAGACCATGCGCGACCTCGAGCGCACCTGGAACAGCAAGTTCAACTATCCCTACATCTTCTTCAATGATGTCCCTTTCACCGAGGAATTCAAGCAGAAGACTCGGGCCGCCACCAAGGCCGTCGTTCAATATGGTTCGCCTCTCTCCCCCAAATCGGTCTATACATTTATTTTCTCAATTCCAGAGCCTATCTAACTGTTTGGTCTACAGAATTGGTTCCCAAGGAGCACTGGGAGGTCCCTGACTGGATCAACATGGATCTTTTCCGCGAGTCCGCCCAGATGCTGGAGGAGCAGAACATCCAGTACGCGTCGAAGATTTCCTATCACCAAATGTGTCGCTGGAACAGCGGCTTGTTTTACAAGCACCCCGCCCTCGAGAAATACCGCTACTACTGGCGCATTGAGCCCAAGGTCCAATTCTTCTGCGATGTTGACTATGACGTCTTCCGCTACATGGAGGATCGCAACAAGACCTATGGATTCACCATCAACCTCTACGATGCCCCTCAGACCATCGCGACCCTCTGGCCCCAGACTAAGAAGTTCTTGGCTGCCAACCCGACGTATCTGAGCGATAACAACATGTGGGATTGGATTACCGATGATCAGGCTCGCCCTGAGCACAACGAGATGGCCAATGGTTACTCCACCTGTCACTTCTGGTCCAACTTTGAGATTGGTGACTTAGATTTCTTCCGTGGTGAAAAATACGAGGCCTACTTCCAGCACCTTGACCGCGCTGGTGGCTTCTTCTACGAGCGCTGGGGTGATGCGCCCGTCCACTCTCTCGGTATCGGTCTTTTCGCCGACTCCAACAATGTACACTGGTATGCTACCCCTAATTATACCCCCCTATAACCCCCGTTTTAAGCATCACACTAATCATTATTTAGGTTCCGTGATATTGGATACAACCATATTCCTTACTACAACTGTCCCAACTCACCCAAGTGCTCCGGATGCCAGGCCGGCCAGTTCTTCGGTGGTGCCGACTGGTTGTCCAAGGAAGACTGCCGTCCGACCTACTTCAAGTACGTTGGAACGCACTAAGTGATAGACCCTGACGGTGATCTACTGAGACCCTGTCATTTTGATGATGATAACCTTGCATTATCTTTCGCATACCTGATGAGTATATTTTCCCGACACTCGGTGGCTTGGGTACCCGGCGTTTTGAGCGGACACATACCTATTGATGAAATATTGTGCCCTTTCCCATTTGGATTTCCTTTTCCCCTTCCTTTTAAACCAGGGTTTCGTTTTTCCTCTGTTGTCTTATAAATCACGTTCATCGTGGATGTTGTCTGTTGAGAGTTGAAGCCGGTCTGGCCTTCTTTGTACTTATATTGATTGCACATTGCCAAATTCCTTGGATGTGAATTCCTTCTATATGTGAGCTTTGTGGCCCTGTTTCATCGCCTGTTTCGTACCCAAGATATCTGCATGCTCAAGCACAGAGATTAGATTTTGTTTCATGACGAACCGAGCCTTGGAGCTGAGCCTTGTATGAAGAATAACCTGCGACATTTACGATAGTCATAATTTGGTAAAAAAAAAAAAAAGGAACTGAAGAAACACGACAAAGATGAATTAAGCACCATTCATGGTACACAAGACCCTTTTCCAGACAACGGCACTAACAACACAGGAGATCTCTAAAAGTATGTATACAGCTTTCAATCTTCTACCCGATCAGCGTCCCAACCAACGCGAACGGATGCGCATGATTATAGCCATCGGTGACACGGGGGAAGTTTGTGTGGGTACGGTACGGAGTGAGAAAGAAAGAAAATTGATGAGGCGCGGGGGGATTTGGTGTAAGAACACAAGACAGAATTCAAGACGCTAAATTTACTCCTCCTGGGGGAAGAGCTCTTCCCGGAGAGCAACACCAAGCTGCTGGCGCAGACCCTCAAGGGCCTCGAGGTATTGCTTGTACTGTTCCTGGTTCTCGACCTTGGCCTTGATGCCTGTGAAAGTGGGTTAGTCATCGTATGATACTATAGCGGGGGTGGATTCGGGCATGCAATATTCAAGCGATATTGCATTTCGCCCTGATGGGGTGTCGCATACCCTCGAAAACGCGGACGGCAGTGGGGTAGTCGTTGACACGGCGAGCGGCGTGGAGAGCCGCGGTGAGGACCTCAACGGAGGGAACGAGATCGTAGGCGAAGCAGTTGTTCAGGTTGCGCTGAACGAGGACTTCCATTTAGCGTTTATCTCAGGGACAATGGGAGGAATAACGATAGAAATTGACGATCGGGCAAGATCGGCCACAGATATCGCATCCGTTCCGGGGAAGGGTGGGTTGATTCAATCTTACCTGAAGCTCGAAAACATCCTGCACACCCTCGAACTCCTTCTCAAATCTGCAATTGAGACACACAGTCAGCATATCCAGTTCTCATCAGAGACTAGCATTGATATAGGGTCAGGAAGCGCCTGAGCGCCAACTCCCGACCCTGTCCCCTCTCCATTCCGAGTTCCACCGATGCTAATGGCAGGCGAGATGTATCGTACCGTGCGGAGAACTCCTCGTATGTCTCATCCTCGTGGCCGGAGGAGAGCTTAGCGGTGGTGCCGAAAGTGCGGGCGCGGGCGGCCATGGTAATGGGGGTCTGCACCCGGGAGCGGACCAGAGGAGCTCGGACGAAGCTGGCAGGGCGGACGGCGCGGGTCGCGAGACGGAAGACAGAGAAAGACGACATGGCGGGTCGGTAGGTTGGACCGGAGTCAATTGGAGGGAGGTGATGAGGGGAGAGTGGATGGAGACGGGGAAGGGAGAGGACGAAGTTGTCGTGTACCCGGCTGGATTTTGCGGGTGGTGTGGTGTCGTTGCCTCAGGCCATGCTGAGTCATCGCGCCGACATGGCCCGGCGCCGTTTGATCTCAAACACTTGCTGGTGATTGGTGGAGCCATACTTGACAGCTTCCTGTGCGTGTCATATCCGCTCTACAATTGCATGGCTTTGAGCTCATGGGCGTGTTTATGAACTGTAATTGATAGGAATCGACTCATGACTACATATTGTGGATGACAGAAATTATGCTTGTGCCTCATTGACAAGGTTCCTGGTAAAAAATGATCGTCCAATAGGAGAAACGCTAATATATATTGTCTAGTCTTCGGGGAAACAGTCGGGCGGCGCGATTCCCGTCTTACTCTCGGCACATCTTACCTTTGCCCCCAGGAACACAGCGAGACCTCGCATTGGAAGAGAGATCGAGCAATTGACCAGATAGACAGGGACATAAAGCTCAAAAAACAGAACTAGAAAGTCAGATGCGCTTAAAGATCAATATTAAAGCGATGCCCAGATAAAATGAATCCATGTATCAATAGATCATACGACTGCCCATATTACTTTCAGTTCTTTCTGACAATACTCCTTATCATACTTTATTCTAGTGCTTCCTTCCAAAACTACGAAGGTCCCTAAGGGACTATTTCATTCTGTCCTCGGTCTCCTTTCCCTTAGAACGGCATACCTCAGTGATCGCGCGTTCATATGAGGAACAATGATGGTGTGCTCATTTTGAACCACGCGTGGCAGCTTGTGTCGGCCCTAACATCGGCAATGCCAATATTAGATATAGATCCACTATATGCCTTTTTTGTGTGTGTTCAAAATTTACCTATTCGGGAATGAGTCCTACCTCTATCTGGCCGGAGAGTGGAGGATCGCGGTGAGGAATCGCGGGAAAGGTTTCGGAGGTTTGCCGTTTCCAACTTTGAAGAAGTAATACATATTCTCACGATTCATCATAAAGAGAGAAATGATAAGCAATAACAAAATGCAGAGCATGATGTCCAGGTCATGTCAAGTGGCCCCATAAGGCCAATTAAGACGCTGAAGCAGCAAGCATGATAGCCACGCACAATACTTCAGAAGAGAAGAAAACTGTAAGGTTTTCCGAGGAGCATTCGTGGAGGTTACATTGGGTTGGGGAAGGAAGGAAAGTTTTCAGGAAGCAGAATATGTCATTGACTATTGGTATTTTGGAGTTAGTGTGCTTGTCTCACTTTGCCCTTGGAACATAAACTATCTCATACCTTATGATTGATAAGAAAGAATCTTTGAAGTTACTGAACTGTTGAGCTAAAGTAGGAAAATAAACCTTACTTGGCTCTCACTTCCTACTTATATATTGCTGTCCCTCCCTGCCCTCACTTACTTACCTCACTTCTTACTAGCTGACTGAATTGCAGTCATAGATCGAGATAAGATCAGCCATATTAAAGATATCTACATTAATGTAGCTCGCTCCAAAGCTTCTATGGAAAATCACAGGCCCAAAGAAATCAGCATATGTCATAGCATAATCTAGCTCATCTCCACCTAGGTCTACTTCACATAAGAAATCCACCCCTGGCTACCTATTCTCATAATACAGTCATTCAGAGACCCCGAAATATAGCCCCCGGAACATAATTCCGAACAGATTTTGGAAGTTTTTTGGGGTTTTCTGGAATACTAAGTCACTCAGACACCAAGAACTGAGCTAGTGTACCTATCTTTTTTGACGGCAAGGAAATGAGAATGAATAAAGCGATGTAGGCCAGGAAGACTAGTTTGAGTGATCCTTTCTCTGCTTTGGACATGTTTTTGTTCTATTTTACCGCAAAACACTCCGACTTTGGCATTATTGAGGGTTTTCTATTGAAGTTCGGGTTGGTCTTCCCTAAAAACGATTAACATCGCAATGTAGAGATTCATTGACCTTGTAAGGGTGTACTTGAGTCTGACAGCCCGCGTGGTCTAGTGGGAGCCCAACTTGGAATTTGGAGGGCAATAATCTATGGATATATGACCCCCACTATGGTACCACGAGCGTCGTAAGCGGTCTCTCCGCAGGTTAGACGTTGAATTCCTTTAATTGACCCTAATCAAATTAGTCGCGCCTCTCACTAGGTGTCGTTTGTACCAAATCAATGGACAAATTTTCGTGGAGGTTGCCTGGAAGTGCAAGTGAGGCTATTCAATGAATACTATCTTCGATGTACCCCGTGACTTGAGGCCCACATCGATTTCTGGAGCTTAAGCACCTGCCAAGGTAAGTTCAACTCTGCAAGAGCCCCTCCCAATTGGTTACACCGACTATGCTAGGCAGGATGAGGCTTAAAGAGTATGGACTTCTTTCACGTAGTTATCCGGCCAGGTTGCACGAACCATATAGTGGCACGTAGTGTTCTTACAGTCTGGTAGTCAAGTGTAATTTCAACCAACTGGAATAGACCTATGGATGACCAGGATCCTAACATCTTATGTCGTTATAATTATGAGTGAAAATAGGGTGATATCTGAAGAGCCGAAGTGTGAGTGAACTTCCATTGTCCAATGGGAGACATGGGATTAGATATTTCAACGTGGGAAAAACAAAACCGAAAAAATGATTGGGTGTCGTTTATTGAGCTTCTTACTACGTTCTCATGTAAAATTTTTTATTTGAATTCAACAAATGATTAACTGTATAAATTACCTCATGGCAATGCAAATGTATGTTACTAGGGGCCTCAGGAGGTTAGGCGTGTACCTGAATGAGGCGGTACCTGGAAGTTTAATAATCAGGGTCTATGGATCCATTTGAGAATCTACACCGAGTTAGTCCCAGGTGCGGAGATTGCCTCGGGCTCTACGATCAATAATCGAAGCCTTACCCGCATCGGCTGGGGTACTTGGCCACAAAAAGGGGTAATGCAGCCTCGGCTGGGGGAGTATAGGATCCCATTGTGGATGGTGCACAATTCCTAGTGATGGGGGCCTGATTGTAACCCTGTAGGAATTTCAAGAAATCACCGATAAACTCAGCTAGACACGAGGGAGGATGCTGCAATGGTCAAATTGAATCCTACCTAAAATCAATTTTCTCATAATAAAAGAAAAGACTCGGGGCTAATCCCCGCAAACAGTAATGCGCATGTGACACTCCCGAGTACACTTTTCACCATAACTACCACCAGAACAGACCACAGATCTTGTAGCGGATATCAGAAGGGATTAAATTCAAAGAGTTCGATAAGATTATAATGACCTGATCTGCATAAAATGGTTGAGGGCAATGGCTCGTTTTGTCCGGAACAGAACGGCTGCTGATTTTCCCCCTTTTACGGCGACGCTAGGCCCCATTGGGAACTCAGCGGACGCGCCGGACGCAAAAAGTAACTTGTTCTCCTGTTTGTCTTTTCTTTCTTACAACGTCGGTCCTTTCCATTTCTTTTTTGTTGACTGCGTGCGAGAAAAGGACTTCCATTTCCTTGACTCGGCCTCTTCATTAATACTTTTTTAATTTTTCTTTCTCCCTCGGCCTCATTGTCCATCGCATCGGACCCCCGTTCACCATGGCAGCCGAGATTCTCCAGAATGTGCCCCTCCCGTCCATTGATCGGCCATTTGGCGTGCACCTGTGGCCTATCTTCGATAAGGCCTTTGAAGTGGTCAATGGATACCCGGCCAGCGAGTTCAAGTTCCAGGAGGGTGTGACCCCCATGTCCACTCTCAAGGAGACCGCGATGATGATGGTTACCTACTACGTGGTGATTTTCGGTGGCCGTGAGGTCATGAAGAAACTCCCCGCCTTCAAGCTTAACACTCTATTCATGATTCACAACCTGATCTTGACTATCATCAGTGGTGTCCTGCTGGTCCTGTTCTTGGAGCAGCTGATCCCCACCCTCTGGAACCACGGCGTTTTCTACGCTATCTGTGACCACAATGGTGGTTGGACCCAGCCTCTCATTGTTCTCTACTACGTAAGTATCAAATTGCGCATATATGTTGAAGAGCGATGTCACTGACCTCAATCCTTTAATAGCTGAACTACCTCAACAAGTACTGGGAGTTCATCGACACCGTTTTCCTTGTCCTCAAGAAGAAGCCCCTGACCTTCCTCCACACCTACCACCACGGTGCCACTGCTCTTCTGTGCTACACTCAGCTTATTGGTCTGACTGCTGTGCAATGGGTTCCCATCACCATCAACCTGCTGGTCCACGTTGTGATGTACTGGTACTACTTCCAGAGTGCCCGTGGTGTCCGTATCTGGTGGAAGAAGTACATCACCATGCTGCAGATCCTCCAGTTCGTCATTGACGTCGGTAAGTACACCTGGACTTGATTTCTATCTACTATCCTTATGCTAATGACTGCGCACAGGCTTCATCTACTTCGCTTCTTACAGCTACTTCTCCTCCACCTACTTCCCCTGGGCTCCTAGCGTGGGCAGCTGCGCCGGTGAGGAGTTCGCCGCTTTCGCCGGTATTGCTATTATCACCTCGTACTTGTTCCTCTTCATTGGATTCTACATCGCCACCTACAAGAAGGAGGTTAAGGTCGGCCGTCCCCGTCGCAACACCGGCAAGAAGTCCCTGATCGACATGAAGAACTTCGAGATCCCCTCCCCCGTTGCCGGCGCCAAGTCCAACGGCTCTGCCTCCTCCACCGGCCGCTCCAACGGCCCGGTCACTCGCTCCCGCAAGGCATAAGTGACTTGCTGAATTCCTATTCAATGCGCTTTAGTCGCGCATGTGGAGTGGCAAGATGAGCATTGCCTTGAGTACGGCGAGTGCATTGAACCACCCAAAATAATAGGACAGAAAGTTATACGAACATTTTCGTACCTCGAACATGCGAGCAGGAGCTGAAGGACGCTGTCCCTGCTCCATGATGATTCACTTTCTAATTGTTTTTAATGAACGACCTTTCACGATGCCAGGCTCGACGGTCTGGCGGTCTATGCGACATGGGCTTTGTGAGAAATGGTATGTCGGGGGGATTGATGTCCGATGTCGGGAGAGGGAAATCAACCCCTGGGACTAGGCATTTTCTTTCTTCATTTTTCTTCATTCGAACGGGCTTTCGGAAAGTCTCAGTTCGGTTGTATTTTATAATGTCATTTTCTGTTCATGTTTGTCGTTGTTACCCTTTAGCCTGCTGGCGGCGGGCCTTTTGACTGCCCTTTGTTAGCAATATAGATATTAAGCCACATACTAAAAATAATCATTATGCGAAATTTGATCGGATCATTAGTAACTCGGTGGTTGGGTTTGCAACCTACGCAAGGAATACCAGCATGGCATTTGCATTTGCATGGCTCCAGTTCATATTGCAATGGACCGTGTAGACTTGCAGGTCATTTTTTCCCGCATAGTGCAGCATAGATCCGAGGGGGATGAATCCATATGATAGAACGAAGCGAACAACAAAAGAAAATGGAGCACTTACCATGGTCCTCTACCATAATCCCTCAAAGCTTCATCACATTGGCAAAAGCAAAACAAATATACTGCGTTGATGGGGAAACGAAGAGTTGAAGCTCAATGTGCGGCATCACATTGTCGGTCCCACAGACATGCAGGAACTGACCCGGGGTGTAGATCCATGCATGAACAGGCGTGTGCAACGGGGGACAAATAAACGCCACGAAGTGACTGATCCAACATCGGCATGGCAAGCATGGCAGCTCCGAGAAGGAGATAGAGATCATCCTCTCAACTTGATTCGAAATCAAACCCGCCTTCCTTCCAGCCATCCATTGAAGACGAGTATGGTAAACCTTTGGATCGGAGGCCGATCAGATCCATCCGGCGCACGGCGTGGTCAATCATTGAGATATTTAATCTTTGTTGAACTTTCTTCCAGCCTTTCCTCGTCATCCCAGCCACGACAACGTAATGGGAGATAGGAGCAAATGTGGAGTGCAGCAGCGTGCAGTGACAGGTCGTTCGCCAGCCATCCACGCAGCGTGGCCGGGAGATATTCAATAGTCTGTAGATCCGAAGCCAAAGTGATACGTTCGGACCTTATGCCTCTGGCTTTGGGAATTCGGAAGGTTAGACGATTCGATAAAGATGTGCCTTGCTTGTGTACCCGTAACCAAGCCAGTAAGCATGTAGAGGAATGACAAAAATTGGCTGGGGTAAGCCCGAGGCCGAGTGTATGTATGCAGGGCCCACGCAACCGGGGCATGGCCATGGCGTCGAGCACAGACAAAGCACAAGCACAAGCTAGAAATAAGAGTTTTCATACCAACGGGGCATGGCGAGTCGCCGGGAGTCCGGAGACATGGCGGACCAGACCAATTCAAAAGTTGATTAGGGGATGAATGTCGGTAGATGGAGTAGTTTAAAGTCAGACAATACGAAACAGTGGACTCGGGGCCGGCGGTTATAACGGCATGCGTTCCAGTTCTGCATGAATACGTATATAGCGGAGTATCAATACTTCATGTGGGAACCACGCCGCTGTCAGATAGAAGGTTGGGTCTGTTGAGGAAGTTCCTGTCGATCAAGTTTTTGAGGACAAGGTTTTCAATTAGCTCCGGAGGTTCCTTGCCTGATGTGGGTGTATGTAATGGATTCGATTCTGGAGGTCGTGGTGTTTTTATTGGTGCATGATGTCAGGTGTATTTTTAGGCTATAAATAATCGAAACAGTAGCGTGACGGAGGCTTACACAGTACTATAAACCGGAGCAAATTCGCCGATACACTTCACGCAAGGGCGACTCCAGTTTTTATTGCTTTTTATTGCTTTCATGGAGTTCGGCTCCGATTTAATCTTTTTAGCGACTGAACTAGAGAATTCGTGCAGCTATACCAATGTATGTACTATTCGCATTGCTATCCCAATAGTATGGCGTCGAGCCCCTTTGGCCCTTAATGGTAAAGAATGGATTTGGGTATGGATTGTGCCTGTACTGATCCCTGAGAATTCTCCTGTAGTGAGTACCTGAAAATCTAGATCCTTTACTGTAAACCTGGCTAGGTGTTGGGCATTTAGGCCTGGTCGGGCCCCCCTGAGGCCCTTCAGCATAGCATAGGCCCTTAGACCCTTTAGGGTTAAAGGGCGGGGCTCCTATCTGTACCTGACTAGAAGCGTGTTCGTTACCCCCCCTGGCATGACGACGCGTTATGGAAAAAAGAAAAGAACGAAAATTCGGTAGGAAGATACCGTACTCCACTGAAGTTTCGTCCCCAAGGAGTTCGTCGTAGCGTGTTTGAGTTATACGTTGCCCCACTGTTTCTGTAGCGGCGGCTAACTTGGCAAATGTTTAGAGGTTCCATCTTGATTCTCCATCCCCACTCCGGGCGCTTCCAAAAGGGATTTCCCATTCGGATCTCCTAACGAGCCGTGGTATGATTTGAACTCATTCTCGAGGCGACGATCTTTTCTATTTCGGATTGTTCGTTGATTTTCGTTACTGTTGTGCAGCTGCAATCTAATTGCTGCTGCGATCATTCTGCTAGTGACGTCGGCAGCCAATGATACCGCATAGTCCTGACTTGCTGCAGCCCCAGCGTTAGGCGCATGGACCAACTGACCAACGACAGCTCACGTTGATCTATCAGATTTTTCTCCGGCGTTACAGCTGTAAAGTTTGGTCCCAGCCTCGTCGTGTATGGTGAAACGGCCCAATCCTTAGCATCCTTAGGGGCAGCGCCCCTCTCCATCCCAGGTCTCAGCTGCAAGGGTGATGCGCTGTAAGCCACCCTGTGCCAATCATGTACTGCGTGGATATCCTCCACCAATGGGCGACTTCACTAGCTGGGGACACTTTCGACCAATCCAGGATGCGGACTCCTTCTTCCTGCAGGAGATAGTAAAAGCCAAAAAAAACCAAAAAAGCCACTCGGCCAGGGACAAATACAGGATTCTGACTTCACTACACGTGGACAGGGATCAAAAATGATTGTCCCCTCTTTCCTGCAGGCGCTTCCTGGTCTAAAAAAGCCCACCCCCCTCCCGTGGATCAATTCCTGACGGGTGGGACGCTTTTCTTCATACTTGAACCTTGGATGGCATCGAGGGCGGCTTAATCCTGGTTCCACTACCTTTAAAGTCCTTCTTTTCCCTTAGCCCCGTTGTGCAGGATCGGATCTCCTTAGATCAGTCTGTGCTATATTCATAACCTGGGGACCTGCCGGCCTCTCTGGGTTTTCTGGCTATTACATTCTGGAGGGGAATCGTCGTCTTACTTTCTCTACTACATCACCGCGGGCTGGTCTCCTGTCTATCCTCTCCTGTCTGGAACAGTTATCGTTTTGGATCAACCATACGCTGTGTGCTGGATAACTTGACTTGCAAAGATGTACGAGCCCAATACCTCGTTGAGTCTTCACCGGCTGAGCCGACAAAGCCTCCAGAAACGATACGAATCAGACGAGGAAGATGTGTCCGAGTCGGATGCCGGACCAGACTTGGTCCCCTCGCTAGTAGGTTCGAACCGAGCTGGAACTACCGATTCAGACCTCAGTGCCGATGAGAACTCGCACACAGATCCTGATTCAGACCGAGAAGAGCACCTACTGGCTCCATTCCCGGTGGTTAAACGGCCACGACCCGTCTCGATGGATACGGTAAAGCGAAGCAGTGATGCGACCTTTGCGGAAAACACCAGGGTGTTTGACCCCGAAGAGGACATGGTTCTTGAGATTCCACTACCAGAGACTCCTCCTGAACTAGATCCGAATCTCTATCTACAGCCGGCCATCTATGTCTCGCCAAATACACCGCCAACCCACAACAGAAGGTCTCGCTCTTCCTCGCCGTCTTCTATCTTTTCCGTGGAGAATGCCGAGATCCAGGTTGCGAGGAAGATCACCTTGATGGAGCCACCCACTCGTCCAACCCTGGTCTTCATTAACTCCTTAGGATCACGGTCCAAGGGTTCCCGGACACGAGCCAGCCATTCTCGAACACGGGGCAGTGCTCGAAACAGAGAATCTCGCATCTTCGACGGGAAGCTCGAAGGCAATCTCCAGGTTCCACGTCTGGCAGATGTCAAACCCAAGTCATCACCGCGGGAACACTCAACAGACTATGAGTCCACCCACACAACCCCAGACCTATCAACTCTGCACGAGGGCTCCCTCACCGTAAGGCGGGGCGCGGGTGCAAGTGCAACCATAAACAGGGTTTCTGAAATTCCAGTCCTCCCCTATTTCCCCCCATCCCCCCGTGAGCAAGAGCGACCATCAAGTCTCCGCCTACGCCCACGTACCTCCGGCGCCGAGAAACCATTCCCCACCACACGATCCTCCCGTCGACCCACAGAGCCAGGCCTCCGCCCCCCGGCACTGCGCACAAACAGTAACAGCAGCAACAGCATGCCTTCCTTCTCTCCACGCCCCGCCTCACCATACGATGATCCAAGGACCTACTTCGTTCCAGATCACTACAGCGAAGGTGCATCTCTCTCTTCTCGGGCATGCAGTCCTACCTCAACATGCTCTTCACCACCACAGCAATATATCCATACATCAAAGCGTGGTCCCATCGCTCCATTGACACCAAGCAACTCAAACATCTTCTCGCAACGCTCACCCATGATGCGCCGGATGACCCGGAAACACTCTGCCACCTCAAGCGTCTATTCTATCAGCTCAGAGATGGGTATGAGTGCCGCTTCCTATGCGTCATCCAGCCAGACGGCTGTTAACACGATTAACTATGATTCGAGGCTCGTGCGGAAATCGAGTCAGAGACGCCATGCGAGACATGCTAGTTCTGCGACTGGTGGTAGTTCGCGTGGGTTTATGGGGTTGAAGCTTGGGAAGAGAGCGTTTAATAAGGTCTAATTAATTAGTAATGTTTGATTTTTATTTGGAGAAAGTTATCTCCTGGCGTTGGTTGGAATTTTGTTTTTTTTGTTTCGTTGGATCTTGATTTATTGTTCGGTTCTACTATACGTGGCATCAGTTTCATACTGTTGATCACGGGCGTTTTTTGATTTTATCGATATTGGGACTGGGCTAGATCCAGTTGATGAAACTGTTTGCTATTTCCTTTCGAATATGTGCTTGCTTTGGCAAACACTTCGGTGACTCGCTTTTCGATTTATTGTCGCGAAACTGATGTGAGATTGAAATTGCCAATACATTAGTGGTCGTGACCAAGAAGCAATCATGGGGATGCTAGTTGGATCTTGAGGGTTACTAGCTTCTCCTTGGCCTAGTTCTAGAGAATATGGAATAAGAATCAAGAACAGTTGAATGATATTTCTCTAAGAATGACTCGTCCTTATCCGTCGATCCTTTAGAAGCGTAGATAGCCAGGGGAGCCACGCAATGGGAATGGTATATTGTAGTGCGTCATGAGCAGCAATAGAAAAAAGTTACGTGAAAGGGAAAGAGCAAAGCGGCATCACCATGCAAATGCCAGACAAGGTTATGAACGCGATTGATAAAAGAGGCATCAACACATGTAGCGGGTGATGCTAGGCATATACCTATTTGCGTGCCTCCAGGGCAGCTTTAATAGCTGTAAAAGAAGAAGAGGTTAGTACTTATCATCTTCTCAGAGGGTTTAACCTACCATCACACGAGGTCTTCGCGTCTCCGAAGAGCATTCTTGTTCCGGGCATGAAGAACATGGGGTTTGGCACATCGGCTATGTATGCAGTTAGCCATGTAGCAACCAAGGCGATGAATCGAAGTACTTACCGTATCCGCTGGACATTCCCCGCTTCATGACGATGACCTCCTTACTCTTCCACGCGTGTAAGACAGGCATACCGGAGATAGCGGAGTCCGGCTCCATAGCAATAGGGTTGACCGTGTCATTGGCACCAATGACGAGGGTAACGTCGGTTTCCTTGAAATCTTCGTTGATTTCATCCATTTCCAGAACAACTGCAAGGAAATTAGCTCCATCCCTTGTTAATAACTTGGCGGATGAACTTACTATCGTATGGCACAGATGCCTCAGCAAGAAGCACATTGCACTGGCCCGGCATGCGTCCTGCTACGGGGTGAATAGCAAAGCGAACATTGATGCCCCGAGCACGTAGAATGCTGACAATCTCGGCAAGTGCATATTGTGCCTTTGCAACGGCCATACCATAACCAACGATAATGATGACATTCTCAGCACCGGAGAGTGCTTCCACAGTGTCATCGATGCTTGTCTGTGTTACTTCACCTTCAATCTTCTTCTGGCTTTGCACCTGATTACCAAGCCCGCCGAAAAGAACGTTTGTAAGAGACCGGTTCATAGCGACGCACATAATGTACGAAAGGATTGAACCGCTCACTCCAATCAGCGAGCCTACACTTGTGAGAAGAGGGTTGTTGAGCATGAGACCCTCAGCGACAAGCGCGAACCCAGAGTAGGCGTTTAGCACTGTGATAACGACAGGCATATCTGCGCCGCCAATTGCTGCTGTTGTCGTGTATCCTTTCAGGAAACTGAGAACGGTACTCGTACCTAAGCAAGCTGCAGCAATGCCAGGGTTTGCAGGCGCCATTGTTATAAATGCTCCCATGGTTGCCATGTTACTGCCCAGCAGCGTCGAGTTAATCACATGCCGACCAGGGAGCATCATAGGCTTGGATGACATGCGGCCTGCGAGTTTGAGGAACGCGACAATTGAACCGGTAAATGTCACACCTCCGATAAGCAAACCCATATAAGCAGTGACCATGTGCAAAGTTGAGATTTCGCTGATGTCGGCCATCACGCTACCGATACTCGTCAAAACAGCGGCCAGACCCACAACCGAGTGCAGCGCAGCAACGGTCTGAGGAAGCCCAGTAGGGGTGATGCGACGGCCAATCAGGCCACCGACCACGGCACCAGTTCCAGCCACAACGGCGAATTGAGTCAGAGTCTCAGTAGAGAACCCTACTGCAACCAGGGAAGCGAGAATACCAGAGGCCACACCTAAAATTCCCAGGATGTTTCCACGGCGCGCAGTGGTTTGCGAAGCAAGGCTAGAAATGGAGCTCATACACAGGATTGTACTGACGAGATACCCGGCTTGAACCACACCAGACATTCCAGTGCTAGCAGCAGCTATCAAACCACCACCAAATACCACCGCTGGGATGGCATACAGCCATGGGTACTCTGGAGGGTCGGTTGGACGCTTGAACATGTCCAGCATGCGTTTTGTCACGACAAAGCCACCTGACACATTCACAAAAGCAAGAAGGACAGATACGGCACCAAGGTACTCTGGAAGAGTGGTCGGCACATAGCCACCGCCCATGACGAACAAGCCACCAATACCAACCATTCCTGAGATAGCGTTGGTAACACTCATCAGTGGCGAGTGAAGAGCGGGAGCTACACCCCATACTGCGCGGTACCCGACCAAACCAGCAAGTCCGAATGTCATCATATTGCCCATGAAAATGGGACCTGTGGCCTTTCCAAGAGCGAGGGTGGCGCCAATGGCTCCCGTGACGGTAGTCACATCTCGAGTTGCCTGTTGCCATGGTGTAAGAGCAAGATCCGCTGCTTTCTTCGCTGCAACAGCTTCGGTATCAGGCTTAGGAGCGGGAGGAGGAGCAGGCGGCGCGGCAGGTGGGATGATTTCGCCGTTCAGAGTGACTATGGATCCACGAACAACCTCATCGTTGAAATCAATTCCAAAGGATTTATCCTTCGGGGCCATGGAGAGCAGATATTTGATAATGTTGTTAGAGTATAGCGTCGAGGATTGAGTGGGCAGACGAGACGGAAGGTCCGTATAACCAATGATCGTAACACCCTTGTAGGTAGACAGTTCACCGGGAACAGTTGCTTCGCAATTTCCACCTGCTTCAGATGCGAGGTCTACGATGACAGAGCCAGGCTTCATAGCAGCGACCATTTCCTTGGTAATCAGCTTCGGGGCCGGTTTTCCTGGAATGAGAGCAGTTGTGATGATGATATCAACCTCACGAGCTTGTTCCATGAACAATTTCATCTCGGCTTCAATGAACTCCTTGGACATTTCTTTAGCATAGCCACCTTGTCCAGAGCCATCTTCTTGGAAATCAACCTCGATAAATTCTGCACCCAATGACTGGACCTGTTCACGGACAGCAGGGCGGGTATCGAAACCACGAACGATAGCACCCATGCGGCGAGCAGAGACAATTGCACTCAGACCAGCTACACCGGCACCAATGACCAGGACTTTACTGGGTGGGATCTTTCCAGCGGCCGTGACCTGGCCAGTCAAGAAGCGACCGAAGTGGTTCGAAGCCTCTAAAACAGCCTTGTATCCAGCAATGTTGGCCATAGAGCTCAGGGCATCAAAGGTCTGCGCACGGGAGATACGTGGAATACGGTCCATGGCAAATGCAGTAACTCCACGGGCAGCCAGCGCATCCACAATTGGTTTGTTTTGGAAGGGGTATAGAAAGGAGATAATAGTCGAGCCTTTACGAAGAGCTTGGATCTCATTGAATGGTCCTTCTGCCTGAGGGTTTCGGACTTTCAGAACAATATCACTCTCCGCCCATATAGCATCGCGGTCCACCACTGTGGCACCGGCTTTCTGGTAGGCATCATCCAGAAGCTGTGCTCCTGCTCCTGCCCCACGCTCAATCAGCACACGTGAGAAGCCTTTCTTTAGGAGCAAAGCCACATTTTGTGGCGTGATTGCTACACGGCGCTCATTGTGGTGTGTTTCGCGGGGAACTCCAACAATTAACTCGGTGTAAGGGGTGGTTGGGACAAGGTCCTCAGTCGGAGTGGTGGTCGATGCGGTTCGCTTAGACACGGAAGGCCATGGAGGTGCGCATTGAGGTGCTCGAAGCGAGAGTTGCTTCTGCGATGAGGCAAGGAGGGTAATCTGACGAGCCTGGGAGACTGATTGGATCTGTTAGAGCTTTGTTCTCGGTTCTTGGGGTAGTTGTCCAGACATTGAAGCTTACCCGCGTGAGTCACTGACAGCAACGATTTCCCCGCACGTGCACTAGAGGCACGACACGGCCTTAGCGCCGACCACAAGGAGGGCGGTACACTCATTTCTGAGGTCGCGAAGGGACAAAAATCACAGATGGTCAAGGCACATCTGAAGCAGGGTGTCCACGAGGAGAAGAAGGGAGGGAAGGAAGAGAAGTGACAGGGAAGAAAGGACCGAAAAAGAGGAGTCAGGGAGGAGAAACTTTCGGACTCCTACCTTGCACTGAAACGGCACGCGCCCCCTTTTGACACGGTTCTCCCGGTTAATCTAGAAGTCGCAGCCTTAATTGTGCGATCCCCGTGGGGTTGGTGGAGTCGTGGGGAAAGCGGTTCGGGCACTTTTCTCCACATCGACACCTAGGCAGGTTTGGAACAATCATGCCACGACAATGTGATTTGTGGCATCTTCAGGCCCACTCAAATCTTCCAATGGTTTTGAGCGAAAAGGTGTCATAGTACCACAGACCTCGCCCCCCGCAATGACAAAGGAACCAACGTTTCGCAACCTTGGGCCAATTTGCCGATAGTCGGAGCGCGGTCATGAACGTGCGGAGTATATCGGTTATGCCGGCTTTCGGCACTAAACCAGATACTACATGGCTTTTCAATTGCCTCACCATGGGAATCCTCGTTCAACCATCTTTTGGACGTTGACTTGCTTTAAATACTCGAAGTAAAAGTCCGATATAACCGATGAAATCACTGGACAATGCGGTAAAATTATTAAATCAAGCTCACAAGACAATACGTTATATAGCAGCTCAATGCGTGACTTAGATTCGACTCTTATGAGTTTAGCGACAGAAACCTGGATAGAAATGAACGTCTTCTTATTTGATGTTAGTCTATTCTCGATGTCTAGCTTCTATGGTAACAGTGTAATCATTTTGACCTTCTATAACGGAAAATTTCGAAAATCCACTTCTCCAAGTCCAGTGCTCTCCAGTGCATGTGCCAGATCCTTGCAAGTTATTAATTCAAACTCCCCTCATGCTGTTAGGATCCATTCATCAGTGCGCTCTCCTCATGTCAACCTTGACGGTCAACATTGTGGTGATTTTGGCAAAGTGATGACTTCATGCGACGATGAAAGATGCCGTAAGTATTGCACATTCCACTATCGCTCGAAAGGCATCGAGCAGATTAAAATTGCCACTGTTCTAGCCAGTTTCCGAGCAATTCCGGCGTGACTGGGCCAAGTCGCGCCATCGTCGCACTCCCCTTTCTCGCCTGCTTCACGCTGACTTCTGCTGACAGCACACTCCCAGCCAGCGCCCGGTAGAAGTCCAGAAGCTTCAACGCCGGCTTTGCGCGCACCTCATCCTCACTGGGCGAACGCACGGCCTCCAGATTGCGGAGCCAGTCTTCGAAAGCCATGATCTTCACCCCAGGATATTTATTTTGGATGGCTGGCACCAAGCTGTCCCACTTGACCTGATTCGGGTTCACGAGATGGTAGACTCCATGTGGATGACGCTCTTGTTCATCCAGACGGGTACTGGTGAGGTCAATGGCGATCTGAGCGAGAACATTCTAAGCATTGATGATATTAGCCATTTTGTTCTTTAGATGTTGTATGCGTACCAAATCAGAAAATGATGGAGATGAAAAGCTGGAAACATACCACAGGTACCCAATCCACCTGATACGCACCCAGATCGGCAGGCGCTACACCCATTGCAATACTTGTCTTCACTAGGCTTGGCAGCCACTCATCAACATTCCATAAGCCCTGCTGTGTTGTAGGGCCTCCAATCTGCCCGACCCGAAGTACCGTTGTCGGGATGCCAGCGTCGCGTGCAGCTGCCAAGCATAGCTGCTCACCTATATACTTGGACTCGCCGTAGCCCTGCTCCATCACAGCATTGGACTCGATTGGGGCCTCGGGCACGGTCGAACCCATGGTAGCCGAATCCCACCCGCCGATGGTGCTGACCGAGGAGACGAAGGTGAAATGGGCGCGCGCGGCGCTACGGTGGCTGAACCACAGAAACTCCAGCACGCCACGCAGGTGTGGGTCTTCGAAAGATTCCAGTGGGTGGTTAAAGTTGACTTTCCAGGCATTGTGGACAACCAGATTTACTGAGCCTAACAACTTGCTGTAGGTCGCGTCGGGAAGGCCGAATTGGGCCGCCCCAAACGAAACAGTGAGGAATTCAACCCGGGCAGGGTCGTCCAGCAAGCTAGGATCAAGCCCTTTGCTGATAAAGCCTGCACGCTGACGACTCTGTGCGTTGTCGGAGCGGTTAAAGCAGTAGACTTTGGCAACCTTGGGGTCTTTGAGGAACTGATGGAGGAGGTACCCGCCCAAGGAGCCAGTAGAGCCGGTGAGAATGACAGTTGTTTGACTGGGACGATTGGTTGGAAGTGCAAGTCGAGGGGGAGTTGGGAAGTATATTTTTCAACCGTCTTAGCGAGACGCTCAGCCCGTGGAATGGTGCTTGTCTGGGAGCGACCCTGGAGGACATCGGCGAGGTATTGAGCTAATTGTGCAGTCGTTGAGTGGGCGTAGATATGTTGCTGATTGATGGTAAAAGTGATTTCTTTCTGCATTCGAGCGGCGACAGCAGTGTTTAATGCCCGGGCAAGCTGAATGGTTTGCAGCGAGTCCAGTCCGGCCTCGTATAGGTCCTCCTCGTTCTTGATGTCGGGACGGGAGAGCAACTTCATGACCAAATTGCGAACGTAGTCGCGGAGGGGCTCCAATTCCAGCGACTTGGGCAGCGGTGGCACGTCCGCGGCCTCATTTGCCTCATTTGCCTCATAGATAGCCTCAATCTCCTTCTGGTAGTCACTGGTGATGGTGCGCCGCTGCTTCGTGCCCTTGGGCGTCAACTTGAAGGGCTTGTCAGGGGAGGCCAACTGAATCTTGTTCTTCGAGACGCGCCCATACTTGGGCACAGTCTCGTTTGCTCTCTCAACCTTTGGCCAAATGGTCTCTACAAAAGCATGCTCGTCTTCCACGGCTGCAATGGGTTCAACCAATAGTGACGTTTGGAATCGACCTTGACCAAGCACTATGGCATGCTTGACAGATGGATGGCTCTCCACCATCTCCTCCAGCGATACTGGGTTGAGCTTCTCCCCATTACACAGAACAAGAAGGTCATCTTTTCGGCCGTGATATTTCCACAGCTCGGGACGCTCAGAATGCTGCACGAAAAGGTCGTTGGTATGGTATTCGTTTAGATGGGGAAATGTGTGGAAGATGCCATGTATCCGACGGCTGTCAGGGCATCGCGGAATGATAAGCTCATATAGTCCGTCACCCTGAGGTTCCATCTTTACCCCATATGCGGGATTCCATTCGAAGCAGCCCCAGACCTTCTCGCCTTGTGGCACAAACGAGCTGAGCAGGCCCATCTCGCTGGATCCGAAGAGGGTAATGACTTTGGTGTCGGCTTCTAGGGCATCGCCAACCTCAGGGGCCAGTGGCGCACCCCCAAAATATACGGCATCGAGAGTACGAAGAGCCGCGCGTGCAGTGGATGAGTCAACCATGTCGACTAGGAGAGAAGGTGCCAGTAGAGCGGCGGTGGGGTGGGTCGCCTGGATCACATCGACGATCAAATTTGTAGACATCGGTTTATCCGGACACATGACAAAAGCGATGCCGTGAAATATGGACTCAGTGAAGGCCATCAGCCCCATGAGATGGAACAGCGGGGTAGTGGACAGCACTAGCTGGCCGGGCTCGAGGTCGAAGAATACGCTTGCCCGGCGTCCTTGTGGACGAGGAAGATAGGCTCCAGTATCTATAGTCGCAAGGAAGCCGTGTGTGAGAGGTGCCGGCTTTGGCATGCCTGTTGTGCCAGAGCTATGGATGATAATGGCAATCTCATTCTCGGCCATTTGAAAGCTCTTTTCGAATGGGTATGGGGAGGCATTCGACTCCAGAAGCTCTTTCAAGGACGGAATTTCGAAAACCTCCGTGCTGGTATGGACAGCTTGGATCTCGGAGACACGACGCTGCTTATCCGGCGTATAGATGAATTTTTGACAATGGGTAGCAGTAAGGATATGCTTGTAACCTTCATCTGATAGACGGGTAGAAACGAGGAGGGGCTAGAACTGGTCAGTATATTACATGATGCCGAAAATGGCCATTGCAGAACGTATCGTACCTGGTAGCCAGTCTTATGGCAGGCCAGTATGAGAAACAAGTATCGGACATCATTACTGCCCATATAAGCGATGGTTTCGGGGTGTTGGGCGCGGCCGACGTGTTTTTCGATCCAGTGAGCGCAAGCATCTACTGCACGAGCGAGGCCATCAAAGGTCAACTCCTGATAGCCATCGGCTACGTCGGAACCTTTGGGAATGAGCCCAACAAGATCGCTCGGCGCCGATCGCGCGCGATGATCGACAATCGTCGGCCAGAGCAGTTTGCCGAATTGATCTGCCATGGATGATGGATGTGCGGTTGTAAACTTTGAATGAACCTGCAAAGCACGAATGGAAGGTTGGCAATAGTAATTTTCAAAAGTCAGAGATAGAACAGTAAACAAGATATACAGGAAGAGCGTTGTCTGGGAACGAGTAAATGGGCGAGGGTGCCGGCGCAATTTGTAGGCTGGCCATCTCTCTCATGCTCGAACAAAATGCCGGCATCCGAAGGCTGACATTTTTTTTCTTTGGAATACAATTGAATACCGCAATGACGGTCTGAAACTACTCTCAGTATCGCAAGGAGTCGGTGGACCCTGGACTCTGCAGTTCCTCGGCATAACACGCACTAGTGTTGGCTTCGACGCCACGCGGGCAGATTCCACGGGAGTGAGCGGCCCAGGTGTGGGTCTAATGCTTAGCTACGAGCGAAATAATTCATTCCATCCGGGAGTTTCAAGCCACGACATGAAAGTACAAGCATCAAGGGCGCAGAGCAGTAGCACGCAGTACCGATGACCGCTGCCGAATCTCCATTCTGCAGTTTGCTGCAGGATTAATGATGTCAGTCGAGCGCCTTGCAAATTGGCTTACCACATCGGTGCCACATAACATGACGAATCGAATGATAGAGAAGCCTGTAAAGAGCAAGATTAGGTCGAGAAGGGGTCCCTAAAGTGGGTATCTATGGTGGATACTGAAATATTAGGGTGAGACTAGGGAAGCAACGGCAATCGGCACTGAAATTGTCTCAGATTTGGAGCGTCATTATTCGGACATAGCAATTTTCCAATTGGACATGCCACTTTCCAAATTGGGAAAAAATGGTATTTGTATTGCAGACGAGTATTTCCACGGTCACATGACCTGTTCCATCCACTACACAACTCACTGGTTTACCTTTCATTAGCTAGATTTGACTGAACTGAACTCAAGTTTACATTATCAATTTATAGGGCTTAGTATGAGAACCGAAACAAGATCATGTTTGTGTGTAAATTCTTTGTTCTAATGAGATAGTCTACCTAGTCATGTGACTATGAACATACTCGATCGAAATACAGATACCAGGTTTTCCCAATATGGAAAGTGTTATGTCCAACTAGAAATGATCCGAGCGTTTTCGGGGGGTCTTGCCCAGTTAGGCATGGCGGTAGTACGCTTAGTCCCTGAATGTGTACTTTGGCCAAGATAAAGTACAAGGAACGATACACTGATCGGACCTTATCATTTCAGCACAAGCTTGACAAGCCTTCGCCATCCGTGGATCGTTGCCGAGTTTGATCCACTTTTTGCTGTCTTCATTCATCGGAGTGGAAGTACTTGTGCAGTGCGAAACCCTTGGGAAAGTCATAGATATAATCGTACGACCAGATTTCTGCCTGGATCAACTATGTAATTTTCGAGTCAAACCAGTGACACATGGCAAAAGATCGACGAAGTTGGAGTTGTCGAACTTCGTGGTTATCCTGCTTTGCTTCCTGCGTTTGGGGAAGTCATGTGTCAGCAGGAGTAGCTGAGCCCGCTGACGTAAAGTGTACGAGCCTCAAGCATACAGTACATGAGCGTACATCGGCTCCGAAGCCACTTAGACCTATTGGATCGTTTCAGTTGCTTTCTAGGCTTTAGCTATCGATGTGGATACCATGTATATCTCCAAATGTCTACGGTCGACGATGGGGTCAGAATATTTCACTCCGGCCTGGGCAAGTCCTAGGCCGGTCGAAGCCGGTGATGGCTTTGTCTGGTTCTCCATTACGTCACCCGAGTTCAAGAAACAGAGAAACGAACATTGCAAAGACAATGCATCAACAATCATTGTTCGAGAGAGCCTGGGCCCCAAATGATATGCCCCACTCGTAATCTCCCCTTTCTTTCGCCAGACAATACACTGGCTCCTTGCTACCTCGATATCGGGTTTCACCAGCTTTACCACCGCCTCGATGGAGGCACATAGTCTCAGCACAATTATTGAAAGCCACCGGCCAGACCTCGAATATTACGAGCGTATTTATCGCGAGATACATACATCGCCGGAGCTGTCGGGCCAGGAGAAGCAAACGTCCACAACAGTGGAAAATCATCTCAGAGATTTGGGATTTGAGGTTCATGCGAGGATTGGAGGCTATGGGGTTGCCGGAATCTTGAACAATGGATCAGGCGCTACCATTTTACTCAGAGCTGATATGGATGCTTTGCCAATGAAGGAGAAGACAGGCCTCCCATACGCTAGTCAACGAGTGGCTAAAGATGCGGATGGGAACGAGAGACCTGTAGCGCACGCCTGTGGGCATGACTTTCACGTCATCAGTTTGATGGCGAGTGCGGCTCTCATGTGCTCAGCTCGCCATGAGTGGTCCGGATCCTTAGTTTGCGTGTTCCAGCCGGCCGAAGAAACTCTCTCCGGGGCGCAGGCGATGATCGACGATGGGCTACTTGACAAGATTCCGAAACCGGACTTGGTCCTCGCTCAACATGTAATGCGCATGAGAGCCGGCCAAGTGAGCGTCCGTAGTGGTCGTTTTCTGACCGCAGCCGACTCGTTTGAAGTTCGAATTACTGGACAGGGCGGTCATGCGTCCACCCCTGATGTTTGTATTGACCCGGTTGTTATCGGTGCCGCTGTTGTGTTACGCTTGCAGACTATTGTGAGTCGCGAAGTCAACCCTCATGACTTAGCAATCGTTTCGTGCGGAAGCATTAATGCCGGTTACAATGCCAATATCATACCGGACAAGTGCATCATTCGGATCAATGTGAGGACCTATGATCCCAAGACACGCAAGCGGGTTATCGAGTCAATTGAACGTATTGTTAAAGCAGAATGCCTCGCTTCGGGTGTAACCGAGAAGCCTACAATCTGCTCCTTGACATCAGCCCCTGCAACAGTGAATGACGATGAAGTCGCCACCGCCTTGGGGAAGGTATTTAGCTCCTATTTCCAGGAGGAATTTGTCGAGGGCGAACCTACTACTGCAAGTGAAGACTTTTCTCTTTTGGCTACCGCAGCGAATGCACCATATGCGATGTGGACATTCGGCGGTATCGATGAAAGGACCTGGGACGAAGCGGTTCAAAACGATACTCTTCACAAGTTAGGTGGCAACCACTCCCCCTACTTTGCTCCGGTGCTTGAACCAACCTTGAAAACGGGAGTGGACGCAATGTCTGTCAGCGCTTTGCACTTTCTACAGAGACATTCTCGAGGGTGAAAGCCAGCCTGGCGTCCTAGCTCACCACAGAAGCACAACTAACTTCTAAATGTGTCATGTTATATTGCCAAAGCGCAATCTTTGGAGTACCTAACTTTCTTGGCCAGGGCCATATGAAAGTGCATCTCATCTAATATTAATTACCACTTCACTGTTGAAACATTACTTATTTGCTTGCGGTACTTCATCGGGCTCATGACCACCTGCATAGAGCGAGCGTGCAGTAGCTCAACAAATAGACAAAACAGAGAAGTTCCATAATATTTCCCTCTCGTTCAGGATAGAAACATCCACAACTATCTAGATGTCGTTTTGTGCATCTTACAGATCTGAAATCGGGATTGTGTAAGCAAGAAAGAGATGTCCAAATTAATAGGCTGTTGGAAATAGACATATATATATCAGACCCATAAACACTGAAATATTTCAATGCCGTATCCGACAACGCGGGCGGATCAACATTATATGATGTTTGAATAGCCTCCCAGAAGACTAGGTACTATTGGTACCGATTGGGCCGCAATAATCGAAACAGCCTCGCAAGAAAAGATCCGAAACTAATCAATTTATTGCAAATCTATTGACGACCTTTAAAGTGTCCAAGCCCAATCGGATCGTCTCAGTCCGAGGTCAGACCCAATGACGTATTTGGTCTCCACAGAGCCAGAAGTACCTAACATCAAAACCATCCTTGAAGGTTGAGAGGCGATGTAATGATAAATAGAGTATGTAAAAGGCTTAAAAGTCCCAAGTACTAAATTTCAAATACCTCAAAATTAACTGCCATAAGGCCCAGAAACAGTCTTCCCAGCTTTTTGAGTGACTATCTCCATCTCGCTGGACAAAGACGAAGAAAGAGCCCCCACATCAGTAATGACATTGACAAAATCATACCCAATATCAACATATTTCTTCGCCTGGGCACCACTGCTACAGAAAATGCCCGCCTTCTTACCAGCCGCGTGAGCCGAAGCAAGGATCTTTTGAATAGCCTGTTCAAGCTGCGGGGCAAAAGCACCCTCCACAGGGTACCCGATATTGTTACCAAGATCGAAGGGACCAACAAACAATAAGTCAAGCCCATCAATAGCTGCGATCTCATCAACCGCTTCCAGGGCCTCTTGCGTCTCAATTTGAACAGAAAGAAGAATGTTCTCGTTTGCTTCCTTTAGATACTGAGTGGCTGTAACGTTCGGACCAAATCGGTCCATTGGGAATGGGGAGCCGAAGCCCCGGCGTCCTTGTGGTGGGAACCGACCTGCCTCGACGAACGATTTGGCGTCTTCAACGGTGCGCACCAGAGGTGCGAGGACTCCGTGAGCTCCGGCATCAAGGGCACCTGTGCGCTGTAATTAGAAAGTAGATAGGTGATGGGAGCGGGGTCATTGATACGTTTAATCATCCAGGACTGAAAGTCTGGCACTCGGACAATGGGGCTGCTTCCATATGAGGTTATAGCTGGGATAGCTTCATGCATTGCGGCATCTGGAGAAGTCAGTATTTCTGGGATTGGTTCAATTGGGTACTTCTGCCTCACCGTCAATGTTGCCATGTTCACAGTCCACCAGGACCCAGTCGTATCCAGCTCGGGCTAAGGTGCGAGATAGATTGCTACCAGGTAGCATCTGCCAAACTCCCAAGGCAGGTCGTTCGCCCTGTTTGAGGACGGCTTTGACGCGGTTGGTTCCTTGCATGGTGGCGTTCCGGACACAACGCTTTTCAATTTGAGATAAAAAGAAATTGCGAATTAGATTTTGAAAGAGCCTGAAATTTCGATACAAATATAGGTCGCAGGAAGTTCAAATGCTGGATTGAAGCAGCAACTGAGTGCCCCGCGCCTTTATATTCGGGACTAGTGGGTCTATCCATGTCCGAATCGGATCGTCATGTTCCGGATACTTGACTTCATAATCACGACTGTTCAATACTTCTTTCCCAATATCTTACAGGAAAAGGCATAGGGAAAGAATTATATAGCATGCCCAGGTGTGTATCTACCGACCTCATCTCACGTTCAACCGTTCAAGCACCGGTCGATCTGTCTAGCCATCCGCAAGCATTCCTCATCACGCAGGGTGGTGGTAAAAAGTTGAATGGAGCACGGTGTGCCTTTGAGCTGATCATAGTCATCTGTATAAATTAAAGGTATTAAAAGAGTTCTTCCAGGCATTTCGGGTAAGGTTGGACTCACAGTCGGGGGCTATCTGATCTTCTTTGAGCTCAAGCGTCTTCCCGGCATCTTGCTCGTCCACTTCTCCAAACGGCAGGACGCACGATGGATACTAGAAAAATAAGTTAGCGACATTCCACAAGACAAAGTCCAAAAAACCCTACATCTAAGCAGTTCAAGAAAGTGGTGTAAGGAGCCATGCCAAACATATCGTGTGGCACAGCAGTATTTTGAGCTGGAGGTGCAATGCATATGTCAAGGTCGTGCTGCACCCACAGCTTGCGATAAGCCTCGCGCAGCTCCGCTCGTCGTACATTGAGCAGAGCTAGCTTCTCCATTCGATCAAGGGTGCTCGTATCTGGTAGGGTTGGCTTGATAAATTTCCCAAGTGTCTCAAATAGCTTCACGATATGACCAATAGCTGGCACAACGGGCTCACCCGCTGATTCGATAAGCTTCCTTGCGTTCTGGTCAAGATTGAATATCGCCCACGCAATCTCGTTTGCCTCAACAACTCTGCAATCCTTTTCATCTAGACGGATTATTTGGTGACCCTGGGCTTCCAGCAAGCCAACTGCTTCGTTCAAGACTCTCCGGATAGGTGGATGAAGAGGGAAGACGGATGATTCGGGAACAACGCCGATCCTGAGAACTGGTTTGGTATCGACCTGTCTCCATGGAATGTCGTGAATACTGGAATCGTAGTTTGCAGGGCGAGCGTTGAATAGCAACTGAAAGAATGTTTCGATTCCACTCAGATCCATTGAAAGTGGTCCAATACAGGATAGAACGAATTTCATTCCGGGTGTAGTGCAGACACGCATTCCACCGTTGGGAACTCTGGACGCGCTGGGCCTGAAACCGTATGTTCCACAACAGTGAGCTGGAATTCGGACGGAACCTGGGATTGGATTAGACGATAAGTACATTCGTGAGGCTGTTTTGCTTGATTGACGTACCACCAATATCTGTTCCCAGTCCAAGAGGCGAACCCCGAAGGGCGATCAGAGCGCCTTCTCCACCGCTAGAGCCACCAGGTCCCAGCGTGGTGTTCCAGGGATTCAGAGTGCGCCCAAAGACATTATTGTGAGAATCAGCTGTCTGGTACAGATTAGTCCTGGAACTTCTGAGGAGGTAAATGAGTAAGTACCATCATTGTTTGTGGCACGTTTGTCTTAACGTAGAGTACAGCGCCAAGGTCCAGAAGAATATCCACAAGAGCCGAATTCTCGGTGGACACATCATCCAAAAATGAAACCATCCCGATACTCGCATCTCTTCCTTTGAAGCGGAAATTATCCTTGATACTGATGGGAAGACCGTGGAGTGGACCTGCTAATTTCCCTTGGGCTCTCAGGCCATCCAGGTATTGAGCTCGCTCCTGAGCTTCCTCAAACATAGTCTCGGCGAGACAAGATACCTTCAGGCTATTAGATGGGATTTCAAGAGAAAATTTCATATGATGCCACATACCAACTGTTGTGCAACGGCAGCACGTTTGCAATAGGCCAAAGTCACCTCAACCGAGGTAAGGCTACCAGTTGCTAATGCAGAGATCAGGCCAGATAACGTGTACCCTTCTGTGATATTGATTTCGAGGTCTGTCAAAATTCCTGATTCACGAATTGCTCCGGATCGAATGAAGTCGTTCTTATGTTCCGATAAGGGGGCATCGAATTTGGCCATGAATTGGTCTGACACTCTCCACTCAGACGGGATTCTTTTAGCGCATTCCTCTCGCTTTTTTGCGACTCTTGCCTGCCAAGAATCTGCTTGATTGACGGTGCCCATTTTAGTATACGGCACGTGCTATTGAGTGTTAAGAAACCTTTGGTTGCGACTTTCGGGGTGCTGAGTGTTAGATGCTGAGCATTAGAGTGTCCAAGGTTCTTCAGTCTGGAAAAGGGATATGGAATATATATGTTATCGGACCACCTGCAAAGATTGACAAGAAGGAACAAAGCGACATTGTGCCCACAAAAGACGTGCGGCAAGCTCCGAGAAATGTTACTAAATTGCGTGAAAGAAACGCAAACCGATAGGATGCCTCGGCTGGAAGTGGGGTTACGAGGCGGGGGTCGTAGATATCTGAAGCACGGACTGAAGATTGGTTACATGGTTTCATTCCGCTATCGCGCTTTCGTATCTCATTCGTTCGCCTAAGTTGGCTTGTATTTTGCCGACCTTATACGAATATCGAGAACAATGCATTTCACTGGTTATCTCGGCTACTTCCTAGGCTGTGGATGAATGGGCGCGTAGTCTATATTGATGCAGTGTCAGCTCCCTTCTATACCCCACGGTTGTTATACGGTAGTAATTGGTGCTTCTAGGAGTGACTTCGCATACCTTCTTTTAAACGATACTATGTAGATCAATGCTTAACTTCTAGCAGCTAGTCATCGAATCGTTCTGTCACCTGTGACAAATACCACTACTCATCCAAATGTAGAAGTAAAGTCAGATATGAAGTTGCATTTCTAGAATTGCTTCCTGGAAAGAAGAGAGATAACATGGCAGGATCTCTAAATATTATGGGTGCTTCACATTATGAAATCCTAAGAATGAGATCCGTCCTGATGTATGTCCTAGAGCGACGAGGTTATCTTTAAACGCCAGACAGCCAGGTCGATAACCAAATGGAAGCCTCAGAACCTTCCAGGTGGTCATTGACGACTATCCACTGGTTGTTCTGCATAAATATATCGAACATTGGTCGAATCGCCGCATTATCAAGCCAAGCCTTGATATCAAGGAATCCTCAGTCTGTACAAGGATAATGGCCATCTGGAGAGGACCCCAATCGAGTGACTACTCTCTTGACGTTCAATGGAGATTGAGAAGTGCGCGAAAAGGCACCCCATAGCAAAATCATCCGGTCCTCTAGGCTGGACGCGAGGAGTCGGCTGTCGAGAGAAAATGCGACAGAGCAAATTGTGGCATCAGAGGTTTTGAAAATATGCAGTGTGAAGCCACTAGTGACACTCCAGATCCTTATTGTTTGATCTCCCGAACTTGACGCTAATAGTAGACCATCGAAGGAAAAAGCCAGAGATGTTATTGCATCTATATGGCCCGTAAGTACTTGCTGGCAAGAACCAGACAGAGTATCCCACAACATGATTTCCGTAGTAAGGGAGCCGGAGGCCAGCAGGCGATCTTCAGGGGAGAATGACATCGACCTAACCCAACCTGCATGACCTTGTAAAATGTGCTCAGATCTTTGTTCGGGTGCCTGGGAGACATTTTTCTTCATGTTTGTCTATCAACGAGTCGAATGCAGCGTCATTCACAATAGGCAGCTTCTCATCCAGATCCTCATTGCGGTCAGTAGTAGACTCAGTACAACTGCGATCACTATCAATAGAATTACTCCTCACTTACTGATACTGATGGAACCATAATTGGTCCCTATCTGCGACCCGAAGTTTGAGTCTCCGAAGTTTACTCTGACTTGAAGAGGTTTAAGCAGTGTCTATGTTGTGAAAACGTGACAGCATGCCAGCTGAGCCCCGCCATTTCAAGAGACCCCGCTTCAGGATTCCACATGTTAGAATCCATCAAACCAATGTGTGGTATTAGAGGATAGCTGGATTAGATTTGGGTTGGGGATCAAGGGTTTATATTTCGAGGTTCAAGAGGTAAACCAATTTTTGCACATTACTGTAATATGTCATTTTGCCATTGATTTCCACTGATTTTGGGGCCTGGTAAACTCACGGCGAAAAGAATCACGTTCATGGTCACATTGGAGCACGGACCTTGGTTGAGAAAGAAAAAAGAGAGAATAAACTGGTGTCAGCTTTCTTTCCATGATTAAGACACTACCACGAACACCTTTTGCAGCTTCTTGCTATGGAATGATGTTCTCCAAATCCCCCCAACTAAGCACTTTTCTTGAGTCTCTGCTGATTCACATGATACCAAGAAGGCTACAGTGATTACAAAGAGAAGTGTCGAAAATACTGAAAGAACAGATAGAAAGAATACTGTTCAGATCAATATTCGCTGTGCAAGAACTAAAAGTTAGATGAAGAAAGTGCCCGTGGATGCAGGTCAGAAACAATGCATCTAATAAAGACAAAACAAACCGAGAATCCCAAATACCAGGGCACTACGTATTACACAGGCAGCCGGGGCCCCTATCCTCGCGACGGGAGGTCATATGATTGTCCCGCCAGTGTTCATAGGTGCCTTCAGGAATCAGGCCCAGTAGCTGCAGTCTATAAATCATATACGATGCCCAGCATTGGCAGCTTTGCGCTGGGACAGAGAAGGCTTGGTCCTCGACTATGGCACCAGCGGAGGCAGGAATGCGAGCCAGAAAGTTCCTGCTCTCAAAGCTCCAGCTGTCGAATCTCTTGTTGGGCTCAATAGCAAGCTCGTAAGAGCCAGGAGCTCCAATGGAATGGAAGTATGTGCATGTGACAGCACCTGGGTGGTGCAGCAGAAGAATCCAGTGAATGGGGTATGGAGGTTCCGACTTGCAGATGGCAACGTAGAGATCATAGTATGCATAGTCAATGCGTGGCATGCTGACCTAGGTTAAGTGATGGCTAGAAGTTAGAAGGGAAGTGATCAAAGCAATTGAAGAGGAATGGGTAGACTTAGGCCGTTTTGTGTTCTGATTGTTGGCTGTGGTGATGAGACTTTGATTTCAACGAGGATTTGACCCTTGTTATAGTCATTTTTTTGAAGATTTGCCCTTGAAGTATCTAAACTTAGTTGGGCATGTCTTTGATTAAGAGAACAATAGGCAAAGCCCGTGCTACCCGTGAATAGTTTTTGAGTAACCACATTTAGGCACCCTGCCTTTGAGCCCTGCTTGGGATCTCTATCATAGACAATAAAAAAAGGGACAAATAGACAAGGGGAGAAATGAACAAAGAGGAACAATAAAGCAAATGACCTTGTGATTTTTGCAGAGAAGAAATCATTTGTTCCATCTCATTGAGGTCTTCGAAACAGCCCGAATCGACTCGAATGGTAGGATTCAGCGCTTTGTATAGATATGAATAGGCAGACTTGGAACTAGAGTCCACTAAGCACGCCGAAAGATAATCTTTAGGTGCCAACGAAACACAATTTGTGATTAAGCCAAGTGAAGGGATATGGGCACCAGAGTATTAAAAAATTCGTTCTCCCAATTCGTCCGTATCTAGATTACAATCACTGGGCTCCTATTGGATAGCATAAGTGTTGAACCACCATAATCTCGTGACAGAATCATGTAGAATTTCGTACATGAACAACCACATCAGCATCCAAAGAGTTAGACCTATCATAGCTGAGGTATTTGCAAGAATGCAGGTCCGATCACAAAGCCCCGATCAACTTTGCAGCATGCGAATTTGGGGTCCAAACCGCGGGAGCCGCAACGCACAATGATCTGCAGGGAATTTAACCGATAACTGTGCTAGCCCCGGGTGAAACAGGTTAAAGGATCATTCGAGCTGCACTTCGATCAATAATTTTGATCTGATTTGATCGTGACTGTGAAATGGCAAAAGGTCCGAGAGCTAGCGACGTGGCTGAGTGGGGAGATGGTGGATGATCAACCACTAGAGATGATCGACCCCAACACCCACGGCGCGAAATAATGTTCCCCAGCCCTGCGCCCTTGGCGTAGTTGGAGTCCTCAGCCTTGTCGGTATTTAATTTTCATGTCATTTCTCTCATGAACCATGCTGCCCTGGAAAGGGATTCCTATGTTTTGATACCACCCAGCGCGCTCCCGAGTCTCCCTGATGGAGATTCGCCCCGTGGGCGCGCCAGTGACGTCCGGATCGTCTGAGTCGCCCGATTCCCACCCACCGTCCGCCCCGCCTCGTAAACGAGTACGCCGCTGGCACCACCGAGGGTTCACAGGTTGCTCAACCTGTCGCCGCCGCCATGTTCGATGCGACGAAGATTCCCCCTCATGCAAAAATTGTACAAGGCTGGGGCTCGAGTGCGATGGGACACAGGGTCGAATGACCTTTAAGGTCTATGGCCCCACTCAAAGCCAGGAACCACCACCGATCATAGCACCCAAGAAGCGGAAGAAGAGAGAATCGAAGCCAAGCAAGGCGATCCCTGGTACCGGAACACTCGTGATAAAGAAGGAGGAAGTGGATGAGCCATGGGAAGCTGTTGTGGTGTCTCCGACCACTTTACCGCAACAATCACAGATCAATTTTGTTTACCACGAACCTCGGCCGGCGAACCTCGTGCCCGCGAGTGTCCAAACAACGGACGATCGCTACTTCACCCATTTTATCGATCAGGTCTCCACCCTCCTTATTATTTACGATAATTCTATCAACACCAATCCATATCGAAGGCACTTTCCCGATTTTGCGCGCTCTTCCCCTTCCATGGTGGGTGCCATGGAGGCACTGGGCGCATTACATTTGGCCAATACTTCTGTCGGACCGCAGCGCATTTCGCATATCCAGCAGGCGATGAGTAAATACGGTGAAGTTGTTCAAATTTTCCGGGGCCGGTACGCTCGGCCGAGCCAACAATTGGGAATGACCGACTTCGCAACATGCTTGTTGCTCTGTCTTTTCGAGGTTCGTCTATGGATCGCGGAAGAGGATCAAGGTGGAACAATTATTGACAGATTATACAGATGATGGACTCCCAAAACCATAACTGGGCCGTGCATCTCAAGGGTGCCCGTGAGATCTACAACCTTCTTTTCTATCCCCACACTGGCGGTACCTCCACTCGTGAAAACCAGAGAGTTGCTGAGTGTAATCACCCTCTCCGATCATTCCTTGTGTCTTTGCTGTCATACCTCGACGTGGCTGGTGCATGTGCCACACCTGGTGGGACCGTTGTCGAAGGGAATTATTGGAAAACCCTCGGAGGCGGGTGGGAATACAACCTAGGGACACCTAGCTTGTCATCATCCACAATTCCCGACAACCCGACCTTAGTCGAATTGCGACACGCATGGTCAGGAATGATGGAGGTCCAGACAGCGATCAGTACTTTTGCTCGTGATAAACAGTGGATGCCTCCCGACCAGCAGGACATGGTCTACAAGGACATTTTCAATCGATTGGTGGTGTGGCGTGCTAGCACGCCAATCAGCCTCCAGCTCCTGGGTGATATGGAACTCGACGATGAAAGCCTGCGTCAATTCCCTTTTCCTGATATGTTGGAGTATGTTGGATGCGTTGAGGCGTATGAGAAAGCGACCTTTGTACATCTACATCAAATTGCTGGTACGGGTCGACCGCACTGGATCACCGATCGAACTTACTTGGATATGCTCATCAGTCGTATTCTCACCCTGATCCGCAAGTTATCTAAGGGTGTTGGACAGTTAGCCATCTTATGGCCTCTCTTCATCGCTGGACAAGAGACGCGCAATGAAGATGAACAAAAATACGTTCGCCAAACAATGGAGGAGCTGAAACGCTTTGGCTTCAAAAACGTTGACAAGGGCCTTGAATTGCTTGAGGGAGTATGGTTCAAACGACGAGCATTCCCTGAAGGCTGGACCGAGACCTTGGATGAAATCCAGTCCAATATTCTCCTACCTTGACGACTCCACAATCTTGACGGACAAGCCCCTTTTGACGACCACTGAACTCGAGCCTATATGACTTGCATCACTTACGATAGACCTCACATACTGGAGACCATCCAGTCACGCACATAGTTTTGGCACGTACATTTCATACGCCATAAACATCAATTTACGAACCTCATGATATGACCAGCCTTCTCTTTTCTCAAGTATTCGAATAGTCTCAGTCTCAGAAAATATCAGCCCATGCAATGCACGGATCGCTACTGAGAAAGCTCACGCGGGTCCCAAGTGGGGCCCGTATTCAGCCGGTTTTTGGTGGGCTTCATAACCACGAATCAGCAACAAGTTCGACCTTGTTTTTTCCCTTGGAAAATTATGTTGCGCCATCATCCTCTCCACTTGGATGCGTCCCCGCTGAAATCATGGAACCTTTCCCAGGCGGCGAACCACGGGTTAGCATTCAGATCATCGGAGCTCCTTCCATCCACCCTCCTAAGTTCCCACTAAGCAGGCTAGACGCGGTCGGCGCCTTAAAATCAAAAAAGAAAAAACATAGCTCTGTACGGACCAGACAGCTCCGGCATTTGAACAAATTGCTTCGGAAATCGGAACGTAGGTTAGCGCTTCTTGCTCAATCGTGATCCTTGTACCATCGTTCTGGTAAATTTCAAGATTAAAATGGGAGCAAATTCGCAGGTTGAAAACGGGCTTACTGCAGGGGATCAAGCTCAAACTTAACAGCAAAGACCTGCGGGTGATAACTCCTCCCTGAGCCATTCCAAGATAGGTTACTGCAGTGGACTCCCTAATCTTCCCGTTCGGTGGGGTTGGCAGCGTTCCTGACCGGGGGCGAGAAACGGAACCATAATTCGCGGCGGAAGTCAATCGGGGAAATTTTCATCTTCGCTTTTGGACCTGTGTTCGATCTGCGACACAAGGATAACCTTGTAAACTCAACGTCTTCTCCATTTTCAGCCCTGCAAGTTCTTCCCCTCGTAATTAGGTCATCGGGAAACTCCTTAATTCGCGGATATGGCGCAAGATCTCGCGGTCGACGGTCGCGAAGACCTGCATCCCGTTGGTGAGGGCGATCTGAATGAGAATGGAGCTAAGGATGATGCTGCTTTGCTGGTAAGTGGTTGCAATTGCACATATTTCTGGGTTTTTCATGTCTTGAAGCTGTGGACTAACTTCTATTGCAGCAAACCATGGGATATAAGCCGGTAGGATCAAGTCTATCTGATACATGGTATATAGGATCGGCAATTGATAATATTCCTCGATTCAGGTGCTTCATCGGACTTACACGCTCTTTGAGAACTTTGCGACTACTTTTGGTGGGTAGAATTACGATCTTTCGGCGCAGAATTTCACTAAAGTTTGATATAGCTGCGCTTTACTTCGTTGGTGGTGTGCGCGTCACCTACAGTACCGGTATCGCGGCAGGTGGAAACCTAGCCTATTGGACTAGTTACCTCGTCACCCTGGTCTTCACTTTCATCACGGCAGCCGTAATTGCCGAGGTTTGCTCGGCTTCTCCATCTGCGGGTTCGATTTACCTCTGGGCGGCGGAAGCCGGCGGCCCTCGTTATGGCCGTCTGCTGGGATTCATTGTTGCTTGGTGGAGTACCACAGCATGGACCACCTTCTGTGCTAGTAACACCCAAGCTGCTGCGAACTATATGCTTGCTGTATGTCTAAGATGATCTCAGCAGTCATTCTCCCGTATTAACATTTTCTAGGAACTCACTGTCTTTAACGTTGATTTCCCCAAAGACACTGACAGTGTTAAATTCCGCGCTGTGCAATGGATTTGTACTGAAGTTTTGCTTGCTCTGGCTGCCCTTCTGAACTTCATGCCTCGTAAGCTCGGCTCCCTCGGGTGTTCTCTGTCATTATCACTGACGCAAATTCTCAGCTCGCTACTTCAAGTATGTCTTCTGGGTATCCGCTGGGTTCGTCATGTTGGACTTCTTCCTCAATCTTATCTGGTTGCCCATCGGTGCTGCCAACACATGGGGTTTCCGCTCCACCCACGAGGCTTTCATGACAACCTACAACGGAACGGGCGCCCCCGATGGCTGGAACTGGTGTCTGTCTTACCTGGCCACGGCCGGTATTCTGATCGGTTTCGATGCCTCTGGTCACGTTGCTGAAGAGACTAAGAATGCATCCATCACTGCGGCCCGCGGTATCTTCTGGAGCACCGTCGCTAGTGGTATTGGTGGCCTGGCTACCATTATCCTCTTCTTGTTCTGTGCGGTAAGTACTAAGCACAAGGTCAAAGATAATATCTGGGCTTTGCTGATCCATATAGCCTACCGCCGACGTGCTCATGGGCTTCGGATCCCCGCAGCCTTTCGTGCCATTATACGCGGTTGTTTTGGGTAAGGGCGGTCACGTCTTCATGAATATTGTGTGCATTGTCGCTCTTTGGCTGGTAAGATCCGAAATGCCCTTGGCAATACCTGCATTCTAACAATATTAGAACACTGCTATTGCCATCATTGCCGCCTCTCGTCTCGTCTTTGCCGTCGCCCGTGATGGTGTCCTCCCATTCTCGGGCTGGGTGTCCAAAATCCACGACGGCCAGCCGCGCAATGCCGTTATCGTAGTTTGGGGTGTCGCGGCCCTTGTCACTTGCACCATCCTGCCCTCCAACGTGGCTTTCACTTCCCTCGTTTCAGCAGCCGGTGTTCCCAGCGCCGCCGCCTACGGTCTCATCTGCCTCGGTCGCCTATTCTGTACCCCTACGCGCTTCCCCAAGCCGCAATGGAGTCTTGGTCGCTGGAGCAAGCCCTTCCAGTTCATCGGTGTTTTCTGGAACGGATGGGTCGTGGCTGTCTTGTTCTCGCCATATGAGTGGCCCGTTACCGGAGCTAACCTTAATTGTTCGTGACCCCCATCCACCTCCTGTTTGTGTTCCTCAATCTAATCAATCTATACCAGATGCTCCTATCATCATGGGAGGTGTCACCATCATTGCATTGGTCTGCTACTTCATCATGCCAGAAAGCGCCTGGCTCCCGAATGAGCGGATCACGCATTTCATCGACTCGAAGGGTGCCACCGAGACGGTCGAGGAGTTTGAATCCTCGACCCACGAGCCAAATGCCGACCGAACGTGATATTAAGATATCACCCGGTCCACCCTTCTCGTCTATGCCTCCCTCGCTTTTGGCGCGTGTTTTAGTTTCCTCACCACGCCTCGCGGAAAATTACTTTGGCTAATCGTCTTAATTGACAACATCGTTGCAGTTTGCCATTTTCTGATCATTTGATCATTCTTCAGAGACCATGGGTACCCGTGGTTTTCTGAGGGCATTGCAGCACGATTGACGGGTGTTCGGGGCTTTACCTAAAGCCTCGTTCTGAGACCTTACCGTTAGAACTTGATCTGGATAATACCAGCGAAAGGACATCAACTTAGCTAGAATCAGACTGTGATCCCTGCTCTTACTAGTTTCAGTGAATGAATATTGAACATCTTTTGTTGGATTTGAGTCTCCCATACATGTATTCTCGTAGCCGAAATTGGTAGCATAGTAGTATGGTAGTCTGATCTACCCTGGGCTAGTAGAGGATACTAGTAGAACCAGTCTTTGAAGTCAACTCATTCGTACCGATCTAATAGAGCTAAATATAGGTTTCCAGGTATATAAGTTTCCGAGCATAAAGGCTGTATCAGTGGTAGCCAATCCTGGAATGCGGGGAAACCACGGAATTCACGCCGACATATTGATCCGACACCCCTCATCTCTGCAGAACCATGTGAACATTTAAACTCACTACAACTTTCCCGGGCCCTTGTTCATCCACAAGATTCAAACAATTCCACCAAGATGTCCACCCAAGGCTCAAGACTCCAAGGCAAAGTCGCCATCGTCACCGGTAAGCAGACCCCGTATTGACATCCCGCTTTATGCTCCACGTTTCCGACACTTACAACTTTCCATTAAAGGAGGAGGCTCTGGATTTGGCGCCGCAATCGCCCGCCGCTTCGGTGAAGAAGGTGCAAAAGTAATCGTCGCTGATATAAACACCGATGGTGGCGAGAAGGTCGCCGCGCTGAACCCCGCAAGCTTGATCTTCCAGCGCGTGGATGTGACACAAGCGGATGATTGGAAGGTGGTTGTCGACCTTGCATTCTCCAAGTTTGGACAATTGGATATTTTGGTTAATAATGCGGGCACTACATACCGAAATAAGGTGAGTTCGTCGTTGCTTGAGGACAGAATAAAGCGAGCTATTGCTGAGCATTGAACCACAAGCCCACGATCGAAGTAACCGATGACGAATTCGAGCGGGTGTTCAATGTCAATGTTAAGAGTATTTTCTTGGCTGGGAAGATTGTGCTTCCCCGCTTCATTGAACAAGGATCTGGGGGTTCGATGATTAATATCTCTTCTACTGGTGCGAGTCGGCCGCGCCCGGGGCTGGTTTGGTATAATGCATCCAAGGGTGCGGTTACGAATGTGAGTCTCCTGAATCTCCTCTTTGGATCCTGTCTTTCCTTGGACGAAGAAGTTGTGTTGACTTTCTATGTAGGCTACCAAGGGTCTTGCAGCGGAATATGGTCCGCATAATATTCGTGTGAACTCCGTCGCGCCTCTACTTTCCGGGACTGGACTTTTCTCCATGTTTACCGGCATGGAAGATACCCCTGAGAACAGGGCGAAGTTCATTGGTAACGTGCCTCTAGGACGTCTCACCGAGGCAGATGATATTGCCAATATGTGTTTGTACCTCGCCAGTGATGAGGGAAGCTTTATTAACGGTACGGAGATGGTTGTTGATGGTGGAAAATGTATTTGATCTCTCATCAGCCATGGTTTTATAAATTGAAATTAGCATTTCCAATGGGAATTCGACCTGGGATGCAATGATTTTTGTCATTTACCCCGCAAAGCATGGGGTCGTAGTGGGGTTGATCTACGGTCATTGTTGACAGCGTAAATAACATTTTCACCTGGACAACAATGAGGGTAGGCATTAGAGCGATGAAACGGATTGATGTCTTTTCACCCTGAATGCTTTTTTGCTCCATTTCAATGCTGCTAGTCTTCAGTGGTCATAACCTACGGAGCCGGCTTTGATATCTGTCTGGCGTCATGGCCGCGAGACAACCATTCATGTCGCGGGTTACCTGAAAATGCCTTGGAACGTATCTATTCCAAGGCCAATGTGTCTTTATACGTGCGAAGACATACGAGGACAGTGAGGTCGTCGGTGTCCAATCGGGACCATTTCCGGCTGCAACCCATCAAAGCCGCCGGTTCTCCGAACAGAACCCTCCTCTTCGAGGCTGTGACCGTTCAAAGATCAGATTGATGGTTGAACCGCACAGTGTTAGTTAAAGAACACGTTGACTGTAACTGAGCATACTCAATAGCACACCGTAATGACGAGATAGAACAAATTGATTTCAAAGCAAATGGAATTAGGCAAAATCCAATGAAACAGAGTTCTGCAGGTCCAAGGTGGGGTTGTCTAAGCCCGTGTTCGGCGTCTCAATGAGGGAAATGGGCGTGAAGTGCCGCCCGTGTGGACCGTGCATGACCCCCCACATCGGCCCGGATATAACGCATTTAAGACAACGAATCCCGCTCTTGTTACCTCATCTCCCGGTCTAAATCCTCCTTTTCGTCTCTACAATTGTCTTAACGCTCCTCTGAAACTGATATCTTCTCTCACTACCCATCTTATTTTCTCTCATCTCCACCATTAATCCTCTGCTCCCTCAAGATGTCTGATGCTCTTCCTGAAATGCAATACCGCCACCTTGGCCGGACAGGACTGAAGGTGTCTGTCATCTCTCTTGGTAGCTGGCTTACTTATGGTGGCCATGTTGGAAATGGTTAGTAGCATCATGTAATCTGCGCATATCCAATGACTTTCCAGCTGATACCTGAATAGAGACTGCATTCGACTGCATGAAGGTCGCGTATGAGGCCGGCATCAACTTCTTTGACACAGCCGAGGTTTACTCCGCTGGCCAGTCCGAGATTGTTCTTGGAGAAGCAATTAAGAAATTTGGTTGGAAGCAGAATGATCTGGTGATCTCAACCAAGGTACTCATTATCCTCGTGCCCATATCCAGACAACAGTTCTAACCCGTTGCCAGATCTACTGGGGCCGAGCCAACAGCGCCAACCCTGACAAGCCACTAAATAACAATGGTCTCTCAAGAAAGCATATCATTGAAGGCATGAACCAATCTCTCAAGCGACTGGACTTGCCATACGTGGACATTGTCTACGCCCACCGCCCAGACCGCGACACCCCCATGGAGGAAGTCGTGCGTGGCTTTAATTACCTCATCGACACCGGCAAGGCCTTCTACTGGGGCACTTCTGAGTGGTCGGCAAGCGAGATCTCTGATGCCTGGCGGATCGCCGATAGACTGGGCCTCGTAGGCCCCGCCGTCGAACAGCCGCAATATAACCTTCTTGCGCGTGAGCGCGTGGAGAAAGAGTACCGCTGGCTCTACGATGCTCACGGATTGGGTCTTACCACCTTCTCGCCACTGAAGGGTGGTGTCTTGACGGGCAAGTACAATGGAACTACGGCGCCACCACCTGGTTCTCGTCTGGCAGAGTCTGAGGATGGATATGTGAAGGGCCTGCGCAAGACTGTTGGTGATGATGCATGGACTAGACAGTTGGAGCAGACAGCTGCTCTGAAGCCTATTGCTGATGACCTGGGTATCAGCACTGCTCAGCTGTCTTTGGCATGGATTCTGAAGAATCCCAATATCTCTTCTATGATTACTGGTGCTTCGCGACCTGAGCAAGTGCGCGATAATGTGCGTGCTTTGGCCGTGGCTGATAAGTTGACCCCTGAGATTTTGGAGAGAATCGAGAAGGCTGTTGATAACCAGCCGGTTGAGGAGAAGCGTCGGTTCTAAATGTCAGTATTCATCTATGTGGATATCTGGCCGTACATAGTATATGACTGTCTGGCAATGAATGTCCCTAAAATTTCTCTTAATTGGCATCAGGAACTTAGTTGAATAAGAAAGGAATTAGATTTGAGATCATTGCGATCACTAGTAAAGTATAATGATCGTCGTCGCCTACAGCAAAACCGATTGTTCGAAACATATGAGATACCTGGAAAGAGTAGACATTTTAGTTCAGAGGTCTGTTTCGGTAACATAACCATCCCATTCGTGGACCACCCATCAGTGCTGCAACAACCTTTCAAACACGAATGTACCCTACACACATCCAATAGCCATCGCACCAGGCTGTTCTGGATAAATAGGAATCTCAGTCGGGTCAGCACACTGACAGTACGACGTCTCAGCAGGAACGCCATGGCAAACATCCGCAGTAGCCGTAGCGCAGAACTCATTGGTACTAACGGAAGTTGTCATACCAGGCGGGCAAGACTCATATGGCATACAGAAAGTATCGCATTGCGAAGATCCGTCCTTCATGGTCATACTGTACCATTGATCGGTTGCGCAGGAGCAAGAAACGGCTACATAATAAAATCAGCACGAAAATACAGGAGAGTCAACCCCCAGTGCCGAAGTCAATGCATACCCCTAATGACAGTCGACGACCCTCCAGCAAGCGTTCCGTCATAAAGTGTCTTCGTCGTGTACGGAACCGCTCCATTTGTACACTCCGTTGTGATCCACACTGCGTCGAGAGGGAAGCAGGTCGATTGTTCCATGCAATGATCTGGATGCCAGACTGACGGAAAGAAACCGTCGTCGCACTCGATTGGGGGCTCTTCTTTGAAACAGTAGGATACTGGAGTACCCATCGTGCAGTCAGTCGTGTGCAGGATTGTCGAGCCGTCGGTGCAATGAAGGCGTGGAGCTGCAGTTATTTGTGGGCCGGCGGCTTCCGTGACTGCTGCAGTTGGCTGCAATTGATCGCTGATGACAGTCTCGAGGGGAGTAGCCATTATCGCGACACAGAATGACAACGTGATAGAAAATAGACGCGGATCCATTCTTGCGATTTAAAATGCTGAAAGATAAATCAAGACCTTGACTCAGAGGAAGAAGTTTTGCTGATTTGAAGCTTTAGGGTCAGGTTCCTTTCTCTAGAGATTATTCTGTGCTTTTATATCGCGTTTTTAGCTTCATTTATCAGTAGCGTGCCGGCTCATGGCAGCCTTTCCAACCTTGTTCAGAAAATCCAACATCAGAAACATCGTAGCTGTAGCCCTGCATGAAAAAAATCATCAGAGACACTGAAGCCTCGACGAAGTCAGATATCACCACATGTAACCCAGCGAAGAGATAGTGGGATTTTCATGATGGTGTGATAAAGGGCTCCATAAAAATAGCAATGGCGAGACAATGGAGGGCTTGTTTACCTCACTTGAGTCTTTTTTCGAGGTCGAGAACCTTCTAAAGTGCGAGGGCTCGGATTTCACGCATTATCCCTGCTCTACTGTGACAGTCTCATCGACAAATAGCTTCAGCTGCGGGGCTACTGGTGGGTAATGAATTTACTGTAACTCGTGCCATTTTATGTACCACCTACTCGCATTATGTTGCTGTAGACATTGGAGCAGGCTGTGACACTAATCCGGTCCCTTGCTGAATGAAATCAGCACATGGAATGGGTTAACAAGACGGATAGATGCGCTTTCTATTCGAGTCGATCCGCTTCTTCTCAATTTTGGGAACCCGAATGGTAGTTCTTACGTTGCTTTGGGTTTTTTCTATGTCTCATTCCCCTTACACAGTATGTCGTACAAGAGTAAGAATGTAGGCCCGGCTTCAAGGCTAATACTGGGGTTGTGAGACACTGGCTGAGATGGTCTGAGGTTAATGCATGCTTGGTGGTATGAGACGTGGTCAAAAGTACCATCACAGTGCTCTAGAATAGATTCTAGGCTTTTATCATGTCGCTTCAAGATAATGCACTGATATTCAACCTTCCAGTTTATGTCTCATATATCGATCTGCCTAACAGAGGGTACTTTGCATCTGGAAGGTCGATGATTCAATCACATTGCTAACGGAAGATTAGGTGCTGTCATGATCATCAGGTACATCATCCTTGATGTCATCGTGGTTCTTGCTCGCGGGGCATCCTTTGCCACTGTACTTCTCAGTCAGCGATCGGGATTACCGTTTAGTGTCAATCAACCTCTTTTTAGCTGGACTTGGAAGCCTTTGCCTGGAGACCGCTATAGGATCTTCAAACGTTGGAAACATAATTGATGTGGACCAAATTTTGATCTGGTCGAAACATCAATGAACCGCGGTCGAGTCCAGACCGTGTACCAGGGGCGTCAGTGCTCAGACCCAAATAGCCATATTCTACCATATGAAAGATTTTCCCGGGATTTCCGTATGGTGCAATGAATGGGTGGCTGATAAGCGTAATATATAATTTGAACATTAATTCATAATATACAAACAAAAACACTTTTCATATACCTGGTCACAGGAAGTTGCCTTCATCCGGGCTTCTTTTGGTGCAACAGTCGCAGTAATCCTTAATGTTTATATGCCGCAGTGAGCGTGGTACTAGGCAAATCCATACCAGAAAAGACATCAGAGACTGGAAAATATTTTCATTTCTGTTCAGCCACATGAGGCAATCGATTTTAAGCATCAAAGTTACAGTAGCCCAATCACAATATCTCCATAGAGGTCAGCGTCCAATTCCAATCTGACCTTGGCGTGAAGGTCAAGGTGAATCTTGATCTGAAGACTGCCTTTATCGTCATCTTCTTTGCCCTCCTTTCCTTTCTTGTCCAGTGCACGGGCGATCTCGGGCGTTATAAGATCACCGCCTCCATTAGCAAGGGTCTCAGGATTAACCATATTTTCGAGAGCACCACCAGCGCTCGAATTCGAGCTTTCCGAGCTCTCTCGGCCCCTCCGGTTTTTATCTTTACCAGGGGCAGTGGCGACTTCGCTGCACCGATCGACTCTCGAGTTAGCCTTTGGGATTTCGAAAAAGGAGGCGTATTGCATAAAACAAAGTAATATGAGGGTGTAGAGTTTTAGCTGAGATTGTATGTACCTGGGCAGTGCTGAGACACCGGTAGTCGATGCCATTTTGGGTGGATATTCAGCTTGTCCGGGGGAGATTTTGCTGAAAAGGTTTAGTCCTGAGCAGTCTTTACTACCAATACAGAAAATAGATGATACTCACCGGTGGAATGGCTGAAGTCCTTTTTGGGGGGCTCCAGTAGAGAGTGGCTTCTACGATGATTTGTTGTCTTTACAAGTTGTAGGATCTGTTGGTAGAAGAGAAGGCTGATGAATATATATGCTGTCAAGTGGGGACAAAAGGTCACACTTTTTAAGGATATTATTGATGAATGCGGCGATATCAAGCAACATAATTTTAGAGGCCAGAGATTCAGCAGTGTTGCGGTAATAGATTAAAATGTAACTTCTCATTGTTTAACAGTCCATGGAAAATTTATGGTTCCTTCAGCTTCCGGGACCATAACAAACAATCCTGAGCTTGAACTCAATTCCCATGTACTGACGCATCTGCATAGTCGGTAAGTGGGTCTATATCTAGGAGGCAGAAGTAGTTGCCGCTGTCAACTTGCAGGTAAAGTTTGGTGATTCCTTTACACGTCATATAAATCTGGGCTATGCGACCTATCTTACGTGAACAGCCCCGTTTTCATCACTGGGCCTTCGACTGGGCCGACCAAATCTCATAACTGGGAACTTATTATGAGCAAGCAATAACCCTTGAGTAAGGCCCATATCGACATTTAGTGGAATTACAGAATAATTTGCCGCACCAATGGTATTTGGAATTTTCCTAATGACCGCAATGGTCCCAACAATCATTGGGGTCAACGAGGCGACCAAGGGCACGCGAGATCATGAAGACCACAGACGAGAAAATGCACGAAAACAACGCTGTCATCTTTCAGCGCAATGCATGCCTCTCGATGGATCACTGGAGCAGAGATCAGCAATTCATAATGCAAAGATATGCTTGGGCCCAGATAAAAGGGTACGTCAGATCCATCCTTTGCAGCTAATTGATCTGCATCAGGGAATTTTTCAGTGCGTATCAGTTATACGAAGTAGAACTGACTGTCAGTGCAGGTATACATCACCAAATCCCCCAACCCACAGCTGGTTCCGCTGAATGGTGGTTTCCACCAGCATCCTGACTTCGCCCCTGGGAACACTGCAGGGTTCGTCACCGTCACAGGCGAAACGCCTCCCACTCTACGCTGGTTCTATCTTGATTCGCAGACCCATGAGATGCGATGGGGAGGTAGACAAGAAAGCGAGGGGAATATTTGTGGTCCTTTCGACTGGACAAAAGATGAAGAGCGGGTCACGCTACAGGGCTGGGAAGGCTGGTTGGCTGTACGAGTTCTGGACGAGAAAAGAGCTAAAGAGCTAGGTGCACAGGATGGTCAGGGTCTGTGGAAATTATGCTTTGATGAGAATGATGATGGGGCTGACTTGCCCCCGGGCACGGAAGCACTAGAAGTCACGATCAAGCGGACCACGGCGGAATCCTGATGATTGTCTGGTTAGGTTGAAGTTTGGTTCGGAGGTGACATAATATGTTCTAATTCTACAAATTGCGATCTATTTTTGCTTTCAGCTTTGACGCGCTTGAGTGTGAATCAAATGAGATATATTTGTTTGGGGTCCACAATATTGCCGAATCACATTAAACGAGTGAAACTTGGTATAGTTTCTTTTCCAATCTGAGAATAGTATGAATTATGTATGATTGATTCTATGATCCGCCCGCATGCCGGTTGCGTCCATGTGGGTCTATAATGAGGTTATGGCAGAAGGACCGGCACGGGACGCGGCCGGAGTGGAATGACAGATCCGTGGATCAAGTTGATCTATCCTCGGCTCATATCGCAGTGATTTCAGGTATTTGAAGATGATTACTTTGTCAGGATTAGTTGGCTTGTAGCTGGACCCATTGATAACATCATCTCCGCCCCACTGATCAACGAAAGAAAGCTTGCCAGTAGTGTATTGCATCAATGATTGGAATTGACTTGCGGCTCAGCATCGAGGTTCTACCCGACCATGGGTTGGGTGCTTTGAACTACATATTCATCCATGTATTTGGATAATTGACGGAGATGGACAACAATGTACTCAAGTATCACTTGACCAGCTGCTTCAAAAGTGATGGTCCAATTTACCTTTTTTTCTCCCCAAGATCTGCGTCGTTGATGTCCGTTAGATATAACCATGGTGCATTGGGGGTATTCCTAGACGCCACGGTGTGGTACCATGGATCTATTCCAAGCGAAGTAGTGAGTTTTCCTGTACCAACTCAGCATCACAATCTATGTCATTGTTTTGATGAGACAGCCTTTCAGCTTCCAAAATTTCGCGAATCAATGTGACCCAAGCTCAAGAAAGCCCACCCTGCTTCTATTTCCAAGTGACGGCTCGCAGATCTTGACCCTTTGCAAACACAGCACACTATGATCCTCGGTCATATACCCGTTTCCGGCCATTGAACATCTGAATACATCTATTCCATGAAGCAAAAATGATTCAACCAAGCCTCCAAGCCGCGCGGCCTGGACAAAAAAACGCCAGCAGTGGCGAAGAACCCCAGTATCCCGTGGATATGCTGTAGCTTCTATCTCGGCTGGGCAGCCTTTGAGTTGCAGCTGCCTCATACTGACGTTGTGGACTTTGTAGAATGACACTGCCTGTGTTTCCTGACGCAATAGAATAGGAATGAGAATTGGGTATAAGGATGTCTACTCGCTTGTCCTGCCTCGCAATTGAGACATCAAGCAATGATATACATAAACAATTCTTATACATATTTCTACGATAAAAACCAACCCCAGCTATGGTTCCAGTACCGCGTGGTGTAACTCCCATAGCATCAACTTCCCTTCTCGGTCTGCGCCAGGCAACAGACATGTTGGAGCAGCACGCGACTGTGACCAAGGAGAAGCGAACCAGTCATCAATATCAGCAAAATACCAGGAAGTTCAATGGACAAGAAAACACTCTCGCTGATGTTGTCAACTCCCTTTCCCGCCGAGACAGCGACGAACATGCAGTTTCTCGGGTATCCGATACCGACTATGCCAGCCTGCTGGAATGGATACGGTGCGAGCGAATGAAGAAGCTACCACCCGAAGGGAGCAGCTATGACAAGGCTCTTGTATGGGCGGCCTTGTTTGTCGAGCGTGTACATTCGTTTGATTCGGAAATCGAGCAATTTGCGGGTGACAGTCATCTCGCTGCTCAGCTTTCTTATGGACATTGTGCGAGTCTGCTTGAGGTATGTCAAATACAGTGGCTTACAGGGCCAATGAAGTCTTTTAACTAACCTTGAGCGTGCAGTTGGGTGAGCAAAATGCCTCAGCCCTTATGGACCTCTTTGGCTTCTTTTACCGTTGCTCTGCCGGTCTCGGTAATCTGCTGGATCGTGCAGAGCTCTTTTTGGTATCCTCGGATATCAAGGACCAGCTTGTTCTCGCGTTAGCAGACTTGGTTACCCTCGTTGTTTGCGTCGCTAGACATTTCCACCGGTCGCTACTCTCTTCGGAGTCGGTGTCAATTGATATCTACAGCACGTTTCCCAGTCCCATCGATAGTTTCCGTGGTCGGTGCGAGCACGTATCGGAACTTATGTGGCGTCATCAATTGACGCGGGAGGGATTTGATGTCGATAAAGGTCAGTTTCAGAGCCCCTTATTCATATGATCATTTCTGATAATCACGTAGGGGTCGGAATCAATACACTCAAAGACTGGCTGCAACCTGAAGACCCGGCACTCGCTCATGTTACAGAAGCCTTGGCCCCCTCGGCCCAGGAGCGCGAGGAAGCCACCTGTATGTGGGTGAGGCCCTACTTGACACGGTTCTTGAAGGGAGAACAGCAGGTGCTTTCCATCACCGGCAAGCCAGGTTCCGGAAAGACGGTTTTGTCCACTGTGATAAACGATTATCTGCAGCACCCTGTAGGAGGGATGAGGTACACGTCTATCTTGGCACCGATCAGTCAGTATTTTTCACCTCTTGTTACCGGATTTCTCTAATACCCAGCCTCCCTAGATGGTCGGGTTCCTGCCAACACGACCCCGGCCGCCATAGCCAAAACGGTTTTGTCGCAGATGTTCAATAAACGCCTCGGCAACGTCCAGCTATATCAGATTTTGGCCGATGCATATAATGAGAGCCAATTGACTGTCGAAGAAGCATCATATGACGATCTGCTTTGGAGCACTCTGTCAAGTGCACTTCAGGCTAGCCTGGTGGGCGCTAGAGAACTGGTTTTGGTCGTTGATGGTGTTGACGAGGCCAGCTGTGGCGAAATAGCCATGTCACGTCGTTTGCATGACGCGGTATCCAAAACGCCCTCCTTGAAATTGATTATGCTCGCTTCCGAGGCAGTGAAGTCAGTGCCATCCCAGATGACGGTACAAGTCAATCTGGGCTTCATCTTCGATGACGTTGCGGCGGTCACTCGCAAGATTCTTAACTCGAGCCACGCGTTTGACGATATGTCGGCTGAAGACCAAGAGATGACAGTCGCCAAGATCACAGATGCTTCTGCTGGCTCCTTCCTCTGGGCAAAATTGACCGCCAAGCGTGTGCGCGATGAGAATCCATCGAGCAAAGCGGCACTATCCAAGTCCGTGGATAGCATTGTCCAAGCGGGATACAAAGTCTTCGACCTCATCTCGCACACCTTGCAATCTAAGCTGAGCGATGATACGAAGAAGGTCTTGCTTTGGCTGGCTACTGCAAATCGCCCTCTCACTCAGGGAGAATTAGCTGCTCTTCTTTCCACCCAACCCGAAAGGGCCACCATCATCCAGAATCAAGCCGCTGACATCCCTCACCTGCTGAAGCCGGTTGCTTCGCTTGTCTTCTTCCAGAATGAGTTGGTCTATCTTAGACATGCACAAGTGCGCACTGCTATTCAGGACGTTTTCTCGAAGCAAAAACTACTGCCCGCGATCAAGGATCGTAAGGTGGACTTTGCCCAGAGGCTCTTGCTTTACACAAAACATAATATCACCGACAATCATGAGCCTTCTTTGGACCCAATGAACGGGCGAATTACGAACCAGTTGCTGGAAAAACATTGCCTGCTGGACTTTGCGCTTCGCTATTGGGCAAGTTATGTCAAAATTGCTTTTGGTTGCACCAACGATCAAGAGATCAATACAGCGGTCAAGAGCTTGCGACCAGTCTTTCCTACCAGTTCTGCTGTGCCACTCCTAGAGATGACCATATGGGCGAGTAAGGCTATACCATCGCTCCGGTCCATTCATGGGATTCAAACGTGCATGTACCGCCAGATTCTGAACAGCAATCACCCAGCCACCCTGCAGGCCATCATCTCTCAGGCGCTGTTCTATAGACAGATCTATAATATTGTGCCTGTCGAAAGCAGTCGGGTCTTCTATCAGGCAGCAAAAATGAGTCAGAATATGCTTTCAGTCCGGCATCTCATCACTTTGCAGATGACGAAATTCTTCCTGGAGGCCACGGCGGATCAAATCACTGAGTCCAAGACAGAAGTCATGACCTGGCGCATCGAAATGCTGAAGCTCCTGGTGGAATGCTATAAAGTCCATTACGCAGCGACAAGCATTGAGATCACCTCCACGCTGACGCAGCTGTCTGAGCATTATACTTTGATCAAAGAAGATCGCAAAGCGCAGGAGATTGTTGAATCTCTGGAAGGGTCCGTTGCGGACAGCACACCGCAGCGAAGCGGATCTCGACAGCTAGATGAGTCTTTATTGGTCCATTTACAGGGACGGAAGGACAAGGTCGAGACAGGAACTACCCTAGCCTTTGATGGTATTGAGGCGGACGAGGTGATTTCTTTGTCCTTTGACCTGAAAACTCTTCTGGACCAGGCCGAGCATCAACAAGCAGAGCAGCATACTTTGGAGGCCGAACAAACGTATGTGGAGCTGTGGCAACAGGCTAGTCATGCATATCAGTCCAACCACTCCACTGAGCACAAGCTCTCGATGGTGCGAGGTGTTTTCGCCTACACGCAGTTCCTCAAAGGCCAGAAGAGAGACAATGAAGCCGCATCAATTCTTGCAGGGTTCTGGGAAGAGTATGATAAGAACACTCCCAGTGCCGAGCTTTTGGTGCCTCATTTGTTGGAGATTGCTCAGGTCATGAAGTCCGTGGGACTCTCAGAATTGGCGCTCGAAGTTTACAAACATTGCGCACAAAGTACTAGCAAGCAAAGTACTATCCACAAGGATTTGCAAAAGCATATCCAGTCCACCTCTCGCGAAGTGATGCGCTCATCGTCTACAACATCCGTGATGACAGAGTCAACCCTCACAGAAATAGTATATAGCGCGTCGAGTGCCGATCAGGTTTCCAGTAGGTCGGCGATCTCGCTGGTGGAGATTTACATGTCTCAACACCGGTGGAATGACGCAACAAGGGTTTTGAAACAAGTGCTGCGAAGTCTGTGGCCCGCAATGTTTTTGCCGTCGCCCGAAAATGTCGTCCTGCCATCGGCCCATGTCGAGTACTGCATTGAACTCGCAGAGCGCCTTGCTGACTGCTACCGCTACCGGCATCACTCGATTAAGGAGGAGGATACACGGACACGGCTTTATCGTGCAGCCCGGCGCGATCGGCAGGTGTGCGGAGATCATACCTTGGAGCGAGTCACAAAGAGCCTTCTCCGTCTGTACGAGCGGACCTCTCAACCCGAAAAGGTTATCACCATCAATCAGGATATGCTGCATGACTTGACCAAGCGCTTCGGCACGGAGCATCCCACTGTGATCCAAAAGCTCTGGACCTTGGCAGAGCTTACGCGTCCGCATCCCATCGCAGTGGAATATTATGACCAGATCGTTCAGTATCTGAACAAAGACTCTGAGACCTGTCACCCGGATGCCTTCGAGCCACTTCTGATCGTGGCGACAGAGCTTTTGAAACAGGATCGGTATGTAGATGCCTTGAAGCCTTGTCGGGTGTTGTTCAATGCCCTTCAGACCCCGAATATCAGCCGGAAATTGCAGGACCAGACATTCGTCCAGAACATCTACGAAAGTTATGTCAATTGTCTGCGCATGACCAACAGTGAGACCACGATTATTCACGATGTGACGGTGCAATATCGCAAATCGTGCATTAGCCTATTCGGTGTGACTGCGTCGATCACCATACAGGCAACCAAAACGCTGGCGAATATATGCCATGAGTCCAAGCAATATGAAGCGGAAGCGATTCAACTATACGAAGAGCTTTTGCAAGTCAACTCCAGTGAATTTGAGATCGATCATCAGGACATACGCACTACTCTCGATACTATTCATGAGCAACAGAGTGCCGCCCTGACAACTTCAAAAGTGGAGAACATGACTACAAAGGAGCTACAGAAGGTGGTTTCCATTCGCACCCAACGACTGGCCTCAATCCGCTCCAGCTACGGATGGGCGCACGAGGAAGCTCTTTCCCAAATGGAAAATATTGTCTCGCTGTACGTAAAGCAGGAAAAGCTACAGGCTGCTATTTCGCTGCTACAGGAGACGACGGTGCAAGTGCTATCGACCGAGACATCCTCAATCAAGCTGGCTGCTGCAGCCAAGAGCATCGCAACTGGGTACATTGCTATCGGTCAGATTCATAAGGCCAGGGAGCTTGCCAACGAGATTTATCTCCACATTATCATTAAGTCCAGCAATAGTGCCAGTGCCCTTGGTTTTGACAAGACTTCGAACAGGCGACTAGGTCTTGGTTTCCTGGCCCAGCTTGAATATACCATCCGGGAGTATACAGACGACTCGACTACGCTAAGTGAGATTCAAGCCACCCTGACGACGGAGTATCTATACTTTGAGCAGTTCCGGGCGATTCTCGCGTCAAAGACTGCGAACCTGCAACAGGCAGCGCCCAAGGTGGCCCGCATGCACGCATTTCTACTCAGCCGCCGCCGTCACTCAGCTGCTACTCAGATGGTCGATCAGTATACCAGCTTCTTCCTGGCAACTGAGGGCTCCAATCTGGATATCGATGCTAACCAGGCCAAGGTCTTCATCGAGACGGTTCTAGAGTATTTCAGCACCCATGTCTCGCGCGACTTTGCCCGTTCAGTGGCCATCGCGAGTTATAACCGCGTATCCCAGCAGCTCGATTCCAAAGATTACCAGTCTGCCTGCCACCTGGCGTTCGCGGCGATGAAGTATATCGGTGCCTGCCATGGCTACCGGTCCCAGGCAACACTTAAATTGGTGTTCAAGCTTGGTCTGCTCATCGCCGGTAAAGAAATTGACATGGGTCCGGAAGACTCGGCTAAGAAGTACATGCTGAGCGTATCGGGAATGATTTTGCGTGACACGCTAGGCTATTTCAAACAACACAATGTCGAGTTTACGCAACTGGATCTGGCAAACGTCAATAGCTTGATCAAGGTTCTCGATGAACAACATGACTACCACACCTTGGTCTGGGTTCTGACCTCCCTTTGGAATAATCGGGACGTACATGCCCTGTCACAGCCACACCACGCATATACCCTTGCTCTTGGACGCATGCTGGTCATTAGTCGCTACCTCATTGGTGACTACACGGCATCAATCAAGCTCGCAGAGGATCTTGTCTACAACTGCGCTCGCGTCCATGGGCCCCGCCACCCGAGCACCGTCGAAATGACCGTGCTACTATCGCAGATGTATACCAGCGTGGCTCAAGGCTATCAAAGCCAGAAGGCCCGGCGCGAGCTAGCCTATCGGTACTACCGAAAAGCGGCCGCGCTGCACGAGAACGCCCTACGCGTGTTCATCGACCCCTCCTCGTCATCTACCAGCGATGTGGACATAGAGGTTATCTCGGGCATGTCATCACCGTCATCCGCCTCCAGTCCAGGCGAAAATGCAGATGGTAAACATGTCCGACAACACCTGCGCATGCTTAAACTTGCAGTTGAGCGCCTCGGTGATTGGCCCAAGGATTATTCTGAATACGAGCGGCTTAACCAAGAGCTTTTCAATGCATTCGCACATGACCTGGAGGGAGTGGAAGGTGTTGATAAATGGAACTTGCAGTCTTTTGGGTCCGGTCAGGCTGAGGCTAGTGATGACCTAATCTCTTTCCATCGCGAGGGCCTTGCAATTGCTGTTTGAGCATGAACTGTTCCATATCTAAAAGTTGAATTTTACCTTCATTGCCATTTCCCTACTTCTATTTATCTATTTCTGAAAGTCCTTCGCCGTAAAGTTTAGGCATAGTTAGTTCGTCCTTATACAGTCTTAAAAAAGAGACAGTTCGGTCGCTGTCGCTGAAAAGATAAGCTCGCCCCTCTCTTAATTAGTTAATGCAAGTAAGATGACTCTTATTTTCGGCTCGAATACCTAATAGGTTATAATGAATATGACGTATCCACTATTATAGAATCTGTGAGAAAAGCAGAGTGCCTGGGTCCAGAATGGCCCTGGTCGGCCATGCACAAAAACGGGGGACTCCCACCCTGGGACCATGGGAGTGGGGCGTGCCACGGTGGACTAGCCGTCCCTTGGGAGTTGTAAATTGTGCCCTTTAGGTTTGATACACATGAAATATGCCGATTGTACATGTGGGGGAAAAACTTGCTTGGCTTTGAGATCATCCGGGGTGATCTTCAAAGCCATCTTCCACATTGAAGCGGCTGACGTCACCGGCTCTTTGTCACTGGACCCGCAAACCGTGTTGAAACCAGTCCCCCCATTCCGCCCAATTCATCCAACCTTCAACTTTCTTTCCCCCCCAAAAGAAGAGCTCGTCTAAGGTCACCTACCGAGCCCTAATCAAAGCCACATGGGCTTCTTACAAATATGGATGATTTAACAGAGCAGACTATTTGTGACCATGAAGCAGACCGTCAAACTCGCGAAGTCTATCGGTACTTCCAGCCAGCAAACCCCGCAGCGTTAAATGCGACATGGCCTCCTGAAGAAGATTTGACCACTACAATTGGCCCATCTGAGGCTTCACTTTCTGTTGATTCTATTTTGGATGACGAGCTCTCGGAGACGTTCTCCGTCGAGGCCAGTCGTTTGTACAGCCCGAATACGACTTTGACTTCATTTGCACAGCTAGCAGCTCTGCGCCTGAATGCACAACGTGCTTTCATAACGTAAGTTTGTCTCTTGTCTAGTGAGGTCTTGGTCTGATTTGTTTATCAGAATCTTGGACCGCGACTCTCAGTACATTTTAGCGGAGGCTACGAAAACGACCAACGTGGGAAGCTCGACATTATTCGGTAAAAAAGGTGATAACCTCTTTGCCGGAACGTCCACTTTATTAAATACTTGGAATATCTGTCATGTAATACCACACCTACCAGACTTTCTTTTGAATTTTTCCCATGAACTTTGCAAAGTACAGGACATGTCTCTGATGCTGATTTATTTCTGCGAATAGGAAACGGTCAACATCCAATCAGACGAACAACAAGCCGGAACATATCCTTTTCTTATCGTGAATGACCTTAAAAAGGATGAGCGCTTCCGACATCTGCCCTTCGTACAAAGTGAGCCACACTCCCGTTTTTATGCCGGAACGCCCTTAACGAGCGACAGCAACATCAATCTGGGATGCTTGTTTATATTGGATAGCGAACCCCGGCAAGGTTTAAATGATATTGAGAAGGATATACTTGGCACAGTGGCAGCGATGGTTATGGACTATTTACAGGTCAGTCGCCAGGCTGTTGAAGGACGCCGTGCCTCGCGGTTATCTCGGGGTCTCCGTCTTTTCGTGGATGGTAAATCCAGCTTCGCCGATAATGTTCCATCTACTCGCTCGCCCAGTTTAAACAGCAGCCCGCTTTCGTTTAAATCGCCTTATCGCAGGGCGAGTCGATCTGCAAATTCTCAAACTTGCGGTTCCAATTTGCGAAGGGCACAGTCCGAGAACAATGATACGCCAGTTCGAGATGAAAACGCACGACCTCTGAGTCCAGATTCAATCGAAGACATAGGGGTTGGGATGTCAGCTAGCCCTGCACCGTCATCCCAAAGCTCGAAACAGAGCGATAACGGCTCGATGGTCTCGAGTAACACTGATTGGCTATTTCAACGAGCTGCTAATCTCCTGCGGCAAAGCCTGGACCTGGACGGTGCTGGAGGTGTGATACTTTTGGATAACGGCGATTGCTCGTCAGACCTCGGCTCCCGTAGCCCTTCGTCTTCCGTTGATAGCAAGTCTTCTGGCTCTGTTCTTGCGCTTTCCACCAGAGAGGATCCATTCTCATACCGGACGCCCTCTGAGATATCACTTCCTGCTGCCAAACTCGACAATGCGTTTCTAAATAAACTATCCCGTCGCTATCCTAAAGGTAGGCTCTGGTCATTCCATCGTGATGGGAGTTTGTCTACCTCGGATGAAGAGCAATCGGTCGGCGCCTCTCGGAAATATAATCAATCATCCAGGGCCTCGGAAGCCGACAAACTGAAAGGCTACTTCCCTGACGCCAACCAGGTCATGTTTGTTCCATTATGGAATGCCAACAATCCACAATGGTTTGCAGGGTGTTTCTCTTGGACTCCCCAGTCGACACGAGTCTTCAGCCGGGCAGTCGATCTGACCTCAATGTTTGGCTTCGCCTCTTCTATTATGACTGAATACGGCCGTGTTGAATCAGTTGTTTCAGACCGCCAAAAAGGGGACTTCATAAGCACTATATCTCATGAACTGCGCAGCCCATTACATGGCGTCTTAGCAGCTGCCGAGTTCTTGGGCGGGACTCATTTAGACGAGTTTCAGGAGTCTCTTCTCGAGACGGTAAATGCATGCGGCCGGACTCTCTTGGATACAATGAACCAAGTCTTGGATTTCAGCAAAATACTGTCCTTGGAGAGACAGAAGAACAGGTCGAAGCGCAAGAAAGATCCATGGAGACCAAAACCCCCAGACGAAATTCCAGCGCGGATGGATCTCCATGTGTCGACAAACGTTGCCATATTAGCAGAGGAAGTGGTGGAGAGCGTGTGCTTGGGGCACCCCCATCTCCGAAAGTCAGCTACGCCAATCAACGATCTCATCGGGCAGTCACCAGATTCTTCATTCGGGTCAACTACAGAGACCAATCAAGTTGGCTCCAATCCAGGTGTGGAGGTTGTTGTCGATATTAGTGATAATGACTGGCTTTACAGTGTTCAGCCCGGCTCGCTGAGGCGCCTGATCATGAACCTTCTTGGAAATTCCCTGAAATATACCGAAAAGGGCCGGGTCTCTGTCTCAATCGAAGCAACGGAGAATTCAAAGGGCCGTACTCGACGTCAGGGTCTTGAGGACATCGTTACCTTGACTGTTTCAGACACGGGTAAGGGTATCTCAAATGAGTTCCTTCAGACACGTCTATATACCCCATTCGCACAGGAGGACACACTTTCGGTAGGTACTGGGCTTGGTTTATCAATCGTTCGCGGCATTGTGAGAACACTCAATGGAAACATCAGAATCAAAAGCCGAGTAGGCGAAGGCACTACTGTCAAGGTGACATTTCCCCTCGAGCGTCCAGTGGGAGAGAGAAGTCTTTCATCGACACCTCGCGTCAAGAGCTTGGAACAGGAAAAACTTCCAGTGCTCTCGCAAGTGCTTCAAATAAAATTTCCTGGAAAGCGTGCCGCGATATGGGGGATAGATCCTTCTCGCCTTGGCGAGCATCACTTCTGGTCTTCAGTTACTCAGTACATCACTGACTGGTATGGGCTGAAGCTGGTGCCTTGGTCCGCTAATGAACACATTGATGTTTTGCTTGTGAACGAAAGTGACTTGTGTGATGAAGGATTCCCGCGTTTGCACACCGCATTGCCAAGCCTCCTTGTTTTTCGCAACGACATAGACTGCTCGAGAGACGCTAGGAAGCAATGGTCGCATATTGCTGATTCCGTGGAGATTGTTCGTCGACCTTGTGGTCCGCAGAAGCTTGCCAGGGGTATCTTGAACTGCCTTGAGCTAAAGCCGGCATCTCCTGCGCCGTGCCTAGATCCTTCCAAGACACCATCCGTTATTCCGGACCGGTCCAAGCACTCAGGCCCGAATCCATCAACTGAAGATCTCCAGTCGCCATCATTTGAAAGTCTAGGATCACCCCTTGTCGGATCGTCCCATCCTATGCTAGGTTCCGGCGACCAGGCCATGTATCCTGTGAAGCGTAATCTTTCTAGCCAGACTTCAGATACAGAAGGCACTTCTCCCCTCACATTTGGAAGCTCATCTTCTAGCCCTGCCGCACCTTCCTCCACATCCTCTACTTCCTCGCCCATTGGCTCGGCTCTTATCGACTCCTCATCTGAAATCAAAAGCAAACCTCGAATATTGCTGGTCGATGACAATGACATTAACCTTCGGCTTATAAGGACTTTTATGAAGAAACGGAACGTCACAGCTGTAGATACAGCGCAGAATGGCAGGGAAGCTGTCAACTTGGTTGCAAAGACGCTACTGGGGTACGACTTCATTTTCATGGACATGTCTATGCCCGTCATGAACGGGTTTGAAGCAACTCGTGCTATACGTGCGATTGAAAGAGAGCGGGAGGGCTGCATTGCGGCCAAGGTTGTCGCATTAACTGGACTTAGTAGCTTGCGTGACGAGGTACAAGCAGTGGAGTCAGGAGTGGACGTCTTCCTAACGAAACCTGTTTCGTTCAAGAAGATATCGCGGCTCCTCGAAGATTGGGAAATTGGACTGTCAAAATAAACGGCGTATACTTGTTCACGTCTAACATGCGAATTTGGCGCAGATATATGGGAAGGCTAAGAAAACCTCAAACATGTTGTCCCGACGGCTTGGGATAACCAAGGGCACTATCAGTTGCATGGGGCGCAACAATGAATCTTTAAATCCGGCAAGCTTTGTCAGGACACAAAACAGCGTCCTCTCTCGTACTCCGAAAACTTCAAGCCGTCAAATATGACACTGGCCTTTAAATTGGCAGTATGACGGCTTGGTTTTCGCGCGTACTTCATTTACTAACCTCTAGATACGGGTGTCAAAATGAGGAGTAGACCCCGAGAATTTTACCTATCACAGTGCCAAGTTGCAAGGATTTTGAAACCTTTATGAAGGTGCTCTGCAAAAGGACGAAGTATTCATTGGGCAATATGGACTACACATCCGTGGACTGCTCCAACTTGCCATTCCACCTTGACGGAATCACCTAGATTTCGCACTCCATCGCCGTTAACTTTACTTACATCACAGAGCCCGATGGCATATCTTTCGCCATCACCCGCCAAGATAGGAGCATGCTAGCTTATGAAAGGGCTGCATTCGGCCTAGAATAGATAGCTTAGTTCTATTTACTGGATATTGTTAGCATGATTCCTCATATGCATCGAGGTAGCTGCTTTGGGCAAATAGTATACTATACCGATCGATTCGGCCCACGTATCAACAGTGTAGATAATTCAAAGCTTCTACTTTTGCTCTACTCCGCAGACTGCACACCGTCTGGGTCAGATGCATATTTGGCAAATGCATGAGTGAAGATTGATTAGATATGATTTATAATCTTGTTTAGATTATCCCTGTTGATCATAGTACAGATACATTCTAGACCCATTTTGAGTTAATGTATGAATGAAGAAAAATAGTCGCATACGCTAGGCTAATGCAATGAGTTCCCAATATGTGTCACCGAATATGACTGCCCAATAATCGTATACTTCCCTTGGTTCAAAATTCCAGGAACGAATGCCCATTTATTTCCCGTTATCCACAAACTTGCGTTGATCGAACTTTGTGTCACTGATCTACAGACCACTATACTGTATGTATGTGTTAATTTGAACCATGCATATGTATTGCTCCTTAACAGGCCTTCGGTGAGAACAGTTTTATCTCCGATCCATCCCGATCCTGAAAGAATCAGTTCTGAGCAGTAAATGACGAGGTATAAAATTCTTGAAGTACTACATGTAAATTTATTTCTGGGGCCGCTTTTTTGTCATCACCATGTACGAGCACTTCATTTCCTTATTCATTGCCATATATCGACATCAATCTCCAAAATGATTCAGAAAGCATTTCGCAGATTCAAGGATAGACTTGCATCTATCTTGATGATGAATACATACGAAAGCAACTTGAGATCATTCTTTCTCAACCAGTCCTATGATCCAGGCCAGGAATTTTATTCGCCCAATCCCAAACTTGAGCACCGAGTCAGAGAGGCTTTTGAGCAAAGAGGCCACTCTCCCGAAGAACTTAAACCGGTGCTGCCGTGTATTGCTGCCGGGTGCGATACGGCCCATTTTTTGTATCAAAAAAGTCCATTTGACATCCAAGTATATGTCGGTGTCTACACGGCCTTATTCTTCTATTTTGAGGACACCCAGTCTTCAAATGTTGGAAGACTACAACACTTCGCAAAAGTATTTGGTGAGGGTTCATCTCACGGTGACCCTCATTATGATCACTTTGCTGATCTATTGATCCACGATACCCCTCAACACTTTGGGCCATATGCAACAGCCTGTATTATAAACAGCAGCATGGATATGATTGCCTCCTGTGGACTTGAGTATCAGTTTCCACAAGGTTTCTCGCGAATGACCAATGACTTTCCCTCCTGGCTTCGGAGACGGACAGGCAATGGAGAGTCTTACGCCTGGTTTAACTTTCCAAAATCTGTATTTTCTGAGGATACACAATTGGGGGAATATGTGACTTCAATCCAGGGTATTGCGGAGTGGATTGATCTCGTGAATGATGTCCTTTCCTATCATAAGGAGATGAGACTGGGAAATGAGTCCAATAATTTGCTCGCAAACCAGGCGAGAGCGCGCAAATCAACGCCGCTGACCCAGTTACGATTGAGCTGCAAACGGATTGAGGCTTTAAAACGAGAGACTGAGTGGGTTCTCCGGCCCTGCCCAGATGCTTTTCAAGCCTTTAAAAACTTTCGTGAGGGTTATATTATGTTTCACTGTGCCCAACCGAGGTATCATTTAGCCGGGCTCGGAATTGGAGTCCGGTGTAGGGAATAGAAGATTGTATCGGCTATCTATGGGCATGATTATGGGAAATCCATTTGCCTATAACTAACCCATATCAAACCCGATACTACTTGTTCAGGTCTGATGCTTGCAAACTTGTCTTTAGCTTAAATATTCTTGTTTTTCCTGAACGTATATACTTTCCTTGTGAATTCCAGAGCTTCTTTGCAAGATTCTCACCACTAATTGATACGTACACTGTTCTCATTTCCAAAAGGAAAAAGAAGAGAAAAACGGGTTATACCACCGTAGGTTGATGGTTTGGATATTATAAGCAATATGGTCTCAAGCTTATTGAAGCCACAAGTTACGCAAACAGATAATCAGTACTTTATGGGGAAGTTTTCGCTGTAGATCAGTAGCGGTGAACTATACGCACTATTCTTTGTGAATTTTCGACGTCGTGGAGTGTGCACTTTATGATCTTCAAATATTTAAATATGAGCAACAAGGCGAAGGTCGGGAGCCTCAGAATCATATTACTTATATTGTCAATCAAGTTGTCGGCACTGAAATGGTAAGCAATTACTGGTTGAACATGAAGGCATGGATGATATATCTACATATAGAGATATTTTTATCGAACCGTCTTCATAAACCCGCTTTACTTCCAAAGGTTCCTATATTCACTCTGCCCTTGACCCTACGGTATTTCAGTACAAATATAATTGATAACCTCGGATTAGTCTTCCTACTGGGGGCTGTAGATAGGTGGCACGTGAGTCGGATTAGCGTAGTACCGTTTATTGCAGGTTGTCGGTTGGTGGACTGCTCAATGCGACGCTCGCATTCAACTCGATGAGCAAGAAGTGGCGAGGTCTGAGTACGAATACAGAACCCTGCAAGGGAACACCAAGAGGTGGCAGAGAACATCCGATACGTAGGCTCACAAAGCCAGAAACTTAAGATGGGCTTAGCTTTGACCAGGAGGTATTGAATTTTATAAATGACAAGAATGACAATATATCACCGACAAGATCACGGTCACCAGCATGAACCCTTCGATATAGGCGGAAGAAAGCATGTACACGAATAAAGTTCCTGGTCACAGTCCAATAAGCCAGCAGGACAGTAAAACACACGGCATACCCAACGTAGACTCGATCTGCTAGTGTTCTAGACAGTTTCTAGTAACTGTCTCTCTTGTGCAAATGGCCATGGTGGTGAACATGTCTGCGCGCATGTCCCAAATTGTGTTCAATCGCTTCAGAGTCTTCCGGGATAGTGTCTCTTGCGACATATGAGACAACGGTAGAAGTCTCCGTAGCTGTGATTGTGCGCGTCGAAACGACATGCGCTGTGCCTGTGCTAGTGGAGTAGGGTTTCCCATGCTCATCAATCAGAACAACAACTTCCCGCTGCAGATAGATCACTTCCTCGGTAACAGGATCAATAACAATCGCAGTGGTGGGTGTCGGTGTTGGTGTCGAACTAGTTGTAGAACTAGTGAAAGAAGTGGTCGCAACACTCGCAGCAGTAACCACAGCCTCAACTTTAACATTGTCCCCAAATGCAAAACCAAGCGATAGGGACGGAATAGCCAAAGACGGGACAATGCCCGACAGCTCAGTTGCTTTAGTAGTCGTCGGGACTGACGCCCCTGTGGAAATTCCCACATGAGACGCTGCCGTAGAACTTGCCATTCCGGCCATAGGAGAAGCATATGCCGGTCCCCACGCAATAGGGACATTCCCAGGCAAGCCATTAGCATGCATATGGGTGTTCTCACCCTTAAGCGCAGCGGGTTCTTCAAAGAAACACTGGCGCTGATCATCCTCACTCTGCAAATCGAAGACTGCACAGTCATTGACAATACCTGTTGCACTCGTGCAAGTGTCAACAGCTTTTTGCAGGATCCCATCTTCCCACCCATACATGAAATCGCCATGATACCCGTATCCAGTAGGGTCTCCATTCGCCAATGCGAAATATCCGTCAACGTCCTTGAACGCGTATGTGTTCCAGATTGTCTCGTAGAATAGTGAGACTAGTTGCGTCTCGTAGCCCTTTGGGCATGTTCCCGTCATCACGAGATCGGGATACGCAACGTGGGATTTATGGTCTGGGGAGTCGATATCTTTGCCATTCCAGCATGAAGGGAACATGAGTTCCAGACGAAGGCCGTCAGTGCAGTGCGCGTCGAGGTAGGTTTTGTTCGGCATGAAATGGCGCGTAAGGGAGCCTTCAGCGGCGGTGTTGTAGTTTAGGCAGTTGAAGCCTAGGGCTTTTTGCCTAAGTGCTTTTTGAGATACTTGAGCACCCGACCATGATGACTTGGGTGGGTCAGGGACTGGCCAGGTAAAGTTTCGTTGGAAAGGGTCTCCTGCAAGCATGCGGAAACCATCTGGGAAGGCTGTGATGTTCTCTCCGTATAGGAGGTAGTAACTATAGAAGGTTAAGATACTGTTAAGCAGACGCGGCTAGATTCAAACTTACCTCAGCATGCCTCCAACCTCTGGGACAACTTGTGCACTGCCATTTGTGTGCATAAAGTATAGTGCTGGAGTCCAGTAGGCTGACATATCCTGCATAATGGCACAAGATGTACAATTTGACTCGCGCAGAGTCTCCGAATCTGAGCTCATGCCGAAGTCTGTCATACTTAATCAGCAAATGTATATAATGACTGGCAATCATTCTAGGGTCAACTCACTTCCTGCACCATGAACAGAGTGCACATGCGACGAGATCTTTCCCGGGTCCACAATCGGATCCAGCCGAGCAAGGCCAGTTCGACCACGGCAGGGCAGACGCCAGAACGCATCAGCAACGCCTGAGAAGATAGCAAGACCGGCCACGAGGGCAGTCTTAAACTGAATGTCCTGCATCGCAAAAGGATGTCGAGCCACGTCAACGCGCTCGGTAATTCAAAGGAGTGACTTCAAGAGAATGTGAGGCCAACGACTCGCCAGGAGTACCGAATCGACCGGTATGGCGTCGTGGAATATCGAAAGGTATTAGATGTTGTGAAGTTGTCGGGAGTGTCGCTGTCATTGCATATGAGTTAGTATGAGAGGAACATAATACCAGGGCCCCACGCGCAGTTAAGAAGACGCGACATAGGCGAGGGGCACATTTTAGAATGTGATTGCAGATGTCCAATCAAGCGCCATCGAATGTTCCTTATTCGAGTGCTTGGGATATCAGAGTGGAGGCTCCCTTTGCCGAGTGACCCCTTGCTTCCGGGCGCCCTTGTTAAGGGCCGGCACCAGGCATATAGGGATATATTTGGCATAGCGCCTGAGGTATGTAGCTTACCGTTTACTGTATGTAGCATTCAGAGCGTTCTCAGTGACGTCAACAAATAACACGGTCTCGATGATACTTGGTCGGAACCTTCATCCGTGTATTAGTTATAGAAGATCAGACTAGGACATTGACAATCTTAGTATAACTAACCTGAGTGAGGATATCACTGAAGCCTGCAGCAACTCCTTCCAGAGGAGAAGGTGAATAATAAAACGAAGGACAAAGGCCACAAGGGCAAGGAGCGAAAAGAATATCCGGGGATATCAAGGGAAACCACCAAACGAAGGACGAAGGACGAAGGACGAAGACAGGACAAGATCTAAGAAAGGGCCAAGCCACAAGATAAAGAAATCAATTTAGGGCCCAAACGACCACTAGTCAACAAAGTAAAAGCAGCCTTAAGCATAGTCCTTCAATGATAAAAGTCCTGACCAATCCCTTGACAACGGGATATTAACTGCCCCCTCAAACCCCTCCACAAGGCCCAAGCAAGTGGATTCCAAACGCGACCATTGGGATCGGGAGAAGAATATTGTTCAATGGAAATGAGCAGTGTATCTGGTTTGAATTGGTGCACCGCATGTTCCTGATCTAAGTTAGTCCGTCTCGGGTGCCCCCACGCTGCGGACTCGGATTGGACACTCGGGCGCATGCTGAAACGGTGCCTAGATTAAGGAACGTGTTTCTCGATGTACGCGAATTTGGATACGATAATGAATGAAAATCTAATCTTAAAGTCATTTTAAAAATTGATACGATACATTTTCAAGGCTTGGAACATCTCGCTTAAAAGTCCCGGAGATTGTTAATATATATTCAGAAATGGTGACACGGAATGTTCCATAACAAACAACGGAAGACGTCTATGGATAAGTGCATGTGCATAGATAGTCAGTGAGGAGTAAAATCTCCGACTTGACACTGACAGCCCAGAAACAAAAATAGCTGAAAGATCACACAGCCATTGTTTGATGTTCCCTGGTTATCGAGCTCAAAGCTGGGTTTCACTGCGGCGATCTTACGAAGCTCAGATCTACTCTATTACAGATTAGGACTTCTCCGAACATGACTGAGACTGAAACATAGAGAGTGGAGCTGTAAAGCTTGTTCCCCATTATTGCGCCCGTTGAGAAGCGAGCTATCTAGAAATCTACCTGGGATCTGGGCATGCATTCGTCGTCTACCAATGCAGCCCTTGTCTGTATATTTTCTCGAGGTCAATATCCAAGTGGTACATAGCAGAGTAGATTGTACATCTAGAGAGGTCTATTCAATATCATACATATACAGGATATCAAAGATCAAGCCTTAATCTCAGCCAAAGCCTTCTTAGCCCGATCAACCGCCTCCCGTGCACGGTGATCTGTCAAAACCTCAACTTCCTTTCCGCCTTCGCGAACGGTCTTTCGCATGAGATCTTCAGTCTCACGTAGAGATGCCCGACCCTCTTCCCGGACCTCATCTTCCCAGAAGCCACGGGCAGCAACCCATTTCTTCTGCTGCCGACGCAGAGAATAGATAAGACCGACTGCGGCAAGGGTACATGATTCGTACACAGAGGCAGAGGGGATAGACAGGTAAGTGAGAGCAGAGAGGGCGGAGGTGAGGGTCGTAGTGGAGACGCTAAAGAGCACCAGGCTCTGAGCAAGGGCTTGAAGGGAGGGGACGGTGGTTGTGAGAAGCTTGTTGCGCATATCGGGGATCTGAGTTGGCCATGGAGGCGGAGTAGATTGCTCAGGGGTGGACTCTGAAGCCGAGTCTGGAGGTGGAGCGGGTTTCGGGTCGTTTAGCAGGCCAGCCTGCTCGTATTGGCCCGAGGACCAAATTGCCTCCTGCTCTGCGCGGCGCAGGAAACGCTTCTCTAAGATCTCGGACGTGATCATGCCTACGTCGTCGACGCGCCAGAATAGCTTCCACCATGCCAGACCCCGCCACCGTGGACTAGCGAAGCCTGCCTCGAGGGAGCTACGTAGCTCTGAGTGTGCACGCTCCGCCCAATTAACGACCCCGCGTTCAAGCTCGAATCGGACGTTCTCTGAGGGAACCCCAATGGCCTGACCTTCAAGAGCCTTGGCATCTCGGGCAAGAACGCCCTCGTCCGCAGCATCAAGCAGAGACTCGATTAATGGGACTAAGGCAGGATTCAATGCGCCCTCCTTGGTCACCTGGGAGGTAGAAGCAAGCCAATCAATCGTAGGCTGTACACCACTTCCAGACCAGCCACGCTCATACTCGATGGCATTTTGCACCGACTCCCGAATGCGATCGAGAGCCTTTGTCGCACGCTCAATGTCCACAAAGGAGAGCCGGCCGTCACCAGCGTTCTTGTTCTCCACGGAAAGCTCGATAGCACCACGGACAGATTCCACCTCATTCTTTAGGTCTGACTGGCCCATGAGAGAGCTGAATGCTAGCAATCCATCCACGCCACTTCCGCATACAATACTCCGGTGTACGGGATACCGCACAATGTTATTCCGGCCCGGGTGTGGTGTTTCGATAGTGACAGTAGGTACGAGGAAAGTGTCGGCATCTAGTGTCGTCCGAGTAGAGTTCGACTCCGAGCCGATGGAACTGACAAGAACCTCCAGGTTGCCCTTCTTCAAAAGTGATGATTGGACCGCGATTGTAGGAAGCAAGTCATTAGGAATAGACTCCGAAATCTCGCCATATCTGTAGTTTCCAAGAGTCAGTAGCTACACTCCTAGATCCGTAAATGGGATATGGGATGATTCCTTACCGAATCAGCAATCCTTGAGAAGGATCAGACTCATAGGCCTCCAGAGTATCCTCCCAGTCCTCGCGCGGACCCAAAGGATCAGCAAGAAGTAATCGAACAAGTTTCCGAGCAGAACCAGCGTTGTCAAGACCAAGGACTAAAATAAGGAAGGGATCAGCCATGTCACCCAAAAAGCCATCACAATGGGCAAACAGCAGTTCAATAAAGGACACTCACCCGCAATACGAATCAAAGGTGTTTCTGATTCCAATCCCCGCAGAGCGAGCTGCAACCGACTCACGCTAACCTGCTCAATGGTCGCATCCTTTATTCCGCTCAAAGCATCATGCAGCTCCTTGAACCGCGGCGGAACCGTAGATACGGCTGTGGAAGTTGTGATGGGTCGAGAGGAGGTGATCGAGGATATAAGGCGATCGCTTCGGCGCGCGGGCGCAATCTTGTTAATGCTGGCACGCGTTGAGAGTGCTCGCCGCCATGTTGTGCAAGATTGGCAGTAGAATATACCGGCGCTGTCCAGGGGGCGCGCAATGCTCCTTTGAAGCGTGCCGCGCAGTCTGGCAGGCATTTCGAGTGCTGTGGCAAGGACTTGGGGCGCGTGTCCTCGGCGTAACCGGGTGGTGGACGAAGGACTTGGTTTGGAAGTGAGGGCGGGCAATCGGGCTTGGCATGGGTCCACAGGCATTCCGCGGATCAAGGCCTACAGCTCTACAGTCTATACTCTAAAATTTACTGTTCTTTGCTTAAGACGAAAATGAAATGTGATAGAATTAAGCCATCATTACATGATATTCTTTTTCTCGCCTTGAAACCCCCTATGCCGGCATCCAGTCCGGCTATAGCAAGCCCTTTGAGGAGCGACGCACAGTGAACTGGAGCCATCCTGCAGACTTTCATCGTGTTTAATGCACAGGTTAAGAGTCGGGCAATAGGTAGGATCAAGCAGATCGGTAGGGTATCGTGTCGATCATGTCGTGGCAGAAGGGCGTGTGCGCTGGAGGGCAGGAAGAGGAAATGCATAGATCGTTTCATAATATCAATTCGGCCAAATCCACGGCCATCTTAGGCCTCCCGAGACTGCGTTTCGCGCTGACGTTGACGGTTGCGGCCAGACCCAGCAGACCTGGGAAAACAAGTTAGAACTATCATTAATGCTATTACCGATCGAAAAACTTACATGCTAATTCGTCGGGCGACAGTCGCCAGCCCAGTGTCGTTGGCAGCTTCCTTCTCCGCACGCTCCATAGCTGCACGGTGGTTTTCCTCATTGGTCTTGATGACCTCCTCCTGGCTAGGAGGTAGACGCTCGTTCTGCAGATCGACTTTCCGGGCATCCTCGAAATTGTGGATGGCCTGCTTGATACCCTCCGCACCCAGCATGAGAGTACCGGCCGGAAGACGGCCGCCAGCCGCTGTCTTCAATTCGCTGACACTCTCAGACTGCTCTCGGAGCACCTGGAAGACACGAGAGAGACGACCAATAGCAAGAATCTTGTTCTTGATGGCTCGTCGCTTGAACTCGCTGGACTCGGTATCGATGGGCATAGGAGGCGAGACGGGGCCGTCGGGCACCGCTCCTTCGGGAATCGTCTCGGAGACAGGAGTCTCCTCCTCTTCCTCCTCCAGTTCCTCCTTGGAGCAGGTGTTGAGGATGGCGATCAACATATCGGTAATCTTCTCACCAACGAACGGCAGAGACCAGGTGAAAACATCCATAAAGTTGGGCAACCAGTAAGGGTGCGGCGTGCAGTTAAATTGGCGGATGTTCATAACGTTGTTCTCGTACTTAAGCACAGCGGCCTTGTTGTTGTAAACATCGAGGTAGTTAGGAGCGCTGAAAATGGTCATCACACTAGGGAACCCGGTTGTCCGCGTCTTTCTGTACATGCGGTATCCGGCATCCTGAGCCTCGTGTGCTCGAATAATGGAAAGCAAGTTGTTCTTCTCCAAGAATGCGCAGGCAGCCGGATAGGAGAAGAAATAGGAGCAACCGCGAACGCTGTTATGAATGAAGAAATCGCCGGTCTTTTCTTGACCAAATTCCTCCAAAGGATCGGCCCACAGGATGTCGCACATCAGACCGTGAGTAGGGGGGCTCCCGGAAACGATCGATCTGCGGTAAAATTAGTGACCGCGACTTTAAATGAAATGAAGCAAAATGACTTACAGCCTTGATATCTTCGAGGGTGTGCAGCTCCGGGCTGAGACCACCGTGAATACAGAGGAACTGCTTGTTCATAACCGCCGCCAGCGGCAGAGAACAGAACGACTCGATACAGGCCTCGTAGATCCGTTCGCTATATTTGTGTTTACACTCCAGCTTGAAGGTAAAGTAATCGGTCAAGTGGCGACATTCGTGGTTTCCGCGCAACAGCCAGAGCGAATCTGGATACCAGATCTTCAACGCCCATAGATACAGAACACACTATCCAACCAGTTAGCATCGCGCAGCCAAAACCCCTGCAAAGGCAAAATTGCGAAAAACTCACTTCAATGCTGAAATAACCACGGTCGACATAATCACCCAAGAACAAGTATCTCGTCTCCGAAGGGTCACCGCCAACCTCAAACAGCTTCATCAAATCGTAGTATTGTCCGTGGACGTCACCGCAGACCGTAATAGGAGCATCCATTTCCAACAAGTTGGGCTCCTGGCGCAAGACCTCTGTACCGGCGTGGATAATCCATAGCGCTTGTTCCTCCGTCAAACGACCTTCGCGGTACAGGTGCTGCTTCAGGTAGGCAAGGTTGGGCTTGGATGGATCATCGGGAGACCAAAACATGTCATCGGGAGGGGTGCTCAGGGCCGGCGCTTGGACCTCTGTTTCCTCATACCAAAGGTCAGTTATCAGATTGTAGGTAAAAGCGACCGCAGTGAGGGTTGTTTGTCAACATACCCTTGACCACCCGTTCCAATGTGGAGACCTGGGAGCCATCTTCCATCTGGTGCAGGGAGAAGTCGATTTCGGGGACCGGCTGCTTCTCCCTCACGGCACGCGCGATATTTCGATCCATTTTGACTCTGATTGGGGGCTTTGTGGGAAATCAAAAGATCAGAGTAAGGGGCGGGAGAGGGGGAGGGGATATGACCGCGCGGAGATGGTGGCGGGGTGTGGGATTTCAGGCGGACGTCGGGATGGAAGTCCCACAGGGGGCGAAAGAGATCGGATAGGAAGATTCTCCCGTATATGACCCAGATCAGGAATATTTGTTCAAAAGAATCCAACCGTGGGGGAGAGGAAAGGGTCGCGTGTGGAAGGAAGTTGCAGGGAAAAAGAGAAACAAATTGAATAAGCGGGCTGGGCCTCCTAGCTCTGTCTCTCTCTCTCTCTTCTACTTCAACCCGCCCATGTGTGGAATGTCACATATAAAAAACGACTCTATATTACTGAGGTCCAGTGACCAACTTCTCCGCACTGTGACACATTCACAAGATTACATATAAGATAAAAAACCAGGCATGAGCCTCATAAGGTGAGTTGCATTGACACCTCAGGCGGCGAACGTACCCTGAAACCCCCCGGCCACTTGACCTCCACCGATTTCTAACCCTGGAACCGGATTTTGCCCCGGATTCTTGTTTCAAGGACAACAATATGACTGAAAAAGATGTGATTTGATAATATTCCGAACCATTTTCTGACGGCAACCATAATCATTCCTGCCCAGTGTGCGTGCAATTATGCAATCATGCAGCTCGCATGGCGTGTGTCTGAATCTAACCCGATTAGACCTAGGGGCAGATTCCACGATCTGCCAGCAATCTAGGCATTCGGTCTTCAGAACATAGGGGCAATGTCATTGTGGGCCAGGCCATGCCTGTATATTCTGTCAAGTGTTGGACGTCACACCTTTTCGAGAGATCGGGGAGAGATGAGCGGTGAATTGCCCTTTGAAGCCCCCGACTTCAGATTCCATTCAAAATATGAGTGCTCGGCAAAGATGGCAACCTGTTCGTGTTCTGACCAGTTGGACGGTGGAGCGTTGCCACTGTCTAAACATACCCAAGCCCCCAACACTCTGAGTAGCCAAGAATTGACCCGAGGGCCTTGCCGGTATATATGGTCGATGGGTGGGACAAGCTTTAAACCTTGGAAACCCCTGCTTATCCGAGGTGGCAAAGTGGCATGGCACCTTCAAATACCAAAGTCGTTGCTCTTAGGTCTGTCTACCTGCATACGCGAATATGCAGGTACGGGCGAATATCTAACGGGCGTAACCAACCCCGGAGTGTAGTCCAACGTCCGGGGTTGCAATGATAACATTATAGTCGAATCAAATCTCGAGGGTTGCATCTCACGAGTGAGACACATAAACCTAGATTGCACCTTCCATAGCATAGAAGGTTGGCCAGGGAACTATATTCCTAGATGCCAAAATGACATCGTCAGGAGCTTCAGAGCGATACTACATACTGGCTTCATTAGGTCTGTGGCATACCTACAAAATACAAGTGAAGGGGTTCCTTCCAAGATTCAGATCAACGGGAAAAATGATACCCTCACAACTTTATGCAATTTTCTTGTGGTCCACGTTGTTCATGGGAGCCCATGCATTCGTCAAACCATGCATTTATCAGGCCGATAAATGTGGCTTTACATTGATTTCAACCTATGGTAAGAACACCAGTTGGATTTTATGGGGCCAAAAATTCAATTCGCTGCATTCTAGGCTATACTTTGACTGAACTTGCTCATGCGGTCAACCAAACGCCTTCGATCCCACCACTCACCGCAGGACAGCTTCCCCAAGTCATATACCATTGCGAAGATATCCTCGGGAATATCACCGGAAACTCGTTTTGCGTAAACAACTGCCTACCCTCTCTCAGCCTGACCCAGGACGATGAGTGCCAATTGGCACCGGGAGGAACTTGTCCCCCGGTAACAAGTACGGTGACAGTCACCGTTCCTCCATCTACTCCTACTCCTACGTGCTTTAAGCAGTGCCAGACCTGGTGTTTTGGGGCGACATTTGCGGATATGAACACATTTCTACATCCTGTTCCTACGCCAAAGTGGATTTGAAAATAGGGAGTGTCGGAGCTTATGATTGATTGGATAAGACCGTGTGCCGGAAGAGTCGTGGCTTATTCTCAGGACAATCCTTATATTGCTATAAGTTCTTTCAGTGTTTGGGCAGAATATTCTTGTCAATCAGCATGTTCACGTATAATTTAGCTAGCAATTGTAAACGATTGACTACTTGGGAATGATTGAATAAGCCAGAAAGATCAAAAAGAATTATTCTATTGATGGGTTTGAGAGATGAGAGTCGTGGCAACTAAGTGGTCGTTCATTGGATGAAAGTGCCCCCTACGATTAATCAATAGATGAGAATCTAACTGACAATGAACGGATTGCCAAATCTCTTGTGTACTCCGCATTGAATCTAGGAAGATGATTTGAATGATGCTAGCAATGAATGAATTCCCCTTTCCGCTTGGCCGAAATAAAAATATACGGCTAATATCTGCTAGGGCGCTAAGAGGGGGTGCGTGCTTGATCGAATGAATGGCAGAAGTCCCAAAAAATCCAGCTTTGCCTGGCAGGCAATTATCCAATCAGTCTTATTGATAGAGCCACGAATGGCCCATCTTAAAGGTGCCAAAGCGGAGACTTGTGTAGTAGCGTACCCTACACAATACATTGATCGTTGCGAACACCGGCCTTGGTATCACAACCAGCGAAGCAGTAGGCGTTTCCGGTGATTGCGCCGAGGATGTCTGTACAGTGGAACAGGGTCTCGGAGAGCTGAGCAACCGTAATAATGGGGATGGAAGCGGTGTCATTGACAGCAGCGACGAGCTGAGCCGTGGTGTAATCTAAATGGGTTAAGGTCAGGACCTGTGTATAGTGCAAACTTGATTCTGTTTCAACATCTAGGAAAGTCTTTTCTTACTGTATGGAGCACCGAGCAGTGCGGAACCGCACTTCAATGACAGGTAGTCGCAGTTGGCAGCTTGCTGAGCCTGGACTCCAGCAAGGAATAGGCCGACGGAGAGGATGGGTTTACCGAGCATTCTGATGGAGTCGATGTCACGAAAGTGATGTTATCTTGTCTTTTTTGAAGGTGAGCTTGATTTGAGGGCTTACAGGAAGGCTAGACACATATTTATATTATCTATACAGTCTACAGAGTTTTCCACTCCATGGAAGTCTCCTGAATTGTAGGTGTATGGTTCATGAACATACCACCCGTGCCCCATGGGGATCTTGGGGTTGGATAATTTTGCCGGCGTTCAGTATAAGGTGTGAGACAACTTTGAGAGCTACCATGGTAAGGGCATGCGAAGGTTAGTGGCGGTGGTCAGGCTCAGGACTCAATGCTACCATTGACACTTACCAATGAACATGTATCAGTACTATAGGGACAAGCGTAACCCTCCTCTTGACTCAAGCACTGCGGATTGTCAATTCCCATAGTGCGGGGGAACTAACTGGGGAAGCTTTTTGATGCCTATCGGATGTTTACGATCCAGGCTTAAGTCCCTGCAGACTCTGGTACATGGACCAATCAAAAGGACTTCGGGGTTCCACAAAACTCAAAGAGAACGTTGTTGAAGAAAGGAACGGCTGATTGTGCAACGTTAAGGTCCTATCTTTAAAAGGGGCTTTATCACCCGATGGATCGTAGGTTTTCAAAGTAGTATTGTTACCTACTTGTAACCCGACTCCACGTTTCAATATGGATTTCTGTCTTAGTCTCATCCATAGCGGGCCGGCAGTTACTGATCTAAAATAAGTAGGAAGTTCAAAGTTATACCTACTAGCGGCTACCATAGTCCCACTTTTGAGCGACTGAGCTAGTAAGTGGGCGAGTGTCTTTGGCCAATTAATTCCAATTGAATCCAATACCGCTGTCGAAGTGCCGTGTAATAGCGAAACAGTGTTAATGATTATCGGCCAGGTAAAAATAGTATTGTGTATAGCACACAAGTCATGTGAGATCATAGTAGAATACCGAGTTCCTGATGTCTCACTGGGTAGAGGTTGCCGAAAACGCCAATCGCATATAATTCCATTTATTCACCTAGTGTCTGCAATTCGCAGCGCGATTTTGAGTAAGCATAACGTATGGCAGCGCCTAGCGACAACTGGTATGAAGCCAGAGAAAAGAAAGTGCCGACTTCACTATGCATTCGGAATGAACAAAAGCTCCCGGGAGGATACTGATCCCCAGTACTGATCCCCAGTGGCGGTCAGTGGCTGGGCAGTGGAACGGAAGGAGACTATGCTCTGACCGAATGGTCTGGCTTTTCGCAAAGTTCATCATGTTCTTTATATCTGAGCATACCGCCAAGCTAATTAGATAAACAGGGAAATGCTATTAGCAGAATACAGTATCCCGTTTCGCGTCCATTACTTCGGTGATTCCCTCAACTTTGTCATCGACCTGTACACATTCGACGTAGATACAGCGCCTAAATGGTTCTATGAGGTGTGTCAGTGTCTTCTCGTTTCAATAATTGGTAAAACTGCGCTAATGATAGCCATACAGCATACTGTAAATCTGGAGAGATTCAATATTCCTTCACGAAGTGGGATCTGGTGTAATCTGGAAAGAAGAAGTAGCAGAACTCGGGTAGAATGATGTTCAATCTCGAGTACAAGGTATATGTTGTAATGTCTGCTGACAATAGTATCTTGCAATTCAAATTGATGGGGAGGCAAGTGAAGGATATTGGAAATACTAGCATTGAGTATGATTGAGGGAAGTTCTTTGGAGATCGTATTATGGAACAACCAGAGAGTTTGATAAGTAAAATTTTTTCTCTGGGCGTTGTCTTCTCGTGCCCTAAATCTAACAAAGATCATTCGAGGGAGAAGCCGGGATCTCGGACCCTGAAGGTGCCTTAGGATGCGTATTTGATTCGTATCACTGTGCCAGTCCATTCCATACCCTGTTTTCTAAAAATTCGGAGTAAAATAATCAAAAATTTCGCTTGCTAAAGAAACATCCACCAACAAAATATTTTATTCCACCCCAAATCAAGGTGAAGGTTCAGTTTTGATTCTCGGCTCAGCGGGACCCCCCGGTTTTCTCGCCCATATCCTCCTCCTATAAACTCCGTCAGTCCCAGATCAAGATACTTCAAATGAAGTCAACTTACGCTCGATGATAGCAGTGATTCCGCGGATCCAATAATGCATTCCGCAATTCCGCCACAAAAACAATAACTTCATTCATTGACCAAGGCGCCGGCTCCCCAAAGTTGGTCAAAAGCCACATGCAATACCCTTCCATCCCTTCTGACAAGTGACGAAAACTGGCAGTACCAACTTCCTTCAGCTGTTTATCTCGGGGCCAGGGACCGATCGGTACTTTGTAGTCCTTGATATGGACATCCGTAAACCCGGCTTTCTTAATTGATTCCTGCATGGTGTGCACAGTTCCAGCCTTTCGGCCTGATTTTGCAGCTGCCTTGCTTAAATTGGGGCCCCAAACGCGGAGAACACTATTTTCGGCCATACTGTTGTCATCGCATTCGATAATGCAGCTGACTTCGAATTGTTCGATCCATCCGCCCGGTGCCGAATGACTGAGCCCAGGACATTAGTGCGACTCGGGAGAGATTTGATCAGTAAACTCACTCGTAGCATTGTTTATATAAGCGGTCTGTTTGTTCTGGGGTGAATGCACTATCGAGTCCTCGAAGGTGAATTAAATCAAAGGGATCGCGCCAGGTCCAATTTTGAAGAATGTCGTCGACTTCCAGAATGCAGTTGGGCGGGATCCAGGTGACTGGAGGCGGGAAGAGGTCCACCCCGCGAACCGTCGCTATGACAATTAGAACCACAGCTTGTTTCCAGGACTAAATAGGATTCTTACTATCTGGGAATAAATCGGCAACATCGCTATGCTGAGGTTAGACTCTCACGTGACGTCGCGAAGGGTGATAAACGTACATGGCCCATGTGCCATTCCCGGTTCCAATGTCAAGAATATGCTGTTGGGTCTGAGTAAGGGTGATGAGAGTGGATGGCATGCGACACACCTTTGGTTTATCAACTGGTGCATGGAACAATGGGTTTTTTTTATGAGAATCAAGGGTCATGAGCATCAGGTGACTGTCGAGGTTTAGTGGAGGGACGAGTCTTTTTCAGAGATGACACCCACTATGATTCATAAGCCTCAAACATTTGCTCGTCGGCAGGAACACTGAAGGATAAAGATCAGCATCGGATCTCTGCTTAGTTGTCGCGGTTACCTACGGATAGGCTTGTTCACTGAGAGATTGGTATCTGCTGGCTTGGTGAGCATTTGGTCATTGGGTAGGAGTGCGAGAAAAAGTACCTTCGACCATTTTGTATTAGCCCTGCATGAATGTTCGATGCAATAGACGTTGTTTCGCTACAGACCACGTTAGCTCGTTTATTCCTTAGAAAGTCCACAGACATACGATTTCCAATCACCGGGGGCGGCTTCATCCGTGGGCAAATATAAATTTGGGTCCTAGCAAGGTATCAATAATTGCGGCAAAGCTATATGAGATAAGCGGACAAACCGGCGTAATTCTCAAGTCCATGCCCAATGAATTCGTTCATATAAACGGGAAGGAATTATTGACACAATAAAGCGATGAGGCTCGTGTGAATATAATTGAGCCAAGCTGGTTATAAGATAAAGTAAAAGAAAGAAAAAAAATTGCGTTAACGACTTCCGTTAGTGGAGTTCCCAAGTCAAACACATGGTCTGCGGGGCCGTGGAGACCTCGATGGCTCTAGAGTCTACACCTGACAAATGACACACAGAATCCTTCTCCAGTGGGAATTCTTGGAATTAAATTTGGGGATAAGATAGAGTGGATTTCAATATCGACGATTCAGCGATCAAGGCTATTTAACCAACATGTCGAATTTCCAAAAATTCCGACATCATTGGTCCATCTGCCGGACGGCACAGCAATTACACCTTCATTATCCTTTGTTCTCCGGGTGGGACCATTCGATTGAGTGCATGAACACTAGGGTTCACAACGCCAACTGGAGCCGCGCCCATGATCGAGGCGGCTACTAATGTACCTGGCCAATTCGAGTCCATTCCTACGTCCAGAAGCACCGGGATTCGAAGTTTGTGGCAAACTGTGTTCTTCCCTTCAACCGGGTCTGAGCCGAGAATGAACTCATATGCACAAGAGTCTTTAAGGTAAAACGGATCCACAATGGGACGGGATCTGATGATAAACACTCCGCTAAGCCATAAAAAGCAAGGCTCGATGTGAAGACCGTTGAGATCATTCGGATTTGGAATATAGTGCGTGGGACTCCGCAGGGACGAGTCAGATCCGCAGGTTTCAATCCCGAGATATGACCTGTAGATGTGAAGTACATCAAGGTGTCGGCCAAATGATCCCGATTTCCCCGGAAGCTTTGAATTGTGCTTTCAACGCTCTTCATTTAGCGCCCGCGAAGCATCGATCCCGCCTTAGCCTAGATTTAGCGTTTTCAAAACAGGAATGGGTCACACATTTTCCCCAATTGGAAAAGACAAGCTTGAAATGTATTGGTCGCTTTTTTCTGATATCTTAAACGGCCGGGAGTTTTACCTCGTTATCGTAGGAGTTAAATAATAACAAGATTGAGACTGTGTGTGCGGACACTAGGAGATCGCCCGAGCGCTCGAAAGAGCGGTTCGCTTTCTCCGCATCAACCATCGTACCCCCCACTTCCAACCCTGCCATCTCATCATGTATGACTCCTACCGTAAGTTCTCATGCCCTTTTCACTCGATTTTGCGCCAATCCTCATATCATGCAGGCCCCCACCTACTCCTCGCGCAGGTGCCCCTCACCGTCTCGCCATTCATCAACCTCCCTACCTCGGTTACACTACCCTACACCTACAAGTCGGTCACCTCAACACTCCCTCCATCCGTGACGGTCGACCCCAGCAATTCAGATGTCAAGGCCCGCTATGTCGTTTCATCCAGCGGTGAACATGCCGCACATCCAGACGAGATCCTCACCGCGTGTCAGTCTCTCGGCCAACACCTAAAGAAGACACGAGACGATGCCGAAACTGCGATCAAAGCATGGGAGGAATCTATTAAACAGCGCGATTTAGCTGAGAAGCGGCGCGTCGCTCCTGGGTGGCTGGACCGCGATGAGAAACTGTTGCAGCCCCAGGCGACCGGGTCCTCCGACTCCAAAGGAAATGCCGAGAGTCGAAATGCCGAGAGCCTGCTGGACAGCTCTGAAACTGATCATGGGTCTTCGAATATACCTTCGATTAAACCTCGGGATCAGGGAGAGGAGCTGGATCGGGCATTTGGGGGGCTGGGTGTGGAATGAATTAGGTGGATACTTGACAATTTCCACCAAATACCCTGCAGATATTCTGTTTTTTGAGGCTGCTCGAATATTCGGTCCTGCATGGGTGTATCAGCTAAACTTTTTCCACCTTGAAGTGATCGCGCGGCTTCGCTCTTCTAGGCGTCATACGACTCACGCATGACTGGCTCGCCCAACTTCAGGAATCTCAGTCCTGGGCAGCACTAGTCTTCGGGCTGGCGGTCTAATCAACATCAACCCGCAATCTTGACAGGGGTGTCCTCTTATCTCAGCTAGTTGGATAAGCAATGATGAGGCTATGGGCTCTACGGTGCTTAGGAAAGTCCACATTGCGCCAACTGGTCTCTCAAACCAGCTCGTTCACGCTTACAAACCAATGGTGCATGGCTTTCAAGATGGATTGGTCCTGTCACCGATCAGGTTGCAAGGCAACAGCCTTAAATCTCGTATCAAGGGATACCCGTGGATCATATTTGTAGCTATAGACGAAGTTGAATAAACCGATTGTTTTAATCATGCGAAATTCAATCATTTAAAGTAGCGTACACAAGTAGGTATTTAGTATAGGTATACCTTAATTATGCCCAGGTGGTGCCCAGACGGGCATTGATGATTCCTTGGAGGGGAAGCTAAATGCCTACATCCGCTGCAGTAGCGATAAAGTTGAGTGAATATATATTCTGTACCGCAGAGAGCTCCCAAGGTTGGCGAAAATGGATTAAAACACCACCTGGGCATACTCTACTACGCAGAGAGATCTGCAATAGTGCTTGAACTAAATACTGTATCAATTCAACGGATTGAAAATTAGTAGTCCATTAGACACCCGAGAAATAACAAAAAAGTAAGGCGATTTAGCTCCTGCAAGCAGCTGTCATGAACCGCGGAACAAAGCCCCTCCGCCCCAGAGCTGCCGCAACTTTTCACCTCTAGAACCTCCAACCACCCTGAAAAACCACGCGCAACCATAATAATCCTACCTTTCGAACACCTAAAAGCTCAGGAATAGCTCCTTCAGAATCTCGAAAATGGAGTCTCTCAGCAATGCCCCTGAGGCCTCATCTTTCGTTCCCATTGCAGAGCACCAGTCGCGCACACCGAGCTCCTTCTACTCCGGTCCACCAGTACTGCATTACCACAGCCAGCGATGCAAAATCGTCATCCTTGAGCGTGATTTGATCGCCAACCCCGTTTTGAATGCTCTGCGTGGCGAAAGCGCGACAGCAAACGGAGCCAGTGCGCAAGCCGATGAGGATGAGGAGAGCACCGAGGTTGCCATTGAGGGCGTGGATACATGGGTGGGATCTGAGTGAGTGTCAGACCAATCGCATGAATACGTTCACATCCAGCTAACGAAAGCTATAAGGAAATTTATCTTGTACTCGCCCAGCGCTTCAGCAGGAGTTTCAATTCCCTACCCCTCCATCTCCCTGCATGCGATCCAGCGCCTGCGCGTCCCAGGTACCGATACCGATGTCCAAGGACTATACATGCAAATCGCGATCCCCACCGCTCCCTCCGCAGATGACGAAGAAGAATGCGTTATTCTCACTGTCGTGCCCACCGACGAGACACCTGCAGCCGAACATACAGATACACCACCAGAGCTAGATACCTCCGATGAGATAGAATCACCCACACAACAGCTCTACAACGCCGTCTCCGCCTGCTCGAACCTGCACCCTGACCCCGTGGAGCCGGGTGATGAGGACGATGATGAGGATGGTGCAGCCAAGATCCTCTATGAGGGCTCTTCTGGAAATGGCGACCTGCCGCCTCCTGTAGCTGGAAGCTCAGGATGGATTACAGCAGAGAATATGAACGAGTTCTTTGATGAGGAGGGTAATTGGATTGCGGATGGTGAGCCACCTGCTTTCCCGCTTGGCCCTGGGGCTGGAACTGTGCATGAGCGGGAAGAGGAGAATGGAGCTGATGAGAATGGGGAGGAGGATGATGAGACTAAGTGGCGACGCACTGAATAAACGGGCAAAATAACTTTAGCTCGATATGAGATATCCCAAACCATGCAATCTCTTATTCAAACCTCACTTCTCTCTTAATTGGTTCTAAACCTGGCTAAAAGCAGAAACATCCGTTGACTTGAGACCCCTAGAACCTGACTGGGGAGTGGAAGGCAGAGCACTGGCTGAATGGCCACTTCCAGAACAGGGCCTTGTCCACCATGAAGGAATGCTTTCTCAATCATACTCGGCGCCCCATCAAGTCAGGACTTCTCTCGCGCAAGGAGATACTGGAATGCTGCGAACCTTGAAGTCCCATACTATTAGACTCAAACTCTCTGATCGCGGTCCAGTATCTTGAAGCAGGCTTTCTCTTAACGGTGCTGAATTATTTTGCTTCAATGAGTGATGCCTGTAGAAGCTAGTCCTCACGAAGCGTTGAATGACGATATCAACGCGACCATATTCGTGTAGATTTGGCGCACTGTCATGGGGCTCAAATGTTGTGACCTCTCGAAGTCCAGAAGGCTTCGGCTTCCAGTCACGCTTTCGGTGCCCTTTTTTTTGCTTGCGCTTAGGACTAGCCTTGGTATCCATGTCATTACAAGCGCTCTGCCATTCTTCCCGTGTAGGAAGTCCACCAGCATCGACGAAACCATTCCAACCACTACCATTGGATGGATATTGAAGAACCATGATCCTATTTGACGACTCACTACTGCTGGCCTGGACGTGAGCATTCGCTGCGGCCATGAGGAATAAAGCTATCGAGTTAATCGCGTGATTTGATAGCGCAGGTGCCGGGCTTAGGGCTGGACTGACATGAAATGGGCTGAGGTTTGCGGATTCACCCGCATTGGGTGTTGGCTGTCGCATCGCCGGGGGTAATAAGGACGTTGGCTGCAGTGACTGAGGTCGTTGGGGTTGTGCCCCGACCTGAAGCGGATGCAGCTGTTTTTGGTCGTAAGAAAGGCCATGTCTGGTAGGCTGCTTCCATCATACGGGAGTCCCTGGTCTGCGACCTAGTGACTCGCTTAGCGTTTGGGTCGGGTTAGGCTCTAGGTAGGAGCCAACGTCCCCGACATCCAAGCTATAGCCACATCGGAGTCTTAGAGAAGCGAATGGGATCTCCCAATCTTCGAAGCTCTTTTTCTGACCGACTTCGTAGTCATATTTGCTCCTACGCTCTCAGGCTTCGCTTGGTCAATGAAGCGGAGGCGGTCTCGTGAAGGAGAGAGCGTGACCTTTCGGCTGCAAGGCCTGGGTAATTTCTGATGATAGGACATCCATATTCGGGGCTATCTCATGTTAGTCATGAACATTTGAAAGAGGTACGTACTCAGGCCAAGGTAGGTGTCGCAGTAGTTAGAGACAATGACCAGCGTTCAACCTCAAGAAGCTCACGTTGGCTGGCTTCAATTCACAATAAGAACAACACAAGACGTAGACGAACCGTAGCAGCTGGTACAATCTTGACCAGGAAGGATCTCAACAGGCTCAGAAGGCTGTGGTAGGAAGATCGTAGGAGGTTTGAGGGACAAAGGGCCTTCCTATGTGCCTAGATGACTGTAGGGATTTTTCGAATATTAGCATCATGCTGGGTAAAAACGCTCAGCACCATCTCGTACTCACATAACCCCTTCACTCGCAATGACAGAAACCCCTGGTCATCGGATGCCCACTTCCTGACCTTAATCGAGCACCGCGAAGCATGTCTTGCTGGTGAATACCTGTTCGATTGATCTCTGCCTGATGGTAGATTATCACCAGCATTGGAAGAGCTGAAAGGAGGAAAGGCAAGGTAGGAGGAGATAGATAGGAAGGAGAGATGGCGGAATAGGAGTCGTGTGAGGTAAAGAGTATTGTCGAACATAGATTGTCTCGATATAGTCAAGGAGAACTGTGACTAGAATGCCTTGTGCACTAGAAAGGCAAATCTAATGGAAAATTACCCAGAAAGACTGGGTGGAAGATATAGTAGTAAACTTAGATGCTCTTCTATTCAAGTTCCAACTTCTCTGATATCTATGACTTATATGATGAGCTTTATTTAGACGAAAATGAATATCAACTTTCATTACTCTATTGACTTCTCTCTTACTTTTGCTTCACTTTACCTTTACGTTATATCTAACTTGTCTCGCACATACACCTCACTTCTCTTATCAAGGTCATAAACAATGATCTCCAAAACGACAAAAAAGATAACCAATCACCGGGATACAATCATCCTAAGGCTTATGGCGGAAGTGCTCTAAACAGGCCATGACAACATACTTGTTCTGGTGCGCACTTTGATCTAAGATTACCATAGCAATTTACTCTTTGAAGTGTCCTTTAGCTTGATGACAGGGCTGGATTCACTGCCGATCGCCGTCCCCACAAGCTCGCCGTTCTCAGAGACTAGTCTGTCGCCATTTCAACAGCACATTAGGTCTATCGCGATTCTCAGAGGTCTATTGCCATTCCCATAGCGTCATTGAGCGAAGTCACTTCCGCGTAAGGATGCCAAAACTGCTCACGTTGTGCAAAATATCTAAGTCTAGAAGAAGTAACCATCTTTGGCAGCGACGAAAAAATATTGTAAGGGGCTAACCCTGTAATGGTGAAAAATCTCTTATAATTACGACTAGCTAGACTGATGGATATCAAAATATGATGCACATGACGCACCAAGGTGAATAAACAGAAGAGCAAAAAAAAAAAAAAAAAAAAGACAAATCCTCCAGGCGAGAAGGAAGGTATAAGGCTTTTGAGCACATAAACAGAAGGTAAGCAAAAACACGCCAATGATTCCCATGAAGGGAAGAAGAAAGAAGACAAATAAAGATATAAAGTAAATTACTCTCTCAGAAATCCATCACCATCGTACAAGCTGCCCGGTGTACCAATCCCAAGACCAAGCGCCTTCCCTGTCGGAGTTGTCAAACCACGCGGCACAGAAGACAAAGGCGTTGGTAGACCTCGCTGGCTGGGCATACGGGAAGGAGAGTGGCTGTTTTTCGAGAGAGACCTGGGGATGCTGTTTTGAAGACGGGTAGGCGAGGAGCCGTTATCAGAGTATGTAAAGTTCCCAGCGAGGTGTGCGGCAGATGGCTTCGGAGGTGAGCCACTTCGGTTCGCATCTTCCCAAATGGTGACACGATCCTTGACGGTTCCGCTCCGGTTTCGAGTCTTATAAGTTGAAGTATCAGGAATTATTGAGGCACCAATGAGAGCAAGCGGGGTGTGAGAATCACGATTGCGTCGGCCGGGGCTTGTTGCGTCGGTATTTGTTCGGTACAATGTGTCATTTGATCTCCGCCAGTCGCTGCCTTGGGTACCGGTTATTAAAGGCAGGCCGGTGGCTGATCCAACACCCATAAGTGGTAGTGAGTCCATGGGTTTTGGAGTTGAGTTGCTGCGGGCACTTCGTGCTGGTTGGCTGCGTGGGCCCTTGAGGGGTGTGCGGCGGGGACTGCCATTAGCAATGTGGTTCTCGTATGAAGGGGAGGGAGCTTCTTTCGGGATTGCCCAGACGCTTAGTTCATGCTCAGGAGAGGGGGTATGAGTCAAGGCGCCTTCCTCATTTGGAAGCGAAGTAAAAAGCTCGGGCAAGTCACGGTCCTTGCCGAGCAAGTTGGTGGAGTCGGACTGTGGGTTTGTACCATGAAGTTTCCTATTGGGGGGACTCTTGTTGCACGACGCTACAGGCTCTTCGGCCAAGGGTCCCAATGTGCTATGGGCAGGCTTGTTTCGTCGACTGGAGCGCTTTGAGAGAGGCGATGGCGAGGTTGTGGGCGGAGGGAGAGAAGATAGCGACTTGACATTGCCGTTGATGGCACTTTCACGTAGATCCAGCTCCTCCATTGCATCAAGATCCTCTGGCTCTTCTTCTACCGTGGGGGAGAAAGCGGGACCAGCGAATGTCATAGGCGGATGGATTGAGATTCGTACACAGTTTTGGCGCCTATGGCCCTTTCGTTGCGAGTTTGAACCTTTCAAAGCGGACGGCAGAGGCTGACCGCGGATGGATAGGCTAGACCGTTGCATTGGGCTTGCTGGCATTGGACCAACCGTCTGCCCGGGAGATCCAGTAGAGAACAGTGTGCCATTAGAGTGTGGCGAGCCACCGTAGAAAGGATCAGCATCGTAAGGCTCGCCTTCCCAAACAGCCGGCTGTTGGAGCTGGCTGAAATGTGAAACAACGGACATAGATGAGTTAGAATGTCGCCAGTTGATTGTTGGCCCAGTCTGATATCCATTCATTGAAACGGGCGTTCCACTTCGTACAGATGGATGTCTTTGTGGCCCATTGGAGGATACCGAATCATGTCGACGTGGAATAGGAGTGAAGCTAAATCGTTTATCGCTAGCGTTGCTTGGGTTTCGAGAAGTTGTTGTCAAGCTGCGGCGTGGAGAAGCAATAGGCTCCATTGATGGTCTCCTTCGCCCTTCGGCGGAAGAGGAGGAACGGACGGGGAAGTTGTGAAGAGGAGGCATCGAAGTATTGGCTGCGATGAAACTTCTGCGGCCATTTTTCACACCAACGTCGTTTGCACTGAACGGCACAGATGTACCACCTGATGGGAAGGTTGGTGAGGTCAGCTCTGTATCAAGCGACCTTGGACCCTGTCGGCCATCGTCCAGAATTGAGCTATTTGTTGTATCGAGACTCATGGAAGACAAACGCATAATGGAGTCGTTCCTCAAATAGCTGAGCCTATCTGGTGGGAAGGCAGTTGGTGGTGGTGGCGGTATAGGCTTATCGGGTGCTATTCCTGGTGCTTGACTAGTGACGCTTCCACCTCGAATTCTTGATGGGGATTCTTCGAAGATTCTAGGTGGGGGATCGAGCATTTCCTGCGAGTTTCGGCTTTCCACGACTGGGAAAAGACCCGATCTGTCCTTTTGAGAAGGAAGTGGCCAGGCTGGCGGTGACACTGGACGCATTCCCAGGTGAAAACCTGGCTCCTCAAGAGTTAGATCAGGGGTTTGTCGAGGTGTTCGTTCTGCTGGCAATTCGAGGACCCCTTCCACAGCAGAGAGAGGAATATCATCTCTTGACTGTGAGGCCCTCGGAGGACTATGATGAAGGATCGTTTCAGCCACAGTTGCCATCGAACTCATGCGGCTATGTCTCCGAGATGATCTTGAGAGTCGTTTTGATCGGGATCGTGAAAGCGAATGACGAAGTGACCGTGCTTTCTGCAGGAGTGGGAACGACGAATCTGAGCCGTTCTTCGGCCGCAGGAGATGCTCGGTCGAGTTGACTTGACCCCATTCCGTTGGTTTCCCATAAGGAAGGTAGCCATGGGCTCCGAGAGCACGACCTTCCTCCCGAGATATTTCAGTCAATGTATCCCCAGTGTACCCTATACTGCGGGTATACACTCCATTTCTTAAACCGAGAACCCTCAATGCATGTCGCTCCTTGCGGACTCTCACCCAGACGACAATGGCAACCGCAGAGCAGACGACGAATATGGCCGCGCCCGTGGCCGCGATGGCCACCTCCGAGCCCAGGCTCAGCATAGCCGCCTCGCTGGCGTATTATCTGCCGAAATGATTGAAGCCGGTGCGCGTACAGTTTTCGAAGCCGTTTCTCGTTTTCGATCGCACATTCGTTGGGTATCACTTTTTTCCCTTGACCTATTCCTTTCCAGAGGCTCGATATCCTTCAATGCGTTGTAAGGTTTGTCAAATGTGATATGACCCAACACAAAGCACAACAGCACAGCATCAAAAGGAACAAGGAAACAATGTCCGGAAGAAAGCGCCATTATTGACATTCCCGCTCAAAGTTCCGTTTGTTATGGGAACATTGATTATAGCCCAAGAATGTGGCCGCATCATCAGCGACTGCCATTAGGAATGTTGGCGGCCACACTGTCGTATCCCTTCGTTGTGGATAGTTATACTAGTCTCCCGCGAATCACAAAGCATAAATCATGCATTGGCACGTCTGTGCGAGAGGATCTAAGCTGATTGGATGGAGTCGCATCCCAATGTTCCTCATCCGACTGTACGTGTTCAAGATCAGCATGATAAAAAGACAATTAGGAATGAGCTGTCACTAGGCCAATGCCCAACGCTGCTTCTCGGACAGAAGAATTATCATCTGAACAAGACTCATTGAGTAAGAGGATCTAGGGACGCGTTTTCATGTTCTGAGATCATATAGGGTGGGTACACCCTGGCAATCAATCTCGCTCGTTCTCGAGCCAAGTCGCCTGTGAGGGCAATTCGAAGCCATCCTTCTTGGTGGTTTGAAATTTGCTCATGGTCGAAAAAAAAAGTCAACTCCTTGACATTTGGGATTTAATATACTCTAGAGTCTAAAAAGATCAAATCCTTCTCGCGAGTCAGTGTTGAAGTTGGCATGCTCGACATTAAGGACGGGCGGCAGGTCCCTTGCGTGTCCAAAACTTCTTCCTCATTATCCTAGTATGGAGGCTCTTGGCCACCTAAAAAATGACTTCAAAGACATTTAGCTGTTGCTTATGATATTCAATTTTATTTTCTCCCTGCAGCTTTCGCAATTGTTCGCGTTTTTCTATTGGTCTTGCCCTAGGACAGAAAGCTTTCGGAGTAGCTTGATGTCATTTAGAGGGCGTCGTCTGTATAGTGATTATCTACATGACAATTATTCTGGTCATAGGAGGCTCCTAATAAGAAAGGATTTCTAATGGAAGCATTTTTGATGTTTGCCTGGTGTTTGCGTATACCAGATTGTCCCTTGATTCCCTGACGATCTGCGCCTCCTTGCCTCGTCGAATCAGCCGACAGCTTCTACCTAGATACCAAACAGATGCAATGGCAATGTCCAAGATAGGATATCGGTAAGCCCACTGGTTTACCCGAGAGCTCACGGACTGATAAATCCCCGACTCTCATTGACATCGTAGAGATCAGCATAGTGTTGCTTCGCCATACCATGGCATGGAGTCCTCGCGATGTACCCGCCTTACCCCATCGGAGTAGGTTTTACTGTCAGAATCGTCGCAGATTCAAGGAGTCTCTTATACTCCTTCTTTCTCAGACCATCATGCGATTTACTCCTCGAATTTACCCCCTTTCCATCTCTATGTACCCTTACTGATACAAACATCATCAACCCGAATGACAAAGGTCTCTTTGTCCACAGCAACAGGGCACTTCTCGGGCATCTTAGCTAGGCACGTTTTCTGAGCATATTCCTGGGCACGTTCATTCCGAATATAAGGCTGCCATGGTGACTGGTGCTAGTGTCAATGGAAGTTACCCTATCTGGATCGCGATCGAGAACACCAGCTTTGTGTTCGATAGGACCAAGGAAATATGGGTCGTATAGGTCAAGCTCGTGTACTGAAGGATGTTAACATTTACTATGCGTTGAATCTGTCAAACTTTACTGTCAGTATTGTATTAAAGCAGAAGTCTACTACCTAAGTTATCAAGAATGGGCTGAGTTCATGCCGGCAAAATCGTTGCTCGTGTTTGATCGCTCAGTCAATTTCGAGGTTGTGATGGAAGGGACTGCTTACTTACACGCAGGGAGACAGATGTATGCTACCAGGACCTTGGGAAGAAAGTCATTTGGAGAACGCTTTCAGGATGCATAACTTTTCCTTCATCTCACTATCTAACCATACTCAATGTTGGCCGACTCTCATCACGGCGCGCGTGGCTGCGTAGGCCGCTCACCCGGACCCGGAACTACCCTTGCTTGTCGCATGGGCCCTGCGCCCCCATGATATCACCCTCCACTGACCGCCGGCGGCACCCGTGCCTTGCACTGACCCCCTCAGCCCTCGGCTGATAAGCAAGCCACCACCTCACTCTGCGGCGGTTGTAGCGGCGGTCTCATCGAAAAGAGTGGTGAGATGCTCGGCGGTGGCGGCAACCCAGTCATCAACACGGGAGGCGACGAGGCTTTTGTCGGCGCCAGACAAAGGGACGTCTTCCTTGCTCTCGTAAGAACTGGCGTAGGCGACGGGAGAATAGGCCTCGGGTTGCTGGAGGTCATGGTGAGAGGAATAGACGGATGAGGTGGAGTTACGGCCTACTCCAGGTAAAGAGACCAATTCAATTGGAGGTTCATTGAAGTCGCGGGGCCGAGACAGGACCTCGGCAGTATGGTCATAGATGACATTGCCTTCTTCAAATATGCGATCGGTGTCATCGGGGGATACCTCGGTGAAGAGGGCGGGGATGTCCATGCGCCTATAGAAGGCATAGTAGGCGCGACGGGGGAGTCGGAGGACATAGCGGCAGCAGTTCTTCACGGTGCCCCATAGGCCCTCGGGCTGGAAGCAGTTATTCAGGCATTTCCAGATGCGCAACCAGATTCGCCAGTACAGGATCGAAAAGCCGCAGGAGCAAAGGACGACGATGATGATGGAGAGATCGGAGTAGTACTCGGAATCCATGATGATGGGCTTTAGGCGCGTGTACGATCGAGGTTCGTTTTTGGGCTTCGGTTTGATCATTGCTTGTTTTCATTTCGACAATTTGAATTTGTGTATCCCGACGACTAAGCGGTTGCGTTTGTCGTGATTATGTCGTCGAAATCGTGAGGTTTAGTTCTGGCCTCGAGAGTGCTACCCAGTTGGTGCTTCTTCGAGACCCTTTACCTTGCGTATCCTTCTCATTCTGACAAAGTCGTAGATAATCATTCAATCATATTATTCGAAGTAAGAGAAGACAAGCCCATTATTGTGATTAGAAGTCATACATTGGTTGGGAGATAATAAAAGAGCTTGAGGCTAAAGTCTTGCACAGAGTATATGAGGTCTAAACGTATCGTGAGATGAAATGAATGTAACGCTGCCTATGATGAAAGCTTGACAAATTCATTCGTGCCGTGACCTGTCGTTGTCTATACTATCCATGGCGTTCTTAGTAAGACGACCAGGTTCTGCGTTCCCAAGTGGACAGCAAAGTGACTCATTTGTCAACAGAATAGCATTATTGCACAACAAAATGATCACACCGCTCCATGGAAGCTGATAAAATCAGCTGACAAGCACGCCTAGCTTAAATTTACAAGTGGGCCTACAAATGGCTTAAGCCACCATGTATCTGCCGATCGCTGTACTGATGAAATGACGACATGCAGTGCTGGCGCCACGATTTCTACGTTAAGCGGAATAAACCTGAAACCCACATGTTTAACGTCGATCAGAAAGATAAAGATGGCATGTGCAAATCAAGTAGATAGCGGTCAGCGCAAGATCGAATGAGGCCCAGTGATCGCATCACGGGCCCCGCATAATCTCGGAATGACCGACCACGCTCGGATCTAAGAATGTCAGTTGATCTTCATAACCGGGAGCTCCCTATACTTGTTTAATAGCAATCGCATATATCTTGGTAGCTTCCCTCAGTTCATTCTAGCCCTCTCTTTCCTGTTCTCATATAATTACGAAATAAAGGTATAAGAGGTGTTCCTTTGTTCGGGTTATAATTAAGCTTCACGTTGAAAGACAACCGCGGAGTGAACGCTCGGAACCCGCCACTGCTGCTTTGACGCAGCGAAATCAATGGATTCCATTGTCAAATACGACTCGATTCAAAGGGCATTCACGACAGATCATTTTACAAGCTCACGCATTATAAAATAATGTTTCGCGCAACATCCTCTACCATTCTCTACTTCCTCAACAACCACCAAACATTACAATACTGAGAACATAAAGCATTATGAACTTCAAGAAGGCTTCTCACATGGCTACATATAACTATCACACCCAGGAGAAGCAATGGGAGGAGGCAGAGAAAGTAGTGGTGGTACGAAGAACATCATGTTTCCACCCAATTGAGCGGCGAGCTAACAAATTCATATATAGGCAAGAGCCTTGGAAGAAGCACTTAATTGCAGAAAGTGCCCCCTCAGCATCACAGAAGCCACAATGAAAGCAGACATTGATCAAGGCAACTACATCACAAGCAGCTACCCACCATTCTTCCCGAACGCCAACAAGCGGGATGAAAACATCTCCCCACTCGACACAAATACTCCAAACAACAACCTCTCCCACTGGAAAGTCATTAATGAGGCTCAGCGTCAACAATACTACAAGATTGTAGAGCACAGTCTTGACGCTCGACTCCACGAGGATGCATCCACAGACCCTGATATGGCCATTCTCTTCGCACACTATCAGGTAGACTACCACATCCGACAACACTATCTTGCTTACAGAGGCGTGTTAACGCTCTGTCGTGATGCAAGTGACATGCAGACGCTACGCAAATGGCAGTGGCGTATGGACACGATCGACACGATCATCGCATCGGATGGTAGCCATCCGGTCCAGCCAAAGGTACATCGACCTACTGGCTGGCCGAAGGATGGAAACCTGGAGATGCTGCACCAGACGCACTTATGGAAGAAGTCGTGGAAGGTTCGACAGAAGCGGGTGGAGGAGGTTCGGGCTCGATGGGCGGTTATCATGGAGGAAAGGCGCCGGCAAAGGGAGCGACTATTGGCGAAGCAGGCTTCAACACTTACGGTCCGTTTGTATTTTGGTGGGGAGTTGTGTGGATTGAGGGAGTTGGAGCGGAAGGTATATCCCGCAGCAGGTATGCGGATGGGGAGAACTACACAGAGCTCTGGATTTTGAGCTGGGATTGTGAGAATTGCATAGCGCAGGAGTTGCAGGTACTGAGCTGGTCTCGCTGCGTTTTCCACTTATAACCATATTCGGTTTCTTCTCTAAGTCGTTTCACAATCTACGTAATCTGATGGACTCTATCCATTGTAGATGTAGGCGTAGCTGTCATATGCCAAGGTGATCCACAAGCACCATAGGTGACATCTGACATGCATGCCCTGTTGATATGGGCTTCAGGATTATTGTATGAAGGATTAGCTAGGCACATGACATTCACTCCGCCTTCTTATTAGGTTTCGTGAGATGTGAGAGATCTCGGGCGTTGTACAAGATGTACCCCGGAAGTTCGAGGATGAAGATTGGCAGGCCCTCATTTACTACCCCTTTACCATGGCCTGTTACATGCTTTCTAACTAGGAACTAGGTTGTTAAGCGATGGTTCGGAGGATAACAGCCCGTTGCTAGAAGCACAAGAATTTCAAACTCAGTCCATGTCTTTGAAAGCCAAGTAAGTCTACTACGCACTTGTCATTTTCTTTGAGTAAACCCCAAAATATGTTGTGTATTTGCGTTGTGTGTGTGCCAATCATATGGGTCTTAATAGTGAAGATGCAACAATAAGGTTATTTAAGGCTCAACCTTTTAGGTGCCAAAAGGGTTGATCCATGCTCATGAGCCATGACTATCCAGCTGGCTAGGATAATCAGCGCGAGTTGGGTTACTATGCTTTTGAGAGTACGAATCTGGTGAAACAACAAGGATGGGACATCTGGAGTAATAACAGTCCACATAGTGTCTTTATGGTGAGACATGAATGTTTGTTTGGCTACTACTCTGTAGCCATAATCATGACATAGATATCCGCGATGAGGCGACCTCAAGTCGGATATAAATATCGACATGATTTCTTCCGATTGCAAAGAATGAGACTTGGTACTCGGATAAGTCATATTCGTGATCAATATCCCTTCAAGATGCGTCTCACATCGATCATTGCTCTTTTCCTCGCCAACTTGGCTGTTGCTACCCCGATCGAGGAGATTTCCAACAATGTCGCTTCTGAGGCAGACATAGCTCGATGCTCGCGACGTTATGATATATGCATCAAAGTAAGCCCTTGAAACTTGTCTACTTATCACTTTCAGGACCTCGGTTAACAATGCTATTGTAGGACTGTGGTCGAAAACACATGGGCGAACACTGCAGACATGTACGTCGATTGATTTCAAGATTTGACCAACTTGATTGCTAATACAGTGATAGCGATGCTACCAAGACTTTTGCTATTGATTGAACATAACCACAGTTTTCAACGAGCTGTGAGCTTGTCAAGAAGAGGTCATATCGGGATTTGATTTAGGGGGCCGAGCGCGTGGTGATAGTATTATACCAGGAACCCAAACGATTGGCCGGATTATTGAGTCGTGGAGGATACTTCATCTTTCCCTTAGCTTAGCATAACAGGAATCCACGGCACTGAAATCCTGATATTTGCCTCTATTGTATCTATCAAGAGCGGATCCTCTCTCCACCGTACTGTTGAACAGTTTTGTAGCCATGACGATGCGTCAAGTCAAACCTTGACCCCGCCATAGATCAGCAAATACCCTGGGGTACTGAACCCCACCACACTTGATTAATAGCTCATCGCCTGATATGCGGGGGAGGACCGTACCGAAAGGAAACCCTCGTGCAGCATTTGCGTTCAATTCTGCATGTCCGCATTCCCGGTGACCGTGACTTTCAGGGTGGGGAGCGATCACCACATATCCCTACTGCATTGAGACGAATTCCCAGGTTTTGTCGCCAAGTAACCTGACCCCACCTGCACACCCCTCAATATGTACTGGGGGATTCGAGGCCCGAGACAAAACGGGATGAGCACTTGAAGTGTCTCATTTGCGGACTGCACTGCAACTCGTTTTCTTCCGTACATCCTGAGATATAAGAGGTTCACGCCCAGGCACCGATCTCCCGCGCCCAGAGCGGCTGTGGCTGGGAGCTTCTTGCTTCCATGTGCGGTAATTACTACGCCTCTGATTTGCTGCCCGCTGCCAGGCTTTGCTACCCAAGCAACATTTGGTCTAGCACACTGATAGGTAGAAACCTGAGCCCCAGCCTCAGCCTCCCATCCAAGCCCAAGAGGACCCATGGTGCAGCCTCACTGCCCACATTTTCCCTGATTCGCTTTGGGCCGGTTGACCATGGGCACGGGGAACCTCCGTTTTTTTGAGTCAATGGATACCCAATGAGCGTGGTGCTAAGTGTGACTAATCTGACCGGTCTGCATTTCGTCACGGTTAACAGGTCAGTGCTGGATACTTGTTCCAGTTCCAAGGCCACGCAGATCGGGAAGATCACTGACGTTGGGGTTAAAGAAGGGGGAGCAAATGCAACATGGCATTATTTTGCCCGTGATTATTGATCATTTGCATGGTACATGTTCCCGAGACTGTGGCCACTAGAGGACCGAGAACGGATATCCCGCGTGGGAAGATAAAATGAGATGCTATTGATGAAACTAGTCATATGCGCCCCGTACTGAAAATGGTCAGTTATTGACCCTGTTATTTTCTCCCTTTTTCCTGTACTTTTCTCAAGGTTTTAGTACTCGGAGGACTGCGCACCGCAAACATCATAATTATTCAACCGGGAAGCCGTATAGGGAATGACGTAAGGGCAATCCGATTCAGATGGTCCCGAGCCACCGGCCCGCAAGAGGCGAAAATGAAAGGAAATGAAGGGAGCAATTGTCATAATGAATGAAAGAAAACCATTTTGAAGACGATATAATGTAGTCATGTAGAATTATCAAGATCACTTGAATCGGGCGATCTTGAAGGCACTAAGAAATGACGTCCTTTACGACCCGACCGTATGAAAAAAAGTCCCCTCAAACGAGGGGAACCAACATCCACTCGACCCACCATCTTCCACTCCGGATAGGAATGAAAGTGGGCTAGTAATCGTTTGGTGGAACACTAGCTGGTTTATAACGTCGGCTCCTGATTTCCTTCCCGATCTTTCTTCCCTTTAATTCTTTCACTCTTTCAACACCCCCATCCACCATATTAACCGCCATTTTAACCCTACTTGCTGATCATCACCCGCCATCATGTCGAAGACCAAGGTTCTTTTGGTCGGAGCTGCGGGTGAAACCGGAGGTTCTATCGCAAATGGATTGCTGGAAGATGGAGGCTTTGTACGTTATCACTATCCATTCCATCGTCGATCGATCCTTACTAACCCTGGCGCTTTGCTATGTAGGAGGTGATCGCCCTGGTTCGCCCGATCTCCGTTCACAAGCCCGCTATTGTTAGACTGCAGGATCGTGGTATTGCCATCCGGAAATGCGACCTAAAGGCTAGCGAGGAGCAGCTGGTTGAGGCCCTGGCAGAGATCGATGTCGTCATCAGCTGTGTCGGCCCCGCTGAGCAGCAGGACCAGATTCCGCTGGCCAAGGCGGCGAAGAAAGTCGGCGTCAAGCGATTCATTCCCTGTGGTTTCATCACTGTTGCACCCCCAGGTGGTGTGATGTGGCTGCGTGACGAGGTAAGAAACTGCGCACGCGTGGTGCCATCATTGAACTGACCACTGACCATTTTTTTTGCGCCCATACAGAAAGAGATCGTCTACAACCAGATTCGCCAGCTGTGGCTCCCGTACACTCTTGTCGATGTCGGCTGGTGGTACCAGCTGTCCTACCCTCGCCTCCCCTCGGGCCGTGTCGACTATGCTATGACATCGGGCAACGATGAGATTATTGGCGATGGAAATGTGACCACTGCCCTGACAGACTTACGGGATATCGGTCGCTACATGGCCCTGATCATCAATGACCCGCGCACCTTGAACAAGAAGGTCCTTGCGTACAACCTGGTCTCCACACAGAACGAGATCTACAGCCTCATGGAGGAAATCGCCGAGGAGAAGATCGACCGCAACTATGTATGTGCCAATAATTTTTCGAACGAGGGATTCGGGAACTAACCATTTTGCTTTTTCCGGAATACAGGTCCCCGAGGAAACCATCTGCAGCAGAGTCTTGGCTGCCCGACAAGCTAGTGAAACCTACCCATTCGACCCCATCAAATTCATTCCCCGCTATCTCGCCGAATACCAATACTCCTGGGGCATTCGGGGTGACAACAACCCTGATTACGCCCGATACCTCGGGTACCACTTGACCCCCGAGCTCTACCCCGAGTTCAAGCCGACCGACTTCCGCGAGTACCTGGAGTCCGTGATCCGCGGCACTGCCAAGGGTGTCTACACGGACCGAGTCATTTCTCGGAAGCACCAGCGCCACTTCCCCCGCACTGAATCGAGCGACTCGCTGTACACCCGCATCTTCCCTCGGACCGAGTCGAGCGACTCTCTTATGTCGCGATGAATTGAACGAATTTTCTCTTCCCCCGCTCCTGTGGGAGCGACCGTGCTCCAGGTTGACGCCGACCGTTCCCACCGCACTCGCACTTGTTCTTCTTTGCGTTGAAACAAATTCACGATATCTCCCCTCTACCCCATAGATTGGGGCCTTGGTTTGATTTGGGGCGTCTTGATAACATTAGGCGTTTTATGATGTTTACGGCTTTGGTGGGGAACATACACGCGGAGCCTCTTGAGCCACCCTCGATGGGCTTGCCGTGACGATAGAGAGTTGCTGGCATATAACCTAAGAAGTTCTGCTTTATTTCCGCCATATTTCATACTTTTTGAGTTTGACCGTGCTCTACGGAGACGGTCCTCGTTGCATATAGAAATTTATACATCATAACCTTGGTGATTGCTAATTTCACTGTCCGTCCACACTCGTTCCTTCCTCCGTTGGTGCTGTCTAAGACCACAGCTCTAAGCTTCACTTGAACTGTAGAAATCGTATATCTTTCATGATTCGTATATCTTTCATGGTTTCCACGAACCGCTGGCATGGATCTGTCCGAATATCTACGCCAGCGAAATCGGTCTTCAAATTATGAATCTGCACAAAGTATACCTGCCCCGTCGATTGCATCTGCGAGGACTGCTCCGGAACACCAAGAGGCCACCCGACATGGACCTCATGGGGATGTTACCTTTGGGTTTGTCGACATCTACCAGTCTCTATCACCTCGTCAAGTCGGAGTTATCGGTTTGTGGAGACCCCTTCGTAAGTGAAAAGGGCACACTAATTTGTGTCTACAGCGGTTGGGTCAGCCATTGGCACGGGCTTGATGATCGGGACTGCCAGGGCTCTCACAATGTAAGCCCTTTCATCACACATGACGGACTCTTGATCGTGAATTAAACTAACTGGGCAACAGGAGCGGCGTGAGTGATATTGATCTACAACGCTTCTGCGCATGACGAGCTAATGGTCTACAGCCGGCTGCCATGATGATATCATACAGCTTCGTCGGGTTCTCGGTATACTTGGTTCTATTGGCCTTGGGTGAAGTCGCTGCTTGGTTGCCAAAGCCATATACCGTGGCAGACCAGGCCGTTCGATTCGTTGATCCGGCTTTGGGCTTCAGTGTGGGTTGGATGTGAGTTTCACAATGAGCCTTTTTGTGATACCGTCTCACCGGCTGATATAGATACTGGCTGAAATATGCCATCGTCACCCCAAATCAATTGACGGCCGCCGCTCTACTCATTTCGTATTGGGTTGATGCTGACAGGATCAACCCCGGTGTGTGGATTTCTGTTCTGCTTTTCGTGATCATCCTCGTCAACTTTGTTCACCATGGACTCCCCAGTCGAGTCGAGTTTTACGTTTCATCCTTCAAATTATTCATCATGTCCGCTCTAATGATCTTGTCGATGGTCATTGCTGTGGGAGGAGGACCAGATCATGATACTCGAGGATTCCGATTTTGGTATAAGCCCGGTGTGTTTGATCTATTCGGGGCTCGGGTGAATCACGGGTTGCTCGAGAAGTTTTTGGAGACCTGCGCAACAACGTCTTCGGCGACGTTCGCCTTCATTGGGAGTGAACGGTCGGGCATTATGGTCCGGGCTCCTAACATACGAAAGGCTATTTCCCGTGCCATTAAGCACACATTCTATCGGGTGTTGGTGTTTCATCTTTTGGGAATCACTCTGTTGGGTATGCTCGTTCCTCGAGACTCGATCAGACTGGCCTTTGCTCGTGATTCGACCAAAGGTGCTGCCGCATCTCCTTTCGTTGCGGCCATTTATCTCTCCGGCATCGCAGTGGTGCCGGACATTCTGAACGGTTGCATTCTGTTATTCGTGTTGTCCATAGCCAATTATGACCTTTACCTGGCCACCAAGGCGATGTGCGATCTCTCTCTCAAGCGCCGTGCGCCTTCTTTTCTTCTCTACACCAATCGCCGCGGAGTTCCCGTCTACGCTCTAGCTGTATCCTCATCTGTCGCAACATTAGCTTATGTCAACGTCGCCGAGGATTCACGGCTTGTATTTGGCTATCTCGTGGATATGGTGACGACGCTTGGTCTTTTGGTCTGGGTGTGCATCCTCATCACTCACATCGCTTTTGTGCGGGCACGCAAAGCCCAGGGTATCCCCGATGAGGTACTTACATTTCGCGCCCGGTTCGGTCTTGCTGGGACCTGGCTAGGTCTTGTACTCTGTCTGTTCATATCGATAACCATGGTTCTTGGCGCGTTCACATTTGATCGTAATGGCAAGCTCATGTTCCACTATCAGTCCGCTGTGGCGTCATTCGTGGGTGTCCCGATCTTTTTGATATTAATTTTGGGGTATAAATTAGCGATGCGCACCAAACATGTGAATTCAAGGAATGCGGATATGTGGACTGGCAAGTTGGATATTTGATTCGACCGGTTGTTACCTGCCCAGGTGTAGAGGTCGTTTTGAATGGTTGAGTGTGTTCCTCTGCTCCTGGCGCTCATCAAGAAATATACGTACCTGTGTTCTGCAGTTTTTGACTTGCCATATCCCAGCCCTAGGGTGACTCTGTCATCCCAGATGTCCGAGGGCCTGAAATGAAATGCATTGATACACGCACAAGTACACACATTCCGCCACCCGTGGACGTGGCCTGTCATATACGGGGATGATATCCTACCCGCCGAGTCGGTGCGGCAAACCAACCACGATCTGCATCATCAGCCATCATTAATTTTCTTTGCCCCCGCTTCTGCACCTTACCCATGGAAGGATTTTTGCCATCAAAATGGCTTGAAAGCTTGCTTTTCCTTGTCACAGAATTGTTAGTCCGCTTTCATGACCTGACAAGGTAAGATTCTAGTCAAATATTTGTACCGCCGCAGTTCCGCGGGTCAAAGCCTAGGATACGATGTCTTTGCATTGGAGCACTTTGCATGTATACTATAGTGAGATATTTGATAACATTTCGAGGAATTTTCAAGCAAGCGTTTAGGTAGAACGAACAGCTTAGCCTAGCCTAGCTTAAAGCCCCAGCGAGCAATATAGAGGGTAAAGTCGCCTTCAGCCCAGGGACGGCGGTGAAAATGGAGGTGAGCAGGCTATCGATCTCCGACGCACTACATGCATAATGTTGCGCAATAATGTGGGGTACTTTAATAGGTAGACCTCCTGGGGGTGGATCGTCGATCCAATAACTTGCCAGGGACGAACTGCATACCCAATTCGCACCAACACATGTATCTTTTCCGAGTTTCGGGAATAACAATACCGTTTTCGAGAGACTTAGCATTTCAAATGATATGGGCCAGACAGGATATTTAGATGTGATATTCCAGTTCTCAATTACCGGATCACATGCTAATCCAGGCAGTAAAAAGTACAACATGTACAGTAACTGCCAGGGTTGTCTCCAAACCATTCTATCGATGATCAGGAACGGCAGTTGGCCGATCAATTCTGTATATTATAATCCATACACCGTATTCACCTGGCATATGATACTCGGTGGAGAAATTCGTATCTAGACCCCGAAAGGCTGTAGCTTGGACCCCCACTTCACATGCAGGTCGGTCTAAATTGAACTTCTCGCCGGGAAAGCGACCAGGCAGTTGCAGTGCCGATAGTATTTCAACCTTCCTATTTGGTGCTTCCTTCCTATTTAGTGCTGGGGAATTTCTATTAGCCGTAAACTCAGATGTACGGTGTACCTGTCTCAGTCTATCTGCTCTGGATCTATTATTGGGCTTTGTGACAGATAGATTGTGGACAGGCGATGACGGTGGCCGGGACAGAGATCTCCGGTTGGGATTATAATTGCGTCTAATTGCGTGTAAATGCGTATAAATGCGTATAACTGTGGCTATTTAAAGGACTTTTGTGTTTGACTGTTATAATGTTGCGTGGGGGTCTGATACACGCAATCGGAATGGAATAATAGGCGCAGGAACAGAGGGATAAGCCGGCAGTACAAACAAAGTTGGGGGAACGATAGGCAAAAGCATAAAATCCATAAAGAAGTTCATCAAGTTCATGGGCACTCGGCTCTTTGTGAAATACACTTTTGTTGGGGTTGGTTTCAGGCATGTGAAGGGTGAGATTGGTCAGTGTCACCACTTAGTCAACCTTCACCTGTTTTCACGTGAAAGACTCTGCGCCGAACGCGAATCTTGCCACTTTCTTCGCTCCACCCAGACTCCCAAATAATGCTTCCACCGCCGTGATGGATCTCGAAACTCATTCCGACGATCGTACTCGTCGGGCCGCCAGCGTGCTATCTATGGACGACCTCGAGGCCGCGCAAGCTCTTGAGGGCCTTCGCACAGGTGCGTTACCGAAAACAGTCACTCGGCCTATACTCCCCCAGTCGTGATTATATGAAATCACCTGGAAACTATTCTGCGACTAGGCTATACTAAGCGTCGCAGCGCTCCTATGCGGATAATAAAAATGAAGCAACCAGGCTAATCATTTCTCCCTAGAATACGGACAGTCACCACTAGCATCGCGGCAAACCATACCGGGAACAACGCCGAACTCTTCACAAGCTGCGGAGCCGCTGCTCTCACTGCTAACGTCGTCGCATCCACTCATATCCTCTGCTATCAACGGCTCAGTGTCTGCATACACCACCTCCAAGTCCTACTCCGCACGCTTCAAGTCTAGCGCCGAGTTTATCGAGCGCAATATCGGCTCACCTGTCGCGAATACGGTGGGCACTGTTGGCCGCAAGACCGGTGTTGAAAGTGGTCTGCGCTGGGCGCTGCAACGACGAGAATCTCCACAGGACTCGAATCCTACCAATAAGCGCCGCAAGGTGTCCGAAACCACGCCGGATATGGATGTTGAGAAGGGCCCAGAGGATGCGATGATCCAGAGCCGACCACGAACACGAAGTTCTTCCGATCTGTCGATGGCTGAGACGCTTCCACCTTATGACGATGCACGGTCACCTCGGTATGAGGAGAAACAAGTGCGACAGAATCCGACATGGCAGAGCCGACTGGTCATTTCAACCTCGGGTTTAGGTGTTGCGATGAGCGAGGAGTCACTACGTAGCTTGACCTATTGTTTGACCTGGCTGCGCTGGGCAAACGGGAGACTCGGCAAGGCTATCGTGGCGCTTCAGAATGCTTTAACAGAGTGGGACTCCCAAAAGAAAAACCAATCCCAACAAACCGACCTTGAAGGTGGGGAAAGTGCGTCGCTCTTGACACAGCGTATTCAGGCTGTCAAGGCAGACGTGCTTTCAACGTTGAAGCAGGTTGTCGACGTTGTATCGAAGTATGCTGGAGGAGCGTTGCCAGAAAACGCCCGTCATCTCGTACGACGACACTTGACATCCTTGCCTCACCGATTCCAAATGGCTAGTACCTCTCAACCACCACCCGGCTCCGTCGAGGCCTCTTCAGATGCGACTGTCGGTGCGCACCGAATCCTCGTCTTGGCCAACGAAAGCTTGGATATTTTGGGCCAGGTCAGCGGTGTAGTCAACGATACCCTTGTTAGTGCCGAGCACTGGTGCGAGCGGCTTGGGCGCAAGCGCCCCGATAACAAATCCGCGCAGGATGCGGAGAAACAGAATCCATCTGCGACACCGGACGCTCAACCGTACGGAATGGATATCAAGCAGCCTCTGGGAGAGGGTGCTCCTGGAGACGTGCAGATGGCTGGAACTGAGAAAGTTTGATTGATACCCTGGTAATACCTTTGGACCGCCTCTCCTTACACCTTTTTCTTGTCTATCTTTTGTCATTTTCTATCTTATGTGTCTGTGACGGTACTTTATGATTGATATCCAATAGCTGTTATTATGCACTCTTTTAGCTGTGCAATCGGGAATCTTGCACTCAATTGGATTATGGTGGTTTTTGGTTTGAATAAATTTATGGATTCAAACCACTTGAAAAAGTTGCCTTCGCTTTTTTGCTATATGAACATATTGCATCAATGCACCTGAGGTTGAAGTTTCTCCAAAAGCTCCAAGGCTTTACATCATCTAGATTGATCAAATCTCCCGACAAGTAGAGCATGGCCTCTACGCACTGATAGATGGGATGCGGTGGCAGATGTTGCCAATGCCTACTCTCACCTAGAACCCGGGCATCGTTTCACTGTTGACGTAGAACGTCTCTAAAGACGTATTAAACCCGTTAAACTTGGTCGCCGTGGTACTCGTGTATGCTATTGAAGTCAGCAGTGATCAGAAAGCCTCAATTTCACGCAATTTGAAATACGTACCGCCCATATTCATATACTTCAGCCAATCCCCAATCATAACTTCCTCCCCAAACCTCGCTTCCTTGGCCACACAATCAATCCCATCACACGTCGGCCCCCAAACAGAGTACCGATACTCCTTATTACCCTTGCTCTTTCCTCTCTTCCTCACCAAGATAGGCACCATAACCTCCTTCTCCATAACGACATTCATGAAACTCCCATATACACCGTCATTTTGATAAAGCATATCAGGCACACCTTGTACAGCCGCAACACCCATCTGCCGACGACGGGCAATAACTCTTGAAACAAGCGTATACGCACTGCGAGCGTAGAATCGACCTGGTTCCGCAATAGCGGTTACACCAGCTGGGAACTCGGTGCGGATTGACTGCAGGATATGCGAAGATATGGATTCAAAGCTGCTATCTTCGAAGCCGCCACCAATGTCGAGGATGCTAGGTGTGAAACCTAGATTGTTGGCTTGCGTGAAGACTTGACGGGCGTGTTGGATTGCTTTGCTAAATGCCGTGGGGGATTTGGCTCCGGTTCCTGGATAATTGTTAACACCGTTCACAAATTCAAAATATCTCAATTCCAACACTTACCAACATGAAAACTAACACCCACGACATCAAATCCAAGCTCCCTCGCTCTAACCAATAAGGCCTGCGTCGTATCCAACGGTGCACCAAACTTCTCCCCAAAGCTAATCAGCGCACTATCGTCATTGGCATAAATCCGCAATAACAGCTGTGCCTCAGGCATATGCGTCTTGATTGTATCCAATTCATCGATATTATCAAACGTCGTACGTAGCACTCCAGCTTCACGAGCGAAGACCAAGGATGCAGCAGCCTTGCACGGATTTGCGAATAAAATTCGAGCAGGATCAACACCTAAACTGAGGACCGTACGCATCTCCTCGATAGAAGCGCAATCAAATCCTGTACCATGATCGGCGAGACATTTCAGGAGCGTCGGGTCGGAGTTACATTTTATTGCTGGTGATGCATTGTCAGTCTGGATTGCAACTTTTTGCCAGCCGAAAGAGAAGAGTACCGTAATACGGTCGAATATCAGGAAAGCAACGTGTCCATCTCTGGTGTTGTCTCGTAATCTGACCTAAATCTGCGATGTAGAAAGCTTCGTCGCCACCTACTAGACCGCGTTTATCTATACACGTAATGTTTCTCTGAATTGCAAGGTCGATTAACTCGTCTGGGATAGGCTTGGTGTATTCGATCGACCTTTCTGAATGGCGAATCTCTCTTTGAACGGGAACAGAGCTAGGGAAGGGGAGGAGATCCATGATTCGGGCTGGCTCAAGCGCACAGTTCGGTGAAACAGTAAATGGATATCGTACAATGTCGACACTCACGCAGGCAGAAGTGCAATTTGTCGCTTTCTACGGGAAAACACGCCAGTATAAAGATTAGGTGCAGGTATCGTGGAATTGCACCATACAGGGGTGCTAAGCTGCACGATCCTCGTTCTGCCAGGTTTGGGGGCGTGTCGCATACTTGAGACATCTCAATGGGTTAGCAAGGAGGGTCTTTTACGTAAAGAATATGTACCTCCCGCAGCTGAGAACGCGGGTGCTTAGGAGCTGCTGCGAGATGGTGGAGGTGCCGTATCAGATATCTAATGATATTGCTGGGTTCATGGAGCAGTTCGCTGGCTGTGGGTCCTTCTCCCGAAGAGCAGCTCGTCACACGTCACTTTTCCACAAGGCGCGGCTGCAAAGCTGACATAAATCACTTGTTTCCTGCAATTCTGTCATGATCGATCAAAACTGCTACGGATTGGTGAAAGTGGAAAGGGATGTGGACCAGCTGGAACGACCTGTGGATCCTTCGATCGAGATCGACAAATGGTTCCCGCATTGGTACCGTGAGATGAATCGAGATTGGATCACCGATCGTGACGAGCAGGTTCAATGGCCTATAAATTCAAGGAACGATATGCATGAGGGCCCACCCCACATTGGGTGAGCCTGCAGGTTGAAAACCTCAACAGGCCAAGGGCAGCACGGTCGGCTACTGGCCATGGAGTATATTCTCACGCAACAAACCGATCCGGGCCTAGAGTTCCAATAGATCCCCTATAATCGTTGCAGCGGAAAGGGATTTCTCCGGTTTCAAACTTCAGATGTGGTGCCGATCTTGCAAGCCGTCCCTTGTTCCACGATCAGTAGTGGGTCCAGTGGAGGCATCCTTCAGCTCAATGATGTGTGAGTAGAAAATGTTATCATCATTCTTTATAATATTCAATAGAAGTTTAGTATTCATTGATTAAATAAATCATAAACATTAGATTATCAAATTACTGGTTAGTGATAAGGGAAGAATACGATTCTTGTATATCATATATTTAAGGTTTCTCTACCATAAGAGCCGATTATAAAAGTCTGATAATAATTTCACTTCTTTCTCTGTTTACCTATTGTTCAACTCAACTAGTAAAGTCCAGTAGATATTATATCAATAGTCTTATCTATATGAATAATCATAGACTGTAAGAGATCAATCGAGTCGCGGTAAAGCTGGTGAGGCAGTGCAGTCACCGTCTTGCTTTTAATCAATGCTGGGTGAGAAACACGGAGGCACAAACATTTTCCAGAGACACTATATTCCGCACCAGTGGCACAGAACCATGCTTCATAGGACGGCCGCTTGAGGGCAGCTAGCATCGAGCGACGTGATCCGAATGTTCATCTGGGACCATTAGGGACGATTTCCCTGGAGGAATCACTTTTGGACATACCCAATCTCCAATCTTGAAGAGTTCCTGAATTATATCCCGTCGGTTGTCATTTGGGCTTGTAGTGCTGTAGAATAGCAGTGCGTCGCGATAGAGATCAGGGGACCCTTGCGCATAATCTCGGGCGTCTTCCATAATTATGTCGAATACAAGGGTTTTGTGTGGTTTTCCTTTCCCACAACCACACAGATCGATGTGAACGCCATCTTTGCTTTGTCCATCCATATGATATCGAGCATAGATCGCATCACCATAGCGCTTTTCTGAGATAGCCGTGCAGTACTGAGATGCCCATGGCTCGACTCTTGGTAGTCTTATGGTTTTATCAAGGACGTCAGAGACACGAAAATCAAGGAACAGCTGTTCAGGCAGCGACGATTCCATGTCTTCAGTACCAAAACCAAAAAGTTGCAATGCTGGTAAACCAGTACGGGGCCGTGTAAACTGGACTGTATAAGTACGTAAGCAACCAAACAGTGAGATGTATATGCAAGGTTCGACCTTGAAACAGATAGTGAAAGAAGCTTTGGCAGATGACAAGATATTGATGGGGCGTCTCTCATGATTTCCGAATGAGACCGCCCTTCGTTCTGCCATCTGGAACCATTCCCCATTTGACAGATTTCCTAGCGTCCGGTGATAACAGTCAGCCTGGAGCGATAATGGTATCATAGAGACGAACATGTAATTCCGCTTCATGAACCAGAAAGGTCGTTAGGATAAGGCATCTTGTATCAAGCATATATATTGTAAGAGAATCAGAATTTCCCATTGCTTTCGAATCCAGCCTATGTGCTAATTGGTATCTATCTCAACAATTCACCTGACTCAGCCACCATCCCAACTCCACGCCTAGCTTGCCTTCCTGATCATACATCACCAGGTGACCGGCTCCATCAATCAACACAACATCTTGCGCATTTAAATTCTCACCCAGTCTGAACGCGGTATCAACCGGAATCCATCGATCCTCTTTTCCCCAGATAATCCTGACAGGCATAGCCTTACCAACGTCTGGATACCTACCCTCAACCTCCTCCGTGCTGCGACTATTCGCCTGCACCATCTGCCTCACAAATCCCCTCCTTCCCTCCTCACTCGAGATCCATGGACTCTTCAACATGTCCATAGTTTCCTTCGACAAATCCGAGCATGCCGCATCCCGAATATAAGACTCAACAACACCCTCAAAAACAGGTCCCGTCAAGGCTTTAAATACCTCCTCATTCTCAGCGATCAACTTAAACAATGGTTGTCCAAAGGGTCCCAACGCAACCACATTGATCAGACACAGGCTGGCAAATTCACACCCGTGGATTATATGCGCCCGGAGACTCATTAGTCCGCCATGGTCATGTGCGATAACATGTGCTTTTCTGGATCCCCAGCTTGTCGACCAGTATCGGTAGAGCGCGGCAAAAGCTTCTGACTGTCCTGATAGATCTGCGTCTAACGCAACTTCTGTCGTAATCTCATTTTCCTTTCCGGGTAGAGGTTGGCCAAGTGGGCTTGTGCCGAAACCGGGATTGTCGAAGAGATAGACATGGAAATACTTCGCGAGTGACTGGGCGTAGACGCTCCAGACTTTGGACGACCAGGGTGTGCCGTGAACGAAGATTAATGGAGGGGATTTTGTGTCACCGAGGGATGTCCAGCAAATTTTATAGTTGTGGGTGTTGTTGGAGTATTCGAAGGTTTGTGTGAGTTCGATGTAGTTGAAGGGACTCATTTTCATGTAAAGATTTCAAGCTCTGGAATGTAGAAGCTCTTGAAGTTACTGCAAACTACTGGAGCTGGGATCTGGTAAATATTATGCTAATAGTTGAACTGATGGATGAGTGGCGTTGCTATAGAAGTATCCAATCAACATCGGTTCCACGGTACTCCGACTTGTGGTTGACGGGCCGCTTTTGTGGGGCTGCGTCATACATTGCTTTACGGAACTACAGCATATCGGATCTATTTTGAAAGAGGGCTTCACAAATAGTTTCAAACTGGGATTCAGTTCGATTGTCATGATTTCGTCAGATCATCGCAGAATCTGCAGGCTGTCTAAGCTCCCGCCAAGCCACCGGAATGAATCATGTCATCCGAGGCATCATAAAAATGGGGATATCGCAATGAATAGAACCATAGTCATAGTCATCATCGTAGTCGTGATCATTGTTGTCGTCAAAGTCGTAGTCGTCGCTTGATCGATAAGTCATAAATGCATTAATAAGAGAAAAGTGAAAAGACAACAGCTACGCAGAAAGCAGCGGCCGTCTCTCTCCATCCCCCTCATCACTAGCTTGTACACTCTGAGCAGCACTGCTGAGCCAAAGCATAGGCACAGCCGTGAGAAGGGATAGAACACCCAGCCCAAGTGTCATTACATCCCAGTCGTAGTAATATGAAATAAACCCGCCTTGAATTGGCCCAAGCACAAATCCTCCAAATCGGGCCAATATCTGGAGGCTAAATGCCTGTGAAACTGCACTGTTGTCGCCGAAGACTGCCGGGTCCTCCATCTCAATACCATGCAGAACACGTTGGATCTCGAGTATTAGAGCTGGTTCGGCGAGGTTTACACATATGCCAATACCGAGCAGGATGATGCACAGGATGCTGGTATCGAATGCAGTGTCTTGTTGGACAAAGCGCAGGCAGACCAGCGTTGGTGATAGGGCAGCGAAGGCGATAAGTGCTATGATTCTACAGCCGAATCGCTCACAAAGATGTACTGGAAAAGAAGCCATATTAGTCTCCTGAACTGTGTCAGCCCGTTAGGATATACATACCAGAGAACGGCTGTAGAAGGGCTGCAAAGGCTACGGGGACGAATATTAAACCGGAGCCCAATGCACTCGAATGAAACACGTCTTGCACAAAGATAGCAAGCGTCTAGGAAGAGATTAGCAACAGACTCGACAGGATTGAAGGTAATGTACTCACTGCGTCCAAGGCGGATACGACCAGTGCACTGACGATCACAGCCCATAAACTAATCAGGATTCGTGACTGCTGCAAGAGCTTCATCAGCGCCAGCGAGCCACTAGGCCGACTATTATCGTGGGAGTTATCCCGATTGAAGATCGTTTCACAAGAGAAATAACCTGATGTATAAGTATGGCCCTTGTAGGGACAATACTCAGGCAGCGTCCGCCAGCGTGTGGCGACCTTTTTCTCAACAACCGATAGTCGCAATAACATGTCGAGCGCAATGAGTCCAAATGCTATCCCGAGGACAGTATAATACCCGCCGAATTCAAAAATCATGCCTCCCATGGGAGATCCAGACATGAAGCCTAGAATCATAGCGGTGCTCACATAACCAATCATCTGTCCAAGCTGATGTTTGTCCACTGCATCGGTCAAGATTGTAAGACCAGAAACAGTCAAAATTGCCGTTGCAGCACCTTGTAGCACTTTAGCGTACATGTACCACATGACCGTATTAGCGGTTATGAATAACGTCATGGACCCTGTCAAAATGACGAGACCGAAGAGGTATAGATCCTGGCGATTCCCGGAGAAGTCGAGGAAAAATCCGAATATTGGCGTGCAGAGAAGAGCTGATGCCGCCTCTGATAGCAGAAGAGCGCTGTTCCAATATTCGCCTGAATGACATGTTTAGTCAACCTCCAGGTCTATAAAGCCGGCGCTCTGTACGTACGATCTTCGAATGGGAGCCCAGCTCGAGAGACAAGCATTGTCGGCATAATAGGTACCATCTGAATAGTGTAAGATTATCGTCCCGAATTCGTGAACAGCATCCGTACCATAGAGTGTAGAAAAACATCCTGTATGGAACTCACGTCAGCTTCAAGTTTCTTTTTATTAAGACGTAAAAACCCACAGTGAACAACGAAAACGCGACAGCTCCCACAATAAACAATTGCGACGATCGCAGTCGCAAGAGTAACGGTCTCTCCTCATCGCTGCTGTAGAACAATGGCTCCCCAGCCATAATCAACAACCTTGGATGATACATCATGAGGAAAAGCGAAACTGTTCGGCGCTGAAACTAGGCCGGAAGGCCCCATTTTAGAGAAGCGGAGTCCACGAGGTGCTCAGACAAAAAATGACATGCATCAGTTGAGATTGCGGACCTTGGTGGAGCTATCTATTGTGCTTCCTTTTCCGCATCGGTCGCATGTAGTGAGAACCGAAAGCTCACATGGCTACAAGGACTCTCATTCGACCAGTCAGATCGGGGGACGTACTCCTTTAAGGTCCTCCCGCGATCCAACCTGCAACCTCTCGGTCAGGCAAGATCACCGTGTGACCGACCACTCGACTGGATGACTTCTCCGACAGATCGTCATTTGGCGGTGTACAATGCTGTGGCCCTGTGGGAATGTATCCAAATGCGCCACGACATTCTTGCATGTTCTTGCATGCCTTCCGCGTACCAAGTTGTGGGCCGCATCTCAAACGCCGGCGCCCTTATCCAGTTGAGTTTGGGATACGGGTGGATACAGACTACCTTGAGGGGCGCCAAGAGAACCGTTTCGGCCGTTGCTCTTCTGTGATCGAGATTTCAGGATCGAAGATTGTGGGCCTTGGCGTTAGTTTGGAGGGGTTATGCACCTGAATCACATTGCTTTTCCAACGCTCTCCTGATTAAGGCAAGATCGACTTCGCTTGACGAGCGTGTCCGTGTATGCCTGTGCTACCAAGTGGGATAACCCCTGTTTCACAAATTTCCCAGCCTTCTTAGTTACGGGCCTCACCGGTATTTTGCCTGAAATGACGTAGGCGGGATGTGTTCTCTTAAGATGTAGTTCTAGTTTTGTATTCAGATTTGTGTGAAGTTTTGTTGTTCTTCAGGTTGGGCAACGTTTCCTAGGTTCGAAACCGAGCCAGTCTACATGAAAAGGAGATTTAGTCAAAGACCTCGGAAAGCATTCAAAGCTGGGCGGAGAGAACGGCTACGTGCATCCCGAGCTGGGAGACCAAGTAAGGAGCGATGTCCACGCGTTGGAAATATGGCGAGACCCGTGGACGCTTCTCACTCCCGAGGTTGCTACAGCGCTTTAGCACTCGGCTTTAATTTCGAGATGGTCATCTGACCCCTCTCAAGAACATGGTCGTATTGTATGTCTCTTTGCTTATCCTATTATCATGGGACCTTCGTCCCAAGATATCGCGGGGTAGCATGACCTCGGGATACATTTTGAATATTTCTTGCGGGGTGACTTAATAAGCCAGAACATCGAAAGAGCTTCTGGTTCTCGAATAGCTATGGACTATGGTCTCGAGGCACCGAGTTCTATCAGCATGACATTTTATGAGTATGTCAGCGCACATAGTTATTCAGCAACAACTGAATATATACCCGGATGAGTCCTACTTTTGAATACTCACACATCTATGCAAATGTCTCAGTGGATCCCGATGTATAATCATTTCTACCAGCCAAGTCACATCTTTGCGCCTTTCCGACTCCTTTCGTGTTTCTGGGCGGATGGTATGATCTGTGCAACATGTTGACTTATGGCGATCAAGTCCATATTCTCATCACAAAGAAGGATTTCCAGGTCCATCCTTCCACTCGTGATATTTTTAGCCTCAGTGCGCAAGTAAAGCCATCGGACACCTTCAGGTGGGAGATTTCTCTTGATCTCTGTCGACATACTCAATGTCACATGAACAGTTTGGGTGATAGGTTTTATTGAGCCGTCTAGCTCCAGTTCTCTCCAATTCGGCTTTCCCTCCACACGAGCCTTTCTTTGCGCCTCTGCGAATTCCAGAGTAGCAGCAATACTGCCCATCGGTAGTCGGTCTGTGTGTGGGAAGAAATTCTCTTGGACAGGAAAGCTCATATCTATAGCAAATTGTATCATCTCTGTTGTCCACCGTGCTTTGTCTTGTTCTTTCTGAGTCACACAGGACCCTTGCGGGAGGCAGTCCCAACCGGGTAAGATCCATTGTTCTGTGAACTTTATCTGGGATGGCCATGAAGTTGGTATGAAAGTTCTCACGTAGGAGTGGGCGCGCCGAAACCCATTTCGATGGAATGCTGTTTGGTATGATGTCCATTCGGGATCAAGGTCCATTTCGAGAATCGATAGATTCACGGGGCGGGTATTCAACTGCCAGCCTGTCTGGAGGCTGATGCCCGGAAGTTTGAAGTTACAGAGCCTAAATCACATTAGCACCTATGGACTATAATGGTGGATAGGCATCTCCTACCAAATATCTGCGGACACTGCGACTTTCTCAAATTGGAATGTTTCAACACGTAAGGTGGACCATGCTTTACCTAGGCTTACTTCACGCAGTTGCATTTCCACTGGTTTGCTCGCAATGATCGGGCGGTAGAATTGAACCAACGACGTTCGCACATCTGTTTGCGATCGTAAGTTCTCTTGCTTTGAGGCATAATCTACCGCATATTTTGCCATCAAACAGGCGATATAGCCCCCACAGCTGACTGAGGTTCCCTATTAGTCATGTGGCCGGTCAAATTGGCATGGAGGATTGGGAGTTGCACAGACCTGCTCCGAATGAAATATCCGTTGAAAGTACAGGAACAAATCGCTTACTCGAAGGGGAAATGTCCAATGCAGCCGACAAGCTGGTTGGTAATATGTCTGCCATATTCCATTGAATTTCAAGCGTCAACGTATGCTTGGGTCTTGAGGGCCAGGAGTTGACCTCTGAAGTGTACAGTCCGAGCCCTAGTCTCCTATTGTTTTGAAATCCCGGTGGACGTGGATGGTCAACTTCACGAGGGGTGATTGGCTCTGGAGAATATTAATTTCTGAGAACTTCCGCACCCGAGAAATAACAGACTCTGAATCCTACTCGCTCATCCGAGACACAATCAAAGACGACTCAATGCGCGGATTTAATACAGAAGCCACCTATTAAAGAAGATTGTTGGTAGTGTATCAGATCATCACGTGGCCCATCGGTCATGTGCTGACCCCTCTTTAAAAATAGCCTGGGATATCATTCAATGAAGAAGACCTCGGCTTGATTTACACCTATCAATGGTCATCCAGTCTTCGAGCAAAAGTGCTCGTCTTCTAGATTTCTCTTGTGATATTTGGTGTCCACGTCTCTTTAATCCACTCAAATAACTCAGCGAGGGTGGTTATATAACCTAACAGGCTAAGATGTTCGGAGTCGGGTGATAGATGTATATAATTTCTCCTGTTCTTTGTAGCCATCCACTACTATACAATACCTATATAGTCAGAGATGATGATGTGTTTACTCACGCGAACAAGAGAATCTTGCATAGACCTTAGAACAAGGAAATAAAACATTATGGTCGATCGCCCTTCACCTCCCTTTTATTGACCGGGCGTATTTCCACCTGAAGTCAAAGTCCCGATGGTGATATCACCCCTGAATAGGGCTTAGAACGGAAGGAGAATTCAACAGTCTAGTATAGTTGATACGGAAGTCTATATCTCTTAATTTCTCGAAGGCGGAAGCGGCTTGTAAATCATAATCACCCGTTGACTCGTATGTGTCCGGGGAGGAACGAGAATCAACATCACACTCATGAATCTAAGAGGCACGAGGCTGATAGTATCGGGCCTGATAGTCCTTCCTCGACAACTGCGTACATGTGCGCGGGTGGGTTTCTGGGCTTTACGGTTTCAATGTTGAGATAATCCAAAACAAAGATGCTTGATCATGGAACTGCAGATGGAAAACTATGAATAAAATGCATTGCCGTGTATGTTCGCCCGCGTATATTCATAAGAGAGCCTTAAGTGAATACCCCGCTTCGTTAGTTCTTCCTTTAACCGGTTAGGACAAAACGCCTGTGGAGACGACGAAGCCAGGTCCCTGGAAACCATAGCTACACTCTGGAACAAGAGCAAATGATGAGTCTACCATTGAACAAAGTGTTATCCCTATTTAACCGCAGCCTCTTGTGACATCGCGCTGGTACTTCTCGTCCGGCGTCCACTTGTTAACTTAATCATGGACAAGTTCTCACTTATGTCTGACTCTGTTGAGTTCCCACTTTTGTCCTTAGATTTCTTGCCCACTTTGAGACCTGACACGGAACTCTCCTTTGGCGAACTCGCCAAGCGCAATAGACGACTATCAGGCTTTGTAGGAGTGGATTTTTCAGGTAGTCGGGATGACTGGTCACTGATACTCTCCGTGTCAACATTCTTCTTCGTTGATCGAATTGGGCTCTCATCCGGCGGAGCTAGGAAGCGCCGCGATGTGCGACGATTCTTTGTAGGAGTGTCGTTTTTGTTCGTTTCTTGTGACTTCCTAATGGCCTTCCCTATGCCACCACTCTCTTTCGAAGATGGGACTGGGTTGTCATTTGGAAGACAAGAAGAGCGTGATGATGATGAGCGGCGATGAGGCTTCGTGGGAGTAGAAACGGCAGGCGTTTCCACCGGATTTCCACTGGCCTTCCCCGTATCTTCATTGATTGTCGAAAAAGGGTCAGGGCTGTCATTGCATGGAGTCGGGGAGCGCGATGACGGCCAGTGACCATTCCTCATGGGGGTAGAATCCGTAGGTCTCTCGGAGTCTCGATGAGGAGGACTAAGCGGCCCTGCGTCACGATTGAAACTACCATCTTCGGCATAAAGTTTCATCTTATGAGGACGATCAATGAAAAAGTCTTGCCATTCACGAATCCGCCCAACCAGAATGTCCGCGTCAACATTTAACCACTCTTTGTGACGTCCATGATCGTACACATGGCATGGTGCTTCAAGCTGGAAGTGGTATTCTTTGAACTCCGCCAACATGAGCTGCTCCACACGGTAAGCATACCGAGGTACTGCCATATGTTTGATTATTTTGGAGCTGGGATAACATTTGAGATGTTGGTCCGTCCGCTTCTCCAATGGGTGGTCTTTGCAAACACCGATCTTGAACTTCCCCACTGCTTCCGGGGAAGACAGCACATACACATAGTTCTTGTCGATTCCTTTAAGCTCCTTCTTCAACACTTCTTCGATTCTTTTGAGGGTTTCGAGCCATGTTTCAACACTTTTGCCGGTTTTGATGGCTATGAATTCCAGCACTCTGGGTGGGGGTGGCCATCGTTCATTCGCCATCATCAGTGAAATGAATTCATCTCTCAAGGCCTTGGTTTTAAGCTCACGCAGCCACTGAGACTTGGGATGGCCATTGTGCTTCATATGATGGCCGCATAAACAATAATTGCAAAGCTGAAACAACAAAGCGAGAAGCGGAGATGTTTCGGTGGTATTAGTCAAATATTGAGAGACCTTTTCAACGTAGTATTTAGCACCAAGCAAATCTGTTTTTTCAACAGTATCGCCGCAAGGTCTGCCATCACTTTCGAGAAAAGCACAAAGAATCTTGGGAGAGTCGTCAGAAAACGCCTCTGCTAGCACAACATGAAGAGGCTGAAACTTGGGCTCCGGTACTGGTTCGGGAGCCATTATATAACCTATGCAAGGTGCCGGAGAAACGTGACTTGAAGGGAATCCTGTGCGATTCTCAAATAAATGGGGAGATTGATGGCCTTTTAGCTTGTGAGCGGACCTCTTAAGCACTTCCCCCATAGGCCATGACCCGCTGCAATGAACTGGTTCATTGGATCGGTTCAATGATGCAAGCGTGAGGGCTGTGATAGCCTAGGCACTCATCTGGAATAGTCCCATATTTTGATTAACGCGAAATGGTGTCAATCCCGTTGCGCCGGAGAATTATGAGGGCTGATAGGGATGCTTGCGTGTTTCTGGAGCTTTTTTTGTGCGGGGACCTCGTGATTGAACAAGTGGGTGCATTAGTCGCATAATTTAGCAGGGGTCCTCAGCCGTACGGACGAAAATAGCTTTAGCTTGATCTAAGCCACTGTGAGAGGCACAGCAGCCCCCAGAAGCTACCAGGATCATGTTCATAGAAAAGCTCTCCACAAGGCAGATTTACTGTAATTTTTTGAACACAAGCCCTGGAAGAAGAGCGGAGTTGCGAAATCAAGTGTGGGGGCCAAGAAGCCAACGGATACTTGATATGGTTCGCTCTCTGTAGTTTCCGACTTTTGTCGCGGACGGGGTATTGATTCCTTGGAGGAATTGACAGGGGCCCCGGTGGATCTGGATTCGGAAGTTGCGCCGCTTCGACGATACACCATATTTGGGAAGCTCGGATATAATGCGGGGACATCTTGAAGATCGGAAGGTCAAACGAGTGCGTGAAAGCTAACTACTAGAACAAGGAACGTGTTAGCTTCTTCAGGGGTAATTTCCGACGAGAGCATCGCAGGAGACATCGATTGCGGGGTCAGGTCCCACCTGGCATGAGGCTCAGGTGTGGATAATAGAGGGGGATTGCAGTGGAATTGTGGAAGATTAGCGGGCTGAAGGGGATCGATCTAAGGTGGGCCAACGGAGCAGGAACCAAGCCTCAAGTGCAAGAAGCGTCACCTCGAAGACTTACAGTCTTCAAGGCTCCAAAGGCCACTTATCTTGCGATTTGTATTCATCGCTTACATCTTGGATTGAGCTTATGTTGGAGACTTCGTTTGTTCTGCACTGATAGAACTGGGTAATTCTTTGTCACCAGTTGAAGTACGGCTTAACTTAGTATCATCCGCTTAGGTATTTAATACTTCAGTTCCTGCTTTGCCCCAGTGATGACCGTTCTGATGGGTAAAAATTTAAATACCCGTAGTTGCTGCCTTCACGACCTATTCCAGAATATTGCACTCCGATTCTGAAATTAATGAGCGCCTAGATCAACGACACTCCGCTAACCTGGGCAAAATTGCACATGTGGTAAAGCCTGTGACCTACGCCACTCTCTCAGCCACATTGCAGATACCGACCCGGCTATAGACATCCTTGTACCTCTGCCTCACATCATCCACAGAGATCGGAGCATATTTCTCATCGTGCGGCTTATTACGGCATAATTGAATACAGTGGATGGTGAAACCCGGGTTTCACATCATAATTAAAGGGGACGAGTATCGATTCGTGCCGGAGCGATTGATCACGCGATTAAAGTTCAAAATATAGACGTTCTTCGACCAGCGCTCAAACAAATTGCCCGGGTTAACGACATACGCACCCTCAACAGGCGGAGCCGGATAATACTCGTGCGCTTCCTCATCCCAGACATCCAGATCACGAACATCACCCTGAAGCAGCAAGGTGATGACGCTAAAGTCTCAATGCGCTCTGATTCCGCGCTGTAATTTACAAGGAGGAAAAGAAATTTTATTGCCGGTAGTTTGTTGAATTGAAGTCAATTCTAAGTAGAGGGAACGAAACAAAAACAAGCCAACTCTAATCAAAGTCAAAGTCATCATTCCAAACATTAGCATCATCGAACATTTTCTGGGCCGCAGCATCATCCGCGATTTTCTGCGCTGCAGCATGAGGAATCTCGGGGATCACCCCGACCTGCCACAACACGAAGAACAAGGCAAGAGCAAACAAGATCACGGCAAGGGAAAAGTAGAAAACGACCCTGCGCTTATGCCAAATTTCATCTTCGGAGACAATTCTAGGAGGTTGAGTCTCCAAGTCTTCAGTGTTCTTGGGCTGTCGTCGCCCAGTAAAATAGGCCCGTTCGGGCAAGGAAATTTTGAGAGATGAGATAGTCTCTTTGATAGTCATATTAGCTATCAAGTGAGCGCAAAGTAATAGTGTAGTGAGTTGAGATTATTTTGAGAAGTCGAAAGTGAGAGGATTACGATGAGAGGACAAAGGGAAGAAGAAGGGGAAGTGAAACAGCGGGTGAGGGAAGATATTTATGACCATCTACTTAAACTCATTGCCTTGCTACTATTCCAATCTTAAATCGAAGTGAGTACTAGTCCAGTTTGAACTATACTAAAGTATATCAATAGTCGTCCTCTGAAGCTTAATTCTGCCAAAATAGGCGGCGGAGAAAAAGTATATAGATGACTCCATGTAACCTTACCCTTTAGACATCTGGGAATAGCCAGGATTCTGGAAAATTATCACTATTGATTACTTGACCTTATCTCCCAATCCAAAACAAGACATACTCCTCTACAAGCTTCTCAAGAATATCATCTGACTAGTTCTTGACCTCGCTCGGCTAAATATCGATTGAAAGGATGATGTCGATCACTCTGCTTTTCCACGCCTTTTGTTTGCAGAACCTGCTCGCACGAGTGGTTTCTCGCCTTTCATGTACCATTTCGCTTTTACATCTTGCGGTGTCTCCGTTCAAATATTCCACTAAGATATTAGTGGAATGTCACATAAGGCCGCTTTTATATGTTGAGAAGTCATGTGACCCGATGCCATACCCCTAAATCCAGACTCAAACTAGTACGTTCCTCTCTAACATAACTCCGATGTGCACTACAACAAGATCCAAGACATTCTATTATACGGGCTCCTACTTCGCATATTGAATAGCAACCAAAAGCATGTCTCAACGTCTTTTATAACCCTCCTTCTAATGGCAATTCTAAAATAAAGTGAAAGAATGACTCGCAAAGGCATTCGCAGGAGTCACACTGGGTGTATAACTTGCAGGTTCGTCATACTTTCTTTTCATCATTTCACTTGATAAACAAAAAGCTGACCTTTCATCAGAATCCGCAAAATCAAGTGTGATGAAACCTATCCGCATTGCACGCGGTGCACATCAACGGGGCGAAAATGCGACGGCTATAAGCTTTGGATCCCCCGAGCAGATCGAAGCCAACTTTCTACTTTACCGGGTGCGGAGAATCTTGAGCTTCGGAGCCTGGATTTTTTCCGACGGGTTCTTGCCCCGTGTGCTGTGCCATTATCTCACTGTTTTTGGATCCAAACCTTACCTCAGTGGATCCACCAAGAACCAGCCATAAGACATGCGGTAGTCGCTATGAGCTCAATATATGAGCAGAATACTGAAAACTCGCCAACAGATCAAAGATTTGCCGTACGGCATTACAATGCCGCTATTGCAGAGATCATTAAGCCATCTTCTCGACCTCCAAATCTTGACACGGTTGTCTTGACTTGTATTCTGTTCTTGACTATAGAGTTTTTCAGCGGTGATTTCAAGACAGCCTTGGTCCACTATCATCATTGCAAAAGCATATTATCTTCCTTTGAAGCAGCTCCGCCTTTAAAGCGCATCTTTCGACAATACGAAATGTTTGCACGCTTTCTTTCCGAGTTCTCTTATGAACAATTGGCGGATATGATAACAGGCTCCCCTGCTGCAGAGTCTTTGGCAGCTGTCGTTGAAGCCCAAAAGGTCCTTTGGAGACTGACGGAGAGGTCGCTAAAAATTCCGTTTGCAATTGACAATTCGGCAAGGACAAAGCCATTCAATCCGAAGGCCATACTGAATATTCAATCAATTCAACGAGGGCTAAATAATGAGTTGGATTCGTGGGCACATCATGCAATACACTCAAGCCGCCACCTTTCCCAGCCTGATCAATTTGATTATCGCCTTCAGCTTATGCTAGAGACAAGATGGCTTGTCTGCAAAATCTGGACAAACCTTGGATCATCCGCTATTGAGCAGCAAAGCCACAATGATAGCACACAGAGACTGTGTGAGATTCTGATAAGAATCTTTGGCATAAACACGGCGATTCCTGTCGACGCCATGGATTTCATTGGATTTGAACGTATTTTGCATCAGATCCTATTGAAAAGTCGGGATTTGGAACTTCGTCTCGCCATTCTAGATCGCTTCCGGGAAAGATTCTACTTCGGTGGCGGCATTTCGGACTTTCAGATGCTCTATTTAACAGCGAAACGGGCAATCGAAGATGACCATGATATAGTGCTGGGATCAGAATGGGATCTGGTTGGAAGTAATCAAAGTATGTCTGGTATGGAGAATGTGGCTCATTCTGGTAAGGCTCAATTTTGTACATTTTGGGTTCTTGTATGTTTGGCCATTGGGGAGCGCATACGATAAATCCTGTGCTAGCTATGAGCTCTTGTAAACCTTGAGAGCCTATAGTCAGTCTAGAACCAATTGGAAGTCGAGATTGCATTTTTCGTAAAACTCGATAATAGGCTATTCATCGGGGATGGCAAGCTTAGTCATGATGAAGGCTCACGTTGGTAACTATTCCCGCCACCAAAAGGCCGGTCTTTGGAGACTGTCACTACGCTGCCCGCAAAAGGAGGACGACCTTGTAGGTTGTCAAAATCACAAAGCATTTAAGACGTGGTATGGAAGTCTCTTTTCGGTGCCAGCAACCTGGCTGTACTCGTTCTTATTTAAGAAAAGAACACCTGCGGCGGCACGAACGTGACCATGCCAACGCCCGACCATTTACTTGCCAGGAATGCCCCTCGGCATTTAATCGCAGGTCAGTGAAAGCTGAAAAGATAACTTCGCATCTGTTGGAATAATATCAACACTACCGACATAGGGACTTGCTCAACCGCCATAAAGCACTTAACCACGGGGATTCGCAACGCTTAGCTGATCAACCTCATCCCGAAGGCTCTGTCGCAAGCAAACGCAGCAAACCTACCGATGATCACAGCCCGACACCAGTTGGTGAATATGCTGCTGATGAAGCTCAAAGTTCCAATACAGCAAGTGAGATCTGGCATCTGGATCTTTCTTCAACCCCAGCTGCAAAACTACTCGAAGCGACAAATCGACGTCAACTAGAGGAGCTTTACTTCCGCAATTTCCATCCCCACTGGCCTATTTTGCACCAGAAAACAGTCCAGAACTCAGCGCAGCCGCCTAATCTATCGATAGCAGTCTTAATTGCCGGGCTATGGATGATAGGAACCCCTGAGACAAGGAATGAGGCAATGTCCTATCATGACGCTATATTGACTGAACTCAATCGAAAGCTTGTAGGAACCCTCTTCGTGATGGAACTTTCCACCAATCAATCATCGCGAGTAATCGCTGACCAGCTCCGAAATTCTAGTTTGAAGCCTCAGTAAAAGATTACCATCCGAAAGTTCCGGTGCCTGGGTTTCTTGCCGAGTTCCAGGCACTCCTTATTCTGATCATCCTCTCAACATATAGGGGAACAGATTTCTGTCCTCCGGGGGTCATCTGCCACAAGGAACTATTTGAGCTCTTTGACAGATACGGTGTATATGACCAAAAGAAGATCGATATGGCAACTTCCAACCCGATACATCGAGAAGTCTATCAAAGGTATGCAAAAAGGCAATTCCATCTAATTGGCTTTCTGGCTGACCAGTCAAATAGGCTCGCTCTTCTTCATTTCAAAGTTCACATCCATCTCAATTATGTCATGGTTACAGACTATTCAAAGTTTAAACCTTTGGGATTTTTCGATCCGCAAATACTGCAAGTCCGAGCTCCAGCCCTAAGTCATATTTGGGACAGTAGCGTTATCGGTTGGTCGGACTATGAGGTTCGTACTGTGGTAGGAAGCTTATTCGAAAACACTGCGGATTCGAGCAGGTGGAATGAACTATCGTCCGTTGTTGCATGGGACTTCACGTTAGGAATGGCGCTGGGCTGTTGCTTGGCAAGTCCTGCTGAGGAGACCTATCCTGCCTTATTGCAAAGGATCGGGCCTTTCTTATTCTCACATTTAAAAGATACTCGTATTGCTGATCCAGGACTAACCTCAAATGTTGAGGTGATGATTTGAGATGCACATAACACGGAGCATAAAATACCCACTACAACCTTTGTGAACGGGGCCGTGCTCGCTATCTTATTTGTTCTAGTACATGACTTCCAATTTATGTTAATTTACATGATTAAGTGACTCCAAGAAACCTCGCGCATAAGAGGTTAAAGCGAGAGAAAAAATTTAACAAATGGACATTCAGATCTTTTTTGGAGATTCCAAATATTAACAGGTAGCGAGATGAGAGAAAGAGACAAAATGAGTAGAGCAAAACTAATTCAGCCCCAGCATGCCAGCAGCCTTTGAAATGAAAAAGTCTCTCCCCTTGATCATCGAAACCATCATTCCCCAAGGTTTCCATCCAAACATCTGACCAGTTCCGGTACTTTCACCAATGGGCACAACCATCATGAAAGATCCGTTGGGGTTGTAGTTAACAAGCTTTCCTGTGCCAAGGATTGCGACTTTGAGATTGGAAACAACGACGGGGATCTGATCCGCAAGCTTGATCGCAGTGCGCAGCGGCTGAGTGGTAATATCGCCGAGTGCGTAGATAAGGCAATCTTCTGAACCTCCCGTGACGCGAAGGTTCTCATCCACGTTGACCCAGCCATCAGCTGAGAGAAATTCAGCTGGAATAAACTGGTTGTTGGGAAGCGCACCGGTCGTGGAGATGTAGAGGTCTGCCTGGAGCTGTTCGCCATTGTCCAGGTTGACAACCCACGCAGTTTGGCTACCAGATGCGCTGCGTACAGCATTTGCAACCTTGGTCGAGGCTATGACCTTGATGCCTTTGTCTGCAAGTGCATTCTCTGCTGCCAGACTGCCTTTCTCCTTCAGCATCGGCAGAACGCGTTCTGATGCCGAAATGAGAGTGATTGAGGTGTCTTCTTTGTCTTTGAATGCCTCTGCAAGCTCTCCAGCAAACTCAACACCAACTGGGCCTGCTCCGCCAATGATAACACTGTTCGCGTTAGAGATAGCCTTTTGGATGGAGCTAATGGAGGCTTCGAGGTCATGATCTTTCATGGGCTTGAAAGGAGCTAATTCTCCATCAACCGAGGATGAGGTTGTGCTACCAGATGCGATCACGAGATAGTCATAGGAGATAGGAGGTTGCTGTGATGACAATTCGACCAGTTTTGAGGTGGTGTCTATGCGACTTGCGCTTCCTTTGATGAATTCGAATGACTCCTTTGGGTACTTCGAAAATGAACTTTCGATTGGGAGGAGGTATTGATTGGGCTGGAAGAATTCGGGTTTTGCGAGAATGCGAGGGGCCGCAATGTTGAAATAAACCTTCTCTGAGGGATTGATTAGGACAATCTTGACCTTATCGGACTCAGATTTCAGAAGCCCATTTGCAACTCCAAGTCCGCAGTATGAGGCGCCGATGACGACGATAGTGGCTCTACTCATTTTGTATGGGAGCCTGTATTTGGAGGGGAAGGTTGAAACAGATATATTGAATTGACAGAAATGTGGATTTAGCCTCCTATTTAATGATTAGATTTGTGGATACACTAGTGTTTTACTAGCAAATACCTACGATTACCAATGGATTAAAAGTACAGCTTGAGTGGAGATCTTGAATTTTAAATCTACCTTGATTTGATCTGTAAGCCTTGTATTTATAATTGTTAATGAAGCGATTTTCCTCTGCGGTCTGGCAGTTCTCTGTCCAACGGAGCGGTGGGCCCCATGTGGATATTTAATTGTGGGATGTGGGATGTGTCATGTGTCATGTGGGATGTGGGTTGAATGCGGGATATCGCTCATACGCTCAACAGCTCAACAATTATGCAATCTGATTCGTAGACCTCATGTGCAGGCTCAAACATTGCTTTTGAATATCGATACGTTTGCTTACAAGCCTTCTTGGCTTGTTCCACTGTTCAATGTGAGGCTCAACGAAGATACATACTATGGTAAGTAAAGGTAGTCAAGGTATTCAAGCTTATGACTCTCATCTGTCGATTGAGAAAGAAGCGCTGAACTGGAACCTTCTCGATTAGCACACGCTCTTGTGGCGGTTGCGTGCAAGAGACCTTGCCTTCTTCCGAAGCTGGTCTAAACAAGGTGTGGTCCATGATGTCCATCTAGCGAGGCGTCGCGGAAACTTGCCAAGATCTGGCGTAGAGAGCGGTGGATGTCGCGAAGCTGGGTCGGCGAAAGCGAATCAGACTAGTCATAGGACGTTGTAGGGCCTGGACAGCAAGGCTGCAACGTGACAACGCGTGCTTTTGGCTTTTCACGTCTCGGGAGTGCATGCTTATCTCCATATCGTCACCGATAAGACACATCCACAGTGTCCCCACTCTCCATGCCAATCGCCTTGGTCTCGCTTGCTCCTGCTACCTTCTCAAAGTCGATTGCCCCTCGGGTCTTCATGCGTTGTACAGGTGGGAGATGCATTCATATAGTGACACTGTGACTAGTCGACCCCGCAGGGCTATATTAAATAATCAACGGAGGGGTTCGGGAAGCTTTATCGCTGAGTGAAGCTCTGTCCGGATTGATTATCAGTCTCTGCACCAACAATTTACACATATAAGCCAATCAGTCACCTTTTACATGCCTGACCACTGAGTATCTCTTATATTCAAATAGGGAGTGCATTGTGCCCCTCTGAGTCTTCAAAATGGGATCCCACTTTGAAATCCTCGATCTCTCCAACACATCCAATGTATACCACGCCCCGGCCACTATCACTGCCCCAAATACCAGGCTTGTTCACATATCTGGCCAAGCCGGTGCCACCAAGTCCGGCCATGTCCCAGCCGACTATGAATCTCAGATTCACCTCGCCCTTCTCAACCTACGCCGTGTGATTGTTGCGTCTGGGGCTACGGTCAAGGATATCGCCAAATTAACAGTGTATATCGTCAATTATAACCCCGAAACTCGAAAGCATGCACGCCCAATCCAGCGCTTCCTTGGTGGTCACAGACCTGCAATGACATTAGTTCCAGTCTCCCAGCTCGTGGTGCCAACATGGCTGTTTGAGGTAGATGCTCTCATTGCCTGTCCGCCTCCAGCCCAGTCCATCCCTCAGACGCTGACAAGCAGGCCTGGGGCTGAAATTCATGATGTCGTCATCATTGGTGCTGGTTTGGCTGGATTGACAGCTGCTCAGGAGCTCTCTCGAGCCGGCCTGTCTTGTGTAATTCTCGAGGCCCGCGACCGCGTCGGAGGTAAGACCTGGAGTCAGCCAATGGCTAGCGGTCGTGGTATTCTTGAACTTGGTGCAGGCTGGATCAACGATGTCAACCAAACGCGTATGATTGGCCTTGCGCGACGGTTTGGATTGGAGCTTATTGAGCAGAACACAACTGGAAATTGCGCGATTCAACACCTAGATGGTAGCACCTCAGAGTTCGCATACGGCGAGATCCCTCAGGTATGTGCGAGATATGTTGACGAAGCCCAGAAACCTGTGGGCTCAGGCTGATCTGGCGATTTTCGTTTGTCAGTTCGACTCCGCCTCCGTCGAGGATGTTATCCGGATCCGTGATACGACCGAGGCAGACTGCCAAGCCGTTGATGTTCTCAATCCCAAAGACACACGCCTCGACAGCATGACTTTTGAGGCTTATCTGCGATCTAACAATGCGTCTGAGAAGGCACTCTTGACTGCAACAGTTTGGACTCGGGCAATGCTAGGTGTTGATCCGTGTGACCTATCAGCGCTCTTCTTCCTCAACTACTGCAAATCTGGTGGTGGCCTGCTGCAGATGCGATCAGACCGCAAAGGAGGGGGTCAGCACCTACGAATCCGACAGGGAACACAAACATTCTCCAAAAGGCTAGCAGAAAGTCTTGTGCCAAACACTGTCCGGCTCAATACTGCAGTCAAGCAGGTTGGCCAAGAGAGTTCTAGCGTCGATGTCATCACAGAGAATGGCAGTGTCTACCGTGCACGTAAAGTCATAACAACTGTCCCTAGTCCTGTGCTAAAGACAATCTCCTTCGAACCTGCCCTTCATCCATTGAAGCTTGCCTGGTCGGAATCTGCAAAGTATGGCTACTACAGCAAAGCTATGATGGTATTCAAGACTCCCTTCTGGATACCAAAGGGCTTCTGTGGTCTTGCGCAATCATTTACTGGTCCTGCGGCGGTCGTTCGCGACTCATGCAGTCCAGCTGATGAAGGATTTGCCCTTACATGCTTTATGTGCGGTCCTCCGGCTCAAGAATGGGCCACCCTTCCTCAGCCGGAACGCCAGGAGAAACTCCTTACTCAGCTGGGTGCCCTTTTCAAAGCTGAGGAAACCATCAAACAGGACTTTGTAGAGATGGAAATGTACGAGTGGAGCAACGATGAGCTGGCCGGCTACGGTTGTCCATGTGCTCATTTGACTCCAGGCGTTTTGGACTCGCTTGGTCCCAACGCGCTTCGTGAGCCCACAGGTAACTTGCACTTCGCTGGAACAGAGACCGCTGGTGAATGGAAGGGTTATATGGAAGGTGCTGTTCGTAGTGGTGAAAGAGCTGCTAAGGAGATTGTCGATGGTTTGAAGTCGAGTCTGGCAGCACGGCTTTAACATTTCATAGCAATTCTCAATACTTCTATTCATAACTTCGCATCGTGAATAGTAGAGGAGTACAAACATTCCAACTAGAGTCACGTTGATTGTGCACTATTTCCAAGGGGTTTGATTTTCTAGTTTATTTTAGTAAATGTTTTCCCTTGCGGTAGCAAATCTGACTCCTTATTGAGACACAAAGACGGTCTTTTACCTGAGGCCTGACGTACTGTACCTGCTACATTAATGTATAAGCTGACAATTCAACCCATCCAGATAGAATGCTTTTCTTCAAGCCGTGAATATACCTTCATCGAACCTTCCGCTCTTGAATCTCCCATTTTATTGTTAGAGAGAAGTGTAACGCGATAATGACACCATGCTGATAAGAAGGTCAAAAGGACTAAATAAAGGATAATATTCGAACACGGTTGGTTGAGCGGAGAGAGGATACTTATCTTTCCGATTTGGAATATCTAATAGTCTATGTCACTGCGCTCCATCCTTGTTTTTTAAAAAATAGCTCACAACTGACTTTCGTGATATTGAAATGAAAAAGACAGAGAAAGCTGGGCTGCGTGAATTCTAATAGATTCGAGCAGTCCGCAGCACTGGAAATGAGAAAATGCTCAAGATCAATTGATGGCTCATTTGTTGAAGAGACTGCAGCATCTTTCGACTAAAAAAAAAGGACATCAACGTCCATTGTGTGTGGTTCTAAACTTGATAGAGAAAAAAAGAAAAGAAAAAAAAAAGAAAGGTGTAATGGGGCGAGCCGGGATTGAACCGGCGACCTCACGATGACAATGTCAGACTGTAGTGAACTTCAGTCGTGCGCTCTCCCAACTGAGCTATCACCCCAGATTATGTAAATGCACTGGGAGGTTTGTTAATTGAAGCACTATCAAGCGATAACAGTTGCTCAAATACGGGAGTCAATTTAGACCCCGGGGTTTTCTCTCTCTCTCTCTCTCTCTCTCTCTCTCTCTCTCTCTCTCTCTCTCTCTTTTCATCCCTTCCTTTTTGTTGTGATTCAAAGGCCTTGAGAGCAAATACAAGAGTTATCCGTCCATATACTCCCTGGGCCTTGAACAAGGTGATTATGTTAGGCAGACGGGCACGTTTATAGGACATGCATGTCAGGAAGCTTAGCTAGTGGGGAATTTATTGTTCCAATCATCCCGAGGTTCTAGTGTCACTTGAACTACTATTACAGCTATACAATCTCACGCACATTATCTGCAATGGCCTTGATCTTGGTCTTGCAACACTCGAATAAGGAAAGACCATGCCTGCCAAAGTTCCAGTCAGCATCCTTCGCGAGCCTTGTTTACGGTGGGTCGGCAATTCCCGGCGCTTATTGTTGCCGAAAGGCGACCAGCCAACCCACGAGGTCTAACCTTGTATTGTTTCGTATATTTGCATATTTCCACCTTGATCAACAGTTTTTGCATAATAATCACACCGCAACGGCCGAGTGTTGAGGAGTAAATAGATCACAACAGGCCGAGGTATAATCGAGCCCATTCTCGTAGTGGGGAAGGGCCTGGATAAGCTGTCTTCTAGCTCGGGTCGAGACTCGGTCGCTCCACATTGACCCCACCGACAAGATCTCTAGGCAACTCCCTCAAATGAAGTTCCGTGCCTGTGCAGAGGGCAATGCCAATGAATCAACGTCGTCTCCGTATGTACCCCAAACCCAATTCGGACCCCGCCTGTGTGAACACGTCCAAGACAGGCATCCGCCACCGGAAGTTGCCGCCACGGGTCTATCCCCGCCATTGGTGCCTCGTGCATGTCCGGGGTTTAACCGGGGTTGATGCTAACTCTTGTTTCCGTCATGCTGAGTCAAAGATTCTCGAAAGTTAGTTTGACTAGCTGGTTAATTCCGCGCTTGACTCATCACCGCTGTTTCATCATGTGAGTATGTATCAGGGATTGTTCTGCCAAGGTTTCGAATACTGGGCCTATGTGGAGCCGAGTGGACTATGAAGTGGGCGACGTACCATCCTAAGCGGATTTAGGCGTTAGCAATGTTGAGTCAATCTTGGCTTTGACACTAATTCATTTTCGGTTTGGTTCCTTCGATTTCCTCTTTTTTTCCTCGTTCATTTCGGTTTTCATTGATCATCAAAGTCCCCGGCTTTCACTGCTCCTGTCGTGTGGGAAACTGAGTGCCCTTGAGCTATATTCCTGCTTTTCGGGGGCGGTAGAGAAGACCCTGGCCATTTCGCTCTATTGCGGCCCTATCGCAAAACAAAATGCAGGCATCAGATATTGATAACACGGACGAAAGGTTCCTCACGCCCGAGGGAAGCAACCATTCCGATGTCGACTCACTGAGCTATGAGCAGCGCCGCGAGGAACTTCGTATCGCCAATCCACAAGGTGTGACATCGGTACAGACTGGTGTCGATGTCGAACAGGCCGAAGAGGACTTTTCGGATTTGAATAGACAATTCTCCAGCATTTCGCACCAAGCCCGTCGACTTTCAAGGCACGCTTCTCGGGCATCTAAACCGACAGCCACTGTTGATGAAGAAAAGGCAGGAAGCTCGCATGAATCAGACGACACATGGGATTTGGAGACTGCTCTTCGGGGCAATCGCGCTGCCGAGGACGAGGCTGGTATCAAGGATAAGCATATCGGTGAGTTCAGATTCCCAGATACTAACCCTCATCAACACTAACTTTCTCCTCAAGGCGTGATTTGGGATGGTCTCTCCGTTCGGGGAGTCGGTGGTGTGAAGACTTTCATCAAGACGTTCCCAGATGCAATTATTGACTTCTTCAACGTTCCACAAACCCTCATGAACATGTTTGGTTGGAGTAAAAGTGGTAAGGAGTACAACATCTTGGAGGGATTCCGTGGTTTGACTCGACCTGGAGAGATGGTCCTGGTTCTGGGACGACCCGGCTCGGGATGTACAACATTCTTGAAGGTTATTGCCAACCAACGTGTTGGGTATACCGGCGTTGACGGCGAAGTCCTGTATGGTCATTTTGATTCAGACGCGTTTGCCAAAAGATTCCGGGGAGAGGCCGTTTACAACCAGGAAGATGATATCCACCACCCGACCCTGACTGTCTCACAGACTCTTGGATTTGCTCTGGACACAAAAACCCCAGGCAAGCGGCCGTATGGCGTGGGGAAGGCGGAGTTCAAGGAGAAGGTGGTCAAAATGCTGCTCCGTATGTTCAACATTGAGCATACAGCCAATACCGTGATCGGTAACCAGTTCATTCGTGGAGTCAGTGGTGGTGAGCGCAGGAGAGTTAGTATTGCGGAGATGATGACCACCAGTGCGACTGTGCTTGCTTGGGATAACAGTACCCGCGGGCTTGATGCATCTACTGCACTTGACTTTGCCAAGTCTCTTCGAATCTTGACCAACATCTACAAAACTACTACGTTCGTCTCTCTCTACCAAGCTTCCGAATCTATCTACAATCAATTCGACAAAGTTCTCGTCATTGATAGCGGGCGGTCTGTATTTTTCGGTCCCACCAATGAGGCACGAGCCTATTTTGAGGGTCTTGGTTTCCGCTCAAAGCCTCGACAGACAACACCGGACTATCTCACAGGATGCACAGATCCTTTTGAGAGAGAGTTCAGAGATGGAAGAAGTGCCGACGATGTGCCATCAACACCTGAGGCTTTGGCGGATGCTTTCGAGAAATCCACCCATAGCAAGCGACTCGATGAAGAGATGCAGGCCTATCGTGCACAAATTCAACATGATAAGCAAGTTTTCGATGATTTTGAACTCGCCAACAGAGAAGCCAAGCGGAAATTCACCCCCAAGTCATCTGTGTACTCTATTCCTTTTCATCTTCAAATCTGGGCTTTGATGCAACGTCAATTTTTGATCAAATGGCAAGACAAATTTGCTTTGACGGTATCATGGATCACTTCAACTGGCATTGCAATCATTCTCGGTACCGTATGGCTGAAGCAACCCGAGACTAGCGCTGGTGCATTTACTCGAGGAGGTCTCTTGTTCATCAGTATGCTGTTCAATGGATTCCAAGCCTTTGCAGAACTCGCATCCACGATGATGGGACGTTCAATTGTCAACAAACACCGATCATTCACATTTTACCGCCCAAGTGCTCTTTTCCTGGCGCAAATATTTGTGGATACCGCCTTCGCGGCTTTCAGAATTCTACTGTTCAGCATCATCGTCTATTTCATGTGTGGTCTATCTTTGGACGCTGGCGCCTTCTTTATCTTCGTCCTCTTTGTGCTTACCGGTTATGTGTGCATGACTGTGTTCTTCAGAACGATTGGATGCGTGAGCCCCGATTTCGATTACGCGATGAAGTTTGCTGCTGTCTTAATTACCCTCCTCGTGTTGACATCGGGTTATCTGATCCAATGGTCCGGCGGCCAGGTGTGGCTGAGATGGATCTTCTACATCAATCCGTTCGGACTTGGCTTTTCCTCACTCATGATCAATGAATTCACTCGTTTGACGATGACATGTATTTCGGAGTCATTGGTGCCTCACGGAGCCGGCTACGATGACATCGCTCACCAAGCTTGCACTCTCGCGGGTGGTGCTTCGGGCTCCGACATCATCCCTGGATCCAGCTACCTCGCCAAAACCTTTAGCTATCTAAAGTCGGACCTCTGGCGGAATTTCGGCATTATGCTTGGTATGTTTTAATTGAATACCTGTGTTCCGTTTCCTGACTAATATTGAATTTAGCACTTATTGTCGGCTTCCTTGCTAGCAACCTGTACTTTGGAGAGGCCATTCAATTCGATGCCGGTGGCAAAACAATCACCTTCTTCCAAAAGGAGAACAAAGAACGCAAGGAATTGAACGAGGCATTGGCGAAAAAGAAAGCCAACCGTCAGAAAAAGACTGTGGATACAGGAGCCAACGTTGAGATCACCTCGAAATCGGTTTTCACTTGGGAGAATGTTTGCTATGAAGTGCCTGTGCCGTCAGGTACTCGTCAGCTGCTTGACTCTGTTTACGGATATGTTCAACCAGGAAAGTTGACAGCTCTCATGGGCGCGTCAGGCGCAGGCAAGACAACTTTATTGGATGTTCTGGCCGCGCGAAAGAACATAGGTGTTGTCACTGGAGATATTCTTGTGGATGGAAAACCTCCAGGTACAGCTTTCCAGCGAGGTACGTCGTATGCTGAACAGCTGGATATGCATGAAGCAATGCAAACTGTCAGAGAGGCTTTGCGCTTCTCTGCCGATCTTCGCCAGCCATTTGAAACCCCACATTCTGAGAAGTACGCCTACGTCGAGGAAATTATTGGCTTGCTCGAGCTAGAAAATCTGGCGGATGCAATCATTGGAACTCCTGAAACTGGTCTTTCAGTTGAGGAGCGAAAGAGAGTAACCATTGGCGTTGAATTGGCAGCCAAGCCTGAGCTTCTACTGTTCTTGGATGAGCCTACTTCCGGTCTTGACAGTCAGTCGGCCTTCAATATCGTTCGCTTCTTGAAGAAATTGGCAACGGCTGGTCAGGCTATTCTCTGCACAATTCACCAGCCTAACTCGGCATTGTTTGAGAACTTTGATCGACTCTTGCTCCTCCAGAGGGGTGGCCAGTGCGTGTACTTTGGTGATATCGGTTACGACTCCCAGATTCTGCGAGATTACTTCTACGAGCATGGTGCCGACTGTCCTGAAGATGCGAACCCTGCTGAGTGGATGCTTGATGCTATTGGCGCAGGGCAAACGCGACGGATCGGTGATCGGGACTGGGGTGATATCTGGAAAACTTCGTCTGAGTTGGTGCAGGTGAAGGAAGACATCATTCAGATCAAGGCGGAACGAGCTCAGGTGAACCAAGATCAGGCAGACCAAGTTGGCTCGCCATTAGAAAAGGAGTACGCCTCGCCTATGTGGCATCAGATCAAAGTGGTTGGCCGACGAACCTTCCTTTCCTTCTGGAGATCCCGGAACTACGGCTTTACTCGATTGTTCACTCACGTCGCTCTGGCTCTGATTACTGGACTGGCTTTCTTGAACCTCGATGACTCCCGTTCTTCACTGCAATACCGCGTCTTCGTTGTCTTTAACGTTACCGTACTTCCAGCAATTATCCTCCAGCAAGTTGAGCCACGTTACGACATGGCCCGACTGATCTTCTACCGAGAATCTGCTTCCAAAACCTATAGTCAATTCGCCTTCGCACTTTCCATGGTCCTCGCCGAAGTCCCCTATAGCCTTTTGTGTGCTGTTAGCTTCTACTTGCCAATCTACTACATTCCCGGATTCCAATCCGAATCCAGTCGAGCAGGCTACCAATTCCTTATGGTCCTCATCACCGAGTTCTTCGCCGTGACTCTGGGCCAGATGATTTCAGCCTTGACACCCAACAGTTTCATTGCCTCGCAGCTGAACCCGCCAATCGTCATCATTTTCTCCCTGTTCTGCGGTGTTACGATCCCCAAACCACAAATGCCGAAGTTCTGGCGTGCTTGGCTCTATCAGCTTGATCCGTTTACTCGACTTATTAGTGGCATGGTCGTGACAGAGCTTCATGGGCGGAAGGTAGAATGCGCAAGCTCAGAGTATAATCAGTTCACCGCTCCAGACAACGAGACTTGTGGTGAATACATGGCTTCCTTCTTCGAGCGTGGAGGAGCTGGTTATCTGCTGGATAATGCGACACAGACGTGCGAGTACTGCGCATACAAGGTTGGAGACCAGTTCTACGAGACTTATGAGATGAGCTTCGACAACAGATGGAGGGATCTGGGAATCTTCATCGCCTTCGTGGGGTCTAACTTGATCATATTATTCCTAGCTGTAAGTTCCTCACCCCTATACTGAGGCACTTTCGGTTCGCTAATCATTATCACCTACAGTCTCGATTCCTCAACTTCAACCGGAGATAAGGCATCCAAGAAGATCTTCGGGGGTTAGTGAAAGGAGAGCAGAGGAAGCTTGCGACGAGCTGTTGAAACAGGCGATGGGAGTTTAAAAGGTAAAAAAGTCAAAGTAAACATTGCGACGAATACGCCGAATCAAAATAATATCATTTTTTCCTCATTTCCTTTTTGACTCTAATCAGCTTTGGCGTTCTCGTGTTGTCAAATACCTTCCTGTTATAGTTCGTCTGAATCTTGGAATTCCCTCAACGTAGTGGGCACTTCCCCGCAAAAACAGCGCCTCGGTCCCGGATTCCCCACGCCCCCACGCCGCTTGTCCGCTATAGGCAAGACAAACTCGCGGTTCTCCATGCCCGATCGGCATCTAGACCATTATTTCCGTTTATGCTATACTCATTTCACCTATCATGGATCATTCAAAATGCCTAATAATGCCAAGCGTATCTGCATTGAACTATCTTCTGCGGAAAGCTCGCCGAGTTGTCGGATGAAGTCCGAATTCCACATCTCCAGTGAACGGATTCTCTTAGCATGAACCAAATTGTGAAGGCAGTGCACCAGACTTAAATTTAATTGCTATAATATCAAGTCTCCTTCATTATAAAGCCAATCGCGGACTTAGTCCGAGAAAACTGCTCGTCAGCCAAGACCCTTGCGCATATCTTACCCCGAACGTGCCAGAGGAACATTCCGCATTAGCATAAGGTATAGCTAGGGTTTCCCCGCTTCTTCAAGCTTTCGGAGAAATAGGACTTGTTTGATATGCAAACCCCGATCGTAGCCAAATGATAAGCATAGCCCGTGACCCTATATGCCTTGGTGTTTTCAATTTCTCTATTAAAACACTGACATCCCCCACGTAGATATTCAAGCTACCCCTTACTTTATTTGTTGATATCTATTAACTTGCCTACTCCGTCCTACCTTTTTGGGACCCTGAATCAAAGTCAAACAATAATGGCAGAAGGACGCCCCCACGAGCCAACTCCTGGCTCCAAAACCGACATCATGGATGAACCCACCATCACACACGCTGAATCAAGCGTTAGCCGCAGCAAATGGAAATCTGCTAAATCCAAGGATGGCGATGCCGCTATGGCCCTATTCGATGACCCGGATGAACTACATGAGGAGGTCGACCCAGAGGAAGCACGGAAAATATTACGGAAGATTGATTTCATGATCTTACCATACCTAGCTGTGTGCTACGCTTTTTTCTATATTGACAAGGTCAGCTTCGTTGGAGATTGCACACACGAGCACTATCACTAACTAATTAGACTACCTTGAGTTATGCGGCGATCTTCGGTATTAAAGATGATCTCAGTCTTCATGGAACTCAATACAACTGGCTAAGCAGTATCTTTTACTTTGGGTTTTTGGCTTGGGCATTCCCAACTAACTTCCTGATGCAAAGACTTCCAATCGGTATTCTCTCTGATTTAAAGTCTCTAGTACGCATCTCTCTCTGACTAAGCTTCTAGGAAAATATCTTGGAGTAAACATTTTCATGTGGTGAGTGATGAATCCCCGAACTGAATTATCAGAAGCTGATCAGAGACCCAGGGGAGTTTTTCTCATGATTCAGGCAGCATGTAACAGTTTCGAAACTCTCGCTGTCCTCCGGGCTCTCGGGGGAGCTGCAGAAGCTTGTTCTGATCCGGCATTCATGCTCATCACAAGCATGTGGTATACACGCCGTGAGCAACCCGTACGAATCGGGTTGTGGTATACGGCCAATGGAATCGGAATCGCTCTTGGCGGCCTACTAGGCTACGGTATTGGTCATATTCGAGGATCTTTGCCGTCTTGGAAATACGAGTTTCTTATCATGTACGTCAATCCTTTCGCCTTTGACTATCATGTTCTAATTGCATTCTTAGTGGAGCCCTTTGCGCTACTTGGGGAATCGTCATGTTCATCTTCCTTCCAGACTCCCCTGTTACCGCTCGTGGACTCAGCAAACGAGAGCGACGAATCGCGGTTGAGCGCATCAGAGAGAATCAGACTGGTGTGGAGAATAAGCATCTGAAGCCGTACCAGATCCTTGAAGCTTTCATGGATTATAAGCTCTATATGTTTTTCATTTTGGGTGTTGTTTGTATGCCAATCCGAAAGCCTTTTCATTTTGAGCTGGCCATTAACGAATTGACTAGGCAATGTTCCCAATGGTGGAATCTCTAATTTCGGTACGATTATTATCAAGGGTTTCGGCTACTCAACCTTGATCACAACCATTCTGCAGGTACTTAATGTCCTTTCTAGTGCATTTTCCTTCCACTGACATGCAATTGGTTTAGATCCCCTACGGAATTTTCATAGCTCTTTCCATTCTGGCCTGTGTCTACCTTAATGACCGGTTCGAAAATCGGCGCTGCGTGTTTGTTCTGATCTTCTTGATTCCAAATTTGGCTGGCGCCTTCGGTCTACGCTTTGTGCCAACAGATCAGCATGTTGGTCGGCTCATCTGCTACTATCTGACTGGGCCGTACAATGCCGCATTTGTGCTCGTTCTGAGCATGCAGATTGCGAATACAGCCGGTATGTCTACAGTCTTCCATCGCTTCATGGCAATACGACCAGTTTGCACTGACTCGCGAAATTCAATAAAAAATAGGTCACACCAAGAAAGTTGTCACTAATGCGGTTCTTTTCCTCGGATACTGCACCGGTAACATTGCAGGCCCGTTTTTTTACAAGACGGATCAGTCGTAAGTCCATATATGAATAGGACTATTTCTTCGCGATACGATACTGACGGAGTTTCAGGCCAACATACACACTGGGGATTTGGTCTATGATTGTTTCGCATCTGATCGAGGCTTGCCTTATTACCATACTTGGCCTTCTACTTCGATGGGAAAATAAGAAGCGTGATCGTATCCAGTCACAAATGGAGGGAGGACTGGAAGGCAGAGACTTAGATTCTACTGCCTTCTTGGATCTGACAGATCGCGAAAATTTGAAGTGAGCTCTACTCCCCTTCTATTCGTCTTGACCTGCATACCCGCAGGTCTTTGGGTAGGCTATTATCTAACAAAACACTAATAGTTTTCGGTATATATATTAACCTGCAGATTGATTGCGGGGCTTGCAGATTATCAACGACATTGGTGGCAGCGTATAGGCCAGTACTTCCAGCATTTGATGAACAACCACAATAAATAAGCAGTTCATATATTTGACATGTTCTCACTGTCACCCATTATTGACAAGAGTCTCTTTATAAGCTTCGTCACATATACACTCATTAGCTGTTTATCTTACTGGTTTCTCTCCACTTGAACTTTCGTTCCTAATGCTCATGCTCCTATAAACTCTATGACGTGTCTCCTTTTGTGCAAAGTTACTGGTCAGGTTAAGAATGAGAGACTTTACCCTGCTTACTTCAAGGTTGCTTTCTCCTGGTTTGTGAAAGCCTGTTCGGGGAAGCTGAACTCAAGCCACACGGTTCGTCTCTGCCTTGAAGGCTGCTTTCTTGCACTTGATATCCTCCGCTGCTCAAGGATCGTGGATCTCAGCTGCATAATTGAGTTCAAACGGCGTCGTCCACGAGGTCTGAATAAGATTTGTTCTTCTTGAGACCCAGTCAGATTCAAGGCTGGGGACGTGCCTTTTGTGACTGTCATTGTAACACACGTTCCTCATACTGCCGATTGCCGATCTTCGGATGGTAGATCTAGCTATATAACCATGCAATATAGCTATAGGCTGCTGCTCTTTGCTAAAAAGGTCATTGCCTAAGATTCCTATTTGAAAATCTCGACAATTTTCATTGAAACGTCACATATTGAATCTATACAACATGGCTTCAGCTCATCTTTCACCTAATGAAGCCACCCATAAGCCTCGCCGCGTTCTTCTCGTCAGCACCCCGCGCACCGCATCAAATCTTCTCTTAAAAGTCCTCAACCTCCCCAACCAACCGAATACCTATACAAACGAAAAAGGCGGGTACTTTTTCTACCCAGCATTTATATCCGCAGCCAGCAATGGGTATATGGAAAAGCCAGCAGCCCAATGGACCAAAGAAGAAAAACAGAAACTCAAAGCAGTGTACCAGAGCTGCGCGGACAAGCTCGAAATAGCAGCGGCACAAGCCGAAGCATCAAACAAAATGATGTTTATAAAAGAGCACGCATTTTGGATTTTTGGACCAGCAGCGTTCCAGAAGAAGCTGACCGGTGTGCACGATGAAGAATTCTTGAATGCTTTTAGAGTTCACACGCCTGAGAAATATGGATCCTTAGGCACATATGCCTCGTCTAATGAGACTATTTTCTCGGATGAGTACCTGCGCTCATGGCAGATGGGATTCGTGATCCGGCATCCAGCGCTGTCATTTCCGTCTTTCTGGCGGGCTTTGATGACGTTCGCCAAGCAGGGGATTATCGATGAGGATTCCGTGAAGGTGACCACTGTGACTAGTATGGGGATGTGCTGGGCTCGCTCATTGTATGATTGGTGTTTGGAGCAACATGGCTTGTCTCGCCCGCCGCCAGTTGTGGATGCGTATGATTTGATCAACAACCCCGGAGTTGTGGTTCGATTTGCTGAGGAGACCGGATTGGATCCGAAGGCTTTGCAGTTTGAGTGGAAGTCGCAGGGTCATGAGGAAAAAAGTAATTTTTGGGCGTCTAATCATGCCAAGGCGAGTGCTGGTGATGATTTTGAGGGGTCACATATTCGTGCAGCTAATGTCATGCTGACGACACTCTCGAGTTCCTCAGGAATGATCAAGAATAGGACTCCGGCGGAAGTTGATATTGCTGTCGAGGCGGAAAAGTGGAAGGTTGAGTTCGGAAGTCAGGTTGCTGAGTTCATTGTGAAGGCGGTTTTGGAATCAATGCCTGACTATGAGTATTTAAAAGCTCGGCGAATTACTGTTTGACGTTGCGGTAACAATTATCACTGCGGCCAGGTGTGACTTTTCGTAATAGATCTTGTATATTGTTACATCTTGATGGATAATAATAGCAATACAAACTCGTCAAAGTTGATTTCGATTCTTCTAGAATGTCTTGCACCAACCGTGGAACCCTTCGAAATTCATCAGCAAACACAGCACTTGGGGTAATATTGCGGGGGAAAAAAAGAAAGGAAAATAGGTGAGTCACTTGAAAGGAATTGATATCGTGGAAGCTTCCTATTTACGTCATTGATGGCTGCATGTTGCATTGGCCTAAACTTCCCTCACACTCGGGGCTTGACCAGTGGCAGGTTCCTGGGATGTTGAGTTACGCCCGCGCAGGCTGAGGTTTCCAATTCGCTGCACCAAGTTGCTACCAACTGCATCCACGGCACCCTTCGGAGCTAAAAGAGTCGGCCCTTGAGCAGCAGCCTCTTGAACTCTAAACAGACGAATTGCGGTACTATTCCAAACACCGACGGTACCCGGGGTCGCACCCGCAGCGGAGCCAACTACCATCTCGCTAGAGAAGATGAAACCCCAGAGGAGCGACTCATACCAGCCCATGGAGAGAGCGGTCCACTCAAATGCCTGAGCACGGACCGGGGTCGGCTCTGAAATGATGCTCTTGACCTGCGGCTCCTCGGCAAAAGATGGAAGATTGCTAATCAGAGTACGAGCCTCGGGACTTGCAGTAGTCTGTAAAGCAGCCTCCGGAATGTGAGGTGCAATGGCGGAAATGATGGTGAGAATTGTATGCAGAGGTAACTCAGGAAGCCAGGATTCGAGCTGTGATAGAGTTAGCAATGCGACGTAGAGTTTGTGCGATTCAGTACTTACCCAGGAAACAGTTGGTGTAAAGCCAGTCGATGAGGCAATGAATAGAGCAGACATGCTTGTTTGGCTGGTCATGCTATTCTGGCGAGAGAAGGACGGGCGACCGGCGGGCATCTTACCGCGTGCCTTCTCGGACATGCCTCGCAACTGTGAGCCATTCTCGTCGGTAGTCGAAGCAAAAGAAGGTCTGCGAGAAGTTTGGGCAGAGGGTGAAGACTGGGACGGAGTGTCTTCTCCGTCATCGTCCGAATCGTCATCGCCAATTGCGAATGCACTGTTTTCTTCAGGAATCCGAGTCAAAGGCGAACGAGCACCCGAAGGGGTGTGCAGGTCCTCCTCGGAATGAGAAAGCGAGGGACTACTGATTATGTCGGCTGGGGTTTCTCTGGCTTTCCTTTTCTCTCTCTGTCGTTCAATCTCTTGTTGGCCGCTCTCGAGCGTGAAAGCTCGAATTGCTTCAAATCGTTGCTTGTACTTCAAAATCGCGTAAACGAGATACCGGTTTTCTAAATGATAGTTAGAACAACATATCAGGATGTCAGATGCAATGCGCTATACCGGTAAAGTTATGCTCGAGAATAGCATTGATGAAGTCAAGCAATGATGCAAGAAGAGTATGGTTTGTCTCGTTCGCCAACAAAAAGCTAGGCGCAGACATAGAAGAGAATAGTTGGATGATTTTGGGACAGGTCACGGCAGAGATATGCTGTATATAAGGGGCGACGTTATTCAGGATGACCATGAGGGCGGGGTAGACCGTGTCGAGGTTTCCTTTGCTGGTTGTCATCAACGTATGGATTGACTGCGAGAGTAAGCAAAAATAGCATAGCTTTGAGAACGAGAACGCACCATAATGAGATAATCAGCATAAGAGCCTCGGAATTTCTGCTGTCGAATAGACAGTGGCAGGGTTTCCTGTGCCTCAAAACTGATATTAAGACTTTTGCCGAAAGTCGGCTCTGCACTCATCGTTTGCAGAATGAAAACACACATCCGAACCACTCCTTGCTTAGACGCATCCGCTCTGTATTCCATTGCATAGAATATGCAAAGGATCATGAAATCATGCGAGCGATTGGAATCGATGATAAATGACCTGAAACGCTTGTTGCACTGCAAGGTCTCCCAGAACAGAATCAAGATCTCTGGTGCCCATTTCACCGTTCTTTGGCTTCCCGGGAGATAAGAACTTGTAGACTGCATCTATTGCCAGCATTTAGTATCGGGTATAACCAAGGGATACAAGGTTGCTTACGGGCTGGTTCAAAATTCTGGTCATGCCATCCACGAGGAACTGGAAGTCCTGGGGCCTATGTAGCCTACCAAAATAGTGGCGATAGTAATTCTTTGGAGGAGTACCACGACCATCCTCCGGAATGGGGTAGAGGAGGAGAACAAGAAGAAGCTGTAAGCAGTAGATGACAAGTATCTGCTTAGGATCTTTCCATACCACGTGGTCATATGGAACCCTCCATGATGCAGGGTTATATTTCATAGCCTGTATTAGAGTCAGTGTTGCCTTTCTTTCTGGGGACCTGTGCAGTTATACCGTGTTCAAAAGAGAGCATAATGTGGTCAAAACAGCCTGCTTGTCCTGGCAAGTGGTGATGTATGTGATGGCCCGCACACCTTGTACGGGAAGCGTACCTAAAATAACCTATCAATATCACGACCTTCTCATGCCTTATGAAAGAGACTTACTGGACGGCAAGTACATTGCCTTTCCGGTCATCGTCAACAGTAGCCGCAGAATCTCGCATCGGTTGCTTTCAAGAGTTTTGTTGGATCCCATAGATGTGTTGCATCCGACACCACTTTGCCATATCGAGTATGAGATCTTGCTTTTGGCGGTTGGAAGCACTGGAATCGTGAAGTCGGCGAAAAAGAGCAAGTCCAGCAGCGTATCGATCAACTCCTCCGCAAGAGGCTTCACGTCTTCATATTCCTCCCCGTGGGGTGAGGGCCCGTCTTGCTGATCCTCCGGCTGCGCATCGTCAAAGAGCACTTCGCCTGCAATCTGAGACTGTCTAGTCTTTCTTCTGCGACGCGCCCAAAAGAACTTCTCTTCCCAGTCTTCTAAATGCTCGGCTTCGTAGACAAATGGCAGGAGCCGGGTGAGGATGCGAATACAGTTGAGCACATCGCGATCGGGGGCGAGATCGGGGTCTGGGAACGAAGGGTGATTTTTCAGGACAATAAGCCGCGAAGAGACCGAGAGTATCAGCGTTTCGAAGTTTGATAAGGCATGGTCGCGCGTTCGTCGAATATCAGCAGGTGTGAACAAGCTGAAGACGTCTTCTGTAGATTCGGGGAGTTCCCAGAACTAAGGAGAACCAGTTAGTGGCACTATTCACTTAACCTTCATAACCAAACGAGTCCTCTTTTTGGTAACATACTCTCGTCCAGTAAGGGTCGTCTGCGGGGATCTCCTTCTCCTCGGATAAGCGGAAGATGCCCTGCTTGAACACAAGCTTCGACTCCGAGGCTCCCATAGCTGGTAAAGAAAACCAGTCCCTCACAGGATAAGGTTCATGTATCAGCTAGCGAGAAAGTTCCAAGACGAAGTACGGACGCTGATGTCTGACGCGGATGTAGTTGGTGTTGCGTTCGTTCCTATTGCGGAGTCTGGCCCGTGTATTGGCTGCCGAGCCCGCCTAAACAGCCATGACATATGCGCCTCTTCAACTACCAATCTACCATTGATCTGTTTCACAACAGGCAAATTCAAATTATGGATAACAGACAAAGCTCGAATATAGGATCTGGAGAATGATTGATAATATTTATGCATTAAAAAGAGCCCGCTATGAGTACCATGATCTACAAACTCCAATCCACGCAGCCCATGTAAAAGCCCAAATCCAAAAAAAAGTAATCACATAGACCCATTGCTGGCCGATAGCCGTCGGGTTCTTTCGTAGAGCCACTTGTTACTCACTGACAAGCTAGTCCGTTTTCCCGCTAAAGGAGAAGGAGTGCTGGGACCGAGACTGGACTCGCCGAATGAGTTGCCGAATGAGTTGCCCATTGAAGTGCCCAATGAGTTGCCCAATGAGTTGCTGAATGAGTTGCTGCGGCCAAGAGGCGACGATGATCCGAAGCTTGGTCGCCGACCGGTATCTCTTCCGCCGGTGGCAACTGCCTTGTGAAACAATGGGCTGGAGGCAGGCGAGAAAGGAGTGCCAGACGAAACGCGTCGCTCTGAAAATGTGGGTGTCGCAGACAAAGGAGAACCATTCTGGCTGGCAGGACTGCCCTTACGCGAGGTCGATACGCGGTATCTTGGTGGGGTAACATAGGTGGTTCCAGGGGTGAGGGGTGGTGTAGCGGTTGGGTCTAATCCCAAAAGGGCCCGTTGTGTAGGAGTCAAGGGGATGTCGGAGAGGTTGTCGGTCGGTCGGAATAGAGGATACAAGGCGAGGAGAATGTTGGCGGTGAAAAAGAGCTGAATGAGCAGCAGGGAAGCCTCAGGATAAACAGAGTTGTGATCAAAAATGAAGTGTGAGCTTAGAGAGAAAGAAATTAGTATACTGCGCGCAAGGATTTATCGATCGCGAAACTGACTTGGCCTTCAAGCTATGTCCGAAAATCCAGCTCATAAGCAGGGCACCGCCATTCCAGATCACCTTCCGCATGTTCTTGTCGCCAAAAGTAGCTGCATTCTGACGCCTAACGATCTCATCCAACTGAGGATGGCGCCATTTGCCGGGGGTGTCAGACCCCGCGGAGGGGGAGCTGCCATCGGCGTGGCCTTTGGAGTCGAAGGGAGAGAAGCCATTTGTCGCAAGTCGATTGCAAGGAGATATGAATAGACGATTGGTTGTGCTGAGCAAGCTTGCAACAGCTCACAAGAAAGAATACAAGCTGGAGCTTCGGGGTCAGGGATATAGAGAGCTGGAGACGGAGGCAGGGGAACTCACCTTTGGATGAAAATCGCGTGAAACTTACCGACTTACCTTGAAAAGTGAGGGGAAGGGTTAGTAGAGAATGTGAATTAAAATGTCGTCAGTATTGACATTGCCCAAACGTTGGAGTTTTCCGGAGTGAAGGGGTTGTTGTTATGGTGTTGCTGGCTCGTGGTTGGGATTTGCAAAGAAAGCCGCTAAGCGCGACTTAATTAGACGCCGCAAGAAGGTTGCCCCGGGCCCCGCTTTTCCAATCAATAGATAATCACTCGTGTTGCTCTCACGTCATATTGTCCTCTGCAGTTGTTCTTCCTCGTGTCATCAATTCGCAATGGCAGATCAACCCATTCTTCAGAAACTGGATACTCTGGTGGCAGATATTCTGGCCGACTGGAATATCTATACCACTATCGTTGCCGGCATTGTTGCTACTTTCGCGATCTATTCCGCGGTGTCAGCTAAGGACCCTGACGTTCACCCGTTCTTACTTGCTCGCCAATCCACACCTTCGCCTATTCGACAGTCAGGCGAATCCTCAACATACCGTAGCTTGGAAACACCCTACGGTTTCCCTCTGCGAGCAGGGTTAAATGTCAAGGACCCCGGTGCACCCAAGTGGACTGCTGGCAGAAAGGGTGATTTGCGGGACATCTGGAGGGCTGCGGTGCGGGGAGCTCTGAACGAGGATGGTACCCCAACCAACACACAAGGAAAAATCTATACCGTTTTGGGTAGACAGGCGTTCGAGCACTCGCTGTCCCAGGTGACCCAGGAAATCAACGTAATTGGTCACCATCTTCAAAATGCCGAGGTAAAGACCGTTGCGGTCTGTCTGACTGACTCGGTTGAACTTCTGGCTGCTCTCTTTGGTAATTTAGCCACATTACACGTACTACATTTGTACTAATTCTTCAATATAGCTGGTGCTTTCTATGGATTCAAGACCATCCTTGTCCCCCACAACCTTCCGGCAGAGACCCTATGCGCACACCTGCAGACAGCGCAAGCCGATGCCCTGATTGCTGAGGCGGGATCACTTGACCTCTCTGTCGTCGCCCAGGGTAACAAGCAGCTATCACACGTTGTGTGGGTTGCTAAGTATGGCAATCGGCACATGGACTGGCATGGAGTTCCTGAGGGAGTGGACCGTGATATCAAGGTAGATGTTTGGCATGAGCTGGTGGAGGAGAAGAAGGACTTGACTGGTTTGGACCTCCCCGAGTATGACCCTAAAGAACCGGCTCCTGCTATCAACACCGTTTGGCCTTCTTCTTCCCAGTCTGGCAAGTTTATTGACTTCCAGTCGGAGGTAAGAGATCACCTTTCTTTTTCAACTCACCACTCCTGTATTAATCACTCTTGCAGAATCTGATTGCTGCCATCGGTGCCCTGGGATCTGCCCTTCCTCGCTCCCAACGTTTCTCTCCTTCGGATCTTGTTCTCTCTATTGACTCCCTCTCTCGGTCCTACCCTCTTTGCCTCATGATGAATGCCCTATTCTCGGGTGCCTCTATTGCATTAAACTCGGTTGCAGGGGAGAAAGTTGACTTCGCTTTGGCTACCGTGGGTGTGTCTCCTACCGTTATTATTGCTTCATCACAGACCATGTCGGACTACCACGACAGCGTCATGCAGCCACAAACGGGGCTTGTTTCCTCCATTGGCCGCTGGGTTCAAGCACGCACTCTTGATGCTGGAAACATGCCTTCGAAAAACATTTTCAGTCAGCTGGCCCGCGTTGGACCAACCTCGGAGCTGTCGTTGGACAAACTGCGCCTGCTTTGCATCTCGCATCGCATTGATGCACCTGCCTCGGCCCGCCTTAGCTCAAAGCAACTGACAGATTTGCGCATCTACACCGATGCTCGTATCGTATATGCTTTGACTGGATCCGGTATTGCGGGTGCTATCGCGCAGACAAATGTCTTTGACTACCGCCGCCATGATGGTCCTAGTCACTTCGGCTCTCCTCTTAGTAGCATTGAAATTACACTGACTGAAGTCTCTGAGGATACGGTTACAGACACCCCTGAAGGCCAGGTAAGATAGTCTTGGCCCAATTACTTCAATTTGCATGGTTTGCTAACATCCAGCCTCAGATCAAAGTATCTGGCCCTGCAGTTGTCGGCGATAAGACTACACTCGCATCTCGAGTCCGTATTAGCAAGGACAACACTGTGGAGCTGTGCTCTTGAACGGCCCTCTTATGCTAGTATTTCAACTCAACTTTCATGATCACAAGCGTTTATCCACATTTCGGCTGTCTCAAATGGTGATCATTATATTACCATACACTATTTTGCAAGTCACCTGAATATTTTCAAATGCGTTTCATCAATTGTTCATAGCTCGGTAGCTTTTGATTCAACCGCCTCTTCCTTAAGGGTTCCCAAATCAAAGTCCCCCAAACATGCATTCTTCAAGAGTACTATGTTGTCGACGGGTACCTAAAGCTTTTATGAGTAGATATAATAAGGCAGTGAAGTGAGGCAGTAATGTCCGATTGAAATACAAGATCAGCTCCAAAGATGCTGGAATAAGAGTAATATACATATGCCGGTATGCTTCTCAAAACAACTGACAGCCAAACACCACGCTTTAAACCCCTTATTTCTGAAGCACGGCCTGGGCGAACTCGATGCTGGCCACCTTGCTAGCAGACTCCTCCGGGATCGCCTTGAGCTGCGCTGTGATCGCCTTCTTCACCTCAGAAAGACGAGCCGTAACAGCCGCGTGTAAGGCTTTGTCAACAGCAAGACCGTGGATCGACAGACTGAGCTGCAATCCCTTGCACGCCGCAATTGATCCCATGAGCTGCTGGTTAACGAGCTCCACGTCGAATTGGTTCTTGGGGATAGGCTTAAATTCACCCAAATGCCAAGAAGCAATAAGCTTCCGGGCGTAATTCAGCACCTCGTTGTTCTGGTCCTTACCACCGGCTTCCTCTAGAGCACGCGCAGCACTAAGCTCCAGCAGTGTTGCAATGACATACGGCTGGTATTTAGGGTTGGTGGCTGGGCTTGGGGCGTATGAGTCCATAATATCCACGGCCCCCTTCGCCATCTTGAGAGCCTTCTGCACCTGGTCTCCCTTGAAGCCAGCCTTGTGGGCCATGCAGTGGAATTCAAAGAATAAACGCTGGGTGTGATAGTTGTTTTCTAGCGACAGGCCGGTCTGGTTTTCTCGTCGGGCGCAATCGAGGATAAGAGAGAGTTTGCCGGCGTTACCGGTCTTGCGAATCAGGTACTGCCACCGGGCAGGAGAGATGGCCATCTGCGAACTCCATAATCCGGTCATGAATGGCACGAGGTTTTTGTAGTCGTTGGCGGCTTCCATTAACCGGAAGACATTGACGGCCTCCTTGCTCTTGGGCAATGAGGAGGGGCTCAAGGGTCGCAGGGTGTACTCTTCGGTCTCGCTAATCTTCACTGTAATAGGTTCATCTTCCAATCTGCGAGCATGCTTCTCCTTGAACATGCTTGTCCGCTGTCGTTTGGGGAGGCCGAAGGGAATGAAGAGGTCTTGTCGCCAGTGCTCGAGAGCCTGGTTCAATTCGTCGGATGCAGTGGGGGTGAATGTAGGGATTACTATATACCAAATGTAGTGGATTAGCAAGCAGGATTTCGTGCATCAGAAGCCATTGAGCTATATCATACCGGGTTTCGAGGCAAAGCTGCGAGTTTGCGAAAAGGTCATCGACTGGCGCGAGAGCCGGAAGGCCCTGCTCATAGCAAATTGTGCCATGATCAAATGATACCGATGCTCGGTAAAGTTATTCTGGGTACAAAAAGCAGTTTACTGCAGTCCCTGTGTGTTTTTTATTGTGTAAACAATTCGAGCTTGGAAAGAAGCGTGAGAAGTGAATCCGGGCGGCGAAGAGAATATCGAGTCTTGGCAAGAAATTCTGCCGGGCCGACTCAATTCCAAAACTCAATGCCGGCTTTCTTTCTTCGATCCTCGTCAAACCACCAAAAATAATGGCTGCACTACCGACAATGCGGCCGCTGGGCTGCTTGAGGACCCTATTCAGAGCCCAGGATGCTTTCCAGCCACAGATGTCCCGGCGGTTCATCTCAACAGCCTACTCGAAGAGACCCGAGCGTGTCCCTCTCCCTCCGAATCTCCCCCAGCAATTCCTCTCACAATTACCGGTCCGTATGCAACCGCAGAATGGTACGTGCTCTTCGGAACCTCCGATCACTTTCTCGTTGGGATTTTGTATTGACTGCAGCCGCCCGTTCAGCTACCAAGCCCGTCAAGGTCTACCCTGCTCCTCCCTCCACCAGCAAGGCATGCAAAGACCCCGTCGCGAAGATCACCGAGTCCCAGTTGGCCGTCCTTGACCCCAAGGGTGAGCGCAAGGCCTTGTTCGATTATCGCCGGAATACCCGCAGTGTCAAGCCCGGTGATATTGTGCGCGTGACTTTCAAGAACGGCGACCCCTTCAACGGTGTGGTGCTGAGCATCAAGCTCCGCGGCATCGATACCTCCTTCCTGGTGCGCAATGAACTCACTCGCGTGGGTGTTGAGATGTCGATCAAGGTGTTCAGTCCGAATGTTCAGAGTGTGGAGATTGTCCAACGTGCAGAGCGCAAGCCCCGCCGCGCAAGACTCTACTACATGCGGTTCGTGAATTCCATCTTCCCACCTCGTGTCACTATCGGCAGCAGTTTACTGACAAGGTATTTCTCAACAGGTCCCGCAAGCACGACCGCCGCAGCGTGGAGAACCTTGTGGCCTCTTATGTTCGCCAGAAGCGGGCTTTCCTGGGTGGCAAGCGCCAGCAGTGATTGCGCAACGGCGCAGTGTACTTCATTTAGCATATTTCAGCATGTATTATTATCTGTCAATATTGAATGTGTTTCTATTTCAAGACATGGTTTCTTTAACCGCTGCGCCCTTTTACTGGGCCGCGAGGATGTCATAAATTCTAGTAGTATCATTTCAACATACTCTCCCTTCATTCAGAGCGAACATCAATATGGTTTTCAGAGTGTAAATTGCAAATTTCGGTTGCAAAACTCGGTTGCAAGGTGCAGCGTTTATACTACCTTTACGTCCCTATGCAGGTACTATGGAGCCAGAACACGTGAAGTCAAGCCGGCGTTCCGCCTCCATTGCCCAAACCCCTTTCAACTTTCAATAATTCTTCCGAGCTTAGATTCCGGCCAAGTTCATGTTTACTGGATCAACTTCATTTCTGGTAATGTTTTCCTCGTCAATTCTGGGTATGGCCGCGGCCCTGGCTTTGGCCGGCGGTCCGGACCCTGTTCTCGGGACGATTACCTCCAGCCTCCAGCACATCTTGCAAAACACTCACGGCGGCAACGAGTACCAATATCCCACGGATATTACTCGAGACCTTCTCCCAGTAAGCTCTCCAACATTCTTTTTTTTTTGTCCTCGTATATACTTTGTCTACCTTGTCGACCACCATTCGCCTGCGGGACTTAGCTAACGCTATATGCCTAGATTCCCGTTCATTCCCACAAGTAGGAGATACATTGAACAAAGGCAACAATCGTTGCTTCAATTTTCTTTTTATGCTAATTTAGTATCGCATAGTGACTATTGGAGACAAGAGCCATTCTGGACGGGTATGTACTACCAAGCATATTCACCCTGTTTTACTAACCGAATTTCGGCAGGTCTGTCAAAAGGATGTACATCAACTGAGGCAGATATCTGGCTATACAATGACACTCTCTATGTTAGTTCTTTTTCTCGCCATCAAACCGGAATTGTAAAGCTAACAATCTAGGTCGGCCATGATCAATCTGCCCTGACAAAGGAACGAACACTTGAAAGCCTATATATCAACCCAATTCTCGATGTCTTGAGTCGCCAAAACCCGGAGAGTCCATTTGTGACAGAGCCCACTAAAAAGTCAGTGTCTTCGAGGTTGTAGTGCTTGTTATCACTGACTGAGTCAAAATAGTGGGGTTTGGGATACCACTCCAGACCAAACACTCTACTTCTTCATCGATGTGAAAACTTCCGGCCCTGAGACCTTCAAGGCTGCCCTTCAAGCTTTAAAGCCACTCAGAGAGAAGGGTTATCTTTCCAAAGTCGAGGGCGGCAAAATCACTTATGGACCAGTCACCATCATCGGGACGGGTGAAACTCCCCTTGATATGGTAACTTCTGTCTCCGACCGTGACTACTTCTTTGATGCTCCTCTTGCAAATCTCAATGATCCCAAGTATGCCAATGTTGACGGCACAATTTCGCCTATCGCGTCTACAGACTTTGCAGCAGCAGTTGGCAAGGTGACTGCTGACACCGACCCGGTTCTTACGGATACGCAACTCAAGGCTCTTCGTGAGCAGATTGCGACAGCGAATGGGCGTGGTATTGGAGCCAGATACTGGAACACCCCAGCCTTCCCTATCCGAACCCGAAACCTGGTTTGGAGGACGCTTCTGCGTGAGGGGGTGACTCTTCTCAATGCCGATGATCTCGATGCAGTGGCCTCTTTCTTTTAAGTCATACCAAAAAAAACGCCTGAAGTAACGCATTTTTGGTATTTTGGACAATCCCGAGTGACATAAATTTTGGCATGATTTGAATTATTAGCAGTGTACAAAGTGTTTCACAATCATTCTCCCGCCATAATCACCAATCTTGTAGTTCATCACTCAGTCCGTATCTCATACTTCTCTTTACAAACATTTAAACTTTCAATTACACCCAATTCACCTGTTCCATGGCACGTCGCTATATACCCCGGCAAATGGCATGTGGCACGTGATCGGCGACGACAGGGCAAAATCGCTGCATACTCGAGCTCCACTGCTTCTCAGTCCAACATCGCTCAACGCCCAATCTCATTGGTTGGAATCGAAAATGGCAGATGGCGATCTGGGAGATCTCTTGGCCAAGGTGCTCCCCACCGGGGCCGAGCTCACTGTCCGCCATGTCTCCTCGACACCCGCCCCAAGTGTCGCCCTGTTCGCCGCTGCGCCCGGCCAGGAGCCCGAGTCTACCTTTTGCGAAAGTCACTTCCTGTCGGTCTCCATTGACTCGCCTAAGGATGACGGGGCTGAAATTATTGTGTTTGGAATGGAGGTGCTGATCTATAACTCGGCCCACCTGACCACTATATTTGTGTCCAAGGCCGATTCAACCGGCCTTCTACATCTACTTAAATTGCCGCATAAAGTCTCGGTACTGAGGTTGATCAGCCACACGTTTTTGTCTCACTTGGCTCGCACACACCAACGGCCTGGTGTGCGTTTGGTCGTGTCTTTGTTTGCCCGTGCCCAGAACCAATACCTCTTTCCCGGCAGTATCGAGAATGCTGAAAAACACGTTCTCGATGACCGGGGTCTGATCAAATGGTGGTGCCGAGCTGTGGATCCTATTCTAAGTGAGCATGAGCCTGAATCTGTCTCGCAGGACACTATCCCCCTTGACAAAACCGTCGAGGCCGCGAAGGCTTCCGCAACTGCATACCTCATTGTTCCCGGGTGCGACCGCCTTGAGACACGCAGCTTTTTCCCCGCCTCTTCCAAATCCAATGTGCAGGGTCGTCCTCGGTGGCTCGCGAGCTATCCGCTAAAGCAAATGGTTCACGATCCTTCGGCTCCGCCGCGATGCTTGATTCCTCGGCTTCCAGATGACCCCAAGACGCGATTCTTGATCGACCTGGATGATGAGCTTCCGGAGCCTGTTGATGGTGAAAAGCCATCTCCCAGTACTGGCCAATGGCGAAGTGTCAAGTCCTTGGATCAGTTCTGGGAGATGATGTCGTTTCGACAGGAGTGCTCTGCCGGTCGACTTGTTGGGTTCCTCTGGCTGGTCATTAATCCTCCTGGTTTGATGAACTCGACCACAATGGCTAGCCAGAGCCGTGGCCCTATTGAATCAATTTCAGATACCAAAGAAGCGGAATTGTCTAAACCGTTAGAGGATGAGCCACCGCAAAATGACACCAGCCAGAGAAAGCCCGAGGCTTCAAAGTATACAACTGCAGCTGCTACGGTCACACCAAAAGAGTCCCCTGAACCTCCGGCGGCCACTTTCGACGACCCATCGGAGGGCTCTTCAGCCAACACCCATACAACAGCTCCTTCAACGGACACGAATCCATTCTTCTGGCCCGAGGCCGGTCGAGGAGAAGTGGTTCTCAGCGAAGCGGATTATAAAAAGATGATGGACGGGGTCCTAGATCACTTCTACGATGAGAAAGAAGTCGTTTCCAGCACAAAGTTATACGTTGATCAGGTAGCATCGCTTGCCGACCAGCTTACATGGGGCAGACGGGTAGTTGGCAGTCATACGCCCGAGGAGACTGCCACTCAGCAGGCACCTATTAATAATATTCTGAACAGCGGTTTGATTCGGAAGAGGAAGAAGCCGGAGGGCGAGAATGGGAAAATCACAGGGGATGATACAGATTCAGGCACAGCCCAGCCGAGTGGGTCAGATACAGCGCAATCAGCCCCAGCCCAGCCAGCGGCTGTTAATGTGCTCAGTGCTGGCCTTTTGCGGAAAAAAAAGAAGACGTGATACATTCTCTTGGGGTCTCTGTTTGGATCAGGAGTTATAGGACAGCTCTGATGAAGCTATTGGTTCAAATTTGGTTTCGGTTGGAATGGATACTAGGATGCTATTTAACTATTTATTATTGATTTAAGTCGTGCTCGATTCAATTGCATTGCGCTTCGGTTGGCCATGGCAATTCTACTGAAACTTTTTTTTCAAAACAACATGCTGTTTAGTTTAGACTGGTCTACCTACCTAGCCAACACCCAGGTCAATTGCAAGGTTGATGAGAATGTTAGGTAGTCGATGACTTTCCGACATTTCTCAGCTCCGGGTTTTATAACTAGTAGAATGTTCAAAAATTGTTCCGAATATTTGAACACCAGGCTATCTACCGGGTAGTGCTTTATCCTAGTACCTAAATTTAGTCTCTTCTATAACTTTTGTACACACTAATGCTTTGTTATGCATTAAAACCACGGATACACCACTCGGAGGCCACGGAATACGACTCGTCTAGGTACCCAAGCGGAGCCGCAAAAACAAGCCTGGTTGGCCAAAGCGCTAGACATGTAAGGTCGATTGTGATTAAGAGAAACGTGATATTAATGTAAGGATTGATCAATTTGCAAGCTAGTTTCAAATGTTAGCTACTTCAGGCTCATCAAACGCACAGAAACCAATAGGGTGCACGCGCAAGGCGGTGCGAAACAGGCAATAAGGAAGCCGCTATATCCGATTCCGAGCTACGATGCTCTCAGCTCCACAACGGCCCGGTCATCGCACACTACCATTCATACTCCAACTCTCAGCGTTGGATCTTCCTGTCCTAGAATGTCCTCCTCGCTTGCGCTGTCACCGTTCCTTTGAGTCCCATGCTAGAGCCGACCTCGCAGTTTCTCCACAGGTCGCCCATCGGTGATGGCGATATGCCCGTGTCCGTCGCGGCGGGCTGGATCGGTCTGATCTGGTATATCGTCGTGCTGTCTGTGTGTGCCTTAGGGTATCTTCAAATGTAAGTTTACATGAAGTTTGCGCAGCTGTTCTGTCTTTCCCCACGAATCCTGACGCGCCACACGAGATCATTGAGTGGGGGAGTGGGAGCTAACTAGCGCTACCCGATTACGACTGTGGCTAACCACAAAGTCAATTCAGTTGGAGATTCTTTTCACGACGACTACGCCCGACCTCTCTCGCTACTGCTTCCGATGCCCCTCACGTCACTGCCATTCGGCCCGTTAAGGGCCTCGAGCCCCATCTTTACGACTGCCTTGCTGCAACCTTTCGACAGGAATATCCGCGTGACAAGCTGACCATCTGTCTATGCGTCTCAACCCGCGATGACCCTGCCTACCCAGTACTCTGCAAATTGATTGATGACTTTCCCGATGCCGATGCACACATTTTCATCGAGGAGCAGGATCCATTACTGCAGCGCGGCGGATCCAATACCTACACGCTTGGGCCGAATCCCAAGATCCGAAACATGAGCCGAGCGTACCGTGAAGCCAAGGGAGACATTATTTGGATTATCGATTGCAATGTATGGGTTGGAAAAGGTGTCTGTGGTCGCATGGTGGATAGACTTTGTGGAACAGGAGCGAACCCAGCCAAGAAGTACAAATTCGTTCACCATTTGCCTCTGGCTGTGGATGTTACCGGGGAAGACAACCTCAATGCAGAGCGACAGGCACTTTCAGATGCCTCTCGCGACACTACAGCCGCGACCGATGCGATGTTAACTAAGCGGCCAGAAGAGGGATTTGCCAGCATGATTGCTTCTGGAGGTGGCCGTCTCGAAGAATTGTTCCTTTCCTCGGCCCATGCGAAAATGTACACTGCTATCAATACGGTGCTCATTGCGCCATGCATCGTGGGGAAATCTAACATGTTCCGCCGCTCACATCTGGACTATCTCACAGCTCCGTCGCCAACAAATCCCACTCCCCGACACCCGGGTATTGACTTTTTCTCGGATAATATCTGCGAGGACCACCTTATTGGTGACCTGCTATGGCGAAAAAAGGTGCGGGAAGAAAAAGAAAATGGCGAGAAATGGGGCAAGCACGCCATGGTCTTTGGAGACCTGGCCTTCCAGCCCGTGGCAAACATGACAGTTCGAGCCTACATTGCCCGACGAGTGCGGTGGCTGCGTGTCCGGAAATTCACAGTACTCCTTGCAACCCTGGTCGAGCCAGGTACCGAGTCGTTCGTGTGCTCAATGTATGGCGCATGGGGCATAACAGCGGCACTGGCGCCGTATCTCGCAAGGAAAGGCTTCGCGTTTGCGTCTGCTCTTGGAACATGGACATCTTTCTTTACCATATATGCTCTGAGCATTGCATTTTGGATCCTGGTTGATTGGACCCTCTACATTAAGCTCTTTTCTGCAAAGACAGTCGAATTGGACGACAATACCCCACTCTTTGCGCAGCCTGTGCGCCGCGATCCCTCTCAAATAACCCGCCGTCCCTTTTCACAGTGGTTCGCTGCGTGGCTGGGCCGCGAATTGCTCGCTCTACCCATCTGGATCTCGGCCGTCTACGGTGGTGTGACCGTCGTCTGGCGGGACCGACGCTTCAAGGTCGGATTTGATGCTAAAGTTCGGGAAATAGACACTGATTCGACAAAGCCCTCGGAGGGCTCGTATTCCACCGGGTCTGTGATCGATTGGTTTCCAGTCTCACCACAAAGCAATCATGGGAAAGACAGCAAAGTCCGCCGTGATTGATTGATGAAAACAACCTCATGTACACTACACGAAAGCCTCATAAATGTTTCAGATATTCTACCGACACGGAATCTCGGATTTAAACTCATCTCGGGATTCAGGTCATGTTTAATATCGAAAAGATTCCCTCATATATCTAGATATTGATTTCATCGCGTATAGAATCAAGTCGCTTTTATTGTCTATATCCTTACTTTTATTCATGGAACCATAAATCACAATCACTCATCCACGTCTAGGCGCATCACGCCGAGCTTGATCCCTCATTGGCACCACTCTCCAACCCAGCCGACTTCTCTGAGCTCAACAACCACTCAACAACTTGTCTGCCCGCAGACATCTCCCCAGCACTCTCCTCGCCACCCTCTTGTTCCTCGCCAATAGTCATCTCAATCTCCTGGTTACCCTCCTCATCCTCCTTGACCTCCTCCGCGGAAGCAGACCAAGCAGCCCGCTCGGCAAGGAAAACGGCATCGTGACCAGCATCGTTCTTAATAGCAACATCAGAACCAGCCTCGACAAGCGCCTTAACGCACTCCAAGTGGGTGTTCAGAGCAGCCCAGTGCAGCGCTGTGTTACCAGAGTGGTTCTTGTGGTTCACAAAAGCTGTGCGCTGCGCCGCATCCGCGCCAGTGAGTTTCTGAAGAAGAGCGTTGAGGATTTCTGTAATTATTAGAACCTTGTATCAAAGCGCATCGTTTTTTATATATATGATATTCGCTTGGACTTACCAGAGTTTCCATTTGCGGCAGGGTAGTGCAACACGCAGGCGCCGGTGCCGCCTTCGCTTTCTTCTTCCATATCGATGGCCGATGCTACGATTTGCCACTCTGGGCAGCTGTGCTGCGAGGACAAGTTGGCGATGTCGGCGTTCAAAGCCTCGAGGTCACCGGCCCGGGCATCGTAGATGAGGTCCTCAACTGCCTCGGTGGAAAGTGCAACAGGCACAGTGGGCTTGGGGGCAGACATGATGTATGAATTTTTTGTAGAGTATCAAAATCCAAAGTATAGAGGTTCAGAAGTATGCTGCTTCTCTCTTTCCAGTTGGGCCGCAAAGTTATTCAAGTAGAATAGCGGGTCGTTTTTTTTCTGCAGCGGGAAGAGAATTTTATATGTACTGTAGTGGGGGTGTTAGTGAATTGATCCAGATATACTGCACACTGTGTCAAATGCAAAACAAGCAAAGTAATTTAAAATCAATTATTAGCAAGGAAAGCCCCCATTGGCCTTTTGCTCTGGCTATTGATTGAACCATAGCATTTGATCTTTGCGTAGTCGTTGATAAGCGCATTGATCAGAGATGCAATTAGATCCACCAGAACATCGGGCATGTCCTGGGATTTGGGGCGGGCAACCAGAAAAAAGCACGCGCTAGACTCAAAAGAATTGGCATATCTTACCTCTGCGTCTGTTTCCCTCGAGTAGATCTTGTTGAACCGATGTTCGCCACTATCGAAGAAACTTTGATATGTTAGTCACATGACCCCGCAGTGGGGTCTCTGGCCAGGTCTATAATAATGAGCCAAAGAATAACGACGAGGAATAGAAGAATCAATCATAGAATGTCAATTGATAGGTGGTGGGTAATAATACAGATGCTGTTTGGATAAAAATTATGAGTCGGTCCGAAGACACAACTGCCTCTATGCACAAGTCCCCAGGCAGAAAAAAGGTAGAAACAACCATAAACGCCCCGAATCCAACACCCTGATTGGGCTAGTAAGAAATACAAGCCCGACGATGATGCGAATGGAAAGTCTCCATGCGAAGCGCACTCAATCCCGTAGCCATGCTCTCCGCTTCTCCTCCTTCTTCTCCCGGCGCTTCTCCTTGAACTCCTTCAGCTCTTTCTTGGTCAATTTCTTAGCGCTCCGCTCAGCGCGCAGACTCCGACCATCGTGTGCATTAGCCGCAGCATCGACGTCAAAGTACGCATTCATCTGGCGGTGGGACTTGTTCTCGTCGTTGTGGTTCTCCGGGTTGATCGACTGTGCCTGCCATCGACCAGTAAACCGGTTGAAGGTTCCAGCGGCAGCATAAGCAGCAGCCGGGTCAACCACGGGTGCATTCAGATCTTTTGGCTCTTCGTATTGCTGCGCATATGATGCTGTTGGGTCATAACTTCCGTGGATAGCGGGGTTATAACCACCGAGCACAGGCGACTTTGGTCTCGGAGGTTCTGCTTGATTCTCGGTGGGTTCTGTGCCAGGAGCTGCTGGTTGTTCGGGCACGCGAGGGTTCTCCCATTGTGAGAGCCCTGTGAGCCGGTTGTAGAAATAGTATGCTTGTACAGTGGCATCCCATACGGGCTCCCATCCATCGTCACTGAGCTGGCCAGGCGGTGCTTCGTCGGGGAGTGGTGGGGGGACCTCGTCGGGTAACGGGGGTGCAGAAGCTGTGTCTTCTCCTTCTTCGGGTTGGCCGTGCTGTGATTCTTCCTCCTCTTTCTTTTCCACTGTGTCCTGTTCCTGCTCGTGTTGTTCCTTTTCTGTCGTGGTGTCAAGTTTCTCTTGTGTCGAGCCGGTCGAACTTCCCGCGCGCTCCTCTTCGGCATTCGCAGAAGCACGCGACTGGTCGGACATCCTGGCGGTTAGCACGGCTTGCCCGTTCTAGAAATGAGTCGAATGCAGGAAAATGACGCGCTGGAACATCGGCGTTTCGGAGTTTGGGGCGCAGAGAGGCGCAGATTGGCTTCACCGCCTAGCTAAATCGGGATTGAAGCATAAGAGCTCAATTAAAGCATGTCCTTGCTTCGTCCATCAATAAATCTGCAATGCAAGTCAAACATTTTCATAATCCCTTCGAAAATTACATAAAGACGGCAAAGGCAAAGGAATAAGGCCCTTGAAAAGCGTCACTCCAGTTTTTGATGACCTTTTCAGATGTGCTCTTCTAAAAGATCCGCTAATAGCTTGCTATTCACAGACTAGCCTTTTTATTAAACAGGCCAACTATGTAGGAAATGAGATATTAACATTGCGCTGGAATTTATGCTTTATGCCGAAGCTTCAATTGGATCGTCAGCAAGCAAATCCACTCTCGCAGTACTGGATTAGTGTCGCCGTCGTCTTGACTCCCCTTCACCTTTCCGAAGAGCTCCAACTGCGTCCATAAAGATCACAGTCCTACCATAGAAGCTATGAGGATGATAATTCTGATTGATCTCATTCCAAACAATACCCACTGCAGCATGGTTCCACTTCCCAGGAGCTTTGAAAAGCTCCCGTCGATCAAATGGAAGTCCGAGTCCCCTATCTAACTGCTCGCTCCATTGCTCCATCATCTTGTCGCAAGTTATAAGCCGATCTATGAAGTTGTCATGAGGGAAGGGACCAGGCACTTCAATAGATAAGATGGGATCACTAATCATCTTTAGCATGCAGTCAATCTCAATGTCATGGGTAGAGGATTCCCATGTGGTTCCATGGAGTACTTCATCACAGATATACTCTAGAAGGTCTCTGTCCGTCTTATCTTTATCGCGAGTAGTGTTGAATCGGACGTGAACCCACATGTGCGGGGCGCCTGGGTCGCTTTGGTAAGCCATAATGCGGAGGCTAGGATGTACCTTTTTTAGTTTCTTGAGTTAGTAGTTTGATCCAAGGTTCAAGGGTAAATATGAGGTGAATGTTCAATCTTAGCGTTGGGGGCTCTCTGGTCTTATTTGGATAATTTGCGGCTCAATGAAGGGTTGGTGGGCACTTGGATCCTTTAGTAGCAGAAGTTCGGTCTTCATACAATTTCTTTGTTGAGATAAGACAGTATCACCTGCTCACTGAATGAGTTAAAAGGTGTTCTTTCATTTCCCTTTGTATATCATTACAAAGAGTCCCTTTCATCGATCTGCTTTGTTTCTTTTTTTTTATTGTTCGCATCCTATTACATATACATACACACAAGTAGTGGATGTCGACTAAACCAGATCTACCCCTGCCACTTTTCTTTGAAATACCATTAATGGGGATATTCTACAGGGCTTTTAGTTATTTTTAAGTCTTCAGTGGTAAATCAGGCCTACCAAGGCTTGGAACTTTTAAGATGAATATGGATTAATCTTTGTGTGCAGGTATAGGTAGTTATTCTTAACAGTGAACCTTGGAAACAGATGGTCGTACCCAATATATATCACAGCACTTTCAAGGTTGAGCAAGATTCTTTACCACCTCCGATTTCATCAACATCAGAAGTATCAGATTAAACAGTCATTAATTCTTCAGTCATTCAATCTCCAAGATTCGATTTGTAAATTAAAGTATATCTAAAGGAAACGCTAGTTATGTTGACAATTAATGCAGCGGTAACCTTCGAATCATGGTATCAGGCACTATTGAGTGCCAGTGGAACACTGATCACTGCTAAATAAGATTACGGACAACAAGTAGCAATGAATGAATGTGAAAAGGGCCGTCTGATAGATTGCCATCATTTTATTCAGTATACGCCAACTTGGACATATCTCTAGGGCTACTGGCCATGAAAATCCGGGAAAAGTACCAAACCCCGAACTTCCCCTACAACGTTGGAGCAAGTATGCTCACGTAATTTGTAAACAAATCGTGACATGCAAAAAAATTGTGATATACATTGAATGGATTGCATCCAATCTCATTCATTCCAAAGATTCGGCCTATGATGTGGGTCTGGGCTATGCGATACCAAGTACAGAGTGAATAAGAACTGTTAGACAAAGCTGAAGTAGGGGTAAAAAAACAAGGGACGTCAGATCACTCGACATTGGGGCATATTGGATGACTCGAAGATCAAAACACTGCAACCATAATTTGGTGAAGGTATGCTTGTCAGCCTAGGCTGGCCGCCCAACTGTAACCCATCTACGCCATTGTTGTGGAATCAAACTCACATGTCCGTTCAGAGAGCCTCAATAGAGTGTCGTGCCTTAGTAGCATTGCGGTTTTTAATTCTTGCTCGTGGTTCAAGGGTGTGAAACAATGCAGGGAGAGCGGGAGGCCTCCTTGTGATTCGGTCAAATTAAGTGGCCGGTATCCCTTGCAGGATGATTTACCGTGCGTCATGCACTCCACAGCGTTTTGACCCAATGCTGAATCCCAAGCTATTGCTTGCTGACTATGGCCTTGTCCAAGGGTCTTGTAGGGCGGATACATGCCTTAGTGTCCGAGGTGCTGCAGGGACCAGGAAAGGCCCTGGGCTTGTTTTGCCCGTGAATGGCTGGGATTTGAAGATATATCCGCATTGACCCACCCTTTAACCCATTCAAGGACGTTGTAGATCTTTGAAAAAACACTTTAAGTTGTCAGTATCTCATAATATTAGGTAGCACTAGATCGAGTAGGCTATGTAAATTCTCTATACAAGTCATAACCGAGTTCTCTCGCTTTTTACCTAAGTGGATTCGAAACAACCACAAGAAACATTATAGTAAACCAGCAGATGCATGCGTAGCGATCAATTTGTGGATCACAGGAACAGGGTGAGCAAACGAGAGATCGAGGTTGTAGGAATGCGCAGACAGGGGGTCTCAGTCGCGTGAAGGCCATACCCTAGACCAAGTAGATCCATACCAGGAGATTGTGGAACGTGCCTTCACTCGAGAAACCCTGGAAAGTGGATCCATCTTGCCTAACAAGCTGCATTCCGGGGAGAGGGAAGGAGATTACTACGAAATAAACGCAGATCATACTCAGGAACATGGATTGAAGGGGCACACAGACCGCCGCTGGAAGTGTATAAAGCATGCCCATCCATCGCCCCAATCTACAGTTTTTCATCACGCATCACACTCTTTAATCTTCTCTTCTCTTGAGTTCAGTCTTTCACTCTCAATTTTATATCTCCGAGACCTTCGTTCAATCCCGAACCCACAGTCACAATGCAGTTCACTATCTCCGCCGTTCTCGCTCTCGCTGGCCTCGCTGCCGCTCTTCCCCCTGCTCCCGCTGCTGGCGGTATTGGCAACGCCAACGGTGTCAACAACAAGGGCAACACCGATGTCCGCTTCCCTGTCCCCGACAGCATGACTGTCAAGCAGGCTCAGGCCAAGTGTGGTGACCAGGCTCAGCTCTCTTGCTGCAACAAGGCCACCTACGCTGGTGACACCACCGACATCAACTCCGGCATGCTCGGTGGCACCCTTGGCAACCTGATCGGTGGTGGCTCCGGCTCCGACGGTCTTGGTCTCTTCGACCAGTGCTCCAAGCTCGATCTCCAGATCCCTATCCTCATTGCCGTCCCCATCCAGGACTTGGTCAACCAGAAGTGCAAGCAGAACATTGCCTGCTGCCAGAACTCCCCCTCCGGCGCCGTAAGTATTTCGCTTTTCAATCTCCGCCTGAAAATTTCTAACATCATCACAGAACTCCGACCTCGTTGGCCTTGCCCTGCCCTGCATTGCCCTTGGCTCCATCATCTAAGCGCATTATTATGCTTTTTGGCACTTTGCGAGAAGCATTGGCCGCCATGTCTGGTCTCTGGGCCATGGCTCAGTTGGCTTCGACATGACCGCAAAGATGGACTGTTATCGATCATCTGGGATGGATTTTGGATTGCTTAGTATTATTTAAGATAGTTTGGCGACCTGTTATCCTCGCAGACCGTGTATCATTAACTGTGTCTTGTGGCACCACCTCGGAGAAAGAAGACTGTTTGTTTTACGTTGATGTTTGTCATGGTGCTTTTGCCTCTTGTTTTGTGCATTGGATCCGTTGTTAGCTGCAGCCTAGCTCGGTTTTCTTCGCATACATATGTTTAATCCATTAGAGTTGTCTTACTTATTTGTGCCTCATAATAGTAGAGACCGCATTATCAATTATAGCTGATCGCTGATCCTTACCCTGATTCAAAATGTCAGCATGATCACACGTAGATAATATCATTAGCCTGCTTTCAAATAGTAAATCCCGAATAATTGCTAATTGCAAGAAGTAATCTCGATTTGGCTCCTAAGATATGATGAAGCCATTGTTGCTCAAACCACTGCCCGTACATACGATGTATATAGTTTTAATCTAGCACAACTTTTTCACTTGTATCACTATCTTTTCGTCGCTACTTATTACCTATTGATAGGCAGGGTATGCTATGTTCGTGCAGCCAAAGAACGTAATCACCACGGCCGCCCAAACCCATTCTCATTCCAAATGCCAAATTCCGTATCCCGGCTACTCAAGCCATTAAGTTCCAGCCACTTCAGTTCCGCCTTCTCATCAAAAAAGTAGTCATCTGTAACACTTGTTGAATTCAACCACCTCGGATTAGTAGAGGCACGCCTCATCTTTGACGAAGTTCTCGGCATCTTCAACGAAGTACTCTTCTTCAACAACCCCGTCATTGACCTCTTGATCTTTGAACCAGAGTTCCGATTTGGATTCTTAAAAACTCCATCGGTCTCTGACTTTCCATCCTCATTCTTCACTCTCCTGGTAGTATGTCGGACATTCTTCTTTCCACTCCACTTTCCATCTGTATCAATAGGATCCTGTAACTTCTTCGGTGGCGTATCGAATGGTGATTGCACAGTCTCCATTTTCAGGACTGGGTACTCGGGCATAGACAGTGCTCTAACAGTACGCCTCGTAGCTGGATCCAACGCCTCTGCATTGTCAAATAAACTCTGCAAATTCAAGTCGGCGGGTGTAAGGCGTCTCCGATGCGTTGGGGACTCAGTAGGCATGACAGGGTCTTGGTTTGAGTGACGGATTGTAGACGCAATGCTATCTGCCCTCGTAAGAGAGGCTGCATTTGAGGGGATCTTGATAAGATCTTTGGAGTCTTCGTAGCGGGGTCTGTTTGGTTTCGAGGTGGACAGTTTGCGGGAGAGTTTATTATTGCGTATCGATTGGCTTATTGAGGATATGAAGCCCATGGTGAATGCCGTTTGCTCTCTGTATCTGAGCTTAGAGCGTGGGGTATAGTAAGAGTGGGAGTATCGGTGTAGAGTGATTGTAGATTGAGGGGAATCAGAATTGATAAAGTAACTATGGGGAAATTCTGTGGCAAGGGGGATTGAAAGCTAAAATTACTGCAATGTATCTACGTAAATTTGATGAGGCGTACGCATTATTCGGCTGCTACTGTATCTTGATTTCGATCTGGCGATATGGCTATTAAATGCTGTGAAACTGCCGATCGCTTCAGGTAGAAAGCACTGATATCCCCCGCTTTACATATACTTGGATTTTGCACCTATATCATCTAAATCAAGATTTCTTTTGGAAGTTTCGAAGCCAAAAGCAAGGATTTGTACAGTTTTTCAATGCTTTTTGATCGGATCACCTGCATATGGTACAACCCTGGCGGTAAACGACGCCCCAAATACATAGCTATGACAAGACCGATAAGACAGCTCTGCACCGCACAGCAACCGATGCACCACGCACTTATGATCAGAGCTTGCAGGGCGCCTCTGCAAGTGTGCTAGCCCAGCCAGAACAAACCCAATGGCAGGTGCAGCAGCTTGCATTCCCCAGGTGATTACCAAGGGCGCAAAGCAAGGTTGCCCCCACAACCCCTTGAGGTCAACACGAGCAGCCTGAACGAAGCGCACGTCATTGAGTTATTTAATCTCACTTCGTGAAGGTATGTGTGTACTTTTTGCGGTTCCAAATGCTCTTGCGCGGGTAGACATGGTTTGTGGAATGTCCCACGACGATGCGATCTACAATACCGTGTCGATCTTGAATGCGGCATTTGAGAATATGCCGCATTGACCTCTTCCTCGCCAAGCCCTATAGAGATCCAGTCCTTTGAGACAGCGGTGTCCGTTTCGAGTAGAAATGGTTAAGATCAATGGTCGTTTCAACCTGAAGTCAATAATGTTCAAATGCGCACTAACAATATCCTACATGGAAGATCTGAGTCGGTTTATCAAAAATATTCAAGCCGAGTATTTTGGAGGCGGTGGGCACTCCGTGGCTTGCTTCTCTCTCTCCTTCCTCTTGCCCGCTCCAGTTGCGGCATGATTGTCAAGAATGACCGTGACTTCAGCGTCTCTGCTGGCCTTCACTGGAGTATCGCTTACGAATTGATTTGCGCGAGTAGAGGCGCCATATGTCGACCACGGATCATGAATGGTTTCTACTCTCAAGTTTGCTTGGATAGAAGCAACCATCACGCTGAAGCAAACTCTCTCTATAGTTTACAACCGTACAAATAGAGGACACAAGATAGTAAAGTAATAGTTCTATTGACTCTTCAAGTTAAATCACAAGATAGGAAAGCTAGAAAGTCTCTTACAGCTTGCTTGCAGGAGCATCGTTAAACAGAGATCGGGTTCGGTTCATAGCCTCCAGGGCCTCCTTCTCAATTCGCTCGAGCAGCACAGCGCAAGTCGGGATATCATGAATCAATCCAATGACCTGGCCAGCGGTCCACACCTAAAACTCTTGTTAGACTCCCTCGTCTCGAAATCATTAAGAAGTTACAACTTACTCCATAGTCCTTGTCACCATTGAGGAAGACCTGACGGCCACGCTTGCCACTTACAAACGGCGCAATCTCGCTGAATTCGCCGGTTGTGCTCTCCTTCTCAACCTTGAGCGCATCTTTGGTGACCTGGTTGGCAAACAGACGCGAAGTGTTCTTCCAGCGACGCAGCACAAGAGCAGTATCGGTCTCCTGCGCGTTAACAATCGCCTCCTTAATCTTCTGGTGGATAGGAGCCTCGACAGTGCTCATGAACCGAGTGCCCATGTTGATACCCTCCGCACCAAGAGCAAGGGCAGCAGCCAGACCTTGTCCATCAGCGAAACCACCCGAGGCAATGAAAGGCACGCCCAGCTCCTGGCGCGCACGGCTAAGAAGAATAAAGTTGGTGATGTCGTGCTCGCCAACGTGACCAGCACACTCGAAGCCATCGATGGACAAGAAGTCCACGCCCAGCTTGACAGCGGACTTGGCGTGCCGAATGGTGGTACACTTGTGCAGGATGATGATGCCAGCCTTCTTAAGCTGTGTGATCACAGGGCCCGGGTTGTTACCGGCAGTTTCGACGATTTTGATTCCTTCGTCGATGATCACCTGAGCGTAGGCACCGTAGTCTGGGGGAACCAGGGCGGGGAGGAGGGTCAGGTTGACACCGAAGGGGTACTTGGTCATGGTGCGGCATCGTCGGATTTCCTTGCGCAGATCTTCGGGGGTAGGTTGGGTGAGGGCAGTGAGCTGGATTTCAGGGTATGCGTATTAGCATTTGGCAATGGAGAGAGCCACGACTTTCAAGACAAGACCTACAAGACCGAGTCCACCTGCATTGCTGACAGCCGAGGCCAGCTCAGCATATCCTACCCACTGCATGCCACCCTGCACAACGGGCACTGTATATCATTAGTATACGGTCATTAAATAAGTTTGACGGCTTCATGCATACCGCGAATGCCTAGCTTGCGCGTCAGGGCAGTGTTGAAAGGCATCGTGTCGGAGAGCGAGTCGCTCAGTATCTAATCGGATAATCGGAGTAGCGCTGATGCGGGGTCTATAGCTTAGAAGCAACAGGAAGTTTGTAAAAGAATGCTTTATTATGAATAGAGCAAAGAGAGACGCAAAAAAATGGAGACAAAGAAGTATACCCCAGAAGAAACGTAGAATAAAAGGAACCCCAGGATAAGGGCCTGCCGCGGACCGTTGCTGTGGGGGAGGCGCAACTTGCCGAGGTTCGGGGTCTGCCTATTTACGGATTAGTCGGCTTAACCTTAAGCGTTGCCGATGAGGAGAACACAGTGCAGGTATCAAATATGGTAAAGTTCTTCCTTGGTTTGTAATCTAGAAAGATTAATTGTGAATATGCATAATTTTGTTATAAGCATGAAGCCCATAGTATAGTTGTATGTATCTCTTCCATATGTTTAGGATGGATGACTCCGAGTAGCATGTGATGGAAGGCCTCGTGATGTTTAGAAACATCATTCGACTCTGGGATTTGTACAGAGAGCAAATCTCTTGACTTCAACCCAGGCCCTTCTGAACCTAGATCGACGATCATAGGATCCCCTGGAGCATGCTCAGATGAACAGGTGCACATTGGACCGCTTTATGAAACGATGCCCAGCAGTTGATGTAAATCAAGCCCTTTCCCCCTTTCAGCTACGATGGACATACAAGCCCATAGCTCGTGTCAGAAAGACAACTAATAAGGTCTTGCTCATTCAAGCTATTATTGCTACGATATTTATACAGTATGTAACCCTGAATATGAAACCCATTGGACTCATGGAAAGAGCACAATGGGCGATTAACGACGGGAGAAAGTCCTTCTACGAATCTCGAAAATCCCTCAAGGTCGCGACAGAATGTCGAAACCAGAGGGTGCTGACATCAACTTCATCCCAAGAAGTGGTACATCAATGTGAGCGGAGACTCGTGAAGAAGAAAGAAGGGAAGAGAAAGGGGAAAACACGAATGACAAAAGTGGGTGACAAGCGAGAGTGCTCACGTGACCTTGGTCCTCGCGGGAAGAAGGATCTTCCGGACGTAATTGCCTGAGTTTCCATTGGTTCCCGGTTCACAATCCCGTGACGGGCCAAACCCGAGGTTACCGTTCCGATCATTCGCGATAGTCGTTCTTCTCTTCACAAAGTGGAAGAACATCGCCAACAGACAGCAATATGTTCTCTCAGAAGGTTGCCCAGCAGTCGCTGCGACGGCGTATGTCTTGCCTGATCCTACAGCACCCCAGAAATGACCCATTTGACTGACAATCTCCCCCGGAATCGCAGTTGCCGTCCAACAGCCGAACCTCATGCAGTCAATGGTGATGCGCGCTTCTCCCGCCGCCATTGCGCTCGGCAACGTCCAGAAGAGGTCAGTTATTTCGCATCCCAATATCCCGCCATATTCCACCACATGTTCCTCCGCATTCTCGAACTGTCGTCTCCACGAACTCTATACGTCATTCGCAATCCCGATCCTCAAAACTAACCCGAAACAATATCAGATCCATCACTTCTACCTCCAACACTGAGGACCCTACCCAGATCCTGGCTAAGCAGCGCCTGAACCGCCCTGTCGCCCCTCACCTGAGCATCTACAAGCCCCAGATCGGCTGGATCGGTTCCTCCCTGCACCGTATCTCCGGTGTTGCCCTCTCCGGTACTCTCTACCTGTGGGCCACTGCCTACCTCGCCTCACCCACCCTCGGCTTGCACCTGGAGTCTGCTTCCATGGTTGCTGCCATGGGTGCTCTTCCCGTCGCTGCCAAGATTCTGCTCAAGACCACCTTGGCCCTCCCCTTCACCTACCACTGCATGAACGGTCTCCGCCACCTGACTTGGGATCTGGGTCGTGCCCTGAGCAACCCTGCCATCATCCGCTCTGGCTGGGCCGTCGTCGGTCTGAGCGTTGCCAGTGCGGTTGGTCTTGCTTTCATCTGATTTCATTCCTCATACCTCTGAGTTTCCTTGTGTTATTAAAATGATTTTGTCGAATTATTATACATGAAATCTGGTCTAGTGGCGCGGCTTTCAGAAGGCGCTATTTCTTTTATTTAACTATTTGATTTCATTGATTTAATCCCCCCACTGAAGTCTCGGGTCTATTCCTGGTAGAGTTTGAGTACTTTGGCGCCAATTCTCGCACGAATTATCTTCTTTGTTTCTATCGAAAAGGCAATTGATGTCTGTCATGAATCAAATGCAATTCCCTAATTTCTTCGATAACTAGATCATCCTAAGTTGTCTGGCTAGGCTCTGCATCCCAGAATGTCGTAGCATGGAAACCAGGCTCACAAGCATGTCTTTCAATGCCCAGTCTACCTAGTCTCTTCTCAGAATCCTTCTCATGCCTCAAAACACAGACCCTCTGATTAAAACAACATCAATACTATTTGAGCTCCCATCATTATCTGGGGGGAAACAGCATGAAGGCGATTAAATTGTGTCGAAATACGGTCTAATTCTACATTAGTTTGACCTTTCGGAACAGATGTTGCGGATCAATGAATAATAAATACCTATTAGCCTGCTATACTTCACGCCAAAATGAAAATTCCAATTATAATCATTCAAGCAGGGCTTGGAGGAGGGTTGGGCGGAAAGGGCCGTGGTGAAGGCGGATCTTGCACCGAGTGATCGCAAGTTGGCACTTCTTCTGTAAAATTATAGAAGACTCGAGTCGAAGAGGCGATAGAGAGGAAATTGCAGGCCATTTTGCTTTCTCCTGAAAGATTCGTATTGTAAAAGCAAGAATCAATTATGGTGGGCAAGGTTTTCTTAATTGAGTACAGAATATCCAATAGAAGTAAATGCAAGATGTTGAAGAGCACGTAAAAGTGAACTTCGAAATCAAAGGACATAGGGAGGAAAATCGAAACTTGATAATTTGGAAGATACAAAACAATCCATTTCATCCGGTCGAGCCCCTCCATTTAATAGTCCACAGACCCCTAGAGCAATCAGGGCCTTTGGAGACGCCATGCCTCGCAAAGTCGTACACCGCCATCCGAGCCCCCCAACCAAGGATCTAGGAAAATTCGTTGAATCAATGAATACTTTCCTATGAATTCTCGTTCATTGAGATCTAGAAAAATCTTGGTAGACTCTGCAAGGGCCCGACGGAAGGAATCTGATGTATAAACCGTTGAACGGAGACGTCACACCCGTCTCGGCTTGGGTTGTGCCTTATTATTGTGGTCCATATGTCAAAAACTTTGGACACGCATGAAGGTACGTATTTACGGTACTCGTTTCTCTAAGGTAGCTACTAAGGTACTTGCAAAGGTACTTCCAAGGTCATTGTATACAGTACTTCAACCTGGTCACTAAGTATTGTACCATGCAATGCGCCATGCATGCTGTACGTATCTAGGAAACTTTACCAGTGACAAACCAAAATATTGACTCGCATCGCAGCGTTACAATGGAATAACAAACCATTGATGTGATTTTCTATGTCAAAGATCATTTCCTCAGAGCTTCCCGGGAGCTGCAGGCTCCAGTAGAGTAACACCAGCGGTCTGAGCCGTCAATCTTCGGTTCCTTGCAGGGATAATCTTCGCCCTGGGTACTTTATTTATGGTGGGAGATGTTTCTAAGAGTGCTGCCACTGACCGAGATTGATGTGGGGAAGCCTTCTGAGGATTTGATCACTCTCGATGATGTTCTAAATTGTGGCTGTTGATTTTCTATTAGATTTGCAATGCATCTCAATGGCCAATTGAAGCAGCTATTGTTCAGCCTATTAAGCTATTCTCAATAGTGGAGATCTCTTAAATGGCTGAGGAAAATCGAGAAACTATGTATAGTGCTTAGTTACTCGATTCCTTGCGACTCCCACTTTTTGCATTTCTTTAGTACTGTACACCACAATGGGATTTTAGACTCCTTGACACATGAGACAAGAAAGCAGAGCCTGTAGACATCTCTCAATACTCATACAAAAGGCAAGGCAAGGACATATGAAGCGCAGTCCCGCAAACAAGACAGAAGTACCAGCACACGTGGATCAAGCGGTGCATCCCGCAGTGGAACAAAAAGCCTCCTGCCTTGGTCAGGGGGTCGCACCTGAGCCGTTGACCTGGACACACAACAGAGCGTTTAGTGTAGGCCATCCAGAACGGGTGACAGGGGTTTGTTCGAACCAACCACCGTGTCTCGGCCGGCTCCACGGCTGCCGAAACCCGCTGGCGACATCAAGCAGTCTCAAAATCGACCGTGCTTCGATCTTGTTCAACTTTGCTGTTATGCCCGGCCGGAGCCGAGAAAGCACTGGAAGTATTGATGTTTACAGGGAAGGCCACCGAACATTCTCCGTGAACTTCTGCTGCATTGTCTGGGCGATCTAGAGCTCTCCTTCTTCCAGATCGGTGTTACCTCTGAGCGGCTAAGAACCTGGGCCCTGGTGGTTGGGCCGCGCTTAGATCCTGGTACTGCAGTGGCTTGTATCACCTGGCGTCCGGTCGTAGAGCTTAATAGTGTTACCTAGCAGTGTTTTCGGAGCTTTCGGATTGATGGCGTGGGATCACAAGTAAAAAGGGATTGAGATCTTATAGGACGCTGCTGACGGATCAGAGCTTGTCTCCGGTAGCTAACCTTCATTATTTAGTGGACATTGTCTTAACGGGATAATGCAGCGAGAATTTGACAAGTGGTATGGGTGGAGTACATAAGATCACACAGGGCCGCTGCATGATAGAGTGGGAAGCCTGCGAATGACGAGATGCTACAGACATGAATCTTTCAAACAGCGGTATGGAGAGTCCCTTCGAACTAGAGGAAACGCTTGACCGCTAGAGTCAATTATGCGGACCATGCTAGATAAGGCGAGTCATGACACCGGGTTAGACGTGCATCGAAGCCGAGCAGTATCGGATTGGCAGGAGAATACCGTGGCCAATGGGAACCCGGACACTTGGTAATGTTTCACCACCAGTTGATGCATCTACTGCTTCAGGTCTGATACGGTTCCAGCTAGGCATTCGAAGGAAATCAGAAGTAGTAAGCTTCTTTCCACACGCCAGCGGTGAAGATGCATAAAAACTCCAGACTTTCACGTGGGTCATTTTGACATGCAAAACCGAGCAATCAAATCTGCATGGCATCGATGGATTCCTGTAGTATATGCATCGTGGAGAAATTGCAAATCACCTACGGTACTTGATTGATTTTACAAAGTGAAGTCCTGAGTTCACAAATAGTAGTAAGGAACTCGGGATCAACAAAGGAAGTGGCAGTATCCACACCGCCGAGGCCGAATTCTTTCCATCTTCACGGCCAAATCCAACCTCCGCAGTCCAACCGCCCCCATGGCTTCCAATCTTTCTACACGAGCGGTCAGGTCCGCCTGCCTCGCATCCAAGGCTGCTCCTCGTCCCCTGACCACACTCATCCCCCGCCGCTCCGTCTCCTCCGCCTCCGACGCCCCGGAGCCTCTGGTCAACCAAGCAGACCAACCACGATGGTCGTACACTCCCCCGAAGACGAAGGCGCCCTTCAGCATGCGCATGCACTCAAAGCGCCCTCAGTTTCATAACAACAGTGACCCGGAAGTCCTTGACCAGTTTTATATCCGCATGCTGGGCAATGGCGGCGAGAAGCTTCTCTCGGAGGAAGTTAAGTGGTTGGCCGTGACACACAAGAGTTTCGATCAAGGACGCCGTGGATTCAACGATCGATTGGCCTTCCTAGGTATGTAATTGGAGATGGGCTGGATGAGTGGACTTGATCGTTAGAAATGGTCACTCACACGCGTTTGTTTTAGGAAAACGCATCGTGCAACTGCAGACTTCGCTCGCTCTCGCGCAGAGCGCTGGAACCGCAAACAGCGCACCAAAGACAGACCAGTTTGGCCGCGTTCCATTCGCTCACCCTTCTCTGGAAGGCTTGGGCAATCTCTCCACTAGCACCAAGAGCTTCCTGACCGACCGGACAAAGATGGCCGAGTTGGCGCGCAAGTACGACATGCAGAAAGTGGTCCGATGGGAACCCCGGAAGGTAAGCGGAAATAGTTCTGTTTCTATGTTGCTCTATTGCTAATCTGTAATAGCCCGACAACCTCATCGCATCGGGACTTGAGCTAGTTCTGGCACACACCATGTACGCGGTCATTGGAGCAGTCTCGTTAGAGAAGGGAGGACTCGTTGCCAACAAGCTGGCACAGGAGCGGATACTCGAGCCTTTGGGTATCAAGTCGGTCTCATGAGACATGACTGCAGCATATTCCCGGCGTTTTGATTTTGATGTTGGGGTGATTATTGGAGGCAGTAGGGGCCGAACTCCCTGCAAATTGTACATGTACTTTTAGAAATTCCTATCCCATTTGGCTATACTGCAAATACCATTGATCTCTGATAATAAGAAAATATTGGGAAAAATATGTAATAAAAAAAAATATCTTCATATTGGCAAATCTAGCTTGGAGAATAGTCGCTAATTGTAAGTAATGGTATGTCCGGCTCCTCTGACACCGCCCGCGCAACAGTGAACAATGCTCGGCCAGCTCTTATGGATCCCTCGTTAAACGATAGCTAGTCTCCGCTCCGCTGCATCGCAAGTGTAGTATTGAACATGAAGGTAACGAGCAGAATGCCCGTTCCTCTTTGTACTGCCTTGAACTGTCTAATGGAAGCGTTGGAGAAGAAAGAAAAAAAAAAGAGCGCGGAAAGAGATTTTGTACTGCCCGTACTAACCGCTTTGGGCGGAGATCCACTCTTGCGGGCATCTGGCTCGACTTGGTGTTTCCACTCTCCCTCAGCTCCTATCCAGTCCGTGGATTATCTTGATTGCGACTTGAATACAATGCAGTAGAGCGCGATATGCAGCTTGGTTGTTCTCTCCTTTCATATTAACTCACCCTCTGTCCTCGCCAATTCCCCCATTGAAATTGTCCACCTAAAACCATCAACCCTCCATTGACACGTCATGGCGTCGGCACTGTTCTTCCTCGACTTGAAGGGCAAGGTGGGTAACCAAGTCCCTAGAGATGGCAGGAAACTTGCTATCATGCGCAAACATCTGCCAATTCGCGATGCATACACTAACACGGGATGCACCACACTAGACCCTTCTGGCCCGCAACTACCGCGGGGACATCCCTATGTCCGCAGTCGAGAAATTCCCCATCCTCCTCAGTGAAGCCGAAGAAGAGAGCTCTGCAGTACCTCCCTGTTTCTCCCACGAGGGCATCAACGTACGTTTGACGGTTCTTCATCTGTCCATATACTCGCCGCTCGACAATTCCCTACTCCTTTTGTGTGCGCACCACCACCGCAAATATTCTAACATGCGTTGGAATATCATATAGTACCTTTATATTCGCCACAGCAACCTTTACATCCTCGCATTGACCAAGAGAAACACAAATGCCACTGAGATTCTCCTTTTCCTCCACAAGCTTGTGGAGGTTTTCACCGAATACTTCAAGGTTCTGGAGGAGGAGAGTATCCGCGACAACTTCGTTGTCATCTATGAATTGCTGGACGAGATGATGGACTTTGGATACCCTCAGACAACAGAGACCAAGATTTTGCAAGAGTAAGAGAGCCCCGAACGATATGCTTTCTCCCTGGCACCTTGACTGGAATGCGAGCCACTGACGCGATAATCACAATAGATATATCACCCAAGAATCACACAAACTCGAGGTCCAAGCACGGCCACCGATCGCCGTCACAAACGCTGTTTCTTGGCGTAGTGAAGGTATTCGTTACCGCAAGAACGAAGTGTTCTTAGATGTGGTGGAGTCGCTGAACCTGCTCGTGTCGGCGAACGGCAACGTCCTGCGATCCGAGATTTTGGGCGCCGTTAAGATGAAGTGTTATCTGAGTGGAATGCCCGAGCTTCGACTGGGATTGAACGATAAGGCGATGTTCGAGACTACAGGTCGCGCCACGCGGGGCAAGTCTGTCGAAATGGAGGATGTTAAGTTCCACCAGTGCGTGCGGTTGTCACGATTCGAGAACGACCGAACAATCAGTTTCATTCCTCCCGATGGCGAGTTCGAGCTGATGAGCTACCGATTGAATACGCAAGTCAAGCCTCTGATCTGGGTCGAGTGTTTGGTTGAATCACACTCAGGCTCACGGATTGAGTACATGCTCAAGGTAAATCAATCCCCGCGGCTGCCCCTAATCAATATGACCAGACATGCTAACCAATTCCGAACAGGCCAAAGCACAATTCAAGCGCCGCAGCACAGCTAATAACGTTGAGATTCTCGTCCCCGTTCCCGAAGACGCCGACTCTCCCCGGTTCCGCACGAACATCGGTACCGTGCACTACGCGCCCGAAAAGTCGGCCATCATCTGGAAGATTAAACAATTCGGTGGTGGCAAGGAGTTCCTCATGCGGGCGGAGCTGGGTCTACCATCCGTAAAGGGAGACGACGAGCACGGTGGTGGTATGACAGGTGGATTTGGCGGTAGCATGGGCGGTGCTGGTGCCATGGGCAAGGCGAAGCGGCCTATCAACGTCAAGTTCGAGATCCCCTACTTTACTACCAGTGGTATTCAGGTGCGGTACTTGAAGATTACTGAGCCCAAGTTGCAATATCCCTCTCTTCCCTGGGTGCGCTACATCACACAATCAGGCGATATCGCTGTTCGCATGCCAGATGTGCAATAAGGAGTTATCTTTTCCCTTTTACAATGATTGGCTTGACTTGTCTAGTTCCGTCTCTGCATGAGTGATCTGTACAGCCCTTTATCCTTGACCTCTTCATTCTTCTCATGTCCCCTTATTCAATATTCCATCTACGCTCGCGTTGAGACCGGCCGGTCCGATAGATAATTCAATTCCGATGTGTTCTCATCAGTTTCCAGTTATGAATGCTAGATAAATAGATTACGATTGATCGTCATTTATTGAGGGTTGGTTGCCCAGGTGGTGTAATCAATGGGGTTTGATTTGTTTATATATAACCGTTTTCGGATGAACCAACCCTACCAGAACACTGTCATCTAGATATAGATAGAATCTTCAGGACTCAAACACTCGAAAGATAAACCTCTAGAAATATAGAACTACGGTAAGCTACTCTCAGGGCCAATGTACCCAAATTATGTGCGATAATCACGTATATTTAGGTATCCAAGACCTAGGACACACCCAAGCAGCAAGTAGCCCTCTTGAACCAAGGAGAGACAACAACGCGCAACTTAAGAGATCAAACGAAGCAGAACGAGAATAATCCAGACAAGGGTATCTCGATTCCCACCAAACCGGAAGATCCAATCAAAGCCAACAGACAATAAAAAAAGGAATAGAAATGCATTACTCTTCATACCGCAACGCCAAATCGTGTCATATCAGCGCCCGTGAAAACTGAAACTTTTAAGCCACACATATAAACCTCCCAAAATGCCAGCTGTACATGAGACCACGCTAGGAACGAAGGACCGAGAAGGGAAGAATGAACAAGGGAGACCGCATCGCAAATCCATCGACAAAGACATCAAGTAGCGTGGCCATTCGCATCCTCCGATTCAGGCGGAGGAAGTGGGAATCCATCTGTTCGACCTGCAGCGGCAGATTTTGAGAAACCCTCTCGGGCGAGCATGGTGTTCAGCACGGCACAGTTGTACGCTGCTTCACCTGGTGGTACAACAAGGAAGATATAAGTATTGTCCGTGAAGCGGCCGAGGAAAGTATTGAACTGTGGCGTTTTGGTATGCATAACGACGAACCCTGCCGATGCCGGCGTGGTAAGTGTATTCCGAGCCGCGCAGTGCTTAAACGCCTTCATGATATTGGAGAGACGTTCATGACGATCATAAATGGGGTTTAGCTCGCCGATTTCCGATGTCACGGATGTAACGGTAAGGAAAGTTGAACGCTCAAACAGAATCACTTCTTCCGCATCAATTTTCTTCGCGAATGCGGAGAGGAATCTTTCAATTACTGTGAGGTTCGGAATGAGTTTGTGCACGATACCGGCCCAGGCCTTGTATAACGATTGGTCCCAGATACTACTGCCGAAAGTGTCGATGCGGAAGTGCTCTGAGCGGCTGCGGATTAGCGCGGAGCGCTCTTCGTAGATGCGTTGGCGGTGCTCGGCTTGGATGAGATCCATCTTGTGGACGAGGCAGAAGACGTAGGCATTTGGACTGAACTCGCGGAGGGCTTGGATGATGGCATTGTATGTATCTAAGTCACGTTCGACTTCACGGGATTCGATATCGAAGACGTAGATTAGGACTGCGACGTCAGAGAAGATGTTGCCGCGTTGGGAGGCGAGGTATGTTTCCATGAAGGCATCTTGTCTGATAAGAGCCGCTCGGATTAGTTTGGATAACTTGGAAACGTAATATACTGGGTGATTGGGAATGACTCACCCTCCACAATCCCAGAGGTTCAATGTGAGGTTGCCCATGAACTTGACATGACTATGCTCCACATCAATGGTGGCACCTAGGCGGCGTACATCTTTGGCGACGTAATTACTGAAGATAATGGAGCGCATGGATGACTTCCCCGAGCCACTTTTGCCCATAAGGAGGACCTTTCTCTTCTTCTTGCGGGCGTCCATGCTGGCGATCTGCTGCTTGTGCTTAAGCTTGCCCCGCAAGAGCGGGGGCGTTTCGGATGATTATGGGGGTGGCTAGGTCACTTGACAGCGTCGCAGGATGATGCGGAGGGGTATTTTATGGTTATGACAGGTCAGAAAGCGCTTATCGGGACATGTGAAGAGGAATTGGGAAGGCACGAGATAAGGCTAAGAGAGGAACAGCTCCAAGATGATGGATGCGGAGAGACGGATCAACCTCGCACCCGGTGAATGATCACGTGATAAGAATTGGAGTGGCTGGGACGTATGTAATGAGGTCTATAGGGATGCTGCAGCCCTAGATGAGGTTGATGTTCGTACTCTTAGAAAAAGATGATGTTCACCAGTTTCTGCGACCGAAATGTTCATGTCATCCATGGATCCTTGATGGTTGTAGCTAGGAACAAGATAGCCGAGGCAGCGGGATGACGACATTGAGACATTGTCTAGAAAATGGAGCATTGATGGGTGGTCACTTGTGTACAAAGCTGCAATCAAAGTACATATACCATGTGCCTAACACTTAGACACTCCACATATGTTGGTATCCAAGACTAAGAATATCAATGGACTAGGAACAGAAATTTATCAGAAACACCTGCAGATGTCACGGTCTTTATATTTCTCACGTTGTAGAACAACATTCAGCTCCAAGTACCTAGGTATACATGATGCAGCTTTATAGATCAGAAACAACCCAATAGATGAAAACAAGGATGAAGTGGCTCAAAATGTTAAAGTGGTATCCGGAAAAGAAACGCAGACAGGTGCCAGTATAACACGAATGGCACATGCAAAAAGCCTCAATCGGAGAAGTCGAAGTTGAAGCCAAGAAGAGAAATTAGAGCACCAAGTAATCACAAGCAACGAAGAGGCCAGTCAGAAGAGAATCAGTAGAGGTCGTCATCAATAGTTCATAAGTCCCAGCACCCGAAGCCAACAGTAATAGTAATAATAGTAGTAAAAATAGTCTTGGCGCAGGTCAGGCATCCCGTTCATCCATTAAACTCATGCGTATAGAGGGCATTAGAAGACCGTGCCATCGGAACGGATCATAATCGGAGGTTCCTTGGTGTTGGGTCTGGAGACTTCGGCGATTTCACGACCACCCTGGACGGAGTCAGTAAGGAGAAAAATACAAGGTGTAAAGGGAGACAAACCTTCCAAGAACCAGCCTCAAGCATCTGGGCCAGCGATAATTGGTCTTCTGAGCCAGCTAGTCCCAATTGTGTGTTCACCTCGTCCAGCAGCTCATCCAGGAAGCCCACTGTTACTGCTCGCCACTCCACGATCACATCGTCCTCTGTAGAGAAGAGTGGCACCACCTCCATATTCGGTTGTCCCTTGATTTGGGCATTGTCCTTGAAAGCCTGGACTCCGCGCTCCATATCATCGGCCTTGAGGCTCAAAAGTCCCATGTCGATCAACAGACCACCATTTCGGTACTCTGGCAGGCCGGTCAATAGGTCGCTACCGGCGAAATGGATGTGCATCAGCTTCGACATAGGGACCATGATGGAGTAGCAGAGCCACTGGGTCAGCTTGTGGAAGGGAATAATGCTCTCCCACGGTTGCGCGGGCGGGGAGCTGGGAAGATCCGAGCAATCCCAGGCATCTCCGATAGAGACGCCATCGATCTGAGTTCGAGAGGGGGGCCAGATGGAAGAGAATCCATCCATGAGCACGGTCCATAGGGTGGTGATAGGGACTATGGGTACGGAAGAAGCCAGAGTAGAAGGGTGTCCCAGAAGGAAATCTGTCGCAAAGCAGATCGTTAGCTTCAACGCGATTCGAGATGAAATTGTTCCACAAGCCACTCACCTAACATATTACCCGGACGAGCATCTACGCCAAAGAAATCCTGGTTATTCAAAGCTTCGGAAAGTCGCACCAACAAGCCCGCGCGACCTTCAATACCAGCTAGTGCATTTTGGTCTGAATGCTGCATCCCCTTGGCCAGCTTCTCGACTGTAATATTCTTCAGCGCGGCGCCATCCACCTGACACGGTTCTGTCGGGTCGCTGCTGAATAAACCGGATTTGAACATCTCCAAGCTTGCGACGGCAAGACCTTCACTCCGCGAGTAAATCTTCCCGGACTCCTTAGATTTGTAGGACCATTTTGTTCCGGCGCCAGCATCCAGCAGGACCGAAACGACGAATAAATCAATCAGGCGACGGGTGCGCTCTTGGGCGTCAATGCTGCTGGGCCACATCTGCAGAAGCTGATTGATCCGAGGGCGACCGCCCACATCAAAATGTTGCCAGCGCCCATGCGGGGGAATATTTTCATAGTCTCGCCCATAATCTCTCTTTAAACCCTGCATTAGCCTCATGTATGATTCATTTTCGCAGTGTCATTGTTTACCTTTATGATGGATACGACATAAGAAGCAGTAGCCTTGAGTTTGGATAAATCCACGTCGAAATGGTTGAGTTGATTTCGCTTGGCTCGGTTTAAGACGATGTTGGCGCGGTCACGAACCGCGTGGATGCTTCGGAGATAGGCGGCGGGGTCCAATGCTGGGTCTGGCGGGTTCGCGATGGGCATCTCGGGGATGGAGGCCGGGAGGCCGCTGCCTTTGTAACCGGGGGACTTGAGGGACGTATTCGAGGTACGAGCGCTGTTGACGGACACAAATGATTCCTGTTCATCCCTCTCACTCTGAACCGAGTTCCTCGAGTCCTTGCGCTTGAAGAGACCCATGGTTGCCGGGGGTTTGTTTTTTTTTCTCCTATTTCAATGATCTTCCGGAGGAATTTCGAGGTGGAGAAGCAGTGAGGAGGAGAGAGGGGGAGTTCGGATCGACTCCCAGTAGCTTTGCAGAAATAATGACTTGACTAAGGATCCCTGAGAATATTGATTTTTTTTTTTTTCTCCTTAAAGCTTCCGTAATAATCGAGGCGGGGCGGTCGGTGGCCGCTTCACAATCTCCACGGTTTTAGGGAGAATCTAGGTCGTTAGTTCAACAAAGTGGGGATGGTCGGCCGAATGAAGTTCAATGACGTTCCTAGGTTACCAGAGAACAGGGGATGGTTGAGTGGGGGGAGTACATACTGTACAAAGTTTCTACAAGCGAACTGCAGATTGAATACTTTCCGGGTCCGCAGAAGTACAGGGTGAAAGCCTGAAAGGACAGGAAATTCAAGCCGACTGGCTCATATATCTAACTTTTTAAGAGGGTCTATCCACTCTTTGAATACTAATAATGAGATCCGCATGGCAAGGTTCTCACGTACGTGTATAGATCGCTAGTGCGGGAATCGATCCATTAAGTCTGGACCAGAAGGTGCCGGAGAACAGGCGATGCACGGGCTTGCCCTGTGCGGAGAGGTAAGAAGGAAATTCCACTGGTCCCTGCCAAGCGCAAGCCAGTCATAGCCACTCATGGCCCGTGTGAAAGGGATTGTCGCTTCCAATCTTGGGTACCTTCCCAAGCGCGCGAAGGGGCCATAAATCCAGTCCGATTTCCGGTTTGTTTGGTACCCTAGCTCTACTTTCGGCTTTAGGAAGATCTAGCGTTCCACCGAACCAGGGAACGCAGCTTCAATAGGTTTCTGATTACGATGCCATTACTCAGGCAAAGGTGGGTTTTTTCTTTGTATTTATTTTCCTTCATTTTGGGAGCTTCATTGACTAGGATTCGGCAAATGATGGGGATGGTGACTCGTGGAAGTTTCACATGCATGCTTAGCGTTGACTATAATGATGCCTGTTATTACTGATACCATATGGAAAAACCGGATTTTACATTATATCCCGAGACGTTGATATCCTATAGGGAAAGATTATATGAAGAAGAACTGGGTCAATGGCCCGTTTATGCAGTGTGTGCCTGTCACGGACGTATAACCCAAGTCAGCACTAGCATCGGGAATTCCAGTGCAAAGGGAAATTTTTGTCTTGAGTCTATGACCATTGTGGACGAAGACAATAATATGAATCGTGTGATATCCACAACCGTTTGACGTGGGCGTTCGTAAGGTAGACGGAATTCCGATCTGGCCTGGTTAGCCCCCCCCCTTAAGCCACGTCAGGTCTCACATTCAAATTCTCCGATATGGAGACTGGTCTAGACGAGATCCTCGTCTAAACTTCGGGAGCCGAAGGATCAAATCAAATTGAAAATACCTTGGAGGGTCTAATCTCCGCCGTTGCGGCCCCCTCCATATAACGCAACGCTAGATCCAGCTAATGCGGGAAGCACGGACGCACGCTACTGGGTAGTTTCAGTTAAAACTCCCCACGTTAAGGGCTTGTCAAATTTCCCTACGGATGGGAGCTTTGTTTAACACAGGGGGCAAGAGTCGGCAACGCCGCCAATGCTGGCCCACTACATACATGGCCATTCGTTACCGCGCGGCTCCTCTACCCGAGAGCTCCGCTGTCGAGCTCCAAAAGCGGGGACCTAAGTTTTCCCATTTGTTTTGATTTCGGTTGTTTTCCTTTTTTGCCCATCAAAGTGATTTTGCTTTTGCAGATCAGGTACCTCTGCACGGGATACAACCCAACCTTACCTTTTCCAATCTTAATTGGCCTCTCAGATTAATCTCGGCCCCGATTCTTCTTCGGAACTAATCCAGAACACCCTTAACCATCTTGGGCAGTTGGCAGCGAGGCTCTTTCCGCACCTATTGCCTGTACTGTCGGTCCTCCTGGTGGCTGTCAGCCACCGACCCATATATCCACGTGTGTGATCAATGTCAGCCCGGAGATTATCATGCAAAGCGAACAGAGCATCACACAATTATAATACCTCACGTCGGTAATCCGATAAGGTAGGGATAATCATTGACATAGCCCCGTTCCTGTATCCTACACCGGTCTCATACGGTATTCTGCAACCTTCTTTTCCGTGGGACCACTTAGATCAATCCCGACTCCATGTTAAGGGCTCAGACTAACTTTATGGCAGGCCGCGTCACGGAACTTGAGCGAGCTTCGCCCAAAAATGGCGCTTGACCGTTAACTTTCGCTTATCGCTGTCCCAATTTAGTCAATGGCAATGCTCGGGCAGGGCCGTTCTTTAAGGTTCGATTGATGTGGCTTTTGGTTTTCGAAACACCCGTGGGGAAGGGCCATGGTGTTTAGTTCCGATTGGATCAATTGCGGGATTATCTTTTAGAGGTTTGGTTTGTAGATTTTAGCCATTATACTCTCGTATTCGGTACGGACAAGGTCGAGGCTGTGGCTGTCCACTTTCCCGAGCTCACCATTTAGCGTACATCTACACCCGGATATTCGCGAAGACATTAGCCCGAGAAATGATCATTCTACAGAATAGCCCTCGAAGGGATAATGAGCACTTGGGAAACATGCTGTTTTCATCATTGATTTGGCTTGGGTACTGAGTCATGAGGTACCAATCATCATGATCTCATTTTGAAACCACTCCTGAGCTCTTTTGGACAGTGAAGGCAATGACTCGGTTCGTAGAAATACCCCCGACGGTACAATTACCATCTGGGCACATAGCAAGGTTCAAAGTGAAAGTATTATCCCATGAATGGCCAAATCGATTCCCCTGCTTCGTTCTGGCGGACGAAATGATAGGGACTAACCTCTAGCTGACGTACAGAACCCAAAACATCAGACATTCAAACCTATCTGCCTGAGCCACGGTTGAATCAAATTTACAATGCCTGTCACCCGAGCCGCCGCCTACCATAGAGCTCCTCTCAGCCCGCAGGACAATAAAGCCAATTCCCTAGTCCAACAAGCATCCGAGAGCTCCGCCAGCCTAGTCGTCTCCCAGAACCACACATCAGCCTCCCTATCTGGAGCGCCCCTCTGCGCGCCAACAGAGAACCGCCCTCTATTCCACCGCATGGTACACGACTCTATCTATGCAGACGGACGAGAAATCAAAGTTCCCTCATCCTCAGCCGCCCAAAACACCAAGACCACAATCAGCATCGAAATCAGACAAGCCCCAAGCGAACACAGCCCACCTCGTAACCTCTACAACTCGAACATGATTATCGACTTATCAGGTACCGTCGCCGTGCACCGAAAATTCATGCCATCCTCCTTCGAGAAACTCGCCTGAAGCTCGGGCAACGGACACGGACTCCGCGTGCTGATACGCCGCATGGACGCGTCATCGTGCAGCGAAGAAGATTCACTTCTCCTCTTGGGCTACCATGTGGCCGATGAAGACCATCTGGCTGGGTTGTCACGATGTCCTTTGATGATCCCCTGAATGCATCCCTACAGGAAGAAACCATCTAAGAACACCACGACAACCCAGCCAGAGGGCTGTCACATTGTCCGTAGTCACAGGTCGATTAGGTCTTCGCCAACTGCAATCCCTGTCTAGTGTGGTCGCTGATAGCTAGGTTCATAACATCATTGGTCGCCGCAACATCTACTGAAACAACGGAAGTAATGGAGGCTTGGGGCTTGGTCCACGGAACACTGATAATGTTCCTGCGGAAATGTATCGCGATGGGGCACACTGAGACGAAGCCAAGTGCTTCGATATAATGTGTCAAGATGCTATCGATGCCGTCATTTCATGACCGCAGTCTCCGGATGCTGTTCGCTGGGCGTTGGAGAAGGCTTCTGAAGGAGCGAGTGTTTTTGGATCCGAAGGGGGCGCCGATGCCTTATACCAATACATGTGCTGAATCATGTTGATTTCAACAAGGCTTGGAATTCAAAATGATTTCTATGCCTGTTATTTCCGATATGAAACAGAGTTCTTATGCCAATGACAGACTATAGATAACGACCGTCCTCATCATCCTCTTATAAGATGCCTTTCTAACGCGCAGTATAGCCTCCATCCACAAGCCAAGACGCTCCAGTCACCCAGCTGGCATCATCACTCGCCAATACGACCGCAATTTTAGCAATATCACTTGGCTTGCCCGGTCCATTGAAAGGGTGCCTTTGCCGCAAATTCTCCGCACTCCCGCCCGCTGCCAACACTTCCTCGTATATAGCAGTCTGAATATCTAGGCAGAAGTTAGCTAAAAATCTAGAAGCAATACGGGTATATGCGACTTACACCCGGGACAAATAGCATTTACATGGATCTTGTCCGCAGCATAGTCGAGGGCAACTTGTCGAGTCAAGCTACTGACTGCTCCCTTTGATGCGCAGTAAGATGCTTTAACCACTAAGTCAGTACTGTAGTCAAATGGGATGATATCACAGAGCACTTACGAGTTGCATTTCCTGCAACCGTCGCCATGATAGAGGACATGTTAATGATCCACCCTCTATCTCCAGACGAATGAGGCTCCTGAGCAAGCATCTGTGTAATGGCGTATTTGCATCCTAGGAAGATAGACTTTGAATTGATTCTCATCGTGGTATCCCACAACTCTTCGTTTGTTTCGTGGCACCTAGCTATGGCGCCACGGGCTTCCATAGCCACACCAGCGTTGTTGACCAATCTATAACAATAACAATAAAAACATTAGAAAAGTGCTTCTTGTTGTTTCTGGTAACACTCAAGTAGGATTTACTTTACTCACACATCTAGCCTTCCAAATTCTTTCGTCGCGGCTTGCACAAGGGCTTCCATATCACTCGCTTCACCAACATTCGTTGTAACAAAGATGGACTGTCCACCTTCTTTTTGAATCAGGACATGTGTGTCGATTTCGGCTTCACCCTGGATATCCATTCGTGCCGAGGGAGTCAGATCTGCGCAGACTACCTTTGCTCCTTCATGGGCGTATGCCAGGGAGATGGCGCGGCCAAGTCCAGAAGAGGAGCCGGTGACGATGGCCACTTTGTCAAAGAGGCGATTTGACATTTTAATGATTCTTGTTAGGAAGTGATTGTATGAAGTATGTATGCGAGGGACTAGGGGACTCCAAGCTTGTTTATTGGCAAGAGGCAAGAGGCAAGCTTTACAGGGAGATGAAATACGTCGGAGCTCAGATGCCCGCTCTTCGAGATTTCCTCGGTAAATTCAAGACTCAGTGCATTACGCAGGCCACGCTGTTTAGTCTGACTCGTTATTGTAACCCCCGCTTACAGGGTTGTACATTGTACAAGTTTGTCCAGCTTCCCCGCAGATCGTCCGCGGCGAAAGCCTCGGGAGGCGTTAGGTGTTTCAAATTCTCCTCTGGTATGTTTAATATTGCCTGAAGAGATAAAGTTATCAGCTCAACAGATTTGAATATGAATTTAAAGCTTTTGACTACAGAGACGAGCATTGTGGAATGGGGAGGAAAGACCTCGAAGTATCCAAGGTGCATGTCCTTGATTCCCCAATCATCCACTATACATAAGACCTCTTTTTTATCACTGTCGACCCAACCAGATACAAAGACCATATCAGCATGATCATTTTCAGGGTTGACGATTTCACATTCATTAATAAACTCATCGTACCTGACATGTCATTGCCATGTTCTGCGCCATCTACATCACAAAAGTAAAACATTCAGACAGCCCGACAACACCTGAATGATGTCCACAAGTCAATTATTATTCCCAGGCCATTACCAGACAATGAACCCAGATCCAATCCAGCTTTCAAATTTGCAGATAAAGACTTCTCCATACAAACCTCCAATCGAAAGTCAATGTTCTAGAAACCGATCTATCACATCCGGATAAGAAAATCACATGACCAACGCGGATCGCGTCGACGTCAACCGCAACCTCCTCACCCCTAAACTAAACCGAACCAAATCGCATCACCCCGCAAATCACACTCCTTCAATCATCCCCAAAATCAAAATGTCCGCCTTCACTTCTCTCCGCCCTACCCTGCGCTTGGCAAACACTGCCACCCGCACCTTTAGCTCCTCCGCCGCGCACTCCGTTGCCCGCATGACCATCACTGGCCGCCTGGCCGCCGATCCCGAGGTTCAGGCTACCTCCACCGGACAGGATGTCATTAGATACGCGGTCGGTACCTCGTACGGACCCCGCGAAAATCGCCAGACTAGCTGGTTCAAGATTGCGAGCTTTGCGGAGGGTGGTCAGCGGGATTATTTGATGAGCTTGCAGAAGGGGTGAGTAGACTGAATCCAATTACATATTTATCGGACTTTACGTTCGCATTGGCATCCTTTGGGTTGGGTGGTTTATTTTGGGTGCATGTTTGCTAACGTGGCTTTGCAATCTAGTACTCTCGTTTACGTTGAGGGTGACGCCAGAATGAAGAGCTACGAGGATGCTGAGGGCCGGAAACAGTCTAGCCTGAGCATTGTGCAGCGTATGCCTTTCCCGTTCCTTTTCCAAGCCCCTCTCTTCCCTGACAGGGTGTCGTTTGGGGTCTCTTGGACCAATTGGAACCATACTAACTTTCATCTTTAGGCTCCATTGAGGTCCTTAGCCGTCCCCAGGGCAACGAGTCCCACTAAACGATTGCTTTCGACTGATTTAATTTGAATGTGGACTATCGACGTGGTTGATTATCGGTATCGGCGTTCTATTGGGAGCGCGGACGGAACTTAGATGGCTGGGTTGGGTTGGGGGGAGAACGTTTGACTCGGCTTGTGCTTTACTGAGGCTCGGCTCAGTGCTGGATGATGGTTCTTGTCGATCTCCTCTCTCTGTGATTAATTTATTGTACTAGTATACCCTGAATACACTCCGTTCTATTGTGGTGTATGTTGAAACTCTCCTGGAGCTAATCATTAGTAGATGAGGATTTAGCTTGGTAATGGATGAATGTACTGAATTTACATACTTTAGATGCTTAAGACTGCAAAAACAATGGCTTTCTAGAACGCAAAATGCCAGGTACGAGTGTTCTGTGCTGTAGAAATGGAAATGAATAGAAATAAACAGTGATAGTAAATGTCGAAGGTAGCCTCAAAGCTGAATCTCACTCTGCTGGGATATCACATGCTTGATATGAATAGAATCCACCGGAGTAGGTGATGTATTGATCCCCGAAAACTCGCTACTGGGACGACTCGCACTGGTCCCCGCCCAAGCATTCGTACAAACCGTCAGTTCGGGCCCAGTAATATCATTCAGCAGGACAACTTGATCACGGCCTCGAGCAAAGCGGTGATTGAACAAGGACCAGGGTGCCCGATACCAGGGCATGTTGCGGAAATGGACATCGGAATTGACACAAGAAGACTGCCGAGGACCCTTCTCGATATCACTGTAAGCATTCTTGCGCCACTTGAAGAGCGACTTCTTCTGAGGCCGAGGTGAGTCGACTAGGGTTGTTGAATTCGAGGCTTGGGGAGGTTGGATCGTAGCATGCGAGTCCAGCGGACGCGACACACCGGGAAAGCAGTATCCGAAGCCCAACCGCCAAAGGACCATGCGGTAGACTCGGATGGCGTCACGGCCAAAGCCGCAGAAGATGAAGATGATGATGCCTATGGCGATGGGTGTCCAGCGATCGAAGAAGACTTTGCCGTTTGTAGGGACCTTGATGATTTGGTTCCATGATGCATGGTGGACTCGGGACCAGGAGTAGGCGTGCCAGGGGAGGGAAAGAGATAGGTCATAGTAGACAACATAGGCTTGAACGGGGAGGATGATTACGAGCATGGTAAAAGCGACGAAGAATAGTCGAAGGAAACGGGACTTGCTCATGTTGCTGTTTGATGAGCGGAGGATGACCTCGAAGTCGCTTCTGTATCTGTGAAGGCGGATAAGGACGAGGCCTGTCTCGCGATTAGGGCTTGTTTCTTGACTGGGGTGAGTATGACACAGATGACTTACAGCAATAGTATGCAGAGATCAAGCAGAGAATGGGTGGCCACATCCATGCCAGCACGAAACTTGGCCAACTCTCGTCATAATTGTTGACACACCCCGAGATGGCATAGAGGAGATAGCGATCTTTCTGATAGATGAAATGGGTGACCATTGCCATGGTTGGTACGAAAACGCAGAGGACAAGCTCCACCAGCCGATTGCGCCAGCGCTGGGTCTTGCTCGGAACCAGGACGGCTCGACTTGTGTCCAGCACTGCTGCCAGCCCGCGGAAGATACAAGTCAGAGCAGCGGGTACAGCCACATAGCTTGCCACCATAACCTTAACCTCGATGTCACAGAGACCGGCACCATCCCACCATGATGAAATGTCATCTGTGGGCCACAAAATAGCATTGATGATATTAAACACACTCAGCAGAATGGCCCAGCAGATGAGGGCTGCCGCAGGAAAATTGCGATTTTTGGCATGAAGAGCCAGTGGCGGGAGGCACAGGAGAATTGAGATGAACGACAGGGCCGGAATGACCACCGCCATCGGATATAGCTTCGTATCTGTCGTCATATCTGCGGTCAATGTAGTCGTAAATTAGACGATTGATATCTGGACCAGCGATGAATACGTCTACAGATCAAGCGGTCTTTCTCACAAAGATTTAGACCAAGTACTCGAAGTTTGTAGAAGCGTGAACTATCTAGAAAATATGAGTAGCAGAAAGAGGGCATCCTTCTATAGCTGGTTGGTCTCCGGGAAATACAGTTAATGAAACAAGCAGGATCTCGAACGAGAAACCGGGTGTCACAAGAGATTCACTGAGCCGAGATAGCAATTCTAGATTAAGACATGGTGCCTACAGGAGGTGTTCTGGATCTTATTCGAATCCGCATACGAGAGAAAGGGGGACCAAAATAGGTCTCTATAGAATGATGAACCATGGGGGGATGCGACAGGTGTGACCAAAGAAAGAACCTGGCCATTAAAAGTGCATGATAGACGACATCATTGACCATAAGAAAGTGAAGAAAGACATGAAGGAAAAGGAGAAAGGAAATACTTCCGGGTTGGGGGGTCAATAGAGCTGATGGCGTTCATCTCTATTGAGCCCCCAAAGTGGTTAGATCCGAACCATGGATGTGCATTCAATGGGAGTTTTTGTTTGTTTGTTTAATTTACATGGTTTGTATTTCACTGGTTCTGGAACTCCTCAATTTCAATGGACTTAGACCCTCCATTTATGCTAGACTAAAATTGGATGGTAGGGTTGTGGAATTGGATGTATATTGTTGCGGAGGTAAGAATGACGAAAGCCGTGACGAAATACCCTTGCATGAATCAAGACTACTAAAACCAACTTAATCAACCTCGGTCGGACGCCACGAACTCCTCCGCCCGTCGGGGCGAACTCTTTTCTTCCCTGCAGCTTCTCGTCTTTTCAAGCCCCAAAGTTCTTTGGGTTTCATTTCCATCATGGCCGATCCCCCTTCACCATCGGGGATCTCACCCCGCAATTCATCGATCCGCCGCCGTGGTGCCCCCGCGCGAAGCACGCCCACGCTTGAGACCATCCCCGACTGGCCAGAACGCCGCAACTCGACGCTCTCAGATACCATCTCGGAGGCCCGTAACTCCATTCGATCATCCACAGATGATCTATTTCTCCCCCGGGTCGCCAGGCACAATGACGGTCCGATCGCAACAGAGGAGTCTCATTGGCATTCCGCACCACTGGCCTTGGCGCTGATGCCTGCCATCGCGGGGGTGATGTTTAAAGAGGGAAGCTCTTTCGTGACTGACGTGACATTGTTGGTTCTGGCAGCGATATTTCTAAATTGGTCGGTTCGGTTACCATGGTACGTCAAAAGTCCGGTCAAATGCTTTTCACGGGGTACAAGCTCACATGCATTAAAAGGGATTGGTATCGGTCGGCCCAGGCCATCCGGCGGGAAGAAACCAGATTTAGCCCCACTGCGGAGGATATCGAGATCGAGGGCGATGAGGCTGTAGAATCGGCCGAAGAATCTCACCCGCATCCCACGCCCCCTCGAGCGTCTACTGAAGCAGCCATCAAGGAGCTTCAGATCCACGAGCTGGTCGCATTAGCCTCGTGCTTTATATTTCCTCTGATCGGCGCCTGGCTTCTTCATGGCATCAGGAATAGTCTGTCCCGGCCCTCAGAAGGCCTAGTCTCAAATTACAACCTTACTATCTTCCTCCTCGCATCGGAGATTCGTCCATTCGCACATCTTCTCAAATTATTTCAAGCACGCACCCTTCACCTCCAACGCATTGTCGCAACCACCGACGAAGACCGCATCGACGCAAGTAAAGTCCAAGATCTCACAAAGCGACTCGAGGAACTAGAAGCCCACATCGCCGAAGCTGCCGCTACTCGCCAGGCTTCGTCTCCCATTAAATCAGACCATGGACCAAGTGACGCCCCGTCACTCATAACACAGGCTGTTGTTGAAGCCCGCAAGTCCGTCCAGCCAGATATCGAAGCCCTTAACCGCGCTGTTCGCCGCTATGAGAAACGTACGGCCCTCATGACCCTCCAGTCAGATACTCGCTTCCAGCAACTCGAAGCTCAAATGCGCGACGCATTGTCTTTAGCAGCTGCCGCGCAGCGCTCCAGTATATCCCGCCGCTCCAGCTACGCGTTCACCCTGGTTGACTGGGCCTGCGCATGCATCGTGGTTCCCGCTCAATTCGCATCATCTATCCTCAGCTTACCCAGCCGCGCAGCTAATCGCTGCTTGGCAACCGCAAAGAGCATACTAGGCCGACCTCCCGCACAAAAGCCACGCTCAAAATCGAGTAAAGGCAAGTCAGCCCAGGGAGGTGGTTACAAGGTCCGGCCACGGTCGCCTCCTCCGATAAAATCGGCTTCTATTTCGCCGCTTCCACCACAGCAATCTCTGGATCCGAAGTTCAAGGGTATTTCTCGCTAGGCTGGTCCATGCTTGAAGCTGTTGTGATGTATGGCTCTCGTTTCTTTCTCTTATGTACTTTTCGGGCTTTATATACTATACTCCACCAATTTCAATTTCGGCTTTGAATCGAGGGTTTCCCACACCGTAAACAGCCATTAGGGACAGCCCTTGATCAATGGCGTGAATAGGATCATCGTGTTTCGGTCAAAGAACCAACACTTTCCAACCAGCAATGACAACTTTATTAAGCAACATACTATTGATTCATCTAGGGCTTACTGCTGAGGCGATCAAATATGCATCATAGGAGTTCTTCATCCGGCTTTCGCATCAGTAACGTCGAGTGATGTTCCGTAAACAACTTAAAAAAGACAGAAAGTTGGACTCGATTTTGCCTCAGACAGTAATTCACCTACCCATCCATGTTTTGTAATCTTTTTTGCCTCGTCCACCAAACCCATTTCTGACACGAATTTTAGGGTCAGCTGTACTCCGAATGACAATGTTTCCGGGAGAGAGGGACAACAAACCTAGTAGAAGCTGAATAGTACCACGAACCGATGACTCCAAAGCCGAGGCAACTATACAATTCAACTCAAGCTGTGAAGATTACCTTTATGATGGATACGACATAGAAGCGGTAGCCTTAGGTTTGGATTCTCAAGCTGCGACTGCTCTTGGCACAGGGGAATGGATGCTTCTTCAGACATTCCGTTGGTTACACCTGTAGATATGGACCCGCATTCCACATCTCCAGTCCTGGAGCCATGTATCTTGAAGTCATGCACCAGTTGACTCCATGGTTGAAACCGTGTACTAGTGTATATATCACCTGGGATTGATATACATATACGATTATCAAGTAGGTACCGTACTTCTGAAGACTCCAACGACCACACGGTCATGGTAGTATATATTTGTTTGACCTCTCCACCTGATAGATCTTAGCTAGTATAGTATCCACCTTTGCGCTAGTCAAGCCAAATAATGATTTAAGTCAGTTCTATTACATCTAAGTATCACTATTGACACAAAAGCAGATGAAAGTCACGAAATGGAGACAAAAAGCTTCCAAATTTCCAGGGATCAGAAAACTCACAGGTTCTCTGCGCCGAAACCACAGTAAATATACAGCACTAGGTCCGCCCCCCAGAAGGCCCCCTCTCATCAACCCCAATCATCTTCAAGAAAGGCTCGATGATCCCCTTCTTACGTTCATCAGAGGCCCGACGCTCTTTCTCCTTCGACGGTACAGGAAGGTTCTGCGAAATGAGCACGCGGGCAAATATAGATGCGAGTGCAGACTCGACAGCCTCTCGACGCGCTACAGCCTTTTCGTACGAGTCCTTTGCCGCGGACTCCGGGGTCGGCGCTTGGCTTTTGCGACGGAAACTACCCGCTGAGATGAACGCTGCGGTAGAGGCAGGGGCAGGCGGGTCTGGGAGGCTGGATTTGGGGGTTTCCTGCTCTTTTTGCTCTTCTTGGTCTTGGCCCTGGTCTTTCATGTCCTTCTTGCTCTCATCTTTCGATTTTGTGAGATCCGTCAGATTGGATAATCGCTTTTTGGCCTTGGATAATGCAGGCTGGCTGGGCTGTGGTGCAATGGATGGGACAGGGGCTACTTCGTTGGCGATGCGGGCAAGCATGAACGTGACAAATGTGAAGGAGACGCTATGGGCGGGTGAATAGGCGAGGCTTTCTAGGACCCAGGCTTGGGTCTCTTCCCACGATCGGGGAGGAGCTTTGGATTTCTCTCGTGCGATCATATGTTGCTCCATCTCTTGCCAAACGGATGCGGTGACGATGCTGTCACTTAGAGAATTAAGGAATGTCAGGAGTGTTGCTGACAGAGCCTCAAGCCGGTGGAGAGATGGAACTTCCGGAGCGAAAATTGATGTTAAGGATTGGTTGGTGTCAAGGGATTCCCGGACGGATGCAGACAGAACCGAGCGCTGTTGGGGGTCCCGAAGGGTCCATGTATCAGGTTCGAATGGCCACCCGGCTCCTGCTGGACCTGAAACCCAAGGTGCTTCTTCTCCAGATTCGCCTTTTGTCATGCTCCACTCTGCTACAGCCCGCTCGGTCAAGTCGGAGATTGCCTCAGTCAAACGAAAGAGCTCACGTGGAGCAGATAGCCGCACTTCAGTGCCTGTTTGGGATGACTGTGATGTCCCTTTCTTGTCGAGACTGCGGGCGCCCTCTTCGGGCATGCGGGTCAATTCATCCACGCTACAGCCAAAGCAGGTTGGCAGCCAGTGTCCTGTGACCGTAATAAAGTGGTCGCGGCCACTATCAACATGAAGTACAAGGATCTCCTCCACTTTGACCTTCTTAAGGTTTAAAAGACGCACTTGTTCGATATTCTGAACATGAGCTGTGACGTCGACATTGGCCACTTCGCCTGGCAGGAGAGTGTGGGACTTCCCAGAAGGCGTAATAGCCGGCTGTTCAGTTCGGTCTTCGGCTCGGTCGATTTGAATTTTGAGCCAAGAGGGGCTCTCTGAGCTGTCTTTACTATCAAGGCTAGGCCTCTCCCCGAAATGAAAGGTGGCTGAAGCACCGCTCGTATTGGCAATAGTGATGGACCGGCGAACCGGCACATCATAGGCAACATCACCAAAGTCAATTGCGTTTGGATCTTGCTCTTTGCCTTGTTCACCATGAGGAACATCAACGACGACCGTCAGACCGGGGCGAGCCTCGTTCTCAGCCTTGTCCAGCTCACGGACGACCTCTTGGTGGACTTTTGCCTTGAGGCTGGGATTGACCGCGTCAAATGAAAGTGTAAAAATGGCATCCAAGGGCTTGTGGTCTGAAGACAAAATTCCCTGGTGTGAGACATAGTGGTTCAGACGAATGGGCTCATCCAATGAAGAGTCTTCGGATGCAACAGAGGAGACATATGCCCGCTCATCATCTGAAATGTACTCCTCCACGCTCCCTCCCCCATCTACTCCGTCGACCTCAGGATCGTAGTCAAATAGAACATTTTCATCAGCAGCAGCCTGGTCGAGACCTTGGTCTTGCATTTCTTTGTCTCTCTGCCGGACCTCCTCGCTTTCTCGGTCAAGTTGCTCATGTTTGAGCTTATCTCGCCGAGTGCGGTAGAGGATTCGATCACACCAGCTAGGGCCACGATGTTTCTCACTCGAATCAAACATAGCCACACTACCGACATCATACTTATATGTAGGCAGAAAAGTGATTTGACCCTCGCGCCATCCTTTATGGAATGCTGTTCCCAATTTTTGCTGAATTCGCAGTTGGTCATGGACGACAAGAGACGAAATAGTCGTCTGCAATGACGCAGGATCATTATGGGGATCGATCTCCTCATCGGTAACTGGCTCGGGTGGCCCATCGTCTTCTGGACCCGGCGGAGGTGGCGGCTGGTTTTCAACATCGGTGGTAGAACCTCGGCGACTACCCGATTTTTCCTTTTCCTGGAGAGCGATGTCATATGCATTGACTGTATGCCGTGATAGGACTTGCCGTACGTCGTTTCCAGGAATATCATCCAGTCGATAGTTGAGATCGCCGAACCAGAAAGTAAAATCCTCGTCGCCAATATTGTCAAAGGCTTCCTCCCCTGTGCCCTTCTCTCCATCAACACGATCGAACTTTGCACGCGACGAAATCTGAGAAGCATCCCAATTGCGCCTTTCTAGGCTGCTTTTATCGGACCCTGCCGCAAGGTGACAATTCACAAAAACTAAACGAGTAGTTTCACCAAGTACCAAGCGAGTGGTCACAGCACCCTTATTCCCCATGTACCCCATCAGTCCCGTTCCAACATAGGTACTGCTGACCGAGGAAATGCTCTCGCCAATCGATGGGGAGGCGTATATGATAAGTAAAAGTCCAACTAGCTGAACCTCAGAGACGAGCTGGTATCCAGGAGGTAGTGATTTCTGAACCGACTCTTTCCATCGATTTGATGGACCCGAATCAGTATATGGCCGTAGAGCCTCTGCAGGAGATGAAACATCGACCACTTCCTGCAGGCCCAAAACATAAAGATCGATCTCCTCCGGACTTGTTTGGAATGGCTTTTTCTTCTGCTCATTCTCCTCATCTCCGGTGGTGGGACCCCCGTCAGCTGCCCCAGCATGCTCAAGCTGCTCTCCCTTAGCACCAGACAGTTTCTCAGACACTCCTTGGCCCTGCACAAACCATTTCCCAATATCCTTTTCTGTGCCTGAGATGGCTGCCACATTCCAGGTCCCAATCTTGACGCGAACCGTTCGTCGACGTGTATATTCGGATTTCCGTGCTTTGACAGCACGCGAAAGGGACAGTAGATCCAGTGCAGGGTGCTCAATGTCTTCCACCTCTTCCGACGTTTGGCCCCTCGAGTCTGACCCGGGCGACTCGGCTCGCCGTTCCTTGGCACTCATATTGGATCAAATGGTGTGAAATCCTGCAAGTGATGGGATATGCTCATAAGAACTTTGTGCAAGTTTATTGGTTGTATGCGACGCTGACAGTGTGTGGTATAGAAACTGTGGTTGTGAATATGTGGCGGCTCTTTAATCCGGCAAAATTGGGTGTTATATCGGTCCTTTGGAGCATCACCATGCAAGGAGAACAATCAACAAGGAATCCGATTCAGTCAATAGTCAAATGCGACCAATGGGCAACGGATTGGATTGTATAATTTAGCACGACTGAGTAGGTACGTGCGTTATGCACGGTGGATGGTGTCTTAGGTCTAGGAGGGCAGTAGCACCAGAGTGAAGAGGGCCGCGCGAATCAGGTTAAGAGAAGAGAAAAGACGAATCCGCCCAAAGCAGCGGGAAGCCCCCTCAAGAAACAATAGAAGTCAAAAAGCGTGAAAATAGGAAGAAACGCAAGAGTTGGAGGCGGAAAGCCGATGACGATATGTCTTATCGGTCTTATCGTTCAACCCGCAATCAGCAACCACCTATTCACTCTCCGCCAAACTTTCCCACGAACGACTCAGCGAACGCGACTCAGCGAACGACTCAGCGAACGACTCAGCGACCTCCCACTCTCCTTTCCCCCCCACCACCATCATGAAGCGTACTCCTCGCGCACCGCCCAACGGCAGGGCTAATCACCGTCAAGAAACTGTATCCCAGTACTACCAAAACAACGCCCACACAGACTACGAATCAGACACTGCGTACCTCTCAGACATGCCTCAGCAAGCTCCCCCACCTCTCCGCTCCAATGAAGAGCTCAACCTTCGCGTTCTCCGTCGTCACAACTCTGAAATTACCGATGTCATCTCCCTTGCGAACTATGCCGTCATCTACACTTTCAACCCCGCTTCGACTACTTGGGAGAAGGTCAACATTGAGGGCACCCTGTTTGTTTGCTCAATGACCCCGGGCCCCCTTGGCGAAGAACGCTTTACGGTGTTCCTTCTGAACCGCCGCAGTCTTGAAAACTTCGAATCCCGCCTGACTGGCGCCGAGAATGTGGAAGTGACTGAGGAGTATGTCATCTTGAAGGAAGACAAAGACAAAGATGCCGAGGGCAAAGCTGATGCCAACAACTACCGCGTCTACGGTATCTGGATTTACTCTGAGACTGAAACTTCGACCACTGATACCCGCACCGTGAATGCCATGGTCATCAAAGAGTGCGCTACTCGTGCCGGCCAGAGCCTGAAGGATGCCAAGGAACGTATCCAAGCTATGCGCCAAAACGAACTTCACATTGCTGCTGCCGCCGCAGAGACCCAGGCTATTCCCAATGAGAACATCCAAGGTGGTGTCCAGGGTGGTGTCTCGATGGGCCGTACCATGTCACTGAAGGACATTCTTGGGCAGCAACGTGCTCAGGATGATGAGTGGAGTGTTCGTGCGCACCATGAACAGCCCCAATTCCAGCCTCAACCCCTGCCTCAACCCCCGGCCCAGCCCGGATATGGGTACCCGATGCCTCCGGCACAGCAGCATCCTTACCAGGCCGGCGCGCCTAACCCGCGGGCCCCAGCCCAGGGGATGCCCGATGTGCTCGGCGATCTCTTCCGTCGCGCAGGACTTCAGCCTAAGCCGCAGTAAATGCTGTTCTCGGTCCATGCGTTTCTTTCTTATTTTGCATTTACTATTGTTTTGTATTTCATATCCTATCTACAGGTCATCTCATGGCGCACGATTTATCTTGATTGTTTCTACGGCATATCATCTAGCGTTTGTTTCAAGTCATCGGACAGTGAATGGGGTGGCGTCGTTTATTTTCGTCGTTCCTGTTGAGATACCCATTGCAACGGTTGAATCTCCGGATAAATTTTCGTTCTTACTTTGACATTGTTTCCGAATAAAACTCACATTGTATTACTTTCATACCCATATCAATCCTTCTCATAAATCTACTTCGTTATCTACACAAGTCCTCACTCAAGAACCCTCTTAAGTGGCTGTCTACCAATTATATGCGCCCGCATCACTCTTCTTCCTGACTTCAGAGTGCCTAGATGTCAATGAGATACTTCCTAACTATGCCGCACCATGGCTCTCAAATTACTCTTCATGCAACACCATCCTCTCTGACTATAAATATCTAATACAATTCTCTCTCTCTTCTTCTTCTTCTTCTTCTTCTTCTTCTTCTTCTTCTTCTTCTTTCTCTTCTTATTCCTTCTCCTCGTCATACACGAAGGCTACAAATGGACCCGCAGCCGAGTACCTTGGAAATGGAATTACGACAAGTTGAAGAAGAGACAGGGAGAATTTGTAAGTGCCTTCGACTCCTAATTAACTCAAACACAGCAGTCATTCATGCCATAAGGTCCTTCAGATGGAATGCCTCAGAAAGCGCTCAGGCGGTCAAACCCTCAGTTATTTCTTCAGGACTTCTCGCTATGACTGACTACGTAACACTAAAAACGACCTGTTGAAGTAAGCACCCCTTGGTCCCCTCACTTTGGATGTATCTCTGATTTGATATAGGCCTTTATGGACACCAATTAGGACACTGAGTCTAAGACGACTGTAATGCATCGTCTATTGTCATTTTTAGGAACTAGCCTGTCGTCGTTCAATCTGTCGTGACAAATGCGGGCAGTGCAAGTATGCATTGCCAAATGGCGGGTTTTACTCTTGTGTGCTTAGTATATTATTTCAATCCCATTCAATGTCATAGCGCTCCTTAACGATGTAAGATAAGGTTCACTACTTGAACTTATTTCCATATCCTCTTGCGGTATATTCTGCCTCCGCGACGATGATGTGTTAAATCATATCTATGTCTTATACCTCAAGCTTGAGTAATTGTAACACCAGAAAGCTCTAGAATTAAGTCTCTATTCTCGCCGATGTAAGCTACATTCCTGACTATCATCACCTCAAGTCCATCAGTGTCTAATTATCTGAAATCCTGGAGTTTCAAGCCACCCATTTCAGGCGTATAATTGTGCTTAACGCTGTACCATATCCCGTATCATTTTCGCAACCTTCTGAGCCATGACATCGCTATGCTCTGGAGGAATGATAGTTTAGTATGAGTCAAACACAAAAGAATGACAAAAAGAGATAACTTACTCAAGCAGAATGCGTGAGGTAATCCTTCCTCGCAAACAAACATCTTCGGACCTAATCCTTCCTCTCGCCCCCTCAATGCAATAACTTCATCCCGAGTTTTTTCCGCAACCCAATGATCATTTTTTCCGAAGTAGAAAAACAATCGTATAATAGGCTCAGATGTGCACCCAACCCCCCAAACATCATCTGTCCATTTATCAGATGTGATGGTGCGCATTTCATCAGCTGCCATATGTCTGTCGAGAATATTAGTACCCACACAGTGTTTGGGATATCGAGCAATCAAAGTCTATAATGAACATACAATGCTTGTCGTACACCACCAGAGCTCTTCAGGAACTCAAACGTCGTGTCGAGACCATGAGCAGGTGGATTTCTCATCACGAATCGAACAACGGATTTCAAAGTTGAGGATGGGAGGACCGAGGTTAATATACGGGCGAAGAAGCTCACAATAAGAGCGAGTTGCGGAAGGAATGATAATAAAGCCTGTATTATGACAAATGAAAAGTCAATAGCAAATCCCATCACTGTGAAATATGAAACTGACCGTCAATTTCTGGCCGGACGGAGAGTGTGCGATATCCTTTACTGTTGGGAAGAGCATCACACCGCCGATGATATCGAATGAACTCGAAGAGACAGAGTCGGCTAAATCCTTCCCATGTCCAGGTTCAGGGGAAAGGGTCTCTATATCCGGTATACCCTCACGATGTCTTCTCAAGACCTCCATAGCGATATATGCGCCAACAGAGTGTCCAATGAGAATAACTTTTCGTTTCGGCGCTGGGGCGAAAGAACCAGATCCAGACTTTGATTCTGCCGAAGCATTATCCGTGGAATTGTTGTTCAAGTTCATCAAATCCACGAGCTTCCGATGCACGAATCGAATCTGGTCTTCAAGATCGTACAAGCGGTCGTTGGCGCTGTGCTCCCCATCTTTGCCATTTTGGCCGATGTTATGCTCAGCATCAGATGGAATATCGAAGCCACCGAGACTGCACCCGTATATCTGAATAGAGGTCTTCTTTGTGGTACTTGAAGTCTCGGTCTGGGTCTGGAGTTGAGACCCGTCGACCAGGTGCTGCGCTAGCAGGGATAGGAAAGGGTGGTAGTACCCGATCAAACCCGGATTCCCGGATACAAAAAAGACGGTAGTATCAGATTCTGACTGCGTGCCTGTATAGGTGCAGAATGTGTTCTTTGTGATTTGGGGTTCCATGACTTTGACATCCAGGATATGTGTATGTTTAGCACTATCACTCCGAGGGCTACCAAGGGACCTATGTAAGGTTACAAATGGTTTTCAGATAAGGGTGAGTTGAATACGCAATAAGGATGAGGTGATGAGTAGGTTTGGTATTTGATTGAGCAGTTGTCGTTGACGTACGGTACCTGATGGGTCAAGGTGCAAGGGCGGGTGCGGAGCCGAGTGGATCCCCATGTGAGCCGAGCTCCATGCAGCACGAATAAGCTACGAGCTACAGTACGATATGCCCCAATTTATGAGGAAGCAAGCAAAATTGACCATGGAATGCAAGTGTATTGCAACAGTTCCTGACTCCATATCCCCCAACCCAAAGCTCCTCCCCTTAACCGCCCCCGGTTTCTGTATCCCAAGTAAAAGTAAAATGAAATGGGTAAAATAAAGAACAAGAGGGCCCAAAGCTGGATCCAATGCATTGATTGCCCAGACGCCGACAGAGCGCAATGTACAGCATTTCGTTCCGTGCTCCCGCCATTAAAACAACACTGCAGGTATCATACCGCTGCGAAGCACCAGGTTCAAAAAGGAGAGGCACAGGAAGAAACAGAAAAAGGCGCAGAGAGAATATAAAACGAAGTTCGCCAAATAGCAGCACGTAAAATGATAGCAAAGTAGAAAGCTCAAGGCACACAGACATCAAAGCTGCGCTGGATGGTATCTACCTCATCAAAATGAGTAAGTGAGGTGGCTGCAGTGAAGGATCGCTGCTGAAGTGGGAGACTCAATTTGTCGCCAGACTGCACAGATTGTACAAGGAGTTATCAACCTTCTCCTTCGCCTTTGGGGTCGTCTCGGTTCTCCTTCTCACTGGATTCACCTGAAACATCTGTTGTGCACGATGTATCGGCTTCTGAAGCGGCAGGCTTGGCCGGTCCCAGATTGATAGCGATTCTCTTAGGTGCTGCGCCGACACTCGCTAAAACCCCCGATCCGGACTTTTCAGTTGCGCCAATTGGTGCAATCGATAAACTCTTCTTCCGACCGAGGATCCCAGCACCAGAATTGCTACTGGTAGAGCTTCTACGCTTGGGCCCTGTAGAGAGCTTCATTAGCTCATCATCGTCTTCCTCTTCACGACGACGCTTCTCAGCGAGTCGTTCGGGTGGAGGCGTCTGAGCGGGCGAGCTGGGTGCGGAGGTAGCAGCGTCAGGGCTAGTTTCAATTGTAGCCTCTGTCGTACTCAATGGTTCAGCCCGTTGAGTTTGCTCCGCAAGGGCTTCGGGTTTGGTGTCCATGACATCCTCATCGTCATCGTCATCAGGGTAGTCAACCAGGGGCTTGACCATTAAAGTAGCAGAGCCATTGGATGTACCAGCAGCAAGGGCTCCACGTGTATCCTGTGGCCACTGTGATCCAGTCAGTTAAAAAGCCCCAAAAGCAATCTAGCAAGACGACTTACATCATCTTCATCGTCGGATGTGCCAAAGTAGTCTTCTTCGGCAGCATCCATCTCCTTCACTCCCTGCCAACGCTGGCCATTCAGCGGCATCCTCCGTGATGTACTGTCGTCCTCATGGCCAAACAACGGGTCTGCCTCGCCACCATATCCTTGCATTTGATCATAACGGAGTATCAGGTTCAGGAATGTGTCGACGTAGGTGATGTTCGCAAGCTTCTCCCGGTACTTCTCTACCACGTGAATAATAAATGGCTTGATGTTTTCCCGTTTGATAAACTCGAAGAGCTCGAGACAGGCGGAGTTGAGTAGGTTGTCACGAGGCATTGTTTCATATACAATATCGAGAATTAAGCCGAATGTATTGTTGTGTGTCATGAGAGCTTGGTAAAATGTATCTTGAAGACTGATCAAGGTGCGGAAAAATTTGAGGGCAACTATTGGAACCAATGTTAGTTTAACCATTGAAGGGTAAACGGGCGTTTGCGGATGGTTGAGCTAGCTCTGCCTTACCCAGCTTTAGTGATTTTTGAGGCGCTGTCAGAAGCTGAGCGACCCGAGGCGCAAGAGATTCACTGTGGATCGCATTGCGTGTGCGGAAGAGATGTTGACGGACGAAAAAGGTGAGTATATCAGCAAGATGCGAGTAGAGTGTGACTTCTTGAAACGTCAAATCATTAACTGCAGAGTCACGTTAGCCAGATATCCTTCAACCCGGGAAACGAAAAATGAAAGCCAGTGAACACTCACGGGTAGCACGGTTGGCAAGTTGTTTAAGCGGTTGAAAGAGCCGCTTGGAAGAATCATCGAAATGCTGTTGGACAAATGCATCAGAGAGCATATTGGTAGGTCGGATTTTGAAGTAATCGGGTCCAGCCCGGGCAAGCGGGTCCTGCAAGGGTATCTGGGGGTCGAGCAGGATCTTAATAGCATCAGCTAGTTGATTTTTGACTCCAAGATCGGTCTCAGCATGGAGCAGGTCAATTAGTGTATCTGTGAGCGGTGTCTTCTTTTCATTGACAGCCTTGAGCATGTATCCCCGCATCATCACCGGGTCATGGTCCAGCAATGCTACCAGAATATCAATACCCGTCGTGCGCATAGCTGGGTTCGGGTGTTTCACGGCGAAGGCGATCACGGCGAACAGGCCGTGGTTAATGAAATTGGCGAATAGCTGGGCTCGCGATGGACCTTGGAGATTCTTCGCAATTGCCGCGCACTGATGCAAGAATTGTACAGCATCATCTTTGCGCTTGGAGTTGGTATTTCTGGGATCGAAGACGGAAAAGAGCTCTCGGAGGAAGTGTCCATTGGTTTGAATGTGGTTCACGATTTCCATTTGGTTGAAGAAGATCAGGGAGTTCAGTACGGAGAAAGTCGGGTCGTCCAAAATCCGGGCCAGGACCACGTCCTTCAGGTATTGTAGGCGCCATGTACTCCGGATCTTCCTGCGAATGATCGGATCATTGATAGGAACAACTTCTTTATAACGAGTCTGGTCTGCGAGGTATTGCCGGTGGTTTGCCTTGTGGGTAGGGAATTCAGGATCATATTCCAAAGCTCCTACCACCCCCAGGATAATGTGATCGGCGACGACGGTTTCGATGATGGTGTTATCGTTTAACAGGATAAGGGATTTCATGATGTTGCAAAGATGATGCAGATCAGTCAGGCTCTCCAAGTCCTCAGCCATATCCACTAAAGGAACTAGCTTGGCAATATACTCATCACGGATGATAAACTTGGACAGCGCATCGCGACCTGGCTGTGTCATACTCGCCGATCGCACAATCTGCTCCATTTCACCTAAGTTTCGAAGTTCGGGGGCCGGTAAAGAGATGGAATGGTAGCTATCCAGGTCGTCGGAAAGAGCATCGTCTGCAAAAAAAAAACAACATCCAGGTCAGAGACGCACATGGAGAGATAAGAAAAACCAAGTAACAGACTTACCGGCCGCAGCCAAACTGAGGTTTTGTTGAACAGCATTCACAAATTCCCTTGTTGGATGGTCAGTTCCGGAGCACGCGCACACATCTGTTATCTTCCGGTATCCTCACCAAATCTGCGCACATCCTTCTGCCTCTTGAAAACTAAGTGCCATATCCGTCCCGCTTTGTTCCGTCCAGACGATCAACGTCTCTGATCGCGCAGTCAGTAAAAAGACAAAACCTTCGGTGGTACAGACGCGGTGGTGGGACAGAAACCTTGCTGTTTTTGATAGCCATCTTCCTTGGAAATCCGCGTCTCCAGCAGCACGCGATTAGGCTGGTCTTCGGATTCGACAAATATTCGGGGTTCCTCCTGCAGAAAGAAAAAAGAAAACACGCGAGTCAGCCACGCGGTTCAAACCGTTCCGGGAGAGGTGCGGGTGCGGATGCAGGATTGTCGTAATGCGCGGGAGGAACATCCAAGACCAAGCGCGCGCGGCGAAGCGCACACTATGCCCGTGCGCCTGGCCGAGTAGAGCTTCCAGGGAAAGAACAAGCTTACCTCCAGTATGTGACCGCTACAGAAGCCGGTGCCGCGATCAAACCAATCATTATCCCTCAGTTCGTAGACCTTGACCCGTTTGCGACCGTCGGGCGGCGTTAGGTCCAGCGCCATGATCCGGCGAGAAAAGGAAGGGTACTTCACTCCGGGGCCTCCAGTATGAGCATGCGCCGGTTGTGAGGCCCTAGGAGATACCGAAGATGAAAATGGTTGGGTAGGGGTCGGGGGTGGAGATGATGAAAGAGTCTGCGGAGGGGATGACGATCGAAGGGAAGGTTGGGTTTGTGAAGGGGCAGAGGATCCACCTGACGGGAAGGGCCTCGGCCAGTTTCTTGCTTTTCTTGGTATCACTTCGCTCCCTCTATATCAGATATGATCTTGAAGTGCCTATGGAGAAACTTGTTTAAATATTCCGAATCTTTGAGAACTTTAAAAAAGGTACCTGACCCACGATGGGAGGGGAAGGAAGAAACGCCGCAGTTTACACGCGACCGGGAGAAGTGGGCACTTCCGGATCTTCCAGAATCCTAAAAACTTCCTTGATATGAACACATCAAGGGACTGGAATGCCACAAGTACGTTATTAGGAATCTGATCAAAGCTATTTATCGATCAAAGGTCCATAATTCAACCTATAAATAAGGTAGATCTCCATGCAGTACGGGGAAGAAGCGGGAACCAGAACGAAATTAACCTCCGGCATCGAAGCTTCGATCCATATTCTGCGTCTTAGCTGGCAGAACCAAAATAGTAATGATGTAAGGAGATTACACCGTGTAGATTACACAAGGCAGCAAGGCCACGAAATACAGGCCAGATCGGACCATTCCGCTCTCTAAAGCTCGGGCCCTGCCACCGCCCCGCTTCCGCAGCGCTGATTGGTGGTTCAGTGCATGGCAGATTCTTATCGACGCCTACCCGATGAGGAAAGGTTCCAGACCGGCGTGGTCTTGGTAGTTTTTTTTTCTCGGCCAGCTCGTGTTTTTCTTTTTCCACGCTTTCGTGTGTTTGTGTGAGCTAAAGACGAGCGACTTCTGGGGGTTTTGCGCTCGTTTCGATTATAAAGCTCCCTCTTTCCATTTACAGATCTAGATCTATACCGCAAGCGGATCAGTGCGCCGCGGCTGCATTTATTTTTCTGCAAACCCCGCTTTCCTGATCAACGTCGCCTTGTTTATTCAACATTGGGACGATGTCGGACTCCAAAGACCAAGTTGCCGTCCAGGCGACGGCTTCTAACACCAATTCTATCTCGTCGATTCCGAAGGATACGGCCGAGGTAGTGGTGCAGAGACCCGTGGGCGATGAAGAGGCGCTGGCGCCAGCTGATCTAGTTGATACGCAAAAGAAGGGCTTCTTTGCCTACTTCAAGACTAAGGAGTTCTATATCGTGTTGCTTCTAGGGTGAGTACTGGCATTGCGAATAAACATGATTCCTTATAATAGGGAAAGAGTTCCTGAGACTGATCGGGATATAGACAAGCTCTCGCTATTATGAACACTGCGACGAGCACCTTTACCACCCTACTTACCGATGAGAACTGGTCTATTCCAACTTTTCAGACTATTCTCAACTACATTGTGCTTACCTGCATTTTCACCCCTTATACCATCTACCGTTACGGGTTCAAGGGCTGGCTCCGGTTAATCTGGCGTGATGGATGGAAGTGTATGTCATGACCCCGCATCAACTTATTCGCGCATTGCCTCTAATTATCTCGTTACAGACATCATTCTCGCTTTCTGCGATGTTGAAGGAAACTATTTCATTGTGCTCGCATACGACTACACAACCATGCTCAGCGCCCAACTAATCAACTTCTGGGCCATCGTCGTGGTGGTCATTATCTCCTTCCTTTTCCTGAAAGTCCGATACCACATCACTCAAATTGCCGGTATCGTCATCTGCGTCGGCGGCATGGGTGTCCTCATCGCTTCGGACCACATCACCGGCACCAACGGTGGTGATGTGTCTTCGGGTAACCAGCTCAAGGGTGATCTCTTCGCACTGCTTGGCGCCTCGTTCTACGGTCTCACCAATACCGCCGAAGAGTACTTTGTCAGTACCAGGCCAGTTTACGAGGTTTTGGGCCAGCTTTCACTTTACGGCGTCATTATCGACGGTGTGCAATCTGCCATCTTTGAGCGTGACAAGTACAACACCAGCCACTGGGATGGCAAGGTTGGAGGCTACCTGATTGGATTCACGCTCTGTCTGAGCATGTTCTACTGTCTTGCACCCACGATGTTCCGATTGTCGTCCGCTGCATTCTTCAACATCTCGATGCTCACAATGAACTTCTGGGGTGTGTGCATTGGTATCAAGGTCTTCCACTACCATATCCACTGGATGTACCCCATTGCTTTTGTCCTCATCATTATCGGTCAATTGATCTATTATCTTGGACGCAGAGCGTTGGCTGAGGCAAGAAAGCCCTGGCTGGGAGAGAACCAGGAGCGGGGTATTACCGGGTGGTTCACTGCGAAGAGTCGCATTGAGCATGAAGTTCCTGGTGCTGTGCTTGAGGCGGATCGGAACCAAGATCAGCAGGGTGCTGGTCACAGCACTTCGCACGCAGTTGAGACTCATATCAATGCTGCCTAAGTGTTGTTCTGGCCATCTGGCTGTGACTGCATAGATTCCAATACACTCTTATGCCGTGTGAATATGGGTAGGTGGTGGAAAGTACATACGTGAATGCCGGGCCACTCAGTGTATACGAAATTTCTGAGTGGAACCTATCTTTGGGATCTAGATTGGGGGCTGCTTTGCTATAATGTCTTAATTGCTTAATTCTTTAACGACTATACTTAGATACGACCCTCTGTTACGAGAATGAATGTCCGCCAGGTCTTTGAATGTCCTATCTTAATGTCCTATCTTTGCATACTAGATCCTAAACACAATCTGCGTTACATACCTAAATAAGTATACGCCCACTTGAACTGTACACCTGGGCACCAAGGTCAAAGATCAGATCAAATAAGACTCGTAGTCATGAACCTTGGGAAAAGATAAGCCATAATGAACACCTCATAACCTTATTACCTGAAAATTTCAGCCCCTCAAATTTCCTGCTTGCCCCATAGTATAGAAGAAAAAAAGTGAATATGAAGAAAGTGACAGTCATCCGATTCCAATGTGCAGCCCGAACCCCCCTTGCCAGAGATATGAGAGGGTAGTACCAAATAATAGACATAGACATCCATGGAGACGCAGACGAACAACAAGAACACCGAGAAATGAAAAGAGTCCATCGACACTTTCACAGAAGAAACGAGCGCCATATTCCGACCAATTCACACGGGCACCAGGTAAAATGAATAAACAAAACAAGAAAGCACTCTCTGACAATCCAAAATGACTCAAGACACCGGAAACCAACCTAATCTCAAGGAAAGGGTATTTTTGTTCGTTTTCAAAATGATCCGGTCCGTGGACACCAATGTTGACTCCAGGAACCCAGTTGTGGTATAGTAGCAGACCCTTCCCGCCCAAGCCACAATCCAAATCCGAAAATTGACAGAAAATGTAAATGAAAACCAATAACCTAGACCGAGAAGGGCAGAAGTAAAAAAAAGTGATCCTGCTCCCGCTGTCATGTATATACCGTTGTGATCAGAAAAGCATGTCACGCAAATAGAGAAGCCATTTTGCTCACACAACGCCACGAAAATTATCAAAAAGAGGCCGAAACCCCTCCAAATCGAATGCATACCACATATAAAGCGCCGCCGTAAAATCCCTCAATGCGGAATCAAATAGAGTCATGGGTATGAGTTTTTCGTTTTATTGGCCTTTTTCAACCCCACACTGAGGCCTGGACGCCGAGCCCGCTCTTCGAGCCCCAGACGCCACTGCCGTTAGACCAGCCGAGGCCCACACCACCAGCAGTCGAGTCCTTAGGACCGGGGGCATTGGCAGCAGCCGTGACAGCTGGGTTGGGGGCTGCGGATGTAGCACGCTCGTTCGCGTTGGCAGCCGCCTCGCCGGGGGTGAAACCGAAGCCTAGAGAGGAGGACAATGGGGTTGTTGAACGCTTGTTTAGTGCCGGGTTAGAGGTGGGAGCAGTGTTCTGCGGTCCTACAGGTCGAGATCCGATGGGGCCGGCGCTCGGCTTAGCTGAGGCTTGACGAGACGAAGACAAGTCAGTGCTGCTGGGCGATGAGGTCGAGGGCACGGGCTGCTCGGTGAAGCTGGCGTTGATAGCCGAGCTGGGCGAAGAGGTGCTGTTAGCCCGGGAGCTAGACTGCAGACCAGGTGCGCCATCGGCAGCACCGAGGACCTGGTTCAGACCGAATGGGTCCACACCCCGTGGGGACGCTCCACGAGCGGCTGACGAGGGAGTACTGGCAGTCTGGCTCTCCGGGCGAGAGTTGTCGTCTGGCAGGGGGCCAGGGGGGAAGAAAGCGGGGCTCTCATTGCCGTACAGGGCCCGGTGCTGGCGAGCCAGGAGGTCTCGGCGGCTGTCTTCGCTCACGGCAGCCGGGCTGAGGGATCGATCGGATTTGTTTGCAGACATCTCGGCGAGGAGGCCTTTGGAGAAAGAAGATCACGTATTAAAAACCGCGCATTCAAAAGAACATGCCAAACCAATATATTATACAAGGCCGACGGATACATAGATGCAGAGAAGAAAAATGACGGGGGAATATAAACGTCAAGGAGAGAGAGAGAGAAAAGCAAACACGCTACCACGTACTTCGGTTGTACTGCTGCTCCTGATGATAGTTGCGGAGCTCCCGTTCACGCTGAGCTGCCATCCGACGCTTCGCCTGCATCATCTGTTCTACTTCATTCGGGCGTCCCTGGTACCGCTGCGAGGCATAGAAACCCTGCGCATTGCCGGAGGGGGGATTCGGGAGCCTTCGAACTCGCTCACCGAGTGGTGTCGCTGGGGGCCGCCATTTCCGCCCATGCGAGGGTCTGCCACAGGGAATTTCAAGTCAGATCAACGCCGCATCGATCGAGGGTACGTCCACATACCGTAGTCGGGATAGGGACGACCCATCATCATGGGCATCGAGTCCCGGCGAGGAGCATTCCACAACTTCCCGCTCTTGACGAGATTGTCGATCGCACGATCAACCTCTTCACAAACATCACACGGTCAGCACACTGTTATTTTCCAAATCACACGAGACAAACCCCCACAATTCCCCGGTTTTCGCTTGCCGAAATTGTTGCACCACCGGAGTCGTCGGTCATTGTCCCCGTTAAGGCATCATGCTTATTTTTTCTCGAGGCGAAGCGAAACGAAACGGAATTGTGGGTTCGGCCAACAATTGAAAAACGAGGAGTTGAGCATACCGTCAAATTGGGACGAAAAGGCCGGGCTATCCTCACGCTGGGAGACCGAGCTCGAGCCTGTTGCAAGTGAAAAAAAGTATGAGTTTGTGTGTTCCGGAGATTTTTGCGGGCTGGAAATGCATTGTGCATACCTGACCGAGACGGCGGCACGGGCTGCTCCCAGGAGACCTGGCGCGCGGCAGGAGCCTGCCAACCCTGCGGTTCGTAGTACGAAGACATGGTCGTTTGAGAGGGAATCTTCGGTGGTCGAACGAGCGGTTCAGGGGGGTGGAAGCGGCGAAGCAGATGATCCGTCCGGTAGAGGCGATCTGTTTGATCCGCCAAAAGAAAAAGTGAGTATGAGTTTCCCAAGTCACCCAGTATGATGGGTCTGCAAGTATATTTCAGGAATGAATCCTCAACGGTTCTCCCCGGATACCAGTTCTTTGAAACTGGGAGAAAAGAAAATGGCCGTGGGTCCGGTGCCGGTGGAATCGGGGCCGGGTTTTTTTTTCTTGCCCGAGTAGGGGGGACAACAACCAATACAACCAAAAAAGCAACTTACAGGAAAACAGGCCTCGTGGAGGGGGAGGATTAAGGATAGACAGGAGAGAGGGGAAAGAGACGAAGAAAATCGGAAAAGGAGATGAGGGTCCAGCCTATTTTGGGGTGGATTAACCGGAGTTTGATGAGATTTTGATTACTGAGAAAAAAAAAGAAAAGAGGGGAACACATGGAGTAGTACAATCCCTCGCTCTTTTACAATTTGCCCCTCAATAATTGATTTACTTTCTCACACATGCAATTATTCAGAATGTACTTGACAGTGACAAGTTGCGCGGCAATTCCCGGCAACGCAGTCTTATTCGCGATTGGGGACTGGGTACACTACATGGGGTCACCGGAGATTGGGGGGCACGGGGCGTGCCTAAGCGTTACTGCGTATTAAACTCTTTCTGTACATCTCTTTTCCAACTCGAACTCTCTGCATACGGAAAAGAGTATTGGAGAGTGAAATATGTAGTTAATACTTGACTTAGATGCCTAAAATAAACATTGTGGGAGTTCTTCCCCGCGTATACATCGTATACATCGGAAGTCATTGGTAACCAAGGTTTGTCCCCACCCAAATCATTTATAACGTATGATTCTGGGTTTCTTTTCTTTCCTGTTCTAGCTCGATCTTCTATAGATCCGTTATCCTTACATGATTAATCTGTGGATAACTAGACAATGACTCAGTTGACAAGGATCCAAGAGAAATGTGCATTGATGACGATATTGCAATGTACACTGCACTCGCCTGCAGCTCGCCAAGTATTCCCGTGACTCTGGCGCTGCCAGCTGCGAGTGGACACGAGGTTTCTCAAACGAGAACACTGCAGCCTTCAGGACGATCTCAACCCAGTGAAGAGCCGACCATTCCATGCAGCAAGATCTAGGATGCCCCATGGGTTGCAAGTACAGATGTAATTCCACAAACCCGCAGAGCCCCTCATCCTATCTCAAGAGAGAGGGGCACAATGCCTTATGTACATCCGAAGTACATTCCCGAGGTCCAATAGCCAGTCACTGTAGTAAGCCAACCGCAAGAGAGAGAAAAACAGAACATCTCCACGGAGGACGGTAGCTACGCTAGTCGCATTCCCGCCTGGAACACCTTCGTTGGCCCGTGCCAGTACACCAACGCATCCTCTCGGTCGATTCAGGAGGGTTAAGTGGGGCCCGGCGAACAGCAACTTATATTCTTCCGCAAGGTCCACCGGCCCCTCCTCGGATTGGAGGCCTGTTTCTGTACAATGTGCCCCTCCTAGTCCCGGGTTGGACGGCCCGGATTAATTCCCATCTGCATGTTATAGACATTTATGTCTCAAGGTGGGGCTAGACTCGGAGTGAATTAACATGGAATGAAACCATTGTATACCAGGTTCACTCCAGTGCTGAATGTTACTTTCCTCTATGATCAAACCCACCGTTTGGAGATAAATAAGGATTTGAAAGAACCATGTAAAATGTTAATCTGGATTTCCCCAGAAACTCTAAACTCTCTCGAGTCTCTGCCTGAGCTGTGTGCTCTCCCCGTGAATTGTAAAGTTTCCAAGTTGAAAGAGCGTAGGAATCGGGGATCCTGAACTGTCCTTTAAACCCTCCGTGTATCACCATGGTGATCATTGCCGATGCATTGACATGCTCCGCGTTACCCTGGAGGCCTTGATCCTGATCAGGCCCATTCGTCATACATAGGCTGGATCAGATTTGAGCTAATCTGGAACTTGGCGGAAAACCTGCTGATAGGATCATAATCTTTTTCTCTTGTTTTGTTTTTTTTTTTTGTTCTTTTCTTTTTACACACTCCTCAAATCACAGACCCAAAGATCGCTGACTCGGTGAACACCCAGATCATATCCATGGATCTGGCACAGACTCAGTTTAAAAAGAAACAAAGAGTGCCTGCCAAGTGACATCTGCAAGATGACGGATTAGAAGACTGGCTAAAGCCCATGGGAAAGGGGATGGATAGTCCACAAGGTTCTTTCACCCGGGTCTGATGGTCCAATAGTAGGATCTGTGCAAAAAAAACAAAAACAAAGAGTGTCTGACACGGGGATAAGCGATAGCTAGATATAAATATACAGTAAGGAGAGAAGTGTAGACTTAGACCTTGGACCAATATAAAGACAAGTAGATGAATTCCACTGGATTAGGTTAAAGTGTATCCCGCACGTGCTGGAACGCGCAAAATCGCGGGGAGTGTGCAGAAGCCGATCAATAAGGGGGAAGGCACTTGATATCAATATCTCCGTTGCCGTACCTGCATGTCAAAGCTCACACTGCGCCAAACCTGTCTTAAAGGGGGAGTGAGTTCAATGATACTCCATCATTTAGCCAATAGGGGGGAAAGTGACTTTTAGGAACAAAGGAGTTAGTGGCTTTCACCGTCATCGCGTAGTGCATCTAGTTAGTGCCTCTAAATTAGGACAGGAGAGGGGTGGGAACAGAAAGGTTTAGCTCAGGAGTTAAAAAAACATAATCACTCGAACGTAGGTACTTCCCAACATTGAAGCAATCTGAAGGTGAAACAGTCTGGGCTTTCCCTATATTAGAATTGGTGGAGTAAAGTTGACTTCCAAGTGCTGGAAGTGCGGTCGGCACGTCTTTACCGCCGACAGGGGCTGACCTCTGATCATCTTCACATCTCTCGAATCGTTGCAACACGCGCCTGCTCTCTCCCCTTTTCTTCCATTCAATCGGAACCCCGGTTGGTTCCTACGAATTCCACCACTTGTATGCTGTTCGCCATACCCGCCCACGTTCTCCCCTATTAATCTCGTCTATAGAGACCTTCGCCGCAAACCCGAGGACCTCACTCCAAAAAGTGACCTCTTCGTCTGTATTATTTGTTTTTTCTTCTAACTCCTTGCTCCTGGTCGAAGCAATTTCCTTTCTCTTCTTGTTGTATTACTTTGATTTCTTTCGTTCGTCCCGCCTTAAGGGAGAAACCAGGCGTGCTCGCCAATCCACAATTTTGTGAACCATTGTTTGAGGACCATTGAAACCTCTCGTCCCGCACCACTTCAAAAGCCAAAACCACTTCTACCCCAAAAGCTGCGAACCCAAAGAGCGACGCGATTTTCTTGCCCACGACAGCGAAGGCGTCTTTGAGACGAATTGTGGACCGTTTTCATTGGGGAGACTTCATTGAGTGGAACCCGGAGGGGCTGTCCTAAGTGTGGTGGGTGTGGAAATCTAAATCTCAGCCGAGTCGCTCGCCGAGTCAACCCAAGAAAAAAACCTCCCCCGTCCACAACCAACTGGTGTTGAAAATTGCTATATGGTCTCTCATATCGATGGGAATAGCAAGTGTTCCCACCAGCCTGGTGACATCCCACCGATAGCATCGGATCAGCCTTCCACCATGGCAGCATGGATTCCGGAGACCGATGCGCCTGACCTTCCAGAACGCCCTGCATTAAATTCTCAGCAATCGAATTCCCTCCCCTCGACCCCTTACCAACATGCGCGCAACCTCTCATTCCACTCCCGGTCGCCGTCCCCCGTCCGCGGAAGCACCTCGCCTCGATCGACCCACTCCGAGTCAACCCATCTTCCTCGAAAACCGCTCGGGGCGTGTAAATATGAAACAGCAATGTCTTTCTTCCGAAGACGAATACCGTATAATCTGGGTACGGATATATTGCCGGAGGAGAAAGAAGGGTTGAAAGAGAAGTTGGAGCCGGAGGAGGAGCAGAAACTGACGACCGACATAATGGACTTGTACGATCGATTACTACCGTCCGCCGAGAGTGATGATCGAAAGCGGCAGCTGGTACAGAAACTGGAGAAGTTATTTAACGACCAATGGCCCGGCCATGAGATCAAGGCCAATGTGTTTGGTTCGTCGGGGAATAAGTTGTGTTCAAGTGACTCGGATGGTACGTTGGCCACTTGGGATGGAATCATGGGTATCAAAAAAGGAGAGCTGGACAGCCAGGCTGACTTGGAACAGTTGACATTTGCATCACAACCAATTTTAAGGAACTGGAACATGTGTGTTTATTAGCGGAGGTTTTGGCGAAGCGTAAGATTGCCCTTGGAGAGAGGCATGGTGAACTACGGGGTTGTTTGCGACTTAGGCTGATCTGACCGGTCTGAACAGATGGGATGCAACGAGTTGTCTGTGTTTCGCATGCGAAAGTCCCGATTGTGAAAATCTGGGATCCGGAGCTAAAACTGGCGTGCGACATGAACGTCAATAATACCCTGGCTTTGGAGAACACTCGCATGATTCGGACATATGTTGATGTTGACGAAAGGGTACGACCATTGGCGATGAGCGTCAAGTACTGGACAAAACGTCGAACCTTGAACGATGCGGCCTTGGGAGGCACATTAAGCTCCTATACCTGGATCTGCTTGATTATCAACTTTCTGCAGACCAGGAACCCGCCGATTTTGCCCAGTCTCCAAGCACGCCCTCACAAGAAAAAAGTAACGCCCGATGGTTTAGTCTGTTCTTTTGACGATGATATGAAGGGATTGAACGGCTTCGGACGGAAAAATAAGCAATCAGTGGGAGAGTTGTTCTTTGAATTTTTCCGGTATTACGGGCATATGATCAACTATGAGCAGAACGCCATCTCCGTGCGCGAAGGTACTTTGATCTCAAAAGAGGGTAAGGGCTGGCACTTACTTATGAACAACCGCCTCTGCGTGGAAGAACCGTTCAGCACTTCTCGGAACCTGGGCAACACGGCCGACGACACGTCATTTCGGGGTCTCCATTTGGAACTGAGGAGGGCCTTCAAGTTCGCTGCAAAGGGTGATTTGGAAGGATGTTGTGAGCAGTACGAATTCCCCAAAGAAGAAGAGCGGACTTGGGAGCGACCTCCGCCTCAACCAAGACCGATCATCGCTCCCGCGCCAGCCCGTGGGGGTCGCGGAGGCGGCCGTGGAGGCGGTCGGTACGCCAATCAAACCTACCGAGGAGGAGGATTTGCTGGTGGTCGTCGGACGTCTAACACAGGGAACAAGGGCAATAGTACCTTCAGGCAGCCGAGTACGACGAATGCAAACGACTTGTCTTTGCAGGCCCAGCAGCAGGCCCAGTTTCTGTTGCATGACCAGCTCTATCAGCAGATCCAGCTTCTGCAGGCACAAGAGCAAGAATTGAGAATGCAGCTACATAACCAGGCACTGATCACTGGGCGCCCTCCACCGGTGTTCCTCCAATCACCGTTCATCCGATTCCCAGTACCTCAGGAATTCTCTGGGGATGAGGACTCGCGGTCAAGATCTGGAACGGTAAATCATCCGCCGCTGACTCCCTCACACCGGCCACATCAACCCTTCTTCGCTCCAACCTATGCTTCCGTCAGTGCCTCTGGCACACAGGGAAGTTCTACGAATCCTTCATCGCCTTCTATTACTTCCGCTGTTCCTGATCTTCGCCGGAGTCCTCGAAGATCATCTGCTGCAAGCGGGTCAGCGAAAGGATCGGGATCTCTTCGAGCGCAGTCGCAACCTGCTCGACCTCAAGAATCCCCGTCCTCGCAGACCTTTCCGTCTCTTTACACGATTCCTCAGCTTTTGGACACATCCCTGGGCTCCAAGCAACGCCCAGCTCCTGAGTCATCAGAGGGCGGAGAGGGCAGCAGTGATGAAAATACGATGGCGCCGAACAGCCTCCCCAGCAATGAGTCTCGCTCTGGCTCGGTGGATGAAAATCGGCCACAAGATCTCATGGGTTACCTCGTCTCCCCTCAACAATTGCAGCTCTATCAACAGAACTCAATGTTGCCGCAATTGACTTCGTCTGTGGGTTTAGCGCTGCCAAATGGCTATACGTCTTACCTTCCCATTCAGCAACAGGACTATAAATCTGGCGTCTTTTCGTCTGATGGTTCGGCACGGTCCGACCAAACTCCTACGATGACTTCCAGATCGTCAGTTTCCCAGCCACCGCCACAATCGGCTTCGCGTCCGGCACCCGCCGACCGTGGTCCTCTGATTGTGGATGGTTCGGTACCACCCAGTGAACATCGCGCGCCGTCGTATACAAATGATTTGATAGACCCGTATACTGCCGTGAGCCACTATACCTCCACATCAGACGATCATAATATCAACACGCCCGCCAGCTTTTCTGATTCCCTATCTCAGGATTTTCAGGATCCGGGTCCTTTCGAATTGGAGCCGCCATCGAATTTCACTCGCCCTTCGCAGTTCGAGTCCCAGCAAATGATCAACGTCAACGGGAATAGCGAATCACAATCAGAGAAGACGAATGGTCAGCCCGAGCTTCTTGCTAGTCGACTACAAAATTACCACTTGTCCAACGCGGAAAAGCTTGCTCAGACGCACGCTTCTAACAAGGCCAATTTCAACAAATCGAACTCAGCGCATCAGGTAGCCAAAGAAACATCTCAGCCCAAGAGCTTGGGCTCATCAAACGACAAAGCCGCCAATGGCTCACATTCAAATGAGCCACGGCGGCAAACGTCAAAGCGGCGACCAAATGGTGGGGAAGCTTCTGAAAAGGCCAATGGTGTGAATCACAATCACAACCATCACCATGGCCATAGCCATAAGCCCAAAGCCAAGGGACGACACGATGGGTCACACAACCACTCGTCCAATGCCCCGAATGAGTCCAAGGACAGGCATATTGATCATCCACCTAAGAAAGCAGGCGGAGCCACCAATGGTGCAGCCGAGAACAACCATGGCGGATGGCAGACGACGAAGAAAAAGCACCGCAGGAATCCCAAATCATCCGCTGAGTCTCGAAACGGTGTCCACAATGGTCCTGAGCCGATTCCTGCAGATGAGTCCATGCGAAAAGGCGGATGAGTCTTCAATATATACATCGACACTCTCCCCGTGGGTGTTTGTCGTCAAGACGACTTCGGATGTGGAGTCAAATTTTTCGTCAAAATCAAATCAAAAGCGCACAATCTGAACAAGTTTCAATTAGTGGGAGACGCAGCAGACAAAACCTTGTTTGTATTTTCCATCGGAGTCATATCCACCTGGGAAGGTTCTTCAGTTCTCTTCCTCTGTTATTATTAAAACGCTATCATTACGCCAAAGAAAAAGAAAACCCAGAAACGAAACCCACCCTCTAAAGCAGTCAATCTGTGCAGACCCTGAAACTGACTTTAAACGACGTCCCTCTGTCCTGACTGAATGTTCCTTTTTTTCCCTTCAAAGTTTCATTTCATCCATTTTCCGGTGTCAAGGCGGTACGCACGGCGGCTTGGGGCGGCATATGCGAATTGCATCATATTATCATTATCATTCATGATATGTCATTATCCATCATTGTCATCGCCTTTGGGGAAACCATTGGCCTGTTTTGCGCTTGTTTCCTGGTATGTGTGTTCATTTCCATCTCATCATCTTCTAGCAAAACCGACACGAAATCTGTTTCTCATTGCGAAGTTGTTTGGAGTTTTCTTGTGTTGAATGGCTAGACCCGGTTTTTTTCTTGTCCTTTTCCTTCAACCTCAACTTCCTCTTCACTTGCCTGTGACTGAGATTATTATGGTGCCATCATTTCGGCTTTGTACAAAAGAGAATAACGTTGTCAACGAATAAATAAAAAAACATTCGAAAAGGGACTTCTTTGTTGCTTTCTTAGATAGTGCGGATTCGAGGATGTCCATATATGGAGTGTTCAGTGCTTATTGAAGCTTCAAGAGACAGGTCAAACTCAATACTTAGTAGGTCGGTGAATGGAAGGTAGACAGAACATTAGAAACAAGACTCTTGAATGTGGATTGATTGCCTTTCATGTACCTGTTTGGTCGCCTTTATGGCGCCATCGATATCATCGGTGCCGTCATGGTTCTGGGGTTGTACATGCAGCCTTGAGGTATGTATGACCGTTGATACAAGCTCTATCTTGCCTATGATACCAGCCCGAGGTTCATGTATTCCTTATCTTTGAAGGTCACACTAGTCATTCTTCCCCGGAGCGTATATACGAGAGTTCAGTTATCATCTTCGAGATATAGTGGCATTGCTCATCTAGGCGAGAAATAATGGGACAAAATATAGTACATCAGTGACACAGCTGCGAGAAATCTCGGACAGTATCTTTTTCTTTTCACATGACCGAGAACAAGTAAGAAAAATGGGAGAGGTGTAATTAAATCACATAGAGGTTGTATAGGCTCCAAGAAGTGAGACTGATATTAAGACAGTATACCCGCCGCCGAGAAATCAGTCGGAAAAGGCAATAAAAACGATATGTTCATAAGGGTATGGCATGGGAGCTTGGACATCTTTTCACGTGGATGCAGATGCAGGGTCAACAAAAGAGCTCGGCGAGGATGTATGGAACGATCACGACGCAGGCTGTCCAGAAGACCATTATGGATTTGAAGGGGAACAGGAGTAGTTGGGTCACCGGGGTTTCGCGGAAAAGGACCCAGATGGAGAGGAAGGCGACAGTGAAGAAGTGGGTGACGAGGACGAGGGGTTGCTTTAGAAGACCTGCAAGCATCAGAACCGGCTGGTCCACAGGTCCGATCTGGAAATAGCGGAAGCAGCCACGCTGCAGAGCCTGGAGGTTCACATCATCGGCAGCAAACAACATATACAGAGCTTGAGCGAGAATGTTGATGACGGTCGAGGACTTCTTCCTCAACCAGTGGAAGCGAGAGAGCTGTTTCAAGACGAGCTCTGTGTCTTCGAAACTCGGTACGACTTCGGGACTGAGCAAGTCACGGATGAAGCATACGTCGTTCAATGCCACGGTCATTCCACCACCTGTCAGAGGGTGTCGCATGTTCAGCGCATCACCTAGGATTATCAAGCCGGGTGTTTTGTTCGTGGAGGCAGGCAGGAACGAGTTCGGCATGGACCGTAACTTGTCCTTCTCCAATGCCGCTAAGAACGAGGGCTGCACATCCTTCGGAAGAGAAGGCAAGATTGTGTTCCGCAGGTAGCCCTTCACACCACCATTTTTCACCGACGCTGGGGGAAAGTTATCCGGGATATCGATCAGAATTCGGGTCTCGTGGGTGCCGATCTGGTACATGAGGACAGGCGGGCTTTCGCTGAGGAGGACATGGCCGTAGCAGGGTGAGGGGAGAGGAGCGTCAATCATTTCCAGGCCATAGAACTTAGAGCGGCGCTTCGGGGTATGTTGGTGGTGGCCCTTGCGGAATTTCGAATCGTATCCGTCGGCGATCACGGTTTGCTGGGCGAAGTAGCAATCCTTCAAATCCTTGGTCACACACTCGACACCGAGAACCTGCGGTGATTGCGTCGAAGTCACCAGTCCTGTCGCCTTCGTCTCGACCACCGTTACGTTCGGACAGGCAAGCGCAGCCTGGCGCAGTTTCATGACGAAGCGGCCATGGTGGAAAGCCCGGCCCCGAGGCTCAGGCTCAGAGGGAGCCTCCCTGGGGTAATTGAGACAGACTGGCTCTCCGTAGTATGCAATATGATATCCTTTCACAAGAATTGCGTCGATATCCTCTAGACACTCCAGCAGACCCAGTTTTTCCAGTGCCTGCACGCCACCGGGTTGGAGCAGTTCGCCGACAATGCGATCAGGTTCTTTCATGGACGCCTCCAATAGGATCACACTTCGACCTTGTCTTCCTAGTGCGACTGCGAGGGCACAGCCCAGAATTCCGGCACCGACGATCACTACGTCGGCCTCGTGGTGTTCGAGGCGGCGGCGGGCAGCCTGGGATTGTACGGCATGGCCGTTGAGTTCGGAGGTCATGATGGGAATAAGATTCAATCAGAGAAATGGCGGCCGTGGCCGCAGTGGCATAATTGAAGGGTTTTAAAGCGTGGGAAAAGTAACTTGGGTGGGCTGATTCATTTGAAAAAGGTTGGGAAAGGGGGCATGGCATGACATGTGAAAGGCCCAAGCTCTCCGCCTTTGGTGATAAACTATACGAAGTAGATCTGAGTATCATCCAATCTTCCACCAAAGACAATCTGTGTTCAATTTTTTTTTCATTTAGTTAATAATGAAGTATACTAAGGACAGTCACTTGACTTACATATAAGCATAAACACGTGGACCTAAAGCCTATCTGCTGGTCAGATTTTGCGATTCTGGACAGCCTGCATAGACATGTTCTTGGATAAAGAAACCGATAATTGGCCTGATTTGCAAGGCATCAGTAGACAGTTATCTTATTGGCACTGAAAGTAAACCACACAGCTAATCAGACTACAGGATGAAGTATAGTCTAGACTATCTACCTTGGAATTAGCCAATGTACAAGATGTTTAGACATGGCTACCTACCTTGCCCAAGTGGTAGGTATGCGGTCTAGCATGAGTCTTACCATCTCCATTAACAGTTCATTTCCCATCGACCCGGATCGTATCCTTCAAGACCAGTCTGAGCATGGTGGCATCCGCTATTTTGGCGACTTTAGACGATAATTGCCTCTGCTCCCAGAGGTGCTTACTCTCGCTAGACAGATGGGAAAATACCTCCGGGGCATTGGGTACGAGCTCTTTCTTCGGTACAAACAGACTTGATTGTCCTGGACTTGGAAAGGCAATGGAGCCTTCGGGGCGATCTCTGTCCACGCATGATTGAGTACTGCAGGGATCTAGTGGGCCCATGGCCGTCTGCTTTTCCATTTTCAGACTGCCGATGATGGTATTTCTCGATTTGAAGATGACCGAAGGAATATATATCCGCGCTACTTCGGTCGAGTTTAAAAATGCCTACCCGAACTACCCCAGTACCTACTCGTGCATCCTAGCCTGCGGGGCATAAAAAATTACTAATCAGATAAAAGATTCAAAAGCCAGACGTAATCTCGAGCTTGTATCCATTCAAGGTAGAATAGGGCAAGATATGGCAGAATACAAGTTACTGTTGACGGGAGCAACCGGCTTCATGTATGTGGATGCAATGAGAAGCACCTGAGAGCAAAGCTCCCTAACAAGGAAGACATATAGTGGCGGAATTGTACTCCAACACCTGATCAAAACTACAGCCGCCAAATCCTGGTCACTTTCCTTATCCGCAGTGGTGCGTCGGTCCGATCAAGCGGATCTTCTCAACGGCAAAGGCGTACACACAATTCTTGTATCTGGCCTCGACGATACAGAAGCCCTGGAAAAAGCTGCAATTGAACATGACATTGTCGTAAACGTCGCGTTAGGACGCCATTAAGAGGGCTCCAAATCACTGATCCGCGGACTGGCTAGAAGGCGAGAACAAAAGGGAACCGACGTCCACTTCATCCATGTATCTTCAATCCCACCCCTTCCGAATGGAAAAGATGGATATTACTTCTCGAATGCAGGAGATGCTAGTTGGCTTGAAGTGACTGCTTTGATCGGGAAGGTGGGATTCGAACTTGGAGCTTTGGACACACCTGAACCCAGATCGATTAGTCTTGAGGTTGCTGCTGAGAAAATCGGTGAAGGGGATGTGGGTTTCACTAGAAACAAGCTTTGCTTCTAAGTAGTACTTTGTCCCCTGACGAGATGGTTGGTTTCGTTCATTGATTATTACAGCACGAGTACTCGTCCTGAAAAGAGCTTGGGGTTGGGTTGGAAGCCTCTGAAGACTCAAAGGGATTGGGAGGGGTCGATCAGGGAGTCATTTGAGGCGATTGTCCGTGGGGATCATTGATCCTAAGAGCACAAAAAGCCCAACAATAGAACCAACAATAGAACAAGTAAGAAGGTACATTGTTGGATTGAAATGTGAGAAACTTGAATTTAGACTTTTCTTGCAGTCAGCTTTGTAGTAGCGATGCGAATGCTCAAACTCATAATATCAATCCTGCTTTTCGGAACATCTCAAAACTTTCCAGCCATGCCTGAACATGGTCTCTATCACCTTCGAATCCTGTTCCCCTAAGCTTCTCCAGACTGAGCTGCCGGTCGAAAGTCAACCAATAGCCCACACTATCAAGCTGCCGCCTACCAGCACCGACGCCTCCACTAATAGCATTCGCACGCCCAAGCTCAGAGAATTGTTCTTTATGCTCAGCAAAATACTCACCCGGCGTGAGGAACCTAGTGGCCTCGGGCAGCTCGCCCGCCTTCAACGTATTGTCAAGGGCTTGTGAGTCCTCGACGGGTCCCACACCTACCAGACCAAACCAATTTGCCAGTCGAGGCCATATCTCACCATACTTGCAAGCAGTCTGGCTATCGGCAACATTGAACAACTGACCTCCGCCACAGGTCGCAGGGTGTAACGAGGCATATATCATGAACCGGGCAAGTGTGCTGCTGGATACTGGAGAGAACAGCGAGCTTGCACTGGCCACATTACCAGGAAATGGTACCTGCACAGCGGTTGTCCTGGGTCCTGATGTTTCAGGTCCAATGCCATGGTTGTAAGCCCATAGCGATAGATACTGGGCCCAATGTAATGCTAAACTGAACTGGGAACCGTTGGGAGTGAATCCAATCTTGATGATGTTAGTTATGCTCAGTAGCATGTAAGAAAGACTTACGATTGCGTCTGGACAGACTTCACACCATGTCCAATTCTTGCCCTTGCTCTTTGCATCAAGGAGCTTGCGGTATGCTGTGTATACAACTGTATTTGCGATTTCGATCGGAAGCTTCTTCGCCATGTCCTCCGTTAAAGGAGGAGTAAATGTGCCCCCTGGAGTGTATATACCATACCCCTGATATTTTTAGTATGCAAATATCACACGCTCGATGGATCTCACTAACCCGTGTCCCGCCAGTGAACGCCACGAATCGCAAGTTGGGGCTAATCAAGCCGTGAGCGTCAATGACATTCTTGAACATGCGCAGATTGGTGGCAAATTCCTCAGTATCGTCCTCGACCGCAGTAAAAACTGTGATGGTAAGTTTATCTATCATTGTATATTAAGTGGAGAATGACCTACCCAAGTAATATATATGGGTAATACTTTCAACATCTCTCACTGCGCGTTTCAGTGTCTCTGCCAATGTAGGCCCATCACCGTGACGAAGGTCGATGCCCGAGACAAGCTGCAGATCTGGTCTATTCGAGCCTGGCTCTGGCCAGTGAGACTCAGAGAGGATAATTGGGCGGTTTGTGATGGCGGTTACTTTATAAAAAGTGCCAGCACTAGGGTAGGGACTCAAAAGTTGATTTACCAGAGCCCAACCAATTAGGCCAGACGCGCCAAAGACGATGGCATGATTTGACTCACCCATCTTGCTGGCAAGCGTTGATGAATTGGAGGATTTCCATTGCCCAGGTGAGGGCGAATTATTGCCTTTTAAATTCGCATGATCTACTATTTGGAATGAGAGGGTTCATGTTTATGATCAACTTTATCTATAAGTTATATGTATCACTATGAGTCATCATGAATCATTCCAGGTGCATATCCAATGAGGCCCCAATATATTATGGCTGCGTTTACTTATTGTGAACGCGCACAGTTCGGAGTCCCTACTGTCTGGCAGTTAGCTAGCTGTTCTTGCCTTGAGGCGAGGGCGAGAAGGCTTATAAGGAAAGCGATTGAATTTCTTGGCTCAAAAGATATTTTCGAACACAACCCCATGCAAATTGATGGTCCCACACATAATTAAGTGGAACATGAGTCTATTGCGGTCGAGTGACACTATGATTCAAGGTCTGGGTTATTGATATTGGTTGGCTAGTGGATGGGTGCAGAGTATTGATAGGAAGGGTACAGTGGGTAAGATGGGAAGGCCAAAGGTAGTGACATTGATTCTTTCTTGGTTAAGGCGGAACACGAGGGAACACGAATCTACGCAATAAGACCACAGAAACGTAATTGCAAGTGTTTCAATCATCTTTGGATTGAATGTACAGTGTTGATGATATTATAATACAAAAAGAATGTTTACAGCGATATCGACATCGGTTTCCCTTTGGCACATCTGGGATCTGGTTGGGGTTGTACAGGGTATTCTGGATGCTCCGGTTGTCGGCGGTTGGATTGCACCACCATACGCTCACTCCACCAATAGTCCAGCTCTCTCTTGGTGAACTTCTTTCGGTTAATGACATATTCAAACTCCATCTCTTCGTCGAATGCCTGAATTGCCTCTTCAATCGTTGTAGACCTGGGCAGCTCTTGGCTTTTACCCGGCGGCTTGCAAAGCTGAGCCCGGGATTGCCTCTTCAGCTCGGGATCGGTAGTGAACTCCATCCAGTACTGGCTTCCGTCATGTTTCTGTTTCAAAACGGAAACAAGTCCTCGCAGTGTCTCCACGGCGGGCGGAGAAAATCTCAATTCCCAAACAGACGTCAAGCGTTCAACTTCGACGACAAAGTCGCGACGAACTGGCTCACGGCGAGCAAGCAGTGACATTATGCACCACCATACGCCGCGGACGTTGTTGGCATATGTGAAGGCACGAAGAAACATCTTCAGCTGGACTTGATCGAAGCCGTAAGTCTTGCGCCATTTTGACATGTAGACGGCTTCGAGGATGTTCACGGCGGCGAGAGGACGGCGAAGCGCAATCATGCGGCGAGCAACAGCAGCGGAGCAATGATGCTTGACTGTTAATCTTTCATTTTGGGCACAGACTTCGTAGAATTCAAATAGTGCCAGTTTGATCAAGATGCTTTCGCTCACCATACCGCGGTCCAGCTGCATGACCTTTTGAAAAAAGATAGGGGTGAAACGCGGTGTGCGCTCGGTATATTGGGGTGATGGCTCTTTGGTAAACTCTGTCCAGTGCTTCTTGATTATGTTTTGGGTATCTTCAAGACTGCTCCTGCCTCCGTGGAGGAGAGTCGCGATGGCGAGAAGCTGGATGTGAAGCGGCTTGGGGGTGAAGCCCCTCTCGACACCTTGATGGAAGAGGTCTTGTACCTCGAGGAACTTGCCAACGTGGATATAATGCTCCATTCGCTTGTGCATCGGAACATATAAATTGACAGAACTCTTAGAAAGAGTTTTGATAATCTGAGATTCCGTCTGCTTGGCTTGATCACCAATTGGGGTCATTTTGTCTTTGTCGATGTTATAGTATTCGGCTCCAACGCCCATGATACGCCGGGACATTGACACCATCCCATATTGCTTCTTCGCCGACTGGAGCATCTTCCAAAATCCCACTGGAGTATTTTGCATAGCCAGACGACGTGCTTCCAAGATTCTCATGGTTGCATCGTGGTCGATTCCAGTCTTCCATTGGCGTTCCTCGGCCAGGAGAGTAAACTGTGTCAGAATCTCGGGGTCGCATCGTTCGACTAATCCTTCGATGCAGTGCCGGTGCAGAACTTTATCGGGCTGGATGTTAAACTCAACAATACACTTTTCAAGGAAATTCCAGATTTCAGATCCAGAGTGAGAGGGCCAAAACTCCAGCCAGAGCCGGTCGAAGACCTGGCAGAAGTTCTGCTTCTGCTTTGTGAAACCAAGCTCATGCATCTCACGCATTCCGCTGAGGACACCAACCCAGTCGCATTGCAAGGCTTTGCCGTACAACAAAAGACCGAGAGTACGGCAGCCGGGCTTGGCGCCGTGCTTTGTTTCCATGTCACGAATTATGGCTTCTGCATCCTCATATTGACCTGCATCAACATACGCCTTGACCAGCGCATTAAACACCTTTTCCGTTGGATTTCGCTCCAGCTCTGCAAGACTGCCCAAAATCTTTCGGAATTCCTTGCTGACCAGTTCAACGTTGTGGGTCTTTCTCCAAAGGCCATCAAGATATGCTCCGCAAAGGCCACCGCTCTGGTCATGTTTGATATTGGAGTAAAAAAGCCACTTGGCAGCACTCAACCGGTTGGATTCAATAAGACACCGAAGAGTGACTTCCAACAAATATATCGGAACAGTGAACTTGAACCGATATTTATCATATACCACGGCCGCAGATTCGACATGACCTGCCTTAGCAAGCATATGTATCATGGTAGCCCACAGGTTTGTGTCCACAATCGACACCCTTTCGAGGCGATTGAAAATAGATCGAGCAATAAACACATTGCCTTGCAAACAATTCGCTGTGTAGACCTCATAGCCAAGAGCTCGCCTGTTCCATGAGATTACTTCAGTAGAGGAAACCCCCTTCAGATATAGGGTGGCAGCATCCACCGCCCGTCGTTCCACCAGCCTATCTTTTATTGATTCTTCCAAAGTACGAAAACCTTTCGCGCGCCGAGCCTCATCCTCTTCAAGCTCTCTGGCCATAGCAATTTGATTTTGGTGACTGTTTTCTGGATCCTCAAATTCTGTTGCGAGGGTCTTAAGCGAAGTGGGACGAATTGCCAGTGTAGGCCGAAGGTTCCGAGTTGGTCGAGTCGTAGGGGGGTAGACTGGTGTCGATATTTTGTTCCAGGGTGCTCTGGTCAACGTCAAGCGGGAATTCCTCGCTCTGGCTGTGCGGTGAGGGCTTATGCTTCAGAGAATCCAAACCTAGAAACTCACCAGCTTCTGCCGCATCCATCATAAGCGCAAGACGCCTGGCAGAAGCTGTGGCATCGTAGTTCGGTGCCGAGGTCCGGATCGTACGTTTGTTCTCAATGATCTGCTCAGCCACGCGAATCCGTCGGTGGACATCGTAAGTGATGGCTGCAACGGTGCAAAAAGTTCCCACGGAGCCAGCGTAGGCCAATTGGCGGAGGACGCGGAGGGCATTGCGTGAAGGGACGGCCGGCGTCGAATTGGCGGCTTTGGGGAACATGGTGTGCGCTGGCCAGTGCGCGCTGGATTCACCAGCGGTGCATCAATGGCTGCGGCGATAGAGGATGAACAGGAGGAGACTGTTCACAAAATCCTCTTTCTAGGTCACCGCGTTCAAAGCGAGGCTTAGGTTGTGCCAGAAGGCGATTGATGTTGGGGAGGATTAAAGGGTAAACTCGGGCAACTTTTTCGGAAACTCGAAAAAGCTGCGCGATTGTGCCGTTCCGCCCGCCGGACTGTTGATCGGATCGGCTGATGCTACTTTGATCTTACGATCATTGACACTCATCGAAGACTAATTAAACATTCAATAACAAATACTATATAAAAGCGAGCTCTTCAATACTTCTACTGACAATGAATTTGCAGATATATATACCTCCAGGGTAAATTTGATCTAATTATCTTAAAAGCAATTGATCCTCCTCGCCTTCTCCATCTTCGTTAGCTTCAACTGCTATGTCAAATTCAGGCTCATCATCAAGGGTGACTGGGAACAGAAAAAGTTAGCACGCAATCTAAAACAGTGTCAAAAGCAACATACCATGTGGTCGAAGGAACAAGCTCAAGAATCCTGCAGCTCCAAAAACAGATGCAAGAAGCATAAAAACCGTTTGAGGATATGACCCAACAGTCAAACTATAGATCAAATTGAAGATGGTAGGTGCAACCACCCGAGCAAGAGCATGCAAGAGCCCTGTTGCGCCAAGCAGCTGACCAACGCGGTCATGTGGTACATGCTTAGTGAGCGCTGACTGAATTGTTGGGGGTCCCATTCCACCAAGACAAGTGACAATACCCGAAGCAAGCCAAGTAGTGCCTGTCTTCGATAGAGTATAACCAATGTAACCAAGAATATCGAAGAGAACAGATATCCGAATGATCATGACGTCGAGCATGTCGGATCCGCGAATCTTGCCGTCATTAGGGGTCGGCGTACGGAAAAGCCAGGAAACGAGAGGCAAGGTTAGGAATAGGTTGGCAGTGCGCAGACCATTGACTACCGCAATGTACAGACTCATTTCCACGTTCCCCCAGTCAAACATATACTCAGAATAAATAATGATGACCTGCACCGTGCCCATGGCGACGCCGAATAAAGCCACGTCCATCACGGCCAGCATGAGGATATTGCGGCGTAAAGCTGGGCTGGCACCTTTCCGGTTGGCAAATAGAGCACTCGGTCGTCCAACGGCAGGCCAAAGGATTTTTAGAGGAGCGACGAGGTTCATCGGGTTGAGGGCCTTCCACGAATACCATTTTGGTTCATCGTCTGTCGGCTTGACGCGGTGCTTAGCACGAGCCACGAGTTGGAGTTCCTTAGATAGGGATTCGGGAACAACGAAAAGAACAGCCAAGGAAAAGAAGACGTGCAATAAAAAGCCCGTGTAAAATACGATCAACGAGCTCCCGGTCTTACTGATGATGAGTGCTGCACCGCTCGGCCCAGCTGCCACGCCCAAGAACAGTGCAGCGTGGAATAAACCAAATGCCATACTCCGTCGATCGGGAGTTGTGCAATCAGTTGCGTAAGAATGAAGCACCACCTGGGCACCAGTGATAGAGCCACCCAGTCCGTCCACCAGCGCTCCAAACAGAAACAGATAAACGGAGAGAGATTCGGGCCACGTTCCCAGAAAACAAGTGATTAGTTCACTGAGCGCAGCACATGTCCCGGACAGAGCAATTAATTTAGTTCGGCCATAGGCATCTGATAAGCGGCCGAGCCGGGGACTGACCAGGGCTGCGACAAGGCCAGAAATGAGGTTGATGTATAACTGCAGCTGGGCGACCTTGGACTGAACTTCGGGGATTTTACATTGGGGATTGTCTCCGGATACAATCACCGGGAGGTATGTAAAATTAGGGTCTTTAACACTCCTTTCGTAGAGATAGTCGCGGCATACTAAATCCCTCATTAGAGTAACCTTGGGCACAGCCAAGCCACCAAATCCAATGGTGAAGACCAGTGCAAATGGAAGTAGCCAGTAAATCTGTTATTAAGACAATGCGTCAGACCAAAGAGGATCAAATGGAACATTTCATCGTGTGCCTGTGGCACTCACACTCGGTCTTCTCCATCGCGGGCGTGTGTCGGCGTCGCGAAGCTGCTGTACATCCTCTGGCCATTCATCATCCACGTCATTGTTGACCAGCAGGGGCTCATGGTGCACGCTCAAGATTGTGCCATCTGCAGTGCGACGTGTCTCTTGAACCAAATTCTCAGTAGCGTGTTGCACATCCAGGGCGGGTTCGCCCGCGAAGAGCTCCTCGTTCTCCATTATGGCGATGAGTCCCTTATAGGATGCAGATTGGGATTCTATCGGCGCATGCTAATGAAAGGATAATTCCAGATGATTGACGCGCAATGGTTCCAAATTTGGGACCGAACAGGGAATGAGGGGATAACAGGGTTTCATGCGTCAGCGTTTTTGTCTTATCAATCAAGCTTGGAAATGCGCCCGATAGGAATTTGTGGATGGATCCACATCCGAGGCACTATATACTAATATCCGGAGCTTCGGTGTTCTACTCTTAAATCCGACAAAACATTAGATAGTGATCCTAGTATAATAACTTGGTACTCACGAAAGTAATTTAAAGTCCTGAGAATCTGTCTCGGTTTCAAATTCCAAAAACCACAAAATTTTAATTTATACAAGGTCCTGAAACGTGGCCAAATTAACTCCTCAACCCCCACCCTCCCAACACTATAGTTACATGCAAAAAAGCCGTGTATAATATAAGATAAAAAGATAAAGAGAAGGTCAGGCGCGCATCTCACACAACAAGCGAGGAGAGCTCTTTGCCGGCGAAGAATTTCTTCTGCTCGAGGCATCGCTCACTGCGACAGCCCTGGCAGCGCAGGGTCATCTGGGCAGAACATGGCTCGTTCTTCTGCAAATGCGCATGCGCGATATCGGCCAGACCTTGGATGAATGTCGGGTTGCCATTCAAACTCTCTGCGCGCTTGACACCAGGACTGTTGGCTTCCTCCATAACCTCCAGATCCAACTCGTACAAGGTCTCAATATGATCACTGGTGAAAGCGATGGGCACCAGAATCAAGTCGGACTGTCCACGCTTGACATAGTTCATCACTGTATCTGACGTCTGTGCGCCAAGCCAGGCAGAGGGGCCCACCTGGGACTGCCAGCACAGGCGGTAGGGGTTGCTAAACTTGAGTCGCTGCATCACAGCGTGAACGGTCGCGGCAACTTCCGAGGGGTAAGGATCACCTATAGAGAGAGAAAGAGATGATTAGACAAAGCTCCACATATCAGCATGAATACAGAACTTACCTCGGTTCACAACACTCATGGGCAAACTGTGCGCAGAGAAGAGCAGCACCACCTTATCCCGCTTGTCTTCCGGATAAGTCTTCAGCTGGGCCTCGATGTTTTGCGCAAACGCCTCAACGAGACCAGGGTGAGTGGGCCACCGGTCGATGACACTCCAGTTGATCGCGCCAGTGGCGTCCACGTCTCCATTGGCACGCTTGCCTTCCAGGCGATTCTGCCACTTCCACAGCTCGTTCAGTGAGCTGCCAGTGGTGGAGCAAGAGTATTGCGGATATTGCGTGAAAGCTACTGCACGACCCCCCTTGCCATTGCCAAATCCATCTTCAAATAACTGGTTGTACATCTCCTCCGTCAAGGGAGCAGCGTAGCGAAAGGCTACGTAGGGCTTATGAGGCGCGGTCTCCGGCGAAATCTTATCCAATATGTTACACATCTCCGCACATTGATATTCCGACCATTTGCGAATTGGCGAGCCTCCGCCGATATCTGCGTATTGCTTCTGGATCTTGGGGGTTCGCCGGCGGGCAAGAAGAGGTCCGATATATGATTGCAGACGTCCCAGGGGGATCAAATCGCCATCAGACTGTAGTGAAGAGAAGAAGTCATGGTCAGAACGAATACAATGCCTGAAGAGCCACCGTAGAGCCACGGGAAACTTACAAATAGCCTGCTCAAAAAGTCCTCCACCTGATCGGTTGTTGATGGTCCACCCATGTTCATAAACACCATCGCAGTTGGTCCCTTGGAGCCCGTGGCATCCTGCGTGACGGGTGGTACTGCTGTGGCGAGGCCGCATCGCTGGTCTCTGCTATAGCCCACAAAGCCTCGGGTGGCTGAGCGGAGGGCTGGGGTAGCAGCATTGCTCCATAACCGACATGGAGCTGCAATGCTGCGGAACGCCATGATTAATAAGGAGTTAGAATTGATTCAGAAAGACCAAAGAAAGCTTGAATTAAAACTGGACACTGTCCAAAATGCAATGCAACCCAGGGAGAGAGGTGGGCAGGGGCAAATTCGATCGAGATCACAAATCACAAGATTCCAGATCGCCGGAAAGCTTGCGGCCCGCGGCCAATTTGTTGGCAAAGGCTGGGACCCTCAACCAATGAACGCACGCTGGGAGTCAGCAGTATGGGTCACATGACCTTCGCGTCTCCCCGCGTCAAACATGTCAAACACGTTAATTCGGCGCGTCTCAAGGCAACAATGACGCCACTGCCTGGTCTATAAAGCTTCCCTCGGTACTCTTGTCATCTTCTCATACCCACCCCCTGCCCCGAACTTGATCGCTAGTGATGGCAGACGACAATAACGCCCGTGATGAGGAGCCATTTGAAGAGGAGGAAGTGGATGAAACCGTGAGTAGCAATGATACAGCTATATTCGAATGTAGCCAACCCTGATCATATTTTGATCTGTGATGTTAGAGCTTCCGAGCAGTCAAAGATGCAGTTCTCTTCGCCATCGACATCAGCAGTTCGATGCTGACGCCCCGTGCCTCATCCAGTGCCAAAAAATCTGGCGAAGAGTCCCCAGCATCTGCGGCGCTTAAGTGCGCATATCATCTAATGCAGCAGCGCATCATATCGAATCCTAGCGATATGATGGGTGTTCTCCTCTATGGAACCCAGTCATCCAAATTCTACGATGAAGATGGAGAGGGGGGCGGCGACCTCTCGTACCCTCACTGTTATCTCTTTACCGACCTCGACATTCCGTCCGCCCAGGAAGTAAAGGAGCTCAGAGCTCTTGTAGAGAATGAAGAGGAGGCCCAGAAGATCCTACAGCCCTCGAAAGAACCGGTCTCCATGGCCAATGTTTTGTTCTGTGCCAATCAGATCTTCACCTCCAAAGCTCCAAACTTCCTCTCGCGGCGATTGTTCATCATTACCGATAATGATAACCCTCATGCAGAGAGCAAGTCGCTTCGATCGGCATCTACAGTGCGTGCAAGGGATCTGTATGACTTGGGTGTCACAATTGAGCTCTTTCCAATTTCCCGAGTTGATCATGAATTTGACACTTCGAAATTTTATGATGTAGGTTCCTGGCCATTGATCAAGAACAGCACAGAACTGATAAGCAAAGGACATCATTTACAAAACGTCCCCCAGTGATGGCGAGGCCCCAGCCTATCTCCAGCCAGATACAAGCACATCAACTGCGCAGGGAGACGGAATTACGTTGCTCAACTCTCTGCTTTCGAGTATTAACTCTAGATCCGTGCCCCGGCGATCAATATTTTCCAATATACCTCTGGAGATTGGACCTAATTTCAAAATTTCTGTCAATGGTTATCTATTGCTGAAGAAGCAGCAGCCAGCACGAAGTTGCTACGTCTGGCTGGGAGGGGAGAAACCCCAAATTGCCAAGGGAATTACTACACTTCTAGCAGATGACACGGCGCACACGGTTGACAAGTCAGAGATTCGAAAGGCATACAAATTCGGCGGTGAACAAGTTTCATTCACGCCCGAGGAGCAGCTATCACTCAGGGACTTTGGGGAGCCCGTGATTCGAATTATTGGGTTCAAGCCTCTGGCTACCCTGCCCATTTGGGCCAATACCAAGCACCCTACATTCATCTACCCTTCCGAGGAGGACTACATTGGGTCTACGCGCGTCTTCTCTGCATTACAGCAAAAGCTCCTCAAAGACCGCAAACTTGCCTTGGTTTGGTTCATTCCCCGCAAGAAAGCTTCGCCCGTATTGGCTGCCATGATATCTGGTTCTGAGAAGATTGACGAGAATGGTGTCCAAAAAATGCCGCCTGGGATGTGGATTATTCCACTTCCATTCGCGGATGACGTGAGGAAAAACCCGGAGTACAGTTTCACTTCAGCCCCAGAACCCCTCATTGATGCGATGAAACAAGTAGTGGGGCAATTGCAGCTTCCCAAGGGTGTATATGAGCCTCAAAAATACCCTAATCCTTGTACGTTTTTGTTTCGAGCAGCGGCACAGCTTGACGATACTGACATATTGGCAGCACTTCAATGGCATTACCGTATCCTGCAGGCCTTGGCTCTCGACGAAGATCATCCGGGGAATCCTGAGGATAAGACCGTTCCGAAGTATCGACAAATCGATAAGGTAGGCCCCTCAACCCCCAAAGCTGGGGATAACGCTGATTGATTTACAGCGTGCCGGTGAATACGTTCTACAATGGGCCGAGGAGCTTGATGCTCAAAATGAGAAATTTTTCGGAGGAACTGCTGCCACGAAGTCAACCCTGGTCAAGCGTGGTCCAAAAAGCCATGCTGAGGGCGAAAGTGGTCCACCAACAAAAAAGGTCAAGATCGAGGTTGGCGCCTCTGATAACGATGATGAAATCAAGAGGAATTGGGAGAAGGGAACTCTGTCCAAGGTAAGTCGCACGAGCCTATATTCATACGGCTATGGCTAAATGACACGACTTTTACAGCTCACGGTGCCCATACTGAAAGACTTCCTCAATGCTCACGGTCGCTCCGCAGCTGGCAAAAAGGCCGACCTCGTAGAACGGGTAGAACAGTATTTTGAGGATAAGCTTTGAGAATAAGCTTTGAGATATTCATGTAACGAGTGATGATCAATTGCACTGTATACTTTATCTAATACTGATTTACTCAGAGCTCAGTCAGGGCTGACCAATTGCCGAGGTGGCGATTATGTGGGGTATGTGGGGGATCCCCAAAATACTCTTCCTCGCATCCTCGTAAATTCGAATAAAAACAGGTCTAGCCAAAGGAAAACTCGGAAAACAGGCTCATTTGGTATTACGCACAATTTCCGCCTAGATCGTCGGTATCACTGTGTGAATGTGCATGTGTATGCATAGCTATAAAACCACAGGTGGAGTTTGACAGGGTTCACCCCGCCATTTCCTCAACATAAATGAGCAGCAAGATGAATGGCGTGCGTTCACGCAACGACCGGAAATGCCACGCATGTAACAAGATATTCTCCAAGAAAGAACACCTCACAAGGCATATTCGAGGTCACACGAAAGAAAAACCTTTCGCATGTTCAATTTGTGGGAAGTTATACTCTCGGAGGTTTGTGCAGGTGGATGGCCCTCTAACAGAAATGCATACTAACACTTATCATAGTGATGTTGTTCGGCGTCATGAGAGGAGCCATCATGAGCAGCAGGCCGAACAGCAGGCTGATCAGTATCTTGAGGATTCGACAAGTTTCCCAGATAGCGCAGCTATGCTGACGCCGACCTCGGCGGCCAAATCGCTGAGACGGTTGTCAGGGGTTACATCTATGCCAGAGGACATGAACCTGCAGCCATACCCCAATACAAGCATTGCAAGTCTTGTACCACCCAGTACTGAGTACACACCTGGACTAGACTTATCTTCGCATGATGATGCAACACATGGAACAAGCTCCAACTCGGGATCTGGAGCATGGTTTCTTGAAGACGATTTCGATGTCAGCGCTCTAGACGTTTCACTCACCTCAACCATCTCCGAATGGGCCCAGTTCTCAAATGTCTTCTCGGCGCCTCTTTTGCCGGAAGAGGAGCCGCAGCACATATTCACGCCGTTACAAAGTTCCGTACCTGACTTAGAGTCAGTAAATCCCCCGTCAGATACTATGAAACGTAAATGGTTTTCCCATATGGAGCACCGACCGAGCCGGGGATTTGACATGATAAGTCAAAGTTATCCGGGCCATACTAAGGCAAATGAGTCGTACCGAGCCGGTCTATCTCAGAAACTTCGGCCACGGATGGAGGATGAGGCGCTTCCAACACCGGAGCAACTGAACCTCTTTGCTAAGCTCTATTTCCATCGTTTCCATCCACTTCTTCCTGTTATTCATACTCCTTCCTTCCGACCGACTGCAGAGAACTCCCTCTTATTCTTGTCGTTATGTTCAATCGGTAGCCTTTTCGTGGGATCCTCGCGTGCTGTTATGCAAGGGTCTAGGATATTCGAACGGTTGAACAAGGCAATACTGGCTTCTTGGGAATCATTCCTATCACAGAGTCGACCAGACGCCTTGTCTATGGTTCAGGCCGCAATCCTCGGTCAGACATATGCTATCCTGGCCGGTGAGCCAAAATGTCTTGTTTTGGCAGATGTTCTGCACGGGACAGTCGCAGCTTGGGCTCGTGAAGCAAATAGACTCGGTTCCCTTTGTACCCGGGCGCCCGATTTCTCAGACAACAGCAGTATCGAAACAAGCTGGCATCGATGGATCGATCATGAGCAGAGAGCACGAGTCCAAGTAGCCTTACACATCCACGACGCTGAACTTGCAACTCTACTTCATCACCAACCAATCCGCAGTCATCGATTTCGTCAATTCCCCAAACTCGCATCCGATGCTTTATTTTCAGCGCCTACGGCTTCAAAATGGGCGGCTTTATACCGTCAGTCCCTAGAAACACCGCCGGGAGATAGCTCGATATACACTCAGATCCCTCGCTCTCTAGATCCACTCCCGATTACCGGGATATCATCCCGCTTCGCAGCCTACGGGCTCTTAGAAAGTATAAGCGCCCACTTGACCGACTCGAAACAATCCGATGGCTTCGATCATCATGTCTGTGCAGAGATATCAAGCCTCCTAATCGCTTGGTGGAAAGCCTACTACACACCATCCAAAAGCCACGAAGGAGATACATTCTGTCTCCCCGTTCTCTGGCACTCCATTTTCATTTCTTTGTACGCAGACCTCGACCTCCTCGAACAGTCTATCGGCCGAGATGGTCACCATCACACCCTACAGGCTGCAGCCCCCGTCCAAGAGTGGTCTACATCCCTGAATGCCAGTCGCTGCCTCATCCATGCCTCATTAATCGCTCAATACATAGAAAAAATGAGTATGTCCTCGGAGCCAGCGATTCATGTTCCGCGTGCGCTGTTTACTGCCGCACTCACCTATCTCGTTGTTGCGCGATTCGCGCCGAAACATGTTGTTCGTGCTGAGGCTTTTGCGTCGCCTGAAATTAAAATCCTTGGTGACGATGACACTTTTATGGAGGCTTGTTTCCCTGATTTACAGCTTGCGGGTAGCGGGGGCTCTGGGGCTGCGGATATGGATCATTTGTATCGGTTAGTAGATTTGTTGCAGCGAGGTGGGCGTTGGGGGATTTCGCAGGCTTTTGCTGGGGTTATCTCTGCGGCTTTGGAGGGGGGCTTTGGCTCGTAGCTAGCTCTCCTCTTATTGTGCTAGTCATCCCTTTGCTTTAAGCTAGTTGACCTGATACCTAGTCTACGCTTGTCAATCCAGGAGTATGTGGCTTAGCCACAGTGTATTTCTATTTTTTAATACGCTGAGATGTATAATCCCTTAGTCTCTACTCAATTCCGGTCCCTAATGATCAATGACGTAGACTCAATGCTTGCAGCCTTGAATTCTTAGCCGAGCCTTCTCTTTACATCCATGGATATCCGGCATTGACTCACCCCGCAAGATGATACACTAATCTGCGGGGTGATGATCCACCTTTGCGGGGTGCCGCACGCCACCAATCACTACGTAGCCTCTCAGTCGCAGCTTGTTGTTCTGCTTGAGACACTTTTATTTCCCAAGGTTGAGGGCTTCAAGTCATTCTTAGTTACACTTCGAAATATAAGGTAATGTCTGAACTGGTTCTGTTATCGTATAGGGTCACACAATAGACTTCCATTTTTGCTCTATACAACCTCCCCTTGCTGTACAATGTACCTGGCAGCTACTAAATGTGCTTTGTCCATTTGAAGCCATCATATAGTTCGATGTCCCGGGGATCAATGCGTATTCTCGCTCCCCGCAAAATAGTTTTCAAGGCTGTGGGGTATAGTACTACCCCGTAGATGCAAAGCTATAACCGCAGAACCGAAGCAGGTATAAGTATGCATAGGTACCCAAGTACCAACCTAGCCAGGTTACGCTTCTGAATTGATTCCTCGACATTCTGATAATCGTTCCCAAGATGCCCGTCTTCACCGAAAATGCATCTTCCTCGCGAGATCTAAGAGTCCTACCATCTTTTGCATCCCCACTACCTCGTCTCACTCCAACATTCGAGCCAGAGAGCGATCCAGAAGAGAAATATGAAGTCCTGGTTGTAGGCGTAAGTCCACAACTAGATCTAATAATGCCTCAGCTCTTGGAAATAACATCTGACTTTTATATGTAAACACAGGCAGGCCCATCTGGCCTGATGCTCGCTCTCCTCCTCTCCCGTTACGGTTTAACCGATAAATCCCTCCTATGCATCGACGCGAAGCCCAGTACCCTTAAATCCGGCCAGGCAGATGGCATCCAGCCCCGCACCCTAGAAGTACTCAAAACACTCGGCATCTCCGACGAAATCGAAAATGAAGCATGCCAAATGTGGCAATTTGCATTCTGGAACCCATCGTCTAACAAAGAGAAGATTATCGAGCGCACGGCCGTTGTCCCGGAGATTATTCCGGCTGCTCGCTTCAAGTATGAGGCGACGATCCACCAGGGTAGGGTTGAGCGGATTATGGAAACAGACTTACTTCGGTATTCTACTCGAGGTGTCCTGAGAAATACTAGCTTGATCGATGTGTGCATTGATGAACAGGGTGACGCAGAGTTCCCTGTTGTTGCCCGAATCTCGGTAGATGGTGTTGAGAAGGGGGTGCGGACTAAGCATCTTGTTGGTGCTGATGGTGCGCATTCAGTTGTTCGGAGATCTATGGGGTTGAAATTGGAGGGCGAGTCACTGGATCATATCTGGGGTGTTGTGGATTTGGTTGCTGAGACTAATTTCCCTGACATTCGCCGCCGGTGTGCGATTCATTCGCCTGCTGGATCGGTTATGGTTATTCCGCGGGAGAGAATTGTTACCGGTGAGTATTTGACTAGGCTTTATGTGCATGTTCCTGAGACGGTGGTGCCGGATGCGGATCAGATGGTGAATGGTGATGAGGGTGAAGGTGGCAGCTGTGAAGATGCAAGGTCGAGGAGAAGTAAGATCACCTTGGAAGGTATTTTGAAGCAGGCTGCAGATGCGATGAAGCCGTATTCCATTCGTCCTAAGGAGGGTGCTGTGGATTGGTGGGCGGCTTATCAGATTGGGCAGCGGGTTTCGCCTGAGTTCATTGTGAAGGATACGAAGGGGGTTGCCAGAGTATTTATCAGCGGTGATGGTATGTTCCGACCCGGATGGGTGAGCTGTGTCTCTTGATTGATTGGACATCTGAATGCTGACTTTAGATCAAAGCCTGCCATACACACAGCCCTAAGGTACGACATGCCCGAAGGCGATACGACATCTAACTGAGAACTGACTATGTGTTCCATAGGCCGGTCAAGGCATGAACGTCTCCATGATGGACTCCTACAATCTAGCGTGGAAGCTGATCTACCATATCAACGGACTCAACCCCTCATCATCATCCGGTTCCCCAACCCCAATCCTCGACACATACCAAACAGAGCGCCATGAAATTGCACAACAACTCATTGACTTCGACCGCAAGTTCTCAACAATGTTCTCAGGCCAAATGGGTGCAACAGAGGGCCTAACCCAAGAAGAATTCCAGCAAGCTTTCAAGATTGGCAACGGATTTACTAGCGGCTGTGGTGTTGAATATCCTGAGCACCGGAATCCGCTCGTTGTGCGAGAGGACCTGGACTGTAACTCGGATAGCAGCCCTATTCGAGGAACGGATTATCTATCTGGAATCATACGGCCTGGACGACGGTTGCTGAATGTGAAGTTATTGAGACATGCGGATGGGTGGCAGCGGGATATCCATGATGGTATGAGAAACCACTCCCTCCATTGAATTCAAGCAATGAGGCGAGGACTTGAAAGTATACATAACTAAGATTTCAAATCGCAGATATTCCATCCACAGGCCGTTTCCGACTCCTCGTTCTAACATCAACAGACCTTCTTGATCGGAAGAGTACCTCGGCAGAGACACTCACCAGAGTGAGTGAGCTTATATCTCGATTTCCGGCTTCTGTCATCGAGCAGATTGTTCTCCACCCCGCACTTCACCGGCCATTCGATTGGGATGATATCCCCGCGTGCGTAAAGCAGAATGCGGAAATGCGGTTCTATGATGGATCGGCATTGGATGATGCGTATAGTATCTATGGCGTTGATCCTGCAAAGGGTGCGCTGGCTGTTATTCGGCCAGATGGGTATGTGGGGGTGGTGGTGAGGCTACATGAAATCGTGAGAGTGGAGGATTATCTGAAAAGCTGTATTCGAACTATTTGTGCGGTGTAAGCGCTAGTTTTGTCGATCCTTGGGTTTCTGATCTAGTGGAAGATATTCTGGGCAAAATGAAAAAAAGTGTATAAATGAATATATATAATCGTTCTCTATTGGATAGTCGAGTATGTGTACTATTATAATCCACAGTGAATTGGTCTTGTCCAGAGAGGCTGTATCAATAGTGTCAAAGCACCTTTCCTAATGCCGGGACGTAAAGGTATAACATTCGAACTCTCAACCAACTCCAGGTTCTCTGCTTGGATAATGCATGAATGATAATGGACAATGTAGGGCGCAAGAAATTGGGTATCGAAAATGTCGACAAATATGTGCAAGGCTGACACGAATTCGTAAAATATGAAGGGCGGGTGGTAAGCCGGGCTGCTTATGTTGTTGTAATGCAGGCTCTTGATAGAGCGGGAATGGGGTCGGTAGGAATCAGCACTGTCCATAAACCTGACAGTAACAAAGCTCCTCGTCGGGACAGTAAACGGAGTCCATGCCGAAAATGAAATGCCATAGGAATTCCATTACACGGCCTGATTTCGCATCGGTCAGGTCTGTGTCGACGAGCCATTGTCGGAACTGAACGTAGTCTTCGTGCGGGCGCCTGCGCACCTGGTCCTTCGATACGGCGAATTGCGCACAGCAGGCTGCGGCGATCTGGTCAGGCTTGCGAATGTAATTTTGGTCCACCTCAGAGACCTCGTATGGGGATGACATGTTGAGTGGTGGGGTGCTGGTGCCCTGGAAAATATCCCACCAGATCTCATCGGTGACGTGCGAGTTGAAGCGGTGGTCGGCCTTGCAGCCTGGGTTCCAATTGCAACGGAGATTGGCGTAACCATTCTGTTCGACGAAGCCTGTTTGGAGGTTTTGCATGGCAATGACGTTGTCGTGAAGGGGTGCGTCGACGTGCCAGGCCATAAAGAAGCCAGAGCGATGGGCGTGAAGGAAGGCGATGGTGGAAGGAAGAACATAGTAGTGGTCGATCACGTAGGTGAGGTAGGCCATAGCTTCATGACCTTTGTTGTAGGGAGTTGTGAGGATGTTTTCGTTGTTTCGGGTTTCTTCCGACGGATTAACGATGTAGATGGCGCGTTGCCAGCTAGAAGAACAATTATTACCAGGTCAAGATATTTGTGTAGATGGGTACGTACTCAGGTAGTTCTTCCCCTACCCAATTGGTATCCTCCTCTTCGAGCTTTGCCATGACAATGACTTTGTCGTCGGGGGTGCCATGGTGCGCAGGCACGTTTGACCCAGAATTGCGATACCACCATTCCACCAAGTATGCGCCGGCGCGGTATTGGTTACAGATATCCTGGATATGGGCCTCCAGTAGGTAAAGAGAGAGGACGATAACTGACACAACGCATAATGCGATGCGCGTTCCGCTTTTCATGGTGAATTTGAGAAATTAGAGATGTTCAAGGGAAGCCCTTGAGCGGAGCTCTGTTTGTACCAATTTCACCTCAGAAGGGGCCAGTGAGCCATTGATAATAAGTCGCAATAAAGGAATGTGTTTGTGACGGGAGTTGAAGAAGAGGCGTAGATAAAAATAAAGAGAGTTGGGGGCGAGTGAGTGGATGGGGCGGAGGAGTAATATGTAGTCCCAATAGTCGAGGCGGCTTCGCTTTAAGGGGGAGCAGATAGCGCGCTTTTTAGCCTTAGCGCGGTGCGGTGGGGAGGGAACTGATTAGCTCGCGCCAATCTAGGAAGGGGTTGAGAAGAGAAAAGGAAGGGAAAAGGGGCCCATAAAAAAGAGCGAACGGCGAACCCCGTTTATGAGAAATTTTTAAGGTGCAAAGGCGATGTTAATTGAACGTCATTGGCCACTTAGGGGGCTGTGGTTCAGATGTTCAGGTTCAGGGGAGTTGGTTAGGGGCTAAAGAGGAGGCAACGAAAGCTTGGCTCCGCGGAAGAAATAGGCAATACGAACAATGCCCTCTAGGCTCCTCCGAGTCTGAGACAAAGGGCATTTAGACTCAGCCGTTACGTGAAAATACTTTATCCATTTGCAATCCCATGGTTCACACGTGGCGTTGGGAAAGTCTATTGAACCTGCTATCACACACAACTTCAAGTATGAATCTGAGAGAGAATGTGGATTCAGACGTCCAAGGAAAGTAGATTTGGTGCCGCAGGAAATCGACCCATGCATACGTAGTTCCCCTTCAATCATTGGCCATCGTATTCATGTGGGGGTCATTCCAAATTAACTGCCCCTCAATTTCCCCCCATCCCATTCGGGCTCGTGCCCAGTAGGAGGGCTTTGACCTTTGACCGAAAGATAGGCTACTGACGATGATATCAAAGGCGCTGTAATGGGGGCTCGACCCCAAAGAAAACCGGCTAGGTGTAAGTATCGACTTGCAGGATGTGGCCATGACAGGATCTCAGACCCACTTCGGACCCGATCAACGCAATTTGGCATATGCTCCAGCGGTTCTTTTCCGTTGAGAGACTGCCAAGGCTTCGAACGACCTTTCTTCTTTGAGAAGGAGGGGTTCGCTGGTTCGACGGGGCCCCGTTAGCTCCCCTTAATGGGGGGTGATCATGGTTTTTGCAACGCCCATGGCGTTGCAGATCGCTGTAAACCTCGGGATGTGGATGTGCACTGTCATTTCCTATCATCTGTCACATATACCTCGCATGGATATCTACGGAGTACATACTCCGCTCCTACTTGGTGCATAGTATTTGCTGCAGTCAGAGTTTGTGGGCTGGTAGAAACCGTCTGCAGGGGTAATGTTTCTGATTGGTCAGAGACAAGCTCGCCGCGTGGCTACCGAGCATTTCTGTATTAGCTCAGTTCACGATCAGATTACTCCGGTGTGTTCATACTGGAGACCCGGACCCAATTTTTTCTTCCAGATAAGCCGGACGCCCTGAATCGGCTGTGCACTGGAGCCAGGTCGCAAACACAGGCAGAATGACGCGGGTGTACGGGCATTGCTGTATCCTTTACTGAACACCGTACTCCACTGTTATCCACATCTGATACCGAACTCTGCCGGTAGCATGCAAGGGTAACAGATGTAAGCCGATAAGCCGATTACTTCGTCTATGTTGGCTGTTTCCAGGTTGTTGCCGGTCTACCGCTTTAGCCGACTTACAAAGTGGAGGTGCATGGATATATATTCATCATAGATGCATAATTTATAGGTCCCGAAAAGTATATACTGTACACATTAAACCATTTGGAATAATACATATAATCGCTGGAGTTGAATCGAGGACAGTAGTCGATATGCAGTCCAGCTGCGGAGTCGTTTTATTCCGAGTCTTGCCCGAGCTCAGCTTTTGTCTCCGTCCTCATCACCAACTTCTTCCCCCTCTTCAATCGCCTTTTCCCGCAACTTCCGCGCTCTTTCTCGCTTTTTCTCAAGCAAGGCATTTAGCTTCTTGGCGACATTGAACACTCCACCGGTGCCTGCCCCACATGCTGCACAGGATGGATTCTTCCGGTATCGCTGCAGTGCACAGGACTCGCAGAAATAATGCCCACATTTCGTCACTATAGGGTGCTGATAGGGCTTCTCACAGATAATGCAGGCGAATGGGATTTTTTCCAGCATCTCATCTTCATTCTCATCCTCCTCTTTCTCCCCCTCTCCCCGCTGCGAAACAACCTTGCCCTTAAGTGTTTTGCCCTTCGTACCAATTTCCCAGTCCCGATCCAACTCCCATCCTTGCGCATATACCTCACGTGAATGTAAGAACTTGCAAGAATCTCCAAATCCACAGTAACCGGTTTGTTTCCAGTCCTTGCAGACATCGGGGGCGTAGTCCATGACGGTCACAGTTCGGACGTTCGAAGGAGGAGCTTTGATGGGGCCAAATTTTTTGGTTGGCGCATCAGGATTCTTTTGGATGAATGATGTGTAATTAGCGGTTCCTTTGTAGGTACCATCGGGCGTCGAGTCTGTAGGCGGTTGTGGACGTGCCCGAGTTGACCCTAGAAGGTTGTTTGCACTGAGGTCCTCGTCGTACCAATCTGAAGCTTTTGTTGCGTCATTACTCGATGTCAAAAGGATTGGGCCCGCAGTGGAAGGCTTCTCAGCGGTCGGATCCCGCTTGGTGGTATTGGAGGAGGCGGTTACTGCAACATTCTTGCGCCGTCTCTTGATGCGGTGTCCATCTTCGTCATCAGAAGAGGTAAAGCCGGAGTCGGAGTCGGAGGCAGGTGGAGGAGTTGCAGGCTTCTTGCGGAAATTCGCCTTTCCCTTAGAGCGTTTTTTGAAGCCGAACTGGGGGACGGGTTCAGCGGCAGCTGTGTCGTCCGCCATTGTGAACTATCACAGACTTTGTATGGACAGGGACAAGACAGGGGCAGCTGTCTATGGCGCAGATATTTTAACTCTTCGCGATCGAGTATCAAGGTAGATAAAGACCGCAAGTGTTGAAAGTGGTGGAATTAGGGCGATGATGAATCAACCAGACTCACTAAGTCGAAGAGTCTCGAATCTGTAAAGATCACTGACTAAGCGATCGATGCAAACAGCTGCAAACAGCGCCACATTGGGAAAAAGACAACAACAACACAAATAGTTTTGCTTACTTGTACAGTACGTACCTCCCTAATGGCGATCTTTTTAAGTTTCACTGCAGAGTATAATAATAACGTTTACCATGGTTTCCTATAGTAGGGACTAGATCTGCGAATAGAGAACACCACGCATAATACCTTGCATAGAGCCGCAGTCAAGACTCAATAGTACCAGATGTCACTGCGCGAGGATCACTCCACGATCTCAAACACCGGTGCCAATTGGCAATAATAGTGCCTTGCGGTCGTGGTCCTTCCTTTCCCTCCTCTCTCCCCACCCACCACACCTCTCGTTTCACATCCCACACGCTCTCTATTCTGTCATTTCTTGTTTAATTTTCATAATTGCCGTTGTCTTCGTTTAATCATTGTTTTTTTTTCCCGCTCTTTTCTTTCCTTTGTCGATTTTACAAGAGCACACCGAAGCGGTGCGTGATAATACCTGCAGATCGTGTTGTGGTTGGTTGTATCTCCCACGCGCGGCGACTCATCTCGCCCAACCAGACTTCGCACTGATTCGTCCGGGTACTCGGTGTTTGTTGTCTTTCTAACCCCCCCCTCCCTTTTTCACCTTCGCTCGTCGCGACGGTGTTTACTGTGGTTTTCTCTCTTTTATCTTCTTATATTTTCCTCTCGCCTGTCGCATCTCGATTTTGCGCCTGGGGAGAGTGACGATTTGTGGTCGCTGGCCGGCTCGTCATTGATTCAGCGCACTCCGGCGACACCCCTCCAGTTTCAAACACGCGACGATCCTCCAAACGATGCACGTGAACTTCAACATCTAATTTATTCGATAAACGCGCGAATCTCGAGAATCTCTCGGCGGCCGCTGTATCCTCTGACATTGAAAGGGGATTCAGAAGCCGTGTGAGACGTCTACAACTGCAGGCGGATGACCGCACACGACGCGGGGGCCAACAGCTCCTTCACCTCAATGATGGAGGACCCATTCATTTCAAATAGTACAGGGGAATTCGCCTCCCCTAGCGAGTCTCACCAATTCTCGTCATTCGATACTCAATTATTCAATATCAATGCCTCTTCACCAGCCCAGGCCAAACGGGCCCTTGCCGCCCGGCTGGCGGAGACCGAACGTCAGCTTGAGGAGACTTCCAAGGTGGGAACTGCCCTCATCGAGCAGCAGCGGCAACTAGAGGAGTATCTCAAGACGTTGGAGCAGCAGAAGGATGAAAGTGAGATGCCATCGGAATTGCGCCAAAAGCTTGCCGACCTGGAGCGAGATTATGCCGAGATTGAACGGGATACGACGCGCGCAATCTTGGCCCCGAAGCGACTGGCTGGAGGCTCGGACGAGAGTCACTTGGGCACCCCGGGATTTGAAGTAAAGGTATTTTTATTGCGTGCCCACCGACCTTGATCTCAGCTCACCTAACTACCGGATCAGTCTCCCCTCAGTCCCGCCCTATTCGCCGGCCAGGCGACCAACTCTCCCAGCAAAGTCGGCGTTCCATCCCGGAAGCAACGAAATCAGCCGTCGGGACGTGTCCATGATATCGAATTCGCGACGGAAATTTCCACTTCCTTGTTGGGACAAGTGCGCCAGTTGCAGGGACTTCTTGCCGAGCGAGATGAGTCGATAAAAACCATTAATTTGGAAAAATCGCGCCTGGAATTGGAAGCAGAAGGGTACTCGCAGCGGATCCGAGCGTTGGATGACAGCGAACAGCGTTACAAGGACGAGAATTGGGCCCTGGAGACACAGACCCATGAACTGATGGCATCCATGAAAGAATCGGCGGAACGAGAGAAGAGACTGACCAGCAGTTTGAGCGCTTCGAACGCAGAGAAGACTGCTGTCGAGCGAGAATTGGAGGAGCTGCGACAAACGAACTCGAAGCTGTTGGAAGAACAAGACATTATCCAGAAAGCCAATGACTCAGAAATTCATCTATTGCGACGCAACTTGAATGCTGGCGATTTGGAGAAATCTGCTCTCCACAAAAAGCTGGAGGAGTTGACCTCGCAAAATCAAGAACTGGCGAAGGCTGTTGCTATGCGCATTCGGCAGCATGAGTCGCAAGGTAGCCGAGATCTTCATGATGACAACAACGATGATGAGCCTGAACAGACAACTCCTGACAACTCTCCACCTCCCTCTCCTAATAAATTCACGCCCCGACACGGCCATCTTGAGTCTGAAACACTGAAGAGTTCATTGGGTCATGCTCACCGCATGATTCAGAACCTCAAGAGCACAATCCATCGGGAGAAAACAGAGAAAATTGAGCTTAAGCGTATGTTGCAAGAGGCCCGAGATGAGGTTGAGCAGCGTCGGCGTGAGACTGCAGCTCCCAATGGAGGGCCTAACAAACGTCTTAAGAAAAAGGAAGACTCCTTTCGCAAGCCAGCCCGTCCAGATCTCTTGGGTGCTGGCCGTAAGGAAAAATCTCACGTTGAGCTTCACGAGCTCCACGATACTGACTGGGAAGACAACGCCAGTCAGATCAGCCCAATTCGCTCCATGGTGGGGGCACCAATTCGCGTCCGTCCCGGTCGTGAATCACCCGATGGGCCTAGCGATGTGTACCAGACCGCCACAGAGGATGGCTTCGAAACAGCCAACGAGCGAGCAACGGCAACCGAGAGCGAAGCATTCCAGACGGGTGTGGAGAGCATGGCGGACGATAGCAGCGACTCGGCTGACCTTACTGAGACTGAAAACAATGTTCAGACTACCCCACGCCAGCGTGTTCCTTCGTCTTTGATAATGGCCAAGTCTCGTGACCGCACTTCTTATCATAGCTCGGCTTCCACGTCAGATGATGATGACGATCAAGAGGGAGGATATCCTTCTCCCAGCCAGATGCACATTTCTCGTCCCCGAGTCAAGTCGAAGCGGAGTATTGTTAGACGGATTCGCCCATCTGGAGAGGCACCCATGGCGTCTAGTAGTCGCCCATCCAGTGCACGGAATTCTGCTGCAACAAGCTTTGAACAGGAGTCTGTGCCTCAAGGGGGGCAGAGTCTCTTCGCTGAGCTTGCCGAGTTGGAAGGTGGCGAAGAAGATGAAGATGAAGAGACTGTCGCAATCTCTCCGGCTTCAACACCACGCATGATGCCTACATCAAACTCTCGCCGCCCCTCTGATGCTATGCTCGACTCGGCTCCTAGGCCCGTCATGGTTGATTCCGGTGTGATGACCGATCCTTGGCAGCCTGACGCTCCACTTGGAGTCGCAGCCATTGGCGGAGCTGTTGTTGGGGCTGTGGTTGGAACTGCCGCTTCCGACGCTCCAACCACTCCACGGAGAGATGTTGCAACTGGAGACAGGGATATTGCTACTGAAGAACAGCAAACCCCCAAAATGGTCAGCTCAGGAACAGATTGGACACCTCTCAAACCTTCGGCGTTGGACGAAGATCATTTGTCGAATGTTCCCACACCACCAAAGATGGTCTGGGATGAACGCTCTGTTGGGACCCAGCAAGTTGAGGCAGGTACCCAAGCCGAGCCTGACCTACTGGAGTTGGGTATGGCGACGATTGCGTCCCAAGAAACTCTCCCCTCGTCGCCCAGATGGCCAGAATTGGGTGTTGTATACTTCTCTGGAGGTGCTACTGAGCCCGTAAAGCACATGCTTCCTGTGCCAGAGCTTCCAGAGATGGATGTCTCTTCCATCTCTTCGCAGTCTACTGAGCCCGTGGAGCACCACCCTCCTGTGCCAGAGCTTCCAGAGTTGAATGTCTCTTCCATCTCTTCGCAGTCTACTGAGCCCGTGGAGCACCACCCTCCTGTGCCAGAGCTTCCAGAGATGGATGTCTCTTCCATCTCTTCGCAGTCTACTGAGCCTGTGGAGCACAACCCTCCTATGCCAGAGCTTCCAGAGTTGAATGTCTCTTCCATCTCTTCACAGTCCACTGAGCCTGTAGTGGCAATGATTCCTGAACCCGAGCCTATCATCCCGGTCGAGGCTGTGCGAGAATTGCCCGAACTTTCCCTCTCCTCTCTCTTCACATACTCTACCGAGCCCGTCAACGCACAACTTCCAGAGCCTGAGCCTATTCCCACACCTGTGCCTGTATCTGTGCCGCTCGCTAAAGAAGTGCTCATTCCCCAGGTTGGAATGTCCTCGATCTCCTCGCAGCACACTGAGCCCGTTGTGCCGCAACTCCCAGAGCGCATGCCTGAACCTGAGCCAGTTGTTATCCCAGAGCCTGAGCCGATGGTGAAGGAAGTATCTCTTCCTGAGCTGGGAATGTCCCTGATAACTTCTCTGCATACTAAGCCCATCGTCCCACAGCTTCCGGAGCCTGTCCCAGAACCCGAGCCTTCACAGCTGGAGATCTCCTGGCTCGATCCATCATTCACGGTACCAGTCACACCTAAAACGGTTGAAGTCCCCCCTCAACCACTTCCCTCTTTCGCTGCCCTGCGTTCTGTGGAAACAGAACCAGTCAAATTCGTGCCACTCGAAGCCCCTCCTCCACCGATTTCCTCCTTTGCTTCCCTGAGCTCTATTGAAACAGAACCAGTCAATTTCCTACCACGCGTGATTCCTTCAATGGTCGAGTTTGGTATTCAAACCGACCCGACAGAAGAGCCCAAGGCTGCTGGTGCGGCCGTGGCTGTGTATGAAGATCAACCTAGCGAGGCAGCTCGAAGCCGTCCTAGCACGAGTACTAGCAATAGTGAACGACGCGCCAGCGCAGGCTTGGCTCTTAACGATATCGCTGGCAACTCTTTGCAAAGACAACCAATCAGTTCGGTCAACACAGATCAGGGATCGCAAACCATCCTCTCCTCAAAGCAGATTGACCAGATCCTCATGGATCGTGAAAATGCTCGCCCTGTCTCTTCTGCTGATAGCAAATACTCAAGGGAGATGGCAGCAGTTGCCGTCACTGCTGCGTCACCATTCGCAACCCCTAAACTTCGACCCCGTCCTCAACAGCAGTCGTCAGCCAAATCATCCGCGTCCATCCGGCGACCAGATACTGCCACTAGTCAGATATCTTCCTCTAGCGCCCACCCTCCACTGCCCGCTGATCACCGTGAGGCAATCTTGGCTGCTGAAAAGAAATCTATCGACGTACCACCAGCATCACCTGGCGTTATGGGACCTCCCCTTGCGCCGGCCTCTGCCTATCGCGTGAATGCGCAAACGGCTCCACGAACCCCCAATGACCAAGGCACGCGTGCTGGATCAGCACGCACTGTTTCTACTCAACCACGCATGCGCAGAGGAAGCCAGAGCCAGATGTCGAGGCGGTCATCTGTGTCATCATTTGCATCGGAGCTGGAGGAGCGGTTCAATATGAACCCTCATGCTGGACCTATGCCCAATGGATACGGACCCAACACTGATCCTCGCATGATCCAGGCCATCACTCAAACCATGATTGGTGAGTTCCTCTGGAAATACACGCGGAAAACTGGTTCATCCGACATGTCGACCACTCGGCATCGTCGGTACTTCTGGGTTCACCCGTACACGCGCACCTTGTACTGGAGTGAAAAGGATCCTCAGACCGCTGGAAAGAGTGAGCTTCGAACCAAGAGTATTCCTATCGAGGCTGTGCGAGTGGTTGCAGATGACAATCCGTATCCCCCGGGCCTCCATTGCAGAAGCCTGGAGGTTGTCAGCCCTGGTCGTCGACTTCGGTTTACTGCCAGTACAAGCCAAAGACATGAGACTTGGTACAATGCTTTGACATATCTCCTAACAAGGGAGGACAATGGCCACTGTGAAGATCATGATAGTGTGACTCTGGATGATATTGATGAGTTTAACCCGGGGTTCCGATCCGGGTCTCGCCAGACAGCCCGGATGTCTCTCTCATCTTACAACAGTCGTACACTCCGCCCGCCTCCCAAGCGAGCGACTTCAGCCATGTCCATGCGGTCCACTGGGACCCCCGGGCGTGCTTCACCTGCACTTAGCTCCCCGGTCCCCAACTCGTCCTTGCAGGTTCCCGAAGAGCGTCAGCGCTCATCATCCCGACTCAGCACCATCCTCACTAGTTCAATCCGCGGATCGATTGCTAGCATGAAAGGTCGTAATGGCCAGGCTTCAAGCATGCATGATGGAAGTATACGTGCTCAGGACAGCATCGAGGATTTCGCACATGCAGCGGAGGAAGAAGATCGGCTTGAAAACGTCCGTGCTTGCTGCGATGGCAAACACGATGTTGGCTCGCTCTCCCGCACCAGTCGGTACAGCCCCCGGGGTTGATCGCAGCCACTCTCACCACCACTAAAGAATTGAGTAATGGTTTGATCGAGTTTGTGGGCGGGCCCTCAAACAAAGTACGGCCTGCGGCATTCATATAATGGCCACGAGTCTCTTATATTTTCTTGTTCAACCAGCATTTGTTTGTATTCGTTCCGACTTTATGTCACAATTGTGTGGACTGTCATGCCAATCCCCTTACACGGCATACACTTGGACCTCTTGATGCCCCTTGGAGGATTTAGAATCCAAGATCCCGGAAGCACTCCCCTCACTGATACAATTTTCCAACTTGCATTGGAGTTTTTTTTTTTTTTTTTTTTTCGTGGCAAGTCTTTTCAACCTTGTTCGTCTGACAGACCTTACCACCATCTCTTGTCATCGTCTTTCCTTTTCTCAGTGCTGCATTACAGCTACGTCCTGTCTGATCAGACTACATTGCATACTTTTCCTTCCTCTCTGTTGATAATTACTGTGTGACTATCTGTCCGGATTCACTCTTACTCTCTTTGGATATTGTTATCTCATTGTGCACTACGCACCAGAACTTGAGCCATACTAAAATTTATTCGAATGTTACCTTCAAACTTGGCTTTCCTTTTAAATCAACTAGGTGGCTTCCGCCATTTCGATCGAGTATATTGAAGTTTCTCCATCGAGATATCTCCGAAGTCAGTATCGATGGGTGTCTTGCGCGTATAGAGAAGGCAAGATCAATAAGGTTGACAAATGTGAACAGAAAGCTTCAACTCGCCCAAAGATAAGAAATCAATCAACCCGAAGTAAGTCAGACCTTGGGAAATTGATATTGCAAGGTAAGCAAAAGATTCTCGGCGCGCCTAGAGGCAAGCTTAATCAGTCAATTACCCAGAAGGAAGCGAAGGTTTTAACTCGCCGGAGGGTAAGAAGCAGTCGATCAAACAGATGGAAGGATATACCTCAAAGCTCCAGAGGTCAATAAAGAATTCTCAGCTCACCTGAAGGTAAGTTGAAGTAGCCAATCGCTCAGAAGGAGGAAAGACAGAAGGTAAATAAAAAAAATTGCGAATTTACGCGAGAGCAAGTCTATGCAGTCATCAACCTGGAGGAAAAGACCAAAACTTATTGCAGCCCATGGGAGGTGTCTGAAATTCGGTGGATTGGAAAAGGAAGAGGAAAGAGAAGGAAATCCGAAAATCTGGAGGTATTCATAGTCACAGAAGAGTGAAGTGCATTACACGTCCAGAATAGGAAATGTTTGCTCCAGTGACCCTGTTGCTATGATCTCTTCCAACAACTCCATGATTGCGACTCTGAGAATGAGCACCATTTATCATACATTTGTGACATTAGTTTGCAAGGGATGTTCTGGTTGTCAATATGTTCTCGGAAGGCGCGATTTCGAGTATAATCCCCCCCACTATATAGATGATAGTTGCCTGGTTGGTTAATCTGTTCCCGGTCCCCACATCATGTGACCACCCCTCACCAATCACGCCCTAACGTCTACCTCTATGGGTCAGATATGGACTTTCTTCCCTTTCTATTCCTCTTTTCTACTCCAATTGCATCCAAATTGAAGACATGTCGAACCAGGCCCCTCCTCCATTGGGACAGCAGCTGGCTAGTCTTCTGGAGCCAGCCCAACTTATGTTATGGGCCATGTCTCGTAAGTACCATCCCGAGCTCACGGCTTTTGATCTACTCTGCTTTTTGATACCATCCAACTCTGGCCTCTTTCATACCAAGTCTTACTATACATTTTCTTCTTTTTTATTCTTCTTCCAAATGTGCCATTCACCTTATCCCATATCATGTTCAAGTCTTATATCTACATATGCTTATCGCCACAAATATCCCACACTGATACTGGTTCCCCGTTTTCGGCGTTTGATTCTCTATCTTGATACTCAATGCACACAACATACCAACACGCACAACAAAACACAATTTTAACTGACAATTTAACTCAGATTATCTGCGCGTCTGCAAAGAAGCAGTGTTCACCCGTGGTCAGGTCTTCGCCCCAATTTTCCAAACTACCAGACTGAGAGATGAGGCATTTGGAAAGTTCTGGGTCGAGTTTAGTGGTGAGTCATGCTGTATCCGATTCATTCAAGTCCATCTCACAGATCCACATGGATTCAACCTTTGGGAGAGGAAAACAATAGTCAATAAAAAAAAAAAAAATTTCTAACTCGAGATAGCACCCCGCGGCGATCCAAACGCCGAGCCAGTCGGCAGCTCAGCCCTGATCCCACACATTCTTAAATCAGCCCGCGGCGTCGTCCTTGATATTGGCCCCGGAACAGGAACGCAAATGCCCCTCCTGCGCTCAAATGATATCACCGCGCTTTACGGTGCAGAGCCTTGTATCGGTCTTCACAGCCAGCTGCGTGCAAAGGCGATTTCCGAAGGTGTATCTGAGAAATACCATATCCTGCCATGTGGGGTCTCTAGCAAGGATCTCCTTCCTGCTCTTCGGAATGCAGAGACCGGTGTAACGGAGGCGTATGACTCGAACCCTAAAATGGGAATTTTCGATACGATTCTCTGTGTGCGTGTTTTATGTTCTATTCCTGATATGGAGAAGACGACTAAAGAGCTGTATGGTTTGCTGAAGCCTGGAGGCCGATTGCTGGTCACGGAACATGTGGTTAATAACTGGACGGCACCGAAGGGCTCTATCCTTGCAAGATTAGCTCAAGCGGCTTATATGCTGCTCGGGTGGTGGTTTTTCATTGGAGATTGCTGCTTAGATCGGGATACGGAGGCGGCATTGAGGAAGGCTGCGGATGTACATGGGGGCTGGGAGTCCGTTGATTTGGAGAGGTCCTTTGAATGGTCGGCTATGCCGTATCTTTCTGGCATTTTGACCAAGAAAAGTAACTAGGGAAGTATTTACTCAATCTGAAGTTTGGGGGCGGTGTCTTAGGTTTACGTGCGGATGAAGTTGGAATGTTGTGTATAGAACAGAGAAAAGAAACCTGTTTCCATGCATTGTATGTTCTTGTCATTGTATAGGGGTATCATCGTAGACATAAATTCAATAACCTGGACATGTACAGGGATGGGTATAAAGAGAATAAAATATGCAAAATGAACATCCGAGTCGAATCAAATGGGTTTCGGTCGGCCAGGAGGCCAAAAGTCAAAGAGATCCAACGCCTCCGCAGTCCAGGGACCTTCTTCTAGCACCTCAGGTTCTTCTGGGACCGCACTCATGGCACTTCGCATAGGAGTCGGCCTCGCCTGGAGACTAGGCTTTTTGTTCAGAGCGCTTGGATCAGAAAGGGACTTGCGAAGAGGTGCATCGAAAGACCGTCTTGCGGGTATATTTCGCGGTGTGTCCTTGGCCGGCCTCTGATTTCGGCTCGAGCCGTTTTCAAAGCCCGAGGGAGCGGCTATGTCTTCGAGAGCAAATTGGGTGGCATCTGAAGGCAGGAACTCTGTATTGGCTGAACCTACTTCTCCTCTCATTGATGCTTGTGGTGGTTGTTTACTGAATGACATGAGCGCGGGGATCTTTGGATATCAATTTGGGGCGTACTAACTGGAAATCTGTGGGGTTTGAAATGGGTAGGCGTCTCTGTTTCTCGGTGGTTGTTGTCGATGGCACCGAAGACGGCTGTTGCTGCAGAGTACTGTACATGAATTTGTTGCGGGGTTTCTGCATCGTCATACGCGAAGCAGCGGGTTTCTCGAAACGTGCGTCATCTGGCACAGCTGAAGATTTGTCTTTTTGTTGGCTTCGCGCTTCAGGTCGCTCCGGATGTCTGTCCTGGACAGTACTGCCTGGAAGAGGGGCATGATTTGCTGTAGGCTTCGTGTGTGGTGGTTGAATAGGTGTCGGTACCGAAGGACTTGGTAGCCTTGCTACAGCTACGGGTTTCTCCGGTGGTGGCATGGTTGGCCTCGAGTCCTTCTGGGGTGGTGTTGCCCGGACTGGCGCACGCTGACGCAGGGGTCCATTTTCAGGCCCTGTCAGATCGACCACGTCGGATGAGACATTGCTTGTCGTCTTTCCCGTCGATATCTTTGCTCGCTTAGTTGCCCGTTCGGTCTCTGGTGCTGGTGGCGCCGCCGCCGCCGCCGCCGGAGGTCCGTGCCGTTCCTCATATGGTGACACAAGATGTCCAATGGGTGTCTTTCTGATACCAAGCAGGTCATTCAATGAGCGAAACGGATGCGACGAGGCTGAAGACCGAACGGACGTGGGTGTGTATGTGGGCGTGGATATTGAGGTCGAGGAACGGGGCGGTTGAGAGTCGGACGCGGGGTTGTTATTCCTGGTTTGTGGCGATGTTTGAGATCGCCTTTTCTCAAAAAGATTGGACAGGTCTGTCTGTGTGGTACTCATGCGCTCCCCCACCTCTATCAGCACACCCTTATCGAGTTCAAGCTCATCGCCTTCCTGCACCTCTTCCGCCGATCGCCAGTGGTGATCACCGATGTAATTTCCCTGTTCATCGTAGACCATGGCTCGCTTATTGAATGCATGATATTTAAGATACCCATCTTGCCAGCGCTTTGATTTGCGGCGCAGGTCATACGTGAACAAGCATCGAAACTTGACCACTGAGGCGGTGATCTGGGAGCCCGGGCTTGGGCCCGGGCCTCGGGAGGATGAGGGGGTGGACATGTAGTGTCATGTAGGATTGGAGGAAAGCGCACACATCCCGTGAATATTCACAATGTGACTGAGGCGCAGATATCGAAATCTAGAGTATCGGGCGGTGTAGTAGGCAGTGCAGTGGATAAGAACGCGCTTGAACGCGTGGAACATCATTTACTCCAATGGGGACTGATGCCTATTCTGTCAGGCAGAAAGTCAATTTAGATAAAACTGTCAACGATCCATGGATTCGATTGGTATTGTTTTACTCATTTTTTTTTTTGGTTTCATCTATCATGAACATAAGCATGATTTTACATGAGACTATTGAACCTCATACTAAGCGAATGAGTTGTTTGTCGGAATTTATTCCTTTCTTTCCGTGTTCTTGATCCTTTGACACTCGAGACCCTGTTTAATCCCTGACTCGTGCATGATAAACCCGCTGTAACTGAGCTTCATTCGTCGAAATAGAACCCTTTCCCCACATTCATGACTCAACAGAACCTGATTTGTGGAAACCTCCCAATTGGACCTAGAAAGCACGGTTCAAGCCGAACAAAAATAGATGCTAACTGTATTGGAGAAGAGGGGGCGGCACTAGAGCCGCAGCGAGGCTGAAACATTCGGCGGGGACAGAGAGCCTTTCCCCTTTCTCATTTGATTCACTTCTTCTTTCTGACATTGAGTCAGCTGGTGAGACTTGATTTCCTTGTTTCTCTGGTGGTTTCTGTTTTACTCTTGTGCAACGTGGAGCCCCCCTCGATTCAGCAATTTTACTTTGACCACGTTTTGCTCAATTGCCCGCCATGTTGAGCATGCAAAGAAAGTTCGGTCGAATGACCACCAAGCGCACGGCGGATGATAGCCAAGTCGCCGTGCTCTTGAAGGATTTTGAGGACGCGGATACTCTCTTGGCCAAAGTAGGCAGCCACTTTTCATTTTAACGTGCTGACGTGGGGCGCATCATTAACCTTTTCTTTGGGAATAGATTATCAATTCCACACAAGCCTGGCGCGATGCTTGGGTTTCCATTGCGACGTTTCAGAGTCGCATGGCCGACGAGTTCGATGGCCTCTATGCGCCTGTCGCGAGCTCCTCGGAGACTCCCACTCAGAGACAAGCGTTCACAACACCCCCCGCTATGCTGACGCGCGTCAATCGAATGCGCCGCGAATACGATGAGCTGCGCACTGACATGCTGCAAGAGCTCACTGAAGTCGACTCGCGGATGATACGCCCCGCGGCTTCGGCGAAAGACTTTCTGGCGCCAGTGAAGAAGACTATTAAGAAGCGGAATGATAAGAAGGTTCGTCAGTGAAGTGTCTTTGACTTGCTCGATTTTGTATGATTAACGCCAATGTCCTTATTAGACCGACTTCGAGCGTTATCAGAGCAAGGTGGACGGCCTCATCCATAAAGGGAAGCGTACCGAACGCGATAATGCCAACCTCGCCAAGGCAGAGGCCGATCTTGCTACTGCCAAAGAGGTGAGTCAAGACATTTTGAACATCGTCAGACATGGACTGATCAATCGCAGATATATCGCGCCGCGGACGAAGATCTCTGCCAGCGTCTCCCCACCCTCGTCTCCCTCCTCTTCTCTTTGGTCCCATTCATTCTTGACGCCCAGATCGAGATCCAGCACCGCATGCTAGCACTTTACTACACCGTGCTTCACGCCTACTGCGAAGGAGAAGGCTTCCCTTCCCCTCCTCCGCCGATGGACCATGTGATCCAGGACTGGGAACTCGCCCACAAGCCTCCTCAAAGCGACGTCGAAGGTCTCGCCATCCTCGCACACGGTAAATCCATCCGTCAATCCAACGAGGCCCAGGAAGAACGAGGCAAAAGACCCTCCCTCGGCGGCCGCAGCCTTACAAGCTTCTCTGCAACCTCAAGAGGCAGCGACATGCGCAGCCGCAGCAAATCCCCCGCACCGCCACCAAACATGTTCAATAAGCCCAAACCCTGCGGCTTCGAGGCCTCTCGGCCCGTTTCCCCCTCGTCATCCGTGAACACTTTCACACCAAGCGTCTCGGCCATCTCAGCAGCAAGTTCGTCGAGCACAGCCCTCACAGCAGGCAGCGGGTACTTCACTCCACCAGTACACTCGGAGCCAATGCCCGTCCACTCATACAAACGATCCCCAAGCCCCATGCCGGCCAAACCACCCAAGCCATCAGGAATCCAGTTCTCACCCGCGGGTCCGAAGATCGATCACCATCAGACATTCATCTCGCCCACACCTGGCGCAGCCGATCCTCTGGCCAGTATGGCGGGTAAGAAGAGGAGACCTCCGCCCCCGCCGCCGGCGAAGCCGGCCAAGCCACCGCGCCCCACTACAACGTTCGTCACGGCATTGTATGACTTTGGTGGCCAGGGACCTGATGATCTGTCTTTCCGCGAGGGAGATCGGATAAAGCTGGTAAGGAAGACAGAAAGTACTGATGATTGGTGGGAGGGTGACCTACAGGGAGTTCAGGGATTCTTCCCGGCAAACTATGTCTCGTTGTAAAGGGAAGAATCACGTTATCGTGACTGCTTCTGCTTCATTTGCCCTTGTCGGGCGTATGTGTTTCGCACATACGAAAATCACTAATACGCCTCGAGATCCAATTTTCCAGTTTGAAGATGGATTTTCCATATCTCGAGTTGCCTATCTCTCTTTTTTGATTTCCTATGGTATCTTTTTCACCAGGTTCTGCTGATGCCTTTCTTAACAATATTCCCCTTGTGTTTACAATTCCCCCTACGTTTATCTACATCAATTCAAAATCTCTGTATCCATGAACACAACTTCACTTGTAGCAAGTCATTTATATCTGGGCACTTGGAATGAATTTACCATATGTCGAGGCTAGCCTTGATGTATCAGGTCAGGTCTTAGAAGAGTATGAAAGGGTATAGCGCCAAAATTGGGAGCACAGACATCAACCAACACCAAGTGGTCGAGCGGAAACTCGATTATTTATCTTCCTTGGTCTAGTGGTCATGATTTCCGCTTGTCATTAACACCGATAAGCGCGGGAGACCGGGGTTCGATTCCCCGAGGGAGAGATTTCTTTTTGCTTTTTGAATGTTGTGTTACATATTCTTTACCTTTCTCTTTCTATGATGTCAACTACCAGTGACCTTCAATGAAAATGAGCATTAAATTGATACTCATTAAAAATGCGTTCGTAATACATCGATATCAGTACCGAAGCCGGGACTGGAGGATAGTAAATACACAGACGCACCTCACAACTCAGTGGGAAAGAATACATGTTCCATGCGGGATGCCTCCATGGCCAATGTCCTAGCCCTCTCAAATAGACCAACTTCAAATGAATGCTTCATCAGGCGCATTGTTCTCGTTCGTTGGCGGTTCCATTCCCATCTGGCGACGGCGACTATCCAAAAACATATCTACCATGTGCTTGCTGGAGATGGTGGAATTAATGTCCTGAAGCTTGTGATATTCATCCATCATTTCATCGTGCTCCTGTCCTTGTCCGATATTCTCGTTGGTCGGGCCTTGGAGATCTCGCTGTGACCGCATGGACCGGAATGAATTTGGCTTCCCATTCGTCATTGGCCGTCGAGCAGAGTACCGTCGAAGCTGCTCCTGTGTCCAGGCTCGTTTCATCACCACGGGACCGGTTTTCTGCAGCGGGGTGGGTGACTCAGGAATTTGTATCATGTTGCTGGTTCTGATGCGCATTGGAGACATAGGCGTTTCAGCAACACCGTTAGACCAAGATGGCACAGTTGGAACTTGGTGAACTGTTAGATCAATATCATCATTAGCAGTCACTTTCGTCGCCTGCTCCGGCTCGAACTTTTGGGCAGACAGAATAGTTCGCACGCTGGAAGACCGACTAAATGGTCGTGAATAATTGCTTTGAGGCAACATTGGACCGGCTAGAAGCTGTGGACCTTTGTCTTGCCCACCCACCATGGCTAAGGGACTGGCTAACACCTGGCCCGGGAAAGATGTTTGTCGAAGTATGTGAGTGAAAATTTCGTCTTCATCCTGGAGTTGAGCATCTTCCCTGAAATGCTCTCTCGTAGGACTGACATTTTCGATCCTTTCAATTTGTGAGCTCATCCACTGCTGCCAATCTGCACTTGGCTGTACTGTAGACATTGGAGGCCGTAACCGACGGACATGACTTGGCGAGCTCCAAGCCGTTCGCTCAGAAGCAAAGATTGTCGCTATTCCCGGCTCACCACCATCCGGCGCAGCTAACACGCCGGCCTTATTGGTTGGTGTATCACCTCCAGTTGTTCGCGAGTAGACACTTGTTGGAGATACTCGCTCTGTTGTCGTCCCAGGGTGCGCGATGATCACACTGCCTGTTTCCTCATCCGAGTCTTCACCCACAACGTATGCAGAGTGTGGCGATTTCCCTGTCGAGTAGGCGCTCCGAGACCCAGTGTTTTCTTGTCCAGGGTTAACCCGAGAACCAACCCGGAGCGGTTTAATGTACCCTACAGATCTTTGATACTTTTGTGGTGACATCGAATCCCCTCTTGCAGTCGCAAATGATTCGGGGGAGGTCGTTGACTCCTCACTGGGAACACGGCGAACTGTACGTAGGCTGCGGTGAGAGTAGGTGGAGGACGCACGTTCTGGGATCACCCGATGCTCTGGTACAGTACGCAATACAACCTCCTCTTGGTCTTGAGCAGCATTTCGTCCAATTTGCTGCATTAAGGCTGTATATAAATCCTGAGTGTTGAACCATCCGTTCACATTGCGAGTGCTTGATCTCTTACGTGAAGGTGACAGACGGCATCCGGTGTTATAGGCGGGTATCTCTGAAAGTTCCTCGTTTGGATCGTTATCTTCCTCAACCAAAGACAGAGGTTGCCGATTTCCTGTCTTTCGTGTATTCACAGTGGGCGCCACAGTTGAGGTAGTCCAACTAGCCTTGCGTGAATCTGTGGTGCAAAGGCTAGCACGACTTGGAGAAGTCTGTATGACTCGCAATGGGCTTGATTCCACGCTAAAATGGATGTCCCCAGGATAACTGGCTAGGCTGACATCATCATAATTAGTCACATCCCCTGCCAAATCTTGGGGGACGAGCTCTTCTGGAGGCTCAGTGGACTGCTCGACGGGTTGATCAACGTGCTTTGACAAACCAAAAACACGCTTCAGGCCATGTTTGATGGACGCAGAAAATGTGCGAGACCTACCATGAGAGAGCCTCGAGCTGAAACTCCCAGGTGAGGGATCCGGGCCGCTAGCGTCGCTTGGAATTCGAAAAGACTTTCGAAATGGCTTGTGCTCTCTCTTGCGACGAGATAACAAAAATGAAGGGCGTCTGTTCTGCAATTCTGGACTGCCAATCTCCTGGAGATATTGACTGCGAGCAAGTTGAATGGCCACATCCTGGCTCTTGGCATGTCGAATCGTACGTGGCACCTGACGATTGCCACGGACAAAGGATGTCGAGTTTCTCAAGGTTCGCGGCAATGCGAATTCTGGACTAAAGTCAGGACCAGGGGAGCTGGCATGGGGCATGGGCGGCTTCCCAAGTGCCAAGTGCGGCAATCGCTGTCTAGTAGAAAACATGGATTTGGCTTTCCTCAGACGGCGATACGATGAAGGAACTGAGCTGTCACGACCATCCAGCCCTCTGAACTCCGTGATTGGTGGCAATACAGCCGGGTTCTCATGATGAGACCGCGCAGCAGAGTTCCTCTCGGACTGGCGAGGTGTCATTGGAGTGGTGATAGATGATACAATTACCGAGTGACCGTCATCTGTGGACTGCATGCTAGTATTTTGGCGTCGCCTTGGAACGGCCACATTGCTGGGTCCGCCTAATCGATCATATGAGCTTCTGGACTCAATGGACGATCTTTCACTTAAGCGCATTGCTCGTGCGGCAGCCGTAGCCGCATGTGACTTGGCGACCTCTGTATCAACCGGTTCTGTTTCTGCCGGTAAATGGGCTCGTCGCATCGAGCGAGTGGACATGGACCGGCGGAGTCGGTCTCGGGTAGTGAATGAGGAAAACATACTGGGAAAATCTGTATAGTACGTGGTACGACACCGATGAAAATGCTTGAAGATGAAAGAGTCCGACGCATTGCGACAGTGTTTACATTTTGCTCCATTGTGAATGGGAAGGAAAGAGTGTGGAGTTCCATGGCAGGTGCGATGCCCCTGATAATCGGATTCCAAGGTTGTATACAAATCACGCAGTAGAGTTAAGACGAAACTCAAAATCTGAGGAACGCGATGGTATTGGTCGCGAATAGTATCTCAGCCTCAAAGCCTAATTCGAACAAGCAGTTTCTATACGAGCAACGTGTAAGTTAGCTCTTTCGCTTGTGAGTCACCGCCAAGGCACGAACACAGTACCCTGACTCAGTTCATGATTCATCCATGACTCGCATCCAGCCTCTGCAAAGGACCGACTATTTTGTTTATATTAGTTAAGATGCCGAAAAGAAAACTGGTGAGTGACACAAATATCCATCAATCTCCCTATCCCTAAATGGCAAGCTTCCAGAGCCCAGAGGCGGTCTCCAGTGGAGCCTCACCAAGGCCCCCACCAAGATCGCCACGCCACATTGAGCTCGATGGGCGGACCCTCGAGGGAGGCGGACAATTGGTTCGCAACGCATTGGCTCTGTCAGCCCTAACAAGCCGCCCAGTGACGATAGACCATGTCCGCGGAAACAGAGGAGGGAAAACAGGCCTGAAGGCTTCCCATGCAGCGGCGGTCAAACTGTTGGCCGAAATCAGCCGCAGCAAAGTTACTGGTGGACAAGTGGGATCAAAATGCGTGACATTCGAACCTGAAGCCCCAGCAAGTGAGGAGTCGGCCTTATCGAAAACAGCTCATCAATCGTCTTTGGTTTCCTTGGTGGGTTTGTCTGTGCAGCCTGAATATACCATCCGGCTACCGACACCGGGGTCGGTATTCTTGATCTTCCAAGCCTTGTATCCCTATCTTCTTCACGTTGGATCACGGGCAAAGACGGATTGTGTGAAAGTGACAATCACGGGTGGAACAAATGGTACCAGCTCGCCGTCTTACGACTATGCTTCTCAAGTCATGGCGCCCAATTTTGCACGGCTTGGTCTTCCTCCTCTTTCCATCGATCTACATAAGCGCGGATGGACGGTCGGCCCCATTGAGATGGGGACCGTCACATTCAATATTCACCCCCTGGGCTCAATGGTGAATGAGGAGGGTGCCCCCGACACTCGCTTCCCACGGATTAATATAATGGACCACGAGCGAGGAAAGATTACGCAGATCGATCTCACCGTCCTTGCACCAGACAGCACTGTATCAGGTGAAACAAAAGCAGTGCGGAAGTTCGTTGAGCAGCAGACTCGCCGACGTTTACGCGAGGCTCTACGGATTATGGATTCATCGATTTTCGATATCCAATCGAGTTCCGATGATGACTTCGACCGGGACGAAATTGTGCCCATAAAACTCCACACATCGGAGCCCACCACGCACATGAGTCGGGTTTACATTCTTCTTGTGGCTCATACATCGACGGGGTTCCGAATAGGAAGTGATGCCTTAATCGGTGGCCAATGGGCTTCGGGCCCCCCAAAGAGGAAGCACAAGAGCAACAAGGAAGCACCCAGGCACCATGCAAAAGGTAGCAACCCGTCTAAAGACATAGCGAATATCACAAGTTACATTGATGCCGTACTTGAAGTCTTTATCGAAGAAGTATTCACCGAAGAGATCTCTGACCAGCGTCGCGATTTATCCAGCGCTACGGATACAAAGCCATCGCTCCTGGATTTGCACATGAGAGATCAAATTGTGGTGTTTGAGGCTCTAGGTGAGGCTCACGGGGCTAGCAATCATGAGGCTAAATCCCGGCAACGGGAAGGTGAGCAATACTGGTCATTGCATACCAGGACTTCGCAGTGGGTGTGTCAGAAGATGTTGGTAGATTCGCCCGAGTAGAAAGTCAGATGACTTCGGATGCACAGATAAAGCTATATAGTAATCTTACATTATAGTTTAACGGCCAATATGTCCCTTAGCAGTTCCTCGGGTATAGTTCTCGGTTAGTGCCTGTTTCAAAATCGCACCAAGCCGACTTCGGCTTTCACCCCGAGAATAGGCCGTTGCTCTACGATCTAATTAAAGGGCAAACCATGGGCCGTTTCACCTAAGAACTAGCATCACCGGCTCCATGGTAATGGCGAACCAGTTAGAGAGCATCGGACTTAACACAAGCGATCTTCCCAGTGACACCGGGCCATCTGTCTGACACGCTCCACCGGGAGCTGATCCACACCGCTGAACTCCGAACGAGTCTCCATTAATCCTAGGCCCGAATCCTGCACACCTGGGCATGGGCGGACTAAAAGTCCGACCTACGGGTATGCAGGTGATTATGATTAGCGTTCAGCATCAAGGGTTTCATTAATTCAAGCCGGTATGACACCTGGGCACCGGACCGTTTACCCGGATGAGTACGGGAATTAGGCATCCACAAGCTTGTTGACATTTCCACGTAGCTCTGAAGGTGACTACTTATGTCTAGGCCCTAGAGGCAGGTATAAATCTCACATGAAATGTGATACAGGTGTGACGGACTAATCTCAGACAGGCAACAGTCTCGAAAATTCCTCGCGGTCACTAAGAAGCTACTAAAAACCGCACTAAGGGCTTGGTATCGATAATACCCATAGAACTCAACGGTTGAGCCGTTTCGTAAATACAGAACAGTTACACACTAATGAACTAGTTAAAGTCCGGGCGAACAAGCCCCCTAACAAGCCACACCGACAAACCACTAGACCAATGATCATCCTCCTAGCTTGCCGGACACGGTCCCCTGAAGAAGAAGTGGAGCCAGCGCATTCCCCACAGTCAACTCTGAAACAGCGAACAAACTGATCTCACTGTGGCTGAGCCGTCCGGTTCCATCGGAAAAAGGGGCAACTTACAAAGCGAACGCTAAGGAGGCGTAGAAGCCTGATGGAAAATTGGAAAAATCCCAGAATCCAAGATACGGATACGCCAGGGCTGGGATCCCCACTTCGGTCTTTGCAGCACCTATGGTCTCGTTGACGTCCAAGACACATGTTTTACATCAGAAAAAGCTTCCCCAAACTTGATAATGCTCATAAGGTTAGGATGAAACGATTCCACCAAAAGTATAATCCGAGTCATTAGAATAGAAATGGAACAGAGCTATCTTAAGCTGAAGCTGGAACCACCCGACTCGAAATTCCTCAACTTGGCAGCAACCCTGAGTAGCAATCAACAATGCCAAGTGCGCGTTCGGTCCTCTGATCCTCCACTTGAGGCCCAATCCACCCCTGTGATGATATGCGTGAAATTGCGATTTACCCCATAGAAGTCAGCCTTGCAGCAGAACATGAACTTCCTACGCTGCAAGGAGTCCCCGTTTCTATAACATTAGACGTCTATTGGAGACCGGGCATATTAGGATCCGATACTGGAAAAATATCCGCTGTATCCGTATACCCGTGGAGATGAATCTGAATCACGATCAACATCAATCAATAATGTGCCCGTGTCCCAAATGCCCGTGCCTGCAAGTGGGGACATTCTCGTTTGGTTCGGGTTTCGTTTCGCGAGGCGATCGGGTTTCCGCCCGGGAGTCTTGGTCCCCGGGCTCCAATTTTATTGATGTGCCCAGGTGCATGTTAGTCCAGCTACAGGGTGGGTATATATCAATATTTTGAAAAGTTTGGGTCAACTATGTATGAACTACGTAAACTAGTTTTGGATATGGGGTGTTTGGGTTTGGGTTTGCGGAGTTTCAAACTATCGAGAGAAGACGGGTTTGGTTTGGTTCGGTCATAGGTGGATCCCCAGTGGAGGGAAGAAAAATGAGTTGGGCTGGTTTGGGCTGTCAGATCAGAACTGATTTTTCGGGGTTTTGGTTGTTTGACAGCCGGTTTCTGTGTATGCCTGGTTTGTTAAATTACCGTACTTTCTAAGTAGGAAAGACAGGGGGGACCCATGTACGGTGGTTTAGGGAAATCGATTATTGTTCTATTGCGCTAGAAGCGCTGCAGGGCTGGAATATACCTTCTTGGGGGCCGATCATATCGGAGGTTTTATTAGCTGAATCTGGAGTGCAGCGGTCGGATCATTTTTCCGCTTTACGTAGGTTAGCCTAGTATAAACACAAAACTAAATCTTATTATAATGGCTTGTTACAGAAGAGGTAGAAGTTTTGTTATTTTTACCCAAGTTTTAGGCACACAAGTATCAAACCTTGCTCATCCTTGGCCTGGTTTGGGGCCCGACGGGGCTGTGAAGGCCCCTGGCCCCAAGATGAGCCTCGTCTTTTGGCGCATGCAAAGGAAATCACCCGGCAGATGTCAATGCACGTGGTGAGAATTGTATGCATGTAGATGAAACAGGAAAGAGAGTTTACCGTTGGCAACGGCTCATTGGGGCCATATTTAGGTCAGATGGGATCTACTGCGTCTCGCCATGTCATCCTTGCGGCTGAGAATATAGTTTCGATCAATGGGGCTGTCCGCTTAGCCCCATTAATAGATGGGCAGGCCTAGCCACGGGCTGTGAAACGCTGCGGTCAGTTAATCTGAGGCCTAGAACTCGTGCGTGACCAGGTTTCGAGTTTCCAGGTTACAGGAAGCTTGTAGCACGTTCAAGGTCAAATTACGAGGAAATGTAATGAAAATGAAACATGATCACCAGATCATAGTGAGAGCATGATATCGATGCAATGAGGTATCTAGGAAAACAGGAATATCCATATAGGATATGAAAATAATGGGGGCAAAAGAAAAACCATAAAACATTAAAACAAAGACTGGGGGTATGGCATCATGTCGCGAAGGACCAAAAAAAAAAACAGTCAAGATAATGGCTATTTGCCGACAAGGGAAAACGATAGTATGCGAAAGGGAAAAGACAAAGAAACGAAAGTTCGATCGTCGATCGACAGATCAAAGAATCCATCTTGCGCCACTGCCTAGTGGCAGATCCCATATGCCCGAGGTAATCCATGCAAGGTGTTCTATCCGCCACGCTTGCGCCAGCAGCGAGAGTATCCGGGCAAGTAACACAACAAAGAAAGAGAGATGGCCGCCATCGTGAGAATAGAGAAACGCCTGGCGATGCATATGAGGTAGAAAACGAGAGTTCAAAAAAGCATTCAGGAAATGGCCTCAACATCCTAGGAAATCAGTCCCAGCCTGTAACCTCGAGGATGTATCCCCATCCCAGTATCATGTCATGGCCTCAAGCGGCTTTGGTGATTTTGTGGGGTGATGGGTAGATTTTTTTTTCTTTTCTTTTTTTGGTTTGGACGAAGACGGTCTCTGGGGGAGGTTGCATGAGGTTGCATTACATGGCCAGCTCAGACATGTTGTTCGCGAATTCGGCGCGCATCTCTGAGGGAAGTTGGCGCTTGAAATTGCGTGGTTGCGCAAATGGCGAGGCAGATCCGGGGCGTCGCAAGTTCAGTTGCTATTCGCGATATTAGCTTTTTTATTCCTTTCTTATTCGTTCACTCTCCTCTGGATTGCCCAAAGAAAGTCACCGCGAGCTTTCCCTTGATGCGCCACAGAGATCTTGAGGGGAAATTTTGTGTAGACATACCCTGCAGTCAGAGCACTTGGTGCCTTCCTTATTGACACGCCCCCGGCACCCGCGAGGGTAGTTGGCGCAAGAGTACATTGTGAGAGGTGAGGGTGTTTTGTATTTCGCGGGGATCGCGGGGAGTAGGTGTGGTAGATGAATGGAACCAAATCGCGGGGGACAGTAAAAGTACCGGAGCTTGAGCTGAAGCTGAAGCAGGTGTAGGTGTAGGTGTGGTTGTAGTTCACGGCGGGATCCCGGTAAGGTTGGAGGCGAGCAAGGTGTGAAGGTGGAAGTTGGAAAAAAGCCGTCTGAATCTCCTTTAAGGACGTTCGATCCACCAAAAGGGGAGGAAAATTCGAGCTAGGCACTTTTGAACTTTAAAAAAGGATCCAGCGGAGATCAAACTAGTTAAAGGAAAAAAAGTGAAACCCAAAAAAATAATTTGGCGATGACGTCGGAGGTTCAAGGTATTAGTGCTAGGAAATCAACCCAAGGTAAATTTTTTGGGGAAGAAGGGAAGAAGGGGGTTTATATCTAGAGGCTCCAACGCATCTAAGGAGAAACTAGAAAATTTTAGGGTTCCATTGTTACGACTTGATGTTTGGATGGAACTTTAGACTGGTTATGGGGTTATGAGGTCCCGTTTTTTATTTCCGTATTCTATATCGGAAATTTATGTAATGTATTTTATATTGAAGGGGTATGTAAAATACTAAATCCCGTCAAATCCAGACCCTATCGTCGCTTCGTTTGACTATATCCTTGGCAATCAATTCTTTTTTATTTTCCCTTTCCGTTTATTTGCTCTCTTTCTCCTATAGTGGGTTAGAATGGGCCCAACGTTGTTCCTGTCAGGAGACATGACAAAAAGAAAAAGAAAAAAAAGCTCCGTCCAGGGCAGATCGGGCGATCCCACCCTTTACGACCCAGCCATGCGGGTGTCTGATCGGCTCAGATGCTGGCCATCGATGCATGACGGCCCTGTCGTTTGGAAGGGGTGGACCAATGACGGCAGCAGCTAGGGAGAAAAAGAATGCGTGGTCTGCGGTACGATGCATGATGCCGGATCGTGCTGGAATGACTCGCAGTCTCAACCTTGGATTACAGGGTTCCCTAGTGGAGCTCAGAACGTTAGAAGCTCCCGGTGTCTTCGAAACACCAAGCTGATGGGATGCAATATGCATCAGATTGAGTGTTTTTCGGTTCCCTTAAGCAAAAAAGAAAAAAGAAAAAAATTGAAATGCCGAGCTGTCCGATCCCGGTGGAAAGGGACGGACCCTCGCTTTCGCCCTTCTAACCCCTTTTTTGGGCCCTATCATGTCACCTTCATCTCCCCCTTGGTCATTCTTTTGTTTCGTGTTGATGCCCAATCTACGTAGAAGGTTACAGAGCATTCTATTGATTTAATTGTTTTATGTGATTTTCCATTGGTACATCATGTCAAACGGGAACCAAAAAATCAATCTCGCATAGAACCAAGGATCCAACGTTCCAAAGGTTCCAGACTCCGATCCAAGAGTTTTCCTATGCGGTATGCGGTAGTGTTCTGGAATTCTGGAAAATCTCCACTGATCCCAATGATTTACTGGATTAACCCGTTCGGGCCTGTAGGTTTGGAGCCGATCTGGGGAGTCATTATTGCTTGATTACTAGATAATCGCTCTAGACCAATAAGCTCCGTGTTTTTTCTGTCTATGAAATCGCACTATCTCGAGAGGGTAGTTATACGCCCTAGCAATAATAGTGATAGTATGGAAGATGAAATAAAAACCAAGACCATTAGTGCACCCACATAAGTCTCCCTTTATGATTCTATTCTATTGTGCTATGATCGTCATTCAAATTGTCCGGTGAGACCAGACTCTGCCTGAAACCTCAACTTTAACCGCGCTTTCACATGGGTTGACACGGCAACTTGCGCTCTGTCGTTGTGGAGGTAGTGGATCCCTTTCTATCCGTTTTTCCGCTTAAAGAGATAGGGAAAAATTTTGAAGAAATTGAATTATGGGATCGGCCATGACCGAGACGTCAGATCTAGACTACCAGTGTCATGCTTTCCTGGCTTTCCGGGCTTAATGGACTTGTGAGCCCCAAAGCTTATTCTGGATGATACAGCCTTGACACAATTAATCTATGGGTTTTTTTTCTCCCGTATTTGTTTCGGGGATGGCAATCTGCTTTATCTCGACAGTAACCATCTACGCGTTCTTCTTGATTCCCCGCCTTGAAAGCCAAGCGCTGGCCCGGGGGGTAAATTACGCTTTCGTCAGCTCCGCGTGTCGCACAGTACTCTACCACGTAGGTACACCGCGTTGTTTGTTCAGCACCTGGCAGATCTGCCAACGACGATAAGAGACAATTAGGCTTAAACTGGTCAGCTGACTGGCTTTGTGAATGGGAAATTTTGTTCCGCGGATATGACGGCACACTGTGTAAGCAGCTCCCCAGTTTTGCCCGCTTGTCACTTAACTGCCGTTTTCTCCACCACTCTGAGAGATAAAAAACAGCAAAAAAAAAAAGTACCGTAGATCCAAGCGTTCCAAGGTACGCATATGTGGATTTGTCAGAGTAGCTAAGGTATACCGTACACGTACTTGTGTTCGTGGTCGGCTTTCAAGGACAACCGCAGCATGTAGTGGTCCGCAAGGAACATGTGGACCATGGGCTGGATTACCGGACATTGATTGGTTCAGGCACCCAAATTCCCGTCCATTTCTATATCTCTGATACCCGTTGATTTATTTCCACAGCGGGAACCCGTGCGAAAGGTCTAGAAGATCGCTCGAAGCTATAGAAGCCGGGCGGTGAAACACGAGCCGTAGGATTTGGCCCACATCCAGAATCGGGACCAAAACCAAAACTTAGAGCTGTTTACTGTTTACTCCAACTTCCGTGTTACAAACCGTGTGACCGAAGGAAGCGGGGCATCAAACCTTGGAACCGTACCATGATAGCAGGCAGCAGCTGCAACTTGTCAGATATGCAGAATGCTGCACGGGACACCGCCAGAATAAGGGAGCACACCCCTCTCAAGCTAGGTAAACGGACGAGAATCGGAGGTGAGCTTCCTAGCCTGAATAAAAACGCCGGTGACCTCATCGGCTGTGTAGTGGTACTTTACTCTCATTAGGTCCAGCCACAGAAAGTTTATGGTGGGGATTGTCGGCATCCAGACCCCGTTTTGGAGCGCCGCCTCAGGTCAAGTGACCAACGAAATTTTTATGTCATGACCAGGATCTTCGAAATAACCTCAGGAAAAGAGGAGACATTAGAATTGGGGTCTTGTAAACCCTGTTTTTGGTTTCTTAGTCCATTTTCCTAATTTGCTTTGTCGCACCGACCCGCCAATGTTATCTGATGGGACGTCACAGAATTATGGCGGTGGCTGATGAGCGCCATCTCATCATTTCAAAAGGACTGAGCATCGGTAGACAAATCTGGTGAAATACATTTAATAAGCGTCATTCATAGTATCATAGTAGAATGGCCCTGATTGGAAGTTGACCCGAAATACTGCCCCATACTGTACATACAAGCCAGTAAGATGACAAACACTTTAAAGAGACCGAAGCAGAACCCATGCACCAACAAGCCCTAGTGTCGATGCAAGTAGCATCCCATTTCCTTCCCAGGTCAACCCCAGATATGCCAGGAATCCCACTACTATCTCCTTCTGTCGAGCGGCATCCCTCCGAGACCGCCAGCTGGGGTCAATTGCAAATGGAGCCACCGATTTGGCTTCAGGTCCCTCGTGATCTGTCTCTGATGGACTATCGGAAGGCTTCAGAGGAACAGACACCGCTAAAGCAACAGGCCGGTGATCCGAGTGTGGGAAGAGGGGCAGTGCGCTGTATGCATGGGGTTTGACTTGTCCTCCTTCTCTAGCCCAGGAGGGACTATCCAGGTAGAGGATTCGGTCACACCAGCTCGGCCAGCGGTGGTTTGACCACTTCCACTCTGCCTCTGACTCTCCACTCAGGAGACTGGCCCGTGCAGCCTGCTGCGCTGCATCCGAATACTTGTAAGTTGGGGGAAAGTCAATGGGTGCCTCAGACAACCCATGAAAAGAGCGCCCTTCACGCATCTCACGCATCAGCTGGTCCTCTTTGAGGAGGTGAGAGTAATGTGCGGGATCTTCGCGAGGAACACCTTGTCGAGGAAAGCGGACGATATCTGCCTTCAGTGGGCCAACATCAGACGTTCGGTAGTTGAGATCTCCCGCCAGGAAGAGGTAGGAGTTGGGCGCGAAGAGATCTTGGCGACTGGTCTCCGCTTCGTGCGATGATTCGTGATCCGCCAGAAGAGCAGTGCTCTCATCGGAGCTTCCTTGGCCCAAGGCTTTCAGCGGGCTGTCTTTGTGGGAGAAAACCAGCCGCTCGACAATACTTTGCCAGTCCAGATTCCTTTGTTCCAGTGCATTCTCCATCGGCGCCAGGTGAGCCGCGACAAATGTCAAATCTACTGTCTTGGATGGATGACCCTCCGCCACATAACCTAGCCGTGCTCCCACAGCACCTTTGTTGCCCATCTCTTGAATTCCGAATCCAACGTGAGCAGTGTCGACCCATGGGATTTTGTCCACAATATCAGCCCGCGCAAAGACCATTAATCCGGTCATTCCCGTATGGTCCTTGACCAGATTCACATATGATTCATTCCATAATTTAGCAGTCGCTTTCTTGACTGTCCTTATAAATGCATCGAAGTAGGGTGTTAGATATGTGCCACCCAAGAATGAATATGCGATTGGTGCGATCTCCTGGAGTGAGAGCACGATCAGCTCGGGGGCGCCCAAGCTCCGCGCATCTGCAGACAAGGCATCAAAGAAATGGTCTGCGAACAGATCGACGTCGATAAGAGTACGTGCGCAGTTCGATGTGAGGATGTAGAGATTAAGGTCCTCCATTTTGGCGAGTGTGGTTTGTGGAGGTCGAGGAGGGAAATAGCGGTGACGTCGTTGATCATTCAGCCACGTGAACGATGCATATCAGTGGAGTCGATTTGAACTTTGTTGATTTCCGATAAGTGATAAGCGGAACCCACAAAATCACAATCGTGCAGCCAAAAAGAAAAGACCAAAAAAGAAAGAGGCTTGCATCATCCGTGAATCGAACACGGGCCTCGTCGATGGCAACGACGAATTCTACCACTAGACCAATGATGCTAGTTCATGTAAGGATGATCAAATTGATGTTTCATAATTCACTAAGCAAATGCTGCGCTTCTATCTAGGCTTCATAGCTTCCCTCGTAGCTGCTCTTGTTCTTGTGGTCCTGTCAATTCCACCAGCAACATTCCTTCCGCAACATCCTCTTCATCGTCCTCCATTTCATATACCCATTGTACCTTTCCAGCTCGAGGGCTGCGCACTTCCAATTCCATCTTCATTTGCTTGACAAAGGCCAGCACTTGATTCTCGGCAACATCTTCCCCTTGAGTAACCAACATCTCAATAAGCTTTCCGGAGAGAGGTAGAATGATATGGCGCGGATTGTTTGGATCTCCACGTCGGTGGGAGGAAGAGACCAGAGCCGATGCGGCGGTAGTAGTGGTATCCAGCTGCATTCGGTAAGGAATCGCAGTCTTTGAGTCTGGCGTTGTGTATTCAATCTCGGCCGCGAGTGAAGTAGGGAACTCGTTGCGGAGTACTCGGGATAACTTCATGTGGTGTGCAATGCTGGCTGATGTTTGCAGGGGGTCCTTCTGAAGCGGCTCCAAACGGATAGACCATGCGTCTCCCTTGCGGAACAGCAAATTGGAAGCTGGCAGTGCACCCTGTGCCAGTGACTGCTGTGAAGAGCTAGCAGGTCCTGGTTGATTGCGAAGTGAGCGTGAGATGTCCTCACCCAGCTGATATATTTCTTCAAGCTTAGTCCCCAGCCACTGGGTGTCAATGTCGCCAGACATGAAATCAGCATGCCTCACAATGCCTCGGAGAAGGTTGATGTTCGTCTTGACGCCAGATATTTGGGTATCAGTAAGTACTCTCTGGGCCTTTTTAACTGTTGCACCCCAGCTGGATGCTGTAATAATGATTTTAGCCAGCAGATTATCAAAGTTTGACCCAACAACCAATGAAGAAACACTGGAGACATGGGTGTCGACTCGAATTCCATGCCCACTGGGAACATTAAACTCAGTAATCTTGCCGATACTGAGTGCAAAGTTATTCCCTGGATCTTCAGCACACAGTCGAAGCTGTATGGAAAAGCAATTTGCGGGCGCCGGAGCCCTTGGGTCAACATCTGATCCAAGACCAAGGTCATTGAATGTTTGTCCATGGGCCAACAGAAGCTGGGTCTGCACTAAATCTATGCCACTGATAGACTCTGTGATCGTGTGCTCCACTTGAAGTCGCGGATTGACTTCTAGGAAATAAAATTCTCCTTTTTGCTCACTAACAAGGAACTCGAATGTTCCCAGAGACAGATAGCGAATGTTGCTCGCCATCTTCAAAGCGCAGTCAATCACCTGAGAGATCAGGCCCCGGTCGCGCATCAGCGCAGGAGCACACTCAACAACTTTCTGGAATCGTCTCTGTACACTGCAGTCTCTCTCCCACAAATGACGCACTTGACCTGTTCCATCACCGATAACCTGAATCTCAACATGGTGAAACCCATCCACAGCAGCTTTTTCAACAAACACTGTGCGCGACGGCGACTCGCCGATGGCCCGCTGAATACTATTATCAAGCTCGGACTCCTCGCGCACAAGACGAATCCCCCGACCGCCCCCTCCATCTACAGCTTTAATCATGACCGGAAAGCCAACTTGCCTCGCAAAAGCTCGCGCCTCGCCGACGTCAGCAGTTGGTTGGCTCATAGCCTCCAAAACGGGAACTGCACATTGACGCGCTAGCTGTTTGGCCTGGAGCTTGTCTCCTGTGCGGGCAAGGTTCTCTGAGCCTGGTCCTATGACGATAGCGCCCGCTTCATCCCACATACGCTGCGCGAATTCGGCGCTCTCACTGAGGAATCCATATCCTGGATGTACTGAATCTACGGAGTATTTCCGTACGATATCAATCAGACATGATATGTCCAGATATGAAGCAGGGTTGGGTAACTCCACTGCTCGGTCCGGATGACCCAGATCACAGTGTGAACGGTCATCTGACGTAAAGATAGCAACCGTCTCTATGGGATCAGGAAGCTCCCGCGTAGCATTGAGTATGCGAACAGCAATTTCACCTCTGCCAGTGTCTTCATTAGTGTTGGATCTTTATCTGGTCTGTTGGGAATATGGGTAGTACCTATTTGCGACCAGCAGTCGTTTGATGGGACGAGAGTGCGGGGATGACATCGGTGCAATGTCCGGGGTAAGCAACACGCCAAGCGATATATGTGTTGACTTCTAGAAGTTCTTAGCAGATGACAATATTAAATCATCAATAAAGTAAGGTTAGTGAAGTAGAAATATTTTGGAATCGGGTTGCTTTTCTTAATAATAGCATGATTGCAAACTCCCTCGGTCCTCGGAGGTTTCGACCATCGCCCCCTCATTTGCATTAGCCGCAGAACAAAACCAGCCACTGCCCCTTGCTTGCCTTGATACAACGAAGTTTCTCAAGATAAATATTACAATTAAGAGAGTCAAGGTCGAAATTGAACGCCATGGTGAAAGACAACGATACTCAATCCTCCAGAAATGGCAAGGATCAAGCTACAGAGCGACTGAACCAAGTCTCCTCACACATCTCCGCACCAAAGACTGATAAGCCAGCCACCACCAAATCAAAGTCCAACAACACAGCATCCCGTCTCCCAGCAGATCATTCCGATGTTCTTAGCCAAATATCGGAACTGCGCAAAATAGCTGCGACACCAGACCCGAATTCTCGGGGTTATATCCGGCAAAAACAAGCTGGTAAGCTATGGGTCCGCGAGCGCATCGACCAGCTCCTTGACCCAGGCTCGTTTCAAGAAATCGGCTCTGTATCTGGGACAGTAACATGGAAGAAAACTGCACCAATGCGTGAGACGCCCGTGGCATTCGTTCCTAGCAATAATATCCAAGGCGCGGGGACGCTCCGGGGCAGAAAGGTACTGCTTACAGCAGACGACTTTAGTATTCGATCCGGACATGCAGATGGAGCAAGCGCGGAGAAGACGGTTTATGTTGAGAAGCTGGCTCTCGCTTTGAGGCTGCCTGTGGTGAAGTTGGTAGACGGGAGCTCTGGGGGTGGGAGTGTGACGACTATCAGAAAGGCAGGGTGGAGTTATCTTCCATATGTGAGGCCTTTCAAGGCCGCGATCCAGCAGCTGAATTTGGGAATTCCAAATTTAGGTGCTGTTGTTGGTCCTGCGGTATGTTTTCTAGATGAAATTTTTCTGGTATTCGGGTTTGCTCACATTACTTTAGATTGGTCTCGGCGCAGCAAGAGTAGTCTCTTGCCATTTTTCGGTAATGGCGGCAGATATTGGCGCGCTTTTTAATGCTGGTCCAAAGGTTGTGGAGGGTGCCACATTTGAAGAGGGTCTTGGTTTCCAAGATCTGGGTGGCCCAATGGTGCATTGTACGAACGGGACAATCGACAACCTAGCTGCAAACGAAGCCGAATGTTTTGAACAGCTTCGTACAGTATTGGGTTACTTACCCAACTCTGGAGCAGATGCTCCACCGATCATTTCATGTGATGATCCAGAAGATCGAGAAGACCTAGCATTGCGCAGTATAATACCCCGCCGCCAGGCACGAATGTACAATGCTCGAGTGATCATCAATTCTGTTGTTGATCGGGATTCATGGTTTGAGATTGGTGCCCTCTGGGGCCGCACAGCTATTGGCGGGCTGGCACGCCTTTCGGGTCGTCCTGTTGGAATCATTTCTCTGAACTGTGAAGTGAACGGTGGTGCACTAGATGCAGCTGGTAGCCAGAAACTCACTCGGCTGCTGAAGATGTGTGACGTGATGAATATTCCTATTTTGCAGTTTATTGACGTCCGTGAGTTTCAATCTTGTTCTCCTTGATACATGATTTGTTGATTGAACTAATGCATTGTAGCTGGCTACGCAATTGGTACCGTGGCTGAACGCACTGCAACAATGCGCTGGGGCGTCGAGCTGGCAAAAGCCTACTTCACCACCACAATCCCGATCTTCAACGTGGTTACCCGGCGCGCCTTCGGTGTAGCTGGCGGAGTCATGCTCGGCTCCCGGGACCCAGTGATGCAAGTTGCGTGGCCGTCTGGGCAGTGGGGTTCATTGCCACTAGACGGGGGTATCGAGGTCGGACATCGGCACGAACTGCGGGAGGCAGAGAAGGTAGGTAAGAAAGAAGAGCGATACAATGAATTGGAAGAGGAGTATCAGCGGTTGATGAATCCCGTCCGAACTGCAAATGCCTTTGGGGTCGAGGAAATTATTGACCCGAAGGACACCAGACAGGTTTGTTGTTCGTGGGCAACACATGTTTACGATGTGCTTATGAAGGAGAGGCTGACGGACCGTGCTTGTGGAAAAATTCATCCTTCTTTTGCTTGATCATGGAGCATATAGAGTTTCTAGGATGGTGATTACATACTCCCTTGTTCATATGTCACAGATCTACACTTTGTTGGGCTAAGGTCCACTACAAACCTTGGAAGGCTGCATTGATACATATAAGTAACTAATACTTCAGTGAATGACAATCCACAACCTTGGAAAGCCCCCCAACTAGATTGTACTAGTCAAATGTTAACCTAAATCTAATTTATCCCTCACACTTGACCCAAAATAGAGTCTTCAGGGTTAGAGTAATGGAGCACGCGCGGCGGATTATGTAACCGTTAGAAATCCGCACATAGTTATCAATCACCCCACTATCGCATCGCAAAGCTTTACCTACCAAACCCCAAACACACAATGGCAACAGTTCAAATCCTAGACGGAGGCCTTGGAACCTCCCTCCAAGACCAATACGGCGTGTCGTTCGACAATGTCAACACCCCCCTCTGGTCCTCGCATCTCCTCGTCTCAGACCCAACCACACTAGAAGCCTGTCAAAAAGACTTCTGCGTCGCAGGCGCCGATGTCCTGCTCACAGCAACATACCAAGTCTCGCCTGAAAGCTTCCTGCGCACAAAGACGGCCGAGTTCCCCAATGGCATCCCCAGCACCGCTATCGGCCGGTACCTGCAAACGTCCGTGGATGTTGCTGAGCGCTCGAATGTGCGCGAAGGCGCACAGATCGCGCTGAGTCTGGGCCCTTACGGCGCTTGCATGATTCCCGGACAGGAGTACAGTGGAGCGTATGATGCGGAACATGATGGGGAGGAGCAGCTATATCAGTGGCACTTGGAGCGGTTGCGACTTGTGCTTGGTGCTGAGGGCAACTTGATCAAGCGGTTGCAATACGTGGCCTTTGAGACTTTGCCAAGGCTCGATGAGGTGCGGGCTGTTCGGAGGGCTATTCGGGATGCTGGAATCACGGATGTGCCATACTGGATTGCATGTGTCTTCCCCGGTGAAGATGGGCTTTTGCCTGATGGAAGCTCCATTGAGCAGGTTGTGGATGCTGCTGTTCGTCCTATGGAGGGTGGCCTTTCGCCGTGGGGTATTGGAATCAACTGCACGAAGATTCATAAGCTACCCAGTCTGGTCGACAAATTTGGAGCTTCTATTGCCGAGGCAGTCGCTGCTGGACAGATTTCAACTGCCCCGAGTTTGGTGCTATACCCTGATGGCACCAATGGCGAGGTCTACAATACGACGACACAGACTTGGGAGAAGCCCGAGGACCCCAGTAATGGCGGGCAGAGAGATGTTGTGAGTGAATCTGAATTACCCTAGATTTCCAACCCCGAATTTTGTGTGCGTGATATGCTAACCGAGTGAAGCGCCCGTGGGAGGTTCAAATCGCGCAGGTTGTCAATGATGCCTACGAAAAGGGTCCTTTCAAGTCTTTCCTTGTCGGGGGTTGTTGCAAGGCGTCTCATCACGATATCAAAAAGCTCCGAGAGCAATTTTAATGAAACATGTTTACTCAGTCTGCATAGAAAATCGGCTTCCGAACCGATGGGATATGAGTGTCTATGTACCAAATATGTTGAATTTTGACATGGTATCACGCTATATACAAGGGGAATTATACGAGCACATAAAATTACATTAGCCAATCGAAAAACCGCCCATACCAGGTATTGCGGGGGTTCTTATGCGGCATGATTTCTCCATCTTGGAGGCGCCCTGACCAGAGGTCAATTTCGTGGGAGCGCAGAAATTTGGTGCGGAACCATAACTTCCAACAGATGATCGGCACAATGAAAATGGGAATGCCGATGTATGATGCAACGAAGTCGGAGGTGCTCCAGTGACCCTTCAAGAAGACATCAAAGCCAGCGACCAGTGTGATAATGGTGGAGCCAATGAATCCAAACCAAGCGGCATACGGCTGGAATGGGGCCTTCCACGGCAAAGTGTCGCGGGAGACGCCTTGCTTCTTCATGGCAGCAAAGAATCGGATATAGCAGAAGCACAGAGTAGCCCATGCAATCAGGCCAGCAACTGTACTCAAGTTGAGGAGCCAAGTGAAAGCCTGCGATGCGCCACCAGATCCAAGACCTATTGATGGTTAGTATGTGTTCCGAAAGGCACAAAAAAGAAGAAAGACTTACTCAGATAGGCCAATGGGCCAAAGAGCCAAGCGGTGATAACTGCAACGTATGGCACACCCCTCTTGTCGCAACGGCCAAAGATCTGAGGCAGCTGGTGGTCGGTAGTCATAGCGAGAATCATGCGCGATCCGACCCAGCAGTACGAATTTCCAGCAGACCACGCGGCAACCAAAATACAGGCATTCACAATGGATGGCAGAGCAGTGATTCCCGCTTCCTTGATCGCAATGACGAAAGGCGAGCTGTTTGCGTTGTCGTCGCCCGATGTCAGAGCGCTGTTAGTTGGGTTCACAATGATGCCGATAAGGAGTGCGCCGAGGATATAGAAGAAACCGATACGGTAGGTGACACGACGGGCAGCCTTGGGAATAGCGCGGTGAGGATCAACAGACTCAGCGGCCGTGATAACCACACATTCGACACCGATGAAGCTGAACGAGGCATTGACGAATGAGGACACAAATCCGAGGAAATGACCCGTGGGCCCAGTGATGCCAGCGTAGTCAACCCAAGGACCAGGATTGTGCCAGAAGCGGAAGCCAATGGTCTCACCATTGGGACCACCGCCAGATGTGATGACGATGGAGACAATGACCAGACCCAAAAAGCAAAGCACCTTGATGGCGCCGCCAATGACCTCAGTTTCACCATAGAATCGCACACTCATCAAATTGATCGCCAATATAAGAACCAAGCTGACCGTGATTACCACGGCTGGCGTTATATCTGACCAGTATTCAACGATGACGGCGGCTGCGGATGTTTCGGAGGCAATAGCGATTGTATAGCAATATCCGTATGAAATGGCGAGTGAAAATCCGACGGAGGGGTCGATAAAGCGAGTAGCCCAGTGAGGGAATGAACCGGCGGTGGGGAAGACAGTCGCCAGCTCGGCGATACTTTGCATGACACACCATAACACAGCGCCGACAAGAATATAAGCCAGCAGCAAACCAGCAGGACCAGCCTTAGCGTAGGCTGATCCTGTTCCAACGAAAAGACCAGTTCCAATGCCACTGCAGAAACCGATCATAGTGACCTGGTAATTGCGCAGCCGGCGCTGAGTAGCACCGCGACCACCAACATTGAGCTCGAGCTCGCCTTTGGCATGAGATTCATACCGATCCAGCGGCGCCGCGTCCTGGATAGTTTCCGACTTCTCTATCATGGTGAATGTGAAGGTGCAGATCAAATGCCAAATTGGCCGCACCCCATATATATTTAATATTCGAACCGGGGAACCTTGGAAGGAAAGTTTTCTAACAGGGCGAGATCTTTAATTTTTTTCTCCGAACTCTGTTTCCCCGAAATCTTTAAGCGCGTCAATCACGACATCGGGGTTCCGTGATCGCACCACGGAACACACCCCACTATCGCCGGATTCATTGGATCAACGCTTTCGGATCCCCACTTCTTCCACTCATCCCAGGCGGCGACTCGTCAATTTTTTTCTTCCAGAAGATCCCGGGGGCAAAATCGCCCATATTCGCCTAGTTTGTGTCATAGCACGTCTTTAAACTGGCCCGTTCAATCGCGGGTATTTAGCTATTTGACTAGGATTATATGCAGCTTAGCACTGCACGATGGCGTAGATAGATCAATCTCGGCAAGGATCCGAGCTTTAGACTTATTTTGTGATCCCTTGAGCCGTTTTGAATTTTGGTCCGATCCCGGGCCTGTCATTCGACGGTCAATTAGGTTATTGCCATCCAAATTTGCCTTATCATGTAGAACCTTCTTTCAGAATTCTTTTGGTGACCGAATTACCTTATCTTTTTGCCTCAATCTAAATTTGCCTCCCAAGTCCGTCTCGGAGCTTTCTCTGAAATGAGATAATACAGGCGCGATCAACATGGATCTTCCTAGAGATGATGAAATAACTCCACCCGTGTTTCGTGCAACGTGTTCTTGTGGGGTTTCGCACAACATGCACGTTGTATAACAGCGAGTCTTTACAAACGCTCGGGCCTCGTCAGGGCTGAGCATTATGGTTTTCACTAAGAACTTGATGCCACGATCAAGTCGAACATTTGAACCGAGCATAACCCGACATCGGCCTAGCGTTAGGAATAACGAGGAGGAAACATCGCTTAGCTCTCCAGAAAGCCACATTAAAAAAATGCAACTTGATATTAGTAGCCCCAGATGCCGCCGACTTCCGGGGTGATAGTACGGAGTACTCCGTAGATCTGTGTATGTAAATAGGTGGTGGGTACTGCTTACCAGTTGGCCAGAGCACCAAAGGATGCGCGGATGGTCATACCAACGTGTAGGCTTTAATATCAACGTTCAATATTAATACGCTATTTCTCCAATATATAGGAGGCACTGGCCCTAGACCACTCAATTCCTAAAGATCTGGTTGAGCGGGTCCAAGTCTTGAGTTGTCATTTATTGGGGCAGTGCTGGACTTTACTCCCAAGGCTCTCCACTAATGAGGTTCAACGGCTTCGATGCAGCTTTTGAAAGATCCCAGCCCTAGAAGAAAGGATCCGGGATTGGTTCTATTTCTGCAACTTACCAATAGTGCAGCTTGGAATGGATGTTCTTGTCATACACTGCTCTAGAATATAAAACCCCTTTTATCGTTCATGACGCCGGTAATTGACTCTTGGCAAACCTTATGCACCGTTGTGTTCCCGCATAATTAATTCGGGGCATTCACTTCCGAACGATCGATAAACACCAACTTAGCAAGCCAAGCGCCGATCGTCAGAATCTTGGTCCTGAGTGGTGGTACGGTTCACGTCAGAGCCGAGGTTATGTACCTGTAGAGCCAAATAGCTCCTTCAATAGCGCCGATCCACGAGGTCAATTTAACGATCAAGGAAATCAGAAATCTTACCTCAGCTTTTTATGCTCCACCCCTCATTCCTGTATTCTCTCCAATTAAAGAATGTTACAACCCCCCTTGGTTTCGCACCAATAAGTATCCAGCGACAAATCATCTGGACCAACCTTCAATGCCGATGAGGAGCATCTAAACCCGATGTCCGCCCCCGCACAAAAAGATGACGGGCCTACCGACACTTCGCCGGTCATTAGCGCCGAGACAAGTCCACCACCAAAGGCACCGCCAGTCACCAAACCGCGTCGCAAACTTCCCGGATGGTTGGATCATTTCAATGCGCGCGACTTGAAAGTGCTCTTTCGCTGCACTGTAGCAGCATGGGTCGCGTCGCTCTTGGTCTTGATCGGCCCATCTCTGCGTGAGATCGGGACCGCAACTTTCTTCGCGACGTGAGAATAAGCGCCACCATCTAAACGAGTGATTGTCGTTAACAAATTCTCAGACTGGTGCTCTTCATAGTACCGCCGACCGGCATTGTGTTCATCTTCATTTTGGGAACACTGACGCTCATCTTGGGAATGGCTACTGGATGGGCATGGGGCGTCATCACTATGAAGGCTGCCCAGGCGGCGCGACCTGCAGCTGAGACTCAGGCTAGATTACAAGCACTGGGCCAACAGGCGTACAGCCAGGCCAATGCAACAGGCCAGGCCGTTGCAGTTGTCGAACAAGAACTTGTCTACAGTGGCTTTATGCTAGATGCGCGCGTTACTGCAGTCTACTATTGCCTGATTTGCCTCATGGTCTACTTGCTCGTGAGTGTTAAACGACTGTTGAATGCTTTGAAAGACACAGCGTAAATGCTAACGGCGTTTAGGCCCGGCTCCGAACTAAGAATCCTAAATTTACCTTGTTTCAGATCTTTGGTACGATCATTATGGACATCTTCTTGACTATTGGTCCACTACTTCCTTCGTTTCAGGGAACCATTGCCAAGGTATTGATTGAGCCTGCTGCCATTGGCATTGGGATTGGACTGGCTTGCTCAATACTCTTATTTCCCAAATCCACTTCTTCCACCGTTCTCGATGGCTTTGAGGGCCTTGCACGGCTGGTCAAAGGCCCATTGGATGTTACCGCAGCCACTCTATTTGAAGATGAATCCCCTGCACTGACTGATCTGATTAAGCTGAAAATGAAAGCCATTGATACATATAAGAAAATTATACCTGCCCTTGGGTTCCTGCAGCTAGACTTTTCCGTCGGTCGGTGGGGTGCTGATGATATCAAAAGTTTACAGGAACCCATGCGACAAGTTGCACTCACTTCCTTGTCACTACTGGAGTTTCACATTGCACGCATCGGAGGCGAAGAAAAGGTTGAAAAGCTTCGTGACATCTTGGTCGACGACGAGCATTTTTCGAGAGATGCAATGGACGAAAAACGGCCGCGCTCAGCTGGCATGCGCCAGCTGATGGAAAGCGTTCGTCTTGTGCGAGCATTCCGAACTCCCGAACATGAATCTCTTCAATTGGAAATGTTCGAGGCAGTCCGAGTCCCAAGCGAAAAGATCGTGCCAGTCTGTCAAGAGGCTGCAACTGCGGTTGCCGAAGCCATCCACGCCATCAATTCTTCTCGTTGGTTTGGACGACCGACAAAGGAGCAAATTGACGGAGACACTGCACGAATCAAGTCGATTTTGGATACACTCAAGGCTAAGCGGTCAGCCTTTGCCTCCGAGTTCACAGAAAGCCTCATTCAGACCAATGCGGATATCTTTGACGACACTGGCAAATTGAAGGACCTTGATGATACAACAGTGCAACGAGTGCGAGCAATCTCACTTGCCATGGTTTTTGAAGAACATCTTCTCGGTGTGGCCGTGGCCTGGGAACGGGTACTGGAACAAATCGTCGCTCTTATGACAGAGCGCCAAAAAACCCGCCTTTGGCTCCCCAAGGGACTGCGATATGCCGTATACTGGGTGCTCCGAAAGAATAGCGTTGCACCTGTTATTGTGAACCAGGAATCTGTTGCTGATCCCGATGCGGTGGAGGCTCAGTCCAAAGCAGCTCAGCAAAGTCTCCGCATAAGTCGGGGATACCGAGTCAAAAAACGCAGCGGTCTTGGACGCGCGATAATTGGTACCCATCACTGGCTGATCAACGCAGATGGTATGTATGCTCTGCGCATGGTAATTGTCACCATTGCTCTCGGTATCCCTTCGGCTATTCCGTCTAGTGCAGGCTTCTTTTACCGCGAAAAGGGTCTTTGGGCACTGATCATGGGACAAACTACGCTCGTTGTATACATGTCGGACTTCATTCTCTCAGTGATATCTCGTTCCATTGGAACTATCATCGGTGGAGTGGCCGGGCTGGTGGTTTGGTATATTGGCTCTGGCAATGGAGATGGTAACCCCTACGGCCTCGCAGCAGCCTTGGCAGTCGTCTTTGTCATGTTGATGTGGGCACGCATATTTTCACCCGTGGCTGTTTTGCAAGCTACGATAATGGGTGGTGCAACCTTTGTCCTCGTCGTTGGATACAGCTACGACGATACGTAAGACCACCTGACCTTGGGTTAATCTTCAACTTGCTAACTGAAACTAATCTAGGCACATTGCAACTTATGGAAACCCCGGTTATGGATACAATGTTTTCTGGCGACGACTCCTTCTCGTTATTATCGGGTCCGCTGCCGCCTTGATCGTCCAGCTCCTCCCAAGTCCACCATCCGCATCACGACACATCTGCAAATCGCTCTCAAATACCATCCGTTCACAATCTGACCATTACGCCTTACTTCTTTCATGCTGGGGCAAGCCTGACCGCGTCGAAGGCCTAGTAGCCGGAGAACTCGCATTCAACACAGCTGGCACCATCAGCGCCCTCGATGGACCCATCGCGCTTCTAAAGCTGGAGTTCTCCAGCTCCCCCTTCGACAGCGAACGCCTCGGACAAGTCAAATCCCTCTGCCAAGAGTTGAACCAGAATCTCGCCCGTCTGCTATACTTGTCTGCCTCGTTACCCGAGCACTTCCAATCTCGCCTGGCAAAAAACTCCGGCCTCCTTGATCACCGCAACATTGGTGAAATCATGGCCGTCCTGGGAGTTGTGGAGCAGGCACTTAAGACTGGGGATCCTTTGCCCGAAGTATTGCCTACGCCTTTGCTCAAGCGGTGCTTTGAATTCTGGCAGGAGCATCAGGCTGAGATTACTTTGACCAAGGATCTTATACGGGATGATGACTATCGCAAGTTCTGTGTGGCTGTTAGCTCGTACCTCAAGTTTTTGGCTGCGGTTGATGATCTTGTTCTTGTGATGAAGGGCACGCTGGGTGAATCTCATATAGTGAGTCGGGAGTTGTTGCACGATTTGGTTGCAACTGTGTAATGTTTCTTTCTTCAAAATATATATTTCTAGACATTTTTTAATCGAAACAATTCTTATTCTTTGAGTTAGCAGGGGGATTCTCACTTCTACTATTTATACTCAATGCGTCTGTCAATGTACATAAATTATACAGGTCATGTTTCCAATGGTATCTGCTCTGCCACATCCCGATGAGGTCCATTGCACTTTTATAGCCAGCTTGAAGGGCCCCCGGGGTGGAATGCTACAAGTCATTTCTATTACGAAATAAGAATCACCGCCCCACATATTTCAACCCAGTTTCTCCGCACGCCTTCCCCTCACGAAGTTTTCTCCTCACCCCAAAAAGCTTTAGCGCAAGGCTTTTAATGAATCATTTCTTTCGCTTTTCTATTTTCTAATGTTTACAAATTTATATTCAAAAAATAAAACGGTGCCCCATGCCGCCCTCACGCCTTGCACGCCTCCCGCGGTGGATTAGCCACTGGCTTGGCTACCGTTCCGAAACTCCGAAGCCGTTAGGAACATACCAAATAGCCGCATGGTCCTTTATTATAGCTTTCTGCGGCCTCTCGGTATTGCAAGGAATCTTTAACTATTCCGATTACTTTACCTCGCGCCATGTTCCAGGCATTGTCGCCTCTTATGTAAGTAAAGAAGTAATTCTGTCTTTATGGCCGACGTGGCAACTAACAAAACGAATAGGGAGCATCGGCAGTCCTCGTATTCGGTGCCATTGAGAGTCCTCTAGCTCAGCCACGCGCTTTGATCTTCGGCCACTTCTTCAGCGCATTGATCGGTATCTGTATTACCAAGCTCTTCAGCCTTATGCCAGACCATGCGCGATTTGAATCATTACGCTGGCTCGCTGCCTCATTGTCCACCGCCACCGCCATCGTTGTCATGCAGCTTACTGGGACGACCCACCCGCCTGCTGGTGCGACTGCGCTGCTTCCGGCTACCAATGATGAGATCTGGGAGCTCTCTTGGTACTTCTTACCTGTGGTTCTACTGTCATCAACCATGCTTATGTGCGTCGCCTTGTTGTTGAATAATCTGCAGCGTCGTTACCCCGTCTTTTGGATTGCGCCTTCGCCACCGCCTAAACCTGTTGCTGCGCCAGAGCCAGAATTAGCTCCGAAGTCGTCTGCCGATGCTTCATCGCAAGAGAACTCGCCTAAAGAGTCTGTTTGAGTTTTGCAGATGTTTTGTGAACTAGCTCTGCATCCTAATACAGGATACTAATAATTATAATTGTGGATAAGTCCACTGTATATAGCCTCGACTGTTATGATTATAAAATTAGAAGCATGAATATTGATTGATAGGCATAATTGAATCAAAATGCTATGCGATACAGGTATATCATTGAATCATTGAACTCGAAATAAAATGAAGAATCACGCTATTGATCATACATGAGCCCAACCAGCCTCCGCTTCTTTCGAAATCGCGTTCATCGACCCTCCATACTCATGCACACTATGTTGCTGTGTCTTGCACGAAACCTCCTTCTCTCTTGGTTTCCCTGGGCGAGTACACCATTTAACAAAACAAAGGGGTATATGCTTCTTCTTTGCAAGTGCTGTCGCCATTTCACGAATCCTATGCCTCCTGATCTTGTAATCATAAGGACGATTCTCATCAAGTTCATCCGCAAATAGTTTCAGATGAAGTTTCTCATGCGCATTGAGCTTAGTGAGAAGCTTATTTGCTTGCTCATCTTCAAACTCAAAAGATGTCCCCAGCGTGACGTATAATTTAGCGATCGGATGTAGCTTGGGCGAGTGCCAATCTAATGATGTCCATTCCGGTTTCACGAGCCACGGGAGACGACGCTCTTTCATGACAGCAGGCCACCAATCGGCGAATGATAAACGGGCCTTTTTACCAGCGACGGCGTGTACGCATCCGTATGTTCCCTTGGCAGTGTGTGCAAGAAGGCGGTCGACCACAACATCGATCGGTATCTCGTCCAGGGTCACTTCGTTTTCGGGATCTGTGCTTCGGGTGGGAAGTTTCATGTGTTTACCAGCGTATAATAGAATCGCCGCGGCTAGTCTGGTAGACGCTGTTGAAGTCGAGCTAGAGTACCCAGGGTACGGTTGACTGACTGCAGGACCGAGGGAGGATGGGCGGATGATTAACAGTTTCTGCGTAGCCTCATTTTGCATGAATGCGTTGATGAGAAGACGTTCGGTGAGATGCTTGGCGTAGGCGTATGGCCAAGGGAAATCGTTATAGTCGAACTCGATACTCGTCCCTGTATCCAAGACGCTTCTCCATTCATGTTCCGTTTGAGGACCGAATCCTGCCCATTGGCCCAGATTCTGTGGATCGTAAACCTCGCCGTGGGGACCAAGTGAGTAGATGCATTCTTTAACAGGGACGTCAAACTGGTCGCTCGTTTTCCATAGGTGGGCGTTCGCGTATGCGCTGGATATATAAACGAAATTATGCAAGTCTTCGAACTCCATTGCCGTTTCCGCTAATGATATACTCGGTGCGATTATGTTTGTTGCCAGTGTCTGCAGAGAGCATGTCAGGCTAATCGATGATGCGGCGTGGATAATGACCTGCACGGATTTCTTGAGTTGTCGCCAGTCGGTCTCGTGCAAGCCCATCTGTTTCAGCGTGATATCACCACTCAGGAAAGTGACGCAGGAACTTTGAAACAGCGCGGCGGCCATGGGTTCTGGAAGTAGTTTCTGCCATTTCGCGTATGCAGTCCTAGTATCGGATGTTAGAGCTGTCGATGCAGGAAATTTATCTGCGCAACTCACTCCGGACCTTCGCGACAAAGTACATAGACTCGCTTTGGCGCTGCCTGACTAAGGAGTCTGCATAAGATTGCAGTCCCCAAGGCGCCTGTACCCCCAGTCAAAAATATGGATTTACCGCGATAATACCCCCACATGGTTGGATAACTTCCGTTTGTTAGAAGACCAGCAAACCGAGTTTCAAGGCTTCGACGGCGAAGAATCTTGGGGAATCTATCATACTATATAAACAGACATCTGCAAGGGGTGAATGTCAAGTATGCATTAAGGGCTGATCATTCCTTGATCCTGGGGGAGGGAGGGCCCACATTGCTCCCAAAGTGGGACCCTTCCGGACTGTATGTGCACTTCTGTTTTCATTTCTCGTCATGAGATTGGCAAATCAAAGCGAGGCGATTTTAAAGACTGCTTAATCGAAAGCCTTGAATGAGAGGCTGCGTGGGTGGAACCGTTGGACCTGCCACCTGACGCTAGGACCAACCAGACTCCAGGGCGACTACAACAAAGAATGCTCCCTCTAAAATACCCGCCTACTGCCCTGTATCCCACGAGGGAGAACGTAATGATCGACACCATGTTCCAAAAGTTAGTACCCACATTCGGCCTATGTCCATTATGTGGATCTTTCCAAGTAAATTTAGTATATCAAGTGCTTATACTCGGCTGATATGGACAATGACCCTTAGCGATGAAGCAACCTAGCGTCGAGACTATGAAAAAGGTAGATGAACGAATTCTTGTATTTACATGTGGCCCCATCCCCAAGGATGTAAGACCTGCATCTCGTTTATGATACAATACTTCCCTGGCTCCCGGTTCTCCGGACTCGAAGATGCCCAGCTATCCATGCGATATTGAACCACCTTATCTTTGAACCAAGTGGTCGTAGTCCAGCGGAGCAGCCTATTAATCCACAATCCTTGCAGGATCGAACGTGCTGAGAGCCATCTAGCAATGGGGTTCACAGCCACATAGGCCGGGCCACTGTATCCAACTCGGACGAGAGGGTTCATGTAAACACCATCTTGCGTAGATAAGGGGTTATCGGCGTGAATGAGGCAGCATTCAGAGCCTTCTAGATGTGAGGAGGCAAGCGAGTCTGAGATTCCGCGAAACCGAAGAGGGGGATTGGCAGTGAAAGGAGCGGCGGGCATTGCAACTACAAAAGGTCAGTTCATGGATAAAAACACAAATGCTATGAGTTACTCACCCATGCCGTTCCAGCAACTTTGGACGGGGACTGGAGATAGATTTTTTACGGCATGCCGAGATGCGGCATCTCGGAAGAAAGGCCATGTCGGCATCATGGCCTCGTGGCCGCTGGCGTCGCGAAGAGCAAAGGTATCGTAGTAGTTTGGAGGTCTGGCGAAGTCCATTGAGCAAGCAGCGGCGTAGCTGCCGTCGTTGGTATCTAGCAATTCGAACACATCCTTTGGCTATAATAATATGAGTTAATGTGATTGAAAAGGAAATTAGGAATCACCTACCGTGAACACCACATCATTGAGGAAGAGAATTTTATCAAATGTGATGCCTTGTTTCGCCAAATCTTCCAGTGGTTTGAGACTCATATTTCGTGTGCGTGATAAGTATGGGATTCGCCGCAGCACCATATCTCCGTTTGGTGTCTTCACCCAACCTTCTCCCGGAGTACCAGCCATTTCATCCTCATGCGTGATAGGGGATAAAGTGATCGTGTGTGGTACTTGGAGGCGTTCCAATTCCATATCCAGTTCCATCAATGCACCCTTGGTATTGTCATAGCTGCCGCTTTCATAGATACTAATGTATACATTTTCCGGACCGAGTTTCCAGGCCAGCTCTAATAGAGCCTGGCTCCAATGGCTGCGTAAAATAATTTCATTATTCCAATTTACGCTGGCAATATAGATTCTTTCCCTCCGGCGCGGCTGGTCGCGGTGAATGATTTCGACTTCGGATATGCGACGGAGGATCAGGTGGAGCTCAATGAGATTGCAGGCGAAAAAGACGATAAGGAATATGCGGAGAAGGCGATTCCGGACAATTGACCGGCGGAGGGTACGGTACCAAGAATAAAGGAAGGACATAAGGAGTGGACGCCGGGAACCGCGGCAGTGTGTTGGAAGAAAAAATCAAGAAGAGTAATGCATTATGTGTTCTGCGGTGGAGGTGTCGAATGACGTGTTAAGAGACCGAAGAAAGGCCAAGTGCCTAGAAAAATAATATTGCGCGAAGTGGGCAGTCACGAATCAAGGGGTTAGAGTACGTTGGTGACGCCGAGACTTGAGGCCCTTCATACTTCCGAAGCTAGAAAGACGCGCGGCGATCAATGAGCGTCAAATCTGATCGACGTGATTTTCATGACTAACGCGAGTCAGCTAGTATATACAATGATATCTCACACGTGGAATAAGACCAATCTCCAACTTTCAGAAAGCAAAATGGAAAGAAAATTCCAAAAATAGGAGTCTAGGAAAAAAGTCAAAGCCAAGGGGCTCCAAGCCCACTAGTGCTACCCCATCAGCAAAAACATAACAAACGCCGTTCCGGCTGCCGCGAGTGCCACTTTTCTGTGAAGACGCGACCCCACACTGGTCTGGGTGGCAGTGGCTCCTGATTGTGTGCTGCTAGCACTCACCCCACTTGTTAGCCAAGGCTGGCCTGGGAGGATGTCTGAACTCCCATCCATGTTTATCATCTTGTTCTCTAGCAACGCACAATCCACCCTGTCCGAGCTCTCGGGGATGCTATTCGTGACTGAAATTGGCCAGTCAAACACAGTATAGTAGTCTGTGTCGTTCCAACGAAAAGACTGATGAATCGAAATGTTGTACGTGCCGTCGCTGCTGCTCGTGCCGTCCCCCACGAAACACTTGGGCCAGATCCAATTGACATGTTTGACGGTCGAAGATGGTTCAAGATCTAATACTGGGCCGACATAGCCCGTGGTATTGGTGGCCGGAACAGTGCCATTAGAAATGGTGAAATTGTGAGATTTCGACTCCGATGTCAAGAATAGCGTAATATCATGGAAGAGGGTGGGTGCGTCGGCAGATTGAGTGGATGGTGGCCAAGAAAGAGCGCCATTCCCAGAGACGTCGATCGCGACTTGAAGGTTTGCTGGGCAGTTCGTTAGCGAAAGTTTCTAAGCTCAGGAAGATTGACGTGCCTCCTCCCAGGGGTGTGTATGGTTGTGGGGCATCCACAATGGCCAGGCCCGGCGTGTAAAGTTGGCCGTTCACGACCGTGAAATTTACCATGATGGCAATACAACTCGACTCCAGCGGTAAAGATACTAGAGCAATGGGAATTTAGGAGTTCTTTTGACTTCCAGGCTGTTCAAGCTGACCCTTGGTGGTCTTATACAACTTTTGCTTGGGGCTTGCCAAGGGTCTCATTTCCGATTCCTCCGTGTGCCCCTTAGTGTAGCGCCTCTGGGTTAATCTACTAGTATCGAGTTCATTTCGCCTATCCACTAGTGCAGGGTCTTTGCGGGACCTAATATATTATCGGACCCTAGGAGTCCTCGGCCTTTATTGTTCCATTCATAGCTATGTTCTTTTAAGTGTTGGAAGTGTTGAATTGGTTTGGGATGTTTGTCCGTCCATAATTCATTTTAGGAAGGCACGATCCTTGAGTATCAATCACCTCCTCTTTTTCGAATTCCGAACCTTCTCTTCTATTCTTCCTTGATTCTTCCTTCTCCCTTAAACAACCTTAAACAATAGTCAGTAGAATTAGCCGAAGAACGAGAAATGATGATGGCCCGAATCAGGAGCCGCACAGAATTTGCCGGCCACAACCACAGATACCGCCCCGACAAGTCTCAGTTTCTGAAATCCGAGCAAAAGAATATGTCGCGGTATGGAAGATCGAATGGGAAAGCCGAAGATTTCCCCGCTTCTCCGCACGGCAATAAGCGTACCCGCATTACCCGACGCCATTGATCGTCATTCATCGCACAAGCTTCATGCATACCTTTGATGGAATGACTTAGCACAGATGGCTTCTGAATGGCATTGCCACATATGCCCCTCGACATTCAGTCGCCCTGAGCATCTCAAGAGACATGCTGCCGCTTCCCGTATGTTTGCGCCCTCATCCCAATACTGATGGTTGCTAAGCCTCAGCAGATAACAATCATCGATCACATGAGTGCCCGTTTTGCGGAAATGGATTCAACAGAAAGTATTGATCTCTTCGATGTCATTTCTGACCGTCAAGCCCATTTTAATCCTTGATAGAGATGTTCTTCGGCGACATGAACGTACCTGCAAGTCTCGAGTTCTGGTGGGCACAGCTCAAGGAACAGAACCAGATTGGGAGTGGTCAAAAAAGCATCGATCTTCTTTGGATTTGAATGGAAAGCCCAACTTGGCTTCTCTGCAACAGGCACGAACTGATGAACCGGACCTTGACTCAACATTTGGCGAGTCACCTACCAAGAGGGTCTGCCAAGAAAATGCTGCCCTGTCGCGCCAAATTGAGGAATTTGGTTCCTTTTCTTTTGATTCCAGTGGATCAAAGTGCGACAATATAGTAGATGAACAGAGTAACCTGAGCTTGGCCTACCAATTGGAATTTTCCGAATTGGACGCTCTTCTGTTCCCCAACATTACTTCTGACATATTGGTTGCAGAAAGATTGGAGCATCTACTATTTTTTACTAGTACACGTGGGATGGCCAGCTTCACCGATCGTGATACTTTCCAGTGGAAGCAAAAAATAACCTGCGAAGCATACGAAGAAAAGGTCAAAACTGATAACAGGACTCGCCTAGAGGTTCCAGCTCATGATTCGTCCGATCCACTGTCATCGAAGTCCCAGGAGGTCATCGACAGGCTACGTGCAGTCATCTGCAACAAAAAGAATGACGACATCATTAAGTTAGAATGGGAACCTTCGACACTTGAATTGTGTACTCACTTGTTTTCTCCGCCAAACATTCGTCGCTTCTTAGAATACTTTTGGTCTTTGTGGTATCCACACTGTCCTATAGTACACAGGCCGCTCTTTGACGTATCGTCGGCATTACCGCTGTTATTATGCGTTATGGTGATAATTGGAGCTTGCTTATCTCCTGAGAGCCATGATAGGCAAGCGGCCAAAAAATGTCTTGACAGTGTCGAAGAGCTTATATTTAGTCACGAGGCATTTCGGTGCGATACTGTTACCCCCATGAACAGGGAATCTTCGAAGAAGGAGACTACGCAGTGCATCCAAGCAGCGTATCTTGTGAGCAGTCTGCAGAAACGAGAAGGGTCTATCGATGCACAAGCAAGGATTCGGCGCTATAGGCATGCCTCAATGGTAGCGGTATGTTGTGTTGATAATTAGAAGCACTTGCTCAATCTAACTTGTCAAAGCTCACAAGACATATTGGGCCAAGAGAAGCGTCGCATCAAAACCTACATCTTGAAGAAGCAACTCAACTTTGGTGGCAGAGATTTGCAGAAGAGGAAGAGTTGATACGGTGAGTATCTTGGTAGAGGATTGCGACTCAAGGAGAAATCTAACGTGACATTTAGAGCTTTGACCTTCGTGTTTCTGATTGACGTGGCTCTCATTGTCCTCCACAACTCACCCCCTAGAATGCTTATCTCCGAGTTGAGAATGGACGTCGTATGCCCAGAAGCATGTTTCCAAGCCGAATCAGCCGCAGAATGTCTTGGATGTCTTCGCGTATGGGCAGGAACTCGCTTCTGGAAGAATCGATTATCAGTCGTCTCCGTTGTCCGACGTATATGCCAAAGTCCGATGGAGGATGCACTAGTTCATGAGTTTTCCCAGCTAGGCACATTCAATTTGTTCACCGTCGTACAAGGTAATGCCACCAGGCCCGATCTCATCTACTTCTTCTGACATTTTACCTCAGCCATTCACTCCCTCATGTTCCATTTGCATAACTCGCTGGTCTTTGAATCCACCTTGGCCCCGGTACAAACCGGCCTTGAGAATTGGCGACAAATTTGGGTTGAGAGAGTACCCGAAGACGAAGGGATGCCAGATACTGCTCAAAACCTATGGAAGCAAGTAGGCTTCCTCCGACGCGCCTCTGAGTTCTGGCACTTGGCTCGCATCATGGCGGATAAAATTATATCAAACAGCTACGATGATGACGATTTTGAGGTAAACACCAAGCTTTTGAAATACGACCAGACCGATATGGAAGACGTGAACGGACTGATCAAAGAATACCGGATGTTGAATTTGGGAGTGCAATAATTGTATTTATACTTCTACTTGGAATGCGAAGGCTGTATTTTAAGCCATCACATTGGTCGTTGCCGGTGATTTTGTTCAAACAGACGGTGTAGTTCAAAATTAGACAGCGAGTATAAGGTTTCAGCCTGGAAATCTAGTCCTAGGTGCCTAATTCAAAAGCGCAACGTCCAAAAGCCGCAGCGACCGTGATTGGATGCAAGATTGGGTTTCGGAGCCGGAGATTCGCCAGCGACCGAGGATTTCCGTCATCTCGTATACGGCTCCCCAACGAACCAATGACATTGCACGAATCGCATCCTTGGGGCGCATCAGACCCTTGTCTTTCAACACGCATTCGTCCTGCTTAAACCACGAGAATAAAGACTACGCGTTCTGCGGCGTCAGCAGTAAACCCTTTGCGGTCCCCGAGGAGCTCCCTCCAGGCTGTCTTTAAGGTACTAATATCCCCGTCCCGGAGTCTTGTCTTCTACGTATTGAGCCTCAATCGTCCACCCCCGCCATTTCCTATACAAGCCTGGTATTTCCATTAGAACGATCTTTATAGTTTGTCATGAACTCTGTCACACCAACAAATACGGTCACTGTCTTCAGGGGTCAGACTGAAACTGGATGCTACGTCTGGTCACCATTCGTCACGAAGCTCGAAGCTCGCCTTCGTTTTGGAAAGATTGCCTATCGCACAGAGGCAGGCTCTGTCCCCAATGCCCCAAGGGGCAAGGTGCCATACATCTCCATCGAGGACAATGATGACAAGACATTACTTTCCGATTCTGGTCTCATAATCAAGGAGTTCATCAAGTCTGGAAAGCTGGAAGACCTCAATCGCAACCTGTCTGGCACTCAGAAACTCCATGATATTGCCCTTCAGGCTTTGCTTGAGGACAAACTATATTTCTACGGAGTAAGAAAATCCCGTGCTTGCCACTGCTAGGCCAGACTCATCATCTAAAAAATTCATAGACACAAGAGAAATGGGTTCAGAATTACTATGCAATGCGCGATAATGTCCTCGGCGCACTTCCCTGGCCTGTCAGGGTCATTGTGGGCAACATAGTTTATTACAAGAATGTCCGCAACACGATGGGCCAAGGTACTGGCAGATTCAGCGCAGAAGAGATCGCTGCATTCCGTGTTGATATCTGGGATACACTAAATGCTGCTATTTCCGAGTCCTATGCCAAGAATCGTGGCAAACAGGGGCCGTTTTGGGTATGGGGCGGTGATGAGCCCACTGAAGCGGATGCAGTCGTCTATGGATTTGTTGTATCAGGGTTGATGTGTGGGCCGTAAGTTTTGTCCTTTTCTTGATATATCTTTGACTCTTATTGACCTGTGGCTCTGATAGTGCTGCTCCCACAACTAAAGGTATTATCAAGAGCCATCCTGCTCTGATGGAGTATGCACGTCGTATTCATGATGCGTATTTTCCGGACTATGAGCTTCAGGAGTAGACCCCCCAGCCTGAAGTAAAATCTTTCTTTGTCATTCTTAGCAATATTGGCTGCGTTTGTTCTGCATTTTATTTCATTGGACAATTGGCCTGCCCATGTGTCTGTCCTACATCAGGGCTCACGGGGAGTCTTAGGAGATATTATTTTCAAGGCTGGAGTTCAATATGCTTTTGATGCGACAGCTTTGTATATTTCCAGGACTTCGACGTCGCAGCCGACCACCTATGCCCTAGACAAAGTTGGTTTCAGCATGGACATGGACAGATATATACATGAATTTCTTCATCATGCATTGAAAGCATAAAGGTCTGTAGTGAACGAATATAAGAGGCAATGCCCTTGATAATTACATTGTTATTAGTCTACATTTGAGGCATATTAGAGACAAAGGTGATGAGAGGTAATGCATACTGAAGTGGATTTGAGAACAAAGGGCCAATTAGATGGTGGCACCGTTGTCTTGCTAGGCTGCAAATAGTACTTATAGACTCAAAGAATTTCATTTAGGTCTTTGTCCTAATATGAGACCAGGCCATTGTCTTAAGAAAATGACTCCGATTAAAGGCTCATTATAAAAAGCCTTATATCCTTCTAGATCGCCAAGACCGTTTTGCGCGACCTTGACAACATTCTTAAAGGAGTTGTATCCTACGGTCTCTGAAACTGCGGGAAGCCTAGTCCGATCATACTACGTCAAGATATTCAGTATGAGACGGCCATCTTCTAGAGACAGAAATACGAAGAAACCCCAGCATGACTCGAAACAGAAGACACCAGACTATCTACAAAAACTAGAGCTCGAGCTAGAGATCCGGAGTGAGAGACAACGTCGTCAAACTGCAGAGCTACAGACGAGAGAGCATGCCCGGAATTACAACGAGCTACACGAAATATGCACCGAGTATGAAACAAAGATTGCAGAGGCAGAAGGCCGGGCCAGGCAAAAAGAGACCGAAGCTGGACAGTTGCGACGAATGCTGAATGAGGAAACCAAACGGGCAGATTTAAACGACTGGTACATCCAGAAAGCCGAGGATGTAATCCTGAATCTTGAAAAGGCTGCTCTGGCGCAGCGAGAGAGGGCCACTGATGCTATAAAAGAACTCCAGTTCAGAATTCATTACGGAGAAGACAAGACTAAACAGCTGAGGAAGTTGATCGATGAAGTCTCGGCAGAGGTGAAGAAATGCAAGAACCAGACTATCAAGGATGATAAAGACTGGATCGACTTCCACAATAGGTTGCTGGAGTATTCGACGATTTTTGAGCAAAGAAGAGCAGAGATCTTGCAAAAAGCCCAGAAAATGCAAGCCATGATAGGACTTTCCGAGGAAGTCATACAGAACCGGGCTCGCCTTTTGCAAAACGAGGGAGTTGAGCTGGATGCTCAACGTTCAGCAGTCGATACACAAATCAAATGGAGGAAGACGGTGAATGATCTAGGGTTAGTAGCCGGCCATGTGACTAAACACCAAAAGAGGAAAAACCTAGCAGCGAAGGAGAGGGAGAAGGAGGGGAAGAGAAGGGAGAACATGGGGAGGGCGCATGGGAATCTTTGGAAAGAGCCTAGAAATACCTGCACCTTTTGGACTGACGATGATAGTTTGTGTTCTTCTCCAGATTCATGCAACGCAACCATCGAAACTGCCTACGACTTCCAACTTCCTGACCCAGCCAGGCGGCTACCAGCAGAAATGTCGCACGCATTCGATGTACCATGGGCCTCGCAGCGCATGGATGGCGTGTTTTACCCTCCGTGGCCAAATTTCAGTCCTCCAATTAGCCGAATGGAGTCCCTCAACCTATCCGACCGTGACACGGAGCTGTTGACCCCCGCTCTCTGCGACACAAACATGTCGAACATGTCTGATGTGGCCGAAGTGCCGCAATTTATCACCAACAATCGACTACAGCTGGTTCAACGGAAGCGTGTGCGGTTCGCATCCCCGGATAGGACCGGTATGGGTGGCGGAAACGAGATTGAACGGTCTTCGCTGATAGAGCGAAGCGGATCAAACGCCGGTTTCCACCCCCTCCCTGGCTTGGACCTGACCGGCCCAAATCCACCGAGACATGCGGCCAGACACCCGTCTCTCAATCGAAAACCGGGGGAGCCGGTGACCCGCAGACACCCTTCCCGACTCCCGCCAACGTCCGCTCCACAAACCGAGCACTCCCGGCCAACAGAGCTTCCCCTGCCACATGAGGTCACCCCGCCGATGGAGCCCTCCCCAAGATGGCCCGAGTTGATCGGCCATCAGTACTTGGAAGGCTCGTCTTCCCACTCAGCCAGGTCACGGATTGAAATGGTGGCGGGTTTACCTTTTCGTACTACCAGTCCTCTCCAACAACCGCGAGAGGTGCAGAAGACGAACAAGAAGTCTTCATCTAGTTCGCGCCAAGTGGAGAAAGCCACACAGAGGTGGAGGAAGAAGGTACCAAAGTCCCCGACTTTGCCGATGCCGATGCCCGGGATGTGGCCCTGCGAAAGTCCGCTCGACGACAAACCCATAAACACGACCAAGCCTCGTATTCTCGGGCGCTTGTCTGAATCGGTCGGGGGGCGGCTGCGTCGTGTCATCCAGAGACGGCGGTATCAGTTGGCCGGTGGCATAGTTATCTTTGGCACATTGCTCTATGCATTTGTCGGCCACCATTCACATCACAAGTGGTTGGTGTACAATGGAATTCCCCAAGTCATCCTCAGCAAGCTCCGCAACTCGCCTACGATGGTGATCAGAGGGTCGACGCCTCTTGACTTTAGCATCATGAACGTCGTCAATCACGACCGAGCAAAGCTTGGCTGAGGGCTCGGGGATGAACTCCATTTCGGGATTAGTGGGGGATCGCTAGCGTTGATGGCAGGCGGTGGGTGGATGGCACAGCGTCATCATATTACGATAAATACCGGCAGGACGGCCACACGTGCGGGCAGAATGCTGGTGCCTGTACCGTAACAATGTATTGATTATGTCACAATAAAGTGCGACAAAGCAAAGAATCAAACGCAGCAAATCCAACCAATCACGCCTTGTGCCACGCATCGAGCTGGCGTCACCCACTCCACTCAGTCGCCCCATGGCGGACTAAGACGGATCAGCTCCACTCCCTTTCCTTTCCCCTCTAAAGATATCTCTTCTTCCTTGTAGTTTTCAACATCATCAACGTACCCCAATTTTTGTCTTCGACGTCCGCTCTTTTCAACCATGTTTGTTCGCTCCATCCTTTTGGGTGGCGCGGTTGCTCTGGGCGCCAGCGCGATGCTGGTCGTCCCTGAGATGGAAGCCCAGATGGATAACAAGCAACTGGAAAGTATCGAAGACGATTTTGTGAACATCATGCAGCCCGTCTACGCCGACGTTACTTTTGCTGTGATGCTGAAGTGCGATGAATGTCCCTTCCGCGAAGTCAACGAGGAGGGCGTCGTCAGCTGGACTGAGGACAAGCCATCTTCTCTCGTATGTTCATGTCAACACAAATGCGAGTACTAAGCTAACGACAACGCAGCTTGTTGAGTTCCATGTCGAAGAAAACCGTCTGCTGGCCAACGACCAACAGATCTTCCCTCCCGTCCCCCCAGGCCCAATCACTGCCAACCAGGTCGCCCGTGATAGCGACGAAGAGTCGAACCCCGTCCCCGTTGGCTACGCCCTCGAAGTCATGCCACACCCCCGTCCCGCCGATGCGCAGGATGCTGATATGCTCGATGTCCGTTTCACTATTCTCGACCTTGAGGCACACCCTGTTCCCGTTGACACTGTTGCGATTACTCTGATCCTCACACCGACCGGCGACTTGTTCCTTGCCGATGGTGACATCGAGAAGTCCACCCACCACCATGAGAAGTTGTCCTGGAAGAAGTGCCACGGCAAGCCTAAGTGCCTGCAAGAGCTCCTCTTCTCCCGCATTCATGGACTATTGTCGGCTGCTAAGGACCGTGTCATGGGAATCGCTGGTATGAAGGGCTGCAAGGGCATGAAGGGTATGGGTGGCCACCACAAGCACCACGGCGATTTCGAACTTGAGGGCGAGAAGGGCCCCCACCACATGCATCATGATGAGTTCGACTTCGATGGCGAGAAAGGCCCCCACCACAAGCACCACGACGAGTCCGGCCCCGAGGGTGAGAAGGGTCCTCACCACAAGCACCATGACGAGTTCGACCCCGAGGGTGAGAAGGGCCCCCACCACAAGCACCATGACGAGTTCGACCCCGAGGGTGAGAAGGGCCCCCACCACAAGCACCATGACGAGTTCGACCCCGAGGGTGAGAAGGGCCCCCACCACAAGCACCATGACGACTTCGACCACGAGGTTGAGCTGTCCCTGCCCCCTCCTTTCAAGGACTTTGAGGATTTCGATGAATTCAAGGCCAACCACCCTTGGGCCAACCACCATGGTTTCAGCGCTGAGGATGCGGAGGGTCGTCCTCCTCACCCCCACCACATGCACGGCCCTCCCCACGGCCCTCCCCACGGTGCTCTTGCTCACACTTTCTCCCGTGTTGTGCGCTTCATTGTTGTCCCTGCTATTCTGGGCGTTCTGGCCGGTCTCACTGCCAGCGCCGTTGGTATGCTTGTGGGCCAGGCTATCATCTTCCTCTGGCAGCGATACCGCGGCACCAATAAGCAGGAGCACAAGGCTGCTTGGGAGGAGGGTAACGCTTGTGAGAAGCAGGGTTTGATGACCGAGTCCACCGAGGAGTACCTCCCCGAATACACCGAAGAGGTCTCTCAGCCCCGTGGATCCATGGATAAGAACTAAAGTCCGATCGGCTTAAAAGGCTCAAGTATGAACACTTCTGCCAGATTCAAGTTGAAGAATGTGTTGGATATGTGTATCAGAAAGCCAGACTGCTACATCCTGACGAAGATTTTGTTTCATTTTAACCCATGGTCTCATGTGATTATTTCCCTTATTATTATTCTGTTTTCTACATATCGTTTTAAACGTCCGGCTTGTACAGCGAGATTTCCTACAATACAATTATTTACCCAACATACCCTCACCGTACACTGTAGATTCAAGCCTGCCAACCTATTTCTCCAGATTGTACTATACCCAGATAACACAAGGTTTTCTTCGTCTCTAAATTTTGTGCAAACCTCAACAAGCATTATTCAATTGAAGTCCGTTGCGGCTGTAAGGCTGATTATCACGTGACAGGTACTCCTCAACCCGTGCGGCCCCCCCTCTTACATGTGTATCAAGCCGGCAACAACCACTCTGTTTCTACAGTGAGGTTTTCCAATCTGCAGGTTCAGTGTTCGACTAAACAATGACAGGGGCTGTACAATGACCTTGAATCTCTCACCTGAACCTCACACGGGCTATTTTGCAAACACCTAGCTAGCCCGGATCCCGGATCTTCTTGCACCGGGTCGCAGCTATAGCTCCGCCCTCGACATCATCGAAATTGCGTACCTTCCAGACAGCTGGTCCATCCGACCTGCCAGCTGCCCAACATGATACAATGGTCATCATTTATGCAAAAGGCTCAATCACTGATTGATCCGGCCAACTTCAATATCCCATCCCTCTCCTCATCCGACGACAACCCCTCGAAGGCCTCTCTTTTCCGCCAACAGTTCCGCCTTCCTGACTCCCAAAACCCCCTGCAAGAAATCACCGCCGAGCTCATCCTCCCCCTCCCAAGTTCATCGTCCGGGTCTGGAGAAACATCGCGTCGGGCTGAAAAGGCGGGTAATCGATACACGGGCCGGTTACATGTCAGTGAGCGGTTCATTTGCTTCTCTACACAACCAACAAGTTTCTTGCCATCATCTACACTGAGTGCATCCACTAGCTGGACTGGTCAGACGCACGGAACAGGACCTTCTGGCAATGGCTTCACTATACCCCTTTCATGCATTCGTCGGGTCGAACGATTGCACAGCGAGACAAATATCTTCACCCTAGCATTGACGACATGGAACGGTTTGTTGAATAAGAAGAAGGAGGAGAATGCTGGGAATCAACGCCTCATTCTGCAACTCGTCGGCAGCCGGCAGGCCAGCGAGCGCTTTTGCGACTGCTTGAAGAAGGGGTTACGGGAGGGCATAAAAGAGGTTGACAGTCTACGAGCAGTTGTGACAGATTGCTATTCGGAATACTTGCTATCAGGAGCCAAGCAAGCTGCGAAAGAAGGCAATGATCCCGATGCTCGACCGCCTCCCGATGCCGGATTAGGTATGCTTTTCCGCTATCCTGGCGATGCGCGCAAGCTTCGAGACCGTAGCAAGATGAGACTTTGGGTCGAATATTTCCGAGGTATTTTTAGATTTGCCCACTCGCATGGGAACTTATTGACCTCGATTTAGAAAATGGGCGCAATGTGACACTTGTTCGTCAACCAACATTTCACAAGCTGATTCGCGTCGGTTTGCCTAATCGCTTACGTGGAGAGATCTGGGAACTTTCGTCTGGCTCTCTCTTTCTGCGAGTTCGGTCGCCGAAACTCTATCAAGAGACATTGGACAAGTTCGAAGGCCAAGACTCACTTGCGATTGATGAAATCGAGAAGGACTTGAACCGAAGCTTACCGGAGTATCCGGGCTACCAGAGTGAGGAGGGCATCGGTCGTCTACGCCGAGTCCTCACGGCCTATAGTTGGACCAACGCGGAGATTGGCTACTGCCAGGCTATGAATATTGTCGTTGCCGCATTGTTAATGTTTGTTTCCAAGCCCTCACTATACTTATCATCGTTAACGTGAAACAGCTACATGTCTGAGCAGCAGGCCTTTTTCCTGCTTTCCGTGCTTTGCGATCGGCTTCTGCCCGGATATTACTCTACCACCATGTACGGCACCCTCCTCGACCAAAAGGTGTTCGAGTCCCTGGTAGAGAAGACTATGCCTGTTCTCTGGGAGCACCTGGCCAAATTCGATGTACAGCTCTCCGTTGTCTCGTTGCCATGGTTCCTTTCTCTTTATATCAACTCAATGCCTCTCGTCTTTGCATTCCGCGTCTTGGACGTTTTCTTCCTAGAGGGTCCCAAGGTCTTGTTCCAAGTGGGTCTCGCAATCTTGCGGATCAATGGTGAGGAACTCCTCGAAATTCAGGACGATGGATCATTCATCTCTGTGCTTAAGTCGTATTTTTCGCGCCTGGACGAGTCTGCACACCCCAAGTCGGAGAACCCTAAGCTTCGAGCCATCACCCGATTCCAGGAATTGATGGTTGTCGCTTTCAAAGAGTTTTCTGGCATCACACACAGCACGATCACAGAACAGCGTGATAAACACAAGGATGCTGTGTTGGAGAACATCGAAAATTTCGCCAAGCGCACTTCTATCCGCAATCTTGGACCTGAGAGCAAGCGCCTTAGTGTAGATGATCTTGGTACCATTTATGATCGGTTCTACGAGACCTTATATCACTGGCAACAACACCAAAAGGTATTGGAAGAGGAGCGGAAACGACAAGAAAAGAAGAAGTCTGAACGTTTCTCTATTCTTGGTCCCCCTGCAGATAGGGAGATGGGTCGAGTTGGTCTCGGACCTAGCCCTACTCATATGGACTATGATGCATTCCGCGAATTCTTGGCGGCGACCTCGAAATGGGCCGTTTCTGACACACCAGCTTCCGCTCGAAAGGATTCTTCCAATAGCCTTGGCAGTTTCAAGGGTAATAAGTCTCTACTCTGGGCTAATCGACGCCAGCCAGCCGATCATGAATTCATGCAACGTCTATACCGCAAATGGTCCACTGACCCAGAGGAAGGACTGAGCCTCCAAAATGTCGTGAACGGCTTGGCACGCCTCAAGGGATCGCCGGACATCATGAATAATATTAATTACTTCTTCAATCTTTATGATGATGGTGACAACGGCCAGGTCGATCGTGAGGGGATTCTTAAGATCTCTGAAGCTTTGCTGTTTCTGTCACGCCGTGGTTTCGAGGGTACAATCACTGCCACTCAATCTCTGGAGGATCTGAACAATCCCCATGATCGCGAGAACAGTCTCACAACAGATGAAAAATTCCTTGGAAGCGTGAGCGCATTTATCCGCCGCTGCTTTGAATACGCCGACCCTAGCCATCCCGAAAACCAAAAGGCTGCCCAAGGCGATGCCACCACCGAGGTCACGGAGGGGCTCGATTCCTTCACTATTGGTGACGACGAGGAGGAAGATCTGATTGATATCGACGGAGACACCAGTGCCACAACGCCAGCTAAGACTAACACTCAGTCAGACAGCAGTGAACAGAATCGGCCCAGATCCGAATCTGCAAACCCTGCCTTAGACCCTAACAACCCTCTTCACATCACCCTCCCAACCTTCCGCATGGTCGTTCTCGCCGACGAACTCCTAGAACAGTTCTTTGAATCCTACTTCCCTCAGTCCTTCCATCTTTCCGACCACCCTCACCCTGCTGCCCTTGCCGCATCATCATCGCTTTCGTCCAACCTCACAACATTCTCCAACATCGGCAGCGCCCGTCCCTCCCCGATCACCGCCAACTCTGGCGCTTCAGTAGCTGGTGCATCAGGAGGCATCGTGCCCCCAGGCAAAGGTCTTCGCGGTGTCCTCGACAACATCGTCACTGACGGTATCCGTATGGCGGCCGAAGTCAAGAAGAGAATGGACGATGCGCAGCGCGATCTCGAGCGCAGTGCACTCGGCCGTGATGAAGAGGACGACGAAGAGGACGATGAAGAGTACACACACCGTGGTGCATCCGCTGCCGTCATGGCTGGTGGTATCTCCAGCTGGGGTGCCGGTGCGTACGGTGGAGACACCGAGCGCCGTGGAGTCCGCGAGGCAGATCGTGATCTCCTGGAGGGAGCTGAAGTTGAAGCATCCTCCCTCCTTGACGGGAAGCCCGAGGCCGAATTGGAGACTAGTAAGACTAGCCATACTGCTGCGCCCACAGCGACCCTGGATCATGACCCTAAGGTCGTTAGCAAGATTGTTGAGTTTGAATCATGATGATATCCCGTCTATTCTCTCTTTTTGTATTGCTGGGTACGAGGTCTTGTCTCATTGTATTCTCTTTGCCTTGTTTATTTGGTTCCTCAGCTATCCCATGTGCAATTATACACCCCCCGTTAGATATATTCTCCTGCTGATGAATGTAGATAGCCGTCTATATCTACTAAATCTATAAGATCTTTTACGATCTAGTCAAACATCGGATGTACATTCATCCCTGGAACAGGAAGTTATAGTAATTAGACACTAAATCTAGCAAGTTTGCAGAGAAAATTCCGTGAGGCTAATCTTATGGACCAAGCCGAACATTGTGAGATGGTTCAACTTAAACTAACATCATCAAGAGTCGTGAGATGCCACACTAGTATTTCTATGTACAATCATGTCATCAAAATAGCGCTCGGGAGACAAGTTGTGATAAAACAGACATGATGAATGTAACATGAATGGCTCATGGATGCCTACCCATCCAGAAGACAAAAAAAAGGAATAAAGGTTGAAAAAGGGTATAAATTAACAAAATCAAACACAAGATGGAAGTGTCCCTGAAAGACAAGAGAATATGAAAGGGGGAGAAGAAATGCAAAAAAGCCTGGATTCGAGCGGGCCATGCAAGAAGGTAAGCATTATTCGGACTTGAGAAAATAACATCATCAGGAAAGCGATCAATCCTTTTGTCCTTCATTTTCCACCAGCTCCAAGACGATTTGGCTGCGTTCATAATCAGGGTGCTGCATGCAGATCTTGACAGTGTGCTGGTTTATCGAAATGCCATTGGCACCATTGAAGCTGCTTTGAGCACTAATGCCACTTGCATTAGCCTGGCCGAAGGAACCGGGCAACTTGCTGCCATCGTCAAGACAAACAACATTGTGGCCGGGGATGACCTGTCTTAGGCGACCATTCATTGCATTGCGAACCTCAACAAAGTCGTCATTGAAAAGGATCAGGAACTTCCCGTGCAGACAGGCGGTGTGGGCACTGCCCACAAACTCCATGACCACACTCCGCGAGACGTCACCATGTTTGTTGACGTATACAGCACATTCCTGATATGCAACAAGGAACTCACTATCACTGAGCCGGTACATGCCGAGTGGGCGGAGATCTTTGATGCGGTGGGCAATGCCGTGCAGCGTATCAACGGCGTCAGGTGTAGTTTCAGAGCGGAAATCAGGGACGGACCAGGACTGCTTTTTGTCCAGGGTAAGGACTTCAATGCCACGCTGGGTTGAAATGGCGAGAGAGGAATGGAACATGTTGATGCCGTAGCTTTCGGCGGGAATATAGAATTCGTCGTATTCACGGAAAAACTCGGTTTGTGAGCGCCGCGATTGGAACAATCGACTCTTGCTGGATGATGACTTCTGAATGACGGGCTCAAGGACCTTGAAGGTAGATGAGAGACCGTCACGCTTTTTGTAAAGGACCAAGTATCGGTCCTTCATGCGTCCTGCCGCGAAGAATCCTACTTCGCGGTTGCCGGACAATTTTTGTGGAGCCCGCCGAGCGGAATCTTGCGACTGAGTTATATTTCCATTTGCAGGGCAAACCACGTCAAGATGATAGGCGATAAGAGAGCGATCGGCAATAAGAAGGAACAAGTTGAACTCTTCAAACACAGCGATTTGCGTAACACGCATAATGGGAATTGCCTAAATGAACTTTTGTTAATAATGAAATGGTAAACGGAGTCTCAATGTAAGTTCTTACCCGATACCAACCACGAGGGTTGCTGACATCAGACATATAAACTCCATAGTCGGTTCCAATTGCGCACATCATCCGACCAGGAGGTTGCTGAAAGACCGTAGCACAGTTAACCGACGTTCTGCAGATTGGAGTAGGCCGAGGCCCAGAATCCTTATATTGCTTCTCGACTCCCTTGATTGCTCGGTGGAGAGGTGTTCCCTTGATGGTAACACCCTTCGAGCCAACAGTCTGATCACTATAGGCAAATGCAGTGTCCGCAAGAACGCGCAGTCGGAATGGCTCGGCATTTTGCGAGAACAAAGCTGCGGCATGCTTTGTCTTCGCCTCAATAATTTTCCGGCACCATTCAGCACGGCTTTGGGCGGAGAAAGCATACAAAATATAAGTGCCGTTCTTTCCAAGATGCTTGATCTTGAATGGGTAAAGAATCTTATCATCTTTGGAGTCAAGGCTTGCCGTAGCTCCATTCATGGCAGCTCCTGGGCCGCCATGGTTAATACCAGCTTGGGCAGGAGCAACATTTGCAACACCTCGCATGGATGATTTGACCACAGGATCATCATTGGTACTCTCCAGCGCCAGCAGATCCATCGGGATGGGAAGCTTAGACACGTCATACCGTTCGTACTTAATTGTTCGAGACGGGTCTCGTGTGGTAAAAGATTTCGCAAGAACGAGATAATGGTCGAAGAGAATGGCATGGGTGTCCACAAGGAACCGGGTCCGGGTTCCAGGGCGTTGGAGATCGCCGCGGAAAACAATTTCCCGACCCAGGTGCTCGAGGTTGAGTTCAACTTCCTTCTTCATCTCTGGTCGCAATTGCAGCTTGGCTGCAAGTTCAATCAAGTCGGCCTTCTTGTTCATCTCGCCAACTTTATTGTCACACTCCAAGGCCACAATCTTGATTTCCTCGATGGCTTGTGCGACATTGAACTTTTCTTCGGAATCCTTGACCATATTCTTGTGCACAGTGGCAAGTAAAAGTGTATATCGCTGAATTCGCGTGATCGGGGCCTTGAGGAAAGTATCCCAGCTAAGACGATTGGATTGCTTGTGTTCGCGAACCTGGTTGAGAAACTGCTTGAAATGGACGTTCCGTTCAGCTTCCTTGCGCACGTAGAAGTTTGCAGTCGGGAACGTGGCAGCGTAATCAATATAAACGGTCTTGGCTTTCCGAATCCATTCACGGAAAATATCGCTGAATCCAACGATGAATGGACCCTGTTCCTTTTGACGATACTTGAGCTGCGCCAGCAAGAAATCTTCGTTGACCTTCTTGACTGCGTCGACCTTACCGAACACATCAGACAAGAACTTGGATAAGCGTTTGGGAGGGATGATAGGAGGATTCATCTTGGCTAGTTGGTCACGGTAGAGCTCCCGTAAAACATCCAACTGGCCAATGTAGGCATCTTCGGTGGTGACAATCTCGTGCAAGTTGTTTTGGCGGTCAATCTCCTTTTTGGGGTATGACTCCCAGGTTTCCTTGGGAACCTTGTAGAAAGTCACCCAATCCTCAATTTTCTTTTGCGGTGCCATCATCTGCGCTTTCAAGTTGACTTTTTCAAAGTCCTCATGCAGTGGTGAGAATAGCACCTTCCAAAGGAATCGGTATCTTGGATGTGCACTTCTTGCTCGTGAAGCTTGGGCGAGTAACAGCCAGTGCCAGTGATCTGGAACAGCACACCAGACAGAGTTCCCCTGCTGAACTTGACCCATTCTTCTTCTTTCACTAAGGCTCCTTGCCCAAGCATGCTGCTAACTACACGAGCAGCGAGAGTTTCGGCATCTGCCATATTCATGGTTGGCACCTTGTGCGTAAACAATGCCACAATGGCATCAACAATAGCCTGCTCTCGAAGATCGCTCTCATCCTCACTCAAGTCCCGAACCCAGGAAAGAATGGAACTAAGAGCCCAGGGTTCAGTGCATTTCTTGAACTGTTCAGATGACAGTTTCGCAGGAGTGAACTTCTTGCGACGACCAACAGGGATATCTGGCAGATCAAGAGCCATAGAAGCAGCCGCCGCAGCTGGATCAACCTCGGGGAGGTCTTTGTTCTGGAGCTGCCAGAGAAAGTCCTGCTGCTGCTTGTACTTTTCTCGGTCCGCATCGGTCTTCGATCTGATAGGAGCATCAGTACGGGGCCCAATCGGGGTCGACAAAGATGACGACCGCGGGACTTGAGATGGACTGAGCAAGGTCTCTCCATACGAGTCCGCAGACGCCGGTACGGGGGGGTTTCTATACTGCGTGTGGATCTCATCCTGCTCTGGTGGCCGATACGTGCCAGCGGGCATTAGATGCGAGTGAAGTGCGACGTTTCCAGCTGGCTCGACAGGAGCAGGCGGTAATGGGCGCATGCCTGGGTGGAAGAACAGGTCTTCGTGTGCTGCGCGATGCGGACTTTCTTCACTAGACTGGCCCTCTTCTTGCTCGTAGCCTTCTCCTTCCTCGCCATAATCCCAACTCATTCGACGTCCATATTCTCCTGGGGTAGCAAGCCCACCTGTTCCTCCCGCGTCGACACGGGCATTAGGGGGAAGATGATGCATTCGAGCAGCATATTGATAAGCAATCTGCGGGTGTTCGTATTCTTCGTAATCACCTCGTTCGACGAAATCCCCTCGTTCATCTGTAGACATGTCAGAGCTCCTGAAAGAGTCCGACCGGCCTGTCAGACCACCACCACTGGCAGGGTCCAGATACTCTTCGGGGCTGTATAGGTTTTCATCACCGTAATGAATGTTTCCTTGATACCCCCCCTCATAAGCCCCCAAGTCATGGCCGACGAATGGGTTTTCTGGTGCCTCGGCATGAGGAGAAGGATCTCTATTGGATGTATAGGACTCGCGCGAGTGAAAGCTCCTAATGGAAGCATCCGTTACGCGCCGATTCCGTCCCTCCAGACGCACTCGCTGGTGCTCTTCCCGAGCCCTCTCTTGTTCCTCTGCCTCCTGCATCATAGCTAAGCCAGCCTCGGCCTCTGGGTCAAAATCCTCGTCGCAATTAGTGTGGCTCTGCAGCTTATCTGGCGATAAGCGCATGTCGGAGAAGCTTGTCATCGCATTGTCAATTTCCTTTAACATGTCATCGCTGGTGCAAGTATCCGGTTCGGTGTCAACTGGCGGTCCCGGGAGAGGTCTAGCTTGCGGATGTCTCGTCAAAGTATCCGTTCGTCGCGGAGGTGGTTGTGGGAGAGAGCGGCCAGCATGGGACAAACTAGGTTGCTTGCTGTAAATTCCGTTGGTCTGTGGTTGATGCATTGGAGGCGCGGGGGGTTGATCATCGAAGTGGCTGTTCATTGGCGGAAGGGAGGGGTATGGAGAATCGGTTCCGAAGCCATGGGATGCGGGCAGGTAGGTCTGGGGTAGATAACTGCCGGCTGGAGAGTTCGACGTCGCGTATGATGTTGGTATCGGTGATGTGACTGGCTGATAGGCAGGAGAGGCGGCCGTCGTAGACTGCTGGCTTGATGCGCCAGGTGATGACCCGTACGGAGACCGACCTCCATAAGGATGATCTGGAGCACGAGGCGGAGGTATTGGAGGTATCTGGGAAGGAAATCCGTATGATTGTGGGGTCGGAGGAGCTTGTCCATACGGCGAGGCCTCACTCGGCCGGCGCGCAATTGTTGGAGAGGCCAGGCTAGCAACTGCGGCCGGTTGATAGGCCGCTGGGTTGTATGGTTGATGGCTAGGGACAGGGCTGGTGGAGTAGGCATTGTTGGAAGCGTAGGATGAGGGATTATAGCTGAGGTTCGGTTGTGTTTGGGATTGCGGTAGGGCATATTGTTGCGGATTATAGGCAGGTTGATTCACGGATTGGTATTGGTACGACATGGCGGCGGACTGCGATGCTGCGCGGGTGGGCGACATACGCGACATATCAGAGGATGGTTGCGAAAACCCAGCGTATCCAGTGTTCACGCCATCTTCATAGACCCCGTATGCTGAATTGTAGCTCCCTTGTCCACCGCCGCCCACCTGTGCACTGCCCACAGAGTATTGGGCGTTAGCATCGGTCGCTCTTGTATTGTGTGTCCGAGCGGCATTGAAGAGATGCGAATCGTCGCCGCTGTTGAAGCTGGGCATTCGCCTAGGTTGTTGCTGGCTCTGTGTGGGATTGCGTTGGGGTGCATAGCTTTCATAGCGACCTGACGATGGTCGTGAGACTGGGGGGTTGCTGGGCTGGCCGTAATAAGCCTGTCCGTTGGGATGCGCCATCGTTCCAGTGGTGTAAAGGATCGCAAAGATTGTATTAAAAAACACTCGCGATCACTCCGCCTCTTACTTCCCTTCTCTCCCAGATGAGCGAACGAATAGGAATGCCTAAGTCAGGATGTCAACGGAGACACGGAAGCGAAGGAGCTGCCGGGAGATCTCTCGTCCAAATGAGGGGAGGGCCAGTGAGAGTCTGCCAAGCAGCTCACCCTAGGCATTCCCCAGAGAGTGAAACGGTGGGGAATGGGAGTTGTAAAAGGAGGCGAGATCAAAGAATAGCAATTTGAAGAGTAAAAAGGCAAGGAAATAAGATCACAACGAGGATTCCATCGCGTGGTTGAGCCCAAGTGGAGCGGAACCGGGGATTTGGGTTATGGTCCCTCCCCCACCGCCAAACCCTGTTAGCTACTACCTATTATACAGGGCTGAACATTTACATGCAAAGTAATTATACAAATTGGAATGCTCCAATGAACATTTGAAGCCATGCTTTGATTCCAAGGCTTTGACCTTGATCTCTGGGGAGACCTGTTGGGCATGATGTTTCATGATTTGAGCCTCCAAATCGCCTCATGGCGCGCCTATGAGGCGAATATCTTATTCCGCATTGTCTTATGCAACAATTTCAATTCACAACAAATGTGCGAGTTGCATGGAAAATGTTATTTTTAGCATAAGCTGGCAGTTTCCTAGAAACCAGGTGGGGGCCGATGACATGACAGTCTTCCAGTGGGCTATGTCATTTTCGCCGCTCTGTAGATTAAGTCTCGTGCTCTTCAAATCGGATTTCCATTGCTTCCCACTATCCCTAGTTAGGAATAGTATCATACACACCTGGGATGCATTAGCTGAAGGATAAACGGACCCAGGCGCTTACCTTGAGCTTTAATATCGGCCCAGATCCATGGATCTTCTTTTAGCTTTTGAGTTTAGAGTATAGCGTGGTATGTGCCATTCCCACATGCTATAGCCGTTTCATGGTGTCTTCCGAGATCTGAAGCCTAACAAATTTCCGGGGTCATTGACTGTGATATGGAGGACTACTTGTTCAACGCCCAACCTTGGATATTATTCTAACACCTGAAAATATGATCATGGAAGTATTCAAGACTTTCCTGTAGAATCTACTGCGGATTCTCGCTTAACTAATGTCAGCATACCTACGAAATAATGCTATCATCGAATCTTGACTCCAGGTCAACGAGCCTCTATTCGTAGCCCCGCGGATGTGAACGCTCAAGAACTATATCGCTGGGCGACCTCGGCAGGTCATATGACCAGAACCTTGGAATAATCCTTCGTCGACACTAGAAAAATCGGGCACGTACATACCATGCATGGGTTGAGTTACAATTACTGCGCTAGGCAAGTTAAAGTATGTCAATAGGGTGTCATAACCTCCATTGCCGGCTGTCGAAATAATAATTCTCGATGTAAATGCCTTTCAAAGTACCCATTCGGACAGTGGATGTGTTCTTTGAAAGTCCGCACGATAATTGAACACCACAAAGTTAGTTGAACATCAGTCTATTTCTATATCCGGTATGGTGCAGTAATAGTCTTTCAGAAATACCGCTGTCTCAAGGAATCAAGTACATTGCATCACCTCGCTTAATTAACGTCAATATACGAGATGACGCTTCTTTAAAAGTCATAATATAAGCAATAAAAGGTAGCTTAACGGGTATCACTCTTTGATCACCTTCACAGTCCAGCGTAGTTTGCAGAATAACGTGAGCAAGTAGGTACATAATTAGGTATGCACTCAATAATATTACTCTCTGAATCTTAAATACTGCGCTACTTTTACTGCGGTTAGTGAGGGTGTTCAACTAATTTTGTGGTGTTCAATTTAAAAATCCCAGTCGTGCAAGGGGCTTTCTATGGTTTTATGATTGATCAGCAGGCTTATATGCAGGCTACATGCAGGTCATATGCAGGATGTCCGAATATATGGAGAACGATCAGCTATAAACTCAGCTATGGGTGGCTATTGAAAGAAGCAAGTATGCATGCATAATTGTGGCATTTAGGTAACGGTTACACTGCGCCAAAAGAACTACGAGAAATCAAAAAATTTGGAGTAGGATGAGTTATATCCCATTGCCCAAGAATTCAAAGTTCGCTGTCTCCTGCTGTTCAACTGGTCGCCAGTCACATAATTCACGTATGTAGAGAGCAGAATACCAATTACTGAAGCGGTTGTTTTTTCTTTCTTTTTTTATAAATGTATTATACCTGGTTGCTTGTAGGTAAAATATATAATTAGTAAGAGGGCTTTCCACCAGATTTCAAGCCAGTTAAAGTAAAAAAAAATCAAGGCCATCATTGGTGTGAACAAACTCGGATATAACCAGCAATATACTGGCTCTTGGAGAAGAACAATATCATCAAGAGGATAATCGAGTAAACCAGGAAGTTTGAGAAAGGCCAAAGAGTCTGGTCAAGAGCCATTGAGAGAAGCAAATTGGTAATAGGCCGTTCTGTGATGAAGAATATTTAAGAAGAATGTGCAGTGGACGTCAAAGGAACCTGGCGGGAATTAAGTCATGAATCGTGATGATGGGAATCAATAGAGACCAAAGAAATGCGAGATTCAGATCAAATAGGGCATATTGAGAGCAAAAGACGGATTTGCTGAAATGCAGGAAATGGGCCCATGATTCGGCTTTCCATTAGTTACCATTGCAGGTGTGGTGGCGGGCAAGTATCAGTTTCCATGGTAGACTTGGTCGGGAGTCAGTGTAAACTCTCCCTTTGGCAGCTCGGCCTTGTTGACGCAGTCGGGTTTGATGTATCGAGCAGTCAACGCAAACCGTAGGAGATTAGATGAAATGACCGAATGCTACAATCGGTCAGTAAATAAAGAATTATCAAAACACGGAAAGGGACTCCACGAACCTCGTAACACTTCTGCAAGTCCTCGCCATGCATCACCACCAAGTCCCCATGCTGAAGATCAAGTTGGATCTGGATAGGTGACTCGCCCGTCAAACGCTGCTTGCGGAACAAGGTAGTACGACGGCGATCATACACCCCCTTTGTGATAGTCCCATTCTCAAATTGATCCTTCCACTTTTGACGCTGCTTTTCATTCGTGCAGTTGGGAAGAATGATGTCCTTTTTCAGAAGAACACCTCTCCTAGACTGGCCATTGTAGTACTGGTGCTTCATACGGATTTTCATGGTTGATGACGCTCCAAGAGATAAGGTGGCAATTGTCGGGCCAAGTGATTTCTCGCCATCATCGTGGAACTATCGAAAATTAGAATCATAAACTCCGGACCAGACTCTCATATCAGGGTAAGCTTACACCAATCTTCATCCCTTCAAAGTACCCAAGGGCAAGTAACTCGTTTGGTGGCAGGATCAATCCTCCAGCAGCTGTGACTGCTTGCTCGGTTGCCCATGTGAGTCGCCCAAGGCAACGAAGAATAGCATCTGGTGCTTCATTGAAGCCCTTTGAGGCCACCGAAACAACGTACTTGTATGGCATTCCCTACGATATAGAGTCAGCAAGACTACAGAGGATCATAAATGTCGTATTGAAAACAAACATAGTTCACAGCAAAGTGAGACGTCAGCATCCCTGTAACTGAACATGACGCGTTAGTTAAATTCATTCAAATTCGACTAGATGTGAAGCTTACCAACAGCAGTATCAAGAGGAAAGCGTTTCAGACCCAAAGGTTGTTTTTGGAGAATATTGAATAAGTCGTTGGGACCCCCTGGGCGCTCGTTGATGCCTGCATTCGCCAGGAAATGGGTCACAGAGCCAATTCCAGGAATTTCATAAGTGTGTTTATGGTAAGGGAGGTGAGAAAGGAGATCAATCCCTTGCCCTATAGCATTCTTACCCTTCCTATCACCCATTTCAATGGGCAGCCGTCCACGCGGGCCAGCGACTTCGCGAATTGAGACCGGCCTCAACTGCATTGTTTGCTCGAATGTGCACCTCTCAGATGGACCCTCCACTGGAGGATCGATGGTGCATTTCCAACCATGCCACAAAACTCTTTGAACGCATTTCTTGCACCGGGGACATACAATGCCACGCCAGGTATCGCGGGATGTTGCGTCAATGCCGTTTGATGCAGTCATCGATGCAAGAGTACTTGGTATTAGGGGCTCATGGGGCGCAATAGCAGTAGTCTGAGGATTGCAGCGGTTGTTTAACCAGCTGGAGTGGTAATTGAGGTTTGCTGGTGGGTCAAATATGCCGATTTTCCAGAAATGAGCGCAATCTTTCTGCAGACACATCCAACCTTGTTGGAACACACGAGGGCTTTCTGTATTGCAGTAGATGCAGCGACCGACTTCAGATCGGATAAGAGGACGTTGATCATATGGCAGAGGGTCGGGGGTGTTACTTGCTACCCACCAGCTTTTCTCAACGAGGGACACTTTCTCAAAGCGGACCTTTAGTCCGGCATGACCATCAATTCCCTCATACCATATATCGGTGACTCGAAAGTAGGCCAGGACATTGTAGCGATGTGGAAGCCCTACACCTATCTGGGCATTTTTGTTGCCTGGAATTGATTAGATGCCGTTGCATTTCCATTTGTAAATGCTGTAGCCTGTTGACTTACCAATAACCATTCCCACCGGCGTGCTCTTCTGCAAACTAGCCAAAAGCGCCTTTGCCGGGTATCGGTCGAGATGCTGATCTTGCATCAATCGGAGCTGGCCGTCATGGCCTTTCTGATAGCTTCCACCGCTGGTAAAGTCAGTAACAGGAGCACAGCCCCACGCTGCAGAATACTTTGTACTTACACACGGGTTATGATGATCTCATCATCTAAATAGAATCGAGATCCACAATCCGCATCAATCAAAATACCATAGCAAGTGCCATTGTTCTGATAGGTAGACCCTTGAAGAGCTCGAAACCAAGGAATGGCATCGCAGAGACTTTGGCGGGTCTGGAACTAGTTAGCAAGCATCTTGAGATGAAGAATCTGAACAAGAGCAACCTCGGCCCATGCTGGAGGGCTACTATGAAGCCTGGTATCCTCAAAAGGCTCCGGTTCAGTGTGTGTTGGGTTCAAGGCGGCATCCATAATTCCTTCGGGCGTAGTAATGTTAGTCCTCCATGGAATTCTGACAATCAAGCTTGGTTTCGCAGGCGTGCCTAAGAAAGAAAGGATTTGGTAAATTTGCTCCGAAACAAAACTGATCTCGTCTGTCTAGCATATTGAAACTCACTCTTTGCTTTTGTTGTCTGAGATCGAGTCAGAGCGTTGGTGTATGACTGCACATGGGATCCGTTCTTGGGACGAGCTGCCTTCCGACGCGTTACGACAGCGGACTTTTTCTGTGCTCTCTTTCGCATAGCCATCTATACATGTTAGTTTCAAATAATCACGATGAAATGGTATTGGTCTCACCCTAGTCTGGAGATACAAACAAAGAAGGTTTTGGGATCCAAATTGTTCGGATTAAAGGAGGAAAATGTAAGGAAATAAAGGGCCAGGTTAGAAGATTCAAGATAGTGAAAAGAGACCTGAATCGACAGTGAAAGTAAGATAGTACTATATCAGTATGGATCTAGAGCCCAAGGCAATATGCTTCATATTGTTTACATGAATAAGTCTTAGAAAAGAAGGGAATTTTCTTTTTCCTTAATATAAGAAAGTAAGAGCTAAGTGAGCTATTCATAATGAGCTCACTTCTTATACATCCCTCACTATAGACTTACTTCTAGGTAAGTCTGGATTTTACTTTCGATCTAGATACTAAATTACTTCTGATTCAGTACCGATTTAAAATATATTATTATTCATACTGTTACGGACCCACTTAGCCCGCAACGAGAGCAGGGGTTAAGAACCAACCGATTCCCAGGAAGGGGACAACACGACTCGAGGTCACGTGCGACAAGGCCGGTACTAGCCGCCTAAGCACAATTAACAATACTACGCCTAAGCGATAAGGTAAATAACGTGAATCACATGAGCACTAGTGCTTAAGGAGTGAGCACTCAGAGGTAGAATGGCCCGAAGCGGCGGAACCAGGGCAGATCCAATGCGTAGTATCAGTAGGGTACATACTGCTAATCCCCTTTCTATATGTGGCCTAGTGTGGGGGGTTATCCGAGGTCGCAGTATATCCGAGGTCGCTACCTTCGTGCGTCATAATTCCAATCACCCCTCAGACTCAATTATAGGTTCATGACGATCTCAATTGAAGCCAACTGATTGGAAATCTTTCATAACTCTAAATTTCGTAATACCGATTATACCGAAATCAATTTTGCCCTAGGGAGAGAGCAATCAGTATATAACCGAGCTTCGCCGTTTCCGATTTCCCCGCACACGCTTCCCCAGGTTTGCTCCCGTGCGTACTTAAACATCCGCTTGCTCCAAATTTTATGCTGTTCTTTGTCCATTTTACCCAACCCGTGGTGATTTGCCTAAATTGCCAAGGCCCATAATCCCCTAGCACGTTATCCATTGTCTCATCCCTGAGACCTGCCAGAGAAGGCGTCTTTTATAGTTCTGTCGCGGACTGAGAAGCAAACGGATTTGGTACAACAATGGTCTTCCTACCACACCCTAAATTTGGTCAATTGGGCACTGTTCCGGACCATATACCGATCAGCGAGTTCATGCTCAATGAGCAGCACGGGCGCGTGGCACATGAGAAATCCAACGATCCGTATACATGTGGAATCACAGGGAAGACTTATACGTCGCGACAGGTCGTTGACCGCGTGGACCAAATTGCGAAAGGTCTATCGAAGGAGTTTGGATGGGATCCCAACCAGGGCACGGAATGGGAGAAGACTTTGGCTGTCTTCAGTCTGAACACGGTACGTGAAATTTGTCAATCGGTATTTTCGTGGCGTAAAAAAAATCGCTAAACAGCTACACTTAGATTGATTCCTTGCCCCTTTTCTGGGCAACCCACCAGCTGGGTGGCCTAGTTTCACCGGCCAATGCGGCATACTCTGCTTCGGAGCTGAAGCATCAAATTTTGGATTCAAAGGCTAAGGCCTTATTTACTTGTGCGCCCCTCTTGCCAGTTGCTTTGGAAGCCGCAGCTTTGGCTGGTCTTCCACGAAGTAAGATATACCTGATTGATGTGCCGCTGGAGATATTGGCTGGAGCGAAGCCTCCGACCGACTACAAGACGGTATCGCAGATAGCCGAGGCGGGGAAGACGCTACCTGCGTTGAAGCCACTGAACTGGGGCCCAGGGGAAGGAGCTCGACGAACGGCATTTTTGTGCTATTCGAGTGGCACTTCTGGTCTTCCTGTAAGTCAAATTCTGAAACATACCCGTTGGAACTACGCTAATAATATGGTACTTACAGAAAGGAGTCATGATTTCGCATCGCAATGTTATCGCCAACGTACTGCAAGCCAAAGTGTTTGAGAGTAGCTACAGAGATGCTCGCTCGCGCGCCACCGGCATATCTCCATTCACGGAAGTCGGGCTTGGTCTGCTGCCACAAAGCCACATTTATGCTCTTGTGGTCATAAATCATGCCAGTGCCTACCGTGGTGATCAAACTATCATCCTTCCCAAATTCGAGTTGAAGTCCTACCTGGCTTCTATCCAGAACTTTAAGATCACGTCGCTTTTCCTGGTTTGTCTCTCGAACACGAAGTCCTACATACATCATCTGCTAAGAACATACAGGTCCCTCCAATTATTATCAACATGCTTCGGAGCCACGACGTGTGTTCTAAGTATGATCTGAGCTCGGTTAGGACTTTATTTACCGGCGCAGCACCTTTGGGAATGGAAACAGCCGCCGATTTTCAAAAGCTGTACCCAGATGTGATTATTCGACAAGGATATGGTAAGAAATATGCGTTGGTACACCCTTGATAATGGGCATGGCTTACAATCTTTATAGGACTGACAGAAACATGCACGGTCGTCTGCTCCACCCATCCGGATGATGTGGTGCTCGGCTCCTCGGGTTGTTTATTCCCTGGTTTCGAGGCCCGCATTGTGTCCTCCGAGGGCCATGAGATCACCAGCTACGACACCCCCGGCGAATTGGTAGTCCGATCACCTAGCGTTGTGCTCGGCTACCTGAACAACGAGAAGGCCACCAAGGAGACATTCGAGGATGGATGGATGCGGACTGGTGATGAGGCTGTTGTCCGTGTCGGTCCGAAAGGCACCGAACATGTCTTCATTGTCGATCGCATTAAGGAGTTGATTAAGGTCAAGGTTCGTACATCATAGGCTTGCTAGTGCCGTGCTTCTTTTTCTTCATCCGAACACCTCATGAAAAAATGTAGATAACTGACGCATCAATCATACAGGGCTTGCAAGTTGCACCAGCTGAACTGGAAGCTCATCTTCTCACCCACCCTGATGTCGCGGACTGCGCTGTTATTGCTATCCCAGATGACATGGCCGGAGAAGTCCCGAAGGCCATTGTGGTCAAGACACCTTCAGCTGGTCCCAATGAGGCAGTTGCTCAGTCTATCAAGAAGCATGTTGAGGATCATAAAGCTCGCCACAAATGGCTAAAGGGTGGTGTCAGATTTGTGGATGCTGTCCCCAAAAGCCCGAGCGGCAAGATCCTGCGACGACTGCTTCGCGACCAAGAGAAGGAGGCTCGGAGGAAGGCCGGCGTTAGACTGTGAGCTTAAAGCTGATACCTGGAAAGAGCGCATATATATATATATACTTGAATTTGTTTGTTTTCTATTTTATTTTCAAATGTCCTGATATATGGCACGAAATGGATAGCTGCATAGAAATACAACGTTACAACCAGTGTGTTTGCAACGTTTGTTGCTGCGGGGATGATGATTAGATTTCTAAGCGGGGGAGTTAGAAAAAAATAGTTGGATCCAGTCCTAGCTCTCGTATTCTCCCACTTTCCAAGACCAGTCAGAGCAAGATCATTCATAGTCTTCTTTGACCTCTTCTCAAGACGGATATTTTCACGTTCGCTGTTAATAATCAGTTTCACCTCATAATCTGATCTCGGAAAACCTCAAAACCAAGACCCTTCCAAATATTTACAAGACCTCTAATCTCACTCTTCACAATGTCGCACGATCCTCGCGATGAGGACGCCTATATTGGTGCCGATGAGGGCGAGGAGGTTTTCCAGAACGACGAGGACCAGCCTATGGAGTCCGACGGTGAAGAAGATGACCAGCCCATGACCTACGACGAGCAGATCACTTTCCAAAACGACTCGGCCGCACACTTCGACTCACACTCTGATTCTGTCTTCTGCGTCGCACAGCACCCAGTGCACAATAACATTGTCATCACCGGAGCTGGTGACGACACAGCCTACATCTTCGATTCTACACCCGCTCAGCGACCTCTTCTCCCCCAGAGCTACGAATCAAACCCGCAGCCGCGCGAGCGCGAGTCATTGAAGCCCCTTGGCAAACTGGATGGACACAGTGACACAGTCAATGCAGTAGCTTTCACCGAGCCCGCAGGTGAATATGTGGTGACCGCTGGTCTGGACGGCAAGCTGCGCGCCTGGCGCGATTCCACACCCGATAAGACGGGATTTGCATGGGACTTTGTCGCAGAGGTGCAAGAAGTGGAGGAGATTAATTGGATTGCTGTTTGCCCCTACCAGCAAGGCAGCGAGGAGAAGCGCAACGTTGTTGCTTTGGGTGCCAACGATGGCAGTGCCTGGGTTTTCCGCATCGATCACACCGATTCTCAACCCATCTCTATCATCCAGACATTCTTCCAGCACACCGAGTCGTGCACCGCGGGTGCATGGACACCAGATGGAAACCTTCTGGCGACTGTTTCCGAGGACGGAAGCTTCTATGTCTATGATGTGTTTGGAGCTGCTGCCGCCGCGGGTATCTCTGGATCTCCCGGTACTAACGCTGTCATTGGTTTAACTGCGGAGGATCAGCGTTTCGCAGTCGATGGTGGCTTGTACACTATTGCCATTTCTCCTGGTGGTGGTATTGCGGCTGTTGGTGGTGCTGAGGGCCATATTCGGGTTATCGGCCTTCCCCGACTTGCAGGCGCTGGCCCAGCCGCAAAGGGCAAGGGCCCAGGAGCTCAGGCAAGCAGTGCTTCCACTTCAGGTACCATCGTTGCTGCCTTGCAGGCTCAGTCGGATGGTGTTGAGACCTTATCATTCTCTCAGCCTCCGCTGACAATTCTGGCTGCGGGTTCCGTCGATGGCAGCATTGCACTCTTCGATGTCGCTCACCGGTTTGCGGTCCGTCGCCACATCAAAGAGGCTCACGAAGGCAATGCCGTTGTCAAGGTTGAATTTTTGCAAAGCCGTGGGCCTGTTGCCCGTGGACCTGGGAATGCTCCCGGCCAGGGCCGACCATGGCTGCTTACCTCTGTTGGATTAGATGGTGTTGTTCGTCGGTGGGACGCACGTGGTGGTACCACCGCGGCAGCACAAGGCCAACTTCAAGAGTGGAAGGGACACATGGCTGCGGTCGAAAACGAAGACGGTGAACAGGCTGGTGGTATTATGGGCTTCGTTCAAGGATTTGATGGCAAGCGGATTGTCACTGCAGGCGATGACGGCATCTCGCTGGTCTTCGAGGAACAGTAGGTCCGTCTGTCAAGTAGATAGAGTTGGATCACCCATGATCGATGCGATTTATGATATCATGTTACAACACATAGAGCAGGGAAACTATGATTCCCCACCCCCCAAAAATAAATTCCCATGTCCGTTCTCAGTTTTGAAGACATCCGAGATTATGTATGGGTAGAAATGGGGACCCATTGGTGTGAACCAATAAAAAGACAGCTTTAGTAATTGAACATAAACTATATACATCTGACAATTCAACCCAAAAGCGCCATCTGCAGGCTAATTCTCCTTGGGAAAGCCTGCATCTCCAATCAAAAACAACAATCGCTTCTCGAAGTGCTCAGACCACAACGACTGTGTTGAAACTCCCGATTTTATGTCTTTCGCTGAACCGAGACGAGACAGGTGCCTCTCGCCTGCTGGGGTATCCGTCCTGTTCCACTCGAATGCTCTTTGGGCGAGTAAAAAACAATTCAATCCTACTCGTTCGCCCTCTAGTGGTGGCCCTCGCCATGGTGTGCGTCACCGTGGTGGTCATCCTTCAGGAAGAAGTGCTCATATGCGCAGTAGGCAGTGAAGGCAACGGTAGCGATTCCAAGACCAGGGAAAAGACCCTTGAAGCGGTTCCAGCGGGTAAAAGGACCAGTGTAGCGCCAAGTCTCACTGGGCAATGTTAGTAAAAGGAGCGCAATGCCTTCGGAGGATCCAGGATGATCGAAACGTACTTGCGCGCCCAGGGATCCCGCTTGGCGAAGACAGAGGAGGGAGAGGCCGCAGCCTTGAACTGCTTGATGTCGAATCCGGTGGGGTTTCGGGAAGACATTGTGATTAAGGTGAAGATTGAGGGGCGGAAAGAGGGACTGATTCAATGAGGTTCAAGTCAAGAGAGAGATGAGCCGGAGCGGTGCGCTTGGCAGAACGAGACCCGCGCTAAGCCCAAAATGGTAGGGCCTTAGCTCCTCCCGCCTTCGACGAAACTGATAACTCTCTCCACCACACCTCGACACAAAGAAGCTCACAACAATGCCCCCTCCTGTTGGCAGATACGGGCCTTCGGGCCTCGGCGCTCCTTATTCCCTCCAACAGGCACATCTCCAATCTCAACACCCCCACGCTCAATCCGCGAACTCGGCTCTCCCGCCCCCTTCACTCGGCGGCCACCCTGGGTTCGCCGGTAACCCCAACACCAACATCAATCCTTTCACACTCGCTGGCGCAGGCGTCTCCAATGGCATGTCAGTAGCCGGATTTACGGGGGCTGATGGTGGCGGTACGGGACTCGCGAGTCATGCGGCGCAGCTGGGGTTCGCGCGGGGAGCACAGATGCAACAGCAGCAACTACACCAGGGTCACGACGGACGCTTAGCGCTGGACTCGAAGGCGGGTGCAGTGAAATCACGGATTCGCGACGTGTGGAAGCACAATCTGGCTCACGAAATGGCGGTATTAAGATCGCTAGTGGATAAGTACCCATACATTAGCATGGTAAGTAGACATGCCTCCTGCAATATACACTGTGCAGATCTCCCGACTACGGGCGGAGATACGCAGTGCCGCAATTTACGAAATATTAATCGACTATCAGGATACGGAGTTCCCTGGCATCGTTGCTCGACCGATCGGCTCCTTCTCGACCAAAGCAGACTACCACTACCAAACCCTCCGGTGTAATGTCGACCTGTTGAAGATGATCCAGTTAGGGATTACACTGTTCAATGAAGATGGGGAAGTTGCTCCAGCTATATCCACCGACGCGAACGGTCAAGCATACGGCAACTCAATGGTCCCAGCTCCATGCACATGGCAGTTCAACTTCCGCTTTTCGCTAGAGGGAGATATGTACGCGCAGGACTCGACAACGATGCTCGCCAAGTCTGGCATTGACTTCAGTCAACACGAGAAGAATGGAATTGATCCGTTTGAGTTCGGGTCATTGCTGATCAGCTCAGGCCTGGTGCTGTTGGATGATGTCCACTGGGTGTCATTCCATTCTGGATACGACTTCGGCTACCTGATGAAGATAATGCTCTGCTCACCCTTGCCCGAACGCGAGGAGGAATTCCACGACCTCCTCAACATCTTCTTCCCCTCCTTATACGACATTAAGTACCTGATGAAACATGCTGGTCGCAATCAAGCTGTCAACGACTCACCTCTCACACCGGCTGCTATCCAGATCCTCACAAATTTGGGCCAAAAATCCGGTTTGCAAGATATCGCGGACGAGCTTGGTGTCAAGCGTGTCGGAATCGCTCATCAAGCAGGCTCCGATTCTTTGGTAACGGGTGAGATCTACTGGAAGATGCGCCAGATGGTGTTCAACGGTACAATCGACGACAGCAAGTACTCCGGCCAGATTTGGGGTCTTAATGGACATATGCCTGCGATGACCTACAATATGGCTCAGCAAACTCCCAACCTCAACGGGGCCACAATCTACTCCGGAGCCGGCACCCCTAGCACCCCCAACACTGCACACCTCGCAATGGGCGCTAACACACCGCAACACCCTGGCTCTGGCTATCATACTCCCAGCGGGATGACAGGCAAGGCATGAGGTAGTAACAATGTGGACTAGGTTTTCAATGATATGATATGAATGCATGTACATAAGCACGGGGCTCTTGTGCTGGTTTCTTCGATCTTCAGCATTGTCCTTCTGGCCTGTCGCGTTGCATGGGTTCCATTTACTGCGGTCTCTATGTCTCTGGTGGCGGTGTTTCGGATAGGAGGGTGTATGGTGTTTGTAGTTTTTTGATTTGGCTGGTATCAGAATCCATGTGAGAGGCGTTCGGGCTCTCGTGGTCCTTTTGCCACTTTTCTCTATTTTTTTTCTTCTCCCTTTCTGTTTCCATTTGGCCGTGGTCGATTTCTGTATCTCATCGATGTATCGGACATAGGAGTTATGTACAGTGGGATCTTTCTAATTTCGTGTGTTGTTTTCCTAGGAAAGTATCCTGAACATATCCATTCTACTACTTTTCCTATTGCATTCCATGCTGCTTCCTCTGTAAGTAAATACAGTAAGCCAGTCGACAGTATTAATAATATAGCAACTTGGATCGCCTATGGCGAACCGACTTCAAGATCAGATCAAAAGAAGACCCATGTATTTGAAAGGCCCTGCAAAGAAACAAACAACGCAAACCCCAACTCCAAACCGAACAAAGAAATTCGATGGAACCCCAAAGGAGACTGGAAGAAACCACATCAGACAACAAAATGGTAAATACGTGCTCATAATCCTCAAATGAACCAGGAACTAGGTATTAACGAAATCTTCAGTCGCGACCAAACATTGGCGCCCTAGTCGTCGCCATCTTCCTTACCACAGCTGCGATCGCGTACGCGCGCACAGGCACCATTCAGCAATCCCTCGAATCCCTCCCTACAAACACCTCCCTAGTCATTGCTCTCTTCTCTTTCGTTGGCGGCGCTCTAGATTCCATACGCACCAAAAGCCCTGCACCGATCATTCTAGGCCACATCTTTAGCGCTGTCTATGCTGTTAGCTTTGCGCGCCTGAGCGCGGGCCAGCCCTCCGGTGCTGAGATTGGATTATTCGGGTCCTTCGTTTTGACTATTATTCCGATGATAGCACCTGCCGATTGGAGTTTGATTCCTAAGGAATTGGGATACGTTGGAGGATATGGAGTTGCTGTGTTTGCGAATGCTTACGGGGGCTTCGGGTTGGCTGTGACGTTACTCTTTTCGTTAGTGATGTTGGCCTTCAGGGATGACATTAGGCAGATACAGAGTCGAGTCGATGCTTAGATTGTTCTAAGAGGTGAGTATGTAAGAAATAAAATGTCCATATTGCATGTTCTTGTATGGTTTTCGGCTTAGAATCGCCTATGACGATATGCTCTCCTGGCAAGACGCTGCTGGATTCTGCAAGTTCATTTTCCATGCACCTAAAGTAGCACAAATGATTCATTGATATTTTCGCGGCCCCAAATATTCCCAGTCCCTCGCCAGTGCCAATTGTGCAAGATGGAGTCTTTCATCCTCCGGATCCTCAAAGTGTCTCTGCGCTGTAAGTTGTTCACCACTATCTGGCCGGACAAAGTATTTTGAATCCACCTCGCATTGTGTATATGCATTGGGCATTTTGCCCTCATACAAGAACTCGCGCAAGATTTTCGCGACGCAAGTGGACGCCACTGCAACAGAACAGTGACCATAGCCTTTGACCTCGACGATCTGCGAGTCCACGAATGCATCGTTGGCTGATCGGGCCGATATGAGTGGACACACAGGGTCGTAGGTTGTCGAGAGGATCAATAGTGGATGTGCCGTCTTGACGCCTTTGCGGGGCACGTATGAATGTGTCTTTGGCACATCCCAATGCTGTTTTAAGAAGTATGGCTTGATAAATGTACCAATGAACATACTTTGGTTGAGCCATGGCATGATCCAGTCAAGCATTTGCTGTTTACTCTGGGGCCAATGATCAGGACCACTGAGCCCGTCATTCAGAGTCACAAAGTCATTCGATTCATCCAGGCTTTTTTCGTCGGTCCCATACGCCAGGAAAGCATCGGTCGCGTTTCCTTGGATGAGTTTGTATAGGTTGTCAGCTAGGGAGAACCATGTTGGAGGTTTGTATAAGGCCGGAAAGAAGCCATTATATAAGATCATTTCATAGTCGAGTACGCCGTAGTAAGTGTTGTTTATGTAGACACTGATTGGTTCCACCTTAAGTGTCTCCATGTAAGAGATTACTGTCTGGTGCAGTGTTTCTGTGGATGTCGCCAGTGATGATAGCTCGCAGTTTTTGATGCCAGCCTTCATGCATTCGTCAAAGAAGCCGTTAAGCACAGCGTCCGTATCAACCATTGCTTCCAACTCGATGTTCTTTTCGTACCATTCAAACTGGTTCACGACTCCATCGATAATGACACGCTTTGATCTTTCCGGAAATAGGCTTGCGTACGTCTGCCCAAGCAGAGTGCCATAGCTGAACCCCCAATAGAACATATCATCCTGGCCAAGCGCATCCAATATGCTGTTCATGTCGGCTGCCGTCTGCGGGGTGTTGATATATTCACCATATTCGCCCATCGTATCAGAACAGGCTTTGCCATGATTCTGTGACCATGCAAAGACCTCAGAGCTATCTCGTGAGATATTGGTCGCTCGAACGCGTGACAGCTCATGTCGCGTCTTGGCATCGGGATAGCAAGAGGCCGCAGGCGTTGAGCTATTGACACCGCGAGGATCAAATGATACCAGGTGGAAACCTTCGCCAACCAGTGCCTTGAGCTGTTCGCCGCGGCGGTACAGAAACTCAAAGCCGCTCCCCCCGGGTCCGCCAGGATTGAGGAGGAGATTTGGACTCCCTTTTTTGCCGGAGAGACGAATGAGTGGTATAGTGAAGGTCTTGTTTCCTGAATTCTCAGGGTCAAATTGATCCATCGGAACTTCGATGCTGGCGCACTGGAGTGGGCTACCCGAGAGATCTCCACATGGGTGCCACATGGTGGGTTCCGTGGAGAACTGATCTCTATGTCCACACCACGGCCGCCATTCTTTCGTCAGGCCATTGAATTCCGATACAAGCAGCAGCCCGAATAATGCTGCCACTGACAGAAGAGCCCAGCGTTTCAGGTGTTGAAGTCGCGATTGTGGTTTCCAGGCATATATCACTTCCGAACATTTCTCTTCCATGATGCCGTTGCGAAAATCAATCGTTGACTCGGAGAAATTTTACTAGCTCAGGAGGGATTTTTCTGGGACCGCCACGGAGCGGGGTAGTTGCACGATTCAAAAATATCGCGTTGTATGACTGGCGTAACGTTGGATGGGGGCTTGTCGTTAAGAAGTCGCGATGCGCCGCTTGATAGAAAAGAAAAAGGAAACGATATCTCCCTAATATCTAGGCTGCAACCCTAAAAGCTAGTTTACTATCTTTCAAGCTCTCCAATGCTACCAGAAGCCAGGATTTTCACAGTGGTCTTTGACGTAAGATACTCTACAAGGATCTCTAGGCAACGTCCGGACCACTGGACCTGTCCGTCGGTAGACCCACGGCCCCACTATGCAATGATCCTCCCTATCTATCGTCCATGGATCGCTTCGTGCAAAAAGCTAGCCTGCATAATCAAATCACACCATGGTGGATTGTGATCAAGGTCGTATTTTCAAAGGGATTTAAAAAAGCCAATAAAAAGATTCCTATTAATCGAGTAGAGAGAAAGTCCGCCTCCTTGCTCGGCGCCGATTTGGTGCTTTAGGGATCTAGCAACTGATGGATATAAACATTCAAGTGAAACTTTTCGCTTTCCAAGGTCTATAGATCCTTTAGTGGGAGATATTTGCCCAGGAAAATTTGAGAGAATTCATAACCTTGGAACTTCTTACCCGTTTCTGAGACATATAATGTGATAGGTTTACGGCCTAGGATTCTACGCCGGAGCTTTTGGGATACTAGAAAGCACCTATTGCTAACACACTCAAGTTTGTCCTTGGAGCTAGGTCTTCATCTTTATATCACTAATATCATATAATCTCACACTCCATGCGATATGTACTTCATGATAATCCTTGAAGTACTCAAGAATCATGTGATCTGTCCCCTTCCCTACTTTGCCCCGCATGATATGGCTGCCCAGGTGCCTAACTTACGATATATTTTTCTAGCATTAGCATTTTCATTTGGAAGACCTCCATCTGTAATCAATCAGTTTTTCAAGGATTAAGCGATCGCGTGAATTTTCTATGGATATTCACCGTCAAGTCTGACTGTAAGATCACTTGTTTGATTTGCAATTTGTCAACGGCCTCTGATAAAAAATTAAACAGACAGCAAAATAAACAACGAGAACAAGTTGCCCTTTCATCCCTCTGCCTAAATGCCATACACTTCAGCACTAGAAACTACCGCAGCCGCCGCGTCGGCAAAGATCAGGCCATATATCCTACGGACTTCGCATGATCGATATCCTTGGCTCTTTATATCCCCTAGCAGTAGAGAAGACGTGCGCGCGGTCGTGGAATGCCTGTTCAAAGTATTCATTTCTAAATCAATTGATTAAAGGGATGCTGACCCGGCTAATAGGACGCATCGAAATTACAAGCTATATCCAATGAAACTGGAATACAATTCGGTGATGACCCGTGGCACACTGTGGAGGATTTCTACCCTGTCGTTTGGACTACGAGGGCAGGAATGCTGGATCCCCCGTTCCCCAATAATTACTTGGTTGTCGTTGGCTTGGACTACGTCGACAACAATAATGGACTTCCTCAAATCAACAAAGCCTCCTTATCACCTGGAGAGCTTCTTGTCATGCCGCATGATAAGCCAATAAAGCTAACTGAGGGTAGTGGAGGGACGTCTCTCTTTATACTTTTCAAAATGTAATATATCGTGGCTGCCATCAATCGCTGGTCGACCACTTGTACTGGATTCTTTATTGCATTCATTGATGTGTTCCGATGATGCCATGACAGAGTCTTTTGCGGATCTCTGAAGATTGGAAGGATATTCAATAGTATTAGTAAAATGAATCCAATCCTTCATAATGAAGTATCTTCGTTGGGTTAGTGACATCCTTAGCAGTACCTCAGCATATAAATTATCGGTTGGTCTCTTCAATACGCTCATTGCTTCTTTATCTCCACAGACTTACCACCACATGTACTATGACGCAGCACCAAGTTTGTCTGCAATGAATACCGTTTTCCCAAAACTCTTTTGAGCAAATCATTGCCAATGACGGCATCTTCCAAGTTTACACGACTTGACATATTGCTTGTAGGTCCGAACCCGAAACCCCGCAGCCGTGACTTCCCCGCAATAATTTCTCCGCGATGCTAAAACCGGGGCTCGGATGGGACTTAAGCCAATTAGGCATGAAATGATTTAGAGCGTGGGGTGATTGTGCCCACTTCTCGGCTCAAGAACGACTCAAACGAGTATGCAGCTCCGACTCGGCTTAATAAGGTATTAAAGTGACGCTGCGATTCGAGGGACTATCTGTAAGAGTTTGTTTGACTATATATAAGTACGTAACATGCTTTTGGATCATTAAATTTCAACTTCTCAACTTCTCTGGGAGGCATCTGCTGTGTGCTCTGGATCGACATGTTTCTATCTCTCTCTCTTATCCTGGTATGTGCGAGCATCGTGTCCAGTGCGGTGACTGTCACAAGAACAGATCAAGGACCAACTGGATATGAGGTGACTATTACCTACCAGAACGCGAGCGTGAGCAACGTTATAATTTCTGGCCTGCCACACCTGACCGATCAATACTCGACTTCCTGGTGGTCGTGGTCAGACTTTGATCTGAGTGAATACAAACCTGGGGATTTTCCTCGGGATCCTCTCATTGGCTCGTACTACGTGATGAACAAAACGAAACCTGGGGTGTTCACTTGGACACGACCGCTCTTCAGCGGAACGTTCCAGTATTCTTTCCTCCTCGACTGTGCTCAGCCCATTCTGTGCAACACAACAACGGGCCAGGAGATTACGGATCCAACCAATCCACCCTTTGAGAGCGTGCCTGGCTCAGAGTTAATCTCCACGTTCCAGGTCCCATACCATCACGACTTTCAGTTTTATCCAGATCAAAACATCAATCAAGACTATGCGCTCCCTTACGGTACAAATTCCAGCAAAGGTAGCATCAATTTTGAGACCTATCATTCCCCTGGATCCATAAGTCCATCACCAGGTATCCATGACTACGTTGTTTACCTGCCAGCGGGGTACAACGGGAACGATACTACCAAAGAGTATCCACTGCTGTACCTTTCTCATGGCGGTAATGGAGCCGCAGCAGACTGGCAGAACCAGGCCTACGTTTCAAACATGTTGGATCGTCTGATCGGTGACGGCCATATGGAAGCGACTGTGGTCGTGATGCCAACTTGGTATGGTATCTTGCCCAACACCACCAACCCACAAGCTCTGCTGCAGCGCAATTATCCCGATCCACCCACCACCGCCTCGCTCTACAGCAAATACTTGTTCCCTCACATTGAGTCGAACTACCGCGTTAGCAACGAATCCAGCCGGAGAGCCTTCGCCGGTCTCTCGCAAGGTTCGTTTTTGACGTACAGCTTCTACGTTAATTATACTTCCTACTTTGGATATTATGGCATCATGTCCGGTGGGCCCGCAACGAATTCTGAGAATGACGCGCCCTCTCTGAGTGGCTATGTCAACTCATCTATGGTAGCTTCGAACCCGGACCTTTTGACCCGCGGTATATTTGTGTCGTATGGCCAGTATGATATCTTGTTTACGGATGCTCGAAGGTTGCAGCAGGCACTTGATGACGTTGGCGTGGTTTATGTGACTCGATTTGTCCCGTGGGCATTTCACTTTTGGAACAATTGGCAAGATTCCTTCTGGCATATGGGACGCATGGCACTGTGGAAGCCAATTCCGTTTACAAAATCTACTGGTCACGGCCAATAAGGTCTTCTTTGGTATACTATGCTGTAGTCTGATGCAAGTCATTTGATGGCAGTATCAAGACCTTAGCATTAGCAAATGAAATCAACTATCTACAGAGATGAGATCTTGAGCCTTAATCCCAAGTATTTAATGTTGATGGTTTTTTTCTGGGTGAGCTTACAAGGATTAATTGAAACAAAGGGTTAGTTTCGTGGAATATGATAAATGGCAGGGAAAATCCCTGGTCAATCCGGTGGCAATGAGAAAGAGAGTTGAGACCGTAGATGATCTACTTTGACATACTGTAGACAGGTCACAAATACTATTCTGACCACAATCTCTGGAGTGATCATAGACAATACTAAAAATACAGTTGGTCGATTCCCCACCATTAATGATTGGCCGCTTCTTTGTGTCGAGATTTTCTAACTGGAAGCAAGGGGCGGGGTGCTGTTGAGCTCAGAATATAGGAGATTTCGCTCAAGTCCGTGGAATGCTTGAGCCAAAATCTAGGCTGGTCTTCCCGATCTCGGAATCTCCTAATCTCAACATCCAAGAAATCCTGCTGATGGGCCGGTCGGTTCAGCTGGGTCAAGAGCAAAGAAGATCGCCACATTTTCAACTGCTATCATTGGTTAGGTCTGCCCTTGCGTTCGTTCATTGCTTTTTCTTCCAAACCACCGCCTTTGCCACATGTCACACGGAATAATAAACAAGGAAGGGATGTTCATCTGCATCGAACTGTTGCGGGGTCGGACAGATAATGACTTCGGACTTGACACGGTAAGGGGGCCAGTGAAACGAGCTTATTCGGCCTCTCGTGTGCCGAATTTGAATTCTAGTATTTTATTTGCTCTCATAGTTTTCTAAGCCGAAAGGGACGAAGAATGGAACCGAATTGTATCCGTTCAATCCGACTGAACTACAGCATTCATCCCTGGAGTATCATGCACATGACGTTTATGCGCAGGATGCGCAATGCAAGCCGAGCCAGCTGCCCAGGTGGTTGTGCCTGCTTAATCTCTCAAACCTCGGCAAAAATGGCAATGTTTCATGCATACCTCAGAATCAGGTAGCACTTGAGAGAAAATATATCAATACAGGGCTTTCGCTCTTGAAGACAAATACTTTTGCTTCTCCTTCACTCCGAACTGTCGCTTGTGTTACTCGAGGCTCCAGTCATGTCAAAGCATTACGTTGACAGCCCCTTCAATTCTCCAAGTTCAATTGACAAAGAGAAGCCAGATGTTGGGAATGGGTCTTTCAGCTCATTCTCGGACGTGGAGACACAGAGGGCGATCAAAGGAAGCGAAAACTTCCACCGACTTGGCTGGAAACGCCTGACGATTGTCCTTATTGTCGAGGCGATAGCTCTGGGGAGCCTTAGTCTTCCCGCGGCATTTGCCACACTTGGCATGGTTGGAGGTGTTGTCGCAACTGTTGGGATTGGCCTGGTTGCGACATACGCCAGTTACATCGTTGGTCAAGTGAAAATCAAATATCCCAAGGTGGAACACTATGGCGACATCGGAAGGCTCGTTCTAGGAGATTTGGGATTCTGGATAATCACAGTGGTTTTCATGCTCAGCTTGTTGCTGAATGCTGGTTCACATTGTCTTACAGGTATCATTGCGCTAAAAGACATCACTGGGAGCAGTGTTTGTACCATCGTTTTTGGGCTGGTGTCCGCCTTGATTCTCATCTGCCTATCCATTCCACCAACTTTCGCCGACATCGCCGTGCTGGGCTATATTGACTTCGCTTCGATCATAATTGCCATCGGCATCACTATCATTGCCACAGGTATTCAGCGCACTCAGACTCCAGGGGGTATGTCCAGCTCAAACTGGTCGGCCTGGCCAAAAGAAGGCACGAGTTTCTCAACGGGGATGGTGGCTATCAACAACATTGTCTTCGCATTCTCATTTGCACCCGCCTTGCCATCCTTCATGAACGAGATGAAAGCACCCAAAGATTACACCAAAGCTGTGTATGCTCTGGGAGGGATTGAAATCGTCCTCTACACGCTGATTGGCTCGCTGGTGTACGTTTTTGTCGGTCAGGATGTGCAGTCCCCGGCTTTACTGTCTGCGGGGCCGCTGGTCTCGCGGATAGCCTTTGGCATAGCCCTTCCAGTCATTTTTATCTCTGGCTCTATCAACGTCAGCCTCACTGCTCGCTACCTGCATACGACTATCTATCGGGACTCGGTCATACGTTATGTGAACACGAAAGCGGGCTGGATCACCTGGATCTCGCTCGTGACGGTCTTGACATTACTTTCATGGGTAGTTGCTGAAGCGATTCCCGTGTTTTCCGACATCTTATCCATCTGCGCTGCTTTATTCGCCTCAGGGCTATGCTTTTACGTACCCCCGGTATTGTGGGTTGTTCTTTTGAAGGAAGGCAGTTGGTTTTCAGGGCACAATATTCGAACTGCTTTTTACAATGCGTTTGTATTCGTGTTTGGGATTGGAGTTCTCGTTTGTGGCATGTACGCCAGTGTTGTCAGTTTGGTAAGTACCATCACGTACCATGGGCTTTCTTTTCGAGTTTCACTAACTTTTTGAGTAGATTCAAGCCAGCAACGACGGTGTTGGTAGACCTTTTTCGTGTTCGTCCAGTTAGATTTATCGGAGATAACAGGCCAACGACTAGAGAGTAGACAGCCTACATGCCAAGGGGATAGAAGCGTGATACTTTAAACAAAACCTCTTTGTACAAAACGCACCGCCGTAACAACAACTATACTAAGCCACCATAATAATGACGTATCGAGCGCTTGGTATTATGATGCCCACGTGCCACAAAACCTCAGTGTCACCGAGTAAAGTTTGGGAGCATTGGCGCGGTAGATCGTATCTTTATTCATCGATCTGCGTGACACGCTGTTGAGTGCAGCTCGCCACAATTCGGGCTCAACACAAGGAAACTATGAGGGTTGGGCGTTGTAGAGGCACACGAATACCTGCGAAAGGTCGCATTTAGAGCCACTGGTGAGATTACACAGCACGTTACACAGAGATCTGACACGTTACAATAACGGCAATGGTAAATTTCCATTCATTGTTTTCACAAAGATCGCCGACTCTCAGACCCTGTTCCGTTCCGCGCCTTGGCTTCAGCCCCAGAAACCATGACCCACAATCAAACCAGCGAACTATTTGTCGCAGATGATTCAATATCAGCGCTAGGTTGTATTGGTCCATGCGGCCCCTTTTTAGGGGTTCAACTGCCCCACATCTATTTCCCACGGTCCACGGTCCACAGCCATCCTCCCACTCTAAATGTTTCCTTGTCCGATGGACCCAGAACCACACTTCGGACGCTGGCATGGTTGGCCTTTTAATTTTAGTCGCCTTCACAACGCCTGCACTTGCCCAGTCCAACTCAACGGCTCTCGAGGGCTGGCAGTTCGATGACGATTCACGCTCAAGTTGGGACATTTTCTGGACCTGCCTTTCAACAATTCTTGCATGCACATGGACTGCGCTCCATTTGGCAGTTCCAAAGAGAGACGATGCAGAGAGCACCCAGATAATTTGGAAGCTTATATCATGGATATGTGCCGTTCTCGCCCCGGAGCTGATGGCTGGGCTCGCGGCTGAGGAGCTTTTAAGGGTGAGGGCAATAGTTGCGCGCTGTAATACTGCGTTTTGCAAGCTGTCCAATGAGTCCATTAGGCCAGTCTCATTACCCCTTGAGACTCCAGCTAGAGAGGAACAGGGCTCTGGTGGAGAAGAGACCTCACACAAGGAGAAAATTACGCCAATTCAGCCAAAAGAGGCCTCAACACGCGAAGAAGAGGCTTCGAAAAAAGAGGAACAGGCTTCAAGTGAGGATGAACCCAAACCATCAGCTGTTTGGTGGTCTACAGTCCAGGGATTCTGTTTGGTCATGAATGGAGTCCTTATTCAGACCAAAGACGGTTGGACCTACCCAGTTCAACCGAATAATGTCGTTCCATTCATCGAGGCTGGCGTCGTGAAGCCGTATCACTTGAGAGTCCGCGACATCGAAGACCGAGCCAAAGCCGACTCTTTTGCAAAAGGATTTACCTTGTTGCAGAGCCTTTGGGTGACTTGCAACATAATTGCAAGGCGCGCATATAGCTTACCAATCTCGCCACTTGAGTATTCAACCGTGGCATATGTTGCCTGTGCTGCCGTCACTTATATAACATGGTGGCATAAGCCAAGAGACATGACAACCCCCATCCTTATATTCTTAGCATACGACAAAGACGATACAGATATGCCATTACAGATCAGGAAGACCCTGAATGAGGGACACGGATCTTGGGTTCAATCACATAAAGCTGTGCCAGAAGACTCATCTTCGCTACTGGAAAACTTGCTCATGCCGCTAAGAATAGCGGGGAGATTACTCATATTGCCCTTCACGCCGAAAGGATGGACATTAATTATCGAATCTGTTACCAAGTCCCTGGCGAATATGAAGGAGACCTCGTTAAGCAATGATCCACCTCCAAGCAGCCACCACCAAGATGAGGAAAATGCTCTACCACCGAAGCCGGTCGATGAACCCCAGCAATCATCCAACAAGGTCAGAGACCCACACGAGAGTCTGAGTATTTTGAGCAGCTTCAACCTCACCAATTTCTACATGTTCGTGGCTCTACTTTTTTGTGGAGTACATGTTGCTGCGTAAGTACTACAATCTCTAATTTCGCCTTGGCTTTGCTTAATTATTGAACTAGTTGGAACTCAGAGTTCCCGACAAAAGCCGAACAGATGTGTTGGCGAGTCTTTTCACTATTTGCGTTTTGTGTGGTCTGGCCACTTTATCTGGTACATATTTGGCTGTTTTATCGTCTCTACCGTGCCAAGGGTGATAAGAGGGCGACTGTAGAAGATGCCGATATGGCTTTAGGTCCATTGATTGCTCTGTGGGCTATTTGGTTTTGGATTTACTCAACTGCACGTTGGGGAAACCTCATTCTCATGTTTATTTCCCTCAGGGCATTACCTGCTGGGTCTTATATCACGATAGATTGGATGTCGACAATTCCTCACATCTAAGGTTCAATGACATTGTCTTGAGATAACTCAATGCGAGTTGTCCCCATCGCGCCTTACAACTCGAGATGTTACTACAATGAGTCCTATCATGAAACTGCATATGAATAGATTGACCAATCAATATCAACGGAATTAACACTCGAGCTGACTTCAGCTGCTTATATAATGATCAATTGTCCCTGAAGATATTGACATCCCAAGCTCGACTTCGAACATTTGAAAACTGATGATCTGGCAAATCCCAAGATCTCAGCGAGTCTCAGGAAGTCTAGAGTTTGCCGGATTAGTGAAATCCTCTCTATGACTGCCCGGGACTCTAAAAGTTTACTTCATCTGAGGGCGAGAGACAAATAGCCAAGGTGCCCGGCCGAATTGACGAGATTGCCCCGATTTGGTTGAACAGGGATCAACTTGTTTTTCGGAAGCGACTTCTAGGGTACTTGTCAGAAGTATTTCGATGGTCCAGACAACACCTAAGTGTTACAGCCTATAAATATTTGAATTAATTATGTTTTCCATTGTAACACCGCTAGAGTCTACCGATTCGTAGTCCCTGGATAGGAGACACCAGACTTGGTTGCTCGAAATGCTTATATTGCTCTTCGCAGCAAATCGTGAGTAGAAATCTACTATTTTGTGTCCAGTATTCACCCCCCAACAGCATCAAAATATTTTATTGCCCGAAGCTCCCGCGATTGTAGTCCCGTGGTTGTCATTGTGGGTCACGTTCGACTAGATAATAAAAAAGCCTTTGCCACCCCCAAGCTGATCTGTTCTTCAGATCTGTGGAAAGTATGATTATAACAGGTTTGTGGCACCGATGATCTCACATCATAATTGTTAACGATGGCACCATCGCGTGAACCGTTAAAGGTACTTACCAAATAGGGGGTAGTGGATCTCAATATTGTCCCAAAGAGGGAGAAATACACGGTGCTAAAATCAGCCTTATGTCGATAGCGATAAGGGGGTCATTAGAGCCGAAGCTCTCAAGGAGGGTGCTAATTCTTTCAAACGATCTAGTGCAGCTTGACGGGAGCTTAAAATCGCCACCCATAGTCTATGGTAAAGGCTAACTTTATCGGTGCGTTTCGTTAAACAAAGCTCGGCTACAAGTCTACTTCACGTAAGATTCTTCACATTCTTTGCCGAGACCAACGGCAGATGATATATGCAGAGCTAAATAATAAGAACCAGTGGCAATCATAGCTTGGCCCGAACCCTAATCCTACATCGGCTGTTTGGGTTCACCCAAATTAATTGATTGTGGTGTCCGCTGAACGCGACACCTCGCTTCATAACATCCATATAGCTTCCTCTGGGTCTAGGTCTATCTCACCGGTCGCTCCCACAAATTTGATTTTCTTCGGTATTGCGCTAGTATCACAGACCATGAGGTCAAGGCCGATTCCGATCTCCGCCTCCGCTGACTGATCGCCCATCACGCTAGCTAGTCATCTAGTGAAGTGGCGAATTCCCTGTTACTTTTTATCAAAGATGAGAGCGGAAGAGGTTTTTCCGATGGGATGTCGGGCACGGGTAGTATATCTAGCAGGAAAATACTGAATAGTACGCTTCTACACCTCTCTGGTCTGCACATATAGGTGCTGCCCACGCATATCACGTACAAACTGCGGTTGCTTGCGTTGTTGTGTTGTGTAGCTGGATCGACCCGCACATCCTCGAGTGTGCTGCTTCGAGCGTTCCCATCTTCATCAGAAATGTTAACCGAGCCGCACCCGGAATTACCGACCGGGTCCATATCATTGCTGCGACTTGCAGCCCCCGGGGCCGACCAGAAAGATCATGTGAGTAGTTCGAAATAAATGGATTTGAATTATCGCCTCAGACCTATTGAATGTCAATCAAATAAAATCTTACAAACAGAGATCTCGAAAGAGCTTTGAGAAAACCCGACCATATGGAGAGAAATAACGACATGATTACATGCTTAGAGCCATCTAGATTAGGGTTTTCTTCTCTTTTAGGCTGTAGAAAGTCTACTGACTACGGCTGACCCGAAAATAGCCTGGGGCTGTCTAGGCTCATCGTTGCGGGCTATACTCGGCTATTATACCACCCCCGGAAGCCGTCGGCATAGTAGGCTGGTACCTGAATTAGTGGAGTGGGGAAGCCCCACCGGGTAAGCTTTAGCTGCAGGATAGGCACAGACTAGTAGAGGAATTCTCTCCACCCCGGAAAGTGGACAAGAATGGTCAAGGTCGTACAGAATCGGTTGATGAGCGAATCGATGCTATATTTATCTATAATGAAGTGAGGCATGAAGAGGGATAAAATGAGCAATTAAAGGATTTATTATAAGATTGCCTGGATTGACGTGTCATGAGAAAAACAAGCAAGTTAAGTATCTTTTTTTCTCGTGCATGGTCTTCATCCGTGCACGTTTTCAGACTATCAACCAAAAATCACACCACCGCTCTACTCTTTCTGTGGCAAGCCACCAGGTGGCGCTCACTTCGAATAGACGTCTACGATGTCAGCTTCAAGCCTGTCGCTTGCTATAACCTTGTATTTCGCCTCGGTACTATCTGAAATCGCCCCACTTAGTTCTTCAAGTATATATGGAAGACATTCCTAGACGAAGAAGGCATACTGGTCAAGCTCAAGTCGTGGGCATTGCTACTGTCTCGGGCGGACCACTCTTTTGACAGACATTCTTTTCAAAACCTCATTCTTTTATACATCGCGCTCCTTTTCCGTCTTAGGGGCCAGAGATGCATTGGCCGCACCTGCTGTTGGCCTTCGGGGCCACAGTGTTTGCTCTTCCCTCGAATCAGGATGTCTGCCAATCCGAACGGCATGTCATTGATGAAATTCAAAATGACCGAGAGTCTCGGGCATACTGTAGCAGCAGTGTGCTTCATATCCCAACTCACACGACTACCGTCACGAAGACATGGACTCCGCCGCCAAAACACGTTACGAGCACTGTCTTCAGGACTAGCACTCACACTGCTTTGACAACCCACATTATCTCTCAGACCACTACTGAACACTTTACTGACACCGTCACGGATCACCTCACCCTCTCAACCACCGATGTTATTGATTCGACGCTAACAGTGGTAACCACCGACATCGTATATCAGACAGACACAGCCACCATCACTGCACTGTCCACCGCTACAATTACAAACGTCGTGACTGAGACCGATACCGATGTGGTTACCGCAACCTCTACCGCCACCTACGAACAAGTTTATGGACGCGATTTCCGGGGAGAGGTATATCAGCATTGGCCCAATCAGCAGCAAGACAGTGTTCCCAAGCCTCTTCGAGGACTACAGAGCAAGGTTGTGTCAGAGATTTGCTCTTGTCTACATCTGCAGACACCAACAGTCACTCATTTAGTGACCAAGACTGCCATCAAGCCTACTGTGGGTTCCAATCTTGTTAATTAACAGTACATGAGGTTCAAAGCTAACTTGGGCTTAGGTTACCTCGACCCAGACAGTTCACCGGACAGCTACTATTACCGATACCATCCTGTCAACTCACTATGCCACGGCGAGAGTTACGAATACTGCAACTTTAGATTCGACCACTGTAATTACCGTCGTGGAAACCAGCTATCTCACCGACACTGTCACGGAAGAATCCACCGTCGAGGTCACGACAGATATTACTACCGAGGTGACAGACACCGTGACTGTGACCGCCACAGACTCGGTGTTTGTTTCATCTACGGCTTTGGATGAAGTCACTGTGACCGAGTTATCTTCAAGATATGTGGCCCCTTCATCTACCTCAACAATCATCGCTTCATCCAAGGCCTCCAATGAGGTATCATCTTCAACCTTGGTTGGCACAACTACATCTGCCGGATTTGTGGTTACGACAACTTCCAACTCAAATTATGGTGCTGCTACGGTCTCGTCGTTTGCCGGTCCAATTACACTCAGCTCTGCTGCAACAGCTACCATGACCCCGATTGACCCCCCGGTGTCAACATGGGTGGTACCGGTGTTTTGACTCCCACTGGTGTCGCCCAAGTGTGGTATAGCTCAGATGACAGCACCTCCGACTCAAGCTCCGCATACCCTTACGTCCGTTTGAACATGACCTTTACGGAAGATTCAATTGCCCTGGACCAGTCAATCTACATTAAGGATATCGTCTGCACCTCCTCCACTCTATCTGGATATTTTAACAATTCGGCCGCATACAGTTATGCAGAGAGCTCTTGGCCGACTGATAGCAGCGTGATCCTGATCACAGCTGCGTCAAGCTGCAGTTCCGATGGACAGAACATCTACTTTTTGTCTACTTCGATCGTCTTCACTGACTCCAGCGACTCCTTCGTGGCGACAGGTACCATTGAAGCAATTACCGATGTTCTCGACAACGTCGGAATGGACTTTGGTGCTCTTACATACGATACGGATGACAGTAGTTCGAGCTCGAGCTCCTCAGATTTGGGCTGTACCTCTCCCACGTCGTCTACAATCGATGGCCTTCCCGCTATTTCCTGCGGAACAGATTTCGATGAGAATCTAGATGATGCTCTTGGATATTACTCTGTTGCGACTGAGTCTGATGCCGATGTAAGTTTCCAATCTTCTCTATTATAAAATGGAGTGCTCTTTCACGATGCTAACAAAAAGTCAGACTACCTTGCTGACTCTTGCTCCTGGATCATCACCTACTACCAGTTCCCGAGTGATGCGCCGAAGCTTCTGGAGCAAGCTCAAGGCTGCTGTCAAGGCGGTCGCAACTGTCGTTAAGACTGTTGCTAAAACGGTGGCGACCAAGGTGGCTACAGTCGCGAAGACTGTCGTCAGCACAGCTGTTTCAGCCGTGAAGACCGTGGTCAGCACTATCGCAAGCACGGTCACAACTATTGCTAAGACAGTTGTGGCCCTCGTTACTCTTATTGTGACTGGCAACTACAGTCAAACGTTCGACATCTCGCTGAGCATCACCCCATCCTCGTCTCTTTTGACTACATCTCCCTGGGGCAAGGGCTTCAAGTTTTACACCCTGACCCTTGATGAGGAGGATTCTCACTTCTCACTGGATGATACAGTCCTGGAGAAGATCGAGTCGGAGCTGATTGGCGAAGCTGACCCGGAGCCCGGTATTGAGCTCTGGTGTGTTGACTGTGGCGTCAGCGGTGAATTCAAAATCACCGGCGCATTCTCAATTAGCGTTTCCAAGGGAATCTCCAAGGCTCAGCTCTCTTTGACTGGCAACATGTATGCTGGCTTGTTCATCGGACTCGATGCATTTGCTGAGTACGATTTGACGACTGAGCACGATCTTTTCACTGTCAGCCTGCCTGGGTTCACAATTCCTGACATTGTCACCCTGGGTCCCAGTCTGTCGCTTGGTGTCTCTGCTGATCTTGACATTCAAGCCGAAGGTCAATACTTCATTGGTGCCGGATTGATCTGGTCCGACATCATTTCAGTTCTGGATCTTATTGATCACGCTTCGTCAACTCATTCAGGATGGACTCCCACCCATAACTACTCCGCAAGCTTTGACGGAGATGTCACTATTACATCTACTTTGGGCATGCCGGTCACCCTGGAGTTTGGTCTGAACATTTTGAGCGGAACCTACAAGAAAGATGCGAAGCTGATTGACACCCCCGGAATTGTTGGCACTAGTGAGTCCCTCTCTTCATGCTCAAGATCATATCAATCACTAACAAAATCTAGTTGAGTACGATGATGATCTCTCCTATACAAACGGAGAGGCAGATGTCACTCCTGCCAATGGATGCTACGGTATTACTTGGGACTTGGCTTTGGACAACACTGTCGTTCTCGACCTTTCAGACTTTGATGCTGGCACTTATACATTGGATACGTATACCATAGCAGACCTGGCTAATGGTTGTGTCGGAACATCTGTGACTTCCTCCGCTACAGCAACATCGACATCTACCACGACCTCAGCGGCCACTGCCACCTCAACCGGACTTTCCATGGACTACTTCATCTGGGGAGACTCTGACCAAACCACCCTTGCAAAGTCCTTGTTCATGAGCGGCTCTGATATCAAGATCAGTCTTGCCGAGCTTGTGGCGGACTTCACCAACTCCTGGGCTGGAACATCAAAGTCGTCTGATACGAAGAGTATTACCATGCTCTTTGAGTATAACGGTGACCTTCGCGTGTTTGTGTCTTCGGAGTATGCTGCTTCCTCATGGACTATCTATCCAGGTGCCGTCAGTCTGTCTCCACACACTTCTGAGGTTGTCTCATACACCAAGCCCTCGAGTGCTAAGATCACAATCATCTCCGTTGTCTGGGGTATCGGTGCTATCGCCAATGAGAGTGTATACGATACACTTTACAGTTATGCCGCAGCCGGAACCTCTTTTACGTTGTCAAACACATTCTTCGGGACGGACACCTGGGTGAACTACCATAAGGTTGGTGTCATCTTCTACCGAGACGCTTCAGGAAATCTGCAACACCTCATTGGTGATGAGAGTAGCACTGTCTCTTTCCCTACCTCTGCCATGACCAAGAGAGATGTCGATATCGTTGCCTCGAAGCAGCCCCAGCCTGAGACCGAGCTTAAGACCGAACCCAAGATGAGTCCTTTTAGTGTTTCTGTCGACAAGAAGCGTGCGCCCTCCAAAATGTTCGATCCGTACGGTCGTAACTTGCTCTTTGGCCGGTCCAACAACAGCACTACATCATATGATAGCACTGGAACTGTGACCATCACCGACACTACCGGTGCCCTCTACCTAAACCCCTCGATCAACGGGTCTTTGTTCGTCTCCCTTGTCAGCGACACTACGGACCTTACCAGCTTGACCGGCGGATACCAATTTGCAGCTGATACCACCGAAGGGCTCATCATGGGTGATTCCGCATCCCGTCTGCTATACTACTTCCCCGATACAATGAGTGCAGTTGGAGCCTCGCGTCTGCGTCTTGGAGCTTGGGGTGAGATTCCCAAGACTGCCAATCTCATCAACCTTGTTCCGATGTCCACTGGAAGTGAAGAAATTCTGGTCGCGATTGATACGCTTGGAAACTACTACTTCCCCTTCGTTTGCGGAATCCAGGATCAGCTGAACAAGGTCTTCCTTGTTGCAGATGTTGACACTGGTGCGAGCGTTCTCGAGAGCGATAATCTCCTCTACACCGTCGTTGGAGGTGTTTCATCTAACTGCAATGTTTTGGCTTTGGTGGCCTCGGGCCTTTGAAGGATGAATCATCGTGCCCAATGGCTGGACTCAAACTTGAACAGTGGTTTTTTCACCACATTTACGTGCAAATACTGCATATTTCATTGCTTCCTTTCATCACATATTTCTGCCATATTTCGTCTGGTTAATTCTTTAATATTATCAATAAATCATGAGTTCAAGGTCAATTAGAAGATTAAGCTCCTCCTTTCTAGAGAGTAGACAGCAGTGTCGCGGGATATGTAACAATTTAGGATCTAAGAACTTGCTAACAGTGACTGGAGCGATTTCGCAAAGCTGTAGCCTCCACGCAGATCATGGAGGCCAACTATGAAGCACTGCCATTTTGAAACCCGGGCGTATGAAAATATCGCACATGTGTATTGGGTACAATTGGGAAATTCAAGAGCTGCATGTAACTACATCTGAATCAAAACGGCAAATCCACTCAAGTCTAGGCCGCAAACGCTCGCAAGAATTTGTTGAACACATACCGAGAGCGAGGACTCTCTTTCTTCCTGCTCATTCAAGCGGCTTTTGCCCGACCACCATGTACCGAGTAAAGCTATTACCTGCTCCAGCTGCGGCCTCACTCAGAGCCTCTGGTAGGCCTTCCTTCATTCCTTTTGACCACTCTGACCTTCGGTGTCCATGTGCAAACACATGCACTTGACGAGGAATAAAGGATATCTGGATGCCAAGCATACTTTAAAATCAGTATTATTACTCATTACGATACCCTCGTTCTATTCAGACCTCCCCAATATGCTTGTCTTTGCTTCAATCCTTGGACATCACGGACTTGAGAACTAGCCGTTCGTCTAGTAATATTTGTGGACTTGGTATCCGCTGGGTCGTAGCCGAAATAGTTCGATTGGTCAGAAGAAAACAGTCTCCAATTCTGATTAATCCTATGGTCTACAAAAGCAAGCGCCATAAACTTAGTGTAACAAGAATATGTTAGATCGTTCTTTACATCCTGTCCACAGATGAATTCGTCGCTTATTAATGAGGTAAACTAACGTATTTCACAAGCCTTGACTTAACCCTAAAAAGCCCAGTGGGGCTGACTTGATTTACCCCCATGGGATAGGGGAATTATTAACATTGGTTTGATATGGCACAAGTGATCAATATACTAGACTGCAATCTGCCTTGAGGAACCCACATCAAAAGTTTCGTCACACTGCACACCATTATCTCAATATTGGTTTCAGACGGAAATCATAGATGAATGTATCGTCTGTTCATTGAACGACATAATGCCGTTGAACATAAAAAAAAGATGGCGGTGTGGTTGGCTACTTGGAAATTGTTGCTGTTGAATTCGATGTAGCCGAAAGAGAAGCAACTGGGAAATCTGCAATACGGAGTTTCGCAGCACCATACGGTATCAGTCGGACTTTCGTCGGCTCTCCACTCACGATAGGATTGAGAGGAGGAAGCGCGGCTGTTCCGAGCGTTTCGGGCCAATGAATTAACCACGCGTCGACCCACAGCACTACAGGCGTAGCAGGAGAAGTCCAAATGGGGGTTATTAGATCTTCAGATTCGCTGAGAAGCTTCTCTGCTGTGGCAGAAGAGGGATCGATGGCATACCGCCATTCTGAAGTCGGATCTAGAGACCAATCTTTCGTTTGCGGGATGATCTGATTACCCGGGAGCGGAGTGCGATCAGTCCAATTTAACGGGGTGTGGTACGTTGCGCTGTCGTAGTCAATATCGAGGGCGTAAAGCAATGGCCCGTAGTAGATGGCCACTGATCCATTGCGAGGTTCTGCAACAATGGACATGGACAAGTCTACTTCAATGGAAGTTCGACCCTTCTCGATCTTGAATTGCTGAAGGCTGTCGGAATTAGGGGTGACACGTCGTCGCCGGGCTCCTCGAACTTGATACGTTGAAGTGCTGTTCGTCATGGCCCATGCTGGAATCCGAACGAAGAAGTCAAATGCCGCCTCCGATGTGACGGTGTATGACAAGGTCCCGGAAAATGGATAGTTCGTTCGACATTCAATCATCACTTCTGCATCGTTGATCTTGGTCATTACATTCGTTGGTCCTAAGAGGGTATGGATAACCGAAGAGTCGTTTTGTCGCACATACGATGAGGCGACAAATTTGGGATATCCCTGTCCGTGATTAACGGTGCAGCAGGGGAAATTGGGTTCCAAACCGAAGGTATTCCCATACGAGACAACATTGAAGTACGGCTGCGCTGTCAAGTTTCTTGACCATGGCTGGTTGGTTTGTTGCACATATTGATGTGACCACCCTACTTTGGTCAGGAGAGATGCCAAAGATCATGCAGGGCAATTGAACTCACAGTCAGGGCTCAGGGCGGCAGGGAGAGCATTGAACGCAGCGCGTTCAGCCTTGTCTGCAAAGTCACTGATACCGTAGAAGCGATAAAGATAGCTCATTGAGAACATCATTTCAACGGCCATACACGTTTCCGAACTATGAAGATTTGTTCTATCAATACCATTCAGTTCATGATGGAGAGTCACATACCCGCGCTGAGGGCTCCAGTCGCCAAGATGTTCGTCGGCAATGATGCTACCTGCTCTAGATGAATGGTAAAGGTTGGTCCAATTGACGGCATCTAAAGTCTGAGTGAGTAATGACTGGTTTTGCGTCATGCGATAGAGAACTGTGGGGTATCTGAGTCCTGTGCACGGATTAGTACTTCGAATCAAATCCTCAGGCTCATAATATCCCATACCTTCAGCAAGACTGACCCCATGGGTAAAACCACTTGTCTTGATATATGGCGTTCCTCTGGTCGGGAATGCTCCTTGGACAAAGAACGTGGTCCAGTCTCGTCCACCGGCTTTCCCACCCTGAAACATCAGCTCCATCGTTTCCCAAATGACCTCCGAATTGTTTCGCGGATAATTTTCGTACAACCACTGCAGACTCAAGGGCAGTTCGTGGGTTCGAGAGAGGCCAAAACCGTACGGATCGAAGTCATCGCCTATCGTCTTGTTCTCAATTAACCCGGTGTAATTGTTCTTGAGCATAGTGTTTGCCAGCTCGACAAACTTATGCATTGCCGTAAGAATGCGATCCGCTTGCGATGGCTGCGCCTCAACGTATTGCTATGTGTTACGTTAATAAATTGAACCTGATCAAGCTACTGTGTCATCCTCCCATACCATGAGACCAAAAAATAGCAAAGACCGTGCCCAGAGTCCACGTGTTTGTCTTGTCGTCTCCGGACCCAACCAGCCATCCTCAGCTTGGTGGTCCAGGGTATAATCCAAGAACTTCTGGGCTTGGTCTTTCAGACGTGCATCATCGAGAGTGAATGCCAGGGGGACAATATAGTTAAACCAGTAAGGTGCAGATTCATGCAATTCGCTATACTCATACGTGCCTCCAAGCCAAGTCGACTGCGCCACGTATCGGTAGAAATCGAACAAATGGCCTGCCAGACCGTCGGCTTCCAGCGCCAGTTGATCATGAAGCCACCCAGAGGCCGTGATCGAATCCAGCGGAAATGAGTTATATTTGAAGGGTGCCAATTCTGCAGCAAGATAAGCCGTTTAGATCATGGCCTCGGCACGAGAAAGTTGATGAAAATAAGTGAGAAGGGCTATACCTTGAGCTACGACGTAGTCTAAGGAACAGACAACCCCTAGGGTCAATGGTACAATGAGCCTCATCATAAATAATTTTGCTTCGCCGTTGAAATCATCCAACAGTTCCTCGAGAAAGCAGTGCAATAAGCAAACTCGCGTTCCCTTGATTACTTATATGACAGCCCACGGAGCATCTCCGACACTTCATCCGCGACTCATTTCCAAGGTTTGGCTCGTGGCAATTAAACATTACCCGAGAGGAAGTGAGACTCTGGAGGGTTTCTTTCGCTGTCACCTGTCTTCACATCCGTTTGTGTTAGAGCTGCATACAGTTCAATACAAGCTCCCAAGGGGTTGGTAGACCCAAAAGAAGTTGACTAACCGAAATTACCATAGAGGAGTCTAGCCACGTTCGCATCAACAAAGCGAATGGTCAATAGGGGAATCTCCGGTACTTGTTCCGGACCCATCGATCTGGGTGCCCGCTAAAAGTACCTCATGTGACGAATTTGCGGGGATTTTCTAAGGTGGCAACCAGGAACTGGCAGGCTCCGGAGACAGAATGTACATTCAATCCCCTGGCAGAAATTCTGCTATTTATACGCGTTCTGTTCTCTTTGACTTTCCTATTTTTCCAGAAATTTCCGCTTATTCTATGATTATATAACGTCATGTGTAGGCTTCGGCAAATGGGGCCCCATTTCCAAAAACCAGGGCCCACCCCAACCCCAAGAATCCATGCCCCCATTGGGGCCCTATGGGGGCGCCTTCTTATGATAGGGTAAAACTGATGCCTTTTTTCGCCTGATTGCTGCCTACTTTAGCCAGTCTGGCCATTTACTTGGGCTAATTGATCCGATCCGATCATCATCGGTTCCGAATTAAAGCGAGCATCCTCTGCCAATTTCGACAAAGCTCTCGCAGGTTGTCAGCCACAGGTGATAACGTATTCGGTAAGCGGACTGCACTTATAAGCCAGCTGCGCAGCTGGAATACCATAGTAAATGCAAGAAATTACAATTTAATATCTCGACAAAGAATCATTTAAAGGGCTTTCCTTACAAATTAACGTTTTTTATACTACATCTAGCTACTCTAGGATGTTTTGCACATTGTCCAGGTAGGTATTATTAAAGATATACATATTTCGGGTTGTAATCAAGGTAATTTGACCATAATAACATAATTTTAATACCTCCTTTAAATTGATACAAAGTATTGAAAAGCCCTATCAAGAACCATATACACGTCATCAAATGAAACAAGTTTGAAATATGAAGTCGAAACTTATTGCATTTACTGTGGTATTTAACTGCGCAGCTAGCTTACATGCGCAGCTCGTTACCGAATACGTTATTTGCAGCCCCGCTACAAAGGGACAATTGGCTTGAAGGGGCGTAGGGCTCGTCTCGAGCACCATGGTCGGAGCCAAGGGGAACACAAGGCCTGACAAGGGAGGGCAATGCGGACTGCAGTCACGGGATCGCAAAGGAGCCGACGAGTCACTCCAGGGCAAAGAAGTGGCGGAGTTCAGGAGCTCGGCGATCCGGATCAATAGCAGAAATGCCTCAAGGGGAGAGCAGAAAAGAGAGAGAACAACTTAAAGGGACGTTGAGTAGAGAGGGACAGCCCCGGGGTTGGTATATACCACCACGTATAAGGAAAATAGCATTCATTCTTATAGCGTAATTTGTCAGTCTCTCATATCAATCCGATATGGTGTAGTGGCTAACATCGTCGTCTCTCACACGACAGCCGGGGGTTCGATTCCCCCTATCGGAGTTTCTTTTTCTCATTTTTTTTTGAGACTTCCGTCCGCAGCTTGCGAATTTTTTGGTCTTTCAAAACCCCGGCATAGGACCGCATGATCTGATCTAGCCTCCATCAATTGATTATAAAAGCGGCTGGTTGTATTGAAAATCCATCAAATATACTCTATTGAGTTCCTCTCGATTTCAATTCTCTATGTATACACATTTATATAGAATCTTCGGTCTACAGATGTCGTAGCAATTCGTCAAGCAAATAACCTTAAAACTTTAATTGACCAGTCGGAAGCAACCCATGCTGAGAAGTACTCACTCGTCCTCAATTCTACATACACGGTCAACAATGAGTCGGAAGAGAAGCAGCCCCACCAAAATCATAAAGTCGGTCCGATACGCTTAGTGACCAGCTGTTTATAGATCTGATTTAAGAACCTAGCTCCCCTCCCAAGCTTTCCTTTCTCCTCCCTTCAACAATCCAAACCAATTCTTATCACAATGCCTTTCGTCAAAGCCAACACTCACAGTCTACACTATTCCGACTCCCACCCTGATGGCCCACCAACCCCGAACGGCCTCACTTTCCTTTTCATTCATGGCCTGGGATCTTCGCAGAACTATTACTTCCCCGTGATCCCGCATTTGACATCGAAGCACCGCTGTGTTACCATCGACACATACGGTTCCGCCCGCTCAGCATACACTAATGACCCGATCTCTATCCCGGGTATCGCAGCCGATGCCATCGCTGTTCTAGATGAGCTAAAGATCTCCAAGGCTGTCGTGGTCGGCCATTCAATGGGTGGATTGACCGTCACGGAGATTGGATCGCGGTACCCGGATCGGGTACTGGGTGTTGTGGCGATTGGGCCGACGCACCCGTCAGAGATGTTGGTAACGGTTATGAGCAAACGGTCGGAGACTGTCCTTGAGAGTATGTATTGCCTTGACTTTTGAAACAGGGGAGATTTGGGCCTTTAAGACTATCTCGATACGTGGTTCCTGACTTTATCTCTAGCTGGTATGGAATCCATGGCCAATTCTATCCCCTCCGCAGCCGTCGGATCCCGCAGCACCCCACTTCACAAGGCCTTTATCCGAGAGCTGCTGCTTGGTCAGGATCCTAAGGGCTATGCGGCACTTTGTCGGGCTATCTCTACCGCTCAGCCGGCTGATTATGCTGCCGTGCAGGCGCCGTTCCTGCTCATTGCTGGTGAGGAGGATAAGTCTGCATCCATGGAGGGATGTGAGCATATCTTCCAGAATGTCTCAAGCAAGAACAAGTCGCTTGAGGTGCTGAAGGGCGTAGGACACTGGCATTGTATTGAAGCAGCCGATGAGGTTGGCTCGCTCATTGCGCAGTTTGCTGATGGAATTGTGGTTTGACTTATCTAGCTAGCACGATAATGAAGAATATGTCATGGATGCCAATTTCCACCCTATACTTGAACGATTTGGCAAGAACTGAAATCTCGTAAATGTATAGCAATTTCATTGATTAAAAATTTCAATATTGCGAATAATTTGTTTTTGAATATGTGCCGAGAACGCTATTGTAGTACAGTAAAATCAATGGTGAGAATACCCATTGTATGCAAACTTCATATCATCATTCCTCATACGCCATTGGATTGCACATCAGCAACAAGCTTAACGTCGTAGTTGAGCTCAAGACCGGCTTGAGCATCGCCCTCTCGCGGGACGAAGTCTACAACCAGCGAGTCCTTGACTGCGAATACAGAGTCGTTGTCCAGGTACTTGTCCTTGCGATCAAAGATCTGGGTAGTAAGAGGACGGTAGCCCTCGCAAGTAGCCTAGAAAGAACAATTAGCACAAAAGCTATCGTTTCAGTGCAGACAAGACATACCATAATGTGAATGTGAGCAGGGCGGAACGGGTGGCGGTCCATAAGCTCCAGCAGCTTGCCAGCGGGACCTACAAGAAACATGTTAGCTTCTATTCTTCTGGTGACATGAGAACAGAGCCATCACTCACCATCGCCAGGAACAGGGTAAGGTGTCGGCCGCAAGCAGTAGAAGTAGTAGCGCCCATCAGCATCGGTCTTGAACTTGCCGCGCAAGTTAAACTCAGTCTGTTCGGGGTCCTGCTGCTCATACAATCCATTTGTTGAAGCCTGCCACACCTCGACATTAGCGCCAACGAGCGGCTTCTGAGTAGTGAAATCCATAATACGGCCGTGCATAAAGGTCATCTCGCCATCACTGGGCTTAGTAACAACGATGTCGGCACCGTTTTCACGGTACGGGGTATCCGCACGGAAGAACGGCCCCAGAATAGCGGTGGCGGTAGGCGCATCCTTAGCCTCATCAGCCAAAGTGAAAGTAATTTCATCAACAAGACTAATGCGACCGAGTTAGTAAAGGAACTTATCTGCAAAATACATTTCCGGTTTAATTTGGTGTAGCTTACGATTCAAGTCCGATCACGTCGCAAACCAGTTGCCCCTCATTGCGCTTATCATCGCTCATCTGTCCAGCCCAGTTGAGCAGCTTCACACCCTCCATCCACTCGTCAACGGTCAACTCATTCTCACGCGCAAAGTCGTGCACGTGGCGGATTAATCCGGTCATGAGCTGGCGCAAACGCGGAGAGGTTTTAGGACCCATAGAGTTGATGACATTGTCGGTGAAATCGGGATCGAATCGGTGCGTCGCCATTGTGAACTGAAATGGGGTTAAGTTTCGGTGTAGGATGCGATGTCGTAGTCGCGAGTGAGAAAACAAAGTAAAACAGAGTTAGACTTGGGTTCCGTGTAACAGTTGCTTTTTTTGGTGTCGCGGAGGTTTTAGAACTACAGGAAAAGATATGCGACACGCTGCTGCTGAGCTCCAGTATTTAATCGTCACAAGATCCGACGGGAATTTGTAGACTCTGGAGCGGCAATGCACGGATCTTGTACCTAATTCCGGGTCCCCCAGATGGACTTGACCAACGAGTCGATGTTCATTCGAGGGCGACCCCGCATAACGGCGGCGCTGGTCGCATGATTGGGTCGGGGCGGGTTCGGATGCTGGAGTCGGGGCGGCGTCGGATGTCATGGCTGATGCTGGCTTCGGATCGGGCGCGCCGAGTTGCCAGCAGAGTACACTTCCGATTCCCCCGCGTTCGGATGTGGCAAGGGTTTGATTGGCTTTTGAGTTCATACTTCGGGGGATTCTACTGTATAGAGATTTTATTATCCATCCCTGATGATATGCGCCTAAATTTGAATTATGTTCCTGGTAGGGCTATGCACATAGATGAGTCAGCCATCGAGTTCTGGGGATAAGAAATGAGCATAGTAGTACAGAGTCGCTACGCTGCCTGCCCATGCTTACCACGTTTACTTGAGACACTGGGATAAATTGATAAGTATTTTGTTTTAGTTCGTATCCGAGGGGATATCAACAGTCATAACACATATTGTCTATATGCCATGAAAGATGCAGAGGATGTTATATGAAAGACCGTGATCAGATTCCGTTCACCGTCCATTCTTCGGAGTCCCCTTTTTCGTCAAATTGGCCGGCAACTCTTGTAATACCTGCCCTTTCTCCCAAATCTTGCCCATCTTAGCCTTCCGCTCAACCACAACATCAAAGAATTCTACCGGCACAACTCTCTGCGCATTCCCAGCTGCATCATCTCCAGCCCCAGAAACAGGCAATCCCTCACTCAGAATGACCCCATTCTCACTGCGCCAGAACGGACATCCAGCCTTGAGAGCTTTCCGAATATCGATGTAGATCAAGACTTGCGCATCCCAGCGCATCCCCGAAATCACTGTCTTGTCTGCTGGTCCCTGCTTTGAATCCTTGTCCTCCTGCTGCGCCGCAAGTACTGATTCGACGGATGGACCCGTCGCGAAGTGTACATGGTTGCGATTCATGCAGCGCAAACCACCCGATTGCAGGATAAGTGGCCATGAGCCATAGAAAGTCCCGTGGACTACTGTCTCCGGGAGCTTAGATTCATCGTCCAGGGAGAGGGGCTCAAGGAATGAAGCCGCGTCCACACTTTTAATACTATGGCCTTGCGACGCACGGATAAGGTAATTTGCCGGGTTGAAATCTGTCACGGAAAGTGCCTGCTGTGTTGCATCGGTTTGTTCTTCGCTTGTGGCGGGTGTTTCCAGGACAGCGGTATTGTCAGCGGGCTCGCCTTTCTCGACGGAATCCGACCCGGGAGCGGTAGTCGCCTTGGTCGTAGATTCGGTAGGTTGCGAGGAGGGGATATGGAGTAGAGCGAAGCGCTTTTTGTCGGAAGAATCGACGGCATGCTTAATCTCGTCGAAGGTGCATTTGATGGATTTCAGCTTTCGCCATTGTAGCTTTGTAGAAACTGAGATTAGTCACGAGCAGGTATAATGGATATGCAAGCCAGAATAGAGGGGATCATACCACATCTGCTACGTTTGCGTAGCCCTGCCCATTCATCTTGAGTCCTTCCTTCTCGGCTGCATGGCGTAGCAGCAGACTCAGTGCCTTGGAAATCTGCACGTCGCGGGACTGCCCTTGGCCTCCCCGACCCTGGCCTCGGCTGCGCTTATCCTTGTCTCCTGCCATGATTTGTTGTTCGAACGATGTGGTGAATGTTGGCCGGGATCTGCTTTTTGCGGTGCGGGGAGCTTGTCGAAATTTGCGGAGCTTTAAAATGTTGGTGCGGGGCAAAGTCAGAGCCGCAGTGGAGAGTCATATGTACAACTCCAGAACATAGGTCGGGCCAGGCTATGACTCATGGTGATTCACTTTGACAGTTAAACAGTTGCCTAGATCTTAGGCTGACAAGCAAGAGCACTTTGTTCTTGGCGGTATATTTTTTCTGTCAACCTTGAAAATATCTGCAGAAGTTCAAGCTGAGACTATATGCAGTATAGCACTTGGGTGGCTGTTTGTCCAAGTGGCAGTACTGTACATCATAATTTGATTTTTACTCATTGTCCCCGAGAAATGAAGTAGAATTGATTGTTGTATAATTGCACTCTAAAGATGAACTGGATCAATGGGTATATCCTTCAAACAAAATCAAAAAAGACCCCCCGTAAACAATTATCGATCGCAGATACAACTACATTCGGCTACTGGACACACCTTGTGCCGCATAAACCAGTCGCGTGCATGATGTGCATGGAAGCCATGATTACAATGAATACAAAACACGACAAATCGCTGCATGACCTCGGTCTCACTGGCTTTACGTGAGTTGGCTTCTGCATCAACGGGAATGGATAATGGGTCTTGTGAGCCAAGCCACAGTGTACAGACACCACAACGAGGCATGTGACGACCGCAACGGGGACAAACTGTTCCAGACATACTTGCAGAGCCGAGAGGGTTGCCGACGGTTGGGTGGACGGTTTCCATTGCGGTGGATGGAGAGATTTGGGAAGAGGAGTCGTATTGCGTTAGGGGACGTGTACAATAGTTGCAGGTCAGGCTGACCTGTTGTGGCGGTGCAGGGATGAGTTTGCGCCCGTCGACGGTGACGGCGAATTGACGAGAGCCAACGTCGAAGCGGGCTCTTTCAAGTTGCAGTTTCCAGGAGTTCATCTGCCGGCGATAGGTCTCGCGCCAGGCTTCAAACTTGGCAATGTAGGTGTTATTGCTGATGATTCGTGGTACGGTATGGCTCATGGCAAGCACAGGAGTCTGGATATCGTTGAACTTGTCAATGTATGATTGAAACAAGCCCATCGCTAGATGGCCTAATCCCGTGAGCACCACACCCTCAATGTCACCTTGTTGCATTGCCTCGGTGGTGGCATCTTTCAGGTATTCGCTCAGCTCATCATCTGGGAGCCATCGCAATGCAACTTCAACGCGGTATTTCAAGGGAAGTGTAGTCTCCTTAATGACCGCATGCCAGTCGCCTTTGCTCACGAGAGCAAGGATTGCGCGTGCATATGGGTCAGTGAGCTCCTTCGAAATTTCGGCGCAGGTTTCTTCCCAGTCTGCACTGTTATCTCCTTTCGCAGAACCAGCGATTGCCATAGCTAGCATTTTATGGGCCTGTTTGGGTTCATTGCCCCGAAGTCCTAGGTATGCTAGTTTTGGCTCGTCTTGAAAGACGGCCAACGCAGCGGCTTTGGTATGCTGACCCTCGGCACAGAGGGTCGTCACCAAGTCCTCCAATTCTCGGTATGATTGAGCTGCACCACAAAGGCGAAGGCAAAATCGGCGGTGTTCAGGATGTGCGGTCTCACAACCTTTCATCTCTGGTAAACTCAACTGTTTTGCCAGCTGAATGATTGCCTCCGCTGCAAGGTTTGGATTATCTCCCTTGGAGCCGACGCGACGTTTTTCGAATCCATGGCCTATACCGTTCATTAGCTGTGTCGGAAAAAAGGACAGGGAAGAGGCGAACCGAGATCATTATGCCATACGTTGCTCACGCCAAGATAATTCAAGTCCAAACCATTCACCACCATGGCCTTATCCGACGAGTCAGATCGAGCTCCTAATTTGCACATTAGAAACGATATCCTGTGAGAATTTGGAGTAGCTTACGTTCAATCCAGCCCCAAAGATCCTGAAGAGCAGCATCGTCTGCTACAATTTGTCGATTTCGCGGCTCATCAAATAGATAACCCTCCTTACACCGGAACCGGCCAAGCGTAGAGAGTGTTAAAGCCTCCTTTGCAGTGAGAAGAGTTCCAAATGTACCCAGAGATAATTCACGCTCCCGACTTTCCCGGCTTGGTACAGGTTCAGAAGTTATTGCCTCGGAAACCAACGAATTACCTTCATCAATTCTGGAGTCCTTGGAACTAGAAAGTACGCGTGATCTGATGTTTCCAACAAGCTCAGAAATGGGAGAAATCTGTTCAGACAGAGGGCGTATGGATCTGACGTCTGATTCAAGGGAGGAGATACCACAAGCCAATGTCCCTTGTGATGATAGAGCCACAGGGGAACACGGTGGTCGTCCGGTAATGATCTGCGGAATTCCATTGCCATCGATAGCAATAGCACTAGGTTGTGAAGAGAGACTGAGGTTCAAAAAGTCAAAAGCTACTACCCGGTCTTTTTCGGCATACCCACGAATGGGATGGTCAAACGGCGTGGCGACATCTCGAATGTGTTTGGTATGGACTGGTTCTGGGTAGTTTCTGAATGAGCCTTGACCGAGTGTTTCATCGATCGAGGAGCGAAATTCTTCTGACAGGTGGTCCTTGGCGATTTCAAAGGTTTTCAGATGGCCATTGCTGGATAATGCGCCTAAAGATCCACGGTTGGTCTTGGAAAATCGCAAACTCCAGATTGAGGTCTTGGGGTCGAAGACATTCTTGAGCTGCAGGACGGAAGAATTCTGAATTGAATCAGAATTTGTCGCAGAAGAGCCCAGAGAGGGTGATGTCAAACGAGCTCCGACACGCTTGTCCCAAACGCAGACGGTGCTCTCGTTGGATGCTGCACAAGAAGCGATATAATTCTCGTCAAGCCAGTCAATCGCTAAATTGTGGACACAGCGAGTTGGAAACTGTAGAGATGGATTTCCAGGACCCTCTATAACATCAATTAGCAAGGTGGAAAGTGTTGCGACGCCTAGGCAAAGCAAACCTCGTAGATCATAAATCCGAACAAATTGACCCTTCACTCCTGTCACTAGTGTATCCGGCTGATCTCGAAAGAATTTGATACTAGTGATAGGCTCGGAGCTAGCTAGCTTTCTCAAAGGTTCGTGAAACCCCTTGGTAGTGCCGGTAGGACCAAGTCGCTGGTTGACATCCCAGATGTTCAAGCAGAAGTCATTGCGCACGCGGTCTAGTCCCGATGCCACAAGCCCATGGGTACTGAATGCTACCGCGTTACAATAGCGCTGATTTCGGACTGGAAAAGAAAGCGATTCCTTCTGGTCGGCGTCGAGTCGTAGAATGGTAGCTTCGCCGGATGACTGGCCCACCGCAATAAGGTTCTCGTTGGATGTAGACCAGTCGAATGCACGGAAAAGAGGGACATCTTTCAGATGAGATAGGACTTCATGTTGTATATTCCTGCCATCGAAGCCCGTAATTCTGCATAGGCGAAACGCCTTTCCTGTGACGTCGACGGACAAGAAGCGTTGCTCCGCGGCGGTCGAGCTTGGTGACCAGCGAATGGCGGACTCCATGTTGTGTATGCGCGCCCCTCAGAGAAACCAACTAGCGTCGCAATTCTTCCTAATTAGAGGCCGCAGCCTCGCGTGAACGCGTAGAATGCGGGAGAGGGGAGGTGCTAATCGTCATGTCCGATCGGACGGGCCCTCATTGGCTGCGTCGATCTGGGGTGCACGGGCCGATGGTTGCGCCGAATCGAGCTGTAACTTTTTTTTTCTCCAAAACGTCAATCTTGACAATAACCCAACAATGTCTGACTCTCGACGCACCCGTGGAGATTCCTCCAAGCGCAAGAGTCACCATGACTCAGAGGACCTGGTTCCTCGCAAAAAGCAGCATCGCCATGCCGACAGTAACGAAGACATGCAACTCGAGAGCGGAAGCAACTCGACTGGCAACCCAAAGGGCAAATCTGCCCCACGTGACAAGGAATTTACATCAGTCAACGAGTTAAAGAGGCGCATCCGCGATGTGAAGCGTCTCCTCAATAAAGGCACTCTGCCTCCAGATGCCCGGATTGTGCAGGAGCGAGCCCTCGCAGGATATGAACAGGATCTGGCGGACGAAACAGCACGGCGCGATCGATCACACTTGATCTCAAAGTATCACTTCGTTCGATTCCTTGGTATGCAAAGTCCAGCTAGTCTCATTCTAGATATTTGATCGCTAACTGTAATCTCATTCATCAGATCGCAAAACTGCAAGCAAGAATCTGAACAAACTCCTCCGTCGCGAAAAAGATCAAGAACTCGACTCCAAACAGAAAGCCCGCCTTCAACAAAAGATCCATGAGGCTCAGGTCAACCTCAACTACACAATCTATTACCCTCTCACCGAGAAATACATCTCGCTCTACCCTAAGTCGCAAGAAAAGTCCTCAAAAGAAGCCGGTGCAGAGTCAGGGTCGGAAGCAGACACCAAGGACCAAAAGAACCAAGACAAGAAGGCCAAGCCTCCGCTTTGGGCGGTTGTGGAGAAGTGTATGGCAGATAACACCATGGATCGTCTTCGCGAGGGCAAGATGAACATTGGATTCGATGGCAAGCCCATCACCGTCTCCGAGAAGCCAGCACAAGAAGCCAAGGACAAGAAACCCAAGAAGCCAGAGTTCAATGAAGCCCAGTATGGCTCGAGAAGAGAAAGACGTGCTGCTGCGAACTCTGTGCCCAACGGTAGGCGGGACCAGAAGAACTACTACGGCCGCGAGAGAGATCGCCTGCAAGATGTGGCACCTGTTCAACCCGCTGCCGCTGGTGATGACAGCGATGGCGGCTTCTTCGAAGAGTGATCAGAATAGCATGTATGGGGTCTGGCGCCTGGTTTTTCTCTACCTGATATCCAAAATAGCATTGTATGAACAATTTCAAGGAAGCTGTAAATTGAACACGAAGTGTTGATTGAACACCTCACTACCACATATTCATGCAACAACTGTAATTTAAATAAAATGTGACATCGCTTTATTCAAGTCAACATGCAAGATAAGAATTCGTTCGAGCCAGGGTACACAACACTTCAATCACAGGTAAGAAAGGGCAGCTCGGTCGTATCACTCTTGAATTACCTTCACATTGGGTCCTTGGGCATGTACACGATATTATTACCCTGAATTACTAATAATGCGCCTTGGCTTTACCGCTAACGTGGTGTTCAGTGAACAATTCCTGACTTGAAATCGACCTGCAAGACTAAACCAGGAGTAGGCATGGATATGCTTTTTTTAATCCAGATTCCACTTACCGATATACAATCATCCACCGGGGCGCTCTATTTCCTTCTCTCTCCCTATCTCTCGCTCGCTATTGCATTAGTTGTTGGCTTCAGCCGTGGCATTATATTGAGCCTAATGGGTAGGAGACGGAGCTCTTCACAACAACATAAGCAAAGAAAGGAAAATTGGGCCCCTCGAGGTCTAATATTACTAATTTCTCTACCTTCGTCGAGGCGAATACGTCGTCAGAGAAACCTTGCAGCTTGCCAAGAACTACAACCTAGTGACAACACAAACAACTTCTTCAAGATCTGCTTTGAAGTCCTACGCTTGGAAGGTTGAATCGATGTATCGGAGAATGCTTGCAGCTGCCGCAACGATGATGAGTTCCGCCAGCCAGCCGCCAGCATTGATACTGGCTTGCTACGCCTTCTTCTCTCAAAGAGTGGGGGAGTACATGACGTTATTTCTCAATCACATTTCACTGCCAGAGTAGCCTACTCCGTATTCTGAGGAATTAGGTACCTGGCTATGTGCTTAATAGTATTCTCCAAATTTTGGATACTGTGCACTATCTGATGTATCGTTTAATGATTTGTTTAATTATAGCGCTTCATTTCTAAGGCAGAATGACCAGCATTTGGGTAGACTGGCGGGAAGGAGAATAAATCCACGAACACTTGTCGTGCTTTTTAAGCACGAGGATGGTATATTAGAAACTCGTATCTCCTGGTAATTTTCTACGCCAAATTTTTTTCGTTTTGAATGTTTCTTCTTCATCATCCAGGCCCCAAGATTTGTCTCACTCGTAAGATCTATACGTCGAGATCTTATCTTCTTGGATTCATCCTTCTCCATCATCACAGATTCCAAGGTTTGTCTATCTCTCATACTTTTGACCTCAAGCTCCTTTCCACTCTTGATTTTTTGAATCTTCAATCCTTCATTTGTCACCATTCCAGACTCTCCTACTTCACCAGGTAATTCTCTCATTCCTGATTTTAGCTCTTGCATGTATCCAAATTCGGACTTGACCCCTGCCATCTCTACTAAACCAACGGCGAGTTTGTTGCAAAATCTCAAGCCCCCCTTTCCCTTTGCTTTGAATCATATCTCGCTTCAGTTTTCACTTCGTTCTGGATTCACTCCACAACTCTTGTTACTCTCGCTGACATTCAACGCAGGTTTTTGAACTATCAACCGTCAACCATTGCTCAAGATTTTTTCTATCAGCATCATCTGAACCCTCGCAAAACTTTTGAGTTGAGGTTTGCCCAACACCAACCTTGATCAGAAATATTGGGATTCCTCTTTTCTCAATCACTCAGAATGGCTAGTCGGCGCATCAAAGACGGGCCAATGGCCTGTCCCAAGTCATCTATCCAGCCCTATACCAATGAGCTTAAAAAACTCCGTGATCATTGTCTCGCTCTTCTGGGAGCCCATGAAGAAGACACACCAGATACCCTCTGGGACAAGGATGATCAAGACCCTGTCGACCCTGGAACAGACTATGATATGTCCCTGCTCAAGCTCGCAACAGACGTCGTCATCGAGAACGGCAAGCATATTTTCCCGCCCCCATACACGCGCCTCAGTGACGAACTCGTCTATTTCGCCACAAAATTCCTCAAGTCAACCACTCGTGGAAGGAATTACCCGTACGACTTCCAGCCCCGAGGCGATATCGATCCGAATCGCGTTCCCTCGGGTGTAGGTCCCATCGTCTGGGCCCATGGATTGCCTTTCTTCCCGGTTTACAAAGGATATTACATCCTCTGTGGAAGGAAGCACGCAGACTGGATCGGATGGATTCTACACGGGAAGAACCAAGCCACTATGAGGGAGTACCCTATCTGGACCATCGGCCCTGTCGTCGCTCCTGGATCTGCGATCGCGCTGGATCGCACAGCGGAACGCCAGATGCTCACTCACAAGTTGAAAAACGCAAAAGAGTGTGAGAAGAGCATGGAGAAGTCTCCTGTGGCGCGTGATGTCGTTTCTGATAAGCACTTTGACGGGTCTGTTGTGCCGAGGGATAGTAAGGGTGGTTTTATGATCACGCCTATCTACCGGGTGCAAGGTTACTCACCCAAGGTTGGGCCCAATGCACCAGATGGTTCCCGGTCAATGATTATGGGGAAGGCGTGGTTTACCAAGAATCGAATCGATGATTTTGATTGGGAAGCGACCTCGAAGCTTCATTACACCAATGAACGGCACCCGATGATCTATGGTGATGACGAGGCTGTGGAGGACGACGATGAAGTGGTTGAGGATGGAGACGAGGAAGTAGAGAGTGACAATGAGACCAATGAGACATGCTTCATGGACGAGACTGAAGATACCAAGACCAAGGCACAGGAAGAGGTCAACATGGACGACGAAGTAGAAGGGGACACAGAGATCATCGAGCCTACCATGGATGAGATCACCGATCAGGTCGTGCATGAGAAAATTGCCCAAATGAAGACTCTTGATATCGCCGAGCCCGAAGAAACTTCCCAAGTTGAAACACTCGCCCCTGAGTACCAGGAGGTCGCCGAGGAGGCCATTGAGAAAATGAACAGTCAAGAGACTGCCCCAATTACCGAGAAGACTGAAGCCCAAGACACCAATGTGACTCAATCACACCCCGCTGAAATGGATGTTCACGCTCCTCTGACCTCCCAACTCAGTGATGGCACTTCCAATGACACATCTCCAGGCCACGCAACCCAGAATACCGAAAACGAGGGCAAAGACCAGGAGACAGATCATGATACATGTGTCCTAGTTGCTGAGGATTATGGCCGCACCAGCCCAGGACCCAACGAGACGAAAATTCAAACAGATGCATAGAACTCAACCCCCAAAACAGCTGATACTGTGATGAAGTCTGAGAGGGTGGGAGCTATGGAGACCAAGCTGGTCGAGGGATGAGATCTGCATAAACGAAGGGAATATTCATACTGGTATGATACCAATGGGCTATTTTTAAGTGAGAGTCTTTTGAATTTACGTTGTTACTGGTTTACTTGTTTTTAGTTTTCACTTTCTATTCTTTTTTGACTTTTTTGAATTTCTGTTCGTATTCACTTTGGCCTTATTATGGAGGCATTGAGAAACAGTTTGACTTGCGAGCGTGGCGTAACTCTCAGGATACATATCTGGGCAAGTTACTGCTGGAAAATGTAAATACAAAAACAGCTGGAGATGAAAGCGGAATTGATATTTTGACGGAGGGCAACTATAGCTGAGCACCTCACTATCCATATGCTATGTGATGCACCAAATTGCAATTCAGACACAATGCCTCGGTACCTTTAGCTCCCAGGTAGCTCAAAAACATATGGCTCTGCTTGATCCAGGCCAAAATGCGACATAAGGTTGATTCGAGCCAGTCTACTCACAGGGTACCCCAGAATATGAAGGTGATCAAGGAATGATAGCCGCTATGCTGCCATTTCTTGCCTAATATTGAATCTTAGTGTGCAGATCTTAGATCTATCCATACATAAAATGCGATCCATGACTATAAATGATGTTGTAACAGCCTCAAATAATTGAGCGCACGCCATTTTAAATTTTCTGAATGCATATAAATTTGACTCCCGTGTACGGCTTCCAAGATTTGACACTATCTTTCTGCAGATGCCACAATGTCGCCCAATGCAGCTCCCCTTGGCCATTACTAGCGTTATTTGCTCAATTAGATCTTCTAGGCCGTAAATCAAAACATGAATCAGTTCTATAGGTAAGTCTATGGATCAGTTCTATAATTCTAAGTCTATATACATCCCCTGGTCTATATTCACCAAACGCATGACATATCGTCAAGTCAATCAGATGCTCTCCTTTACATGTAATATGATCCTCATTCGTCAGCCATATCGTCCCCATTCTGTCGCCAGATATAACCGCGCATTTGCAGCACAATCGTAGGTAGCACACTGACAGCAACTATCATGCCACAAACGATACCCGAACTGGCTGCCACGCCAACATTGCTAAACATAGGCGTGAACCTGAGTCAATAGTTAGCAACTGCAATTCATTCCAAAATTCCAAAGAAGGGGATCATACCAGAATGGACCAAGGAAACCCCAAATCTGTCGAACAAAAGTAATAAAGACACCCACACTCGCCGCTTCCTGGGGAAGACAATCAACCGAATAAGTAACCATAACGGTAGTAACAATCTGACTTCCCGCCGCAGCGATACCGGTACCGACAATAGGGGACACGATCCAGTGGCCAGTGGTAGCATCCTGCGTGCAAACGAGGAAAATAATCAAGCCGACAATGGCGAGTGCGAAACCAAAGTAGCTGAGCCAAAGACGGAACTCGGGTTCCGCTTTGTTGTTTGTTCGCTTTGCCCGCATGCGCATCCAGTAGTCGGATAATCCGCCTCCAAGCTGCTCGCCAATCACTGATCCGATGATCAAACCCAAGAATTGGAGTCCAACCTGCTCGTTATTAAGGTCGAATTTCGTTTGCAGGAGGGCTGGGATCTCGACTGTTGTTAAGATATTGGCGAAGAGGAAGACCATAGCGTAGGCACATGTGGGGATGACGATAAAAGAGTGTCTGAACATGGTCAATGGCTTGACGAACTCGTACAGCGTGAAGGGGGTAGGGTCGATGCGACGGAGAGAGAGATATTCTCTCTTGAAAACCGATCCCTCGGTACCCTCACTACTGCCCACGTAGCGAGTTTCGGGTCCGAAGAAGAGGTACAAAATGAGTTGGCCTCCATTGATCTGACCAGAAGTGAATATCAGCATATGCTCCTTTTGACCCAGATAATATCCAAGATGACACTAACCATGGCGAGAACCCAGTAAATCCACACATAGCCAACTCGGTAGGCAACAAACCCAAAGATAAATGGTCCAAGTGGGACGCCCAATGTAATCATGAGTGTCCAGATACCCATATACCGAGCCCGGTCCTTTTTAAAGGTCGTTTCCATCACCACAGCACTGCCAATGGCAGAGGCAGGGGCGATGAAAAAAGCCGAAAGAGCTCGACAGGCCGCAGTCGCACCGTAGGTTGTACTCTTTGCGCATCCAACATTGCATACCAAAGTGAGAATGAGGGACAGAAGGAAGATCGGACGACGACCGAAGCGGTGGGACAATGGCTTCCAGAAAAGTGGTGCACCACCCAATACAGCAATTTGGAGGGATGTCAGGTAAGCGGCTTGCTGGTTGGAGACACCGTATAGTTCAACAATATCGGAATAAGCTGGGATAATACCTGCAGCGGCAAAAGTACTTAATAGCACAACGGACGCGTTAGTCGGAATTTCCAAAGCAGTATGGCGTTGTGAAAAAAAGAAAATACAGGGTGCATGCTTACCCCATACAGGCATGAAAAGCCACGAGTATAAGATTGGTCATTTTCTGCAAACGAACCTCCATTAGTACTATTCTTGCAAAATTCCTTGTTTCCGCTTCCTCTGGGCACCAACCTTCCATTCAGGCCAGTTATAAGGGTCTGCAGGGTCCATTGTAGGCAGAGGATCAAGTTCCAATGTACCATGGCGCTCCATCAAATAATCACGGTGTGATTTGGACAGTCTCGAGGATGCAGTCGAAAAATCCGGCCCATTACCAGTGAACGTCGCACTCTCCACAAGGTGGATGTCATATTTCGAATTATTATTTTCACCGTCACGGCTTGACGGTGGTTGCTCATTGTAAATAGACATGGCCGACACTTTTTTTGCGTGAGGATGTTCTCCGGCTGGCTAGGGTGGTTGTGAATGCTCTAGGGGGTTGGGAAGAAAAATCCCCAGTTCTAACCCCAGGTCTACAAATTACTCCCCCCCGGGGTACTCCGCTTCCTTGGGTTCACGCAAGGAAGTGCATATTGATGCACAAAACATTGGTAATGGGGCGAATCTCGACCAATGAAGAAGGGTGTTTAACCTATCCAGACTGGGCGAGACCCATTCAGTGGGGGCTCCAGGGGACTTTGACGGGTTTATGGCCAGGACGGATAAGTATTTTTAAGGTGGGGGGGCGTGGGGAGCAGTCAACGAGGTTGACCCTCGGTTAACTATCACCATAGGCTTAAGTCACTTGAATAATTGATGGGAGTAGGAATTTCCTTGTGAATTTCAACTGGTCCGATACGTAAAAGTAGTTGCCGGACAAAACATACACGTTTCTGTGCTCCTGTGACTAAATCTGCACGGCTAACTGCCGACGTTCTTTCGGTTCGGCTCAGCTGGGGTGTCGGGAAAACACCACATAAAGGTATAAATCGGCAGTGTCGTGAATGAATATTAGCCGAGACCCGCTATCCTGTGCGCTGCTTACTTGGCGAAACTTCTGACAGGCCGACGGATATAAGCAATGGGGGTCGGATTTCCCGAAAGGTCCGATCCAACTGATCGGCCGACCGGCGGACGGCTGACCGGAGACTATAACTAGAAATATATGGGGAACAATCCGAAAGAGTTTATTGTATGGGACAAAGCTAGTAGCAACCTTGGAACCTTGAGCCAGAGCAAATTTAACGTAAAACAAAGGAGAATTCAAACTCCGATATCCATCCTTCTACATATGCTAAATTGGAGAAGGAAAAGAGACTGATAGAATGAAATGAGAACCAGACATGGAGAAGCTTAGTGCCCAGATGAAATGCAGGTCGATCTGGTCTTATTCCGGACGCCGTTAATGGTGACTGAAATCATAGTCAAGGGCGGAGAAGGTCAATTGAAAGTCAGAAAGGCTAATCGCTCGATGGGTAGAAGATGAAGGAATATTTGGGGAGTTGCGGGACGTGGAGAGGGCGGACCATCGAGGTTCCAGAGCCCATTTGTGGGTTATTCCGATTGGGGGAAAGAGGGCAAAATTCGTATCTCATAAGTGGTGAGTGGCAGTTCGTTGCAATGCCAGCGATCCGGCGCTGACAAAAGGAGTACAATGTCCTCATTGCTTGTGACAAGGACATCGAGACTCCGGGTAAGGCAGAATCCCTTCTGGAAAAAGAGGCGCAAATTGAGTGTTTCCAGAACACAATCTTGCTCTTGGCGCCTTGGACGGGCGTGGCAAGCAGCGGCCCTACATCAATGCACAGCCACCACCGCTCTGGGCACGCCGTCGTCGGCCCTGGCCGCTAATACTACCAACACCGAAAGCATCTTCCTCATCTTCATCAGCATTGTAAAGTCGTTCCGCCTCGCGGGCCCGGCGTCGTCTGCGTCGAGCTCCGGCACCAGCGGCACCGGCCTCCTCGGTAGCCATCATGTAGTCTGCCCACTTGCGATCCAATCGACTCGCAGCAGACAGGTCACCACGCAAAACCCGCTTCGTGTGTTCGTCAACGGTCATCTGCCATACATAGAAGCACTTGAGTTGGATGATCTCGCTTGGGTAAGTGGGCGACGGAGACGGTGTAGAAGTTGGGGTGACATAAGTGGTGGTCATCGGGGACGAACCTGCGTCCGAAGTCTGAGTCACCGTCACAACTGCTGACACTGGTTTGCGGGCGCGAGGAATATACGCGTTGCTGGACAATACTTCCTTGACACCCGCCCAGGTGACATTAGCGCAGTCGAAAACGACCAGGCGGAGTCCGACTTGGGGAAAATCTTCACCGTAGCCTCGTCGGCGGACACGGAAACTCGCTTCCATCAATGTGAGATCGGAGACCCGAGTGTTGTCCATCTCCACAGAGCGCAGCTTGGGGCAATTCTTCATCACCTGGAGCATTCCGGTGTCACCAAGGCTTTCGCAATAGCTGATATTTAAGTGCTCGAGTCTCTGAGCGCATGGCGACTTGGCGAGTTCAACGAGCGAGTTATTGGTCAGTTTGTCCAGATCTTCCAATTCCAGATGGGAAAGTCGTGGCGTGGTCCGAATGATATCGATAATTGATGCATCGGTCAACTCCGGGCACTGTGAGACCTGTAGGCCTTCCAGATCTGGAACGTTGAACGCAAGACTTTTCAATCCGGCATCGGTCAAAGCCGAGCAATGATGTAAATCAAGGTGTCGGAATCTCCGGGGTGGCACAATAGGACGGTCGGTCAACACGTCCATCTCCGGGTCCACGCCGTGCATCAACACTTTGAGAGCCTCGTCAGTCAGGTTGGTGCGGCTGATGGCCAGTCGTTCAAGATTATTGCGCTCGAACAGCTCATTGGCAAAATCTTCGTCATCAAAGGCCTGTATTTCACTGGCACGAAGATCCTTTAATCGGCCACAAGACTGGAATACTCTCCGAAGACCCTTAGATTCGACCTGCTGGCACCAAGAAATATTCAAAACTTCAAGCCGTGGACAAGATTGCGCGATTATTTTCATTGACGAGTTTGTCACGCTCTTTAGTCCTGAAAGATTAATATATTCCAAGCGAGAGTTCCGCAGCAAAAAGTAATGCATAGATGTCTTGTCAATCTTGCTGCCCTCAAGCGAGAATGTGACAACGTTTCGGCACAGGTCAGAGATCCGCTCCCCATCCGAAGACCACTTCTCGCGCAGCTGGATGCAGCCTCTGAGATTGAGGTCACGCACAAAGGGCCCACCGCAGGTCATGAGTTTCACTAGAACATCACTGGGAATCTTCTGATAGTAATCAGTAGTATCGACCTTGGACCACAGCTGACCGTCATAACACATGTCATGCCACATCTTTGAGACCGACGAGCAGCGTACAATCTCCTGCGGTGTCAAATAACGAAATATTTCCACTTTCAATTCCTGTGGCATGTCACCCCAGAAATCAAGCGTCCGCACTGACTCAGGCTCCGGCAGCGCAATCTCTTCGACCACACCCGGTGCCTCCAAAATCGCGCTGCGACGAGGCGAGCCACGCGAAGCCGGTCGTACATCGAACGGCAAAGGTACGGTACGTGGCTGCGCGTGGGGTGACTCGGTACCCACGACGCGAATGCGAGCGTTATCAAGATCCGGATACTCAGACGGCGAACCGGAGCAGCCCGGTGTCGCTGGTCGGGGATTCAAGCCCCCATAAAGTTGAGATGAGCTTCCATTCCCCAGACAAGGCGAGTATCCGGACGATAACGAGACACACGATAAGGACGCCTTGTGGTCCCGCCGATAACCGGTAGATGCAGATCGGCCGCGGCGGGGCAACGTCGGACTAGATGACATGCGCTGGAGGCTCTGCAGTAATTTCTGACGACCCTTGAGTTTAGGGGGTTGTTCGAGTGGAATTTGGCCGGTTGAGGATGTTGGGCTCGCCGGCGAGATCTCGGGTGAGGGGATCACCTCGGTCGTTGGTGAGGCCATGGTGAAAAGCGATCGGGTACGGTGTAGCCGGAGGAGTCTATAGACGGGGAGGCCGGGACCGATAAGGTCAAAGAGAACGAGACAACGCTCGGTACGGTGCGATCACTTAAATAACCATAGCGATGCTTCTGGTCAGGATCAGTGACGATACTTTCGCTGCCCCGCGACTGTGTGAAAAAAAGCAAGGGAAAAACACTGGAGCTGAGCAAGGCTGAGAGGACAAAACGTGGAAATCGGGGGCCCGCGGCGAGTGAACCCGTGGCACTGGCCAACCTCGACCAGCGGGACTTTAGCCAAGTGACGTTTCGCGTACCGACAGATCTAGAGAGGGAAGAAGTAGGGAGAGATAAAGTAGACAAATGATCAACAGAAAGGAAAAAAAAAAATTGAGAAAGGTAGTTGGAGAAAGGCGGAATGTAGGACAAGAATGCGATACATCGACTAGACCTGGACCTACTATGAGGCAACCGGGAATGAACAGGTACCCTGACAGTACCCACGTACACTCTATCGGAGTACTTAATCAGTGCTAATAAACAGTAATTGATCGACCACACCCAAATCCCTAATGGATCAGGTCATTCCCCAATTCTCTAACAAATCCCCCTCGCATTTCTTATCGTGGTTCCCCACTTTGTCTTGGATTGCGTTTAGGGTGGCACAGACAGTGTGACCCACGCAATCCATCGGCTGACGACGCCTCAAAAAGGCCAGTCTTTTGAAGCAAGAGGGATGAAATAATTACCCAAATCCACATAGTATGGCAAGGCTAGCCGATCCAGGCACGAATTCTCAACGTTCCTGAACTAACGGGTCCATCATTGGATCGCGTAGCCTCTCGCTTGAAATGCGGGGGTACATGCGACCCACGGGGAATTCCATTGCCACGTTGGAGGCGGTGGCTGATATGCCGTACATTTACAGGTGAAACGAGGTAGCTAGATGCGTTTAGGCCTTCGAGAGGGTTCCTTTGACGCTAAACTAGATCTGATTAGCCAAGGAGATATGGGGCAATCGGTCTTGTCAGCCCCCACATTTGGTGAGAAAAAAGCCTCAGTCCACAAGAGAATTTCGTATATAAATTCTTTCCGCCATGCTCATGGTCTTAGAAGTCTAGGTACATTCATGGGGGATATGTGAAGAAAAATAAAAAATGAAGAGTAATGCAAAGGTATATTCAAAGCTAAAGCTAAGAGCAGCCAGAGGCATCACATGTGCAGGGATCATTTGGGTTAGATTTTGTGCAAACCCTCAAGAAAACAAAGATATCCCACCCAAGACCCGAAAGAAACAAGAGAGAAGTGATTAATATCCCCCAAAGTCCCCAGTCCCGTCATCAAACAAATCAAAACATCATGGGGTATCGTGTCTTTTTGTGGTGTCATAACAAAAAAATGTGGCATGAGGCTTTACTCCCCTGTCATCCATGGGTGCTCGAGCACTTCGGTAATGGTCAAGCGGTTGTCAACGTCACGATCAAGCATCTTGCGAATCAGGTCGATGCATTCTTCAGAGAAAGGCAGGAACGGAATTCGGAGAGGGTGGTCAAGAATCTCGTCGACGTTGTAGAATGGATTCTCCTTGTAAACAATCGTGTAGAGAAGGATGCCGAGTGCCCAGATGTCCTGTTCTTTACCACGGTATGATTTGCCTTGAAGAACCTCAGGCGCAGCATAGTCTAGATGCGAAAAAAAGCAGTGTTAGTACTCAAAGAAATGTTAAAGCCTCAAAGGTGAGGTATAGAAGAAACATACCGATGGTCCCGACAAAAACGTCAAACGGACCGTTTTTGATGTAGGCAGCACTGCCAAAATCAATCAACTTGATCCTTCCTTCTCCATCAAGAATGACATTCTCATCTTTGATGTCGCGATGCACAACCAATGCTCTCGTATGCAAATGGTGGATGGCGCTCACAACCTGCTTGAAAATACTGCGACACTCGGACTCTTCCATGTTGGCCTTCAACTCAATGTAATCAAACAAATCCATGCCTGGCAAACCGTGTGGGATCATCTCGATGTAATAGTTTATGTCATCCTCGAAAAACCCCGACATTTCCACGATGTTTGGATGCCGGTAGCCATCTCGGCGAAGGAATTCAAGAACGTGAATCTCCAGCGGCACCGTGCCTAGTCGTCGATCGCGAGTCCATGTGTCAACCAGAATTCGCTTCTTGGTGACAAATTTGAGGACCGTCTTCTCGTCATTGGGGCCCTTCTTGAGGCGGGCTAATTTCACCTGGCCATACGCGCCTTGTCCCATCTCCTCCAGAACCACATAATCGTTGATAGTTCGCTTGTGGGGGGTATCTTGCCGAGTCTTGCCCGAAGACATTTCGGGGACGGCCTGTACGGGCCGATCCGTCAGTGGCTCGGAAGCAGCTTCGCTGAGTTGTTGACTAAGGGTGGAGCTCGGGGCTTGGACTTCCACGGAAGTTTGATTGGTGTCAGGGGTCTGTGAGCTGAGAGTGGGGTTGGGGTGGGTGTCAGATTTGGCGGGGTTGGAGGAACCAGGGGAGGTAGGGTTTGAGGTTGGTAGAGAAGAAGACGAGATACCAGCTGCGGGGCCAGCTGCGTGAAGCTGTCTTGAATAGGTAACCCATAATGCGTATACCAACTCTGTCACCGCAATAGTGTCATCGCTATCCTCAGAATCACTTGATCTCTCTTCAACAAGCCGCTCTGCCTGCTCTCTGGAGAAAAACGTGCCACTCTTTACCACACGCAATTGAACGTCCACAACAATAGTGGAGCCATCCCGGTGCTTAGCCAACAGACCACTAGGCTCAGTGAAGACAGATGCAGCATTTGCTTTCCCATCTCGAAGAATGGACAGGGTTCTCGCTCGGCGGAAACTGTGTTCAGGGATCACAATCCCATCGACCAATGGCACGTTGTCCTCCTCGGTTAACACATCCAGAATCTCATCAAACCCGGGTATCAGCTCCGTGATATGGCGCCCCTCGGGACGGTCTTGGCCAAACAGAGCTGATGAAAATACGGAATTCGAACTGATCACGTTGAGTGACGAAGAAGACAGCACCATCATGCCTGCGACATGGGGGAAACTTGACACTTGCAAGGTGCGAGCACCCTCCGCCTTACCCACCGTCACTGGAATACACACACCGGCTGCTGTGTTTGCAGCGAAATGCTTTAAGTCCGCGATTCGGGCCATTCCCTTCTCTGGTGAGGTTGCGAGAGACTCGGTTGGTAGGCGAGGTAATAGTTCAGTAATCGACTGGCCCTTGCGCACTACGGATGAACCCCAGATCTTGTCCACATCCCCGTTGACACTTATGACATGCCAATTCTCATCGCATTTGACAGAGGCCGCATTCTCCGTGATTTCCTCCAACACCCATATCAAGCCACCGCGCTTCTCCATGACCCATACGCTAGCCGATCCTTTAGTGCCATTGCGCTTTTGGATGGGAACGACGTCACCACAAAGCAGAACTCCTCGGGATTTGTTGCCCGGATGATTAGCGTTGCGAGGATTCCGCGTGCTGGAACCATATCCATCATCGGTCTGCGCTCTGCGAGACTTCTCGCGCGATGATGGTTTATTGAGCAGCTGCGCAGTGACGCCATTCCCTAGGCCTCGAAACTTAGGGTTTACCGCCCGAATATTGGCCCTTTCTGGCTGGAGTGGTGTACGCGCCGCGGCATCGGTGCTGGGATCTTGAAGCTTGGCCTCGAGCCATTGCCTGTGCTCTTGCTGTACGACCTCTAAGATACTGAGACGACGGACTTCGGATTGCGTGACCCCGAATACGAGACAGGAGAGATCATTAGCTGCAAAAATAGTCCATGGTGCTTGGGCTTCGGTGCGGAACACGGCCTGAGAAACAGGGGTCCATTTGCTGCTATGGGTATGCAGGGCCGGAATTGGGAATCCTAATCCAGTGGCGGAGGAGGCCAAAGACGCAAAGGGGTCCGTGGAAGAATATGGTTGCGCTAGAGTTTCCATCAGCTTGCTTTTGAGGCCGACAGAGTTGAGGTCCGTGTATGTACGTTTTAAGCTTACGCGCCTGGACGCCGGCGCCGATTTCAGGTCCGTCCTGGACGGCGGGATACGGTCATGAGAGGTGATGGGACTCAACATTTGGGAGCTGCTGTCGGATGTTGCCTGTGATTCTGGAAAAGGTTCCAGGCTTGAATTTCGAGCACTGACGGGTGATGAGCTGTGGTCCGAAAAGGCCCGCTCGAAGATATTGTCGCCATTCACATCTGCAGGTCCAGTAATGGGGCCTCGTCCATTGTTGAGAGATTCGTCATCAAGAACATGGGCCCGGGTCAATAGGTCCATCATACTCTGGATGTCCGAGTCGCCGCTCATGTTTGCCTGGGCATTGGCGATCGCGGCACTACTGGCAGCCCATCCCATGCGATCCCTCATGAAATCCATCGAACGTTTGAGAATGTTTTGCCGACTTTGCAGCAACTCCTCCGATTGCTGAGCGAAAGAAAATGAATGTAACGATTCCAACGGGAATCGGTGTAGGTCCTCCAGGTCTCCAAACTCCTGGCTCGTTGTCATGCGACCAGTATGAGCTCTCGATGACGAACTGGAACGCATCGACGGGGGTGGTCGGGGCACGTTCATAGGCGTTAAAGACGATGTCGACAGGTTCGGCAGGGTCAAAACCCGGGAAGGTTGCTGGCGTATACGATCCAGCCCGGTCGGACCAAGTCCATGTTCGCTCTCGAATAATGGGGATCTACTGTAAGTGCAATGACATGTCAATTCGCCCGACTCCCCGCAAATGTGTTTTCGTTTTCTTTCCTGACTGAAGGGACTAGGGGAGAATAGGCTACTAACCTTGAAAGAGGGTCATATCCCGACGACACCGAGCTCCTTAAGGTGTGGTCGGCCGTTTGGATGGAAAGTCTCTGAAACCCCGACTCCGATTCTGGCGACTCGGAGAGAGGACCCAACGGAGACGATAAAGGACTTGGATCGCCTGCAGGAGAATGATCAGCGCACTGCGTCCGTTTATCAACTCAATCGGTGACTGTTTCAGTTTCCACGGGGGTTCTCTCCGCAGCGTGATTTCCTCCCGTGATGTGGCAGGGGTGGCAAGGTTGAACTCCGCGGGGTCAGATGTATGCTCCCGGAGTATGCGAAAAAAAGACAGAAGTCCTCTGCGACTCCGGAGGGACTCGTGAAGGGATCATTCTTGTTTTAATTCCTCCGATGTGGCTTTTTTTTCTTTCTTTTTTTCCTTTTTTTTTCTTGGTCCGACGTCGTCCCCTCCCCATCGCGTCCCTTGCTGCGACCCCACTCATGGAGAAAAGAGGCCCGTGGCATGTGAAACAAGAACTCACCATCGGGATTATATGCTGACCCCATGCTTGGGAGAAAATTAGATCCTCCCGGGGTTAAAGGTGTAAGGAATGAGGCTCAAGGTCGATTCGGCATGAAAGTCGTAAGTCATTCGCTCGAGTCAGGCAGAGGGCAGAGGGCAGCTGCCTCGTAACGCGCCCGGCATACGTGGCGTCCGCGGGCACTTAGTGCAGGTGATTCGAAGGAGGAAAAGAGAAAGGAAGAACTCAGCGGGGTTTCGAGAGTTGGTGGGGAGGGAAAAGAACGCCAAAAGGGGCGGGTGATGTAATAGTCCCTGGTTCACGCCTCGACCGTTGAAGTCCGTTCAATCTACTCCGGATGGTTTTCCAGATGAAAAAGGGAGGGAATGTCCTATGTTCCAACGTTGGAAAAAACTATTTCGAGGAACTTGGATCGACCGATCGGCACGGGAGTTGGTCCATGTGGAATGGGAAAAAAAAAGGCTTCAACCTTACAATGGGCAACGAAGTCGTTGCAAATCTTATCCTTCTTCAGACCTAACCACAACACGCCAACGCACTAAAATCCTCTAGTCACAATAGTTCAATATTGGGTGGTGCACCCTGACCTACATACATATGATCCCTCTCTATCGTCACTTGCAAACTAATCAAGGTCTATTCAAACCTCGCTTGTGCGGTCCATTGCAGCTCTGTCTTTGGCCGAGAGATCCGAGTGCGTGGAACATATAAGAGGACCCACAGCCATCGCGGGTTGAAAATGTGGCTCAGCGAATGACAAGCAAAATAATGCAAACAGAGGAATTGATCTATGGAAAAGCGCTCGCAAAAGGTACGATAAGGACCGGCATTAATTTGACCACCCCTTACAGTGGCCCTTGGGCACCCCCAAGACTGTGAAGCGCCAGCTCATCATGCTCGAGGTCTGATGCTGCTTTCTCATCTCCATTTCCGAAGAGTGGGTTGCCTTTATTCCGAGTATGGTCCTGGTTTCGAGTCTGCTCTGGTGGGACTGACGCGGAACTCACAAAGCTGGAGGCATTTCGGCTTCCGTCCAACATCCACGAGAACCCTGCATCCGACAGGGATGGCCGCACAAGGGACCTCGATACCCGCTCACCGTCGGTCTGGCCGGTTCTTGTTGCGCGAGTGGCAATGGTGACAGGCCTGCTGGTTCCACTTTCGGCACTCGGGCCGCGGGCATCCGTCTTGAGGGATGTGCCCTGCTGATCCTGCGCCACTTCTGCTGGGTGGTCTGCTTTTGAATCAGTTGGTGGCTCAGTCGGCTTGGTTGGCTCCTTATCTACGTGGACCGGGCGCGGTGTTGTGACTACTGGGAGCAAGGGGTCTTCGAGACAACGCCGGACTTGCTCGGCTCGAGTCAATGCCTGCTCAATGGCATCGTTTGCACTCGGATTAGAGTGTTCCGCTAACTGAGACCGAAGGTTATCCAGTGCTTCGCCCAAGGCAGCGGAAAGCTCCTTGTTTCTTTCCTCCAAACGGCTAATTTTCTTTTCCAGCCCAAGCTCGGTAGCCGTGGGCTTGGGCAGGGCGTTTGGTACGCTCGTAGAAAGCCCTGGTTTGTGATTAACAGCAGTCATCCGCGGACCGGGTTCATAATGCATCGTTTGCATATTCTTCCGGGCTTCCGTGACGGCCCCTCGAACCGCCTTGGCCACACCCCAAGACTCTGTGCGGCGCTGGATACCTTGGGAAACATCCTGGAATAGCGCTTCAAGACTTTTGGGACTGCTTCTCGCAGAGGAAGCTGGCGAGCTGCTATTACTGCGACTCTTAAAATCTTCCCAAAGAAAGGCTTTCCGAGCAGGTCGTAAGCCGGACTGGCTGTGTCGCTTGGGAGATTCTGGCGCTCTACCCGAGTACTTTTCAATGATAAAGCTTCCTCGCTCTGCAGTAGGGTTTTGTTCCAGGTACAGTGCATCCTTCACGAACTCGTGGGGTGCATGTGGCTGGGGTGAGGGATAGCGAAGCAGCAATGTCAGGGCACCGGAATAATCAGCCTTGAGCACTGTGGGGATTATATCAGCTAACCATGCACTTGATAAGAGGCTAACCTGTGATGACTTACATTCCCAGCGGATTCGGAGCAACATCGCAATACATGTGAAGTCTACGAGATCAGACCGTAGTCCATGCGCAAACAGCACATCCCACATCATGAGCACATCATCAAATGGGAACTCTCGACCGAATAAAAGACGCATCCATCGACTGGTTATCAATTAGTGCCATCCACTTTTTGCTCACTCGAGATACCCACGTTAAGAAGATCTGGGGAAGAACATCCACGGCTTGTAGGTGTTCCGCCAATTCATGATCAATAATCATGAGAGCCTCGGTGTGGAGATACTGGCATCGATTGACGATCGGTATCACGTCGACCTGACCATTCGCGGATTTAGTTTCCCCATGCTCGTAGTATATGCGTGCTGTCTGCATGACAGCAAGAAATAACGTAAACGAATCATGCTCCACGAACTTGGTATCAAGGAGATCTAGCATGAGCGGGTCGTCTTTATATGTGGTGTTTATCAAGTTTCCTAGTGGCTTTTCAACAGAATCCCGATCAACCACCCATAGAACGGGGGCCAACAGTTCATGCATGCCTTGTCTGTAACCGACATCGGGATTGAGTTTCGAGTACACAAACAAGACATCGATCAATATGGATTTTGTTGTTGGTTCCTGAAAGAAAAAATTCTCTTGCAAGCATCGATCGACGTCCTGGGAGATTTCGGCCCGTAAATTCTCGTCGTTGCGAAGGGTTTGCCATGGAGACTATAGAAGAGCAAAAGTCGGTCAGATAAACATCCCGCTGATACTTGCGAAGCGGCGCACAATCCAAAGAGTCACATACCTCCTCATCGTCCGCCAGTGGATCCACCGTTGACTCCAAATCATCTGGATGTTCAATATACTTTAAGAAATGATCACGAAGAGCAGTGTAGGCATCGCGTGACTCCCCAAGCTTCTGTGACCACTCTTCACGATCGAGACCTTCGAAAAGCAAGAATACCTGCAGGCGGAATAAGTGTCATAATTCAAGAAATTCATCATATATGACCACGGACCTTCCAGCAGATCGATCTCAGCCCTTCGTTGCACAGCTTTCCACCCTGCTCCGCCCGCAGCGCCGCCTGGAGATCGGAGGATGTATCATTGCTGAGGAATAGAATTTCCCATCTCTTTCTAAAGGAGGTCAGCTAGGCCTTGATGTTGAATGTTTCAAAGATAGATACCGAGTCTCCTCAATGGTTCTCATGTCATGCGATTGTTGTTGGGAGCTGGAAGAGGTGAAGATGAGGGGGAAGCGATAATGTAATCCGCACCTCTTATCGCGTTCCTGCCTCGCGCCCGCATGACAGCATCTCCAAATGCCACCCGCAATCAACACATGCAAGACTAGGGAGTTTTCGATATCTTGGACCACTCAATCCTAAGTGGATTCCTTCATACATTCATGATACAAGCCACATATGTCTGCGGACTTGCTAGCAGAATTCGGTCAGGACTCGGGGCCTCCGCGAAGCTCCGCAGGCAACCCACCAGCTGGACGACCACAAGAAACTTCTGTGACATTTAGTCCAGATCACAACGATGATGATTTCTTCTCTTCCTTGACGACGGGTAATCAACAGAGAAAGCCCCAGGGATTCCTTCCGGCCCCATCAGCAAACCAGTACCCAACCCCGGCTTCGCGACAGCCGCCGGGCTTCGAGCTATTCAATCTGCCTAGAAGCGAGAACAGCGATGTGCTATTTGACGCCGAAACCGACGCACCATCGAACGATACAGAAGATGACTGGGGAGATTTTGAAGAGCCAGAATCGACTATCACCAATTATCAACCACAACGCCCTGAAATTAACATACCTGAAGCCCAGCCGCGGGTAGCCAAATATCAGTCAGCTCAAATAGACTTGCTGGGTTCACTGTCACTAGCAGACTCAACGCCAACTGCGAATAGACCAATTGGCATTACCCAGAAGACCTCAGCATCTACCAGCAATGCGCCAGAACCAACATGGGACGACGATTCATTTGGAGACTGGGATGAATTTACAGACGCACCTTCTGTCAATACGGCCGCGAGTCAGCCTAAGGCAAAAGCTACTCTGATGAAAAGCAAGCCCATTACCAAGCAAACTAAGAGTATCAGCACGACTCCTGAACAAGCAAGCCAGGAAGATGACTTTGAAGATTGGGGCGAGTTCACCGACGGGCCAGCAGAACCAGCAGTGGCGCCCAAACAGAACCCCAAACCAAAAGCAAAGTCACCTACACCACCAACTCCAAACCCTCGGAGCTTTTTATCCTCCGCGTCAACTTCACCCCCAACGGTTCGACCCACCAATATCCCACCACCCTCAGTCCTTCTCTCCCTCCTGGTCGATATCCTCAGCGCACTACAAAAGGAAGCTCTAAAAGCCCAACCGCGCAGCACACCGCCCGCTCAAAAAGAAGCAACTGCTATCAAGATATATACTACCCTAACAACATCAGCCCGCATAATAGCCGGCCGCAGTCTTCGCTGGAAACGTGACACAATCCTCAGCCAAAGCATGCGCATCGGCCCAGCAGGTAAACCCGGCGGCATGAAATTGAGTGCGGTGAACAAACATGAAGATGTCAAAGAGTCACAGGATGCTGTTGATGTGTTAAGGCTGTGGCGTGAGCGTGCTGCGTTGTTCAACGCTATCGTGCAAGGCGTGGGGCAGAAAGCTCTTCCTGTATTTACTGATCCCACTGCTTTGAAGGTTGTAATGGCGCGTGCTGAGGACGGAGCGATTAAGGCCTCGCACCCTTGTGCGCTTTGTGCGCTTAAGAGAGATGAGCGGGTTTTGAGGGTGGATGATGGGGATGTGAATGATAGTTTTGGGGAGTGGTGGACGGAGCATTGGGGACATACGGGGTGTAGGATCTTTTGGGAGGGGAATAAAGATTTGCTTTTGCAGCGGTGATCTCGAATGCTGTTGTACACTGAGAATACATTTTTTTTCAGTGGATTGGGGTTGAAAGGATACAGTATCTATGTGAGGTGTCTCAAGTAAAGCTTCCTGGAATACTGTATTACCTTGAAGGCGATTGCCCAGGTGTGGGTTTACCCAGAATTATATCACTGTAGAATTTTGTTTGTCCATGCGAATGCTGGATTCGTGGCAAGTTCGAGTTCCTTTGAGCCAAAGTCTTACACATGAAGGTCTGGATTTACATCCTTACTAAGGAGACAAAGGTGGTGAAAAATAATTATAAGAAGAGTTCACGGTTCCGTATCAACGCCACCGAAGCGACATAATGCATTAAAGGCAAGAAGGATCCCTCCAACACCAAATTCTGTAAGATAAAAGAGTAGATACACAGAAAAAGAAATCAAGTCAGGAGTAGAGAATAGCACTGCCAGCAGCGAGGTAGCCCAAGGGCGAATCAGACCAGCTGAGCTGGAAGGGCTTGTCCTCGCAAGAGAGGGCCGGAGTGGACTGCAAGGAGTACACTGTGCAGAACATCTAAGCACCCGGGTATACCAGGATACTTAATAGATGCCCAGGATACAACCCGGAATGAACCCGAACTGAATCCTCCGTGCGTCGAAAAACAACCTCGGTTCGTGGGATGCGCTTGGTTGCACATATATTGAAAATTTTGTTCCCTGCGCGTGTCGGATCGAATCGAAATATTTCCCAAGGGCTCCCATAGCATGACCATATGAAATCTGAGGTTTTAGGGCTGGAATAAAAGTCCCAAGTAATACCTCAGCCCGAGGCCATGATTCTAAAAATGGCTAACAGGGCAACCACGCGGACTGGTTGAGTGGAGGTCAAAGTCAAATTGTGTTGACGACTGCGGCGGCGACTTTGAAATGGCAATATACTGCAGATGCCTTGACTAAGGCTCGTGGTTCGAGAACCATCAACAATCTAAAAGCTCTGGGCAGAGGGCGCGGCGGGCTGTGGTAAATGGATTAGCGGCTGAGGTGACAGGATCGGGAGAGAAGGGTCTCGGCAATGGTTGCACGGCTGCCGTGGTGATCACTTGGCGCAAGATACCCAAAGTAAGGAGGTGAACTTACAGGACTGCTCAAAATACTGTTCCTCTCTTTCCGACCCTTCTTAATGTGATTCTTCAAGGCAGTTGAATCCAAAGGTTTCAATAGCTCGAAACTACAAAGAAGCTCTCCAGAAACGGACATGATAGCTCCCCAGTTGTCGAACTCGCCACAATACTGTTGCTGGTTAGTCAAGCACAGGTGGATACAAAGTAAAGTCGTAGGGCAGAAACTTACATTAGGCGCTGAAAAGACGGTGACCAAGATTCGGTCCTGGTAAAACTCATAACCATCTTCAACAACCATATGGGCGCGACACACCAAATCGAAGTCGTGCCGCTGCAAAAAGTTCATGATAACTTTCTTGCCAAAGCAATAACTCACACCACGTTCGTTGGGTTCCCAATCTTCCTCCATATCTGCGGGGTCACTCCACAAGAGGTCGTTCAGCAACCCATAGTCGGGAACATCGGTAGGTCGGGCAATGCCCCGAATATCATCCATATGCGACAAACTAGGCGACAGTCCGCCATGAACGCAGAAAATTTTGCCTGCAACAATAGCAGCGATCGGGAGACAATTGAATGTATCAATAAAGCCCTTCCAGACCTTGATGTTGCATCGTCGCTTACACTCGTCATAGAATCCGTAAACTCGAGTAACGTTGGCACACTCGTGGTTTCCGCGAAGCAAGAAGAAATTCTCCGGATACTTGAGCTTATAGCACATCAGAAGCAAAATAGTCTCCAGACTCTGCTTTCCACGGTCGACATAGTCACCGAGGAAGAGATAGTTTGACGCCGGTGGGAATCCACACATTTCGAAAAGACGAATCAAATCGGTATATTGGCCATGAACATCGCCAACAATCTTGACAGGTGCAGACAGCTCCAATAGCGCTGGCTGCGAAAGAAAAAGTTCACGGGCTGCCGAGCAAATCGCGGTGATCTCAGCATTCTTTAGGCATACAGTCTTGGTGACTTTGGTGGAATAGCCAGCATCCAAGAGCCGTGAAATCATGTCATCCAGGTCAATGGACTTCAAGGCGCCCATTCCCATTCCTGGTGACCCAGAGGTCTCAATTGGGGCATTCAGAATGAAATCCAGAATGGGATTCAGCTGGTTCTCTCTCTTCATCAAGATGGATTCACCCACAACTGGAGTGGTGGTCGGTGCACCTTGAGGCGGGCCTTCAGACACATGATCCACCTCACCACTCTGCTGCATCGCGTTCACATCTTTATGACCTCGCTTCAAGCTTGATGAAAGAGAAGGGGATGGCGGGGGCTCGGGGGAGCCTGTCCGCGAGGGGAGTTCAGACCCGGGAGACTGAGGAAGACCAGCGTTGGAGCCTGGTCGGCTGCCAAACGACTTTGTCGAACCAGCATCGGACTTGTCTGGTATACTATCGGTCTGAGATAGGGCGGTAGTCGAGCCTCGGGGGCTGTCAGAGCCGCGAGCGCCAGGGATCTTCGAGCGAATCGAACCGCGGAAGGAACGAATTGATTCCTTGGTGTCTGATTTCGAGAAGGATGGGTAGGATTGCAACGAGTCACCGGAGCCCCCGTTGCCCTTGGAATGCGACTGACCCATAGCTGCGAGGCTGGGATGTCTGCCAAGCTTGGAATCGCACGAAACAGCGGACGTTCAAGCCGCTATGCCGAGAAAGATCCCCTTGTGTGTTGGAATGTCTTGGCTTCTAGGGTCCAGCAAGGTTGGTCTTGACGAGGGCTATATTAAGCTCGCAGATATCCTACTGAACGGATCCGGGCTTTATTTTTTTTTTTTTGTTGGCGGTACCACGAGAAAGTTTTCGTTGCTTGGCCTTGGCGGGAGCTGAAGGATTCCGGGATGATCACGAGGGGGAGACAATCAAGCGAGTGAACGCTTTCGGATAGGTAATGGTAATGAGCAGGGCTAGTTGAGGCGCCTACAGAGGAAGGGGTGGATCGACGAAGCTTGGGAGGGTAAGCTGGGTGTAAGGAAGAGGTGGAAGGCGAAGCTCCGGGGCTTGCGTGAAACAGAAGCTTCCTCCTATACGGTATTAGTCTGCGCGTTGGCTGTTGGGCGATGACTCGTGAGGGCACAGGGCTGAACTCCACAGAATCCAAGCGGGCATGTGGAGGTTGAGAGGAAAGCAAGGGAGAGGGTGTAATTGCTGGGGAAACTCTGTGGTGGATTTGGGGTGTGGACGGGGCGGGTGGAGGAATGCGTCATTATGTACGGGGATTTTGAGCGAGGTATTTGTCCCACATAAGTCGACGAAGCAGGAACAACCAGCATGACTCACCTAAATTATTTCTTTTCCTCCTCTTGATCAACTCAAAGGGGAGGATGGCAGGGAATGGAAAATAGAAAGAGGGGAATATGTGTAGAAGGGGGGGGGGGGGGGGGGGGGAACAAATCTAGGTCTAAGTAGTGTGAAAGTACTCCGCCACCGCTTATGCGTGAAAAGATACTTACACGATACTCAGCTGTCGCCCGGTTCTGGCCACAGCTGGAGCTTGGTTAGCTAATCACGGATCATCGCCGGGCCGGTGGTTGCCTAGATGTCTTTATGTATTTATAGCGATGCGTTCATGACTTTTTAGACTTTATATGGTTCTCTTAGGGCAGAAAAAATATATACTTATTATGAAAACAAAGATACACAGATCGTAGCTTATTTAATTTTCTAGTAATGTCATCATAAAGGTGTGTGGCTGGCAGGATCATACCACTACTCGTCATCCTTCTGATAAGCGACCACGTCTTAGATCCCCACGATAGCACACCTCCAGATTATGATTCGGTCTGGCTTGCTGGGACTGTGCGAGGGACGTTGCAGGGCTAGCCAACGCCTTAGTGGGTTTTCCGAAGCAACCTGGGGCAAACTATGAGCAGGAGCTTAGACTCCACCAAGGCTCCTAATCAAAAGTAGCGGGGAAAGACAACGCTAGTAACGTCTCCGTGGCTATTCCCGCGCCACCATCTCAATAGTGTGACAACACAAAGATAAAAAAAAAAAAAAAAACTCTCCCGAAGTAGCAGTAAATCTTCCAGGCCTACACGGTACACTGCAACCCCGTAAAATTTCTTGCAGCGATCAATCAGAAGGGGTTTCAGAGCTCGCAGAAACCTTTATTATCCATGCATGACTCGAACGTTATCGCACACAATGGGCATGAGCCGCAGACAATCTCCGTACTGCATAAAAGATAATAGCTCCTGCATGCATGCCAAGGTAGAATCTCTCGTGGCGAAGACACCGCCTTTTCCCCCTCCATACATAGTGTTGTATTTCCAGGATTAGCCTTCAAGCAAGCCCCCCCCCCCTTCAAGTGGCTGATCCTTCACAGTGGTCCTACTAGCCAAGACCAGTTGCTGTGATGCAGGTTTCGTGTTCCCCATGCCACGTTGATGGACCACCAACTGGGAACGCCTCCCAAGGTGCCTTGGCAGCCCCACGTTCATTTTCGTGATATCTGCCAAGCAGGAACCGAGGTGGTGCACCACATATAGGGCAGAAGCCGGGGCTGCCTAGCAGGAGGTGTTGACGAATTATTTTCATTTGACTGGGTCCCGATGTGTGATGATATTGCCAGTCCACTCTGATTGGAAGAATAGGGAATATATTCGGAGTTTCGTGGACGCGAGCTAAGACCAAGAAAGGTGATCTATTCCAGCTCTATCTTCGTAATGTGACGACCTGGCACCACGATGAGTCCAATAAGCCGGTGTGTCATGTTGACTTTGATCGTGGCGCTCGGTGCGCCGGAATTCTTTTCCCATGAGTCGGCGGCTGCTTGGATAGCGGAAGGAGTAGGAAGACGATATTCAAGGGAGTTGGCAAGGATGATGTTTCGCTCCTGTAACAAAGTCCCAGTCAGCACATGGTCTGAATACGTGGTCTCACGCTGTGCGGGGATGTATCTCCAGCTCCGAAGACAACAGGCTTACCGCATCAGTACATTTAAAGATGCCAACAAACATGCGGCTGTCAGTCGTGTGGACCCGTAGCTGCCGACCAATTAACCTGTCCAAATATTGAACAGCTTGGTCGGTATCCATAGTCATCATTGACTTTGGTGGGTGTCTGTGTTGACGCGATGGGTACAACGAGGGCTGGGCACCGGCGTGGCAGTCTAAGATTGCAGGAGGTTCGAAGTCAAGGTTGGTGTCTCAGCGAGGTATAGGGACTCGGTAGGATGATTCGTTCGTCAGTTATGCAGCAATTGTGGAATCATGAGATGGGTTGTTGGAGGTAACGAAGTTGAGCAGCTGCGGCGGACAAGTTGTAGTGATGCCTGAGGCCCGTTGGTGGGGTGCAACAAGGCCTGTTACGCATACAATAGCCTCGGCAACTCGAATATGTGAGCAATTAGCTCATTATTTAAGCTCAGATTGGACAACTGCTGGATAACATCCAATCACACGCGTATTCAAAAGAGAATGCCTCGAAAGTAAACGCTTGCTCTACATTCTTTCCTACTCCAACGCACGTCCGACAAGTCCATTAGGTATCTACGGAGCTGGGTATAGAGGGACACTATCATAGATTGATATGTTGCTTTCAATCCAAGGTCTTTCCACAAAACAAAGCTCCAAGTGATTGTTTCAGCAGTCTACTATCTTATGCAAAGTATTCTGACTATAGTGACCAATGAATAAGGTAAGATTTGAATATTAACTATGTCCAATTAATTACTCCGCTGTCAATCGCCTTCCCAGCCCGCCGAAAACACCAAAAGCAAATAACGACAGATCCTCACGGAGAGTCTGAAGATGAGAGAATAGCAAAACCCTGGAAATACCCCTCATCGCCTGGATATTCCGATAGAATAGTAGGCGGAAGCAAGAGCTCTTCCGCTCGTAGCGACCAGCGCTTAGTCGACAAAGTTTATTGATATCACATCCAAGCCATTGCGCCCACGTTTGGAGATGAATTGGAGCCTTCACTGCTCTCATCTGTGTCCATGTCCATGTCCATATCCACATGGTTGAACTCTGTACTCACCGTCTCATTTCCACTCGAGCCAGCACCGACAGTCATCTGCTGAAATGCTGCGCGTCGCAGAGTCTCATCCTGGGTCATGCTAGTCTCATTTGCACGAGGCACCAGTGCCTCACGGGATGGTTTGAATTGAACGGTGGGCTGTGTTCGAGGTTGGAAGAATCGCAGCAAGGTGTGTTGTCGAGGATCGACGGTTTCGGAGGATTGAGAGTGATTTTCCTCCATTATTTCTTCGCTTGTGTCCATCGGGGCTGCCATCGGTTGTTGCTGGGCTGAGAAGATCCAACGGAGAGTTTTCGCTGCTTGTCGGTTAGCTCGATCTTTGTTTTGGTAATGGATCGCGTGGCAGTTGATTGGTAAATAGCCTTTCCAAGAGATGATGAGACGAAAAGCTTACCATATACTACTTCATCATCTGGGCGACCATCGCGAAAACGCTTTCTTGTTCGGCTGTGGAGGTGTTTGAAGCTATCAACCATGTCCACTTCGCAGGACATGGGAACAAATGGGCTCGATGGGGCCGCAGAGAAGGATGCCTTGCGCTTGAGAGACATTGTGATGATTTGGAGCCGAGTTCGGGCCTGGCAGTTGGGCGAAGGTCTTTTGAAAGAGAGGGTATATGGCTCCCAAGAAAGGTGTAGAGGAGTAGAGTTGCATTTAGAGACAAGAATGGCTGGGAAGGCACGGGAATGCGATTGGCCAGGCGCGTCGATTACGAGAGTCGCGTTTGGTACAGATCCACGCTAGGCCATATCAGGTAATATTGCACTGGTCAAGATTCCCTTAATGGTTATGGAGAGGAAAAGGTTGGATTATTTATTTGATGTATACTTGATACGTCTAAACACATTTTGCTGCATGAAGTCAAGAGACAGGTACTAAGGGTGCTGGGGTGAGCCCCTTACTGGTCGCAATCCTAGATTCTTTGTCTGCAGCCCCGAGCAACACCCAATCCCGAGCAAGCCAATTATGAACAAAACTCAATCATAAGCAAACACCAATATCATGAGCTTAATATGATGCGTCTTATTATGTATTCCGACTCGTTATTTGTTGGCTTATCGATGGATTTACGGTCCACTACATTGCGATCATATCAATTTTGTCCATGAATTACAGCAGGGACCCATCAAGACAATAGATCCCCATACCCGGCACGATCAGCTTGAGCTGTAAAAGTCACTGATGACATGCCTAAATAGACCTTACCTGTGTAATAACGATATCAATTACCCTTATAGTGCCTCGGACATATCAACAAGCTTGAATCAAACCGGCATGCCGTTGGCCAGAGCGTTCGGTATCCCGCAACCTTGCTCCGCCATGACGATGGTCTCCCCCGCTTCTCCTCACTTCAACTCTCACCTCTACTATTGACCACCACTCAGTGCAGCTAGATCTCTCATCACCATGGCTTCCAGACAGGCTTATCATGCTGGGTCATGGTACTCTGATAATAGTCGAACCTTGACAGGCCAGCTGGATGGCTGGCTAGCACAGGTGCCGGATACCTTAGACAATGTGGGCTCACTTCCAGTCTCGGGGGCCCGGATCATTATAGCACCGTATGTATTCATATTGATCATACTGGGATGTTAGAATGATGGTACTAATGAAACTAGACATGCCGGTTATTCCTACTCAGGGCCCTGTGCAGCCTATGCATACAAGGCGCTTGACCTGTCAAGGGCGTAAGCAACGAATTTCCCGGGTGTTGATCATATCTAATATCCTTCCCAATTTAGTAAACGTATCTTCGTCTTGGGTCCATCTCATCACTATTCCCTTTCAACCCTGGCCCTCCCACAGGTCAAGTCATACTATACCCCGCTCTCGAAGGACCCCCTCCCACTAGATACAGAGCTGATCGCCAAGCTCCATAAGACACAGGCGAGAAAGTCGGATGGATCCAAAACCAGCTTTACGGCCATGACTCAGTCTGTCGACGAAGAAGAACACAGTATTGAGATGCACCTCCCCTATATCCACCGTCTCCTTCAGCTGCAATACCCAGAGACTCCAACGTCTCAATATCCCCCGCTGGTCCCGATAATGGTTGGCAGTACTTCTGCATCCACGGAACGAGCCTTTGGTGCACTATTGGCTCCTTATTTAGAAGATCCGGAGAACGCATTCGTCATCAGCTCAGACTTTTGCCACTGGGGCCTCCGTTTTCGCTACACATACTACGTCCCGCAGGCCCCAAAGCCAGGACCGGAGCTTCCCCTATCCAGCGACACACTCCCACAGCCAGGGCAAGAACCTGCTAACGTATCCAAGGAGATTGAGTCCGTCTGTGTAGGACATGGCCTGCGGCGTGGGGATCGGATCTCTAGTAAAGAGCCTGCGATTCACGAGAGTATCTCGGCCTTCGACCTTGCCACTATGTCAGCCATCACCACTGGATCGGCGAGTAAGTTCCTGGATACAATCGAACGCACCGGGAATACTGTCTGCGGTCGCCATCCTATTGGTGTTATCATGGCTGCGTTGGAGGTGGTAACAGCCGGCCGACCGGAAGGGAAGCAAGGCCTGTTTCACTTTCTGAGGTACGAGCGCAGCTCAGATGCGGTAGATGTGAACGACAGCTCTGTGAGCTATGTTTCGGCTTTTGCGTCTCTCTAACGGGCCCTGTGACATGCGCTCGCTTTGCTGGCTTCCATTACAACGTTGAACAAGATATTATCGTGCAGGGATAAAACTTGCTCAATTAAACCTTGCGCTGAATACAGAATCTGAGGCAATAGAATCCAGGTAGATCTGTGTCTTGCTCTCTCGCCGCACTCGCAATTCGTAAATTTAGCCGGCTGGGCGTACGTAGACAATAGAAACTCCCTTTGCCTGTCGCTTTCCAGCAGAATACCTGAAGATATATTACATATGTCTTTTTCGTGGCTTACAGGCGTGGCGTGGCGTGTAGCCCAAGCTGGACTCTCTCCGATGATGAGCCCCCGGGCCGCAAGAAAACCGTATTTTGCGATCCCCAGTAGCGTTTGATAACCGTGGATTGCTCATCACAAGGTCAAATCCCAGGTCAGGTCAGTCTGGGGGGCTTTTGTATGGGAAACACTGGGAAAATCGGAATATTTACTTGTTACATCATCCATAGAGCCGTCCGCTGCATTACCCGAGGAGGCTATACCACATGAGTATTGTGGCATATGATAGCTTGGAAGAGCACGGAGTTACGGAAGTGAAGCCTCAAGGGCTCCCAAAAGCCAACATCGCCCTTAGAATAGAGTAAGATGCTGGACCCTGCGTCCAGTTGCGCCGTTGATCCGGAATTACCCCCGAGCCATGGGTTACACGATTGCGTACAAATCCGTCTCTAGCGACTTGATTTGACGCAGAGCCTGATCTGTATCATGATTGTAAGTGACTTTATTGGTGAATGTTCTACCAACAGACTGGTCTCACGTTAGATCTTAAGGGCGAAAAAGGGGTTTCCAGGTACCGGAAATTTGGATGGTGGAACCTGAAACCGATATATCAGCCGTTGATAAGGATCTCGTATTCGATACTCGCCAGGGGCTTGTTCCTGGCTCAGGCCACCGTCCTGGTCGAATCAAACCAGATTGTGCGGGAGCCACTAACAGCCGCTGTCATCATTGAACAAAGTTAGCCCGAAACACACCGATCGCGCTAGTGTTGGGTGTTGATGAATTGACAGATCCTGCAGTCCCTTTGGCGCCTAGATACCGAGCCTATTCGTCTGACACGGTGATTCTGTAGCAATCCCTTACTGCGAGGTTGATACTTTTTTGCATTCCTCCATACTTTGCGAGATGGCGCGTCCTGCCGGGAGTGAATGTGACGCGTCTGGGAAGTTTGATGAATTGGAAGGAGGTGGAAGGGATCCGGTCCAGTCAGTATGGCCCATTCAATGATATTTATTACGCGCCTTCTCGCCTAGTTTGTCTTCATTCGCATTGCCTCTGGGAGGTTCTATCTTCGATCAGCAGCTTTTAGTAGACTCTCATTCCTTCGTTCCTTGACACTCCCACTATCCCCCACACTCATTTACCAACATCACCCATGCTGGCACGGGTTTTGTTTGTCCTTGTTGGGCTGCTGGCAGCGCTGACAATGACCAGTCCAGTCTCTACAGTTTCGACTTCCGCAGTCACTACATCAACAGCTGGTGATAAACTCGTGTTTTGTCACTTCATGGTAAGCACGCAGTACACAACCCCATGGTAACCTGATCGAGTGTACTAACAATAAAATCTAGATCGGTATCACCAGCAACCGTCAAAACTCCAGCGACTATGACGATGACATGCAGCGTGCCAAAGCCTTCGGCATAGACGCTTTCGCTTTAAACATCGGTACAGATTCGTACACTGATACCCAGCTCCAATATGCCTACACATCTGCCGCCAAGAATGGAATGAAGGTGTTCATCTCCTTTGACTTCAACTGGTGGAGCACGGGACAAGGTAGCGCCATCGGTGCCAAAATCAAACAGTACGCCAGCTACTCCTCTCAGCTCAAAGTAGATGGCAAGGTCTTTGTCTCGTCGTTCTCTGGCGATGGCCTGGATGTCGCTGCCATGACTGCTGCAGCAGGTCAGAGCCTCTTCTTTGCACCTAACTTCCACCCCGGAGAGGGCAACTTCGATGATGCGCAAAGTGCACTCAATTGGATGGCTTGGCCAAGTAATGGAGACAACAAGGCTCCTACGGTTAAGAACCTTGTTACAGTACCTGATACTGATAAGGCTTATATCGATGCTTTGGGTGGGAAGCCCTACATCGCGCGTAAGTATTCCGTTCTTGTTTCTGGACACGACCGGCTTCTCTGAATACTCTACTTACATTGCCAATAGCGGTCTCGGCATGGTTTTTTACCCATTTCGGAAGTGAGGTGTCCTACAGCAAGAACTGGGTCTTCCCCTCTGACTTGCTCTGGTATCGGCGCTGGCGCGAGATCCTGGCTCTCAAACCTCGCTTTGTGGAAATCATCACCTGGAATGACTATGGAGAGTCGCATTACATTGGACCGCTGTCATCGCCTCACACCGACGATGGGTCATCCAAGTGGGTGATGGATATGTGAGTGACCCCAACACATCACTTACCGTTAACATACCGCGCCAGTTTCTAACATCTCCCTTTCCAAATATCAAGGCCTCATGACGGCTGGCTAGAGATGGCCAAGCCATTTATCGCCGCTTACAAGGCCGGAAGCACAGTTGCACTTCCCTACATCGAAGAAGAGAAGCTGGTCTACTGGTACCGACCCACACCCCGGGATGTCAACTGCGACGCGACCGACACAACAATGACCAGCAGCGCCAATAACGCCAGCGGCAATTTCTTCAGTGGTAAGCCTGACGGGTGGGAAACCATGAAAGACGAGGTATTCGTCGTTGCGCTGCTCAAATCACCCGCAGAAGTACACGTACAATCAGGCAACAAGACACGGTTGTTCCGGGCACCGGCGGGGATCAGTTCATGGTCTGCGCCCATGGGGGTGGGTCAGCAGAAGTTCGCGATAACGCGGAGAGGAAAGACGGTGTTGTCGGGGACTAGCCTGAAGGACATTGTTGATCATTGTATCTGCGGGATCTACAATTTCAATGCCTATGTGGGGACTCTCCCGGCCCCATCCACGATTGACCGTCTCCAGCCGGCTGGACTGGCTTTGTTGTCACAGGGGCTGAAGGTGGCATGTCCGACGAATACCCTGGGGGCCAGTAGTGCGTCTTCAACCGGTGGGATGAGCACTAGTACTAGCACTTGCACTAGCACTTAGCGGTGTGAAGGGGGAGACGAATAGCTGTTCGGATAAGGGCCATGAATAGAATATTCAATTATCAGTTTGTACTCTAGACCAGTCATTATTTCAATATCATCATATCCGATCAACAGGGATCTCGGTTGGGTTGATCAAAATACAAGCGGGTTATTATCTTGACTCCACACTCGTTATCTTAGAATCCTTTATCGTGCACACCGACTCATATCCGAGGTCGGACAAGTGCGTGCTTTGGCTTTGTCTCTCATATGCGCCCTTTTTATGATTAGTGTATTTTGGTTTCTTTTTCTCCTTATATGACCCCCTGTTGCTGCCCGCCCGGATTGAATGGAACCCTCTTCAGGCTTTGGCCAAGCCCATGGCTTGATCAGCAGGACAACACAGTTCCCGAGGACCAGCGGAAGCATTTACTTATGTGAATCGCGAAGTCCGTATTGATTTCATTGAGAGTTGCATTGGGCATCATCTATCTCGTCATCATAGTCTGCCTTTAATCCTCTAATCCCCGTGGGGCTATACCAACAATGGCCCGCATGAAACACGGCGTCTTCTCCTGGGAGGACGTGCTCGCCCAACGATACCAGAGTCAGTATTACGAACTCCCTGTACCTTTTGCAGCCTCGGTAGGAGAAGGAGAAAAGGATCCAATTATGACTATTGTCACATACCTTCATAGCTTCCCGCAATCAGGACGTACGATGGATTTAGGCTAATTTGGGTTCATTATTGGGCACGCGACAGGCAATCAGCCCCCTCCTCTACCACGACCCCGTCGCAGAACCCTCACGATCGCCGAGCCACAGCCACAATCTCGATTGCTGTCGCGCCTCTCCCCAGAGCTCCGCCTGATAATCTGGGAGATGGTTCTGGGCGGACAGCGACTACATATCATCCAGCGCAATAACCAGCGCCTCGGCCACATAGTGTGTCCACTCAAGACCCACACACTTACATCAGACGAAGAGAAGACGCGCCAGGAGCGCGATTCATCTTGCGAGATCTGTAACGGGCATGGGATCCCCCAGCCCGTGAAGGAGGGTGATCTCGCGCATACCCGTAGATCGGCGAAACTGCTAAGTCCCGCGTTGACGTGTCGACAAATGTATGAGAATAATGTCCCGATTCACCCCCAATGCGGAGAGGAACTGACCTTCAATTTAGGTACCAAGAATCAATTCACCTCCTGTATACCCTCAACACATTTGAATTCAGTAACCCATGGTCACTACCGTATATGCGCCCCACTATCCCCGCAGATCACTGGGACTGTATACGTAACGTCGAGCTGCGCTGGTCGTTCGAAGGCCATTGGCTTCCATGCAAGGATCCCGTACGCGCGATATACATTTCCGCTGGACGGGCGCAATGGATAGAAACCTGTCGCGCATTGGCATTGTTACCGACATTGAAATCATTCGTGCTTGTCTTGGGTCGCACATGGTTCAGTGAGCCGGTCGAGAAATTACCCGTGTTTCTGGAGCCATTGCGCGGATTGCGGGTTCAGCAGCGCTCGCGTTCGCGGACGATTCGTCGTCAAGTGAAGGCGTTGGATGAGTATGATCTTGGTTCTGGGAGTTCGGATGAGGAGTCAGAGTCGAGCTCTACTTCGGGTTCTAGCTCCAATTCTAGCTCGAGTCTCAGTATCAATGTCAGTGGAAGTGACATGGCTGCGAGTAGAGGAACCTCCACAATCCTGCATTCATACTGTTCCTTTTACTCCTCACCACCTTCATCATCTACTTCTGACATCATTCCGTTACCTTTCAAGAAAGCAGACGGACTAGCAGCGTGGGAGCTACGCCTGGAAGGCCAGCCGTATTACGTGCACGAGCTGGGTCGTATGGGCGACGACCTTAGGCAGAGGGGGATCGACTGTTGCATCTCGGCGAGGTGAGGGGTGTGGATAAAGAGAGGGGGTTACAGTTATGTACGTTCTGAACTCCATACCCGTGTGGGTATGAGCTGCACAGATTAAACAAGAAACGTCATGGCACTTTGTCTCGGTTCGGCTTCTCCTAGATACTTCGGGGACTGCGATATGCATGAATTCATAAGTAACCCGAGCATGCAAAGATGATCATTACTCTCTTTATGTGATTCCACATACATATATCATATCTATCAATCATACGTGTTATCTACATAGCGTGGAAACATGCATTAAGAATCCTAGAAACCTGAATATCCGCAGACTAATACCAAGGTTGCAGCAAGCTCCACATATAGCACTTGCACCAGTTAGACGATGATGCAATATCTAAGATACCAGAAATATGGGTCCAGCTTACGTGCAAGGGGACCCTTTACATCATAGCATTCTTGTAGAATCCCGGGAAGATTGTCGGATGCTTGTGTTTTTGCTTGTTTGTATGCTTAATCCAACTATCCACACAGCATACTCTTGGAAGCGGGCATTACTGTAAAGTATTGAAAAGAAACGCAGTTGTTGAACGCGTAAACGCGTAACCCCTATTTCCATGAAGCCCTAAACCCCGTTTCCCCGAGACCCTGGACCCACTTGGATTTAATCTATAAATAAATGGGCCGTGCACACTGCCTTACGGGAGTTCCACTCGCAGAAAGAAAACAAACATGAAAGGAACATTAGTTTATATGAAGTACAGAGATGGTGTTAAGGTTTTTCGGAGGGAAAATGAAAGAATTGGGGATCAATTTTGTGTTCTATGAAGTTTCTAGCGCATGAAGGATGATTACGTGCCTGATTCTGCAATGCGGATGGGTCGGGAATTCGCCAGCCTGACTCCACTGCATCCATCGGGTCCACCGGGTGTGGCAGGCGCTAAGGGTCTCATCGCGGGGGAGGATCGCACATCCTAATCAAACGGGTAATTTTGGGTATTTTACTTTTACTGTGAGGCTTTGTTGGGTAGACTTTTCATTAAGGGGTCTTACTTGGATATTTCAGGCTCTAGCTGATTTTATGGCTTTTTTACTTTAATATGGAAATATTTTGAAAAGGTATTAATATATAGTATTGGCGAGGTGTAATAGAGGTATACTAAAGAAAGCAGGAGAACATCTCCAAAGAAAAGATCGTTGTCGATCGCGACAAAAAGGAAAGGAAAATGAGAACATTGTCTCGTGTGCCAAATGGCAAATCCCGAATTAAGGAAAGAAGTCGTCACCACTGGCGCCGTGCAAAACCATGCCCAAGCAAAATGCCATGATGCGAAGAACCAAAATGAAAATGAAAGAGCCATTTATCGGTGAAACCCGTATTAATGCAAGATGTCCAAAAACCTCTTGCTCCAGGTCGTGTGATCCAAATATAACAAGGAAATGATAGAAAGATAGATCGTGTCAAGGACGTCGGTCATAGGAGATGTATATGTGATCGTGGGTAGATCAAAGTGAGCAATATGTTCAGAACCACCAAGTCGAAACTGGGGTGCAAAATTGAACAAGCTCGGATGGTCCGAGTTCGGGGGTCGCAGTCGCGCTCTGGTATTCTGACCAGAAGTAAGCTGCCGTTTGGGCCACAAGTCGAGAGAATGCTGCGACGTGGTGTGACCCGGCGCGACGTACCCTCCGGGCGAGGAGGATGATAGGGGGGTGTTAAGGTTGTTCGATGTTATTCGAGGGCGCCCGGCCGGACCTCTCGTCAGCTCAGCTGGAGAGGCTGGAAGGGGGATCGGGTCGCTCGAGCAGTCGACAAAATCAAGGGAATCCAAGGAGTGATTTCTTCAAAGACCCAGAGAAAGAAAGTTCTATCCGACATATCCTGTCGAGCTTTTACCTCCCACCGGGCGAACGGTCAGGTCCCGAGTGGCCGTGGCCGTGAGCCGCGAGCCATTCGGTGGAAGCCTCTTGGAGAGCATCGGCGTGCTTCTGCTCGTGAGCCCGGGCAGTCGCGCTGCGGGGGAGGAGGTTGTTGATCTCAGCCGCCAGAGCGGAGGCAGTGTAGGCACGGAGCTCTCGCTCTTCACGCTCATCCTCCTTCATCAGGCGAGCCTGGTCAGCACTGGACATGTTCTCGCGGCGCTTGCGTCGGATTTCATGAATCGACCAGAGAACAACTTCCTCGGAAGTGCGGACGCGAGGGCTACCGTTCTTAGCGAAGTTGCGAACATAGCGACGGGTCACGTCAGTGGCTCCGTCAATGGAGAAGGCGATACAGTAGGAAATCTTGCGGTTCCATCCCTCAGTGTACAGACGGGGTTGGTCCCAGGCGCCCTCGCAGGCATCCACGTGGACCCATCGTCGCTGGTGCTCCGAGTACACCTCAGTCCAGACGTGATCCTCTGAGTTCCAGACCCAACGAACCCGAGCTCCAACCGCGCGACACAACATGCTGAAGCAATTGGCCCATTCACCAACTCGGCCTCGGCGGGTCTGCAATAATTGCCAGACATCGGAGTAGCGAGGGAATCGTTCATAAGCACCGCAGGTAGCTTCTGAGCAGCGGTACAATTCCACACGGGTGGCTCCACGGGCGGTCTCATCGGGGCTGGGGGGAGTCATGCCCTGAGCAATCGTGGGCATGTAGCACCGCGAGCAGGGGGGGGTTGTATACGAATTGGAAGAAAGAAGACTTGAACCATCTGCGAATCAAGGGATGTTAGTGGCAAAGGTAAGGGTGGGTCGGTGAGGGTCTAGAGTGCTCAACGAACCTTAGCAATGCGCGGATCACACAATCCTGGTATCCCCATTCCGGCTTTCCCTTGGTGCTGGCGGCTTGGGCATGCATGATCTGGCTTTCCTCCTCGGCCTCTGAATACAGGCGATCGAGTGGAATGATGCAGAGAGCTTCATCGAGAAGACCAGGGTTCTCGTATTTGGTGGGAGTGACGGAGAGACCCTTCAAGAGATTGAAGAATTTCAATGAGGCGGCATCGTGGGGTGGTGAGGGCATGATGGGAAGACCCTTGAGCGCATTCGATTTCGGAGTGGGCGGTGCTTGAGACGGGTGCGGCGAAGCGCCGAAGGGTGGTGGCGGGGGAGCACGAGAGGGCGGTGGAATGGAAGGGCTGGCCACGGGCGCTGGCGATCGAGAAACGGATCGAGATTCTTGTAGCTGGTTAAATCGTTTTGTGCGCATCAACTGTTCAAACTCGCGGCTGAGAGCAGTAGCATCGTAGTTGTTCGAGGCAGGCTGGGACGCCGCCCGTTGCTGTCTGCCGTCCGCCATGGTGTATCGGTATTGTGGAAGAAGTCACCGGCGGCAGACTAGTCGGGAAATCTTCTACTCCAGGTTGGGTAGAAGGAGGAGACAAAAGGACCCTAGGGGAGGGTTTATGGAGAATTAAGGAAGAAGAAGAGTATAAAGGTAAAAAGGGAGTGATGAGAATATGTGAGTTACGAGGGATACGGTGGTATTACGAGCGTCGTCAGCGTCTCGCCCCAATCATGGGCCCCGCGCCCAAGCCGCGTGTGCGAAACGGAAAGAAGCCAAGAAAAAGACCCTTTTTCCCGTAATTTTCCCTTGCACACGTACTCTCTCTCGACTTGGCAACTTGCGACGCACGGGGTTTTTCGAATGACCTTCGTCTTACGCACTTGATTTTCTGATCCCCATATTTTTTTTTTTAGAATATTCGTAATTCTTAAATCTATGGAGTCAAGATATGCTTGTTTTTCTTGGGAATTACGGGCTTTGTTTTCCCATACCATACCTTATTGAGCCTGAAGCTAAGACTACTGAGGATGTCGTCAATGAGTGAGGTGGCTTGGATGAAGATCTCGCAAGATCGTCCCGTGTCTCGACTTGTTCATCAACCCTCGGTGGACTACGCGTTCAAAGCCTCTCCAATTTCCTTTTTGCCAGGGCTCGACGGGGGCAGTAACAGCTGGTGGCGGAGACGCGCAAGCATCCGTCTTGGCATTTAGTACGATCGGGCTAGAGCCTCGTCGATGATCCACCGCGCCAAACTGCAATAGGCAATTAACTTACTTAGTCATCGCACGACTTGATCCAATCTGGACATGCTGACAACGTCGTGGACAAAGTGGGTTCTGGGACCCAGGGGGCTTGGCATCGTCGCACTCCAGAATACTCTGGTATGGCCCAATGTTCCTGTCGATCGAGATGCAACCTTCCTATACACAAACTTCTGCGTAGGTTCTAGAGACCTCTCAACCTTGCACAATTAGCTTTGCCTGCCCTGTTTTGTTTCAATGCGTTCAATCCAGTTTGGCCTATCAAACCCACTTTTCTTGCTTTTCAATTGCCAATAGAGATAGAAATCCTCCGGTCAACTGGACCCTGAGAGGGTCACAATCGGACAGGGTCGACCCATCCGGTATCTCGCACGATTCGCAAGCCTGCGCTTCGTTCCGACAATCAATATCCACCGACACGTTTCTCTGGTCGGAGTCCTCGATTACTCATCCATTTTTAGATTTTTCTCTTCAGGCAGAACCTTAACAGTATACGGGGAATATTGGAGTATTGGAGTCTATGGAATTGCCCCTTTCTGCATGTCTCGTTTGTTTGGATCATTCTCTCCCGTGAATTCTAATTTTTATCTAAATTTATCATTAATATGCCTGATCTTCATGAGTCAGTCCAAAAGCCGACCGGCGTTTCAAGTGTTCCATGCTTAACCCCATAGCCTCATAGCCACCCCAGCTCTGAGCCCCATCCTCCCGTTTCTGTCCTAGACACCCGTACACAGACCTTGTTCATTTCTATGATATATAATGAGAGCCAGTGTTCCGTTCGTTTCACAGTAATTCTGATTGCATCTTGGAAACCTAGGCGTGCACCCTAGTCATGATGGCGTCAGGCACGGCTCAGCTTACGCATAACACCACACAGCACTCGCATACCATGTACGCAGTACATTTACCACGTACTCTATACGCGACAAAAGCCCCCATATCACATCGATTTACGCGAGGACAATTTGCCTACGTATGGTTTTCTGGGCGAAACCTTGGAATCCACGAAAGTATGCAAGGAACTCCCTTAATCATAGCCTTGACGGGCGTATGGGGAAAGCTAAGCAAGCCTTTTTCTTGGCGGGAAAAGTCAACTCCGTCCGAATTTGGGTTCATCTTGCCGACGAGCCAATTCGATCTCTCCCCACGCCAAGAGCCAAGACGCTGTCATTACAACAACAACGCATGGACCAAATGCAATGCAGCTAGGAGACTGCTTATCTTTCTGTGACGTATAACCTCTGGATCTTCACTTTTCCAAGCCTTTTTAAAGACCTCGACTCCGCTGACTGACGACCGGATTGCCTTGATGTGCGCTTGGCATGGGATTCCGCGGATACCGTGACTAATTTAATGGTGCTCCAAGCTCTGTTTTCACCGCATTGCGACGCTTGCTCGACGTGCTCCTCCACCATCTTTGATCTTCATGTCATCAGCCCAGCATAAGACACGCAACACAGCGGAGATGATGGAGATGATGGGCAAAGAAAACCGTCGGACTTTCTCCGACCCTAAGATCATCCTCTGACATCTACGTACCTATCGTCGTCGCTCACTTGTCGAACTAACACATCAAACTGCATGACGCTCATTTCACTAGTTTAAAGCCATGACCGAGAAAGATTTTATTCAACGCATTTTTTTTGTCGAGTCATGAGGCCCACTAGCATTGGCACTACCGCGCGTTAGCTTTGCGCTTCCGCGTCACCCACCGGCCCTGCCCGTCGACTTACGTGCGCTCTGTAACTGACTAACCTTTTTCTGTGCAAGCGGACTGGGTCTGTCTTGACTGCATTTATTATCATGTTTCCTATTCAGGAAAAGATCGACTCTTTTCTTTTCTTTTTCCAAAGCCTCCTTCCTCTAGATCCATGATATATCACAGCGGGTCTTTTCTCAGATATGATGTCCGAATCAGGGGTGAAATGCCGACTAGTATTATATTAATTGCGCTGGAGCTTGACGAAGTCGCCGCCATTATTGGTGGATTGTTTATTTCGGCATTCGGCATGGAGCTGGGTGGACGAACGCCTCAGCTCCTGATCTACGTACCTGAGTCTTGTCCACAGAAAACTCAGTCATGGTCTGTAAGGCTTAGGTCTCTCCTTTGCGTCGAGGCCTTTCGGATTCACGCCGGAAGTTGTCCATATAGCCTTACGAGCTTTCTTCGAAGGATGTTCTCTAAATAGAAACTGGATCTTTTCCCCACTTATTAACGGTCTTTTTTTTTAATCTCCGGCAAGAACTCTTGGCCCGAAACCATTTTTCATGAACTCCCGAGGTCGGATTTCCGATCGATTGAATTGCACGGAGTAATATAAATCCTAACCTTCTGGCCTTTTAAGTCCGATCGTAGTTAGCTCTTCCGAGATATATATACATTAGCTTACGCCTGATAAAAACGGTTATCACCAACGCTAGATTAGCGCTTTCTATTAGCACTCAGGAACATGTGAAGCCAAATAATCTTCAATACTAGGAGGCAGTAAAGATTGAAACGAAGATCTCTTGGAGGAGAGTTCGTTATATCTCGTTATATGAACGCCAGATGAAGCCCTAGTGTCACATAGGCTTGGCTGGCGTCATTGGGCCGTCTTGCTATGACAAGGGTATGGTTGGTGATGATCATCAGGGGGATTTATCCGAGCTGCTTGTGCCTGAAAGCCTACCCGGGGCCCCATGAGACCCCATGCAAGACATGCAGAGAGAATAGGACTGAGCTGTAGGCTTCCTCATCAAGTTTTCGGTGGAACTGTGAGATGAAACGCTCCCCTCTTCAACGCCAACAACCTTGGAACAAACCCGATCCAACCCGAGCATCATCAACGTAAATCTTGAATTTCACATTCACCTCGGGATAACTCCGGACTACAGCAGTCCGGACTGCGTGCGACCGTTCAAGGGTATAGCTGAATGAGGTATATGCATCCTGGGGCGTGAATGTCGGGCACCCAGAAGACCAAAGCGGAGAGGGAACTATACAAGCCTCGACCCGATATATATGCGGCCGTCACTTGCCAAGTTGAAATAAATCCCTCACCTGACATTCCAACCTCATCTTCCTTTCCTTCCACTCCATTCCATACTCATAATGCATAATGCGCATCAACAATAACCTTGGCTTTTCCATCTTATCATACCTTTCAAGATGACGGTTTTCATCGCATCCCTGTAAGTCTCCGCATTTCGGGACCCCGCATTCCATGGATCTGGGAACTCAACGATCGTGACTTTCAGGTTTCTCCCTTACACCATTGACTTCAAGTCAACGGGTTTGAAGAGTGCAAAGTCACTTCGTCGCAAGTCTTCACCAAGCTATGCGGCTGTCGATGGGTCGGGCGCCACACCCATCATTGGTCGCCTGGCGGATACCCACAAGCTTCGACAAAGGTCCGCGAGTTTGGAACTTACCCCTGGAGCAACCACAGAAGATGAGAAGATATTCAAAGCATATGTATCGCATTCAGCAGGAGAAATTCCCTTAGCGGATGATCCCAATGGTCCTGGTCCCAATGAGCCTCGGGCCGTCCCATGGGGCCAGAGCCGCAAGTTCAATCAACCTCGCTCGAAGGCGGTCATTCATCCAGAGCCGTCCATCCTAAGCCGCCCGGCCTCGCGACAGGAATCAAAGGAATCGGCCTTTCTGAATGGTGGGGGCATCCTTCCCCCAGTCCCCACAGAAATAGGCAGCCCCCGGGCACTACTCTCTGCCGAGGACTGGGTCGTTAAAGCAGCAGAGCAAGGAAACGGAGGTCTACATAATGCGATCAATGCGGCGGCAAGCGCAGGCTTCCTCGAAAACAAGATGTGGGTGGGAACACCAGGCATGCCTACAGATTCGCTGACAGATATGACGCGACATCTTATCGACGAGACTTTCCAGACTGAGTACGAATCCCTGACTGTATTCGTAGCCGACAGCGAATTTGAAGGCCACTATACCCATTTCTGCCGCTCTGTGCTTTGGCCTGCTCTTCACTATCAGATGCAAGAGAGTCCGCGTCATACCGAGTATGATGACTACTCTTGGAAACAGTACCTCAAGGTGAATGAGGCATTTGCCAACACCATTGCGAACAACTGGCGTCCTGGGGACACTATCTGGGTGCATGATTATCACCTGCTTGCGCTCCCAGCACTTCTGAGGAAGAAGCTGCCTCGGGCTAGAATCGGGTTCTTCCTGCACTCGGCGTTCCCTTCGTCGGAGGTTTTTCGCTGTTTGAATTCACGCGATGCGTTGCTGGATGGGCTCCTCGGAGCGGATTTGATTGGATTCCAAACGGAAGAATATTGTTATCATTTTATTCATTCCTGCAGTCGGCTTCGGCAATTGCAGGTTTCTGTTGATGGCGTACAAGTCAACCACCGATTTGTGCGTGTCAAGAATTATCCTTTGGGGATTGATTATCAGTCACTCAATGCACTGCGTCAGTCTGTTGAGGTGAAAAGCTGGATCTCGAACATCGACGATAAATACCGAGGGAAGCACTTGATCGTCGCTCGCGATCGGCTTGATGCACCTGGAGGTATCAAGCAGAAGCTCCTGGCCTATGAGCTCTTTCTGGAAAGCTATCCCATGTGGAGAGAGAATGTAAGCCAATCCCGATATCATGATGGGTGTCATCCTTGATGAAGATTTCTAACTTCCCGTCCGGTACAGGTGGTCCTTGTGCAAGTGGCGTCTTCAGCATCGGAGATTCCAGAGCTGGAAGCCCAGGTCTCTAAAATTGCCATGAGGATCAATTCAGTCTACTCCACTCTCACTCATTCTCCCCTTGTTCTTCTCAAACAAGACATCAGTTATTCTCAGTTCCTCGCATTGATGAGCGTGGCAGAGATATACATGGCCACCAATCTTCGTGAAGGAATGAACCTCACAAGTCATGACTTCGTCCACTGTCAAGATGGGCAGCTTGTTTCCCAGAAGCACGGCTCTCTTATATTGAGCGAGTTCACGGGCAGTGCATCCATATTCCACGGCCATCCACTCCTTGTCAATCCATGGGACTACAAAAAATGCGCCGACGCGATGAATGTAGCATTGGAAATGTCACCAGAGCAAAGAAAGCAAAACTGGGAGTTCCTCCTAGACCGCAAAGCCCCCCACACAGCACTCGCCTGGTTCTCCTCCATCCAAAGCGCACTCACCGAAGCCCACAGCCAGCAACAGTCGCGTGAAACACACGCAGTCACCCCCCTTCGCCTAGACACCCTCAAAGAATCCTACCACGCCGCCCAGAAACGCATTTTCTTCCTCGAAGACGGCGCGACCTTCATCCCCGACAAGACTCACCCATCCACAGAAGCAACTGACCTCATTCAAGCCTTAGTCCTCGACCCCAAGAACACTGTCTATCTAACCAGCAAGAACAGCCCCGATCAACTCGATAAAACAGCCCGCACTCTCTCCCCACGCATCGGGCTTATCGCCGAAAATGGCTGCTTCGCTAAATCCAGCCCCAATCCAGACGAAGAAAAAGTAAAAGACGCCTGGGAGGCCCTCGTCGACGTCACAGGCACAAGTGACTGGCGCGCCGGCATTCGCAAGGTAATCGAGTATTTCCAAGAACGTACAGAAGGCAGCACAATCGAGGAGCGCCGCTGTTCACTAACATTCGACTACACCCACGCGCTTGATAGCGATCTTGCCGCGCACCAAGCCTCCGAGCTAGCGGATCAGATCAACGGCGCACGCGGTAGCGAGGCTATCCGCGTTGTCCGTGATACTAGCGCTGTGAGCGTGGAGCCACTGCATGCCTCCAAGGCTGCTGCGGCCTCAATCCTATTGGATCGCCTGCCAGCTGATGAGTCGGCTGACTTTATCTTTGTGGCGGGTGGAGCGAGAGGAGACGAGAGTTTGTTTCGGTGGGCGAATCAGTTGACTCATGTGCAGCATGTCAATGGCAATGGGCATGGGCATGAAAATGGAAATGGAAATGGATACGGTGATGGATATAAGGCTACAGCCATTGTGACTGTTACGGCTGGTACGCATGCTACTGAAGCGAGTGCCGTCCTGCCAACAGGATTGTCATTGCTGGATGTATTGCGGCTGCTGGTGTTTCCGCATCTTGTTGGTGTGGCGTCGAGATGCAGAGATCTTGGGGCGTAGGGATGACTGCTGATGCTGATTCTGATGATACTGATAGGGATGTCTGCCTGCAGGGTATCTCTCTTACTTACATGTTTCTACTGTAGTCTTCCTGTGTTGTCGTTCTTCATTCTGTCGGTCCTTTCCTGGAACTTACCCTTAGTCTATTACTGGTATATGTGTATCCCTGTGATATTGTAACAAAACAAATACAGACTTGGCTATGGGACCACCTTGAGAATAATAACTACATCGAGTGGGTCAGCAAATTGGAGTTACTCCGCCCTTACGTAGTCTCTTTCGTAGCATTTCCTTCACTTCTTCACTATGCCAAATAGATAGGGAAGGCGGGGCTGAATGCTAAGAATATACTTCCCACCTAATTTGAGTCTGACCAATCTATGGCCCCCAAGGACGCATAAGCATTACAAATAAGCCAAGTAAATCTAAGGGAATGTCAAAGACTAGGACTCTAGTAAATGGGACGCCTAAAGGGGGTCAAAGCCATTCATTCCCAGTGGCCAATTCACTGCCACGTAGAACCCACCCGAACAAATCACCACATACACATGGAGCAAATACATGTGAATCATAAATTGGAGAGAAAAAAAGAACAAAAAACCATCCTCTTTTGAAGAGCGAACATGAGTAATGGAAACTAACATAAAGCAATACAAAACCAGGGGTAAAACGCGCCGAGCCCATACGTAATGGAAAAAAAATTCAAGGCACCATATGAGAACAAATAGAAAGTCAAGTTGGTCCCTGAGTGAGCACAATGCACGGATCCTATGATAGGAATGCGAGATGCGCAATGTGTATTGGCAGCGAACGTCGAAACAAATCAACCCGAGAGGGTATATTGGGACAGAGATCCACTCTGTAGGCAAAACACCCGAGAAGCGAATGGGACATGAGGAGGCGGAAGGCAAAGATGTGGGAAAATGCAGTGCAAATGACACAAGATTGAGAACACAAACCGTAATTCAAGGTGTGGGGAACATGAATCGTTAAAACTTCGGCGGTAGCAACGTAGGTCAGTTGCTGGAAGTCTGAGATTCGAGATGACTCGTCAAATAGATGCGTCAGGGACAAAGGGATGTGCTTAGCTGCCAGTCCCTGTGTTACCGGCGTTATCTTTGGATGTTGGTGCTGAGTCGGTACTGGTTGAGATAAGAGTTGGGGCGATTCGGCGTTTCTTGGGCTGTTGGGCCGGGGCAGCTTCTGGACCCTTGCTGTCCTCTTTCTCGGACTCGCTAGCGGTTCTTATGTCTCGTTTGCCAAGAACAGTACCTGTGAGCGTATTGCTCCCACCTTGTGAGCCAGATAATGGCAGAGGTGTTTGCGGTGGAGTGGTAAGAGGGAGTGCTGAAGGCTGCGCAGAGTGTGTGGCCGTTACCGATGGAACGGATCCCAGAGTTGGTGTTGGGTTATTTACCACAGCACCGGTCTGCTGGTTTGATGATTGTGTTGCAACCGAACAAGCGGAATTGGATCTTGCAGGGCTAGCTGGGGGCGCCTGAGAGGTGCTAGGTACAGAGTTTCCACTACTGGCTTGCGGGTGGGCAGGCTTAATAGGGGATGAAGCATGGGTCGGGGTAGGTAAAGGTGTCACATGGCTTGGAGTGCTTGAGCTGCCGGAAAGGGCAGACGCAGCCAAGCCTGTGTAAATCTGGCCCAATTCCCCGGGTGCAAACGAGAGAGTAGAACAGAACCCATCAGAAGAGCCCATGAGCAATGTCAAGCCATCGTCCGACCTATATATCGTTAGCTCTTTATCAAGAGATAAAGTAGATCGAGGAAAACTTACCAGGTCAAGTCAGTGAAAGTCGCAAAATGCAGATTGCTAACCACACACAGAGGAGTTTGCTGCTGTGTGTCATAGATCAAAACAGCATCCTGAGTAGCTACAGCATAGACTATGCGGTAAGGAAGCGCAAAAACGGGGGCTGGAGACCCTTGTCCGGTATTATTGCTGTTTTCGGTTTTTTGTGATGTTTGAGACGCTGGGATGTCGCCTGCAGCCGGGTCCTTGGAAGTTTGGCCAGTATTTCCTGACACCACTGGACCCGGCAACGGAGGAAACATTGACTCTTCAGTCGAGGTATCGATAGTGAGGTGCTTGGCAGACTGAGTGCCTTGCTTCAGCGTGTAGAAAATCGGAGAGCATTTGACGGCAACAGAGGGCTTCTTGTGGCCAGGAAGGTGGGAGATTGGTGGCTTGTTGAAGCCAGCACGCGTATAGACGTAGACTGTGTTGATGACCTCGTCTGTTGTCTTGGAAGGGTCGGTGGGTGAGACATGGGAAGTCTTGTATTGACCAGCGGGCGTGAATAATAAGCTTCCATCAGGGGCGAAGGTCAGCCGTCGGAAGAACGAAGTGAAGGTTTCATTAGCATAGATGCTAGTATTTCTGACTCCGAGACCTCCAAGGCTTGGAGAAGACACTTCCAGAGGCTTCACAGCTGGCAAAGGCAGAGAAGGGGCGGGAGATGCCGAGCGCCGAATCGACGGTGATGAACCAAAGGAAGAACGTCGGCTGTGAGAAACAGGCGGGGGATCCATAGGTAAGTTGGAGGCCATTGGTGTTCCCGGCGTAGAGGGAGCCGGTGAAGCAATTGCAATTGGGTTACTTGTACTATGTTGAGGCCGGCTGATGGGCTCGGGGGCAGGGCTGCTGGATGAAATTCGTTTGGCAGGTAGATCCATCTTGAGAACTTTGCCATGGGGAGTCAATGTAAACTGGCCATCCTTTGTCTTCAAGCTGTAAATGTGAACCGATCGATCGGACGACTGAGTCGCGACAAATTCATTGAGCGGATCCCATGCGACGCCTTGAACGTAGTGTGAATGCTCTGCAATTTGTCGGACCATTTGCCCTAAAAACTCGAATGTCAGTCTTATCGCACCGAAGAAACCTCGCAACCTCAAATTTGTAGACCAACCCGTTTGCGCATTATATATGCGGGCAATGTTGTCCATGCTTCCGGTCATAATAAACACTCCGTCGGGCGACCAGGCCAAATCATAGATCTCTGCACCGGAAGAGCGGCACATGTGCTTCACTCGCCAAGTCTCCTTGTCATCTGACCGGTCTTCTCCAAGACCAGGCTGTGTTTGCAGTTCCGATGGCACCCAGAGCAAGACATTGCCGTCGTCTCCAGCAGATGCCAGCATCTCACCTGCACCAAGTCAGATTAATGTTTGACGGGTGTATTATAGGAAACTATACCTTTTGGACAAAAACGAACCACATTGACGGCTTGGGTATGTTTTATGAGTGTACTCAGATATGTAACCTTTCGTTCTTCCCCAGTAGATTCGACTCTCCAGAGCTATTACGGTGTGTCAGACAGGGTTCATTGGGGGCAGGGTAACGGAGCGTGGAAGTTCGGAGGCGTACTCGGACGTTATTATCGCTAGTAACCACTGTTAGTCGTGCAAACGGAGTGGGAAATGCATGAGTACTTACTTTCCACCAGTTGCTAGGCGACCCTTGCCATTGGGGTCAAAATGCACGGAATAAATGGGAACATTGTCGTCGTGCCATGAGATCAGTAATGCGGAGGCCTTCATGGTGGGCAATACAGCTCATCAGCTGTTCCTAAAAGCCACCAGTCCTAGAAAAGGGTGTGCTGGGTAGATTCCACAGTGGTTTTTTGGAGAAAACCAAGCCAGTTCAACGAGGTCTCTCCGTCTCGGCCGGTGGATGGAGAAGGATAGTGGCTTGTGTAGCTTGAAGCGGAGGTGGTCGGGAAGAGTAAGAGGAGAGAAAATTAAGATTAGGAAAGTAGAGGTTTCAGTGGGAGAAGAGAGTACAGAGAAGGGGGTGGAAGGAAATTAGAAGGTGATGAAGGGGAGTTTCGATGATGCTTCGAGTTGTTTGCGCGGGAACGCGACCGACGAGGCCGATTAGATATGGGCCACTCAAAGGGCACGGATTGCAATGCAGACTTCTTGACATAAATCCCCTCCACCATTCAGCTGTTCTTTCCTATACTCGAAAATAAGCCTGAGCACTTGGACTTGGAGTTATTTCAATTTACAAGGCCACAAATTTGGACCTCGGTATGACTAATTACTATACATGGCAGATATATAACTAATCAACTTGACAATTCATAAACGCCTCCACTTCTCCAATAACCTTGGAATGCAGAAGAAAAGAGTAGACTAGAAATACAGAAATCATTTCTTTTAAGAGATGACTATGAGACCCACTTTCCAATTGTTTCGCCAAACCAGCTGATGGCCTTTTCCTGTCTCTTCGACTTGGCGTCTGATTGTGTCTTCATATATGGACTGGCCTCTTCAGCGTACCGCTTTGTCTGCTCAAGATGAGCATTATAGGCTCGAATCTCCAGCTCCCGCTCATGCGGTGTGAGCTTTTGCAGAGGTTTGGATGGCTTAAAGCCGGCTGGGATAGACTCGCCTCCGGGGATCTCGATGACCGCCTGGGTCTTGTTGTCTGTTGTTGATGAGCTGTTTGTGGCCTCAGGATGAAAGAGGGACTGAATTGGTGGCGGCTCAGTGCCAGCGGCCTTGGCTTCCTCCACTCGCTTCTCGTAGTCCAGCATCTGGTGGTAGAGCTTGTCGGCATGCATCTGAATCCGTTCCTCTTTCTCGGCGTCATACTCGAACGAGGCTGCGTAGCCCAAAGCCTGGAGGAATTTCTAGCCAGGTATCAGTATCTTACAATTGAAGGAGCATCGCACTTAAAAGGACTCACACTCTGAGTTGTAAAGCATCGCGAGAAGACGCCATTCTGCTCCGCACACATAGTCAATCGCGATTCGAGCTGCTTGCGCCAGTTTCCAGTCTGGAAGCATAAAGTAAGAGCTTCATGCTCCATGGCACAGTTCTCCATCGCTGCCCGCTGCACTGTATCGCCGCGCTCCTTGAACTTCTCAATCACTCGTGCCGCTCCGCGGACTCCATCACCTCCGTCGGCATTGACTGGGGGCTTGTATGTCTTCCACAGATCCGCATACCGCCCATCTTGGTAAAGTGACTGTGCAGGAACGGCTGGCTTCGAGGATTCGACAGACTCGGGGGTGGGTGACGGGGAAGTAGGTTGCTGTACGTCCGGCGCAGGAACATATTGGTCCGGCCGCTCTTGTTCGAGATATTCCCGGAGGCCCGGGTCGAGCTTCTTCACGGGATCATTTTTGCTCTCTCCAGAGAACCAACCCATTGGGAATTTTATTTGCGGAAATATTGGGGAAGGTGGTAGAAAGGTGTTTCCTTAAAGCGTTGCGGAGAAATCGGGATAAAATTGGATCAGCTCTGATACCGATAGACTCCCGACCGCCGCGGTCTTTAACTCTTCCACTAACAACACGACGCGTCTACCTCGACGCCGTTCCTCCACCATGGAATCCAGTATGTCCAAAATGCTTTGGATGAGTCGCAAGCATGATAGCTAACGTTATATAGCGCGAGAGGAGCGGTTGCAAATGCGACAGCGTGGAGCTGGGTACGCGCTCTACCCCGCGAAACAATAACACAGGATGCTTGAGCTGACCAGGAGTTTAGTACGCGCCAAATTAAAGCAGTTGATTTCGGATTCTCCTTTGGAGCTCCAGCGCCTGGTCCATCAGGCTCTGCTCCCATCTCATTATTCCCCGAACCCGAGAAATCGCAAATACAGCCCGTGCCCGCGCCGAGTGCGACACCACCGTCGCTGAAGGTCTCTTCGCAACCTGAACCACAGAAGATAAGCCAGTCACAGCGCACACCAGGAAGTGCGCGCAATCATCTTCCTCGGCGGCCCTCGACATATGACATACCTTCCGACGAAAGGCACGAAGTACCACGAAGCAACAAAAGGAGAAGACTAAGTGAGTGTTTGGATACTAGGGCTGGCGATTTCTTCCGCTGATGATATTGAAGATTCCCCCGAACCGACAGATACCCCTTCGAAGCAGAGCGCCCCGGAACCTGCTAACAACGTCCCAGAGCCAGCTCAGAATGGCGGGTCAGTGGTCACAGAAGCGCAAGCAAGCCGCGAAGCCGATACCTCCGTATCGGACGTGCGAGAGACCCAATTTGATGCGCTCGAGCCCCCGAGCTTGCCAGAAGAACCTGTGAACAATGAAGTCGAGGCAGATGATGGTGCAAGGACAACTAACCCCGACTCCACGGCACAGGCCGTTTCTGAAGAGCAAACCCAAAGCACAACCCAAATCCCCACGCCAGACGTTACAACAGAGACTATTGATCAGACACGTCCTCGAAAATCTCGATCACCCAAGGATCCCCTACACGAGACGCCACCTATTGTCGATCCCATAGATCTATCGAGCAAGAGACAACGAAATAGCAGATCACCATCACAAGCTGAAGAGTCCCCTGCGGAAGAAAGGGGAGAACAGCAGACGACTGAAAAACCAAACCTCTCGCCATCCTCTCAGGGACCTCGTAAACCAAAGACAAGGATCCCGCGAGCCAGATCTACCACTACTGATGCCTCGGACGCCAATCAATCAGACCGAGGTCACACAGAAACCTCACCGAATAACGTTGATGCGACTGAGATTGCAACCAGAACTGCAACTGTAGCTCAAAACCTGTCCGACACTACAAAGAAGACTCAAGGGCGGAAAGGTCGCACTGAGAATGGCGAGCGCGCACCGGCTCAAACTGTGAACGAGACAGCCCTGGAAGCTGAAATAGAGCCTCAACCCAAGGTTGCTCAGAACAAGCCCCCCTCCAAAGATAAACGTCCCCGTGGTCGACCATCACTTTCAGGAAAGAAGCTTGACAAAGAGACACAAAATGAACAAGGGCTCAAACGGCGCCTAGAGGCTGGAACAGACACAGAACCTGGGCCATCAAAACCACGTCGTGGCCGGCCCTCGCTTTCTGGAAAACAGGTTGATAAAAAAGCACAAGCCGGTCCTGAAACAGAACCCGGGACAGAGTCTGGTTCTTCAAAACCTCGTCGCGGACGGCCTGCAAAGAATAAATCGGCTACAGAGCCAGAGTCTGCAGTCTTAGAGAACCAAACGAACCCCGAGACTGAGCCTCAACCAGAGCCAGACCAAGAAGATGAACCCGAAATATCGAAACCACGCCGTGGACGACCTGCGAAAAATAAGCCGGCGACAGAGCCAGAGCCTGCAGTCTTAGAGGACCAAACGAACCCCGAGACTGAGCCTCAACCAGAGCCAGAACAGGAGGCTGTACTTGAATCAAAGTCCCGCCGGGGAAGACCAAGGAAGAAGAGCAAATTGGCAGCAGAGCCGGAATCTACAGCTCCAGAAGAACAACCGAATATCGAGAGTGAACCTAGATCTGAGCCGGAACAGGAGGACGAGCCTTTACCGTCTCAGGCCCGTCGGGGAAGGACCAAGAAGAACAGAGCGGTATCGGAACCCGAATCTACAACTAGGAAAGGGGAAGCTGATACCGAGACCGTTGAAGAACGTCGAAAACCAAGAGAACCTCGTGGCGAAACGGTTCCTGTTACTGTGCATCGTCTGTTTAATCCTTCGGCTCTTGGTGCAATGTACGCATCAGCTGGTTCTGGCGAGGAGGACGAAGAATCTGCCGATGAGCTCTCCACTCGCCAAAAGACCAAGCTTCCTAACCGCGGCGGTGTTAACCCTGCAGATGTTTTGAGCCAAATCTGTCGCGAAACCCTGGAGAAGACGCTCACAGCTCTCAAGAACGGAATCGCGAACGAAACAAACACCCAACGGCGAGCGGAGTGGACACGCAAACGAAGGGCTGTCGAAGCCTTTGGCTCTGAGCTTGATGGACGCCTGCTGGACCTGAGCGAGATGCTTGATAGCAATTTCGTGCTTGGGGTGCAGCTCAGGAAGACCAAGCGCGAAATGATGGATTTGCGGAACCATCTATACAAGGTGCGGCGGGAACGAGAGAGCATTGCTCTCCAGATGGATGCAGTGCGTAGCAAGCACATGGAAGAGGAAAATATGAAAACCGTAAGTCTTTTTCTCTATTTACGAGACCTACAAGTTGGATCATCACTAACACGCACAGTCTCGCACTACCATCAACAATTCCCTACACAGTCTTGAACTTGCGCTAGATCGCAGCCAACAGCAGGCCTCTTCAACTACAGATCCTTCCCCGGCAGACCTAGAGTTCATGCTCCGCACCGTGGCCGAAGATGTGAGCAGTCGAGCACCAGGTGCCCAGGGTGGATTGCTCAATCAGATCCGCTCATTCAATGATCAACTGGAAACTACCGCTCGCCTTTTAGAACGGTAGTGAAGTTTGACGAAATGATTAGTAATTTTGGAGTAAATCGGGGCAATATTTGACCGTTTGTGATACCAACGCATTGTACCATGGCCGGCCCAGGAACATGACGTTATTGTGCAAAATAGTGTATAGGGTTTAGTCTCTATCTCGGGGTGAGGATTCTGTGATCTGCATGACCAATCCAGAAATTCTAATTACCCCTGTGATACCAGAACATTTAAAGAATTAATAAATTAAAGATTTAGTCCCCGCGTGGCAAGAAAACCTGGAAATCCACTTTGGAACCATGAGAATTGGAGACCATGTTTGTCAGCCATTATCCACTTAACTTAACTATTCAATTCTTCGTACCCACATTTCTTCAGCAATAGCAAATCAGGGCTAAGCCGGTGTGAATAAATTATCCGTTTACCCATGTTTGCTTGGAAATCAATACATTGGTGGGACTATCTGGCCGCTATAAAGACATGATTGCCACCCTTGTACAGAACTTCGCACGCAAATCTGTATAGAACAGATTCAAAACCAATTAATTGCTTGCGATACTTCCCAATCCTGGTATCTCAAAACCTCAACCAAAATGACGAAGCTTTTCGAACCCCTCCAAGTTGGCCGAATGGAACTCTCCAATCGTGTCACCCTAGCGCCTCTAACCCGCTTCCGTGCCGACGACAGCCACGTCCCCCTTCCGTTCGTCAAAGAATACTACGCCCAACGAGCCTCAGTCCCAGGCACCCTGCTCATTAGCGAAGGAACATTAATCACAGCCCGCGGAGGCAGCTACCCCAATGTTCCCGGCATCTGGAATGAAGCTCAAATCGCCGGATGGAAGGAAATCACCGACGCCGTACACGCAAAGGGCTCCTATATCTACGTCCAATTATGGGCCCTAGGACGCGTCGCAGCACGAGATGCCGCAGCCGAAGGCGACTGGGTCCCGGTCTCCAGCAGCGAGGTTCCCGCTGCAGCTGACAGCCCGGTGCCACACGCACTTACGGAATCCGAGATCCAAGAATGGATCCAGGATTACGCGCAGGCAGCGAAGAATGCCATTGCGGCCGGGTTTGACGGTGTGGAGATCCACGGTGCGAATGGATACCTGATTGATCAGTTTAATCAGGATACTTGCAACAAGCGCACGGATAAGTGGGGTGGTAGCGTCGAGAATCGCGCTCGTTTCGCCATTGAGACTACCAAGGCTGTTGTTGAGGCTGTTGGTGCTGACCGGACTGCCATTCGCTTTAGCCCTTTCAGTCCTTTCCAGGCTATGAAGATGGATGACCCGCTGCCGCAATTTACGTATCTGGCACAGCAGATGAAGCAGTTCAAGCTTGCTTATGTTCATGTTGTTGAGCCTCGTATTTCTGGCAATACGGAAGTTGAGGCCAGTGAGGCGAGCGAGAGTTTGGACTTCTTTTTCAAGGCTTATGAGAAAGCTGGTCCCATTATGGTGGCGGGTGGTTACAAGCCTGATTCGGCGCGGGAGGCTGTTGATCGCTTATACAAGGACTATGATGTTTTGATCGCATTCGGTCGTCCTTACATCGCCAATCCTGATTTGCCCTTCCGGGTGAAGAGTAACATTCCACTTACGCCTTATGATCGGGATATGTTCTACCGCCCCAAGGACCCGGTCGGTTACATCGACTATGAGTTCAGTGCCGAGTTCAAGGCTACTCAAGTTGCGGCTTGATTGGAGATTTATGGTCATGGCATTGTTGTTTAGCGATAGAAGGATGTTTATTCCGATTACATTATAAATAAATAGATATAGATTCCAAAGTTCTATTACCAGTTACCATCGAGCACATCTAAATACAACATAAAGTAGTGCTTAAGGCCTCCCAGAGAGTATTCACCACAGTAGAAATCAGGGCAGTAATAGATTCCTTCCATCCTGGGCGCTAAAGTAGATCAGCCAAGGCCAATACTCACTCTGCATTACATGTATGCAATTCACAATCAATATTTATACTGCAGACGCGGTTAGCACAGCCCAATCCCCAAGCGCAGAAAACTTACGCGGAATTGTCTGTTATTCCGGTCCGTCATATCCAAGAATCCCGAATCCTCCTGGCGAACCTCCTCCTCATTTCGTTGATCCCTCCGACGATTTTCCCAAATATAGTAGTACCGCAGCAGAAGAGAAGCGACAATTGCCACCGCAATGGTCGCCACAATGCTAATCTTCGCAGGGATATAGTTCGGCGCATCCTCCGTTCGGAAGGTCAGTGGACCGAGAATATTACCCAAACAGAAAGACATAAGCAGGATAGCATTCATAGACACTTTCTTCGTATGACCCGCGACATTGGCGCCGACAAGCGAGTACATCAATGGCAAAGCAGAGCCCACCACCTGAATCAAGTAGCTTCCCGCCAGTTGGGCAGCTTTCATATCCGTGGGCGAAAAGGCAAGAAGGCAGCTACCCAGGAGACTACAAAGTAGTGCAGCGGTGATGCAGAGACAACGCTGGTCGTATCGGGAGGCTGTCTGTGTTGCAAGCAGGATAGCGACGATGCTGACGGCTCCGTTTGGGATATTCAGGAGCTCGGTCTGCTTGGTTGTGAAGCCAATGTTCTTAATGATCAACGAGGTGAAGCTGCTGATTGCGGCATTGGGTACATCCATTGCCGTTACGATAACGACGATGAGATAAGTTTGTGGGTCTCTGAATACCTCGACAAATTGAGACCGTTTGAAGTGTTTATTCTCGATGCCGGTTTGGTTCTCGCGTAGACGTTCGATGGCTATGATCTTCTCTTCGTGTGTGAGGCGAGATGTCATGGGGTTATCAGGAAGGAAGATGAAGATGCTGATCCCAACAGCGATAGTGATAAGACCGAAAATGAGGAACATGATCTGCCATGATTTGAATTTGTCATCGGTATAGAAGAGGAGGCCGTATGCCACTAGGGCCCCCATCATGGAGGCAGTTCCAGTGCCGAGGTACCATATCCCGAAGCGTTTGGGTTGCTCTGGTATTTATTAAAGGGGATTCAAGTGATGGGTGGGTGGAATAGACGTACCATTTCGCTTGTACCACATAGAGGTGATTAGGATGAGACTGACAGATGTTAGATGGGAATTGGTGTAGTGAGATGGTAGATAGTCTTACGCTGGAGCAATTGCACTCTCAAAGCAGCCCAACAGGACTCGCAAGGTCATCAAACCGCCAAAGTTCTTTGCAGTGCAGTTCAAAGTTGTCATGAGACCCCATATCGCCACTGAGATTTTGTCAGCACAATCTTTCGCTTCCTTCCAATACAATTGCATACCATTGAAACCCAGATACTTCGCTGTGGGCAACCGTTGCATTAAAAAGCCCGTGGGAAGCTCAAAGACCAAGTAAGTGCAGTAAAAGGCTAGCGTTAGATTGGAGTACTGATTCGTCTTCATGTTGGTGTCGCTCAATAGACCCATCACGGAGGCATAGTTAACTATCCCTATGTTATCATCTTCACCCTCACAACCTCGGTTTCATTACTTACTGAGCACCTTATCCAGATACTGCAAATTATACGCAGCCCACATCAAAGGGATGATCATCCAGTCAATCTTTCGCACGAGTAACTTCTCATCAACATTGACAGACACTCCATTGTCTTCTTTGTGAAGGAATTCCAACGCCGCATCAGCCTTTCCCGCCGCTAATGCATTCTTAGACTCCACATCAACCGACGCGGTCGCGACAGGGATATCCTCAGGGTGTCCCATTGTGAACTGAAGTGATTATACTGCAATCAAACTTGAAAAGCGAAAGATAATTCTTTTATAAGAGCTCGACTCCGACTAGAAAGCACAAGTGGGGAAAAAGTCGACAAAACCCCTCTCTCTCCTCATGGTTATCAGAACCAGTCGTTACACCCATCTTGCATGCTGCCTGCAGCTGAACTAGCCACATGAATGTCTAAAGCTATCAAAACAAGTATTGTGCTCTGCAGATACTCAAGAGCTACTAAAAGGAGTGCCGCTTGTTTAGGAAGGTCCCATTGTCGTAGCGTGCGGAGACGCGGGCTATTCCGCAATCCAAGTCTGAGCACTCTTATCTTGACCAAATGATAGGTACTTCATGCGATCGGCAGACTTCAATCAGCCACTATCAATTAGCCTAAACTTTGGACTACAAAACGTTGGAAAATCGAGCGGAGCCTTTGAAAGAGACACCACGTGAGCTGATAAGGTCTGTTGCTGTTGTTGCCCGCATAATCAGGCCTGAATCTTTGCCTCGCTGTTTAGCTTAGTTTGAGTTAGTAGGCCTTCAATAACTCCATATAGAGTCTTCTAAATATACATATATGAAATGTGGAGGTTACCGAGCCCCAATTACGCTCGGGTCCCACTCCGGAGGTGCCCACCCGCCCACTCGACCGACCACAGTATTAATTTGGGAGGTCCGACTATATGAATGCTTCCTCTCTCGTTGCATTCCGCAGAACAACCCATTTTCAGCCGAATAACAACAGCCAGTCGCAATGGTTTTTGAACTTTACATCCCTAAGAACCTTGAGTTCTGCGATTACATCGAGATTGTCCAATCAGCACGCACATTTGCAGACGGCTATGATCGTAAAGTATGCCAAATCCTGCCTCTTGCTCCAACATCTTATATTGACAGTCAATAGGATGCCGAACGCTTGCGCGCTGTGCTAGCCGCGACCATTGAGGTAGATTATCGTCTCGTCTCCACAACCATACCTATGAAGGTTTGTGGGCCCGAGGAACTTATTGCCGAATTCCTCTCACCCGAATTGCTCGGCAACAAGAACCTTTTGACACAGCACCTACTGGGCCAGCCTTACTTCAAGTCTGTCTCAAAAGACGAGATTGTGGTCGAGTGGCAACAGATTGCTGGTCATGGCCGATGGATGGAGGGTTCTCATACGCTCAAGAAACAAGTCGATAAGACAAGTGATGGAAAGTCTTATATGGAGCAACGTTACATTAAGGTAGACGGGTGTTGGAAATTGGCTGGGCTCAAGCCTTCTTTGTTATATGAGATCGGGGAGTTTAATGAGGTTGTGGCTGAGAGGTCTACATAGATGAAACTAAATGTGCTTTTATATTGATGTGTGCACATACGAATGAAAGTTATAACTACAGGACTTGATTATATAATAAGAAACCGAATCTTATCTAAACTCTTAATGAAAGGTCGATAGAAGGATCGAGTTAATGACCCAATTTCACGGCTGGGGCGACAGTGCCCCGGCATTGGCCAAACCCAAACCTCACCCCATTTGTCTTGTTGACACACCATCCCTCCATTATGAGCTCATCGCCATCTTCAAAGAATACGATTCCATTCTCTTTCAAAGCAGACAGCGAAGTCCGTGGAAGCGACCGCTCGACAAGACACGCCAAGCCCGTCTTCTCCCCATTTGAGTCCGTACGCTGAACACCATCAAACAGCACGTCAGTAAGGAATCAGACCATTCGAAGAACAGACCACGTACCGCACTCGAGATGGTTCCCGTTCCGAAGATATCGCCTGTACTGAGACCCTCGCCCGCACTTGTAAGGTGAGTTGCCTGTTGATACGGGGTCCAGTACAGCTCGTTCAGGTTTGTCGATGTGACATTGTAAGTATTCCCACCCCCTATTCGTGTTAATGCATGTAACTTCAACCATGTGCCATAGATACTCACTAATTATACGGGCACTTAGATCAATATCAAAAGTTGCCTCATTCTCATTACCTTTCCATGCTAAATGCGGCAAGGGAGCTGGATCCTGGTGGACCATGACCGGACTCTGGACAGATTCAAGGGCATCCATAGTGATAATCCACGGTGAGATGGTTGTGCTAAACCCTTTACTATGGAACGGACCGAGAGGCGCCATCTCAAAGCCCTGGATATCACGCGCTGACCAGTCATTCAGAATCACAAACCCGAATATGTGATCTTTCACAGCTTGGATATCCAAAATTTGGCCAGGTTTCAGAGGGTGAGAGATGAAAACTCCCATTTCAAGCTCAAAGTCCAACTTTTTGGTAGGTGTGAATGAGAGACCACCGGCTTCATCCTTTATAACGCCATGTGGGCGAGTCAGGGTAGTGGAAACATTGAGACTGGAAGTACGTCCGTTATATACGCTTGGGATAACATGCCAATTGGGCGAACCTGGTAGACCAAAAATTTCAGAGCACTATGTTTTCGGGTTAGCTAGTTTTCTTCAGATCATGTAAACATAAGGGACTGGCTAGATAACGATACATTCTGGGCATGCTCTAGAGAACAGTAAAAGTCTGAAAAATTAGCTGTTTGCATTGGGTAGTGGTTTTGAATACGGTCTAGAGGGATGAAGAATTGATCTCTCGTGGCTTGAAGTTCGGCTAGTCGAGGTAAAGCATCACATAGGAGCTGTCGTGCTTCACGGCGACTGGTAATAGGAAGTGATGCAAAGGCATTAAGATGACTCTGTTATTCTTCATTTAGCCAAGATCCAGAAAATCCGAATACTTGGGTACCTCGGTATAATCACCTTCGAAAATATCGCTCCTTCATCAAAACCCGATATAGAGTCAAAAAAGCCATCCTTTTCCAGGGCGCTGAGGTCGACCGCATCGTTGTGAAGTGCTGTCGCACAGCGGGGAGTAGGATTTTCGCGAGTGGAAATGACCCCAAAGGGGATGTTTTCAATGGGGAACGGAGTCGACCGAGAAGCCATCGTATCGTCGAATGGTTTTTGCCTATCTAGACTCGGTTAGAGGAACCGTTGAATCTTTTGAATGCTCACTTACCAAGAAAGCTAATTCAGTGGCTGGAGAAAAGTTAATGGGGAAGTTAAGAAGCGGCAACCCTCCACTTATATTTGCGGGGTAACCATCCTCGTTTCCCCACGGGGTATTTATGTGGGCACCGTCTCTTGTGCCCACTCATTGCCCAGCGATTGGAAACCACATATAGTTGCCAAGATGGCTCTGAAAATATGCTACTGCGTTTGGGAGTCCAAAAGCAAAGGAAGCTGATCCTTGCATCATGTCTTTATCCAAGCTTGAGAAAGGAAGCGTTGAATTCGCCGAAGATGTTTCTTCAGACGTATCACCAGGCCACAATGATGTCCTAGTTGATTCTTCTGGGATGATCAGGCGCTTGCCTATCCCAAGCAAGGACCCAAATGACCCCTTGAACTTCTCCTTTGCAGCAAAGTTGGGAATTATCGTGAGTTGCTGCTGGTTTTGTAAGTGGCTCCCCTAGCGTGCCGAATTTTAGTTTACTGGGATTATTCTAATTATACAAATAGCTATGATGTCCTTATCCGTTACTGGTGGATTAGGATCTGTCTTGGGCGTCTTTGACGCGCTCTATGCCCCGGAGGGAGTCAGTGCGACTGAAGTCGGCTGGCTTACAACCTTTCCTTCTTTGTTCATAGGAATCGGTAAGACTCTCAAGACCTTAGTCCAGCGCAGCTTAATCGGCTAATTCATACTTGCGCAATAGGGAATTACTTCATCTTACCTCTTGGATTAGCCTTTGGAAGACGCCCAGCCACACTAATGGCCATCATAGTGCTTATAGCAGCAACGATTGGCTGTGGATTCACCCAAACATACGATCAACATCTCGCTTTGCGGATCATACAGGGCCTTGCGACTGGTGCTACGGAATCGGTGAGTCGGGGTTTCCCTTCGACTACACACAGAATTCACTAATTATAGCATGTTTTATAGCTACTACCTCTTATGTTGTCTGAAGTGACTTTCGTTCACCAGAGAGGAAAGATATTCGGGTTGTACTGGGGAACTCAGACTATTGTGAGCAGCTGCATGAACCTGGCCAGCTCTTATGAGGTTGCTGCTCTAGGCTGGCGCTGGTACTACTGGATATTCGTCATCACCATCGGTCTTGGAGGATTGGTCGCATTCTTTGGATGCTTTGAAACAGCCTATCGTCGCTCCGCACAGGTAGTCAACGGGTCGGTCGTTGTTACCGATAACTTTGGTGTCACGCGTATCTTGTCAGGCGAAGAAGCTCAAGCGTATCTCAGCTCCAATACTACTGCTGAGAACGATGGAGACAATATTCCAGATGAGCTGAGACCCAAGAAGCCATACAGAGAGATGATCAAACCATGGAGTCATACTGGAAACCCCCTTTTGGCTACTGTGCTGCAGACTTGGTTACATATGCTGCAGGCCTTGACATCTCCCGGAATCATTTACGCCACACTTCTATCATCGGCTGTCCTAGCAGCTGCACTTGGAATGTCCTTGACCTATGACACAGTCCTCCAGGATAACTATGGATGGCCCGCAGCAAATGTCGGTCTGATTAATCTTGGGGGTGTATTTGGCAGCCTCGGCGGTATGCTCTATGGAGGTATTTTCGCAGACTGGTTCATTATTAAAATGGCCAAGAGAAACAATGGAGTCCATACTCCCGAGCATCGCCTCTTACTGCTTGTTTTCCCAGGTGTGCTCTGCGTGTTCTCGCTTTTGCTTTATGGCTTTACTGCGAGCGGAAATGTCACATGGGGCGCCCCATACATGGCGTGGACACTATTCGAAGTCGCATTTGTTGCGGTACTTATTATTTCGACTGCCTTTGCTGCTGAAGCATGGGACCAGAACGCCGGCCCTGCCTTGGTGATCGTTGTTGGAACGAAGAACATTATATCTTTCGGTATAGCATATGCTCTCATCCCCATGGTTGAAAAATACAGTTATGGTGCTGGGATGGGTATGTTAGCGGGTGTTACCACCTTCATCTTCATACTGGGAATCCCGGTATATAAATTCAATCCAAAGGTAAGTGGGAATAACCATAGCTATCTCATAAAGCAAAGTCTAACAAGGTCACAGTGGCGTCGATACATGGAGAACAAGTCGAAGAATTGAATTGAACAATATCTAAGACTCACCTACCAAGGCATAGCTGCGAATGCCGATATTATAATGAATACGACATGGCATGATCTCTTAGTTGTCAATTGAACCGAGGGTTTCCCGTACTGGCTTAAAATATCAAATCATAAAAAAACTCTGGCCTCTTCGTATCTAATACCTTTAGGGATGAGCGTTCCATATATGAATTGGCACTATTATACACAGAGTCAGATGGCAATGGAAATTAGAGAGTACTCAGAGATCATAATACGTGTTCTCATATTTATGTATGTGTGTACGTGGGAAAATACGATCTTTTTGAAGAAAAAAGATTGTCAAAAATAACTATTGGCTTCCAACGACTTGATATCAGCTAGATTTAGGCCTTTGCCTCCTGAATATATGGAATCCCCGTCAGCTTGAATGCACGTTCACTTAGGATGGGCTCGTTAATCGGCTTCGAACGGTTATGGGGGCAATCCTCCTCGTCCCGCTTAGCCACCAAAGGTGCAAAATCTTTCGCATTAGGCCAGTGACTAGTCAACCTCCAAGTCTCGAAAGCATCCTTCTTTCTCTGAAGATCCTCTTGCGTAGCAAAGGACACGGGCATATAGCAAGTGTAAATGCAGAACCGAGCCTGATCACCCGTGGGACTGAGGTTATAGTGAGGAGTGCGAGAATCCCAGAGAAGCAAGTCACCTGGCCCAGCATCGACCTTGACCCACTCAAATCCGCGGTCAGCAAGCCACTTCATACCGCGCTCTGTATATCCAAACCACTCGGGGGTCCATGCTGGAATGCGTGGCTCGTCTGCCATGTCGCGGTGGAACTCATCGGACAACAAATGAGCTCCACGGCAGACGATCAAGCCACCATCGTTCGGTCCGTTGGGAAGAATGTTGACTAAGCCTTGCAGGCAGCGGAAGCCTGACTTCTCCGGGTCCTGGTCCTGATGAGGCCAAGCCTTGTTTGGGGGCATATCGGTGCGGCTGGAATTCCATCAGTGGATGTACCTGAAACCAAGAAATCGATGACTTACTTGGGTAGTGTGAAGTTGACGGCATCAAATGAAACAATGAGCTCTTGATCATCGTATACCTTCTCGAAGGCCTCTATGACCTTTGGCTCACTTCGAATCGCCCAGGCAAAATCTTCGTGGCCAACGCAGTAATGCATGCACATACCCTTCTCATTGATCACGGGAAGGGAGTCTTTGGAGACCGTTGCCGGGTCGTCGCGTTTGTATCCAAGGTTACTGGAGATTTGTTAGCCTCAATGGTGATGAAAATAAAACAAAGAATCACAGAGCAGACTGCGCGGTTGGTGAACACTTACAACCCTTCTAGCCACGAATACATGTCATTGGCATACTGTTTAGTCCTTTCCAGTGGGACAGCTCCTTTGACCACGGCATATCCATCACGTGCCAAGTCGTCTCTGAAGTCTCCATACTTGGGGTCCTGGCCATCCAGACGCAGGGCATTAGGGCCACCAAGATTGGAGGTAGTGACGCGAGTACTGGACTGCGTTGGCTCCGTCAAAGTGATTGTATTGGACATGGCAAAATTGGCGTTGAAAGTAATAATCAAAATCGTACGAAAATCTGCTTATGTGCGAATTGGCATAATAATCGGGTCGTAATCACTTATAGTCAACAAGATCGCCTCATGCCAGTCACACGGACAATGACAGCACCACGCCCACTTGCCCACTTATAGCCCCCACATCCCCAAATTTGCCCACTTTCCAACAGGTGAATCAATTAAAACACGCAAATTGCCTTCAATTGGCAGGAAATATGCGTCATAAAAGTCAAATGAACAAATAAACCCCGTGATTATATCATACCCAGGCTTTTCGATAGACCTAGATTAATAGTTGATAAGGGAAAATGCGGGGAAATAGATAATGCGGGTAATGCGGGTTAGCGTACTTGTGGGTTCCCACCCAATTCTCGACCGTACTCCTTTGTCCATAATCTACCCAATCCATTAAGTGAAAATGTCTGGCAAGGTAGCTTCTCAGAAGGTATCACAGATATCGAACCCCGGACCTTACCAATGCCCTCAATGCGACAAGGCTTATGAGCGGCATGATTACCTCGCTCGGCACATCGATTCCCATCGTAACAAGCGCAGCTTCCGATGTCCGATCTGCCAACGCGGCTTTAACCGGCGGTAGGTTATTCTTCCTTCCAACCCTTACAAAAAATGTCATCTCATGCCCAGAAGTGATGTTCTACAGAGACATCGCGCGCTACACGACGTATTGTCTCCAGATAACGAGGTGAACATCAAGCGCCGCAAGGATCGGCTTCCAGGAGCCTCTCATGAATGCAATAAAACGGTGAGCTACTTCAGCAGCATTGAAACCTTCTCGCGATCATCAAAGCGCTGATTCATTACAAGCTCAATGAACCTGACAGGCCCTCGAAGCAACAAAAGGGAGACTTACGTGAGAAAGATGTGGCCGAGGGAAACGGCCCGGTTTGCTCAGATTCGGCATATGCCTTTGATCAAGTGCGAATTCCCGAAGATGTATTCTCACAGGATTCCGAAGGGCCATTCAACCTAGCGTTCGCCCCTGAAAAGAATCACATATCCAATGTGTCGACAAACGCTGTGACACAAGTAAAGGTTTCTGACAATTACAATGAACCTGAGTCACAAGAAAACATGGATGCATTCTTCATATCCCATAACGCAGTTATGGAACTCTCTTTTGACACCAGTCCGAATGGCTGTCCTACTTTTTTGAACATGTTATGCTCCCGAATCCAAATGGAGTGGATGATGGACAAGGGATCCATCAACCACCACCCAACACGTTCGATATTCTGCCCGATATAGATTTTGAATTCTCAGATAGTGGTCTGTTTGGGGAAAGTTTTATTCCGGATCTGGAAACAATGGTTCAAAAAGACGTTCTTTTTCCTATGGATCGAATTGCCTGGGATTCGGAGGAAAGTCCCGACACTACGCGGAGACGAGTTGACGCGTTTCAACGATCGTTCTGGTAATCAGATTGGTGCATCAAATACTATCAGGTGACTGACTACTCTCCTAGGATCAATCTTCCGGATAAGACTCGAAATGGCGCGGGCGGCGACGCTGGACCAGCACTTGCAGATCGCGATCTTGACAGCTCCGTTCTTTCTCCTCACACGGCACCTATTAATTTTACCATCCATGAAAAACTTTCGTTACGAGCAAGAGATCAGATATTCAGGCTGATAGTCAAGACCGGTGACAATAGCTTTTCAATGCCTGAAATTCCCGCCGTCGAGTACCTCGATATTCTCATCAAGATCGGACTGGCAAAAAAATTAGAGACGGATCCATGGATCCATCTATATACATGCTATAGCCAAAATACTAGACCAGAACTTCTTGCAGCTTTGGTGATGGCGGGTTGCATCTGTTGCTTCGCTTCCTCAGTGAGCAAAACAGGTGTAATTCTGCAGGAAATTGTTAGAATGTCATTGCGAAATCTTGTAGGTCTCCATTGAATTACCCCTCGTGATTGCCGCTAATCTTCTGGGCATGGTAGTCTGAGTCAGATCCTCAGGTTCTTCGTGATCTTCAATACTTGCAAGCATCAATGATGTGCGTGGAAATTGGGTTCTCGTGTGGCCACAGGAGAAATATGCAGATGACAGAAGGCAGTGTGCAGGCGCTTGGCATGGTGAGTCAAACAAGATAATGCCAGCTATCAAGACAGTTATTGAAATTCCATCTAGGCTCTTCGTCGTGCCGGAGCATTTGATAGCTCATCATATCGGCTCATCTCGCCATGTGATATTCCCGACGATAATCACCACGAACTACAGACAGCGTGGCAAGAATGGATCAAACAAGAATCTCTGAAGAGGTAAGCAAGATATGACTTTTAACAACCCAGAAGCTTCTGACTGAAAGGCGCCAGGCTCGTTCACCACTTTTTCTGTCATGATATTGAATACGCGGCAGCCATGAATCAGCCACCGACCACATCCTATGCGGAACTCACGCTGCCTCTTCCAGAAAGCCGAGAGCTCTGGCTAGCACAAACACCTAAAGCGTGGAAAGATGCTTGGATGGTTCAATATCGACAGTTAAGAACAGATTTAAGTGTCAAAGATCTTCTATCAGACCCGACGCTATTGAGTGATCTTCCTGTACACCTGGACGCCGAAGTCGCCACTTCTGCATTATTGCATGGGATACTAGGCATGACGTGGGATGTTAGACAGAAGGTGTTACTCGGCCGGCACAACTCAACAAAGCTACCTGCCAGAAAACAGCTGTTGCTTCAAAGCAGACAAGATGACCTGTGAGTTGGCCGATCTTCTTTCCAATTGCTCGAGCTAACATAGGAAGTCAGATACAGCGACATTCAGCAAATCCAAGAGGTCATCGCAAAAGCCCCAGCGGTGACTGTGCTCATGTCTGAGTTTACCACCATGTATCTCCACATCGACGTCGACGCTTTACAGCGCTTCGCCGGAAAGATGGGAGAAGCTGAGACAAGGAAGATTTACCCTGACCTGCGAGAATGGAGTCTAACGCAGGAGGCCCGCGTAGCGATCTGGCACGCCGGACAGGTATTTGGTGCCGTACGCCGTGTTGGACCATACCAGCTGCGAGGATTCGACTCATTTGCCATATACTATGCCTCGTTGACACTCTGGGTGTATGGGCTGTTATCATGCGCGGAGAAGGAGTCAAGGGATTCTGTGTCCTGGAGTACAGATCCTTCGTCAACGATCCTTCTGGATGGCCCAAGTAGCCGGGCTACAGATATATTCATCTCTCAAGGCCGTGGCTCACCTGGACTGACATACTTCTCTGGGTCTGGCGTTGCTGCACAGAAAGCCATTTGCAATCTTCGCCAGCCTCGGTTGCTTATGCGTGTCGCTTTGCAGGTCCTTGACAGTAACTTCACAAATCTGTCATCGAATGACCCTATCAACAATCCTCTTCCACCTCTTGTCGCGAATCTCCGTAGTTTGCTTCATGATTTGGGAAATTTGCCTTAATTTGACGCATGGAGTTCATCTGCCTGTTAATATCAGTGGCGTGAATGATTGGGAAGTGAATGGAAAAGGTGCAGAACGTCAAGGAGAATATGTACAATAAAAATGTTGAACGAAAATAGACACGAGAGAAGATGCTCGCCACATATGCCCACGTTGTGAAAGTGGGCGTTTCAAGAAACCTCGAGATGAGCATGAATTCTCCCGACTACTTCAATTCAACTCTATTCTGAGTCTTGTAAAGGTTCGCGTTACATGAATATCGATATGTACAACAATCAAACAAATTGAACGTGTCTTTAGTTCATGCTTATCACACAGTCATTCTTGTTAATCGGCTTGACTGATAAATCATAAGCCTTTTTGGCCCCACTGCCAATGGACTAGAGGAATTCCACAGCAACAGACGTCACCTGACGGCGGGGCTGAGCTGACATGCGGGCGTTGATTTTTGTCACTAAAGGGACCTGACCCCACAGGATATTCCTGATCGCTGACTAGGTTTTTGCGGCCGAATCATGGCTTCAAAAATATCGTTCGGTAGCTCCAACTACGGGTCAGAGATAGGAATTAACTATGGCTCAGTCAAAAACGAGTTTCATCATGCATTGGGTACATTGGATCTCGAGCCAATCTCTTTCAAATGTCAATCGAGCTAACCTGTCTAAAGACCTTGAAAAGATTATACCCATCGTGCCTGGGGCCATGTTCGACTCCTATGCAGATCAACACAAAGAAAAATGCCTTCCAGGGACACGAACCGCTATCATCAACCAAATCAAAGAGTGGGCATCGGCAGAGTCGTCATCACATGGCAAATGCATATTCTGGTTAAACGGAATAGCTGGAACAGGTAAATCGACTATTTCTCGGACAATGGCGGAATTCTTCAGCCAAAACGGGTCACTGGGAGCCAGCTTCTTCTTTGAAAGAGGTGAAAGGGACCGAGGGAATGCCAGAAAGCTTTTCCCGACAATCGCAAGACAACTAGCGATTAATATTCCCCAGATGATGCCCGCCCTACAGGACATAGCCCGTGCAGATCCAGGTATCGCAGCAAAGACGATGAGAGAACAATTCAAAACACTCCTTCGTCTACCACTCCAAAAGCTCGAGCGATCCATCCTCTCTGCCCAGACCCTCTCAATTCAGACCATGGTGATAGTGATTGACGCATTAGACGAATGCGAGGGAGACGATGATATCCGACTGATACTGCAACTTCTTCCGGGACTACAAAATATAGCTGCTTTACGACTACGAGTACTTTTGACTAGTAGGCCCGATCTACCGGTCCGTCTAGGGTTTTCAAGGATTGCCAGCCACGATCATAAAGATCTCATTCTACATGATATCCCAGAGGAAGTAATTGCGCATGATATTACTTTATTCCTCAATCATCAACTTGCGGAGGTAAGAACAGAACGGTTCTTACCTACAGATTGGCCTTGCGACCGAGACTTCCAAAAGCTAGTGGCATTATCCGTCCCATTATTTATCTTCGCTGCTACTATCTGTCGTCTATTCAAGGATCCCATTTGGGACCCTACGGATAGCCTGGCTGAAATATTAACACATCAAAACGACGAATCCAAGCTGGATGGCACATACCTTCCTGTTCTTGACCGTCTACTCTACGGACAACACGGTAAACGAAGAGATAAATTAGTTTTTGAGTTTCAGCAAATTGTTGGTGCCATCGTGACCCTAGAGAGTCCGCTATCGGTCATATCACTTGCGAAAATTCTAGGTCTTTCTAAGGGTCGTATACAACTTCGACTCAACCCACTACACTCGGTGCTAAGAGTGCCGGACGACGAAACGATTGCGATACGGCTTTTTCACCTTTCGTTTCGAGACTTTCTTCTGGATCTAGAAACTCGCCAGAAAACTCCCTTTGGGATAAACGAGATAGAGATACACTATATCCTGACAAGGCAATGTATCCTCAAATGTCATGATCTACGGAAAAATATCTGTGAGCTGCCAAGTGATGGCACTCAGATGCTTGAAATCGATTGGAAGACTATCGATGGCCACCTTCCTCCAGAGTTACAATATGCCTGTCGATACTGGGTATATCACCTGGTCCGATGCACGGATTACACGGGCTTCGAAAACATAATACAGGATGCTTTCTTATTTCTCCGCGCACACTTTTTGCACTGGGTAGAAGCCATGAGCCTACTAGGCTTAACGTTGGAGATAATAGATATTCTTGATCAAATTCAAACAGCTATTCCGGTAAGTTTTGAATATAGTCGTCTATCATCCAGACTAACACGGTGATACCTCTAGGACGACGACGGCTCTTCCCTAATCATAGACTTTCTTCATGATGCAAAACGCTTTATTTTGAAGAGTCATCAGATCATTGACAAAGCGCCGCTTCAGGTTTATTGTGCAGGGCTTATATTTGCGCCTCAAACCTCAATAATCCGAAAAGAGTTTGAACATGAACTTCCTACTTGGATATGCCAGCTCCCACGAGTTGATGAAAGGTGGGATGCAGCATTACAGACCCTAGAAGGCCATTCAGCAGAAGTTCACTCGGTGGCCTTCTCGCCCGACGGTCGCCTGCTCGCGTCCGGCTCCGTTGACAATACAGTGCGTCTCTGGGAGACAAGAACGGGCGCACTTATCCAGACTCTCCACGGTTCAGATATGGTTTGGTCGGTGGCCTTCTCACCAAACAGACTTCTACTAGCGTCCGGCTCTAGTGACGGCACGGTGTGTCTGTGGAACCTAGCGACAGGCGCCCTCACGCAAGTTCTCCAAGGACATTCAGAAGCAGTCCGCTCAGTGGCATTCTCGCCCGACGGGCAGGTGCTGGCATCTGGCTCTGACGATAATACAGTGTGCCTCTGGGACCCAGCGACGGGCGCCCTCACGCGAGTTCTCGATTTTCATACAGAAGAAGTCTGCTCTGTAGCATTCTCGCCCGACGGGCAGGTGCTGGCATCTGGCTCTGACGACAATACAGTGTGTCTCTGGAGCCTAGCGACGGGCGCCCTCACGCGAGTTCTCCAAGGACATTCAGAAGAAGTCTGCTCAGTGGCATTCTCGCCCGACGGGCAGATGCTGGCATCTGGCTCCAAGGATGATACAGTGTGTCTCTGGGACCTAGCGACTGGCGTACTCACACAATGTCTCGAAGGAACTTTCTGGGTCCATTCGGTGGCCTTCTTGCCTAATGGCCGGACACTGATATCTGGTTCTACTGCAATGGTGTCCTTTTGGGACCTAGCGACGGGTACAGTCACTCAAACTTTACAAGGTCATTCAGATGCACATTCATCAGTGGCCATCTCGCCTAACGGCCGACTATTAGCATCTAGCTCGATTGATAGAACAGTGAGACTCTGGGACCTGGGTGAAAACGCAATTCCGTATCTCAGTGAAGGCAATTCATATACAGTATATTCAGTAGCCTTCTCGCCCGACGGTCGCGTACTGGCGTCCAGCTCTCGCGAGGGCATAGTTTATCTCTGGGATTCAAAAAGGTGCGCAATTACGCAAAGACTTACAGGCCATGCATCCGAAGTACAATCAGTGGTCTTTTCGCCTGACGGCCGGCTACTAGCGTCTACTTCTCTCGACAGGACAGTGCGCCTTTGGGACCTAGCGATGGGTACACCCGCGCAGATTCTCCGAGGCCATTCAGATGCAGTTTGGTCAGTGGCTTTCTCGCCCGATAGTCAGATGCTGGCATCTGGCTCCATGGATAATACGGTGTGCCTTTGGGACTTAGCAACAGGTGTGCTTACCCATACTCTAAAATGCCACTTAAAGCCGGTTTCATCGGTGATCTTCTCGCCTGATGGCCAGCTATTAGCATCTTGCTCAACTCGCGAAAATAGAATTTGTCTGTGGGACACAATGACGGGCATGTATATGCAGAGCTGGAGATTTGATGAAGGGGACTTTATGCTTGGGTTTTCACAAAACGGTTCGTGCATTCGAACTAACTCAGGTGCCATGCATAATCAGTCCAGGTGTGACGGTCTCACGTGCAATTTGCGCCCTGAGTGCCTAGATATCTCAATCGAGCACAAGCAATGGATAAACCTGAAAGGGAAAAATGTCCTTTGGCTTCCTATCGAGTTTCGGCCACATAGTTCCCAGGTCAGTGGTAACATGGTTGCTTTGGGATCATACACAGGACGAGTCTCGCTTCTTGGGTTTTGTATTTGAATCGTATGTCAATCATGATCTTGCCGTCTTCTGGGTGTGGGATTTTTAAATTTGGTTCGTGCCGAGGAACGTTGGCAGAAGGCAGCCTTGGAGAGAAATGAATATTCTAAGTGGGAGAAATTTGTGCAACACCACCTTCCGCCTTTGGTTGAGAATGCATCATTCCTCAGCCAAGTCGTGAATCAGATTCTGCGAGGCATTCAGACTTCACCGTCTGCGGAAGAGATCAAGAAAAGTAGATTGTTATTTCTATCGACAATCACTTGCCACTTCATACTACGAATGACTGATCATCCACATCCGGGGTTAAGCATATGTGGAGGGCCCTGTGTACCCACATAATAAGTGGAGGAAACAACATGAGCGGATATTATCTACTCATGTCAGGCGTGAATGATTGAAATAATCCAATCGTCAAGCACCTTTGACATTCTGCTATTGTTTTGTAGCGGACCGTCTCGGTCTCTCATAAATCAACGTAATGGGTAGGTGAGACTCGTACCGAGGCTGATAATCCTCATCTTACTGACCATGAAACCAGGCCTCAGTCCAGTCTACTTCTTCTCCCATGGCTCAACCATGATGCTGGGCGAGGAATCTACCTCGGCCGACTACTGGAAACAATGCGGTGATGAAGCCCTTGTCCGCGGCATCAAGGGGGTCGTAATAATGGTGCCACCACACCTCATCCCAGCCAACGACTGTCAAGTATCGGATAACTAATATGATTCTTCTACCTAGGGGGCACACTGGGACTGTCTAGGAGACAAAATCGAAGTCGCCACAAACCCCAAACCTGGCAAGAGTCCAGTAGCCTTCGTGAAGCCCGAAAAATACGTGGACTACGAACTCATCCCCGATCTCGACACATGCAACCGATGCATCGACATGCTCGCCAAAGAAGGGTTCAACGTATCTGAAAACAATAAATTTGACTGGATCCACGATGTCTACCTGATCCTCATCCGAATGTTTCCAGGCGGATGCCCACCAACGACACTAATCTCTATGAATGCCCGCTACGACCCCCACTTCCACATGAAGATTGGTTCAACTCTCCGACCCCTTCGAAAGGAGAATTATCTTATCATCGGTACTGGAGGTAGTGTTCATAATCTTTACCGCAACTACTGGGCACCTATGTTGCGTCACCGTGACAATTTTGCAATGCAAACACCCCCTGAAGACTGGGCTCTGGAGTTCAGAGATGCTGTGGAGGATGTTCTTGTGAATAATTCTGGGCCCAAGCTACGGAGAGCAATGACGAGGTTGATGAAACACCCAAGATTCCGGGATGCGCATGCTACGGATGATCATTTTATGGCGGCGATGTTTGTGGCGGGGGCCGCTGGGGACTTTGAGGATGTGGGTTCGGAGGCCGTTTTGGGGGCTGAGAGTTGGGAGCTTACGAATATGTGCAATTCTCAGTGGAAAGTTGGTAAATGGGTAGATTAAATTGATTCGCTATGACTCTGCTACTATGTATCTTCATCTTGAAGAACTTCGAGTCCCGTTCGGACTGGTACCTTGGAAACTTCAAATTCTCGAAGCTAACTTCGAGCCGTATGTTACAGCATAATACCCAACAGTAGAAGTAATCGCTAAGACCGAGATCAGTGCAACTATTCCTCCAGAAATCAATCCCTGTTCAAAGTGTCCTACGGCTTTGCCTGGTCGTTGTCCCGTAGGCTTCAAAGGTGCAGTAGAAGTTTGCCATATTTTCGCGGCAGTTTGAGTCCCCGTTGCAGCGAGGAAAGTCTTGACCTTGGATGAAGCCATCCCTTCGATGACTATTTGCGACCTGGGCACCTCGAAAATATCGACCGAATAACGTGTACTTTCCCCAGGAGCACTTTTGTCAGGAATGGCAGGGCCGACTAAATCGACATTGTTAAGACCAGGTGTGAATTGAGAAATTTTGATGAGACCTACTAAGCATATCCATTGGAGTATGATTGACCCACGATAAGTGGGCATCAATGAATTGGGCTAAGTACTTTGCAGACTCAGGGTTTGCGAATATGTAGGAAGCTGCTGGTGAACCATTTCTAGCGGATAGTCAGTATGTCTGGATATACTTCCGGTGGGCGACTGGATCATGACATACCGCTGCACAGTGTCGATGGCATCGTCAAGACTAGTGATAGGGTGAACTAGCAGGACCTTCTCATTCACCTTCTGAAGTAATAGTGGTGAGTCTCTGCGAGTGTGTCAGAAGCCTTCATAGAAGTGGCGCCCTTCGCTGACTTGGTAATTTGTAAAACTCACCGATCTTGTACCTCTACTATGCCCCAGTCTGAGCCAGAAACCACTGTTCGTGCCCCATAGACACTTTCGGTCTCTTTGAGTAGTGATCTGTCCGACGGATGTTCAGCAATAGACCTTTTGCTTTCCACTGCACAGTGGCTCCAAGATGCCCGTGTAACAGATTCGATAAAGTCTTTCAAGATAAACTCGTGGACCAGGATAATGTCGGGTGCATATGGAGAACGCCCGCCGAATCTGAAACGAGCCGATGCCAGTGCTTCGGCTGCCTGAGAAATATCGGCCGTACGGTCAACAACAGCTATAGCTCTAGAGTCCACAGATGATGCAGAGAAGTTGATTTGTTGATTGATCACGACGGTCCGACTGAGGAATTCATCGTCGGGCCTCTGTTCACTGATTGCAAAAATATCCTGATCAAAAGCTTCTACCAGGATCTTCCGCAACAAAGCGCTAACTTGTGTAGCTCGCGCCAGCTAAATTATAAATTAGACCTTGGATTATGATGAACGATGGGACAAAGGCGACAACTCACCTCCAGTATAATGCAGTTCCCTGCGGCTAAAGCGGCAGCGAGGACGGAAATGACCGAATAAAACAGAGTATGATCGATCGGTATGATGTACACGATTCCAGCACCGCGTCTGCCTCGTCTATTCTTGCCATGCGCTATACTGTATTCCTCTTGAAGATCCTTATTCAGGTCCAAGGAGGTGTAGTGACTCCTGATCTCATCCAGAGCCAGGCAAATTTCGGCGGAAATTTCTTCTAAGGAGTGTCCAGATTCTTCGAGGATGGCATATCTGATCTCCTCAATATGCTGAACTAGAGCTGACTGTAATCGATGGAATTGGGTTTGGCGATAGCGGATGCTGTGCATGCGCCCATCAATCTCGGCAGCGAGAATGCGAGGGAATAATTCGGGGGTAGCCATGTTGCTGATTTTTGAAGAGAAGAGGTGTGACGCCGATGAAGCATAAACAATAATTTATTGGGGATCCGGATCCCTGAATTATGATTGGACAACGGTAGACGTAGGCAGGGATTCTCGCCACATATGCCCACGTTGTAAAAGTGGGCATACCAGGGGATCTTGAGATAAGCTTGGACTCTAGATTCCCAATTTCTTTTTTCCGCCTTGCCCCGAATCTTGTCTGGGTCTTCAAGAATCAACATCGATATGTCAACCACAACTACGCAAACTCGCGCTTCGGTCCCACTTCTAGCGGACTATGAGCTACACCACAGCGGAAGCCAAGTGAATGAACCTCCAGCCTCTTCACCCTCACAACAAATATCCTGGCCAGCCCACTATCGCAGAATACCTCCTCATCGGCCCATCAACTACAATCTTGATTACGACGAGAGACCGGCTGGCTCCAACCCAGCCGAGAGTGTGTTGATCTTCGTGCTGATGCACGGAGTATGGCTAAATGGTGTATGTAGACTCACCACTTCTCAATAGCACAGACTGACATCTCTAGTCGATCGCTAAATTATGGCGGAAAACGGGCGGAAGGATCAACGACAGGATCTTCCGATATGAAGTTGGAGGAGAATGGTAGTGGAGGAATGCGGGGATATCGGGGTGCCCACATTTCGGTCCCCCGCTTTTCTCTATAGTACTTGTATTCAAGAACCCATCGTGCCTTTTAAATCTAATAAAACTCAATAAAAATTCAATTATCCTTATCTTATACACCCACAGCAATGGCTTCCTCACGCCCCGAGAACAATCTTCCCAAGCTCTCAAGATTCATCACCGCCCACGATGCACAGGGCAAAGCGATCTTTCACCAGGGCCATTCCGAACAAATGCCAATTCAACTACTAGATAACGGCGGCGATTATACCTTCAGTCTCGCGTACGCAACAAATCGCTTCCCCGCGCAGATGCAAAACGACGAGGACGTTGACGTTTACTCGAAATTACTTTCCAATCCTCCCGGCTTGGTTAGCCCTACTGGAACAGTATGCCGGATCGTTGATTTCGCTCCACATATTCGCTGTGCGATGCACCGAACTGTTTCTCTTGACTATGGGGTTGTTCTTGAGGGTGAAGTTGAATTGATCTTGGATAGTGGGGAGACTCGCGTTATGAAGAGGGGGGATGTGGCTGTGCAGCGTGGTACTAACCATGCATGGAAGAATGTCACACCGGATGCTGAGGGCCAGGGGTCTTGGGCGAGGATGCTCTATTTCCTATCGCCGGCTGAGCCGTTGGAGTTGGAGGGAGTTGGGGCTTTGGGAGAGGTGACTGTGGGGATTGATGTTAAAGCAAGTTAATGGATTCCCGCTAACATACTAGGCTTGCTGCCGAAATTAATTATTCAAATAAATTGGAGTATTAATTTGACTGTATTACTTCGGGCCTCCGAGCTCCAGCTCGATAATCGTTACAATTCACTCGTATCTACTCTATTGAGTGTCGCACCATCCCTATCTCCTGCAACATGGGCGCGTTCTACTCCGCCCATCTCGATACCGTTCATTTCAAGGTTCTCTGATGCTGTAGTCATTCTGGGTGTTTGCATCTTTCTTGTGGGTGTGTAGCGAGGAGAAGGACTCTGTAAACTATTTTCGACGTCTCCGGAAAGGGATCTGGGGAGAAGATGACGAAAGAATTGACGTAAGTAGGGTAGGCTAGCGCATAGTATCATGAAGTTGGCTTCGATGTTGCTGTGATAACACACGTCATTGGCATTTGCTCGTAGAAAGAGCTGGCAATTATCTGAAGTGCTCACACGAATAGACTTGCAAGAGCAATCTTGTATGGTAGATCTGGCGTATGTACTAGGGGCCATATAGTAGCTAATCGGAGGATGCTTGTCGCGAGGGCTCTTTGTTATCGGTGTTAGTGACATAACGCAAGGATCCTATAGACTGAGCACTCACAAGCTTCCAAGACCAAGCAAAAAAGCCACACCTATCTTCTGAATTAGGCGTAATCTCAATCCCCAGACGATATAAACTGGAACAAGGATTAACACCACATCACTGGCGGTGTTTGTGATGGTGGTCATTAAATACAGAACGGGACGATTGACGCAGGAGCCATTGATTGTAACATCCCAATTTTTCTGTATGGGGCTACAAGCAAAGATGATGACCAAGGCCTCTCCTAATGTGTATCCAATGACGATGAATGCGAGGGCGTAAATGGTATATTCCCACGCTCGAATTACATGCAATAGCCTGTAGTATAGCATGAGCAGGGCTAGTTTCGCGAATGCCAGAGTAAAGAGGTAGACGACAGAGACCCCCAGGATGGACTAGAACATGAAATAATTGCAAGATTAGTCTGGGCATTCATTTCATATAAGCAAAAAAGGAGAAAGTCTCGATATTATACCTTCAAGCATTTATTAAGGAGTGAAGTTGTTAGTTCATTGATGTGGACTCCGTAACCTAGGTGAGCGAAAGAATCTATAACGATGAATTAGCCGTTTTGCGCGCAAATCCCAGGCTGGATCTTGGCAAATATACACAGAATGGCTGTTTGAACAGCCACGGAAGAGCTCTGTGGGATTCAGAAGATTAGTCGTTGTCGCTAATAACGCGATATCAAAACATACCCAAGCCATGAGTATCATTACTATTAGCGAAAAGTCAATATTAACTCATAGAGTATACACATGCAAGGGTTACAAACCGTCGTCCCACCAGAACTTCTTCATTATCCGAGCTTTTGTATAAATTCGCATTATAAGAGCACTGGTGCTGACTGCCAGTCCAACCGCAACCACCACTCGATTTGCATTCCGCAACCATGGTGATGAACTGCTACCCTCCCTGGCGCTTAGAGAGAGTAGGGTCTCTCTAGTCACCTGGATCATTTTGGCGAGTAGTCCAGCGCGATATTATAGTCATATCACTAGTACTAGTCCGGCATCCTCATTGTGATCGGTATCGAAAAGATGTCAAACATGCCAAACTCATGAATAGAGAGCCTCGAGGTCGCGATCTTGCCAAGAATCTAGATCAATATTTAACTTTACCAACAAATGTAAGAATGAATCATCGATTTTCCGCATTCCGAGGAGTTGTATGAGCAACCCTGGAACCGTAGATGGTTCCCGAGATATCAAACTCAATCTTCAAGTATGGCAAGTTTCAAGCATTTGAGACGTAGAACTATAATGTTTGATGCTCAAGGCCTAATGCTGGCAAGATCCAAAATAGTTCTTCATTGTTTGAGAGGGTAGCGCATCAATCCTACAGCTATATCCTCTTGTAGCTGCAGCACCTAGCTAAGGACAACTCACATGACATTATAGATAGGAAAGGGTAATATACGGTCGCTTTTAGAAATTCTTGTGTGTTACTTTTAGTCTCTCTAATATGGCGTCTACTTTATCAGTCATGGCTATACTATATGGCTAGTCTCGGGACCGTCATACGTCCAGTGGCACAATGGATTTTTTCAAAACAGTCATATTCTTCCACGTACACACATAAACACATATGAGACAACACAGAAATCCTCGATGAAAAGCAAGCTGAGCGAAAGGCCAGCTTAGGGTCAGCGCTAATCAAAAGCTCATACTATCCGATACTTCCACCAGCTAAGTAAAATCGGAGTCAAAACGGCCATCGTGCCAGCGACAGTCGAAATACCAATGTATTTTTTCCAACCCTCTTTGGTAGTTTTGATGAAAGTTTGACGGTCATTAAGTCGTGGGAAAGGCACATCGGGCACCGGCTTACCCAAAAGCTCACACAAGGGCTCCCATCCACTTCCCAGGGTGTAGACCAGCAGTTGATTGGGAGGGACCACTTTCTTGACATGCGCATATTGATCCTTGTATCCCTGAGCCGCTGTCTTTTCGAGGTGCTCATTCGACGTTCCCTTGAATTGTATCTGCAGTGACAGCATCAAAAGCTCGTACAGTGGTCCAAAGATCCAAGGGTCAAGCCTGATGGAGATTAGTAAGTTTTATCCGCGATCAAGTGTCAAATTGCATACCGAGTGAGCAATTGAAACTTCCAGTCGCTCCTCCAATCTTCTAGAATTTCAATAAAGCTTCCAGTCCACGAGTTCACGTCCCGTTCGACCAAAATGACTTTGGCATCCGGGTACGCCTCAATGAGTTCATCCGTGAAGGCAATGCAAGGGAAATCGCTCACTCCGCCAAATTTGCCGAGGACTTGATCCCAGTATTCAGCCGTGCGCTCAACCTTTTGGCCTTTTACCTTTGCTCTGGCTGCTTCTAGGAAAAACCACCGATCGGGGTTGTTGCCTCCAAGGTTGGTACCATGGTAGCAATCGATGTCTAATATACTCAGAGCATGCTTGATTGCTAAGTTGGTACTTGGAGTCAGTAAAAGGTCATTATTGCAATAGTACGCATCTGAGGTATAAGTGCAAAAGAGTTACTGGGCTGAAAGACTGACATAGGGATCCGGTACGGGGCATAGATAGATTGAGAATTTCCATAGGAACTGTTCGTTCCGAGGTCTCTGTTGATTTTGGAGCCTGAGGTATTGTTAGCAAGCATTTCACTATGCTACCCGTTTAAGTAAGGTTCATTTACCATTATTTGTTCTTCAAGAGACCAAGCCAGGGCCTTGCTTTGAACCTATCGATGTGGAATGAATGAGGAAAAGAAAAAGAATGGAAGATGAAAAGAATTTTCGAGATCTTTTCAACCTTTAAGATTCGAATCTAATCTGCCGGTCATACTCATGTGGCCATCGAGATCTGTTCCATAATATGGGTGTGGCATCTTAATATTGAGAACTTGTCGGAGAATTCCTGTAAAGAGATAGATCGTCGCGATCGGCACGGGAACAGTCCAATGTCTATATCTTATCTATACGAACCACCTCGGGCCAGTAAACTTAAATATGGTTATAACGAGGACCACGTTGATGGCACCGAACCAGGCTGTCCTACGTCTCCATAAAGTCCAGATCTCAGTTGGCAGTGATGGCGTCCCATGGACATCATAACCAGTGACTCAAATTACAGTGTAAGGCATGAAATTGAGTGAGGTCTCCAACGTATTATGGCCCAAAGATATCATAGATGTAAAAACGTGGATGTGATGAGCTGAAACCGAGACCCGCCGACTGCTCTAATAATGAGGCTGGAAGGAATCGGATTCTCCGAACATCAGCCGATCCCAAGTATTCATGCATGCAAGGTTACCACGGGGCGGGATACTTGGTGCTAGAAAGTACCAATGAAGAATAGGAAAATCATGAATCTCAAATCTATGAGACTTGGCATCGGTTTCGCATCAACACTACTGTACCGCGATGCAACCATCCTTCGCGCTGCCGTTCAATCGGATGCCGAGGAAGGGCATTAAGCCTCGGGACACAATTTAGAGATACTCAGGTAGCGCTTATGTTCTTATCCGCCATTTTGCATTCCGACAGGAGATCATCTCAGGGCTTGAAAGACCCAGCTGGTACTCACCCTGATAAGGCCGGCTGTGAAGCCAACTGGCTGTGGCCATTGAGATTAGTCAGCATCTTGAGCTTGCAGTATTTAGAATACGCCCGTGCTCAGCTTTACCCGGCGGGAAGAAGTACTTCGAATTCAAGACATTGCATTGACTTTCAACTTTATCAACCTTCGTAGCCTTTTCCAACCTCTGTTCGGAACAATTGCTTTCTCCCATAAAATTCAATATAACACAATCACAGGTCTGTCGATAGTGGTGGAATTATTGGTAAAGTCACATAATTCTCAAGCTCCTCGCCAAAGTGCAAATGATTCCGACCTTGAAACTTCTCGGGCGATCTATGTGACATGTGAGCGGGTTAAAACCTTATCAATATGTATTCCAAAACATGCACAAACTTACCTATCAGTCGGCGAATTATGCTTGAATAAGCCACATCCCTGTGTATCACCAGAGGAAACCTCCAAGATAATCTTGCCCCCTTTTTCAACTACCACATTGGTAGGCCAGATCTCCACGTCCACAGGATAGATTTCGCCTGGAATCACAGGCTCAACATTCGTCGAGAAGTAGTCTCTATGAGGGAGCCAAGATCGATGTCGAGGATGTTCCTTGTTGAGTTTTCTCAGACTGACACGCAACCACCCTTTGCATAATGGCACAGGGTCACCCGCAGTGCCGGTATAGAATACCTCCTTACCCTCTGGGGATATATAGCGCAGCGTGAGGAAAAGATCGATATCTTGTGGAGTAGAGTGGTGAGACTCTGCTGTGACCGAGACATGCAAATGAGCCACAATATGGCCCGTAATTTCGGTTTCCTCTTCAAATGCCGGTGTGACAAATTGGATAACCTCGGGGTTGTCGAGAGTACCCAAGGCGCGATAAGAAAGTTTGCTATAGCATTCCTTTGGCTTCTCACGGGTGAGAGTCTTCGTTGCCGATAAATGGAATGGGGTATATTGCGTCCGCGCGATAGGCCATTCACTCTCGCTTCGGCGAGTATAGCCCCTCTCAGCTTCTGCGTTGTTAAAGCCGACATCTCCTTTACGGAGGATTAAGTCAACTTTTGGTGCATCTCCTGTAGACCAGCCAGATCGATCTTCTCCTTTAAGAAAAGCATCGAGGAAGCTCCTTTGAACCTCAACTTCTTCGTCGTAGTAGAATGGTAAATCATGACGCCCTGTGATAAATCGCAGATATTTGAGAGAAGACCCTGCTTGCGTATAGCCCTCAATATTGCCTCGTAAATGCAACAATATGCCACCCCAATTAGCAACCGAAAGCATTGGAACCTGAATATCCCTTTGCGTATACTCTTTACTCGCGTAGTAAGTATCATCCCGGAAGTAGTTATTAGCGTTATCAATCGTCTGATCTTGTCGACTCTTCTCAAGCTCTTCTTCAGAGAGATCACCCTCGATGGTATCCGGACCCCAATTTCTCGCTGCCCGACCCGGGCGTCCATACTGATTCGAAACAACCTGTCGATTCCACCAGAAGTCAATGAAGGTATTAGATAGAATTCCACCGTGCCTACAGCGGTCACGGTAGTAATCCGACATTCCCTCCCATGGTATCATGCACGCTAGGCCTTTCGGTTGTCGTGCAGCTACCCTCCATTGACTTCCTGCGTAGTAGCTGATTCCCAGGAGACCGACTTTACCCGAGGACCAAGGTTGATCAGCCGCCCATTCGACAACGTCGAAGAATGCATCGCTTGTTCCTCGAGACATTGTATCTAATTTTCCGGGGGATTGACCGGTGCCGCGCTCATCAGCCCGGACAACCACATAGCCGTTTTTGGTCCAGAATGCGGGATCGGGCGTTTCCCATGCTGAGTGTTCAGAGTGGTGGGCTGGATTGACTTCGCTGTACGACTGAGGGTGAAAGCTGGGAATGAATCAGTGATTTTCTTAGGGATATACTTGTGGTAACACGACTGACTCTTTGTAATGGATATCCTTACCATAGGGCCCATAAGTGACAAGGACAGGCGCCTTCTCGATATCCTTTGGACGATATACGTTCGCGCGAATAAGGCCCGACTCATCACGTAACGGAATGGTTACATTTTGCTCGTAGATGTAGGGGAAAGACTCCCGGTCAATGAAGGTGATGTCTTGGCGGATATCATTCGGCATGATGAATGGGGTAAACAAGAGAAACTGGAGATCGAGAGTGAGCCATATTCGCTGGAAATGATTATTTATCAACCTCTTTCGAACATCACCGCTTACCTCGGTTTCTTCGCGTAAACTGGGGTAAAGTGGTGCTGCCCACTTTCCGAATGGGCGTGGTCAGGAAAGTGGGCAAGATGTGGACAGTCAGTACTGGTGCAATGTGGGGAAACCGGTAGACTATGAACGCAACTCTACATAATCATTAAGGACCAGCTATCGATATCTAGTTTCTTCCAAATCATTAACACAATCGCAAAATGACAAACGAAAAACTGCGAATTATCATTGTTGGCGGCGGGATCGCCGGCCTCACCTCCGCAATCGCTCTCCGCGCCCCGAATAGACAAATCATAGTCCTGGAGCAATCGCGCCTAAATCGAGAAATCGGTGCCTTAATTTCACTTCAGCCCAATGCCTCCAGGATCATGGAGACGACATGGGGGCTCGGCGCGGAGATGGAAGAGGCGCGCGGGATGGTGGATGAGGGACTCCGCATTTTCGACACGGACGGATCTCTTGTCAATGAGATTCCACTCTTGTCCAAGACCGAGTACGGTGGAAGCCGTATCATCTATCACCGGAATGACTTGCATGAAGCTTTGAAGTCAGCGGCTACATCTAGCCAAAGAAAAGGAGAGCCGGCGACCATTCGGGTGTCGTCTAGAGTTGTAAGCTGTGATCCCAGCGAAGGAGAGGTAATTCTTGAGAGTGGTGAAGTGTTGACGGCCGATATTATCATCGGTGCGGATGGAATGTAAGATCACTTTCTCTTTCCTTGATGAATTCTGAAGATGGTAAACTCATGCAAGGGCAATGTCAGACATAGCGTATTGCGGAAATCTGTACTCGAAGATGAACCTGCTGCTATGCCCACGGGTACCTCCGGTATGTTTTCTTGTTTCAATACATAATAATGGCATAACTGACTGATTGCCCCAGCTTATCGTCTGATGGTGGGTGCTAAAATCTCAATAAAGATGTACTCAAGCTGAAATTTCCCTGTGCAGATACCCTCAGAAGTTCTTGAAAAACAAGAGCCCCAGTTCTGTACAAAGATTAACCCCAGAGATCCATATACGTCTATGATTGTAGGACATAATTGTCGACTTGTCATGGGCCCGGGCAGGAGAGGCGACATGTATGGTGTTGTCGCAATGGTCCCCGATGGTATGTTGCACACGCAATGTATAGTCCAGTCAGCTCTAACATCAACCAGAGAGAATGAACGAGGACCCCAGTCTTCGACAATCATGGGTATCTGAAGGAAGTATGGATAAACTTCTTGATACTTTTGCCGAGTTTCCTAGTTGGTTAACTAGCATATTCAAGTCAGAAATCACTTCTTTAAGACCGATGACAAGCGATATACTAACAGTTCATGATAGACACTCCCCAGATCTCGGCTTGTGGCAATTGCGTGACATGGTAAGTTCCGTCGGACTGAAAGCATTTGAAGGTCTGTGCCTGATTAATTACAGGATCCATTGAGCACATGGCATCGCGGTCGCACCTTTTTGATCGGCGATGCTGCGCATCCAATGCTGCCAACGCAGGGCCAAGGTGCAAGTCAATCCATTGAAGATGCAGAAGCATTGGGTGCATTTTTCGAGGACATCGAACAAAGTCCATCTATGGAGCAACTTGAGGGAATCTTCGAGGTAATTACACATCAAAGGTACACTTTTCTGAATATGATGTACTGACGACACAGAAAATCTTCCGATCTCGACATGAGAGGGTCAGTCTGATCCAAGGCTATAGCCGACAGGCCGCGAAACCAGGTGCTGTCAAGGAGCAGAAGACTGTTACCATGTTCGTACTTCATGAATCTCACCTCTGCATACAATTACTAACTTGATCAAAAAGGAAACCTGACGAATTCATGGATTATAATTGCATGTATCGCGGCGCAAAGAAATGGTTACAGACAGTATCGCCAGTTTGATAACAAGCACTTAGTTGGAAGAATCTTAATTGAGCTTCTGTTCAGTAATATGGCCCTTGACTATTATTACTCTAATGATAAAATCCTCCGCGGCTTCGAACAAAGTATAATTCGTCCCGGCTTGCATTGCTGTAAATTGTCGGTGAGCAGAGCCGGATGATAAGATGCCGACTAGCTCTTTCTGAACGATAAGCTACGTCGTAGGGCGTAATCTCGTTTTTGAGAGCTCTTCACCGCAGGATTCACATCCCCACTGCCGAAGATCACGGGAAGATACCATGTGGAAAACTCCCGAGTCGGATACGAAGTTCGTTGCATTCAACGCTAAGAGATCAGTGCATCGATCTGCACTGCATCTTCAAAATAGTGTAGAACTATTTTTCGGCACATGTAGCTTGTGCGCATACCCCAAAAGTGCAATACTGAGAAACCCCGCAGCGACCCCAACGTCATCGCATCTCTGGTTCATACCCGATTTTCGGATCCGATTACCATCAGGCAATCCCCCAATGACCATGAAGGGCGACCCAAGCGCCAGACCACAGCGATCAAGTGGGTACCCCGAGAGAAAATCGTAAGATCCGAAAAATACTTTCCAGGTTTCCGGTCCGCCGAGCCGAAAACGGAAAAACGGGATTTGCATAGAACATTGGAACACCAAAGCCACCGATTCGAAAAAGAGTTCCTGCTTGGCGTATCCCAGCAAGCTGGTTTTTTGGGGTAAGATTTCCATGGATCGCTCCTGGTTCAGTCTGCACACAGCATGAACTCGGTATCTCGTCCCGGTGGGAGGAGAGAAAGCACTGGGACTGCTGACGTCGGTTCGGATACGCCCTCTAGCCGCACATGAATTCTGACGTCTGGTTCGTCAGCTTGCCAGTTAGCTGATCCCCCGCACCAAGGAACGAAGGTCAGATGGCTCGAATGTGGGGAAATATTGCTTTTCTTGTAGCTGCATTTCCTTCATGCGGATGAAAAAGGTTTTGCGCTTTGCGTTTTGCCTTCGACGCATGACGCAGATCGACCCATACAGGGTTGCGACAAGCTCCTCCCCGCACGCTTTGCTATTTCCCCGGCCGCAGACCCGGGGGAAAGGGAATTGTAGCAGGCTTTTAGACTTCGGTTAGCTCTTTTGTCCAATGATGCGATGGATGGGATCTGGATCTTGCGTGGCAATCCTGTGGGGGGTATGGGGATAGCTTTGATCCTGGTGTCGCGGTACTTGATGCATGTGGCGGTCAATGTTAATGCGGAGAATTTGTATGGACTATTGCCAATCGCCGTCTCAATTATTGAAAGACAAATACCGGGGAGGTTTTTGTTTTTGCACATCCATAGGATGCCTAAAGTGACAGGTCAGCATTGCGCATCGAACAGCCTAGATCCAGCAAGATGAATTCGATGATCTTAAACTATACTTGTCTTACTGCAGTATCTTGCTGACTTTCATAAGCACATTTCAAGTAAGACCGACCGGTGGAGGGTCCAAAACCTTATTATTCTTTGTTTTGATTCCTCACTCGATGTATACAATAGTCAAGATCAAAAGAAAAAACGTGATTGCTGACTATTGTCTAACTAAGCACGTTACATGCGATAATAGCCCATGCGCCACACATGCAAGTAGGAGAATTAGTCAAGAAACTCCGTCAATCAGCGTGCCCCTGGATCGACCATGCAGGAAGACGGCCCAGTCACCCAATCGCAATTCATGCAGGACAAGCTGTACGTTGTACTATTATTACTGCACGGGATCTATTAAGATTACCTGCGTTGGATGGGGACCGAATCTGCACTGGCCCCTTAGCACGGGATGAGGAGACCTCTGCAAGATTGCGATGCTGCGGAGTACCCGCAGCCACGAACTTCGCCAAGTATCACGAAAAAAATCCCTTACCGTAACCGTCGACCAGTCTCTCGTGGTGAATCGATTTGATACACGAGCCGTCAGAGGTCAAAATGGGACCCAACACGGGCCGAGTCCGAAACCGAGACAACCCACTATAATGATTGTCGGCAAAAACCGAGTCTCCGAGGTAACGTTGACCGCAATTCCACTTGAAGTACAGTAAGAAGCATTTGAGTTTGGTCTTTTCAGCTGGTGTGGAGTGTCAAAAGCTAAGTTCCACTGACATGCGTGTCTGCAGCTCATAGCTTCTCACAAGCGAAGAAGAAAAAAAAAAACTAAAGCGAAAAGACCCATCAGATGCATGGGTATGGAGACCCGGTTGTCTAGCGCGTGTTCTGGATGGCGGGTGGACCGGGGAGATGGCCTGTCATGGTTTAGCGCAAACGATCGGTACTTCTGATTGCGCCGGCCGACGCGCCTCAAAAAGTCTATTGAGGGGGTCTCGGTGAGCTTTGATACATGCATTGTCCAAGTCTGCCGTGTCGCATGAAACGAGCACAAGGGGATGTTTAATGAGGATTCACCAGGCCGTGGCCGAGACGTGTTAGTGACCCCACGCGGTGAGCGGAAGGGTTGGTTAGTTTATGTTAGTCTCATGCAATGATAGGTCCACTATGCACCGTGCTTCTGTCTTGCTTGTATGACCCGACTCGAAAAAAAAAAAAAGGGGCAGAAGATTGTGTTGAGTGGAGAGTAAAGCGGCTGAACCCACAGGCAGAATTACTTGGAATGGCGTGGGAATTGGTGGAATTTCATTGGTGTTAGGTCGCCAAGACATGGAATGTTCTTTTAACCAGTGGCATATTAGCCGGATGATCTTCCATACTGTGACTGCAAATTAGTCAAAACCTTGGGACCCTGGGGTTTGGATTATTCCAATTGCATGACCTACCGATGAGTAATTGTTGTGATGGCAGTTTCACTAACAAAAATGATTGAAAATTAGTGGGTTTGTGGCTGATCTGGACCCAGAGATCATCAAGTAGTTCCTTTGCCCCAGAAAATCCTGGCATTTCTTTTGCCACGTTCGAGCTGCCCCGGAATTTGAGCATCCGCGTGCTGCCGGGACTTGATAAATGAGAAGCACAATTGCCAATCCAAAATTACCATACCCATGGTACCTGGGGCCCGAGGTCAGCAGAAGAGAAGACCCTGGGGCAAAGGGACCCACTTACTCCAAATGATGTGTGGCGGAAGTGAAAAATTACCAAGTGGGGAATCCAAGACAACATAATACCATGACTGTGACATCAAAAATTCCAACTCTGTCTGTGATGCGTGTGGAGTAGGCAAATCCTGCCAATAGACACTCAAATCCCCGGATCCATTGACCTTTTTCCTTTGGTAGGCCCCCTCAAAAACTTCCTTACTCTATCCTTAACTCCGTGTCCAGTTAGTGTCATTCGTATCTTTTCTCCACTGATGCGGATTCGGCCACTGGAGCGCACACACCCCGGCTCCCTTGTAGATTGAATCCCGTAGAAATAGACAAGAAAAAAAAAAAAAGTACCAGCATTCATATATGTCTGGAACCTCTTGCTCTTCACTTGCTCTCCTTTCCCCTCTCTCTCTCTCGAGGTTTCACAAACATCTTGACCATCACGTCCCTTGATCGCTCCACATTTCTTTTTCAATTAACCTCTGTTGGCGGTGGGACTCATTCCTGCGGGCTGCACATCATTGCGATTTATTGAAACACAACAGCTTCTGAGCTAGCGGGTAAGTTCCAATTCTCCACTTTTTCACTCTTCCTTTCGTCCCCAACGGCTCCCGAAATCCTTTTTTGGATTTTTTTTTTTCGGTAGAGCGTGTTCATGGTTCTTGTGAGCATTGCGTCTTAGCGCGAGCCGAGAAGCTTGAGAAGCTAGGGAAAAAGCTATAATAGCTTGTGGTTGCACTTCCCCAAAAACCTTCCCTTGCTTCTCATCTTCATTTTCACGCGCAGCAGTGCTGTTTGGCCCTTGATTGCATCTTTCTTCACCCCAGTGTAACTGTGTTATACCTCGGGACTTTTTCTCCAGAAGCTGGATACTTCACTCCCCTCCACCTGTCAGCTCACCTTTTTTGTGAACTCCCCAAACAAATTCTAAACGCAAAAAAAAATCTCTCAGATATCCAAGTGATTTAATTCATCATGTCTGCCCCCGCGACCCACAACGGTGCCCTTGAGAAGGACGTTGGCGAGATTGCGCCTCAGCACTCCGCCGAGACTAGCGCCCCCATTCAACCTCAGCTCACCCACGAGCATGACGTCGCTCGCGCCGCTGCCCGTTTCGGTTATGGACCCCTGGCTCACGTCAACACCGCTGAGGCTCAACTCCGTCCCTTCGGTGGTGAGTTCCAGCCCGGTCTGTACAAGCCCGTTGAGGGCCGCAAGTTCGGTAACCCTGCTCCTCTGGGCCTGTGCGCTTTCGCCCTGACCACTTTTGTGCTGAGCGCAATCAACATGGGTGCGGCTGATATCACTGAGCCCAACATTGTTGTCGCTTTGGCTTTCGGTTATGGTGGTCTTGTCCAGCTGCTGGCTGGCATGTGGTATGTATTCGTCCGATCGGGTTCTCGGGTGTCGCATGCGCTAATGCTTTCGCAGGGAAATGGCTGTTGGTAACACCTTTGGTGCTACCGCTCTGTCTTCGTATGGTGGTTTCTGGCTCTCGTTCGCTATCGTCTTGACCCCTGGTGGGTTCGAGATTGCATCGAGCTTGGGTGGCGCGAGCAGTGAGAACTTCAACTATTCCTTCGGTCTGTTCTTGATGGTATGTCTTTAGCTTCACCTTTCATGTGCAAGAATCAGGGAAACTAACACATTCATCAGGGTTGGTTCATCTTCACCACTATCCTGCTCTTCTGCACCCTGAAGTCCACTGTTGCCTTCTTCTCACTCTTCTTCTTCCTGGACTTGACCTTCCTCCTGCTCGGTATTGCCTACCTGCAGGGAGGAGGTACCGCCGCCAACGCCAAGATCGCCAAGGCTGGTGGTTTGTTCGGTCTCCTGGCTGCTTTTGCCGCCTGGTACAACGCTCTTGCTGGTATCGCCGACAACAGCAACAGCTTCTTCATCCTACCCGTCATCCACTTCCCCTGGTCTGCCACTGGCCGTAGCCGCCGTGACAAGACCGACCGGGACATGGCTTAGATATCTTCACTCCATTAGGAGAGAGGGGATGTATGAGAAGTGCGTTGCGCTTGTAATGTTTGTTTTTGATACCCGCTCCCGTTTTGTGCCACAAATTGGTCGCAGTTGAGATGGTATTGTATTCCTGTGCGTGGCGAGGAATCCGGTTCTCGGTCGGGGATCTTTGATCGTTGATTGAATCGTCGATATGCTTTGTTTTGAGCGAGGAAATGTATGATGCCTTCTTGATTGTGACATGTGTTCACACGTTTTGCTGTCCGGTATGATCATTAGATCTTGGATAGCGGTGGTGGAACAAATCACCCTCGTAACTTTGCTGGGAAGCTTGCAGTTTCTCGGCGGTTGGGGGGTACATAATCGAGGATCATATTCGGTTCTCCAGTTTCCCTTTAGTATTTTCGTTAGTTAATAATGCACCTTATGTCATAATGATTTTGGTTCCTTGTAACGTACCTGAAGTGTGCTCGATGTCGTAGTTATAAAGTTCAACTGCATTGGCTGAGGCGGAGCTGTTAGTCAGACTTTGCGCTGTCCCCGAGCACCGTATGCATGTCAATGTCCCAGTTGACATGAGTAGATCAAGCAGCCTCAGTCAAAAACATTGCGGTGCCTTCTTGAGCGCAATCCACAATGGACTGACCAAGCTGATCAGATCAACGCCAATGCAATGAATGCCACGGCTCAGAGCATATAGGCATTCAATTGCCAGTGCCAACAAAGGACCAAGAACTTCACCAAAGAAGGAGAAAAAAAGCCAAACCCCAGATTCAAGCGAGGGCCTCCCCTAGAACGCTTAATATGAGATTCAGCGCGGCCCGGAGTATACTATACCCCCCAACTAAACGCCATCCGTGTTTGCGAACAAGTCAGAAGCCAGCGAGTGGAGAATTTCGTGTTCCTTTGAGCTGGTAGGTTATTGAATCTGTCAGGATTGGTCTGAATCAAATCATCTGGCGTTTAATTGCCCTTTAGTGCAACTTTGTCTTCCGTTGGTGGGTGTGGCAGGTCGGAAATGCCGACTTTTGTTCGGCAGTTCCATAGTAGAGTTGAGGAGATAAGGAGGGGAACGCTTGGTATGTATACGTAGGTGAGAAGAATTTCAGAAGAACAAATCCGTTGCTAGGAGATAAACGGGTCAAATAAAATAAAATAAATAATCAGCAGAGAATAAATGCCGCAGAGGATGCGGCAGGATTTCTATCGTTCGTGACAGCTGAAACGCCTTATTGGCACCGAGTTTGTGCCGAAATCCACCCGGCTTAAACTCGGTGCTTGCTCGGCATGGGTGGATCAAGGGTTTACATACAGTTCGAGGCCTTCGTCTGGGTGGATCCATTACAACTATGTTCGTTCAGATCAATTGAGGAGCTCTTTGGATATCATTGAGTTTGGGAAAGGGTTGGTGTTCCCAAGACGCTGCATCCAAACAGGGCTTTCTTAGGCTTCGGTTTTTGTTCGGATATGGTGCGGAGCCAAGGACACGGGATGTATGTACGCCTATCAGAGTCTAGGAGGTCCCCAATGGATAGCTCCTGGCTGTCATATCCACTGACTTACCGCTTCATTCCTTGTCATCATTAACGGGATCGGGCCAAATATCATTGAATATATAGACTTTTTAGCTACTGATAATGTGGACTTTGGAACCTTCGGGCAAATTGCAGAGAAGAATGGGTTGGTTATTATGTACTTTTAGGGGTATATTATATACGGTGTAGACAATGTAAAAGTCGGGATCCATCGGGTATACAGTTCACACATCGGCTGACTCCACCTGCTGCACCCGGACCTCCTGCCATATCTGGCGCAGCATAGGCAGGTGGACACGGTCGGTGTAGAAAAAGCCAAGAAGGATATTCCGGCATTCTTGCCAGGAAGTCACGCCATATAGACGGGTAGCAGCCGCCAGCTCGGTGACGAAGTAGGTGCGCTCGGCAGGCATGACTTGGCTGCATGACGCACCAATGAAAAGCAACCAGATCAGCAGGTCACGACACAGCGCAAACAGTCCAGATGGGATGGTCGCCTCCAGGGCGGCGCGAAGGCATAAGATGGGCATGGGGAGTAGCGGAGCTATCATGGGGTAGAAGCTCCAAATGGCGCTGTTGTGGAAACATAGACAAGCTAACCGGCAGCAGCCTTCGATGGAGTTGTCACCCTTGATTTCGCCGGTCGAAAGGTATCGGTCTAGGTGCAAGGAGTACTCTGTAGACAGTACCTCGAAGTTGAAATAATCTTCGACTTCTTCGCTGAACTCCGTGTGTCCGTTGTTACTCTTGACCCATTCCGCATACCAGCAGAGCTCGTGTAGGTCATAGATGATACTGGCAAAGGTTTCGCTGAAGATGCCGGGAATTTCGATTAGGGGAAATAGGCGGGTCGCTGTCAATCCTGCATCGTCACTGGGTGGGAGGAGGGTGAACCCTTCCGGGCGCACAGATCGGACAAATGGAAATATGGGTTTTTCCATTCTCATGCAAGCGACTCGAATATCAGTCCTGGTCCCCTATTAGTAAACTCCATCATACATGATATTGCGAAGCTCGATGACTGACCATGAAATCTGGAAGCGGATATCCGAGGCAACATCCGCGAAGCTATTGCGCAATGCAATCATCTGTCGCAAGCCGGCCAGATGAATCTTCATATAGTCGGCGTTGCCGGAGGCAATCTATAGCTTTGTGAGTTATTTTCATTTGACCAACTTCCGCGAGCACTTACCTCAATGGTCAATAATGTTGAGACGGCGGCGATGAGTTCATCACTACCGGCCCTGGCGGGGTCTGATAAACCCTCGTTGACTAGGCGAATAGTCTCGCCGCGATGGTGAATTGTATCAACTACTAGTGGAGGACGCCATACGTTTGCATCCGGGTCTCTAAGGGGCAATTCACCTCTCTGCATTGCCGCATTAGAAGTGGACATGCAGATGGTCGCGTGTAGAATAGCAGGGTCCCGCTGGATCAAGGAGGCCCAATGCGCCTGCAGCTTAGGCTTATACCGGCTTTGCAATGGATGTGCCTCTTGCGTCAAATCCCAGAGGACTATGAGAATGTTAGCAATTGCTCTTTCTGTTATCAATATAGTATTTCAGAGCCATCAACTGACAATTCTGAAGATGCCGCATCATGCGGTCTGTAAGCTTTGTATGTCCAGTATTAAACGGATCATGAGCTCCCTGTCCCAAAGGACTCCAGATTTGTGGTGCTCCCAATCCGTTCTGATAACCCACAATCCCATCAAACCCAATCTCCTCCCATGGTTCTGCTGATGAGGCAGGCGTGTAATGGCCCATGGCTTGTGTTGTAGAGACCAATTCCTGGGTCGTGTCTTCTTCCGACGATTGCGAGACCTTGCGACTACTACTGGAGCTCGCGTTAGACGACGACACTGCGGGTGAGAGTACCAGTGGCCGAGGCGGTCCCACGCCTCCCGGAATTTGTTCTGGTGGTTGGAAGGGCAGGTGCTTGAATGTTTTGCCTTTGTATCGCTTGGTATTCTCCAATCGCTTCTTCCGATTATGCTCTGACATAACATGCGATCGAATGCGCTTCAATGTCTCCTCTTTTGTCCCCGCAGACGCAGTTTCCGAGTCCGTATTGACCCAGAATAACGTTGACTTCCCCGACGTGTTGGCGGCCTTGCGAGGCTTACGGACCTTCGAGGACGCATTGTGGTCACTAATGGTATTCGTGGCCGAGACAGGCAGTGTCTTAGATATTTGAGCTGGTGCTGGCGCTGCGGGTTGCGTAATGGGAGATGTGGTGGGGAGTTCTGCCGCGGCGATGGTGGCGGGATGGGGAGCAACAGTATAAGGGTCCATGTGGGGGTTCGGATCGCTCGCCGGCCATGGCGCCGGGGGTGGCCGAGACTGCACGGGGAGGGATCGCTCGTAGCCGTGGAAGGATTCCTGGGAGTCCATGATCCGAGCTTGGATAATGGCAACGTTGGATTGAGTACAACAGAGAAGTGAGGCAGGGGCCGAGAGTAGCTCTCCCACTCTCAGGGGACTGGCGGGGTAGAACTCCAGTTGTTTTCGGGTATAACAGGCGGTCTTGGGATAGTGTATTTCTTCGAGGCTATCATACTAGCGAAAAGAACAAACCATGAGTCCCGCTATCTGCTAGTGGGATGCGAGGCTGCGCCCCGTTACCCGCTGTGAATGAATGCGAGATCTGGACTGGTGCGAAGCTGCAGTGTAGACGAAGAAAAGAAGAAAAAAAAAAAGGACGGGGGAAAAAGTAGAATTTGGGTACCTCCAAACCCTAAAACTTTACCTGAATTCCCCAGGTCTATTCGCCAACCTAGATTGATACAAGCTACAAGAGGAGTAAATCTAGAGGGTTGACGCCTCCAACTTGAATGTTCCCACTTTTTTTGGTACTTTGGAGACAGTTATGACCCACATTGTCTTATCCCGATGATCCTGCAATAGCCGCTTCTCATGAATTTCGGTGCTTTTTTTTCGCTTTCCGTGCTACTGCAAGAGCTCGCCTAGTAGAAGTGGAACTGCAGTCGGAAAAAAAAAAACGCTCCTTGCACAACGCACTTGGTGACATCTCACTAATATTTGCAGTACGGCCTTAACTCCTCGAAGGGGCACTTGCCGGTGGATGCGCTATCTATAGGCCCAATAAGATGGAGCAGTAGATCCACAACAGAACCCAAAGGTTGGCTTCGTACTCCAATGCTTTATGAAATTTTACGAAATACGCATGAAAACCTAATTCCAAGTCCTAAAGTGGGTTCAAGTATTCTTTTCAACAAGATAAATTTAGAAATAGGAATTGATTGTCTTTTATACTTCGGCCTCCGGCGCCTTCATGTGCTATAATCATCAAGGTTTTGAGCCATTCGGTATCCCACCGGGATGTCATTCATCTCTATAGTTATACGATGTTTGGTCAGCTACACTAGTGACTTTCCACGCGTGTGGCATAGATCACGTAATAGTAAGTCAGAAACTCGACATTTGTCCAATTATGAATATCATTGCTTCTCTATGCAAAAGTGATCCTCTATTGCTCAGCACCTGGTATGCTATGGTTCAATTGCAGGGCGCAATGACCTGCGCCTAGGTGCTTTGGCTCTTGTGGAGCATTGGAAGGGGGCCAATATGACAGGGGGTTGGATTAATTGAAAATACAACAAGAAATAAATAAAGTAGAAAGACAGGTAATGTGGAGGGGGAACCCTTTTGTCTTCATCGGCCATATCCACTGGGGACATGCCTAGGTCATACCCGGTCGCGGGAAGATAGGCACGGTCTCCAGCTGTTCCAATCCACCCATCGTACCATTTTGCCCGCTCGTATGCCAACCTTGTCCGGTTTGTTCATTAATGAATTGACTCTGGCGGAAGGGATTTGTACTACCCGTGGGGTTCGGCTGAAGCGGTTGCAACCCAGTGTTTTGAGCCGGTGGGACCGATGAGGCTCGAGCGAATGGATTAGTGCCGGTCCGCTGTGGCTGAAGAGGCTGTGGTGACTGTGATTGAGGAATCGGTGGGACTTGGGGCACTTGTTCAGCACCAAAGTTAGACTGGGGTGCGGCCATGGAGAGTCGCTTGGCAAAGGGATTGGTGTTCTGCCGTTGCAGCGGGGTAGCAGAGGGAGGGGCACCACCAGTATTCTGGTTAATCAACATTGACTGGCGGAAGGGGTTTGTTGGTGTGGATGGCGGCTGCAGCTGCGGTTGATTCTGCATAGGCTGCTGTTGATATGAGGGGATCTCATTCTGCGGGATCGGGGCCAGTTGCGACTGGTAACCATAAGACTGCGGTTGCGGCGTATAGCCTCCGAACCCAGCACCGGTCGGTGTCGATTGAAGTGGCTGCGCTACTGGTTGTCCGAAAGGATTGCCAGTGGTCTGTTGCTGAACGCCTCCATACGGGTTCTGTTGACCATACCCTGTCATCTGCGGCTGCTGCGGCTGCTGCTGTTGCGGGAACCCTGTCTGTTGTGGGTAGAAAGCCTGTTGAGGTTGCTGAAATCCAGGCTGTTGAGGCTGCTGGAATCCAGGCTGTTGAGGTTGCTGGAAACCAGTCTGTTGAGGTTGTTGGAATCCAGTCTGTTGAGGTTGTTGGAACCCGGTCTGCTGGTACTGCGCCGGTACTTGCTGAGCCATTGGCTGCTGATTCTGTTCAATCGAGTCGAAGAAATCAATCAAATCCGTGGGTGGCGGCTTTTGCTGTACAGGTTGCTGCGCAAATTGCTGTTGCTGGGGTGGGTTTGGAACTGTGTTTGATTGACTGCTAGCGGATAAGGCCGATGCTGCAGGCGGAGCACGACCTTCTTGCTTGATTCCCTTCCCAGACAAATATTCTCTCCGTCGGAGATCAAAGTCTGGGTCATTCAGATCATCTTCAAGGAGACGGGCTAAGTCGGTAGACGCATGCTTGAGTTTGGGAATCTCCAAACGGGTGGCAGACTGGAAGTGTCTTGCCACTCCGAGAAAACTGACCACCTCTTCTGTCTGCTTGGTGAACGTTTTGTAAATGGACAAAGCACGTTCACTATCCGGCCTTGACATCTCAAAGTAATGTTCTATTGAAGGTCTGTCAGAATTCTAGGTAGACTTGAAATTCGACATGCGAAACATACCCAAGACATTGATTGTTCCCTCATTCATGACTGAATATAGGACCAGGAGGTCGAGGGTCAGAAGGCGAAATGCGGTCAAGCTGATCTCGTTCTCGGGCTCATCGGTCAATAGCTATGTGGCACATTAGTTTGACGGACATTAGTCTCTACCCCGCAGAATTTCACCCACATCACACCGCAGCAATGCCCTGATCTGCTTCTGTACAAATTCCGTCTCCCGCAAAAGACCCTTGTCAACACTTAATCGCTTCAGACGCCCTGGGCCGCTTCGCACGTAGTCGGTCTTCGTGGCATCGAACGCCTTTGCGCGGGTGATGAGATATTCAGAGTATCGCCGGATGTTACGCCCCTGCGATTGTGCTGCACATATTGTCAACGAACTGTATCCCATACTTGATTGCTTGTGAGTCTCACCTTCCGAGAAATTACTGGGCGCAATCTTCTTGGGGTTGTCAGCAAGGAAGCCAAGCGCGACATCTTGCTGGCCCTCGCGAATCAGGAGGTGAACGATGATCAACGCTTTGAACACGATTGTCCATGCTGAGTCGCGAAGTCGGTGCTGAAGTGTTCGAAAAACTTCCGCAACACCCGCCTCGCCAGTATGGGTCGCCACCAGGATGGTTTCGACATATTTAGATTTTGGAGCCGCAAGCTATTTGAAAATACAGGTTTCAGTATGCGTATAAACCGCGTGGGGTAGATCGGCAACACTCACCTTGAGCTTGGTGGCCCCTTTGACGGACTTCTCGAAGCCGGTCATGGTCCTCGGAGTGCTGATTTGTGGCCGTTCTTTTAGTGGAATTTCAATTGCGCGTGTTAAAAGGATATAATTCCGGGGAAGCTGTCGAAGAGAAACTGCAGGGCCCGCTTCAGAAATGAATGCCTTGGAAAGGAGCCGTGTGGATCCTCAATCAACACCGGTATCGCCGACGGGGTGGTTCATTGGGCCATCGCGGGAGCCTGGGGCAGGAATGACGACACTTTGCAGAGGGTTATCAGGGTTATCGTAAACACGGCAGGGCGCACACGACGCGGGGGTAGCGATGTAAGGCTAAAGATATGAGGGGGGTTGGGAGTAGCCTTGGAAGTCCAAGGGTTAAAGAGACGTGGGCGGGAGCTTGCAGTGGTTCGTTGCGGCCCAATCAGGTATAGCGTGATTGGACAGCACGAGGATCGTCGGTAATGTGTACTTCCGGGGTATTCATTGTGAGTCTACATGGTTTATGTTGAAGTATATTTACTAAAGACGTCCTATATTGGTTGGTAGGGATTGATTTGATTTTGAGAGTTATTATGTGGATTTCAATGTCTTCTGAGGTGACTTAGTTAAAATGGTTGGCAGCTTGAGCACCAGACAATATATACTTCCAAACTTGACTTTAGTAGTGACCACAATGGCACACTCAACACTGAGGGAATTTCAAAAGTTGGACCAATTTCACACCACTCAGCCTAAAGAATACCCCAATAACCCACCTGGGCAGGGTGGAAATATTAATATCAAATTTTCAACTTTCCAACAATTCAAACTGATCTTTGCTTGATGAACTGAAGCACGTCTAAGAAACTGGGCTTTATCTTTCTCCAACCCTCAAGACTGTGCTATCTGTTTTGATCTTTTACCTTCGAGTCTCTTCTTTGCACCATTACTTTCCCTTCTTAACTGCCCCTACACCTACAATATCTCTCAATACAACCTTCTCTTCTCACCTGTCAAGTCCTCAACCTGCTCTGACCCCCAAGTATCATATCGTTCAAACATCTCATTATGGCGCAAAACACGACCCCGAAGAGACCCAGGATCCAGTGGGACACGACGAAACGACAAGTATTATGCTGCCTTTACAGATTCTTTTCTTGGGAGAAGCAGGTCCTATGTCGAGTATTTTCAGAGATCTTTCGAGAGCATCTTCTCGAGTTGGGCATTAAGACAGATCTGCCTTATCCTCTACTCCACACGCAGTGGTCTGGGATGCGGCTGGAATCAAACCCTGTGTGGTTCCATGTCCATGTTGACACCGAGTTTCGAAATGATGCTGAATGGAAGACGCGGATCAGCGAGATAAAAGCAACTGCCAGTTTTTTGGGGGTCTATTTGCAAGAGAAAGCGTGGGATAACATTGATAAGTCAAAGTCCCAAAACTTCGACTGTGAGAACGATAAGAGCCTGAAAGCATATTTTGAGTCGATTCTGCTGTCGGTAAGGACAGAAAAAAAAAATTCATGACGATTGTTAAAGCCTTGGCTAACATCATGATGCGTTCTGTAGGATCAAAATCCAATCAATACCTCCACCCAGCAGGTTGCCCAGTCACCAGTGCAACAAAGCAGTGACAACCAGGCTGTAACACTGAATAAACCTATTGAAATGGCATTCAGACAACGAACAGAAAGTCTTGTCTCCAGCAACGGCAAACTTTGTTTCTGGTGTCACAAAGAAGGGGTTTACTCAGAAGACAAAGAGCAGTCTTCAGACGTTATGCAGTTAGACACCATCCCTGGCAATGGATATTTGCCTGGAACACATTCGCCAGAGATTATTCAAGAATATGAACCCCCCGCTCACGACGAACCTACCCTCTACAAGAATGAGCATCTTCCTGGAGCTTGTTCAGCAGAGGATTTACCGCCTCTCTTGTTCAGGTGGTCCAATGCTGATTCCCAAGGAATAAATTGTGAGACTGGCTATTGTGCGGGCCTCTTCGCAAAAGATGACTCGACGAATATTGATCTGGCTCAACTCACCCAGGAGCAATATCTTGGATTCTTCAAAAATCATGTTACCAAGGCGAAAGTATCGTCGCCTTTCATTTCCACTTTCACACTCCCGCTCTCGCCGGTACACAGAGCTCTTCACCACCAAAAAGGAGCCATCATTGCCATAATTGATACATCAAAGCTTGAGACCATGGTTGTCAAAGCTAACATTTTGGTGCCGCTTACCCAAACTGAAACGAAAAGGTGGAAGGGATATGGTGAGTACCTGATTTGGCGTGAAATTCCTGAAGCTGCAATCGCATGCGTGTTCACCATAAAAGATTTCGAATTGATCGCGAATGGATGTACGGAAATGAGAGAATTTCTCCAACTGGAGCTGATTAGAAGCCGAACATTCAGTGGAATGTATCTGTATTGTGAACTCGCTCGGAGGTTGAAGAACACTACAAATCATTACCTGACCCTGGAAAGACTGGCAACGTCTCTCAAAGTACCAGCTGAGTACACAGCGCTCGTCATAAACAGGTTTGAAGTAGCCTGGATGAGGAGATTTGGTGACAATCTCAATTTTGAGCTCGCCGAGTACAAGCCATTTGATGATGTGATGGACATTGAGGACGATATTGAAATGACCAACGAAGGAATTTGGACTCATCATCGATTCTATTACAAGGGGGAGGAACAGTCTGGCGCATCAACATATGCGCCTTCACGAACTGACCTGGACCACAGCTCTGAAAGCGAAGAACAGCCACAGGAAGAGAACGGTTCCGCTTCACCAGAGGCTCTTGCCCGCCGTCGTGACACGCCTAGTCCACCTTTCTCGACCCGGGATTCCCCCGATGATGATGATGAGCCCTGGTATTCTCATCGGGTATCTGAGGAAGAAGAAATGACGCTTGAGGAAGGAGGGCTCCAAGACGTTCAACTGTGTACGCCCTCAAGCCATAACTCCTACCAAACACAGGGAACACAGGAGACAATGCTCATTTCTCCTGTTCCGTTCGATTTTGAAAAGGAATCTAGTTGGCCACCCTTGGACAGGTATGCTTGACAATGGGAACGATAAACAGATTTAGCAAATACTACAGTTGAGATGATGATACTTGAAAAGGACCCATGAGTGAACAAATGTTGTCGAGGTTAGAAATTGTCAAGCAGAGGAACAAGTGAAGTGCGATTACATAGCCCAGAAACGTGAAAGATGTACCAATACAAAGAGGTTGAAATCTGTCCCACTCGCATGACATCTCACAGTAAGGTTGACACGTCGACTATCCTTCAGTGATGGAACATTCCACATCCACACATCCAGGTTTGACGGTAGAAAGGGTATGACTGGATATTAAGTGATATCGCCTGGAGTGACTACTTGCCGGTCAGTCGTTGAAATCAGTTACTACGATCGAAGCAAGAATGAACTGTACATTTCTAGCCGTACGACACCAAACTTGCAGTAAACGGAAAAATCGATTCCTCCTAGTGTATCAAATCACAGCTTGAAAAAGCAGAAATTCGAAGAAATTAAACATGCAGTATCGAGAACAGACCCGCCCCATGATCTTTATCGCCTGGGACGGGTGTACGGGTTTCCATGGCAGGAGGATCGATGAAATATTTTTGCTTTTTGTGTGGATACACATTCTTCAGCAAGGTATCTGGGACATTGAAACTCGTAAACTATCCCGACCCCGTCCTAGAAATTCCTCTATATCCAGTTCAAACCGCTTCCTTCGCCGTTATTGTCCATTCCGAGCACCCAGTTTCTTCAAACGCTTAGAACTTGGCGAAAGACTTGACAGCCTTACCAGTGCGGGGCAGAACACGCAGAGTGTTGAAGCGGACCTAGAGAACGCAAGTTAGATATAGTTCAGACGATAAGCAGGTATAGCGCATCCGGTGCCGAGGGCGACAGAGTTGCATGTTTCAAATATTGAACATGAACCCAATGCCATGTGGCAGCAATTCATGTGCTTTTTTCCTTTTCTTGGGTTCAAAACGTACAGTCTTGGAGAGGGGACGGCACTGGCCAACGGTGACCCAGTCACCCTCCTCGACACGGAAAGCGGGGGAAACGTGGGCAGCGAGGTTCTTGTGGCGCTTCTCGTAACGGTTGTACTTGGGGACGTAGTGGAGGTACTCGCGGCGGATGACAATGGTACGGTGCATCTTGGTGGAGACGACACGGCCGGTCAGGATACGGCCACGGATGGAGACGAGACCAGTGAAGGGGCACTTCTTGTCTGTAGGAATTTGTTAGTGGTTGGTTTGACCCTGGCTCGGCTGGTAGGTCATCAAGGCGTTTTTGGTCTTTTTTCAAGGTATGGAGGCGCATGTTCCGTGGAAACCGATAGCATCGTCGCTATTCCTAGCAAGCTCAATGTCGTCGCATCATTCAATCGTTGTCGCACAATTGCAATCAACGCTTCCGTAGCCCTGGCTCCACCCTGTTCTTTGCTTCCCTTCCCATCCTCGAAAAAGACCAAAATTCCCGTAGATCTCGTGCCGTTTGATGAATTCGTGAATCGTGCATACCGATGTAGCTGCCCTCGATGGCGGTCAGAGGGGTGCGGAAACCGAGACCGACCTCCTTGTACCACCGGCGAGTCTTGTCAGCCTTCTTGGAGGACTTGGCCTTGGTCTTGGAGTTCAAGAAGATGTGAGGCTGCTTCTGGAAAGCGCGCTCGGACTGGACGTTCAACTCGGTGGCCATGGTTGCGGTTGTTTTCCTGTCGACGGAGGAAGCGGGTGTCGAAGAGATTGGCGGGTTTGACGTCGAGAATCAGGAAGTTTCGCTAAAGGCGAAAGGTTTGGAGCGGTGATTATTGTGTGTGTGGCCACTAGCCCTATTCGGGACTAGCTCATAGCGGGTTAGGGCTTGATCCTTATATAATCAGCTATCTTACATAATCCACTACCCGCTTTGTTTACAATCACGTGTTAAACAACGCGCCTAGGCGTGTTTGGACTACACGGACATCAAGAGGGGAATGCGACAGGCTTCATCTGAGCTCTCTCCCGCCACGCCCTTTAACTAAACCATGCTTGGATGATTGTTTGATACTCCGTGGGTGCCGCCATCATGTCCTCTCGACCCGATTCTGCGGCCACGCGCCCGCGCTCTCGTCGCTCCATTGCTCATGTGCCGCGATCTAAGATGACGTCTGGACTGGATAAAGAAAATGCGACAACAGATATCGGCGCAGCGCCGCCATTCGGGGCCAACAGCAAATCTATCACGAGGGACAAGAAGTCCCGAAGTAAGAGTTTAGGTCCTGGTGGTCTTGATGCTCTGCAGAATTCAAATGGCAATCGTCGCAAGGTAGCTACAATCTATTCCTCCCCACTTATTCTGGCATTGAATAACATGGATTAAAATTTCTTTCAGTCGACGGCCTCTTTCCCCCTGAAATCCATTCTAAAGCCCACTGTACCTGTCTCACCGGTGCGCAATATCCCATCCTTCGAGGAAACCCGCCGTCGCACCCCAGCTCGAGATGCACCTAGCCAAAAAGCCAATGCCGATACTCAAAACCAAGAAGGCCTTTTGATTGATTTTGCGACCCCATCTCAACCTCCTGTCTCAGACGCCGATGACACCTCTAACCCTTTTGATACCTTTAATGCGACATCGGCCATTCGTGATGAAATGGCTGCAACCAAAGAACGTGACGACAAGGAACGCAAGGAACGTGAACGCCAGAACATTTTGGAGAAACGCGAGGCGCGACGGAAGTCAATGGGTTTGTTCTGGTCTTACGAGCGTGTAGAGGGAAAATACTAAAATTGTTCTACTAGCAAATCGCCGTGTATCGTTCGCACCTGAAGCTACTCTCCATACGTGGAATGTCGTTGAAATTCCCGATGACTCAACCTCATCATCTGCTGCAAATTCGACCAGGCGTGCCTCTTCAATTGCCGGCGCCCAGGGCGAGCACCCTCGGCCCTCTCCAGAAAAAGTAGCTCCCTCTTCTCCCGATGGAGATGCGGAGTCCGAATTTGGCTTCTCGCCAGTTCGGCAACAGGACCTCGAACTGATAAGAGGTCAATCTATGTCGTCTAGGGAAGATGAAGGTGGCGCAGGCCTTTCCTCAAGTCCTTTTAGCGGAAGCTCGGTCTCTGGAAGCGAAGATACAGGGGCGCATAGTTTGGCTGGTGAGGACGACGATGACCATTCCTCGGAGTCCGATGATGGATTTGACGCTGAGAGTACCGCCATGAGTATGGACGATATGACTTCCCGCTCCGCAGCAACCATGCAGTCGGACGCAACCGCTAGTTCTAGCTCTAGTGCCAAACTCAACGAGGCACTACGCCAAGCTGCAAGAGAGGCCGGGACGCAGCTTCTTGATGATGGAAATGGAGATATGTCCATGGAAATTGCAGATGAAGAAATCACAGGTGCTTTCCAGCCTTGGATCAAAAAAGGTCAAAGCTTCGACTGGGACGATATCAGCTCTCGGCTTGATCAGGAGAATGTTGATCCGGCCAAGGCCGGGTCCGGCGGACAGTATGCAGAGTCAGAAGGAGACCAAGATGAAGAACTCAGCATGGATGTTACAAATGCTATTGGGCGCATTTTGGGCAATGGTCGTCGACAAAGCGCCGCCCCTCGCAAATCCCTTGGCCAGGAAACAACCTACGACGATCAAACAATGGAAATGACTACCATGGTTGGAGGCATTGCGCAAGGAACCCCTGCTCAATTCAACGAAGATGACACCAATGAGGATGAAGAAATGACCATGGAGTTCACTGCAGCTGTTGGTGGTCTTTTGAATAGATGGCCATCTCAAAATCTACAAGATCCTGAACAGCAGAATTCATCCACCCCAAAGTCTGATCGTATGGACTCCGAGCAAGACAATGACTCTGATGGGGGTATGGAAATGGAAATGACAGGCGCTGTTGGTGGTATTCTACCGCCTGGGCTCCAAACTCAAGACAGGGACCAAGCAAAGATGCTTATGGAACTCGAGACAGAGTCAGGACAACTTGGTAGTTCTCCTTTCCAAGAGAATGTTCGACAATCACCGGTAAAATCTCCAGCAAAGTCTCCCCTCTCACACGTTGCCGCCGTGGCCTCTGAGAGTGGTAGCCCTAGTCTGGCAAGTATTCGATCCCGACCATCGCGACGTAGCTCTATAGCTGGAACGAGTACGCCAGGGACTCCAAAGTCAGCAAAACGCACTCCATCAAATAAGCCATCGACACCTCCTAAACAGTCAACGCCTCAGGTAAAGCCTACTACACCGGGCAAGACCCCTCCGTCCGCCAATGTTAGCTTTCGAAGCGCTTCGCCGAAGAAACTGTTTCGGCCTGAACTTCAGCAGTCTGCGGAAAGACGCAAATCTCTTCGCCAAAGCATATTTGAACAGAATATGGCGACTGGACAGTCAACTCCTCGTATCGTCTTGCAACCACGAGAGGGCCGTCGCTCCTCAGGGCTTGGGATCGATAAGGAGGGGCTTGGATCTCCTCGCGTAGCTGCGATACTAGACGAGCGTCCCTCGCTCGGTGAAAGCACCCCACAATTTACTCCCCAGCAGCCGTCGCGAGGCGGCGTGCGCTTTGAGGATCCATTGAAAATGCAAGAGGATGAAGAACGAGATCGCGAGCAGGAAGAGATGAGGGAAGATGGTCATATCCCTGTATCTAAATATGGAGATGGCGATGTGACCTCCAACCTAAGGGATATGATTTCAAGCATGAGCCCCAAGAAGAGCAAGCTGGGCAACCGAAAGAGTCTGCATGTTGGTGCGGCTCTTGGCATCCTAGGCAAACGTCCTCTCGAGCTTGATATGGACGATGAGGAGACGGAAAACTCTCCCAAGAGACTTCGTGGCCGAGAGGTCAGTCCAGTCAAAGGCGTGAGGCTGCCAGCACCAATAGCTAGCGATGAGAGAAACCGCCGGTCGATCCGGTCTCCCATTCGGAGAGCTCGCAGCTCTTCGCCACTTAAAGGCAGCACTACCCCTACTTCAATTTCAGAGCTTCAAACCCCCACCAAGACTGGAGCAACTCCCATCAAAGTGGGAGTCGATGCCTTACATATTGCTTCTGATCCTCAGCAACCGGAAGAGGAAGAGGTCTCGACTCAAGGTCAAAACACAGACTTCGAACCCATTCAACTTCAAGATTTCTTAAACATGACTAATATTCATTTTATGGAACTCACGACAACAAAGAGACGGCACACAACTGCCCCTGGAAGTGCTAAAAAGAGGCTGTCGTCCAGAAGATCGAGCGAGATCGTTCCCAAGGCAGGCACGATCACCTTTGATGATTGTGTGGCCGCTGGATTCTGCACAGTCCCCATGCTTGAACTTTACCAGCACTCCTGTCGTGAATTGAAGTCTTATATCTCTGAAGGTCGGCAGGTGATTCGGTCCATTGAAGCAGAAACCTACACTGAGAATCCCCCTCTTTTCCAGGAGTATGTCACAGCCCCTCCCGACATTCGCGTCATTATGGACAATCAGTTCCGAAATGTCAAGACCCACGCACGATTACTCAGTAAAGCCACGTGGTATGAGTGGCGCATGAAGCTTCTTGAGGGTCTGATGCAAGGTCTCCATCGCCATGTCGATGATATGAAGGCCGATGACGAATTGTTGTCCAAGCGTGAAGAACTTCTCGGAAGCACCGTACCTTCGCTCGTGGAGAAGAATGCCTTACTAGAGGATGAAGCAAACAGCCTACAGCGATTGGTGGAAGAGATGGAAAGCTGCGACCAGGATGAGCTACGGAAAGCACGTGAGAAGCTGTCCAACGTTGAAGACGAGATTGAAGTCAAGAAACGGGAACTCCAGCAGCTGCAGAATGAGGTTCACGAGAAGACTGTGTCGATTGAAGCTGGCACAGAAATGCGTGAAGAATACATGGCTCAATTTCAGGAGGCCGAGCGAGTTAAAGAAGAATGCCGTGGGTGGAGTGCTCGAGATATCAGTGACCTTAAAGGTAAGATTGGTTCACTGAAATATGGCTTATCGAAGTCTTGTCTGACTGAAAATAGCTTCCGTTCACCAGATAGAGCGCCAGACCGGATGGTCTATCATCGCTGCATCAACACCGACAGAATCTAGTGATCCCATGTTGACTATGTCATACCGAAGCCAGCTACAAATCAAGTTCCACCCCGGAGCATTCGCCACCAAGAATTCAACCACCACCGAGAAGGCTAACCTCCCTCTTGAGTTGATCTTTACCAAGAACAAGGCTATATCTCCCATCGCATCATTGGTCCTGCAATCAATGCAGCAGCATCTAGCTACGGTGCAGCAATTTAATGTTGCGCCGAAACATCTTCTCCGCTTCATATCTACCGCATGGGACCGCACTCTTGGCCTTGAAAACGAGGCCCGTATGCTGGAATTCTGTGGTGTAACGCGTCTCACCCTTTCCGATCCAAGAAGCAACCTCTTTCTCCGCGCCCGTTGTACACTCCTCGGCAATGCCGCTATTCCATCTACACCAGGCAGCAAAGGTGCCGCGGCAAAGTACGGCGGGGCTAAGCGGATTGACGTTGATTTCATTGTGCGCACGCGCGTTAACCTGAAGGATGACTCGCAGAGTATTGGAAGCTTGGATTTCGACATGGATGTTATTGCGACCAAAGTCTATGGCTTCGGCTCTGGTAACAAGGCCGGTTTACCAGACAAGGAGATGCAAAGTATTCTAGGCAAGGGGCTTGACAGTGGAGAGGCAGGAGCTCTTGGAAACGGAGTTTGGTGCAAGGCGGTCCAGAAGCTTACAGGGTCTGTGTTTTAAGATCATTTTAGTGGGTGTTTTGTTTCTTTTCTCTTGATACCTCGGTTTATTAAAGGCGCTTGATGATCAGTGGAATAGGTATGGGGCAAAGGAGTTTATGTGTACCGGATACCTTTTTATACTACCCCGATGACTATGGCGAGCATTTACCATTTCAATGAATATCCCTTCTTCGGAATTGTACTTCCATAGATCTCTGAAGCACGGTGTTCGTCAAGAGTAACACCATTCAAATGTACCTTAGGAGCTCTAGGATTTGACTTCAAAGTCTAATTCATCCAATCCATTTCAACCAAATACCAAAAATGCATAATCATGTCGCTCATATTACACCCTATGCATGCTCCAAGCCCTCAAAAGCAACGCGCCACGGCTCCATCATTCCGTCATTTTGTAAAAGAATATTACAGATTCGCAAAAGGGTCGTCGACACAATGACGAGGGAATATTCTGCTCAGCGGAGGTAATTATTCAGGTAGTCTAGAACATACCCATAAACCCATTCGAAAAACCAAACTGAGCGGGATCCTGATCCCCTTGGTTTTGATTTGGATAGTGACCAGGCCCTTGGCTCTGACTTTGATCCTGCAATTCTGTCGGCATAAAGTTATACCCCATAGTCTGAGTCCCATAGCCCATAAAGCCAGTAGGATCGTTCTCGAAGTTATTGTTCACTGCCTCCGGATCCAACGGTCCATTTAGGAAAGAGTCCGCGTTGTAGATTGGCATGGAGGGCTGCTGCATGGAACTTCCTATGCTCTCGGAGCGAAAGAGGCCTGCCCATAGATTTTCACCGAATTCCCAGTCTGCTGTTAAGGGAACTTGCCATGATTCAGGGATCATGGTTCCTGTGCCGTTGCTACTGGCTTGGGAGTAGGGACTCTGGATGTTTTCGTGCGGGGATGTTGCTGTTGATGCGGTGTGATCTTGTCCTAGTTGCCAGGATGGATAGTTGTTTGCAAATGCCGGTTCTGTGCCTGGTCTGTTGAGATCTTGTATACCGAGTCCAGCGGGAAAGGTTGTTTGGTGGTGGGGATTGGTTGTCGTACGGAAATCATTGGTGTCGTCTGGACTCATAGGGACGACGTATCCGGACGAATTAACCGGCGGGAAACCTTCGATGGTTTCGGGAATACTGAGATCTAACTTGTTTGATTGGTTCGCGTCTGATGAGTTTGAAATGGAAGGAGCAGTTGCTTGGAATTGATAAGCAGCTGGGTTGAGGTTGGTGGAGGGTCGATTGGTTGGAGCTCGGTGGCGCAGTCTCGGGTGTGATGCTCGGGAGCGTTGTCTCCTTATTCCTGAGGGTTGATCTTCGTTGTCTTCGTCATCGAGGCTCCGAGTCCGTTTCTCGTCTCTATCGACAGCCAGTCTTGCGATGCGTTCCAACGTGGCACTCATTTGAGTCATGAAGCCTGCATAGCTTGCTGGGCCATCACCAGATACAAGGGTTGCAAAGAACGTCGCTGCCATATTGAGAGACTTAAGATCTTCCTTCACCTCTGGACTGCGAGTATCTCGAAGAATATTGGAGAATATAGTAGCTGTTGAGAGGAAGACATAGTATAATAAAGACCTGGGGGTTATGTTAGAATGCAGCAAAGTCGAAGAAGATATAGGTACTGACCAGAGCCAGGCGATGTCACCCCAAGGCATGTTATTCACCAGTCTCAAAGTATCTCGTGCGGCTGTCACGCAAATGACGGCTGATTTTGAGGCTGATGCTTTGCTGAGGGACACCAGCTCTTCCGAATCCCCCTCACGACGCGTTATTAAGAAGTTCAGAAGAAGGGGAATCCGATGAATCATGATCAAGGCATTATAGTAGACGAAGTGGAGGCCAACGGAGGCAAAGCCAAACAAAAAGTCACTTTCGGCGCCCTTCAACCTTGGTACTTCAGCGAAAGGATAGTCTTTTTTCCACAGCTCGAGTTCAGCACTGAGCTCTTTGACGGTTTCATAGATCTCCTCGGGCTCCTTGAGCAGGGACTTGGCAGAGTACAGCCGGCAATAAATCCGACTTTTGATAAGACACATGCGACAAAGCTGGCAGAAAAAGTGAATATTCGGGGCCACTTCGGGGTCATTATCATCTTCTGTCAATTGTGGGAGAGGAACATCAAAATCATCAGGGTGTTGAGATGGTGCATTTCCAGCCCTCAGGCATGTGCTAAACAGGGAAGGCGTTAGCGTATATGCATGAGTCAGGATGAATCAATTACCTTTGGTCGACCGTAAAAGCCACCCAGAACACACGTCGCCTTTGCTCTTGCTGGGCAGGGCTCAAATCTGGTCTTGGAATATTCCGATGAAGTCCCATTCTCTGGCATGACCGCATTGCCGCCGTCATGAATGGTAGTGCATATTGGGTGCCAGAATTACCCCGAAGAAAGAAGCCCTTTCAATGATAACTCGTCAGATATAGAGCGGCGGAGGAAATAATTTAAAAAAACATACCATACTGATCAAAGCCTGCACACTTAATAGATCCGTGCGCCGCAGTGCCAGCTCTGTGAAAACAGACATGGCATTCTTAAAGTATAAGCGGGCCTTTTCTCGGTCTTTCTCCGGTTTCAGGCTATTGGAGAATCGGTACTCATAAGCCAAACATATTACGATGTTGATACTGGCCCATCGAGCAGCATCATCACATGTCTGTTGTGTATACTGCCATTCGACCATCTTCATGAACGAAGCTTCATGGTAGATTGGGAATAAACGATTTGCGGTTCGAAAGAAGTCCTTGATAAGAGAAAACACCTCGGATCTTGGCGGAAGTGGTTTATAGACTCGAGAGGCAAATAGATCATGAAAAACATCTGGACGCCATTCGTTCCACGGATCATCATGGGTTGAGCGAGTAGATACAATGCTCATGAAACTGGTATCCCCAGTTTTGTTCTTGATCCACTCAATTCCACTCCGTGATAAAATAGAGAGTGAACTGCAGCGGCCTGGCATATGTAGTCAGCGGCATATAAAACAATGCAGCCACAGCTTGAAGGGGGATGCGTACCGAAGTATCTAGAGTCTTCACTTTCATGGGTCTTGAAGAGGGGGGGTAAGTGCGAAGTCGCCACCACTAGAAAAGCGCGCAACCTCTGAGACTTCAGAGAGATCTGATACACGGCCAGACGAAGTTGGACGGTCATTATTCTCCCAATATTCATCTTCATCTTCATACTGATCATCGTCCTCGTCCTCTGAACGGGCATCTTGACCAATATCGCTCTCGTGCAAGACACCAGCCGCCACCAGTAAGGCTTCAACCCTCTCCAAACGATCTTTTAAGGACTCAACATACTGATCACTACTAGAATGATGTCAGTTGAGCTTGTTTGAGAAACAAAAAATAATTTTTAATCATTAAAAAAAAAAAAAAACGCAGGCCGCGAATATAAAATAGGGTTGTGGCGAAAATACCTTTGCGTTTCATTATCATTCTCTTGCGGCTGTGGCTGCGGCTGTTGTTGCGAAGGAAATACACACTTGGTCTTACGTCGAATGCATTGGAGACAGACCATTTGAGGCCCTTCGACCTCACATTTGGTCTTTTTCCGGTAACACATATCACAGGCCTGACCCCCCAAAATTAGCATTGCCGTACCTAAAAAGACCGCGGGTCTCCCCGGCAAGGAGCAACATACCCTCTGGCTTCGTCTCCGAGCACCAGACACCCCGTTGGACGTGGAACGGTTGTTGGGCATTCTGGTGGAGTCGGCATTCATTGCACCGCGGGGATTTATGCCAGCCGGCCGGCGCATTGCGTTGTGCATTTCCCCCAAAACGGAGTGTCATCCGCGGGAGTCATGCCAAGGCCGTTTGGCTTTTTGGTATATTAGCAGATGCCCCTGCTGATTTGTGCGGAGGCTTTTCTGCTTTTAGCGCGAACACTTGGACCCTTAGATATTCGAAAGGAATGGATTGATGGTGGGAGATGTCGTTGGGTCGGAGTCTCGGCATCTCCGAATTCCGGGCGGGATTTTTTTGTGTGCTGGGGTTCTCTGGGGTACTTGGGTGGAACCTTGACCCTTTGCTTGATAACGTGGGGTTTACTTGTACTTTTAATGTACTCCCTTCGCTTTTCTTCTTGGTATACTTCTTGCAGAAATTTTGTATTTTGTCATATGAGGACCCTGAAAATAAAATATGTCACCTGGAACTGCTTAAGACCAACCACATTCTTTCCGGATGTTTGTTCAACGTAGTCCACGGGTCATGTAGACCTGCACGCCAGGGCTTCATGATGTGCAACTGGAGCAGGTTCTGGAGCATAGAAATGGGAAGGTTGATAAGAGACATGGAGCTAATAGTACCAGTACAGATAACCTTGGAAAGCAGAGACCATCTATTGAGCTTACATGTTGCTATCACCAGCTTCAAAAGCGCCACCCAGGGGGACGCTGACAAATGACCCCGCACCGTTGATGGATATATATTTACGAGTAGCGCGATATAAGGCTCGCAGTTAACCTCTGTCAACGCATGTCCGACAAAATGCGCGCCATCACTGTTGGGATCGTCTCCATCGGAGATATGGGTTTGGGGATGGCAAGACTGCTCAAGGCCCATGGGTACCGGGTGATCACGGTCGCAGAAGGAAGGAGGTACGGTATATATTCCTAAGGGTCTTTCATGGTCACATGTCAGTGATTTTATGCAAACACTAATACTTGGCTACAGTGAGCATACCCTGGCGCGAATCACGGCAGCCGAAATAGAGGCGTTGCCATCTGACCAGGAACTAGTGGTCCAGGCGGACTACATATTATCCATTGTGCCTCCCCTGAGCGCACAGCTCACCGCGGAACGTATTGCAGGTGCTGTGAAACAGCCGGATACAGTGACAAAACGAGAGGCGCTCGAGGAGGTGAACAACCGGCCGAGTCGCAGCCCACTCTATTACCTCGAGCTCAATGCAACGCCCGCCCGATTGGCGGAGGAGTTGGCAGCAATCTTTAAAACTGAGGCAGACGCGGCCACATCAATCGGGCCATCGGCTCGGTGCCACTTCCTCGATGGCGGAATCATTGGGGGCCCGCCCTCACAAAGTACGGACGGAAAGTGGAAGAAACCCAGCGTGGTGCTTTCGGGTGCGGTGGACCTGCCCTCCACATGGGCAGCGCTCGCTGACGTCTTGAACATGAAGCTTGTCTCCGAGCGGATTGGCGCGGCGTCTACTCTAAAGCTGTCCTTTGCGGCGCTGACCAAAGGTCTTACGGCGCTGTCGATCCTATCTTTCTCCACTGCGCAGCGCGAGGATCTCTTGCCCGAATTGCTGAAGCATCTCGAGCAGTACTCACCGCACACGGCTGCGCTGGCTCAGTCCGGTGTTATTGGCATGAGTCCTAAGGCCTACCGATGGGTGGATGAGATGCGCGGTATTGGGGAAGCCTTTGACCGTGAGGGCGCATGGGATGGTGTCGGTAGCAGTGTGTATGGAGGCTTTGCTGAAATCTACCGAAGCGTGGCCGAAGATACCATTCTTGGCCAAGAGCGAGTCGAGGCGCGGCAGCACGGGAAGACCGTGGAGGATGCCGCCACGATCATAGCGAGACGTCAGCATCAATAAAAAATCGGGAATCACGACATCGGACCTATGTCATAGGTCCCTGGGAAGGAAAGAAAAAAAAAAAAAAAAAAAAACACCACGACGACGATCTTGCCCGACAGCGAATATCATCCAAATACGGAGTAAGGATAGAGAGGTTAGAGCCAGACCTCGGGACAATGGGGCCAGAGCTAGACATAAGTTCAAATTGATTGATGAAATGCAATAAAATTGGAGACAAGCAATACACCAAATGGAGACGGGACGGCTTGCCAAGCTTCGGGTGTAATTACACTCGTAACGGTAATTTAGTCCGCGTCATCGCACGCTTAAGAGTGGAGTCCCCTCCAACTTCCGCGACCCCGTCACAATTCACGGAGCGGAGACTAGATGGATGTTCCTAGTCCCTTCTGAATTGTTGAGCGAATGACTCCTGCTTGGACCCATGAGAAATCTCGAAAAAAAAACTTAGTAAACCTGGGGATCTAAGATCATATAATTCTTAATTTCACATACTTCCTCTTCTTCCATGTGATATACCTCTCACTTATAGACCACGTTCCTTCCCGTCCAGAGCGGTGAAGCGGGCGTTGGACCGACGAACCAGAATCCGCGATCACGACATTTCTCCATTCTATCAGATCATCGACTAGTTGATCTCGAGGCTTGAAGCTCTTGTCTTCCCACCCCCTTGTTCCCCCCCTCCCTCCGTGACGCCCCCTTTTTTTTCTGATTTTTCACGGGTATTCTAATCCTTTGATTCGTGATCATCGACGTGGCGCGGTATGCGACGTCCCCATCTTGGTGTTAGGTGATCGTGGCCGAGCTTTGCCCCAATTCTCTCTATCCCCGTGTATTGGTCTTGTCATTCCGTACAGGACTTGCTTATTCCGGGATCGTCCCCTCTCTTTCATCTGATCTGGGGTTACCGTGGTCAACACGATTGGAACTGGGAAACTTCCAATCCACAACCACTCACGTTCTCACCTGTTCCACCCCCCTCCCTCCTCTTGGGTAAGTGCCCTAAACGCAAAAAGACCACACGCCATCGTTAAGATCTTTGGGTTCTGGTTCTTTTTTGACTTTTGGGCCTGTTTTGCTTCTTTTTTTGGTCTTTTTGTTTTTTCCCTATTTCTACATTGCATACCCCTCAACCTCCTTCTTTCCTTCAACATGCCTGAAGAGCATCTTCTTCCACCTGGCACTGGTCCTGCATTTGACAAGATCGAAAATTTCAACTTCTTGTTTAATCGGCACGACCCATCAGCCTCGGTCAAAGCTCGACAATATTCTCTGGACACTGACACCGGGCTGGTCCCGTTTGGCAACGTGAACATGGATTACGATCAAACTGAAGGCATGGGCGGTTTATCCGTTAGCTCTTACGATAGCATAGACGATGACCGCTCATCTCTGGATCTCCGGGGTTATCCCTATCATGGTATGTACAAAAAAGAATTTCATTTCAAGCTTTGACTTTGTTGCGAGAGGTTGCATCTGTTGCGCCATCATCCTGCGCTGTGGTTCGTGTTTTCTGGGTTATGGCTTGGCCTGGGAGGGGCCCGGGGGAGATTGAATGTGCCACTTCCCCTTTTGCAGTTTTGATGAGTTTTCATTTGAATCCCATTTGCCCGTATTTCATCTCATGTCCGGAGTTCCGTGGAGGGACCATTCTTGGCCCCCAGCTGATCTGGCGGTGTCGTGGTGCCTCTCCCGGCTCCTCCCCTGCCAACATCAAATTCGCCATTCCCCAGATTTCATGCCTCATTTTTGAGTTCAAAAGCTCGTGCCCACCATGCTATGCAGCTCCAGGAACATCTGGGCTGTTGCGGAGTGATCTATCTCATTTCAGGAATGAGATCATCGTGCTCCCCCTAGAGGCCCCTCAGCCCAGCTCAATAGCGAGCACGCAATCCCGCATGAAAATGAGTGCACAGCCATGGCTGCCTGGCTTAGCCGGGGCTTAACTTGCACATCATCTCCCCCTCCCCCTCTTATGTGAACCCTGGATCTTATTTGATGCAAATAATGATCGTGTGCATGGTCCGGGCGGCTCCCTGGATAGGGTCGCGGATCTCTCTCTCCCCAGCTTACGGATGAACCTCTCCACTATATTGAACTTTAGTCTTCACCAAGACCAGTGCTTACTCCATTCTTCAGTTCCCACTGGTGACAAGTCCATCAATTACTCTGTCCCCGACCATATGATGCCGTACTCGGCTCATTCCATCTACCCGCCTGTCCCCTTTGCGCCCGACGAGCTCGGCCACGCTCCGGGGAACATGACTCCATCGGACGTCTCATCGTCCATCTCCCCGCCCAATGGCCAGATGGGCAACACCAAATACAGCACCTCTATCCCTGGGGACCGCATTGCTGCGGCCCTCGGCCAGGAGGAAGGTGTACGCTATGCTGCCGAAGAGGACCGGCGCCGCCGCAACACGGCCGCCAGTGCTCGCTTCCGCATGAAGAAAAAGCAGCGCGAGCAGGTTCTCGAGCGTACTGTCCGTGAAACCACTGAGAAGAATGCCTCCCTCGAGGCTCGTGTGGCTCAACTTGAGATGGAGAATCGTTGGTTGAAGAATCTTTTGACCGAAAAGCATGAGGCCACGGCCCGGATGCCGCCGCCGCCTCTGGATAGTGGTGCTTTAGAACCCAAAGCAGCTGCTGGCCGGGGTCAAAAACATATCCAGCCCAAGAAGAAGGGCGTGGGCACAGATGAGTAAACACTGAACTGAGGTTTTGTGTTCATCTTTGTTCTTTTGCCTATCTACTTTCTTCATGTATCATTTCTTGATTCCGCGGTCATCGTCGATTCTCGGAAGATAACGCTGGTGTTTGCTTCCTATTTTCTTATTACTGCTTATTGGATTTGAGTTTTGTCTCTTCGGCCTCTCTACATCCCATTATTTATCAAAAATGGATCAGAGTGCCAGGGAAGAGACAATCTCCCATGACGATGTCACGACCTTACTCTCTTATTCTCGTTCTCCGCGACTCGGACCTTCCCTTCCGACCGTGGCTTCTGCGATTCTTAGGGATGGTCTCTACTTCTGCACTTTCCCTTTTGAAGACGGTCGTTCATTATCTCTATCGTCCGATTCTCCCACCTGGAGTTTTCTCCACCTCTACTGCCCTCTCCCTAGATCCTATATTACTACCTCTTTTTCTCTTCCCCAGCCTTTACTATGCTGGTATATCTTTTCTATATGATATGATTTGATCATCTTTGTCCGAAACGATGTGTCGCTCTCTCTGACCCCTCGGTCGGACATAGGGACGGGAGACGAGACGTTGTGGGTGTGATGTGGTGTTGTGTGAATCGCAAGTTGCCCTTGGGGGCTGGGCTTTCTTGGAAGGGGGTTGGGTTTAATTTGTGCTCTTTGTTTTTTTTTGGGAATTTGTACGGGCTGCACTTTTCATTATTTTGTTCTTACATTTGGGTTTGAATTTGCTATTGGCATGCATATACAAGAGGTACAGACAGACCTTCGTTGCTTGGACCGGAATCAAGAGTCCTCACATTTTTCTCCTCATATATTACTATCACCGTAGATTACTCGCCACCTAAATCCGTCCGGTTTCAAGATGGTACTGTTGCGTATTGTACATTGTACCCATCGGCATACATACACATGTGCACACTAGTATCGTTTACATAATGTAGGTCCACAATATGATATTACCATCCCAAATCAACTAGACACTACAATTTACACAAAACAAATTCATAAAGCACAATTCCATTAACACCTAGTGAATTACCCAGCTCCGATCCTCCTAGCAGGTCGAAGACCAACAGAAACACTAAAAGCCTAGCACAAGATGGTATTACATTAGGCAAAGCACCAAGGCAGAAAAACATAACACAAGAAAAGAAAAATACCCGTGCGTATTTCCAGTCGTGAATGTTCATGCCCCAAGACAAGGGGGAAAAGTTCAAAAATAAAAAACTGGAGAAACAGGGTCTTTGACCCACACCAGGGTGGACGGGCAGAACAAGCACGACCCACGGGTACAGTATCACGACATAAGGCAGGGTCATCATGTGAATGAAAAGGGTACATAGGCGAGGGATTCGAGATCCGAGCTGCAGCCATTGCGTGACCGGTTCATACTATTTATGTGAGGGTGTCATCGGGCATTGCAGTCAGAATGCCCGGATAGGCATTACTGGGCTGGATTTTTTGACGCTGTATGCCCGAGATGCCGATCACGACATAGTTGATTGATCACGCGAGTGGAATGAGTGTGAGGTTGTGAGACACCGCAGAGGTGTCGAAGGTGCCGAGAAAGTTGGAGAGAAAAAAGAAGAAACAAAAGAAAAGGATACTGGTATCTTTAACTTTTTCTCCCTTAAGCGGCGATAGGCTCCCGCTCCTCCTCACGGCCACGAACCTCACCCTCCAAAGTGCTGACGCCATCCTCGCCGTCCTCGTAGTTGGGGTGCTGGTCGGCAGGCAACCAGGAGTCACGGTCTCCGGCCATAGGGGCATCCTGCTGGGAGAGATCGATACCCTCACGGTTCTTGATGTTGTTACGGTGGCGCTGAGAGAGGGTACGCGAGCGCTGGGACAGACTCGACTTGACAACGGCCTTGGAGTTGACCCAGTTGCCGAGGGCATCCTCGCAGTCCTGGATGATGGCCCTGCTAGCGTCGTACCCATCGTAGGCCTGGCGGGTCTCGCCGGGAGTCACGGGGGTATCATCGATCAGGTCGAGGAGGTGCTTTCCGTAGCCGGCGACGATGGCGACCTTCTCGCAGTGCTCGCGGAGGGCATCGAACTGGTACTGGAATGCGGCCTTGACCTTCTCACGGGTGATGTTGGACAGCTGGGCCTCGGCGACCAGGGACTCGGCTTCGGCACGGACAAGCTCCTGCTCCAAAACGACGATGCGGGGGGAGTTAGGGTCCTTGTACTTGAGCTTGGCGATCTCGTCGGTGATCTTCTGCTTGCCTATGTGGAGAGTTAGTTCCGATTGTTTTCTTCGGGGCCCGGTTGGGCTCGAGGGGGCTGGGGGTTCTTACGGTCTCGGCTGGGCTGCACGGAGGCCTCGATGTTACGGATACTCTTAATGGTGACACGGTACTGGTCGTAGCGGTCGACGAACATGTCCTCCAGCTCACCGATCTCGTAGATCAGGACACCGAGCTTATCCGTGACATCCGAGACGTCCTCGTCGCAGGCCTCACCCCAGAGGGAGAGTTGTTGCTAATCAATATTAGCTGTGATACTCGGTACAATTTGGACTAGAGTGCCAGCAATGGCGCACATACCGCGACCTCCATACGCTCTCGTGCGACGAGCTCCATGCTGCGCATGGCGTTCTTCTCCATCTTGACTAGCTGAGACAGCTTGCGCGCAAGGTCGGGGCCGAAAGCACCGGCGGCATTTTTACGGAAAGCATGGCCTAGTGATGGAATTGTTAGCCACTGGTGTTGCTGAATCGTATTCTCGCCGAAGTCGATGGCGCAGTCTCTGGAGCTTTGGGAGCTCTTGCTCTCCCGGGGCGGTCGGGAAGTGCCCGATCAGGCAGCTTCAGCTTCACGCCCCCAATTCCCCAGACACCACACGATCGCCAACGATCCGAAATGCCAACTTTTTTCACTCACCCAAGCCACCCTTTCCGAGCCAACGGTTCGACTTGGTAGTCGACATTGGTGGGGGAGGGTTCTCGACCTGCGAGGCGGTCGGGGCGCGCGTCTGGCGCATAGAATAGGTGCGATGCATAGTGACGGAAGTTGTAGGTCAGGTAATCCGGGGAGTGGAAGGAAGGTGATTTGGTTTAAAGAGTAGAGTTGTACCTGCAGAACAAGAAAGTTAGAAAAGAAAAAAAATCAACGTGCCTTACGACCTTGCGCAGTAGTGACGTGTGGTAAATGAGAAAGAGGGGCTCACCACGGGATGTGACGGAAGCTGTACTGCAACCGGAGGAGAAACAGGTGTTAGATTTTTTTCCTAGGACCTTTGCAGAGATATAAAAGAGAAAAGCGAAGCTGTGAAGGTGACGTCGACACTTGGCGAGCTTAACCCGATTGGGGATGGAAATGGAGAGTTCGTGTCGAAAACGAGGTTTAAAGGTTTACGGGGATTGCATAAAAATGAAGTGCAAACCGGACTACGCAGATCGAGGCCGAGCTAATGCCCCTAATACCTGCACTAAAGCGTGTCCCAGGCAACTCAATTGGGCGCTAACGCCCCAGAGATCCAATAGCGCTGATTCTGCTGGAGCGCGGTTTTGGTTGCATTTTTGGTGTTCGATCGCCGACGTCATCGTCCCCCGTCTGATGTCATGGACCTCCTATGTACCTGTCAAAACTTCCCATGGAATCACAGCGTTGCATTGGTTGGGTCAGAATTCGCTTGAGAGAGGCACAAGGTACTTCGTACCTCGAGTCATCGAGTCCAAGGGTTCCCGAAGATCGGTGGGGAGCCTGGTATGCGAGAACACTGCTTATTTGGCGGATCGGTGGGGGAAAAGCAGATCCGTTCCCAAGACCCAGAAACCTCCGACGCTAAACACAGCATTAGACCGTCTGTTGAACACCTGGGGAAACACCTGGTGACTGCAAGGAGATGTGTCTTGATCGTCATGACGCGTCTATCTCAGTCTTCCTATTTTGAATAAGCTTTGGGTCCTGTGGCCCTGTTGTCCTGTTGATTCTCCCAGCCACATCTCCAAAGTGGGGACCGATGAAGAATGTGGCGTTTTTGAGTCTCAATTGTCTCACATGCTTTCTAGAATCTCGATGGAGCTAGCGGCAGTTTTTTTTGGATTGAGCTGTGAACTGTTTTCTTCGAGATAGGGGCTGGGCCACTATATCAACCTCTTGGTCAGGATCTGCGATGTGTGACCCGCGTTTGGACTGAAAGACAACTGTGGAGAGGTTTATGCTGCTCCAGTGCTCCGTGATCGAACACATCAATGTCCAGCCATTGGCTGTATTTTTGCAGCTTATTGATTATCTTGCTGTGATCTCCAGAGCTTTAATTGAATCTGTAAATCTTAGCCCATAATTTACAAATACATCATTTCTCATCAAAAGGCTGGGTCCAACCTGAGGTCGTCTCAGCTGGCGCTGGCGCACACCATTTTGGCTCTTGAACAGAACAAGTAGACTGCTCGTGGTGTCTAGCTTCCTTGGTAATCAACCCCAACATTTGTGGCTGAAATCGGCGTTTCGGAGTGGAAACCTAACCGCTCTCAAGAAGGTGGCAACGGTCGCTCCTACAGTCGATATTCAGCGAACCACATCTGACATCGACCTCTATCTATGAGTATTGGCTTCACGCGGAGGAACGCGCTCAGTCAATACTCAAAATCCCTAGCAATCTTACAAAAAGCCGTTTCGATTCAGATTTCTCGAAATAAAAACGATTGACACCAGGCTACTCGTCATCCCCCTAACAGAAGTGGTCAGATGTTCACCAACGATTTCATCGTAGGATAGGTTTATCTTTCCTGTAATAATACACTGCTGTTACATATTGCGTGGCTGCAGGGTGAAGAAGCAGATGCTGCTGGTGCAAGCATTTGATATCCGCCCGAGTGAGAATGACGAACGTGGGCCCCCGGCTGGTCCAAAGAAGGCACAGCCACATATTCAAAAGAAGCCTTGATCCGCCCACTTACCCATGCTGACAACAAGTATAAAATGCCCCCGAGGCCTTGTAAAATCCAAGTAGGATAGCCAAGAAAGTACGTAGTATACTCCATGGTACGTAAAATCCTTCGAAGGCAGGTAATTTACCTGGGACCATAGATTTATACACTAGTATAAGTACGCAACTGGAAGCAAGTATCTGGATATTTTCCCTCTGCACTAGATAAACATACATCGGGAAAGGGAAGTGCACATGTAGCATTTTTCTGTTATGATAGGCATTGGAATTAACGGACTAAGATATTCAAGGGTCAGCTCTTTGACCCGCAATAACAGCACCATCAATATTGGTAGTTGTCCAGGGTCATATTTTATTGCACCAATTACACGTAGCAAGACCACACAGGCTGCTTGTTAGCAAGATCAACCTACCAATGGCCATACTTGATCCCAGCCCATATTTGGCATCCAATCACACAACTGCCATTAAGCCACCTGCTGTGTGGAAATTCACCTATGACGGTGATCGTCTAACCATAGTCACGTTGCCCATGAACTACATTAATATCCATGAGACTTCGACAACAGATTACCGACAAAAATACAACTTAGCACACATAGTCTAAATCAAGCCCAAGACACCGGCTGATGTTCTTCACGTCTCGGCGCAGATCGATTCCCGAAAAGCCACGGGGCCCTTCTTCGCGCTATTACCCGGAACTAACGAAGTAACCCACCTGGGCCCTGAAGAAAAAGCTTAGACCCAGCTTTGCGGAGAAACAACCCATCCTCGGCATTGTTTTGGGTATAGAGATCGCAAATAAGTTCCGTTTCAGAACAGGACCTGGCAAAGAATCCTGGAACAGGCCACATTCTTGGCTTGCTTTGGGCATTTCTCTTTGGTGGGAATCTTTCCCATGGTGATTTCATATATAGCCTATAAGTAAATACCCCGCAAACCTGATCATTGTCTGTATGGGGTAATACCCTTTCATATTCAATATTCTCAGGGTGACGCGGTGGGGCTCGACGATGTCTGCTCCGTGTCTCTTTTCGACTCCGTCTACGCTAGTGGTGCTACTAGTAGGAGTGATTGTTTACCCGTACTCGGTCTCAGCTAGTTATAAAAAGGTTTCCTCTACTCTGAAAATGGATATTGTTTGAGATTGAACCAGACCATCGTGTTTATTTATACTTTAAATATCTGAAGTGGAATTGACCGGATCGACAATATGAGATTCAGTTACTTTGCTCTCCTTGCTGCTGCGACATCAGTAGCAGCTTCTCCGCTGAAGAATGCGAAGAGATCTTCTTCATTCGAATGTTGGTGTTCAATTTACGATACCAATGACTATTCCAAGACTGATAGCCTATATAGGGTTTGGGGCCAGCGAATCCGGTGCTGAGTTTGGCTCCGGCAATATTCCTGGTGTCTATGTGAGCTATCCATGGGTATACGAAGATACATGGTCATCTCGGTCCTAATCAATGATATAGGGAACCGATTATATTTTCCCTAGCACAAGTGCCATCCAAACCTTGATTGATGATGGCATGAACATCTTCCGCGTGACATTCCTCATGGAGCGTTTGATTCCAACTACTATGACAGGATCTTTTGACGCGGAGTATCTAAGCAACTTGACCTACGTACGTAGCTACCTATGGCCCCCAACATCTACTCAGAGACTGACTAAGGCAGGTTGTGAACTACATTACCGAGGCAGGTGCCCACGCTATTCTGGATCCCCATAATTTTGGTCGATAGTAAGCCTAACCACACTGAGCTCCGCACACAAGATGAAGTACCAGCCAGACTGACATCTCAACAAGCTACGGCTCAATCATCACAAGCACATCAGACTTCCAGACATTCTGGGAAAATGTTGCGAAGAAATTTGCATCGAATTCATTGGTGATTTTCGACACTAGTAAGTACTCCGCAGACCACTAACAAACTTAAGACTACGCTCATACTCGCAGACAACGAATACCACGATATGGATCAAACCCTTGTCTTTGACCTCAATCAGGCCGCAATTGATGGCGTCCGCGCAGCAGGAGCAACAAGTCAATACATATTTGTCGAAGGCAATTCCTATACAGGCGCCTGGACCTGGACAGAGTACAATGATAACCTAGTTAACCTCACCGATCCTGAAAATAAAATCGTCTACGAGATGCACCAGTACCTTGACTCGGATGGATCGGGTACCAGCTCTACCTGTGTCTCGAGCACGATTGGTCAGGAGCGCGTCGAGTCTGCGACGCAGTGGCTTATCGATAACAATAAGGTTGGTGTCTTGGGTGAATTTGCTGGTGGTGTAAACACTGTCTGTGAGGAGGCGATTGTGGGAATGTTGGATTATATGGAGGAGAATTCGGCGGTTTGGAAAGGTGCTTTGTGGTGGGCTGCGGGTCCATGGTGGGGTTCTTATATTTTCAGTATGGAGCCGCCAAGTGGTGTGGCTTATACGGGGATGTTGTCGACTCTGGAGCCGTATTTTGCATAGACATTAGTGGACATCTGCAATGATGCACTGCAGACATATTTACATAAGTGGTATCTAGCACCTATTCATTGCTGTTCGCCTGATACCATGCTCCCGAGCTTCACGGAGTCACGGATGGATGTTGATTGATGGATGGCGAAACGGCCGCAAATGTACATTTAGTAGCAACCACTTCCAAGGTTGACATCAATTATATATATCGTCAGTATGACCAAATTATCCAAGTAGTGAGACCGTCTAGCGTCTAAGGAATGGATCACTATAGCAAAGTAGTTTAGGTTTATCATAATTTCTGTTGAGGCAGTCATGATCTGGGCGATGGGAGAACGTGTAGAAATACGGTGAAGCAAAAGCGTATTTCGCCAGTTGACGCAGTGCAGAATGATCCATGGAAGCATGGAAGAAGCCAGCAGGCGACATCAGTCTTGGCAGGTATGTATCTTTTGTGTCATACCCGTGGCTGATGTCCACGCAAGGTTCGGCGCAGCCGCTATGTAACTGCCTAAATCCCTAGATCGTGGATATGCATGGGTTCGGGATAGATTGAGTAGCCATGGATACTTAGCCCCAGAAAAGTTTATTTTCAATTAAATATAGAAACTACTTAAATGGATGTGGATGGCTGCCGAAAAAAATCAGCAAAGACCCAGAAAAAACGCGTGCAGGTGTGGAGAGAGGCGCGGCAGCCGGCATTCACGCCAAGAGTTAAAATGCAGAAGCCTAAGCAAGATCAGATGTAATATTACGCAAGCTGGACATTTTGGGAAAAATAAGGGTCGATTAAATGAGCGAGATAGCTGAATTAGTCTAGGCCATCTACTAGAGTTTTATGATTATTTTTATTATTTTTAATATAATTCTTTTATTGCCGTTCGTATTCTAGAAATAAGGAGGAAAGTGCCAAGTTCACAGGGCTGGCAGGATGACGAGGCTTGGACAGGGGAGGAATGCCGATCCTGCGCTCGACCATGGGACATGACAAGTCCCTGAGTGCTAGTGACCGCCTACGTAAGTGTGATTGTCGTGTTGTACATAGATTAACCAAGGGGCGGAAAGGGACAAAGAGCCTTTTTGGTTGAGAAAAGGTCGTCAGAATCTTCTAACTTATCACATTTGTTCTGTAGCTCAATCTTGAAGTAGAAAATGCATGATTTTTGATGTGTATAGTGCATAGACTTCATCCAAGGTTCAATACAGATCCAACCAGGGCTACCCAAAGGGGACTAGCGTTGACACGAATAGAAACCCAACGTGGCGAGCAAATTCAAAAATGCTCCACTTTCGGGGGCAGTTAATCTCTGATTGGCAGTGGCTAAGGCCCTGCGCCTCTTACAGGGAGGCTGGAGTCGTCGTTGCTAGTCAACAGAGGCTGTACACTTTCTGGGCGCTGATCATCTTAGGTTAAAACCTGCCATCTTCCCCCCCCCAATTTCAACTCTTATCCGTCTTACGATTTACCCTTCCTTCCTATAGGTCCTCCACTTTATCACCACATCTAAAATTTCCCACATCACCACATCATGGGAAAAGCCGGCCGTGTCGCGTGTATTATCACGCCTTATCTCTTAACGATCGCCACTTTGATTTGTATCATCCTCGTGGGTCTGGGATGTACCAAGGCCAGCTCTAGCACCTTGAATAACCTCTACTTTATGCGGGTAAGCATTGATCCAACGAACAATTCAAGGAGCTTCCAACTAACCAATATGCGCTGCAATAGATCGACTTGTCGAACCTCACCAATGGCACAAAAACAACCAGCGAAATCGAGGATATCCTTAATGAGTTCGACATCACCAGCGTCAGCTCCAGCGACGTCAAGGAGCTGGTTGACGAACTCGCCAGCAACGAGGAGGACAGCCTGATCAAGGAATACTACGATATCGGTCTCATGGGTTACTGCGACGGTCAAATCAACAGCAAGAAGTACAACACCACCTACTGCTCCAGCCCCAAGTCCGAGTTCTACTTCAACCCGATCTCCGTCTGGGGCCTGTCTAGCTCCGACGTCTCTGATTTGCTGCCCGACGACTACAACAAGGTCATGAAGATCTACAAGGCCGTCTCCAAGTGGATGTTCATCGCCTACGTGATCGCCTTCGCTGTCACTATCCTCGAGATCCTCGTTGGTATCTTCGCTATCTGCAGCCGCTGGGGTAGCTGTGTCACCACCCTCTTCGCAATTACCGGCTTCATCTTCACCGCCGCCGCGTCCATCACCTCGACTGTTCTTTTCTCGGTATTCAAGAGCACCCTGGGCACGACTCTCAAGGCTTACGGCATCGAGTTGTCCATGGGCAAGAACATTTTCGCCGCTACTTGGCTCGCTGTTGCTTTCTCTCTCGCCGCTACCATCTTCTGGGTCTTCAGCGTCTGCTGCTGCTCCGGCCGTTCTCCCTACAACCACAAAAATAAGGGCATGCGCGGTAACGGTTTAACCGCTGAGAAGGCTCCTTACACCTACGAGCCCATTGGCGCCGGTGCCCAGCAGCCCTTCGGCCACCAGCAGCCTACTTCTTACCCTCCTCCTCCCCCCAACTCCTACCCCATGACCAACCAGCAGCACCATGCTAGCCCTTACGAGCCCTTCCGCCACGCCTAAGTGACGCTTATGAACAAAAACACACTTTCCTATGAAGCGTTCTTGAATTGGTGATACCATGGCGTTGCAATTGGCTGTTTCCACTTGGAATCGGGATTGGCTTTTTCTTTTTTGGTTTTGGCATCTGACGACTTTCTTTTTGATGACTTACGTCTGCACAGCGCACAGCGCATCTGTTGTTGCATTCAAATCCTATACTGTATATGGTTTTTCATGACCTAGTGATGACTAGTCGAGACTATTGCGAATAAATTCGTCAATAATTACCGAAAATACATTGTTTTGAAAAATAATTCTTCCATGAAACTTTAATCTCCATTTAATTTCCCCGCCTGAAACCGTAACATAAAACATTTTCCCGTCCCTTCTTGCCAAGCAAGCTAAAAGTCTTAGCTTGACTTGCCCCTTGAGTAGGCAAAGAAACGAAATGGTAGCCCCAAAAGGGTCTGAAATTTCTACAAAAATCCGCATCACCGCACTCCTTTGAGTTCAGGTATCCATATATAAGGCTCAGACCTCTCTTACTGGTCATGTATGCCACAGTGGATCCGTGCTAGCCCCAGCCTCGAACTATTTTCTTATTTAGGGCAGTGCCAGGCTCCGTGCTTCTGGGGGCCGTTTGGTTGAACTAGTTTGTGAAGTGGGACCCCACAGGACTCGAAACAGAAAGTTATGCGAGATGAATATGAGGGTTGCTAGCAGGGTAGATAATCAATTTCCGAGGGCTGACTGGGTTAGTGCCGTGCGGCTGAGACGATCTTAATCTTGTGCTTTGACTTCATTATGGACTTTGACTTGATTATGGTATGGGCTTACACTGAATTAGTTATGATTGATAGATAATGGGTCAATTGTGTTAACCAGTGAATATTTGGAGTAATAATGTACATGAATCGAAATTAGAAGAAGAATGGTAGTCCTGCTGCGTATCTCGTGATTTACCCAGCGCCAGCAGAACAAAATAGAAGCTTGCAATCAATGCAGCGGATGAAGATAAAAGAAACGTCCGATAAGGTTGTGTCCCTGTCAACGGTGAATCGGGCGTCGAATCACGCCTTTATCGTCAAGACGAATCTTGGCACCTCCACGACGTTTTCGGTCACACTTCACGTTCTGGTCTGCTTCTGCCCAACGCTTGAACTCCGTTGGACCATCAGACCAAACTGGACCTACTGGCCGGATGTGTTGAAGCGAGAGAAACCAGTTCTCATTGTCGCTCTCCGAATCACAGATTTCTGGAGAAGCTGGGATTGTTTCTGCAGGCATGGGTTGTGTAGACATGTCCCCTGCATGAGATGCAGCCCTACTGGAAACAAAAGTTTCATCACCCAATTCAACACTAGCAGTTTCGTGAAGAGTGTCCTCAAGGTCAGTGTCATGGTCGGCGTCCTCGGGGTCGGTTTCGGGAATTTCCATGTCGATATCCTCCGCTTCCGCTTCAGCCGGGGCGGTAGGATTTTGGGCCTCGGCCTGTGTGAAGTGGTTCCTATTTGACTTCAAGCTGGAAGCGGGAGGGACGGATTTTTCATGACGGCTCTCCTGGGTGCTGTCGACCCTAATGGGGTCTGATGCAGAGTCCTCGCGCTTGATCTCCACAAAAGAGGCGCTCGAGGGTTGTTCCTGGCCAGGGGATTTGGTTGACGTGCCGCCTTGAGAGGGAGCATTGAAAGAGTTGGCGTGAAGATCTGTAAACTTTTCCACCAGACTGCCCGTAAATGAGATATCCAGACTAGGACCTTGCGTATGAGCTGGGGCCGTATGTTGCGAACTGCTCGCAAATGCAAGGATTGCTTCATCAGGAGAGGTTTGTGATGCTGCCAATTCTATGCCACGCGCTGTCAAACTGCGTTTGCTGAAGAAGGGCTGGGAGACGTTCTCCAAAAAGTAGTTCACATAGTTGAGCGTCTTAGAGCCTTGTGACGCGTTCTTTTCAAGATATCGAGGATAGTTTGTGAGATGCATAGCGATAAAGTCATCCCACAGAAACGACCGATGCAGTTTGCCTTGCTGTCGAACAGCATGTAACATCCCACACAGCTTGGTAAAATGATCGAAATCCCCAGAGTAGGAGGAGTAGTCACTGCAGAAATTTTTGTACACTGCTTGGGCGCCAGCATACGTCTCTGTATTGGTGACAAAGCCCTGCCGGCGAGCTACCAAGGAAGAGTTTTGAGTGTTAGCAATTTCAACGCCGTCCTCTTCGCTGCCTTGTGGGAATTTGTCCGAGTCTCCGTGCGAAAATCGATCCTTTCCGATGACTGAATCAGGTTGGACTGAGGGTGGGAGAAGGGAGGCACGGAACTGAGGAGAACCCCCGGGCTTGTTGGGAGTATGAGTTTCTCTCGCAGGATCTTTTGTTAACTCGTTTTGCTGGGACGCGGCGGGTTCATGACGGCCCGTCAACGCAGTGGGCGAGGGCTGGGTTGCAGAAACAGAAAAGTCATGGTGGCGTTGGGCTGGCCCTGAGGAATCAAGCACAATGTCTGCCTGGGAATTATTTGAGATGCTTTGCGATTGTGGCTGCGACTTCCACTGCGAGGCTATGCTGCTGGTTGGCAACTGAGTCCCTGGGACATCCACTGTGAATGGTATTTCTTGGCCCTTTCCAGAGGGGGTCGGAACTTCGTGAGAAGACTGGCTCTGATCATGGCTTGCATGAAAAGGATATGTGTCTAGAATACGGGATTGGGAAGATGTTTTGTGGATCTGAGAAGAGGAAGGGTTCGAGCTTGAGAGTCCGCGTTCATTTTGGTCTGGATTCGAACTGTGATGCAGCCGATTGCTTCCAACTTTTGGTGTAACCGCAACTTGTACAGACTCCGTATTCACACTGGGCAGTGGTGGACCTGAGCTTACCAGTTCCTCTCCCATCTGACTGGACTGTGTAGGATCTGGAATAGTTTCTCCAAGTGCAAAAGGCACGGACGTGTCCATTACAGACTCGTCATCCGAATCGTCTTCTTGCGCACCAAGGGAGTGCTTAGGATCAATGGCAGGCACGGGTGATTTCAGAATTATTTCCTGATTTGGCGCTGGAGTACCAGAGAATTGTGCGAGGGGCCGATGATTTGATTCCTCATTGTCTGGGGAGCCCTGGTGAATAAGTGGAGTCCTCGATCTTGCCCTGTCTTTCTGTTCCTTTTGCGCCAGAAGTCGAGAGTTCTGGGATAAATGAGTATCAGGAAGATTTTGGTCTGCGTCATTGCCCGATTCAAATGCATTCGGAGCAGAAATGGGGGCCTTCAAAGAATAGTTCTTCGGTGACGGCCCAGGAGCATTGCCATTAATAATATTGGAAATTGGCTGTTTTCTCTGGATCGGCCGAGTCACAGGACTAGAAGGAGGAAGATCATTTTGACGAGGGCGTGGAGGGGGCTCAGGGGACGAGTGCCACTCCGAGTCATAATTCTCAGTCGAGGCACTAGAGACGGAGGAGGCGTCGCTATCCTGGGTTGGAGTGACGGGCCTTTGCGAGATAGCCTCATGTCCTCCAGTCCCACCATGGCGCCGTTCAACAGCATTATTCCATGTCCTTAGTAGCGAGGGCGGTACATGCCCTTTCGGCATGGGTTCATTCGGACGGGGCGGGATCCAGCATAATTTATCGCTGTGAAGAAGCTCACGTTGGTCCTTTGGAATCGTGACATCAAATGCCCTGATTTTATCAAACCCCTCCCATGGGTTTGACCGGGGAATAACGGCATTGTGAGAAGGGACGATAGTGACCGGCTTCTCAAGTTCAGAATGGGACAAGTTCGCAGTCTCTTCAGCTAACTTTTGATTCTGAACCCCGAGCATAAGAGCCGAAGGTTCTGTTGGGGTACCGACGCGCTGCCTCTTGGTAGATGGGATATGTTCTCTTAAACCAACAGTCTTTTCCTCGTCATCTGTTTTGGATTGCCCGCTCGAGCTTTCCCGTTGTCGTTTCCTAAGAGGAGGTTTCATCTCGGTTTGTGCAGGTGAACATCCCTTGTCCCTCGCCTGATTCGGCATATGGGGGCCATGGGCACCTGGACTTTCGTGCAAGTCGACCTCGTCCCTGATTTGAGAATAGATAGAATTTTGACTTGAAATCGATTCTGCAGAATGGTTTCCAATTGGCGATTGAGCCACCGGGCTCCAAACCGAGCCATTGTCAGCTTTCGAGATTGGCTCGGCAATGACTTGCCGTTCCACTCGAGTATCGATGTTATCCCCATGCGGCTTTTCCACCTCCGGCTCATTCGGTACTATTTGGTTTTTGATTGTATGCAGCGAAGCCTCATTTGAGACTGGGAGAGGTTTGGGCTGGAGACACTTCAGCAGCTCGTTTGCTCCAACTGAATAAGTGGTCGCTGCCCTGGACTCGTTTTCTGGGTGATCGGGACCGCGAGGCGGATCACGAGGCACCTGCGAGAAGATCTGCTGTGATTCAACGCCTTCATGATAGGCATTCTGTGTGATTACAGAGGATCCCGCTGGGTTCTTTGATATGGCGGAGTCAACAACTTTAGACAAGTCTCTAACCCTTTTTCCCACCTCGTCCAATAAAGCCCTAACATCCTTATGCTTGCGGAGTTTCTTCTTGAGTAAGAATGGTGTCTTGGGTCCGCTATCCCATTCGATTTGAAAGCCACTGATCAACAGGTGAGCAATGGGTTGATATTCTGCGCAGGGAATGACTAGCTTAAAGTCTAGAAGCTTTATCAAGTATTTTTTGGGATTTGTAGGAATCGATTGTGGAGTCTGAGGATCAGGCTTGAGCACGGGAAGTAGATCATTGGAAATAATGGCGTCGATCGACAGCTCTGTATCCATCAGAATTGCTTCGTTGTCCGAGGGTCCCATACCCCACTGGCAAGTCGAAGAATATCAGCACCTTCTGAATCTTGAATCTACTAGTGATGAACATACCTCTGCCACAGTTGCTGTAAGAATATGATCATGTCTTCGAAATTTGAAGATTAGATTGGTCCCCTGTTCATCCACCTCAATATCATCCTGTGTGGTCTGGTCCAGGTACGCTCGCAGCACCTGCTGGATGAATGGTGCGATCCACGAGGATTCTGAACTCATAGCTTACTTTCGACTTGCAACAAGCTCATCAAATTCATATCTGACTGAGTAAGGCCGTAGCAATGAAAGGTGTTGAAGCGCAAAAAGTCCAAGTTCATCACATCAGGGACACAAATCACCAAAATCCACCGATAACGATAAGACGCGACGCGCTCCGCTGACTCAGCCCCACCACGTCATTGGGCGAATATCGGATTGCGGAGAGAAAGGGCGATCGAATGTTCCCGGCTTTTGTTTTTACTCTATTCCTTTCACTTTTCTTTTACGCATACCCCAAAGTTGTCAAGTATCACAGGACTTGGTGTTATGCTTGTCCTCGAGCTCTCTCGATATTCCCGGCCCGTATGACTGGCTTCTAGCCACACTTTTACCACATGCGGGGACGACCCACGAGCTGTCAGCCCAACCTACAATAATAAAGGCACACATGGAGCCGAAGCTGCATGAGTCACCAGGCCCGTCTGCGTCGCCCAGGCTACTTGGACGACGTGGATCACGAGCATCTATGGCCGCAACTCAAACCAAACGAGAAGACATGAACGCAGCTCTTGACCAGATCCACACCGCGGCGTACCAATCCGACTCGTTGACGCTTTTCAATGACTTTACTACACCACCTGCACCGGCATCAGCAATAGATGAGAAGGGGCTTTCGGAAGAGCTATCAGGAGGACTAAGCGGCCTGTATAGCCGTTTCAGGACCTCGGTCGGGGGAATCGTGAGCGGTGGAACAAAAACAACGGACAGAAGTGCGGCAGAAATACCTGCAATCAAGAGCCCGACCTCGGAGCGCTCGATGACCAAGTCAGTGTCTGATTTAGCAGCTAGTTCGGGTGACTATCAACCGTCGCATCCCAACTCATCCCAGGGTTCAAGGCTTCATTCTCCAGTGGCAACACACTTCCAGATCAGCCAGGAAGCTGCACCACAGCTGAACGCTGGAAAAGGCTCCAAGATCTCCTCCAAAAGCGCTAGCATATCTTCCAAAACCTCCGTTTCTCCCTCGCCGGGAGTAAAAGCCAACATTGGTCCACTGTCTAAATCCACAGGCAATTCGATCGCAACAGATTCTTCCATCACCCAATCCCAAGTGAATGCCCTCGGTCAAAATCGGCCTTCTAGAAGTAGCTCCGTCAACGTTCCTCAGCAGGGGCTCAAAAATGCAGAATCTGCTAGCATTAGCAGTGGAAATGGGCCCATGGAGCCGCCTTTAAGTCAAAGCTCCTCCATGCTCAGCCAGAACCTTTCGCACTCACCCGTACTATCTGTTAAGACACATGAGAGTATTCACGAAGAGCAACATGGCTTGGAAAGAAGTGGACCCCTTACGCCGGTCAACAATGTCTCAGATGTTACGCACAGAAAGTCGGTCTCTGCGGATCAGCCGAGACCAACAGAAAATAACTCTCAGGTGGCTGCTACACGGAGCTCAAAGCATGCCGAGTCAATTCCGGAGGCTGTGTCTCATTCTCAAGAAAGCAGGTCGAACTCGCGGATGTCTTTTGTCTATGATGACTCGAACTTTCCATTGGCATCAAAAACTCATGCCAAGATTGCTCCTCCGGATAGTGGCTCAGCATCAGATAGCATTACTTCCATACCCTATGAGGGCACAGAAGCACATGAGCCGCCAAAGGCTCCCACTGCAATAAAACCCGCTGAAAGACCAAAACCACTTCCACCAAGTAACCGATTGCCTGGCTATGGAATTTCGCGGGCATCCACTGCGGAGACAACCACTACAGTTGCCTCTTTGCCACCCTTGAATACCAATCTTGGGCGGACCACAGTTCCAGCTTCTCGTGATCGTCGTGAGGCGTGGCACCGAGACGGGATGCTATCACAGCTGGGGAGTAAATTGCTCAGCAAGGATTTTTGGATGCGTGATGAAAATGCTAAGGATTGTTTCCATTGTGGGGAGCCGTTCACGACATTCCGCAGAAAGCATCACTGCCGTACTTGTGGACAGATCTTTGATTCAAGATGCACACTTATCATACCCGGAACCCGATTCGGGCAACCTGGCTCTATACGGGTCTGCAAGCCCTGCGAGGCGATGATCAATGCGCATGACGATGACTCCTCTGAGTTTTCTGACAGCGAACAGAGTCCCATCATGATAAATCCTCGGGTATCGGAGCTAAGTTGGGGCGGCAACAGTGCCCGCCCATTCGCAGACGATGATGACTCTTCGTCGGTGATATCTCAATCCATTGACCATGTTCTCAGAACTCCCACTATGGCCATACCAGCGACACGACGCGCAGGTGAGGGCCGCTCCGCCGTTCTGGAAATCAATCCTGACCGTCCTTTGGCAAGACCGACCTCGTCTCGATCTCTCAGATCTTCTTTGGGTGGAAGGCCACATTCAATGGGTCACAAGCGGCATCACTCACGCCAACAGTATATTCGGAGTTTCAAGCCATATCACGATGACCGGGCGCCCTTTCAACGCCGCCACGCAGATGACTTTAGCACAGAGTCCCGGCTGCCTGCCTTTCACAAAGACAATATCATCGACCCGGATTTGGCTCAATACCTTTCAGATGATGCGTCAAGTGGTGATGAGCAACCAAGCTTGCTGGCAGCCGTTTCGGAGAGTCAATTCTCAAAAAGTGGCGGTGACAGTGAACGAGTTCCTTTCGGCGGATTGCTTGCAGCCATGAAGAAGGGAAGATCTGCATTTGGCGATCGAACCATTCCTAGTGTCATTCAACCCAGCCGAGATGCAGATGAGGTTAGCCTAAGCAGTTCGAGGGCAGTGAACTTGCCGCGTTCTTCTCGTCGCCGAAACTTGAGCGTCGCAAGCAGTGTTCATCGTCAATCCCCTAGGACATCAAGAGACACGTTTCTCCAAGATCTTCCTGTAGGGGGGAACCTCCCTGTTGCTCCGACCCAGACTGGATTCAAGCAAACCAGAAGCTCATCAATGAGGGGGGTGGAAGCGCCACCAGTTGAGCTCAATAAGGCTAGCTTGGAACACGTGCGCAGGCTTTTGCAGCAACTGTTGGCTATGTCTTCAGTACCAAATATTGACAGCTGGGAGAATGCGCTGATGCCAATTCTTTTGAAAGCAGCCGATGAGGTAGACCCCGATGTTCAGCATGGAGACGACATGGATATTCGCCACTACGTTAAATTGAAGAAGATTCCAGGCGGTCGGCCTGGTGATACATCCTATGTCTCAGGTTTGGTGTTCACCAAAAACCTGGCGTTGAAGAGCATGCCCAGAACCATTTTACGTCCGAACATCTTGATCATAACATTTCCTCTTGAATATGCCCGTCAACAACACCATTTCATGAGCCTCGAGCCTGTCATTCGACAGGAACGTGAATTCTTGGAAAATCTTGTCAGCCGGATTGCAGCCTTACGCCCAAATCTGCTGCTTGTTGAGAACAATGTCTCGGGGCTAGCGCTCGGTCTTCTTGAACAGGCCGGGATTGCAGTTGCGTACAACGTGAAGGCATCTGTTCTTGAGGCTGTATCACGTTGTACTCAAACCAGGATTGTCACATCCATGGACAGACTTTTGACCACCGCTTTGCGTAGCGACTGTATCAGCTTCGATGTGAAAACATACGTCCATTCTGGACGTAAGAAGACATACATGTACATTTCCGGCTGTCCAAAAGAACTTGGGTGCACAATTGTTTTACGTGGTGGGGACGAAGAAGTGCTGGGGAAAGTGAAAGAGATTACAGAGTTTATGGTCTACGTTGTGTACAATCTGCGTCTGGAAACTTGTGTGATGAGAGATGAATTTGCAAAGCTTCCGACGTCATCCATCGATGATTTGAAGCAAGTGACAAATGAGCGGGCCGATCAGAGTCACTACCATGGTGCCGTCCCTGAGGGTAACTTGTCTTTTGCGGAATCGGTTTCGCCGACTACCGTGGTCGAAAAGTCTACTGAGGAACTGGCAAGTAAGGTGCCAGCGACCACCGATGCTACTGCTGATGTTCCGGATGATGTTCCGATGCCTACATACTTCGACGACATGGTCCATGATCACAAAACAAAGATCTTATCAGCATCGCCATTTGTCAAGTTTGAACCCCCCTATTTGCTCATGCGCACGAGAGAAATGGAGCGACGGCTAGCCTACTTGAAGCAGCTTCGTGACCAAGATGGCAATTCAGAACAAGGTGTTGAGGAGATGCCCGCCAAGCCGCAGAAGTTCATTCTTATTACTCCCGAGATGGTTCATGAATCTCCTCGCAATGCTCCTCCGCAGGTTAAAGAAGTACTACGTGCAGCTCATGATGCGGAATATGACAGAGTTCTCTACCATTACCAGACGCAAAAGCGTCAATGGGAGGCCTATGTGTCTGGATGCTCTAGCATGTTTGATCCGTACGCTCATCAGAACATTGTTGTACTCTACAGCCTTGTGTGCACCACAACTTCGATTCCTTGCTCCGGGCCTGACACTTTTGCTTTGGAGTTTTACAACGAGCATGGGGACGAAGCGATATTTGAACCCGATTGCACCATTGGCCAATATGTCGAAGAATTATGTCATACAGCGAACGCCGTCTGCGCAGCTAACGGATGTGAGAAACGCATGTTTGAGCACCATCGCCAGTACGTTCACGGTGACGCACAGCTCAGCGTCCTGGTTCAGCCCTACCCGTCCAAACTTCGCGGCATGCAAGATACAGTGCTTATGTGGAGTTGCTGCAAAGTATGTGGACATGAGACTCAGGTCACGCCAATGTCAGAGAATACATGGAAATATTCATTCGGCAAGTACTTGGAAGTATCCTTCTGGGGAAGGAATTTACATGCTCGGGCTGGAGGGTGCCCTCACGATCTGCAGCGGGATCATCTTCGCTATTTTGGTTTCAAAGATCTTGCGCTCCGTATTCAATATGATACTATCCATCTACTGGAGGTCATTGTTCCTCGGCCGCGTGTGACCTGGAAAGTGGACAACGACTTGAAGATGAGAAACGAAGTTTATTTGCGGACCGAGAGACGTTTGAACAGATTCATGATGTCCGTTCATGCACGTTTGAAGGGCATCAATGTTCAAAGTGTGGTTCCCGAGTTGCTCGACGAGTGCAAGAAAGAAATTGACCGCTTAGTCAAGAAAGCAAATGAGAATCAAGCTGCTTTGATTCGGTTGCTACAAGAAAAATACAGCGGTTCTCGCTACTGGGAAATCATACCCCTCAATGAAGTCCTTCGGTCGGTGCAAGAGAAAGTGGTTGAATGGGACACCACCTTTGCTGAGTTTGAGCAGAGCTTCTTCCCATCTGAAAAGGACATCAAGCGGCTTGCGACTCTGCAGCTCAAGAAAATCTTCCTTGATAAAGACGCCGCATCCGTGGCCCCAGATGATTCTTCGCATACTCCAACCGATTTGGGAGACGAAAATGTCCAAGAGAATGAAAAGCCAAGGATGTTGCGCCGCATGACGCTCTCCCCAGAGAAGGCTCAAAATGTTCTGGTCTCCGTAGTGGAGGAGCATGCAGGCAAGAAACACCGAGAGAAAGAGCCCGAAAATATTGAGTTGCCTCCGTTGCCCGCGGCACCTAGCGACGAAGCTGCATTATTAGGTGCGGATTCTGTCGAGAGCAACAAATCATCTCCGCAAGATGAAGCTGTTTCGAAAGAGGAAGTTCGGCACCTTGACCTAGCTGTGCCTTCTGATCAGTCTAGTCGATCACCTCCTGATCCGAATTCGCCGCCTCTTGGTCGTTCTTTGACCAGCCCTGGTGTTGTACAAATGCTTCATGAGGCCAACGGCGCTGAAGGACCACAGGACGATGCATCACCTCCGCCACTGTCGCCAAAATCAACACACCCTTCTTACGGAAACAATAACTTTAAGGAAGGATGTCTGTCTCGTCCACCAAGTACTCCACCAAATAGGCCATCGGCCATTCCAAGATTGACCGAAGGTGCTTTCAGGCGAGCTGGAAAAGCACGCTCTCCCCCGTTAATACGTGCTCAGTCCCAGCCCGCACACCTTCTGAGGGACAAGTCCATTGGCAGTACTTCATCGGGAGGATTTAGGACAAATTTAACCAATAACTCAGTTGACATTCGAAGCGACTCCACTAAAACAACGGATAAAAAGTTTACAGATCGCCTCGGTCTTACAGCTCTCAAGAATGGTCGTTTTACTTCGGGGCACTCTCTGATTCCGCGATCTACACCGAAAGGGCGAGGCAACACTCGCGTTTCCAGTCTTGCTAGGCATTTTGAACAACTGAGTCGGGAGTTCGAGAAGGAGAGACAGAAGGAGAGGCGACAGCGAGCTGCTCAAAGCACTCAGTCACGTGCATTCCCACTGGCATCCTCAAAGCCTATCGTGGAGGTTTACAGAAACGTCCGAGAAGCCGTAGAGGAACGTGAACCCCCGGTTGATGGAGAGGAATCTCCACCATCTGTGCCGCAGCTTCCAATGGAGGAATCTAGCCGCATCAGTGAGGGGTTCGCTGATCAAATTGTCCCCGAAGAGCCTTCTCCCAAGGCTGATTCTCAGGAAACGCCTCCTGATTCTTTCGAGTCTGGGGGTATCTTCCGTTCTGACTCTCAACTTATGTCTGAGACCGAGTTAGAGGAGAGCCCCAGCGACGAGGATCAAGCTACAGCCGAAGATCTCCATCCTGTGGACTCACAAGAAGATACAAAAATGGCCCCGGAGGATGAATCGATGGATTTCAAGGATCTGGCCAAGCACGAACGCACAACACTTTTGAAAATGTTGACCAATTTCTGGTCCGAGCGCTCTGCCAGCGGATGGGCTGCTCTTGATTACCCTCTAAGTGTTATGGACCATGTTTTTGCCGACTGCGATATCATCGTACGCGAAGATGAGCCGAGCTCCCTCGTCGCATTTGCATTGGACTCGTCGGACTACAAAGAGAAATTGGCCAGTATTCAAAAACGGTATGAAATGGAGGAGCATGTCTCAGACCTTGAGGCTGACCCCGAAGTCGCCAAAGAGGCGCGAGTTGAGCACGCCCTTTTGCGGCCGACAGGTACTCACTTGAAATACCAGTTTCAAGAAGGCCAGGCCAAGATGCTTTGCAAGGTGTTTTATGCGGAGCAATTTGATGCGCTTCGCAAAAAATGCGGCGTGGCTGATCGTATTGTGGAATCACTGTCTCGATGTGCAAAGTGGGACTCCAAAGGCGGCAAAACCAAGTCATTGTTCCTGAAAACTCTGGATGATCGTTTTATTCTCAAGTCTCTGTCTCCCGTTGAGACCCAGGCCTTCCTCAAGTTTGCCCCAGCCTATTTTCAGATCATGTCTGAGGCATTGTTTCACGAGTTACCCTCGGCTATAGCCAAAATGTTTGGCTTCTACCAGGTTATCATCAAGAACCCTGTCACTGGAATCGAGTTCAATTGGTTCCTGTTGTTGATGGAGAACTTGTTCTACGATCGCAAGCCGAACCGTATCTTCGATCTCAAGGGTTCGATGCGCAATCGGAAGGTCGAGAGCACCGGCGAACGGGATGAAGTGCTGCTAGATGAGAACATGGTTGATTTCATTTATGAAACGCCTTTGTTTGCGCGTGAGCACTCCAAGAAGTTACTCGCCCAGAGCGTATGGAACGACACCCTTTTCCTCGGCCGCCAAGACGTCATGGACTATTCGCTCATGATTGCCATTGATGACAAGCGCAGTGAATTGGTTGTTGGTATCATCGACTGCATTCGCACTTACACTTGGGACAAAAAACTTGAGTCATGGATCAAGGATCGCGGCTTTGCTGGTGGCGGTCGCAATCGTCCGACTGTAACCAGTCCCAGGGAGTATAAAAGTCGGTTCCGAGAGGCCATGGCCCGATACGTCCTCCAAGCTCCGAGGTAAGTGCACTCCAATACCTGATTATCTTTGAATTGAATACTAACTTGATTCAATTAGTTGCTGGCATCAATTACAACCCAGTGCAATGTACCGATACCCGCAGGGCGAGGTGTCCAATGTCACCGAGTTGGACGTGGATGAGAATGCTGAAAACAGCATCTAGAGACAGAAAGCAACAACACCATTTCCCCTATACATAAGCTCCACCCCATGATGCTTCTCTGTTTTTTTCTTTTTTCTTTCTGCATTATGACTGATGACTTGATGACATTTGAACGTCCAAGACTGGTGTCTTGAGATATCATATTCGTTCCTTTCTAGCGCCATAAAGTGGAGATGTATAATAGAGGCATTTCACATATACTGCTGGGCCAAACCCTAACAATGCTTAGCTAATGATATTGAGCCACATAGTTAGTCACAATCATACAATTAATAAGGATTTGATCTCGTCCTATTGCAGTTTATAATACCCCAAACATCCATTTGTCCGGCGTTTACCTTGAATATGCCTAATAAATCAGGCCCAAATAACCCGAAGCTCCTCGGTAGAAACCGGGATCAATCGGGTCCGTTATCGGGAATTGTGTTTAGCCATTCAAGTCTGAAGTTTCCAATAATTATTGCTCCGATCCTTTCAATTCTTCAGTTTTCATTCCATTCAGCGGATTTTACACAGTGCGACTTTATGTGGTGTTGATGGGATATACAACGCAATAGCACCGCCGCAATTGCGCGATCATGCAGTCACCCATGCATAAGCCTCGGCCTCGGGCGTTTTCGTGACCTCTCCCCGCAACTGAGAGCCTTCGCTTCTCTTCCGGCTAATTGTTCTCTTTTTTTTTTCATTCTGCATTCTTTCGCACACTTTTATCCCCTCATTATTGTGGGTGGTTTGGAAGCGCCATACTTGGAGAGCGCTTTGCCTTACGAATACAGGCCAAACGGCTCGAGTGATCTACAACCACCATGCGAAAATTCACGCTATAAGGTTAGCGACGACACAGACTAACAGGGACGAGAATTGCAGCAACTCTAGGTCTATTGAACTTTTGTTTCCTCCAGGGAGAATGTCTAGACTAACTAACATCGCACTTGACCTGAAGGCATTAAATTCGTCTCACACATGTGTACATGAATGCATTAACTTTCTTGAGACGCGCGATGGTCCAGATCGCAGAACAGGAACGAACTTGGCTTTAAAGGAGAAACAGGCAAAGGAAAATAAAGGTATGTGTCCCACCATCGCACCAGCGATTAACCAATTAAAAAGAAGACAATGTTGGACCAGTTATCGATCCTTGTAGCTTACCAATTTTAGTTTGCTACGTTTACTCTTCGGCCAGGCCGAGGTTCTCCTCAGCAGGAACCACACGAACGGTGTTGGTGTGGCCCATACCGCCACGCCATCCCTGGACGCAGACAATGGGGTCGCCCTTGGTGATAACACCGAGCTTGAGACCGTGGTTGATAGCCCACTTGAGGCGGCGGTCGACATCCTCCTGCCAGATCTTGACGTTGAAGTCGGGCTTCTTCTCGGGGAAGTAGAAGGGCCACACACCACGGTACAGGTGGGAGTACTGGAGACATTGTTAGCATGGAAACCGAGCTCGAATCTTGAAGAGTGCAGCCTTACGCGAGAGGCGGTCTCGTTACGGGTGACCATGAGAATGGGGCACACGGGGCGGTACTTGGAGAGGAGACGGGCGGTCTTTCCACTGCAAAGTGTGTCAGTACATGCGGGTTTTTAACAAAAGCCATAGAGGGGATGGACATACCTGGTGGTGAGGACAACAATGGCACCGGCGTTCAGCTCGAGACTGGCACTGACGGCAGCCATGGCAATGGACTCGGAAGTCTCAGTGGGGCGAGGAGCCAAGTTACGCAGCTCATCGAAGACGCTGAAGTGAGGAGTGGCAACCTCAGCCAGGAGACAGGTCTCGTGCATCATCTTGACGGCCTCGCAAGGGTAGTTACCCTTGGCGGTCTCGCCAGACAGCATGACACAGTCAGCACCGTCGAGAACGGCGTTGGCAACATCGGAAACCTCGGCACGAGTGGGGCGAGGGTTGTATGTCATGGACTCGAGCATCTGGGTGGCGCAAATAACGGGCTTACCCTTGATGTTGCACTTGGCGATCATCATCTTCTGGGCAATGAACACCTTGGGGGCAGGGATCTCGATACCAAGGTCACCACGGGCAACCATGACACCGTCGGTCTCCTCGAGAATCTCGTCAAAGTTGTTGACACCCTGCTGGTTCTCGATCTTGGCAATAATCTGAATCTCCTTACCCTCCTCGCCGAGGACCTCACGGATGTGCTTGATATCGGCACCGCGACGGATAAATGAAGCAAAGATCATGTCGACCTTGTTCTTCACACCGAACTTCAGATCACTGATATCCTTCTCGGAGAGAGCGGGAAGGTCTACGTCGGTGCCGGGCAGGTTAACACCCTTGCGGGAGGAGATGTTGCCGTTGTTCAAACACTTGACCTTAAGGTTCTTCTCATCGACCACCTCGACCACCTCGAACGACAGAATACCGTCGTCGACATAGATGAGCTTGCCGGGGGAGATAACCTTGGTCAGGTTCTTATAGTCGAGGTACCTGTGATCGCGCGTTTGGTCAGCTCCAGTCTTCTACTCCGCTTGCACTCCGCTTCTCCACTCGATGGGGTCTTACATGTTCTTGTTGTCACAGGAAGTAGCATAGGAATCGTCGGTGGTAATGTTGAGCATATCGCCCTGGCTGATAGGGAAATCCTTATCATCGACGGTGTTACCGGTACGGATCTCAGGGCCCTTAGTGTCGAGGGCAATGGCCAAAGGACGGCCGGTCTGGATACGAGCAGCCTCACGGGCATTGTCGATCACAGATTGGTGGTACTGCCATCGAAGTCAATGGATATTCATTACTGGTGTCCGCAGACAAATTGCCAAGGGAAGTACTCACCTCATATGAGCCGTGGGAGAAGTTCATACGGACAACGTTCAAACCAACTATGATGCTTATCAGTCTTTGCTCGGATTTTCATTTCGGGTCTCTTATCGGGCTGCCATACCAGTGCGGAGAGCATTGATCCGCTCGACGGAGTTGGTCTTGGGACCTGGAGAGCAATTGTGCGTTAGCGAAAATTTCCCACGCCGATCATCAAGGTCCTCATTTTGAAGTAATTCAGAGCAAGAGGCATGACTGGGGGCTATTTTACGAAGGACATACCAATGGTACCGATGATGGAGGTACGGCGGAAGTTCTTGGCCGGGACCATCTCGGTGTTGAGCTTGGAGTACCACTCCAGCTTCATCCGGTTGGACAGGTGGTCAAGAGAGTTGGTGGCCGCCATTTTGAACTTCTGATCAAACTAATTGATTTTAGTATGGTAGAAGAGAATGAGATGATTTGAAGGTGGGATGGGGAAAGAAAGGTAAGGAGGGGAAGAGAAGAAGAAGTTGGGTGAGGGGCGGGGCCTGGAAAATGTTGGCCGCCGATACTATCTCCGCTCACCTAGAATCATTTATGTTGCCCGATGTTGCCCCGGTGTAGAACTACTCCATATTCTCAATTGATTACAAGTTCATGGATAGAAAGTGGATTTTAACCAATATCTCTTCTTTTGAATTACTTATTTCTATCGCTATTCTAAAGTTTAATTCCTTTTCTAGCTATAAGGGTTCCTCTCACCGTTTTTTTGGCCCCCCCGCTCCCAGAGCTATCGGCAGCGGCGGGAATATACAACTGCAGGCAGAAATGAAAAAAATGGATAGCAACCCCAGGGCAAAAAAGCGGAGGGGCCCGTGCTGGTCTGCCCAGCGTACATTGGATCCCTTTTATCAAGTAAACGTGACAAATAGCGACACCCAATTTGACCAAATAAAGCGGCTTCGACTGAAACGGAATTTCGGTGGGATTGAGCTTATCGATAATGGATGTGGCATATGTGGCGGTGTCTACATTATATAATCGAAGCTGTGGCGGTGCGGGAGTCTCCAGACGTCATGTGCAGCCCAATCTCCACGTGATCCTAATTTCCCCGTCTGCTGCCGTGCATCATCTGCCTAATTTCAGATAACAGCAGCTTTCCTCGGCTTGAATCTGCCATTCTTTCTGCACTCTCGGTGTTGATACAAATCTACAACCATGGTAGGATGGAAACGTCCTCCTCTTATCCCACAGGAGCTTCATGAGCTTCTCCAATCCATAAATATGGTGTGACTGACCGATACTCCAATAGCTCGGCCGTCTTACCCACTACGCATTTGATGCGGTCCTTTGTGAGTGCTTTTGATTTTGCACACTAGGCCTATAAGTGACTTTGAGCTAACATATCTTTCTATTATAGTTTCCGCTTTCCTTGCTGGCGTCAAGCGCTCCACAGGCCTCACGTAAATACGACCCCTCGGACCCCCTCTCTTCCTGCTTCTGTTGCTTGCTGCGTATATGCAATATGCCCATGCAATACCTGCATCCACAACCGCACATAAAGGATCGTCCAGCTAACTGTGTTGACCCCCGCGCCACCCTCCGTTGGGTCGTGTGCGTGCGGGGGCCGTCCTTAGCCCCAGTGTGAAGACCGAACAGCTCTCCGATAACAAAGAAGTCAAGAAGTGGTTTGACAACTACCTTGGTGTTGGCGAATGGGTTATGGATCAGTCCGTGGCGGTGATGGGCTCCTCCAGCTGGTTTGAGCGTCGACGATAGATCGGACAGAGATAACCGACTCGCTGAAACGGGCTACGATTGATTCCCTTTTAAGTTCTGTTTGCGCCTCAACTTGAATCATAGCTTTGAAATGGCGCACCACATGGGAGATGCAATATGCGTTTTGAATCACCAAACCGAACACTTTGTTGTTTTGTACAGTTTCAAAGTGCTGGACTTTCTAGCTGGCTTTCCCCCATGTTGGCTTTTGAGCAGATCCCCATATCACAGCTAAGGTGACGAGTGACGACTACATCTCCCTTCTGCACTGTTACTACTGCTTCCTCCTCATTCGACATCATGTTCAGAGCTATGGCGTCTTTGGCTTTTTTCTATGCGATACCTTTCCGTCAACTCTGCCTGTGTTATAGCATCTCCATACACAATCAATTGTATCCTCCACTATTGGATGGACATCATATCATGAACTTTGATTTCGGTATCAGGCTGGATGTCATCCGACTTGTCAAAAATATCGCTTTGGGCTGGGAGGGTATCGAGCGTTCAAAGGCTTAGCCTGTCGCGTAGGGACGAGTAGCTGCAATGGGTCAAGCTTACGACCATGAGATGAATGGCTCGCTTCTTGGGGCAGAAGCGGCGTATTTCAACCACCATATGGATTGGTCTAAACACAACATCTGTTGATTCAGCCCGTAGTGGCGTCGTCTTGTTATTCATAGAGCGGTATAGGGCACTATGTATTTGATAGTGACTAGACGCGACTCAGATGGGTATTTGGGAATTGAATATCACAATATGAATGCAAAATTGTAAAGCCGTTCATATCTGGACGAGGGCATCAATGTCCACTCGGCGGTAGTAGGAGACGTGGCCCATTTCCTTCCAATAATGTGCTATAAAGTTCGGGGAAATAAGAATAAGTTCGGAGTTGATGAACGTATCTGGGAAATTCTGTAGTTAGTGTTCTGCTCAAGGATAACACAGTGACGGAAATATTTACCATCCTGGAAGCCAATACCAGCGACATGACCCAAGCACCGCACAATACGTGCATTCTCAAACGGTTCCCTGTCGTCTACACGAACGAGGCCTCCAGGACCGATATCGTTTGCCACGAATGATATTTGGCCACGGGGAACATTCGGGTCACCTGTAAGCTTGACTGCTTCCAAGCTTCCGCTAGGACCCGTATCCCCGTCCTCCGCATCCTGGCTCTGCACACCTCGTTGAATGAACAAAAGGAACTCACACCCATGAGCTGAGTAGTCTCCAACCCAAATACCTTGGTACGGTCTCTCTTTCGTTGGTACATACAAGCTCGGATCAAGGGTAGCGTACGTTGTCCGTGCTTCGTTGCGTCCCGGGGAGAGCACTCCATGGAAATTGGCCCACCTCCGAATGCGAAATGCTCTCTCGGAGGCTCCAGAAGCGCATTTAGGATCCGGCAATCTCTGTGGGGAGTTCTCTCTGCGTATACGGTGCTCACTGGGGATGGTCACCGGAGGCCACAATGGTCCTTGGTTAATCTGAGGTTGCGGGTCTTCTTTGGGACACAATAAGATTGAGCTGAAAACACTCTGTGATTCCGCTGCCATTGGCATTTGACGCTCCATCTTCCAAGTCTGGCAAGCAGCCCTGGGTTCCATAGGCGCTGGGTCTTTGATAAACAGCACAGGGTCGTCCAGCCACAGGACTACTTTGGGATCGAACGATTGAATCATGACATCAGGGTTCGACTGCCACATCTGAAAGTTGGGGCTGCCTCGATCTGCGATCAATCGGTAGGCTTCGATAACCCCTCTTCGGTTATCATAACGAGCCAGAATCAAGTTGCCCGTGTGCTCGTTATCCGCAAACCAGATTTTGTATTGGGGTATGAACCAGTATGATAGGTGTGCAAGGTAAAGGCGTCGAAAGGATGGGAAAGGGCCCGGGTCGGAAATCGAGGAGGGCAGGTGGGAGTTGACGAGGTTGGCCCATAGTCGGTCGTCGGAGCCATGCTCGGAGAGTACTTGACAACTTGCAGACACGCGAGCAAGATCGCGGGCGGGCAGATAGGAGAGGATTTCGTGGATGATCTCGGCGGGGAGTTTATCCAGGATGGAGGTGTCTTTCATTGACTGGGTCCACGACTGTTCATGAAGAATCTCATCAACCAGTCTCTCGTGGTCTTGATGGTCGCGGTCGCTCGGCTGCAGTAGTGGGGTGACCCCTCGGTGTCAGCAAAAGCATCCACAGCCCTAGAACCAGACTATGTGGCCTGGATCTCAGATTTTGGGTATACTAACCTCTTGGAAGAGCGCCACACTTCCCATTGTGTATATGGTGGTCAGGGTAGTTTCAACGGGTCAAGGCAAATGTTGTTTGATGCTCGACCGCCTGCAGTAACGCAGATGACATCACTTGTAAGCGTGTTGAAGAGGCATCGCTGGCTCGCGCACTGTGCTTTCCAGATGCGAACTAAACGAAGCTATATAGGCACCAAACTGTTTTGAGCTAGACAATCTGTCGGCAATCCATGAAGGGCAAACAAAGCGATAGCGCTCGTGGTGGGTCTGATAAGAGATAACGTCAACTCCCCACTTTCCAGCGAATGGAACATAGATGATCTGAATCATCGTTCTATAACATGTTTCCAAGTTATATCTTTCCTTTCGAGGGTAAATTTATGGGAGCGGTGATTTGGATCCTCCTTGATTGGTTATTGACGTCACACTCATGGACCAGGCGCGACAATCGGGTTTCGGAATCTTATGATATCATCGAGCCAGACTGATGGATATTTATTGCACATGTATACGGTACAATTAAGCTGAACTGTTTTGAGACCCTCCTTAGATGCCACTTTAATTGCGCCGGGTCACAGATTATTACCAAATTCAATTTTCTACAATTCCCCATGAAAATGACACGCATCTTCATCACCGGTTCTAGCGATGGTATTGGCCAAGCCGCAGCCAAAATCCTTGCTGATCAGGGCCACTCAGTTGTCCTCCACGCACGAAACGCAGACCGCGCCGCCTCGGCCCATAAAGCTGTACCCAAAGCTGAGGCAGTATTAGTTGGTGATTTGAGTTCAATCTCCGAGACTAAGAAACTGGCAAAAGAAGCCAAGGGAAGCGGACCGTTCGACACCATCATACACAATGCAGGCATTGGTTACGGTGCCACATCCAGTCGGGAGATCACTGCGGACAATATTTCTGCCGTATTCTCAGTCAACACGCTTGCGCCATATATTCTCACTTGCTTGATGGATAAACCTACGTCGCGGCTACTCTATATGAGCTCGGATTCCCATTACGGTGGTGATGAATCTCTACGCAACGTGACGCAGTCACACTCATATGGAGACAGTAAATTGCACGATGTGATGCTCGCCAATGCTTTTTCCCGGCGATGGGGCGATAGTATACAGGTTGTGAGCATGCATCCAGGCTGGGTGAGGACCAAGATGGGAGGCTCTATGGCTCCTGGTGGAATGGACAAGCCGGCTGAAGCTTTGGCAAAGTGGGCTACTGGACAAGGCAAATTGGCCAGCCTCAAGAGTGGAGCATTCTTCACCCCAAGCGGCGAGGAGTCGACACACCCTGGGGCTGGTAATGTGGGGAAGCAGGAGGAGCTATTGAAGATTTGCCAGGAGGTGTCTGGAGTTCCAGTTCCGGAGTAATGAAGAGTTGGAGCATTGAACATGTTCCAAGGTTACAGTGCATATCCAGAGTGCTTCATAGTAATCCGATGTGGTCTATCCCCACCTAAATATCTTACCCGTCTCAGATCTATCATCATACCTGATACCCAACGCCTTGCATGAAATGAGATCATGCATCAAGGACAAACATTAAGGCTCGAGCCTAGAGTCCTTTAAGCTGAACTAGTCAGATGCTTCTCTCCATAGCTTTCCAAGCTCGTATCTTTTGGAGCCTTCAATATTTACATATACAAGTTTGGACGCGCCTTGATTCCACATTTGGCACCATGCCTAGAGAGCCATTAAAATACAATCGTGCATTTATCACCCAAAAGCATAAAATGAACATCTTGCGTCTTCAATGTACTGCCTTACTGCCTCATAACAGATGCACGTGACCGCCCAAAACAGCAGCTTGTTTACACGCGCCGGATCGGGGATCATAAGGGGGCCCTAGAACGCGCTGAACGCCTCTGCTGCCTGCAGGGACCCACTACTGTTTGTTTATGTTGTGATCTATAGAAAAACGCCTCGAAAGCGCCAATGGGATTTTTCTTAACAGCCGCATCCATTGTTTTTTTTTCTTATTATTCGTCCCACTTATTATCCCAGGTTCTTTTGTTCTCCCCAATAGCCGCAACTTGGTTATCTATATTCTCGATACATCTACTAGTCCTTTGAATACTCCATCCATTCAATATGGAGACAAGACAGTCTGTTAGGAAAAGGCGAAACAGCTCCGTTTCCAACTCGAGGAGCTCATCGCCTGTGTCGCACCGGACAAGACAGAGTATACCTGGATACTCTGAGCAGACTGCTGCATCTCCTGCACCCAAGTGCGCAATCAGCACGCCAAAGAAATCGAGGAAACGAGTGCGATTCTCGGATCCAGGTCCTCGACTACTCGATCATGATGTTTGCTCGACTGGCTTAACACCCGCCATGCAGCGAACTGCAATAGTTGCCGGGTTCCCCGGATCTGGGGACCGTACGCCCAGCCGGAAAGCCCGGCGTCGCTCGGCACCTACACCTCGCTTTCGCCGATTATTTGATCCGGTGGAGCCTTTTGATGAGACATCATCGGAGCGTGTGGTGCAATTCACCCCCTCTGCGACAAATTCTGGATACGCGTACTCAGCGGAGGATCAAACGGATAGGTCTGAGCGATGAGCTCAATCACATTCAGCGTGAGAAGCGCGACGTTGCGACTTTCGAGAAGACTTTAGCGACCTTGCTTCGGGAGCGAGATGCCCTGCAGCAAGAGTTGACTTGCATGAAGCAGTCTCGAGAAATTCCGGAAGACCAATTGCCGTCTTATGAGTCTTTCTGGATGTCTTCTCAGGTTCAAGCTCGAGAAGCCGAAGAACAGACAACCTTGCTATGTGATGAAGTATCCGTAGCCTCGCATCCGAATTTGGAAGGGCGCGGACCGTCTCTTGAACATGACGGTGATACTTTTATGCTGAATGATAGTGCCATCATCGCTTCCAATTCGCCTGTCTTCCGAGGTCGACGGAGCATCCACTCACGTAGTCCAGAAAGGCTAGGCCTTTTCGACGGCTCGGACTATGATGCTGCAGCTCAGACACCAGTCGATGATGGTCCAGAGGATACTGATATGCGAACCTTAAACCTTGATCTCGAGACCGCCAGGAACGAGAAGAGAGATTTATTCGACGCATGCCGCTCACAAATGTCCGCCCTCGAGAATTCCGAATTGGCCGATATTCTCCGCAAGCCATCTCCGCCTCCTGACTTCTTCGAGAACATCCTGGCCACTCTGACCGCTGCTTTATCTCGCGCCTCAGATGCTACCAAGACTCTTGAAGGTATTAGCCAGGAATGCACAAACTTAGGCTTCTCTGGAACCAACACGATTGAAGTAATTTCGGATATCAGAAGCCACTTCCGCTCAGCACGCCTTGAACTTGAGCGTGCCGTTCCAGGAGAAACAGCCGATGCAGCACTCGGGGATGGGAAAGCCACATTGCGCGCCTTGGTAAAACGAGTCAAATCGCTGGCTAAAGAGCTTCAATCGGAACGCAAATACCACCATGGCTCATTGAGTCGTGAAAAGGCCCTTCGCGGACAATTCGACAACTTATTACACCGATACGAAGCAGCTGCCGACAAAATTGGCAGCCTCGAGGACTCAATCGCTTCCTCTGCAGGTGACATGCTCCACACCAGAATGCGGATGCAGGACCTCGAGAGCGAAGACCAGGAAAAGACCGTTGGGATTGACAGATTAAACACGGCACTGGATAAGTACCACGAAGATGTGAAGGGCCTCGAAGATTTGGTCAACAAGATGGAGGATGAAAACGTCGCGATAAAGTCGAAGTACCGCGCACAGATATCGTCTCTCCGTGAACAAGTTGCTCACGAGCGCAAGCAACGATCCATCGCTGAGCGCTGTACCTACGAGCACGAATCTCGCATCCGTCAACTCGAGGAGACTGTTCAGCGGAACCAAACCCGTGCATCAGACCTGACAGCCCAGATCAATGCACTTGAGAAAGCGCACCAAACCGCTCTTCAAGAAAAGACACAAGACCAGCAGCAACATGCACAAGAAACAGGCACATTGAATGTGCGAATTTCAGAGCTCGCAACATCCCTTGATGCCATTCGGACGGAGGCTCAACGTCTCCGCCAGGTCAATAGTGGTCTCGAGGAGCAGTTGCAAATCGAGCTTGAGGCCCGTGATGGACTTTTGGATCAATGGGCTGCTGAGCAGGCACGCTCATTTGCTCATATGAAAGAGACTGTCAGCTCTGAGCGCCGCAGAGCTAAGGTTCGTGCGGCTAACTGGGAGCTTAAGTCCGATGATCTCATGTCCGATGGAACCACAATCGCGGGAAGCGAGCCTATTACCCCAGTCAGCATGACGCGCTTTGTTGATGTGGAGATGGGGAGGGGGAAGGTCCGAAGGCGCTTGGACAGTGGTGTTGGGATCCTTACGGGAGATGAGCTCCTGGGGAGCGAAGACGTCTCGGATAATGAATTGCCGACGTCCAATGTCTTTGGTTTATAAGACATGCTTTCTCTCATTCATTTCCTTTGTTGATACCTACATACCCTGAGCCTTGATTCATTTTGGATTTATCTTATTCTATACACGACTGCATATACATAATTGGACTCCGTTAATTACCAAAGTTGTTCACATCCAAGACCTTGTACAATCGACGATGTTTCTGGATGCACCAGTGTCCTGTCCTCTGGTAATATTTATGTGTAATGTTACCGCCTGGGTGCGTATGTATCAAAGTGACTACCAAGAAGCCAACGAGGAAGTCTTACGCCCAATGAATGTAGGTAGATGACCAAAGAAAGAATGGATTATTGAACACGAAACTCCAGAAACAAACTAGCGTCATGTCTCAGTAGAAGGACCAGAATGTGTCTGCCGATGTCTAACATCTGCCTGAGTATTAGGAGCAGCAGTCGACACTTGTGAAAGCTCAACACCGTCCGAAGTGGTCTTCCTGCTATCCGTTGCAGTAATAGGCTCAGACTTGTATTTCTTATCATGAGCCGGATCCCCAAAGATGGAGCCGAGCAAGCTGAACATGTTACTCGCACGTACCACCATACAATATGCCAATGTCATCCCAGTAATGAGCATCTCATCCCTAACGCCCTCCTCATTTGACGACGGACCCATCAATTCGATCTTTCCGATTTTCTTGATGCCCCACAAGTTCGCAGTGAACTTGGCAACAGGCATCTGTTGTTCGTCGGTACAAACAAAATCCCACTTCGAGGCACCGACATCACCTGTCCAGGTCATCACAGCGGGCTGGCCTTGGGGGTTCTTCAGAAAGCCGGAGCGGTGGGTGTATAGTGTTTTGAAACGCTTTTGGGCCACGAGAGTGTCTCTTCGGCCTCGGCACTCGTAGTCTGCGTCTATGCTGACCATATGAATAGAACTGGTACCAATGACATCTTTTGTGGAGGCTGATTTGTAGATGATTTGTTTGGAAGAGAACAATTTGTATTTGATGATGTAGAGGGGTTCATCGGGTTTGTTGATGTCTGAAACGAGAGATTTGAAATTTCCCCATTTGAAATCGATTTGGAGCGTGGCATGTTGATCGGTAGTCTGAGGAGATTGAAAGTGCGAGGATTCAACTGCAGTTGTTTCTGAAGATTGAACGTTGGTGATTTGTGGATGTTCAACGGGCTCCATTGTGGATGTCTCAAAGTTGAAATTAGGGTTCGTGTTTAGAGCCGTCATAGTATATAACAGTTCTTGAAAAACAGAAAACCCTCGCAAGATCAGCTGTCTTTCTCGTCTTTATGCTTTAGCCAGGGGCTCTGCTTACTTCAACGAAACCCCTCAAGGTCCACATCGCTCATTGAACCCCGGGGCGCAGGGGACTTGGCACGTTTAGGACCCGTCTGATCCACTCTGCTTCGGGAATTCATGACCTCTAAGCCAATCACAATTCTTCAGAGGTGAGCTCAGCCTTGCAGTCCATGCTTATGATGTCACGGCCCCCAAATTACACATCCATATATAGGAGACGGCCCCATGTTGCCCGTGGAATATTCCTTAAGTGGAGATCGGATTGTAGGTCCAATTAAACTTTACAGAGCACAGAATTTGGAGGCGGCTGAGATAGTGCTGATGGTGGAGAACGAGTAGAACGAGTATGCCAATCAAATGCCCATACAAAACCTCAGCATCACCACTGCGCAGCAACAGTCCAAAATCGAATAGTGATAAATGACCAAGCAGCCCTTACTCCAGAGCATGATTTGGTAGGAAGGAGCTCTGAAGTGATATCGATTAGGGCCCACAAAAGTACTATGCATTTGATAGTGGGCTTCTACTGGCTAACCCTAATTAACTCTATCTGGTGGCTGACCATCCAGAACAATAGTAAAGTAGGACAATGGGGCTTCTATTGTGGGCCCTAATTAATATCACTTCAGGGCTTTTTCCTGGCAAGCAATAGCACTTGGGGCTTAACATCCAGGTACCTAAGCTGCTCAATTGCAAGTCTCATGATGCTTCAAATTTGCCTGTTTAGGCTAGTGTCTCTCACGAAGTTTTCTACATCTTCATGAACTCTTCTCCTTCCTCCTTGCTTCCTTCTTCCCTCTTCGTGCCAATTACCAATTTTCACAGCCAATGGTTTACACTATCTCTTTTGATCCATTGGCATTGAACTTGACGACTTGGTACCCCTCCAACAGTTCGTTTCTTACACCCAATTGTCATTTCCTCTCGTCTCATTTTTCCTCCTCGTCATTCTCCTTGGCATAAATCGTCTGATACCATGCCTTTCCCTCGTCTTTACCCTGATTCGGGCGTCCAGTACCGTCTGCGAGTGATTGCAGGCACTGAGGACAACAGCACCCACCACCAAAACGTCCAGGTTAATGGAGCCATTAACTCCCTGATTGGCCGCTCGGCGACTGCAAACCTTGCCGTGAAAGTCAAGAACTACCATGGTATGTCACAAGTTCCAATGACCTACATCCATAATATAAATACTTACATGGTCCCCAGGCCTTCCCCTCTCCTCTCCTCTCACGTCGAACTACTTCGACCACGCCCTCCACCGCGATGATGAGTTTTCCATCGCTTTCTCTATCGTCTTTGACCGTGACGTAAATGGCAACGATCTGGTGTTCGGAAACTTCTTCGATCGCCCAATTGAGCACAAACTACCCGTTGGCTTCCCTATCCTGTCTGGCCTCGAGAAGAGGTGGGGGGACAAATCCATCGAGTTCAACGTGCAGGGCGACTTCCCGTCGATCCACGCTCCAGCCCTTACGAGCTTTTCTCAGCTCCGTATTGGCGTCGAGGGCCCAACGGAGGCTCAAAAGCTCGGCCGCCACTCCGTCGTCATGGAGGGTTCTGACACCGAAAGCGGCTCGAACATCTTCGCGCAGCAGGGTGTGCCCACCACCGCCAAGGGCCGCAAGCAGTTCTTCCAAGCTGCCGAAAAGCGAGAGGCGTTCTGGTTCTTCGGAGGGATCCAGTACTTTGCCGACTTCGGCAACCACGATTTGAACTTCCGAGGTCAGTGAAAGATAGTCTCTTTACCTGTTCCATGACTTCAGCTTCCATTCTCGAGATGTATCTGAGCTAACAACTCTCTGTATAGACCTGTGCCTAAAGTTCCCGGGGAAGGAGCTCCCCTACTACCAGCTCTTGGATGATGAGGAGCACGAACTACGATACACGTTGAAGAACGTGAAGACTGGGGAGGTTTACTTGGTGGTGGTCTTCTCCGTCGTGATGAGCGAGGGGGAGGCCACCACCTTGTCGGACAAGCAGACTGCTGCTGCCGACCTGGTGGCTATGGAGGAGGAGATGGCGAATGTGCGCCGCCAGAATCGGTGTCGATTCTGAGGGGATGAGGGGATGTGGATGAGGTGGAGATGGGGGGGGGGGGGGGGACCCGGGCTAGAATATCGATAATGAAGCCGTTTCTCCTCGCCTTCTTCCATTGTAATTGCCTTTCTCTGTTGTAAATGCTTCGATTCTCTTCACATAATACTTGCTCAACTACTGTTCATCTTCACAGTTCAAAAATAGGATTTTCTTCAATTGCATCTCATGTAAACCCTCCTGAATTCTTCGATTTGCCCTCACTTCCCAGCAAATTTCAACGATCAGAACTGACAATGGAAAAAATGTCATCGCGATGGAGGTTTGTGGTTCAAGTTTTCATACATGAGAGGGGCGGAGGGGCGGAGCAGTTCGAAGCAGGAGTAGTGGAAACTGAAAGGATAACATGAAGAAGAAAAAAAAAAAAAAAAAGAGGTCATTGAAGTCCCGAATCTTCATGTTCAAACACGGCGAGTAAGACAAGTGGTGGGAACCATACGTCGTGGAAACTGGGAAATGGTATGATCACCTTTTCGGGACATTATTTATCGACTTTCTCTTTCACTCTCGAGGTCCAGATGACAACAGCCACGGTCTGGTTTTGGGGTACGACTTCGACGACTTGACTATTACCATCAATTATCATAGCAAGCCAGTCCTCCCCCGATTATCCAGATTTATGCCCATGACAGCTTGCCGTCTATAATCGGACTTGATATAGAATCTACATGTATTGGAAGATTCACATAATGGGATATTCATTGAGTATACACGCAAATTCGAACAAATTTTTTGAGCCTTTACCCCAAGCACAACATCATCTATACACAACTAACCCCTTACAGGCGCTTCAGGACGTCGTCCAGAACCTGCTGAGTGGTAGCCTTGCCACCCATATCAGGAGACAGGAACTGAGCCGCATCCAGGTTGCCGTCAACAGCAGCGTAGATCTTAGCGGCAGCAGCCTCCTCACCAAGGAACTCCAGCATCAGAGCAACACTGCGCAGAGTAGCAATGGGGTTGGCAATACCCTGGCCCTCAATGTCAGGAGCACTGCCGTGGCAAGGCTCACCAATAGCGAAGCCATCACCAACGTTGGCGCTGGGAACAAGACCCAGACTGCCAACAAGGGCGGCGGCACCGTCGGACAGAATGTCACCGTACAGGTTAGGAGCAACAATGACATCGTAGTACTCGGGCTGGCGGAAGAGCTTGTAGACCATGGAGTCGACAATCTGCTCCTCGACATTCACGGAGGAGAACTTCTCAGCAGCGAGAGCGCGGCGAGCAGTCTCACGGAACAGACCGTCGGTCTGGGACAGCACGTTGGACTTGTGGGTGATGGTGACCATGGGAGAGGAGTGGACCGAGGCCACACCGGAGGTGGAACGAATGTTCTGGCGGCGGAGAGCGATCTCACCGGCAATGTTGGAAATACGGTAAGAGGCACGCTCGGAGATACGCTTAATGGCCTCAGCGACCTTACCCTCGGGGGTATCCTTGGTCTGCTCCTCCTTCACGTACAGGTCCTCGGTGTTCTCACGGACAATGACGAGGTCAATGGGCTTGCCGTTGCTGCTGCCGGCAGTGGTCTTGACGGGACGCACATTGGCGTACAGGTCGAGCTTCTTGCGCAGGGCAACAATGGGGGAAGAGTAGCCGGCGACCTTGGTGCTCGGGGAGCTAAGGGATGAGTCATTGTTAGCATGTTCCTCCAGCGCAATGGGTACATGCCCGATCACAAGGGAAATTCCAGCGGACATATTTACCTGACAGCACCGAAGAGAGCACCATCGCACTCCTTCTTGAGAGTGTCGACAGTCTTATCTGGCAGAGCGGAACCGGTGCGCTGGAAGGTATCGAAACCAGCCTCGAGGTCGACGAAGCTGAACTTCAGGCCCAGAGACGAGGGAAGAGACTCCAGGACACGACGACCAGCCTATTTCCAAGCAATTGAGACTATGGTTAGTGGATTGGTTCTGATTTGGTCGTGCTCATGCGAGAACGTACCGGGATCACCTCCCGTCCGATGCCGTCACCGGGGATGAGACCTATGCGGGGCGCCGATTAGCTTCAATTCGACGACAGACAGAACTCCAACCACCAGAATAGGTCTTACCAATGCGAAGAGTACGAGCAGCAGCAGCCATTGTGAATTGTTCAGGGTTGCTTCCTGATTTCGAGAAATGGCCGTCATCGGAGCTTTGTCTTTTTGTATGCGGAGCCGGGTGATCATTGATCCCACTCCGGGGTCCGTACGTCGGGAGTATAACGCCATCGGGCACAGTTGTACATATGGAAGGAGAGGTGTATCAAGGAGGAAAAATATGAGACTTTTTGATTTTATTTCGGACTTCGTATACAGATAGCAATCACAGAATGTAATAGCCCCCACTTGTCGTCACTTAGTCGAACATAGTAAAACTATGAAGCAAATAATAATTCTCGGATGTCGATCATTGCCTAAAAAGGACTGATGTCGCGAGCTTTAGATCTAGGTTGATCTGCGCCACTTCTATTCTACATGCTGATTTTTATCTTGTTTTTCCCCCTTCGCTGACTTAGGCACGAAATATGCATTCTGTGGTTGATCTAGACATTTTGAGAGTTCAAGTCAGCTAGCTTCTTTGACCGGTGGTGATCTCCCATTCTATGTAGTAGTCGCGGCCGCTTTTGTGAGCAAGCTTGGTTCAGGCTCAACTTGAATCAGCCCCTACATACAGTGAGGCTCTTTCAGAGTGATTGGCTGCCCGAGGTCGATGACCCTCCGTTGAGGCATATACATACTTCAGTATCTTCTTTCTTTGACGTTCTACATCGCCCCCTTCACCCGGGACACCATGGATCTCAGACTTCCAAAAGCGGGAAAAAGAAAGAAAAAATCGAGTAAAAAGCCGAGCTTAGCAACAAGAAATTAGAGGCTGCAAAAGCTTCAAAGAACCGTGGTACCAACTTTTTACAATCAAGGCTCTTTCAATAGGTCAAGGCATTACTCTGCATGAGGTCGCCAATCAAATCAAGTGCCACAAAGGTTGCGCCTCAACTTATAGAAACTTTCAATGAACTACACAAGTACTTGATAGTCATACTCAAGCATGCGAGAGATCATGTCGCCCTCATCATTTGTTGTTTGCAGTACTTATAATGTGAGCGATGATCAGAGCGGCTCAGAAGCACCCGGTTCATGCTATGGGGTTCGTGAGCCAAGACAACATTATTGAACCGGGGCTTTTCGGTAAATTAGAAGAAGCACCAGTGCTTGAAAGGCACATCAGGGAATAGGGTTGGAACCTATCAATAACTAGAAATTGATGCCTTCCCATGTGGACCTACATCGCGGTTACTGACCAAATTGGGTTTAGCGCGCATGTTCAGTACGAAGAGGCCCGGGATACGATAGAGGACCACCAGGAAGTCGCTCGTAGAATATTTAAAGAGAAGAGTTCTCCAGTTCTCTGGGATTTTGAAACGAAGTATCACCTTGTCTGACTGATTTTTTGTTCTCGAGAACCTGCCTACAAGTCCTCTACAACACTCATCAGCTTTCCAGCCAACATGACTATAAATCTCTTGTCCCGCGCGACAGCAAATGCTTCCATTCCAAATGGACTGCACAGCTTTGCAATCGCACAGATCATCCTCTTCTCCACTATACACTTGGTCCAGCTTCCCATGAGGTACAAGCAGGAATGGAAATACTGGCACCATAACAAACGCCAACACCCCCTCACGCTGTGTCCTTTACTCCGGGTGGAGCATGGTTGGCCTGCTAGCTATGAGTAAGTTAAGACATATTTATCGCGTCTGCTATGGGGCTAAGCAATTGTTTATGGGCAGTTCGTATCGTCGGATCGGCTATGGTTCTTTCTCATAGTAACCCGGACGAGTCGATGCTCACAGCGGAAATATCTTTGCAGAGCGTGGGCCTTTCACCTCTCATGTTTGAAGTCAGTCTGGTTCTTCTGCGATGGTATGTGACCTCTTCTACACAAAAGCAGGGCAAATGTATGCTGACAATTTCCTGTGGTAGTGGACAAGCTGGAGAATTCGGTCCCGGACAATCGAAACACCCCAAACCCTTGCGCTTCGCATTGCATGCATTCCGCTTCCCAGTCTTTGTTGCTATTGTCCTCGGAGTCGTGGGCAGGATTATTGAGATAGAACCCCTTGGAGAGGCTGGATCAGTCGTTCTGGTCGTGACTTTTGCGTTTGTGACTGGCCTTATTGCTTGGCTCGCAGTGAAGTCCCACTCAACCCTTCCCGTGGAGGGTCATCGTGGTGTCCTTTTGGTCTCCCTCGCTCTCCCATTTTTATGGGTACGAGTCATCTACTTCCTGTTGCAGGAGTATGGACCCGCAAGGTTCAGTCTTGCCTCGGGTGATGTGGGTGTCTTGGTGGGGATGGGATTGATCATGGAAATCATCACTGTCTCTTTGCTCCTAACAGCCCGCGCAGTTGTAGAGCCAATTTGGTCAACTGATGGCAAGAGGCGTGTGGTAGCTGATGACTTTGAACAGGCTTGATCTAGAGGTTCCACCGTGGGCAGGCATTGGACCGGCTGTTGTGATTGAATAGCTTTGGAATCACAAATGCTTCAGAGTCTTCTGTGACGGTTGTTGCTGCATGTATGTTTCTCTCAATTATGCATTTGCAATTGGCTTGTAATTCTCTGGTTTGGCTGCGGCGTAGATCTTTGAAAACTCTTGCAGGCGACTTAGAAGCCACGATCTTGTCACGTCGTCTGCAGTCTCAATCGCAACCCGCACGGGGAATCCAATTCGATAGGGGCCTAGTACACCAAATGCAGTGTATTCAATCGACTTGCATATTTGATCGCGAAAGTAAGAGACTATGGTCTCTTGGCGACCTGGGTACCCAAACGCTCTCAAGGCTTCGTGAATAATGATCATGTAAGCATAGTAGCCGCAATAGATCGATGCATCAAGTAAGTCCGCATAGGTCAGAATATTGGGGTATAAAGGGTCGCCCGTCGTAGAGGGAATCTCAACCGGAGGAGAGGAGATTCGAGACCACTTCTCGTACCAGGAAGTCATTTTGCTTTGCATGTCCAGTACTTGAGTCAAAGCCTGTGATATCTCCTGTAGAATTTCAGGATCCGAGTGGTTTTTCTCTCTCAAACTGTAAAGATTGTGTACGATGCGTGGAGAATGAGTGAAGTAGGCAAAGAAGTCCTCGATGCAGTTGTGATAATCCAAAGGCAACGTAGCCAGATGCTGCTGTCTCATCATGTGATGCCATTCATCAGAGGCCAAGAAGCAATCTTCGCCTGCGAACATCGAGTGCATGACTATCAGGCCCCGTGCAGACTTCAACAAGGAGATATCAAGCTGGTTGCAGTAACGTTCTGGTCCTCTAGCTTTCACTAATTGACCAAGTCCCTTTGCGTGCTTCATCCACGACTCCGGATCCTCAGTATCCGTAAAGAGCTCGTACATGCACAACAACACAACGGCACAAAATATATTCGAAGAAAGCGATTCTGAAGGGTTCATCAAAGCCTTACGGAGCCAGTGCAATGCTTCGCCGTAAGCGGAACGAGCATATATGATCATTTCCTGGTTTTGAAAGCCCCGACCAAAATGATGCGCTGCGAATGACTTAATTGTTGCATCCAATGCTCGGCTCTCCCCATAAATGGACGGAAGGAGTTCGAACCAGCTGGACATTACATAATTAGGGGCCTTCAAAACACGTGGGGATGAGAAATCCTCAATAAGAGCTCCTATGCTCTGTAAGACATTCACATCAACCGAGACCAAAGTAGGCGGAATCTCCCTTTGGACCAACACTTGGGTCTCTGGTCTAGACTCCCCTATGGTGGGGCTTGAGCTAGACGAGCTGGGACTGGCATTGGGTCTTGCATTGTTAATCCCAAGGGGGCGCCGCCGAGTTCGGTAAGGCTTCCCAGCGATAAATTTGAAGCCCTTGTCATATCCAGGGCATGGTTGACCATATGTCTCACACTTTGCACACCCTGGAGCACGTTCATCACACTGAGGCGTCATTAGTCTTGATGTCGGCTTCTTCGCAAACACACATACCTTGACCCGGCGCTTTACACAGAGTCGACAGCCACTGCTGCGAGGCACACCGACCATCTTTGGTCATCTTTTAATATAAGTTTGAAGTAAAGAGCCTCCCATGCTCTCGTATTTCCCCCACCTGCTTATATAATTCCGGGAATTAGTTGAGCCGGCCCGTGCCGGCTGTAATCATCAGTCGTGAAATGGGCAGGGGTTTTACAGTCATTTGATCGCATTGTATCTACAGGGCTATATCTATTGATTTGACTTTGCATTATGACTTGCGGGGGTGGAATGCCACAATCTGCCATGTGCTGGGCCCATCAAAATAGGTGCATGAAACCAAAATGTCACACATACCGGGTCCCCACTGTTTACGTAGGACTAAGAAGGAGCTATGTCCTGGATGTGGGGAGACATTGGCTAACACCTGTCCTCTGTAAGTTAGTGGGTTTTGTATCCTTCCAGGAATATTCTAGAACATTGGAATGGCATGAAGTTTTTATTATTACTAGTATACTCTGGATCAACCCGAACCATGGTCTTGACTGAAGCTATGAACCTTGGAAAGGCTGGAACGCCGATCGGTGTTTACCTACTGCCTGAGGCCAACTTTGTAGGCTTTCGTTCCTTTTGCCTGCTGTAAGGAGTTCTAGAAATAAAAGACGTGTCTAATACCAAACTGAAATGGTACTTGTTTCTCCATAACAGAGAACAGAGTCATATATGCCGAGGCAGTCGCACGGAGAGGGATCGGAGATGAGCAGGAATGAATAAAGGAGAAATGCACGAGATCATGTCACAGACAGATGATCTGAAACATAAGTTTGACAGGCGATAACCATAATACATAATACATAGTACAGTAAAAATGCCCCTGAAAGAACAAAAAAATAGGAGAGGGGTGTATAGGAACTGTAAGGCGCAGAGCTGTTTCACCCCATTGGATACGCTAATCAGTCACTAGTGCATTAGCTTTCCCTGATCGACCCTTCTTCACATCTTCTCCCCTTCCATTGACTCCTTGGAAAAACACCGTGTTCATTGAGACTTGTCTACCCCAGGAGGGGGCTCATACGGCCTATATTCAGTCGCTCTCCCTGCTTCTCCCCGCGCGTCCAGCTGCGCTCCTGACGCGTTCCTCCGCCCCTCAATTGCGCCTATGCCCCCTGACTACATTCCATACCCCAGAATGTCGGACAACAACGCCCACCCCGGCGTTCGAAGCCTGCTGGCCAAGTTTGAGAACAGCCCGAGTTCAGTCACGTCGCCGCCCTCGCGTGGAAGATCTCCCGTTAGCTCCGATACCCCCGGATCGTCCCGCCAGCTTTCGAAAGTCCGCGCCAGCTTCGTAACAGTTGACGGTGTGGTTCAGTCAAACCCAGGCTCACCACTACGGAAGACAAGTGGTCGGAGCGATAGCCCAGGAATGTTCGGACCCAAAATCAATGAGCAGGATGTGGAGGCACGTCGGCAAAGTTTGGCATCCCCCACACCTGGCAGTCTAAATGATGGTCAGAAGGGTGTCCTTGATCAATTGGTCAGCCCTGTCCTGCCAGGGCCAACCTCTGTTCCGACGACGCAATCAAAGACCGTACCTGCTGTCGACAATAAGGGTCCAGTAAAGCCAGAGATGAGTGCCGCCGCGCCTGCCTCAACATCCGCATCCGCAGTCGCACCTGCCAGTGGAACATCGGAACAGCCGGCTCATAAGACAGTCACAAAGCGTCCGTCGACTATCAATGCTACACGGAACAACATCCCAAATACCAAGCCTATATCTTCCCTGGCCTCAGCGGCCAAACAACCTGCCAACACAAGCACCAAACCCGCAAGCTCCCGGGAAATCGCAAAGGAACGCGCCAATACCCTTGCTAATAAGCCGAGCCGCGCTTCCTTGAATCCTGCAACGAAGACCGTTTCTCGGACCGTTCGGGGTTCCACACCGTCACAGGAGCCTTTGAGAACATCGCCCCCGAACAGCGCCAAATCTCACACACGATCACCCACTAGGCCTGTTCGCCTGCCAGCTTCCATGACTGCACCAACACAAGCATCTGTCGCAAGGCTAGGCAGTGCGGCGCCTCCCACTGGGCGAACCACCACTACCGCCTCAACACTCACGAGGAAGCCATCTTCGCTCAAGAGTGCTGCAGGAGCAGGCCAGACACGGCCTACTGCGGGGTCCACAGCGGGTGTGCGCAGACAATCATCTCGCTCTTCTCTTCCCCCTCAGCCTGCCCAAGAGCGGCCCAGCTCGCGGACCAGTGATGCTGGCCCCAAGCCGGCCACCGAAGGGTTCCTGGCGAGAATGATGCGCCCAACGGCCAGCTCAGCCAGTAAGACCCACGATCGACCGGAGCCTAAAGCTCCCCAGAAGAGCACCACAACCAAGCCTCCACGGGCATCAATGGTACGGGCACCTGAGCGCAGTGCGCAACAGCCCAAAGCCAAGCCTGCGGCTCTGCGTCCCCAGACTGAAAAGTCCCAGGCAGCCAACAAGGAACCCCTCCCAAAGAAAGAAAAGGAGGAGGTTAAGATCCCTCAGCCTGAGCCGGAGAGTGAAAAAGAGAATGTCGAAGAATCTACTCCTGTAATTCCGGAGGAGTCTGAAGTCGCCGAGTCCAAGGACGCTGTTATCGAGACCCCTAAACCCGAGACCACAGCCAACACGACTCAAGATGGGAAGTTGGCCGAAGAATCCAAGCAGGAGGTTGCCTTCGAACCCGTTGTGGCATCTGTCAGTGAGCTAATCGAGTCCACCATTGTGGACCCTTCCACAGAGACTCCCCTTGAACAAGTCCCCCAGGCAGTTGCCAAGGAAGTCATGGAGGCTCCCATTGAGGATCCTGCCGAGGTTCAGTCCAAGGATGGCCAAGCACCGGCGGAGGCTAGTGTTGAAGAACCCGCCGAGGCCCCAACGGAGTCTCCTGAGGAAGTCTCCCAGGCGCCTGCCGGCTCCACCCCCGAGAATGAGCTTGCTGCCGTTGAAGAGGACATCACCCCTGAAGAACTCGAGGTCCTTGAAGTCTCCCAGACAGCTGAAATCCCCGCCGTTGTGTCCAACGATAAGGTCGCTGGACCTGCTGAAGATGTCACCTTCGCTGAGCCTTCGACCAAGTCAGAGGAGCCTACTGTTTCTGCTGAGAAGCCTGCGGCTGAGGCCAAGCAAAACGTCGATGACATTGACTTTGTCAGCCTTGCACTCAACTAAAATGCATACATCTTCCCTCATCATATTCATTCTTACTCTATGGGACACTATTATAAACTTTGTGCTAATACATTTGACAATTCCGCCACCAGAACACATGGCTCGATCTTCTTCCTTGGCCATTTCCCCACACTTTGTTGTCAGATTTCTCTTCTTTTCCTCTCCAGAGGGCTCCTCGTTTCTACCGGCCTTCAAGATGGCATCTGGATGATTTTCTGGTGTCCTCGGGTGTCTCGCGTGGTTGCATTTTCTGGTACTCTGATATCGAGGGCATACTGTTTTATTAAGCGATTGATTGCATTCTTCGGGTTGAGCATATTGTATTTCTCTGTCATTTATCAACAAAGCGTGATTGGCTTTTTATTCAGGTCAAGGTCAATGTTACTTTTTCAGAACTATTTTTCTCTCCACTTTGAATCATATAACATGAAATTGCTGAGGACAATGGTTTTCGTAGTGTCTGCCACATTGATTCATGACTTGCATGAGCCGTCCAGCAGCTCAGCCGCTTAAAGATACCAGACTATGCACAAGAAAGAACAACTTGAGAGAACAAATAAATGGGAAGCGACAGGAGCAGGAATGAACCACCTAGCCTAGCTTCTTCTCGAGCCTCTTCAAAAACCGATTCACCCCACCCTCCATCTTATGCGCCTTGTCCTCTATTTTATGCGGCCGCTCTCCAGGCGCCTTCATCGCCTTGTGAACATGCTTCTGCGCATGCGAACGCACCTCTTCATGCGTAGGCCTGTAAACCTGACTATGAATATCATACTCTGATCCACTCCGCTGCACAGGCTGCGGCTGTGCTTGATCGTACGAGTAATTTGAGAGCCCAACTGGAGGCTGGTGCACTGCCTGTTGCGGCGGCGATTGTTGCGGCGTAGTGTGGCCCTGCTGGCCAAACAGGTGAGCATTAGGATCCTGCGGTGGCGGTGCAAAGGACATGCCACTGGCTCCAGGGAACTGTTGACCAGTCATGAAGGATTGCTGGTATGAAGGGAGCACAGGGCTTTGGAGTGCGGAACCCGCCCCAGGACCAGAGAGTGGGAATGTGTTTGGGTGAACTAAGCCTGCGCTTGGGGGTGGAGATGCATATCCCGTTTGCGTATATTGCATGCTTAGTGCTGAGGATGGTGGAGGTGCGAATGAGCTTATCCCGACACTGTTGGCCCTTTGATGTGGCGGTGTATATGGAACACCTGCATCTGCAGCTGCCGCCGCTGCGAGGCCTGTACCATCTTCTGGAGGAGGTGGAGTTTTCTCACGATGCTTGATCGGTTCTGGTGCAGCGGGTGCAGCTGGGTTATAAGGGAGTGGTGCGGGTGTCACATTCTCGGGCTCTTGTCTTTCTTCTGGGGTGATCGGGGAGACCGGTGAGTCTCGTTCTTGGGAGAACGACGGGTGTTGAGCAAAGGATTGGTGCTGGTCGGTTGATGGGCCGCTTGGAGGTGGTGGAGGGAAATTGAGGGATGCTGGAGCGGCCTGGGCAGTGGGTGCTGCTACGGGTGGTGGGTTGAATCTTGAATCGGGGGTTTGGCCATTCTGATAGGCGGGGTCTGAAACAGCAATGTTCTCGAGCTGCTGGACTACAGAGCTTAGGGACTGATCTGACTGCTCAACTGCGCTTTCCCGGTCTGTTTCCAGTTGGGCATGTGCCAGAACATGGGCGGCTGAGTCTAGGAATTGGTTGGCGTCGTCCAAGGTCCAGAAATAAACATCTAGCGTGTTGAGACGGATCAAGTCATTTTGCCCATCTGTGCTTGGGAGCCGCCAGTCATACTGGGAAGCTTCTTGTTGAGGTGCACCGGTGTATCCGTCCACCGTCACGGTGCATAAGGTCGGAAATTGTGTAGAGTGTGATATGTGGACATTATCCAATGCGCCTTGGAATGCATCTTGGTCTGATGTACCCGGATTATTGGCAACCTCGATTCTTGCCTTATTTTGCGAAGGATCTTTGTAGATGTATAGATAGGAACTTTTCTCAAATCGATGATAGAGAGGTTTAGGGGTCGGTGTAGTGAAATAGTAATGGATATCAGCTAACCTATCGCAATCAAGAGAGTTAGGATCAGCTCAGTCTGTTTCTAAACTATGATCGCGGGGAAGTGTCAGTCAACTCACACGTTCACCAATATTTCCTCGCCCGGTCGTGGAGGCATGGTTGCGTTAAATTGGATGTGCGGAGTGAGAGTGCAGGGGAGATGTACGAAGAAACAAAAGACCAGAACTTTACGAGAGAGAGAAAGATCAATTAATAGCGCATAGAGGGGTCATCATTTGAGCCTGTGAGACGCGGCCTCGAGCCGCCCTGTTTGGCTGGGCGCTTATAGTTAGTGTGATGTGATGGGTCACTAGTACTTGGCTATCACATCTACTAACTATGAGTGGGGCAAGTACTGTTGACTTGTCAACTGGTCAACACTGGAGTTGCCGGCCGGAAGTACTCTTTCTCCGAAAATTTCCATCGCGATCAACTCAAACATCGCGGACTCCGGACAAAGTCGACCTCGTGTGCATTGATTTCCTCCAGCCCAGACATTGAGGTGCTGCCTACATTGCATTCCTATTCTATTCTCTTTGGCACGGTTTCATTGCCTTCTCCGCCAGCCCTACCATCCGGGAACTGCCACTTGCGTCCTCCGCACTTTTCCTCCTTCCTCCGTTCAACGACCTCCGCAAATTCAATTACTACGCCAATCAACCAAAATGTCTCTCGTCAACCTTGCCGCCGTGTGCTCCCACCTGAACAATGCTACCAAGGCCCGCCTGGGTCTTACCTCCATCCCCAATAGCAACCTCCACCTGAAGCTCTGCCAGGCCTTGCAGAACTCGGGCTACATCTCCTCCGTCGTCCGCGGAGGCCCGACTCCTCCCCCGACACACCCTATTCTCGGATTCCCCACAGCTAGCGACGAGGTTGAGGGTGTGGAGGCCATCACCCGCGATAACGTTGCGTCGAGACGCCTCTGGTTGGGTCTGAAGTACTGGCAGAACGAGTCCGTCCTTGGAAAGATCAGCATGGTCAGCAAGCCCAAGCGACGAATCACTCTTGATGTCGAGTCCTTGCGACGGATCGTTCGCGGCGATGAGGCCCATCACGTTGCTGGTCTGCGTTCGCCCGGCGAGAGTCTCTACCTCTCCACAGACAAGGGTATTATGGAGGCTCGCGAGTGTGTGGAAAAGAAGATGGGAGGCTTGGTCCTTTGTCGCGTGCTATAGGTCCATCCGAAATTATAATCGGTTGATGGATCCGTCTTATCTAGGCGGGAGAGTGTGTACTAGGATACCTTGGTCTTGTCTTTCTTTTTGCATTTACTCTGGAGTTTGTTTGGTTCGTCGCAGCGGAGTCTCCTTTTTAAGACTCGTTTCTTTCGCGTCTTTCGCGACTGTTGGTTAATTCACCTCGGTCGAGGATCTGTATATTAGATGTTTGCGTGTATCGCATTTCTTGTGCTCTGCTCAAGGTGGTTGTGGATCATCTGAGCAACACCGTGTATAGATAACGACTTGAAAAAAACATGTCTAGATCTTGTTCAATTTTCCAATTAAGTTCTCAAGAGGATTGATTAAATTGTCAACATCAATCCATTTGTTGATGTGACGCCTACAATTTCGAATCACCCATCGTCGATCCCTCTCGGGTATCACACTGTGCCAGGAATCCAAACATTGCACTCTCAACCTCATCATGGACCCCAGTAATTTGAAGGACATGTTGAAATCGAAAAAATTCTCATCTCTGGGGGTACAGGGTTTGTTGGCTCCGCCACGGTGCATGCCCTGGCAGAAAAGCATCCCTGTTGCGCCATCACCGTCATCGACCGCAGCCCCCCACGCCCACCATATGCATTGCCAGAGGGGATTACATGCATGCAAGTCGATGTGTCCTCTGCGGCCGAGGTTTCCAAGGCATTCACGATGGTCAAACCGGATGTAGTGATCCACACGGCTGGTATTGTACCGGCGCTGGCTGACCGATTCGGTCGAAGGTTGGAGAAGGAGGTGTGGAAGGTCAACGTCGTGGGTACCCAGAATATGCTGGATGCAGCCACAGAAAATGGGGCCGTTGCATTCATTTATACCAGTAGCTGTTGTGCTGTGACGGACGACATGCGATCATCCTATGTTAACATTGACGAGCGATGGCCCACATCGCCAACGTCCCTCATCTATGGTGAATCCAAGGTAATTCCTCCCTTTCCGAATACCGTGATTTCTTCATTCTGGATAAGGAAAAGGGAAACTGACCAGAACTAGGCTACGGCGGAGGCTCTTGTTCTCCAGGCATCAAGCGATAAAATGGCGACCTGTGCCCTACGCCCCTCTGTACTTTGCGGTCCAGGCGACTATCAGTTGGTGCCAGCCATTCATGCATGCATTGCCAAGTCCGAAACTCCATTTATTATTGGCACTGGAGATAATCTGTGGGATGTCACTCATGTGAGCAACGTCGCCGATTCGCACGTCCTAGCTGTGGAGAACTTGATGACCTTCCGCACAGCGGCCGGAGAGGCGTTCTTTATCCAAAACAATGAACCCATCACTTTTCGGGATTTATGCCTGGCGGTATGGGCGCATTTCGGGCATAACCCGCCCTTCGAGATCCGAATTCCGATATGGCTAGCGTACTTTGCAGGGTTGGTCTGTGAAATCGTCACCTGGGTGACTGGGACCACCACAACCTTGAGTCGAGGGAGTGTACGAGATGCATGTGCTATACGGTATGCTAGCGGCGATAAGGCAAGGAAGATATTGGGGTACGAGGCTCGCATTGGCATGGAGGATGCCATTCGTTTGAGCTGTGAGGTAAGCCGAGATATCATCGTACCAGATGGTATCGATTCAAATCGTTCAAAGGTAAATTCAGCGACTTACCTCGGATCCGCAGGACTATGCTCGCCGTATCGGAGTAAAAATCCCTGTCCAAATCGATCAAAGATATCGGACACGAATCCATGAACATTGACATTAACTTTCTGCGCAATCAGGATTGGACACCTTGGTAATTAAACCAGATCATTATGGAAGCCATCGACTTCAGAGGCGCTCCTTAGCTCTAGCCTAAATTATTTGCCACTTGATGGGGTCAAGTGGTCCGATTGCATCTATTATGGGGAAAGCCGGTCATGTCAAGTCTGATCTATGGGAAATGTAAGACATTGGGCGGTTCATTGGGCTGCTAAAGCCCCTAAAGCGGGTTATACTTCGAGCGGATCACGGCCGAAGTAATCAAACTGAACCATAAAAAAAAGAACGCAGGTTGATCGCCGCTCCACCAGAGATAATCAAAAACTTGGTCCATGCGTTGATTGGGCAACAATACACTTACCTGCCCAATAATTACACAATGCGCAATCCCCGGGTGAAATCGAAGCTCTTCGAAGTTGTCAAAATGTGCCCTCGATGAATGTCACGGGAATTTCATGTGCTCCGCCTCCACCGTCAGGCTCACTCATCTTGTTCTTGCAGATCATCTCTCGGCGCCTTTCAAGTCGTCATCTAACCACTAGAAATGAGAGCCTGAGCCGGATCCATGCCGTCCTGCCCAACATGCTGCCCAAAGATGTTCCCCCGGTTCAATCGTCGCACCCAGGTGAGGTGCTGCGGCCTACTGTTGGTTTGAAGGCAGCGGGGCTTGTGAAGATCTGAGCTATGGATTTCAAACCCATCCCCATCCCGGTGTGGATACGGATTCCCCCAACCATTCTAGAGCCGCGTCGTAATGCCCCGTCAAATCAGTGCGCAAGGCGCACCGGTTTCGACCGCGATCGATCGACATTCCTGTCTGGAAAGACACCGGTGTGGCACAGGGGCACCGGGGGTGTTCCCTGTCAATGTTATGCAATTGGCCCCTGTCGAGAATAATCGCCCAAGGTCACTGGTGCATTGTCTTCCATGTTATTTTCCCCACTCTGGGCTTGATGCCTTGATGCTTCTCGCGCGGCTCTCCATCCACTTGTGGGTGTGTAAAAGCACGGTCCAGCAACGGGCGTCAGGCACACCTACCAGAAAGATTCGACCCAGGTCTTCTGGACATATAATACTCGGTATTTGGCCACCCTGCGCTTCTTCACACCCAAGGATTCGCCAACCCTTTTCATTTTTTTCTGCAACTTATTTCACGCATCTTGCTTTCCCCTATAAGTTACAACCAGCCCCGACTATTTAGTTTTTGTTCATTCCCATTGTTCCCTCATTCTGTCTCGATGGTCCCAGCCTTTGCTCCCCCTTTGACGGCTGTTCCAGTGAGCTTCCAGCCACTATCTGCGACACCAGCAAACATCCGATCTCGAGCGGGTTCGGTTAGCAGTAAATTGGACTTTCTGTCTCGCCCCAGGTCAGCACAAACAAATGCCATTCTTGCCTCATCCTATCTTTTCTTCCGTGTCTGTTGGAGGGAATGACTGGCTCACAATTTGACAGCAACAACATGGCTCAGAACTCCATGTATATACCTCCGGGAAACCCTCCCATCATTCATGCTCGGCAAAGGTACTTTTATGCCATGTATAGTGGTCTATCCATTCCCCAAATTTGGCATTTCATTGGCCTTAATTACTCTTGCTAAGCGGTAAAAGGGCTCCATCGACACCTCGACCATACGGCGCCAGGGACAACCGTCCACTCATGGTAGACTTTGAACAATCACGCCCTTACTACCCAGGAAATTCAGCTCCCATGGAAAACTACGGCCATATGATGAATCAACCCGTGGGACGCCTGTCTTATCCTCCAGGGCACTCCATGCCTCCGGTCCCTGTATACCCAGAATGGAATCATCCTGTCCACGAGCCGCTGCGACAGGATGTTGGACCCCTGACTGCCCCGGAAAGCCCAACTTACATTGTGGAAAGAGCCAACCGGCGAGGTGCGGATGCAAACCGCGGAAGTTCCCAGTACATTTCTCAGAGACGAACCTCCATCCGGGGTGATGAATTCGATGGCCCCCATCAAATCCTGGACCCTCCTTCGTCTCGAAGTGTGCCCACTCGAGAGGAAGAGCTACCACAGCTTCCCACTAACCTAGATGCTGCTGAACAAGACAAGATCTTGCATGAAGTCAATGACCGTCTGTCTCTATCAGCTTATGAGTTTTTTGCAAGATATCAATTCCCCATTCCCCTGGAAACGGACAAGAGGCCCGTTCAAGTCCCTTCAGACCGGGAGTGGAATGAATGGGTGCATCTTCTGAAAAGACTTGCCACTAGACGTCGGATCCCCCGACACACTCTGCACAACGGCCAAATCAAGCAGCTCATCACTGTTTTGGAAAATTCCCTAGAGATGCGTCATGCTGCCAAGCATAGCTCGCGACCCGTCAAGGATGACCGTAACGTGCTTCAGCTCATCTCCGCAGGAACGCAGGTTGCAAAAATCCTCAAGGATTCCAGCGCCATGCAGTTCTTCGATCGTCTTTATGTGGACACGGAGAAGATGATTCATGACCGACGCCGCCGCGTCAGATTTGCTAGCCCTTGAACCCCTGGAAATATGGCCATTTCTTAATCACCCTGATTACCTTTAATCCCATGGATGTTTCCTTCCGTGGATTACTATTTCCCTGGACCGCCATGCTTCTGTTTTTCATTTTTGCTTTGAAGGACCCGAAATTTCCGTGGATTGCCTCGATTACTCCATGAGGACCATAAGTAACGGCTCCATGTCGTGGCCCAAGGATTTCCTGCTGGCTCAGGATTTGTTTCATGTTCGGGGATTACCCCCTGGTTGGGGACATGAAACCACCCTGGCTCAGCAAATACATTAACTACGCCCACGACGGAAACCACTCTGCGCTGCCTACCCCATTTGCGCACCTCATACCTATGTCTGGAACAACTGCAAATTGTTGAGCTTACACAAGCTCTCACTCATTTGACAGTCAAGAGAAGGGAGGCCAGAATCTACCCCAAACCTATTTGTTCGGTTGGTTAATCATTTTTCTTTGGAAATCTTTTGTTTACGGCGTTCTCTTTGACGATTATGTTTCAAGGTCTTTGTCTTTTGTTCTCGGGCTGGCTGTCTCGTATACATTGAGTTATGTGTTTATGTGTTTATGCTTTGATGTCTTTCATGTATTACACCCCAAGACTAGGGGTAAATTGGACGCTGAAAATGACTATCTTTGACGCCAGTTAGGCGTCTTTTTTTTGCCTGTCTTTCTAATCATCGATAAAGATTTGGTGATCGAGACCCAGATTTCCATACGCTACGCGTAGCGCGTATCATGGGTGACAACAAAGAAAAGCCAGCAAAAGAAAGCCAGGGTTTCAGTGGTTCAACACAAGCCTGACTCAGCCCCGCACAAGAATGTACTATTCTCCCTTTGACAGACTCATGATGCTCCTTTGTCCACCACTTGACTTGACTTGGCAAGTAGAATATTTTCATCCGCTCAAGAAAACACTAACGACACCATGAGTTCACAAGAGTTGCTACCAGAGCTATGGTACCTTATTTTCCAAGGTGGATGTGCCCGTGCTCAGCTACGCTCTATTTCATAAACTATTTCATTACAAAACATCATACAGCTACCGACTCAAAGTGACCTGGTAAATGCTTGCACGGTTTTCAGGTCGTTTGAGAGTCTCGCTAAACCATTGTTGTACCTATCGGTCATACTGCGCACATCAATAACTGGTATAAGCTGGAATGCCCTCTCAAGTGAACTTAGAGATCCAGATAAAGCGAAAGAAGTATCCTTCAGCCTCTTCAATCAACTTTTTTCGAAGATCGAAATGAGCGTTTGAGGGCCCTTGTTCGTGATGTTACCATCCACGATGCAGGAGGCATGGGAAGAACCCAAAGGCTAGGACGACTCGAACATCCTTTGGTCCGCTTGTTAAAGAAATTACCTAATTTGGGAAATCTTTCGTACGTTACCTCTCTCTTACTTCTCTCTTACTCGAGACGACTTTCTACACTGTTCTAACTGGAATTTTGGACTATATAGCTTTCATCATGAATTTCTATGGCCAAAAAGACTTATCGAAGCATTTTGCAATCACAATAGATAGCCAAAGCTTCATCTGCTCGGAGAGCAAGGCAGGATTCAAGTAGAAGTACTTATGACTGGTGTTAGCACGATGTGTATCTCATTGAAGGCTCTTTCTCATGGTACAGGCCCCAAACGACAGGAATTGGATCTTGAGGAGCTGTTTGCTGCTTATTCAAATCTTGACAGTCTGTTGATATTGGTGAATAGACGCCAAAGTGGCTATAGAGTGGCAAATTCTCCAACTACTACGAGGATTAAACCACTTACTCCATCCAAGAACTGGACGTTTTCACCTCTGCAAAGTCTCTCCCTGAGTGGTTGTCATATCGACGAGCAGACGGAGACCTCTCTCTGGCGAGATTGATTCCTCTTAGAGGGGCTAAAGTCACTTTGTTTCGGCCACACGAAAATGAAAACCAAACCCTCCTCAAACAAATCAGCGGCCAGGTCAAGAATAACAGACATTGAGTGCACTGAGATCACCCACTTGGAGATTGATGTAAATCTTGGAAGTGCATGGGTATGTCCCACAAAGCTTGAGCTCCCTGGTCTCGACCAAACTAACGAGCTTTTCCTAGTCCGATGCCTTTATCAATGCCCTGGCTGTGGGTTTTCAAAATCGTCGTCGTTTTTCAATTCACATCGCACTATAGATACCGGTATACAGGAACATGGAGGGCGAAGAAGGAAAGCACAATTTGGGGCAGTATTGACAGATTTCAAATCACAGGACTTTGGAAGTCGCTTATTCGAGCGCAGAGGACCAACATCTTTTCTGGAGATGACAATTCTACATACAGGAGGGAGCTTACGCTTCTGCCTGAACTCCTTTCCTCTTTACACGGCTGTGGAACGCGAAACTGCAGAGATGTTCGAAGTCCACCGTCCTCGGGATATTGGAGATGAGCCTCTCAAGGAGCTGCCATACTGGTGTTCAGTCATGTTGGTGTGATGAAAGAGACCTTGCTCATATCTTGGGTAAGAAATCTCCACGATCTTGGACTAATTCTTTAAATCCAGGAACTGCCTATACTCTAGTGCAGCTGATCTGCAGTAGTCTTTGAAATTGATTACACCTCCACGATCTTATTGCTTGACTCGCGGATATTCACCAAGCACATTTAGCGTAGCACGATAGGAACAGCTTAGACAACCCGCTACTATACAATATCTCTGAGATATCATTGAGCATATGGCATTGCTTGATTCTAGTCAACAAGCAAGATAAAGCTTCATTCAAGCTGGATTGTGCACTAAAAGTTCAATACTAAGACTCAATTACTTCTTAACCATCTTCCAATCTTATCGTAGCCTGACCTTGGTAATGTGGGTATGTATTCAGTATTCTTACTCCACGTTTCGAATAGTGTGCCTTGCCTACAACTAACTTTTGGGTAGTTCAATTGTCACACTGCCTGGTCATAGAAGGCGGTCAAGGCTGCTGTCTTTTGGACATGTTCAAATTTGGCGGTGAGAAACGCGTTACACGCACAAAAAAAAGTTTAATATTCTGCCCAAGCAACAAAAAGAGCGTCAAAGCAACCACTTTTTCAAAAGAAAAAGAGAAAGCAAAAAAAAGATGACCAGACTGGGGCTCGATCCCAGGACCTTATCGGTGTTAACGATACGTGATAACCAACTACACCATCCGGCCAATTGATATCAGGAGGTGGAGATTTTGGCGTTATGAACCAAGACTTCTTCTGCCATCCACATTGTGGATCCAAGGACTACCGAAGCCGTAAATGGTCTAGTCTAAAGGCTCCGTGGATTTTCGACGACTGATCTAGTCAGTATTCGCTTGCGCGCAATGATTTTAAAACTGCATTAGATGTGTATCACTGCATATCAGGTATTCGATGTGCTGTGGCGTAGGTTTCGATGAATAATCTCGTGTTTGAGAAATTATGTTAAGGTTTTGGTTGGGTCTTGTATGGATATATATATGGTCATACCTGCCAGTGGCAGATCTAAGAGAAATGTGTGTTGGATAACCACCTGGGCAGACTTGATAATCATCGAGACAAATTGTGATGGCTCACCTGAATGTCTACCTGGGTATCTACTCATTCCGACCAAGCTGGCGTAGATAGTGTCGTTGTTCCAAAGTTGGTAATTTTTGCCAAAATCGAAGAGATGCTGAAGCAGTCGTGATCCAATTACAGCTCGCATCTGGCCTTGCTGAACTGTCGCTTCCGCATCGATAAACAGTATAATGGAGTAGGTGTCATCGGTGGATCATTCCTCTTCAAAAATGCACGTTTGACGTGTCTTGTTGGCCCCTTACCTGCATGTATAACGCATGCAGAAAGATGTCCCAAGAGAGCCACCTGTTCTATAGTGGATACAAAGAGCACTTAATGTTATTATGGGGCACCGGGCTGCAGATCAGTAACGTAGCTACAAGCGGGTTTTAAAACGAGGTGACAAGATCATGTGCACTAGTATAATGACGGCCACCTCAGAAACTGACATACCATCGGTTTTGATCGATATCCTGATTATTACGTCAGAATTTGTCCATGTATTCCGCTATAGTCGCTGACATTATTAATGAGCATTGTTTAAAACTTCAAGCCATGTTATAGATGCATTTATGTCTCCGGTCCTCTCGTTAGACTTCATGACAGAAGTACGATTTATTTTCCAGCCTTTGAGATCTGGATTTACTCAGATGAACCTGGTGACCCTCGACCGGAAAAATCAACACGAAATGAAAGTCCATTTCCGCATATTCACATTATGATGGACAGAACAGCGAAGACCAGATGTAGATGAGAATCGCGGCGTCACTTAGTGCGCAGTAAAAGCCCGTGCAGCTTGTAGAGCGCGAAAGTCTGTGATACAAAGCTTCCACGTTGTTGGCGTGGCTCAAGAGATAGAATGAGACGCCCTATCTTGTAATTGGCACATTCCTGGCAATTAATTCCATCTGTCTGGAAATGTCGCATTCCCCAGGGTTGGAGATTAGAATGTAATGCTATAATATTGTATTCGGTATATATCACTGACCGGATGGTGTAGTTGGTTATTCGGTATCGTTGATACCCTGTGAATTACGCAAAAAGGTTTAGCGGCTTTTTGTATTTGCTAGCAAATTCTCACTGCTTTGCTCTTTGTACTTGTAAAATGAAATCAATCCTCTAATATCAATTGGCCGGATGGTGTAGTTGGTTATCACGTATCGTTAACACCGATAAGGTCCTGGGATCGAGCCCCAGTCTGGTCATCTTTTTTGCCGGTTTTTTTTTTTTGGTTCCCATTCCAATCGGAAATTGAGAGAATGTTTCTGGTGGGGCGTATGGCATCCCATTGGCGGGTACCAAATCCCGCAACGGTAAGAGGAGCAGGTAACGAGCTTTGTTACCAAATTAATGCTATTAAATACGGTGCAGTGACAATTCAAAGTCCAGAGTGGCAATATAATCCAGTATAACCCGACACATAGCTCCAGGGCTTGTTACCCTTACAAGGCTATCCCCAGGCCTGATTATGCGATTGCTAGTCTAATGTGAATGGGATTCTAGAGTGACGCCCACCAAGTGGGCGCCTTTTACCTAGGATTGAAGTGTTACTGTAATTCCTGTTCGAATGAAATCTTATCCTACGTGGTGAGTTATTTAGAGCATGGCCATATACTTCAAATTTACTCAGATCGATACTTTATATTTCATGCTATCGCAAATCCAATCATTTTGCAATACTGGCTTAGCATTTCAATATTATGCCTAAGCAAAACCTATTATCTATCATAGGCAGAGATGACTTACATCCAACTTCCCCGACATCGCCCGGATACCTTGCTCACGATAAGATTTTTTGAAGCCTGTATATCTCCAGCAATTGGACTACCACTCCAATTGCCAGGACCGTTGCTGAAGATAGGTCGTATCGCATGAATTCCAGCTTCACCCGCGGCGATCGTAAACCCCTTAAGGTTTTTGCCATAAATGTCTACTATCATATATTCATCCGGTAGTCGATACCCCAAAGTCCACTCTGGCTCGTTCAAATTCTTTTTCAGTAGACCAATTCCAGTTATATAGGTGTCTGCTCCTTCGTACCGTATATATATGACCAAGCTAACGACTGAACCATATAGTGGAACCACTTGGGTGAAAGGGTTGTGTTCCACCCAGCATCGATCACATAAACTGCTTTGGGTTTCTTATTCACGATTTCTGTCACATCTTAACTTTGTCGATATGATTCTCCAGGATGTGTCGCCGATGAAGTCTTTATAGTCATCAGACGGCTTTATCATTGTGTACCTTTGTCTTAACCATCGATTGTTTCTCCACTGACGTCGCTTCTCCCAAAGAGGCGTACCACGCGGACCTTTTTTGCTTTATTAGTACACCGATAGATCATTCGCCAATCCTGCTCTCGTTTAGGGCTTCTGTGCTGTGTTGAGTGGGCTGATTGAGCGTCTGGTAGCAGGGAATAAAGGAATCTACGGTCTCCACATGGTGAAAGTCTTGACTTCCAAAACGATTGGTCTTCAAAGACTTCCGCCATTGATCGAGATAAAAGTCTCAGACTGAGAAAGTCTGATGTAGGTACCTTAAATGCAATTTTGGTCCGTATCTCCGAAGGAAGAAAGCTGAAACAGTCAGAACTAGAGCCATCGACATATTTTCGCTTTCTTTTCCGTTCCTTTGGAAGCTCGAGTCGGTTCTTGGCACTTCGAAGTCCTCGTACAACAGGACGTTTCGAAGGGGGATTTTCATTTTCTGGCAGGTTGAGTGTAGAACAATCTCTTCGACTATGTTATTTTTGGATTTGAGCCACTCAGAAAACGGGTTCTTGAAAGTTAACTCACCGTTAAAAAGTCTGCCTGAAGGAGGGATATTCTTACAAACTTCAAAAAGCCGATCGAAATTGATTATTTTCTGAAATTGCTGACTCAGGAATATCCAACATTCTTCATGGAACGGAAGAGCCTTAATGGTCTTGCCTGGGTCATTGGGTACCAAGGGCCAAGCTTTTCAGCAGTCTCGTCAGGGAAGCCGAACAATTCTTCCTCTGCCCAACTATATTCAGTCGAATTAACACCTCCTAGCTTAGTACCCCTCTCAGTCAGATAAACTAAATGTATTATGGAGGTTAGATACAGCATCCCAGAATACAGTAATGGAGCGAAGACCCACGTGCGCGATAATATCTCATCCAACAATTTTGATTCCCAGGATTCTTCCCTCCAATCGCCTTCCCACAAGATATGCAAAAACAGAGCCAGTTCTCGGAGGCAACGTCTGAAGGAGTTTGTGCGCGGGTAAAATCAGGATCTAGAGACTCAAGGCTCATTGCGGCTATTAAAGATGTCAAATCAAAGGGTCTGAGGGGTCTATTGAGGTAGAGGCAAAAATAAGATTACCCGGATCCTAGGCTATGTCTCAAGGAGACAACCACTTTTGGAGGTCATCACGACATCAAAATCCAAAATAAGTCGCCAAGTGGAACACTATGGAATCTCTGGACATAAAGATAGATAGAGGTCATCATGACATCGATCTTTCTTCCCTCCAGCTATCTATAGTCTATTGGAATGATATGATATTCTATCGATGAGTATCCATCAAACCACGATCCCACTGCATTCCAAGATTACCCATGCGCCGATTGAGCCATCATTTCCTCATATCTAGTCGTTCCAGTTCAATTATTGTCAATATTCTCAATTGAGCTCTCAAGGTTATTGATCAGATCTATTCAATTTTGCCTAGGCCTGCAGCAACCTTGGAAAAGGTACTGTCAATTGAACATCATGGAGTGTCGGTTAGACACCTCATTAAACACGTATGTGTGATGCAGTGTTTATCATTCATATAGAACGCTATAGTTCCCTATAAACCAGGCTTTAAAGGCCATATGACCTCGCTTGGTTCAGGTCAAATTGCCATATAATGTTTCACTCGAGCGCGGATATAGCCATAACAGGCACCGGCTCAGTGGGTATCAGTTCTTAATAACCGTCACATTCTAGGGTGGCCTAGTGTGAACCGGTAGGTACCTGAGAATCCATACTATAAAATTACTACTCGGAATATTGAATAGCGCGCCTTGCCTAATACCGTTGGTTTTCAGAGTTGGTGATCAATTAACAATTCTCCTTATAATAAGACTAGGTTTTAAGCAGAATTAGAACGAGTCTTTATATTCCATATACTAGATGTCCGTTTATTTACACCTCGTGGCATTGCACCAAGGCCAATACCAAAGGTTGTAGGGACAAATCGCTGGCATGAGATGATTCGATCGTTTGCAAAGCATGGAAGTACGAGAAGCCGCCAGAATGCATTATTTCCAAGATTCGAACATATAGCTTGAATTCGATGTATCCAAACATTGATGTACGCCTTCTTGCATATTTCAAGGCTGTTGACGCCGCATGAAAAATAACTGATAGGTATGCAGTAGCGCCTGCGCTAATAGATGATCGCCCAACCCAAGATATCCGGTTCCAATTTATTAAACAAATCATGTTTTTTGAGGCGAGGACCCACGGGTAGATGTTCCGTCTGTGGCAGATGACTTTTCGAGCTCAGGTGAACTTTCGAGATAAGGAGGAGTCGCATGGGTTGGCCTCTCCAGTGACGGAGACCTAGATTTGCTGCCTATGGAGGACTCGGCGACAGGCGTCGGAGTCCTGTGGGGAGGTCGTTGCGCAATTTTTGTAGACTCTGATGTGACATTGGTTTCCTTTGCCAACTCTTCACTTGTTGGCTTCCGTGCCCAGATACGTCGCCTGTAAATAAGTCAGTTGTGTCACTTAAGCATGTTGTGTTCGAGCTTACGCGAGGATGTAAATGTGATGGGCCGGGTTTTTCACTTCAGCTCGAGCCTTCGCCACTAGAACCTGAACTTCCTGTTTTGACCACGGCTTGGGAGTACCGTATCGTGTGAGCAGATACATGGCCCACCCCTCCATACCGGACTTCCACATTGTGGAATTTAGTCTCCCTGCCTCTTTCAGCACTGGGTCTTTTGCCCAGCCTCCGATTGGCCATTTGTACACTTTTTCGTGTACGTCGATGAAGCCGGCCTTTTCAATCTGCTCTCGCATGGTATCGAGGGTGCCCATCGGACGTCCTGATTTGTTTGAGGCAGCAATGAGATTATCTCCCCAACTTGCGAGAATGCTGTCTTCGGGTAAACTGCCATCATCCGACATTATATGGCAGGCACCTTCGAATTGCTCAATCCAGCCTCCGGGTGTTAAGTTGCTGAAGGTCGCTGTTATTGAATTGTCTATCTCGACTTATAAAGAGAGAAATCTTACTCGTAGCATTGCTTGTAGACTCTCTCCCATTCATCGGTGGAAAAAGCACCTAGCATGATGCTCATGTGAATGAAATCAAACGACTCGCGCCATGTCCATTCTTGAAGAACATCGTCTACCTCTAAGACGCAATTTGGAGGCATCCAGTCAACCGGTGGTGGAAAAAGATCGACTCCGCGGATCATAGCTAGCAAGGGTCAGCATATTTCACCACAAAGATTGAGTGGAGAGATTACCGCTAGGGAACATATCTGCCATATCACTATTGAATACTATTAGTGAGTCTCACTCCATCCCACTTGAACCCGCTTACATTGCCCAGGTCCCTCGACCTGTACCAATATCAAGAACATTCTGTACCATAAGTAGATCAGTACTCCAATTCAGAGGTTATATTTCCAATGATGATGTTACCTGAGGATTCTCAACGGGAGACTGGAATAAAGCGTTTGGGGATTCAGAGTCCATGACTAGTTGTGATAAATATCTACCGTAGTCAGCACGTGATGTGTCAGACGAACGGAGTACTTACCCTGCTTCGAGCGCCTCAAAATGCTGGTCGTCCGCCGGACCCCTGATGAAGTTAGCGCTCCTATTCTTAGTTCATAGGGGGTCGCCTTTACCAGTATTCGCCTTCGCGCATAGTTTGATACCTAAACGTAGAAGAATGAGCAACGATTCCATAATTTGGAGCGGTGGCTGTCAAAATACCGTCGACCATTTTCCATCACCCCCCGGTATATCGAAGAAGCCAGAGAGTATGTCTCTCTAAGTCGTAAAAAGGCAGATTAGGTCGGTTGTCACCGTCAACAGCAGGATCGCAAGCACCTACGAGTGAATATCATCATAATTTGCCTTGCCTTTTATAGCTTGGAAGCTAGGGTCCTGTAGAACGTGGAAATAAGCAGCGGGAAGCACGGTCGGTTCTCCATTTTAGCCCCCACTTACGACAAGAATGGAATTATCTGCCTCCACAGTGGAGGAACTTTCTCTCTTCATCCCGTCGAGTTGTACCGCGAGTTTCCGATCCCGAAGTAGAAGAAATAGGAGAGAGAGAAAAAAAACCAAGGGTGATGTTTGAAGGTGATGAGGCGGGGTTATATCACCTCAGTGAACCCCGACCCGAGAGTTTGGAGACGGTGGGTCAAAAGATTAGCTTACCTCTGGCGATTAAAGTGTTGCGCTTGTTCGGAGGCAAAGAGGACACGGGAAGGGTGATCATTCCTTGATTTAGCTTGAAATAGGCGCTGCGATGACACCGTTGTTACAGTGAGGCTACGAAAAGCTCTGAACAGGTGGTGTGTGCAGGGCTTTAATCTACGGGGAGGGTATTTCGGATCCTGGTGGGGTACTGAGGATCACTGATTTGTGGATATGTGATCCTGGAGGCAAGAATTCGGGAAAAGGCTGAAGGTTAGAGGTGCTATCCTAGAAAGTTGGAGCCCAGGGGACCCGACAGTCTGGGACGCCTGCCGAAAACGGCCAGCGTTAATGTTTCTTCTTCCACTAACCTTGGAAAGATCCTTGCCTTCCGGTACGGAGTCTATTAAGTACCCCGGCCCATTGTTCTCTAGAGATCTTCTACAGGGAACTTAATTTCAGAGAACCACCCGGCAGTATGTGGATATCTCCTTGAAAGGGGAAGAAGGGGGGGAACATGATGATGCGCATTGATAATGATTAGTCCAACTTTGCTTTTGGGCTTGACCGATCATGCACCGAGAATAATACGGGCCAGATTGGCTCCGAAATCCCAAAGACTTGGAACCATGATGCGTTCCCCAGACCAATAGTTTGGTCTAGCCAGCTGTAGCTTTCCCTGTGCTGCATGCAACGTACTTTGAGCCCAGTGATACGCTCCCGGCTATTATTTCCACGGTCGCGCGTAATTACTTCAAGTATAAGTAATTTCTCGATTTTAACCTTATAACAACAGGTCAGAAAAGGACTGCAAAAGAAAATGAACTTTCATGGTACACATATGCTCTGCACTCAATAAATGAAAGTCCAAAGGAATGTTCGTAACTACATCAGCCAGTTGACTTACTAACCCTTGCAAGCAATGAGGTTACACTTTCTTTTGCTTACATAATGATCACAGAATGTGCTTACATAATGGATTAACGTATTTCACCCCTAAGCGAGCCATCCCGCTCGGCCGGGCCACCCCATCAAATATTGATAATTCAATCCAACGTAATATGATCAAAACAGCGTAATATTTGATATGCAAGCTATTTAACTAAATTTGAACAATGTGTGATCTTATGCCCCCGAATTCCACAATTCGAACACTTTGGTGGAGCTCGCTGGCGTGGTTCTTGTGCTTGAGATTGACCGGTTGATGGGGGTTGAATTGGTGCTTCTGGAGCTTCTGGAGCACGTTGAGCTAGCTCTCGAAGCTCTGCCACGGATACGCCTTCTGGGCGAGCTATCTGCCGATTAGATCTTGCTTTTTTCTGCTTGATTTTCTCGTTTCTAGCACGTAGAAGCTGGTTTTCTCGAGCTAGAAAAGCTGTATTTTGCATGGTTATTTGGCACGCTTTTAGCACTTGATCTATTGCAGAATTCACCGGGCTTGGTGGACTTCTAGAGCGTGCTTTTAAGAGCTTTTTGATAGAAGAAGCTTGCTTCTGGAGCTGCTCGTAATTTGATGGCGTTCTTGGCTCCCATACGCTGCTGCTTTGACTACCTCTTGAAGGTGGTGGTGTAGGTGTAGAAAGTCGAATATTTAGCTTTGAAATCACGCGATTTGGATCATATGGGACTAAGCCAGTTGCTGCGAAGCTATTTTTGATCGTTTCTGGTTTAAAAGCTTCGATTCGTGCGGTCGGAAAAGCGTCGAGAAAGTCCAATTTATCAATATGGTTTGATCCAGCGCGTACGACGTTTTCAACACACTTTCCATATATACGCTTCAAAACCGCAAAACAACCCACATCAAGAGGTTGTAAAAGATGTGAAGAGTGCGGTGGCATACAAAGTGGAATCACATGATTTTGAGAGCAAATTTCGTCGAATTTTGGAGTTAAATGACTTCCATGACCGTCAAGAATGAGGAGTCGATATTTCCCCTTCATCCTCGAGAAAGTCGAAGGAAGAAAGACTTTTTGAAGCCAGCGAAGTCCAATTATATCCGAGGTCCATCCATTATCGCTAACTTCGAATTGCCAATCGTCTGGAAGTCCATCCGCCCAGCTTGTCATAAAGACTTTGCCCTTGAAGATAACCATCGGAGGAAGGCTAAATCCAGACGCGCCAGTACACTCGATCGAGGTTACCTATTCACGATTTCCAGGTTGTAAAAGAGCGCGCCGACCGTAATATTCAGCTCTCGTAATAACTTTCGCGGTCGCGGTCAAGCCCATCGCGAATCCTGTCTCATCAAAGTTGTATATATCGTCTTGCTGGATCCCGTTTTCGTGAATCGTCTTTTGGACCAAGTTAAACCATTCTTCTATGATTTTTGGATCCTCACACTTAGCGCGCTCGTAGTTATAACGTCTTGAAAATCGTGTAGCGAGTTCTGGGTGTCGTTTAACGTATTTCGTGACCCAATTTTTGCCAACAGTTTGAATTGGGGTTGTTCCACGCGTTGCAAGTAGAAGATTAGCCATCTCGTGCACAGTTCTATGCCGAGGTGCTGCTCCACGTATATCCATAGAGATAATCCATTGTTTTAACGAATTCTCCTCGATTTCTGTCAATTTGAACGATTTTACGCGTGGTTTGACGCGATTTTCACGCCCGTTGAAGCGCGCTTGTAAGGTTGAACGTGGTATGTTGTATATATCCGCTGCCTTGCGAATTGACAATTTTTCTTGCTTTTTAATAGCTTGTATAGCAAGCAAGATACGCCCCTCTTGCTCTATCAATTTTTGACGATTTTTAGAGCGAATTGGTGGCATGGTGGCTGGTTGAAGATGGATAGTCTAATTAATTACGCGTTTTGGTTGGGGTGGCCCGGCCGAGCGGGATGGCTCGCTTAGGGGTGAAATACGTTATCAAACAAACCGATTTCTTCAGCATTAAGTAAGCGAAACGCAGCAGGCCTCAGGAGTCAGAACGAGTCTACATGTGGCGTCGCCACTGACATAAGCAGAGGTCGCCAGTAACTAGGCCTAATTAGGAAATAGAATAATTTTTACTGGCGACCTCTACTTATGTCAGTGGCGACGTGACCTATAATTTTAGGTCCTAAAACGACTATATTACAGAAGGGCTTAAGGCTATACCCACTACCTTACTTTATACCCACATTCTAACTTATTAAAATTTAATAAATCTAGCAAAATATTAATAGAGGTAGATTCTCTAAGTTAACTAGTAAGTGCTTATTAAGCGTTTAGGAAGCGCTTATAGCTCTTACTTATCTTTTTATAAGGAGGGAGCTCTAACTCTCTAGTCTTAACTCTCTAGACTCCTAAAGGTAAATATATTCTATATAAATCTTATTAGTCTCTAACTAAATAGGGGGGCGAAACCTTATTAGCTATTATAAAACTAATTTAAGCACTTAAGAAGTACTTAAGAAGCACTTAGTAAGCACTCCATAAGTGATCAGAGTAAGTGCTCACAACGAAAGGGGGGAGTTCACGAAGCGGTGACAGAGGCGGAGAAGAGATGGTGGTGGAAGGAAGTAGAGTTGGTTTTTAGTAAACAGTAATCTATTATGGGGGACCTTCCTAATCAGGCTAGCTTACTTTCAATGGCGACCTGTGGCTTATGTCAGTGGCGACGTGACCTGTACCCTCAGTCAGAACTCTTTCGTCACCACGTGTTTTGATTTAAGAATGGGAACTAGTGTGAGTGGCTTCAAGCCAAGTCGGTTCGGACATCGGCCCGGTGCATACAAAAGTCGCCGAAACAATTGGTGCTCGGGGTAATAGATTGCACCGCCAGTGGAGAAATTTTGATTTAGTGGATACAAATTCAATGGGTCATTTACTGGCACATTCCCGAACCGGTAGATCGAGCGATGAATAACCTGCTGCGGATAGACCGGATTAGTGGAACCATCGGAGGTGTTTCTTAATGAGTTTTTTCCCCCTGCCGTGGGCCATGGAACGAGAAGAATTCTCTGGAATAACCTTAATCTTTTTGCCCCAGGCCTCGGCAGGTGGAAAACCGGCACAAGTGTTTGATGATGAGAAATCAAAGCTATGGAGTATCTTGATGGGGTCCTTTTTAAATAGCAGGCTCCGCAGCTTTCAATGCTATATCTTTTCCAATAACCAATAGACCGATAACGCCACCCATATACCCACGTTATAATCTCCATCTAACTACAACGCAATGAGCGTCGCATTCGAAGTTTTTCGTGGTTCGAAAGAGGGCAAGATCGTCGCCGACACCACAACACGCACCTTGGGCCCCAATGAAGTCTACATCGAGACCACGCACTCCGGCCTTTGTGGAACAGACGAGCACTTCCTGAAGTCCGGTATCGTCCTCGGCCACGAGGGTGTGGGAATTGTGCGCCAGATTGGCCCAAATGTCAAGAATGTCAAGGCTGGAGATCGTGTTGGATTCGGATACACCCACTATGTCTGCGGAACTTGTGAGAAGTGTTTGACTGGTACGTGCAGAGCTGGATAGAGACGGAATTCACTCAGCTAACTTGAATACCAGGGTGGGACCAATACTGCGAGAACAAGAAGGAATACGGCACACATGACCACGATGTTGGATCTCTCAGCGGCGGTGCTGTTTGGGATGCTGGCTGTGTGGTCCCCATTCCCGAAGGATACGATTCTGCGGACGCAGCCCCCCTGATGTGCGCTGGCGCCACAGTGTGGACATGTTTGACCGAATATGGTGTCCGTCCCACCGATCGAGTGGGCGTGATGGGTATTGGTGGACTAGGTCACTTGGCAATCAAGCTGGCCTCCGCCATGGGATGCCACGTCGTGGTGTTCTCCAGCTCCGAAGCGAAGCGGGAGGAAGCCTTCAGCTTCGGTGCCTCCGAGTACCATGTCTTCCGCGCCGGCCAGGAATTGAAAGATTGCAAGCCGGTGAACCATCTTCTGCTGTGCGGCAGTGCCAATGTCGATTATTCCTCGTATGTTACCGCGTCTATGTCAACAATGTTAGGGTCGCTTACTGATCTATTTCCACAGTCTCATTCCTTTGATGGATATCCATGGATCCATTTACCCATTGACCGTCGACTTCGCACCCTCCCCCGTTCCGCTCCTGTACATGAACGTCAAGGGTATCCGGATCCAGGGATCTTTGGTGGCGTCTCGGCAGAGCCTTCGGTCCTTGGTGCAGTTCGCAGCTGATAAGAAGATTGTCCCGACATCAATGCAGTTCCCTTTGACTCAGGAGGGAGTTGAAGAGGCAATGGAAACTCTTCGTCAGGGCAAGATGCGTTACCGGGGTGTTCTTGTGCGTTAATGAACCGAACAAAAAGTTTGCTGGGAATATACATAGATGTAGATATAGAGGTACTAGACTAAATGTAAATATACAATACATTTCATAATCATCGTCACTTGTTCTATGGTTTCCTGGTGTTGTGGTTATTATTGCCCACGGTTATTTCCTTCACTATTTAACGGTGTTTCCTCTCGACTTCTCTTTCCTTCCTCTCCCTCTTCCCACAACCCTCTTCTTCTTTTCACTCTTGACTCACCCACCTTGAATCAGCCTTAGCTTTGACCATCTGATCATTTGTTATTTCTCACTTCCACACCACACCTTCCTGCCTGACCCGAAGAGAAAGCCGCGACAATGGAGGACGCTCCACCCATCGAGGAAATGGCAGTTTCCATAGGGGATGGAGCAATCAATCAAGTTTTTGGCCTTCCAGAAAAGATTGAAATTGACGTGTTCAGCGGCATGGACCGACTGGAGGAGCCCGAGGACTTTGACCTTTGGCTGCGCAACACAACCCGTCTTCTGAAGTCTGCTGGCTTAGACAAGCTAGTTGATATCCACATCCCAAGACCTGAAGTACAGAATGAGGGATCCAAGCGCTGGCTGCTTTACTCAAAGTTAGTACAACACTATCTGTCGGAGAGTATTGCAGATGGTCTGTTGGCAAATATTGCGTCCCGAGGAAAATCCATCAAGCTTGCCGACGAATTCGTCGACGAAGCGAAAAGGGCCTTCCAAAATCCGGGAATATACGCAGACTTGGATGGAATTGCCAGTATTTGCTCTATTCAGCTGTCGAATCACAAGACAGCCCAGGAGTTTGTATGGGAGTTCAGAGAGCACTGCAAGCGTCTTTGGGATTTGCAAATTAGCATCCCACCTTATGTCGCAATCTGCAAGTTGATTAACCAACTTGACACCATGGAAACAAAATTTGTCGTGGCTTCAACAATTGCGGATCTGCACAGACGAGCGGAAACGATGAATCTGTGGACTGGATTTGAACAAGTGGACTTTCATGTGGTTTCTTTCAACATCATCCAGCGCCTTGAAGCGGAAATGCAAGATCATGACAGACCGAGATTCAGGATGCCTCTGCTGGAGAGTGTGGGGAATAAGCTCGACTTCGAATCTGTTGACAAAGAATTACAAAACTTCAAAGCATCGCTTGACCAGCATGCTGTGAAAGTACCCGATGTCGATCAGTCTGTTCGAGATCTGAAAAGGTTTACCAACGCTGATCGAAAGCACTTTCCTAAAGCCGGAGTCAACAGAGCCGCCTACGCACAGCAGCTACGCGATACATTGGGCGAACTGGAAAGCAAGGACTGCGCCTATTGTGGACAAAAGTTTCACACCGCTGCAAAGTGCTTTTACCTCAATCCATCCTCCCGCCCAAAGCATTGGAGGCCGGATCCTAGAATCTGGGTCTTCATGTACGGAGTAGTGGGAGAAGAGGAACCTATCCCAGCGAAGAAGCTCGTAGTAAGTCCGACTGAAAACAACAAAGTGGTGACACCTCCGGAGAAGAAGCCCCGAGAAAGCTTGACTGGAAATAAGAAAGTGCAGACACCCACAGTGAAGAAGCTCGAAGAAAGCTCGCCCCAAAACATCAAAATGGAGCCAATCGCAGTGAAGAAGCTCGAAGCAAGCCCACCCGGAAACAACAAAGTGGAACCAATCACAGTGAACAGGCTTGAAGAAAGCCCACCCGGAAACAAACAAGTGACAGTGAAGATGCCAGCTGAGAATCAAAGCGCATTAAAGCCGAAAGGGGTTATAACAAAGGAAGCAACAGGTGAAAACTCGTCGGTTGAATCCCTGACCAAATGTGATACGGATTCACCTTTTGTCGGATCTGCATTTGACACGTCCAACTCATTCACTGCGTCAAAGTGCGACTGGCTTGTGCTTAAAGGCCCCGGCCACCATATTTGTGCTGATCTGACTGCCATGACCGAGTACTATGAATATGGTCCCGAAGATATTCCATTTGAATGGACGTGGAACGCCCGGGGAAAACGCTCCGAAGCTCACGCTGTTGGAAAGGGCAAGGCAAAGATCAGCCTGTTGTGCGAAGACCGTGCCACAATCATGAAGCTTTTCGTTGATTGCTACTACTGCCCGGATTCTCGGTTCAGTCTACTCTTCATCGAGAAAGCCGAGAAGGATCTCCTTCTTGAATACAATGATGAAACCAAAGCCTTGCATGATAAGGAGAACGACATGAAGATCGTCGGATACACGGTCAATGAGCATGGTCTATCATTCTTAGGTACCTTGGACTCGACCATCAAAGAGGTCAATTTGATGGACATGGACTGAGCCAGGACATATCAAAGGATATGAAGAGCGTTTGAAAAGGTAAAAACCCACCAAAAAAGCCTCCGCTTGTTTCTTTTTTATTTTTTTAGTCTTTTTTTTTTTTCATTTTTTATGCTTTCAACTTTTGTGTCTTTGATTTTTACGGAGCTCGGTGTTGCTATTATGGACATGTTGAGGTTTTCAATTGCATCGGGTATGGCATATGGGCCAATGTATGGAAAACGAATTTTCAAATTTAGCGCTATTCTTATGTTAGTTCGCTTCTGGATTGGAGTCTTCCCTTAGATTGAGTGAGCCGTAAAGTCTTAGATTATGGTGACTTGATGCTGTGAAAGCTGATCTCATACGGGCTGTATGAGGTGGACGAGAAACAGATATCATGACAACATCGGAAGCTTCATTGAATCAAACGCATGCTAAAATGCGGCGAGACTTTGCCTGTTACTACCCCCACAGTATTCTTGATTTCTGGAGAGTGGAAGTGCGCAAGCTTCTGTCGCATATCATGATCCCCAATGTCAAGCTGGTTCAAAATCTCTGACACTGCCGAATACAATATCCCGATATTACCATCTTCAATCTTGACAGCAATTCCAACTGCGCCATCAGCGCCAAATCGTTTCGTCTGCTCAGACGCCCGAACTCCAACCCCATAACATCCGTCTGCCCCGAGCTTACCGATAAGCATCTCCGGGAAAGCGCGCATGAGAATAGTGCAGAACCGATCCTCACCCGCAACAAACTCAGGATGTCGAGACATGGCCCGGAACACTCGAGCCTGCATTTGCACTCTAGCACTTCCTGCACCGTTACCCTCACCATCAACTGTATCAACAGCCTCAGCAAAAGAAGCATACATCCGACCCAAAGAAAGCAAAGGAAAAGCCGGAGCAGGCAGATTACATCCATCAATACTCCAAGTTGACTCCCGCTCTCCAAGCTCACAAATCTCATCCACAGTCCTCTTCAACCGCACCTGCAGCGGATGATCACCCAAATGATATGTTGCTACATCAGCACCAAGCGTCTTCGTCGCAGCAATCATACCAGCATGCTTGCCAGAGCAATTACTGCATACAGAAGTAGGAACAAAGTCACCCTTGATCCATGCTCGATTCACAACCTCAGAAATAGGCGTATGACCACCGCATTTCAGATCAGCTTCATCGGCGTCGATCTTTGCTAGTATCGCGCGTGTGCGCAAGATATGGCGCTCTTCACTGCTGTGCGATGCACACATAAGAGCTAGATCAACTTCGTCCAGATCATATTTGTTGAATGCGCCGGTTTCAAGGATGGCGACTGCTTGTGCAGGTTTTGCGGCTGAGCGTGCGAGTGTTGTTCTTGCTGGGTCGCCTAGGGCGTATAGAAGGCGGCCTTTGCTGTCTACTACTGCGGCGTGGACAGCATGGCGGTTTTCAATTACGCCGCCTCGGTCTGAGACGACGAAGTCATTTGAGATGTTCGTTCGCATGATAAAGGGTCTTTATGTTTTTCTTGGCAAGTGAAGGTATGTTGGATTATATATTGCTTTTTGTTTTGTTTTATGGCAACCCCCGTGGGGCACTTCACTTTGTGGTCATTGGGCGGGATGTGTTGTCCTATTACGGCGTCCGATAGTGGCCGCAGGTTCGTATGCCGATTGGTGTGATCCTAAGGACCAGGAGGAGCAGTGGAGCAGATCGGAAAAAACTGCTCAAATTGGCATGCGAACCTGTGGCCGCTAACACCGTGATCATCTTTCGGAGGATGTTTTAGTGTTCTTTGAATTTAAGTGTTCTTTGAATGGATTTGTTTCTCTAGAAATTATATGATACGGCCTGCATATGTATTCTGCCTTCTCGAAACCGACATTTCACCTAATAAAGTCATGCATATATGGGAAAAGGCCACCATTAGTTACAGAGTGCTCTTTACACGCTGGTCAGTAGATCGTCGTATTCTCTCCGTGTTAAACTGGAAACATTCCGGAAGGCCAGTATCTTGCCACGAAAGGCCCGATATCAGCTTCGCCAAGCCAGGAGCACAGGTGAAAATCCCAGCCATGCCTATATCTTCTAGTCAGTCCAGTAACTTGAGTTCGAGAAATGGTATGCATATTTACCATGGCCATTAAACCCAGCACAGATCCATTGACCGTCAAGGCCCTCAATCGGCCCAACTAACGGTGCGCCATCGGCAGTCATACCAATAATTCCAGTCCATGCATGATCCAGCCCTTCACCATGTCGGAGTGAAGCAGAGTCTGGCTGGTGGCATAGACCTAGGAACTCCTTTGTACTATTTTGGGCGAGACGATCACTGTATCTAGAGTCGTCGAACGTGATCAAGTCTTCCGAAGTCATGTCTGAGCTGCTTCGTGTACCGGTACCACCCAGCACAACCGTACCATTATTCAACGCATTAACCGAGAAGAAGTGGTCTGCTCGATACCTCAATGCCATAGTATGTTTCAATGAATCTTCACCAGACAGAGAAAGCGGCGGAACAAACGAATTGACCTGTGACCGGCGAGGCGTGATAAACTTCCCCAGCTCCGGCAGAAGATATGCCGCATAAGCATTCGTACAGTGGACCACGGTCTCGGCAGTGACGATGCCACGAGGGGTGTGGACCTCCCACCTGAGACTGGGACTGTTGTCGCTTCTGAACCGGTCGATTTTGGTGACTGGACAATGAGTCCATAGCTTGCCTCCTTTAGCGATGAAGTCGTTCAAGATCCATTGGACCAGCTTCCCGGGGTGATTAGACGCAGCGGGTGACTCGTAGGCACATAAGGCTTCAGGACTCCTTGTTTCTTTCTTCGCTGCCTCTCCTTCGTAATACTTGACGTGTGAAACATCACCACCAGCAGCCTTGAACGCCACCAGTGACTTGCTGAGACTATCAACGACTTCGTCTGTAAGTGCTACCTCGAATGTTCTCATATAGTTGAAATCACAGTCGATGTTGTGCTCTTTGACAAAATTTCGAACATTCTCCAGGACAACGCGCTCATTCTCAAGGATCTTTCTTGCTTGTTCGGGTCCGTGAAATTTCGCATATCCAGGGAATCCACGAAAAGAATCTAGGAAAGAGTCAGAGTTAAAGATAGGGATTAGTCAACTAGGCATGAAAGACAAAGCTTCTTACCCGGTCGGATATGTCCAGCATTCCTTCCACTGGCACCAGAAACAGCTTCTCGGGCTTCGATAATCAAGATATCCTCAGCATTGACCCCACTTTCAGCCAGTTTCCATGCAGTCAGGACTCCTGAGATACCAGAACCAATGATGAGGTATTTTGTTGAAGTGGGAACGGGAGCTAGACGATTTGCATGGAGATGAGGAAATGAACGCGTCGTCCTGTGCCAGAGTGAAAGAGTTGAAGATGGCTGGGGGAGTGATGGCTGCATTGTCTTTGTCATATTGAATGAAGCAAATATTCAGAGTGGTTTTTCTTCCAAGCGATGTTTGAGTCTTTGAGAGAGTCAATTGCAGCGATACTGCGGTGTCACCATATGCCATGTTGATTGTATCGGAGCGGGGATATGTGAGAGGGGCTTATCAATGCTCTTTCTCCACTTTCGGAGGGTTTCCGACCAGTAAATTCCTATTTCAGTAAAGATTAGTATCTATAGGATGTAGTATTCTATACTGACTAGCTTATTTGATGTTCTATCTAACATTCACGCATATTGTCCAACCAAATGAGCGGCATCTATTTGCCGGACGCCGACATCGGAACTTCAACAATTGCAAAAACTCTAGAACGTAGCCTCAATGCATTCTTGATCCTATACTAGAAGCTTGTACACCTCCACGCATGAAGAGAATCAATTTCCACAAATCAATAGTAGTTCTTGGCTTATTTAGCTAGATCGGCCCATCCCCACCGGCACGGATATCCAAACAGTTCTCAGCCTCGTCCTTTTCCCGCTTAACCCACCCGAGACACTTGATTGGTGTAAAAACAGACCCTCGAGGTCCAAGTGGATACCAACAAACATGTACCCATCCTCTTGACCGCTGAATCAATCATAATGTCTCATTGACCTCGCCAAGACACTACCAAGCTACATCGAGACTGCTTGGTTCCCCAAACCTGAATCAGAATGGCCCCCAAAGCCGCATCTCACAAAAGTGGCGATCGGCCAGATAATATTTTCAGCCGCTTCTTGAAAATATTTCGCTGTTTATCAGTCCCGATCGCCACGCATTCTGTGGGGTTGTGAGCCACCACGATCCGCCACGATGGGGGGCTTCGTCGGCGAGACAGGGTTCTCGAGACTCATTTTACGCGCGGTCTCGCTTATGTCTGCCGTTGGGGGCATTGTCGCTGTCAGTGGCATAGACTATTATGCCCAGCAGTTTTATGACTATCTTTTCGTAAGTCAGGTAGTATTTTATTTGAAGATGGGTCGATCTAATAGATGGTAGCTTGGTTTATGCGGGTTATGGTCCTTGATCAATATCGGGCTGTTGTTATTCAAGCGTGCTTCACACCCTGGCTATTGCATCTTGTTCGACATGTTGCTAGTCGCAGCATCGGCATTTCTCGTCACGGTCTCGGGCGTTGGAGCTGCTTTTAAAGGATATGATTTGGTAGGACGCGGTATTGCCGCGGTTGTATTTGCGGCTGTTGAATTGTAAGCTTTTCCATTCCATGATTATGAGAAATCCTGGGTGGTTCTTAACCTTTGATAGCGTCGTTCATTTTGTTCTGTTCATGTTGGCTTGTTCCGACTTTCATGCTAGGCGTCGAAGGTCAAGTAAGAAGTTTTACAGACATGGAGAAAATGTCAATATATAATGAATCATAATTAAATGAGGTCTACGCTTAGAATGTAAATTAAAGTGACATTCAATTATTACTGTAGGTATATGACCCATAGGTGACTATCACCTATCATCAATGTCACTGTAGCTGAAACGGAAACTACCTTTCGAACACATGAGAAAAGTCCCATCAGGTAGATGCAGAACCCAGGCAGAAATCAAACGTATCCCAGCCCTGAAGATCCCATGCCCTTCCACACAAACAGAGCAAATCAATCAATGCACACGTACATGGGAAGATTGAAACCCTTGTGCAACTCCTCCATAACCATTTCCAAGAACCTGGTAACCATGTCTGCGGCGTGGTAGGTATCATTGTAGCAAGCCTTCAGCGTAAGCTCATTCCGCTGAATGTAAACGTAAACGTTAATGGCGGGTGTAAGGACTTCACAATGGAAGTCAAGCTCGACAACCTCCACTTCGCGGCCAGTATCAGGAATGAATCTTTCCAGATGGCCCAGGTTAGTGAGCAAAGCTTCGGCAGTACAGAATTCTTCATATTGGTCCAGAGAAATGGAGATATTGATCATTTCATCCACGACATTCGGAAGCATAGGATCCTGGACAATCTCCTGATAGTCATGTTTGAACTGACGCATGACACTTTTGAAGTCTGTAACATGGATCGAAGGGAACCAAACGGTGCTGTAAATGGTAGCGGGATGATAATCCAGATTGAAGGGGCCTCTTCCATCAACGCAGAATACACCTGTGTACTTGTCCGAATCGACGCTGATGTTGATTCTCTTTGTTGCGCATGCAATAGCCGCGTGGACTGCATGATGATAATGGAAATCCTCTTCGGCCATCAGACGGAGGATTGTCTTTGTCTGGCTGTCAGTCAGGCTCATAATGCAACTCTTGGTCTCGGTGGGTTTGTACCAAACCCAATCCCATTCCCAGATCTTGGTGGGAAGAGCCATGGAGAGGAGATCGGCACGGTATCGCTCCATCTCTCTCGCGGCCTTTTCCGTGTCGTGATGAGTGTGGACAGGGAGACAGGCGGTTGTGTGGTAAGGTGGAGACAGAATAACAGATTTGTAGACTGGCTCTGTCTTATCGGGATCGGTTGCATGGCGTAGCAGAGTGCCTGCAAGAAGCAGGATACCCTTGTGATCAATGTGGGTCGGTGGCGCTTTGAGAACTATCTCGTTCGATGCAGGCAGAAAGTAGAGAGTGGGTCGTTGAATTGAAGGGATCATCTCTTTTATCTGAGTAACTGTCATCGGCTCATTGACAACTTTGAAGGTTTCGCTGATCCAACTGTCTATCTCAGCATCATTGGGGGCACGGTACTTCCACGTTCTGTTAACGCGGTCGAGCTCGCTCGCCAGAGTGCCGTGATCGAGACGAATCGTCTTCCATGCTCGAAGCAAATCATCGGCAAACTGCATAGGGGGAATTGCAAGTTGCAGCCGAATTGTGACTGAGAGGGTTAGATGCCTCTTGTTGGATGTGTACATGCATGAGCGCATTCTCATCCAGCATTCCATTGGGCATGCATTACGCTCCCACACTCCAGAAGACGTCTCTCGCCATTGATCGGCCAACTCGGCCATTGTGTTGACTGGAACAACGGTTGAAGCCATGGCGGAGGACTTGCACGGAGCGGTATTTCCCCCACTTCCACCTCCCCCAATAATATGAGGAGGAGAAGAAGAGGAAAAGGGAAAGGGTAAAGGCGAGTAGCAGGAAAAATAAGAAGGTAATTCGTAGCAGCAGGGAGAATATTAAACGTGGGTATGTTTTTGTGTTAAGATCAAGGACGCGTCGCGGGGTTGTTGATAAATGGTTTCTAGAAGGTCATATATTCTGATTGCGATATTCGACGCTAGTACTATCGATAAAGTCAACCCATAAAGAAGTGAGAAGTATAAGGTTCCAAGGTTCTGAGAAATTAGCCACGGCAGGTAACCCTTTAAACACAAAGAAGCCCACGGGTCACACGAGTATAGGTACCTTATTGCAATTCCTAGCAAACGCAATTCCATCAAAGCTAGAACCATATATTAGAGCAGTGTTGCATTGGAGAAGATGATAAATGAAGCCATAGGCGCATACGCAGGTTCGCATCTTGCCTAGGCGAGCTTGAGCGCGATAATTGGACACCACAAAAATAGGTGAACGACCTCACCAACCGCACTCCAGGTAGCGCAACAATTGCAATTCAGAGGGATTTTATAGCAATTGTTTCAAGTACATCACATCACCTCACTTAATTCACGTCAATACACGAGATAACGCTTCATTAAAGCCATGATATGGGTAAGAAAGGGTGGCCCAGTGGGTATCACGCTTTAATCACATTCATACTCCAGCGTAGTCTACAGAGCAGCATGAGCAAGTAGGTACCTAGGCATGTACTCGATAATATTACTCCTTAAATCTTGCATACTGCGCTACTTCAAACGTGGTTAGTGAGGGTTTTTAACTATTTCTGTGGTGTTCAATCAAAAAGCTCCTTTAGTAATACGTGGGCAATTGCTTCATGTAGAATGAAGGTATATTGATATTATTCCATAAGAAAACCCAAGATCTACTATATAATAGCTAATAGGAAGGTTCAAAGATTTAGAAACGTCACTTGTTTTATTTGTAGCACGTATAGTCATGGGGCAAGGTGAGTTTGGCGGTTTTCCTGTGGCAGCACGACTACAAAGCAACCACACTTGTACAAGTACACGTGGTCAAATCCTGTGGAATCCTGCGTGAATTCTCCGCGGATCTTTCATTACCAAGTGCCAAATGTCCGATTCTTTTGGAGCTGTCCAGGCTTGTTACATGCATGCTGCATGTATGCCCAGCCGCCATTCTCACCCCAGCCCAACTCTACAAACCTTCTAGAATTCTCTCAAACAACCTGCCCTCCACAGCTGTTCCTTTCTTGACATATCCCAAAACCTAGTCAGTGAGCTATCCAATTATCAAAACCAACCATTGCTTAGCCCATCGCAGTCATTCCAGAAGTCCTGTTAACCAATCCACGCTGAGAAGCTTTAGTAACTCATCACACTGTTAAGCCCTCCGCGCGGAGATCATATGTTCTCCAAATACAGGGCTGCTGTTTCGCTTTCACATGAGGGACTCGGCAGTCTGATCAATACACAGGAGACACAGTTTCGCGCCCAGAGAGCATATAAAGAATTCCTTGCCGAGGAGACCTTTCAAGGACACAAAAGCTCTGCCAACGCCTGGGATACCCAGTAAGATCCATTCTGCCAGAATAAACGAACTGCAACCTATAATGGACGGCGAATTTGGGAAGTGAGTCTTCTATTCTGGTGATAATGAGCCAAGTCTTACGCATTACAGATGCCTTTCTTCGCCCCTGTTCACGTTCACGGTTGGCGCCGATCAGACTAAAATCACTGTGCATTCTTCTGCTTTGGCAGGGCTTTCAAAAAGTCTGGATACCCTTATGAACGGCGACATGATCGAAGCGAAAACGAGACACGCCGACTGGTCAGAGGTAGATGTGGATACATTCGTCCGTCTTTGCGAATTTGCTTATTTTCGGAACTACACGCCTCCCCCGTCAGGCTTGTTCAATGATCGTTCACATGTGAAGGGATATTCAAAAGCCGCAAAGAAAAGAGCGATGCGCAAAAAGGCTCGGTCGAAATGGAGCTGGAACGGGATTGTCCCTCCGCCAACTGACCCTGAGCCAGCACCAGATGCAGAACCCGAGCCTGAACCCGTGCCTGAACCCATGTCTGAGCCCGTGTCTGAACCCGAGCTTCCTCCACCTGACAAGACTATCTACGACGATTCTGAAATTACATATAAGGAACGAAGCATCTGGACCGGGCAGCTGCGCGATGCATTCGCAAGCAGTTTGGCCATTCCAGCTTCACGAATCCCTGACCTAAGCCATACTTTTATACCGCCCGTGAATTCTGGCTCTTGGGACGACTTCACTCCCGTATTTCTCGACCAAGCTAGACTCTATGTCCTGGCCGATAAGTATTGCATAGACTCACTGTGTCAGCTGGTCCTTTCTAAGCTGCACCAAACCTTAAGCAACTTCAAGCTTTATGACAATGGGGTAGATGGTATTATTGAGTTCGTTCGATTTGTTTACTTGAACACCCCACCGAATTATGGCGATCGGGTGGATGCCCTGAGGAATCTGGCAACACGGTATGTTGTTTCTATCCTTGGACAAATTGGCGAGAATGAAGAGTTTCAGAAGCTTTTAGAAGATGGCGGTCCTTTCGTTTCTGACTTCTGGCACATTATTTGGAGCGTTAAGGGAGAGGCGCACGTGTGAATTTGACGCCTTCGTGAAATGATTTAGTTGCCACGGGATTTATGCAAGTACTCTTTTGGCAAAAAGACTTTAAAACTGATGAAAGAGTAGCGCCCTGAGGCGATGACAAATAATCAGTAGGTCCAATTTTCGAAGTTGTTGTTCTGACGCATGGTCCATGGTTTATACCAAGGTCAAGGTTCCGACGCTACTTTTGGTATCTCAATAATAGGCAATTGCTCCATAACAACCCAGATAACGCAATCCTCCGATCTAAATTGGGATTCGCCTTTCCATTTACCAAAGATCAATGACGATATGTAACGGATCTCCCATGGCTTCAAGGTGGCTAACGCCATGGCCCCACAAACGCGTCATTGGCCGAATACGTGCTCACAAGTGGATCAAGTCTAGAATGGAGCTTGCTACTATTTATAAAATGGAAACGAATCATGAAACGTAGACCAGCTAGATTGAGTCCAATGGTGTATATTGTATATGCTTTGAAGATCCGAGTGCATAATCCAGATCTAAGTGTATAAGTGTATAATCTATCAACGCTAAAAAAAGAACATTTCCAAAGTCGCTTCCAAATCAAATCGCTAATGTAAACACGAAAAAATATAATCAGAAGGAACTCCAAATGTACAAATGTACAAATCAAAACCATAACAAATCTGTCGTATATGCAAAGAAAATGTCTAGAAGCTGAACAAGCCAGTGCGCTTCTTGCCGAAGGGATAAATGATAAGAGCAGACATGAACAGGCCGACGGTAATACCGATGGCAACCTGAATCATGCCGTATCCGAGACTGGAAACGGATGTATCGGAGTCACTGGTTGATGATGTGTTGCCAGCAATGACTTCGTTCGCGTAATTCAGACCGGAAAGGAGGGAACCACTGGATGCAAGACCCGAAGGCACGAGCACGAAGATACCGGGTAAAATAGCTGTGGCGGCGTGACCGTGCCACAGACGACTGTACAGGTTACCCAGGACACCGACTGTAAATGCGCCGACGGTGTTTGCAACTTCAGACGAGGAGCCGAACTTCAAGGTACTGAAGTAGTTGGCGATGTAGCCGGCTGTAGCGATGAAAACCATGACGGGCATTTGCTTCCACTTAGCCTGGTTGACGAGGGCAAGGAAGACGGCGTAGATGGCGACGAAGGGGAATTTTCGGACGTAGACGGATCCGTATACGTCAAGGTTGGGGCAAGTGGTTTGGGATGAGGCATTGCTGTCCATCAGTCCATAGATAGTGAGGCCGACTGTGATACCGTAACCCAGGAAGAGAGAGTAGATGATGGCGTACACCATTCGGATCGAGCCAGCGATGATTTGGTGTGACTGCAGTTCCAGACTGCTGCAGAGGACTGTGAAGCCAGGGAGAATGAGAGCGATGGAGGATTGAGCGAGGGCGGAGAAACAGAACAGACGACTGCCGTTTACTTCGATACTGCCGAGGGCGCGGGCAAGGAAAGATGTTAGGATGGCGGCGGTGACTTCAAAGACATTGGAATAGAGGACGGAGCGAGGAGCGAGAACGTGTTGCATGAAGCCCACCAAGGAGCCAAGGAGGAAGATGATAGGCATGTCGATTGGGCGGGCTTCGAAGGCGAAGGGGCCGACCGCGGTACTGGCAATACCATACAGCAAAACGATCAACCACTTGTTGTATCGTGGCTTGCGCTGCATGATGTCGTCCAGCTCTTGGCTGGCCTCCTCGACACCGATCAGATCGTGAACGACGTTCTTGTACACGTTGTGGGTATCAGCCAGGCGTCCAAGATCAACACCCTGGACCATCCGCACCAGCTTAACCTCAGCGGTACGGGTGGCCGGGTCGTCAAACGACATGATCATACAGCCGGGAAGGTACAGGAATTGACCCGAGATGTCCAGCACCCGCGCGGTCATTTGCATGTACTCCTCCAAACGGTGAGTAGGAGCACCATAGCGCATAAGCGCTCGGCAGAGCTGCATGATATAACGCTGACGAGAGATGATCTCGGCAATATGCACCGTAACCCGAATCTCATCCTCCAAGCGCGTCTTGCGCTTGTTCTTCTTAGGCCGCTTGCCCGGCGGCATGGCCTCAACAGCCGCCGGCAAGCTAGCGGAACTAAAGTTCATTGAGGCATTAACCAATGACGAGGTCGACCGGTGGGCCGACTTCTTGTACCACTTCAGCTTCTCCTTGCGCGGGGTGGCGGCACCCGAGGTGGGCATCGACGGTAGCATCGACGGGGAGCGCGAACCCTTCTTGGGTGTCGTACCACCCGAGGAGAACTGTGTCTCACTATCCGAGTCATCGGTGATGACACTCTCCGGGCGCGATGAGCTCCCCGTCTGCACGGCCTGCAACTTCAACAGCTGTGAGAGAATGCCACTGCCTCCGCCACCGAAATTACTTGAACGGCGACGGGCGGCAGCCGTGTAATCACGCAGCAAGCCCTCAGGCGTAGTCTGGCCAGACCGCTGGTACGCGCCACGAGGCTTGCGCTTCAGTCGGTCCTGGACCATGGTCATACTGCGCACGAGGCGATGAGCCTCAGCACTCGGCGCGGGCTGGGTGACCTCCTCACCAGCCTCCAATGAACGCAAGTTATCGGCATCGCGGCGTGCGCGACGAGCCTGCAGTTCCTCCAATGGGATATTGTCGAAATCATCCGGAAGGAGGGAGGCGTTGAGGGCCTCGCCATCGTCGGAGGGGCGACCGAGGCGTTCCGTCAATTTCGTGGTTTTCTGGCGAATGAGCTGACCCGCAGCTCTGAATCGGTTGCGCGCAGAAGAAGTTCGCTCGATAGAATCCGGGTCTTCTTTCTCTGATTTCTCTGAGAATTCGACAGGTGGGCTGCGACCGCCGTGGCGGGAATGCGCGGGGGCCGGCGGGGTGACGGTTCCGGAATTAAGAGGAACATTTCTCAACTCCGCGGGCGGCAACAATGGATCATTGGATGCGTCCGACTTGTCGGAAAAGACTCGATGGGAATCAGATGGGTGTAGGTATCGTTCACTTAGACGGCTCAAAGAGCGAAAGCGCACTCGAGGAGATCGGATGCGAGGTTCGATTTGGGGTTCAAGTTCGGCTACCGGGATTTGGGGCTCGGCCTCGGGTGTGGTGGGCGTGGTGGGCGTTGTGGGCGTTGTGGGCGCCTGCAGCCCTATGTATGGGTTGTCATCTGCTGTAGGTTCGCGCTCCAAGCTCTGACGGCTGGTTGGAGTAGTAGGAAAAGGGAATTCGGAATATTCTTCGGCAGGACTGGGATGCGGGAAAGGAGTAAGGTCGGACATTAGAACTGTAAGGGACCGAAGTACCCGAGTCTATGCACCGGAACGAATGTGAAGTGTATGAAGGAATGAGAAAACTAGAGCATGGAGGAGGGAATAATAATGTTATAGAAGTGGCAGTGTTCTAGATCAATGGAATCGGAGGATTGAGCTAAGTTTTCAGCAAAACCACGGATTCACCTATATTTATTGATTTTTATTTTATGCTAAAAGCGGGTTCAAGATAGGATCCACATGAAATCATCGATAAGCAAATAAACTGCATGACACCATCTCCACTGCTGATTCGCCGCTAAAAGGCAGAGATTTTCATACATTTGATATCCTTGTTGACCCATAAGTTATACTCTGTACAGGGGTGTACAGTATATCACATTGTGCTACAGGGCAGATCCTCAAACTTTGGTTCTAAGATTCTAGAATGAACACGTACCACCCGTACATCACCCATGGTGGATCCGTCGGTGGCGATCCAGAACCGGCGGCAGCCAAAAAACACCCCGAGGGAACCGTTTATCCAGAGTTTACCCTGCAAGCTAGATTTTTAGCGTCCATAGCTCAGCGAAAACTAAAAAATTGGTGCCCTTATCAACCGCACAGTCAGGGCACTCGGCCTACCCGAGGCGTCGATCCCGGGATGCCGGTCCACGGCCAAATCCCTTGGCGGATATAGCCACCTCCTGAGAGAATTGGTCCATGCGAGGATAGGAGAATATGACAGCGCAATGATCCACTCCTATGTGATCATCAAAAAGATCGTCGCAAGCTGAGCGCGAAGACGAACCACAACATGGAAGCGGGGAGCTCAAAACCCGGTTATAGATAGAAACATGAAAATCTCTGCCCCACTATGGCGAGCATCAACATTACGAATCAATTGGATGAGAAGTGACATGGAAAAGGGCCCTGGAAAACGAGCACAGACGCCACAAGTGGATCCGACGCACACCACCTGATGCTAGTGCAGAAAAATATCCATGTTTCGCTACACTCTACACTGGAAAATCCAGAACGTCCCCACTAGTATCCATATCACCGTGTTACATGCACTTTGAAACAGAAGCATAACACAACTATTCCGAGCGCTTTTTCTCCGGCAGTGTCCACCCATTGAGGTATCCAACTCCGACATTCAGATAGGTAGCGTATCCCAGCCACGCGGCGTACGGAGTCATTAACCAGAACGCCGTGCGGTCCGCACTCCACCAGTTGACGAGCAACAAGGCCACATTGCCCGCCAGGAGTGCCATATCGCCAAGGGCCGCGGCCGGCCGCCCCACCCCGAAGAAAAGTGGCATCCAGAGGAAGTTCAGCGCGAGTTGCGTAGTGTACAGGGTCTGGGCGCTAGCGTTGGCGTCATGCACGGCCATTGAGAGCGAGCGCGACGCCGTCGTGGTTGCATGGTGGGACGCATATCCCATTAGTCCATACAGGAGTGTCCAGGCCGGTCCGAAGAGCCAGCCCGGTGGGCTGAAGGGCGGTTGCCGGAGCTCACGGTATGTGCTTTGCGTGTTGTTTCCTATAGGATGGTCAGCGCTTGTTGAAGCTTGTTTCAGATTGTTTTTAGTGGTCTCCTCTACGCTCGGGATCGGAGTCGGGGGTTTCGGGGATTCTTACGGTTAACAAGGAGGGCCGTGGTTGTCCCGCCGATGATGGGCGTTGCGACCGCCAGTAGCGGCGACGTAAACACTCCCTGCGGGAGAGCAAATGACCAAGGCATTGTGTAGATCTGATAGTCGGGGATTGATGAGCTTGTTGTGCATGAACAAATAAATCTGGGCTTAAATGCAGGCGCGAAGTTGCATCGATCGCGATCTGGTAAGTCCTGCGTTCCACTACGTCACTGGCGCGTTCCGTGGCTTAGAAGGCCATCCCACTACACTATTTTTCAGCACTAGATACATAACATTCGGATGATTTTCAAGCTCCACCCGGGATTTGTATTTTCATGCGCGATATCTTCAGATAATTTCACTGCCTGATGAACGACCGTGCTTCGCTCCACTCAAGCTCATCCCCTGCACGTTCGTCACAGACCAGAAAAATCATGAAACCCCTTTTGCGGGTCTCATTTGCCAAGTTGAGACGGTCAAGGAGGATTAAGTATGACGCTGCCCAATAGATTGTCCGTGTGTTCAGGCCTGTGGCGTCGCGCAAGGGCCGATATCAGATGAAATGGCCAGATAAGGAAAGTCGAGCGAGGTCCAACGGTCAGCTGTTGGGTATTGAAGTATGAAACGCTAGATTCATGAGGAAGGTAGTGATAGCTACCCCTTAGGCATTGGTGGAACGGGCTAAACAATTAGTATCAATGGAAGAGCTTTTAGTGTGTAGCTTATTCTGAGGATCCATAGTTAATTGTTCAGATCATTGCATCAACCGTGACCAAGAACCGACCAGGTAATGATCGACCAGTATATAGTGTCTTGATCTTGACAGGCGGGCTAATTTGCCGATCTGCAGCTGCACCTTCCTGGAAAGCGTGGCCTCCGAGGGTTGTGTGGGCCTTTGCAGCTACATGCATGAAGCTATCCATGCTTTTTGCGGGCTAATTACTGGCCAATACATGTCGCTCATTCCCACCTTGGAACAAGAGAGGATATCGACGTAATGGATGGTCTGACTTGACCAGGATCTGAGTTGACCAGGATCAATCTTCTAACGTCTTAAGTGGAAAGCTCATGAAAACTTGGTTTAAATCAAAATTCAATTCCGCTACAGCCGCGGTTATTAAAAACAATAACTATTTACATGGTTGACCGCCAACCGCCTCTAATGATCTAATCTATCCACCCAAAATCTAATTATCTCTGACCGCTTATTCGGCCTTCTTGGAAGCCTTGGTTCGCAGCTTCATCAACAAATAAACAAGAGCGTACGAGCTGCACGCGAAGAGGGCAACAATGCCAATGTCACGCCAGCCGTAGTAGTACTCTTTCAGGTTAAGGTTCTTCAGATAGTCGCTTCCCTGCGTGTACTCGCAAACCTCGCAGCCCTCAGTGGCGTTGGGGTTAAGCAAGTTCATGTAGATACCAGTGCCAGACATATAATCGGCCAAGTAGTTGTAGCAGGTGGTTCCATTGGGGGTGTTGAAAACGGCCAACTCGGATTTCTTGCAGTTAACGGGGGTGTCCCATACGTTGAAGACAAGCAGACCACCGATGAGGTAGTTGAAGGGATTCAACCAGTAGATCCAGTAACGCCAGAACTCCTGGATCTGAGCGTATGGCACCAAGACACCACAGAAAGATACCAATGTACCAATAATCAGAGGGTTGACCAGGGCGGCGAAGGTGGCGTTGGGAGCGTATGCGGCGACGAATTGACCAATACCGGTGTAGACGAACTCGTAGAGGAGCATCATGAAGAAGGTAGCGCCGGCCTTGCTGGATTCACTCGGGAAACCAACGGTGTAGTACCAGCAGACGAAGTACAGCACAGCGCAGATGCACAGGTAGGGGATCTCCGAGACCACGAGAGCAGTGACGAAGGCGACCCACGAGTACATCTTGGACTTCTTCTCACGCTGCTCGTAGATTGAGCGACGCTCAATGAAGAGCGGTTGCAATTGGTTGATCACACCGGGGGCGACAAAGATGAAGTTGAAGATCGTGAACAAACGAAGCTGCATGCTGGCGACGCTGTCGCCGATCATCCAGAACGAGAAACCGTTAAACAAGGCAGACCCAATATGCAAGGCCATCTTGTTGTTGATGTAGTCGGTGTTACGGTACAAGGCAGTGCTCATGCGGATGGTCACCAACTTGCATTGTTCCCAAAGCGATGTGGCGAACTCCCGGCCATCATCGAATGTTCCAGGAGGGCTGGCTGCGGCGGTAGAGATGATCTGGTCAAGCTCCTGGGAGGCCTTTGTGTGCTCGGGAGACTCCAGCCAGACCTGATTCCAATCCCTGCCTTGGCTAAGCTGACCCGAAACGACGTCAATCATGTGTTCGGCAGGGTTGGCATTGGTAGGGCAAGGGGCACCATAGCGATTAAAGTAACCCTTAACAGTTTGACCATTATCACCGATGTCACCAAAGTAGACAGTCTTACCACCCTTGGTAAGGAGCAGCAGAGTATCGAATTCGGCAAACAGTTGAGCAGAGGGCTGGTGGATCGTAACGAGAACGGCCTGGCCAATATCGGCCAACTTGCGCAAGAAGCGCACGGTGTTGTAGGCAGATTGACCATCGAGACCCGAGGTGGGCTCGTCCAAGAAAATCAAAATGCTAGGCTTGGACACAAGCTCGACACCGATGGTGACACGCTTGCGCTGCTCAACACTCAGACCGGCACCGATGCGACCGATAAGAGTGTTGGAGATGTCGTGAAGCTCAAGCAGATCCAGGATCGTATCAACGTATTTCAACTTCTCCTCGCGAGGAACATCCCTAGGCTGACGCAATAAGGCAGAGAACTCTAGGGATTCACGGACGGTAGCGAAGGGCTCGAGAACATCAAGTTGCTCACAATATCCAGCAGAGCGCTGGAACGAGACCGGCAACTCACGACCATCAACCATGATGGAACCGTTGATCGTACCGTCAGTCTTACGCTGAGCCAGAACATCAAGTAAAGTGGTTTTTCCGGCACCCGAGGAACCCATAAGAGCTCCCAGCATACCCGGCTTCACCCATCCGTAAACATTGTCGAGCAGAACACGATCACCAGTGGGGGTCTTAACGGTGTAGGTCAAGTTCTTCCAAGTAAAGACGGATGTGTTACGAACGAGCTGATTTTCGATGTCATTGCTGGTATCACGGGCATCGTTCTCAGAGGGCTTAGTCTTCTCCGAAATCTGAGCCTCCTCATCGCCTCCAGAAGACTGGTGGTGAGCACTGAGCTTCTCACGAGGGATGACAAGGCAGGATCCGCCCTCGCCGGGGGATTGCCATCCAGACGTGGCAAAAATAGTAACAGCGACGAAGAGAACCCACCAGGCCCAGAGAATACCGAAGTTTCTCCAGAGATGCGAGTGACTATAAGACAACGAAGCTAGGTAGTCGACACCAGAGACGGAAGTAGCGCCCTGAACCGCTCCACCAACGCCCGCACAAGACTGGTATAGCGAGTTCTCGTAGCCAGAACCATTAGGGATGAGATTGTTTCCAACACAAGGAATTTCTTTGCCATAAAATTCATTGGAAAGAAGAGCCTCGAAACCGTAGGCCAAGGGATCAATCCAGTAGATCCAGCCAAGCCAAGGGTGCATCTCCGGCTTCTCGATCATGTAACCAACGTACATAATGAGAGCGGAGATCATGAATCCGGAGACCTTGGATGCACCATCAAATGTCGAGAAAAGAGCACCGATAGCTCGGAAAAAGGCAGTCATACACTATCGACAACGTTAGTACATGGTCTTTATTGGGAGAAAGGTTAACTTACCATAGTAGCCGTGAAGACCACAATCCAGTAGGTGAAAAAGGCGCCAGCAGACATAGTCAAGCCAACCATGAAGTAAACAACCAGCGAGAACATGCTAACTTGGAACAGAAGAACCGGGATATCCGCGGCAATCTGAGCCAAGCAGAACGCAGCCGGGTGGAAGTATGCGAAACCCTTGTGTTTGATAAGGACAGGGCGACCGCTAAAAGAGTCCGTAACCTCGGACATGGCGAGCAAACTGTTGTAGAGCAGGGAGAAGAAAAGGGCACCGGACTTCACGAACAGTCCACTAGAGTTGTCGGCAGCAGCGTAGAAGAGAGATCCAGCAATCAAAGCTTGCATCAGAGTCGCAACCTGCTTAATGATGAAGGTAGCCTTATCTCCCCAAATAATCTGGTATTGTCGCGCAATACAGGCCTTCACCTGCTCGATGATGCTAACAGTCAGGGGGCTGTTCTTAGGAAGCCCCTTAGAGGTCTCAAAGGCAACGCCGTCTTTGAAATCTTGTGTACGTTGTTGAGCGACGTCCGAAGTGGGGTAGTCGTATTCAGAGATCATGCGCGAATGAGTAGATGATTTATCGTAGACCTCGCGAAGCGCGTCCTTATTCCGTGGGAAGCGATTCTCGTAGCCCTCGCGAATGCGGCGCTCGGTGGGCACGGTGATACCAGTGAGGAAGTCGGCAACGTTAGAACCCTCACGACAGATGAAGCCCGCCTCCTCCATGAATGGACGAGCCTCGGCGCGAGGGCCGTAGTACACCTGCTCACCCTCGTCAAGAACCAAGACCTTGTCGAAAAGGTCGTAGATTCCGTTACCAGCCTGATAGAGAGTAACGATCGTCGAGAGACCCAGGGTATCGGTCATAGCACGAAGTGATTTGGCCCACTCCAGGGCAGTACTAGCGTCGAGACCACGGGTACTGTTATCCCAGCAGAAAATGGATCCGCGAGTAGCCATGCACTCGATGATGGAGACACGCTTACGCTCACCACCAGAGACACCGCGAACGAACTCGTTTCCGACCTTGGTATTCTCGGTGTGCGAAATTCCCATAGCTTCGAGCAAGAATTTCTTCGACTCTTCACGGTAAGCTTCGGGGGATTCAACGCCGTCGGGAAGTTTGAATGGAACCTTAAGACGAGTTGCGAAGTCCATCGTCTGGCCAACTGTCAAGGTGGGGAAGAACACTTCCTCCTCGGTATTGATGACGATCTGGCCGCGGTAGTTGCTTGCCTCATCAGAGGTCAATGAACCGAATCGAACATCACCCTCCACGGATTTATATCCTCCTCGCTTGTTGGCAAGCATCTTCAATAGTGTGGTGCAGCCGGAACCAGGACGGCCCAGGACCAGAAGCATCTCACCGGGCTTGACGCAACCATGACTGTTGTGCAGGATACTCCGGAGTGGGGGCTTGTTGCGCGACTCCTTAATGTGGGTGGGAATATTGAATTGCGAAAGGAAGTTTTCGTTGACAGCAGCATCGGCACTGACCACCTCCACGTTGAGATTTTGCCAAGTGACACCCAGTTCCTGGCGCTTGAATCCGGAGTTCAGGTCTCGCTCATGTTGTTCTTGGACGCGCGAGAGTAAACCCCAGTCGTTGGTATGGCTAGATGCAGAGCTGGATTTAGAGCTGTTCTTGACGGAAGCCTCCTCTCCAACGATAGTGACAGCGGCACTCTCTGTATCATCTTTAATATCCATCGACCCTCTTCGGGACGATGAGGGATGGTTAGAACCCTCCATGATGAAACCGAATTGTTGGTGAAAACGTAGGGTCTAGGTTCCAGGTGGGCAGCCATTTTCCTTTATAAAGAAGTAAGACGTATCTTCTCAATCTTTAGAGTGGGTCAATCATCTACGGAACGGCTTTCTAAATTTGCCCGAATGGCCGATTTCCAATCATGGCTCGGCATCAGGGGAATATATCCCGAATCGAGCCCGGAGACCACTGTTTTCCACGCGGCGGGCCAGCCAACAGCGACAGATCAATTGACTCCGCGACCCCTTTTTGACACATCTATTTGTTGAAACGAATCAGGGACCCACGTCATGCGTGGAAATTTCTGCTCTCGAACCAAAGGTGGATCTCCAGGCAGGGATGACCCACGATAATCATTAACTCGGGCCCTGGCCCTTCCGCTGACTCATCATTTACTTTGTTTCCCTTGCCATGCAACGGTTATGCACATTCTTTTCCTCCGGCTTTCTCATGCACAAGATGCATCTCATGAGGCTGTCAGCTCTAAGGGCATCCGGACCTTCCATCCATGTGGTTATCATCTCTTCCGATCGATTGATCGGTGTTTGTCGGCACTAGCGATGCAACTCGGGCTCCGGATGATTGTTCATCAACCGGGTGGAGTCGGTCTTTGCAAATACCCGCTGACTCAGCGGGACGGAAGCCAGCTTATCCCCTGGATCTAATGTAATGTTCCAGAGCCTGGAACGGATATACGGATGTTTAGTATTTTGAACCTGACCACGCTCCACCAGGATCACTAGGCTGCAAGATAGGCTGCAAGATAGGCTGCGGGGAACGCGTGGCTATATTCTCGTAATTGGCAATTATTGATCTGTGCTCAACTTCCAAGGTTCTCTCCTGGAACAGCACATGCTCTTGACTTTCTCCGAGGTTTGTCTTCTACCCTTTAATCTAGAACATATGTCGATAGATTTGTCCTTGCCTTGGGCACCAGCTTCAAAAGTTCATGATTTCTGGTGTCATCCAAAAGCCGAAAATCAAAACAAGATGAATTTTTTTTGAATAAGATTTATTCTATGTCTGAAGATCTCAAAATCGTACCTTGTGATGAGAAAATCGGAAAAGATCATCACGTGGCTTTTAAGTTTTGTGGGGCGGCCCGCGAAGCCCATTATACGCCTCCCGGGAAATCATATGCCTCCATGACACAACCCGGATCTCATGGTCATACATGTTATCTTTCATCTCGTAGAAGACGGCAAACCTGCAGGGCTGAAGCCACGAAATCCCAGCCTATCCCTCAAAAAGAAAAAGTAGCCCCGGTGGTGGTGAAACAAAGCAAATATCTTCACCAGACATCCCTCCTACCCGGAATAAACCTTTGACCAAACAACTGAATCTCGAACTTGTTCTTTGAAGTGCGAAACAAAGATTGTTCTTTTCCTTCATCATCGAGGTGGTATCCTAATCTTAGGCATTCAGAAAATGGGTGGACTGCCGGTAGCTTGAGTTCTTTAGGGATAGCCATCCCGAGGGTTCGGGGAATATATATCGCTGCCCTTGAGTCTTTGAGCGGATTAGTCAATCAACCAAGAAACATCGTTTGGCAGCCTATCTCGAAAGCCGTGCAAATAGTCTTCCAACTACCAGTCATCCAACCCAATTTTGAAACGAGGAGATGCCTCCCAACAAATTCTCTGGTGCACGAGAAAAAGTATTTCTCGAAATCGTAAGGCATCGTTCTTCTATGAGCGAACAGAAGGACCGTTTGAACAAAAGGATGGAATGAACGTGAAAATTGTCCAAGGCAGCCTGGGAAGATAATTTTGAGATGAACTTGCAAGGCTATCTTAGCTAGCAACTGATGACAGACCATTGAAACAAAGGATCCATGGATGCCGCATTCAAAGTTTCTGCAACCCAGACCTGGACCGGCTGCAGCTCAACCGTCTCTCTTCATCCCCAGCCGTGTTATTGTCCTCACCAGGACCTTCTTTTTTCGTCTCCTTTTCTTATGCAATAGCTGTCATCTATTGGGACTCACATAATGACGGCTTGTAATAGCCATGCGATGCCTGATCTGATAGTTACTGGCCGGGGCAATAAGCATACATGACCAATTGATATACTTGCGACTGTGATGAAGTTCAATTTGGGTATAAAATGGGTGTCAAACAATAGAGACTACAAGCCAAAAAGAGAATGCCAGCCAATGAGCGCCTGATACAAAATATGTAAAGTTCTGAAATTGAACTTCAATCCGAATCGATAACAATTGGATCAAAAAGATTGCCCATACCTTGAATAGACGAACATTGGAACCGTGGAATACTGTTCATGTCAATAGAGGCCATAGACTCTGGCTTGACATTAGATACCTGAAGGGCGGGTTCAATCTCAATATGACCTGTCTTGTAAGCGAAGAAGTTGATTTCGGGATCAGGCTGGGCTTCATCATCTTGCGGAAGTCCATAATCTTGCGGGAGTCCATCATCCTGCGGGAATTCATCATCCGGCGGAAGGTCATCAACCCGCGGAAGGTCATCATCCTGCGGAAGGTCATCATCCTGCGGAAGGTCATCATCCTGCGGAAGGTCATAATCCTGCGGAAGGTCATCATCGGGCGAGTATTCGTCACCGAGCTGAAATTCGTCATCGAGCTGGGATTTGGTGCCAAGCCAAGGTTTGATATCAGTCTGGGAACACGTATTGGCAAGGAGATCAGAGTCCATTCGGGATTCAATACCAAGCTCCGATTGCACTTCAAGCTCGGGCTTATTGTCGGCCTTAGGGTCGATCTCCATCTGGGATTCGACAACCCGCGACTGGTCATCATCTGGTTTCAACTTCGTTTCGTGAGAGCTCTCAGCGAAGTCAGTCGGCTCATCACCACGGCAGTTGTTGCAGCGGACATGCTCATCACCACACTTGTCGACAAACTCTGGACGATCTTCCTCGTGGTCTCCATAAATGCAGTACTTCTTCTCTTCCATGCAATAAACACAGATTCCAGAGTACACAAGGTTGGAGTTGCGGGGAGTACCACAGCTGAGACAAAAGTGGTATGGGATGATTTGTGGTTCCACCTTCGAGTCTTGGGAATCGACGGACATATCCTCCACCTTGGAGACTTCAGACTTGATGGACGCATCGAGATCAATTTCCATTTTCGTAGTCGTTTCGATGGCTGAGATTTCATTGACGGGGGTGATATATGAAACCTCATGGCTATGCAACGGTGGTGATCCAGTGCCGCTTGTTCCCAAAGCTAGAATCTCATCAGCGGCACCTTTTCAATGCTGAGGAGATAAGGACTTACACTGACTTCCTCGAAAGAACTTTTCATACTTGGTCGCGAGAGCCAGCATATTTTCACGGTGTTCCCTCTCCCTCCTTTGTCGCTTGTAAATCCGATCGGCCTGTTTAAGCGTTAGTGATATTCTAAGCCGCAGAGAAAGTAGAGAAGACTTGCATCACGATGGAACATCCGACACGCACTGCACATCTTGCAAAATTGCCGACCATTCATTGAGACAAACTCCTCTGGTCCGAAAACCTGCCGGCATTTGATACACCCAAGCTGTTGGATGCCCTGGGCCTGGGCGGCCTTGGCCGTATTCCAGCCCTCCATGCGAGCAAATGACGGGGAGGTATTGTAGAGGTGACGAAAAGAAGACGGGGGCTCTTGGGACATCTGGCGGTTCTGATGCACAAGGCGTAAGTTGTTAGGGCTCGAGAAGTTCGGGTTGTCAGATCACGGTTTGAACGACATGAGATTCCGAGTTGTGGACATGAGTAGGACGGGGCTGCAGGATCTGCTTCCACTGATGACGGAAGAGCATTCAAGTCTTGATTGTGCACATTGAGGTCAGTGTAGTAGTGGTGGATAGAAGTAGAGCTATGCAGGCGTTTAGACATAGCAATCAACCAATTGTCAAGTATACGAAGGTGCATATCGGATTGGTGGCTAAAACCCGTGAAACAATTATCTAGATCTGAACCGTTCCATGGCAGATTAATATTAACAAACTCTGACAAAGTAATAGAACGATTTGTGAAAGTGATCGAACGATTCCTCTAGCTTATAAGCCCGTTAATCGGATCTGAGTCGATAGGTTGTATAGATGATATCGAATTCTCAACATTTGCAACGTTATATGGCAAACGTTTTCTCATAGACTATGATCAAGTGATGGAACATTTTTGAGAAAGTAATTGAACGATTTATGAAAGTAAGCAAACGATTTTGCACCCAATACGCCGTTCAATTCCCTTCCATCACAATACTGATTTATATCACAGCTTTCAAAGTATACACCTTGATAAACCTCAACTAAGGAGCTCTATTAAACCTACATCCAGTATGAAATATGACTCACTATATACTATCTAGCCTGAAAATTTATCAAGCTAGACATATAAATCGGGCTAGAAGCTGGGTTAATCACAGCCAATACATAATGATATGGAAGGGCCGTAATGAAAGGAATTGTATATGGTCTGCAGGCTCTGCCTCCACTAGGTAGTGGAAGAATAGCGGACAAAAATGCCATCATGCCCCTTTTGTATGAGTAGTATGTAATGTAGGATCTTTTTGAGTACGAAAATCAAGTAATAGTAACAATAGACGCCTAAAGGGAATCACGGGTATGAATATGATACAATTATAATGCACGCCTAGTACGAAGCGCTGGCTTTACAAAAAAGTTCTATGGTTACTTGGGACGTTCTAATCTGGATTTGTGGGAGTTATTCACTCCTTGATAATTACCTATATGTTATTCCATAGACAATGGACTAGCTATCGCCTTTTATTTAGAGCCATTCATGGATGATTAGCCCACCCAAAGTAATATGAAGTTGATTATCAGATATGAATGTTGATTTAGAGCTACACGCGAATTTATAACGCCCCCATCCTACTACCCATATAGAGTATATATGAGGATAACAATCAATGTGTCTAGATATATGCCTACGAATTTGTCTACTAGTATTGCTTCAATAATTTTCCTATTCTATCAAATTTGGTACTCGGATATATAATAAAGCTTTTGTATTTGTTATTATTCCAGTCCAGAGTAAAGATTCGATGCCTTCCTTGAGATATTCAAATGTTAAGTACACACCGTTCCTCCTACCGTTTACAAATATTAACGAATAAAACTCGTAGGAAACAAAGAGATCAAACCCGGGCCAGCAAATTCTGCAGGTTACAGATTTGTACATAGGAAACTAAATTTGGTCTTTCCGTAATATTTTGAACTAACATGTTGAGACTGAAAATTGACACTACAAGTCTAGACCTCCTGGGACGATCGCTTCTGCCGTTGAAGCCTGCTTCGAAGGTGTGCTGTGTATCCGAACAAAAAAAGGAAGCCTATTGTCACGATGAATATCAAGGCATTGAATCTCTTGTGACATATTTGCTCATCATTGAAGCAGTTGCATGCGATTAGAGAACCATAAACCAAGATCAACAGCGCCAAGAGAGTTCTAGTCCTATTAGTCAGGGGTTTCCGCAGGGATAGGTAGGTTTGAATTTCTCACTTGAAAAAATGTCTGGCAAATGGCGCAATGCAATATTTGGCAACAAAATCTCCAGGATAGGAATCCACAATCTCAACAAGGCGGTTAGAGGGTGCTCCATTGTCCAGTTTGCTGTGACCCGATTGGGGCCCGCGACCTTGCGCATACTTTGGTTCCATATTGGCTAGTGCCGCTGATGAATGATATATTCGAATTTGAATCGGAGGAACTGAATTGTAGAAGACGGGATGTAGGGAATATCGCAGGAGAATGAAGAGTGGGGGCGCAGGCGGTCAGAACCTGAGACATTAATATCAGACCCAAGCTATACGCTCTTTCACCGGGTTAATCCCGCCATTCTGGAAGATAATGAACAATAACAGCTCGAATGACAGGTAAACAAGCACAAATAATGGCTAGTGCTGACATACTGGGCTCCGTGCTTTACCGACAGCAATAGATCTTTCAGGGCTGGCTCTGTAAAAATCCAGGACAGATTCCCTCATCCACAAGCTCATGCTCGGGGTCAGGAGGCGTGAGTAGGAAAGGAGGCGCCAAGTCGGCTTTCTTGCGAAAGAGAAAACTGTACGCTTGGTGAATTCATTTGTGATTTTTACTTATGACACAAGAGGAATTTGCATCTTTCAAGAATTGTCAAGAGGCCCGTTGCAACAGAATGGCCAAGGCAAAGGGTAGATATTTGCGAAGCGCGACGATATGATCTAAGTTCTGGCAGTCGAGGCAAGGGCATCAGACGCGAAGAAAAAAAAAACGTGCCTTAAGATCATGGCCGGCGAAGACACATGTTGAGTGGATGGCCAGTATAATAAGTCAAGATGATGACTCAATGGATGTAGTATTTTGTGACCAGTGTTTAATCAAGGTACACAATCTATTTGTAGTAACATAACTGCGCTTGAAATTCTTTGAAGCCATTAAAGCGATATAGTTATTTGTATATTGAACTATCGCTCTGCGTATCATTGGGGCTGGTCAAAAACTAGTGAGTGATGCAGCCCACGGATGTACTTGATACTATTGAAAAAATCCCACTGACCAAAACCGAATGTCGCTTCATGATGTACGTACTCCTGCCGCGTCCAAGTAATCTCCAAAATTAAACGCCTACTTAAAACTTTTCTTTGGCTGTGTGGAAAAAGTCAGCGCTGCCCCTGTGGTAGCGTAAGTGGTGTAGAAAGAAACATACCTCATCACATCTCCTTGATTTGCTGGAAGCAGATGAACCGAGCTAGCTCACCCCTCCTGCTTGCCGTTTCTAACTCGGATACAGCGATCTCAAGTGATCTCATGTCCATTTCGTCTTCATCCCCCATCAAAGGCTCATCCGCTCCCGGAAGTAAGGGCAGCGCGGGGATATCCAAAGCGGTTTGTAATGAATCAAGGCGATACAAGAGGTCTTGTTGTGCTAGGCGCTGCATGGAAGTACATGCAAGCACATGACGGATATCAGGCTCAGAAGCCCGGGCTTCCTTCTGGATCTTTTGTAAGGAGAGTTCGCATAATCGGTAAGCAAGTTGATCAGAGTCGGTGGGTGGGTTGTGTGTTGCGAATGATGGGGGAGGGGGGTTGGGTTGACCACGCGCAGTTGTTTTCGCCGTCGGTTGAGGCTTGGGGAGAGGTTGCGGGTGATGACTCTAGTAGCTTGCATGATGAAGAATATGATGCTGAAGAGATGAAGTTTGTGCAGAGGAAACACGATGAGGCTTTAGATATTAAAGGTTTGGACTTTCTACTATGAATTTATTGTATCATGGGCAAACAATGCCGCCGCGTCATACCACTCTCTGAACACTGCTCTTTTGGCGGGAAACCCCGTCTATGGTCCTTGCATGGCTTTCGCCACTGCATCATGCATCATGCCACCTCCGCACGGTTGTGCAGCAGCCCATCGACCTATTGGGGTTACAAATGGGCCATACCCTGTCGATCCTTTCCACCTTACATGTTTGCTAGTTCTGAGTTGTTTTAAATCCTTAAGTCGGGATTGCGAAAGCGCTACCAGAAGTGGGTGACGACCATGGTTACTCGAAACTGGTGCCATCGCTGCATTATTTTGCTAGGAACCAATGCCAAGATCCACTAGTCTATATTAGGAATGGATCAGGAATACCAATATTCCCGTATCAGTGTCAACACGGTGACTTGGCTTAACTTTAATACATTTGATCTCTCTTGTGACTGTATTGAAGAAACAAGGCCACTGGAAATTTCCATGTTAATGAGACCCAGACCTCGGAGCCTGGAAGAACCTCGAGAATCTGGCGAGGTCCAAGGAGGAACATCCAGGGGCCAATCAGTAACTACAGATATAAGGACTCCACCCTTCAAGCCTCTGACTTCCCCCCTTTCTACACCGTCAGCCTAGAGTCAAGTACCAATATTCCTCCAATGCCCGCTACAGTCGCGCAGATCATCGAGCATGATGAAAACGATCCCGAGCTCTTGGAGCGCATAGCCTTTCGAACGGTAAAACCACCAATCACCATTATTAAGCCCAACCCAGAATGGCCGCAGCGGTACGAAGAAGTCAAAGAACGGATTGAAAAAGCCCTTGGGGCCTTCATCTTAGACATCGCTCATGTCGGCTCTACCAGCGTTCCCGGCCTTCCAGCTAAAGACATCATCGATGTCGATCTGTCTCTAAAAGATGCCACGCATGAAGCATCCTACGTGAAGCCCCTGGAAGAGGCAGGATTTCGGTTCCTCTTACGCGAGCCGCGATGGCATCAGCACCGGTTCTTCGTGGAAGACTGGCCCAAAGCTTACCACGTCAATCTTCACGTGTGGGGTCCCGACTCGCCTGAAACTGTTCGACATCGTATTTTTCGTGACTGGTTACGCAAAACGCCAGCGGATCAAGATCTTTATGCCAAAGTGAAACGCGACGCGGCTGAACAGACGGCTGTAGCTGGAGATTCCCTTTTGGAATATAATCTACGGAAAGAAAAAACAATAAAGGAGATCCTAGAAAGGGCATTTCGTGATTTGGGCTACATTGAATGAGACACTTCAGTGATTTAAGTGGCGTCGGAACTGTGAATATGTATTTGAAGCTTACGAGTCATGCTGCTGCTCACTGAAGTGTTTTCTGTACGAAGTATTGGCTTCGTTTTGCCCTTACCCCGCACTTCTTATCTTTATGCAAAACACCAAAGCAGTGCCCAAACTTTGTACAGTGTGAGCAAATCGCACCTCATCTTCAATTATGATGTAAACACGCCATGGAGCATTAGATTGACTCGAGGAAGTTCCGTGAACATTGAATTCTTTTCTATGGACCTATCATTTACATACCTCCAGAGCTACATATACCTATCACCCGGTACATTCCGCTTCTTTATCCTGGCATACAAGGGTGACCATGGTCAAACCAAGGCTCAGATGTCAGTCTCTCGCAGCCACCTGTCATACATGGATATCAATTGAGGATATATCCTTGAAATTGGACAAAACACTCCTTCCAGGCCAAGTCTACCTAAATAGACCCTAGCTCCATTTCGACCCACATCTTTGGAAAGCCTTTCCCGATTGCGACCCCGAACCCCCCCAATACAACATCTAAGACCCAGTTTTCTCGGGATCAAGCCCGATCAACCAATCTTCATTCGTGAACAATGCAAGTTTATCGCAATGAGTCACCGAAGTCGGCAGCGACAACCGATACAAAATAAATCTCAGTCTACACTTTTCGTCGCAAAGAAACGCACCATCTATTACCATAACTCTAAGGTACTATAGCATGGCCACCGAGCACAAAGCCAGCACCATAATTGCTGAGCAACCATATCATTCAGCAGAGTATGGAGAACCTTCGGCATCAGTCACATCAGCCAATGTGTACCCCAGTGTACGTGACGAAGAAGCCCCGCAGTCGGCATTTTCGATCATCGAACCACCCGCGCAGCTTTCGACCGTCACAACGCACATTCTAGACCCGGTCCCCAATGACATTTTCCCCGATGGCGGTCTCCGCTCCTGGAGTGTGATCACAGGATCATTCCTCTTGCTCATGAGTACCTATGGCTTGATGAACTCCACCGGTGTGCTGCAGAGTTATTTTGCGACCCACCAATTATCGACTTACTCCACCAGTGCTGTGGGTTGGATCCCCGGTGTCTTTCTGTTTTTTGGACTGGGGTTGAGTGCTCAGGTGGGATCGATGTTTGACCGGTATGGTCCGACGGGGATTCTGATCACGGGTACTGGGTGCTATGTCGCGGGTCTCTTGCTTCTGGCGGAATGTCGGCTGTATTGGCACTTTATTTTGACGATGGGGGTGTTGACTGGAACGGGTTCGGCACTTTTGAGTACTGTTGCGTTGTCGGCTGTGCCGCATTGGTTTGATCGCAGGGTCGGGTTGGCCATGGGGACTGCTATGGCTGGTGGTGGAGCCGGAGGTGTGGTCTTTCCGCTGGTACTAAGGGCGGGGTTTACGAATTTGGGATACAGGTGGACGATTAGACTGCTGGCTCTGATCATTGGTATTTTATGTGGGGTGGCCATTCTGCTGGTTAGGTCTCGTTTGCCGAAAGGTCGAAGCCGGTCGACTATCAACCTGCGGGCCTTCAAGGATACCAGGTTCACTTGGTTAACATTGGGAACTTTTAGTAAGTGTACTTGAGATGGTCCATTATCAATCTTGATCGATGAGTAACTGAAACCTATGCAGGCTTGGAGTTGGAAGTCTTTGCCGGGATTGGTCTATACCCAACATACGTTGTGATGCAGGGTTTTAGCACTTCCACCAGTGTTATTCTTCTTGCCGTGCTGAGCGTGTATGAGCAATCATCCATCTCTTCTCCATGATGTATCTATGAGCTAACGCATTTGATCGGTAGATTTTCCACTGTTGGTCGGCTGATGGCTGGTGGCATCGCTGACAAGTACGGACGGATCAACACACAGGCCATTCTTATCGCGCTCGGGGCCCTAGCAATTTTCATAATATGGTTGCCATTCGGTGACACACTGCCTGGTCTGTATATGTTCAGCGCAGTGTTTGGGCTTGCATCTGGCTCTTTCCTGAGTTTAGCACCGGCATGCATCGGACAGATATCCAAGGCGAGTGAAGTCGGAGGAAGATTCGGGATTTGCTACTCCCTGGTCAGCATAGCGTGAGTATCGAATTCCTGTTATGCTCTTGATATTCAATGATCTGACTATTTATGTACCCACAGAACCCTGATCTGTATTCCTATCGGTGGTGAGATGTTGCAAAAGGTGGGCAAGAAAGCGATGGTCGGTTATCTGGGAAGCGTGCTCATCGTGGCATTGGGCATGTTTACCATGGCGCGATGGGCGTGCTTGGGCTATCGGTGGAGATGGCAGGCCAAAATCTAACCAAATACACACTGCTCAACAGATCAAAAGAAGCCGGGCGCATTCAATCTTTGGATAATTCATCATTGTTATGGCAGTAGACAGCCATGCAGGCGTGTCAAAGCTAAACTGGCAAATTTAGAGTACTTCGTTAAGACATAGATTGCCATTCATGGGCTCGGATGTTAAATCCGGTCTTTTAATTCACATAAAAGCTTGAATTGCGACCGACAAGAGTAGAGTGCTCTAGTTTTTCTCGCCACCTTGTCCGGAGAGGAGTTCCTCCCTAGGGTTTATTAGCACAAGCGACCGACGATTGACGGATGATGGAGATCTCATACAGGTGCTGGTCGAGTTCCTCATTGTGCTTCTTGTGTTCCTTCAGTTTCTTCCGCAGAAGCTCGAGCCTGCAGGGACGAATTAGAGTTGTGGGCAAGGTATTCGAGGGGTGCTGGAGGAACGGACTTCTCCTTCTCGAGTTCATAAATGTACATTCCCTCATTCGCAGCCTCACGTCGGGTGAATTGGTCTTTCCTGTTGCCCAAGTCAACATACATCGTACACATCTGGTCGAGGTCAAATCGGTAGCGTACTCGACCATAAATCCATGCGCCTTTGGGTTGCCCGTGTCTCCTCCCGCCATCATCGAGGGTACAGCGGAGAACGATCGTTTGTGGGTCGCGCGAAGGGTGGACCGGAGAATGGCGGACTGCATCGTGACGGAAAGTGGGGGGTTGTGGATCAACAAAATTGGATGGATGTAGGTCCGAAATTTTCAAGGAAAGCTGCTTTTTTGTTTCAAAAATGGCAGGAAAGGATTGAGGGGTTTCCGGGAGGGGGATGGTGCAGGAACCAAGGCGGGAAGTCAGTGACAATATGATGTGGTGTGATTCTGGCTGAATCCGGGAGCTTAAATTGGCTGTCATCGGTGTCATCGGCTTCTCCACACGAAAAGTGGGTCTAAGTGGAGAACATCAACCGGGGAGCAATCACGACTCAAGGGTACCTAGTATACACCTTGAAGAACAATTATTTGGAAGTGCGAAGGAAAAGGAAAAAGAAAACACAAGCAACGTATCAAGGGTCGAACCAGCGACCTTCCAATTCCGGAATAAATCAAAAAAGTGGTGAATCGATCAAAAAAGGAGGAACAAAACCACACTTGGGAAGCAAAATACTCACAACAATGTCACTCGTCCTCAACTCAGCCTCAAAGGTATCCCCACGATGCCAACCATAACTTCAAAAACCAACAACAAACCATATCAATTAGATATGTTTATTTTAATTTGACAAAAAAAATTTGCCGATACATTGTAGCAGGTCCGCTGCCCAGCTCCTAACCGCGGCAACCCCCCAAACTAACTGGGTATGGCCAGGTGTTACGCTCGCCGTACTACGCAGTATCCCCATGGCTCCCATGGGTCCCGTGTACCTGAAGTGGGGGCCCGCAAACCCAAGTGGAGACGATAGCGAGCTGGAAACCACTGGGCTACGTGGAGGCCGGATGGGATTTTGACCCTAGCTAGGGCCCTTAAGGGAGAAATATAGGACTTGGTTGTCTGCTCATTGCCTACCTATTGCTGCCTAATTGACCCATAGCTCTTATCTTGGCTCATATTATTCTTGTCCCAATCTATCTTTGCTCTCTTGATCCATTCCACCTTTCCCTATCCATGCCCCTTTACATGTCTATAACTACCATCCCCAACGACTTCATGAATTTTGATACACTACCACTTCTACTTCTTAAATTGTCTCCCTCAACTCTTGGTATCTATGATTTTGAATCAAATCCCATGAAAATTCAATCGGAATATCATTCTCGTATAAAAGACACAATTCACACTATAGAATGTACCGGAATCCCTTCTGCAACTGTCGTGCAGAAGCAAGATCAATTCCCTCAAAGTCCGCAGTGACTTGAAGCCGACGCAGCTCTTTGTCAGTAAGCTGGTGATCCTCGTTCTCCAAGCGTTCTTGTCGCTTGTTGAGCATGCGCAGGTTGAGATACATAAACAAACCACACAAGCCGCCAAGAGTTTGGAGACCAATACAGACACCCAATGCGGTTCGATAGTATGGCGCCTCGGTGGCAATGTAGGTGTATGGTGTCCAGATACTAGCCGAGTTGCCAATTGAATTGATGAAAGCATAAGCCGCCGCACGCTTAGCAGGAGGTCGAGGGATGGCATTGGCAATCCAGGAGTAGAGGGTGCCGTTTTGGGCAAATACGAAAACCATCAAGAACATGGAGAAGTATCGGGGGCCAAAAGACCCGACAGTCATGAAAATGACAAAGCCGACGATGGTGGCCACAATCGGGTAGACGAAGAACCAGAACCGGACTTCCATCTTGTCTGACAGCCAGGAGTGGGTGAGACTGTAGAAGACCATGAAGATGTATGGTGGTGCTACCAAGAGGAGGGAAATGGTGTCACTGTAGCCGAGGGTCTTGACCAATGTTGGGAAGAAGTTTTGGAAGCCAGCTGCTCCGGTGATGCACATGTAACCGAGAGCTAGAACGTATGTCTTGATATCTGTCATCGCCAACTTCAAGCCTTTCAGCTGGCTCATTCCGCCCTGTTCATCTACGTCCGCTTCAGCTGCTTCGATTGCAAGGCGTCGCTCAGCGACGCGACGCATCTCGGGCGTTAACAATTTCCATGTCTCCGGGAAGTCGGGGAGGATGCAGATAATCACGAGTCCGACACAGACGGTAATGGAACCTTCGATGATATACAGCCATTGCCATGCCGACATGCCACGCTTTCCCTTAAGACCGCTGAGAATTCCAGCGGCGATGAGGTTTCCAAAAGCACCACTAAGCAAAGATCCAGAGTAGAAGATGCTCATTCGGAATGCCAATTCGTTCTTCGTATACCACTTCGATAGGTAGAAGAGCACGCCGGCGAAGAAGGGGGCCTCTAAGCAAAATGGTCAGTGACTGCTTCCTCATACCCAATTATTTATGTTCCACTTACCGACCAGTCCCAACAGAAAGCGACACGCTACAATGCCACCATAACTCTTGACCTGGCTCGTCAGAGCTGACACGAGACCCCATGCACAAACGAAAAATCCCAAGTAGAAAGACGGCCGACCCATGTAGTTGAGAAGCAAGTTACTCGGGACTTGCATGAGGATATAGGCAACGAAAAGAATTGATAAACCAGTTTGGTATTGTGTGTCCGTGAGATGAAGCTCCTCTGTGAGGCCTTGAAGCTTTGCGGCAGCATAATTATTGCTTTCCAAATAGTAATTAGTATAAGATTGCCAGAGTTGCATGAAAAGCGACTTACCGGTCAATGTAATTCAACAAATACACCAGTACAACCAGGGGCATAATCAATGAGTCAATTCGAACGCGCAATTTGCGCTCAATGACCTTCTCCTCTTCGGTGAGCGAGGCCCTGTAGATAGCTTCCTCGTGTGAAACCGAGGCCTTGTCCACCGCTCCGGCTGGAACGACGGTCTCCGGCCTGAAGGCATAGTCCGTGCTATTCATGATGAAAGAAAAAGACCCAGTCTAGAGGTAAACCAGGGGAATCGTGGGCGGAGCGAAAAACACCCCTTGAGAACTGGGACGGGCCAACTCTTTATCGGTTTCTTTCCAAGGAGGGGCCCAGCTCGATCAGACCTTGTTGCATGCTTCTGCATGATAAGTCCAATACGAGGGAGTTAACCTCCTTCCATTCTTTCACCCGGCGATCGCATTTACCCCGAAGACAAGTTTCTGGGGTAGAGTGTGGGGCGTGGGGGGACCAGGTCAAACCCGCCAGTGAGAGGGCGGGATAGATCAAGAATGCGGAGAGATACCGAGGGTCGATGGCGTCGTGATATTCATACTCGGCCAGTGATAGGCTGGAGAATGTGGCACACCCCACGCGGTTAAAGCCACTTATATCTGGGGTACACAGCCAAGCCGCGTATTTCAAGGAGAGCTTGATGTACACGGTTCTTGTGATGGACCGTGTCAGTACTTTGGCCACCTTGCCCAGAATATAGGCGGTAATGGTCGGAGCAAGTCCGCGTGTTGAACAACCATGTTGGGGGTGGATCTGTGGAAAGTCTTGAGGTTTGATTGGCGGTTTTTGACTTTTTTCCCCGCGCGTGTTTCTCAGCATGGTGCTTGGTCCGATGATCGTTGCTGCACAGGTGACATGGAAACCCGTCCCCGAAGCTCTTTGTTGAAGAATTGACATCATTCGAATAGGAGGGAATCTGCAGGCACAAAGCATTCTTCTTGTGGCTTGGTCTGTTCCATGGCTTTTCGGTGCGTGAAATCATACCCGACAAGTGCATGACCAGCTACCCCTCGTTTTGACTACTTAGAGCATTCAAAGCCTTTGGTCCCCTTATCATAGTGATGAATGGCAAATTATTTGGATTACATTTCCTTGGCCTCAATCAGCCAGAGGCAACAGCCACAACCTTTTCTTCTTCTGAGTCCTGGTGGTTCCCCCATCTCCCGGAATTCACCCAATGCGTGACAATGGAATGCAATAACAATGTCTGTATCCATGACAGAGTTTATTCACTGGGTAATTGAAATGTCAATCTGCCCTTTGAATGCGCTCGAATAAAAAGAAGAAAGAAGGGTTGGAATGCGAAAAAGATGGGGCTGGTTATACTCGACCGCATGGCACCTTCCCAAAATAGAGAATTTATCCTTACATTCAAAAATGAATAAAACTCACTTTATACAGAATGCAAATGATCACCGCTTCCAAGAAAATAGGTTCGTCGAGCCCTGGCGGTGATTGTCGTCTACCCCAGGAACTACATATAAAGAGTCAGCTGCTGGGGTCTTTCTGTAGCCGCAATTTACAAGCTTATCAAAGCTCCCAAGTTAGTGATGGGTAGAGAAGTTTGCCCTCCAAGTAACTTTGTTTTCTCCAGTCTTATCGGAAGTGGCATCTCTCTTGTGTAGACAATATGGACCCGCAATGACTCAATACAATGGTCAACGTCAAACCTTGGCGTCTTGCTCATGTACGGCTGCCTATTATAACAAGAGCAAATGTTCTTCAAGGGAAACTGCGGCTATCGACTATACAGTCAAAGTATGGCTGCTCAGAACAACCTTAAAAGGATCAAGGCTTACAATCCCAGAGTTCTTGGAAATTTCGCAGACAAGAATCAGTACGAGGCTCAAAGGTTCAACATCGAAAGAAGAATTATCGGATACTCCATAGTCGCACCTATAATACCCTTAAGCTCATGCTGTACGAGATGCAAAGTGCCATGCTAACCCAAGAATGCCTAGTCATTGATGATGTTGGCTTAGAACGAATGGGCGAAACCCTGGCACAGGGGGTCTAACGCACTCGACACATTCTTTATCAAACCACAGTTGTTTCGGCTTAATATCAGTTTGCAGATTAATCATTTGAATCGTACGCAACGTCATGCCATTGGTGTTTGCATTGATTTGGTTCAATGAGATCAGGTGACCCTAGGTGACCCGAATAGGTAGGAAACCCGTTAACGCACATTACGTGCATTACATGTGTCTCAAGCCATTGACTTTGCTTAACTTACGGTTCCAATAAATAATTTACAGAAGAATTTCTATTTTCACCAACAGCTAACCTGGAAACCTTGAAGATGTTGTCTTCAAGGACGAGTTTGAAGCGTCTAGAAAGTAAAGTAACGAGACTAAATAACAAGCTGTGTATCAACAAAGACCTAAACTCATGAAACGTGGGGAAACAAATACACACAGACTCCATCCAAGATTCCACAAGGCCAATCGTACACAATAACATTACTAGAAATGGGTAAAATTGCTTTGCGCCAGGTGGACCTCCTTTATGGTCCGTCAAATAGACCACTGGGATGGAAATTTCGTACGGGTCGCGGAGGAGCTTACCTTCCCATACCGCCCAAGCCATTGGCCATCCCATCCACTGTTTCTCTTCCATCGAATCCGACAGGTCGTCTTGCAGCCCTAACAACTGGCCCCTCATTACCGATTAAGGCGACTGACAGCCTCCCATGTCTCATAATATTCCATCACGCCAATGGTGTCGCCGCGTGGCGGACCCGGTCGCAACGGGCGGAGCTGAACCACTTTCCACCTGGCCTATCGGAGTCACCATAGGGCAAGCTATTGAAGCTACCACCAACCCAAAACTGGGCCCTTGTGAAACGGCCCACCGCCCCGAGAAGGAGATCTCGGGCGAATCTCACTTCCCAAAATCTCGCAGTGTCGTTGGTTGCACCATGCTTCTCTCCTCCCCCTACACCCCATAATCGCGTCCCCATGGTCGGTGAATCGCGAACACCCGCCCCCGACTCACGAGCCAAGAAGGCGCCAAACCGGCAGTCGCGCTCCTGTAAGGTCTGCCGGCTCCGTAAGGTCAAGGTACGTCCCGTGCTCAGATCCCTTACGACGGGAGGGACCGACGTTCCCGTACCGGGAGCCCTGTCCCACTACATTCCTTCAACAGGGGCCTTGGAAACTAACGTCGATCCGCCAGTGTGACCGTGTCAAGCCTTGTCACGCATGTTGTGCGCACGGGTATCCGTCTAAATGTGTTTACGAAACAGTGCCTGGCGACGAGGCGCGCCCGATCAGCCAGGCGGAGGAAATCCGAAATCTGCGGGCCGAGATCCAAGAATTAAGAACAAGGATAGATGAGAGACAAGATGGTATGTTGGCAGGCCCCTGGTCGCCTATAGCGGGTACCCTCGGCAACTAGATCCGTCCAATTGTGGGACTTCCATTGACACGTTTCCTGCAGGGTCTCACGATCAAGATCTGGAGCGGCTGGACCGGCTTGAGAGCTTATTTGAGTCTATTCGCTCTGCCCCGCTTAGTGTGGTTGACCACATCGTGCGCGAGGTTCGATTCGCTCATGGTGGGATAAAGAAAGATTTGGTGCAAGTAGGGCCATGGGAGGGTCATGAGGGTAAGTCGGCCATTCCAGCACTATTGGACCTGATTGCGCATGCTCACATAACGGCCAATCAGCATATAACAGCTACCACAATTCACGTGCTTCTCCACCACTATCTATCATTCCAATCCGCCAGCGAGCAAGCGACTCGGGTTCGGACCTCAATTTCAGTGATCCTCCGATGTATGAGGATGATGACAGCGAAGACCAAATGTCTCTGAGCAGCGTTTCAGACTCATCGGGGTCCTCCGGTACAATTTATTTGATCGGCATGCAGCGGCCTTCTGTTGACGTTTTTGTTGAACGTTTCGTCGACGCATTCAGCCCGCAGGTTGACAACAAATCTGGTCGCGCAGGAGCATTGAGGGCCGCCGCAGGCATTCGGATGTTCTCGCCACTCATCTCGGATGCTTTTGAAGCAGTCTCTGTGGCTTTCTTTGGTCGATCTATCCAGAATAAACAACTCGAAGCTTCAGGATTCCGGCTGTATCCCCGCGTTTTGCGCGAACTGCAGGAGGCATTGATTGACCCAGAGCGGTCCAAGTCCGAAGCGACCTTGGTAACAGTGACACTTCTGCTTGCCTTTGAGAGTGTGGAGCGCACCACAGCTAAGGGTGTGCCAGCTCACGTAAGAGGTGCAGTACGCTTAATTGAGCATCGTGGCCCAGAGAATCATATGTATGGTGTTGAGCACCTCTTGTTTACCGAGCTCCGGCCTTATTGGATTGCTGGTGCATGTGCGGGTCGAGAGCCTTCATTCTTAGCCCACGAAGATTGGAGGACCATTCCGTGGTCGGCTGGGACGACTACCAAAGATATCCTGCATCATTTACTCGACCTCGCCACGGAGGTGCCCGCTCTGTTGTCCCAGTCTGATTCATTCAAGGCAGCGCAGCAGGGCGCATCCAAAATGGGAGCCCAAGAAACTGCGGCCAAACAGGCTGCACTTTGGAACGGAATCACCGATCTCACTGCCCGCTTCTATCAGTGGTATCATGACTGGGTCAAGTGCTACCCAGACGGCCCGCCGGAGGAAGTCGAGCAGACGGAAGACCAAGACTTCCCCATATTCAAACGACGCGATTTGCGCACTGGCGCTACCTACACACCAACGAGGCTCTCTTACCCGAACCTTCTCCTTGCACAAACCATGTGTGTGTATTACGCGTTCCGCCTGATCCTGTCCTCGATAGATACGCGCCCAGAGGATCGGGTGAGCGTTCCAGAGCAGTACGAACTGGGATGCGGTATTTGCCGCACCTATGCATTCTATATTCTTACAGCCCCAGGAAACATGATCAATCGCCTCGCATTCCCTACACGCGTAGCATGGGAGGCCTTCCCCGACAATGGGCCCGAACGGGCTTTTATGACTGAGGTGCTGCAATTGGTTGAGAAGCGCCATTCCCTAGCGCTTTGGGGTGGTGGCATGTCGGAACTCTCGGCTAGGCAAGGCACCCCCCTCAACACAGCATGATGATGATGATGATGACGATGCAAATGTATTTATCCATGATTTGCAATTAATGAGCGCTAGATATCCTTTCGGGGCTGAGTTCATGGGTGAATCCCCCAAAAGCTTACGTCAATTTGTTTCACATGGAGTATGATTCTATGCATATGTATGTAGGCAATAATAGTAACCCGTGCAGTAGCCCGCCCGTGTCATCTTAGCGAGCCGTGGAGCTGAATAGATTAGAGATGACAAAAGCTCGTTTCCCTAAGCGCTGTCATTGGGTCGGACCTGAGGGAACCCTTCCCCACTGAGATGAAGCTAAGCTGTATCGGACTTGGGGGTCCACTACACCAACCAGTCATAGTCCCATATCTGCGATCTGCATTCAATAGTGCCAGGAACCAGATGGATCCAAAGCCATTGTGGGAAATGAGCATGAAGAAAAGGAGATAGATCAGATCTTTCAAATGTCACCTGTCCGTGCCAGTTTTCCACCATAAAAAGAAAAAGCCCGGTCCCTGACTCGTACCGTGGGTCACTCCAGCTCTAAAAAAAATCCATCATCACAATGCCTTCTTTGCATCAATTATTTACCTCGGCCCTGCTGGCCGCTACCGCTGCCCACGCGACATCAGTGAACGATTTCACCTGCGAGAGCGACTCCAACCCCATTGTTTTCCTCCACGGTCTGGGCGCAACCTGGTATGAAGACCTGAATTACATGCAGGACTGGTTCCAGCTCCAGGGCCATTGTACATATGCCAAGACCTATGGTGCTTATGAGGGGTTCCCCTTTGTGGGCGGTCTCAAGGCTATCAATGAGTCCGCCCCCGAGATCGCCGATTACATCAATGAAGTCATTGAGAAGACCGGCGCAAGCAAGGTGAACCTGGTTGGCCACTCCGAGGGTGCCTTCCAGTCCCTCTACGTGCCAAAGTTCGAGGGCGTCTCGGACAAGATTGACAAGATTGTCGCTATCGCGCCTCCCACCCACGCCACAACCTTCGCCAACCTTTACGATCTCGCTTATATCGCCGGCAACCTCAGTCGCGACATCGTTGGTGATGTCCTCGATGCCGTGGGCTGTGCTGCGTGCAATGACCTCGGCCCCGACGGCCCTGCTATCGAGCGTCTGAATGACGGAACGCCCATTGCGCAGTCTGGGAATACCCTTACCATCATTGCTTCCAAGCATGATGAGCTGGTCACCCCAATTACCACTGCGTTTGTTCACGAGTCTGGAGTCAACAATATTTGGGTTCAATCTACTTGCCCGCTGGACCCCGTTGGTCACATTGGTGAGGCTTATGATTTGAATGTCTGGAACTTGGTGAAGAATGCCTTGGAGGATACTCCCAACCGTGAATTTATCTGCTTGCTCGGATCTCCTGGCAAATAAGGGCATTAACAGGGACAGTAAATATAGCATGGGAGGGGTTTTGGTCGCATATTGACTATAGCATTAATTTTGTAATTAGCCTAGTTTACCTTAATACACATAGTCAGGTTGATTATTATGGCTTCTGTATCAAAGAAAAGATGAGATTTGGGCTTATTGATCTCTCACATCTGACGCGTGTTGCTGGCTTTGTTTGACACGAGAAGCTCCACACCGCCTTCCCAGTATCTCCAATTGCAACGTGACACTTGACCGCTATCTTGACGAAGTTCTTTGATTGGGTGAAGCAGACTGGAATCCTGCAGAATATCCATGAGGGGGTCGTTTGGACACAAAAACCCGCAAAGTGGAAAAGATTCGCCTGTCACTTCCCTGGAACTCTGGGTAGTCTTTAAATATTAGCCCTCTTCGGGGCTCAAAATACCCTATAACTCCCTCCTCGACCTATCAACGAGTGAAAGGGGCAAATTTCCTTGATCGGCCACACGACATTGAACAAAAAAAATATCTCCGCCTCAAGATCATCCACGATGGCTGTGCCAGAAGGAGAATCGGCAATGGATGTCCAGATGCGGGAGATGAGGGAGCAGCTTGCGCTACTACGGAAAAACCGCGAGTTCATCGAGCTGCAGACTCAGCTTGTGCTGGAGAAGCAACGGAATGCGGAGGAGGAGAAAAAGCTGCAAGACGCAAAGGACAAACTCAATGCGACTCGAGAGTCAATCGTAGCGGCTCAGCAGCACACTCAGGCAGTAACTTCAGCTCCTCAAGATACGAGTAGTATGGTGGCAGCGTTCATTGAGTCGGTCAGAAGCCCTGACACTGAGAACCCATTACCTGTCAACGGACATACTGAGAGTGCAACTCCGTTCAAGGGCCTCAACAAAAACGGTAATTGGATCCAAGCTGGTACTCTTCCTCCACCAGGGAATGCGTTTCAAACCCCAAAGCCCTCACCCGTGAATACGCACCAAACTCCAAAGTCTCTGCCTGTGAACATACCCCAAGCCTCAAAGCCTTTGCCTGCGGACACGCCCCAAGCTCCAACCCCTTCGCCCGCACCCTCAAAGGTGATACCACGCTATGAAGTGTGGAAAAAGAAGGTGGAGCAGGAGCGGGCACTGGCGGCCGCGACTGCTGCTTCGAAGAATGTCAATGGGGCTGCAACTGCTCCAAATGGAGCTTCTACCCCTCCGATGAACCAACCATCTGGGAAGCGCCCGGGCGAAGGAACTGATATGACGCCTGTCAAGATCCAGAAGCAGAATCCACCTCCACCCCAGGTGGGCAACCAGCCGCCACAGCCACAGATATCGTCGACATCTGCTTTGTCTGGTGCTGAGAAGAGGCTGGAGCAAAGGCTTCAGCAGTTGCCAATGGAACAACCTACTGGACAAATTATGGAATCAGTTCCGCCGACTGGGTCCAGAGAGCGAGTGCGCTCGCCACCAAGACACCCAAGAGCACGCTCGCCCTCGAGACCGGGCCGAGGGTATTCGCCGCTCAGATCAATGAGGGCACCTTCACCTTCCAGATATAGAGCTCGTTCGCCTTCCAGGCATAGGGCGCGCTCCAATTCTAGGCCTAGAGCTCGTTCGCCGTCTAGATCAGGAAGAGCCCGCTCCCCGCCTAGAGGGTACAGACCTCGTTCCCCATCACGCAGACGCAGGACTCGTTCACCACCGAGAGAGCGCTTCCGCTCGCCACCAGGTAGCCGCTACGCATCACCCAGGCGTGAGCGTTCGCCCCCAAGAGCGCCCAGAGAGCGCACACCACCAAAGGCTCCCAGAGCTCATACACCGGCGCCGCCAAAGCAAAACCAACATATTCTACTTGGATCACCTGTCGCAACTGTACCCTTTCAAAATCGTCAAGTTCCTCCTGCACCCGCACCTATTCAGAATTCTCAAGCCCTTGCTGTGGGAACCCCACCCAAACCAACAGTACCCGTATACGGGGCAGCCGACTGGCAGGAATGCAGAAACTTTACTTGTAGCATAGAAGCCCACTTCCAGAGATATCGCACATTCTACCACAACGATGAGACGAAGGTCGAAACCGGCAAACTCGTGCTTGCTGCACCACTACTGGATCGGTGGAACGCATACACCATGCAGCTCCCAAGGGCTACCTGGCTCACTTTCTGCACCTTCCTCGTGGAGCTACTTCCACCCGACGGGACTGAGGAGGAGTGCCGTCGCACTTACTCGTCAATTAAACAGAGACCCACGCAATCTGTGCGGGACTTTGTTCTCTTCATGCTCCGATACCATAAATGCTGGACGGGCAACAACCATAACCGCCTGCGGCACCTCTGGGATCGGATTGTCCAACCCCTCAAGAACCACTCAGAGAAGTCATGGAAGGATTTTGAGGACTTCCATGAATTCGTCGAGTATTTGGAGGGGGTTGAGGCTTTTATGATAGCCCAGGATATTCCCTTCGGTGATGGTATGACCCCAAAGTCAGCGAGGTCGAAATCAGTAGGCCCCTCAAAGCGTGGCCGTGGAGGTGGAGAACGCGGTCGCGGCCGTGGAAAGCGTGGCCGTGGTTAAGGTTTGAACCCGCCATGTGAGTATAGCCCATTTTTAACATCAGTCGGGGTAGGGAAACATTTCGAACCAGTCATCTGGTTTTTGCCGCTACTATTTACTTCTTATGTGGGGGATAGAGAGACATCGAGACTTAGTGATTCATTTGCTTAGAGATATCAATTGCTAGAGTTACCATTTATTAGGCTCAAAAGCCAAACACATCTTTTCCATTGAATTCACGGTTCCTCGCATAAACCTCCATAAACATCAACGGTACCCCTCCAAGATCCGTCTACAGTTTGCTATCCATCTCCACTGCCTCAGTCCGCGCCAGGGCCTTTTCAATCTGTTCTTTGCAAGCCATCAACTTGACATCCCTCGTGCCATCCTCCTTATAGCCTGTAGACGACCCATACTCACTCTCATCTCCCCAAATATCACGATACTCCTGCTCCTCGTAATAGAAAGCCTTGCCATCGTGGAACCCACTCAGAATAGTCGCATCTGGATCCCCACGGCAGCAAGCACATCCTGTATCATCCTCCGGCTCAGGGACCATCGATCCATCCTTCTGGCCTGCCATGGCAATTTCGAAGACTTGGCCGTAGAGTTCTTCGAATGGCTCGTCCAGTGAATGGTGGGTCAGGCGGGTTTGGAACGAGGCGTGTTCTGTTGTGCAGCGATAAGCGCAGTCCAGGAAGATTCTTCCTAGGTCATTCAGGCGGGCTTCGCCTTCGTAGTCTGGGTGTCGGATCAAGTATACGCAGGTTGGGGTTACGCTTCCCGTTAAACCTGGTAAAAGGTCTGCGATGGCCTGAATGGCATCGGGTAGGGCGAGATTGTTGAGCTCGTCAATGTGGGGTTTGAGCTGAGGGGCCATCTTGGCTTATTGATTATTTTGAAGGGGACTGTTTCGTTGTTCTTGTCGGTATGGAAGTTCAACTTTGAATGAGACTGTGGGATGTGTGATAGTGAGGGAAGGTGGTGAGAGAGAGAGAGAGCTGGCAACCTGTTATGTTCTGGGCTTTGCGGCTCTGCGCTTCCTGACTCTTACGTCTTACATCACTCGACGTTGCTACTGGACCAAGGCATACCTTTTTGTCTAGTTTCATTGTGCTTGTATTGGAAACGCATTCTGACAAGGGCCGATAAATAAGAACCCTTGTGCAGTATATGTAACCTATAATTGAAAATCGATATGGTAAGTGGCGGCGAGCGTCGGTGTGCTACAGTGCCGACCGACTCTTTCCAGTCACATTTTCTTTGTGGCCTGTTATTAGCTTCTGCTGAAAGACCTTGTCAGACCTGACGACTTTGAGTGTTATGTGAGGCTCCAGAAGTCCCATACCCCCACTAGGCAGACTGCCATCTGCAGTATGACCGCACTATTCCAATAGTTCATGAGGCGCAACGCCCCGCAGAAGGCCGCAAGGAACCGTGCAACACCATCAACCCCCACAACCAATCCCGATGTTTAGGAACTGAAAGGCCCATTTTAACTGCTTATCTGATTTGGCAGTTCTTATCTGTCGCATTTGCATCCTAGCCACATCCCAGAATTCACACCTGCAGGGCCCAGCAGTCGGGCGGCCCATCAGAATACGTGGATTTCTCAGCCGATCAATTTCATTATTTGCTTTTTCTGCACTCGCGACCCCTCGGTCTGTATCTTCACCAATGAGCGGGTCTGGGTGGATGGCATCGTGATCGACCAACACTCCGACCGCTACATTCCTGAGCCCTGATAGGCCTTGCATCCAGGATGCCCCCACCCCGTGGACCCCCTTCGATCAGCAAGCCGTGGTTCAGCTAGGATTTCCCGGCTTTGTTATTATCTTACTTATCTACTGAGTGGTCCCTCGCCTAAAAAAAGGGCGCGATGAACATTCCTTTGTATATTCGTGCGGAAGGGTAATACCGTGGTTGTGGTCGCTTCATGAATCTGGGGAACTCGGCAGGAGGTCCTTGCGCTGATAATTTAAGTCGCGTGAGCTATGGAGGATTTGAAACCCACCGAATCAAGCCCTCCTTCTGGGAGAAGATACAAACCATGGCGAGAGAAGACTGGTCGCTGGATACTCGCGCTCTTGGCAGCTGTCGTTATTGTTAAATCTTGGATTGATTTCGTTCCTGTGGAGAAGCGGCGGGATCCGGATCCTTCCTCCACAGTAACCTTCAGGTGGGAAGAAGTGCAGCCCTCGGAGACGTTGTATTATTACGACTGTGGAAATGGCTTTCAGTGTGCTCGCCTTGAGGTGCCTATGGATTATGAATGTTTAGAAAGCCAAGCGCGACAATTCGTGTTGGCAATAGTGAAAGTTCCTGCCAAGGTGCCTGTCGGAGACCCTCGTTACGGTGGTGCCATGTTAATTAACCCAGGTGAGTCTGATGTCATTCATTACTGGTATTTATAAGCTTATAAGAGATATAGGTGGTCCGGGGGGTTCTGGAGCTTTGCAAGCGTTGCTGTCAGGACGCCATCTCCAGACAATTGTCGATGCAGAGAACGACCCGTCCTCGGGGCTGGGTGGCCCCGATGACAAGTATTTCGACATTATAGGGTTTGATCCCCGCGGTGTCGGACAAACAACACCGGCCGTAACATGTTTCCCCGATTCGACTTCTCAGCGAAATTGGGAATTGGCAGTCGAGGCTGAGGGATTGATCGGGAGCAGCGAAGATGCACTGCGAAGAAGCTGGCAGCGAACCCAGGCGCTGAATTTAGGCTGCTCTGTGCACGAGATGAATGATATTCAACAAAATGCGTCAATGATGGCCTACGTCAATACACCACTTGTTGCACGAGATATGCTCACCATCGTTGAACGTCATGGGGAGTGGCGTGAAAGGGAAGGTCTCAAGGCACAAGAAGCGCATGACAGCTGTCATGGCTATGACACTACGCGCTCAATTGCCAAACGTACAGAATGGCGCGAGGGTCAAGAACCGCTCTTGTACTGGGGTAGATCTTACGGCACGGTCCTAGGCACAACATTTGCAGCGCTTTTCCCAGATCGAGTATCTCGGGCTGTGCTCGACGGGGTTGTAAATATGGATAAGTATTACGAAGATAGAGGGCCGAGCGTCATCATTGACGCTGATGCTATATTCGACCGCTTCGGTCTCTATTGTGATGCCGTCGGCCCAGACGAGTGCCCCTTCTTTGTCGTTGGAGGCTCATCCGCAATCCAGGACGCGTACTGGACGCTTGAAAATCAAATTCTCAATAGCTCCATCCCGGTTATGGCATCCGCGACCCGGGGTCCCGAGGTCATAACCTGGACAGACGTGAAAGCCATTCTCCGCATAGCAGTGTACCAGCCACTGCTTGCTTTCCCTGTATTGGCGGAGAAGATCGGCGCACTTGCTAATGGGAATCCGGTCCCCATGGCGGATTTTAAGCGTGGTCGGCACTTCAGTACGTGTCCATCAAACGAATGCAGCATGATGGGTCCGTGGTCTCCACAGTGCACCCAAGGGCAGGATAATACGCTTTATGCGATGTCAGCTATCTTATGTACTGATGCTGAATTTCTGGTTGACAAGACTTTGGAGAGCTTCGCAGAGATGTGGATGGATCTCAAGGCTGATAGCCAAACGTTGGGGGATTATTGGGCTCAGATGCTACTCTCCTGTGCAGGATGGAAAGCAAAGGCAAAATATAAGTTTACAGGTATGGAACAAGAGTCCTCCGGCCATGAAAGTGCTACAATGCTAATATGATATAGGACCATGGGATGGCATCGTCACATCACATCCGATGTTGTTTGTTTCAAATACTCTAGATCCAGTGACGCCCTTGTATAAGTATGTCTCTTGAACCTTCCAAAGTGACCGGTATATCCACAGCTCTAACACCAGAACAGTGCTCAACATATGTCGGATAAATTTCCCGGCTCTGCCTTGCTTCAGCAGGATTCTGAAGGGGTGAGTCTGCTTTGCTTCTGATGAAATGAATAGCAGCTAAATATCTACTTAGCACACCACGCTTGCCGCACCATCCATGTGCATAGCAAAATTGATCCGGACTTACTTCCAAACAGGTGATCTTCCTGACGTTGGAACACTATGTCTGGCTGATTTAAAGCCAATGGTGGGACATGTCGACCAAATGCCTATAACCACTCAAAGTATGACTGCTGCCGATCGGAAGCTATTTGATGCTTTGATTGCAGAGACTAAGCAAGGATATCTTGCTCTCTGATGAATAATGACTGATTAATGAAATGTCTTGGTGGTTTTTAGCGCTTGCACGAGAGTTTCGGCTATATCCTTGATGCGACGCCGGGGGTGTTCATTTTATTTCATTCAATGTTTTTTAAGCAATCTCTGATACATCTATATCATTGATACCTTTAGCTAGAGTAAATTTTATTATATTTGCTATATTCGCTTACCCCCACTCTCAGGATCAGTAAACCTCGGACAACTGCGAACTCTATCAGTAATAATGCGGAGAACATTCCATCGACCTCGGCTTTACATCCAATCCAATGACAGCGATTAGATGGCAGTAACCCCGCCTCAACTACAAAACTTGGAATGAGACTCAACTTTCTTTTACGCTCAACTTTGAATAAACATCAAATTTATCACTTATCAGTCAAAATGACACCCCCGATCGCAACCGATCTAGCCGGCTCCGTCAGCGCCCAGGCTCATGAGCTGCACCGGACAGCTCGCGCCGAGAAGGCGAAAGTGAAGATGACTGTGCTCGAGCAGCCTGTCTTCAAAGATAAGATTGAGGAACGCGAGTACCTGAAAGGTCGTCTCGCCGCCGCGTTCCGCATTTTTGGCAAATTTGGCTATGATGAAGGTACTTGAGAATCATGATACTCTCGCCTTGGTCAATACTGATCATTTTTGTCGATATAGGCGTTGCTGGGCACATTACCCTTCGGGACCCTGTGGAACCGACGACATTCTGGGTGAATCCGTTCGGCACCGCTTTCTCACTGATGAAGGCTTCCGACCTCATTCGGGTCGATCACCTCGGCAAGGTGATTGAGGGTGGAAAGAATCGCATGCTCAACGCCGCGGCATTTATGATTCATGAAGCTATTCATGAAGCTCGACCTGATGTTATCTGTGCAGCTCATTCACACAGCCTTTATGGACGGGCATTTTGCTCGTTGGGTAGACCACTTGATATTATCACCCAGGATTCCTGCGCTTTCTACAACGTTAGTTTGTGATTCCCTCTGATCTATTGAATGTCGCACTGACCGTTATCTCTGGGTAGGATCATGTGGTTTATAATCAGTTTAATGGCGTCGTGCTGGAAGAGGATGAAGGTGTACAAATTGCCGAGACTCTAGGAAACAAGAAGGCGGCTCTCCTGCAGAACCACGGTCTGCTGACAGTTGGACAATCGGTTGAGGAAACGGTCTTCTGGTTTGTTAGCTTGGAGAAATCTTGCCATGCACAGCTCTTGGCAGATGCGGCGGCTGCAGGCCGGGGTGGAGCAACCGTTAAAATTGACGATGCCGACGCGGCCCTGACATACAAAACAGTGGGGACCCCCAAGGCTGGATGGTTCAGCGCTAAGCCATTATTTGACGTGATCCACCGAGAGACCAGGGGCGAGTACTTGGAATAGATTGCCGCCTCGGCGGGTAGCTCCACATCTAGCTAGGACTGTACCCTGCAAATAAAGAGGTGGAGAAATGACCCTCTAGACCAGGGTCGTTTCCACTTCCCTACATATGACAGCATGTGCAAATGAACACTCTTCACTCGTCGGATTTCAGTCTTATTCGAAGGGAATATCCACTTCTCGGACAATGCTCCGTCCCTGCGGACTGAAGATTAATGCGCCAATCAGCGATTCGATATGTGGAGAACCTCTTGTTTCACCAGCTAGCTTCCTCATCTTAATGCGTTTTGAGTTGGAACACCAGGGTCTTGGCTGACACCTTTTCAAGTAATGGGCCAATAGGGGACTCCACGGCAATTCAAAGCAGCAGCATAAATAGTGGGCTTGAAATCATGTCAAAACCGTTGTAGATATTGATTCAAGCTCGATTCTTTCTATCGTGAAAGCAAACAGTCGTCATGCAGATCATTCTTCCTCTTCTTGCCGGTGCTGGCCTTGCTAGCGCTAGCCTGCTCAATGGACGCTCCGCGAACGTCAAGAGAGATAGCTGGGGTGGAAGCGTGTCGCTCGGTCCGACCAAGTCCACTATCATCAACGCCGTGACCACTATTATCCCCGGTGCAGCCCCTGCTACCCAAAATGGAGAGTTATTCCTATGGCCTGGCATGTCCAACGGTACTGGTGACCTGATTCAGACGACCCTGGAAAGCTGGTCTAGCAACGCGTGGTGCGGTGCGACCACTGGCCAGTGGTGTGTCCGTGCCAGTGTGTTCGGATCTTTTGGTCAACTCGACGGTGATGGAAGCCCCGTCAGTGGAACGGATCAGGTGCGGATTGAGTACAACCTTGAGAGCGATGCGGAGACCTGGAACCAGTAAGCAAATTGTTGAGAAGCAGTTAATTATTTTGAAGGGGATGGATGAGCTAATAATACTTAGAACTGTGACCAATGTTGAGACTGGAGTGCTGCTGTCTACATACGCAATTGCCGCCGGACCATACATGACTGGGTGAGTCTATTAAATCAGGGCGTGTTTTATTTCAACTAACAACAATTAGATACGGGACTGGAACTGAATGCGATGATGACTGCACCGGTACTATCGCTGCCCAGAAGTACATCAACACCACCATCACTCTCAAGTCTGCCGACACTACCTTCGGAGAAACCATTGCGACTGCTGCTGGTGCCACTTACACTGGCTTAGCCTCAAGCCAGGGTGGCAAGGTCTGGACCATTGAGACCATGAACATCCCTGCTATGTAGAGGGATTCAGGCATAGGACGGAATGTCTGCTGTGTGATAGAGAAGAAGCTCGTGTACTTATAAAAACACCATGCCTCCCTAAAGAATTGAAATAGCCTTCCAAGGTTATATACATGCATATCTAAACACCGCATTACTCCTTATAATCTAGTATCACAACGAGCCGCACCGGTCCAGGAGAAGCAGCACCTCCAATCCCATCACTATTCCGCTCCGACTGTGTATAAGCATCAACAACCTTCTTAGCACCAGACGTAATCGTCGAACACCCTTGGCCATCAGCCTGACACATCCGCATGCCTTGAACATCCTGGTTAGCAAGCTGTGCCTGAATGGCAGAAACATCCCACCCTGACCATCCACTGTTCTCCAAATCCCCAAAACTGAACTCGCCCCAGGTAGACGTATATCCACCATATTGGTCCGTCGGAAGCCCATCCGTTCCAGGCGCAGCACCCCACGCACCCTCCGAGTCTTCATCGAAGGCAACATACTGTGCCTCGTTGGGTGCAAGGACGAAAGTCAACGCAGAGTGCCCGTACCAGCCATCAAGCTTGTTGTCGGGTCCGACTTTGTTCCAGATAGTCACTGTCCACGGCTCTGTGTTGTTGCCCGTGAACTGGACTACGTATTTGTACTTGTGAGCTTCTGTTGGGCTTACGGCGATGATGTTGCTGCCCCATGGAATGCCGACGTTTCCGCGGTAATTGATTCCAGCGCCTTTTGGAGTGCTACGACCTCCGAATCCGTCTGTGGAGACATCGCTTTCTTTGGGGTGAGATGTCCATTGGAGATTCAGTGGTAAGGGATGTCCGTTTAGGTCGAGGACTTCGCCGATTGAGTTAAGAACCGGTTCCGCTGTTCCTGGGAGCAGTTGTGGAAGTCCGGGTAAATTTGGGAGGAGTCCTGGCGCAGGGTGTGGTGGGGCATGTTTTTCGGCGGCGGCCTCCTTTCCTTTTGCCCCTTTGGTGGATGGCTTTTTCGCTACTTTCTCCTTTTGTAGCGCCTTTTTAGGTGTTTTTCCTTTCTTCGGCTCCTTTCTTGCTGGTGCATATCCAGCCAGGGCAATTCTTGCGGGTTCTTGTTCTGCATGAGCCTCCCCAGAGTGTTCTGTGATATCAAGGGCAACTGTTACGGTCGCATTGCCAAACCCAGACAGGGATGAAGTAACCGTAGTCGTAGAATGAATACCGCCCGTTGTTTTCTCCAACATGGCCTCTCGAGGTGGCGCGGTCATGTCAAGTCCCTGGAGGCCATCAGAATTGCCATTTTCAGGGACTGAGCCGATTGTCTTTGTGATCGCTGGTGTTTCTGTCACAACGTTCATCACAGTTCTTGTCATGTGTACTGTTGTCGTGAGCTCGGGCTCTGCAGAGTGTGTTTGACTGATAGCGAGTTGTGTGGGCTCAGGAAGCATGTGGGTTGGCTCTATCGTAATGTCTTCAGTCACGGTCGTGGTGACATAAATGGTATTTGTTGGCGCGCAATCCTCGTAGACCGTTGTTGTAATGGTACGGAATTCGATGAACAAGTCGGCGGGGATCTGATCAACCCATGCCACGTCTCTAGGCTCCAGTTTTTCGGCGTGTGGCATGAGATGGGCATGTTTATGGAGATGCCCGTGGGACGCTAGGACATAGTCGATGCTGGTGAGCACGAGCAGTATAGACGAAGTCCACTGCATGGTGAGAACTGCAAATGAAGATCTCTAGAGATTTCCGAGGTGGGGCTTTCAAAGGTAATTGAAAAGTCGGCCGCTGTAAATGAGTCTATATATTAGTAGGATAAAGTCTCTTCAATCCATGTCTAGCAGATCATGGTCGCAATGGTTGTCGGATGCATGTCTAGCAGGTGGACACGCGATGAGCGACGCGGCCAGGTTTTGTAGACATGACTAGGTACCCGGCACTTTGTACCGGGGGCGAAGTGGAATGTTGAGTCGCGTTGGATCTCAGAAGGGTGATCTGATATGGACTGTAGCAGCCCTGAATTCCATCCCATCTTGGCCTTGTCTTGGCCTTCAATAATTTGACCTTGAGCAAACACTCGCATTATTTTGATTAAGAGATGACCATTTACTAGACAGAACAATTCCTTTTGTTATTTCTTATTTCTTTGAGGTCTATCTGGCTCAGAGATCGGATGGGGTGAGCCAGTCCTGCAGCCCCTAGCGCGGGACATTCCCAGCCCTGGCTTACGCCTCGACTCACGTCTACACGTGGAGTTCCTAGAGGAGGCCAGATGGAATTCTTTGGCTTTCTATGGCGTAGGTGGCATCATGGTATTAAATACCTTTTCTAAAATGATCCCACCTTTCCAAATATTCCAACAACCGGGTTGTCCACTTGGGCACGATTATTCGAGTAGAGACGGGCCAACCTTGGAAGTACTCGTGCGGTATATATATTCAAGTAACAAGCTAGTGTTCTTACCAAGAAGATAAACACACTACCGCGAGTGTATTGGTTGTATTAAATCAAAGTAGGCATTCAGCTAATCCCAATGCCGCGATGCCCGCTTTCCATACTCGTAGATATATATCGAGCTCTTTGTAAGTTGTACAGGAGATGTAGAGAATGGTCTCAAATAACAACAGTCTGAATCCAAAGATCTTCAGACATTTTCTTCAACTAAGTTGTCCGCTCGCACTATATCACTCTATTCATCAAATATCAAAGTATCTTAGCTATCATCAATTAATCAAAGAGGGTTGAGCTACTGAACATTGGAAGTTCCCCTTTATCATTGGTGGATACTCCAAATATTGTGGGGCCATGTGTTGCAGTACAGATCCAGATGATCCGAAGTCGCACACTGCTGTGCAATTTGCATGAATGTTTTATGGTTGTTCTCCTCATTCAATATGTAGAACTTATCTCAGGGCCATAGCAGTGTTTTCATTTCTAATACTCCGAACCCAAAACTTTGATATCTCCAATTCCGAGAGCCAATGAGAACAACGCGACTATCAGCAGGCATCAACGCTAAACCGCAAATGGGGAAAGTCGCGCCCGGTGGACTAATCTCAGCCAATCACACCCAAACCCCCACCTGGCGAAAGATTTACTCGAAAGAGTTGCCAAGGGCTCCGTTTTCTTGGGGATACGGGGTGGGTATATAAGACCTAGAGAATCGCCGGGTCATCCAGAGTTCATCTTGTTTGAACCATTCGATCAGATCCATTCATCATGGCGAGCCTTCACCCCTTTGACCCCATCACCCCGGGAGAGATCCAATTGGCCGTTCGGATCTTAGAATCCGCCTTCTCTGGTGTCAAGTTGCGATACAAGCGCATTGACCTTCAGGAACCCATCAAGCAAGATGTCATCCCCTACATTGAAGCCGAAAGGCTGGGCAAGCCTCGTCCACGCAAGCCTGCACGTTTGCTGATGGTTCTGTTTCACCGTCTGGATAATGGATCTTTCTACAAGGCCCTGTTGAATGCAGACACCAAGTCTGTTGTGTACGCCAAGGAACTTCCGAAGGATGTCCAGGTACGGAGACTTATCCACAAAAACTTATCTCATGTACTGACAACCAACAGGGCCCCCTTGATGTGGACGAAATGCTCGAAATTGAGCAGGTCTGTCTGAATCACCCAGCTGTCAAAGCGGAGATTGAGAAATTAAAGCTCCCATCCGGCATGACTGTCTGCCTGGATCCATGGATCTACGGTACTGATGATGCCAAGGAGACCCGACGCTTATTCCAGTGCTATATGTACATCGTGGCAACAGACCATCCTGGCAATAACCAGTACTCTCTTCCTTGCCATTTTTCTCCAGTCTTCGATGGCATTTCCCACCAACTCATCCGCATGGACTACCTACCTGGTGGCGCTGATCACCAATTCACGGAAACACAGCCGTGGAAGCCTGTGCCCACTGTCCAATACGCCCATGACTTGTTGGATGAGCCACTGCGTACAGATTTGAAGCCATATATTGTGCAGCAGCCTGAGGGTGCTTCTTTTAATGTTATCGGAAATGCTGTTTCGTGGCAGAAATGGCGGTTCCGCGTGGGTTTTAACAACCGTGAAGGACTGGTATTGCACAACGTGACCTACGATGGTCGTAACACTTTCTATCGTTTGTCGTTCTCGGAGATGACAGTTCCCTACGGAGGTTGGTTTTGACCCTTTCTGCTCAAAGTAATTTCGTGAGATAAAGCTAACTGATGTAGATCCCCGTGGTCCTTATCACCGAAAGCAAGCCTTTGACGTCGGTGACGTCGGCTTCGGTATCACAGCGAACCAACTCGCACTGGGCTGTGACTGTCTAGGCCACATTAAGTACTTCGACGGTTACCGCACAGATGCCCAGGGTGCTCCTATCCAACTTAAGAATGTTATCTGCATGCACGAGCAAGACGCCGGTCTCCAGCACAAGCACACCAACTACCGCACCGGAGCTGCGACTGTTGTTCGCAACCGCCAGCTAGTCGTGCAAATGATCTGCACCGTGGCCAACTACGAATACATCTTCGCCTTTATCTTCGATCAAGCCGCTAATATCGAACTGGAGGTTCGCGCGACTGGTATCCTTTCCACGGTGCCTTTCGACAACACCAACGGACAGACAGTACCATGGGGTACTAACGTTGGTCCAGGCGTCATGGCTCCCTTCCACCAGCATTTGTTCTCTCTCCGAATTGATCCTGCTCTGGATGGCTTTAAGAATACCATCTATTACGAGGACAGCGTGCCCATGCCTGAGGATGAATCGAACCCTTGGTCGGTGGGCTACACTACCGAGGAAAATATTATGAAGCAGAGCGGTAGCGCCTTCACCAGCGTGGATCGCCACCGTGTGTTCAAGATCCGCAATGATAATATTGTTAACCCCATTACGCACCACCCCATCGCCTACAAGCTGCAGACATCGCCCAGTCAAATGATGTTGGCTTCGCCCAAGTCATTTGGATTGAAGCGTGCTCAGTTCGCGACCCGTCCTATTTGGGTCACCAAGTACCAAGAGGATGAGCTTTTCGCTGCAGGCGAATTCACAAACCAGAGTAAGAGTTCCGAAGGTGTGGAGGTCTGGGCTGGCAGAAAGGATCCTGTCGAGGATGAAGATGTGGTTTTGTGGCACAGTAAGTTCCTTTCCCGAATATGTTTTGGTGATATTAGCTTACAATCTCCAGCATTCGGTCTCACCCACAACCCTCGCATTGAGGACTTCCCTGTCATGCCCGTGGAGCGGGTTAGCGTTATGCTGAAGCCGGATGGATTCTTCACTAAGAACCCAGCTCTGGATGTTCCTCAGTCTTCGCAGTCGTTCAACAAGTCTATTGAGCACCCTGAGCCGACATGTTGCTCGGGTGCCCAGGACCGGAACCAGGTGAAGCTATAGACGATAGAAGAGTTACGATTCATGATCTAGTAAAAGCTGGAATATATGTGTGAATAATCCAAGCAAATTTGCATTAATTCTTTTGTTATGATACAATCTACCAAACAGTCCCTAAAAAAAAGTTTTTTAGAAGAGTTTATCGTATTCTGATACAGACCTTAGAGACATGCTGGCTAAAGCGAGTATCCAATTAGACTGCAGAAGTAGGAATGAAAGAGAAGTAGTGATACATGATGCAAAATTTGCCTAGTAAAGGTAAACATGATTCATGAAACTGCCTGCAAAGTCCTCAACAAGAATACCGCGAGTCATTCGTACCACTTTTGATTGCTAAACCCCATTGAAACATGATTCAAGTAAGTGCATAACCCGATTTTTAAGCATTCGAAGCCTTAATCCCCAACTGCCTGACCCACACCTCGGCATCAACAACCGAATGCTTCCTGTGGAAAACCTTGTCCATCAAAACACGGTGCACCTCCTCATCCCGATCCATACACATATCCCGCAAGATAGTAACACGGTAATCGAGATCAGCTGCCTGTCGAACAGTAGACAAAACAGCGCCGCTGGTGATAAGTCCCGCAACAACAACATGATTAGAATTCGCGCATCGGAGAATCATGTCGAGCTCTGTACCAAAGAAAGCAGAGACGCGGCGCTTAGTGATAATCGGCTCGGTAGGGGTTGGAGTGACAGAAGCATGAACTTGCACGGAGTGGTCGCCTTCTTTGAAGAGACCACGCGCTGCAACGCCGGGGACGGAGGAATTGGTCGAAATGTTCTCCGGGTAGCCATTTCGGAAGGCTGTGATAACGTGGACGACATTTAGGTTGTGGCTGCGTGCTGCAGCGAGGACTGAGGTCAAGCCTTCAAGGTATGACTCGGGACATTGGAGTGGGTCGACTGTGCCATTTTGCACGTCGAGGAGGAGTAGGGTGGTGCGGGTACCCATTGTGGAGGTTTGAGAAGGAAGGTTATGTGAGGATTGAAGAATTGCTTTGGGAGTGTGAGGTAGAAGAAATACTTTTATGGGTTGAGCAAATGAAGAATCACATACTGTAGAATTAAGGATTGCGATCCCGGTCCCGCTATTTGTGACGGTTAAGCTATCCCGGTTCCGGGATGCTGACACTAATAAGCTCAGGACCAGCAGTCTGAGGTCACTTAGGCACTGACTATAACACTGGAATTAAGTATCACCTTGCAGAAGATTTTTGAGTCTTGAATGGGAACTGGATTAGAGCAACAGAGTCAAATCGAGGTGCTTGCTTTGGCAGTAGTATATCCTTCCCTTTCTACATTTCATCTTTCCTTTTTTCTAACACCACATCACAAATACGCCAGATAACAAAAATAGCCAATTGGAGGAAGACAACAATGAACAACAAGCATACCATTGTGAGAGCATTGTGAAAAACGCGACCTGACCCTGGTTCGACCCGGGTTTGGAGCCCCTCCGATCCACAAAGTGGAGCCTCAGAACGGTAACAGTCGATATTATAAGCTTTGACCTGCCCTCAATATGCATATTCTCCGTATTCGTTTCAAGATCTCAGAATGGTACACATCAATAGTATAAGCATTAAGAACCCCAATTAAAGTTTGAAGCTAGGTACTACATCCAAGACAGCCGGAGCTTACATAACAACTACGTCGTCTCGACGCGCAACATTCATCTCAGAATATCTCCCTAATGCTCATGGCAGCTATGATCCTAAACCTCGGCGCAAAAGTGCGCATACGTTATTGATAAGGGCGCTTACAACCTAAATCCCGGTAAACAATCATGGCGAAAGTCTCATTCACACATGGCAGAGACAGTAAGTCTCCCGGTCTCGGCTTGAGCAGGTCAAGCTAACGAACGAATCAAGAGCTTCTGGGTCCCGTCGCACGTCTCAACGGCCGTGTATTCGATACGGACCCCGTTGTCACATACATGCTACTGGAAATGTCAAGAGAGGAACGCCTGGCATATCTGCCTATCTACTGGACAACGCTCGTCAAGTCAGCTCTATTGAACGATGCGATCATCACCGAGGCGGATGGTTGGAAAGCTGCATCCGTTATAATCCCACCTGGAAGATGCGTCGATAACGTCTGGACGCTAATCTATGCTGGATTCCTTTGTGTTCTGTGGAGGCTTGGCTTCTCGGGCTTTAAGGTATGTTCCGCAGGATTACTGAGATGAGAGACAGGGCTAAACATACTAGCGCCTTTGGACCGAGTTCTCCGGTATGACGGATAATGCAAAAGAGAAGGGCCTGCGTGGTCAGAAGCGGTATTATTACATTTTCAGCATTGGGACTGAGCCTGAACACCGTGGGAAAGGTAGGCTTGGCTTGCTGCTGCTTGAACTCGGGGCTGGGTTATTGACATTGCTACAGGTTTGGCAAAAGCTATAATGCTCGAACATCAGCATACTGCCCGGCGTGAGAACGTCCCTATTTGGCTCGAGGCTACGAGTCCAGGCTCCCGTAATCTCTATCTGTCATTGGGATTCAAAGAGATCGAAGAGATTATTGTTGGGAAAGGCAAGGTCGCGGCGGATGCTACAAGACAGCCAGGCGGTCCTGGGATTCCTATCTATGCGATGGTGTGGTGGCCGGAGCAGTCGCCCTCTGCGCAGCTGTGATTTGACACTCCTTTGTACTTGTGCATTCATAAAATATCCTTATGAAAGATCACTCGTTTACTCTGTATCACCTGCATGATGCATTTGAAGCTGTGTTTGATAGGGCGAGGGGATCTGAGCTGATATAGCCCGCAGGAAACTTTTTTGGTGACGTCGTAGTTGGGTTGGTACTGTCTTCCAAAACAGACTTCGAACTCAGACATCATAATTCTCGGTCGCTCGCGCCGTAGAATACGCCACATTCTCCTTTCACCATGGCTTTCTATTGTCCACCTGCATCCGAAGCATGCAGTTGTTCAATATTAGCAGATACAGAGTTTCAGACATCCAACTCTGTGCCTTGCAACTGGCGGTGAGAATCACATAAATAACCTGCCTCGATGGCTTCGTAATGCAAGAGACATGTAGCATTCGACCTTCCATATGTCCCTCATTTCCCGGGCGCTGCATGGCCAAGGGCATTTCATTTTCGGTTGTCTCATCTAAATCAACATTGACAGGGGACTAGGTACTTCTGTCTCTAAGAAAATGAGACACTAGAGACAGTCAACAGGATAGCAACTTCATCGTAAGGAAGACAGTAAATAAATCCTCAGTAACTCACCACTAGCCATAAATGGATCAATAATCACAAATCCAAATCAATAGAGCAGACTCGTATTGTACAAGCCGGCAGATTTAGGCGATCTCATCCCGAATAAATGTGGCCCGTTCATTAGGTTGCATCTTGCCGACTCTTTCGGCCGGTTGGCAGCTCACATTTCTATTTCGGAGAACGATCCCACCACAGAAATTTCCCCAGATGTATAGCCTATAGGCTAAACCCTGTTCGATATCTGCATGTAAGATCCGGACATAACGGCCCATCGCATGACAGGTCGGGCAGAACCCCACGAGAGCCCGGGTTTTGGGTGAACCCCGATGGCAGTGGGGCCAATGTTAGGGCCAATGTCGATCAGACGATCAGCTTGCGGTGATTTCTCGGCCGGCCGAACAGGATAAGGACTCCAATGTGGTTCGGGGATCGAAGCTACGCTACGCCTTGACGTAATAAGAGAGATTAAATGTTAGATATCCGAGGCGGTCCGCCCCGGGTCCGAGTGCGCTTGGGACGCCATGAGGATTATTTAGTTAGGGGCTTTTTCGCTGATTTATTTGAAACTTCCGAAAGTCGGTGACTCTGGTGTTTGGATGAGATGATATCATGGTATCACAGGATCTCTAAGTGCTAGCGAGGTATGTGCAAATAAACAACGCTTTCCCCTCCCAAAATTCGAAATGTTTCCCACTGCGCATTTGGAAGGCGTGTATTGACCAAATTGGCTGCAGTGGGGGTATATGACCCAATCATCAAAATTCCTAGCAAAACTCCCATAAACTCCATGCAAATTACCTAAGTGGCCGGGTTCTGTCCACTCATACTTGGGAACAGCATGACATCCGACACACGACCCAAAATATTGCGCATACTCCAATCATCCATGGGAAGCGCGGAACCGCCAGTAGCCGCAAAGCTTGGAGGGAAATCGGGGGTGGTGTCAATTGATGGAGGGGAAGGCAAAATTAGGGGTGAGTAAGGTTGGTATTGGCTTTGTGCTGGGGCAGTCGACACAGGTTTGCCAGTCGACGCAGGTTTGCGGACACGGAATGCCTCCCGAATCTCACGCAGGGCACGAAGAGACGAAGCAAGATGCTTAGCAGAATCAGTGCGATTGTTATGATTGGCGTCACCGTCTGCATATACGTGATCTGCTAGGACTTTCTCTAGACGATCAATGAGCTCCCATGTCCGCGGGCCATCATCATTGGTGATCAGCAGAAAGGCCGAAGCAATGGATCTTTGCAGGCTGATCCAGGACCGAGAGCAATGTGGATTGATTTCATGCAACTCCACGAATGCATCCACCGTGTCAATCAAGCTTCTAATACAGTCCTCCCGAATCAATACTCGACGGTGTTCATCTAAATGCGCATGCGAATCTAATGACACTCGACACAAGACTGAAAGAAGATACGAAGCGTGCAGTCGGAGCTCAGTTCGTTCGATATGTTCGGCTAGCGATCGGCAATGTTCTCGATGGCGCAGATGTGGTGCGGCTTCGGCAAGCATGCGCTGAATCCGGTGCTTGTATTCTTGAATCTCATTGAACCGGGGTTGGGAATGGTTTGGGTGCATTCGTGACCGCAACACCTCCAATGCAAGCGATACGACCCGGCATAGGGTTTCAAAATAGGATCGATGCCCCGGCATGGATTTACGATCATAGGGAATTTCGGGTTGGCTGACCATGGTGATGGAAGGTCGATCATAAGCGAGTGAAAAGTGGCTGTTCTGGAAAGCCATCGACCACCTAGCTAGGTCAGCTCGAATCTATTGTGGGGAGACTGAGAGTTTCAACTTACCAGACACGTCTTCGAATGTCTTGCTCCTCAAAGGAGAATCCGGTGGTTTCGACATGAAGACCGAGAACAAGACACATCCGTTCTGTCATGCCAAGTAATGTGTAGGACGCACCAGCGTTCATATTATATGATAATACATTGCTGATAATGAGTAGAATCTGTATAACCTCTACCGTGGGTTGCGAAACGTAATTCAGCATTCGCAAGCATTGGTATGCGCAGGATACTGCATCAGAAGTCAGCATTGTGTCCAAATGAGGATCAGACTCAGGAACGAACCGTATACCCATGATGTCAGCTCACGGTCACGCTCCGGAAGATCGGACAATTGACATCCCGAGGCCAGAATCGCAAAAAGCAAGCTGAGGAAGGGCAGCTCCATCCCGAAAGGTTTGACTAAACCATTGGCGTCCGGTTTATAGACCCCACCTGCCCGTTGCCTACCCAAAAGTATCTGATTCGTCTGTCGCTCGATCTTGTCAAGATCTGGTAGTACGGGGTACAACACCGCACCGATATCTTTATAGAACTTCACAAATCTGGAGATTCCATCGTCAGCATGGCTCCCAAATCCCCTTTCACCAAATTGCTTACCTCCGGCATTGAACATCGTCCGGTAGAACCGCGCACACTCCAGCAATGTTGAATGTGTAAGGATCGGATGACCAAAGATCCACGAATGGGTATGCGACCGACTCATTGCCCAGCGCCAGTTCGGCGAGGAGATCCTCCTGAGGTAGCGCCTGCGCTGTATCCTCCGAGCCCTTGGATTTGTCTAGAATATCTACCAACGCGGACCGAGAGCCGAGATGGACGGTACCGGTTGTCAGCACGTTCGACCCGTAGACACCCTCCGACCGGATGGATTCCTTCCGCTCCATGCTCTGATCGTCGGTTCGTTTCCGGGACGAGTGTGTTTGGAAGAGTGAATGCAGGCTTCCGAGAATCTGTTCCATAGCGACCATCTTGTTATTGATATCATCCCACTCGGCCTGCGAGATGTCGATGACCTCCGAGGGATCCAGGTCTGGTTCATCGCTAGCTGCGGAAGGCGGATCGACAGTATAGGATGTATATGATGAATCCCGTTGGGATTGGGAGTATGATGGCGCAACAGCGGGCGATGCGAACGACGACTGGAGCGGCGTGGAGGTTTGGTGGAGAGTAACCGAGGCTGATAATTTGTTGGACGGCGGGCGACCGTAAGAACAGGTGAAGTTCCGCTTGACGCAATTCCCGCAGGGCACTTCGCGGTCGCAGCGGACCTTACTAGCGCGACATGGCAAGCATGTCTTGCACTCGCGTGGTCGGCGGCGGATGGGATACGTCGGCATGTTTTAGAGCCCCGCGGGGTGGTCTCGGAGGAGGAAGGGGAGCTGAGGACAGGCTGCCTGCAGCGAGCGAGAGGCAAAGAGCAGCATAGATTGGCAGAGGCTAGTGGTGAGCTAGTAACCGTAAAAGCGAGGAGTCGAATCTCGGGTAAAAACCGATGCAGCTGTGGCGGCGTATCGTGGCAGGTCCGTGAGCTTGCCCCGGATGTTGGGAAAAAGCAGAAACAAGGATCGACGGGCCCGCAAGCGTTAGAGAACTTTCCCGGTGTATAACGTGCCGATCGCCAAAGGTAAATTTGCATGCGACAATCGCTAAGGTTACTGACATAAAATGTATGATTTCATAATGCATTCGCATTCCTTGGTTGATAGTGCCTAAAGCGGGATTGTTTTGGTGGCGTTTTGGGTTTTCTATGTAGGATTCGATATGTTTTCCCCCACTCTAACCGAAATAAACAAATAGTTATAGTAATTTTGGCTTTGATCATTGGCTTTAGTTTCTCGCTTTCTGCTACACTTCCTTGAGCTTCAATGGAAAAATGCTTGTTAACGAAACACGCTCAATCATGCTATGTAGGATAAAGAATCTCGCATGATCACGGCGCCGGCTTCTGAGCAACCTGCGGCACGCTCCACCAGTCATGCCATCGGTTCTTGGTCCCGATCTCGGGAATGGTCACCTGCAATTCCAGCTTCTTCTCGGTCGAGAGATTTTTCTTGACCATCTCGATAGCAATGCTAGCTCCGATACAGGCACGCATGGTGTCTTTGATTCTACGTTGCCAATCTGCTTCAATGGCAGTGGCAGAAGTCTGCGTGTCCCCGGACGGATCCTCAATGAAAGCGCCAAGGCTAAGCGTTGCCTCCCAAGCTTTCCGAGCCTCAGTGATCGCCTTCGAGGCACGTTCCAAAATCGTAGAATCGGTATCACCTTCCAGGGTCGCCTCGCGCTGGTACTCTTCAAATGGAACCAGCTCGGGCAGAGAAATGGGAAGGAATGGCTTCATGCGAATTTCATACCGTAATTTGTCCGTCGAGTATGCATCCGAGCCCGAGGCAGATGGGAGGATCTTGTGTCGGGCCAGGAGAACATATAGGGCATGAAGGGCAATCGCAAAAGCGTCCACCGCAATCAAGTGCGTCGTCAATCTCTCCAGGCACCGGAATGACTTGTGAAATGCGGAAGCTCTCCGGGTTGCATCAGCCGCCCGATTACTTGTTGAAGTTAAGTCTCGTCTTCGGGCCGCGACCATGAAAGTCCGAATGCGGTCTAGGTGGCCGAGGTGCGTGGAGCATATGTGCGAGAGATACCAGTACATCCCGGGCAGCTCCTCTGGGGAATAGATCGCAAGTTCAAATCCCATTTGAAGGATAAGCCGAAGCTGCGTTAGTTTCTGGTGATATGCCCAGCTACTAAGTGGGTATGAGTAAGTCGGCTCCCCACCCCCGATCTGCAGTGGGGGCTCTCCGCTGAGGGCTTGAAGCTGCAAATCTAGTTCCTCGGCCTTGAGGAGTCAGTATAGGTACTTTCTACTTGACAGCTGGGGATGTCTCACCTCCATCTGCAAACTATCCCAGTCCACGACAGTATGGCAAACGGTTCGACGAACCCGACACCGGTTCAGACAAGAACATCGCACTGAGTCCACAAAAGGCTGTAATTGATTAGGATCACTCGACGTTTCTATTTGGCTGGATAGACATACCTGGGCAAATCGTTTCACAAAACCGTCCATGTGGCGGGCAATTTGGAACCGAGGATCCGATGGGAGTTCCACGTCGTCGGTGTTTGCCTCCAGAAGAATACTACATGGCAGTACCAGCTCTGCAAGATCATCAAACAGGAATTTTTTCACTGAAACGGCGCCCAGAATGGTCATGTCGCTAACAATCAATGCCTGAATAAGACAGCGAATATAAACTGACGGCTGAGGTTTCCGGGACATGAGAGTCCATATGGCAGTCTATGGTTCATGTTAGGGCAAAAGGAGATATTGAAAGGTCTTTCCGCGCTTACCTTGAAGTTGGTTGGGCCACGATAGTCAAGTATCTGCACAATATCAATAGCGTCTTGGCAGAGCCGTTTTGAATGAGCAAGAGCATCTTCATGACTGATATGCACAATGGGACGTGGGGGAACAGTGCTGGCGAGTTTTCGTTGGATCTTCAAGCTGAAGGCTTCTGGTACAGATTTGCCTAGCAAGTGCGACTCTTTCAGTTCATCAAGGTGTGACAAACATGCCCTGAAGCTGTCTGTTGCTCGGGTTTCCAAAATGTCAAGATCCTGATCCAATGCAGCCAGAAAATCGTACCGGAACAGTAGTCTGCAGCGAATGGCGTCCTTGAGCTTTTTATCTATATCTTTCTGTTCATCCACCCACGCAACCGCCTGGTCCAGCAGGCGGTAAAAATGCGATCCATCAAAGACAGACAAGAGGTTACGATTATACAGCTGGGTGACAAAGTCCTCCTCCTAACAACATCGGACACTGTCAGCAGCTGTCAAGGACAAGTTCCTTGCCCAACTCACCTCGTAGTAATACTCGACCGCCACTCGGGCATGGACATAATCGCAAGCCTTGACCAGTGCAAGACAATATGCTCGAAGCACAAGGCTTACGAGGATCGATTCACTGGGCACGCGATCAAATCGAGCGTCCTCCATGGTCTTCGGCACTGGCGACAATAATTTATCAAGATAGATAGATGTGAAGAGGGTTTGTGAAAGCGGATGGCCCATATGCCATGCCATCTAGACACCCATCAGCACCGCCAAAATCCATATGAAAAGGGGCACACACCTCGTGGCAAAGTAGCTGATCCATCAAGCCCACAACCTCCTCTGGTGTCAATTCTCGTCGCACGTCGTAATCGTCCTCTAGCGCCTGCGCTTGATTTTCACCTGGGGCAATGTAACCGCTGTCCATCTTGGAGTCCATAATCTGTATCAATTCCATATCTCGTTAGCATCATCTTGCCCCGCATGTTTATTTCTGGTGTGACAAAAACGCACCTCCAATGCGCCCACGGCTTCGAAAAGGGTAAACGTCTCATCTTTCACAAGCTGGCCGGTCCGTAACTCTAATTTGACGAACAAATGTTAGTTCATAAATAAAAGTATCGGAATCGGCCTGTTGTGTCTTACTTGAGGCGGCCTCCGTGAACTCGGCCGTGATGTCGCGCCGAGGAGCGGACGGCGCAACTTGCCGCGGGGGCACTCGAACCTCGTTATTCGGCAGCATCGCAGAGGATTATGAAGCTCTGCAGTCTGCTGCCGGCTCTTGTCATGCAAAGAAAGAGTTCAACAAACTGAAGACGAAGTTTGGAAGAAAGCAAATGGATCGAGGGGTGAGTGGGGGAGGCTGTGGGCGGAAAAAGTGATTCGGGCAGGCAGACCGGGGACCTGTGACGTGCAGCTGCGGCCGACCATCAGATCACTCTACAACAATGCTTTCTTACGACGTTCCGAAAATCCATAGTTCAATGGCAGCAAGTATACGATGGAATATGAAAAGAAAAGCAGAGTGCGATTTCTAGGCCATGTCTATCCCAGACAGACCTGTATTGCTACACATGTACAAGTTGAATGCTTCCCCGGAGTCTCTTCTCCTTGGCCGCTCACGCCCGGGTCTATCATTTCTCCATCACACCCTCACGATCAAGGTATAGCTCGTTGCGAATTGGTCGTCTATTTCTCAGCGGCTTTGGCAACGGCCTCGTCGTTGGCCTCGGCGAGCGAGCGAACGTTGCCCTGCTTGCCGTTCTATTTATCGATTTTGGTCAGTTTCTCCGTCGAAGCTCCAGGAACTTGGTTTTCAACTGACCTCCCACTTGGCAAAACGAATGTCCATAAGACCGCGACGCTCAGCAGCAAGACGGGGCTCGTCCTTCAGGGACCGGCGCACCGTGCGGGCGGCAATCGCCAGGTAGCGGTTGTAGCTAGAACGATGTCAGAAAAACAATTGTCGAATGTATTGGTTTGCGGCGGCACGTACGTGAGGCCGGCGGCTTTCCAGGCAGCAGTCATTTTGAATGGTGTGGAAGGAGGGAGTGGTTCGATTGAAGGGGGTGAAAACGGCTTCGGGTGAGTTTGGAAGCGTTCGACTTCGGAGGATCGGGAGTGGTGATCACGTGTGTTGAAATATCACGTGTTAGAACTGTACTCATATTAACGTGACTGTTTGTGTCACGTGTAAATTTGGAATGAAGGAAATTAATTATTGTATCACGTAAGCTAATGCCATCGTCGGAGGGCATCCTCTACCTTGTCTCGACCACCTTTTGTTCATTCATTAGTAGCAAATGTCGCCAGTGCGTGGGCGCCAATCAGAATGTCTCTTATTCCAGGTGTAATTGATCAATGGTGACGTTGAGCTATGACAATAGGAATAGACAGGGGTATGTGATCCATGATTTCGGCGGATTTACATTGAGACCCTAGTCAGGGCGTAGCAACCCTGTGCTGTTTGGCATTGGGTCCCGCAGATGAGAGCTTCCGAATCAGTCTCTCCTCCATAGGCCTATTATCATGTATGTACTATATATGCCAATCAACGATTGGCTCCGACCACTTGCAAGCTCATTCTTACTGCATCGAATCCACCTTTCTCTGTGGAGCCAATTCTGTATTTGCTGCAACATTATGTTGACATTCTTCTAATATATTCCCATAATGTCATGTTAGCTCCAAGGAATTGAAGAGTGTTGAATTCGAACATCCCAAGTTGTTGGTCTCGAAGGCAAGGCATCGTGGCATACTCGATGTATCATCACGAAATAAGGCATAAGGCACCATAGCAGAGATCTTCTTGCTGTAATTTTGCTGTGCGTAGACTGTACAATTAGGTACAATTGGTATAGAAGTGGAAAGAGGTCCTGAATCGTAGTAGCTCTTGTGTCAGTCGTTTTGCTTCCCCAACGCGTCACTCCTGGGCCTGGGTCCACGATACATTTTGCACTGTTGACAATTACGCCCTCACTTATTAAGATTGAATAATTTGCTGTTCCCCCCATTGTAGCAGCAAAGTGATTTCAGTAACCTCAGCAGTTTCCTCTCACTTTTCTTCCTTTTCTTCTTCGCTCACCTCCCACTCGCACTCCATCCTCTATCCGTCACCCAGCCGCCCACAACAAGCTCGAAGGTCAGTGAACCAATATTTCCATGTTTTACCTCGCTTCCTCCGCCATATTCGGCTGGTTTCTTGGTCCATAGCAGAAAGACAGACAACGGGATTCGCGTGGTAGATCATGAAGGAGGAAGGGAGCCAATGTCAAGCCTGATATCTTGATCCTTCTGCCCTGAATGATGCCACTCCGCCTTTTGTCTCTTCTGGCCATGCAACAGTCAACGTCTGAAAGGATCGTGGAACATGTTCTCAGCGTTGTGGTTTCATGCTCAGGCTCAAGAATTTCTATCAAACCTCCTCAAAACATTGACGATCTAACTTTTTGCATGTACAGGCCATCCTCGGTATCCCAAAATGGCCCCAAATGGCAAAAAGTCAGGCGACAAGAAGTCAGGCGATAAAAAGCATAGTAGCTCAAAAGGCCGCACCTTGGTCCGCTGGGACAGTAAGTACTCCATTCGTGCTGCAATTTGCTTCAGATAAGGCTTTTGTCTTGTCTTGCTTTTGTCACTTTTCTCTGCGGATGCTATCTGCTCAAGTCCTTCTTTGCATCGGAATTTCCTTCTGGGTTTGCACATACAATATGCTTTCATGCAGTATAAAAAGTTATATCATGAAGAAATAGTGATCTGTGGCCAGGGCTGACCGAAAAAAGATGATCTAGACATTCAGCTCTTGCTTACCGTCCAGCAAGCATGCAACGCTAATGCCGTGAAGATCCCATGGGAGCGAGTTGCCGCCACTATGGGCCCAAAATTCACTGAGGGCGCAATCATTCAGCATCTTTCAAAGGTCCGTACTCGCCGTGAGAATGAAGGGAAGCCTAACCCACCGTCTCTACGCCGCTCAGTGCCAGCTTCTACATCGGCAATGACTCCTGTATCGGCATCTGGAGGGGCTGGTAGGAAGAGAAGAAAGACGGTCACCCCCAAGCGTGATGACGCGCCCCCGCCAAACGATATCGATGGAGAAGACGATGGCTATGACACCGATGAGAGTGAAGACCCTTCGTACTCAAACAAACCCAAACGTGCCAAGCGTACCAAGACCCCGCGCAAGAGGGAGACCAAGACCAAGAGACGAAATACCACTACCAATGGTGTCGAATTTGATACCGATGATGAAAACACCCTGTTGTGCGCTGGAGCACCCTTCCTTGCACTGAAAGGTGATGCTGAGTCCTATTCTGGATCTGATGGCTCTCGTGCTGAGTCCGCAGAGGGTGACGTCGAGGTAGAGGATATCTCGCAGGAACACGCCATAGAACAACAGTCAATGGTGGTTTCTCTGGGCGTCGACCCAGCTGCACTGCAGAATCTGCAGGATACCGGCAACATGATGCCTGTTATGCCCACGAGCGCCCTGGATCAGCATCTTTCGCCCTGGCATCAAGGCCATTTCCAGGATCATACTTCTTACTTTGGTCATCAGAATCCACACCTGGGTCAGTACGGGGGTATTCCGTATGGGTACCCCTCGCCTCAACCACTGACCACTTTCTCCGGTGGCCCTGCATACATGCCTCATGATGGTTACGACTCCAGTATTGATCCCAGAACCATCACGAGTCCCGGTGTCCAATTTGCGCCGCAGCGAGGCGGATATATGGCAGATTTCACCCACTTCGCAGATACCTTTCAACAGCAGTCAGTTCAAATGCCTGTTCAACAGATTACGGGGCAGCGTGCGGGGTCTAATGAGTTGCCTGACCAGCACGTGTTGGACTTCATGTGGACCAGATCGGAAAATGGCGAAGGTAATGAGTTGGAGTGAACAAAGGCAGTGTCTGTGGTTTAAACCTTGACGACTTCAAGTGAAAGAGGTCAATTAGTTAGGGGTGGCCAGCAGTCACTTGCAGGAGTATGTGAGAAAGTCGCAATTCTCGGCCTTCTTTTCTTCGCCGATATTGTGAGCCACAGTCTGGCCTCAGGTACTCAGGTGGATTTCTCGTTTCTGACAGTTTTGAATTGTTTTCGGGTATTTTCGACTGCTTTAATTCGAAGTTTCATTCGATTTGAGATTAGGTAGGGTGTCTGGTTTTCCGTCACTTTGACGTGAGGACGGCGTCGGGTTTGGGTATTGATGCTGCGGATTTTCCAGGGGCCAGGCAGTCAGGGTTAAGGATTGAGAGAGCTTAAAATTTCTGTGGCGTCATGATTTTCACTGCCCCTGGGTTTTGAATATTTTCTGAAATATTTCGAGCAACTTGAAGCCAAAGTTAGTTAACAGATTAGCAATTCCACTCTTACATATTATTATTCATCTGAGCATTAATGAGAAACTAAAGACCCATAGACCTGACAGGTTCGCGGCGCCTAGCATTTACCATCTAGTAGGTGATTTCCTGGTCTGCTTAGATCAACTCGGACATTCCCAAAGCTTTCCGGCATAGAGCGCACGCAAGTGCGACCCTTGAACCTTCGAGAAATGAATATATAGATACAGTACTGTAGAAGATTTCTTTGGAACCCTGAGACGTCTCTTTTAGTGAACAGTATCTTTTAACTTCATTAATTAGTTACATTAGTTGAAGAAAGACTACTCCGGGGATGCTTACCTCAGGTGTGCAACGGAGGTTGTCGTAATGAATTGCACATAGTACCTCGCAACCGTGGAATTGTACACCGAAACCCGAGTATATATTTTGCCGAACATAGCCGGTTCAACTATGATGGTGTTGCTTCAACGCTCAGTTATCCACGAATAAATTGAGAGACTACAGCATCAATTCATTAGTTTTTGCAAAGATAGAGCTCAGCCTTGAAAAAGTAAATAACTATATCTAGGTATAGGTAGTCGCGTAGGATAATGCCGCTGACCCGGCCCTCGGGTAGTCAGGTGACCTTCTAGCTCTTTCTGCCGCCAAGCTCTGGGGTTGGGGAAAGAGAAGCGCTTGGAAAATTTTCGAGACTTTGGCTTCATCTCCAGCTTCTATCCTCCCATCCTTCCTACCCTCCCGTGTCCAATTCCATCGGGCATTTCCTCTCCTCTATAATTTACCTTATTGTTTTTAATTCCGTTTGATCTTTTTTGTTTTACCTGAGCCATGCAGCGCGCGCTCTCTTCCCGGACTTCGGTCCTCTCCGCCGCTTCCAAGCGTGCCCCTTTCTGTCGCTCGACCCTGAACCTGCAGCAGCAGCGTTTCGCCCACAAGGTACGTAACGCCTTCAATTCATCTCCGATGATGCCTCCAATTACCTCCGATCCCAATTTCCGTCGATTCCGAAGAATCCCTGACTGACCGCCAACAGGAGCTTAAGTTTGGCGTTGATGCTCGTGCCAGCCTCCTCAAGGGTGTTGACACTCTCGCCCGTGCTGTCACCTCCACTCTTGGTCCCAAGGGCCGCAATGTCCTGATCGAGTCCGCCTACGGTTCCCCCAAGATCACCAAGGGTAGGTCTTTTCGTGATTGCTGTTCAGAATCAACAAACAAGCTAACCTTTTATTTTTCTTCATCAAACAGACGGTGTTACTGTCGCTAAGGCCATTCAGCTGCAGGACAAGTTCGAGAACCTCGGTGCCCGTCTCCTCCAGGATGTCGCCTCTAAGACCAACGAGCTCGCTGGTGACGGTACCACCACCGCTACCGTTCTTGCCCGCGCTATCTTCTCCGAGACCGTGAAGAACGTTGCCGCTGGTTGCAACCCTATGGATCTGCGCCGTGGTATCCAGGCCGCCGTTGATGCCGTTGTCAAGTACCTGCAGGAGAACAAGCGAGACATCACCACCGGTGAGGAGATCGCCCAGGTTGCTACCATCTCCGGCAACGGTGACGTCCACGTTGGCAAGCTCATCTCCACTGCTATGGAGCGTGTCGGCAAGGAGGGTGTTATCACTGTCAAGGAGGGAAAGACCCTGGAGGATGAGCTCGAGGTCACCGAGGGTATGCGCTTCGACCGTGGTTACACCTCCCCCTACTTCATCACCGACCCCAAGTCCCAGAAGGTTGAGTTTGAGAAGCCTCTGATTCTGCTGTCTGAGAAGAAGATCTCCGCCGTTCAGGACATCATTCCCGCCCTGGAGGCCTCCACCACTCTGCGTCGCCCTCTGGTCATCATTGCCGAGGACATTGACGGTGAGGCTCTCGCCGTTTGCATTCTGAACAAGCTCCGCGGTCAGCTCCAGGTTGCCTGCGTCAAGGCCCCTGGCTTCGGTGACAACCGCAAGAGCATTCTTGGTGACCTTGGTGTTCTCACCAACGGTACCGTCTTCACTGACGAGCTTGACATCAAGCTCGAGAAGCTCACCCCCGAGATGCTTGGTTCCACTGGCTCCATCACCATCACCAAGGAGGACACCATCATCCTCAACGGTGAGGGCAGCAAGGACAACATTGCCCAGCGCTGTGAGCAGATCCGTGGTGTCATGGCTGACCCCACCACTTCCGAGTACGAGAAGGAGAAGCTCCAGGAACGTCTTGCCAAGCTCTCCGGTGGTGTTGCCGTCATCAAGGTCGGCGGTGCCTCCGAGGTTGAGGTTGGTGAGAAGAAGGACCGTGTCGTTGATGCTTTGAACGCCACCCGTGCTGCTGTTGAGCAGGGTATCCTTCCCGGTGGTGGTACTGCTCTGCTCAAGGCCTCCGCCAACGCTCTTGACAACGTCAAGCCCGCCAACTTCGACCAGCAGCTCGGTGTCAGCATCATCAAGAGCGCTATCACCCGCCCCGCCCGCACCATTGTTGAGAACGCTGGCCTCGAGGGCAGCGTCATCGTTGGTAAGCTCACTGATGAGTTCGCCAAGGACTTCAACAAGGGCTTTGACAGCTCTACCGGCGAGTACGTTGACATGATCGCCAACGGTATTGTCGACCCCCTGAAGGTTGTCCACACTGCCCTGGTTGATGCCAGCGGTGTCGCCTCCCTGCTCGGTACCACCGAGGTTGCCATCGTTGATGCTCCCGAGGAGAAGGGCCCTGCCGGTCCCGCCGGTGGCATGGGTGGTATGGGCGGTATGGGCGGCATGGGCGGCGGCATGTTCTAAACGCCTCCCCTGTTCCCCAATAACCTTGTGCCTTCCTGACGACTTCCTTGCGCATCTCTTGCATCGCCGTGTCTCCCTCTACGGCCCTGGATCTTTGTAATGTTTTGGAGTTACTTCCTATACCTGTATTCTTGTGTGTCTTTTTATTTCCCCTCTCCACTCTCCTGGGGCTCGAAAAAGGTTCCGGCGCAAACCTGTATCATATTTTTCTCTCAGTCTATGTGGTTCTAATGCATTAAAATTTGATGCGATGATGTTTTACATTTTTTTTTTTTTTTTTTTTTTTTTTTCCATATTTCCCTTTTCCAAAGCAGAATTAGGACAGGACTGCGGAGTAGAGGATTGGGTATTATTGGGTCGGGGACTTTTCTCCGGGGATGACAATTTCAATGTCGATCGGCTAAGAGGTTGTAAGTGGACCAGGGAATAAGGATCGTCCCGCATTGACAGATCTGCATAAACTCTAGTACTTACAGGTGATTGTTTATAGATCATAGGAGACCACCTAGTTAGCATGCGCCTAGATACCATAAAGAAACACAGCATTCCAATGGTGGTGGCAAATAATTCCGAGGTCCATAGCTCGGGTAATTTGACCTTGAAAGTGAGGATTGCGCGCCATCGGCGGTCTAGACTAGACCCGAGGAAAAACCCCCGTGTTTGCTTTTCTCTTTCCCTTTGTACCACTTTCTCCCAATTTTGGTCTAACTTCCGAGAACCACTTTTTTTCTTCTTCTGCTGACACTCCGGGGAAGTAACCAGCTGTGGGACTTGGCAAGTCGGTTATGCATACGAGCGCGCCCACACGATTTCAGCCTTGCTGTACCTCTCATCTGCGAGGCGGGACTTGCTTCTCACCGGACCCCCGAGTCACGGGACATTTGTACGAATAACACTATCGGGATTTACCCCCTCAACTGCGACTTTGACTGTCAGACAAGAGTGGAGCACGTCACTCTTACTTTATCCCCACATCGTGGTGGTTGACATATTCACCGTCAGCGACTATGGCCGTAGAAATGGGCCCAGCCGCCGACGTTGATCTCTACCAGGCTCGTGCAGCCCTGCAGCACCAGCAGAGCCCGGAGGTTTCGGTTCCACGGGAATTTATTACACAGATTGTTGAGGAGCTCATCCAATGTCGCGAGGCTCACTCATCCATTGCCGAGATCGAGCGGGAGTGCTCGCATCTTCGGAAAGAATTACGCAAACACACCCACATCAACGAGGCGTTTCAGAAGGAACTGGGTGAGATTGGAGAAATCATCACTCAAGTTGCTCATGGAGACTTGTCGCAGCGGGCCCGCATGCACCCGCTGGAGATTTCGCCTGATATCGCTACCTTCAAACAGACCATCAATACGATGATGGATCAGTTACAGGTCTTTAGTCAGGAGGTTTCCAAGGTTGCTCGCGAGGTCGGCACCGATGGAGTCCTGGGCGGACAGGCGAAGATCGAGGGCATCAAGGGTATCTGGGAGGAGCTGACCGTCAACGTCAACGCCATGGCGAACAACCTTACGACCCAAGTTCGCGATATTACCACGGTGACGACAGCGGTCGCGCAGGGTGATCTCACACGCAAGGTGCAAGCAGATTGCAAGGGTGAAATCTTGCTGTTGAAAAACATTATCAATTCTATGGTGGATCAGCTACGGGAGTTCGCCTTCGAGGTCAGCCGTGTCGCTCGAGAGGTGGGATCAGACGGAACCCTTGGCGGCCAGGCTGTGGTTCATGGCGTGGAAGGAACTTGGAAGAACTTGACCGATAATGTGAATCGCATGGCCTCAAATCTAACCCAGCAAGTCCGCGAAATTGCCAAAGTGACGACCGCTGTGGCCCGTGGAGATTTGACTATGAAGGTGACTGCAGATGTCAAGGGTGAAATCTTGGATCTTAAGTTGACGATCAATTCAATGGTCGACCGACTCAACCAGTTCGCCTTCGAGGTCAGCCGAGTGGCACGCGAAGTGGGAACAGATGGTACACTAGGTGGCCAAGCACAAGTGGAGAATGTTGAAGGACAATGGCGGAACCTCACAGACAATGTCAACACCATGGCTCAGAATCTCACTATGCAAGTCCGGCAGATCTCCAATGTGACCCAGGCCATTGCGCGTGGTGATCTGAGCACTAAGATCGAGGTCCATGCCCAAGGTGAAATCTTGACACTGAAGGAAACGATCAACAGTATGGTGGATGGTCTGAATCAATTTGCACGTGAATTGAAAGGCGTGGCACGAGACGTGGGCGTGCGAGGACAACTGGGCGGACAGGCGAATGTGAACGGATCTCTTGGTATTTGGAGGTCGATCAGCGAAGATGTCAATACTATGGCAGACAACCTGACATCGCAAGTCCGAGCCTTTGGAGAGATCACAACAGCAGCCATGAGCGGCGATTTTACATCACTCATCACGGTATCTGCATCTGGTGAGATGGATGACTTGAAACAGAAGATCAATAAGATGATTTCGAGCCTACGAGATAGTATTCAACGCAATACTGCCGCTCGCGAAGCGGCTGAGTTGGCTAATCGCAGTAAATCTGAGTTTTTGGCGAATACCAGGTTTGTCTTCGCCCTCAAATCTACAGATGAACATGTTGAAACTAACAGACGACAGTCACGAAATTCGTACTCCAATGAATGGAATTATCGGACTGACCAGTTTAGCTCTCGATACCGACGATCTCCCCGCCTCTGTTCGCGAAACACTCAGTATGGTGCACAGCCTGGCTTTCAGTCTTTTAACTATTATCGACGATATTCTGGATATCTCCAAGATCGAAGCAAACCATATGAAGATTGAAAAGACCGCATTCAGTTTGAGTACTACCGTGTGGAGAGTGCTGAAAGCCTTCGACGTACAAACAGTCGAGAAAGCTTTAAGCTTGATTTACTCGGTCGACGGCAGTGTACCAGACTACCTCATCGGCGATGCCTATCGAATCCGACAGGTGATGATGAACTTGGTTGGCAATGCTGTCAAATTCACCGACGACGGCGAAATACATGTTTGCATCAAACACATCCAGGATAGCACTTGCGCACCTGACGAAGCTACCTTCCAGTTCTCGGTTTCCGACTCTGGCATTGGAATCGAACAAAGTAACCTGGGCCTTATCTTTGACAAGTTCCAACAAGCGGACGGGTCCATGACACGACGCTTCGGGGGCACCGGTCTGGGACTCGCTATTTCTAAGCGTCTCGTCTCCCTCATGGGTGGTGATATCTGGGTTACGTCCAACCCGGGCAAGGGAAGCACATTCGGGTTCACTTGCAAGTTGAAAGTCAGTGAGCCTCCAATAGCTCTCGCCGAGCAAATCCTGCCTCATCGAGGTTGCCAGTTCTTGGTTGTTGGCGATGCGGAAAAGACTGGATGTCCGGCTGTCCGCATGCTACAAGAGCTAGGCCTCCAGGCCGTGATAGTAACACAAGAACAAATCAGTTTGGGTCAATGCAACGGGAGCATAAGCCTTGCCTTTAGCGCGATGATTGTCTCAACAATGGAGGATGCCGTCGCGCTGCGCGCATGTGGCCACTTCTCGCACAACCCTCTTATCTTCATGGCCCCCGATTTATCCTTGCCAATGAAGACCGCCGGCGCACTCGGTATAACGGCCTATATCACCACTCCTTGCCGCCCTATCGATCTTTGGAATGGAATTGTTCTTGCTATGGGGAACCGTCAAAACCATACCCAACCCGGATATACGCGCCCTCTCTCAATCCTGCTCGCTGAGGATAATGAAGTCAACGTGAAGGTAGCCGTCCGTATTCTCGAAAAAGCCAAACACCACGTCACTGTCGTCGGAAATGGACTTCAAGCTGTGAAAGAGGTCAAATCGCGACGCTATGACGTGGTTCTGATGGATGTCCAGATGCCCATTATGGGCGGCTTTGAGGCAACTCAGACGATTAGGCAGTACGAGAAGCTGCAGCAACTCCCTCGAACACCCATTGTCGCGTTGACGGCGCACGCCATGCTTGGAGATCGCGAAAAGTGCCTTGAATCTGGCATGGATGATTATGTCTCCAAGCCCTTGCAACCCAATCATATGATCGAGACGATCCACAAATACTCAGCGATGAACATCTCATCATTACCAACAGGGAAGACTTGAAGGAGTTATTTGCTTGGTCACCATTTCTTTTTCTTGAACTTCATGCCCTCACAGGCCGACTCTGAGTCTCGTATACGCCTCGCTCTCAGGACAGATTCTATCCCATCATTTCCGCGCGCCAATTTTACAATGACTTCCATTTGATGTGTTAAGCTGGATTTGTTAGACCGCAATCCTTTTGAATCGCATATCTGGGTGCATCCTTTCCTTAAACATCGTTCGGGCTCCGTGCACCTTCTACTCTTGATTATTTGGTGGTCATTTTCATCAGTAAATCATACTGGAATCGAAGAGCTATAGTCACCATGTCCACCCATCACCTATCAGTACATATCGCTAGGGATGGAACTTGGGAAGGTATCAACTAGGAAGATCAATGCCTTATTTCTTTCCTACAATACAAAGATCTATTATTATGATGCATGACCAGTGAGAATCCTTTCATCGGAACTTCGAAAAGCAAGTCGGGAAACGTGTTTCCATGTGTTCTAGAGACACCCGCTACAGGAGTTGGCCATAAGGGTAACCGATCAAACTGCCAGGTGCAGGACAAACGGCGAATCAAACGGAAGAAAATCAAATTTGAATCCAAGCTCAAAAGAATTTATGATAAAACAATCAAACGAACATCAGAAACGAAATCCGATTAAAATTAGGCCCATCAAAGATAGGATATAAATGTAGAGGATCCATAAAATACAAGCAGTCCAACGCAAAACAAACATAAGAATAAATGACGCTTCCTTCCTTAGACCCACGCTTAGGCGAGAGCTTTTCGTCATCTGTAGTACCGTGAGAGACGCCCAGCCGAGCTCTGAGCTGGGGTATTTTGTTGAGGAGAGCGATTCCTTTTTCATTGAGACTTTCATGTCTCTGCTTAGGGTAGTAAGTCTACGGTCACCAGTATGGAGGCGCAGTGTCAGCGGTAAAGCCGGTTAGACTTAGGAATCAAAAGTAGCTTATCATTGTAAGGCTCAAGGAAAAGACAAATGATTAGAAAAGATCAAAAAGATCAAAAAGATCAAACATAAATCGGAAACGGGAAGGCAAAAAACCTGGGTCGTCTGAACATGCATACGTTCCGAGCCGTCACGCCGCGTAAGATTGGGAGGACAATCGACGCCACAAAAGCATGACAAACCCGTTAACCCTAAAAATATCAATCCCACAAAAACACATAGGCCGTGAAGGCATTTCACATCATGGATAGATCAGCCCTTAAATAAGGAAACGGTCGTCCTTGTAATAGATCTTGTCCTCCCCAGGGACGAGATAGCGGTATCCAGGCTCGCCATATTCGACGTCATCCATGCTCTCAAGGTGGGCAGAGTAACGGTGGAACTGACAACCGTACTTGGCGGCAAAGCTGGCGTCCTCTCGGCTGTTTGTGAGGAAACACAAGATGATCAGTACATGATCTCATGAAGGAAAATCAAATTGATATGCAGATGGAGAAGGAACTCACGCAATACGCTCGAGATCCTGACAAAATAAATCGATGAGGGACCCTTTGTCAGAGCGAATGGGCTCCATCCGATATTTGGCTTCACGCCAGCCACCAGTCAGCACCCACCGTTTAAGAACATTGACACTAGTGTTCCAAGCGTGGTTCATATTGTGGCGCATAGGGCGAACAACTGTATAACATCAGTATGTATGCAACTGGCCGCGAATACCACGGGACAGAAGCAACCAAGGAATTGTCAGGAATAAAGCTGGATACACTTACTTGCGCCGTGGTGTGCAGTTCGGAGATGGGCATGCATCTCGGAACCATTCTTTGCTTTGAATCCACACATAATATCGGGCAATACAACGATGATATCACATCTAGTAAGATAAGTTATGATCTTGTTGAATGATTCAAGAATGGAAGGAGATGCTTACATGCCGGAGTTATGGGGATTGATAAGTAGCATCTGGCGCGGTGGGCGAGGAATCACCAGCTTATGTTTGGTCTGAGCGGTGCTTTCAACTCCAAGTGCAGCCTGAGACCCCACAAGCTCCATAAACTCCCCCAAGATGCACTCAATGTCAATAGGCGGCTTCACGACGACCTCGTCTTCGTCCTCGCCCTCGTCATCTGAATTAACAGGTGTCTTCAACACAACGTTGGGGTCGAACATGGGACCTGATTGATGTTAGGAAATAATTGGGGGTTTTGCACACGCGTCATGTAAGATTATTGACTTACCATGGGTAAATCCCCAGTGCGGATGCGGGTTTCGGGCATTCAGAACCTCGGGGTTATCGAAGTCCTTCCGCGTCAACTGCATAGGCGTGGTATCCGTGCCAACCATGCACCGCCTCTTCATGATCGAACGTTTATGAAAGGGAAAAAATGGCGGGGGTGTGGTAGGCGTCCGAAAGACGCGATAGACAGACCACAGGAGAGGAAAGGAAGAGAAATGAAAACAAGCGGACCGATTTCTTAAAACGCCCGGAAAACGCCGTTTTCTCTTTTGATACGGTCAGGTAGCGGTGCACCTCATGTTTCGTTCCACAGAAGTACTCTTTAGTCTCATTTCAATAATGACATTACACTGGAACCACACGCATCGTTTCGCCCAATGAATCAGACTCCTCGGTTCTGTGATTTGCAAGCTTGTAGTTCTTCCATTCAACCTCCAAGACTGAGTTCTTGTCACCTTGCCTTCGTTTCCAAAAATCTTCGTCGAACTTAACCCGATGCTGCTCATAACCTAGATACTGGTCGAATAGTTTCCGTAATCTCGAACCCTCGACAGGCATAAGAGAAGGCATAAGACCCTTGATTGAACTCCAATGTAGAAAGCTTTTGACAGGATTGGAAACAAAGTCTTTCCATAGACCGTGGCCAATCTTACGAGACTTATTCACGGAGTCTCGTAGCTTTTCGCTAAATGCCATTAGGAGGGCTACAGCGATGATGGCAAAAGATGCCGGGCCTGGGTAACAGGTTAGTGATTGAGATTGCTTGAAGATAATCATTCGAGATCGTGTAAGCCGTACCAGCAATCGCAAACATCTCGCCCAGTGGGAGATTGGTATCTTGATCACTCCATTCCCGTGCATTCATGCCAAAGAGGGACGTGAAAAAAGATAGTGGTAGGAAACTAAAAAGATTAGTCACATGGTAAACAGATATGAACTACCGGGTCATACATTACTGTGAAGATGGTAAAAACCATCAAAGATCTTGATTGGTTTTGCGTCTCCTCTGCCTGCCAGCGTGCCATCTTGGCCTCGTCAACGTTTGCCTGTTTCTGCTTGAGATCTAGCAAGGTTTCCACCTAAGCATAAGTTGGTGTGATTAGTATATGACAGCTGAAGAAGAAATTTAATGACCAGGTAGCGGTGATCTTACTGCTTTTTGAGCAAGGTGGCTGTTCTCTTTCATCTCGCTGAGTTGCGATCGATATTCGTCAATCCTTAGCTGAGCAGCATCAAGAAACATTTTCCCGCAACCATCTCGATCGAAATATTTCACCATGCTCTTTATGACAGTATCTTGCTGATCAAGAAGCTTTATTATAGTCGAAAGCTCGTCCTCGATATCCCGGAGTTCCAGCAGAACAGACAAGTCATCTCGGTTCCGTCGTGCCGACTGGCGATCTCGTTGATCTCGTTGCGCAGCTGTCATAAATCTTCCTTCGGCAGTTCGATCATGATCAGCAGGTCTGTTGGCAAAACCGCGGTTACGAAAACGCTTGAAGGATTTGGTCACTGATTCCGTCTGCATATTTGGGTTTAGTATCTATCCACAAACTGTCGTGCGGAATTAGGAGCATACCAAAATACTGATGGACTCCTCGAAAATTCTTAGAACCTGCAGATCATGATGGAGGGTCCGTTCGAGCAGAACAGTCACAGCATGCAACATGATCAGGGCCGCAAGATCACCCGCTGTTTCAAATCGCCGCGCCAAATCTCCATTCAACTCGTTATAGATACTGCTATGCAGATTCGACTGCTCGAAAAGCTTGCCTTCGGAGGTAGTGGCTTCTTGATTGGGGAAGAACGTCACAATGGTCTTCTGGTCAACAATCCACAGCCACAGCTGATCAACCATTAGTACGTTACCATCCATGAACTCCGCTGGCTCCGATTCCTCAGGGTCGTCGCTTGCGGCGTCAAGATACTCTCGAAGCTGTTCATCCAGACGAGCCGGTCTGCGCGTGCGCTTCCACAGCATCTGATCGTCATCTCGAGCCACTGTCGACCGTAGATTTGGGTATCCGAATTGATCGAGTGTACGTCTAAAATGAATGGGTGGCTCGCAACCGAGGTACTGCCAGATAAGTTGGGCCTCAAGGCTGGATTTAGCAATTCGGGGTGGGACCGGATGAGAGCGACCCTGTCGTAGTCTATCCTCGACTACCTTGCGACGCTGTATGAGGTTGCGGTATGTGTCCCAATGAAGCTGGATGGGTGGTTAGTAGAAACTCAGGGACGCTTGCATATTACTCACGTAGGGCGTCTGCAAAACTATTAGTATGATGTCCTTCGCTATTTTGGCACGATGAATAACATCGAAATTAACTCACATAAAGCGCCAGCTGGGGATCTGCGGATGCCCCGGCCTTCGGACTTTGAGAGACATCCATCTGGCGTGCATGGATACATTGCGGCCGAACAAACCGAGCATGCGGCTCCAAATGTCGAGCTCGATTAAGATTAAGATACCAATTCTTGTCATTGATGAATTTTCTCACGCTGCATATATGTCACGGGTTAGTGGAGAAGCCTCCCAACACAAGGAATGAATCTTACAAATTTTCTTCATGGCGATCTTGACATGCCCGCCGAATAACTTGCGATACCCATCCCGGATGAGTATAGGGGACATGGATCCAAAGTAGCTTTTCAGTGCCGGGCTCGGGCCGATCAAAGCGAGGAACTGAACGAGGTATATCCGGCGCATCTGCATTTTGATTGATACGATCCCGCGTCGAAGCAGGAATCGCTAAGAACCCTGCGCTTTGCGGCGGCGATGTTGAGCTCCTATAGTTTGTCAATAGCAGTTTTTCATTTTTGTACCTCGAAGGAAATCTTACGATGCTGGACGTGAACTGCTTCCTTGTGAGCTAACATCAGAAGTATTGCGCCTGTGAGCACGCAGCTGTGTCAGACCCAACGCTTTGGCAATCGAAGTTTTCCGTTTCCGCTCTATCGGCGGCGGAGGACTTTCGCTTGTAGGACGATCGCGATCGAAATACCCATCCCTCCCTGCTTCTGTGATATGGATCTCTGGGGAAAAGTGATTTTCACCCGCTATGAAGCTGCGAATTTGTCGCATAGGAGGTCGTGAAGTTCTAGGCATGGCAGCAGTATGGTGAGTTTCCTGCTGATTTTCATGGTCTTCTGGATGGTCATCATTCTCCGTGTCTGCCGGGAGGTGTGTAAAAGAAGGGCGGCTGTCAAAACTGCTTAGAGAGGAATCATCTAGTCCAAGAGGCTGAATACGCTTCAAGCGCCCTCGGAGGCATGCGCCTGGACCCTTGGCCAGATATTCCTCTAAAGGCACGTGGGTTGACCACATCTTTAGTGGAGTATCGTCACTGACACCCAGAGCAGCATCCTCAAAGAACCCGTTAATTTGCACCATTACCGCCTGTTCGACGTTCAACGGAGTATCTTCGTGACCGGAAAGCTCCACGGCTGAATTGACCGCACCGGCTAGCTCGATCAAGAAAGCGTCGCGGAACGCCTCTTGGCCTTCGAAGGTTGCTGTTCCGGCATGGTCTGTCGCCATAGGGGTTTCCTTTTCATGTTCGATGTCCAATAATCCAGATCTTATGGAGGTTATAGGAGCATGGAATTCCATGGTATTACCAAGCTCCGCATCCGATATAGTCAGAGTAGAGTCAATAGTTTCCAGAAATGACCAGACTTTCATATCCGCCGACAATGCTTTGAACTGGTTAGAGAGATGCCACAGTTTCTCTTGTCGGGGACGGAATTGCTCTCTTAGCGAGGCAGGAATGTCCTGCTCAAGATGAAGCAAATGACCGATACTTGGCATATACTCTTCTGCGAATAAATAACTCGAGCCCTGGTGTGGTGTGGCAAAGAAGGCGATGCCATAGCAGCTGGTCAGGATAGCCTGGCTCGGCTCGGCCCGTGAAGCTAGAGACAAACACGCCTTCGCCACGAGGCCTCCTGTGCTATGGGAGAGGAAGAATAGTGGCCGACGACTACTGTGATGCCTCCGCTCGTCCATAAGGAGGTTCAATAAGCGTTGACCAAGACCCTCGATTGTGTCATGTTCATGTAGGTGCCCATGGTTGTACAATAGGATTCGTGCCCTAGGCATCCGATGAATCAACTCGGTCCGGAGCCAGGGTGTTTTTGAGCCCGCTGCAGTCCATGTTCTTTGATGATGTGCTCCAATAGGTGGTATGGCAACAATGCTATAAACCAGTTAAAATGGCCCCCAACGAGCGGGGAAAAGGGCCACATACTCCACGTTTGTTTTCGACACGGCTTGGATATGCTCGAACCATGGTGGACGCCCCGACCCGGACGATGGCGGCATACTTTATGCTTATCGGGTAGAATGGTGCTACCGTCGCAAAGGATATCCCTGGAAGACGGAAAATACAGGGATGGGTCCATCTTAAATCAGGGGAACTTTCAGCCTCAACGATCAGATGAACACGCCCGGCGCGCATACTAGTTCGCCCTATTCCGGCTGTGCCCGCTGATCACTGAGTCAAAGCACCCGGGCTAAATAAATACGAACTAATTACAGTCTCTTGTCAGTAACTCTACGGTGAATCACACCTAGTCTGGTGATATTACGGATTCAAGCTACGTAATCAGATTCCCGTACTAGATTTCCTTTCTTGCTAAGTCCGTTTTAGACAACAACCAGACAGATACCCACGACTCACATTGACCAGACGCGGGTAGTGACTCAGGGCTACGCAGAACACAGATCTCAGGCGTGTACCAAATACCTTGACCTCGAAAGCCACTATACGTAAAACGTGACCTTCGGACATTTCGTACCCAGGAACAGGTGATATGCTTTTCAAGTTGAGATTGTTTCCGAATAGAAAACCTTATGTACACAGGGGCTTTTTTGATCCCAGAAAACCACTCCACATATGCATTAAACAAAAGAAAACCGATGCGTACTCTATCATTTGGCTGATGCGGTATCAAAAATGAACGCCAGAAAGAACAAGAGAGTAGGGATGGGACGACCGAAGTGCGATCGCATGCATTAATAGTACAGACGAGAGGAGGATTAGGGAGTTTCGTGTCTGCGCTCATTGACCTCTCGGGCCATGCGCTTCCCCAGTTCATAGGTAGAGATCATGATTGCGCAGGCTGGCGCAACCTTAAGACAGCGTGCTGACCAGCCACGGAAGAGTCCAGCCATACCTTCTTCACGGAAAATATGGAGGAGGAATTTAGGGAGGGGGAGTTGCTCGGGGACAACAGCCTTTGCCACTAAAGTATTTCGCTGAGCGGTAGGAACGTGATCGTCCATGTGTCTGTAGACCTGCTGTCGCGTCTTGCCGACGTCGAAAGGCGTTGTCACCAATGCTGCGACGGATCCAGAGGTAGCACCGGCGATGAAGCTGTCCAAGAAGGCAGTGGCACTGGTGGGAGCTTCGATTTCAGCACTCGAGATATTCGGCGTCTGCTGACGTGCAAGCTCCAGATTTAGCTTGACCTTCTCATACCCCCACCAGTAGAGACCAGAAAATGGAACATCGCGCCACATTGTCAGCGACAGTCCACGCCAAAGAGATGAGTAGCCTTTGGCAATTGTCATCTGGTGTAGCCCTTGTAAAGTGGCCTTGAAGTGACCAGCACCGGTACCGGGGGTAGCCTGGAGACGGGTACGGAACATCTCGACAGGACTGGTGGCGGCAGCAGCTGTTGTTCTCGCGATCGCACCCCCGATGAATGGCGCATAGGCTTCTGGGACAAGCTTTCTTACTGGGCTGTTCTCGTCGGTGCGCAGCCAGTCATACCCAGCGAAATAGATTATATTAGCCGGAATTCCCATCATCAAGGTCGCGCTGAGACCGCGCCATAATGTAGAAACACCCTCGTTCCGAGCAATCTTCCGTAAACCATCCAAAGTCGATGTAAATGTTCGCCGCTGTGTCTCCTCGACGGCGCAGTCTAGCGCGGGATGTGCCTGATTCCCCATCGTACTGGCCTGGGGGCCTAACATGCACATCTGCGCATTGTCTCCAACCCAAAACACTTCACGGCAGCACGAGGTAATCCCGATATTAGCAGGGAGGTTCTTTAGAGACTGGGTTGTATGTGTGGTATATTGTGAAGTGTTCACCATCTGTGATTGCGATTGTAAACGAACTCGTACGACATCGAGAGGGGTGACTGTGATAAATATTAGTTATGTCATACATTTCGAGGACCTTGCCGAGCAGGTTCTCCAACTCACCGAGAAGTCCGGTCAAAATGTTTCCCGCTGAGGCAGATATCATTCGCTGTCCGATGGAAATATCATGATTCAGAGGCGCAACGGCAGTGGCCGGCGTAGCGCCCGGCACTACTGGAGTGGACATGGGAGTCTCGTCAAACTGGGACGCCCATGACGCCCCCGGAGCGGAGTCGATCTCGTTAACGAATTCGCTGCCAGGAGGACCTGGAGGGGTATGAGTATCGGTGAAATCCAACCCGGTCGGCATTCAATCGATAGGCACCGCCTGGAGATAGTTTGGCGATACTAGGTGCTTACGACGCGAGTGGTTGAGGTGTGGAAGAATGATGCGTCACGACCAGAAGATTTTCGGGGTTTTGCGGGAGGTGGCGAGCGGAGATAAGCTTCCCGGCTTTCTCTTTCTCTCTTCTACACAGCTCACCGAGTCTCGAGATCTCACACTTCGGAGATCGACCAAAAACTTTTCTTTCACGATCAATGGCGTCGACTGCAGTTGTTGTTTAGTCTACGTTTGTCCTTCTCTTGTGCTTTGAGCTTTGCCCCCAGTGGACCCCTCAGGTGGGCTTATCAATCGCGACCGATCTCCGAGACCGGATAGTGGCCCCCCTCCCGCCATGGCAGACAACCCCGAGCTCGAATCATTCCGTCGCAAGTGGCGCGAGGAAGTTGCTGGTAGATCTAAACCTAGAGCTGCCCCTCCCTCTGTGGCTCGGGACCCGCAACCGACAAGATTCCCACCCAGACAACATGAGGCGTCTCACCGCAAGGACCTTGAAGAAGAGGGGCCCCCGCCGGCATCTTTCGATCCCGAGGAACTGGCCCAACAGGTTGGGCAGCTTACCGTGAAACCAGAGGACGAGCATGAGGAGGACGGATTCACTCGTAAAGATCATCATGAGCCCCGCTCAGCCCTGGAGCACTTCGAGCGTGCAGTTGAGAAGGAGGCCGCAGGCAACCTGGGTGATAGCCTGCATCATTACCGCAGGGCCTACCGGGTAAGTGACAAACTTTGATATTCCAGCTTCACTCGAGATTTGGTACTGACTACTGCACAGCTAGACGCAAGTGTGGACAAGTCCTACCGGAATAAGCACTATGCCCACGTGTGGAAAAAGCCTACACAACCTGCACCCGGGACAGAAGCCGTTCCGGCCGAGGCTGTTCCTGCAAAAACCACGGCTTCTGTCGAATCAGAAACTATCCCTACTGCCGAGTTGGTTGCATCATTCGCGAACCTACCCATTCCCCCGGCAGAATCGCTCGTTGAAAACACTCCTCCGCCACCATGTCCTATCGCAAAGATGCCTTCCGAAGTGATAGGGGAAATTCTGCAATATGTTGCGCTGCAAGATCCGGCCACGTTTGGCCGAGTGGCTTTGGTTTGCAAGCGCATGGCATATCATTTCGCCCATGAACAACCAATTTGGAGAGCAGTATGCCAGAACCCTGAGTTTGGATTTGCTGGAATGCATTATACATTTGCCTGCGATATCTATGGCAACCCAGTCTACACCCTTGATGGCGTACGGTACACACCATTCCCAGAAGGAGGCTCCTTTGAAATCCCAAAGCCTCTTTCTTCATGGAGTCAAGTGTTCCAATCCTTCCCACGCATTCGATTCTCTGGTATCTACATCAGTACAGTCAACTACACCCGGCCCGGTGCCCAATCAAGCCACCAGACCGTGTCCTGGAACAGTCCCATTCATATTGTGACCTATTACCGTTACCTTCGGTTCTATCCGGACGGGTCTGTCGTTTCCCTGCTCTCAACCACAGAGCCGGTTGACGTGGTACCACACATTAACAAGGAAAATATGATGGCCGCCCGAGCTATCTCCCATAAGCAACATCAGCGACAGCTTGCAGACCAAGGACAGTCCTTATCTGGCGCAACTGATCCTGTACCTGCAGTCGCGATGAATGCGCTGAGACACGCTCACCGCGGACGCTGGTGCTTGACTTCACCTGTTCCTCGCCCAGAAAATTCAGTTGAAGAGGAGAATACGGGAGCAGGTCCAAACGGGACCGATGAATCCTCAGACCCACGGGATATTGTTGTAGAGACCGAGGGCGTTGATCCAAAATACGTCTTTACTATGCACTTGAGCTTGCGGTCCCCATCTTCATCCAAATCCCACGTGAACCCGTCAAAGAACACAAAGCTGGTCTGGCGCGGCTTCTGGAGTCACAATAAGCTCACTGATGACTGGGCAGAGTTTGGTCTTCGTAACGATCGGGCATTCGTCTTCCGACGCGTGAGAGGCTGGGGAATCCATTGAAGTGATGATTTACGATATAAAAGAACATATAAAGGCATAGATATCGATATTGAACGGAGTTATGTGCATTATGGAAGACTAATATCTCCACAATGTAGCTCAGCTCAGAGCTCTCACATAGGTGCTCATCATTCTTTTCTATTTTCCGGGCCTAGGTAGTAGTGCATGGTAACCTTAAGACTATCTGGCTTTAGGCAGGAAAGGTTGGGGCACCTGGGGTAATAGTCAGCACTAGAGACAACCCACACACGGAGACCATACAATTCATTGGACGAGGCTCGCGGAAGAATCCTGCCATTCTATTTTGCCTGGAAACCAAGAGCCCCAGACGGTCTGAACACCACCAAAAATTGCCGAATTAAGGTGAAGATGGATAACCCTTAAGGTCTATTTTACGGTTCTTGACTTCATGATTGGCCTAGAAGACCGTGCCCGGCTACCCGTGGGGCCTGTGGGCCTTCCTTTGGAACCTGAAAAGGGCCTTTTTGGGGAGGGACTAGGCACTAAGGAGTGCAACCCTGTAGTAACCGCCCCCGCCAAGAAAGCACTAACTAGTAGATCTATTCTCGTTATACTCAGGGGCTCTGATGGATTCGCTTGACTTGTGCATCCTGTAAAACCTTGTGAATGTCTTAAGAGGAATAGGCTGCGGCTCTATTCGAGAGTATAAATAACAGGCGGATTCCGGTCCTGTTGTCATTTTATACTACATCCATTTGTTTTAATCTACACTTGACCATGTCATTCCTACTAGCTGGCCTCTCACTTCTGGCTGCTGCTCATGCAGCTACTGTTGAGCCGGTTGCTCTCTCTAATTGCTATAATCTCCCAATGTGGGAGGCCACCGGCCCCTCGTCTGGCTTCTCTGGCCCCTGGGCTCTTATAGTGGATCAGTGTGTGAATACCACCGACGTTAACGGCGCGTGCACGATGGAAGGATTCCGAAGCCAGTCCTCTAGTATTGACCAGCAGGTTGATAAAGGCTATGTAAATCTTCCCCGCCATGGTGCTTCTGATGTCTTACACATATGCTAACGCAGGTATCAGATTGGTATTGTGGGACAGCAGTACAATGCCTACACTCCCCTCCGCTGCGTGGATGGAAGTGGCTTTGTTATCAACGTCGTGACTGGCCCGAGCAGCGCCGAGTTCGTGACTGTTAACATCACCAATGTGGCATCCGATGCGGACCTTGGGTACGGCCTGGGTACGGATACTGAGGCTATTCAGGCTTACACCCACTACATTGATGGCGTGAAACAGGATGGAATCTTCATCGGTGCGCATAATGTCACAACCTGGGGTATGCAGCTCCAGGGTGGTGCGGGGGCTTGGTGGAAGCTTCGGCTTCTGGGCCCGGGCAGTGAGGATGCCTCGACTGGAAACGCACTGAAGGATGGGGAATATCAAACTTATATCCGGATTGATGGAAGTTGAAGAATGATGGTTTGACATCAGCCAGTGTGAGATCATGACTGTGGAGTATATAGCTGAAGTTGGTTTGCGTGCTTCGAACGAGAATTATGAATCATTGGGATATTGTGCGATATATGCAAAAAAGAGACAAAATATAACACCGGCGCTTTTAGTTCCTCCAATTAATTAGTGTTTCTTCGTCATCGTCCACAATAACCACCATCCAGACTCCTACTTGACCATTACTGGCGATCAGAGGCGTGCAATGAACCCAGCGGTTGCGACCCTCGGTGTTAAACCGAGTGACCCATTTGATTCGTGCTGTGACACTGCGCCCCTGCATCATTGCCTCCACAAGTTCGTCCTTGACACTAGCAGAGCTACCGATACGAGAAAGAAAAGATGACTGAAGCATGCCAGGAATCTGGAGAGATGGGGAGGTAAAGAGGACGCGGAGGGACGGATATGGCCGAACAAGCAAATACTACATCTAACGATAAGCCTTTGATCATGAAACCATATATGCGGGGAATGACTTACGTTCTCATACACACCAGAAAGAGCTCCACGAAGTAATGGCGACTTCATATCTCGCAGGCGAATCGCTTCAGTCTCGCTCTCCAAGGAGTCGCTACCGATGGAGCCTCCGCGTTTCATCCACGTCCGATGGCCCCTCATCGTTGCCCGGTTGTTCGATGGCTGGAAGAGATCGCCACCGTGCTCATGAACAGAATTCAGTTCGCGAGGACTAAAGAGCTCGCATAATTCCTGGAACTCGTCTTTGTGTTTGGGCTCAGGCATCTCTGCCACACTTTCCTCGTCGGGATCGCGGTATCTGGATTGCAGCTCAATCAAGGATTCCATCTGTGCGCCGTCTAGTGCTAATCCCGACACATCGATTTGCGCGCCGATGAAGTACTTGACGCGACCTTGACTGTCGCAGAGAGGGGAGCATTGAAGAAGGTTCATGAATGGCGAACCATCACGGCGATAGTTGAGGAAAAGCTCCGAGTGATGACGGCACTCTTTGATTGCCTCTCGAATACGCCGAACACTGTTCGGGTTTGTCTTTGGCCCTTGTAAAAATCGACAGTTGCGCCCGAGCACATAGTCCATGCCATATTGTGTTGTTCTATGGAATTCCTCAGAGGCAAAAATGATAGGATTATCAGGCCGTGTCGGATCCGTTAAGCAAAAGACTTCTGCCAATGCGTTTGAGGTATCCCGAAACTTCATCGGCAGTGTACCACGCACACGTTCCTCGACAATCTTGCTGGTGATGGTGATACACCTAGCCGTGATAAATGCAGGAAGTTCTTCGGCTGTTAAAGCGCGCAGACCATCCTCGACTCTTTGCTCCAAAGCTTTGTTGGCGGTGATCCCGACAGCATCGCTGTCATCTTGAACATTCTGAATAGCGGCAGGCGGGACGTCAACCGATAAGCGTACCAGCGCATTCGCAAATTGGATTGCCTTCAGGGCTTTGGTGGCATTGAGGTAATAGGTGAGCGTAGAGATTGAGCGTGGCCGCTCTTCCAGAAGGTATTCGCGAAACCGAGCTAGGTAGCGCGGGTTATTGAGAATATGTAACATATGCTCGGTGCCGAACATGACGTCGGAGACCCGCTCCAACTTGTGGAGTGGTGCCTCGTCGCCCTCGAAAGGCGCAATCAAGTCATATGATGCGCCTTCCTCATTGACAGGGTGAAACTCCTCTGCATCCTCGTAGGGATTGGTTTGCTGGAGCAGGGGGAGGTCATTTGTTATACCCATGCCCAGGTTGATATCATTTGTTGTCACAGTCCGTCTCATATTCTTGATAGACGACCTGGGAGTGGGATATACTTTCTCCTCGTCAATGGCGTCGAGATTTTGAGGCCGACTAGGCGGATGAGGGAAATCGTCAAGGATTTGATCGTTTCTTGGTTGCGATTAGCGGTGAACAGATCGGACAATGGATTGTTCATTACTCACCGTGAAGACCTCCCAGATTCAGAGACCCATTCGTGATACTCATCCGGTAACGTCTCCGTAAACGAACGTAGAGACTCGGCGTCGGGACTTGTCAGTCCAACATGGAAATCTGCAGCCGCCATGATTAGGATAAAAAGGAAACAAGGTTTTTTCTTCTTCTTGTGCAGCGCAACTCCGAAAGCTGGGGAACTTGCCTTTTCTTTAATACCCTAATCAGACTCCGCCATTGGACGTGCGTCTTGATGCATCAATTGATCGACTGTGTTCACAGCTCAAATTCTATCTCTGTCCAGGGAAACCATGCGAACAAAAGTCCTCAACATAGAAGGCAAGACAACCATTACGACCGCGAGTGGTAGGTCACAATTGGCAAAATTGGCGATCGATCGAAGCGCGGCGGCTCTTTCCACGAGATCGGGGTCGATCTGGAGCGGTGATGCAATTGTGCAGGAAAGGATTTGTTTAAGACATTTTTAACATGGTTTGCTCATCTGCGGCAGTTTCCGAGTCTATTACGTTCCGCGGCAAGACTTTTGACGTAGCGCCGTGTTCGTGGTGATTGGCTTGCATGGTTTTCGATAGATCGAACCGTTCGACATGCACTCCATGGTTACATTAGCCATACGGCATGGGCAAAGAATAGGAGGTTCGTTTCAAGCTTAACATGATTGGCCTGGGCTCGGTTGCACAGCACTCGGGACATCTTTAAGCATATCCGTGGTTAATCGGGCTGTTTACATGTCACCCCTACGCTCGTCCCCTGGAGATCAGCTCGGCAAAAAGTACGAGGTCTGAGCACTGGCGCACTTGAACTCCGGGCCTAGATTTGCAATTTGACGGAGTTCGACCCGACCGTTTGGAACCGCACAAGAATAGGTCTAAGAGATCGACAAGACGGCAGCGACTATTAAAAAATCCCGTGTTCAATGTGCATTGTGGAGGCTGTGGATGTGACGAACTTGGAGAAGTCGGGGATGGTTCGCAGATAAGATAACGTATCGCCTTATCGATAAGCGAAAATTTTCGGGATCCGATTAGCTGTCACAGGCTTGTCCATGTTGACGCCCATTCACAATGCCCGAAAAGGTCCACACTCACTTTGGTGCTGAAGAGAAGTCTGCTCCTCAGCAGCTTCCCTTGACAGCGGCGTCAGCCCCCGAGGAAATTGGCCGGAAAAAGAAGCGTGGTAACAAACGGAAGCGCGACGAGCCCACCGAACCCCAACCGCCTCGCGACCATGAACCCATTCAACCCAAGAAGCCTGCACCAGCCCCTCCTTTGCTTGAAGAAGAGGCCAAGCCGGAAGCGGAACCAGAAGAAGTTCATCAACGATCCTTGAATAAGACCGCGCTCAAGGGGAAACCTAACAACAAGCCCAAATCCCTCACCGATACCAAGACCAACTTCACATCCCTCCGGGAAAAAGCCAGTATTCTCTACGAACAGCGAAAGAAACTTCCAATTTTTGGACATGCGGATGAGATCAGAACAAAGCTTCGGGAACAAGATGTTATGCTCTTGGTTGGTGAGACTGGTAGCGGAAAGAGTACCCAGATCCCCCAGTTTCTGGTGAACGAATTCTGGTGCCGACCGACACCAGCGAAGGTACCGCAGAAGGATGGCTCCGTCAAGTCGATGACGGTAGGTGGTTGTATCGCGATCACACAGCCCCGACGAGTCGCCGCCATCTCCCTGGCCCGTCGTGTGGCAGAGGAGATGGGAACACCACTTGGATCATCATCGCCAGCCAGTAAGGTTGGTTACTCGGTGCGATTCGACACATCCACCTCGCCGAGTACCCGGGTCAAATTCTTGACAGAGGGAATGCTTCTACAAGAAATGTTGCATGATCCTTGGCTTACTCGGTACAGTGCGATCGTGGTAGACGAGGTCCACGAGCGCGGTGTCAACGTTGATTTGACCACTGGATTTTTGCGAAACCTGGTGTCTGGGAAGCGGGAAGGCCGCGGAGGAGTCCCTTTGAAAGTGGTGGTCATGAGTGCTACAGCGGATATGGAGAGTCTACTTGGCTTCTTCCAGGAGGGATTCAAGAACCAACCCCAACTTCAAAATGGCGAAGCAAATGGCACTGCTGAAGAGCCGAAGGATGAGGAGAGCTCCAAGCAGATTTCTGTCTGCCATATTAAAGGTCGCCAATTCCCTGTGCAAACTATATATTCGCCAGAGCCTGTCCATGACTACGTTGATGCAGCTCTCAAGGTCATTTTCCAAATCCATTACAAGGAGCCGACACCTGGTGATATTCTCGTGTTCTTGACTGGTCAAGAGACCGTTGAAGCTCTGGAAAACCTGGTCAATGAGTATGCCGTCGGGATGGATCCCTCTTTACCGCGGATCCAAGTCCTTCCGCTTTTCGCAGCTCTTCCCCAAGTTGCCCAACAGCGAGTCTTTGCCCCTGCACCGCCTCGTACCCGCAAGGTGATCTTAGCGACTAATATTGCTGAGACTTCAGTGACGGTTTCTGGAGTCCGATATGTGGTGGATTGCGGTAAAGCGAAGGTCAAACAATTCCGCACCCGACTTGGTCTGGACTCCCTGCTAGTGAAGCCCATTTCCAAATCAGCCGCCATCCAGCGAAAGGGTCGTGCTGGTCGTGAAGCGCCTGGTAAATGTTACCGTTTGTATACTGAAAGCGACTATCTTACCCTCGATGAAACGAATACCCCCGAGATTCTCCGATGTGATTTGAGTCAGGCACTCCTCAACATGAAGGCTCGTGGTGTCGATGACATCGTCCGATTCCCCTTCTTGACGCGGCCTCCGCGTGAGGCACTCGAGAAGGCCTTGCTCCAATTATTGGGTATCGACGCGCTCGACGAGTCCGGTGGTATCAGCGAGGTCGGCTTGAAAATCGCCAAGTTGCCGCTTACACCCACCCTTGGACGAGTCCTATTGGCGGCTTCGGAACATGGAACTGAGTGTCTGCTTGACGTGATTGACATCATCTCCTGTCTCAGTGTGGAGAACATCTTCTTGAACACCACTTCCGAGGAAAAGAAGGAAGCAGCCGAGATCGCCCGTCGGGATCTTTACCGGCGCGAAGGAGATCATCTGACGATGCTATCAACGGTTCGGGCCTACGCGGGTGAGAATGTTGACCGAAAGGCATGGGCTGAGCGGCACCTGGTGTCGCACCGGGCGATGCAGTCCGTTATGGTATGTCCCTATCGCGAATTTATGCATGTCGCGATAACGTAAGCTGACAGGTATATTAGGATGTTCGAAAACAACTACGCAGTCAATGCCGCCAAGCAAAACTTCTGCCTCGTGATGACCGATTAGACCAACATTTTGATACGTCACCAGTGCCTATCTTGCAGAGCTTCTTGTGTGGCTTTGCGACCAACACCGCTCGCCTTGTCCCTGACGGTAGCTATCGTACTGTGGTCGGCAACCAGACTGTTGCGATCCATCCTTCCAGTGTCTTATTTGGCAAGAAGGTTGAGGCTATCATGTATAACGAGTTTGTGTTCACGAACCGCAGTTACGCGCGGGGTGTGAGCGCGGTACAGATGGACTGGGTTGGTGAGGCCCTTGCTGGCCAGTGAAACCTGTAGATGTTTTCCCTGTTTGGGATGTCATGCCATATTGTATCTTGTATATACCCCCCAATGAGCGATCATAATATGCATATCCAGTGGTTCCCAACATGTAGGGGTAGAAGCACCTAAAGTCCGATCAAGATGGATGCGGGCGATCAGCGTATCCTTGCATTTCTCCTGTTAGTAAGTCCGTAAACTGACGGATGTTTGTCGATCTCTTTCGCCACTTCCACGTCAGACATTACTTGTTTGTTATCTTGGCTTGATTTCAGTATTACGCTAATATTGTTTGGTAAAATTAGTCTGTCAAGGGGCCATATAGATTAAAATCGTTCTTTTTGCTAGGGAAATCACACGCGAGCAGTCACATCGCGCTAAGTACAACGTATGCATCTCCTGGGCTGACGAGGCGCCAGACATAATCTCCTGGTTTCGTATTTCCCTGATATCTCACCGATCCTTATATAGGCGAAAGACTTTCTTTTCCCACTTGGCTTTCACCTCTTCCCCATCGAAGTAATCAGTATTGCGAGAGAAAGTGTATAGAGTGGTCCGATACCGCCATTTGGATCATCCGGGGGCTCCACCGCCTTATCGCTGGATTTCGTTATCAACGCATCATCATCCCCCAACATCACGCTTTGTGTCTGTTCTTCCTTGATTCTCGTCCCCTTCTCCCACAATATACATATCGACATCTGTTGAGTGTGGGAACGCCCTTTTCAACGGATACTCCGCTTGTGACCGCTTCTACGGTTTTTCGTTGCGGGGACGATCCACATATCTAGAAACCTTGGAAGCCTTATCTGATTCTGTGCCTGCCCGAGACAGCAATCATGGCATTCCGTGTCCCTCCCCAGGCTCCTCGAAGGAGAACCTCTTACTCGACTCCGCAAGCTCCCCCTCCCCTCGATGTACTATCCTCTGCCCCGGAACAACAAGACGACGACACGACACAATGGGTACTGTTCTCTCCGACCGCCCGTACGCACACGACCTCTACCGACCGTACGCAGACAGCAGGAGCCTCTCGACTGAGTGACTTTGGCTCATTTGGTACCGCAACTCGATCCGCAGCTGGACTGGAGGGTCTTGCGGCTGATGAAGAGGCCTCGGAAGACCAGTTGGACGAAGATGGCACTGAGCTGGATAGCTTGGATGATGGGTTGCATGCGTTTCGCGCCCCATCACTGCCCCCCACATCCCCCGCACGGGTGGATCAAGGACCACCGGCCTTGCTTCCGGCTCACGATGGGTTGGGTAGCTTCCAAGCGTCGAGTCAGCTAGCTCAGGAACAGCTCTGGCAGCATGAACAATATAATCCTCAACGGCGACAGTATGCCTCACCACGTCGACGGACAAGTGTGCAGCGGCATCTTGATACAGTTGCAGAAGGGGAGGCAAATGTTGAACGCGATCGCTGGCAGCGGATCGAGCAGTGGAGGATGGATCAGAGTCGGGCTTTGCTGCAGGAGATTGAACGCCAAACTCGGCAGCAGCGGAACAGTCGTGCTAGCGGATCAAGTATCTACGATCCGACTGAACAAATTTCACCTGCCCGGATCACTGGAACATTGCCAGATGCCGTACCTGAAACCGAGGCAGACAACGAGGCGGATCCAGAGATGGATGAGACCTTCTGGCGGCGTATTACTCGAAAGGTGATTCGGGATTTGATTGGCATCGATGACTCCTTGCTCGCTGTCATTTTCGGCGAGTCGTTACCTGAAGAGGAAGCATTGACAGATCAGTCTGGAGAGCTCCATATGGATACTGTTCTGGCCCGTGAACCGGATCCAGATAACTCGGATTCGCCAATGTGGCAGAGCAAAGTACTTCAACGCATCGCACACGAGCTTGGAGTTTTAGTACATCAGCTGTGTGAACACCCGGGCGCATTTACAACGTACTACCAAATGACCAAGGATATCACGAGTGAATATGCAGGCATGTCCCTCGACCGCTTGGCTGAAAGTGGGATCTCCCAAAAGCCTACTGAACACGCAGACTCTACGTCTGCCAATACGGAAACCGATAGCTCCATGCTATCCCCGCAATTCATTCCCACCCTTCGTGACTCAAATCGAGAGCATGAAGCACAATGGGGCATTGAAGAAGATGATCCTGCAGCAGACCCAGTTTCTGAATCTGCCCGGTTGCAGCAAGAACAACAGTACTGGGAACATGGCCTAGATGCCATGATGGTCTTCCGTTACCTTCGCACTCGTTTCACTCGCCGAGGATACATGCCTAATGACAAACACACTTCACCACCATCACCCCGCAACACACAAGATGCCTCTCGTCGCGCCGCTATGATTCGTCACCACCACCCTCTTGTTGCACGGGCCCATTCCCGCTCCCAAACACAGGCCCGTCGGCCCGCTCAGTATTCTGGTGTGACAGGTTCCGTGGGCGTCTCATCCCCCTTACTTCGGCCCCATCTTCGTCGACCCAGCTCGAGCTGTGCGAGTCAAAGCGCGAAAATTTCTAGTCGTCGAACCCTGACAGGATCAAGTCGCAATTACTGGGATATTGGTGGTAGTGTTGAGAGTAGCAGTGCTATTGGCGTCGGAGCTGGACTCGGTGCATGGGGTGAGGTATGATTATTTGCTTATTATTTGTGATGTTTTTTACTGGAGTCCATCGGTGGTCATATACCTATATCATCTTAAGAAACTATACATAACAGCAGGAGAAGCGGGTTTGAATTTGTGTTTTATTTTCATTCGTTCAGCCTTTTGGCAAATCTCGGGGCGGTCCCATCATGCTTATGGCTTCATGGAGAATCATTTCTCTCAAGCCATTAAAGTTTATTCATGTTCATATCTTTCTATTCCTCCCTGGTCTCTGATATATATCGCATCATCCAGGTCTACTGCATATATTTTGGAAGTACATTGCCATCCAATAACTATACCCGGATAATGCGTACTACCCACATATATTGAGAAAACTGCTTCACACGCTAAGCCGAACAGAGGGGCAATATGGCAGTGTTGCGTACCAGGAATATCATACAAAATCCACCGCTGGTCACGAAAAACAAAATAGAAGGAAATGACTCGATGGAAAAATGGTGGGAAAGGGAGGAATGAAGGCGAGGTCAAGAGAAAGTGACCTCGGAGTCTGGAGTTTTCTAAGGAACATAATCCCATCCCTAATACTATACTCTATCTCTTACTTTCCCAATTTTCTTTCCCTTTCCCTTTGTTTTTCAAATCCTTCTCCATACATGAGCCACTCTGACCTTCCTTTGGTATCAGTTTGAATCAATTCTACGTACTGAGTACAATAAAAAAAGCTTGTATAATTTAAGCAGATGCAAGAAACGACGCAGCAAACAACGGCCTCTCGCCTCTCTTTGCCCTCCATTGATTCGTAGAACGTATAATCTCACTACAACCCCGAACAATCCAGCCCCATTTCGTCACGAACCCAGGTTGAAGCTCCCAATTCCCGATATCAGAAGGATCACCCCAGACAATCAGCCCCTGAGGATCTGGCGAACCTCCATTCCAGAAGCCCATGATATCTGTGCATAGGTCTTCATCGTCCCACTCATTTCCTGCCCTCACAAGGTTATCTCGCATTATAGGACAAGGAAACAAATCAATCCAGGTGTGGTGCTCACTCCTTCGCTGGAGAGGTGTTGGAATCAGGGTTGGCCGTGTCGGTAAGGCCTCCTTTGCCGGCCCTACCGTGTAAAATGGTGATATTGAATCGTCTTGCATCCATTCCCAGGTAATCCCCAAAGTTACCATATTGCACACGAAAGCGCGGTGAACGTTCATTTTTGTCAGGGTGAGCAGATGATTAGATAATGGACAGTTCATGACATAGCTATTGTGGTATGTGGCGAGTTGCTCTATTAATGCCTTTCGCTTGTGGGGCCATGGCATTGCGAACCAGAGTCTCATCATGTGCGGGGCGGACGAGAATTGTTCTGCGCAGGATTGACTGTCTCCACTCGAAGATCGGGGACTGGGTTGGGGAACAGTGGCTGCAGCAAGTATTGCCAAATCTTCAAGTTCGGTGATCTTTTGATTTGGAGCTTGATGACCCTTAAGGTTTTGCTCTACTTGATGCGATTGGCCAGCTGTGATGGATGGAGACAAGAACTGAGGACTGTTTGACTGTGCATTCGCATGTCTCCTTCTTCTGGCCTCTTCGCCTATTTACGGATGAACGTTAGAATATTAAATAGATCATATAGGAGGAGTGACTTACGGTGCCGTCGTTGATTTAACCGGTTTTGCCTTTTCCTGCGCTCCTTAGCATCCGCCAGACCATGCCAGTCATCTGCCGAGGATATCTCCGATTTGGTAAGTGGGATGCGCTCTCCAGTAACGTCAGCAGGATCATGCTGAGGAGCTGGCATTTTGGATTTGATTCGAGATCTCGGATCTTCGGGAACTGGAGTCTCCTAGACATCGACAGAGTTGAAGGATGCAAAATGCTGACACTTCGGTAGTTAAAGGACCCGGTTATGCGGAATGCTGACACCCTGACCCACTCGATCCACTCACCTTAACCCTAAAGTCCGGGCGTTATTGCCGGCCCCTTACACCTGGGCCAATTGAATCAATTATTAGATAGATCGTCTCCGGTGGATACATCTGTAGCCAAACCAATGAGAATGTTCTTCGTATACTTCATATACTGATAAAAAAGGGTTAAATTTCGGAAGAATGTCCAACACCGTACGTTCTGGACAAGTTTGTCAACCTAGTATCTATTTCTGAAGACTAATAGACTTTTGTCCTTCTACCCACTCAAATCGGGTGTTGGTCGCACGGGTAAGACACACATCCTGGGGACCAAAAGCACCTTTAGGCTTAGAGCCATCAAAAAGCGTACCACTGAGAAAAGTATGGGGGAAACCGTGATCGAATTCGTAAGCCGAATCAATTTCAGCAATGTCGCTTTCACTCAGGCGAACTGCCAGCGCCGGTACATTGTCCTTGAGATGATCCGTTGTTCGAGCACCGACTATGGGAAACACGAAAGGAGCCTTATGCATGACGTATGCCAAGGCAACATTGAACAGCGAGTGACCAGTCTTTCCAGACACTTCCTCAAGCTTACTAGAGACCTGCTGGTCCCGGGCGGAGAGAGGTATGAAGTTCCGTCCTGGGTTGTGCTTCTTCCGCTCCTCGAACCCTTCAACTGTTTGGAAGCGACCTTGGTTCAGAACGCCGTAGGGACAGAGACCCATCCCCTCGTCCATCACCATGGGAATGATATCTCGCTCGAAGTCACGCATCGCTGCATTCCACATGCCTTGGTATACCACGAATTGACGAAGACCGTGGTCGCGGGCATATTGATTCGCCTTCGTAACCACCCAAGCGGGGGCATCTGAAATACCTAAGTAATACACCTTCCCAGAGGAAACCAGGTCGTTCAGGGCGTGCATCAACTCTGGGATAGACGTGGTGTAGTCCCAGAAGTGGACGTAGAACAGATCGATATACGTGGTCTGCAGATTTTGGAGCGAGCGCTCAAGAGAGAGACGCATAGATTTGGTGCCGTTGCCATTGTAATTGGCCCGAATAGCTTTCGGGTCTGCGCAGTATGGGCTGGTGTACTTTGTTGCCAGCACAATTTGGTCCCGGATTTTGCGATCCGTCATCCACTCTCCCAGCCACTGCTCGGACTGGCCCTCGTGGTAGGTGTTGGCGGTGTCGATGAAGTTACCTCCATTATCGTAGAAGGAGTTCATGATGTCAAATGCGGTTTCCTTGGTCATTTCACCATACCGTTTGGAATGGGTGAGCCCAAAAGTCATTGCACCCAAGCATAATGGGGAGACTCGGACGGAGGCAGATGGTGCAAGCTGGCGGTAAGACGAAAGGAGACCCTGGGGATTTTCAGAGACAGACATGGTTGTCATGTAAGAACATGAATAGATGGTAAGTAGAGAATATTACAATCTTGGAATATGTGAATAAGTGAGATGCAGTTCAATCCCAGAGATCACGACAATGTCGGCTTTATATAAGTTTAGAAATCCAGAAAGAATACCTGCACTATCATTAGATTCGATGGATTTAATGAGCGGATTTAATGAGCTAGATGTTTTGCGGACTTTCTTGGGCAGGTCTGAGGATCCAACGAGGGCTTCTAACTTGGAATAATTGTGGGTCAGCAGTCAGCAGCCCGCATCACTCATTCCTTACCAGCTAGCATTTACCCACCTAATGTCTGCTATTTGATGACATTGAAACACATCACGACAATTACCCACTAGTGAGAGATGTGCAGTGGACCCAGCTGTAACGGAGTAGTTTAAGTCCGAAGAAAACGAACCTAGAAAGCTATTATACAAATATTCGAACTCAATAGGCTAGGGAAGAACGCTGAAGGGAAGAGAAAGAACAATATCTTCAGTTCCATCTCAAGTGCTGTATGTAGGGAGTTCCTTATCCATTAGAAAACAAAGCATTGAGTGTTGCTAGTATTATAAACAACTCGAAGTAATCATGCTTCTTGCTGCTTAACATGGCTTAACCCCAATTTTCCTACACTCAGGTCCTCCTTCGCTTGTTCAATATCGGCAGTCAAGCGACTAGGCTCTTGGCTAGCTTTGAATGCCCAGATACTCTCCTTCTCGAAGATTACATCAATCTCTTCCAAGGACTTGCCACATGTTTCTTGGAAGAGAAAGAATACGTGGATCGCAGCAGCGAAGCAAAATGTGCCGAATACACAATAGATCTATGGGCCATGAGTGGTGTTTTTCAAGCTGGAAGAAACGTGACACTTACCTTCCACTGAATATTTTGGAATGCTGGAGGAGTGAAGAATGTCAGGGCAAAGTTGCATCCCCAGTTGAAGAAAGTTGCAAGAGACACCGCCTTGCTACGAATGTATAGTGGAATGATTTCAGGAGGGTATGCCCTATATCAATATCAGTATGTTTGATCTGGTATTCATCGTTCGCAGCCATCCACGTAGGGTACTAACCAGCCGAGAGGACTTAAGAAGAACATGTTAGTAAATGGCTGGTCAATTGATATGGAGCAACTGTACATACCCCCAAGTTGGCGCATAGGATGCAATAAAAAGATAAGAGCACGCAATGATGGCTTTCGAGGCCTTTGAGTTGGTGACTTTCCATGTCACGGTCGGTGATCCTTCCAAGCCACCTGGTACGCTGTGGCCGTATGAAGCCACGAGTCCTGCCTGGGTAAATTGGAGAATACCCATTGCAAGAGCGCCGAAGATAAAGAGGCGACGCCGGGGAAGACGATCAATAAAGATGAGAGCAGGCAATGTCATCACAACATTGATAATGTACTGAACAGAGGCCGAGAGAAGCGTGGCGTTCCCAGTGAGGCCAGCCATCTAGTAATTTGTTAGGCACTCTACCAAGCCAAGGTGTCTGCGTTGTGGTCATACCTGAAAGATGTACACAATGTAATACATCATTGCGTTGGTGCCCGTCAACTGGGACCATACGTGTGTGAAGATACCGCAATGTACTCGAACTATGTTGCGCTTATTAAATAGTTCCAGCCAAGATGTGCTTTCATATTGACGCTCCAATCTGTATATTTCTCGTTAGTCAAAGTTTTTGAAAGCTGTTCGCAAAGAAAACTCACTCGATCTTCTCACGAATTTCATGGATCTGTGCTACGACGATAGGGTCAAGAGTATCACCGTTGCCATGTAGCCGAGCAAGCACTTCTGTGGCTTCCTCCCATCTATCCTGCGATGCTAACCAACGAGGTGATCGGGGTATCATGGGAAGAAAAGCTAGCAGCACAATAGCTGGGATCATTTGAAGACCCCATGGAAGGCGAAACACGCCATTATTCCCCATAAATGATGCGCCATAACTGATGAAGTACATGATCAATATCTGGAAGCTATGTCAGTAAAGAGATTGCGAATATCTGGAATGAGAAAACCTACCCCCCAGGTAATCATCCACTGCTGTAACGACAGCAGCCGCCCACGTTGATGAGGTAGACTGATCTCTGCAATAAGAATGGGGCCTTGACTGGTCAGCATTCCCACCGCAAACCCGTTCAAGACTCGCGACACGACCAGCATCGCAACGTCCTGCACAGCACACATCAATGTTGATCCAATCAACCAAATGATGCATGCAATAAACAGAGAATCACGACGACCAAATCGGTCGCTGGTCCACGATGACACAAGGGACCCCAACAAGGAGCCGCCTGCCATACTGGCCGTGATCCCACCCTGTCGAACTGCGTTGGGCTTATTGAAGTACTTCTTATACTCATCGGTGCCAATGATCGCGGACATACTCGACACGTCGAATCCCTGTATTAGGCCACCGATGGTCGTCAGTCCGCTGATCACATACACATTGTTCAAACCTCGCTTTTCCATAATGACAATTGACCGGACTGGAGGTACAAAAATAGGCCATGGACAGCCCTGCAATCTGCAGGCCTGGGGCCCCGGATTTTATGTACTCCACCCAATCGAGCAGCTTTCGCATGGTGAGCCAATGGCACGAGATGGTTAGCCGACATCCGTTGAGGACCGGGAGCAGCGGGGTCACATTCAGTTCGTCAACCAACGTCAGAATGGTACCATATTGACATTGATCCACAACAGACGAGTTCTCTCAAGTGAAACGAATGAGATTAATCTCCAATTGCTTGGAAATACGAGAAACCCAAATGTGGGAGGCATTTCTGCCGTAGGTCACCGCAGCTAACGCCAAATATAGCCGAGAGCCATGCGAGAGCCGTTTCTGCTCTTGACAACTATCCGCTTTTGCTATGTTGAGAAGCAGAGAGCCGATTGGGTATGATCCGGCGCTGGATAATGCATCCGAGACGCGAAGAGCTAGATCAGGTTAGACCGGCCGTTGGTTTCACGCCCGCTTGAAATTGACACCGACTAATATCTGAATCAGGTTGTACTGTATGTCGAGCTCGAAAAGTCAAATGTGACGAGACATGGCCGATATGCTTGAAGTGTGACCGTTTGAAGCTAAACTGTCCTGGTCCACCCGTGCCGAGAGCAAATGCTCGATCTAGGCCTCGCAGGCCAGGGTATTGGAACACAGAATTCACACAAGCCGGAATACTACGACGAAGAGTCGTCCAGTCCTGTAAGGAATGCCGTGCTGCAAAGACAAAGTGTTCTGGTCAGTCTGTCTGCGCGCGTTGCTCTGAGAAAGGCCTTGACTGTGTGTTCCCGATCACGTCGCGTCACATCATCGAGGAGCAAAGCAAACTTTCACGACAACCTGTAGAACAGAGTGAGTTCGAAGATTTCAATCAAAGCCGAAGGCTCCAGATGCCAATTCCAGGATCATCTTTATCTTCACCTGCGGTTAATAGCACGGCGAACTCGCTTGCATGGTACGCCATTGACTGTCTGCATTTGAAACCCTTACAAAGCTAACGGCAGAAGGCTACACGCCCCAGAGCTTCCAGATGGCGAGAGGCTGAGAACTTTGGTTGAAGAGTATTTTGCTCATATCCATCCGTTAAGGTGCAATGGGTTCATACACAAACCATCATTCATGCGACGCTTAGATGAAGATGTGGATTCATGTCGTCAGAGCGAGTCGTTGCTTCATATTATCTGCGCATTGGGCGCAAAGTACGTCAATTCTCTCATTGTTGGAGAATTTGACTGACATCCATCCAGATTCTTCGCTCTAAATTACACTTCCCAACTATCACCTGAGGCAATCCTCATGGCCGGAAACCAATGGGCCAAAATTGCAAAAGCTAGGATATTTGTGGACATGGATGATTTATCTTTAGAAAAGCTGATGGTAAGTCCGAAGAGTGCATCTGAGAATACATTGTTTGTGCCTATATACTGACCTTTTGGCCTTATGTTCAAGACCGCCATCTTACTATATGACCATGATCTTCGGATTGGAAGCTACGCCAGTGCTTTTATGTTGAGCGGCATGACAGCAAGGATGTCTCAAGCATTGCAACTGAACCTTGAAAACTCAGCAGATGTACTTTGTCAAAAATCAGATTCAACTACAGTTACCAGTGAGACTAGGCGGCGGCTCATGTGGAGTTGCTATTTGCTTGATAGTTGGGTGGGGAGCGGTGTCAACCAACTCACCCTACTTGAGGATCGCGATTTAAAAATTCAACTTCCGTGTCATAGTCAGAATTACACACTAGGTATTCTCTGCCTCACAGAAACGTTACATGAAGGGGAAACACTGAGCTTCATTCCCCGGGACCAAGTACCCCCAGACCCTTCCCAAAACATGGGCATTGAGGCGTATTTCATTCGGCTTGTCAGTATCCGAAAGAAAGTACTACGGTCGGTGAACCCCCTCTCTACCTTCTTTTTTCATTTTTCATAGCTGACGAGATCACAAGCTATGTCAAGCATCTCGATACAGCAAAGCCCCCATGGCAAGAAGATTCCGAATTCCAATTGCTATCTGCAGAGTTTGAAAATAGCCGTCTTTCTCTTCCCAAAAGCTTGTACTGGAACTCTGAAGCGATATATGCGCGAAAGGAATCCTCCCAGCTAGGGGCCTTGGCACTATTATGGTGCACTTTTCACCAAACATTGGTGGATTTATATCGTATTGGCATGCCGGCTCTATTTCGCCTTCAGAAGGAAGTGAAATTTCCGCCTGAACAACAGGAGTTCCTCCAGCACTGTCGCACATTCTGTTTTGAAAATGCCCGCCAAGTTTCCAGAATCATATTAGAGGCATTAAGATACGGCCTTAAAGTTCTCGCTGATTCGTGGATATGTATCATCGCCCATGACAGCACCAAGGTTATGCTCCATTATTTAACGCTGAATAAAAAGTCAACTGATTTTCATCAACGTGAGGTGAACGATACAATCTCATTGGTGCAAAGTAATCTTGATGCGTTGCTACAGATGAGGTCTATTGTAGCAACAGCGGAACATTGTGTTAGTATTCAATCTGAGAGGAGTCTGGAGCATCTATTGACTTTTTTTCAACAGTCACTTTCGATTGTTAAAATGATGGCAGCAGCTGGTATTCAACCTGAGGTCGGACTGCAAGCCCCCGCGAATGACCTGTCACGAGAGGAAGAAGATGCGTATGTTTAATTTTGATAGACAAATGTGGCTTTAGAATTCCAACTAACAGACTATAGGTCCTCTCCCATGCAATCAGCTCAAGAATCCCCGGATAATGTTCTTAACCCACTAGCCATATATCGTATGGCTCGAACAGCCTTGCACGAAAAGGACACCCAATCATCAGCGTCACATTCACCATCAACACATAATTCTGCCTCTCCAAGATTCGCCTCCGGGCCAATTCACTTCCAGCCTAGGCCAAGGCCACAAGTGCAAGCTCCAGAAATCACACATGACCATAATGGGGAGCAAAGCCAAGGGTCCCTTCAAGGAAGCAATGGAGCTCCTATTATGGAGTCGTTCTGTATACCTCCCAACCAGAGTAGGGACGACACATCTTCAATGTTCAATGCTATAGACTCACTATCAGGCCCTGGTATCGGAGGTGTATGGGATCCATCAGACTTAGCGTTCATGGACATGTTAGATGGAGGAATGACTCCATGGACAGCCGATTATCTGACAGATGGGCAGTCCGGAGTGGATCCATTTCTCTTCCCTTTCTAATGGCATTATGAGATTGACATCAAATGTGACATGATACAAGCAACTCAAATCAAAAACATACTGGAAATTTAGTTTCATGTCGGATAAGAGTGGGCATACAATACCAGGAGGCTCCAGCTCGTGTATCCCGACTAGCCACCGATTCCAATTCAGAAATTTCCGAGTCCAAGCCTCAGATGAACATAACATGTTTTCGAACAACCGTACGTGACCTTTTCAATAGTGCATATATAAGTCATATTATATCTCAAGGTTTTTTTATGTTCTATCTGACGGGCGATTGAACGGTTGCGAGATGGATACCGATGCCTTATGAAACTGGCGGCCTGATTTCCAACCCCTGCAGGTGGAAATAGGCATTGTTTGAATATGAAACCTTATTTCTCTCATTTGATATTTAACAAGCAGGGCAATCGTTTCCTAGTTCTTCTTTCCATACTATCTCACTTTATCACAAAACCTTTCCATGTCCTAGATATTGTTTTGGGCAAGTCTAACCGTCACGTGGATGCGCGGGGAAGATATTGAGATAAGCTTTTCATGAAGGAAGGTTGCGCCGATACTAGCTTATATACTTCAGTATACTTGAGAATGCCTCGATCACATGAAGATGTGGGCTCATGCAGTCATGAAATCTATAAAGAATGCCCGGACACTCCAGAGAGAGCCAACAGTTTAACCGCTCCTGAAATCCATCATGGGATCTACTCAAGTTGAAAACTACGATGTTCTTATTATCGGTGCCGGTCTATCTGGCGTATGTAGTCTCTACCACATGAGGAAGCGCTTCCCTTCCTGGCGCATCCGTGTGCTGGAAGCAGCTGAAAGCGTTGGCGGCACTTGGAACTGGAACCGTTACCCAGGTGCCCGAGTCGATTCTGAATCTCTATCCTATGCTTTCTCCTTCGATAAGAATCTGATGAATGAATGGCACTGGAAGGAATCATTTGCCCCTCAATCGGAAATCCTCCGATACATCGAACGAATTGTAGACAAGCACGATCTCAACAAGGATATTCAATTCAAGACCAAAATCCGGTCTGCCCGCTGGCAGGATCACCATCGGACATGGCTATTTGCAGATGAGGCAGGCACTCAGTACCAGTCAACCTTCTTTGTAAGTTGCATGGGATTTCTGTCCACTCCAACTCTGCCTGCAATTCCTGGCATCGATAGCTTCAAAGGAGAAGCATTCCATACGTCTCGCTGGCCGAAGGACTTCGATCTGAGTCACGACTTTGCAAACAAGCGTATCGGTGTTATTGGAACGGGGGCGACGGGTATCCAGACAATAACTGCTGTCTCCAAAGAGCCCAGTGTTAGGTCTGTGACTGTCTTCCAACGAACTCCCAACTGGTCTGCACCTCTCCACAATGAGGACATTACTCTTGAGCAAATGGCAGAACACCAAAAGAACTATGATGATATCTTCCAACTTTGCCATAAGACCCCCGGCTGTTTTATGCATCAAGCAGATCCTCGGAAGTCATTAGAAGTTAGCGAGGAGGAGCGTCTAGCGTTATGGGAGGAGGTATACGCCAAGCCAGGATTCGCCAAGTGGCTCGGCGTGTTCAGCGACACCTATACTAACCGCGAAGCCAACAAACTTTACTCGGATTTCATAGCCAACAAGATTCGCGCACGTATAAACGACCCGGAAGTGGCAGACAGCCTGATTCCTAAGACTCACGGATTCGGAACCCGGCGGGTTCCCTTGGAAAGTGGTTATTTCGAATCATACAATCGACCCAACGTTCACCTTGTCGACTTGCAAAAGACCCCTGTCGAGAAGATCACAGAGACAGGGATCACAACCACAGACGGTACACATCACGAAGTCGACATTCTCATCTATGCGACTGGCTTCAATGCTATCACCGGTGCCTTCAGCTCTATTGAGTGGCATGCTAAGGATGGGCGACCCTTGCTAGGTAGCAGTGATAGCCCGCAAGGCAAAGAAGCCATATGGCTTGATCATAGGCCAGAGACCTACTTAGGTTTGACTATTTGCTCCATGCCAAACATGTTCATGGTCCTTGGGCCCCACCAGCCATTTGGAAATGCCCCACGCACAATTGAGCATGCTGTGGCCGTGGTGACTGACTTGCTGCAATATTGCAAAGACAATGGTTATGACTATGTCGAGCCCACGCCTGAAGCGGTCGAGAAGTGGACTGCGCATGTGGTGGAGTGCAGCAAGGGACATCTTTCCAATGAGGTTGACAGCTGGATGACTGGTGTGAACAAGAATATCAAAGGGAAGACTGTTCGCTCTGTTGCGAGGTACTCTGGTAGTGCGGTTGAGTATCGCCGAAAATGTGCTGAGTGTAAAGTAGCTGGCTGGGAAGGATTGAAATTCCTCACTTCTCACTCTGGCAGCGAATAGGTGCATGGCGCTAGAAGAGAAGCATCTCATCTATAACCTTTGGGCCTGTACTATTCGTTCCATGGCGTGGTATACCATACGCCCCTCGACCTTTGGACAGCAGGATGCCATGGTTGCACGTTCCGTATGACGATTGGAGTCTATCAGTTTTTAATAGAATTATTCTTTGTTGGTCCACGTCAATGCTGCTTGCAGATAGTCGTCAGCCTCCCGCCGCTTTCAAATTAGAGTAGCCCGGTGAGGAAGTAGGTACCTGACACTTTTGGTGTTCAACTTTCTTCTGCCACACACAAAAGTAAATACAGAAGTAAAAATTCGGAGACCCCCTCCAAGCGCCCGGTTAGACCGAACCCTTGGTGGGGAGGTCCTTCATGGACACAGCCCTTCATCAAGCTCAGCGTCGTCGTCATCATCATCTTCACCAGAAACTATCAGGACTTTCACTCATCGTTGGGGTCGACTCCATACACTGAAATCCCTGTTGCTCACGGCAAGGTAAAGCGACCACTGTATAAGTGTTAGCGTGAGGGAGCCAAGTGAGACATGATGACCTTACCTTTGACTGCTCGTTGATTCTCAGCAAGTAAAGCGGTATATTATGTGCCACAAGGCTGCGATTTGTAAAGCAATCAGAAAGTAAAGATAAAATCCTTGAAAAGGGTACACAAGGCAAAGCTTCAACTCCCGGAGGTAAGAAGAAGAAGTCGATCATCCAGAAGGAGGAAGGACGTAAGGTAAACAAAAAATTCTCGGACTCGCTCAGAAGCAAGTCGAAGCAGCCATCAACACGAAGGAGGATAGACAAACCTTGCTTGAGAAGGTGATCAAAAAATTCTCGAATTCGCGCGAAAGCAAATTGAAGGTGTCGCATACGAGGCATGCCTGCGTTGTTATATATATATACCTTGTCGAGTGTCGTAATGTTGTCAAGATGTTGAAGCGTTGTCGTCCACCATGCCTGCCTGTCGCTCATCCCAAGTATCGAATTGTTGTCGAAGTATTTAAAGTGTAGGAAGCTGAAATGTCGAAGTGTCGGAGTGTCGAAGTGTCGAAATTTTGTCGAAGGGGTTAAGTGTCGGAAGGTCTGGTAGATCATGGAAGGAAAGGAAAGAAGAGGACGAGGAAAAGTTGGGGGTAATTATAGTCTGGAGATAGTGAAGTGAATTCACGACACGTCCCAATTAGGACATGTTTGCTCCAGTGATCTTCTATTTCTGTGGCCTTTTTTGTTATGATTGAGAAATGTTTTCTATCAATATCAGTTGCTCTCCAAATCCAGACGAGGTGTCGCCTGGGGTTATGCTTTCAAATCTAGGACAGTATTTCATTTCAAGTTGACGTCTTCTTTGATCGGCACCGCTCAACCTGATTCGTATCCTATAGAAATGGAGTCTCTGGTCAGCCTGGCTCTGGGGATGTGCATCGTGAATTTCCAGGAGTCAAGGTATAACATTGTGGAGGTGTAGTCAATTTCAAACTACTGCAGAAGTCAACTGGTGGCTTTCAAGTTGACGGCGGCTACAACAAATGTAACATCGCTTGGGTTTTAGGGAAAACCCCCAAATATCTTTTATTGTGACATTTGGAGCGGATACCTAAGTACCTAGCACTAAATTTCATTTTACTTATGCAACTAAAAATGCATATGGCCTGGTTCTTTCTTGTATAATTGGCTCTCCAATTGTTAAGGTGAATTTGGACCGTGAGGCGGATTGCAGATTTGTATAAGGGTACCGTACAGTATTGTATTGGTTTGATAACCGTAATTTGCAAAATGTTGCACCTTAACGATAATACAGGAAGAGCCGGACCCAGCACACATAAAGACCGTCGCCCCCTCCCGAATGTGCCAAAAAAATTCAGCAAAGTGACCTTGTTTATCGGTGATGGCAACAACCCTAAAAGAATTTGCTCAATTAGAGCCCCTCTGGGACAAAGCAATTCAGTCCCCAGGAGATATCTCATTAGGGGAGAAATACTTGCTGATGGAATGGCCGCCCCAAGACGAGATGCAAGCTAACGCCAATAAATACCTGGGCATGTCGGTGGAAGACTTGTTTCGAAAGGCTAGCGGAGACCCTCACTCCCTGACATACCCGGAATGTCGTCTCATTCGCGATAACTTCCGCATTATTGGAATCCTCGACCAGGGTGATCGATTCTGTTGGCGGCGGAAGCGTCCCGACCTTTACACTAAGAGAAATCAGGCCCGAGAGGCTGTGTTAACATCAACTGAGCTATATGCCGTCCAAGCTGTGGATGAACTATTCTATCAAAAAGAAGAAGAGGCCTTTGAGGCAAATGAAGAAAAGCGACAGCAAAAACCGCCACGACATATGCCGCGAGAGTGGGTACAAAAGATCATTGATCGAACAGACGATAAGAGCTGGGGTTACGTTTTCTATCATCCTAAGGGTATGGCCGGATGGGATGCGCTTATGGAATTATTTAAGGGCGTTTTTGAGATGCCCTTGTATTTCAACGGGTATGAAGAAATACACGATTTCAAATTCGCTCAATTCATCCCAGTTGAGACAGAAGAGGCAGAAATAGGATATTTGAAGCAGTGAGTCAGTCCGATCTACGTTGACTTATACCTAATATCTAACATAAGAACTAGGGAATTTCTAAGCCGTCGTGAGAGAGGTGACCTAAAACCTGGTGTTATGAAAAATGTGTTCTTCTTCATAACGGATGAAGATCTTTTATCTTGTGGCACATACGGCCCAGATCAGTTTTATGGACATCTTTTGGCGATCGATCCCGACTGGCCTTTATCAAGACTTGATGAAGATGATGATGGTTATAATGGCCAACTTAAAATCAATATAGCGCTAATATTCTACCGATTCTACGAATTCATGTCCATGGAGTATTCACTGAAGGATATTTGGCGGGATTTCCATTTCGTGAATTCTAATAAGCTATACCCAGCCTCCTGGGGGGAGCTAGAAGCTTGGTGCATTACGCACCTTGATCAGCCTGTATGGCCTTGGAATTGAGGTCTTTAAAATTTGTTGAAATTTCCGGTCTTGTTATTTCTTGCCTCATCCTCTTTTCGCGACCAGGGTATCATCCCTGACTACATTCACCCTAACAGACTTTGTGCTCTATTTTGGCCTGTCCAAATGTTATTGGGCGCGTTGGGATCGATGGAAACGTCAGTGCACTCGTCTTCATTTGCGAGAGCAAATCGCACTGTTCATCCATTAGCACGTTGCAGGTTGTCACCATTTCCACCATTTGGATAGGCTACTGACGTGATGATCATGATTCGCTTCAGGCCTGTCACTGGAACAATACCACAATTGATGGTGAATTCCCGGGGAGCACCATCACGCCTGTCCAATATATGAAGATATCTTTTTGTTGATTCGCTGTCTGAATTGGTTCCGTAGGTATCCAAGTCGATCGAATATTCAGTATCCCACTTGTCAAGATTACTGACAGGGCACGTCAATTTCGAAGCGCCAGAGGCTGTACAATTCTTGATCATTTGGTTCCAATAGGAAAGGTTGCAGATAATGCGTCCAGCAAGATCCTCTGCAATTGTAGGAAAGAACTCGTCAGCGACATCTTTTAAGAACGGAAATAGGGTGGTAGACACCAGGTAGATGAACTTAGCACCTATGATGTCGTTCCAGGCTTTGATTCCCTTGACGGCCTGGGAGGTCATGGTGGTCGCGCGATGTGCGTAGATAATATCCCTTAGCACGATGAGAATTTGATTGCTTGTGAAGACAGTCTGGTCCTGACGTTGTATAAAGATGTATTAGAGGAGCTGGTATATCGAGGAGCACATCTCAAACTGAGCATATCTGAATGTCCCCTTTTATCGACAGGGTCAAAAGTATCTCCGTAATTATACCCATAGCCGGCAGAACATTTGGGATTGTCCCTTCATATTGAACGGCACTGCCCACTTCCTAGTAGGTAGGCATAGAGCTCTATCCAAGATGGTCAATCATCTAATTGTCACTGTGTCTTTTTCTCTTGCTCGGGTGTTTGCCCGGTATACAGGAAGAAATTAAGACAGACCAAATAATCATTTTGATTTTTGGTTCATTATCATAGCAATATTTATCAGTACATCAATCTGGATAGGACATCTGGCTAGGAAAGTATCCGCGCACATTCAAGATAGGCAGGTTTGCGCTATTTTGCTCCACCCTTATCGGTTCCCCGCAAATCTCAGTCTCCACCCAAGATGTGCATCAACATCGTTGACCTGGCCGGTCCACTGCATTCACTATGGCAGGCGACAATTCTGAGCGGGCCGAGGCTAGCTCACGTACACGATCCTTCACTGGGTGCGCAACGGTATGTCCTCCTCAGCTTTAAAGTGGCATCAACTGACATCAGTAGTGCCGGCGTCGCCATGTTAAATGTGATGAGGGACATCCAACATGTTCTATGTGCTCGTCCTCGGGTCTATCTTGCGCTGGCTACAAGAAAGATGTTTTTTTCGATGCAAGAAACCCCAACAGTGGGGTTCGCTTTCGAAGACCCCCATTGACGGAAGACGAGCGCCAAAGAATGAGTCAATGGCTAATATCGGCCGCACCTCCCAAATCAACAAACCAATTACTCTTGACAATCGACGAAGAAAGCGAGAAATACAAATCGAGTCACAAAGGACTGCAGCTTTCTTTTGGTCCCTTCGGGGTCTTTCAAGTGCAACTGGAGCAAGATAAACCTGCTTCGCCAGATGGCCCTTTACCACCTGTGGAGGAATTTGAAGATGCATCTACAAGCAGTCCTTCGCAAGATATGCCACAGGTCCTGGATATCTTCCCCATCACCTCTGAGTTCTCACAATGGTCGCCTGGGTTTATGCAATCACTTCTTGAGCAGCCCGATCAAAGCTCTAGTCCATTGTCCCCAGACTTGCTGGGCATGCCAATGGATCAAACCCATGTGGATACTTCAATCCTCCCACGAGAATATCAGCTCACAAACTTTCTCTCGGATTCATATTGCAATCCAATGTCTCCCACCTCTCTCACCTCCCCTCCCAGTCTCACCAGGGCCATCCCCCAGGATGCCGTTTTTCTGTTGAGACACTACTCATCAACAGTTATAAGTCTCATGACCCCAGTCAGGCATAAGAAGACCCCTTGGCATATCTTATTCATTCCCCATGTCAAGGAATGCCTAGCAGCTTTGGCTCTGGGTGAAGACATGAGCCACGCTAGCCTATGCAACTTTTACGGCACCTTGGCCATCAGTGCATTCAGTCTGGGTGGAGTCTCTCGTTCTAAAAAATGGCTTGAGCAAGGAGAAACATATCTCCAACGCGCACGAGAACATGCAAAGTTAATGCTTATGACCGCCTACGATATTCCAAAACCAGCAAAATACAAAGCCATCTTGATGGCGATCCTCACTATGGTACAGGTTTCTAACTTCTCTGGACGTGGAGACCGTCACCAAACAGAGATATATTTCTTAGAGGCTGAGAAGCTTATCCGACTTAAAGGTCTTAAGCGAAAGAAGTCCCGCAAGGTCCGCCTCCTACATCACTGCTACGTCTTTGAACGTATGTTCCACGAGAGCATATTCATATGCGGTGCCAACTCGGTTCAGCGCCGCCATGTCCGTCGAGCAGTCGAATCCAGCGGCCTTTCTCGCTGCAGCGTAGATGGGCTTTCTTTTCGTCTGTATAAGTGGCAGAACCTGGAAAAGGAGATGCTACGTGTGAGAGATCGCGAGGAAGGTGAAAATGACCTACATCTTGAACGACCGGGGCTCTTCTCCGCAACACTCTACCCCGAAATATATGGTGTCCCAGAGCCATGGCTTCTTCTTCTATCCCTAGTCATCCGTCTTGGGGTCGAGAAAGATGAATCAGAGCAAGAGCTCAATGGCAATGGCCTCAATCTCAAAGATTATATCAGTCGTGCCAAGGCACTAGAGGACTATATCAACCAAATGCAGCAACCCAAAGAGCCATTCTTTATGACTCATCAATTCTCTATTGACCAACATATTCTCGAAACCATGCTCGAAGCCATGCGGCATGCTCTAGCCATCTACTTCTATCGGCGTATCCATAACCTGAATGCTTCAATGCTACAAGACAAGGTGGCCAGTGTCCGTGACTGTTTGCTACAGTGCGAGTACGCTGACTCGAGCGTCGTGCATGGGTCCGCGGGTTTTATCTGGCCTGCTTTCATTGCGGCCTGTGAAGCCGAAGACCCTGAGGTGCAGAAGTCGTTTGCTTCTTGGTTTGATATCTCTGCACAACGCAGTGGCCTTTCTTGCTTCAAACAGACACTAATATCAATTGAGAAGATCTGGGAAGAGAAGTGTCGGGCCCAAGGGCGTAGTTTTACATGGTTGGATCTTATGAGGAGAGCTGGTTCTCAACAGCAGGGCTTGGTCGTGTAATGATACGAAGCTTCCAGCGTCACTGTACAAAGCAAATCACTGTCTGTGATGTTCAATACTGTGAACTAGATCACCTGCCATTTATATTCAACGAATGATTTGTCATACCTACTCTTTCTTCCAAGATTGTCCGCCTACCTCTAGGTCTCTACTTCTCCAATTCCGTTGTAGTCTCCTCAAGACCCACCTTCTACAATGCGCGTGATAATCCCCGCATTTCGTGGCGATATGCAACTTGCCTAAATGATCTTCGATAACAGCCATCTGGCGGTTTAGGAAGGCTTCCGCGAACCCCACTGCGAAGTATACCCCGTTCTCCAGATTTGTTTACCACCAAAACAACCCTTGAAACTAATTATTATTGCTTGGTTCTCCTGTTACATCTTTCACAAGACCCATTTTTTTCAAACAACTCACAATGGACGTCCCCGGCATCGCATTGATCACAGGAGCCGCCTCAGGCATCGGCAAAGCCTGCGCAAACGCCTTCGCCAACGACGGTGCCTCCGGCCTCGCCTTACTCGATATCAACCAAGAGGCCCTAGACGCAGTCAAAGCCGAGATTGAAGACAAACAAAAACAAAAAGGTGTTGCGAACTCCATCCGCATCGAAGTCTTCCCAACCAACATCGCGGATGAGACCCGAGTCAACAAGGTAGTCGAAGAAGTCGCGAAGAAATTCGGCCGCATCGACTACGTAGTCAATGCAGCCGGTATCGCCATGAAACACCAAGGCGGCGCAGCATTCTGCGAAACAAGTGACTGGGAACGAATCTTGAATATCAACCTGTCGGGAACATTCTTTGTTCTTCGTGCTGCGGCTAGGATCATGCTTAAACAGGATCTTATTCTGTCCAGCATTGATGGAAGACCTTTGCAGCGTGGGTCAATTGTCAATTTCTCTTCTATTCAGGGTGTTGTTGGAATCCCGTTATCGACTGCTTATACGACGAGCAAACATGCTGTTATTGGGTTGACAAAGACTGCGTCCGATGATTATGCGAATCAGGGATTGAGGATTAATGCTATTTGTCCCGGTTATACTGAGACGCCGCTTACGACCAAGTCACCGCAGATTCTGCAGGCTATGATGGAGCGGGTTGCAAGTATGGTGCCAATGGAGCGCATGGGAAGGCCGGAGGAGATTGCTGATGGGGTTCTGTATCTTGCTGGAGGGCGCAGTTCTTTTGTCACTGGGTCTTCGTTGATGGTTGATGGTGGTTACACTGCGCGGTAGAGTATAGATCGAGCCCGCCAATCAAACGTCTACATTGCAAATTTACAGAACCTGTGAATATTTATAAGTGACTACAGAATACGCAAATATTCTATTCTATTTGTTTCTCCAAATTGTTAATTAACTTTTGATGACTAAATTTTAATCTAGAACGCCGATAAGCTGTCAGCCGTCTGACATCATCACTGGCTGATGCTTTAATCGACTCGACGAGTAAGAATGTCTGTAAAAATAATACATTTCCCTTATAAAACCCTCTTACCTTTACACTGAGTGTCATTAAATATGAGCAGAGCAAATCTGGTATATTCCTTGAACATTACATATCGTGCTCGGGCCTTCCAAAGGTCTCAATCGATCGCACCCCTCTTCGTACATACCAGATACGTTTCCACCAACACAAAACGGCCCTTTAACCCAGGGAAATCCGACATTGAACATAAAGGCATTCACCTACAAAAAACCAACATGAGCAGTCAAAGAGTCCCCATCGAGCCCCAGCGCGTCGACGCACCATTGACCTCGTCAGCAACCTTCTTGGTGGTAACAGCAACCGATAAACCGGACGCAATTAAGACCATCCGCTCAACCCTCGCGGGCCTAGACAGCCTCGCAAAGAACGTGTCGATACGCGACCTTAATGCCCAATTTGCCTGTACAGTAGGCATCGGCAGCGCAATCTGGGACACCCTCACCGGCCTGCCTCGACCAAGCGAACTTCACCCCTTTCGCGAGGTCAAGGGATCCAAACACACCGCTGTTTCCACACCGGGAGACCTACTCTTCCACATCCGCGCCGAGCGCCGAGATCTCAGCTTCGAGTTCGAGCGCCAGCTACTGGACCAACTAGGTGATGCAGTATCCGTAGTCGACGAAACAGTCGGATTCCGCTACTTTGATGTACGCGATCTACTCGGTTTCGTAGATGGGACTGCTAACCCGGTTGGTCCTTCTGTTCCATCTTCTGTGCTCGTTGCCGAGGAAGATACCTCGGCGCAGGGTGGAAGTTATGTTGTTGTGCAGAAGTATACTCATGATCTTGAATCGTGGAAAAAGCTTCCAGTTGAGATGCAAGAGAAGATCATTGGACGGACTAAATTCGAGAATATGGAGTTGGATGATGCGGAGTCTGGGCAGCGGTCTCATAAGACGCTTAATACTATTGAGGATGAGGATGGGAATGAGCATGATATCCTAAGGGACAATATGCCTTTTGGATCGCCTGGCAAAGGGGAATTTGGAACTTATTTCATTGGATATACGCGGAGATTGTGGGTTATTGAGAGAATGTTGGAGCGGATGTTCGTTGGGGATCCGCCTGGCCTGCATGATCGCATTCTGGATTTCTCGACTCCGTTGACGGGAATTACGTTTTTTGCGCCGTCGGCGAGTTTGTTGGCGAGTTTGGACTCGGATTGAATACAGCGTTGATTCAAGGTACAGAACACTGAACGCAAAGATGAACAGCTCCTGGTCATTAATTGTCAAATATTGTCGGATATCATTGACCTGGTATATTAGATGATAGACTCAATCAACTCTTCACATATTTTAATTCACAATTGAACTCCAATTCACCCCAACAGCCTTTTGAACACTTTGAGCAGGTAATCCAACCATTCCCTTCCAAAACTCCGACGTCCCAGGTGGGACTAGCTCCTCCACCTCCAACGAGATCAATGTACTAAACACCCAATCCTGACACTTTCTCCTTCCATCCCTCGGAGCCGGCTCCTGGCTAATGACCTCAATGGCAAATCTCCTCTGCTGAGAATCCAGCGTGGCAAGCTTGCACAGACCCAATGCCTGCATGATATTGAGATCAGTGCCAAAACGGGGCTCAAACTCGTACCAGAGTTTCTCGATATCGACGGGGCGGACGTGCAGGAGGTCACCGAATGATCGGGTTGGTTGATGGATGACAAAGCCCCAGTGGGAACGATGTTTGGGGTCCTCGCCTGTGCCGAAGACTTCGATTGAAAGATGGTATTGCATTGAATTGTGAGGGTTTGGATGTGAATTTTCATCTGGAGATGCGAGATTTGCCATCTTTATAGAAGACCGCTTATAATTGCATGTTTTGAGGCTTATGTTGACGAGTCAAAATGTAAAAAGCGGGGAGCGGCTTTGTGCTTGGGAAAACACCACAAAAGAAGCTCCACGTCTCGCGCAGACGCCACATTCAGAGTTTCACAGAACCAATATAGATGATTTTGGTTCAGCTGAAGTATTTTGCTTATCACTTCAATGCTATTGGACCGGATTATCTCTGTGAGGAACTGGGGTGGCTACAATGCATTTCAAGCCGATTCTAAGGTATATTCATAGCTATTTACGATCATGAGTACAGTAAAAGGAGTCCTAGAATGAGGGTATTGCAAATAGAAAATTGAAAAGTCGCCCGAAGACAAAGGGTAGATCATGCAAAGTGTACGCAATTAACCGTCCCATAAGTCTATCAAACAGTCATGACAGAAAACACATGAAACAAGACTCAGGTTCCAGTCATTAAAGAGCCCACTCGTCTGTCTCCGAGGCAGCGATGAAGGGCTTATCAATCTGCTTGATGGCATGATCACCGCAAAGAATACTGAAACATGTTAGTTAGAGATACAATCTAATACGAGAAAAGGACTCACCAAGTCTCAGCAACGAGTCCATCAAGCTCCTTGACAATCTCCTCTCGCCGGGAAGAAGAAGGATCTCCCTGGCTCAATTGTGCCTGCAGATCCCGAATATACTTCTTCTTGCCTCCTGCACCCTCCAACACCTCTTTACCAAGGCAATCACTGTGGAACGCATGCTGACAGGGAAAGACGAAGAATTGGCGACTCAGTAAAGGCAATGAACAGATCCAACACTTCTCGCCAGGTTCCACAATTGCATAGCGAGTATCCAAGCTAGCAATCTCGTTGCGGATCTGGCGGGCCGTATTGGCTGAATTATCCATCTCCTGGCGCAGAGCATCAATGTGACGTGAGTAGTCTTCCAATGCGGTACAGATCTCATCTTTGAAGTCGTCAATGACCACAAAGTCCGGAAAGAAGGGAATAAGGTCCTCAATACGGAGAAGTTCGCAGCGGCGCAGGAATTCGATCGCATCTTTGATGCCGGTGCCTGGCTGACGGATCTTCTTCTCGGCCACTAGAAGCCAAAGTTTCTTGCGGAGCTTGTTGTTACCTTCGGGACGATCGGCGACGATGGCAGCGAGTTCAATATCATCATGCTCCAGGGCAAGCTCTACTGCCTGCAGGTACTGGCCCATGGCGCTGTAGATATGGATGCATGACTGCACTCGCTTGTGCTGGATGCACAGTCGAAGAGCAAAGTCCGCATCGTATGCAGGCGGCGACGATGGTTGTGACTGGAGATAGGTGAGCAGCCCAGCTTCTGAGGTGGACTGACTGGAGGCGTGGATGGAGATGAGCGTATTATGAACAGCAGCGGAGGGATGCGGATGATTGACAATAATGAAGTTCAAGTATCGCACGGCCTGGTTATTATTCAAAGCGACACTGGCGGTCTTATTATAGTTTAACAGTGCGGGAATAAGCCGTTCTGGGTCAAGATTGGTTTGTCGCATCAAGATCTCGATCAACCCTGTAGCCGCATGTGTCATAAGCACACTGCTGTACTTGTAGAATACGTCGGGCTCGCTCTGTCGCTGAAGAACATTAAGAGCTTCAGACCATTTCTCTCGCTGGATCCAGTAAGATAAAACGTAGTTGAAATCACTAGCTACGGTCGCAAAGAAAAGTAACTCTTCTTCACGACCATGGCTGCTGATGATGCCATAGACGGTCTTCTTATCCAGGTCAGTCTTATGCTTAGTGACAAATTCTTGGAATTCAGCTCGAACAGTGCCAAGTTCATCCTTTATTTCTCCCGTGGTGGCACCATCGGTCAACTCCGCTTTAGTTGCGATATTATCATCCAGAGAGTTCAGTTTGGACATGAAAAGTTCCACCAGCCAACTTGCGACCATGAGTCTCTGCATGACAGATGCTTTTTTGTATGTTGATATCTGCGAGAGGAGGTATTTGCGCAAAGCATCATACTCCTTATTGTCGATCATTGTCAGGCAAACTTCTTCGAACCCTTTGCTGCTCTTGCCCCATACTTTCGCTGCCTCGAAGAAACGGCCTTCTTTGGCTAGGGAATCGCCTGACGCAGTCAAGACTGTATCACGCTGTGCGGGACTGCGAGCATATTGAAGCGCTTCATCAAACTTCTGCTCGCGGAGAAGAACCTTCCACACGTCTCTATCTTCGTCGTTGGCGACAACTTCATAGATCTCCTGGCTGGTGAAAAGCCAATAGGTGTTTTGAGTGAGATCCGTCAGAATACCTAGAGAACTTTGTCTAGGCTCCAAGACTGTTTGCTCGTACACAATCTCTTCATTTAGACGGTTGACCGCAACGACCTTTCCTTCAACAAGCGCCAATATATGCCACTGGGACAAGGCCATTGCCGTGATTGGATCCTGGATCATCTTTTTTCCACCTCGCGCAGATTCAGAGGCGGGAAACTTCGAGCGTGGGAGCATCTTCGCATTTTCAAACGGAGACGAAGAGGCAAGTTGGCCATGATAGATTCCATGGGAGCTGAGCCACGCAAACTCCTTTCCAGTGTATCCTTCAGCTTGGGATCCCCCAGCAGTAGATGTAGATGATGAGACCGTCAATGTTGATGGCGCAGAGCCAGATGGATGCGGGATTTCATAGCTCAGGGGTGTCTCGCGTTGGAAAAGCTCCGCATATATAGATCCACCCCCTTCCCTTCCATGTTTCGTAGACCCAACTCGACCCAAGAAATGAACCAAGCCTCCATAGGCTGCGACGATAATCCTTCTCTGGTCGGCTTTCGAGGAAACTGCCTCGGCGCTGATGCCAATGACGGGTGAAGCATCTGTCACCTTGTAAACAGCAGTGACATATTTCTCCTCGCGCCGATAGAATTCTGTCGATGGTTCGATGTATGTTTCATAGACACTACCATCCGTCGTACCCAAGAGGATCTCGCGTGTTGAGGCAGTTGGTAACGAAGGGTTCCAGGCAATGCTTTCGATGGATACACCCTTTAAGCGGGACAGGGCTTTAGGGTGTCGCGACTGGGTATGGAGGTAGTAATTTTCGCCGAGGGTAGTGCTGATGATAAGATGCGATGCAGAGGGATCAAGAAACATGCGGCGGATCAAACCGATCTCTGAGGACTTCTTGGGCAAGTCGATGTCTGTTTCAAACGAACACTAGTAAGCTCCGCCGGGTCCGGTCACGATTGCGGGGAAGGGCTCTGATCTATCTTACCATCGATATCCTCTGGGGAATCAAGATCAATCCGGAGAATTCGGTTGGTCGAGAGAGCCAGAATTAGCACATTGTTGGCGACCTGCGCCGCCACGAAGTCGGCCGCGATGGGGAACTGGAGCTGCACCCGCTGCACGTCGAATATGGGTAGGGAGTCTGCGGGCTCAGTCAGGTTGTTGGGAGCAACATAACTGCTGGATCCGTCCAGCGCCATTTTGACCAGCTATATCATGCCGCCCGTCGGTTCCGGGCAAGCTGCAGAGGAGCTGTTGGAGCTTAAGGTTGACGAGGGAAGACAAGCTGGAATGCGGAGGACGGGTGTGTGCCTGGATGCCTAAGGCCAGGCTACAACTCAACTACGTGAGGCTGGGAATGATACAAGCGGAGAATCGACTGACGCTGGGGTAGACTCTAGGACTTTAATTTCTCTAGAATGTATTTCTTCATGCCTCATGCATTGGGTATCATCAATCGAGAAGAAGAAGAAAAAAAGCCAAGCAGAAATCATTAGAACATATGTGCTTGGGGGTATCATGAATCCACCAGAAATAAAAACCGATTCCCATATTACATCACAATGCATTCCCGCTCTGGCTTGCGGACCTTTTCCTTCGATTTCTCCTTGCTCTTCCCTTTCATACCACGATCTTTAGTGCGCCCTCGTCCATTCTTCTCTTTGCCTTCGGCTGATTGAGGCGGCCCCAGCTTTCTGTCCTCGGGGGCGGGCTCGTCCACATAAACAGCCAACTCGTCAGCCTCACCCTCACTGTCAATGGTGAATCTGTCTTTGCTAAGCCGACCAGCAAATCGGGAAAAGGTTGCGCCAATTCGATTCTCACCAGACTGGCTACCAGCACGGCTTCCCGAGTTGCTCTTGGTGGCACGGGACCCGCGTCGTGAGAAGGGGAATCCTTTGCTGCTGTCCTCTTCCATAGGTGCCAGTCGTGGCGAGGAAGCGGGCACTGACCGAGGGTGAGGGGGGTTGTTGCTAGCTTCCGAAAAAACAATGCTACTCGGTCGGCCACCGCTGGTTGAGAGTTGGGGAGCGGTGTCTGGTGCGGTTATTTCAACGCTGGGTCGAGCGGAGCATCCGTCCTCGGTCATACTGCCGTCGGTTGTCTCATCAATGGTCTGGTTCGTGAACTTCTTAGAGAATTCTATCATGTCCACATCAAGCGTAGCATCTGAAGCCTGAGAGGACGTGGCCTGGCTTAGATAATTTACCATGGATGCATCCTGGTCGATGGGGAGGATCTGGTAGAACAGGAGATAGGGCGATTCCGTCTTCAGGGCTTCTTCGATGTCAATTAGAGTCACCCGTTCCTGGGCCAAGTCATCAAAGCGCATCCAGTGTTTGGGTGTTTCAGTGGAAATGTGACCTGAGCTATCACTAGAGCCCGGTGGTGCTGGGTTAGGGCTTGTGCCTCTAACAATAGAAATGTAGTGCCCCGAGTCGACTGAATTGCCCCGGTGGCAGACCATCGACTGCAAAGACAATTTAAAATTCCCGTAGATCGGGGCATTTGCATCGAAGTTGTCATCCTGAATGAAGTGGGGCAGGCCAATTTCGGTTGGGATATCGACGTATGTATTCAGCCGAACCGCTTTGCCATTAGGGAGGAACGAATAGCGTTTTAAGCACATGCCAAGAATGGGTCTCTTCAAAGAGAAGTGTGCCGCAACCTGAGCATCATTGGTTGGAGTGTTATCAGTGTACCATGCTACGCGAGTGAAACCATTAGTGCGATATTCATCATAAGTTTTCGAGGGGGAATGACATACGAATGAGGCTGAAGAATTGCCATGCGGGCATCATCACTTCTTTTCTGAGAATACCCCTTCGTTGAGGCGGATTTTCCGAGGCAGGTGAATCCGCGGCGCCTGCAGCATCATCCGGGGAGTCAGGAACAAACCGCTCACGAACTATACTATCCCGTCGACCAATTCTTCGTGCTGATAGATTTTCACTGAATTCCGAGAAAGAAGACCATGGACTTGGCTTCTCAGCGCGAGGCGAAGTAGAATGAATAGACTGATCAGGCGTCATAGTGGGCGTTGTTTCAACCTCCTCCACATGAGATGTGAATCCTTTCGAGATGGATAGCGAATCCATCGATCGAGTGGAGCTCACTGTATTTCGTCGTTCCAGATCCCGCTTCACTTCGATCCTGTTGTTGAAGTAAGCTTCCAGGCAGTCTTCGAGCGTAAGCTTTTGCCCATCGGTAGGCTCTGGTGGAATAGCAACTTCTAGCAGACGCTCGTTGATGAATTTGTGATCGTCGCTAGCATCCTCCTTCCCGAAATGGTAGATGTCCATTTTTAGAGTAAGCAATGGCAATTCTAGCTTTTCTGTAATGAAAGTGAATGCTTCAGAGGCATCTTGCTGCCGAAGCATAGCTGCATCTTTCCAGCCACATTCAGCCAGGGCATCTTGAATGTGTTTTGTCTGAAAGAAGTATTAGTTAGTTTATGTGCCTCGCAGAAAGGATATATTGACGTACAATATCGGTTGTAATCAATCTCCCGGACCGTAGCATATTGACCCAGAATCTCAGCAAGATGACAAGTTTCCGGCGTGGCTCATCGTTGAAAGACTTGTACAAGATCGCCTCAAAGCAGTCAAGACGGGCGAACATGGCAAACAACAGAGCGTCCAGAAAGCAGGTCACGCCCTGGCGGTTTTCCGCGCCGAGGAGTTTGGTACTTGGTGTATAATTTCTGATAATTCCCTCGATCGAATCTTCCAGTAACAACAGCAAACTTATTGCTTTATCGACGTCGTCCTTGGTGGACTTCAATGCATAACTAAAATGACGCTCCTCCAAGGCTGCGATTCCCATCGCTCGAATTCGGGCTTCAACTGTCTTGATCTATTGATCGATCCAAAAGATTAGAGGACAGGGGACAGATAGCGACCGGGAAATGAGGGGCCACCAACCTTCTTCTGGTGCTCTTGGTTATCCTCGCTTGCGGGGTGAGAGTCAAAGAATCCGTGAAATAAAGGGAGTGCAAGGGCGTGTGTTTTCTAAAAAGAATGGCGATATTAGCATTCATGATTCATAGTGCACAACCATGCCTGGAGCGACAGTAATGGTTTTGAAAAGGGCAAAATGGCGACCATACCTCTTCATCTTTGCCATGCTTGCGCCGGTCACGGCGAGTGAGAAAACGATGAATTCCGCTCATATCGGAGGCTGTGTAAATCAAATCTGAATATTAAGAGCCCTGGTCCCCCTAATGAACAGGGATGTCAAATGGATCGACAAGATCTCTAGGTAGGCGACATGCGGAGAGGCGGGTTAGGAAGCTCTATTAGACTAACGCCGGGCGGAATCGAGGCTGCAAGATTCCCATGGAGCGCCTGGAGAACACATCATCTGCCACAATGGCTCTTAGCGTAGGGCACGGGATATGTTAGAAGAACCACTCAGAATTCGAGAATTGGTGAATGCAAGATGATTCGAGAAGAGATCGCGGGATGATCAAATGAAGCTTAGACATGTTGATCACTTGCGCGGGGCATTGACACCTAACTTTCGCCCGATATATCAGGCGCCAATATACACACGTGACTTCTTCCGGCTTGCAAACAATTTTCCCGAATGTCCCTGGGACTCTAGAACGTCGAGTTCATCAGCACCATATCTCTCCCAACACACACAATGGCTTCCAGGGAGCCATCCAGATACCTGACAAGGGCATTGCCCCGGGCATTTGCACCTTCTGCTCGTTCCCAGGCCTTTTGGGGACGGCGCAATGTCTCCGACGAGGCTCCGGTTAGGCGTCTGTCCGATCTGGAGACCGAGTCTTCATTGATGACGGCTGTGTCCGAAGATGCAGCAAAGTCCTTTGACCCTATTGCGCGAAGCAAATCCCGCAAAAACCAGCTTCCACGGTCTCGGTACGTAATAATCAAGTCGCGACCTGATTCCCTTACTCGTGTGACAGCGAAGAGCTATCTCCATGATAAACAAGCTTGACTAACCCAAATCTCAGTTACCAATTCCGTTCCCCGAAGTACAATCGCGGTCCTCTTCACCCTCACCAACCGCCTCCTCCCTCCGATCCCTCATCCCGTCTCTTCGTCCCGGGCCCCTTCGCTCTTCCCCGTGCCGAGCAAACCTACAACTCGACCATCGCATCTGACATTCTCACTCTTTGCTACGTCCACACTCCTCCGGGCTTCACCCCTCCCCCTAAAGCGCCGCGTCTGCGTGAATGGGACGACAGCTCGCCGTACCACAAGAACCGTCCTCTCCGCGGTCCCCGTGGTGGAGATGTGCTGCGGTTGATCCGCAAGCCGATCAAATTCAACAACATCCCCAAGATCGAGCGCATTACTATCCACAGTTACGTGAAGCAGGCTGCGCAGGACAACTCTGCGTGGTTGCACGTTGCTGGTATGGCCGTTCAGGCTATCTCCAATGTGCGTGTGGAGACCTACAAGTCCAAGGCCAGTGTTGCTACCTGGAGCATTGCTCCCGGCCGTGACACCGTGGCTGTCAAGGCTGAGCTCCAGGGTGAGACTATGTACCATTTCTTGGGCAAGCTGATTGATGTGGTCCTGCCTCGCATTAAGGATTGGCCCGGTGTTAAGGGTAGCAGTGGTGACAGCAGCGGAAACATCACGTTCGGTCTGGAACCGGAGAATGTGGCCATGTTCCCCGAGATTGAGATCAACTACGATATGTGAGTTTTTTGTCCTTTGCCATGGACCGTCATGTCAAGCTCTTGGTTCTAATATTTCACTCTAGGTACCCTCCCAAGATGATCCCCGGTTGTCACATCACCCTACACACGACTGCCAAGGCGGATAAGGATGCCCGTCTCCTCCTCAGCGCCATGGGAGTTCCCTTCTACGGAAAGATCATCCACTGAAGTGCTAGATAAGTCGCCTACGGCACTGCTGGCCCTGATTTTTCTACTTTCTCCTTAGGGCGTTCTGTTCCCATAAAACCTGTAACTTTAGAGGTGGCCTGCATAGTGGTCATTGCGATTCACCAACCTTGTGTATTATTTTCAATTTCCAATTCATGTCAAGCGAAACATATCAGAGAAAGACCCTCTTAGCTGTTTACCACTTTACTGAGTAGGTATTGTGGTATGTTGGTGATGATCATCATATTTTAAGAATACCTAATTAAATTTGCGTGGATATTGATATCGTAATACAGACGAGAAGAGAAGACAGGATTAACAATACCTCATCATCCCAGCTTCGGCATAGCCAAGAATTTACACTTCAGCAACTCATCTGCGCTAGGCCGCTTCTCATAATCAACCTGGAAAGTCATGTCCAGGAACTCAACTGCCTCTTGACTAACATGGTCCGGAGCCGGCGGACGCGCCTGGTTGCTACCGATAGCGAAAATAGCCTGCAGCTGACTGCAATCGGGGAAAGGGTGAGCGCCGATGAACATCTCGACGACCAGACAACCCAAACTCCAGATGTCTGCTTTCTTTGTGTGGGCCGTTTGCCGCACAACTTCGGGCGCCATCCAGTAGACGCTACCCTGCAGAGATGGTCGGTTGAGATGACCACCACCGCCATGGCTGGCTCGGGATCCGAGGACATGGGACGCTTCGACACGTTTGGAAATACCGAAATCGGAGATCTTGACTCCACCCTTGTTATCGACGAGAATATTCGCACCCTTGATATCACGATGGATGATATCTTTGCTGTGCAGGTAGGAAAGACCTGCCAGGATCTGGCGGACAAAGTTCTTGACCAGGGGCTCCTGGAAGGTGTTGTATTGCTTCAGCATGGTTGCAATAGAACCACCAGGCACATACTCCAGGAAAATGTTCAGGTGCTCTTCATCGGCAGCTGTACCCAGGTATTGCACAATGTTCGGGTGGTGCATTCCTTGTAGAAGCTCAATTTCATGCTTAAGGGCAGTGACCATAAGGTTTTTGCGTTGATCGAACTCCGTGCCCTTGGTGCCGGAAGGAACCTCAACCTGCTTCACAGCCATAAGCTCTCCAGTGATGGAGTGGAGAGCCAGGAAAACACTTCCGAAAGAACCCTCGCCGATCAGAGAGCCCTTCATCCAGTTTGCCGGTGCGAAGTGATTGCCAGCCAGGAAATCGGACATGCCTGGGTCTTCCTCCTCTTCCTCCTCCTCTTCATATTCGGCTACCATAACACTCATTCGGTCATTACTGGAACCACCGTCGGTGGCAGCGACACTCATACTCTCCTCCAGCAGGCTCTGTCGTGAGTGGTTTGGCTCATCCGAGCCACTATCAAGTGAGACATAAGACTTGCGGTTCGGCTCTGTTGTAGTCGGAGACTCTTCTTGGAGTGGTTGAAGGGTGCTCGACGCAATCGAGTCGCGGTATGAAGATTGGGGAAGGTTGAATTTAGAGATAGATGCTGGCCGCGCACGCGCCGCCGGTGCTCCACCTTGGTGTTGAAGCCAGGCATCGGCAATATTGGGCATTGGGGGGATAGGAGGAATAGAAGGCAACGGCGGAAGTGGAGGCGCGTCCTTCATACTCGACGCAACACTGTAGTTGCTGACAACACTGAGGCGACTTGCAGCACGGCTGAGACGCTGCGATCTCCGCATCGTCTTTTCGATATCTTGTCGATCGTGGCTAGGGAAGAACGAGGGAAGCTCGTGAATAATCATCTCACTTGGAGGTCGCTGGCCGAAGAATGACCGAAGCTTAGCCACTGGATTGCGCTGGTCATTGGGTGACATCTGGTCTTGTTCGATGGAGGGGGTGGAGCGACTGCGAGGTCCCTGTGGAGAGACTGGCTGCTTGGTATTGATAACTTGCCAGGATTCACCTGTGAGCTGTTGGATCTTGTGTTGGTTGCGACGATTAGATCTGTTCAAGGCGATTTGATGTGTAACGGAACTTTCGTCCACAGCCAGCTGTGATGCCCGACGAAGTTCATCACCATCCGGCTCGCCAGCGTGAATCTTGCGCAAGATCAAACGACCGCGTTCGGACTTGCTGACGCCTTCACAAATTTCCATGAGCTCGCTCTCAGTCAACCGTCTGCAGTTCGCCAGATCCGGGTCTAAGCCGTCCAAAACGTAGAAGCAATAGTTCCTGTACTGGTGCTCTGGAAGCTGCAACTTTTTCAGAACGCCAACCATCACCTCATCTGGCGTTTTGCAGTGTCGAATATCAAGGACCTTGGTTTGTCCACCAGTGTAAATAACACGAATCACAGGCGAGTTGGGTGGGAGTGGACCCATTGTCAGCCCGTCAAGACTAGGATTCCGAGGGTGAGAGCTTCTCGAGCCGTCGTTGGCAGTACGACCGGTCCCTGAGCCTCCTGATGATGGCTGATTAAGATAATCTTTGCGCCAGGAGTCTCCAGGTGTTCCAGGTTGTGACGATTTGCCGAATTCCTCCCCTATCTGAGACATGCGTCCATTGCCGAGAGATGGGAAACCTGAGAAGCGCGAAGGTTCAGAGGACAGGGCTGCAGCCTCCATGGCAGCTAATTTGTTCTTTACAAAAGTCAGCATCTCAGTCACAAGTGAATTGTCGAAACTGCATACAATATTCTTTTGCCTTGGGTTCACCATGGCCTTGTTCCGAAGTTGTTTGATCGCAATAAAGATGCGCACTCGATCACCCACTTTCTTGATGCCTATCTCCTGCAATATCTTCTGGTCGCAGTCAATCAGATTGTCGCCGTTAAAGTTATTAGCTACAGCGATGTCAGTCCTTATTCATTCTGCCACAATAATCAGTGAAATGATACCTCTAAAGAACGATTCGTACTGGCCGCATTTGATACTGTGAAGCCATGCGACGACCTTCTTCTCATCCCAAGCTCTATATCGGGTCAGTCAGTGTCATTGTCGAGACCAATGCTGGTTTTTGTCTCACCGAATGGCTGCAAGCTCATCCTGCCCGTCGGAGAATTCGGACTTTGTTGGGCTTGTGAATCCAACTCCATCCACTTTTGTCGCCGTCGCGGGTCGAGGGGTTGTGGTGTGATAAGCTGTCACCGGAGTTGGTGCCCCTAGGGGACCAGCAGAGTACTGGGTTTTAGCCAGCATGGTTGTACCGGGTCCTGCCACGAGCTTTCCTTGCTATTTCGGTATTGAACTTGTCGGATGTTGATTGCGATCGGAGCGCCCTTGCCTCTGCGGACAAGGGCCTTTTAAGCCGAGGTTCGATTCGCAGCCGGAGGAAGATGGTGACCGGTCAAAACATGGTCTCAGCACCTAGGATCTTATGGTCAGCTTTCGTCGTTTCCAAGGCCTTGTAGCAGATTGTTAAATGATGGGGTTTGGGGGCCAAGAGGGGCAACGTTCGTTCCGGTCCGACGACGACATAGCATTGGGGTCCAGTGGCCAGGATGACGGAGGGCTGACTGACCTGCGTTCCACAATGGTACAATAGATGCGAAGGATCCCTGGTGGGCGGAAATGGAATTGGGGAAGAAAAGAAGGCGGGTGACGACTGATCTTGATGTCTGAGCTTTTTTGGGGTGAGATCGGTGGAAAGTGGACTTAGTGTGGTCGAGATCGGGCGTTATCGAGATAAACTCCCCACCGGGCTTGACAAGACAATTAATAAGAAGGAAATGAAAGGAGAAGATCTGAGGGGGGAAAGAAGTCGCACAGATCATAAATGAATTGAAAATTCAGTTCCTTATGAGATAGAGTCTCAACCGTGGTCTGCATCAAGGGGCTGCATCCCCCACACGTTTCAAAAAGGTACAAAGTTTGGTGCCATGTCATGTCTCATCCCTAGATTCTGAGCCAAATTTTTATACTCTCTTAAGGAATATATGGAACATATAGTCTTCGATCTCTGTGCCTTTGTAGTCTGCTCATTTTCTCGCGATACTCCTCAGTACCTGATTAATTTAGATTATCTAGATGTCTAAATATATATGGACCCCGTTGTTCATGGCCCCACTGGTGAAACAGCGACTCTATGGTCTGAAACTAGTCTTGACCATGTTCAGACCCATCCGAATCCCACTGATAGGAGTATTACAATTCACACAATGGATATTGTAATATGCTACTATATAGATAACATGATTCAATTGGTGGTGGTATATATCTCATATCGAGCAGGGTTCCAACCTGGGCCCAAAATTCATTTTCAGCTATGTTAGGGCAAACCTTCTTACCTTGGAAGACACTTGGGGACATTGTTATATTTGATAATGATTCAAGAATTCGGATTTCAAACAGACATATACCTACCTACTTTACTCACTTTCAGGCTAGATCCACGGGCTGTTGGAATTTTATTTTCGAAACAAGGTGCGCCATTGCTTGACTCTTTGGCCTTTCGTTGAAGTTTCCAATTGCAAATACCTGTGGCTATGAGTGTTGATCCCGGCATTTCCACGGAGACATTGGATGCTTGACATCCACGTGGGCTCGGTCATTCTCATGTAATGCACATTTATGTACCTAGTGCGGATGGACGGAGTAACGGGCCATACAATTGCCGTGGAAAGAACCCGATAAACCAACCTTCAGCCCGAACTTGTTCGAGCACGATACATGGGATCATAATTGCTGTGTTTTTTTATTGTCTATAAAGTAGCTACTAGTCAAGGTTCTCCATTTACTCCACCTAGGAAACTCAATGTTTTGCATTTGCATTGGCATTTTTCCAACTCCGGTCCAGCATGGCCTCTCCGCACCAGTGGAGACGACGTGCATAACGGAACCTTAGGCATGTCGGCCATGAAAAACCACCAACCATCAGACCCATCATGATCCCAAAAATATACATTCTCTAGACCTATAACGTCGAACTGTACTTATCGTCTGGTTGTTTCAAACAACACGTGACCGTGGCATCCCCCCTCACAGTGCGCACTAAAACCCCACAGTTCTTTTTTTTCCCCGCTCAGTTCCCAAAGGGCCTCAAATTCTTTCCCCTCTCTCCCCCAAATCGGAAATCCCCAACTTTTGCCCCATGGAGGACGACAAAGCTGCCAAAGTAAAGAAGAAGGGGACCACTCATCGAAAGTCCCTTTCATGCGAATATTGCAGCCGATCCTTTGCCCGCTTGGAGCATCTCCAACGCCATCTCCGCACTCGTTGAGTAACCCCCCCCAAGGCCTCCCTAGTCACTCGCTAATGTAGGACAACTCAGATACCAAGGAGAAGCCGTTCTCGTGTGACATCTGCTCCAAGTCTTTCGCCCGAAGGTAATTCCATAATCAATCTGCTTTTCCCCACATCACATCCCGTCGCAATCGTCCAATCGCTTATTCCGATGCACCCGCAGTGACCTTTTAGTGCGACATGAGCGCCTGGTTCATCCTGCTGAGGCTGCAGCCGGTCGAGAACATCGTACACACAACGGAAATGAGAACAGTCATCATGAGATTCCAGTCCAGTCGACGATAATCCAGCCTGCCCATCACGAGTCGCGCATGCTCGAGTTGGCCGACGCTATTCCCGTCCACACCCAGATTGCACCTCCACCTCCCGAGGTACAGATCCAACAACCACCCCCAATAGTAGAGACGACACACTTCAATCCGTCCTGGGGCTATGACCTCAATTTATTGTCGCATGCTGCAAGTCATGTCGCTTTGGAGGGACAACAGGAGAGCTTGGATTCAATTCGAAAATCGTCGCATTCAGTCGGCACACCATCACAATCTTTTCAGGCGCCAGAGAGAGCCATTACCGATAACTATGGTTTAGAGCCCTCCATCCTTGATCTGACAGACTTGGGCGACCCAGTTCAAGATTTCACGGTTTTTTTGGAAAGTGTGGGCCTGTCATCGGATTGGGATTCCGGAGTATTTTCATCAGTAGAAGAGCCTATGTTGCCTCCAGGTATACCAATGGATTCGAAACATCATGTTCGAGAGACACCATCTTCGACAAGACTGGGTGGTGAACTCATGAGTGACCCACGAATGCACATGGATGAGCAGCCATCTTTCTCTAATTTTGGGTCTCGATTGCCGTCGCTTCAACCCGAATCCCATGAGATTGAGGATCGCATTGGTCTCCAGGATGAAGGCTCACGGCCAGCTTGGGATATCACCAATTCCGATCGGCAAGTGTTCGTCTCAAAGCTCGAGGAATTCTCGTTTGTTCTTCCGAAAGGCTTTGTTCCGCCCTCGCGCCACGCTTTGTCCAGATTCTTCGCCGGGTATATCAACGGGTTGAATGAGCATTTGCCTTTTGTGCATGTCCCTACTTTATCGATCGCCAAGTGCTCACCGGAACTTACGTTAGCGACAGCAGCTGCGGGATCGCACTACCGATTTGAGAATGGTCGGGGAATCGAGTTATTCCATGCGGCTAAAGCCATATTGTTGGAGCGTATTCGTCGAAGAGACAGCCGGCAGGTACCTCTTCCCACGTGGAACTACATTTCTCCGCCTTCTGGCTATCCCAATTCACGGGGTTCTTCGATGATGTCGAACACCGCGAGCAGTCCCTTCCAAACCCAACACCATATGCCAAACCAACCCTTCAATGCCTCAATATATACGCCAGATGACTCAGATGCTCATATGGAAGTGATACGAACTTTCTTACTATTGACTGTATTTGCATCCTGGGAAAAGCAACCGGAACTTTTGCGAGAGATTCTATCCCTCCAGAGTACCCTAGCAAGACTTGTTCGAGAGCACGGCCTCACGGAGGCACCACCTACCATGGAACCCATCAGCTGGGAAGAATGGGTGCGAAGAGAAGGCAACAGGCGGACCAAGCTCATTGTATACTGCTTCTTCAACCTACACTCCATTATGTATAACATTCCTCCTTTGATTCTCAATGGAGAGCTGAAGTTGAATATGCCCTGCTCCCATGATCTATGGAAGGCAAGCAACGCGGTCCAATGGCGCCGAGTGTCCCGCACCCGCCAAGGCTCCGATGTATCTTTCCAGGATGCATTCGCTCGACTTTTCTTAAAATCTTCCACCTCCGTCCCATCCGCCCCGATCTCTCCTCTTGGAAACTACATCCTCATTCACGCCATCATACAACAAATATTCTTTGCCCGTCAACTCTGCCTCTCTGCGCCGAATATGCAAGGCACCAGCTTGAGACAAGAAGATCTCGTCGTCCTGGACAACTCACTGAGCGCATGGAAGGCTTTGTGGAAACGCACACCTGAATCCAGCATTGATCCCCAAAATCCAGCTGGTCCCATCGCATTTACATCCACTGCACTCCTCGGCCTGGCTTATATCAGGTTACATGTTGACCTAGGGCCCTGCCGGCACCTAATTACTCAAGACCCAATGCAGATCGCTATAGCTTTGAGCGAATCACCGCCTATCATCCGCAGCCCGCGACTGATTATGGCTTTACTACACTCTGCTCACGCTCTTTCTATCCCGGTCCGTTTGGGAATCGATTTTGTGGCAAGGACACACTCGTTCTTTTGGAGCATTCAGCACTCCCTCTGCAGTCTTGAATGTGCTTTCCTTCTTAGTCGCTGGCTGCTCGCCATTCCTGCAACGCAGCCAGACCAGCGGTTATCGGAACATGAGCGCAAGCTTCTCTCGTGGATCAAAAGCATGATGGATGAGACCGACATGGCTGTAGATCCGCCTGGGCCGCCAGATTTGGACTTCATGGCTAATCCGTATAAGGTGCGGCAATTGAGTGTCGCTATTGTCCGTGTTTGGGCCCGCACATTCAAGGGCAATACCAGCTGGGCGATCGTGGACCTCGTTGGCTCGAGCTTGGATGCCTATGCAGACCTCCTAGAGAACTAAACGGTCTTGAGTCTTGTATGCTTTTTGAAACTTCAAAATTCAGGACGCGGCTTCCTATATTAGAGAACTTCTCCGATGCCGTGGCCTGGCCACTTTAATGATGTTATTGCTTGAGGGTTTTCATATCTCCTGTTTGTGCTTATGTCTGTTGCTTTCTGGTGGACATGATATCTGTCGGAGTTCTGTACATGTTTTCTTTTTCTTTTTTGTGATTGTTCGGAAGGATCTTCTGGGAGAACTTTCAAGTTATTGTATGTATCATGACTCGTGATTGGTGTCTATACCCGGTACTGCGTGTTTGCCATTGAATTCAAAATTTATTTTCATGCGCTTTTGTCGGGCTTCGTGCTTACCAAATGAATGCTTACAATTCAGGTATTTAATTTCTATAGACTAGGTAATTTTGAGCAAATATGCCAAGGTTTAGAGAATCTGCTCCACAGGTGATTTTCCTGTTGCATAGAGAATGCTTGTGCAATGATCAAGATACATGGCGACACGCTGAAGAAGCTTCATTCATGATCTATTGACTCTTTTCTGCTTTATCCACACAAGATGCGATTTAATTGACCCTGTTGAGCAAGACTCTTCCAAAATTCCTGTCGAGTGTGTCAGGCCATGTGACCAGACACTGTAGCTATATTAGCTTTCCCCTCCTCTCTTTCTTCCCTTAACCAATCACCCACAATATGCTATTTTCGGATATGTCCTGTGCTGAAAGTACAATGTTCCTTTCAGCAGTCAGAAATGTAGACTTTTCCTGACTGGTATATTTGACGATCACTCAGGTGCTTACACGGACATGCATCGCCAGCCGTCTGAACCATTCTCTGCTCGTCTTCCACTTTGATATATCATTTTTGAGTACCTGATCCTTAGATGCCTCGATTGCTCCCTAAGAATAAAACAGATAGACACCGCATTTCTACGCTATTGAAGTTATATTCTGCTCAGCCACCTGGGCACCATCATCTTGTCACTAAGAGTTTATCTATTCTCTATGGATTCACAGACCTATAACTGATCTAGTATCTTCATAGTCTGATCACAATGTCCGAACGCCAAAGTGGTGTAGATCAATGGCTCAGCGAGGAGAAGGGATATGGCTTCATCACCCCAGACTCCGGCCCAGATCTGTTTGTTCACTTTCGGTCAATTGAGGGTTCTGGATTCAGGCAAAGAGGGACAGGCGGTCACTTTTGGAGCAGTCATGGGGGCGAGAACTCCCCAGGCGGATAAAGTCCAAGTGCCAAGTTAATATTTACATAATGCGACACAAAAGTATCTATATAGTCTATTTATTAGGATGTCTCTAGCTTTCTCATGAAACTAGCCTCGCTCCTATCACCGGTATAAATCAGAGTAAGAATGGTATCACAAAATGAGAGATGGACAGCACCTGAGGGGTCTACATGGATTATGAATAGATCTTGGACTCGAACCCAAACTTCAATGATATTCTTGAATCCAAATATTGGAATTCAGCCCTTATTCGTTATCCAAAAGGTCTATGGTATATGTCGTTTTAAGGCCTCGAACGCGATCCTTTCGCCCGGTTCCTCGCGACACTAGAAGGCACAAACCGAAGCGCAGACATGGACCGCTCCAGGTCATCGATTTCCATGTCATCCGAGGTCGGGGGCTTCATTTGAATTGGCGGAGGGATTGTTTGAGATGCTGAGCTCCGCCGCCGCAGCCGCCCCTCATTGATTGACGAGATAGACGCCGTGGAAATGCGCCGTCGGGTGCGGTCGCTGTTCATTGGCCGTAGTAGCGAGGTTTGCTTGTCGATTCCATCATTGATAATGTAAAAATTATAGCTCTGCCAGTCTCGTTAGGTTTTTTTTTCATTCTTCAATGATTTGGGGGGTTTATAATCCTTACCCGAGGAAACATGTGCTTGTCTATCAAGTGTAGCCTCCGTTTCTGGGGAGTCGAGCATTTCCGTTCACATGTCTCAACGAAGCAGCCATACTATTCAATTGATTCAATTATTAGCATTGACAGGGGGTTGGCCTAATCATGCGAGAAGAAGCATAATAACTTACAGTTTTGTCCCCTCGTGCCCTTCGAGCCGCTGCAAGAGGATCATGATTTTCCTCGATATGAAGATTCAGAAAATGGCCAGTAGGAAAGTTCTTACTACACTGTGAGCAGCGGTTGACATGTGCCTGAGCGTAATGAACTTCATAGTCCTCGTAGGAGGTAAATGATAGAGTCTCCCTATGTGGCGGTAGCGCACAATGCATGACCTCGGAAACAGGGGTCGAGTCCCGTGCGATCTTCGCTCGTTCTGAATCAGCAGGCCTGGTACTGCCTGTATGTATTGAGGACCTTGATTGTGACTCCGGGTCCGATAGGGAGTGTGAACAGCTTCGGGAGCGTTTGGACATGATTGCAAGGTACCTTTACTTGTGTCGGTCAAAGATGTGACCGGTCCACTTTGGCGGGGCTCAATGCAATAAGGGCGCGGCAAGGATTGGCTCATCCACCAGGTGAGGGTGTTATGACATGATTCAAAATTGGGATTACATAGAAAGAGAATCAGGAATTCAAGAATGAGTGTACTTCTACTGTATAAAACTCTCGGCATAAAATGAAATTGTACGATCAAAATCCCCACTTTGCTAAGCGCCCAATCACATCTCCCCACCAAAGGGGGAGTTTCCGCGCTTGTGCCTTTTACTCCACGCTTTTTCTTGATATCGAATCTGAAATTACTCTCCTCCTACCCATCAGGACTGATGGCTTGGCCACTGTTCTTTAAGTCCGACGTCTTTCAAGGAGCCATCTGACGGGCGTCTGAGCGGGGTTAACGGACTTCCCCTCCCCCGAGCATGGCGTCCTCGTTCCAGGATGCGTGGCAGTGAGTGCTCCTTGCCCCCAGAAAGCGATCATGCCGAACGAAAGAGTGAGATGACTGTGACATAAATGATGCTTACTTTGATTGCTTTAGAATTACGCTCGATGCCGAACGCGAGCTATTGCGATGCCTCGCTGAGAAGGAACCGACCTTCGTGGAATTCTCGCACTATCTGTCCGAGTCAGTCTTATTTCCGCCCGCGCGCCTCTCGGCTTACGCTGACTGGAAGGGTCTTCTTTGAACAGGTTCCGCACAGCAGCTCAAAACGCTATTCTCCTGGATTTCGATGCCGCCCGCGAATATGATATTGAAGGGCGCCTGTGGGATGCGCACCTGAAACTCAACACCCGGTTTCGCAAGAAGCTGTCTCGCGTGAGTGCCGACCACTGGAGGTCGCACGTAACAGGCTTTAGCTGACTAGTGCGATTTGGATAGCACAAGGAGGAAAATGTCAAGAAGAAGCCGGTCGAAAAACGGAAGCTAGAGAAGCATTACTTGGACTTCATCAAGTCAAGCCAGCGATTCTACCGCGGATACATTCAGCATCTCTCGTCTCGATTTGCTGGAATCCTGGAATTGGAGAAGGTTGCCTGCAAATTCAACTTCGAAAGTGCGCAATACCCTTTAATCTCCCTGGCTAGCAGTCCATCCAGGTTTGCTAATGTTCTCTTGTTCAGATCTGTCTGCGCAACCCCCGTCCACGGTTACCCCTGACCTGCGCAAGCGCATTCTCCAATCCTGTCATGCAACACTTATTCGACTGGGCGATCTCTCTCGTTATCGGGAAACTGAATTGGTCAGTAAAGATCGCAATTGGGGCCCGGCCATTGGATACTATGATTTAGCTTCGGTTATTTACCCTACGTCTGGCGCATCACACAATCAACTGGCAGTCATTGCGCTCGCTGATGGCAATCATTTTCGTGCCACTTACCATCTCTATCGGGCCTTGTCCGCCCGGGACCCCCACCCCTCGGCTAAGGGAAATTTGGAGATTGAATTTAGAAAAGTCATGAACGCATGGGCTAAGCGGGAGCTAATCCGTCCAGAGGATGCGGGTATTCCAGGTAGAGCTCTGGCTCCTTGGTTTGTCTATCTGCATGCGCAATGTTACAAAGGAAACGACTTCTCTGAACATGATGAGTTGGAGAGTGAAGTTATGAGCCAGTTCGCAGTGGATATTCGAGAACAACGATCACTGGAAGGCACGCTCCAGAAATATTGCCTTGTCAATATCGCAGCAGAGGATTTTGCTCGAGCACGATCCACTGAAGAATCGGCAAATGCACGCATCTTCTTCCAGCGCATTAATGTTAAGACATTTTTCACACTACTGCAAATTCTACTGGTTGAATTGGAACGCTTTGCTGTGGAGGATTCGGACATTAAGACCACAGACAATGTCCCAGACAAGGTGACTGTGGTCGCCCGTCGTATCCTGCCTGCGCTGCGTCATTACAGCTCCTGGCTTCTCACCACTTGTGACTTTCTTCTTGCACAGAAAGAAGAGAAAGATTCGGCTTTATCCATTCAAATCCAGGAGTTTTGGAAGATTTATGCAGGAACCTTGACTCTTCTTGCGTCTACATTCGATGTTGTGCATCTTCCAGAGATCGACTATCTCCTAGAGGAGGATGAAGAGAGCCTAGGGTTTGCACCCCTAGATCAAGAAGCCACCAGACGCCGATACTACGCTGCAGATGAGCAGCTCAAGCCTCGGGTTAACGACCCCGGTGTCGAAAGAAGCCATCCCAATATGGAAATGCTATACCGAATTCGTGAATTTGTCATCGATGGCCTTGATATGGTCGTGAGAAATAGAATCCCGGTCGTCCTTGTAGATGATGAGGATAAGAAGACATTCATCTATCAGGAAGATGGACTGCCTTCTCAATTCTTCTCCAGCCCCCATATCCACCAGGATACACTCTCCAGCGCTAACATTGAGCGTGAGGACATTCCGCCACCGACTCAAGATTCCAACTCTATTGCTGAGGGTCGCAGCATGTTCGGGGGCTCTCAGTCTGCCTCTGCATCCATGTCTGCTAATATGAACCGTATCGTGGAGGGTGTTGAGCGCCTCGTTGAGTCTGATACATATGAGAATGCGCCTGATGTCCCTGGTCAGTTTGAACCGTTCATGCCCGACACCGGAGACATGCCCACGCCATCCGGTCATATCAGGCCTAGCCCTCATGCTTTCCCCTTCAATGAGCCAGGTGTACAGTCGCTTGGTACCCCTATGGCACCTCCTGGGCTAGGTCCACCTATTCACAATGCTGAGACTCTTCGCGCGTCGTCGGCTCAGCCATACACACCATTGGCAGCTCTGCCCAGCATTCCCAGCATCTGGAATACCTCCTCTCCTGGTTCCTTGAGAGGTGCTGCATCACCCCGGACTCCACCCGGTCTTGGCCAACAGGCCCCATTGCATTCAATGGCGTCGGTTGGTACCAACGTCTCCGAGCGCTCTCCATCTCAAGAGCAGATTTCCAACGAACTACTTCGACAGAGTATCATGGGCCAAACCCCACTTACAGATTCTTACGAGACACCGACTGCCCCCTCGTGGATGGCACCTTCCAACATATCCGCTGCAGGTCACCCTCGTCCTTCCGCAAATCAATGGGAGCGAGAGTCCCTCAACCGAATGACTTTCGGCTCCTACCAGTTCCCCAGCCAAGCCATGTCGAGCATGCCAGCTCCATCATGGGCCAATGAAGCCTTCATCGCCAGCAGTTTTGCATCCGGTGGAGGCCAGTACCCCCCTGGGCTTGGCCCTCATCGCAAAACGGCCACCCAGCTCGGTGCAATCGGGCAGACTCCGCCATGCGGCCAAGGTGGCTGATTAAAGGTGTCTTTACGACTTTTATTACGATACGTATGAAACATCGCACTATGTGCACAGTGCATACAGCCCACATCTATCAGCTATGCGGGAAGAGACTGACATCGATATCCTACCTGCGCAACCGGAGTCAATTTTCCTAGTTTTCCGGGTATCGGTGTGCTCTGTTTCCCCGTTTCTCATGGACAAAGACTATACCCAGCACAGACAGCATGAACAACAAGATTGCCCATGCTCGTTTTGGCATTTCCTTTCCGATGCAGCTGTGGTTCTGGAACTAGGTCTAGCAGAAACCTTTTTCTATGGCCTTGTCTTCCTCTGGTTAGGAATGCTCATGGTATGCTTTACTAAAATACATGGATATCCGCAAGACCCTCTTTTCCTTTTCTCTTCACAGTCCTTTCCTTTCAGTTTCCCGTGTAGAGGATGGTAGGCGCTGTGTGTTCAACACTCAAGAAAGGGGATCGAATCGAGGGATTGGGAACTCCTTGTCACATTGAGTTTATTCTTTTCTTTTCATTTTTTGTTTCTGTTTCATACGAGATGAAGTCCAGTAACGAGTACCAAAATCGGTTATCTATCTTTATCAGCCCAGTACTTTTGTTTATCCCAATGTTTTCAGCTTGGAGGATTGGCATTTTTCGATGGCCCAGAGATATGATTTCCAGGAAAGGGTTTGGTCCAAGAATGGGTTTTCTTTATGCAGACAATGCGGCTAGAGTCAATGCAATGAATGTCACTTTTTACGTTTCTAATCTTGCTAGTATAAAGTAGTTCATCTTAATCTGTTGTATTCATTATATCGTTGTTGAAAACGGGGTACTTTTAGAGTTCCCATGCTCGTTTCTAAATTGCACATGACACCGTGCCATGAGACACTGGGTGGTCGTAACAGACAATCGAGATGACCGAAAGATTCTAAATAAGGACAGATACTAGAGAAACGAGAAACAATATTCTGACCAAAGGTCAAGCGCCTTCGCTTCATCGTCTCGATGTTAAGTCGAAGTTTTATAAGAAATGGAAAAGAAAGCAAAGAAATATTTGGGTATAGAGGGTTGAATCATCCAAAGGTTAGTAGTGCATAGTCAATTGGTATTGAGTTGCACCGAGATTTTCCAGAGTGGAAAATCTTGTGTTGAAAGGTCTTCATTACTGATTTTGGCTTTTAGAGATGGTCGTTTATGACCGGGAGTAGGTCTGCTTGGGGTAGGGGTAGCTGAAAACATTCAAGGTTAGTCATTTGTTTTCACATTCAACTGCGATAACAACAGAGAACTTACGAAGGTCCAAGCTCCTGGATGCTCTTGGCGGCGAGCCACTGGCCCATGTCAACGGAGTCCTCCAGGGACTTGCCAGCGACAAGACCAGCAACGAAACCACCAGCGAAAGCGTCACTGTTAACACTCAAGTTAGCTTATTGCAATACGAGGCATGATGTGGGCCTTTAAACTTACCCGGCACCGTTGGTGTCGTTGATAGCATCGGCGGAAAGCTCGTGGACACCGAACTTCTTAATCTCGACATCGCCGCTGGTGGAAGCGACGGCAACGATGGTGGGCTCGGTACCCTGGGTGACAATGGAGATACGGGCACGCTGAGTGTTCACCTTGGGGAGGAGGGCGAGCTTCTTGGCGATCTCGACAATATCCTCAGTACCCCACTGGTGGCTCTCAGAGTAGGCAAGGGCCTCAGTCTCGTTGCAGACGGTGTAGTCAGTGTAAGGGAGGACACTGTCCAACTGCTCCTTGAAGAACTGGGGGATGAAGGGAGCGGAGAGAGAAAGCATGAAGGGCTGGAAGAGTTGCAAATGTGAGCGGGTATGATCTATACGTTAGGGCAAGAAACTACATACCTTGTTCTTGGCAGCAGCCTCCTCAGCGAGGGCCAGGATGGCGGGAACGCAGACAGTCAGGTGGAAACCACCGACGAAGTAGAATTGGGCCTTCTCAACAAGGTCCCAGATGTGGGGCTGCTTAAGGTGCTCGAGCTTGTACTCGTTGGCAGCAGCAAGGTGGGTGCACAGGCTGCGGTTGTGGCCAGTGATGACGGCACCACACTTTCCAGTGGGCTGGGTCTCGTCCACACGGTACTCGGTGTGGACACCGGCCTCTTCACAGGTCTTCTTGAGAATGTCACCGTAGCTGTCCTTGCCAACACAGCCAATGTAGAGAACAGAGTTATCGGGGAGCAGGTACTGGGCACCACGGGCAGTGTTCTGGGCAGCACCACCGGGAATCAGCTTAGCATCAAGCTTCATGAGCTCATCGTAGAGACCCATGTGCTGCTCCTCAGCAAGAATAGCATCGTTGGCCTTCAGGCCATACTTCTCCAGAAGAGCGGTATCAGCACGAGCCTGGATATCGAGGAGAGGGTTCTCCAGGCAGAGCAAAGGGTAACCTTGGGGGGCAGCCATTTTAGAAAGAGTTAAATAATAGATTGAATAGGGGAAGGAAAAAGAGAATTGGAAAGGAGTAAGAAAAGAGGGACGGGGCCCAGGTGGGATGGAGGGGCTTTTCTGCCGGGTTCGGGGCGGCAAGTCCCCGGCTCCACTTCGATGATGTTCATCTCCTGCAATAAACCATCCAATCTGTTTACAGCTACGGAGTATAGGTCCCTAGCAAACTCCTAAATCACTCATCATGGCCGACCACGCGCTGGAGATCCCTGAAATTATTCAGACAGCCTCGATTCAACACAATCCTTCCGCCGAACACGACATCAACCCTGCCACCGCAGCTTCGGAGAAATACCCCGTGGTCGAAGCCCCAGCTTCGGAAGCCGGTAGCCTTGCCTCGGACATTGTCGATGAACACCGGGTAATCCGGCCCATCCGCCGACACCAGACACTTCCTCCCCTCCCAGATCTGCGCTTCGAGCAGAGCTATTTAGCTAGCTTGAAAGATGCTGACACTTGGGGGCGAGTGGCTTGGATTACCGTGAGAGACCAGGTAAGCAGGCAAACATACCCTTTACATCATGAGCCACGCCCGCGAGAGACTCCGTTTCAAGAAACTTGGACAATATGGCTGGAGCTAAATGAGACGCCAATGGCTAATTTCTCTTCACCGTCCTCTACAGGTCCTCCTTCCGCTGATCCAAGGTACCGTCTGGACACTCGCGCTTTCCGGCTGGAAGTTTTGGAATCGCAATGCCTCGCTCAGTGGACAAACGGTTGGCAGCCGTATTCGCAGGTGGTGGTATGATGTCAACAACTGGAAGCTTCCGCCCAAGTGGACGAAGAGCCCACAAGTGGCATCGCAGGTCGAAGAAGTAAGTAAACCGTTATGATTGCTTCTCTTCTGCTATTCTAATAGTTACAGTGCCGCTAACGCTACTGGAGTTTCTAAAGTTCTACGAGGCCCAGTTTTCCAATGCTGGCTCGGATTAGGTTTTGATTATGCTGAGCGTGGAATCTAGATCCAGGTGCTTGGATACTAGCATTTTTGGCGTTGGGTCTTCTGGTTTTGACTTTGTTTTCTTCTGTTCTATATCCCAATATCTAGAGTGTTGTCTCTTCCCACAACTAACTTGGATCTAAAAGTTGTATCTACCGGTATCACTTTCTCAGATAACTCGTGCATGGTACTTGTATAAGCAAATTTTCATTAGATGCAGTATTTCATGCCTATTCATAGTCGTCCCACTATAGCCTTGCAATAATACATGATGAGCAACTCAGGAAAAGCCCTCAGTAAGCAACAAAGTGCTAAGCTTAATAGAAAGGAAGGCTTATCACTCCAGGAGCATACAATGGCAGAATGTTTCACCGTCCGATATTCAGGGCTGCCTTTTAGCTCCTAAAATATTGAAACTTCAGCCTTGGGTAGTAGGTGCTTGTGGTTGGGGCAGTCCAGGTTGCGGCCGATTCTCAGTCCCGGTGCTATCTCGAGGCAATCCATTAGACTCAACTGGCTGCATAGATTTCGGTGTCTCTGCCGACGGGGCAGTAGGCATGCTTGATGCACTTGCCGTCATCGGTAGAATAGTCTCTTGGGGCGTGGGTTCGGAGGGTATAGGAGGTTCAGCTACCACTGAAGCTCTAAAGACCTGTTGGGGGCTCAGTGCCTGCGGTGGTACTTGGTCTGCAGCGGGCTGTGATTTTGGTGGTACAGCTTCACTGACATCCTTCATCTGAACATCTTTTGCAGGAGGAGGTTCATCGTCGGATGGTTTGTGTTCACTGGGGACATTGATTTTGCCGACACGAAGCTGAACCACCAGACTTTGGGGCTCGCCATTCGTAATGGATTCATCCCCGCTCGCATTTTCTCCTTCATCTTCACCCTCACCCTCATTTCCGTCGTCCCCGCTTTGCCACTCGTTCCCACTCTCAACTGCACTAGACTGGGCTTCCGACTCGTCCTCAAGGTCATCGGCAGCATACCCGGAATAACCATTGGGGTTGGTGGAAGTTCGGGCTCTCTGCGGTCTTGCGATATCCTCTTCCTCTTCTTCGGAGTCTTCACGTTGTCCAGTAAGCAATGTCTCTCCGTAAAGACCCCCAGCACGAGACCGGATCTGCCGCCCACTGGCTGTGAATCTAGTACGAGGCTCGGGAGCTGCCACGTTGGAAGATGTATTGCGAGCGGATCGCCTGGAAGGCTGCTCATCGGAGAAGATGTCCTCATCGTCGGAGTATGTATACTTCAACTTTTTACCACGCGTTCGGCCTTCGTACATGGAAAATCCAGGCTCAGGTCGGGTGAATGCCGCCTTGCGAGCAAGACGGTAGTCCCGACGTTTGCGTTTCTATCCATTCGTCAATTTATGAAGCCCTTATCAATTTCATGTAGCACATACCTCTTCTGATGCTTCGAACCGGGGAATGGCATTGTATATCCTTTCGGCAAGCTTCTTCGAATTTGTACCTTTTTCTTGCTGCAGTTTATCGGCGATTTCCTGTATCTCGGGGATACTCCCTGCAACGCTCCACCAGCTTACATGTTTGAGGGCAGGGTTGCTCTCTCGGTACAAGCGAAAGTTGGTATCATCTTGCCCTTCAATGAGCCAGTATCGCCGTTTCAAGCTATCACGGCCCCATGACTGAACGGATAGAGGCTGGTTGAGGTCGTCGTCGTGGCGCGCTTGCTTATAAGACTCCTTGACCTTAGCCTGAATAGCTTCGGACGACGAAAGTGACCAGAGGATCAAAGACCTAAGCAGCTCAAGCTATTAAGAACGGTCCAAGGTTAGAATTGTTGTTCCGATTAGTGTGAAGTTATTGGTTCATACTCGTTGTTCGGGTGTCATGGTCGTGAAGCTACGGCCTCCATGAAGGGGATTCTTGCCCTCCCACGATTTCGGCCACTGCGGTTGGTGGGTATGAATCGCCTCTTCCAGTGGCCGTGTGTAATGATTCCGTCTAAAAATGGTAACCATTTGATTAGCGATAGATTCTGTAGTCAATTGGCGGACGAGGGTGAAAAGCGCGCGGGTTGTCGGGGTCTGCGCGGGACCGAGTATCGGGTGGCGAACGTACTCAACATCTTTCTTGCGGTTCAAAACAAGACCTAACAATGCGCAAAGCAGTCGCTCGATATATTCGCCTGGAGTAGGCTCTTCAACACCTCTCTCGATGTCCTGTGGACCAAAATGTGGCAGGCTGCGAGGAAAAGCGTCATGGAATCGCGCGCGGAACATGACGATAAACTAAACATTGCGACGGGTCAGTCAACGTGTCTTCGAGCAAAATAAGCGCGTCACAGTCATGCTCCTGAATCTGTCATCCAGGCCACTGCATCGGCGACAGGAAAACTCACGGCAATACTGGGGTTATCTGCCAGCACATATTCATGCGGTGGTGATGGCTCCCGCTTTGGCGGCGGAGTCTCCGACTCCTTCTTGAAGTACTTTGCAATGCCAACGGGGGCTTCGTCGACAGCCATAGCTTCATCATCTGTCGGCGGTGCTGACGATAATGATGACAGATCTGAATCTGAGCGTGTCATATTGAAGGTGGTGGTGGGGAAAGTTGGAGGTGGTGCGAAGGACAAAGTTGAATTGCGCGCAGGAAGCGTCACGTCGGGCCTGGCACCTGCGCGCCCGAGATGATTATGAACGGAATTCCTTACACACTTTATGTGGACCATTCTGCCATATGCACTGTCTGGCCAAGACTATTGGGATGAATTGAGTTTGTTTCATTATATCAAGATCTATATAGGGCTCGACATGTTTTCATTTGGATACAGCAGAGCAAGAGTCGTATATGAGCATGCTGCGCTCGAGAATCACATTCATTTTCACCCAGAATGATTCAGAATGAAGCTGCACTATAGCACAACGATCATTCTGTCTCGATGAATTTGTGGCCACTATTGGTTCCTGAAGGCCAATCTTGGGACTTGATGGCTTGGGAGCATATTCGACGTAGACGCCTCTTTATATAGACTCCTCTATCTTTGAAGAAAGCGGGCTGGAATAGTAAGGTAAATCAAATGGAAGGAATCACATAGAAGAATGTTTATCAAGTTTATGCATGATAAGCTCCTGACCTCCGCATGGGAAGCACGGTCGGCAAGTGCAATGATGATGCCACTTCAGGGCTATCGGTCGGGTCATGTGACCTGATTTATCGAACCGAACAGTTCAAAGGAACATAGATAAGATCACATTCATTATATTTGACTTAGAGAAAAGGACTACCCATTTAGAGGACATAGTAATCAACTTGTAAACTGATTGCAACCCTTTATCTCCATTCACTTCCAAGGACTTGAATCAATTCTTTTCCGTGATGTTAGTCACATGATCGCGAACCACGGTCCATATCGATTTTACATAAGCAGTCAGACGCTAGCCCTGATTCGGTTTGGTTAGCGACCGCGCCCTAAAGCCCACACAGTCCCATTCTCCGTCGATTTCTCATCCTCCCAAACGACAAGCCTATCTTCAATTCGAGGTACGACCTTTTCCCTTCCACCGTCCCCGACCTCGTCTGTCCTCCTCGTTCAAACTAACACAGGTTCTTCTTTCCTACAGACAGTCGCCATGGGTCGTGTGATCCGTAACCAGAGGAAGGGCCGTGGCTCCATTTTCAGTGAGTGCGACCGCATCAAAATCCCACAAACACCTATATTCGAAAAATTGTCGGCGCTGCCCCTCAGAGCAGGGAAGAGATGGAAACAATACTACGGACACCACACACAACGCATGCGACAGGATTAGATTGCTGATATCGATTTTTTTTTCTCTTACAGCGGCCAACACCCGTCTTAACAAGGCCCCTGCCCAGTTCCGTACCCTCGACTACGCCGAGCGTCACGGTTACACCCGTGGTGTTGTCAAGGAGATCATCCACGATGCCGGTCGCGGTGCTCCCCTCGCCAAGGTCCAGTTCCGTCACCCCTACAAGTTCAAGATGATCACCGAGACCTTCATTGCCAACGAGGGCATGTACACCGGCCAGTTCATCTACGCCGGTAAGAACGCTCAGCTCACCGTCGGCAACGTTCTTCCTCTCGGCTCTCTGCCCGAGGGTACCGTCGTCTCCAACGTCGAGGAGAAGGCCGGTGACCGTGGTGCTCTTGGCCGTACCTCCGGTAACTACGTTACCGTCATTGGCCACAACCCCGAGGAGGGCAAGACCCGTGTCAAGCTCCCCTCCGGTGCCAAGAAGGTCGTCAAGAACACCGCCCGTGGTATGGTCGGTATCGTTGCCGGTGGTGGCCGTACCGACAAGCCTTTGCTCAAGGCTTCCCGTGCCAAGCACAAGTTCGCTGTCAAGCGCAACTCTTGGCCCAAGACTCGTGGTGTTGCCATGAACCCCGTCGATCACGTAAGTTATGGCCACTTCAGAGACTGTCTACTTTTGGCTAACCAGATTTCTCTCTACAGCCTCACGGTGGTGGTAACCACCAGCACATCGGTAAGGCCTCGACCATCTCCCGCTACGCCACCCAGGGTCAAAAGGCCGGTCTCATTGCTGCCCGCCGTACTGGTCTGCTCCGCGGTACCCAGAAGACCAAGGATTAAGTGCAGTGATGTTTTGTGGAGTTTTTCTTGTGACGGGTTGAAAATGGACTTCTGCTATGAGACATATGTACCTAGGCGACTGCGGATAAGCGTCCCATGCGCCCTTAGCGAATTAAGGCTGTGGTCACCATCCTTTTTCTGAATAAATCAACAAAAGGGTGATGGAATGGGGTCCGGGGTTGGCCTCATGTCAAGGGCAGGACGAAAAATCAAAAAGGCCCAATAGGGCTCTGAAATGATACATCTATGAAATTCAAACTGTCCTTGTCCCCACCCTGTAGATTGCATGTAGACCTGGGAGTGTAGACCTGAGACCTGGAGTCATCTAGAGAATCTGTCGACTCTCACCCTTCGAGGTCCCATATCCTACCTTATGACTATTTTGCTATCTCGGCATATGCATGCCAGCAGCACTTGAGTTCATATTCATGGCTCTTCAAAAACCGAAATGTTTTGAACCAGCATCCTATTGATTCGAGCCAGCTACGGATGCTGTTCCTCATGGTTCCCATTACCTACTCATCTTTCCAATGATTTAAGGTTTATATCCTGTTTCTTTTATAAGTATGCAAAAAGGTTCTGGGTTTCATGTTCGCATATATGCATCTCTAATACTGCGACCTTTGAAAGCCTACTTTTTGTGGGGCTAGGTTATCTTCCATGCTTTGCAGGAACTGGGATTGCCTCTAGAGCTATGTGCCTTTGAAGGTTCTAGCCGTAAGTCAACTGGCACGACTGAATTCTATAACTTGAAACAGTCCTCTAGGTAGGACTTCGAATCAATTCAATTCAGGTTAATAGACTAAAAGAATCACTTAGTATTTAAATCTATTATCTCAGCAGGTCTTTCTACTTTTTCGTGGGTTTACAGTACAATGAAGTGCACACTGGTGTCCTTAGATTGGCGGGGGCGGGGAGATATATTTTAGTACAAATTCTGCTTAACCGACCCTGATGTCATACGCAGTGTCGCCTTCTCAACCTACAACTAATTTAATCCGCAATAATATGATCGTAGAAAATTGTAAAATTGTACCAATATCCAGATCCTAAGGTGAAGTCCACATTGAGACATAGAAACTCACAAGTCTAGCCCAATGACTTTCCAACGTTGGGATCATTGATCTCAAATTGACCAATCAGTGACGTGGATAGGACCTTGGCACCAACTTGTGACCTTATCAACTAAAAAAGCTCCATCCCATTTCATCACTTTCTGATCTCTACGGTACTATGACATGCAGTTGATTCTACCAAGGCCTACATAGGCACTACTCCAAAATGACCAGTGCAGATGCCCCGCTGGAAATCCCCCGCCTCAGCCGATCGGGCGATACTCTCACATCCGCTGAGCGGTGGCAAGCCATCACCAAGCGCGACACAACAGTAAACAGCTTCGTCTACGGCGTTCTCACAACGAAAATCTACTGTCGACCGTCCTGCGGCGCGCGCCTCGCTCGGCGAGCCAACGTCGAATTCTACAACACTCCCTCCCAAGCCGAGAAAGCAGGCTTCCGGCCCTGTAAGCGCTGTCGGCCAGAATGCGGCGGCACGGCAGCGCAGAGTAATCCACAAGCGTTGATGGTTGAGAAGGCATGCCAGACAATACGCAACGAAGTTCTTGCAGGGCTGAAACCAAAGTTGCACGATTTGGCGAATCAAGCAGGGCTGACTCCGAGCCATTTCCATCGTGTGTTTAAGAAGATTCTCGGCGTAACGCCGGGTCAGTATATTAGCAGTGTGGTTCAGCATATCCGCCCATCACCGGAATCTTCGGCGCCTGATGGTTTGTCTGAGCTTGAAACACCTCCTTCAGCATCACCCCTTGGGTTTGTTGGGGCGGATGGGACGGAAGAGCTGAATTTAGATCGTGGCCAAGGCTCCGCGCTTCCTGGGTTGCCGGCGGTTAGGCTGGAGGGTTTTTCTCCTGTCATCTGGGATAATGCATGGAACGAGTTTGATATTTTGCTGGCGGCAGAGGACCAAGGGCAGATGGATCCTTTGGATTCAGTCTCAATTGATCCCCGGGTTCTCTTAGGGCCTAGGTGAGATGGGCGCGAACCGGTTCATTCCGTGACCATTAAGTTGTGGGTCCAGGCCCACGATGCTAATCTTCACTATTGAATGAAGCGTACGAATACGACGACAAATACCTAAATTGGAACATTCAAATCCTAGCTCCGGACTGTACAATGTAGATGAGCACGACCCAAGGTTTTATCAAAGGAGAGTTTAGCGGGGGGACTGTGCCAAGGGGCGTCCCTGCAGCAAGGCACCAGAAGAAGCAGTAGATTAAGTCAAATTTGATCTCCTCTCATGATTCGACGTGGCTATCTTCATCGCCACCACCATCCACTTGGCATCAATCAGCAAGGGCGGGGTGAAACACCGACGAAACCTGACCGAAGAGACGCTAAGACAGCTTTCTGGGTGTACCGTGCACCGGAGTACGTAGGCCGCTCAAGCATTGGGTTTTGAGCGATCGGCGACACGCATCCGTTGGGGAACTAGAATCTCCTCTCACAGCCACTGGGCCAGAATTCGATTGGCGCCTGGTTTGTGACCTGATCCATCGCAGGACCCTGTTTCCTTGACGGTGGCGTGTCACTTTCTCTGAAGATAATTATAGCATGAAGATCCGGGACAACTTCCTGGTCTTCCAATTGGAATCATGGTTTCCCCACTGATGGATCCACTAACGCGTGTCACCTTTAACCGCGATGGTCGAGCCCATTTGAAACACTTTCAATTTCCCGGGTTTTGGTGTGGATAAGGGGGATTGGTCGGCCTTTTCTGGGATTTTAATTTTTTTTTATTTTCATTTCTTTTTTTGCCTTTCAACAGGAGATGAGAGTTTATCTGTAGTGAAACTGACTGAGATCGGTGGCGAGGAAACCAATGTAACAGAGCGTGCATCTCCAATGAATTCATTGTTGAGGCGCATTCCCCACCGATCGACACCACATTGTATTTCTGCATGCAGTGAAACGCTTTAGTAGAATTTCGAGAAACTTTGTTAATGATTGATTATCAATTGCGTGCCATCAGGTTAAATTGAACTAATTAAAATCAAGTTCAGATTGGAGGGGTAGTACGTACTCTGTATAATATCAAGTGCTCCCTTGCCCCGTTCTTCCCAACCTCCCCTTTCTCTTTCCCCTCTCTTTCCGTCCACACCCTCTCTTCCAACAATACCCTTCGTTTTGATCTGAACCTCCGGATCTGTCCTTCGTGTTCGGATCACTTCACGATCGTTTTATAACACCATCGTCATCGCAAATATCACCCCGTCGATCATTACTCCGCTGCACCGCTGCTCCGGCTAAGTTTGACCTCAACCCTGCCATTCGATTTCCCACCTGGGAGAGCCAGCTACGTCCACAATGCACGTGAATAAGCGAATCGGTCGTTTCAAGCAATGGGCGGGAGAGCGCATGGGTGGTGAGGCCAAAACTTGTCAATCGGATGATTTCAAGGCCATGGAGACAGAGATGGGTGTGCGCCATGAAGGTATGCATCTTTAAATGACCGTGTTACTACCCTACATACTGACATTCTGCTTTTACAGGTGTTGATCACATTCACAAGTCCATGACTGCCTACGTCAAGGCCATCTCGAAGCGTACAGAAGGAGACGATAAAGAAAAGACCCTGCCAATCGCGCACTTGGGAGGCAGCATGGTCAGCCACGGAGAGGACTTTGATGGAAATTCCGAATACGGGCAGTGCCTGATTAGTGAGTTAAACTTCGATCCCAAGACCACGCCTGAATTACTCGACTGACAATCAGGGTAGTGTTTGGAAGGACCGAGGAGCGCATTGCACGCATTCAAGAGAGTTACATTACACAGGCGACTTCAAGCTGGCTTGAGTCCCAGGAAAGATCTCTCACTCAAATGAAAGAGTACCAACAGGCTCGCAAGAAGCTGGACAGCCGACGACTGGGATACGACACTTCTCTCTCCAAGATGGAGAAGGCCAAGAGAGAGGATTTCCGGGTCGAAGAGGAGCTTCGCAACCAAAAAGTCAAATACGAAGAAGCCAACGACGAAGTGCTTCGCCGCATGCAGGACATCAAGGAGTCGGAAGCTGATAGCGTGATGGATCTGGGCACCTTTTTGGATGCCCAGCTGGAATACCATGACCGGTGCCGGGAAGCACTTTTGCAGCTGAGAAATGACTGGCCTGGCGGGTGAGTGCTCCAAACAAACCAACACCCTCGAGAGACTGTACTAATCTTGCACTATAGGTCCGGCCAAGGCCCAGCGCCACGTCGCCCCACACGAGCTCGCTCCAATACTGCGCATTCATACCAGGAGCGGTATGAGCCCGTGCAGGAAGAGGTGACGAGTGCAGTGGAGAACCGGCCCACTATCCGGCCGACTAGGACTGTGTCGTCCAACTTGGCAGACACTTTCCCGAGAGAAGTCCAGAGAGAAGCTCAGCCTGCCAGCAGTGCCTACTCCCGTCCGGTTCTGAGTCGGGTCCCCACTTTCGAAGGCCCGACCCAGCTTCGACAGGAACAATCCCCTGTCGCATCGCAATGGATTCAACGAACGACCAGTGACACCCTCACTAGCCGACGCAACAGCACATACCTGAACACTCGAGCCGCTGATCCATATGCCGATTCTGAAGTCAGCTCCTACGGCTCGTATGGTCGCTCCAGCCCGGAACGTATGTATGGTGATCGTTCATGCTCCCCGGCTACGTCCCATGGCAGTAGTGTTGCCTCGCGAAAGCCCAGTTCCACCGCTTTGAATGCGTCCCATCTGAGCAAGAAAGCCCCTCCACCACCACCCCCATCTCGTTCAAAGAAGCCTCCTCCACCCCCACCCCCAATGAAGCGGAGTCTGTCCACTGCACCAACGGCGTAGGGTGAAATGATGGTTTTTCATTCGGGCCGGAGTTTTGTGGAGTTCTGGATTGTCATGACGACCAGTGGTTTCCGTTATTTTTATTTCCACAGCGTTTTACCTGCCAGTGCTCATTACCTACGGGCTATTTTTCTTCAAACTTGCGTCATTGTGATAGAGAGAGGCATTGAAATATTTCTCTGAAGAAATGCGGGTTTTGAGCCGTTTGAGACGAGCTGAATGTTAATGGTACATGGTTTGATCCGGGTGATAGTACTTGGGTCAGGCTGCAGACCCAATCGAGGCATACGTTACGATTTGCCATTATTTAAATCTCAAGATTATGAAACGGACTGAGAAGAACGTATAAGCGCATGTAAATTTGTAGATGGATGCCATGTTTAAGAAGCTTGGACATTTCCGTAGCTCGGTTGTTCCCGTGAAAGCACCAAGGTTGCATTGGTGCCTTAATGCCTAGCAAATAAAGCAATGTGATTGGGTCTGGAGAATACTAAGACGGGACTGATTCACTGCGTTCAGCACAGACCAGGCTGAATCAGCCATACACGTGACTCCCACTGAAATCTCCTCCTTCCTGTTGTTACCAACTCAGAGAGCACCCAGGTTTCCCCGAGAGAGAGTCGCGCAACTCGGTCCCCTCTATCTCCATTTCCATCCACGGCCACGCGCCATCCCCCCACCGTCACTGCCTTTCACTTTTTTGAGGCACTCACAGTGAATCTGCTGGGTACCCCCATTTAATTCCCTTTATCCCCTTTTGTTCCCAGTACCCGCCCGCCCCCCCATAATCCCATCGATCGCATCCCCGAACCGCCGACCACGCGCCTAAACATCGCGTCTTATCGCCAAGAGGTCTCTCCACGACCATTTTTGGCCACCCTCGACTCCCCAATCGTGCCCTACTTGTCGCATTTCTACCCTTCCACCGCCACCCTCCTATTCGGTGTCCAGTCGCGACCTACTGTAGGGACGAAGTGGAGTCCGCGACATTCACTTCAGTTCCGCGTCCATATCAATCCCATATCACTACCAACCTTGTATCACCACTTATGAATTGAAAGAAATCACGCGTATCATGGCTTCTACCCAGTCGGCGCCGAATATGGCGTCAGCCAATGGCACCAGCGCCGCACAGGGCGCGAATCCATTGCAGAACCTAAATGGCGACCAAGTCAAGGAGATTCTTCACGTAAGTACTCGGTCCATGCCCCCAATCTATAGTGCCTTACCACATTCAATACATTTTATCCTATCTCAATCCACTTCTACTATCTATATGGTCCATATTCTAACCTCGACACAGAAACTCCGCCAGATGAAAACACAGATGGACGCCAAGGGCATCCGCGTTGACGACCTTCCAAGCGACAAAAAAGAGACTTACAAATACTTCCTTTCTGTCTACGTTCAAGTCATGGCTTACCAACAAAAAAAGGCTGCTGCTGCCAATGGTGCCCAGGGTATGCTTTACTGCGCATTTACTTACCCAGGCGTTTCATTCATCGCTGATCATCCTTTTAGGCCAAAATGCTTCTACCCCGTCTAATGCTGGAGCTCAGCAAGTTCAGCCCCAAGCTCCCGCTCAAAAAGGTGCAACGGTCGGGAATGGACCATGGTCCAAAGCTCAATATGAGCTATACCGGCACCAACAGCTATTGCACGAAAAAGCGAAGAACAACCAACCACTCACCCCAGCTGATATGCAGAGCCTGCAGGAGTACACCTCGGTAGTCGCCCCCTCACGGCCGAAGTTGGTTGCTGCGGCAGAGAAGATCGTGAACGAGGTTGAGAAAGGCTCGGTTGAAACAGCTGCGAGCAACGGAGATGCCACTCCTGAGAAAACATGGTATAACAACCTCGAGCAACCTGATATTTTGCACCAGCAAATCAACTACCACAAATATCGCATTCGCCGCAACCGCCCCACCATTCCAGCTTCCTGGCCTTATGGCCTTGACTTGCAGGAGATCCGTGCGCGCCGCCAAGAATCCTTGGCCAATTCGATGGCTCGCCGACGAGATGAACTTGCTTCACAGTCGGCTTCCATCGGTGTTTGGGACACTGCCAAGAATGACACTCCCACCCGTGACGATTCATTGAAGATTCGAATTTACAATGAGCTCTCAGCACTGGACAAATATGCCAAGCAGCAACGGCTTCGGGACACCATCTCCCGGGAGATGTTCCAATACAGTCAAGGAATGACTGCTAACCGTTCTGTTCATCGCCGCCTGAAGAAGCCTTCGCTTCGTGAAGCTCGGGTCACTGAGAATCTCGAGAAGCAACAGCGGGATGCCCGTGAGACTCGGGAGAAGAAGAAACAGTTCGATCAACTTCAGGCCATTCTCAGCCACGGTGTTGAGCTCCTGAGCAACGCGGCCCAGAACCGGTCCCGATCCCAGAAATTGGGCCGCATGATGGTTCAGCATCACCAGCATATGGAGCGTGAAGAGCAGCGACGTGTGGAGCGCACCGCTAAGCAACGTCTTCAAGCCCTGAAGGCCAACGATGAGGAAACTTACCTGAAACTGCTTGGCCAGGCCAAGGATTCTCGTATTACGCACTTGCTCAACCAGACTGACAAGTTCTTGAAAGAGCTTGCTGCATCTGTGAGACGCCAACAGCGCAACCAGGCCGAGCGGTACGGCGAGGACGATGAAATGGAGGATGAGGAGGAGGAAGATGAGGAAATCGCCAACAGTGATGTTGATGAGGCTGAGCAAGATCCCAACAAGAAGACGATCGATTACTATGCGGTGGCTCATCGTATCAAGGAGCAGGTCACAGAGCAGCCTTCTATTCTTGTTGGTGGTTCATTGAAGGAGTACCAGCTGAAGGGTCTCCAGTGGATGATTTCGTTGTACAACAACAACTTGAACGGTATCCTGGCCGACGAGATGGGTCTCGGAAAAACCATCCAGACCATTAGTTTGATCACCCACATCATTGAAAAGAAGAGGAACAACGGCCCCTTCCTGGTTATTGTGCCCCTCAGTACACTCACCAATTGGAACATTGAATTCGACAAATGGGCTCCCTCTGTCGCCAAGGTTGTCTACAAGGGACCCCCAAATGCACGAAAGCAGCAGCAGCAGCAGATCCGTTGGGGTAACTTCCAGGTTCTTCTGACTACTTATGAGTACATCATCAAGGACCGACCCATTCTCAGCAAGATCAAGTGGACTCACATGATTGTTGACGAGGGTCACCGTATGAAGAACGCCAATTCTAAGCTGAGTAGCACCCTGTCAACATACTACACTAGCAGATATCGTCTGATTTTGACTGGTACCCCGCTGCAAAACAACCTCCCCGAACTCTGGGCTCTTCTGAACTTCGTTCTGCCCAACATTTTCAAGTCCGTGAAGTCGTTCGATGAATGGTTTAACACACCGTTTGCCAATACTGGTGGCCAAGACCGCATGGACCTCAGCGAAGAAGAACAGTTGCTTGTGATTCGTCGTTTGCATAAGGTTCTTCGCCCGTTCTTGCTGCGTCGTCTGAAGAAGGACGTCGAAAAGGACCTGCCCGACAAGCAAGAGCGTGTCGTCAAGTGTCGGTTCTCCGCCTTGCAGGCCAAGCTTTACAAGCAACTTGTCACCCATAACAAGATTGCTGTTGGTGATGGTAAGGGTGGAAAGACTGGCATGCGTGGTCTCAGCAACATGCTTATGCAACTGCGGAAGCTTTGCAACCATCCCTTCGTCTTCGAGCCCGTTGAGGACCAGATGAACCCTACTCGGATGACCAACGACCTTCTTTGGCGAACGGCAGGTAAATTTGAACTGCTTGATCGTATCCTGCCCAAGTTCCGTGCTACTGGTCACCGTGTCTTGATGTTCTTCCAGATGACTCAGATTATGAACATCATGGAAGACTTTCTTCGCATGCGCGGCCTCAAATACCTTCGTCTGGATGGATCTACCAAGTCCGATGATCGATCGGATCTTCTGAAGGTCTTCAACGACCCGGGTTCCGATTACTTCTGCTTCTTGCTCTCCACCCGTGCTGGTGGTCTGGGTCTGAACCTGCAGACCGCTGACACGGTCATCATCTACGATTCGGATTGGAACCCTCACCAAGATTTGCAAGCCCAAGATCGTGCTCATCGTATTGGTCAGAAAAACGAGGTTCGTATCTTGCGACTCATTAGTTCCAACTCCGTTGAGGAGAAGATTTTGGAACGTGCGCAGTTCAAGCTTGACATGGACGGCAAGGTCATTCAAGCCGGAAAGTTCGATAACAAGTCGACGAACGAGGAGCGTGATGCCCTTCTTCGAACCCTTCTGGATACCGCAGAAGCTGCTGACCAAATCGGGGAACAAGATGAAATGGATGACGATGACCTGAACGAAATCATGGCTCGTTCCGAAAACGAAATTAAGGTGTTCCAGCAAATGGACCAGGACCGACTACTCAATGATAAATATGGCCCCGGAAAGCGCTACCCTCGTCTCATGTGTGAGGAAGAGCTGCCGGATATTTATCTGCAGGAAGATAATCCCGTCACTGAGGAAGTCGAGGCGGAGGTGTACGGTCGTGGTGCTCGTGAACGCAAGGTCACTCGATACGACGATGGCCTGTCTGAGCAGCAGTTCCTGGATGCCATGGAAGGTCTCGAAGAGGGTCGACTTACTTTGGAGCAAGTCATTGAGAAGAACGAGCGACGTGCCGCTGAACGTGCGGCCAGGAAAGACAAGAAGCACAAGAAGGCAGCAGGGGCTGATTCTTCACCAGAACCAGAGCCGTCTATTGTTGATGAGGACGAGACCCCTCAGAAAAAGCAGGGTCGTCGTCGTGGTCCTCCACCCAAGCGCAAGGCCGAGGAGCCTATTGAAGAAAACCCACAGCCCAAGCGCAAGAGAGGCCGTCAGCCCAAGATCCCTGAGACTTTGAGTAGTGCCGACCGTGCCACCCTGACCCGAATTATCACCAGCACCATCCAGTCCCTAAAGGAGATGGAGCAGGAAATTCCGGCTGAGGGCTCCGATAGCGAAGAAGGCCCTCTTCTACGTGCCATCATTGAGCCTTTCATGAAGCCCCCACCACGCTCACAGTATCCCGACTATTACATGATTATCAAAAACCCTATCGCAATGGAACAGATCGAGAAAAAGTTGAAACGCGATGATTACCAGAGCCTGAAGGAGTTCCGGGATGATGTTCACCTGCTCTGCCAGAATGCCCGAACCTATAACGAGGATGGCAGTATCTTGTTCCAGGATGCGAATGATATCGAGGTAAGCATATCTTTTCGAACCTCCATTCTCTACACCACATGCTAACTATCCGTCCAGAACAAATGCGTAATGGAACTGAGAAGGCAGACCGAGGGCTACCCTCAATTTGCCAATTTTGATGATCCTGGGTCGATTGCTGGCGACGGTCTATCGACCGGAGCTGACACCCCGTTGACTGCCGGAACCCCCGGGGCCCAGCCTAAGCTCAAGCTTACCTTCAACAACTCCAACTTTGACAGTGCCAGTACCTTGAATGGTACTGATTTCAGTCTTGAGGATGAGTAATGCCCTGTTCACCAGGACAAGTTGTCATACATACATTTTTTATTCTTCCCTGCCTGTGTTAGTGTCATATCCACCCCGAAACTTTATTCCAGTCATGCAATTTCGGGAAGGCGTTTGCTGTGATTTGATTTAGGTGAACCGGAGAAGAGATTCATGCTTTTTTGTTTGCCACGATTCATTAACGAGAGGTGGTCTTTTTAAACCTTGTAAACGATCTTTAGATCGGTCGGACCCTTTTATGTTGTTAGCATGTATGGCTAGTCGAATTACTCAAGAACGATTTAAATAATCGGTTCATAATTTCCCACTCTATCCTTATTCTTAACCTTAATCTGATCGACCTCGTATTAAGCCATATATAGATAGCCTCGACACGTGATCGTGATAGTGGCGATGCTTTAACCTTATTTGATTTCAGCTGAGAATCCATCTTTGTCACAACATGCCTCATGTGTGGAAGTCAACGTGGATAAAAATTATATCCATTACGCCATGCCGGCGAGCAGCCATTCTCCAGAGCTTTCATCTTCCCATGATAACACTGGTGCTCGCAAGCTTCAGACTGTATTTCGGGTATCTCCCCCGGGCCAGAAACAGAATGGATTCCATTCAAGGAGGGCCCATAAGAAATCTCGAGCCGGCTGCTTGACATGCAAAAAGCGAAGAGTCAAGGTATGCTATAGCCGAACAAGCTCAGTAGAGCCATGCAACTGAGACCCATACAGTGTGATGAAGAGAGACCAAATTGTCAAAGGTGCAAAGCCCGAGGCATTGAATGTAGTTATTCCTCTGAATCAGATGATGCTGGGAATGATACAAAAATATTGATATCTTCTACGCCAAACGCCACCATCTCCTCTCTTGCTATTGAAGATATCACGAAAAGCATCCAGACTACATTGAGCTTTGACCCAGATTGGAGTCCATATGCTCTAATGAACAAGAACTCCGATCATCCTCTCAGTACAGTTGCCTTTCAGCATTTCGTCAAATCTTCAACCGATACAGTTGTCGTCCCCGCCATCCGCAATGTCATGCGAACAGATATGATACGCGTCGCATTCACAGTGAGTATCATGTCCACAATTGAAAATTCCTCTGTACAAACATTCTCATTCAAATGATAGAGTGCTCACCTAATGTACACCATTCTGGGTGTTGGTATGCTCCACTATAATCGATACTCACCAAACAAAGAACGATCAGTCGCAGAGTCTTATCTCTGGCAACATGCCATCACACTATACCAAAAAGCTCTCTCCTCCAAAATACGACCCGAAAACGTCGACGCTCTCTTATCAACCTGCATGCTCATGGGAATAATGACTATCTGCCCCGAGAAATTCGAGCCAACAGAATCGTGGGTTCTCACTAATAAACCGGAAGCCATGAACTGGCTTGCATTACAAAGCGGGTTGAAAACCATTCTGACGCTCGCATCTCCGTATCTTTCTACCAGTATTTGGGGAGAAGCATTTAAAGAGGTCGATGAAACAGGTGACAAGATATTCAAACAAGATGAGGCCAAAGGACGAGAAGGTCTTGATCCCCTTTTGGCAGATTTGTGTGGAATTGACGACGAAAGTACTGAGAATACGAGTGTTTACTATGCTCCTCTGAGTTATCTTTCCAGGCTTATGAAGCTAGAATTCAATGGACCTAATGCTGCTCATTGTGCGTCGTTCATGGGGAGGTTGGAGTGTGATTTCCTGGCTCTTCTGAGGAGACGAGATCCTCCGGCCCTTATGATTTTGGCCTATTGGATGGGACATATGTGTTTGTTGTCTGAGTGGCAGCCTTGGGTTGAGGGGAGGATTAGGCAGGAATGTGTGGCTATTTGTATGTTTTTGGAGTATAGTACTGACCCGCGGATCTTGTTGCTGTTGCGGTTTCCGGCGGAAGCGTGCGGGTATAAACTCAGCTTTCTTTAGAGTTCAGTAAGCATAATATGAAGAGACCCCTGGATTGTTTGTCATGTCTAGATCAAGTGATTATCTCCACGGCTTCCCCGCGAGAGTAATGGCATTTAAGTAAGTCATCATCCTGGTGACACCCAGTTTGTTTTGAAATTGAGGCACAATACAAGAAAAAGCAAGCAAAGATTCAGTTTCCATTGGGCTGATCTCCTTGCTTGGCTGCGCAAGAAGCAATTCTACTTGGGTCAGCTGCATTGAACCCATTGAAATCATTGGTGAGAAAGAAAGTTTACAAATGCAATATCATATGCAGCATATGCAAGGCTTTGAGACTATGAACACCGCACCGTGCAACCTTCAGTCTTATCCACTTGGGATAAAACAACGATACTTAATTCGATGCCGCGCAGTTCTGTGGGCTACCTCTTATCTATTCACCTGTGCGGGGTAGGAGGATCTGGAAAAAGAAGCCACACAACATATTTCCGGTACATCTTCTGCGACATCGGACCTACACTCTTCTCTGCTTGAAAAATGTCCGCGAATGAAGAATCATTGCTTATCCAAAGGTCCATTGCCGATGACCAGGATCTGGAAAATGGATCTACCAGATCGAAGATTGGGACCAGCTTTCTGGCTGTGATGCTTCTCTGTATGATGCCGCAACATATTTTTAAGGATCAATCTAATGGTCTTTTGATGACAGCTGCCTTTTTGGCTTCCTCCGATGACTCGTTCGTTCTCTCTACGGCCTCTGATATTGCAGCCGACTTTGAAGCTACCAACATCAGTACGTGGCTTATTACGGGATTCAATCTCGGATATATGGTTTCTTTACCGATTGTAAGCCAAAACAATTTTCTTCATCAATTGTAGTTGGTATTCATCCGCTGATTCCAACTAGTATGGTCATCTCTGTGATGCCTGGGGCAGAAAACGTACTTATCTATTCTCCTATATTGTATATGGAGTAGGCTGCTTGACAATGTAGGAATCGATCAATGCCTTGACGATGATTTGCATGCTTACTACTGATAGGGGAACTTCGCTCAATATCTACATGTCTATTCTTGCAAGAATCATCACTGGCTTTGGGAGTTCGGGAATGCTAGATCTATCTTCCGTGCTCTTGAATGGTAAGTCAAAATGGAACCCCAAGCTGCAAGAATTGGAACTAATCTTGGTTCAGATATCGGTGGTCCCTTCGGAGTTGCGGTGTTACGAAGCTACTTCATGACTGTGACGATGATTGGATTCAGTGCTGGAGGGGCTCTAGGGGGATTTTTAGCAACATTGGTAGGATGGAGATGGTGAGGATTCCCTGTTTATGGTATATTTCAATGTCTAATTATGATCTATTAGGTCATTCCTCCTCCATGTTCCGATTGTCTTCCTTTGCGCTCTTGTCACGGTCCGCCAGCTTCCAAAAGACGCCCCCCAGGACCCACAATCTGCCGTACTTGATGCTAATCAGGAGAGACAAGAAGAAAAAACCCCAGGTCCTGGAAACATGGATATAATAGGCATGATAATCCTTGTGTGTGCTATTGTATCAGCCTTGATGATGGTTCAGGTGCTACAAGGCACTATAACTCCAAAAAGAAAACTATACATTAGCACTGGTCTTGGGCTCGCTAGTTTGCTGCTTGTGGGTGTCTTTTGTGTGCACGAGGTTCAGTGGGCCAAGAGACCCTTGATTCCATTATCCTTTATGATGTCCAGTCAAACCGGCATTGTATGTGTAGTGCAGATCTTATCAATGATCGCAGACCTCGCAGTGAGTTACACTCCACCTTTGCCCTCATATTGACGAATGCTGAGACCTACCAGATTGTCTCGACAGTCAGCGAGTACTTTGTTCGGACAAAAGGCTTTTCGATGGCCGCCGCATCGGCCTGTCTAGCACCTCCAGCACTTGGAGGTGCCCTTGGTGGCTATCTAGCAGGAAGACAAATCCAATCGTTGGTCGCCCCTGTGTCAATACAGTGTCTTTCTGTCCAATGGAAACTAATGAGATTCCAGAACTGGTAAATATCATAGATTGACTCAGATGGGATTGATCCTCTGCATCGCGAGCTGCATCCTGATTGCAATCCGATGGTGCTTCTTCAATCCATCACTCTTGGAACTTGCCTATCCCTTCTGTTACGGGGTGGGATTGGGCATATTATTTTCCACCCAGTTTGTGGCATTATCTGCTCACTCACCGAAGGACTACTCTGCAAGATTAATCACGACGTATTATCTGATGCAGCAAATTGGGTCTGTGGTGGGTGTATCTGTTACATCCTGGCTAGTTCGAAGTAGCTTTGCGAATAGTCTGGGAAACGAATTTGGAGTAACTCCAGATGGGTTGAGAGTGAGTGAACAGTCTCTGCTATTGTCTTTCTCCTTCATGAACTGATAAACATGCAAGATGGTGAAGGAGATTCTAAAAGACCGTCACTACGCTGCTTCTCTTCCCAAAGAAGTGCGAAAATCAGTGGAGGTGATTTTCCGAAGAAGCTTCGTCGCTGCACCAGGTGAGTGGTCCCATAAACCAAAGATGTGTTGACCTAATAACAAAAGTATTTGTAATTGCGGCTCTGATCCTCACCGTTTGTCTCGTGAGAGGGGAAACGGAAGAGAAAGAGACTTGTCTTGATGAGCAATGTCATGATTAGTGCTTATTCACTGTGACCGCATGCACTATCGCTTCGTATTCACTCATGTGCTTTCAGCCGAGCAAGTCCAAGCCACAGAACCTTGAAGTACGGTTGACCTGCATCACCCCCGTGCATCAGTGGAACGAGTCAGATACACGAAACCAATTAGCTGTATATATTCCTCACCGATTCTTTTGCTGCAAAGCGACGATCAATTATTATATTGGAATTATTTTAACGAACCCCTCCAGACCAAAATTAACCTTCATCTTGTCACACCCCCACCACAACCATGACCGTAAACAAGAATTTGGCTGGAAAAGTGGCCCTGGGTAAGAAATCCCCTTTGGAAACGCGTTTCTTCATGTCTATACCATGTCTATACCATTTATATACCCCGTACATATCCACTGTCACTAAACTTAGTCCAGTCACGGGAGGAAGTCGAGGCATCGGCGCAGCCATCGCCATCAAACTCGCCGAGCACGGCGCAAACCTCGCAATCAACTATGTATCGTCCGCCACAGCTGCAGAGGCTGTTGCTGAGCAAATTCGCTCGCATGGCGTAATCGCCATCACAGTGAAAGCCGATGTTTCCCAAGAGGGAGAAGTAAGCGCGATGTTCAAGACGATCATGGAGCGATTCGGTCGACTAGATATCGCGGTCAGTAACTCTGGAATCGAGTATTTCGCTGAGCATTCGGAGACGACGGGCGCGGACATCGATCGGGTCTTCGGCGTTAATGTCAAGGGTCAGTATTTTGTTGCGCAGCAGGCGTATAAGTATATGGCGGATCATGGGCGGGTTATGTTGACTTCGTCGATTTCGGCTGTTAAGGTATGGGTATTTGACACTAGATCATGTCTACGCCGGAGCTAATCTGGGTTTCTTTAGGGTGTTCCTCGTCATGCTGTTTATGCTGCCTCGAAAGCCGCTGTTCAGGGTATGACCAAGTGTCTTGCCGTTGATTTTGGTCCGCGGAATATCACTGTCAACTGTATCGCTGCGGGTGGTGTTAAGACGGATATGTATGACGAGAACTCGGCCGAGTATATCCCTGGTGGAGATAAGATGACGCCGGAGGAAATTGAGGTCATGTTATCGAAGTGGTCTCCGCTGGGTCGTGTTGGGCTTCCGGATGATATTTCGAACATTGCGGCCTTTATTGCAAGCCCTGAGTCACAATGGTTGACTGGTCAAACCTTTCAGGCTACTGGAGGTGCTTATATGGTTTAGTCTAATGTCGCATTCAATCCGATAATCCAAATACCAGGGTTGTTATATTGGTCCTTTTTGAGTAGACGACCTCGAAAGGTCTTCAAAGGCTTAGAAGCCACTGTATTGTCTAGGTACTCGTGTATATTGTAACCTTGACAGAAAACCAGAAATTCAAAAAGAGCCAAGTATAAGTGGCCTGTATGCCAGGGGTATGTGCGTGAGAATAATTCAGATGTACGTGAGCGCTGAAAACGAATCAACTAGAAGACTAGGGCGCTGCACTGTCTGCAGAGTCAACTGTCATGTTTGTCCGATGTCTTGGTAGAGAGCTATTCGAAGAATGCGAGGCAGTAGAAGGTCTGTCTTCGAGTAAGTTGGTTGGGCCTGAATCGATGCCATTGACACCATTAACGCCATTTGCATGAGCACCGTTGACGCTCTTCGGGCTATATGTCTCCAATGCGTCAAAGACATGGTGAAAGACCTGTTGGTCCACATCAGACGCCCACAAGAAGTCCAAGTGCTCATAAGTAGGTATAGGCTTTGCGACAGTCCCACGAGGCAAGCCCTGCAACATAACATTGATATCGACAAGGCTATCACTGCCACCATAGAGGAGTACGATTGGTGTCTTGATGTTGCGGGTTGGGTACTTGACAGGCTTGTAGAAGCGTTCACTGGCAACAATGCTGAAAGGGGTTTGCAGTTCGTCGTCGTAGAACTGGAAATTCTTGTTGCGGATTATCTGGAACCAGTGGACAACGGACTTGGTACTCGTGAAGGAATACAGGTGGAGGTATGCAGCTAGCTTCTGGGTTCGGGTGATATTGCGGCATTGCCAGTTAAATAGGACAGACAGGGCCGTGTCAATGATGCGGACATAGATTGGCGGGTACAAAATTGTCTGCCACATCGTTGTCGAGGAGAGGATACTGCGTCTGCCGAAGAGGAGGAACAAGAAGTTCGGTGAAGCCTTCATAAGAGAATCGACGATGCGATTGCGGAGGCCAGACGGAGCCATTGCCGGAGCCAAGGCCACGAAAACATCAACCTTCTGGTTGAGCAACGGGTGGATAGATAGTGTTGCAAAAGCCTGCGCGGTACCCTGCGAGAAACCAATGTACGATAACGATGGCTGGGTGGTCACATCGAGGATGTATTCGATGCTGTTCGGGATATCGTGAAAGGCGAACTGATCAATGGAGAAGTCCCAAAACTCATTTGACCCTGGTGAGAATTGGGTAGACTTCTTCGCATACTTGTTGCCCCTGTTATTGCCCAGCCAAACATCGTATCCCTTTTCGACCAGCTGGAAGGGAAGACACCGCTGTTCATCGGTCAAGGCGACCCACACCTCACTAGACATGAGGAGACCATGGTGAAGGTAGACAACCTTTTTGCTAATTGAGCCAGGTCCTTGGTTAACCCGCATATTTTCTTCCCCTCTCCGGTAGGCCAGTCTATGCAGCCCAAGAAGATACCCATCTGAAGTCTGAACGATGTGCTCCTCCGCCTCATATCCGAACAGGGCGCACATGTCCACGAAATCCGACGCCTCTGCTATAGACGAAGCAAGAATCTCCTCTTTTGTCCGTTTATCATGCGATTCCTTTGAAATGAATACATTGAAGAGTTTCTTCGACTGATCGTGACAAAATCGAATGATAGGTGATGCTAGCTGCACGTCAGTTGGAAGCACGGGGCAGACAAGAAAATGCACTCACGAAGGCAGAATGTGATTAGATGAATGACAGTCTCCAGGAATACCAGGATCAATGATCCTAGCAGTGCCAGGTACTCAAACCTAAAGAGGTACGACATTAATTGCCACGATCTTCGAACCATGTTGTGGTACTTGGCGCGCTCAGGGTGGAAACCTACCAAAACAACCTCCCGATAAAGGGTACACGAGACATGATGACTCACTGTCTAGTTATTCATACATATATTCAGGGAGAAAAGCGTACAATTAAACACCGACAAGATCGCAAGTTGTTAAAGAAGTTGAAGATCAATTGACATCGATGTTCGCGACGTCATCTGCGCATGTGAAAGCGATCAGGGCGGCGCTTACTCATCCGGGGTCAACCAATCAGAATCAAGTGGTATGATCCGCCTGAATTTGTCCCAAATGTTCCGCTTCGGAGACTCACCAAGTCGAGCAGATCACCATGCCTAGCTCGTGCCAGGATATTAGTGAGTCATACACGATCTGGCAGCGGCATGGTCCCCGTACCGCCTGCCGGGACACATGTTCCCAATTTGTTTTGCCGGGGCGCTGACAACATTGTTTGTAGGGGAGGCATTGGCCCAATGCCTGCAGGAGTCGGACTGCATTATGGTCCAGCGGCACACGCCGCGTGAGTGCCTGAGCTCTCCGCTGGCAGAGCAATTGCCCACAAAATGCCAGCAGTTGAAGAAAGGATTCAGCGAGTGCAAGTAAGTGGATCATTCGGCGACAGCGGACTCTCGAGAATCCAATTACAACGAATAATGCTGATCTGTACTTCCTATTCTGACAGGCGCGGAATGATCGATATGCGCAAGCGTTTCCGAGGAAATCACCCGATTTCCATGGCCAAGGATGCCGATGGACATGGAACTCAGTCGGAACAGCTGTATGCTGGACGTCCGGCGTACACTACTGTTAAGGAGATCAGTGGTGATGAAGTGCAGATGGACCCCGAGAAGACCCGTGGTCTGTAAAGAAATATTTGAACATTTAGGGGAAGAAAGATGCCAATCGATTGCAGAGCAGCATGCTCTCGTTGTGCGGCTTCTGTGTATTCTACAAATGCGTGGAAATTTTGATTCATGCTGGCATGGTCTGGAGTTCTATTTTATCATATCATTGAAATATTGGCACGATCTCCAATCTCTATTATAAGACGCGATACCTCTACAGATATGTAACGTACTTATATACCGTGGAAACTCAGGTTCATTTGTAGCCTAAGAATACCTATGCAATCGCAGAAAAAAAAAAGTATATAATTTCACATCATCATTGACGGTACAATTGAATACAAGTCTACTGGGTCTTCTTGACCTTGTCAGCCACAGGGGCGGAGTAGAGCCAAACAACGACAAATGCCAGGAAACCTCCAATCACCGACCACAGACCGGCGATCCACACCCAGCCACCAGTGATGGCCCAGCTGCGAGGGTATTCGTCGTGCGCAAAGTGACGCACGGTAACCTCGTGCTTCTCCTCAATGTTGGTGAGGAAAGGACGCTTGTAGTCCACACGGAACGAGAAGATACCGTGCTGATCGGGAGTAGTGAACTGGGTGCTGTACACAGCACTGGTCTCAGTACGGACGGTAGGTTTGAGGGCCAGGCGGTGGAAGGGAGAGAGCATGGTGAATTCCAGCTGCAGCTCATCCTCAGCAGGGACCTCGAAGGGCACCCACTTGTCATAAGAGTATTCGGAAATCTCAATGTTGAAAACCTATTGAAGAAGAAAGCGGTTAGCATATAATGAAAAAAAATAGCTTCGAAATGTATGTTTGACGCACGGTTTCGTTCTTAACACGGTAGATCTTAGGGTTCATGTCTTCCACAGCCACCTCACCATCAGTGGCCAGGTGGTGCTCAATCTTTCCGACCTTCAGAATACCAGTCTCCTTGAAAGCCCAGCCAGTCAATTGCTTAGCAAACTCCCGGTTAACGGTAGGAACCTTCTTGCCGTTGGGAGCCTTGACAGAGCCGGAGAACCACTGGTCCTCAAGGGCCTCCACGGAACCCAGCACAACGAATCGGGCCGAGTTGAGAGCCTGAACAGCCGAAACCACATTCAACTGAGAGCCGGTGGCTTCAATGTCATCCGGCGAAGGCATCTCCTCCTTGGGGTTGTACGCGTAAGCGGTGGCAGGAGCTCGCAGGATGGGCGAAATGAGCTGGCTGTTGCTACCCAGAGTCTGGGGGGCGACATGCGGGAGAGCGAGAACACCCTCGCCATCGAAGAAGGCCTTCACATCGGGACGCAGGGGACCGGGGCGCTCGAGCAAGAGGACATCGTGCTTCTCAGCGGCCGAGATTGTATCGTAATTGAAGTGGTCAATGACAACAGCGGAGCGGTCGTTCGAAAGGTGGATATCGACTTCGAGGAGGAGGGAGCTGATAGCACTAGAGGTAGAGGCCTTGCCGGAGAGGGCAAGGATGATGTTGCCATCCTGGTTCATGAAGTCCAGGATGTTCTTCGGGGTCAGGTTGGGGCCAAGTCCTAAGTTAATTAGTCAATTGAAGTATTCCACTATGAATAGTCAAGCTACTCACCCTTGGACTTCGGGGGAAGGATCAGGAGGTGGTCGTAAGCTCTTTCGCCATGTTCGAAGAGGGACAGCTTGTCACTCTTAGGCGATTCGAAAGAAAGGTCGTATCCGCGGCCTATGAAGGGTAAGCAACAATAAATAAGGCTTTAATTGGTATCTATTACCTTCCAAGTCTGACCACAGTATCGAGTAAGCGCTCTTGTCTGTGGTATCATCCAAGACCACCAGCAGACGGCTGCCAGAGCTACTCAGAGCATTTACCGCAGCCGCAAAGGCGCTGACAAGCAACGCAAGGTACCACCGCATTTTGAGGATATTTCCGCACAGCGGAGCGGGACACCTTGAGAAAGAGAAAAAGAGGTGATGGAGGTTGGTGAGGGGAGGTGTTCGGAGTTGTATAGATCGCCAGAAAGGGCGACGTGTTAATCGGGTGGATGCCAAGACTTTCGGGACCTGCGCATCTTCGGAACTGAACCTCACCTCTTCCCCACGGTCTCTCGATTTTGATCCTCGTCAACGGTCTATCCCCCTCCAACACCACAACATACCAGTGGTCTCGCTTGTCCTCAATTTCTCTCGCCTGAAATTGTGGTCTACGGAGTCTTTCGGACATTGACGCCGCATTATCGAAAATCTTCACCTCAAAGTCTTGTCGACTGACCTCGTCCCTTCACCATGTCTTCCCCTCAATTCTGGTCAACTCCCCTCCGCTACGTCCGCTGGGCCGCTCACGAGAAGCCTGCCATTTTCTTCTCCCTGATCATTGGCTCCATGGGCCCGGTCGCGCTGGTTACCCTGCCCCCCATCCGTCGGGCTCTCGGCGACGTTGACCCCGAGCCTATTCCCCTCACATATCCTCGTAAGGACTCTCGACCCCTCCAAACGCTCGCTGAGTGAGAATTTCTATGTTTGAGTGTATAATTCTAATAACCCTACTCATTGCGCACAGTCCCGAAGGGCCCGCGGTCAGTTCCTCAGGGCTTCGATGACGAGTAAAAAGACCGATAAACGTCGAGCCGCTAGAAACAAAACCCACGTTTGACAATTTTTGGTCTTAGAGTTGATGCGCGTTATTTGAGACGGAAAGATGAGGATTTAGCAATGTTGCCTTCAATTACCGAGGTTGATAGCAGGGCTGTTCAAAATAGCCTGACCTGTTAACCAGCAAGAAACGATCCCATTCTTGATCGTTTCTCCCCACAAAGAGGCGTTTTGATACCAATCTCGTTCGCGTATATGGCCTCGGCACAGCGGGTGTCGAGACCATTGCGCTGCCAGTGTATGTACTATGTTTTGAGAGTGATCATATAACCGACACCGAGTCGCTTTCCTGTTCAAACTTATCTTCAATGACCTATGCTGGACTTAGTGTGGATACTGGGTTTTAAGATGTTTACGGTCATTTGGGCCCTTGGTATCAACGTAGACATACACCATTGGCCGCGTATACCAGGTTTACAACGTTAGATGCTCTACGTTGTTTTCATGTGTATCTCTTTTTGTACCATCAATTGATATGAGAACCGACCTTGTTAGCAAATCCGACCAAAACGTGGATTTTCTGTTCAGGAATGAGAACTTTCATTGTATTTATTCAGGTTAGAAGAAGTATAACTTAGAGATCGCACGCAACCTTGAACTGAGGATTTCGGGGGGTTCTTTCTCTTGTGTGCGTGTTAGGACGTCAAGAATGTGCTTGGCTGGGAAAAGTCGACGGTGTGAGTAGAGAAATCACTATAGTATCGATTGATTACCATGGCCCCACGCTAACGTCAAACTCCTTCGCGAATTATCAAACGGTGACATATGTACAACCATTCTGAAATAAGGTGATTAGTCTCTGGCGGAACCTTTTTGTTTTTTTAAGAAGTGAACGATTTAAGAAGATCAAAATGGAATTCGTACTTGGGATCGATCAGTCTGATTGGTCCTAGAGGTCACAATGTGGACTACCTCTGCAGTTTGAATTATTCTCTTCTTTAAAATAAGGAGGGATCGCGGTAGAGAGCCTGGAGAAAATGAATTGAAAGGTTCAATTAATATTGATGAGACCAATCAAGATCAAAGCGTCAACCACAGAACGGATAACGCCGTATATGCTCATATCTACATGTAGTTCGTTCATCAGCATCGCTTTATCAAAGCAGTCTCTCCCAGCCAGAAGGCATCAATCCAAAAAGCAAACATGCGAGGCGCGAGCCGTATGTCCCACCATAGGTCAAGTCAAAAGTCCCCAGGGGAATAGGAGCAAACATTGCTAAAAAAGAACACAAATCCTGTACACCATCAAAACAACCCATGAAAGATATAAAAAAGCATGACAAAACCCCATGGCTAGTGAGTATCCGGGCCAAGTCATTAAAAAACAGAAACGAAACATTTCAAACTGGAGTCAAGCCACCCTTTTCGTGAAACCCCCCGTTCAACGCATAATGCTCCTAACCGGCCAACTGCACGATAGCGCAGAATAATTAAATGTGGAAGACCCGTGGATCTTACTCGAATCACAGACCCGAGGTGTGGCGCCAGTGGTATCCAGTGGGGGATTCAGTCCGTGGAGAAAGAAATGGCATCCATATCCGACGAATCGTGGAAATTGGGCCTGACTTGGACCATGTACTTGATGAATAGTCCCTCGGTGGGGGACGTCCTGGACTTTCAAGAGAGGAGAGGAGAGATAGAGAAGAAGCAAAGTCGATGTTTGGAGAAGTGAGAGTGGAAAGGATCCAAGGAAGGTTTTTTTTTGTTCATCGACATCATCAAGTTCCAGGATTTCATCACAGTCCAGGGTGGCATAATGGAACATCTCATCCAGTGGGCCACAATGGGGGAGAAAATTATCCATGCAATGCACAAGACGAAACTAGATGCCAGGCTGGCTTAAGGTTTACCGCCGGCGATGCGGGTCTCGTTCTCTGGTGGGTTGTGGCCTACTGCGCTCGTATTCCGGGGTATATCTCGGCTCCATTCCTCCTATCCGGGGATCTGGGGCGGTAGTAGTAGGGTAAGACATCCCAGTGGTCTGGGGAGAGTAGTCCGGCTGGTCATTATAGCCGGGTCCTGGATATCTGGGGGCATTTCGGCCACCCTCGTAGCCATAACCAGTTGCGTAGGTATAGGAAGTGGGGTGCATGTCAGCAGCCGTAACCACGGGTTGGGGAGGACCAGAGTATGAGACTTGGGGTGGAGGGTACGGAGCTTGGCCTGATGCGTAGGGTGAATGTGTGGAGCTGTAGGAAGAAGGGGGTTGGTTGTAGGAAACATTCTGGGATCCGCCATAGGAACCCTGGGGATATTCCATGTAGGTCTGTGCGGGAGCCGCACTGAAGGTAGTTGGGGACGGCCCCTGTTGTTGGCGAACCTCATGGACAGCCGAAGTGGCATAGCTGGCTGCGCCAGAATTAGGAGGATGTGACATGTTCACATCTTGGATGTAACTACCTCGTGGATAGCCTAGGTCAGCCCGACGTGAGACGTCCGCCTCCCACCGAGCGGAGTCAGCCTTGAGATCAGCAATCATTTCCTGTTTATCCAGATGGTCCTTGGTCAGATGGAGTTCTCCTTGTCGTTGGCTTGGCTGGATTGATCGACACATGTCCACTTACTGATGTGAGATTCCGATAGGCACGGATGAAAAATCCCGGGCGGCCCTGTGGTGGGGTTAGTGAAGACGCTCGAAAAACATAGCAAAGAAAAGAGGACGGACTTCATGGTTGCCGGGTCGCACAAGTGCATCATTTCCAAGGTAGCGACAGATATCTGCCTGGATCACCTCGCGGCTGATTCCATCACCGGGGATAAAGTATTCATTTTGACGGCCTGTCATAATGTGTTCCTGAGGATATAAAAATGTCCGGATAGTTCAACGGTCTCCTCAAGTCCGGGCCAAAAAAAAACGAAAGGAAAATCCGTGGTATTGGGATCCTTCTGGTAAGGAGGTTGTTGGATCCGTTATATTGGAAAGAATGTACAAGGTTTGCTTTGGTTTTCTATAGAGCGACCGGTGTAAAGATGTCCACGGTCGTCACCACTTTTAATGACGGGAGCAAGTCGAATCCTGAGGGGAGTTTCACTGATTTCGAATATATTCCACGGAAGATGGCCACAGTAGAAAAAGAGGATCCTAGGGTCGGAAGAGCAAAACACTGGTGTCCTTTTGTCCAGGGGGAGAATATCCAGGGAATCCTTAGGAGTCCAGAGTGGTTGTCCAGGGCAAATAATTCAAATCAAATCCTAGGGAGATATATCGAGTCCAAGGTCGAAAAGACTAAATCAAGTCTGCGAGGCTGAGGGGGAGAAAAAGAAACACCGAGGCGAGATTGAAAGGTCCGGATATTGGAAAGCTAGGTCCACGCTTCCTAATTTTTCCGCTTTATAAGGGTATCCAGATTCTTTTCCCTGCAATAGACGAGTCGAGAGGAGAGGTAGGGGGGGGAGGGGAGAGAGATGTTGGATGGGAAGGAAGAAGAGGAGGAGGAGAAGGGGCGAACTAAAGTGGGCAGGGCGGTTGGGCCGTCCTCTTGGGCTGGTGCCACGACTCCCCCCACTTCTCTATCAAGTCAAGGCGTGAAAAGCATGCACGGTCGAATACGGCTTAGAGTGGGAACCAGAAAAACGGGAAAATCGAAAATTAAAAATTAAAACAAAGTGCAGTGTACCACTCTGTCCCTAGCCGATGCTAGAATCCACAGACCCTGGCAAATAAACCCCAACCCTGAGTTAATCCTTGTCCTAGTCTTGATCCTAAAAGACGCCGTAAACTTTGCCAAAGGCCGATCCCCCATAGTCTGTCCCAGCTTGGATTGCTCTTTAGTCTGTGCCTTTGGGCATCCTCTCTTCCCACGTGATTTTGATGGGTTTCCTGCCCAGTCTCTTGCGTATACCAACCTTTAGGTATATAACTGAAATGTTGAGTGGACCAGCGGTCAACACATAAGTGACTAAGGGGCACAAATGATGGAGTACTGCCTTGTGGCGAAAACACCGGGATTTTCATTCCGAGCTCGTGAACAAGGCGACTACAGTGGGACAAATCGGGGCCTGGGAGGCCTACGGAGGATGATCCTCGCCCTCCTGCTGCAACATCCGTTGCAGCAAGGGACCAATCTGCGGCCAGATCGGTGGGATGGCGACAGAACGTTGCCACTTTGAACCGCAGGACAAGCGTTGGGCACGAATGCGTGTTGGGCACGACTCCGTCAGCGCGTGGACCACTCAGAGCTCGGCTATGTCAGCACAGGGTGAGCTAAACGGGAGATCACACAGCGGTTCTTGTCGGGTCTCGAACTGCACAAGATGGGAAAAGCAAAACAGGTCTTCGAATCGCTGACGAAATTTGGATTCGAACGGGGAGGTCAGTTCACGGAATTCAAAGTGGTCGCTCTTGAACTATATGTGAGATCTTATTATGAAGTACATTCTGGAGTACATCGGACCCGAGATATATTTTGTTCAAATGTTAGATTGCTAGGGTATAAAACCATTGGAAATGGGATGATTGTAGGTCAAACATGGTGAGTCAGGTCCAGATATGAAGATACCTCCAGTCCAAGGTGGTTGAAAGATGTCATAAGACAGTAGTCATGATATCGAGTGATACTGATCCTATAGATCGTTGGAATGTTTGTTTGTGGAAAACCTGAGGCTCTGGAACTACACGTGACCATACTAATCCCGATTGGGACATATATCCAAGGGTCGCGAAAAACCCCAGAATCCAGTCCACAGATCACATCCCATCCTAGCTAGGGTCATTCCAAGGTTGCTGCAGAATTACCACCCCCGACGATGACGAATACCCAGGGATGTCGTCTGCAGACCCGCCCAACACCCCCGATGCCGTGAAACGCTCCCGCTACACCTACCGCCACTTCCAACTGCTACGCCAAAGCTCCACCGCAACACCGTTACGCGCCATTGCGCATATCGACCTCGATGCCTTCTACGCCCAGTGTGAGATGGTCCGCCTGGGGACGCCTCGCGACACCCCACTCGCGGTGCAGCAGTGGGATTCACTGATCGCCGTGAATTACGCAGCGCGACCGTTCGGTGTCAATCGCATGGTCAGCACCGCCGAGGCGCGCAAACTATGCCCGAATATTGTCTTACAACATGTTGCCACTTTCCGGGAGGGCGAGGGCGGTCACTGGGCTTACCGGGATGACTCGTTTCGGAGTGTAAAGACCGATAAGGTGTCTTTGGATCCTTATCGGGCGGCATCGCGGAACATTCTCGCGACTATGAAGGATGAGCTGCAAAGGTGGTGCACAGATACATCGGAAGGCCAACTTGATCACCTCACTCAGGGAATTACGCCTGGGCTGGAAAAGGCCAGTATCGATGAAGTCTTCATTGATCTCTCGCCTCTCATCTACAGTGTCTTGCTCCGGAGATACCCTGAGCTTCGGGCCATTGCTCAAGACGAGAAGCAAGTTGCCGAGCTGCCTTGCCCACCTACTACAGCGCTGCAATGGGCATCTGAGGACTCGCTGATAGATTTGGATCCACTAGAAAGCGAGGAAGATGACCCGGATTGGGATGACATTGTCATGCTGGTGGCCGCCGAGATCACGAGGTCGGTCAGAAATGCTGTGTGGGAGAAGCTAAACTATACCTGCTCTGCCGGTATTGCTCGGAACAAAATGCTTGCGAAACTTGGCAGCGCTTGTAATAAGCCTAATAAGCAGACGGTGGTACGGAATCGCGCTATTCAAAAATTTCTGGGCGGATACAAATTTACTCAGATCCGGATGCTGGGCGGCAAGTTGGGAGATCAGATCACTGCTTTTTTCGGCACAGAGCAAGTGAGCGAGCTTCTTAATGTGTCCCTCGAGCAGCTGCGTGCAAAACTCGATGATCATACCGCAACTTGGCTATATAGCACCATTCGGGGAGACGATCGCAGTGAGGTCAATCCTCGGACGCAGATCAAATCTATGTTATCTGCGAAATCATTTCGCCCTAGCATCAATTCAATCGATCAAGCAGAAAAATGGCTGCACATCTTTGCTGCTGATATCTACGGTCGCCTAGTTGAGGATGGCGTGCTTGAAAATAGACGTCGTCCTCGAGTGATTACTCTTCACCACAGAGTCGTGCAGAGTCGATCCCGTCAAACCTCAATCCCTGGTTCCATTACTATCGATGAAAATTTGCTATTCGAGCTGGCTAAGAATCTGCTTCGACAAGTGATGGCAGATGGACAGGTGTGGCCATGTGCAAACCTGTCATTGAGCGTGAGCAGCTTTGAAGATGGGGTGGGTAAAAACAAAGCCATTGAAGGCTTTTTGGTTCGTGCCGACCAGGCCAAGTCTCTGATCCATGCTAGACCTCGAGATGCCGGCATCCTCAGTGAACAGCCCCCGGCAGACAAAAAAAGGAAGATTGACGGCATCAAACGCTTTTTCAATCAACCTCATGCTGATGATCCTGCCGCATCTGATAATGAAAGCCCTCAACCCCCATTAGCTCAAGACTCAGCACCTATCATCCAGGAAGATATTGCAGTATCACCGGACACTTCTGATATCCTGCAGTTTACCTGCATTCGATGTTCCAAATCTATTCCCGAGTATGACAGAGAGGAACACGACGACTGGCATTTTGCCAAAGATATAGCGAATCAGGACAGACAAGAAGCACGGGATGCCCAACAGCAAAGCCACCCACCGACCAACTCCCGGGCATCTAATACTCGTGGCCGACCTAGTCGAGGTGGCCGGGGAAAGTCAGAGAAAGGTCAGATGCGACTGGCCTTCCAATGAAAGGAGCAATTTTGTGACATGGATATGCTGGTCTTTTCTAGTGGCAATTTCGCTCTATATCAACCTCACAATCACCCCTATCGTATTTTCATACCCAATTTAAGCCCCCATTGTAATACATGTTAATATTGCGACGTCATAATCGTCGATTTGTGCCCAGGTCCAAGTATATGGGTAGACCCAACCAGGGATGCCAAACTCAACCATGGATCGAGCCAATTCCGATCTATAAATCTAAAATCAATGTAAACAAAATAAAAGATCACCCCTTTTATCATGCAGAATTACCACACATCATCATGCATGGAGTGTCTTCACACCCCTTGACCCGTATGTGACATCAGCGGGGTCATAGGACAAGCGACTATCGTCGCTGCGCCCCAAGTAGCCCCGAATAACTTCTGCGCTTTCTGCCTCTTGTTCGCAGTGCCTTCTATTCCTAGGATACAAGCAAACGATCGCGAGTACTAACTTTCAACCACATTTCACCTTCCTCACGTTCCACGTCATTGCTTGGCGGCATTTGATTTTCGGGACGTGCCGCGCGATAAATGATTGTTCTTGAGTACCCCGCCGAGCTACTCTTGAAATCAACACGTCTCGCTGCGGCGTAAACTGCGCACGATAACGACAAGCTTCTTATGTGCCTGTCCTTTCTGTGAAGCCTAGTCACTTTTGGTTTGTTGCCTTAAGCTCTGGAAGTTGAAGCTAGCTCGTTTGCGCATGCGACTGACCGCAACTGACGAAACCTTGCGATTGTGAACTCGCAGATCTATTTTCACACAAGTAGATCAATGACCTGATGATCCGGGGCAACTGGGTTGTATCTTGTCCTTAATTTTTCGTGATCGTTTCCTTGTTGCTGCCTGATAACACCAAGGTTTGAAGTGAGTTGCCTGCGCATCGGGCTGCTCTTGCTGAAGACATTTCGGTACCCGACTTGCGACGAAAGTAGCCAGACTTGCGATTGTTCATTTGTATGACCTCTTCTCATACACAGGTCCATGACTTGACGCCTCTAGACGGCTGGCTTCTGGTTTCCTCCACCTTTCCTCGATCGCTTCCCTGTTGCCGCAGAGGAACCGGGCCATCTTGACTTCGCCTGAACACGACTAGATCGACCATGCCTCGCCGAGCACCACCGCCATCGGCGTACTACGAGGAAGATTACTTCGAAGCCGAACGCGAAAGATATCCCCGCAGCCGTCGACCCGAGCGGTCATCATTCGAAGATGACGTGAGATACAGACGCAGGGAATCAATGCCATTAGGCCAAGATATTGAGCGCATGCGGGTCCGAGAACGTCCTCCACCTCCAGGAGAGTTCGTGCGTGAGACTTTCATAGTCCCACCCCGAGACCTTGAACCACCCGTGCGTATGAGAAGGTCCGCAGATGATATTGGACCCATACCGGACAGGGAAGAGGGATATATGCGCACGCGACCACGGAGGAGTCACCGACCTCCCGATATTGATCCAGACGAACTCATTGATGAAAGAGATATGCGACGCAGTGAACGACATCACCCTCGCGATCTTGATGAACAGTATGCTTATGATGAACGAGAGCGACGTGCTCGAAGGCCTCGCCCGGAACGAGAATTCGAAGAGGAAGAGATCGCGATCCGGCGCAGGGCACAAAAGCCACCGTCACCGGTTTATGATAGCGAAATAGATCCACGGCCTCGGGAAAGACGCTACTCCGACGTGCGAGACGAAGTTTATGTTCGCTCTTCGGAATCACGTCGCAAGCCTCATTTTCGGGAAGTGCAAGTAGAAGCAGACATTATTGATGAGCGAGAAGAAAGACCGCGGCGCTCAAGGCATCGTGATGGGTCATCACCGACTCTGTCTAAGGAGGAAGAGATGGTCATGCAGTGGAAAGATAGACCTTCTCCTCGGGAACTTGAAGAAGAAGAGGAGATCAGAGTGCGAGATACGCGGCGGCGCTTTCATCAAAGCCCACCCCGGGCACGATATGGCCGAGGACCGCCGGGCAGCTGGCCCGATAGTCGAGACGATGAGGACGTGGATGTGGAGAATGATCTACGTTCTTCAAGACATCCCAAATCTAGACGGCAGGCAGAGGATGATTTGGAGCTGGATGCTCGCTCCAGAATGAGATCCAGACCTGGCCGGCAAGAGTTAGAGCATGATGAAGAGATTGATGTTCATTCGTTTAGGCGCCCCAATCCTAGATGGGAACACACGGATGACGACGAGCTTGATGTTCGCTCTTCAAGACGCCCCAGACTTGAGCGAGAAGATATCAAGGAGGACGAAAGAATAGATATTCGCTCTTCAAGACGCCCTAGACGTGAGCGGGAACAGATAGATGACGATGAGCTTGGTCCTCGCCCCCAAATACTTTCCAGACATGGACGTGGGAATATTGAAGTCGACGAAGAGATTGATATTCGATCTCCAAGACGGTCTAGACCTGGACATGGAGGTATCGAGGTTGACGAGGTGATCGATATTCGGCGAGATGAGTTTGATAGAGAGCCTCGCAGAAAAATTACAGAAAGCGAAGAGATTATCATTCGCAAAGACAGAAGGGGGTCGACATCTCGAAAACGGAGCCCATCGCCGGAACCTATACGAGCGCCTCCGATTCACCAGGACGTCATAACACACCACCGGCATATTGACCATGGTATTGTCCCTGAATACACGAGATTATTAGATCTAGCGCTAATTCGTGGCAGGGTTTGAAGATGTTCGACCGCCGCGCGCACCAAGCCCTGAAAAGGCATCCACGCAAACTAGCTTTGATGAAATCGACATCCGTCACCAGTAAGTTTATTCCTGTCGTAAACTATCTTACATGATTACTTAACCATGGCAACAGGACTCGAAGAAGCGGCCGCCAATCCGAAGAAGACATTTCCTTCAAGCATAAATATCGTGATGAGGAGGAATCCGTTTCGCCAACTAGCGATCGGTCTGCCGACTTCCGCAATCCATGGAAGCGTGACGAGCGCCGTTCACGCCCTAAGCCCCGGTCGCTAAGCCCCGAAGACGAATCCTTGGTTGCCGAAAAGTCCTATAGTCGTAGTCGGCGAGGTGTTTCACGCGACCTTGATGAGATCGAGGTGAAGATGAGCGAGAAATTGCAAGCTTCATCTCTTGGCGACGACATCCCGCGCACCAGTATCGATGAGTGGTCCGTTGTTCACGCTCCTCCAAAAGAGGAGACTGTGATGACCGGAGCCCTTCTTGACATAGTCGAGGTGGCTCCAAAAGGTGCTTCTCTTGTTGATTCGGAGTCTGAGGAGGAGGTGGAAGTCGAACAACATAGCAGAGCTGCACCAAAGGTGCACAAGGAGCGGCGCGATGAACGGTGGACTGAGATAACCAAGGACTTGGTGGTTCGTGATGCTATCGAACAGCTGGGATATGAGTTTGAGGAGACAAAGATGTTTTACTACATCTTCTCGTATCTTGAGCCGGTACGTTTTGCAATTCATATGGGGCCTTGTAAATGACTAACGTGATTGCTTTGTAGGCTGACATTGATGAGCTGGTCGAGCTATCAGACCACATTCGCCGGACTCGCCGGCGACGAATCAAGGAGATGCATCGCGAGCGAGTATCAATTCCTGCTCGCTCTGCATCCTTGATAGATCGAATGCCTCCTCGGGTTCGAACAGGAGGCGGGAGGCATATCAGGGAGCGGGAATGGGTTATCGAAGATCACCGTTGAGATGGTCAAGTAGAGGGATGAATGAGGCTTGCCGAGGTGGAGTTAACGATCATCATGAAGACGACATGACATATGACTAGAATACGACAGCAATTGAAATGAAGACAACAGATTTTATGTGCTCTACATGTCGACGACCTGCCCGCCGAGGCATTCGCGATACCTTTATTTGGGCCGTCTGCATCATTGTAGGACCTGTAAATCAGCATGACATGACCGTGCGCTTCTTTCTATCATTAGCTTTTGCTGCATCTCCTTTTCTCTCATCAAAGGCATTGCCAGCTTTGCTTTCTGCTGTCATATTCTACCTTCCAAGGCTTGTGGGTTATCAAGTCAGAGACTGCACTGTCATGCGCAGTCCCCGGTCGCTCAGGGGCTTCACGACAAACTCATCAACCATGATCCTAAGCAACTCACAATATTACTAAAATTGGCCCGTACTGCCACTGCTTCTATACTTGGGCTTCGGCATCTTACACGCTCTAGACCTCTACAGGCCTCGGAATATCCACTCAGTCACAGTGCGACCAAGCAAACCGGCACAAAGAACCGATAGACAGAGAATCTTCCATCGTTTTCCAACATATGCAGAGACATCACAAACAAAGACCAACAATGTGCATAAAAGTAAGACTCTAGATATCCCGAGGTTGTTTAATATTCTTAGCAACAGTACATGTATTCTTAGAAGCAAGCCACAGCCAAGTGGACGACGTCAACACATGGGAATCTTTTACCGCAGCAACAAATCAACACCAATCCCCCCTGTTGCCAAGCCCAGCCGCAAGCCACCGGACGCAACAATATGCACATGTACCGGGTTTCCTGTAAAACATATTCGACTAGAAAGAGTAATCAGAGACAATCTACCATTAGATCCAAGTTTAAAAATGCAAGTGCAGCCAGCCCTGGCAGTAGCCTGGGGCTCCCAACAAGCTCGGGACAAAAAGTTGGCGGGCGATCATTAGCCTAGAACCATGTATCCCCTTGGTGCAACCCAGTCCGCATTACGTTGCACACCTATGCACATCCCTGCCGCCACCCGCAATAATCTTGTGGGCTTGTCTCAGGCATATTAATGGACCATTTGGGAGTGGGGGGCTTGAAAGAGTCGGGTCAGGTACCAGGGGCCTGTCTAGAATTGAGTGATATTCCTTATGGAATTGGGTTTTAGGAGGCAAAAAATAAAATGGGGCTATTCGGGAAGTTTCGTGATCGTGATTCGTATACATAGCAGTCCATGAACGTATTTTAGCCTGGGCGGGTTGTGGGAGTACGGAGTATTGTTTTAGGTATTCCGAAATAAGCAAAGTATAATCTGATGTAGAATTGATGTGAGGGATGTATGTAGTTATATTCATTGGAATCATGGATCAGATTACAAATTGATCGATCGCGATCTCGTTACCGTACCGAGTAAAATGTCATTGAACTGTGCCAATTTACGTGGTGGAGCAGGTTTCCACTTTTTCCAAGATTCTGTCAAGTCTGGATCCGTGCCCCGTAAGATTAAACCCCGAGGACGTGGCCGTAAAGATGTGGCTCAAATGTTACTGACAAAGCTAACAAGGAATTTTACAATGTTGATCAACTCCGGAGTTGGTCAACTGGTGATAGATACCCCTGCTAGGGAGTGCACAACAGTACAGTCGGGTAGAAGTATAAGAACATCTTGAATGCAGGATACCCGGAAGTCTTTTGATATCGATAATCAGTTGACTGTTTTTTTCTGGTTTGTGGTACCCGGACATGGACAAATGTCAAGTCTGTCAGCATTTTGCTTATACCAAGCCTTACACTCGGATGTAGAAGGCTTTCGCTCACGGCTTTTACCCAGTCCTAGAAGACGCTGCCATCTAGAGTACCGGTGGAGATTTTGACACTCAGTACAATATACCCACAGCTTGTTTTGAAGGCGAAGAAGTAGCTCCGTCCTGGGCAATGTTGATAATACGGATATTCCACGTTGTCTGTTATATGAGACATAGCAGGCATGCAACCTTTTACAGCCAAGTGCAAAATATGCTTTATCTAGATCGGGAAGGAACCGAAAGATTGTGTCCACTATTTCTGATGGGATCGTCCAGAGTATCTTGAATTTCCGAGATTCGACCTTACAAAATGTGCTAAAAGTGCTTCGAGGCATGGTGAGGTATTGTAAGTTTATGTTTCGAAGGTGTGTACAGGGAAGTTCAAGGAAGTTTTAAACATGGAGAGAAGCTTCGGGGGACTGTCATATGACGCGCACACATGTCATAGACCACCCGTTCATACCTCTAGAGTCGGCTCCGGAATCAAATGAGCCAAGATGGTTCCCGAACGAGGATTTAGACTTTACATCTTTCATCTACAAAGTCCAGTACAATGCCATGTGTGGTGTTTCAGAAACAGCACTAAACTTAATTTGGCAATGCAGGTGAAAAGCCCACGATTTAGCCTCTTAAAGGCCACGCACAATGGTCTTTTCTTAACTGGAGTTCCTCCGTATCTCCGTACATTAGGAATTCAGGGGAACAAGAGAAATAACAAGCAGATTCTGACTGGTCGAGGGGCAATGAACCGCGGAGGGGAGTATGCATGTGCCGTCACACTCGGGTATCATTCTGAGTTCTTCACAGGATGATCGTCGCCTCTGGCGTTTATGCCCAGTTTTCTGATCAATCAGAATGGTCGTGGATATCATGGATATCATATCAGTTAATCAAAGCCAATCCACAAAGAGTGCAAGTTCCAAACTTTACTAGCAGTAAGACAGGAAGGGGCCAAGAGTGTATACCCGTAGTGTATTGTGGTTCAATCCTGAGACACTAGGGCCTGAATGTGATTTCCTTTCTAAGGTTGTGATTTCATATTAGGGGCTGTGCTAATTTCCTTGAGTCTGGGGAGTCAAGTAAAAATTCTGAGTGAAAGTCGATGCATAACTTTTCGTGTGGCTTACGGGTGAGCTCTATGTGGCTTGTTTGGGACGCAGCTCTGAGACCACTGTGATCCACACATTACGTATGCTTGGCTCTAGTTTGCGCTATCGCCCCTCTGGTCACACTTCCGGACTTCCGTGTACGTTGCCTTAGACCATCTAGAAGAGAGAAAGATGAAAGACGTGCAAGACAAAGAAACTACACTGTGAGGTATGAAGGGCCAGGAATGTCACGGGAAAGAATCTCGTACCTGGCCCAACTTCCCAGTTCCATTTTTTGATTTTGTTGCGCCACGCCAACCAATGTTACAAAAAGTGGAGACGCACCAATCTGGTATTCGGTTTACTGTGCGCGTCAGGTTTCGAGTCTTTTATGCAATAAACAAAACAACCGACCCATGGGACTTCTGCAGGGAACCACCATAGCTACCTACTAAAGAGAACAACAACGAAAAAAAGGCCCTAGAAGAGAGTGAATTATAGAATAGAGAATAAAGAAATCTATAATAAAAACCAAGACGTGCGAGAGCATAAATGTAGACAGAAAGTACCCACCAAGCTAGCGGCAATGCCGGGAGATACTCGTAGCAGAAACGTCCCTAATCCCCGTGACTTTCATTTACCCTTTCTCCTCTTTCCCTTTCTTTCCCCTGCACCCATCCAACCTTTCGGAACTTCCCCAGGAAATCGACCCTCTAGACAAGTTTAAGGGAATAATGCAAATGCCCCTTTGACTGTCGCTGCCTTCGTTTACAGAATATCCTGGTGGCTAGGTGGGGGATCTTCAATCGCTTCTCTCACCCTCTCCCACCTCCCGTGTATGGGTGATCGACATTAATCACCGGTCGGCACACACTGCGTTTTTCAATCCTATCACACCCGGAACAGCACCCTCGTCAAGGAAAGACCGTGTTAGTGGAGGGTGATCCTCAAGGGACACGACAAGAAAGGGCGTTGAAAAGAAGGACTGGGTGGTGGTCTGAGACTCGACACCCAACCTCTGCCCACCATGCACTTCTCACTGCTGGTGTCGGCTTTGGCTCTGTTGCCCCGAACTTTTGCATCTTCGACCTTGGCCTACTGTGCTACGGAAAATACTGGATCGTCTAGTAATTCATGTGGGTGATAAACGGAGTCAACATCGAATTGAATGTCTTGCTGACCATTGTACAGCATCGAGTATCTACCAATCTAACGGCCTCTGTGAGGGAGATTGTGCAAGTTACGCCTTCGGTATCCTTCAAGGAAAGGTTTGTTGGTGTTCGAATGTGGCACCGGCCTCCGACACTCGAGAGAGTACTTCAAAATGTGACACTGGATGCCCGGGCTATCCCTCGGATAGCTGTGGTAGTGCATCGAAGGGAGTCTACGCCTATGTCTCCATCTCTGGAAACAGTGCGACTAGCACCGCAAGCAACAGTGACACCACTTCGTCGTCATCGACGACGACGACCTCAGTAAGTTTCTCCTTTGCATCCTCAAAAATCCCCCAATAGTTCCTTGGTTGTTCTGGGTTTTTTGAATCTGCGCTTCTTCCATGGGGTCCCGATTTTTAATACCTGGATTAGGGGACTACTACAAGCACATCGTCAACCTCAACCATCACGACATCAACTGTACTATTATCAATTCCAAACGGCTAGGTTCATCCCGCTAACTTGGACCACAGACTAGCGGTTCTACCACCACGACTGGAGCCAGTGTCGCCTACACAACCTCCTCGAATGGCGAAGTCAAGACCATCACCGTTTCTGGCTCGAGTGCCACCTCCGGCGCGGACGGGAGCACGGTTACCACGACTAGCAACAAGAGCTCCGGCTTGAGTGGTGGCTCGATTGCGGGAATTGTTATCGGCGTCGTTGGAGGTCTCGCCCTGGTTGGCGCGCTTGTTTTCCTCGTCTTCTTCTACCGCAAACGTGCTCGATCATCAAGCCCCGTCCCAAGCCAGGATATGGCCGACCGAACAAGCCAGGGCTCGAACTGGTCCCGTGGTGTCTTCCCCGGTGGTGCTGGTGGATCTGACCTCGGACGCAAGGCGACTTTCACCGATAACCGTATGAAGACAAGCACCGCTATTTATCCCAATGGAGCTCGGGATAGCAGTGTCTCGCTGCAGGACAACGAAGACTACTCGCGACCTGTCCTTCGCGTAAGTTCTACTCTACATCCACTGATGTGAACACCTGCTAATCTATATCAATAGCTCACCAACCCGGACTAAATATGACTCGGATTCCCTATCCTCCACGTTTTCTTTCTTTCCACCCTTGACTCCGCGAGATTGCCCTCACCATTAATTCTGCGCGAATCTGCCCAAAACAATTCTGTTATGATACCCAACTGTCCCTTGACTTCTTTCCTATTCTTAAGGTGGTGGCCGTGAAGAAAACCGACATGGAGGACACTTGAACCAGGGCTTGAATTCCACCACAGCATTGTGAATGGATGAGAAAAGGATGGTTGGGAGGCACTACCCGACATGAAAACGAGCCTATTCGACCCCTGGAAGCGATGATCTGCCGTCGAGACGAGTTCACGAGCAACAGCATACATACCTACATACAATACCGTGGATGATGAGCCCCTGCCCATGTGATTCCAGTACATACATCCGACTCTCTCCAGATCGCCTCATCTCCTTGATCTTTCTTTTTTCCTAATTCTCATTTCATCCGTTGTACCATCCAGCCAGCTCTTTGCTTTCCTTTTATCCTAATCCACGTGTTTTTACTCGTTTGGGTTTCTGCCACGGCGTTCCCTCCCTGGTGTTTAGAGAATGATACATCTACAATTCTACTGAAATCTCGATAATTCCGACAACAGCCTCGGCTGGATTGTTAATGTAACCTCTCTAGCCGAGGGTTGAACTTCCCCCCTGACTAGTATTTACTTCGACGTGGCATGATGGATGCTGTATACTACGTCATGTCTGACTGTTCGTGGGCCAGAACATGTCCGTTGTGCCACTTGGGACAGTTGGATCTGCAGTTCTAGGCCATTTTCGAATAGTTCGAATAGAAAACTGGATCTTGTTTGTCGATCATTTGAAAATCAGACTAATTCAAACAATCATCTACAATCGCGGTTTACAAGTGGATTTCAAATCTGCAAGTCGTGCATTGTTACAGCTTCTATGATTCGACTAACATACGGTGGATCTCCGAATTTCCACTCGTATCAGCTAACCCAAAATCAGCAATACTCAATTCCGGCCGACGATCCCTCAGTAAGGATTGAAGGAATAATATCCCTGTGAATCCCCCGAATCACATCATGAATAAAACTTACAGGCGTGCGGATCCAACTGCTAGGCCCTCACAAGTCGATATCCACACCTTTGCCAAGCAGCAAGCCAACCATTTCCACTGACCTCACCTCAACAGCGAAACGTACTTCAGCCTTGTCCTCCCTAGTAAGGCGTTTCAACGCACATCTAGCCTCAATCAGCTCTCATGACCAATTCAAATAGCATTGCTGCAATGCCAAATGAAGCGCTGTAGTGCCATTGCTGCTTGTAAAATTGATATCGATACCTCCAGCAATCAACATCCACACTAGCTCCCCTTTACCTTTCTTGATAACAGTGTGAAGCGCCGGACTCATAAGGTCTGACATCATTCAGCATCCAGCTACACTCCGGTTGAGAAAGTTTTCAGCTCAGAATATTGTGATACCCTCGGGTTGCGGCAAACAGTAGAAGGGAATGCATCCACAGCAGATTAGACCTCATCCTCTCCAATGCCATTACTATCATCCTAATGTCCTTCTTTTCAACGATGTTCTCGATCTCACGAGTTCACTCAAATCCGCGCCAGCGAGGATCAATCGCTGCGTCATAAAATCATGTGGTGCGTAGCCCAGTTTTTTTTATTTTTATTTTTTCACATGGTATATCCCTTACATTTGGGATTACGCCATAACTGAAAAGCGAGTCTACCATTTCTATATCTTCGTTGTTGACTGCCTAGTTGAGAGTATGAGTTGTCATTCACGCCCAGTTCGAGGAGAGCTCGCACCGTAGAGTTTACCTCTTTGTACGGCGCGAACGAGCCGGCCCTCATTATATTCGAAATATTGGCGGTATGAGTTCGCTGCCCAGGTGGGAGTAAAGCTTTTTTTTTTTTTTTTTTTTTTTTTTGTTTTCGCGTTTCGTCTTGTCGAAGGCCAGGGCGGAATGGATGCCTTTGCAGGTTTGTGATAACCGGGCCAATGATTGAGAGTGTCGCAGAATGCCGCAATTATAGTCGGATGTTGCAGAGAGAGGGAAGATAGGGAAGGTCCCCTTTGGTTGGAGGCTTTTGAGCCCATGTTGAAAATGTGGTTCATTACGACTCAGATGTCCTATGATCGCGATATGTTGTGCCAGCAAAGTATATCTCGTTTGACACATGTATTGAATAGAATGAGAAGAAAATGATGATGAAAGGTTGTTTGTGGACCTATCTCATTTATGTCAACAAAGTCAACGGAAAGAAGCATATAGTGACAGTACTTAGGGCTTGATGTGGGGCTCTGTTTCAGGTGTTAAATCCTAGAGTGCGCCTGGTCAGCAACATGGATATGCATAATACTGATTCGACCCGGTGCTACCAGCAAGGATTGATTAAAGCAATATCATCGTAATACTGGTGTTTGGGGTGCGGTGCCCCCAAGGGGCTGGCTGCTGTGAGTATGTAGCATCGCCCCGCGGTAGTATAATTGATCAGTGAAGCAATATTCCAAACCATAAACCACAAAGGGGAATGACTGATCTGATACTGCCTGATATTGTGGCCACTCTTTGCGGGCAGCCACATGTAGCGTCAGATAGGTATCTGTTGTGAAAGTTTGCAATATTATCATTTCAGCTTGTTCAAAAATAGGACGGTACCAAGCTCGAAATGTCTGTCATTCGCGAAACAAGTTGACTCATGAAGCACCGAGCCTTGAACCTCCCAAGGTCAGGAACGGACCTGGGAGAGATCGAAAATGAAAGTGTGACCCAGTAGGCTATCATAAGGGCAACTAGGTTAAGATACTGATGTGTCCAATGAATGGGCCAACATTGCCCAGTTCGCGGATGCTGGACCTAACAACGAAGTATGATGTCTAGGTCAGGGCGACTAAACCTAGCGAAGGTACAACATTTGGGGCATGCAAACAAAGCGATCTTTTCATATGACGACTAAGTGATTCCATACGACGACTGAGCTATCCCATACGACGACTAAACGATCCTTTCGTACACCGACTAAGCGATCTTCTACGACGACTAAGCGATGGTTTGCGATGATTTTGAAGCTCTTCGAACAAAGTCCTACCTTCCTCCCACTTACCTTTCTGGATGACCACCTATCCTGTACCTAGTGGCTTCCATGCGACTTTTGAAGGTTCCCTCGTCCTAATTCTCCTCAACTTCTTTCCCCCAGAGATCTCATTCCAAAATGGATCCCCAGTTCCGACAGAGTTGGCCAGATGACAATACACCCGCTCTCGAGGGCTGGGCCGGCATCAACATTCCGACCCAGTGTGCGGTTTGCAGCAATCCAACCACCAGGCAGTGCTCCGGCTGTGTCAATGGGCTTGCATATCCCACTCCGGGTCTTAGCAACGTTTATTATTGTAGCCGTGACTGCCAGCAAGTCGACTGGCCATGGCATCAGGAACTCTGCAGCAGGTTGAAGCTGCGAACAAAGATCCATCGGATTGCAACCCTCCTGAAAGCAGTCATGCTTGCGTACCGAGAGATTGTCTATGATATGGACATCACCGACATCACAAGCAAAGATGGCATGTTTCGGTTCATTCAGATCAACCACACAGGCAACAATTGTCTGCACCGCGTGCATGCTCCTTTCCCGAACAACATCACCACCAATCCCGAGCACAAGGAAGTGGCTCTGCTTTTCGAACAAGGCACGGCAGCTATGGCTCTGCTAAGCCGCTTGACCAAAAAGCTCCTCATAGGTAGGGTTCCTGTGCTACCCCCGCCACTTCCTGATATACTAATGAAAGCATGCAGGCCTGGACGTGACGCTTGTCCCAATGGAGATACTCATGAAAAAGCCGAAGGTGCCAGCCAGAATTGGTCCAGGCCGAATCCCAGAATACTTCCCACATACAGTCTGGTTCATGGAAATAAACCGAAGCGGCGAGGTCTGGATTCTCGACCCAACAGGCGCCCAATATGGAATCCAAGATGTGTTCGTTCCCTGGAAACATTACATGAATGAGTATGAATGCTGCTTCATCGGCCACTACCCATATCATAGGACGGAAACAGGGGATCTGGATTATTTCGCTACACTCCCACAGGCGAGAAAACTCGCAGCCAAGATAGCGGTGGAGCGACAGGCCCGCATCGTCTTCTCGTCATTTGTCGACTATCTGGTGATAGGGAACTTGCTCGATGTGTCGGAGCCCGAGTTCAAGCGGAGGGTGGAGGGATTTCTGGAGAATCTGAAGGAACATATGAGCAGGTATTTCCACTACAAGGAAGCAAATGCGTAGGGACGGGGTCATTATTCTGGATATCAGTCTTGAGGATTTGGTGTGGTCCGTAACGGCCAAATATGTATGGATGCACAAGGTTGAAAGGATGTTGAATTAACTGAAGCTATCGACTTGCAGAATTAGCCATGCATGATCTTACTTGATTTTCTGTTCTACATATGAGATCCCTTTTCTTCCCCACATGCCGATCGATCCACTGTAGTTTTCAAGCAGCCCCAAGACGGTAATGAGCGACGGAAAGTGATATCTGGGTGAAACTCGGTGCAAACCCCCCGAATTAGACAAAGACAGCGAATCTTCCCCACGACCTCCCCACGACACTCTCCAGCCACCAAAATCCGCCCGCAAGCCTCAATGCACATCGCCAAGATGTTCGCAGATGCCCGACTGAGAGTTCCTTGTTTGAACTGGCTGGTCTGTGCGTGGGTGAGTCAACCCTCCATGTTTTCCCCAGATGCAGATGGGACGAGAAGAGGTCAAAGCCATTTGAAAACTACAGGTCAGAAACACCCGAGTATACTTCGCGCTAGCCAATCTCGCTCAAGGACGGCCAAACCCGAGCCAGGGACGGAGAAAAGGTCCGACTGCCATTGGTCGTTGACAGAAGCGAGTAAGCATTGGTCAGGGATTTCATGGCCGAGACCGGAAGAACCGGCATGTAAGCGGGTTCGGATGGCCGAAGCGAAATCTATTGCAGCAGGGAAAGGGAAAAAAAAAGTGCACTAGCTGCATCTCATCTCCGCCCCTAGGGGATGAGGACCACTTTGACAAATTAAATTGCCGTCTCTTGGACCCCAGATTTGCCTCCCCGGCATTTGTTTTGTATCGCTTCACCGGGCGTCTGGAACTGGCAAGGTGCTGAAAGGAAGCGATCAATCTCCAGGTTTCCCGCCCCATGGGCGAAATAACGGGGCCACGCGTCCATCCGTTACTCGGTTCCCCGAAAAGCTTGGCAACCATTCCGAGACAGCACAAAAATGCCGAGACAGTAGGATTGGGACAGACAAGTACGGAGGACGGGTAAGAATATAGGCCGGACAGCAGCCAATCCATGGATCTCACCCGAGAAAATTTACCTCGTGGCTTGTGGAGATGGGGTTCCAGAATGCTACGGTCCCTCCTTTGGTGCCCTAAATCATACATACCATGCTAGATCTGGGATCGCTCTTGATCTAGGTGATTCCAGATGAGGTTAATCCCCACCATTCTGGCCCCCGCTTTATCTAATTTTTTCCTTCTTTGCATCGTCGCCTGGGACGCCTCTCTCCAGAATCCACAATTAGAAGCAAGAAAATTTTCTTCTCATCACAAGGACTCGGCTCAGCCGTCCAGAGGCTCCGATAGTGTTGCGCAATTTGGGCGTTGCCAAGTATGGAGCATGGTCAGACCATGCTCGGATCAAGCCGAAGAGATTTTTTTTTACTTTCCTACTACCCTACGATACATTTCTCTACTACCCTAGTTAATTTTTTCAGGGTACCGGCCAAATATCGGTCAGGCGGGGTATTAAGGTCTGGAGGGAATTGCCCGTTGTCCCGCAGTAAGCACTAGGCATTAAACAGAAGCACCCCGGAAACAAGGACCCTAGGGTATTGGGGCCATGTTGTACTAGCTGACATACTGCACACAATAACTTCCGGCTCGGCCAATAGTGGCGTTCCGTGGGACAGAAGGCTTGTTCGTTGGGAAGTTCGGCGCCTGGTCCTCCACTCATCGCCATGGCTTGACACGCCAATGCCTCTTTCCTTGGCCACAAAAGCTTAGTGGCGTTCGCTAGCCTTCGAAGGTTTGATGGCTTTTGTTTCGTAAATCCGGATCATATCATTTCCGACGTATGCTTCCTCCCCGAGTCTAACCAATTCCATCCGTAGCGTTGGATTAGCTTGGTCTGGCACATGGGATCTTGTGACCCAGGGTCCCCCATAGGACGTTGTCAGCCGTGAAGCTGGGGCCATTGGCACGAGGACCGCTCTTTTTGCTTGGCTAGAACACTAACCCCAGAAAGTGGGAAGAAATGGATGGCGAAAAAGGAAGAAGTAAAAAAGAAATTGCGGGAAATAAAATGAAAAGACATGAGAAAAAAAAAAGTTTATATAGCCCCAGCTTGTCCCCTCCCCGGGGTTTCTTTTTCCTGCACATCATTTCTTCCCTTTTTACTTTTCTTACCTTTGATTATACGCTATCATCATGGCGGTTAGTCAGTCGGTGGTTGGCCGCAACAATGCGGAGAAGGCCCACGGTATCGTGGGTATGCTGAAGAATCCCTATGTTTTCTTGACATGTTGTTTCGCATCTCTCGGTTGTATCATGTACGGTTACGACCAGGGTGTGATGGGACCTGTCCTGGTCATGGAGAACTTCGAGAACCACTTCCCGACTTTCATGGGTTCCACCATCCAGGGTTGGTTGGTGTCTGCTCTTGAGCTTGGTGCTTGGGCTGGTGCTCTGATTAACGGTGTCCTTGCGGACCGCATTTCCCGCAAGTACTCCATGATGGTTGCTGTCATTGTCTTCACTCTTGGTACTAGTCTCCAGGCTGCTGCCCAAAACCCTGCCTACTTCTTCGCCGGTCGTGTCATCGGTGGTATTGGTATTGGTATGTTCTCTATGGTCATTCCTCTCTACCAAGCCGAGATTGCTCCTCCGGAGCTGCGTGGTTCCCTCGTGTCCCTGCAGCAGCTCTCCATTACCATCGGTACCGCAATTGCCTTCTGGATCGACTACGGCATGCAGTTCGTCGGTGGTAACACCTGCAACCCCGAGGGCATCAGCAACCCCTACCTCGCCGACGGAACCTTCAACGCCGCTGTCAACAACGGACACACCTGCCTGGGACAGAAGACCATTGCCTGGCGTCTGCCTTTGGCCCTGCAGATTATTCCTGCCTGGGTTCTGTTCTTCGGCATGTTCTACTTCCCCTTCTCTCCTCGTTGGTTGATGATGAAGCACCGCGAAGAAGAGGCTCTTTCCACTCTCTCCCGCCTGCGTCGTCTTCCTTCCAACGACCCTCTGATTCGCGCCGAGTTCCTCGAGATCAAGGCTGCTGTTATGTTCGACGAGGAGACTGAGTCGGAGCTTGTTGGCTCTGCTGGTCGTTTGGGCCCCTGGAAGGCTCTGTTTGCTCCCAACATGCTCAAGCGTCTGTGGCTCGGCTGCGGAACCATGATTTGCCAACAGTTCACTGGTATCAACGCCGTCCTCTACTACGCTCCCCAGATTTTCAAGAGTTTCGGTTTCTCCTCCACCAAGCAGACTCTTCTCGCTACTGGTGTGACCGGTATCCTGCAGATCGTCTTCACTGTGCCCACTGTTCTGTGGCTTGACAGATTTGGCCGTAAGACCTTCCTGATCGTTGGTGCTATCGGCATGTTCTGTTGTCACATCGTTGTCGCTACTGTCGAGGGTCTTTACGAGGATAACTGGAACCTCAACGAGGGTCTCGACAAGACACAAGGTTGGGTGGCCATTGTCTTCATTTGGCTCTTCGCCATTAACTTCGCCTACTCCTGGGGTATGTTTATTCCTTTCACCTTCTCTTCACTAAATTTAGTTACTGACTTCCATCACAGGTCCCGTCGCTTGGGTCTTGACTCAGGAGATCTTCCCCAACAGCCAGCGTTCCCGCGGTGTCGCCATCGTTGCCTCGACCAACTGGTTGTTCAACTTCATCATCGGTCTGACCACCAAGGACATGCTTGACAACATGAAGTACGGCACCTACATCTTCTTCGCCATCTTCAGTGGTCTGGGTGGTCTGTTCATCTGGTACTTCGCCCCTGAGACCAAGGACAAGACCCTGGAGGAGCTTGATGTTTACTTCGGTGGCTCCGATGCTACCATCGCCGCCACTGACCGCGAGCGCATGGAGCGTATTTACGAGACTCTTGGCCTGGCCGGTGTCGAGAACGTTGAGGATCTCAAGGTTGCTGTCACTGCTGACCAGATTGAGGTCGCCCACGAGACCAAGGCTTGAACTTGAACTCGATCAATTTATGTAATATGGATTTAAGGAGAATTGCTACGATCATACGCACGCAGTTATGTACTGAATCATGGTTTTATGGTCAGCAAAGTTTATATTGATTAATGCTTAGTGCTTGAAATGATAATCTCAAGACTGATGATCTGTGATTAAAGTCTTGCTTGAATATTGAATAACTTTTTTTTTTTATAACGTTCCATGTTGAAAGATGGTTTTTGCCTTTTGCCTCGTAAATTGGCAAAGCAGCCAAAGAAGGCTTATTTTACGGCCGAAACTCAAAGTCTCCAAGCCGTGATCTCCAAGGTTTTGGCTGTTGACGGGAGGGAAGTTTATCTCGCCAAGTTCCAGCCCAAAACTTATATTTGAAAATAGTGCCTTGGCGATGAACATGCCACTGGGGATTTTCACCAATGTCACAAAATTTTAAAGGTCATAAATAGACGAAAGACTCAGTTCCCGATTGATTCCACTTGATTCTTGAATATTCAACCTTGGAGATTTTGGACCCTACTTCCCGATGTTGACACTTCAGACTTATACAAGCGCCCCGAGGTAGGAAATCTCAACTGTATATGAGGGAGGTAAAGATGATGAATAGGAGTACAGTATTTCCAAAAATTGGTGTTACCGTCTCCACCTACAAAGATCTACTATACTGTATTTAAATTAGACCCGGGAATTCATATTTCTGTTAACTTACCTATAAAATAATTCACGTCAAGTGATACATGTGTCCCATTACTGCAAGGAGGAGCTTGAAATTGCCCATATTATTGCAAGGAAGATGTCACTTCCCTCTTTCATTCCCCTCCCCAAGTGACAAGGTAAAGGTCGAGTGAGTGCACACAGTTAAGCTATGCGAGCATAAAGGCTTACGGAGGGCCTCCACCATGAAGTCCTACCGGTACCATATTTTGCTCCGCCTTAAACGATGATTACCATGCTCGGAGCTCTAGTCGACTATGGCAAACTACAACGAAATAGAGTATGTTGAATTCAGAGCCATATGAATCTCAAAGGATCCTACTACCACCACTGTAGCGCCATTTAAATTGATCTTTGCTCCCAGGTCCTTCTAATAGATCAGAAAATAAAGACATGACAATGAGAATGATCGACACTACTAGGCTTGAAATCCAACAAATGAGATAAGCCCTGATGCGTTTCCTAGGGCAAGTAAATTGCCATTGATAGCGGAACAGCTAGGCCGGAGCCCAGGAGGAAGCCAAAGAACGTTTTTACCGTTCACCTTTATCCAATGTTGCTCGATGGAGATCTCCAGATTAACATTTTTGGAATAAGTTGCATGATTTCCAAAGCCGGGTTGAACATCAAGCAAGCCCAAATCAGTGAATAGACATGGCCCATCTTCATCAGATTTAAGGTCAGTGACTCGTCCATTGGAACTAAGAGTTTGCTGCAGCGCGCCTGTCGCCGCGTCCCAGAAATGCACGGTATCGTCACAAGAGGCGGACGCTAGCCATACGCCGTCGGGTGAGAAGGCCACTGAGTTAACCCAGCTTGAATGGCCGTTGAGGGTCTGCTGCAGCGCGCCTGTCGCTGGGTCCCACAGACGCACGGTTTTATCATCAGAGGCGGACGCCAGCTGCGCGCCGTTAGGTGAGAAGGCCACAAACCTAACCCAGTCTGAATGGCCCTTAAGGGTCTGCTGGAGTGCGCCTGTCGCTGTGTCCCAGAGACATACGGTTTTATCATCAGATGCGGACGCTAGCCGCGCGCCGTCAGGCGAGAAAGCCACTGATATTACAACGCCTAAATGGCCCTTAAGGGTCTGCTGTAGCGCGCCTGTCGCCGCGTCCCAGAGACACACAGTCGTATCATCAGAGGTAGACGCTAGCCGTGCGCCGTTGGGTGAGAATGCCACCGATATGGCCGCGCCTGAATGACCCTCGAGAGTCTGCTGTGATGTGCCTATCACCGTGTCCCAAAGACGCATGGTTTTATCATCAGAGGCGGATGCCAGTCGCGCGCCGTTGGGTGAGAAGGTCACTGAGTTAATCCAGCTTAAATGGCCCTTAAGGGTCTGCTTTAGCGCGCCTGTCGCCGCGTCCCAGAGGCGCACGGTTTTATCATTAGAGGTAGACGCCAGCCATGCGCCGTCGGGTGAGAATGCCACTGATGTGATCGCACCTGTATGACCCTCGAGGATCTGCTGTAGCGCCCCTGTCCCCGCATCCCAGAGACGTACGGTTTGATCATTAGAGGCGGACGCTAGCCGTGCGCCGTCGGGTGAGAATGCCACTGATTTGACTAAGCTTAAATGGCCCTTTAGAGTTTGCTGCAGCGTGCCTGTCGCCGCGTCCCAGAGACACACATTTTTGTCATCAGAGGCGGATACTAACCGCGCGCCGTTGGGTGAGAAAGCCACCGAGTTAATCCAGCTTGTATGGCCCTCTAGGGTCTGCTGTAGCGCGCCTATCACCGCGTCCCAGAGATAGATAGTGTTATCACGAGAGGCGGACGCTAGCCGCGCGCCGTTAGGCGAGAAGGCCACTGATATGACTTCGTCTAAGTGGCCCTCGAGGGTCTGCTGTAGCGCGCCTGTCGCCGCATCCCAGAGACGCACAGTTTTATCACGAGAGGCGGACGCCAGCTGCGCGCCATTAGGCGAGAAGGCCACTGATCTAACCCAGTCTGAATGGCCCTCAAGAGTCTGCTGTAGCGCGCCTGTCGCCGCGTCCCAAAGACGCACGGTTTCATCCTTAGAAGCGGATGCCAGCCGTGCGCCGTCGGGTGAGAACGCCACCGATATGACCGCGCCTGAATGGCCTTCGAGGGTCTGCAGTTCCGGACTCCACCTTTCCTCAACTCTTGGTAACTGGCATATCCAAGTGGGAAACTCGGCTTTGAAACCTTGCCGAATTATTGACATTTGGGGAGCAAAAACAAGCCCCGCACAATAAAGCTGAAGAGGCGCCTCGTCGGCTATTTGGCGATTTTTAAGAACGAATCGCTTTGCATCTTCAAGAGAGGTAGCTAGCTGATGTGACTGTATCTGCCAGTTAGTATAGACTATTGGTTCCAATACAACGTCACTGACCTTTGCCATGGACTGCAAAGCCGTAATGTTTCCAATCGCTTCCGAAACCCATCCAAGCAGGCTCATCACTTCCAACCAATGCAAGAAATGCAACTTCAGAAAGTTTTCTATCGGTCTCCAATCTACGCTGGACCGGTCACCATGCTCTAGATGGCGTATCCAGTATCGACAAGCGTATCGAAGCTCAGGTGAAACATAACTCTCAATTACCGTCTTTCCAATTTCGTTCCTTCTTACGCCCGGGTTTGAAAGGCGGGCTATGTCTCTCTTTAATTCTTGGTTCATACACTCAAGACAATCCTTGGCAAGCCGTGTATTGCCTGCCGCTTCGTCAATCCAGAAGTCGTTGGATGCTGAATGATCGACGAGAAATTCTCGAAACGAGAGATGAAGAAGCTGCACAGGGGCATCACTATCTTTTGGCACTGATAACACAGACTGAAGCGTACTGAGTCTGCTTTGGACTTTCTCTTTCTCTGAAGAAATGAGTCTGGCCAGGGAGACAGATGAGAGTGGGCTGAAGAGAAGTACAATGGCGCCCACAATTCGGCGAAAGTCATTCATCCAGCAACTGAGTTCTTTTGACTCTTTTTGCGATACAACATGCTTTAAAACAGGATGATAGATTTTGGTTAACTTTGAGTACTCGCCATCAATTTTGTCCATACCGTCGCTTGATTGTGAACATAATATAGCTTGCAGTCGGTCATTCGGCAGTTCTCCTTCGCAGTCGATAAATCGATATATTGTCGCGGCAAAAATGAATAGAGGAACAGCCATATTTACTAGCGCATTGAAAGTCTCTTCCCCGGGCCAGCTTTCCGCTAGTCCGTGATCATCTCTTATCCTCTCAAGCCTTTCCCGGAGAAAGACCGATATATCATGCTCGACAATTGACCTCTCAATTTGATGGAGAATAATCTCATCTTTGCAGATCGGTCGGAATCCTTTAATCACGGGTGGCTCTGGCCTGCTTGTAATGAAGACTCGTAATTGGACAGTTTTCAAGTCGGTCAACTTAGGCAAAGTCAAAAATAGAGCCGCAACATCAGACGGCACTTGACATTCATCCAGCGCGTCGATGACAATGACCAGAATTAACGGGGATATTAAACCAAGATCGAGGCTCTTAAGCGGCTTGAAAATCAATTTGTTGAACTGTTCTTGTGGATTGCTGTTCCCAATACCACGCGTTTCTTTGATTGCCCTCTTGATTGGTTCCTGAAGACGAGGTAATCTTTCCAATATTTGTTTGGTAAGGGTGGTGAACAGTCGTTTGGCATCTGCTCGGTCTGTTCCACCCCTTCTAAAGAAGAAGCTGCCACCCAGCAAGCCCTCGTCGTCCAACCATCGAGCCACTGTCCTGGACACAGTTGACTTTCCTGTTCCTGCCATACCCTGCAGCCAAAACACAGCTTTTCGATCCGGATCGGTCGCCCAGCTTTTGATGTCCTGAAGGAGTTCAGTTCGGGTGTCTTGCAGACATTCTTGATACTCCTCCCCGGTATTTGCATTGTAATGAGCATCTTCTGCAATCTTGAGCTCCGCAAGGACCGACTTGCTACTGAGTTCATTGAGTGAGTCCATGACTTGGTCAAGGTTAGTAAGCATTCTGTCCGCCTTTTCAACAAGCTCCTTTCCCCTGTCTTTCTGTTCACGTCGGTCAACGATCTCAAGCCATCGGCTCAGATGTGATTCCGCCTCATCAATAGAGACTCGGAGAGGGGAAAGAGAATCTCCAGAAATACTTTGCCAAATTAAGACGGCGCGGTTGCGATCATAAAGTGACTGGACTTGGGCAGCGAAAGTCAAAACCGCGACGTATACCTGGATAAGAGCTGTCTCAACGTATTGATCGGTATTCGGGTCATTTTGATACTCCCCTTCTACCAAGCTATACCGGGTAAGAACGTCTGCGAGAAAGGCGCAAGATTCCAGCCAAGCCATTTTCTGGCTGCGATAGTTTTGCGTCATCTAAAAATCGCCTCTTTTAGTTACTTGTTCTTGAGAATTTTCTTGAATGGGGAATTTGAGCATACAACCAACCCCAAAGATACAACTGCCCAGACGCTGGTTGCGTGTCCTGTTGGATCGAACGCTACAGCTGCCTGGACCAGGTCCTGAAAACCAAGAACAGCCTTGATGATCTTTTGGGCTGGTTCCCTGATCTTGGACTTTCCCTGGTCGACTTGATACTGAGTCTTCACGGTCTCGACTACCCCATTTAGTGCCTTTAATCGATTGGTGACGCTGGAATTTATTTTCACATCATTGGAGTCGATAGTTTTGTTTAACTCTGGTATCGATATAGATTTGATGAGTTGTTGCTTCTTTGGCTCGAGAGCATCAAAAGCGCGTTGCCACAGATCTGGTTTTGTAGCAATGGCGGATGCATGATGGGTCAAAGAATCATCCCTAAAATGATTCATTTGTCTAGACTGGGATATCTTCTCGTCGTCCTTACCCAATTGCCGCTTTCGGAAAAACCGTCCAAATCTTTCACGGGCCATGGCTGACTAGAATGAATCGTCGATGATTCTGATTAAGGAATTCGCTTTTTGAGAAATAAAAAAGATGGACGAAATCATAGGGTAGAAAGCGGGGCAAAAGGGGGGGTCTGGCGCTTCTCGAGTGCACCGCCTCATCCGGGAGATGTTTCCTAACTGTGGGCAAATTAATACATGTTGGAAAGCTAAGACTCAAAGTCTAGATAAGGTACACCACAAGAAGGGAGCAATTTCATATATTCAAGGGGGAGTACCGTAACTCAATCCTAATGTGCTCCGAGAACGCAAACAAAGTCATTCTGATGGTACTGGTTATCGGCCCGAACCGACCCAGACCCATGTCGTTGCTCTGCCGCTCGACTTGCCCCTCCCAGCTCGAGATCAGCGTGACAATATCACCAGCAGATCGCCGACTACCTCTCCAATAGCCGAAGCAACTGGCTGCAACAAAGCTTTCAGTCAAAATATCAGTACCAATTTTCAGAGGACTAAGTAGAAGAGAGTTCGATCAATTAAGCAAGTATTTAGTACTGCGGCTAGATTTGGTCAATTTGCGGCGGAAAATTGAGGTGGCGATATATTAATTAAAATGCAACATACAACAAGGTACCGCTTTGATTCCTCACGTACAATGCGATTGTACAAAACCTATTGACCGAGGTACGGTGTTCCGGAAAAACTCCCAGTATGTGTTAGCGTGTCTTGGCAATATAGAAGAGTCCAGATGGTGACACCAGTTACGGGAGGTGCTGTACTGTTGTAAAACTTGAGCGTTCCATTGATATTGAATCAAAGATTGAGTACTATATGGTATCATATTGTGATACTCGCTAGGTCGTCGATCTACCCATCTCGATTATCCGGGGGCTATACAGCTCCACTTTCATTGAAAGCGACGCTGCGCCCAGTTGCTTTCCCAGCCATTGAGATGTCACAAAGAGATAATGATGGCATAGTTGCAGTGATCAAATATCGCAGTCTCACTATAAGTTCAATTGTGATAACGACGAAAGTTCCAATTACCAATCCTCAATATTATTAATTAATAATATCTAACCCTATATGAACGATGCCTTGGGCATATTTAGAGCCATCATCCTCGACAACGAGAAATTGAGTACACATCGTTCATCCATTAAGTACTAACTCAAACATGCCGGAGTTAAACGAAGCAGAGCCGCCGGAAAATGAATATTGTGATGAATCAGTTTCTCCGGACCAATCCCAATGTCTATCCCTATCACAATCAGAAAGCGACTGTGACTGCACGGAGAAGAAAGACGCATCAAATATCCCACCACTTGGAGACCATGAAGCAGGACAGCAGAGTGGCAAGAAGAAGAAGAAGTTATCATTTCTTTTTTCCTGCATTTATAGCTCTGCTGCTTATGGTCTTTTTGGTTGTTAAGCTGGGGGTAAGATAGAGGAAAGAACTAGGATGAAAAGAGAGCGAGGGGAAGAAGAAATGAAACTAAATTAGAGAGATACTGACTGTTTAGATCCCACCTGGGTATCAAAAGGTAACATATCTCAGTCAAGGGCACAATATAGACAAAACTTCCGCCTGCATAATCAGGTATATCATCAAGGGGCGAACTAGTCATCGGCAGAACGGTAAGTCCAAAAGAACCTTGCATTTCGGATGTAGATTTTTCCATCAAGATGATGTGCCTTTCTGAGATACTCGAAGACGCTAACTGGCATGCAGCTTGGAATTTAAACCATATTTGAACGGAAAATCGAGTGTAACATGTGTTTACACTCCCGTAGGCCCAAAGTCAACTCCGGGTTTCATGAATCCCTAGTTGATCCTTGAAACACGTCAGCTCATCTAAAATTCCAATCAATCAGAAGCGAGGCATTAAATTCAATCTTCACATGAATATTACTGAAGAGCCCGAGTTGATAAATACTTTCGAATACATATGAACGAATTACGAGGGGTTGCAGAATACATTGAATCACTTCGCCTATCACAATTTTGACTCACCATTGTTCAGCATGAGAAATTTCACATACAAGGTCGGATCAAAAATTGGGCTGACCTTACTCAATGTTCCTTGGCATTAACAGAACATGAATCTTATGAAGTGGAACTCGCTTAGTACCTGTGCATGATCACATCGGGAAAGGATCTGATAAGATTTTTCGGCCCTAGCGCATAGCCAGGGATGTAGCCAGTAATCATTTATCCGGACTAATATTGTACAGGGTTGAGGGTCAAAAGCTGCGTATGCATCTGGGATCGACATGGAATTATTCCTCTTGCAATGGACTGGTGGACCCGATGTTCTATGTATCAGGGCAGGCATTCCTCTTTATGAGGTGCAGAAGCGTTGGCACTCGGGGCTTGGCCCCGAGGGCTCCGTCTTGGCATTATGCTCTTGGCTACTCATAAACAGGTGGTAGAATGGTCGAGCGTAAAGGTCGGAAGTTATTCACGCTCCGACATCCACCATACCCACATCGAACTAAACTACTTTGGGGGAATTTCGGATTGAACCGATTTAAACTATGTCGATCTTAATACTTCAGGGTTGGGGTACTGATATCAATCTGTAAAACCAACCAGTAAAAATGACGATTTATCGAAGGATGGTACACCTTGTGGATATCCAAGCGAAGTCAAGTGGATGGTTGCACACCCGACGTGTCATCGTGGCCCAGATTACTATATTCGTTGCCAATAGGCGAATTGCATACGGAAAGGTTTCGGATTTATGGAAATGGAAAATAGTAGAGTATAAATACCTGGTTAATTCCACGAAGTCTTTCCAGTGTGTCCATAGTTTTGACTGTCAGTTCGTTTCCATCTCACTCGGAAACTATGCGAGCATCATTAGCTCTATTGGCTGGCCTGGCTGCCAGCCCAGCTTTGGCTGGGTGCCCATATGGCTTTGACAAGAGATCAGATGCCGACGACCATGCGAAACTCCAAGCTCATGCCAACATGCGCCGAAGTGTTCCTTCTTCCAGCGTTGCTTCCGCCGCCCCGACTACCAGCAGCACCACTGATGGCAGCAAAGGTGTCTTTATGATGAATCGAATTGCTCCCGGCACCTCCGACCTGTACATCGCCAATGCAGATGGTACAAATGAGCGACAGCTTCTCTCAGACCCGGTATTTGAGTACCATGCTTCATTTTCGCCCGATGGAGAGTGGATCACATTTACTTCGGAACGAAACGGCGACGGAAATTCTGATATCTATCGCGTCCGACCAAACGGTACCGATCTCGAGAAGATGGTCGCCACATCTTCAGTTGAAGACTCCGTTATCATGTCTCCCAATGGAAGTATGGCTGCTTATGTTTCCACTGCCAACAACATGAAAGCAAACATCTGGATCATGGATATGGTGACCGGAAAGAAATGGAATATCACGGACAACGCGCTCACAGCATTCAACTCATCATTGATGGGTGGCTACTTTCGCCCCGCTTGGTCTCCTGATGGAGAGTGGATTGCATTTTCATCGGATCGCAATACGCAATGGAGTGGTCATGGAGAACCAACCTATCTTGGTCTCACTGGATGGGAAACGACACAAGAGCTCTCCATCTACGTGATCCGCCCAGATGGCACAGACTTCCGCCAGATCGCTACCAAGCCATACTACTGCCTGGGATCTCCCAAGTGGTCCAAAGATGGCAAACGTCTTGTCTACTACGAGATGACCCGCGAGGACACCTACAACGCGCACAGCTCATTTACTCTCGCATCGGCCAACTCCACCATCGTCTCCGTGGATGTTGCGACAGGTAAAGATCGCAAGGTGGAAGCATCTGGTGCCGGCATCAAGATTTTCCCTCAGTACATCGACAACAACGGAACCATTGCCTATTTGCTCAAGAGCGGTGATTCCAATGAAGGTTTCTACACCACTTCTGGTTCGTTCACCAACTTCACTGGCACCGTGCGCTCACCTTGCTGGTCTCCCGATGGCAAGCAAGTTGTGTACGAGAAGACAACTTGGGTGATTCGCGATGGCTACAAGAAACTTTACAGCTGGGACCCTGAATGGGACTACCGCTTCACCGATGTCTTCCCCCAATACTCCTCCGTGGATGATCGAATTGTCATTACTCAAAAGCAACTTGGAAATTCTTCCATCGTGACCCTGAACACCACCGGAGGAGACCTGAGCCTGGTCTACGACCCCAGCACAGCTGACTTCCTCACCTCCTCCCAAACCTCTGGCGCTGCCGCCTACAACCCTAACTGGTCTCGCGACGGCGAGTGGCTTGTTTTCGGAGTTGGATTCTGGTTCGAGACTCGCGAAGCATCTGGTGGCTGGATTGTGCGATCAACCGCCAACGGTTCTTACTCCGAGGTTATCGTCGACAGTGCATACTCCATCACAAACAGCACCACCCTCAACAATGGCTACCCTAGCTTCTCGCACGACGGAAAGAAGGTGGTATACCGTGTCTGGGGTGCTGACACAGCAACCTACGGCAACAAGTCTGAAATTGGTCTCAGAATCCTCGACCTCGAGACGAGAAAGACGACTGTCTTGACTACTGAATGGGATAACCTGCCTGAGTACTCCCCTGATGGAGAACTCATCCTCTTCACCCGGAAAACAAGTGCATCCAACTACGATGTTTGCACAATCCGTCCTGATGGAACCGACCTCAAGGTTCTGACTACTAGCGGTGCCAATGATGCACATGCTGTCTGGTCTCATGACGGTCGCATTATGTGGTCCACTGGTATGAACGGCTTCCGGTATGAGTGTGCGCTTTATGATGATACTTTCCAGCCTTACGGCCAGATCATGATCATGGACAAGGATGGTTCAAACAAGACACCTCTGACGGATTCCATGTGGGAAGATTCCATGCCGTTGTATCTCCCCAAGGCTGTTCTATGATTCGTGTCAGCAACTCCTTATTCTGCTGCTGGCTAATGAATCTGGTGCGAAGGAGATATTTGGCCTTCGTTTTCTCAAAATTACAAAGCAGGGTCTAGAGAGGAGATTCGCTTTTTCTTACATGTGCCCCGGGCATTGATTTTTTTTTCCTCGGAAATAGGTATACCTAGTTATGCAGCTGATTGAATGAATGACTTTCCGAATTATGTGAATATATCAAACAGAATCTCGAACTTAAGGTTGGCTCCAGGCTGGCACCTGGGCACCGTGAAAAGATTGGAATGGACATTTTACAGATAAAGTCTTGAGTAGATACTAGTAGGCATAGATGCGAAGCCTTTGCCATGCCGTTAAGTACTCGCTGCCATTTGGGGCAGACCAACCTTGGAAACAGTGAAGCACCCGGGTTCACGATGATGTAGGTTCTTCAAGACATACTAGGGATCAAGATCGAGTAGGTTGTCCGGCACGAGAGTAAGATCAATTTGTACTTGGAAAAGAAGATATGCAACAAAGCAAATGACAACGCAGCAAAGAAGAACAGAGAAACAATATCACGCTCCAAACGCCAAATTTGCATGCCATAAAGAGATCTGAATACGCGACCCATGTAAGAAGGGTACGTAAAGAAGCGAGACCAGAGTGAAAATTCACATCTAGCAGATTCATGAAAGCAAATACAACTGTTTTTTGCCTGTAGACAGCAAGCAACAGAATTACTAGATAATCGAGGTATCTGTAATCAAACGGTATATTGCGGAGTTTTATGCAAAAAGAGTCCTCAGTGAGAGGCAATAAAGAATGTGTTGGTAATCAAACACACGACCATAACCACAACACCATACCCGGCAAGGGCCAAGCTTAGTCGACGGAGCAAAGATTTGCGCCAATGGCGGGTATGGCGACGAAGTATGCCACTCTCTGTCAAGGATCTAGCCAAAGAGCCCTCCCCATCATCGTCGACATCGTCATCTTCGTCAGACATATCATCCGCAGCCTCGTCATCTTCCTTCAGGAGACCACGGTGAGCCGGTGAATCGGGTGCCGAGATCTTGTAATAGAACAACCCCGGCAAGATAAAGCTGATACTCGTGCTACCAGTGCTACCAACATAGGCCAGGACAGCTTCAAGGGACGACACTGTCATAGCAACGAGGTAGCTGAGGATGAGGATCGTAGTGGTGATGACCGAGAAGCGGAGGTCACTCATCGGTTCTGGTGTACGGGTTCCGCGAGGTCCCAACAGTGGGTGCCGATGAGGCGAGCCTTCAGCACGAGTGGATTTGGGATTGGGTCGCCACTTCAGCACGGCATCAACTGAGGCTCGGCAAGGATGGCATTGCAATGGGTAGGAGAAGATGACCAGCATGACAATCGCTGCTCGTCCGATGGTGGCGTAAACACCTGGGGGGTACATGCCAACGATGTTGCCTCCGACGTTGTTGCCAAAGGAAAGATAACCTGTGATGGCGACGAGGATGTAGGTGGCAGCAGCACTGCCAGCGCTAGCGACGACAACACTAGTCGTGCGGAAGTGGCTGTTGTTGGCGATTTCGTTAAGAATGGAAAACATCTAATAGAAAGTTAGTTTCGTGACAAAGGAAATGCAAGATATTGCTGAAAGCCTACATTTTGGTGACATGTGAAGGCAAAGATGATCACAGGCAGACTGCTCAAAGTAGGAATGGGGCCTGCCCAATGGCCCACACGGATTGGACCCCGATCAGCTATTGTGTCACCCTTGATAAAATGATAGACAACCAGAACAACGAGGTAGGCCATTGATACAAGGGCGGCAATGCTGGTGTACTTCAAAGAGTCCAATCGGCGCAGGTAGGAAAGAGGGATTACAATTAACCTGTTCAACATCATCGTCAGTATAACTTTCTTGGATGAAAAAGAGTTCTTCGCAGAAGCACATACATGAAGGCAGTCACCCAGAAATGGCGATCTACCAGGAAGTCGTAGGATGGGTCGCCGCCCACGAATCCTTGAACCACTCCTGGCATGAGGTCACCGATAATGATGAGATAACTCACTCCGACACCAAAACACTTGATTGCGATAGCGGCATCAAAAACCACGGCGGCGTTTGGATAGGTCAGTTGCGAAAGCGCAAAGAACGAAGCGCTGCCTCGATCCAGGTATTGCGCGCATCGAGATTGAAGGTAGAGGCCGAAACCTGCAGTTACAGCCGACCACAGGATAACGAATATGCCCAGCACGATTCCGAAATGCGATATAGCGAGTGGCATCGCCAAAACACCGGCTCCAATGACTATAATAGTTTCCATTCGTCAGTATCCGTCTAATGTCTTGTGACTATGCGCCTCCCACTCACTTGTGTTGACCAAATTGATCACACTGCTGGCCCAGCTAGCCTCGCCGACGATGCCCGTGGTTCGTTTACCCCGACCAATACGTCTGACCCAGAAATTAATGTTAGCCACTGCAATTCTTAAAATGCTTGACGAGCAGATAGCGCCTTGACTCACCGTCGTAGTCCGCCTTGAGAGGGACCGGCAACGCCCCCGACGGCCGCCTCTTCCTCCATGGCGATGAGAATGACACAGTTATATCGGTTGATTGATTGGATACGCAGGACCTGATAGCAACCGCGTCCAGCACAGCTGGGCAGAAGATGGTAGGCTGAAAGATATGTAAAAGAGAAGAAACGGCGCGCTGGCCTCTTATCAGTTCGGCCCCGATTAGACCCACCCACATGACTTTGTCTCTCCGCACTTCCTCCGCTTAAAGATTGTGGCTTGCTCACAGATATGGCATCATATGTTTCGTTATCGCCGTGATCTTCCTGACTTAATTTACAACTTCGATAGTCCCCATCCCTTCTGCGACAAAAGTTCCCAATTTTCGTTCTCCACCGCCTCGATGTCCGAGACTGTGTTTCCCGGCCGATTTCCAGGGCCCTCATCATTGAATTGTTTAACTTCCCGCGCCGTCTTTGACACCTCGATAATCGTCCCACCCTTCACCTTATACTGCGTTCCTCGACCAGATCGATCTCCAATGATTTCGCTCACCTGATCCTGCTGTACCATCGCCAACATCACCTCTCCTACTTCCTCGGGCGTCACCCAGGCGTCAGAGCTGTCAATCACCATTTTGATCTTTTCAGGATGGTCCGTCCATAAGGGAGTCTTGATAACACCAGGTGCCACTGCCGTGACACGGATACCAATTCTCTCCAACTTGGCTAGTGATCGCACCAAGCCGTTGATGGCATGCTTCGTGGCAACGTAAATAGGTGCCGAGAACGACTCATTTTGTCCAGCAATACTGGAGATGTGGATAATGTGCTTCAGGCGACCGTTCTCGCGGTGCTTCTGGAAATGCGCAATTGCCAGCTGTGTGACACGGATTGGGTGGGTGATATTGATGTCCACCAGTGCATATCGGCCGCTGTCACGGGAGTCTTTGCTTGCGGTTGAGCCAGGTGGACGCCAGAAGTTGGTCCAGTGCTGCGACGCTGTTAGCGGGCTTACGTTCACCGTTTGGCTTCGTAGATTATGGTAAACTTTGCTGCATGAATACATACTGGCTCGTAGATGCCCGCGCCTGGGCAAACAATGTCGATCGTGCCGAATTCTCTCTCGGCCACCTCGAACATTCGCTCAAGTTGGATCCAGTCTGTAACATCGGTCTGCTGGAAGACAGCTCGTACAGGGCCAGAGGTGTGCTTATCAACTAGCACTTTGGCCTCGGGGCGCAAAGCTAGGTCGGCGATGACAACGTTGCATCCATTTTCTACCAACAACTTGGCAAAGGCCAGATTGATTCCTGATGGGAATGTAAGCATATTTACAATTATGAAGCTGTAAGCATATGATATGATGCCATACCAGAGCCTGCGCCGGTGATGATGGCTGTTTTTCCTTGAACTGAGACTGCCATTGCCGTGGGTATGGGTACTTTCACGTGAGTGGAAATCGTGCAGGATAGGGCGACCCCACGAGAAAGTCTACGTTTCTTATATGCGTACGACCTTGTGGAACTTCGGGTTCCATTGCAGCGAGTATTCTAGCCGTTTTGGAGAAGAGGGGAAGCAGAGGATTTAACCGCACGTATGCAGTATGTGTTGTCAAGAAGGTTCGCCGAGGCCGGCAAAATTCCCGAGATCTCTGTGATTCTTTCGGCTTCATTTCTGGGTCTGCTTGGCTACCTTTGGCCAATCTGACGGGTCGGTGCGATACATGGCTTTCTCATTTCTTCATTCTCCTCCCGGGGTCCACTGGATCGTCCGTGGAGCAAACGGATAACTCGCCAAACTTACCATTTCAACATGCCACTGCTTCATATGTAGAAAAAGGTAGAGTAAGGCTTAAAACTTATTTAGTGCTTTGCAGACTTTGATTTGTTCTAGTGCATTCATTCTAAGGGCCTTCTTTATTGTCAAGGCTTCATATCGTTGCGTCAATCGGGTCGGCGCAACTCCGAGCATCATAGTCTGGCGGGTAGAATGACCTCATCTGGCAATGACCACTGCGGATGGGTTTCTAAAACAGGCAATGTAATCGTCTCTAGGAATAATTCTCATTAAAAATCTTTCATGCCAAAGGCCTAGCCTAGGAGAACATTTCTTAAAGGAGCTAGAATTCAAGAAGCAAAAACACGCTAAAATTTGCTGCCTCGCTCGATATAGATGCCTGGAACACCTGTTCCTTCTTAAATAGTCGCCAAGTGTTAAGATAGCAATCAGCTCGTGATCTCACAATCAGCCAATACAACCAAAGGAACACCTGTCGCATCCGTGTGGTTGTATCCGAGGTTAAGCGCCATGATCTGGCCAACTGTAATGTTGTACGTTGTCGCGTAGTCCTGTAGAGTGCCATAGTCGAAGGTAAATTGCGTAAATGTGCATGCCGTGTTATCGCAAATTGGGATTTTGACTGTCTCGCCCTCTTGCAGGACATCGTAGGGGCCTGGGTCCAGAGCAGCAATATACCCGGTCTGGGGGGAGTTGTTCATGATTGACTCGACGGTGATGTTGTAGCGCTCATTTGCAATCTTCTGAATTGTGTCACCCGGAAGGATGGTGTAGACGTGAGGACCACCGTAGATGCAGGTTGCAGTGGCTTCAGTGTTATTTGTGCTGAAACAAGAGGTGTCGTCGGGGAATGTTGCGATCTGAGGAATGAGCAGCGTCTCATTTGTGTAGATGTAATTGGGGTCGGCAAGAACGTTCACTCGGGCAATGTCACAGGCACCGACATCATACTTGGCGGCAATGGTGTGGATAGTATCATTGTCTTTCACAGTATAGGTACCGTTGCGGAGGGCAATGTTCAAGTTGAGAACACTTCCGGCTTCAGATGGGACTAAAAAGGGAGAAAGGAACCCAGTCAGAACTTGAGACGATTTAAAGACAGGAAATCACTAGGGCTTACCGTTATAGTCGATAGTTGCCGGGAGAGCGGTGCTCAGCCTTGCTAGGGTGACGAGACCAACCAGTTGCTTTAGATACATCATTGTTCTAAGTGAAATAATGTAATGAGCACAAGGGAATTGCAAGGGTAGCTAGTCAGAGTGATGTTGTTATAGAAAACTGACATGAAACTGAATGTTTAATCTTGTCTTCGGAGTGATTATCTGCATATTTATACCATGAAATTCTGGACTTGAAAAAATCAAGCTTGAGCTATATCCGAGCCTTTAGACCTCGGACAACCAACAATTTCGGGTAGTTCCGCTGAGCTTAGACCTAGAGGGAATAAGTGTCGGTGGAAAGCATCGTGTGTTAGTCCACTATATGGTGGAGCTCATACCACCGACCACTAGGGTTATTGCGCTAAGAAGCTTTCCTTCGCCTACTACACGTCCCCCCGCCTTCTGTATTGCTATCCCCACAAACATGGATTCTCATTATGTTTGCTACTATTGGACTAGAGGAATGTGGGTGGGCGGGGGCATAGTCTAAGCGGAGAAGCACACGAAAATTGGGATACCTCTCCAGGTTACGTTAACCCAAGTGTCTTAGTTCATAGAAAGGATTAGCATCTTCAAGTAAGCTGACCAAGATCTCATTTTTTGCATATCTCTTGAGATATGTTTTGATTGAGACTGAAATCATAGATTCTGTCTGCATCCTGTTCCACAATGTGACCCCATTAAGCAACTGGAAAAGGTCATAAGCACTAGGGGAAGATGATATAGCCGGAATCTAGCGCCAAAACACCTGGGGTTATATGATCCTTCTTCTGGGGTCCACGATTTGTAAAATTCGGCTCTTTCGGGTGGCTGCAACAACTTTTCAGTACACTAGCGTGAGAGTTAGAGTTAAAGGCTCGGCCTTGATGACCAGATTCGGGTTGACGCCTCCGCGGTTTGTTCCCCGGACTATGGACTTCTCCACGCCATTTCTCTTCTTTTTGACCGGTGGGAACTTGGAAATCAAGAGTTCCCTGTTATTCGTATCAAAATTGGGGCTATCGGCTTGACAATGTGCCGAAGAGAGTTTCGATATTTTTACGTCTTTGTCATAGACATGCAGACCGATTGTTGACATTGAATCTCCTTGATTAAACCAGTCACTCACAATGCTTCAATTAATTCTGTCAATATGCTACTGAATTTTGCACAATTATTATCCCCATCGGTTGACCAGAAAACTTTAGCGAGAAAAGAACTGGCGGGGTTTGGTAGACCAAAGTGGACAAATGAGTCACAGTGGCGCTGGAGTAGAAAACATCCGAAGTTATGAGACCTAAAACCTAACTGAGTCAATAACGTACAGACAATCGAAGCTAGAAGTTAAGGTAATCAATTCTGCGAGCTCTTTGAGGTCGAGTGACTGCTAATTCCGTGCCTTCAAGAGCTCTCGTCATCTAGACTCACTTCATCTTCTATATGAAATCGAATCCAGTCATGGCCCCTGCTCAACCTTCGAAGAAGCAGTTTTACAGCACCGCCTCGCCTTGGGAAGCTCGAATTGGCTATTACCGAGCAGTGCGTCACGGCGATTTGATTTGGGTGTCTGGAACAACTTCCGCAGATCCAAATTCATCACCATCATCACCACGGGTCCGCTTCCCTGGGAATGCTAGGCAACAAACGCGTCTTATACTGGAAGAGATTATTGAGGCTATTCAGGCCGTGGGCGGACGAGGTGCCGAGAGTATTGTGAGATGCCGTATGTTTGTCAGCAGGAAAGAAGACTGTGGTGCGGTAGGGGAAGTATTTCGAGAGGTTTTAGGGAAACACCGCGGAGCGCAGATTGGGGCGGCCGCAACGATGATTGTAGCCGATGGCTTTGTTGATGATAGTATGCTCGTGGAGATTGAAGCTGATGCAGTTGCTGACTTGGATGTTTGAGGCAAAGTTTGAAAAGTGGACTAAGCCTCCATCCAGGGCTCTTCATCTACATGTGATACTATTAATTTTTATCTTTATTTTGGAAAGCCTCAGATGTTGAGATGAATCCTGCAAAGATCCATGTTCTGTATATTAAACTGTCGCCCTGCAGAAAACAATATTTTCACACTCAAGATTTCTCATGAGATCTGTCTTTAGGTTATTGAGAGTAAACCTGACTTGCGCTACCGGACACTGGCTGGCCCAGGCCGGGGCCAGTTGACTGATATATATCTGCCAGTTGAGTAATGTAAAGTCCAAACAAACTTGAGCTCGCATTTTCACAAGAAAACTCTGTATATCAAAAATGATCACTTGAGCACACACAATCAGTCGCTAATTCAAGACCCCAGATGCTATCCAATGAGCGTTTGAAGAAGCTGGGGTGGATTTTTGAGGAGAAAGCAAAGAGTGTGGTCACGTCAACTTTGATTGGGTCCGGGGAGAGATCACCGCCCGCGCTTCGCCCGAAGCTCGACCAACACCACCTCACCCGAGTCAGCTCATTAATGCTCGCGCGATAGCAACATGAGGCTCCAAGTGGCCCTTTTTATCGCTGCGTGCGTGTCGCCCGCAGCAGCTATCTACCCCGATGAGGTGAACCACATTGACTTCCACCACGCCCTCATCGGTACCCCCTCCCCCCGACTCGACCTTCTTCCTCAAGCCTTCCTCCGCCTCGAATGCATCCCTTCTCTACACAATCTCCGATAAGTCCATTCTAGGTGCCGTCAATCCTCGCGATGGTGCGTTGATCTGGCGTAAGGATCTCTCTCGGGCGAGTTTCCCTACCAGTAAGGGTGGCATCCTGCGCGGCTCGGATGGACATAATGCTGTTGTCGGCGCAGCCGGAAACTATATCTCGTCTTGGACTGCCCAAGACGGCAAGTTGATCTGGGAAAACAAATTCCAAGATGGAGTGGTTGCGGACATCGAGCTGCTGGAGCTGGAGGAGGCCAGCGCGACGTCCGGTGCCAGAGATACCCTGGCATTGGTTGGTAGCGAAAGTGCCGGTATTGTGAGACGGCTGGATGGCAACACTGGAAAGACGAAATGGGAATCGAAGGACACCAGGTTGGTTCATTCTGGAGTTTTTTGAAGCTGTTGCTAATAGCTGGGTTTAGTGGTGATATTGCGTTTCAGGTGTCGTCTTCCCCCACGGAGGTCTTCTACATTTCGCTCCAGTCAGCTTTGCTGAAGGGCTACAAACTCAAGGTCACTGCATTGGATCCCGTGAATGGTCGCCAAACTCGCCAGTATGTCTTGAATTCGGAGAATGAAATTGCAACCCCGGAATCAGTTCTGTACGTAGGCGCCAATGTTGCCTCGCCCTTGATCGTCTGGGCGGACAAGACACATAAGACTTTGAAGGTCAATGTCATTGGCACAAAGCAAGTTCAAACAGTCAATATTGAGAACACCTCCGGCCAGGACATTCGTCAGATCACGGTTCACGCTCCTCACAAACTGAATTCGCTTCCTCACTTCTTGGTCCACTACGTGACTGAGAGCGGCGCATGGGCCGAGGTCTACCATGTGGACTTGATGACTTCTGCTGTGACTAAAGCCTATAAATTGCCCTACTTGCAGGGACAGTCTGCGGTGGCTACTAGCAACATTGATGCAAATGTTTACTTTACCCGCATTACTGACTCCGAGGCTACCATTGTTTCTTCCGCATCGCACGGAATTCTGGGACGCTGGGATATGGAAGCTGCTTCTACTGAGCGTGCTCTACACGCCGTGTCAGAAGTGGTTTCCAAAGGAAAGTCCGTGGCAGTGCGTGCCGTTGTTTTGCGGGAAGCTGGAGCCTGGGAGTTGGTCCGTAATGGCCAAACCGAATGGACTAGACACGAAGCCTTGATTGATGCCGTGGCTGCTACCTGGGTGGAACAAGAAGCCCAAGAGGCACTGGCTCACGAACTAGAAGTTGAGGGACACGAAAGCTTGATTGGCGCATACATTCACCGGGTGAAGCGTCACATCCGTGATCTCCAGCATCTTCCAGACTGGCTGAAAGAATTGCCTCAACGTATTGTGAGCAGTGTGTTGACCGACGAAGTCACTAACCTTGATAACTTTGGTGTGGCCAAGCCGGTGATCGTGGCCACCAAGAGTGGCCGTCTGTATGCCTTGAACACTGGCAAGCAAGGTGCTGTTGAATGGAGTGTCCAAGTCGAACAAACCTCGCAATGGGACGTGAAATCTATTGTTACTCGGCCTGGAGAGGCGACAATTTATGCCAGCGACGGAAGCTCTGCGACTGTCAACGTCTCTACTGGTGAAGTCACTTCCCGTACTGCTCCTACAGACGTCAAACTGCAATCAATTCTCTCCCTTGAGAACCACTCGATTCTTGGAATCAACGAAGACGGTTCTCCGGCTGCTCTATTTGACGATAGCATCGGTTTCTTGGTGACCACCAGCGCCGACGGTCGTGTTCTTGGCTGGTCTGGACAGGACAACAAGTCCCCAGTCTGGGAATTTGTGCCTCCTTCCAGCCAGAAGGTCATTCATGCAACCTCTCGCCCTGTGCACGATCCCATTGCATCGATTGGCAAGGTCCTCGGTAACAGATCTGTTCTGTACAAATACCTGAACCCCAATCTGGCGTTAGTCACCGCTGTGAACGAGAAGAACAACACTGCCGGGTTCTACCTTCTGGACGGTGTGTCTGGCAAGGTCCTCTATGCCACCACCCAGTACGGTGTTGACCCTACGCAACCTATCGCATCAGTCATCACCGAGAACTGGTTTGCTTACTCCTTCTATGGCGATGTTGTCGATGAGTCGTCCGCCAAGGGATACCAGCTCGTGATCTCCGAGCTTTACGAGTCATCTGCTCCTAACGATCGTGGTCCTCTGGACTCGGCTGGAAACTTTTCGAGTCTTCACGGCAGCAATGGTGACAGCCCTCCATCACCTCATGTCGTCTCCCAGGCATTTGTGATTCCTGAGCCTATATCTCACATGGCCGTCACTCAGACTCGTCAAGGAATTACTACTCGCCAGCTCCTCTGCACTCTGCCAGAGTCTAGCTCTATCGTCGGTATTCCCCGTCCTGTGTTGGACCCTCGTCGCCCTGTTGACCGGGACCCTACTTCCTCCGAGGCGGAAGAAGGACTCTTCCGTTACGCTGCGTTCCTAGAGTTTGATGGCAGATGGTTCCTGACTCACGTACGTGATGTTTCAGGCATCAAGACTGTCCTGTCACAGCCTACTCTATTGGAAAGCACCAGTCTCGTATTCGCCTTTGGTGGCGATATCTTCGGAACACGGGCTACTCCCAGCCAAGCTTTCGATGTCCTTGGCAAGAGCTTTTCTAAGTTGCAGCTTGTTATGACAATAGTAGCATTGTCAATCGGTGTCGCCTTCTTGGCTCCCATGGTGAGTTTGTCTCTTCTCAATGCTCGATGTTATTCGATGCAATTGCTAACCACACAATTCATAGGTCCGAAAGAAGCAAGTCAATCAGCTGTGGAAAGCGGTCTAAGTAAATGGTGGTTTTCTCACTTCCATAGATGCATGCATATATCTGAAATGGCGCTTTCTTAAGAATGTAATCTATATTATTCACAATTATTACTTTGATTTACATTGACAGTCTTCTGGCTGTTGTACGACGCATGGGATTGGTGGAGGCATGCCGGTCTTCAATAGGTGCGCATTTAGTGCGGAACTACCGCTTAACAAGTGTGCATTCGTGATAGTAGAATGCTTCATTGTCATGCCCAATACTCCTCGATATTATGCTAAAACTATTCGACTGTATCTCATCTTCAATCCGGGGCCCGCGTCCGCAATTCGCTGCTCATTTCAACCGCCGCTAGACAAGATTTGACACTAGCCTCCTGCTTCTGTTGTCAATTACCATGGGGAAGACCTAAATTGGTCATTGTTATAATATAGTAAGGGTCCATAGTATCTTTCATGCAGATGGCTCCAAACAGGTATTCCAGGTCTTGGTGATCTGGCAAGATCGTGAAGCAATGGTATTTCACCCCTCCAAAATTAATTTTTTGCATGGTTGATGAAGAATACACATAGTTTTGAACCCATAAAAATGGGCTCAAATGGGGGCCCATTTCAAGCCCAACCCAAACCAACCCAAGGGCCCAATCCATATGCCGAAGCCTAGCTCTTATCGTGCCGCATTAAGTCCGGTCCCCACCTGGAACCCTGACGATCAGCTGCTTAGCAGCCGATATTACTGGTTTTTGGCTCCTCATTCGCTCCCTGATCAAGGCCGGAATCGTAAACCTGCCCTTGAATCTCAACATCGAACAGTCAAAGATGACAAGAGAACTACACTTTGCTGATGATTAAATACCAAGAGGATCACGTGCGGAGCAGTAGAAAATTAGCAACAACATACCCTGTATCCTTATTTGACTTCGAGGTTCTTAAACTGTTGCCTAGGGGAAAAGCTTAAGTCCTTTTCGATGATCTGGTCTCAACGGCTGAGCCAACTGTATCTGGCTAGGATGTGTCTTCCCGGTCTATTAACAGCTTCTAACTTATCTGTTCTTTACGTTTTTGACCACGGACATTCAGAAGCTCCCGTCGTATAAGTACTTGCCATTTTCTTGTGAATTTCCCGAGCTGTCGAATCAATATCGCGTACCCTAGATTTATGATTCCGCGCTAGACGGTCTGTGATTATTTATCTATCAACCCCACTATTCTTTGGGAACGATGGATGGCTCCCTTGGCGAACAGTCGGTCTCTGGGTAAGGCTACTCCACATCAGCTTTAAACTAAACTAAGCATTGGTATTTCCAGCGCCGCTCATTATACGCCTTCAAACCCATCAGAGCCCAAATGCTCAGAGCTATTTCGAATCACTCCGCCAGAAAGCTGGGCCATCGACACAGGTAATTTCTGCCTACCAATCTCAATCAAACCTAAGCTGTCCTTCCAGATACAGCAACGATCCTCCTGGAACCAAGGCTCCATCTTCCCACTATTCAACATCTGGCGTCCAGGACTTTTTGGTAGCTCGCTTTCACAACTAGGGTCCGACCCTGTTAAGCTAAATCGCAAAAACGACCTCATCGTCACAGCACACGAAAATGACACCATTGACTTCAAGGAATGTGACAACGATATTATTGCTTTCAGCACAGAAGGCCTAATCGCCGGCATCGATGTCGATCCACCCCCTTCTTCGCTTGCAAAGTGTGCTGTTGCCACCGAGGACGAGTGTTCCTGCCCAACGGCGAGCGCTGGAAGTGGATTGAAATCGACTGCGAGCACTATCAATTCCAGCGCGACGATGATGCTCGGAATACGCATGTGCCCCTGAGGACGCTCATATGGCAATTTGACTGCCACATGATACCCAGTCGTTCCAGAGGGCTTCCGAAAGACTTGCCCTTTGCTATAGATGAATTTACCCGCGTCTGTCGGATCAACAAGTCCGGCGTGGACTGGGAGGCGGATCCGAATGAAAGCCCCGTCGCTGTTATGAATCGAGATGGGTTTGTTTTTCTTGATGGGATGGGATCGAAGATGGCTGAAAGTCAGAGTGAGGACAATCGGAATTTGATTCTGTTGTCGGGGCTTGCGATTGCGCAGTATGAGGGCTGGTTGACGGAGTGATGGGGATCTCATTGAATCTATTATTATTTGCTGCCTTTGAGCGGAACAAAACTTGGCCTGAATTCTCAACTGTGTATTGGTCATTGTACTTCAAGATTTCTTGCCCTCGCTTAAGCATTCGGCTTACGGGCAACCATTAGATACATAGGCGTGAACAGCTGCTCTTTCCCGCCAGCAACAAGGCAGTCTGCTCCCTCGGCGAGCGAATCAGCAGTCTTCTGCGAGCCCTTTGGGGCAACACCCATCATCTCGAGAGCCCCAACGAACTTGTGTGCCAGGCCACGGCCAATATGCGTCATGCGAATCAGTGTAGGCAAGTCCCAAATGCTCTGGATATACCCGAGGTTACCGCTGAGGGGCCAGTACCAGGGAAGCTCATTGTTATGGTCACGCTCGGCAAGATCCTCATTGACCTCGAGGTCGAACCCTGCCTTCTTTATCGCCTCGAGAGCAACAGAGATCTTCTCCATATTGCTAATACCATTGCCTTGCTCGATCCCAAGACGGATAGCACGGTGGCGTAGGTCATCGTTGTTATAATTCTCGGTCATCAACCACTCGTAGACACCAAAGACGCCGCCTGGCTTTAGCACTCGGAAGATCTCGCTGTAGATGCCCTCCAAGCTAGGAGCGTGCACAGTAGCCTCGATAGCGTAGACAGCATCGAAGCTGTTGTCCGGGAAGGTCATCTGCATAAAGTCCCCCTTTATGAAGCCGACTTGGTCACTAAGACCCTCCTTTTGTGCGTAAAGAGTACCACGCTCGACCTGGTAGTCGTTGTTGTTCAGACCGAGGACATTGCAGCCAGTGAACTTTGCAATCTCCCTTGCCGGTCCACCGACTCCGCAGCCAACGTCGAGCACATGCTGGCCCTCCTGTATGCCCATCTTTAGCGCAAGGTAGTGCTCATGTCGCGCTAAGGCCTGCTTGAACGCCTCGCCCTTGCTAAATCGGCAGAAGTGGAAGCTCTGTGCCCAGCCATACTCGTAGAAATCTGTCGCAAGGTTGTAGTATTGCCTGGTGAGGGTAGCGTATTCCTTGCGTCTTTCCTCGCGGGTCCCGGTGGTCTCGTCCACGGCGGCTTTGTTGTCCCAATGCTTGAAATATTCGTCGACGGCAACCTTCTGAGCATCCTTGTTCTTGCGTATGATATTCATAAACGAATTGCTATCCTGGCCCGTTTTGCCATGCAGCGCCCGCTTGAATTCTGCATCGCGCTTAAGGTCTTGTGGTTCGAGGGTGGCGGCCATGAGGCGAGTGTCACGTAGAGGGAGATATGAACTTGAGAAGAGAAGATGCGTCAAGGCAGTATATTGGACAGTGTGCTGAGGAATCGCAAGATGGAGTGACAGGTTTTGAGAATCTGGAAGCGCGTGTCCAACCGGGGGTGGTGGCCTAGGGGCCAGCTAAATATACAGGGGCCTGTCAACGGTTGTCGACAACCTCATCCGAAGTGGCCTGACACACTCCAAATTAAGAGCTAAGCCTTCGAAAGTACGGGCTGTTGCTTGACTAGGGCTACAGGCCCGCAGCGATCCGCTCATTGGATCGCGCATATTAAGAGCTAGAGAGATCTAGGGTGGTTTTCACCGATTACACGTAAGCATAATTTACGTCTTCATTGGATCCATTCATCCATATCATCCGTGTATCTATCGTGCAGCAACCCCTGCTTAGGCGCGATAACGATATGAGCTAGGTTTCGGCATATGGGCTCCTTGGGTTGGGTTGGGTTGGGTTGGGGTTGAAATGGGCCCCCATTCGAGCCCATTTTTATAAATCCAAGATTTTGTGTATTTTCCATAAATTATGCAGAGAAATAGTGGTTGCTATATGTATACAGACTAGAGTAGACGCAATCAAAAGAAAGTCTCGGCAAGAGAAATGCATTTCAGGCATCAATGTTACCCTAATAAAAACGCGGGCCCCCCAAATGGGGGCATGGATTTTTGGGTTGGGGTGGTGGCCCATACTTAATGGAGTTCGCACCTTGAGCCAATGCGGCACCCCCTCGGCTACACACTGACAGCTTTGATTTTGTATTGTCTGTCCGACCATTGAACGTCTTCTGGCCCTTGCGATTCAACAGTATTCAGTGCATTTTGTCGTAAAACTCAGGATCACCCTGCTTTGTTCACTTTATGCCAAGGGTCATTGTCATTTCAAGAGATTTGAAAAGAGAGGCAGAAACATTCCTGAAGGGTATTTGGTATATAGCAATTGCTAGCATTCTATTCTAGTTCTCGAGGCTTAAGTCAAATGGACGGGCGCATAACGCTAAAATAATACCAAAGAAACAGAGATTCGCCAGATTTCTGGACTCGTAGCAGGGGCCAATGCCAGAGTTCGTCATTGCAACGAAAGGCATCCCGAGATAGTGCAAGGTTATAGGCGCTTTGTGACCTGTGAAGGGACAGCCAGATCTTACAAAGCCCCAGCAGTCGACGTCCCCATGCGTCTCTCCTCAGCAATTCTCTCTTTGTTCATGGTGTCAACTGTGTCTGAGCCGGTATCGCTGGGGGGAGAGGAGCGTTTATGCGCAATGTTGGTTTCGTCCGAATTCATTGTGTCGGCAGCATCTAAGAGTTGTCAGCGTGTATTCGTCACGGGAATAATCAATCACGTTTAAATGACGACAAGACTTACCAGGTTGAGGCTCCTTGGGCGGGGGGCAATAAAAGCCAACAGCGAGGCAGATAATCATAAGAATAATCTCCTCGAGGACACCCATGCAGAGATTGACTGTGGGGTTGGGCTCAAACAAGTTGAACCGCGCGATGGTCGTGTAGTCACCCAAGCAGCCGTAGACGGTGCGCACGATGAGCAGTGGCGCACAGGCGTAGACTGAGTACAGGATGATCTTCTCGTTGCGAGGCATCTCGTTGCGGTAGATGGTCAGGTACCCCAGAATGGCCAGCAGAAGACCCAAGCAGCCGACGAACATGCCCAAAGCGGCTTGGAGCATGGGGGGAATGGTGTAGCTGTCGAGGGCCTTGATAGCGCCGGCGATACCAAGGGCCAGCCCGACCAAGCTGATGATGCTGACAAGGATGAAGATCCATTTGGAGAGCTTGTTGATCGAGGCGTTTCTGAAAAGGCATACCTACGTCAGTCTCGAAATATGCGTAGGTGGATATCAGGTTGCGACTTACACTCTTTGCAGCAAACCCACGGCAGCTAGTGTTAGGGGAGCGATGCCCAACAAGTCGCATGTGATTTTTGTGGTGACAACATCGATCGAGTCGTCAGTGATGGTGATGAGCTGGCATATAGCGCCGGCAATTCGGAGACAGGCGAGGATAATGAGAAATCTCCAACATGATGCCACAGCCTTCATTCCTTGCTGGTAACACAAAAGAATGGCGAGGAAGAGGCAGGGCACGAAGGCGATGAGCTGCAACAACGCGATACCATCTTGATAGCTAAAGGTCATCTTGGATCGAGAGGGGCCGAAGCGGCGAATATGGCGGGCAGGTGTCTTGCTGATGGCTGATTGATGGGCAATCTAGGTTACAAGGTCAGGGAGAAATTGAAGGCCCTGGAAAACCGTTATGATCTGATGAAACAAGTATGAAGGATAGGGCGAGAGTTGGGAGTCATTCGAACACCAGCTCTTGCCTTGGAGGAGAAAACAATACGAGGGTAATATATGGAATGTCCGAGGGTAAAATAAGAGAGCGTCCTCCCGTGGTGGAGCAGGTGTAAGATGAAAAGATTGCAATGCCTTCGGGCTGTGCACTTGAACGAAAAAGACGAACGAGACATTCAATGACAACTTGAGGGTTTCGACCATCTCCATGTGGAGCAACTAAATAGAGCATACCTCATTAGGAATAGACTCAAGATGTGGCAGTGAATGAGGTGGATACTTGTGGATACCTGTGCCTGCCGGCTAGTCTACTACTGGACTAGTCATCGCCCCAGAGATCTCCTTGGCGGTAAGGGTCCCCATCTTTTGGGCTCTGCGTGGTAGCCTCTCTTGCGCTATTCTGTTTCCGTCACCCTTTGCCGGGCTGCGAGCTATCCATCTTGGGTAATATTTCCCACACAACCTTACGGCGCTGGGCGAGGGATCCTGGCGGAGGGAGAAGAGCCCAGTCTCGTCCGGGTTGAAAGGGCGTGGAAGCTCATCAACTCGGGCATGAAGTTTCCGCCGGCGAACATCCCGTCTCCGATATCGACGTCGCCCATGTCCAGCATGGTCTCGTCGACGTCGGAGGGGCGGCTGGCGTGATAGACCGGTGCGGAGGTGTTCTGTTGGTGAGGCTGTGCGCTCCACCGAGAGGCGGTCGGTTGGGGCTGTCGAACTCCTCTTGGAGACTTTTGAGCGGGCGCGGTTGATGACCTGGGTGCTCTCATCGCGAAAGATGAGGCTTGAGGGATCTCTGTACCCGGGGCATCTCTGACCCGTGCGCAAACATTGGCCGCATTCTGGGACTGCTTTGTCGCACTTTTTTGAGGTTATATGTGAAACAAAATGTCTTTTTTCAACTTTTTTTCCCCCTGATAATTTGCTGTCTTTTGTAAAGGGGCGTAAACAGTAATGACTTACTCTTCTCTTCTTGGCGCGACAATTGTCGCAACTTGTTAAAGGACGACCGCAGTAGATCATGATAGCGATTCTACCAAGTGGTAATGATGGTTGTGGATGGATAGGCGGGGAAATGTGTCAGGCATCATATCAATCACTTAGTACGTGAACAAGAGAGAGGAGACTGTCCCATTGGACACAAGGTAATGCTGCATGAGGTGTATGCCACGTTCGGACAACGATACGGTAAAGAAGGACTGGAAGAGAAAGCAAGACGACAAGACGAATTGCTACCACTGTAGACAACCAACCCTAGTAGGCTAAAATGTTTTTGTGTTGTCTCATGAATCTCGCTCGCCATCGCTTTTCTATTCGCTCAGAATATCTGCGACCTCTTGTTCCCACGTACGCTGACGCAGATCTAGTGAGTCGATTGGGTGGATATGAGCGACAGCCCACTTCACTCGGGGACCATCTCCCAGCCTCGAGCGCAAGAACCTTGGACACGTGATTCTCAATATCTTAGAGAATCCGAATGGGAGAAGGACAAGGTCTATGATGAGGACCCGCTAAGTTGTATGTGATTTGAACGTCTTTGTCTGTTGGCTCAATTCCTTGAAGTGGTGATAGTCTTGATCCTTTATGTGTGAGATGACGTTGCCACTTTGAATGACTTGCTGAAGATGACCGACAAGGTCATCATTGTGCCTTTGCAGTGTTGCTGACGTCAATACCTTCTTGTCACCACTAGGTGCACAGCGGTGCATCGTCAAGCTGGCGATCCTAATTGGTACTCTTCGGTACGGTGTGGGGTGGCCCTTGAGTGCAGAAAAGAAGGCCGGTTGGATGACCGGATCTACACTTGCTGGGTGCAGGTGATAGTGCTTTTAATCCTCGATCTTGACACTGAATAGGTTGGCCGTTGCTGAGTTCTGCAAATGTACATATGTGACGGACACATGTTAGTGTTGGAACACACGGGAAGGCGTTTAAGTAGAAGGATCTGGAGAGCCGGGAAAGACACTGGACGAAAGCCCTTATTGGTGACACTAAAGTGAAATGGGGAAACGACAGAGCAAACCATGCAGAGCTATGTACAAACGTGCTGATCAGGTGAAATATCAACAATATGGTACCGCGTATCTTTCTGGCATAATCAATATAACTGGGCGCGTACACATTATCCACTCTGTGCCCTTGACTAGTGTCGACTGGGAAATAGATTTTATTGGCAAGCCAAAGGCCCCTGATGCCTTTTGGCCCAGCTGTATAGCACCTTCAAGAGTTATGAGCCCAGCTTGACACATCCCCATATACTCTCAGCATATCCTATCTCGGAATGATTGACATTGCTATAATGGTAAAACCTCTTCGACAATCCCTCACAATCAATATTCCAGGTACGCGAGATATTTGCTCTTTGACTCACTCAAAAAAAGTCTCGAAAGAGTCCGCTCCTTTTTCTCCGATCAGATTCTTTCAACGTCTAACCCCTCTCTCAATACCCCGCTGAACATTCACATCATGGAAAGGTTCCTCTCCGAGACTGAGACCCTGGCACCAAGCGGTGAGCAATGGATGACCAAGCCTGGGATGCCATCCGGGCATGACATCGTAGGCTCTGATGATGCAGGTACGGATGAAGATGTGCATTTCTCATCAGAGAGACCCTTTCAGCAAGACTGCGAAGCAACTCTGGAGTGTGGTCACCTATGCCCAATTCAATACCACCGGTAAGTCACTGAGTGAGCTCTAAGTGAAATGTTATACTGATTGGTTTTATCCTAGTTTCGACCATAAACTGGTGGCTTGCACGGCAAAATGCGGCCATATCTACGTTTGCTGCAGTGTCACATGTGGTCGATCATGCAAAGACCACCATGAGCACTCCTGCAACTGCATCGTCGAAGTGACGAAAATCCAAAAGGTTGACGACAACGAGGAGGATGAGATTCAAAAGATGATCGACGATCTTGGAAAAGCCGCGCTTGCTGGCGAATTTTCTCGTGGCCCGCTGCGTGGCCCCGTCAAACAAGGACGTGCGCCTGCCAGACAAGGCAATGGGGCCCTTCGTTACTCTCGGGGTTCATACCTGAACAAGGGTAAAGAAGCCCGACGAGGCTTTCGAGACTCCCGAGCTACGCCAGTAGATGCGCCGCAGGATTTTGAGGCCCGGCAGAAGTGGCATGCATTTGCGAATGGCGGTGCGAAGGAAATGGACGGTCACCTTGATGTTTTGTACAGAGCAACGGATGCAAACTCCGATGGCGTATGGAATGCAGTTGCCAGTCTTGACAGATCCTTCATTCCCAGAGCCTTTTGGTCCGTCAAAGAGGCCCAGGAGCTCCAGGATCAAGAGGAGTCAAAGAAGATGCTCAAGCGAGATGAAGAGCTTCGGCAATTCCAGGATCTCAAGGACGATCAGCAGGCGGGGGATTACAAGAAGCCCGATGCTAATGTAGCTGAGGGAAATCTCCTGGACTTGGACTAAGTCAAGCACTTGATGATTTTCAAAAAAGGAAGAGTTCTAGTAGAATTTGTGGTTTGAGGTCGGGAGAAGGGATGAAACGTTATTATTACCATTGAGAACAGGAAGCAACACACCTGGGCAGTGCTATTCTTGACTTTGGGCGGAGATGGTACCAAGATAAGTTATGGCTGTTAAAGGCTTTTGCCTAGCACAAAGCGAGTACGGGTGGCGTTGCCGCTATATTCTACAATGAGCGGGCGTCTGGGCAACGATAATATTTATTAGATACCCCTGACTCAAAGATGACGTATACAGAAAATCATATAAAAATTTAGTGGTCAATTATGGCTGCTTCCTACGTAGTGATCTTCCTGAAATAACGATCAAACCGACTTTGATCGTCGATATGCTTATTTCCAGATAGGAATTTGTCGATGGACTAAATACGTCCACAGACTCCACTTTTCCCAAACACGCCAAACCCCCGCAATCTCTCACTCTTATCAGCCCCACGCTTGGCTCTGAACGTGATAAGAATTGTCGGATGGGTCAGCCGGTATGGTATGACTAATATATAAAGGTTCGTAATGTCTGAAAGACTGCATCGAGACTGACATCCGCTTCCACCAGCGTTCGTCCCCCTTGCGACACATATCATCTATCTTTGAGAAGCAGCCTTCCAAAACATCAACTTACCAATCTTCTTGACCCGAGCTGTTCAAAGACCTTCAATTGGTCCAAAGAGCAACATTTGACCCGACATGGCGATCACCGACTTTGGCAAAGAACTTCTCCTTCGTGGCACACCATATGTACAGGGACAGGCTTCAGGGAAGCTTATTGCAAGTGATTTAGAATTGAGCTTCTGGGGTGGTGTTAATCCTCGGACTAGCGAGATTATTGACCGCCATCATCCATTGAGTGGACATCATCTTGAAGGCTCCATATTGGCTATCCCAGGTGGACGGGGCTCGTGTACCGGAAGCACAGTCATGCTCGAGCTTCTGCTCTGTGACAAGGGACCGAAAGCGCTGATATTCGAACGGAGAGAAGATATTCTCACTCTCGGAGTAATTGTCGCTGAAGAAATCTTTGGAAAGGCCATACCTGTGGTGGCCCTCGACCCAAAAAACTTCCGAGAACTTTTAAAGAGCAATGGTCGCCTTGTCCACGTCGCCGATGGTCAAGTCTCAACGAAGCCATCCCTTGATGTGGTAACAAAACTCTCACCAGGCACTAGCGAAACAGAGCCAACGCTTTCAGTGAATGACATGATCCTCACAGAATTGGACAAAGCTCTTCTCAAAGGTGCACACGGAGACGCTTCCCGTGCAGCAATGAGAATAGTTCTAAGGCTAGCAAGCATTCTCGGAGCCACAGAGTTGATGGACGTTACGCAAGTTCATGTAGATGGATGCGTCTACACAGGGCCAGGCTCTCTCGCCTTTGCAGAAAATCTACGAGACCGTGGGGGCAAAGTCCGAGTGCCAACGTCACTGAATTCCATCTCCGTCGACAAGAACCTTCGCCGAGTTCAAGGCGTCAGTCAAGAGTTCAGTACTGCAGCCGGCAAGCTGGCAGATGCCTACACTGATATGGGGGCGCGGCCAACTTTTACCTGCGCACCATATCAGCTTGATACCGCACCGAAGCTTGGAGATCAAGTCGCTTGGGCCGAGTCCAATGCAGTTGTTTACGCGAACAGTGTGCTCGGAGCGAGGACTATGAAGTATCCCGACTTTCTTGACATCTCAATTGCGTTGACTGGTCGCGCACCCAAAGCAGGACCGCATGTTCAAATCAACAGACTAGCTTCAATCATTGTAAAGGCTCCAAAGATCGAGAAAGCCAACGTTGATGATTCTTTATATCCCCTCTTGGGATACCAAGTTGGCAATTTGGCTACAAGCCAGATCCCAGTGGTGGTAGGGCTGGAACTTTTGAATCCGACCCTAGACGACCTGAAAGCCTTTGGGGCAGCGTTTGCCACGGTATCCAGTGCTCCGATGTTTCATATGGTTGGGGTGACGCCCGAGGCACCTACCCTTGAGGCAGCACTAAGCATAGGACCTGATGTCCGTTCTGTCGACGTGCACATGGGTGATATAATGGAATGCTGGGACTCTCTGAACCGTGCATCGAGCCAACAGCCAATTGACCTGGTTTCTTTGGGTAATCCGCACTTCTCACTGGCTGAGATCGCAAAGCTTGCCAGTCTCTGTCGAGGCCGCCTTAAGGACAAAAATGTCGCCGTCATGGTAACATGCAGTCGAGTGACTTATGCTTCGGCTTGTAAGACTGGCTTGACAAATGAGTTAGAATCGTTTGGAGTTCAATTCATTACTGATACGTGCTGGTGTATGATCACCGAGCCAACCATTCCTGAATCTCAAAATGCCATCATGACCAACTCGGGGAAATATGCGCATTACGGCCCGGGTCTCACCGGAAAGAGCTTTTATTTCGGAAGTCTTGCCAGGTGTGTTGAAGCTGCATGTGGAGGGGACTATGTGGGAAGAAGACCGCAGTGGTTTGAGTCTGAGTTGCAATAGATTAGTAAAAAAGCGAGCCTGTCCTGGCAAGGGCTAGGATATCAAGAAACGGCCATCTTGAAACCTTTGATAAAATTATAGAGCTGGTAGTAGCTGGTAATACTGTGTGGTTATTGAGCACGGGGACTGGAACTGGTCAACTCATTCTCTAGGCACGCCCACTTGACATGTCGCACCGATGCTAGCAATTCCCGCTCGAGAGTGTCTGCCTTGTCTTCGCCCGATCAACACTCACCACTCGCCTCGCAGTTCAATGTGGAGCTCTTAGCCGCATCCTCTAATGCGCCGCAGCGTCAATGAACCCACTTGCAACCTAGGTCGACCAATCATCATTTGCAGCTCTTTTCAGGACAGGATGAATTGTACGATGATCAAGTGCGCATGCAGTAGGGGACAACCCCCAACATAGTTTTTTTGGCCAATTAATCGCACTTCTGAACAGCCGCGGTGTTTAATTTCTATGGTCCGTGGGCTTTTTTGGCTTATACATGGATCGTTACATACTATATGGGCATACATATGCAGGAGGAAGAAACCGCCCCCAAACAGCCGTGGACGTTGCTTTTAATAGGTCTAGAGCCATTTTGCGGTACTAGTCGTCATCCAATAATAACCCGATTCTATACCGGGATGTGATCTCTCCCCCACCCGTAGCTGATATGCTGGTATCTTTGAAGTTAACACCCCTCAGAATCCCTCTGCCTAGACTCCTGTATCCATTTCCTACTGCTATTATCTTTCAATTTCTTGCCACAAAGCTATGGCTGCCCCCTCTTCTGCCACCTACTTACTAAAGCGCGATCGAGTCGAAGCAATCAGGTATTAAAGTCTCAGCCCTAGAGTCGAATCACGAAGACGTGCTAATCGGCCCGCACCGCACTCCAACCAGACTTGGATCACAGCATCTGTTATGGCAACTGCATATGAAACATCTCCTTCACCCTGATATCCCTGTTAAAAATGACATGGCAATTGCCGATATCGGGGCAGGCACGGGGTAGGCAAATCATTCACCCATGTCATTCAAAGACTCTTTGTCGTCTCTAATACACATCACCACGCATGCAGGATATGGGCTGTCGAATTAGCCGCTCAGCTGCCCCCCTCCGCTCAAGTTGTGGCGTATGATATCACCGATGCCCACTTCCCCACCCCAGAATACTGGGCTTCCAATGTCAAATTCGACCATCTCGACTCCCTCGGTGATATCCCGGAGTCTCTGTTCGGTCAATTTGATGTGGTTCATTTACGCATGTGGGCATTTATTATTCGCGATAATGACCCTAGCCCGCTGATCCAAAATGTCGCCAAAATGCTCAGTAGGTCTTCATGCGTGCTCCCTATGCGATAAACTGCAAGCAAATTGATTAATTATCTTAATCTATAGAGCCCGGTGGCTACCTCCAGTGGGAGGATGCCCGGTTCGGAAGCAGTGTGGTCAGAGGCGATGCCGCCCTCCAGATTCGACAGATGATGGACCGCATGGGTAGTGCCACAAAGCATAACTTCCAGTACGTTACAGCACTTTAGCTCATACCCCACATCCTCTCCAATGTTTCCCCAGCCTATATTGAACAAGCAAGAAACAACTTCCTCATTTGCTCTTCTTGAGCCGAATTCAGGTGGCTCGATGAGCTTGATCAACACGTCAAACGCGCGGAAGCCAGCCTGGATGTAGTCGACTGCCAGTACAAGCCCGTGGTCGACTCAGCTGATCCCACTCTGCATGGACACCTTCTTGGCAGCTCTGGAGAATAGCAGCGCCGCTTTGGACCGTTTGAAGCAAGTTGCGCCATCCGCTCCTAGCTCGGAAGAGTTCATGAATGCCCTGGAGGCTTTGTACAAAGAGATACGGAAGCCGGATGGCAATCAGCTCTACTGGCTTCCAGTCACGCTGCTAGCTAGGAAGAATGATTGATAGCTAGTAATATTTTAGACAAGCCTCATTATATCTAAATGCAGCCCCCGCCTGAATTATAAACTCGAATCACAGTTTTAGGAGAAGTTCAAAGCGCTCCATACCTCTTGAATGGTCAAATCTTACAATTTGTCGACTTTCTCGAAATGATATTGTTGCCCATGCGGGTCACATGACCTGTATGCCACCATATCCCTTCACTTTTAGTAGCTTAAACTTCTTCTCTCCATACCACATCTTCACATCGAATACGTTCCGTACTCTCCACACGTACGTCCGTAAAGATATAAGAATCTTGGTTTTGAACGCAAGAGAAGGGCGTGGCATCGTTTGGTGGAAATCCTGCACTTTACCTAGCCCTAGCAGCCAGGCGCCTCTAACCGAGCCAATTATTACCACTGCCAGGCGCAGTGACACGGCATGTAGAACAATTAGGCTATGAGACCCACTATATCCCTTTAGCAGCTGTCGATAGCCGCGCTCATTGAGTTTGACGTTTCGCCGAAGTAACCCCGCCCGACTTCTATCAGAACCTACTGGGATTAGCCAGTGTGACCCAAATTGACATTCTTTCCATTATATTTGAGTGTTTGTGTGGAGTCATAAGACCTTTTGGGGGCCTAAGCCGATGATTTGTTTCACTGGGGCACTCAATGGGCCAACTTCCACACAAAAATGTCTCAGTACATATTATCAACGGGAGCCGCGGCTACTAACATCTCAATATAAACGAAGTAGAAGGGAGCGGGCGTCACTAGGCTTCCTATCGTATTTCAATGTGGTAACTCATTAATGATGAATACCAGATCATAGGTCATATTTTGTTTATCATCAATGGTATTAAGTTATGGAGACTTGGGTGGGGTGACTCATCTCCACTATATCTGCGGGGGCTTTCTTCATAAATAGGACCAAATACCAACGAAATAGACCACCACTTATAGCAAGCGTCGTTGAATAGTTGATTTCTTCCTTCCACATAGATACATTCGGTCGTATTCTGCGATGATTCCAAGGTTGCCTGATCTTTGATAGAAATGGATGTTGGATATCAATCTGAAGGTGAAGATCAGATCAAAGTGGGCCCTGATTACTGAATACTAGACTACTGGTTTAATGAGCTTTATGATCTATCCAGTCTGACAAGATGGTTGAAATCGCATTCGATATCGGAATGTGATCCTCTACATTTAGTCCACACCGTCTTTGTCAGGCGAGCATTGATTATGCAGTCCAGAGTCAAATAACTTCCTATCATCGGGTAGCAGCATTTCAGCAAGGAGCATTCCTTGAACGAATGGCCATTAGAGCCCTTATCCCTTGAATTATGGAGCATTGCAGTGTCGATAAAGGTGAGATGGGGTGACTTTCTCATCCACACCGCCGGTACAGTGGCGCGGTTGCCGCGTCAAAAGAAAACAAGCTAATCGCGCTCTCTGACATGCATTATAACTGTTATCTATAATCAATATATTCCCCCATAGATCCTTATCCCTCTTTCTTTTCTTTTCAACTCCTCCAAATACTGGATCCCGCCCGCAATCTTCTGGAACGTGTGTTGAGATTCCATATCCCAAATCAAACGCACAGCCCAACACAGAACAATGATCTAAGAAAATGCAAAAGACATGTCATCCGATCCCAATGAGCATGGATTTTCTAATCTGCCCGAGAGATGCATTCACTCTCCTGATGAAAAACGCCTGTGGTGTCATTTCGTCAACGTCACGTGTCATGTGTTGACTCTGCCATTCGAGGGAAGCTATGACCCAATCATGTCGGGCATCATTTCGAAGGCCTTACACGATACAATGGTCCTGAATGCCATTCTTTGCTTAGGGGCATCGCATTTGATCAATCAATCTCAATCCGGATCATCCGAAGTAAAGTGCTTGATGGGAAGCAAAGAAAGTCTTCTGGGGGGAGCGCAGCAAGAACTGTCCACAAGGGTCATCGCTCTACGGTCGGCAAAGGGAACAACAGAAATTCAAAGTGCGGAATACGAGGCATTACTCACGGCCTACCTCTTACTTTACCTGTACGAAATTTCAGAAGGCACCGGTGACAACTCATGGAAGGTTCGATTAGATGATGCAAGGTCGTTTGTGTATGGCGTGCTTCAAAGCCATCGCAATCCGAGCGAATCAGGTTCTCCAGAGTCAGAAATTGATGAAGTTCAAACGCTTTCCTGTGAAGATTTCGAATGCCTAGGTATCGATATATTTCTGATGCAGTTCTTTTCTTATCATGACATTCTTGGAAGTGTGACCAACAACCACAAGAGCTCCTACCAAAGTCAGAGAGATGGTTTAATATCATTACAAGCCTTGCAGACCGATTACTATGATCATGAGCATATGCTAGGATTGCATCATGGGCTGATTGAGATCACCTCGCGCGTCCACGCTCTTCAATTGGATACTTCAGATTCTACAGTTCCCAGCCATGAGATCATAACCCGAGCTGTTAGTATCTGGCAGGATGTTAGTGAGTGGACGGTGCCTGAGTCTGACTTGGATCTCTGTCATATGTACGAAGCTTTTATTGCCGCTATATCTATTTGGATCTTATCTATCATACATCCGGGCGATGTTGCAAAGGACAAGGTACAGACCATGGTGTCTAGAGGCCTCAATAGCCTGTCTTTATTGGAAGGATTTGAGATACAGATGGTTTCACTATTACCATTTTTCGTCATTGGACTTGGTTGCATCCGTCAGCAAGATAGAGAGGCGCTTGAGAAGCAACTCAGGCGACTCGAAACGGCTCGGTGTTTGGGGTATATTCGGGTTTCTAGGGCGAAGATTCGAAAGACATGGCAGGATTATGACGAAGGGAACAATAGATCATGGAATTGGATTTGTATATCGCAGGCGGATGGCCTAAGCCTACCACTCGCATGAAATTGTGAGTCATTTGGGAATATAGATGAAGAATTAGACTTATTAGACAGAACGAATGCACCTTATGTTAGTTGGTTTCACAGTGTCACGAGCATAATTGCATAGCAAAACGTCATTTCAGTATCAAAAGTTCAAGGCTTCATTCAATCATGGGCATAGACATAAACTCTAGCATGGTATCAAAAATATAAACATCACAGACTCGGGAAAACAAACGGAAAAAGAAATGATCATCTGGCCAGCCGTCTACCCAATTTTATAGAAACCAAGCATGCACGGGAACCAAATCATATGTAGGACATCGACAAAAGTACCGCCACAAAATCAATACAGCGGCATGGGCGACTGATTCACATAATCCACATTATGCTCCACTGACTCAATGCGATCATAGCAAGTACCGAAAATGCGATCCCAAAGCCGAGTCTGCTTTCCATAGTTATGGCTCTTCTTCCAACCCTTCCGGTGATGCAAATCATGGTCCTCAATAACCAGCTCCGCATCAAAGTAACGCAACAGCCAGTTAAAAGTCGAAGGCGGGCTAGAGTGAACACGAAGACCACTGTGTCCCGCCAGCTCAGCGAAAACAACATACTGGTGACAGACCCACCACTCATAGAAGCCCATCGGCATCCCGACGAGCTTCATGGTGAAGTACGTCATTAGCGGGATACCAGCGATATCGAAGAACTCCTGCTCCAGATCCGCGTAGAGGGTGAGGAGTGGGTTGGGATGCTTGGTCAGGTGGTGGGTACGGTGGTATTTCCACAGTGGCTCGAAATCGTGCATGAGGCGGTGGTACCAGTAGAACCAGAAGTCGAGGATGATGCCGTATAAGCCGATTTCCAGGGGTAACCAGAGGAAATTCATGGATGCGGGTGCTTCGTTAGTGCGGTAGGCGAGGAATACGGACATCATGGGACGTATTGTGGAGGTTGAAATTAGGGATCGAACGACCTTTGCGACACCGATATCTGGGACGCCGTCGCGGGCGTGCTTATCGCCATCTAAGAAGCCGTGGATATGGCCTAAACGGCGGAGGACGTGTAGTTCGTGGATGGCAATCAGCTTGAAGCTGATGCTGTAAAAGATGAAGGCGGCGAGGGTGCTGAGATTGCGGCCTGTGTACTGGACGTAGGCGTGTTGTAATAGGAGTGGAATGACGGCGTGAGTGATGACCCAACGGTGTGTGGACCAGTTCGGTACATAGGGAACAGCGTCCTCTTTCAGGTGAACAGGGACGTTCTGGTCGAGATGTTCCGGGTGAACTCCGAGTAGTTCGTAGAACCAGTGGAACAGAGTCCACTCTGAGCGGGCCTGCCGGCGCCAAGTGGACTTCATGGAGTCCTTGGGATTCCGTTCAGCCATGGCGTATGATATAGTTGTCTGCGCAGTTTTAACGTCGAAATGCAGCGAACCTCACTTCCCCCGGGGAAACTGGGGTAGCGTGGGCTTATAAAGGATTGAAAAGGGACTTTGACCTGTCGATCCCCTGAGCCACTAAATCACTTCGGCATCATGTGAATCTCCACTCTCCGCAAAAACGAGCCTCGGACTGGTGTCGATCCCATCTGATTGTGGTATGGCGTCTTCCCCAACATTTTCGGTTCGAGTCCAGATTCCACTTGGCTTATGATGGCTGTGGATCATGCACGGAGGTTTATAACCATTTTGGGCGCTGGGGCGTTTACCTGCATCAATCATATCCGTGCTGTCCAAATCATGATGACACCATGATTTGTTGCTAGACGTATCAGATAATCTAAGCATATGAAAGTACTTACTGTAAGTCAACCCTATATGTATACTATGCATGTATAGATGTGAAAAACCGGAAATATGCACGTGTTGTTACACCTAAATGTCCCGAACCATGAGGAACCCCTTGATTACGTGATCGAAATGCTAATTGGTGGATGATATCTGGTGATTTTTTTTGGCAAAGGTGGCAAGGCATACAAAGTTATATTGATCATTTGAATATAGCAGACTTGTGGCATATTACCGAAACTTGGTTGTGTGAGGTGCAGATGGACCATAATGCTGAACGGTTTGGATGGAACCTGGTTCCTCTCCTGTCATGTGGACTATCGTGGAATGCCAAGTTGAATTCTAACTTACCTGAGTGGATGACGCGAGTAAAGAGATGAATAGTTCAAGGCAAAAGCAATCTTGGAAGTTGTGCCAGGTGAGCAGTAGAAATACAGAGAAATATCAAATCATCTAGTTCAAAAACATAACATCCATTCTATCTACTACCACCCAAGGGAATATAAACAAATATCGAATAAAAACTTGAACCAGATGAATAGATCCTGTAGGATCGTCGTCGGTTAGGCAGAAAGAAAAGTAGGCGAATCATTAAACAGGCTCAGCGGCTGACAGCCCACAAACGAATCCTAAAAACCCCGAAAATGAAAAGAGAAATGTTGGGACGCAAAGGCCCTCTAATGCAGATGCACATGCAAATCCGATATACTAATCAAACAATTTCCAAAACCAGGCAGACGCGATACATATGAGTCCACTCGATAGCCTCGGTTTGGTTGACGATCGACGTCTTGTAGTCTTGGAATCTTGTCCCGCTGCGGTTCTTTTTGCGTCTATGCCGCAGCGGTGGTAGTCTGAGCCTCCTCGGCGGAAACCTGATCAATGTTGACCGCTACCTTCTCGTTCTCCGTCGGGACGGGGGTAGATTCAGCGTCGCTTGCAGACTCGGTAGGCTTATCAGCAATTTCGGTGGCCTCTGACATAGGCTTCTGCTGCGCTGTGGGGACAGGGATGGTGTTCCGGCGGTCTTTGCCATTTTCAGTGCCCAACACCTCGATCTGATCGCCCTTGAACAGCATAGGTCCCTTCAAAAGACTCTTCTTGTCGCCCTCTTGAACCTGAGCGCCCTTCAGCAGTTCGCTAGCGGGCTCGTCCAAGTTTGGCATGTCGCCCCATTGCCACTCCAACTCGCCGCCGTACTGCTTCGGGATGCTGGCGGGGTCCATGAAGGAAGTGAGAGTAGGCTGCACCTCCGCGGCGGACAGGATGAAGATCTTAGAGGTGGTTCCTGGGTCGAACCAGCGCTTGATCCAGCCCCAAACGGTAGGGAAGAAACCCGGGGCTCCAACAATCTATTCACCAGTAAGAATCATACGTCAAGATAAAAGAGGAAAAAAACTCACAAAGATGCGATCCAGCGTCTCAGGATAATGAGCCGTAGCCAACACACTAGCGTCCTGCATGTGGCTCTTCAAGTTCCAGAACTGCTTCAACCCAACACCACTCACGTCCACAATATTGGTAGAGGTCACAATAGGCGTCTCGGGGTTGGGCCGGGACAGTGCCGTGCAGAGCGGCATAGTAAAGTGAAGAAGGTTCTCATACAAAGCGAACAAGTTGAGCAAGCGCGCTGGCACAGAAGACGATTTATGAGTCTCAGGGATAGCAGAGCTCACGGTAGAGTTGTATGCGGCCATTTCCTTAGAGTTGAGATGGCGGATCTCGAAGACGTAGATGGGGATGCCACGTCGATCACGACGACCAGTCCATTGCGGGTACTGTACAAACGAGAGATCGCGAGTTAGCCCGTTGCACCGCATTTCTGTACGGGGATGAGTGGGAAGGTGGGTTACGAACCATGCGTCGTGCCGCCTCGTAGGAGTCCACGCCAATGTTCTCGTACAATGACTCGATGGCATTCTCCTTGCGCCAATCCTCTGTGTCCTTGAACTGACCCCACGCACCCTCAACATCGAACCTGCGAGCGCGCAAAAAGCGTCTATGAAAATGATCAGCATCAATTTACCAACAAAACCTTCATATTTCATGGAGTAGAACATACAGCAGGGTCGCATCATCATGGCTGGCGGGCTTCTCCCCCTCAGCGGCGGTATAGTACCCACGCTCAGCACAGACCTTCTTGAACTCGACAAGCTTCTCTTCTTGCTCGGGTGTAAGGTGTTTTAAGTGACCCGCAAGCCATGCTGTGCCCGCGGCGGCGGTGGCGGAGGCGGCAGGGTCATTGTTGGACGCGGACGCGGTGCGCGACAGGTCCTCGGCCTGGCTGTGGTTGGACTTTGTTCGCCAAAGCATGGTGATGGCTGTTTGTGTTTTTCGAGAGTGGGATCGTCCCCTGTAAAATGAGAGTGGCGGAGTGTGATCGGGGAGAAAAAGAGGCGGTCAGCCGCAATGAATCTGCGGAGTATTTCCAGACCCTGGAAATGCGCCTCCCCAAATCCGGATGTTATCGGAATTTAGCCAGGGGTCGATCGCGGCTTATCTGAAGGATCTACCTTATTCTAGCTTGCTTCTAGATCAGGTTGCACTATATCTAGGACCCGATCTGCCATCTTGTCAGGTTTTCCCATGAATTTAGAAATGGTGAGGTTAATGGTGGCGTTCACAGGAAAGATTTTTAAGATCACGCCGATTTGTCTGGAACCCGTCCATATCAAGAAAAGTAACAATAATTATGATATATTAGAAGGATAACAGGTCCGAAATAAGGCAACTTGTCTATCAATTGCTCTCTATGGGTAGTTGAATATGATTAAGTCTCATGGCCAAGTGATGAACCTGCGGGGTATACTACTAGCACGGACCATGTATAAATTGGCAGATTCTAGACTACAGGACTCGATCTCTTACTGGAAGGTAACAGTACAAATCCGGATGGGTACGACAATAGACCCATACGTGCATGGCCCTCCAAATACTTGTACATATATGGAGGTTCAAACGGAGTACTACAACTCATACTTGGACAATACCCGTGAAATGATTGGTTCTAATAATCCACACGCGCGGCTACTATTTATACCAAATAGGCAACTCATTCTTATCGTCTCCACACGAAACCAGTTCCTGGAAATTGCTTCTCTCTCGATCAACATTTGGGAATTTATATAGTCAGTGGAAGTTATATTCCAAGGTCATCTCATAGGTGGCCTCAACGCAATCACATTTAATCTTATTGCGCGACTCTGCTCCTTCTCGTCACATCTCAACTGTTGCCTTTCCCTCTCAAGGGTATTTCTCAGAGGCTTGGAACCTCCACCATGCTATCCAATATCGACGAGAAGGAGAACTTAGCCCGCATGCAGCGGGGTGAGCTATATTACGCTTTCTCTCCAGAGCTGGTCGCTGCGCGCAAACGTTGCGGGCGTATTGTTGGCCAACTCAATCGTGCGGGGGAACTGTCCCGTCGAGAGCTGGCAGTGTACTGGAAAGAGTATGTCGCGAAGCTTCAGATTCCACGTTCTTAACCCAGAGAGCCGGCTTTTTGTCAACTTGATTGGAGGAAGATCTCATGACTGGACTCGCTAATGCAAAATTTAAACAATAGTCTAACGAAAGATCCTCGGCCTCTGCCACCCCCCGGTGCGACAGACGAAGAAGAGGATGCAATCCTGCATGAGTACCCGTGGATTGAACGACCTATCAATATAGATTATGGAACCAACATCAAAGTTGGCAGCAACGTCTTTATTAACTTCAACTGCACTATTCTCGACACATGTCTCGTGTCGATTGGAGCGCGCACTCTTATCGGCCCTAATGTGTGTTTCTTTAGTGGCACCCACCCTTTAGATCCCGATTTACGCAATGGTACCAATGGCCCAGAGCTAGGTCGTCCTGTCACGGTTGGAGAGGACTGCTGGATCGCCGGGAATGTCATCATCCTACCAGGAGTGACAATTGGCGATGGATGCACCATTGGCGCAGGAAGCGTGGTCACAAAGGTAAACATCACATCGTTTTGAAGGCGGCTATTCGGTTTTTCACAGCTAATTTTGGGCCTTACTGCGTCTAGGATGTTCCAGACTGTCATGTCGTGGCTGGCAACCCTGCTAGAATCATTCGCAAGATTGAGCGCAGTGGTAGACCAGACCCCGAGGCTAGAGTGCAAAGTCAGAGGAACGGTTCTTTACAGAATCATGAAGAATAGTATAATGGAGTCAAGCATTATGAATGGTACTACTGAATCTTCTAACAGGCGATTCTCAAGGTGAATGTATAGCCCGCAGAGACCAGTGGTCATGTTTAGGGTCCGTGGAGTGAGACGCAAGGAATTGTCCGGGCATCAAGATAAATCTCACAAATACCTCGACGTAGAATATAATGTACATACTTCTGTCTACGTGTATCATCATCTCGCGTGCATTGTTAGGCGACATTAGGTAGAATATAATGCCGAGGTATGGGAAGCAGAACAGATAGCTCACTACAAGAAGTAGCAGCGTCTATTCGGTTCTATATGGGAAACTTCAGAAGCGATGAAAGATGCCCTGCTTTTCAGGGCCTTTAGTCAGGCCCAGCCTTTTTTTGGTGACTCCTGCCAAGAAAACAATAAGTTCCACCACTTAAACTGCGTATTGCCACGTGATACCGTCCCCGCCCCATGGCATAGATGGTCATGCTCACACCTTTGCGATTTACCTTCCCGCGGATAATCCAGAGCGAAGATGACGGAAGACGCTTCGGCACCCCATGGTGTCCAAGTCAAACCACGTATGCGATGTCGAAGTGGCTGCTTAACGTGCCGGCGCCGCAAAAAGAAGTGCGACGAGACTCATCCCTCTTGCGCAGGTTGTCAACGCAACAATATCGAATGCCAGTGGGAATCTAGTGCCTCACTTTTGGTACCTAGACGTCGCACCCCACGATCGCGTCTCGCTGAGAGTATTCTGCCAGAAGAGGCGCGGGAAATGGTGAATGTGTTCACTGTCTTAAAGCCAGATATGATTACTCGCTTGCTCGGTCATTTTCTCAATGCCAGCCCAAGATGGCTTTCAACTCGGACGGGGTCACGAAGGACTGACTATCTCAAGTGGCTATCCCCTGCTATATCAGATAGCCCTCTAGTCCTGGACTGTATTCTCACAATTGCATCGGCGGATCTGCTCAAATATCACCGTGACGACCTAGAACTCCGGTATGTTGCTGTGGAATACTACGGACAAGCAGTATCGGGACTTCGGGTAGCCATTGAGAACGAGATCGCTGCTTCTCCGTCAGACAACTCTCTTACTGGTGCGTACCTCACTTCTTCCTCTTATCAGGTATATTTGAGCCAACACGCTAATACAATTTCATAGATTACAATCCGCTCGCGGTACTTTTACTATGTTTGCATGAGGTAATTAAGCTACAGCCCTCGTGATCATTTTCTCTGAAGCTTCGAAGTAACAATTTTAGACTCAGAACTTTACCGACAGCGAAAGAATACTCCCGCATCTTAATGCCGCTGTCTTTCTACTACAGAATCGCATATTACGTGGAAGTGCAAACTCAGTCCTACTGGGCTTCGTATTCGAAATGTTCTGCTACTTCTTCGCCCTGGCAGCGTTCTCCCTCGGTCCAAAACTATTGATTTATCAAGCCTATTTCATATTTAATTCCCCGTCGGTCATTGGACATATTCAACACGGCAATATTATGGGGACTTCGCAGCACCTATTCATTATCATTTTCCGTGTCTCAAGTCTAGCCCAACGTTTGGACTCTAAAAAGCCCGAAGAGGCATCCATGGCCAGAGCAGAGCTACTGCTGTTGGACCAGGAACTGGCTTCCTCCCAGAATGACTTCAACGCCAAGCAAAAAATGGACATTGGATACCTTAGTGACACTATCACATCGGAATTATATCGTTTAGCGTGTCAAATCCATGTCAAAAAGCTCCTTAATCCATCAACACCTGATGGAGATTCGGCGATCCCCTCTCTGGTAGAGGCTTTCGTTCATCAGCTGCAACGCCTTCCTTCAAACTCCCCATCACACAGCATCTTGAGCTGGCCATTAGTGGTGGCAGGCTGTTTCGCAACTATCAGTATACATCAACGAATAATCGCTGAAAAACTCGTGCAAATATACGACGAGTGGCGATCAGATATATTCTCAAAGAGTGCGGCATTCCTGCGAGGAAAGTGGAAAAAAGATAGGGAATTGAAAAAGGGTCTTCCTACTCGGTTGTCAACCGATACCAGTCCAGTCATCTGGTGTAAATTTCCTGTCATTTTGGCTTGAAACTATCTTCGATACATTCAAAGGTGCGGTTGATACCTTTTATACAGTTGGTGTTTATTACTAGTCAAAGCTTGAAACATGGATCATGAGACCAATTACCATGTTGCCTGATCATGAGAGGGAAGGAGGGGGGTAGGGTATAGCCATTCACCCTTCCTTGAAGCCATTCGAAATGTATGAGATCTAAATCGTTTCATACTACATCAGTCAAGAGCTCCACATATGTGATATTGCAAGCTTGTTGAACTATTATGGGGAAATCAAGAGCGAAGTTTGAATTAAAGTATATCTGAATTCCAATGCACTTAAATTCTGCAAAGTCTATTCAAATAGAAACCCAATCCACATAAAAACCGGCAATTGTGCCGTCACAAAGTTGCATAGGGCCACCCAGCCCCGGGAAAAAATCAAAACAAAGCAATTACAGAAGGATGCGTATCATATGGCACAAAGTTTTCCTTTTCCCATGCCCGAATCCCAGTTTTGTACAAGACAAGCCACTGCAAGGCCAAAATCTCCAAGACTATATGAAGTGAATTTAGTCCTCAGTCAGATCACCGTACTCCCACATGCCGCGGCGTTCGGCCTTGGCCTCGTCCTCGAGAGAACGAAGCTTGTCCAGGGTGTCGGCTGAAGCGCGCTCCCAAGCCTTCAGCTTACGGGGGACCATGGCCATACCCTCGGTGATAATGTCAGCGTTGATGCTCTGATCGAGGCTCTTGGACACTGCTGGGTCCATGAGAGTGACGTGCAAAACACCCTCAGGGTCAACATAGTCGACATTAGCGACGAGCTGGCGGTCAAAGGCTTGGTCGCCGATGAAGTTCACGGTGTCCTCAAGATAGTCGGGAGAGGTGGGGAACTGGCAGAAAGAGAGAACTGCATCGACGGCCTGGGGGCGGAGCTTCTGGGCCGAGAACTGGGGCTGGGTGAGAGGGCGTAGGCTAGACCAGGGTAGGGACTCGGAATTTCCAAAGTCAACGTAGACCACCTCAGCGGTCTGCTTCTCGCGGTCGTTACGGCGGATTCTGGCGCGGTACCAGTTGTTATCCTCTGTGAATTGAGCGGCAACCCAGTCACCAGCCTTGGGGGGACCCGCCAGAGGGGTGTCGTTGGCCTTGTTGATATGGAAGGAACGGAAAGCGGACATCAGCTCGGTCAGAGCGCTAGTTCCATTTCCAATCTGCTGCACCTTCAGACGACCGGTCTCGGGGTCAATGTAAGTGACCATGACATCACGGTAGTCCTTACGACGCTGGGCAGGAGCGGCATCGCTGTCAGTGGCGGTAGCATTGGCAGCATCTGCGGCGGCTTCGGCCTCGGCGGCCTCCTTTGCCGGGTCGTAGTCGTGCCAAAGACCCTTACGAGCATCCTTGGCACGTTGCTCAGCAGCGAAATATTCGGTAGCATGACCAGACTGCTCGGCTGAGTATGCGTGCACTGTAGCAAAACCCTCTTCCAGCAGGATCTTGGTGAAATTCTCCTTGTTGACGTACAGGGTACCAATGAACCCACCAACCTTATCGATGGTCTCGACATCAATCTCAACATCACGCTGCATGCAACGACGGTTGGCCAGATCGTGAGCTTCCTGGCCAAATGGCTCACCAGCCTCGTTGGGACCGCGGGCTGATCGAGGAGCACGAATACCAGAAAGCACAAGAGTCAACTTGGCATTCTCACGAGGAACCAAAACAGTGAAGCGAGAGCCAGACTTCACAAAGTCGACAACAGCGGGAATTCGCTTGGAGCGTTGTAGCACACCAACCTCAAGCTTGGCCTTCTGGACATTCTCGGAGTAGTCCACGTATTGCTTGGACTTAGGTGGCTTGGGGGACCACATACCACGGCCGTCCTTCTGCGCTTCAGCCTCTGCGGCAAGGAGAGCATCGTAGTCGGGGGAGCGGTCATCATCATCCATACGGTGGCGAATGACAGAAGCGTAACCAGCCTCGACCAGGGCCAGACCAATGTTGGTGTTGCCCTGGACAACAGTAGCAACCTCGCGTGCTTCATAGCCCTCAGTAGCAGGCTTCTTGCCATTTACTGTAACCTTAACGTTCTTAGCGATAACACGCTTGCGCAGGAACTCCTTGGCATTGGCGGCGAACAGAGCCTGGTTAGGGTCAGAAGGCTTAGGTTGGCGAATGCTGGTGAGGCTAATTTTCTTCTCCTGACCAGCCTTGTTGCGAATGAAGATAGTGTCAGCATTCAGCACGCGAGTGACAGTATAGTCCGCGGCAGTGGCGCCGGAGGACTTAGGTCCAACGTGGCCTGTGAAGACACCCTTGCGAGCATCCTTGGCAGTGTTCTCGGCCTGGCGGAGAAGGGCCATATCGGCACCGAGGAGTGTAGAATGGTGATCCTGGCAGCGGGCGAGACCAGCCTCCAGAATGAATCGAGCAATGTTTCCGTTTGGGTGGAGAAGGGTAGCCACAAGCTGACCTTGCGGTGTGAGACCAAGCAATGAAACCATCACCTTGCGCTGCAACAAACGCTCTTCAACGAATTGCTGTGCCTCATCACCGAAAGGCTCAGCAGCCTGCTCCTTGCCCTCGGCCGTTGTACGCTTAGCGGCAGGGGCGCGGATACCAGCAACGGCAACCACAGTCTGTGCGTGTTCCTTGGGCGAGACCAACAGACGCAGCACCACACGATCGCCATTCAAGACCTTCTCAACAATACCCTCAATCTGCTGGCCCTTGAACTTTTCCACGAGGGTTGCACTGCTCCATAGTTCATTGTTTGTGTCAATCAGGCCGTCGTCTGAAGTAGCCCAGGTACCCTTGTTCGCATCCTGTGCCAAGGACTCCAGCGCACGCAATCGACCCAACAGCTCTACAGTTTCCGGGGAGTCATCGCTCCGCTTTCCTGCCTCCTCGCGGACCCGAGCCCAGCCCTCTTGCACGCAGATGTCGGGCAATTGAGCGTTCAAGCCAGGTAGCCTGATGATACCATATTCACGCTTGGCGCCGGTGGGAATGGTGTAAACGACTTGGAACTGAATAACCTTGCCGACAAGGAGCTCACGGAGGAATTCACGGGATTGGAAGCCAAATGCCTAAAGTAAAGCAATGCGATGTCAGTTCAATATCCGTTCCCGATCTGCGGGCGGGCAATCTGCATCTCCAAGCAGCTCCAAGTGACGTGAAACTCCTAAACAAAGATGAAGATCGCCCATTGAAGTACCCAATTGACATGAGAGAGCACATACCTCATCACCTTCCCGCCTTAATCTAGGAGCCGATACATAGGCCAAGCTCAGGATGCGGTCTTGTGTAGGGTTGGTGACATGCGACAACACAACCGTATCGCCTGATAGGACAGACTTGACGCGAGCTTCGAAAGGCATGGTGAAAAAAGGACACCGCTACCAGAAAGAGGTAGCACAAAGAAATTCAATGACAAAAATGGACGCGGGAATTGAACAGCAGAAGTGAAGTCGAGCAAGAAGGGGGCAGCCAGCTTCGGAGGCGAAACGTGGCCGGTGTTTATGTGGGGGAAAGCGGTCTGGGCACTGACCACACGATTTAGACTACACGGAGAAGTATAAGGAACTCCCGACAATATGCACATACTACAACTGATCAATCAGAAGATTAAATAATAATTGACATTGAATTCATCTCATCCTAGCCAGGGAATATCCTGAACTTTTCATCTTCCAGAAAGATGGAGGGATACCAGAGCTGGTTCATCAAATTTAAGCGGCAATACCAATGACACCTGAAAGATTCCGTTAATAAAAGGCACATTGTAACCATCGGAATCGATGAAACTTACCACAAGCAGGGCGGGGTCCAGCGTTACCAGTCTTCTTAGACTCCTCGTTGCCACCCTTGCCGAGGTCGTCAGTGCCGGCGTGGACGACGAGAGTACGCTGTGAATGTTAGTGAAAGTTCCGGTCACATCATTTACAAATGGCTTGCTCAAAGGAGACTTACGCCCAGAACGCTCTCGGCACCGATCAACTTGACAAGCTTGTCCTGAACGGAGCCGTTGGCGTTGCCCTCAGCATCAGTCTTGAAGTTACCAAGGTCACCAACGTGGCGGTCGGCATCAGTGGGAGCACCGTGGGTCTTGCCGAAGGGGTTGACTATGTGCATTATTAGCCTCAATTCTTGGGAAGAGTGCATATATGGGGTATAGTCGATCTTACAGTGGGGACCGGCGGAGGTGCAGCCGTTGGTGTTGTCACCGAACTGGTGGATGTGGAAACCACGCTCAGCGTTGGCGTCGTGGCCGGTAATGTTCCAGGTGATGGTGGTGGGGACAGACTCGTCGGCCTGCTCGAAGGTAACAGTACCGGCGATCTTCGAGTCACCACGGATAACAGCAACTGACAGGCATTGTTAGCATGGAAATTGAATTAAGTGTATATATTCCAGAAAGCAGATGGAATGTTAATCGGTCCCGAGCCTGTGGAAGCTCGGAATGATCTGAGCATCCCGCTCCCGCATCTGACGAGCCTCCAGCCCCCAGCCTCTTCGCAGCAAATCAGGGGATAAGGACCCTGGAGAGTAAAGGAGTATAATATCTGGTGGAGAGGTGTAGGCAACAGGGAGCAAAGCCGATAGGTCCGGGCTGATCCCCAAGGTGCTCAAATGTGCTCACCCCAAGGTCCTTTGCCACGGACGTGGAGACGGGGGAGATCCAATAACAAAGCCCAGATCCATATAGAAGGAGAATTATATATCACTCACCAGCCTTGACCATTTTGACGGATATGAATTCAATTGATATGAATCTTTTGGGGAGGAAATAATTTGTGAGGGGAAGAAGAAGAGGAGAGAAAGGCGGGAGCAGCAGAATAATAAGCGGATGATGTTGACGTGACTGCGTTACCGGGAACCTTCCATACCTCAAGAGGTACTAGATACTTAGTGTGACCAGCAAAATTTGCGGTGGGCTATTGGTACCAGATACCCGATTACAGCACCAAAACAGCTTCCCCCACCTTCCTAAGCGGGACGAGGGGAAATGACATAATGCCGAACTCATCCCGAGTCAGCTATACAGCTATACCTACAACCTTGCAAGACTATTATATTTGATCATTTGGTCCTTTGTTCAATTATAAGATCCCCAGAATGCATATGGGCATTGAAACATCTGATAGAGTTCTCAGCGTAATACAATGTTACACTGTGTACAAGTGCGGGGTTCATTCCGAAGGTCTAGGATTAGGAATCCTGAATAAGCCGACCTGGTCCAGATCCCCAGCGGTTAGGCTTTGGCGTCGGATGTGTCGGTCCTGCCCTGTCCGAAGACTGAACATACTGCCGAAGGGTTGTATATTCCGAAAGTTGTAACCTACCATAGATACTAAGATATTTTACAAGGAGACATCCAGCATATTTGTAACCAAAAAAATATTCATATTCATCAATTCGTATCTACCGATTCCAGCATTTTGAGGATTGCCAATTTACAAATCATAACTGTAGAAAGAGGGGGTAACATCGAAAAAGAAAACAATCACTCAATCTAAGCCTCGATCTTGGCCTTGAGGAGATCCTTAAGGGTGACGGCATCGGCAGCGAACTTGGAGATACCCTCACGGAGCTTCTCAACAGCCATAGCCTCCTCGTTGAAGTCGAAGCGGAAATCGACCTCGTTGTGGAGGTACTCGCGCTTGGGGATGTCCAAGCTGGAAGCGTTGCCAGAATCGAGCTTCTTGGGCACAGCATCGGTGGAGTTGTACAGGTCCTCCAGCAGGTTGGGGGAGATGGTCAGGTAGTCGCAGCCAGCAAGCTCGGTGATCTCACCAATGTTGCGGAACGAGGCACCCATGACAATAGTCTTGTAACCGTGCTTCTTGTAGTAGTTGAAGATGGCCTCGACGGACTTGACACCGGGGTCCTCCTGGGGAGTGTAGTCGCGCTTGTGGGCGGCCTTGAACCAGTCAAGGATACGGCCAACGAAGGGAGAGATGAGGAAGGCACCGGCCTCAGCGGCGGCGATGGCCTGAACGAGGGAGAACATCAGGGTGAGGTTGCAGTTGATGTTGTACTTGGACTGCAGGATGTGCGCGGCCTTGATACCCTCGTAGGTGGAAGCGATCTTGATCAGAACACGGTCCTTGGAGATACCGTTCTCCTCGTACAGCTGATGTTATTGTCAGCTTTGAATTCTGCTGTACATTTTTAATTTCAGAATATGTTGCATACCTTGATGATCTCAAGGGCCTTCTTGACGGAGCCCTCAGTGTCGAAGGACAGCTTGGCATCGACCTCAGTCGAGACCTTGCCGGGAATGATCTTCAGGATCTCCTTGCCGAACTCAACCAGGAGGCGGTCCAGGGTGGCCTCAACCTGCTCATCAACGGTCTTGCCGACCTGCTTGCCGTGAGCGACAGCAGCGTCGATGAGGGCGGCATACTCGGGCTTCTTGGAGGCAGCCAGGATCAGGGAAGGGTTGGTGGTGGCATCCTGGGGCTTGTACTTGCCGATGGCTGTGATGCGTTAGTTATCTAGACCGAAAGAAAGATTGTTCGATGGAACAATGTTGGACGCCACTTGGTGGCGAACGAAGGAGTTACATACTGGCAAAGTCACCTAAATAGCGCGCAAGTCAGTGGAGTGTTCAATGCATGCTATATCCGGATGGATCGGATGAAACTTACCAGAGTCGCAGACCACGACAGTGCCGGTGGCCTTGAGCTGCTCGAGAGAAGAAGACATGATGATATGGAGGGATGAGTAGAAAATTAGAGAGGATGAAGAATTGGAGAGGATGAAGACAGAAGAAGGGAAAAGTGGCGAGGAGAGAGTATTTAGAGGCGGGGGTAAGGTCCATGGTTAGAGCCAGGTGAGCTATTACGGAGAGGTACATCCACTGACTATGGGACCCCCATAGTTAACAGAAGTACCAAATGGTTGATTTCAGGTGGGATGTAGAAGTGGGGCAATATGACGCTGCACAATGAAATCACTTGAATTGATCTTCCCGCTTTTGGCTACTTTTACCCCTCCATTCGACAGTTATTCAGGTACACTTTCACTTATACATGGTTAGTTAAGAAAAGAACTGGCTTAAGTTGCCACTGATTATTCAGAAGCCCATTCATCTTCCAATAACATACGAAAAGACTTCATTTGGTTTACAGAAGACCCTGGGAAACGATGATTCGGCGCAGAGTGCTCCGGCAGCGCCATCCGGAGGATGGTCGACCGGCCAACGGCCCACTAGATTGTAACGGGGCCCTGCACTTCTGCTTCACCGGGATCCGGTTAAATGTCATGGTTTACGGGGTTGTGCATGTGCTGAATGCTTTCCATTCCCGCTATGTATATGCAACGCTAAAAACCCCGGATCGAGGCGATGGTCCAGAGGACGCGACTAGGAAATAAAAACAGGAAATAACATAATAACCAGAAATTATCCGGTTTCGAGACTAAGCGCCCCATACTTTTAAACGTCACTGCCGTTTATTTGGAGGACAGTCTTCCGAACATTTCAATAGCCGTACCGACGGAACTCATATCCGAGTTTCAACGCCGCTGGACGCAATTCCACTCATACTAGATCTCTGTTAGTTTACGAATTCCAAATAATGCAGGGCAATTGGATCAAAGAGAGTACTCACCACCCGACCTGCCTCATCCCCCGTATAGACAACCTGGGGAAGAGCCAGAATACAACTAATTCCAGCAGAGATATTCGCGCCATTGTCTCTACTGTTGTCGGTATGATGGAGCTGTCGGATAAGCTCAAGCTCGAAGAGTCCATCATGAATGTTTTTGGCCCAGATATTGACCACACCTCGACTGTGGCCAGTTAACACGAGCTCACGCTCGAGCCATTCGTTTTGAACACCCTCATAATAGACACAGGATAGAACGTGATCATCGCTGGATTCACAGACAGGTTGATCGACCAGCACATCTCCATTCAGCGTGTACATGGTGATACGGTTGCCACGGCAGACAATGATATCTCCAGTCACGTCGTTGATTCGAGCGCACTGGGGGTTTGTTAATAAGACACAAATACTCATATAGTCGTAGGAAGTACTTACATCAACTGTGCCATCAGCTGGAAGAGCCCGGACGAAGCACCGTCGGTTCAAATCCCATAGCATGATCTGACCATCATTCGACGCAGACAGCATAGCGCTAAATGAACGGGAAGTTGCAAGTACGGTAACCGGGGCACGATGACCAAACAATGACCCAATGGGTTGGAGATCAATCGACCGAGCGGTCGAGGTCACTGTCCACAAGGAGATTGTACAATCTGTTCCACATGTAATAAGTGTGCGCGAGTCTGCGAAGCTAGCATATGAGAGTTGACCAACATGGAGGTGCTCAAAATGCCCGAGGAGCTATGAATAGTTAGCTATGGGTCATAATCGGAGTATTTCAGGATGTGCAGATCCATACCTTGCGACTGTCGGTGGAATAAAACCGCACGCTTCCATCGAAGAAGCCCCATTCCATATATTGGTCATACGTTGGTGGGACATTCAGTCGAAGTGCAGCAGTGCATAAAAGGCGATCCTGCTTCATGGACAGAGTATTAACTCGCTCTTCAATATCAAGCAGCGATAGTGGCATCTGTGTTAACGATTCCGCGAGGGTGTCGAGCCGGGGGATACGGTGTCGCTCATCTTCTCTCTGGGGATGGGTTCGCTGGAAGATTTGGTGGGGCGTCTGGCCAAAGTTATGAATGATGCCAATCGTGGCCAAACGTTCCATTGGGTCGTCAATGGCGTCCAGGTCCTTCGCACCCTTGTAGGAAAGATGATGGAATACATTGACAGCTTCCACAGCTGCATCCCCCTTTTGCTTGCTGCCGAACACAAGATCTATCCAATGGTGGAGGTTTTCAGACACATAAGGGCTCTCGAGGGCCTCACGATGCTTCTGGATGAAAATCTTGGGATCACCCTTGGCCCATGGTGGGAGCTCAACCGAGTCAATGGTCGTTGTCATGTTCTGTAATAGCCCAAAATCGTATTTGTTGGAATTGACCAGAAACTCTGGAAGATAGAAGAATTCAGGAGTCAATTCTCGGACATCAGTCATGTTTCCCCGTGATGCAGACTCCCATGCTTTACGGATGGAGTAGAAAAGGCGATCTGCATGATCAAAAGTGCCACCTTGAAGGAGTAAATACGACTTCACAAAAGGCTGGAGACGGATGAGGTATGAGCAAACAATCATGGCAGAGGAGTAGTGGGTTCCGTAATGGAATGGTGGAGAGTTGTCGTCACCCATTTCTGCAAAGGCATTGTATCTTTCGCGGAAACCAGCTTCACGATCTGGTGTTTGGCAGCCCATGGGCCTGGACAGGTCGCGGAAAGTCTTTGGGTTGGTGAGATCGAGCTCTTCACTTGTGTAATCGGCAAGAACCCATGGGAACACCGGGTACTGGGTCAGATCATTGAATGTCCGCCCGGCAAGCGTATTGATCAACATGAGATAATGGAAGTTGGATATTTCGCCCCTGACCCATTTTCGGGTCGCTGGACTAGATGGGAGGTGGCCAAAGACACTGGCAAACTTGGACCCAAGGGACTGCGGAGCATCCTCTTGGCTGCGCAAAGTCTCAAATCGCCATATATCCTCCGGCCGCGAGTGTCCTACACTTCCAGTCACTTGAGGAGCCTTGTTGCCGAGCTGACTGCACAGTTCATCCCGCACTCGCGCAGAGAGGAAGGTTAATAGATAGCTCGTGCCATCGGTGAAAAAGATCTCAAGGGCAACGTCCCTGAAGAGGAAGCGTCGTTTAGAGACGCTGACCAAATCGGACCATTTCCAGCTTCTGGTTTCATGCTCCTGCGATCGGCGGTCGTTCGATTCTCGCCCAGCAATCATTCGCACGTAGGGGTCTCGCTCCTCAGAGGGTGCTTGCCAAACATTGACAATCTCTCCATCAGCGCGTTGGAAGAAGTTATCCAGAATGTAGATGCAGTCTTTCCCAATGATCAGAAGGCCTTCGACAGCCTCGAGACCAATTATCCGTGATTGATTGCACACATTCTGTACCTGGTCGCCTCGTTGGAGCGATCGCATTACTCTGCGATTTTTGTCCTCGTAATCTTCCAGTTCAACCTTCGGATCATCGATCATTTCGAAGTTCTCTTCAAGTATGCTGCGGTCTTCGGGATCGCCATCTTGTTCCTCGGGATCAACAGCCTCTGGCTCTGTCGTGAGGCCAGTTGGGCTCCCGATGGCCTCACCTTCGGACAGTGCACGCACTCGAGTGTCAATCTTCATCATGGGGGGCTCAGAAGCCTTGCGTTTGGGTTGGTAGTCTTGGCGTTCGCCTGAATCATCCGGGACAACGCGTAAACGCATACGACTGCGGCCTTCCGTCTGGTCAAGCCTGGATTTTCTTTCTTTCTCCTCGGACAACAGACCACCTGGTCGTCGAAGATCCACCAAGAGGCCAGAGAAGGCTGACCACATAAAAGACGAATTGTCCTGGAGGTCTTGCAGACACCTCTGCGACTTGAGGGTTTCCGACGCGGAGATATTGGATATCCAATGGGGCAAGGTTGCATCATGTTTACGCGTTACTTCTTCATCAAATTTCTCCAACTGTACCCACTGCTTAAGCTTGTCCTTGCGTTTTGCAATCCGGGTTTTAGCCGATTCTTCGCTTTTAGTATTCTCGTCTTGGACGAACGCTTCCCATGTTCGGCCAAGGATACCTAGGAATAAAGAGTCCAGATCGTCACGCTCATCATCGATCCAATGTAAGAACGCTTCGTCTTCCATCCCCGCCAGAGCTTCAAAGCCATCTGATAGTCGACGCTGCAGGGAAGGAGGTCCACGAGCAATGATATTATTCATTTCGTCGGGCTTTTGCACCAAAATGATTCTCCAGAGACTAGCAGCAGCCAGGCGAATATCATCATCCGTGCTGATTAACTTTGTATAGAGAAGATAGCAGAAGAGCTGGAGATGTTTCGACTCGGTCTCTGATGCGCTGAGAAGGACTACCTGCCAATAGTTCAGACGTTTCAAAACGGCCAGAGAGTCATTTTCATCAGCCTCTGACAATTGAAACAAGACAACGCGATACAAGATAGAGTGGGTTGTTGCCACCGCTTGATTGCACAGCCTAATGCTCTTCAGGCTGGAGATGTCCGGTCGCTGGATATATTCCAAGATTGGGCCGAGGCTTTCCAAAGTGGTGGCAGCTCCATCAATAAACCATCCCTCGTAGACTGCCTCGGCTAGATGTGTTGCGAATCTGGCAATGTTGGTAAGGGTACGCGGTTCCTGAAGGAGCCGAGGTTTGGAGCTGGGTAGTGTCTTGAGAGTTGACAACAGGTGATTGAAGATCCAAGAATTGAAATATGCTTGATGTTCCAAAAAGCCGGGAGGATTTTTATGATAAAGCCCCAAGCCCGAGAAGTCCTTGCGTTCCAAGAGCTGATCCTCAAAGACGGTGAGAGCTAGTCCAAAGATGGCCTTGACAAGTGGGTGATCCACGGAAGACCTATCATTCGAAAAAGTAGGATGAATAACACGCCTAATACGTGCAGAGGACGGTTGATGGGTTGATTTATCAGAGGAGACAAGAATGAAGGATCCACGGCGAGCAGAGCCAGCGCATTCTTCGGGACTGGTGGGACAATCGACTGTGGTGGTCTGCAGCACCGTTGACGTGTTGGCAGCACTCGAACGTGGTCGCAGGACCAGATTGCTATCATCGAAGGAAAGACCACCATATCTGGTGTTCAGCTCGGTGTTGGCACTGATAGAATCCGAATTGACGATTACTGGATACAGAACAGCCAGGACCTCTTGTACATAGGTGGACTGGACGGTGAATTCTTGGAAGTTCCGAGATATGGTGCTCGCCTCCTCTAGGAATTCCACCACTGCGAATAAAAGAGAAACTTTCTGCCCTTCGCGGTCTCCCAAAGGAACATCTGTTGAAACAAGAGTGGTAAGTCAGAACATCCACATACTCAAATTAATTGTTGGAACGTACCATTAAAGTTGACCGATAACATCTTGAAACTCTTCCGATCTGGTTTTGGCATACCTGTGCTGGTTTGCGCACCAATATCACTTTTTAGAGCCGTGCTTCTCAGCCCACTCTTCAGCATTCCAGTGATCACCGGGAACATCTCAGGATTCACAATTCGAAGATCTCCGTCACTGAGAAACAGTTTTAGAAAGCCAGGGCCGTCAAACGGTCTGTCAAGGTTCAAAAGAGCAATGTCTCGACCAAATAAGATGGAAAAGCAGATGGTCCACAGTGCAGGAACGTTCCACCATCTTTTCAAGTGGTGCTCTAAGATCGTGTACCCCCCATTTTTGTCAGAGAACTTCTTACTATACCCACTGCCATGAACAACTAACAACCGAGCTAGTATCTTCGTAGCAAGGACCACGACTTCTGGTTCGTCTTCACATGACAGATAAAGTAGCCACTGCAAGCCTTGTCAGAATGGTGTTTCAAGTAGAGCGTAGCTTATAACAAACCTTGTTAGTTACCGCTTTGGCAAATTTCTTTAACGGTGTGGAGTCTAGCGGATTGCACAGCACTTCTGTATACAACCGCAACATTTCAGTTCCTTGCATGGTGGCCGAGATATGCTTTTCGGAATGGGATTTTGAAGAACCCGGTCGTGAGGGAGCCGCGACAAATCGAAGACTCTTCTTTTTCTGGAGACTAGTAGTGGGCTTTGGCATGTGAAGTGTATATGTGATGGATAAAGCAAACGACCGCAGGAGATCAGGAGACATGCCGCTCTCCATCAAAGACCGGAAAGCAGAGAGACAAGGGTTGAGCGTCTCGAGAGTTAATTCGCCGCCCTTCAGTGTCTCAATCAATTTCTTGCTGGCACGCATGCGACCAAGCCGTTTTGCGTTGAAGCGGTGATAGTTGCTGTCAGTAGCAAAGGCTCGGAATTGATTGTAGTATAGCTCGAGGACCGGTGCTTCGCCATATCGCCAAATATCCATGTCAACCAGCAAGACCCGGTAGGCGAGCGGGTTGGTGATAATAGAAAGGTTTGGGTGCTCAAAATTATATCCCACGAACTCCAGTGTCAAGCGCAGAAGATCCAAGGTAAGAGAATTTTGTTCTTCAGCACTTGAGTTGGCCACGGCAGGTTTACTAGACGAGAAGTTACCCAATTGAAAGCCTAGTTTTTCCCGCAAGAGCGCTGCAAGAATGCCATAGCCGTTTTCTCTTTCCATTGCTTCACTGTTTCTCCAATTGTCTTGGATAGCTTCATAAAGAGCTTCGACGGCCAAGCGGAGGGTTTCGGGGGAGCCAGAGGATTGAATCAAGCTTAAATGCACAGCGGCACAGCCACCAAGGCACCAACTGGCGTCGTCTAATGACCAGGGGACAGCAACCACCGGATCACCCGTTAAAATTCCGACTCCCTGGGGCTGAGTTAAGCCATCGTTGATTGCCGGAGTAGCCCCATTGATTGCAACGGCATTACCGCCGGCCTTGGTTAATTGTTGCAAGCTCTTTGCTGCCTGTCTTGATAAGCATTTTATGAGCTGTGATTCATCAACGTTGTTGCTGTCATCATCGTCAAGAACAGCAACTGGAGAAACATTAATTAATATCGAATTCTCACGAACTAAAGTGCTGGCTCGTCTCCTGATGGCTGTCACAATATCCGAAGACTCCTCCTTCCCAGGATGGAGGTGTTCGTTGCGTAGATTTAGGGTTGCAGAGGCCTTATAGGTTTGAAAAGAACCAAGACAATCCTGAAAGTTGCCATAGTAGCGGGGCCCGAGATTGTAGAAGACAGCTATCATATCATCACTAAAGGCCTCGTCGAGGAGTATCCCATTGGCCAAGGACCATCTGGACGTCGAAACTCCCTTGCCAAGACGCATTGCTAGATCCTGGGGCGTGCCAAAAAATGCTTGGATGTGAGGTGGTCTGTTCGGGTGATTACTGGTGGGAACGGAGGGGTAGTCAATCTTTAGCTGCTCCACAAATTCGCCATCTACGAACAGAAATGCTCGTGATGATGAGGTGGGCTTTGGCCGTTTGTGGACCATGCAAATATGATACCATCGACCAGGCTTGAACTTAACGGACTTGAACCGAACACTGGGGCGGAGACCACGGATTGACGTTTGAAGAATAAAGTTGTGAGTATCCTTCTCCAGGTAAGCAAGCAGGAAGCAGGTCTGGCTGGCATCGAACGCGCCAAATATCGTGGTATGTGTGTTGAGATCGAACTCATCAAACCGAACCCAGGCTGCCAAAGTATAGCCGCCCGAAGAACTTGGGGGAAATGGTCGACCCAAAGTCGCGAACTCCACAGAAGAAAAGCCATGTATAGACATGTCGAATTGTATTGCAGGAGGCTCTTTAGAAGCTTTGAGAGCAGACACAAGGAATTTCAAGACCCGTGGGTTCTGATGTGCTCGACGGTACAGAGCAACTGCGTCATCCAGGCTACTCATTCCCTGGACACTGAGAAGCCGAGCCAAATGCTGATAAAGTTCTGTCTCGTTGTCGGGCCGGCCGCTGTCGAACAGAAGTGGAAGAATGGAAGTCAGCATACCGGTGGCATGCAAAGCTACAACGTTCCTCAAGGATTGGGATGCCAATTGACAAAGACATGCGGGGATAGCAAGGCGTAGAGTACCATTGCCTGGGGAGGCAGATTGAGTCACCCACGCCCGAAGTAATGGTCCCAGAAGCTCTGCCACTTCTACAGTCTCGGCGGGTCCCATGCACTGGTCCACGGCATCCCGCAGCTGTGTTGGAGATTGGGACCTCTCAATATGTGGGAATTTCGCACTCAATGTTATAAAAATTCCCGAAACGCTCTCCTGGCACAGCGCAGCGGCCAAAACCGCACCATATATTTGGTGTGCATCATTTTCAGCCTGGCCTACTTTTCCAACAAGTACAGCCAGACTTCGCTCTAGGGCTGCCGTTCCCCCTCCGACGATCCTGCGCGCAAAGTATCGTCTATTGCCAAAATGATTCTTCAATGCCTCAGCCAAGACTCCCAGCACATCCTTGTAAATGGCTAGTAAATCTTTTCTCTCGTCCTTGGATAAAGCATTGATGTCATATAGCTCTGCTAATTGTTCGGCAACACGCAGCAGGGTCTGGAAGCCCCACAGTTGTCGGAATGCATCTTTGGCGGTTCGCGGGTGGGCATCATCAATAAAGGTATGGCGCAGACGGAGGAGAGGTTCGGTGGCTGTCAGTACCTGCGGGAAGGTAATTGGGTTGCCCACCGTTAGGGACTTTAGCTGGTCCAGCGCGGGTGCCAGCTCTTCGACTAATCGCTCAGTCGATCCGGAAGGGGAGGGAGAGAGGGGCGGCGGAGCCATGACCAAATCTTATCCACGACCGTTCCGATGGCGGGAGACCATCAGAGACCGTGAATGGACGATTGACGAGACAATTGAAGCGGTCTGCATTGGTATGGGGGGGGGTCGTGGTAAGTGGGGATCGGACCAGAGCACACTGACACACCAAAGCAGAGTGAAACACCAAAGTTGGTTCAGGACGATCCGGACCAAACAAGCCCCGATATTGCCTTGTACAGGCTACAAAAATGGATCGGCAGCCTTGGAGAGGCTCTATCGACGGCGGGGAGCCTATCAGGTGACTTTGGGGGCGTTTTGGGGCGCAGTTGCGTGTGCCAAGTTTGAGTGCTGTATTTCCGAGTATTGTTAGTCCTCTTTGGGCAGTAAAGTTACGGCATGATAAGAGCGATAGAAGATAACAGATAACTAGCAGCTAAAGTGTGGAGAACGGGGATCCCTTGTGATCAATGATCATGGTATTCATAACACTGTAGCGACTATCACTGGGGAATTTATCTAAGCCATGCATTGACATGTCTCGCGTCACCCGGATACTTACCTTGTAGAAAGCACGCGACTTCGGAGGCTGCAGTTTGCCTTGATTCGCCACGTAGATAGCTGTAAAGTCCGTGCGACCGTGGCCAACCCCCTGCCAGGTACCCGGGAAGTGCGACAAGACCCTTTTTGAGTCGGTCCGGTTCTCCATATGATAATGACTTTCTAGTTCCAGGAAAAGTAGTCTGATCATCCAGGGTAGATCATATGGCATCCAATAGAGAGCAATAGTGTATGACGAAGATGATGTGATATGGTGCGATAAGAGCATTCCCGGCTTTATCTGCTTTCCGCCTGCTCGTGTGTTACTGGGGAAAGCTGTTGTGCTTGTTACAATACATTACCGTAACGCCCACCCCCGGCCTCGCTCCCCACCCAAGATCGACAGCCAGCGCCAAATCGACAAGTCATCTGCCCCCGTATCCGTAATGTAATCGCCCGCTTGCATCATCTTCCGGGTCCCCTAGATAAGGTCACTGACTTACCTCCTCATTTCTCCTCACCTCCTCATCCTCTTCTCTTTCTCCTTCAACCTTCCTTCCAACCACCCTATATCCATCCCTCCCATCCACCCAACAGTGTCTATTATTCCTGTTCATTCTCTCCATTTCTTCTCTTGCTTCTGTCGTTAAAGTCGATTTCGCCCATCATGAAAGGCTTCCTCGGCTTATCGCTGCTGCCGCTGCTGGCAGCTGCGTCACCTATGGGAGTAGGCTCCATCCACAACGAAGCAGCTCCCATTCTCTCATCCATGACCTCTGAGGAGATTCCGGACTCTTATATCGTTGTGTTCAAGAATCATGTCGATTCATCGGTCGCAGCTGCTCACCACGATTGGGTGCAGGATATCCACTCCTCCCAGCAGCGTATGGAGCTGAAGAAGCGTTCGCTCTTCGGCTTCAACGATGATGCCTTCACAGGACTGAAGCATACTTTCCACGTCGCTGGTTCGCTCATGGGATATGCTGGTCACTTCCACGAGGATGTCATCGAGCAGGTCCGCCGGCACCCGGATGTGAGTCATTTGCCTTGAACCTCATTACAAAGTCCTCTATTAACCTGGTTTCTATTCATCTAGGTTGAATATATTGAGAAGGACTCTGAGGTCCGCATCAACTCGGAGCCTGCCCTCGAGAAGAACGCTCCTTGGGGTTTGGCCCGTATCTCTCACCGTGACAGCCTGTCATTTGGTACCTTCAACAAGTACCTGTACGCCGAGGATGGCGGTGAGGGTGTTGATGCCTACGTTATTGACACCGGTACTTACGTTGACCACGTTGACTTTGAGGGTCGTGCCACATGGGGAAAGACCATTCCCCAGGGTGATGAGGACGAGGATGGCAACGGCCACGGCACCCACTGCTCTGGTACTATTGCCGGTAAGAAGTACGGTGTTGCCAAGAAGGCCAATGTCTACGGCGTGAAGGTTCTGCGCTCCAGCGGCTCTGGTACCATGTCTGATGTCGTAAAGGGTGTTGAGTGGGCTGCTGAGGCTCACATCAAGAAGACCAAGGCTGCTAAGGACGGCAAGGCCAAGGGCTTCAAGGGCAGCGTTGCCAACATGTCCCTGGGTGGTGGTAGCTCGCGCACTTTGGATCTTGCTGTCAATGCCGCTGTCGAGGCTGGCATTCACTTTGCTGTCGCTGCTGGTAATGACAATGCTGATGCTTGCAACTACTCTCCTGCCGCTGCCGAGAACGCCGTCACAGTCGGTGCCTCCACCTTGAGTGATGAACGTGCCTACTTCTCCAACTACGGAAAGTGCACTGACATCTTTGCCCCTGGTCTGAACATTCTGTCTACTTGGATTGGCAGCAAGTACGCTGTTAACACCATCTCGGGAACCTCCATGGCCTCCCCCCACATTGCTGGTCTCCTGGCCTACTACGTCTCCCTGCAGCCCTCCTCTGACTCGGCTTACGCTGTTGCTGAGATCACCCCTAAGAAGCTCAAGGAGGCTCTCATTACTGTCGCCACTGTCGGCGCTCTCTCTGACATTCCATCTGATACTCCTAACGTAAGTCATCATTATTTGCTTCACAGACAACCTCGTATTGACTTTTTTAATAGCTCCTCGCCTGGAACGGTGGTGGTTCGTCCAACTACTCTGAGATTGTTTCCGAGGGTGGCTACGAGGTTGCCTCCGAGGCTGGTGTTGAGGAGCGTCTCAAGGAACTGCTTGGTCACGCCGAGAAGACCCTCCACCAGGAGATGGGTGCTATCTACAGCGAGATCAAGGACGCTATTTCTGCTTAAAGTAGACAATCAACAGAGCACCCGTCTGTGACGGGACTCTTCACATGGGCATATGGATGGATGGATTAACACACCGGCGCAGATCGTTTCATTTGGCTTTATCTCTTGATTTCATTTTTTCCTTTTTCGTTTTCCCTTTGGGATGGTCCAACACCACGGGGCGTCAATCCCTTCCCAACTGTCGTTCCCCGCTTGCTTGGTATCATTACCGTAGTATATTTTTTCGCTACAACGATACATTTCCGACACCATCTAGAATGTGTTTAGGGTTCATACACGTGTTTCAACAATCCTTTTTCCATTCGCTTCATGTAAACTCTCGGCCAATGGAGTGGATATAACGTAGTATTCACAACACTGCCTTGATAAGTCGCACATCACCCTGTTTCTCTAGATCCCAGCACCATTGACTCGCCTTCTCAGCCCGCTCCTGACCGAGCACAGGAATGCACTGATCGACGAATTTCTGGACTAATTGAGTATCCGTCATGGGTCGTTCCAAGCTCCCCACCGCATGACTCACATGCTTCTCAATCGTGACATTCTCCCCACTTTCATTCCTCAGAAACGCAGTAAGATGACACTCATCAGCTTTAAGATCCTCGTTTACCTTAGCTTTAATCCGGTTTCTCATCCCCACAACCCGTGAATCAGTAACGACCTCATCCTCATACTGCGCCGGTGTAGCCTTCCCAAACAACAATCCAACTGCTCCACCGTGGTAGACGCTAAATTTTCCTTCCAATCCATCCTTGGGCGCCGTTTTACCAGTCAGCTCAAGAACAAGGGGATGAACCTCTGCCTGAACTTCCACGACCTGATCGGCCGATAATCCAGCGCGATCCAGCTCTTCATGTAGCAAAATACACCCATCAATTACAGGATGCACCACAATCCCACAGGGAAATGGCTTAAACGCATTCTGCACGATCTCCCACCGTCCCTCGGGTGCAAGACTGCCGATCTGCGCATTGAGTTCATGTGAGCTGCTGACCACATTTGCCCAGCCGCGTTTTGCTTCTAGCGCCTGTGCAGAGCTAGTATAGTCCTCCTCTGCAAGGATAGCAGCTAACAGCCCGTTCTGAGCGGCTCGGCCCGGGTGGAAGGATTTCGTGTGTGAGCCGAACATCTCCCGTAGTCCTGTGACCTGTGTCGCAGCGAGACCGATTGCATGCGCTGTCTGGGTAGCGTTTAAGCCAAGAAGCTTGGAAACAGCCACTGCAGCGCCGATCGAACCGGTTGAGCTCGTGATATGCCTATTAAAGAGAGCAAATGCCGCCATAATCAGAACAATTTTCTTGTATCTTCGCGGTTCAATAAGCACGGAGTACCAGCACATACCATCCAACATCATAGTGGCTAGGCCAAACCGCCAACCCAACCTTACACTCCGCCTCCACACCCGCCACAAGCGCAGTAATAAATTCTTCCCCTGTAACTGGGCGATCCAGTGACTCGGACATTGCCAGCAATGCCGATGCTACCGGTCCAGTGGGGTGGATGATTGTATCCAGGTGTGTGTCGTCATAGTCATGCACATGGGAGGCGATGCCATTGAATAATGCGGCGTGCATCGCGTCGACATCTACGCCCTCCTCCGAGCCTAGTAGGCGGGAGGTGGCCGGTCCTGAGAACCGTGCGAGCGCTTTGCGTGCTATGCTTGTTGCGGGGTGGGCACTGCCTCCCACTGTACAGCCAGCCCAGTTGTAGAAGCTGCGGACGGCGGCGGTTCTAACTTCGCTTGGCAGGGAAGTATAGTTTAGGCTCACGGACCATTTGGCGAGGGCTAGTGTGGCCATTTTTGGATTCAATTTCCAAGATTCGATTTGGTTAAGGTGTGCAAAATTAGTGAGCTCGAAGGTCGGTGGTGCTGGGTCAATGATTGTTTTGGTGGTTGACGATCCCTCCGATATAGGAGATTTAGGTGCGGAGTGTATATATCAACGATCAATGCTTGATGGACGGCAAAGACGGCAACGGCAACGGCACCGGCCCCAAATTGTGGGGTCTTTTTGCTTGTTGGAAGTGGAGACAAGAAGCGCCTTTCCACAGCTAGTTCAAGAAATGACACGAGCAAAATCGGAATCTAGAACATGTAAGTGGAAGGTCAAGGATAGTCCGATCTTAGGCTGCTTCCCTGTCAAAGTGGTTATGGGCGATTTCAATGCACGGTCCACGAGAGTCGACCTTAGAAGCTTACGTAGTCTACGGAGGAAATCGGCAACATGGTAGTCAGAAGTCACCTTCTAAAAACTTATCGCGCTCATATTTTCCAGATGTCTCTCAAGGCTCCGGTGTCCCGAGTGATGTTGCACTTTGACAACTAAGACCCATGTTTGCTAGTTCAACGTTATACGTATTAGCCCTGGCTACCTAGGTAGTAAACATAAGCACCGGTGACCTTTCTCAAGGTTACGCCACGTGAAAAGCATCATGGTTATAATATGCGAGAGCAAAGTTAATCCATAATATTAAACTCTTGATGCGATAAAGATGTCAACCCTGATAAGCAGGTTCAACTAGCAAAATGCCCTAGACTCCGTAAAATGCATCCGTCATGGTAAACCGGAGAACGACCCGCGTTGTAAAGTTGAAAGAAAAGCCGATCTTCGCCATATATCTGTAGCCAATATGCCGACGCCGAATGCTGTGTTGAAAAAAAAGGTGGTGGCTTCGTGTCGCTGAAGTGGAGCGCGGCCAGCTGGCCTTCATAGACCCTTCTCGTCCTCGTCCTCGTCATCCTCGTCGGCATCATCCTCACTCGCAGTCAGTTGATCCATATCGGAGTCCCCTTCAGAGTCACTGCCACCGAAAGGGTCACTATCCACTTCCGAATCAGCCCAGAAGTCGGCATCATCCTTCTCCAGCTCCACGCGGGTTGTTTCCTGATCCGGCATCTTAAAATCGGGCGGAGTCATCGCTTTAGAGGCCTCGACATTCGCTATGACCCGAACACGATACTCATCTGGATCCTGTCGCAACATCACGGCCGCATCGACATTGGCGGGAGAAGAGACCTCGGCGTCGTCCAGCAAGGAGAGAATGGAGATCAGGACCGACTCTACCCGCTGAGCAGGAGACCAGCGCTCCGCAGCCAGCTCGCCCGACATCTCATCCTCGCCAGGAGGATGCAGGATGGAGATACACACTCGGCCGTCGGTGTAAATGTTGGGGTGGTAAAGAGGGAGGAGGAAGCGAAACTCTAAAGTGAGGTCTTCATCAGTTTCCGTGTCATCGATATGATCCAGCATCAACTGTATAGGGAAGGGAAAATACCGGGAGGTGAATAAGGGTAGTTCTGGGGGAAAGTCATCCGGGCTTTGAAATAGCCGCCATGATAAAGGGAGTCCTTGTTTAAGACGATGAGCGCAACATCCCATTGGTAGATGTTCTCCCTGTGTAGCTATAGATATGCAAGTTGACCGGTAAGCTTATATCGCTTGACATATAGAGACTTTGAGGAGTAGAAAGCGTTGCACTGACCTCGACGTTCAACCATTTCTCACGCGATAACGCCCGGAACTCATTCATGAGGATTCGCTCCGACATGGCGAAAGAGTGACAAGATAATTAATCAAAGCTACTTTATTTTGCTTTCACTGGTATCTTTTCGCGGCTTTCTTCTGCTGCTCGTCGCTAATAATCCACTGCGCGTCCCCGACTGTTGGAGTGGACCACCGGGAGAACCTGAGAGGGGGAGAAGAGAAGAGTGGATCGATGATGTCGAAGCGCAAAAAAGGAAAAAATTGGGGAACTGTTTTAGTCAGGCTCGTGGCGAATGGTCACACAACTGTGGCGATCGAAGTCTACGATTGCTTATTCTTTTGATTCACGTGGACTTTCTGATTCCTGCCCATTTGAGTCATATCATAGTACTTATTCGGCTTAGTAGCAGTATCAGGTGAAGTGAAGACAGATACTTTAGCCGATAACGGGTGGGGAAAGGCAAACATGCGCGATAAGCAGCGATCGGCATTTGGGGTCAGATGAGCCATCGAAGGAGTGTATGACTTCAGATCATATCAATCTGATGAACTGTCAATCCCACTCAATCGCGCTATAAGGTTATTCAGATCGACATATAATTGCATTGTTTCGGGAAATTTGGTTTTAGTTTCGGTCTCGGTTTTGCATGTAGTGGTACCTGGATCCACTACGCTGATGTAGTGGTGGTCCATGTCACCCTGTTAGAAAGCCGTTTTTCTTCCACCGCCGGCTTTGGCCCAGACCCCATTTGCCTCTTACTTCTCCTTCTCTCTTCTCTGGTGTACCTCAATTTTCGGGTTTTATAACTTCATTTATCACTTGGGATTAAAGATACTTATCCCTCCCCGCATCCTTGAGCCGTTTTCACCCCTCAACGGCCCTCGGTTCCGGACTTTTCCACCCGACCTCGCCTTTCCGCATTCGTTCGACTTTGCGATGCGAGCCTCGTCTAGTTGTCGAGCCGTGTATTGTCGCTAATTCTCTGGGGGTGGACCTTTTCTCTCACTGATTTACTATCGGGCGCATTGCATATATCTTAGTTGCGCGGTCGCAGAGCTTGAGAAAGCTGTGAACTGATCAACAATCGGCAACTGGCCCTCCAGGAGCTTTCTCCCTCGTTTTTCCTATCGTATCGCCCTATCTAATATGCTCCCACAATGTCCCGGCCCCGTCTGGGCCGTGGATGACCTGTCGCGGTGCTTCCAGCGCAAGTGAGTGGTAACGTTCCAGTTGTTTCTCATTCTTGATTTCACGTTTTGGTTTAATGCCGGCGACCGTTCCAGTACTGATCGTCGAAAATTTGATATAGCACTCTGCAAGTCACCCTTCCCCTCGCAGCATGCATCGTATCGCTGCTCCTTATCGTCACGCGTCTAGCCTATCGTTATGTGGTCTCCAGCAAAGGCGTTGCTTACAAGGTCCTCTCAAACGATGCCTCCGAAAATGAGGTTCCCAATGGCCCGGAATCCGAATCCGATCCTATGTTGTTCCAAGCGGCACAAAGTGAACTCGAACACTTGAAGCTGGAGGTGGACCGCCCTCGTGGAGAGATCGTGGTCGTCGCGCTGGAGATTGCCGCACTCGTCGGTCAAGTCGCACTCTATGTGGTGATTCTGTCGACTAGTGGTTGGGGCCGTCATGGTACTATGCCTGCGATCGCCGGCCTGGTTTCCTGGGGCTATATTCTCTTCTTGGTTCTGGTGCGACTTTTACTGTCGACTATGGATATTTCCTCCGCCCCGAGACTTTGGAATCACACGGCGGCGTTGTACGGCCTGCAATGGCTCTTCAACATCATGGTATTCCGATCTGCCGTCATTCATCCGCTATCGAAAAACGCCCTCATTCTCAGCAGCATTGGATTCGCGCTGAGCACATTGCTTCTCTTGATCGCGCTTACTACTCGCCGTGGCAACAAGCCCGTTCTAGTTGAGCGCGAGGACGGATTAGAACCTCCGCGTCATCCAATGGCGAGTCTTCTATCCTTGGCCACCTACTCCTGGCTGGATCCACTTATCATGAAGGGCTACCGGCAACCGCTAGATATCAACGATGTGTGGAACTTGACTCCTCAGCAAAAGGCGGCCGCGGTTGTGACCGATTTTCGAAAGCGGCAGATGAAGGGCTCTTTGGCGTGGAAGCTCATCCGATACTTCTTCGGGACCATCTTGAAGCAAGGCCTCTGGACAATTTTCGCCAATCTCTTCGTCTTCGTTCCTAGTCTACTTCTGAAAGCAATTCTCGAATATGTCGAAGACCCTCGCTCGACAACCCCCAATGCGGCTTGGCTATATGCGATTCTCCTATTCTGCTCTGCCATTGTTCAAGGTGTGGCAGATGGTCAGGCGCTCTACATCGGTCGTAAGATGGGTGTCAAGATCCGTGCTATCATCATTGGTGAGATTTACGCCAAAGCCCTCCGGCGCAAGGCTGGTGCGTCCACGGACGTTGCCCGTAAAGCACTCGAGGAGCACGAGGCACCCAAGGACACCAAGAAGAAGAAGAACCGGATCTTCTCGTTCGGTCAGAAGAAGAAGTCTGCTGATGAGAACGATGCCGAGAATGGTGCCAAGCCCGAGTCTAAAGTGGAGGAAGCCGCTTCGCAGGCTAACGTTGGTACCATTATCAACTTGATGGCCATTGACTCTTTCAAGGTCAGCGAAGTTGGTGCTTACCTCCATTTCCTGTGGGCCAGTGTGCCGGTGCAGATTGGAATGGCCATTTTTCTCTTATACAAGATCATGGGCTATAGCTCGTTTGCTGGTATCGTGCTGATGGCTTTGATGCTTCCAGTGAATCTCTTCATTGCCCGACAATTCAACCGCGTTCAAAACCAGATCCTCAAGGGCACCGATGCGCGTATCCATGCCACCAATGAAGTGCTCCAGAATATCCGGATCATCAAGTATTTTGCTTGGGAACAGCGTTTCCAGGATATTGTCAATGACAAGCGCCGGGCCGAATTGAAGTCGTTGCGACGTCGCTACATCCTGTGGTCTTGTGCTGCTACGGTCTGGTATGGCACTCCCATCTTGATTACTTTCCTCTCGTTCTTCCTATACACAGTTGTCGAGAAAAAGCAATTGGTTCCTTCGATTGCCTTCCCCGCCTTGTCCATGTTCTCGCTGCTGCGTGTCCCCTTGGATCAATTGGCGGATATGGTGGCCCACGTTCAGGAGTCCAAGGTCTCCCTCGATCGTGTGGACGAATACCTCAACGAGGAGGAGACTGAGAAATACGATCAACTACGTGATAGTCTCCTGGATGGCCCAACTCAGATCGGACTGGAAAAGGCGACCCTCACTTGGGGAACCTCCAAGCCTAACCCCAAACAATCCTCTTCATCTCCTGAAAATGGTGCCGACGCCTTCCGCTTGATTAATGTGGACGTCAATTTCCCGCTTGGTCGTCTAAGCATCATCGCCGGACCCACCGGCTCTGGCAAGACGTCCCTGCTCATGGCATTGCTTGGCGAAATGAGACTCATTCAGGGTCGCGTCCATCTGCCTGGTGGCATGGCAAATCGTGCTGACCTTCCGGTTGACCCCGAAACTGGCCTGATTGACAGCATCGCCTACTGCGCCCAAGAAGCATGGTTAGTGAACGACACCGTGAAGGAGAACATTATTTTCGCTTCCCCACCCGACGAGAAGCGCTACCGCGCAGTTCTGAAAGCGTGTGCCTTGGAACGTGATATTGCTATTCTTGATGCCGGTGACCAAACTCTGGTTGGCGAAAAGGGAATCAGTCTGTCGGGTGGACAGAAGCAGAGAATCTCTCTTGCCCGAGCCATCTACAGCAGTGCCCGCCACTTGCTGCTGGATGACTGTCTCTCCGCTGTCGACTCTCATACTGCTAAGCACATCTTCCGCCAGGCCCTGACCGGCCCCTTGATGATCAATCGTACTTGCATTTTAGTGACCCACAACGTTTCTCTCACCGTTCCCCAGGCTGAGCATGTGGTTGTCCTTGATAATGGAAAGATCAGCGCCCAGGGCAAACCTGATGACGTTGCTGCTACCGGCGCCCTTGGTGATGAGTTCTTGAAGTCTCGGCCAGCCTCGCGTGCTAGCTCACGCGGCTTATCTCGTGTTCCATCAGATGTCGACCTCGAAGACGAAACCACTGCTGCAATCGGGTCAACTAACGGCACGGCGGACAAGTCTCAAAAGGACGGACAGACCGTATTGAAGGAATCAATGGCTACTGGTAGTGTCAAGTGGTCAACAGTTACTATGTATCTGGGTTCAATGGGATCATGGTACTATTGGGTTATGGCTGTTGTGGTATTCTGTCTACAGCAGCTGGGCTCGGTTTCAACTAATCTCTGGATCCGACAATGGGCGAATGCCTACCAAACTTCTAGCGTGGGATCCAAAGATGATGCCGGTACTTACGCTGCTGTTGCTCACCTTAAGCCTCCAACTTTCAATGTCGGCAGTGTTTCCAAAATGAGCACATATGTACCCCCACAACTATCATCTAGCATCGGCCCCACCACCCCTGATGGCGATGTCAATGTGATGTTCTACTTGGTAGTGTATGCTCTGTTGGGTATTGGTTACATCTTGATCTCTTTGAGTCGCGAAGCTGTACTGTTCTGGGGTTCTCTCCACGCATCATGGAAGATCCATGACCGTCTTCTCAAGACTGTCATGCATGCCAAGTTCCGTTTCTTTGACTCTACACCACTTGGCCAGCTCATGAATCGATTCTCCAAGGACGTTGAGGCGGTTGACCAGGAAGTTGCACCTGTGGCAATAGGTATGCTGCACAGTCTTGCTTCGGTCATCATGATTGTCATCCTGATTTCTATCATCACTCCGGGATTTTTGATTGCGGGCATATTCATCACTTTGGTGTACACTGCATTGGGTGCCATCTACTTGAACTCTTCCCGTGACCTCAAGCGTTTGGAGTCTGTGCAGCGGAGCCCCCTGTACCAACAATTTGGCGAGACTTTGAATGGTATTGTCACCATTCGTGCTTACGGTGACGGCCCTCGGTTCATTATCGACAATCACCGCCGCATCAATGCCTACAACCGACCTCACATCTATCTCTGGGCTGCCAATCGCTGGCTTGCCCTTCGAGTTGACTGGACTGGTGCTCTGGTCTCGTTCTTCGCCGCGACCTTTGTCCTGATCAACGTCGGCAATATCGATGCCGGTGCCGCTGGTCTTTCTCTGACTTACGCCGTCACCTTCACTGAGAACGTGCTGTGGCTTGTTCGCCTCTACTCGGAGGTTCAGCAAAACATGAACTCGGTCGAGCGAGTACGAGAGTATCTAGAGGTTGACCAAGAAGCCGCTCCCGTTATCCCGGAGTCTCGTCCGGCAAAGGGATGGCCGGTTGAAGGTGCTGTGGAGTTCTCTGGCTACAGTACCCGTTACCGCCCTGATCTGGATGCGGTGCTTAAGGAGGTCTCTTTCTCTGTCAAGGCCGGTGAGAAGGTCGGCATCGTTGGTCGCACAGGTGCTGGTAAAAGTTCACTCGCCCTTGCTCTCTTCCGCGGATTGGAGGCTGAGAAGGGTAAGATCCTCATCGACGGTGTCGATATTGGTGCAATTGGTCTGCGTGATCTCCGTGAAGCCATCACAATCGTACCTCAAGACCCCACTTTGTTCACAGGAACCATTCGCAGCAATCTCGATCCGTTCGGTCTGTTCACCGACGAGGAGATCTTCACTGCGCTCCGCCGCGTGCATCTGATCGGTTCTCCGTCAGGATCTACAACTCCACTGACCGGAACCACGTTCAACGCAACCGAAGGCAATGGTGTTGTCGATGCTGGTGCCAACGGCAGCGCCGTGACAGTCGTCGACAATAAGAATGTCTTCCACAACTTGGAAAGCTTGGTCTCGGAGTCTGGATCTAACTTGTCTCAAGGCCAGCGACAGCTGCTGTGTCTTGCCCGCGCACTCCTCAAGAAACCGCGCGTTCTCATGATGGATGAAGCCACCGCATCCATCGACTATGCCACCGACGCAAAGATCCAGGAGACTCTTCGTGAACTCCACGATAGCACAATCATCACCATTGCCCATCGTCTGCAGACTATTATCGACTACGATAAGGTTTTGGTTCTTGATCATGGTAAAGTGATCGAGTACGACCACCCCTGGACCTTGATCAACAGTGAGGATGGCCTATTCCGCGGCATGTGTGAGAACAGCGGGAATATGGACGTGCTTCTCGATGGTGCGAAGCGTGCCTGGGTCCAAAAGCGCCTGGTCGATGACTCCTAAGTAGTTTCTCTTCCTTTCCTATTACTCGCGTACATATTCACTGTTCTTATCCTTCACACTTTTTGCCTTCTTGTCTATGGTCATGCCTCTTGTCTGTCACTTCTTTTGGACGGAGACGACATTGCAAAAAAGATTTCTTAATTTTCACAATTTCTGTTTATGGGTGGCTCTTGTGTCAAACTGATTGTTTTTGATCCTCATCGTTAGGTATTTGGCTTATCCTTGAACCTCATGGCGTCCTAAGACATTTTTTACATATACAAATCATTATTATTCCATTTTGCATATTGTGCTTTAGACTTTTCAAAACCGAGTCGTGTGGTTAGATCCTCCTGCTCCCCTTTTCCATTGCTCTTCAAGGTGGAATTTGACGTCATTTTCAGGGGTGAAACAATGATGAATCCCGAGGTCTGTTCAAGTCATTGACGTCCAAAATGGGAGGCATCAATCGATCAATTGACCTCAATCATCAACTATGACAAGTGCATTAAATCCCGGGTTCCAAGGTTTGTTCACGAAATGTGACTATGGGAGATGGCTAGAATCAAACTTTGGTATAAATTTATTTGAGTTTTTTTTTTTTTTTTTTTGGATAACTTCGTATTCTTATTTGGACAAAGTGGCCTAGATTTCTGTGTACAAATGTAAAGCCAGTATAGATAGAGCCACCGATGGCGACTAGTCAGGATGATTTCCAAGTCTCCGGGCCAGACAGAGAAGACTTTCGCTAGGAAGCGAGACTATGTGTTGTGCATGTGCAGCCCTCGGATTCGTAATTGGATATACGAATACGCCAGCTGCTTTACGACAAGGTGGGTCACACCTTGGTAGACAGTGTGCGGAGTACAGATCGCAACACCGGTCAATCGATAGATCTTTCAAGTGAGATTCGCTCATAAAATCTGCTTAATTGTGCCTGTAACGGTAGCCTTCAGGTGTCCCCAAGTAGACAGTTGTATATTCTCACAAGACAGGTCTCGAAGAAGGGTAACATCACAATTATGTCAATGTGTCGGATGCTGGTGCTACCGAGCTAGGCTGACATCAAATGTGGGCCCCGTGCTACCTGCTGCCTGATTATGGGACCCATCTGGTTTGCAGCCAGTGGATAGATGAAATCTTCACGGCGCGAGGGGCAAGTAGCTAGCACTCCATTGCAGGAGCCGCGGTTGATTTCTTTCTGTCTTCCCGTGTCGAGATAGGTAAAACCTATTTTTATTTGTGCCGGGAGGGGGCTGGGAAGATAACCACCCTTCACGACCAACGGAGCAAGGCAGGCGAGATTCCAGATCATAGGGCAGCAGAAGGTTTCCAGCGGTGTGCGGGGAAGCTTATGCAGGTGGTGCAGCTGGAAGGGGTAATTTGGTTTCGGGAGGATTTAGCATGTTTCTGTTATCGCAGATCGCGAAGCCCAATGAAATGCCAGGACCACAAGCGAAGGAGAAAAAGAAAGGAAAGAAACGCGACCGAGCGTTTCCACTTGGCATTCCTCAGCGTTGATGACGTACACCGCGGACCACAGTGGCAATGCACAGGATAGCAGCGATGAAGAGCAAGAACATCATGGATGGTATAATTGGGGGTGTAGCGATGAGGATTGGGGCTTCAGAGATGACCCAGTCGATTCGAAGAGCCTGGCTAATCACAGGGCCGTTCTGAATTTCATGCGCAGTACGTGGAGAATACGAGCTCTCCAGCGACTGGTCCAGCTCGGCACTCGACTCCCGATCAGGAAGAATAAGCATCCGTGCACGAGCAGTGTCGATCGTTGTAACATCCGGCGTGTCGATTGACTGCTGAGGTTGATCATGTGCCTGATTTTGGTGCACAGGTGTTTCGCTTCCTTTTTCGGATGCCGCCGCGCCGGTGAAGCCAGCTTCGCGGAGGGCAGTCAGTCTTTCGGCAATTTCATCGTTGTCGGGCATGGTTTCGGGAAAGTAGTAGGGAGTTCTTTGGGGGAAATCATGAGCTTCCGCGTTCTTGTTGGCTGATTGGGCAGATACCCGAGACAAATCGGTGGACTCCCCCGCTGATTGTGGTACGGAGGAGTCTCGGACGCTTGGGATTGAGAACGATGGAATAGCTGCCGATGTGGCGAAGCTGCTGAATGCCAGCAATAGAGGTAGGAAGGCGAGCATTTTGATCCGGGAGCTTGGTGTATACAGTTGAGAACGGGTCAATTGCACTGATAACGACTGATAAGAAAGAAAGTTGATCACATCACTGGCAATATGGGGAAGTTGAGGTGAGAAGAGCCAAAAAATAATAATTTAAGTCGTGAAGGAAGTGACCTATGATATGTGCAAAGATTGGAATCAATATAGTGAACGGAAGAGGGGAAAGAAAGGAAAGAAAAAAAAGATAACGAATGTGATTCGGATGCGGCGGGAGCTTCTGGCCAAGCGGGTCTGAGCTTAGTTTGCATTAATCCACTTTGCACTAACTGTGGATTCCTTTATGAAGTAAATATTTGAGCCCAAAATATGATTCTATTTTCCCTTCAGCCTCAAGTTGACCCGCTGTTGTCTGCACAAGAAAACGCGCCAGAAATCTGTCCATCGCGATAGGCCTCGTTGATCTGGACAATGACCCCATAGGTACCCCCGACCGCCATGAACGCCCCCAAAAAGATCAGAAAAACATGGAATCCATACATTATCTTGCGCAACAAAGAGCCCTTCCAGTAATCAGCATGACTGTACAGCCATAGCCAACCAGGCAAACTAATTGCCAGAGGTGCGAAACAAAGTGCGCCCACGAGAGCGAGCACGTAATTGAAGATAGGGATGGCGCATGCAAGGATGAAGGAAATGGCTGCCATGCTGGTTGTGCAGCCCAGCCAGGTGCCCCAATGCACGGCGGTATTAGCCTGCAGATGACGCGAGGTACGTAAGATTCGTACAAACAAATATTTCGCCGCGACATGCACATACAAACACCCGCTAATAATGAGACCAGGCAGAGCAACACCATACGCTACTCGCTTGACCGTGGTACCGGCGCTACCGAGTGAGGGCGATGCGATCCATTTACCACACCAGGCATATATGACAAGACTGAATGTGAGGTACGATGCAGTCACAAGACTCATGCTGAGGTAGACTGCTTTGGGGTAGTCCTTGGGCTTGCGCATCTCCGAGATGACGGGGAGAAATGCGGAGGTTGCAGCGCTAGAGACGAAGATGGTCGCGGCGGCGGTGATACCAGTCGTGAAGCTCGGGTCGCCAATGACCCTGTATCCCAGGTCAAAATCGCCCGTCTGGGGCGCAGCAGCAGGGCGATCTCTCGTGGTCACGCCGATACTATTATTGGTGAGCAAAAGCGAGAAAAAAAGGGGCAATGAACGAAACCTACACAATGATGAAGACAGCAATATAGACGCTAGCAAATCCGGCCCAAGTGAGCCAGCCAATGTGCGAAAACTTGCGCACACTCGCACAGGCAGCAATGACGATTGTGCCAATAAAGGAGAACCAGACCGTGCAAATGGCATGCAACGACAAGGCATTGAGCGCGGTGGAGACACCGATGATACCAGACGCAGCGACAATAACATAGCTGACCGTAAACAAAAACCCGACCACTTCCTTCAGGAGCGGACCCCCCACAACATGCGCCATATCGGCGATGGAGTGGCAGCCTGGGTGGGCATTGCGAAAATTGCCCTGCACAATAGCGCAGTATGTGTTGAGAAGTGTCCAACCTATAACATTGAGCGCACCCGGGAGAGCTCCCAGTTCATACATTAAGGATGGAATGGAAAGTACACCAGTAGCGAAGATGACTAGCAACAGAAAAATACAACTGTTAGTAATCCACATGTGCTTCTATGTGGGTATGGTATATAACTCACTTTTCAAAAAGATCACGCCTGCCCGAATCCAGCTTACAGTACGAAAGTCGACCTGGCCATCACCTCTCTTAAAGACCTCATTCTGATCCTCCATCTCTGCCTTCTGTGTATCATGATAGGAGTCATCTGCCAAATTCGAGGCATCCTTGATGTCATCCGCAAAGTCTGTCATGACTGAATGTGAGAGCTAGGAAGCTATGGCACAAACCAAATCTCCAAAATCGACCTCCAAAAGCTTCTGAAGGAGAATATATAGGCAGCAAGCGGCACACCAAGGGGCTTATCTCGGGCCCCCGGCTGGTCCATGCATGGCAGGATCATTTCCTGTTTCCGTGGCCTTGCAGTAGGTTCAGGGTATGGGTTTCCGATACTCTGGAGCTACTAGAGTAACGATAACGGGATTGAAGAAGTGGATTGGCTCCACTACTTCCCCACGAATTCGTATTATCTGATAACAAGCACATTGGTTCAAGCTAACGGATGGCCTGGAGTCATTTGTTGGAGAGTTCGTCGGAGTAGGTTCCGGCTTAATGGCCAAAATTGGTTAAGCGTCGGGGTAGAACATTCCAGTGCTAGAGTACGATGTGGCTGGAGACAGGAGATAAGGCTGTACAAGGCAGTGGAAAATGTCACTTATGCAGATTGTGATATTCACTAGGTAAAGGGGTTGGAGAAAGCCGTTGGGGTCATGGAACTATACTGATAGGATAATACGAGATGTAAGATTCTGATATTGATTCAATTAGAAATAGAAATAATGACATAGCAATCAACTATTCAGCATCGCCCCCACAGGAGCTGGCATCAGAGCCCCTGGAGGAGGAGCATTCTTCTTCTTGAACTCGTCGCAGACCTGCTCCATCGTGACAAACTCTACACCGTCATGCTTCTTGAAATGCTCAATGAGCCTAATCTTGATTAGTCTCAGTCCGTATAGACTTGATCTGAAACACTCACCTCTCATGCATCAAAAGCACATGTGGTCGACCAGAGACATCCGGATGGATTGTGATCGGGAAAATGAACTCATCATACTCTCGATAGAAATAGTCGAAATGATCACGCCAGATATCCTCCACATCCCGCGGATTGACGAAACCGTGACTGTTCGGTGCAGATTTGATGAACATCATTGGTGGCAGATCATCAATGTACCAGTTAGATGGAATCTCCACTAGTCCCGTCTGGGGACCATGCTCAAGTGGCTTCATCCAGGTCTCAGCCTTCTGCTTGTAATCGATGTTGGTCCAAGTGTCGCCCGTTCGCAGATAGTATGCCTGGCAATCTTCGTGACTCATGCTGTGGTCGTACTCGATGCCATAGTCAAGAAGTAACTGGGCACCCTCTCTGCTGGTTTCCCACCTGTATTTCGTCAATGTTAAGGTAGAGCCATAAGACGTAGATTGGAGTCTACATACCAAGGCGCTACGCTTCCTCTTGGGGGCTTTCCCGCAAACTCAGTGAGCATACGGTATGTTTTGTCAAGCACATCACGCTGTTGCTCAATGCTCATATCTGTTGGGTTCTCGTGCGAGTAACCATGCAGTCCGATTTCGTGTCCTGCATCTCGGACAGCTGCCATGTCCTCTGGGAAAGTCTCTAGTGAATGGCCAGGGATGAACCATGTTGTCTTAATGTTGTACTTGCTGAAAAGCTTCAGTAGACGTCTCGTTCCAATAGTACCCGCCCACATTCCTAGTTATCTGGTTAGGGGATGTTTTGATATTTGTCAAGGACCAACTTACCCCGACTAATGTCGTTGGTCGAATCCTCGCCGCCGTACGAGCCAAGCCATCCAGCGACAGCATCGACATCAACTCCATAGGTGATAAGAACTCGCTTGGGGCCCATTGTGTGTGGTTAGTTGCAAGACGCAGTGATGTGAATGTGATAGACTCTTTCTTGTACTGATCAACATGCGGGGAACATAAAAAGTACCCCTCTTGGAGTTGTCGGGGTCATTGCAATATTAGTGACCAGCCGATCGTCATATCATGAAACTTAGATAACATTATCACATTCAACAAGTAATCTGAATTAGTTATTTGACATCCCGCCTATTTTCTACCATTTTCATATCATATCATCGTCTCTTGGAGGTGGATAGCTGGTGTGGGTCGTGTCTGGAGTCGATTTGGGGTCGATTTGGAGTCGCTCGACGGTCGGCAAAACGGTCGCCAGGGACCCAGATTCATTGGGCAAAGGACTACTCCGTCTTGGAGAAGGAACATGTCGTCGGAGGGCGCCGGTCATGAAAATGAAAATCCTGGGGGCTCTATCATAAAATCTTCATTAATCCAAAGAATTTCCGTTTCACCATTCAGAGTGCCCGTCCACCATGTCCGTTCTTTTCACCAGTATATCAGAGTAAGTATTTCCGCCGAGATAACGTAGATACCGCAATATTTTATTGTTGATTTATAATACATCAAACTAACCACTCGGACTCAGGAATAACCCTGTCAAGCCAGGAGATGCTGAGGCTCTCATAGAGCACCTAGGCCTTACGATCGATCCTTCGGAATCGGATGATTTTCAAACGTTGTTAGCAGCGGTCCATGACTGCGCAGAAGGTGTCGCGGCCCTGCCAGATTATCAGCCGATCCCTGATCAGCTCAAGTATCCGCGAGAGAACATTCGTCGACCAAGTAAAGAAGAGCAGGTGTTTGGCCAAGCCTGGGCCCATCGGTTTCTTATCCGAGGAAAGGAAGGAGGCGTGTTGACTGGCAAATCAGTCAGTCTTAAGGATGTCATTGCAGTAGCTGAAGTACCTCAGCTATTGGGTAGCGATATCATTCCATCATGGACGCCTTCGACAGATGCGACCGTGGTGACACGACTTCTTGAGGCCGGGGCTGATATTCATGGGACATCAACATGTGAAAATCATTGCCATTCTACATCCTCATATACTAGTGCTCAAGGCACTATTGAGAATCCTCACGCGACAGGGTACTCAGCTGGAGGTAGCACGTCAGGGGGCGCTGCTCTGGTCGCAGCGGAGCTAGTCGACATTACCATTGGAGGTGACCAGGGGGGGAGTATCAGGGTCCCAGCTTCATTTTGTGGATGTAAGTTCAAACCTCGTGAACTGCTTTGATCCCTCTCTCTAATAAACAATAGGTGTTGGCTTGAAGCCAACATTCGGACGTGTTCCCTTTACTGGAGTTTCCAGTGGTGATGCCATAAATGATCATGTCGGCCCATTGGCTCGCACAACGATGGAAGTGGCAACATGTCTAGATACCATCAGTGGATACGACGGCATTGACGATAGATCGCTGGGCAGTTCGAAGCCAGGCTCAACCAGCTTTGCAACCAGCATCAAGGGCACAGAGAGACTTGATGGACTGCGGATTGGAATTCTCAAAGAAGGATTTGAGCACGATGCCGTATCATCAAGTGTCCGACACTCGGTGCTGACTGCTGCCAAGAAACTCGAAGATTTGGGCGCAACTATCGAAGAAATTTCTCTCCCAGACCATTTGCATGGGCCAGCAATCTGGACCATCCAACAGCGAATGGCCGGTGCACAGACATTACTGGGTCAAAATACCGGGCGACGTGGCCTGTACATGACGGAGATGGAGCAGGCCCGATTACCTTGGACAGATGAAGGCTTCCAACGAGCCTTCCCATCCACAAAGAATGTGATTATCAATGGCCTGTATTTGATGTCTCGCTTCCCGGGTCTTTATGGAAAAACTGCCAATATTGGGCGGCAGTTGAGTGACAAGTACCAGGCGTTGTTTGAGAAGTTTGATGCAATTGTCATGCCCACAACGCCGGTCGTGGCTCCCAAGCATGGAAAGCGTGGCCAGCCAGTGGAGTCACTTAAGCCAAGTATGGGGCTAACAATCAATACTGCAATTTTCAATGTGACAGGACACCCCGCATTGTCAATTCCAATTGGATTTGCACCTGCCAAGGAAGATGATCAGGTCATGCTACCTGTTGGTATGCAGATTGTTGGTGGGTTGTGGCAGGAAGAGAAAGTGTTGCGAGTTGGACATGTTTGGGAGACTCACTACGACTGGAAGAAGATGCAGTTCACGACTGATCAGAACTAGGCATGCACTGTGGATTTAGCGTTTGATCAGGTCCTACACTATTTCACTGAAATAGCCCTCTTTGAAAGAGTATTTACATAAGTACAAGTGTGCTAGCAGCCTCAATGGGCGGAGACCCCGCTTGAATGAATATTAGGTTATGGTGTGATCATTTCACAAATTTAGACTGTGATATAACCTCCGTCAACAACCATGGCATGTCCCTGGACAAATGAAGCTTGTGTCGAACACAGAAATAGGACAGCGTCAGCTACTTCGGCTGGTTTCCCCATTCGCTGCATTGGAGCAATGTTTGCTGCCGGAGTAATCGCCTCCCTTACTTCCGCCTTCTCCATAACCAAAGGGGTTTCAATTACACCCGGGCATACACAGTTCACTCGAATTCCATTCCTCGAGTAATCGATCGCATCGGCACGGGTCAATCCAATGATTGCAGATTTTGACGCACAATACGCCGCTATATGAATTCACCGTCAGCCACTCAGTGTATTTTGACTGCAAGGCTCACTTACGCGCATTTGGACGGCTGACAATCCCCAACTGGCTGGCGATGTTAACGACGGCACCACGTTGTGCAGGGCGAGTAGGGTCATGACTGGGAAGCGGATCTTGTTCAAGCATCTGCTTGAGCTGTGCACGGGAAGACAGCCAACATCCTCGATAATTAATGTTGTTTACTCGGTCAAATTCTGCGAGACTGGTTTCACTCGATCGCATAGGCACACCAAGTACGCCGGCACAGTTCACAGCATAATCAACGCGACCGAATGCTTTCGCAACTTTTGATACGAAGGACTCGGCAAACTGATCATCTGCTACATTTCCAGGCTGAGCCATCAACTGGACCTTGGGATAAGCTATGGCAATGGCGTCCCTGGTCTTCTCTAGAGTCTCTTCATTCACATCTGTGATTGCGATCCTCTTACATCCTGCTACTGCGAACGCATGAGCTACTGCTGCCCCGATTCCTGTGAACATGGTATCGTTAGTAAGGATATATATCTGACAGATCCCTTTGCTCGGGTTCAAAGGTAAGCATACCAGTTCCCCCCGCTCCAGTGATGACAGCCACGCCGGGGAAAAAAGTCTTGTTCAGCATTGGCAAACCTGAAAAGAGGTCAAGAAAAGTCGAATCCTGCTTCTATCAGTTTACAGTACTCCGTACTTGTATACACGATGGATGATAAGATATATGTGGAGACGCAATGGAAGCGGTGATAAGAAGTGGGGCAAATTGGAGTCACCGCTTGGAGAAATATGAGGAAAGTACCATTTCCCCCGAAACTTCCGACGAACCCGAGTCCACTTTCGCAGTCTCCAAGTACTCCGACATGACATCCCCATCGCCATCCCCCCAGATTAAAGGCCGAGCAAAAGCACGGATCTGTAGTCATTGCGGTCGAGGCTTTCGCCGGACTGAGCATTTGGAGCGCCATGTCCGAACTCGTAAGCGGCCCCATTGGAGTCTAGTACCTCGTGGCGAGACTGACCGCAAGCTGTAGACACCAAAGAGAAACCGTTCATCTGCTTCTGTGGGTCTGCCTTTACTAGGCGCGATCTATTGAAGCGACATAATCGAATTACTCACCAAGATACTCTCGCCTCCCCTGATTCACAACCTGCAGCTGTTGTGAAGGATCTCCAAGGACCCCACACTGTGACACCTGCAGCCCCTCCGCAGCAATATGATGCACCCACCCGTCCAGTAGGGTCAATTTCGGGGCCGTCCCCGGTGCATCAGTGGCCAGCACCTCCAAACGATCATGTGTCATATCTATCACAAAGTCAGGCGGGCGGCATGATGCCTGGCCATGCTAATGCCCCCTCGGCGCCAAACGGCCACCCCGGCATGCATGACCCGGCTATGCTCCAAGCAGCACAATTACTTCTTCCTGGCGATTATCAGACCACTGGTGCGATTTATGATACATCACATCCATTTATGGATGCAACTGCTGACAATCCGCCAGCACTACCTTACTTGCCAGAAGATCTCAATCATTTTCAAGAATTCACTCACTTTTTAGATTCCATTGGTCTTCCAGCAGAATGGCTACCTGCTGAAGGTGAAGCTGCTCAAATACAGGAAATTGGTCTTGAAGATGTGTCAAGGCCTAGTCAACCACCCCAAGAGCAACCAAGACCTCGAGGGCACACCCGAGAAGAGTCGCGTGGCGATTCTCCTTTTCGGTCATGGCTACCATCAGTGCCGAGGGGTGATCAAAGCTTAACCACAATTTCGGACACAGGTGTGCTTTGAATTTTTATGTTTGCTGTATCGACTGGAGACTGACAGTATCCAGAGCCGCCGCATGCCACCAAGTCCTCGGGTTTCAATGTCTCTGAGGACCAACGATTTCGACTGGCTGCTTCCCTCGAAGACTTTCGAAATGTCATCCCAGATTTTACCCTTCCATCTCGCCACACTTTGACCCGTTATCTCACGTCGTACTTTGAAGGATTCCAGCCTCATATTCCTTTTATACACATCCCGACCTTTCGCTTCAATGAGTGTTCTCCAGAATTAATATTGGCGATGATGACGATCGGAGCCCAATATCGATTTGAGCACCGAACCGCCGAGAAAATATTCCACGTATCCAAAGCAGTTTTGTATGAGCGCATGTCAAGAGAGTCGAGAATTGCAGCTCAGGGGTATTCGGTACCATTAGGAAGACCTCCATACTCGGAATCGAGAGAGGGCCAGCCCAGGAACGCGTTAGTAGCCAGCTCCTCGAGACAGATGGAGGTCATTCGTTGTCTCCTTGTTCTTATGGGCTATGCCACCTGGGAACGAGCCGGGCTAGTACAGGAAGCACTTCAGCTTCAATCTCAACTCGTGCAAATGCTTCGCGAGGCTACTTTGACTGAACCACAGTCTGACCCACACGCCTCATCGACAGACTGGTACGAATGGGCCGATCAAGAGTCAGTCCGACGTACAAAACTCATCTCATTTTGCTTCATACACATACATAGCATCGCATATAATGCCTACCCGTCGCTCAGGAGTAGCGAAATCCACATGCGACTACCCTGCTCTACGAAGGAATGGATAGCGCAAAATGCGACCGAATGGGAGGCTGCTCAGCGTGAACGAGGGCCTCAGCAACTTTTCTTTCAGGATGCCTTGACACTTTTACTGCAAAAGTCACGACCGGCAGTACCACTCGACCCTATTCCTTCGCCTCTGGGAAACTACATGCTTCTCCATGGCCTACTCCAGCGAATTCATATCGTGAGCGAGTTGTCGTTACCCAATGGAAATCACTCCACTTCTCTTCCAACTGAGGAGTTGAACAAAATTGAGCGGGCTCTTCGCTCATGGACATCCGTTTGGCAACAAGCCCCCGAGTCAAGCCTGGACCCACAGAATGCGAATGGCCCTATCCCATTCACGTCAAGTGCACTTTTAGGCCTTGCTTATGTTCGATTATCTTTAAATCTTGGTCCATACCGACGTCTCGAAACACGAGACCCATTAGTTATAGCCTCCGCCCTTTACCGATCCCCGAAGCCAGAAAGAAGCTACCGCCTCATCCCGGCATTGATATATGCAGCCCATGCTCTCAGCATTCCGGTGCGGTTGGGAATCGATCATATCGCTCGCAGTCAAGCATTCTTTTGGAGTGTGCGCCACTCACTGGCTAGTCTGGAATGTGCTGTCCTATTAAGTAAATGGCTTTTCACACTTGCTGAAGCTGCCCCGGACCAGGCACTCAGTGGTAGGCTTTCCCAATCTTTTCAGTGAAGAAAGTTCTGAGTTGCTAACAATCTAACAGAAAATGAAAGTCGAATCCTTCGGTGGACACAATGTATTGTGGAAGAGGCCTTTTCTTCTATAGACCTGGATGATGAATCCGATGCCCCACCCAACTTAGAGCCGGCATCTTTGGGAATGGCCGTTCTTAGATTGTGGGCAAGGTTATTCAAGCGAAATGCACAGTGGCCATTTATAAATATCCTTGGCCAGAGCTTGGAGAGATACATGTCTATGATTTGAACGTTTCTATATACATATCTATTACCTGGGCGGGATACCAGGACGTCCTTCTTACGAATACCCAAATGCTTTTTTTTTTGATTTAGGTCATGTTCGAGTCCCTTGAAATACTTCAAGTTAATGAGTCTTTCATAAAATAATCCCCATTAGCTCCATCACACGTGGCCTTTCTCGTGGTTCTTTGATGGCGTCACATAGTCATTACGTTGATTCCTGTAAGGTTACAAACCTAAATAAATGACTAGGCCTGTTAGGGCCAAGAGCGATTCACTTTATCACCCCCATTTATTTTTTTCTCCTCCCCGTTAATGAACATCTTAACATTACAGAAAGAAAATTGCCCGTTCTCAATATGCAACCACAAGGGACTATGGGGCTCCCTACGTTGGCAGTTGATCAGCTTCGCCTTATAGATGGTGAAAAGCTTTCCACCTCTGGAGCCGGTTTCAGATTCCAATTATGATACCCAAGGACTGCAGGTCTTTCCTTAGTGATATTGACACATCGATCTCCAACTCAGATAGATTACATGAGACTTCGTTGCAACAGCGTCTCATTTTCCTTCTTGCTGCTGTCTATTCTACTGCTCCTGAAGACCCTTGCTTCCCTGGTCTAACCCAGTTTCCTATATCGGGCAAATGTCCAATTATCATTTCAGCCAATCGCATACGAAGGAGAAATGCGCCGTCTTGAAGGATCCCCTGATCTTTCTCTTTGGTACCAACCAGATGCTGGGGAAGAAGGTCTAGACATCAGCTTTATTATCATGGACACAAAAAAGGGCCAATCTCATCTTGGCGTGCCCCAGGCCCTTGCATATATGGGTCAGCTTTTCTACTCTATTTTCACATCAGCGCTGATTATCTACCTAGGCATGATTCGTAGAGAGCGGCGCTATGAGGGCATGGTTGAACATACAATTTTTGGTCTCTCGACGGATCACAATCACTTCCAGTTCCTTTAAATCAATACCAAAGGAAAGGTAACAAATTCCACATTGATTAAATGAGTCACACTTAATCGCACTAGTGGTCTCAACTAGCCTTAGACTATTCTAGTCAACGCCAGGAGATTATCGACATCCTTGCCTACTTACACAGGCACGCCTCTATACTATCGACCTTGCCTTACAGTCGTGGATCTAGGAACTTCTCGAGTTCTCAAGTAGAGGGAGGCGTTCTCGAAAATCGCGTGGCAAATTGAAAAAAAAAACATGGTTTACGTTTCAGGCCAACGGCTGCGATTCGGACGATGATTCTGGTGGTGAATAGACCTAGTGATTGAATTGCTTTTTGCTTCGAGAAGATATCTAGACCAAAACCTATCGCTGTATGCTAAGTAATAGAAGTGAGCATTATGTCACTGCCTTTCCTAGGTTACCCATGGCTTGGGCGAGGAGCGTCTCACATTTGCCGATTTTATAGCAACGAAGAGACTAAATTCGGTGGCGCTCCATGGCCAATTGTGTGTTCACCGCTTTGAACCCATCTTGACAGTCGGATCCTATAGGAGTGGCAAAGTCGCCATGGAGTTGAGAAGATTATCACTCTTGTTGATTTGCGCGGTAGCTCGTCGCCAGGTCGGCTGTTGGGCACTGTAGGCCTATAAATCGTAGTAACTACGATTATAGTACATCGGAAGTCAGAAGTTTTCATGTCGCAATCTATTCAATTCACTATATTGAAGTGAGTTAGAACTAAGATATGACTTTTTATTGTTCCTGTAAGCCTTTAAGTCTTCTGTAGCTTATTCCGAGGTCCTTTCTATACAGCGGAATAGTTATGTGGTCCGTGCAGTGATGCGACCCTAGCGGGATCTTGATTATCCGATTTCAAGCGCCTTCCATATCCTCTGCTACTCAAAACCAGTCAATCCACTTAAATCAGCGGAGATTGAGGCTCACGTCTGCAACCTTGGGTGTTTTGCTGGAATTTGACACGCTACTATCAAGCTGCGCTGGGGCCGACAAAGTTTGCGCGTGCGCCGCAAGACTCCGCACAGGATCAACCATCCCCCTCAATCGCCCTTGTACCATACTCAGGTCTATTAAGAGCTCACAGTAGATCTTCGGAGGAAAGCGTATAAACTACAATCTACGGGAATCATGCCGTCCATTGACGAGGACGATGACCGCGATCTGGCCGGTAGGTCGCTCCTGCTCATTCAATTCTCCTCATACCCCACAAAGAAGGCGCGAAGCTGACAATCTCTTCCTCCTACCTTCTAGGTTCCCAAGATGGAAGTAGCGATAACGAAAATGAGATTGACGACAACATGCGCGATGTTGATGACGCAGATGCCGACGGGGACGGAGACAATGACAATGACAACGACAATGAAAATGAGGCCGATGGTGACGCGGACGGAGACCAAGACCCCGATAGCCCTTCAAATGCAAGCCAGACGTCAGAGGGCGGTATGAACTCGCAGCCTAATCAGGACTCAAGGACTATGTCATCGGGAAACGGGCACACGAGCATGGCGGATTCCTTCTCCATCTACCACCCGAGTGTGCGCCCTGAATGCCTAACGGCCAGCACCTACGATATCGCCCCTACCACTGCCGCACCTCATAGTACTTCCATCAATGCGATCACGGCGACAGCTGATATGCGCTGGGTTTTTACTGGAGGATCCGACGGTTATACCCGAAAGTTCAACTGGGCGGATTCGATCAACAGCAAGCTTATGTTGACGGTGGCACAAAGACACCCGTTTGTGGATAGTGTTGTGAAAGCCGGTGTATTGATGACATACTGGGAGAATATGGATGGGAACAGCTTGTCGTCGGTGTACTCTCTGGCATGCCAAAGCGAAGGCTTGTGGCTCCTCTCTGGATTGGAGTCAGGTGCTATTCGATTACAGACTTTGCGTCATGACGAAGGCAGAGAGATTGTGCAATTACGACAACACACTTCTGCTGTTTCGTGCTTAAGCTTAACTTCAGATGAAAAGTCACTACTGTCAGGCAGTTGGGATAAGCGTGTGTTTGACTGGGATTTGAATACAGGACAGGCTCGTCGCGCATTCGGCGGGAGCGCAGGTCAAATATCCACAGTGCAAATCCGACCGGAGTCTAGTCTAGCAGTTCCGCAAGATACAGCTGAGCCTTACCTGAGCAATGGCACCTATACTTCCAATTATCAGGCTAGGGACACAGGCACATTCAATTCGAGTGGTGCTGCCGAAGACGCTGGAGATTCAGGCGCCGCTGAAAACCCGCAGGCGGGATCACCAGCGGATTCACTCTTCGGTGGAGCAGATTCATTATTTGGTGACGGGGATGGTGGAGCAGGAGATGGAGGGGAGCCTTCCGGCGGCGTGTTTGGAGTGGACGAAGATGATGAGTTTGGCAAGGCGATGGTTAATGGACTCGCCGATGCAGATGCCCCTGGAGAGATTGACACCGATATGCCACAACCGGAAACTAATAACCAGCCCGATGCTGCTCCTGCTGAACCAAATGATACTGCGGATGGCCCACAGCTAACCAACGGACATATCGACACTGATATGTCAGGCACAGAGGCACACCCGCTTACGAATGGTAATCCCAGAGCTGAAGAGCTTGAGTCATTGACGGAACAAGATCCTCCACAGACAATGCCATCTGAGCAAAATGGATCTGGCACAGATAGTACATTCCTGGCAGCATCCATGGATGGAGCAATCCGGGTGTGGGATAGACGTCAACCTGATCCAGTTGCTCGGATCAGCCCTCATAACGTTCCTCCATGGTGTATGAATGCTTGCTGGTCTCCAGATGGAAACTACATTTATGCAGGGCGACGAAACGGCACCGTGGAAGAATATAGCTTGCACAAGGGCCTCCGCCAAGCTGAGCGGACATTTAAGTTTCCTCAAGGAAGTGGTCCGGTAACAGCACTCAAGGCGATGCCAAATGGTCGCCATCTCGTGTGGTAAGTTAATGATTTTTAGATGTGCTAGATCCCTCTAACATATTCCAGTGCTTCTCATGATATTCTCCGCCTTTATGACTTGCAGCATGACCAGTCCTCTCGTCACACTACTCCATTCTTGATTATTCCAGGCCACCGCACCGGCACCATCTCTCAACTTTACCTCGATAATGCGTGTCGGTTTATGATATCCACCAGTGGCAATCGTGGCTGGGAAGGAAACAGCACTGAAGTTCTACTGGGCTACGAGATTGGAGTTCCTCAATGACAGGGAGTCTGATTTGCTTTGGTTCCGGATTGATAGCGTCAATGAATCGTACCTAATGACTCGGGGATATGGATTTAAAGTCCTCCCCATCTGGCCCAGCTACCGTGATTGAATATGTAAGTAGTAATAAAACCTTCGAAATGCCCTTGCCTAGGTACCTTCCTAGGTCAAAGGTATGAAATAATGAAAGCTCGTTTAGCTATGTACCATGACCTCATAAAGGTAGAGAAAATTATCTTCACAAAACCAACGCCAGATCCAGGGCTCAGCCCGCTAAAGTGGTATAGTCCCAATTAACAATTAATCATCGCTCGTCACGGTAAAATCATCATCAAAGTCTAATCCATCGCAGACCTCATTCCGCTGTGCTCGCCAATTCTGATAGTAAGGGCTCCCCTGCAACTTGATACTCTGTTGATGGTCGGATTCAAAGTACATGTAAGCCGGCGGTTGAGCGATTCCGTCTCGATGCTCATCCTCATCTTGGGACATGATCATATTAGATCCCCGAACAAGGGCTTGAAACATAGGCAGGTTGGAGCTGGGCACATGTGTCCGAGCTTGAACATTCCCGCTTCCAATATTATTCACCGTTATCAAATAGACAGGTGGCAAGTTGGCATCACGATCGGGACGAAGACTCATTGGCGTCCATGCCAGATTATCATAGGAATCAGGGCGGTTTTTGTCATACACAAGTGGCAGTGCCTGCGACAGGAGAATATCGTCAAGTTTCTCCGTGTCTATGATCATGCCACGGGATGGCAGATATAAAACACTATCATACTGCATAAATTGGATTTGACCTAGTCGTAGCAGCTTGGTATCTGTTGCCGAATAGCCTTTTGATGACGCCTCAGTCATATCAATTGGTAGGAGCCAGATGTCGTATTTGATACTGGCAGTGCGCAAGATAGAAAGAGCGGTGAGAGCAGGCTTTCCAAGTTGCTCCTCAGACATCCGGTCCCATTCTTCAGGATACATGAACAGTCGATCCTGGATGACACTGTTGTTGGTTGCAAGTTGTTTGAAGAATGAGATAGAAGAGCAGATGTCAGAGGGATCTGGGCTTGAGAGCAACTGCAGATATGCGTAGTTCCCCCCTAAGCTAGGACGAGGGTCTGAGCCTAGATCTGAATTTGATAAGCCGCGTTTTTGAGCGGGACTCTGGAATGTGGATCCTTGTGATCCAGATCCTCCGTGACGAGATACAGGTGGACGCAAAGCATGCTGGATGTTCTTCACCGATTGTTGTTGTACCACGTATCCGGCCCAAAATAACATCAACGAGAAAATGCAGACTACCCCAAATGACACGATGGCGGAGACCGTCGATGAAGTAAGAAGGACCATGGCTTGTACTTGTGGACGCTAGACATGGGAAGAATGTAATTGTGGAAGATTGGACAGAATTTGAATCATCATGCAGACCTGCCTGGTCTCTGACACCCTTATCTTGTTGTGGTTCCAGACTCCATGGTGTCAGCCCCGTGTTTCAATGACATCAGTTGTTTACCAGGTTGGCCGTGCGACTATCGATAAGGTCTTGGCGGCCCTTGGCTTTCTGCCGCTTTTCACCTTCTTCTCATCCTGACCGTAGATCCTTTCCAAGCTCTTTACTCCACATTTTCGACATCCACATCGCTATGGCGCAAGCTCATCGTGCTGATGCCAGTCAATTTCTCGACAACCGAGGCTACACCGGTCCCCTGGTGCGCGGCGTCAACCCTGTCACCCTCTTCGAGAAAGCCGTGCGCGACCGCATCACAGATTCATACTACTGGAAGGAACAGTGCTTCGGTTTGAATGCGGCAACGCTTTGCGATCGCGCCACCGAGTTAACATTTGTCGGCGGTACATACGGTATTTCCGAGAAGCCCTCACCATTCCTCTGTCTCGCCTTCAAGCTTCTACAACTCAATCCCGAACGAGACGTCATCCTCGAGTACCTCAACTTCAGTGACCCCGGCAGCGACGATGAGGATGGACAAAATGCGGTGTTAAATTCTCGCGGCGACTTCAAGTACCTTCGCGCGCTGGCGGCATTCTATGTGCGACTTACCTTCGATGCGGTGGACGTCTACAAGACCCTAGAGCCGCTACTTCTCGACTATCGGAAATTGAAGCGACGAGTACGCGACTCGTTCACTTTGACATATGTGGATCAATTCATCGATGAGCTTCTCACAAAAGACCGTGTCTGTGGTACTAGTTTGTGGAAGCTGCCACCACGTTCACAATTAGAAGATTTGGACATGCTGGATGAGCGGATCAGTCCCTTGGCGGATGAGCTAGAGGAGCTCGATCAGGACAGTCAGAATGGGGAAAATGATGAGCACGATGATGAGCGCGACCGCAGTGATGGAGAAGTCTCGAGCTCGAAGGATGACAATCATGACTGAAGCTTTCATCTGCGAAGCCCTTCTGGTTCGTGCCACACTTACGCTACCTGGTGCCCAGTGCTCTTATAGTCAACCCAATTATACCCCAGACTATCAACGATCACTGATTGCATAGAAAAACAGTGGAGGAATGTTGATCATCTCCCCATCTTCTGTCTTTCGTTCAAACCGCGGGCTACCACATGCGAATCTTCACCTTACGATTTGTTGTCGGGCATATGTTTGTACACTTCACTGCAAATGGTGTTCAAACCAGACCTATGGGACAACTTTCCATTAACGCCTTCTGTGGTACTTCTGACTTCCGTCAAACATCAGAGATCATGGATGGATTCGGTTTATACCGAAGCACAATCAATCAATTCAGCAATTTAATCGATCATGCTGTGATTCTTGACGAAGCCATATCCTTCGAATGTATTATAGATTAACAGAAAGGCTCACAGGTAGTCGCGGATATGAAAGAAATGACCATAATGCAAACAAAAAAGAAATACACCCTAGAAGCCCTGTTGGCGATGCCATTTCCCCTCCCAGCCTTTAAACCAAGGACTGTCATCCAGGGTCGCAACCTCCCAATCCTTTGGAACAAGACCCGCCTCCTCCTGCTCCTTTGCCCACTCCTCCATCTTTGGCAGAACGACATGCTGAACATGCCATACTCCCTTATATTTCATCATGCTCTCCTTTCCCTCTCTCAAGAGCTTTCCCAACAGGGCTGGCACGGCAGGCTCGTCACGAAACTCTGATACCGGTGTGAAGAGCGCCTTGAAGTTGAAAACGACCGATGCCGACAAAGGTAGACGACGAAGGGTCTGCCAGTCTACACGCAGGGTGCAATCATCAAGATGCAAATTAGGATCCTGCGATAGCCTAAGAGCCCCATGTGGGTCACCCGGTGCCATGTACAACAACTCCTCGGCTTCGAGACCCCATGAACCTCGTTGGATAGGCTTTTCGGTTGGCATCTTGGTGAAATATCTATCATGAGTTTCATTTTCGTCAGCTTGGCAGAAACACAGTCGCGCAAAGGAAAGGGCGTCTTACCGGTCCATGGAGAACTGCATTTTCTCTTTGTAATCTGGAATGGGCTCGTGAATCGCATCCAATCGTTTATCAATCTTGGAAGCAACATTCCACCCCAATGCTGAGCAGATCACAGCTGCACGCAAGAAATAATAACCAGTCTTCTCGTCTCGCAGCGTGAGGGCAAAGTCTTCGGGAACATTGTCAAGAAGAATTTCCAAAGGAGGCTTGCTTCGAACATCCTGCTCTGTACCGAGGATTCGATTCTGCAGTATACTATTGTCGACCAGCGTGAAATATTGCGGATACCGAGCACAAATGAACTGCAGAACCATCTCCATGAGTTCCTTGCAGGCCAGTTCGGAGCCAGGCCTAGCGTCGAGAACTGCCTTGCCGTGCTTCGCAAACAGTTCTTTGCGTTGAGCAATGCGGCTTTTGTATGTGCTTTCAAGCTCAATCCACCAGTCTGGCTCCAGCTTGGTTAAGGCTATTTCAGACATGAGTGGACTTCCTTTCTCTCTGGGGGGGGGGGATTGAACTCATTTCCTGCACGTACACATGGTTTGATGATAAGCCCACCGGAACGGCCTGTATGGCCGAGGCTTAGCTTTCTCAATAACATGCTCGGGGTAAGAATCAGGGAGTGGAACTCCACTTAAAGTCGCATAATCCGGAAAGTCGCCAAGGGCTTTCACTTCGTCTACCGAGAATCCGGTGGGTGTATATAGGTTGCCTGGGCTTTTCATATAATCGACAGTCATGGGCAAGGCATTTTGGCGCACTTCGGTTTCGTCGATATCGCGCCAGCGAAAGGTGACTCCTTTAAGCTGGAGGAGCGACTCTCTACGCTGCGGTGGGAGGGCATGGTTGTAGCTTGGGGGAGATGTGGCGCTATTGGCATTTTTCTTCTCGGGTGATATGGATCGTGGGGGTGTTCTGGCTGTCGAGTCTTTGCGGCCGCGAAGGGATATTCTGCTCCAGAGAGGTTTGTTCGATGATCGATAGAGAATGGAGTAGACTGCGGTGGCAGCTACCAGTATTAGACCGATCTTCCAGGCGCTTTCTGGGCTCGTCAGGAACTCCATTTGGCTTACACCATGCGAGGAAAGCAATGAGGATTGAGTGGATATTCTTGGAAGTTGATTTATACTGCCGGGTCTGGTTTATTATTTCCAGTGGGCTTGGTGCATTGGGCTGTGGTGATCAACCAGATAGATGGATTGCAGGCAGGGAACGTGCCCTATAAGTACTCCTCATGTTTGACATATCCAGAACCAAGAAGATTCTGAGTTGCACTCAGACCAAGGTTCAAGAAGCGGGGAAACTCGTCCATTCAGAATGAGGGAATCCGCATCGAATAGCTTCTTTGGTTGACACTATTTGACTAACCTTTCCGTGTTTGGCGACTGTATGCGTCTCTATGCTTGCTATGACGAGATGTGCATATTGTAGCATAATATCAGAATGGCCTTATCTCATTGTTATCTTGTTATCTTAATATCGAGATTGATCTACTATGCATGCTTACTCTACTGGCAAGCCGAGGTGGTGATACCTGCTGCAAGTCTCACACTACTATGAATGCAGGCTCTGAATCCACGGACTTCGGTTCAGAAAGCTATTCGGAGAAGACAGTATTCATTAGGCAAATCGATACATCAAGCGCAAGAAAGAAAGATAAGGACAATCTGGAATGCGTGTACAGAATGGGATGATAGGTTCCGCTATACCCGAAAGGGTAAAAATGTCCAGGCGCTTGGCAAATGATGTTTGATCAACCAGCAAACAAATTAAACATAGAGCTTTAATATAGAATAGTGTCTGTTACACAACCCCTCTCAGCTCTTTCAGGCCTGTCCATTGATTCTGGAATTGAAAACAGGGCGTCGGTGCGGGCACAGGAACGTTCATAGTTGGTTCTTAGGTTCTCAGGTATGTGTTTATCATGAATTGATGAGAAACATCCAAAAGGCGAGCACTTGAAATTTACCATTATTGAGAATGCTAGAAGGTAGAAAAGATTTTGTGTGCGAGAGCAAGTCAAAACAACTAGTCATTAAAGTGGACGCATGGCTGAAGTTTTAGAAGGCTCCCCGGATTAGCTAGAAATTTAGCCATCTCGATGGCTTCATATTTTGGTATATACTTCCCGTACTCTGCCATTTGCTCTGACCAAATAGAGATCGAAGTCTGGAAAGAGATAGATGTCACTGGCGGTGCATAGAGAAAAAACTCAAATCACCTCGTTCAGTCTTCGAATTTTGATTCAATTCTAGCCCGATATTAAACTGTCTCTGAAACACCCATAATTCCATCTGGCTCTTTCTCACTACAATAAAACTTTCAAATTTAGTCATTGAGACATCTGACCGAAGTTTAACCCTGTCTCCATCCCGTCGGTTTCCAAGGTCATCGACGGCTTTGAGGCCCTGCCCTTGGACGTTCCCATTACAGCTCATGATTTGTGCCACCGACAGAAAGAGGGCCCTTCTTTGTCATGATAGTGAGGACCTCAAACAACACATCGGCAGCAGCCCTAGAGAGAAACGCTGTTAGAAACGCTGTTGGGAAAGGGAAGAACTTTGCTTACATAGTAGTCAGCTCCGCATTAGTATCATATGCAGGTGCGACCTCGACGATGTCGGCACCAATGAAGTTAATCCCATCAAGACCACGAATGATGGTTCTCAGCTCACGAGTGGACCAACCGCCAGTCTCGGGGGTACCAGTTGCCGGCGCGACTATTTTAACTCGTCAGTAGCTGTCTGCGGATTTGACAAACCAACTCATCTGGGGTAGGCCACATACAGGCAGGGTCGATGGAATCAATATCGATAGAGAGGTAGACGGGGTTCTCGGTGCCAACACGGTCTCGGATCTTTTTGATAATACCACCGGTACCTGGAAGGAAGATATCTATAAGGACCATCTTGGTTTGGGAAGATATTGGTTAACATACCGATTGTGTCAATTTCTCGGGCTTCGACAATTTCAAATCCACAATAACCATCGTTCTCATAGTCGGATGGCCCAGAGACAGTTGTGCGAATACCGGCATGGATGTTGGTGTCGTTCTTCAGCAAGCCTTCCATGGCAGCATGATAAAAGTAGGTTCCATGGTTGACGGCGGCAACCTCACTTGGAGAACCGCCAAAAACCTTTGGCTTCCACGAGTCACTGTCGAGTATTTTTGTTAGGAAAATCTCTTGCAAAGCAAAATGGAGTAATCGTAAATTACAGATGGCTATCAAAGTGTATCACAGTAACAGGGCCATAGGCTCTGTTGATGCTCCGCAGCAGGGGTAGGGTTATAGTGTGATCTCCTCCTAGCGTGATAACGCGAGGAAGAGTCTTGCCAGCGGTAGAAAGGCCTGCTTTATCTGCGTCCGTGTAGGGCCTGCGCATCAACACACTATTGTGTCCCTCTTCGATTTGCTGAATGGCCCATTCATTGTCGTACCTAACATGAAGGATTAAATGGAATTAGTTGACTTAGATACGCCTTCAATGTGAGGGTTCATCACTCACGAGGTGACTGGAATATCTCCGCAGTCGAGGATCTTCATGTCTCCGGAGAATGGATTAGCCTGAAGTGGCACATTATATCCTCCACTAAGTATCATCAGCATTCCTTCTCTATTCATGTCCATCTTCCCTAGACCAATCTGTCGTGTAGGCCGACATACTAAAGATTGAGACGACGAGACCCTTGTCTAATACCACTAGGTCCGAATCGTGCACCGGGTCGGTATGAGGTTCCAGTATCGAAGGGAGCACCCAGAAAAGCAATATCGTACTTCACGTCATCGGTGGACAGGCAAGGGGAATAAGGCAAGCGACCGAAGGTGGATATTCCAGAGAATACTGAATCAGCCTAGCAAAAGAGTACCAGGTCAGTCACTTTTAGACCTGCGGAGGTAAACATTGACTTGGATCCATCCACATACTTGAGTGCCCCCGTCTCCTGGTAGAGTATTGTACCAAAAGTCTTTGTGTGGACCTGCCATGGGGATTTGATCATGGTCTCCATGGGCCGCCGATAGACTTGCCAGGGCAAGGATTCCCGCAAACGATTTCAACATAGCAGAAATGATAAAAATTGAAATAGAAAATAGTATTTGAAGTAAGTACTCTCGAAATCACGAATTGGAATGTTCAAATTTGTGGCAGGGAGATTTTCGAGAGGTTATTGAGGAAATATATACTTGAAGGCAGTACTGAGATAGTACTGAGATCCACTTGTACATACTGCCTTCTTACTCGAACATTGAGACACATGGGAATGCCAGCGGCCCAACAAATTTGCCCATTTCTCTCCGAATTCTTGTGTACCAAGTATCTGCTCCCTATACGAAGCCACTTTTGTGACAATTACATCAGTATATCTCAGCACCCTATCTCTCCCATTTTTACCCCAATTCGGTTAGACGACATCCATCTGGAAGGCACGGTCAGAATATACCTAATGATCAGCCAGCATATCATTGGAACAGGTGGCTCAATGGTCCGTACCTTGAACTCTGCTGGCCTTCCGAATAGAGAAATGCATCATCGTATTGCGGAGTTTTCGGATTTAGCTGCACGTCATCATATGCAAGACAGGATGAAACAATCCCAAAAGGGAAGGAAATGGGAGAATTGCAAGAAGGCTGGATCTTATAACATGGGGAAGAAGATAAGGTGGATTTGGGTTATTGAAGAGATGGCTTATCGCTTGACGATCACTGGTTAGAGGCCAATGAGGGGAAGATCCTCTATCACAAACAACGAGAAATAAAGTGTCCTCCGACAACGGACATGAGATGTGGAGAAAAACGCCCCGCGGAGAACAATCTTATTTATTTTTCAAGTTTATGTACAACTTCAAATTTGTTATCTCTTTGTGTTGAAGTTTGTTTGGAATTCGGTGCGACGCTGCTGTTTTGGTTTTAGATAAGGCATTGGGTATGCTTGAACCACTAGGTACCATGTACTTCAGTGAAAGGCTTTGTTCGGTTACAGCGCTAGAACGATTTCAATAGTATTTCTGGTTCGATTGTGGCGTAATCATGTCGAATGGTGTTCTTTGCTTACGATTGAACACTAAACTATCTATGGAGTTGAAGTCACTGATAAGGGTTGTTCTAGGGGGGTAATCGAGAGTTTTCTAAGTAAGTAATATAACTTGTGAGAGGTCAATAGATGATAAATTCTCTGATTTAATAAAACTTATATCCTCTAGGCACTATTATATATGCTTTTTATTGCTCATTACTGTCATTATGAACGATCAAAAATATACCGAGAAAAGTGATCCAGACCAAAGACTCAGCGAATCTGGTGACCAGACACCAGTAAACGTCGGTCATGGAGCCCAAATTGCGATTGAAGTGCCGGCTGTCAACAAAGAAGGAATCAAGCTACATCCACAGCCTACATCCGATGCCTTAGATCCCTTGAACTGGTCAAAGTTTCAGAAGCATGTCATTCTTGCAATTGTTATGTTCAAGTATGTTTTCCAATTTGGAATTACTCTATACCAATCTCTGACTACGGCCTTGGTAGATACTTTTTGTTTACCTACCTTACGACAACCACGGTTCCCTCCTTCGCGGAAATTCAAACTCAATATCAGATCAACTACGCCCAAGTTAACTGGACTGTGGCTATTCCCGCCCTGGGTCTGTCAGTTGGCCCACTGATATGGTCTTCGTTGAGCGATATATATGGGCGAAGAACTATCTTCTTACTTGGGACCATCATATCGTTGGTATCAACAATTGGTGCTGCAGTCGCAGATACATACTCGGGCTACATGGCAGCGCGCTTCTTTCAGGGATTTGGTGTCAGTCCTGCATCAACAGTGGGAATGGCTGTCGGTAGGTGAGGTTCATGACGACTTGATTATTTAATAACTAATGGATCCAGTGAATGATTTGTTTTTCGACTATGAGCGTGGACAAAAGCTTGGCCTCTGGGTTTTGGCCATTGACTCTGGGCTTCTTCTTGGACCAACTTGTAAGTGAAAAATTCAAACTACGACAAGCAACTTAATTGACTGACTGAATTGAAGTTGGCGGTTTTTTGAATGTCGTTAGTGCTCAATGGATTAATTGGTTCAATGCCATATTATTCGCGGTGTTGCTGGTGCTTGAGTTATTATTCATGCCTGAAACTCTCTACCCTCGTCAGCAGATGTTGCTTAATGAAAGCATCGTGAAGTTCAACGAGCAGAATGTTTCTGAGAACGAAAAGCACGAAGCCGACAAAGAAGCTGTCACTCCCCAGGCAACAGTTCCAGCTGAGGTATCATTCTCAGACCCACCCCGGACACGGAAGCTGCCTTTCGTCAACTTACGACCTGTACCGGGTATGCGTCACCCTAAGCCGTGGGATTCGATTGTTAGATTTGCTCTCACTTTTCGGCTGCCTGCAGTGGTGATTGCAGTCATTGGATACTCGTTTCTCTGGTACTGGTGGGTTTTATCAGTTATTACCATGGTACCCTCGGCATATGCAACCTACAGTCCACTTATACAAGGTTTACTGTTTATTGGTTTGTTTTTGGGGACAATCCTTTCGGAAATATGTTGCTCTGGAAGTCTGAGTGATTATATTGTCGCAAAGCTCTCGAAACAGAATGGAGGCCATCGAGTCGCCGAGATGAGGCTGTGGCTAGCATACCCTGCTATTCTTGTTACTGCTGGTATGTACTGCATCAGGCTCATTGATTACTCAAATATTGACTTTCCTCAGTTGGGTTGATTGTCTGGGGCGTCAGTCTCGATCGAGATTACCATTGGATCGTCGGCCAGATCGCTTTCTTCCTATGTATGTTTCGTACCGAACGCCAGAGATAATGAGCCTAAGCTAATGCTTTCCAGTTGCTGCCGGCATTCAGGTAGGCAACACGGTTGCAAGCAGTTACATTGTCGATGCCTATCCTTTGCAATCGACAAGTGTCATTACTTTCTATGCAGTCTTTCTCAACTTGAGTGCATTCATCAATCCAGTAAGTGGGCGGTACTAAAACCCAATATGAGCATTTGAAGTGAGTCGCTGACTTGCTTATTTTTAGTTCTTCATTGCTTCTTGGCAAACTTCCATGGGATGGACCTGGACATTTACTACGCAAGCATTGATCGTCGTTGTGGGGGGAGGATTGATGATAGGCGCGCTTCACAGATACGGTGCATGGATGCGGGAAAAGGCACCCCAACCCTCGTGGGTAAACCCTGAATATGACATAGGTGTGTAGGTTCGAGCAATTGATAGACGCGGTTTTACTTGTTTGTCTGCAAACAATCACTGCGTATTGCCATAAGGAAGGCACTAGACCTAGAAAGGTTTAGCAGTCAGGCGCCTCAGGCATCCTGGCCTTGTCATGCGTATAATAGAGATTATTTCCTACTTTTCTGCCACTGAATAATATAAACACTGCTCCTTCCCAAGATGATAAATCTGGCAATATTTGACTTCGCTGGAACTCTCTCTAATGCACACGAAATCTATCTCCAAAACCATTAAACTCACCTTGAACGGCCTTCTTCCTTCTCAACCCATTAAAACCAAGCACATATTCTTCATTTACAATATGCAAGATAGCTAGCATTATGATCATCTTTTATTCTGTCAACTCTTTGAGCCTAGCAGGTATAACAAAGGTCTACCATTAAATGGTGCAACCCTTGCCAAAACTCCTCCTAGGTCTCTTTACTTCGAAACATCGATTCCCTCTCTTCCTCCCTCTCCCCTCCCCGATACAGAAAGATTCTTAACAGTTGAAATCAATGGTGCAGACACTGCCCTTTTGCAAACCGGAGCCGGAGACCTTGCCTTTGAGGGACGTCTGGTCGGCGTACTTGCCCTTGCAGGACGCGGGCCCGGCGCCGTAGCTATTGGCGGCCCAGACGAAGACGTAGGGCAGCTGAGAGTCGATGCTGATCCACTCGCCACCATATGGGTTGCCACTGTAGGAACCAACGGCATTGCCGTTCTTGTAAATGACAAGCGACCTATGCTCAATAATGGAGCTGCCAGTGAAGGTCGAGGTGTCTTTGAGGATGGTCTGGCAGTTGGTGGCGACGACCTGGGTGACCTGGAATAGGGCTGCCGCAGCCAAAACAATAGTTTTAGGGCTTTGGTTCGAGTGTTAGCATATTGCTTTCTTCTTTGTCTCTTCGAGTGGTGGATGTATAAGTATGCAAAAGACGAAGGGGCAATGACCTACCCGAACATTCTTCTTTGGATGTCAGATGGTTTGTTCTCGATTGTGGACTTTAGATGATTTCCTCTTGTATTAAAGGATATAAAGCATGCTTTTATATGTTTCTGGTATAGGTTGTGGGCTGGTCAAATACGCTAACAGAAATTCTACCACATGATTGTCTGTCCGGAGATGACTTCTACCGCTTTCTGGCGGAGGCCAATAGTCATATGGTACATTGAAGCTATATTGATATTTTAAATATGTTGAAGGGTTACATCGTGTCGAATCCTTTCTTCACCACGCAGTGGAGACTGGGTGAGTCCTGACCTCTCGGTCATAATTTCGGCAGGTCGGGTCACGCCAGGGTAATCTGGCCGGACGAAGCTTACTTCCTCGGAAATTAGTGCTCATGGCCAATCTTAGATGCTGAGTCATTGCGCCAGAGCCAAAGATCGGGATATGAAGCCACTGACCTTCAATTGCTCTCCCTCACTTCAAATGGCAAAGCTATACCACGTCGTCAGACTTGGGCTCTTTGAAATGTTGATGGAATTCAGACCCAAAGGAAGCTTTCATGCAGGTAAGCTAAGCCTTCGCTAGCAAGAGCACTCTCCGAGAATCCTGGTCATATAGCATCCAGGGTTTTCAATCCGTGATCAGCCGGGGATCTCCACATTTGATCCCCACATCCCTATTCAGTTAGGGTCTAAATTTGACCCACGAATCAGGATCTGGCTATGAAGAGCTGCCTATTGTTTTTTGTCAGTTGAGGCTTGCGCTAATACCGGTTAGTAAGAAGGGTCTGGCTGTAGGGCGAAACTTAACCTATCGCCTCGCCCTATTCCATGCAAGGGACCTATTGCTTCGGCTTATTCTCTCATACAATGGAATCCTTTCGCAATTAAATCTCCATATTGCCTCGGGATACTCCCGAAAGACCATCTAAACTAGGTCCGATGGGGTGCTACTCCGGCTATAACGCAAATCCCGGGCAAAGGGCAATTTTTCAGGTTTCACCTCCGTTTTCTTCTATTTACCTGTACCCACCCCACGTAGTACATCACAGAATTCCATGAGAATCTACAACTTCTTCTTGAAGCGATAGAATGTACACGAGTTGAAGTTCTGTTTCATGTATACATGAGATTCAAGTCAATTTATCTTAGTGGCTGTGAGTAATACGCAGCGGGGAGAAATGCTACTGATTTGTGGCATTAAAGGTACAAAGGTATAAGAGGCGAGTGATCCACGAGAGTTCAAAGCTGAAAACGGAAAAGGCGAGACGGTTTAGACGGTTTAACTCACATATATCTAGCAATAACATCAGGCATGTATCCCTAGCAATATGTATATGACAAAAAGTCTGATAAACGTCTTATTTCCTTGTGAATGATGGACGGATTGTCGTAGAGAGTAGTATGCCGTTTAAAAAAATTAAAGCAAAACGTGGTTAAAAGCTCAGCCCTTATTCCTCCTTTTTCTCTTTTCTTGCTCATCACCTTTCTTGTCCTTGTGACATAAGACTCTTTTTCTCTCTAAACGATTTGGCATATTAGAGCACCGTATCTTCCAATCAATCATTATTCAAAAACATGATTGAGTATAACCCCGAGCGTGGTTCATGTGTCAGCAGGTAAAAGGTAAGGGGTACATAGACCGCGGGGTCTTTGTCGGTGACAATGACATCAATTATATGCTTTCCTCTGATTGGACTATGGTGATAGCTTATCAGCTGCTTTTTTCATTTTTCTTGTACACTTTTGTGGGGTAATGGTGGAGTAATACCTACAGCTACGTGGAGGCAATCCGGAACTTCCGGCCTGCAGCGCAGTATTGAGGGCATGCACGAGAACATTTAGAGTCTCACTTTGGGTGATCATGCAGAATAGGTGTACATGTAATCTGAATCAAGGATTTGGTCTGAGAATCTTCGGGGAATTGATCTCGAAGTCCAGATTTTCGGCTTTCGGATGGGATCCTTTGAGGTAGCGTGGGCCAAGTTTGGACAAAGAGATTCAATGAAAAAAGACACACAATGAAAAATACCATAAACAAGGCAATGAAGTTAAATTTCATGAAATCTGTCAAACAATTGATGTGAAATTTTATGTCTGTCTGAGTGGTATTTCTCAAAGAGATTTGTCCCGCAGATAGTGTATGAAATGAAATATTCGTCATCATGGAGGGTGATGGGCGAAAGGCCTCAATGGGGATTGCCATTTTAAATCCAGAAACAGATTCGAAATACAATTCTAATGCTCCTATCTATCCAGATTGTGGAAACTTTATCTTATGCGCTATAAGGTGTCAACAACGCACTTACTACGTATTCTACCCCGCCTTCCTAATTGGGGTAATGTTTCGAGAGCCTCAGTGTGTCCGCTCTAGACCCATTGACGCGGTAAAATTCCATATCGAAGATAACCATGAGGATGTGTCACATAATGACTGGGTGATCTTCATTTGACCTTATCATCAAATCTATACCCAATGACATGGTTGTACAAACAAAACTCAAGATACCAAAAGCAAGATCAACCCTGCTTTGCAAACTGCTATACCCCGAAATCGGAGCAAAAATAGAAATGAATGAGCTGGCTGGCATGATAACTCACTGCACTTCCAGTTTGGGTTAAGTGGAATTAGCCTGTTGGGTTGGCTCCGATCTACCTCCTTTGTGTACAAGGTACTCCAGGGCTGTCTACAACTCTGCAGTTCACAAGCATATAAAATGTATTGTCTGCCTTATCAATGCAGCAGAACCGCTCCTCTCATTATCGCTTTTAATTGTTCTGTGTTCTGTTTGTTTCTGTCGAATCAATGGCAAACCTAGGAAAGGACTATTGCCCAACCATTGGCAATACCCCGACGAGTACACCAGATGAATATACATCACTCTTGAATCCGCCGATTCCACACAATGACCATGAAACCTCCTCGCCCGGCGCTACAGGCAAGACAAGGCAAAATTCTCTTATTGTTGAATCATGGGTCTTGCTCAAGGGCGCCGTTCCTGTCATTCTTGCCTACATGCTCCAAATGAGCCTGCAGACCGTCACTGTTATCATTGCAGGTCGCGCCTCCCCGCTGGATCTGGCCGTCAGTGCATTCTCTCTCATGTTTGCCTTGGTGACAGGATGGATGATTGCACTGGGAGGAACAACTGCTCTGGATACCTTAGCCTCATCAACGTTTACCGGCAGCAAAAACAAATACGACTTGGGTATACTGCTCCAACGAGCATTCTTGGTTCTTGGTGCCCTCTACATACCTGTCGCTATTATCTGGGCATGCTCCAATCCCATTTTTCTGGCTCTCGGTCAAGATCCTCAACTTTCGTATCAAAGTTCAAGATTTCTGATCTGTCTCATTCCCGGGGGGCTCGGATATATCTACTTTGAGATCATGAAGAAATACTTACAGGCACAAGGTAAGACAGAAGTTGTTGTTTTTATACGATAGTCCATTCGCGGGGTCTAATACACCGAATATAGGCATCATGAGAGCGGGAACATACGTTCTTATGATTACATCACCTCTCAACGCAGCCTTGTGTTATACCTTCTGCTATACACTCAATATCGGTATCCTCGGTGCCCCCCTCGCAGCCAACATTTCGTACTGGTTGTCCTTCATCCTCTTGGTTCTTTACGCAAAATATATCGCCGGTTCCGAATGCTGGGGTGGGTGGTCGCGAGATGCTTATAAAAACCTGGGGACGTTCACACGGCTGGCAATTCTTGGGATTCTACATGTTGGTACTGAGTGGTGGGCGTTTGAAATCGTCGCACTGGCTGCAGGTCGGCTCGGTACTATTTCGCTCGCCTCTCAAAGTGTGATCATGACCGCCGATCAGATTATGAACACCATTCCGTTTGGAATTGGCGTTTCTATTTCATCCCGGGTGGGTAATCTACTAGGATCACGAGAGGCCCAAGCAGCAATGCGTGCTGCTCACCTGGCCACCGTACTTGCTTGTGTCTTTGGCGCGGTGGTGCTTGCTATCCTGATGGGCACTCGAGATCATTTCGCCAAGATCTTCAACAATGATCCCCGTGTGATAGATCTCACTTCGGAGATTATACCATATGTTGCGTTGTTTCAGATTGCAGACGGTATTAATGGTGCCTGTGGTGGTGTTCTGCGAGGTATGGGGAGACAGCACTTAGGCGCGGCCGTGAACATTGTCAGCTATTATTGCTTTGCTTTGCCTTTGGGTATTTGGCTTGCATTTCAACATGGCTGGGGTCTTAAAGGCCTTTGGGTTGGTCAGTGTGTTGCTCTGTATTGTGTCGGTATTTTGGAGTGGATCGTTGTTGCCTGCACCAAATGGGATGACGAGGTGCGCAACGCATTCAAGCGTATGGATCATGAGATCTCGAATCATATAAATGAGGAACATGTGGGTGATGTTTGATTCATGGTTGAGAATTTTCTTATTTTCTCGATACATCCCAAAGTTGATAGACTTGGTTATTAGCAATTCCCCATTTAGCCCGCAATATGAACAAGCATTCCAAGGTTGTAAACTTTTCCACACGCTGACGTAGATGTACTTCTTTTTGGACTTGGTTTGATTCATTTTTGCATATACATCTTGTACTATGGTCGCAGTACAAGCGACCAAAATTTGGGAGCTACCAACCCAAGAATTATGCAGCATTCTTCAAGAAAGGGGTCTCGGATGTGGGACAAGAAACGTTCCGGACCCACACTACGCGACACGACCAATCAGAAAAGAACCCGAGGACATCGCAAAGCACGAGGCAACTTCGATGAAAAGTGGGTCTTCTGGAACAATTGATTGCTCGCTTGGACGTTGCCATGTGTAGTGCAGCTCGATAGGCACTCACGCATAAGCCAATAAACGTCTATTTTGGGAAGCACCTGTCGGTAAAGAGACGCTATTCCAAGTACAGAACAGATTTCAGCGCTATTTTGGTTAATCAGGGTATGGTTGCATCCCGTTCCCGGCCAATTAAATGAAGTTTAATGACTGAGTCAGGGACATCTCGCCCACTTTTGAGTGCTCGTGTTCGTATTGCGTACGTCCATACGCATAAATTTTAATGTGCCATCTGTGGAGATGGATCGGAAGCCTTTCCTCCCGAAACGACCAAATTCAACCTTTTGCCTTCTTATTTGACTTCCAACTCCTTTCCATTCTTTAGCTACTTTCTATTTCCAACTATCAGTCACTCGTTGCGCCTATCTTGCTTGGAATGCGCTAATCTTAATTTAATATTGGATCGTGCGTGAATACCCCGGACCACGTCATGATGCGCTTGTTAACCTTTGTATAGAATAAGTTCGGAGGTGCCTAGAAGCACAAATCCAGGGACATGTCGAATACCGCAACTACTGACAGGTCTACTGAAGACTCTGAGTATGTGGACGAGAAGCAGACCAATATTTCCCAGGGTAACACCGATGTTGACTACACTTCCAAAGAACATGACCTTACGAAACTTGATTCGAAGCGTGTGACTGCCGAAAAATCACTGGGTGAAGATGATCCATTCAAGAACATCCCTCCGGCAGAGGCTGAGATCCTGCGACGACAAGTTGAGGTACCGCCCGTTCAAGTTGGTATCAAGACCTTGTATCGCTATGCGACTACCACCGACTTGATCATTATTGCAATCTCCGCTCTTTGCGCCATCGCTGCTGGTGCTGCTCAACCGTTGATGACTGTTATCTTCGGTAACCTTGCTGGTCAAATTTCTTCGTTCTCCGCTGGCGGCAGTGCGTTGGAAGACTTCCGCAGCAAACTCTCTCACAATGTCCTTTACTTCGTCTACTTGGCTATTGCTAAGTTCTTCACAACCTACATCTCGACTGTTGGATTCATCTACACCGGAGAGAAGATCAGCGCACGGATTAGAGAGGAGTATCTCGCTGCTTGCTTGCGCCAGAACATTGGCTTCTATGACAAGCTCGGTGCGGGTGAGATCACCACTCGCATCACAGCTGATACGAACCTTATCCAAGATGGTATTTCCGAAAAAGTCAGCCAGAGTCTCGCTGCGATCGCAACTTTCATCACCGCCTTCATCATTGCTTTCGTCAAATACTGGAAACTCGCCCTGATTCTCTGCTCCATCATCGTTGCGATTGTGGTCGTTTTGGGTGGCTGCGGCAAGTTCATGGTAAAGTACAACAAGCAATCACTGTCTGCTTATGCCCTTGGAGGAACCGTGGCCGAGGAGGTTCTTTCGTCCATTCGAAACGCCGTGGCCTTTGGCACACAAGAGAAGCTGGCTTTGCAGTACGATGCGCACTTGGCCGAAGCTCAAAAGTGGGGCTTTAGACAGAAGTCTGTTCTGAGCGGTATGATGGGATTCGCCATGTGGGTGGTCTATCTCAGCTACGGCTTAGCCTTCTGGCAAGGTTCTCGCTTTCTCGTTGATGGTGAAGTTGGCATTGGTGCAATTCTCACCATCATTCTTGCTATGTTGATCGCGTCTTTCAGTCTCTCCAATGTTGCCCCCAATGTCCAGGCTTTCACGACTGGACTTGCTGCTGCCGTGAAGGTTTTCGACACTATTGACCGCGTCTCGCCACTTGATCCCAAATCAGAGACCGGTGACCGGTTGGAGCACGTTGAAGGAAGCATTGAACTCCGCAATGTCAAGCACATTTACCCTTCGCGCCCCGAGGTGTGTGTCATGCAAGATGTCAGTCTGTCCATTCCTGCGGGTAAGAAGACTGCTTTGGTCGGTTCCTCCGGATCAGGAAAGTCAACGATCGTCGGTCTCATTGAGCGTTTCTACGACCCAGTCGCTGGTACTCTCTACCTTGACGGTCATGACATCTCGACTTTGAATCTCCACTGGTTACGGCAGCAGATTTCTTTGGTGAGCCAGGAACCAACTTTGTTCGGAACCACCATCTTCGAAAATATCGCCCACGGTCTCATCGGCACAAAGTTCGAGAATGAGAGCGAGGAACGCCGGAAGGAACGAATCTTCGAGGCTGCAAAGATGGCAAACGCCCATGACTTTGTCAGCGGACTACCGGATGGATATGAGACTAATGTTGGTGAGAAGGGTTTCCTGCTTTCTGGAGGACAGAAGCAGCGTATTGCGATCGCTCGTGCGATGGTCAGCGACCCGAAGATTCTTTTGCTTGATGAAGCCACCTCAGCACTCGACACAAAATCCGAAGGTGTTGTTCAAGCCGCGCTGGAAGTCGCCGCGGAGGGCAGAACCACAATCATCATCGCCCATAGATTATCTACTATCAGAGATGCCGACAATATTGTTGTCATGTCCGAAGGCCGTATTGTCGAACAGGGTACCCACCATGAGCTCATTGAACAGAAGGGCACATACTGCAGTCTTGTTGAGGCACAGAGAATCGGAGGCACAAAAGATTCGACACCTCAAGAAGAGGATTCACTTGATGACGAGGCACTGTCAGATGAGCTCAACGATGAGAAGAGCCCCGTGGATAAAGTTCTCTCTCGCAAGCTTACGCTCGATCGCACCAACACGCAGAAATCCCAGTCTAGTCAGGTTCTGCGGAATCGTCAGCCGGAAATTGGGCCGAGGTACTCTATGTGGACTCTTATCAAGTTCATTGCCTCGTACAACAGCAGCGAATGGAAAGTCCTGCTAGTTGGTCTTTTCTGGGCCGGTATCTGTGGTTGTGGTAACCCAACTTCTGCTGTCCTGTTTGCGAAGGAGATTATTTCTATGTCAGCTTACGGAGTATCGGCAACTGGCGCTGAGGTTCGATCAAGCAGTGACTTTTGGAGCTGGATGTACTTCATGCTGGCGTTTGTGCAATTTATCGCTTTTGTCTCTCAGGGTGTGATCTTTGCCTGGTGCTCCGAGAAACTCGTCCATCGAGTCAGAGATGCCGCCTTCAGAAGCATGCTTCGCCAGGATATTTGCTTTTTCGACAAGGACGAAAATACCGCAGGTGCTCTTACCTCTTTCCTCAGTACTGGCACCACTAGCGTTGCTGGTCTCAGTGGCGCTACTCTGGGATCCATCCTTACTTGTCTGACTACACTGGTTGCCGCCATCTCTCTTTCGTGCGCTATTGGCTGGAAGCTGGGACTTGTGACTACATCTACTATCCCTGTTTTGATTGGATGTGGTTTCTTCCGATTCTGGATTTTGGCTCGATTCCAGGCCCGTGCTAAGAAGGCCTACGAGTCCTCCGCCAGCTATGCATGCGAGGCCACCTCTGCCATTCGCACCGTCGCTTCATTGACTAGGGAAGACGATGTTCTTGTGCACTACCAGGCTGCATTGGCTGCGCAGGGCAAAAAGAGTCTTCACTCGGTTTTGAAGTCTTCAACCCTGTTTGCTGCGTCCGAATCCCTCACTTTCCTTTGCATGGCGTTGGGCTTCTGGTATGGTGGTACCCTCATTACCAATGGCGAATATACCATCCAACAATTCTTCATTTGTTTCCCTGCTATCATTTTCGGAGCCCAATCCGCTGGAAGTATGTTCGCATTCGCACCAGACATGGGCAAAGCACAAGAGTCCGCTCGCGAGTTGAAAACACTCATCGACTTCAAGCCATCAATCGATACTTGGTCGACCGAAGGAGAGAAGGTGAATGAGATCGAAGGACGCATTGAATTCCGTGACGTCCATTTCCGTTACCCAACCCGGCCTGAGCAGCCTGTTCTCCGTGGTCTCAACCTCACCGTTGAGCCTGGTCAGTACGTCGCATTGGTTGGCGCTTCGGGTTGCGGAAAGTCTACCACCATCGCTCTTCTCGAACGTTTCTATGATCCACTTGTCGGAGGTGTCTTCGCCGATGGCAAGGAGGTTTCCTCTTTGAATCTGCCAGAATACCGATCATTCCTCGCTCTTGTGTCCCAGGAACCTACTTTATACCAAGGCACCATTCGTGAGAACATTCTCCTGGGTACCACTCTCAAAGATGTCCCCGATGAGAAAATCGAAGTCGCGTGCCGCGAAGCGAACATCTACGATTTTATCATGTCTCTGCCAGATGGTTTCTCTACCATCGTCGGTAACAAGGGAGCCATGTTGTCTGGAGGCCAGAAGCAGCGTATCGCTATTGCCCGTGCCCTTCTTCGGAACCCAAGAATTCTTCTTTTGGACGAGGCTACCAGTGCGCTAGACTCGGAGTCTGAGCGGGTTGTGCAGGCTGCCCTCGATAAGGCTGCCAAGGGACGCACTACCATTGCTGTTGCTCACCGGTTGTCGACTATCCAACGTGCCGATGTCATCTATGTCTTTGACCAAGGCCGAGTGGTTGAGGCCGGAACACATGGAGAGTTGATGAAGCTTGGCGGCAAATACTTTGAATTGGTGAACTTGCAGAGCTTAGCATCATAGTCCACGGGCTTAGACTTAAACATTACATTGTACATAGACTATTACACATCAGAACTGAAAATACAATCTCATAATTAATAGAGTCATTTGATCAAATGCTGCCAGGTATGACCATGACGTCATATGTATAACGTGACCGCTTTATGCGAGTTGGAGGGGCATTGTAGACAACTCACTTCTACCAGCTGAAGTTGCCATTCGAAACTCCATTCTTCCTAACAATTACGCAGAAATGTCTACAAGTGCAAAGACTGTCATCGCCACCGGCGCCTCGTCGGGCCTGGTACGACCCCCTACCTGAACACTGCAGACAATGCTCTAACACAGATACCAGGGCTTTGAATCAGTGAAACAATTGCTGGAGAAATCCGAGCCTTACAACTTCATCTTGGGCGCTCGAAACACTGAAAAGGTGCAGGCTGCCTACAATGACCTTGGTTACGACAACAGCAAGCATTCCGTCACTATCATTCCCCTTGATCTCTTGAGCCTGCGAAGTGTGCAGCTCTTCACACAGCAGGCACTCGCCAAGTTGGGGCCTAACCGCGTCGACATCCTTTACCTGGCTGCTGGAACGCTGGACAGCGCTGAAGGGCCCGGCCCCCACGGTTCTCAGTGGTGTGAGGGTTATGTAGTGAACCATTTGGGTAAGTGGGGAAATGCCCCGCTAGATCCGATTCCTCAAGAAATTGCGGCTTAATATGCTGATAACATTAATAGCTCAGCACTACCTCGTTCACCTACTCCGTGAAACACTCATTGCCTCAAAGACTCGTCTCGTCTTCGTTTCTTCTGGCGCAATCCGCAATGTCAGAGACCAGGACCCTTGTTAGTATTCACCACCTGACAACTAAACTATACCATTTGTATTAACAATTGGGTCTATAGCTACTCTTGATAAAGACCTAAAGGCCAAATCAGGTGCAGGTGTTGGTACAGTGTACAGTGCCTCGAAATTCGTGCAATTGCTGGGTGCTCACTACTGGCGCCGCAACCTGCCTGAGTGCACTATTGTTGCTGTGTCCCCCGGTCTTATTCCTAGCACTAACCTTGCTACGAGCATGGGTCTGAGCATGAGCATGCCAGATGCTAAGACTGTCCCCGAGGGTAAGGACCAATGTTCTCCAAGATTGTCTCTTTTAGACGTGAATTCTAATTTTCTTACAGGTGCTCAAAACCTTCTTCGTGCCTTCACTGTCAGCGACCTCCCTGCCGATCCGGAGCAAATTTTCCTCACTAGCTGGGGAGAGTGGTGGCCTAAGGATGTCTATGCTATGAGTCTTGACACCAAGCTCCAGGACAAGTGGTGCCTCAGCTTGGAGGAAATCGAGAAAGAGGAGGGTCTTTCTAACCAGTAAATGTCTGGATGGTAATTATTTAGATTACCATTTGGACCTTATCTGTATCATGTGTACCCAAGGTATATAGTTACATATTAGGGTTGCACATACATTGAGGTGTGACAGATCATCCTGCATGGGACGATCTCCCGTTCATAGCCCCTTTAGCTTCAACAAAGTTCTCGATTCTCTCAATAGGAACAGTCGTATCCTATTCCCAGAGAGGAGATGCAATTACCAATTGAGAGAGCTACTATCAATGTGTGTATTTTCTAAAGCGGTCGATTATTATTACACTGGTGAGCCCTGAAGATCAAGACTTCAATTGACGTTATTGTAATTGGTAAATACGTAAATAACAGGAGCCAAGTATTACTGATGTCCGAAAAGACACTCATACACACTCCGTTAGATTATTTTTGAGCATACTTCCAAAAATAGTTCTCTACTCCTTAAAGGCTTGTCGACCAAGCTCCTCTGTCTCCATGGTCAATTCCTTGATAAACAACGAGCTCAAGAAGCCCACAGCACCAAAAGCTGCAAGTTCATACCAGATTGTTTGCATCGCATCTTTATATGCCTCTCGGATGAGGTCACGTAGGGCAGGAGAGATATCCACAGAGCGCAATAGTGGAATAAAACTAATAGCCTCACTAGGATCCTTCAACAAAGCCACAGAAGCGGGCAGTGAGGCGATTGCATTAATCTTCCCTTAAAAAACGCTGCTAAACGTAGTCGCACCAATCGCAAGGCCAATAAGAGCGCCAAAGAGGTGAAATGCAACCATAATGCCCATAGCAAGACCTTGGTCTTCGGCCGTTGGTGCACTGGCCTGCAGGGGAATTGGAGGCACACTGAAAACCGTGCCAATACCAATTCCAGCAATCACCTGGAAGCTGGCTGTCATGGCAAGAGACGAGCTTTGACTCCATAATGATAGAATACCAACTCCAACTGCAAGAAACACCCATCCCACCCAGATCTCCCAGCGGTATTTTCGGAAGAGATCCACGGCCCAGGCGGCGATTCCCGTAAACACGAAGACCACGCAGCAGAACGGTAAGATTGAGATTGAAGACTTGAGCGGCGTCTCTAGGTAGACGGCCTGGAAGAAAAGTGGAAGGTACTGCAGCAGAGCATAGAGAATCATATCATGGATGAAGCTACCAAGGAGGGTCATCTGGGCAGTCCGTGAGCGGAAAATGCGGTAGGGAAACACAAGGTCATTCGGACGTGACTCGTAAAGTGCAAATCCCAATAGCATCAAGGCACCAATTACGAGCGGTACAATAGTCCGCCATGAGCTCCAGGGGTACATATTTCCGGCCCAACTCAGCGGCAAAGCGAACAGAATGCAGCCGACCATGAACATCAGCATTCCTAGCCAATCCATTCGTTTCACTTGCTCGAGAGGCTGTGATATAGGTCTTAGGCGCATGAAGAAGATCACCAGCACGAGTGCAATGCTGATCACGGGAAGATTGATCCAGCCGATTCAGCGCCAGGAGACATACTCGCTGAACACTGCACCGAGGATTGGGCCCATGACACATCCTGCTGCCATTGGAAGAGACAACATGCCAATGTACACAGCGCGCTCTTGGAGAGTGGTGTTGTCAGCGATGATCAATTCACTGAGGACGTCGGGTCCTCCTCCGCCTAATCCTTGAATCACACGGCCCAGGATTAGGACTGCCATGCTTCACGCGACGGAAGATACAATGGATCCGACTCCGAAGACAGCGAATGCCGTGTATAGTAGGATCTTACGGCCAATGATGTCGGAGAAGCTGGTGTAGATGGGCTGGACCACCATGACTGCTAGGGTGAATGATATTTTGGCCCAGAAGGCAGTTAAGTCGTGCCTGAAAATCTTTGGTGACGGCCTATCAAATCAAGTGAGCAGGTACGTATGTTCAAGGAATGTGCAAGGACCTACAAGGACTGGAACGGCCAAAGTTGTGGCGTTCAATGAGCTGAATACTCCATTTCTGTCCCCTACTAATCAAGCACCAGCTCTTTTAAAGCTATAATTGATCATTACATCATGCTGGGTCATTTGTGATCTTGGGTGTTGCATTTGGACCAAAGTGCCGCACTACATATTGTATTCTCCGAATCCAGGCATATTCTACTGTACATTATTACAGCTATCTCAAATTGACCAATCCTATTCTCTCAATCTTCAACGGTTGGCAACTTGGGGCCAATACTTTTGTCAACGTATTTTGCAGCGGTAAGCATTAGATTCTAATTGGACAGATGTGCATGGACGGCTGCATGATGCATGAATGATGAAACCACACCAAGCCTCAAAATTTTAACTCCTCTCTGCCTGCCCTTAAAACCTTTGGTAGTGGTTCTTGTACTTCCGGGGCAGCTTTTGCACTCATGTAAGCTCACTGCGTCAAAGAAATGGAATGTTTACATTCACATGAGTTAAACATACCCTTATATTATGCTGTCTTTAATAGATATTTCATCTGCTTATAGTGATGCTAGCTCTTTGGTCTTTGCAAGGTAAGATTACTCTAGAACTGATTCACCTTGCTAGCTATAGTTTGGGTAGTACACCCTAAAATTTGGACTCTTCAGATCCAGGGAACAGAAAATTATATGACTATTCCTGTGAGCTCGATGATGCACGGTACAAGAAAAAGAAGGGCTGGGCAACCCAGCAGAGCGAGGACCTCAAAGGCGTACATCGAGTCACTGGGAGTTTCGAACATGTGATGTACGTATTTGGTCCTGTTTGAAGCAAGGGAAGGTGTCAATCGCCAAACCTGACAGCCCCGGAGGATGCTCGATGTAAGGAAGAGAGGGTAGGAAGGAGCAACCTATAGCGGCCGCTGCTAGCACCTAGGGTCAAATAGTCATCGCATCGGGTGATCAGAGCCGTCAACAAAAGAGCTAGTACTAAGTATTTGGCAGACTGTCTAAGCGAAGGAAGCGGAGGAATCGATCTTGTATTATATAAACTCCTTTAACAGGCATCCATAGAAACCTTCTTGCACCTGGGCAAGATTGCACACCGCGAGAACATGAGACTCTCATACAATATTGATAAGCAAAATTTCGAAAGAGAGAGGTAGTAGCAATATGCAGGATTTGACTTATGATAGAGAGGTAATACAAGCAGAAAAAGGAAGGAAAGACACTGATTCTCATGATTCCAGCTCCGAGGAGCGTCCTAATTCCAATCTAATTCCGATCATAACTTTGCCTATTTGTGACCTTCTTTGGCAATAGATGCCAAGTACTGGTGCGCTTATTAAAAGCTTGCACCTAGTTGTTATTCTGTCCATTCAGGATACGGAGAATGGACATGAACAAATTCAGCACATCCAAGTAGAGCGAAATAGCCGCAGCGATTTCCTCCTCGACATGGTAGTGACGCATGACTAGCTGCGTATCAACCAAGATGTAACCCGAGAATATCAAGGCACCAAGCACGCCATATACAGTCTCCGTGGCGCTGCCGAATGGCAGGAACATCGCAACGAAGCCGAAGAGGATCATGAACCACAACGCGCCAAATAGATACGGCATCCAGCTTGTGAAGTCGTACTTTGTCTGGCATGCGAATAGTGTCAAGGCAAGGAAGATACCCAGAGTCAAAACGAGAGCCTGAACGACAACTCGCGCATCGTAGAAGGATGTCACCACGCTGATAGAGTAGGCTTCCATGACCGTGAAGGCGGAGAGGAAGAGCAGGTTGGAAGGATAGGACTTGCGCTTCCAGTAGGTCGCTAGCATGAATCCAAGGGCGCCGAAGATAGAGATGATCATCAGCCAGAAGTTGGATTGGATCCATGTACGGTAAGAGTCGTTGAAAAAGGAGATGGAGCTGAGGATGGTAGTGAGGAGAATTTGAGCAGTGCTGGGAGAGATTCGAGGTTAGTTCGAAGTTTCGACTTTGTTCGTGAAAAGGAAGCCCTTAGACTTACAGGATTGAGTACACCTTGCGCACAAATTGCATCCTGATTTCAATGGTTCCCTCTGCCACAGTACCTCCGAACTATATCAAGAGACCATTGTTAGTATCTTCTAATCCTGTCGTAAATGAGAGGATACCTTCTGAATATCCGACATACCTTGAAATCATCGGGAAGATTATCATTCTCGGTGCGAGGCCCAACTGGCTCAGCAGGCTCAGCAGTTGCCTGATAAGACGGTGGCGCTTGAGTGTAGTGCTGGTCCTCAAAGGAGTCCCGCTGCGGGGCGGGCTCATACCGTGCGTTCGCAGCCATGTCGTGGGGTATCAATATTCTCTGATCTTGCGTGTCGTTCGGCTCTTGGCTCGATGAGAGTACTGGGTTGATGTGGATGGAAAGAAGCGTGGAGTCCAGGATGACAATGGGGCGCGGGCCATGTGACGCTTGATCGAGTCACGTGTAGCCTTATCTGTCAGATAAGAGAATGCGGAGAGCTTCGACCACTGTATGGAGTATAGGATCGATCTACACTATGCACTAATGAACACTCCAAGAAGACAACCTTTTTCTACTTAGAATTGAAACTGAGCTTAAAATTGAGCTAAAAAAGAGAGCTGGCAAAAAGCTTTACACTCATAATTATTGATATTTCTCCCTTGGAACGACTATGTCCAATTCAGACTGGATGACATCATTAAGTATATGTGCATTTCATCAAAGAAAGGTTCAGGTAGCTATCATGAAGTCAAAATCATGTTATGTTCAAGCGAGTCGTATAACGAATTATTCATTGATCCGGTGCATCGCAGATCGCTGGTCACCTGTCATCTCTGCGTCGTCATGGTCGGGGCCAACATCAACCGTCGAGCCCGAGTCTTCATCGGTGGTTAACTCTTCATCCTCATCAGAGGAATCATCAGCACCGCGTAATGAGTCACGCGTGACTCCCGTACCGGCTAAGTACGATGGAAGGCGCCTTCTCTCAAAGTCGTGAGCATGGGCACCCGCAACCTTGTTTCCAACGCGAGCGAAACTAGCCGATGGACGTCGGTTTCGTGCACGTTGACTGGTCATGGATGATGGTGTTCCATGTTCAGCATCTCCTGCAGACATGAAAGGAGTGTTTTGCTGTTCCTGAAGCTGGACATCATCCGCATGGGCACCATCAAGCGCTGGTGTGGCAGTAATTTCATATGGAAGGGGTGTGTCTCGTGATGCACGGAACAAGAGCACGTTGGTGCAGTGCTCGTTCTCCACACGAAAGATAGTCCAGACGCCTCGACGGAAGACTTCTGAGAGTGAGACAACAAAGCTGAGGACAGCTGAGTGCTGGATGTCGTTGACAAATATGGCGTAGAAGATCCAATTAAACCGAATGATCACATCCAAGACCATTGCGACATAGTACACCCAGACTCGTCGAAATGCTAGCATTTCACGCAACAGAGGATGCCTAGCATATGCATTGCCCAAACTCCAATCCATTATCAAGTCCCATACTGAAGTATAGACAGAGTTCAGAAGTGCAAACGTGATGAATGAGGCCTGAAAACGAGTGTGACGGTCGATGCGATACATGCTCAGGGTGGCGTAGTAGAGGATGCTGAAAATGTACTTTCCCAAATTCAAGAGATGAGGGAAAGCATTCTTCGTGTCGACGTATCGCCTGATGCACTGAAAGGATCGCCATACTGCTGGAAGACAGGTGAAGAACCCAAGCAGCCTAGAGTGGCTCGAGTTACACTGTGTAGGGTTACTCCAAGCATTGGCGTAGAGACAGAAGAATAGCTCGATGTTCTAAAAGGGATTAGCGCAGTTGTTTGAAAAGGTAACAAAAATCCTTACCCCCATAGCGTAACTCTGGGAACAGTACATGTCACCGAGAAAGAAATCTCGGAATTCGACAGGGTAAACACCGGCAAGTAGAAGACGCCACTGTATTTGTTAGAACGAACAATAAAAAGCATCTAAATAGGCTTGACTCACATTCGAAAATGCCCACCACTTTCTGCTGCGGTGATACAGCACGCGGGCTGGCAAGAAGACGATGACCAGGGTCAGAAATATGAGCACAACAGGCCAGTATATGTACATGGAATTAATCCATGAAAAGTTGAGCCACATGAAAAGGCCCAGGGCGAACATAAAAAACGCGGGAATCTAAGGAGGCGTTAGTTCAAAATAGAAAACTGGAAATGGAACCATGAGGCGTAAACATACTTCAAGCAATTGGCGCCACTCCAGCGTGTGTCTGGTATCATATTCGAATACAAATGCATAGTTAATCTTCGACTTGGTCCAGATCATACAGTCCAGGGAAAATAGCAAGACGTGAAAGACAATTAAAAAATAGCCGCCATAAATCTGGATCGAGTCAGCGATGTACGGTTTACACGGGGGGTGACGTAAGGGAGGACAAACCTGCAATAGATAACTAGTGCGAACTCGCTCCACTGCTTCGGCAGCGCGCAAATGCTGTGACGCATATACCAGCGACTGTATAGCGAAAAGCACACCCGCCATGAGCAGGAGACCTGCTCGAAAAGTGCTGGGAGAATAATCGCCGGATTTGTTGATTGTGTGGCGAAGCTTGGACACAGCAATTTTGCGATTACCACGTTCAAAATATCGGGCATATAAATCTTCGACCGCCGCGATCAGATTCTCGGTCTCTTCACTCTGCACAAAGGACGCTTTGTTGACTCGTTCAGTCATGTACCGCAGCAACGGGCGGGCATTGACAGTTTTGTCGTATTTTTTGTTGATCTTGCGAAAGGCCTTACGGTTGAGATAAGCATACCCCTTCAGGAGTTCGACCCCACGGTAAAACTCCTGCAGTGCATGTTTGAGTTTGCGTTTCGCAGATCGATATGACACGTCATTGTTTTGTGGATCCTGTCGGCGCATGAAGTCTCGTCGGCTGGCAATAAATTCACGCTCTCGCTCAGGGATCCTCGGGGTCGCCATCGCTGCTAACGCCTGGGTATTCTTTCCGATCCGAGATTTTCCAGTCAGGGTATCCTTGATTCGGGAGCCGTTGAGTTTGCCGAGCTTGTTCGTGCGCTGGGTTTGGTCATCCTTCATCAGCTTTACGGCTCGTTTGGTCTCATACACCTCTTGGATGCGCTGATCTCGCATAACGTGCAACTGTTGTCGGAGAGCCTTAAGTCGGTTGTGGGCCTCCTGCTCTTTCATCTTATAGAAGGAGTCGATTTTGGTCAATTCGCTATCCAAGAACTCAAAGAACTCATCCTGGCGCTTCTCGGCGTCAAATGCAGAGTCCATCGCTGATTTCTTCCCTACTCCTTCGCCTTCTGTATGGGAGAATACTCGCCGAAGAAGCTGCGACCCACGCTTTTGTGAGTTCGTTTTGGTCAAATCTTCTCCTTGGTGGCTAAGACTCTGAGAAGTGGGATGCGTTGCCAACGATGGGACCCTTTGATCTCCCGGACTGTTTCCCCCTAGTTGAGCTGAAGGCGTACCGAACGTTGCGCGTCTGGTCATGACCGGGGACGGGGTCCTGACATCCTTGCGACGACCCGAATCCTGGTCGGTACTCTGCCCCGGCGGCGAGTACTCATCTGGGTCCATTATAGGATCTGGCAGCTCGAAAGATGCCCCATCTGATCCTGCCTTCCCCAAGGGCTCCGGCGGCGTTGCCATGATGCTTCCATAGCTCCCTACGGTCTCTGGAAACCGTGCCCCCGCAGCGCGCAACGGCTGTCGCTCTTGCCCAGGCGTAGATTTGGATCGTGGGATGGGCTGGGGACTGGAGCCCCGACGTCGGGCATTCGGTGTTGAAAGGTCATCTGGTGCGGTCCTGTCCAGAGGCTTATCGACGGTTGGTGTTTCAAAGGATGATTGTACAGCGGTATGTGAGGACGGAGCATGTCGAAAGGATGGGGGGAGGGGACTTCGGTTGCCCTTCTGGATGGCTCGTGTGATACCCTTGAGCTTTTTCTTGCCCGTCTACAGAGGAAGCATGTTAGTCACAAATCTCTTGGCGAATGTAACCATAGAGAGCCAGGATATACCTTGTAGTCGAGATACTTTGCCCTCCACTCAGGAACTAGTTCCTGTTCCAACTCTCTGTGTGAAAATGGTCAGTCGTCGAATGTGCTGTTGGGCATGAGGGGTAGACAGACTTCGCGAATTTCATCCTGGCCAGCGAATCTCCGTCATGGCATACCTCTGGGTGGTTGGGAGGGGAAGAGAAGTGAAAAAGTCAATTAATAGATTGGGCGTGAAGAATTCACTAAGATTGGGTAGTGCGATTCACGCCGGCGCAGATAAGCTGCAGGGCGCAACTTTCGGGTTCTAGTTGATACGGTGGAAGGAAGAACACGAAGTAAAGTATTCATCAAAAGCAAATAAAAAAAGTGGATGTCGATCTAGGGCTTGCCAGAATCAGGGACCAGGATTCTCGAACTCCTGTACCCCAAGATCTGGTTAAAGTCTCATCGCATGTACAGTTTAAACGCAACAATCAACGACGCTGCCTCGGGCACGTGCTGGTGATGATTTCATCGATTCCTGGATTCTCAGGCGATCAGGCCCCGCAATTGGTCAGCCGCGCTCTCTCACTGGCTGAACAACCGCGCTCATCTTCCGTGCCATGGCTGAGAATTCCATAGTTTATGTTTATGGTTATCGTGGTTGACTTGCAATCCCTGCAGTTTGTCCCACGCTCTATTGCTCAAGTACACTAGCCAGGGTCAATTGTTGGACATGGCTGGTATCATAGGCGAGAAAAGTGCAGATGGACATTTATGATCGACGAGCTTGATGGAATGCGATGTGGATCCGGAATGTTGCTCGGCGGGTTCTCATGGTGATGACTGGCTCGGGGGATAATCATGTAAAAACAAAGACCAAAGAAATCCGATCCCTGCAACCCTGGGCTGCAGCATGCATGTCATAATACCTTGAGGCATAATTCCGGAGCTACGTATGCCTATATAGGGCTACATACACTACTTAGCCACCCGAAAGGGGGCCGGGGAAATATGAAGGTGGATATGCAAACTAGAAAATTCCAGTAATTCTACCTTATCAATGCTCGTCTTCCTATACAAAAACTGGGGAATAAAAGAGCCCAGGGAATCTCATGGAAACAAAATCATGCCTTCGTCCAATGCGTGTCTTTTCGAGGCCGGGTTTACCACTGGCGCTCGAAGCGCTCACGGCGCTCAAAGTGCTGGGGGGGCTCGTAGTGGGGGTGCCACTCATCACCACCGTGCCGGCCGTAGTGCTCATCGTACATAGCCTCGGCGTGCTTCTGGCCCTCATGCTTGGCCTTCTCGCGATCAATAGCGTCCATACCCTTGGTCTCGGCAAGCTTGTCGACCTCGGCACCGATGAAGCCCACGAGAAGCTCCTTGGCAAGGGCGTGCTTCACAGGCTTGCCTGTTAAGAATGAGTCAGCAAATTGCTCGGATTACCATGCGTATAGAGCTTAAGGGGTGGATGAGGGGATCGACGTACCCAACTTGCGCTGGTGGTCCTCCCAGGCCTTCATGCCAGCGAACGAAGCGGCACCGGCGATAGCCTCGTGCGAGAACTTCGCCTCGTGGTGGTACTCCTCGCCCTGCTCGTACACCTGGCGGTGAGACTCCTCGGCGTGGTCTAGGTTACTTGTTAGTTTCAGCTCATAGAATATTTCTGACTTGAGACGAATTTGCGCCATGGGGAAAAGGTCAAGAAGACAGGTGACTGAGGTAATGCACGTGGTGTAATGCATGACGTAGATCCAAACATACCAAAGAAACCCATTGTGAATATAGTAATGTGAGAAGGTGTTTTATAGAGTAGTTTGATGATGAGAAGAAAAGAATATTTAGCAGGGGAGTTAGCGGGGTCTTATACCCGAGCTACGGGGGAGCGAATAATCGAGAAGTCTACAGAATACGTGTTCCGCTCAGTGTAGCCAAGAGCAGCTCTTTTCCTTTCCTGTCTCAGCCTGAGCTGCCCCACCAATCTGTGGACAGTGTGGCTGAGGTGAATTTCCTATGGGGGGTGCTATCCTGGGACAGTCATAGGGAGACGGAGTAGGACCCTCCAAAATGTTGTTGGACCATGGATTTCCACCGACCAACGGAGTCTTTGCCCCTCCATAGTGGAGCTGATCGATCGCACCGCCATCCTGAGTCTTTGTTACGTATGTCTGGGGGTTGGGCTGACGAGGGGCAATTTGAAAGCTGACCCAGTGATATCAGCGCAGGGATCTTAGTGTTATTGGGAGGCCTATCATGAGCTCTAGCTTGGGCCGCTGCATCGGACCACAACTGCGCCCAGACTCTAGGCATGACCCTCGAGGACGATCACATACTAGCCAAGAGTCTTTTTCGCCAGTATGCTTTCCTCATTAGCAACTACGACGAGTGAGGATGTCCCTCTATATCCCGTGCCGGTACACATTATCCGGCGCTCAACAACATTTACGACCTTCACCCAAGTAAACAACCGCCTACAGACTACAGTGATGCTTCTGGCCTTACATGACCGGAGCGCCGCGCTTCAGTGGTTCCGAGTGCTGAAACGAAACCGAAACAATATTCGAAAAAGGGTACGAGTACGTGTCCCACTCGGCCCAATCGCACGCTGATCGGGGGAGGGGCAGGATCCATTCAGCCCTACTCCGCTTACCGATAGACGAATCGAATCTGTGTACGCGCACCACTAAACTCAATTAGTCGTAGCGGTAAGACGATGGATGCTTCCGGAATACGCGGTAGTACCAGCTGAAGCGTATGCAGGTATTGTGATGTGCAGTGCATTGAGCCGGCGTCTCCGGGCCAAGCTTCTCCCGGGAGGCTTGTCCACACGCCTTACAAGGAGAGTTCTTGGCGGTATTGAACCAGCCACAAGGACAAGCGGTGAACAATGAACAACTCTTCACGTCTTGGTAATGATTGACCCGGCTAGAGTTCTAGATAAAACCACAGAGGCTCAGGTGATTGTTATTCCCTGTCATGTTCTTTGTTCTTTTTTTAGTGGGATACAGTATGGTTCACATTACGTACTCCCTGCACCGCCCCATGTGGCGCCCGGTCAGGGACTGCCGCCAATTCCGATTCTACTAGTTTGACTCATTAGACCACAGACCAAGAGACCGCCTTGCGTTTAGCGTTATGTTGATCGACTATTATACCTATGTGCATTGTTGTTTTGGTGTTTCATCCGACTTCTATCTTCGTATACATCAAATCGTAGTTCGAAAGTAAGTATATGGTCACTATTCGTGATCATGGAAGGGTTATATTGGCGACGCCATCTATATACATATTGCAGGGGTAGATTGTCTTGCTGCAATTAAGAACAGCCAGCTTAATTATCTCATTCAATGACCCTGAAAACGTAATTAGTGTCATAATACTACATAAACATTAGGAACGTAACTAAAGCTACCAAGGTCCTGGTCACCCGGAGAGTCTTGGCAGCGGGGATCAATTTACTCCCTAGGCAACGACAATACGACTATTTTTACATGCAATTTACACCTCCATACACAAAAATCAGCCCCGCAACCCTCGGCTCCCAACAATCCCTGGTTTATGACAAGATCTTCGGCATAACGCCGCCGACATCAGAAAGGGTCGTGTTATCCGTAATCTCCGAGCTTCAGCCACAATTGACGGCATTTGGTGATTCAGCCACAGGCAGCCACAAGCTGCTACACCCACCGGTCAATAATTTCGAGCAACTACTATTCTTAGAGCTTGAGAAGGTAGAGCAAAGCTCCCTGTCGACCAAACCAGCTTGTGAGGAGCTAAGCCACAAGCTATCCAGCTGCATAAGCATCAATTGAAGCCCTTGAAAGAAAAAAAAAACCACATTCACCATGCCCACCAAGACCCCAAGCCAAGCTGATTTCCCCTCCAACCTTACCGTCACCATTACACTCCCACCAAATCCCACCTCCAGCCCCTCCCCAAATATCCTGCTCCTACTCCACGGCCTCGGTGACTCAGCCGCAGGCTTCACGCCCTTCGGCCGAGCCCTGCACCTCCCCGAAACAACAGTCATCACCGTCCAAGCCCCCGCCCCGGTCCCCTTCGACCTAGGTGGTTTCCACTGGGGCGACGATGTCGCCTTCGACAGCTCCACCGGCGGCCTAGATATGGACGCCGGTTTTACGAGGAGTCCAGCTATACTCGTCAAGGACCTCGTACGGGGCGTTCTAGTCCAGAAATGCGGCTACCGACCGCGCGAGATCCTGGTGCTTGGATTTGGACAAGGTGGGATGGCTGGGCTGAGTCTTGCGCGGGAACTTGGCAAGGCTGGAGAGGGCGTGGATAGTGAGCCTTTGGCGGGTGTGATTTCGATTGGGGCGCCCTATCCGCTTTCTGGTTCGCGGGCAGGCTCCAAGAATCGCACTCCTGTGCTTTTAGTATCCGGGCGGGATTCGGTCGTTGTCTCGGATGAAGCGGTGCGTAGGACTAAACAAGTTTTTGAGTTTGTTGAGGTCAGTCGGTATGCGCGGAAGGGAGATGGGATGCCATCTAATCGAGATGAGATGCTGCCTATCATGCAGTTCTTTGCCAGGCGGTTGAGGAGTAGACAGGGTGTTCCCGAGGGAAGCGTTGAGCTTGGTTGAGAATGCAGGGAATAATACAGGGTATGTATCTCTTAGACGGCATAGATGGAGTGGTGTTTGTAGCATTGGTAGGCGCATGATATTGATCCAATAATGGCCCCAGCTGGCGTTTAAATGTTTCTGTTATATCGGTCCTTAATTCGGAGCTACAGATGACTACATTTACTAAGACCTTGATGGCACAATTCATACTATGTACGTGAATGATTCATTGCTATTTATATTACACGTGCTCTGTAAGCGGTGTTGATACAGCGGCCAGCTTACCCACCTTATGTATGTACTCATGCATATATCTCTCACAGAGAGAGAACCAACTCCTTCAACTTCTGGAAGTCGGGGGTACCCAGACCAGTCACTGGGTCCCATCCCGTGGTGGCATTCCAGTGAGCGCCGGGGATAATGAGTGCGCCCGAGACTTCCTCGTCACTCTGAGGGTCAGTGCCAGTGCATCCATAGGAGCTACCCTCGACAATATCGTTCAGTGCCTTGTAGCCCTCCGCGTACAACCAGGGGTTCAGGAAGCCCAGAGCGGGCTTTCCGGCACGCAGACGGGCATCATTCAGAAGACCAATGATGCCTGCGAAAGTAGGCGCAGCAGCAGAAGTACCACCAGAAAGGGACTCCTCGCCTTCGACAACAACGGCGATCCTGTGAATAAATATGTTAAAAATACAGTCTGTGAGACTAAGTCAGAGGGAAACATACCAAGGGTACAAGCTGTGAGCGGACACGTCGGGGAATCCACGGCCCTCAAAGTCGGCGTACTTGGAGTAGTATTCCTTGGTCTCCTTGGTGACGTGAGTGAGGTAGGTCTTGACGGCAGACTCCTGGTACCAAGCACGCTCAAAGAAGTTGGAGAAACCGCCAGATGACGCGTTCCAGGCGACCTCTGGGCTCACGGCCGAGGTACCACCCACGGCCGTAACGTAGGGGCAAGTTGCTGGGAAGATGGGGTTGAACTGGGGAGTGGTTCCATCAACAGCCTGGCAGGCCGAGCCGACACCTACAGTTGTTAGCTTAATCACTACTTTGGCATATTGCTGATCTACTTACCCTCATCACCGGACGAGTGGATAATGGTCAGGCCACGCAGAGTGTTCAAGCCGATCAGATTGCAGACAGACTTGGCATACTTCTCGGGAACGGTCTATAGGGAAAAATGTTAATAACAAAGCCACGATTGATTTGAAATGATTCTTACCTGCTCGTCATCACCATACGATTGCGAGATCACCTGAGGGAGCTCAGAGTTCTTCTTAGAGAGCAGGTACTCATAGTAGATCAGGTAGGGCTCGTTCTCATCGTCTGACTCGGTGGGCTCATCGGCATCAGGGATGAAGGGACTAATTACAATTAGCTTTTGAATCATGAAAACAATTGATAGACAACGTACGCAACACCACCGGTAATAAATTCATGGATGGGCAGAGGGTGAGACATGGCACTGATCAGCTGCACATCCAGGTTGGCTTCGCCGCGAGTGGTAGAATTCTGGTCGTTCGTACCACCGTTGAGAAGTTCAACGGTAAATGCCTGGGCAGGAATGTCGAAAAGTTTCTGGTACTCAGCCAGATCGGATTGCGAGGCAGTCTCGTTCAAGAAGCTGCCGAAACCAACAACACTACCGGCCGAAACCTTAGGGGTGTAGTCACCCACGTTGTACATCTCTCTGAGGCACGCAGGAGTAATGTAATCCTCGCATGAAGCAGAGACAGTTGTGCGAGCCTCAAGGTTGTTTGACTCGCGAGGCATAGGAAGAGCCTTGCGGGTCTTGCCAAAGTAAACAGTGGGAGAGATGATATCGATATAATCGCTTAGAGCACTGGGGATCGAATACTCGGTAGTGCGGAGCTTCACCGATCCCTCGCTCTCATAGTTGGCGAAGGTAGTGTTAAGAAGGCTGTTCATCGACTTAACGCTACCACTGAACTTGAGCAAAGCACCATCGAGGGTGTAGGATGTAATGTTTGCGCTCTTCAACCAGTTCACAACTGGAGTCTCGGACACCACAGGGAACTGGGAGTCCACATCGGCCTTCTCCAGCCATTGGCCATACTCCGACTCACCGGGAGTTGAGACTTTCGTCAAGGTGGATTGCAGCTGGTCGATGTTCTTGCGAGTTAACGAAATGGCTAACGACATAGTCGAGTCAGAGGGAGTGTCGATAAGCGACCAACTACTAGGAACACCTCCAGATAGACTTTCCCAGACCACGCCCATTGCAGGCGCGGCCAGAGTACAGAGCAATCCAGTATAGATTGTGGAGTGCATGATGAACAGTCTATCCTTGGAGAATGGAAAGAAAAACACTACAGAGGAGAAGTGGCAGGGATCGTCGGGTCTACTTATGCATCGTGCCCCTTGCCAGTACCTGAATTGCAGTGCAATGTCCTCGTGCGCAAATTATTGTTTGATTAGCCAGCCCCGCTCTTGCTCATCAATGCATTTTTTGGAGCTCATCGCGATTCAGCCGACGGACACCCCGGCCCGGGCCAGGAACCAACAATACTTTGTCCATGGGTTACATCCTGTGGGGTTTTGTTATCAGTAACGCGAGCTCCGCCATTTCCCCCGGGACAAAGGCAAATTGGAGGCACACATTGCTTACTGATTCCTCAGCGATGTAATCAAAACTCCCATGGCAACATGGTGTTGTTGTCGTCCCCAAAGTTCTGATTGGATCTTCCATGTCCTTTCCCTTAAACTCAATTGTCTCTCAACAATTCTTTCGGTTGAGTGAATAACAATGGGCTCATCGGCAAACATAGCGATCGGCAGGGGCTCCACTCGCCTGAGCAGATACTAAAAGCCGGAGTCCGCCGGGCTTGAAAGGAAGCCACTCTGCGAAGCTTGTCCTTTCCAAGCTTCTGCCGAACTTTGAATGTCTCCACGCATATTAACCGGCTCTCTAAGCGATTTTATTCACGGCAATTAAGTAGTCGCGTAAACGCCAATGCTCTCTGAGATTGCAAAAGAGGGGGATGCATGACGTGGAGATATGGGTCCGAGCTTCCATTGTTGATAACAATAAATCTTATCCGTTGCCCTGGCATAATCATTGCAACATCAAATAGAACGCGGGGCATAAGATGCGCGAGAAATCTGTGGAGATCTAGACTGTGGCCCTAATTCTTTCCTAAAATCCGGCTCCAAGGTGCCATTCCTTGCTTACCTGCCTTCTATAATCTTTCCAGGGCTCTTGCAAATTGGCCTTTGAATGCAACCTGCTCAGGTGAAGGACTTAGCCCGTATCATCTTGGTGATTTGAAGATATATTTGTCCAACTCGTATGACTGCAGAACGCCCACCCTAACGTTTCTCATTCATTATCTAGATTGGTTCTGCCGTAATGCGGTTTATCTCAGAGGATTTCGTTTTTCCTGAGATTTCGTCGGAAATGTGTTTGCCTATTTGCCCAATAAGTCCGATCGCCGATCGTACTCTGCTCTGAGACTGGAGCAATGGGGACTTCGGGATTTGGGGGAGCACAACGCCACGCCCCGCAGGGGAAATGAGGGTCTCATAATAATCGAATGGTGACTCTCACTCTATGATCAGTGGAGGATGGCGACACACTGTTTATGCAAACCTTGCTGCCGGATAGTACATGTCGAATTCCAAGGGAGGTATCTTGTCAGGTGATATGACATGGGTCACGGTAGACAGATCCGAAGATCTATTCCTTTTGAACATCTAGTTCCCCGAGCCGGCTCGCCGAGAAACTTATGAAAGCCTGGCTCGCGTCAGACCAAAACTGCTGCATTGATGATCTCGCACCTGCATTCTGGCAGATTAGAAGATGTGGGACAATTACCTTTGTGTCTCTCCAAATAACTTGTTTTTAAGATGTCGCTTGCAGAAAGCGAGGCCCAACAGTCGAAGCTTCAACGACTTCATGACATAGCTGACGGCACAGATCACAATTGAAATGAGGACTTAACAGGGTCAAAAAAATTATTATAGCTCACTAATGCTGTTATTAGTATAGTATTCAAGTATTCAAGTACTGACATTCGCTCCAGGGCTGCCATCAATTCCAAGGTCACTTCATTGTAAGTCAAGTCCTCTAAATTAGACCCAGCAGGGGAAATTAGTACTGAAGATACGACAACGAAGTAGAAAAACATATATGCTGTATCAAGTGATTTAATGAACCCAAAAAAGAGGGCTGAGATTACCAGCTTGTATATCAACCTTGATAATTAGGAGAAAGAGGTAGCAGACTTCACGAAATCTTCACTATGGGATTATATTTGCACATGCAAATAAGTACTAGAAATTTTCGACAGAAATTGCTTTAGCAGATCCTTAATCGACTTTTCTAATCTAGTTGGTCATATGGTCACGGAAGAAGTCCACAAAGTCAAAGATGGTCCTCTTGAAAGTTCGTGTGAGAAGGCCGTTGGTCCTATTGACACTTTGCATGCCGTACCTGCTATCATAGGTACCCAATTCGTTGTTGTCCACAAAGCTCCAGGCAACGGTACCGATCACGTTCACGCCGTCTTTGTGGATGGCTTTGAGCACTTCGTGTAGAAACCCCTGATAGTATAGTGTCCGTTCCAAGTCATATTGTTGTGCAGGGACAGTTTTTTGCGATTCGGCGAATACTGGGAAGCCAAATTCAGCAACCAAGATGGCGGATGGCTTAAATGTATTCCACAGGTAGCCGAGCTGCTGTCGCACATACTGTGGAGCGATATATGGATAGGCTTCCGATCCATCACCCATCAACCATCCGTTGGCTTGCACGTTGGTCAAAACGACGCAGTGAGGCCACAGAGGATCAGAGCTGTTTTGCACACAGGCCGTCATATCTTCCGCCGGAGAGGCGTACTGAGCGACATACGGGTCGATGGCTAAGAAGTCAATCTTGCCGTGAAACGAAGAGATTTGCTTTTGTGTGAGAGGTGTCAGGTCAAGGTCGGCTGTGCTGAGCACGTCCGCCGGGTATTGTTTGCCAAGGAATAGGGGGTTTCCCAGAATTCCAATCTCGAAATCTTGATATCTAAGTGCAGCAGATGTGTGAGACGATTTGCTCGGGTCTAGAGGCACCGCTAGATTATTGCCAAATTTCATACTGATTTGCCCAGTGCCTTTGAGCTCTGTTTTGTACCAGTCATACACTGCCGCATGGGCTTGCAAGATCACAGTCATAGCGTTGTAAGTCTCAAAGGTCAAGCCCGGGCCCATGTTAATCTCATTGACCGTAATCCAAAAGGGGACTCTGTCGGCGTATCGGGTCATAACTTGCTTGGCGTAGTACAAGAAGTGGGTTTGAAATTCAGGTTCATCAATATTGATCGTAGTGGGCAAATCAAAATGAAACAGCGTCACGATTGGCTTGATTCCATATTCGAGGCAAGTCTGGATCAAGTCATCATAGTGGTCGAGTCCCTCTTGGTTAATTGGGGATCCTGCCACTCCGAAAGGCATCACACGACCCCATGATATCGAGAAAGAATAGTAGGGAATTCCCAAGGCAGCCAAGCGAGCCAGATCCTGTTTATAAAGGAAATAATTCATGTCCGCCACATTCGAGTCATTGGCACCGGAGGATAGAGTGATGGCTCCAATTGTCTCATTAGAGCCAATTGCTCCGACCAAATCCACAATACTTGGGCCCCGTCCTTCCAGCTGCAGGCCGCCTTCAATCTGCCAGGAGCTCCCGGCAACACCCCAGATAAAGTCCGAGGGTAGTGTCAAATGTTCTTCTGGGGCCATCTGGAATGGAAGGTCTGGAGGGAAAACTAGCTCTTTCTTCGCTACTGGCGTCGGGGAGACGGTGGTGGTGAACGGAGGTATATTAGAGTATGATAAGGTGCCCCACATAGCAGCATAAGCACTCTGTCCATATTCACCGTCCATACTCAATGTTGCGCTTGGGTTCAAAGAGTAGGTAGTGTAAGTCGCATCTGTCGGTAACAGTGTGGATGCAACACCAAATGATGGGGCAAAAGGGGTTGGATAAGTGAGAGATGGTTTCAGAGCCGTGGGATAACGATCTGAAGTCACCTGCGTATAGCTGAACGTGCTGTAGGTCGGTTTTTCTGCTCTGGGGACGAGAGCAGCGGCTTGATCATGAAAGAGGAGCATGAGAAACAGACTTGATAGACGCAACAGATCCATCATGATTGTCGATATATCAAATGACTTTTTGAATTGTTGAGGAACGATCAATATTCGCAATCTCGAACTCCACAGCTACCCTTCTTATAGTTATGAGGGAAAGTTGGAGTGAGGCATTCTGCGAATGCTCTCTAGGTCTTCCTGCTTGTTTATGAGTATTGATTGGTGCCCGCTTTATAGGTGGCTCATTTAAGCGAACTATGCATTACTTGTTGCTGGAGAATCTACGGTGGGGTGTCAAGGCTCATCGGATGTTAAGCATGACTACTCCCACCACCTATGTATCATTATGTATCGATTAGCTGAGCTTTGAATCTACCTTATCACAACTTACTTTGATTACTGAAAACCAATAGCCCTGGTAGCAGGTGTTCGAACGTAACGGCGCAATAATAACGTGGGGATCCTCTGTCCCACTTCATACGTGCCGTGCAAGTGGCGCTCTATGCAGATGGTAAGCGAGGTTCTGTTTGCTTATTTTACTTTTATTTCTTGAGTTGATTGGACCTTTGGGAAACCAAGATTTTTCCATTGGTTGGAAAATAGCCCATTAGCCCTTCTTGCACTAGTAGACTACTCGGCTGGAATTGTCTTACCATAGTGGGACGCTCGAAATAAGCCAGCTCAGATGCCTTTGATACTTTGTGGGGCTAGAAGTTCTCCATGTAGAAGGGCTATCCGTTCTTGAAATGCGTATGCTACCCTCACCTCACTTTGAGACTTATTGTTCATATCGAAATAGCGCTGTTTCGAATAAGACTCGCAAGTACTTCCACTATAGTCACACCAAGTGATGCTCTATCCAACTGGATACAAATCAGGTCAATAGAGGACCATTCTCTGATTTCAAGGACAAGCTGGTTGTTATCTCTGGGATGGGTGGTCAAGGTAGGGAAGCCACTTTGTTCTTTGCTAAACAGGGCGCGAAGTCTCTAGGCTCCGATGTTCCCGTACGGGACTATATATATCCTAGCAAACAAGATCGCTTGAGCCAATAGAGAGACGTGGGACCATGGGGCTCGCGAGTGAATATCCACCCTAATCTGACATTTTTGCGTTCTGAGCGCCCGACCTGTATTGCAAAGGCCAAGGCAAAAGGATCGCAGCCATGAGAATAGGGAGAGGATAAACCCTGCTCCGAGTCGCTTTTGAACCATTCAGGTATTTACCTGCATCTTGATGATCTTTAGGCAATGATTCCAAGGAAACATATCCTTTTCGAGTAAATAAGCAGATAGTTTCGGGCTAAAAGCTGGAGCTGCGGGGAAAAGTGGGATGTGTAGTGGGACGAAGGCGTCAATGAGAATCCCCGCAGCCAGCTAAGCGACTGATAAATTATGTTAGAAATCAAGGAAGGTAGGGTCAGTGCAGTAAATCTAGTTTGTTTATTGGAAAATCATGGCTTTCTGCTTGGGGCTTCCGGACTTCAAAGCGATCCTCTTGAACCAATTTACTAAGAACGAGAAATTGGGGCCGTTCTCGCCCGCTATAGAGCAGCTCGGGTATGCAATAGATTCTAGGGCAACCTAGAAGGTGCTTTTGTATACGAAGATGTTTGACCACTATGTTTGACAATTCAAAGATCCCCGAAAATATTTAGTCATCAAGATCTGAGTCAATAGCTTTGTCTTCTTGCCACCAAGGAAACCCTGGTGGACCAACCAAATTCACCGCCGCAACAAGTTCCATGGGACCGAGCTAGGAAACGAATGACAGCTGTCAACCAGACTTATTATAACCACTTGGATCTCATCTACGTCGTCCATCATCTGATCATCATCGGGCCTGATAAAAAGACGATTTTTGGCAGTGAGAAACCTGGAAACCTCCAAACTAATGAATATTGAATACCTATCTATCCAACATACTCAACGGTCCACAGTTAAATATGTCATCAGGCTCATTCAATAACTTTCAAACTCTCCTTGACCAACAGGTCGGATCACTTCAAAAACCATCATCATGGCCACCCATGCCAGGTAGGGCCCAGGTTCTTTCAAAATCGAAATTGGCACCGAGCTGCCAAGTACGTATGCTAACACCGAATAGTCGCAACAGATAACCGGAACAAACAGACCCGCATACCGGCCAGCTCATTGCGTTTCCAAGGCGCTGCCTGGGTTACCGCTGGTGGCGGCATGGCTGCAACACTAGGTGGTGTCCGAAGGATTTTTCGAAACTTCCGGGGAATGAAGTATATCTGACGCGATGTCGAGAGGGCTCTCGAAATTCAAAAGTCATACGACAATAACGTTTCTTGTTTACAATCGATCCCACCAGCAGCAGAAACCAAGGTTCCGGGGTCTTTAATCTCAGTCTCGGTGTTTAGTGAAATATTAATGAATTGTTATCTCGAACGATGTCTATCTTGCTTTACAAATGTTGAAAACTGAATATCAATTACTCGTAATATTTAATGGTAATGTATTATGTTTTCATTCATAACATCGAATTAATTAGGTATTTAGTTAAGTTATCCAATGCCGCTTCATTAACACCATGCGCATCTTCTGAGATGATATTAGGGATTCAACACTTTAAGTCTAACCGTGGTCAAGAGCGTCCGGGGATGAAGGAGTATCGTTTTGCCTGAGAAGGAAAGGGAACCTTCCAAGGTTGGAAAGGCAAAGGAAAGACTTCGGGAATACTTCCACACTCAGCTCCAGGCCCCGTAGATCCAGAAGCAGAACTTTTATCTTTCATGTACACACTCACTTTCTCCCATTTGGAAAGGTCAAACATGTCTAATTTTTATTGGGAAGCCCGATCAAGGGTTCGCCGATATATACAATTCGTTCAAAAAGTCATGTCACATCATGTATCCACTTGTCACTTCTTCAATCCAATAACAGCCAGGTTCCGCGGACTCTCGCTATAATCAAACACAGGCTCAACCCAGCACTCCTTGACAGAGTCATGCTCCCGCAGGTATTGCCATCTATCCACAACGATAACAGTCTCAACAACCTGTGCGCTGAAAGCCATCAAGCTCCATACAACACTCAGATTCTTCCTCGCCTGCTGATACTCTGTATCATAGCGCTGGAAGTCCTCGTCAGACATGATGCTAACTCTTTCCGTAACTTTGGCGCCGTGGTGCGGATCGCGGGTCAGCTTGACTATCGCGGCACGCATATACGCGGTGAAAGACTTGAAGGCACTCTTGCCCAATGCGCCGACAATCAAGGCTTTGGTTCCAAGTGATTCCTCGTAGAGATCCTTGACGGCGCCGGGCTTGGGGACGACGCCGCGATCGACGAGAATGCGTTGGAGGAGGGCACGGTAGTAATTACGGGTGAAAAAGCCTTCGCTATCGGCATAACCCCAGTTGTAGGGAGCTTGAACAGCCATTGAGCGGGCAGTGATATTCAGCTTCATGCCCTCTGCGCCGGCACTTTTATAGTTCTCATAAAGCTTGGACATGGGGAAGCCGTGTGGGTCATATGAAGTTCCGGTTTCGTGGAGACGTGGGTGAACCGATCGAAGGATAGGAAGTTTGTATGTCGCAGGACCGAGGCGCTCTGTCATCAAGTTATAGCAACAGCCAATCATGGCGACGGCGATGACTGATGGGTTCAAAATAAGCGAGCGCACGCCATGGTGGACCAAGTTTCCGCATGAATGTAGGGAGACAACCATGACTCGAGGATCTGTTCGGCCTTCTTTCGTATGCTGCTCAGTGATCGAGGTTTCCTCAGGCTTGTTGCCGTTTTGCGTCTCTGCGGGTGATGGGTTCATCACATGGTCGATGATAGGCTCCAGGTACCCATCTTGAATCTCATGTTCAATGTAACTGAGCGTGCCTCGAGCCTGGATTGTTGGTTGCTGGGCCTTTTTGCGAGGCGCATTGGGTGTGCTCGAACCGGCGAGCTCTTCGGGCTCTAGGCTGATTTCTCCCAACATTTTGAAAATGGTGACATCCTCTATGTTCTCCTCCACTTCGCGCGCAGGGGCATCTCCAAATTTAGCATCGGATTCTTGGGCCTGAAGAGTGTCCGTTTGCTCAGAGTCTGCTATCTCTGGGTTCCCATCGCAGGCACTGCAAGCCTTATTCTTTTTATTGTTGACCACGTACGTCTGATCCTTCTTCTCTTTCTCAGCCAGTTTAGCATAAACATCCATGTCCTTAGCTCCACTGATATACTGGTGCTTTCGTTCAATGGCAATAATATGCTTGTGGTAGGGTGAACTAGCCAACGCTCGTCCAAGATAATTCTGCCCAGAGCCAAAATCCACAATGTGAGATACAGGCTCACCACGCCGTTGCTCAACGGTCTCCGAGAGGCCAGCCACATATCGTGAAAAATGCTGCACCTCATGAAGCTTCTTCTTCTTCATGCCCATCGCAACATGTTTGTTCAGTTTCTTATTCTTTTCCGCGTCGGGGGACTTGAACTCTCGTCGAAGAGCCAACCGACGAACGTTGTAAATGTAGTCCAAGAGGGTCGCGGGAGGGAATGCGCCTCCGTTCCAAGTGCGGTCCACACCACCGTCTTCTCGTAGAGGCCCAATATTCTCTCGTAGAAGCAATCGGATTATATCTTGCGTGTCATGTTGTTCGAAAAATGCGATCCAATCGTCCGGGAGTAGCGTCGTATATAAATCGGGCTCGCGCGTTAGGAAGTCGAGGATGTGCACGCCACCACATAGATTTATGAATAGCTCGTTCGATGTTGCGAAAGAGAGGAGTGCCTCTATAAAGGAATCAGGATCTTCCCACTCATCGGCGAGTGGAAGAGGGCGATTGCGAGCCATTGAGTAAGTTAATGCAACTGTCCCGCACAAAAGTCCGTGGAATCTTCATCGTGGGGAAGCGTTATCTTTTTTTTTTATCGGAGATCCGCTTCGCGGCTGAGTAAGAGAAGAGATGAAATGCATTGAACCTGACTGAATCACTTCAATTGCTAATTTATTTAGAAAGCATTGTTATGATAGTTCGAATGAATTGAGATAAAATCGAAAGTGAATGATAATTATGAATTTGACTGCAATATAACGCATCAGAGTTGTCGCTGTACCGCTTATACTTCTGGGCCCCGACCTTTACACGTGATTCCCCGAGAAGCTGCCAGCTCCGCATCAATCACTCCGTCAGCCATCAATCAACAATCAACAATCTCATTACACAACAACAATGGAGAACGCCGACCCTTTCCTTCAAGTCCAGGTGTAAGCTACTTCAACTGCCCTTGCGATAAATCATCCAGAAATCCTGGAAGGAGCGTCCAATTAACTTACCATGGTACTAGGGACGTTCTGTCCACACTGCAAGCCAGCCGCCCACTCTTCTCCTCATACCTTCGCATCCGCTCCCTAGCGAAGAACCCGAACAACCCAGAGCTAAAGCAATCACGCTCGGAGCTGGAAACCACATTAACAGAGCTAAATGCCGACCTCGACGACCTAGTTGAGAGCGTGCGCGCCATCGAACAAGACCCCTACCGGTTCGGACTCGAGCTCGAAGAGGTGCAACGACGGCGCAAGCTCGTCAACGATGTTGGAGCCGAAGTAGAGCAGATGCGACAGGAGCTGCAGCAAACAGTCTCTCATTCTGCGGCTGCTGAGGCGGCGAACGATCTGCCCAATCCGACGGAGTTCGATGCAGCCCTGGAAGAGGAGGAGCGCCAGCAGCGTGGTGGTGGTGGCGATGATTATTATGCTTCACTGGAGCAGCAGCGGCAGTCGGAGCTCATGCACGAGCAGGATGAGCAGTTAGATGGAGTGTTTCGGACAGTTGGGAATCTACGGCAGCAGGCCAATGATATGGGGCGCGAGTTGGAGGACCAGGCTATTATGGTGGATGAGGTTGACACCTTGGCCGACCGCGTTGGTGGGAAATTGTCGAATGGAATGTCGCGCATCAGACATATTGTTCGCCAAAATGAAGGTAAGATGCTACTGCTACGACCAAGCCATGGATATGGATTATTGCGGTATGGGAATCACGTATTTCAAGCTAACACTTTTCAAACCCCTAGATACATGGTCCTCCTTTTGCATAGCGGCGCTCATTTTTGCGCTTGTGCTATTATTAATTCTTGTTATTGTCCTGTGATAGTACATCATCAATAAGGGGGCCCATAAAAAACAACCAGCATCACCCGGAGCAAAGGCGTTATTATGACGTTGTTCAATGATTTAAGTGCGAACCTTCTTGCGGGGGTGGGAGTGATCGCACTCCTCGTCGTGATCGTGATCGTGTTCCATCATGTCGGCCTCAAGCTCCTCCATGTCAAGGTCATCAAGGTCGCCGCCAATCTCGAATGATTGAACTGTGGGATGTTAGCTGGGGTACGCCTAGTTGTCTCTGTCGGTGATACATACCGTAGTACTTCATGGCGTCGGTCCAGAGGTCCTCGGCAATGGAGATGGCGAGCTCCTCACCATCGGGGAAGGCCTCGCACTCATCAAAGTCGTCATCGAGCTCCTCGTCATCATCATCCTCCTCATCCTCATCATCAAGCTTCTCGCCGTTGGAGATCTTGACCCAGCGCTCCTCGTCCTCCTTGTCGGCTTCCTTGGACTGCTCAGCGGTGACATCACGGCCACGGTAACCGAACCAGTTGAAGAAGCTGATACCAGCGGGGCTGGAGGAATCATCATCCTCATCCTCATCCTCGTCATCATCATCACCCATCTGACCCTTCATGGCCTCAGCCTCAAGCTCGCTCAGCTTGTTGACAAGAGCCTCGAACTCGGGAAGCTTGGAGCGCTCGCCACCCTTCTTCTTCTCGGCATCGAAGAGGTCACAGGCAGCATTGAGCAAACCCTTGGTGACATCCATGTCCTTCTTCCAGTTGATACGGACAGGCTCGGAAACCAGACCCTCCCAGGTGCGGCGCTTGCCGCTAGCACTGCGGGTGATCTGCTTGCGCCAGTAGAACTCCTTGACGAGCTCAGAGTTCTCGAAGAAGGGGTTCTCCTCGCCGGTGCTGAAGGTGAAGGTGAAGCGCAAGCTGCGGGGCTCGCCCTGTCCCTTCTCGTTCACCTCGAATCGCTCGACTTTCATGTCCTTCAGGGTCTGACCGAGCACGGTGGCATCGGTGGGCAGAATGTACTCATCAATCTCGGCAGGGGCAGTGGAGAACACGCGGACCCAGAAGTCAGGCTTCACCTCAGGGTGGTTAATGATCTCATCGCGCTGCTTGAAGAGCGGGGCCAGAAGAGGGACTGACGCGCGCACTGTTTATGGGTTAGCATATGACCTTGCCTAGCATAATAAAACAATAGGAATTGTGCATTGCATCATGAAGATCGGTATTCCAACTCCTGATGCTACAACCGCGCAAAACGGAAATTTTCATAGCCAATCCAATCACATGAAGCAAGTACCCCCCACCGGCGGAAAAAAGAAGCAGAAGGACAATAACTTACGCTGCTCGACCTCTGCGCGAACAAACTGATCCTGCAGCTGGGCAATCTTGGTCTGCGCCTCAAGAGGAATAGTAGGGAACTCGATACGCTCCGAAAGGGACTGGTCGTTGGACATGATGTATGTGAGGTGGGGGTTTGGGTATAGATAGGTCGTAACAAATAGACAAGGTCAACAACAATTGATTCGTCTTGAAATATGCAAGACCGAAGACGTAAACAAGAAAAGTTTTCAAGAGGGGAAAAGGGTATATGGAGAGAATATGAAAAAGAGAGAGAAAAAAAAGAAGGAAGGAGGGGAACTAAAAAAAAAAATTCTAAAGTCTGGCAGATCAGCACAAGCTCGATGCGCGCATCAGAAACTTTGGGCGGAGAGCTCCATGTACACCGAGTGACTGGACGATACCTTTGTTTTGGTGGGGCTATTGGTGGGGTGACAAGTACCGATATGTAGTCTCAAGTAGACACGGTTGGTACACTAGGCAACGGGTGACGGATTCGTTGGCGGTAAGCTGTCAACGCCTGAGGAATTGGGTATCCATGGAAAAACTCGGTCGACGGGACCATATGACGAATTATGTGGAATCGATTGGTGCACATGGAGAGCTTGTAGTAGCTTCTCTATGATTCGATTGCCACCCGGGATTAAGTAAAATGTCTAGCAATCACAGTGCATTTTTACTGGGGCTGTGATATTAGCTCGTACATGAGTAATTCGGCCAGTTCTCTCTTGAACTCTTAATTGTAGCTGTCCCCAATTACATAGCTCTCCCCGGAAAATAAATCCAACAACACCTATTTGCAGCCAAATCGCTGATCTAAAAATTCTGAGCCGCCAATACCATATATAGATCACTGTATTCAATTATCGGAGGGCCCTGTCCTCCTAGCGAACCAGCCAACCAGACTACTTTTAGCAGCACGGTTCTACGCTCAATTCGGAGAAAGTGTTCAGCACATTGCTTTTTCCGACCCTCATTCCTGAACTCTAGTCCACTGGAGCAAGCGGGCCCTGGAAAAGGTAAAAGGCAAATAGAGCACTTTATTTCAACGGCATCTCATGCTAGAATTCTAGACTTGCAGCCCTGGGAGTAATTGAAAATTCTTTTCCAAAAAGGTTCGAAAAACTCGGGGGATCTCTCCTCATACACCATTCCGTTTTAGAGCACTGCCACAAGTCGCAAGCTTTATTTCTTTCGTGCACCGGTGACCACGAGAAAAGGAGCGGTCTGTCCAAGTGCGCGGAGTGGTCATTGGTCCGATAAGCATCCTTGCCATCAACATACTTCATGCTGCATACAACCGAGGTTATTGCAGCTTTGATGTCAAAGCGTAGTTCGGGTGATCTTATCGAGAACCCGATCAAGGGGTGCAAAGAAAGAGGAAGTTACAAAGAGAGAGAAATGAAATCCAAATAAATAGTTTGTGGGATTTTCGCCATGGGTGGTGGCAGATGGGAAACTGTCGTTGATATGTCATTTCGAGTGTTTTTTTAAAGAAAAGTAGAAGCCAGATGCTGTGCCGCAGACTTGGCGTCTCCCCTGGCGATCAGACACCGGTTTCAAAAGCAACATGTAATAAAGAGAACTTTTTTTGGAGATAATCAATCCCCATTTGGCCCGGGGGCATCCGATTAAGAACGGTGGGTAAAAAGAAAAAAGTCATGTCCCATGTAATTCCCATGCCCATTCGCCAATAATGCAACAATTAGAGCAAAGAAAAAAGAAACATAAAGCGCATGGCACGTCAACATGCACAGGCATCATCACCATGCACGTCTGCCGGGGATTGAACAGTCGCAAAGAGGTGAGCAGAATAGACCCCAAAAAATCAATCCAATGTGGAATGGGGTTGCGAGGTCATGAGCAACCCACATTCCAGCCTGCGCGGAATTTTCCCTGTCGTGATAAGTAAAGAAAAAGATAAAAGAAAAGATTAGATCTCGAAACTTGTAGCTTCAAAGCATCCAATCCAGTCCATTAGCTTCCTCTTCCACGGGGAATACCTCACGCGCATATTCCTCCATATCTCGCCAGCCCTGCCATAAATGCCGGGCCTCATCAGTCACGCGTTGTGAAACCACTCCACCAGGCCCCTGCATCATACCAGCACCAGCGCCCTTTCCACCTGCTGGGCCTAGACCCTTTGGTGAACCGGCGGCCGGTTGTGAGAACTCCGGCTGTGGGAAGTAAGGCGCATTAAAGTCGCCGAACAGGACTTCTAAAGCTTCGAGTTGTTCCCGGTATCCGGTAGGCACGTTGACTTTAATTTCGATCTTGGGCACGCGCACGTAGCGACAGGGCCGGCCAAGTGCGCGCTCAAACGCGGCGCACACTTGATTGGGGGAGAGGGTTTCGAAGGTGAGCGCGATTCTGTAAAAAGCAAGAATTAGCATTTTCTGTTTTCTTTGTCTTCTCTCGGCGAAACTCACCGATGGCCGTGCCATTTCTTCGGTCCATCTTTGAAGATTTGGAGAAGTGTGGGCCCTACGTCGTGCTCGGCGTCTAACCAAGGCAGTTGGGTTTCGGCATCAAACGGAGCGTGCCATTCAAAGGAGCCATCTTCAAGGACCTCCATTTGGAAGAGCGGGTATGGAAGACTTGTGAAATTGTTGTTGTAGATACCGGCGTAGACGAAGGTTGCCGGAAGACCTAGCTGGCGAATGTAGTTCTCGACGGTGAACTTGGGGGCCCATTGCGGAACTGCCGGCCAAGGTCCATGGACGGAATGATCCGGCATACTGCTGTAGATGTAGTGCGTGATAGAACCGGAGCGTTTGGCAGCATCCGCCAGGGCGCGGCCGATGGCCACCTCGTCGCCAGATTGAGAGGTGGTATTGATGAATGCCAGGGATGCGCCTTTGAAGAGGGCATCCATTAACTGGACATTGCCGAGCAATGGGCCCTGCAGGAGGGTCACATTGGGCAAGCTCTGAAGCTCATCTGCAATAAGACCCTTGAGGGAATGAATCTGGGCACGAACACTGTATCCTACAGCTGACGCGACTCGGATCAAAGAAGCTGCTTGCCGGCCTGTCGCGTTGACGACGGCAATGGTCTTATGCGGTTGTGTCATTCGGGGTTCGGGGTAGCCAACCGGTGGCTCGGGAGATAGGGTAAGTGAGGTAGGGGGGAGGGGGAAGCAGTAAAAGAAGTGGATCTGAGGTGATTTTGGAGGGCCAGGGCAGTAATAAAAAGGAAATCCGGAGTAAGAGCCTTGGCGAGAAAAAAAATGGAGGTGAGGGTTTTGCGATAGTGGGGTACCTTGGGAGGGGAGCAAAAAGTAGTATGTAACAAGAATCGCGATCAGACGGCGGGGGCGATCCAGCTCCACCGTGGATTATGTGATAGAAACAGTCATTCAGGACCAGAGGAGATCTGCAATAAACCAGTGGTTTCCAAAAGGGGGTTCAGTTGGAGTCTTCAGTGAAAGAATTTTTTTTGACAATTCCTCAAGAATTGGTTCCGAGAGAAAACGCGGAGAGCAGGATAAGATAAGGCCCTAACACTATATAAAGGCACTTTCTCGATAGTGGAGTGAGCTATATTTGAATTTTCTACTTGGCCCTAAAACAATACATCATGAAAAATTCGGTTTCCATGATGACACCATCGTTGGCCTTTTGGTTCTTTGGGGTTTTTCTTTACGTAAAAATCGGCTCTTTCGTCGGCACCACTTGGACGGGAGGATCCTGTACCGGCCACGCATCGGGACCCAGAGCTTCGGCCCCATCCATTCAAAGCACTTGTTGGCTAGACGTGCGAGTGAAAAAAATGATTAGGTCCGGTTAAAGGCTAAGCTAATGCCAAGCCGTGGATACTCATGATCGAGATGACCAAAGTGGTATTAAATAGCGCAAAATGGCATGGAGCAAAGAGGAAGGAGGACGAGGCACCAAAAGGGGGCATTAAATGGAGTACGGAGTAAATCAGTCATAGTATATGCAAATCCAAAATGTCATAGGTGTTCGTTCCACCAACAACCTGTCAGGGGCGCTCTCACGTGGTCCTGAATGCGGATTCTTTCCACTCCAATTGGCTTTATTATTTTAAACCAGTAAATAATTTCTCTTCATTTATGGGGAGGATGGAGCCTTGGGAATAATCTCTGTTTGATCAGCTGGACATCGGAGGGCCAACGCACTCCTTTGGCCCGGCCTGGCCGAGCTATGTAGTTCTGTAAGGAACCTTGGAAGTTCTGTACGAAGTACATCGGATCACCTCACGAGGGGGTTCCTTATCCGCTTCTAGTGCAGACCCCTCGCTGCTTTGATCCCGCGGGGTAGAATTGAGCACGATGCCTGATCTGCTGATCCAACCCCAATAAAATGCACCCTGACATAGCATTGCATAGATCTTCCCGAAACCAAGCCAAAAACACAACACAAACATGTGAACATTAAACTTGAGACACATGAAAATTACTGGAATGGAATTGGAGAAGCAAGCTGTTTGCGAACTAGTTTGAACTGCGGGGGTCCGTGACAAAGCTATATGTATGAGCGGCGGAGGGTTGCCTTCTCACCCACCTCTACTCCGCAGGCCGTCTTCGTTCGCAAGCCTCCGACTGCAGAGTCTCCAGCCATGGTCAAGGGCATAAATGTTTTCCCCACGGAAAACAATGAGCATTTTCCCGACAGCCATGTAGCTTGAATGTGGTATTTCAATTCCACACACACTTAAATGAAATTAATTGCATGCAACCCACTAAAAGCTCTTACGTTTTTGCAGACTGTGCGAAGCCTGGGCAACGAAACCCGGAGCTGTAAGGTACTGTATTATCTTTCTGCACAGCCACCAAGTCATACCACGCGCCACAGTTTCCGATACAACTCAACGGGAGCCGTAATCTAGAAACATCTCTCTCATTCAGAAAATCCTTTGTCACCGTTCTTCCATTCTTCCTCTCTGACGTAATAATCAAATATCGATAGGAAAGATGAGGGTTAACTAGAATCAATGTTCCACTATGTATATCTCCGTATTGCAACCTAGAGGTAAGTCTTTACCTCCCTGGGCACTTGCGCCGATTTTACGTAAATAAGTGTGTCCATAGTATGAAACCAGTGGTCTGCTCCCAGTTGCTCCTGAACATAACAATACCTATCATTTCCGTGGCTCATTAGCCTTTAATTGATTACAAAAGCGCTGGAGTTACTGCTACTGGCTTAGATGCCTTAGGTCTTAGGTGTCCTGCAGCGTTTGCATGCATCTACCCGTGGATATGGAGTATATAGACAGAGCTCATCCCTGGCTCTATCTTTCTACTTCTTCTTCTGCTTCCCTCTCTAAACAATACTTCTCCAACATACCAATACACTATTCTCCCAAGATCTTGTTTCTACTTACATTATACGACGCCACGGACCGCGTTGATGATGTCTTTTCTATGCTGCTCTCTTGCTACTACCTATAATTATAACGTCCAGGCTATGATTCTCGCTAGCGGCCCCCTTTGTACCTTGTTTCCATTCCACATATCCCGCGCATCACTTCCAAGCTTTCAAGGTTCCGACATGTGAGAAGCTACCGAATATACTGCGGACGCAGAAAAGTCATTTCGTTGATGATTATTCGATCGACTTCGAACGCTTTGCTCGATTCTGCTGACGAGTGTCGCATAAAGTCGGTATACAATTAAGAAAGAGGAGCAAAACATGAATGATTCTTGTTTGTATTATGCACTGCTCACTCGCTCCCTCTTGAAGCAACGTACGCTATGATATTCATTTTATACGCTTGCATTATGCGCTGCTCGCTTTCACAATCTTTACGAACGCACGACATGGCTCTTCCGCTGTCAGCTCCACTAGCAAAATCGCACAACATGTCACCAGTCTCCCACCTGTTACCGAGAGCTCGCTCGGCACCCGTGACGTACACCACTCTGGTCATTTGGGTATCGGTTATGATAAGCCTTGTTGCCATCTGCGGCTGCGTGGCCTTGCTCATTTTAATCAGACATAGGCGCCGTCACTCAAGGTATTTATTTCCCTCGAATTTACCCGCAAAGTTGATACCCTGCTTCTCCCGATCTTGGTGGCTTAATGGAACCCTCACTAATGGAGCTCATTGTCTAGGAACAACCAGAATACCACCAGGACCAATCGGCTTGATGCTGCCATGGATATGGAGACCTGACCGCGTGTGCTTTGCTTTTGGACTCCCCATCTATAGGGCTCACCTCATCTTCTGTGCATACCAGCGAACTACGAATATCATATATTGCAGCCTTAGGGGAAGTACATCATTCGAGTTTCATATCATTTAGTGTTTAGGATCAATTGAGACTACTCCAATGCTACTCTTCTCTGTCTGAAAAGAAATCGCCTGAACGTGGAAGTAACTTTATATTTTGGGTGGGTAGAAAGATGGAAATTTAAAAGACAGTCAATGAAGTGAAATAAGGAATATGTACTCCTATTACTAAGTACGTCCTCGGAGTCAATTAAAGCCTGAGCCTGTTCATTCACCCCATTCACTCTGGTTGTTCGTCATCAGGTCCGTTATAGATAGGTCTAAGCTTGACGGCAGCCCAGCCCCCGGCTGGCCGAGCAATCCGGTACCATAACCGCCCGGTGAAGGGAAACTAGCAAGACATTCTATAATAATTAGCCCCCGCGTTAGATGAGGTTTTATGTGGGATAAGAAAGAAACACAAAGGAACCAAGCCTGAGAGATGGTTTGTGTTCCTTTCCATATTCAATTTCTCACCTTGATAAGCTTCCCAAGCGAACTGATCGAATGGCATCATATTACTCGGAGATTCGAATTGAGTGGCATCAACAACAGCTTCGGTATTATCCCCGAAGAACGGAGGCACAGGGGCTTCTACTTCTCCCTGAAGCCCCAACAGATTACCAAGGTGCTTTACTGCTTGTCGGGCCTCACGAGATACAGTGCTCGAACGCAGCCAAATGGGATATGTGTCGCGTAGCAGGCTGTATATTTTCGACTGTGTTTCCTCGTGAATACAGATATCGGTCCGTGTTTTGGATAGTTGCACATAGTAGGTGAGGATGCTCATGCCGTGAAGGAATACAAATTGGCTGAGCGATGTCACCATCCAGCGGACAGGATATAATAATCCATCCGGTCGTGTCTCTTCGTCTAGCAACTTTTGGCATTCGAGGATCTTAATGCCAGCTTCTAAGCAAGCATTGCGTGAATATTCGTACGCCATCTGCTGGTGGGAAGAAACGAGGAATTTACGGTGGAGCCAGATTTTCAACCGCGGGATGGCAAGTTGGAGCCACACACGCTGCATAATGATGTGCGGCGGCACCATCAGCGACTGGCTGAGGGGTTGCCATTTGAAGATTGGCGGCAAAGAGTCCTCGGCTTGATTTAATCTGTTGTCCAGAGCCATGATATCTGAGTAGGAATGCTCCCGGGTGTCAGCGAGAAAATCGCTAACCAGCCCAGACATATGGTCAATCCTGTTCTTGGCTAGAATCGAAAGTGTAGGCGTGACTTCGGTTTCTGGTCTTGAAGGGGGTAGCTCGGTAGTCGTTTCATCAAAGTCTGAGTCCAGCAGGTTAGAGGGCTCTGCTGTGTCGCATTGATGTAGCTTCAAGAGGCGTGGAAATCCCATCTGACTTGAGAGTCGCAGATCCGTTTGCACTACAACAGCCCAGATGCGACGCCTCATTTCACCTGCGAATGCTGAAATTTTGGGGAATTTCTGAGGATCTCGGTGATAGCCCAGGCTTAGAGCAAGCTGCACAAGTATACCTAGTGCAAGCCAGACCCCAATGTCTGCATCCTTACATAGAAGCACTTCGAGAGTCAGGTGGTGAAGCAGCGTCTCAATCACATACTCTTTGCCCCTGGTGAATTCACCCAAGATCAGACAATTAATCGTCCTTTCACGGAATATTTGAACCCGAGATAGAGTTTCAGGGTCAGCTGGGTCTTCTATCAATTGCTGGTATTGCATAGTCAAAGCCATAACGCTGAACAGGAGGCCAATCCACAACAATGGAACCGAGGCTGGATCCTGCCAGAATCTTTCATACTATGTAGATGGTTGGGTATCAGTTACGTATGAGAAGGAAGGGGGAAATATACCATACCTCTGCGAGGAATTGTTTGTTATGCAGCACGGGCAGCGGGGCAGTGTCTCGGAGAAAAAAGTATCGCGCTACCATGCGATCGACAACGGGACGGGCCGGTATTGACGCTAGAATCTCAGCTTTGGTTACATTGACAGGTTGGTATAATAGAAGAGGACCAGGGCTGCGGTATGGCACACGGTCGTTATTGACCAGCATCCTAGCCTCTTCTTCTTCCTCGTAATGGTCCTTGAGCTCAGATATGCTGTCTAGTACCGCAGCCCAATGGGCGCTTCCAACGTACTCAGCACCGTGAGAGTGTGGACGCATACTTCCATATTCTGACGATGCTGGAGATGGAGCGGGCGATGTTTCATGATCTTTGCCTTTCGATACAGACGCATGACTGGATGGTAACATAGAGTCAGCATCGACCGAGAGCAGTGGCATTGCTCCTCCAGGATCTCGAAATACGTTGTGTGGTGACTTTCTGGGCGCAATTCGCGAAGAGCTATCCATTTGGTCATTCGTGGCCACAATATTGAGGCCTGCCGTCGGCATTGGTCGGGTCTGTTTCTGCCTGTTTTGAGCCAAGGAACGCACCAACTTGTCAAGTTGATCGATTCGGTCGCCAACGCTTATTTTGGCCTTGCCTTTGCTATTTGGTACATATGTACACAAGTGGCCAATTCCTTTACCTGTGCAGGTATTGCATGGCATCTGACGATCACATCGTACCCTGTTTTTTAGGACAGGGTTTGCGTCAGGACGAGAATGAAATGCATAATGGTGAGTATGGGAGTGGGCATGGGTGGTTTACTTGCGGGTCCTACAAAATGTACATGACAGAACAGATCTCTCTCTCCGACGATCTCGCAGACGTAGTGATGGGTCTGCTGCAGTGTCTGTCTCTGATGTTGCGAAGTTCGGGATTTCTCGATCAGCAGCTTCCTGATTGGCTGCAGACAAGTGGTCCATCCAGGGCGAATTCATAATCTTGGATGCCTTAGTTGCGAAGACACTGAGCGGCTACAGGGCGGAGTCCGATGATTGGCGGTGACCAAGGAAATTGCCGGATAGCAGAGTTGATGCATGCGATAGAATGGATTTCCTTCTTTTCTCGGAGCTTATTTAAACAATGGGGGCCAAAAAGCGGACCCACTATCACCTTTTTCCAACACTCATTCGTTATCCAGTTTATAACCTTGATTTTGGCTATTGGCCTCGGAGAACTATGTATTAGTCTATATACTGGTATATTCAAAGTGATAAGATTGAGGAGTTTGAAGAATAGAATAAGTGAAGCAGTGGAGAAATTCTCAACACTGACGGTCAGGTGATCTTTTACACAGTTATAAAGTATACATCATTCACCACGCTAAATATTCAAGAGCACAGATAGAAAGCGTTCGATCCTGCTCTGAGATCATTCTCAGCAGCAGGATAATCTAGTAGGTCGGGAGGGTAGCGAACCACTCCTTGAACAGCTGGACCTTAGCCTTGGAGGCCACGGGGATGGGGCCCCAACCGTTACCAACGTGATGCACACGCGCATCGTCAGCAGTGGGGGACCAGTGGACCAGACCATTTCCGTTGGGGTTGCCGTTCTTGATGAAGTTGGACCAGTATCCGTTCATCTTGGCAGCGATTTCATAGTCCTTTGCGGTCCAGGGCTTGTCAGTGGCGTAAAGGTTGTTGAGCACGTAGTTGATCTCAGACTCGTGGTAGGCGCCCTGGTCCTGGCCGGGCGGGGAGTGATCCCAGAAGTAGGTGTAGACATCCTTGTTGCTGGATTCAGCCCAGAGCTGAGTCCACATCCAGGTGCCAACCTTGGATCGGTCGGTCCACATGGAGTTGTAGGCACCATCGGCACGCTTGTCGTTATCGGCGGGGTAAAGCTCAAGGAATCTGTTGGACCAGTTACCGGTGGTGTAGGTATCCTCCAGATCCGCGAGGTATTCGGCCACAGTGATATTGGTCTGCTTCTCAGCACCACTCTCGTCCTTGGTATTACCTGTAAGGACTGGGACATTGTTGGCAGCTCCCTCTTTCAGAGTCACGGCGTATTTAGCGGGCATAGCGTAGTAGTCCAAGGTAGCACCGAAGCTCCAGCCATCCAGAACGTTGTCCTCGAGATCAGACATGGGCAACTTGCGCAGCTCAGCAATAGTGCTGACATTCTTCTCAGCGGTGTAGTTCAGGCCCTGGGCCATAACATACTCCTGGGTCTTGTAGCCCTCGGCAAGAGAAGTGCACAGAGGGTCATGGGGGTCACGGACACCACTCTCGATAATGGCATGCTTGATGAGGCCCTTGGTAAGGGGACTGTTGAGGATGTGGTAGGTCGCGGCAGATCCAGCAGATTGGCCCATGACGGTGATGTGGTTAGGATCTCCACCGAAGTCAGCGATGTTCTCGTGGATCCACTTCACAGCCTCCATCTGGTCGAGCATTCCCCAGTTGCCGGAGCTGTTGTGGCCAGTGGCCTTGTAGACCTCCTCGTTCAGCTCGGGGTGTCCAAGCCAACCAAAGGATCCAGTTCGGTAGTTGTAGTTGACAAACACAATACCCTTGTCGGCCATGCCGCCACCGTCGAAGAGAGCATCAGCAGCGGTGGATTCGGCCGGGTAGCTCCACATAACGACAGGAAGTTTGGCGCCAGTGGACTTGGCGGGACTCCAAATGTTCAAGTTCAGGCAGTCCTCGGAGATGGTGAGGTTGGTGTCGCTGGTGGCGGCAGGACACACGTTGCCAAACGACTTCGCATCTAGGGTGGTGTTCCATGAGCTTGCCTTCTGAGGAGGACGGAAGCGGTTTTCGCCTGCAGTGTCGGCGGCAAATGGAATACCCTTCCAGACGGTGATGTCCTTCCAGTTGGTCAAGTTGCCAGTGGGCTCGCTGGAGAAGGCAGGGTAACCCTGGACCTTGCCATACTTGGTCTCAATAACAGAGTTGTATAGCGGCGAGGAGCTAGGGGCGGCAGAAGCCAAACCGACCAGAAGACTTGCCGAAGCAAGAAGCTTCGGGATGGAGTAGTCCATGATAGTTGGCCAAGAAGGTTAGGGATGAGAAGGATGAGGAGAAAGTGCGAGGTGATAGGAAGCTTCAACTTCTTTATTAACCTAATGATAAAGCCAAGAACAATGAAACATCCAATAAAATCTTGGAAATTGTGGTCAACTTTGAATAACGGGGTACATCATCAGGTCCACTTCTGTTTTACGCGAAGGCTCGTCACGTAACACTATAATTCCTGCAGACGCGGCCAACCGAAGCTAGATACTAGGAATGGAAATTAAAGTGCAGATCTTTGCTTTTGAAGCCAAAATGCTTTTGAAGCCAAAATGCTTTTTCCCGCATATGAGACCACGGATTACCATGGACAATGATCTTCCGAACTATTTCATTGCTATCTCTTGGCATTCAGGGACTGGTCCCACCCGGAGACAGCGTCCAGCTCAATTTTGAATTCACACCATAACCTTTCGATTTTGCGTTGGCTATGTCATAAGGTTTCATAGGCTGTTTGAAGTTATTTTTTTTCCCCCCAAGTATTCAAGGTCTGGATGTAGTGGAGAATAGCAGCATCTGGACTGTATCCGGAGTGGCATGAAGCGGATTTTAGTTAAACCCCGAGGATCTACGGAAAGTGGCCACGCAATCGCCAAAAAGGAATTTTTGAATTTCCCCACATACCTTCCATCGGGTGCATGGACGAAAAGTATAGAAACTTGTATAATCGACCCCTGGGCAAAGCCGGCGTTAAACCTAGTCTAGTACCGAGTACCGATTACCGAACAAATAAGAGTTTCGAATAAGCCACAGTTACGCAATCCCCGCCTGTGGACCCACTTTGCATTCTATTCATCACAGAGATCTGCATCATAAGGCCAGCTACGGAAGAGGCGGAAATATAGCCCATTTGGGTAGTCGTCACAACCAAGGTAAGGAGTTATAATAATTGAAGGAGTCCTGGAAGGATAATTCAAGCATCCTGACAACTTTTCCAACCATGTTCCTCAAGACCCTGGCTGGCTGGGCTGCATTGCTCTCGGCTGCCAATGCCGCATTTCCAGTTGTCGACACTGCTCAAGGCAAAGTGAGAGGTACTGCGTCAGAGTATCGGTCCAATGTCACCGTATACAAAGGTATCCCCTTCGCTGCCCCGCCCACCGGGGGATTGCGGTTCAAGCCTCCTACCTCACCAAAAAGCCACGATGGAGTCCTGGACGCAACCAAGTTTGGTCCCCAGTGTATGCAGACGTCCAGTGGTTCTGCGAGCATTTTCTACACTGGTAGCGACCAGATGAGTGAGGACTGCTTGTACCTCAACATCTGGACACCCACCTACGATGATGATGAAGACCTCAAGTCTAAGAACCTGCCAGTTTACTTCTGGATCTATGGTGGCCGTTATGAAATGGGCTCTGGTGATGTGAAGACTTACGATGGATCCGGTCTTGCGATCAAGGATGTCATCGTCGTCACCGTCAACTACCGTGTCGGTGCCTTTGGCTACTTTGCCCACCCCGAACTCTCAGCCGAGTCTGCTCATAATAGCTCGGGTAACTATGGTACTCTTGATCAAATTGCTGGCCTAAAGGTAATTTCGCTCTTTCACTCTATTGGTCGGAGATTTTATACTAACTTCTTTATTTAGTGGGTTCATGAGAACATTGCCAACTTCGGTGGTAACCCGAACCAGATCGTCACTGGTGGACAGTCCGCTGGCTCGGCCAGTTCTCTGATCATGGCCTACAGCCCTCTGTCTCGCAAGTACGTTGCGGGAGCCGTCTCTGAGAGTGGTGCCCTGTCCCCTCACGACCCCAACACCGCCAGTATCGCTGTCAGCTACCGCCAGAAGGCCGAGGCCGAGAACTTCGGCGTGAAGCTCTTCAAGCAGCTCAATGTCACCACCCCGGCCCAGCTGCGCAACCTTTCCGCGGAGGTCCTTAACAACCTGGACTCCGAAAACGAGGATCTGCTCGCCGGAACTCAGTTCGAGAATCTGGACATGGAGCCCCCAGAGTGGCGCCCCGTCATTGATGGCTGGGTTCTCAAGCAGAAGTACGGCCAGCTGCTGCGGGACAACGACCATGCCGATGTTCCCATCATGACCGGCTTCAACAAGGATGAGGGTATCTCGGACTACAATACCACCGAATACAAGACTCTTTACGCACAGGTGTTCCAAAACTTCTCCTCTGAGTTCTTCAAGCTCTACCCTGGTGGTAGCGACGCCCAAGCGACTAACAGCTCCAACACCTGGAAGCGCGATATGTCTCGTGTCACTAGCTGGAAGTATGCCGCAGACTGGGTTGCTGGTGGTGCCGGCACTAACGTGTACACCTACTTCTTCACTCGTGCTCCTCAGGAGGATCACTCTGGTGGTGCTTACCACGGTGCAGAGCTGTGGTACACTTTCAACAACATTCCTTACGCGGACTACACTGCCAACCTGACCTGGCCGGCAAAGGACTACGCTATTGCTGACCGTATGTCTGACTACTGGGTCAACTTCATTCGGTCTGGTAACCCCAACGGAGATGGACTGCCCAAGTGGGAGCCTTCGACCCAGGAGGCCAAGAAGATCATGTACCTTGGCAACACCTGGGGCATGGAGAGCATCGCCCCTAATGCCGTCGTCGAATTCCTGATGGATTGGTTCAGCACTCTGTACGAGTGGTGATCTAGTGCGCTTGGCATACCGAAGGCCTAGCAGTATATTCTCAGGCATATAGATAACTTAGACAGTGTCACGATAGGTTTTATTCTAGATTTGGCAATATGTTTGGAAATATCCTCTTCTCGTTACCCTCATGGTCGTAATTTGCTACGTAAGAACAACACTTTGTATGAAACACTTTCACGAATGATCTTTCGAAACTTGGAATGAAGACAGTCGATACACGTATCTCACTTACTAGCGCAAGGATTTGTACAACGTATAGTTAACATATAAAATATATATATATGTCCTTGATAGGTATTATTATTAATACATGTAATGAGTATAAGTCTTGTAACAATAGAAGCTAAATTTGGTTTGTCTATAAATAGCTTCTAATGTTACAGCCGTCTGAAACTGAAGTTTCGAGGGTATGGTCTTGCGGCTTTCATTGTAATTGACCAACCTAGATTCTAGCATCATGATAAAAGTTTAGGTATCTTCCGAGAATTTTATCTTAGGGTGTTGGTTTAACCATCCGTGGATGCATATGTGAAAATTGAATAATTGACCTCATCGAGGCTGCATTGGACTATCTAAAAAAACAGTCTTGTGTAAATGATTCTAATATATATGGCGCTGGAAATATGCTTACCCGGCCTGAATGAAGTATACAGAGAGAGGGAAGAACGGTAAATCTTCCAAGCCCGCAGTAGCCAAAAAAGGTCTAGGCCTTAGTACAGAGGCAGCTTGTAGGCATCAAAGTTGTAGTTGAAAGTGTCAATGGAGGCCTGGTCGTACTCGCAGGTGAAGTTCTTGCCTCCATTCTTCCAGTAAGGACGAAGAGGCCAGGCACAGAGCTGCTCGTTGTCACCCTCGTAGTCACCCTGAAGAATGGTGGCATTCAGGGTGACAGGCTCAATACCCTTCTCAACCCAGCGAGACATAACCTCGAAGTTGGTCTGGGGGAAGGGACCGTTGGGCTGGGCGGTGTTGGTGTCACAGTGAGCAGCTCCGGGAACAAGGAAGAGCTTATACCATTCCTTCAGGGCAGCAGTGGAAGCGTTGTATGACTTGCCGGGGTACATGGTCTGGCGAACGGAGTTGTAGTAGTGGATGGAGGAGCCAGTGGGGATCGACTCATCCTGCTCGCCGTGGAAGTGGATAATCTTTCCACCGTTCTCGTAGAAATCAGTCAAGTCAGGAATAGTAGTCTGGAGAGAGTCCATGTAGCGGGTCATGCCCTGCTTCATGTAGCCAACGAGGGTGTCGTAGGTGTAACCCTCCAGGCTGGACAGGTTGTCCTCGTCGTGCAGCTCCAGGAAACGGGCAATCCATTCACCGCCAGCGCCGGCAATATCCTACAATCATTAGTAAGATGGAAATAGCTTCATTAGAGAGGAAAAGTCTTACCAGTCCCCACTCGCCAGTGGTAGAGTCGTAAGAGGTTGCGGCATCATCGAACGCGGCACCCATCTGGTAAGAGATGTAGGCGCGGCGACCCTTCGAGTCATGCAATCCGTCGACAATCTTCTGGGCCACAGCAACACCCTCGGCACTGACAGTGCCGTTCTGGGCGGGCTCGGTCGAGTCACGCTTGCCGAATCCAAGGCCAAGGCTGCTGGAGCTGGAGCTGGCGCAGTAGTAGGACTTGCCGATAATCGAGGTCATGTTGAATTGCAGCTGGCAGAGATCGGAACGCGACACAACACCATCCTTACGGCCATCAAGAGGATCACAGGCGGCAATGGTCTCGTTAACGATCTTCTCAAGCTCGCAAGGAGGGGGGTAGTAGTCCAGGGTCTTCTCGACAATGTTCGAGTAGAGGTGGTTAGCCTGCTGCTGACCGTAACGAATGGCGGGAGCACCAATCATCAAACCATCATACTCCTCACCAGCGCGCTGGGCTTGGGAGAATCCCTCACGACCTCCCTCGGAGCAGCCCTGGTAGTAGGAATAGACCTTGGTGTTGTTGGCGACGTCGTAGAAGTTCTTGGTGAATTGCTTTCCGATGATAGTCATCTCCTTGATAGCCTGGTAACCGAACATGTAAACAGACGGCCAGTTGATTGTACCGTTGTTAAGCAGGAAGATGTCATCGAAGTCAGTGTCCATGCTTCCGAATCCTCCATCGGTGAAGCCCGAGGCGGCGCCGTACATGACACCTCCGGGGGCGGACATCGAGCCGGACTGGATGGCATAAGCACCACCACCAGTAGCAAGGAAGCGGTTCTTGAAGTTCGAAGGCGCTGGCAAGTAGTAGCCAAGAATCACGGTGTCATCCGACCCTTCGTGGGTGTAGGTGAAGGTGACATTGCAGTAGTTGATGGTGGCATCGGGGAAGAAGACCTCATCAGAGTGCGAGGAGTTGTAGACAGCATTGGCAGTGACCGAGTCTTGGTCAAAGGTGACACCCAGAATGTAGCCGTCCTCGGGCAACGAGTCGCGAACACGCGCAGCTGTGCATGCACTGCTTAGAGAGGTTGCATAAGCCGCACTGGCCGAAGCAAGGAGAATCAAGGCCCGATTCATTCTGGCGGAAACTTTTAATGGTCTTGATCTACAATTTACTGGAACGGTCGTGGAGAACTTATACTAACCGTCTATAATTACTCAGTACTCTTCACATTAAATGAGATCATCCCTTAAATTACGCGTACGATTGCTTGTTCTGAGTTAAATTGAGCCGTACGTCGGCTGCATCGACCATTGAAGTTTGGTGACGCGGCCGGATAAACGCTCAAGACAACAGTGACGAAGGTGGGCCCTTGCAGATCGATAACCGGGCCATGATCGACGACTAGTTCTCCTCATCCGGTTGTTTTGTCCGTTTGAACCGAAGCCGAGGCCCTGTTCTTGGCACGACCCTGCCACAAATTACGGCACTTTGTCGGTGTATTTCAGACGGCGACTCCACTTTGAACCTTGGTTATGTTCATCCACTATAGCGCATTTATTCAACAAATTCGGGAGTTGTGCAAACCAGACTCCCATCTGGGAGCCCTACCATCAAGCCATTCCAGCCGCGTAGGCCGCGAATACTGATGAGGGCGTGAGGACGCGTCTTGTCGAAATCAAGGTATATCGTCATTGCGCCATCTGGATCTTTTGCTATAGAGGCACCCATGGGCAGATTAAAGTACAATCAATTGGAAACCCCAACAAAGTTGCTGAGGAGCATCGGATTGAAAGAAAGTTCCGCTCTTCAGACGCGCAACCCCTTGGAACGTGTGTTTGGAATACTCGCAGAACTAGCCCTTTCAAGTGTGATGTCCGGAGTCAAGATAACGCACTGCGATAGAAATCGATAAACTACATTTTGTGCTATCTACATGTCCTCAATGTGTCCTCGATCCTCAAAGGTCTCATGTCTTGTCACTCGAAAGGACACTGAGACTTGGGCGACCGTGGAAGTATTCAGCCTTATGGAGAACGGTAACGGAGTGAACTTCGCCATTCAACGCTGATCTGATTAGATGGTCAATCTAAACGCTTATTTCCTTATTTCGCACTGAGTGCTTGAAGCGAGGTCACGTGTGTCTTGTTACCCGCTTTGCAGCGCGGCAGTTCGCCTCTCTTGTTTTGCGCGTCAGGCTCTTCTGTTTCCAATGCTGTCAGATACCATCTCTAGTTTGTTTCCCTCTTTTGCTTCGTCATTCGAGGGGCATTTTGCCATTTATGACATGCTCTTTATGATTCTTCATCTAGTCATCAAAGGGTGACCAGCTAAACACTCGTACCTAAAGTTACTTAGTGAGGTCCGAAACCCATTAAATCGAAATTAACCTTTGGCACAATCTCTAGATGAATCCCAATACAGACTTCAGGGACTGGCTTGACAAGACCTGGTCGTAAAGCTTGAGAAACAGATAGATCCGCAGTATTTCCAATATTTCTCTTGATGCATTACTGAATATTGGAACACCAAAGCCAACTTGAAGCCAACTTGAATGACCTTAAAACATAAAGTGGCTCGGTGCTTCTTGCCCGCTTTATTGTGAATCTCGGTTGTTCATGGACCTCTTTCAGGCTAGATTTCATGACATTTATCGATTGCCTTGCATGAAATAATATTAGTTCAACAATCTGAAAAGGATGAACACTCGGCGGTAGATCTGGAAGGGGCTTGTATTGCTGTAGCCCTTCCAAGGTTGACACGATCGAACAAAATATCTCATGGCGATTGTCCCAAGAAATTGTTCGGTCTATATCCACGAGTGGCTGCTAGAAACTCAGTCTGGCCAGTCAATTCATTGGTTTGGAGGAGCAGTGGGTACACAGGAAGGTTGTAGCAGAGAGTAACGTCTTCGGTAAGTGAGTCGGCCATGTAAGCCAGCCGGCCACCCAAATCACATACATAGTCAACTGTACAATAATCACAATTTCATATCATAACAACAATCGGTCACAATGTTTGGCGTTAACTTCAATAGTCATAGCACTTTGCGTCAAGCTTAGGGCTAGCGCCTTAATCCGATTTGGAGGAAATTATTTGGCTTGGCTATTGATGAATTCAGAACTATATATTTCTGCTTCACATTGAGGTAATATCACATTTACTATTTGTTTTGGAGTGGCCAGCTGGCTTACATGGCCAACTCTTGCAAACACCTCAAGTGTTAACTCCGGAGAAATTAGACCTCGGGGTTGCACCAACAAATAGGTGTTGAAGGTCTACTCATGGTCGAACTGTCCTGTGTAGCAACCATGGACTGTATAATTGAACAGCTATTTACATTACCATACGCCGAATTTGAAATTTTAGAATTTGTGAGTGGCGGTGCTGGCTGCGTACTTTACTGTAATAGTGTGTACATGCGGCCCCCATAAATTACCTGAGCATGCCCAAATGGTTGGCTCTGATAGCTCAACTCACACCTGTCTCTTCCAAGACTTGCTGTCATATTACATTGAATAATCCAGCTCTCAAGGCTACACTTCTCTGGATCATGATCTAGATGAGGTCATCGGCTTCTAAAAAAAAAAAGAGCAGCAACAAATATAATGTGCCTTGAACCCTGGAATGTTTACTGCTCAGATCTAAATATCGGAACTACAGATTGAAGAAGCAATTATACTTTAACACTATATTGAGACTTCGAATGATATACTACAATAAAATCCAGTTCAAGTTTAGACCTTGATTTGCTCTGCGAGCTGAGTGCTCAATAAAGGGCCACTAGTGACGACCAAGCGGAGATCAGACTGAGATGTACGCGCAGAGCTTCCACCGTGCGGCGCTCACAAAAGCAGCGACAACTCACACAGGTACGCCCCACTTCAAACTTGCAGAAAAACGCAGGTATAGGTACGCATACGTACCTACGACGGTGTGCTGGAGAGGCTTTCCTTTTGGAGCCATACAAAATGCAGGCATAGACTCCACGCTGTGCATAGGTGCCCCCTAACCCCGCAAATTCAATCTGCGATTGGCAGCTGCCTTCGAAGAGTCGGAAAGGCTTCCGATATTTGGCTACAGGTACGGAGTCCTCCGAGGAGAAAGCTATCCCACTAGCAGGGATCATGGATGTAATGGGAGAGTCATGCAGCCAACTTAGAGCCACACAATGTACCTGACAGTATACGTCATTTCATGAGTCTGAACATTATTCTCTAAATTTCTAAGGATATGAGAAAAAAGCAAGCAAAAGCTACTCTAAAAGATGTGATGGATGGCGTAAAGTCGGGACGAAATGCGGTGACCCCAGAAAATTTGGTATGGCTGAGACCCCTCCGGCGGCAAGGCCCGATGTCCTCCGCGGAGATCTAAGCTCAACCTTGTGGTTCGATAACTTTCCGTGCGCTTAGGACTGTGCACTTGTACCCCTGTCCTACCGCGATGATGTGACCTGCCTAAGATAACCTTCTTTAGCTCCACCCCGCCTTCTGGAAGAGAGGCATGTGAGCAAGTCACGTCTTTACCCCTATAATCACCCCCACTCACGGTGCTGACCCGGCCATGGTCCGACTCCGCCCAGCGCCACTGTTTTCCTCGTCGAGTTCGCGTTGGTTATTTTCTCTGGGGTCAATGCCCGCTAATCCCCAAACACCTGGTCTACGACGAGCTAAGAGCTCAGCGGCCGGTCGCTCATCTGAGTGCAAATGAGCTCCGGATTTCCGGAGGAGCAACACATGATCCGAGAGACCTGCATTTGCGGCCAGGAATAGGGGTGTGCGACCGTTGCGGTTGCGTAGATGAACGGATCCACCTTGTGAAAGAAGGAAGTGGAGTATAGAAATGGCGGGAGATGTGGCCGCCAAGTGCTGATATCGATTAGCATGACAGAATAAAACAACACATAGCGACCAAAAGGGGAAGGCAGTAAAAATCAAAAACGCCATTGTTGCGTTGACTTACAATAGGTGTGTTGCCGGAATAGTCGGCGTCATTTAGTAGCCAGTGTTGTTCCGTTTTCATGATTGTCATGACTTTATCGAGATCACCCTGTGCGATGGCGTAACCCAGAACAGTGAGCGTCTGTACGCGCTCGGGCAGAGCTCCGTCGGGATGTCGGAACACCGGAACAGAAGATTCGGTCAGCTCACCCCGGAGGGATAGCGACATGTTCTGCGCGACGGACTCCGGTGTGGAATCTGGCAGAGCGAGTAAATAAGCGAGCTTTGTCAACGCGGCCTCTGTGGTCATATCGAGACCAGCCACAACACCTGCTCGTGATAAGCTCATGCCGGTGGCATAGACAGGGCTGACACTGCCAGTAAGACCTAGAACAAAAACCCCGTGAGCCTCCCTCCAAATCGTTATTCGCTGACAGTGGGGTAACTCACATTGAGTAATGTTAATAATAACAATTCCTCGCTGAATGGCGCTGGCCAGCACGTTAATCATGGCATTATCCTGCCCGGACGGCGCGTTACCAGCCCCAAATGTCTCCAAAATCAAACCACGCAGTCCGTCCAGCTTCAAAACAGCATCCACCATCTCAGGCTTGATACCAGGGAAAATCCGGAGACAAGCAACATGAGTCGTGTCCAAATTCGTTTGGATACGGAACTGCGCCAGGCTCGTGGGCCGGTGCACCATATCCCAATTCACATTGGTGCGCATCGACGTGGTCGTAGCCAACGGGGGACAGTTCGGGGCATCAAAGGCCGCAAAATCACTAGCAGAAACCTTGGTAGTCCGGTTACCCCGGAACAGCTTATTATTGAAGTACAAACACACTTCAGGGATCATGAAGTGGCCGGCCACGACAAGCGACCCAAGCAGGTTATCAGTCGCGTCATTTTGGAGCTCCAGCATCGGCGCCTGCGATCCCGTGAGCACCACGGGCTTTCCGAGATTCTGGAGCATGAAGCTCAAAGCAGAGCAAGTGTATGCCAAACTGTCTGTGCCGTGCAAAATCACGAATCCGTCGAACAGCGTGTAGTTCTGATAAATGGACTCCGCAATTTCAGCCCAACCTTTCGCGTTGATGGAGCTGCTGTCTAGCAGCTCTTCGAATTCATAGACCGTGTACCGCACTTTGCGGCCGTATCTCGTGACTGGGGTGCTCAAGCTGGGATGGGCTGTGATATCGCCCTTGGAGTTGGTGATGACGTCCATCGGGACCGATAACGAACCATCGTTGAATGAGGGGACTCGCGCCATGCATTTTTCTTGGAACCCTCGGGCAGGAATGAACCCATGTGGTGACTGCTGCATGCAAATTGTACCTCCGGTCATGATGATCAACACCCTAGATTCCAAGATCGCCTCCTCTGGCTTCTCATCCGCCAAGGTAGGCAGATTCGCATCGTTGAGAGCCATTGTGATTCCGGACGCCTGATAAGGCATTAAATGATAGGGGCACTTCACAGAAGTGAGATAAATCCCTATTGGATTGAAATCAAAGTCTTGAGACTTGTTAACTCGAGCAACTTAGATCTCAATTCGTATCGCTCCTTCAATGCGACGATCCTGTAAGCTCCAACTACCCCTCCAAAATATTCGGATCAGTGGATCGCGGGGAGATGACGCTAGGGCAGAAAATTTTCCTTCCCTTTTTTTTGTAGTCACGCACGCGGTTAGAGGCCGAGACACGAATAATGAATCGGGTCTACAGGTAGATCGTGATTGAATCATTTGGCCGAAATGTTGGTGGAAACCCCAAACTGACCCCGAATGTATTACGTACGGCAGCCTTATTGGAGAGAGATTTTCACCGATTTCCAACTTTAAACCGTCTCCACCTGGCCTGGACCAACGGCGCGACTCGGTTTCCGAAATTACCCCAATCATTTTTTCAATCGGAACATAAATTTTAAGATTTTAAGGCTATTTTCTGGGTCACTTTAGTAAATCAAAAGAACTATATGTTGTATGCCAAGCTTGCTTTTACATGTCAATTGCCTATCCACGTCATTTTAATGCGCAATCTTGGAAGCTTTCTACGACGGCAATCCAACGCTGGCCCGGGGATAGGTGAACTCCGCAACACGGAAACTGTTTGGCAATATAGCTCAGAGATCGCGGTTCCATGTACAGGGCTGTCCACCAATGATATGCCTTGGAAGAGAATATGGAAATGGGACGCGATATAAAACGATATACACAACCGTAAGAATCAAATATATCATTATATGCTGAATGATGTCGAGGTCTGGAACCTCATGTAGTATAATACAGGTGACTGAGGCATGGAAACCGAGGCATAGAAATTCACCCTGAAGAGCTGTCATAAGAATCAGCACAATAATCTTTTCCAGTTAGCCCTCAGATATTTGGATTGAACTGAACTAAATCCTCCTCCAAAAGCCCCATCATATACTGATTCCCAGAGAACCAGTTCCCCAACTGCGTCGCCTGCATCATCTCAGCTTCAGACATGGTCTCTTGACTCTGGCCTTGGGGTTGCATAAGTGGCCCAGCTACCTCAGTCATATGTGTCGCAGACTCCGGGACTCCAACATGAGTGGCTAGCATGGCATCAGGCTGAAAGTAACCTTGGCCACTAGTGATCGCGTTACTAGGCGCTAGTCCCAGGGCGCTAAGGTAAACGTCAAACTCCTGTCCGACCGAAGCAAGACCTGAATCTTCTCCAGCCTTATTTCGGGTTTTGGCTTCGACATATAGTCTTGCGACAGTGCCAAAGACAGAACAAATGTTGTGAAGCCGATCGACAGATTGGGAGATTGAGCATAGAGTGTGGAGGGAGGCGATGAAATCTTCTAGGAGAGTGAGATCTTTTTTGTCGGACGTTGCGATTACATGGCAGAAAATGACAATGAAAGGGACAAAGGGGGAGACGAGAATTGCCCTGTGCGATGTTAGGTGTTATAGGAGACTCATTCTTAAGATTCACTTACCAATGCATATAAGAGCGTTGCATGATCTTATTATTCTCTCCTATAGTACCAAAGCACATTTGGTGATGCTCAAGTGCAGCTCGAGCTGTCTCAACACATTCAGGTATGAATGTGCTAGACGAGCCAGTTCCGGCTGGTGCAGGAATCGCACGGTATATCAATGTTAACATTGATAGACGACTGACCTTGTCGCACTGAAGGTATAAGATATCTACTTCGCAAAGTCTTTGGTCCGAGGACATCATACGCTGTACGATAATTAGCAACCATGTAAATTCAATTGATTAGATCAGCGTACTTCAAATGGCTCGATGATGGTGGATTTCATCTCAGCGGCTAGACTGCGCGCATGAGATACTCTCACACTTTCGGGCTGATTCAGAGCTGCAGGGCTGTACAAAGTTGTGTACACTTTGTTCTGTATCATAGCCTGTGTGGTCCACAAGGCACATATGTGGCCCCAGATATCATTGCATGGGAAGGTCTCAAACGGTGAGGGCAGCGCGATGTCGAAGTCTTGGATCACAGAAGCACGCCCAAGTCGCAAAGACATCAAATTTAATATTGTGTACACAGACCAAAAGAGACATTGCTTTTCTTTCTGGACTGACGGGGGATCATGCTCCATGGACGATATGCGATGATAGCCTAATGTTTGACACATATGCATAGCAGTTGAAGCAAGTGTCCAACTAAGCGAGGGCTTTGAAATCTCAACTCCATGAAGCGCCTGATGTTATCGTTAGAAGTTATCCGTATTAACACAAAACCAGGAAGAATGATTACCCCGAGAGATAATGCCACGATATATTCATGTGTTGCAGGCATTAAGATGTTCAAGTTTGCCAGCGCTGCCTCCAGGCCGTCCTTGCACATCTGCACATATTGATTGTACTCATTCCGAGTGGCTGGTTCTTTCTCAGAGAATGATAACTCAATAAAGATGCTGTAGAGTCCAAATGTGGCAGCAATAAAGGCTGCATCAGAATAATCATCGGTGGAAAAGTAGACGTCTCGGCATTTTTCGATAAAATAATCTATCTCGAAGAATGGAATATAGCCACTGAATGACGATGTTGGATGTTCTGAACAGTGCAATGAGCGGGAAATGAGCTATCAAGTTTAATGGATCCGACCATACCTTTTAAATTTCTGAGAACTATCAACACAGCAGACAGCGGTGGTAGCTCTAGCTGGCGAACATCAAAACGGGCACCTAACCTGTTCTCTTGATCTGGAAACTGAGCCCGTTGGGGGTCAATCTCTCGTTGCTTATTTTGCATCTCAACAATCTGTCGTAGTGAGGAAAGTGCCTCGTTGATTTTCGGACTGGATAGGACTTCCGGCGTACTATGCGAAAAAGCAGATTCCAGAAACTCTCTTGCATAGGCCGAGTGTGCAGCAAGTGAGGAATTCCCCTCGAAACCAGAACTCGGATCATGTTGCTCAATAGCAGGGTTAGATGTATAACCAGGACCCTTGAGGTTGGCCTGATCGGATTTTGTCGCTGGAGAATCAACTTTAACACGCAGTAAAGGCGAGGGCTGAGATGATCCATAGGAATTCGGTGGCCTGGCCCCATTCAATCGGGAAACGGTGACCAATTCTTGCAGAGCCTTTTCGATGTTTCCCAGTCGCTCTTCCATCAAGTCTATCTTCTTCTCACTATCGATCAATGTTACCACCTTTGCTAAGGCTCAGTGTATTTGCGGAAGAAGAGAGCATTACTTACTATTGACTGGAAATAAGCACTCGCCTTCTCTGTTGCTGTGGCTTTTGACCCTCGCCGGTAGACCGACATACAACTTTTGAACTGCGGCAATTTGAACATGGCGAGCGTTTATCACAACGGATCTACGAAATTTCCCGTTAACGTCATATACGTGTGCAATCCTCTCCAACTCACTTTTCGGGTACGACACTGATCGCACTGGACAATTTGTTAGCAAACTCCATGATAAATATAACATTGTTCCTTAGAGAATCCACTAATGCATTATGCACTGGATCTCGGAGCGGAGTACAATACATACCGCACGTCGGGACAGGCCATTGTTCGGCACCTCGTATTCATCGTGGTCGGATCCCTCGGGTTCCATAACAAGGATTGATTGAGGATTATTGTTGAGCTTGTGGGATTGATGTCATCGGGTAAAAGCGGTGCTGCCTAGGCAAATCTTTGGTGATCACGTGGGGCCTGTTGAAAAGCTTAATATACATGTTCAAGTAATTGTCCTGAGATCTTGTGGAGAGACAAGCTTTCCATAAAGTCATCAAAGACAACAAGGTTCTATTGTATCTGATTGAAGAGAGTTGTGGAAACAAAGACGATGGACTACATGGTGTTCGCCCAGGGGGCTGCCAATCGGCGACATATCCAAACCCCTGATCCACTTCTACTCCATGCTTCCAACGACAAGGGATCGGAGGTTTGCAGTTGCTCTTTGACTGAGTGTCATCTTGATTTTGAGCGGTGTGGATAATTTAGCCTAGATTTTTAGACCAAAAGGGAGCCAATAATGCTCTACCTGCACGTATAATGTACAGTCTCTCACCCATCTACAAACTTTCCATGACTTCCAAGATAAGAAACGCCTCGCTGGATTGCGTTCCAGCCTATCTTCTTTGTCTGGGCCACTTAGACCACATCATCTACCCTATCAGATTGCTTCTTGACTATCTAGTGGACCGCCGGGACCCAACGGCTTTGCTTATCAAGCACGCGAGTCGGCTTGTGCGGGGGTTTGGGGATTCCTTGGTTCTTGGGGAAAGATTAGAAATACAGATATAGCGTCCTTTTGGTCTTGTTTATTTTCTTTCTTCCAAATTCCAACGTGCATTAATTTTCCGACCTGACATCTGCACGACCGTTGAGCCGCGATCAACATGACAGCGACAGCCCCACACCCGATGGATTTGTCACACCACTACTCCTACACCACCAAAAACCGTCTTGCGAGTTTCGTCAAAAGCTATTACAAGTACTACCAGATTCCAGGCCTGGCCAATTTTGCTGGAGGTCCAGCCCCCCAAAATCCAATGTTGGTGCAACCGTGACTGATTGTTTATTTACACAGGTTTGCCACACCAGACATACTTCCCTTATGACACTCTGGAAGCAAACATCGCCCGACCAGACCGCCTGAAGCCCATTAGCGCCGGCGACTCGAGATCAGAACGTCTTGTCGTCCCCAAACAGTCCCAGGCCACCGATGTTCAACGACGGATCGACTTGACCACGGCTCTGCAGTATGGCACAGCGGAAGGTTATCCGGCGCTGCTCTCATTTCTGCGACAATTCACCCGCGATCACCTCCATCCTAATGTACCCTACGCAGGGGGTCCGGAAATCATTTTGAGCTGCGGTAACACCGATGGCTTCTCCAAAGCTATTGAACTTTTGACCAATATCTGGAATCCCGATCGTGATTGGATTCGGCAGCGGGAGGGGGTGCTATGTGAGCAGTTTGCCTACATGAATGCTATCCAGACCGTCAAACCACGGGGATTAAATGTGGTCGGAGTAGCTATGGATGAACAGGGTATGTGTGCTTTTGGTGAGGGTGGTCTCGAAGACGTCTTGGAGAATTGGGATTTTCGACGTGGTCGTCGACCCCATGTTATGTACACTGTGACGTAAGTTGAAAGCTTTCACATCCTTTTCAAATCTTGGAATTGACAATTGAAAACAGCATGGGTCAGAATCCTACTGGAGGTGTGCTACAAATTGAGCGCAAAAAAGAAATCTACGCCCTTTGCCAGAAATATGACGTGATCATTGTTGAGGATGAACCATATTGGAACTTACAATTTCCGTCTGCTTACGAGATGGAAGCTCAGGCTCGCGGTTCGTCCATTCCAAGCCCCCGAAACTACAATGCGGAAGGAAAGTCATCGGGCTATCCGTTTTTGGATGCGTTGGCCCCATCATATCTATCCATTGATACAGAGGGCCGAGTAATCAGACTCGACACCTTTTCTAAGTCCATCGCGCCTGGAAGTCGACTTGGCTGGATCACTGCACAGCCCGCTATCATCGAACGTCTGACTCGCATCACCGAATGTTCTACTCAACAGCCTAGTGGATTCGTGCAGTCCATCGTTGCAGAGATGCTCATGGGTAAGCAAGACGGCGAGACAAAAGCTCGGTTTTACAAGCTGCAAGATTCTCCAGGGTGGCAGATGGATGGCTGGGTACACTGGCTAGAAGGCCTGCGAGAAGGCTATGAGAAGCGTATGCAATCCATGTGTACCATTCTGGAGGATAACAAATTTTTCCTCTCTGGATCTGCAGATCATGCTCAAGACTGGGAGGTAGTCGACAGAGCTCAAATGTTCGAATTTATCTGGCCAAAAGCTGGTATGTTTACTTGGATCGAGGTGTACTTCGAGGCACATCCTCTTGTGTCTCAGTATAGCCCTCAAAAGCTGTCCAGTGCTTTTTGGATCCACCTTACGCAAAAGCCAGCCTTATGCTTAATTGGCCCAGGCAGTATGTTTGCTGCCAGCCCTGAATCAATTGAGCTGGCTTACAGATACTTCCGGCTTTCTTTCGCACCAATGAATGCCGATGATGTTGCAAATTTCACACAGAGACTTGTTGATGGAATCCGGTCCTTCTGGCAGCGCAAGAATCTTGATGGTTTAGAGGATGCTGATACTTTGGATATGCGGATGCTACAGCTGAGCCCTGAGGCCAACTTCTTGGGTACTGGCTGCTAATTTACTTTCAAGGTGCATTATCCAGTGGAAGAATCTTTCTGTCCTGTGATCTAATCTAATGCCCTCTTGCTTAGTGAGGTTACGCTATAGATTGAGAACAATAATTTCTTGCTTTAAGAATGCGGGTTCGTTTTTAATGCCATTTTAGTGACACGAGTCACGAATCAAGAGTCAATTTCGCTTTCCTAGTACCAGACTGTTTCCCCGTAAATCCCAGGAATATCTTCATCTCTCAGTAACCCACTTTTCCAATTATGTCACTACTCCCATCCTCCTCCATGGCCTCCTCCATGGCCTCCTCCACGGCCTCCTCCACGGCCTCCTCCTCTGCCGCCACCTCCACCACCCCAGCCTCCGCCTCCTCGTCCTCCTCCTCTACCTCCTCCCCCGCCCCAGCCTCCGCCTCCTCTGCCTCCACCTCGGCCTCCACCCCCACCCCAACCTCCACCTGGAGGTCCCCTACCATCATCGGTGGTAGTACCCTCGTTCGCTGCCTGTTCCTCCTCAGCCCGTTGGACTATGTCAAATGCTGATGAGACTTAGTATATCATCTTACTTGCCGATCAAAAAAAGAGTACAAACCTGGTTCTGGCTCAGCAATGGCGGCCGCTAGGGCGGCGCTTGTTAGCCCAAGCAAGGCAAGTAGCCAAGCAAAACGCATTATTGCTGATTGGGTGGTTTGATGTTATACTTTGAATTCTCAAAAGACTCCAAAGAGGTGTAAAGGGGGTTTCAAGGAATCTCACAAGGAGACTTAAGAGAAATGAGTTAATCAGAGATAATGGCTTTCAAAATCAACATGGGAATCACTACGTGCTTTATATAGCCTCATGACTACCTTACAAGAAGCAGGGTTCCAGTTCCATTGGTTGGGATCTAAGAACTAGATATCCCCCGAAGTTGCCACAATCAACTCCAGTCACCGTGTCTCCTCGCTTCCGTCACGAAGTCAAATCATAGAAAGGGTTCCCTTGTACCAACTGGCCGCGCATTTTCTTGTGCTGATGACGATAGAGGACTGGTCCAGAAAGTCTACTAGGTTGTTTGATTCGAGGAAATACTTTTAGCATGTTTGTTGACGGAGCTACGGGGTCATTCAAGTATGCTGACATCCTTTGCTCAGGCTGTCCGGTTACGCTTGATTGACCTGTAAGACGGTAATCAATAAGGATGCCCCGGTCTAGCTTGCGAAGGGTAACAGCCGTAGAGGCAAGATGAGAAGAAGAATATCGCTTCATTCCTACTTAAGGGCTTGGCCTGGCTACCTACTTACTCCATTTAGATATCACATGAAGCTGACCTTATTGTCATAGCATTTAGTCTTGATGATATCCTGTGCGGGCCCTAGGGTATGTAGCATGTTCCGGCATTCCTGGGAAAGATTGGTGTGACACAAGTCAGGTTTCTAAAGTTACGTCTCTCACTGACTTCATGCGTTCATGACCCGTATATTCGGTGGCTCTGTTTGGTATACAACCCTGGAGTAAGACAAACATGTGGGGAATCGCCGTAAGCAGCTAGGATTACGATGCTGAAATAGAGCGACTTCTGAAGAATAGAGTGCATCACACGAGATTAGCTTTTTCAGGTTGAACATCTTACATTTCAAAATCCATAGATCTAGCATTAGGTGCTAATTCCAAACAACTCGGGTTAGACAATAATTGACCTTGTTAATTATTCGGGGGGGTATACTCAAGGTCAACCAGACAAATCCTAGTGTTTAGAATTTAGATGTATAAGTAAATGGAGATATCTCGCTGTATTGGTGAAGTGTCAATTTCGTGGGACAAGGAACTGCTATGAGGGTTTGTCTGCAGGGCATTTGACCAATCATAGGCAGTGCATCGGTTGATGGGAAGCCATGATCAATACAGTCAGCAGAGTAAACACAGGACAAAACTTTCAGTTGTATTTCCCATTAGATCAAGGAACAGGTCAAATGCATCATACTATCGTCCTAGGCGTAGAACTACTCTCAAACAACCTGATAGTATGCTTAATTCATAGACTGGATTAGATGTGTCCGTGCCTCGCAAAACACTAGCTCGATTGTCTTCGTCTCCTGCTCCTGCCAGACACATAAAGAATGGCAGTTGGTGCCTTGTTGCCTGAAAAGGATCTGCGGGGAAATCAACATTTCTCAAATGTTCTCCGCAGCACACCAATCCGCTCTCCAAAGCCATGCCTAACAATGTCGCAACTAGACAATCTACAAAACCGAGATTTGGCTGAAGAAATCGAAGCCATCAATGCCATTTACGAGCCCGATACTATCACATTAGACCGAGCGGGCGCATCGTCCACTGCGAACAACACCCTCGACTTGGGGAGCGCTGGGTCATCCAATGACGATGCGCGAACCACGATAACACTCCAGCTTCCCGGCCAACCTCATCTTTCTTTTATAATTGGGTTCGGCGAGACCTACCCGGAGACCCGACCTGTGATCCTTGGGACCGCATCGACTGCTGCGCGCGGGGAGGGAAAGATCGCCGTCGATGTATTGGAAGATATTGTGCAACGGACATGGCAGCCTGGTGCTGTGTGTTTGTTCGACGTTATAAGTGAAGCGGTCGAAATATTTCCTGAATTGAACATCGGTGGAAGCAAAGAAAGCGAGCAAACCGGGGCTGCGGATTCAACATCTACCTATGGATCATCTCTTAGCCAAGCAACAACAAAAGCCGATAACTCGACCACGATGCTTACAGAGGTAGCCGAGGGGTTCGGGGCTCTTTCGTTGAAAGATGCATTTGGACTCGATAGTCCACCGGATTGGATTCTCTCCGATGTTGTAACGGAAAAGAAATCCGTGTTTGTAGCCAGGGCAGCACGAGTTTCGGACCTTGCGCAGGCACAAGCTTATCTGGACCATCTCACTGCGACTGATAAAAAGGTCGCAGTGGCATCTCACAATATAAGCGCATGGCGTATAAAGCAGAAGAAGGATGTTCCTCCAGGTGCAGATGCAGCCGAAACGCAAATCCAGGATTACGATGATGATGGGGAGACTGCCGCCGGGGGCCGCTTACTGCATGTTATGCAATTGATGGATGTGTGGAATGTCCTCGTTGTGGTCTCGCGCTGGTATGGAGGTATTCATCTCGGACCTGCGAGATTTCGACTTATTAACGATGTTGGCCGCGACGCCTTGGTCAAAGGTGGTTTCGTCCGTGAGCAAACCCCTGGCCCTGAGAAGGGAAAGAAAAAGGGCAAGAAATGAGAGGCAGGTGGAGAGCTTTGGCCTCCAATACTCTTACTTATGAAACACCTACCAGAACTACTGGTATTAAAGTTTGGCGACATAACATCCGACCTGTCATCATAGTGATACAGAAAAGTCACAAATGAGCGAGGCTTGATTGCCTTGGGAATTGATCCCTCTTATGGATCATCACCAGCTTGGCCCTATGGTCACTCGGCGTCAAAAAAAAATCCGAGCGAGGTTGCCATCGTCTCCCAGCCGAACCATTCTACTGTCTGGTTGAATGGACCAACCTGGTCCGGAGCCCTGGTCGGATGAGAAATAATCTCTCAATGCATCCATTTTAGACACTGAATCAGAATTTAGACTTAGAAGGGTGATCGCATTCAACAAGGTTTGTGTGTGTGTTCAGAACCATTTTGCATGCCTAGATGTACACGATTTAAAATGCCAGAACAGAATCATCACTTGTGTGTTTGTGGATACGGCGTTCATTCTCCTTCTGCGGGTGCTACCAATTGATGTGACATTGGGGCCAGAAAAGCCCAATGAAACTTTTTTCGTATCAGACATTAAGTCATCAGGATCAGGGGACGCTGCTCAACATCATTGAGGCATTTTCGACATCACCGAGCATATCCGTAATTAGATACCCACAGTTTTGACATCTCGTTCTGGTGATGGCATATCCACTTCCAATTCTTGCACCAAATTGTTAGTCCCACGCGAAGCAAATAATCTAGGCAGCCATCTAGCGGCATGTTTGATTGTGATGGACAGCCTGAATACTTTTATGAGGTCGTGCGCGAGCAGATAGCCAAAGATCAGGGAACGGGCCCTGTTTACGGGAGTTTGTGCCTTAATTTCACATCGAGTCAGACCGAACTATCACCGTACCATGGTACGGGCAGCTCGACGAACGAGTCAGAAACTTCCTCGGTCGACCTTGCGATCGAGTGCTTGTGCATCGAAGCTATGAAAAACTAAACTATAAGGGCGCATCCACTTTATGCAGGGTTATAGTTAACCGAAATGGCGCCAAGACGCACGAAATTGCAGGGACCGACCATTAGAAGGTTATTAGGAGTTCTCTTACTCCACATCCGAACAACTAGGCTGACAGGTATCATATGGGGCTTGCTATCAATCTGAAACGGCTTCAATGACCCCTAAGGGATTGGCGGTTCGGGTGCGGAGAGCTAGAACCGTGGATTGAAGCAACATCAATATATTGCAGGCAAGTAAGACCCACAACATCACTAAAAGCAAAAAAACATAGTCTCCATTCTCGATAGCTTTGAAGCGGATCAGTATGAATGTCAGGCAATCGATGACTTGAGAGATACCCCTTGAATGACGTCTAAGAACGTGTGGCAGGACTCTGAAACAAAGTTCGGTTGATACCGTCCCTTCTGTTCGGGATACCCACAGCGATCTTTATAGCGCTAAGCCATACCATCCTGGTGGATATTCCTGTCATTCTTGAATTTTGTGCATGATCTACTGGTAAGTCAGTTCTAGCAGCATTGGCGGCTTAAAGGAAATGCGATAGTTGCGGTCAGCATCTCCCTGATCCCATGCCAAGGCCACGAAAATCAGTGTGATATTTGCAGGGTTTGCGAGTATGCATTTTGCTTCGTGATTAAAAAACGGATCTAAGCGGTCTGTTGAATTTGGCGCTGTGAATACGTCATGTTGTCACATCTAAGTTTGTTACCAGTCGCAAGGGCGCGACCCGTAGATGCATGGACATGCCAATCGTGATCGCGGGACACCGGAAGACTACTGCACAATGCCGAGTCTATGGCGGAGCTGTCAATATTAGGGCAAAGTGATGAAACGCAGGCAGCGTTCATGTTCATTGTAACCATGAGTTTCAATTCCGTCGTGCCATATCGGCATTTCCCGTCAATTGATTGGCGCTCGACCCGCTGGCAAGAAACCATAGGCGCCAAGGGTGACCCCCCGCAGCCAATCCCGCCGGTCGGAAGGACCAAACACATGGCACCCCTGGCTCCCAGGATAGATGGTGCGACACGGTATGAGGTCTCTTGACAAAGGGGGAGGCGTCTGGGGGTACCTTGCGCCGGTCTGTGCGGTGGTTGACTCCCTCCAGCGGATCAGTTTGGTTGGAAGAAGCAGATCGCAAGTACTGGAGGGTCCCCATTCTCGCGTCTGACTGGCTGGAGTCCACTAGTTCTTCAGCACCACTCATCGTCCAGATACATGCGTTTGCCAGTGAAAGGAGCGATTGTGAAACATCCCAGCTTTCTCGAAGTCTCGCTCCCCACTTGCGACCTGTCTTCGGATCTGGCAAAATGAGATCGTCGAGCATTTTCTCGTCTTGGCGTGGAGAAGATCAGACTTGAGGAGTATCCGATTGATTGGGGGACCCATCGAGTCCATTCAGGGTCTGCTTAAACATTGATGCGTGACACACAGGGTCCTGTCGTATGAGGAAGCTGAGCGGGATATATAAGACTCTTCAGCGCCTATCCTGCAGATTTCTTTTTCTCCGTCGTGCATCTCGATCTTCTTATTCACTTCCAAGGTTCACGGTTCGATACCTAGCAGGCTAGTCCTGTCTTTCTTTCTCTCCTTTCATTTTTTTGATCTGGTAGTCGTTGCCTGTGGCAGACTCCTACATTCCTTTTTTTGGATCAAAATCTGTGACAGTCCTTTGGTTTGTTCTAGCTTGAAGCAAAGACATTGGTATTATTCACTTGTTCCAGTCTGTTACAGTAAGGGTAGGTTATTCTTTGTTCACATCCTTCACCGGCGTTTGGTCCCATTTTATTAAATGGACGATCCACTCCTTTGCCAACAATACCTTTTCTTCCGGGTACATTCACTGGCTTCACTTCAATCCCGGCTATATAACCCCCCATTTTCTCTTCATCAATGCTGTTTTCTCCATCTCTAATTCTCTGGCGCAGGAAGCCTCCACAGTCTTTTCTACAATTTCGTGACTACCAAACTTCAATCCTTTTCTATTTGATTTTATTCGTCTGGTACGAATCAGATCATACATTGCAACATTTCTGTCGAACCAAACTCCCCCAAAAAGTATTTTTACAACATGTTCGCCAAATCGATGCTTTTTGCCATGCTGGGGGCCTCTGTGGCCAGTGCCCACATGATTATGACTAACCCTGTCCCTTATGGAGTGGACACCCTCAACAATTCTCCTCTGGCAGCCGATGGCAGTGACTTCCCCTGTAAGCTGCGCTCGAACACATACGAGGTTACCGAGGAGAATGTGATGGTGATCGGTCAATCTCACAACTTGACCTTTGAGGGTAGTGCCACCCATGGTGGTGGATCCTGCCAGATTAGTCTCACCACGGATTTGACGCCCTCTAAGGATACCGAATGGCAGGTCATCAAATCGTTCGAGGGTGGCTGCCCGGCCAATGTCGATGGCAATCTCTCCGGTGGTGCTACCATGGTTGATCCGTACTCTTTCGATTTCGCCATTCCAGAGGGCATCGCCGCTGGCAAGTATACTCTTGCCTGGACCTGGTTCAACCGTATCGGCAACCGTGAGATGTACATGAACTGTGCCCCAGTCACCGTGAAGAGTGCCAGTTCCTCTAAAAGATCCGAGGAGGTTGAGGTCAAAGCAGTCGAGAAACGTTCTTCCACCTTCCCGCCCATGTTCGTTGCCAACATCAACGGCTGCACTACCTCGGAGAACGTTGATATTCGTTTCCCTCAGCCTGGTGACGTTGTCCAGTACCTTGGCGAGGCTTCCAACTTGGCCAAGGTGGGTGCCGCAGCTTGTACTGGTACTCCCACCTTTGCCAGCGCAGGTGACTCTGCCACTGGCACCAATTCTGGATCCGGCTCCTCTGGGTCCGGCTCAGCAGTGGTGACGTCCGCCGCTGCAGCCACTACCCCTGCATCAACCCAAGCCGCCGAGCCTGCTCCAGCCTCCACATCGGCTTCATCTGCACCTGAACCTGCCGCTCCTTCCGCTACCTCTGCGGCAATCCCAGCTTCTCCTTCCAGTTCTAGCTCTAGCTCCAGCTCCGGTTCTTCGAGCTCTTCCAGCTCTTCCAGCTCGGGTGCTTTAAGTGGCTCGTGTAGTGATGAGGGTGCATGGAACTGCATTTCCGGAACATCTTTCCAACGTTGTGCCTCCGGTGTATGGTCTGCCACCCAGGAAATGGCTTCTGGAACCTCCTGCACTGCAGGTCAGAGTTCGGAGTTGACAATTGTTGCCACCAAGCGAGCTCGTGCTGCTTCGGAGTTGCGTTTCCGCAAGCGCAGCATTGGTGACTCTCACCACGCTTAGATACGAACAATACCTGCTGGTTTCGGGTATTGTCCTCATCCCTTCTTTTCTTTTCGTTGCATATCTTGCCCCTTTTATCTTTTTCTTCGTTTCCGCTCCTAGATAGGCGCCCTAGGATGGACCCTTTTCTTACCCCCTCAATGCATCATTTTTGTCCTTTTCATCATGTACATTTTAGGATACGTGGCTTAGATGTGAGAGTGAAATTTTTGATGGACCAAAGAAAATCAAATCTGAAAAACATTGTCAAGCAACTGTTCCCCAGGATTCGTCCAAGTAAGTCGATTTCTTTGAAATCGCTTCAAATCCAGAGATAGTGCCAGGTATACTATACCAAGTCGTGCATTGACTCAAAGCCATTCTTGGAGATTAGTATCGTATTTCTTGTTTCATGTTCTGTTATCCTGTAGCGCCAGGTTCACAGTATACCGTGGCATTCCTTCTTTCATGTACGGAGTATAAGAGAAAGTAAATGGTGGATCGCATTTGCTCCACGAGATGGAAGATCAGGTGTCAACAAACCTAAAAGGGAAAGTTAAGTGGAGCGGATTGATTACGTAAGGCGGTGTGGCCCCACTACTCTCAATGTGGTTAACCAGGGCTTAGGGTTTTTTCCCGCACTGACTGGCGCAAGCTCACTAAGCGAAGAAATCCACAGGACAGCCCGACTGGGAAACTTTTGATCTTCAACCTCACCAACGACACCGAACGACAACAATGGCCACTCGCCCGACCGTCTCGATCGCTACGGCTGAGGGTAAGCCCTCTGGGGCTACCCAGACCCTTCCCTCGGTCTTCTCTGCTCCTATCCGTCCGGATATTGTCCAGTACGACATCTCTGAAGAAAAATTGGTATCCGGGGCGAAATGCTGATGATTTCCCTACAGGCAGGTCCACACCGGCATGGCCAAGAACAAGCGCCAGCCCTACGCCGTCAGCGAGAAGGCTGGTGAGCAGACCTCTGCTGAGTCCTGGGGTACCGGTACGTGATTAAAATTTCAGTCTTCGATATGCGATTTGGATTTTGCTGGGGCATCATGAAAAGTGGGGGTGGATGGAGGCAATTGAAGAATTTTCGCTGGGGAACGCCAATGATGAAAGGAAACAGGCCGCTAACGAGACAATCTTCAATTGAACAGGTCGTGCTGTCGCTCGTATTCCCCGTGTTTCTGGTGGTGGTACTCACCGTGCCGGTCAGGCTGCCTTCGGTAACATGTGCCGTTCCGGTCGTATGTTCGCTCCCACCAAGGTCTGGCGCAAGTGGCACCAGAAGATCAACCTGAACCAGAAGCGTTTCGCTACTGCTTCCGCCCTGGCTGCTTCTTCCGTCCCTGCCCTCCTCTTCGCCCGTGGTCACCGCGTCGGCAAGGTCGCCGAGGTTCCCCTCGTCGTTGAGTCCAAGACCTTCGCCGGTGCTGCCCTGACCAAGACCAAGGCTGCTATCGCCCTTCTCCAGGCTCTCGGTGCCGGTGAGGAGCTCGTCAAGGTCTCCAAGTCCCGCAAGCTCCGTGCCGGTAAGGGTAAGCTGCGTAACCGCCGCTTCCGCCAGCGCCGTGGTCCCCTCGTTGTCTACAACCCCGAGACCGATGGCAAGGAGCTTGTCCGTGCTTTCCGCAACATCCCCGGTGTTGAGACCTCCTCCGTCTTCTCCCTCAACCTCCTCCAGCTCGCCCCTGGTGGTCACCTCGGTCGTTTCCTCGTCTGGACCTCCTCCGCTTTCGAGGCTCTTGACCAGGTCTACGGTTCCACCACCACCCCCTCGGCTCTCAAGAAGGACTATCTCCTGCCCTCCAACCTTGTTGCCAACTCTGACATCACCCGTCTTATCAACTCCTCTGAAATCCAGGCCGTTGTCAAGGCTCCCAAGGGTGAGGCCCGCACCAAGCGTGTCAACGTCCAGAAGAAGAACCCTCTGCGCAACAAGCAGGTTATGCTCCGTCTTAACCCCTACGCCTCTGCTTACTCCAAGCAGAAGCTCGGTCAGCAGAGCGTTGAGGGTGGCAAGCCCGCTCGCGCTGGTGAGACTTTCCTCAACACTCTGTCTGAGGAGTAAGCGTTGCCTCTCTCTTGTTTTTCACGGTTAAAAATGGTAGTGTCAGAGCAAAAATGAATTAATGCCTTTTTGCAATACCCACGGGTCCTGATTCGGAGTATAATATGACGGTTATGTTAATGATCCCATTATATTCCTTATCGTAGTATAGCGCTCAGGTGGTGAGTGATAGATGTAAGAGCCGCAGTTGACATTAGGTCACTCTCTCCCAAAGTCATGTTCAACTTTGACCTTCTGTAGGCATACGACTATCAACATTTGAAGTACTGGACTTGCCAAACTCTTTGCGGTGTGGCTCTACCTGTCACGACCCTCAACATTGAAAGTCTTCGGTCGTATTTAGATCCAATTGGTTTCAGGATTATGTCTCAATCTTCTTGACTTTCGTCGCAATGACACCTTCTAGCTTGACTTACAAAAAACACTGGGCAAAATCGTTTCCATGTCTTCGCTCCGCTCTACCTAGTTCCTACATCTACATGGGCAACCTTGGGTTGCTTTTGAACTCCAGACGCACCCAACACTTGAAATGTATACTAGGCAGTTAAGACGTACTGATTATAGAGTCCCAGGCCTGGAGTAGTCCATTCCAAGGTTTCAAGGTTGTAGAACATCGCAACCCTAGAGGTTCTTGGCCTAACCCAGGGCCCGGACCTTTACTAATTCCACCAAGCCACAACAAAATAAACGTATGACTCGGCATTCACGCTGACCCAGAGTTGTGGATATTGTTCTCCACGCGCCGGATCACATCTTCCTTCCTCGCGGCAGGCAACAGCATTCAGGTGTATCTGCAATATATGGAAGTATATGTTCTCCAAGCACCCAAGTAATTAAATGTGTCTTAAAGAAAAAGACTTTATTTAACCCCTGACGGCAAAGCAGAATCTGCCACGTATTATTTAGCTTTGTGAGACGTTTTATGGAAGGAAAAGCCATGATCCAGAAATTAGCCGATCCTTGAGGGAGCGTTGAATGTTGTGGCCTTGCGACTCCACATTTGACATACAAGGATGACGGCGGGGGATGCATGTGCCTGGATCGACTTTAAAAGACAGAGGGGGGCATATTCTGAAGTGCTCGAAGCTTAGAATTGAGTGTGAGGCCGAGTACATGGCTACTCGTCCGCTGAGAAGCATTTGAGTTCGGGGCGCTAGATTGATGGAGGCGTCTACCTCCCTAGCCCGGCGCTAGTGTCAACATGGATATACTTTTATGCCCATATGAATACAAAAAGCCACATTCGCAGAGCATACCGGATAGGCAGGACAAGGATCGGTAGTGTATCACATGCACTGTTTCGGCCGCGACCTAGGCATCTTGAGATCCAATCTTATATACCGCAATTTTAGATCAAATGTACGTTGATCCGGGGGCTGTGTCATATTTAGATTAAGACAACATGCAGAACTAGTGTAGCATTTTAATCACGTTCAACTGTGTACGAGACGGAGTCCGTTGACTTGATCCAATTGGCAATGGTACCATTGACATAAATTTGCAAGCTGTCAAGTTGGTGATCCGAATGGATGGAGATCATAACAACGTTGAGGCTGAAGACAGCAGTGCGACGTGAAATTAAATTAAATCCTAAAACTAAACCGCTCAATAAAATGAAAATCTTACTATGCTTCACATGTCATTCTTCTAGAAGCTCAATTTATTTAACGTTAGTCGGTAGGTGCCGGTTTCCCCATGGTAGTACATGGATCGATTGAAGAGAAGAAAAAACAAATTTACGCTGAAAGAAGACGGAAATATTTTCCAGCCGAATACATGGGTATGTTGGGATCCTACTAGAGCAGGGCGCAGGCGTTACAAGCAATGTACTTATGCATAAGCGAACAGAAGAAAAAGCCGACACGAATGAAAGGCCACGGATGAACGCTGGGATTCGGGAAAGTCGACCGAACGGTCTACAAGCGGCCCAAGCGATGAAGATCGCACGGGCGCCAAGCTTACATACCGTCAGGGTCCGCGGCTCATGGCTTTTAGCAACCAAGGAGGCCTGATTTGGTCGAAGTGGGGATAGATGTACGTCAGTCCTCGGGCGGCGCGGACTTTCCGTCTATCGAGCAAGAAAAGAAGGTTGGTCCTCTTTTGTCAAATGCCATAGCCGAGTTCGGGATTGAAAAGCTCTACCGTGGAATTGAGTTTGGGGCGTGCGGTACGATGACACAAAGTTCGTGTTTTGTTGGAAATTTTTATTTTAAAAAATAATAATAAAGAATTATTTCAGAAATCCTGTGCAGAGTTACACCGGGGCGAAGTTCGCTAGCGAGCCCACTATTGAGCTAAAATATGCGGTAACGAGGGACTAAGTTTCCGGAATAATTATGGAAGATACAGAATGTAACAGGAATGAAATAACCGAGATCCCTTTCAGTGCTTAGACTAGTCGGAGAATATTTGTCCTCCGATCCGGTTTGCGCTATACGTGTACAACTAGTTCACTAGGAAAAGGACTTTAGAATATGTACATAAAAGCGGTCAGATGACAGTCCTGCTCGCTCCGGATCTACTGATCTGAAGTAATCAAAATGGACACCTGTACATTTGTATATGCAAAGTAGCCAATACGGTGAAGTAGTTGAATGTTAACAAAAAAAAAACTGGATCCGTCCCGGATAGGCTAAGTCTCCATTTGCAGATCCCCGGCGATTTGCCATGTATAAGACGCATGTCTCACCTAACACGAATCTGGGTCAGGGGCGGTCTGCTTCCACGGGAATCAAGCCGACACGAGCGGGCAATGCAAAACATATCTATGCCTAGAGTCACAGTACAGTAGTGCCTTCGATAGCTCAGGAACCAAGGGACCCTTTTCCGGTTAGTCTTATAATCTTACTTTATATTAATCTAAATCGCATTTGAATTTTCTTGTTTTAGATTACTTTTCTTTTTCTTGGACATGGGGCTGATAGAGGATTTGGCCCTAGTGCATGAGTGTATCGCGTGTCACCGTCCTCATTGCTAGGATCAGATTGTTTTTTTTCAACCATTGAACGGGGCGTAAAAATAAAAAATAAAAAAAAACATGCATATGTATACTCCACAGAATTGGGCACGTTCTATGACGTTGAAAAGCCGAAATAGGATTCCATCACCGCGAGTGGATTCTCTCTACTATCTCAACTTTTTTTCTTTTTTTTTTTCTTGGCTCTAAAAGATTCCCCATACATACTAACTCTCAAATCAGCGTCGCAGTCGGTATTTATTCGGAGTAAAATTGGGTCCATGAAAAAGCTGAGCCAATGGCGTGATCGCACCCTAACCATGGTGAAAGACGCGAGTTCGGGTGGAAATGCCAGATGAGACTTTATTAATTGCCGGGTGGGAGTAGAAACCCGATAGCCGGGTCTATCCTCCTCCCCTAAGATTCGCGTTAATTACTTTAAATTTGTTTGTGATTTTTGTGACCACAGGGGCTTGGGACCGAATAGGTGACGATCCCGGATGACGGCGTGCAGATCAGATCGCCATGCTTTTGAGACACAGATACGTGGTCAACTCCGGAGTGCATCACCGTTGGAGTAGCAATTCCAGGAATAAATTAGTGGGGTTGAGTAGTCCATAAAGGCCTATTGGTAGAAAAGACCAGGGTTCCCGAATAGTGTAGAAAGCCACATAGAAGGGGGACAAGACTGCATACGATACTTCCTGAATAATTTGCTTCTAGAGGCTGCATGGCTGCCTCTTGGCGAAGAAAGTAAAAATCGATACCTCGTGTGTACGTATCTGAAGAAAGCACGTCGAGACCGCAAAATCTGCACATGCCAACCTAGGTATTTTCCGCCGAGCATGCGAAAGGGGTGGGGAGCAAGATTACCCACAGCCTTTGAGACCCAATATTCAGCAAATCATCCGGGAGGATCTCGGGTTTGCCTCTTCATTTGGACTTTAATTCCAGAGGACCAGGCCACAAGTAATTCGTACAACGTATTATACAGTAGGTGATATATGGAGAAACCAACCGAGCCCAACCGAGGGCCCTGCGCAAAAATTGGAAATCGGTGGTCCACACGGTCCACCTGCACGACCACGCGATCCAGCGATCCTCGTAATTCCAAAAGAACGATAAGCCCTGTGGCTCCGACGGATCCAAGGAGGATTTTCCTGACTAGGCATCTAGTCTTCCGCGCCACTTGTCGGCCGAGGACAAGCATGATCCACCATCAAGGATATTCGCGGCCGTCGTTCCGGGCCCCAAACAAGCTCTTTCATCCAGTCAGACGGCTTCGAGCTAAGGGCCAGCCGCCGAGCGTTTCTTCAGCCGATCGAAAGGTTCTGGCGCTTCGCCCCGACGGGATGACCGTAATCCTCCGTTATCCTCTGGACAAGGGAGAAAGGTCGAGCCAACCAAATCCCGAAACGCCGTCTTGGGTGCATAAGCAGGGAAAAGGTCTTTTGGGCATGAGACTGGTCAATCCATGGCTCCATCTACGGTAATACGGACAGTACAAGCAATATTCCGAGTCCTGGGCTTACATCCCTGATCCTTGGAATTAATATAAAAGGCTGGAGTTGGCTTTAAGGCATTTCGGATGAACCTAAGGGGCGTTCCGATGGTTTCCATTACTGACTGCGCCAATCGCGACGAGGCACGCACCGATGGGCGCACGCGCTGCAGCTCCCGCTATAATTCACCGTCTATGAGCACTCTCCCCACCACCCCCTTTGAATATAAACGCATTGTACCCATATTGAATCAGATCATTGGGAAATATACTCTCCCCACTCCTTTTACGGGTAGTGCCATCTAATTGCCGGCCCGGTTAAGGATTACGCCAGCGTTCCCCCATTATTTGATGTCTAAGACAAAGACCGAAATGCCGAATATTGATCAGAGTGGAACCGTGGGGGATCCACTCCTGTATAGCTCGAATGGCTTGTTCGATTTTTGGGGACTTTCTGTGTCCTATAGATGGCCCTATAGGGAGGTAGGAAGCGAATCGCGCCTTTGTCTAAGATTGGCACCGTCTCGGCCGTTGGCCGCATGTGGCGTTCACCAAGGAGAGCCTCCTGCAAGCCCATATCCGAAGAAAGCAAACGAGGGGTCCAGATGTCTCATTTCGGTATTGAATTTTGTGTTTGGGGTTTTTTGGGTTTTCGGTTTTTGGAGCAAATTTACCTGCGCGGACCGAGCAACCCAGAAGAGTATAGATCGATCCCACGTCGATCGTATGGTTGTCATGACTCGTAGCTAAATTAAAATCCATCAAGTATCTGTACTTTTGGACCCGTAATTATGTATCCATGATACAAACGGTCTGTTTAGTCCTTTTCTGAAGCATCGTGAACCCCTCCTCCTTCCCTCCCCTTTCGATCTTATCTTCCTTTCTGCTTCTTCTCTCCTTTTTGGTCTTTTCTTTTCTTTTTCTTCTCGGCTTTTGGCCCCTCCTTTACCCCAAAGTATTTGTGTGCTTAGCCTTTGCGGGTAAAGCTGCCAAGGGTAATCTCAAAGAGCAGTGCTGGCTCGCGGGGCAGCCCAATATCAATTCTTAGTGGATCAAATTCGTCGCGGAGGACGCTGCTTTAGCGCCTGATTATTGCCCGGGGTTTCCTGCAACTCGTTGGCAACGCACAAGTCACTTTCCCCAGTATAGCCAAGTCGTGTACCGAGGATTTCGACTTGAGGTTATCACAGTGCTCTATATACGAGTCTGCTGGACCGGATCAATCTGTTCTGCTTTTCTGCTTATGTTGGTTTCCTTATCTACTTAGTCCCCAACGCCCTAGACTGGAAGCCGCAGATTCTTGCATAAACACGGCGTTCGGTGAGCATTGGGATCACAAATTCTCCGTGATATTCCATTCCTGCGATCGTGGATCTATTTCTACTTTGATCAGCCGGCCCGCCTTCCGCGACTTCTGGGGTTAATTGATGCTTGCGACTCCCCGGTCCCTCGTCGCCTCCTGTGAAGTCCATGCGAGTCACTGGGATTCTGCAGCCACCCTGGTATCATGAACATGCCCCCCAGCACTGCAACTGCTATGGCCATTTGTGAAATGCTATTCTAAACCGATCTCGACCTCTTCATTCAATCCCACTTGGCGTTACAAGCAACGGAGTTAACACCGCTTTCTGGCCTCCAAGGATTCGAGTTTATTTAGCCACGGCCTTGGCAATTCTTTGGGACTTATCGCATTGGAGGACTTCTCGACAATTTTAACACTTTGAGATCTTGACTTGACAAATCGGCTTTTGGACTGCGGTTGCCTCGATTGCCTGTTCAACGACTTCCAACGCCACCTTCATTTTCCTGCAAAATCGCCGAGCAGTAATAAGCTGAGTTTGAAGAGTATGACTTAAGTATCTTGAGGCGCAAAGGCGAATAACTTTGCTAAGATGCTTATTAGTTTAGGCTTCGCGTTCGGCCATTCGATTTAGAGTCACGGATTCTCGATCAACAACTTTCGAAAAGGACTGAAAACGGTACCAATCTAGAAGATCGTGTTCCAGATCATTGTCACGGAATTTGCACAGATCGGGGGGTTTGAAAACCGGAGAAGACCGACGACATTGATGATACACACGTCTTTAAAGTAGATGTTGATCTCACACGCACCCAATCCGCATCCTATCATTCGATCCACACGCCTGCCATGTCAGGTTACTATGTTGGACCCTTCGGTCGTATGTTACCCGCTACCGACGGTCTATCAACCGAGCAGGATCCGGAAGGCCCAGCTAATAAGTCAGATTCCGGGGATAACCCATACCAGCTTCCACCACCACGTGCACCAGCAAACTTGCAATTTGGAACAGATCCATTTTTACGACAACGAGAAAATGCCGAGTCAGGAATAGGCCCAGGGGAGGCTGCTTCACAGCCGCAGCCCCAAAGAACCGAACAACTACCCTCTGTGCGACATTTGTTAACCCCTGCTGCCGGTCCAAACACGCCGCCTGCCTACCATCAGCCGTTTGGGAATTCTACGCCTGGGACCGACCATCGTGAATACTCCTATCCGTTTCGTGGGCATGAGCCATCACATTCTTCACAGATTACTCCAGTCTCTGTGCAAGATAGAGGGCGCTCAGAATCATTCCCGCAGCCACAGACAGGTAACCTTCCGTCACTGTCACAGGTGACTATGCATAGTCCTCGAGATATGGCACATCACGCGGCGACACGAAGTGACCCGTCCGCGACTTCCTTCCAGCATGGTCAATCACCGTACCACGGAGGGTCATATCACGAAAACCCTTCGAGTGTAGGAGACATCTCATCTCCCGAGAGCGCGAGTCGAACACAAGCCCAGTCTTCGCTTCCGCTGGTAATCGACGAACGATACGTGGAGGGAGAGGGAATGTGCTATTTTTATGCAGATGGATCGCATGTCCCGAAGCTGATTAATGGTGTCCTGGTGAATGCCAATTGGGGCGTCACCAAGGCTGGAAAACCGAGAAAAAAGATTGGCACAGGCTTGTCTGACTTGTCGGGAGAAGAAAATCAAATGCCAGCCGAACCTACCGAAGTGTGACCAATGTCAGAAGTCCGGGCGCGAATGCAGGTTCGAGAGTGCGTACGTATTTTTTTTGCTACCAGAAAGTCATACAATTGGGATTGACGCTGACCATCTTTCAAGTCCTCGCGGGAGTCGTGGTTCTCTAAGAGGATCAGCCTCAGCAGGACCGTCAAGTAGATATGACGCGAGAGAAGGCTTTTCACCAGGCCCTCATGCAGCCTCCGACGTTTCCCCCTCACTTTACAATATGCCTCGGGCTTCAAACAGCGCCACCTCGCTTCCTGGAACGGGCGGTCATTCGCCAGGGTCCGAAGGTCCATTGCCATCAGCAACCGAAAGCGCATACGATACAATGACAGATGCAGAGCGAGTATACCGGTCAAGAATGTACAGAGCCACACGCCCCTTCACTGCGGGTGATGACACGAGCACGAGGGCCTCTGAACATACCGAGATGCTTCGACCAGAGCATTCTGATATCTTTGGAGATCTAAGGGACATCAATGCCGATGACCCCCTTGCTGGTTCCTGGAACGTTGATCCATACGACAGTGATCCAGAAATGACAGTACACTACGTGGAGTCCTACTTCACATCAGTCAATGAACTTTATCACATATTTCCACATGCTCGTTTTGTCTTATGGCTGAAGTCTTGTCATACTAAGTCGGCTGAAGACAAGATGTTGCTATATTCGATGATGGCATTGGGGTCCATCTTCTCCGACCGGCCTGACAGACTCGGAGCACTGCGACGATATTCCAGAATTGCACGGTTTGCTATTCAAAAGAGTCAACATGCGCTGTCTTTGCAGCTTGTTCAAAGCCACTTAATTATGAGCCTTCTCTACTACGCCACGGGATCATTGGTAGGATGTTGGGATTCGATCGGCGCAGCTGGACGAGCAGCCAGTGGCCTGCGATACAACGTGGAGTCCGGAGGCGTTATCGTGGAACAAAACCAAGTCTGTGACTATGGACTTCATCCACAGGCTTTGATTGAATGTCGCCGTCGGACGTACTGGGTTGCGTTCATTTTCGATGTGAGAGACTTCAATACTTATACGAGGAGAGCACGGGCTAACATGATCACAGCGAATTTCAAGTTTCTTTTCCGCAACTTCCACCTTCATCTCGTCCGAAGCAGCTTTGATCCGACTTCCTTGTCGCGAAGAAATATACGAGGCGCAGCAATACGCAACCGCGCCATACTTCCAAACCGTTCTTAACCAGGCCACCGTCACAGATGATGATCTATCGGCTCTCAGCCCCATGGCTTTCTTAATCCAGATTATGTCAATTTGGGGAGACGTTTCTTTGAATGTGTTCCGCTTGGCACACGCTCCATCAGAGGGTTATGCCCAGCTTGCGGAGGAATTCCACGAGATAATCACCCACCGCGCCGAAGACTGGGTAAAAAGACTTCCTGAGCACCTAGTTTTCTCCGCTGTCAACCTCGAACGAGCCGCTCAAGTAAAGAAAGCGGACGCCTTCCTTTCAATCCATTTGTTCTACCACGCCACTTTGATGAAGCTGTACAGACACGCCCGATATTCGAGCCTGAGATCTGAGATACTGGTCCAGTATATCCACCGAGCTCGATTCCACGCAGTTGAAGCCCTGAGGATTGCCATAGCAGTCATGCCATACACCAACCCTGACACACCCGGGCTTAATGTGACGCTTCTCAGCCCACCAATGGGCTATTTGGTTCTATCTGCCGTGGATGTGCTCAGTGCAGCTGGCTTAGTGGCAGAGCTACCAGACTGTATTCCATTGATCAGAGGGGCTCTCAGCGTAGTGCAGCTCTTGTGCCGTCATTGGGACAGTTCTTTGGATTTGGCCAATTCCATACAAAGGCGTTTGGCAATAATGATTGATTGCTTTAATGACAGAGCCCGATCTCCAGACAAGATTGTGTTTGCAGTGGATGGGTCATCGTTAGAAATCAAGGCCCGCACCGGTGCGCCTTCATCTCAACCACTCGGTGGTCTTGATGAGGACTTATTCTACGGATCAATGCCAAGAGAGATGCTCCTCCATGCTATGCGGGTTGACGATATTCCTATCTCAGAGAACAGCATCTTCTGGCTCAAAGACCGCTAAATTACCTTTCTGCCTTTTTATTCTTTTTGTCTAAAAGCGGGCTATTCTTCTGATCTGATCTTTTCCCCAAAATGGGTGGTTACTTCATTCTGTGAGCGGTATAGAAAAGAAAAACCTCATTCCATCTGCATTTTCTTATCTAGTCCCGTCTGGAACTGTTCACATACTCGAAACTTCGAGAAGAGACAAAGGGCACCAATGACTGGCTGTCGTGGTGATTGCTTCTTCGACCTTTTTTACGACGTGATGGTAATATTGTCCTGGTAGCAGCTTGTTTCCCCTTGAAGCTCTCCAATCATCTTCGGCAAGATTAAACTTGTCTTTTTTTTTACTGAATTGTATTATACAATACGATATTCTACTCTTCTTGCTTGTTGTTATGCGTCTATTGAGCGCTTTTCTGTATATTATATCTTCATTTGGGGTAGATACCTGGATCGTTAGAACGGGAGGTGAATTTCTGTGTCTGGGTGTCAACACCTTCATCGCGCCGCACCCACATTTCAACTACTTTACCAACACTTTACACCCCGAGGCACCTATGAAACATAGAATTGTCGATCAAGAGCATAGGAAGATTATAATGTACATACATAAGTAGCTATACACAGGTAGCAACTGTGTTTATCAGTCCCATTCACTCGTATCGTACCGTCTGGCCCAAGCCACATTGCCCTTTGATGGATCCATGATAGTGGCATAGTGCGTACATTCATTCAGAACAGGATACGACGCCAGCCAGTCCACCACACGACCCTCTTTAATAGCAATATCAGAGCCATCATCCATGTTCAAAGCTGCGATCCGCTTTTGTTCCGCTTCTACCTCAATCTGCTCTTCTTCTCTCAGTTTTCGCAATCGCAATGATGATCTCGAACCTGATGGCTCAGCAAGGATCCGGGATCGCTTCGAGGGAAGTTGATCCGCTACTGCTTTTCGTTTTCGAACCTCATGATCCCATTTTGACTGCATACAATCCCGGCGCACGTTGCTGTCCTCAACCAGATCCGCCATAACCTGCATCCCGTCTGAAACCAAGGTGAGACCGACATGGTTCTTTCTTTTGGCATCGGCCACGGTTTCTGGTGGTGTTGAGTCTTCCTCTTGGTCATGATTTGTTGCGACGATGAACGACGATGAGGAGCGCACGACTGCTGTTCGGTGATCTTTCTCCATAGCCACCGTTGATGATCCATCACTGAAGATCAGATAAGCGGCTGTTGTGGGAATGCCAGGGACATTGGCAACGATGTCAGCCAGAGTTGTAAAAAGTGGCTTCTTATGATGGGCTTCAGAAGTCGGAAGCAATATGCACTGTCGCAGCAGCGAAGAGATGGACTGCCGCAATCCGAGAAGCACGAAGAGATGATTGGCATAGAATGCATAATTTCGGGTTGTATCATGCACAGGCCTAAAATTGAGTGAGACACTCAAATCCTGCCTCACGCCCGTGAGCACACCAACAAATCCGACGTAAGTGATGCTAGTTGCTATCACTTTCTCCGGATCCGCATCGCGAACGAATTCTAACTGAACAATTAAGTCGCGCAACGGATCCATGCCCCAATCCAGAGTCCTGAAATGCAGCATTCTTGTCCCAGATGCACTGGAGCATACTCGTACCCCGCCACTTGTGCAGCCCATGAGCAGGTCAAGCACTGTATTCAGGCAGATGAGCAGGTATATGTCGATATCGGTGGCGCGGCTGATCCCTCGCAATTCCTCGGTTTCATCCCTGGTGTGAAGCCTGCGCAGACAGAGCCAAGCAAGCTTGTGTATCAGCTGAACTGGAATTTTGGGATTGATGGACTTGATCAGCTCGTCGAACATGCCTCGCAAGGCACGCATTCTATCGCGGTACAATGTTGCCAATGCGACATATCGTTCAATTGGCGGGAGTGAAAGGTTGATTCTGAAGACTGGTATATTCTGACCCATTTGAGCCAAATCTACCGACTGTTCTGTGATTTCCGCCATGGAATCTGGAGTCAACGGGAGTGGCTTTGTGTAGACGGACTCAAGTGTTTTGAAGACTGCCTAGAATAGCGGGGATGGGGCTCTACTGCTGGTCCCCACCGTGTCACCCCAGACCCGCACCTACATAAGACGGGTCATTACCGTAGATCATCTTCAAGGATATCATTTTCTAAATTAGAGCAATTAGGATATTACATATTAGTACTTCCGTGGTTTCTTGCTTAGAGCAAAATACATTTAAGTCACGACATGAAGCTTTATGAATACCAAAGGCATAAGACAAATTGAAAATCTTAGGCTTTTAAATGACCAGAATCTTTGAGAATTAGAATCAAAATGTTTCAAATGCTGATACCTAAAATGAAGTATAATCAAACTGATCCTATTGTGTTTTAATGGTCGATCAAGTTCTGCCTCAGGCACCATTTGTTCCTTGTTCTTCTGGTTCCCAGTCAAACTGTACTTTTCGCAAGCTTTCCTCAGGACCTCTAATTATATAGCTTGTATTTGATTTAAATATTCAGCTCCAATATTACCAGCTCTCTTTTTTTCTCTCGATTGGCGTTATGAGCTCCATCGAACCTCATTTCAAGACCAATATATTACCCCTTCGATTTGCGGGGCCTGCGGAGACCGGAAAGTTTCTCCGATGCGGTCTCAACCTGGCTTTGTCGTACCACTGACCTTCGCTCAAAACCAACAAGATCATGGAGATTTGTCGCATGTGAAATCTCAGATACGATCCCGGCTTATAAAAAACTCCAATGTCGTCTACCTTCAGCGACAACGCGGCGACCGCGGCGCGAGGCTTCGGCGCAAGTGTGGAGGATGACGGACTCGACCCAGAGAACAGCTTGATCGCGGACGAATACCCCGACGAGGTCGACTATTATGCTCTACTAGGCCTTTCTCAACAACCACCTCCGACCGAGGCCGAAATCCGTTCCGCGTACCGCAACCTTTCCCTCAGCTTCCATCCGGACAAACAACCGCCGCATCTCCGCGAGGCCGCTAAGCGGCATTTCACCCAGATACAGGAGGCGTACGATACACTCATTGACCCTCACAAGCGCACGGTATATGACTTGCTTGGAGCGGAGGGTGTCAAACAAGAATGGAGTACCCAGGGTACCATGGGTCCCGGGGGAGAGGCGCATACACAGGATGTTGGCGTGAAGGCCATGGCGCCCGAAGAGTTTCGACAATGGTTCTTGAAGACGATGAAGAAGCGTGAACGGAAGGCTATTGAAAAGCTTGTGGCATCTAAGGTATGTCTTCAATGCTTTTGATATCTTATTATCTAGATCAACGTTCTTTTTGCTAACATGATTGGCTGGCACTATAGGGCACAATCATTCTTGGGATAAATGCTTCAAACACAATCAGGGTGGATAAGGTTAATGAAGAGGTATCTATACAAGTACCATCGCCGAAGCTGAGTACTTTTGGTGCCACATATCAGTTCAAGGCTCCCTTGCGTATGCCTGGGTTTCTTGCCAGACCCGAGAACAGTAATGAGGATGAGGAGGAGAATCAAGACAAGGACCAGTCAGCGGAAGCTGATACAATGGAGGAGGAGAATTTTGGAGATGTGACATTGAATGCAGCTGTTACCGGTGGTATGACTCGTCAAAAACAGCCCTACATTGTCCAATTCGAGGATGGAACAGAGCAGGAAATCCAGGTCAGTTTCTCTCGTCAGTATGGGCCCTAGTCTCCCTTGTTAACCACCATACAGGTACCGGGTCCTCGCCTGTTAGTAGCCAAGGAGATACACCTTGGTGCGACCTTTACTCCCAACCTCAGAAGCCTAGCAAGTAACAAGGGAATCCTGACTTGGCGCCCTTTTTCGTTTCTTAGAGACTCGGCAGTCTCTGTTGAGGGTATTCTTTTACCAGATCCAGCCTTAAAAACCTCGATCGCTCGAAGTATCCAGCCAGTTTCCGGTATTAGGCCGTTCTCAGTTACAGCCTCTAGCACTATCAAACACTCCCTGTTTGAAACTCCTCCTGCATTGGATATTCAAGTCAGCAAACAGGTCGCTCAGCGAAAGATAGCTTTCTGGTCATGGTCCAGTGGCTCATGGGGATGGCCTGAATTCCTCTTCAAGCGCCTCATATTTCTTGGTATGAGTCCCGATACCCTTTTCGCCACGGAAGAGGAACACAGCAACTTCCAAATCGGCCTTATCTCGCTGCCTGAATCTAGCGGAAAGGTGCATGATGTGGATGATGAGGAAGACGACGAAGAAGACGAGTATCGCCAACTTTTACAGAAGAAGCGGGCCGCCAGTCGTACTGCAGAGACGTGGCAAACATTCCTGCAGGTTTCACCTGGCGGAGGTGCCATTGTCTTGAAATATGGACGAAATTTGTTCTCTGGAAAACCAACTGATGACCCTATCAAATCAGAGTGGAGCGGAGAGGGATATTTCCCCATGCCGAGGATGGAGGAAGCTCGCGGTGTGCGACTCGATGTTAGTAGTGTTATTTCTCACGATCTGAAGCCTAGCTGGACTGTCAAGGGAACCCGACGAGTTGGCGAGTATACCACCGTTGGGTTGGGCGTTGGTATTGCACACACTGGTGTGCATATGACTGTTTCCTGGAACCGCCTTGGGCAGGGCTTCAATATCCCTATCGTTCTGTGTCCTGCGAACGAGGCTAACCAGGATGCTGCTGTTTTCGCTACGCTTGCTCCATGGTTAGCTTATTGTGCAATCGAATTCGGTTACATACGGCCACGCGATCGTAAGAACCGACGACAAGCGGCGGCTCGTCGTCACAATGAGTTGAAGAAGCTCATACCTCAGAAGCGAGCAGAGAGCCAAGAAGCCATTGAGCTTATGGCTGATCAAGTACAAAGGCGACAAGCCCGAGAAGCGAAGCAAGATGGCCTGGTTATTACCAAGGCTGAATACGGATATGTTCCCTCGACAAGCAAAAAGTTACGGGCTAAATTCCCGGAATCTCGACTCATTGATGTGACGATCCCGGTAGCTGCGATGGTTGATCAAGGTCAACTAGGTATTCCTTCAAACATCGTCAAAGTAAGTGATTTGCCATTCTTTAACCTATTGCTTCATGCTAATATAAGTACACTAGTTCCACATCATGGGATTCCATGACCCTGCACCTTTGTTACCCAAGCGACTACGAGTTTGGTACACGTTCCAGGGTCGCGATCATTTCGTGGATGTCGGTGATAAAGAGGGCATTTCTTGCCCCATGCGCACGCACTTGGTCTCGACCTGAGCATTTTAATACCCTGCAGATATGAGTCTTTGGCATTTGGAAGCGTCTGCTTGTGTTGTATTTGTATTGCATTTTTTGCCTCTAGATAGTCGCCACACAACATTCTCTGCTCATGTTGTCATCTACAAGAGTTTCCAGTGAACATAACAAGTCAAATCATTATTCATTTTCGAAGGCAAATCGAGATCAATTGAGACTTTGTAAAAGCAAAAGCGAAAAATGAAAAATAATTAAATATCAAGGAGGACGGGTGAAAGTATATGGTGATCGCGGTAGGGCGGGCTAAATACACCTGTTGCGCAGCTCCCCAAAGTCAAGCGCATCACTTCGAGATCTTCATCCCACCCAACCACCTTGACTTGACAGCTTCGCTTTGCTCTCAAGTCTCACAATGGCTTCTCTTGCATCAGGACTTTTTAAGTCCCTCCCAAAGCCGAAATATACTGGCGAGGAGGAAGAGATACCCAAGCATGCGCAACCCCGTGGTCCGCGTGTGGTGGGCGCCGACCACCAGCTCGACCAAACTCAAATCGTCCTACGGGTAAGCTCTCAACGGGTCTATTCAAGTTCTTCAATATAGGCTGACTCGACCTTTCTTGTTCTACAGAAAACTGGCCCCCCGCCCTACGGAAACCGCACAGGATGGCGACCACGAGCTCCCGAGGATTTTGGCGACGGCGGCGCGTTCCCGGAAATTCTAGTAGCACAATACCCCCTCGATATGGGTCGGAAGGGAACCCCCTCAACATCGAATGCGCTTGCAGTCCAGGTAGATGCTGAGGGCAAAGTCAAGTACGACGCGATTGCCCGCCGCGGCCATAGCGACAATCACATTGTCCATGCCTCGTTCAAAGATTTGATCCCGCTGCGGCAGCGGGTGGATATGGGAGAAATCTCTCTTGACAGACCATCTGAGGAGGATGTTCAGGCACAGATGGAAAGGACGAAGAATGCGCTGGCCAGCCTGGTGGATGGAGCCGTGTCCGCACAGAAGCCCAAGAACGTCAAGGGCGGAAGCAGAGCCGAACCAACTTTTCTCCGATATACGCCGGCGAACCAGATGGGTGATAATAACAGCAAGAATGACCGGATTATGAAGATTGTGGACCGACAGCAGGATCCCATGGAGCCGCCCAAGTTTAAGCACAAGAAGATTCCTCGTGGCCCGCCATCTCCTCCACCTCCCGTTATGCACTCGCCGACAAGGAAGCTCACTGCGGAAGACCAAGAAGCCTGGAAGATTCCCCCGCCTGTGTCGAACTGGAAGAACCCCAAGGGTTACACTGTTCCTTTGGATAAGCGTTTGGCCGCGGATGGTCGTGGATTACAGGATGTTTCGATTAACGACAAGTTCGCCCAGTTCGCTGAAGCTTTGTTCACAGCTGATCGCCACGCTCGTGAGGAAGTGCAACTCCGCGCTCAGATGCAGCAGAAGCTGGCGGAGAAGGAAAAGGCTCAAAAGGAGGAGCATCTACGACAATTGGCACAGAAAGCCCGCGAGGAGCGTGCTGGGCCCAGTCGTCGTGACTCTCGAGCCCGATCTCGCTCCCGTAGCGCCAGTCGCAGTGTTTCTTCTTACTCTTCGCGATCTGGTAGCCCGAGCGAGGACGAAAGTGCAGCTCGGGAGCGCGAGCGGGAGCGTCGTGAACGTCGACAGGAGAACGAGCGGCAGCTTCGTCAGTCCCGTATGGGTACGGAGCGTCGTATTCAGGCCATGGCGCGCGAGCAGAACCGTGATATCTCGGAAAAGGTTGCTCTCGGATTGGCCAAGCCAACCCAGAGCTCCGAGTCCATGTGGGATTCTCGTCTGTTCAACCAAACTAGCGGCATGAACGCTGGGTTCAACGAAGATAATCCTTATGATAAGCCACTGTTCGCTGCGCAGGACGCCATCAACAGTATCTATCGCCCCCGGGCTCAAGCTGATGCTGATGACCAGGAGGGCGATGAGGGCGAGATGAGCAAGATCCAGAAAACCAACCGTTTCGAAGTTCTTGGGCGGGCCAAGGAAGGTTTCCGCGGAGCTGCTGATGCCGAGGTGAGCAAATCTAAAATTCCTTCGTAAAGAATTCCTCAAGCTAACAATTATCATTTACTAGGAGCGCCAAGGTCCTGTTCAGTTCGAAAAGGACACCGCTGATCCATTCGGCATTGACAGCATGATTGCCGATGTGACCACAGGTCAGAAGCGCTACGGAATCCAGGAGGCTGAGGAAGAGGATCGTGGTTCCAAGCGCGCCCGAGTTGATGACGACTAAATCTCTGTATTATTGTGCATTATACGACTTTCTGGTTTATTTTTGTGCCCTCTGGGCGTGAGGCAAGGCGAGGGGCAGTCTTGCGTGCATTACGGGCGTTCGGCGATGCGATATCTACCCCATTTTCCAGTTCAGACAACCCAAAATTCAAGCGACTTAATTGAGATACCTCATGGAAATACTCCTGATGGGCCCAGATTTGGATTCCCCTTCTAACAGACCTTCTACTCATACCCGTCTACAGTACGCAGTGAGTCTGAACCACCGTAGAAAAGATCATATAATCAAGAATCCAAATTGACAAGTACAGAAACTATTAAAACTACATATCGAAGTCCCGCCAAACCCTAGTTCTTGACCTCCATTATGTTGGGAGAGAGCACATCCTCCAGCCACTTGTAGGAGACTGGCAGACTATTCGGGTATCCCATGTGCACCATACCTTCAAAAAAGCGACCTTCCTTTGCTCCACCGTGGTTGAACAGTACCAGGCAATCCTCAATTGGGACGACACCATCGTTCACGCCCTGGGGTAAATGTCAGCTTGATATCCTTGTTTAATGCACAAGGAACACATACGTTAAGCAACAGCAATCGGCAGTTAGGTTGATCAACAACACCAGTCTCAACGAGCGAGAACTTCTTCTGCGAGTTCTTGATGAAATCATCCGTGCTAGAATAGCCATACTTCTCAGCCCAGCAATCCGTGATCCTAAATCCAAACCGTCAGCTCCGAACCCTTCAACCCTTGAAAAATAGCTCTACTCACGTAAACGGATACTCATGATCATTCACCTTAGCCAACCACTCAGGACTAAGGAAATGATGCGATCCAGGGCCATGAGCCACCGAACCCGCAAGCTGAGTCCGATGCGTACAAGCCGCCCGAATAGCATAGAAGCCACCAGCACTAAGACCCCAAGCCGCAACACGACTCATATCAAACTCGGGCTGCTGCGCCATATACTTCAACACAGCAGTCCACTGCCGATCCGCCGACTCCGGATCCGCAGGATCAGCCGGCGAGTCTGCCGTACCAGGAATCTCACAGATAACCGCCGCCCAGCCGCGGTTGATGATCTCATGCGTCCGCTGGCTATTGTCAGGCCTGTACCCGTCCAGCCCGGTCATAAGCAAGACGACAGGAACGGGGTTCGAGGCGCTCGCTTCGTTGGGAACGCGAACGTACAGCGGGATGCTGGGTCCATCGTTTGCGGCGCGGTGCGTGTGTGGGATAATCACTTCTTTGATGATGGGGTTCCACAGGGATGCGGCCTTGAGGTAGAGGTCTTTCTGGCGGTCGAAGGTTGCACGCTTGATTGCGTTGTCTGGACGTGTGGTTGGGCTTACGTAGGGGAAGCGGGCGATGCGGAGGACGACTGATGCGCGGCGGTAGAGATCGGCGGCGCGATCGGGGTGGCCGTACTCGAGAGCTTGGGTGGCTTGTTTCTCGAGGTTGTCTACGATTGGTAGGAAGGTTTTGGTGTAGGCGTCTGTGAAAGGGTCGTTGATGTTGTCCTGTTTTTGTTAGTTCTATTCGAGTATAAATTGCAATTATATCACAAAAGTTGTACTCACGGCAATCAACTTCTCGAAAATAGGCTCAAAGTCCTCGAATGATCCATCGTGGAAAGGATAGATGGATTTCTGGGACTGTATGCCATGCAAGATTAGCACTGTGTATAGAAAGGGTAGCGGGGAACTCACGCAAAACTTCCACTTTGTCTCCCATAGAGCTTTGATAGATCCTTTGTGAGGATACACCGTATCAAACCGGTCTCCCATCATCCATTTCGACATGATGAATAGCAAGGTATTGAATATCTAAGGATAGATTAGACGGACTGTGGTTGGATTTTTGCTAAGAAGCAACTAGACTAGGAAATAATAAATCGAAACAGCGAATTGGCAGAGTATTTTAATTTAATCTACTTGCACATTGCGATGTTACTGAGAACAGTGGCATCTGGGTAAGGGTTTTAATGCATGATGTAAACGTATCTGCATGAAAACAGTAAATGTGGGGATAAGGAAAGACCAAGAGGGCATATGATCGGAGCCCTCGGTGTTAGTTGCCACCGAGTCCGAGACAAAGACCGCAATACAAGTGAATGGACTTGTTATTTCCGCGTGGCGGGGAGAACAAGGGGTCGCCGGATCCGGCGTCCTTTGAGATAAGCTGGGATTACGCTCTTTACTATACGCTATACCTATGAGCTATGTGTGCCTTGTACTTGTACAATGTTCAATGGATATGAAGCTGCTGCCTTGGTTAATTACTTCAAAGTCCATTGCAATATCTTCTTACAGATGTTTGGGAATCTCGATGTATGGTTGACTATTCCATGGATGTGGAATGTTGTGCCCACACGACTTGCTGCATGCGGAAAGAGGAGATCGCCAAGATGGCACCCCTACGATCCACATTCCCTGGTGCTGAGAATGTAACTTCGAGGAAAGAGAGGATGAGGGGTAATAGATACTAAGCTAGATTCGTTTACAACCTTGGAAGACAATTGATGTAGAAAGAAATAAAATGATTCGTATATTGATGGCATGAGAATTAAAAATTACTCCCAAGACTTCGTCGACCAAAGATTAGCGATATGCAGCTTATATACAAGCCTGTTCAACATGCAAATGGGGTCTTCTATTGCGTGTACTGTCCCCAGTACTGGAAGTCCTTGGGCAGGTCATTGGGACTATGAAGTAATTAGCAACATGTATTTGGAACGAAAAGATGAGAAACTTACCCAGAGTCGGGTGCAGGGTGGATGACATCGTCCCCATCCTGAACATATTCGTTGTTCTCTTGGGAATTAGGCCAGGGACCCTTCGTATCATCAGTGTGAGCGACGATAGGCTTGCCGTCACCGTCAGGAACTTGAGCTTGGGACACATCAGTTTGAGAGTTAGGCCATGGTCCCTTGGTGTCTTCGGTGTGCCCGTAGGTAGGAGGGCGACCATCTGACCCATCGCCAATTTGGCCGTGGCTCTGGTCAACATCGGACTGAGGCCATGGACCCTTGGAGTCGTGCTCCTGAGCGTAGATGGGCTCATCGTGAGGGGGAGAGTACTCGGGAATAGTCTCCACAGGGTGAGGGGCAGGATATTCGGGAGCCACTTGGGGAGCCGGAGCTGGGGCATGGGGAGCTGGAGCTGGGGCATGGGGAGCTGGAGCTGGGGCATGGGGAGCTGGAGCTGGGGCATGGGGAGCTGGAGCTGGGGCATGGGGAGCTGGAGCTGGGGCATGAGCCGGTGCTTTGCCATGAGGAGCTGGAGCTGGAGCATGAGCTGGTGCTTTGCCATGGGGAGCTGGTGCCTTACCATGGGGAGCTGGTGCCTTACCATGAGGAGCTGGTGCCTTCCCATGAGGAGCTGCCGCTTTAACATGGGGAGCTGGGGCTGGAGCTTGGGGAGCCGGGGCTGGGGGAGCGGGCTTGTGAGCTCCGGACCCTTGAACCTTAGTAGTCTGGGAAGTAGCTGGTGCGGCCTTAGCTGGCTCGGGATACATAGCACCGTGATCTTCAGTGGGAACTTGGGTATTGAAACCCGACATATCCAGACCCTTCTTGCCACCAGCGTTTCCGCTAGTGGGATTCGGGTACGCGGCGCACACGTTGTAGTGGCTCTTAGGCGGGGGGTTCTCCGACTGAGGGAAAGTCTCGGGAGCCTCAATGATAGTTGCCATTAGACCAGCCTCAACATGCCATTCGACGTGGCAGTGGAGCAGCCACACACCAGGGTTATCAGCCCGGAATCGCAGAACGGTGTGTGACTGAGGTTGAACCATGATTGTATCACGACGGATAGGTGTCTTCGAGACATTTTTGAAGTACTGTCCGGTGAAGAAGCCATAATCGGGTCGCTGCAGAACCTGGAACTGGTGGCCATGCAAATGCCATGGGTGCAAGTTGTTGTGGTGGTTGTTGATAACGAGCTCAACAACTTCATTGTGCTTCACCACAAAGGGGTTAACCTGACCGTATACTGCAGGGTTTGACGCATACTCCGGACCCACTGTGTTGGCAGTGTAGAGGGTAGGCACATCCTGCGGCAGGTAGGTCTGATTGTTGATAGTGAAGCGAGGCATGCCGTTGATTTCAGCGGAGGATGTATCCAGAATGATCTGGTGATTGACCGGTTCAAGCAGAGCTTCGCGGTCAGCGGGAATGAAAGCAACGTCATCCGCGAAGTCCAACTCCGCAATAACAGGTGCCGGGGGAAGAGGCTTTGCCTCGTCATATACAAGCCATGCGGTGACATTGGGGTTGTAGCCCGCTGGGATGGCCCGGTCCTCATTGAAGAACATCATGTTGACATCCATGCTGTCCCAAATAGCAAAGTTTTTGCTGGTGTCGGACTTGGTGTGGATGAGAACGCTCGTCCGCTGTCCAGTAGCAAGACGAAGCTTTTTGTCACCGGTAGCATAAGGCTCGGTGTATACACCGTCTACTTCAACCACGGTCATCTCATGACCATCAATGACCCAGGTATGGCCTGGCCAATTGCCAACGCAAATGATGTGCACCAAGTACGTTCTGTTAGGCTTTACCTTGATCTTGGTGTTGGTAGAATCATTGATCAATGCCGAATTGGGGAGTGGTTCTTGGCCGTGGAAAGCTGCCTCGTTTTCTTTTGACTGGTACTTGGCGAGCAGGTCTGGCATCTGGTCATGATACCAATCACTCAAGGTGATGGTGAACTCATCATCGTATTGGAATGGTGGCTTGGGGTCGTGAACAATCAGGGCGCCGCGGAATCCATCGGGATACTGGCCCATGTTGTGCGAGTGGTACCAGTATGTTCCAGTTTGGTTAATCTGGACCAAGCATGTCAGTATGATCTTAGAGACTACCGAGCTCCAACTCTTAACTTACGTCGAAGTGATACTGCATGTGCTCCCCCGGAGGAATTCCACACTGGGTAACAGAAGTGGCTCCATCCATGACACCAGTACCATACTGGTGGAATCCATGCCAGTGAATGCCGGTAGACTGGTTCCCTAGGTGGTTTTGCACATCCACAATCAGACGATCACCAACGTCCACGTCGATCTGTGGACAGGGCCATTGACCATTGATTCCAATCACCGGGCGCTCAAAGCCATCCGGAGAGGCATTGACCCAAGTGACGTTCCAATCCAGGTAGACATCCTTGGCCGCAGCCAACTTGGCGGCCCAACTGGCCAAAAGAAGAAAATTAAACTTTGCCATCGTAGTCGTATAACGAGTGACTATCGGACTTGCAATCAGAGCGATACCTAAATCCTCTGATAATGCAATGCAAGCCGATTGATGTGGTAGGCCGAAAAATAAAAAATTAAAAATTAAAAAACGAGTGTGTCGGCGGCGTTGTTGATCGAAAAGTCCAAGAGAATTCGAACGGACATGTCTTCCTTTAACAATGTTCCGGCCGATCTGTGCTAGGGAGAAATGTTGTTTGGCTCCTCAATCCGGTGCCATACTTGCTGTAGTGCTAATCTCCTCCGGCGTCATTCAAGGATCAAAAACAAAGCCCTACATACGGCGGCTCTGGGCCAGACAGCGCCTCAAGCTTGCTTTTTCGCTCCTGGGACATTCCAGTATTCGGCTGGCTGTTCCGGTATGTTAATAAATAACCCATTTCGGCCTTCCCTCTGAAATTGCATGCAAGGGGTCGCATACCAGCCCATTCCCTTCGGGTAAATCGTAAACACTCTTGAAAACGTGTAGAAGCGCAGATTCTTGCTCCATAGATATTAATCTGAGCTCAGACAGACACTTGGGATGCAGTTAGTCAGACTCGTGGGTCTGCAATGGCAATTCCACTCCATACAGTATGTTGGAGATTGCTGTCTATCATCCAGCTTGTAACATAGATGTCAGTTGGCTGAAATGAGTAGAATCCATTGGGACTTTGTGTATATTTTCTCACTCTGCTCCTGCCCAGGTGTAAATGTTCTATTTTCCTTCGCAAGATGTCAGGGTCAACGGTCATCAGGAAGTCTTGTGTGTCCTGAGGTCATTGTGGGCCAGCAAAAAAGGCCGGTCATCATTATGGTCACCACGTATCAGCGGGGGTATGAGCGCCCACTCATTGCACACATGGCTCCACCCCGGACAACCCATGGTCCTTATCGCAGATCGTCGTTCCGGTCGGGAGCCAACCCCAATCGAGTCCGTATCAGAGGGCCAAGCGGGGGCCTCATGTCCGAGAGCTGCCATAATCGGATGACAGAGCCGGTTGCCGTCGGCTGTCCAGGTGTAGAGATAGTGAAAGTTCCTGATTAGAGGCAGCTGCAGGATATATTTGCCCACAGTGGCCAGTGCTCCCGGTCGATCAAGTGGACAGCGCGGGGTTGCAGATTGATAAATTAATGTTGTCTTATTGGGTGACTAGGGGTAAAGGTCAAACTAATGCATCATCACAGGTACCTACCATGTCAGAGCTAGTCTTCATCTCCCCACAGAAGGTCAGGTACCAAGCTCACTGCACGACATAGAGGTCCGTGGGCAACCGGGCGCCTAGCGCGGGGTTGGATGATAAGAAGAGATAAAGCGGATTTTGCATGAAATTTGGTAAAGGTTGGGCGATTACGATTGAAAAGAAAATTCAGTCACGGGTCTTCCTCCTTTTCGCTTTCTCTTTTATCTTGCTCCTTCTCCCGTCGACGCATTTGGTTTCACCTTATCCTTTGACTCAGCTACGGCCCGAGTCGATCCTTCTCAAATCCCCACTGACGCAAACTCACTGCCGATGGCGTGTATCCCGTACTAGGTCTGTCGCTGCATCAATGGCGTAATTTTTGGAAACGCCATGACATGCAGAAAGACCCCATGGAAACTCAACGCACTGTAATTCTCGAGTTTTCTTCTTTTCCCTATACCACGATTAGCCCTCGTTGCGCCACTTGCCACCAGATATGGATCAATCTTTGACTCTAATCGACGCCCAGGTCCACTTTGTGGTAAGTGGAGCCCAGCCCAATTATCTAGCTCCGTCATTTACCACATGTAAAAGGAAGAGCGACTGGTCCTCGTTCACATCCCACTGGAGTTGTACCCTTACTTCTTCAAGTCCGTCTTGAGATTGATCTATGATGAAATCGCTCCATTGGAAGAAGACCATAAGGACGATGATGGCTCTGCGGACTTTGACGATGGCTCTGTGAAAGAGTCAGAGTATCGATCGCCGGCATTTTTGAACGTGTCCATCACCCCAGTCGAGGTCTCCGTGATCTGCCCCAGAGCTCTTGTCGAGAAGTACTTCGACCCTACATTCACCAAATTGGACCAGTTAGACATCCAACTTCGTTCGCGGTTGGTTGTGAGTGACAATGACTACATTGCGATGCAAGTTCTAGGCCAAGGCCTTGTGGCTGGCAAACGTGTGCTGGAATTGACTAGTCCGCTTGCGCTGGCGGGAATGTATGCTCATATATATCGCCAGCATATATGAAAGAGACAGTATCGTACTAACATATATCTTAGTTCCATCTTCTTCATTTCAACTTACTTTTCCGATTACATCCTGGTACCATTCCACAGCAAAGCAAGTGTAATATCCACTCTCGAAAACCGAGGGTTCCAATTCGAAAATGCCACAGCAGCCTTCATCAACAGCTCTCTCAGTCCAACATCGCCATGCATCGAAAAATCACTTGGCGAGCTGATTCCGCCTGTCACTCCACCTCCATCAACACTTGCCGAGCTTCAAACCCGCACATTTGAAAACCTTCGCAAACGCCAAATCTCCCCAGTGGTAGATGAAACTCTACGCCTTGTCCAGTGTGCTGCCCACCATCAATACAATAGCGAAGAAAGCTCCATGTCCATTCTCCGGGACGCCCTCACGACCACCCTCCTAGTCGACAAACCACGCTTTCTCTCTCTAACCTTGGCGGCGCTCGACCCCGCCGCATCCCTACTCCTAGAAAAGCGGCTACTCCCCCGCTTCGCGAGCCCGGCAGCCTCACACCAGAACTACGAAGACGGCTCGGGGCTTCTCCTCGGCTCCAAAGAGGACTACCTTATTCCCATCATGCTCGACCTGCGTGACCTGCCCCTTGAAGCATCTGGTATCGTTTGCGGCGTGGCAGGCCGACTTGCAGAAGCAACTGACAGTCACTCCCCCCGCACCCCGAACGAGACCCAGAGTCCTGCCAGCGGCAGCTCTAACAGTGTTATTGGATCTGTGACTGAGCTGTTTGATACATTTGGAACGCGATTGGCACTCGGTGGTCTGGATAAGAATAAACGTCCCCCGCCACACCAACCCGTACCCGCGACTACGCACCACCTGAAGCCGGACTTGGACTTGTCGGCGGATGCGGTGGAGATTAGTTTCTTAAGTACTGCGCGGGCGGGTACTATTATTGTTGGAGAGGATGAGTTGCGCCGGGCGATTGATGCCTTGGAGGCGGAAAAGATGCATGATGATGTTGTAGGGGAACCAATTCAAGGCGAGGAGCCCGACGACACTGCATAAGATAGTGCTCTGAACCCTGCTCACGCCATGTTTCATCTCTTGTCAGTTGCATCGGGTTGGTGTGTTTCGCTGGTTCTTCCGCTCTCATCTTGTTTGTGATGATTGAGAGTAAAAGTGAATTTGTTGTTTTACTTGATTTCTTTGCCTCTTTTATGTCGCCTGTTAAGCCATGTATGTATGATAACATGATCTCCCATGCCCAATTTAGCTCACTTCAGACTGATCTCTACTTTTTTGCCAACGTTGCTATGCGAGGATTTCATTATATGACTACATAATACGCAAGTGACTTAATGTGTTTGTTCCGAGATCCCTGCCCGTGGAAGTGTATATATATGTATATAAATCCTTATCCATATGCCGCATAAGTACCTGCTATTCCCATATGTGCAGTCCATATCCATCATACCGCCTCATAAACATACAAGGTTGAATTGTGCTGATCAGGAAGACAATAGATCCTCAATTTGCCATCCACAACTGCGATATCGATGGGGTTCTCTGTCATGGATGTGCCGAGATCACTTGTCAAGGAAATAGGTACCTCCCAGAGCGGCAACATGGTCTGCAGATCGATCAGAGCAATACCTCCCAGGTTGAACGAGGACGAGGATGATTCGATCGTAGCAACACCACCACAAAACATAATTGGCCTTGTGGGATTCCAACCTCCAAACCGGGCTGACATAGCACTAGGTAATGCATGATGACCAAGAAACTTGCAATCCTGATAATCAACAAAGAATGATGGGTCTGACACGGACGACTTTGCCTCAGTGAAGGCGGGAAGAGGGGCAAATCCTTCGGGATAGTCCTTCATCGACCAGGTTGTGGCATTGCGACCACCCCAATTCAGCGTGACAATGTCATCAGTAATTGTATCGTGCACGATCCCACCATTATGGTCATGGGTACGAAACAGGGCCTCTTTTTGCAAAGTAAGAGGGTCGATGCGAACAATCGTTGCTGTGGTATTTGGCCGATACTGAGCTATTGCGTCCCAAATGTAGCGGCCGTCGTAATCGATACCACCTGTGTGGTACTCAATATCCCCTGGAGGTGTCAGAGTAGCATTGGCAATGAGCCTACCCTGACTATCGTATATAAGCATATGTGCGAAGCCTGCGCCTGGGCTTCGGTCCGTGCCGTTGATCGGATGAGCATATTTCTGGGTCGCGACAGTATATTGACCGGCTGAGACGAAGAATCGGTCGTCACCAACACGGACCATGCCTTCTGGTTCGCCTGTGTCCCCTTCAAAATGGGTCTTCGAGATGAGTTTCCAAGTTGTGGATCGGCCGAGGTTTGCGAAAAGCTGGACGATCGATGCGCCATCCGAAGTGGCATGCGATGGTGGAAGCTTGTTGTCCGGAAGGAATGGATCATTAGGTCGAATAATGGTCACATTTGTGGCAAGACTTAATTTTAGTGCTGCAGCCACAGCAACGATGTTTGAAGCTTTCATTTCGATCTGTAAATGAATGGACGAATCCTGTCCTTTCAACCTAGTAGAGGATTATCGGCATAAATACCCTGTAACACTATACAGGTGAATGAATCTGCCGAGCCGACTCCCGCTATTTCAAGGCCTCGGAGTGATTCGAAATCCCGAAATCGGAAATGACGTTGAAAATCATCCACGAAAAATAGATTAGATGCGGAGACCCGTTAAGCCCACGTTGGGCGGCGGCGATCATTCGTTGGTTGATCCTTTGTTCAACCAAAAACCCGGACAGTACCTGATCAGCACGTTAGCGACAGTATCATCCAGCTTTAGTCAAACAAAGACACGCCACTTACCGTCAGAGCATCCACCGGCCCAATGGCCAGTTGGGTTCCAGGCCACACAACTCACCACCTTGACTTTCTCGTCCATTGGCACCGTCGCAGCGACCTCTCCAGTGAGTACATCCCAGGCAAAGACTGCAGCACCGAGACTTGTATCATTCTTCGCAGCTTCACTGCCACTGAGAACCACTCCATCGCCCTGCGCGAAGACAGAGCGGACTCGCAATTCAGCGTTCCGGTAAGTATGACGAGGCTTGGTAGCGTGCGAAAAGGAGTCCTTCTCTTTTTCTGGACCACCAAAAGCCGCAAGAAGGTTTCCATTAGAGCGATCCAGCATCCGGATGTAGCCATCCAGGGTAGAAGCAAGAAGGACATTCCCGTCTGCTGAGCACCGGATACTCGTCACTGGGTGCGCGAGGACGTCATCAGTTGTTCTGCCCATGCGAACATCGTATACTCGAACATGACCATCGTAGCTGCCGCTGGTAATAGAATATGATGGCATGTGAACATGTAGAGATGAAACAGTGTCGCTTGCTTCTGTGAGTGACTGAATAGGCTTGTAGTCTTTGGAACGGGTATCCCAGAGATTTACCGTAGTATCTGCGCTACCTGAAGATGACGAAACAACTGTCAGCAATCTCCAACGTCTTCATCAAGATTCGGACTGGGGTAGAACAATACCAGTGACGACAACCGAATCACCGTCGCCGGCAAATTGCACCGCCTCTACTCGACTGGTATGCCCCGTCCACCGTCTAGTCGTGCTGCCTTGCTCAACATCCCATAGGAAGACCTGACGATCCCCTCCTACGCTAGCGAATCGTGCATTGTCTGCAGCGACAGCCACGTCGAGGACAGAGTAGCCATGGGCCTCATAACGTTGGATCGGGGTGTTGGTTTCTACTGGCTCCGTGAAGCTTCCAGCATTATTCGGGATAGCGCGCGACAAGTGAATAGCGCGGTCGGAGGAGCCTGTAAGTATGTATGTGCCTGGGTAGCTGGAGAAGGTCACGGCGTTGACGGGGGCTGGCGAGAAGAGTTGGTGTTAGTATTAAGTCATTCTGTGAGGGCCCGGCACGCTAGAGCTTACCATTGTGTGTTTTCAAGGTATGCAGATGTCGGGTAGGGAATTTTTTAGCGGGCATGACGAGCGAGTCGTTGCAGACAAGTGCTGTTAAGTGGTGGGGGAAACTTGGAGAGACTGCGGATGCGCGTGGAGCTCGGCCAAACTAGGGCCGGAGGTCCTCCCTCATACTTCATGTAAATTGACAGCTAGGCTTCGAACTCTCCATACAAGCTATGGTAAGATAGGTACGCAAACTACTTTTTTGTTTGTTTGTTTTTCTTTTTTTTCCATGTGCAGAAGGAATGATTAACTCTGTATTTTCCCGCGCTACAGAAAACAGGAGGGGGTTATTATCAAGAATGTAGACACCATCGCTAGCTACCAGCGGTAAATGGATATAACAGAACAAAACGGACCAGCCTCTTGAGGCAAAGGTGCGCCCTCCCAAGCGCGTAAACCGGCAAGACGTAGGGTACTCAAGAGAAGAAAAAGAACGAGGGAGCATGCACAGCCTGCTTACTCCCTTTTTGACATAACACCATCTTAACGACGACCATGGCTGCGGGTGCTGGAGCCCTGCAGGTTCTCGATCTCGCCCTCGAGTTGTTTGATCCTAAAAGCAGTTAGTATCGAGTAGTGCAAATTGGAACCCAAGTGTAGAAAAAACATACGCTGCGTGGGTGGCCTCCAGGTCCTTGTTGAGGCGGTCGCGCTCGGAGATAAGCTTCTGCTCCCACTGGCGGAAGCGCTGCTCTTCGACCTTGACCTGCTCGGTGAAACGCTTGCGAAGGTTCTCCTCCTCCTCCTTGAACTTGGGGTTGTCCAACTTGCGAGGCCGAGCCTCGCCAAATTTGCGGGTCTCCATCTGCTGGGCGCGGTAGGCCTCGTAGTGCTGCTCCTCGGTAGTGTGGATGAGATCGAGCATATGGGTGCGGATCAAGATCGATCGGAGCTTCTTGAAGTCGCAGTGGTCCTCGTTCTCAACCTCAGCGACACCCCAAGCGTACTGACGACCCTTGACAACACGGCCATCGTTAGCCTTAACGTCTTTCTCGGAACCAATGACGGCGAAGGGCATGGCAGCCATCAAGCTGCGGGCGTGAGTAGCGGCGTGCTCATCATCCTCCTCGATAGGCGGTGTGTAGATCTTGATTCCCTGGGCCTCAATGACACGGCGGATCTACGAAGAAATTGTTAGTCGGGTTGTTTGTTGATTCCCTTATCGCTCATTAGCCTCCACTCACTCTCTCCTTGTAGCGAAGCAGGTCGGCGTGGCTCAGGGTATCGGCCTTGGCGACAACGGGGATCAAGTTAACACGCGAGCTCAGGCGCTTCATGACCTCAATGTCGAGGGGCTTGAGAGTGTGTCCAGTGGGGCGGATGAAGTACAAGCAGGCGTGCACACGCATGTCAATCTTGTCCGTCCGGCGGGGCTGCTGTTCCTGGAGCATGTAAGACTCGTGCTGGTCATCCAGGAACTCGATGATAGGCTGCCAGGAGTCACGGTTGTTGACATAGTCACCGAAGCCGGGGGTATCAATAACGGTCAGGCGAACTAAACAATAGACAACGAATCAGTAAGTGTCATTTATTGACCCCCTCCAGTCATGAAACCCCACCTTTGAAGAACTTCTCCTCAAGCTCGGCCTTGGTGATCTCAATCTCGACAGTGCGGTCGACCTGCTTCTGATGGCGGCGTTTGTGGTCGGCGTAATTCTTAATAGTAGTAGAGAAGAGGGTGTTGATGAAGGTAGTCTTTCCCAATCCCGACTCTCCAGCAACCTGCCGATATTGGTGGTTAGTCGTCAATGGATTCTGTTCTTGTATTGCAAGCTCCGACACACCATAATTGTGAACGCCGCACCCCGCTTCGCGACAATCTTGTGTCTGAAGGGTTATCAATTAGTATGTTTATCCTAGGCCAATTTGAGGTATCGAGTCGAGTTCGACGGAGTACGCACCGCTGGTTGGGGAGCTACATGGGGGCACATATATTGATTAGCGACGAACTCGATTAAGCTTCATTTGGAGGTTGCGGGAAATAGCTTACATTGGCAATGCCAATAGGCGTGGCGGTCTCAGTTGTCGACATGGTGGGCTTAAAGGGCAAATGAAGACAAGAAAAAGAGACTCCTCAAGTGTATACCTGAAGGGAAAAAGTGGAAAAATGAAACCCCCAAGAAAAGCGTTGAATTGTAAAAAGGGGAAGGCGTGAACTTGACTTCCGACCAGCGGTCTCTTTCCCCCCTGAATCTCCTTTCTCGTTTTCTGGAGTAGAGCTGGCCCTTGCCTATCTGGGTTTAGCGCCTAACACTATACCCCTTACGGTTCGGGGCCGGAAGAACTAAGGATGCGACGCTTATCGCATGGATTCTGCTAATCAGCTTGAAATTTTGCACCGTGAAGCTGTCGCAAGTGGGAAAATGAAGACCGATTTTAAGGTGAGCAGTGCTATTCTGCATGAATTGTACGGTGTATCTGACCATTGAATCACAGTTCTCCAACCTTTTGGGGACGGTCTATCGTAAGGGCAATTTGCTCTTTACTCCAGATGGCACCTGTCTACTTTCGCCCGTAGGCAATCGGGTCACAGTCTTTGACCTCGTCCAGTAAGTGCGCTTCTCATGGCTTTATTGTAGTCGTTGACGACAAATCATCCGGAACCTTTGGTCCCTGACTTTCAATTTTCAGCAATACCTCTTATACCCTTCCATTTTCGCACCGCACCAACATCGATCGCCTGGATCTTTCCCCGAAAGGCAACCTGTTGCTGACTATCGATGAAACTGGCCGGGCAATTTTGACCAATTTCCAACGGCGCATCGCTATCCACCACTTTTCCTTCAAGGGGCGCGTCACTTCACTCAAATTTTCCCCGTCGGGTCGGCATTTCGCAGTAGGCGTCGGAAGACGCTTGCAAATCTGGCAGACCCCATCTACCCCTGGAACCGAAACCAATGGCGAGATTGAGTTTGCTCCGTTCGTTCTCCACCGCGACCTTGCCGCGCACTTTGACTCTGTTCAAAATATCGAATGGTCGAGTGACTCCCGGTTCTTGCTGACCGCATCCCGAGATTTGACTGCGCGAGTGTGGAGCTTAAATCCGGAGGATGGTTTTGAGCCTACTACTCTGGCGGGCCACCGCCAGGGTGTGGTGACAGCACACTTTGATGCAAACCAGGAATCCATCTACTCTGTTAGTCAAGATGGAGCCCTTTTCCGCTGGGAATACGTGACGAAGAAAGACCCAGAAACCGATGAGGATATCGCAGAAGCCCAGTGGAGAATTACGAAAAAGAATTTCTTTATGCAGAATGATGCGAATGTCAACTGCGCCGCATTTCATGCACCCTCAAACCTGCTGGTGGTTGGCTTCTCCAACGGTCTCTTCGGGCTGTATGACTTGCCCGAGTTTAACATGATTCATTTGCTGAGGTATGTGGAAAGATTGTCTTTTTGTGGTCTCTTCGGTGTTAACTTACCATGATTGTGTTTAGTGTCTCACAAAGCAACATTGATGTTGTGACCATCAACCAGTCTGGAGAATGGCTTGCCTTCGGATCCTCCAAACACGGTCAGCTGCTAGTCTGGGAGTGGCAGTCAGAATCCTATATTCTGAAGCAGCAAGGCCATCTTGACTCCATGAACTCCCTAGTTTATTCCCCGGATGGACAGAAAATTGTGACCACCTCCGACGACGGCAAGGTCAAGGTGTGGGATGTAAAGTCAGGCTTCTGCATAGTGACTTTCACTGAACACACTAGCGGAGTGACGGCGTGCGAGTTCGCTAAGAAGGGAAGCGTTCTATTTACTGCATCCCTAGACGGCTCTATTCGAGCATGGGATTTGATTCGATACCGTAACTTCCGCACATTCACCGCACCTTCTCGACTTTCATTCTCTTCTCTGGCGGTAGACCCCAGTGGAGAGGTGATATGTGCCGGATCTCCAGACTCTTTTGATATCCATGTGTGGTCTGTACAGACCGGTCAATTGCTGGATCAGCTATCCGGTCACGAGGGCCCTGTGTCCGCCCTTGGCTTTGCTGCTGATGGTAACCACTTAGTCAGTGGCAGCTGGGACCACACTGTGCGCATCTGGAGTATCTTCGGCCGAACCCAAACTAGCGAGCCCCTTCACCTTATGTCTGATGTCCTCAGCGTGGCTTTCCGGCCTGACGGACAACAGGTTGCGGCCTCAACCTTGGATGGTCAGCTTTCGTTCTGGTCAGTGGAGGATGCTGTTCAACAAGGTGGTGTCGATGGACGCCGCGATGTATCCGGTGGCCGCAAAGTATCTGATCGCACAACTGCCGCAAATTCGGCTGGAACCAAGTCCTTCAACCGTATCACCTACAGTGCAGACGGTAGCTGCATTTTGGCCGGTGGTAACAGCAAGTATATTTGCTTGTACGATGTGGGAACAGGTTCTTTGATCAAGAAATTCACGGTCTCGGTGAATCTGTCTCTAGATGGTACTCAGGAATTCCTGAACAGCCGGAATCTCACCGAGGCTGGACCTCGCGCCCTCATTGACGAAACAGGAGAGGCATCTGACAAGGAAGATCGTATTGACAGTACGCTCCCTGGTGCGAAACGTGGTGATGCTGGTGCTCGTACTACTCGCCCTGAAGTACGAGTGACCTCTGTCGATTTTGCCCCAACTGGCCGCGCCTTCTGCGCTGCGTCTACTGAGGGCCTTCTCATCTACAGCCTGGATGACGACTTTGTCTTTGACCCCTTTGACCTTGACATCACGATCACTCCATCCAGCATCCTCGCCACAGTCGAGGCTGCTAAGAGCGCTGCGGCCGCTGGCACTGTTGATGGGGAAAACACATTCCTTAAGGCACTAGTCATGGCATTCCGCTTAAACGAATCCAAGATCATCCGTGCTGTGTACGAGTCGATCCCGCCATCTGATATCCCACATGTGGTCCGTGCCGTACCTACGGTCTACTTGCCCCGTCTGCTTCGTTTTGTCGCACACGCAGCCGACGAAACCCCTCATCTTGAATTCAACTTGATGTGGATTGAGTCTCTGTTCAGTTGCCACGGCCGATACTTCAAGGAAAACTCGGGAACATTTGCCCCTGAACTTCGCGCTGTCCAGCGAGCCGTTGATGATATCCGTGAAAACCTCAAGCGGTTGACCGAAAAGAACCTCTACGATCTCAACTACCTTCTCTCTAAGCCTGTCCTCGCCGATAAGAAATCATCGAGCGCAATGTTAGCAATGACTGCAGGTGACGCCGAGGAAGATGACGACCAAATGGCCGACGCCGACGTCGACGACACAGAGGGCGACTGGGTTGGATTGGAATAAATTATTTCGTAATTCCCCCTCTGTGTATGTCTACTTTGCATCTGCGCTTGGCGTTTGTATATTATAGGACGGTAAAGGGAATCTAATCCCTCAAAAGTGCTGTATCTAGGTATTAGAGATTATGTCGCCCTTTGAATGAAAACATATACCAAAAGGATTCTGCAGCTTCTTCTGTTTGTAGTTGTGCCCCCCGCGATTCTAGGGCTACATTTATAGAAAACCATTCAAATCCTTCAGTCCATTGTAGGTATGCATCTATATGATTTTTAGCGGCAAAGACTTGTTTGGATTTTGTGAGTTTCAATATATCTATGCTAAAGGCCATCAAAAAGATGTCGGGGTCCCCTTCACGCTTGAATGACTGGATTTCAGCTCTAGGGCTCATTTGAGACAGAGTAAATGATGGAAAATTTCAGATAGTTTGTCTGGTTGCCAAAAACCAATATGAGCAAAAAGAAGAGGTCGTGCCCGGGATCGAACCGGGATCGCCAGAATCAGAATCTGGAGTGATAGCCATTACACTACACAACCTTACTTGCTGTTAAGATGTGTTTTTTTGAATCATCAACCTGAGCTTCAGCCCAGCGTTACAAAGAAATCAATTCTAAAAAATAAATTGGCAAAACTTTACATAAGAGCACACCTTTGCCGATGATAATATAGACAAGAATCACAAAAATAAGGTCGTGCCCGGGATCGAACCGGGATCGCCAGAATCAGAATCTGGAGTGATAGCCATTACACTACACAACCTTAATTGGGTTTAGTGCGAAGTTTGAGCGCTTATATTGAATGTTACCAGTGACTACTTCGGGAGTGACCAACCTCGATGGGGATTCAGAAGCTGTAGTTTAATTGCACTCCAGCCTCGGCAGATATGCTAGCTATGGCCCGGTTGGAAAACCCTGCCCAAATAATCAATGGATTCGTGGACCGACATAGCGACTCGGAGGTAAAGGGGGCCAACTTAGTTGTATATTTATACAACGATGTCATCCATGAATGAGAGCACTTAAGCTTGGAAGCCAGGTGTTTGCGGGTGGCAAGTAATAGTTTGGAAGTGTAGTGGTCTAACGCATGTTTAGGAAAATACTGCTTGAATCTCATTAACCTTTCATTCCTCTCAAGATAGTCCCTGGTATTTGGATTGTATTTCTGATTCATCCAAAGAAGATTCTATTTGAATTATGCGTCTGTGGGCGTATTGAAGAATGTTTAATTTGGAAACGGCATTGAGAACGCCACACTAGCAATAGTATATAATCTGGAAGTAAGAGTAAGTAGTAAATTTGTAGCGCAAATAATTGTGATTAAACTAAATTGTCTCGGTTCGTGATCGGCTCATCCGCTAAAGCCGTCGAGGGCTTGTGGCTAAAACCGAAATATAGAGCTGATCGAAGCTATTTTACCCGGATCCACAGATATACCTGTTCAATAAGCAGCCCCGTTACAGCATTGAAAACCTTCCGATGACATGGGCGTTGGTCGTCAAACTTGAGCCCTAAATCGATTGTCATAACTCGTATAGATGAGATGTTAGCGTCAATTATGGCCAATCTGATATCACTTTCTCATACAGTGGTCCAGCCCGTTAGAAATCTGGGAAAGAGATTAAGGTGAATTATACAGTATAAACACTTGAACGAACGAGCTCCTGTAGAAGTGACTGTACACTCATCCATGTGTTGATAGTCTTTTTTCATCACCTGTCTTTCCCTAAAGAGACACACTTTTAAGCGTGACTTGTGAGTACTTCAAGATCACCCTTTCATTTTCGTTGATAGTTAGAGCCAAAAAATTATTGGAGGAGGGCAATCAGTCCATATCAAAGTACAGATTGGGGGGAAAAATTCGTCAAAAAGAAAAGGTCGTGCCCGGGATCGAACCGGGATCGCCAGAATCAGAATCTGGAGTGATAGCCATTACACTACACAACCTTACTTGTTAGAGTGATTCGACTATTAACCTATATGTTCCTACAGTATGATCTAGACTTAGTGTTGTTACTAGTGAATCTTGAGTGGATTCTTTCCTGATTGGGAAAATTTGACACCACAACCTTCCAACATACACGAAGGCCATTATCGCCGTCGGGAGTCTTTTTCCCTTTCTTCTTGGTTTCTAGCACTTAAAATAGCGCCGCCTGAGAAAAAAAAATTTAAAAATTTACAAAATTTTGCCCTGAGGATCACTACCGCGCGTTCTCATCCCGCCAATTCCTTTGCATATGATCACTGTGGACTTCATATCAGGCCTACCAGGCGATTCGCGTTAATCACCTATTTAACACCCTGATAGGAGGTGGTGGCTCATTTGATGCAATTAAATGATTGTAATCTCCCGGTCGTCATCATTACGGAGTAATACCATGGTCATGGTTGTCATGATTGTTTTTTTCATAATGAGATTTGCTCAAGCATACTTATTGGCGTAGCTCACCGATGGGCTCTACTAGAGCTTATTGGGGAGCGGGGTGTTCCACCTCTGATCTATTTAATAATTTAGAGAGGGTCCTCTTAACTTCATCCATGTTTTCATATTAGTACCATGTCACTCACAAGTGACAATCTCACAATCCTATACACTCGTTGTTTCATTAACTCTATTTTGTAATTACAGAACAATTCAAAAGTAAGGTGGAAAGCATCTTGCGGCACAGTTCTTGGTTTGTCCGAGGCCAGAATATAATATCACCAAGCTAGCGGGTCAATGCAAAATTCACTTCCGTCACTTGTTGTCTTATACGAAACCTTATCACAACTAAGGTTGTGTAGTGTAATGGCTATCACTCCAGATTCTGATTCTGGCGATCCCGGTTCGATCCCGGGCACGACCTTGTTTTTATCAGTTTTTGATGGTACTCTTGTTCTTCGAACGTGTTGTGGTGTGGGAGGATCCACCTTTTTTATATTCACCTCGGCTAATGCCCGATAGAGTATTAGATAAGTATGGCCTTGAGTCTTCCCGGTGGGTTACGTAATCGTTGGACGGCTCAGTTAGTTATCCAACCTTGGGACAATACATATGATCCCTACCTTTATGTCCTGTCGCTCTTGAAAACATTAAATTCGATGTTACTAATCCTGTAGCTAAAAGATGTTATCACTATCATGACCGTGCCATCGGTAAGGAATTCATTGTCTTTCAAATATCTTATTGAAGATAAAAAATTGGGCATGTCACCAAAAACAGATGCTGAAGACAAATGCAAAAAGAGGTCGTGCCCGGGATCGAACCGGGATCGCCAGAATCAGAATCTGGAGTGATAGCCATTACACTACACAACCTGAGTTGCTGAACCTGGCAGATTTTAAAAAATATAATGCTAGACTACGCCAAACAGGTCATACTAACAGTCAATTATGTAGAAATGTGGCTGCCTTGTTGCCTGGCTTTTTTGGGCACACCTCTTCTTCGCTATAATGCCAATCTCGCTTGTGTTAGACCAATTATATGGACTGTTTGCCTAGGAGTATAGCTTTCAGCGTAACGTAATATAAAATAGGCGTAAACATAGGTGCCATAATGCTCAAAGAGAGGCCCGTTATATATTTGCCGGCAACTCCGAAGGTCAACATCAACTCATAGAGATTATCGCAATAACGAAACCCGACAGCATAAAAGTGCTCACGCTGGTCGAGTCATCCTTGTCTTCCCATCAAATCGAAGCATCGGTCTTAATTTCGGTCTTAGGCAAAGCGAAAAGAGGCATCTGTGTTCCTGATTGGACGCTGACGTGATGCAGCTAGTTATACACCTCCGGAGTTAAAACGTGCGAAACCCGACCCAGGCGCCACCGATGTTCTGAAGTATATTTAACTGAAGCACACTACCATTCACCCCGGTTTAGATAATTATTGTATTCATCTCTATACAATTCATTGACACCTAAACATAACCTTTTAACATGGCCAAAATTGTCTTTATTACCGGCGCCAACACGGGCATTGGGTTTGAGATTGTCAAGGCCCTAGCTACCTCCGATCAATCCTATATCGTTCTCGTGGGAGGTCGGTCCCTAGAGAAGGCACAGAATGCCGCAGCTACTGTCCAAGGCCTTCCCGAGTCAAGCAGCCAATTTGTTCCCATCCAAGTGGATATCGAGCACGATGATTCGATCAAGCAAGCATTCCACGAAGTACAATCCAAGTTTGGCAAAATAGATGTACTTATCAATAATGCCGGTCAGTAATTACCTCTGTTAAAAAGCCATACAAGCCTCTAATAGCAACAGGGGCCCAATTCGATCGGCAAATCGATCAGATAGGGGAGCGCGAGATGTGGAATCGTACTTGGAACGTGAATGTGACGGGCACGCAGATTTTAACATCGACATTTGCTCCACTACTACTAAAGAGCGCGGACCCACGCCTGCTCTTTATCACCTCGGGCACATCGACGTTAGAGGGTACCGAGAACCAGATGGTACCAGTGAATCGAGTACCGGCCAAAGGATGGCCCAAGACAGGGATCAATTTGCCGGCGTACCGCAGTGCCAAGACAGGCCTGAACATGCTTATGCGAGAATGGCACCGCTGGCTGAAGGAAGATGGAGTTAAGGTATGGGCAATTTCGCCCGGCCTCTTGGCCACCGGCTTAGGCGGCGACACCGAAGTATTACGGAAGATGGGTGCGCTTGATCCCTCGATAGCGGGGCCGTTTATCCGTGGCGTCGTTGAGGGGCAGCGTGATGCTGATGTAGGCAAAGTGATAAACCGTGATGGGGTGCAGCCCTGGTGAAGAGGGAGCGGAAGCTGTATGTGATCACGCTAGGCTGTCGTGAGGAACCTAGAAGTGGTGTGTATCTCGCAGGTAGAAGCTCTCAAGTATCCTGAAATCTAGATTGAAAACTGAAACGCAAGCCTCTAAGTAGGCATTGGCATCTCTATTCAATAATTATATCTACCGAAACCGGTGATGAAATAAGTCAAGCTCTCAATTGTAATCGAGAGCTTCACAAGTTGGCTGTAGTATCCAAAATATCTGGGTCATGTCATCCTACCCAACCTACGGGATTATTGGCAAGCTGTGAAGCACGGGGAAAGCACAAGAGATTGGCCAGGGGAGAACAACAAAGCCATTATGTTGGCCTACTATAGTTTAGATACGAACCACGTTATACTCATTGTTTTACATCCGTACGTGGTACCGAAAAATTCAGCAACATCAGATATGCAAATGCCCTCTATAGCATGGCGAGAAAGACTAAATCGGCGCAACTAAGATAGTATAAAGGCTCGTTTGCATTCCCGTTTGCATTTTTGTTTGCATGTAAAATGGTCAGCTACATGCGTCAAATCTTCCGACTGATACCTTCTCTCATTTTATATCATCCGTTCACTTCCGTGTCACCCTCCCTCACTCTTCAATCCCCCTCTCATATCCATGACCACTTCACTCCCCGAATCCAAAACGTTTGGAACTTGTTTCTCTATGCCTGGCTACATCATATGGCCCCTCTTTGGGCTTTTGATGTACTTCCTGCTACGTCGGAAGACTGACTCTCGCCTCAAGCACATCCCCGTCGTTCGATACAGTGGCTACCTACCTGATGTATTCAACAGGTTCATCTTCTATCCAAGGGCTTCATCCATGATTTATCGAGGGTATGAGAAGGTAAGTCAAAAGCCTCTGGAGGTCACAATTTTGAGATAACTAATACGATGCAAAATACAGTACAAAGATGGACCCTTTCGCATACTGACGGGTGATGGCGAGCTCGTTGTCTTGCCAGTCAGATATCTGACTGAGCTTCGATATCTTCCACCTGCAGTGATTAGCTCTCTGGATGCACAGTACGAGGTATGAGCTTCTACAAGACCTATGCTATTGACATTGCTCGGGTATGACATTCTCACTTCAGAACTGAACATGCTGCATTCAGAACGCCCTAGGAGACTATACCAATATCATCATCAACAGCTATCTTCCCTCTATGACGGTCCGGAAACGTTTGACTCCAAATCTCGGTGCTTATCTGCCTTTCAGCAACCAATACCCTGTGTCCAATCGCTGACATGTACAGCGCGAGTGATTCCGTGGGTGATAGATGAGCTTCGCTATGCCTTCGATGCCGCCATCCCCGAATGTGAAGGTAGGACCAGCCAACCCGTGGCGTGCCCCCAGGAATCTATCAAAAACGTTCTGCTAAACACGTCGTCAAAAAGACCACTGGGCAGCCATAGACCCCCATAAGGTATTCGGGAACCTCATCACCCGCGCAACATCCCGCGTTTTAGCCGGCGACTCACTCCGCCGCAACGAACAATGGCTCACGACAGCAAGCAAGTACTCCGTCAACGTGGGCGTGACTGTCTTCCTCCTCCGTCCTTTTCCGAATTTTCTCCGACCCATAGTAGCCACCTTCCTGCCCTCTGTTCGTCAAATGAAACGCCAGCTCCGCTTCGTGAAAGACCTCTTCATCCCCATGATCATTGAGCGGCGCACCACACGCGAAAAAGCCATCGCAGAAAATGATCCGGGCTATGTGGCTCCTGATGACTTTCTACAGTGGATGATGGATATGGCAGAAGACGAACAAGATTTGGATCCGGAGCTGTTGGCGCATCATATGCTTTTGCTTATGAGCCTAGCGGTTGTGCATACGAGTTCTATGGCAATGTGTCATGCACTTTATGATCTAATTCTGATGCCGGAGTATCTTGCTCCACTACGGGAGGAGATTGGAGAGACGCTGGTGTCTGGATGGGAGAATGCGACGAAGGCGTCTTTTGATAACCAACGGAGGTTGGATAGCTTCTTGAGAGAATCACAGCGATTCGGACCGCCAGGAGAATGTGAGTATGAACTGCCTATGTCGTCGAGTTTGCTGTGTCTTCTCTCGCATCATTTAGGCCCCTGTCCATTTCCAAATTTGCCAAAATTCGAATGCTGATCTGATCTATAGTATCCTTCCACCGCATCTTGAAAAAGCCTCTAACCCTATCAGACGGCTTGTTCCTGCCCGAAGGAACTCATATCTGTTTTCCCGCAGGACCAACCAGCAAAGATCCGGCCTACGTTACCGAGCCACAGTCTTTCGATGGATTCCGCTGGTGCCGGGATCCGAAAGATCAACATGCTCTCTCAACATCTACCAGCACAGAATCCGTCACAAATGAGGAATACTTGATTTCTAGCGAAACGGACAAGCCAAATGAGAGCGGGCACACTCTCTCGCTGGTTCCATCGACATCAACAAGCTTTGTTAGTATCAGCGCCTCCAGTATGCACTTTGGGGCGGGCCGGCAGGCTTGTCCAGGTCGGTTCTTTGCAGGGTGTACGATCAAAGCGATTTTCAGTAAGATTCTTATGGATTATGAGTTTAAGTATGAGGATGGAAGGGGCCAGCAAAGACCGCCGAATATCTGTGTTGGAGAACACATCTTGCCGAATACTAGTACGCCAGTGCTGTTTCGGAAGAGAGCCGTTGGGATTTAGTTTTATTGCGAGGTGAATGCCTCTCTTCCGTTCTCCAAGATATGATAGACTGAATAACACGATATTTCTATACATAGGCACTCCAAGTATACTGTAGATGATGGAAACCATGAAAGGATAGCTGATAATATCAACTCTTTACATTTAGAGGTTGTCCTCCTTAAAGTTCGCCTCTAATTTCACAGAGTGGGAGAAAATCTCCAGTCGAGGTTTGTACATACATGAACAATTAATATGATAACATACTATCGCACACGGGAGCAAAACAGCTCAAATTACTGCTCGGTCGCAGCAGCAGGGCCTCCTCCACGGCCACGTCCACGGAATCCATTGCCACGGCCACGTCCACGACCGCGCCGTTGGTCCACTCCTGGAGGTGGCGGAACTTGGTTGTAGCTCTGTGGCCGGAAATTGGGGTTGTTTTGGATGATTCCCTCGCTAGGATCACCGCTTTCAACAGAGACATAACCGCCTCTACCACCTCTACCTCCGCGGTTGCCGTTGGTGGGAGCGGCTCGGCCACGCGGGCCACGCGGGGGGCCACCATTGACATGAGGCCGGAAGGGTAGCGTAGTGGCCTGACCATTGCCGAGACCGCCACGTCCACGAGGGGCATTGTTCCCAGACACAGCACCCTTGAAAGAACCCTTCAATGGCGCAGGGGCGGGTGCATTCTTAAGCTGCCCCTGCCCGTTGGGGCCCAAGGGCGCACCGTACCCGGGAACCGTTAGAGGAGTGGGTTCTTGCTGGGTTCGTTGACTTGTTGCGGCACGGGAGCTGGTGACCAATTGCCGGTAGGACAAATTCAGGACAGAAGACGCAGGAACTGTCTGGCCACGGAATGGAGCACAGCGCTTGCCGAGATCGGTGCCGCTCATAAAAGAGACATCAAAGACCACATCAAGCAGAATGGTGAGCGGGGTCCTGGTAAGACCCACCACTGTACCCCGAGTGGCAATGGGGACTTTTCCGGAATTCTGGGCATACACGACCCGATCACCGAGCTTGAATGTTTGGCTGCCAAGACGGTGCTCGACGTCCTCGGGCCGAAGTAGAGCGCCTCGGGGGACACCGCGGACCTTCTTGGGCTGCATCTCAGGGAGCGATTGAGTCAGTTCGTCGGCATCTTTCTGGATGAGAAGGACAATATCTGAGTCAAGTTGTTCTGCCTCGAGAGGAACTCTTGCAAAGTCCTTGGCCTCGGTCGCCTTGAGCCAATCGCGAATCTCCTTAATTTTCGCAAGGGCAATGTCCTCCGGGTAGAAATCAGTTGGTGAATAGCGATCGTTCTGAGGGTTGCGTTGGATTCCAGCAATGAACTCGGGGAAGGTAATCATGTACTGCTGCAGTAGGTTGACTGCTTTCTGGCTGAATTCCCAGCCAGATTGGCCACGGCGAGAGTATCCAAGGACCTTCTGTTTGCGAGCCTCAAACTTGAGGTTGAGACCAAGATTGACACGTTGGCCTTCTACGTCCACACTGAAGGAGGACGTGATCTTGGCGAGCACCAGAGGATTGAGACGGAGGTTTCGTGCAATAGCATACGAAGGCATGTAAGGGCAGGATCGCTCAGCCTCCGCAACATGTTTTCTTCCAAATTCTGGCTCTTTGCCTTTCACTGCTGCAATCAACCCATTTACCTTTCCGTCAGAGTGGCCAGTCACATGGACAGGTCGTCCGTAGTTAAAGTCACCCAAGAAAAAGCAACGAGAGTTTGCTGGGAACTCTTCTTCAATTGGCAGAGCCTCACGCTCAATAAAACGCTGGTCGGGGTTGACGACGTTGTCGACAACCACCTGAAGAGCATAGTCGGTTTCCTGTCCGGGAATATCCGCGAACTCCTTAATGGTAGCACCGTCATCGGTCTTGATCATACCCTTTAGTAGTTGAATATGGACCAAAGACTCAACACCTCCAATGATAATACCCAGCCGCTTGCTGTAGCCGCCCTCGATCTTGTCTGCTTTCTTCTTCCACTGCTCAATTTGCTGAGGGGTGTGTGGGATCTGGACCGCGTGCTGTTCGCCGGGTGGGAGAATGTAGTCAAACAGCTCGTCCGAAACACGAACAACCAGGGCTTCTTGTAAGTATGGGTATCCAACATGGACTCGTTGCCCAAGCTTTGTCTTAGCCAATTCAACACTGGAACGACTTGATGGGTCGATAAGGGTGATGACTTGGCTTTCGTTGCGGCTTTCCTGTTGGAAAACACAAACTCCGTGGAAACCCAATTGTCCAACACGTGGTAGAGTCTTCAAGCTTGGGAAGCCAGCCAAGGCAGCATCGCCTAATTGCACGCCGTCCATGAGTCCGTGGTATGGAATCAATCCATCCATAGTAGGGAGCTCAAATGTATTCTCAATACAGCGGCAGTTGGGAACATCGGGGAAGACGCCAGGCATGGAAGAAGGATATATGAAATTCACATCAGGCGAGAAGGTGAATTTCAAGCTAGCCCCAAAGCCGTTACGGGCTTTCTCATCGGGGCTAAGCAGCTGTTCTCGCGTTTTCATAGCATCCAGGAGCCGTTTCTCGTCAATGAAAGGAATTTTGACCACAGCTTCCCATTCCATCTTTTTCCCGTTCATGTCCAGATCGAAATCACGGGGGTAAAAATCGATGATAGGAGATTCCGGGGAAGTCATAAGCTCCCAGTACGCAGTGGGTACGATCTTCTTACTGCGATCTGGCAGCACACCCATCAACTGCTCGAAAGGTCGGAAGGGCTGACCGAGTCGGAAATTCATATCCACACCCAGTCCCTTCGTCACATCTGTTCTCCTCGTCAATAAAAAAACAGATGTAAGCAACATTTAAGAAACTGACCAGAAATCATGGGGGCATAGTGATACCGGAAGAACCAAGACCACGATGCGATACCCCGATAGTAGTAAAACAGAACCCATTGTAAACCTTGCACATAGTTCTCTGCAAGCTTTTTCAACTCCTCCTCATTGTCAAGACCCCATCCAAATTTGGAGCGATAATAGTTGTCTCTCCACTCATAGAACTTCTCATCATACTTCTTCTCTGCTGCCTCTTGTGCCTCCTCAGGGGTCATATCTTGGACTTTGGCCTTCTCATACTTCCGAATGATGCGCTGGATGGCTAAAGTGGCCTCCTCGTCTTCGTTGTCCTCCTCCTCATCACTGTCATCATGCTCGAGCTCGGGTAGCTGAAGTCTCATGAAGCGATCGCCGCCCTCATTTTCCGTGGTGGACCATGGGACTCGAAGTTGGTCTGCAAGCTGTTCGACAAAGCTTCGATCGCGGGCCGGTAGGGTGGACGGAAAATCCAAAGGTTTCGCTTCAGATCCCTTGCCTGACCGGTTCAAGACGTACTGCTTTACCTTCTTGAGAATGTCCTTCTGGGACGAGGTGATCGTCAATTCCTTGGGCTTCTTCTCCAGTTCGAGCGAACCGTCGTTCTTTTTCGATTTAATCCATTGCGCATCAGAGTTTTCGGCCTCAAAGAACCGATGCTCGAAAACGCTCATCGCATCAATAAGTTTGCCGAGGCGCTCCACATTGATGGTACCTTCCTCGTTGATGTAGCCACCCATCTTGGGTAAGACTTCCTTGTAGATCTTGAACATGAGCGCTAATGCGCCCTCGTTGATGTGTAGATTCGGCAGATTGGGCAAGAAATCATTTCCAACAAAAAATGCCATGAGAATGAAATCATCAATAACACGCTCCATATCGAATGGGAAGTCTAGGGCTCCCTCTTTCTCTAGTTCCTGGAACTCCAGTTCCAAATACTCCCGAACCATGCTAAGATGCAGGAGATAGAAGTTCTGATGTTCGAGTTCCTTGGGCTTCTTCTGTGTCTGGCGGCCAAATGTCACCTCCTCTCGGAGGAGACAGAAGTGGGGGTCATGACTGAGAAGACCCAACATGATCAAATCCGCATCCAGGCCATACAAACAGTGTCGCACGTTCGGATGGTAGCCGGGCTGCGCTTTTGCCTGACGAATGTATTCCATGATCTTGTGCTCACCTTCTCCAGGAACTTCATGGCCCGAGAGCACGATCTCTACGCCTTGCCAATCCGAATCCTCTGAGATCTTTTTGTTGATGAAGTATTTCAATTGTTGCGTCAGTCTTGCCATGAAGCCGGTACCGGGTGTAATGCAATTACTGTCGAATGGGTCCTCTTTCGGCATCTCCATTCCTTGCGCGATTGCCTTCTCCTTCGCATTTTCAGCGTCCAGCGCGGTTCGGAAGCGGCGCGCACGTTGCTGATTCATTTTGGCTCGAGGTGCGACACCGTCAACAGCCATGAAGAACAGCTTCTGTGGCTTGATCTTTCCAAACAAGTGCTCGATATAGTTGAAGATGGCAATAAACATCTGTTCCTCCGACATGCGGAATGTCGGGGAGTCACTGTCACTGTGTGTACAGTTGTGAATAATACCGTTCATGTCCAGGTATAAGCTGTCAAACTCGGGGATACGGCTCTCCTTGATCAGCATGGAGATGGCGGGATACCGCTCACTGAGCCATCGGAAGAATTTCGGAACACCCATAGTGATTGGTGGTGTTTGGTAAAGGATGAAAAGGAAATAACAATGGAGAAGAGATTGGTGAGAATGAAGCGGCGCGGGGTGGGTTGCCGTGAGAGTTGGGGTGGAAGGATGTGGATGCGTCACAGAAATCGGAGTACCGATCAGCGGGGATTCATTCAATATGTAAATCCGTAATCTCGTAATTAGGGAGAGAACAAAAAACACAAGGTCAACGCCAAAGATCCCGCAGAAGCGAAACACAGTGGAGATACAAAAAGGAATGGGAGACACGAAAGGTGAGAGTTGCAAAGTTGGGCGTTGAGCAAGCTCAAGTCATTGCCAAGCAATTCCCCTTTGGGACTAGCGCCTGTCGCCGCCCATTAACGCGGGTTCGCGTTTGGAATCGCCCTTCTCTGCTTAAACCTCGTCGTCTTTTTTTGAGACCTTGTCATCTCAACAGTTACTTGGTCGCATTATCATCTGAAACATAAAATTATTTGCCGCAATGGATCCCTATGAGGATGAGAACCGTAAGTGTGTCGGATCTGGAAATTGCGAGGAAATCTCCGTTCTAATTGTGCAGCAGAAGCTGTGGAGGAGCAGCAGGAGAAGGAAAGTGAGCACAGCAATGAGAAGATCATCAATGAGGGTATGTGTTTATCTTGTCTTCAATCGACTATGCTACTTTTCCCATCAACTTTCGCCCATTAGCTTCGAAGATTATGGCTAATTCGTCCACTCGCTCAGAATACAAGACATGGAAGAAGAACGCGCCATTTCTGTATGATATGATCTTGAGCACAGCTTTGGAATGGCCCACCCTTACAACTCAGTGGCTTCCAGACAAGCAAGAGTGAGTCCTCCAAGCTTCATTCTAATCCTAATCCGAGTTCAACGCTGATACTTGGTCCAGAGTTCCTGATAAGCCTTATTCTACCCATCGCCTACTCATCGGCACCCACACAGCCGGTGATGCGCAGAATTACCTTCAAATCGCCCACATCCAACTCCCCAACCCCAATGCCCCGAATCCAGACGATTATGATGAGGAGCGAGGGGAGATTGGCGGCTATGGTGGTGGGCCGAAGAAGCCCCAGATGGAGATCAAATTCAACATTGCTCAGAAAATTGACCACAAAGGGGAGGTTAACAAGGCCCGGTATCAACCCCAAAACCCCAATATTATTGCGACCATGTGTACCGATGGTCGAGTGATGATCTGGGACCGTTCAAAGCACCCCAGCCAGCCCACTGGTACTGTGAACCCTCAAATGGAGCTCTTGGGACACGAGGCAGAGGGCTTTGGACTAAGCTGGAACCCACATGAGGCCGGCCACCTTGCTACTGGTAGCGAGGACAAGACCGTTCGGCTCTGGTAGGTGGATGATCTCCCTCATGAATGTCAAGACATGACCCTAATACTAACTACACAGGGATCTTACAACATACACCAAGGGCAACAAGGCCGTCCGGCCGACCCGCACCTACACTCACCATTCTTCCATCGTAAACGATGTTCAGCACCACCCTCTCCACTCATCTCTCATTGGAACTGTCTCCGATGATATTACTCTCCAGATCCTTGATATTCGTTCTGCCGACTCTACTCGTGCGGCCGCATCGGCGGAGGGCCAGCACCGCGATGCTATTAATTCCATCTCCTTCAATCCGGCGGCAGAGACGATCCTGGCTACCGGTTCCGCAGACAAGACCATTGGCTTGTGGGATCTCCGAAACCTCAAGACCAAGCTCCACTCCTTGGAAGGTCACACAGATTCTGTGCAGTCGATCTCGTGGCATCCCTTTGAGGAGTCTGTTTTGGCCAGCTCTAGCTATGATCGGAAGATCATGTTCTGGGATCTCAGCCGTGCCGGCGAGGAACAGACCCCCGAGGACGCGCAGGACGGTCCTCCCGAGCTGTATGTTTCATATTATTGTTTGATTCATATTCTATTACGCTTGACTAACTTGAATTTTTTAGTTTGTTCATGCACGGTGGTCACACCAACCGTCTCTCCGACTTCAGCTGGAACCTCAGTGACCCGTGGGTGCTGTGCTCGGCAGCTGAAGACAACCTCCTCCAGGTGTGGAAAGTGGCCGACGCCATTGTGGGCAAGGACCTAGAAGATGTGCCGACCGAGGAATTGGAGGCATGATCTGCTTTTCCGATTCTTTCGCCTATTCTTTTTTTTGAGTTATTTGCCAAAGTTTTTTACCCTGTTGCCGGCGAAACATAGGATCATGTAATGAGGAGCAATTAAAAACCCCGACACTCCAATTTTGCTTGTAATCTCCGATGGAGAAAGAAAGGAAATTCCGCCTCGAGCGAAACTAAATCTCCGAAGTCGTACCTCATATATAGCAGGGTGGGGTCATGCAGATAATCACAACTGATATTTTATCACGCATGTAAATTCCGACCCTATACCCCTCCTAGACTAGTTACTGCTAGGTACGGCTCGCCAAAAAAAATATCAGTTGCCCACACAGTCCTAATAAAGTGTTTAAGCTTTCAATCTCAGTAGCTCCAGTCTCTAGCTATGCAACGATATTTTTCTCACGATATTTTGCCTCTTAGGGATAGTTGTCTGTTCTGAAAAAGTCGTCCGATGTCGCATTATCGTTATCGGACTTCGAGCCCCAGTAGTATAACTGTCTTCCGCGGACAAGCATGTTGAACTGTTGATTGGTGGACACGCAAGGCGGTGTATAGAGTGAGGGGGCTATTCTGTGAAAGCGGCTTAGCGTGCTCTCGGATGGCCGTTGCGTCAAAAAAAAAGTAGAGTCATCCATGCCGATGCTGACCTGATACTGGGGTGTTTTAAAGTCAATTTTTTTCTTCCTTAAAGAACGGACTTTGGCCCATTTACCTCTCTACAAATTCTAATATCTCCCCCCGCCCCACAATCCCAGTCAACGCTCAATCTCATTCATCATGGGCTCAGGATCGCCTCCGTCCTCCAAGCCGTCTGCTATCCCGTCCCACATGTTGAACGGTAGCTCTCCCTTGCAATCATCCTCAAGCTCCGGGTCTGGCAACCGAACGCGTGATGCCCGCGAGCGTGAGAGTCTCAATACCTCTATCCGCTCGTCTTTTGCTCCCCGAGTTCCTGCGGGGTTGGGTTTCGATGTTGAGGATGTTCAGCCTGCCCCACCTGATGATGCTACTCTCCGCGAGGAAGGGGCTTCCCACGGCGCTCTGGCCATCCGGTATGCTTTTCTTTCATTTTTCAATTCAAATCCACATTACGGATCTTCTAACAGTTACACAGTGGAAGACCGACTTTGAATGACCCTCCCCGTGATCCCCGGGACGAGGCCGGGCCATTGACCCCGCCGGCGACCGCATCCCGCCCCGCCAGCCCCTACACATTGAACCCCCCGATCGACTTTGATGGACTCAGTTGGCCTTGTAAGTTTTTCGAGTCACATTCTCTAGCTTAAACCCAAGTCCGCTAAATATACGTTGCTTCATAGGCCCTGGAACCCGGCAGCGATTGGAGTCTACCCCAGAAGAAAATGAAGAGCGTGTGAAGAAACTTGCAGGTGCCGTACGGACAATTTTGGAGTGTGTTGGAGAGGATCCTGAACGCGAGGGCCTTCGCGAGACCCCCGAGCGCTACGCTAAAGCTATGCTTTACTTTACTAAGGGATACGAGGAGAATGTGCGGGACCTGGTCAACGGGGCGGTCTTCCACGAAGATCATGACGAATTAGTCATTGTCAAGGACATTGATGTATTCTCCCTGTGTGAACACCACATGGTCCCCTTTACTGGAAAGGTACGATTACTTATCACTTGCAGATGTGCGTGGCGAATAGTAGTGCTGACGATGTGGGGCAGATGCATATCGGCTACATCCCGGATCGCCGTGTCCTTGGACTTTCGAAATTGGCCCGTCTGGCTGAGATGTTCTCCCGCAGACTCCAGGTTCAAGAGCGCTTGACTAAGCAAGTAGCCTTGGCTATTTCGGAGGTGCTGAAGCCTCGTGGTGTTGGTGTTGTCATGGAATCCTCCCACCTTTGCATGGTTATGCGTGGTGTGCAGAAGGTTGGCAGCACTACCACCACAAGCTGCATGTTAGGATGCATGCGGTCAAGTGCTAAAACCAGAGAGGAGTTCTTGACCCTCTTGAATCGACGATAAATCCCTCCTACTCTTTATTTGTTCTATATGCTTCCGGCTTGATCCAAGCTCGGAATCCTAGTTACGATCTTGGAGTTTTGGGTGTGACCTTTCAACAGGTTTATTTAATGCTGGTTTTTTCTTTTCATTTGAGCATGAGGCTCTAGCGGGGATTGGGTTCTGTTTTTCTTCCTCTTTTCCTCTTCTCCATGTTATCTTGGTTTTTGCATATACCACCGGTAGTATCACTGGATCCCATATCTCCAGGCTGCCTTTCAACACCTTGCCCACCTGGCACTCGTTTAGACCCATTCCGGGGTTTATGGTCATGATTGCTTTATGTTGCTGGGTTTTACGTTCCAGTTCAAGGATGAAAATCTCTCTTCGACTTCATGATGTTTCAACATTTTCAGCCCATCCAATGGGCTTCTGTGGTTTCTGTTCTATTGGGGGTTTACACTTTTGGAGACTCAAATCCTCTTGGCGGCGTCGGCCAGGCTGTTTCAACACTTGACGTTTTCATTGTACACAAAATTTTTGATAATCGGGCTGTATAGCCATGTTGTCTGTATTCATGGATATTATCCTTTTCATATATTGAATGCTATGTACGGCTAGATCCAATCTTCCACCACGCACATCAACTCTGGGTAGATCGTCCCCAACCTTGGAAGATTAAGCTGCTAAGATGGACTCACGGTAGAGACCCTTTGCTACTTCTGAGGTCATTTCTATGCGCCCCGTCTACGTGTACGGGTTTATCTCGCTGAAAATATTGAATTGCATGCGACCGTAGTTACTAACCTGTTACCCAATGCCTTAGCTAGTGAAAGAATTGACCCCAGACTGATACATAGGACTGAGGGGCAACCTCGGGAGACATATCCGCATTACCTTTCTGGGGTAACTCGTGGAAGAATGTATCTTCTTAGCGGGTTCGTTCTCTATAAAATAAATTTGTAGTTTGAGGTCAATTAGCTATGTTATGATCCGTGGAGGACAAAATTTGAGAAATGGGCTGGGGAGGGAAGAGGCAGGGACGGAAAGGACATTCACTGTTGTTTACCTCTAGGCTGTCAATAAGTGAATGACCTCCACCTGTAGTGAATGATATTCGCTTTCACCCAAAGGTTCAAAATTCACTGATTCTCCTCTTTATGAATTTTTGGTGCGTTCAATTTTTTCCTCTCGACATTCATGCTTCTATCCTTGCTCAATTGAAACCAAGCTGGGTGATCTTGTACCCTTTTCTGTGAGTGACGTTTATTTCCACATCAGCCTCTTCAAGAATCCACCACGAAGTCACTATAAGCAGACAGTCTTTCTTGGAATATTTGTGGTTGACCCATCGCTACATCGTTGTTGATACCATAGGGACAGCTGATTGTTCCTTCAACACTCCTGTGGAGGTAACTCAAGACCCCATCCACTTGTTGCTGTTTCTGCAGATATTTGAACCAGTATCGGATCAAAGGTCAGTCATTCATCAATCTCTAAGATCACTCACTGCCATATTTAAGGCTGAGACAACGAGCTGTTCAACGATTTCTACCCCATAAACCGTTTTGTGTAGATGAAACCTGCGGAGTGGCTGCAGACTTTTTACTATACTTTGAAAACCCCTGATACTAACGAGCCATATGATTCTCAGTTCACGATATCGATATGGATTTGTTCGACACAAATAATGAGAAAGTCGAGTCTACAGAGGCGGAGGCCACCAGGATTCCAACCTTTTCTACTCAGAGCCCCAGTGCTCAAGTTGTCAATGGACAGCATGTCAACACCTCAGCCTCAATTCTTCATGTTGACAGTTCCCAGACTCGTGCCACTCAGAACACATCAAATGTAGCCTCTGGTGTTCCTCCGACTGTGCATTTCAATGCTGCTTCTTCCAATTTCCTTGTTCAAACTGCCAGGACTTCTTGTGCTGGAATTTCTCAAGCTATAACCCCCCAAGCTAACACCACCACACTCGTTTCTGCGCAGGTTGATCCCTCATGTACCTCCAGCACCCCAAGTGCTCTGCCACTTGATAACTTCACGAAGGTAGTTGGTGTTCAGAGCGCCAATGATCATTATATCACGCCACCAGTCCCTAGGATTGATCCCAGTGGATCCCCTATGGATGGAATCTCCTATGATGATCACACTGCCAATATCCAGAGCCACACCTCTCAGACTGCTCCTTCAACCAACCCAGGCAATGTTAGCCCTGGCCTTGGTCAGACTTCCCACACAGTGGCCACTTCTCCATCAAACGTTAGCGCCGTTGGGTATCCCACAACTCTCTCAAACAGTGGAAACGCAAATGCAAATGCAAATGCAAATGCAAATGCAAATGCAAATGCAAATGCGAATGCGAATGCGAATATGCAGAACCTGCCCCCAGTCCAGATAAATACTGTCGCAGGCTCGCCCATCCCTGGCGCGCCTACCAATTTAAGGGCCAACAATCAGCGTGGTACTAGTCTTGCTGCCGCCAATCATCGCACGAGTACTCTGACTGCCGCCTACCGGACATATCACCAGGCATACTTGGCGAGCAATCAGTCGCGTGCTGCCGTCCAGGTGAATGCAAGCCATGGAGCCCAAGCCAACACCAGTCTCAATACCAATGTTCAACCTGTCCAGGGCCTGGGCCATGCTGTTAATCCTGGCCAAGCAACTAATGCCCGACGCCAGGCTGATGCCCTGCGAGCCTTGGTTGCCCAAGTCAATCAAGTTCGTACTACGAGCCCTCGCGTTCAAGATCCGCTTAATCATGCCCAGGGTCCTTTTCTCGACCGCAATGACCCGGTGAGTGTTGAGATCAGCCAACGCGTGACCAACTTACGAGCTATGACTGAGCACCATCATCAAGCCCATGCTGCCGTTGTAGATACTCAGAGTAGTCTAAGTCGCCAAACTTTTCAATCCACTCCTTCTATTCAGACTCAGTCCACACATCAACGTATTGACCCTCAAGCTGCAAATCAAGGCCCTGCAAGCTCGGATGGAACACTTCAGACAGGCCACAATGCCTTTGATGCCATGTTTCAAGTCATTGGAGATCAAGATATTCACCTCGCATCAGCTGGACTCGATAACCGTGGAAGTCTCATTCCACCGAGACCGATCCAGTTCTACTCTGAAAACGATAGTCTTCAGGCATACCTGATCCGACAGCAGCTCATTGCTGGTATACCTCCTGACGAAGTTGTTCCCATGAGCAGCTTTTCCACCCAGCAACGACTGTTGCATGGTGGTCCCATGAGGGCCTGTGATCCTGCCTTGATCAGAGTTCAGCGAAGTACTGGTGCAGTTACTATCCCCCGCATACCACGCGCACGTTTCAATGGTCGCATTGATCCCCTACCTTTCGACATGCAAAGCTTGGACCCAGCTCTTTCTCGAAACGCACAGACTACCCCATCTAATGGGTCTGTTCTCCAGCCTGACGAAAACAGCGATACCAACCAAGGTACTCTTGAATCCGCCGTGGAGTTTCTTCACCACGTCTTCCCAGATGATACCCAGCATACAACCGAAAATGACGTTGTCATGGATAACTTTGACGGCAATGCCGCTGAATAGCGAATACAGCAATTGTGCCAGCCCAGTAATGACTACATCGATAGAGATAAGACTGAGAAGAATGAAATGTATGGGCCATTGACGATGAATATGATGATCGACACAATGAGGTTCTGGTACAAATTCTAAGAGGACAAAAAGGATTTGTTATCGGGCAAAATGGAACGGCAAGGAAGTGACGGCAAAGATCCATGCAAGCGAAGAAATCGGTCAGATGGAGTTCAATAGTTTCCAACATGTATTCAACCACAAGAAAGGATTGATTGTGGATCATTAGCTGTTCGAACATTAAATTCTCCATATTTACATTCCCGCCTGGTTTGTTTAAAATACAGTACCTTGCTTTGTGTTCTATCTCTTTACCGATTCTTCTTGCTTCAGCAAATGATAATGATATTGGAAGACCAGAATTGGTACTTTGCCTCATGTGTACGTTTCAATGGTTTCATTACCACAGTACAATACAATATATGTAGGTCACGTGATTAAACACATGACCTTTTTATCGAAGTCCCTCCCGCAACCTCAGCCTGACGTGACATCAACAACACTTTCATGTTCCACTCGCCCCCATCGGCTTGCCGCGACTGCTCTCCTGAGTAAATCACCTCAAGATACCATCCCTGTGATCTGATGATCATCTGTTTAATTTCTACTATCTTCTCACTCCACCTGGTGCACTTGGAGCCTTAAGCCACACACGATGTCAAATCATCCCGCACGGTCCCAGATCAACGGAATCAACAACGCATTCAAACACCAGAAGCCTTGATTACATATAACCCTCCACCATATTAGGCCAACAGTCAGTTTTCCTATTCGTTCTACCTTATTTGAGAAAAGGGAGGTTAGGAAGGGGGTGACCGGGGACTGGCATGCTAGATGTTCTTACTTCACAAACCATCGGCGGACTGCTCATTCTGATGTCAAAAGTACTCAATTGACTTCGCTTGCTTGCAACTCTGGTGCGGAGTGCCCAGCGCTCCTCACCTTCGGCAACTTTCGCGCTCCCTATACATCCAGAGCGCTCTGCTAGTCTCTGTGAAACTCAACCCACTGATGCACACATAGCTGGTTTTCCCAGGAAATTTGGGGGAAGTTTTGGAATGTTTGGGAGCAATTTTTTTTTGGATGGGGACTGGGGGACGGGGCTCCCTTGTCAAATACATCCGATCTGGTTTAACCGGATGGGATCTGTTTTCGGATAGACATACCCTTTTGTCTATCTGCTGTAAACCATGACCGGCGCGACACTGCAGCGTATGGTGGATTCCTTGTCTTTTTATTTGATACCGGCGACATGTCATCCCAGTGGCTGGTCAGACCACCGCTCAAACATAACGACTCATAATGGGAGTGATCATGCCAGAGGTGAACTAGCCCGCAATTCCACGGGCACAATGCTACTGTCTTGAGTGAACTCTACAGCAACACCATGATCAAGAGCAAAAGGGCATATCTCACTATCGGTCGACTGAATTGACCTTGAACCAGCTTATTCAGCACTACTCGACTTGTGGCCAATGTGGCTTTATGCAGAACGTAGATAGAATGATCCACTTGGTTTTCAGTGTGATCCTGCCTCGAGGCGAATATGCGTTGCAGAAGTGAGAAACGCACGCCAAATCGAACCGAGCTTCGATTGAACTGATCACAGCCACGATTTGACACCCCTATCGGGAAACAACACAAGAAGGGAGTATCATTCTCGAGTTACGGATGTCAAAGAAAAAGGATCAAAAAAGAAGCAGAAAACACAGACTGGACTGGACCAGCCCGACTAATGCACGGTCTGTGCTCGTGATTACGGATCCAGTTGTAGAGCCGCACGGGTGGCCGCGCATACACTCAACCAGCATTCGACTCTTCGCATTGACTTGGGTCAATGCGGACAAGAACAAAGTAGACATATTGTGGGAGTTTGGTACAATATTCTTGCTGCATTCAGTTGGGGGATGCAATCTATATCACCTCGAGAGCCCCCGAGATATCCCCTTGCTCATCAACCTCACAGTGACCGGAAAAACCAATGATCCGGGATCTTTCCCCCCAAATCAGAACTTCCGCCTGAGCGACGCGGTCACGAACAAACCGGCTCCACTTGCGCTTTATTCGACTTCTTGCGGACATTGCCAACTTCCCCAACCCCGTTCGGTTCGCAACATTCATTCACAAGAGCCAAAGCCAGATGCTGCTGGCGACGGTTTCATGGCTGGGTCCCGTAGGAGTCCGGTGTTGAGAGACCAGTGGAGTGCCGACCCAGATCGCGACTCCCACTCTAGGGACACCCGTAGAGGTCGAGGGTCTCATCGAGATCGGGGTAGAAACCGCCATCGTGATCGAGGTCGTCCATCAAGGCCCAATGAACGCCACTTCGACTACCCTCCTCGCTCGCCACCTACATCTACACGCATGTCCCGCTTCGGCCCTGATTCGTCTTTCGGCCCAGGTGGTGAATCTACCTTGGATCGATCCCCAGCGCGTGGCTCCCCAGGCCCTTCTCCAAGATTTCAAGATACTCGACGACCGGACCAGGATCGACCTTCTTCATCTGGCGACTGGAACAACCACCTATCAGGAACAATGAACGGCGGAGGCCCAGGTTTCCGACGTGATGATTCCCCATCTGGGCCCCCATCCAAACGCAAAAGAACTCGCAGTCCTTCCCCTCGGGGCCAACATGGTCCATTCCCCCCCCGCCGCTCTTCATTTGCCAAATCTGGAGACCGGCGCGACCGCAGCCCCTCTTATAAGAACAGAGGAGGGCGATTTCCAGGGCGTGGTGGCCCTAGAAGAAGATCTCCTCGTCGGGGCCGGGGCGACCGCCGTGGAAAAGATCGCCGCCGCTCCGATATTCCACGGTTGGATCGGGACCGATCTAGGTCACCTGTGCGCGGCCGAGGATACCATCCATCACCAGACCGTCGCTCTCCGCCGCCGAGTGGCGACGGTCATAGCGACAGAGGTTCTCGCTACCTATCCCGCTCAGTATCTCGACATTCTGCTGGCTCAAGGAGATCTACACATCATCAACATGTACCAGGTGACGAGGTAATAAGTACAGTTTTACCAAGTAGGTCTGTCGGTGATGACTTTGGACGCTCTCCATCACCCCGACCAATCCCGAGCTTCGATGACAGCCAGCGTGGCGCTCCTCCAATGCATGAGATGCGGCAATCAGATGTGCCCAATAAACCACGCCGTCGGTCTCGGCCACATCTTGAGCCTCAGCAATATTCAACCTCGCCGCAGTTCACGTCAGCTAGTTCATATCATGGATCTCCCCCGCCAGTTTCTCCACACTCTGGAGGACGAGCTGGTTGGAACAATCAACCTTCTTATACCGCCCCTAGGTGAGTTGCGCCTCATTGTTCTATCACTTCTCCTCTGCCAAGCTCTTACTAATCTGCATTGGTCGTAAGTAGACCCTCTTCACCTTACCGAACAGATAATTACCACCCTCAAAATGCTCCCTCTGGACAGTCCCATCACATGCATCAATCATTCGATGGTCCACCAAACAACCATTCTCAGCCCTATGGTGGTTCGTCATATCGTGGAGGTCATTCTGGCTACCGCGGAAACCATGCAAACCAGGGCCCAGATCGCCGATTTTCTGGTCCTGGCTCTCACCAGTACAACAATGGGCCAGCTCACCGTGGCGGCAGAGGCAATTTCAATAACTTCCAATGGACCTCACGTGGTCGTGGTGGGCGTCAGAGCCCCCGGCCACTGCATTCTCATGCCCCCCAGACGCCTCCTCGCCCATCCTCGGTCAATGATCCTCAATCACCGCGCGCACCGGACAATGAGCACAACCATCGTTCCACAAGTAACAGAGATGTTCAAGGAGATGATTTCCGGGATCCACCGGTGCCAGAGAGTGGAGATGGTCCGGTGGACGGACGAAACATGCCACTACCAATTCGTGATCAAGAGGCTTCAACTCCGGCAGACAAGGGCGGAAAGTTCAGTTTCGCTTTCAAGGCGAAGACTACTCCTACTACGGCTCCGAAACCGGTGCCAGATCTGGCACAGCGAATGCAAGTCCGTGAGGCGCCGCCTCGTGCTCCTGCTGCCGATGCACCATCCCCTCGTAATCGCTTGACCAACGGACCTCTACCGAAATTCAAGCCAGAACCCCGGGCCGATCGCCGTGAACGGGATCGTGGACGAGATCGGGACCGCAGGAATACTCGCGACTCACGAGATTTCCGAGATCCAAGGGAGCATCGAGACGACCGCCGATTTGATCAGCGTCGGGACCGACGACGGGGCGACCGCCGCACTGATTTCCGACCAGATCGCCGCCGAGATGTGTCACCTGAGCCTCCAAGAGAGCCGCTCAAGCGAATGGTGACGCTGACTCGGTATAAGGAACGCCCAACCTTACCAGCGCACTACGCCACTGTTGACTCGGTGTACTACCGGAAGCCAGGCAACGAATCTGTGATCGGTGCAGGTACATACGGCAAAGTCTTCAAAGGAATCCATGTGTTTACCAAGCGTGAAGTTGCTTTGAAGAAGATTCGAATGGAAGGCGAAAAAGATGGGTTTCCCGTCACAGCTGTGCGAGAAATCAAGCTTCTTCAGCACCTTCGAAGTCACAATGTGGTCAGTCTTTTGGAAGTCATGGTTGAGAAGAACGAGTGCTTCATGGTCTTCGAATACCTTTCGCATGACTTGACTGGTCTCATCAATCACCCTGAATTCTCACTCAACCTAGCGCACAAGAAGGATTTGGCCAAGCAAATGTTTGCAGGGTTGAACTTTCTCCACCACCGCGGTGTCTTACATCGAGATATCAAGGCTGCCAACATCCTGATCAGTAATACCGGCTTGTTGAAGTTTGCCGACTTTGGCCTGGCCCGCTTCTTTTCGAAGAGCCACAAGATGGATTATACCAACCGCGTGATTACGATCTGGTACCGGCCACCCGAGCTTCTTCTGGGTGAGACACGGTACGGCCCTGCTGTTGATGTGTGGAGTGCTGCATGTGTTTGCATGGAGATGTTTACGAAGAAGGCCGTTTTCCCTGGCGACGGGGGTGAAATCAGCCAACTTGACAAGATCTACAACTGTTTAGGTACTCCAACTCGGGCTGAGTGGGCAGACTTCGTGGAAATGCCGTGGTTCCAAATGATGCGCCCACAGGAACGTAAGAAGCGGATGTTCGAAGACATGTATCGAGAGACATTGACTCCTGCCGCGATGGATTTGATCTCGTCTGTATTCCAGTACGACCCTGCCAAGCGGCCTACCGCCGAACAAGTATTGCAACACCCCTACTTCCTGACCGAGGAACCAGCTCCTCAGCAGGCCACTGAGTAAGTTTTACTTCATTCAAAAATCACGTCTAGTTTCCGCCCACTAACTTGTTCACAGGCTGGAGTTTATGGAAGGGGATTGGCACGAGTTCGAATCCAAGGCGCTTCGCAAGGAAGCTCGTCGCGTTGAGGCTCAAGCGCAAACCCAGAAAGATCGGGAGAAGCGCAAGGCAGAGGCCTCTAGTGATCGTGACTCCAAGAGAGCGCGGGCGGCATCTCCTGACGAAGCGGGACCCCCCAGATGATATTTTGCTTTTCTTATATTCGGCATCTGGCGTGTGGTTGGAGGGGGCTGACGCATTTACAGGGAATTCATTCGAAAAATACTATTTTGGGCTTGCTTTTGTTACTTATTGCCCACCTCAAAATTATTTCTAAAGAACGTCCTTGGGAGTCTTCTTTGTGTAAAAAACCATCGTGTTAACAGTAGACCAACGGCGGATTGGGGTGCTGCGGCGGTGCCAGTCTCTCGCCGTGAGAGCATTTGCCATAAACAAACTACGCGTATACATAAATAGACTTGGTACAAGTTAAGATGAGTGGATCCTTCTAGTGAATGCGCGTCAGTGTATGACCAGCAAAAACATCATGTTATCAACAGCGAAGGCCAGGATGATCAGACTTTGCCAAATAACCTCACGCCCAACCAGCCCCCGGCGAAGTCGCCTGGTAGAAATCAAGGGCGGTTGGGACTTCGGATTACCAGAGAGCTCAAGGAGTTTCTTCATTTAGATCGTGAAATTGGATTTCTATGGAAAACGTACCCTATAACTAATCAAAAGATCATGTCTCGTCAATCAGGTCATCAACAAATCCTGGGATGCTCCGAAGAGCCCTCGTGATGATGGTTTTAGATGCGACATTTTACTCTTGACTCACTCATCGGAAATGACCGGGCAGTAGAGAATGAAGCTTCCGGGCATTGATTTGAGTTGGTGGTCTTGCGTAAAGAAAAGAAAAAGAAGAGGAAAGCGAAGAAAAAAGTTTCTGTTAAAAAGGTGCTTCGGGAAAATAGACGGTGCGGGCGGCAGCCGAAATCAAATCTGATTGGTTATGATGGAGCTTCTGCGTTCGAGTCTCCAACTCCATTTCCATTTGCAATTCCAATTCCAACCCTCATATCCCGCTCTATCTCTGATTCTTGCCCGAAACCCTCCCACCCAACACTTCTCCGACGATCTCCCGCTTTTCAACTTCTTTGTCTTTTCGTCAAATCCCCTGCGCTTTCAGATACCCTCCGCCCGCCACCTCCGTCCGCATCCTCCGCCGCCATCCCACCCACTTTGCGTTTTTTCACGCTCAATTTAGGACCCTGTAACTGTCTACGTCACTGATCGGACTTGTGAGAGCTGTATCTTGTGGTGCCCTGTCGTCTTCTCCGAGCTCTTTTATTTCCCCGGATGACCGCTCGTGTCTCGGGCAGTCACACCCGCCGCGATGGATAATGCCAATCTGTGGACTCGTCGAGCAAAGTAAGCGGGACAATACGTCTTTTCACTCTCGCTCAAGAACCGCCATAGAACTAACCTGCTTTCTTCCTTCCTCTATCAGCTCCTCCAAACTGTCTTTGTCCATGTCCGGAACCGACGGCAAGGACGGTGCCCGCGTCGACATGCCCCGCTCATCCATCAAACGATTCGGCCCCGACAGCTCCCACGGCCGTTCCAATCCTTTTAACGCAGTATCCCCGATGTCTACTGGGGTCTCTTCTCCCTCAATCAATGCCTCATCCGCCTTCGGCCTCGGCTCGGGTGCATTCGCCTCGTTCGGCACCCCCAAGTCAGAAGTGAAGACTCCTGGTGAGAAGCGCGATCCTTCCGCAGAGCAGGAGGATGCCATCCGAGCCAAAGAAATGGATCAGGCTTCCATGTCTGGGCCCGGGGAGCACCCGCTCAAGTCGACTTGGATTGTCTGGTACCGCCCGCCTACACCCAAGTACTCGGACTATGAGAAGTCGACGGTGCCGCTGGCGTCGATATCGTCGGTAGAGAGTTTCTGGGCCGTATACTCGCATCTGAAGCGGCCGTCGCTGCTGCCGACTGTGTCGGACTACCACATCTTCAAGAAGGGCATTCGGCCCGTCTGGGAGGATGAGGCGAATAAGCGCGGCGGCAAGTGGATCGTGCGATTGAAGAAAGGTGTGGCGGACCGGTACTGGGAGGATCTATTGCTGGCGATGGTGGGCGACCAGTTTGCCGAGGCTGGGGATGAAGTCTGCGGTGCCGTGCTGAGCGTGCGGGGTGGCGAGGATGTGCTGAGCGTATGGACGCGGATTGATGGGGGGCGGAACATCAAGATCAGGTATGGGTTGAAACGCTTTCTATTAGCCGTCATGCAGCAGACTAATTTCTTTGACAGAGAAACGATCAAGCGTCTGCTCGCCTTCCCGCTCGACACCAACATCATTTGGAAGAGTCACGATGATAGCATTGCCCAGCGCTCTGCCATTGATCAAGCTCGTCACGAGAAAGCCACTTCGTCTGCCAATCCCGGAACTCACCTGGGCTCTGAGCGGCGGCGTGCCGGCCATGATGATTCAGAGAAGGCCTCATAATTGCCCCTCTGGATTGTGGCCTTGAGCCCTGTATAGTACAGCCGACCAAAAACCAAAAACACTTTTTTATGCACTTACTCATTGGGACGCGTTTGGGTCTGGGGGACGGCGGGGCATCGAGGCGAACTCAGCGGTTTGATTTGAATTCTATGTCTTTGAGTGAAACTCATTTATGTCTAGTTTGTGTCCCTTTTTTTCTTTTTCTTTTTCTTCTATCTGCCTTCGATCATGCGTGATGTTTATTTTTCTTCTCCCTGATGCGAAAAGTGCAGCTGTAATCTGCAGATGGCGTGGTCAGGTCCGTTCTATAAGTCTATCTAACTGTAGGTAGTATGTTCATTTAGTTGTGGCTCCAAAGTTCAGTTATGTATTGGAGTGTCTGACTCGAGCTATATGAATATACCAAGGTATATTTTCTATTTCTATTTCAGTCCAATGACCACCAATGTCACGGCGTTTAGCTACTGAGTGAACGACGTAACGTATTCGGTAAGCGGCTTTGGCGCCCATGTACACCCCATAGTTCTGCCTGACAAACCTGGCGTATGACCCTGACCGCCCGGCGATAGGCGATAACCACAAGCAAGAATCTTTATCCAAAGAGGAAAAAGTGACCGGAAAGAAAGGACAAAAAGCTAGAAGGATCACTGAGGATGGGACCGCTGCCGTGCTCGGTCCTGCCATAGGCTGCTGCTTATTCGTATGCCTTTCTTCGGGAGCCTCTCCGAGTTCATCGCCAGCTTGTCACCGCGTCGCCAGCAGCCCGCCGATCGCCAATCGCAGCACCAACAGCCCTCACACCGCAGCAATCCACTCTCCACGCGCCGTTCACCCTCCCCGACTCCAGCTGGGCCTCGGCGCCGCATAAATTTTGACCGGCATCAGCTCCCTCTTACCTCGGATCTTGAGAGAAATCATCACAGCCCGCGCCATATTCGCTTCTCGCCGCACTCGGCCCGGGACCAAGATATTGGTGTTAATGATCAGGTGTGTGGCTTTCAGCTTTATGATGCGCTTCCCCGCTTGCATTTGTTTGCTTGGGGGTTTACTGGTCACGTTCCGCCGAATCTATCAGGACTTAGCATCTAAGATCTCTGAATCTCTCCGTCCAACACACTCCCTTTTTGCTTTTTATCCCAGTCCTGTTACTTTTTAGCTCCTCTTAAAATACCATGGGACTTATTGCTCTTAACAGACAACTCAGAGTTATGCCAGAACTTTTTCTACAACAGACGGACCTGCAGCCACTCGTGGACAATTGCGGTCTTCACCTCTCCAGTCTATCATAGACTCCACCGCCCCGTAATTATGCGCCTCTCCCCAGCAGCTGGCATGTGCTGATATCTATCCCATACAGGTTGGGTGACGCACCGCAGATGTCAAATCAGGATTCAAAACGAAATGGAGCCCAGGAGGAGGATCGAAGGGCCGAGGCTCGCTTGTTGGGTTCGGGCTCGAGAGTCAAGTATGTCTCTCAGACGGAATTTTCTCAGTCACTCATCTATTTTGGAGGAATCTTTTTGCGGATCTTGCGCTGATCAAATCACACTACTCATAGGGATAAAAATGCCGTGAAGATTAAACCCGGTGCTTCGATGCTGAACCGGAATAAAAACCCCGGCGTAGGTACAACCTTTGGCTTTTGAGATAGTATTCGCTGATCATGTGGAATGTCAGTCAAATGTGGCATTTCGAGCGTACGACGGAATATCTAGCAATTCACGCGAGAGTGGACCAGTACGTGCACGGGGCAAGGCAAACAAGCCTGTCCCTAATAGGGACTTACCAGTTTTGGAAGATGCGTTTGAACCGTCCAATCGACCAAACAAGAGGCGACGTCAAGATGGGGTTAGTGAATTTCTCGACAAGGGAGTGAATGATCCCCTCTCTCCACCAACACATTCACTTTCTCGACTCTCACCCGAATCAAGCCAATTTTCCACAAAATCAAAGAACCATGCGCTCCCTTTTCGGCAGGGTGAATATCGTGAAGTGGAGAACAGTGTTCGGGTCTCTCATAAGAGCCCCCGTGCTCGTCGACAACAAAACCGCCAGACTTCGACCTCTACACAATCTCCCGACGAAAGGTTTACTGCTCAAGCAACTGAACAACGACGCTCCAAAGCAGGCAATATGGAGTCTCCCAATGCGAAATCAGGAACCAAAGGGCTGGCCCCGTCTGTTCTTGATGCCGTTGAGATACCAATTTTGAAGGAAAAGACTGCTGCTCCAACAAAGCCCACACAGTCTGTTTCGGTCAACAGGAATGGACTGAAACGACGATCCGATTCTGAAAGCTCAGACGAACTCCAGGGTGAAGTTACAACCCAGCCTATCCCAACGAATATTGATGAGAGACAAACTCAAGCTCGACTCGCAACCAAAGAACATTCTGTATCTCCGGACCGAAGTTCACCCACAGACATTGTGCCTACCAACTTTACAGGATCAAAGAAGAAGGCCAAACGAAAGCACAACAACTCAGATGCAACCCGACTTCGACTTAATATCATACATCTGCAATGTGGCTGTGACGGCACAAAAAGCTATGTCAATGACAGCAAGACCACCATTTATATCAATCACGATCATCAGAAAATCGAAATTGAAGATGACATCCTCGGCACGGGGGCGCCGGTTTCAATTGAATTCCGCAAAGTGGTCAGAATCATACACGGAAAGGATCCAAGTCCCAAATTGTGTCTATTCTTGTCGAAAGGTGCCTCACCACTGGGTGAAAATGTCGACATGGAGTTTTCAAATTGTCAAATGAAAAACCAGTTTATTAGCTCTTTGAATCTCAAGCCGATCGTGACTCTTGAGAAGAAGCCGTATGTATTACTACAATCTTTCTTTGGTCTGAAGGCGACTAACTGGCGAAGCAGGGATTTCATGGACAAAGTTTTTGCAAATCATAATGGTAACTTTGACAGGGCTTTTCAAAACCACAAGCTTGAAGCTCAAAAACATCATCATCCCAAAAGACCTCTGCCGGATCTCGACTCGATTTCAGCACCTCCTGCAAGATCATCTACACGTCAGAAGGTTTCGTCCAGCCTGCAGGGCTCGGTCGATGAGCCCGGCAGCAAGCGAATGAAACATGATTTTTCTTCCATTGCAAAAACAGGGGATGGTACCACGGAAACGCGAGCTCATGAAAGTGGCGGGAAGCCTGACCCGAACGCTGGCGTTGAGATTCCTGTCAAAAAGTCTTATGGGACCCAAGCTCCATCTGAGCGAGAAACACGATCAACACGACGGACATTCACCGATGCCAGTGTCGACAGTCACCATAGCCAATTCACCAAAAAACTTCTACAGGCAGAAGACGAAAATCGAGAGAAATGGAAGAAGCCAATGGTCTATCCTCGAATTGGGAAGAAGCGTGCAGAGGTCAGCGTTGAGGATCGAGACCGCCTGCGTGAGGATGAATTCTTGAACGATAATCTTATCGGTTTCTATCTGCGCTTCCTGGAGGATCACCTTCAACGCACAAACAAGGATGTCGCGGAACGAACTTACTTCTTCAATTCTTACTTTTTCGCAACACTCAAAAAAGGTCGTGGAATCGATTACAGTGCCGTTGAGAAATGGACTCGCAACATCGATCTCTTCAGCTATGACTATATTGTCGTCCCCATCAACCAAGATGTGCATTGGTACGTTGCGATCATTTGCAATTTGCCGAGTCTGGATCTTGCTTCTGCTGGCCCTGTGGACCAGTCCTCTGCTCTTGTGAGCGACAAAGAAGTCTCGACTCAGCCTGAAAGTGAGGTGCATGAAATCCCAGAGTCTCCAGAGCCTGAGCCGGTTTCGGCTGCAACGAATACCACTACAGACGCACAAGAAGCATGTAAGTCTATGACTTCTGCAACAATTGTGGAAGAGGAAAATTCAGCAGCCACTGAAGAGGTGGATACCTCAACACCAGGATCCAAAGAAAAGATGCAAGACAATTCTTCGCCTGGTTCTTGGCCTGACGGCGCAGAGAACATAGCTTCGCCGCCCCCAAAAATCCCCGGTATGCGTTGGGATCGAACAGATCCCACTACTGCTGCCAGCCAGTTTAGTCCCAAGACCAACAAGAAAGGAAAACCTGGTCTTGAATTGCAGCCAAGTCCCCCAATCATCATCACCTTCGACTCCCTTGATATGTCTCGTTCACCAACCATCAAACATTTACGTGACTACATTTGTTTGGAAGCTGCATCGAAGCGTGGCGTCGAAGTCGACCCCAAGGAAATCAAGGGCATGCGCGCTCGACAAATCCCACTTCAGCCGAATTTCTCCGACTGTGGGCTTTATTTGCTTGCATACATCGAGAAGTTCGTGCAGGACCCTGACAACTTTATCACGAGAGTGCTGCAGCGTGATATGGATGCGCAGGCTGACTGGCCTCCCCTCGGATCTGGTATGCTCCGAATCCGGCTTCGCAAGTTCTTGGATGACATGTATGAAGAACAGAAGAAACAGGACAGCCGCTCGGTCATGGCTGATCAGCGACGTGTCTCGTTTTTGCTGGGACAGGAAGATGATGAGGAGGACAAAGAAGAAGAGCGACAGCCAACGAGCCCTGATCGGCCTGAGAATTCTAAAATGATCCAGGAGAACCATTAGCATTTGCCAGCATTAGCCCTTGTTACCCTAAGCATTTATAAAATGAAACATTTATTATTCAACATGGCATCCCCAGGTCTAGAGCTAGTATTTGCGTTTGTTCAAGCCTGCCCCTGGGAGTCTCCAACCATAGTTCTAGGGCGCTGTAGGTCTACACAATGCACTCCGTGTTCCTAGCAATTCTATTCTCATCACGTTCTACGAAATACAGATATCTCCAAAGCAAAGTCAACCTACCACTGATCATCATCATCAAACCACCAAGCCATCTTATCCCTCTTGAATGTCTCAAAATCCCACTCCGCACCCTCCAGTCTCTCCGCACCATCAGTCCACACATAAGTCACAGCTTCTACCTCCTCGTTCTCATCCGCAAACTCCGCCCCAGCGGCCTCAAGAACATCGCGAAGATTCCTACCAGAGCCTGGATTACTGTGTTCATACTCCTGTTCTTGATGCAGCGCCTCCTTCAATGTCCGCACCTTAACCTTCTCGTGGGCATACTCGCTTCCTTCATAGATATCTAGACGGTGAACGTCTCCGTCTGTCAAGCCAGAGACAAGGGTTCCAAGGACAGATGTTCGAGCCAAATTGCTGTCCTCAATTCCATTTGTTGGCTCTTTTTCTGGTTGTTCTGTAGATTGTGAAGAATCGGATGCTCGAATGATGCCCGGGTAGTCTGCGCCCCGCACTCGATGGCGCCGGTAGCCGTGCAGCACGGCGGGCTGAAAGGTCAGAAGCGCTTTTTGCCAGTGCTCTGGATCTGCACGGCCATGTATTACACGGTGCAGTATCTGAGGAGCCATCAGGGTCCCTGCTGGTTGTTAGTTCATGATTCGTTGTAATTGCCTATTGGGGGATATGGAGCTATGGGGGCCGGGTTCTTACCGTAGAAGAATAGGACATGGTCGCCCATTGCTGTGGTTATAGATCCCACTCCAGCAATGATGGCAGATTATATGAGAGCTCCCAAGGAATCCTTCTTGATCGGCAAGATAAGTTGCGAAAGATAAAATAACAAAATCTCCGTTCAGGGACTCGAGTCATACTTGGGGAGCTTATCGGTTATCGCGATAAGCCCCAAACACGCCCAGCTGGCTTCATCCGCGCCCCGGTTTTCCTACTTGCACGACCCTGTCGCAACGATGCATTCCTCTCTCAACCGCGCGCAGGCCGTCTTCGGCTTCTTTACCACCGTCGCTTGTGTGGTTGCTGCCGTAGCTGCGCTTTCGACACTCTTATTCCCCACGACCGCTACGACGACGTCCGTGGACCTGAAGAATGTCCAGGTGTAAGTTATTTACTCTACCCCAGAGACCCATATCAGGAGGACATAAAGACCATCAAAAGGCGATTGCTTCTCAAGCTCACACATGGAGTTGTGACTCCATTCCATGATCATCTCCAGCTAATCACGTACCCAAATCCAGTGTCAAGGGCCGCCCACACTACTACTCCACCAAACGCTCCGAATATGCCCAGATCCGCTTCGACCTCGATGCGGACCTAACTCCCCTCTTCAACTGGAACACCAAGCAAGTCTTCGTCTACGTCTACGCGACCTACTCCTCATCCAACGACCCCAACACTCTCCTCCGAGACTCCGAGGCTGTCATCTGGGATGCTATCATTCCTGCTCAAACCTCCCCATACACCTGGGATAAGCTCAAGGAGAAGGCGCTAGATGCCCTCCCCACTTCGATTGTGGCGAAGATCTCGCCCGACTCCGTGAAGAAGAGCAAGCGCAGCAGCTCGAAGGCAGCGGCTAGCAAGAAGGCCAAGGCGAACGCGAAGGAGGAGCCTGCACCGGGCGTTCTGAGACTTAGAGGGCAGAAGGCCAAATATCAGATTAATGATATTACGGGCTTGTTGGCTGAGCGCCAGAATGTTACTTTGTCTGTTGGTTGGAATGTGCAGCCGTGGGTTGGAGCCTTATGGTGGAGCCCTGGATCTGGGGCTTTCCCTCGGACGGAGGGGACGGTCGTGAAGAGTGAGGTGTTTGATTTCCCGGCCTTGAAGGGAAAGAAGGTTGAGGGTCAAGCTGAGACTGTTTAATGATTTGAAGCAATGGGCATTTTATTGGGCAATATTTAGATATTCGTCTTTCATATTTCTTTGGGTTCCTATGCTATCAAAAGAACAAAATATCTACCCTTGTGAGAACAGGAATGATTAAATGGCAGTCAATAATTCAGTGCATTAAGTATAAGTAAGCTCAATTCGCTATTAGGGTACTCGATACGCTCAAAGGATATCCGGCATTGGGGATTGGATTCCCAATGCCAGAGCAAAGAAGAAGACCACACCATTACTCATAATGGAATCGCTCGTAACAGATAATAATGAGGTGCATCAAGGAGTTTCAAATCCTTAGATCGTACCATAGTTCCGGTTCGAGTGACCACCGTTCTGGACGCGATCCGAATAGATACCGGGCGCTGGCCGTTGAGTTGCGCGGGTCATGGGATCTTGCTTGCGACGATGATAATAGACGTATTCTAAGTAGAAGGCGTGGATATGACCAGGGAAGTATCTATGTCACGAATTAGAAGGTGCGTCCAGGATGGAGGGGCCCTCGTTACAACGGGCTGTAAGCGCGGGATCTGTTACTCACCCCAGAATAGTAAGGAGTACGTTAATCCAAAAGTCAACACCACAGCCTGCAGTGAGAAAGACACCGAGAGGAGGAACTGTTGTTCGTTAGCATTCAAATCTTAAAGCGCTGTTGACCTCCATAGAGTTTGTAGAGTAAGCTCTCCGCAATATACTACCTGCGGTAGCTATAGCGCGGAGCTTCCAAAAAGTCACTCGGAGCAACTCCCACTTACTGAAAATAGTGATAACAATCAGACAGATCATTGAACAGGCGCCTGCCATGATGAAAGTGTGTGGATGTCTGGTGTTTACTGTTCTTCGGGTTCGGATCGGCCTGAGCGTTTGAAGTCGGCAGTTGCTAGGAAGCTGAGTAGGATAATGGTGAAGAGGAGGACAAAGATATATATAGGAGTATTGTCATCCCTGGGCAAATTGAGGCGTTTCATGATCGGCAGTTAAGACGTCAGAGGGGGGTCAGATTTGCAACCTTGTTTTAGTAGAGCATGGCGGCTTGGTCCACACAAGGTCAATAGGGCTGATAGCTTGGATGACGTCATCCGCTTACTTCGTGCCTGGTGTACACACGTACACCGGAGATACAAAGTGGGTTGTCGCTTCGATGCCAATTTACCACGGTGGATAACAGGCAGCCGAGGTATACCTAGGTAGTCCCTAACATACCTCACGCGAGCATTTGAGTGGACTAAGTATAGCCGTACGTTGTACACCCAGAGAACAGAACAAGGCACATAGTACACGCGTATTGGAATAGATGATAAAAAACAGGGTTCATCCCCTCACACAGCATCTATGGCTGCACGTGTCGTCACTTGCTCGTTTTTGTTTCCTAGCTTCGAGATCTGCAGGAAAGCATCCACCCCGTAGCCTTCCAAACTATGCAATTCCAGACTGCCCGCCCAGTATTCAGCGTAGACCCGACTCATCGGCAGGCCCATACCTAATCGTAGGTTTGGCGGTCGTGAGGTCAGAGAATCCAGGGAACCCTCATGATAACCTACTGGTTCTGTCTTGCGCCCACCCACTTTTAACTCCTGCATTGTGGCAGCCATCGCAGGGACCCGCCCCAGGTTCTCTAGCCGCGTCTGTGTCCGGGGTCCCTTGCTGAAAGACCACAGATAGGGTAGGATCTCACGTGGGATACCACCGCCCTGATCCGAAATGCGCATGATGACGTGTTGAGGGGTTTCGCATATAAGTACCTGGATTGGTGGCGGCGGTGCTGAAGAATCGTGGTACTTCTCGATCACAGCCTGCACCGAGTTGCGCAGCAACTCACCAACAATGTATTCCAAGTGGCTCAAGATGTATGGGAACGTGGCGTTCAAATGACCCTGGACATTAATGGTAGGGATCTGAGGGGATTGAGTGGTTTGTCGCATCAGGTCTTGTGCCACCTTCCCGCAACGCTCAATTACCTCTTTTGCGTTGCATTTCAAAAAAGACTTCGCCTACGAAGTCTGCGTTCATATCTGTGCGTTCGTGCGAGTCGGGGAAATGCCATGGGGAATTAAAGGTGTCTGTCAATGCTAGGTGTTGCTCTGCAATAACGCGACGAGATATCCTCTAGATCCAGAGCACAGGACGTCAGTATTGATGTCACCGGCCAACCAACTCAAGATCGGGGTTTGTTTGCATACCGCTCGCAGCAGGGTGTTCATAAATCGATCCATCTCATCAGGTGGAAATAGCTCGCGACATTCCAGGACCCCGGTGGCCAAGTTGGGGATGACCACCAGGTGCTCCTTTAGCATCTCTTTAAGCACATCGCAGAACCGATCATTATCATCCAAGCTGCAAATCTCAGGAATCACTCGAAATCGTTCAAAGGCCTTGTAGTACAACTCGTAAACGAGGGATAGGTGGGGGTTGGAGACTACCACGTATGGCAGCTGCTGAATATCTCGCAGTCGGTGTGCCAGACTGCCCAGGGAACGTAGTTAGCTCTATGCAAGCTATCCCGAGCTTAGGGTTGAATTGGCCCAAACATACCGGGTGGGTAGCTCAGTCCGCACATAATTTGCCGAACTGATCAGCCGTGGCTCGGTTAATGTACGACCAAAGAAGGTCAACTGGCGAAGACTAATGGGGCGGATAGGGCGCTCCACCCATCTAGATATCACAACAGTTCCAGTCAGTTTCGGGGTGGATCATGCAAGAACTTTCCAAGTGCGGAGTCACATACTCATCCACTGCGGAGGCGGGTCGCCATGGTGGCGGTTGGGATGAAGAATAAAAGCGTGGTTTGGGAGCACAACGAAGAGCCTGCCAGCCTCTTGAACGTAACTGCATTGTGCTCCATGCAGTCGAAACAGTTTATTCGAAGCCTGAATCAGACCTTCGGAGCTCTTGGTGCCTTTGCATGTGCTCGGGCGGTGAGCCATACGATCCAGATGTGATTTTCACCGCCTTGGTTGTCTATGGGAAGTAGTTTACTCTTCTTCTTCTTCTTCTTTCTATCTTTTCCTTCCTTAATTGATTATCTCGAGATCATGAGAAATAACTTGCAATTTCTTGGCGTGAGTGTTTGTTCACTATGCTGAGCTTCGTGTTTAATGCTGCTCTAGCCGATCTATCCCATCATATGCTGAAGAACAAAACCAATTAGCCAGGCAGGATCACCAGATGGCGGGGAATGACGCTACAGTGAAGAAAGGGCTTCGAGACGATAGAATATAATGGAATAGAAGCATCATCCCATCTATCACACCATACGATGTATAGACGGCCTACCTAAGTAAAAATGTATCATTTTCACTGTATAGCTGCCTCGGTAGTGTGTATTAGGGCCAGGAAACCCAAAGCAAGATAATGCAATTACTGTTCCTTGGAAGAAAGAAACATCAAATCATAAATCAAAGACAATAATTCTTCCTTCGATCTTTCTCAATCTTGTTGATTCTCCTCTCTTTCACCTTTTTCTTTTTCTCCATCACCTGCTTCTCTCAGCTTGTTCCTGTAAATCACTGCCGAGCCTTCGAGGGCTCCGCCACCGCTAGCTCTCTCCAATCTGCTGCTTCAGCAAGAAATTCCTCCCGACAACCTCCTCCCCAGAGTCCGCACTTCTCACCCTCTTTCCTTTCCCCCCACCTCTTTCTCCAGTCAACTTCCTCTCCATTCCGACAAGTGCCTTCCGGCTGGACGGGAGGGCGCTTTCGCCATGGAAAACGTGAGTTCCCGACCGTGCCCCTCGCGTGTGTCGTCATTGCAGATCTAACCGTTAGGCCCCAGCTTGCGGAGAACGACATGCTTGTCGACGACTATGAACAATACCCCAATGAGAAGACTGATGTTGTCGTCGTCTCTCGCTCAGGCTCCGATGAGCCTGAGCCTGCGCCTTCTGCTGCTGACCGTAGGTTTCTTTGCTTTGTTTCCCCCTCTGCCGCCGCGGAACCCGATCATAACAAGCATGGCCCGGCCGACCAGGTGGAACGGGTTCACACGGATGCGACCGATCAGAGTTCCAACGGCCTGGGGCTGCAACATAGAAGATCCGGCTTTTCGGCGTTTTGTTACATCCGGGAAAAGTTAACAACTGACCGAGGCATATTTAAATCTTTTAGATGCGGCCATGATGGCACGAGTCCTACCTAAACCCGCTGACCTCGAGGCCGAAGACGAGATTCATCACACATGGCACATCAAGGATTGGAGGAAGTCGGAACGCAAGCTGCACGGGCCGGTCTTTAACTGCGGCGGGTCTCCTTGGTGGGTGATATCATGGAAAGAAATCCTATAAATGCAAGCATTGACTTTGAACTAGGCGAATTCTCTTTTTCCCGTACGGAAACCACTCCGAACATGCCTCGTTCTACCTCGAGCATGCCTGGGAAGGAGAACCACCCAAGGACTGGTATGCCTGTGTGCAGTTCGCACTGGTCTTGTCAAACGTGAAGGATCCCTCGATCTATGTCTCTCATGGTGAATATATCTTGAAAATACGGACCGAAATATCAAGCTAATGTGAATACAGTTGCAACCCACCGCTTCACTGCCGACGAGGGAGATTGGGGATTCACCCGATTTTACGATATCCGAACCCTTTTCAATGAGGCATGGGAAGGCAAAGGCGTGCCACTGGTGCAGGATGATGAGGCCAACATCACAGCATATGTTCGCGTTGTTAAGGATCCCACCGGTGTTCTCTGGCATAGCTTCCAGAAGTAAGCACTGCAGCTTCCCAAATGCGCATTGTGGATCAATGGCTAACTTTTCTCAGTTACGATTCCAAGAAAGAGACTGATATGGTGGGACTCCGGAACCAGGGTGCTACCTGCTATTTGAACTCGCTTTTGCAATCGTTGTACTTTACCAATGCTTTCCGCAAGGTATGGGATGGATTATTCGCTATTCCCCGTCAATTTCTTGACCGATTATTAACATTCACAGGCTGTGTACCAAATCCCCACTGAAGAGGAATCTACTCGCGAAAACAGTGCATGGACCCTCCAAAGACTTTTTTACAACTTGCAAACCAATGAATCCGCGGTCTCCACAACGGAACTGACTGTGTCTTTCGGTTGGGACTCCAGACAGGCATTTGAGCAGCAGGATGTCCAGGAGCTTTCACGAAAGCTTATGGAGCGATTGGAGGAGAAGATGAAGGGTACAGTCGCGGAGAAGGCCTTGCCTGACCTGTTTGTGGGTAAGACGAAGACCTATATATCGTGCATCAACGTCGATTATGAATCTTCTCGTGTGGAGGATTTCTGGGATATTCAATTGAATGTTCGAGGTAATAAGACGTTGGATGACAGTTTCCGTGACTACATTCAGGTTGAAACACTCGAGGGCGAGAACAAGTATGACGCAGGCTCTCCGTATGGCTTGCAAGATGCAAAGAAGGGTGTGATCTTTGAAAGCTTCCCACCGGTCTTGCACCTCCATCTTAAGCGATTTGAATACGACCTCAATCTTCTTACTATGATGAAAGTGAACGACCGACACGTCTTCCCCTTGGAATTCGATGCTGCTCCCTATCTCTCCGAAAATGCCGACAAGTCCGAGCCTTGGACCTATGAGCTGCATGGAGTCCTAGTGCATAGTGGCGGCTTGGACGCCGGTCACTACTACGCGTTCTTGAAGCCCACTAAGGATGGACACTGGTACCGCTTTGACGACGACCGAGTGAACCGTGTTACTGAGAAGGAAGTTCTGGAGGAAAACTATGGTGGGGAGTATGAACTGGCCAATGGAGCCGCTGGCGTTCGTCAGCCATACACCCGAACACTCTCAACCAAGCGATCTATGAACGCTTACATGCTGGTTTACATCCGAAAGACTCGCGTGGACGATGTTCTGCTTCCAATCACCAAAGAAGATGTCCCATCCCATATTGGTAAGCCTCTCTTACAGTAACCCAAATCTTCAAATTTACAGATTCTTCTTGAGAAACATACTGACCACGCCACAGAGTCACGCTTGGCTGAAGACCGTGCAGAGGCTCTTCGTCGCAAGAAGGAGAGAGAAGAGGCCCACTTGTATATGAACATTGGCGTCCTGACCGAGAAGTCCTTCCAGTCCCACCACGGATTCGATTTGTTCAGTCCCGATCTTCCCGCTGAAGACCCGGCGCAACCCACCCAGTACCGTGTTCTCCGGGCGAAGAAAGTGGGTGAATTTGCGAAGGAAATGGCAGAGGAACAGGGTCTCAATGTCGATGCTATCCGCTTCTGGGTGATTGTCAACCGGCAGAACAAGACTGCTCGGCCTGACCAAGTCATTACTGACTCGGACATGACCGTTGAAGAGGCCTATTCGAAATACGGTACTAAGGGTAACACTTTTCGACTGTGGATGGAGGTTTCTTCCGACGGCCAGTCTTTCCCTGACAGCAACGACTCGGCTTTGATCTTCTTGAAGAACTTCGATGCAGTCACTCAAACGCTGAGCGGCGTTGGACCTGTTTATGTTTCAAAGAGTCAGAAAGTTGGTGACCTTGGGCCTATCATTCTCAAGAAGATGAACTGGCCCGTGGGTACCGAGTTCATGCTCTTCGAAGAGATCAAGCACAATATGATCGATGTGATGAAGCCTAAGCAGACGTTCCAGCAATCTGAGATCCAGGACGGTGATATCATTACGTTCCAGCGGACAGTAAAGGAGTCGGAGCTCCCGGCATCGGCCCTCTACACCGACGCCAGACAGTTCTACGATTATCTTTTGAACCGTATGGATGTCACCTTTGCTCCTATCACGGCCTCCGAGACTGAAGAATTCACCTTGACTCTCAGCCGGAAGATGACTTACGACCAATTTTCGAAGAAGGTGGGTGAACATTTGAACGTGGACCCAACTCATTTGCGGTTTGCGCCAGTAATGGCGAGCACTGGCAAAGCCAAGGCTTTCCTCAAGCGATCCATCACTTCAACCTTGGCTCAAATTCTCAATGGCCAATATGGTACATATGGTTACACCATGCACCGGTCGGATGCCCTATACTACGAGGTCCTGGACATGAGTCTCAGCGACTATGAAAGTAAGAAGTGCTTCAAGGTGACAATGCTTACCGAAGGAATCACCAAGGAAGAGACCGTTGAGATCCTGGTGGCCCGCAATGGAACCGTCTCTGAGCTTCTCTCGGCTCTGCAGCAAAAGACCAAGCTTGATGACGAAGCTTTCCAGAATATGAGGCTCTTTGAGGCCCACGGTGGAAAGTTTTACAAGGAGCTTCGCGAGGACTTCAATGTGGCATCGATCAATGAATACTCCACACTGTACGCAGAGCGGGTTCCTGCCGAGGAGCTAATTATGGAAAGCGACGACCGGATTATCAATGCCTACAACTTTGACCGAGAGCCTAATCGCCCTCATGGAGTCCCCTTCAGATTTGTCGTCAAGCCTGTGAGATACCCTTTTCTTTTTATTACATTTTGATGTGTATTATTTGCTAATATTCGGACAGGGCGAGATCTTCAAGCAGACTAAGGAACGTCTCTCAAAGCGAACGGGCATCAAGGGAAAACCTTTCGAAAAGATAAAGTTTTCTATCGTTCCCCGCAACTCCTTCCCGAATGCTAAGTATATTGAGGATGGTGAGTCAATTCGATGACTTCAATCAGAAACTTTATGAGCTAACCTTGTTATGTAGATGACATCCTTTCAGACATTGCTGGTCCCGAAGATCTCCTTGGCCTGGACCACGCCAGCAAGAGCCGTGGATTCTGGGGCAAGAGCGAGAGCTTCTTCATTAGATAAAGTAATGAATTTCTACGGGGCGCTAGGGGGTGTTGAGGGCGAGATGCTGCGATCCGGTACATGAGCAGCCACAGCCTGAAAGTCATTGATTTCTTTTTTTTGTCATTTCCTTCCTCTTTTTTCTTTCTTTACCTTCCCTTGTTCGCTCCGTTCTATAGTCCCATAGTTGGAGTAGAGGCGATACAAATGGCACGAAGCGACGATTCTGTTTTGGCTGCAAAAGTACCACTCCAACCCTGGGCCTTTTGGAAATTGCCCATCAATCTGAATATTGGCGACATGTATTCAATCAATATAGTATCGTCTTCTGTTGAATCTATGATAGCTCTGTTCCGCTTTATAGTTATAGTCATTTGTGTGGAAACAGTAATTTGTTTGTGTGCAAACACTGCAAACAACCATCTGGCCAGAACAATTGAACCTCGAGATCCTCGACCTCCTGACGCGCATCACCAATTCACATCGTTAATTATTCGACATGCGGCTCGCACTCCTTGCTGGCCTGGCCTCTTTGGCCTCGTCTGTCTCTGCTACTGCTCTGACCTACCGTCTCGAGGCTAATGAGAAGGCATGCTTCTATACTGAGGTTGAACAGGCTAACGCCAAGGTGGCCTTCTACTTCGCGGTCAGTCAACACCCGGGGCTTTGACGTGTTATGCCAAAGCATTCGACAAGCAATTCTTCAAGTGAATACTAACATTGAATTCTGGTACAGGTTCAATCCGGTGGCTCCTTCGATGTCGATTACTCCATCCTAGCTCCAGGCGACAAGATCGTCGCTGCCGAAGAAAAGCAGCGACAGGGCGACTTTGTCTTCACGGCGCAGAGTATCGGCGAATACAAGTTCTGCTTCAACAATGAGATGTCTACGTTTGCCGAAAAGATGGTTGATTTCGAGATTGCTGTACGTTGCCCCTGTACCAAGAGAAACCCCACACAACCAACAACACCACTCCTACTCTCACATTATCGAAATAACTTCAAAACAACTACTAATATGTCATCTCCTTTCTTTTTTTTAGGTTGAGAACGAGCAGCGTGCCCAACTCCCCTCCCGCCAGGGTGCCAGCCCTGAACAAACCACCAGCCTGGAGGAATCCATCTACAAGCTCTCCGCTCAATTGTCCACAATTTCCCGGAACCAGAAGTACTTCCGCACGCGTGAGAACCGAAACTTCAGCACCGTCCGCAGCACCGAGCGCCGCATCTTCAACTTCAGCGTGATTGAATCGCTGATGATGGTTTCGATGGCCGCTCTGCAGGTCTTTGTTGTGCGCTTCTTCTTCCAGGGCGCAAGAAAGGGTGAGTTTTCCTCTTATCTCCATCTTTTTATCCCCTTTCGAAGAATTATACGAGATGCAGTAGTGCATTTGGTGTGGTAGGGTTGAATTGAACATCTGCTAACATAATCCGCCTACAGGTTACGTGTGATGAGTATGAGCATGAATTGAATAATATGATGCATTACTATTTCTATGTTTTGGCGATTTCTCTCCTCAAAACAAAGACTTGAGAGATTTCAGCGTGTTGGCCTAGTTTATTCCCATGTCCCTTGATATAGCCTCTAAAATCATTTCCCCATTGGACCAAAACAGGTTATCTACGCCAGGTGGAAAGGACCTTCTCCCTAGTATTGTATCGCTCCACAAGTTGTTCGGTCTGTCCCCGATACTATTTCATTGGCTACTCATGACGCGCAGGTGGCGGAGGAGGTGTAGCAAGCAGCAACCAGTTCAAGGAGTTTGCTGGGAGGACTGTTGGGGCTGGGAGGATGGTTGGGATCGGGATTTGGTTGCTGGTCTTCGCCGGAGAACTCGTACGAATGTCCGCTGCTGATTTCTGTTGGTTTACTAACTCGGAGTTGACTAGATGAGAAGTGAGGCGCACGAGTCTCCGTGAAGTCCCGCGGAACCTTGCTCTCAGATCGCTTGAGCCGGTTCTTGTTGCGCCCATTTGTGACATGCTTAGGCGGCAAAGTCATGTCATAATCATCGTCATGGTAAGATCGAGGCCGAGTAGCGTTGCCGTTGTCGTCGCGACAGAAATGTCAGACCTGTTTTGGCCATCAGATTGGTGTCATCGGGCTTTGCTTAATCAATAATTTCCTGGTCAGTGGCCTCTCATATGTCTTTGGTGGAAGGATGAAAGAGAGAAAGAGATCAACCCACCTTAATGCTTGACCAAGGCTTTGTGCCAGTGAGGCCCACATACAGTACCCTTCGCGCTGTAGTCAGGTTCACCGTTCAAAACAGGTTTCTATGGTTCTAGACCAGACCTTCTGCAAGGTACGGAGGCTGCGTGGTAACCATGAAAGGAAAGCAATTAATTCAGTGTCGACGAAGAGTTTCCTTTCCGAGGATCAGACCTCAGTGAGACAGACGATGATGCAACAGGGGGAGTCAGCGTCTCTACAGAGTATAACACATGCCATGCAGCAGCGATGACCTAACCGCCGTGCCACATGGCTGACTTTTTTTTCTCCCCATCGACTGCGGTGAGGTCATATTATTCTGCACTGTACTGTAACCTCAAGTTTACGTCGACTCTGCGAAATAGATGATGCGGGGAGTGATATCATCCGGGCCCCATTAGCGTACCCTCTGGGTCGTCATTTTCGCCTCCAGGTGTCGCGGGGAGCCTCAACGCCCACTCAACACAGGACACCCCGCTACATACGTATCTGAAACTCGGACTCTTTGGTTCCGGGCGGTACACAACGCGGTGCGACGTGGAGATTGATAGCACACAGTATTGAATGCTTTTCGAGATGTCATCTCAATTCGAGATTACCTGTATAGGGCAAGCTTCAAAGAACCATTGATCCCGGGAATGGGTCATTATAATTCATTTTTCTGATTCGACTACGATTTACAATGCCGCGCGACGTACGGAGTTGCGAATGCTGTGCAACACTGGTTTGTTGACTGCGGTAGGGATCTCCACAAAATGCGTTATGTTATGTCTGCGGAGTATAGGTGGTTGGGCGCTTCGAGCATCATTGCCTCATAGGTCACTAGCACTCTGCAGGTATCTACCTAGCAGTTTAGCCCCCAGTGTGACAATCTCAGTGCAGATTGTCCATGCGCTAAGATGCCAGCTAGCCACTGCGTCAGCAGCCTACAAACCCTCGTCTCCGATGGGTACTTCAATCTAGCGATGCAACCGCTGACGTCGGTGTTTTGCCAATGTGAATGGGTATGTAGCGAGCGAGCATCCCGGCCCCACGTCTGACGATGTACGGGTATGTTCCGTGCTATTCTATGGAATTTTATCTACCATCCCCTGAAGAAAGTTTCCAGAGACTTCAAATTTATGGAAACAATTGCACCGCAGGGATCAAAGTGGAGGTACGAAAAAGAAATCCGCCGGTACCGACCATGCGAGCCCCGTGTGTCGCCTCCCCCGCTACTGTAGGATGGCGAATGGCGAATAAGTGAAGCTCCGGACCCTGGGTCTTTTGCACGCAGCCCAGCTGTCACTGGTCGCGTCGATTGATCTCTCCTAAGTCCCCAGACTCGATGCAGTGGTTCTGGGTGTGCACATGATTGAAGCTTCTGTGGATCAAATATCCCTTTGCACGCCACAGCCATATCGGGTAATGGACAAATCGAGCAAATTTGGCATTATTAACGATATAGGATGTACAAATTGTGGAAGGTTTCTCCATTTGGCGGCCCCTTTGAGGTATTCATCAACATTTATTTTAACTCAATTATTATATATCGTGCATCAAGGTTTATAGATCAGCAAATGGACAGCGTGTCGATATAACCGTTATGATGCTGTAGGAATTGACGTCAGGTGTCGCGAATGCCTAAGGCATACGTGAAAAACCGAAAAATGAACATTTTCTCCACTTTTTGGCTTGTCGCCACTGGCGTCGCTCTCGCTCTGGTCCCAACTTTACCCCCATAATCGAACTCAATTTCCTTCCTACCTATGCGCTTTCTGTGAATTTCTACTTGAATATACGTATAACGGAAATGGGTCATACGAAGCTATTGTAAAATAAAAGCAAAACCTCTTGTTCCTGCATGATCATAAAAGTCTGGTGGCCGAATCGATACAGTCCGATCGACCAGACTATGACGGCATGGCTTGACTCCACTCTCGAGCCTCAGGTCGGAACCCACCGAAAATGAAACAAAACACGCTCGGCAGGAACACCTAGAATATGGATGGCAGAGTGAAGGTAGAAAGGAGACAACTGAGTATAGTCATGCTTGATCAACATGAAGGATCACGGACACCAACTGTTGATCAAGCCCCCGGATTAGCGTAAAGCCATGGCTCCACCGGGGACGCCCACCTCGCGTTCCCGCAATGCGCATACCCTATCCCGGCGGAGCACGACACCAAATGGGCTCGACTAGCCTGAACGCTCATCATCCATATGATTCGTCAGGTCAACGTCAAGTTGCAGATCTGCAGGGCCCCAGCCCAAATCTGCTCCTTTCTGATATCACTGAATTCGGTCCATACAGTACTCTTACACATTCCTTAGTGACCTCATCGGGAGCCTATGCCCCGGTGGATCGACGATACTACCGGGTCTCCATGTGCACCACTCGCTGTCTCGATGTGGACACGGGTGTGTTCATAATTTTAGACTTTCTGGCCATACACAGCCCGCGCTGATAGCGGCTATGGATTCCCCTTGCCCACGGGTGGAGAGGTACCGTTCGTATGATGTCGCCCAGACAACTTCACGACCTTCCACCCCCTCTCTTCGGCCAATGATGTCACTTGTACGGTCTAGCCGACGGAGCGTCCTCGACCTTTTTTTTTCTCGGGGTGATAGGCTCGTGTGGTGGGCCTATCAGCCATGCGCTGGGTTTGCCATCGAGTAATGAGGTCGATTGTGATTTCATCTTATCCGCCCCCCACACACCCCTTTCTCCTCTCCTCTCTTATATTTACCTTGAAGTACCCTCCTCTCAACTATCCCTTTCCCGTACATACCCTAAACCCTATAATTTCGGCCCCATAGACAACTTTTATTTTCGCAAGGCCCCATCAGAGCTCTGCTACCCACGAGATTTCCACCTTGACGGCTTTATCTTTCGACCTTTTTCCAACTTTGGTTCCAAGGCCCCCTTACAACCTGTCTAGTCAATCCTGATTTCAATTTACAAAGGTAAGTTGCCTGGTCCGCCCCCACTTCAAAAAATTGTCCCGCCCCTCAACCCTTGAATCCATGGTCAACGTCCACGGGTTTCCGCCTCACTGCATCGGTCATCTCCTCTCTAATGTCAACTTGCCTTCCCAATCACCACAACCACTGCTACTTTCGGGCTTTCCAACTAACAGTCTCACCGCAGACACTATCCACCATGACTGAAAGCTCTCAGATGCAGCAGGCTCTCTTCCATGATGCTGGAGCTGGCCCTCCTACCCATCTTGTTGATGCCAACCAGCCTATTGACCCTCGCATTTCACTTGAGGATTATAATCGTACTATGCTCAATTACACTCAGCGCCAGATGTCGACTTTTGTTGATCTTGACGGCCCTGGCCACTCCCGTGGAAACGGAACAAGCAGCCGCAGTAGTCAAAGTTCTGGCAACAGCGGTAACAGCGACAACTCATCCAACGGTGTATTGGCTAGCCAGGCCAACGGCCCCCCGCCAACTTCTGCCGGTTCCTCCGCCGATGGGCAGATGAAGTCTAATGTGATGGACCATGCCACATCTGGCTATTAAGAGCAGTGGCTCACTCTAAGTATGTTTTCCAAGGGTACCATGTCACATCTCCATGTTACGGATTCAAGCTGACTGACGCTTGTGCACCTTACAGGGGTCAGGTCTCTAATCCATTGAAGTGGCTGTGTTGAAGTGGCTGTAATGCGGCCGTGATGCGGCCTTTAATGTTCTTCTGGAGACGGAGTTTCTTCGGAGTTCCCAAGGAGTTTTTTAAGCGGCAAAGTGCCTGCAGTTTGTGCTTTCCAGCGATGCAGCATTTCCAGCCTTTGAGGTTTCATGTGTTCTCGACTTGAGTCGTGTCACTGTGGAATGGTTCCCCTTCTTCACACACCCTCTCTATATATCCCTATGCGCTTTACCTGTTTGATACAGAATCTTGTGGATCTCGATGAGTCTACCCAGTGTCTACCGATATATACCTATCGGGACAAAATTATTCTCCTTGAGCGCGAGTCTAGACGACCACGCGCTTGTGTTGAATGCACTGGGCTACTACAGACCATCGTCTCCAGCTCCTTACCATTCACATACTCATATCACAAAACCCGCAAAAAAACAGGTGAGATATATACATATATCTACACCCTCTGCCCTGTCTCAACTTTCTATTTCCATTCTCTCAACTTCACCTTCTTCATTCGTTCTACCCATCCTGGACTGATGACTGTTTCGGCGTTTCGATTCTCGATTCAAGTCCAAGAGCAGATCACAAACGATGTTCTATTCACACCATTCCATGTCCACTTGGGCCTTGCGGCTCTGTATATCAAGTCTGCTTATCCTCTGTCATCCCTTCTGTGAAGGGGTGGCGTGTACAACATGCGTCCCTTTGAACAGCGAGCAAGCGAGTCTTTTTTGGGTTTCTGGGTTTTTGGGTTTTCAGGTTTACCGGATTTCTTTTTCATTGATGTGTGCTGTGTGATGAACTCACGCCACAACCCTCGAAGATGCGCAATAATAGTCTCGAGTGGAAAAAATTTTTGCGACGAGCAGATGTATTCTTATGTTTTTTTGATGATTTGTACAATATGATACCGAATACCTGGATGTTGCTTTTTTGTGATTTGGGACTGCGCATCGTAGATGTTTTTATATAGTTCGATAGGTTATATATCTCGTAGACTGTCGTAAGTTAAGACCGATCAATTATACTCAAAATAAGTGGTTTATAATATTTGAATTGATTTGCATTGTCTTGAAAATAATTAAATTAATGATAGATGTGTTGCATGAGTGTTGTGGGTGTCCGGCAGGTGAGAGATTGCAATATATATTCTTCAACGTTCCACACCGCACATAAGCAGACTGTGGATACAACATGATTTTGCAAGCAGAGTATAATTGATATGAATTCCCTCTGCAATGTCGTCAAGTATTTAAATTGATTTTCCATCTCAAATTCCCGTGTTTGGAAACATTAGTCTTATCCATGGATCGTTGTTGTGAATCTTATAATCACATAACCCTAATTTGAATTCCTCCAGGGTTGCGTGATCACTTGGACTTCATAGATCGTAGATTATCCAGACTACAAGCTTGCCTAATCTGAGCGAGAGCGAAACGAGGGAAACTATCCCTGGAGGACCAAAATTGTCCTGATGCGGATCTTTCGCATTCTTTCGTGGCAGGGCGTTATCCCTTGCGTTCATAGCGTCGATTCCACACGATACACTCGTGCTCTCACCCAGGTACCTATTTACGTTTTGGAGGTCAAAAGATCCACAATGAGCTTCTTTCTTCTTTGTAAGTGTCATTTCTTATACAAGAAAACTTTTTGCTAGTACGTGTCAAGTATGTGATATAATGGCTTCCACGCTGTCCGCAGCTAGGCAACCAATCAATCCACGGATCACTAGCAACATACCGGACAATAAAACACCCACTAAAGCCAATCGAAACTTGTATCGGACATCAGCATTCCGAATGATCCAAACAGGCTATCTCTCCCGAATTTTCTTCTCGTTGCTAGCCTCATTTGGGACTCTGTAACCCCTGGAATGCCAGGATATGGAAAACCAAGCCAATAGTAAACAAGGGAGGTCAAGGGAAAAGAAAAAAAGGCAAAAGAAGGAAAGTCAGAAGTAATTAGCCGGGTCCTGTAATCTCAAATGAAATGACTCGAGGGCTACGTACATCGCCCTTCCAACTAACCCAGGCACGTCAACACAGGGGAAATAAGTCTTACCTTACCTTTCCTCCCTTCGACTGCCGGCAGCTTCACGGTTTTGTCGACAACCAACTTCAACTTCTGGATGACGCCCTTTTCGACTTAATTACGCCCAGCTCCTGTCATTCATTTTTCGCCGAACTGGTGTCGCGCCAACTATTCACACTCTTTGATTCGATTCGATTCAACTACGCCATTTCTTTCGGAAAACAATCTCTTCTATCCACTCAGTCCAGTCTATCCAGCGCGAATACCCTTGCGAACATCGAATAGACAACACAGCCTATTCACCATCGATTCGCGAAAGATCAATAGCGACTAAGCAAAGAACCCGCCAACTCCACCGATACCATGCATCTATCACCGCTCTTGACTGTTCTCGCAACTCTGTGCTCCATCACCATTGCCGTTCCACTAGGACAGGATACACCAGCACAAGATTTAACTCCAACACCGACATTCAAGCCCTCGGCATCTGCCTCACACTCACACTCCGCGTCGGCTTCTCCAGTGCGGACCCCCGTTGGCGCGTACCAGTGCCCTCAGCAACAGTACAAGGCATGCTGTCAGTCCCTCGAACAGGAGACGCAGGGAATTTTCCAGTCATTGGGTGACCTTGTCCCATTCATGGGAGGGGTTCAAGTTAGCTCGAAAGTTTCATTCCAATGTGCGTTATCCTCGTCTTTTCCGTGTACCTTCGCATGATTTATGTGGAGGGCAAATGCACGGACCCAAAACGTTTATCGAGTACTAATTGTGAAATCAGGCAAGAATATGGGTGAGAATACCGATCCGGCTACTTGCAAGGGACATGGATACTCGCCTATGTGTTGCTCAGACAGAATAGACGTATGTTCACCTATGCTTTCCCCGTATTTGTGTTTCACGCTAACATGCTTTTGCGCCCCTAGACTGCCTCTATCAACAGGTGCAAGTCTTTCGAATCTGTCAAGGAGAAATACTATCAATCCTTCGGTTACAATGTCGACGACGAGTCCCAGTCGGACTTGGTATATGATGTGTTGTCATGAGGATTGTACTGTTGCAATCTTCGTGGCATGTCTTGGAGTATATTGGGGTCAGTCTAGCATATGGGGGAAAGGTGGAGGCATTGGTGCTCTTCATTTCATTAGAGATAACTTTGGCATATTGCCTTCGATCTTGGTCACTTTTTATGTAGAATTATTTGCATTTTTCTATTATTATTTTATCATTTTAGACGACGTTCGAGCTTTTTAGTATGTACCAACAAATGATAGGCTACATTGACATCATAATAATAGTATCATCAAGATATTAGTCTCAAGCCATGTTCTTTTTTTTTTTCTTCTTTTTTTTCTTCTTTTTTTTTCTTTCCATATATAGGAGCGGAATTGTTCACTCCTGGCTAGGCTGATAAAGTGAATCGATAAAAGCTTTTTGATTATGAAGCCCTTACTTTCTGAACTCTGGAAACGGTTCAGTCAGGGTGTTGATTGATCGACACTACGAAGATGTACTAGACCCTATTGGAGGGACACAATACATGAAGAATAATTGTCAAGAGAAAGTACTTATTGGATATCATTTTCTGAGTAAAAATACATTGATCTATCCTACCGCCAACCACGTCCTGCCGGTGGTCCCCACGAGTCACCTTGTTGACCTCCGGAATGGGGAGGAGGGAAATGGTGTTGCCCCGGAGGAAGTGCTTGCCCGGGGGGCATATTCATTTGTTGAGGAGGATAAAAAGTAGGAGGGAAGGCTGGGTGGTTCATGCCCGGGCCGGGTGGGGGAAAGGGCATGGCTGGCATTTGTGGGGGTGGGGCAGGTGGCCAACCTCCCGAGTAGGGTGGAGGCGGAGGTGGAGGTGGGGCAGGGAAACCATATTGGTGACCATATGGCTGAGACGGAGCAGGAGGAATGGAATGATTGGGAGGTGGATGAGCGTGTGAGGGTTGGTGGGGAGGAGGGAATCGGGGCGGAGATGGTTCCCGGGGTGAATATGAACTTTCACGGCTACGTGATCGTCGTGGAGAACGGCTTCTGGACCGCGGCCGGGACCCGTGTTGGCGAGCCTCATGTTCGGGCCGAAATCGACTTCGGGATTGGGAGTCTGATCGTCTGCTTCGGTCGCTCATGGAGCTATCACTGTAGCGACGTTTGAGGCCTTGCACAGCTTGGTCCTGGTTCCGGCTGGAAGAGTCGGATTTCTTCTTTTTCATTTGCTGGCAGAATTCACGGGACCAGCCGTAGTAGGTTTCGCCATCAAGGATATCCCCTGTATTCTCATCTCGACTGACTCTTTGACCCAACTCGTCTATGTCAACATTTTCGTCGTCCTGGACAAGGTCCTCTTTGCCATAGATCTGATCCACGTCTTTCAAAAACTCTTTGAGAGCACTGACAAGACCTTCATCCGCAGGACCAGCCAGGAATTGTAATGGTTTAATGCTGTCCGGGTGAAGAGGGATAGTGGAATTGGGAATTATGTGAGGAAGCCAGTTGCCTGCCGGCAGGTCATAGTAAGGCGTCGAATGATCCCCATGGGTCGATGGCATGATAAAAGGTGCATCTTTCCCGGGCAGCTTCTTGGCAGGGTCGGCACTATCAAGCTCGAGATCGTTCGATAGCGGGGCTGCTCCGGTCGAGGCGGAGTGCTTCATGACCTCCCGCAGTCGATGGATCAGGTCGGGACTGAAGTATCCGTGCTCGGACCAGATCTCCAGCAGATCTTCAAGTCGTCGATAGTGCCGGGGATTCTTCTGCCTATCGTAGGCTGCAGTGTGACCGAGCAGGTCCACCATGTGTGGCTGCAAGGACCCGCTGACCGTGGAGAAAGTTGCCGTGGTATCCAGGTGGTACTTGCTGTGGTGGAACAGATCATTGAGCAGATAAAGTATGTGGAGCCGTCGACGCTTCGGAGACGGTTTGGGCCGCGCGCCTGGGGGGACATCCAAGGAGCCCGCTAACACGACCAGGTACTTGGCCAGTCCCGCTAGGCGGTTCGCTGAAGAAGCAACATAGTGGAGCAGCCAGGCTTTACAGGTCTGTGTGGGGCGGAGGGATTTAGTAACTCTGGGGAGCGCGACAGGGACAAGGTTGCAACAGCTCAGACCTGGATATTTGCTGGGGAGCAATGCGACAGGGCGCGGTCGAGGAGGGTGTGAAAGGTCGCGATCTCATCTTTAGGAACCGAGGTGGGATCTGGACGCAAGAGGCCAGCTGTGAATGAGGCCTTCGCGATCGCGAGAGTATGAGATGCCATGATCACTGGATCATAGGATCATCCGGGTTGGCGGGTCTGAACTTTGAGTTGTTTCAATCAAGTGCTTCCGGAAGCTTTGGAGCTGATCAGCTATCACACGTGACCTTTACTGATTATGTACACAATTACGCTTTTTGGACAATTCCACGAGTTGATTCGGATTCACTCGTTATTGGCTGTTCATCTGTATGACTTTAATGGCTTTTCTTCAGATCTACATTGCTTGTCAATCTGTGGAGTGTTACAATATCGTGTCGGCAATTCCACTTGGTTCAATATCCGGGTAGATCATGCTAAATGATAAGATTTGACATGATTTACATGTACATTTATCCACCGGCACGCAAGCTCGGGTATCTGTTCCATGTTTCTAATGGTTCGGATGCCCTCTTTCCCGCATCATTCCATTCCAACGCGGTGAAGCCTAACACTGCCTACACGACCCCTCCATGACTCTGGAAGGAGGGGCAAACTTGAGTCGCCCCACATACTCGGCCGGTGTTGGGCTGGCGCTTTTGGACCCCGCGATGGCGTGAGGCAATATTATTTGCTTTTAGTTGCCGACAGGCCGATGAGACGTGATCGTCGTTGCGTCTGATCACGGAGCAGTCTTTCCATCGAGAATCAGCCCATGCTTTAGCGTAAAACTCCCCGCAGCTTGCCCCCACACGGGTCACTTGCTCTTACATACGGGCTGAGACTCCTATAAATACGCGCTGTGCACCCAAGGTACTTAGTATTGTAGCTCTCGATTCAAGACAACTTTCCTCTCAGAGTTTCTTCTCACCGTCTCGTCTCTCTACACTCTGCTCCGAATTCATTTAGTCGATCAACTCTTCTCTCATCCTACCATCTTACTACCATCCTTCCATAAATCACCATGGCTGCAGTTATCGCTTCACAAATCGCCCGCCCTTCTATCCGTCACTTTTCCGCGCACCGCCCGCGCCCAGATAGTCGCGCGGCTCGCGCAGTGGCCATGACCTGCATTATCTCCGGCGTGGCGCTGCCCTTTGTTCCACCTGCCCTCGAAAGCTCGCGCCAGCGCAACTCCAGCTCCCCCATCAACAACAAGTGAGTACCTCGACACCATAATCACGAGCTTCCAACTAATGATGCCCCAGGCCACATCCTCCTCTCTGCTTCCACGCTCGATAAACAACCCATTCAATCCATAACATGCATGAGACGTGTCGCTACACTCGTTTTACTTTCCTACCAATTTTTGATTAGGTTACGACTCTCGGTGCCGGCGCCGACATGGAACCTGTCACATGAAGCATGATTTGAGGGCGTTAAGAGGATCTGGCGTTGGAACTTTTCTTATGTGATATTTATTGATACCGAGGAGCATGAAACTATGGACTTTACTCATGAAGGAGTCATCAAGATGCAACTAGGGCTTTATACCAAGTGATACAAATCACGATAAATCCTAAAATGTGAACCATATCCATTTACATGCTCCTCATCCCATATGGAACTAAGACGTACGATCGCCCCACTTTGCGAGCTGTGTACCTTATTTTCCTGTACCTTATTTTCCAGGTAACAAAGGGCATATGTATGACCTCGCTAAATTTAAGTCAAAATGCAAAATGACGCCTTAATACACTCTCGGCTCCAGGTCGATGAGCTTCTAGTTGTGACCTGTGGGTGCCCACCCCAGCAAGTATAGCTTCTCCCAACACGCACGCACACACATCATTTCAGCCGGGATACAGTACACTAACATTTCAACCCTAGGTAAAAAAGGCGCCGACTCAGGGGGTGTTCCACCCTTGAATCGCTTTCTAATTAGGCAACAACAAAATGACCAGGCCTCAGCGTAACCTAATGTGACTCATGAGTCAGGAGGCACCTAGGTCTGTACTCGACGGTAGCGGATTCGTTTCCCGCTGTCACGCTAACCTGAATACCCGGGCCGAGAATAAATCTTGAAGATCACATCAATAGAACCAGTCCAAGTATATTGTTAAGCCACAACCTCAAATCGGCCAGACTTTATATGCGATAGTGTACAGACCAAAGATAAAATACAATGGACACCGCTGAACCACCTTAACTGAAACGATTGCCACGTGGAGGTCGGAACGGCTCTGCCGCCTCATATTTTCCTTTCTCCAATACCCGGTCATTTTCAGTCATGGGTTCATGGCGGGTCGCAGCCGGGTCGTGCGAAGCTTCGGCACTGGGCGAGGCGACGTCGTCGGCAGCATTCTGAAATCGGGACATATTCGCGCGCTTCAAGCTGACGTCGTCACTTGGGGTCGGCGTTAAGGCTGGTCCGGCTAAGACGGCCTGTCGTCGGTGCTCATCTTCCATGGCCTTGTTCTGGGCCTTGCGCTTCATTTCGGTCTCAAACCGGGCTTGTCGGTCGGCGTTGATGGATTTTTTGGCAAAGTAGTAAGCACCGCCGCCGGCTAGAAAAGGGAATATCAGTTAGCGGCGGATGGGAACAAAATTTGACTTGGCGATGAAATAGCCGATCAGTCAACTTCCTTGGGTATCAATGGATACTAACCGGCGCAAAGGGTGCCCCAGCCAATCCTGTTGGGAAGTAAATAGTCATGGATCAGTCTGCCATCCTTTTCTCTTGTCCCTAGCTTTTTCAAAGCTAGAAGGGCAATGCCTGCTCACCAAGTGGATTTGATCTGGACTTTAGTTAGACTATAAGATAGGCCACTGTAGCAGCAGAAATGACTCACTGTGTTCATGATTGCAATGAGTGACCGACTGCGGAAGGGTGAAGGTGAATTGTGCTACGTCAGCTCAAGGCGGCTCCGGCCCGCTGACCAATCGGAGCTATCATTGTTTGCCTCAGGCAGCAGCGATTTATCATCTCAAAGCGCAACACTTCTGGTCCCAAGTACTTCACTTGTCATACTCTCGCTTACCCTTTCATCTTCACCCTTCTCTTCCGACCACCGACTGAACCAACCTTTCACCACCCTACCTCTTTTGTTCCGGTCTTGGTCGCTCTATCCAGTCGGCAGACGCCGCCTGTTTCTTGCGACCCTCTGCTTGTGGCATGCAGGCTTGAACCATTTCTTACGAGGCGTTGTTCGCCTCATCGAGCCCCGCGCTTCCCTCTTCGCAGTCCGCTGCGCTGCATTACCCTCACCTGGTTTATACAAAATAAACCTACGCGATGCCTCCCAAGAGAAAGGCGACTGACAGTAGGTATCCCAAAGGTTTGACAAAGTATCCAGATGGCTCACTTTCAATCCAGGTGGTCGGTCCAGCGGTGCTTCCAAGCGACCTACACCCGTGCCCGATTCTACCGAACTCTCTAGCAGCGATGAATACTCGGACGACGGGGATGATGAAGTACCGGAGCGGAACAACCTGAAAGGTAGAGTGTGGTGATCTGCTCACCTCGTGACTCAGATGCTAAAATTTGGCGGATAAAGAGGTTGTTAGCAAGTTCTCTCTGGAATCATTCAGCAAGAGATCGCTCAACAAAACCGATCCCAGATTTGGTTACAAGGATCTTTCTTATCTGCCCCTCAAGCTTGACCACTACAATCGACCTCTCTGGATCGAGCCGGTAAAAGGCACGATCACTCTCGAGAGTTTCTCCCCTTTGGCACCCCAGGCGCAGGATTTTCTTACCACCATCGCCGAACCGCTCTCTCGTCCCACCCACCTTCACGAATACCGCCTGACGGGTCACAGTCTTTATGCTGCCGTGTCGGTCGGTCTGAAGCCGCAGGATATTGTTGAGTTCTTGGATCGTCTTTCGAAAACTCCGCTACCAGAGAGTATTCGAACTTTCATTATCGAGTTTACGAAATCATACGGCAAAATCAAGATGGTTCTGCGGCACAACCGATACTACGTGGAAACGACTGATCCTGAGATGCTGCAGCGACTGTTAAAAGACGAGGTCATTGGTCCCCAGAGAATTGAGAGTACCGAGGGAATCATTGAGCGCGCAGCTCCGAAGATGGGAGGTCTTGTCATTCCTGGAACGAAGGATGCGGCCGGTGTAAGAGAGACTGGCACTCAGCAGAACGCTGCTGCTGCACCACCTCGGGATGAAAATGAGGAGGCGGCAGTGGATTACGGGATCGACGACGTTGGTGACGTTGATGAGGCTACCACATACAGTTTCGAAATCCCTCCTGCCGGAGTTGAAGTGGTCAAAGCCCGCTGCCAAGCGATTGGATGTCCCGCCTTGGAAGAGTATGATTTCCAGGGTGATACTGTCAACCCCAACCTCGACATGGATTTGAAACCTGCTGCTCGAATTCGTTCATACCAGGAGAAGAGTCTCAGTAAGATGTTCGGCAACGGACGCGCAAAGAGTGGAATCATCGTTCTTCCTTGTGGCGCCGGTAAGACCTTGGTGGGCATCACCGCTGCGGCCACTATCAAGAAAGGCACCATTGTTCTTTGCACAAGTTCCATGTCAGTGGTTCAATGGCGTAATGAGTTCTTACGATGGACCACTATAGACCCCGGCGATATCGCCATCTTCACATCTGACCACAAGGAGAAGTTCAAACGGTCCACCGGAATTATCGTCTCGACCTACTCCATGGTATCACAAACTCGGGCGCGTTCCTATGATGCTCAGAAGATGATGGACTGGCTCCAATCTCGAGAGTGGGGTATGATGATTCTGGACGAGGTTCACGTCGTGCCTGCCTCGATGTTCCGAAAGGTTACATCTGCGATCGCCGCACAGAGCAAGCTTGGTCTTACTGCAACTCTGTTGCGTGAAGATGACAAGATCAAGGATTTGAATTTCTTGATTGGTCCCAAGCTCTATGAAGCCAACTGGATGGAACTTGCTGCGCAAGGCCATATCGCGAAGGTGCAGTGTGCCGAGGTCTGGTGCCCCATGACAACTGAATTCTATTCAGAGTACCTGCGGGAGAGTTCTAGGAAGCAGGCTTTGCTCTACATCATGAATCCACGCAAGTTCCAAGCCTGTCAGTTTTTGATTGACTTCCACGAGAAGCGAGGAGATAAGATCATTGTCTTCTCTGACAACGTTTATGCGCTCGAGCGATATGCACTCAAGCTGAACAAGGCTTATATCTACGGTGGAACCCCACAGAATGAGCGAATGCGTATCCTGGAGAACTTCCAGCACAACGAGCAAGTCAACACCATCTTCTTGTCCAAGATCGGTGATACTTCCCTTGATCTACCCGAGGCCACTTGCCTGATTCAAATCTCATCTCACTATGGCTCGCGTCGTCAAGAGGCTCAGCGACTGGGCCGCATTCTTCGTGCCAAGCGTCGTAACGATGAGGGCTTCAACGCTTTCTTCTACTCGCTTGTGTCTAAGGACACGAATGAGATGGTTTATTCGGCCAAGCGTCAAGCTTTCCTGGTCGACCAGGGCTATGCCTTTAAGGTCATCACCCATCTTCAAGGAATTGACGAATACGAAGGACTCTCCTACGCGACACCCGCAGAACGCCGCGAGCTTCTGCAGGAAGTCATGCTGCAGAATGAGTCTTCGGCCGATGTGGAGCAGGTGAATGATGATCTATTCTCCATGCGCACGGGTGGCAAGCGCGCCGGAGGTAAGAAGCCTAATGCCAAACGTAGCGCTGCCACTCTCAGCGGTTTGGCTGGCGGTGACGATATGGCTTACATTGAATACAACAAAAGCAAAAATAAGCAGCTCAAAGACAAGGCTGGACATCATCCTTTGTTCAAGAAGATGGAACGGGAACGGCAAAGACGTAAGAAGGAGCGAGAAACAACGCTGCAATAAAGCGGAGATAGGGTCCTTTCGGATATTACTAGCAAGACGTACGATTCTAGCCCAAAACGTTGCAAATCAAAACTAATTTTCCATCGCGAAATTCATATGAAGCAATACGAGTCCATTGTTAAAATCAGTCAGCAAGCCGGGTCTAGTCCCCATAGAAGTTCATCCTTAACTAAGCATGACGTTGAATTGTCGCACCGAGACGCCCGAACCCCGAGCTCTCCACATCCCTTTCCTAATGATCGCTTCCTGATAGGTCAGCCCGGTCTTTGCTTCCTCCCCTAGTCGTACACGAGACCAAGGCAACCCCTACAAATGCTAGCTGTTGTCATGTTGTCATGCTGTCGCGGTCTAATTTAAAAGGTTCATGGTTCCCCGGATGATTGTCACAAAAGGAACTCACAGCTTCAAAGGGATAACCTCAAAGCTTTGGGCTCCGCTAAGCAAAACCCCGAGAAGAGCTATAGTGTTTCCCTCCAAACCTCTTCAATCGTTCAAGCCACAGCCGCGAGTAGCCGCGGTCCTTGGAGCTTCCCCACACTTCAGATCGTCTAGCTCCCACTTCGCGTTGAACACCAATACTTCCGCCATGGCGACTGCAACCAAAATTCATCTGGACCCCGTCAAGGATGTAGGTGTCTACAACTCTGGTGTTCGCGAAGATGCAGCTCGTGCCACCAGTAAGGTCCTACAAGAAGATATGGAGAGTCATCATGTCTTCTTCAACGACGAAGGATTTCATAGTATGTTTGTTCCCATATATGGAGGCTTGGCTGAAGCCTTGGCAATTAATACCTAACAAGATGCTACAGATCATATCGTTCATGGAGTCCTCACGCTTTATGCACTCGGCGCATCCCCCGAAGATATTTTGGCCAGTTATGAGAGGAACAAGGGCTACCAACGACCAGCACACCCTCCCAACAAGGAGACCGTTCAGGCTATGCATGATAGCGCTGATTTCCAAGGTTATCTAGGAAAAGAAAAGCAGTACTCAAATTTCCTGGCCTTCTTCCAGAATGCCATCAACACCATGGGAGTCAGCCAAGTCCTCGAGGAGTACTTATTTGCCGGAGACGACCGCGCTGAAACCATGTTGAGTCGACTTTTCGGAGGTATGCTTCCATTTCGTAAATCTTGCACAAGCCAGAAACTCACTGTAACCAGGACTGGTACATCCGCTCATCCACCTCGGCTTTGGGCTAGAGTTCAACCAACCTGCCATTGTGGCCCAGGCTTTAGCCCAAGCCGCCGTTCATGATGACTGGATGGGCCGTGACTACTTCCTTCCGGCCGAGAGGCAGGCTGGAGGAGTTGGGAAGCCCGGGCAGAAATCACTCCTACAGCTTTTGACTGAGATTCGCAAAGATGAAACCTTGAAAAGCTCTGTCAGGTTTTCTGACAGTAACAAGTTCAGGGACGGAGTTTTACACCGTGCACCGCAGGAGATGCTGCAGTATGCTGCGCAGTATACGGTGTCAGCGGAGCAGATACCCGAGAGATTGGCAGATATGATCAACACCGTTGGTGAGTTTTACCAAAATTTATCAGATCTATCAATCCCAAGAAGGACTGTCATGTACCGACGCTAACATAATGAATTTGCCAAGTGTACTATACGAGTACTGCGCAACGCCGCGACAAGGAGGTCAAGATTGATTTCTTCTTCATCCACTGTCTCAACTCCTCCATCTTCTTCTCCACACTCATGAAACTCCCATTCCTCGACCAGAAGTCAAAATGCCGTCTACTTGAGTGGAAAGGCCGTCTGGACCTTTTGACATACGTGTCTCGCAACTCTCCAGACCTCCTCATAGACGAGGTCGTACAATATCCAGCACAGAAAGACTGGCAGACCGTCATCTCGCATAGTGTAGCACACCCATCTGATGACGGGCATCTGTCTAAGCTCGTGCGAGCTGTAGCGCATGGTCAGAATGTATGCAAGCCGTTTGAGAAGAATGGCGCTATGCCGGTATCGGGGGATATGTGGCTCAAGATTGGAAATATGGGTAAGCCTCTATTCGCGACATTTCAGTGTCATATAATCGCTTGTTGCTGACCACTCTGCCTCCATAGCTGTTGACTCTACTGCTGGAAACGATGCGATGTGGATACGCTCAACAGGGTTTGATGAAGCGTGGCAGAATATTGCAGGACGTGCGCGCTTATAAGACTAGCCAGAGAAAGCAAGTTGAGTGGGTTATATGGGTAATTTTGCTTCATATGAGAAATCATCCGATATCTTCTTTCGTGTATCTACTGGCTTCAGTCCAAATTGACAATTCCCCGGTCCCTATGACCTAAACGTTCTGATCAAAAATTGTTCTTGAAGTGACATACCTAACCCGTGCTGATATTATGGGATATGAAGTAGGCAATCTCGTCACATTTCTAGGATATGGCCAGCCATCCGTGGATTCTTGACTAGCCCATATAAATGTCTCAATGTAGTTAGTATCTCTCTAGTAAATCGAGGCGCTTTTGACCCACTGCACTGGTGGGTCTGTCCCGTCATACGAAGCGATCCGTGTCTGGGCGCGCGAGGGTTTCATGTAGAAATGATCAGAGATTGATTAGAGTTTGTAGATCCAAAAACTTGTAGGCAAGGAGAAGATTAAATATTGGTATAAACAGTCGAAGAATAGCACATAGTAAGCACCTAACAACACCTTACTCATATAAGTAATGGCAGTGTAAGGGAAAAAGTGGGACTCACGTGGCGAGGTGGGGCTCCCCAACAGCTTCATCTTCAACATCTTTTGACAAGATCTTCCCTTGATTATCCACTTTCCATCATGCCTTCCGATCGGGATTCAGACAACGACCGCGACAAGTCCAACATGCCTCACAATAAAGACTGGGATAGCGAGTCCGAGACCAATCCCTTTGTCACGTTTCGGCGTTTCGCCGATGAACAAGTCTCTTCTGTGTTACAGTCAATCACTGGCCTTCCATCCTCCATGGGATCCCCCCAATCAGACAGCTGGACCATCTTCACAGATGACAAATCCTACAAAAATATGGCGTATCGCCATCACAACGGCGCGAAATCGAACGTGAATACGGTAGAGCGCGACTCTACACCAAATCAAAGCGCCGACCCCAACACGCCAGATGAAGAAGAGAATCCACCGAATTATAAGAGCAACAATCAGCAAACATCTCAACCCCCACAGAAACCATCATATTTCTCTGAAGAGGTCGAAAGATCAGAGCATTCCCCACCCAGCAACGAACACAGGCCTTCCGATTTCTTCGGCCTCGACTCATTCTTCAACCGCTTCGAAGACCACTTCTTCCCCTTCGCATCCTCCATATTCCACCCCCACGCCAGTTTGCCCTTCTCCGACATGTTTAATGACAGCAGCTCGCCGACCTGGCCACTTACCTACATCATGCTAAGCCCCTACTCCCCTCTCCACCTCGAACGCCAGGCCCAGTACCGCGCGCAGCGCGATCAGGGTGTGTTCTCCGCCATCGTGTCCTCTCTCCGACCTGAACAAGAGTTACAATTTGACCGCGATCCCGCTGAACCGCAATGGCGTGAGGCATTCGAGGATTTGCTCCGTCTGGAGAATGGCAAGTCTATGCTTGAACGCGATTCCCTAGCGCTCAGCAAGACCAGGCCGGAGAATGGAACGGAGTGGTTACATGGGTTGGTCAAGCGTGGTAGTTTGGGCGATCGGTGGAAATACGTTTCTGGTACTGACAGCCATCCTTGGTCTGGTGTTACATTTACTGGTCACAGTGAAGATGACAGTCAACTGCCCGATGGCTCGGCAGCACATGAAGAGGCCCAGCCGGAGAGCGAACTAGAACTATATGAGCGTTTCTTGCAAGATATTCAAGACCGTGAACGCGAGATCTCACGGGCGAGCCCATTACTGCGTGCCCTGCTCGAGGAACGACAGAATCAGCCGGATGCATCTGAGAACTTTCGACGAGGAATGACGTCCGATCCCGAGCAGGGTAATGATGATACGGAAAGCTGGCTGGATCTTGTCTCTGGTGGACACCGCAAGTCTGTGCCTGAGACTGAGACTGAGGATACGGCACCCCCAAAACTGGCAGAAACGAAGCAAGTTGAGTTGGCGTCGGAGCCCCGTGTTATCTCCACTATGACTCGCACAGAGCGTACACGTTTTTCTGATGGTTCGATCGAGACCAAAAAGGTTGAGACGAAACGCTACGAAGATGGTCGTGAAGAGACCGAGTCATTTGTTGAGACGTCGCGCCCAAAGTTGGAGACTGGCGAAGAGCAGCCCAATGAACAAAATACCCAGCCAAAGAATGGTTGGTTCTGGAAGGACTGATATTCTTGATCAGCATGATGCATGATCTGTCCAAATGATATGACCCATGACGCCTTATACTTCTCATCAGCGATTTCCTACATCTACTTGTTAAATTCTCTCATTTCATGGCTTGGTGTTTGCTTGCCATCTGTATACACTCGCTCAATATACAGTATATTCTTTTTTTTCGGATCAAATCAAAGTTTGGATATTATCCTTGCATCAGTTCACTAAATCTAGTCGATCGTAAGCACGTTAATATCATTAAATGAGATACCACAACCAATCCTATTCGGTCCGATCTCCTCAGTCCGCCTTGACGTTCTTCTTCGCGGTCTTGCCTGTATTCCATCCCCTAGATTCCCAGAACTTAACACTGTCTTCCATCTTCTTGTACGCCCATGTGAATGAAGGGTCTGGGAAGAAGCCATTAGCCTCTCATGAAGTGCTACCGAATAGCAGAAAGACTTACACAGGAACTGGCGAAGATCATGTCGGTTATCGTCGGGAGAGTATTGCTCTGCGTGATAGCTAGGCGTTAAGACAGTCATCTTGTGCCGGTTAATGGAGTAATTGTAGAAGAAATGGCGTGTCTTCTCGTAAATCTCGCGCGGACTGTACTCATTGCCCCACAGATGCTAGGTGAATTGTTAGTGGGACTACAATTGGAAGGCCAAGCGGAGAAGTTGAGAAATACCAATAGTTTCTCATACATCGACCATGGGCCTAGCTTGGACACCTTTCGAAGGTAGCCTTTAGAGCGAGTCGTCAGTAATCGTGTACAATAGAACATTTCGCTGTGACAACATACCGAAAGTCCCTAGCTCAGCGTAAGTCACACCCATATCAGCTTCGTCAGATTGCACATAAGTTGCTGTTCGAGGCTCCAATTCAGCCGTAGGCGTTGCGTGGAGGAACTCCTCAAGAATCGGAAGATCAAAATTAATGCCTGCCCATCCGATGAATTTCTTGAGGTCGACTTTGCTAATGGATCCAATAGGATTGAAATCGGCTGAGCTGGCATCGTATTTCGTCAAGTAGCCCCGCAGGCACTCGTCCACATTTGACGATGCAAGAACCAAGAGGCCACCACCACCGGGCCGTTGACGGACAGTTGGTAACAACGAAGCAAACAAATAAGAGAGAACCATTCTCAATCGAGCCTGGACATTCTGCAAGGCCGCGTTTTCAGCCGAACTACCTCCATGGACTTTGAATCGGGGCTGGAAGTTGGTGACGGTGGTGAAAAGAGCCATAAGAGCTGTTACCACGGTGTCGAAGTTGAAGTCAATATGGTAAGCGCCAATATCTGCGGCCAGTCGCTTAGCACGGTCTCTTGTCTCATGTCCTGAATTCTGTGTGCCCATGTAACTGGTGTGGAAGATGGCTCGGCAGATCTCCTGACTGGTCGTCGGGAGCCAGTCGGAGTCGGCGGGTTTAGCACAGAGCCGACGGACATCCTTGATGACCTGCTCATTGCCTTGTCTGACCGCTTTCAGAACCTCACGACACATCGAATGGACAATCACTGACGTGGCACAACTGTCGATACCACCGCTAAGAGGGATAAAGAATCCCGCGGCACCGCATCGCCGCAGGTAGTCCCAAAGCCAACAGGCCGGGCCGAGAGCGATCTCCTCTTCTGGAACATGGATACGAGGCTTGAATGGCACGGAGACCGTAAGGCTGGGATCTGCATCCTCGGCACGGCGGGAAAGTCGGACATCAATATCGAGGCGAACAAAAGGCGACTGCTTGCTCGCCTGCATTCCACGACTCACGGTTGAGCGGTAGGTTCGGACGTCTTCGATGTCGACAGTCGCTGTGACAACTTCCACGTCGTTCAAGGAGAATTGGGATCCTTGGGCCACAACGTCGCCATTGACGACAATCATCGCACAGCCGTCGTAGTATAGGCGATCGCCATCACAGCCCTGTTGGTTAGCATACAGGTAAATACCGCCGCTCTATGACGCGTTAGTAGGAGGTCTTGTGATATGAAGAAAATTTCTTGTACCAATTTTGTAGCTTGTGTGATAAGATTCACACGGGTGTCAAGCTTCTTCAATTCATGGTGGCTGCCAGAGGAATTGGAAATAATTTCCACACCTAAATTTGTTAGCAACCATATGGTACGTCCCCAAGTATGCTCTCAATGAAGTGTGATAGCTTACCAGCCAGTCCATAAGGAATATGAGGTCTAATTTATAGGATTAGCTGACGCTATCAACAGCAAATCGGGATTACAGCATACCCATTAGGAGTGAACAATTCCTCGCAAGTCTCCAGGCCAAAACAGGTGTCTCTCGTGCTGATAACGGCATCACCGAACGGGACCTTGTATTGACCAGTGATGTTTCCCACAATCTGCTCCAGGTAATAATCCTCAACCTCTTGAGGACGCTGCCACGGGATGAAGTGTCTGTGCTCTCTGTAGTTGCCATCTGTACCGGAAAAGAACATATAAGTATGGGAGGTAGATCGGCAGCACGGAGACGAACGAACCGTTGGCGAGCCACATCTTAGGCCGGATTAGGATGATCTTTTTGTTGTAGAAGATGACACTAGATGAAATCGAAGCCTAGATTAGCCAATGGCCATATAACGCGATAATAGTTTTAGAAAATCTCACCGGCAGTTGTAGCGCACATTACGATGGCGCACAGGCATACCTACATCTACCACAATATCCTGGCAGTCCGGGTGCTCGATGATACGAGCCAGCATCTCCCAAGAGTGCAGGAAGGTGTCCCCTTCAAGGAATCCATCTAGCACGCCGTACCCTGCCGAGCTGTGTCATTGTCTATCCTCATGCCTTGCAGTGCGGAGCAATTCAGTCATTTACCGGTGATCTCAAGCTCTGGACCAACACGAAGAGTCGCACCAGCTGCTTTTGCCTGCCGAACACTCTCAATAATGCGGGCCGCATTGCCCTCAAAGTCAAGGGCCCATTGGTTTAGAGAGCTACGAAGTCAGTAAATGAAGCTCTTCCAAGCAACTATTCAGGGCATACCATGTTGCTAGAGTGACAAGGTGCCCCATGATGCAGTCCAGTGGCATTAAACACAGCTATGACTCCTTCAACAAGAAACTGTCTTAGATAAAGAAGCAGAAAATGGGAAATTCATCATCTAGGTCACGTGTGTGGGGAGTCCGCGGTTCCCCGCTTTGGAGTATTAACATTACCATATATTACGAACAATACACCCCTCACGCCAGATAATCGGTGCAATTCCGATGAAATTTTGGGTTGTAACAATACACGCAGGAACGGCTACGCTGATTAATGCATATCGCAGTCGCAACTCTTCGATCATTTGTTCGGTTTGCTCTACTGTACATATAAACGTACCTATTCATTGCTACATATAGATCATCTTCAACATGAGCGCGTCCTCCCAAATTCCGGTCCCAGCTCATACGCTTGCGGAATCCATGCTATCCCGACGATTTGGCCGGGAAACCGCGAACTATTTCTCCAGTATGGAATTGCCGAGGGGATGAGAGACCGAAAGAATGAGGATATCGAAATGAATATTGCAATACTAAGAATCACCCACAGGTTCCCCAATCAACAGATTATCGTTTTTGCGCGGTGATCACCCATTCCTCTCGTCTGCCCTGAAGCACCCGTCTACGCAGTTCGTTGTGCTGAACAACCTCGCCCCCCTCACTCGCTCCCCGGCTGAGCTGTACTATGCCAAGTATGAGGAACTGCGCAAGCTTATCCCGCAGGATTTCTTTGATCAATCCGAAGAAGAGTTGATCAAGGCCTATGACTCGCGGAAGACCTACCCGAGCCTTATCTTCCTTGGTCTGGACGAAAGCCGCAAGGAGGAAAATGCCTTTGCCCACAAGATCTACTCCGGAGCCCCGTGCTTCGCTGTTGATGTTACCCCTAAGGGATCTGAGGAGCAGCAGTCTGCTGCCAAGGACATCATCAGTGAAATGGAATCGAAAGGCCTTTCGTTCTTCCAGACTAGAATCGTTACAACCTTTACTCCGGACGAAGGTATGTTGAATAAACCGAGGCTAATGATAACCCCACCAAATGATCCTCTTCTGGGACATATACTAACATTATATGAAATAGCCGCTATATATGCTCAGGCTCGTGCTTTGACTGACTGGAACAACCGTAACACCTTCTGCGGCACCTGTGGCAACCCCACTCTCTCAGTGAACGCAGGAACTAAGCGCACCTGCCCACCTACGGACGCTGCTCGCGTCGCTACAGGCCAACCCATTGAGCGCCCGGCCTGCACTACCCGCACCACACTGTCGAACTTGTGCTTCCCCCGCACAGATCCGACCATTATTGTGGCTGTCGTCTCCGCCGATGGCAAGCGTGTCCTACTCGGTCGGTCTAAGCGCTTCCCACCAAACTGGTACTCAACTCTGGCGGGATTCATCGAGCCGGCCGAGTCCATTGAGGATGCCGTGCGCCGTGAAGTGTGGGAGGAGGCTGGCGTGACCCTTTCGCGGGTTGTCATCCACTCTTCTCAGCCGTGGCCGTATCCTGCGAACTTGATGATTGGTGCCATCGCGCAAGTGGCTGACCCGGCTCACGAGAAAATCAATTTGGAGCATGACCCAGAGCTCGAAGATGCAAAGTGGTTTGAAGTTGAGGAGGTGGAGGAGGCGCTGCGAATCGGAACGAGCGATTTGAGTTCCGGCCCTGGACCGGAGTATAAGGGTGGTCTGAAGCTGCCACCGCCAACGGCGATTGCGAATCAGTTGATTCGGGCGGCAATTAGCAAGGAATATTTCCATTACGAAGAGAAGACTTCTAAGATGTGAATTACGTAGGTCAGTTCTTGTATATATGGCTTGTCATCTGTGTATAGACTAAAGGTCAGTATTAAGAAGAGACGAATACAAATATTTTGAAGCATATATGCATTTTTGGTCATTCAGAATGAGCAGACCTTGACAGGACTGATATCGTACTATATCAATGATTCTGTCTCACAGATTCGCATAAAGTGTACCGTCACGTAATTCATGGATGCTTTCTTTGCTGCTCGGGGACCCAACCTCGGTGTAGCGTCGACCATCTCGGAGTTCATGAATAGTAACCCGCCGGTGGCTCTTACGCGAGCGCTTCGAGCCTCGAGCAGAGGACGAAGGGTCACCACGAGTCACTGAGTCTATACTTCCGGATTCACTTATCAAAGCACTACCCTCTCTATCCACGCTCTCTCTGAGGATTGACGCTTGAAGTTGGTGGTCAGCGACCATGCTTGCGCCGAATTCGCTGTACCACTTTCGCAAGCCAGATGCATAAGCTCGCTCCTCCGAGCTATATTCAACAGGAGGACCATTGACTTGTGCTTCCGGTCCGGAACCATCGAAGACAGCCCATGAGCTGGATTCAACACTGACCAGCATGATCGAGTGATCGAAACTGCGAACTTTGAGATTTCGGAGTAACACTGCGTTCCCTTCAACCAATGTCGGCATTGCAGACTTGTAACGTCGAAAAAGCTGGGCCTGGAGGACAGTTCCAGCCATGGACGGATCGGTAAGTTGGACGGTCAGGAAGTAGTCTTTTGGACCAGAGACTGCTTTGGCAATTGGGGACACTTCGTGAACAATTGAGATGGTGTCCACCAAAGCACTAAAATGGTCGATAAGAGTTGCAAGAGGGGCGAAGTAAGACAGTTTGCTGCGTAGTCCATGGGCATGACGATCAGGAGCTGGGAGCTGACTGACGATAACGGCTGGCGTTTCCAGCATTTCCTCCTGGGAAGCGCCCGGCTGTTCCTCAGGGTGAGCAGTCTCTGTGGTTGGTAAGACAATGAGCGGGCCGCTTGCAAGGTTCTCATCAGAGATGCCTACAGGTGTAAAGGCCTGCTCTAGAAGTGATGAATCCATGGTGTTCTCAGATGCGCGGTCCGTAGCATCTGGGCCAGTGTCTGGTGCCGTTGGAACAGAGACATGCAACCCCATTGGGGATTCATGGGTGTCTAGTGTGGGAGAATCCTGCGTCATCTCCTCCCTCTCCTTGCTCACAGTAGCCTGTAAACCATCGACTTCTTGAGTAGGAGCAGGGGTCAAAAGTTGTGGCCAAACAGATGTTACCGGAGTGGTTTCTGCCTCTTCGTTCCCAATTTGATCTTCCGTACCCGATGGCGCTACTTCATCGGAACGTTCATCATGTGTGCCATCCAACCCATGCGGTACATTTGCCTTTGACTTTGCGCCAGCCCAAACCTTCTCAATTCGGCTAGCAGGCGCTGAGTCTTCCCGAGGGAAAGAATCTTCACCGGCCTTGCTAAGTTTATCTTCGTCAGAGTCTAGACCGATGACAGATTCTGTGTTTGTGCCGGGTTTGATAACATTGTCAGAATGATAGTCCCTTGATGAAGCCCCCTCTGAGGCTATGTCAGAAGTGTCGCCTTTGCCTTCCTCATCATGTACAGAAGACTCTCGAGTTGAATGTTTATGCAAATAATGGTCTCGTGCCAACACATCCACAGATGACTCGTCTTCTTTATCACTGTCATGAACTCTATCATCTTGACGGTAAGCCTCAACCCCATCATCCTCAGAATATTCGGCTTCTGATTGGGATATCTCCTCTTGTTCAGCCATATCCCACCCTTCATGTTCAGATTGTGATGATGAATCATGGTATGTTCTGCGTTCTTGGTGGATAGATTGCGGATTTGCCGGCTGATTGGAGGTGAGCTCATCTTCACTATCGCTATCCAACACAATCACTTCATGCTGGGTAGGGGGTTGGTGTGGCAGATCCGCTGCTTCGGACTCCTCATCGCTGCTTGCCCCTGCTTGAGTTTCGTCGTATTGATCTTCCAACTCAGAGCCTGACTCCCCATCTTCCTCGTCATAAGAGAGAGATTCATCCTCGGCTTGAAGACTCTCTTGGTCGCTATAATTGGCATGGCGCGGGCGATGATCTTGCCTTACCTGGGATTCGTCTGAAGAATCGTCACTCCCATCACTTGTAGTCTTCTCGAGCGCTGGTCCTTGTGTACGTTGTAGAGCTGTGTCGGTGCTAGTCGCCTCTAGCGCATGCAATGAAAATTCTGGGCTAGTCTGAGCATTTTCACCGCTGTCTTCAATGGCTTTGATTTCGGACCCTGTCTCAAATCTTGGCTCCCCCTCATGTTCCATGTTATGGTCCTCTTGACTTTCCCCTGATCCTTCAATCCCATCAAACGCGATTGGCTGAGTTGCCACTTCATCTGTCACGACCGACAGAAGCGGCTCGGCAACATGTTCATTATCAACGCCAGACTCAATCACCTCGGTGTCATTGATAAAATCGGACGAATCGAACAATTCTGTTTGATTTAATGCCGCTTCAATTGGTAGGTTTTCTGAGAAAAATCCTGACGGGGACTGATGAGGCACCAGGCCAGCTGGTGTGAAAACAGAACCATCATCTTGGTGTGTGCTCGCTATATCTGCAGCAAGTATCGGCGGTGCTCTTGGAGGAGAAACAGGTGAAATATGAGAGATGGATATGGGTTCCGAGGCAGTGACACTGGCATCGGCCTCCAGAGACACAGGATCTGCGCTTTGTGTTTGTGAGATAGTGTGGAAGTCCGAAAAGTAACCCTGTGAAGTGTTTGGATTTGAGACGATAGGTGATGGTATTGGAAGGCCAGGCGAAGGTACTGGTCGGAGTTGCGGCGTATCTGTAGGAAGATGCGAGGCTGACATCAGGCGCTGTTGGAAAGTAGTTTCCATCGCGCCATGGGGAATCTCGCTGGATTGCGGTGGCCGCCTGCCGAAAAGGCCACCAGAAATATCAAGAGAGGGTTTGATAAAGACAGGGGACTGCTCCCGAGATGCATTTCCGTTAATTTGATCCTCATCGGGCATCTCACTTTCAACCCGAGGCTCTGCATCTGCATTTTCCTCCACTTCCTGTTCGATACTCTCGTTTTCTGCCGACATTTTCTCCCAAGAGTCTTTCTCCCACCAATTCACCACAGGTTCCTCCTCCTGTGGGCTCATAGGTTCATCCACGATATGCCAATCATCGCGTTTCAAGCTATATCTTGGTCGTTTCCTTCCCTTTCCAATAATATACCCATCTTCCTCAGCTGACAGCTCTAGAGAGGTACGAGGAACGCTACCAAAGGCATTCGAACCGGATCGTAGAAAGGCTGGCGATTCCCAGGATCTTTGCTCTAGTGCCAATGGGTCCGTTGAAACGATGCGAGGTGTAGAGGGCGGAGCTTGTTCGGATTCATGTTGTGCCGGATCGTGATATTCAATGGAAGTTTTCGAAGAATCTTTTGATGATCGGTCGATCTAGTATCATGTCATTGGCATCGTAGCTGGGTCTGAATTGCAAAGGTCAAAATTACCTCTAGGGACAAGTCATAGTCGAAATGGATATCCCACGCGACATATCTCCCAGGAGTCTGTGTCGCCGTGTCATTCGCGACAAGTTTCGAACCTTTCAGAGCAAGACAAATGTTGTCACCAATACCGACATGGGACGCAGCAACTTGTTCCGCAACGCGCCCATGAAATATCGCCTTGACTTGTCCATGTAAACGTCGTAGGCGGAAATCAGGTTCGGCGAGTAAGAGGCTGAGGCGCTTGGTCGAAGATGAATACGGCCAGACGAGCGTCACAACTGCTTCGATGCATTTCTCGTGGGACTGCTTGAGAGTAGGCGACAGCTGCGCGATCGGGATTTTGGCGAGCTGCGGCGGCGCAATTGGTGCCGGAGGCTGGTCGGCTACATCCATCATTGTGTCCGCAAATCCCCGTCCGACATCAGCAGTGCGCGACCATCGGCATGCTATGGGGATGATCAGATCAAAGAGTACGAAAGGCTGAGAGGTGAGTGTTGAAAGAACGCGGGTGCAATAAAGAACTGGGGACTGCGGGTTGTAGCTTGGTAATACACATGTAATGAAACAACCGCCAATATGCAGATTAGATGTATTTTAACGTTTCGTTAATACCGGTTATCTTCACACCTAACGAATCTGGCATGAACATCGTACAAAGTAAGATTGTTATATCTGCGTGGCCAACTATTTTACGAGCTTGACTTCTTCGAAAATGAAATACTTTTCTCGTATATGACACACAAATCGTTGCTCAGTACCTCATCAAGTCTTGGAACAATAGCAATCTCCAAGTATACCTGCAAACCATGACCCTCTTGTGCCCCGATAAGCTCCACCGCTCCACTATGGCGCGAGTGCTAACCGGTCGGCTTCTCCAACATGACCCCTCGCTTGACAAACATTGAAGTATTTGGATAATGACATTCCGACATCCCGTTCGGCGAGTGGCTATCATAGGGGCAGGGCCCTCTGGACTTGCTGCCGTGAAGTAAGAAAAATCCTACCTGTTTTGGTTCTTATTTGGGCCGATCACGTTGCTCACCAACAGAACAGATATCTTCGGGCCGAGAAGTACTTTGAACGAATTGATTTGTTTGAGCAGAGAAGCTCCGTTGGTGGTGTCTGGAATTATACTCCCAGCTCTTCCAAAATTGGTGGTTCTACAAGTGTGCCCCATCTGAATCCGCACGAACCCGTTGAGAAGCCGATATGGATCAATCACTCTGAGGGGGCGAGCGAACCCATCTTTGTGTCGCCAGTATATGAAAAACTAGAGACCAATATCCCAAAGGAATTGATGCGATATTCGGATCAGTCTTTCCCCGAAGATGTCCAGCTCTTCCCTGAGCACCGCACTGTGAAGCAATATCTGGAAGAATATGCAAAGGATACAAAGAGCCACATACAATTCGAGACACAAGTCAAGGATGTGAAGCTTGAGAATCCAAAACTGAGTACTTGGGCCTTGACTACAACCAATCTTCAAACTGGCATAGAAGCTACGTCCACCTACGACGCTGTGGTTGTGGCAAGCGGCCACTTCAGTGTTCCATACCTTCCAAATATTCAAGGCATAGAATTGTGGGATAGAGCATATCCCGGTGCTATTTCTCATTCCAAGCTCTATGACTCACCCGAATCGTTTCGAGAAAGGAAGGTGGTGGTAGTTGGAAATTCTGCTTCAGGGCTCGATATTGGAGCCCAGATCAATGAAGTCAGCAAGGGCAAGGTAATTTTTTCCCAGAGGTCCGAGTCGTATCTGGCTGCATCATCTCCTTCGGATAAAATAATTCGTCCGGAGATTGTCGAACTCTTGGCTCCTACGGAACATGACCGGGGCATTCGTTTTGCTGATGGTCATATTGAGACGCAAATCGATGCTGTCGTCTTTTGCACTGGATATTTCTACTCTTTTCCGTTCTTGTCATCTCTTGAGCCGCCTCCTATAACAAATGGATGGCGCACGAGGAATGTTTACCAGCATCTGTTCTATATCGACCACCCTACTCTTGTCTTTCCTGTTCTTTCACAGCGAGTGATCCCCTTTGTCATAGCAGAGAACCAGGCATCTTTGTTCTCTCGCGTATGGTCAGGAAGGCTTCTCCTTCCAGAAAAGAGAGATATGAAAGAATCTGAGGACTCCGAAGTCGCACAGAAAGGAGATGGGAAGACCTTTCACGTCATGTCCTTCCCCGCGGACGCGGACTACCTGAATCTACTCTATGATTGGGCAGCTAGTGCCAAATCGCGTCCCGGGCTGGAGGACGACGGAAAAGGAAAATTGGGAACATACTGGGGAGACCGACAACGGTGGATACGGGCATTATTTCCTGAGATTCGACGAGCCTTTGTTCAGAAAGGAGAGCAGCGCAGTAATATAAAGACTCTCGAGGCGCTTGGATTTGACTTTGAGACCTTGAAACGGGATCAGAGGCAAAACTGAAGTTCAGCGAGGGATTCGGTGATTCATACAGATATATATTTGATTTTCAATATTGGAGCTCCAACAGTTGTGGCTGGATTCTCCGTATCCTGAAGCAATGTTTCAAAATTTGGAAAATTTGAATCAAGATAGAGAGATTATAATGACCTCAGAAGTATTGTCAACGGCCTTGGGAGATCGACAGAAGCGGGTGTTGCATGTTAGAAGCTTGCTTCCAAGGTTCGATACCCAACAAACAAAGTCTTGGAATCTGACCGAAAAGGTATGACAATTTTACAACCGTCTTCATTGGAATGGCCCAGTTTGATCCACTGAGCATATTAACCCTAAGTGAATTGAACCTCGTGAATGAACAGGTGTAGAGCCAAAGAACGCGCTAGTCCCGAATAAGCTAGATCGTCAATTGACAGTGTCATCACGTGATGATGGTCGCCATCTCCACCTCGAGTCGGGCCATTCACTCTTCTATACCTCCGGTTCGGGTGCTTCACCGCGGTTTTGCCAATTCTGCAGCTGGAAGGGGATTTTAAAGAATATCTATAAAAGTAATTGATCAAGTATGCCTCCCTTTTCTTTTTTGACAACCTCTATCCTGTTTTTGTCCCATGTGCCTCGAAAACAATTGCAATCGCAACACCTGATCCCTAACGTTAACCCTGCCAGTTCACACCGTCGCCTCGGATCAACTCCTGCAGTCAATCCAAAGTACCAAGTGCAAAGTTCCTGCCTTGTTGAAGATATTCTATCAAAGAATACCAGCTTCGTCAGCAGTGTTTAAACGCTTGCCGATTTGAAACTCGGAGCTTGCATACTGATCTGCACTCAAATCAAGGTCGAATACTATCAACTGTTCGGTTATCCGATTTGATGAGCATTCTTACTTGATCATTTTGCTTTTTTGAGAGCGTTTCGATCATCGGCTTCCCCTTGTTCTTTCTTTGATCTCCTTACCCCCCTTTTTTGTTATCGAGCCCTGTTATTGTCTTTAACAGTCTCTGTTGCCTCCTCTGGCCAGATAAATCTTCGAGTCTACTACGTTGTATACTCTGTTGCTTTTCTTCGAAGCGCAGGTTTACGATAACCTGTGTGACATCTACCGCCAATATGGAGGAAAAGAAGTTCCACCTGGGAAATCCCGCATCATCTGTCCCTGCAAGTGACACTCCATCTTCTGTCGGAGATATAGAAGCTGCAGAACCTCAATCTTTCCCTGAAACAGCAGTTCCACTGAGTGTTCGAGCCGAGAAAGAGAACATGGCACACTCCCACACTGCTGTCCATCATGCCCATGGAGAATCTTTACTGCAATCAACCCATCTCGCCCATGGCGAGGCCGGGATCCAGACCATTCAGCCTAGTGCATTGACAGTTGGTGATGTTGAGGTGACCCGACCGGGCGCTGTCCGTCTTGGTCCAGCCGAATTTGCCATTACACTGCCTATGGATTCAAGAGTCAAGGACGATTACGAGCGTGTCCTTACAGATGGTGCTGCAACAATGCAGGAGTTCTTGACTCACTCTAGTCCTAGTCCCCATACTCCGTCTTCTGATGTAAGTTCACCCGAAAAATCAACACCTGTGAGTTAGGGCTAATATTTGTTCTTGCAGCGAGAGTCATTGCATTCAAAGGTTTATGACATAATTGCTCGACTGAACAATGTATCTACTCATCCTGACCTAAACATTCCCCAACACCTGGTGGAGTCAGATACTGGTCCGGAAACACAGGCTATGTGGGCGGAGTATTCCAGCGCTAAATTCCTGTTGCTCGGGCATTTGATTGAACTCGCGAGCTCTCATGAGCTTCATATTATCATCGCAGCCCAGAATGATACGAAACAAACCGTTATTGAGCGCTATCTGCGGGGCAAAGGCTTCGACTACACTCGACCCCGGGAAGAGCTAGGTGGTACCCTGGAGGTATCTTTGGCGAAAGGCCCTCTAAGCTTTGGTGTGCACTCCAATGACAATGTGCAAACGCCGTTCAGAGCCCCGGCTGCGATTTTTGTTTTTGACACGGCATTCCATCCCAAAAGTCCGTCCGTGGAATATATCCGAACAACATATACTCGCAATGGTGGTCTTCTTCCCGTTATTTGGTTCCTCATTTCCAACACGTGTGAACACATTGAGCGCTGCCTGCCAGACACGACCGAGTCCGAGCGGTTGCGACTGCTCTTGCAATACACTGCTCGGCTCCACGATGAAGTGGGTGATCTCCAGCATGATGCCCTCAACGTGCAGGAAGATGCCGAAGAAATTGTCAATTATTTACTGCACAGCTTTGCTACTTGGCAGTTGCCTATGATCGAGCCTTTGAATTTTGCACCTTCTGAAGAATCGGATCAGACCTCATCTGACGAGTCCCAAGTGGCTGCTCAGAAGCGCTCGTTGGTAAGTTAATGTTTTGAAACCTCTATTGTATTTGTCACTAATTGTTGTTCAGCCCGACGACGATAAAGAGGACTACACATCTAAACGTGCTAGGGTCGATCTTCCAGAGACTAGTCAACCTACTCAGTCCACCAAGGGCCCCAGTCAAAGTTTGGACCACGAGCTTCATCATTTGGACGCAAATCTTGTTCGAATGAATGACCAACACGCTGCTGAAAAGGAACAATGGCAGAAGGTGGTGAAAGAATGGCAGTCGCGATACTGGGAAAAAGATCGATCATTAAGTGCCCTTCAGTTTCGCTATGAGAGTCGAATGATTGAATTTCACAAGATTCGGCAAGAGCGTGATAAGTTGGAAAAGTCCGAGAAGTCTACAGAGCAACGAACAGAGAAATTCAAAGAAGGTATCACCAAGTTGAAGGAGGAACGGACCCAGCTGAAGAGAGAACTTGAAGAGGCTCGCCAAGAACTCAAGAATGGTGGCGGTTCACTGGCCGATCTCGAGACAGCCCGCGAAGAGATTCGCACCCTGAAAAAGGACGCTGCAGGCCTAGAACGCAAGGCTGACTACGAAAGAAATCAAGCGGAATACACTCGAGAGCAATACCAAAACGCATCTAACGCTGCTGCTCAAGCTGGAAACGAATCGCGTCTACTCCAAGCTGAGAATGAGTCCCTCAAGCGCAAAGCCGAGAACAACTCTGTTCGACTTCGAGAAGCCGTCAATGCAAGTGACTCAGCTACTCACATTGCTAGAATTGAAGAACTTCAGCTTATGGTTGCCTCTCGCGATGACCTCCTGCGCAGGAAGGAGGAGGAACTGCGAGAGATTCGCAAAAATCGTCCGTCAACCCGGTCAACCAGCACACAACCACGAAGCCCAAAGTGGGGCGCATCAAGTCGCCCAACGAGCCCTGGGGTGAACAATGGAAATGGAAATGGAAACGGAAATGGCAATGGTGGCCTCGCTGGTCGAGGCAGTGGCTTGCGTTTTAGTGCGGAAGCTGGGCCGTAACAGTGTCTCCTTAGGAAATAGAAATTTATCTTTAACATTTATTTTAATGTCATCTAGATCAAAATCCTCCCTTTTAAGTAGTCTATGACGCATACAACTTTACAGCCTCGATTAGCTTCTTGAGAAACTTCTCTTCATATTTGCAACGTTGCCTTGCTGTCGTTACTACGCTGCTAGTCAGTCTAGCCATGGCCTCTCAGGCTCGTTACATTGCAATTGAGTTGCAACTCAATTTCCAACCAAGCCACCAAAGTCCAGACCATTGCATGCTTGAACCGCAATGGTTTCCAAGGCTCTACAGGAGGTTAATGAGGACTGTTTCTTTTTCCTGTCTTTTTTTTTTTAGAATTATAATATTATTGGCCTATACCACCAAATTATGTATACAATGACAGTAAGAGACACAGAATAAATGCCAACAGGATAAAATAAAGAATGAAGCAAAAAAACTCCCGGCAATCTCGTGAAAAAAAGAGGGAAATACAGAAAATGAAGAGAATGAAGGTAAAAATAACAGGAAGAAACGAAAAAAGCCAACGCTTTAAGACGAAGACTGCATAGCTTCGGCGATGAACGCCGCTAGCTCCTTGGACTTCTCACCACGAGTCATGGTGAAATGATTGGCGCCCTCCATCACAGTAATACCGCCGACATTCTTCGGGCCAACAAGGGTATCCCATCCATTGGGACCAAGGTTAGTCCGGTTGTTCAGTAGCCACAACATCTCCCTGGGGTCAGGGCTTCCATCCTCAGCAGGTGCAGGACGAGGATCGCTGTCCTTGTTACATACACCATCCTTAGCCCAGACCATGAAAGTCTTGGGAATCTTTTTCGCAAGATTTTCGTCATCGAAGGAAAGGCGTAGCCTTGTAAGCATCGAGGGAGTCAATGAAGGCCAGGAAGTGAGGAAGCAGCCAGCTGGGCGGGGGAGCTTTGCCCTCGCCAAACAGACCAATGGTGTCGAAAAAGCGGTACAGACGACGAGGAAGCTTCTCGAGACCAATGGGGAATGGAGAGTCCAGGAGCAGGAGACGTTCGACTTGCTCTCCTTGGTCGAAAATCAGATGGCGGGCTGCATCGTAGGCGCAGATACCACCTGCGGACCAACCACCGAAGTTGTAGGGGCCCTTTGGCTGGCGGCGACGGATCTCAGCCACGTAGGGGTATGTCAGCTCGTCCAGGCTGAACTTCAAGTTCTCAGGGTTCCGCATGTAGGGACAGTTAAGTCCGTACACGGCGACGTCGGGAGAAATGCCTGGAATTGTGGCGTAGGAAGTAGCGGATCCAGAGCCATCAGGGAAGAGGAACAGCTTCTGGGTGGCTGTCTTGGGGTTTCCTTGCAGGAGGATGGAGGTCGCAGGGGGATGCTGAATTGCTGTGCTAGACAGGACCTTGGGTGCTTCTCCCTGGATCTGCTTGGGAAGTTGAATTGGCTCAGGGGCTGGAGCGGCCTTTGGTTTCAGGTCAAGAGCCACTTCAACATCATTGATAGACTGGTTCTCAATAAAGAACTCTCCCGAGAGCTCGAGATCCAAAGTTTCGCGGATCTTGCCCAGGACGGTGAGCGACATCAATGAGTCGAGACCCATTTCCGCGAGGTTTGCATCTCCTTCAAGTTCGTCGGACTGGACACCAATCTCCTCTGCGAGAATCTCACAGATTTGCTTCATAGTGTCATGTTGTTCAGTCTCGAGCACCATGGTCTTCTCGTTAGCGGGTGTAGGAAGACCGCTGGAGTTAGGAGTCGAGAGGTCGGTCGAGGATGCCGCGGATGACATGTCGTTATCGCTGCCAGAACCATCACTGCTGCTCTCGGGGCTCATTGAGGCCAAGAGCTGCTTGAAGTCCTTGATTGTAGGCTGATCGATGAAGACATTGGAGTCAAAGTCAAGGTTCATTTCCTCTCGGTAACGTCCAGTCACTGTCAAGGAAAGCAAGGAGTCAACTCCATAGTCGGCAAAGTTCAGGTCGTCTGTCATTTCAGAAGCAGAAAGACCAACTTCCTCTGCCAGAATATTGAGAGCCTTAGCCGCAATACCAGAACCGGGAGATTTGGGAGATGGTGAAGCCTTCTTGACTGCAGGAGCGCGAGCCTTCTTGGTATCGATAGGTGCAGGCTTGGCCTTAGCAGCAGCAGGAGCAGGCTTAGAACCAGCAGGAGGAAGGGCCATATCCAGAATCTTCCGTGATAGCGCCTGGAACTTGACTCCACCATAGACAGCAACGATGTTTTCTCCCTCGAAGAGGTACACGTCACCAGCGTAGATCGAGTCCTTCCAAGGCTGCATCCGAACGTAGGTACGGTATGTGACGCTGGGGTCAAACTTCTTCAAGCACCGCATCGAATCCCATCCATGGTTGACGAATACTTGGTTCTTGGAATCGATACCATCACTGGCATTCATGATGAAACCAGAAAGATGGCCGATGCTGTCAATCCAGAATGGGTTGCGGTGGAAGTCTCCTGGAGGAGCTGCAAACTTGACCAACGCAGTGGCCTCGTGCTGCTCACTATCCAGAATAACTTCCTGGATAGACTTGTAGTTCTCATCGTAATCCACAAGGGCACTGAATAGCTTGTAGACCATTCCACGCTTCATGCGATGAGCTCCACCAGACTCGGTACTTTCCTGAAGATGCTGAATGCTTCGCTTGATCAGGTAGGTATGGCGCTTCCATTCTTCCGCAGCCATGTGGGTGTCGAAGAATTTGATGACGCAAGTAGCATGATCAAGGATCTTCTTACCCTCAGGAGTGACAGACCAAACCTTCACTTGAGCCTTCTCCTCGGCCCAGTTGGTTGTTGCTGAAACACGGAACAGCTGCTGGCCACCCTTGGCAATGAGGGGCTTTGGCACAACAACCTCACAAACATCATAGCCACGCTCCTTCCACTCGGGCTTGTACTTCTCGACCAAGAACTCGCCCAGTGTCTGAGCAATATCCGCATAGAGGGACGATGGACAGAGAGCGGCACCATTGACCTTGTGGCCTTGGATAACACGGTTCAACTCAGGATAAGCGATATCGTTTTCGATAGTCACTGTTGCTGTGTGGCTGTCTCCACTAGTCTCCAGAATCTTCTGGGCAGAGGTTGTGAGGAAGGTACTAACAGGGGCAGTTTCAGCGGTGGAGGCTGCAGGGGCACCCTTTAGGAGACAGAAGTTGTTGGTATAGGGGATCCAATAATTCTTCAGATCCCACTTGTAGGCAGGAAGGTTGAGGACCTCGTGCATGGAGCTGAAGTCCTGGTGATATTCTTTCCAGCGAATATCAACTCCAGCCATGTAGAGAGCCGAAAGGCTTGTCGAGAGAACCTTCCATGCATCCTCCTGGCGACGGAGGGATGCCACAGTGAGGGCCTGGGGACCAAAGGTGGACTTCACCATTCCAGAGCACACGGGATGAGATCCAATCTCGACCCAGATAGTCTTGTCATTCATCAACTTCTCGTGACGGACAGCCTCCAGAGCAGCAAGGAAGTTGACAGATTCACGGCAGTGACGAGTAAGATAAGTGGGACCAAGAACATCAGGGTTGGCTTCCTTTATAACGTCTCCGAGCAGAGCCGACACGAAGGGAATCTTGGGCTCATTGAACGTAACTCCCTTAGCAATATCCTCAAGGCTTTCAAGGATAGGATCAACCTGAGACGAGTGGAAAGCAAAAGGCACCTTAAGCTTTGTAGCCTTGAGACCTTCGTTGGCCAGCTTTTCGGCAAACTGATCAATCTTCTCGACAGAACCACTGATGACAGTCTCACTGGGTGCGTTGATGCAGGCCACTTCAGCGAGGCCATCCTCCAAGTATTCCTTCACCTGGGCCACTGAGGACTTGACGGCCAACATGGCATGGGTTCCCATCTGGCATTTCTCTGTGAGAAGCTGGGCTCGTCGACCAGCGAGATAGATAGTATCACTGGTGCTCAGAATACCGGCAGCATTCAATGCAGCATACTCGCCCAAGCTGTGTCCGAGAACAAATGCAGGGGTGACACCGAGAGAAATCCAGAACTTGGTCAAAGCCATCTGGATGCATGTAGTTCCCAGTTGGGTCACGATAGGACTGAGCTCCTCCACAGGAACACTTCCATCTACCAAGGGCACGATAGAGGGGAAGTCAAAGCTCTGTGCAATGCGATCCAAATGTTCAATATGAGTTCGGAACTGGGTGTTGTTCTCAAATAGCTGGCTTCCCATGCCGCTGTACTGAGCTCCTTGGCCAGTGTAAATGAAACCAGCTCCAGGCGCAGTAGCAGGGACAGGAGTGATGCTTTCACGGTTTGCACTTGCATTCAGACCAGTTCGGATCTCGTCCAAGGTGGATCCAGTAGCGCTGACCCGGAATGTATGGTGAATGCGTCGGGCAGTGGTGGTGTAGGCGAGATCGGCAAGCAGCTTGGCCTCGTTCACATTGAACAGGTTCTTGTTCGTGTCAATGTACTGGATTAGAGCAGCGGTGTTGTTCTTGAGGGCAGATTGAGATCTCGCTGAGATGGTCACCGTGTGCACAGATCGCGGGTCGCTGCCAGTGCGCTCTTGGATAGGAGCATCTTCCACCAACAATGCGGTGTTTCCACCGGCGGCGGAGAAGTTGTTGACAAAGCTAGATCGCTTCCCACCAGCAGGACGATTCCATGGAGTAGGCTCCATAGCGATGTGAACATTCCGCTGCTTGAGATCCGTTGGGAAGTTGTGGTTGATCTTTGTCTTGATTCCACAGTGGGGAGGAATCATGTTCTTCTGCATCATAACCAAAACCTTGATCAGGGCGGAGACACCAGAGGCGGATTCTCCATGACCAATGTTTGACTTTGCAGAGCCAAGGTGGAGCGATTGAGATGGGCCACGGCGATAGTCGGGAGCGAAGACTTCAAGAACAGACTGCATCTCCACAGCATCGCCGGCCTGAGTTCCGGTTCCGTGCATCTCAATGTAGCTGACATCCTTGGGGCTAACATTAGCCTCATTGAGAAGCTTGTCAAAGATGAAAGACTGTGCTCCGGCAAGAGGACGAGTGATGGAGACAGACTCGGCGGAGTGGTTCGTGTATGCGCCGTTGATGATACCGTAGATGGGATCATTGTCTGCTTGGGCATCTTCAAGTCTCTTTAAAACAACCGAGCCAATACCATCAGCACGGCAGTAACCGTCGGCACCGTCGTCGAAGGTGTTGCAGTTTCCACCTCGCGAGAGGAAATGACCTCGGTCAAGTCCCGCGTGGTTGTCAGGGTTGGTCAAAACGTTGACACCACCGGCCACGGCAGAGTCACAATCATTCTTCCAGAGCGAGTTGCAGGCTACGTGAATCGCAGCAAGACTGGAAGAGCAAGCCGTATCGACGCTCACGCTAGGACCGCTGAACTTGAAATAGTAGTTGATGCGACCAGGGGTAAAAGCGCGATTACCACCGGGAATGAAATAGGTATCAATGTCTTGGCCGCTGTTGATCTCACGGTAATCATCACTGGTCATACCATAGAACACACCAACACGGTTCTTCTGGGTGGATGGGGTGCTGTCCGGGATGAAACCAGCCATCTCAAATGCCTCGTAAGCAGTAAGCAGGGCCATTCGCTGGGCGGGGTCTGCCTGCAACGCCTCACGAGGGGACATGTTGAAGAACCGAGGATCAAACAGACCAGGCTCGTTGATCCAACATCCGTATTGAACTTTGCTGGTGTTTCGCCGATTGCCATCCATATCCACATGAGCTTTCACATCCCAACGATCGGCTGGGACTTCACGGTGAACGTCCAGTCCTTTGTGTAGGAGATCCCACAAAGCTTCAGTATCGGGGGCCTCAGGGAAACGTCCAGAGAGACCAATGATAGCAATCTTGGACTGCTCTGAGCGGCCACTGTGGTTTTCACCCTTTGAGTCCTTCTTTACATCACCAATGGAATTGTCGAGCTCAATGTCGGAAATTCCGGACTTCTTCAGCGCTGAGTAGAGGCTTTGTGTTGCAGTACTAGAGATCGGCAGCAAAGTGCACTTTCCACAGGTCATTTTCAGAGTCGAGGAGCATGTATCAACAACCTTATCCCAGCAAAGCTGTCTAAGAAGGATCTCCTCGAGAGAAAATCTTAACAACTCTTCAAAATCTTGAGCTTCAACGGCTTGCCCCGTCTCACTTGAGATGATGGGGATTTGCGGGACATAGCCTGAGAAGTCACTTTTTGGCCATGATTCCATGATCCGGTCAATATCCCTCTCATCATACAGATGAGCGGCATGGTATGGACCATGAATAGGAGCCCTCATGGGCTTGTGTTCCTTGGAAAGCGACTTCTCAATGAATCGATCCAAAGTAGTTGGGGGACCACTGACTGTCACGCCATTTTGACTAACAGCGCTAACATATGGCTGAGAAACACGGGGAACAGCCTATTCAGTATTAGTTTCGTTTTCCTTTTGTCTCATTTTTCCGAAACACTCACGTTCATGTCGCCAAATTTCTGGATCAGCTCTTGAGCCTCTTGCTCCCGAATTCCTGATACCAACACAGACCAACTGGGCGACGCTGACTTGTTCGCCTCTACTAGGTCCTTTACTTTGAAAACACACATTCCAAGTCGAAGGGCCAGAACAACAGTTTCGACACCGGCCGCCATGAGTTCTCCAACAGTCTTGGATGAGCTCACGGCTGCCGAAGCCAGCTCGCCAGTGCAAAGGCCGACAATGAAACTGTCAGATCCAGAAGGATACTCATTTCCAAGGTCTCCATAGTAGCTGTTTCTCCCGTTAGCCATAAAACTTCGCCAATGGGGGCTTATCGAGCCTTACTGAACAAAGCATCCCAGCTGATAGATGGTCGTCAATGTGCTTTCCAATGCAACATTGGGACCGTGCTCACGGTATCTTGCCAGAAGATCGACAATACTCGTGAAGCGGGGGAACATCTGCCGCTCGGATGGCGGCAGCTTGCTGATCTCGCTTCGCAATGCATGATAGCACTTCTGGAAGAAGGCCGTTAGGAGCGAGTCATTCTTGGCTTGCAGAAGGCGACGAAGACCCGAGTCGAAATCAGCAGTTTGATCTCCGAAGAGATACACACGACTGGGGCCCTGCATACTCAATCCCCAACACTGGCCAGGGGATGTCAAACTTTACTGAGAGAAAGCAAATGAAAAAGAGTTTAGAAGCCGGCGCGAATTCATGGGCATGATATTTTATACATCTACTATGGCTGCAACCTACTATGTGGGGCAGTTCTAGATCGAAAGACATCATCCATCATGGAAGCGTTTGATACCTGCGAATAAATCTTGGATTTGTTTTAATTCCCTGTTTTTCCTTGGGAATGTTATCCCGAAAGGGAAAAGACATGTTCTATCAAGGAGATCGACCCACCAAACCGTCTGCGTGGTCTGGCTCGGTAGCATCCGGTCAAATGGGAAAGGGGTCTGGCTAAGCTATGAATGGGACGTCAATTCTGGCCTGTGGTCAAAATAATATTGATATATGGTTATAACCCGGAATGTAATCCCATTTTCCCTATATAGAGCATGGTCATTGACGTTGTGAGCCAGTATATTACTCAGTTCCTTGGTTAATACTAAGAACTTGACTTTTTCTTGCAGTACAACAACAAAAGTACTTGGAACAGCGAGATGATGAGGCTATCCACATGCTGTTTGCGGTCATGACTGTAAAATTTTTTTACTCATCTGGAGCTTAAATGGGTACTTTAGGTAAGCCGCCCATGATACATGATCTAATATCAGGATTTTGGCGCTGGAAAAGACTCATATAGACCGAAAAGGCCTTATAGTTGCAATCGCCGTTTTCGGAACGTTGCACCCGGCTTCGGGATATCAGACGTCACGTGAAGGGCTTGCCCTAGGCACATCGCTGTGTTCAAGGGATCAAACCTTGTCAAAACCCTTGGGATCAGGAAAGGCATATGAAGTGAAATTGTATTGCATCCATGTTATTCCAGGGCATTTAATCCGCATTAACAGGGGCATCAGGGGCACTTGAAGTCTCCCATCATCTCTACTAAGATGCAGAATAGGGATCCTGAAAGCTAACATACCAGTGCGTGGCTTGATTGCATTTTGAAATATGTCTCGGCAAGCCGTGGCGCATCGATCGATCGGGCTCGGAATGTAACACTGAACAAAAGTAGTTTGGTGGCTGAAGATCTTGTGCGAATTCAGTAAGTGGATATAGATCTGTCAAGCAAGGGATATACAGTACAATACGTCATGACTACTACCTACAAAGTTCGGAATTTGATAATTAATAATCAGATTTGTAGGTGATAACAGGTTCCAGAATTCCAGAGATTATGATTTCTTGCATGAATGGTTCCGAGAAAGTTATGCTGGGCTCCAGAGTTATCGATCTTAGGGAACGCAGCCGGGAGGGCCGCGCTCATGAGATATCCCCGCGCCTGGCGACAGGACTGGCATACCTCTTAGACACCTGCATCTCGAAATAACGAAATGAGTCCATACAGGATATGTAATGCTACGCAAAGATCAAATCCCGATCGACAAAGGATCGTAGATCGTTGTGGGTCACACGTGCTACGGACCGAGAACGCCACAGAAAGAGGTTGCAAACAACAGATGACCGAAATGGGATCGTTTTGGTACTGCACTTGGACGGCTTGGGTCATTTGTGCACATACAAGTCAGATTTGTCTAGTTGTGTGTAGAGTAAAGAATATTGTGAGAATTTGGAACAGGAAACCAGACGTATTATAATCAAAATTTTGAATTGTCAGATTAGAATATTATAGCCATGGGAGTGTTGTTTTGCGCTAAAAATAGCACACAAGACTGAGGGATGAACAATATTAACTCCATGCACAGACATATACGAGTTGCGGTTACTCCAAGCTCATTGAGGCTTTCCCGCCAACTTCTTGTGAATTGTCTTTTCCTCAATCAGGGTAACTTCATGAGGATAGGCCTTGTGTCGCTTTTCTGCTTCCTCGCCTTCGGATTGTTCCATATTCTCGGTAGCACGGCGATCCTTGCCGTGTCTTGAAAGCCATGCCGACGATGGGGGCTCCAGGTATGGATCCAAAGTCTCGGACTGAGGGGCAGGAGTCTGCGCACTAGGTGTGTACGACTGAGGACTGGGGGTAGTCTGAGAAGGGGGTGCAGACGGCTGAACGCTGGGTGCATACAGCCAAGGGTAAGGAGTATGAGTTTGAGCGTTAGGTGTGTTAGGCTGCGGCTGGGAGCTGAAAGTGGATGGCTTGGTAACAGGTGTGGAGGATGGTTTCGCATATGGAGTCTTCGTTTGGGAACGGGGAGTGCTGCTTGGAGTAGAGACTTGTATGGGGTTGGGACTTTGGTCCTCACCAGCGGGGACCTGAGGCCAGGCATCCACGCCATCGAGTATAGCAACAGCCATGCCGTTTGCCATGTGTGTCTCAAGGTGACAGTGGAAAATGAACGGCCCAGGATTAATCACTTGATAACGGATTACCATCCATGTCGAGCCGCGGTTGCCGAGGGTAACAAAGGTGTCTCGCATTGAAGGGTTCTGCAGCTCGAAATACTCAGGATGCTCAGAAACTGCTTCTTCGGTGTTGGCCCAGTTGAAGAATCCGGGACCGGCACCAAGGATGAAAGCTTTGTTAGAGTGCTTATGAATGACATGAGCACCAGTCACGTCAGCGGTGTTAGGGAAATGACCGAGCTGCAGAAGGATATCGACCCAGGTGCCATTCTTGGTTTCGACGACAAGCTCAGGTGCTAGGTTATTCTTGGCTTGGAGATCATAAAGAATTGGGTCATCCAGGTTAACCATCTCGTTCCAAAGGTGACCACCAGTAATAGTAAATGTGTAGGACGCGCCTGAGCGACCAAGGGTCAGGTTAACAAACTGGTCGGCTTTGGCAGGGATAGTAACAGCAGGGTACGGGTGGATTGCCCGGTTGTCCATATACACAACGGAGGCAGATGTATTAGTTCCACCGTAATTGACGTAGGGATGCGATGCGTCCCGGTTGGTGGAGCCCTTGTAGCGCATGGTAGCAAAACCGGAAATGATCTGATCGCCCTGGGTATCCGGTACTCGAATGGTATAGTCTTTCCAAGGCTTGTCCAGCTTGATCATCGCTGCGTATCGTTCGCCGGTGTAGATGCTAGAGGCCTCAACAAGCATGGGCTCCACATAGCTGCCGTCCACTTCGTAAATGTACATCGGGTGTTCATCGATAGAGAAGATGAGGGCCTTCAAAGCAGCGGCACTGATGAATTTCAAGCTCACCCAACCAGCATTGCCATCTACCTCGATAATTTCATGGTTTCCAGTGGTGGGTTGGCAGCCCCAGTTGACACCCTGAGGAATCTTTGTCTCGTCGTAAGGAGGGAAGTTACCCTGCACCTTGTAGATGTTTGGCAAGCATCTGCAGTTTGAAGAAATTGCATTAGCATCCTGAGCTCATTATAGTTCCAAAATGTGTAACGAACCCTTTATCCGTCAAAGGTGTGTTGTCCATAGCAGTTTTCACGTAACTGAGCTCAACGTTGGAGATGTTCTCGCCCCCGGGGCAGTAAACTGCGCCACGGCCGTTGATGAGAACACTGTCCATACAGAAAACTTCCATATGACTATCCACCTGCAGCTTCTGATATTGATCAAAGGTCAAATGATCCCAATCAGACAACATGATCAGCTGTGGATCCTTCTCTGCCCGTTGCATTGCTTCGATGTCGGCCGGGTTGCTTGAGATAAGATGGAAAGGCTGCGGTGTCTCAGGTGCCGGACTGGCACTGGTTAGTATCCCGAGTTATCTCTGTACACTTTAAACGGTACTTACTTGATCGAGATCGGGCCATAGAGACCATTCATCATCTCCCCCAGGGCATGAGAATGGTACCAATATGTTCCATACTGGGTGGCCTTCCATCGATAGGTCCAATTGCGACCGGGCTCAATGGGCTTTTGGGTCAATCCTGGGACTCCATCGGACCATGGAGTATTGAATTGTTCGATTCCGTGGAAATGAACGGATGTATTAAAAGGTAGGCGATTGTGAACAGTGACCTGCTGACTGTCAGAGCACGGCACTTCAAATGATAAAAGTAATAGGCTCATACCTCAACATCATCACCTTGGTCTAATCGTAACTCAGGACCTGGAAATTGGCCGTTCATGAAAACCATTTCCCGAACATTGCCATCCGGTGCACCTTTTTCCCAGGTAAGGTCTAGATCAAATTGAACCAACTTAGCAAAAGCTAGTTGCGTCAAGCCTGAGCCAGCCAAGGCCAGTAATGTCTTTAAGGGCCCCATCTTGTGATGTTCACCCAGTATCGACAAGAAGTGAAAGGGAATATAAGTTTGAAGCAGTCAAGAGATTCGCAAGCAATTGCCTTATTTGATTGAAAGGTGAGTTTGATCTACAAGTTCTTATTACTCGGGCAACATGTCCATTTAATATTGTAACATTGAATGCGCTTTCAAGGTTGTGGCATGCTAATGGACCGGCCCGAAACAAGCTCTCTAGTGTCTGAAAACATGGATGCATAGTTCATGAAACGCCACAGCTCTGAGTTTTGGAGGTCAGAAGCTCAGAAGGAAGCACATTGTATACATGTTACGATGTGTGCGTCGAATTGTGATGTAGCTGGGGAAGAAATGTCTATAAACAAGTATCCGCTTCCGGCAGTTCGAGGGGGAGCCGATTTCATTCGGACTTCGAGTCGACGAGCGCTGAGCATCGTCGGGATTTGGTAATAATTTGCAACTGTAGCTTCCAGCTAGCCGCATTCGGCAAGTTGTTTGGATGTGGCCGGTCATTCCTGCAGTCATGGAATGTAGGCTTGACTACGCTTGACCTAATCCGGAGAGACGCAGCTCTGCCTCAACAAATCAACTTGGCGAGAAATCCTCGACTGATTGAGTTTGGTAATTTTCAGCAAAGGGCTTGCTATGAGAAGCACCGGTCGCAATTGCTCGAATCAGCTCAATTGACTGCCAATTGATTGTCCTGGTCACGGCCGGTGATCACGATAAATCATGGACCGCCAAAAGCTGGGGAATTTCAGTTGAATCAAAAGATCTGCCTAATGACTGCTATACATAGAGCTGAGGGCTTGGCCTACTCTTTGATCGACCATCATAGTTCTCCTCTCCAGGTGCCATTTCTGTAGGCGATCTTCCAGGCTCGCATTCCTGAATGGTAGCTAGGTGACAAAACAAGATGGACGTGACAGGAAATGTGTGATAATATTCAATGCAATGTAAACACCAGATAAATCGAAGCTGAAAGGAAATCATTGGCAAGCTGAGCTGTGGGATCGCTACTAGCGCTAGAGCGGGGTGATGTTTGGATGAGTGGGGAGGCGGGATGTTGCCAGGGTTTTGGATCGTGCTGACAACCATGGATCATGATCGGGAGGGGCTGCAACAACCACGAATCCGGATCTATAGACGTTGAATGAAGGTATGCAAGTGGTTGTCTAGCAGAAACTTAACCTACCGGCGCATTGATGTACAGCATCTGTATACTGCACAAAACAAAATCAAGCCCACCGCGCACGGGCCTGGAGTGCAAACACCCTGGAAACCGATGACAACCGTGCATTAAGCTTATCGATAAGACAAGTCTCCTGGCCGCTAGACCTAATTGGGTGATCTCCCGCGTAAACAAGCTCGGGTCTCACCGTCTGAACTGCTTTGCCCTTCTTCCCCAACTCTACCCTGGTTACTTTGCTCCCCAGGAACAGCATATCCCCCAATCCCTGGGATTGCCTCTTCTATCACCAAAACTTGCGCCATGGTCCTGGCCTAAGTCCTTTGTCATATTCGCGACTTCCGTACCTTTCAGCCCCCTCCGCGCCCAAACCTCGACTACGCTTGGGTCCAATAACATCTTCAGCATTCCACCCATTGGCCAGCCAGTTGAATCGTACTTGATCGAATTCTCCTGACGACCAAAACCTACGTATGAGTCGATTCATCAGTTTGCGCTCACCAGAATAATTCGCTATCGATCGCGATGGCACCCAGTACGTCCCAGTTGCCATCGCGGTTTCCATGCTGGTGCCGAGCAGTCTATTCATGGGGAGGAGAGACCACGCGGGACTTGGGCTTCGTGGAGGGTGATCTGATTGAATGTCTCAATGCGGGAGATGGGCAGTGGTGGATGGGGCGGTTGCGCCGTGATAAGCGCGCGGTTGGACTCTTTCCCTCCAACTTTGTTGAGCTCATGAGTGAAGACTTTGTCCCCATCAGCCGTGATACCAGCCCAATGGTTCAAGCAGGGTCTTCGCCGATCAACAATCCGACATCCGCACCGAAGAAAGCAAAAACCGTCTTCCGGAAACCATTCCAAGCGCATAAGGAAGCCCTTTCTCCAGCCTCGAACCTGGCTCGCAGCAGATCAAACACCCCAGTCAAGAGTTCCGTTCCACAAACACCCCCTAGAGATGGTGGTCTCCCCAAAAGCGTGAAACCTCTGCGTACCCATGCGTCTGTGGTAAAAAACCAGGGCTCTATGTCATCTCGTCCTTCGTCTGTCTCCTCCCGTCCTTCCTCGCGCGGTATTTCGCCCCGCGCATCCATGGAACCTGAACGGCCAGCATCTGCAATAATGCCCCGCGGCAGCATATCCTCATCGCGTCCATCTTCTCGTGAAGTCTCCCCAATGCTTCGGGAGGCTTCGCCAATGGCCCACGAAAGCTCTCCGGTGTATTATCAAGCCTCCCAGTCGCGTCGTGAAGCGTCTCCGTTGACACCTCGCGCGGCTTCCCCAATGCCCCATCGGTCAGTTTCGCCAATGCCCAATCGCGCAGTGTCACCATTACCTTATAATGCACCCACTGCGCGAGGCGCGTCTCCAATGTACTACGACGAGTCCCCTAGACATCGAGAGGTTTCGCCGATGCCCCACCGTGCCGTCTCGCCAATGCCCTACCATGCGCCACCTACTATGCCTCACCGAGCGCCCTCTCCTATGTACTATGAAGACTCTCCTAGACATCAACAGGTTTCGCCAATGCCCCATCGTTCTGTTTCACCAATGCCTTACCATGCGCCACCTACTATGCAACACCGAGCACCCTCTCCAATGTACTATGATGAGTCTCCGATGCACCGCGAGGTTTCGCCTATGCCTCATCGTGCCATCTCACCAATGCCCCAGCACGTCTCGCCGATGCAGATGCAAGAACGTGAGGAATCTCCCCCTCCTCCCCCTCCCCCACCACACCGAGTGGCTGTCAATCGGCCTCGATCACACTCCCCTCAGCCGCCTATGCACGCATCACAGCAGCCTCAGCGCTTGTTGCGCTCCCCACAACCCCCGAATCACTCTCGAATGCCTTCACGCTCTCCTACGCCATTGAACATGAACGATCGTTACGTGATATTTTCTCGTACTCCTTCACCTGGCGCAATGTCAGCACGTTCGGGCATGTCCGCCCAATCAGATGCAAACGGCAACACCCCATCTCCTCTGAGGGACGCCATGGAGGATGTCATGACTTCGTTGGAAGACATGGGGTTGTCACGAGATCATCCTTCACCATCACCTCATCAACCTCCCTCGCCCTCTCCACGCCAAGCTCCTTCACCATCTCCACCACCGGCATTCAACAACCCCTGGACTGGCGATGCGTACGATGATATGGATGACAGAACGCCCCCAGCTAACAGACGTCGACCATTGACCTCGCTCGGCTTCGATGGAAACAAGCAGCCGGCTCGTGGTGAGCTGGTGCACCGCAACAGCGTCTATTCCCATGATCATATGGACGGCCCGCCTCAATTAAACAACTATGTCCAACGGATGGAGAGCCGCCTTCGACAGCTAGAATCTCAAAATCGCCCGCCCGAGGACGAGGACACGGGAGGGGATGACATGCCTCCTCCGCCACCCCCAAAACATGCCATTCGTCACAATTCTATCCCTGCCCATTATCCGCATCTTAGCGAACGTAGGTCTGGGAAAGAAATGCGAAATGAAAGGTTGAACCGTACCTTCACAAGCAAGTCAAGCGCTACGAGCTCTAGTGGAGTGCAAAGCGTCGGGACTAATCAGACTACAAGTACGGACAAGACGGGCCAGAGCTTGATGAGTGGGTTTTCCGCTGGGGGCTTTAGTGCGACTAGCGCCGGGAGCTATGCGAGACGAAATGGGACATACCAAAGACCGAACACCGCTATGGATACAGTTCGATCCCGTGGCTTCAGCGATGCGGGACACATGGATAGGCCGGAATCTCCTATGACAGGGGTTTCTTATCACTCTAGCCACAACACATCTCGCCAGGGCGCATCGTCGGCTATCCCGTGGTCATCCAATGACAACGATGTGGGCGACGCGGGCGGAGTATTTGGTGGTCTTTCTACTCCAAAGAGTAAGAAGCAGGGCTTCTTCAAGAAAATTTTTGAATCCGCCAAGACAGGCGCTGCCAGTGCGAGGAGCAGCATTTCAGTCGGCCATGGCTCTCCGTCTCCCACGAAGGGTAACAGGGTAGTCGATGTTGTATCACCACTCCTCACATCTCACTCACATCGCGATACACCGCGGGATAGCGAAGTTAACGCAAGCGCCATTGACTGGGTTCAAGTTCGCCGCGACGTCAATCGAGCGTCTTCCCCCAGCCGTAACGAGAGAATTGACCGGGCCGAACGGTGTCAGATGATGGACCTCCCTGTTATATACGCTGTCGAGGAGTTACATGATACCGCAGAGGGTGACGAAAGCATTGATGGCTTGCCCATAACTGACCCTGTGAACTTCAATTCTGGGAACTTGACCTTGGTCGACAAGAGTGCGCGCTTCATCAATAGCGTTCCGCCAACAACAAACCCCGTAAGCCTCGCCCAAGGCTACATTTGTCGGCCTTATAAGAGTGATGTTCAGCGTCTACGCGCAATCTTCACCTGGGTCAGCGAAAAGATTGCGTGGGAAGAACCCGTCGATGGCATCGAGGTCGACATGAAAAGAGTTTTGCACGCTAAGCGGGGCAGCCCCCAAGAGATTGCAATTCTGGTTAATGATATGTGTGCCGCTGTTGGCCTTCACGCAGAGGTTATCCATGGATTCTTGAAAACACCTGGGAATGCTCTGGACCTTGACAGCCTCTCCCGCCCCAATCATTGGTGGAACGCAGTTCTTGTTGACGGAGAATGGCGCTTCATGGATTGTGCATTAGCGAGCCCGACCAACCCTCAAAGAAGTCGCTTTGTCACTATCAACTCTTCCGTGGCAGAAAGCTGGTATTTCCTCGCAAGGCCACTGGACTTTTGCTATACCCACATACCTCTTTATCCTGAAGAACAGCACATTTGCCCCCCGGTCTCGCCGGACGTCCTCTTGGCACTCCCAACTGTATGCCCGCAGTACTTCAAGCTAGGCGCTCAGTTTCCAGATTATGATACCAGTCTGCTCCAGCTTGAAGGCTTGGAATGCATGCAAATCTGTCTTGTAGTTCCCCCGGATGTCGAATGCGCTGCTGAAGTGGAGGCTCCCGCGTTCGCGCGTGACATGGATGGCGACTGCTTTGAGAGTGGTGATATTGTGCGCAAGCGTGCCCTTGTTCAGCCGGACTGGATCCGCGGCCAGAAACGCATTACTATCAAGGCTGTCTTACCAGGCGATGAAGGGCAGGCTGTACTCAAAGTGTATGCTGGCAAGAAGGGCCTCATGCACTCCAGCAAAGACATCCCCCACCCGCTGGCCCTCGCTCTCCCTATGTTCCACACTGGAGAAAATCCACCCTATGACTTTGTGCTGCGTCATCCTACACCGCATGCTCAACGCCATGACTTGTACATCATGCAACCCCAGTGCTCTCGATTGGCAGTCAACAACACCTTTGTCTTTGCCGTTCGCCAGCACCCCGCTTCTCCCCAGCCCCCGTCCAAGGATGAGTTCCCAATGAACGGCCGTGCCTCCCCTTCAGTGTTTAATCGACCCTCTAGTGCCCTGAGTATGGTTTCTAGTACTGCTGGCGCATCGACTGTATCGAGCAACTCCAATGAGTTCTCAGCATCTACTTCTGCCATCTCTTCCACTCGCTCTGCAAGCGGACGAGACAAACCAGCCAAGCTGGCCATCCAGTCCCCATCTGGCAAGATTATGCGTCTCAGCCGTAAGGCCGAACACATGATAGCCCCGGACAATCCCTCCGACTCTATCAGAGATGCTGCGGCTGAGGGTAGTATATGGGAGACAGTCATCAAGATTGGTGAGCGTGGAACCTGGCGTGGCCTGGTCCTTGCTGACCGAGTGGCACGCTGGTGTGTCTTTTGCGAGTGGGAGTGTGTTTAATAGACATGTTATCCGTGGTGTCTTTTGTTGAATTGTGTTTTTTGTTTGTTTGTTTGCATATCTCTTCTGTCTTTTGCGTTTCCTTTTAATTTTTCCTACTGGCATTTGCATAAGGTCGGTTTGGGGCATTGCATATATTGCATTCCACATCTGTTTCATTTTGACATATTTGCCCTCTGATCTACGGTGTTTGGGCATTGAATTAATAGGCTATCTTTCAAGTAACATTTCAAAATATATCCATCAGTCTTCAATATCTGAAATTGATCTTTATACGTGTCTATGAATACTCGGTGGGTTGACCAATTTATAACTTGGATACAGCATCCCGCAGCAAAGGAGCGACCTGCTTCCTGCTCGCCTTTGTATCCTTCTGGACCCATAATGCTCTCCAGATGCCCTTATCTCCATTCAGTGTAGAACGAATCTCCTCCTCAGAGACATCAACTACCGTACCATCCAACGCCGTCCACTCCGCAAGATTAAGGTGAGACGCAGTATGCGCAACAAACTTCTCAATACCCTCAACTGCAAGCCCATTATCACCCACCACACAGATAAAGAGCTCGCGAGAGAATTGGTCCTCGCTAGACGTAAAAGACGTCATAACAACCACAACATCCAGCTGCTTCCCTCCCGAAGTAGCAAACGAGCGCACACCATCTAAGAATTTCTGAGGATCACCCGCTTTCTCAATGACCCATCGAATAGGCTTCACAGACGAACAAAACCCGAGCGTGATACTCTGATCGGACTTAGCCGTCTCAGTCCACTCCTTATAATCCCGATCCAAAACCTCATGCAACGTCAACCGATCCAGACTGTTCTGCTTTGCTGCGAGAATCTGTTCATAGAATTTCTCCATGTTCCACGGATAATCGCCACCAGGTTGCGGCCGCAAGAACTCAACAGCCTGCACATCTACATCTGTGACTTTGCCTTCTGCTGTGAGATTCGAGGTATCAATAAGAATGGGAGCGAGAGCCAGCTTCGCGACCTGCGCGAAGTCATCCGCGCTTGATGTAGCTACGGTCCAGAAGCCCCGCTTATTCATCTCGTTTGTGATTAATGAAGCACATGACCCCGGGCCAGGCTGGATGATCAGCGGCTGTCCAGTCGGCAGGGCTTCTTTGTTGGGCATGAAGTCCTCATTGACGTGGTGATCAATGCAGCCAATGGCGTGGAAGGTAACCTCCGACAGAGTACCGCCCAAGGAACCCTTCCCGGCCGCTCCGTCGACGCGTTCTGGTAGCGCATTCCAGTCCACCAGCGTCGTGTCAACATCCAACTTGCGAGCTATGGATTGGTCCTTCAGATTCTGTGCAAAATCCGCCGTGGTGATGATATGTTCGCGTAGTACATTCCCTGCTGAATCGGAGGAGTCGTCGAATCGCTCATTCAGACTCAAGGCGGGGAAATTGGTTGAGAGCCATAGTGCTGTGACAAACTCCGGTCGGAGCCTATATAGCTCTGGGCCTGCGGGGATGTTGGGTAGGTTCAGGAGCGGGATATGTGGGCGCGAGGTTGTGGTTGGGAGGCGGTTGTTGGCGCAGTAGGAGTAGACGATTGCGGAGATAATCGAGTCGAGATCGGCGGAGGGGTTGCCTAGTACGTAGATTGGGGGTTCGGAGAGAGTGCCTGCGAGGAATTGGAGGTGCACTTGACGTGCTTGACGGAGGAATTGGAGGAGTGTCATGCTGTGTCTGTTTGGGGAGCTTTGAAGTTGGTTGGTTTTTGTTCCCGAAGGGTGCGCTACCGACGTCACTCTGAATACCCCACTACCATCACGGACATTTTGACGATAATCAGATATTCTTGAATAATTTGGGAGGTGTTGTGTTCTATTATCTTCTGATCACTGGGTAGACAAATAATTTATGTTGGTCCACTGCATCCCAATTTCATTCTGAAAAATCCAATCTATCTCACCTAAAGTCAACAAACTCAACACTATGGATTGGCATCCAGATTACTCTATTTTCAATGAATCTTCGCCATCTAGAAATGTCATTCTGCGTTAAACTAGAAGGAGACCTGGGTGTCTACTCTACTACTATTATCACTACTAATACTATGTTTAGTATCACTGCCAATCTTGGAAAAGTGAAATATATCGACGGCTAACCCCAGCTGGAAGCATGCTTGATTAGCTGATCGTTTGAAGGCATATCATACAAGGACAACCTTGGGAGTTACATTATCTGGGTTTATGTATATGCAATCGAAGACGAAGTCCTGCATAAGTGGATACCATGCAGGCACCCGTGGACCTGGGCAGGATCAAACATTGCCAAAAATACCCGTTCAGTTCAACTCTTTCATTGAACTCATGGGGACAATGGTGAAGCTGATAGCCCCAGCGTTCGCCGTACCCGCTTCTTTAGCGGGTGCCCTGACGGATTGGCGTATTGGACCTGGATGCCACAGATCCGGCAAGAACCCCGGGCACCAGTCGGCAAGGAATCCTCGCAGAAACCTAAGCCACCCAGGTCGAGCTCATGGATTCGCTCTGAGTTGTCTCAGCACGTTCTTCACTGTCCCCGCCCTCTCTTTCTAGGTTGATAAGAAATTATTTGTCTGTATCAGACACTGGGGCCATGCCATCATAGACTGGATGACTGGTTATTCGGATCATACTGACTTGGATATTAGCAATGTCATCATTCGCGTGGGCAAGTTCCCTTATCGATACACTAATGGAGGTATCATCTCCACCCACAAGAATGTCCTAGGCCACATATTTTTCTCTCTGTTGTCAATCACAATGATCTGACGGTTGACGATACGGTCTATCTTGCCTCGGAGTTTGCGGGTGATCAACGCGAGGAGTACGAGGCTTACCTTAGTGGTCAGATTTCTGTCTGGAAAAGCTTTACGAACCAGAGTATAGCCATGAAGGCAGGCTTGACGTTGTCAAATATCATGCAGCAGCTTGCTATTAAAGGTTGAGATTGAGCATCGTAGACCGAGAGATGTCTGAGCGATAGTAGTGATGGTTGCATTAATATTGATTTCCTTCGTGCTTTGCACTTCCTGATAAGCCATCCTTGATGCTCTCTCTTCTGCTGAATCTAGACTACTTCTACCCTATGTCGTGCTTTTAAACACCAATGCATCTACAAAGATAAGATTCCACCCTGTAGATCCTCCCCGCACTCCACATGCGCCTATTCAGTCCCCACATCTATCCGCACTCAAACCGAACCACCTACAACATACATCACCCTCATACGCAGAGCCACCATGATCAAAATGACCTTTCAACTCCCAGAACAATTCGCCCAGATACCTCGCTATCAACTCCTATATTCCCATGCATCACCAATTCACCCACTAAAATCGCTCGCACCCCCACCTGGACATCACCCCAACCATCCCAAGATATCCATCTTCGCCAAACGTGAAGACCAATCATCGCCCCTAGCATGTTCAGGCAACAAATACCGTAAGCTGGAATACATAGTCCCAGACATTCTTTCCGACGCCCCAAGGTATGGGTACCATGAACACCACCCACCGGGGGAAAAGATATTCCCCTCCGCGGACCAGCAACCATGCTCGTCACAGAAGGCGCAATCCAAAGCAACCACACTGTCCAAGTTGCCGCCTTAGCACGAAAACTAGGACTCAAAGCTCTGGTCCTGCTACACCGCGGTACGGGCGGTGGACTGCGCACTGCCTCTGACAAGGGGTCGTTTCTACGTACGGGGAATGTGCAGATCAATCGGTTCTTAGGTGCCGATGTACAGGTCTATGAAGAAGGGGATCCAGTGGCCGATGACGCGAATCCGGTTCTGGAGAAATTGCGTGGAAAAGGCGAGGTTCCCTATTGGATTCCTGGTGGGGCGAGCCTGCATCCGCTCGGCGGACTCGGGTATGCGCGTGCAGCGGTGGAGATTGCAGAGCAAGAACAGACGCTTCAGTTAGAGGGATCGGGAAAATTTGATGTTATATTTGTGGCATGTGGGAGTGGGAGTACGCATGGAGGGTTGATTGCAGGGTTTAAAATGCTGGATAAGATGGGGGGATCTACGGTATCGAGGAAGCTTATGGGAATTTTGAACTCACCGACGAAGCCACGAGTTTATCATGAGGAGAGGGTTCTTACTTTTGCGCGGCGCGCTGGTGCATTTATTGGGTTGGATGCAGAACAGAATATACGTAAGGAAGATGTGTGGCTTGAAGACGGGTTCGTCGGAACGGGGTACGGGATTCTGGATGAGCATACCGGCCTTGCTTTGGAGAGGATGGCGCAGATGGAGGGTGTTATCTTGGATCCGGTGTATACTGCTAAGGTTGCTTCGGCAATGATGCAGTGGGTGCAGGAGAAGGGGGTCAGAGATTATGCGGAGGAACATGGGTTGAAACATGTGAATGTGTTATTTATTCACACAGGTGGCCAGGCTGCACTAGGAGCATATGCAGATAGACTTTGAGGATAACAATGGGCCGGACAAAATAACAATGGCTGCATTCAACTAGTATTACACGGTGACTAGCAAGTAAAAAGAAATCGAGGAGGTGGACTATCGCGGTCATCAGAAACATAGCCGTTAGGTGGCATTTGAAAATAGAACATAGAAGAGAAAAGAAAAGAGAAAAGCGCTAAAAAACTCCACGGGCACGCCTGGCCCTGTCACCTTGTAAGACACCCTTGTCCGGAATCAACCCGCATTGGACAGGCGAGTGGTAATGAGAAACACGTGAGGAAAGATAGATTCAAAAAGAGGAAAAGTTGAGCACGCATTCAACAATAGCGATACATGGGAAGAGGAACAAATCAAGACTCCGCCTCAATCTTTTCGTCACTGATCGGCGCCGTGGCATCTTGGATGTCGACACTATGAACATCGCCGTTTTGAGCAGACTCATCATTGGGAGAGGGTGCTCGGCTACTGCCATTGCTAGCATTGAGTGCCTCAAGAGCCTCGTTGGCATGAGTGTTCTCCATAGCCTCTGCCTCGGGCTCGACGTCTTGATTGGTAAGATCTGCAAACATCTCGTCCATATTTGGACGAGGGCTGCTGCTGACAAATTGAGGATCACGATCGAAGCGAACTGGACTGAAAAGAGGAGGCTCAAGGCCTTGCTGGGGCGTTGGAGAGCGTGGTAGGAAAGAGGGGGATTGAGTAGCTTCGGCAACATGAGGCAAGAATGCGGAAGATGCAGGCGCGAAGGCCGGTGTTGAATCACTGGCGGGCAGGGAGTAATTGGCAGAGAATGGATATGATGTGTTATTGGCCGAGTCCGACATGGGAGTCAACGTCGGCCCGGTGGTTGGAGGCTGGTTGCTATTTGGGGTTGGCGTGGCCGGCTGCAAAGAAGTGGGTCTGGGAGTAGTCTGAGGCTGGGCCTGCAGATCGACCGACTTGCGCTTCGCTGCCATGTGCTTCGCCCGCAGATGCTCTGGGAGATCTTCGGGACGTTCAACACCAAGTTGCGCCATGATCTTTTGCTGCTTAGTGGGCCGAGGTTTGCGGGTCGAGAGGGACTGGTCCAGAATTGGTGGTGGTTCCGGTGCAACAGGCGCCCATTTATGAATCTCCTGCCGGAAGAAGTTGGTCTCATATGTTAGAAGAACCTCAGCACCTTCAATCTTCCGCAAGTAGAAAATTAACGTAGGTACTTCCTCCGTAGTCGTACAAGCAGCGTTGGTGAAGCCTTGGAGGAAATCACGGAACGCAGTAGCCTGGTTCACGATGCTATCCAAGACTCCCTCCTCGTCGGGCTGAAAAGGAAGGGTAGCGATCTCGGCTTGCCAGTCCAGCAAGTCTTCCAGTTTGGGGCGAGCTGCATCCCGAGGGATCTTCTGGCGCCAATCACAAATTGGACAAGTGTATTTGTCAAACTCCTTGACCTTGCCTCGCGCAATCTTCAAACATTTCCCATGGTACCTAGGTGGTATTAGTTATGGATGTTAATCTGGACTAGGTAAAAATCCTACTCACCACTCGTGACAAACTTCACATTCAATCATCATCCCTGCTTCCGAATGCCTACAGATGCAAAAAACATCCCGCTTGCGAGACTTCGGACCCCAAACGTTGGACACGTTAGGATTGGGATTCTCCAGCAACCCATCCGGAGTGTTGTCTCGGGAAGAAGGTTCAACAGGAGGACGATAGCTGTCCTCCAAGTCAAAACAGTAAGAATTTCGCTTCTCCACATACTCCATATGGGACTTCAGGATGTGTAAAGGAGCATTAGCTTTGCCGAATAGCTTTTTGCCCTTTCGCATCCAGTCCTCGTGGCGCTTCTGCTCACGTTCCAGGTCGATGGCCCCAATTGGCCGGCTGTTGAGTTGCTCGAGAGACTCGGTGAGTTCACGAACATCTTTGTAAACAGGTCGATTCCTCAGATCGGGATCCTTGCTCTTTTCATACAGAGTCTGGATCCGTTTCTGTGCCTCTCGCTGTTTGGTCAAGATAGCATCAACAGCAGCTAAAATGTCAGGGGAAACCGGGAAGCGAGTGGCTTGCGCCGAGAGAGCCTCCAATTGCTGGTAGTGTACCGCCTCGACCGCCATCAATTCCTTGGCTTTGGTTTCCCATGCTTCGCCGTGTCGGCCGAGTTCCTTGAAATGGAGCAGGTGCTCATTGGTGTCAGAAAGTCCTAGTTTTTGTCCTGTGGCAATAATCTCCTGGCAATCCTTTAGGGTGAGGTATTGGTCCCGCCTACGAGCGGCCTCTTCGGTCCATTTCAGTTGTTGCGATATTTTCTCCAAATGTTCGACTTCCGGGATCTCCACGTTGAAATTTCGGCCGGACTCAACGAGTTCCTCTATATCCTGGGTCGATCGGGTATGCGGGTTCATCAGGGCGGCGTTAACATCCTGGCGGAATTTTTCGATCTCGCGGGTCTTCTCTTCCAGAGCCGCCATCTGTGGACAGTCGAAGGAAAGTTTATCAGCCTCTGCCAGTAGGGCGTAGATACTCTCCACTCTGCGGACTTCACGATCACGATCGTCCAGCTGCGCCGCCTTGGAGCCGGCCTTGCGCCATGCTTTTTCGTTTTTTCTGCGGTTTTGCTGCTTCCGGGTGATGTAGTTGTTCGCCTCCTCAACCCATTTATCGCAACGCTGGACGAAGGCCGCAAGATCTTGGAGGCCAGGCAGGTGGTACGGGATTTTCTCACCTTCACTGAGCAAGTGGTGGAGGGCCTTCAGCTGGGGCTTTGGCTCATCCTCTAGGGTCTTGTCGAGCTTTTCCCCCCATACCTCGGGGATCCTGGCTCTTTCTTGGACTCTTTGGACCACTGCCTTGAGCTCATCATCACTGACACGGTAGCGCAGGGTGTGGCCTGGCCCCAGGAGTTTCTGGGGCAGGGACTCACCACAGCAGTCATAAGCCTCAACATGCAACAAGCAAAGACTCTTGCCTGACTTGTGGCAACGGAACTGCGTGAGGTAAGTGTAGGTCTTACAGTGCTGGCACTGATAGTCATCCTCCGGGAGATCCTCCTCTTCCACTACGAACTTAAGCTGACATTCACCTGTCGGGGTGTTGGTGCCAATGCCACAATTATGAGGCATAGCGTCCCGATGGCGGGTCAGGAACGATGCTCGGTCAGCGAGTTCCCGATGGCAAGTTCGCTCAAGTGCAGGTGCCAGCCACTTGGCAGTTGTAATGCTTGTATCTCGAGCAGCAGCCGTGAAAAGTAGTTCATCATGGGAAAAGCACGGATGCCGGCGGAATGTTTGTAGGCGTTCTACTCCTGCTGCGCCCCAGGGTTCCCAATCGGCAGGGGCAAAGTTGACCGCTTCATTGAAGTTGAATCCGTGGTTGAAGCCAGCATGGTACGCTTGGGGGAATGTCAGAACAAACTGACCAGCTCTCTGATCCACTGCATAGACGTTGACACCAGCCTTCCGCAGCTTGTCCGGCGGCATTAAGGTAACGAGCTGAAACAGAAGGTCGGGCTGGCCTTCGAATAGCTCCGGAACTGCCTCACGCATAGCTGCTTCAAAAGCCTGTGCATCGGCCCCAGGGATTCCATACCAAGTCTTGGTCGCACCAAAATGCTGGTAGTTGGCAGAATAGGCGTAATGATCCTCGTTGTGCCAGCAGAAGGTAGAGAAACACATTCCTACATAAACCCACGGCACAGTCATGCCAGAGACATCGGACTTGATGTGACGGAACAGCGAATCTCCATAGAAGGGGAGGACGTTCAAATTCCAAGGATCGGAGGAATGAGGATCAAGCGGGTTTCGTTCAATGGTGGGGAATCCACTGCCATGGGTGGTAGAGTGAATATCAGCACCGTATTCGACCTCAACCGTCTCGTGCAAGTCCACCACTAGTTTCCAGAACTCGGCTTCCACATCGTCCTCAGTTTCACGTCGATGTGTGTTGAGAACGGGATCAAATGGCATTTTGGAAGCGAAATAGCGCTTCTTGAACTCGTTCGCCTTTTCTTGGAATTGCTTCAATGAATAAACACCTCCGTCTTCAAATCCGAACTCGCCAGTTCCTACCAGACATTTGGGACAGTGCCAATCATAATCTGAAGGAGCTGTGGTGGATGGGTCGAGGCAGGTTGTGTGGTAACCGAGTTCGCAACTATCGCACATGAGAATACTCGAGCGGTCATCAGACTTGCCGCATGACTCGCATTTCTAAAAACAAAAGCTTAGTTAAACCAGTCAATATTCATTGTCAAAAAGTAGCTTACCTCGCCGGTCCGTGGCGCACCGTCCTTGCGCGGCTTAGGTTGTGCGGGCCGGAGAAGGGACATATGTGAGCCTGCCACAGTTGGAGCACCATCTTGTAAAGTAATTGACCGTCAGATAAGAGTCATAAAATAAGCACAAAACAAATACGATACCTTTCTTAAGGCGCTTGCTCCGCCGACCGCTGCCTCCGTCGTCCCCATTGTCGGGTTGGGAACCACTGTCATGACTAATTGCGCGCTTTACAGGCAAGCCGGCCTGGCCATTCGGGACAGGTGTCGAATGAGCGGGGTGATCAATGACATTTTTGGGTGTTGCCGTTCCATTTTCCCCTTCGTGTTTGATGGCTGGGCCATTGTTCACCACTGCAAAGCCCGGTGAGTGGATAGCAGGAGAGTGAGCAGCAGCAGGAGAGTGAGCAACAGCAGGAGAGTGAGCAATAGCAGGAGAGTGGTTGACGGCAGTAAAGCCACCTAGACCAGCATTTACGGGGGTAAAGCCAGAGGGCGCTGGACGCGGAGGGGGCGTGGGTTCGACGGATGGGGTGGGCATATCAGCGGGATTGTGCACTGGTGTACTCGCAGCTGGCACCATTCGCATTAACGGTGTTTCTTCACGCGGTTTGGAAGGGGTGCCATTTTCGTCCAGTATCGGCTTTTTGAGCATAGGTGAATTCCTCGGGGATGGGGTAAAAGGACCACCATGTTCCATCTCAAGCTGCTGCTGGACGCCAGGCTTGGCCCGAGCAAGGTATTCCTCGTACGGCTGTAGGTAACGCTGGTAGGAGTTTTTGAGCGAGGTCGACAGAGAAGACATGATCTTTCCGCTGTATCCAAGGTCGCGACCAATCTCTGCCCATTTCTTGGTTTTACACACTTGCTCGAATCCACCCCGAGTTTCAACAGCCTTTTTCAGCTTGTAGAGGTCTAGAGGGCGTTTGTCGACGCTGGGTAACCGGCTGTAATTCGTCCCGTGCTGCTTGTGAAACATGGCGAGCCCATCGATATAGTTCATATTGGCGCGGTTTCCTGGGTTAGAGTCTGGGTTAGAACCGCGCTGTGGAGTGGTTCCACCGGCAGCAAGATCAGCCGAACGCGGGGCCATACCTCCTTCGACCGAGTTGAGTTCTTGTCGACGGGTCTTGAAATGGAATCGCTGGAGAAAAGGATGCAAGTTAGTCGACCAAGTTTAAGACAGGATTGATACAGTAGATGGGAGGAGATGAAATGAGCCTCCACGCGTGTCGAGGCTCAGCAAATTTAGCAAAAATGATGACAAGGATCTTGCAAGAGGCTTACCTCTGTATCAATCGCAAAAGATGGCTGCCAGCCATCCGGTGGGATAACTCTGCAGATGCCATATTTCTTCCCCTCGGGTGCAATCTTCTGGATGTACGCCACAGGATCCTTAAACTCCTCCTCGGTTGGGCGAAATGTCGGCGCCTCGGGAATGCCGTGAGGGCGAATGCGCTTCGATGGCTCGCGAGGAGCATTGGACTGGCCACGCCGTTCTACAGTGGCCAAATCAAGTGGTGCGGATCTTCGAGCGCTCAAGGGTACGTTATGGGAATGCGACGGGTGGGTGCTTGAAGATCGGGTTGGCTGAGGGCCCATCGAGGGCCGGCTGGCCATCGGGCTCGCTCCGGTCGAGGCCGGAGCCACCATCTCTTCTGATTGTCGAAATTATGGGATATATGAGAGGAGGATTCCGGCCTGAATGCGCCTAATTCGAGTACCGAGGGAAAGGTCACTAGTAACGCGATGGGCGCATTGGAAGGGTGACGAGGTAGAATCGAGAACAAGGGCAAAGGTAGGTTTCCTAGGAAGAGTGAAGATGGGAGGAATTCGGAGCCTCGATATTAAGATTAGACCGAGGTGTAGGGGGTAAAGAGGACAGGAAACAAGGAATAAGAGAATCAAATGGGCGACAGTTAAGCCAAAGCCGCAGGAGAGGAAAGGAAAGGAAGGATAGATTTGATAGTGGAGGAATGGGATTATGTGCAGCGGATGCTCCGAGGTACCATTGGGGTCACTTCTGTGTGGGCCACTTACGGCAAAGGGACTTGTAAGTGACTCGACTGATCTCCATGGGACCAAATACAGTACCGTATGGTCATAGGCTGGTCATGATCGACTCCGGTCCGCCATTTAGGCGCGGTTCCTGACTCTGATATTGGTAATATACGGTAAGTATTGAAATATAGCGTAATCTATTGTAGTATACGGTCATATCCCGTAATGCGCTGGCACATTCTCGAGTAAGATGTGGTAATTGTACCGTCACTAATGCTCGAGGCCGCAAACGGGGAGACGCATCATACGGTCCGATTATCTGTTGGATCAGGGATTTACCGGCAGGTCCGAGCGCTTTTTTGTGGTTCAATACTGAGTGGGTTCGTTTGTGATACATGGAATTTTATGCATTATCCCCCATATTAATCGTTGCTTATACTGTAGACTTAAATAGTATGTATCAACCGAATTCCCTGCTAAACTAAAACCCTGCGTTTATCTTGTTTGCTCACAAGTTACATCTAAATTGTGATCCTTGATACGCTTTACTTGAAAATTATGACCACTCCGTACCGCGGCACGTCGTCCCATCAAGCTAAAACTAGATCAGCGCGATCGGCCAAGCATTATTGGGGCCAAATCGCCTCATCCATATTTCTTACACCAGGGAGAATGATGATTTCCAATACATGATAACATAATTGTTGGGCATTTTTGAAGTCGCAAATTGTCATGTGATCCTCATAGTTGACGTGGCCGCGACTTACGACCGACTTTCCTCCCAACCCAGGAAGATAAGCAAAGACCAGTCTGCAACTATGGAGGTGCAGGCTGAAATCCGGCCGATCCCGGGATATTACTGCTGCTACCTTCTTCGCTCAACCGTCCGACACGCCTCTCTTTACATTGGATCCACGCCAAACCCGATTAGGCGACTTTCTCAGCACAATGGGGATGCTAAAGGCGGAGCCAAGCGCACGGCTCGTGACCAATTACGACCATGGGAGATGGTTTTGGTCGTCGAGGGTTTCATGAGCCGCGTAGGGGCTCTCCAATTCGAGTGGGTTTTCTCGTATCCTCTTGTGCGAAATATGCAACTAATCATCTAATGAGACTAGATGGGCTTGGCAACACCCAGACAGAACGAGACACATCGCCTCAGATGCCGATGATCATCCATCTCAATCAAAAGTCGTTGTGAACCCAAAGACTGGGAAAACAAAACCACGACCCGGTCGCTCTAGGAGATCTTTGACGGCCCATCTAGAGGACCTACACACCCTACTACGATCGGCCTACTTTTCCACGTGGCCTTTACGTGTGCGGTTCTTCTGCGCAGATGTCTATCGCGTCTGGAGGGTGTGGAACGACCGTGTGAGTACGCCTCTTCCTGCGGACAAAGTCATCCTGGATGGGGACTGTTCAATGCAAGGTGGTGTCAATAACAACCAAAGAGTGGATCACATTCAAAATCTATCAGTCGACTACACACCACTCGAAAGCTACCTCGAGAAGTCGATGTTTATTCTGGACGACTCAGACGAGCTGCAATGTCAGATATGCAAAGCGCAAGTTGAACCCAGTACGCAACAGATCGTGATGTGTCCACAGAGTTCGTGCCGAGGCACCAGTCATCTATTGTGTCTATCTACCCATTTTCTCGATACAGGTGATGACTCAGATGCCCTTGTGCCGACACGGGGCAACTGTCCAGCATGTAAAGAAATTGTGGGGTGGCCGCTCATGATGCAAGAGCTGAGTCTTCGCAATCGAGCCGAGAAGGAAGCTCGATTAATCCTGCGCAGGAAAGACAAGCGCGAACGGAAGGAATTGGCGAAACATTCAAGTAGCCAAAGCAGCCCCAAGAAATCGACCACCGCGCGTGACGTCTCCATCGAACCAACGTGCTCTCTCACCGAACATGACCCCTTGTTGGATGATGATTGGTGTGAAAGAGTAGAGCTGGAGTCGGATACAGAGTTCAGCAGTGGGAAGCGCGCTCTATCATCTCCACAGCCCACCAGATTGGAAATCGTGATTGAAGATAGCGACTGGGATGATGCAGAATCGTAGAATGATGGAAGGAATACCCTAGAGCTTATTATGGTTGACCATAACATCTTAGTTGGCAAGGGGCCCCAATGTCCTCAAAGGTCCGGTCACATCAAGGCTTGAAATGCAACCTGAAACAGCGTTCTGGACTTCTTGCGATACTTCTTCCAGTGATTTTCCAGCATCGATCACACGAATATCCTCCTGTCGATCAAATAAGGTGCGAAAGAGCTCCCGGACACGTGTCTGCATTGTCTCATTCTCATACCGCTCCGCCCCGTAACCACCGCGTTTCGCAGCCTCCTCGGCGGAGATACTGAGGAACAGGCAAATATCCGGGCGAGGGAGGCCGATCTCTGGCTGCCATGCCCACTCCAAGGAGAGTGTGGGGTTGGCTTTGGCAGCTGAGTAAACGGCACCTGAGTAAGAGTAACGGTCCACAATGACCGTAGTACCGCTTGTGATGTCTTGTTCAATGCTCTTGGCGATCTCCCATCGGTTTGCTGAGAACAGAAGATGAATGGAATGGTCGTCTTGATTGGCTGAGCCCAGTAGGTAGTTATTTATGAGCTGACCAATGGGTGTTGTTCTGTCTGGGCAAATTTTAGAACAATATCAGAGTCACTTGATGACATTTTTACACACCTGGAAAACGAATGTATTTCACAGTCTTTCCTTGATTTGAGAGATAGTCTCGTAGCATTTCGCATTGGCTTGATTTTCCTGCGCGGTCGAGTCCCTCGACGACAATGAGCGTACCGCGCCGCGTCGGCGCATGCTCTGACTGGCTGGCCATTTCGAATTAGGGATTATCGCGTTATAGGACAACTCTGCAATGGTTGAGATGTTAATTCATATGCAGATATATGTTTAAAAGTTCATATACACTCACTTTAGCCTGTCTCTGTTCCACCAGATGATAAACACTTAGACCTATCTCGTCGCGTCGATGGTCCGAAGAGCGCGTCCCACATCCACGCCGAACGGTGTAAGTCTCAGCACGGCCCGTTGGTCACATGACCTACCAACTTAGGCACAAGACATAGATCTATCAGCAAGCAATGCAGAAGGAGAGCTGAAAATCGTTTCATTCGCTAGAGATAAGTAGCACCAATAAGATGTGAGATTGATTTCTTAGTGCGACCAGTCCAGACATTGGACCCTGGAGGTACCTGTGAACCGACCTTTGAGGATCAAACATCGAAATATATATATTTTGCAGTCGATGAGATATCATTAGGCATTTATTTTTGCATACGTGTCTAGAAATGCCACACAAAAGTGACATCGGAGACCTTGACCGCTCAGCAAACCTTGCAGCCTTTATGTGGCAGCTGGGTATATCCAAGGTCTTCCCCCCGCTTCCTGGGCTGGCACACAATTTGACGATCATATGCACCCTGCTCATGATCCCACTCAAGTGCTGGCTATAAAAACATTTTTTCTTTTTCATGCATGGGATTGAGTAGCTGCAACAATACAATGATATTAATGGCACCTGTAAAATTACCAATCGGCTTCAGTTGCCCCGAATAATGGCGGCAAAACTCGTTCTATAGAAATCAACCTCGTTTGCTCCCCCGGCTTTTCTCCCCAATACAGGCATCCAATGACTAGAGCTGGCCGGGCCCACACAGTAATATGCTAGGACTTAGGCGATACTAGAGTGCCATGTGAACGTCAAAAGATGAACAGCGGCAATACTTATTGAGTCGACGGACGAAGCTGAATGGAAGGCACTAGACTCTTGCAGGACGTCATCAATAGGTAGATCCGAATTGAAGTGTGCAAAAGTGCAACGTATTTATGAAATTATCATCAAGGTTGTTGCCTATACTTATGCAAGGGAGGCTGCGTCTCGTGCCAGATAAGAACGATGTTGATCTGTCGATCAACCCGGCATTGAGGAAATCGTGGATAATACTGGCTTTAATTCTCATGGTCTTCGAACAACTCCTCTAGCAGAAGTGCCTGTAGCAATTACACGAAAATTATCATGGAGAGAGAAGAAGAAGAAGAAGAAGAAGAAGAAGAAGAAGAAGAAGAAGAAGAAGAAGAAGAAGGATAAAGTTGATGAGGGAACCAATAAGCCAAACAACGAAGGATACATATGTGTTGGGAATTTGAATAGTAAAACATTGGAAACTACGCAGCTAATTATTTTCACTGAACTTCCAAGTGCTTTTCGATCAAAGGGGCCGGTTCAACAAGCCATCACCTCCAGTCTTCCTTCGGCTGTCAGATCCAGTGTAACATTATGGCCTTTACCACTCAATTTATACAGACAACGGAGCTACTGTTTTTGGAATTCTGCAATTTTGATTTGTTAGATTTCGGACGATAGAAGATTGAATGAGACGAGAAAGAAAGATACACCTACAATCGCAGGGTAGACGATAGCATTCTTTAGGCAACAGAGTGTGTCTTCACTCTCACAGTAACCCGAATCTGATGGGCTGGTTAGTAAGGAAATCAATGTCTTCACATTTGCGCTCACCTGCACCGCATCGAGTCCCAGCGGTATTTCGAACAACATAGCCGGTGCAACAATAACATGCTCCCGGACTTCTTGCGACAAACTCATTCTCATCAAAAGATTCATCAGAGAGTTCATCAGCGGCAGTAAAACTTGATAATGCAAAGAGAGTAAAAAGATGAAGTAACTTCATTTTCGTAGTGCTAAGCCTGTGGTGCTGTGGTAGAATGTAATGTTCAGATCAGTGGTCTCAAGATAATTACAAGCAAGGCAAAAACGTCAATTGAAAGTTTTGAAGATTTGCCGGCTACTTTAAATAAGCCAACTTCGGGTCTAGAATGTTAGTTTCCACAAGATTCATTGGAATTACCATTCATCATTGACAGCTCACCTTGCTAACTTGAAACCATGGAATAACTTAGTGGCAGCCCAGAGTCAGCTCCATGCTCCGTGTATTGTAGTTTTGCCACGTCTAGATTGTAGGGTTGGTGGCGGATCTAGTTAGTCGCGACATTGGGAATTGGGTACGATCTACAAGAAAGAAGTTCTCCCACATTTCCAAGGTCCAACACAGGTCGATCTCTAAACTTGCTTTCGATCGACGGCTGCTGAAAATCTAGCCGGTATGGTGATCCGAAAGCCAGATGGTATGATTAAGGGCCGACGGAAGATTCCTCATGTATGACACGGTATGCCATAAGAGTGCTGTCTTTTCGTAGTCAGACCGTGGTCGTTCGTAATCAACAGAGACAAGCAAAAACAGGAAAACAAACACAAAAAATGGAAGAAACTGGAGAAAGTAGCAGCTTTCGATTTTGGCTAGATTCAGATCCACTATAGATCTATATCGATGGTAAGAGCCGTTTTCAGACGTGAACTCTCTTTTGATCCACCGATGTCTACACCCTGGTTCCACCTAGACCACGCGGCAGTCCTTTAGGGAGCCTATGGGCCACATAACAAACGACAGGGCATAATCGTGGTTTAATCACACAGATGATCCTATAATTTCTTGTTTTTAATTGTGATTGCACATCTAGGCGCATACTCAAATATTGTTTGTAATGCGTCATTATTTTCAGTTTTGCAAGCGCTGGGTCTAGGCTATACCCGACCCGGGCTTTGGTGGAATCTGGAAGCCTTTATTTCCAAGGGTGAACTCGTATTATGAGCTTGTCTGGTTTTTCCTTGTGTCTACGTCAAAAGTGTATCTGTTCGTATCTTTGTCATGCTGCTAAAATGGAGCTTTGCCATCGTGAACGTGACTGCACTTACCCCCATGAATTGAGTTTATTGGCGGCAGCCTTTCCTACCAGCTTTGAACTACGTTCATTTGTCTCATCTTTACGGCTCACATGGGGTTTCAATCGGGCAAATACATGGTGATGCCGACTTCACAGACAACGTTAGCGACACCGGTTTTTTTAACAGAAATGAAGCTGGGACCCATCGACGCCGTTTACACATGGGTAAATGGGTCAGATCCAAGATGGAAAAGCGAGAGAGACTTTTGGTATCAGCAATGGGTTCAAGGATTTGATGGACCAAACCGGAAAATCCAAAATGAGCGTAAGAGTAGCTCCGAGGATGATGGTGCTTCTGCCGACTATCATTTTCGAGACAACGACGAGCTCAAATATTCAGTTCGCTCCTTGGACAAATATGCGCCATGGATCCGCCAGATATTTATTGTGACGAACGGCCAAGTTCCCGCTTGGTTAGACCAGGACAATCCTCGCATCAGAATTGTTAAGCACTCGGAAATATTTGATAATACCTCTCACCTGCCGGTTTTCTCATCCTCTTCCATTGAGAGCAATTTGGACAGGATTCCAGGCCTCAGTGATGCCTTTCTTTACTTCAATGATGACGTTTTTCTTGGTGCCCCTATATGGCCAGATGATTTTATCACACCATCTGGAGAGCAAACGATCTACCTATCTCACCCAGTTCCACTAGGTGATGATGCATACCCGGAGTATTGGGCTGGAGGCAAAGAACCTACTCCAGATAGTCCCGAATTGAAACGGGGGCGAGAGCTCGATGACTACGGCTTCGTGGATGATGAGCAGGGCGGTGTAAGGATTGAGCAGCTAGTAGGAAAAGTATATGCCTCTTCGGCATGCGATGTGGAAGCAGAGGTCCCTCAGTCCATACTTGATGAAGTTTTGAGGAACGACCTTCCTCTAGGACATGGTCACATTAATATTACCTCACTCTTAACCCACCAAAATCCCACCTCAAACGATGAGGTATCAGAGACGACAGAAAGAATGTCAGCACTGGATACCAAAAGTCGGATCAAACTTTTGGCGCTACTAGATGCATTACCGTATTGCCCCAATGACCATGATTTGGTGGCTGATGCAATTCGATCTGTGATAAACGCCTTCAACGAACGATTCAGTTTTTCAAAACACCTGCGGAGGGTCCCATCTCATATGCCTCATATGATCAAAAAGCAAGTCCTGACTGAACTCAAAAGAATATTTCCACAAGAATTCCAACAAAATTCAGCCCACCGGTTCAGACACCCCCAGGATCTACAGGTTGGCTTTGCTTATTTCAACTACCTCATCAATCGGCCCAACTTCTTGTCTTCTACCATGTGTGGGTTACAAGATCAAAGACCTGGCATAGATCGCAATTGCTGGTATGAAGAATATCATATCCGCACCCTGGAAAGCCTTCTGTACGGGGCCACTCCACCGGCAGGCTTTCACGACTCTTTTCAAAGGTGTCTTCACAATGGCTCTGGGTTCACAAGCGACTTACAGTTTCCGACCGATGCAGAAAAAAGAAGAGCTGTACCTATTAAAGACGTGGAGCGTTGCATCGATATGCCAAAGTTGCGATCCAATTTGCAAAAAGCGAAAGGATATAGACTGAAAATGGGAACCGATGTGGCCTTTCACATGTTGGGAGACGAATACCAGACTACGATGGACCAACTGCAGTCAACGAGAGACCGACGAACGAAATTCATCTGTCTCAATGATGATATGAAGAGCCCATCAATTGACTTGAGACGCGCTTTTAAGCAATTGCTTGAAGACCTGTGGCCCGAGCCTTCGGTCTTTGAACTGCAGGCAAGACCCGTTGCCCCCAACGAAAGCAATAAAGCAACGTCTCACGGGGAAGGAGATTTTCCGTATATCTTGTATATCTCCATTCTAATTTCGGGATGTACTCTGATACTGGTCTTGGGTTTGCGAATTTGGGCCAGACGAATTAGGCGCAGGACCACTGAGAATTAGCCCCGGTTTAGGGACGGATGCGCCGGAAGAGGCGTGGACAACAGATCTAAGAAAGGCGATTTGATCCATGGTTCATGACTACAACTGGGTCATTAAGAGTTCTGTGGCACGAACCAAACAAGATCCATGGATACTTGAACTTGGGCTGGATGTGGTGTTTCAAACTTCACGTAATTCAAGCTTACACTCTCCTTCGCCTAATACAAGCCTTGCTCACGTATCATGAAACACACATACTGCATTAAGCGTGTTAAGCTCAAAGATGTTTCTCAGAATTTGTCTCTCTCTTTTACTGGGCTCAATATTGACCAAATTGCCCCTGATGAGGTTCATTCCCCAAAGCTCTGCTTCATCTAGCATGACCCTTTTGCTCCTTCTCATCATTGGATCCCAAGGATTCATACTGAGCCCAGAGACAACATATGCAAGTCACTGGAAAGACATACCAACAGCGACAGATAATATTATCCGACAATCTCAAACATGTCCAGCGTCCTTCATTCCCCTTCCTAAAGGAACTCCAAGAAGAATCCCGCAGATCCAACACCAGTTCAATCCTGAAACTGAATACGATCGGCTTGAAAGGGCCGAAAGGCAACAGGCTGTGAAAGCAGCGTTCCAACATAGCTGGAATGGGTATAAAAACAATGCCTGGCTGTGGGACGAAGTATCGCCAATCAGTGGCGGTCACAAAAGTCCCCTTGGGGGCTGGCGGGCAACTTTGATCGACTCCTTGGACACACTACTTGTAATGGACTTGAATGAAGAGTTTGAGACCGCAATTGAATCCCTCCACGACATCGACTTTTCCACCTCGAAATCACCAAATATCAATGTCTTTGAGACAACCATCCGATATCTTGGAGGTTTGATCAGTGCATATGATATGACAGATGGAAAGCATTCTATCCTTCTAGAGAAGGCACAAGAATTGGCAGAGCTCTTGTATGGGGCGTTTGATACGCCAGACAGGATGCCACATACACGATGGCGATGGATCAGGTAGGCATTGAAGGTTTTTTTTTCAACTCTAAGAAATGACTCACCAGATCCTAGGACCAGTTTTCAGTCTTTAAAACAGCCCAGTGAACCTAAGCTCCTTGCCGAAATAGGTTCTTTGAGCCTAGAGTTCACTCGGCTTTCACAAATAACAGGCGATCCTACATATTATGATGCTGCACAGAGGATAACAAACAATCTACACAGTACACAAAACCAGACTAGATTACCGGGTCTATGGCCACTCTTGTTTGAAACTCATGTATTGAATCTCACAGAAGCCTACTTCACAGTAGGTGGCATGGCTGACTCCACCTACGAATACCTTGTCAAAGAGTATCTTCTCCTTGGAGGTCGATCATATCAATATCGGGACATGTACATCTCTGCAATGGAAGGAATCAAAAAGCATCTGCTCTTCCGTGGAATGGACAAAGATAGGGGAGATATATTATTTGCTGGAAATATCCGGTTCGACCCAGGATCCGACGAGGGGGTCTTTGAATATCAAATGGAGCATCTCAAGTGCTTTCTCGGGGGCATGGTTGGACTTGGCTCTAGAGTATTTAGTCGCGCAGAAGACTTGTCTATTGCACGAGAACTCGTGAACGGGTGTATTTGGGCATATTATCTCATGCCTACTGGGATTATGCCCGAAACTCTATACATTAGTGGCTGCAGAGATACAAATCGCTGTGAATGGGAGGAAGAAAAATGGTTTCGTGGCATTTTGGGATGGCCAGAAGGAAAGCAAATGCCTATGCATTTACGTGAGGCGACTCGGCTCATTATTCAAGATCATGGGCTACGGCCACCAGTACTGGAATTTGCTAATCCGAAATATCGTCTGAGGTAATTTAGAGTATCCGATGGGATTGACTGAGGTACAAACATACTGACTTTCCTTGACAGACCTGAGGCGATTGAATCTATCTTTGTCTTGTACAGAATCACCGGTGATAAGTCACTCCAAGAGGCTGCATGGCGAATATTTCAGAACATCGAGCGGTACAGCAAAGTCGAGCATGGCTATGCCGCTCTCAACGATACCCGTGACATACGGACAGCAAAATTGGATATTATGGAAAGCTTCTGGCTTGCAGAAACACTGAAGTACTTTTACCTAATTTTCTCAGATCCGAACTTGATCAGTCTGGATGAGTATGTTCTGTAAGTATGGCGTGTTCCTTTTGATTGGAGTTGAAGAACTCGACTAACAAGTTATACTCCATGATGTAGTAACACTGAGGGACATCCATTCAAATATGCATAAGTCCTTTCTACAATTTGAAAACCGCATTTTCCTATTTTAGAATCCAGGCAACGAGCTCGAAATCAAATTGTAATTTGTAATTGAACTCTTCAGTCTACCTTCTTCAACGGCTAATATCTGGCCCCGTGCCGGCCACCTGGGCACTCAAAGATCGAATATTGCGTATATGCTCTGTGATTTACGGTTGTCCCAAGATACTTTGTCTGCGACATGGACCAAGGAACTAAAATAATTGACTACCATGGTTCTAGTCTGCCACTATCGACTTATCTAGGCCGTCGACAGAAACGGCGAGAACACGAACACCACCCGCATATGTTTGGAACTATCGTACCGGTCATACGCCGATCTCTTCTCGAGCTTATTCTAAACTTGATCTGTAATTGCAATTTCATAGATCTAGGCATCCGTCGACTTCCGGTAGCTGCAATGCACTACCTAGACGTTGGATAGGGCGTTGGCCTTCAAGTCATTTTTGTTCAATATTGGCTGCCCTCGGAATATCATCAATCTAAAAGACGATCAACATTTCCTGGCTCCAAAAAAATCACTTCAGAAGTCATCCGAAAGGGAATAGCTGGTAAAAATGGTTGCAGCTATTGCGAAAGCAGGCTTCCCTGTTAATCAACATCCTCAATTGAGCTGGGACTTAATATTCACTGCTTGGCCTACGGGGCTGGTAACCGGTAACTATTCTTATGATACACAATTCAAACCTCAAGAGTTACCAGTTCTGGGAATAGGGAATTCTGTCAAGCTAGACTTGCAGGTTCCTGAGCTATCATCGTTATGGAATCAGACCAGTCATTCCGACAGTTCGAAACACTTTGTTCCAAGTTTACAGCTCCAAAACAATTACCAAGCGGTCGAATTTGAGGGCAGATGCCGTGATATCCCAGCCGTGCCTATTTCAAACGACCGGGGACAATTGCACAGCACGGAAATATTCTCACGTGGATGGCCTGACCAGGCCCCAGACACTGTTTGCGGCTGGGGATCCAGCGAAAAACATACCCGACTAGTTCGAAAAGAATTCGTTGAGTTATTAAACACCTACCATGTGAAAGTACTTAATGATGCTGGCTGCGGTGACCTTTCATGGATGAGCATGGTAGACCTCGACGGGGTCGACTATATTGGCTACGATTTATATGAGCGAGCGAACTGGGCCGATTTACGACAACGCGGTTATCATCTGGACGTTCTTGATATCACGGCAAATGAACTGCGCCCTGCCGATCTACTCATTTGTCGCGATGTTTTCATTCATTTGCCGAACGACATGATCCTTGCCACGTTGGAGCGATTTCGCCGATCGGCCTCCCTGCTCCTCACTACAGGCTACACCAGTGACCCGAGTCTGAGTGAAGGGGAATTCTCGAATTTCAAGCGAATGGATGAGCCAAATCTGCATCACAGAAAGCTCGATCTTACTCTACCTCCATTCAACCTTGGCCAACCTCTTGTTCGCATCCCAGAGGACTCGCCTAATAAATATCTCGGACTCTGGGACCTGAATTACCCGCAAACTTGCCTTTGATGACAGATATTGCTTTCTCAAACATGTTAAATTTCACGACTGGAGGAGAGGCTCTTGTAGTCTCTACTGAATTCATCTCGGGTGGACTTCCTTCCTGTATAATCGAGTAAATTGTTGTAAGTAGATTGTGTTGAAAATACGAAGTAAACGATTCTAAATGAAAGAAGCATACTGTGGGAAAAGAAAAAGACTCATTTGGAAGACCTGGACCGCGGGTAGCCATTTCAATGTTGGGTCTTGGATTCATTACATAAACCTTAATCAAGCTTAACTTGCTCATGGATTTGCTGACCACGAACCGAGGTCGAGTGACACGAGACCTTGCCAGACAAGAACCACGTAACTTCTATACAAATCAAGCTAGAGGAACACTGTCAGACCTGGACTTCCGGACCGGACCTTCCGGCAGCAGCAGGTCAACCTTAGAATAAAGTCTAACTTATCGCTTGTTGCTTCACCTAGTGTCCTCTCGAAAATTCCTATTGACTTCTGACAACCAGACTTATACTATTACTTCCAGTGCTTAGCATGGTGCGGTCTCTTCTTCTCTCATGTGGGTTGCTGTCGTTCGCTCTCGCAGAATCAGGTTGGCCGTCTACGTCATTCCAGACTGGAGAATGGCAACCCCCGTATCTGAGCCTCAATAAAACCGGTGAAACGGACCCAGGATATCTTTTTATAGGCGTTCGAAAATACAAACAAGCCGGCAACGCGCCCACAATCTTCGACAACAATGGCAACATGGTGTGGCAGGGCCCACATGGGGAGAACATGGATTTTAAGGTGCAAAAGCTTTTTGGCCGGGATGTGATCACATATTGGGATGCACAGCCAGATCTCAGGGTGCTAGGTTATGGATCAGCACATATTCTTGACACCTCATATCAAGAAATCTTCACAGTCACCCTGAACGATGACTTCCAGACTGCCAGTGGCAAAATATTTGACTCTTATATCGATGGTCACGAGCACTACATCACGCCCCAAAATACTATGCTGGTCTCGGCTGTCAATTTTACCCAAACAGACACTAGCCATCTGAGAAGAGGTAGGCCCGACATGTGGGTCATTGACTCTCTGTTCTACGAAATCGATATCAAAACAAATCAGATCTTGTTCAAATGGGATGCACTGGAGCACATTCCGATCTCCAAGACAAGACTTGACCTGAAAGGTGGCAAGAATTTGACAGACGCGTGGGATGCTTACCACATAAACTCGGTCACGCCTACGAGACATGGATATCTGGTTAACTTTCGACACATCTTCTCTGCTTTCTATATCAACAAGAACGGTTCCGTCCGATGGGAACTATCTGTGAGTGCACCTAATCATGGCCATATTGTTTTATCTCTTTTTATTTGTTTGCTTGAATATATCCGCTCACTTGATAATTCTTCTAGGGTGACAGTGAAGGTGGCGGTGACTTCAAAAGTCACAACGTAAAGTTTGAATGGCAACATGACATTCGTGTCTACAACGAATCTGACGAAAGCCTGGTTCTCAGTCTAATGAACAATGATGCCATGGAAAATCAGGACAAAGGCCCATCAAGAGGACTGGTTGTCTACATTGACCTCGTCAGCAAGGAGGCATGGAGAACACACGAGTTGACAGATCCAACGGACATCGTTGTCAGCGCAACCCAAGGTAGCCTCCAGTTTCTCCCATACACAGGAACAGAACACATGCTACTAGGCTACGGGTCGATACCAAAATTCAAGGAATACGATGCAGACGGAAACGTGGTTCTCAGTGGTCAATTTGGAATCAACCCATTTGAGGCGAATGCCTACCGGATATTTAAATTCCCATGGAGAGCTTATCCGCATTGGGATCCTGTTCTAGTCGTCAACCAAACAACAGAGTATACCACCGATGTTTACATGAGCTGGAACGGTGCTACAGATTACGACAACTGGGCCATTTTATCAGCCCCCTCTAAGACCTCCTTATTACAGGAAGAAAAACTCCTCCTGGCTCATGAACGGACTGGATTCGAAACCCATGTCCAACTTGAAAATGTCAACGCTAAATTCATCTTTGCTGTTGCCAGAGAGGGCGAGAAGATCTTGGCAAAGTCACCTATTGTGGAGTATTCTGCTTGCTTCATTACTCACGGACAAAAGAGCCTAAACGGCTTTGAGAAGGACGGATGGGACTACATTTGACACAATCTTCTTCACATGGTATAAAGGCGGGCTCTTCATTGGATCTCGCTCTCACATTTCTTGCATCAGTCATCAGTCAATTTCATAAACCGGATTCAGTACATGAGTTTTGAGTTCGGTACTATCTATACTCATATATCAAGGTTCATCCTGACGTGTACCTCCAGGTCATCCGACTGCACTAACTAGCAGAATACCTAGTAATAAATTACTTTAGTTTAACATTAACTCATAATGAATGACAGGGGTCACGTACTCTAAGCCTTAGTCAAGACAAATTCCTGTTCGAGACCAGGTTCATATCCAGCCAGTTTCAGCTTGTTATCGTCTGCGAGACGTAGGAAATAACCAGTTCCATTTGCAACCAGCTCGTATGTGTTATCCGCAACGAGCTCCGGGCGGTAGGATGTGGGATCCTCTCCAGCTGTGCATAGGCTATCCAGTGCTGGGCAATCGATGTATGCGCCAAGGGTATTTGTAACCAAGAAGTACTCTTCTTCGTCAGTCGGGGTAAAGTCCCAAATTTGGCCAGGGTGTCCATTGGCGGTGTTGAAGACGAGGTCTTCTTGACCAGGCACTTCAGTCAACACTTTGGTCTTCTCAAGACTGGCTGAACCGATCTTATAGGTGCCTTCGCTGAAGCAATATGCTGAGCTGCAAAGAGTGGCAAGAGCAGTCAGAGTGAGAAAGGACTTCATTTTGTTGGTGAGTGCAGACAAAATTGAAGAATATCGAAAGGTATAGATGATTTTAGGTTGAGATTGAGAGAAAGAATGGATTGTGTATTACATTGGACACGGAAGTTTTGCGCAATTTATATCTTCCAACAATATTTGGCCCGGGTGACCAATCTCGGAGGTTGGCTTGACCGTCACGGAGAGCCTGGAAAGAATGAGACAATTATGCGTAAACTATTGATCTGTGCATGGGTAAATATCGAGCTATTTACTGGCGTTACACAAAGACACATAGTATGCAGGGGGGAGTCTACTCGTGCCGGGTAAGGGCCATGCCGATCTGTCGATCAACCAGCCTTGGGGAAAATGATCATCATTGTATTCGTTGTTGCTATCTGACACAGCTAAAGAAGATGCTCAATGCCTCTTCTAAGCAACTTTCATGTGTTTTCCGCTCACGGGTCAGTATAGTATTGTTCATGCTTGCTGGATACCTAAAAGAATTGGGTTGATTCAGCTCAAGCTCGAGCCACAGACGTCATTATCCAAAGCCATTGGCTGCTGAAAGAGCTCGAAAAAGGAACGAAAATGTCCTAGTGTAACAAAACGATCTACTTTTGCGGTGTACAGTATGGAGCTCTTTCTGTGGCCATCGTGCATGATCGAGACTTACCTGCAGCATTCCCACGATGCGCCGTGTCATGTGGCTGGCTGGCTTGTGGTAATTATAATAATATTAGTCGCTGAGGTTGTGACCTCTGCCCAGGTGCGGAATGGAGACTATTGTTGATGGCTAATAGACTCATTGTTACTGTAGACCTCCTAACCCCGGAGAAACAAAAATCGAAACCTGAGATATCTTAATTGACTTCATAATTGTTAACATTCCTCCAATGTTAATCTGGAGACAAGCCGGCATCGGTCACTGCATCGGGGAAGATACGGCGGAAGGGACAAACGACATTTGACGACATTTGCAAACACATCAATGTTCTCATTATTTTTTGAATTATAATCGACCTAAAACTTCCATTTATCCTAAATGCGTATAAGGTTATCAAAGTTGGATATATGTCTTTTGCTTATTTTTTATACCTCGTATGCTTTCCAGTAAGGCGGCTGCGTACCAAGCTAAGCGGTCCCTCGATTATTTTTCTGCCAATAATGTCACCCCAAAGCCCCATGATGGTCAGTCAATGACAACAAGCGCCATGGACTCCGAGACCCCAGAACTGCGCAACATGACCTTCAGTGTCCTGGGTCCCGCTGCGCCCGTCCTGGCACCCCGAGCTGGCACATTGGCGATCGCCGGCCGTAAGACATTGTCTACGCCGCATTATCTGCCCGTCACGTCGCGGGGTGTCGTGCCGCATATATCCCACGACAATGTGCGCAAAGAGACCGCGATCAATGGCCTATACGTTGGACTCGAAGATTGTACGTGCGCCATTATCCACGAACCCTGGATTCCCCTTTCCAGCCTCCTCTCCCCCGCATAAGCTCTTTGTGCCTCCAACTGACAATCTATGCGCCCTCGGGCCTATATCAGTTATTGAAAAGAAACACCGTTCCCCGGTGTTCAAAATCCCTGTCGAAGCGAACGAGTCGCCATTGCGAAAATTCATGTGCGCGTCCAACGATTTGCCTTTGGTTCTAGCCCCGCGTCGGTTCCCCGCCATCCCATGCCCGCCGGTAAACACTCAGACCTCAATTGCGGTCTCCACCTCAGATGGGTTCCACCAGCTGTCAGCCCAGCAATACATTGAGGCGACACATAAGCTGAAACCTGACCTTGTAATTGGACTTGCGGATGTCGTATCTGGGAAACCACCCGGCAACAAGAGGCGGGGCAAGATGGTGGATCGGACACATGCGTATACGCGGGATGCGCTAGAGCGGTTATACGGAAAAACCGTTGCAGTAGACGAGAAGTGCAAGGCAGCGTATTTCGCGCCGATTCTGCCACTCGATAACGCGCAGCAATCGCTCTACTTGGATGATTTGGCAGACGAGTTCCGTGATCGTCTTTCTGGACTGGCATTATATGAATCCGATTGTCTCAGCTTCATCCCGGAGTCCCTGGGGGATTTGCCTCGTTTGCTCATCAGTGATCCTAGGGGACCTCATGCGATCCTCCGTGAGGTCTCGCTTGGCGCAGATCTTCTGACCATCCCCTTCGTTGGTGATTCTTCGGATGCGGGCATCGCGCTTGATTTTACTTTCCCAGCTCCTCCTAGAAGCGCTGACGAGAAGGAGCCATTGGCTTTGGGTATAGACATGTGGTCGTCCGAGTACGCGAAAGATACTTCTCCCCTGCGTGAGGGTTGCCAGTGCTACGCTTGTCGACGCCACCACCGCGCATACTTCAATCATCTCCTAGCTGCTAAAGAGATGGCTGCGTGGGCTCTTCTGCAGATGCACAATTTCCACACCATGGACCTTTTCTTCCAAGGAGTGCGAGAAAGTATTCAACGAGGCTCTTTCGAGCAGGATGTTGAGGCGTTCAACCGCACCTACGCCTCGACATTACCCGAGTCAACCGGCCAGGGTCCTAGGTACGTTGGAACCTACACTGATTGGAATTTTGATAGTCGCTGCAAATTCTTGCTTTATACTAATGGTTGTATAGACTTCGCGCCTACCAGCACCCCTCCGGGTCCAATCAACCCAGCCGCGCGCTTCGGGTATACGGTCGTCTCGACGATGCGCTCCAGAAGTTCCAAGATTCTCAGTCTTCTGTTGTTACTCCTGATACTGATGCAGAGGGTCTTGAGAAACATGGCTTTGCCGAGAAGGCTTAAATGAAAGCATAAACTCAGCGCGTTCCGTCCAGAAGCATTTTGGCGTCTTTTTGCTTTTATTTAGTGCATATATATGAGTTATGAAGAGACAACGAGTATATGACGAAGATGCTTAGCTCAATAAATTCCACACAAAGTAAAAGAAATGCATAGAGTCTAATTAGTCATCCCGTCAATTGCACGCTCAAGTACTATACAGGATCCCATATCTCGTGATACCATCAATCCTTTGCCCGTTTCCAAAAAGACGTGCATTCTTATTGCAATGAAAAAAATAAATAAAACAAAGCTGAAAATATGAACAAGAAACAAAAAACCCCAAGAAATGTTTGTTGCAGGGTATATCCGGCTGTCGTAAAGGTAGAAGTCGGTCACTACTGCGTCTCACCCGCCAACACGCGCCACATCCACTTGACCTCATCCTCTTCCTCCTTCGAACCAGGCTTCGTGCCAGCACCGTACTGCTGTCCAACGACACAAACAAGCCAGGCATCATTCTTGGTAGTATCGAGGAACCGCTCAGTAGGCGAGTTGCGTGGGTACACGCGGCGCCATTCCTCCCAGATGCGGAAAGCCTCCTCACCCCAAGCGCGGAAGCTGACTTCCTCAATAATAGTGGGTGTGATGATTTCCTTTCCACGGAAGACTCCCCATGTGACAGCGTTAGCGCTGTCCGGGTTCGACTCGTCGGCGTCAATGTCGCCTGTCGAAACTGGGTAAGAAGACTCATAGAGACCCTTTTGGTTGATAGCGAACCAAGCCAGCTTTTCGTCGTACTTTGCGAACATAGGCTGGAGGATCGTCTTGTAGTCGTTGGTAGAACAGAAGAACTCCACGAAGGGCTTCTGGAACACGAAACCCTCACGAGGAGGACCCCAGCCAAAGATGGGGTCGTCACTGCGGACGCCGTTGACAGCGGGCTGCGAGGCCAATGTCCACCAGCCACGGCCATCGATAAGCTTAAGCAGCTCCGGTCGAATAAGGTCAGTCTCCGGGTTCAAACCGCCGGTACCTTCTTCGGCACCACCTTCAGACCAGGGAACCATGTGAAGTTCACCGGAGACGTGACGCCGGAAAAGAGTGTTAAGGTCGGACGGTTCAACGGGATGGCCCCACAGACGGCGGGCGACGGCGTTGGTGACGTGAAGAGAGGGACCATAGCCATCAATCTCACCGAAGGCGGGCGAGCGGGCATCACCCCATCGGCCGTTGGGGAAGTCATCCCAAGTGGCCTCTCTGCCAAGAGCGCCGAGACCTTCAGAGATAAGAAGGGTTGTGCTGCGGTTAGGAGGCAAAGCAGGCATTCCCGAGCCGTCTGCTAGAGCCTCATGTGTAGAACTCCGAGAAGAGTCTTTTCCAGACAACTTGTCAACAATGACACGGTTGTATGGCTGTGAGTTAATAGAAGACCGGCGTCTTGACTGGAAGGTACGGGTTGGAACATCATCGATAGAGACGGTAGTGTCAATATCTATCGCGGTATCGTCCATGTTCACTGAGAAGGGCGGAATCATGTCACACTGCTCTAGGATAAATGACACTGTCTTCTCCAAGTTCAGTGTGTAGAAATGGAAACCCCGTGGCCCGGGAGACGGAAGCTCTCTGATACCTCCCACGATCTCACTGACAATATCCACACCGGCCCGCTTGACAGCATCGTCATCATGTTTAACAGCTTCAATGCGCTTAGCAACAGCCTCCGGCACCTTGACATGACTGAGCTTTGTCACGCGGGTAAGGATCTTGTAGCTGTGGATAGGCATCAAGCCTGGGATAATCGGGATTGTCTTGAAGACGCCCGACTCGTGGTTCCGAAGTGCGCTCTCAAACTTCTGGTACGCCTCCAGATCATAGGTAAGCTGTGTCATAATGAAGTCTGCACCAGCAACGGTCTTCTCAACCAAGTAAGGCAGATCGCGCATAGGATCCTGCACATCTTGGAAAGAATCCGCCGGGTGACCCTCTGGATACGCAGCGACACCAATGCAAAAGTAGTCACCGTGTGTCTTCTTAATGTATTTGACCAGATCAACAGCGAATGTAAAGTCCTTGTTGCTGTCGTCCTCTCCATCCATATTGTATTCCTCGCTGCGGGGCGGGTCTCCACGCAGGGCCAGGATATTGCGGATACCCAGCGCCTTGGCCTCCATCAATGCCGTATCCACCAACTCGCGGCTCATGTTGGTACATGTTAGGTGCAGAACGGTAGTCAACTGCAACTGGCGCTGGCAAACTTCCGCCAGCTCGAGGGATCGAGCCGCTGTGCTTCCGCCTGCACCCCAAGTGACCGTCACGAATAGCGGGCGCAGGGCCTGGGCCATACGCTCCAGACGTGCAGAGAGATTGACCAAACCCTATTGTAACATCGTCGTTAGCAGATATTCATATTTCTGGTGCAGCAGTATTTGATGCGCGGGGTTACCCCACCATTCGAGTCTTCGGTGGGAAGAATTCTAGAGAGAAGTAATTTGCGTCCGGCGGCAAGGCCGCGATCTTCTCTGTGAGCTTCTTCTCCATTGCGATGGGTGTTTGAAATGCAACGGGAGTAGGTTTAGGAAGCAAGAAAAGACTTGGGCCGAAGTGGACCATTCATGGGTTCTCCCAGGCCGCACCCGGGAATTGGTGATGTCTCCGCCTGCCGGTGGCCAACCCACAAACTAGGATCTACATGGTTCAGACCTGTTTTCAAGCCTGAAGCTACTCCTTTCCTATGAAAATTTATGAAGAAATCGCTTGGACCTCGTGTATACACAACTCGCCAAAAAATTTATTCTCATAATACCACTTAAAAATATAAAAAAAAGGTTGAAACCAAGGATCGACCCGATCCAGATTACTCAGCGATCGCCTTCGATCTAATCACGTAGATGCTCCGTAGACTTCGGAATTTGGCCTGTGCTCCCCATTGCTCAAGCTAGTCATGTTTTCCTGGTGAAACCTCAGCATCTCGAGTCATTGTCATCCAGTTAGGCGCTAACAATGGCATCACGTTCGTTTCCACGCTTTCGATGGAATGTCGCGCAAGCTAGATTTCCGTCGCGACGGAATCTCTCCACTCCTTCAAAGCACTCAACACCGGACCCTCGCTCCCGGCTACGTCAATTCAATGATCGTCTTCCCCGCTTTCTCCGTACCTTTACAACGCCCTTACTGGGAGCTCCGGTGACCCATGTTACATCCTTCCTCATCTTGCACGAAATTACCGCCATTGTGCCCTTGTTTGGGCTAGTCGCGGCGTTCCATTACGGCAATTGGATGCCAGATCTAGCATCAGGATCAGGGGAAAACAATGCATTCGATGAAGGAGCTGCACGATTTGGGCGCTGGCTCAGGAAGAAAGGTTGGGTCGACGAAACGGACGTCAGTGTTGTCGCGGAGCATGAAGTAACGGCATCTGGAGCTACTACCGGGAAGGAAGGGGCAGGCGTGCGGCTGATCCTCGAATTTGCGACAGCCTATGCGATTACAAAAGCGCTATTGCCTGTTCGGATAGCGGCGAGTGCTTGTGCAACGCCGTGGTTTGCGCGAGTCATTCTTAACCCAACAACCAAAGCAGCTAAGCGGCTATTTGGGAGGAGTTGAAAAGAAATTACCAAGTGTAATCTAGTGTAGACATATAGTCATGAATCATATGATCCTTGTATATTGTATTGGGTTTTCAGAGCCATCAGAGGCCTGTCTTCAGTTATCGCATTCTATATTGTAGAGATAGTCGTGGACAGACTCGTCAGACCCCAGGCATCATGGAAGACGAATAATTTACTCGTAGACCCAAGCGGCGGAGGCGTGCTTGTAGATGTTGAGCTCGGAAGGCTGGAACCAGAGGGCAATCTCCTTCTTGGCGCTCTCAACGGCGTCGGAGCCGTGGCAGACGTTGCGGCCGACATCGATGGCGTAGTCACCACGGATGGTACCGGGGGCGGATGCAAGGGGGTTGGTGGCACCGAGGATGACACGGCCGGTCTTGACGACGTCCTTGCCCTCCCAGACCATAGCGCAGATGGGACCGCTCAGCATGTCTGGTGGTGGGTTAGAAGGGAATTTCAGAACTGATGACTCGGAAGATCCGGGAACTCACAGGAAACAAGACCCTTGAAGAAGGGCTTGGTGGCGAGGTCAGCGTAGTGCTTCTCGAGGAGCTCCTGGCCGGGGGAGGTGAGCTTCATGGCAACGAGCTTGAAGCCACGGTTCTCGAAGCGAGAGATGATGGGGCCAATGAGTCCACGCTGTAGATATTATTAGTTTATGCGACTCAATTGCCGGTAAAATCCTTTATTTGTTGGATTCACCGGCGCGGAGAGTCTTCTCTTCATACCTGGACACCATCGGGCTTGATGGCAATGAAACTGTAACAAATTGATTAGCTTCACCGCCAGACAAAGAGGGGTAGCTAGCAAAAGACCATAGCTAGAGTATGAAGTGTGGGAGGTGGTATATAGGGCGAGGGTTATAACTTACGTCTGCTCGTCGGCCATTTTGATGAATTGAATTGAAGATCGGGAAGTCTGCAAGGGATGAGAAAAGAGGAAGAGGGAAAGAGGGAGAATAAATACCTGACAGTCTTTTTTTTGACCAGCCATTGGTCGATGGTGGGGCACGAGGTGCGCTGGCTTAGACACCTTGGTGCCTTGATACCTTTTGCCTTTTGGCCTTGTAGCCTTAGGTGTCTTACCCCAGCTCTCCACCGTCAGGCCAGCCTGGAGCTTCCCTATCACTAAAAACTCCACTGCGGATGCAGGTCATCATCCACCTCGAGATATTATTTTTGTCCAGGGATTGAGGGTCTCTGACTGCATATCTGTCTACAGTATGGCCCGGAGCCGGCCCGCGTCCCGTTGGACGCTATTCCTCTCTTTACTGGTTCTTATCGGGTGCATTGTTGTCCCCGGTGGTGAGTTGCCCTCTCAAGCTGCATGCCCACATGGAATGGCTACATGTCTAACTCTTGTCTTGAATAGCGACCGTGAAGCATGAAAACTTCAAAACATGTGACCAATCCGGATTTTGCAAGCGAAACCGGGCTCTCGCCGACGATGCCTCCGCCAAAGGTACATCATGGAGCTCCCCGTACGAGCTTGACCCGACCTCTGTACAGTTCAAGGACGGTCAATTGACCGGTACCTTGATTAAGACTACCACCACAAATGATAAAGTCCGTTTGCCTGTCATCGTATCTTTCCTGGAATCCGGTGCCGCACGCGTGATCGTCGACGAAGAGAAGCGCATGAAGGGTGAGATCGAAGTCCGACACAACAGCAAGGTGAACAAGAAGCGGTACGATGAGACCGAGAAATGGGTCCTTGTTGGAGGACTGGAAGCAAGCAAGTCCGCTGCGCTGAAACCTGAGACCGAAGCTGGATTCACCAAGGTCCAGTATGGGCCAGGTGACAAGTTCGAGGCTGTAATTCGTCACTCTCCATTTGAGCTGGAATTTCAGAGGGATGGCGAAACACATGTTCAGCTGAACCACCAAGGCCTTCTGAATATGGAGCACTGGCGTCCTAAGGTCGAGAAGGAAGGAGAGTCTGAGTCCCCGTCCGCTGAGGATGAAAGCACTTGGTGGGAGGAGAGCTTTGGTGGTAACACCGATTCCAAACCTCGTGGCCCTGAGAGTGTTGGTATTGATGTGACCTTCCCCGGTTACAACCATGTATTCGGAATTCCTGAGCATGCGGATTCGCTTTCGCTCAAAGAGACCAGGTATTTGCAGTTCACCATCATATCCACTGGGTGGATCTAACCATGATCTAGGGGAGGTCCCGGAAACCACGAGAACCCATACCGCATGTACAATTCCGATGTCTTCGAGTATGAGCTTAACAGCCCAATGACCCTGTACGGCGCTATTCCTTTCATGCAGGCGCACCGCAAGAACTCCACGGTCGGTGTCTTCTGGCTCAATGCTGCTGAAACCTGGGTCGACATCGTAAAAAAGACCGCCTCGTCAAATCCGCTTTCTTTGGGCGCCAGCTCAAAGACCAACACGCACACTCATTGGTTCTCCGAGTCTGGCCGAATCGATCTTTTCGTTTTCCTTGGCCCCTCCCCCGGGGAGATCAGTAAGACATATGGAGAACTTACTGGCTATACTCAACTGCCCCAGCACTTCGCCATTGCTTATCATCAATGCCGTTGGAACTATGTCACCGACGAGGATGTAAAGGAAGTGGATGCCAAGTTTGACAAATATCAGATCCCTTATGACGTGATCTGGCTTGATCTTGAATATACCGACGACCGCAAGTACTTCACTTGGGACCCGCTTACTTTCCCCAACCCGAAAGGCATGCAGGAGAAGCTTGATGAATCTGAGCGGAAGCTCGTAGTACTTATCGATCCGCACATCAAAAACAAGGATAACTACTATGTTTCGCAGGAGCTTAATAGCAAGGGTCTTGCTGTTCAAAACAAGGACGGTGACGTTTATGACGGTTGGTGCTGGCCCGGTTCTTCGAACTGGGTTGATTGCTTCAACCCCGCTGCAGTGCAGTGGTGGAACAGTCTCCACAAGTACGACAAGTTCCAGGGATCGATGTCCAACCTGTTCATTTGGAATGATATGAACGAGCCTTCCGTTTTCAATGGGCCGGAAACCACTATGCCTAAGGATAATATCCACCATGGCGACTGGGAACACCGTGATATCCACAACGTGAACGGTATCACCCTCGTCAATGCTACTTACCAGGCCTTGCTGGAGCGCAAGAAGGGTGAAGTCCGCCGGCCATTCATTTTGACCCGCTCATACTACGCCGGAGCTCAGCGCATGGCTGCTATGTGGACTGGCGACAACCAGGCCACCTGGGATCACTTGGCCATGTCCTTGCCAATGGTTTTGACCAACGGCATTGCCGGATTCCCCTTTGCTGGTGCTGATGTTGGCGGCTTCTTCCATAACCCGGATAAGGAGCTGTTGTCGCGATGGTACCAAGCAGGAATTTGGTACCCATTCTTCCGCGCTCACGCTCACATTGATACTCGGCGCCGTGAACCCTACTTGATCAGTGAGCCGCACCGGACTATCATTTCTCAGGCTATCCGCCTGAGATATCAGCTTCTGCCTTCCTGGTACACAGCTTTCCATGAGGCTTCGGTTAACGGTACACCGATCGTGCGGCCCCAGTACTACATGTTCCCCGAAGATGAGGCAGGCTTTGCCATCGACGACCAGCTGTACCTGGGCTCTACAGGTCTTCTCGCGAAGCCCGTGGTGACTGAAAACACATTCACCACCGACATTTACATTGCCGACGATGAGAAGTACTATGACTACTTTGACTTCACTGTCTACCAGGGCGCAGGCAAGAAACACACCGTCCCCGCCCCTGAAGACAAGATTCCCTTGTTGATCCAGGGTGGTCACATCGTCCCCCGTCGGGACCGCCCTCGTCGCAGCAGTGCCCTCATGAAATGGGATCCGTACACTCTCATTCTGACATTGAACAAGAATGGCGAAGCCGAGGGTACTCTCTACGTTGATGATGGCGAGACCTTTGACTATGAGCGTGGCGGCTATATCCACCGCCGCTTCCTGTTCCGTGATTCAACCTTGTCGTCCGAAGACCTTGGTACCAAGGGACCCAAGACTGCCGAGTATTTGAAGACCATGGCTGGCGTTACTGTAGAGCGTCTTATTGTTGTTGACCCGCCCAAGGAGTGGAAGGGCAAGAACACTGTGACCATCATTGAGGATGGGGCTAAGGCTGCCACCACCGCATCGCTAGAGTACTTTGACCAACAAGGCGGAAAGGCATCTTATGCCGTTGTCAAGAGCCCCAATGTTGGAATTGGAAAGGCGTGGCGGATAGAATTCTAAGGGATTAGCTGTTGTTCCTAGATATGACTTATATGCGATATTAGATTATCGAACAATTTGATATAGTAGATCTTGAGATTTCATGACATTCATTGCATCTGGAGTCTGATTGAGTCTTCCCTTGGGAGATGCCTGACAGTACTTCATTTAAAAAAAACGATAGGTAATTCAACTTTAATCTACTTTCAACAGGATCTCGGGAATCAAAGCGTATTTGATTCAGGTATTACTCAATTTCATGCCTTTCTGCATAAATTCGACAAATGTTTCCATCATGGTCATGGACTTCCAAAGACAAAGTCCCACTTCTAGACAGATACCAGCCCACTGAGTTCTCTCCAACAGCCTGCCATGTATTCTTGGCATAGAAGCTTGCCGGCTCGTAGTCTGGATAGTATTGTCGGAATGTCTCCATCGTTTTGTAGTTGGCAGAGTCTAAAGTGTAGAAAGCCCCCTCGATAATGAACTCTGGTTCATGATGGCGTATTATTTTTTCATGAACAACGACGAAGACATCTGATTGTGTGACTTGTTGAACCAAGTCCTCACGGGAAGCCTCATAGTGTGCTTTGTTGACTTCATCAATCAAGTCGGCCGGGAAGGGATATGTGTGAATCATATTGATTTCGTATAGCGAAGATAATTCTAAGCCGAAGTAGAAGAAGGTCACAGATAGGGCCAGCAAGTCATTCAAATGTATAACAAAGAATGACGTGCAAAGAATAGTACGGCCTATACCGGCTCTTCTTTTTTGACCTTCAATATTACGAGGATCCTAGGTTCGGGTTTCCTCAAAGTCTGGCTCTCTGAAACTTAATGATTGAAAACCATCCGAGGTTTCCCTACATTATATACCAGATGTCTTGTGTGTGATTGATTTAAAAGGAACTTCTCCAACGCCATTTTGTTCCAATTGGGGAAATTAGGCTTAAACGCCCACGAACAGTCTCCACTCAACTGCAAAGGGATTAGTGCATACATTGAATCCGTGGTGTAGCCGCCGTGTTTATGAAAAGTGACTCACTTGTCATAGTGTAAGCAGACTAAGATGCGAAAAAAACAACTTGGAGCAGGGTGATTATGATAGTATGTTTTTCCATGAATTTTAGTATGTTTATACTTCAATGATCGACAGGGTGCTGACATAAGCTGAAACGGGGAGAAAAAAAGCCGCTTGCGTCGTCACGTTGGACTCTCTCCCTTTTGGTTCCTCCCCGTTTCTCGTCCCTGTTCCTTGTCGCAAGGCCTGTTTGGGTCCTCGTTTGCCACTGGAGCTTATACATATTCATCGATTCCTACCAGAAACGACCCATATCCAAAGATAAACGAACAATCACGCCAATCAGTCGCTTTGTATACCCTCCGGACAACACGGAACATCTTCACCGGCAACATGTATCTCATTCAACTGGCAATTGACTATGCCGCTCCTGTTTTGTATGTTGGAACCAATCCCATATTGTGGCTCTAGATGAATGCGAATGCTAATCATATTCTCTTATAGTCTCATCTCGTCTCCCGTCACCTCTTACCTCGACCAGATCCTAAGCATCCACCGCTCGAGGAACTCGGCGGGTTTCTCATTGGACATTCCTCTGATTATGCTGGTCGCGTCAATCTTAAAGTGAGACTTCATGTTTAGATTTAGGCATATCGCATACTATGACTGACCTTGATACTAGGGTCTTTTATTGGTTCGGAGAGTATTACTCCAAAGCCCTTTTGGCGCAGGCCATGGTTATGGTTGTAGTGCAATCGGCACTGCTCAAGGTTGCACTGGACAACCGACCTGCCACCGGAGCGAAGAACGGTATTGAACATACACCATTTAGCAGCGGCAACAACGGCTTCACACGGCCGTATGACTTTTGGCAGTGGAGGAGCACAAAGCCGTAAGTTTTGAGCATCTGCGACAGAAAACCCGGACGCATATAGCTGGAAATACTGACCCATTGTGCTTTAGGTACTGGATGTTCCTCTCCTACTTCGTCGCTGTTCTGTTTGTGCTTCACATCACCCCGATCTCCGACTCCCCCTCCTACATCAGCCTGCTGGGCTGCGTCGGTCTCGCCGTCGAGGCCATTCTCCCCATCCCACAAATCCTGGCCAATCACCGCTCTGGCTCCTGTAAAGGATTCCGTATCTCTGTCCTGGCCTCGTGGTTGATTGGTGACTCGATGAAGATGAGCTTTTTCTTCTGCAGTACGGAGACTATCCCCTGGGCATTCAAGCTCTGCGGTATGTTCCAGTGCGTCTGTGATTGCTACCTGGGCTTGCAATACTGGATGTTCACTCGGAACTCCGTGCGGGCCGCAGGCAGCTCCCAGGAGCAGGAAGAGCGCTGGGGCGCCGGCGAGAAAGATATTCGCATGACCTGAAGACTTGATGCTTTTTTTGTTGTTTTGCGACAAATAATTCCTGTAGATAGATAGTGGAGATCCACTCAAACCATAGCGATCATAGATCTGTAATAATTCAATGAAACGACGTTAATAATGCACTCTTCTTTACTTTTAAAATGATCTTGTTATAGTAGATGTGCCATTATGTGAATGTATTGCCCTGTCGCGTCTGCCCCGCAAGCGCCGGTTCGGGAAATGATGGAATGCGAGCTGCCCCGCGATTGACTTCGACTTTCTTTAATCGCGGCCAACGATCCTCCTCTACAGCGATTACTACGTCAGCTGCCGGTAAAATCTACAAAATGGCTTCTGTATCTACTATTCGCATCGGCTATGTGCCTGGTACGTCCTTGTTATTAGTTTAAAGCTTCAAAGTCCCCGAAACGGCCAATAGCTATCCGAGCAAGATGTACTAACACCTCTTCTACATTGAATAGAGCACTACTTGACCCCTCTTCACCTTGCACTGCGCTCCAAGGCCGTCGCATCTCTTCCTTTCAAGATTGCTCTTACTCCATTCCCTTCTGGAACTGGTCATATGATCACATCGCTGCGCGGCAATGAGATTGACATTGGTATCGGTTTGACCGAGGGCTGGGTTGCCGGCTTGGCCGGTAAGCAGCAGGCACAAAGCGCCGGAGATGGTGGATACAAGGTCATCGGACACTGGGTCGACAATCCTCTGCGATGGGCAATTGTCACAGGTCGCAACCGCAGCGAGATCAACGGAGTGTCGGACCTACAGGACTCAAGAGTCGGAGTGAGCCGTCTTGGAAGGTGAGCAACACTATTCACGCTTGTTTTGAACAAACAGCTTTTATAGCGAAACTGCGGTCATAAGGATAACTTCTAACATCGTCTTACTAGTGGCTCTCACATCATGTCCTTCGTCCTCGCCCAACAGCAAGGATGGAAATCTGACTCCTTGACATCTGTCCCTCTTGGACCCTTCGGTTCCCTGCGGAACGGAGTGACTGGCCTTGACGAGGCCAAGCCGGAGCAAGCACCCAACCCCACGGCCGAATTCTTCATGTGGGAGCACTTCACAACAAAGCCCTACTTCCACCCGACAGCGGAGAAGCCCAACCCACCGCTCAAGAACATCGGCGAGATCTTTACTCCCTGGCCCTCATGGATGATGGTCTCATCGACAGCACTTTTCCCCGACCCTGCAAATGATGACCGCCTTACACAGCTGTTCCAGGCTCTGGACCTCGGAATCAAGGAATTCGAGGCTGATACCGCTCAGGTGGTCAAGCTTTTGGGTACTGGCGAGCTTGGCTGCACTTATATCGAGGAGGATGCTACGGAGTGGCTGAAAGATGTCAAGTTCACCGATAGCACTCGTGGTGTTGACCGCGACGTCATCAAGGGTGTTGTAGATGTGCTTAAGGTGGCTGGTGTTATTGACCCTGCCATGGACAACGAGGAGGCTATTCAGCGGGTCATTGGTATCCCTCGATGAAAATATCAAAATATTAGATTAAAAGCTGTGTCTACATCGACAGGTAAATACGAAAGCGATGAATGAATACTGTACTAGGACAAAACCAGACTTCCAACCTTGGAAATGCTTTATTCAAGTTATAGGACTGGCTGCGGAGAGCTAGAAGGGAGAATGTCTCGCAGCCACTCAGCCGTCATTGCCACCATCTCCTTAGTGCAACTATGCCCCGTATTGTCCTGTACAAAAAATGTAATATCTTGCTTGTCACCTAATCGCTTCTGTCGTTCTTCCACCCAAGCCGCCGTATACTTCGCTGGAACCAGCTTGTCATACTTCCCGTTACACAAAAGCAGCGGCACATCAGTGGGAAATTCGTCTGTGACTTGCTGATCATCTTGATTCACAATCTCTGCTAAAGCACGTGGCCATCGCTTTTGTTGTGTTGAGTTCATTGCCTGACGGAGTTTCTCATAATCGAATGGCTTTCCGGGACTGTTCCCAATAGTCGGGTCGATACCCAGACGGCTCAGAAGAAGAGTTGATATGCTTGGACAGCCGACAACCATGGCGTACGCGTGGAATTGACCTGGTGATGTCAATGAGGCGATACGCCACGCTGTGTGTCCGCCGAGAGATACCCCGAACATGATGTTGTAAAATCGAGTGAACTGAGGAAAATAGGTTGGAAGGTAATCCAACACCAATTTGAAATCCTGTGCGGATCCGGAGATCATGGATACCAGATCCATACTAGCGAATTTAGCATTCATGTTAATATTCCTGAGCATGAGGATCGGGACATACGCATGATTCTCGTTGCCATTCTTCCAGGTCTTGTTTGCTTGAGGGTCAACCTGTTGGGTATTAATAACGAAACACATGGAAAGGGGCCTGTATTTACCTCGCGATCTCCATGGTTTCGCATATTCATGGTTACAGCAATCAGCCCAATTGGCCCGCTCTTGCGCTTGTCTGTCCGATACCGATGAAGGATTTCATGTGCCATGTCTTCCATGACGCGGTAGGTTCGGGTACGGTTGTGTGCCATGTACAGAACAGCAACCTCCCCCGTCTGTTCACTTGACTGACTCGCATTGACCTCTTTTAATCCATATATATAGATTTTAAGCCCACCGATCACCAATTCTGTTTTGCTTGAGAGGGGTGTGCTAGGGGGAAGAGAGAAGCGAGGCTCATGGCCATCTCCAGTTTGAACAGCTGCCATTTTTCACTGTATGAAGATGATACAGTCGCGCAGCAATAAACTTAGAATCTCTTATAAAAGTATTGGTTCTTGGAAATGGTTGTATGGACAAATGAACCGGGTTGTCTGCTCGCAACCGATTGAGCCGAGATAATTAACGAATTAACCGCCCCACGCCCCCACCTTCCATGCTTGTTCATGCTTGTTCCAAATTGACCGAAGTATTGCCGCCCCCTCACAAACTATGTCGATCAAAAAAGGCAAGAATGATGGGAGTGGCATTGAAACTGGCCACATGGTGACCAGCTTGCTGATTATCTGAATTGGGCACAGTGCTGGGCCAGTCATGACCTATCACCGAATCATATACCAACCCCACCAATCCCCGACCAAAAGAGTAAATGACAGTGTCAGACGCAAATGCAAGCGTTTTGTTTCGTCGGCTGCTCAGCTGATCTCGTGCGGCCCATTGTTGAATGAAGTGCGGAATAGTTGGCAAGCACTCGTCTTTCCGTTCACCACCCCAGTACGAAATGGTTGTGTCGTTTCCACCGTGGAATGCTAGTAAAGGAATATTTGTTCGTGACGCCTTGCAGGGCATTCGTACTGTCGATGGTAGACAAGGTAATGTGTCAACATAATAAGCACCGGATACGGGAGCAAAGGCCGCGAAGCGGGAAGACATCTCGGGGTCACACGCGAGTACGTTGCAGAAGCCACCACCGTCAGATTTGCCTGTCGTCCAGATACGGGTGGTATCGATACAATATTGCGAAGTTATTTGGTCCAAGATGTCTCTTGTGAACTTAATATCATTGGTTGTGACGCCTGGGACGCCTTGCCATTTGTTCTGTGTCCACAAAGGTCAGAGAGAAAGACTTTGATAGTAACGAAATCAATTTGAAGGGTGGTTTCTTTCCTACATCTATACCCTGGGGATATACAACAATATCCTTGGTGTTGAACTCAGGATTGGTCAGTTGGTCAAGCTGCAATTGACTTTCGGCAGTCCGGTCACCTCCATGGTATGACACAATGACGGGATTCGGAATATGGGAATGATACTCCGGTGGAATAGAGATCAGAAAGCTGCGATCTATACCGTCACTTTTGATTGACACGTTAAAGAGACCACCTCTGGATTGCCCTGATGGAAGCTGTATGCCTCCACATAGTGTAGCCGCCGCAGCTGTAACTCCTAGAAGAAGTATCCCGATGTAAGAAGGTGCCATGACGGAAATTACTACTTTGCTAGATTGCAAAATAAAACAGATAGAGAATATGACCTACCATATCTGACTTATATGTGCTTTGCCCCTTCGCTCTCAGGCCTGCTGCACCATGCGCTCGGGTTACACATGCACTACCCCAGCTTTTCCCCGCAGAACATTCTTTGTACAAGATATAGTTCGCTTACGTAGTACTAGATCATGGTATGCCGGCTGCCACGCTGCTCTTGCCGGATTGCCGGAGAATTTCTTTGCAATCTAACAAGAGTGAGAGGTACTATCCCGGGTAAATGTTCAGATGCCCGACTGATGCTTATGCAAGGGGGCTTACAGATGGTGGGGCCGGTATTATTAGCCACTAGGACGATGATTATTGAGATTGAATACATGGTGATGAGCAAGGGCTGTTTTATTGAATCACATATTATACAGGTTCAGCGGTAGCTCTCCATCCATCCCATTTCCGGGAAAACCTGTGAATAGTCCTTGCGATTGGTCTGACAATGCAAAACCAGGGCTGAGTAATTGCTCAAGAGCATCAAAATCTGCAGAGTAATGGGTATCAAATCCGCCAGTAATGTCTTCCGCACCAAGTGCACCAGTGCCAGCACCATTCGGCATATACTGTGCAAGATTGGGTGTCATTATCTCTGTTGTGGAACCATTATTATCTTCTTGCCCAATCTGATTCCTGGCATTGAGAGGAGTAGTCCTTTTGGGAGTATTTAGGCCCTGAGCTCCATTGTTGTTGTGATTGATCAAAATAGCTTGTGCACGATCGAACAGTCGATACATAACACCGGCGCTCCAATAAGTATCGCGCAAACTTTCTAGAAATAACAGGCAGAGATTGAGCCTATTCTTCGCCAGGTTGGCTTGAAGTAAGCTGCTGGATTTGCAGTCGAATAGATGGATTTGCATGGCAGGAATCAAGGATGTGATGCTAAAACATAATGTCAGTTATTGAGCCTCAGGCCAAGGGCAAATACTTACAACATGGGCTTGATAGACTTGACGAGATCTAGCTCAATCATCTTTTCAAGGGTCTGGTTTGTAATTGAGGCAGCCTCTCGTGCCCGATTCTGCGCTATTTTCTGCCAGGTGGCTGACGAGTTTTCCGGAAACGATGAAGGTGAATTCAAAATATACGGCCGATAGAGTACAGTCACACTCGCTCTGGCATATGTTAGATAAGAAACAAACACAGGGCAGGAATGAACAAACTGGTAAAAGACCTGGAGGTGATATTCGTGATTACGAACAGTATCACTTGCGGCGTACATCACCGTTGGCTCACTTTGGTGGCATCCTAGCAGTTCTGCAGCCAACCCATCAATCTCTTCAACACTTGCCTTAGGAGCTTTAAGTCTGTAATGAGCCCGTAAAATGCGGCCAAGCACAAAGCTCGTCCTAACGAGCCTTACCCACATTTCAGCAAGGCAGTCTAGATCTGGAGGAATGAATCTCTGCCGGGCCTCCGCAGAAACAAGCTGCAATTCGTGCAATACATCATCTGGGCAAGGGAAAAGTGCGTCACAATCTTCATCATGAATTCGCATAGGTCGGCCTTTGGCCAAGGATATCCATCGATCTCGGAGTAGACACGTCCACCAAAGACGACGAGTAAGGCGTTGGTGCTCAGACGATGATGGGTGGTTATTTCTTGTTTGAGAGGTGCTACAGCGATGTATACCGATTCCTTGGGCCAGGGTGATGGCGATTCCAATCCAGTGTGACGCCCCCGTATGATCCTGGGCATCTGTATACCAGAAGCTCATTAGAAGAACTGATCGAATGAGGACAAGTTTATCTGTGCGGCGGTCAACGTCGTAGAAAGCCTAGAGAGAGAATTAGTGGCTACATCGTTTCTTCATATGTCAACGTGACATACCTTGGCTCTTCTGTACATTGCCCTCTTCATAGCTTTCCGAGATTCAAATCCCGCCCGTTGCAAAACTTCGATATCAGCATACTGATAAGTCATTAGTGACTAGTATCTGAGTTTAGGATTTGGCAGACTCACATTGGTCGCTGCAAGAAGCATACTCCAGAACAAAACAGGGCTGATGTTATTTGTTCCATTCTGTACATACTCATTGAGGAATGATGGTGCTTCCACCACGGGCTGGAAGAAATGTACATGATGAAAATAGCATCTTATGAGTTCATCACAGACATCCGTTGGTATGGTCGCAAATCCTCCTTCATGTCGAATATACTCTATCTCATGTGGTCGAAGATTCGTGCCTGTCCCTGAGATCTTGCCTGGTTCAATGCTGGCGGGTGATTGATGGGCCTCTTGTGGCACCCCTGGATGACACAACTCATATACAGACTGCCTTGGACCACGCGTATCACCTGGAGAATATCAGTAAGAGTACCCTCGATACAAAGAAGACGAGAACCTACCAATATAAGAGCAGGCACTATCATCAGGTAGAACGCCGTCCGTGTCCGTGGTCGCATCCGTTGTCTTATCGCCTGAATGGGCAATTGTTTGTGTCTCTTCCGTTCCGGCGATTGCTACCCTTGACATACGCGGTCTATCTTAGATCAGTATATCAAAGCACAGACCAGGAATAGACAGCTCCACTCACCGATGCTTTTTGCGCGGAAGAATCTCACATACAGCCGTCTCATGCTGGCAGTTTGTGCATGGTGGACCGATCTGCGTCACATCACAGCGAATCTTGCGTTGATTACATGGTTTGCATGCGACACGAGATCGTCGACCGGTCCTTTTACCGGAATCGTCCATTTTGTGGATCACAAACGTGGAGTGGAGGAGAGAATTGCCGCGGCCAAGAGATCGGGAAGACATGATTGCTTTATGTGTGGGGCCTCCCTACCGGCCCATTCGGTAATTTCGGCAATTATCTTCAGCTTGCACCAATGCAAATCCGGGGATCTGGGGAAAAGTCAATAATTATGATCGAGCTTTATCACAATGGAATGCTACATATAAATACCTTGGAGCTGTCTGTTACGGCCCTATGATGCTACTCCTACTGGGCACTTGAATAAAATCCCATTTTGAACATGGATGACTCCATCAGACGCGTCGAGAAGCTCAACCTCGAAGAGGTGGAGAAGGTGGATGAAATGAATAAGAATGTTGATCCCTTCTCACCCGGAGAAGAGAGACGACTGGTTCGCAAGCTCGATTTATGGTATTTCCCCACTGTGCCTTTCTTGACAGGTACCTATACTGACTTAACAGGATCGTTCCCCTTATGATGTTCACATATATGCTGCAGAGCTACGACAAAGGCATCATGAGTGCCGCCACACAGTTCAACTTCAACGATGATCTCGGTTTGACCACTATCGTAGGATATGAAGCAGATGGTACAGCTATAACCAACAATCGACGGTACTCCAATGCTTCGATGATTTTCTATATTGGCTACTTGGTGGGCACATACCCCATGATGTATCTGGCGCAACACTTCCCACTATCACGCGTTATTTCAGGGGCAACGTTTCTATGGGGAATAGTAGTCATGTCAACTGCCGGTTGCTCCAACTATGCTGGCATCATGGTCAATCGACTCGTGCTCGGCCTTCTCGAGTCCGCTGTCGCACCAACATTCACTGTCTTAGTCACCTTCTGGTGGACTCGTGATGAGCAGGCCTTGCGTACCGGACTTTGGTACTGCTGTGTTGGGGTGGCCACTACTATCTCGCCTTTGATTAACTACGGACTTGGCCAAATCCATGGATCCCTCGTCTCATGGAAACCCATGTTCCTAGTCCTTGGCGCTATCACCACCGCCTGGGCAATTGTCTTGTTTTTCTGCTTGCCAGACAGTCCTATCACAACAAAAGGACTCAATGAGAATGAACGCCAGATTGCTCTTAGCCGACTTGAGCGCAACCAAGCAGGCACAATCAGCCGTCAATTTGATAAAGCCCAGTTCCTCGAGACCTTTCGAGACTTCAAGACATACAGCTGCACCCTTATCATTCTCTTGACAGGAGTGCCTTCTGGTGCAATTGGTACTTTCGGAACTATCGTCATTAATGGGTTTGGCTTCAGCCACTTTGACTCGCTGGCATTGACATGTCCGATCGGTGCTATCACCGCACTATCCATATTGCTTGTCGGTTACGTGACACGAAAGTGCAATGGTACTCGCTACCTTTGCATAATAATATGCGCTCTTATCTCCATTGCTGGTACTTTGATCTGCTGGCTAGGACCTCGCAGCAATAAGGGTCTTCTATTTGCTGGAATTTTCTTGATCGCTGTCCAGGTTGCCGCTGGTGGATTGGCCGTCTCACTGGTTGCGTCCAACATCGCTGGCCATACCAGTAAGTTTTTCACCTTTCCCACGATGATCTAAACTTGGCTAACATCCAGCAGAAAAAGCAACCACCAGTGCATCCACATTTGTTGGTTATTGTATTGGCAACATTATCGGGCCACTCATTTTCGGTGCCTCCCCGGGACCTTTGTATCGTGCTGGGTTTATAGGCAGCTTTGTCTGTCTATGTGGAGTTGTGGTGACTGCTGCTATTAGTTGGGCTTACTTGCGTAGAGAAAACGCAAAGAGGGACAAGAGATTCAGAGCAGGTTCCGGTCAACAGCATATGCACTCAATTGACGAGAACTTGACAGATCTGCAGAACGAGGAGTTCCGATATGTGCTTTAGAGAAGTTCTCAACCTATTCAATTTACTTATGCAGAAATGACTCGCTACTATCTCGTATTATTAAAATGGCAGCCTGAAAATTTGCGCCAAAAAACGATCGGCGAATCCTCTATCGTTGTAATCCTTCGCTAGCGGCTGATAAGTATAGGACACTTGGCTTCCTGCTTACCAGTCGTCTCAAATCTTAACCAAGGATTTTTTTAAAAACCTCGAGTGAGAGCGAAGGTCAAATATTTCTATCTTGCGTAGTCCCTTTTGATCCTTCTTTTTTTCTTCATCCAAAATGGCATTTGCTGTTCAGCCCTGTTTCCCGGCAGATGCTCCGGGCCTTGCTACCACAATGATGGGCGCCCGTCTCACAGATGCTCATTGGGTGAAGCAATGGGAAGATAATGTTCTCCCTGAAGAGATAATCACCAAGGCTATCGACCGTGTTCCCTGGAACCTCATCAACGGTCGAGATATCAAGCGACATCAAAAAGTGGTTGATGTCGCGAGCGGACAAGTGGTCGGGTATGCACGGTGGCTGCTGCCTTCCCATCTAGCAAAGGATGAGGTCTGGCAAGAAGCGCAAGTAGCTGAGGCCACACCTGATGAGCGCGCTGTTTTCGAAAAGCTGTCTCAAGCATACACAAGATACGGTCGTCCCATCGGTCTAAAGTCAGGGGAAGAGATGAATTACAGAAGTGCACCGCTCGAGGAGGCTGATGAGCGGGTCACGCGAGATGGTCCATTCCTTAGTAAGTAAAAGCACTTGACGGTGTGAATGCCTTGGCTAACATCCCTCGCTAGCGCTTGATTATTTGACCACGGACCCTTCTTTCTGGCGACGGGGTGTTGGAACCATGCTTGTTGAAAGTGGGTTGCAAATTGCTGATCAGTATAAATTAAAGACCTATGTTATGTCTGAGCCGGCCGCATTGAAATTGTATCTTAATCTTGGGTTTAAGTTAGTAGAGACAGTGTCTACTGACTATTCCCAGTATGGGGGATTGGAGCCTATGGTGCACCATTTTCTGATTCGCGAGCCTTTGGTTACATGATCTAATTTCTGGGGTCAACCTTGTTTCCAGGACTTAGCCATGTACGCTACTATTGATCATAAATCCATGTCTGTTATAAGATAGTAGACAAGGAGTATGTGCGTAATGGTTGGAATTTTGACCATTCGAAATTCTTGCCGAAATTGACGGCGCTAGCACAGTGATGAGGTTAAAATTCAATATGCAGAGAATCTTTGCATTGTCCCTGGACACGTCAACCATTTTACGTTTCTGATTTATTTTTCCTAGTTTTCTTGGCCTAGATCGTATTGCCGCCTCGATAATTGTTGCCGAGTATCGGGATACATTCCTGGAGGCCCACCAGACCCCCTGACAACACGATTGGAATGCATCCCAGCTTGCTGGGAAATTACAACAGACGAATCACAAATGGGAGCTAAATATTGCCGCAATTATTGCTTGCAGGGCGCCTTATTCAGGTGGAGTCCGGAAGTTGTCAATCTGGTTGCTGGCGTGGAGAGCCGACCATACCACGGACGCGGAGCCCCAATGACGTACAAGGGAGCGATGTTTGTTATTGTCTATGGTATGCAATGGAAAGCAAAATACCTCAGCAAGATCTATATAAGCTATGCCTAGGCGTTGAGCCGTTCAACGGCTCGTGTGATCTTGGTCTTTTGTGCTTTCTTTGGGTTCATATCCCTTCCATTCTTTTTTCATAGTAATTCGACCTTTAATACTTAATTTCTTTTTCGTTTCCATTCTTGATATTGAACTCCCGATAAGATGCGCCGGTCTCAAGCGTATCTGCCCTGGTCAGTTTTGCTGGCTTCTTTGGGCGCAGTGCAGGCCAAGCTTGACTTGGACTCGGACAGCAATATTGTTGTCTACTGGGGTAGGTTTAGCCAAATTGGAAGGAAGAGTTTGGCTAAATGATTTACAAAGGACAAAACTCGTTGCAAGGGAAAGGCGGCGAAGTGCAGCAGCCGCTGGCACATTATTGCGAAAGTGAGTAATCTTGAGCAATCTTATGGGTCACTGGCTAACCGGAGTTTAGATGACAATATTGATGTACGGGAGATTTAGGCTGGACTGGAGGGGAAACAAAACTAATGGAAACAACTAGGTCATCCCAATCGCATTCGACATGATGGTCAACGGACCCGGTGGAGTCCCAGAGGTCGACTTCTCCGTCACCAGTCAGGACTGTGATGTGTTCCCGGGAACACAGTTGAAGAACTGCCCTCAGATTGGGTGAGTGATAATTTGAATGCTGGCATCCCTGCCAGACTAACATCCAATAGCCAGGATATCCAAACATGCCAGGACAAAGGCAAAACCATCCTCTTGTCCATCGGTGGCGCAACGTACAGCGAAGGTGGCTTCAAGTCGGAGGCGGACGCCAAAGCTGGCGCACAGCTCATCTGGGACACTTTTGGACCCCAGAAAGATGGCTCTGAGGCTTTGCGGCCTTTTGGCAGCGCCGTTTTGGATGGCTTCGATTTCGACTTTGAGGCCAGTGTCACAAACATGGCCCCTTTTGCCAACGAGCTGCGATCCCTGATGGACAAGGAGACTGGCAAGCAGTACTTCCTCACGGCCGCCCCCCAGTGCCCGTACCCCGATGCTGCGGACAAGGATATCTTGAACGGCCCCGTCTCCATCGACGCGGTGTGGGTTCAGTTCTACAACAACTTCTGCGGCGTAAACAACTTCGACACGGATAGCACGAACTCCAAGTACAACTTCGAAGAATGGGACAACTGGGCCAAGACCGTGTCACAGAATAAGAATGTTAAGGTAATTTTGGGCGTGCCAGCCGATACGACTGCCGCCAGCACTGGCTACATACCTGTCAGCAAATTGGCCGATGTGATCGAATACTCGAAGAAGTTCGAAAGCTTCGGTGGTGTAATGATGTGGGATACGACTCAGGCATATGCGAACCAGGGGTTCATTGATGGTGTGCGCAAGGCGCTTGGTGGTCCGAATTCCGGTTCGTCGTCGTCGTCCAACCCGGCGTCGGCCACGGCGTCTGCACCAACGTCCACTAACTCACCGAATACCTCGCAATCTTCCAATGCACCCGGCTCCTCGTCCTCCTCTTCCTCCTCCTCTGGATCTGGCTCCTTATCCGGTGGGCCTGAAAAACCGAAAGCTACTACCGCCTCGACTACCAGCGCCACCAAACCTACCACCAAGGCGAAGCCTACCGAATCCGCTACGAAGTCAGAGCCAGAGACGACTATCGCGAAGCCCGCCAATAAGCCGACTACGAAGGCGACTACCACGACCAAGCCCGAAGTTGCTCCTAAGCCGACTACGACTGAGCCCGCTCCGAAGCCGACTGCTGACAAGCCGACAACTACTGAGCCTGCTCCCAAACCGACTACCACTAAGCCGACTACGACTGAGCCCGCTCCCAAACCGACTACGACTGAGCCCGCTCCCAAGCCAAATACCACGACCAAGCCCGAAGTTGCTCCTAAACCGACTACAACTGAGCCTGCGCCGAAACCGGCCACTACTACCAGGCCCTCCGTGGTCGACCCTGATGATCTTGCTGATCCCGACCTTACTCCTATCGACCAGTCAAATGACGATGACGATGATGATGATGACGACAGCAACAGCACAAATAAGCCAGCCAAGAGTGACCTTATCAGCTCGGATCTCTTTGGTCTCTTGGATGGTCTCAAACAGGCCAATGGCGTCGTTGAGGGTCTAACTCACGGTTTGACCAAGAACCTCCGTCGTGCGAAGCGTATTGGATACAACTAAGCATCCCTTGGAAGAATCGGTGCTTCAATTGGAACACACCAAGCCAACCAGACTCAGGACTTGACAAATTGTTGGCCCAGAAGGATACTTGTCCCCAAAGACATAAGGAAAGCAAACAGTCTCCACGAGATATTGACTGATCTACATCAAGGACAATGAGCATTACTTCCACTCGTTTATATCACATGGACTGCTCACTGGATTTCACTCTTTCTTATGTACCCAACCTTCCTTGATACCCCAATTCATAATATCTCCAGTGATGCTATATATGGATGTCTCAAAATATTACTCATCGTCTTTGACATTTCACATGATTTTACTTGCCCAGCCAAGCCAATTCGTCCAGGCATACATGGGTAAGCCTAGGCATTCACAGTCACTTTGTAACTTTTCCAGGACCCAGCCTCTGTACACGAGCCATTGAATAACCCCTTACTCTCGCGACCTCCAGCAACACCAGAGATAACGCAGTCAATGTTCTCAGTGAAGATCGCTTTCCACCAGTCCACATAGTAGATGGAGTCTGCCAAAATGTAGCAGTAATCATATGTACCGCCAAGGCTTGTGCATGATAAATCGGCAGTTGAGCCGGACGCAACGAGGGTACCATCGGTGCACTAGTTTCACGATGAGTCAGTGGCTGTAGCTTGAAGTAAAGTCTAAATGTTTGGGCTTCGTTGAACTTACGGAATCCCCACAGTAAAGGGCCCAGTCGGCAGAAGCCACTGAGGCGAGGGCGAGGACCAAGGTAGTAAAATACTTCATGATGATTTGTTTCCTAGATCCAATCTTGCACGTTAGCACCTGAATTATTGATTTTTCCTGAACCAAGAAAATACCCACACTTACTGAAGTTGGCTCTTGAATATATTCCTGGACAAGATATATCAAAATAGGAGGTCGGAGATGTTCTCACCATCCGGGCAGTTATATATTTCTCGTAGAGCGAAGGCTTACGTACCTCCGGACAATCATACAACCTTAGAGATGTTTTGTTTTTCCACACATGCATCCTAGTGCATCCGCCGCCAAGCTCTTCGCGTGGGCAAAGGTACCAACATAATACGCTGCAGGATCCTCCAATGCGTATCTATTAGTTTAGGCTTGGTCTTTGCCCCGCTTCTGCACGGTTAGGTCAAATACGGCCTCCAGCGAACAGAGCCCCTTTGACACTCACTAGACAATGTTGGAAATAACCTTGGAAGAGTGTATCGAGAAGGCCCCCAAAAAACCCCTCCATAATTTAGTTCAGGTACAGTTTCGGCGTTTCCAAGCGCCCGAGGCTGCTGGAACTATTGGTGGCTTACGGAGGCTTGGCCTGCGCAAGGCTAGCTAGTTTCATCTCGAGGGCGCTACAGTACGAACTGTCACTGAAATCTCGCGTTAAGAATTATGAAGTCAGAATGGCTTAAGGCTGTGGATGAATGCTATGGAGTCGAGGCATTATAATTGGGTATGTTTATACAACTAGCATCGTGAAGCCCATACTTGGATTAAAGGGCCCAAGCTCAACGTTCATGCCACTCGGTTTGATGTAGAATAGAAGGATACAGTGTGGCCTTTTTGTTTTGGACGTAGCGAGTCACTAGTACCTACAGTATTCTATTCAACGTGGCGTCTGCCAAGCGTAAGCAATTCGTAAGCCCTTGTATCCTTGAGTGCTTCGACAATTACGGAAAGTCATTTGGCGCGAAGTAACTTATTCGGACATTGCAGATTCCCAAAATCTGGAAAATAATAGGAGTTTTTTTCTGCATCTGATCAAAGTAAAAAAGAGAAAATAGACAGCGACATACTGGATAAAAAAGCATCATGGAACCATACTCCGCCATTCCCCGTCTTACAGCCATAAAAACATTAATCATTGCACATGAAACCTCCTCAGACCCTGATTAGTAGGGAATGCAAGGGATATTGATAATCTCTTGACATAGCAGCCCACCGCAATGGAATCCAGGCACGCTCATTACTATCCGTTCTTACCCCTTTCCGGCCCTTCACTCCATTTCCTCCTCCTCCTTGCTTGTAGCCAAATGGTATCGGCCTGGGGGCCTACCAGGTTCTTCGTACTCAACATTCAAGCGGGATAGATGACCGAGCAAGCTCTCGATCTTGATTTCACCCTTGCTGCGCTTCTGGCGACCGAGCTCGTCGAGCCATTTAATTCTGTTGAGGATGAAGTAGACAAGGGCAATTACAATCTCTACGCCGAGCGAGTAGCCCCAGATACGGACGACCGTCACAATATCAGTCCATCCATTCCTGGTTTCGACAAAGGAATCGGGAGGGTCCGTCTTCATATCCTGATTTGTGAACCATCCGAACAGACAGAAGATTGTTGCGAGAATGTCCACACCTAGGATAGCGGAGACTAATTGTAGAGATGGCCAGGTGTCAATACCACGAGTCACAAAGATAAGCCAGTTCTCTGTAAGTGCGACCTCCAGGAATAGGACTTCTTGAATAGAACCCCAATTCTGGATGATGCCCCCCGACTTGAGGAACATACTGCCACGAACAACCCAGGTACCCAAGGCAAGAAGCAGGCCAAGAATTGAGGAGATAAACCAGATCTTCGGGAGTTGCCATTCCACAGGACGTAGTTCGAACGAGGCATGGTCGTATGCCACTGCGACGGTTGCAAGGTCGGCGAATAAAGCCAGGAAGACGATAAGCTCCACACGAATACTTTCGTTCAAGATGATCATCGCGGTCACCAGGTAGATTTCTAAATGCAAGCAAAGCGCAATCCGATACTGAATGTACGCTTTCATGCGGTGGAAGATCTGTCTTGCGACCTTGATGGAGTCGATGATCGTTGAAAGGCCAGGTTCGAGGAACACAATATCCGATGCCGACTGTGCTGCTTCCGATGCACCTTCAACAGCGATTCCACAATCCGCTTTCTTGAGTGACGGCGCATCGTTCACACCGTCGCCAGTCATTGCGGTCAGATGACCTCGTTCCTGGAGCATTTGCACCACTTGATACTTGTGCTCAGGGAACACTTCAGCAAATCCATCTGCTTTCTCAACCAGATCACTAGCCATAGCGCCGCTCAGACCACCGTGAATCAGCCTATCCGAGTTATACACCTTGGTGCCCAGAGCCAGCATCTTGCAGGTCTCTTTAGCAATAGCGATGGCATCGCCCGTGAGCATCTTGACACTGATACCTAGGTTCTGTGCTTCACTAATTGTCTGAGCTGTGTCCTCACGAGGAGGGTCGAACATAGGCAGCATTCCTAAAAGCATCCATTCTTCGCCTTCTTTTTGAACAGCCACGCCGAGTGAGCGAAAGCCACGATGGGCAAACTCCTGTGCTTTTTCCTTGTAGTGATCCGAGACTTGTGGCGAGCAGTTCGTGAGCGCCAACACTGCTTTTGGAGCTCCCTTCGTGCAAGTATATCGAGTTCCCTCGCATGTAGCGACAGTCACAATGCGTTTAGAGACCGGGTCAAATGGCGTAAACTTTTCGGTTTTCCAGCCACGACGTAAGATCTCTCGCGCTTTGGGATACTGGCGGAGTGACAGAACGGTGACTTTGTCGATGGGGTCCAACGACTCAATGTTATGCGAAGATGCAAGCACAGCGACTGCGAACATCCAGTCCACATCTACGCCTTCGGCCACGTAGGGATCACGGATACTGAGTTTATTGGCTGTCAGAGTTCCTGTCTTGTCGGAGCAGAGGATATCCACACCCTAAATACTGATTAGCATACATTCAGCCATTGTTTGACTTCAATGGGGTGGTGTACGTACGGCCAAAGACTCGATGGCGGTCAACTTCTGCACAATTGCTTTCTTCCTTGCCAAGTAGGCAGCACCCACGGCCATGGTCGTGGTGGTGACGACAGGAAGACCAACAGGCACCCCGATAATAAGCAAGGATAGAGTGTAGTGAAGCAGTGTCTGTTGTCCGGGTGAAGCGATTGGGATGTGGCGGAAGAATCCACCAATCCACGCAGCAAGAATCCAAGTCATTACGAGAAATAACAGAGATGTTCCGATATTGTCCATGACGAGTTCAAAGTGACCTGCGCCCTTAGCAGAGGCCACCATAGTCGCCGTACGGCCGACAAAGGAAGTCTTTGCACCGGTCTGGACTACGGCATAAGCCTTGCCACGCTTACAGCCGGTTGTATAGAAGATCATGTCACCCATGTAACGGTCCACGGCGAGAGACTCGCCCGTAATTGCGGAGTGATCACAGGCAAGAATGGGATAGCCGCGACGACGAGTTTTGTGCTTGTGGTTATCGGCTGCAGTGTCCTCACTGTTTCCACCTGTAACCTCTTTGCCTTCGGCCTCACCCTCCTTGGGTTCATCATCATCCGACTCAGACCCACCACCAAGCATGCCTTGCTCTTGCAATTGGTTAAACTCCTCCCAGCCGTGCGGGTCACTGAAGTCACAAATAACCTTGGCATCAGCTGGGATGACTTGACCTTCGCCCACGATGATCTGACAATGGTGTATTAGCAACTTAAAAACTGCCTCTAAAGTGAATTTTGCAAGAAGAATGACACACCACGTCTCCTGGAACCAGTTCACGTGCCAGGATCTCCTGTTGGGTGTTGTCTCGTATCACGATTGCTCGCATGGCAATATCACCTTTCAGACTGGCAACCACATCAGCGGCTTGCTTCTCTTGGTACCAACCGACAGTAGCATTCAGAGCAAGGATTCCGATGATGACACCGAAGTCAACCCAGTCATCTAGACCAGCAGCCAGCAGCACCGCCAGCTCCATGACTTCAATAATATTAGCGAATTTCATGCCATGAGGTGTAGGAAGCACGAACCGTAAAGAATGGGGCCGCGGAAGTAGGACAGAATCTTAGCAATGGGATTCTCTTTCTCCGAGACCAATTCATTCCAGCCTGAGCGGCGACGGCGATTGTTCGCTTCCTCAGTGGATAGACCCTCGCGAATATCGGTAATGAGCCAGTCGTCAGGGTATAAGCCAGCCGTTTCTTCGACTGACTTGACACGGACCTTGCGCTTCTTCCATGGCATATACCAGATGCGTTTCTCTATGAAATCACCCTGATATTCCAGGTTGGCATCGGCGCTCTGGAAGGTCGACACATACTTGACGAGCTTTCCGTACTCGTCCAGTTGAGCATAGTCCTCCTTTAAAGAGGCCCTGGAGATGCGGGAGCCACGACGGCCTTCGGCTCGCTCGGCATCGCCTTGACTTGCCATGTTAGTAGTTTGAAGTGATGAGGGTGGAAAGGATGGATGAAGCCTGGTGAAAAGCGAGAGATGGCCAGGTGCAATACGGAGAAAATTAGGAGGATGGAAGCTTCCGGCAGAAGCAAAATTGCTTTGCAACGACGAGCGTTGACACAAACGATACAAACGAGAGGGGAAACACTTCCTGTCCCTCAGCACATCAACCCACACAAGAACTAATCAGCAAGGCCAGGCTACTGGGAGTATTAGGGATTGTTTCTCCTTCGAAGCTTACAAGAAGGAACAGCTTGCAGGCTTCCAGGTTTGCTACGAGAGATTTTCGCTTTTTCCTCACTCAGTCAATCATGCTGACGTCGCCAAAGCTAGAAGAGATATTTTCTGCACTGACATCCGACATATCATAGTACCCCTGACAGGCCTTGACATACGAAACCGTGGGTAGAGCTATCCGGTCGAACCTTCTTAGCGGCGGGCCGTTCCTATAGCCATGGAAAACTGTACAATGCACCAGTGGGGAGCTTAACTAGTCTTTTCCCCGTGGAAATGCGAAAGCGTTCCATCCGCGAAATGTGGAACATTGTTTAAGCTTTTGACCGGCATAAATACAAAACAAGAAGCTTGTACACCGTTAGAGTGGAGATGGCGGGTAGATCACCCTTTAGCGTACCCGGTCTCTTCCGCACCATTGGCCAGTCCTCGGAGCTTCGGGGCTATTTCGACTTGAGTCCCCACAGCAAGAAGCCCAGGTCTAGTCACTGAACATAATTCATATAAGCTGAACAAGACGGTATTTGGGCCAGCTTGAAGCCTCGGATCGGTATTTAAACGAAAAAAATAATAGCCGATCCAGATCAGGTATTTGCTCAGCCTTCCGTGTCATGTGTATGATAGGTCCCGCTGGCACTCAAATATTTCTCGGCTTTCGAACTGCACTGATGCCTATGATCGAAAAAAAGTCAACATGAGTACAAATATGAAAGGGCGAAGAGATATGTCAGAGCTCAGTCTATACGACCCGAAGGCTTGGCCATGGCACTCCATCCACGCAACCACACGTGATTCGTGAGCATCTCTTGAGATTGATTTAGATGAAATTCAAACATTAGAATGTACAACTTTTGATTTGATTAGATAGTATTTCTATCTACGCATCCATTCATTCAAGTCACATTCTGCATCTCCGTCGTGAATCATCTACTTTTGCTTGCCGGTAGGGATGTTGAAGAAGACGGCAGGGACACCAGGAGCAGGGGCCCGGTCCACACGGTAGAAGCCCTTGCGGTCGAACTGGATGATGTCGCCAACCTTGACCTCAGACATGTTTCCATCCGCGAAAGCACTCACGCGGAACTCGGTGTTGAAGTTAAGAACATCCTCCAGGACATCGTCCTCGGCCAGGGAGTCCTTCTTGAGCAAGTAGTCGAAATCGACCAGCTCAACATCGACGAGAGTCTGGCCCTCAGTAGCGAGCCAAGTGACCTTCTTCTCGGTCTTCTTGACATCGCCAGCCATGTGGAGTTCAAGCTCGAGGTCGGTGACATTGCCGGCAGCATCGGTGGAGATCTTGCGAACAATGGCATTACCCCAGTTCATCAGAGTGATTTCCTCGTCCTGCTTGAACGACTTGGCGTCAACTTGCTCCAGCAAAACCGAGGAGCTGAAAGCGACAGTCTTCTCGCCGACAGCAGGGTTCTTGGCGTGCTTAGCTCTCTTCTCAGTGTAGGGGGTGGCAGGGCCGCCGGTCATGGTTGCCTTGACCATATCCGTCTTCTCAATTGCAGTGTGACGAGGAGCGACGGGATCAATGTACTTCTTGTTGGTGGCCCAGATCAAAGCCCAATCGAACAGAGTCACGTTCTTGGATGGGCCCTGCTTGAGGATGAACTCCCGAAGGGCAGGGATAGTCATACCACGTCGTCGAATACCCCGGATGGTAGGGAAGCGAGGATCATCCCATCCCCAAACGACTCCACTCTCAACAAGCTTGGTGAGCTTTCTCTTGGAGAGCAAAGTTCGGATAAAGTTCATCCGAGCAAAGTCCCAGACTTGCACAGTGCGCAGGCTCAAAGCATCCAGCATCCACTGGTACTGCGGGTTGCGGTCACGGTACTCGATGGCTAAAAGGACGTATTAGCAAATGCAGCGAATATGAGCAAAAAGGGGAGCACATACTTCGCAGAGCGTGGGTAACACCCTCCATAGAATCAACGATAGGACAGGCGAAGTCGTAAGTTGGGTAGATACCCCACTTAGCGCCTGTTCGGTGGTGAGGTGCAGGGTTGCAGCGGTAGATGACAGGGTCGCGCATGGCCTTGTTCTTGTCCTCGAAGGAGATCTTGGCACGGATACACCAGCGCAAGCCCTCGGGCGTACCCTTCTTCATCTCCTCGAAGCGGGCCAGGGACTCCTCGGGGGTGAGCTCACGACGCTGGCTGGGCAGGCCATCCCAACGCTGGGCGGCCATGGTCTCCTTATCAGTGTCATCTGCATAGGCCTTGCCGGTCTTGATCATCGTAATACAGTAGGCGTACACTGTAATTTGTCAGTAGCAAGTCAAGTGTATGGACTGATAGAAATTAATTACTCACATTCGTCGAAGTAGTCGGATGTGTAAGAGACCTTGTTGGGCTTGATGCCCATAAGTGCTGGTTGTTAATAGTCAGCAATTTGCTTTGGTCCGATATTATCCATTGAAGTCGACTAACCAAGATCCTCTACGATGGCATCCTGGAACTCCTGCTTCTCGTTGGAGGGGTTGGTATCATCGAATCTGAGAGGTGAATAAGCTTTCTGGGCATTTCACTTAATTTTCAAACATGCAAATCATACCGGAGCAGAAGAGTACCGTTGTACTTCTCATGAGCAAAGTCTGCATGTATAGGTTAGCACATTGCGCTGGAAATTGCATGGTGACATGAAACACACAGTCGTTCAACAAAGCAGCCTAGAGCAAAACGATTAGCGTTGGAGACATATAAGTGATAGATCACAAGAAATTCGAACCTTTGCGTGTCCAATGTGGAGGTATCCTCTGTGGTATGACTTAGTATATAAGATGTGGAGGTGGCTGAAGTAAACTCACGAGGGCTCCGGGGGGAAGCGAGTAACGACACCGTTCTCGGTGTTCTTCAGAGCAATGTCGTAGTTGGCACCCTCCTTAGACTTGGCAAGCTTCTTCTCGCGGGCGGCAGCATTCAGAGCCTCGACAGCTGAAGTGGCCCATGGGCACAGCTCCTCCAAGAACTTGTACCAACGGGTCAGGTTGACGAGAGTACCCCGCTTAAGAGCGGCAGCGGCGACACGGTTTCCGCGGAGAGCACCCCAAATAGCAATATCGGGGGTAGACAGGGAGTAACCAGACACGAAGGATCGCATCAGAAGGTGGGTATCTTGACCTCAATTAGCTGCTGCACATCCTGTGGAGGGTTTGCATATTCCATACCGAGGCGCTGCAGGAGAGGGTCCAAGGCCTTGAAATCCAGGTTGTCGAGGGATTCCAGCTGAGAGATCCATTCGCTCTCCTAAACAGATTGTTTACGTTAGAATTGTAAGACTTTGTTAATTCGATGGCGGCGTAGCTCACCAGCTTGGTATCCTTGCCAACCAGGAAAGGGAACTGAGCACAGAGCTCCTGGATGGCAGGGATAGTACCGAAGGCAGATTTGTCAGCGGCCTTGAACTGGATGAAAGCCTTGTCACCCTCGCTGAGGAGAGCAGAGTCCTCATAGATGATGTTGATGACTGGGGTGCTGTACTAGTATTAGTATAGTGACGATGGAAGAGTCATATATACATTGCTTACGGCCGGGCCTCGTTGATTGAGGTTGCGATGAGAACCACAGGCAGCAGCGCAGCCTGGCTGGCACGAGTGGCCACGTGCAGCTCGAATTGGGACATTATTCACCAGTGTAGAGCAGAAATGGGTGGTGATTGGGAAATTTGGTGGAGGGGCACTATCATTACTCACTATCAGCGATCACCGACCGGCCGTACATTTCTCCGACGCCGACAGCTTTCCGACAGAAAACAGTTGGAGCGCCAATTGTCGTGCCCACCCAACGCCATTCAGCAATGTCGTCCTTTGGCGCAGTTATGCCCTCCGCGGCACGCGGAATTCTCTCCTCATGCAGTCTGCCACTCCGACAAAGGGCAATTGCCCCGGCTTCCCTCGGCCTTCAGCAGGTCCGAGGCTTCAAGGACCAGAAGAAGGGTAAGGGCAAGGGAAAGAGCCAGCCCAAGACAGACCGTAAGGGAAACCGAGACTTCCAGCAGAAGAACTTGGCGGATATGGAACGATTTGCGCTATGCGATGCGATGCGGTAAGTTTAGATTTAGGTCCTTCACGATTCAATCGTCCATGATCTCCGTTCGGCTTTTTGACATTTGTCTCCGCAACAGCTATATCCGGGCAACAGAAGTCGGTCGCGAGCCTACGCTTTCGAAATACGAAATCCACATCCGTATCCGAACAAAAAAAGATGGACCTGTCATCCGAAACATGATCCGATTCCCTCATGCGGTCCAAACCGAATCCCGAATCTGCGTCATCTGTCCACCGGGATCAAAGGCGGCTACGGAGGCACTTGCTGCGGGTGCTGTTCTTGTTGGAGAGACTGAAGTGTTCGAGGCTGTAAAGGCAGGCAGGATTGAGTTCGAACGTTGTCTCGCTCACCCTGACAGTTTGCCGGCGTTGAACAAGGCTGGACTGGGACGAATCCTTGGTCCTCGGGGTCTGATGCCCAGCGTGAAGAATGGTACTGTGGTTGAAGATGTCGCCGGTCGTGTTGAGATGCTTCGTGGAGGTACCGTCTACCGTGAGCGTGACGCTGTCATTCGTCTTCCCATTGGGCAATTGGGATTCTCGCCTGAGCAGTTGCGGGACAACCTGCGCACAACTATTGATCAGGTCAAGAAGGATGCTGCTAAGCTCAACGACCGTATCAGCAAGGAGGTCTACGAAGTGGTAAGGCGTCTTGCATTACCCCAGTCCCCAAGTATTCCCGACTAATAATTGCAATAGGTTTTGAGTTCGACCCACGGCCCCGGCTTCAGCCTGAACGGAGACTTCGCGACCGACAACTCTCCTCCAACCTCTGCCTTGACTGGCGTGTAAAATACCATTTGTCTTATATTCGCTTGGCGTGTACAAATTATTATTGTTTTATTAGGAACGGACATGGTGTATCATGGTATCATTTCTGTTCAATAGAAGATTCGCAAACCAGAACCTGAACTCCGACGCTATGCAACTCTAGTTTATATCCAACCATTGGCGCAATGGGCATATTATAGTTTGAGGTTCTTCAGCGCGGCCACAGCACTGACATCCTCGCCCATCAAATCGTAAAGATGTAAGACAGCCATTGTTCTTGCATCCCGCTTCTCACCAACATGACTAGCCTGTTCCAAGGCAGTCTTCAAGTCAAGCAGCACTGTAGACTTGATCTTTGAAACACGTGGCTGCTGAGCAAGCAAGAATGGATGATCCTTGCCCACTGTCGTGGCGATGGAGGTCAGGAACACGTATTTCTGGACATGTCGCTCCAGTCGTTTGAGAGACACAGGGGCAGTTCCATCTTCTAGCTCCTCATCATCGTCACTTTGTTCGCTGCCGTCATCGTATAGATCGGAGTCCGCGTCCGACTCATCATTGATCGGAATTTCACGCAGAGATGACTTGTCTTCAATCATCAATCGGTGTTCTAATTCCTCCACTCGATCCGCATAATCCAATAGATTCTTGCCGATGTCTGCATGGGACCGGAGTTTCCGCTTCTCGTTCAATAGTCCCTCCACCTCTCGGCGTCGCTCTTCCACTTTGTCACGAATTGACTGTACATCTCGTCGGAAAGATAGCAAGCCCACTTTGACTCCCTCTACCTTCTCCTCACCCCCGCGCAATGCGGTGCCCAGGGATAGAAAGTCTTGGTAGTTCTCGTTGACGAGATCCAACAGCTCTTTGTTGAGTAATTGTTCTAGGCTCCGCAACTCCTGCCGTAGGTCTTCAAGACTCTGGTGCCGATTCGTCAAGGATGATAGGAAGGTAGTCGGGTCGAAATCAGGGGCAAGGAATGAAGTCCGGGATAACGGTTCGGGGAAGGGCAAGGAAGACGAATCCTCGTCAAAATCCGAGCCAGACTCATCGGAGTCACCAAACTGAATTGAACAATTAGTCGACCTCAATACATCAATCCAAGAAGCCAATTAACACTACCTTGAACCGATTCATGATGTGGCAGATCTCAGGCAGGGAGCGGTACCCGACGAAGCTGTTCAATGGTGGAAGCTCGGAGTCCAACCATGTCCGGTCTTGGCGTCTGTTTGGGTCGCGACTTCCTGTCATACAAAGTACACATTTCCTTATTTTCTTTTACAACTTCGAGAATTCACATTCTGAGCTTACTATCTGCTCAGACACTGCCAGCGCATCGAAAGCATATGCAACGCGAATGCGACTTACATGCACCTCTCCTCGTGAGTGCACCGTAGACGTGTACTTCCCCCCACCTACAAAGCACTACCGAGCGGGGTTTCCCTCGGTATACGCTGCCTTGCATTGAAAGCGTGACTTAGTTCTCTAGATTGGTACAATATGGACTCTGAAACACTGTCCACTTACTGGGACGGTACTCGGCTGTCATCATCACCTTTCTCGCAACAAGGATGGTCCCGACTATCTCCATCCTATGGACCGCCAACAAGCGATGCGGGCCCCTCACACCACGCAGATTTGCGTCACTATGAATCTGCATTAGACGAGTCAGATCGATCATACCGATCAACTGCCCTGCATCAAGCTCACGGGCTACGGCCTCTGTCCCGACGAGACAGGCCTGCCAACCCTGCTGCCTATAGACAATCGCCCCCTGTACCAACCCAGCCTGTTCTTGTCAGAGCGTACTCCGGCAATGCGGAGGGTGCAACTGCAAGATCGTCGACTATGTCTCCGCGCCGACTGTTCCCGTTCACGGGTTCAAAGAGTTCGGCTTCCTCCCACTCACCGGGCCCGCCTCTCCCCTCGGACAAGGATTTCAGTATCGAAAGTATACTGCAGGCCATCGAACCCGATATCCGTGGGACCCTTGACTCCATTGCTGATATCTGCGGACGAAGCAAGCTTAGTCTTGCTAATGAATATGGCAGTCACATCGCCCCTCTTGGTGAGATCCGAGCACCCCCGAGTGGCCTGGTGCCTGTTGAAGAAGTCAGTATGAGTGACGAACTACGTGATGAAGCCGTCGTGATCTTCGATGATGATCACAACATCATGGACGCTGGTCGCGATACACATCCTTTCTCATTCTATCGCTACGTTGAGAATCTCCGGCAAGCTGCCTCGGCACTGGAACAAAATAGAGACCCTGGTTCTGCAGAACCAGCACGGTCAATCACTGCACGGCCTGAAACATCAAATAATCGCACTGCTGTCATATCAGAAGCGGATGATATGAATTACCCGAATACTCGAGACTTCATTTCAAGGCCAAAGCACTCTGGGCGAGACCTACTCGCTAAGAACGCGATTCTTGAACATGAGTTTGCGCCACAAGATATCGCGACCCACGCCGTCGTTTCCGAGGTACATTTGGATGCCCGGGCTGATGGAAGACACCTAGTAGAGAACATCGGTGGCTCTGCGATGACTTCTTCGGCGTCCATGCACCCTAACCAGTGGCAAGCACCTGACATTATAAACTCTTTACTTGGTTGGCTTCGCTGGACGGCACGAATAGCTGGAACAGAGAATCAGCCTGCTTTGCAATCAGCCGAGAGCCGTTTGAGAGCTATGCTACAACAGTCAGCCGGCGACGGGACTTCTCAATCGTTGTCTTAGGCGCATTCCTACTGGTGACTATTCAATAACGACTTATGATGGAATTTTAATGATAAGTAACGACTGCGATGACCAACAACTACTAGCGTCTTTCCTTGTCTTTTGTACTATGAACCTTAACCAATCTAACTCATTGTATCGGGCTTCATTTTGGTCTTCTCGGAACACTAAATAATCCCCTTCTTTATGGAAAGAAAAACGCCATAATAAATGCAATATGAACTTGGAAAACCAGATCCAGATATCGCTGGAAACGAAAATGAACAAGCAATTTGCACAACCAAACCGCAAACTCGCCTTAAGCCGTGGTCTGCTGCAAGCCCCCAAGAATCGTTTTCGCAAATCCCTCAAACCGAGGATAGGACCATCCCTCCTGATACTTTTCAACAAGCGGCCTATCATCCGGCTCAGTAGGCTCAACCTGCTGCGCCTTCTGCGTTCCGTCTTCACCTTCCACCTCGTCCTCATCTTCGTCATCACTCATCTCCATCTTCCCTTCAACCAACTCCCCAAACTTGACATCAACAGGCACCTTTCCCAAAAATGGAATCCCGAGCTGCTGCGCCATAACCTCTCCACCCCCACTCGAGAACAAATTACTTACCTCCCCACAGCACGGACACGCATAGCCCGACATGTTTTCAATAACTCCAAGAATAGGAATGTTAGTCTTGACGCAGAAATTTGCCTCTTTGCGCACATCCGACGTTGCAACAGCCTGTGGCGTAGTAACCAGCACCGCACCCGCCAATCTAGGCACACCATTCTGCATCGCGAGCACCGGATCCGCAGTTGAGAGTGTAAGTAGCTGCTCAGCAAGCGCAATATGCTCGTCACTCGTACCCGGCGGCGTATCGATAAGCAGGTAATCTGTTGAGCCCCACGAGACATCCGAAAGGAACTGGCGGATCATAGCAGTTTTCTTGGGTCCGCGCCAGATTACCGCGTCGCCGCGGTCTCGGAGGAGGAAGCCTAGGGACATGCAGTGTAGGGAGCCACGTGCGGAGGGGGAAGATGCTGTGTCCGTTTGGGAAGTGATTGCACTGTGCACTGGAACTGGGAGCCAGCCTTGGGGCGATTGGGTGATCTTTGCATCTTCGAGGCCGACTAGGCGGGGGATTGAGGGGCCTGTTAGGTCTATGTCGAGAATACCGACGGATTTGCCTTGGAGGGAGAGGGCGAGGGCTAGTTGGAGGGTTACGGAGGATTTTCCGACTCCTCCTTTGCCGGATAGAACCTGCGATACGTATTCATTAGCGATTGGTGCTTTGGAGACTATTTGAGTGTCCTTCGTTTCTTTTGCACACTTGCGGCGTTATCGATAAGGAGTTTGAGGGGCAAGGGTTTTTTTTCCCTTTTGCTTTGCGCAAAATGTATTGCTCGTTTTTGCAAGAGAGCGCATTGAGATTCTGTAGAGAACTTACCAGGACAATATTTTTGACCCCGTCGAGAGACATTATGTGTATAGCTATGGTGAAGTAGAAACCAGAATGACTTCAGAGGAAAGACAAGTGGGGGTCCGATGGCCGGATGCTTATCAATCTAGTTCTGACTAAAAGAAGAGCCGTGGATGGACCTCTGGGAGCTCAGTAAATCATGGAATTTTCTTTATTCTTCTTTATCTTTTTGGCTTAATGGAAAGACAGTGATCTTCCCCATGATGATCATAAGAGTTAATGATCTATTACCCCGTCGACCCTCATTTTTGAACCCAAGCTAGACAAAATAAATTAATGTATCCTTCTATTTCCATTTCTGGACGACAACACCACCACGTTTCAAGTCAGGCAGATCGGCAAGAGTCACCTCCCAGTCGTTCAGTTCATTGTTGGGGAATGTTGTCATCAGTACCCATGCGCGGTTACGGCCATTCGGAGTGGCCGCAGCGACGAATGCATAGACATCACCAATAGTAGCGCTGGTGTTGAAGCGGGAAGTCATACGAGTCCCGTCTCCCAACCGAATTTGTAGTGTTACGCTTGGTTGCGACTCGTCTACATCATGCTTGGGGGGTAGCCACCAGAAGTGGGAGCTTGGGGCTCAGCGGGTGGAGGGGTCGAAGATTGGCTTGCGATACCCGGAGTCGGGCTGCCGAGGCGCTGACCAGATCCAGAGAAGGGCTTATACTTGGGCTTGGGCTTCACATATTTTTCTTCGTGTTGCTTAAGCTCCACGTCCACTTCCTGTCCGGCTTGCACATTCATGATTCCCAGCGGGGCACGGCCTTGTCGGATACCATCCAAAATCTCGGCATTTCGGGGATCATCGGACCGGTAAAGCTCGCCGTCGTCGACAGAGAATCCATCGGCCCAGAAGTGAAGAGTTCGTTGGACACGTTGAGCTCGTTGCGGGGCGGGGGCAGTAGGGTCTTCAATAAGGCGGCTTGGGGCCTCATCACCACCAAGCGTGCGGGCGGTGCCAGTGAAATGGGATGGGCGTGATTCAGGTTCATCTGAGTGTTGGAGTGGCGCAGCTCTGTTGATTTGTACATCAGCACTGAGAGTTATGCGCTATAACCAGAAGACCCGCCAGACTTACCTCCGAGCCTTTTCCAGAATTTTCTTCTTGAGATCATCTGGGTTCTGAACAGCCAAGCCAGACTTTTCTCCTCCGGCAAAGAAGTCATGATCTTCCGAGCCATCGTCTTCTGAAGAATCGCCCCCACTTCCTGACGCAAAGTCTCCTAATGTAGCAAACTTCTTCTTGGGCGCCGCGCGCTTAGTAGCTGGCTCAGACACAGCAGAAGAGGACGGGGCAGCAGCACCACCCAGGGATCGTCCTCCTGTAGCTGTTCCGGTGGATTCTTCAGCTGGGTTCATACCCTGTAGAGCCTCATCCTGCTCGGCAAAGAAGTCGGCTACGGCGGCTTCAATGTCTCCGTTGTTGTTGCCAAGATATTCCACAGCCTGTCAAATCAAAGAGCAAGGGTCAGTAAGCATATAGCACTTCAAGTACAGATTTGGAGATTCGTTATTCACATCTGAGGCCTGGACACCGGTCATGGCACAGAACTGAGCCACTAGCTCATCTTGCTCTGCGGGGTAGCGGTCCATCCTGGAGCTTGGTAGACGGTCTAGATTGATTTGTATAGGGGCGATAGACAGGAAATGGTAGAAGGTCGAGGGAGGATGTTTTGTAGGTTGGATATGAGAAGACGCGTGAAAACAAAGGACAAGCTGAGTTGGAGTAGCCAGCTAAACACCGCGGGCAGGTACGTCACTGCAATTGGTCAGCGGGGACAAGATCTTCCGCCCTTGAACACCCATTGATCTATACAAACAGCCGGATAAAGCCCTGTATAGAACACATAAATATTATCCTGTGGACCAGATTTTAGGGCAAGATCTATATGTTCACCTCACATGTTAGTATTTTAAGTACCGTCAAATCTCGATATTTGGTTAGTCTTGTTCTCACAAAATGCCTTTCTTGATGGCTTACATAATGCACTCCGCAGCGAGGAGCATCCCGTGCCGAGCTGTCGACCGATCTCAATGCAAACCCCCCCAATTGTTATTTTGCCTTGTCCCCATCTCCCCTTGACCTCACTCCAACAATCATGGCTTCCGATGCAACAGGCTCGCGAGGCGAGCTCTATGACTCCACTATGACTGTACCCTCCGACTCGGAGAACTACTCGGCCAACCACGAACTGTCTTCGTCTACTTCGAGCTCTCCTATGATCCTCTATAAGCCTCCATCTATCTGGGGTATTCTTCGCGGCGCAGCGATCAACCTCTTTCTCCCCTTTGTTAATGGTCTGATGCTTGGGTTTGGTGAGCTCTTTGCCCATGAGGCGGCCTTCCGTCTTGGATGGTCCAACACCAAGGTATGTGTCTAGAGTCTACCCCGCTAGATCTTAATGGATAAAACTGATCCATACAACTGCTTCAGATCTTTCCAGCATACCGCAGATCTCATGCCATGGGTCCTGGAGTCGAAGTTCGAGAGCTTCCCTCGGAGCGGAGGCGGACCTACGCCGGTTTGAATGACACTGCTTCTCTCGAGTAAAGTTCAGTCGCTCTCTCTCTCGAAATCCCCCTCATACTGGCAAAGCGGAGCGCTCTATCGTCAAGTCAAAAGACCTACATCTGTATGGAACCCAAAATCGGGATATGTTTGATCGGAGTAATATCTGCATCTAGGCGTTGCCTGGATATAGCACATGTACATAGAATGTTGTTTAGCGGAGTCTGGCGCTCTAGGATCTGCATTATGGCCTATTATTAGATCTTTGAAAAGGCAATGCCACTTATTTACGATTGTCTGCCCATTGTATACACCATCACCGGCCAATAACCTTCTGCTCAGACCGAGTCTCGGCGGATGTTTACTGACCGCTCTCCGCCCGGCAGAAAAGTCTCCCCGACATTAGTCGCAGGAGGTTCCTCTTGTACCCGCTCTCAATCACTCCTTTTACTTCTTTAGCGCCACAATGATGGGTGCTACTGGTCTCAAAGGGGCTGGTATGGCTACTGCCATTGCCCGGAAACGACTCATTGCTTCGCCTCGGTCTTCGCGATTGGTATGTCCCTCTAATATTCTAATCAACACGTATCGGGGATTGACTGATCCGCTGTAGATGTCTACTTTCCGTACCCAGCGCGTGCGCCTGCCTGGTTCACCAGGTCAACTCACTTCAGGGCTCTCCGGTAACGCGTCACGATGGGCAACACCGGCTGTTGCTGGCCCGGTCGCTGTCCGTTTCAACTCTACCACTTCCGATTCCCTCGCGCTTCCGACTCAGGCACCGGGCGAACTGCCGAAGATCGAGGACCTCTCTGCGATTGATATTGCTAGCATTCCGGAGCACATCGGATACCTGAAGAGTCTTGGTTTGGATTATGGCTGGGGTGTGTCATCATTGATGGAGTGGACCCTCGAACACATTCACATGTGGACTGGCATGCCCTGGTGGGCCAGTATTGTCAGCTGTGGTATTTTAATTCGTCTGGCGCTCCTGAAGCCGATGCTTGATGCCTCCAACAATGGAGCCAAGTTGCACAACCTCAAGCCCGTTCTCAACCCACTTCGACAGAGGATGTTGGCGGCTGCGCAGGCCAATAATCAGATCGAGGTTCAGCGCTTGAGAGCTGAAACCAAGCAGGTCCATGTCAACAACGGTGTCGCCCTATACAAGAGTATGATTCCTATGCTCCAGGCGCCGCTGGGTTTTGGAATGTTCCGAGTTCTCCGAGGCATGACAGGCCTCCCTGTGCCGGCCTTGTTGAATGAGCAGGTCCTGTGGCTGACTGACCTGACCGTGTCCGATCCATACTTGATTCTCCCTATCATCAGTTCTTATTGCTTGTACAGAACTTTCAAGGTTTGTCAATTTACCTGCCCAGGCTCGATTATATCAACTATTAACAATGACCGTAACAGAAAGGAGGTGAAGCCGGTTTGACTGAGCTCATGAATGGTCCCGCAGGCAAGGGCCTTCTCTATGGTCTCCCAATCCTCACCCTGACTTTCACTGCTTTCATGCCCAGTGCGCTCCAGTTGTACTTTGTTTCTACAGGTATCTGGGCCTTGGGTCAAGCCCACATCGTGCACAACCCGTCATTCCGCCGCTGGATGAAGATGGAAGTTCCTCAAATAGTTGGTGAAACCGAGCGGATGGACGATAGCCTGTCACAGCTGACCCGTCGTCTGCAAGAAGAGCAGCAACGAAGGCTCCGCCAGGCCCAAGCCCAGTACCTAGAAGCTGAAGTCGACCCCTCCAAGATGAGCGCTATCGACCGGTGGATGAAGGGTGGCAAGGATTATTTCAAGGAGCTCCAGGAACAAATCTCCAAGGGTGCCAAGAACGTTACTGGCTCTGGTGGTCCGGAGACAAACGCAGATGGTTCCCCTGCCGCGGCGCCGCGTCTTACTGAGAACCAGCGCAAGAGGGCGACAAAGGAAGAGGAGGAACAAAGTGCATATGAAAAGGAGGAGCGTCAGCGCCGTAATGAAGAACGTCGCTTAGCTCATAAGCAGGCGCTGGAGAACGAGAGAGAGCGTGCGAAGAGCTCAATGCGGAGACATCAGCAAGCTGCGCGACGACGGAGCTGATGTTGCTTGAATATGTATAAACTGTAAAATATGGCGCGGTACTTGAAATTTCATTCTTATGTACTTTGTACTCAAGTTTAGAACTCATTCTTCATATCATTCTGAATTGCTAAACAGGTCCACGAATAGCTCTCCAATACTGTGTTTTAAATGTATATTATTCAATTATTCAAGACAATGTTGAATCCAATAGTAATTTAATCCCCCTGAACTTATTCACATAGCTTTCTAGGTATGCATATGAACGCTAACACCAGAACTCCAGAAGCAACCCGCAATGTAGGCTGTATAGAACCGAACCTGGAACACATATATTAAGATTCCATAGCTCACGCAGTCTGCATAGGAATAGATGTAGCAGGCAAAGGCAAGCTCTCCTTCTCGCCTTCAATCCTCACAAAAACAGCCTTCTCTATCTTCGCCGTCATCCTCGCACAGAATGTATCGACGTACGCAGTCCAGGCCGTGGCACAAGCATAGACAAGCCCAATCCATATCGGAATACTAACACCAACAACCCACGGCGATCTCAACGGCAGCCAATCATCCCGAATATCATCCGTTGCCCCCTCGGGGCCATCCCATGGCTGGCCAGTGATACCATACAGCATCCAACAAAGCACAACGCGCAGCATTGTGCCGTGGATGAGGTATACGGCGAAACTCTGCTTACCCAGCCACAGCAAGACGCGGTTCGCGAGGAAGTCTTTCGTAGTCGGGGAAAGATAGATTGCCAGGATGATCATGTCCACTCCGATTGCTGTGTAGCGTTTGCCGATGTTCACGTCGGGTGGGAAGATGTATGTTGCTGCTTTGAACATGCCGTTGGACCAAGTTGCCCACTCCGGGTTTTCGCCTGGGTATGAAGCAATTAGAAGTCCTAGGATTGCGAGGGGGAAGGTGATTGCTTTGCGGAGGTAGCGGTGTTCTTGAATCCAGGTTTTGAGGGTTGTGTCGTATGAGAGGTCGCTGAGGAGCATACCATAGATAGCTTGCAGTTGGAAGGTTTCTGGTGATAAAGTTAGTGACCTTCCACAGCTATGGGATTAGCACAACTTACCAGTGTTTTTAGCCGCGTCTTGATGGAAATATAACATCATCCCAATATAGACCAGCATCCGGTACTTGAAACGCATAAACACCGTCGCCACCAGCATGATATAAACCAGCATTGAAGACATCAATAACGGTAAAAGAGCCCATTGATGATCATCGTAGGCCATATAGCCCGTCGTCCATGTAGACAAGAAATTTCCTCCAAGTCTGACAACCTCTTTCCAGAATGAGTCCTCCAACTCCGGCGCTGCATATCGGCACCACCAGCAATCAGACCGATTGGCCACAATGAAACCACCAAATTGTGCCACAACCCACGATATCAGCAATGCAATAGTAGCTGGGAGAATCAAGCGCGGTGGTCGTCGAAACGCGCTTTTAGCAACAGTTGTTAATGCCGCGCCTTTATCCCCGCTGCGGGATTGTTTAATTGGTTTCAGGGCACAGACGTAGCCCGTTAGGAAAGCAAATATCGTGACTCCTACCCGGCCTTGCCACGGGATGCGCAAGATGGGCCATTGGAGGATTCGGGGGGTTGCATCCTCGGTATCTCTCGGGGAGAAGAGGTCGTAATCCCACGCACGAGCGAGATGAGTTAGGACTACTAGGAATGATGCGATACCTCGTAGGCCCTGTTTGTTGAGAATAAATTAGCTATCTTTGCTATGTGTATTGATTTAAATTTCACCACTTACATCAATCCATTTAACACTTTTTCGAGGGTCGCCTTTTGTTGCTGAATCGCCTTGTTGCCATTGTAGGGATGTGGGGATCTTGTCCCGTAAACGAGTGTATAGGTGTGATGAACGAAAGAATGGCATGATATATAGATAAAAGAAAGAAATGAGCGAGTTGGATTGAATAGACAGATGGTTAAGAGTCAAGAGCGCTGGATAGATAGATCAGGATCAAATCTAGCATCTGATCACCAGCCAAGGAGACAGAATCCCTAGATATCCAGAGCAGCCAGGACCAAAAGAATGGAATGAACGGCTGAAAGAGTGAATGCACAGTTGAACAATAGGCTGACGGAATCAAAAGAATAAGAATATCCTACCTCGAGGGGTCGTGGTAAGCGGCAGGTCGAATCTTACGAAGGTACAGTACAGATTTGCCAAGAAAGAAGGGGCATGAACGAGACCGCAGCTTACTCCTGAGGTGGCAAATCAATTGAGCGAGGGGATGTACAAGATGAGTCTATTCACAGGCCGAATGGCGCCACAAATATCCCTTCATGCGTCTCGATGGGCGGTTCACCAAGTCGGATATGCTCAGCCAGATCACATACTCCACATTGTTTGCCAAAACACCCAAGCACGTCTTTGGTATGGAGGAGTCGAGTGGCTGTTATGCAGGGAAAGGGAGTTCGTGGTGGGTGAAATGCCCTTGCAGCGGCAAGACACTGCCTCGATGAGGTATTGATATGCAGAATTCCAATGCTGTCTTTGTATTATTCGGAAAGCTTAATTCTAAAAGACAGCGCTTTGAAGCCATTTCAATATTGTGAACAAAGAGCTTACCTATTGCACTGAAGTGATAGACATTAATTCCATGTACTGTACTGTAGAAATCGACGTGTCAACATGTTTACTTATGCATATATTTATCGACTAGGCGTCTGTACATCCCGCCAAGAATCTCCAGCCTCCTAGATCGACAGCTGAGCCAGATGAACGGAATGTTCGTCCCAAATTAGGATGGGCTATGCCCCGAGTAAGGGTAAATGAGATTAAATGTTCGAAGTGATACCCTTGGAAACAAGCAACGCCGAAGAAACACCATGGTATAGAGTTTTCTAGTCCATAAATCATGAAACAAATCCCAGAATGCGAAAAGCCCCAGCCAGACAGCCACTCAATCAACGTGACAAGATAAAAAGATATAAAATGGAACAGAGAAAGTAAGGTGAATATCTCTCCCCCCAAATGCGCCGCGCAATGAATGCAGTAAGAAATATTTTTAGCGGAATAGTCTGCGCCCGCCAACGCTGCCAGAACTCCATGTAAATGCACCCTTGACGCCTAGATTATCCATACTCATTCCAGAGAAGCCGACGCCACCGCCTTCACCGTCACGCTTACACCGTCGCTGTGCTTCCCGCAGATGCGAGGGCAAAAGCTGGCCTCGGTGGGGGTTAGGTGGCGGGCGAAATTCACGTCGCGGACGCAAAGGTACCGGACTGGGTGCTGCTTTCAGACCGAGGTGTTGGGAGGATTGAGAAGGTGCAGGGGAGGATGTGGAGTTGAGATTATTATAGCCGGGTTTCGGGGAAGCCTGTGCTTGTGAAGGGTCGGGGGACTCTTTCTTAATGCCATTGCCCAGAGCGGGCATCCCCGATGATGTCGGTGTTGCTCTTTTAGCCATTTCTTGGGCTTGAGCTTCAGCCTTTGCTTGCGCAGCTTTCTCTGCAGCAGCTTCTTCGGCATCGAAGGCAGCACGCGCCGCCTGGTCGTGTGCATCGGCCCACTCGGCCTGAACAGTTCGCGCCTTCTCAATCATCTCACCCGCAAAAACTTTGGTAAAACCATTGACTGATGTGACCACGCTTGCCGGGACAGACTGGGAGAGTGCGTGGTTGACAATACGACGAAGAGATTCTTTGCGTAGCTTTGCGCGCTTGAATAAATCGTATCGTTCGGATTGAATGGGATTGAAAGCATCCACCAAGATACTGTGTAGGAACCGCAAATGTCAGTATTCACATAAATCATCATCCTGTAGCACCTGGAGAACAAGACATACGCAAGATTCTTCTTCTCGGCCTCGGTGTCTGTAGCCCCCTCCTCACGACCCAAAAGCTCCCCCTCATCATCATCGTCATCATAGTCGTCCCCATCATCAGCTGGGCGCCCACCGCCCATGCCTCCCCGTACTGAGCCCTCCGCATCCGCAGATCCAAACCGACCTGCGTCGCCAGTTCGTGTACTCATCGCATCATCGCGTTCCCGCTCCTTATCAGCCTTGCTCTTCCGTCCGCGCTTTTTTCCACGCGCCGCACCGGCGAAAATCCCGTCCGCGCTGGTCCCGCCCAGACTCCCTGTGAAACTGCCTGTAACACTGCCGGCATCACTAGTGCCACCAAAACTGCGCTCCGTAGGCTCAAGATTTGCTGGGAATGAGGTCTGGCGAAGAGGGTGCATGCGCTGCTTCTTCATAATGGGTTGAGAGGTAGTAGATGAGATGGAGGGACGTTTGAGAGAAGTAGTTGGGGTCTGATAGGGTGGTGGTGACGACATTTTGAAGCTCTCGATAGGGGGTCTGCAGGAAATTTGTGAAATTGAGAGTGGTGAGGGTGAGAAGCACCGGGCCGGGCACGAGGGGCCGAATTTGAATAAGGTGCCCAGAAATGGTGTGTGATGATGTGACGTTAAGAAACTTCCACGCGGTCTGAGATGGATAACACCCGGAGATGCGATTGCTAAGTCCAGTTGACCATGTCCACCGCCTACCCTTTATGGCAGAACTCATATATCTGATTGGCCAATCACAGCCGACTTCATCTACAGTCCACCTGCAAATCCACTTTAACTTCTAGAATAAACCTTGACCAGATATAGTACGCTTCAACCTCCAAGTTAATTAGCTAGGCAAAGACCACAGAGCTCAAATGGAGCCCCATGGTCCTCTCTGTTCTTCTCCATCTCTTCCCGCACCCCCCTCCACCTGTCGTAGCATTCTCGGTACAAGGCGATTTGGTCATCGCTCATGTCCTCGTCATTCTCGAGCATATCAGCATTCTCTAGTGCTGATTGCATAAAATCCTGCACCCATGTCTGGCATACCTGTGGCAACTGAGAGGCATGGAGAGATGTATTTGTTGAGAGCACGCGTGCTCTCTAGGAAGTGGGGAGGATATGCTGAAACCTTGGAAGATGCCATCAAGTGGGAAGGCGGCAAGAAGATTTTGCAGAGTGATAAACAGCCTGTAAAGCTAATCTAAAGTTTGTACAGGGGTGCAAAGAAAGAAAAGTAGTGGGTGGGGGTAACTTATATAGTACCTGAAAACCACTATATTTATTACAAATACCTGGTTCCCAGGTATCCAAGAGTAGATAACCTCTCTAAATTAAGCTAGCATGCATAAGACACTATATTCAGGCCGCAGTATAGGTAAGAAAATGTGACATCTTTTTAGACTTTACTCCTAATAAGCTTCACGTTTCTGGGAATATACTCGTTAGGATTACTACTCTAAATGACAACCACCACGCTATCCGTGATATGGGCTACTTAAGGTGTCTAATAAAGTTTGTGGTGTTCAATTATTGACCTCCCATTTCGTTGATTGAATTTCCAGTTTGGCTAAGCATTATAACCCCGTATTACCAACTTACTACATATTTCCCACTTTCCCACTTATACCATTTGTAACACTATACTGAAAGTCTTTTTGAGGCTTTTGAATGTGCTTATGTAAAGCTTTCATTAATACTAGGTAGCTGTCCCTCGCAATTGAGACTTTGTGCTTTCCTCACCTTCCTTGATGTTGACTAGAAAGCGGGATAGAAGATACGGTTAAAATCTGAGCTCTATAGATCGGCTGCAAGCCTCAAGCCGGCCGAGACTCCGCTTGGCGTCGGCCCCACCCGAACTCTATTAAGTGGATTGGATGCTCGTTTGAGACTAGGCCATGATATGGAATGGATGAGCACGAAGTCAAGGTCACGAACCATGAAGCGTAGGACATAAGACTCCAGTAGGGGCCAATATCTAAGTGCACAAGGAACAAATGTAGGGCTAGCTAAGTGTTTCCCCTTGAATTACAGCTCTAGGATGAATCCCTTTAGTAGGATGTTCGTCAAGCAATTCTCGACATGAAATGTCTTTGGGCTATCTAGTGCGCGGGTTGTTTGATATTGCCTTGTGCAAGTGATTTTAAAAGGCTCTGACTTGAAGAAGTGGGAGACCAGCAGTGAAATTATTCGAGTCGGAAGGTACCGAAAAGCTTACGTAACCAGCCCAGATTGGCAGGTTTGACGAGCCCACTTCATCTTGTCATGCACATTTCTATAAAGTCAAAAGAATTTCGTTTAGTGTTATTTCTTTCTTTCTAATGAGAATCTCACCCAAGCTTGTATCTCTCATGTATATCCTGCACACGTGTATGACAGAACGAATAGAACCAATAGATTCAATTGTTCCGACATCTTCGGGCCACAATCGTCTTCAGCGGACCTGATCAACTGTTGACTTGAACATCCTCTTTCGCTTCTATCGCATTTGGCCCCAATTCCATTACCGACTTGGGGTATTAGGGCGGGGCCGGTCTGGTGGAGATGGGAAAAAGCCGGGAAGCCATGGCTTGGCTCCCAAGGACGCACGGTTGCGAGCGTCCGTGGTTGGTCAATACCATAGAAAAGGTACCACTTTGGACCCTCGACCAGTCCCTATTATGAAATCAGTATTCCGATGTGGAGCATGAAATATTTTCGCCTGCAATGGGCCATGGACGAAATACAAATAAAGGGACTGGTCTTGCCTCATTCCATCGCACCAGCTACCCCCATTTACCACTCTCACTCTCGCTCATCGTGGGTCTCGACTGGGAAAATTGGCATCCATCGGCTCGACCTTTGACCCTGCACTTCTCTCTTTTTTGACTTCTCTTGACAGATTTCGAAATTGTTCCTCACGACTACTGTTGGATAGCTTCGAAAAAAAGCAAAGAAATAACTACCTTTCGACAACCACAAGCTTTTGAGACTTTGAAAGTAGCAGCGAATTAGTTGCCATCTTGATCCCGTCTGCGACCTCGATTATATTTGTCTTGCCTTGCGACTCACCAGATTATCCATTGTGCGACATCTTCGATTATCCAGTGCACCTGCGATCCACCTAATCCATTGCGCCAATTTGCCCACGCGAAGTACATACCCCAAGCAAGAATACAGCCCTATCAACCACTCGAAGAAAGGCATCCTATTTCCTTTGCGACAACCGGATACTTTGCCACGCGACTATACACCAATAACTGTCCCGCTGCAACCTGAATAGCCATTCACCATGCCAAGCACTAATTGGAGAGACATACTGGCTAACCGAGACCGGCGACAATTCCCCGAGGTGGTTGTGCCTCTCGAAAGCGCCCCGTTGAAAACCAGGAATGATGCGAATGACTCCGACAATACCCAGGACGCGGCCTCCATACAAGAAAAGGGTGCCACTGCCGGCCATGGACAAACCACGCTGACTCTAGAGGTCCTGCGAGCTGAAATCCTCGCAGAGACGACTGCATCGGGTCACAATACTGCCTATGACCGTAAGTTCAAAATGCTTAGTTCTACCATTCATCTCATTTGGCAGCAGATTAGCGGTCTCTGTATCGCTGGTTTTGTATAAAAATTAATATGTGGACGGTCAATAGGCAAAGCAAAGGTCATCAACAGAGCGATTCAAGATATTGGCATGGGCCGCTATCAATGGGGTCTTTTTGTCCTATGTGGTTTTGGCTGGATCGCTGACAAGTAAGCAAACATTGCTTTGAAGTTTTATATGATGAGCCTTGCTAATGAGCCTTTGACGTAGCCTGTGGTTACAGGTATGATTCGAATTATCAACTTGCGATACGAGGTAACAACTAATCGTATGTAGGGAGTTGCCTTGACACTAACCCCGGTTGCCAATGAATTTGGTATCTCTGAAAGCCATTCTCGATTTGCTACCTGCGCCCTCTTTGTTGGTCTAATCATAGGTGCTTCCTTCTGGGGCATTGCTTCAGATGCCATTGGTCGACGCCCTGCCTTCAACATGACGCTGTGTATCTGTGGTGCATTTGGTCTCGCTGCAGGTGGTGCACCCAGCTGGGTTGGGTAGGTTTTTCCAAAAGCTCAGAACACATATAATCTTGCTAATGCCCAATGCAGCCTATGTGCATTGTATGCCTGTCTAGGTCTTGGTGTCGGTGGAAACCTCCCTGTTGATGCTGCAGTCTTCCTCGAGTGCCTACCGCCGAACTCGGCTAGTATTCTGAGTGGACTGGCTACCTGGTGGTCGGTTGGCACTTTGATTTCCAGGTGCGTTTGACAAAACACGATCATTCTTGATAACAAGGCTGATCCTGTCAAAGTATGCTTGCCTGGGCTTTTATCCCCAACTTCTCTTGCGCAAGCGCTGCTACTTGTACCAAGGCAGACAACTGGGGTTGGAGATACTTGGTTCTCTCCCTGGGTGCTATTACATTTGCCATGTTCCTTTGCCGTTTCCTCCTCTTCACCCTTTACGAGTCCCCCAAGTTCTTGGTATCTCGTGGCCGCCAAGACGAGGCTGTCGCCGCCGTGCAGGGAATCGCTCACAAGAACAAGACCACAACCTGGCTTACCGAAGAAATCCTGAATGAAATCGGTGGCGAGCCCGAGGTAAATGAGACGCAGTCTTTGTCCTATGGAGAAATCATCAAGAGATCGCTGGAAAGATTCTCCATGCAGCAAGTCGCGCCGCTGTTCGCAACCAAGCGACTTGGAATTTCGAGTATGATACACAAACCCTTATTTTTGTGGCGTCATAAACTAATCACACAAAACAGCTGTACTGATCTGGTTCTGCTGGACCTGTATCGGATTGGGCTATACTCTATTCAACGCCTTCTTGCCCCAATACCTAAGCGCCAACTCTTCCACCTACGTGACCTACCGTAACTACGCCATTACGGCTGTCTGTGGTATCCCAGGTCCCCTTCTTGCATGGGTTCTGGTCGATAACCCCTACCTTGGCCGGAAGGGCACGATGGCAGGTTCGACCGTTATCACAGGTGTCCTGCTTTTCTGCTTCACAGCATCCAAGGACCCCAACGTTCAACTCGTCTGTTCTTCACTGGAGTCCTTCTTCCAGATGGCGATGTACGGTGTTCTCTATGCCTACACACCCGAAATCTTCCCAGCCCCGAACCGTGGTACCGGAACTGGTATTGCTAGTTGCCTGAACCGCATTGCTGGTTTGATGGCGCCCATCATTGGTATCTATGCTAGTATTGACCCTATCACGCCGATCTACGTTTCTGGAGCGCTTATCCTCGCCGCTTTTGTCGCAATGGTCTTCTTGCCAATTGAGACACGGGGAAAGCAGTCTCTTTAGATCGGACCTGGAAGGTCTCGTTTGGAACTTGTTGTTCAAATATTGTTCCGATATTCCCAAAAGTTGGGGAAAGTTGGATGTGGCATTACATACTCCCAAAGGGAATTTGTTTAAGTAAATAGGTTATAGACATATAGAAGTTTGTATATACCGCAACGCTAGTTGGCTGTTAATTGGAGACCAGACCTTACTTGGATAAGGTCAAAAAAAACCTCTCATTCGTCATCTTTCACTCCCTACTATTGCAGCACCTTTCTGTCCAGGATTTATTGTAGCTCCAACCGAATTGCATCATACTGAACATAGACACTTGCTGGGAGAATGGCGGTCTCCGTATCTGTCGCATTATACGGCAGATGCAGCCGGAGAACATTATCTCCTACACGCAGCCAATCCGCAGGGAACTCCATCCTCGACCCAACTTGATAACAGCTCACGGCGGAGCGAACAATACAACTGCTCGACTGATTGAACCCGATGATCATGGTAAGGGGGTCCGACTGGTCGTTGATATAACTTTCTAAGGATAAGTTGGTATACAGCTCAGTCGGGCTGTACACGTCAGTATTACCCGACGCTGTCTTCGCGGCTGCCAGCTGTAGTGTCAAGGTACCCGTCTTCCGCTTCTTCAGCTGCTTCGAAGTGAGCGTGAAGTGGATGTCCCAGTCGTAGGTTGTGTCATACTCGACGTAGGAATCTCCAGCCGTCGGACCAAAGACTGACCAGTGAACAGTACTAAGATCGGTGGCCGGGTCACTGGTTCCGATGGTGTAGTTGATGCCATTTGGGAAGTCGGCACGCCAGTCATATGCACCCCAGTAGATCAGATACTCGGGTGGATGTAGTGGGTGGGTGGGATCTCTTGCGCTGCCTCGTCGGAACTCTCCTGATGATTTGTCTGGAACTCCGATTCTCCAGATCTCGGTTCCTGCCGACTCTTGCTCCCATGTATCGCGGACTGATGTCTGCTTTCCGGCGCGAATGACGATTCCATCTCGGACGAGGTCTCCAAAGATACCTTCGGCGTATACTGTCAGGCGGTATTTTCCTTCTTTGACTCGGTCAATGCTGAAGCTTCCATCTTTGTTGATGTCGGTCCAGTATTGATAGGAACTTGGCACCACGCTATTATCTTGGAAGTATTGGCCGTCAACCGTGAGGATGGCAATTGGGCGAGTGGCGCCCTTAGGGAGCTTCACTGTTCCTTTGACACTACCTCGCTGGCTGGAAGGGGCATATCCGACAACATGCTTGGCAATTGAGTCGTAGAATGCAGCGTTCCAATGAGGATTTGCCAACTCTTCTGCCTCGGATCGCAGATCTTCAAGAGATGCCGATGAATCTTTGCCGCCATTGAACAGATAGTACTGAGGACCGAATGTTCTATCAAATCCGTTTGTGATGTTTGGCGTGCCCTCTCCATGGTGATTGGAGACGATGTAGTTGTAGACAATACCATCAACTGTCAAGTCGGAATGAAGTGGCCCCTAGGATGTTTGATATCAGCTTTCAAAATTCATTGCGATAAACGCTAAAGAGACTTACACCGTAGTAGGTATCCTATGATATCTTGTCAGGAACCATTGAAGCTTGAGTATTCTAGCGATTGGACTGACCTTGGTATTCATCACCAGCCACGCACCATAGGTCGCCCCGGTGGACGTGCTTCCATCGGCATACATACCGTGAACACTGTTGTTTCTCCATTCTGTACACAATAGCTTGGTCAATTTGAGGCTCGTTTACACTTGGTAGAGGGTAATTCATACGGTTTGAGAAAGTGTACTTGGTAAAGTAGTCCGAGAATTGGGTGTAGTACGCATCAGTCGGCGTATTATTAAATGTCCATGTCGCATCTTGGACCACAATCTCATTTGAAATCGCATCCTTGCTCGGCAAAGGTGCAGTCTGAACCTCGCTAGACGTCAGATGTGTCCACAGATCACTGTTTGGGCGAAACAATGTTCGGAATTCTTGAAGATTGCGCAGGTAAGGGGTGGTCTCGTTGTAGTATGTCAATCGACTGAACATGTGCAGGCCAGTCTCGCCATCCCGCAAGAACCAGTACTGCTGGAATTGTTGACCCGTTGGTGTATAGGTATCAGTCAGAATCATGCCTCCATAATTTGTCCCTGTGGAATCTGTGCCCTGGACTACTTCCATGCTTGGGGTTGTGGCCCCAGCAGTGTAGAATCCAGAGGGGATGCAATAGCAATCAAGATATGGACCTATACCTGTCGACCCGGACTGGGGGCCCAATAGATCTTGGCCATCCAAAGAGAGATCAACGATCTGGCCAACACTCTTCTGCAGTACGGCAGTAAGGCGGTCGTTGGCGAGTGTGATATAGGTCTCATTCTGCGCAACATGAAGAGCCGCTGATGACACAACAGCCCATCCCGAAAGGGAGAGTAGGAACGAAGTCCTCATAGTGTATGGTTTGACCAGGCTTTTGAGTTCGATGTTTGGACAGGCAATATTCAATGTGTTGCTGCGTTATTTTTTATGGTTGGGGATCATACACAATCGAACAATCGTATGCATTAATATCATGCATATGCACTCAAACGGGCGATCAACACCCCGAGTTTGCCGATTGTTTAGTGCTTGCCAAGTCACCAGGCCATACGTTCATCGCTAGCCAACTACCCGCGCGAAGGTTGAAATCCGCCAATGATTGAGACTTCTCCATGGCAAAGCCCCAGAGCCAAGCGGAAGAGCGAGGAATTCCGCCGCTGCCATTGGTTGCCAAGGAAATGATGAAAGTGTAACAATGTTGGCGATCTCGCCTCGGCAATGTGGCGGACCTTCCAAGCCAATCTCAAGTCTGGGGTTGCGGGGTTCGCCCGCAGAGAACGGAGAAACTGCTCGGGCATTGCTCGCCCGACTAGTGCCATAAAGGTGTTAAAGCTCTTGAGTAATAGGGTGTGGGGGTTTCATTCAGGTCCATGTGGAGATTCGGCATGAAAGAGGGGCTGGGTAATGCTAAGGCAAATCGCCTTATACTATACCCTCTTGCACACTTTCTTCAGAAAGGATTCTTCGCCTTTCCAACCTAAAACGAAAATGGAAACATTTCAATGGCTCCAGGCTTTCACATCCAAGTCGTTGACCTACCTTCTCCATTCACAGACTTCATCGAGGCCAAGTGCCGATTTTCGCACCTCCGTCAGAATATCTTGCTTTTCTTCATAGCAAGCATTGAGTTGTATCAAAGTGCCGTATTCGGCAGCTGGATAAGTTGAATACCTAAGAGGGTCTGCAGTGTTTTTTCCCCTCATATGAATATGGACTTTCCTTACCAAAATTGATGAAACTTAACCATGCTGATGCGCAAGAAGTACAAGGATGGCTACTTCATTACCTCTTGTACAACGTGCTTGGTGTGAGTTATCTACGGTAAGGACCTCTAGGTACGGGTCGACGTATTTACGATCATTAGCGAGATTAAAGTTGTGGATCATAAGTATTCCGCGATTATCGAATGATTCATTTTAACACTGTAGAAAGAACAAATAGGGACGTAATGACAGGAACCAAAAGAGCATCGCGACAGAACATAGACACAGAAAATGACCGAGGCGCTGGATGCATATGAATGCAACGCTGTGTACTATGAAAAGTTGCGAGCTAAAAGATATACTGAAGAACGGATAAAAAGCAAACAAAAAGTCAAAGAACAGAAAAAGAAAAAGACCCGACGGTGCAACGTCCCCATGCATGGCATAGCTACAAGAGCAGATCGACGGGAAGTAACGGATGGAAGAAGATAAGCCGAAGCTGACTTACATCTTCTCACCAATCCGGGGTGCCCCCCCTTTCCAGTCGTTGCTCTCGTAGTAGCGGAACACAAGGTCGTATCCGTTCAGATCGTGAACAATGCGGTCTACACGACGGTAACCCTCCACGTGCTCATTCTTGGGGTTGTGGCGCAGAGCCTGTTGCTGCGAGTGCACCTCATGGAAGCCACTGGAATCGGCCTCGATGTCATCAACACTAGGCTTAGTCTCGAACAAGGTGATGCTGAAACGACCCGGCTTGAAGATGTTCACAACCTGTTGGATAATGTCCGAGGTGGTCTTGCCATTCTGCGAGTGCGGGACATTGGCCTCAAAGGATGCATACGAGCAGTGAGGCTCGGGTGTCACATGCACAGTGAAATAGTGAGTCGGAGCCTTGCTATCTGGGGCAGGTACGACACCATTGGCCGAAAAACCACAGGGGGTGAAGAGGTACGCGTCAATGCGAGCATCTGGGAACTTGCTCTTAGGATAGATGTCCGAGAGACCACAGGACTCAGAGACAACGGCACCAAGAGCGTGACCCTCGGTGGTCAGCTCAGATGGCAGAACCCGGTCACCCTGCACCTCAGGGTCATCGAGATCGGAGCCATTGCTGAAGACATCAACGTGCTCAATGCCCTCGTCCTTGTCATAGTTGCGATAGTTCTTGGCGGCCACGGCGGCGGCGTTGTCCAGATAGAACTGCTTTGCATTCTCCTCCTGCAGATCAGTCATCAAGATCTCCAGAGTTTCATCGTCTTCCTCGCATTTGGCGATCGGAACCTCCTTAGGGTAGCTGAGAATCTTGGTCTCGGTCTCTTTGAAGCTCTCCTCCGTAGGACTAGCCGGAGGCGTGAGCATGGTGTGAGGCTCAGTCAGGTACAGGTACCAGTGCTCGCCGTTCATCTTGCCAATCATGTAGGCACTTCCGTTGAGGAACAATTTGTCCATGTTACGGACCTCATCACGCCAGCTGCGGTGAGGGCCACGCTGACGATCGGGGAACAGGTAGTTTTTACGGCTGTAGAAGACACGATAGGGAGACGCAGCGACTGTGATGCCCCGAGAAGGTGGTGCGGTTGCACGCGGGAATCCCGCAAATAAGGCAGCAATCTCGAGGATGCGAGGGAGACCGGACAGCAGGGTAGTGGTTCCACAGGTCTTGAGAATCAACTTGTGTGGCCAGACAAACATGCTGGACTCGGAAAGCAGGTAGGCATCCACATCATCGGATGACACCACGGAAAGCACCTGACAATTGACCAGGTCCAGCATATCCTTCCAGATCTCGCCAGGCACTTTCTTCAGGCCTTCTGGGCCTGCAGTGCCGAGCGCATTGGCAGATGGGGCGAACCACACCTCTAGAAGCTTCTCGGGGCCTTCAAAGGCATTGGAAGAGTCGAGATCCTGGGTGGCCTCATAATTGATGGTCAAAGCAGGTGTCCCAGCAAACGAGGACGGAGACTGGGTGTAATTCTGGGGAATGCCGACGTAAACCATCTCCGGAGGATGGATGCAGCCGAGGCTGGTAGACTTGTGTAGAACGGGGTATAGAAGAAAATGGGTGACGTAGAATCACCCAAACAGAGGGATGGAGACAAAAAGGCTATAGAAGCACTGTCTACTTACCCAGACGAACAGGGGGCAATGCCCGTCTGAGAAGAGAAGGCCCTTGGACGAAATTTAGCTGGTCAGACCAGGCAGTGGAGGAACCCTATAGACCCAAAGGGGTGTTAAGGGGGCAGGAAGGCGAAGGCGAGAAAGAAGACGGTGCAAGGAATGTTGACTGTCAGTCGAGTACCCTCGTACTGAAGATTCCGATACCTATCAAAGTATCGGGTCTAGCAGACGAGTGTATCTGCTTTATGGTAGAAGTATGAAGAGTTTGTGGGTGTGAGTCGCGTTATCGAGGCCTGGAACACAATTGAAAGTCAGTGGATGTTTCCAAGTCGATGTGCAGTTCCAAAAAGGTAGGATGCAATGGAGAAGCTCGGGGAAATAAAAGACACGAAGACCAATGTTCAGGTGCAATTGCTTTTTCTTATCGAGCCCATAATAGTAGGTACTACTTTGTGATTGGGTCTCGGTAATGAGGGGAAAATGCAGGGGGGAAAAAAAGAAAAAACTCACTTGGCAGGCTTAGAGAGAAATCGCAGAAGATCCTTTGGGCTCATGGAAGGCAGGAGAGGAAATTCAGCTTAGAATTGCACGATGTCGCGCGAGGCCACAATCGTCAACATCAGCGGGGCAAAATAGGCAAATCGAAGATTCAGAAGCCCAACGAATGCCCAAGAGGAGATTGACAATGTCACAGTGAGAAGAGAGTTTTGTCTTCTTCAGGAAACCAGTAGTCAACACAAGAAAAGTGTTTACTCTTCAGACCTCAGAAGGAGGGGGGTGGACAAGCTGGTAAAAAAAAAGTTCGGTGTAAAAGATGTGGTTTGGTTGGTAAATGCGCGATTTTGTCTGTGGGCCCGTGCCTGCGTGGGGCGCGGAGCAAAATCTGTCTGACATCAGGGAACGAGCCCTGTTAGTTCCTTGGTATTTCAACATGTCCGAAATGTCCCGGATTTGGGACATCAAAAGGGTTACACACCAGTAGATCAGAATGAGATGCAGCACAAGGTCGTCTAGGACGGGACCTGAATAGTGTGTTGCTGAAGTTTGAAATCGAATGAAAGCGTACAAACCTTGGTCAAAGTCTGGGCACACGGGCGGTAGATCCAGGCAGAAATCTAAATTCAGAATTTGACCCGCATTAGGTAAGCTGGGGGAGGGTTCTCCCGTGATCGACAGGGCCTACGTAGGCTAGACGAGATTGGGGTATTACGTAGTGAGCAGGAAATATTATCCATATTGATTTGAAGATATACATCTCAAAAAAAGCTACTGGGAAATCAATCAACTCTGCCAAACTCCTTCATAACGCCATTAAATGGTTGCCGCATTCCATTCCCATCGGCGAGAGTACGTGAAAATGCAAGAAAAATCCCGGTTTATGATTCAAGAAGCAGGTAGGCCAGCTGCACCTCATTCGCCTCGGCAATTTTTGCTGCAAGGAGTTCGCCCACCTTGCCGATCAAACGGGAACGAAGCTCGTCACTGACAACGTCGGGGTGACCATTCGCTAAGGATGCATGGCTATCCCGCAGAGAAGCCAGGACTGCAAGCAATGCATTAAGTACCCGCTCAGCGGCAGGCCGACGAGCAGAGTCCTCAAGACCATCACTAAGAAGCTTCGAATATTCACTGAGATTAGGAATCATAAGCACGCGAATCACCTCTGCACCGCCTACTGCTTGCATGCCAATTACGGCACCATAATGAGCACCGAATGGTTTGGATGGATCCAGGAAACTCTTCAGGCACGAGCGGACAAGGCGGGGCTTCAGCATGTGAGACGAATGGGAGTACTTTTTAGCAATGAGACCAAGAAGTGAAGCAGCCAGATCACGAAGAGCACATTGCTCGGCCACGTCAGCAGCTCCACCAAGCTGTCGACCTATCAGACACGTCAAAATAGAGGGCACTAGAGATGCGACCTGAAAATAGTTAGCGTTTAGTGATAGATCACATCAAAGCGAGTCCACGCAAACATACATATGGGTCAACGTAGAGGGATTGGTTCTGCACCAGAGCCTCAGCCATGTGCATAACTTGCGTCAGGACAAAGATATCCTTCAGGCCGTGTGTGACCTTCTCGGCGATAAACTGCACAAAGTATGGTACTAGTTGATGCAGGCCAGGGTCCTCCCGTAGACTGGCATATCCGGACGTCCGGTAGTCCTCACTTGTCTCGTCCAAGAACGCACTGCAGACCTTCTCAAAGTACAACTGCAACTCTTTGGAGAGCACATGCTTTACCAAAGGTTTCACAGCCACGTCACCCGTCCCACTCATCGCCGCTAATGTGGAATTGGCATTTGGTCCCTTCGAGACCAGCTCGAGGTTCCGAGAGTCTGCGGCAGTCGGATTCTGGGGAATAGATGGCTGCACACCTTCCACGGCGAGCCAATGAGCTATGAAAAATGTTAGCGAAGCCGGAGAGTAGTGATTGCTAGTGTTGACCAACCTGTGAAAGACACCTCTCGGGGAACTTTGGGCAATGGAGCATTGATCAGTTTCTCAAAGTCCACCTCCTCGTCTTCGAGATAAAACAGCGGTTGACCGGGTCCCAGCGATGCTTCTCCGAAGCGCAACGGGCGAAGAGATTCGTATCCATAAAGAGGTTCCACATCCAGGTTTCGTAGAGCAAGGGAGATATCCTGAGTTGTCAAGATTGTGCGCTTGCCTTGGCGCATGGCCTTGAGTGCCTCCTCTAGGACTTGCGCAACTCGATATTCCACGTCGCGGGCGAGGTTCTCGGTCACATCATGGCTCAGATTTGTGAGACCAGCCGACTCAGCAACATCCCGAATGTTGTCTGGGTTCCAGACCGACATGATGGGTCAATATGACGCGTAGCGTTGGTGCGATGAACCGATCGGGGTTTCGTGAATGCAGGAATGATGGTGGGTCGGGCTAGGAGAGAAAGTGAGGATGGATCGTAAAACTTTGTTCAACGAACAGAGAGGCGCATTCTTGGGTATGTCAGGTCTTGAAATGATCAGATATAATATCAAATGATGCGATGCGACAAGGCACGCGATCTTCAATTGAATTCCATGGAAGGAGGAAAGCTACGGTGACAAAGTGGATGGTTGCGCGGTTGGTTTTAGTGCGTCTCCCCACAGCTCTATTCTGCCATGGTACACCGCCAATGTAGGCACTATCCAGTTTACTACATGCACTCTAAATCTCAAAGAAGCAAATAAATCTGAAATGGTATTATTAGAGCTGAAAAAGCTTGGCTGATCTAGAAGACAAGAAGACAATAAATGCCTAGGCTAAAACAAGAATGGAGAGTATCGGCCACTGCTCCTCCGGGTATCACAATCGACTGGTGCCCATATTAGGGGGCAATTTATGAGGCCGCTTCAACCTCGGTAGCCATCTTTGACTCTTCCTTAGTCTCTTCTTTGGCCTCTGTCTTGGCCTCCTCCTTAGCTTCTTCCTTGGCAGACTCCTCCTTGGCAGGGATCTCGACAGCAGCAGCCTCAGGGACAGCAGCGACGGGGGCAGCAGCAACAGGGGCGGCAGCAACGGGGGCAGCGGTCTCGGTGGCAGGCTCGGCAGGCTTAGCCTCCTCCTTGGGCTGCTCGTCCTCAGTCAACGGAACCGACCGCGCCCCATCCTTCAATGCAGCACCCTTTCCACCGTACACAGTGGGAATCTGATTGGCGATCGAAGCAGGGAACTCGCGAGCCAAGTTGGCACCGTTAGAGATGGGGTGGAACTTGCGAGTAGTGTTGCGGCTCAAAATGAGCTTCATAGCCGAGAACATCCAGCCCATGATAGCGGGAACGTTGACGAAGAACTTCTCGCGCAGCAACTCGGGGTAAGCGGTAGAGAAGACATCAATGGTCTTCTTGGTAGCAGCGCGCACGGCGGGGTCCATGCGAAGGAACTTGACATTCAAGTAATCGTGCACCTGGATCATCTGGTAAGGGTCCTTCTCGCCATCATAGTCGATGACAGTGGTGGCATCCTTCATATTCAGCTCCTGGACGGCAAGCTCCATGAGGGCGGCGCGCCATTTGACGAATCTGCTCATTGTTAGTTCGTCTATTCCAAAACAAATGCATTTTTGTATAACTTACTCGTCGGAATCCGAGAAGGTGGCGCTCATGTCCTTGACAGCGCCGTAGATGTTCCAAGTAAACACGAGCGGGCGTCCATCTTGCTCGTAAGTTGTCAGGTATCCCAGACCACCGAACTTGCGGGCGCTGTACTTGCCCGACTGAATGAGTTCCAGTGGGTTGGTCTGCTTGCGCCATTCCAATGCCTTGCGCAGCTGCTCCTCGGCTCCGGAGAGGTTGCCCTCGTTGGCGCGCAGGAACTTGATCAGCACGTTGACCGTGGGGATATCGTCACTGTCCTTGAGGGGAACACCCCACATCTCACTGTGGCCGGTCTTGCTAAGAATAGAGGGGAGGTTCTCGAAGAACTGGCCCAGAGAGGGAATGTTGGTCAGGTATTCGGGCTTCTTTTCCTCGGGCTTAGCCTCGGGCACGGTGGTGGCAGCAGCGGGCGCAGCCTCATTCTCAAGCGCGATGACTTCAGTTGCAGCGGGCTCCTCGGTGGCCTTGGGGGCTTCCTCCTTAGGAGCTTCGTCGGTGTTGATGTTTTCGGTCGCTGGGGCAGCGGGAGTCTCCGAGGGCTTATCGGTGGTTTCCACAATTTCCTCGAGCTTCGCGGGCTCAGCAGCCGGTGTCTGCTCAACAGGCTTTAGATCGGACATGGTGGATAGGTATTTTGGAATACAGGATGAAAGATGGAGAGAGAGGAAAAGGGAGGACAAATATTAACTCAGGGGGAAAAAGATGCGGCAGGGGCTAGCTTAGCTGCCTTGTCAATAATTAGTCGGGACCACTTATCAATCTTTGGCCCACACATGTCCCCACCTGTCATCCTGGTTGCACGACCTATATTACTGGCACTTTGAACCTAAACACGTATTCCGATGCCTATAAGCAACCATACTAGAGGGCCATGCTGACTCTCTTGTAGTATTATTGGGTAAGGAAAAGTCAGGCCAGAATATGTACATCGAGTTACATAGCTTAATGCAGTCTAAATTTGATCAGCCGTGCTAGTCTAGACCTTATTAGGCTCAGTCTAAACACGATGTATCAACTCTGTTTGTTTCATGTATTCCATTCCCCTGAACTTTCTTATTCTAATCTCGCATCTTTTGTGGTTTGTTATGTTTGTTTGAAAGGTCTAAACGTTCAATAAAGAAGCCTACGATTTTTCTGGCGATCGATATAGATCGATTTACATAGGCTGTGACTATGGCCCTGAGCGTCAACGGTGCGATTTTTAAACTTCCCACTCAATTGTAGATTATGTACATACGAAGCCTAATCTTATTTCTAACAGCCAAAGCTATGTTTTATTATCCCATCCACCATCTCATTTCCTTTAGCCCAGTAATCATTTAATTGGCCCCATATTAAGACTCTTGGCATAGCTCCAATCAACGACCGTGAGTGATTTGAAGATTAAAGACGGATATCTAAGCTAATTCAAGTTTGGCTTTATAGACATACTCTCTAGATCAAGAAGGCTATGATTTATTAGTCTAGTAATCTCAATTGGCGTAAGCTCCAATTGCAGTTTCTAACCACCATTCTAATTCCACGAACCTTGGCTTAGGCTACCACCAGATACAAATTTGAAGAAATGGGGTCAATATTCAAGGCTGCAGACCATGCCCCATATAGAAAGGGGATGCCCGAAGAGATGATATTATTGAACCCCGACAATTCTAAATTGAAAAGATCATTGGGCAACCGAACCAGCCCAATCGAATAGAACGAGACGGGGGCCACATCCAAAAGAAAATGAGATAAGAAAAAAGCATTCGCTTAGGGGATATTCAGGATTCGAACATGCAAAAAGAAAAGATCATGAAGGACATTTGCATCACCGAGAGGGGAGACAATTAAATAACACCACACGAAATCAAGAATTGAACTGACTATTGACCACTGCGAAAGCGCTCCGGAATCTGAGGAATAGAAGGTGGAGGGCCGGGCTCGGTCTCATCCTCGTCTTCTTCCATCTCATCCAGTTCTTCGGGGTGACTAAATTTGAAATGTCTAGTTAGGACCAGACGTGTAATTCAGGGATTTTGGGATGACTCACGCGAGCAGATCTTTGATGTTTCTCATTTCGTAATGTCTCTTTCGCTGGTTTTCGAAGATACGATGCTTTTCCTTCGCCTCCTCGGTCGTGATCAGACCTTCATCACCCGGCACAGCATCCCCGTTGGCTCCAGTACCCACATGAACATGCTTCTCACTCTTCTGGGACTCGGTGCTCATGCTCCGTTGACGATAGACACGTGGGTCCTGGGAATTGTCAAGTTCATGATGAGCCTCCTCCGGCTCGCCAAGCTCCAAATCCGGGATTTCGTCTTCCGAAACACCCTTCCTGTGTACAGGCTTACCCTTGTCGAGCTCATCCACCACAATATCCTGAGCATCGATCAAGGCAATTTTGGCATCCTCGATTTGCATCTCCTCCTCATCTTCAGCGGGGTCGTAGTGCGGGGCATACGGTGTCTTCGGCTCATCGATCTTCATCTTCGCTGTGCGCTCCTGCTCTGTCAGGTACAGGTTCGCCTCATCCCACTTCAAACGGGGAGAGTTATCATCATCAGCCATGCTAGCCTCGGATTGTCGGCGAGACCCGTGCCCCGTCTGAGAAGCCGAAGACCGACGTCTCGGGCCGGCGTTTTGCAGAGTATTTTGTAGCGTCAAATCTTTGGTGTCGGCAGGCTCAGCGATGGACGGTGGCACAATGGGCCTCTCCATTTCAGCGATGGGAACGTTTTGGAATGAGCGGGAGTTCTTAAGAATTCCTGTTATCGCGGCGGAAGCCGGTGGTCGTTAGCAACAGATTTCCTTCACCACACCCCGCGGTAGCGCTTCCTAGGAACAACAAAATTCACCTTTCGGTCGGTGGTGTACATTGTCACTGCTATAAGCCTTTGCAGGCATGTGTTGCGCGGTCGTCATCTCGAGTGGAGTGATGAAAGTGCCGTCCGATTTTCAAGCGGACGTGGATCTTTTAGAGGGGCAGGTTGAAGTGGGCTGTCAGCCGTTGTGTCAGATGGACGGGTAGGGGGGTTCAGCTGAAAGGTGGTCGTGCGATGTAGGTACGCGAAACCACAAAACTATATGGTTGGTTAGATCTGAGACAGAGCCTTGGGGTATAAAAAAAGAAACGTAAAAAAGCCTCGAAAGCCTTGTCTTAATACAGGCAAGTCAGCTGCGAGGTTGGGCAAGGGCGGCACGTGGGGCGTGATGACGTCGGGTCCCGTCGGCGCCTGACGTCTTCGGCATCACCTTCACTGATGAGCTGGTCACATAGTCGGGCACCGAGAGTCTTTCACTTTGGCTATGATTGAAACTCAGTTCACACAAATTTTTGCTCTCCTTCTTATCAAAATGGATTGAGGCTTATTCTAAGCTTATACCTCTGATGTTGCCAATAGCCTCATCTCTTTTTGACCTTGAAATGATGACAAATTTACTCACAGACAATTCTCCGAGGTTGCATTGACCACCATGACTGTACTGATAGTAGACTTTCTTGTTTCAAGCAAGGACACACTTACATGGATCGTCCTCAAGGATTTGACTACTCTATCCAGCACTGGGCGGAAATAGACCGAGTCATATATTCATCCAGCCAGTTAACTTCAAGATCCGAAATTCAATGCATGAAAAGATTATCTTAGGGCCAATAAAAGATCGTCCAGACCACCCTATATTGCATCATTCAGTTTCATACACCCTCATTCCATTGTGGAGTAGATAACTTGCGGGGATAACCATAAGATCTGTCGTCATTATGCATGAAACATCTCCTCAATATCCCGAGTTCAACTGCATATAGGCTGGATGGATGTTCCGAGTTCGATCCCGGGCCTTCGAACGTATTGGCTATGCCAGGATAGGATTCCGTCAGCTATAATTTGGTGACATCGATACTGTAAGCAGACACAACCTTGGAACCTTGGATCGTAATTCTGTGAGGTAATTGGTCGATGAAACAGATAATGGGTTTATTCATATTATGTACCTAAATGTTCAATAAATCGCATGCTTCAGAAATCCAAGAATAATAGACCGCCCAGTCTTTCAATGCATACAGGAACGCCATCACACGCCCATGCTACATCCAAATGTCCTATAAGGTCTCTTAAAGGCACGGTAAGAATCAAATAAAATCTCCTCTAACACCAGATAAAGCCCAGAATGGGGGGTATCTGCATATGCAAAAGCCAAGGCCCGCCTCGTGTAGACAAACCAAAATAGAAGAAAATGAGAAAGAAATGGAAAAAGAAAGGGTGGAGGGGGAAGTGATCGCCAAGAATAGAAGAAATATAATCACATAAAAGTGGAAAATGAGGGAGAGAAGAAAGAAAGAAGTCTCATGCAAGAGACTCAAACTCCTCTCGCTCACGAAGCCGGTTGCGAGCAAGAACATCACCTCCACTAGCAGACAACTGCATCCAGTGCAGTGCCAGACACATACTTTGCGGATCTGATTTTGAATCTTTACCACGCATATACATCATCTCGGCCTTAAAGGTATCTCGAGGGCGAGTAAGTGGTAATGTGACGCGAGGTAAGAGCTCAGGATGTGTAAGGTAGAGGATAGCCAGTTCGCGCTGAGCAACGGGGTTACCTTCTTGAGCTGTGATGATCCACATCCTCGCTGCGTCTTCAATAGCATGACCGGGCCGTGGGTAGAAGTCTGCGCCTGGGAGAGGGTGACGCCGCATAAGCTCCTGAGAGACGATGCGGTCTGCAATTTCAACCATACTATGGCACACTTCGTCCTTGAGGCTGAGTGCTGCAAGACCAAATTGCAGGAAGGCTGTGCCTCGGTCGCTTTTGCTTAGCTGGTCTGCAGGGACAAATGCTGAGATGAATTGAAGATCCCGGAAAAGCGTCTTGGGCTTCACTTCGAGTATCAGGTCACGGAGGGTAGCCACAATCTTATCTTCGGACGGAGAGTAGAAGGCTGATTGACGTGAGCCACAGGTGACAGACTCTGGCGGAGAGGAGACGGAAAATCCTGCTTCCATCTGGGCCACTTTAGGCAGTTGAGTCTCCGAGATGCTGTGGCGCGATGTTCTTTGGCGCGGCCGGAGGCCATTATTCCGCCCCCTTTCAGCCTCAGTGGATACTTCCTGGCCGTTGACATTTGTGGTATTTCCGTCTTGTGATGTTATTAGTGAGGCCACAACCAACGACCGCAAGTCTCGCAGTGCATTAAGTTTGACAAATGGGTTGCCATGTCGCGAGAATACCTCAATCAGTCGGTGGAAGACTGATTTGTATGAGAATGCAGAGTTGTCCTCCTCCTGGGAGGAGTCCAGATTGGCAGTGGAGGGTTCGGGGTTGGCAGTGGTGGCGCGCGTGCGCATACTGGGAGTATCTAGAGACCTGCTCCGTCGACCCCCAACTGACCGTCGGCGCTCACGAAGATGTTGAGACCGCTCATCGTAGTCAGCATAGAATTTCTGCACGGTAGCCCTCCTCTGCATTTGCTTCCTGATACGATTCTGGTCAAGGATATTTGTGAACCAAGCATCGGTCTCGCTGCCACAGCTCCAGACTGGAGAGCCCAAGTCACTGAGCAGAAGACTGGTGAGTGTCTGACGCAAGTTGTCCATGAATGCAGTTTTTCCCTGTGTTTTACGTTCAGTCCGACGAGGCTGTCGAGTTGCGGTCTCGCTGAACATGGAGGGGGGCCTTGAGTATATGCTGGAAGAACTGGTGGCATACATGGGGTGGCGTTGGGCACCAGACCAGAAAGTACTGAATGTATCCCCAGTCGATGTAGAAGCAGCACGGCCCGGGGAGCCACCGATAGAGCTGACATCAGTGGACGGCATATCTCGTTGAGGTCGCCATTTGTCAGATACTAAGCTCTGGATGGAAGTCTTGCGACCAAGAGATGGGACATCTTGGGACAGTCTGGTCATTGGGTCGGGCATCGGGAGATTAGACCCATGCAGATGGGAATAATGCATCGAATCTTCACTCGTAGTTGTCGAAGGACGTGGTGTGGTTGGCATGGACAATCCAGGAAACGAGCGAGTGCCGTAGCCCTCGTACCTTGCCCGTTCCCTCTGAAAGAGTTCACTGGCCCACAACACAGGGGTCTCTGCCATGGTCTCACCGACGAGACGATTGATACTAGTCTGCACTTCATAGCAAAATCGATGGATTCTCTCTTCACCTTTGCAGAAGTTTTCGATGCCATTAAGAGACAGCCATTTGCGGGTCAGTTCAACTTGCTCGTCGGATAGTTTCTTAGGTCCACCCTGACTGCTTGGTGCCTTCATGATGTTCATCACTTGTAGCTCGGGTTTCTGGAACAGAGAGCCACCTAATGATCGAGCTGTACTGCGAGATCTTGACTCTTCAGGGGCATCAATCAATGCTAGCGCAGACATTGTCTTGAGGGCCATGGCCACATGCCTGGCTTCTTCGTACCTCATAGAGTTCTTGACATCGGTCATGTACCACATCTTGTTTCGTACCTTAGAGATGGTGGTCATGAGATCCTTGACCTGTGTTTGCAGCCGACGCAAACTGTGATCAAGGGAAACAAAGTCTGTTTCGCAACGCTCGACGACAGCCCGTGATTTTTTCAAGGAGCGAATGCAAGAATTGTACATTGGGCCGAGAATCCATGAGTCGTCTGCAATATCCAAGGAGCCAGATAGTCGCCCCTGTCGAAGTTGGCGTGACGCATTCCACCAATAATGGGCGCCAACGAAGTCAGAGTCATTTGTGGTAGAAGCCATGGCTTGGTTGAAGCGTTGTTTCAAAGACAAAGGGGCAAGCTGTGAAGATCCTGAAGACCGATCGTAATCATCGGAGTCGTAAAGGTGGTTCTCCTTGACTAGACGGACGATTGCGGTCTGGAGCGCCTCATAGTTTTCTTCAAGGCCAAGGTTCGTAGACTGGGTATCATCATCACTCTCAACTGCAGATGTTTTTAATGATTCGGGCTCACAGGCAGGAAGTAAACTCCAGGTGAGACCATGGCCATCTTTAGAAACAGAAAAACTTGTCCAGTGCTCGTCAGATGGATGTTCCAATTTCGCGCGCTCACTGGGTTCATCCAGATCGGTCAGCTCGAAGCGAATCCGAGCGGCAGTTCGGGCAAGACTAGTCTCTAGTACAGAGACTGAAGAAGATTCCATGGAGAAGATAGATGCGTTTTGAGATGAGGGTCGCGGACTTGTATCATAGTTCGGACGGAAAAAGCCAGGTTCAGCAAACGGCTCCGGTCGAGCTTTATAGGTAGGTGAAAGACTTGCAGACCAGGGCGCGATACCGGTAGAAGCTGGGCTAGAATGGAATGAAGTAAAAGTTTGCGGGAAAAGAGCGTCTAAGAGTGTGAGCACGTCGGTAGCGGATAGCAAGAGGAAAGCCGATGAAGAGTTGCGCCGGCTTGGATCGGTCGCGGAAAGTAAAGACAGTTCAATTGTCGAAGTCTTGGGAGTGTCAACACGTTCAAGTTTACCAAGCATGCTGAGCACCCGCTCCTTGATAGAGGGTCGCAATACAGAGAAATGATGCCTTCAATAAAGTCAGCACAATGAATCGATGTGAATATATATTGACGAATGCACGCGCAGTGCAAAAGGGAAGACTCACATGGAGCGCAACACGGCAAAAACTTGGGAATAAGCGCGCATGCCGACTTGGTTGAGTAACTTGTCGCGCGCATCCTTCCGAATATGAAAATCGAGCAACAAGCCGTGCGTCTGTGAGACCAGAAAATCGTTAGCACTTACTCGCCATAGAAATCAACACTCATACCTCAGGGTAAGTCAAGGCGCCGAAGAGAAACTTGGGGAAAAACCATTGGAGGAACAGGTACTCCAAGAAGCGGCTGCGAATATCAGGGTTATCGATCTTCCTGAGGACTGCCTTGGCAAACTGCAGGACTGCACGAGGGAAGCCACCGTCTGGATCATCGAGCACCCGGAATAGGTCATTAATGGCAGAAGCAAAGAATTCCTCTGCGGCATCCGTTCGCAAGGGATCCAAAGCCTCGGGAGAGGTATCAGTGTGTTCCAAGAGGAAGGCTCCGGTTTGTAAAATATCCATAAGGTAAAGCTCAAATTTGGGACGGGCTTTCCAGTTGCTGCCAGTAGCCCAGGAAGAAAGGATCTGGCTGATCAGGGGATAAAACCTATTACTTCCATGGGAGATTAGTTGAGCACAGACGGACGACCAGACATCCACGCGCAACCGGGCTTCCGATGTCTCGGGCTCCAACGGCGCGGCATAAACATTAGAAAGCAAGATGGATAGCGGATCTGTCCTTTCGAAGGCAAACGCATGGTCCTTGAACGCAGATCGATTATAAGAGTACTGAGCCCGATGGCGGGAAGAAGGAAAGGCCGGGTCACCGCTATCCAATGCGGTCGCTGGCGCCGTAAATGCAGCTAGCTGGGCTGAGTTGAAACTGCGTAGACGATCGACCAAGAACTGTGAGTCAGAGCGAACCAGTCGCAAAATCTCCAGTACGTCCACCCGGGATTGGGGGCTTAATTGATGAAAGAAATCCGAGGAATGGTCCAGATTGGAATCCGGGGATAGTTCACGGTCGTCAGGGGAGTCATTAGAATCCTCGCGGGAGTTGGAAACGCAGGACTCCTGAAGATCATAGAGCATATGATATAGGGCAATGAAATTGGCCTTGTCATCATATTTTAGAGCTTCAACAAGGCCGCGCTGAACAGTATTTCCGATCCGAATGATGCGCGCAGAAACCCCGATGGATACCTTTGTCGCGTGCAAACGCTGTTCTAGTCGCTTCCTCTGGGCTTGTTTCCGCTGGCTCTGGTGATACCGGGTGGCAAAATCTTCAAAGGATACCTGGGGAACATAATCCTTGGACTTCTCGGATATCGTGGGCTCAATAGGTGAATCATCGTCGCGCGGAGATTCAGATTCGATATCGGCCACCAACCTGGTACTGGAACGGGCCGAGCCATCCAACTCACCTGGCCCCACGTTTTGTTCCGCTACGGGAACAGGCGAAAACACGGGGGACATGGTCGCTGAAGGCGACGCTGGGGGAGAAGGAGGAAGAGGCACCAATGCGGGATCAGCGCAAAGCGGCGGATCGCATGGTGGATCAGTCTGGAGAACGGGAATCCGCAGTGCTACAAGTCGGGGTTAGATTGGGACCAAATCAGGCACCGAAACGCAAATAGCAAATAAACAGTGGGGTTGGTCGGTTGGTCGGTTGGTTCCCTAACCTTTACCCCAACAAATTAAGAAAAAAAACGCACTGATTTGTGAAGCTAGCGAGGACGGCGAATAACCCTCATGGTCCACCATCTTGTCCAGACTCGCGCCAGAGGGTGGAGTGCACTGTCGCTCGATGCCCCTGGCCACCGTTGGCGGATGCTTATCGCATGGCTCTATCGCGGGGCAAGAAGCCGGGCGGTGTTCAGGACCACAAACCCGGTCGGAGGGGGTAGCGGAATAAGAAAAGTGGTCCAGGATGGATAGGAATAGACCAAGGTGGGAGAAAGGAGAGAGGGGGAGAGAAGTCAAAAGGAGGGGTTAGAAGATAGAAAAGAAAGAAAGGTATAAAATCACAAGCGTTGTATAATCAAACGCGAGACGAAGCGATCGCGACTCGAAACGGTCAGTTGCAGCAGACGATTTGTCTCGGAGTTCAAGTTAGTCAAGTATGAAGTACTGGTTAGTTACTAAACCAGTACTAGACGAGCAAGTGTCCAGCAGCAAGGGGTTACTGCAGTACATTGGTGGCTTGTACCGAGTACACGGACAACGATGCGTTGGCACTGCATGCAGGAGTGAGGTGGACAGTCTAAACTGACTATTTGATTCGCTCGCCGCCCTCCTTGCCAGTTCTGCGGAGTCAGCTTCTGCTGTCCGCGCATGGATCGGAGTGTGACCAATCGTATGTGTGGAAAATCTTTCAGTGACTGATTTCAAGGTGGGGAAAGTTCGGAGGAGCTGGGTTGATTTGTACAGAGTTGAGATCGTGTCATATCTATCAGTTTTTCAGCTGTGCTTATTATGGAGAAAGAAAGTAGGCTTTTCATTTGCCTCCATTCTAAAACCTTGGGAAAGACCGGCAAACCATATCCACTAGACTAAGTTCTACATGCAGAATGACTCTGATCCTACTGCAGTAAAACAAAAAAGACGGATCATCCTGTCTTTCCATTGGTCCATGCCATACAAGTAGCCACAGTATATCTGTGATCAGACCAGAGTAGAACACCGGGACATCCACCTCGGATGCAGGAGATTTTAGTCTCCGAAAGGAAGAAAAGAAGAATAAAAGAAAAATGGGGAAAAAAGCAAAGTAAAAAAAATACCCAAGGTTAGGGCCTCTTCTGCTTACTCATAAATAGACATGACGGAAATGCTTCAGGACATCATCACCCAAACGCCAAGCTATAGTAAATGCAACATGGAAGTAAATCAGAACACCTAATCGTGCATAAACAGGTCACCGACAGACCCATTTCTTATCCACCTCTTTTTGGCCCACGCGCACCGCAACTTGATCCAGCGTGGCCTTCAGCGTGTCTTTCGAGACCTTGGGGAACCTGCATGTACAGTAACGAATTAGTATGAGGCCTTTAGATGGGAGGAGAATCTGGGAGTGACACGTACCGCTTCTTGAGAATCTCAATCACTCCGATCTTACTTAAATCACTACCCTCAACCACCTCTTTAAACTCTGACAACTGTTCAGGCGGGAATGGACGCTTGGCTTTGAAGGTCGGTGGTGGCGGGGGAGTGTACTGACAACCGCGGCTGCATCAGTACCAGGTTGCACCCGGAACACGTCAAGGGAACCACCCGGCTTCTGGGTGACCCGGCCCTTGGGCGCCTGGTCGGTCGCACGAGGCTTCTGCCAGTATGCAGTGGAGAACGGATCGATAGGGAACTTGACGGTGTCAGAGATTACTTCCATCCGGTACCCCTTGAGTTCCTCGTCGACGCCATCCGTTGCCCAGCGAATCCCGCTGCAGACAGGTTCAAGCTCGCCGACAATCAGACGCCGCTTGTTCTCTTTCAGCGCGTCGTCCTCGTCATCCAGGAATTCATCCATGTCATCTTCGCCTTCATCGCTGGCTTCTTCCTCTTCTTCAGAATCCAAGTCCTCGCCCTCTTCAGGTTCTTCCCATTCGGCCTCCGAATCATAGTCGTAGTCGGTTTCCGGTAGGCCGCGGCGGTATGGATTGCGAGCGACCTTGTGCGCCACAGCCTTTGGAATGGGACGAGTATATGTGCCTTGGTAAGCCGGACGGACATCTTCCCCAAACTTGAGCGACTTCATGGGGATATGGCTCAAGTCAGATTTGACTGATGCTGACGCGACATGTGGTTGGTTGGCCGCATCACTGAGGGTATGCATTCGTTGCAGGATTTCCTTGACGGAATGCGCTTGGCGGCCACAACGTCTTTGATATGGAATTAGATTGAAAATTTCAGTGGGACGAAAGGGTTGGTGTTCATAGGTGCCGTTCTGGAGATTTAGAGAAGCATCAATTCTGTTCTGAACATGGGCCAAGGCGTTGGTGTCACGCTCAAAGCGATGTGGAGGGGCCACGATGGTATGGGACTGTAAGAAGAAGTCCGGGAAAGCTTTGGCATAGTCAGACCCAAGTGGCTGAGAAGTTCCAATAATTGCGTTGTTGACGGGTGCAGCTTTCTGTGGTGATGAGATGTTCTTTGTCGGGGAAGCAGGGACTTGTGGTTTCGCGAAGAACGAATTGAGCTTAGGTTGCGCCTGTTTTTCAAAATTGTTCAAGTTAGTTATGTGGACAGTCAAGGTCATAAGAGCCATGGCATATCGTACCCTCTCTTTCTTAAGCTTGGCCTCCTCCTTTCGGCGCTTATCATCTTCTTTCGCAACCTCTTTAGCAGCCTTCTCCTCTTCTTTGGCCTTTTTCTTTTCTTCTCGTTCGGCTTCCCGTTTCTTCTTCTCGTCCTCCTTCAGGCGCTTCTCCTCTTCTCGCTCAGCATCTCGCTTTTTCTTCTCCTCTTCCCTAAGGCGCTTTTCCTCTTCTCGCTTCTTCTTCTCCTCTTCTTTTTTTGCCTTTTCTTCTAATCTTTGCTTGTCCTTAACCTCCTTGCTAGCGGGCGACAGCTTGCGCTTTTTGGCAGCAGTCATGTCAGACTTCACAGGTGACCCTTGATTTGGTTCCTCAGCAGTCGACGGAACAAATGTGGTTTCAATGGTCCGGGCAACGGGGGACTGGTCGGGGGTCTTAACAGGAATCACTACCTGTGGTGGCGGCTGAACAATAGTATGGTCTTTTTCATTTAATTCTGTTGCTTCCTTTTGTGGCCCCGAAATCGGGTCATGGTTTTCCTGGTTGTTCTCGGTGTAGTTTGTTAACGCCCGTTTAGGGCCCACAGATGGAAGCGTAGCACCGTCCACTTCATGAATAGATCTTTTGCGCGGGCTTCCAGGTGATGCGAAGGACGGAGGCGGCAATGGAGAGAGGCTCATTTTAGGGGAGTTCATCAGGGTTGCCGATGGGGTGTGGATCGTGTGACCCTAGAATTTCAAGTTGTGCCCTGGTAATAATGAACGTAGCTTTTAGGCGAAATCTATAATACCACGCTGAATTGATCGGACACAAAGGAAATCGGAAGGAACGTGAGTCGTATTCTGGGTGGTGTGGTGCTCCTCTCCAAAGGGAAGTGGACTGGCGGGTTGACAATGAACGCGTTTCAATCAACTCGCGTCCGCGTCCGATAAGGTACGTCACGTGTGGTCTTATGTAACATGTGGTGCCCAACATTAGAGATTCGATTCGTCTGAGCTGAGTATATGATCCTTTGAATGCTAGTAAAAAGGTGATTAAGCTTTCAGCTTTCCCCGAATGACATGGCTCCCAGTTTTGACACTTCAAAATCTACGATGTAGTACACGAACGTTGAAGAGTCAAAGCCCTAAAGGATTGCACGACATACAAAAGTAAATGCATGATAAGAATTAAGGTTACAATTAATATCTCTGATCATATTGGAGCTATAAGAAGTAATAAAAGCGGGAGAATACCGGATGCAAAGGTAAAGGCGCAAGCAGACAAGTCAAGCAGCCAGTCCTTCCACGTTTCCCACATTGGTACCCCAGCACGGAGAGGCTGGAACTGCAAGCGCCACAGAAACAGAGAGACAGAAATATTGACATGAGTTGCAACACTTGAGCAAACCATCAAGGCCTGCTGAGTGCAGTTAGACAGAAGTGTCAAGGGAGGAGGTATTATGTGCAGCGTTGCGGAGTAATAAAAAAATAGAAGGTCACTTCCGACGGTTGAAGATCATCAGAAAAGGAGGGGAAGGGGAAAGGAACAGCAAACAGATTAAAAGAGACGCTGCGTAATTGGCAAATGAAGAGGTCCAAGCATCCTAATCACTAAGATCAGGGTTTGCAACAAAGAGTCGCACATTGGTCATAGAAGTAGTCCGCTCGTCGACACTACCTCGTCGCCGTAGCTCATCGGCTTTGTGGACCTTCTGGCTTGATGCAACAGCTGCACTGGGAGCCTCCATGTCACCAACCAGGTCTTCCTGTTCGCTGCTATGTGATGTTGCAGCATCATCCTTGACAAGTGATGATAATCGGCTCTTCTCCTCCTCCTGCATCTCAGCGGGTGTGTTTTCAGAGACATCAGGCAGATCACTCTTCTCATTAGGCGGTGTGCTATTGCTTCCCATGGTGCCCTGCGTGCGCTGGTAACCGCTGGGGTACCGGTTGCTTCCAAGCGAGCTGCGGCCACTGCCAGTCCTGCGGTGAATGATACCACCCTCACTACTATGGGCATCGTCGTCGGCATCGCCGATCTCGTTTGCACTGAGTCGCACGGGAACCTTGGCGCCCACCAAATTCGATGGCGAGAAATCCAGTCCCGCCTTGCCTCCGTGCCGAATCTTTCCGCTAGAACCGCCTGAACGACCGGCGCCAGCGCCATGGACCTCAAGATATGCTCTCTTCTTGTCCCGCAGTGCTGCCTCGCGCATGCGAGCATCTTCTGATTGCGCCCGATCGCACCAGACGGTCGCTTTCTGCCGCCGCATCAGAGCCACATACCCTAGTTGCGAACTTGCCGAGCGGTTGGAGGCGCTTCGTCGGATATTTGGGTCTGTGTGCGGCATGTGGTTACCGGTTGATGTAGTCGACGTAGTGGTGCTGGAAAGCCGCCGTGAAGGTGGAAAAGCGGTTGGAGGAGGCATGGCATGGTGTGGAATTGCAGGAGGTGTTTGTTGGTAATGTTGGTGGGAGCCTGATCCGTAGGGGAGCACGTGGGAGGAAGTTGTGCGAGTGCGACTGTGGGTTGTTAAAGGCGCAGCTGAGTGAGGCACAAGATTTCTAGGGGCATCGTAGGGCTGGTACGGGTAGCCATGTTGGGCAGTGTGTATTGGTTTCCGGGGTGGGGGACCCTGGTGCATAGGCACTCGGAATTCGGTCATGTTGAGCGGATGCTTGACGAAGCAGACCTTTCACTTGGAACCGATTTATGAGGTAATCCAGTCTGTTCACCCGTTCGTATGAAAATCCTGTGGCGGAGATTTCGGAGAGGCGGGGGTAGGGTGAACAGAGTAGTTGCGCAGGCCACCTTCAGGCAGGAAGACGTGCTCTGGGCCTCCGATGCGCGCGGCTTACGGGTCAAGCAATCTGCGAGTTTCAGCGCCCACTTGCAGTGGTGCAGCAATATCGGCCTCGGGGGGTGTTTTGGAGCGGGGGCTGGTGATTGACGGTTTCAGGTTTTCCAACGCAGTAGCTAACTGGAAAGCTTTCAATTGCCAGAAACAATGGAAATTGTAATAGCAGGAGAGTTGAAAGAGTTTGGGGTGTGGATCGGTTTGGGAGGCGCACACGCGGCCAAGTTCGTCTAGTACCCAATTGGTACCTGGCCTTCCAGAAGGGTCCGGAGGGGTATGTAATATTCGGCGAGACGAAATAATTTGTAAGAGCACGAGAGCTTGCCTGCTGGACCTTTGTATAAGGGGAAGATGGGAGGAGTAGGGGGAGGGGGGAAGCAAAAGAGACTTTGGTCGGTTCCCTCAAGTAATGTGATTGGCCGATACGGCGGAACACGACGGGCTTGAAGTACTTGCGCAGCCAAAGTTGGCGGGTGGAGTACTTAGGTACGATACGCTCAGCCACTTGAGGCTGGTGTCTGAAAATTACGCTCGTTTCAACGAGGTTTCATTCACTCCGCCGCCTTACTGTAACCGTGACTTTCGTCTGATTTCCATAATTATATCTGACAGGAACACTGAGCTTCACAGATATCCTACTGGCTGGAGAAAAAGCAATCTACCTTTATTCCGGCTATCGCACGCTGGCATGGTCCTACTAACCGGATATCTCCTAGCGGTTCCTGTCTACCTCGTAAGCTGACTCAACTCTCGGGAGAACCGGTTTTCCTTCAACGGGAAATTGCTACAGTTGCAAGGATCAACCCCTATCTGATTATTGATCAAATTAAAGATGTGTTTGACGAGCCCGCGAATGACTAAATGTAACATGGCCATACTCGCGATACCCGACGTTATGCTCGCGAAGAATAATCGCTCGCTGTCGGAAGTGCTTAGTATGGTGGTACGAGTCGTGGACCTCGATGCTCTCCCATCCCACATAGACAATATAGGAAAGGTTCCCCTCAACAGGCTCCACCACCCACCCCCCGTTGCTCCTAAGCATCCAGGCACCGTGGAGACAATACTCGTCCATAGCGCCCACGTTTTCTCCCATCCAGCGGGGTCAGGGGTCAAATAAATAGCGGTTCCGCTCACCGGAGCCCCGTGCCCCAAACTCTTGGGGTTTGTCGAAAATTCCGAGATCATGGCATGACGCACGGTCAGTTCTGTGGCGCTGGAGACCCCGAGAGAAACCAGGTTTTCTATAATCTGCTGCCAATCAGGTGAGGTGAGGAGAGCATAATGTTGGTGTAGATTGTCTCGAGCTAGCTTTGTTTATCAGTTGCTTGCTCGGTTATCTTTGTCACAATCCTACCGATGTGGAGGTGCACATGTCCTTCCTCGACATGGCGTCCCCAATAAAGCCGGCGGAAACCAGCCCAGCTCTCCAGAATATCCAGAATCTGAGACCATGTCTGGCCCTCTTTTGTAGAGAGGTTGTCGATCTGAGCCGCCCCTTGGATGGGGAGGATGATCATCTGGGTGGGGACTGCAGAGCGCGCCATACTGAAGACTTAGGCTTATCAGCACTAAAACAAGGTTCTTTTTTCCCGCTCAACGTGAGCACTCAAGCTTTCTATATATTAAATTTGAGTACCGGTGTCACAATTTGCCGAGGGCCGGGGGTTGATCAGTGCGGCCAGTTCATAGTGCGGGGTATACCTTCCCCAGATATCTGCATGAAGAGTGATGGTTTGCTTGGCATCACATAGTCAGCGTACTTACTTTAATTCATGAGTGATAGAAACTAAGCATTCCGAGGGTTAAGCGAAGATGATCTACCTAGGTAGTTGTAACTCAAAATATGGACCCCAACAAATTTGAATCAATCCCTCGGCCAACCTGCCCGTCTATAAATGGATGTACGGTGAAAGATTGTCGATAGGTCCGGTGCCGTGTTGTGTGTCCAATTGTGGCAATTGCAATTGGACTAAATGTTCGTCGATTGTGGAAGCAGGAAAGATCCCAACTACCAACCTAACAAAATAAAGTCAATTAAATTTACACTTTGCTTAATGGTAGCCAGTTTGGAAAATTTTACTGATTTTTCTGGGCCTCCAATTTGGCGTCCTGTTGGGAATAGCTTTGTCCTACCATACGCTCTCCGGAAAGCCCTAATTAACAACCACCACGCGAACGTCCCATCCTAGCCAGTAATAACAAGGACAAAACAGGGGCATCTCCAGATCTTGGCTGTACAGGCAGTTTCTAAGAAGGAATTACAATGAGATATTATGTAATTTATCATCTCGCTGCTTTGATCTATGCCCGGCAGATACCTACTATGTGGCCAACGACCAAAGCAACCTGATATGGCAGTTGTCAGCGGCATCTTGACATGACACTCTGCTTTGAGCATAGCTGCCGGTAAGAATCAGCAGCCTCTGGGGCTATACTACTGGTCCCATGCACTACCTGGTAAGGATTCTGTAGCTTTTCATACAATTGAGATGTCCTATGTCTTCACCAATATTCCGTTCGATGATTCTGATATGCGGTGGACTACCGAAGACTATATGATCCAGTCTAAGAGGAATCGTTTCTCGGATTATAATTGAATTGGGAATCCCAATAGTGTTGATTCCAAGCAGTGGAAGTGGAAGCCAAGTAAGGAGAGCCACGAAACCATGTGGTTGGGAAATAGTTGGAGTACGGGGCATTGTTGGAAAATCGTCACATATGCCTTTGATTACACAATTCTTCTCGTATCAGACACCGTTTTATTTGGCTTCATCACCATGGCGAATAAATGCATATATTATTTTCTCATTGACTTGGACTAAATCAGGTAGAATGTGTTTAGTAGGGCTGGGAGCTGTAATTTACAGAACTCATAACAGAAAGTTACGAACTGCGCCACAATTCTCTCGCGTGGGTGGTACTCGGTGGATCCGGAATGGGAAATTTGTTAGTCGTGACGTCAGTATGTTTCAATGCTTCCACAATTCCATTGCAACAAGAATAAAATGTCAAAGTAGGAGCGTTCCTGGTGACGCATTGAGTAAGAAGGGCTCAGGTACAATTGGCCCCCGTGCGCCATAAAACAATGATTGACGATCCTTACCGCATCGAGCGACGACACATATCTGAACCAAAGAAAGGTCAAAAGGAAAACAGTCATATAAGCCAAAATTTAAGATGTATGTACAAAAAAAACTTGCCCCAGTCAAAGGATCTCCACTGCGGATCATGTCTCACAACTTGGCCCTGCCGTCCACGGAGACGATCGCGCCGTCTTCCCGAACAAGGAAATCCTTGTTTGGCTCCCATCCCATCCAAGCTCGAAGTGTCTCCTCACCCCCATCCCCAGGCGCAAGACCCCCACCAACCCAACCGCCTTGCTCCGCCGTAAATGGGACCGCAGGCGTTTTAGACAAATGAACAGCAGGCCGCTGATCATACCCAGCAGCCTCAAGCTCCTCCTGCTCCAAAACAGGAGTCGCACAGGCATCCGTACCATCAAAAACGGCTTCCCATTCAGCTCGCGTCTTCTCCTTAAAACGGCGCGTGAATAAGTCCCGCAAAGCAGGCCAATTATCGCGGTCTTCACGCGCGGGAAGCTTTTTCGGATCAAGATTTAACCCGCGTAGCAATGCTGCATAAAATTGCGGTTCTAATGCCCCGACGGCAAAATATTTGCCGGCGTCCTTGGTTTCGTATGTGTCGTAGTAGGGACATCCGCTATCAAGCAGGTTTTCGCCTCGGGCTTTATTCCAAGATGGCAAGTGGCGTGCTAGCCGTGGAAAGGTAGCTAGGTAGGCCGATCCATCTACCATGTTTGCTTCGACGACTTGTCCACGGCCTGTGCTTGTGCGGGCGATCAAGGCGAGAATGATACCCAGAAAGCACATTGCGCCGCCGCCGGCGAAATCGCCGAGGATGTTGCCCGGTGCGAAGGGCTTGTCTCCAGCTCGTCCTAGCATAGATAGGACACCTGATACGGCGATGTAGTTTATGTCATGGCCTGCCATGTCTTTATATTTGCCATCGCGTCGGAACCCGGTCATACGTGCGACAATGAGACGCGGGTTGTGTTTCAGGAGGACTTCTGTTGGGGACAGGCCGAGCCGTTCAAGGACACCGGGGCGGAATGGGTCGATTAGTACATCCGCGGATGTGAGAAGGCGGAGGAGAACATCTCGAGATTTCGAGTCGCGGAGATCTAGTGTAATTGAAGACTTGTGTCGGGTCAGTTGGTCACCACTGGCGGCTTTGGGTCGGTCGATGCGAAGGACGGAGGCGCCATAGTCGGCTAAAAGGAGACCGGCGAAAGGCCCTGGGGTAAGAGTGTCAGCGGTGAGGCTTTCCGGGTTGTGAGGTGAGAGAAGCTACCTGGCGCTAGACCCGCTAGCTCAATTACTCGAATGCCTTTTAGAGGTGGAGCAGCCATTTTAAATGTTTGCAGGCGGGCAAACGCCAGGGCTTGAAGCATTAAATAACGATGTTGTCGATCATCAGTTCCCCACAACCGAGGTCCGCTTAATGCGGGGAACCGAGCATGTATAAAGGCTATCTACGGCATTTTCCTAACTTCCTAATGCACATGTGTAAGATGAAACACTAGCTTTCTGTCTCTTGAATTATAAATTAGATAACTCGGTCGGCTTCAAACTGCCATAACACATTATACTTCAAATCTCCTAAACTAGAGCCAGTCACCTCAACGCATTGAGTTCATCAGCTTGAGACCGAATAAATTATACAGGACTATATGGCCTGAAAAGCCTAGTCTCCAAAAATCCGTTCTTGAGACCTCGTGTTGGTCACCATGTTCAAGAAACAGGTTCTGAGACAGGCTCGGCATGTTCAAACTCGGTCTTTACCTTCTCAGACTCGACGAGCTCTCCCTCGCCAAGAAGGGCATACAGCCCAATTTCTTGCTCAATGCGCAGTCTCGTACTCTCATCCTCTGCGGCAAAGCTCGTCGCGCCAAAGACTTCGTCCATCTCTTCCAATGTGCGACCGCGGGTCTCTGGAACAAGGAAATGCACATAAAGAGCACCAATCGTGGTCACAATACCAAAGAAAATAAATGCTCCGTAGGAAGTCTTCGAAATGAACTTGGAGGTTGAAATAGCGACAGCAAAGTTGTTAAGCTATATCGATGGTTTATTAGCCATGAAAGCAGTTTCTTGCAAAAGGAACAACTCACCCAGTTGGAACTTCCACCAACGGACACACCCTTCGCACGCATACTCAGAGGGAAGACTTCAGACACGACAATCCATGCACAGGGTCCTGAATTTTTTCATGTTGTTAGTACTCGATATACCGCAACCACAAAATGAGTAGCACATACCCCATGAGTAGGCGAAGTTAATGACATAGATCCACACAAATACCACAGCCGCCCAACCAGCGGCACGGTTGTCGCCCCAATTGCCGGTATAGCTTGCGATAATACCCGCAACAATGAAATGGCAGACAGCCATACCAATGGCACCGGTAATGAGGATCTTTTTACGACCGATTTTGTCGACCAATAACACTGCAGGGATTGTGGCAAGGAATTCGACAACGCCTACAACTCCAGTCGCAAGGAGACTTTCGGAGTTACCGGTGAATCCCATGTCCTCGAAAATGAAGGGCCTGAGTTGGTGAGTATTAGTGAGGTACCATAAAATCGTGGGTCAAACTTACGCATAGTAGTTGATCGCATTGATACCATTCCATTGTTGGAAAGTCATGACCATGCACTAAGTGAGTTAGCATATAAATGCATCACGCGAGCTGATGATCCTTACAGCAACCGAAAGTCTCTTGAATAGAGATTTGTTGGTGATAAGAGACTTGTAGTCGTTGAGCGCAATCATAAAGTTGCTCTTAGTGGACCCATCCTGCCACTGAGGATACTTCCGAGCCGATGTCTCCTTTTCAAACAAATAAAGAGCTTTAATTTCCAAGAACTCTACTCGGACCGTGATATCATCCTGCGAACAACCGCGGAGACGAGCCAAGGTGGTCAGGCACTCATCCTCACGACCTTTGTTCATCAAGTGACGTGGAGACTGTGGCATGAACAGGAGCATTCCAGCTGCCAGAACCAAAGCGGGTAGGATTTGGATGCAGATGGGAATTAGGTAGGCAGCATCAGATTGTCCCTCGCCAGTGCCGCCAATGAAGTTGGTACCGTAACCGAGCTTAAAGCATGTCAGTATTTTTTTACACAGGGAAATCTGGAGAATAGACTAACCCAGAAGCTGACCATGATTCCGAATGTGATGGATAATTGTTGGATGGCGACAAGTGAGCCACGGATCTCGGGTGGAGCCTATACATCGGAGTTAAAAAGACATGCCACCCAGCAGGAGAAGTATGACTGTGAAGCTTCCATACCAGTTCAGCGTTGTAAAGCGGTACAACCATACTCAAGCTACCAATTCCCAAACCGGTCACGAAACGGCCAGCGAAAATGTAGTTCTTGTTCTCAACGCAAGCTTGTACAATTACGCCCACGCAGAAGACTGCGACAGCGATGCACACTGTGGCGCGACGACCGGCCGCATCTGCAAGGTAGCCGTTGAATAGGGTGCCGACCCAAGCACCCAATTCTAGAACAGATGTCAAGAGACCTTGTCCAGTACCGGTTGTGGCAGCATATCCTTGAGTCTATAATGAGCAAAAGGAACTGTTAGTAATGCTATTTAAGTTCAGGTCAAGTTCAGCGGCTTACCTTGTTGATAAAAGATGTCATGGTCAAGACCTGAGCGAACATTCCCTGGTTGTCTGTTGACTCGTCAGCCTCTCGAACCAAGGTTGAATAAACCTTTTCCATTCAAACCCACATCCATAGACAAGGCCTCCAAGAGAAGCAAACAAGCCAATAGAAAAGGTCTTCTTGTTGCCAATGAGACCCTTGAACCCCGAAGGGCCGGCAATTGCAGCTCGCTTCTCCGACAGGTTATACGTTGGAGGCACAGCCTTTAGGGCTTCCACTGGGCCCGTTTTACTCTCCATTATGAGGACCGATACAGGGTTTCAACAGAATAGAAGTAGGCAGCGGCTAGGTAGGATGTATAGAACCAACTGCAAGATGCAATGGAAATGAGGCACACCCATGCCAGAATCTCGGGACCAATCGTCCTTTATAGTCTTCCTTCCATACGAAAAGCAAACGGTTGGTCCCAACAGACCACGAGGCGCGTTTGCTTTGACCCCCGGCCGAGTTAGCCGGATCTGTTTTACGGCGTCGTGTGTTACTTGGAAATGGAACTGGCACTATATCTGCCCAATGCGATCGAGTGGATCTTGCCCAACGACCGAATTAAATTTGATTATTAGCCCCTAAGGAGCTTAGCACTGGACTCAGGTAATATAAAATCACCTACAGCTATCCCCATACCCCATATCCCAGTTCAAGTTTCTTTTTTTTAAAGAAATTGGAACGTCAAAGAAATTTCAAAGTCAGCAAAACTCCCACTTTACGCCACCTATGAAATGGTCGGACACACGGATTGATGGCGGCCACTCTGTAAAGCTTGGTAACGCCGTAACCGTAAGCCCGAAGCGCCTACGGGATGTCAGACTATACATTATATCCGGGTTTCGGCCCCCCGGACACCTCCCCACAAACCCTCGAACCCCGCGAAAACATAATAACATGGCAGACTCGTCTAGTTTTTCACATGACTAGACCTTAATTGGAGCGGAAGGCCGAGCAGGAATTACGTGGTGACGCGTCCTCCCACGTGAACAGATTGGCTTACAAGGTAGAACCCCCATGTTTCTGGGGAGCGGTGGTTTGATATGTGGGGGATGGCGTGGAGAAGTAACCAGTAGAAAGCTCCCCATGTTTTAGCGTACGCCACGGATTGTGAGTAAAATGGCCGACTCGAGGTTGATTGCTTCGGCTTTTTTCAGCTGGCTCTTTTTTAGTTTGGTTTAGGTATAGCCCCTTTTCTATACACGTCAGCATAGAGGTCTGGCCCTGGTCATCGGGGTCACCCGAGACTGGTCCGAAAGTCTTGGTACAATGCTTGTGCATTATAACTTTATCCGGTTGGATCATGAGTTGAGGGTGGAAGGCTTCGGGTTTGCTTTCTTATTGGGGAAAAGTTGAATCGTGGTAGATAGCCCCACACCGCATGTAGCCTCACGTCTGGTCTTTGCTTCCACTGTCACATCATCACGCACACTAGTTTCTCGCTACAAAAGAAGAGTGATGCATTTCAAATCAGCTCATATTCTTACAATGTACTAAAGTACAGGATGCCGCCGAATCAACAAGATAGGGCCGCAGTATGAAAAGTGTGCTTAACAAATTTCACCAAAATTATCACCATCGCCATAACGACGACGACCTCAAATCGTCAGGAAGATTGATCTCTAAAACGCTGGTTTCAAATAATGTTCGTCTTTTTGAGCTTTCTCTAAAAACCATCACTAGATGCATTGCAATCGCATACCTCTTTCGATACCAAGCAATCGAGGGCCAATCTCGGTTCTTTATCGCTAGTACGTTTACGATTGAAAGGAGCGGCCAGCCTATATCCCTGAGTTTTCCTAGCGATCGAACATCTACTTGATCGTATAAGCCGCTAGTACTATCTCTGATTGGTTAGATCCACTTCGGGTATGGCACCACTAAGTTCGCCAGCCAACACGCCAAAACTCAATTTTTCCATAGCTTGTTTGGCCCACAACGCCGGAATAATTCATGAGAGCGAGTACCTGGAATTTTTTTCCCCATCTGCATTCCCTATAATAAGAAAAACGTTCAAGTACGCCTTGCACTTCGAGCACAGAATATGAAAAACTGGGGGAATGGGTCCTTGCAAACCCGCCTGATTGTGGATCTCCTAAATTTAGCTTAAGCGATTTTTAGCTCTCGATCTCCAGCATACATGTGGGATAGGCTACATGTACAATTTCATCAATCCTGCCCCATGGAGGTTGGTGAAATCACGGTCATTGCTTTTTCATTAGATCAATGAGGAATCGTTCTTCTTTGGTAGGCTCGGGACATATTTATTCATCGTCGGCCTGTAAGGTGGAGGGTTAGATGAGCTCTAATCACTCCACTACCTATTGTTCCAAGCACCTGAGTTCTGGAGTTGAGCATATCAACAGCTCGGCTAATTCCAAAGCTTGAGCTGGAAAGACTCTATCTCAATTTGTGAATGAAATCTTGGAACTGATTTAATTCAAGTGAACGCAGAGACATATATCGTGAGCGGTAGTAATGGGGACCAAGTATGGGACCTAGAAATATAAACATCTGGCCTAACAATGAATTTTGATCGCCCCAACCTTGAATTATGGTGGTAGCCTGAAAACTATTCAAAGTTTGATTCATGAACTCTCCTTACAATTTCCAAGGTTGGATCTTGCCGTTGTCTTCTCAATAACCTTCGAAGTCGATTTGCGCGTATGTATGAGCACCACCCTGACTCGTCGAGGTCACAGATCATTCCAAGGCTAGCATATAATTTAATTGTTGGATATGACGGGACAAACATTGTTTAAAATAATGGTCCAAATTTAGATATAAATATTAACAGCCCTGGAGAGATATACCTGCAATCACCCGTAGATGGTCCTCTCCATCCCGAACGATGATATCTCGAGGTCGATTTAATAAGTGACAAGTAACAACCACGGAAGTCCATTGCCTCCTTTCTCTTCCCAGCTCTCCAAGACTCCCTCCCGCGGTCGTTTTTTTTTTTTTTTTTTTTATAAGCACTGCCTAGATATTGGATCTGGCAGGTACTGTTAGAAACACCTCGATGGAGAGACTGACCGACAGGCCTAGTGTGGTTGGGCCTGCGCTGAAAAATGAAACCTACCGAAGTAAGTAGAAGATTTAACATCCACATGTGCACCTAGGCGGCATAGAATCTTCAAATAAGTCCCAGCTGGTAGAGGAGATATGTTAACTAGTGGGGCTAATGACCTAGGTACTGTCCGAGGCTTGTTCGAGTTTACAACTACTATTACGCATGGTCGTTCTCAAGGGGCCAAGAGGACGGGTGGCATGAGAGCAGTCTCGCGAGAGGTAGAAAAAGCATGTAGAAGGAAGAATCTGTCATTGTGTTTTGAGCACAAGTCACAGTATACTGCAATATTCCCTGGTGCCTCTGTTCCTCGCAGATGTCTGATCTCCTACCACCCCATGAGTAATGCAGTATCAAGCCTTCTAGATACCACACACCGAGCCCTGAGATTACCGAAATTGGCAAAGAATCCTGGCCCACTGAACAGACTGCTGTGTGAGAAACAAAATCCAGGTAGAAGATGGAAGAAAAAAGAATATTTTTCATTTGGCATTCATCGCAATGCGCCTGGTTTCAGAAACGTTGATCCAGAAAAATGGTAGATTGGGGCCCTTTTTTATGTAGAGTCCTTCAATATCAACACACCCGCGCCGTTATACCACCATTGCAATATGAACCTAGACCCTCCCTCATACGTAAGAGATATCCCTTAAGCCTTGTTCTGGACGGCCTCACGACCCTTGGCGATGCGCGCAAGGAGGGCCTCACGGTCCTTGTCGATGTGCAGGTTGGTGATGACCAGGTTGGAGGCGGACAGACCGATGGGGACGGACTGGCCGTTGGTCTTCTCGCGGACGACACGCTCAACGTGAACGACGTACTTCAGACGGTAGACGGAGGTGATGCGGCCCTCACGGCCCTTCTGGGAACCACGGGCAATGGTGACGGTGTCGTTAACGCGGAGGGGAACAGCGCGGACCTGTAGAGTAGAACCCTGTTAGAATTTGATGTTTTTCGAGAAGATCCCTTCAATTTCAAGCTGGGCCTTTAAATGTCGAATTTGTGCATTTTTTCGAAGCCCTCCAACTCGGCCAGATCAAATTCAATTCGGCGGGTGAACGTACGTTGTACTTCTTTCTCAACTCAGCGGAGAGAGGAGCGGACATGCGAACGCGGCGCTCGCTGGAGGGGGCAGAGAAGTGAGCCTTGCGAGACTTGCTCCGCGAAGAGGCGAGACCTGTATTCATTTCGTTAGAATTGGGGATGGCGAGGATCGAATTGCGATGGCGAGAATGTACGCACCCTGGTTGCGAACAGTCATCTTGATGGTCGTGAATGGGCTCAAGGGAACGGGTTGTCGTTGGTCGTCGGAGAAGAAAGACTCTTTTAGGAGCGTGAATATTGGAGGTGGATGTGGGTTGTGCGTCACATGATTTTCCGCTTGGGTTAGCCCTCGAGCCCTGGTTTCTCACGTGCCATTGGCTGACATGAAAGACCCACTTCGCCCACTGTCCACTTACCTAATCACACCAGACACAAATTCGTTATCGATAAGAATCCATGTCTTATCGAGATTCTGGGCTTATCAGCAAGAATATTGACTACTGATCTGTGTTTCTTGTGTGCATCTAGTTAATTGATGTGGTTATTGCACTAAGAGTCAAATGTGTCCAAGGAACAATTTTATATTTGTTTTGTATTTTTATTAATTACTTCTTATTCTTCAAGTTGCTCAGTTTATTTTGGAGTTCACGACATCAAGTATCAAAAATGGAGTGAAAGAGAAAATTTTGCTTGGTAGAACGATTCTATGCTACAGTACAACATGGTATGAAAATTTCGAGATCTCGATGTTAGATGGTCAAAGTAGAAACAGGTAATATAAATCACTCAAAATCCCAGGGCATAGCCCGGCAGGTCAGAGATCAGATGAAGAAAGAAAGTTGGATAAATCGTAATGTGACATGGAAAAAAACAAACTCCTGCATGGCAATGGCATGTAGAGATATTAAGATCTTACATAGAAGACCAAGTGGTATCTTACATCAGGAAAGCGGACAGGAGGACGGCAAAGGCCACTCCGAAGAAATTAACCATGTCCGAGCGAGATCCAGCGGCGTTGTATGCCGGGGCAGCACCTTGGGATATGGCACTGGCGGTTGCCGAGCTGCCGGAGACAACGCTCGTGGTAGCAGGGTGGAAAACAAACGACGGAGTCTGGCTGGAGGTGCGAAGAGCGGCAACTCCAGTGACCAGAGCAGTGGAAGCCGGGTGACCGGAGATCACACCGACGGACCCACTAGCGGGGGGCTGAGGCACGCCACTAGGGCTAGATCCCTCACCTTGTCCGGCCGGGGCACCTGTAGCCCATGTCAAGGTGACTGTCTCAACGGAAGTAGCGACAGTGTACGCTCCACTAGGGCTAGATCCCTCGCCCTGTCCAGCACCCTGGCCAGCAGATGCACCTGAGCCCCATGTGGAAGTAGCTGTCTCGACAGCAGCCGGGGCAGTGTATGGCACAGTCACAACGACAGAGGAGCCAGTCTCGCCGCATGTATCACAGAAAGAGACAGTGGTGGTCCAGGTCTCGGTCCATACCTCCGTCACGGGCACGATGGCAGTCTCGGTGGTGGCCGCGGCGGTTGTCGTGGGGTTCGGCAGAGTCAGAGTCACAGTCGTGGGAGTAGCAGCACAGTGGGTGCAGACAGTCACAGTAGTGTGCCAGCCCTCAGGAACGGTGGCAGTAGTGGTGACAGCCCCCGATGGAGGGTTGGTGGCGGTAGCAGTGGCTGCGGTCTCAGGGCAATAATATGTGGTAATCGTGGTGGTGATGGTGGTGAAACCAGTAGGGCAGATATCCGTGTACGAGGTGACAATAACAGTTGTGATTGTCTCCGGGGACGAAGTGGGAGCCGGGGTCACTGAAGGAGAGGCAGTGATGGTAGCTGTCTTCGTAGAACCTTCACCTCCGCTTGGGTGCGACAGATGAGTTCCGCTAACGGTAGAAGTAGATCCAGCAGCGCCGGTACCGACCGATTCACCAGAAGTGAGGGTTGCACTCCAGGTAGATCCAGTAGAGGAGGCCGTCGAAGCATCAAAGGTGGATGTGGTAGCATCAGAAGAGGGACCAGAGCCACCCGAGCCACCAGTGCTGGTTGTGGCAGCACCAGAAGAGGCACCAGAATCACCAGTGCTAGAGGTAGAAACACCCGCGGCACCCGATGCACCAGAGCTGGAGGCAGCAACGCCAGAAGAGGCAGCTGAAGAACCAGCACTGGATGTAGTCGCACCAGACGGGACACCCGAAGCACCAGTGCTAGTAGCCGCAACGCCAGAAGAAGCAGTTGAAGCACCAACGCTGGACGCAACAACACCAGAGCTAGAGGAAGCAACTGATGAAGAGGCCTCCAGGCTCGAGCTAGAAACACCCGCGGATGTCGACTGCTTAGTGGGAACGACTGGAGTACGCGAGGGAACAGGAGAACGGATGGGCTTCGAGGTAGAAGCCACGCTCGGCTCCGACGAGGGGCCCACGGGTGCAACGGTCGAAGAAGATAGAGAGGGGCTTCCAGAACCTGAGGGCTTCACGGACGAGCTCGCGTGACCAGACTGAGAAAGAGAGCCAGATGGTCCGACGGACGGGGAAGAAGCTGGAACCGAAGTGTGAGCTGCCACGGGAGAACTAGATTGAGAGCCTGACTGGGTCGATTGAGCCGGGGCAGTCGAGCTAGAAATTGGCTTGCTGGAGCGGGTCACAGAGCCGGAAGGAGTAGCTGAGCTCGAAGGAGTAGCAACACTGGAGGGAACCACAGAGCCGGAGGGGGTAGCGATGCTGGAGGGAGTAGCGATGCTGGAGGGAGTAGCGATGCTGGAGGGAGTAGCAACGCTGGAGGGAACCACAGAGCCGGAGGGGGTCACAGAGCTAGAGGGAGTCACAGCGCTGGAGGGAGTAGCAGAGCTCGAAGGAGTAGCAACACTGGAGGGAGTCACAGAGCTGGAGGGAGTCACAGAGCTGGAGGGAGTCACAGAGCTGGAGGGAGTCACAGAGCTGGAGGGAGTCACAGAGCTGGAGGGAGTCACAGAGCTGGAGGGGGTAGCAACACTGGAGGGAGTCACAGCGCTGGAGGGAGTCACAGAGCTGGAGGGGGTAGCAACACTGGAGGGAGTCACAGAGCTGGAGGCGGTAGCAATGCTGGAAGGAGTAGCAGAGCTAGAGGGAGTCACAGCGCTGGAGGGAGTAGCAGAGCTCGAAGGAGTGGCAACACTGGAGGGAGTCACAGAGCTGGAGGCGGTAGCAATGCTAGATGGGGTCACCGAGGTAGGCAACGCGGTCGGTGTCACAATGGGGGTAACAGTGGGCGTTGGTGTAGGAGTTGGTGTAGGAAGAGGAGCATAGTAGTATAGAACCTCCTTCATCTGCTCCATGTAGGTCAATCCCTGAGCATCAACATTATTTTCGGCGGCGGTAGCCTCCCACAACATGATACCACCGAAGGTATCAGGATACAGGATCATGTACCTTCCAACCAATTCGGTGACTTGATCCTCCGTCAGGTAGTAAGCGCTGGTAGGGTCTGCAGGCAGTCCAATATATAGCTTGGCAGAAGGATTGGCACTGGCTAGAACAACAGCCACCCATGCATCGAAGTTGAAACCGCCTACGAGATTGAAGTAGGACACAGCAGAGCAGGATGGGGTGTTGTAGAACTGAACCCAAATGAAATCGAAGGCGGCATGGTCGATCGCATAGCCGAGCTGCGCATCGGGGATTTCACACTGAGGCGCACCTGAAATGTAATAGTTCTCCTCGGGGTAGTTGGCATAATGCTCGCGGAAGCGGGTGATCATGGAACCATATCCTATGGTTGTTAGTTTAGGGCCGTGATGGCTGCAATGGGATCATCCGAACATACCGTGACCGCCATCAGACTCGACATCGAAATCGAATCCATCGACAGTATTATTTTCGAACGGACGGGGAAACCCTCTGCGACAGCAGAGGCATTATAAGGACCGAACGAGTACCACAGGAAATCCGCGAACCACAAGGCAGTCTCATGGTCTAGGACACCAGTGGTGGCACCCTCTCCACCAAGAGAAAGTAGAACAGTCTTTCCCATAGCCTTACAGGTGGGAATATCTTCCCAGATCTGGTGGCATCCTTCAAGAAGTTCTGTACCTGGGTAGACTGTTCCATCACATTGATTACCGAAGTTGGAGCCGGGCCAATCTCCAACGGCCTGGGGGAAGACATTGATGAAGCCCAGGATGATGATATCCAACGTAGACTCCTGGCAGAAATGGCTCAGACGATCCTGATTAGAACCTTGACCCTGTATCAAGAGTATTAGAGTATGATCAAGAAGCTTAAGACAAAGTGGCGTACCCAGTAGACCGCGACGTTGGACTTGAGCTCCACATCCAAGGCAAAAGCAGCCGACACAAAAGTGGACAGCGCCGCCGATGCAGCGGCGAGAACCTTCATACCAACCATTTTGAAAACTGAATGTAGAATAATTAGGCTTAAAGAAGCAGCCTGGTGTTAAATGAATGGGAATGGCTATTTGCCAATGTTCAACGAACGAAAGGACGCAGACAAACGTCTGCTCGGGCTAGTCACTCAAGGAAAGGGAGTGGGAAAGAAAATTGAGAGCCTGGATAGATGGAAACAGGAGACCTAGCATTAAAAGGAACATCTCTCTCACTTGCCAGGCAGCATTACGGGGTACCTGGTACGGAACCACCGAGCCCAGTGTAATTTGCACTAGCTGACTGGTTTCGGCTAATGAATGTACGTATGGAGTCATGCCTGGCCACTGGTGTATTCAAGGTTCCTGGTTTTGTTCTTTAGTTCTACTTGGGCTCCACATGTCATGCTTGGCATATTAAAAGACTGAAATATTTGCTTTCTGGAGCCTTGTAGCCTGGGAGTCCTCATGCCTCATAGTCCTCCACATGAAAAAACTCCCATGACAGCGGATACCAGCTTCTTTTTGTGTAAAACAACATGGGATTACAGGTCACGGACGAACAGAATAGTTTGGACAAAACAGCCGAACAAACCACAAACCACACACGGGCATGACATTCAGAGCCGCATAGGATTCGCTGCCAAGAGACCCTCGCTCAGGGTCCGGGCACCCATACCCAATCCAGATGGAGGGGGGAGATAACCGATGCTTTTTCAACCAATCATAATCTCCTAAAACCCCCACTACAAGGATCTAGTTACTAGCGTAAACAATTGCCTCCAGATTCCCAGTTCCTGGACCCTTCTTCCGTCACCAAAGTCCTGGATTTTACTAGGATGTACGTTATACCTCGGAAGGATTTTTTTTTTTTCCCTTCAGGAAATTCTAGCGGCTAAGATTAAAACAGAAAACAAAGAAATAATGAAGCTAGTGGGAAATTAAATGGCATAGAAGCATGCAAGCGAAGGTACGCTATACTTAGTGCGGGCGCTAGTCTGCCAGGGACACCAATCACTGTCAATCGTCGAAACAAAGGATTTCAACCGGTACGACCGGCACCAACCGGATCATCGCACCGTTTGCCATCGCTTAGACAAGTTCGTTTTTAGCCCCAAATCCCCAATTTCCTGGTCCCGTAGATTACCACCGAACACTACTACCCTAATCTTGTGGCTAACTTGCCCTTCACCGAGCTGATCTGTTTATTTATTTATCTCCGAGGGTGCAGCTCGAATGATTTCACTGTTCCTTGGTAGAAAAATAACAATAAGCCTCGACCTTGCCCCTCAGGTTCCAAGGTTCTGACTTCACTCGCTCTTCTTTCCTAAAACAGTATGGCATAGGTGGATGGAGGCAAACTCGGAGAGAACGGACCCCTACCGATCCAGTCTCCACGTGAATCTGCCGATAAGGCTCCTACGAGAACCTGTCCTATGACCTGTGCCCAGCTCTGAGTTTCCTAAAATGGGAAAGTGCACTTAGTTTACCCCCGAGCCACGGAGCTTGGTCAATAGTCTAGACTAAAGGACCCTCCCGATGCCCACCGGGCCGCTCCTGCCATCGTTTCTGCGCCAATGGCCCAATTCAGAAAATCGTGTTTTTCCGTTAAATAGAGCTTGTGTGCATAGTCAATTTCTTTTGTCCGAATTATGCCAGACTCCGTTAAAAAAAAATCTTGTACTGTGGAACCAGGGTCCGTCTTCGGGGCCGACAAATCTAGTCACAAAAAAGCAAAAATAAAATAAAAAACCCCCTCGATTATTACCCTGGAATTTTTGCTCCGTACTTGCAGCTAAGATGACGAGAACCTTGGAATGCCAACGTGGCTTAATGCTAGCCACGTTCTTGATACGAATAAACCCCATCGGATACCAGTTTCTATAACAATTTTTCTTATTTTTCTCATGGGAGCAACCTAACATCTTTCGAATAAAACTAATTGATGGGTTCATCTTATGAGACAGTAGTCAATAGTTTGAAGCCCAATATCAAATTAAACCCTGACTCAGGTGCCGATGCTCAGGGTTCAGGAGGGATCGGAATTACTTTCGCCGACATTCAGGGATGAGACCCTTTTTTAGATGCAGGTCAAAAATCCGCAGTCTAAAGCCACAGCCCAACTACAAGAAATAGGCGAATCAAACTCTCAGAATGCTAGGCCTGAAGGCGCCTCATTCTCCGAGGTCGCCCCACAAGTGAGGGGAGTTCATCTCCACCTCCAGTACCTCTCTCTCAACGGGAGAAAAACAACAGCGGCACCAAGCGACTGAAAAACAGCCTCAACGCCACCAACTCAGGCACCAAAATGACTGAACCAGTAGAGACCCTAAGCACGGGCTCAGCCTTCTATGTCCCCCCAAAGGGCCGCATGGTCCTCGGCGAAGGCGTCATCTATCGAGCTAGCGATTCCACCCTGCACTGGTTTGATTGTCTCTCTTCCCCAGCCGAACTATACATTCTCCCAGTCGATCCCGAGACAGGATCTGCCACTGGGCCGGCCCGTATCCTTCCACTCTCAGACAGTGTGACCGTTGCTGCGTTTCGTCAGAATAAATCGCGCAGCTACATCGCGGCCTATTACCAAGGCGTATGCTTTTTAGATGAGGAGACCGGGAAATTAGAGGTGGCTTGTGAGATTATCCCGTCCTCAGAGCGGAGTCAATGCCGGTTCAATGATGGCGGTGTCGATGCAGCTGGACGGTTCTGGTTAGCGGAGAATGATCTTACAGCCACTGCTTTCCCCCCTGGAAAACTACCTGCCGATTATGGGGTTCCCAAGGGGCGTCTGTGGAGATATGACCCCGATGGAAGCTTGCACATGATGCTGCCTGGGGGACTTATCTGTGGAAATGGCGTTAAATGGAGTCCGGATAATCGGACGAGTAAGTGGCCCGCTTCACTGCTCTTTCTGGTTGTAAGATAGCGTGGCAGTGGGCTTACTAGTGCAGTGTACCTGAATGACTCCGTCGGGATGAAAATCACGGCGCTTGACTTTGATCTTGGCACGGGGAGTATTTCAAACCCGCGAACCCTTATTGACTTTCAAGGGGCGGGCGGGGAACCGGATGGAATGGTTCTAGAGTGCGTTCTTCCATTACAAACCATTTTGAACAAGCCTTGTTAACTCGGGTGGCAGTGCGGACGGTAATTTGTGGGTGGCAGTCTATGGAACCAGTCATATCATGGTCTTCACGCCACAGGGCAAGCTCTTGAAACAAATAGCACTGCCAGCGATGTATCCAACCTGTCCAACATGGGGAGGCAAGAGCCAGGACATCCTATACATCACTACTGCTAAAGACCGCACAGATACTCCAGATCCAAATGATGAGGGTGGGTATATGTATATGGCTTGCATCGATAAGGTGAAAGGTCAGGTCAAGCATGAGTTTCGAGGTTGATCCAACGCATGCTTGTTGTATAAATGCGGGAAGCTTCGTACTTGACAAATAGTCTTCCGCCAACATTGAATGAACGTGCAAGTGGAATGATTCGGGAGTAAAATAGGTTCATTAGGAGTTTGAAACAACCCCATTTCTCAATGTCCAAGGTTGCAATTTGCCTGAATAACTCGCTAAAGTACATCCATGGATGGAAGGTGTGTTGCAAAGCTCATTTGCATCCACAGGATATCAATCCACTACCCTTGTTTCTCTTACTACACCCTATATTGAGCTAGAGTTGAAATCAATTTGATCATTGGACTGAGCGGGTCTTGAAATAACATTAGATGCATGTAGGGGAAAAAACAGTTTTGGAGACGGACCCGTACATGCGCCTTCGTGGTGATATTTGTGCAATTTCCCACTTTGGAAGGAGAGATATATATTACTAACATTCTCGATAAATTTTAACACCTCAAAGCAAGGTTGTCATTCTAATTCATTTTATTATCTCTGGCTGGTCTAATAAAACTAGCGTTGAAGTAAAACATAAGTTGACGCGATGAAAGAATAGTTGGCATACCACATCAGAGACAGTAGGTGAGTTTATGTGCGGGCCGAAGTGGTCAAGTATGAGGCTCCTGGATGCTTTATCTCCCTCGCGGTCGACAGGAGCACCCCTCCGTTCACGTGGTTAGATTTTCTAAAATCGCGGCGATAGATAACATTGAAAAGATTATGATAGATGGGTTGTGAAATATTAATGATCGCAAAATTTGAATGTTGTTGGCGTTGTAGTAAAAAGGAGCAAATTGATGTAGTTGATCCGCACGTCATCGAGGGATGGGTGTGCTCCCTACCACGTACACAACGCCAATTACACGGCCCTTCACTCCCTCGATGAGCAACACCGCCTAAACTTAATGGGAAATTTGACAGTTCTCACAGGAATCTGGGAAGACTCGGAGATTTTAACAGGGGGCTTAACCAGAACTGACGTCGAATACTCTCGATCTGCAGGGATGGAGTCATTAAGCGTGTCCTCCAGAACCACCCTGCCACTGGATTGGGCAACAGGAGGGCCTCCTACTCAAACATTCCAGTCGATCCGCAGATTGATTACTTGTTCCAAATGAAATGAAGACTATGGTCGCGGTTGGGATTCTTTCCATGCCGGCCCCTCGGGAGGCACATTCCACCCCTCCACAGTCTTTTCGCGTCGACGCGCCATGGGGCCTATGCCAATCCATTTAATTCCCTTTTAGTCCTGCAATACTTCTTTGGTCTCTCCACCTGCCACTCACCGTTAATGAACTGCTAAACTAGCCGCGCCTGGATTGCACGGCTATCCGACGTGTTTCTACTTCGCGCCTCTTTACTCTCGGATACGACTCTTCGATCCATCGGATCTGGTATTTGATCGTCCAGGCGACATTGGAAAGGCTGCAGAGCAGCTTGGGTATCCTCACGATGGCATCTGGATTCTCGCCGGCACCGCGCAAAGAGGGCACTTGGACTAAATTGGTTATATTTGCGGCCATATACTGTTTGATTCTCGAGTCAATTCTTCAGATGGTTTTGGTGCTTTACCTCTACGGCAATGCAACGGTCGATTCAAAGATGACTACCAGTCTGATCTTGGCTCTGGTGTCGGTATGTTCGATAAATCTATCTTTATACCCGCCGATTACTGATTGAACTGCAGTCGATTCTTTCGATCCCATTGATCTCGCTCCAGAGCCTTGTCGCCTGGCAATACAACAACATTGGAGGATTTGGAGAACAGAAAACAGTATTGCATAATGTCTGCACCTACGTGTTGAGACTGGATCTTATGATGTGGCTCGCAGCCAGTGTCTCCGGTCTGGTGGTTGCCGTCCAACAAGTGTACTGTCTACCTGAAGGGACACACGCCACATTCTGGCGAGTAGGTGCCAGCTGTGCATTCCACCGAGCTACCGTGATAGTGTCTGTTGTGTCACTGTAAGTCAACCAGATCTAGCTTCCAGGGGGGTTTGGACTAACAAGAACGTTGCAGAGTCACTGTATGCACTATGTATTGCGCAAGAGAACTATGCGATCGACCATACGACGTTTCCATTATTGGAATCTATAGACGCCAACTGACAGTGAAGAATGGCAGCATTCTCTCTGGCAACAGCTGGGATAGTGACGAGACCCTCAGAAATGAGATTCTGAATCTTTGTCGCCAACACGATGGAAAAGCCGGTGGAGAGCCATGGTCTGTGGATCCCTTGGCCAACAAAGTCAGATGTCATCCTAGTATTCGACACCCAGCCCCTGTCCGTCTGCGGCCACAGCTCCGAGTCAACACTGACCCTGGCTCAGAATATGGTGATATCACTACAGCTACAACTATATCGCCAGATGATACCTTGCGTACCTCTCCAGGGGCACTATCATTGTCTAGTGATTTCTTCCCTATCTCGCGAACGTCGACTGTCATGACATCCCAGACTACTGGCGAATCACGAAATCTTCTCTCAGACTTTCCTGTGCCCAAAGTGCCGACTATCCCAAAGCAATTCACAAACCACAAAAGGGGAAAGTCGTCTCTATCTTCCTTGAAGCGCTTCTTCCCCAAGACCTTCGGAATTTCAGTTCCCTTGTCCTCAGACCCCCAGATCCGTGCATTGGCAGATCCAAACGCCGCATCAGATGTCGAGAAACAAGTGGTGACACCGTCAACCAGAAGTGATCCTCCTGAAGTGGCTCCTTCCAGTGACGCCGCACACTCGACAAACGACATTAGCAAATCACCAACCACAAAACCAGAAGGCCACACGCGCACAATGACAATGAACTCTGCCGACGCCCCAGAAGTAGTAGTTCAAAAGCCCGAGCCTAAAGTCCGTCGCTCCCAAACAGCAACAGCAGGCTTCGCACCACACCAAATCTCCATTCACCACCCCCACCACCCAAACTACACTCCAGGCCCACCAATGCCATCCCAAACCAACACCCGGAAATACTCCCAATCCTGCAGACAAAACTCCGCCATGCACCCCCTTCATGTCGAACCCGTCAGACGCAGCAGCTCTCGCCAGACCAACGGCATGCCCCATCCCCATCCCGTCCGCAGCACCACCTACCAATTCGATCAGCCCATTCCCCGCCACACTCAAAGCCAGTACCATCCACAGTTCATTGCACCACCAGCTCGCTGGGCTAGTCTGCACACATTTGATCCCAACCGAGTGATGGCCGTTCCGCGCAGGAATGACGTCGAAGTTATTTACCCCAGTACTCGCCGGCCGCGAAGCAATACACATGGAGGAGCGAGTGGGCCACTGAGCTGTATCCTTGAGTCGAGCTCTACGCCGCGTGCTTCGGCTGATGATATGCGGATGGCTGCTGCGAAATCTGAGCAGACACGCAATGTCATTGATGGAATGACCTACCGGGGTGCTAATCGGACTAGTTTGAGTTTCTATTAGATTGAGCTGAGGCTTGATTACTGTTGTCTGCTGGCCAGATTTTTATACTGCTTTCTTCTCGTTGGATTGAACCGTCTGGTTATATTGGGATATTGTATGATGGGCTGGAATGGTGGTCCTTTGATTTAATAGCGTGCTTGTGACCTTTGTACTTGATATTGATGCTCAGATACCATATACCAGACACGCTTTAGTAATAAAAACAATTTGATTTGGAAACACTGTCAATTTCATAAGCTTGACTCATAAAGGCAATAAATGGCCACTCTCAATGTCGCAGACATGATCGAACAAGCGGAACGGGAGATTGAAGCAGAAGAAGGGCATCGTGTAGTCAACTTCGATCATCACTTTTGTTCAGTCTGGCATTCCACCAACAACACTTGAGACTTGAGTGGATTCAGACTGAAATTGCATCCGAGATCAATTCCAGAAGTTCTTCTAGGCTTTTTCTAATTTCATGTCGTTGTTCGGGGTCCTCCCGCTTTGAGATGCCTAGGGCTGGTTTACCTCAGCAAAGTTCAAAAAGCCAAATAATGCAGCCATTTCAGACTGCATGATTATACACAAAATCCTGCTCAAACAAAAGCAAACCATGTGGTATCATCTCCCTCCAAATCACTATATTATAATCATCTAGTAAGATAATTCAATGTCTATTTTAACAGCTCGAAATATGCTACAAACGCATCAAAATGAAAAGAAACAGCAGGCACAGGCTCACAACGCTAAACTAAAGATCAAGCATCAGCTGGTTCGCCTGATCTTCAGGCAAACCTTGTGATGATTCTAACATAAGCCGATCTCTCAAAGCAAATGCCTCCTTCTCTCTCCTCAATTTATTAAGTTCGTTAGAGACATCTCTCGGCAAAAACAAAGCACTTGGCTGCTCCAGCTTGAGAAAAGTCACAATATCTTTCGTCTTGACACCAATAGCATCCAAATGTTTAACATGTCTCCGCTGTTCAGGCGTAAGCCGACGAGCAGCCGGATGAGCAGCCATATCCTCATCAGCAGGATGATTATGAAATGCATGCTTGATCTGCAACTCCCATGTATCAGTATCCTTCGCCTGTTTTGCATAAAGCTTAAAAGGACAGCCGCATTTTCTGGAGGCTTTGAGCCGCCTTCGGATACAGGGAGAGTCAGGGCCCATGGCCCTCTGTAAACCTCCTCGATCACAACCGATGTAGAGGCGTGTTTGTAGTTGGGTGGATTTTTGAATGGCTATCGCATAGCCTTTGGAAAAAGCGTGTTTGCGGATGTGGTCAAGCATCTTTTCTTTACCCAAGAAAATTCCCTCAGCTGGTGGCTCGAGACGATGCTCCTGCGGTATATCTTCTAGCTGAGCTAAGGCGGCTTGATCCTTTGTATTTGAGGTTTGTTCAGCCGGGGTCTGAGGAATATAAACACGAGAATTAAATGAATTTTGTGTGAAAGGCTCCATTTTTCAATATAATTCCTGGAAACACGGTTTGAATTAGACCCCACCTGGGTTTGGAGAAGGAATCAATAGTACTGGTGAAAAGAAAAGTGACTGTTGTTTGCCATGGGGTTTCAAACCACGTGACTGACGAGAGATATCCCAGCCTCAGGAGCGTTCAAAAGACCACGTGACTGATTCAACAACTATCGGATTCCAGTCAACCGAACATTTCGGGCATCAGATATAACCAAAACATTATTTCAGACGAGAATATACGGCAGTTGCTCTCTATTTAATCCAAAATGAGGTTTGATTTAGAGAACAAGAGAAAAATATGAGTAATAAAGATTCATTGTACATTCCAAACCCATACTCCTTTACTCCGAAACCAATAATTTAAACCCCAGAATGCAATTGCTAATACAGAATCAAGACGGATCAAAGCCATGATGTGACCCGAAATACCAAAGGTTAGAATTATGCCTTCCTCTCCCCACTCTTGGACCGGCTCTTCGTGTACTTGTACCGATACGCTTGACCCTGCTTCGTCTCCTTATCTCCTTCACGACGACGATTTTCCTTCCCTTCAGCAAGAACACCAGGGCCAGGACCCATCTCTTTCTCACCCCAGTACATCATCAATGCTTTAGCCATACGATCGCGCTCCTTGAGAAGGAGGTCTACGCGACGCTCCCACTCCCGTTCTCGCTTGTCAACAGACATGGCAATGCGTTGGTCAATTGCAACGGCAGTTTCATCCTTAGCCGCAATGACGGCTTCCAGACGCCTGACTTCTGATTTGAAAGACTTGCGCAGTTGAGATTCTTGTGTGGATACTGAGGTGCGCAAGGTAGTGAGATCGACACGAAGATTAGCCTCGCGTTCTTCAGCGGCCGTAAGAAGGTCGCGGATCTTGCGCATGGACTCGGCGTGTGATGAGCGGAGGGTTGATACAGCGGTAGAGTGCGCTGTTTGAAGGCTTTTGATCTGCGCTTGGTGGGCCTCTTCCATGGCAGCCGTGTTCGGAACGCTTTGTTGCTCGTTGATAGCAGGTTTTGGCGGCGATGAAGGTGGGTTAGGAGGCTGACGACTTGCCTCCTCTTGTAGACGGGCGATGGTTTCGAGGCATTCGGCGTGCTCTTCTTGTGTCCGTGTTAGGTCGTGTTGGGTCTTGTTGAGGGTCGTAGTCAGCTCTTCCACGCGGGTGGCAAGGCGGAGGTTCTCAGATTCGATGGTTTTGATGAGAGCTTGCGTTTCCATTGCTTGTTCTCGGAGGCGGTTGGCTTCAACTTCTGCGGCCTTCTGAGCCGCTGTAGCGTCCTGAAGCTCTTGCTGGAACCTGGCGATTTCGTCGCCCATATTGTGCACATTCGTATTCACTGGGAATTTACCTTGCACAGGAGATGCAAGGTCCAGTTCAGGCTCCGGAGGACCAAGGTCCTTGATCAGGTCCAGGATCTCACTATAAGTACTGCGACTGCTCATGGGCAGATCTGCAGCCACAGCTTTCAAAGCAGTCTCTTGTGCTTCCACCTGGGACTGGACGCGAGAGAGATCGGCCTCAAGAGATTGATTCCTCTCTTCTAGGGGCTGGTTCTTGATTTCGAGGTTGGTTAGGCGATCCTCAAGGGCTTCATAATCGGCATTCACGCGATCTAGCTCGGTTTCCAATTTCTCATTCTCAAGAGCCTGGTCGTCAAGATCCGCCTTGAAGCGATCGATCTCAGCGTTCTTCTCACGAAGCAGTACTTCCTTGGCGAGGGTAACATCCCTCAATTTTGCAAGAGTCTCATCCAAGGTCGCGTCGCGTTGCTTCACTTGCTCTTGGGTGAGACTGAGTTGCTGTCGTAGATGGGCGATTGTCTCCAGTCGCTCCGTATCCAAGGAACTCTGCGAATCCTTGTTCTGGAGTTGTTTTTGCATATCACGAATGTCCTGTTGAATTGAGCCAAAGTCCGGAGGTTGCGGAATTGCTTGCTGAAGCTTTTCATGCTCAGCGGCCTGCTTTTGTAATGACAGAACCCGTTCACGAAGCAATGCCGATTCGGCTTCTTTGGCCCCCAACTCCTCGATCTGATCATTCTTGTGTTGGAGCTCTACCTGCAAATGCCGAATTTGCTCGCCAGCCGAGGCCGCTTCCAACAAATGGTCGCGATTCTGAAGAAGCTGGTCATCTCTGTCCTGTGCCTCTTCTTCAAGTTGTGCGATGCGTTCTTGCAAGCGCTCTTCTCGTTCTAGCGCCTCGTCTCTCGAGGCATCGGACATCTTGCGAGATGATGGGGATCCCGGGCTTGGGAGTCCATCATTAGAGTCTACCTCGTCAATACCATCAAGGTGAGTCGAGTCTTTAGCGAGGGCACTGGTCCTGTGCAACATATGCGACGGAGTGGACATATCCACTGGCGGTCCAAATTCACTGTCTTCCCCTAGCTCCGGCTCTTCTTCGACGACTGGCTGTTTTGATCTCAAAGAAGATCGCAATGCGGATCCGTCTGCGCTGGCCTCGTTGCTACGAGCCTTCCGCGCACTCGACATGCCTTCGCCCATCAAATATTTCTCCATGTTTGCGGTGAAGTCCTCTGGGCCACCCACGTCGGAGAGTCTTTCATCTTCGTCGTTTAGATCAGGGAGCGGCATGTCTTCTCCATCACCGAATTGACCGCTGGGGAATTGGCCGAAGTCCAAAGTGTATTCATTGAGGCGCGCATCTAGATCAGATGCAGTAGGGCTTCGTAAAGTGGAGTGATGTGAGTAATGCCGTAACTCATCCTCATCCTCATTATCTAAGTCGTGCTCGTGATCATCGTTGTGATCGTCATATTCATGTTCCGGCTCGAAGCGCTCAGAGATGGGACTTGGGGGCGATGGGCTGGACTGGTGGCGAGGTGGGGAGGAAGGCATGAAAAGGGGCGTCGCTAATGTGGACTGTCCGATGGTGTCGTGAGACGTTGGAAAAGGCGACGTGTAGCCAGAGTTGGCCATGACGGACGCGTCTCGGTGATTTGCGGCGATCGATGCGGCCGCGCGATCAACAACAGAACTTCAAATCTCAGATTGACGGTGAAGATTGAATCGCATTGCCTGCAAGCAAAGGCCGCGGGAAATTAATCAAGTAAATAACAATAAACAATGCGGGGGAAGCGAAAGATGAGGTTGAAACAACAAAAAAATGCGGGTCGCGACAAAACGATCCTTGACGCCTCAGGCAATCTGTTTACCTCGTGCCGTTTTAGGTTTAAACTCATGCATCAAAAACTATATGCTGCAATTCGATAAAGAACATACTGTCTCTCATGATAATACATATTGCTTCCTACGAATTATGCCTCATTCCTAGGTTTTCCATTCTTCATACCCGGGTGGCACTATGGGTGGTTCATGCGATTTCCATGTACGACATTTGTGAGCGGGACCGTCTCGACCAAATTTCCTAGATGCCTCCTGATACTCTTGGATTGCTTCTAACTTAGCCTGTCCGCCTTTACAGATATCACGCTGCTTTTTATTAATTCATTTCCTGAATGAAGTGCAAATTATATGCCATCATACCTGCTTCTCGGGATCCATACTCTGAAGCCCACCGAAACCTTTTCCTTTTCCACTCTTCTTCACGCGGTCAGGTGCGAGCTCTTCCAGCCTTAGATGAGGTTGATATTTAGCTTTTCCGGTATTAGAATGGTGTATATGCGATGCGGTGGCAATGGCGCGCTGGTTCCTAATTCTGATGGCACTTTGTCGAATTCGGGCGAGCGCATAGCGAGGCAATAGCAATGACATTATTTGGGATGGGAAAAGAGCAGCAGTAAAGTGACCCTTGACTCTGCTGAGTATCTAGATGACTTTAAATTCCGATAGCGTACTCTCTGGTTTATATAGTTCTTGGCCACCCTCGCCACCACCTCTACCAAAATCAGATCCAACACATTTGGGAGCATCCAAACTTTGGCGGCCTCGAGAATTTGGATCTACTTGTAATTTGCTCGGAATTGGCTCCGTGTTATTTTCAATATGATGTCATCCCAATCAGCAACGATGTTAGGCCAGGTTCTACTATAAATGTCTTTGATCAACGATCCGACACATATAAGCAATTTGCGATAGACACCCTTGTGTAGGTAAGAATCTGATGAAGCAATAGTGATCATATGCTACAAGTTAATAAGCCCTGCGACCTCAGTAGATCCCTGTTTGATTTGCCCAGGATTCATTCATAGATTAATCACATAATTGGCAACATTTAGAGCCCTGGAGGTTCATATCAAAATCTTCGTCCCTGGTTCAACATATCTTGCAGCAGGTTATTCAAGCTGCTTGCCATAGCCCCAGGCGCCAAAAGCTGTTTAGCAGCGGCCACCACATCTTTCATACCCATACTGACTGTCATCTCCGCTGCCCACTGCCATGGCTCAGCCTCACCACCAGGCAGTGCATTGTAATACTCCCAACCCATCACACCACCAAAATTGGGGAACTGCTCGACCAAGGCTGCAAGAACAGGACTGATCTTCTCGCGCGACACATAGCCCTGTGACCCATTGCCTGGGTTAGTCAAAAGGCCGTAAACAACCCGGCGCGGAGACCAGCCCTGCGCAACGATCGCCGCGTACATCCGAGGGTCTTCAGCAGGGCCCCATCCATTATAGAACTGCGCATTGTACCAGTCGATTTTAGAAGCCCGCGCCTGCTCGAGCTCTCGGTAGTCAAAGCCAGAGAGATTGCCAGCGCCAAGAAGTGCGGCAGCAACCGGCGCGAGCGTGATAATAAAGTCGTTACCCATATCGGCCTTGAGTCGGTCGATTAAGCGAATCACGCCTCGAAGAGACATGCTCTCTTCCACGTCGAGATCGAGTCCGTTGAGATTGTATCGGCGGAGAATTTCCAGAAGAGGTCCATAGAATAGTTCGAATTGGGCTTGGTCGCCATCAAGTCGTGTGAATGAGCCTGGGGCCGCACCACCCAACATACCCATGACCTGCAAGCCGGCCTCCTGGACCTGGGGCACTTCCGCCCATAAAGGGTCGTACTTGGGGTTGTCAGGTGGGTCATTGTTGAGTGTAATGTGACCCGGTTGATCATTTATGTGAATCGCTGCCAGAATAACATGCGTGACGCCAGTGTTGTTCTCCACAAGTGGCATCATGGGGACATATGGGCCCGCGCCTGGGATCAGGGTTTGATGATATAAGACCACTCGCCGGCGCTCCAGCGACCGGTCTGGGAGGGGTGGCATATTTAGGCAAATGAAGTTGAACTTTAGTTTCCAAATCGGGGACAAGATAACACTACGATTCTTATCCGGCAATCGTTGGATAAGAACCTTGGAAGTGAAAGTCGAGTGAAAGCTCTTTGCAAAATACAGGGCCTGATAAATTTCAATCGGCTCGGAGATAAAGAAGAATCAGGATACGCAGGTAAATGCAGCAACAGGAAAACCAAGCACCATATGATATACTTGCAAGTCCAGGTAGGTGAATGATGCCACACATCAACATCACAGCTCCAGTCCGGCTATATCATGACTAAGCGAGGATTGCCCCCGCGATTGAAATTGATATCACTATTGCCATTACTAGCTACTTCCACCTGACGTTCTGAGCCCGACGTCGGATAACTCCAATGTTATCGATCTCAGAACAGTCTCTTCCATTTCTCTAGCATCTGCTGGGGCACTAGCGAAGTCGCCGTTGGCTAGAAATATACCGATCATTCTCGAAGTGTGGATTGCCTCCTTGACACCCTCGGAAACATCCCCAATTTCCTTGTAGAACTTCTGCCAGAATAAGCGACGAAGCTGGACATGCTGGGAGTGGAAGCGCATCCCTGTTGTTGTCCGTATACCGATAATATTCTCAAGTCCCCAGAGCTGTGATGCAAACGGACCGACTTCAGCATCGCCCCAGTCAACGATGCCGGTCAAATGGCCAGTCTGTAAATCCACGTGAATGTTGTTCTCAAGGAGATCCCAGTGGTTGATCACCATGGGATAGTCATCGGTGAAGAGGGACGATAATTGGCTTTTGAGCTTGTCCAGTAGAGGCGAAAAGCTGACGGGTAGTTTGTTTGTGATGCGTCCAAGGCGGGACAGATAGTCGTTCTGGATTAAGGAGCTGTTGAATGCGAGTATTGAGACTGGACGATTATGCCACGCAGAGGCAAAAAATCTAGATTGTCATCAGCTATGAGCTTCTTTGTCAGAATATCAGGTTGATGAATGTACACGGCAAAGTCTTGTACCGTCTGGCTTAGAAGACCAAAATTCTCGGCACTATGAAGAGCGGTGCGAGCGAGAAGAAACGATTCCCCGGATATATAGTTCATTTTATATACTAGCAGAGGACCTGGTCGCCCCTTAAGATGCTGACAGTCTGGTACTACCCGTCCGTATGTCTCGCGCGCGGTTGTCATAAGGTCGAGGTCGATAGGGGACTTGGGATCGCGGAACTGGACGACAAGACTCTTTTCATCATTCACAATCTGAACAGTATAGCTCTGGGCGCCTTGCATAGATGTCGGCTTGATAGTCCCCCCGCCAGCAATGTTAGCAGCTTCGTTATCGCAGACGTCTTGGGAGATTGGACTGAACTTTTCGAAGAAACGATCGATTTGATATTTTGCTAGAGCATCCATTTTACCGAGCTGATACAAAGAGTGTGCACTTGGAATCTGGTTAATCAAAGCAATAGCTGAAGTTCGAAAGTGAAGTGAATCGAGAGTTGTGCTGAATCCTGATGCAGGGATACCCCAGTAGCCCAGGCGGACACCAACATTTACCTTTTCTAGCTTTGTTTACTAGCGTGACAGTCATTTAGCTCCTCAAAGCTCTGTTACCATCTCATTCCACTATGAACATGGGATTTAAGTTCTGAAACTCGGATCATTTGGCCTTAGTGTTTCTGGAAGGGGTCAACGTACAACTCTAGGCAACCAAGTGACAATCTAACGGAGCAGTTATCGTCAGGACTTATTAAGGTATAGTATATACTCGAAATAGAAATGCTAGGCCGATCTAGCCTGCCTCATTTATTCATAGGCGATAGAAGTACTAAGCTATTGCTATTTCCTGCTCGGATGTATACAAATTCATGGTGGGCCCGTGGCTGGGTATAACGTCATTGCCAACCACGAACACCAATCAACATGCATAAAGACAACATGACCTCCCCTTAAACACCCTCGAGCTCTCCCTTTGAACAGTCTTAACTCCAACGCCTTAGGATCGCATGTTTTAATACTGCCATCCGTTGAATAGTGACAATGGTCTCCCTACGGCGAGTCGTTGTGGCCGCCAGCTCGGCTACGATCCGGCTGACAGCCTTTGTTTTTCTAAGATGGGTATGAGCAACCGCCACTTGATTCATGTTGTAAGCATTAATTCATGCCTTTAGATCCCTGGATATCCATTCTCACCTATCATCTTCACATCTTTGGTTATTTATCTATCATCGCTCTTCTCACTAGTTAAGGATGATCAACCCTCAGAGGATCGCCCCGAGAAGGGCGGGAAGAACTCCACCAGTGAGTCCACCCTTGGAACTTTGTTATGCATCAATGATCTAAATGAAACCTCAGAGGAGCATGCTCATGAATCGGGTGCAACTGATTCCGGCGATTCCGCGCTTAAGACTCTTCTTACAGGTCTCCCTTCCAAGGGGTCGCCTATTTGGACGTGGGCCACGGCACTAATCAACATTGGTGTTGCTCTACTAGCACTTGACTTCTTGGTTCGAGGATTCCTCGTCTATCCCACCGAAGATGTGACATTCTCACGTATTGGATATGTATCGCCGACCACTGCGAATCTGGTCTTCCGAGAGCCCGATACGGCTCAATTACCTGTAGTTGTTTCCTATCAAGAAGCCTCCCAAAATACCCAGAAATGGATTCAAGAAGGCACTGTCTACAAGCTAGACAACAGCACAGATTTTACAGCTGCAGTGAAATTGAAGAATCTGAAGCCCGGAACCCACTATCGATACTCACTGTCGAACAACAAGACAGGCAATTTTGTGACAACTCCGCGTCCAGGATCCCCGGAAGCAAACAGAATGTCCTTTGTCACATCAAGCTGCTTGAAACCAAACTTCCCATACAGCATTTTATCCCATCCACTGCGAGTTCCAGGAATCGAACAAATGACCGAAGCACTCGCCAAGTTACCGGCACTTCTCAAACCAGCTTTCATGCTCTTCCTTGGCGACTTCATCTACATTGATGTACCTTTCCGATTCGGCTCCTCAATGGACCACTACCGCAGCGAATACCGACGGATCTACTCATCTCCCTCGTGGGATTTCAAATCGGATGATGGAACTGCAATTGATCTCCCCTGGATTCACACGCTAGACGACCATGAAATCGAAAACGACTGGTCAAAGGGTAACAAAACCGCTCCCTACCCAGCAGCAGCCGACCCATTCACCCACTACCATGTCAGCGGGAACCCACCAGTCCCCGCGAAATCGTTCGCTCACCCAGATGACGTAACCTATTTCTCATTCGTGAATGGCCCTGCATCATTCTTTATGGTCGATACTCGCACATATCGCTCCGAGCCATCACAGCCAAACTCAACTATACTCGGATATGCACAGCTCCAATCGCTTCTGCACTATATCTCCACACCCGAGCCACCGGGTGTCCATTGGAAGATTATCTCATCCAGTGTCCCTTTCACTAAGAACTGGCACGTCGGTAACACAGATACGTGGGGTGGTTTCCTCGACGAGCGACGCATAGTCTTCGAAGCGATGTGGCATGCTGAGCGTACTTTCGGTATAAGAATTGTTCTTCTTAGTGGTGATCGCCACGAATTCGGTGCTACACGGTTCCCGGATCCGGAGCTTGCGTTGTCATCTGATGAGCTTCAGCCCAATACTGCTGGATTGGGTCTTCATGAATTTAGCGTGGGACCTCTTAGCATGTTCTATCTTCCCATTCGGACGTATCGTCAAACGGATACGGAAGATGTAGCGGTAAAGTATGCACCAGATGGGAATAACAAGTTTGGGCTTGTCAATATTGCTGAAGAGGTGGATTCGTCGGGGCGCAGCTCAGTTCTTACTTACTCGCTCTATGTGGATGGAGAAGTTGTGTGGAAGTATCAGCTTAGTGTTCCTGTTAGACGCACTGGAGGTCGAACTCTTCCTCCTGGTCGCGTGCTTGGGGACAACTTGACTCGAGAGGGTTGGGATGTTGTTTTCAAGACGGCAATTGGAACAATAGAAGAGATAGGAAGCGTGGTGCTGAAGAAGGCGCGTGTTGCGTATGAAGAGCTTCTGGAAAGGTTGCAAAAGGCAGAAGGACTGAATTAGATACTACAAGATACCGAGCTAATTGAGCAATTTCCAATCATATCCATGAGTTGTCGTATTGTGCAGGTGATATAGAATGTACTAGGAATATTCGAACGCCGAACACCAGCCCAGATGCTAAGAAAATGGGGAAACAGTAGGTAGAAATCATGCAAGAAGATAAGCAAAACAATCTTGCCGATTACCGTCCACCTTTCCCACGTCCGCGACCTGAACCACCACCACCACCACCGCCACCCATTCCACCTAATCCGCCCATTCCACCCATTCCACCCATTAAGCCGCTCATCTGGCTCATCATACTTTGCATATCCATGCCTCCAAGATTGGGCATACCACCGCCTCCTTGGCCACCCATCATCTGCATCATCTTGCCAATGTCACCCATACCGGGCATTCCACCCATACCACCCATACCACCCATACCACCGGCACCACCCATAGCCTGCATACGCTTCTGCATAGCAGCCATTTGTTGATCCTTGTTTCCGCCCTTCATCATGTTCTGTGCACGCTGCATCTGCTTCTTCTGGCCACCAACACGCTTAGCCATACCAGCCATCATGCGGTGCTGAGAGAGGAGGTCCTCAACCTCACGGACCGAAGTACCACTACCATGAGCGATTCGGACCATACGACTAGGCTTCTCAACGAACATCTTGCCATCACTGTCCATCTCAGCTGCCGTCATGCTGTCGAAGATGTAAACCATTCGGCGCAGCTTAAGGGAGCCATCTTCATCGTCCAGACCCTGGGTCAAGTTGGAAAGACCGGGAATCATGCCAGATAATTTGGACAGAGGTCCCATCTTCATGATAGATGTGATGTTCTCACGGAAGTCGCGAATAGTGTAGATACCTTCAGCGATATGCTTGTAGGTCTCCTTAGAAGCAGCCGAGTCATTGGTGATTGCTTGCACGTGGTCAAACAGACCGGCCATATCACCCATGCCCAACAACTTTGAGACAAATGAACGAGGCTCGAATCGCTCCAAGTCCATCATGTGTTCACCCGTTCCGAGGAAGATAATAGGAGTGTTCGTAGCGGCAACAGCAGAGATGGCACCACCACCTGCAGCGTGGCCGTCCGTCTTAGTGATAATAATGGCACCAAAGTTAGCAGAAGCCTTGAAAGCCGATGATTGGGCCTCCGCGGCCTGACCAATAGTGCTGTCAAGAACCATGATAGTCTGGTTAGGAGTGACGGCCTCCTGAATTTGAATCATTTCGTTGAAAAGTTCCTCCTCCTGTCGGTGACGACCACTGGTATCAACGATAATAATATCGAATTTCTCCTTCTTGAACTGGGCTACACCCTCTGCCGCCACAACAGCCGGGTCTGTCTGAGTCAAGCTACCATAGTAGGGAATCTTGGCCTTGGTAGCATTCTGCTTCAGCTGGTCGAAAGCACCGGCACGGAAGGTATCCGCGCAAACCAACGCGGTCTTGAATCCACGCATCTGGTAGTGACGAGCAAGCTTGGTACAGGTGGTTGTTTTACCCGCACCTTGTAGACCAACAAACATGATAACATTGGAGCGGCCCTTCTTGGGGCGGAAGGAGTCCGAGTGAGGGTCAACCAATGCCACCAGCTCGTCGAAAACGGTCTTCTGAATCAGGCGCTTCTTGTTGGTGGCCGCGGGGATGGAAGCAAAGTCGACGGTCTTCTTAATCGACTTCCGGAGGTTTTGTACGAGTTTCACGTTCACATCGGCGGATAAGAGAGCAGCGCAAATCTCCTTGAGCATGTCATCAAAGGCCTAGATGAATTAGCATATAGGTTTGTCTGCGGTTGGGTGAAACACAAGACATACCTTCTCATCGAGGTTGTTGGACCTGGCCAAGTCATTGACGGCGGCATTAATGCGCCGTCCCAGATCCTGAAGGACCATTGTGGATGGATATATTCAAAATTAACTTGAAGGAGAAGTATGGCACCAGCACAGGACACAAGAGCAAGTTGTGGAGGGGCGAGAAGCGGAAAGGCCAAGGAGGCAATGCGGAGAACCAATCGGGGCTCGGGAGGGTTTCACCGCCCAAAAAAAAGTTGCTCGGTAGAGAAACTCACTCTGCTCTTTCGATCTTCACTTCACTTTCAATTGTGATTATTCCTCCAATCAAAATGGTTGGCTCTTATTCAAAGAAGCGCAAAGTTGCGGATGGCATGAAGGGCAAGACTGCCCGCCCCAAGAAGTTCCGCAAGCAAGTCTCGTATCACAGTTCGGACGACGAGGAAGAAGACACCAACTTCGCAGCTGTCAACCTTGCCGATTCCGACGAAGAGTATGATGGAGGCGTTCCTGTGTCCAATACAGCCTTCGAGCGTGCAATGAAGAAAACAAAGACCGAATCTACACCTGCATCGGAGCCCAAACCCACCGCCAAAAAAGTTTCCAAGAAAGTTTCCAGTGACGACGAAGACAACGAAGAGCATGATGACGATGAAAACGATGCCTCCGGCTCTGAGCTTGAAGATGATGAGTACCTTTCCGACGCCTCCATGGATGCTGGTGAAAATGGCGAAAGACGTCGAGCCGTCCCCAAGCGCAACGATCCTACCGCCTTCTCAACCTCGATCTCCAAAATTTTGGCTACCAAACTTACGTCTGCTGCCCGAGCCGACCCAGTCCTGTCTCGAAGCAGGGCTGCCGCCGATAAATCTAACGATTTCGCCAACGAGAAGCTCGACAATGCTGCGCGAGCTAAGATGCGCGCAGAGAAGAAGGAAGAGCTGGACCGTGGCCGTGTCCGTGATGTGATGGGTATTGAAAGAGGTCTTGCTGGCCCTGTGGCCGAGGACGAGAAGCGACTGCGCAAGATGGCGCAACGTGGTGTTGTGAAACTGTTCAACGCTGTCCGAGCTGCCCAAGTCCGGGGTGAGGACGCCGCCAAGGAAGAACGCAAGAAGGGAACAGTTGGTATGGGAGAGCGGGAGAAGGCTACCAACGAGGTCAGCAAGCAAGGATTCCTTGAGCTCATCAATGGAAAGAAGGGAAAGCCTTTGAACATCGAGGAGGCTTAAAATGCGAAAAGTCCTATGATTCCCCATGGCATGTTTCTGGCGTTGGGCGATTTGTATTTTATTTTATGCTTGACATTGTAAACCCATCTTCTTATGGTCTTGTTTTAGAAATAGTACAGGAGATTTTTCATTCGGTATCTTGTCCGGCTTGACGCGACACAAATGCAAATAATACAATACAGGGTCCATTATATGGGTATGGACTGTCCCTCATCTGTTTCCCAAATCTTGAAGATCTACTTCAAGGTTAAACCCTTCCCAATTATTGTTTTCTTCCCAGCGGTCTTATTTCGATTCGAAATCGCTGGCCTGTAGATTCCGTGTCATGGTCGGCAACTTAACCACCATGCCTTCCATATCCTTGGTCACCAAGACCTGGCAACCTAACCGAGAGGTCTCGGTCAGGCCAAATGCCAGGTCCAGCATGTCATTCTCATCATCTGAGGGCTCCTCCATCTTGTCGAACATGTCCGGGTCCTCCACGATTACATGGCAAGTAGAGCAAGCACATGAGCCACCGCAAGCACCTAGGGGACATTAAGAGTTAGTGAACTTGAATAGCTATTATATTGGAGTTTCAAGAGTTTCGACATACCCTCCATCTCGAGGTCGTTCGCCTGCGCGATATCCAGCAGGTTGTCCCCCTCGGCGACCTGCAAATCAACCCGGGTACCGTCCTTTTCAACGAAAGTGATGTTGATCCTAGGATACCGTCAGTACTGCCAATATATGGCCATGCGCAATCTGTAGGCAACTTACTCCTCGCCGGGCTTCGGAGCATGGATGTGACCGTGAGCGGCTTGCGCCGAGGCAGAGAAAGAGCGCTGAGCCGATTTCAACCCTTGCGAAGACAGCTGAAGGCCCTTCTCTGTGCCCAAACCCCACTGGTTCACGTTGACGGTTCCTCCGATTCTCCGCGGGATTGTTGAGCTGACGTATCTCCGCGATTGAGTCAGGCATGCCTCGCCGGCAGCCTTAGGCAATACTCGGCGCAATTGTTGGTTGAATCCTTGCCAGAGGGCCATTGCGATTATAAAAAAGCCTTTTAAGAAAAAATAGAAATGAAAGGAAGAGGTGGAAATTAAGAATCGCGAGGGAAAACAGAACCGGGGCGGAGGAGACGATCGTCCAATGGCCGCGGAGGGAAAAAAAAGACTGACAAAGCCTAAAGGCGGCGTCTCGGACATCTCTCGCTGCTACTTTCTCCGACCCTTTTATCCCCGACCACCCCTCCACATCCAATCATGGCCTCTCGCGAAGGGATTAATCCCTTGCGGCCGTACTATATCCCTCAGTCGGGACTGTCGCCCGCTACGAATGCGACTAAAGAGGTGCCGGCGCCGTCGCCCTCGTCCGCTCAGGTGTTTGGGAGCTCCGCGCGCGACCTCATCCCGGATATCGACTACTCAGATTATCTCGACTCCTCGCCCTCGGTGTCAGATTGGTGCCGAGAAGCCATAAACAACTCTCTCATCCGCTATGCCCAGGTCTTGATTGCACAACCCCTCGATGTTGCAAAGACGATTCTGCAGGTGTATGTCGTATCTGATAACGCAGAGGAGGACCGGAGGTCGACTCCGGGACCTGGAAGCAGCACATACGACTCGGTAAGGAGATCATGTCCTGTAAACAGAGAAAGACGTACAGCTGACAAAACTATTAACAGGAGTCAGACTCATCTGATGATGAGAGTTCCTATTTCACTGCCGCCGCCCCTGCCACACCTAGCCCGAGCACACCGCGATCCCGAAAGGCCCGGCAACGCATCACAGACCGCAGTGGCTATATTCGTGCAGACGGTACCTCGTCAACGTCCAAACATGCCTTGACTATTAAAAATCCGACATCCTTAATGGATGTGCTTTCTCAACTCTGGACTACTAATGGGCCGAGCTCCCCCTGGAAGTCGTCCAACGCCACATTCATCTATTCATTGCTCCTCCCCTCTTTGAATACCTTCATCCGCAGCCTTCTTTCTGCGATCATCGGCTTTCCAGAGGAGGACATTGCCTCGTCCATGACTGCCGATATTTTGACAGCACCCTCGCCTCTTGCCACGCTCGTGCTGTCATTCGTTTCCTCATCGCTCTCTGCGCTCATTCTCTCTCCCATCGATACTGCTCGCACCCTTTTGATGCTGACTCCTGCAACACATGGTCCACGCTCCCTGATCCGGGCCATCCGTCAGCTTCCTACTCCCAACTCTACTATCCCACCCCACCTCGTCCCGATCACCGTTCTCCACTCCAGTCTCCCCAACTTTATTACCACCTCGACCCCTCTCATCCTAAAATCATACCTATCTATTGATCCTCTTCTCAACCCATCAATGTGGAGCCTTTTTACTTTCCTGGGCTCCGGTCTCGAACTTGCGGTGAAATTTCCTCTTGAGACTGTTCTGCGCCGCGCCCAGATCGCTACCTACACCTCTATCAGTCTGCGCCAAAAGTCCTCCGGTGGTAGCATCAATGCGGCATCTATTGATGCTGCTGATGTCGAGACTATTGTTCCTACTCCCCGCACTTACCGCGGTATCATAGGTACGATGTGGCACATCGTCCACGAAGAAGGTGTCAGCACCTCTCCTTCTGATGCTGAGCGTGCTCGTACTGTTCTCGGTAAGCCCGTGTCCCAGAAAGAGGTCCAGAAGCGGCAGCAGGGCCAGGGTATCCAGGGCCTCTACCGCGGCTGGCGGATGGGTATGTGGGGCATCGCTGGTATGTGGGGCGCCAATGTCCTCGGCGGATTGGCTGGTGGTTACGAAGAAGAAGTTACCATGCGAGGCGGTCATGGACGCTCCAGCGGTGGTCGATTCTAGTTGAACTCGGTATCCCCAAATGGGTACCTCTCACTGGTAAATTGGATATTCGGTCTTTGCTGAAGACCCATATTTCTTGGGCCTTTACCAACAAGAGAAACTCTGACAAGGTTCATGTGTCTCGAGAAAAGGATAGCACTTGCTTTGTGTTAACTAGAGATATGAATCTCGATTCACGCTCCTCATGTCTTTTATCTTGACTCTCCCCTCCTCCCTCTGTTCGCATCTTATACCCCAGGGAATGGATCCAGGGGGCAGGCGAACGGCGCTTTTGATTCTACGCCCTGTATAAAACTCCTCACTACATAGTTCCCAATAATATTCACTCTTTGGATTGGAAAACAGCCCTGATTCAAGCCTATAAAAGTTGACTATATGTATATCTGCCTGCTCTGGGATCAATTTCCTGGGAATGAACCTTGGAACGGATTCGTGCAATGTTAAAATTTTACTCGTGTTTCCTGGCGAAGAAAGAAAAACAGGCAAAAAAGACAATATTAACTCCAAAATCAAAGCTGAGTAGAGATGCGACATGAGGACACAACTTACTGTCTACTTTGGTCTAGTGAAACTCGTAGTGAGACCTCAAAAGACTGCGGAGTTGACGGGGCCAAGCTTTGATGGTTCATGGCGTATAGTGGGTCCAGGGTGGGGATCTAAAGAGATACGGTAAACATACCTTTTCCAGTCCTCAAGCTCTATGTCTGCCTTGTTACCACTTATCTCAAGGTCTGAATACATGATACAAGCTCTAGAAGGACTGTGAAATAATACAATTGTAAGTTTAACAAGCCAATGCTTGCTTGTTCTGATTCGAAATGAAATGAGGAACAGATCTCTCAAAGTACTATGGTAGACATTTAAGAGCAGCTCCAGCGTAAATAAATTCATCAAACGCTCTGAAGCAATCATGCATGACGCGTAATCATTTAACAGTCAATTAGATGGACCTTTGTCGACTTTCTTATCTTAGCGCTGCAGTTTCCCCGCAGCCGAGTCAGGCCACACGACTGTTGCAACGGCGTAGAGAACCTCACATATCTCAAAAATTTCTCATCTTTCTCTCATGATTGGCGTTTCCATCGATATTGACTTTGCATAGAATCTGTCTATTCAAAATTGCATTTCACTTCGCACAGCCGCTCAATGGCTTCTGGTAGCCCAACATCGTCAATATTCGGAGACAATGATGAGAGCCAGGAAGATTCTTTACCTCTGATCTCCATAAATGAGACAAAAATAAAGCTGCCTGACACCCGACCACCATCAAGTAAATTTCAGGTACTTGTTCTGGCTAGTGGGTTTGGGACGTAAGTTTCTCACTAGGTGGACAATTAGGTTCGAGGCTAACGGCTTCTTAGACTGCAGCTCGTATTTGCTCTCTTGGCCTCATATGGATCTGTAAGGCAGTCCTCCAGTTAAAGTTTGTCAGCTAACAGTAATACTCAGGCACAGCTACTGTCCGTTGGGGTCAGCCAAGCCGCAACGGGATTGATCTGGCTGGCCGGACCGCTTGCAGGGACTTTCGTTCAGCCTTTGATCGGTATAATAAGTGACAAACTCGGTCATCCGAAGATTATTGTCATTACCGGTGTCATTGGTCTCATCGTATCACTTTTAGGGCTTGGGTGGGCGCCAGATCTGAAAAAGCAAAGAAGTGAACTAGCTAGGGCTTTGGTGGTCTTGTTTATATACACGCTAAACATTGCCGTGCAGCCAGTTCAGCTTGGACTACGGATCCTAATCATAGAAGCTTGTCGTCCGGAACAGCAGACTGTGGCGTCTGCTTGGGTGGTGCGCATGATCGGAATGGGAAATATTCTTGCGCAGTTGGCTGGATCGGTAGATACGACGAAATTGCGGCCGTTCACGACGGGGATGCACTTTAAGGATTTGTGTCTCCTGACATCGATTGGTCTTATTATTACTGCAGTTGGTCTGGGTCTGTTTGTTAGGATTGGAAGGACTCCTGAATCTCGGTCCGAGAAACTGAATAATCAGCAAAAAGGGTCCATCAGGCTGTGGAAGGCTATGCGAACTATTTCTCCAGGTATAGTAAGCGTTTGGAAGGTTCAGGCGCTTTCTTGGATGGGGTGGTTCCAATTTCTCTACTACGTTACTATGTGAGTGATCCCCTTTTTTCCCTACTAAGGGTACCGTTTGTTCTAAGTAGATGATTTAGGTATATTGATTATCTTTGTAAGACTCGCATAACAAATATTTGAACGCTAGTGCTTCCACTAACTCTAAAATAATAGCATTTCATGACCTCCTGCAGCATGCAACAATAACAAACGAGGAACAACAACGGTCCATCAAAACGGAGTCTTTGCAAGTCGGATCCAGAGCAATGCTTCTAAACGCCTGCGTATCGTTCGTTTCAAGCATGTTACTTCCCTGGCTATTCAAAGACAATGAGCGGTCAAATATGTCAGAAATAAAGTCCAGCAAATATAGAACGCTATCAAAAATCTGGATGATATCCCAGGCACTGTTCGGAGCAGGCATGATATGCACTTTATGGGTATCATCAGTCATGGGCGCAACATTTCTTATCGCCATTCTCGGCTTTAGTTGGTGCTGCACCGCCTGGATCCCCTTTACACTGGTGAGTACGAAAGTCTCACAGGAATCGACAAACGCCTTGCGTCCGCACAGTCCGGGTCTTATAATGAGTTTGCACAATGTGTCTATTGCGGCACCGCAAATTCTGGCCAGTTTGATTTCAGCGTTGATATTCTGGGCTTCTCGTGATGGGGACAATCAAGCTAGATATGTACTTGCTGTAGGGGGGATGTTTGGACTGGGTGCAGCGTGGCTGGCAAGGAGCTTAGATATTGAGATGGAGTTGCATTAGTTGTTTTTAGCTGGAGTTTTCATGACTGAGGCTCCCTATGATCTGGCCCAAAACCATAACGCGGTGCCAACAGTGAGCGTGAGGAATCCTCTCACAACATCCATCAGGAAGAATCCAAATCTCAGCCTAGGCTCTTCTCTTCTTGACGCTCTTCCATCCTAGCCCCCAACTAACTACAAAAGCCGCCGTCGCAGTCCCAGCAACCATGTAGAAAACATGCTGAACAGCATTATTATAAGCCATAATCACACCGTCTAGACTAGAATGTGGTATCACAGATCGAATTCCCGATACACCAGCCGAAGTTACTTCCGCAAAGGAAACGTCTGGTGCGTATATGGGTAGAAGGTTTGCAAGACCGGCATTGAAGACTGTGCTGGCGAAGGAGAGCCACAGTGCGCCACCGAAGGTCTGGCAGAAATAGAGAAAAGCCACACTGACAGCGATTTTGGAGGGAGGGACATTGTTCTGGACTGCTATGAGGGGCTAGTTGGTTCGAAGGTGTTAGTACTGTTTGCCAACCAATCGACCTTGGTACAGAGTAACTATACCATTTGAAGAGCACAACCGCGCCCAACCCCCGCGATTATTTGATACCCGATCCATGTACCAATGCTTGTATGTGGAGTAAATTGACTCATCAATCCAGATCCAAGGGCGGAAAGGACTGTTCCCGTAACTGCTGAGGGCAGGTAATAACCCAAACGGGTGACTTTGAATACATCAGTTGCCCACTCATGAGGTAGAATAACAGAATGTTGAAACGTACCTGCTAAGCCAGATAAGAAACCAGAGGCCATTTGAGCAATGATACCCGGTAGCATATACACGCCACTAAACATCGGCAATTCGCCTCGCACTCCTTGGAAGTATATAGCCAGGTAGTAAGAAGTGACCAGGCTATTCGCATAAAGGAAGAACATAGTCAACGAAGAAGAACAGATGACCCGCTGCTTAATCATTTTCAAGGGGATCATCGCCGCGTCTCCCTTCTTGTATTCCCAAGTTAGGAATAATGCCAGATTGCCGGCCGATCCGCAGAATAGAGCGATTACCATCGTACTATTCCAAGGATATGTTGCCCCGCCCCATTCCAGAGCGAGAAGGAACATAACGAGGGTCGGAGAGAGGAGGAGAAAGCCAATAGTGTCGAGATCAGAAAAGAGAGAGGCGAAATGGATATCCGATTGCTGCTCAGGTCTGTTAAGACTGTGTTCGGGAATTGAAATGAAAAGAAGAGCAAGCACTGCCAGCCCGCCGATGGGGAGATTGATGTAGAAGCCTAGTCTGGTTCTTAGTATGTAGACTGTTTTTGGGGGTGGGAACGCCACGGACACCATCTCCAGGTTGCATATTCCGTCAATACACCTCCAATTAATGGCGAGCCCACCACGCCTATCTGACCACCTACAGAGCTTAGAATCAAAGTGAGCAAGTAACTGAAGGGGAACATACATGATCCCACAATGCCAAAGTACACTGCGTTTAAAAAGGTTAGTGAGATTCGGAACGATTCGGAACCAGGATGTAAGCCAGAACATAACATACGAGCTCTTTTTTCAAGAGGTACAGAGGCGGACAATATTGTGGCTGCACCGTTCAAGACGCCAGAACTCCCCATTCCAGCAATTGCTCTCCCTACAATGAGCATATTGGACGAGGTCGAAACACCACATACCAACGAGCCAAGCTCGAAAAGGGCGATGAAGGCAATGTACGTATACTATAATGCTATTAGTTCATGAAGTAGTGGGCAGGCTTATAGCAGCTAACCTTGACATTGAATCGTGTATATAACTTGCCTGACATAGGCTGGAGAGTACAGCTTGGAGATAGTTAGTAGTCTTCGACACTGAAGGAGACATAGGAGGATAATTCATTTGCCTTGTTAATAAGTACGCGCTTCCGTACCAACCGACACCGGCAGTAGAGTGAAAGTCGCTCGTGATTTTAGGGGTTGCCTGGTTTTAAACCGTGAGTCCATATCAAATACTCGATTGAGACGTGATTCACGCACCGTAGCGATAATGGACATATCGAGCATGATAAGTAAAGCAACACCAATGACCGCAAGTATAACCAGTGTCAATTCTACTCCAGTGATATATTGGACTTCATCTTCATCTTCATTACCCACGTCAGGGTTGCTCAGGCTGCTGCTGTCATTGGGCTGTGAGCTTCTCGCTTCTCTCGAGACATTTGTCTCCCTCATCATGATTGAAGCGGGCCTAGAATTCATTTCGCGTGTTTGTCTCTCGGTATGCGGTGTCTTAAGGCAACGATCGCAACGATGGAAGTAAAAGGTTGCTTTGCCGACTGATAGCGGGGTTTGAGTAGAGGGTTTTGAGCTTGACTGGAGCCTAGAAATGAAAGTGCAGGAGATAGAATGGGTGTAGACAAGCGGTCATAGCACATATTAAAGTGTTACCTGATTAGTGCAATTTGTCGGGCTTTAGCTTACAAATGGCTGGTCATTTCCTTTCATCCTTTGCACCGTGTTCCCATAATAATATAGTACCCCCCATGTCGAGTCCAAAGTAATTTTAGCCCCTTTATCTTTCCACTCGATAACTCCCCTCAATGTACGCTGGATGCACCGCCTTAGTTGATAAGGTGTATAGTATCCACCAATTCGGGCTCTTTGATGTATCTAACATATTTCCGGCTTGGCAAAAGCTTGGTTGGGACCCGGCGAATTGCGATGGTGCCCTTTTAAACCTTCCGACCAAGCTAGTGCCTATGAATGTCGACGTGGCGGAGCTTCGTACGACGCTTAAGAGTCTCACAAGAAATATTCAACCGCTAAGGCGTCGTTGTATTAGATTTAGATGATATTATTATCGCCCAGTGGCAGCTAGCGCCTTACAAAAGAAATTTCCAGAAGATGGCTAATTTTGCTGCTGTAGATCAGGCCAGAAACCCCGCTTTCATTAACGTCGTCATCGTGCACTACACACCCACTTTCTAGACCACAACACCTCCAACAACATATGAAGAAAGCCCTCAGAGGTTCTTTGACCAGCATAATCAGTGAACAGTCTGTCATTTGGAAACTAGAGTCCAACCGCGTTAACTTGAGGAGGATCAGGCCTCTCCAAGACCCGTAGGCTGGCCCGCTCGTGCGATGCAGTAAAAGCCCCACTCGAGACCCATCAGCCTTGAGAGTGGGTCTACATTGAACCATAAATCGTGCAAAGGTATACAGGGCAAGAAATGATAGCCACACACAAAGAAAGGGAGTAATACACACACGCATGTTCGCAGGGAGGTGTCAAGGTGTATAAGTTAATGTTGTAAGGCACAGTCGGATGTTAAAGAGGTTGAAAGCTAGGCGAAAAGGTTAGAATCATTGATGAAAAAGGGTAGAATTCGTCAAGGCTAACTCTTGCGTTTTAGAAGGATAGAGAAACCTCCTACGATAGGGACTATCTGAAAGAGGAAGTTGTACGTAACAAGACTAGTGTTATATCTCATTAATATAGCTTACATAGTCCTCTAACCCGGCTTATGCAGAGCCTGGCCACGCGAGAAAAGAATCATAGAAATCGTTGCTTTTAAGAACATGACATGTGCGGGCTGCTTTGCCGCGTACTGAAGAAAGACAGAAAACAATGTAGACCGTATATGGTGGTACATAGAGCAATCGGGGTATGGGTATCAAATTGACTCGTTGAGGTCAAATAAAAAAAAGCCCGATGCAGAATCGAAAGGGGGAAGGGGAGGGGGTAAGGTCTTCATTTCCATCTTTATTTCGAGGCGAAGCGCCTGTCAAAGTAGCGGAGCACGCCCATCACGCTTGCGGCCTCGACTTCCAAGGCGGCGCGGTCACCGTTGGCTTGTGCCGCAACGGCAGCAGCTTGGTCGCGGGGATTCGGGAGGGTATGGAGCTTAGGCAACCATGTGGAGATCTCATCGCTGGCTCGAGAGAAGTTGGGGTGGCGGGAGAGAGTGGTGAAGGCATCGGCACAGCTCAAGGTGAGCGCATTGGGCGTAGGGGGCTTGGGTGCGGCAGATTGCGGAGGCATGGAGGGGTTCTTACGCGTGGTCGGGGTGGCGGGGGCATTTCTTGACATGCAGCATCCTCCGTCGGTTCCCTTGCCGCCGCAGCAGCCTCCTCCCGCTGGAGTTCCGCTCGCTGACCGGGAGGCTGCCAGCGTCTTGCAAAAAAGGGTGCTTCGGGGATCGGCAAGACACTGGGCGCAAGTACCGGGCCCGTTCGCACATGGGTTGGTGGCTTGACTGATAGGTGGGAGAGTCACATCACCTTCGGAAGGGGGTGGAGTGAACTGTGAGATAGATTGGATGGGAGCGAGACGAGGGTTGTCGAAGGAGCTGCGGCGGCCGCGCTGCTCCTCCTGGGCAGCCATCTCGGCACAGATGCAGGGAGTGCCGTCCTGGCAGAAGCCACAGGGGTCAACTGGAGGCGAAGAAACGTTGTTACTGTGGTGAGAGCTCGACTGGGCAGGCACACCAGCAAAACGAGCAGTGAAATCAATTTCCATCTCCTCGGGGTCAGGCTTGATCTCGGGCTCTGAGAAGTCGCGCTCCGGGCTCCCGACGCCGTGAGGAGGATGTCTACCACGAGACTCGTGAGTGTCAATGGGCATTCCGAAGGCATCCTCAATGCACTGGCAGTGCGCGGAAGAACAGTCGGTGCAGCCCAAGGGGATGTTCTCCGGCTCCGGCTCGCGGTTGCGCTCCGAATTGGTAGAAACCACACCCTCCATGCGGGTGCTGCGGGTGGAAGGGCGAGTACGGGGCGGCAGGGGAACGGAGTCCGGTATGGGGGACTTGGCGTTCGAGCCGGACATCGACGCTCGGAATTCCTTGACAAGAGCTTCCTTTGCACTGCGTTCAATCGAAACTTCCTTTTCCAGGGTGTGGCATCGGTCGCGCCACCAGTTCATCTCCTCACGACACTGCTCGACCTCCCGCGAAAGGTTACTGATCTGCTCGGCGAAACTTGCAGATCGGCTGTCATGGTTATCTTCCATGTCTTTCATCAACTCCTCTAGCTCCTGGACTCGGGCGGCCCGACGCTCCCGGAATGCTCGCTGGGCAGCTCTATTCTGAGCCTTGCGTTTAGTGGGCGGCGTATCAGTGGCTGGCTTGCGACCAGGCTTCGGACGCGGTGGGATCACCCATTCTTTCGATGTGATGGAGCCGGGTGTGCCGGGACCAGGCGACGGGGCCACGGAGGGCCTAGCAGCTAATGCAGGTGCCATGGCCAGTGAAGGTGCCATGGCCGGTGCAGGCGTGAGAGACACGCCTGTCGTGGCCATTATGGTGGCTGTGATCAGTTCAAGTGCTGGATTGGGGTCAGCGGGAACATGGAGGGGAGCGCGGTCGGGTAGGTTCGGGCGTACGCACTAGCCGTCTGTCGGTCGGAAAACCGGATGTGCGCTCATGCGACCCGATAAGCGAGCTAGGACCACCCTTGATCAAAAATCAATGACCGAAGGGACAAGTGCAAATAAGCTTGTGAGTCCTGCAGGTGGGAAAGTTGGAGATAGCTAATAGGAAGCTAAAAAGAAGTTCGGAGGAAAAGTGGGAAAGGAAGGAGAAGAAAAGGGCGATGATCAGATTAGATTGTGCTCACATGATGCCGGTTTCGGATGGTCCAAGTCGGCTACAGCGGGGGGATCCATTATTACAGAGTTTTCTCAGTATTTCCTTGCATATTATTCGATTTTATCAGATCCGTGTGGAGGTAAGCTTGACCGAGTGGGCTGACTGTAATTATCTACATTTTTATGGTTCGGGGAGTTCATCGCCAACCGTGTTTTATGTCTACTGGAGAGATTCAAGCAATACTAAGCTATCCAGTGAACGGTCGGGTCTAAAATGACCATTTAGAATTGAACTTTTAGAGGAATCAGCAAAAGAAGAAAAGCGAAGCATAGCAGCACGGGAAATCAGATAACAAATTCAACCCATAAAAGAGGCAATGCAGTATCAAATCCTTGGGACGTGGATGGCCAAGTCCCCCACCACCTTCGGTGTAAACCCGACCATTACATAGCAGAAACGGCGATCCAACCAATAGCAAGTGTTATTGTGCGCGAAATCTCTTTTCCCGGGACAAAGCTAGGCTCTTTTGGTTCTTGTTCAGCGGTGAGCAGGCATGGATCGACGAGAACTCATGCCGCGTTCTTAACATTCTTTGGTCGAGCCCTAACTCCCGCAATTCGGTGATCTTATCTGATGGCGCTAACCACGCTCGCCTGCCCCCTTGGGCAATCCGAGCGCCCCTCGATCCACGTTTTTAAACCGTCGATGATGCGGCGACGCAATTGATTTTTTTCTTTCTTCGGAACACGGACCAAGTGAGCCTTGCCTGCTAAATTCCTTTGTATCATTGGTTGATCTTCCAAACGCATCTTTGGGTCCTGCTTGGCGGTTACACCCCCACAGCAAATTCTTATCAATCAGTGGCCATCTTGAGGTCTCCGTGCCGAGCAAAGGCCGAGAAACGGATTATGTCGCAAGCACGGCTCGGTTTGGGAAGTTCAAACCCTACTCCGTGCTTTTGTTGAATTCAGTGCCATTCTGGAAGGCTGGAGACCCTTACAATAGACCCCAGCGCCATTGAACCCACTATGGACATTGAATTCCGTCATCGCTCACCTCTAGCAGCCTGACTATGGATAAGTGGCAAATGGAAAAGAGGGGTTCATTGGCGATCCATTCCGGTGTGGCCCCTTCTGCTGAATTTTAGCACGTCAGAACCTATTCTGATCGGGTGGTATCGGCCAGGCCACGCAACCTCCCAGAGCAAATTTAACAGCTAGATCGAATGAATATTTGCTGATTGTAATGCGAATTAACGCAGTATGAGACTTTTTGGGTGGAATTCAGGGGGAGGCGTAGATTTGCCGGCGGAGCACCTGTGGTCGGGACCAAGATTTCCGAGAGCACCTGCACGGTTTAGTGTCGCCTGCCAAAGTCTGTCCTGTCCGTCAATGAGTCACGAGCATCATGAAGTATTCGATTTAGGTCAGTATTTCCTTGGCTGCGCCAGAGGCGCACTTTCCTTGTACTTTGTAGCCATTGCCGTCGAGACAGTGCGTTGATTGAGATGCATTTCGCCTGTCATAGGATTCTAGCGAAATTCCCAAAATCATAGCCGATCCTGCCCCTGGAGTACCTGAAGACTTTCCCACCGCTTGTCTTGGAATTTTGATCCCGCGATTGGCGCCACAATTTTCGTTCGTAGCGATGAATTTCGGGAACTTTCAAAAACAACCGTGTCTCACACTTTGATATCGTTGTATTTAACCGGTAATACTAGAGGAGGGGCTTACTTTCTGACTAGTTTGTGATTGTTTCATTGTAGAATTCAAGATCAGGAGCAGGGAAGATATGAATGTCGCAAGATGCTTGATGGGGCAGTGACTAGGCATCAGACGGCTTGGACCAATGTCTCCCCGAAGTCGGACTAGCTGATTATGCTTGAAGAATTCAACTCTATTTTGCATCTTGCGAGCTCAAATGTATCAATGTATTCCTTTTTTTAACTCGTTTTGATTAAGTTGATTTGAAGGATCAAGACTTCGGTAGAGCATCCTTATCATCGTTAACTGTAGCCATGAAGGCCTGGTTTTATTTAGCTTAGGAGCGTTACTGAATGTCTCCAGCTCCTTTTCTGTCATATATGCAAATCAGACATTGCAGGAGGCGCAAAGACTGAAAGCATACTCTGTTCCCAGCTCTAATAAGTCGAATCCTAAGATGGAGTCATCGTTTGAAGAAGCTGGAGGGGTACATACTGAGGGGGAGATCCGGAAGGCGTTCGTCATCCCTGATGTTGACGAGTCGGATTTCTCGATGCAGTGCCCATTCCTCCATGCTTTCCACTTCAGCAGACTTGCCATCGATGTGTACACTTATGTGAATGATAACAGGACAGCCGCTCTTCCCAGGCTCTCTATCCGTGCCAAGTGGACGCTCTGGCACATCGGCCCTTAGGAATTACGCGGACGTAAAGAGTATTGCATGCCACCCGGGCGTTCTCCACGGAGTTGACGACGACGCCGACGTTCCGTCTCACAACGCAAAATTGAAGGCAAACAAAACCCATCTGACCAGGGTCGAGAAATTTCTGATATACCAAGTATTTCACGGCAACGACTGGTACCAGAATCGTCATCGGCACGCTCAGCGCTTCCTTGATCAATTTGCCTGCCAGAACGTCGCCATCGAGAAAATCTTCCGGTAAAGCACAACCAATGCGTACTATAAAGGATGCTGATTTATTTGAATCTCTCACGCTCTAAGGTTGGATGTTTGTCTGTAGATGAGGAGTACACAGAGCACTGGTATACCGTATCACGTCATTCGTGGCCACGATATGCGCACCGTAGCGCACGTACTCGGACACAAAAACTGAATAACTTGAAGGTTGTTACCAGCAGTAATGGATCTTGAAAGTCCTGTGAATTTCAGGCAAGCTTAATATGCTGAGCTAGAAGGGGCCATGTTGATTTCCCAAAGCAGCCGGTTCCTGACGTTATCGGCCCAATCGAAGGCGGAACCTCGGCGATAAGCAAGGGGCCCCAGCCTCTTCCCCAATTCCCCTCACAAGACTCACAATCTCCAACTCCAACCTTCCACACTTCACCCCAGATTAAATAGACCTGAATATCAACCATGACCCGGAAACACACATTCGGCCTGGACAAGCCTTGGGCTTCCCATATCTCCGCCCAGCTGCCCGATTACTCCTATGGCCTGCCAGCTTCAGCTCCAGCTCCAGTGTCCAAACCAGCTGCGACCACAGCACCCATCAACCCCGATGACTACTCAAAGCCCTACCTCGAGTTCATGAGCTCCAACCCCACTATTTTCCACACCGTTGACACCTTCTCCAAGCAGCTCGAGCAGCATGGCTACAAGAAGCTCTCCGAACGTGCGGTGTGGACCTCGGAACTAAAGCGGGGCGGCAAGTTCTACGTTACACGGAACAGCAGCTCGCTGCTTGCTTTTAACATTGGCAAGGAATATGAGAGCGGTAATGGAATGGCAATTGTTGCCGGTCACGTGGATGCACTCACGGCCAAGCTGAAGCCTGTGTCGAAGCTCCCAAATAAGGCGGGCTACGAGCAGCTTGCCGTTGCCCCGTATGCCGGTGCACTGGGTCCCACCTGGTGGGATCGTGACCTCGGTATCGGTGGTCGGGTTTTGATCAAGAACCCAGAAACTGGAAAGATCGAGAATAAGCTGGTGAAGCTTGACTGGCCCATCGCCCGTATTCCCACCCTGGCTCCCCACTTCGGAACGCCTGCCAATGGCCCATTCAACCAAGAAACGCAGATGGTACCAATTATCGGTGTTGATAACTCGGATCTATTCGAGACCTCGTCCGCCCCGTCGATCAACATTAAGGCCGGAACCTTCGCTGCAACCCAGCCTGAGAAACTTGTGAAGGTTATCGCCAATGAGATTGGCGTGACAGATTACAGCTCGATTCTTGAGTGGGAGCTTGAGCTCTTTGATATTCAGCCCGCTCAATTTGGTGGGCTGGAGAAAGAAATGATCTTTGCCGGTCGTATCGATGATAAGCTTTGCTGCTATGCCGCCCAGGAGGGTCTCCTTGCTACTGATGACAACAAGTCACCCGGTATCGTGAAGATGGTTGGCATGTTTGATGATGAAGAAATTGGCAGTTTGCTGCGCCAGGGTGCCAAGTCAAACTTCATGGGCAGTGTGATGGAGAGAATCGCCGAGGCCTTTGCGGGGCAGACCTACGGTCCCAACGTCCTTTCCCAGACTGTTGCGAATAGTTTCCTGGTGTCGTCGGATGTCAGCCACGCTGTCAACCCCAACTTCCTCAACGTCTATTTGGAGAACCACTCCCCCCGTCTCAACGTCGGTGTGGCAGTCTCTACTGATAGCAATGGCCACATGACCACCGATAGCGTCAGCTCTGGTATGCTGAAGGAGATTGCATCTCGATGTGACTCAAAGCTGCAGCTTTTCCAGATCAGGAATGACTCTCGCAGCGGTGGTACCATTGGTCCTATGACCAGTGCCCAGATTGGTATGCGAGCCATCGACTGTGGTATTGTACAGCTCAGCATGCACAGTATTCGGGCCACGACCGGTAGACAAGATCCTGGACTAGGTGTGAAGCTTTTCAAGGGTGTTTTTGATCACTTCGAAGAAGTTGATAAGGAATTTGCCGACTTTTAAAGCATTCGCTTGAACATTACCGGCGTATATTAGATTTATACGAGCCTCATGGGCGGGTCTCTTGATTCATATTTTCGGTGAATTTTGGCTAGATCATGAATGACTGTTTCATACTTTCTTCACTCTCGTTGCTATATTTAGTTGTATATCCGTTTTCAAGCTCATAAACAATGAAAAATGTGACCAGAAAAGAAAAATTATAGAGAAAGAAAATCCTTTGCTGCCAGACAAGGGGAGCCCTGTCCTACCCGAAAAGAGCGTGCAGCCTTCGTAGGAATCATATAAACCCTAAATCAACCGGAACCAAATAAATGACACCCCGACTAACTCCCACAGAAGAAGTGTATCAATTCCGCGAATAGACAGACGTCTCAGAGACGGTATGCTGATGATGGCCAGTGTACTCTGAGTCCCTAAGTCCGGTAATTTCTGTAATATCAGGGACGCCCAAACCCTTAATCTTGTCTTCTTTAGACCAACGTCTTCCATATTTGGCAGCACCACTGGGAACAAGCTCGAGAATTCGTTCGGGATCTCCAGCACCGTACTCATGGTCTTCAGCTGGTGCCCCAAGCGTAGAACCATCATTCCATGTTGTAGTTCGCCGAGAATTCGACAAATGCTCACTCTTTTGTCGACGGCTTCCATTCAATGTAGACAAAAGACCAGGCGCAAGCTTAGAAATAAGCGGTTTCAGAGTGGGTAGACAAGCACAGATGATACCCGTATTGCATTCAATCGCGGACCACGACGCAGCACCCACATTATCCCATGTTGGATCTGTCGAGTCGGAGATCGTCTTCAAACTGACCAGACGGACAATACTGGTCACACAAACGAACCCACCCAATGCAAACAAGATCATCAACGCCAATTTCTGCTTCCGGGGTATCTCGATGGCGATGAGAGCCGGAATGGGGATAATCAAGATGACAAGGTCGGTGGTGATATGCATACTGGCATTCGAGAACCAGAGCCCAGGTTTACTTAGACAGAATCCGGGAATCGAGTCGTCCCAGAATTTGGCGACGGGGATGCAGTTCAAGAATGCGCTGATTACTGCCCATGTACCGTATATCGCAAGGATTGTGATCATTATCCAACAAACGAGTCGCATGCGTTGTGTAGGGAAGACGCGGAAGTATTGCATGAGGATGGATGCTTTTGCGCAGAGAACGGCGGCATTGTAGAAGGGGATTGTGAGCCAGAACGCCTAGGGAAGTCATTGTTAGATTGTCACCCATCCAGGACGTATTAGAAACCTACCTTCATCTGCCTCTCGAGGATCGCTGGTGGGATGTTTTTGAGATGCATTCCCATGCCACTGGTAGCCTCAACCATATCCAAGCCCATGAAAATATACGCGTTAACCTTTACGGGTTGAAAAGCTTTTAGTTTTCATTTTTTGTAAAATAAATTAAGGAGACACTTACTAGGGCGATAACAACCATCCAGTCATTCGACTCCATCCTCCTCATGATTTTGACCCGGGTATATAGACGCAGACCCACAAAGATGGTTGCTAGTGCTGTAAAGACAACACTGCAAGTCAGACCTTGTACACCGCGAGGTGAGAGGTATATGTCGCCACCGTCCCGCTTGAACAAATCCATCTTGACCGATTCCGTGGACTGGTAGTCAATTGATAGGATGGTGGGTCCAGTATAGTAAAAGTATCCCTATCTGAGCTACTTCCTCAGGCACAAATGAAAGGTTGGGGAGGTAAATCAAGATATAAAAGCAAGACAGTCTGAGTACTGTAGAAGATGGAAGATAAAAGGAAATAAAAGGAAAGACAGATCAGCTCAGTAGAATGAACTGATGATCAATAGCAATAAGCAAGACCACCAGCTATCAAGCAGACCGGGGATCAAACGAGCGATAAGAAATCAAATGCTTCCCCAGATTGACACAAGAGAGGAAGGACAAGGAGGGATATAACACTGCTACGTGCTAAGATCAATGCCCAGAAATTAGTAGGGCTCAGTCTAAAAAACAACTCAACCGGACTTCGATGGTAAACGGTTGGAGCGGGAATCCACTAGTCCGGTCACCCTGGGAGAGAGCGGGGCTCCCTGCGTGAAGGCTCCTCGCTCCCCGGATTGGCGGTACAAGACACTATTTCGGTCTAGGAGAGCATAAGGTGCAGTATGCGGCGCAAGGGGTTGAGTTCGACGAATCGGGGCCTTGACATGCGCAATAATTGCATCCCTATTGTTATTTACGGATTATCTGTATCTAGTGGAATCTTTAATTTTTTTTAGGATTGATAGTAGATGAAACAGGGCTCTATTTAAGGTTATGAATGTTTTACACCTTCCTTGGTATGAAAATCTAAGTTTTTCTGGGAGATTTGGAAGCAATTATCCCCTGGATTAATTTCTTAGTCATGGAGTTAGACTTTCCATGTGGACCCTAGATCATCGAGTCGATTGCGCATGGAGGGGCTTAACTAGATATGGCCTTAATACGGATCTTCGCATACGTACGCTGTAGTACTACATCCGAGCTCGAAGTCAACGTCATCAGTCGATGAGTTGAATTATAATCCGAAGGCTTCAATGCGGAAATTTACTATGGTGACACCCGCAGACTCAAGTCAACCCAAAATAATCTGACGGAGTAACACAGAAGAAGCACCGAAAGTGCTCACGCTCATCATTTGGAATAGAAGCGGTCCGATCCTTGTTTTTCCTCCTTCCCGTGGTTCTCACTTTCAAGATCGAACGATCTCCTGGGTTGGCCAGCAAACGTGTGGAATATCTGCGAACACGGATTCTATTGGCCACAAGGGATCAAAGAAACATTTTGTGCGATCTGATTGGTTATATCCGTGATTAGTTCGAGGCAATGTACATGATGCGTCTGCAGCGGGGCAGACAGCGGGCACTAGACTTGGGCGAAATTTATGATGCAGGAGGCATGCGATCTATCAACAGGACCTGCAGATCACCGTAGGGGTCAATGATCGACTCTTTTCAGCTTGCCTCGTCTCCCAGTATCTGGGCAAGATCAAAGCCGCTGGTTTATAGACCACGAGGTTGATTTGGAAGACATGTAAACCTTGAATTCCACGCTCTTGTTGGCTGCCATACACGCCAAGATTCATCGGGTATACGTCATGGCTTCGTTAAGCTCATCGCACGGATCACTAAGTGCAAGGGCTATATACTAATACCATTCGTTTCGAAGTCTAATGGTATTGCGTTTATCTTCGATATGGGTCAATTTAGTTGTCAAATAGATCTCAGAGATCATCATTCGGGCCCATGTAGCCGAGCCGCGGCTGTTGGGAATTTAGCAAGGGGAAAATGGTGCGTTACAAACTCACATTCAGAGTTCGAGGCGCAGTGGGTAAAGACTTTTTGTCATAATCAATTGTCATAATCAAGTTTCGTTCAACATACTGTAGTACCTAGTAGGTCTTCTTCCAACTTCAGCACGAGCGCAAAGCACGGTCTTGGTTCATTCACCCACGTCACACATACTGCAAAACATTCAATAACGCGAATTTGACCTGACACAAGAGCTACACGGTGGAGATTAAGAGGAAAAAAGGAAAGAAGATTCTTTGACTCAGCCAACTGTCAGCCAATTGTGGTGTGTCTATCTCCCGTTCAAAGAAGTCTCCGCTAGGGTTTGGCGCCACCCCACTGGGGTCAGATGATCTATCACACTCGCAATTTCTCAACTATCGAATCCTCGAACACCCCATCTTTTGGACAACCCGTAATATGTCTATATCACCTATCTTCCACGTTGCTGCAATAAGTTGTGTGACTTCTGTCTGTGCTTGTCGGCCCTGTCACATTGTGACTTGACCTCGTGGGACAGTGCTGGTTAAGCATGACCCAAGTTGACATCCTGACCATGGAAGGCAGCAGGCAATATTTCAGCTGATCAAATAAAACTGAAATACTGCCGTGGACACGGAAAGACCATCATAGTAGAAGGCAGTATGCTCTAAGATTCTCCTTAAATTTCCTATCCCGAGGCAAACGGATTCACTTGCCGTAGCATTGTTTGAAATAGCCGCTGTGACGGGTAAATACCTAGCCAAGTTTGGAATCCCATGCCCGGACGCATTGTTCCAAATGCACCGTTTTACTCCTTGGGAATCTCCATACTGCAGAGACCCTTCACCGTTCAGTCCGCAACGGTAAGACTTGGGCACATTTCATCCCTATTTCCAATAATTTGAATGTCGAAAATCCAACCTATATCTTTCCTGGGGCTGTGGAAAAGTATACCTGATTTAACATGGTCCATCAGCTGCAGTCTTTGAAGCCTTTTACATGTTTGACCGCTATTTGGACGATTCTGCCTTTGTGCCTGGTGGATTTGAGTCTAAGCACAATGCTCATGAGCAACTGCATGCATGACTGAAGTGAAGATGGCAACGACAATAGTGACATAAGATTTATTCTTGATGATGGGATCACGGATCACGGATCACCGCCCATTTCAAATTGATATTTCCAAGTGCAATCTGCAGGTTATCTCAGTGAGCACCACCCATCAAATGGATATTTCTGGATGCGACATAAAGAGTCATTTCCGTGAACACCGCCTTTTTCAGATGAATACTGATGATTGCAATATAGAGATGCATCTCAGAACGTCTTAGGGCACAAATACGGGAGCACCAGAGGATATCATATATCCAGGAACTCGTTCGAGAACGATCCTAGATCGAGTATCTGGATATATCCACTAGCGCCAAGCCAACGCTTGATACGTCCAAGGTCCATTTGGGAATCATCCAAGAGCCAGGTCGTAGTGGATATAAAAGAATACACTGAAGAGTGGTCCTGCAATCCAATTAGTCACATCCTATCCGCTTACAAACAAGGATATGTCTTACGATCAAGCCCTGTCAACCCCTTCGCAGGCTCATTCACGTCATTGAATACCAACCCCGCGCATCATTAAATTGTCACGCTCCGCAAATTTACGTCGCCTAGGCTAGCGCATGATGTCAATCGTGAGCCAATTGACGATCCAGATGGTTGATCTCTAAGACGAGAGAGCAGGCGCCCGGGAATGATTGAATAGTTGCCTTGAATCACATTGTAACAGACCTCACTCGGCTGACACGTGCTTTTTTGCAATGAGAAGGCGATATTATTCTGTCGGATCACGAAACATTAGTCAAATGTTACTGGATGATTTTGGGTCTCTTACCGCCTATTTTTTTCGCCCTTTCTTTTCCTTCGCTCGAAATTGCGCTCGAGGAAGATTGGTTTTCAGACTGTTTTTGGTGTTGCAATAAATTATTTTTCGTCGTTCTTATTTTCTGATGACTGCGGTTCCGAGCAGTGGCGTGATTTCATATCAGTCGATTGGATCACCTTGAATGTGACGAGACGAAGATATGAAACAAGAACACGATGGTGGGTAGAGCAACGGCCAGTCGAGGAGGCCCACTCGAGGAGGCCTAAGGCATTTGCAACTGTGTTCCATTTGTGCCGACCCCGTTGAGAGAATTTTCAAAAAGAGAGAAGAGGAGAAAGGGAAAAGAAGTTGGAGGTATTTATAGTCGTTGCTGCTTAGCAGTACCATGTGTCAAAACATGAAGGAGAATGTTGTCAACTGGAGGATGGGATTGGGATGCTTCGCAGGATGATCAATACCTTAGTGAATTCATTCCTGTACTTCAAATAAGGCAGCCGTGTGTTAGCGGGTCTAAAGTGTACTGTATCAACGCTATTAACCGAGTTGACCCTGCCATTTTTGTTCAATGACATAATTCAGTATTCAAGGTGAAATTGAAGGTAATGTGAGCATGAAAAGCATAAAGATCGATCATATCACGCGGTTTGGTCACCACAAATACCCCGTAGCAACACCAACCTTCGGGCCCACATCCAACTACAGGAGCCTATCTCAAGACTTGAATTGCTAAGACGGAGTATTTTCGTGTCTGATATATAGGAATAAGTCCTCGTGCTCAAATAAATAGTAGACAGTAGAGTTCGATATTGGTACGGTTCAATTCGGACATTGACTTATATTGTCTGAGACGCCCTTTAGATGATATTCCAACTATCAGCTTTGCCAACAAACCTCTCAGATGCTTTCAAGGGATTCAGCCATGGAAACTTTGCTAAAAGTTTTGAGACAATGGACTTCCGAATGGCCTGAGGTCTGGTTCTGAACTTCACCATTATACAATATATTCAGAAAGCTTACCATTGCTCAAATATATATTCTTTTCCGACCCGTGGACTTTGAGAATCCTTCACCCAAGTGTTGCTTCATCAGTCATTTGGTACCCAGACATATACCTTGACGGAAGTCTACCCTTGGAATGAATTTCGAAACCACTAAAGAAGTTGTGTTTTCTAGGCCCCTCCAACTCGTACCTTGGAAGCGATAAGATAGGCCGATAAGCGCGCACAGACCAACTGGCCGAGAAATTTCCTTTTCCACATCACGCCCACTACTTCCCCTCCACAACTAGATCGAGTTTCTATTTCTTTGATTCTGTGCGACCTGGGAATAGACGGAACAAAATGACGGACTCTGTGTCGTCGCCACCCAAGTCCATTCACACAATTGTGTTGGACGCCGGTCCCATCCTCAAAAATACCCCGCCGCTTTCTACCCTACTCGGCCAATGTGAAGAACTTATCACCACACCCTCTGTGGTTGCGGAAATTCGCGACCCCGATGCCCGCCTCCGTGTCGAGACCTTGTATCTTCCATTCTTGAAGCAGCGATCGCCCACCCCGAAGAGCTTCAACGTCATTAGTGAATTTGCCCGGAAGACTGGTGATCGCAGTGTTCTGAGTCGAACCGATATTGAGGTGCTGGCGCTTGCCTATGAAATTGAGTGTGAGCGCAATGGAGGTGACTGGAGATTGCGCAGTGTTCCTGGACAGAAGCGTGTCAACGGAAAGCCGCCCGTGAAGGAGGAAGAGAAGGTGGAGGATGCTGAGGCCAATGGCGTCGATGCCGTTACCGAGGTTGCCGAGGGCGCTCAGGACATTCCCGCCACGGAAACTGTGGAGGAACCCAAGGAAGAAGAGTCTGCTCCCTCGCAAGAGGATGCGCCCACAAGCGAGGATGTTGCTGAGCCCGCAGCTGAAGAGGATGCCCCAGAGGAGGACCAGGATGAGGAAGATGACGCTGCCGATTCGGATGGCGGAGAATGGATCACACCCTCCAACTACAAGAAGCGGCTGGCCCGCGACGACGCTGGTGCCGACTCTGCACCGGAGACGAAGACGATGCAGGTTGCTACTATGACCACTGATTTTGCGGTCAGTGAATAACCTCCCCAAAGTAAAATCAATATCGATACTAATCTACTATGCAGTGTCAAAACGTTCTTCTGCAGATGAACCTTAACCTGTTGTCAACAACAACCTTGCAAAGAGTCCAGCATCTTAAGACCTTCATCAAGCGCTGCCACGCTTGCTTCTCCACCACCAAGGAGATGAACAAGCAATTTTGCCCTCGTTGTGGTAAAGACACACTCACCCGTGTTTCTTGCACCACTACTGCCAACGGCCAGTTCACCATGCACTTGAAGAAGAACATGCAGTGGAACAACCGGGGTAACGTTTTCAGTGTTCCCAAGCCCACACACGGCAGTTCGAACGGAAAGTGGAAGGGAGGCGGTGGAAAGAACGGCTGGGGCAGAGAGCTCATTCTGACTGAGGACCAGAAGGAATATACTCGATCCACTGCCGAGGAGGAGCGCCGGCAGCGACGGGAGCGTGACCTCATGGACGAGGATTACCTCCCCGGCATCTTAACCGGCGAGCGGAACAAGATGGGCGGCCGTGTGAAGGTCGGCGCCGGTCGTAACATCAACTCTAAGAAGCGTTGAGCCTGAACGACTTTTGCATTACGATTGATTACATGGGCTGGAGTTTGGGTTATACGCACAAAAAGTCCTTCTTTTATCTCCTTTCAAAGGAGATGGCCCGCCTGTTGATGAGCAATGACCAAGTCTTTGTCTGATGGCTACAAAACCTTTGCACATAGATAGTACGGAATAGAATACCTTGAACGTTTATAAAAGACATGTCATTGGTAGTCGACATCAGGGACCAAAGTCCCCTGATTATTACACACCCCTAACACTCGGCAAATATCCGAAGCAATGCAAATAGCAGCCGTCCATCGACTGTACAAACTAACACCATGCGCCGAAACACAGGTCAAAGCACCTTGTGATCCCTCAAACCCAATTTTCCACCCTCGTTTCTTGTTTAAACAGCAGGAGCATCGTCTGAGCTGGATGTCAGCCTTCTGGCATTATATAGAGGTAAGAAAGTTCAAAACATACCGGTCTGCTGGGTGAGCAGGAGTCCGTAGCGCTTCTTCAGGGTAACACGGTGACTAGAAACGAAATGTCAGTTCGGGTCTTCTTTCTGTCTGGTGCCAGATTCACATACCGAGAGTACTTGTCATCGGGAGAGAAACGGGCGGGGTGACTTCTGTATGTAAGTAATTGCAAATATTGGTTGATTGGGGCTTTGGAAGCATACGCGGACTTGGAGACCTTGCCGTCAACGACCTGAGATAAACCGTTAGCACCAATATTCCCAGTGATAGTAAATCTTAAAGTAAAACTGACCTTCTTCAAGGTGTAGACACGCTTGCCATCGGGACCGAGAGTGTACTAGTTCATTGATTAGCGAGGTTGTTCCTGGCGAATTCCGAATTGATCGTAGGGTTCGTTCGATGGTCGCAAGAGGTTCGAACATACCATAAGATGCATTCTAAATGGTAAAAAGTCAGTAAATGTCCAAAAATCCAAGCACAGAAAAGTGCGCTCAAGGCTCAAATACTTACTTGGCGGTTTTGTCTTGTGAGTTGGCGATAAGAATTGCTGGAGTCGTGGTTGCTGGAGCCGGAGGAATTTTTTTTGACGCCGACGCACTCGGACCGCTCCGCTTAGTCATGCCATGCGCTTAAAAACCCGAAGCTCTCCAAATTTGACTTCTTCCCACTCTTGATCTCCAGAGGAATCTGCTTTGGATCCTCAACAGTGTTAATGATGCACTGATGCAATCGCTCAGCTATTAGCCTTAGTAGGCAGCTGTAATATCTTTCCAACACCAACCATTATCCTTCACTTGGCCCAATTCCGACACAATCGTTGGGCCGCAGAGATTGCAGGTGAGTTTGAACATAGCTCCATGAGCTACTTTTTTTTTTTTTTTCTGCAATGCCCCTCTTTTATGATGACCAAAATTCTAACTCAGGCATTGGCACTACTTTGATTTCAGCCTTTGCCGATGATGTTATTTTTGACTACAACGGTATCTGACAAGATTACCACTATGCAACTTTCACACTAGCATATTTACCTGAAGAGTTGGCTAACCCTCCCTCTTCACAGACATCTTTTCAGTCTTTATTTCTTCAGTAATTCTTCAACATGGCCGAAGCTTCGAGCTCAGCCCCAGCTAGCCCTGCCAAAGGGAAAGTCCGCACCCGGACTCGTTCCACTAGGCCCAACTACAGGGACATTCATCGCTTCCCTCTCCCCGTCACTATCCACCCTGTTCCTCCTGTAATTCCTCATAATCCTCTTTCTCTCATTAGTGTTGCCCTCTCGTATCTATCTTTCTTGATCTCTCCTCCTCGTCAAGAAGCCTACACTGCATACTTTGACTTGGCCACTTCTTCCGTACATGTTACCGATGAGCGAACAATCAAGGCCTTGTGGCAGATGGGATTCTTTGGCAAGGGTAATCTGAGTCGAAGTGAGCCCAGCTGGCTGGAGCGTGAGAAGAAAAGAAGAGGTCTACTGGGTGGGAACACTAGTGAGGAGGCCACACGGAAACGCAGAACAGAGCGCCGTGAATTGAAGCTCGAGCGTGCGAGGGTGGAAAGACTGATGGTTGAGGAAAGACTCAAAGCTGAAGCCGCAGCCAGAGAGTCCGGCGCCTCGTCTCCAGTGCCCGCTGATGGCTCACCTGCTACCTCCGTTTCGATAGAAAAGTTCTCAGTCAAGAAAGCCATGGAAGCCAAATACCAAAGGAACCGGCAACAAGCCATGCAGAACGGCAATGCTGCGCCAACTACTGATGTGACCAACTCACCCAATGGAAAATCCGTGCGGTTCTCGCCGGTGGTTCAGGAGAAGGAAGCGGCCCCCCCGGTCGATGATGATGCTGATCTCGACATGGAGTTCGCAAACGAAGAGCATCTCCAGATTTCGAATGAAGAGACATTCTTCCTGGTGTACTGCCTCGGTGCGTTGCGGGTCGTCGATCGCGAGACCAATGCCGTTATCCCGACCTCTACCCTTTTCTCCCTCTTGTGCCATCACTCCCACTATCCGCCGCGCCTCCCTTCCGCCGATTTGCAGCCCGACGACCCCTTCCTGGTTTCATATGCCGTGTACCACCACTTCCGATCCCTCGGATGGGTTGTTCGCTCTGGTGTGAAGTTCGGTACGGACTATCTGCTCTACAACCGGGGACCCGTCTTCTCTCATGCTGAATTCGCCGTCATTATCGTCCCCTCATATGAGCATTCGTACTGGACGGAGACTCAAGAACGTAGGGATCATGTGGCGCAGAAACAAGACCGAAGTTGGTGGTGGTTGCATTGTGTGAACCGGGTCCAGGCCCAAGTGAAAAAGAGCTTGGTGATTGTTTATGTTCAGATTCCACCACCCGCAGCTTCTTTTGACGATATCGGAGCTGTTCTTGGTCGCTACCGAGTACGAGAGTTTCTGCTCCGACGGTGGATTCCCAATCGGAGCCGTGATTAGGAATAGTCGGCTTTAATATCTTGTGTATAATATGAGGGCTTCAGATACCCAATAAACTTGATATCCATGTACAAAAAAGTACATATTTACACTATGACATTCCATGAAATAGTCCCTTGGAGGTATCTATAGAAAAGCTCTTTGGCCGCGGCTTCTTGTAATAAAATATAGACGCTAGACCTATTTAGGTAATATTACTGAATCCTCGGGTCACGTGGGTCACGCGTTTCGCGTCCGCCTCAATTCTCGATCGAGTCAGCGTTCACTACGTAATGATTATACAGATCTGTTAATTATGCCATATCATGATCCATAAAACATGGTAAGCGCTGTTTGATTAATTGTAGCTATGGAGGAAGGGATGGAGACCCAGGACAGTATCGATATTGCCCATCTGCAACGCGTCGCGTTGGGACTTGTATGTGTAATAACCTGCAGCGTTCCAGATTCTCATTGGGCTAATTTCGACGTCTTCAGGAGCACGAACAATTTCAGCCAAATATTTCCGGACAAGCGAAAATTGGCAGCCCCTCGCAAACACAGTCGATCCATTTAAATAAAATCACAAATCGCTCCTATAGTGACCGCTCCCCGACGGCTTCCCGACAATTATCTTCAACTCCATCGAACCCTACCAGCTCCTCCCAGAAGCGAAATCCTCCTCCTTCGTCCCACCGACACTATGAAACAGACCTCATGAAGCCCCCCAGTCAGCCGAATAAGTCCACGCCGGTCTCTGAGCCAGCACCCGCAGCTATGGACCCCGCGGACGTCACCCCGAGCGACACCCAAGTTGTCTCGCAATCGATCTACGATAGCATCATTCAACGAAATGGGGAGTCTATGTATGGAGGAGTGTCCGACAACGGTGCTGATGGCGCCACTCTTATGACGTTGCACGAGGGCGACAGTGGTCATATCGATCTTCTCGCTGAATTCGATACTGCACGCCACGAAGCCGACCTTTCCCCAATTCCAGATGAAGAAAGCAACTATGACCTGTCCGAATCTTCTCCGATGGCTTACCAGCCCGAGTTCTTTCCAGAGTCCCAGCGCTTCTTAGCCATGACCCCTGGGACTACGATTAAAAAACCCCACACACCAGGCACGTCGATGGAGACGCCTACCCTATCGAGGAATCCTCTTGCCGGAGATATAGAATCGAGCGGGGGGCTCATGGGCTTAAGTCAGCTCTTTAAGGCAACCCAGGCGCCATCATCTCCCCTGGTTCACGGCCAACAACCAGAACTTGTGTCTGACCGTCCGTCGCCGAATATACCCATTCAGCGTCCCCGGATCGCCAACAATGTTTCCTCGCCGCTGGTTCATTTTGCGAGAGAGTCATCTGAGCCGAATTTAAACTACATATCTATGAAAGAATCGCAATCAAGGCGGGATAAATCTCTAGGAGAGCGATTGACACGGTCTGCGGATGATATGCATTCGGACGATCCGCTTGACCAGGAGTTCAACAAGGAATCCAGCTTCGTCGAAAATGCACGGCGGAAGAGGCTATTCGATGAAGAGACCGCTGCCCAATTTGCAGCTTTGAATGCCCCTGCCGGGTCTGAAGATCGTGCTACTCCCCCGGAGTATCTAGATATGCATGTCGATGAAACCGGCGCTGCTGGAAGTGAAGAAGAAACGGAACAGGAGGATGACATGGGCCCTCAAGTTCCTCAGTCACAAGAGCTTCCTCACTCTTCGGAAGAGGATAAGGAAAATTATCCCAGTATGGTAAATGAAACTGATAGTGCACACGATCGTCTCTCACAAGTCCTTGGAATCGAAAATGAGCCATTATCTCGGGCCGATGCAAGGCAAGAGCATGATGTTGGAAGTACGCAGCTTGGCTCAATCGAAATCCATGATAGGGATCTGTCTTCTGGTCGATCTTCCCAGATCATGGTAAAAGACTCTCAACAATCACCGCAACCAACGCCGAGGCCTAACAACCATGAGGTCCAAGCCGAGCAGCGGTCAGTTACGCTGCAGCTCGATCCAAACACCAATAACATTAATAACGCCAATATTTCACCTATCCGACGACGTCTTCAGTCTACGCCCCCTCCTCCACGACCGGAAGATCGGCGCCATGCGGATGCCAACTCTCAACCGCAGGACCGACAGGTCGAGATGGTCCAAAATACGTCCTCAAACGAGAATGCACGCCTCTACTCTAGCAATCCCCATGCATTGCCAAGAACCGGGCCGTTCTCTAACAGTTCACAAGGTGGTCCCGGGAACAAATCTTCGTCAATGCCCTCGCGTGTTACTGAAACACCTGTGCACCTTCGCCCAGACCTTGGCGATATGGCTAGATTGACAAGTATCCCAGAAACAAGTCCTAGCCGCACCCAATCTAATGAATGGGAAGCAGAGTCAAATGGCGATGGAGTAAATAATGAAGATGATGACCTCCCCCCTATGCTCCCTGCAGGAAGTGTTCATCGAGTCGGTCAGGTGCGGCACTCGCAATCCCGAGCCCTCTCTTCGCCAATCAAGACCCTCATTTCTCAAGCACAATCCCAAATTCTGTCCAGTCCTAGTGGAAGACAACGCCGTGCTTTGACCGAGATTGCCTCAGACTGTTCTCCGCAGGTTGATTTCAAGATCGGGGATATTGGCCTGGATTTCTTTACTGCCGACGATGATCAGTACAACTCCTTGGTTATTGATGGATCTCCGACTCGCCCTAGAAAGAGAAGAAGAGGCAACCTCGGTCAAAGCTTTGGCCAGAGCTTCAACACATCCGACACTGCAGTTCCTGCAACACCTCGTGCACAGCCCCCTAAGACTACCGCGCCCATTCACGAGAGTCCCGCTCAACAGATCTCTTCCGCAGCAGTCCATGAACCTGCGCCTGCCCGCAGGCAGTCCAGACCTGCTGCTCGGGATGAAAATGTTTGGGAAATAGGAGACTCTCCTCAACAACCGATCATGCGACGAAGATCAAGGCACAGTAGAGTGGCTGCTTCTCAAGGTGTGGCAAAGCGGCCTGCACAAGCACAAAAGCCAGAGGTTCAAGAGCCTATCCAACCCGTTATCGCTCAAAAGCCTGCATCAGTCGCATCTTCTGAACTGACTGAGCTTACCGATGTTGATGTCGACTCCGACCGGCCTCTATCAGACAGCCACACCGCCAACAGCCCTCCTACCACTCCCCGGCCTGCCCGGACATCTTTTGACAATACTATTATTGCTCCTCATCAAGTGATTGCTGTCTGGATGGGCCAGAAACGAGCATACTACCCCGCAACCTGCTTTGGAACACCTCTTGGTGTCCCACAAACAAAGTACACCGTGAAATTTGAAGACAGTCTCCCCGTCGAAGTGTTAAAAGGCTTAGTCAAGAGATTTGAACTCCGCATCGGCGATGCTGTCAAAGTCGATATGCATGGTGTTCCAAAGGTCACACACGTTGTTCGCGGCTTAGAGGGTAAACTCACTAAGGAGGAGCTCTTTCAGGATGCTGATAATGGGTTTTGCCCCCAAACCGATATCTACGGCCATACCACGGTTATCCTTGGACCCAAACAACGCAAAAGTCTTCCCAATGGTGGCCTCAATAACAGTGAGAATGTGATCAAGGTACCTATCGGTCGAATCTACCTTGATATGACTCTGTGGAACCAGTTTAAGGATCGAGACTTTACCTATCATCAACCAGAGCCCGCACCCCAAGCAACTGTCTCTCATTCACCCGAGAAATCATCCCTACCAGCATCCCCCAACACTCGCTTCTCTCGTTCTATCCAATCTGCCAGCGGAATCTTTGCGAATATGGCCTTTGCAGTGTCTTTTACGGAAGATGACGGATCTAAAGATCGTGTTTCACAACTTATAACGGATAACGGTGGCTCAATATTGCTTGATGGTTTTACAGAGTTGTTTGAAACCTCGTCAATCATTCCCTTTGAGACTCCAACGAAAAGTGACAAGACTCAGTCTGGCAGCCTAGGCTTGCGCCTTACATCTCTGGCTGAAAATGTGGGCTTTGCATGCCTCATCGCCGACACACATTCTCGTCGTGAAAAGTACATGCAAGCTCTGGCACTGGGTCTACCTTGCCTTTCGGGCCGCTGGGTTGAAGATTGTGTTGCTAAGGGCCGCGTTCTCGACTGGGATGTTTACCTCTTGCCAGCCGGTGACTCCACTTATCTAAATGGTGCCACAAAATCCCGAATGATGGTACCGACACCACCTTGCGACACCCGGTTATCCGATACGATTGCGGCAAGACCTAAATTACTCGGCGGGAAGTCTGTGCTTATTGTGACTGGCCGAGGCAAAGCGGAGAAAAAGCGCCGAGCTTATATCTTCCTCACCTTTGCGCTTGGTGCTTCCCGCGTGGAGCGCGTACCCGATCTCGAAACCGCCCGCGCATTGATGCAATCCCAGTCCGAGGCCTCGCTGCCTTGTAGCTGGGACTTGGTTTACGTTGATGACGCAGATCAATCTTCTGCGAAGTCCATGTTGACTCCGAGACCGAAGACACAGAGAATCTCTCTGGTCCACGGGAAGAAGCGCAAGCATTCGGCTGTATTCACCTTGACGAATCCCGTTGATGATCCATCGCCCACTGCCCGAGTTGTTGGAAATGAGTTTGTTTGTCAGAGCTTAATCTTGGGCAGGTTATTTGAGGAGTAAAACATTTCTTTGTAGCTTGTGATTTAAACTATGTTGATACCAATTTCATTATAACATTTTTGTTTATATTGTTTTCGCTTGTAGTTTAACTAGTTGAAGAAGTGGCGTGTGTTACCTCCTCGACGGTGATAGTCTCATGAACACTAACGTGATACTGTGTTCGACCCCCCGTAGTACCCGGATACAAATGCTCTTCACTGCTATTTGAGTGAGGAAATCCAGGCTCCCTAGGTGACGAGACACTCGTAACCACCTTGGTATCGTCGATATCCGGACGCCAGTATCGGGGATCATTGGAAAGTTTCGCCCCACTCCCATCGCCCTTCAAACTGGCCAACGGATATCTAACAGAGCCACTTCTTTCATAACGTTGTTTTTGGCCATATAGACTTCCGTCCAAGAACCAGCGGAATAACGGGCGTAGAGTGACAAGACTTCCAGCGATAATGCCGAAGCTCGTTTCGAGAATGGACCAAATAGCAATTTGGTAAGTTGAGTCTAGATTACCAAATTAGCATGTTTTGTAGCCATGGAATTGAATGGATATGACATACAGAGAAAGTCTTGATCGGTATAGTAGTGAAGAAATGGAAGTCGGATGACCACTGCAACACTCGCACTGGAAATCGTTAGCATTCGTATCAGCAGTGTTGCGTGGATTCACATACATGGCACCTAGACTCAAAATTCCCCCAACCGCAAACTTGGTTCGGCGATTCATTTGAAGATTCCAGACAAGAAAGATCGGCAAAATGCCCAGTGAAAAGTCGACCACGATCGTGAGCGCGCTATATAGGTATGCGATATTCAACAGGATAGTAGAGGACAGACAAGACCCCTTTGCTAAAGGATTCGCTTGATGCCAGAAATAAGAAATAGGACGACAGTCGAGAAGAAGGATGAAAAAGAAATAGAGCGCATTGGCGATTGCTAGGCCGATTAAGCAGTAGAGGATTATCATGTGTTGTTTCCGCACGGTTAAGCGGAGGAGTGCGACGGCGATGGAGATTTTGGTTACAGCCGAAGCCCAGATGTAGAGCATTTGGCTGAGCCACCACCACTATTTCAATCATTAGATTTAGACCTAATTTTTTGGTGAATTTTGGAGTGTACCTACACGAAGGGCAGCTTCGTAAAGGGCGATGTTCTCCCCGAAGTCTACCATCTGGTGGCCGACGCCATCCATGGCGCCGTTGATACAGCCGACGGTTAGAGCTATGAAAATGGCCTGAAACAAAAAAGAAAAGGATGTCAGCGTTTCTATTTGGCGACAGGTTAAGAGGACATAAGTCATACCAGTGCTCCGACCATAAGTGTATCATCCCATCCAAATGCACGAACAAGATACCAACGAACAAAACATCTAAGAGAAACCGCGATGACAGCCAGACACATCATCACAATGGAAAGCGTAAACATGGAGAGACTACGCCCGACCAAGGGCATTGGTGAGTTCATGGCTGCGGTCTCAATTTCGTCAGTTCCGCATCAGCGAACTATCTCAAGCCCTTAACGAAGGACCGGCACGTTGCCATGAGGTCAATAAAACTCCAAGTCCACACTTCCGGAATACCCATTAATATAAATGGAGCCTCGCCAGGAGCCAGACTCCATCTCGCCAAAATTCTCCCACGCGATCAGGCCTAAGTGCCGAGACTAATGTATGCAATCTATGAAAGTTCGGTACTAGCCATGAACCCCGTGTCTCGAATCTCCGATGTGGGGAACAAAGCGCTTCTAGTCGAATCGAACCGAGATCTATTGTCGCCAGATCGATTGATTAAGGCCCATTACCGAGCGCGATCCATTCCATCCTGACGGGAAATTTAGATCCAGGCCACACACCGCTTCGCGCTAGATTGAAAACAGTACAGGACACGCGGAGTTCATCGCTAAGAGAGGTGGAACAAACAGGAGGCGTACTTCGACAATTCTGGCTATTGTCGGCGCAAATTTATTGAGGCGTGGGGCGCGCGACCAATCAATCAAGAACGGGGTGAATCTTCCCCCTTAGTCGCAAGCCACAGTTCGGCGCTATGGTCATCGGCTCCTGGTGCACGAGCACGATTGCGTCTCCACCTCGTCCGGGCTGATGCAACAATGGATTTGTCCGGGATGAAGGTAACAGGCATGATTGTATAGCCGGGTGTTTCAAGGCTCTGTTTACTCCCAGGAACCTGACATTCTTGACGGGCCGTTGCTCGGTTCCTTTGTTCGGGCTCCACATTGTCTTATCGTCTCGAGAGCAATTTGGCCGGAGGAGCTAACCAATTTGGGCTCTAGAATCTACGGGAAATCTTGGAATTTGCAGCTGATGCCTGAAACCGGGTGTTCCGAGCCTAGAAATAAACTCTATGGCGGTTTCTGAACGTGTAAAGGAAAAAATGAGGCAGATCGAAAAGATAAGCATGTATCAAAAACCAGTCAAGTGGTGGTTCTCCATCCTAATAGATCTCAATTTTGCATCTGTCCTGAATCATTTCCGAATATTTGTTCCTCTTGGATGACTCTGACTCGTGTACTATCCCCTCTGTTTACTATTTACCAGTACGTCAAATCCCGTACTATAAGATGAAGAACCGAACCATTGGTCAACCAGAGTTTCAGATCTACTCTGAAGCCATAATTCATTTCTAGTATCCACTTCAGCTACGCCTCAGGTGACTATCGTTTCGGAGGCCTCCACGGGTCATATATATGGCTTTCCAATGGCATTTGGATGAAACTTGGAACCAAGAACGGTACGGACATCACCGTTTGGCAAAACAAGGAGAACATGATCACAGAAGAATATAGGGATTTGCTCCGATGAACACACCAATGGCACAACTCAAGGCCTATTTCGTTACACTTAAACACGTAGTGTCTCGTAACATTCCAAGGTTGTTCGGTGGATTTACATATATCACCATTCGCAACGGAAGATATATGAACAACCTTTGGAAGATTCTCTCGGCAAAGGTAGTTTATATGGTATCGCAACATTTGTAGTCCTCTACCAGGTAATTCTCACTCATTTAACTATACTGTATGGATCTTGCGCCATCAAATCCCTCAGTTGATGTTGCAGATGCCCAGGTGTGGCTTAATCTTGTGCATCTCGGAATTGCCAACCCCATAGATTTCGATGAAGATTCCCTTTCACCGAGAAAGAAAACCTCAGAATTATTCAACTTGAAACAATGAACGAGTGACGTCTCAAGAGCTTGAATACATCAATACAATGATTTTGAGAGCTAGTGCACCGCAGCGATCCAGATCTACAATCAATCTCACTGATATGACGTGCCGAACCAACTATGCCAAACAAGCCCTGCATAGGAATGCTGGGCAGGGGCCTAGAATTTCAAGCTGGTGGATCCTCTATGATAGATCACGAATTGAAAACCCTCCTGACTACTCGTTCTGTGACACGAGAATGGCTGCTTATGTAGACGAGATTCCTGCAAGACATAAAACCTGAAGTGAATGTTGATTTCCCACGATCCGCCATTCAACCCACCAATTCCATCACTTACACAACCCAAACATCCATGATTCGACAAGTACGGCGCGCTCTTGCCTGGGGGCTTGTGCTCCTCGCTTCATTGGGCTCATGCGACGACAACACCATCGTCCGCGATGTCGCCATTATCGGCGGCGGAGCCTCTGGAACATTCGCCGCAGTGAAGCTCCGCGATGCAGGCAAATCAATCGTTTTGATTGAAAAAGAAGCCATCCTGGGTGGTCACACCAATACATATCAGGATCCGGTCACTAAGCAGACTGTGGACTATGGTGTCCAGGTATACCACAACCAGCAATTTGTCAAGGACTTCCTCGACCGTCTGAACGTATCTTGGACAATTGCGGACCCAAACTTCATTTCATCTGTTACACCGCAATTCCTGGATCCAAAGACGGCCAAGCCTGTCAATTACACCCCTCCAGATCCCACGGCTGGTCTACAGGCCTATGCGCAGCAACTTTCGCAATACCCGGATGTGGAACAAGGCTTCTTTCTTCCGGACCCTGTGCCCGAAGACTTTTTACTTCCATTTGGACAGTTCATTGAAAAATACCCCGATATTGCGAATGCCACATTCATAATTTGCAGTTACGGTCAAGGTCTCGGTGATGAACTCAAGCAGCCGACGCTATATGTGTTCAAGAACTTCGGCACGGATATTATTCAGGATATGGCGACTGGATTTCTGGTTACAACAAGCCAGAACAACTATGAGATTTATGACCATGCGACACAGCTTCTTGGACATGATGTCCTTCTGAATAGTACTGTGGTCAACACAACCCAAAGAGATAACCAAGGAGTGGAATTGCTCGTCCAAACACCAACCGGATACCAAAAAGTGAAAGCAAAAAAGCTTCTTATTACCATCCCTCCTAAACTCGACAATCTGCGCCCCCTCGGCCTGAACAATCGCGAATCAGATATCTTCGGCAAATTCATCAACACGGGCTACTACACCAGCTTAGTGAACAACACCGGCCTACCACCAAATTACACAGCATACACCGTTAGCCCAGATACCCAACAGAATATTCCCAAGCTACCCGGCGTCTACGTCGTTACCGGAACGGCAATCGACGGTGTCTTCGATATCAAATATGGAAGCCCATCACCTGTACCCGATGAAGATGTCAAACGCGAGATTCTCGCTTACGTCAAAAAGCTTCAGGCGAACGGAATTGCTGAAACGTTACCAGACGACCCGCAATTTGTAGCGTACAATAGTCATGCTCCGTTTGAATTGACCGTCCCTGCAGATCAGATTGAGAATGGGTTCTATGATGATTTGTATTCTTTGCAGGGTTATCGCAGTACTTGGTATACTGGGGCTGCTTTCCATACGCAGGATTCATCCATGCTTTGGAATTTCACTAGCAACTATGTGTTACCTGATCTGCTGGCATAGGCTCGAGACTGAATCAATTTGAACCAAGCTATCTTTGACTCGATTTGGTTTTACCTCGCAGTAAACGGAATCGTGTAGCTATTGTGTAGTCGACTAAATCTCCAAAACTAATATACACTATCTTGATTTCGAATCGGCAAACGACCAAAAAACCATGATGATCTTAGAGTCCCAGCTTGAATCCTCCCCAGTTTAAACGTGAGAAAACGCCCGACGGATCATAATCCGCTCGGATACTACGCATCCGAGCAACGTTCTCCGTGGGGAATCCTGCGAAAGGATCCTGCCATTCGCCAGCATCGCCCATATAGATGAACTCCGACGCAATGCCCTTCTCAACGTTGATGCTATGCAAATGCTCAGCAAGCTGTCGAGACCAGGCTTCAACACGGAGATCATCCTGAGCAAGGTCCCATCCAGTACTGAATTGCCAAACTGTTTCACTTATTAGCTAACATCCAGTCAAGGCATTCAGAGGATATGGTATACGAACTAAGGAGAGGCTCGTCTTCAAGACCCCAAACATTACCAATGCCGTTCGTCTTCGCAACCCGTGCAGCGGGTGCAGATGCGACATTCGTTACAAATGTTGGATACAGTCCTTGAATATCAGCAATTGTATCCACACCGTCTTTCCATGCCTTGTAGATCGATTATAGCACCTCTGCATCTGGTTTCATGGATTTCATCGAGAACATCACCCTTAAACCCTGTCAGCTCAATCAAACAACCACTAAAAAGAATAGACAGTAGAGTAAATCTTACCGAAACATCTGCTTAGGCGTCTCTAAAACAGATTCCCACTCTTTCATAGTTGTCACCTCATTAATCCGGGTTATAGCCGGGATAGCCGAGAAATTCGCAAACTGCGAAGGGGGGTTGCTAACACCCTCCTGAACACCCAAAAGCGAAGCATCAATCACCTTGGTGGTAACGTTATATTGCACTGTGGCGACCATCCCAGCTGCAATGGGGTTCTCGTCATCAAGTTTAGCAGCCTCACAAACAGCGTCGAGGAATTTAGGGATTCCGCTTTCATTGAACACCTGGATAGTCGTGCTGACCTTAGGCATATCATATGTCTTCAAAGTAAATTTTGTCACGATACCATAGTTGTTCGCACCACCCTTCAATGCCCAGAAGAGATCTGAGTGGGAAGTTTGGTTAGCGGTGACTTGTGTCCCGTTACCGAGGACAACATCGTAGCTGACAGCATTGTCCATTGCGTATCCGTATTTGTTGTTGAAGTAGTGGAAGCCGCCAATAAGGGTTAGACCTGGGACACCGATTGTTTTCATTCGGCCACCGATTACGACACGATCATATGGCTCGAGGGCTACCACAACGTCCCACCATGTGAGCCCTGGTCCGACTTCGACCGTGTCCGCGTTGACTTTGACTTTGTTGAGTTTCTCGAGGGGCATCAGGACACCACCGTCGATGTTGTTTGAGCCAGGGTACTGATTATGTTAGTATGCAGTGTGACATATACCTAAGGATCCCTCTTACGTTCATATGGCCACCGCCACGGACAGCGAACTGTGCATCGCAGGATTCGAAGATTGAGACTGCTTCTGCGACCTGTTTCGGGGTCGAAGGAAGGAAGATGCATGCCGGGGACAAATCAGCTCGAACATCCCAGTAGCGGTCTGCTGCTTGAAGGGTATAGTTTGCGCCATTAGGAGAGATGACTCCGCCGAATGAGCGGGAGAGTTTTGCACAAGCGCATGCTGCCCCTTTGGTAAGGGTGAAAGTGCCGAGGTCTGTTGTAATTGAGGATCCAACTGAGACCGCGGCACTGAGGCCGGCAGAGGCCAATGCAAAGAGTGATAGTTCAAAAGCTCTCATGATATACCGCCTGTATTCCAATGTCAATTGAGACCTGGAGCAGGTAAAATCAGGGTGGCATTTGAGCGTTTTATAATAACTTCCCCTGGACTAAGCTAACCATGGCATAACTTCGGGTCCTCTGTTGATCGTCCATCAATGCGAAGGTCTCTGCCGAGCGACGATCGCGGCTTCAGTTTGATCCAGGATGTCTAATTTTTGGCTATACATCGTACGATCATTGGATGATTTAGTTGGGAGTGAGGGTCCGACGTTTCGGAACCATGGGGGCTTCTGGTTGAGCTTGTTTAAAATTAAGCATGATTGTTGCCCTGCATTTGGGACTATTGATAAATCCATGGAACACATGCCAATGTGAAGTGTAGATGGGATGGCGATCAGTGGAGTAAACCCGAACCCGAATAAGAACCCGAGACAAACCTTAGAACAATGCTGGCTGCGGGCTCTTATTCGGGTTCGCATTAAGACGAAACCCTTGGTCCAAACTTTGTGTTTCAAGGTTTCCAGGCAACTATAGATGTGCAATGTAGACATGTGGTCCACCTTGCCAACTCTAGTGGTTGTGGAACGTGTGTCATGATACAGGCGGAGATATCATTGAAGGAAATTCTTTCTATAATACAGAGAAACACCGGAGACAAACCCTCATATCGCTACAGAAATCCAAAACGGATCACATCATGCACACTTATTTAGCCTTCTTGGCGGCCTTCTTATTGCCCCTCAAACTCTTCATCTCAGCAGCCCGCTCGGCACGAGCCTGGCGCTTTCTCCACGCAAGCCATCGGTTCCGGTTATCGTAGGGCTTAGCGAAGACACCAGCTGCCTCAGCAGCACGACCAATAACCCAATTGGCCTCACGGTACATGTATCCGGGACGAAGTTGAGGGCCGGTAGCGGCATCAGCAGCCGCCACGGATCCAACCTGGACGCCGTTCTCATCGATATTGGCTACCAGATCAGACTGCTCGGCAATGGGTTCCAATCGCGGAACCGAAACCATGTTCAGCCTGCGGCGGCTCGGCGCATTACGAGGGTACGGAAGCTTATCCTCCTTGTCGAACACAACTCCAATGTACTTCCGGTCGGGGTGCTGGAGAGGATCCAAGTAGTACCGGACATAGCCGGCTTGAGTAGCGTAGATGGTGTGGTCGCGACCCATGGCGCAGTTGTCGCCGGGGAACCATTTCGAGCCGCGCTGTTTGAAGATAATGCAACCGGGAACGACGTACTCGCCGCCGGAGCGCTTCGCGCCCAGACGCTTTCCAGCGGGATCGCGGGAGTGTCGGTTGGCCGTTCCTTGGGAGGCGTGAGAGGCGTAACGCACTTGGGAGAATGAGAGGAGAGAGGGTGTGGGTGTGGTTTTCGGGATGGTGAGGTTGGCGGAGAGGGTTCGTGTAATGAGCGATTGCGGCTGGTAGAGACTTGAAGCCGATCGGATGGATGGAGTGAAGGCTCGCTCCAGCGCCCGGAGGGGCGTCAGGAACCTAGGTTGCAGCATTGTTGGGCAATTCGAGGATAGTCTGGGGTTGCGGAAGTTGAAGCTCCAAAGGGGAACTTTTTCTTGGAGGCTTGGCGTCACGTGTGCGGGCCGTGAGCTGGCTTCATCTATACTTGACTTTCCATTTAAACGGCCAGGTCACACTCATCTTGGACTTATTCAACTCTTGTCCAGTGCACCATGCTGCGATCTGTTTTCCAGACTGTGTGGGCTATTTTCATGCTGGTCGCCGTTGCCCAGGCCCAGTTCAACTTCTTCGACCATATGTTTGGGGGCAACCAACAACAGCAAGGACACCACCAGGGCGCTCAGGATGTCTCCAGCGACAGCAGTCGGTACCAGAACTCATGGAACCAAGGTATGACGATAGTGTTGTGATGCGAGGATTAAATGTTTCCGTGCTTCAAGTTTACTGACAAGAGATTCTCCCACAGCTCAATGCAGCAAATATCTATGCCCTGATACGCTCGCCTGTGTTAGCGTCCCACACCATTGCCCATGCCCACACCCCAATGTCGAAGAAAAGGTCGAGCTAGGAGAAGGCAGTGCAATCTGCGTGTCGAAGGGTGGATTCAAAGCGGGCGAGGCTGCGCGGAAGATCGAATTGGCTCGCAAGGGATTGCTGTGAGCAATTGACAGTATTGGAGATACCGTAATACGCATTTTCTCTATATCTAGTGCCTGTATACGGGCTTTGAAGGGGTTACACTGCAATGGACTGTTCGCCGCAGGTCCGGATTGTCGTCCGCAAATATACATTTAGCATTTTCACCTCTCCATCACCTCCTTTTCAGGTATTACAGTAGGTGTATCAAATAAAAGGACATAATCAGATCCTGGTCCGACTTCAATACGTCTCCGGACTCGCCATTGAAAGTAGCACACTATTCAAGATTCTAAGAGTAATAACATTGAGTACATACCCAGGTAGCTACTCGCCCACGTTACTTTGTAGACTACGCTGGAATTTGAAGGTAATAAAAGAATGATGTGATACCCAATGAGCTACCTTGTCTTACTTACATCATGGGCTAACAGAACATTTTCTCATATATCGACGCAGATCAAGCGAAGTGATGCGATGTCGTTGAATAATTGAGATAACATTCTTACAATTACTGTGCGACTTCAAATGCGGTCAGTGAACGTGTCCAACTAATTCTGTGATCTTCAATTAAAAGAATCCCAAGATTATTGGATTACTGTAAGCAAGCTTGGAATATCCAATTTTTGTGGAAGCTAGAATCTTGTCGAGGCATCTTCGTAGAGAGCGATCTACACTCAGCGCTATCTCCGCTTAACGCCGCGGTGAGCTTTCGTCATTGCAGAACTTCTTTCCGCTCAGCACACCCTCCTCTGTACCCATCGTTCCCACCACTTGAATACTACATAGCGCCTATACATTGGCAGCTATCATCAGAATGTGGGGCAACAGACTCCGGCTAGTGTCGCTACGAAATGTTCCCTCTCAACGCGCTTTATCATCCCTAAGAAGCAGGAGTACCCCTCGAGGTTCCCGCATCTACAGACCACCGACTCAACCCGCCAAAAGCACACCCGAAACACCCAAGACGCCTGAAACGTCAGATGAGCCCGATCCAACAAGCCCTCAACCTCAAGATGGTCCCAATCCCAATTATGATCCCTCGAAAAACACTCTCCTCTCCCCTGTCCACATGCCAGAGGACCCGAATGGAGTGCTCAAGGAAAACCACCCCGCGACACGCATATTGGCAAACTCTGGACTAGTGGTTCAGCGGCAACTGGAAATTATGAATCTGATGGTGTGAGTGCAGAATATAACCCAGCTTATGGTCGTCTTACTAACACTCGTGTCTTGGTAGCGGTTTCGAACAAGCAAATAAATACGTTATTATGGATGCGCAGGGTAATCATGTTGGATACATGGCAGAGCAAGAGAAGGGAATGACAAATGCTATTTCACGTCAAATGTTCCGCACTCACCGAAGCTTTGTGACACATGTTTTCGATCGACATGAGAATGAAGTCTTGCGGGTAAGTCTATAAATCACGGTCTGTTTGAAAATTATTTGCTAATCAGTGCAGTTCCATCGCCCATTCTCCTGGATCAACTCTCGAATCAAAGTCTATGATCCTCTTGATGTCACCACAAGCGCCTATACCCCCTCCACTGCCCTCCAAAATACCACACCAGGGTCTCTTGTCTCAGCCAACGAGGCCTTGAACCCGCGCATTTCACCGCTCGGCTTTGATGAGATGCGGATTATTGGTGAATCTCAACAAGAGTGGGCGCCGCTACGCCGGAAATATAATCTCTTCACTTATCACCAATCTCCGAGTCAAGCGGTAGATATGGGTGTCCAGAAATTTTCACTTTCTGGATCGGATCTGTCAAAGTCCCAACAGATGCAAGTAGCACAGGGGTCTGAGTCAGGACAGGGCGAGTTTAACCAATTTGCATACGTCGATGCGCCATTCCTATCCTTGGACTTCAATCTACTATCTGCGGAAAATCAGTTAGTTGGGTCTGTGAACCGCAACTTTGGTGGCTTTGCCCGAGAGATTTTTACAGATACAGGTGTATATGCCTTGCGCATGGACTCCGCTGGAGCTGCAGCCGAAGCGTCACCCGCTGGAGGATCGCCTACTGAAGTGACAAACCCCACAGGCATGACACTTGACCAGCGTGCGGTTGTGCTAGCCACTGCCGTGACTATCGACTTCGATTACTTCAGTCGTCATAGCCATAGTGGTGGGTTCGGATTCATGCCATTGTGGTTCCCTGGCATGGGAGGGGAGGCTGCCGCTGGCGGCGCCGCAGCGGGTGGTGCGGTAGGTGGTGCGGCGGCTGGTGAAGCCGGAGCAGCAGGAGCAGCTGGAGCCATTGGCGAAGCCGCAACAGGCGCTGTTGGTCGAGCCGGTGCTGCAGGTGGATTGGCTGAAGGCATTGGCGCAGGCGCAACGGGTGCCGGTGCAATGGCTGGGTATGAAGCTATGCAACGTGGCATGTCGGGCGAACAAAGTAGCCAGGCACCACCGAGTGAACACCCCGATTATGCTACACACGAACAGCAGGCACAACAACAGCCTGGTGCCTCCCAAGATCCATGGGCTGAAGAACAACAAGAAGACGTCTGGAATGATGACCCTTTCGATGACTCTGGAGACTCTGAAGGTGGTGGGAGCATCTCTGACTGGTTTGACCTTTAAAGACTGTGACTCTGTATATTAAAATATCTCCCGATCGGCTATAGACAAAATAATCGCACCGCTCTCAATGTTTGATATCCGAAGCCTGGACCTGAGACGGGATCGACGTGGGGCAGACCAATGACGGTGTCCCCGCGGAACTCACCATTCCAATCATTCAGGATCCGCTGTTACACACTTTCACTTCTTTTTCTTCTTGTCTAAAATTCTGGATTTTATTTCTCACCAGTAACTACTATTTCACCATCTGTGAATTCCACCCAACTTGACCTCTTGATCTGTCTCCGCACTCTCAACGGGACTCCACCTTTTGCCACCCCTCGGAACCCAACCCAACCCACTTTCTTCAACAAAGCCTACTTCTTTCAAGAACTCGACTTCTAGTCTCTCACCTCCGAATTCCACAAAATGGCCTCCACAGTCGCCCAGAAGCGCTTGTTTCACGAGTACAAGAACCTTTCCACCAACCCACCGGAGGGCATCACCGCGGGCCCAGTGTCGGAAGACGACATGTTCTACTGGGAAGCCCTGATCGAGGGTCCTGGAGGCACTCCTTTTGAGGGCGGAGTATTCGCTGCTGAGCTCAAGTTCCCCAAAGACTACCCTCTCAGCCCACCAACAATGAAGTTTGTTGGCGGCGGAGTGTGGCATCCCAATGGTAAGTTCTTCCCGGCAATAGTCCGTTGTTTTGTCCCGCGTCTGCTAGATATCTAGAATCTGAGCGAATGCCAACTCATATGAAATGCATTAGTCTACCCCAATGGCACAGTTTGTATCTCCATCCTGCACCCACCCGGCGACGACCCGAACCACTACGAACACGCCTCGGAGCGCTGGTCGCCTATTCAGAGTGTGGAGAAGATTCTCATCTCCGTCATGAGCATGCTTGCTGAGCCCAATGATGAGAGTCCCGCCAATGTCGAGGCGGCCAAGATGTGGCGTGAGCGGAGGCCCGAATATGAGCAGAAGGTCCGGGATGAGGTGCGAAAGGGACTGGGACTTTAAGCGATTTGGCGAAATCGATAACGACACAGGATACGCGTTGATGACTTGGCGTCAGTGGTGGTTTCTTGAATTTTCTTGCATGGCTTGGGATTAGCTTCTCGATGCTTTTGTATGTCTAACGATTGAAAATGAGAGCGTGAGACAGTTTCATTATAATCATTCGGTCTCCGTAGGCTATACGCATTATGATATACTTATTATACAAGCAGCAGTAATCCACTTCTATGCCTGCCGGAACATCTTTCGATCAATCCATGCTTCAAGGCCACCGTCACGCTCATAGATCGTCTCAATTTCCGCTTTGACATTTAGCATCAACATCCTCTGCAGCTCAACACGCCATTCAGGCTCTGGCCCGCCATCAGCCCAGATGGGACTATTGCGGAGCATGGAGTGAATTTTCCTGTGGTCCCTGGCAGTCAAAGGAAGAAGGACGCTCTCCGAAACATCCGAGTCCACGACTGCGTCCGATACTCGAATTCCAAGATACTTCAATCCGGGCACAGCAAGTCGTGTGTTCTCATGGAGGTGCGCTAGAGACCCATACTTGTACGTCGACATAATCGCTATACCATCGGGATCTCCATCAACCAGTGCATAAATGGGCGGCGGGCGTCTATTGCTATTGGATGCGAAATCGAAGAGCCGTCGGATGAATGCACGCGTGCAAATATCCGGATATCCTTTCCCCTGGTTTTCTGTCCATTAGTCATGCATGTCTACAAGATTCGAATATCCCAGACTTACAGTGATGAGGATGCCTTTACCAGCAAGAGCTGTCGTGTGGTGATTATTCCTTGCAAGTCGATGGAACACTGCCTTCAAATGGTCAACCGCGCATCTGAATGGAGGGTATCTGCAAGATATGCATACTTCTTTCTCAATGATGAGCACCCAGCGAGCGCCAAATATATCAATTTCGTCGTTTTCCTGGATTCGAGGAATCAAAGTGTCCTAAGTGTCCTCCCTCCATCAGATCCACAGTCCAATGCCCATGAAGCCAAAATTTACACTACCTGAGAAGAAGACCTGGCATCTAGCACGATCTGTGATTCACGTCTCAAAACAAATGACCCAGTCACCAGTCCTTTCCCCGCTGCTTCCTATCGCGTGTGAGCATACCCCCGCCTGTATTTCGCAGGCCCAGGAGGAACTCACAATATTCAAAGCCGCTCGATCCACGCCAATAGTGTATGCAAGGTCATCCACAATTCTATCCACGACATGCTGCGATCTGAAGTATGCCGGGTCAGTATAGTAAATGTCCCTGTGCAGAAATACTCAGCATTTTTCCGCCTAATGCCATCGACACCAAGAACTGACTCACCTCTTCGAAATCAATTGTCCCACTCTTATCGCCTCATCGATCACTGAAAGGATTCGAACGATAATTGCTACCCGAGAAAACTCAAATCAGCATGCCATACAACAAATTGAGGACAAGAATCTCAAGAATAGAAGCTCATACTGAACCTCCATGCTTCAAATGCCGAGTTCCCTGGCCAGGTATAAGTCCGGTATGAGACCACCGGCTGAATTGCTTCCAGTGCGCCATTCTGTGGGTTGATGTTGTATCCAGCTGGATTTGTTCTCCGCCGCAGTGTAACTGACGGTTGTCCTTCTGACGGTGGTAGCGAAAGCTCATGGAGTAAAGTCGTAAGGGTATTGTCGATGTAGGTGCGGACCGAGGTTTCTCCAGCATCCCCGGTCATAGATGAATGTGTGATTATTGATGGCTGAGCCATTGGATGATTGTATAAATTGAGAGTACAGCAATTTTACATTGTAGTGCTGCACATGTCCATGCGGATGGGACAAAAAACGTGACCACTTCCATTTTCAACCTGGATTAGGTCAATTATCTCATCAAGTGATATTGATTCTATGGCTATCTTTGGACTCTATGCCTGGGATGTTTCAAAACAATGGATAGAGAATATTTGAAATATTTGTTTATTGTTTACTGTGACTATACTTCGAGAACGCCTTTGTTCCGAGTCCACTAGCCCCTTTGACCGTGTAATCCAACCAACCACCGCACCCATGAATATCCTCCCACTTCACGATATCAATTAATTATTTCTTCTCTGAAGGAAGAAGAATCCATTAAAATCAATAAAACATCGAATCGGCTGCATCACATGAAAATCCGCGTACTTCATTGTACCGTGAAACTCTGAGACTGCTGACTCAGCTTCCCCAGGGGGCTCGACCCGCTTTGAAGGTGATCCAATGTTATCAATTCTACCTGTTCCCAGGCTACAGCTAAACTTTTCCAATTGTATTCGGAGAAGTTGGTAAATTAAGAATCATGACTTCTCCAGTTGGTCCCTGGAGGACAGATGCTCAGGGTCACCTAAAGTCGGATGACAATGGCGACCCAAAGACCGACTACACTCGCTGGCGGTTGGTCAACGAAGAAGGCCGCCAGACTTGGCGGTATCTTGAATCCGACACAGAGAACTCTGCCTGGCTGCAGACAGTCGCTGAAAAGTACCACATGGGACTTCCAACAGTAAGTAGTCAAACCTTAAATTCGATGCCTCAGCGCTAACCTGTCTCTGCCAGGGTCTCCCTATTTTGCCAGAGGCCAAGACACCTCTCCAGTCAGCTGAGAATGGCCTGTCTTTCTTCTCAAAGCTCCAGCTAGAGCCTGGAAATTGGGCTTGTGAGTATGGAGGTCCTATGTTCCTTCTGCCAGGTATTTTGATCACCTATTATGTGACCAACACTCCCATCCCCCCGGAGTATGCTACAGAGATCAAGCGTTATCTGTTTGCCCGCCAAAATCCTGAGGATGGTGGCTGGGGCTTGCACATCGAAGCCCACAGCTCTTGCTTTGGCACTTCTATGAACTATGTCGCTCTGCGCCTGGTCGGTGCCCACGAGGATGATCCCCGCATGATCAAAGCACGTGGCCTGCTGCACAAATTTGGTGGTGCTACCTACGGACCTCACTGGGCTAAATTCTGGCTGAGTGTACTGGGTGTGATGGATTGGGAGGGTGTGAATCCCGTTCCTCCTGAGATTTGGTTTGTGGTATATAGGTCAAGTCATTGAGACTTTGCTAATTGATATTGCAGGCTCCTTCCCGACTGGGTTCCTTTTGCCCCCTGGCGCTGGTGGATTCACATGCGCCAGGTCTTCTTGCCTATGTCTTACATCTGGTCTAAGAAGTGGTCTTTCCCGCTCAATGACTTTACCAAGCAGCTCCGACAGGAACTTTACCCTCAGCCATACGAGTCTATTAACTTTGCCCAACACCGCAATTCTATCCATCCTGCTGATAATTACTACCCGAAGACTTGGCTCTTGAACGGTATCAATGAGCTTCTGGTCCGGGTGTGGAACCCATTCCTTAGAGTCAAGGCTATCACCAAAAGGGCCGAAGACTGGACCTGGGAACTGATCCGTATGGAAGACGAGAACACCGACTACGCAGGTTTGGGACCTGTCAATAACCCTATGAATATGGTTGCCTGCTATATCCATGATGGCCCTGATAGCTATTCCGTGCGTCGACACCGGGAGCGACTCAACGACTATATGTGGCTGAAGGGTGAGGGCATGTTGGCAAATGGTACCAACGGTGTCCAGGTGTGGGATACAACATTCGTTACTCAGGCGGTCGTGGTCGCTGGACTTGCCGATGACCCCAAGTGGCGACCCATGCTAACGAAGGCTCTCGAGTTCATCGAAGATCACCAGCTGAGAGAGAACGTGCCTGATCAAGAGAAGTGCTACCGGCAACATCGTAAAGGTGCTTGGCCTTTCAGTACCAAGACACAGGGATACACTGTCAGTGATTGCACCGCTGAGGGTCTTCGATCGACTATCCAGCTCCAGGAAATGTATGACTTCCCTAAGCTTATTTCTTTGGACCGCCTGAAGGATAGCGTCGACTGTCTGTTGTTGATGCAGAACCCCACTGGTGGCTTCACTGAATATGAGACTACCCGTGCATCTGCTAAGGTGGAGTGGCTAAACGCTGCCGAGGTTTTCGGTGGGATCATGATTGGCTACGACTACCCAGAGTGCACTACAGCGTCAGTGACAGCGTTATCCCTGTTCAGCAAGTTCTACCCAGACTACCGCGCGGCCGAGATTAAGGCTGCCAAGGACAAGGCTGTTACCTACATCAAGCGTGTCCAGCGGACCGATGGAAGCTGGTACGGATCTTGGGGAATCTGTTTCACCTACGCCGCGATGTTCGCCCTCGAGAGTCTGGCCAGCATCGGCGAGACATTCGAGACCAGCGAGAACTCTCGCCGCGGTTGCGAGTTCCTGCTGTCCAAGCAGAAGGAGGACGGTGGCTGGGGTGAATCCTATCTCAGCAGTGAGAAGCATGTCTACGTTCAACATGAGAAGTCACAAGTGTGTCAGACCGCATGGGCTTGTCTGGCGCTGCTGGAAGCCCAGTATCCCCACAAGGAGCCCCTTGAGAAGGCTATGAAGCTGCTGATGTCCCGGCAACAAGCCAATGGCGAGTGGCTACAGGAGTCTATTGAAGGTGTCTTCAACCAGTCATGGTATGTCCGAAATCCTTTCTCTGAAATTAGTGTGAAACTGACCTATTTTAGCATGATCTCCTACCCTAACTACAAGTTCTACTGGCCAATTCGTGCTCTTGGCCTGTATGCCAAGAAATTCGGCAACGAGCCGCTGCAGTAAAGACGAGCATCAAGGTGCTCTATTCTGTACCATTCCATTAATTAATAATCAGAGCCTCAAGCTCAGTACATACTATGAACATACTCTCGGGCATTGTTTATCCTTATCGTACCTATGACTACCTGACTTTGGGAGCCGCATCCCCACATTACGTAATCCGAGCTTCAGCGGAGAAAGCTGTAGAATCGGAGACTTGCATCTCCGACTATTTTTGGTACGTTCTGTTCACTCGTACATCCGGTCTTCCCAGGTGCTTTGACTTCACCCCACCCGCAAGCACGCGTCGGTTCTATTCTGTTGCTTTTCTAGAACGCCAACATATACCAAGCAATAACGCCCCTCTGCCCGCCACAATCACTCCATCCACCACCTGCTTCTCTTTTCCAGAAGCTACCAACCTGCCGACTGCTATCAACCGGTCAGACTTCCACTGCCGTCACCATGAACTCCGCATCGCAAGGTGAGAAGGCCCTCGCCGAGTCGAACGCTCCCCTTGCAATTCAACACTTCACTCGTGCCCTGTGCGAGTTACCCCGCGCCCCAGCATACTACATCAACCGCTCAACCGCATACTCACGCCTGAAGCCCGCTGACGGTGGTCCTAACCGGACTGCTGCATTGCGCGATGCTGAAATTGCAGTCTTTCTCGCTCGCGAGCGTGGCAAGCGCGAGCTTATTCTGTCTGCACAGATGCGGCGCGGTATTGTCCTCTTCCAGATGGAGCGGTACGGCGATGCCCACTACATTTTTGAGCAGATTGAAGCCAAGACAGGTGGCCCGAGCCAACCTGTTGATAAGTCTGAGGGAATTAAGAACGCCATGGCTGGCGGATGGACCAAAAAGGACGGATACAGTGCAGAGTTGCCGATCTGGATGGCGAAGGTCCGCCGGAAGCTGAGTGAATTTGAGGGTGATGAAAAAACCGCTGTTTCGGTTGCTGAGTACCCTACCGACGTACGCGTACCGACTGAGAAGGAGTTGAAAGCCGAATGGGAGAGACTCAAGTCTGGAAAATCAGGCGCCGAAGATTCACCAGCCGCCCAGCCTACTACTGGGGCTGCAGCTTCGTCTGCGGAGTCGAAGGCGCACGCCGTAGAGCAGCAGCCTGCTAGCAATGCTTCCGCCACAGCTATTCCGGAGAAGATTCGTCATGAATGGTACCAATCCCAGGATTCAGTTGTTGTGACGCTGTACGTGAAGAACGTCCCAAAGGACAAAGTCGAAACTGAGCTGAAGGACGACTCGGTAAGTTAACTTCTTTTGAATTTGTGCAACTGGTGAACAGTATAAGCTAACTATTATTTTGCAGATATCTCTCCAATTCCCTCTACCATCTGGCTCTGAGTATGATTTCACCCTTGACCCGCTCTATGCACCCATCAACACATCGGCCTCTAAGATCACTGTCATGGGCACAAAAATCGAAATCGTCTTGCAGAAGCAGACACCGGGCCAGAAGTGGAATGCCCTTGAGGCATCTGCCGGCACCACGAAGCTTGCAGACCGACCGTCCGCGCCAGCTGCACCGGCGCCAGCTACCGCTGGGCCCGCCTACCCGACCTCATCTCGCCATGGCACCAAGGACTGGGACAAGGTTGCGTCTGCCCTTACGGCTAAGAAGTCCAAGAATGCCAAACCCAAGGAAAAGGACGATGGGGACGATTCCGATGCCGAATCCGTAGACTCGGACTTTGGCGGTGATGCCGTGGATGGGTTCTTTAAAAAGCTCTATGCCGGTGCTGACCCTGACACTCGTCGTGCTATGATGAAGAGCTACCAGGAGAGTAACGGCACATCGCTGAGCACCAATTGGAGCGAGGTCGGAGCCAAGAAGATGGAACCCCACCCACCCTCCTAGTTAAAGGAACACGATCTATGCTTGCTTTGTTAGGTTCTACCTTTTATTTTTTCTTCTTTCTTTTACCGCATTCAGCGAATGGTGCATTGCTACATGTCTTTACGGCGCATACGAATAATTTGAAATGGGCTAAGAACCGAATTAATAAACAACCATAGCTTACCTTGGTTTTCATCAGTAACAAAGTTCACCTAATGCCGAGTTACGACTATGTGTAATACTATCATGCCAATGGAGAATGGATATTCATATCTATTTGATAATCCCATCCTTCTCAAACTCAAAGGTTGTGATGGACCGTTCTCGGGTGAAGCTGGACGTATTGGACATATTTATGACTAACACTGCCACGGATATTGCAAGCTTCACTTCCTTGGTTCCGATTTATTCCTTAACGCTTACTCATCCGAGGTAGTTCATTGTGGATATAGACTAAAATTTTAGCATTGACATCGGATATTAAGATCACACTCATTGGCCGCAAAGGAAACTACCGTACATATAAAAGAGAATATTCGGCGGACGATCATTCACTAAGGTTCTACAGAGCGGGGAAGTACTGAAGGATAAACGTCAAATGCTCCATAGTTGCATGCATTAACAAAACCATCCACACTATTAAAGAGGAAATCTCCAATAAAACTCTTATGTTGGGTCAGAACGCAGCCGTGTAAACCAAGGTTCTCACCGGGAGTGGGGCTTAAAATTAAGCTCATGCTCCGCGAACCCTAACTTTTACCTAATTCTCCCGATCAAGTTGGAGTCTGTTGGAGTAGACTTGGCACCATCTCTTACGCGGCGATGTTTTTATTACACACGAGTTATTGAAAGACAATATTCAGTCTAACTTTTTTAGCCAGTATTCCCGATGGCGCCGTGGGGTCGCTTGCTGTCTTATTTCAAACGCATCCTCCGGTAGCCGGAGGCCATCAAGTAAACCTACAACACAGATAGAAAAAAAAATCTCCAGAACAAACACCCATATTCATATCATAAAACCACCACAAGCAGCCATGGTCCGCAACATCCACATCGCAGTCTTGGACGTCGATATCCCTGCTCGTCCTCTGTACGAAGCAAGAGGCCTCTGCAGCGCCCACTTCCGCGACATCCTACGCGAAACAGCAGCCCACCTTAATAACACACACCCGGATAACACAAACCCTGTCAATATCACCGTTACGGCATTCGACATCCGCGGAGGTCATTATCCTGAATTCGAGCACCTGCGCGGAAGTGCCGCCCAAAGCCAGCAGCAATGGCCCGTCCTCAACCCCGTCGACGCAATCCTGATCACAGGCGGCTCGCCCGGCGTGTATGAAATGACCCACTCGCCCTGGATGCAGGTTCTGGAGAAATTCATCAAAAACGTCTACGACAACTACCCCGAAGTCCGCATTATGGGTACCTGTTTCGGCCACCAGCTTATTTCTCATGTTCTTGTTCGCGCGCCGGATGACCCCGTTCGCGATGTGTATGTTGAGAAGTGCCCTCTTGGAAGGGAAGTTGGTATCTATACTGTTCAGTTGAACGAGGAATTCGTGCGCTCGTTCCCGACTGCGCTCGGTCATTTGCCTGAGAATAAGTTGCGGATTCAGATGTTCCACGGTGATCGTGTTATGGCCGTTGAGAAGGGTGTTGCGGTCTCGCTGAGCGAGTCGCCGCCTGTTTCTCTTCCGGCACCGTGGATTAATATTGGAAGTACGCCTATTTGTCCTATTCAGGGACTTTACAGTCCTGGACGGGTCCTTTCGGTCCAGGGACATTATGAGATGGATGCGTTTGGCTTGTCACAGATGTGTATTGAGGCTGCTCCGGTTATGGGGTGGAAGGATTCAAAGTTGGCGCTCTTCTTGGAGCAGGTTGGGCCTGATCTCGTGGATCGTCAGGATGATGCTAAGGCTTTTGCGTCGGCCGTTGTTTGTTTCTTGGCTGATCTCGAATGACTTGAGTGTGACAAGGTCTATTATATCTATAAAAGTTTATCTTCAACTGTTTCACATATAGCATTATGGTGTAAATGTATTTATGGGCATAAGATCCGAACATGCGTAGCCTCATTCATCCTTCCAATCTCGCTTCTTTAAAGTGTATATCTGAACGAGATGTTCTGTCGATCTGTCAAATCTGCGAAGGCATTTGCCAGCTCCATCTCTTCATTTGTCTCGCCCACATCCTCCAATTCCCGCTTCTTGTTTTCCCGCTTGTAAAGCATGTAGAGAACGGAGAACAGCAAGATATTGATCGCGAACATGCACAGTGAAGTGACCATACCGGTGGTATACTTGGGCGCCTCGGCTGTGATAAACGTCTGCGGCGAGATAATATTGGCAACACAGTTGGACGAAAAGAACATGGCACCAACCAAAACCTTCTTCGAATAACCAGCCACATTACTCGCAAGTAGCGAGTACATGATTCCTGCAGCAGCGGCGACCATGGGCACGATGAAGATAGCAAAGAGATGCAGGTGCTTTGTCGAACTTTCGATTGGGCTGGCGTATAAGATGACAGAGGAGATTATACCGGGGATGTAGCAGAGAATAATGCAAAATATTCTCTTATCCTTACCCCACCTTGTGGAAAGGAAAGAACTGACGATAATCATGGTGACAGCCATGATAATTCCAGGGGAATGTTCAACAGGACAGCTTCGTAGGTACTGTAACCGAAGCCCTTGATGATGATTCCCATGAATGTAGTTTGGAGACTGTTGGTCATGTTGTGGCAGAAGATCGCAATGACAAGCATCCAGATACGGAGATCAAACAAGGTCTCTTTGAACTGCGCCGTCTTGACATTGCTGTTCTTCACACCGGTCTTGTTGCTCTTAAGGCGGTCCACGACAATGAATCGCTCTCGCTCAGTCAGGAAGCGCGCTGTCATTGGCGTGTCAGGTAGCAACCACCAGAGGGAGATGCCGAAGCAGAACGTTACTGCTCCGAATATGATGAACATCCATTGGTAGGCGAACAGATTACGCGCCTGGCAAAATTGAGGTTAGCGAGACTTTAGGTACGAATGTATAGTATGACTCACATGAAGATGTGCGATGGCATAGAAGATTGCGCCCGAAGGCGCTCCGATGAAGCCATTGGCACTGTACCACAACCCAACACGGAAGGGCTGTTCCTCGCGCTTCCACCACGATGACGTGATCAGGACAAAGCCAGGGTTCAGGGCTGATTCGAATATGCCGAGGAGGAGTCGGAGGGCTGCTAGGGAGCGGAAGGTTGTGCAGGCTCCGGTAGCTGTCAAAGTGGCACCTAGAATAAAGTAAACAACGTTAGTGACTGGCTATTTAAGGTTTAACATATATGCCACATACCCCAGAGCACAAATGTGATGGTCAAAACTTTCGCGATTGGTAGTCTTTGCATCAGCCAATTGGCCGGCCATTGGGCAGCCAAGTATCCAATGTAAAAGATCGTGGTGAGCAAGCTATATTGCTGTCCCACCAAGTGTGCCTCAGTGGCTAGCCCATAGGTTCCAGCATAGGACATAGTCTGTATTGTTTCTGATTAGCCCAAGAGCCTCGATATTGGGAGACAAGGATAAATTACATTCTTATCCACGAATTGAAACCCGTTAACAATAAGCATCAGTGTAAGCATTCGAATATCAACCTTGCGAAGAACACGCCTCTCTTCCTCCTTTGAGTAAGGCTCATGACCCTGCTGGAGGAATTGCAGAGCATCATCGCCATTGTGAATCTTGTCAACGACGTCCGCCGAGATAATTATAGGAGCAGGCTGAGCATTCTCGAGCTGGTCAACGGAGGGAGCGTCCTTGCCGTCTGCCTTCATGATGAAAGATGGTAATTGGAGGCAGAAGTGTCCTGTTCCAACCCCAGAATTTGGGGGTTTTTATAGCATAATTTCCGCATTCTGTCCACATATTCTGGTCTCCACAGCTACCCCGGATAAGTGATGATTGTGGGGAATCACAGGGATTAGAACCGGGGGAGTATTGATCCTGCGGGGAAATGCCCCCAGACTAGCACAACATTGCCGAGATACCTACCTAGCTTCGCTTAAGTACCGCGTGGCTTGGCTCTAAACTCCATCGAGACATGTAAACTTGAGCTGAATGGCGTTTTGAGTCATTTGACTTTGAAGGCTGATGTTCTAGTTCTGTTAGCTCGGGCTAAGCTAATACCCTTCCGAGGTTGATCCGAGTGATTATTTTACGTTTTGCCGGTTATAAAGATGCCCCTCATGTCCGCCTAACGAGTCTACTTCTTTGGGACAATTTTTCATTTGAAATGGCTGATACCACAATCCATATTAATGCTCCTTCTCTTGGTGCCGAGATCCTCGGTGCTCTCGACAATGACAGTAATATCGCGCTTTTCCGTGGAATCCCCTACGCAGATGTCTTCAAGCGCTGGACGCATAGCGTGACTCGACACTCATTAGAGGGCACATACGATGCGACGCAGTTTGGTCCTCGTTGTAACCAGGGAAATGGCATGGTTCTAGTTACAGGAGGAACCAATGATGCCACTCCAGGCGATGACGAGTTTAAATGCCTGAACCTCAATATTGCTGTTCCGAATGAAGCCATTGGAAAAGCCGAATCTTTGCCTGTTATGGTGTGGATTCATGGGTATGTGCACAACCAACTATGCCACTCCGAATCATACTAACTAATCGTCAACAGTGGTGGCTTCGCCTACGGCGCAAACTCTGTCGCCCGTTATCGTCCCCAGAGCTTTATGGCCCACGCCCGGAAATCAAATACCCCTGTCATCCTAGTCCAGATGAACTACCGCCTTGGCGCTCTCGGCTTTTCCGCTTCTACAGACTTGGCTACGGAAGTTGAGGGTAGCACAGAACCGATCGGAAACTATGGTCTCGTTGACCAACGGAATGCATTGGAGTGGGTTAACCAACATATCGCCGACTTTGGCGGTGACCCGAATAACATCACTGTCTTTGGCGTTAGTGCTGGTAGTGCCAGTATCCATGCTCACTTGCTTGCGGGTCATGAGTTGTTCGACCGAGCGATCATGATGTCCGGTGCTGCTCCAACTCTGTTCCCAGTCCGTAGTGAACTCTTTGAGGAGCAGTGGAATGGACTGTGTGAGCGGGCCGGCGCTACTGAGTCTACTGCTGGTGCTCGACTGGAACACCTTCGCAGTCTGGATATTAATGATATTCTCAAATATGCCGGCCAGGCTGTGATGGGACCGGCCGGCGATGGGAAGCTTATTCCTAAGACCTGGTCGTTCGATGATAATGTCTCCAATGCTCGTTGCAAGTCTATTATCCTTGGTGATACTAACGTCGAAGCACTCATCTTCGATGGTATGCTAGGCAGACTGACTCAAGAGAAGATGCATGAGGCTATCACACGGAGCTTCCCGGATAGCAAGGCGAGCGAGTTATGTCACCACTTTGGCTTTTCGCAAGGACAGTCTGCTGAGGATTTCCGTGATGCCTTCCGCCTTCTTCTGGGCACTATTTTGTTCCAGTATCCCAACATCGGTATTGCCGAGGCATCTCGCAAATCTGACTCGTGGAAGAATAATGTTTTCTTGTACCACTGGGAAGAGCCATCGCCCTTCCCTGGTGCTACAATAGGAATGTCTTATCATGGCCTTTGTGCCCTTCTCATGCATCTGAATGAGCTGGATTCTTGTCCTCAAGCCACTCGCGATGTCTCATTGGAAGCTGCTCGCGTTTGGGCGGCTTTCGCTCATGGTCAACAGCCATGGGAGGCTTACTCGACAAACTGTCAATTCATGCGCTTTGGGCCAGAAGGTAAGACGGGTCTTTCCGCCTTTTCTGATGACCATACTCGAGCATACGGTTTTCTTGAGTGGTTGGGAGAGAACTTTGACGATGTGAGACGGTTCATACGTGAAGACTTGATGTATAAGCTAGAGAACGGCACGATTTAAGAAAACGATAGTTAGATTTTACTTAAATCTCGTATAAATATATAAAAGGTTGTATGTTCGTCTGATCAATCATATATACAAATGCACATTCAGTATTCATTCATCGTGTTCATCAATATCCTTGGCATCGCGGTACAAGAAAAATTGTACGAAAATCGCCCCGTCTAGCAGCAATGTTCCAAAGCTGCCAATCAGCCACGACAAATTGACCAAGATATATCGTCCGTAAATAGCAGTGGTCTCACCCGGGGCACACTTAGGACGGTGGTGATGATGGGAAGAGACATCCACACTTTCCGTCCCCCGGCAGACGGGAGAGTATGCCAGGATAGACAGCACATAAGTAAGATTGCCAATGCAGGCAAAGAGGAAGAACAGGAAAGAGACACCGTCGGTAGATTTGCGCCGGAAGTTCAAAAGAATTTGAGGAAGCCGAGAGCCGAGGTACAGAGCCGCGCATAGGTATCCGAACACCTGACCCATTGTATCCATGGTGAGAGGCTCGGGCTCCGAGCTCGGTTTCTTCGAGGCCGGGCTGAAATACCAGCCTAACACGCCTGCAGTGCAAACTAGGGCAATGGCAGTGGTGTTGAACAGAAAAGCCTGGATGTTGGAGATCCGACGCTGGCGACGACGCGCGAGAGCAGCGGTATTTACATTTGCATCAATGAGAGGCGTCGCGGGAGAGAGATGTGTTCCATCGACGGAGTGCAAGATATCTCGGAATGAGGTTGCAGAATGACGTCGTTCCTGGGCTAATGAGGGTACAACATGTTGTTGATGACCATTGGTAGCCACATGCGAGTCCTGGATATTATGTCCATTGGGCTTAGGGAGCAGAGCTGATTGCTCAGTTGGTGCCGGCGCAGAGTCAGCACCTTCGCCTAATGCACCCGAGCCAGCATCTGAGGTGGGAGATGAAGAAAACTCTTCTCTCAGGTTAAAGCCTCGGTAGTAGAAGCACTGTCCAAGCAGAACAATATCTGCCAAGGTGTAGTAGACTGCCAAGATAATCATAGTAGGCAGAACGCCCTGCATGACAGCTCCAAGGATATTGAAGACATCGCCAGCCAACCAGACGACGAGGAAAAGAAGTGAGAGACCATCTGCAGAGCCACGTCGGAAGTTCTCAATGATCTGTGGAGAGAAAACCACCACCCAGCAGACAAGAGAGATTGAACTAAGAAAAGATCAGTAAAGTGTGGAGGCACTTTTAGGGTGTGGGGTTGTGACAGATCAGTCGATCACGTCAAATAGATGCAGGTAGAACAGAAATCCGCATACTGGGAGTCCCGCGAAACACCTGAGCATGCAACAATTGATTGGAGTATTGAAATATAGGCTTGACTTACCCACAGATGCCACTCAGGGCCTCAATGTTTAGGTTGCCCACCGGTGGGGGGAACATGGCGTGTGCAGAATAGTGATTTGAATCGATGTGCCGGCAACGAAGGACGCTGCTAAGGTGTATCCGGATGGGTAGGGCACAGCGATCAAAATTCACAGATTATTAAGTGAAAATCGCGCCCTTGCAATTGTTAATCATGCCAATTGATGTCAAAAGGAAAAAGTTAGAGAAATCCGCGGGACTAAATTAGATGACGTCGAGTCACGTGGTGTTCCATCTATGTGGATATGAAATTGGTGGCAAGCACCATCTCAGAAGTTTTCAAGTGTGTTTATATTCCTTCAAGAGCTATTTCACCTTCAGAACCATCTGTAGGTAATTAGAAGATAAGGTTGAGCTACTAGTTGAAAATAGTGAGACTAATGGCAAGAGGGTTGACAAAGATCAGGATACTAAGACAAGGAACGTCTGACATGTCAGTACCTCGCCCTAGCCAATGCCAGCCAAATGCCGGCCATAGCCTTACGATTCCTGTAAAAGTATACGCAGGAAAGCTGAGATATTCTACTCAATATGATTTTGTCCCGAAAACGCCGTGCGATGCATACATGAAAACCACCTGGAATACCCCCAAAACATAGATAGACATACGAAAATGCAAGAGTTTTTTTTTCTTCCGCTTAGGCAGATGCATCTATTTGGCCTGGCTTGCCAACCATGCCTCGTGAGCCTTCTTCTGGCGCTCCCAGTCCTTGCGAAGCTTCTTTGCCCGGCTCTTGGTGATCTCCTCTCCAGCGGTGTCACGGGTGGGAAGACCCTCATCATCCCAGGCGCTGTACTCGCTAGTGCGGAACATCTCTAGGTGACTGAGCTTGCCCTTCTCAAGTTTCTTGAGAGCCTCCTCTTCCTTCGCCTTCTGAGCCTGGACCTTTTGGCGAGCGCGTTCGGCCTTTTCCTCGCGAGCCTGGATCATTTCACGGGTCACAGGGCGGATGAGAGCGGGGAGGTTATCGCGGTCCTCGAGGTAGAGGCCGAGATCGAAGAGGTCAATGTCTCGGACGCGATCGCAGAGAGCCAGAATCTCCTTTCCAGCGGTGTCAGATGACTGCAAAGCAGAGGCCGAGGCACGGAAGTTGGAGAGGACCTCGGCGTAAGGCTTGGCGGCATCAGAAATATCCTGGGATGCAGACTCCTTGGTAGCCTGTTCAATCACCTGGGCGGAGATTCCCTCCTTTGAGCGGGCCGCTTGGCGGAGAGTATCACGCATGGTAGAAAGGGGCAAGATGAAAGGCTTAGCCTCCTCAGGGACATCGATACCCGACCAACCGATCTCAGTGGTGTCAGCGGGAGCGGATCCGTTGAGACCAAAGATATTAACCAATCGAGTGATGAATTGAGCGGCAGCCTTGACATCGTCAGGGTTGATAGTGGCCTTGTCGGCGGTGTTGTATTTGGTGATGAGCTCTGAGATGGCGTTCATAGCTCCCACGGTGTTGAAAGAATCACAAAGATAACCGTCTACAGCAGTCTTGGCCGCTTCAAGGTCGGCACCGAAAGTGTTGTCAGGGGAGGCAGAGCCCTGGAGAGCGGCGGGGTCCTTCACCTTAATGAAGAAGTTGTTCACCTTGTCTTCCCAGGAGCTGCAGGCAGAGACAAGCTCGTCAGTAATCTCTACGCCATCCTTCCAGCCACCAAGAAGGAATGTAATTCGCAGGCTTCTTGATGTCCACTGCTCCTTCTCTAGTGCTTCCCGAATTGTAGTGAAGTTTTTCAAGGACTTGGACATCTTGGAGCCCTGGATAGACAGGTGACCCATGTGCAAGAAGTAGTTAACCCACTGTTCGTGGTTATGGAAGTATGCCTCACTCTGAGCCAACTCATTATCGTGGTGGGGGAAAGCAAGATCGATACCACCCGAGTGAATATCCATCTGCTGGCCAAGTCGGGCAGACGCCATGGCCGAGCACTCGATGTGCCAGCCAGGGCGACCCTTGCCCCAAGAGCTGTCCCAGCTTGGCTCTCCAGGCTTAGAAGACTTCCAGAGAGCAAAGTCGGAAGCACCACGCTTCTCGCTGGTCTTGCTAGTAAGGGCTCCCTCACCCTCAGCAGCCAATTTGTTATCAGAGCGACTCCAGGGCTCAAGACGGGCGTACTTGTGTCCTGCACCCTCAAAAGCGTTGATATCGAAATACACCGATCCATCCTCAGTGACATATCCGAAGTTGTTCTTCACAATGCGCTCGACAAAATCCGCGATCTCAGGGCCGTATTCGGTAACACGAGTCAGCTCATCGGGGTCGAGGACATTAAGATCCCGCATGTCATTCATGAAACGCTCCTCATATTTGCGAGTGAGCTTTGTGAAGATTCCGTGATCATTGGCGTCGATCAATGCGCCCTTCAAGGCATCCAGGTATGGGAGGAGAACATCCTGAGCACTGGAGTAGAAGGACTCGGCAAACAACGCGGGGTCGGCAGCTGTGCTGGCCTGAGCTTGGGCAAGAACCTTTGCAGCCGATGCCACTGTCTTGATGTGCATTTTAACCTTGGCCTCGTCATCACCCGCCTTTTCGTTGCCAGCCAAAGCTCCACCGCTCAGCACCGTTGCGTAAGCCTTCTCCACCTCATTTTGGTATTCTGAGGGGGCGAGGTCAGGGCTCAACAAGGAGAGATTCTTCTTAATGTAGGCAGAGTAGGCCTTCTTGGCGGTGTCGAGCACGTCCGGTGTGACTGTGGGGTTGATTGTGACGAATTCGTTGAAGAGGTGTTGCTGTCTCGCGCGCAGGATGATCTATAGGTGGGGGCTATGTAAGTCGCCATTGCGCGCGATCTGGGGTCCATATCACCAACTCCGGGGGCCATACCTTGTCATCAACGTCTGTGATGTTCATCACGAAGTGGACGTCGAACTTGAAGTAGTCGCGCATAATGCGCCGGATGATATCGGTGCTAACATAGTTGCGGGCGTGTCCCAAATGCGAATCGTCGTACACAGTCGGCCCACACGCGTACCAGGAGACCTTCTTGCCGGCAGGGTCGATTGGGATAAAGGGCGTCTTAGACTTAGTCAAGGAGTTCCAAACTTTCAAAGCGGGGAGTTGCTGCGCTTCGGGGTGGGAGGCAGGTTGCTGCCATGGCGGCTGTTGTCGAGACGACATGGATCTAGACGCGCCAGAAATCGATACAGACAGAAAGCGGAACTGCTGCTTGAGAAAGAGAGGAGACCGGGGAAAGAGGGGCATAAAGGAATAAGAAAAGGCAGACCGAGACAAGACAAGAGGGGCACTTTAGCATGGAAACACGCAGATCGAGTCATCGCAACAGTTGGTATGCTCTGTGATTGGTCCATGCTCAACATTGTCCCGCAAGCCCTGAGCCCTAACATCCAAGATAGGAAATGTCAGTCTGCTTTTTCTCCAAGTAAATCGAAGCTTCTTAAGCTCTTCAAGATAAACCTTCACGCCCACGGGGATTGTCCCTGTTGTAACCGCCAATTACTCTGAGCCGATTCAAGCTCCCCGACCACCATGCCGTCTCCATTCCTCACTCCCGGCGCCTGCTCGGCGCCTGACAGTCTTGCGATGCTCCATATCCGTCGCGACCAGACTATTCCGACAATCCTCCGCACCCACGACGATGAGAACCTAGGTTACAAGGAAGGAAAAGTGGCCAACACTCGTTTCGGATCATTCCCACACACTACGCTGCTCGGTCAGCCCTGGGGCTCTCAGATTGCAGCTTCCAAAGTTGACACCGGTTCCCGCGGCCGCAAACCTCAGAACCCAGCCAAGCGCAAGGCCGAGGAGCTGGATGCTTCGGGGACAACCACGGGTGACGATGACACACCTTCCGTCAAGACACCGGTCACCGCAGCAAGTGGTTTCCTGCACATGATGTACCCAACGCCAGAATCTTGGACATATTCTCTTCCCCACCGTACCCAGGTCGTATATACCCCCGACTACAGCTATATTCTGCACCGTCTTCGCGTGCGCCCAGGAAGTACGATTATTGAGGCTGGTGCTGGTAGCGGTTCGTTCACCCACGCGTCAGTCCGCGCCGTGTTCAACGGATATCCCAGTGAGGAGCAACCCACAAGTAAGAAGCGGAGGTTCGGAAAGGTGTGCAGCTTCGAGTTCCATGAGCAGCGTGCTGGAAAGGTACGAGAGGAGATCTCGGAGCATGGACTGGACGGACTGGTCGAGGTGACCCACCGCGACGTTTACGAAGATGGATTCCTACTGGGAGATCCAAAGACAGGGAAATCGCCCAAGGCCAATGCTATCTTCCTCGACTTGCCAGCCCCATGGCTCGCACTTCCGCACCTTGTGCGCAAGCCAGCTTCCGGTGCTGAGTCTCCACTTGACCCTGCGTCGACCGCATTCATTTGCACGTTTTCACCGTGTCTCGAGCAAGCAGAGCGCACCATCCGCATGATGCGCAAGTTATCCTGGTTGAATATCTCCATGGTTGAGGTCCAGCACAACCGTATTGATGTGAAGCGCGACCGTGTTGGGCTCGATGCCGAGGGTGTGCGCGGGGCAACCGTTTACCCCACAACTGTGGAGGAGGCAGCTCACAAGCTCTGGGCGGATGAGGAGCGTGCCAAGCGCATTCGCCTCAACCTCCCCGATAAGACTGCCGACCCAGAAGACGCGGAAGCTTTGAAAGAGGATATCAAGGCCCCGGCGAAGTACTTGGTGGAGAAATCAACGGAGCCGGCATACAAGTTGGGTCGCCTGGTGCACCGCCCCGAGCCGGAGCTGAAGACTCACACTTCATACTTGGTGTTTGCCATCCTTCCCCGAGATTGGTCGGAGGAGGAGGAGCAGAAGTGTCGCCAGCAGTGGCCCTCGGCCAAGGTTGATGCAGCCCAAAATAAGCCAAATGAGAAGAGCAGGAAGCAGATGAAGAAGGAATTCAAGGCACAGCGGATCAAGGAAGAAGAAGAAAAGAAGGCTACCGAACAATCGGAATCGGAGATGAAGACTGAGGCATGAAGAGGCCGGGTCTACCAAAATAATGCATGTACTATTAAGCGGGCTGTCTTGAACATGATCAAATTTCTGTAATTTCCTTGAGTTTCGAAGAACACCTACCTGTCAAGACAAATTATACGACGTTAAGTGATGGTAAAAATCTTCCTGATATAGCCTTAACGTCATCTTTTTACAGCAGAAATGAAGATACGGAAGCGGACTGGGATCTGTTGTATTATGCAATCATATTCTCATGGGTCACATTTGCAGCCAATGCATGCTGTTATGGAAGATGTTCTAAGTATTCTCAAAGCAAATATGAGGGAATTCGGGTGGTGATGGAGGTGGTATGTGACAGAAACGGAACACAATGCTAGTAAACAAAGCATGAACGGGCAGTATAAAACTCAAAGATTGTTCTCCACCCTGAACTTATCCCAAGCTTCGTTCAGTGCTCCAAACACCGCGCCGGCAATCATGCGCTGCTCCGTAGTGGCTGTGGTGGAAATCTAGAGAGAATAGTTAGCAATCTAATCAAAAACTGATGAAGTCAAAGTTCGAGTAACATACCTTGTCAGGGTGGACCTTGGCAATGCCCTTCATGTACTGGATCTTGACCTTGTTCGGCAAGACCAGTTCTGACAATCCGACCTTCTTCCAGCCAGCCTCGGACCATAGCACTGAATCTAAGCTGCCTATGAGCGCACGCAGGTTATCCTGCTTCCCGCTCTTCCAGGCAGTGATTCTCGCATCAACACTATCTGTGAGGGCAAACTTTTCTTGATCAGCGCGCTCGGCAGCTTGATTAGCCTCACGCAGACGGCTGACAGCTTCCGAGTCCTGCCCAGGGCTCGAAGCCCCAGATAGGTCAGATAACGCAGAAACCTTCTTGGGTGCCGGGGGCGCTCTTTTCTTGGCGGGGGCTGGCGCTTTCGACGGCGGCTTGTTAATCCCAGCAGCTTTCTCGCACCTGTTCCGACCCTGGATGCTGGTGCTTCCACCATGGCCTGACTCCACCGCTAGCTTCCAAGCCTGTGCGGCATCGCCCCAGCGTTCGAGCTGTTCCAGAGCCTCGGCCTTGCGCATCAAAGCTTTGCCGAAGAAATCTTTCATTGGCTTGGCAGGCTCTCCATTTCCTAATTCAATCACTTCTTCCTCGCCCTTCGATGGACCGATCACATTCAAGATAATGTCTGCGTCGTCGATCGCGGTCTTGGGCTCACCGGTCTTCAAAGCCGTCATTGCACGGTTGCTGCGAATCATGATGGTGATTGGATGCTTATCAGGGAGCATGTCAAGAGCGGTAGAGAAGCTTTGGTGCGCAGCTGCATAGTCGCCCCGCTTGTATGCCTCTGCAGCTTTTTCGCGGTGGCGGTGAGTAGATTGCAGAGCCTCTGGGGAGACAGAAGGGACAGCGCGCGTTGGCGCCTTGGGTCGTACAGGAATAGACGCAGACCGTGCAGGAGGTGCAGATTTAGCTTGGGGTGTTGGTTTTGATGAAGGGACAGGAGAATCAAAGAGATCAACATCAGGCTCTGCGGCCGGTGGCGCCTGGGGCTGGGGCCGCTTGCGTCTCGCCGGGCTAACATAATTTTGGGCAGATTGCTCTTCGGCGGCAAACCGCGAAAGCCGAGATTTAGGTTCTGTGGAGCTGGGGCGTGATGGTCGTTGAAGGAAATTGGGTGGCTGCATGTGCTGACCAGCCGGGGGAGATGGCTGGGGGCGGAGATCCTGACCTCCTTGGGCGGGATGAGATGGCCGCGGCGGTTTACGAGGGCGCGACTCTCCTGAATCAAGCAGAAGTGCCTCATCTGTAAAGCCTGGGGCTTTTTGCCCTTGCGGTTGACCTGTTCCATCGCCTTGTCGGGTGGGCTGTGGCTGAGGAAATGACTCCTCACGAGGAGCAGATGCATCCCTCATCCATTTGGGCTGACTAGGGTCATTATCTGCATTAAACTCATTCACAGCTTGCTGGAACTTCTTGCTTCCTGTTTTCCAAAGAGAGTTTGCTGTCTTCAAAAAGTTGGTACCGAATTGTTGTGCCATCTGGGCCGGGTCTCTTTCGCCAGCGGCAGGACTCCGACTATCATTACGAGATTGAGGTGCCTGTGATCTTCCTTCACTCATCCAGGATGGTGCGTCACGATTACGACTCTGGCTTCGTTCGGATCGGTCATTGCGATGGCCGTTGGCCGGGGATTGTCCCTGCGACTTCTGTTGAGCCTCGGCGTGTGCCGTTGTCAAAAGCCAACCAACCGCAGCTTGTACGTCAGTACCTGATGGGGTTGTTTTCAGGGCCTGGCGAGCCTTGTCTGCCGGAAATCCCATGTCAACCAGCTCGGCAATAGCGCGGTCCACCTCGTTTGATGGCATAGGCGATGCATCACTTTCCTCTCGATCGTGGCTGGGAGATGCTCTTGTTTCCCGTGTCACCTGTTGACGTGGTATTTCCGATACTGGCTTTCCCAACAATCCAAGGAAATCATCATCGTCATCTTGCGCTGGCGCAGCTGCAGGACGAGAGGCTGATTTGGCCTTCATTTCGCGTAGGCCAAACGGATCGTCATCCTCATCAAATGCATCCATTCCACTCGTCTTGTCCTGCATTGTGATACCCCCACCATTCGATCTTTGTGGAGTGTTCGTGCCAATCCGAGGTGATGGAGTCGCGCTGGGGATAGGGAAATTCGTCGAAGCATCAACTGGTGCTTTCGCATTGAAGGCAGCCAATAGATCGTCCTCGTCAGCGGCTGGTGCGACAGATTGCGACAGCGTCCCACCTGCAGGGCTCTGGGTACGTCCTTGCTCAAGGCTATCCCAAAACTGCGAGTTCTGACCCCCATATTGCGATTCGAAATGGCTTCTCTTTTCAGCTTCCTTCTTTGCCTTCTCTGCTTCTAATCGCTTCTGCTGCTCCAGGAGGGATAGGTTCTTATTCGCGGCGGAGGAACCGAACGACACCAAGTTCGCGAAGCTGTCTCCGGCGGAGGGGGTAGGTTTTGATGGCGAATTGGACCGATTTGACGCTGCAGACAGGGGGGTTGACCTGCCGGAGGCGCTGCTTTGTCGCACATTAGGAAACATCAGCCCTGAGGACATTGGAGGAGGTTTGTTGGGCGGGGCATTAGAGTTGGAGGACCAGCTCAGCCCGTTGAGATCATCCATGGCGGCTATTTTGGTGCCCGGGGCCGGAGATAGGAGATGTAAAAAGGTCTATGATATTTTCGAGTTAATAATGTTGATGGGAGATGGATGAAGGAGGCACTCTGGCATACCACGGAGAATTGAATGTTTGGTCTAGACAAGCTTCATTGCATCGTCGACCACAGCCCCCTGTACATGTGGGGTGGGTGGTGACACGTGACGTTTCATCATTGATGCCTTATTTCACCTTCTCTTCATTTTAACCTATCTATATTGTGAAATACTCAATTGGGGTATTAAATGATTGTATTTGTCTCGTTTCTAAATGGACAGATATATTTACTAAGGGCTGCAGCCATGGTGAACCTATGAGTGTTGCTTTGTACACTTTGGATCCGGCCGAGATCGACATCGGCGCTATCCTCTTTTGGAGAGGACCACCGTTTACACTATTTCCATTCTAATACATTCTGATGGCCAAATTTGACGTAGTGAATTATCTTCTATAAACTAGCAGCCGTTAAGCATATGTTACAAGTTGTCAATATGATCGGCACCCGTGGACTGAGGTATTAAGGTACTCCAACCTGACATGCAGTAGTTTACCCCAAGGTGTAGTTATATATAGCACGCCTAGACCACACAGATAAAGGCTTGGTTAAGATCTCCTTCTGATATACCTACAGGTCTACGTATGCAAATGTTCGGATTTTTTTGGCGTTTCTCAAGACTACAGTACGTCCATCTGACTAACTTTCACTAGCTCCCCACAAACAACCACCTCGACTTCATAATGAGGTACCGCTCATCGCATACCTGGGTACGATTCTCACATCCTACATACTCCAATGTGTCTGATCAATTGATATCGGGAGAGACGGCATGTTAACAATAATAGACGTCCTGTTCAAGACGCAACCTTCCTTTGAAGTCTGTTTCATTCTTCTATTTGTCACTTTGAGATATGTTTCAGCCGCCTTCCGAACCATGGCATTCACCAACACCTGAATCAATTTCAAGCCATACTCAGACCCCAAACACGCCATGCCTAGCGGATACACATCTCCTTTTCCGACAGACAACTAGCTGACGTAACCGCAAGAGTATGTCCAAGAGGGTCTCCGCTCTTAGCGAACCCGAATGTTGTGACATGAAAGTCAATGCCGAGGGAATGTTTATGGTACGAAGTATACTTCCCAGGTCATTACATCCTGAACCTTTCACTCGTCTGTCACGATGGGAGTTTTACCTATCAAGCTCGCTGCAGAATATCATCGATTGAGAGTCAGATGAAGCGGGTCATTCTATGGTCTACTGACTCCAATTAGACAGGCACCAAAATTCCAAGCATCGCCGCCTCGGCCTTTCTAGTGACGTTACTCCAGAATCCCTAGAGTGGCAACTCAAGCAACCCAGTCCAAATTCAAATAATGGAGACTTGATCATCGAAAACGCCTTTGCTGGGATGATCATGCACCAACTAAAGCATTCCCTGTGAGATTGAACCACTGCCGAAGCAAAATGTGACTCGGTATTTGAGGCTTGCAGGCATTGGAGTCAATTCTCTTGGGCTCGCGCACTCTCTATAGGAACATTGACTGGGTCCACTTCTGCAAAATTGGGTTTTTTTTTTGGGTCATATTTCATTCCAAATTGGAGTTTAATGAACCCGCAACTATTGATTCACATCCTTGGAACTTTATACGAGGTATGACAACCACATCTTTGTCTGGAGTTACAAAAAACCTGTCAGCCAAAGTAAACACGTGTAGGTACCAGAGTACCTGACAACGCATACATAGAAAAACCTCGACGCGACCGTGTCGACTAAGGTACAAGCTGCATCGCGCGATAAAGCCCCACCAATTATACAATGCAATCTTGTTGCGTGGTCGGCCACAAGCGCTAAAATGAAAAGCGGGCAATGTCTCAGATGTACCGAGTCTCCTTGCCTGTTAAACACGAAAAAACCGGCCCGCCGAAAGTCAATTTCATGCCCAACCATCTCAGCCAGGAACAATGCAAGTACGGCACGGTGGCCCCCGGATGAGTTTATGATAGGCCAACGAGCGTGCATTGCAGAACAAGGGACCGCACAATGAACATTATGCACGCCGATAATTTGACAGATCGGGTCTCCAGCCCCACTTAGCTAAACCCCTAGTTCGCGGATGGCGTTGATACCTCCGAACTCCTGGCGAGCTATCGAGCCCAGCTTTTTCTTGGTTTTTTTTTAGATGCAGCGAAAATAAGAAAAAACTTTGGAGGCGTACAGTGAAATACGGTGAGGCTCGCATACGAAGCGACGCTATGGAAGAGGCTGGATTATTGTTGCGGATGTGACAGATCAGGGGAAATCTTGAAATCCGGTTGAGTTGGAAGCTGATCAGCGGAGATCTTTCTTGTCCAATTTCTCTTTCTTGACTAGCTCATTCTAGTTGTGATTGTAACACCTTTCGGATCTAGTCAGTGGCCGGCCGCCAGATCCGAACGGAAAAGGCTTGCAAGGCGAGACTGGTAAGCTACGTAGTGAGCTAGTGTGTCATTAAGGGGCAAGATTACTTTTGGACAAACGCCGCTGATAATGAGTGGAACGATTCTAGCCAGTCAATGCACGGTCAGGGAGCTGAACCCTGCTGGGTCTCGTTCGATCGTCCTCGATCGGTGGGTCATACTTTATAACGCACCACTGACATGCTATAGGATTGACCCATCCAACTCGCGTGGTGTCTAATGTATGTCGGCACGTCTAACCCCCTAAAAAACTCAAATGGCTCACAATTCCAAGCCCCGCGTTCTGTAGGATTTTATTGTAAATTTTTCCCTGGCTTTTGCTTTATATGTAGGGGCGTACGGGGCTGGAACAATCCTTGCGATCTGACTGTGCATTCACCTTAGGCCTTGGACGAACATCTTCTCCATAGTGTGGTTGCCTTTTATTAGTCTGGCATCGTCCCCATTGACCTTCATAAACGACATCTCGTAAGTATTGTATGCGAGTCATGTGCATGGTCCAGTGATCGAGGACGAATCCAAAACACAACCGTGGACTCCAACTCTCATTTCCCCGGATTACGCGCGTCAACTACGGCCATCGATTGTAGTTCCACTGCTTTGAACCAGTCATGATGCGGTGGTACCTGTTGGGGTTATTGCTCCTCTGCCTTCACTGGAGGCAGACATTCGCAGCTCCAGCAGAATATAAGTATCAAGATGCGAAAAACATTGCACTTCTCGCCGTCAGAGATGAGACAGACGCGACAACGACCGCATCCGATAATACTTCCAGTCAAATGACTGCGACCACGGCTACGACCACGACTAATACCGCCTCAACAACTACTTCAGCAACCTCCACAACACACTCGACATCACATTCCACCTCTAGCCAGACGAGCCAATCGACCCTAACCACATCCGTCCCGTCGCTAGTCTCATCTTCAGGCTCAAGTGATGACCAATCGAGCACGAATTCAACGGAACAGACCTATACCGGTGGATTGCCGATTCGGCCCTCAATTACACCGGCGCTGGGTGTGGGAGGATTCATACTTCTCGCAGCTGGTGGAGTGTTGAGTTTCGTCGGTGTCCGAAAGCCACGGTAAATTGGTCGACTGATAGTATAGTCGTGTATACTGATACTAACTTTTGGACAGAATTTCTATCTTTTTATCCACGGGATTACTGGCCGCACTGGGTGTTACCGTAAGCTTCCCGCACTGCGACGAATGAATCATAAATCATCTAACATGATTTCCTCACAGGTTTTGATTGAATATGTGATGAACCCCCCAGTGAGCAATGGAGTTCAAGGAGGATACCTAGTCGCAATATTCTTTACGGGTGCTATATTCGGTGGCCTGTCTCTCGTTTTCAAAGAGATCACCGAGGGTCTCTGTTGTCTGCTCGGCGGTTTCTGTATTGGCATGTGGTTCTTGACCGTGAAAGCCGGCGGTCTGGTCACGGGCGACGGAGCCAAAGTTGGGTTCATTTTAGCGTTTACTGGAGGCTTTTACTGTCTCTCGTTCAGCCATTATACCCGTTCCTATGGATCGATGCTTTGCACTGCTTTTGGTGGTGCAACTGCGATGGTTCTCGGCATCGATTGCTATAGCCGAGCCGGACTGAAAGAGTTCTGGCTATATCTCTGGGGTAAGTTACAGATCATGCATGGCGGGAGAAGAAAAAGCAAAACAAGGTTTAACTTCCGATTTAGGGCTGAATGCAAACTTGTTCCCGTTGAACACTTATACCTACCCGATCACCCGCAACATCCGTGTTGAGTTGGCCATTATAATCATAGTCACCGTGTTCGGTGTGATCTTCCAGCTAAGGTTGTGGAAAGTCATAAAGGAACGCCGCGCGAGAGAGGAGAGTGCCCGCCAGGAAGCCGAGAGAGCCAAGGAGGAGGCTGAAGCAGAAAATGGCCGCCGTATCGAGGAGAAGAACCTGAGAGAACGAGCAGAGTGGGAACAGATGTATGGCAATGGCAGTGAGGGCGCCAAAGAGCCATCTTTGTCCGAAACGGCCGTTGCCGACGATTCGCGACGCAGCTCGGATGCGTATGGATCTTCTGTCCGTGAAAAAGGAAACTCAATCGAAATGACAGAGATGACTAGCCCGGATCCTCTTTCGGCGCGAGTATCTGACAGTGGAAATCACCTCGAGGCAGTGGAAGAGGTTGAAGCGGAGACTATAGCCGAAGGAACGGATGGTCATGCGACAGAGGGACGAGAACCATCCCAGCACCAAGGAGAACAGGCAGACCAAGAAATAGCAAGACCGACAACCCCTGATCCGAAGGATTTGCACACCGAGACCAACATACACCCCGACAACAGCTCTGAGCATGGTGCTGTTCTGGGATCGGAAATCGGCACACCACGCTCGAAACGTTTCTCGAGCAGATCCTTGATGAACCGGATGTCCTGGCGCAGCGGACATACCATGAAGCCACTACCACATAATCAGTCCGAGGAGGCCTTAATTGATGCGGATGCATCGTCTTCCGTCGCAGGAATGGTAGACGACCTTCAAAGCGTTACTTCTGACAGGTCAAGCCTGGCGGAACTTGAGGTCGCGGCCGACACGACACCAGCAAGTAACTCTGGTGAAAAACTCCCGCCTAATGATGTTGCGTCTGAGACGACACCCAAAATCGATGAGCGCAAGGCCCTGGATACCAGCACTGCTTCCGTCGTGACAGCTGTCCGCGATGTTGATGCCTCGGAGGTTAGCACTCAACAAAAATCCATGCAAGGGGACGAAAATCCCCGCAAAATCCATGAATCAGGAGTCCTCGAGCAAATGGCCACTGCTGAAGCCACAAGTGGTGCCGAGATCAACACTGGCAAGTCAGATGCTATTGAGGATCAGCAACCGAGTCCTGTAGTTTCAGAACCAGCAGTGGCAAACCCTGAACAGCAGGCCGAGTCGGTGAAAAATGAGGTAACCAAGCCTGAAGGTACTATCGCAGAAAGCAAGTCGGCAACCGAAACTCGAGAGAAGGCCGAGAAAGATGCCGCAGTCCTTCCGGATGAGGTAGTCCCTGCTCAACCATTGGTCGTCCAACCAAAGCCAGTAAAGAAGCCCAAACTGGATGTGTCGACTGTGCAAAATATCCCCGAGCAGACTTCAAGAGTTGTGAATTCATTCCGCACCAGAGAATGGGCAAAACACCTCGCTAATGCAGATGCTCCGGATTGCGAACCAATTCAGTTCGAGAGCGAAGAGCAAGACGATCCCACTGCATCTGAAGAGATGGCAGCTCCGGTCGACATACACGGTCTGCTACAGACCCCTCTTAATGCCCAGCCACCCCCAGCTATCATGAGCCCAGCTTCCACCAGCCCAGAACAGACTTATTATCAATCTCAAACCTCACTGGTATCTCCAGATATCTCTCAGCTCAAAACGAGGAAAAGCATGCAAAACCTTACCAGTGCGAAGTCTCCCCCACTCTCTCGGAACGTATCTTCGGGCTCTTCAAATCCGCAAGAACACCATGAAATGGCTACGATGCGTAACAGCGCATCAACTCCATATCTGACTGTCACTACTGCAAATCCGCCCGAAGAGGTGGCAGAATCTCCTCGATGGAGTGGGCCTGCACCTCTGCTAGCTGTGCGAGAAAACATGATGAAAAACCGAATGTCATCGACATCTCTCCGTTACGACCCATGGGGACCCCGAAGCCAATCTCGCCAGTCTTTGGCTGACCCCACTCGAGTTGTATCACCAACAATGCCTATTCTCGAAGCAGAAGAAGCCGTCGCAATCTCACCCCACATCGAAGACGATATCCCTCTTTCCAAAAGACGCGCCCTGCTACAGCGCCAAACTATGCGATCGCCATCTGGGGCCAGCTCACCAAGCCTCGAACAAATTCGATCGCCCATATCTCCTGCCTCAGGGGACCCGAACAGATCAGAAGCTATGATGTCGGCATGGCGACAATCTGTGCGGGAGGATCTCTCACAACGACGCGATCCTCTAGCTATGAAATCACCACCCCTTGGAGCTACTAGCCCTGCTAGCCCTGACCGACCCCGGAATACCTGGGGATCTGTACAGCAGATGCGTGATGCTTCGGCAACCCATATTGGCAATAGCATTGCCGAAGGGATGCAAAAGGAAACATGACGGAGCTACACCGTCAAGCTATGCGGCGGATGCAAGCATCTGCCAAACAAATTTAGGCTTTGATGCTTTTACTTGATTGATACCCCATTCCCTGCTCTTTTCTCGTTGTTGATTTCTACGACGCACCTTATTGTTTAATGTTTTATGCTCTATTTTATAAATCTCTCGGGCATTATATCGGCGTTTGATGGATACTGATATGAGCTTGATCTAATACCTTCCTACCACTGCACATAATTAAACACACGCAACAGAATACCCCATTTACCATAATCAATTGACCTAATCATACCATTTCTACCATTTAAGCTAATAACCAAACACTCACTGCAAAAAGTGTTTCGGGGCCTTCTCGAAATGCTTAATAGCAGCCTCCAACTGCTTCTCATACTCTTCAATCTCCTGTCCCTCCTGATCATCCTCCACAACCTTCCCATCAGGCAGCTCTCCCTCCAATTCCTGCTCAAGACCATCCTCCTCATGCTGAAGCCCTAACTCCACACCCCTCCCAGCTCCATCCCTAGCCGTGTTCACAGACATAATATCCCGATAAAGCCCCATCGAAACCGGAAGGCTAATATCCCCCATCCCCCCTTTTCCAATTTTAATAAACTTCGCATCCAACAAACGAAATTGAGCAGCCCAAACATGCGGCTCGGCAACCTGCATCGCCATCTTCCATTTCGATCCAACACCCAAACTAACAGATCCGCCGACCGGAATGCCAGAGACAGCGCTAATAATCGCAGAGGAAACACCCGCAGATATCTTGGACGACTGGCCCCGTGATACGACTGTACGTGTATCCTCTAGTAGATACAAACCCGATAACATCCATACTTTTGGCCTCCGGGCAAATTTGAATTTCATAACGAAGTCGCTGTAGGCGGCCGAGAGCCACAATTTGAGTTTCTGCTGAGCTGTTTCATTGCTAAGGACATTATTGGTAAGGAAAGTTTCCGGACTGGAATTTGTTAGTTAATGCAGGTGAGGAACTAGAAGGGTTATGATTGGAGGGGAAGGTACTCTTTGAGTAGGATTCGGGTACCCCTCTCAGCTGTGACAATTCGTTCAATATCCTTATTATAAGCGAGACGAAGGTTCACGATATCGCCAGCTTCGAGGCCAATAGCAGGCGTAAGACGGGAAGAGCCGTGGAAGACGGCGTTGGTAACGTCGGTAGTGTAAGCATGTTCACGTAGAGCGTCGTCGCTGGTAGACTGTCAGATTCAAGTCGAATACGGGTTGGCAATTGCAAACCCAAGGCCAGATCTATAGAATAATACCTTAATAGCTCGTGAGTATAATGGCGAGCACTCATTGGCTGCCAATACTTTTCTAGAACCAAAGAACCCAAGGTTAAGGCCTCGGGCCGTTCCCCCATCCCATAAAGGAAGAACGAGTCATCGGCCATGATGCTTGTTTGCTGACTGTATATTGTATCTGATTTGATTCGATCGAATCTATTGGGTCGCTCAGGCCTGTCAACTCAATATTCAACGGTTGGAGAAAGTGAGAGTCAAGGCGGCCTTTCCGCCACTATTTACTGTCCCCTCCGTGGGGTTTCAGTCCGTGCTGACGGCTTATTTCGACGCTAATCGGGCAATTTTTGGCGAGACCCATTCGAATTATTCTTAGTGATATCGCGGACCAATCGATGTGGCGGGGTACTAATCTCCATCTTCCTAGACCCTGAGGCCCAAGATGGGACCATTTATTTCGGCTGTGCCGTTCCGTTGCTGCCTGTTGGATGTTGCCTCACGCCCAGGTGAGAACGATAATCATGTGCTCAGCTAAGATGGACTTTGAGCATTTTCTCGATCTATGCGGACGATCGCTTTTTGCAGAGGAATACAAAGGCGATTTGGACGCTGCTTGGGACTATTTGGATTCAGTACAATATGGCACACTGGAGTTGAACGACCGCGCAGAATATTTGCGATCCTCATCTATATACGCGACCTTGGTCGGTAATTTCGCCGATGCATACCGACATCTGGACTCGCTTCATGAGCTACTACCGCAATTGTCGCAGGAATGGGGTCTGCGATATACAAATTACAAAGTCCTTGCCGACTATACGCGCCGCTTCCCGCCAGCGCTTCGTTTCTATCATGAGCGGGGATGGCTACTGAATACCGTGATGGTAAGTGATATCATCGGGCCAAATCAAATATCCCTGAACTTCATGGCGAATTTCCGAAAGTACTCGCCGACCGGTTCGATCCGAGATCAGGGTCTCGGCATGGTCTTGAATATGGTGCAATGGGTCCCAATTCATATCCGTGGCCTGGCTTCTGAATTCCACCCTCTCTCGCCTCGTAATTCACGGCATAAACCAGGAGCTAATCCTGCGTCAAATATTGCTGAGAAAGTGACTTATTTGTTGAAGCTTCGTGCCTTGGCGGAGACGAATGGCGCAACGAGTATCGTGTCATATTTGACTCGGTTGATGGTTGAGATGCATGTTGCGTGTAAGAGTGACGAGACGGGCATTATGCTGGAAGAGTTGTATCGTCTTTGTGAGAAGGTTGATGATTATGCAGGTATGGCGAACGCGAAGTTGATGGAGGGAGATGGTATTCTCTGTGCTTCGTTTACAAGTCCGCTTGTCATGAACTTGACTGTCATTGATACTTCTGCTGCTATTGGCGATGACGAGCTCTGGGACCCTATTCAGCGTGATCTTGTGTTTGACTACTCTGCTGAAGTTAAGCAGTGCTATGAATCAGCGCTCGAGCTTTTTGGAAAAGGCAGCTGCAAGAGGGGACAGGCGACGGTATTGCTTCGGCAGGGATGTTGTCTACATTATATCGCGCGTTTCCATCGATCCGTCAACAAACAGTATCATGATATTCTGGGAGAAGCGGGGATTAAACTTCAAAAAGCGCTCGAGCTTTTTGGTAGAGACGAAGCCAGTGCACAACTGGTTAAGGTTCATCAAATCCTGCTTAAAATTTCCAAAGGAAATATTCAAGGTGTGAAGATGGCTGCTCGCGAGGTTGGAAGATGGTGCGCTGGCGCAAAAAATGAGTTCCTCGCCCATTTCATTGGACGGTTTCTTTTGCGTTTCGGCAATGAAGAATGGTTCAAGTACTCTAACCTGGACACAGCAATGCTGGCTTGGGAATGTGCCTACGAGGTTTCAAAGCCAGTGAACGACATTCTTCCCCAATTCCAATCCGTGACGTCTCGCGCATCTGCCCAGCAAGAATGGTTCAACGTCGCTGCAGCTCGATTGCTCATCGAGGAAGCATTAGCCATGGTCGATGCAGTCCGAGAATATTTCCACGCGAAGATTTCTTCTACCACGGATGACAAAATGGGTCAGCTAGAACGAACAACCTTGGTTACGATCAAAGGAAACCTCCTTTGGACATTCACTCGATATGTTGGCAGAGTGTATATCGGAGACGAGGACATGAAATCCTTCCGCGAGTGGAAATCTAGATACAATGATTGGCTCGAAACCGACGATGACCTCCGAGCCTGGAGGGAAATAATCGAGAATGCTGAGGATAGGCTTCATGGTAACAAGGCTGAGCTCGCGCTTGTGAAAGGCAATTTCAAGAACATATGGCAAAAAGCTTTGATGGCCGATGAAGCACATGAGCGGTATCGGATAGCAGAGCTTGGCTATCGACGATTGTTGAACGAGGGCAATATCCTGGGAGCAGAAGCGCTGTTTCGTCGATATTTGGATGAGACGGAGCACCAAGAGAAAGGCCGCACAATAACCGTTTATCAGGTTCTGGCTTGTCATAAGATTGGAGACCGAGTCAAAGCAAAGGAAGTACTAGACTCTATCACAGATGATGAGTTGTTAGAAGGCCACCTGGAGGCATTTCGAAAAGGAATTGCTCTTCCAACATCTTTTCCAACGAGGGCGCAGAATGCACTGACATTTTCCATCTTTGGATGTGACATGGACAGAGGTCGGAGGGTTGTTCAAATGATCATCGAGATGAAACCGACGTTTTTTGATACGGTGATGGATAATGCTTGGGACCATTCGATTCAAATCGCTCACTATGCAGCATTGATGAAGGAGTTACAGCCCGAAATATCTTTCACCAGGCTTCTTCGTTCTCGGGAAATTATCGAAACTCGGAGGAAACAGACCTCGGATTTGGATGCACGGGTGTGGGGTTCGGCTGCTGCTTATAGTATCGAGGTTTATCTTGACCTCGCACGCATCTGTCTGGCTACCGAAAGCTCACCACTGCCCTTGAGCGTGCTATCAGGGTACGAGATCCATCACTTTGAGGGAATGTCGTGGAAGGACCATGCACTACTATTTGTTGAGATGGGTAGAGCACGTGCGGTGCTAGAGTCTTTGCAGACACAGTCGACTCAAGCTTTGGGGTTATCCGGCGCTCCCAAAGCCGCAAATCTCTCCGAGGCTGTCCATAAACGGCGTCTTCTGAGATCATTGCTTTCTCTGAAGACGTTGACCCTAGATCAAGAGAAAGAAGTTGCGCAGTTACAGGGGGAGATCAAGGTCTTGGAGGAGGATGGGACACTCTCTTCTGCGACCACTTTCATAGAAACGGCAAATTCCCCTATTGAACCGAGGTTTTTGTACCAGAGTATTGACCATGATACTGTGGTTATCGAGGCGACATTCGGAAACAGGGGCCTTCTTGCGTTTGCAGTAACAAATCATGGTATTCAAAATACCTTTCAATCATCGATACGCTACGTGGACATTCGAAACCCCGTGATGAGGGCTATGCAGATAATGAGAGAGATGAATGGCTATGTCTGCGAAGAAGAAGAGAAACATAAGAGAACGTTGAACGAACTTTGCAACGAAATCTCTGAGGTGTTGCTGGTGCCATTCGCAGACGTTATCAGAACAAAGTCCCATGTCATATTCTCTGTATCCGACCCGCTGACGGCGTTCCCTTTCTCCGTCCTTCCTTTTGACAACAAACCCTTGGTCATGCAAGCCGTTGTATCTCAAGCCCCGAGCCTGACAGTACTCTACTATCTCTCTCAACGGAAGTCATCATCTGCCTCACCGACAGTTTCAGTCCTCGCAAAGGCGCCCACAGAAGAGCCATCTAGTACCACCCGAGGTGGCGAAGAAGTCAATCTACACATGGCGGGCATAGAAGCTATCAACATTGCCCGCTTGTTTGCGACATGGCCCATCGAGGCATCTCATTTGTCTCGAAAGGACTTCCAGGATCACGTTGAGGGGGGATCAGTGATCATGCATATTGGGACGCACGGTGACATCAACCCTCGCAACCCCCTCCTCTCGAACATTTCTATTGGTCAAGGCCAGGAATTTCGTGTGCTCGACATGTCAGCCATACGTAGCAACGTGAATCTTCTGGTTTTCGCGGCTTGTCTGAGTGGGTTTGGAAGGGCTACGATCGGTAGCGAAGTCTTGGGCTTTTCTCATGTTGTTCTGAGCACTGGATGTCAGGCCTATATCGGATCTCTTTGGAAAGTGAGTGATTTCGGCTCAATGCTAATCATGACACTCTTTTATCGACACCTTAAAGAAAACCCGCAGTTGGCTGTGGCGGAAGCTATGCGAGCGGCGCAATTGGATCTCCTACAGCTAGACACGGAGAAGGCCGATATACTTCTTGACGAAATGTTAGAAAACTGGACCTCTTCAGTTGTAACTGGTCAACGTCCCGCGGACTTTGTTCCCGATGCAGAATTCCTTTTGCTCACGTTGAAGATGATCCTGAGCCAGCTTGACTGGTCAAGTCCATTCTACTGGGCACCATTTACGCTTGTGGGGTATGGTGGGTTGCGCTTTGTGCATGAACCTGAACCTGAACAGATTAAAGAGAACCAGTCTATTTAGAATGTCAATCTTATCTGTAAGCTCCTGTATCTAGGTGGACTGTGCGTATTCAGATCTGCGTTCAATATATCTATAAAGTATATGCTCAATAGCTCTTGAATGAAACAAGGGAGGGGAATCAATACATGTGAAACAAATACAAACGACTCATCCAATAAAGGAGCAGAGCGTTTCCACATATAAGACACACCAATTGCCCCCAAATCACCAAATTGAAACTATTGATTTCATTTCTTTGTTGGATCATTGATTGCATCATAACACTCCACAGCGGGATAGGCGATCTATCTATAGTACGAAGTTTACTAAAGGCGCGGCCTAGAAGGATCCGTTGCCTCATTTTCAAGCCTGAGGATCCAGATCGGATCTACAGCAAGCTTAAGCAATCTTTTCAATTTCTTCATTTTGTATTTCATTCATTTTCTTATGTTCTCGTCTCTCATTTTATGTATGGCCCACCCATGAGACTTTGCCGATCTCGCTCGCGATCTCTCCCTTAGCTCCTCTTTTTCTTTTTCTTTTCCTCAATTTGTCAAAACGGCGTCCTCCACAGCTACCCCTCGAACGAGGGAGATTGAATCGAGTTCCTATCTACCTGCGCGTGGCCAACATTCCTTTGGCTTTCGGACAGCACCCGTGGAGGCGACTCCGCCATTCGCTCGAGCACAGCGGCGACAGTGCGTCCCCATCTCGGGCCCGTCGTCGTTCCCTGCAATTCTCCGTCCTCCAGCGGTTCGACTCGCTAACCCCGTCAACCACGTCCCCCGCATCACTCCTATTACTATCCCATCAGCGAGATCGGACGAAAGTCTCCCCCTAAGTCACCAACGCGACGCACATCCCCTCCTCAGTGTCCCCGAACGCCGTCGCAGTCGCTTAACCCCCTCCCCAACCAGCCTTATTGTCGAACATAGTCAGGGGGAATCAGAAAGCGGGCGCACCAGCATCGCTCTACCTCGACGTCACCGGCGCAGCGAGCAATTATCCCCCACGGTAGAAATGGCCGCAGCTTTTGCTGGAAGTGCGGCGCGGGAAGTCGAAAACCTGCGACCACCCGAGGAAGTTCATTTCGGCCAGGATGGCTCTCGTTACCGAGACGACGGCCGACCGCGTCACGCACAGTCCCAAACCTCTCTCCGTTCTCAATCGCAGATTGCCTCCGTTCCTTCAATCACAGGCCAGGCCCCCGATGTCGCCGAAGAGCTGGCATGGGGCCCCGCGCACCCCTGTTACCCTCACCTCAACTCACACGTCCCCATCAATTCGCCAGAATACCTCACTACGCGAATCATCCGGGTTCGGCGCGATTGGATGATCAAGGCGGATTTGGCGCCCACATTTTCCAATCTCTACCCTGAGATTTTGGATCCGTTACTGTCGGAACAGGAGTTCCGAAAAGTCATTGCTACCGTGAACAATGGCCTGATCAAGGCTTTTGACCCGTTCAGTTTGCGCAATTGGGTTGATGGCGCACTTGGCTTGTTGACTGGCTGGGTCTGGGACGACCTGAATGCACCAGCCGTCAAGGGCTCATTGGAATACGTTGAGTCGTGGCTGGAGAAATGGAACCGTGAAGTCGGTTCCAAGGACGGCGTTCACATCTGGAGTCTACGACGCACGGCATATATGTCCCTTGACATTCAGATCCCTGATCCAAAGGTCGGCATCGTTCCTAGCGAGGCACCTTCTTTGCCAAACACCAGACCGAGTACGGGAGTCGGTCCGGTTAACTGATGGACATTGCATGCGATGGCTGTATATTTCCTTGTAATCTTGTTGTCTTTCGGCTTTTGCATGATATCCCTTCCCCAGCGACGATTTCTTTCATTCTCTCCTACGCTTTTTCCTAATTCTTTCTTCCCAAAAAGGCTTGATTCTAATCCTGCATGCCGTCGTTGGGGATTCTTGTTACTTCAGCTTCTAACATCGCTTTTGTCCATTTGTTCATACTCTCAGCATCGTTCTACTTGTTAATCTTCTAAGAACCTGCAAAGCAAATACCAAGACCGTGTGGTCTACATCGAGCACATACCATTTTGCTTTTTCTTCTTCTTTTTCTGTAATCTTTGATACAGGCAAATGGTCAAATTACTTGCTTGAGTGGGCTTCTCAGGGGTATTTTTGTCGTGATAGGTAGAAGCGTCGACAAACGCGAAAACAGTTTTACACCAATTAACCCTCTCATATCTTCCTATAATGTAATTAATTGTCAATCCACGAATTATGCTCTCTTTTCTCATTTCTATTGTGGTTTGTTGAACCCTGAACTCAGGCGGTGTCGATAACGTTGATCCAGACCCCCACATCTTCCCCCCGAGAGCTCCTTCACTCCGAACCTCAACGGGATGAGCCCTGGATATCCACAATGCTCTCGGGTATCCTGATCTTCAATCAGAAGGGCGAGAACCTCATCTTCCGCGCTTTCCGCAGCGACTGTCGACCGCGCCTGGCTGATATCTTCCGCATCCAAGTCATCTCCAACCCGCAGGTCCGCTCCCCGATCCTGACACTAGGCTCGACCACCTTCAGCCATGTCAAGCACGAGAATATCTACCTGGTCGCTGTGACCAAGAGCAATGCCAATGCTGCTCTGGTCTTCGAGTTCCTGTACCGGCTTATCATGCTGGGTAAGAGCTACTTTGGCAAGCTGGACGAGGAGGCCGTCAAGAATAACTTTGTGTTGATTTACGAATTGCTTGATGGTGAGTTACGCTTCTATTGGTCTCCCCAATAATAGATCTAGATGTCTAATCACTGTCTCTGGCCTGCTAGAAATCCTCGACTTTGGATACCCACAGAACACCGACCCCGATACGTTGAAAATGTACATCACCACCGAAGGTGTCAAGTCAGCCATCGCGAACTCGCCAACAGACTCTAGCCGAATCACCATGCAAGCAACGGGCGCGCAATCATGGCGCCGTGCTGATATTAAGTACCGCAAGAACGAAGCCTTCGTAGACGTGATCGAAGACGTCAATCTCCTGATGTCAGCGACCGGCACCGTCCTGCGCGCCGACGTCAACGGTCAGATCGTCATGCGAGCATATCTCACCGGTACACCGGAATGCAAATTTGGACTCAACGACCGATTGCTCCTCGACACCAGCGACACCACGGGTGCAGCGAAGAGCCGCGGTGGTGGCGGGACATCAGGTGCTGGAAAGGCGACCCGAGCTGCGGCGGGCTCTGTCACACTTGAGGACTGTCAATTCCATCAATGCGTTAAGCTGGGGCGATTCGATGCAGACCGGATTATCTCGTTCGTGCCGCCGGACGGCGAGTTCGAGTTGATGCGGTACCGGGCTACGGAGAATGTAAACCTTCCGTTCAAAGTTCATCCTATTGTGCGGGAGATTGGTACAACGAAGGTCGAGTACAGTGTGGCCATCAAGGCGAATTATAGTGCGAAGCTGTTTGCGACGAATGTCATCATTCGTATTCCCACTCCGCTAAACACGGCCACGACTACCGAACGTACTAGTCAGGGCCGTGCGAAGTATGAGCCCGAGCATAACAATATTGTTTGGAAGATTCCTCGGTTCTCTGGCCAGGCTGAGTTTGTTCTCAATGCGGAGGCTACGCTTACTTCCATGACACACCAAAAGGCTTGGAGTCGGCCGCCGCTTAGCCTTTCGTTTAGTCTTCTTATGTTTACCTCGTCTGGTCTGCTGGTGCGCTATCTGAAGGTCTTTGAGAAGAGCAATTACAGCTCTGTTAAGTGGGTGCGCTACATGACCCGCGCTGGTAGCTACGAAATCCGGTATGTTTGACGTCGTGATCTCTTCTGATACCACACTAACCCACTTTTTAGATTTTAAGGTGATTGGAACTGGATTAAAGCGAGCGTGTGCTTCAAACAGTCTGTTGTCGCAGTAGGCTATGACCATCAGGCTAGGTGTCTGGCGTCGGGAGGTGTTCTGTACATTCATATCTATGCTCCAATGCATCCTAAAATCGCGTTCTCAATGCGGTTCCATACCTCATGAAAATGAAATTTAATATCGCACGAAACAGCCCATAAACAGGTAATCACTCCACAAGATTAGTCTCAGTAGTAATCCCCTCCCACTCCTCGCAGACCTTCAACCTAGCCAAACAATCTTCCCTTATGACCTGAAATGCATCTGGGCCAACAGGCAACTTCAATGGCAACTTCTTCCCAGCACACTTTCCCTCTCCCCTTACAGCCTCAACGACTAATTCACAAGCCCGCTCTGGATCCCCGGCCTGCGTCCCATGCGACGCATTACAAATATCTCCAATGAGCCCTTCCAATTCCATATAGTCGGGTAATTGATTCGGCATACTGTATTTGAGATTTTCCGGCGAAAATATTCCTGTCCGGAAATGTCCAAATATCAACAAGGACGTTCGGATTCCAAATGGTTCGATCTCGCCCGCCATCTTTTGGACAATGCCTTCTAATAGCCCCTTCGAGCCTGCGTAGCTTGATGCACCTGGTACGGTTGTGTAGAGTGAGGCTGCGCCTTCGAAGAGGAGGGTGCCTGTCTTCCGGGCGCGCATTAGAGGAAGAAAGGCGCGGGATAGACTGATAGGTCCGAAGACGTTTGTGCGGAGGATGTTTGTGAGATGTTGTGTGCTGTAGATAATTAGCATCCATTGCTTCATGACATACTTCAAGGGTAGTAAGGGAAATGTTTGCGCACTCATATTGTTCTGTGATTCCAACATCCATGTAGCCTGCATTGTTGACAACTACGTCTATATGACCGTATATCTGCCATGCCTCAGCTGCTATTTCCGCGAGCTTGTGTTCGGAGGAGTTTATGTCGAGTTCGAGGACTGCGGCGCCTGCTTGCTGGAGTGCGGATAGACGGTTCACTCCGCTGATGCCCTTGTTTGCTCGGGCTGTGGCTATGACTTTGTCGCCCTGTGTCATTGTACGTTAGCTATCTAGGGATAGATCAATGCAATGTGGGCATAAGTACCTTTGCAAGAATGGCTCGTACTAGGGCCTCACCGAGGCCTGAGGAGCAGCCAGTGACGAACCAGACGAGTTGGCCGGTCATCTTCGGTAGATGTACTGTAGACGGTGTCACTCCTGATATCGGTGTTGTTGTTGACAGGCGTGTATGCTGGATGGGATGAAGCTGTAGGATCTGGGCCAGCCTGGCAGTAATAAAGAATTGGTGGGGAGATAAATTATCCCATCTTTTATGCTATTGAAAGCGTCATCAATGGTCCCGACCCACTTGAAGCTCAGCCCCGACCCATATCTAATTATTGTACGTACCCGTATGGATACTAGGGTGCCTGATTGGGGAACCGAAACCCCACAGTAGCTGTTTGAAATCACATGACCTCATTGTGGATTCTCTACTCAACTCTATCCCATTAGGCAATGCAATTCTTCTTCCCTTTTGGCTTGTTTTGAGCCGTAGCTAGCTTACAATTTTGCTCTCTGGCTCTCTGGCTCTCTGGGAGAGATACTGCCGGCTATTCTGGAAATAAAGAAAATATCTACTAGCTCGTCTACGACGTACGTTACCAAGTATGAAAGACAATATCAAATGACCGACGGTCCTTTCTACATAGTACAACCCCATACTCAATATACGGAACTCCGGAGAATTGTATGAAAGGAATATATCATATGTCATAATACCGTCAATGTAATGCTCGAATAGCACTGCGTTATGTCCAATCAACGATATCCTTCATCAATAATCTCAATCCAACATCATCACCTATGGAACGAGGGGTATTCGTCGAACTTAGAGATCCAGACAAGGCCTTATGAGCTGCCTACCACTACTGAATCTCTAAACACTTCAAGAATCGCTTTAAGAGCTGGTCGATATTTCGGCCCTGATAGCCTCGGAACCCTAAAAACCTCGACATAAGCACCTTGCGCCAGCTTGCATCATTTCTTGTGCATCGAGCCATGGCTAAGTCGTCTTTGGCCATAGGCAAATTGAAAATGTCGAAGTAATCGTGATAGAGCTTGCTTTTGGTGGGAAAAAGAGAAGGAAAAGCCTTAGTCATTAGCGGGTTGAGAATTTTCACTTCTCTTCCCCATTCGGACTCCTTGATCGGAGTGAAGAAAAGGGCCTTTTGGACTGGTGGCGACGTACTGATCAGGCACAGCCAATTTCGAGAGACTCGAGCAGATGTGAGAAGCGTGCGCATATCCGTCTGAGTCAGGATCATCTTCAGAAGTTCTAGAGTATCCAGACTTTTTTTGGGTTGCATTTCCATGATTTGGGTACTCCATGACATAACTTGCCATTATGTCCTGTTGGACTAAAAAGTCCAAATCGATAGCCATGGTTTATGGCTCCTAAGGGAGGGGCGTAGAGGATGAGCGTGTTGGTATCTGCCAAATTGCGATCCAGGCAACAGGCTGCTGTTTGTCCATATTAGGATTAGTGCCTTCTTGTGACTTGAGCCTCGCCTGGCATCCTCTCTTCCTGGATCGCTACTCCCTCAATTTGATATTATCCTGCTCCTCTTCCTACATTTGCTTTGCCCGTAAACGTAGCATCTTACGCCGCCTACTCGTTCCATGAATGAAAGGTAAACACGTTCAAAGACATGATCGTGTGTTTATCAACCGAACATAGGTTCGAGTGAAATCAGGTATACGTTTTCTGTACTTTAAAGAGCAAAACCTATCCTTTCCCTTTGGGATCATTCTAGATTAAGACTGACTGACCTTGTGCAGACCAATTGGTGACTCTCGTTTCACCAAAAGGACCACGCTCTTCCAGGATTCCTGGTACTCAGTACAGTTTTGACTTGAATTGCTGTTCATCGAACAACCTGAAAATTTGAAGACTTATACATATGGAAGAAGCACTAAAGCATAAAGATCTCGCCAGTGCATGTCAAAAGAAAACATGTCCATATGATGAAAAACTTCAAAATCGAACGGCCATCCTTCCATCCTGCACGTTGCCAGCCTTCAACAACGCTATCATCTCATTAATATCCTCCAACTGGAACTCCCTCGGATTGATCCTAGGGTAAATCCCATTCTCATGAGAAAATGCCACACACTTCGAACACCCAACCTGCCCCGGAACCAGCGCCCCGATAATCCTACCAAGCATCAGCACACCTCCCAGCTTCCCAAAGGAGTAAAAAGGACCAAACTCACTTCAAAGCATAAGTCGCTATCATTGACATCGACACGGGAACACTCTCCAACGGAGCCCCAATAGCAATCAACCTACCCTCGGGCCTAAGAATCCCGATAGCAGTCTCATACGCCTTCAACGCCCCAGAAGTAACAACCACAGCATCAACAGCCCTCCCCCCATTCAACTCCTTGACAGCTCCCAAAACATCACTCGGCGCCGTAGTCCGCGTATTAACAATCCCATCCACTACCCCGGACTCTAAAACGCCTTTCAACTGCGTCTCATTAATATCCAGCCCCAGAACCTTACATCCCATTGCATGCGCGTATTTAACTCCCATCTCACCTAAGCCCCCGACACCAACAATAGCGACCGTCTCACCATCCTTCAGCTCAGCACGACTGAGACCATCCCAGACGGTAATACCCGCACAGAAAAGTGGCGACAGTTGCGCGGCCTGAATATTCTCTTTCTCTGGGACCTTGACCGCACAAGCAGCGTCAATAAGTGTATACTCACAGAAGTACCCCGGGGCATTCATCCCTATCATCTTCGCACTGGTGCAGAACTGTGGTCCAATGTGAGTGCATTCGTAGCATGTTAGGCACATATCACGCCATAGGGGTGAGCCGACTCGGTCACCAGGTTTGAAATTATAGGGGGATGCGTCGGGACCGAGTTCTTCGACTATGCAGACAGCTTCGTGGCCTATCACTAGTGGGTAATTTGACTGGCCGAATCCGCCTGATTGGGTTATGGCTATGTCGCTATTGCAGAGGGTTGCTACTTCGACACGGACGAGGAGGTGGCGGCCTGTTGGGGTTGGGGTTGGAATTTGTTCGATAACGATCGGTTTGCCGGGCTGTGCTTTCATGAATATTTCCAAGGTTAGGTGTTTATGTCAGGGTTATAGGATACCAAGATTATCGGGGTCCTATAGGTGACTTACCTCTTTACAAAGGGCGGCTTTCATCGTTTTTGGTGCCATGTTTATTTAGAAAGAAAAAGGTTTATAGTAGACCGTTTGTTGGGACCGGAAATATAGTTCTAAGTGAAAAGCGTATTGAAAGAATTATATACAATCAGTTCCGCGGGATATCAACAGATCTCGGAAATTTCAGTGCCCAATCACCCCTCTTTGGCTCGGCTCAAAATGTCATAGATCAAGTACTTTTTGTATAGGGATTACTTATACAAGCAGCACCCCCGCAGTGGCGTTACACAAATAGCGTATGGGGATGCAGTAATCGGATAAGAGGGATCCGTGGGGCATCCAAGAAGGGGTTAGTAGATGTGGGGAGTGGGAACTGGGTATATAGTGCATGCATAACAACACTTGGCAATTTGTACAAAGATGAGCGTCTGCGCTGGTATGCATGTGACTGCACTTTGGCTTTGTGAGCACTTTGGCTTTGTGGTCTAGACTCTTCCATCACAGGCAGCATAGTAAGTGGAGATAAATAGTCTTGAAATAATGCGATTGAAGTCCAGTGGTATCTCGATAAAAGTACAGGTTCGTAGGAATACATTGCTCAACAGTTGGAGCAGAAATCAATGTGCAGGAAGCCACCCGAAGCAAAATATCAGCCAGTTGTTCCGGCGGGTGGTAAGTAATCACATAGCCAGATGCGACTCAGAATCAGATAATGCCCAAATAAGAAAAGCCCGAATAAACAAACAGAAAACAATGGTGGGATCCCAAAAAGATGGTAGTACAGCGTTGATGATACAGGGGTGATAATACAGGATATTGTAGCAATAGGTCAGGGCATCGAGGAAGGTCGTATAATACATAGGTCACAATTTGAAGGGAAAGACAGTTTTATCGGCGGGCCGGACGGAGGCCAACGCGACCCTCTCCAACGAGAGAGTTCCATCGTTGGCCCAAATCAGCCTGGTTGCTGCGGCCCATTCGGCGCGCACACTCATCCCATTCTTGTTGGGAGAGTCGGAATTTTTCAAGGACCAAATCCATGAGTTGTTGGTCTTCTTCGGCAGTCCAATCAGATGATGCTGGAGTAGATTCTTCCAATTCGATTGAAGGAAGAGGCGCATCTGGATTGATGGGCGCAGATTCTTGAATGCGCACATCGATCAGGCGCTGGGCAGGAGAAGGAGGGGATTGCGTGACAGGAGGAGAGTGTAGGGAATAGAAGTCTGTTGAAGAGAGGCCGAGCGGCAAATTGTAGGGGGCTTGCCGACGGCGTTTGGGTGTGGTAAAACGATTACGTCTGCCCATGTCCGAGTCGCTGTCGTCATCCTCGCATGATCGGCGGCGCTTGTTGGCACCGCGCGATGGCGCAGATGGAGGTGGTGGTGGTGTGGAAGCGAGTGTGATTGGAGGAGGGGTTTGTCGTGGTGATGCAGGTCGTGCGACCTTGTTGCGCGTCCGCGGTGAGCGGCGCGGAGCGTTGATGGGAAGTGGACTTTGGAGGCGTTGAGGCTTGGATCGGCGGGGCGATGGGCTCGGAGATCCATGTAACATTGATTGCAGTGCGCGGCAGGTACCGAGAAGGCCATTGCCAGATGAGTATCCTCTGTCTGAGGGAGGAGGAGTCGAGAAAAGACGGCTGGGAGTGAAGCGAGACGACCGGCGCACATCGCAGGGAATAGCAGATGGAAGCAGCATTGTTGCGGAGGTTTATATTTCTGATCGGCGCAAGAGAACGATTGAGCGAATGTATCGAGATGTATATAGGGAAGTGGGTGTAAAGTCGAGAGTTGCGACTGTTTTGCGCGTGGATTTGTGCGCGATTTGCGACGTGCGATTGCGCCGGGGATGGTTGTGAGGCGCGACGACGGTGTTGGAGAGTAAAGAATGAACGGAAGATGGTGTTGTCGAAATGCGCTTCAAGATCCACCTGTTCCGAAGAACTGGCGACGTGGTTGGGAAACGGTTGTTGTTTTAGGTGTGGTTGTTAGGGGAAGAGTTGGCGGGGGCGAAATCGGGGGCGATAAAAGGATAAAAGAAATTCGGACGCAAACGGTCAAGCGAACATCTCCCGAAAAATGTCAACAAAGGATCCACTTTTTTTCAGAATCAAAGAGTGTCGATGCCCAATATGGTATCAATATAGTATAATATAGAGAAATGATAGAAGTTTCAAGGACAGTGTCAATTGTAAAAGAGAGGAAATAATAGTCCAAGCGAGAGGAATCCGGTTCAAGCAACGAATGACTTGACCGATGACGATTATGGATTATCAGGTGTTGAATACACACTGTACAAACTGTCCAGAGATAGCGCTCTGCTTTTTCTATTATACCCTACAATCTCTCTGTGCCTGACCCCTCGCACTCATCCCACTCTAATCGTGGACTCCCAGTGAAACAAAGGAGGGCAGGGCTCAAAGGAGACCTCCATGCAAGGAGGTTCACCACCCTCGTTATCTCAAGAGGGGATTCTGAGAGAGGCACGAGCTGCCCCCTGAAACGACTTGCACCGTGCATATTGATCTAGCGTCCTCATTACATTTCCTAGTATGGTTGCAGGCCCGCTATGTCTCCATAGATCATTGACAAAAGCTCCTAGTCGGGAGTGATCATCGGCCTCATGACTGCATCAATTAAAAATCATATGTCATGACGTGCAGGGCTTTAATTGGGACCGTGCATCAGGTACGAAGCGAATGAGCAACGAATCCTGGCTTTGGGGGCTTTGCCACTGGCCCCAATTGGTGCGGGCCGACGCGTTTTAATACTTCTAAGATACTCCGTAGGGTTTCCTGCTCCTTCAGTGGTCCAGGAGTTACTTCTCCCCTACCATGCCATTCCCTGGAAAGCCTACCACTGGGAGCATTCTAATCCTTCTATCCTTTCTGCCTTTCAAGGTTGTAGAGCTTTAGTCCAATGTACACTTTTCTATAGACGAAGATGACCTCGAGTTATACCGTAAGATAACCGTTTCGTATCGGCACGCGTCAGTCGCGTGTGAAAACCTTGAGCCACGCGACGGAGCGCGTCACGCATCGACCAATCATACATTACCGGATCCACTCTGTGAAAGTACCATGATTGGTTGATTACAACCGTACCTGACGATCACCAGTACGACTACGAGGTACTAAGTTTAGATTTGAAGAGAACTCCAAGGCACTTCAAGGGCCAAATTCAGATAAAAGGGCCACGGGCCAGAGCCAGCGGCCAGTGCACCCGGAGAAAAAGAAGGGTCGAGGGTCGAGCGTGAACCTTCAGCTGTTTACTTGGAAAACACGAAGTCCAATGGACCTTTCCACCTAAACCATTCCAGTTTACGAAGCTTATCAGTCTGACAGCGTGGAGCTATTGTTCAGATTCTATTCGAATGTTTTACACATCAAATCTTACATTCAAAATGTACTGACAATGTACAGCCTCGTGAGGACTGCGTTGTCAATTAAACTCCAGTACCCCGCTTCGTCCTTGCTTCCTGCAGACCCCAGTTGCCCCGGCAAGATCCAACTTGCAAGATTGAATTCAGGTTCGCATAATCTTGCAGAGCCGTCTGCAACGCTATTTTCGAGTCTGATCTCTACTTGCGGGGTGCAGGTAACTGAACGTGTCTAATCTCCCATGCACACAAATCCTATCTGATTCTATATCACATCTAAAAGACTGCTTTCTTCAGCCACACCTGTAATCCACTCATCCCACCTGAGCAAAATACTTTTCTCCCTTTCTCCACCGATCAGGAATGCTCCCTCGCCCGAGTACAGTTTCCTTCCAGTTGCCTCAAACAAAGGGATCCATTTCCATTCAGGAGTGTGGCTGGGCAGGTAAGAGCCTCTTTACCAAACCACGACCCACCCTCAACCCAAGCTCCAGCCCCTCCAAAAGTGGCTCCAATCCCATGCAAGGGGTAGCTGCGATTATCCTCCCACTCATGCTCCCTATAGGCCCATACAAGGTTAACCTCGAAAGCCTCGGGCACGGTAATGCAAAACATCTAGCTCCTGCAGATGGTCTTGTTTCCTAACAACACAAAATATACTCTCGGCCAAGGAATCTTGAAGCCTCGAGCACGGTTTGCCAATCACCCCTACACGACCCTGCGAGCTCATGCAAGACATCTTGTCCACAACGGGCGCTAAGGGGCGATCATCCCCACTGCCTTCGTGCACCGCGGTGGCTGGTTACTCCTGTTGCCCCTCCAACCGGAACCCGCTAGGGCTACTTGCTCCTTCACAGAAATCCGTACTATGTATTCATCAGGTTTCACAACTTCACCTTTGTGGTCTACTTTTCCTGTCTTGGCGGCGGGTCTGCTGTCCCTCTGTCTTATATTTGTTACCGATTTGGAAGTCGTGACATTCTTCGCTGCGGATGACAGGTGATCGTCAATTTCTATTGATTAATCGCTGGCTCCATGTCTGAATCATGGTGTTAGAATGGTGGAGAAGGGGGGCCAATAATTGGATTGTGCTCGTAAAGTTGCCCGCTTGGACAGTGGTCTTGATGCCAAATCCACGGTCTGTAGCCTTGTCCTTCAGAGGAATCGAACTTGGTGCTGGCGTTTACAGAGACTTTGTGGTCAGGATTCATATGTGTGCTGAAAATGATAATTTTGGTTCCGGCTTAGAAGCTTGGAGCGCTTGGACAAAGAGCCTGGATATGGTTTCCAAGTTCAATGTACCAGGAGCTCATGGCGTGATGTCTTTTGTCATGGGGCTTTTCTGCGACGAGTTCCCCTCTCATTGGCATACACACCTCAGCAGATCCACCGGTCTTGGATAGGATCGTCAGTTTGGACTCTTGCTGGGTCCAGTCTTCTCCTTCCACCTAGGTCCACTAGCCTCGGGCTACCATATCCAGGCTTTGCGGCCCTTGGTTACCCGATGTGCCCACCTACCCTCCTTATCTCCTTCCCAGTGGCTACGAGCCTATCCCAAACTTGGATTGATCTAGGGGCTAAAGAGCCCGCAGGCATCAATTTGATGAGCCGAGGCGCTTTTGTCCTCCATTACAGCCAATCAGGTGAGCCTTCCCCCCTCCTACTCTCTATCTTATCCACAATTAAGGGTTTTTATTCCTTCATCCCCTCTTTTCTGCACTTGCCACTGTGGGTGCCTTGTTGGATTATTGGTTCTGTGATCAACTCCTGTCTGAAGACCATGCTTTTTATGGTTGCCCTGCCTTTCTGGGCCCCAAGTGATGAACTGTTGTTTCACACTGCTTTTTCTAATAAGCTTCCAGCTTTGAAGTATTACTAGAAACGATCCCATTGGATCAAAAACCCCTCCATGTAGCTGATTCGGAAGTGATTCTGTATCTACCCAGGTCAGAAATACTTCCTCTGTCCCAACCAAACCAAACCTTGAAAGCCAGCATGAATCGTCTTTTTACAGGACATGCCTTAATTGTTGAGGTGTTGCTTGCAAGCTTGTTTGCTGTCTGCTTCGTCAGCTTCTCACCCCCTCCATATAGGCCTCTTGTGCGAGAATTCTTTTTCCACAAGCCATCATTCCTTGACCTCCCTTCTTAACCAATATATTATTAATTAATTTTTTTTTGTAAAAAAAAGGATCAACTATTGGATTATAGGTCCAATATTTGCTAAATTCTCGGGCCTCAGCTAGCTCGATATCGTCCACCTAACGAAGACCCACCATCTATACATACACAAGGCATGGCAGGTGTGCAACTTCAGAGTTCGAAGCTGTGATAGGAAGCGAAGTGATAAAGACCAAATTTGCGAGCAAATTTTATATTTGCTGACACTTGTTCATTACTCTTTGATAGTACTTCGGGAATCTTGGAGCAGGTGTTCAAAGTGCTGCTGCCATCACCATTAAAGTGCACGCATTCAACACCCCCCCTCCCCCCCTCAAAGACCTGATCATCCGGAAAATATCACTTGACTGACCGGGTTTCCACGGTAAGTTCTCGTTAATCGAAAGGTTATATCCTGTCTCGGTTGACAGATTGCCACATCTGCTGCAGTTTCATTGCAGGCAGGTTGAAGTTCTGGGGCTGGTCGAGTACTCGAGTTTTCGTAGGCTCAATCACAATAACTCTTCGAGTTCCGCGGCCGTGGCCGCACATGCCATAGGTGTGTTTGCCTGGCACAGACTGTCAATGCGTGCGTGGCATGCGACGACGCACGTTTCCCGTGAATGATTGACTCTTTGCCGGTGGGAACCTCGGAGCCAGCCAGGTGCCTATATAACAGCAATGTTTTTCGGCAGACTAATTGCTCGTTATGAAAGCGTGTGATGTAGTCGACACCGGTAATCGTACACATCCTCATTCACACCCGCGGCAATCGTGTCTTTGGAGAAGCCCTCCAGCACACCAATTAAATTGTATTTTCGACCCTTCAACTTGTCACTCCTCCCCGCGCCCAAGGACAAATTCCTCGGTGGGAAGGTGTGTGATTTTGTCGACATCGGTCCGGCGTCAATGAGAGTTGAACCTGACGGTATGGCAGGGTTCCATAGGGCGTCCCTGGCTCTCAATTCTGCCTCACTGCTGACTTCACTAGTACGTGAACATTGATCACATGTCAGTGATATCAGTAATGACCGCGCCACTGCGGCTACTCGATCTCTCTTCAGCGAGAGAGTGCCAGGACGCCTCCGCGCGTGCCTCTGCGTCGATTTTTATCCAGCAGTGACGCAGCGCCGCACTGACCCCCATCCGGTCCGCCTCGCGCCTGTGGAGCAATCTTAAGAGAAAGTCCTTAGCTGCCATGCTCACCTCTGCCTCATTCAGGTCTTCCTCCAGGATTGCCATTTGGGGAGACAAATCCACGTAGGGGTCGCTGATTGGGATTCTCGCGAGTAACAGCCAGCTGCATACGCAGCCGAGGGCCCAGAGGTCCACGGCTTTGCTGTAGCCCTGCGTGTTACTCCGGCGTAGCTCGCTGTTTTCCGAATTAGCTGGTTAATTTGGAGGCTTTGGATGGGAGAGACACTTACGGTGCGCAAAAAGGTCGGGTCCCGACTGGGGTCGTCATGCGTTCTTGACCAACGCGTCGGGAGATGCCAAAGTCGGTTAGTACCACCCTCGCATCATCTTCATGTCCTGTCATCAGGATATTCGCCGGTTTGATGTCCCGGTGAACAATCCCTTGACCATGAAGATAGTCGAGGGCAAGCAATAATTGATGAATAATGCTTGCCGCATGGGTTTCCTCTAGCCGACCCTTTTCCTGGATGAGGGAGGTCAGATCTCCACCGGTAAAGAGCTCGGTAAAGATGTAACTGGAAAGAATTAGCAATCTATGTGACTACTAGGTAACAAGATATTATCAGCTTACAATGAGACATCTGACCGGAAAGCCCTTTCCAGGTAAAGGATATTTGGCTGTGTCTTAATGTCAGTGGAGATCAAATTAAACCTTACGGAGAGAAACTTACATGGTTGAGGCCAGCAAGTATCCGAAGCTCTTGAGTATGAACTGCAAATTTTGCCTGGATGCGGCTCTCAAACCTCTCTCTCCGTATCGCGACGGTAGATGGTGAGTCCATGCTGGCTTTCGACGGAGCTCCTGGGCTGTTGGAGCGTTGGGGTGCTTCACGCCGGATTGCTGCCTCCACTGCCGCAGTGCATGCCACTCTGAGTGCCTGCAGATCGACCATCTTGCAAGCTACCTGACGTCCGGTGCTTTTATGAGTGGCCATGTGAACACGACCAAAACCACCGGCCCCTAGGACGCGGTCCGTTATGACGTATTCTTCACTGAAGGTCTGGAACTTTGTTAGTATTTAGAAGGTGAGTTGAGTCGAAACAATACATACGGCCATTTCTCGCTCTTGAAGGGAGCTAATAAGATCTTCTCGATCATACTTCTCCGGCTCATATTGCACATGGACGTCAGGTGCAAGCGTAAGCACATCCCCGTTGCTCAGTAGACATACTCCATTGTTGGGTTTCATGGAACATCCATTGTGCAATGTTCCATTTTGGGATATATCTTGAGCAAAAACGAGGGCCGGGATTTCCGGTCTGCTGGAAGATGCCGGGAGGATAGTGAAGATTCGGACGTGTTTGTGTGAGATGCCTACTGAAGAGACACGATAATTGCTAATTAGGGTGTCATACCATGGTTAATAAGGAGAATCAACACGTAGGTACGTACGTACCTACGCATGTACGTATGAACATACCAGTCTGGGTCATGTCCGATGAAAAGATCCTCATCACTGCAGATGCGCACTGGGTTCGGGCAATCCCCCACAAAGTCATATGGATATAACGTGCCCACTGGAAACAATAATTCCGAGGTCTCTGAAAGGTGCTCCATGATGGTAATGAGGAACCAACGGCGAAGACGATCAAGATGATGGAGATGATGACAATGATTGGGAAATTGATGGAATTGGTGGGATGGATGGAAAATTAGGACTTGAAGGTTGACGACTGTGAGAGAAGGTGGCAAGGCAAGGCGTAACTGATATTGTTAAGGATGAGTCGTTGATATTTCATTATTCATCGCAAAAGATTTTGTCACTAAACCACACGAATGGCAAAAAGGCAAATTGAGTACTGCAAATCAACGCTGGACGAATCCCCTCCAGTTACAAAATAGTTTAAGAACATTAGATGATTTGTAGTACGCAGTATGCGTGCACTCATTTGCCCTGCATTCGTCGGAACCGCTCCTCTGCGGCTCTCGCCCGTCGTTCACGCTCCAATCGCATCTTCATTTCAGGAGTCATTCCTCGTGTCTCTTCGTCTCGTTTCTCGGCAGCTGACTTTTCAACAGCTCCAACGGTGCGTCCACCAGGTCTATACGCCTGCTTGGCTGCTCTTTCGGCATCCTCCTTTTGCAAGCGCTCCAACCCAGCCTTACGACGATTATTTTCCTCTTCTTCAGCAGCGATTCGCTCCCGATCAGCCCGGCTTTCCACATCTAACTTTGACACCGCGGATGGGACCTTAGCGGCCGTCCAATCCCACTTAGATTCCCCTAGCTCATGGCGTGCAATACGGAAGGCATCACGTGTGGCCCGGTCTCCCGCAAGCTCAAAAGGTGTCCTACCCTCGTTATTCACGACAGTGGGATCTGCCTGTGCCCTGGTGAGGAGCGCATTCACAACGGCAGGACAATTCAAATTTGCGGCAAGATGAATAGGCATAGGACAACGGAAGTTTTGTGTTGAATCAGCAGGTTGAAATACAAACGACGGAGGAATGGAGTTGGTTGAGATGTATGACATCAAAGCAGGAATCTTTGACCGTCGAATGAGGGCCTGTATCTGTGATGTATGCAACAAGGCAGCTTCCTCTTCCTTCGATAGCTTCTGCTTCTGGGGCTGCGGGCGTGGGGTGGGTTGCTTGGCCTCTTCTTTCTGCTTGGCGGCTGCTGCCGCCGCTGCCAATGCAGCTTCGTCGATCTCGCTGATCTTTATCCTAGTCAATTCTTTAAAGCTTCGCATAAGCTCCGCCTGGGTCGCCCGGCGCGTATTGAAAGGAAATCCTCTGATGCGGGGATCATTCTGCTTCAAAACCTGGCCTTCATGCTTGTCGAAGAGAATCTTTCGGTTTGTGTTTCCAGTTGCGCGAATGAACAACACCTCGGCAGTATCAATCATTTTTCGCCAGTCAATAAGCAGCTCCCGGATGTCTTTCTCCAGTGCAGCTTCGTTATAACGTCGCAGGGTAGAACCAGCCGAGTGTGCTGCACCTCGTGAGGCGTCGCTTGCAGATTGAGAGCCACCCTGCTTTCTTCGTGTGGTATAACGGTGAAATGTCTTGTGCGCAATGACTCTCGCCTGTCGCTCCTCGACGCCTCCCTGCTTGCGATGGATCTCAGGCGCCAAGGACACCAGCATGGCGGCGAAATGACCACCTCCGATCATACACATGAAAATATGGGCACCCGATGCGGCGGGATCCTGGCCTTGCGCATTGTTGGTACGCGCCTTCACTGGTGCCAGTTGCTTTTTTCGTATGGTCTCCACCAAGTTACCCGGCTCATTCTGCTCGGCGGCCGAGAAAATGGCCCGATAGACGCCTAGCGACTTATTTGATGGCAGACCAGAGCTGGACATCCAGAACAAGGGATTTTTCGCCACTCCTTTTTTCACGACTGTCTCATCCTCGTCATTGTTTCCGGACAGCTTTGCTTGCTTTTTGAGTAAAGCCGTGAGTGTTGTGTCGGCGCTACCATCAGCTTCTTCTTCGTCTGATTCCGAAGATTCTGATCCCGAAATCGACTCATCAAGTTCACCAACTGCCTTTGCAAACTGGATCTCGTCAAGCGGCGCATTGCCGCGCAGTTGCGCTTTGATGTTGAACCGGTGGTGGTCGGAGCGCACGTGGCTACGCTGTTCCTGCACGTTTATATAGGAAACCTTGCAGAGCGCACATGATGATGAAGTTGCGATGGAAAGGTCCTGCGCCGCTTCGGTATCTCTCGCAGAGACACCGGATGTGGGGTCGTCGAGGGGTTGATGTTCAGTCTTCGTTGTTAAGGTCGCAAGAAGTTCCGGCGGAAGGTCATAGACTGTTGACGAGTCAGCGAGAAGGTTACCCCTCATTGAGGTAGCACCTACCGTATAAAGGCTTTTTCAACAGCTCTTCAAGGTGTGAAGAGTCGACCATGGTGAATCAGTCTTTAAATGGAGTGCTTTGAACGGAGTGATGATCGTCTTCCGGCGCGGGTTAGGTGCTGACCGCCTAGCACGGGCGGCAGGAGCGAGCTTTTATAACTGCGTTGAATAACCTCTCTGTCGGGTTAAGACTGTGGGGCTACAGCACAGCTTCCGTCACTAAGCAGTGGAAAGCAGGTAGATTTGTGAATGTGGCTGTACAGGACAAGCTATACCACAATCGTTGTCCGATATGACTCACGGTGGGGACAAATTTGAGGAGCCTTGGAAATTTTTTTGATGTATGAGTCGGAATGCGTGCCAATACCTTGGAAGCGCATTTGAACGTGTCATAAATTCAATGTGAATTACCACTTTTGATTCTTCAAACACTGGCCCTCCAGGACTATAGTACGGTGTTTTCTTTACTTGGGAAGACCCATGGATTACGACTGGTCTCTGATTACTTATTGCGGTGACCTAGTTACCTTAAAACTACCGCCCACGTGTTACGTCATACGCAAATGTATTCAACCACAACTGACTGTATGGTATGGGTACTGTAGCAACATTGTGTAGCTGGCCATGTCCGAACTTCTAGCTGCCATTTAGAACCTATGCGAGGATGTACGAGTTCGAACACCTAGGTAGTTTATGAGTATCCTGTTGCATATGCCCACCAGGTGGGTAAACATGCCAAGGTTGCAAGTATAAAAGGTACCTAGGCGGCTCAGATATATATTCAAGCTGTCCACCTCCAGGGCTGGGCAGATATGTCCCCGCTTAGGCAATCGGGTTCAGGTTAACACATATGCAAGGACCCGAACAGGTTCTACCCAAAAAATTGAGTTTGGAGATGGCTTAAGTATTCTCATAAACTTATAGATGATTAAAGGCCCAATCAAATATTGAGGATAATAGTTCTTGATAGGAGCTGCAGCGTGGGATCTAAGCCCGCATTGGGCCTAGTTACTGCTTATCATCAATCCACGTGACCGGGAGGGGGAAATGTGTAAAACACAACATCTTAAATTATTTTCAATTGCTGCAAATCGAGTACTGTCCAAAGCAGTTTCTAGATCCTAGGGTGTACCCCAAGAATCCTTGCTTTTGTCATACAGTGGGGAGTCTCCACTTTGGGACTGGGGCTCGTTGCGGTAAGCAAGGCCGACCGGAATTTACGGCGTCAGAAGCTCGGTCTTTTACTAAGCAACCGTTAGCCTTGGGAGTTTCCCGACTCACTTGACTTTCTTCTTGCGCAAACCCGAATGGAACACTGGGATCTTGTTGCTTGACACGAAAATGTTGGACGGCTCTTCCCAGGTGTTTCTGGGGGACTCCCAACTGGGAGTCTCGCAATCGCATCTCGTATCCGTCTTTGATCGTCAACGGCATTCTTTCTGCGGCGATTCGGAAGGATGGGGTCCGATGAGCTCCACGGGCTTCCACCTCACCCCGTGCTTTCTGGACGTCACCGTCGCCGTTGTCGCTGCCTGGGGCTTACTCGGTGGTGCTGGTGCGCTCTGGTTGTTGCTCAAGAAGCGGATTCCTGCGCCAGTCTCGAAGAACTGGCATTTCTACGCCAAGTTGGTTCGTGAATCCCTTATCGCTTTTTCGCCGTGAATGCAGATCTATCCGTTACTAACATTCCCAATCGATATAGGTCGTACTCGCTCATCTGCTATTCGTCACTGCCCTTCAAACAGCCATTCTAGCCGAGACACAACCAAACAGCTTCTGGGCCGACTTCCGTTTCTGGTCATCGGTCCTGACCTTTGCCTCGCAAGGTGTGATCTATGCAGTGCAGTATTTTGAGCATTGGCGGAGTCGCCAGCCAAATGGGGTGGTCCTGTTTTACTGGCTCTTCTTCATTATCGCTTATGCCGTCAAGCTGCAATCCCTTGTCTCCCGACAGGAGTACTTGACCAGTCTACCATATTTCGTCTGCATCAACGTCAGCCTGGGATTGGCGCTACTGGAATTCGTGCTCGAGTATTTTGTTCCGAAGAAGCAGAGTGCTTATGATGCGCTGGGCGATGAGGATGAATGCCCCTACAACTATGCCGATATCTTTTCGGTCCTTACCTTTGGTTGGATGACCCCATTGATGAAGTTTGGGTACAGCAACTACCTGACTCAAGATGACCTGTGGAACCTTCGTCGTCGGGATACCACCCGTGCCACTCTTGACGACCTTAGTAGCGCCTGGGAGGTAGAGCTCGAAAAGAAAAAGCCATCTCTTTGGATCGCACTATTCAAGGCGTTTGGCGGTCCTTATATTCGTGGTGCCATCATTAAGTCGGGCAGTGATATGCTTGCCTTCGTGCAGCCACAGCTCCTGCGGTACCTGATCACTTTTATTGATTCATACCGACGCCCTGATCCTCAGCCAGTCATCCGCGGTGTTGCCATTGCCTTGGCTATGTTTATTGTCTCAGTTTGCCAGACAAGTTGTCTGCACCAGTACTTCCAGCGAGCCTTCGACTGTGGCATGCGGGTGAAGTCATCTTTGACAGCCCTCATTTATGCCAAATCTCTGCGACTGTCGAGCGAGGGCCGCTCGTCCAAGACCACTGGCGATATCGTCAACCATATGGCTGTTGATCAACAGCGCCTTTCGGACTTGACTCAATTCGGTACTCAGCTATTTTCTGCACCCTTCCAAATCACCCTGTGCATGCTTTCTCTTTACCAGCTGCTTGGACCGAGCATGTTCGCTGGTGTGGCTGTCATGATTTTCATGATTCCGCTCAACGGAGTCATCGCCCGGTTGATGAAGAAATTGCAGATCACGCAGATGAAGAACAAGGATTCGAGAACTCGCCTTATGACTGAGATTCTGAACAACATCAAGAGTATCAAACTCTATGCCTGGAATACGGCTTTCATGAACAAGCTCAGCCACATCCGAAATGATCTGGAACTCAACACCCTTCGCAAGATCGGTGCCACGCAGTCCGTGGCGAATTTTACCTGGACGTCAACTCCTTTCCTCGTGTCTTGCTCGACATTTACTGTCTTTGTTTTGACCAGTGACCGCCCCTTGACCACTGATATCGTCTTCCCTGCCTTGACTCTCTTCAACCTGCTGACTTTCCCGCTCTCGATTTTGCCAATGGTCATCACCTCGATTATTGAATCCTCTGTCGCAGTGAAGAGATTAACTGATTATTTCCTTGCCGACGAACTGCAGACGGGGGCTGTCATCCTCCAAGACCCCGTTGAACATGCCGGTGATGAATCGGTCCGTGTTCGCGACGCGTCCTTTACCTGGAACCGCTATTCTGGTGTTACTGTATTGGAAAACATTGATTTGAGTGCACGCAAGGGCGAGCTAAGCTGTATCGTTGGTCGCGTAGGTGCTGGAAAATCATCTCTGCTCCAATCGATATTGGGTGAATTATGGAAGGAAAAGGGTGAAGTGGTCGTGCGAGGTCGCGTTGCCTACGTTGCACAGGCACCATGGGTGATGAACGCAAGCGTTCGGGAGAATATTGTTTTCGGTCACCGATGGGATCCTGCATTCTACGACCTCACCGTGGAGGCTTGCGCTTTGCTCGATGACTTCAAGATCATGCCCGATGGGGATCAGACTGAAGTTGGCGAGCGTGGAATTTCTCTTTCCGGAGGTCAAAAGGCTAGGTTGACACTCGCCCGAGCTGTCTATGCTCGTGCAGATATCTATCTTCTAGACGACGTTCTCTCGGCTGTTGATCAACACGTTGGCCGCCATATCATCAACAAGGTTCTTGGTCCTTCCGGAGTTTTGAGCGGTAAAACCAGAATCCTTGCCACCAATGCCATCACAGTGCTCAAGGAAGCAGACTACATTGGATTGCTTCGCGACAAGACTATTATTGAATCAGGCACATATCAGCAACTCATGGCTATGAAGGGCGAGATTGCCAGTCTTGTGAGCAACAACTTGGTGGAATCCGAAGAACCCTCTCCTGTCGGCTCTGATGACGAACTTGCGAGCCACGAAGGCTCCGAGGAGACAGCCATCCTCGACAATGAAGATGATTCGGACAGCGAAGGATTGGAACAGCCCGGTTCTCTTGTCCCAATCAAACGATCGGTTGGACCTGGACGCAAGAACAGCCTTGCCACTCTACGCCGCGCTAGCACTGCCACCTGGCATGGCCCCAGACGCAAGTTAGGTGACGAGGAGAACGTTCTCAAGAGCAAGCAAACCGAGGAAACCTCTCAGCAAGGCAAGGTCAAGTGGAGTGTGTATGCCGAGTACGCCAAGAATAGCAACATTGCTGCGGTCACTCTCTACTTGATCGCTATGCTGGCAGCCCAAACCTCCCAGGTGCTTGGTAACTATTGGCTAAAGAGCTGGACTGAAGCCAATGAACAGAAAGGCGGTAATGAAAGTACGGGTATGTTTATTGGTGTCTACCTAGCCTTTGGTCTGGGCGCCTCCCTCTTGGTTATTGTGCAGAACTTGATATTGTGGATTTTCTGCTCTATTGAGGCCTCTCGCAAGCTGCACGAGCGGATGGCGTTTGCTATTTTCCGCTCGCCCATGCAATTCTTCGAAACCACCCCATCTGGTCGGATTCTCAACAGATTCTCCAGCGACATTTACCGTGTTGATGAGGTTCTTGCCCGTACCTTCAACATGCTTTTCGCCAACGCTGCTCGCGCAATGTTCACGATGGTCGTCATCGCGAGCTCCACGCCTGCCTTCTTGTTGCTGGTCATCCCACTGGCCTACGTCTACCTCAGCTACCAAAAGTACTATCTGAGAACTTCTCGTGAGTTGAAGCGTCTTGACAGCGTGACCCGTAGCCCAATCTTCGCCCATTTCCAGGAGTCCCTAGGTGGCATCTCTACCATCCGTGCCTACCGACAGGAGAACCGCTTTGCTCTTGAGAACGAGTGGCGAATGGACGCCAATCTGCGGGCCTTCTTCCCGTCTATTAGTGCCAACCGCTGGCTTGCCGTTCGTCTCGAGTTTATCGGATCGATCATTATCCTGTCTTCTGCCGGACTCGCGATCCTTTCGGTTTCTACTGGCAGCGGTGTCTCGGCAGGTATGGTCGGTTTGGCCATGTCTTACGCTCTTCAGATCACCCAGTCTCTGAACTGGATTGTTCGTCAGACCGTTGAAGTTGAGACCAACATTGTCTCTGTCGAGCGTGTTCTTGAGTATGCCAATCTGCCCAGTGAGGCACCGGAGGTGATCTTCAAGCACCGACCTGCCATTGGATGGCCTGCTCAAGGTGCCGTATCCTTCAAGAACTACAGTACCCGCTACCGCGAGGGCCTAGACCTGGTCCTCAAGAACATCAATCTCGATATCAAGCCACACGAGAAAATTGGTGTTGTTGGTCGCACTGGTGCCGGAAAGAGCTCCCTCACACTGGCTCTATTCCGACTCATTGAGCCTACCGGTGGTAATATCAGGTAAGAATGCTCCCACGGTTATCAAATGACATTTCTGACGTTGCTATAGTATTGATGGTCTCGATGTGTCGACAATTGGCTTGTTTGATCTCCGGGGTCGCCTGGCTATTATTCCCCAGGATCCTGCCATGTTCGAAGGGACGCTGCGTGACAACTTGGACCCTCGACATGTTCATGATGATACTGCACTATGGAGTGTACTAGGTAAGTTTAAACCTCTACGACAATCATTAGCGAGGAAGGAAGCTAATTACATGAAGACCATGCCCGATTGAAGGATCATGTCTCCCAGATGGAAGGTCAGCTTGATGCTCCTATTCAGGAAGGAGGTAAGAATAACCCTAACCAATTCCACATTCGCTGGCCGCTAACTAGGTCACAGGATCCAATCTCAGTCAAGGTCAGCGCCAGCTGGTCTCGCTCGCTCGGGCTCTCTTAACCCCTAGCAACATCCTTGTCCTGGACGAGGCTACTGTGAGTGCAACCGTTTTTATCAAATAAGCAGCATCGGCTAACAAATCCAACAGGCCGCGGTCGATGTGGAGACTGACGCGCTGCTCCAGCGCACCCTGCGCAGCGACATTTTCTCAAACCGCACTATCATTACGATTGCGCACCGCATCAACACCATCATCGATTCCGATCGAATCGTCGTCCTGGATAAGGGTGAGGTGGCGGAGTTTGACACCCCGGCAGAGCTTATCAAGCAAGGCGGCAAATTCTACGAACTCGCCAAGGAGGCTGGCCTGTTGGAAGGCGACAGTCTCGCCAACTCGCAAATAGCGTAAAACAGCCATCGGTCGTAATTAGCGAGGCGTTCCCGCATGACGCGGCGGAGTGCTCAGTCTGCGCTTTAGAGGCGACCAGCTCCATGATTCTGAGTGGCTCGGGGAGTCCGGGTCTTGGAGCCATCAGGTCGATCGTTGGAGCCTGGATGCTGATTGTTCAATCAATTTCCAATTTGCCTGGGTCAAGCCGCGGATTTGACCCCCGCGCCACAGTGGGTGCGGGTGTCTGTGCAGAACTGGCATACATCCCTGCTCAGGAACTTGGTTTGGACAAGGAGCCCCTGGCAGGTGAAGAAGAAGGATTTTTTTTGCCATTTGCAAAACAAACATCGACTCCTGTCTCCTATGGTCGATGCAACGCAATCGAGCACCGCTGATTGGTCCTTGGATACTTCGAAAAGTGCTTTGTTTTGTTCTTCATTTCTTTTCTCACCATATTGCTTTCTTCTTGGCCATCTGTGAACCCAGATTGCGTATCTGTACAGGATAATTCGATTGTTCATAGCATTGAAAAATACAATCATTAGCACATACATGTACCTGATCCTTGGTTGCAGAATGCAAACCACAAGCCACAAAAAAAGTAAACCATCGGCGGATCAAGATCCATGAATCTACGCCTATGCAAAAAAAAACGGTCTTTGCGTGTCCCAAAGGACAGACCCCCAAATGCTCGGACATTCGTGCTTCTCCAACCCAGTTTTGCCATGATCATTTGCAGTAGCGCCGTGCACCAAACGTGGCGGTGACATCCTATATCAAAGGATTCACACCGTGACCATTGTAGCGGTGAAGCGGGCCACCTGGCATCACCCACATCAATGCACATAAGAACAGCAGAACCAAGCGCACTCCACCGCTTCCAGTGCTTAGTCCTCGAGATAAAGACGATTTAAAGAGATAACGAGATAATTGCCATTTGGAATCTTTTCATTGAAATCACATGGTCATGCACATCAATCTAGATCGATTTGGATATCTTACGCCACCACAACCCACATCCGCTCTCGTTCGAGGCTCACATTGACCAAGAATAGATCTTGGAAATTCAAATAGATCCTTGTCAATGCATTGTACACTCGGAGGAAAATAGAAGCGAAATTGAAGGATGCTGTTTGCATTAGTTCTCCACGTATCCCCTCAATAGTGGCAACGTATACGAGTATACAGCACCCCCTTGCTCATGTGTGCGGGACATCGTCTAAACTGGGTCCGAGTACGTCTGGAGTACATGTGCATTGTGCATGCGTCGATGAGAAACGCATGGCTAAGGGGAATAGGAGAATGGAAAGTTCATTCGTGAGAAGCGATTAGGTTTATTCAGCTTGATGGGGTTTGCAGTACTGTATGTGTGGAATATGCAGGTTCGAAGCGTGGGTGGGTAGGACAGTATCCGATTCAAAGGAGAAGAAGTCCGAGAGTTGTTCCGATTTCCAAGATTCGAGTAACCGGATCTCTACGCTCTACGTAATGATATGCATTGTACCTGAGTATGGAGGGGAAGAGGGGCAAAAGGGAAATCGGAAAAAGAAGTCTATATATCAGATTTATGGCGTGGCACAGCAGATGTTGCATGCCATGCCCCTCTGGATGCTCCCACAGCGTTACGAAGGGAGGAACCTTCCTGGACTTTGATCTACCCCATGTTTTTTCCCTGGTTGGATATCGCCAGAGCATTTCTACACTCCCGGACCTTCGTTTCAGCTATCACTGGTCCAGGCAAGGGGTGGGCTCTGACAGCGGTCAGTGCACGAATAAATTTTCCCGTCTTGATTCTAGATGGACTGGAGATTAACCTTCCGGGGATACAGGATGCGGTTCCAGCAATCTTGTTCAATGGGCCACGGAGCACCGATGACCCAATCATGAAATTCCAAGCTCAAATCCCGGTCAAGATCATATTCATAATCTGATGGCAGATCTATCTTGCATCGGGATCTGTGTTGGGCGTCTGCAGGTTGTTCGACAGGGTAAGAGGGGCAGGAAAAAGAGAAAAAGAGGGGCGTCATTTGACCTCATTGATGGATTACGATGATTCTCGGATCTTCCATTCCATCTTACTGGCTAGAATTGGCCCAGCCATTTTATTTTCTTTGTTTGGTGAGAGGGTCCATTCATACCGGAGTAACGTTTCCTTTTTAGCCCCGAACATATCCGACTAACTACTCTCCACGGTGTAGCACTCAAATAGAAAAAGAAGGAAAGCTTGGTTTCTTAGATGGGAAAGGTGATAAGGTGGCGGCGTTGTCAAGAGCTGCTTGTGTGACGTCGATGCAGGATATTCTACAAGTCCTTGCACATGTACCACATGTCCCATGTACACCATATTCGGCCAGAGCCGTCCCGTTCAAGTGACACGAGTGGAACTGGTTCTCGGGAGCATCTAGCCCTACAGGCGCTTGCGGATACTTCTTGCAGGCTCCTCAGCCAGCCTCTTCAGATTTCCCCTCAGATCGACGACAGCACCGACACTAATGTAGCACTGTAGTGTTCCACAATGAGAGATGGTTTTGCAAAATCATGTGTTGTCCAAGAAGCAGCTAGTGCGATTAGCGAGAAGTTTGGAAACCTTGGACCGGGCAAGGGCAAGTAGGCTTCCTCGGTACCGGTGTCATGGGTGACAATTCGGGATTGCCTTACGCCTTATGGAGGGGTAACTCTACTCTCCCCTTCAGTAGCCTGTTCTACCCATATCCATACCCACATCAATCCCGATGGTATGGGGACCCCTTGGTCCCCGATCCTGGTAGAATGATCCAGGTGCAGATGATCATCATCGCGGACCAGGATCGCGGGATTCTGAGATCTGGCTGCATCCCGGCGCTTAGGCCTCAAGCCACGGAGGAGAAAGGAAAAAATAGGATGGTGCAATGGGGATCTGTTCCGTGTGAAGGTTTGTGGGTACTTTTGTTCTCTCTGGGCGAGTCCGAGAGTGGATATGTGAGGGGGCGGGGGCGTTCATACTTTGTTGCGGGCTTGAAGCTATTCGCGTGCGGTGGTTTACTTTCCCAATAGGGTTACTTTTTGTAAGGTTCTGGAGTTCATCATTGCCATGTGGATATGGTGGGTACAAGATGTACTCCATAGTAGTGACGTTTCGTATACCAAGCGGTGCTCCGTGATAGACTGATGATAATGGCATGCAGTACTGATGAAGTATTTGTCACGCTCAAATCCCGATCGACTCGCGTGGATCCCGGGTAAGGTGGGCCAGTTCCGTGGGAATGGTGACCCTAGACATGGATATGGGTCAAGATTTCGGGAAAGGCTTCTTTCCAACCGGGACACTAGAGGATACAGAAAGCTCATTGGCCTTGCTATGCAAGTCAAGGCTCTTTGACCTTGTACAACATAAAGGGCCAAGTCGATCACGCACCATGACATTGTTTCAGCCACACAATTTCCAGTCATGACACGATTAGGTCCGGGCGCGCATATCCAGGGACGATCTCAAAAAACGCCAGTTCGGGAAATTTGTCCGTCCCTGCATCCCTCGAGGCTGGAGTGCATTGCATTAGATCCCCAAAAGATGACGGGCCACTCAGGGAGCAGGGAAAAGAGGGAAAAAAATAGTCAAGTCGATCAGAAGTTAGCTCCGCTAAGGAACGGGATGGAAGTTGCGGACCGGGGCTCCTAAAGGCAGAACCCGAAAAGTGTAAGGCGCTCCAGTGGGACGAACCAATGCACGCCATGAAGAAACAAGTTTCCGGTCTGGCGGGATTCAGAGTGGAAGTCTCGGGGAACTTATTTTTGTTTAGCGCGTCAGGAAAGTTTGAACCCTTCACTCATTTGACTTAGCCGATGAAGCGCCTGCCGCGCTAATGCAGGTTGATTGGTTGGGGGTGAAAGTTCGAGAAGGCGTTCCGCAAGGATCTGTGGATGCGGAAATGACGGGGCTTGGAGCTCGGGCTCCAGTCGAGTATCCAGGTATCCGGGATTCAGATCCTCCGCTATTCCGGGTATGAATTTTTGCTGTATGTGCTCATTTAGATCTCACATTTGAAAATTTCACATTGCAGCGAGTGACGTATGAATACTGTTGTCTACTGTTGTATACTATACTGCATGCATACCCTCGGTACAAGACACATGGTTACCCGCTGCATATAATAGCCACGTTGACCTGAAAGAAGGAAAGGGGGAAATGAACCTTCAATATACGAACGCAAGGGCTCTTTCTTTGATTTTGACACCATTTATTTGCTGACCAAAGTGAAGTTGGGTCGATCCCCCCACTAGACTCCACTAGTAATCACCCATGTGGACCTTCATGCAACCTGGGAATACGTAGTAGGTCGATCACAAAAGGAACAAAGTACGAGAACCGGCAAATTCAGTTCGCAATCTCCCGCAGGTTTTTTTTTTAACCATAAGCAAGGACCAGGTGTCATATCCACGCGGCAGATGCTCTGTGCTTTGTGCTCTGTGCACCCGAATTGTTTTCTTCCGCAGCACCCGCTTAAGTTTATCGATACAGTCGAGTTTGCAACGACAGGTGTCACCGACACCGATTCTAGGCGTTGATGCTGATTGGCTCATCGAGATGCATAACGCTTGTGAACCAGGGGCAAAGCCATAGACTGTTGCATGTGTTGCGTCAACGCGACAAAAGGTCAAACCGGAGCATGTCTTCCGTCCGGGAGTACCCATTATGCAATCCGTTGTAATACGAGGGAAATAAGATGGACTTAAGACCTACTGTGGCTTTTCCAAGTGGATGGTGCAGTAGGGCTGCCCTGCGCTGAGGCCACACATTGGACATAGCGCATGGGGCCATGGGGAAATTAGGAATAATTACCTGCAGTTTCACTTTGCTTTTTATTTGAATCTGCTTTAGGTAACAGGCAATGCTGCAGAGCAGAATTTTCATGTTTGTCATAGCAATCAATTGTATTGACGGAGGAGGGTCGCTTCTTGCAGGTATTGGCTGCATGATTGAATGCTCCTCAAATACGGATCTGCATTCACGCAGTATACAAACTTGACGTCTCAATGTATGG